CGGTGACGCTCCTCCTGGCTACAAGATGAAGTTCAATAGGTTAAGCCTGATAATATGAAGAAAGGTTCGTTGCCCTCCCCTGCGGTCTGTAAAGCTGGTGATCATCTGTTTGACGACTGTTGAGACATTGACGTCGCTGGTCATTTTGATCAACTCCATATTCGAGTACAGTACTTGTACGAGTACAATGCACCGGGGGTACAGAACATATGCGGTAATGCAAATCCAACTGCTCGAATATGGATCTGAAGAGAAAAAGGTGCCCGGTGAAAAAAATTCGTTGTCTCATATTTCAACAAAGGGATATTTAGAGTTCAATTTGCACTCGATACGAAGAACTTTATTCAACAAGCGAGTCAACCTTCAATAGCTCGAAAGCCTCACATTGAAAAAAATGCTGTTTTGTATTTACCACTTCGATTATATAATATTTAATGGTTTGTATAATATATATTACACCAAATATAATGTAAAAATCTCAATTTCCAAGCCCATGAAGAGACGTTCCTCAAATCTTCTACATGCAGAGGATTCCGTCACATCAAAAGATGCTGACACTGTCGAGTGAAAGCAAGGACGCAGTACTTGTCTTGCGCGAGCAGACATTCTCAGTTCACTCCTACCGCCAGAAAGTATTCCAAAAGTTGTTGAGTAAGAGTTTCAAGGCTGGCAGCTGGGCAACTGGCAGCCGGACCCGCGGCAGACACTGCGTCGCTCCGTCCACATCATCAACCGCCCCAGAACTGGTACGGACAAGGGGAATCTGACTGTCTAATTAAAACATAGCTTTGCGATGGTTGTAAAACAATGTTGACGCAAAGTGATTTCTGCCCAGTGCTCTGAATGTCAAAGTGAAGAAATTCAACCAAGCGCGCGGGTAAACGGCGGGAGTAACTATGCTCTCTTAAGGTAGCCAAATGCCTCGTCATCTAATTAGTGACGCGCATGAATGGATTAACGAGATTCCCACTGTCCCTATCTACTATGTAGCGAAACCACAGCCAAGGGAACGGGCTTGGCAGAATCAGCGGGAAAGAAGCTCCCTCTATGATGCAACTGATTAAACTGTGTGTGGTGGACGCATGACTAGGGCGCGAAGCCGAGCGTAAGCTACGAAGCTCCCGAGTGAGAGGAAACCCCTCATTACATGCACTAGGAGAATGTAGGGTGATGAAGAGTTGGAGACGTATTAAGCCTCTCATGAATCCTGTCTCAGTGGATATGAAGCAGTGATAGAAACGAAACCTTGTTGATGAGTTCTCCGACAGTATGGGTACTGTAGCTCGATATGATGGAACTCCCTGCATGAATAACTTCTGATTCCTTTGGGGAGGGAATGTTGTCTGGACGCTCATACGATCATCCCAATGCCAGTATGTGCTACAGAGCCAATGAGGGCCATAGAGTGGTTGGAGATCCAACGATCAGATTCGCATTCAGAAAGGGTGTGGGCTGTCGAACCTTTAGATGCGGACATTGACTTAGCCGAACCTTTTAGTTTACAAAAAAGGGAATATAGGCCATGAGATGAACCCCTGGGGACACCAATCACGGACAATCGAGTCCTATTTGATCTGTTACTTGTAGTGGAGGAGTTGCAATTGTCGTAAGAGCTATAGGAGACTGATTATACATACTGTACTACTCCTAAACATAGTAACCAAGCATTCCATGAATGTAGTAGCTTCAATCAGGCCAGTTACTTACCAACTCGTGAGCTTTCAACGGTTTTGTTCAGCATTGGTATTGCGACAAGGTTACTTGAGATGGTCGTGGGGTTATAGCATTATGACAGAGAAGCTCAAGACGAGTAAAATCAGTTGTGTTGGGTCAGTTTCACGACTGTCCAAGATACGAGTGTATATACTGTAGAGTGAAGACCGTTGTATTGTAGTAGGGAGAAGATCAAAAGGAAGGTCATTAGGGAAGCAAAAAGGTGAATTGCAGCACCCAGGATTCTCGTATGGTCTCCCACTACAATACTAACTGGGCTCTCTGGTGCTTGACTATGGCTGATCGGACGGGAAGCCGTATTTTCACCAGGATATGGCCGCAACTGGAAAAAGAAGTTGTTTAAAGCATACGCCAGGCTGAGAAAGTCACGTGTGGGACAATAGTAGCTCTAAGGCTCCAAATTATGTTGCTGTAAACTACTTCTTCTGCCCCCTGCTAAAGTCCGCTCGTCATACTCACGATAGAGGGATGTCGTCACAGGGAGAAGTTGGGATTCAATGGTCAATGATATTGTAGCAGGACAATTAATGTTCCAAATGACTTGAAACCTGCTGGGAAGAAGTTCACCCTTATCCAATCACTTTCTTTTTCGTCGCACATTAGTTCTTTTCAACAATAGTATCGGTGAGATACAGCAGCTCAAATGCAAGACACGTACGAAATAATGGCCCATGACTTGCAAAATGTCTTTGAAATGGTAATTGGGGTTGTACGACAAGGTCCTTCGAGTGTTTTTGACAAAAATATGACCTCATTTATTGCTCTTCCGATGCTCCGCAGGTTACTCACGTTTATGAGCGGTACTGTACCTCCAGGCTAGGAGGAAATTGAAGTCTGGGAAATATATCCAATCTACAAGTATACATTGCTGTAGTGTAATGCACAATATGTACTAAATAGTAGAGGTATCTCATTTCGTACAGTACCATATCTGCCTGGTTCGCATCTCTGACAGCAACCGAATTTTGTTCAGAAATCAGGAAGTGCGTGTTTAAAGAGGTGAATATATACAATCAAACCAGAGGCTGTATCTTCACATATCGAAGCTGTATCATCACATATCGAAGCTGTATATAAGTTATATCAGTGAGTCGTCAAAGGTATTTTCCATATTCTGCTCATGTTATGTTGTCCATTTCGACTCAGACAACACCGAAATGAGCAAAGCGTCGCAGACGTGATTGAAATGAACGACTAAAAAGTATTTCAGACATCTGGAACACCAGTTGCTCTACTCAGAGTGCAATTTAATTGCAATTCATAATTGTGAGTTGTTGTAAAACAGTTGGACAGAGTTGTTTGAAATTTCAGAAAGAGAGAGGATCGCTAGGTGGCTTCAATAGTAGCGAGTGAAACGGAAAACAGGTGTAAGGAAGATTCATCGTCTGATGTCAATTGGAGTAATTAGTACTAGAGTTTCAACTTCCTAATTCTGTCAACTTCTGAATTGTGCACAACTTCCGCCGAGAGCACAACCAGACCAACTAAACTCCAGATGGAGGAAGGTGTTCATAAGGGAATTCCTTGGATCAAGAAAATGTATAGGTTCTTCTTGGAAGATGTTAGCGAATTTATTGGAAGCTCTCTGGCACATACTGGAATCCTCTCAGTATCAAATGGCAGAGGAAAGCCATAATACACATTGCTTCAGATACAATGCGTGCGAAAGCCCTCAAGATTGCTATTACCGATGCAAGACTCTTTTTGAATCGGATTTGGTTATTGAATAGTCATGATGAGCGATACAGCTACTGGTACGTACATAAACACTGATGGACGAACTATCTAAACCGTTCTGGAGGTGTCACTCTAGTGGGTATTGGACTCCAAATGTGTAGTACATGTTAATCACCATGTCAAAACCTGAGCTTTCGGGCTTTCCAGAATTTCCCAGGCGTAAAGGGGGGAAAGAGAAGACAGGATAAAAGTCACAGTTATACTGTTTAGGCCAGTTCCAGTGATACTGCCCCATCTGCAAGATTGTTGCCAGATTTTCCCACGTCTCAGTGTATACTGTGTAGTACAGCAGCGGATATACTACTGTACGCGTTTTCCTGCCTGCAGTACATACTGTACTTATAGTTGTACTTGTACCTACTCTCACCCGTGTCGCAGAGTTCATAAGATGACCCTTTCTGTGTGGAGACATGGAGATACTACCAGAGTCCTTGCCGGATGGTTCTACTTGTACAGGTTGACTCACTCTCAGTACTGTATATACCATAGCACCCATAATGTCCCTCAAACAGTGGGTGAAGTTCCTCCCTCACATGGTCCCTACGTCCACAGCCAGCGGTATGGTGTAGACACAACTTTTCAAGGACTACGGGTTTTGAAACCCCACAACTGAATCCGAACAGACCAGACTTGCTCCCCCTGAGTCGCTCCCTGTCCTATGCCATGGGCCAATCACAGCTGACAGCACTCCATGACTAAGCTCTGACTAGTTGCGATATCTCGGATCTGCGAACAAAGGTGTCATTCTTGTGCACACCACACCGCATCCGGCTAATACTCCGGAGACGCAGACGGTCGCTGGCCGATTGGCAAACTTAACTCGAACTTGTTTTGGCAGTGTTGGCTGCTGCACGGGCGAGATCTGGCAGAAAACAAGTGGTTCCAATGATCTGTACGTGCGTGTCTGGCAAGTTGCAAGAGACGAGTAGATCAGTGACCCCATCTAGAGGGATTATGACCTGCAGTGATTGCTCTTAACCAACTATTGCCGGCCTGACACCCAACAACTGTACATTTGGGGGTTGCATCTGGATGCATCTGGGTTGCTTTCTGCCGTTTGCTTTTTCCGTCCCTGCAAGATATACATAAATCCAAGGGCAAATAAAGCAGAGACAACCAAAAGATTGACGGCGGGTAGAACGATTCGAATTCTGAGTTTCCGGACCCTGAAACAAGCTGCTTGTATACAAGTGTCCGACACTTGTGTTAGCATTGGTATCAACAACCTCCAACAAGTTGCCAAACCTGTGACGAATGCGTAATCGGGCGCACTACAAGTAGCGTGTTGGGTAGTCCGCATCCCCCCAGCCCCTATTCCACACTAGTGACTCTAGTGCCGTATTATGTGACCACTGTACACGAGAATACAGCACGTGCCGGCACCATCCTGACGTCCAAAATCGTAGCTATAACCGAAGGCTGCATGATGGAGAATTTAAGGTTTACTCACCCTGCACCTCTTTTTGGACATCGCCATCCGGTCTTCTTTCTCATCCACTACTATTCACCTAAATCACCACAAGCACATTATGACTAAGTCCTTCGTTCCCCTGGAGTGTAACCCCGAGGTCTTTGGCGGCCTGCTCGACGCCTGGGGCGTGTCCAAGGGCTCGTTTCACGACGTTTTCTCCATTGACGAGCCCGAGCTTCTGGCCTTCATTCCCCGACCAGTGGCTGCTCTGATCCTGGTCTTCCCCATCTCGAAAGAGTATGAGGCATACCGAGAACAGGCTGACGCAGCAGCTCCTGACTACGATCCCACCACGGCGCGATCCGAGGGCGCCAATTGGTGGCCCCAAACCATTACTAATGCCTGCGGAACCATGGCACTTTTGCATTCGGTGGCAAACGGCCTTCCGCCCAGTGCTGTGCCCGAAAACAGTCTGATTGGCCAGATTGTCGCCCAATCGGACACCCTCAGCACAAACGAAGCCCGTGCCAAATTGCTAGAGGATTCCGAGCCGTTTGAGGCCGCACACGTTTCTGTGTGTGATGAAGGAGAGACCGACGCTCCTGCTGCTGACGACCCTATCGACTTCCACTATGTGGCACTGGTCAAGTCGCAGAAGAACGGCCACCTGTACGAGCTGGACGGACGACGAAAGGGACCCATTGACCTGGGCCAGTTGCAGGAGGGAGAAGATGCCCTGTCGCAGCTGTCCCTGAATAAGGTGAGAGAGTTCATGGAGAGAGAGAAGGAGAGTGGAGGATACTTTTCCATCATTGCTCTTTCTGAGGATTAGAGAAAGGTACGGTACTCGTAGAAGAGAGAGCGGGCGAGCCTCAAGGTAAGTTTCAACTGGCAGAAATGCTACAAAGATCTAAATAGATAATTCGTGTTACAATATCTACAACGCACAAGAAGGTAGTATTGTATCGTAGCGTATATATTGTACAGTAATACATTCCAAAATCGTGTTTCATTCATTCGTACAAGACCTTGCTACAGCTCCCTACAATATGTATAAGTTAACGATATATTACAGTAAACACTTGTTACTGGCTTCTAGGCGATGCAAATAACTATGCATCCAATTCAACCTCTTCCTTACTAATTTACATCATCCCTGAACGCTCTGGTGCCCCTTATGTATGACAGACAGCGTTTTCGACAAAAAAAAGTGACAGTATGAGGATCCTGACTTCATCCAGTCACTCCGACCCGAACGTTAGACCTCTAGTTTGCGTACTGCGTTGTCTGCGTTGTCTGCGTTGTCTGCTGTGTCTGCTGTGTCTGCTGTGTCTGCTGTGTCTGCTGTGTCTGTTGTGTTTGCTGGGTCTGCTGCGTGGTTTGACCACTCTCATGAAGACACCAGTTGATCAGGCTCAATGCCGGATCTCTATCTTTCTCATCAAACAGCCAAAGACCATACATCTGGCCATCACTTGCCGAAACCATGATAAAGGAGTCTTCCAAACTGCTGTTCATCTCTGGGATGTCGTTGGTGTCCTTCTGAACGCCTGCGTTTGTGTAATAAGAGACGTTTTGAGGAATTAGGCCGAGGGAGAAGTTCTCGGGACTAGTTCGGTTGAGAATGATGAGGGCATAAGGGTAGGGATCCGTCTCGTCCTCAGGAGTCACTCGCCGACTGTAGATGAATAATGTGCCCAGCACAGGCATCTTCTCCCAGCTGTTGGAGGTCATGGAGAACTTGTATACTGAGCAGATGGCGGAGTTGAAGAACACCTGGCCAGTTTTCTGATCAATGTTGGTCAGCGCGATGTGGTTGAGCGTTTGTCGCGAATACTCTTCAAGCTGTTGTTGTTTCTTCTTCAGCTGGGCGTTGCCCTCTGATTGCTTCTTCTTCCGGGCCATTTTTATACGTGAAGACAAGGTGGTTGTGTTCGAACGCGTGTTTTTGGTGACGTGGCAAGTTCAATTTTCGTCCAGCTGCGTCTATACTGGTGGGGAAGGTGTATCGCGTGGTGATGCTCGTCGTGTGTGTTAGACGATGACGATGATGAGTAATGGTGTAGTACCGAAACTTAATATGGCTTACTAAGCAGGGTTGTAGAAGACAGGTAACTAATAGTACAGTATGTGCAGTATCAGTATGTGCAGTGTCAGTATGTGCAGGTTTTTCAGGAGCGGTTTCTCATAGAGTAGTTGCACGTGATCTATGTCTTTTCTTTTGTTCGCTCACAACACATTTATACTTACATAATGCATTTGCACTCGATCCTAGCTCACAGATCATAACAAATAACTCTTTAAAAGACAACATTATAGGTAAAGTTTAGTTGATCTACTTTGACATGAAAGCGTGAATGAATCACTTTTTTTGGGGGGGAGGGTCTTCTCTTGGATGGAAAAACTTGGGAATCAATGAACAAGAAGACAAGGGCCAAGGCGAATTAAATGCAACAAAAACAGATTATGGAAACATAATATATCCATCCTCATCTGAAGGTGGTGTACCCTTCAACTTGTTTCTCACAAACTCCAGACTGAACACGAAGCACTTCAACACTCCGTCCACGACTCCAGGCATGTATATGGAGCCTTCATTGTCTTGTACAGGCATCTTCAATACGACCATGGTTTTCAAGTCAATGATAAACTGCATCACATGCCCGTCACCAACACCACACAGGTATCGTGGGTGTCGGTCGTCCTGCTTGATATATCTGCAGTCAGGGAAACACGATAAGACCATTTGCTTGCATAATCTTTCTGTGCCCAAATAAGTCACCCTCATCAGCTTGTCATTTGAGAAAAAGTAGAACTTGCCCTCGTAGACTGCAACGACTCCACCCTTGAGCGGCTCCGGCTCGGGATGTTCACCAAGATGAAGTTCCATGTCACCATTGATGTAAAGAAGCATATTATCCGGCTCACTGAGATCGTTGAACAAGTGTGTGCCTGCTAGAAAAGACGTTGAGGCCTCTGAATGTGGATGCCGTATAACTGTGAAATCCGGTTCAAAGCTTTTGACGTTAGGACCACTAAGTAATTTGAAGCCGTAGATTGCAGTATCGTCAGCGTCATTGTCCCGGGCCTCAATCACAAGCGCCTCTGGACTCATAAAGTCGTCGCAGTAGGTGTACTTGGCCTTGTCAATTTCGAACGAAATTTGACCGAGGGAGTACTGGTGGTCTATGACAACCATGCCACCCTTGTGCCACGGAAGCCGGGAGTCAGAAAGATAGACGAGACAATTGCCGCACTGAAGGCCTCGATCGTTGAACCAACACTTGAAAGATGCTCGATAGCCAGCCAGACCAAACTCCCTATCGACAAAGAATCGTTGTGCGTACTCCATCTGGCCTCCGAGGATGCATTCGAAGCTATCTGGTAAGGGAGAGTTGGTAAGTTCCACGGGAACATCTCCTTCGGTCAACCCGCGTGACTCGCAGAAGTAGTTACACACCCCTTCTGGCGTGATGTTGGATCTATACCATGGACAAAAGTGTTTGAACGCATCAACGGTACGAGACGCAAACAGATTGTAGAGGTTTCGGTTACATAAGCTGATGCTTACTAACTCTCGGATATCAAGATACTGGCCAATATTTAACCAGATTTCATTTGGTATCGCGGTAGCGGTGGTCATGTTGGGTGAGAAAAGTAGGGTTCAATTAACACGTTGAAATATTTATCGGTCCCTACTAAATTTTATGTCGAGATTTTGAACTTCTCTCTCAATTGAGTGTCACATCAAACGACAGGGAATATCTACTGCGACCCCGACAACGTCAAGAAGGTGCTCAATGAGGTTGGAGCAGTAGCAGCTGTAATACCCGTGTTGCGCCGCGGCGGCTCACGGGGACACTGCCAATGTTGCTCAGGAAACAAGAGTCCTGTGTTATAAAAGTGGGTCGCAAGTCGATCTACTTGTAAGGAGTACAGTACTTGTAGATGATACGCGCCAGAACGAGCTCAATGGCAGGGCCTTCGACTCGGGTAAAAGCCCTTCGACAACTATGGCGGTTGTTTTCGCAACCGGTTGAAGTATTCATGCGGGAACGAGCTACATTGGCTCTTAGCGGAGTTGCTCTATTGTCGGGGATAACACCCTCCATCGAGTGCAAACACCGGGAACTTCCACTATTGAAGGGATCTCATCGAGGGAGTTCCGGCTGCCAAACCACTCTCCGAGTCAGTTTTCAAGCTAGGGCTCCGGCATGGACAAGTTTCTGTCTTTTTGGGCTCTGCAACCCCGTCTACAGTCCTGTAAACCGCCATCCAAGCCCATTGTTCAACTTCTTCCAGACTGAAGGAAACTACAGTATAGCTAATGATCTGGAAGGAATGTTGGAGCTACTTGAACTCGACATGGTGTGGCGAACAGACGCGGGTGGAAACGGCCATCTTATGAACGAGTCTCGCTCGCTCTTGACAGGGACCAAGAAGAACTCTCTCAGGGAGATGTTCGGAAAGGCCCCAATACAATACTCGCTTTAATATACCTGGCTTGCACGCTGTTGTTCTGACAGTGAATGCGACAGTGTCTACATCCAGGACCGAGAGATACACAATACATCTCCTATCAATGTTTCCCATTTTTCCAACAGCAATTATTACAAGTACAGTACCAGTCGAAAAAACGGTGCATCATCATCTACAAGAGTGCAAGCAGCTACTACTTGTGCTGTACTTCAAATGTACACTGCCATTCGAGATGGAGTAGCTACTGCTTGTATGGTACAGTAGATGGCTCTTCTCTGGGTTGGAGTGGGCGTCCATATCTCCGACGCAATGAACAACGACAGTAAGACATTCACCAAGCCTTCCACCTCACCGTCTAGAGGAATTTCCGCCGTGTTAATAGGCAATTTCCGCCTTGTTAATAGGCAATCTCCGCCTTGTTAATAGTCTCGATATTATCGGCCGGAATCGAACACACCAAACACACGTACAGCTACACCAGACTGTCAAACTCTACTCGTGTTTGTTTACGAATGTCTAAATGGGGTTAAGGTTGGGTTGGTGCATCATCATCATCACAAGTGCAACAAGTATTTTGACATAGCTACGAACACAAGACATGAAACGACGAACTTCGTATCTTCAGAACGAGCTGGAGCGGCTATCGAACGAGCTCCAGCTTGTTTTTTCGGACGTGGGGTTCTCGCATGCTGAAAAGGAGGAAAAAGAACGACTACATTTCCAAAAACTGGTGGAAGCGCTACAGATACGACTTTTGGAGGAAAAGAGCTACAGAGACGAGCTCAAGCAAAAATGCGTGGACAAGCAGATCCGGCTCAAGGTACTCAAAACAACGTCTCTGCCTGACGTGGCGGCTGGAGTCACGGCAGCAAGCGGTCTCGTTGCGGTTATTGACGAACCGATACTGCCCCCTTACAAGGAGCTTTTAGAACGGCTGGACCGGTCTGGGAGCAAGCTGGAGCAGGTATTTGAGGAGCGGTGTGACATTGTGCGACGTGTCCAGAACAAGCTCGACTACCTGGACCAGGTAATGGGCCCCGACACTCACTCAAATGAGGACTCTTGGAGGGTTGATTTGGACGGATGTGTGCCGCCCAGACTGACACTAGACGTTTTGAAGGGTGTGGAGGATCAATTGGAACGACGACAGGAGGAGTATGAGTCTCGCAAGTCGCAGATCGACTTTCTGGCCACCGAGATCAACGAGCATTGGAGTCTTCTGGGAGTGGAAAACAACGAGCTGGACGAAACTATCATTCACCATCGAAGCGTGCCGTTGGCCCTCACAAACGCAAAGATCACATACCTCCAAGACACTCTCAAGGAATTGCAACTCTTGCGTGAGGAGCGACAGAAGACAATTGAGACATACAAGGCCGAAGTGGAGCATTTATGGTCTCGTCTGGACGAGGATGAAGGAGTTATTGGACGGTTCCTGGGCACAGTTGCCGGTGAGACGGCTGTTGTTGTGGAAAAATGGCACGAGGAGCTACTCAGAATGCGTCAACAAAAACAGGCTCACTTGGAAGTGTTTATTGCCGAAGCTCGTGATAATCTCAAGTCTATCTGGGACGCCCTCTATTACTCGGAAGAGCAAAGACATGACTTTGTGCCATTCTACATGACAGAGGACTCGTCAGAGGCCCTTTTGGAGGTCCACGAGAAGGAAATTGCTGCCAGAGAGGCCGAGCTAACCGAGAATGAAGGTATTCTGGATCTCGTTAAACAACACAAACAGCTGGTTCAGGATGCAAAGGATCTCGAAGAGTCGTCTCGTGACCCTGCTCGTCTGATGGGCAAGTCTCAACGTGGAGATCCTGGTCGACTGCTGAGAGAAGAGCAGATGAGAAAGCAGATTGCCAGAAAGATGCCCAGACTGCTGGTCAGTTTGAAAGAGAGCCTCATGGAATATGAGGAAGAGCAGGGTAAACCATTTCTTGTGTTTGGCAAGTCGTATCTCCAGGTGATGCAGCAACAGGAGGTTGCGCAAACACCTCGAAGACGTGCAGCAGCTTCTGTGGCACAATCAGCTTCTCGGTCAGTGTCTCAATCAGCGTCACGTGGTGGCCCCCCGTCTGTTTCTCGGTCTGTTTCCGCCACTTCTGCACCAAGAAGTGCTCAGGCGTCTCCAACAAAAACAAGAAACATGACTCAACCTATCACACGGTCAGCTCCTCGGCCCGGGGCTCGTCCTGTGACTGCTGGAAATGATACGACGAGTATTAGGGGCAATCTAAACTCTCTCAGAAACCCTGGACGGCCTTCTACGGTCGGTGCTTCTACTTCTAGAACCGCAGCAAGTCGTATCCTCGGCTCTGTGCCTCGAATGCAACCTCTACAGAACATCTCGTCCAACCGAATCAACAAACCCAGCACCATTCCTGGTCCCAAGCGAAGATCTCTTAACAAGAAACTGACCGCGGCTCAGGTGAACCACAATCTCATGGGAGGTCAAGAGACTCCAGTTCGAGAATCTACGCCAATGAAAGACATTAGTGCTTTGCACGCCCAGAGAAATGTTCCTGTCTGGGAACGTCTTTCTCCCAAGAAGGCGGCAGATACTGAGCCTCGGTCTTCACCTCAGAGATCACCTCAAAAATCACCTCAGAGAAGTCCTGCCAAGTCTTTGAAGACTACTAATTCTCCCATGGTGACCATAAAGTCCCCTGTGAAGGAGTTTGCGGTTCCTAATCAGTACATTGCTCCCGGATCGGTTTCTTCTACAGTTACAATGTCTCAGAGCCCCAAGAGAAGCCCGAAAAAGTACGGACAATTGGACAGATTCCACATTGGATGTCCGGAGGCTGAGATACGTTCAGTCTCTGGCAGCTCCACTACGTCGACCACTTCTTCTGTGTCCGTTTTCTCGGATTCTTGTGATCTGCCGTCGTCAGATGAAGAAGATCCAGAGTACGCTGCTTTGATGATGCAACAACGACGTCAGATTTCAAGAGGCCTACCGAAGAAGAGATCTGACCAGCCTCGTCTATCTGTTTTCAACTGGGATAAGGATGTCTTCTAATCGTCACGATGTTTTCAACTTCAACTTCATACCCCATTAACCAAGAACTGACCTATTTATTCACTCATTTATATAGTCAATGATATTTATATTTATTCACCTAACCCATGTGCAAACCACTTGTCAAATCTACAACACAGTCTCCATCTCAACATCATCGTCATCATCGTCTGCACCATCGTCTTCCTCCTGGGCACCTGCAGAATTGGACAGCTGCTTGTACTCCTGTTGCAGGGAGTATTTCATGGCATAAGGACCAGACTTGTTGAGAACAGCCATGCTATCGAGTACCTCTCGAAGGTACACTTCAGGCTGCTTGGTTCGTTCCTTAAGACCCTTGAGCGACCAGTAGGGGTACTCTTCGAACAGCTTGAAGAGGATATCCAGAAGCGCAGATCGCTCGATCCGAACGGCCTTTCCGTCCAGCTTGATATCCTTCTTCTGGGCCTTCATGAAGTGCGACTGAGAGCCAGTGCCACGCAGGTTGGGGGCATTGGAAGAAGCCACCACGCCGGGGAGGTCGTTGAGCAGAGTGACTCGGGCAGCAGGAGGCTGTTGCAGTCGCTCCTTTCGCTTCTGAATGACCTTTTTGTAATTTGCGTCCTTGAGTGACGGCACAACTGTGCATTCGTGGATTACTCGGCCGGCCAGCGCCGTTTTCTTGGGGATTGTTCGTGCAAATGGAAATGCTGATGGCTTTGAGACCTTTCCTGCTGACGATGACGCTGCCGACGACGACGAGCCGGCTCCACTACTGCCGGCCTCCTCCTTTTCTTTTTCCTTTTCCTTCTTCTGCTCCTTCTCCGTGAACACAAACGTGTTGTTGACCACCTCCTTGACGATATCCAACTCATACTCATGTGGAATCTCACTGTTTTCGGGCGTATCACTTAGGCGCAAAGACACCTTTTGTTTCTCGCCGGGAGCTGTGTTTTCCTTGATCAGCACCTGGCCGAGTCGCTTGTTAGTGTGTTCATCCAGATGGCTCCACTTGTCCACCAAAAACTTGGGCAGTCGCACCAACCATACCCGGTTTTCGAGTCCCGCAGTATCCAGGTCGAAAGATCCATCGTCGGCATCAACAGGAGGAGGAGGAATCTTAACATCTTCCTCTTCGGGCTTGACCTCAGATTTCACGTTCATCTTGTCTGTGCGAATGTCGTGAGGAAACGATGATGGAAATGTATCTATCTCGATCAGCGAAACCGCCAAAGTGCTGAGGTTCTGCATATATGAACTTTCTTGGTGAAGTTTAAATATGGTACCGTAGGTAATGTATGGACATGTACCTAATGATGGGTGATTGAAGAGTTGCGGGTATAGTTTTTCCGAGATATTCTTCTCGAATTACTGGTATATATTTGCTAGACTACCTTTTTTCAGTTTTAATGGTCATTGCATGCCCCAATTGTGTGGTCGTGGTGACAGTTTGGGTTGCTCTCGATGGTCAACTATAGAGCTGTCAAACGAGAGGAATAACAGTTGGAAAGTTAGTTGAAGTATGAGATGCTCCAAGTTCGAGTTCTGTTCAAGTCGATTCAAACAAAAGCCCCATCTTGACACCAGTTTGGGTCCTCTTTGTGTGCTATAATACGAGTATTAAAGAGGATATTAATCAGCTTGGCCAGTAACGAAGGTTGAGGAAGGACTTCGGAAGGCTCCAATACCCCATTGTTACTAAGCATTAATGCAAAGCATTATTACTAAGCAAAAAAACTTACATTGTCGCCACCTTAGTAAGCTGCAAAAAACAGAGATTGCAGCACCCAGGATTCTCGTATGGTCTCCCACTACAATACTAACTAGGCTCTCTGGTGCTTGACTATGGCTGATCGGACGGGAAGCCGTATTTTCACCAGGATATGGCCGCAACCGTTAGGACCAAAAACCGTTAGACTGTTTTGAGAAGACAGATTAGTCACGTGATCGCAAAAGTTGGTGTCAATTTTAGACCCTTTGAAGGGGGATTTTTGGTATAAGAAAGGGATATGTATGCTAAGCATGACTCTGCGCATGTCTCTGTGCCACTCGCAATCAATGATATCGACGAAATATGTTGAAATTGAGACATATTATGATGTTTGGGGTGGATTGTCCAAGTTCCCACTGTACGCACGAGTATGTACTGTATTCTGGAATATTAGCAATAGTACACACGCAATTGGGCAGCAGAATGATCACAAATGTGCAATTCAATTGAATTTGACCCCATAACCCTCTCCGTATCTCTCGCGCGCACATCTGCACCGGATCTCCACCTTCATGGTTCCGTTTCTTCCCGCATGTGCTGCTTTGTCGATCAATACAATCAGCCGAGGGTCGGCAATCACATTGGGCGTTCTCATAACTGTTGATCCGCTAGCAATAGAGGTCAGCTCACCTTTTTGCCTTTGATCTAACCCAGAAGTCTCGGGTTCAGGCACCCTGAGACACACAGCTCACCTATACCTGCGCAGCAGAGTTCACCGCCGTTAGACCGAACTGCAATCAAAGTAACTTTCCGAGGAAGAGTTGAGGGGAATATGAGCGGTCTGTCAGTGAGTGTAGAAGAGACGTATGTAAGAATACATGTACACAAGGTCGAGTTCATCGATGTATCTTAGGTAGTGGCCTCGAGAAGAGATTCAGAGCTACAAGATGTTGTTTCTGGACGGCATATTTCGAGTGAAGGTCAGAGTTACTTGCGCTTAAAACTAACTAGTTCTATTGTCCTTGTTGAAAGTTACTTAATATGAACTGAAAAAATCCCATTGGTTGAGTGTGAGGAGAAGTTCGGACTAAAGCAACGAGACGTGGGCAAGAGCGTTACAAGGATAGTATGGAGTCTTCCAAGAGTGTGAAAATTGCATGTTTGTATCGGAAAAAGGTTTTCTGACTAAGCAACTGCCTCGATTTCTCATTTTCAAGGCGACTTGGTGGTGTCGCCTACCTCTCCATATCTGGTCATGGTCGTGCCTCGATAAAGTTGGCAGAGGAAAAAAAGAAGAACGCTGTTTTTAAGGTTGGCACAAAATGTGTTCTGCAGCTGCATAGATGTATGTGCAGCATCGCAAAAAAACGCTACTTCATTCACAACACACAAAAATGGATTTTGCAGCACTGATTCAGGGCGAAATCTCCAAGAAGAAAGCTGGAACGGGAGTGGCAGACTACGGCTGTAAGGCAGCGGCTCCCAAGCCCGCCCAGACGACAGTTTCCGACAACTCAGACGACCTCAAGCGCCTGGAACGGCTGAAGCAGATGAAGCGACAGAGAGAACTTGACCGGGAAGAAGAGCGACTTGAGCGAGAAGAGGCCAAGAGAGCCAAGCAGGAATCTTTGGCCAAAGCACCAGCTTCCACAACATCTACCGTATCGACAGAGCATGATGTGGCAACATCGGAACCAATAGAGACAGTGGAAGAAATGGCTGCCAATGACGCGAGAACAAACGTGCGAATCGACTGGAGTGACGTAGCCACAAAGAAGGATGCCACAAGGGATTCGGAGACCAAGAAAAAGCTCGCCATGCAGCTGAGAGTGTTTCTGGCACGGTTATTGAGTGAATGGGAGGGTACTTTGGATAAGGGAGCTGCAGCCCAGGCCAGTGGAGCGGCCGAAGAGGTCTCCGAGGCAGCAAACGCTTACAAGCGACACACTATCTTCGAAGAAACGCAGACCTCTCTATCTTCTCTCATGGTCTTATTACGACACAATGGTCTCCAAGACGAAGTTCTGGCTATGCTTTCAAAGGTCATGTACCATGTGCAACATGAGGAACACCACCAGGCCTATGATGTCTATCTTAAATTGTGCATTGGAAACGCCTGTTGGCCCGTTGGAGTGGCTTCCATTGGCATTCACGCTAGAGCGTCTCAGAACAAGACTATTGCTTCAGCCCGAAACTCGAAGCAGGTGGCACACATTGTCAATGATGATACGAGGCAGTGGCTTGTGTGCATTAAACGGCTATTGACCTTTGCTGAGGGCTACGAGAGTTGTGTGAGAAAGGCTTTGTTGACTGTTGTGGATATGGAGGATCGGGGGAACCGAGTCAACGAACCGCGAGGAAGGGATGTCAAGGGGACAGTCCTGGAGGAGGCTGGGGTTGATGGCAATTCCGAGACTGACCAGAATGCTGAGGTTGAACAGAAGGAAGCCTCTGAGTAAGTAACCTCCTGTCCTGTGCTCTGCATCATGGGTCGTGTGTTGATTGCTAGAGAGAAGCTGCTTCCACCCATTAAATTATTAATCATTGTATTTTTTGCATTTTGTTGTCTGTTTTGTGAAATGGTTAGTCAGAGTCTCGCCGGGTAGCATTGTATTGTTCTGTCTTGCAATGTAGAGCTACAAGCCGTGGGATTGCAGTAAACCAGATCTGTAGACAAGAGGGTAGCAAGACTCATACAAGTAGAACTGCCGGGGCACACAATACATTTTCGGATTGTGTCAGCTCTTCTTTTTGACTTACTGTCCGTCTGATTACACCATATTCGGGTTGACAATGTCAACTCGTTGCAAGGATGTGTTCTGACAGACATGACAAAAAGGCATACAAAACCAAATGAGGAGCTTGGTTAAGAGCACAAGCTAGATTGATCTAAAAGATTTCATTCTTTTTCTTTTTTTAATCCCCCTCCTTTCAGATCTCTTGAAGATGCCATATCTGTTTTCCCCAATTGGACATGTCAATAGAATCCATGCATGGAAGGTCAAAAATTTCCTGAACGGGAACGGACAATGAATCACAGAGATGATTCTAGACAAGACCAGTATCGAAGCAATTTGGTAATCACCCAAGTTCATTGACGGATCTGTTTTGAAACGTGAATGTGACAAAGCCTCCCTGTTGCCTTATGTCTATAAGTAACAGTACAATCCCTCCCGTGAAGTCCATCAAACAGAAAGAACCACTACTACAACAACTAACACAATGAGCAAGGCTATCCCTCGAGCATATGGCACCGACTCCTACCGAGTCAACTCCAACGTTACAATTGTTGGCGGATACCGAACCTTCCAACCCTCCTCTTGTGTGATTGCCTAACCGAGAGTCGAGTTTCAAATCGCACACATGTTGGACATATCGATAATTGATTGGACATATCAAAAAATGACTACCTATGTAGGCTAGTAGACCATGACGTAGTTGGGCCCGCGATAACATACAGAGACATGCTCTTGAATCTTGGTTCTATTACACATACCTAAGAATACATGAGTTGTACTGTGCAAGACAATGCCTACAAAGCCCACCCCGACGATAATCAATAAAACAAATGCATTACTCTATCACCTCCTTCCCATCATTGTTCCCCATTGGCCGTCTACTTTCGGTTCTTCTTATTACTGTTAACGTATCGTCCTCGACCAACCTTGACACCAGTATGTCTGGTAGCTTCTCGAGCAGAACCAGTGGCAGCAAAGGGAGACATGACATTCTCGGCAGAGCCTCCTCCGATCCAATGATCGAGAATCTTCTCGTTCTGTCGACGCTTCCATTCGTCGCTCTTGATGGCCTTGGCGTACTCCTTCTGGTCCTCTCTCAGCAACACATCGTTGAACTCGGGCTGTCGCTGGTGTCGACTGTTCTTTGACTGGGGCTTGGGCAGAGTGTACTTGTTGCCTCGGGTCGACCAGTTCATCTTCTTCTTGAGATGCACCTGGATCTTGCCGTCGTTTCCAACCGTGACGGAACATCGCATCAGCGTGTTTCCTCCACACTTGGGGCAAAAGTGCTTGACGCTACCGTCCTTGGGATAGGGCAGAAGATGGAAACATCCATGGCATCGCAGCATGGAGTTTCGGATTCGCTGAATCTGTCGGCCATTGGTAGCGTTCACAAGAACCATGCCCATCTTGAGAATGACGTTCTGCATGGCAAAATCACCCGTAGAGGTGGCAGCCAGAATATGTTCAGGTTCGACATCGTCGTCAACAACCTGTCCGGCATCCTTGATAAGCGACTCCTGCAAGTTCTCGGGAGTGATCCACTCTCCTCCATCACTGTCGTCCTCACTGTCGTACTCAAAGGGAATAGCGGGCTTGTCCTCCTTGGCAGGCTGGGTGAGACCGGCGTTACCCCAGAAAGTGCTACCTCCAACTTTCTTGCCCTGTTTTCGGGGAGCTCTAGACTTTTTCGTCACAGTCTCCCATCCATCATCTTCCTCTTCCTTCCCAGGCTCCTCCTGCTCGGGCTCCTGCTCGGGCTCCTGCTCCTGTTCCTGCTCCTGTTCCTTATCCTCCTCAGACTCGACAGGCTCGGTATCCTCAGCTTGTGTAACCTCCTGGGGCTGCTGCTTCACAGCCTTGAGATGTTCAACCCCACCGTGGAGCTCAACGTCAATCTCGTATCCCAGAGCAATCAGAGCAATATCGGTGGAAGACAAAACTCCGTAGTCACCGGTCGATCTGGCGACATCGGAAACAGCCTTGACGGAACCGGCCTTGGGCTGTCGAATGACCAGTCGATCGCCCCATAGCAGCAGGTTGGCTCGAGAATTGTCGTCCTTCAGCTCGGTGATAACTGAGGGAGTGGTGTAGAAATGGTCGGCCATGTTGTGGAGAGTCTGGAAGGATTGGGTGATAAGAGGTCCCGCATCGAGAACCAACGAGTTAATCTGCTTCTCACCGGAGGCTGTAGATGCCGGCGTCACGGGTTTCACTTCTTCAGCAGACATTTTGTATCAATAAGGGATTCCAAAATGGTTTCGGTGTTGTGTCTGTTCAGGCAACAATTTTTTTTGGAAGAATCATGTATCTCCATGCATCGAGAGCTTAATTTGGGACTAACAGTGCGCTTAGTAAGCCAATATGAGTAGGACTCGTAGTGACTGTTGGTCCAGCCTTCTTTGGCGTGGAAGAGGTCCAAGTGATGGAAAAGGGAATTATTATGCTCTCAGTTCTCAGATTCTCCTTTTTAGAAACCCCTAATCTGTATTTGATATCATAAAAACTGTCATCTCTGAGGAAGACGACTGGCGGAAGAATGATAAGGTTCCCACACACCTCCATAGTCAACACCATCAGGCCTGATATCTGTAATGGAAGCTCGTTTATTTGATTTTGATTCTGTAAAGCTGGTGTTGAATCTGACTAAAGTAGCCGCAAATAATACCCTGAAAAAATCTAACGCGATTAGACCAATCCTGGGCTAGTTCTGGCGATCATATTGTATGAAATCCATCTGCAGGTTCGAGTTTCGTGCAGGTTCGAGTTTCGTGCAGGTTCGAGTTTCGTGCAGGTTCAAGTCTCGACTGTGATGTTGAATTAGACAGGCGTGATCAGTCTCAACTCATTGTGAAAAGAATGGCGATTTGCACGGCAGTACTTGAACTTTTGGTACTTTGAATTGCCACTAAAAAGTTTTCGACGCGGTTACTAGGGAGTGCCTTGACCACTCCTCTACTTCCCAATCAACCCAACAAACTTTTGCCTCACATATTGCATGCAACACAGTACTGTAACTAACAACTCACAACCATCTTCAGTTATCATAGCTACCACACACGTACACTCCAACATGGCTGATAGCGCGCAGAAGGCGTTCGATGAAAAACGATATGTCGACTCGGTCAAATTGTTCAACGTGTTCATGAAGGATCATCCCAAACGGACCACCCCCGACCACTTCCTACTCCGATCTACTGCTCTCCTTCGACTGGGCAAAAAAGAGGCTGCTCTGAGAGACGCAGACCGAGCAACTCGTCTAGCATACGCTCAGAAGAGCAATGAGGCGCTTGGAAAGGCGCAGATGAGACGAGCAGTCACCTATGTGTCTCTCGGAGACAATGCTGCTGCCAAAAAATGTGTGGACTTTGCAGAGACTGCCAACCCCGAAGAGCGCACTATCCCTGTATGGAAGGCCAAGATTGGCATGAGCAGCGGTTCCAACGAGGCGTCCGACGTGCCCCAGATTCCCGACATTGACATCTCCTACGTTTGGAAGGGACCCACAGACGTACCCGTGAAACATGAGGTCAAGCCTGAGGTCAAGAAGACCGAGGCCACTGCTACGACCAACGACACCAACAATGAGACTCAGACACCAAAGCCTTCTGTCAAGCCTGCTGCCACTCAAGAGACTCCCTTCAAGGTCCCTACTTCTGAGTTCAAGTTTGAGCCCAAACCAGATGTCAAGTCTGATCCTATGCCTGCTCCTATGGATGATTCTAAATCCACCGCGTCTTCTCGGTCCGATGAAGCCAACACCTCTTCAATTTCATTTAATGGCCCCAAGGAAGACCTCCGCACAGACTTCTTCCAATCCAACGAAAAAATCACAGTGTCGATTTACAGAAAAAACACACCAAAGGATGCAAAGTGCGACATCCAGCCTACATCCATTTCGATCATCTGCTCAATGTACAGTTGGAGCACCCAGTTGTATGCCCCCATTGTGCCCTCTGAGTCCTCCGTGCAGATTTACGGAACCAAAGTTGATTTCACTTTGATGAAGAAGACACCCGCAAAATGGCCCACCGTCAGTGGAAACGCATCTCTCAATGATGATTCGGAAACCCCTATAAAGTCTCCTAGCAGCACCACAAAATCTGGACCTTCTCAGATCACTAACATCGACTTCTTCCAAACCCCTACACATATCAACGCCTATCTCTACATGCCCAATCTTGTCGAGTACGAGCCTGCAGTGATTGGCACACCCTCAAGCTTTACGGTCACATTTACTAACAACAACGATCCCAAAAATTCGTTTGTAAAGACTGTCTTTCTGCATGGGCTCATCGAGCCTGAGCTGCTGCAGTTCAAGGTGTACCCCACGAAGCTAGAGGTCCAGATGCGAAAGAAGACGTCTGGAAATTGGCCTTCTTTGGAAAAGGGGGTTTCCAACACCTCTTCTTCGGCCATTGCTCCTCCCACAACAAAAGATTGGTCCAAGATTCAGATTGAAGACGACTCAGATGACGATCTGAACTCTGAAAACCCAGACGACTTTTTCAAGGCTCTTTATGCTGATGCAGACGACGACACGCGACGTGCTATGATGAAAAGTTTCGTTGAGTCTGGAGGCACGTCGCTGAGTACGGATTGGGACAAGGTGGAGAAGGGAGAGCATAGCTAGACTATGATGTAGATAGTGACAAACGTGTCTTTCAAATGATACTGTCTTTCAAACAAGGAGCTCTGCGTAGTCTTGTATAGATGTGCTTAGGTAGCCATTTGTGGTACAGTACATGCCGTACACTCGAACGATACGATACTGTATATTGGTGTGTAACCGAAAAGGATCATTCAAAGCAGCCATTCTGAAGCAATGGCCGTTAAAACAGCTGACATCTAAGCTCCACCTTGCGCCACCTTGCGCCTTTCTATTGAACCTCCCTACTTGGGTTGCCGGATCTGGACAAGTCAATAGAGCTCCACGCACCCTGCAAGCACGGAAGTATTCAAACAAGAGAATGTGATTGATACTGGAGTTGATACAGTGGATGCTGGTGTTAATAGCCGAGATCCCCGCAGTGAGCAGCCGTTATTAGGTCGAGGCCCGCTCAACAGAGGATTATATATAGGTTCTTGCGACCCATCCTAAAAGTACCAAACAACCACCTCTCTCCCTACAACCACCGTCACCATCATTACCACTATCAACATGAGCAAAGCTATCCCTCGAGCATACGGCACCGACTCTTACCGAGTCAACTCCAACGTGACCATCGTTGGAGGCTACCGAACCTTTCAACCTTCGTCCTGTGTTATTGCTTAGCCACCAAAGACCTTGAACTAATTGATTTTCTAGTATTATACGCGAGCAGAGCCTCATTATACTACCTCGTAGACAAGAATTGGTTGGGTACTTGTGGATCACGTCCACAATTCTCCTTCAACAAGTGTTACAATCTATCAATTATATATACTAAGTGTTTAAGCCTTGCTGTCAGTCTTCTTGGCGGCCTCCTTGACATCGGGGGGAGACATTTCAAAGAATTCCTTTGCTCGCTCGGTCTCGGCTCGCTGGGCCTCTCCTCGAGCCTCCTCCTTCTTGGCCTCTTCCTCGTCGAGGTTGAGGTCATCCTTGACCTGGATGATATGTCCAGACTCCTCCTCCTGCTGGTTTTCCTCCTGGATCAGCTCCTGCTGTTCTCGAACAACCTCCAGACGCTGCTTGTTAGTAGCCTGGTCGGTAGCATGGGCATACTCGAGATCGGCCTCGTGGAACAGCTCCTCGGGGATGGCAGACAGAACGGCCTCCAGAGCGTCGTAATGGGAGTTGAGATCATCAGCCTCTCCGTAGGTGAAGGCAGACGATAGAATGAGCAGGGTGGAGGGCACCTTCTGTCTCAGACGCAACTCCAGCCAGTTGTTGAGATCCTCCGCAAGTCGGGCCTTGGACAAAGCATGAGTCTTGATACCTCGAGAGGCACAGGCGATCTGAAGCTCAGTGAGAGACAGAGAGTCGACTCCCTCGGCGTAGATGGCTCGATCGTCAATCTTAATCTGTCGCATCTTGTATCGAATGGAGTATCGCAGCATCAGGTTAGTTCCAAAGTGCTGCAGGTTCATGTACTTGGCCATAGCCACAAGCTGGGGTCGGGACAGGTTATCGAGGACCAGATCATCCTTGAACATTTGAGCAACGGAAATGAGCAGTTCTCGAGAGGGCTTCTCTCCATGGGCTCGGACCTTGTCGAAGAACTCGACGAACTGCTGTCGCTGTTCGGGAGTGATGGAAGTGGGGGCAGTAAGACCAGACTCGTTGACAGTGTCCTTGAGGAAAGAAGAAACGGAACCTCGGGTCTTTCGCAGGCTTCGGGCTCGCTTCTCGATATCGTTGGAAGACATGTAAGTGGAGGGGAGCAGACCGGGGAAGAGCTTAAGGGCGACAGGGAGCAGCAGTTCAGCAAAGGGGATAATGAGGAACATGGCGAAGGGAACAACTCGGACAATGTCCTGGGTGGTTCGCTTGAGCTGTCGCTTTTCTCGTCGGGTCAGTTCGTAGCCGGCAGCCAGCTTCATGGCGAGCTTGGAGGACACCTTGATTTCAAAGCCAAGCAGCTTGGTTCCGTCCCAGTAGTGTCGTGCAGCCTCCTTGATGGTCTCCTTCCAGGTTTTGGGGGTCTTTTCCTCCTTCTTGGCCACGGCTCCGTCAGCAGGAGCAGCAGCAGCAGCAGGAGCCTTCACGTCGCTCTTCTGCTCAGCAGAAGTGGCCTTGGTGTTCTTTTCCAGATTGGCCTTGGTCTCCTTGGCATCAGCATCCTTGGTCTGATACACGACAGGTCGCGTGTGGAAACGTCGAGTAGCAATGGTGTGAGTCGTGGCGACGACAGTGGCCCGGGCAAGCTGCTGTTTGGTCACCAGACCGAGATATCGGTTGATTTTCACCGAGTCGGACGAAATTCTTCGAAGCATGGTGGTGGGTGGGATCGTATGTGTGACGATTAAACGGGTCGTGGAGCTGGGTGGAGTCGTAGTTTCAAAGCAATTGATTCCGTCTCGATTCCGTGTACGCTGATAAAGGTCGAATTCCAAAGGGTTTGTATCGTTCGTCGTCTAGCCCAATAGTGAGCTTGCGGGTTTCGGGACTCGGAATTTTCACACTTTACCTCTTAGTTAATTTTCAAAGTTTAATGGCTCACCATGCAGCAGGTGGCAAACGTGTGCCATGGCTGTGTTTGGTGTATTGAGAGGCCTCTCGGCCTTTGGCTCGGGCAATCTCGAGGCAATCAACGGTCCAATGTGTAGTTTTTTCCTTCCTGTCGCCACCCCAACAATCGGTTTGTGTTTCCCAGGGCCTTAACCTACAAACGGTATAATTACGAAATATAGACACCCCACGTGTTAGGCGTGGAGAGTTGATTTGGAAGGTGTAAAAAAGTCCACCTAAGACGAACGGGCTGGAGAAGGGCCCAGATACTCGGCTCGCAGGCGCCCAATCGGCATTGTTGGTGGCGCGATTACATAAGACCATCATCTGGCTCCTCGTGGTTGGCCAACTCTGATCATACAGACGTGACTGAGACCTGCGAGAGGCATTGTCAGGCGTCTGAGGCAGCACAACTTAGTGGACAGCGAGAAAGGCGTGAAACTGATTTGTGGGGGGAGAGATAGAGATATAAATAGAACTCGGGTGGTTGGTGGGGTGGGTTTTCAGACTCTAAACGCTTCTCGGGTATCGCCAGTGGCACCATTGGCCTTTCTCTATGAGAATTTATAGACCTGCAATAGACCCCACAGCAGCAACTTCAGCATGTTGCAAACTCCAAGGGGATCCAAATGCCGATTGTAGATGGTTATTAAATCTGAAAAAATAGGGAGAAATATCCAGCATTCCTGGAGATATATAATTCTCGATCATTGCCCAATTGAAAATCTTTCTGAATGAAGCGTAGGGAAACATCTGTCTCTCTTGTATAATACCACACTAGATTTAGAACTTGATGGATAGCATTTTCCAGGGCCTCGATTGACATCCTCTACCGGACCTTTGGTTCGTCTTTTCGGACTTTGAAAGCTATCGACACCCTCCCCGCAATTGTAAGATTTTAATGGTTGTGTATTTCTCACTCCGGCGCGTATATATATCTCAAGTTCGAGCTCCTCATGTCAGAAACACCGAGCACCGCCCAACCACACACAACGCATGAACTGTACATGCTAATTAACAAAAATGCAACCCACTGGGCCTGACTTGCGACGCAAGGAAGAACACCCGAAATCCCCGTTCCCAGGCCGCTACGAGCTCGGTAAGTACATTTTCGTGTTTGTCTCGTTCGGAAAACCCCCTCTGTCGGTTCCGATTAAGGCAATTGCACCAAAATAATATCGCGCCAAGGCCTATATGAAGATGAGCTGCACCATCTCGGTGCATCTGCAAGGCTATTGTTCAACATACCTCTGAACACACTTGTGCGACTCGCATTTCTGGATCGTGTGGAATCGGAAAGAAAAACGGAAAGAAAAAAAAAACCACGTCTTCGGGTGAAAGGGATTAAGTCGGGATGCGTGTTGATTGGCCTGATGCGATTGCGACGGACGGTGCTTGTGGCGGCTTAATAATACAGCTAAACCAGACGCTAATAGAGAAAGTTGTTTATGTAATTTGTCAACAGCAGGTCGATTGACACTCCACTGTCCTACTCTGTTCGTCTCCAAAGCGACCACCCTCAAAACGGCCCAACAAAAAAAAAATACGTAAACCAACCTTATTTTCACCATCTTGGTGGCACTCCCAAAACGACTCAGCCAAGCAAAATCACATGTTTGAACCTTAATAATCACGGTCTATCGTGCAGAATCGCGAATATCACGAGTATCTCGTCCCCAACACAACAAGGCAAACACCATGGACAAAAATCTCCAGAGTCTACAGGCCTCGTCGGAGTCGATACAGACGCTGTACTTTCGACCGCCGTACATGTTCACCAATTCCGTCACCACAAACCCCAACATCATCGACCTCATTCGCGACCCAGAACCAGATGAAGCGCGTCTTTTCACCATCAACAAAGATATGGTACCTGAGCTCGACGTGTATCAGGGCACGAGTAGTGCGATTCAAGCCGCCAAAGAGATCAGACGGGCGTATGAGAAGAGCCGGGAAGTCAACGTTGATGTGGTATGCGACGCAGTTGACAACCTGACCAGATCATACCCCATGCCAGGAGTCGAAGAGAAGACGGTACGATTGCGGAAAAAGGCCCATGATCTGGCAGCCTCTGTTCACAGCTTGGAGAGCGTAATTGAAGACCAGGAGCGTCAGTTGAAGAAGCTCGATGCTACTCTTGAGAACAAAAAGCTACAGCCCTCGTTCCTGCTGTCATCACGCACTTTTGGTGTCCCTTCCTTAGGAGGTGGTTTGTCCGAGAGATTACCACGAGACAAGGCGACGTGGCAGAAACAGGTGGACAAAGAGAAGAACGAGATTGAGCAGCTGAAGGCGGAGCTGGCTCGCAAACGTTCCGAAATGGAGTGATTGTTTGCGCAAGCATTCTTCCTCTGTCACCAACTTCATCAAGTCCATCTACTTTCACATCATCAACATGAACATAATCTGAAATGTCTACATACCACCTTTTCAGGCAGAGACTTCCAACGGGGAGATCTCTTTATTTATTCAATCAAATTTATAACCCATTAAAGGCTCGAGCTACAGTAGAGCCAAGATAATCCCTGTTCATGGTGACTTCTAGTTAGCCTCTTCACAGCTTGTTCTAAAAAAGAATCAATCAATACATAATTTTTACAAATGCACTTCGTAAGTCGTGATTTACTGCAACTTGTCGTCCTTCTTGCCCTCCCGCAAAAGCCGTCGCTTCTTCTTGACAATGTAGTTGTTGTAGGTTCCCAGCAGGAAAGAAAAGAGAGAGAAAAAGGGAACCCAAGCGTGCTCGGGAATAAAGGCCTGAGCAATAGCCAGCACGATAGGAGAAGCCACCCAAGAAGATCGCAGTACGGGCAACAGAGACACCTTGAGCGAAGCAATGACGGACTTGACGTCCCGAGCGCCAGCAAAGATGGACATGAACACCAGGAACACGGTGGATGTGATGGGAGTCACAGTCAGCAGAGATGTGAGAATCTGAGCCAGCTTCCATTGGATCCCCTTCTTTCCCTTGAAGGCAGCCTGCAGAGCACCGACAAGGTAGTGTGACAGCGGAGCGGACACAAAGAATCCGTAGAGACCCATCTTGTAGATTCGGGATGACAGATACGATCCGTTAGCGTCCTTCTCTCCAGCGAAGTAGGATGCCAGGAACTCGGCCAAAGCGTTGAGAGTTCCAGAGGTGCATGATTTGGTGCTTTGTTAGTGAATTGAACTGAGGCCGTGGGTATTAGATAGAAGATTGTAGCATCAGATCATTCTTTGTCAGCAGGATGGCGAACTCTCTCATACTAGACGAGTCGGTCCTGATCCTTGTAGACGTGGCCACTATCTCTTTGCAACAGATTAGTCATCGGTTTGCCGAATCGCAATATCAATTAGTGATCCACATGTTGGTGCCGAGGAGATAGGAGATTGGCGTCAACGTCGGGTAGCCCGGCGTCCCGTTGCGGTAAGATAAGATAAGTAATGATCCTATCAATAATTGTCGTGTCGAGTGATGACATATCCGGGACAATAACAGATCACCTAATCTATTCGTCTGATCCAGAGAGTCTTGGTCACGAGATACCACCTCCTACGATTCGTTGACGACCCGCAATGTCCTGCGTTTACACCTTCAAGCAAACATCAGTTGTACCCGTCCCTCGTAGTCCGTTTTCGGGCCCCATGATGGAGCACGTCATCTGTCGTGTGGAGCTGTGTCCAAGGGTACCATTGGAATCGTGTATACTCACAGAATGGGTCGCTGCTGCAGAGACAGCAGGTACTGCTGCAAAAGAGTCGCTTCGGCGGGAGAAAGAGGTTTCGACATGGCTGCTGTGACGTCCCTTGTACACTGGTATCGTAGCAGACGGGGGAGACAGAGAGATTATAAGCGCGGGGGAGGAAAGATAGGCTTTCTCCGAACAAGGCCGTAGCCCCAACCCTGGCGAGAGTGGGGAAAATGTTGGGGGGAGGTGGTTGTGGGTGTCGGTAAGGGTGGGCCGAGGCGGGTGGTATTTTCCTGTGTTGCTGGCACTTGTGGGAGCAAAAACATGTCTTTCATGTTGTTATTCACCTACTATACACCAGTTTATGGGACGTCTTGTTGCTCCTCCTACATGTTCCCAATATGCGTCAGAAGTTCCCACGGAGAAACAGGAAGCGAGGTTTGAACTGTGGAGAAGCCGTTGAAACGGAATTGGCGCATGGCCGTTGTGCTCCGAATTCCCGTCCAAGTAAATTCCGATCTTTGTTTTCCGTATTTCGCGCCCCACACCCGTTTTTTTGAGATCATATTCCAACTTGACCCCCACGCAAAACTATACACCAGACACTCAGGTTGGCTGCACGGAGATAACCAACTTGCACCGTATCCGCAGCGGACAAACGACTCAGGTGAGGCCCGGAAAAGTTTGGTCTTTCCGATAACAATGTACACTTACCCTCGGGCAGTGTTGGCTTCAAAAACACCAAATATACAAGTTGCAAAGCCACAGTTATGATACCTGTCTATCCTTGTACTTTGTCGTACAATGTAAACGATGGATGCTCTTTCTAGAGCCGCCAATAGTTGGATAAAAGTTGAGAGAATCGATTGAAGACCCTTTGCATGTTTCATTCCAACCTCCCACATCTCAAATGAGATCCCACACACACATCACCTGTACATCCAAAAAGATCCATGTCGCTACTTGTACCATCTTTTTTTAAGGTTTCGGTATCGCGGTATCTCTTCCATGATTGTGGGGAAGTCTAGAAGATCACAAGTAATAGATCAAAGACAATTTGATCGCCTCTTGTATAGTGTTTGGGTTCCGACAACGGGCAGATGAACTTTCTCAAGAGGCGCGGATTGGAGGTGGCAATCACGTGACCACACACGTGCCACTCTCCTCGGTCCACGTGACCCATCATTGCCGTTGCTCTTGTCGTATCCCTTTCGGATGCATGTCGGGGAATGTAGTGTCCCGATCCAGGCATTATTGATTAGTCGGGCTTTTTGAGCGTTGCCAAGCCCGTTTCTTGGAGTGAATGAAACTTTTGTAACTTGTCAGAAATGGAGGTAAGTAGAGATGATCCACAAACATTGCAAGGACATTTGAAATATGACATCGAACGGTCTTCTTCTATCCGGCGCTGTCGGCAAGTACATTATGAGTACAGTACATTATGAGTACAAGTACTGTGGTGATATCATGTGCCGGGCAGGTGGTAGTTCCTCAAGTATGGTGCAGATGTTCTGAGATGGTAACTCGACTGGGAATTTCGTCTGTGTCTGTATCTAACACACCTGCATCTATTTGTGTCTCGTTATTATTTTTGTCTTGTTTTATCACATTTTATCGCTTTTTATCGCTTTTTATCGCTTTTTATCGCTTTTTATCGCTTTTTATCGCTTTTTATCACATTTTATCGCATTTTATCGCATTTTATCGCATTTTATCTCACATGCTTAGTTATTGGGAAGTCGAAATAATACCCTCAAAATGATTCAATGGTCAAGCGTGACATACCCATCCCAATTAACGAAAATGAACTCTAAAGACACTAATACCCACGTGACTTACTCCACATATCACGTAATGTACCTCCTATCACCCTTTAGCCCGTGTATCGTACGTCCCTGTGCTGTACCTTACATGCGTCACACACTCCTCCAAGTGCAATTATCAAATCGAGACGATTCTCCAGCCTCTCCCAATTTCACGTTGAACTTTATTTTGCTGACGTAAGCAGTCCTCTGCAACGGATGGGTTTGATAACATGTGGTTCCAGGTGGTCAATGGGTGAGAAATTTCAACAGCAGATTTAAAAAAACTGTTTATTTCCATCCCATTGATTTCCAACCAAGTTCTTCGCCAGAAAACATACATTTCGCCGATATCAATCTCCCCTACCAGATTAACCTCTGGAGTTACCCTGCCGAAGTCGCACAAGCCAGACAACAGTAAACGGTATACGCGACAGCTCGCAGTTGTACGCGTGAAGACAGCCCCGACTTTTGCGACACAACATGTTTTCCGAGGGAGATTTTGGAGCCGGCGGCAGCGCAGACGCCCCCAATGGCGCCCCCACGTCGACCGATGGCGTCTCCAGTGCCGCTGCGCCCGTCGACGACCTCAATACGACCGACAACAATTCCATCACAGAGCCCACTACCGCAACCTCAGCGACTTCCAACACCGAGGCCACGGCTGAGTCGATGGAGCATGCCGAGCCCGTGATTCATGCTGACGTGGCAGGTGGTGATGAGCCTGCCCCCGATGTTGATGCTGTTGCTGACACTGCACCCGTTGAACCTCCTGCGGGTGCTGATACTCCTGTTGACGCTACGGCTCCTGTGGAGACCACCACCACCACCACCACCACCACCACTGTGACCGAGGAGCCCGCCACAGACACAATTAACGACGGTGCTGTTGTTACAGAGACCACCTCTTCCACTACCGAGAGTCTTCCTGCTGCTGAGGGTGCTACTACTGCCACTGACACTGCTGAAGAGGCCGCAAACGGTGCAGATGCAGATGGTGCAGCAAACGGTTCCAGCTCTGAACCCAAGCCTGAGACCTCTGAGCCTGCTGCTGCCACGTCACCTGCACCGGCACTGCCCTCAGATGGTATGGATGTAGACTACATGCCTGCGGACCAGGACGACAAGGAGGATGACTGGAACATGGACCTGGAGCCTGAGTGGGAGGCCACCGGTGGAATCGCCGAGACCACCAAAGTCGAGCCCAAAGCCTCCGCAGAGCCCAGGGACGACAAGGAGGCTGACTCGGAGATGCTTGACGCAGACACAGCCATCCCCGACGACCAAAAACTCAAGGAGACCAAGCCCGTGGTCGCCCCACCACCCGTGCCCCGAAACGCGGTGCCCGATTACATCCCCCAGGCGCACACTATTGTGATCCCGTCTTACGCCAGCTGGTTCAACGTGAACCGCATCCACTCGATAGAGAAGAAATCCATTCCCGAGTTCTTCAATCAGCGCAACAACTCTAAGACACCTGAGGTGTACAAGCGGTACCGTGCTTTCATGATCAACACCTACCGACTGCACCCCACGGAGTACCTAACTGTGACTGCTGTGAGACGAAACTTGCTAGGCGACGTGTGTGCCATCATGAGAGTGCACCAGTTTCTCGAAAAGTGGGGTCTCATCAACTACCAGGTTGATATTGAGGCCCGACCCCAAATGGTTGCCCCTCCCTTTACAGGCCACTGGGAGGTGACTGAGGACATGCCACGTGGTCTGTTCCCCTTCCAGGCATACAGGGGCACTCGTTTCCTGAAACGGGCTGGCGAGAACGGCTCCATCGAGGAGGGTGGCTCGATTGAGGCCAAAAAGCCGAAGGTGGAGGGTGATGATACTGCCGATGCTGTGGATGGTGGCAACAGCAACGACAACAAGGATACCAGCAGTAAAGAGGGTGGGGCCGAGGTAGGCACCCAGGGCGACACAGTGCGAGTCAAACCCGAACCCACAACTCCCCAGGTTGAGCCATTTGTGCAGTCCGATCCCGAATGGACTAAGCGGGAGGTGTACAACCTGCTCAACGGTATCGAGGAGCATGGAAACGACTGGACCGCCATTTCCGAGACAGTCGGCAACAAGACCCGGGAGCAGTGTCTGCTCAAGTTCATCTCCTTGTCTACCGAAGACAAGTATCTGGGCAAGAGTGGCGATGTTTCAGCGTCTACATCTGGCCAGGACATCAAGGTGTCTCCTCTTCAGGTGAGTCCCAAGTACCTGCCGTTTGACCATGTGGATAACCCTGTTTTGTCGGTGGTTTCGTTCCTGACTGGTCTTGTGGACCCTACTGTGGTGTCTGCCATGACCGGTCGAGGTGTGGAGGAGATTCGAAAGACCCTCAAACTCGAAATGACTGAGCAAAAGAAGCAACAGCTGCTGGAGCGAAGACGAAAGCGAGAGCAGGAAAAGAAGGATAAGGAGGCTGCTGCTGCCAAAGATGGTGACAGTAAGGACGGTGGGGAGAAGGAAGGTGGAGAAGGAGATAAGGACGACAAGGACGCCGTCAAGGAGGAGGGTTCTGATGATGACCCAGCTCTGTATCCCCCGGGAGCATCTGACTCTACCGATGCCGGCACCTCCATCAAGGACGTGCCTCTTGAGACGCTCACGTCGCTGGGCTACTCTACCCTGGGCACCAAGGCGCAGGTCTTTGCCGACTTTTCCGAGAAGGAAATGTACCGGGACATGTTTGAGCTGACCAAGGCGCAGGCCACAAAGATGGAGATGAAGATGGAAAAGTTTGCCGAGTTGGAGCGCATCATCGAGATGGAGCGACGGCAGCTGCAGATGGAGCGTGAGCAGGTGTTCCTGCAGCGTCTGCTGCTCAACAAAAAGGTGTCGCAGGTGGACAATCTGCTTACACAGGCTGCTGAGGAGACCAAGAACCAGCAACTGATTGACCAGGCCCGTTCCATTGTGCGGGGAGCCACCAAGCTGTCGTTTGCACCTACTGTGCAGGACCAGGCGCTGGAGAACAGTTGTGTGGAAAACTCGCTGGACAATGTCACTCCTGTGACCCAGAAGAAGCAGACCTTTACTTTCTGGCAGGCTTAGGTCTAGGGAGACAGATGAGGAGGAATACAGGGAGGCGTGTTGCTAACGGTGAAGATGGTTGTATATTAATAAATTGTTTAATTGATGTCAAGAGAGGAGCGAGAACTCACTTGGCTATAGTACGATGGCGAAGTGGTGATAGTTGCTGGCCAAACTGTGCTGCATATCCTCATGACTGGTCATCGGGACACTGTAGAGAGTGTTTTATTGTGTCTATTGACGGGTCATGTGGTTTCAAAAACAAAACAAACGTTTGTACCGTCGTGAGATACTGCTATTGTTAGCTACTCTTCTTTCTCTATATAATGCGTTGTGAGATCGGAGTGTCCCTGCCACGACTCAACCATGATCGACAAACTATTAGACCAGTACATTGGAGATGTGAGTTTTTCGAACGTTTATTCCGCCGAGGAGCCGTGGAGTATCTACGACGAGTATCCTGAGATTCCGCCGCGTGTTCAACCAGTGGAGAATTCTCTGATTGGAGACTTGGACAATTTCAGTCTCAGTGTACCTTCTGAGATTTCTTTGGACGCGGGCGGTTTGGAAATCACGTCATCGGTCACCGTTGTCACCAAGAGAGCGGACAGAGTTGCAGGCGGTCAGACTCTCTATGGAGACATTCTGGGGAGTTTGAGTGGTTTGGATGGGTATGGGCAGGCTGGTTCAGAGAGAACTCATCAAGTGACACTGGAGAAGTCGACTGAAGCAGATGGGCTGGGTAAGAGCGTGTTGGAGGAGCTGTCTGAGGAAGAGAAGTTTGAGGCCACGAAGGTCAAGGGCGAGGAAGAGTTAGTACAGGACACGGACAAGGTGTTTGGAGCTCCCGATCTCGCCATTTACAAGAAGCGGTTTGCCTACGGCGAGAAACTTGTGCTGGCCGAACTCAGAGCTAGGAAGAAGAGGTTGAAGCAACTTATTGAGCGCATCTCGGCAACCAAATCCAAGCGGGAGAGAGAAAGAACCAATATCCAGCTTTCCCTGTCGCCTTTTTATGCCTGGGCCGACGAAGATGAGTTCGATGAGGAGCTTGCCCGCTGGGATGGAAGTTATGATGATATTAACGCTAGTAGTGGTATAAGAAGAGGTATTTAATATTGCAATTGTTGTTATTCCACTGATTAAAAAAATAGCTTGCTACGAGTACAGTACCCGTACTTTCACTTGCACTCCTACTGTATATACCGCATTTGCTTGTAGAGTTAGACTCCTACGGACAGTCCAACTCTCTCAAGTCACCAAGTACAAGTACTTGTAAATGGGAGCCATATACTGCTACGGAACTCGTCTCTAAAGTCTCGGCTGTCTTCACATGTGGCCTGCGGGCCGTTGTGCTGCGCTCGTGCTTCCGTTGTGCGGCGTTGTAAGAATGTGGAGACGATGCCGTGGTCGAGAGAAGGCAGCGTTCTTCATGAGCAGACACGAAATGATACTCGTCGTCAGTGATGCACAAACACATTGAACGAGTTGTTTACATTGATACCAAGGCATTGATACCCCCTACTGCCAAACTCGACATCCCTTACTGAAACCCGTCCGTCGAGCACAACATCACGCACATCATGCACATTATGCGGAGAGCCGCTCAGATCGGAGTATACTCGATCCTATCCACGGATAGTGCTGGTGTTCTTGTGCGGCGGGAGCTTCTGGATTATGTAAGACCATTGGACTTTGGTACTTTCGTACCATATATAAGACGATCAATCACCCTGTTCAGTCTCCATCAAACAACACCCATTTCAACATTACATCATGAAGGTCCTTCTTATTCTCTACTCTGCCGGTTCTCACGCCGTTGACGAGCCCAAGCTACTCGGTTGCACTGAGAACGAGCTCGGTCTCCGAAAGTGGCTCGAGTCCCGGGGCCACACGCTTGTGACCACCTCTTCAAAGGAGGGAGCCGACTCTGTGCTCGACAAGGAGATTGTCGATGCCGACATTGTCATCACTACTCCCTTCCACCCCGGTTACATCACCCGAGAGCGAATCGCCAAGGCCAAGAACCTCAAAATTTGCATCACTGCCGGTGTTGGTTCGGACCACGTCGATCTTGATGCTGCCAACGAGCGAGATATTGCCGTTCTCGAGGTCACTGGCTCCAACGTGCAGTCTGTGGCTGAGCACGTTGTCATGACCATGCTGGTCCTGGTCCGAAACTTTGTGCCTGCCCACGAGCAGGTCATGGCTGGTGGCTGGGACGTTGCTGCTGTCGCCAAGGACTCCTACGACATTGAGGGAAAGGTCATTGGTACTGTGGGAGGTGGCCGAATTGGTCAGCGAGTCCTAAAGCGAGTTGCTCCCTTCAACCCTAAGGAGATGCTCTACTACGACTACCAGGGTCTGTCTGCTGAGACCGAGAAGGAGCTGAACTGCCGACGAGTCGAGAAGCTCGAGGATATGCTTGCCCAGTGTGATATCGTCACCATCAACTGTCCCCTCCACGAGTCCACCAAGGGTCTCTTCAACAAGGAGATGCTCTCTCACATGAAGAAAGGTGCCTGGCTTGTCAACACCGCTCGAGGAGCCATCTGTGTCAAGGAAGACGTTGCTGAGGCTCTCAAGAACGGCCAGCTGCGAGGCTACGGAGGTGACGTCTGGTTCCCCCAGCCTGCTCCCGCTGACCACCCCTGGAGATCCATGCGAAACAAGTACGGAGCTGGAAACGCCATGACCCCCCATATCTCCGGTACTTGCATCGATGCCCAGGTTCGGTACGCCCAGGGAACCAAGAACATTCTCGACATGTTCTTCTCCGGTAAGCAGGACTACCGACCCCAGGACATCATCTGCATCAACGGTCACTACGGAACCAAGGCCTACGGTGATGACAAGGAGCATGCTAAAAAGTAGGCTGGACGTCGAAATAAACACATTGTTCATCTCTGGGTAGCCCAATAGTAAATAGGTAAGCTGTGATCATTAAGCCAGTTGTTTTTTGTAGGGAGATAGTACATTGTAGAACCCATTATGTTCAATCTACACAACTTCTTACAACGACTTACTAGTAAGCTATATAACGACCGACTACTTTCTATCTCATCCAGTTCCAATTTCATATAACATGCCTGTGTTCGATTGCCTACAAATATCTGTCCACGTTGGTTGTCGTGTCCTCGTTCAAAGCTAAGTATAATCTTTAACTAAACATTCCGCTTCCCAAGTATTTTCAACTAGTTTAAAGTTCAGTCTTATGCCCAATTCGTGTCAGCCTCCAGAATGTGTTTGGGGCAATATTTTCGAAATATGAGTTCACAGATAGGTTTCTCTTGCCGTATACATTGTTTTTTTCCAAACCCCAGCTCTCTACGAGGCTCACACCACTCCATTAAGACGCTTCCACCCTCGTGCCCTCCAACCCTATTCTCCCCTAACCCCCATCTGCATGAATTTTTCACCTTCTGGCATAACACACACCACACACCCTCAACCCCCAAAATGACTACGACTCGTGTGTGTATCGACTCTTCGGTTGCTCTCAAAATCGTGCGGCACTGCCAGGAAAGCGCGCCTTCCATTGTCGCCGGTCAGCTGCTCGGTTTGGATGTGGATGGCGAGCTTCGAATCTCCCATGCCTTTGCCTTCCCCCAGAATGCCGCTGGAGGCAACCCCAACTCCGACGACGGCCTCAGCTTGCGTCTTAAGGCCGTGGCCAAGTACCAGCCCGAGATGATCGACCATCTGAAGGAGGTCAACGTCGATTCCAACAGCGTCGGCTGGTACCAGAGCACTGTTCTGGGCCGAATCTACAACGCTTCGGTTATTGAGAACCTCGCCGTGTTCCAGGAGAAGAACCCCGACTCTGTCGTTCTTGTGTACGATGTAGCCGGTTCCGAGGTTGTTTCCGACACCGATCCATCTTCCACCGGCCCCCAGGGACATACCACCACCACCCCCTCCGGCTTCAACCTGCGAGCCTTCCGACTGTCTGAGGAGTACCTCAACGTGCGAAAATCCGGCAAGTTCGACACCGCCACCCTCACAGAGAACAATCTAACCTACCACGATGTGCTGGTCGAGCTGCCTGTGGAGATCAAGAACTCCAATCTGGCCACTCTGCTGCTGTACCAGCTGGGCCAGCAGTACCCCAACTCGCCCTTTGCCGAGTCCTCCTTCTCCAACCTCAACGTCTCAGTTGACCCCTTCCTTGAGAAGAACATCGAGGCCATCTTCGACTCAGTCGACGACTTCCACTACGACCAGGGTAACTACAATTACTACCAGCGACAAATGACCCGAGAACAGGCCAAGATCACCCAGTGGCAGCAGAAGAGAAAGGCCGAGAACGCGGCACGAGAAAAGGACGGCCGACCGGCTCTCCCCACAGACGAGTGGAAGCGGCTCTTCAAGCTTCCCACCGAGCCCTCGCGACAGGACAACCTGCTGATTTCCGCGCAGCTCAACGAGCACTGCTCCGTCATCGAGGAGTTCGGTGCTGCCGTCAACAGCAAGCTGTTTGCTACCCAGGGAGGACTGCTTTAGAGGTAGTATGCTAGAGAGGATGAAAAATGTGTGGATAGACAACACACGACAAAAGGATGGATTACAGTATGTTAGATAAGCATTGATAAGAGGCAAGCAGAGTGTAGCTAGTGTGATATTCCGAGATATTGCATGAATAGTACTTGTGGTAGTGGTTGTGGTTGCGGTTGCGAGTCCAGGACAGAACTGGGGCTTTCTACAACATTACCAAATCAATATCCCTCCTGTAGCAATCTCCGAGGTACTTAGATTGTAGATGATAAATCGACTATACCATATACAGTACTTGATTGCCTCGAAGTAGCATCTCCGAGACGCACTAAACCGCTATGTACTAAGGTCGAATGACCGCTACTACAAGTACAGCGTGTATATAGCGGGGGGAAGAGGGCGTCAACCGCGGGTTACTTGGTTTGTAATCTGTGTCCATACGGCTCGGATGCTCCACATGTGTTGGAGATTGAGCAGTTCCCGAGACATCACTAGCCCAGCTTTCCGACACCAACAATGACATTGTCGCTACGCTAAAGAGATGCCAACTCCGAGTGGGTACCAGTGCCGTGGATCTAGGACTCCAAGGTTTCGAGATTGGTTCTTGAACGCCTTTAGTTTCGGATATCCACCATCGGAGCCGAGTACAATATCGGCATTAAAAGTGGTCCAAGTACAGTTCTTGACTGTACCTATACATCCCCGACCTTTAAGAGAGCTGACAAGACATGATCAACCTCCTACAACTCACCAAGTTCATCAAATATGTTCCAGCAGTTTTCTCTTGACGGTCCTTACAAGTCCCTCGCAACCCCCACGGAATAATAACACTACTGCGCTTCTGTTGAGCGGGGTATCTTAGTCTCTCAGTGGACTGGCATGTTGTCTTTCGGAATCAGTTAATGAACCAACTTCGACACTAACATAATGATATCTACTAGATACTGGACAAAGAGCGCGGCTTCTGTAGCCTGCCAATGGACATAAATAGATGATAACGACTCATCCGATGTTCCTCAAGAATGATCTTCTCTCTGCAACTACTACTGACGACGGCACTAGCGGCCTCTTCGCCTGACTGGTACCCCACACCCGAAATCGGTTCAATTACCAGTGATTGGGCCGATGCTCTTGGTGAGTCCATGGACATCCTGGCCCAATTGACTCTTCCCGAAAAGGTCAACATCACCACCGGTACCGGATGGAGAGGTGGGCAGTGTGTTGGAAACACAGGGGCTGTTCCTCGTCTCGGAATCAAGGGCCTGTGTCTCCAAGACGGTCCTCTGGGCGTCCGTTTTGCCGACTTTGTCAATGTCTTCCCTTGCCAGAACGCAATGGCCGCCACCTTTGATCGTATCCTAGTTCACCAACGAGGAACCGCTATTGGACGTCAGTCTAGACTCAAGGGAGTCGATGTTCATCTCGGACCAGTGGTGGGACCTCTTGGACGACACGCTACCGGCGGAAGAAACTGGGAAGGTTTCTCCCCCGACCCATATCTGTCTGGAAAGCTCGCCTTCGAAGCAATTCTTGGAGTCCAGGAAGAGGGAGTTCTTGCAACCATCAAGCACTTCATTGGAAACGAACAAGAACATTACCGGCGAGCCGAAGAGTGGAGAGACGGCTTTGGATTTAAAGACCTGAAGGACGCCGTCTCTTCCAACATTGAAGACAGAGCTCTACATGAGTTGTACATGTGGCCGTTTGCCGATGCTGTTAGGGCTAATGTCGGCTCAGTCATGTGCTCCTACAACTACGTGAACGGAACCCAGGCTTGCCAGAACAGTGACTTGCTCAACGGAAAGCTCAAGTCCGAGCTCGGTTTCCAGGGCTTTGTCATGTCCGACTGGTTTGCTCAGGGAAGCGGAGTGTCTAACGCTCTGGCTGGAATGGACATGAGTATGCCTGGAAATGACGTTGATGAGTTAGAAACTGTCTTCTGGGGAGAACAGCTGACCCGAATGGTTGCCAACGGTACCCTTCCAGAAGCCCGTCTCGATGATATGGTTCTGCGAATTCTGACCCCTCTCATCTACTTTGGGATCGACGATCGAACACCCAACTTCTCCTCCTTTGTCGACACTACAGTGGGAAGTCCCCACCCCGCTGCTAAGCACTCCAAGAAAGTCAAGGATGTTATCACCAACTACCATCTCGATGTGCGAGACCAGTTTGCAGCCAATGTTGCTCTTGATAGTGCTCGAGGAGCTGTTGTTCTGCTTTTCAATGACGGTATTCTTCCCCTGAAGAACATTTCCGCTATTGGAGTATTTGGAGTCGGCTCTAGACTTGGCCCCAATGGAGCTGTTTGTGGGGAAAACATGCAGTGCTCAGACGGAGCTCTTATCGAAGGATGGGGAAGTGGAACTGCTTACCCTACGGAGTACGAAAGCCCTTACGAAGCTCTCCACAAAAAGGCTTCTCTACTTGAAGTGTCAGTGACAGGAACCACCGAGTCATGGGATATGAGACTTCCTCTTGAGCTGGCTGGAGACACTGACGTGAATATTGTTTATGTATTGGCAAATTCAGGAGAGTCTACTGCCAACGTTGATAAGAACCTTGGGGATCGCCGAAATGTCAGTCTATGGCACAATGGCGATGAACTTATTAATACAGTTGCCAGTCAGGGACAGACTGTCGTTGTTGTCACTACGGTTGGACAAGTTGACATGACCGCTTGGCTCAACCACCCCAACATCAGTGCCGTTCTTCTGACTGCTCCTGCTGGTGATTACGGAGGAAAAGCCATCGCTGATGTGTTATTTGGAGAGGTTAATCCCTCAGGAAAGCTGCCTTATACTATCGCAGCAAATACTTCTGATTATATTCCTATTGTCACCAAGATCCCTCGAGATGGAGCTCCCCAGTCCGACTTTGTGGAGGGAATCTATCTTGACTACAAGTGGTACGACAAGTTTGAAAGGACTCCCCTCTACGAATTTGGTTACGGTCTGTCATACACCACCTACTCCTTCAGCAATCTGCATCTTGATGTTAAGGAGATTAGTGAGTTCCTTCCTCCCCGGCCTGTTCCTGTACAGGTTACTAAACCCAAGATGACCAATATCGACATTGAGGACCTTTATGTCCCCAATGACTTTAAAATGATTGACGGTCTTGTTTACCCTTGGATTCTCAACGCCAGTGCGCCCCTCGCGGACTCTCAGACTCAGTTCCCCTTTGCAAATGGAGCTGGACATGTCAGTGACGCTTCTGGAGGAGTGGGTGGTCACCCCTGGCTTTGGTCTAACGCTGTTACTGTCACTCACAACACCACCAACTGCGGTGATGTTGCTGGACGAGTAGTTTCTCAGCTGTACGTTGCCTTCCCTGAAACCCTTATCGACTCTCCTCCGGTGCAGCTTCGAGGATTCGACAAGTCCAAGCTCCTGAACCCTGGTGAGTCTCAGATGACCGAGTACAACCTCAACTGGCGAGATCTGGCCATTTGGGACGTGGAACTGCAGAGCTGGAGAGTGCAGCGAGGCGAGTATTCCGTGTACATTGGTCATTCCAGCCGAGAATTCGAGCTATGTGAGACTTTCACTTTGTAGTAGTCAGTCACCCGTATTAACTAATCAATAAATCTATTATAAATGCATCCCAATCCTTCTCTTTTATATATCCCTCTAGTTCTTTCTCTTCATCTCGACCGCTCGCTTGTATGGTGGGCAAGTAGGGCTCTGAACGGGGTCCAAGCTGACTCGAACTCCCTCTCCACTAGGGAGAGTGTAAGTAGCGTCTGAGTCGTACTCCGACAGGTCGCCACAGGCCACAAAGGGAGCGACGACCCGCTCGGAAATAGGCAGAGGGAGCTCCTTGTTGACCATGACGCCAGTAGCGAGATCGGGAGACCATCCCGATCGAGGCTTGTATCCCTGACACACGATGAAAGACTCGAGAGAAGAGCCTCTGGAAGATCGGGGCTTTGCACAAGTGACCTGCTCGAACAACAGACCCAGCTGGAAGTACATGAGATCAATATCTCGTCCTCGGAAGATTTTGGCGACAAAGTTTCCTCCGGGTCTCAGTAGCTGGGTGGTCAGCTGAAGCGCAGACAGAATCAGCTGTGCCTGTGTGTACTCGTCGAGATCGTGCAGACCAGTGACATCGGGAGCTCCGTCAGAACACACAAAGTCGGCAGGCTCGCCTCCAAACTCGTCCAGAATCATCTTCAGAGTTTGAGGATGCGTGATATCGGCCTGGATAGTGGTGACACCAGCAATGGGAGCCATGGGTTGCAGATCAACAGACACAATCTTGGCCTTCTCCATGGTGGATGATTTTTGAGCAGTAGATTCCCCGGTGACAACCTTGCCTCCAAATGTCGACCCAGCCACCGTCTTACCGCTGCCAGCCTCGATACCTCGCTTCTCAAACAGCTCTCTGCTCAGCACCTGACTCCAGGACCCAGGAGCAGCACACAGATCCACAACTCGCTGAACACCGTCAAACAAGTGGAACTGCTGATCCAGCTGAAGCAGTTTGAAGGCGGATCGCGCTCGCCAGCCCTCCTCCTTGGCTTTTCGGTAGTAAATGTCTCTCTTGTCCTTGCTGCTTTTTCCCATTTCTGTCGAGTGTAGTCAGAGTGAAAAATAAAAAAGCTAATCTGAAAGTTTGATAGTGGTGGTGATGCGAAGGCGGGGGTCTACAATGTCTACAATAGTTGCATTTGACGCGGCTTTCTATAAAAAGAAGTGCAAACAGCTCTGTCTCTTTAAGTGCTCAACAATCGAGTCCATTTGTATTTTCAGCTAGTGCGTTTTTTTTTGCATTTCTGAGAGGTATTATTCTTACTAATCGAAGGTGGAAATCCAAACTGACTTTCTTATAATTTAGTTGATAATTAGTTAAGAAATTAAAAACTCTAATATGCACACTACAATGCCCTCGAAGAGTCTACAGACTGTATATTCTCCATCTTTATGGTCAGCCAAGTAACTAGTACACTACTTGGACATTTCTCATCTCATCATTACACCCTTGTCTGTCAAATTACGGGAGAGCATTTGTAATGATGCATGCATTTAGGTTCAGAGAGCGCAGTGCGGGGTGTTCAGAGATGGGTCCTAAAAGTGCGCTTTTAATCGACAATTTAGGAGATTTGGCCATTAATATTACTCAGCGGACCTTTCTGTATCATGTGACATCCATATTTCACCTCTGCAATGCTTACTAAGTCAACTAATTACTCTCCTTGTCCCCTCCGATATTTGCCCCCCGATAACCTACTTGTTCGGTTGGGACTACAACCTAAACCACCTTGAAACATCACCACTGCAAATTACTTTTTCCGCATCAAAAACTACACACACCCACACACACAATGCTGCGACAAATGATGAACTCCCGGCTCTTTGCCGCCCGACCCGCGTTTGTGCGACCCTTCTCCACTACTCAGATTGCGCGAAATGCCTCGTGGAGACGTCCAAACGAGCTGAACGACTACGAGAAGCAAATCAGCCAGATGCTGACCGACGAGTTCAAACCCGTGAGTCTGGATGTGCGGGACATTTCCGGCGGCTGCGGCTCCATGTTTGCCATCCAGATTGTGTCCGACAAGTTCAAGGGCATCCCCATGGTCAAGCAACATCGTCTGGTAAACGCTCTGCTTGCTGACGAGATCAAGCAGTGGCACGGTCTGCAGCTCGTCACCAAGGCTGCTTAGAGGAAGCGATAGGGATATGTGCATCAACAAAGAGATGTTAGACAAGAGCCTGTGAGCCTTGAGATGAGGATATGTATATAGTCAAGGAGACATTGGACGATATGAGAGTTGCTACTGAACCACCTGTGGCTAGAAGAGGAGGTAGGGGCAGTAAGTACATGCCAGTAGTGTTGTTGTATGGATATGTCGTTAATAAATGTTCTACCGGGAGTGTCTGTATCTTACTACAGAACAGTGTGATACACAGTTCTTTGCCACCTTGATGACATGAATGGCCTTTTGGAAAGCATATTAATGTAATGATTGCACACAATATGTACAGTTTGTAGCGTTACCCCCTTTTTATTTATTCCTTGTCATATCCCCCAGTTCGTCCTTCTCTTAAATGATGTCGTCGTCACTATCACTATCTTCTGCCTCCTCGCCGAGCTCCTGGAAACTGGCGTAACTGAGCATGATGAAGGCTCCAATGATGATAAGACCTCCAATCACGCCTCCAGTTCCAATAGGCGTGTCGAACAGAAGCCAGTCGACAATAGCCACCAGGAAGATGGTCAACAGGGCAGCGACCGATCCGATAACGGGAGAAGTCAGGGCCATGAGAATCAGAAAAGCACCTGAGAAGATGGCGTTGGACGCAATGTTGGCAATCATGATGCCGGCAGCTGATCCATGGGGCAGCTCAAACGGCTCCAGGCCGGTCCAGTGAAGGATGGGAAGCAGCAGCCACAGGAACAGCAGAGTACAGAGACCGATACAAAAGGCCACCACGTTGGCAAAGGCAGCCTGACGACGTGGGGAGATGGTGTTGGGAGGGCAAGCCAGCTTCTTGTACATGACTTCATAGAGACCATAGAGAATGGCTCCCACTCCGATAATGAGGTTTCCGATACCTCTGTGGGGGTAAGAGACCTCGCCTTCTCCCTCGTTAGTGTCCCAGTAAGACACAATGAGCACACCAATAATAGCGACCACCACACTGACCACCTTGGCAGGCTTGAGAGACTCTCCCAGCATCGGCACGGAAAAGGCATAGGCGAAGAAGGCCGAGCAGTTGTAGATGGCGGTCAGGTCACTGGGGGTGGTGAGGTTTACGGCAATGTACCAGGAGGATCCAGCGAAAGACAGGGCCACAAACAGCCAGAAAGATGTGACCATAATATACTTGAGCGGATGTTGACCGGAGAAGTCACCTGCGTGTTCTTGAGTGGCTCGGGCGGTGTTCAACACGAGCTCGTATTGCCGACGCAGAAAGACTCTCCATGGGGTCTTCCATCGCTTGAAGATCTTGATGAACAGCAGCTGTAATGGTAACAGAAAGACCCACGACGAATGTGTCAGGTACAGCATAAAGATGGGTTTCTTGTACTGCAGGTTATGAGCCACGTAGCCGGCTGTCTCGGTCTGAGCCACAAACGCGATCAAACTGACCACCAACGAGATTCCAGCATATAGATACCGTTTGTCGGGTTTGGTCTCGGACTTGAAGCTGTGAGAGGGACGTCGATGTTGAGAGGTCTCACGTGTGTCATAGTCGTGGACGTGGTCACGAGAGTCGCGTCCACCTTGCTCCAGAAATCCGTCTCGTTCGCTCATTTCGTTCTAGCAAGGGACTTATAGGCGAATTATCCAATTATCGGAGACCGAAGACGTTGCACGTTTCAGCATTCGACAGATGCTGCACTGCACGGAAACCCTAACCCGAAGGGTTTAATGTCGTGTCAAACGCGGCCTGGAAATCTCCTTTTTGGAGAGATTGGTCACGTGTATGATAAATAATTCCCACGTGATGCGGTGTATAGCAATGGTGTATCTTTTGGCAGGCCCTAGGTCTTATCTGGATTGGTCAAAGGTGCGGTTAAGCGAAAACTTTAAATCACGGGTTGTGCTGGAGTTTTAACTTCTGGGGGAGGACAACACAGGTTATGAGTTTGGGAAGGAGACGAACTACACGTGGGGACGTACAGTAACCGAGAAAGTCCTCCCTATGTTGGAGTCCTTTAACTTTATACTCTCGTGCATATTCATTTCACGTGACTTGAAGAATCATGACATTCTCGACTGTAGGTTACTTGCTTGTACTTGTATGTCCATTGTAGCTTGGGGGCTTTGGCTCGATATACCTGTGAGTGCGGTCACGTGACTTGTCAGGGGGTAGAAATAAATCTGCTGTACAAGTACAAGTACAATTGCCACCAGTATAGAGTCTTATTCCCGAACGAGACTGCTCCTTGGCTCTTAAAGGTTAGGACGGCTATGGAGAGCCCATTTAACCTGTTTAATGATGTCGACAGAAGGTCAACAAAGGTCATTTGGCATATGTTCTCTTAGAGGAATCGGTGTTTCAGATGGCAGATTATACATGGGTGGAGGGGTTAAAAAGCGCTACTGGGGACTTTTCCTGAAGGAGGGGGCTTATGACTACTTGTACTTGTATCTTGTACTTGTATCTTGTACTTGTACTTGCACCACCACGTTGATTTGCATTCAAGAAAATCAGATGTTACGAGACTGTTCGTCACTTGGTCCATGAGTGGACTGTCTATTTGAGAGATGCTTGGAGACTGCAAGTACCAAAAATAAAGCAGTAAGAAACTATTGAAATACTGTTTTATACGATTGAAGTACTTACGGTACGAAGACGGTATGTACTTGTGATAGACCAAGCTTGCTCAAACATTCTTCAACAAACATTCTTTAATAATGTTAACTAAGATCCTTGATCCAAGTAAACCAAACAAGACTTCAGTACAGACTTCAGTACAATATATACAAACACTGATATCTGATATTGTCGTTAATTATGACCACTTCTGAAAACCGCAACTCTTCCATACGTTACACGCTCGACCTACTTGTAGACGTGCTCACAATTACCGGTTCTTGTTATTCCACTCACTCTCACAGATGGCACCAAGCAACCCCGACTCAACCCCGACTCATTCTCAGAGAACGATTCAACCTGTCTAATAATGCACCGATCTCAAATCAGAAAACTGCACCCCCCTCATATCACACACGTGTCAATATTTCGCGTCCATGATATCCATATCACGTGACCAACCCACGGTATTGCTAATAGCCACCAGAAAACAAACTACTGTACAGTATGCACATGAGCTCGGTCCTGATCCTGATGCTGGGTCCATTAACATTAAGGTTTGTGTTACCCTCTCTTGGTGAAAAAAAGCTGCGTGTGCGATTTGAATCAAAGGGTAAAATTATAGGCCCTTCATACCACCACCACCACCACGAAAAATGACTGTGGAGGATAACCTCGATATTGACTTTTCCGATCTGGAGGAGAAGTACGCTGTCAACGCGGACGAGGGCTTTGAGTCTTTCATCGTTGTCGATGGAGCTCCTGTGATTCCCCAGGCCAAGCAGGCAGCCCTGGCCAACGTCATGAAGAAGTTCTTTGGCGCTGTTGGCAAGATCAAGGAAGACGGCATCTTTATTCCCTTCGACGAGGCCACCGGTAAGTCCACCGGATTTGTCTTCATTGAGTACGAGACGGGCGAGATGGCTGCTGCTGCCGTCAAGTCTTTCCACAACAAGCAGTTTGACAAGAACCATAAGCTGCTTGTCAACAAGCTGTCCGAGGTGGAGAAGTACGGCATGCAGTACGACACTCTGAAAACCGAGGAGTTTGTCGAGCCCGAGACCGAGCCTTTTGTGGAACAGGGACATCTGCGAAGCTGGCTCATGGACCCCCAGGGCCGAGACCAGTTTGTGCTCCATCGAGGAGACACAGTCGGAGTCTTCTGGAACAAAAAGGGTGATACTCTGGAGGCTGACGTTGACCGAGAGCGATGGACCGAGACCCAGGTCTACTGGTCTCCCACCGGTACTTACCTTGTGTCTACTCATACTCAAGGTGTTCAGCTGTGGGGTGGCCCCGACTGGGCTCCTCCTATCTGCAAATTCCAGCATCCCAACGTCAAGATGGTGCAGTTTTCTCCCTGCGAGAAGTTCCTTGTCACCTGGTCTAACGTTCCTCTCGTTCTCCCTGATGACGAGGAGAAGCGAAAGAGCATTCCTTTTGGCCCCGCTGACGAGGGCAAACAGATCATTGTATGGAACCTCGAGACTCGACTTCCCGTCCGAACCTTTGCTATGCCCCCGGAGAAGAAGGGCGCCTCTATGTCCTGGCCCATTCTCAAGTTCTCTCCTGACGACAAGTACGCTGCCCGTATGATCCCCGGAGAGCAGCTGTCTATCTACGAGACCGAGACCATGTCTCTGCTGGATAAGAAGTCCGTCAAGGCTCCCGGTATCGTCGACTTTGAGTGGGCTCCTGCTCTTGTTAACCTGGAGGGACGACAAAAGTCCGCCACTGAGTCTGTTCTCTGCTACTGGACTCCTGAAATTGGCAACCAGACCGCTCGAGTGGTCCTCATGAAGGCTTCCAACAAGGAGGTGCTGCGAACCCGAAACCTGTTCAACGTGGCCGATTGTAAGATCCACTGGCAGGACCAGGGACGCTTCCTGTGCGTCAAGGTCGACCGACACACAAAGTCCAAGAAGTCTACCTTTACCAACCTCGAGTTCTTCCGACTGTGCGAGCGAGGAGTGCCCGTCGAGGTTATGGAGCTCAAGGACACCGTCACCAACATGGCCTGGGAGCCCCACGGAGACCGATTCGTCACCATTTCCAACTCGGACTCCACCACCAACTACGACGGTCCTCTGCCCGCCAACCGACACACTCTGTCCTTCTACGCTCTTGAGCGACACAAGGGAACCCAGGGCACATGGAAGCTGATCAAGGCATTTGACAAGAAGAACTGTAACTCTCTGTTCTGGTCCCCTAACGGTCGATTCCTCATCACTGTCATGATTGAGGGCTCTAACTCTATCGATCTCGACTTCTGGGACATGGACTACGAGGGTGACCGAAAGCACGGTGACAAGGATCTTCCTGCCAACCTGCACTTCCTCGGCTCGTCCGAGCACTACGGTATCTCTGCTCTCGAGTGGGATCCCTCTGGACGGTTTGTCGCCACCTGGTCTTCCTACTGGAGACACCACACCGAAAACGGATACAAGATCTGGGACTTCCGAGGCCAGCTGCAGCGAGAGGAGTCCATTGACCGATTCAAGCACTTTTCCTGGAGACCCCGACCCCCTACTCTGCTCTCCAAGCAGCAGAAGAAGGATATCCGAAACAACCTGGAGGAGTACTCTCGAAAGTTTGAGGAGATCGACGCCATGGAGGCTTCCGAGGCTTCTCGAGAGCTTATCATGCTGCGGAAGCGACTGCTCGAGGAGTGGACCGCCTGGAGAGCCCAGACTGACAAGAAGCTCGAGGAGCTGGGTCTTGTCGAGCCCGAGCCTGCCGAGTCCGAGTACACCACCATCGAGGAGATCAAGGAGGTTGTTGTCGAAGATAAGGAGGAGGTTTGCGAGTAATCTATTCGTGAACTATTAAAATCGGTCGTCGTATGCGACCATAAGCAAAGAGTTTAAAACTACTTACGATTGTATGAGAGATGTTGTAGACAGGGTGTCCATTGTGTGCCCTAGATATCGTATTGTACTGGTGCAATACCAGTAGTATCGGTCAAGGAAAGTTGCAGTAAGTAGGTACTGTACATACTGTAACATTAGTAGAGAATATACATACGACAACTTGTACAGTACCCAGAATACTTCTCATATACAACTCATTGATACTTGGGTGCCAGTGGTAGTGTACAAGTATAGGCAGCTGGATCAACAAATTGTTGCTTCAGTGTTGTATGAGAGATTATATATAGTCTTCGCCTGAATCCTGCCTCTACCGCCCGATGTTTCACTTCTGCAACAGTAGCAGCCAAAAAAACGTATACTTGGGCAGCTAGAGAGAACACTCATTCCCATAGTCTTGCTTTGTCGATGTTACTCCGCCAACAAAATCAGATTGGCTTGAACATACGCCTTGCATATTCTCTCAACATTCGCCCTATTGCTTACCGTTCAACATCAGCTCTCATAGCTCCGGCACTAGTTGTACAGTAGTTCCAGCAAGATCATCTGCGATCTAAACTTTTTTCAGTTTTTTTTTGGACCAGCATCTCACCACTATACAAACACATCATGGGCAAACGAAGCGGATCAGGAGACGCCAACAAGCGCAACAAAAAGGCGCGGTACTTGCCCGGAGCCATCAAGAATGTGGAACCCCGCTACCAGGGAGTGTACGTAAGTTACACCCGAGGCAAGGAAAACATGGCCAAGAACGAGGTGCGACTGATGATGAACGAGTGGTGCGACAAGCTGTATGGAACGACTGTGGTGGAAAACGACGAGGAAGGCGACGACATTGAAGACGTGGACGACATTGATAAGGCCATGGCTGCCGAGGTGGCTGCCATGAAGGATACCAAGAAGGATCTCATCACTCCATTGCCTCTGGGATGTGAATGCATGTTATTTGTGCGAACCAGAAAGCCCGTGGTGCCCGTGGACTTTGTCAAGGCCATCTGCCAAGGAGTCAAGGACACTGGAAAGAAGTCCACTCGGTTTGTTCAGCGTATGACTCCCGTCACTCTGACTTGCAGTGCTAGCAAGCCCGAGCTGGAGAAGCTGTGTGATATTGTTCTGGGTCCCCACTTTCACCTGAAGGAGGGTCAGAAACCGCTCAAGTACGCCATTCGACCGACGATGCGAAATTTCGACGGCATGAACCGAGACGAGGTTATCCAGTCAGTCGCTTCTCGAGTGGGCCAGGACCACGGCCATTCTGTCGACCTCAAGAACTACGACAAGCTCATTCTCGTCGACTGCTTCAAGGCCTCCATTGGAATGTCTGTTGTTGGCAACGTTGAGGAGTACGAGGGACTTGCCAGATTCAATATTGAACAGCTGTGGGAGCGACACAATGAGGCCGAAACAGGCACCAGTCGAGTCAACAAGACCGACCAGACGGTGAAGGACATAGAAGATGAGGCCGAGAAGGCCGTGTTGAAGGAGGAGATTCAAAAAGAGGCTGATGAGACCGAAGCAAAGGCTGAGAAGGCTCTCAAGGAGCTGGACGAGCTGAAAAAGGGAAACAAGGATTTGGAGGAGGACAAAAATAAGACGAGCATCCAGGTCGATGAGCTGGAAAAGGACGCTGAGAAAAAAGTGCTCGAAGGTGAAGTTGATGAGGTGATTGACGAGGCCAAAAAGGTGAGAGAAGATGTCCGGGACTTGAGAAAGGAAGTGTCTGAGTAGTTTATATTTAGTATTTATGATATCTGTCAATGACAGAGTGACTGGAGCGAAGATGTATGCTTCTGACACTTGAAAGAAACCATATGCTATGCCATCTGTAACAAACGACAAGAACATCTAAAATTTACGGTGTATTGTATGTAATATACCTACAGTATATACAGTACGAGCACTGGACTGTACTGGTAGTGGGTGTATTATTATTGTTTCATGCAATATATTCATTATTCATAAGGTGTCTATGTAAAAGGTTGACACATGCAAAAGACTGTTAGTAGCGATGGTTGTTGTTTTTGGTTTTGAGTGTGGTCACTCTCTATTGAGTGTCACTAACAAGGGCTTCAGCCAGAGATTCAAAAACAGAGGAGGTCAGAACCTGACGAATAGAGGCACGCTCCTCAGGATCCACGGTCAAACACTTCTCCAGAAGCTCAACCCAGTCGTCGTTGCCGTCACCCAGCTTGCTCTTAAGAAGCTCCCGGTCCCATTGAGCGTTCTGAATGAGACCTCGAAGCTTGGGAACAAAAGAATGGGTGAAAGGCAAGTTACCTACCAGGAGGGCGTAGACCACCACTCCATAGGACCAAATGTCGACGGAAGGATGGTAAATGGGCTCGGCTGTAGAAAGCAGCTCAGGAGCAGCGTAGGGAAGGGAGCCAAGGTTGTCTCGCTTCACCGAGCCTCCCTGAGAAGAGGGAGTGGAAGGCACAGGAGTAGCAGTACCATTGGCGGTGGTAGTGCCCCCTCTTAGAGTAGAAGAATAGGTGGAGGGACCAATGGGTCGGTTCTGTCGTCGAGAGTTCTCATGCTCCTCGTCCTGGTTGATGTAGTCAGACATGCCGAAATCGCACACCAGCAGGTTGTACGAACCATCATCCTGGGGGTCCAAGAGACAGTTTTCAAGCTTTATGTCTCGATGGACAATGTGCATGGACTCATGTAGGTACGACATGGCACAAGCCAGTTGGAAGGCATATTGTCGAGCAGTCTCCACATCAATGCCCTGTCGGTTATTCTTGACCAAATCAAACAGTGTTCCTCCCATAATCTTGGAGGTGAAGCAGTAGATGGCTCGGTTGTCCTCATAGACATACTCCAGATCCAGTACATTAGGGTGTCGAAGCGTGCGCCAAATGTTGACCTCCTGCAGCATCTGCAAATGTTCCTCGGACGGGACAATTGCACTTCGGCTTGTATCGTTAATACTGCCAACAGAGTTGGAGTTGCGTCTAGAGTTGAAGGCAGAAGAGTCAGCAGACTCCATACTGGAGAGGTCAGACTCGCTGGTTCGAGCAGCCAGCCGGGCGTTCTTCTTCACCACCTTGCACGCCTTGGGTTTGTTGGGCTCTCCTCCACGAAGAGACTTGCAGTCGGCCTCGTAAACGTCCGAGAACCCTCCGTATCCAATCTTCTGTCCCAGAGTGTATCGTCCAATCTCTTCACCAGTGAGTGCGTCAGCAGTCAGAGAAAATTCTGCGTTGCCAGATGGGGTTCCGGCCACCACTCCCTCGGGCTGACTGCCCAGGGTAGTCATGTTGCCCATGTTCACGGAGGCAGACCGAGACACTGAGGGCGAAGAGAACTTGGCGAGAAAGTTCTGAGCAGGCGAAGAGGCTGCAGAAGAAGCAGAGTCTTGGGTCGAGTTGAGCAGGGTGTTGTTTCGAGACCGTCGCTTGGAAAAGGGGATAGCGGGAGGGGGACCCACAGAGCCGCCGTAGGAGTTCTGGCCAAACGACTGCGGGGAGAACAGTGAGTTTGCAATATGGTCATCCTTATGCGAAATGGACATAGGCGACGACACTGTGTTAAGGGGCGACATCTGCATCTCGGCAATGGCAGATCGCAGTTTCTTTCGGGTGCTGAAGGGCAAAGACTTCCAGTCTACAGAAGCAGCGGCCGAAGCAGCGAGGTCGACAGAACTGGAGCCCGTGCTGATATCCCTGAACTCTCCGGTATCCGAACGTCGAGGAGAAGCCACCGAGGCTGGTCCCGACAGGTTGGTGGTTGCATCGCTCTTGGTGTCGCCCTGCTGCTGGGTGAAGTCCATGCCGGGGACGTATTCGTCGGACTCTCCAAAGGGCACACGTTCTCGGAACGTATAGTCACTATCTCTGTACGACTTGGAGAGTGTCTGCGACAGCCTTGAGAAGTGTCCCTTGCCTGCTCCTCCTCCAAGCACGTCTACGGGCTGTGGCTGTTCGTCCGCCTTGAGGTTGTTGAAAGTGTTTGCCTTGGCGAATCGCGAGGTGTACTGGCACGGTTTCTGTGGCGACTGCGTTTCTGCGTTCATGTCTGTGTCGTTGTCATCGTCGGTCTGGGGCTCTGCTGGTGGCGAGTTGAGCTGCATGGGCGAGTCGCACTCGAACCCCTTTGCTACCGTCATGGCATCGTCGGGGTTGCGGGTGATGCCAGTGGTGGGTCCTGATTTTCCAGGAAATAGAAAGTCTTCCATGGCGGTGTGGGACTTTGTGGATGTAGCGGTGTAACGATGTACGGTCGTAGTTGTGGTTGAAGTGTCGGGTTTACTCTTGTGTGTATCGATTGGTATCGTCTGTGTATTGTGTGTATTGTGTGTATTGTGTGTATTGTGTGTATCAAGAGTAACTTGCACTAAGGTGGAGCAGATGAAGAAAGAAAACCTCCGTACTTACTGTAGTGTTTTATTTCATGTCCGCAGCAGTAGCTTTGTGTTTCACACCACCTCAGCTTAGACTTAACACTAACATACCATACGGGCCCAATTCACAGCCTGCGCGCACCACCGGATCATTGTCTGGAAACTCTATTGAAGATGCACCGCAGGTTTGGTGCAATATTTATTCCGGCGCCATACCCTGGGCCGCCGTGTGGGCCGCCCCAGTCGCGTTCCACGCCCCGTCGCTCGCTAAGAACCCTTACGTTATCGTAGCTCCATCCATGCTTACCCCCCTTATGTCTTCATTTTTCCCCTCATGCTAAAGTGGTGACTGAATCTCTATTTCCTTACCTTAATCCCTTAACACCCTCGCACATTGGCTTTTTTTCCCTTGTCTGGAGCGCATCATTGGGCTGTCTATCTGATGCGGGGCGACCAATCATCTGGCCGAGTGTGCTTACCTCATCCTCCCAAACGGCCGAGAACAAAAAGGCTTGAGTGGAAATTCACAATCCCAAACTCAAAAAGAGAAAGGAAACGAGAAAAAAAAAATTCTCCCAAATTTTATCTGTTCAAGACTGCAGAAGCCGAGGTGGAAGGAAGCGACCCGCATGTGAGGGCATTCTTAACGGCCCCGGAGACTGGCCGGGTGTACGGGGGCCGTGTTCCCCGTTCCGCCATCCGTTTCGGGGCTGTTTTTCCGCCCACAGCAGCGCCTATTTTTGCCTTTATTTTACCCTTCAATATCACCACGCTCCTCTTTCTATCTCGCATGTTTAGTGCTGCCCAGCCCGCAACTGGGTCATCAAACTCTTTAGAGTTGCCCGACGGAGCTTAAAAAACAGCCCACCGCAAGTGACTGGAAATAACCTTGCGAGGGAGCTCATGTGGCCCGGTCACGTGGGACTAAAGAAGTCACACACGTGTATGGAGGTCTCAGCGGGAAAATTAGACAACAATTGCTCCACGTATACATCAATACGATAGCTCGCATACCCTTTCCCCACCCGTTTTCTGGGCACCAGTCATGTGATGCCCAAAAGCTGCATGGTGGTTCCCCTCCTCTTACAAGAGCTTGAGAAAGAGCTTGAGAAACCGCATGACGTCACTTTTCAACATTCACCCACGCTACAGCAATTGTCGGCCGACTTGGGTACACTATGTACTGTACTTGTAGAATGCTGTATGGGACACGCGTTAGAGTCTCCGTCTTGAGGGGTACTTTAGTCCATGATGTCATTGTCTCAAAGTTCGATATGAGTACAGTATACCGTTCAAGTGGACAAGTACAAGGTGGAGAGTAGGACTTGTATCGAACTTGTGTGTACTGTATCACTCGTATTCGCGATCTCTTGCTGTCTGCAGAACTTGCGCTCGGTACGCCACAAGTACTCGCTCGAACATGTGAAAACATTCCTTTGACCACACTGGCGCGCTTACAGCTGTATTCGTACCATGCCTGGTCATGCCTGCTTATTGGCATAGGTAAACACGGCCCTTGAATGGGAGCAGAGTCTCACCTCAGAGGGTTGTTGAGGGGAAGTGTCTGGGAATATTATTGCTACAACGGAGCGGGGTTTTCCACGAGAATATATTGTATATGTATATTTGCGGCTTTTCAGACCCTTGAAACCATTCTCTGACGCATCTATCACTTTTTTGAGCCCCATGTTGCTGCTGCTCCTCCATTTACTGTCGACAGAGTTTGGCGGCCTGCGTCGGAAAAGACCGTTTGAAACTAGACGGCTATAGACGCGAGGAAAAAAGGAACTTCGGGTAAACTCAGACGTCTGAGGTGCGGCTGGCTAGGCTTCGGAAATACGCGGGAATACGTGAAACATTTCTGACTCCAAGAGAGCAGAAGTTGCAGGCGATTTGGTGAGGAAACAGAAGAATCCAGAAGAATTCAGTTCAAAACACGTCCTGACGCCAATATGGTTGCCGCTTTAGTCTTGCCACTATTATCTACGCTATTTTAGTTGGTCTCTATGACGTAATTAGATCAACCAGGTGCTACACAACCAAGTACAAGTAGCGAGAATAGTCCCACAGGAGGAAAGACCTAGTCTTGTTTCCTTGAAAACATTCTGGTGACCCAGCAACCATAGCGCCATTCACAAACAAACCCCTCGTAGGTACGATACTGTAGAAGGTGGTTCGACATGTCGGTAACTCGGTCCCCGGCATCTGAAGCCAGACGTGAAGGACAAGGAAGGATCAAGCTTGACCTTCTTATATAAAGTGGGCCAATCGTGTCTTGGGGTAGAGGGCTGCAGATTGTGTCTCGGATCTCCCCGGTCTAGTCTCACCAAGTTGATCTTGTGATCCACAACGGTGGCAAGAGACCCTCACGATATGTCACTGGTTAGTGGTCTCCAGGACGGTATTCGCCATCAGCAGTACAGACCACCACCATGCAAGTTTGTTTCGAGTTTTCATTCACTATGGAACACTTTCTTACAGTCAGCTAAAGTATTTCGTCTAAAAACTCCTTCACCAATATACGGAGTGAGAAAGTGAATACATCGACAGCACATATGTTTAGGTCTCCTGGTATTTAAAAGCTCCCACGCGTGTCCCTTGACCCATCCCATCATTAACCACCGCTAGTCAATGTTTGTTTGCTTAAACAGTCTAGCCCAAGCCTGTGGCTACAACTATTGACGGTCCAGATGATTGACTAGACCAACTCGAGAACCGTGCTGTCTAGCACTATGAAAACCTCATTAGTGCTTTAATAATCCAGGTAGGTACTGTACCCTTGGAGGATTGCACCACCCATGTCGAAAATATTCTCCTGTCAAGGATATATGAAGTTACAACACGAAAACTGGGTAGCGTCTCGCTTTCACGGTCGTTATTAATCATCACTACATACTATTCAAACAATCTATCCTTCCTGCTATGTAGCGTAGTTCGTCCTGGTACTTGTAGCTTTGAATTGCCTGCGCTTGAGTCGCTCTCGTGTGCCGTTCACAGACTCACTCCCGCCCCACCAATCCATCCATGTTAACGTATCTATTAGCTATAATAAAGAAGTGTCGATATTCAGTGCAGACTAAAAGACACTAATGTAGTTGTTGATTCGGTCCTTTTGATTCTGGGCAATGCACTCTGCAATCCAGGTGATATTTCGCACCTCCTGCTCTCTGGTTTTAATCCAGGCCCAGATGGTGGAGTAAGTAAACTGCTGTGTGAAGGCCATCTTGCACATGTCCATCTCCCGCTTGTAAAAGTGGTCGGCCAGCGACTTGTTGTCCGTGGTGTCAAACACACCCTTGTAGTCAGACAGACCGTCGATGATGGCTCGGACCTGCTCCACGTCTTCAGCTCGAGACAGAGCCTCGGTTCCAACGGGGTACAACTGGCCAAACTGGGGCATAAGGGACAGTCGATCGGAGGAAGACAGACCAGAGCCAAAGGAGTTGAGGGCAATGTTGATGGATCGTCGGTCCGCCTCAAAATCGAGCAGCTGCTTCATAATCTGGTCAGAGGGGCTTGGCAAGGTCATGCTGAAGTTGTAAAAGTCCTCGAGGTAAGCCTTGTACAGCCGGTTTCGGATGATTTCAATGTTGAGCTCATCCAGCTCATGCACGCCACCCTGGAAGCAGTCCTTGAAGTAGGGGGCCAGAGGAGTGTCAACAAGCACAGTGTCGTAGAGAGATTCCACATCAGTGGCCACAGACAGAGTGGGCAGGGTGTCGAACCATCCCAGAGGGTGGCATCGCTCCAGCATCTCGGTGTTGTCTCTCTCGTGAAGAGCTCCATTGATGAGCAGAGCAACGTTATCAATCATATATCCATAGGAAATGTAGTCCATGAACTTGGTCATGGGCTCCACGCTCTGAGCACGCACATATCGAAACTCGGCAATCAGCTTGGCCGCGGCCTTCTCCTGGATTGTCGATGTAGAGATGGGTGAGGGCACATTGGACAGAAAGTTGCCGTACTCGGTGGACGACAGTTGGGTCTTGAAGTCCTCCAGCGAGTCACACTGGGTGAGGTTGGTGTAGTTGCTGGACTTGAGCAGACCAGACTGGTAGCCTCGAACGAGAGCCTCAACGTAGCCGCTGGGTTAGTAATGGAGCGCGCGGAAACGACTGGCCGTACGACTGTACGTCAAGAGCGAACAATAGGGGTTGGTGCGACCATGTCACTTGCTAAAGTCGAAAATGAATTAAATAACGTGGTTCATCTAGACATCCTTCAAGCCATTGATTATCACATTAGATCTTGTGATATCACCCAGATGTCGTGATGTTCTGTTCACATATGCCACTGTGTAGGGGGCGGTGCTATAGCACTCGTCGAGCGGCCGTTTTTTTCAACCAATTCGTGCATTCCACCAATAATTGGCCTCCCCAATTCTCCGCAAGCCTCCAAACCCTGACATACTCACTTGTTGATGTTGAAATACAAGCCCTCCATTGCTGTGTAATGTCGACGAGTTACATGTGCGATTGTATGCAATAAGATCTCGGCCGGGTAACCAGGGGGGAGATTTGTAGGAAGAGGCCAATTTTGGGCAATAAGAATGATTTTTGGATAAATCAAACTGTCTGAGCGGGTATAAAGGATCTATATGGTTTTTTTACCTATAAAATAGGCACATCTCCCCATTCATGAACGTGTTGTGGACCCTAGAAACCCCAGAAAATAAACTCCGACCGACACGTACTCACCACCATAGTTTGGTGAACATTGTCAGAAGAGCTACAGAAACACCTACAAGTACAGCATATTCAGAGACGCCAAGTCTTGGCATACTACACAAAATCGTGGATTTACACAATTGCTTCGGCTCCTCGGCATCATCGACACTCTGCCCACATCACTATCGACAATGGATCTGCTATTCGATACCCTGACACAAGATCTGCTGCCGTCTGAAGCAGCTGTTATCAAAAACGACCCGTCTGCCGTGACATACCTCGAGACTCTGCGCCACTTGTCAGCAGGAGACGCAGGAGACGAGTTCGACAAGGAAGCCCAATATCTGGAAACATCATACAACAACAATGTCAAAACCCTGGCTACTTTGGCTGAAGGAGGACATCGACAGTTCTTGAGTGCAGCTAAGAACCTCAGTGGATTTGAGCAGGAATACAAGTCATTTAGTGCTAGCTCGAGCAAAGCAGCTGAGCTGAAAATCGACGCGGAAATCCCTGCTCAGGGAAACCAGAGAGATACGCCAGCTCTTCTGCTACGAAACATTGACAAGGTGAGCGAGATTCTCGAACTGCCTACTCTCACACGTGCCTGCGTGACTAATGGACTCTATTCAGAAGCCCTAGATATCGTCGGACATGCCAAGCTGCTGTCTTCTCGATACCCCAACATCAAAATCATTCAGAAGTTGCTGCAGGAGGTGCTCTCTGTGCAGTCTCTGCTTGTCAACGAACTGCTCGCCCAACTAACCAAAACCGTCAAACTGCCACAAATCATCAAAACCATTTCATATCTGAAGCGCCTACCTCCTTTCAGTGACCTGGCATCTGCAACAGAGTCAACCAGAGCACTGCATCAGGTGTTTTTTGCCTCGCGCATTGCCTACATCAAAAGCCAATTGGCTGATATTCCCCATAAGGACGCCAGTGACAAGTACCTCAAGCGATACATCGAGATTGTGAGAGAACACGCCTTTGCAACCATCACAAACTTCCGTCTGACATTCACGGACTCTGGTAACGAGTCTGCTGGCGAATTCCTCCGATGCATTGTTCTCCAGCTGAGTCAGCAGCTCGATGAGCACTTACCCAACCTCAACGAGACACAAACCGCCAACATTTGGCTGCAGTTGGCATACTGCTCTCAGTCAATGGGCAGAGTGGGGGGAGAGTTTGGTCAGGTGCTCGTGGGATTGGTAAAGGACGAGAACGCAGAGAAGGAATGGTCTGCAGCGGTTGAAAAGCAGAAGGAGATTTCTATTAGCATTGCCTAAAGAACGGGGACAAGCGTACCTACAAGAATACATTTAGCATATCATGTGTACGAAGAGGTGGGGAAAGGGCTGGTGTATGTGACCCGTGCCTATTCGAGTAATCAGACAGACTTGGAACTTCTACACCGTGTTACAGGACATACTGCAGAGGGTGAGCCAGCAGAGTGCTCCGGTAATGAGGCTGGAAGAGCAGCTGACGAGTGGTATAGAAAGGAGGTGTCTGGCACTTCAAACCAATCACTTCAAGCATTCAGTCACTAAAACGTAAATGGACACTTGTACTGCAAATTTTCCAGATCATGCTTCTTGTGGATATTCTATTGTGTGAACTGTGCTCGACTACTAACACAGCAAAAACGAGTGCATGATAACTGAGGCGATTCTGTAGAAGTGACCCGTTGGTTGTATCCCGGATACTATTCGCGCATCTGTCTATAGTAAATAATTCTACAAACAACAGTTCCTCGTAGGATTCTTACTCTCTTCCCAAGCAGGGTACTTTGTAGATGGTTGGTCTTGATCTTCCTTCATCTCTGGGCTGCTCATTCTCGCCGTCTCCAACAGCAACCTCACATAATACTTGCAACATCCATTCATCCGATTTCTCGTTTAAACCTCCTTCAGTCGCGTCGACTTTCCATCTCTTCATTACAGCCCCCCTGGGTGGTTATGCCAAGCCTGTGGGCACAAGAGAATGGTGCGATGCATTTTGGTACAGTACACTAGAGATTTGGGCCAGTCTGAAGGTGGCCATTAAGTCGATTTGCACGTGCTTTCGGTCGTTTTTTGTAGTCAAACTTGCTAGGAACGTTCATGTTGGTGTTTGCACCACGCATCATCAAAATTTAGGAGGTCATTCACACTCCATTCACCATTAGATGCTGTCTGTTGGTTTCCTTTTTTTTGCGCTGTTCTCAAACAGGGTTTCTGCTCTAAACTCTCGCCAAACCCTAACTAACTCTGCCATCAACGAGCAGTAGTGTCGAGAATGCTAAAAAGATTATTTGTGTGCCAAAAAACACATTTTATTAGTTCTAGAATGTGTGTGCCTCTTTTGCACTAATTTTTATCTCTTTACCCTATATATAGCCCCCACAGGCTTGCTTCAAAACTTCGCTGCAACGTGGATTCCCAAAGTAGGTTTTTGAATCTGCATGTACCCCGAACATCCCCCGATATTCGAGCGTCTGTGATACCGTAACAGGCTGGCGTTTCTGCAAGGCTGCTACTTTGGAAGCGTATCAATGCGGGGTACATACGCACAGCCTCGCAGGTCTCGGCTTTTGTGCCACAAGGGCAATTTGCAGCCTTGCAATTTGTTCCTACCTCGAGGGCTTTTGAGTTTGCTTGGGTTCTTCAGTACATCCATCTTAAGAGTGGTCTATTCAGATATCTATGAAAAGTAGAGTAACGAAGAGTTGATAGTCATATTCACCATATTTTTCTGGTCAGATTAATGTCTTCAGGGTTTTTCTAGCTCCACTTTTCACCCTGTGGTATCACTCTAAAGCCGCTAACACCGAACAATGGTTCAGGGCAAAAAACGGCGTGATGACGAGGGGTAAATTTCGTTGTGTAATACGGTCGGCAATTTTACGGCTTCAAAAATACCCTGCTCGTTAAGTCGACTTTAGTCATATCAAGTGGCTGAGTCATTATGGCTAACCAGGAGTAATGGATGAACTTGTGGTTGTATTGCACGTGTATGACCACTCCATCACCCAGCCTTCCATACAGCTGGATACAGAACCTGGGGAAAGCATGAATCTATTTTGGACTCGAAAATCGAAAAGTCGAACAGTTGCCATATTCACTTGCTGTACAAAAGCGCCTACTGCTCATTGTCCTGCAGTCTCAGGAGGATGCACGTGTAGCGGTATCGCCTGGATGTTGGTGACTGAATAGAATATATAAGACAGGTGATATACGCACCATCAAACACACACATACACACACACAATCACATGTCTCACACTGTTGATCTCGAACACGGATACAGCCTGAATCACCAGGTGTCGCATCGATCAAAGACCCAGGCTATTGACGAAGAAGCTGTTGCTTCTTCCAACGCCTCCAACATCCAGGGTCTCACTGGTGATGAGTGCTCTGACATCAAGTTGGCCAAGGTCGAGACCTCAGGCACCAATGGCGAGTACATTCACATTGCCGGGGTCAAGTATCACAAGGACGATTTTATGAGCGCATTTGGAGGAACTCTTAACCCTGGTTCTGCTCCTATTCCTTCTCGACGGTTTGCAAACGCCGCTCCCATTGGGCTTTTCTCCTTCTCTATTACATGTTTCATTCTGGGTATGTGTCTTGTTAACGCTCGAGGAGTCCATGCCCCCAATGTCATGGTTGGATGTGCTATTTTCGGAGGGGGTCTAGTTGAGTTTGTTGCTGGAATCTGGGAAATTGTTGCAGAGAATACCTTTGCCGCCACCGTCTTCCTTTGTTTCTCGTGTTTCTGGTGGTCCTGGTCTCTGCTGCATCTGCCGATTGGAATCGAAAAGTACTACGAGACAGCCGACGAGTTTTCGCAGGCCGTGGGTCTCTTCCTCATGGGCTGGTTCATCTTTGCCATTCTCATGACTCTGTGTACGGTAAAAGCTACAGTAGCCTTCTTTCTGCTCTTCTGTTCCCTTGACCTGGCGATCATCTTTCTCGCATCGGGCCACTTTCTCAACAACCCCAAGCTCGTCCAGGCAGGAGGCGGTTTCTGCATTTCAACCGGTCTCTTGGGTTGTTACAATGGCTTTGGAGGTGTGGCCACTCCTCAGTCTACCTTCACCTGGATCATTCCCCGAGCAATCATGATGCCAGGAGCTCACAAGAAGGATTACTAATTGCATGTATATAATATAATCGTTTGAGAATTTACAATAATAAAACACTACTAGTACAAGTACAAGTACAACATATCATACTTGCAAACATACATTCAGTCAACTTGGCTCAGAAAAACTTACAAGATGACTTAAGTTGCTCAACATTTTCCAACCGTAGACCAGGGAAACAAAACAATGACCTCATCACTTGAAACTGTGACTGTCACCCTGCTTTTACACTTACTTGTTGAGCTTGAGCACGAATTTTCGCCTTGAGCTATACCACTTGCCAATATGAGCTACAACACTTGTAAATATACTAGGAATCAATAATTAAAGCCTTTACTTGGATGCTATGCTCCTTGGAGAAGCAATTTTCGAACTCAGCAGATCCATTCTTCGCATGAGGGTTGTCGTATATACAGTCGCATACTGACATCTTCAGCACCATAAATGGACATGGTATTATGGATTGGAAAGTTAAGAGAGAGAAGATGAATCATTAGTTGTAAATCCAGAATCCATACAACGTGAAAAATTACAGTCTGTCCTCTCTCTAATACTCCGCAACAGTGTGGTATAACAATTTTTATATTTTAATGACCCATTACAGCTATGTACGTACTGTACCTACTTGTAGTAATCCTGTTATTGACGCGCTCTAATAAATCATATACATGATAATTGTTTCGGGGTGCGTTTCGGTGAGTTCTGGTGAGTTTGAGGCTGCCAAACTCGCTCTTGTCATGGTCACTTGGTAGTCTTTTCTATTCTAGAGAATGGTTTTTTTGTTTTTTTGTTTGTTTGTTTTTTTTCTCAGCTACTTGAGGGCTAAAGACCCGTTATGCCCACAAATCGGATTCAGATTGGGTTGTTCGGACCAGCGAGCGTATGGCATTCGTATTCGCTTGTTCAGGTAATATTTCTGACTCATCTCTTCACCGAATTTTTTCCCTTTATTCTATAATTCATTAAAAAATTCATTCTTTTTTCTCTTGTTTTAAAAAATTCTAACAATTCATCTTTTTTTTCCTTTTTTTTTTTTTTTATTCTAATGATTCATTACAGCTATATACCTAGTAAGCCGGGTTGTTGGCGTTCAATAAACGACTTATGACTAAGCAGGTGTTTCCTAACATAGTCAACTTTTTTTTGCTATTCAACTTCCGGTATCCTGGCCGAGCGGTCTAAGGCGCCAGGTTAAGGCTAATACCTTAACGAATTTCCTGGTCTCTTCGGAGGCGTGAGTTCGAATCTCACGGATATCATTTTTTGCACACCTAGCTTTTTTGAGGGAGGGGATTCCTCGATTGGATCGGTCCTCACACGTTCTACACACTGCCCTGACTAACCCAGTGTTCTTTCACAGGTACATAGCGCCGAGTCTAATAATACTCTTTATCCTTTCAAATCATATATTGTTGTCCGCCTCTGGCCTCTGGCCATCAGCTTCCGCCTCTACTCCGTTCGCTATCTACTCCTGCTGCTCCTTCTTATCGGAGGTCTGTTCAGGCTTCATGGCGGGGAACAGAAGAACCTCCTTGATAGTGTTGGAGTTGGTCAGGAACATGGTGAGTCGATCAACACCACAACCCCATCCGGCAGTAGGGGGCAGACCGTACTCAAGGGCGGTGCAGAAGGTCTCGTCAACAAGCTGAGCCTCATCGTCACCGGCGTCCTTCTGTCGAGCCTGCTCCTCGAATCGCTGTCGCTGGTCAAAGGGATCGTTCAACTCGGTGTAGGCGTTACAGATCTCCTTGGTGGCCACAAAGACCTCGAATCGCTCACAGATACCGGGTCGGTCTCGAGAGTACTTGGCCAGAGGAGACATCATCTCAGGATGGCCGTACAGGAAGGTGGGGTTGATACAGGTGTCCTCCAGGTAGTCGCCAATCAGCTTGTCCAGCATTCGGGCATTGGTAAGAGGAGGAGTGCAGACAAGACCGACCTTCTTGAGCTGCTCCTGCAGGAACTGGTTGGTCTCAGCGGTGTGCAGCTGATCTCCAGGAGGGAACTTGACACCCAGCTTCTCCTCAAGAGTGCCGATAATGTCGAGTCGCTTCCAGGGTCGAGAGAAGTCAATGGTGAGAGTCTCGCCCTCGGGGCCCTGGGGCTGGTACTCAATTTTGTATCCTCCGGTGATCTCCTTGACCATCTCGGAGAAGAGCAGCTCGGTGGTCTCCATGAGGTCGTAGACGTCGGCATAGGCCTCGTAGAACTCACAGGTTGTGAACTCGGGGTTATGGGTCTGATCAATGCCCTCGTTTCGGAACTGTCGGCCAATCTCGTAGACTCGCTCCATACCTCCAACCACAAGCTGCTTCAGGTACAGCTCGGGGGCGATTCGCATGTACATGTCGAGGTTGAGGTCGTTGTGGTGGGTGACGAAAGGCTTGGCGGTGGCTCCTCCGGCAATGATGTTCATCATGGGGGTCTCGACCTCAATGAAGTCCTTGTTGTCCAGGAACTTTCGGATGTACTGGATGATCTTGGATCGCACAATGAATCGCTCTCGGGTGGAGTCGTTCATGATCAGATCAAGGTATCGCTGTCGGAATCGGGTCTCAACGTCCTTAAAGCCAGACTGGTGGGTAGGCAGCATATGCAGAGAGGGGGTCAGCAGCACGAGCTCCTTGCAAAAGACGGAAAGCTCACCCTCACCACCCTTCTTGGGCTCGGTTCGGCCGGGGTAACCTCGGATACCAATGACATCTCCTCGTCGGATCAGATCATGGATACCCCAGTCACCCTCATTGTCCTGGCCCTGGGCCATGATCTGCACGGTCTTGCCCTCCTGGTGGAGAACGTAGAATCGCAGCTTAGAGCCAGCAGCTCGCAGGGTGTGCACTCGGCCAGCAACAGAAACCTCCTCGTCCTTCTTGATCTCTCCTCGAGCAAGACCCTTGTACTTCTCCACAAACTCGTCCACCTTGGTAGTGACGTTGAACTTGTGGGGGTAAGGGTTGGGAGTCTTGGACTGTCGCAGAGCATCAATCTGTCGAGATCGGATCTCAAAGTACTGGTTGGGGGTCAGCTCCTCCTCGTTGGGGCCCTTCTCCTTCTTCTCGGTCTTGGGCTGGGCGGCAGCCTTCTCGGCCTTCTTTCGGGCCAGATCTCGAAGCTTCTGTCGCTTCTTGAGTTCGGACTTGGAGACCTGCTCGCCGGTCTCCTCGTCGAGATAGGTCTTGGCCAGAGCCTCGGTAGTTTCCTTAATATCAGACATGGTGTGGTGGTGGAAGGAGAGAATCGATGAAACTTTTCACCAAGTCTAAATTTCGAGATAACAGACGGTAGGGTAAGTGGGTTGGGAAACATTTATATACAGCGTGCACATCACAGTGAAAAGAGTGTGACTCATTGAGGTTAGGGCTGGACACGATGACTCGCCATATACTCCGTGTCTTTGGTCTATAGGAGGAATGTTGAAATCCCGATCGAATGAAGTTCAAGTAGGTTGTATCGCCTGTATATTTGTGAAGCGCTTCCTTCAAGTACAAGTAAAGATGTTCCTATTGTTGGACTCCTTTGTTTTTCCTCCCAATTCAATACTGTGAGCCGTGACTATTCAGGTTAGAGTACTTGTATTTCTAGTTGGGACTTTAAGTAGATGTGACGACAAGAATGGAACAACATAGAGAGAGCTGTTGGAGATGTCTGGTGTCATTCTGGGGGCGATACAACATGAGAAGGCTGTTTTATGGTGTCTTTTATTGGTTCTTTATTATTTATTTTTGTTGTTAAATCTCATTTAACCTGTTTTTGGTACGTTATTGATACCAATCTTGACCATCTGACCATCCGAGCGTACTTGACTTTAGTTAGAGCGTAATAGACTTTAGTTAGAGTGTACTTGACTTTAGTTAGTTAGTTAGAGTAACAGACTTAGTTAATCCAGCTTTGCAACAATCATCACAGACGGAGTATTTTAGTCAGCAAGAGTACAAGAGTACAGGCATTAGCACAGGGTAATCTGCGAGACCAAATTTTGTCACCTGACTTCATGGCTTCAGACCAAGCGTTGGTTTATCCATGGATTTATGTTGACTGATTGTATGCACGCGAAATTTCAATTAACAAACTCAATTCGCGTTCTCCACACAACACCAAGTCAGATCAGCCAACCAAGTACACCATGAGTGATGGAACCAAAAGTCTAGTTGACGAACAGTTTGTGCGGGCGCTCGCAAAGGTTCTTCCCAAGCTGCCCGGTGACTTTGTCTTCCACCACTACCATACTAAGAAGCGTCAGTGCAAGCGGTCTCTCATTTTCCAGGACGATGTTCTCGATGGCTTTGACGAGGGAGATGATGCGGAGGAGGCGAAGGCAGCCGATGAGTCAGCTGATAAGCCTACTGGGTCCACTGAATCCGATGAACTCGAGAAGCTACCTGAAGCAAAGAGAGAATCTGTTTCTGACTCTGGGACAACTGAGGCCAAGGACAACGAACAGAAGCCTGTGACTGGGGTGGAGGAGGATGGAGTGGAGGAGGATGGAGTGGAGGAGGATGGAGTGAAGAAGGTATCCGAATCGGGTTTCAAAGGAGCTGGCTCTTTGGATGGGGACAAGACCGCTTCTAAGTATACAGACGCCGCCGAATCCAAAACCATCAAAACTGTCCCCCCAGAGATCTTGGAACGACGAAAGAAACATACTGTGATCACCCACATGTTTGTCTTGTCGTACGAAAATACCATTCTCTTCGCGCTCGAAATCTACACCTTTTACGATCCCACAGGAGTCACTCTGTTTGTTTCAAAGGCAGACACCACTGGCCAGTCTCCCCTGGTTGACGGCGAGTCTGTCCGAGTGTCGATGAAAGACGTTTCCAGAGCCATCATCGATGTGCTTCTCAAGCATCATCCCGGCCAGCGGGTCCGTATCTGTCTTTTTGCCCGACCCGAAAAGCAATACCTTTTCCCTTTCTCGGCTGACTACCCCAAAAAGCATTTCCTCAGCGGCCCTCAGCTCACAAAGTGGTGGATAGCCTGTCTGGACGGTCTCCTCGATGACTTTGAGAACCCCACTGCCACTCTGCGTATCCCCGGCGCAGAAAACCGAACAATTCAGAGCTTCCTCGAGGGCCTTCCTAGATGGACCATGGGCGACATCTTCAAGTACCAGAAGCCCGAGGTCGGAGAAGTGCCTGAATCTGACGCCAAACTCGCCATCTACCAACTCCCCCGGTTCCCTGATGACCCCAAATCTCGATTCCTCGACTTTCTCGCGTCTGAAGGACGAACTACAACCTGCAGCATTGAAATGTTCTGGGAAGAGATCCAGGGCCGCCAGGAGTTCAATGCCGGAATAATGGTCGGTCTAATGGGCGTTGACGGCGTTGTGAAGGGCGAAACACAGCCTGAAACCGAACCTGCATCTTCTCTGTCGTACAAGGAGTTCAAAAACGTGCGAGAAATCATCACCGAGTCGGATTACACAACTACCGAACTCGTCATTGACGCCAACAGAGAACTAACTGAGGATGGACCAGCGCAGAGCCGTGTGGGCTTCAAGGGACAGCTGGAACGAGCTGCTCCAGTAGCGTCGGAGCTCAAGCGAGCCCCCGTCGTCAACACTCTCGACATGAACCTGGTTAGAAAGAAGAAGAAGACTAACTAACAGAATAAATATTACATTCAGAGCAGCTATAGTTCTAACGTCAAAATCTCCACTAATGGATCCTGTCAAAAATATAACGGGCCAAATTCCTACCTTCACTGCCGTCTCCAGCAACGTTCATCTCAGCAACCTTGCCAAGAAACAGCATCCGTTGAAGCTCCAGTTTCCACTTGTTCATCTCAATGTAGTCTCCCAACTCTAGAGCTTCCGCCTGACGACCAGTTATAGCGGAGAGAAGCCGCCCGGCGTGCTTGCGGTTCTTGTCTTCTAATGGGAGGTGGCCACGCTTAAAATCAACAAGAGAAACACCAATATATGATATCGAGGACCCCAGCCCCTGCAATGAAGGAGCCCTGACAAACGAGCGGTATCGGTAAGTTGCGGCAATGTGGATTCCATGAGGGTCAGCGTCGACACATATGAATAGAGGCAGCATCTCGTCAAAAAGACGCACAAAGTCTTGGGTCATGTGATCGGGGTATCCTTTGCCAGTTATCAAGAGGGTATCTTTGGGTATGTAGGCACACAGGGTTGTGAAAACCGCCTCTTTCTCAACGATCAAAATACAATTTACTTGAGGAGCCAGTTGGATATCGCTGATGTTTGTGGTGTAGGGTATCAATGTTGTGGTATGTGTAGGTATTGTCACTGGAGCTCTGTAGTCGTCCTTGTACGAAATTGTCAACGCTGAATCGCATGCCGAATAAATGAGTCCCTTTTGAGCTGCCACCACATTGAGAGAGTCACGAGGTACTTGCAAAAAATCATTAGTTATTCTAGCAATGCAGCTATCCACGACTCCCTGGGTTTTGAACAGATTCACGGCGTCGTAGTAGATATCTCTTTTTGTGGTGATTTTGTCCTTGTCCAAACAACTCTTGATGATTTGCAACAGTCTCAGGTAGATTGAGAACCGGTTGACCGAGTTACCACAGAGTGTGGTCAGAGGTATCCCTTTGGAAGCATGGGTTTCGAAAATGGAGGCAGAGGAGATGTCTTCGTGAAACTGCTTCTTCAGTCGCGAGATTGTTTTGTTGATGATAGCTTTTGTGTCGTCTTGGTCCATTGTGGCGTGTGGGTGATGTGAACAAGTTTGGTGGTGTTGGAGACATGGAGGAGTACGAGTTACTTGAGATTATGTTTAGAAGGACATTAAAAAATGTCTTTAACCGATCAAGATAATCTTGCAAGAAAAAGAAACCGTGTAGCTCAAAAAAAAAAAAAAAAAAAAAAAAAAAAAACTTGTGAAACGCACCAATCACAAATATGAACGCTCCCGACCCATTTGTACCCTCCATCAACTCCACTTGGTGTTGCCCAAGTTTGATCCGTTGGTCGTTTGACTCGTTCTTCACGATATTGCCAAGTCAAGTGACACAACTTGTAGTATAACGCAACTACAGTATGTACTGCACTTCAAGTATATAAGTATATAAGTACATACTGTACATACAGTACAGGAACTTTTGAATGGAACTGGAACGGTCAGTTGTACAAGTACAGGACTTATATTGCACCAGGTACTTGTACAATATAAGTACAAGTAAATTGCAATTGACGTCCCTCACGTCACTCTCACAATTGTTTCGTCTTGTGGGGGCTAATCGGCACCCCCATAAACAGGGAGGTTCTATGATCGACAGCGCAGATAAAAAACATACAAAAAGTCAACCCGAAAAGTGAAGTCGGAACTCAAAAAATTGGAGGTGATCATAACGTACAAGTACAATACCAAGTACAAGTACACGTACACATACTCCAGAAAGCTGAGGGAGTAAAAATCAATTAACCGATGGATATCCCACTTATATATTTGACCTCGGCTAATGTGCCTCTATACAGCAACAATATGCATGTCTACCATCGGATCCATCGGATCGAACCATTAAAAGATTTAGACTCACCCCACATTCTGCAGCCCTTCTGAACATTAGCGCAGGCTTCCCGTACTCGAACTTCCACTTGTACATACACGCCATGCTACACACTATCAAGGGTCTTCGACAAGTGCGGGGAGCTCGGGGCTTCTCCGTGAGCTCGAGAGCGCTTCTTCAGCTCAAAAATGTGACCAAGACAGGTCTTGAAATTGAACTGGAACCCGGATCGACCCCCGTTCACTACTCCAACTTTTTCCTCAGAGATGCCGCCTCCTCCACAAACGCCATTGATCCCTCGACTTCGCAGCGGTACTTTTCTTCCGGCGAGCTGGCCAAGGACATCCATCCCAAGAAAATCCATGTGGGCAAGAAGGAGGGCCAAGCCGACTCTGCCGTGTACTCCACTCAGGACACCAAAATATGCCAGCATGATACGGACATTGACGGCCTGAAAATCGAGTGGTCCGACGGCTTCCAGGAGTACTACACGGCACACTTTCTCAAGCAGTATGCGTCGCCCGAGGCTTCTCGAAAACGACGACATTTGGCCCAGCCTATTGAACTGTGGGAGAGAAAGGAGATTACTGAGGCGCTGGACAAAAACCAAATCCAGACCACGTGGAAGGAATACCAGACCACCGAGGGTATGCATAAAATCGTCAAGGCTCTGCACGACTACGGTCTGGCGTTCGTGACGGGTCTACCTGACCAGAAGACAACGGTGGTTGATGCTGAAGACAAGGATGTGGGTACTGTCACAGCAGAACCCATTCTCGTGGAAGAGGTCGGAAAGAAGATTGGATACATCAAGGAAACCTTCTATGGCCGATCATGGGACACCCGATCTGTCCCCAACCCCAAAAACGTGGCCTACACTTCGCAGTACTTGCCTCTGCACATGGACCTGCTCTACTACGAGTCTCCTCCTGGCATTCAGCTGCTCCACGTCATCAAAAACCAGGCTGTCGGAGGCGAGTCCATATTCACAGACTCGTTTGCATCTGCTAAATACGTCTGGGAAAAGAATCCTGCCGCCTACAGAGCTCTGTGTGAGATTCCTTTGACATTCCATTACATCAACGACGGCCAGCATTACCACAACACCGTGCCCATGATTGTCGAACACCAGCAGACAGACAAGAGCAAGTGGACCAACCCCAAAGCCATCAACTACGCTCCTCCTTTCCAGGGCCCCTTTGACGCAGTTGAGCTAGTTGAGGGAGGTGAGAAGTGCGAGCTATTCAGAGAAGGTCTCAGACTGTTTGAAGAGCACCTTACCAGCGCTGAAAATGAGCTGCGAACAAAGATGGAAGAGAACTCCTGTGTGCTTTTCCTAAACCGTCGAGTTCTTCATTCTCGAACCGAGTTTGATGCACAGTCTGGCGTCAGATGGCTCAAGGGAACTTATCTGGACATCGATGCCTTCTACTCCAAACTGAGAGTTCTATCAAACGATTCCTAAACCGACTCACTACGCTATAGTCTCTCAAACGTATATATACACTAAATATTTTCTATGCTAACGGGGTATGGTCGTCTTAGATCACCTCGCCAATAATCTTGGAAGCCTCCTTGTAAGTCTTGAGCAGAGTCTCGCACTTTTCTCGCTCCTGGGCCAGGTTTTCGTCCTCAAACAGAAGGGCATCAAACAGAGCCTCCTTGTACAACTCGCTGACCAGTCGGTTCTGAACGCTCTCCTTACTGAAGTTGACCAGCAGATGCATGACCGCCTTGGGGACCTGGTCCTGGATGGACTCTCGCACAATGTTGAAGTACGACACAATCAGTCGTCGTATCAACTCAGTCTCGAGCTTCTCTCGGTCGGACAGCTGCTCGCCTTCCTCGAGATCCATGTCGTCAAATGCAGAAGCCATGGTGTCCATGGGGTCCGAAATGTGCTTCTTGTCGTGGGGACCCTTCTGGGAGCCTCCGGAGGACGAGAAACCATTGGGGAACTGACCCTTCACGCCAGCAGCACCGGGGGGAGGCATGACAGGGTTGCCATCGGCGTCCTTGCCAAAGAAGTAGTTGAGGAATGTGTCCTTGGGCTCTCCGGAGGCGTTAGTGGCGGTGGAAGGGGTTCGGTGATGATGGGCCTCTCGCTGGTGGTCCTTACCACCCTCGGTAGAACCAGGTCGAGAAGACGTGGAGTCGTCGTCAGGACCATTCTCGATGGCCTGAGGGGTATCCTTGCCGTTGGGAGGGAGCATATCCATGTGCTTTCGTCGCATATCCTTCTGCCGGCTGGCGTTTTCTTTTTGCTTCTTCTCCTCCACCACGGTAGCCATAGCGTCGGCAGCGCCAATGAAGTTGGGATGGTTGGTGTTGATGTATGCTCGCTGGATAGCGATCAGAGACTCCACGTACGAGGCGGTAGGGCCAAGTCGCTCCCGCAGCAGGTCGGAGACACACTCAATGAGCTTGGCCTGAAGTTTAGGAAACCGAGAGAGCTCGGGAGATCCGCAGTTGTGGCAGATCTTCATGAGCTCCTCGTACACAAGCTCGACGCATCGCTGGGAGGGCGGCTCCAGCAGCTTGATCTGAGGCTTCACAAGCATATCAAAGGCGAGCTCCGGAACAAAGAGCGAGGGTCGGGGACCGGTGGAGTTTCGAATGGCGGTTCGAATGTCGTTGATGGACAGGTTGGCGGTGGGGCTTATCGAAGACAGCGCTGTACCAAACACATCATTGTAAATGTAGTAGATTCGAGCGCCTCCGCACAGCTCCTTGGTAGAGACGGCGGCGGTACCCTCGATGGAGGTGACGAACTTGGAGGCAAACTTGGTCATGAGCTGCAGAATAAGAGTGCCCTTGGACTCGCCAGAGTTGAGGTATGACACTCCGTAGCTGGACAGTTCCTGCTCGGTCTGGCCCATAAGGGTATTGAGCTTGGCCTTGATGTCGGGCAGCTTCTCCCGAATGTGGTTCATGAGAGTCTGGTTCAGAGACTTGGCGAGAAACTGGGTACCGCACTTATGGGAGATGTTTCTGTACACGGGGTGGTTCTGGAAGAACTCCCTCTCGGCCTCCAGCGAGTCGGACAGGGGCTTGTTGGCGTGGATATCCTGCTGAGATCGATTGATCACACCAATGAAGCCCAGCTTGAGAGGGTATACCCGGCCAGACAGGATATCCATGGCGTTAGTACCCTGGTCCATTAGATCCAGCTTGGTGAGAATACCAATGGTTCGCTTGCCGTGGGGATCGACCTGTCGGGCGAGCTTAAGTGACTCGGAGTTGACAATGTCCACGTTGGCAGGGGAGACAGCCAAGATGATGGAGTTGGGCTTGGCAATGTACTCGCAGATGAGGTGACGGGTCTGTCGCTCAATGTCGGTGGGCTGATCGCCAATAGGGATCTTGGTGAGACCGGGCAGATCAACCAGCGTCAGGTTGAGCACGTGGGGTGAGAAGATTTTGAGGTTGATAGGGATTCGGTTGATGCCCTTGTTGTTTCCGGCAATTCGCACCGTCTCATTCTCAATCTCCTTTCGAATCTCCTCAAAGTCGTAGAACTGTCGTCCGGGAATGTGCAAAAACTCTCCCCATTCGACCGAGTTGGACTTGGGGGTTCGAGTGTGCACCTCGCCACTGGATCCAGGACGGTCCTTCTCTTCAGAGGGCAGGTTGACGAGCTGCAGCACGAGAGGTCGTCGGGTGACGATGCCAGTACCTCGGGGCAGAAAGTCTCGACCCACAATGTTTTCCAGCACCGACGACTTACCACACGACTGGGAGCCGACCACCACGACCTGGGGCAAGTCGAGTGTGTCGGAGCCAATGGTGTTGAACACGAGGTCCTGCAGTTTGTTGACCAGGGGGATCAGGTCTTCTAGGGATGCCGACATCTGGGTTAGTGGTGTTTCTGGATGTGTCGTGGTTCACATGTCTAAACGTATCCGACTTGAAGTATCCAAAATCTAACATGGCCATGTATCCAACTCAGTGATAAGTTGCGTGTAGTTGACGGGGATGACACTCCTGCTGACGTGTCGAGAATCACCTCAAAGCCACCATCGGGACACCACCAGCATCAACATCATTGCGCCACTGTGATGATCCACCATGTGAAGAAGACGGATAACGAAGCCACAGCCAGCAATAGGAGGCCCAAAGTGCGCTTCCATTGGATTCCCGGCCATTGGGCGTGTGTGCGACCTTTGGCCAGGCGCATCCAAGCTCGTTTTACTCACCTTGATGTGTATCGATGATTTCTCAGAGAAGACAAATATGCAAATGCAAATAGCAACACAGGCAAACTGCCAATTTGGCTTTGGCTTTTTTTCGTAACCACCACACACAGCAGTCTTCAGAAGTTTAAAGGTGCCGATGGGAGGGGGATATCTAGTGTCTAGAGCACGTGATTCGGGGCCGATTGGATCTGCGAATACTCCAGTCGATTCATGAGACGCTTTGGAACTCGACTGTCGTCTTTTTTTGTCTCAGAAACCGCTCCAATCCACCCGAAAACTGTGCTTTCCTAAATCATAAAGATCTGCATTGAAACAATAGCTTTCTACTGTTGTCAAGGCAACCCTCGCCACCACCTTCTTGTCTATGTTTGGCTTGGGAAAATGGGGCATTGAGTGCGTATAACTGGTATATAAAGGTCGGTATGCCCACCCCGTGGGAGCACCATCTCCACAGTGCGCGACCTGTTCTTCATCGCAGTGCACCCCTTGCACCGCTCTCATTGGTTGATTGGCATCGCCACCGACCGGAATTATGCGGGCTACTGTAAACGCGTCTCTACAAGTGCCAGAAGTGCAGGAACGGGATACAGGAATGAGTGAGTACCAGTACTTAGCGGGTCGGTTGTGCCGTTACCAGAGTAAATCGCGTGAGCGAGAAAGTTGATGGTGTTGAACAGGGACACTGTGATACATGGGCCCTTATCAAATATAACCTGATTAAACAACGAGACGTCTCCCCAATTCCACCCTGTCATTACCCTACCCGGCCTTGTTGGCGTGCTAGTTAACCATAATGTGGGCACTGTTCTAGACTGATGGTGGGATACATAGCGAGAATACAAGCGTATAAGCGAGTACAAGCGAGTACCGTACAAGAACCATACAGATATGTACAGTAGTCATACTATACCCACAACTGAGGCGTAACCGATGCCAAACAGTCATAGTCATCGGCCTGTTGATATATATTATTCGTTTTTTCTCGCGTATTTAAAACTGTCTATCCGCAAGCAACTCTGGTATCTGGCTTATCACCGGCAGCCTATCACGTCAATGAGACTGTATGACAGGAGTGTATGGCTCAATGAGACAGAGTTGGTTCTCATGGTACAGAGTAAATGACCTGTTTCTGTATCGTGAGTCTTCTTCGTCGCAATATCATCACCAAAATATCTACTGTATTCATGTATAGATCATCTGCCGGTTTACCTTTCAAGGCTGCTCAACGCCGTACCGTACCGTACTGGTAGCTACTCGTACTCGTACAATTTCGTCCATTTTTAGTTTTGTCAAATTTCATCTCTCGTCGTAAACTCGACATATTTGTCGATCTCTTCAAAGAGCGATCCAAAAATCTGCGTCTACGCAAACCGCCTCCGTCGGACCAGTTGCGGCTCTGATTTCCTCGACTCCGATTAATGTATACAGCAGTGGGTTAGCTCTCTCTCCATGGGCTCATGGACTCCGAGTGCCGGTAGCTACTCCACATTAAAGCGGGGTGCGTGTGGGACTCGCAGGAGCTATGTGGAGTGAGGGGAGAGTCGATAACGGAGGATGTAGGAAAGATGGAGAGAAGAGAGCAGGGTCAAAACCACAACCGCAACAAGCTGAGTGGATTGCAATTTCATCCAGTCTGAAATATATAAAAATAAAATAAAAAAAAAGAGACCATAACTCGCTCTAGATACTCATTCTATCTCCACGCTTGAATCGTAAAGTTCAATTTAGACTTTGCGGTAGCGCTCATGCGGCGCGATATTTCGCTTCACGTATTTTCGCCCAAGAGAATCCGAAACAAGTCATCTAGAGATCCGAATAATAGCCGGAGACGTCGAATCAGCCGAAAACTATGTGATTACATAATACACCATTGCAACGGACCGAGCATGACCCTTTTTCGAGCCAGGACACCGATCACCAACTCTGCTTCCGTTAACCCAATGAGGCAAGTGTATGCGTTGTGCGCATCGGCTATGAATGGAGTCGTGGGGTGGCCGAGCTTATTTCTTATCTGGCGGCTATTAGTTCCTCAAGTCTGATTAGTCTACGTCCGTCTCTATATAAGGCCCGTGGTTGGCCCTCTCCCAATCAGCGACTCTACCAAATCCAGCTAACCACACAATGGGTTACTTTTACGTCAAAAAGACTATCAAGGCCAAACAACAGGAGCGGGAGGACCGTATGGCGGCCCTGCCCGAGTACAACACTCCTCTGACCTCCAAGGAGCGAGACATTCTCAAGCAGGACGCCGAACATGTCGTGAACCAGGTTCAGAGCGGCGATCTCAAGGCCCCCGAGGTGCTCAAGGCTTACGGAAAGATGGCCTTCAAGGCCCAGCGACACTGCAACCCCGTCACCGAGATCATGATCAAGGACGCCGAAAAGTGGGCCGCCAACACAAACACAGAGGGATCTCTGGCCGGCTTCCCCATCTCTCTCAAGGATACTGCCGGTGTTACCGGTTACGATTCTTGCATGGGATACACTGGCAAGTGCTTTAAGCCCTTCACCAAGGACGCCCCCATCATCCGACTACTTAAGGACTGTGGTGCCGTCCCCTTCGTCAAGACCAACGTCCCCTACACCCTGCTGTCGTTCGAGTCCTACAACGACGTCTGGGGCCGAACTGATAACCCCCATGTGCCCGGTCACTCCGCCGGAGGTTCCACTGGTGGAGAATCCGCCTTGCTGGCTTACGGAGGCTCTCGTCTCGGTATCGGAACCGATGTCGCCGGATCCGTTCGACTGCCCTCCCATTTCTGTGGTATCTACACCGTCAAATGTTCCACTGGTCGATTTCCCAAGGCTGGCAACAACACCACCATGCCTGGACAGGAAGGTATCCCTGCTGTGTACTCGCCCATGACCCGAACTCTGGCAGATCTCAAGTTCTTCCTCAAGGCCATTGTTGACCAGAAGCCCTGGAACTACGACTACTCGTGTCACCCCATGCCCTGGACCGAGGCCAACCTGCCCAAGAAGCTCAAGTTTGGCGTGATGTACACTGATGGTATTGTGGACCCCTCCCCCGCCTGTGCTCGAGCTCTCAAGATGACCGTTGACGCCCTGGAGGCTGAGGGTCATGAGACCGTCGAGTGGGTGCCCCCCAACTCCCTGGACTGCCTGCGAATCGCCTCTCAGCTTCTTGTTTCCGACGCTGGAGCCATCTCCACCCGTGACCAGATCTGGCCTGAGAAGAACGATGTCGGCGTCGCCAGAATGTTCTTTGCCTGCAACCTCCCCCGATGGATGAAGAAGATTTGGGCCTGGTACCTTGAGCACATTAAGGGTGACAAGGTGTGGGCCGCTCTGGTGCGAGACTTCAACAAGAAGACCATTACCGAACGATGGGACCTTGTCTACGAGCGGGAGGGATACAAGAACAAGTACTTCGAGCAGTGGCAGGAGTCTGGAATCGATTTCCTCATCACTGTCCCCAATGCTACCCCTGCGTTCCCTCACAACGGTCTCTACGAATCCATTTCTTCCTGTGGTTATACCTTCATGTTCAACCTCCTCGACTACTCTGCTGGTGTCCTTCCCGTGACCAAGGTTGACCGAGAGCAGGACAAGCTGCCCGCCGTGTTCAACCTCAAGAAGCTCAACGCTGTCGCTCGAGGCGCCTACTCTCAGTACAATGCTGAGAAGATGCATGGTCTCCCCGTCGGAGTGCAGGTCATTGCTCCCCGACTCAAGGAAGAGGACTGTATTGCCGCCATGGAGGTGGTTGAGGGTGCCCTGAAGGCCAAGGGCATTAACTACCCTCTGTTGAACGAGTAATTTTTCCGCATATAAAACTAATGAAGAGATGATCTATTGACACACGGGGTTGGGCTGTAGAAGTACCAGTGCTGTTCGCAGTAGTTTCTAGGAAACAAACAGTCAAGAAACAATCAATTATAACTTACAAAGACTAGTTGGCATATCTAAAGAAACGGTTCTGCTTGTCAGTAAGATCCTGGCATTGGATCTTTTCCAGCTGCTCGGGGGTAGCAAAACAACCCTCTTCGTCTCGCTTCTTGTTTTCTCGGTAGTTGACCCACATGAGCACTCCGTTGAGACCTATGGCGACGAAGAAGAGAACCACCATTGACACCTTTGCAGGCACATAAGAGGGAGCGTCCGAAGCTCGGAATGTTTGGGGACCAATGAGGTTTCCCACGCAGTATCCAATGAGAAGAATAGCATTGACGGTGACCTTCTTGGTATGACCAGCAGTGTTGGAAGCCACCGAAGACAGAATACAAATGAATCCCACAGGGTAGATGATGAGAATGTAGAGTCCAGCCAGACCTGCAGCCTGGTTATCTGGAATGAATGCTAGGAGACACATGGCCATTACTGAGATGGACTGGGCAATCATGGACATGAGAAGTCGTTTCTGAGTGTATTGAACCAGCAAACCAAACAGAATGCAGCCCACTAGTTCAGTGGCTCCCTGTGGACTTTGCATCAGAAGTCCTTTTACTGGTCCTAGTCCTAAAGTCTCAGAGAACAAGATGGTATTGAAGTTTGTGATACCTCCGTTGGGGATGTTGGAGGTCAAGCAGAAGAAGAAGTAGAGCCAGGTTCGTATGTCTGTGAAAGCCTCGATGAACTGGTCCTTTTTGAACTTTTTGTTCTCAAAGCCCTGCTGATTGGATCTGATTCGGATCAACACTAGTTTCCGCTCGCTGGGGGTCAGAAACCAGGCCTTTGAAGGGTCATCAGGGATGTGAAACAGAACCACAACACCTGCAAAGATAGTGATGACTCCTGTAATAATAAAGACGAGTTTCCAGCCATGTATCGGTAGACTGTTGTTGTTAGCAAGTCCATAAGCCATGAGGGAGCCCACAATGATACCGATCCCGTTAGCCCCTAGCCAGATGGCGGTTCGGAGAAACTGCTCTTCTCTTTTGTACCATTGAGCAGTAACAATGACGAAGGCTGGAGTCACGGCAGACTCGAGCATGCCCAGAATAGTTCTGAGGGCGATAAATCCAGCATAGTTGGGCGTGGCATGGAGACACAGAACTATTCCCCAGACAATGATGAAGGTACTGAGGGTCTTGATGAGAGGGAATCGTTGAAGAAGGTAGACTGCTGGGAACTCGAATGCGAGATAGCCGAGGTAGAATGCCGTTCCTGTCCAGGAGTACATGTCTCCCTTCATGCCTAAGTCTTCTCGAAGCCCCATAACGGACGCTGTGGAGTTGGTGGACTTGTCCATGAACTGAACCGCGTAAACAAACATCATGACTGGACATAGGTAGAGGTCGGTCTTTCTTAGCAGGCGTCTATCGGTCTCTGGGTCAAGTTCGTAGGGGACCAGATCATCGACTTCAGCCACATGGTGTTCGTCGAGCTGTTTCTCCAGCGATGTGGATGGTGATGTTTTGTTGTTCATTGATGTCAGTCAGCTTCCTCTGGTATCACCATCTATCTATATACCCCATGGAATACGACGTTGCGCTTCTGCCAAGGCAATAAAACCCGCCATTTCCACGCAACTAGTTGTCTCAAACAGACAAATGCGCGTCTTGGCCTGCTAATGAGAAGGCCAAGGTTTGTAGATAAGGCTAGAAACGCGATATGGAAGACACTAAGTCCGGCTTGTACTGCTTTTTAGGAGAAACAGAGTGGGGTGGGGTGCACCCGCCTTCCAAGATGTAGCATTCCACGCGGGTTGATGAGGAAAAAATGGGTAGATAGTGTCGATGTTATTGCTCAATGAGCGACAAAAAAGCCAATTAGACACGAATGGAAATTATCAACTGTCATTTAAATTGATCTCGTTCCTGTGGTGGACACCAATGACAGCAGCCTGACATATCTTGAATACAATATTAATTAATTAACGAAGATAAGCTGTCTGCTAATCTGGATTAAACCGACGCGGCTGAGCGAGCCTAACGAATCTCACTTTGATCGCCATAGCAAGCTGGTGCCGATACCGCTCTTCATAGAGCGCATTTATTATCCAAGAATCGCCGCCAAGCATGCATGCCAAGACCCGCTCCTGTCAGCTGTTATCATCGTCGGGGCTGCGTTTCCGGGTCCAACAAAGAATATGGGACACCCCCACAAATCCGACGCTACTGCTGAAGTGGAGATGCATCTTGGAGCAGATCCAACCTGGCCACCGTATTGGTATACAAAAGATCTCGTGAACCACGCACGACAAATACTACAAGTAGCCAGAAACTATAGACAAACAGACCTACATACAAGCAGAGCCACAATAAACGAAACTGGCTCTTTATCTAACTACAAGATCTAAAATTCCAACTCCATCTTCAGTGTCCACATAGATCTATCAAACAGGACGTTTATCTAGGACCATCGCATTGCCTGTGGTATGGTAACAGCGATTGATCTAGAGCAGTAATGCTAGCTGGCGAATGTTAACCTGAATGGGTTTACTGTCTTGGGCTCTTTGGCGATCAGACAGGGGGTCCCTCCTTGGATCTGTCCTTGGCTCAGGCAGTAGGGCTAAATACCCTGATTAATATATGTTTTTGAGACGAACGCACCATTGTCTAGTAGTAACTCGTACGGATGTGAATAATGGAAATGTAATCATTGTGCATGAGTCAAACGGACTGTGTCCTCGCTGTAAAAACTGCTTATCAGCTCCATTTCTCAGCAGACTACAAACGGCTCATTCCGTTTTCAACATGACCCAAATAGAACTGGTCGGCGTCTGAGGAAGAAAGAGGGACAGACACATGTTTATTCATGCCTTTTTGGAGTCGTTATGGTTCTCTCTCAGGGCATGGGAAGATAAAAGACCAGCGTTCCTAGAGCAGACCTGCCCGGAAGGTGGATGGACACGAAACAGAGGCTGAGTACTTAATGAGCTCGAAAAGGGGACAATAATATCATTACATCTCCCGTTGCCTCCAGCATTTTCGATATATGGGTGATAAACGACCCATTTAGTCTGCTCTTAACTCACCATACAGCACTGTCAAACTTACCTGCCATTAATCATGGAATCTACCCCCCCGGGTGAGCTCTTCACCACAATTCTTCAAATCTTCTTCTTCAAAAACACAAAGTCGTATCCTGAGATCATTGGTATTGTGCAGTATACATTCATACAGTCGTCTTCGTTGACATCATCATGCAGTGCCAATCCCCCAATTCCTGGAACTCAAGGAGGTGCCAAAGTTGCAAAGGAGAATATGTTACAATTCTTGAAGAAGTGAAGAAATCCAAATAATATCATCCCTAAGTTTTGGATGCCTTTAGGGCCCGCTTCTGTCTCTTTCCGTCTCTCGCGTAGCCCAGCTTTTCTTGTCACATCTCTCCGTGCGTCATCAGCCACATTCTATAACCTGAACTTACAGCGTGCTTCTTTTACCATTCTTCATTGACTTCACAATGACGGACTCGAGTATTCGATTTTGACGTTAACACAACCATCTACCAACGCCTCTCTATCGCACCAACCAACGTCTTTCCAGTCTCGTGCGTTCTGTGGTTCCAAATTCTCGTCCGTCAGTTCTGAACGTGACAGTCGTAGAAACAATTATCACCGCTAGAAAACAATCGAGAGAATTCAAAATGGTTTTAAACCTCGTCCAACTGACAACACTTTTCGCAGAAGTGCAGTCCCCTTTTGTACTCGCCGTGGACTCTCCTTCTTCCCCCTACACATGTTTGGTCTTTCTGGCACCAAATTCATAACTCTGGTGCTGGATGTGTCCGCCGGCCCACTAATAACAGATATTTTCATGTTTAACGACCTCTCCAACTTTTCTGAGGTCTCCCCAACCCTCTCGGAACGGTCCTGACTCTTCTCTTCTCCTCATTTCTCCTCAACTAAACATGTTCAAACCGGACACCCGTATCTCAATGGGCAGTCAAAAACATGAAAGCCAAACTAGCCGTGGCGTTGATTCTCAGTTACCATGCTACTTTGCGTCCATTTTCAATACTCGTTGGTGCGTCATTGCTTAGCTCTGTCTGCTGATAGCAACTTGGTTGGCTTGCACAGGCAAGTTCTTTGGCTAAATTCGACTCAAAAGGAAAAAAAGATCCAGGAAAATGAAGACTATTGGCATTTTATGTGGAACGACGACAGATCTTACGGATATTTCAAAGTGAATGTTTCTGAACAAGTGCCGTTTGTGTTATGGACCCACCTTGTGATGCAATATCTGTGTACGTGATCTACTGTATTTTCAAGCCAAGCTTGTCACTCACGGTTTCTTGAATCTCACAGTTGCTATCTTGCTCATTCTCACGTCGGTGCAGTGGAATCTTGAATCTAAGTGTCTCATGGGTCTCTCAAGCGATGAATTTCGTCAACAGCAGAAACAGACAACATAGGGACTCTCTTGGAGACCTAAACGGACTTTGTTGCTGAAGAGTGGGCTTGTCAGCTCGGCGTCTCAGCAGATCATATGTGGCATGCATCTTGCATCATTTCCAGAATGACTCAGACTAAACAGTCCTTTCCCCCGAGGAGAAAACAGGGGCATTATTTGATGTGTTCCTGGCCGGGGACGTTACAGTTCATGACGATGTGCGTCCCTCATGCAGCCGAACGCAAAAGGTGCATGGATACGAAACAAAGAAGTGCCGAATGAGTTCGAAAGGACGGCGAAAAAACCATGTGAAGAGCCAATGTGTCAAAATGTATTTCTGAAAAGCAATATACCAACTACCTGTCAATGGGTTGTGTGTGTCTTGTTTTTTTTTTCTTGTTTTTTATATTTTTTTTTTAATTCTCTTTTATGAAGTGTATATGTGTAACACTCGCTCTGGAGAGTTAGTCATCCGACAGGGTAACTCTAATCTCCCAACACCTTATTAACTCTGCGTAACTGTAACTCTTCTTGCCACGTCGATCTTACTCAATTTTCCTGCTCATCATCTGCTGGATTGTTGTCTATCGTCTGGCTCTAATACATTTATTGTTTATTGCCCAAACAACTTTCATTGCACGTAAGTGAATTGTTTTATAACAGCGTTCGCCAATTGCTGCGCCATCGTCGTCCGGCTGTCCTACCGTTAGGGGTAGTGTGTCTCACACTACCGAGGTTACTAGAGTTGGGAAAGCGATACTGCCTCGGACACACCACCTGGGTCTTACGACTGCAGAGAGAATCGGCGTTACCTCTCTCACAAAGCCCTTCAGTACCGCCGCCTGTCGGGAATCGCGTTCAGGTGGAACAGGACCACCTCCCTTGCACTTCTTGGTATATCAGTATAGGCTGATGTATTCATAGTGGGGTTTTTCATAATAAATTTACTAACGGCAGGCAACATTCACTCGGCTTAAACGCAAAACGGACCGTCTTGATATCTTCTGACGCATTGACCACCGAGAAATAGTGTTAGTTACCGGGTGAGTTATTGTTCTTCTACACAGGCGACGCCCATCGTCTAGAGTTGATGTACTAACTCAGATTTCACTACCTACCCTATCCCTGGTACGCACAAAGCACTTTATTTTCTCACATATGTTATTTTCAGTCAGGCCTTCCTGTATATCCGACAAGCTGAAATATCTTGTGAGCCTTCTATAAGAACATAGTAGAAAGTGGAACATCAGAAAAGCTGCTGTAACTGGGTGTCCACTCCCCTGGAAACTCCAGGGTGGCTGAAAACAGGGAAATTCCGATTCGCAGGCTTTCTCAAAGTCGTCATACATTTGGGCTGCAGTCCGGCATCATAAAATGAGGGTTGGAGACGAGTAGCAAAAAGAGTTGGTGGAGATCCAAAAGGATCAAAACAATTGCAGCACCCAGGATTCTCGTATGGTCTCCCACTACAATACTAACTGGGCTCTCTGGTGCTTGACTATGGCTGATCGGACGGGAAGCCGTATTTTCACCAGGATATGGCCGCAACTGACAAATCGGCTAAATTGAAGACTTGGAAGCTCCAACTAGGTCACAAGTGCCGAAAAAAATCCGGATTTTATGTATACATTGGAGAGAACACTTCACCACGCTACTGGTAGGTCTGACTAGATCGCAATACGGACATTCAAACTCATCATCTGACAAGTACAATGCAAGAAAACAGAAGTTGTAGTACTTGTATGGTCCAGCGCTACTAAGTATCTTTGTAGATCCAGCTCATGGCATCTGCCGAATCTTGATTGATATGGTAAAAGCACCCATTGTTGTTAGCATCCAATATCTGGTGGGCCTTCTTGACGCCAGTCAATTATGCTCGCTGGTTGGTTTGAATAAGCCCTTCAAGATGTGCATGGAGTGTGTCGGGCACACAGAGTCCATGAAACAGAGCGAATCCAGCGACTGCGTTAGAGCGGCTTTTTTGAGAGCTTTTTCCGTCAGTCAGTGTATATCTGATAGACGATATTCCGTTCGAGTCTCCGAAGCTGAGGTCGTTTTGCGTCATCAGTAACTTCGCAGTTTGTAGTCACTGGTTCAGATAGGTGCTGAGTAACTGATGTCTTGCAATACTGAAAACGGTAGCTGCCGAGATATCTGTTCATCTCCACCAATGATAAGTACTTGATTCTAGCAAATTCCGTCGGTACAGTATGTACACACGTATTTTACTCAGACCCGCCAGCACTCATCCCTGTCTGTTTCTATCCACTCACGACTGGGTAATTCGGTGGTAAAGTGTTGTTTAGGAGCAAGCAAGTAAAGATGTGAACATACATCTCCAAGACTCAACAACTGTTATATCAGGCATTTCAAGTGATTAAAAGGAGTCGCCATGCGTTGTTACAGACGCCTCTTTCATTTCAACTCACGGTAGTTCCCAATTTGGGGGAAAATGTGCTGCGACAAAAGGGGGGTACTTGTATACCATGCTAAGACTATCGTACAGTATTACGATACACAAGTCTCACGATACATATACATATACGTAGATCTATCATTACCTGTATTATGCAAATGAAATATAACAATCGCCCTAACTCCTCAGACCCAACAGCAGCTCGACATCCTCGGTAGTTCGAGGAAAGAATTGTCGGTAGTCGCTCTCAACCTTGTACGTGTCCTTGACCTTGCCCTCCAGCTTAGAGAACTCCTCTACAAACTTCTTGGTCGAGTTTCGAGCAATGTTGTCCACAATAACAGGTGAGGAGATGCGGAACAGCATGGAATGCAAATCAGTGAGCGCCGACGGCAGGAAGTCATCCAGCTGGAACGAAATCTCTGACAGGTGAGCAGGCTCAAGGTCCTCACCAAGTCCAACCTGCTTGACAAACTTGTGGAACAGTCTTTCAGTTAACACCTGCTCAATCTCATCCACAGAAGACTGGAACGAGTCCACCTTGTATTCGGAAGCAGAATATAGTTTAAGAGTGATGATGATCTGGTCCAAACAGTTGAGCAGAAAGATTTCAGCATCAAAATCAGCTCCATCAGAGGCAACTCGACGACAAAACTCCATGTAGGGATCGAGGGAATTGTCAATGTGTTTTCGAACAACCTGCTCGTCCAAAGAATACTGCTGGTTGGCCTCCAGAATCTCCTTGAGATCAACAAGCGTCTGGGTGAGGAACTCCGGCGGTTGCAAATCACTAGAAAGGGTTGTGGGAAGAGACACAGAAACGTTTCGAACACGCGACTCGCAGGTTTTGGTGAAGTGGGTGTTGCAGAACGCCGTCAGTTGGGTTAGTGTATCTACCAGCTGCGAGTTTGGCAGATGCTTGGATAGCATTGACTTGTAGAACTCCACGAGACCAGCAATCTTGAATATTTGCGGTCCTCGTGTTTGTGATGCGACTGCTCTCTCCACTCTGAGTCGCAGGGGTGAACACAGACTCTGGGTGCAGTTATCCACGAGCTCAGAATCGTTCTGTCCAATCAGAATAGATGTGTTTTCAGTCTCCAGAACGACACAAGAATAAACCCAAGCGAGAATATCTCCAATGTATCTCTGGCAGTCGTAGGCGTAAAAGTCGAGGGCCTTTGTTCCGTTCTTCTGTGAGTTCTCTGTAAGTGCCGAGGTGAAAGATTTGAGTAGTTGTCGTCGTCTAGTCTCTGTAAACTGGCCCAGGGTCTTTGCTCGGTTGACGTCATTGAGCAAAGACAGTCGTTCCCTTAGCTGAGGGTCTTGCTTGAAGTTGTCTGTCTCTCCCAACTGTGCGTAATTAATGAGAGACGTTTCGGTGTCTCGAATCAACGTGTTATTTGCGTTTTCAAGAGCCTGGTTGGCCTTGTACATTGTGATTTGGCCGGCCCGCGTGTCGTCGTTGGCTAGCAGGATCTCCGAGTCCTTGTGGATCTTCTGGGCCTTGATGAACACCTGTTTGAACGTCTCAAAGGGAACCTCATCGTTGCCCTTCAAAATATCCATCTCGCGTTCCGTCAGAACAAATGCATCAGTGTATCTTTTGAGCAAGTCTCGCTTCTTGGAAATGTTCTCCTGCTGTGCCATGAGTTCCGATCCCTCCGAGACCACATGTCGAGTGTCATTCTTACATGTGTTCACCAGCTGCTGCATGAGCGTAAACTTGTGGTTCAGGTCAGCAATGGTGTTGCCACTGGCCTGGATCTGTGCTACGAGCGGCGCAAACTTCTTGAGGGCTTCTCCATTGGCTTTGATCACCTCAGCTTCAGTGTTGGCACGCAAAGATCGTCGAATTGAGGCGGTGTTGTCGGTAATACGGTCGTCGAGAGCAACCAGCGCGTCACGTGTTCCGCCATCCGTGTAACTTGTCGACAACAGCCGACTGATTTTATTTTGAAGCACCGTCGTTTCCATGGCTGTGTGGGCTGTCGTATCTGTGGTGATGATGACAGATCATGTTGGAGGCTAATTTGGGAGGTTGGAATTAGAGTTGGTCATTTCCTAGAGAGGGGTGTTTTGGGAGTGAACAAAAGGTGTACTACCCTACGTTACTCAGTTAGTTGGAGATTATCGATCAAAGACACCCTGTATTCGAAGTACTGCAATGCGGCTCTGCAACAAAGAGTCGAGGACAAGAATTGAGTGAATTTATACTTGTACTGCAGGTGACAATGTTCTTGTTCAATTTGAAATACAATCGATACAGATATGTCCATACTGCACTGGTAGAATCACATGAACTGCACTGCTAGAATCGCGTAAAGAAAAGAACTTGTGGTTCAATTGACAAGCCTCAATACCCTCATCTGCAATCTCCAAAGTTGACTGTTGTGTCTCTACTCAAAACTGTTCGCCTCAGATTCGCACCAACCAAAAGTCGAAGGCGGGGAGCAGAGCTGAAGAATTCAGTTGGAGGACGCCTTGCGGGGTTCCATAGCGAACAGAGACAAGCTTCTCAATTGATTCAGAGCCTCTGTAGCTGCAGTGACACCATACGCACCACTTCAAATATGCCCCACGTGCTGATCTAAATGATAACTCCAAGACACTTTGAATCCTCATTATTACTGTGAGACATTGTCATCATGACCAAACTCGGCGGCTTTAGCTATCTATATCCAACTCCCTCTTGATTCAGAAACACTAGGAATCCCTCAGGTGATTCTTCCACAGCCAAGAAGTTGCTCTCATTGCTCTCAAAGTCCCTGCAATCCACACATAACCGACTCATGTGTGCTGTCTGGCTGCTTCATTGTATGTTCAAGCTCGTAATCCTGATTCACCTCCATACTCGGAGAATACAACAGGTCCAGTGACAATACAAACATACAGACTTGTCGAGTCACCTCCGTTATAACTGCAAAAAAAAAGTACTCAGATAGCCCTTTGATACACTCAAACAGCTACTCTACTGTACAAATCAGCTAAGCCAACCGTGCATCTCAATGTGGCGTATTTTGGCTTCTCTCGCCTACACCTGCAGCTTCAACAACATCGTATCATCTGCACCTTTGAGAGAGCCACAAACTACACCAAAAAATAGCACCCGTCTGTCGCAATATCAGCTCTGAGGTCCTGGCTTACACAATGAGTATAGTCCACCGACTCTGGAACCCCTGCTAACTCGACCCCACCGAAAGTCGAACACACTACACTAGCATATCTCCGACTTTCTCGGAACCCACTTTCCTGATTGGGACTTGATAAGAGCCGTGCATTGCTGCTTATACGGTCAACAGAAGGCTTCCAATAGAGCCAATAGGAGCGGTATTCAAGTGCTTTAAACTAGAATAAATTTGGAACGACTCATTCTATCCATAAACACTTTTCCACCCGAGTCCCAAAACTCCCCACGGTCTACAAATGCCTGCTCTGGTGCTCTGGTAGCCCAAACCGGAGTCCGAGAACCTTATCCAGAACCTTATCCCCCAGATCTACTTATATCTAGTGCGAAAGCCAGTATCGAATCCACCACTCGACAAAACACGATGGAAAAACAACAATTGAACGAGATTGATTTTGTTGCGGACCAGCAGCAACAGTACGTTGCTCCCGCAACCCGATCGTGGAAGAAAATCGGCTTCTTGGTCGTTTCTGCCCTCACGGTGGGCACTCTGGTTTGCAAGTCTGGAGTCTCGACCAAGTGTATGAACCACATGTATGGCAGTGCGCATTCTGCGACTGGCGATTCTCTTTGTCCCTCGCAGGCCAAGCTTGTTCCCGAGGGATTCACCAACCTGGATTTCATTCTCAAGGATGAGAAGTACCACGACAAGGCTCTGAAAACCTTCCAGGGTGCCATTCAGATCCCTACCGAAAGCTACGACGACATGGGACCTGTGGGCGAGGAGCCCCGGTTCGACATTTTCAAGAACTTTTCTTCCTACCTGGAAAAATCCTTCCCCAAGGTGCACTCTGAGCTCGAGGTTGAGCATGTCAACACCTATGGCCTCGTCTACACTTGGAAGGGATCTAACAAGGATCTCAAGCCTCAATTGCTCATGGCTCATCAGGATGTTGTTCCTGTGAACAGCGACACTGAGGAGAAATGGACTCATCCCCCATTTTCTGGCTACTTTGATGGCAAGTACATCTGGGGACGAGGCACTGTTGACACCAAGAACACTGTTGTTGGCTCTCTGGCTGCAGTTGAGCTGCTGCTGAAGGAGGGTTACACTCCCGAGCGAACTCACATTCTTGGCTTTGGCTTTGACGAGGAGATATCGGGTCCCCAGGGCGCCAAGTTCATCTCTGAGCATCTCTACAACAAGTACGGTGAGAAATCTCTGTTTGCCATCCTTGATGAGGGTTCTGGAATTCTAGAGACCGAGAATTTCGCCATGATTGTTGCTGCTACCGGCGAGAAGGGCTATCTGGACGTTTCCATCTCTGTTAACGTAGCCGGTGGACACTCTTCTATGCCCCCCAAGCATACTGGTATTGGACTTGCTGCTCTGATCGTGGCGGAGATTGAGAAGACCCCTTATAAGCCTCTGTTGACCCAGCAGAACCCCTTCTTCTACACTCTTCAGTGTGTTGCTGACCATGATCCCAGTCTCAGTGACGCCCTCAAGACTCTTATTCGAAAGTCTGGCAACGACCTTATTGCCAACAAGAAGCTCGTGAGCATTCTCAGCGGCAATCCCAAGTACAGAGATCTCATTCGAACCACCCAGGCGGTAGATATCATCAACGGAGGAGTCAAGAGCAATGCTCTGCCCGAGACCACCACTTTTGTTGTCAACCAGCGAATCGAGATTGAGTCTGACGTGTCTACTGCCCAGGACAAGATTGTCCAGAACGTGCTAACCATTGCCAAGGAGCACGATCTGTCTGTTTCTGCCTTTGGTGACTTCATCATTGAGGGCAAGTCCGGAGAAGTTGTTGTTGAGCTCTTTGGCTTGCCTCTCGAAGTCGCCCCTCAGGCCCCCGTCTCTGGACCCACTTGGGATCTCATTGTTGGAACTGCCCTGCACGTTTTCAAGGACACTGTTTACCCCGAAGACTTTAACCTCTTTGCTGCTCCCGGAATCATGACCGGAAACACCGACACTCGACATTACTGGGCTCTGACCGACGCCATTTACCGGTTCAACCCCGTCCGAGAGTCTGCCGCTTTCGGCATCCACACTGTGAACGAGCACCTCGAGTTCCAGAGCCACCTGGAGACCATTGCCTACTACTACGAGTTTGTCAAGAACGGCGAGCACTTCAGCAAGAAGCAGGAGTAATGCAGTGATAGGGAACCTGCTTGAATACCCTACACCATGTGGCGTATCTGCACTCCACTCGTACCTATATGTAAATGAATGATGTTTAAATGAAGCGAGAATCGGTGCAGCACCAGATAAGTTATCGTCATCAGGAGAGAAAAAAGACTGGTGACTATCCTCGCGGTTATCTACCCCACCGTTTGTTTGTTGTCTATCTAGTTGATGTGATAAGGTGAAGATAAGAGATGATAAGAGATAGGGTTTCGGTTGTGGAAGGGATGTGTGGACTAGATGTGAACTAGTTAAAGGACCCACAGAGCTTTATCCACCCTGGGGAGGTAGATACTCTCAATTTTCAATTCAAGCTGGTCGACATAAAGATAGTCAAACTCTCGGTGCCGTTATTCTCTTTGTGTCAGACAATTCCCTTCCCGTCCCGTTCCTGACAGCTGCTTAATAATGGCTTGACGTCCCGATAAGCTGGCTATCTACAGGCACGAGGAGTCGTTTGGGGTGGAACTCAGTGGCTTGATTAGCTTGTTTAGGAACACTGATAAGCTTGGCTGCTTCGGACTGATGGACGTGGAATGAGGAGAGACTTTGGTCCGATTGGCGTCGAGATCGTCGGTTTAAAGATGCTAAGGGTTAATAGTAAGACGCGAGATATGGTATGGATCGTGTGACAATTTCATAGATGTGAATACAGAATCTGGCGACGACCCCATGTGTTTTCTTTTTATATCTTGCAAAACATCAGATTGTTCTATTTGTCAAACCTCTCTGGACTTCTGTGGCTTCGTGCCGTGAGCTGCCAGGGCGTCTGTACAGTATTTGAGTCACACGGTTTTGTGTTAACGGCTACCGGTCAGCGTTTAGTTGGGTCCCACTGATAAGCCTTGGGGGATGTTAGTGGCATGCTTTCACTCCTGCCTGCTCTTGTTTCGGTTGTCCCTGGCTGCCCTCTAGTGCCCCGGTATCCATATCCGTCGTAGTCTCTTTTTTCCTATCGGACTGCCGAAAACAGAACCCACCTTGCTGTCTCACAGATAAGCCCAAAGCTTTTGATGCTCGATGTGATGACTCGCACAGCTGATGGTCGGAGCGAGAAAATGCTCAACTGCCGTTTGCTCTACTGCCGTCCGCAGTTGTCTCAGTCAGGTTGCCCGTGCGATCTAACATCCGCGATGCTTTACTTGCCAGTTTCGGAACACCTTGGAAATGTCTTCAAACCAAAGACACCAACAGAAAGAGATAAAATCAGTGTGGAGCATACCCAACAGTGGCTTGATTCGACCTCCCAGTATTATTATGGCAGCCACATGGTCCATAATCTGTTTCACGTACGTGACTCGCACAACTCACCACAGTGGAGAAGATAAGATGTGACAGAACTCTACAATTACAGCGTGAATGCGTAGAAGAATGTTCAGTAGTGCTAGAAATAATCCGCGTGGAAGTCTTTGAAAGACTATGTCTAAACTTCCTACTACAGTTTCAACATGTACTGATCTCTCAGACCTGGCACCTCCGGCAAAAGTGCTTGTGGTCTTTGAGACGAATTGTGTAGCCTCCGGTGGAGACCATTGAGACAACCAGAGGCTGAGCAAGCACACCTCCCGAAGTGGAGCTCCACAGAACTGACGCTCAAGCTTGCTTCCAATCGCAAAGTCTGCGCCGATAACACATGGATAAGGCGACTCGTACATGTGTGATGCACGCTATTGCACTGCCCCGGACAATGGGAGAGAATCGAAACCACGTAAGACACAAAAAGCAAGGATTATGACACCATGTAAACTGTTCTATACTGGAAGCAGTAAATATAGAAATTTGCCACCTGATAGACTTCCGAGACTCAGAGTTCAATATCTGTGAGACAAGGCTGTGAAGGTTATCGGAAGCTGAAGGTGTGGTTATGAGTGGTGCACAAGGGTGTTGAGGCGTACGAACAGCACGTTTGACACCACTTTTCCTGTAACCTGTTGGGGCAAGTCAATTCATCAGTATCGTGCTTTGTTACAATGTGATTTCTCTGGCGATTGGTTCAGTTTGAAACCATGTAACACGTGGTTTGTTCAGCCTCTCTTCTTGTGAAACAATTACTGTAGTTTGAAGGTAGCTTGAAGGCAGTACACTTTGAGTGTTTGTATTTCTGATACCAGCTGTGTAGGTGTAGGCTTGAAAACCTCTCCGAACTAGACAGTACCTCGTATAATCCACTAAGAGACCCACTTCTTAAGCCAGCTTCCTGAAACATTCTGAATACTGCTAACATGGGCTGTAGCGCAATAGGAATGCTCAATATGAAAGAGAAGATGGCTGCTGGGTTGGTAAATAGGAGCCATTGAGGCCATATATCTACACACACAGACTTCTTATACGCTTGAGAGCAGACTCACAATACGACGAATATTTTTGACATTGACCCTTGATGGAGGGATCGACAATTCAACTCTTGTAGTAACTGAAATAAAGCCAAGGCATCGCTGTAGACAAGTCCATTTCTTAAAGTGAAGTATGATAACACCCACAGCAGTTTGGCTTTGAATACGACTCGAGACAACTGGGCTGTAGTTGTTGGTCATGGTAAGGAAGTGAAGAGTTTGAAGCGGCGGAAAAAGACTTGTGGCATCCCTGAAGACCATTGCTACTCAGTCAACTCCTTCACGTGATTGATCTCGCAGACGGATACCCCTCTCAGTCCCAAGAGTCACTAAGTTTAGTACATTTTGCACTCTACTCTAGAGCAGCTCTAAGAAATGCATCTAAGATAGTGTGGCGCTAGTCGCGGCCTAGAGAAACCAGATACATGTGTTTGATGGTGTCGGACACCGTTGGTAGACAAAAGCCGCCCAAAGTGTCAATTGGTGAGAAAGACCCATAACTTTTCGTACAGAGGCGATAAGAAAAAAAGGAGTATCTTAAACGAAAGAGCTTGCCAAGAGGACTTGTTTGATACCAGAGACACCAACTTTTTATGTCGGCTGTGGGGCCAATAAACAGTTATTAATTCGATTAATGCGACAGATGTACCCGGTCCTACAACGTCAGCTGCCCTTCAGATTGCGCGAGGGTCACAACAATGTTTCAAAGACACTTCTGTGGAGGAATCATCTGCGCATAGTAAGGATGACTCTTTCTTGCCGATCGACGTCATCCAGGAGTTACAGGACTTGTCGGTACAGTTCCTTCTCGTCATAAAGGGGACAGCAAGAGATAACCACGTCCAAACGGCTCCTTCTTCTCTCCCTCTACCATGGATTCCAAGCTTCTCGTATCGCCGCATCTCTATTTGGGGAATGCCCGTCTGGCTGCTATCCAAACCAATAGAAACACAGACAATATGTGGATTTACCTCGGACATTGACGATATCTTCCGAGTCTATTGATCGACAGAAATACGAGTTTCAACTCGTCGGCGACATCACATGAAAAACACCACATCGAACTCAATACTTATCGTCCGAAGATGAGCTCAAAAGTACTCCATGTTTTTCTCGGAATCTCCCTGTTCTCAGAGCCTGTAAATTCCCCCGAGCATTTCGATATCACCCCATAGCACACATCGTCCACGGCTCAAACTCAGTTGCCCCGGTCACTTGCATTAGCGCCGTTTACAGCGGGCATATGCGGTCCTCGATGTATGGAAAGGCTGATTTTTTTTTTTTTTTTTTTCAAGCCGGGGCAGAGCGTGCTTAAGACGTGCTTTGGGGACGGAAACAGTGGAAGGAGAGCGCAATGGTATCCAACCATCTCTGTAACAACAAACCTGTCTATTTTGCAGTGAAAACCACCAGAAGGACCCCTCTCAGGCTCCTATCAGTGCTGCGTCGTGTGCCGCCAAAATCCAACTCTATCGAGTTTGGCACGGGTTTGCAAAAAGCGGATAGACAATGTGGGAGTTTAATTCTGTTTGTAGGAAGGGGTTCCCATGATTCCAACATCCTGCTGGTCACGTGGATGCATGGAATGCTGGTTATATAGCCGCTGAGAGCGAGAGTCGACCGGGGATGTTCTTGTCCATCAAGGACTCGAATCCAAGGCGACAAAAGGGAACAAGTTTAGTTGGAGTAAAAGTGGCACAATTACACTTTCATAACAACTCCCAACTAGAGTCTAAATATTCACGTATGACATATGAGTAAACCAACACGGCTCATACCGATGCGATACAACAATGAGACATAATGATGGGGTCGGCTCATAAAACCACTGAATTCTGACACCTTTCAAATTTTGTCGGAAACCTCTTCCCGTCCGTCCAAGTTTGCATTGTGTATGCATCTTCGTGCACGGCATTATGTGCGGCATCTCTGCACGGCAATGTGGGGTTAGCGATTTCGCTGCGGACACGGGCGGAAAAAAAAAAAAAAAAAGGTGCAAAAAACGACGGGCAAAACACAGGCCTGGAACAAGGGAGAAGGAGAAATGGCACCAAGTTTTTTTTTACGGAATCTCGAGACTGCGTATACCCGTGTTACAATCAAAATAAGACTCTATATTATTTACAGTATTTCACAGATAAACATACCCGTGGCTTGGTTGTCTTTTTGGCACTTGTGTGGCACTATTTTCCCATAGATAACGCCTGGAATTAGGTTGGCGGCCAAGGTCACCGTAGCGGATGTAGTTCCGATGTGACCGGAAAAAAAGCAGGCCAGTTGGTTTGGGAATGTTTTTGCGAGTCCAACGACATGTCTTGGGAATCTCTGGGGCAAATATCCGCTTAGTTTGAGCTATGGTGAAAACGGCCAATTAAGTACCTACTGGAGACCCAATGGTGTAGAGTTAGTGTGGTCGAACAAGTCCGATAGTGGGTTTTCGAAGCGTGGAACCTGTAATAAGTGGGGTAAATGTCCGGGAAGTTGGATCTGGTCGTCTGCTCGTGGGTGTAGTGCGTATTCCTGTTTTTGCAAACGACATTTGCGCTTTCCCCACACCATCTCTTTGATATCCAGTTCATGTGGCTTATCAAGGATGGTCATTGCGTTACCTAACTACGAGGCACACAAGGTTCAAAGGTTGTGTGTTGATAACGAGACAAAGACAAGAGTGTGAAATTAGGTTCGAACAATGTTCCAGTCATGTGCAAGGAGTAGTAATGGGGCGGGGATGGTGTATTTTTTGTGGGGGGTTCGAGATTTGAAGTCACGGAGGGGCCAAGATGGCCGAGACGCAGCAATTTGGACGGTAATTGGGTCTCTGTCGTCCACGGCACGACCCCGGCCCACTCTATCACCTCCCTCCAACTCTACAAGTGTGGCTCCGGCAACCAAAATTTTCGACACATTTAGACTCCCGTTGGACTTCCTTCTGTTTACTTTTGTGTTAATTTGTAGGTTTGCACAGCTAGCACCCTTTATCGAGGAGTTGAGGGTTGGAGGACAAGGACCAGACTGTCGTGTGAGGAGATAGCCGTTGTCGGGCATATTTGGAGACGTTGGGGGCGGAATTTCGAGACAAAAAGTAGACAGATACACTTGCCAAGGGTATGGCTATGAGCCAATGTGCTGCTTACCGCAATCGAAGCAGGTTTCGTCGCCAACTGGCCCACCCATCTACCCCTCTTATCTCCTCGGCACAAGGTTTCGAATTAAAGTGGCCAAAACTCTAGTTAGGCTTCATAGTTCAGGTGCATGCGGCCGAGAGTCTTCTGTGGCCCCTGATGTATGACGCCTTATCAGTGCGCAGAAGGCCTCTTGATAGTATATATGAGTTCCTCCATGTCCCAGTTGCGAGGCTTTGCAATTAGCGCTACTCGATAAGTGTGAATACACACCCACCCACACTCGCACACTTGCACCCGCACTCGCATTCGCATTCGCACTCGCACCCCAGCCTGACGCAAGCGCAGTAATCTCCCACACCATATTTCAACCAAGCAAGAGTGCGCTCTTGTCCTGCTCCATATTCCGGCTTCATTGCTCGGTCTTTATTCTTGGCCCACTGACCAACCAACGCGATCCAAACTGTTATCTTCCCCTCATTGAAGAAGGCCCTTCCAGGCACATCGACCGACATAGCGAGCACCTCATTGTACGCCACGCCAAAGTTTATTTATCCACACGGTGAGTCACGAGACGAGGGGAGGTGGGCATGACCAGCGGCAATATTTTTTGACAGAGGAGAAGAAACAAAAATATTGTCAGACCAGAATCAGTCTCTGCCGAGACTCGCTCGAGCCACACTAACTTAGACATCTGGGGGAATAGATTGTCGACATCAAGATGTGAGTATTGGGTGGAGGACGGAGGAGGCATGAGGAGGAGATGTGGATTCAAGAAAGGAATGAGAGAAAGAGAGGAGTGATGCATGAGGAGACTTTTCATCAGTGGGGAGAACATTGTTCCTTTTAAGGACATTGAACTCCACTCAAATGTGTCAATTCCGTCTCTAAGCACTGTTGTGATGTGTGGACTTGACGCATCGCAACCAAGTCAGCTGTATCAAAATGGCAGTGTGCAACTGGATGAGCTGACTAGTCGAGTGTAATTAGAAATGAGATACCCCAGACAAACGAAACGCCGCAAATTATACCAGTCATCCGTACAATACAATCGACCCCACACGTCTGCAACAAAATAGGATCAACGAGTCCCCATTCCATGTTGATCTCTCACTCTGCACCCAGGATAGAGACTTTGTGTCTTCGTCATGACCGTACTAACCCAGATGACAACTCAAGAACCCGGCTTTCTGGCCACCTCTTCGGTGTCGCCAGCCAACCGCGAATTCCCAGTCTATGCTGTTAACTGGCCCATTTACACAATCCCATCATGTCTCATCATTCCCAATGATCAAAAGGAGCTGGTTCCTAGCCCCGAGTCCATCTCCAAAAAGCGATACGCCACTTCTGTCGACGAGCGGAACTACCTTACCGTCTACGAGTACCAGATCAACAACCAGTGGATCATCTGGGACTACCACACTGGATACGTGCATCTCACTGGCCTCTGGAAGGCTATTGGAAACTCCAAGGCAGACATTGTCAAGCTAATTGACAACTCACCGGATTTGGAAGCCGTCATCCGTCGAGTGAGAGGAGGATACCTCAAGATCCAGGGAACATGGGTGCCCTACGACATTGCGCGAGCGCTGGCCAGCCGAACCTGCTACTTCATTCGGTTCGCTCTAATTCCTCTGTTTGGACAGGACTTCCCCGGCACTTGTCTCAAACCCCATGAGCCTGGCTTCGGCTACCTTCAGATGCATTTCAACTCCACGAAAAAGAGAAGAAAGAGCAACGCCAAAGCCCAGCAACAAGGACTCGCCCACGCAACCTCGCCCACACAGCACAGTCACCCCACGTCGCCATCGCACAGTCCCCACAGCCATATGATACACTCCCAGAGTGTACCCCATATGGCCCAGCACCACATGTCGCTGCAACAACATGTCGCACATTCACAACAGCAGCAGCAGCATCAGCATCACATGAATCATCAGCAGCACCACATGGTTCACTCCCATCATGTGAGCCATCCCCATCACATTCAGCCCATGCAAAGCCCGCGCTACTACCCCATCCAGCCGGCCCAGCAACAGAATCAGGCGCAACAATCTCGACTTTCACAGTCGGCCCCAGCTCACGTGTCGTACGCAGGCAGCCATAGCAACGTAACGCCCGTGCCTATCTCGCCGGCTCCCGCTGCTTCTGCCAGCAACCCCTACTACCACGTGACACCTCCGTCGCCCCATTCACAGGCTGTGCTTCTGCCCCGCATCTCGTCTATGCCAAGTCCTCCTCAGCTGCCCCACGCGACTCGAAAGTACTCCAACTCCAAGACTCGGCCCATTCTCATCCGACCCAACTCGGATGATTGCGCGGTGAAGACAGAGGGTGATGAAGAGATGCTGAGCCAGCAACACACGCCTCCTTATACCACGTATGTGAGCCGACGGCCCTCACTTGGAGGCATCGCAAAGCCTGGAAATGCGGTGCGGCCTCGACGCAAGTCGCGTCTTTCGTACGACGAGTCGCAGACCAGTTTATTGAGCGCTGCTCTGAGAAGTTCCAGTTCAGTGTCGGGGTCTGCGGTCACTTGCTCGTCGTCAGAGTCTGAGCAGGATGACGATGAGTACTACCGCAACTTCTTTGCTCGAAGGCAGTCCATCTCCGAATATAATCCCGCCAATCCTCCCAAGCAGGAGAGTCCTGAGGAGATCATGGAGGTGCTGCAGGCCATTCGTTCGTTGCAGCAGCTCAGCACTGGCGGTGGGAAGCCTGGAGAAAAGAAAGTGATGGACATCAACTCAGTGTTGAGTTAAGGGTATAATTTTGGGTAATATTGGCACCGAACAGACGTTTCGGTGGGTAACGGCGTAATTTATTTTGTTAATGTATTATTGGAGTACGGGGTGTATGGTTGTAATTGCCAGTAATGCGTGGGGGGTATATATGGTTAGCAATGCGCTACAGTATAACAACGATAGGTGATAACTGGTATCTATATGGCAATCGGTTGATTTCGTTCTATGGATTTGTTCAGTATTTGGGGTATGTGATGTGATATCATGCAGGTACAACTTTCTACCGCATCTCACGACGCATAGAAACAGAAAAAAAAAAAAAGAAAAAAAAAAGGATGGATGGAGGAGGATCAAATATGGAGGAGCAAGTGATCCGAAATATATGGAAAATTGAACCTAAGTAGAACATTTGCAACTTGTTACCTACTGTTCTATGCAACCAGGTGCTCATCCTCTTACATTTATAGGTTAGGATCACCAGTCATCGGTCAATGGCATCACCGTTGGAAGCACCACTCGCTAGGAGCAGGTTGTAAAGATGAAAATCTCAATATATTACTCAATATATGGAGTTGAGTTGACTGGGGTGATTTTCCAACAGATCATATGTTTTTTCCGGCCAAAATGTGGCCCCTGACAAAGTTTGAGGAACATCCACCCCGCCGGCAAACATGTACAAGACTTCGTGGCCAAGATGGTTAAGGCGTACGACTGTTAGGATTAGCGACTCCGAAATCGTAAGATCGAGAGTTCGACCCTCTCCGAGGTCGTCTTTTTGTCCCTCTCTCTGGGCTGTATCTTGACCTGTATAGCTTCTACAAGCTGATGACTAATGGTAGGCTACAGGACGTTTATTGATTTATGTTTTCATGTTACTCGAGAGTGATATAAACAGGTTAGTTGACCAATTACTTGGAAAGACGGTATTTTATCAAAACAATCGTCCTAAAAGAACTCTCCCTGTTCCACTTTTGTTCTTGTCGCTAATAGTGGTTGTATGACCCGGTACATACTGTATGCTGGTGATACTAATGTTGGATACATGGAACTGGTTTTACTGAGAAGTGGAAAGTAAAGATAGTAATACTATAGATAGTTCAACAACAACAAATGGTTTGGATTCAACGGAAATTGGGTCTTAATAACAGCCCCTTTCTACGCTTCACTTCACTTTATGAGTTGGCATGGTGGGTCATCGCCTATCCTGGTTATCGCACGGCACTGTAACATAATCAATGTTAAATATCTAATGCTATAGCACGTGTCGAGAAGGGTTTCAAGCTCTGTAATCAGCTTCTTTGAGAACCATGTCACATTACGGTGGATCCCGCGAAGTAAATACCGCAGAGATGCCGTTTTGAAAGGATGAGGTTAACCAAATCCAGTCCCCGGAGGAGAGTGGGAATAGACCTGAGACTGAGGGGGTACGGAAGTTAGACGGGTTGCTTAAAACGCCTTCGCGAGATATTATGTTTTGCCATTTAATGGATCATATTCAAGGAGGTGTCTCTTACAATACCATTACGAGTCTCGTTGCAGTTACTACGATACATGGTTCCTGACTATCGTCAGTCTTAATTTTCATTTGCTTTTGGCCAGATGACCTTGAAACCTTGACAGGACTGTAAACGTATCTGAAAGTAAACACCCCGTTGATTAATATGCTCTCCATCATCTTTAGCGTTCCTCGGACAATTTTTTTGGTCCCCTGCTGCGTTCGCTCTTCTCATTGCTATATACACTCTACACTATAGTCAGGAACAAGGTTGATGAGATACCAACGTTGGTGCATGTGAACATCCAGTGGCAAATATCACGTTACTTTTGCCGTTCTGTGTTGGAGCTGAAATGGGTGGCTGGCGGCTCAATGAAATGATTTGGTACGGTGCTTTTTTGCTTCAGTCTCTTTCCTACATACTAAATCACCTCCTTTCAGGAACCCCTTTGGCACGAGACTTCACGACATCTTTTAGCTTACTTCCGGGATATCCAAAAACCTACATAATAATGTGTGATAATTCAGTGTATTGAGTAAAAAAGATAGCATTTTGCTGGGGGTATCTCATGGAAGGGACGAAAAATGTCTACTGGAACACATGACTAGGTTCTTAATACCCCATAGCTCATCTCCAAGCCTTCAATCGTGCCCCGAACAAGAAAATTAAGTTCCAGATTTGACGCATGTGCGATGTTATCGGCTGTGCTACATTGTAGAGGAACACGACATTACGTCATGTGAAGAAACTGTCAATAGTATTTTCTTGTGGAATGAAATGCTCTAGATTTCCTGATTCCATCAAGATACGTCATAGTCTCAGATATCGGTATTATACACGAATGACCCCACTTTGATCGCAACTCTATTTTATCCATCCCCTGCCCTCTTTCAGAAACCCATATATACAGCCCCTCGGGAGCTGAAGAGATCAGACGTTAAGTTGAAAAGTGAGTACGAACTCTGGAATCTGGTCCGTTGGAATAATTTTTTGGTTGCGATTGTGAACACTGCTGGGGCTACCACCCGTATAGCACTGCTCTGCACTCTCATGGCATGTACAAGACCCCTCTACTTGATACTGCCTCACAGCGAACACTAGCCAGCCACATTGATTGCTTTTTTTTCTTGATATTTCATGGTATTGGCAGCAATCATCATGTTTCCATCTCATTAGAGCCCTGTCATCAAGCAACTCACCTAACACAGTGACCCTCGAATCTTCGCTTCACCTCCTCACACCTGACCAGCTTTCGTCTCTGGCCCATCTGCAAATTTCCGTCCCCGAGCTCTGCAAGACTGCCCATTATGCCGAGATTTACGGTCACCATTTACTTCCAGATCAGAAATGCCCCGGAAGATACTCTGAGAAGGCCAGAGATGTGATTCTGCTGAAAGTGTTGGAATCCGAAAACTACGACGCTACTAAGGCAGGAGACAAACTACTAACGGTGCTGAGATGGAGAAAGGACTACAAGCCTATGGATGAAGACAGAGACCTACCAGTGTTGGATGGTCACGTTACTACAGTTGCTGCTACCAATCTGCCTCAGACCACACTCTGGCATCGCTCTTCGGCAACTCACATTCCCAACTCGATCTACATTCGATGGAAGGTTGGATTGATTGAGCAAGCTATCAGTACTCTTGACTTCAGCTCTCCCGACAACTCTTCCAAGCTCACATGTGTCGAGGACTTCAACCACAACATGTACGATGAAGTTCTATGGAAGCAGCTGAGCACCCTGAGAGAGTTCTATCCTGGAATTTTCGACAAGACCTTTTTTGTCAATGTTCCTCTGAGTCTCAGAATTGGACTGAGATTCTTCAACAAGTCCAACCCCGTGTACAACCGTCGAAACTCCGTCATTCTCGGCAAGGGCAAGGAGTTGAAGAAGCACCTTGGTAACTGGGTGCCTCGAGAATATGGCGGAGAAGGACCAGGACTTGAGATCCAAGGAAGAAATGTCCGCGGTTATTCAGCTTATGAACACCACGCTTTGCGACATGTTCTGACCACTTCTCCTACACAATACAGTCATGCGAAGGGAGACGCATACCGAGACAGCTATGGCCCACCAGACGATGACGATGTTCCTCCTTATTACCATTAGGATTTGACAATGATGATACCTGTTAGTTGAAGGGTGAGCTGGTTATCACCCGTATGGCATAAATATGATAAAAATTGATTATGGCTTACTGTAGCAAACGTATCTACATATTTGAATAGAAAAAAAAAAAAAGTTTTCCAACAAAATACCAACTCTAATTTCTAATACTTTTTATTGAACCTTAATTGTACAGGAAGCATGCATGTCTTGCAGAACCTGGGGTATTCCATCGACACGAGCAACCAGCTACTTGAACCAGGTCCAGTTCACCCCGGATTCTGACCTCTTGCGGCAGCCTTGGCTCCGATAACGCGCAACTCCAATCCGTGACCTTTTCAACTCCCGACTCCGATATTGGATGGTGCAAGAACCGACTGCTGTTTTTTTTCTTTCAATACGGCCGATTTTGATCTGTGAGAATTGGTCTTCGTGTGAATGGTGATCAGATTTGATACACGTACATTCAGTGGTCGCAACAAGTACTTAACTTTAAAAGTGGGAGGACTATGATGGTACCCAAGGAGCGGGTATGCCTCTGGAACATTGGCTGGTTACGACAGGAGTCCTACAAGCGAGCCAGTACACCATTGCGCGAACAGTTACAAATGCCGAAGTTGCAAAGCTATTGTAAGGTCAAGTTTCCTTTTCCATACACTCCTCATTTGTCACACCAAGCATGCCACAAGTTTCACCATCATCAACTCATTATCCTTACCCCATACGACATGAATGGCAAAGGATTATTCAGTGGATCAGATGGAATAAGAACATGCGACTAGCACGGAGACGTCAGGTGGTACAACGCCTCTGATGTCCTGGGCAACTCATTCGACCAGGAAGACGAGGGCTACGACTTTGATGTGTCTATTGCCACATTTCCTGACCCTTGGTTGTGGAAACTGGTAACCAGAAGCCCGCAATGATCCTCCACTAGAAACCTATTGAGATGACGATGATGTACCAAGGTAAGTTCAAGCGACTTCGGACCAGTTGGAGAATGCTCTCAAGTTGTCCCATCGGAGTATCGCGTAGACAGTTACTACGATATCCCTGGTGCACCATCTCTTACATTACCATATGCCTTCGGTTCGAGTGATGACAGAGACCCTGGGTCTATGATTACCCTTAATTCAGGAGACAATTCCGCCATCTACCTCAGTTCTGATGATGAAGGCTCCGACTATTACTCTGTAGTCCCGCTCAGCTCTACAGAGAGTCTGGCTCTGTTATCTTAGGGGGCCTGAAAGAACCAGATACGACCCTGGCTTGGACGCAAGTACACTTCAGCCATATGTTTCACCTGGTGATAGTCAGCGCTCATACTATGCCGTTAAATATTCTAGGCGTTCTGAGGTGTTGACTACCTTCAATACTGCGCTCAACCACTGCACCAGACCCGAAGATGTTCATAGCTTCGACAATCTTCAAGAGGCTGCATATTTCTTGAAACGCAGGCCAAAATTCTTCAAGACCACCCAACGCCAACACTTGAACATAGGTGGCAGACCTGTCTTCAAGGTATTCAGTGACGGATCTAGTTAGGTAGGTTTTGACGGAAAACAGTGGGGTGATTTGGGGGCATGGTTTTGCCATTACCATCCAGACATTGCGGCTGGACCATTGACGGGTGACATCCAGAATCCTCTACAGCAAAGCTTCGAGGTCTACTTGAGGCGCACGAGGTACTCTACGACAGATATGACGATCTCCTGCTTACAATCTACTGTGACTGCTATGCTGTGGTCAAAAAACTTGACGCAGGGAAGAGATTTCCACGTAAGTATCGCACCACCATGACAACCATTCGACTATGTAAGCAGTTGCTTGACACGAAAGTGATGCTCTGGCGTATTGTGGGGCATGGTGGTCACCCTGGAAACCAAATGGCAGACATATTGGCAAAAACGAGAAGAGTCCGAAGAGATGGTCGTATCTCAAGCATTAATGCCATCGTGGAGGACAGATACAGGAGGACCATAGGCGAAGACTCAGCGTATCCATTCAATTGAGTCAAGTTAGACCAACTGTCTGACAGAAGAAATCGGCCACAAATGATGCGAACGCAGAAGAGGAGAGCTTTGGTTTACTGCACGTGCACGGCAGTGTGTAATTTATTTGCATTTAATGATATTCCATGTATTTTACTGTAAAATCGCCACATAACCATTCATAAATCATTAGTATTACTACAATATGTACAATATGGAATCACACAATAAGGGACATTTCGGGTCACAGTCCTTAGCATTACACCCACTGGTCATCCCAGTTGAAGCTTCCGAACCAGTTGTGAGGGGGTTCCCTCTCTTCTTCTCCTCCGCCGCCAGTAGCCATCGCTGCCCCGAATAGGACTCCCTCCACACCGTTCGGGTTCATGAGCTTCTGGAGATCCTGAGGTGGTGAACTAACTGTTTGCTGATGGGTTAGGACAGCTCGGTTGAACCTGCCGTGATTGACTGCTTGACTGCCATGATCAATACCAACAGCGCGGAAGATCTGTTGGGTTCGTTGAAGACGCAAATAGACGGCGTGGTTGAGAGTTTTCAGACCCCACAGAATCTCGTCAGCCATGATGAACTTGCCAGACAACTGCAGGTCAGTTACTAGAGCAACAATGTTGCCGAGGTTGTCAGCCAGGTTAGTCCAGTCGATACCAACGTTGGCGAAGCAGATTAAGACACATCCAGTATTGAAAAGTGTACTGAGAGTCAGCCACAGCGGGCTGATCAAGCACTTCTCTCTCTTCATGACAAGGCTGAGCTTGAGAAGACCATGGGCTGATGATAATAGACCATTCGTCGAGCCTATTCCGTCATATCTGATACTTCCACCAGAAGAAAACTGCAGGAGTGTCTCGACGTTGAATATGTAAGTCACTGAATAGTACTGTTGGCGCAGGAAGGCGTATGTGGAAGCGTGGACGCCGGGAAGACGATTGAGATCATCGTCGAACCCAAGACCAATGGATTTCATCTCCTCATTCCAAGCGTGGAGTGCATTAAGCATGATCTTTTTCTTTTCAGGTTCGAAGATCTGTCGCTCAAACCTGAAGCCCTTACTTGGCGAGTATAGAGAAATGACATATGCTAGCTTCAGCAAACCATAACTGGTAATACTCAACCACCCATCATTCTGGTAACTTGTTGGTCGCTCAAAGGTAATCGCATCATCTCTGAAACTGAACGGTCTTCCTGTTTCAAGAGACAGGATTCTGTCCCATGTGTAGGCACACCAAAAGACACGCTCCTGCTTCTGACGGTCAAACGGGTCAAGATCCTCCTCATCCTGTTGCAGATCCTCAAACAGATACATGCCCATACACATTCGAGTTGCTTGACCCAATGCACTCCAAGCTGAACTCTGACGGTGACACATTCGGAGATAAAATGTGATGAGCAGCCATCCCTGGATCAGATCTAATGATTGCCATTCAAATGACAATGCCTGAATGGTCTTGTAACCATCGTCGAACAGTGTCTCTTCAAGATGAGCTTCGAAGATCTCGTTTGTAGTCACCTCCAGGTATCGCATGGCGGTGGCACATGCAATATGGCAGAGGGCGTTGAATAACCGAATCTCTGGCTTGTCACATGAGTCTGACGGAGGATCTGCTACATTAACACCGGCAGCGTCGTGTGATGATGTAGGTGCGGGGTCGACTTCTCGAGATTCTCGTGTTTGGTAAAACTTTTCAAGCTGAGTTCGGAAGACTCCTTCGCAAAGAGGCGAAAAGATGGGGTTCAAAAACTTGAAATAGACGTCAATCAGATGCCATAGACGGACTTCGGTGATGAGTGGGTCCGACGAAGCTAGAGATCGGGATTTCAGGTAATGGATACCACTCATATTCCATCCATACGCCTGGTAACGAGGAACTGCAATCTTCTTGGCTCCTTCTTTGCCCAGTCCGTCTTGAATGCATTTGGCCATGAGCGGAGCAATGTAGTAAGTGAAGTTCTTTGTATATTTCGTTTTTCGTATGGGTGGAAGAATGGTGGATGGAACGTTCATGTAGGGGTTGCTACCGCCAAGACTGTTGGGAAGACCAGCGTTGCTTCCATGACTACTTCCCTGTGTGCTGTCATGTCGAGGATGTTGATTGGGGAGACCATTAACTCCGTTGGCAGGAATACTTCCGGGTCCTGGTAGACCTGTATTCACGTTAGAACCAATGTTTCCGTTGATCTGGCTGGGTTGAGTGACATGAGCCTGTCCAGAGGTCACTTCCTCATCCAAATGATTACTCTCGTGTGTTGCTCGAATGCCCTCGGAGCATGGAGGTCCAGGGGGCATAGCGATCAGGTGGGCAGTGTCGCGATTCTCGTCCTCGTCTTTGTGGTAACATTCCTGGAAGGTCATATGCTCACGTTCAGCTCCCAGATACACGCATTGGGCACCTGCTCTGATACACGTTTCGCAAGGGAACTTTCCATCGCATTTCACCTTTCTATGTTTGCATCTCTTGCATGCTCTTGCGACTTTCTCTCTCTTCCGTTTCTTTTCTGGGGGACTAGTAGTGCTCATTGTCGCGTTAATGTAGACCGTGTTGATCTGGACGATGTAGGAGGTTCGTACACAGTGGTGGTGTGCGCCCTGACTAAGCTACGTTAGTATGATGTTGGTGTTGAGATCTGTTGTATCAGGACGGCAATGATTGTAACATGTTGTAGCCTCATTGTGTTATCATTCCACTCAAAGTGTCGAGACTTCTGGGTGAACCTAGAGGATGGGTCACACATTTTCCCTGTCAGTCATAAACCATGGCAAACAGTCACGACTCACAACATGCCACCAACTGAACAAAAAATACGACAACCATTGCAGCCTCGTGTATCACCGACGAGCCGGAGCACACGACAAGTGTCTCGAGGTGAACACGTAGGGCAAGCCATGCCTTTTGGACACATGAAACAGCTTGTATCTATGAGTTTCCCATGTCTCGCCACCTTGCCACAGCCAGTCACTCGACAGTCATGGGGAGTTCCTGCGACGTGGCACACATTGATCTTGTGCGCTCTGGTTCATTCCCTAGTTACAAACATTGCCCTGTGGCAAGTCTCCAGCAATACTCACTTTAATGCCGTACGTGAAGGCTCGCGCTCTGCTCAAGATGCGAATCGAACGGCCAGTTTTTCAAAGAGCTTCCTGTTTAGGAAGGGGTTGTGGTCGGGCTGGTCACACTGCTGCCGGGCAACGCTGGGGTCTCAACTGGCTGGAATCGGCGTGCTTCTGTGGGTTTGTGCCTGACGATTAATGACTGTTATGAAAAAACGGAGGATGCACGGCCCTTAGCATTTTGCAGCCGCATCGAAGTCACGTGTATGCGAGATTGTCGCTTAGAGTTCAGTTAACGATGTAGGTTTCCGATAAATTTTTGGAACCGTTGTGTTTTTTCGCAGAATGACTGGAAGACAATGGGATTGACATGGAGAAACATATGGGCGCTTCTGTTGGGTCTGAACTGACACACCTGGATGACGCTTCTTCCTTTTCAGCTGGATCTTGCAAGGAAGCTATACATGGCGGGGTGATCAGAAAGTCGCTTTTTCTGTCACACACGTGAATCCTCGTGGAAGCGGGGCAATGGGAATGAGCGAGAGGCCTTCTCCAGCGTGATACTTCGATCGTACCAAAGCTACGTGTATCGAATTATTTGTACAAGTATGGTACTGTACTCGTAGGAGAACCGCACCAATACCCGTACTGTATCCGTGCAGTACATAGTCATACATGGTTGTAGTGTCATTGAACCAAATGTTTGCAGCAGGTTGAATGAGCATCTCCGAACTATACTACTTCAGGAGTCAAGATACAAGTGCCAATATGGCAACTGCAAGTAATAGTGGAGTGCTCGACAACTCCTAAGGGAAGTTCCAGAACGTATTCTTTCCGTGTTTCACTGAGGTATTCTCACTCACTGGGCATGATGGAAGCTTTGGAGAGAAGGAGACTTGATACACTTTGGAGGCAACTGTGTAGGAAAATATCTGTTGCTTCAAAACGTATCGCGGCTAGTCTGGAACTCGGAACGGCTAGGATTGGGTTGTACGTGAACAGTGAGTGAGGGAGAACCAGAGTCACTCTCTATAAATATTCCGGCGTTCTCCGCGTTCTCCGCATTATCATGATTCTACGCGGTCTGTCTTACCCCATTGTAGTTGAGAGTGCATGCAGGACTACATTCCAGTTGTAGGACATCTCTGAAGCGGTTAGCAACTGAACTTGGAGCTCTGGAAGTGACTTGAACAGTTGTATCTACAGGATCGTTATATTGCTTTCCTTCTTTTTGCCAGAGAGATTACCGCGAACAACAACTGGTTCATTTCTTTCCTCCCTCTCCATTTTTCCAATATTTTCCATTTGAGTTTCATACTTCTCCAAATTAATGACCAGTTGTGCGTACAATACTCAAACCGGCACCGGTACAGCAGTGGCTTGCATGTGCATGCCACTTTGAACGCAACGATCGTCTGAAGATTTTTCCTGGCGTCGGGCCGAGGTATGTCACGTGATGAAAACTTCCGAGAAAACTTCCCCGAGGCCATTCTCGTTCGGAAGCATTTTTCGAACCAAAGGAATATGTTTCCGGTGTGAAGTTTGAAGAGTGCAAAAAAGGTGCACTTGCTGTAATGTACATACTGTACTGGTGGTTGTACCTTTTCCCTAATCGGGCAACTCTAACCGTATATCAACGAATATTCGGATAAAGTTCCTTTTATATCGCCAAGTAGATCAGTTGAATTTTGTAGAGTGGATTTTGAAGAGTGGATTTGGAAGAGTTGAAAAAGTTGAATACAGTACAAGTACAGTAGTTGTAGAATCACAGCATGTTATGTCTCTATGTGTGCTTGTCCCTCAGACGAACCCACTACTACAAATGTACTCGTACTTGCACTTGTACATACTGTGTACATACTCTTCCTTTCTGCTGTTTGGAGCGCTTCCCTTTCTCCGGATATGGGTCATATATGTCTCAAACGAGCGGGGAAAAGTGGACCCGGGAGCTAACGTGACTCCCCAGGTTTTCTGTGGTGGTTTTCGGTCTCGTTTTAGCTCTCTTTCGTCCCCTTCGGCTATGTACGGTCTCATTTATATGACTCTTAACACTGGCATGGATAGATATACTTCTATATATACTTCTCCCAACAGTAATTAATTGTTATAACCACAGTCTATGTCGATGTGTCCAGAATGTGAGCCTATAGTGCCACAGCAATAGAGATTATATTGGCGTGTGTAACACGAGCCGGAGACAAATATTGTTCCCAGAATGTTTTTTGTCGAGTCACTCCATCACTTTCAAACTTGAAGCACAACTTTTGTTTGGACCCGCTCATATTAAACTTTTCCCCATCCCCTATCCCGAAGCTTATCCTTTATCGGCGATAACAAGCGCCTGAGGCGTGATGTGTCATGTACCAGTGGGACCTTGGAGAACCTCACAGCCACCCGGGTTTTACGAGGAAAGAATAGAAAACAGGAAATGGGGGCTATATATACCCAACTAGGTGACCCCCACGCTAAAAAAATCTAACATTAAACCACACTAGTGGCTTGAGAGTGACTCACCCCTCAACTCTAATGCTGGTCTCGTGATACGCTCTTATCGTGCATAGCAATGCCCAACAAGGACCCTTTCCCAACCCCATTTATAGCCAACGTCACACTGCGCTCTTTTCACGGTTCTTCCTTATCGATACCACCACCACGATTTCCTCATAACAAGTGCATTTATCAGTCCCGTGTCCACCACAGTCAGCTCGCAACCACTAACATCCACTCTCACACTCACACCACACTCACACTCTCACATAAACATGTCGTCACAGTCACCACGCTCGACCCTGCTGTCAACAACCATGCTCACCAACGATGAGTACTCGTACTATGACATGGGCAAATCACCAGACGGAATCTGTCACGTGACTATGGCGCTGAAAAAGTCGCAGGGGTTTGTGTGGAACCAGGACATTTTCGTCTCGAGGTACCACCAGGCTCGATGTGGGGAGTTTCAGCAGTTTGACGAATGTACACAGACAGAGGTCCAGGAAATTCGAGTAGACGAAGACGAGGAGGTATTCCACATGGATAAGTAGGTAATAATCTAACAAAGCGAAGTTCGGACTGTAGTTAAATAGCGATACAACTGTGCACGACAAGGTGTAGTGTACCAGTGTAAATGAGGACAGCGTTGAGACGTTTATATATGGCCGGAATTGAACACAGTGGTATTGAGGAATAGTGATGGCTATGTTCCTCTGATTAACCAGGTCATATACTATCAATACTATCGTAGACACTATCGTAGGTACAGTATGTACTTATATTTGTACTTATAGTAGATTCTCCCACCTAGTTCAATTGGAGATAAATTACTATATATGGAAAGAAGAAGGAGCAGTATTAAACTGGGAAGTTGGTCCTGACATTTATATGAAGATCTGTGTGAGTAAAGTAGCTGTTTGTATCTGAAATGGATATTCATTGCTGTACAACTACTCATCGTGCTCATTCAGTACTGTGGCCACCAGTAGTCAATCTCCGTAAACATGCCATTGTTATATTCAAAATGCTATAAACATCCTCGAGTACCTTCGATACCGTCTCTATCATAATTCATCTATTCTCTTCAGACAACTTCACTAACCTGCAAGCTCTGATCGTACAAGAGTCTCTCCAGCTTAGCCAGACTCTGCTGGAACACCTCTATCTTCTTGACCAGGTTTGGATCACCTGTGAGCACGAAGACAGAGTACTCGAACTCCCGCAGTAACGCCACAATTGGCAATCCATGTGCTTTGTTCAGAGTTCCGTATCTCATTAGCTCACCGGTCAGATCAAACAGACCAGAAATGTAGTCTCTAGGATGGACATATACATCAATGTTGTGTTGTTTGATGATCTCATGCAGCTCTTCCATGGTCATGATCTGGCCCCTTTCGAGCCAGAACTGGAAAGACATGGCTTCAATCATCTCCTCCGAAGCTCCAGACACCTGCCGAGAGTATTTCCAGTACGCGTTTGTGCTGTTGCCAACTAAACTGTTGATCTCGGCGAACTTGGCAGCAATCAGCTTGTACTGAGACGTCAGGGTCGCCTGTACGTCTGGAGCCAATGAGAGCGGCTCCTGGCCATTCTTTTTGACCCTGTGAAGTGCAAAAATGATTTTCTTGCTGGCTGCCGTCACGTCTCGCGAAATGTTGATGACCTGAGACCGCTCATCCTGAGAGATGTCGAGGCGTGTCTTGAATTGGAGAAAAAAGTTTTTGGCCGTTTCTTCCGTGCTGGACTCGATTTTGGCCACCTTGACGCCCTCCTCGACTTCTGTTTCTGTGTTTCGTTTCAGTGACATGTCGTGAAGAAATATTTAGCCTCCATGCAGGAACTTGTGTAAGGTGCATGCAACGAACCCAGCACAACCCAGTCAGACTCAGAACTACAAGATTTCATTATTGCAACTCAGACTATACAAATACAATAAATACTTTTAATTATGTGCAATCTGACGGTCAATCTCGCCGATTTCCGTCTGAAGGGAAACCTCCTCGACTGTCTTGACCAACTCCTTGGTACACTTGGTAAGATCAAACGAAAGACCAGCAAGCCGCTGCTTGAACTGCTTGGGAGGGTACTCGGCTCCGGGCTTAACGAACTTGTCGTCCTTGAAGATCATCTTCATTCTATCCGTGCAGGCCCGCAGATCCTGGCAAATCCAAGTGCCATTCTCCTTAAGCAGATGGTTTCGAGTCTGGGCCATGGACTGAGAAGTGGCATCCACCATGCATAGCACAACCTTGCAAATGGCTCGAGAGTGAGCGGAGATGGCAATCATGTTGGAATTGCCCTTGATGGCTGTCAGCAGATTCTGAATAGCCTCGATGACTTCTACACACTGCTCCTCAAGGTAATATTGCAGATCCTCCACGGTGTTGTCGGGATCTTCACCATCGAATTTGACGGCCTTGGGCAGATAAATGCCCAGATCCGCAGCAATGATCTGCTCGTCCTCTGACTCGGACTCTGACTCGTCCTCATCATCCTCTTCGTCACTGTCCTCCTCTTCGCTGCTCTCCAGCTCACTGCCGTCCTCACCACTCTCGATCTCCTCAGAGTGGCCCTCAAACTGATGTTGAGCCACTTTGACGGGGGGAACATGCCCATCATCAATCTCACTGATTTCACTGGTGAGAGACTCGCGAGGCTGAGGCGCATCCTGCACAGAAGTGACAGAATGGGTCAGTGGAGTGCTGTGATTGTCGTAGTGGTGACCCTCGTGATCCTCGCCGCCAAGAAGAGTGTCGTAGTCTTCTCGAGACTTGGGTGAATCAACACCTCGGGGCTTGACATTGCCATCGTCGCTCATCTGAGTGAGCTCCGTAGTATCATCCTGGTTCTCAGACATGTTTGACACATGAGAAATGTCAGGCGACTGGCTCACAACTTCCCGAAGTGCACTGGGAAGCTCAAAAGTGGCCTGAGGATCGAAAGACTCCTGGGGATGAAAGGCACCAGGAGAAGACATTGAAGTGGCAGAAGAGTCCAGAGCAGGGGAAGCAATGGCAGGAGAGGCGTACGACTTGCCAAGGGCCGAAGCAACACCAGTACCAGCCATGGAAGCGCCCACAACAGCAGTAGCGGCCATGGCTGCAGTGCTGAGCTCGTTGGGGGTTGGTGCATGACCATCGACCCCACTGGAAGCCACATGGGGCTGAATAGACTCTGTGTGAGCATGAACAGGCTCAAAGTGAGCATCCTGAAAGTCATCTTCCTCCACTTCCTCGTCGTCATGCTCGTCGTCATCCCCGTCTCCAACAACAGCAATAGCGCGGGTTTCCTCGTCAGCACGCTTCTCAGCAGCTCGAAGTTCCTGAGCAGACACGTAGTCGTATCGCTGAATTTCGTGGAGAGGACCGTCGAAAGTTTCAGGCTCAGCAGGACCGTCCTCACCGTTGGGATGACAATCAAAGTATTCCTTGTTGGAACCAGAGTACACATTCTGCCCAATGGAGTATCCATGTCCCTCTTCGGCACCGTGCTCACGGGCATTGTTCATCTCACGAGCCTTGTCGAGAACACGGTCCTGGTCCAGAGTTCGGGGCTCCACGTCTGCCTGATGAGACGTGAAGTTGAGAGCCTGGCTCTGGCCCGCTGCTTGCAAATCCCGAGGCTTGAGCTGAAGACCAGATTCGGCATCCAGCTCTCGAGGATGGAAATCAAGCTCAGCGTCCAAGTCACGGGGCTTGAACTCGGTGTCGAGATCCCGAGGTTGGAACTCAGTCTCTGACTCCGTCTCCTTTAAACCGTCCTTCTTCTTCTGACCGAATGAAAGAGCAGCCACTCCAGCTGTAACAGCGCCAACGGCAGCACCGAAGGCACCGCCAAAGCCGTTGGTCGTGGAAGAGGAGTCCGCCTCCACCTTTTCAGACACCTTTTCAGGCACGCTGTCAGCCATCTCTCTATCGGCCAGAGGCTCAGAAAAAGAAAGAGGCCCAGCAGAGTGAAGCTCAGTAGAGTGAGGCTCAGTGGAGTGAGGCTCAGTGGAGTGCATCGAAAGAGGCTCAGTAAAGTGAGTTGAAACCGGTTCAGCGGAGTGAGTCGACAAAGGTTGAGTAGTCAGAGGATCGATAGGCCCAGCAGATTCCTCAGAGATCTGTCGAGATCTAGTCTTGGGAACGTTCAACTCCGCAACCTGGGAAGAAAGAGAGAGGGTCTCTCGAATGGAATGAGACTCGTTCTTGTTACCATCAACATCATGGGGGATCTCAGGAAGCTCATGGCTGGGATCTCGGCTTAATTCTTCGCCGTCACCTCGCTTCTTGTTCTTGTCTCGGAGAGACGAAGGAGCCGAAACGAGTCGCAGAGTTCGTAGCCGGCTGTTGCCCTTGGACGGTGTCTTGACGGGTGACTCGACGGAGACTCCCTCATTGGAAGATAAGGAGTCAGATCGAGATGGAATCTGGTGGGGAGGAGTAAGTCCGTCCGTCTGGGAAGAAGGAGAAAGAGGATACGAGTCAAAGCTCACACCTCCAGCGTTAGCTCCAGAGAGACCTGCTCGAATTGGAGTATGGTTGGAGTTTGTAGAAGCAGAAGGGTAGCCCGAAACGGACGAAACAGAGGTGTTTCGAGTGGTGTTGCGAGTGCTGACGCTGCCAGCACCGCTTCCAAGAGCCAGGCCAAGACCCTCGCGTGTCAGAGCACGCTTCTCACCGTTCTCAGACCGGATCTTGGCAACCTTCACAAGCTCAATGACGGCACAGGCAAGATTCGCCACAGAAGCATCCAACAAGTAGATAGGGAGCAGACCAGACGACGTGGCGTGGTTCTTAGTGCACGTGATCAGTTGGTTGGCGGTCTTGGAAACAATGGAAGATAGGTTGGAAAGGAGAGGAGTTCGGTAGTCTCGAGCTCCTCCCTCTGTAGACACATCATTGGAGTCATCAGTGACCTTTCGAGTAGCAACAATTACTCTGTGAAGATGATGAAGAAGCTCTGAATGGTCGCTTCCAACATCCCGGGACTTGAGCAGATACTCATCTGTGGCAAGCTGGAACTTCGTGAGAGACACATCCTCCACCAGACCATGAACTTCATCAACAAAGGGATTGGTAGACTCAATGGCAGGCTGAACGATTCCACTTGTGCCATAAACAGACGATCGGAGAGACCGAACCGTGGCCTTGGTCTTAGAGTATCGAGCCTTCCACTGCTCAATTTCGGCCTTGAGCTCGTTGACCTCTCTGAGAGCCACCTCGTGGTCGTGAGACTTGGCAGCCAGAGACTTCATCTCAGCCAGGAAAACAGCAGCCTGCTTCTTGACCTCGGAAGTCTTCTCTCTCTGCTCTCTGAGCTGGTTCTGCAGGTTCAGAATGGCTTCAGAGTCCATATCCTCAACAGCAGGCATGCTCTTGTCAATAGAAGTGTCAGGAGAGATGGAAGGAAGACGATCGTAGTCAATACCTCGATCGAGACCTCGCTCACGAGATCCAGAGCCAGAAAGAGCACTGAGAGCAGCAGCTCCGGCACCAGCTCCAACCCCTCCAGCAAGCAAACCGTTGTGAGAGCTCTGCTTGAGAGCCTCCTTTCGAACAGACTCAAGCTCATTCTTATGCTCAATATTCACCTGCTCAAGCTCTCCCTGAAGTTTGTCCAGCTCAACCTCCTTGAGCTCCAATTCAGCCTCGAGAGAACTGACACGGGTAGCCAGAGAAGTGTAGGAGTCATCCAAACTGGATTGTTTATCGACGAGAGTCTCGTGGCGACCCCGCAAGTCCTCCAGGTCCACATCTCGTGTGCCAATAATCTCCCGCAGCTGTGTTTTTTCCTCCTCCAAAGTCTCCACCTGGGCGTTGCAGGTCTCCACAAGACGCGCCTTTTCGGACTCCAGCGACTTGATGAACTCGTGCAGCTGCTCGTTTTCCTCCATCAAGCTCTTGGACATGTTCTCTGCGTCCACCAGTTTGTTTTTGAGGTCCTCCGACTCGGCAGAAGCAGAAGCAGAAGTAACACTCTTGTCGTTCGGACCTCTGGTGGCTGTGTTGGATTCAAACTCAGGCTCAAAGTCGCTAGGAGTAGGAACATGTGTGTACCCAACCTGGGTGTGACCTGTAGGTCCACCCAGAAGCTCGTCGTCGTCCAATTCGGGAGAGTCTATCACCTTAGAAGTATCAACGTCCTCGGGATGAATGGTCTCGGGATGGAACGAGTGGCTGTTGTTGTGGTTGTCTTGACTGACGTCTCTAGTGGCACTTTGAATGTCGTAGGTAGGAGCGTTGTTGCCAATGTGATGCCTGTGTTCACTGCTGGTCTGACTGACATTTCTAGCATGCAAAGGTTGGGTGCTGTTGGCGAAGTCGTTCTGAGCATTGAGTGAGTTCTGACCATATGCAGCAGGAGTGGCAGTGTGATCCTCGTCCTCCACATAACGCTGATCTTGCCCCTCGTCTTCATTTTCTTCCTCCTCATCTTCCTCCGAGTCGGTCTCTTCCACCAGCGTACTCTTGTTGGGAATGAGCGTCTTGGATTGGAGGGTGCCACTTTCGGGGAAAGATCGTTGGCTCTGTTGACTAGGAGCGCGGTCGTGCTCGCCGCTGTGGTTCTCGGTCACGTGGCTGTCATCCACTTGAATAGCCGGTACGGCATCCACTGCCACTCCATAGCTATTATTGTCGTATGTTAGTGGCTGATTGGTGACTTCGAACGACGTGTCCGGATCGATATCTGTCGGTACATCCATGTGGTTGTTGTGGTCTTTGTTGTGACCGTTGGTGAGTCCGTCCTCGTAGCTTCTATCATTCTCTAGATGCATAGGCACATCGACGGCATGGCCCATGGTGTGATCCTGAAGATGGTGGTCTTGGGGCTGGCCAATTTCGTGCGCAGCAACACCGATCTCCTCATGCCGACGCTCAATCTCGTACTGAATGTCACTAGCCAGGTCTCTAAACCGCGAGACTGGCAGAGTGGACAGCTTCTGGCGGGCCTGATTTCGCTTGGGATGGAAATTCGACCGCGGAGCTAGATAGTCTTGGGTCTCGTAGCTAAGACCCTGTCTTCGTTGCAGTTCGTCGTACACGTCGGTCGAGAGCTCTGCAAATTGCAGACGGGACAGCTTGAGCAGCTTTTCACGGGCCTTGTGGACCCGTGCGGACGACGACGCGCTGCGCTTGATGTCCGTCTCGTGTTGTTCCGTCTGCAGAAACTGTTTGAGTGACCCATGGTGGGTAACCAGGTCGTCCACTGCGTTAGGCATGTTCATGAAGTTGTGGGTGTGAATCGGGTGTGATGGTGCGCTCTTCTAGATGCGATCATCCAATGCCGGACGCTGGACGCCAGACACCGGACGTCGGACGCTGGAAGCAAGCAGAAGCGCGACGCTTTCGTGAGCCCCATCTCTTATTCTACCTGTGAACCCAGCTTCGATTGTTGGTCCATCTCCAACTCGTTTTCCGGACGTGTCGCGTAGTCTGGTCTTGATCACGGTGCCAATTCTGGGATTGGTCCGTAGTACTCACTTGTATGTCCACGTAGTCTGTCGTTGCGAGTGGTCGAGACGGTGTGTATAGCAGCTGGTGGGCTTTTGTTGGTGGTGGTGACGCCGGAGTATTCGCAGTAGCGGTGGTTTAGCAGAGGTGAGCCACTATACTAATTGCAAATACGGTATAGTCTTTTTTTTATCCTTTGATGTGCGTCGGCAGGACGTGACGTGCCTCTACAGTTAATGTTTGGAGAAGAGAAAGAGAGACTTTAAATGAACACAGCAACAGGCGACAAGAAAAAAAAAAAATAAGAGCAGCGGAGTGAAGTGAGTTCCACGGCAGATGTGTCGTCGGCGTTTGCGCTCTTGGGGCCAATCTAGCCCCTGCTATCGCGCGCGACACACGACCAACCTGGGTCCCCCGTAACATCTACTTATTAGTCCCTCCCCCTGGCCCAATGGCTGGTTCCGCTGACCTGCAACTACACGCCCCCTTGGGACTATACAATATAAACATTTGCGTTGAAGACGCGCATTTCGAACTCTGCGCGTGGAACAAGGAACTCTCCCGAAACAATAGGCCAAGTACATGCTGGTTAGCACCTCGCCTCGTAGAGGCTTTGACGTGCCCACAGGTGGGCATGTCGCAGTAGACGGGCGATTTGGCGGCTTGTGTGGCAGTGGGGTCCTTTGATACAAGTAGCATAGCCTCATCAGTGCAGTGCAGTGTGCAGTGCCAACGTCGTTGTACAGTAAATCATAGCCCATGTTGGCGATCATAAGAGTATACAGTTGTACATACAAGTACTTGTAGTCAGAAGTGATGGACAGAAAGGTGTGTTTGCAAGCATTCCTGGAGCCGAAAGTAGATCGAGTAACGGCGCTGGCTGAAAGATTGGCCAAACTAAAACGCTTGGTTTATCGTATTGTGGAGTACGAGACATGGAACTATGTGGATCCACCGTGAATGTGAGCTTGTATATGAAGCCACAACCGGACGGTCAACTACAATGTAGGAGATAGGCACATGTATAAGGCGGTACAAGTACTCGTACTGTCGATGAAAGCCGAAACTGTGGCGACATTGACCATCCACACCCATGTTGACGGTCAGGAACCCATGCCTTAGGCTGTCCGGGCCCTGGCGTGGCCGTTCATTGTTTGCACGGATATGGACAATGGCGTGTAGATCGCGTCTCTGAGACAGGTCGGCTCGGCTCGAAACATGCCTCTGGCCAATGCAGTACAAGTAGTGATACTGAGGCGGTTGTGGTGTGATTGGGGGGGAGTAAATGCCGATGTATCGTCGTTAAGCCCGTGTTAAACGTCGGTATTACGTCTTTATTACGCTACCACACACCACTCGTAACTCTTGCCAGTCTCTCGTACGGACCCCATCCTGCGTCCCTCCAGTGTCATGCAGCAGTTGCAGCTGACTGAGCGGTTAACACTATTGCGGAATTGCAAGACCCGAAGAGAGAAACAAAAACGTCCAGAGGGATGCTTCTCAGAGGCGAAACGGTGGGAACGCGTTTCGACGCGTCGACCGTCGCTTTCAGTGGAGCCCTGCTCGAGATCGGAGCGGAGATCCACCACAGCCGCTTCCATGATAGACCCAAACGGACGCCGGGATTGACCGCTCTACAGAAGATCGCTTATATGGAATGTAAAAAGGAATGTGAGACAACACGAGAAGAAAAGACGACGAAAAGCAGTCACGTGTCGTTACTTTTGGTCCCGTGGCACGTGATCCCGAGCGTCCCAACCCAATGGCCACCGGCCCTGTCGCGGTAATTACAGTGCCTTGCAACGCAGGGGCCCCAGTTGCATCATGTACGGGTTTCCTGTAATGTACTTACCAGTACAAGTAGACCCTTACCACAACATGGCATGGCATTAATTGGTTCTTTTTAGCGTCCATGCGTGGTTGGCGCGGGTGGAGTGGGACAGTACAACCATACCGTACGCGATATCGTGCGAAAGACCCGCCATAATTGCAACCGTCATCGGTAATTGTGTATTGGCGCTCCCATTGCTGTTGTGTTGCACCACTGTATGTACATACTTTTAACCCGTTACTGTAAAATATTTCAGTGTAATCATACAACACTCTAACACCACGCCCCTCAGACTAATGCTCATCTGGGTTGCCAGGGGTTGCCAGTATATTTCGGGTCTAAGATTACGTAATGTTGAGATGAAATGTGTTACTTCTACTTTTAGTGTTCCAGGTGTCCATTTGAGGTGGTTCCCGTTCTGTGGTCGTAGTAGACTTGTCTCGTCGTCTCGTTGTCTCGCTCTCTCTGTCGAACTTCCCACCATTTAATTATGCTCCTGAGCAGCCAAAGTTTCCAGCAAGTACACGTGCATTAGATAACGATACGACCACTGCTTCTCACAGCTCAACCATGATCGAAATCGCCGCCTCGGCCGCCGAACCCATTCTCACCGTGGTCGTGCCCGGCAACCCCGGCATCGATCTCTTCTACCGCACCTTTCTGGCGCTTCTGGCCCAAAAGAGTCCCCGTTTCGACCTCGTTTGCGACTCGTTGAGAGGTTTTGAAGAAGAGGAGGCGCTGGCAGAGGCTGCAGAATCAGAGTCCGGGTTTGGACTCCAGGACCAAATAAACCACTTTGTGGCGCTCGTTCGAAGCAGATTTGATCCTAAGAAACACGTTGGTCTCATCATCATGGGCCATTCTGTAGGAGCTTGGATCGTCCAACGAGTCGCCTGCCAGGTCTCCACTGAAGACCCCAAGATCCCCATCTCTCTCGTTGGCCTGCTGACCCCCACAGTCAAGGATATTGCCAAGAGTCCCCGAGGATCTTACTTCACAGCCATGGACAAACGTATCGGCTACTACGCCCCCAGCATTGTGTTCACGGCCGTGCGAGTTGCCAATTGGATCCCGGGCTTTGTGCCTTTCGTGGCGTCGCGAGTGTCGTCGCGCGGGGCCATGCTGCCCCATACAGCTGCGGGAGACGCGCAAGACCCCTCAGAAGGTAACATGGGAGCCTACGATGCCGTAACCCGGTACGCCACCAACCCACGAATGGTGCGACAGACAGTTGAGCTGGCCAAGGAGGAGATGCGGGCCATTGCTTCGGACCCTGAACCCGCTGCTATCAGTGGCTTCTGGAAGACGCTTCCCATTTTCGGCTTCTTTGCTAAAGACGACCACTGGGTGGCCGAGGAGACTCGCAAGGAGCTCTTTGAGGAGTTTGGCCACCTACCCAACGTTCATTTCGTCGTCAAGGACGCCGCTCACGCATTCTGTATCCGAGAAAACGAAAAGGTCGTGGATGCCCTGTTCGCCGACCTTGAGGGCAGAAAGGTGGTTTGATGGAAGATTGGCAGTAACAATTCAAGTACAAGTAGGTACAGTATATAGAGATAGATTCAATAATGTAAAGACGACGGAAGGTACTGGACATCTGTGTGTGAGCTGAGGGTTGTATCTGGACTACAGTGTACTTGTACGTGTACCAGACCCAGCTAACGAAAGATATCACGGAACTTTCGCGAAAACGAACAAACTAAACTAACTTGTACAGCAAACGAACACTTTAGCCGAGATGATGATACGCGTTTGAGAGTGAAACAGAGAGATCCAAGAATTCACGACCCTTGTGAGATATTTTAAAAAATAAAACCGTGAATGGGAATGTGATCCTCGCAACACTTCAGAAATGTCGAGCTTGTTGTATATAATCATTATCAATCCTAGAAGAAGCTTCTCCTCTCGCCCATAACCCATTCACGTGGAAACACTTTAGGTTGACGGTTTCCCGGTTTACATTAAGCCAATTGCAGCGTTCGAAAATCTACCAGTATGTACTGTATGCACAGAACCAAGAGTGTGCTCCTCAAGAACGGAGATCAATACTGGTGGGCCGCCCCGTGAATTCTGTGTCACGTGACAGACACGTCTCTGTCGCGGCCTGAACGCTAAAACCACACAGCCCATGATTTGGTTGCTGAATTGTGACGTAATACGGCTTGAATGGGGACCCTCCGATCCTGTCAAATTAGGTTATCTCGGCTAACCGAGATGTGGGGGTTGTCCGGTTGCGTGTAAGGTCCGTTTATACAGGTTTTAGGAGGATAATATGTTTATAAGAATGATCGCTTAGTTGTTCTGCTTACAAATCAATTTCAACAATCGTGGTAGCTTGAAAACTGGCCAAAATAATCCGGTCTGTTGTGTAGTTTTTGTAATTTGAGCTACCTCCCATTTCGGTTGAATCCTCCTGTGACAAGGCATTGGGGTATTTTAATCTATCCCGCAAAGGAGTCGAAAAGGGGGTCTTCTGGCAAGTATTTTTGAAGTTTGAAAATTGCAACGTGTCCAAAATCTTTCGGAGACTGCAAATTCATCCCTAAATTCACAAATACTCAACAAGAACCCGTTATATCTCCTGGGTTTACGTATCTCCTACTCCCCACCTACCCGGTTAGATTAAGTTCGCACATGTCCCAAGATCGCTTATCTAGGGATGCAGTGTAACACTATAGACACCTTTCGACGACGCTGTCAGTCTCACACACAACACACACTCATTAGATACACGCACACGACACACACAAAATGGATCAAAAAACCGACTCGCGCGAGTATCTCGACGGGTTCAAGGCCGGCCAGAAGGTGGCGTACGAGCGGCTCTACTGGCGACGAATCCTCGTGCTGTTTGGAGGTCTGGCCATGGTGCTGGGTTTCTTTGGCTATAAAGGATACGCTGTCAATGACGTACTTGACCTGGATCTGTCCATGTCGCGAGCCGACTCTGTCAACGACAATCCCCTTGTTTCTCCTCTGTCCAAGCCCAAGAAAAACGTCATCTTCATGGTCACCGATGGTATGGGACCTGCTTCCGTTTCTCTGGCCCGAACCTACCGACAGTACGTCCAGGGACTGGCCTACAACAACACCCTGACCATCGACAAGCACTTTATTGGCTCGTCGCGAACCCGATCCAGTGACTCCCCCGTCACTGACTCTGCCGCTGGTGCCACCGCCTTCTCCTGTGGTGCCAAGTCCTACAACGGAGCAATCTCCGTCACCCCCGACTATAAGGCCTGTGGCAGTGTTCTCGAAGCTGCCAAGCGACAAGGTCTCAAGACCGGACTGGTGGTGACCACTCGGATCACCGACGCGACCCCTGCTTGTTTCGGAGCCCATGTTGCTCACCGGTCTCAGGAGGACGAGATTGCTGACCAGCTGCTGGGCTACGCTACTCCCCTCGGCCGTTCTGTCGACTTGCTCATGGGTGGCGGACGAATCCATTTCACAACCAAGGGCCGACAGGATGGCCGTGATCTGATTGCTGAAGCCCAGATCGACGGGTTCCAATACATTGCCAACCGAAAGGAGTTTGACGAGCTCGATACTTCCAACGCCACCCTACCCCTTCTCGCTCTCTTCACCGACTACGACATGCCCTACGAGATTGACCGAGTCCCCGAGCAGTTCCCCTCTCTCAAGGAGACCGCAATCTCTGCCCTTGAGATTCTTCACCAGGAGACCAAGGACTCCGACGAGGGATTCTTCATCATGATCGAAGGTTCTCGAATTGATCACGCCGGCCACCAGAATGACCCCGCTGCTCAGGTCAGAGAGGTTATGGCATTCGACGAGATGTTTGCTGCCGTCGTTGACTTTGCCGATTCTCTTGACACCGAAACCATCATTGTCTCCACCTCCGACCACGAGACTGGAGGCCTGGCTATCGCTCGACAGGTCCAGGCTGAGTACCCCGAGTACGTCTGGTACCCCGAGGCTCTTGCTGCTGCACAGCACTCTGGAGAGTACATTGCTCGAAAGCTGCAGGCGTTTGCTCGACCCGACCACCCTTCCGAGGCCTCTGGCTCGAAGCTGGAGAAGTTCGTCAAGCGAGAGATCCTCGAGAACGATCTTGGAGTCAAGGACTACACCAAACAGGAGGTCAAGGCTCTGATTAGAAACCGGGCTGACCCCATTGACACCATTGTCGACATTGTTTCTCGACGATCCCAGACGGGCTGGTCTACGCACGGCCACTCCGCCGTCGATGTCAACATCTACGCTCACTCCAACAAGCAGAGCGGTCTCGACAAGTTGGATGCTCTGCGAGGAAATCACGAGAACATTGAGATTGGTCAGTTTCTGGCCAAGTACCTGGAGGTGGACGTTGCTCGAGTGACGGAGATTCTCGAGGACCTTCCCGTTCGTGTTCAGCACGTTGAGGAGATTGATGACTGTGACCAGTACCATCATGGTTTGTATTAATCAGCGAAGACTGCGACCTAGTATCTTCACTGCGTGACATCTGTAAACCTATTGTAATAGTATGATTATGAATTAGATGAGCAGGTCACACTACTGGTATTTTTTGTCATTGTGACAGCAGCTAGGATATTATGTCAAGAAAGTCGCAACCAACTCATATTATGGCCAACGCTGACGTTGATCTTTCCGCGTTGAGTAGGAAGGGTACATACACCACGTCAGAGAAACACTCGAATAAGGGCGTGAAGATAGTCAATAGAGATGCACTGCGAAATGTTGATGAACAGGGTATTTCGTATATCAAGATCTTATCAAGATTTTATCGAGATCAAAAGAATAGAGAAGAATGTTTGGATTCATAGATCCTAGGATGTACTCTGAATCATCTTCAGTTTTCTTACGCAAGGATCCGCAGATAGGTTAGCAACTATCGCCATTATTGAGCCCAATGAGTGACTCCTAAGGAATATAAATACCCCTTTGAGGTCCCATTTTTCCCTCATTAGAAGACAACAGGCTCTGCATCCCTTCGCTCGGGGACTGTTTGTTTACAGGAGATGTTTGGGCATCGGCTACGACGAATTCTTGCTTAGCAGATCCACCAGGACACCTCTCTTCATGCCTCTTTTGACATGGAGCTATGACAAGTGAAATAAGCAATCTCCTTACGAGCTCCATTTCGAGAACGGGTCACTCCTGGGGTGGAAATCCCTGTATGAACAACACTTCTGAAAGCGAGTAACTAAGACGTTACGCTGAGCGAGAGCTACGAAGCTGCCTGGCAAAAGGATACCCCTTAGTACATGCTGCCGTTGGACGCAAGATGGTGACTGAGTCAAGCCTAGCTATCCCTCAAGAGTCCTGTCTCCTGTAATAAGCTGTGACGGGCACGATAGGTTGCCAATGAGCTTGCTATGGCGGACGCTGCTGTGTCTAGTGCGTGTTCAGGTAGCTCCCAGGGTGAGATTCTCATCATGGGTAACATTTCCTAAATGCTATGGGGAGAAGGACTGTCATTTGCACAGACATGTCTTCTTCATCTGATACTGATTTGTTATCTGTACACCAGGTATTACGGTATAGAGTGACAGTTGGTGATGATCGCAACCTGATCTCAGCTTGCAAGCACCATTGGACATAAACGTCTGTGGGGACCGCCTTTGGGCAAAGTGTTTAGGCCACTCCTGCCAAACCGCCAAGTAAAGAGTTCTTCAGAGCGACCGACCGACCAATGTCAACACTACGACAACGATGAAAAGCCGTTTGGAGCTGTTGATGGCGAAAACCATCAGTCGCCAGAAAACGCTAGTTAAAGCGACTGAGACAAGTTGAGTCTGCCGAGCAAGTGATACTGTGGAACGAAAGTTATGCCAACACTTGCTTCTGTGAAACGATGACGCCAGCGCAGGGTGACACTGTGAACTGTGACCAGAATGCCAGCGCCTTGAGAACATGGGCCAGAGCAAACCAGTAGGAGCCAGAGCCATGTTACTAGCCTAAGAGACAAATGTTATGCCAATGAGAGTCAGAGCCTTACAGCCTGTGCCAGTAAGAGCAGGAGAGTCTAGGTATTAAGCCGATAAGAGCCAGTCTGGATGTGGTAAGCAGACGGAGTCTGATTGGCATTCAGAAAGGATGCAGGCGTGGAACCTCGCAATAAATATGTACACCAGCCGAACCTTTAAGAGTACATAACAAGAGGCTGTAGGCATAGAGCTCTGGGTCCCCTCCCCCAAATCTTCCTTCGTAGTGTAGTTGTGAGTTGCGATTGTAATGTTGAACACCGTCGGAAAGAGAAGATCATTGGTCCAAGTAGAATCGACTCTGGTGTTAAAAGACTCATAATGGTGCTAGTATTTGGTTTATTACCCTAGTGTCTCATTTTGCTTAAATATACAGTCGATTTTTGGACCTGAACAAGACCTCTTCGAGTAACCTGAATCAGAATAATTGGTTAGTTGATCGAGAGATTGAACCTCCCCAGAGCCCATAAAAACAACGAAAGTCTCGTGGAACAAAAAAAACATTTATAAGATTTGTTTATTCTAAAATCACGTGACACATATAGCCGGATAGAACTCACAAAATGATCATTTTTCCAGTTGCGGCCATATCCTGGTGAAAATACGGCTTCCCGTCCGATCAGCCATAGTCAAGCACCAGAGAGCCTAGTTAGTATTGTAGTGGGAGACCATACGAGAATCCTGGGTGCTGCAATTCTTTTTCATTCTTAATTGACAGTCTTTTTATGTCTAACTTTCTCTTTTTCCTTTCTCTTCACTTCTTTTTGCCACTCTCCTATCCATCTATATATCGAGCATAGTAACCTTGGGAAAACCGTGTCTTGAACTTAGACGCCGTACGTACAGAAGTATTCGTAGTTATTTGAAGGGTGAAGGTTTTTACAGGTGTGTTTGTGCAGTACATACTGTAACCAACTGATCATAGACCTACTCAGATGCTTGCAGTTGTCGATGCTTTACAGTCTTTGTACGGCAGTTCTACAGTTCTCGCCAGTTATGCTGGTACGGTGTATTAATATACATGCTAAAAATGCAAAGGCAGCTGATCAAACTGCTGCTTGGTTAGTTGGGCCACCTCCTGGTTGTGGTGGATGCAAAAGCCATGGATGATTTCCTCCGCTCCCACGTCAAAGGTGACGTGGTTCAAGTGTCCCCACTCGTTGAAGATATCCTGTCGAGTCTCGTCGTCGACAAACTGATCCTGGTGGGCAAAGAAGCCCCAGATCTTGAATTTTCCGTTGTTGTGCCAAAAATCAACCACATCATTGCAGTCGGTTCCAATGGCCACCAGCTCCTCCTTGCCCATCTCGATCCATTGACGGATGATCGAGGGCTGGGAAACAAATCCCCGGGTAGCCTGCACAATATGAGGAGGAAGAGCGTCGCTGAGAAATTGCTGCTCCACCCGAGTCCACAGAGGAGACACCTTCTGGGCCACCTGCAGGCCTCGAGCCAGAACTCCGCCAGGCACAGGGTACTGCTTGGCTAGAGTCTTGAGCTTCTGACCAGTGGAGCTCTTGGCCAGTTCCTTGAGAGTCGGGGTCATGAGACACACGAGCTGCAGATCGATCTGGGGATCGTTGGCAACAGCCACAGCCACTCGCTGAACCAACCAGCCTCCCAGAGAATGGCCCATTAGAATCACCGGGCGTCCTTCAGTCTCACTTTCAGAGATGGAGCCCAGAAGAGTCTCGCCAGAGGAAATGGAACCCATGGAGTCCATGGAATCCAGAGAGTCGATAGAAGACCTTCTGGAGGAAGGTGGGGTAGCGAAAGAATCGGCCAGAGTGTCGTCGGACTCGTAGCCATCAAAAGTACATGTCTCGCACTTGCTCTCGGCCACCACATGTCTCAGAATCTTGACCTTGTTGTCAATCTGGTCCTGGAGACTGTACAGGTCCTCCTTGAACGACGCCGGGTTGAAAGTCGAATATCCTCTGTAGCTGGGACACACAAACTCGTATGTGGGGTACATTTCAGCCAGGTGTTGCAAAAACACGGTGTAGTATTCGGAGATTCCGGGGTTGCCAGGAATGAAAAAAACCAGAGGAGCAGGTCCCTTGGAGCTCTTTTTCTTGGGTGCAATTCGGTAGACTGCTGTGTCCATGATTTCGGAGTATCCTTCGGGCAGACACGCGGGCTTGGGGGCCTCTAGGGGCTGCTGCTCCTTGGAAAGACCTCCCTCCAGTCCCTGCTTGAAAATTCCAATGGCTGATACGGGGTTGATAAAGTTTCGAAGTACTCGTACTGTCGCCATCTTGTCTTGTGTGCTGTCTGTGTCTTATTGAAAGTAAATCTGTTGAAGATTACGCATAAAAACAGTGAAGAGTCGCGCGAACAGGTCGTGTGAGAGGCGCCTCAGGGTCTATATATACTCCTGCATTTTGGATTTGTGTCACACGAGCCATAACTCTTTTTCACCCTGTTTTTTTTGCAAATCTTCGCTTTTTTGCAAATTTTTAAACCCTATTGGCCTCGACACAAAGAAAGATAATGTACATGGTCGTGTGGGCTGAAAAGGCTAATTTAGAACGACGGAAAGCACGGCCCAAGCCAAAACACGACTTTGACACCGCAAACCGACCGGCGGCAAAGTCCTCGCTCGGGTCTTCCGTATATCATGGTCACGTGACACCAATATCCCGGGCCCGCCAGCTCCCCTCTCAGAGCACTTCTGTGTTCGTCTCAGATAGAGTTCCCGCGTTCTGCCAGATAGTGTGATGAGGTGGGGGAGGTGGGAGAGGGGGGGGGAATGCGGGAAGCATGATTAATTAGCACAGAACGAGGATGGGGGGGTTGGGTCAGTTGTTGGCTATATAGAAACTTGATCTGTTTGTGTAACATGCATGCAAGTGTGTATTTCACCTCTTTCCGCGTGCGCGCAAGAACGAGAGATGAGGTTGCCAGAGCGGTATCTTTGAAAATAGATAACAGCAAACTACAGTAGGCACTTTACCAACAGCACCTCCAAGACGCATATGGGCGCATTTGTATGTGAGTTTAATGGGGAAGGATTTTTTCAAGACCTGAGCAAAAGCGGTATTGAAGAGGAATATTTGGGGCATTCTTAGAATCCCTGGAATCGAAAAAATTAGAGGAGTTTGGTAAACCTCTTTTCTATTCCATATCATGACTTTCTACTAAGATGTGTCTCCCCAAACATTTCATCGCCGCAAGCATGCAACGTTAGATAATATGTGAAAAAAAGAGGCTAAAAAATTGCGGTGTTTAAAGTCGATCAGAATATGTGGTTGCTGGTGTCTAAATGTTTGGAAATACGATAGGGCCGTGAGAAAAAGTACGAGGTCACGCGAATGTCAGGTCCGCTTCAAATACGCTGTAGACATGGTGTCTCTCTTGACCTTCTGTCTTGAACAGCTGTGTCTTTAACCCCACTTCAGATAATGCGTGTGCTCGAACGGTTTTGGTTTATGTTTCAGGTAGGGTAACTTGAGTGGGGCTTTTTTTAGGTTGACGAATGAAGATTGGATACGTTTGTCAATGACAGTATGGAGAGGGGAACTGGTCTTGTGAGCGGGAGGTTGAGTGTATTCCACTTCTCGTCTCGTGGGAGCAGTGTCTTGTGTTGTTTTCTGGTGGGTTCGGAGACTGTTGCGATAACGCATGTCTCGCATCTATTGCATGAGTGGGGCATGATACTATTGGGATGAATGGTTAAGTAATTTGTAACTAATAGTGGTGTGTTTTGTCAATATCCTATTAGAATTGTACGAGAGTGCCTTGTGTGTTATAATATTTGATTATGACATTGAATTTATAACATTGAATTTGATATCAATGAAAGGAATGCCCTGTTAAGAAGATGTGCTCAATTTACTATCAATTTGCTTCTGATAGTGTCTTCCATACAGACTCATATCGTTGATATCAAGCGTTGCTTCTACTTGGCTGATGATGTAATTCGCTGGAACCGACTACGCACGCCTAGGAGATCCCGGAACATTTGTACATGGTGTTAATGTTAGTATTGGAGTTTCAGTACAAGTACTGTATTGTATTGTATGTATTGTATATACTGTACTTGTACTTGCACCGGTTTTCATCAACTGTTGGTTTCTGGTTTCAAAATATACTGTTTTACGACAGCTAATTGAAGGGTTTATAGCCCAAGGCTGCACGGAAGGTTTCTCGAAGAATACCTGCTGTTGCTGTTTCCAGGTGCAAAATCGAACACATCAGTCGCCGTTACAAGTGCAAGTATTTATACAATACCATTATTTGCAATTGAATCGTATTTATTCTACTGCTTCACCCCAGGTGCATCCATGATTAGATCTCACTACTGCCGAACCAACACCACTCCACACAAATCTGCTGTTTCAAACAAGAAAAGCAGGAAAAAACAGTACAATTCTTTTCTAGAGAGTTAAACCAGCAAATTGACAAATCAACTGTGTACAAAATACCCAACAATTCCTCTCTCAAGCGACTGTTCTAGACCCGAAACAGCAACCCCCCAAAATACACTTCGATGTTGGGACAAGTTTGGAGAACGTGGGGAAGTGGAACATTCTAGACACTTTGAGAACACATTGTAGATCGAAGAGATGAAGAAAAAGGCGACTAAAAGTGGTAGTTGTAGAAACATATTCGGACCATTCCTGATATGTCACGTGATCTCTCACCCCCCCCCTTCAACGCCCTTGTTGGCACCGTATCACTATCACTATCCTTGTCTGCAATCATGCATGCCCTGTGCGCGCCATCAAAGTCTACTCCTCAATATCACAATACCTAGACCCACTAACCATCAGGGTCATTTTTTGTTCCGACTAGCTAGCCTGCATCACTGCTACCACAATGCCGACCGCCGAGGAGTTTAAGACGATCGGAAATGATTTCTACAGCAATCACGACTTTGAAGCTGCCATTATGGTGAGTACGTCTGGCCCAGCCAGCAGAAGAGCCTTGTCAACAGATCATACAACTAACACAGAATTATTCTCAAGCGTGAGTCTGAGCAGGGATGAATATATGGTGATAGGTGACAGACACGGTCTCACCCACCCTGACTAACACAGAATCGTTAAAAACCCGAAAAACGTCATATACTACCAAAATGTGAGTTGCAACAGACATATCCGCGACAGTTTCGATCCGAGCTAACTCAGAGAGCGATGGCCTACTCAAAGCTAGGCAAGTACGAAGAGATGGAAAGAGATTGCTCAAAGGCATTGGAAATACTGCCCAACTCGGTCAAAGCATTGTACTACCTAGGTATCGCCTTGACAGCTCTGCGACGGTTTAGACAGGGCGCCGAGGTACTGGATAAAGCATACGCCGAATCGGTAAAGATGTCGAGCGCTCTATCGCCCAAAATCTCCGAACAGATTTTGCTTCTTAAGGAACAACGACACTCCCATGAACTCGAGTCTGTTCGGCGCCAGTCTGACACACTGTTGACTTACATGCTGGAGCTGTTGGAAAAGGATAAACAGGAGCAGTTAAACGAGCTCAAAGCACAGGGACTAAGTGGACAGGCACTCAGATCGGAACGTCAGTTTGTACAGGAGGAGTTCTTGGATAAAGAGAAGCAGATCATCTCCACTTTCAAGGCCTCCCAAAAGGGATCTCAAAACGGAAACTCAGCTATGGAAGAGATCCCCGATTACTTGGCGGACCCTATCTCATTCAATCTGTTTATGGACCCTGTTGTGACACCCGCTGGACAGACTTACGAGCGAAGCTGGCTACTAGAGCATTTGAAGGGCGGTGGTAAAGACCCACTGACACGAAAGAACCTCAGCCCTAAGGACCTTTATCCCAACTTGGCTGTCAAAAAGGCAGCCGAGGACTTTATGAAGCGAAACGGCAAATACTAATTAATGTATCTACATATGGACCATATGAATCCACTTGCACAACTTGTAGTCTTTCTACCATGAGCAAAAAGGCAGAGCCATGCACGACCAAAAAAGACTCCGCAACGGAGAATTGAACTCCGGTCCCCCGCGTGCTGGTGTAATACCTGACAGGCGGAAATTCTAGCCACTAAACTATTGCGGATTTTTCAATTTATTAAATATTTTACTATATATTCATAATCCTGCTTAGTCAGCAACCCCTGAAAACCCGGCTTACTAGGTATATAGCTGTAATGAATCATTAGAATTAAAAAAAAAAAAAAAAAAATACTTAGCGTGATAGTCAAGAGATATCAATGATATCACTGGAAAGACTTCCTCTAAAATAATAAAAAAACAACTGGGGAATAGACCAAAACTGTGAGCACGATTGCCGTCCGCTCTTCTGACGACCCGAATCCGAGTATGACGTGCGGATTGTCCCAAGACGCTCCAGTAAAGTAGCTGAAGTGTATCTCCCTATGCTTGACCGTGCTCCGCCCTCTCAACGAGGACTCAGTACGGAACGCTCGTCTTCCGCATGTCTTAATGTATCGTGTGATTATGTGATTATGTGATTATCCATAATATTCTCTAAAAATCCGAGAATTACATCCGAATTCGAGCCCAATGTACAATTTTCTCGTTGTATACGAACCACATATGTGTTTACCGGGAACAATCAAGAACTCCAGATCTTGAATGTCGTCTTGGAGGGTGCTTGTGACGAGCTTGGGCTGTTACAAAGCACGATGTCATTTCGTTTGTCTGCTTCCAGCAAATAACAGAAAACATGCTAAAGAGGGCTCTTCTGAAGATCAATTTCACCTGAGTACCTACAACGAGCACACGCTCCTTTCATTATACTGTAGAGTCATGGCTTGATCTATCGTACAATTGCTTGCCCAACACTTGTTGGAATTACCTCACCCAAAATAACGCACAATCCATTATGAGTCGCAATCATGACGCTTGATATAACATGTAACAACACGTCCACGATCATGAGTACACAAGAACATGGTATCAGGTATACAACACGTCTACTTGTAGAACTTGTGCTTTGCATTCGTAGTTCCTGGTCAAAATCATACATACATTAGCTAACTAAAAGTAACTTAGATGGCTCGAGAAAGGTGGAACTTGGGGCCAGCGAAGATGGCCTTGTCACCGAGCTCCTCCTCGATTCGGAGAAGCTGGTTGTACTTGGCGAGTCGCTCGGATCGAGAGGGAGCACCAGTCTTGATCTGGCCGGCTCGGAGACCGACGGCGAGGTCAGCAATGGTGACGTCCTCAGTCTCACCGGATCGGTGGGAGACCATGACACCCCACTTGGCGTCGTAGGAGTCGTTGGCGGCCTGGATAGACTCGGTGATGGTTCCGATCTGGTTGACCTTGAGCAGAAGGGCGTTAGCGGACTTCTCCTCAATGGCTCGCTTGATTCGGACGGGGTTGGTGACGGTCAGATCATCACCGACAATCTGGATGTCGGTGGTGGAGACAAAGTGAGACCAGGCGGCCCAGTCGTCCTCAGCGAAGGGGTCCTCGAAAGAGACAATGGGGTACTTCTTGATGAGCTCAGAGTAGTAAGCGGCAAGCTCCTCACCGGTCTTCCACAGAGACTTGTCGGAATCGGGGTTCTTGAAGTCAAGATCGTACTTGTTGGCCTCCTCGTTGTAGAACTCGGAAGAAGCAGCATCAATGGCAATCTTGATCTTGCCGGTGTAGCCAGCAGCATCGATGGCCTCGGTGATGAGGTTAAGAGCCTCCTCAGCGGTCTGAATATCGGGGGCAACACCACCCTCGTCACCGACGTTGCCGGCGGAGGCACCGTACTCCTTCTTGGCGAGCTTCTTGAGCTCGTGGTAGACCTCGGTTCCGGCTCGGAGAGACTCGGAGAAGGACTCGAACTCAGTGGGAGCAATCATGAACTCCTGGATGGCGAGTCGGCCACCGGCGTGAGAGCCACCGTTCAGAACGTTGAGGAAGGGAACGGGCAGAACGTAGGGCTGGGGGGAGCTAGCCAGAGAGGCAATGTGCTCGTAGAGAGGGACACCCTTCTCACCGGCACCGGCTCGGGCAGCGGCGATGGAGACACCGAGGATGGCGTTGGCACCGAGCTTGGACTTGTTCTCGGTTCCGTCGAGCTCAAGGAGGAACTTGTCAAAGGCAGCCTGGTCCTTGACGTCGAGCTTGGCGTCAATAACGGCGGGGGCAATGATCTCGTTGACGTTCTGGACGGCCTTGAGAACACCCTTTCCTCCCCACTTGGAGGCGTCCTTGTCTCGGAGCTCGAGAGCCTCGTGGACACCGGTGGAGGCGCCGGAGGGGACGATAGCTCGGAAGAGACCGTGCTGGGTGGTGAGGTCAACCTCAACGGTGGGGTTTCCTGAGTTAGTCTTGCGATTGCGTGATTCTTTGCCCTTGTTCTTTATGACGCAGCCATTTTTTATTTAGCATCAACCGACTGGCCTAGCACTGACGCAATGCCATGTCATGCGTGTGGAGTGGGTCTATGCGCGATTTCATTGGACAATGTTTTTCCGGACCCCAACAGAGTTTATCCGGGCGGATGCGTCGGTCTTGAGGGGGCCCAGCACCGGTCAACAAAAAGTGCACTTCTTGGCACAGAATTGGGCGAGCAAAAAGACGAATTGTCGAATTGCCCGCCCGCGGTGTCGTGCGCGCTGTATCTGTGCCAATTCACCTCTTGCAATCTCCGCAATTGCGTCGTGACTTGACTTTGAATGACACGTACAACAAGTGTGGGGAATCAACAGTTTGACTGTGCGATAATCCAGGCAATTGGCGTTGTAGTTCGTTTGTGGTACTCACCTCGGGAGTCGTAGACGTATCGGGCGTGGAGCTTCTCAACAGGCATGGTGATAAATGTGTGGTTAGACGGGTATACTGAGATACTTGTGACTTTATAACTAGTGGGGGATTGCTCCTTTTATACATGATGCAAACCCAATTGCGCTATTGGATTGGTCCCAAATAGTCATCTGTACAAAGGGGGGTGCTTTCGTCATTCGAAAGTTAAAAGCCATTGGGGGAGGTGAGATGGATAGTTGAAGGACTGCAATGAAAAGCATGTTGCGGTCCCGTGACGGCAAATCCGACTGCATGGCCACAATAACCTCCCCCTCAATGGCACAAATCTCAAACTTGCTCTCAAATACCCCCCTCCACCGCCCAAATCAACAGTCTCCAACACGACTTCCACAATCTTCTACGTGCGCTTGTATACCGTGGTGACGCTTAGAGTTCTGGCAAGTGAAAGGTTATGTCCACGAGGGCAAGGGCTGGTTGCTGTTCGGGGACTTCCATCCCCTCTCCCGGTTTATTCTCGTGGCTTTTCGTCTTGCAAATCGGCACACACGTGATTACCGATGGGACCGAGGAAGACTACATCTACGCGCCTTCTCGCCCATTAAAACCTCCTAAACCCTGTGCTCCACGCCCTTGAGCTATTTGTCAACGCTGTTGGCGCTACCGAGCTTTATTCTGTAGCTAAGTGTAGCGTGATATGACCGCACACGCACGGCTATAGAGAGCTCAGCTGTCTGGGTTGCACTGGACTGCCTACACGTTACCGGGGAAACGCCCCGTGCATATCCATACCATTAATCTGATCCACAAAACATGAACGTGGATGCTACATACAAGTAGCCGCCTGAACCACCGAATGTGTCTTACCTCGCAAACGGCAAATCGGGTGACAACATAGTATCGAATGAGCACTCATCCCATAGTTCCACACTCTAAAATATTACCGTAGACGGGTTTCAGTACATACAAGCACATACTCATGTTTGCTTGGACTGCAAGTACTATAGCCACTACAAGTAGAAAGGATGCCAAAGCCTCCACGCACCATGGTTGCGTGTGAGACATGAGCTCAAAGTGCTGTATGTACGTACAGAACCAACAGTCCGCCCGGTGATATATGCCCGGTTGCCTATCCAAGACATATCCCGCAGATAACCCAAGTAATCTGTCAACAAGTCACATAGAGTTTTCCAGCGGTACTTTGTGGAGAAAAAAACTTGCCCGAGAAAACTGGGATCGACTAAAGAGCCCAGATTATGACCAATATACACGATCTCAACATACAGGGGAAATTTCAGCTGTATAAAACACATATTGACCACTCTTCAAGAAACAAGGGCCGAGGTAGATGGAACCTTTAAGACACTGCCCTCGTACCAGGTGAATCTAACCTGTCTGAGCAAAGTGTGATACTTTTACAATCATCGTTTATGCAGTTGCAATTGCTACGTTTGCCGCACACACAAGAAATACACATGTTGCTTTTCATAAATATTCAAGGAATGAATTAGTATATACTTCCGGGAAGCTGGACTCTAGCTAGCTAATGCCCATCATGGTGTTGTAGAACTCGTCATTGTCGTGAGCCTGGTCCTGCGGGAACATGGAAGAAAGAACAAACTGGAAATATGGATCATCCTCCTCCTTGACAACGCTGATGCGCTTGCCGTCGGAGTCGCCTCCAGCAATGGTGGCGTCATCCATGGTCGGAGTAAACATGGGCGTGGAGTCGGGCATCACCATGGAAACTGCAGACATGCTGTCCACCGACGTGCTGAGACTGGTGAAACTACCGCTTCCCTGGCTCTGTGAGAACCCGTTGGAGTTGGTAGTGTAGACGGACGAGTCCCGAGAGGCACCTGCGATGCTATTCACTCCGAAGCTCATGCTGTTGCCGGCACCACCGTTGCTCTGTCCTCCGTTTCCGTTGCCTCCGCCCACATCAAACTCCACAGGATTGCCAAACTGCATGGGCTGGTTATTTGAGTGCGATCCATTGTTGTTGATGCTGTTGTTGTTCATATGCTGTCCACTCTGTCCATTAGTGCTTGTAGTCTCTAGAGCATGATCCTCGGCAATAGGGCCGTAGAGAGACGACTGGCTGAAGGAGCGATCTCGGAATTGCGACGACATTGGGGTGGCAGGTCCAGGGCCCGGTGTCATCATATGGCCGGTAAATGCAGAGGGCGAATTCAATGGTGTCACCTCTCCGTCGTCCAGCGAGAATTGAGGTGTGTGTGGAGTCATCAAGTTTGGGGTCACCTGGCCTGAACCAGAGGGTGTGTGCGACAGCGAGGGCGTCATGATCGACGTCAGCGACGTCACTGAGCCCACCTGGCCCGTCACATGGTTCATGGGCATCGAGTTCTTGCGCGCGTGGCCGGGGGCCGACGCAGTCTCCGAGCCTCGTCGCGACAGAGACATGTTGTTGCCCATAAACGAGTTGCTTCGGCGCATTTTGGAAGCGGCCGCTAGCGTCTCGGCAGGCGTCTTGCGCTCGAGAGGAGGCCCCAGAACCGACGTGGATGACGCCCGCGAGTGGCCGTGGCCCCCGGCAGGCATGGAGATGCCCATACCGACAAGGGCAGACTGGTTAGAGGCCGTTGCGCTGGTGCTGGACCGTCGGTCAAACGACGCCGACGAGTTGGACCGGTGCCGTTTGGGCGTATCAGAATTGGTTGTCGATGCCAGCGCTGGCAGCGATGTGGAGGAAGGATGCTTGGTGCTGCCTCCGAGGCCCACGGGGGTCGTGGGGTTCTTTGGAGGAGCTCCCATGACCGGGGTGGTCGGTGTGTGTGTGTTGTTAATAGAAGATTGAGAAGTGGTAGAGAATGTGCGCTGGAGAGAAAGACCGGGCCGTTGTCGGGTGGTGGTGGGCACCTGTTTGCCATTGGCGTTGGGGATATGCATAACGGGTTTCATGGGCGGATTGTTAATGTTTTGGTCCGGCTGGGGGCCGTCGCTGTTGATGGCGGCGGCGGCAGCAGCAGCAGCCATGTGTGGTTGTCGTACTGCAGACGACGGGTTGTTGGCACTGTTGCTCGCACTGCTGTTGGCGGCGGCGTTGGCCAGCTCGCCCTCCCGCTTTTTGATGTTCTGCTTCTCCTTGGCCCGGCGATTCTGGAACCAGATCTGGATGTTCTTTTTCGGCAGATCAAGGTCCCGCTCCAGCTCCGTGCGTGTCTTGAGACACGGCTTGGGCGTCTCGTTGAACACCTTTTCCAGCACTCGCAGCTGGTGCTCACTGAGCTTCTTCCGTGGCGCAGGGTTGTTGGACACGGGAATGTGCGACACTCTCACGCCGTTGTGCTGCGACAGCGCTGCGGCTGCGGCGGCTGCTGCTGCGGAGCCACCGAGACCCCAGGCGCCCCATGGGGTGGGCGCCGACACCATGTTCATGTTCACGTTCCAGGGCTGTCGGCGGGCCTGTGCGGCAGCGGGCTGCTGCTGGGGTGCCATCTGCTGCTGTGGTTGTTGCTGCATCGAGGGCTGCTGTTGTGGTGGGCCCTGTCCTGGCACGGGCTGTTGTTGAGGATGCTGAAGTTGCTGTTGTGGCGGGTGCTGCTGGTGCTGGAGCTGCTGGGTGACCTGCTGTTGCAGTTGCTGATGTTGGAACGGCGACTGCTGATGCGACGACAACGCCGTCATGCTCATGGGTGGCGTGTGATGTAGGCTCTCGCTCGACGATATCGACTGCGACGTCAGGCTCATTTGCGACATGGGCGTACCCAGCTGTGGTGACGGCAGTGTCGACGGGTACATGATGTTTGTGTTGGACGAGTTGACGGAGGCGTTGGCAGGGGTGGGGTTTGAGTACGCCACTCCGCTACTGCTGTTGTGACTACTTCCGCCGGGGTGGTTGCCTTGCACGAGTCCCAGCAGATCCACGTCTAGGTCCTGAAAGTCCTCGATGGACTGCATCTTTGTGCCAGGCGACGGGTCGTTGGGCTGGGGGGTCACCTCGTGCAGGTCTCCAAACAGCTCTTCGTAGGACGAGGTGTCGTACTTGAGCGAGTCCATGTCGTGGTGGCTCTGGGGGCCAAACCCCGAGTCCATCGGGAACTTGTAGTCGAACGTTGCCGTTTGCTTCATGGGATGCGGCACTGGCACTGGGAACGTGGTGAGTTTGGGTGGTGGAGTGGTGACAAGTCTTGTGATAGGAGCGAGTGTACAAGATGAAGAGAAAGAGTTTAGACGTTGAACCGGCGGATAAGTGTTGTGGGGAGTCTGTGAGTCTGTCCGTATGTGTCGGGGTCACAGAAACAGGGTCGTGGCGCGGCAAGTACGGGAAATCACCTATACCTCGAACCAAGAACCAAAGCCGGGTGTACAAATACTCAAGACGAGGTGTCTCTCACTATCCCGCACTAACCCTGGCCCTCAAACTCAAACTAGCGAGCCTGAAACCATAGAGATAACTTTGGTGGCTTTTGGGTGCGAGCAACGAAGGTGGCTGGATGGCACTGGTCGGGCTCCGACACGGGGGACTGTAGAAGCCACACACAGGATGACAAGTGCCCGGGCTGTCGACTTTTGCTCCTCACACGCTCAGCTTCAGACCGCCCCTCAAACTAGTCGGTGGTCCAGACCTGCGTACTACTGATACAGGCACTACAAGCAGAGTTCGAAAGCGTAGTCGGGGTAACTGTACTTGGACTGTATGGACGACAAAGTACAACAAGTCCTCCTAGTGTCCAAAATAATCGAGCTATAGGCGGTGGGACAGCTCTCCCGGCCCAGTAGCGCTACGTCTGCTCGTACGACTAACTTGGACCACTGACAGTTATCCTGACACAGAGGCTCTCTCCCCTTGTATTCAGGTCTCTCAACCCAGAGACCCAAGGTGGTGCCAGAAAAGGTGCCAGCTGCCAGACGAGACTCTAATCCGACTGTACAGACGAGACAGGGTAACAAAAATACAGCAGGCCAACGGCTTGTAAAAAATCCGATATTTCCGGGCCTCAAACAGCCCCTGTGCCAGACCAAATCGGGGTCCCCCCGCCTTTCGTATATCCATCCTCGTATATCTCTCGTCGACCCAAGATGGAAGTGCCATGTGGCTACTCTAGGTCGCACTAAAAATGGGTCTAGGCTGAGGGGCAGAAGGCTGGCGTCTAGAACCGTGCCGAAACCTAAACCGGACCATGGAGGCCCATTGTGAGCCGCAATAGTCGGCGGAATAAAAAACCGAACCCCGTAGAATGCTTGTTGCAGCCCGGGGACCACAATGGTATATTATTTGGAGAGAAAACTGCGTCAGACGAGCCGCCCAATCGACAAAAGTGGTGGCTGTTAAAGCCAAGAAACTGTACATATTGTCCCACCCAACCAGAGTTCCTGGCCGACGTTCATACAAGGCAGTTTATGACAGGAAAACAGAGGTTTTTTATCGACAAAAAAAAAAAGAAAAGACGCCGTCAATAGACGCCCACCATCCAAGGACATGGGGCTGTTGCACAGGCTACCCGAACGCACGGCAGACTGCTGAAGCCGTGACAGTCGGTCGCAAAAAGAGTTTCCGAGAAAGGTTTCTTTTAGGGAGTGTTGAAACTTTCCATGCAGAAATCCTGGCCTACAGGTACACAAGTACAGTACTGTAACTCTGAGACGACATTTTTGTTTGATGAGATTCAGTTGCTATAAACTCTGCTTAAGTAAGCGGCTGGAGATGTGACGGGACGTCTGACGGAGAGCACGTGGTCTTGACTCTGTGGTCACGTGACGCGCCATATATATATATATATATATATATATATATATTGGATGGGGAGGACAAGTCCGAGGACCTCCTATTTACATTGACTCTAGTCACTGTTGTATACAAGGTTGACTCCACTTGTCCATGTCGATCGTGACTGTACCTGCGCCATACAGTGCTTAGTAACGGCCTTTGTTTTTCGGCATTATTTAGCGAGTACGAGATTGGATCGGAGCGAGTGTGCGAGTGCCAGGCGATCGTCTGCAGTTAGCTCTAGTCCCGAAGGATGTCTGTAGGACATGACAACTCCGTGGAGCTTAGAGCACGTTTTTTTTCTGCCACTGTTTATTTTTAGCATAATCATCGTGAGTGAGAATGCCGTACGGAGGAGGGCTACAAGAAAGGAGAGTAGGGGTTTGGGCAGAAAAAAGAAACGAAATGGAGACGAAACAGCTTGGGATCGAAAACACATGGCCCGGGCTTCGGGCTTCAGGACCTGGGGGAACTATAACTACCTGGCTCCAAGCCCATGACACAAGTGAACGCCACAGCAAACCAACCAACGTTGAAATGCACATGACCCATATGTGCGATAACTGTATCAGCGGCAAGTAGCATGAGTCGACGAGGTTTTAGCGCCTGGGGAGGTTTTTGGGTCGAGGTTAACAGTGCGTTAGTGTGGCAGGCTTTGAATATCAGGTCTACAGATGAAGGAGGCAGTTGTGGGTACAAACTTGTTGTTCAACCTGGACAAGCGGAGCGGTGGTGGTAGGTCTAACCTGTGGTCGGAGACTATATCAATGGCTTCGGATATATCTCGCTAGCAGCTCGGCAAGGACAAATACCTATTATAACCTAGCAGCTCGTTTCAAAAAGCCAGCACTACCACTAGTCAGCAGCTACCTGGTACTAACTAGTTACAAACACCATGATACGTGACAGTTGCTGTTCAGCTTAGCACATGTTCGGGTTGTACTGCAATTGACCGTGATATTTATAGTATCCGCCTGGTGTCATACCTCACGATGGTTCAAAGGAGGGTTCATAGCAACGCATCATCAAACGTCAGCTGGAGGCCATGGGCGTTGCTATGAGGGACTTGCGGAACAAGGACAGAAAATCCATCTAACGTGGGCGCTTGGCAACACAAACAGCATCACGGTACCTTCCTAGAGACCAGCAATAGCTCGTTCAGCCTGTAGCTTGGTCGAGATCTCGAACCAGATCTCTTTGTCAAGCGAGCTACTCACGTGGAATATTAACATGGAGCGTGCAAGTCGTGCCTACCCGGCGTATGCTAGTGGGAGTGAAAACTTGTTTGCCTAGCCGCTTCTAGAACACCGTGCATCTATTGACAAGGTGGCAGTCTCTTGTCCTCGAGGAATACATCTCATTGTATCTACAGGGGTGAGAATCGGTGTCGGAGATTCGGGACTCCGACGCTTTAAAACTCCGAGAGCTGGTGCCGTGTAGTTTGAGGCCAAAACAAAAGTCGTTCACCTGACTACAAGTAGGGACACAGGGAGAACACGCGGAGTCGTTAAGCCTTTACACCGTTGTATTATTGTTGCAAGTATCGTTTCCTGTTATCATAACAACTTCCTATAGCTGGCGTTCACGGCTTGGGCTGCTAACTTCTAGTGTGTGGAGGGACTTGCCCGCCTTCCTTAATCTCACGATGGAGAGCGGGAACACTGCTCAAACCTCCACGTGGAAATTGACACTGCTCTAAAAAANANGGGGGGGGGGGGGGGGGACTTGAACTGCCCAAAAGAACCGCCTGCAGCTAGCCCATAAGCACAACTAGTTGCCATGTGTCTGGAGACCCAAGAGTCAAGGCAGCGGAACTGATAGGAATACGAGAAGAGGGTTAAGGAAGAGTGGGACTACAAGTGAGACACTTTTTAAAATCCCCAAAGTACAGAAGACTTATTCTAATCTGAAGAACACACTAGTGAACAATGGAGTTTAGCTACTTGTACTGTAGATGGTTCGTCAGGCTCGTATAGCTACAGTACATACAGTACAAGTCCAACCGACAAGCGCATGTTAAACACTCCAATTAGGCTGTGTCTTTATCGGAGTTCTTCTTAGCTCGAAAAGTCGGTAACTTCGCTGGATTGTCCACTACTTGAAAGTGTCACAACTAACCAAGAGTCTGGTCCCGAGGGTAGAGGCTTTCTCCACGTGATAGAGCAATTGGGATACAGTAGCGAGAACCCCAATTGTACTATCAACTTGGAAGATATGGGACAACTAGTCGTTGCAGGTCTACAGCCAGTGATGGTGGCTATCGGTAGTCTGTAAAACTCACTAATTGCATCTTCGGAATGTCGACCATCTGACTTTAAAAGTTCTGTAAATGAATTGAGACTGACGTGAAAGAAGAGGATAATTCGAAAAACAATACAAAAATCAAATCTTTACTTATCGCAGAAGTGGGTGCTCGTACCAGAAATGAGTGCTCGAACCAGAAGTGAAGTGAATGCTTGTACCAGTCTTATCAAGTAGTTTACTGATGGCCAACATGCAGAAGTGCATCCGAGACGGGCCAAGTTTGAAGTGATTGTGGGCGACCAGAGCTGAGAAAAAAAAGGTACTGTGACATCAAAATGTTCTAAAGTATCGAATGAATACTTAGTAATAACTCCTACAATACCAAATATCCGGTATATTGCCGATTACGCCTTCTCAACCGCCCTTTATCTGGAAACTCTAAAGGTACGACAGTATGCACCTGTTTCTGAACCACCTAATTACACTTCCCACAACACTTCCCACATCTCACACCCCAGGAAATCACACACAACATGTCCGACGACGATGAGTTTATGCTGAGCGCGGGAGACGAGGATTACGACTTTGAGTACGAAGATGAGGAGGAGGAAATGGAGGACGACGACAATGAGGCCATGGACTGCGAAAACAAGTACTACAACGCCAAGGCGGTCAAGGAGGACGAGCCCGAGGAGGCGATTGAGCAGTTCCAAGAGATCATCAACGACCCTGCTGCTGGCGAATGGGCGTTCAAGTCCATCAAGCAGGTTATCAAGTGTCTGACAAGCTCGGATGCCAAATCAGCTTCTGAACGAGAAAAAAAGTGGACCACAACGTTTGAATACTACGGCAAGATGCTGGATCTCATCACAAGCAAAACGACGTCAATTACACGCAACTATGCCGAGAAATCGCTCAATTCTATGGTTGCAAACATCACCAAGAGCGCTGAGAGTGAGGGATCCGAGTCCTCCGCCAGACAGCTGGAGAAGGTACACACCATGGCCATTGAGCGGCTCGATGCAAACGGCTCCGATGGATTGTGGCTTAAGACAAAGCTCAAGCTTGCTAAGCTTTACATCGACGTGGAGGATCTTACCCGTGCCAAAACGGAAATTTGGGAACTTCGAGAGAAACTGGATCAGCCAGATACCGCCCAAGATGCATCCGACAACTACATGTTGGAGCTGCTTTCGTTGCAGATCCAGTATTACACCCTTGTTGGAAACACCCGAGAACTAGGCGTCATCTACCAACAGACGCTCAACATCAAATCGGCGTGTTTGCCCCACCCCAGAATTCTGGGAGTCATTCGAGAATGTGGCGGCAAAATGTACATGCGGGAGAAGCGGTGGGACAAGGCATGCGAGGAGTTTTTCCAGAGTTTCAAAAACTATGATGAGGCCGGATCTCCTGCCAAAATCCAGATTCTCAAGTATCTGGTGGTTGCATCCATCCTGACCAACTCAGACATTAACGTGTTTGACTCACAGGAACTACAGCCCTACAGAAGTGATGGCCGCATCTCCCAGATGATGGCTCTGCATGACGGTTTCTACCAGTCGGATATCAGCGATTTCTACAAAAAGATCTTCCTGCAAAAGACAGACCAGGATCTGCTTAAAGACAAGTTCTTGAAACAGTACTTTGACCAGATTGTCGATACTGTCCAGCGAAAGTACGTGGCTCACATCATCAAGCCATTCTGTGCACTGGACATTTCATTCTTGGCTAGGAAAACTTCCATCGGCGAGGAGGAGTGTCGAAAGCTCTTGGTGAACCTGATTGTGGAGAGCAACGAGGGTGGAAACGAGAGTCTCAGCGATGCAAGATTCAACAAACTAACCGGACATGTGGTTCTTGATCCTGCCGTGCCTCGCCTTGAGGTACCCACTGTCTCTCAGGCTCAGGATCTCATCACATGTGAGGCTTCCTCTACCACTGGCCAGTTGACACAGATTCTGTACGGAGGAGGAGCTGGAGGAATGATCGAGTCCTCTTCTGCTTCTGTTACCGAGGGTCATCGAGTCGGTGGACCCCACGACATGCCTCTGTATGCTGGTGCTGGGCACTCTATGCTAGAGAAGGAGGAGACCAACAAGGGCGACATGGATATTCCACTGCTCTATCCCGTGAAACCCGCCAAGACCTTCAGAAACATGTCTGCTCTGGAACAGGTCTGGAACCCCGTTGGTCCCATCAAATCTAGACAGATGGCTACCTTTGGCCAGGCTGATTTGGATGAAGACGATCTTGATAAGCCTGACATGCCCTATTCTCGAGATGAGGTGCTCAAGATCTGGACTGACCGGGTTGTCAGAGTCGTTGATGAGGTTACTAATCTGTAGCCTACTGTATTTAAGAAATTACGTGGGGTACTTACTCCCTTGTCTGTAGCACACATTTATTCCTGTAACGATGCCCACCAGTCAAACCGATATATTATTCAATCAACAATGGCAATATTGACATGTGTTGACATGTTGGCGAATTCTAGAAGTGAGCAAACATCGTTGCTGTTATTCCAAATCCATCCCCGTCGCTACTTCTGTGGATTTAGCGACTCTCAAAAATATGAGCTTACATAATCATCAACACATTTATGTAAAAGCTGAAGAAAGGACAGTAAAAAATGATAAAAAACAATTGCAGCACCTAGGATTCTCGTATGGTCTCCCACTACAATACTAACTAGGCTCTCTGGTGCTTGACTATGGCTGATCGGACGGGAAGCCGTATTTTCACCAGGATATGGCCGCAACTGACGCAATAAATCACTGAACACTGTTGTAGGGCCAGATGAGCCACGTGACCGGAACTAGAATCGACAAGACGTTTATTTATTGGCAAGAGAGAAGTGATGACGGAATGGAAATGTCATAAGACGCTATTACTATATCATTAACACTGCTTATCTGACAACCAAGCTTGGTGACCACTTGTAACTACTGGTAGCTACAGCAGTGTCGTTTCAATCAAGCAAGCATGGTTTTGCTGCTTGGATACTGTTAGAGGCTCCTCCATCTTCGTCATGGTCCGCCAGGACACAGGTCCGGGTATGTATAGAATATACGCTTGTGGTTCATTTGAGAGTTGAAAAAGATTCGCCGGTAGGTGAAAGAGGTTGTAAATATGCACTCAAATTGTGCGCTCAGTGTTGTACTAAAGACTTATTTGCCTCAGCCGTGTTATTATTACGATAGTGCTACCACTTTGTACAGTTTCAACTCATGTATACCAACCTGTTAGAATAAATAATGCAATTACGGATGAATTCCGTTCTTTTCATCGTCGGCCGAGGTGGCCTGGGAAGAAGTGGGGGGTTGTTCCATGGACGAGTTCTGGTCGTTTGGACTGGAGCCGGCCAGGACGTCGGCGTTGGCCTCAATCGCGTCGGCATCGGTCGAGTGCTCAGGCTCATCGTGCATGTGCGACTTGGTGGGGGGAGTCCAAGCCAGCCAGTCTCGTCGGACCTCGACGTAGTCGTAGGCGAACTCTCCAATCTGGTCTTCGTCCATTCCTCGAAGTTCGGCCTCCTCAGATGCTCGCAGCTTGCAGCCGGGGATGAAGTTGATGGCGTAGCAGAGCACGACAGTCATGACAAAGGTGTATCCAGAGGCGGCCAACACAAAACAAATCTGCTTGTAGATCTGCTTCCAGTTGTTGGACACCCATCCTCCTCCGTGAGGAGTGGATCCATCCAAGCCAATCACGTAGTCGGCTCCAAAGAAGGCGTTGAAAATGAGTCCGACAATTCCTGCGACGCCGTGCTCAGCAAAGGTATCCATGGAATCATCAATCTTGAGAATGTACTTGATTTGTGTAGAAAAGTTACAAATCGCTGCTGCAACGATACCGAGAGGGACAGAGGCCCACAGAGGAATGATACCAGAACAGGGAGTAGCAGCAACCAGCCCCGAAATAATACCGGAACAGATGGCCACGGTAGACCACTTCTTTTCGAGCCGGAAATCCAGCAGACACCAAGTCAGAGCACCAAAGCAGGCGGCAATGTTGGAGTTCCACACAGCGTAGACCGCCTTCAGGTTGGAGCCAAGAGCAGAGCCTCCGTTGAATCCCAGCCAGCCAAACCACAGTAGAGCGGTTCCCATGGTCACCAGAGACACGTTGTGGGGTCGGAAGTTGAGCAGCAGTTGTTCCTTTCTTCGGCCAAGAGCAAAAGAGTATGCCAGACCTCCGATACCAGATGCAATTTCCACAGGTCCTCCTCCTGCAAAGTCCAGCACGTCCCAGTGAGCTCCAGCCCATCCGTTGGGGCCCCAGATCCAGAATGCAATGGGGCAGTAGACAATGGTGGCCCAGCAGAATGCAAAAATCATGGCGGGCAGCAGACGACCTCGCTCGGCCACACCTCCCACCACAATGGCCACGGTCACAGAGCAGAACATACCCTGGAAGCCGGCAAACAGCAGCTCGGGGTACTTGCGACTGCCGTCCTCGTGTTTGAGAATGTTCTTAAGACCAAAGTTGTCCAGGTTGCCGATAAACCGGTTAGAAGAAGGAGAAAAGGCCAACGAGTATCCCCAGAAGTACCACTGAATCTGGGCAACAATGGCGCCCATGAAACACACCCAGATCATAGACAGCGCCGACTTTCTTCGGGCCAGACCCGAGTACAGAAAACCCAGGCCTGGAATCATGACCAGAATCATGCACATGGACACGGTGATGTAGGCCACATCTCCAGTATCGTAAGTGTATTGCCACACATCACCTCCTCGCTTCTCCAGCATCTCCATCCCCTTTCCGACGATACCTCCGAGTTGTTCGCTCCGGCGGTGTTCTAGGTAGTGCATCGGTTCTTTTTGTAGTAAATTATTGGGTCGTAGTAGGTTGTCTTGTTGTTGTTGTTGTTAATAGGACTGCTGTTGTCTTTTGGTTGTATCGTAGTTAGTGTATAAGCCGTTAGGTTAGTTGTGGGAAAAAAGTCTTCAATGTCGCCAAATGTACAGTTTTTGTATCGTTCACCCAGTGTGTACCCAATATCCCGCTTCCACTCCTGCGGGAACCCTCTGCTATTTATTGGAACCTGATCGCCGAAGCGTCTATTGGTAGCCGGTGGGACTCTGATTATACATGCAGCTAACTCTGCGAGGGAGGATAATTTTCACACTCTAAAAACGCAAAGTTGGAGGCTATACTGCATAGGGTTGTGAGTTTATTGGGCTCCAAAAGTCATAAGGACCCACGCTGTGAGTCACCGGGGCTGCGATTTGTGGGAATTTCGGTCTGGAAAATAAACCCGCGGCCTTGTCCTGAATATCCAGTTTGCCCGATTACCCCAGTTCCTCTCAAACTGCCTCAGATGCGCTCCCGCCTCATCTCAGATGAACCCTGTGCTGCAACGAAGATAGCAAATTTGCACGTCTAATTGGCCAGCGATATGTGCGAGCAAGTTGTTCCAGGTGACATTCTTGGCGTCCAAGCCCAACCAGCTTGCCAGTCACACGTGAAGATGGGTTTCTGGGCTGAGTTTGAGAATTTCCATCTCGAATATGACCTAAAATTGTAAATTCTTGTGGAAAACCCCCCGTTCTAATTCTCATTGGTCCTTGGCTAGTGGCTGATATCAACCGTCTTTTGGCTCAGGCTCGGTTAATAAGCAGGGTTTGCTTCAACCTTCTGAGGGATATCTGTGCGAATTTGGGGCATTTACTGAAGCTCACGAGGTCTCCTGTTGTGCTTATTAACCAGCATTTTCTCGCAGATACCCTTAAATGTCCCCTGGTTTTCGCTCCCCTTCCATCTCAGCGGACCTGCGCTGGTTGGCTATGGGGTGGAAGCCCACCACCACCTTTATTCTCGAGGCAACTAAGGTCTCATAGCCGTATCCAACAAGTCGTGTGAGTGGAGGCCAGCCGGTGTCAAAAACCAACAAGCCCTGGTCACCGAGTCATTATCATTGTTATTCTCATTGGTCTCTGTCATTTCCATGACCCCCTTGTTTGCCACCTCCCCTATTTCAGCCCATATCTCCACCATATACTCTCATATCATCTCTCTCTGGAGAACCTCACGCGCCAAGAAGTATTATGAAATATGGAACAAGCACCCTTCGTCGCTACATGTATGCATCTGCATCCCACCAGCCAAGCCGCTTATCTCCAACGCTGGTCTGCCATTGGTCAACGTTGGGCCGAAGTTTATCTACAACGAATCAAACTCGGCAGAGCAAATGCCGGAAGAGGTTGTTTTGGCTTCTCGAAACGGGCACACCGCAGAGATCCGGGTTTTTTCGGGTTCTCGCCTCAACCATTCTTCAACCGTCTAGTTGGCGCTCTTGTGGGGATGTACGTAGACTCACAGGACCCGTGGAACCCAGTGGTTGCAAAGCTCCAGCGCTCCATCTCCCACCCAATCCTCCCCGGTGCCTGCCCAGGGCTCTTTTGGCAGCATGGCACGTCATACCACTTTGAGAAGTTGCGTTATCGTTGTTTTCCATGCCCTATGACAATCACCGCCAAGACTGACACCGCCACAGTCTGACACACCCCTCTTTGCCTGACAAGACTCCTCCATCACTTTGTCATTAGATCTTCAATCTCGCCAGTGGTCTTGGCAAAATCAAAGACAGACTCGTATAAAAAGGCCGGAAGACTACGGATCTTCGGACCAGCGTAAAATATGTGAGCCGGTGCAAATGAGCAGGACAATCGGAGCGAATCGGCGCGCCCTGGTCATCAAGCGAAGTCTGCCCAGCCCGTCGAGAAAAAATGGTATGAGACTGCTGGATCCAAGTAGGGGACCACCCTCCAACACACCAAACGAGATGACGTCCTCACCAAACGTAAACAACCTCCACCTCATGGATCTTGGTACGAAAAGAGGAAAAGAGGTACAAGAACAACAATCGTGTGGATGTTACAGTACCTTGCACGTGCTGCAAGTGCTACAAGTCCAAGTCCCACAGGTGCAACGGTAGCATACGCGCTCATGTCGACAAAGAAATAGGTGCAAAATCTTCCATTTTGATTCAAAAGAAAAGACACCTTCTGCTTCTCTCAAACTCTCTCGTGTGATCCACACCCTCCACATGTCCCTCCTAAAACTGCTCCACCAACCCCTATAGCCACCTCTGGATTTTTTGCACATATGGTTCGAGCCTTCAACCTTGTTTACGCAATTACCATACCTAAAATGGGGCCTAAAAAAAAACAAGAAGACGCAGAGATGCACAACGAGTCTAACCACCGACTACTTGTAGATAGAAAAAGTTAATGTGCTTAGTCAGTCGGTCCGAGGGAGCAAGGACAACCAGGATTTTTCGTGCCACTCGTTTCGCTGAAGAAAGGTTCTCAGAGGTATCTGAAATCTTGCTTCTTGGACTTCTGAAGACATTTTTTTGGTCACGTTATAGTGGTGGCACTATCAGTGTTTCAGATAACAAAAAAAGCTGAACATACTGTAATTGGTGATATGCGAATCACTATCAGGCCATTGTTAACGATTGCAGAGGATAAGTTCTGATACCATACAAGTCTACAAGTACGACTATCCATCAGTGACCGTGCCTTTCAATATGCGTGCCTTTCCATATTAACCGCCTTGTAGTGTCGTTTGCTTCTCTTTCGCCCGAGGTGCCTTGCTTTGTTGTTATTTTTTTATTCTAGGGAATTTTTTTGTCTCCTAGGGATATTTTTTGTCTCCTAGGGATATTTTTTGTCTCACTATCTGTTGGGCACCCTACCCCGGCTTATCTTGATAAGACGAGTGTCAAGGAGTACTTTTTTGTTGATCTTCGAATATCATCTTCTGGACAATGCGCTGCAGTGACATTGCCGATCTATCTCTGTGTATATGATAGAGACCATAAAAAGGCTGGTGAGGGGTATCACCCGCAACAATGAATTCCATTTACTTAATGGAGCAACATACAATGTTACAGTGACTCTAGTAAATATGATATCTGGTTATTACTAAGTGCTTGTTCAACAAAAGTAGTGCAGTTCAAAAACAGTAGTGCAGTTCAATTGGGGCAGCGTCGATCAGAAGTCTCACTGGTGTGATCACCTAGAAGACGCCAATTGACATACAGATGATTCTCTTTTGCTGATAATCGCCTAGCTGACTTTTCCACCTTCTACATGGTTGTCCTGAAACCTGTCTCTTAGCTAAATATCTTGGGTTCCTCAACAATCCAACTATCTGCATATTTGACAGCCTTATAACATCGTTAAGTTCCTATATCTGATCTCTACTTTCAATTGAAAAAAGTTGCTCACTCTAAAGCTCTCTCGGCAGGATTCTTTTCGTTTCCCCGTTGTAAACCTGCTGCAAGTTCAACTGTACCTCCAGTAGCTACATTCTCGATGGCGGCTTTTTGACTTGTAGAAACCGGGTCAGGTTCAAGGGGGTCAAAAAAAGGAAGAGTCGAGGGATGTCAAGCTGGTCAAAACTGCGCAGCCTTTGTTTTTCGACGCATCGGCAAAGAAATTTCCCTTGGGGAGAATAGATATGGTACTTCAAAATTACCCACTCTGAACAGTAACCAGAAAGAATGGCAGTTGCAGTCTGCGTGGAGCACTGAAGAGTACTTTTAACAGTCGTCTGCACTGATATTCAAATTGTATCGATCAAGAAAAGTTCTCCAAATCTAGCAGCATATTTAAGTCGGACAAAAGAATGAGACTTTCTTGGAGTACACTCGGGACTGGATAGAAGTCTTAACGATGCTCAATTGCGCAATTGTAGATACAGTAAGACCCAATTTCGGTCTTTCTCATGATGGAGAGCCAATAAATTGAAAAAACTTGCATCTCTCTTGCGGTTGGAACATCATTTGGGTGGTGACTAAAGAGAATCCGTGTCCCTGATAACATGTGCTGCCAGAGCAAGTACAGAACAAATACATTTGATTGTTAATGTCCCATTATATCAGGTTGTCACGACTCGGACGTTAATATTGTGTTTCTGACCGGATTTAGTGTGTTTTGACACCATGTTCCTAGCTACTACAAGTACCACTATCAGAATATCGCCCCCTAACTACACGCAACTGTTGGACCTGGCAGGAGAAGCCATCGAGACTGATATCTATCACCATTCTCAGAGCACATCTGATTAGTTGGATGAACAGATGTACTCTTGACTCGCTACACTACACAATTGGACACCACCCCGAACCGTCACAATCGCATGGACCGAAATTGCGTGACACCGGGATTTTGGCAACCAGCATTGTTTACGATTGAGTCGTTTGAGCGGTGTGTGAGAGGAAAAACATTGATTGTTTGGTTCTGCTGGTGGAGTAAGGAAACTATTGGTTACATGAAATACATCCGAAACAGTATCAAAATGAGGTTCCAGACAACCAATCCAAACAGCAATTACTTCTCAAAAAACACTAACGTCAAGTAATATCCAATGATATTCTACAATAAACCAAAGTCCACCTTGTCTTTTACCAGTTTTATCCCCTAACTATTGTCTATTAAAGCAGGGATGCACACCAGAGTCCTTGGGCGCCTCTGTCTACTCTTTTCCAGTCTAGAGCGAAAAATAATATAAAAGAGCGACTCTATTGAATGGGTACATAGATATACACTTGCCACAGCAACCCTCTCTCGGTGAAGTGGTATCTATACAACCAGAATGGTGGAAGGGAACACGATATACACCCATGAAATCACCACAAGGAAGCAGACAGGCAGAATATATGTTTTTTTGTGTTCCCTTCTCATATAATAGAACTTGTCTCCATCGACGAAAGAATCAACGCAGTTCTGGGTTGTGGTAAGGAAGCGCTAGATACCTATCAACTCACCATCGAATGTTGGAATTGCAGTTTTGGGAGGGAAATGGCTAGGAGTTGTTTCTTTGTAGAAAAGTGATGTCAATGACATTATATTTCAACTACTCCTATGACTTTCCTACTTTATCTTCTCTATAGCAGTCTTGTTTGGTGTCGCCCTGTATCACTTGTTATGTAAACGGGCAATTGGACGGGATTGAGGTTGTGCACATGTTATTTTTCTACAGTTCAAAAACTGAAAGAAGATAGAATCTTCTCGAGAGTCATTTCGAGAAAATACTTTTATTCCGTGCTATCTGTTGAGTTTTGAAGTCTACCGCTGGTAGAAAGATTCACGTCAGAGCCAGAGTCCAGAGCCAGAGTCCTGAGCCAGATTAATCCCGAGCCAGATTAATTTAGAACCTGAGCAATCGAGAGCCAGAGTTGAGTGTATCTCGATATTTGTACTTATTTTTCAACGCACTCGGAATTGCAGACAAAATCTTTGACGTCTCTTACATCTCCAGCGGAGATTTCCTGAATAGAAATCAAACCTCTCTCGCGTGAAAGTTGGTCAATATAGGTGGATCTCATCTCTAGATACTCTGGCTGAATCTGAGTGAAAAAAATACTCACTTAATAGCTACAAGTAGTGTTGAGTTGAAAATCTTCTGTGGTCTCATAACATGTAATGCTCGCTTCTCCATGGTAACTTTTCTTCTTCACCCGCAACTTGAGTTCAGCTCCGAAAAAAAGAGGTTATTAGTAGGTGTATAGTTGTCGCCCTAATAACTCATTTGCGCTCGTTTTTCAGCCGAACGCTCACGAAATCGCTATCCCATTTAGAGATGCGTATTCCTCTTTAGTTATGCATTATCGTGCATGATGCATGTCCGCTGCAACGTCTTTTGACGTCATGTCCCAGATGACGATAGAACCAGACTCCGTTCACACTATGACGTAATATCGCTCACATGACCGAGCAGGGGACAAATAACTTGGACTCGGAACGTTGCTGCTTCAACTAGCCCCCTTCGTGAGTAGCAACTGCCGACAAAGACAGATGGTTTCGCCACCACCCACTGGATTGCTGGACTTACGTCAGCCGTGTATCCTTGTTGCTTTCTATAAATAACGCTGGCAGTCATTGGGCGGTGGAGGTGGCAACAAAGACTGCCAGGCTTTCTAGAATACGAAGCGCACCGACACTTGCTGTGTTAACCTCAAGAGGACATGTAGCGCTGCCAGGCGGAGGCTCCCACTTGTGGAGTATATCACGAGAAACATCTTGGGCTCTGGGGAATTAATACCTCAGGTTTGGTCTGAATCTGCAATAAATTTTCTGGATTTACAAGTATCACCCGACCTGAATACGTTCACGGCAAATTCCGATTTTCGAAATCTGTAGATTCTGCTTGAGTGATTTTCGGCGCATATCAGCTGATTCGTGAGTTTGGAACAGACACAACTTTTTTCGTAGCCCATGTTTCTTGTGAAGACACCTTAGAACCTGCTAAACGGCACTATATGGAAATAGCTCTTGTCAATTCTCCTTTAGTTCAGGCACAGGGAGAAAATCCGAAAAATTATAATGTCGAGCATGACTTGACACTGCTAGAGACAGATGTTTGACAGGTACAATTGAAGGGGGAATCATGTCCGAGTCTGTCATCATTGGCGAACATGTTGAAAATTGACACACTTCATTCAATGAGCTCCCTTCAACTCCCTCTTCTCAAGACCTCAAAAATTACATCACCCAGTTTGAATACACATATCGTGACCATGATTGATCCAAATTGTACTGCACTTGTAGGGTTAAGACTGCAGCAGGCTGGTGCGGACCAACCCTCCTCTCCGCGTGGCAGATTTAGCGCACAGAATGCCATCTATATCCCATGTCCATGTGACCCTGGACCCCTGCCAAGAGCCTTTGAGCAGTAATCATGCCAGTCCCTCAACTCTGGACCAGCCTTGTCTCAGCCTTATGGTGTGTCTCGTAGTGCACATCTTGTGAGCGATTTCAAACTACGGCTACCGTCGCCGCGTTCTCGTGCTCTCGTATTCTCGCTAGCGTAACTGAGCACCCTGGTTCTAAGGCGTGGTATATTCTCAGTCTGGAATGGACCCACCATGTCTGAAACCGCATCCAGCTGGGGTTGATGTGCACATGTCTCACCACTTGTCTAGGAGTTGAGAATACAATATAGGCTCGTTCCTAATGGAATGTAATTGATGATTACACATCAGCTCACGAGCTAGGTGACCTCAGAATTGGTCAGCAGTTACTTTTTCTCACACCAAACTATGGTACCTCCGAGAGGTGTAAGCGATGGACATATGGTCCTTCACAGCTGAAGCAGAAAACCACTAAGTTCAAAAAACGATGGATTCGGGGCCGGGAATTAAACACCAGTGGCGAACTTGCCTCCCTCCCTCCATATGGGCGGTATAATTTTTACCACCCAGCTCTAACACCACCTTAACGCTCTCCTGTATGGAGGTTGAGTTAGAAGGCTTCAAATACCTTGACTGGGTCGACGCCTTACCGAGGCGGAGATCGCTACGGTTTAATACTACTATTTTGGGTCGTGGGGTTATTCCTTTGCCAAGACCGCCAAGCCCGAGCAAAAATGCCAAGGCATGGGAGGTGCATGGTGCAACGGCTGTGGTTAGAACCAGCAGCAGCGTCCACTGTAACATAAGTCGCACGGCTATAACGCCTCTGTATAGCTTGGGAAGCCAGGGGAATGACCCCTTTGGGCTATGCACACACCGCGTGGATCCTCTGGTCAGCGGCATGTGTAATGGGCTTTAGCAACCCACACTGAGTTTCAAACGTAGTCCTTGTACTTATGAAGGTAACCGCCAGTTGGCTCAGACTTTTGCCGAGCTCTGGGTCGAAAAAAAAACCTCATTGAGACGTCGTACCAGCCGTGGCCTTGGTGCTAAGAATACGACCCTACCAGGTTCGGTCCCTAGTGCTGTACTCTAGAAACGAGTCTTCTCTGCAGCAACGAGCGCAAAAACCTTCCAAGTTGGTGATTTATCATAGGGCTTTTCAGTATGGCATGCATTTGTTGCCAGTATTCCCTGCGGCAGAGTCCCTGTTCGTCTCCCTACGCGTACAGTAGTTCCCATGTTCTCTCCTAGAATCTCGCAAGTCTATCTCTAATAATAGGACCCAGGGTTAGCTTGGAAAACATTTTCTCATTTCTATCAATAACAAAGAAATAACCACGACTAGACATCTGCTTTCGTATATTCCAAAGTGAGATGGCCAGTGATAGTCAGTCACAGCCGAGAGGAAGCGAAATACTGTACACAGCTGCACATAGCCGAGATGAAACCCAGATGTGAAGGGGGTGGGTGGGGGGCTGTAACCTCCCACATAATACAACACATACCGTTACCGTACCAGTACAGATATTTTGATCAACCTGTGTTTCAATGGAATGCACTTCTGTTTCTGTCACATTTCGTAATCATTAACCACTTAACTGGGCAAGGACTTGTCCTTCTCGGGTTATGGATCCAAGACATCATCAACTTCCGTACTTGTACCTCGCACAAATATACACGTAGCTCCACAGAGCGATACAGTACGCATACAAAAGACACTCTCCAAAGGCGAAACACTCCCCCCTTTGCACCCCCACGATCTCAAGCCCCCTATACTCATCCAGCCCTAGACTCTAATGGTAGCCAAGTCAGGTTCAAGGTTCACTCTTGAGAGATGGTGGGCTGGTGATAGCCAGGAACAAAAGTTAGAAGAGAGAGTTGAACGTGTCTTGTTTACGCGTTCAGGTCCACTAAAAACGCGCATTCCCCGGAATTTATACAGTGTTCAGGGTGTACTGTATGGTCAATTCCAGTACATCCACTCTACGTCCCCGGGCTGGTTCCCTTAGAGACGCCAACACGTTGCAGCCACTTCACCAATCGCTATCGTATGTACATGTTCTACAATCACCACATGACAATAATTAATCCTTATCCTGTATTATCTATGCCCAATCCAGTTTCCTGGGTCTATCTAAGTAGACGTTAGTAGAGAGATACCACTGAGTAGCGGTGGAGCAGACACGCCGGTCTGCTCAAATAGTCATGCGCGTATAAATATCATGGCCAGCCCACGCCGGGTGGGTCGACTGAGGCCATGGTGGAGTTTCAAACTCGAGGTTGCCGCATCCCGTATAATGCACAATAAAATAACAATAATAAATATCATCATCTCATCACAACTGGTCAACGAATCGCTGAACCTCTTTGGTGAGATCGCCAAGACAGTCATCGGGGTCGTCGGCAGCAGAGATGGACACAGAAAGAGCGCCTCCCTTGACTCCGACGGCTCCAAACTGCAGGAACGCACAGTTAGCGCCAGTACATTGAGAGAAGCGCAGTCGCTCAATGTTGGTGCCGCAGGGATCCACGGCACAAAGGTTGGAGATAGAGAAAAGCTCCGAACGAGCAGCTCCCTCAGTGTGGGATTCAAAGAAGTCCTTGATAGAGGGGACAAACTGGATCATGCCAATGTCGTGCATGGCGGCAGGACAGTCGTCAGGGCGGGACTTGGCAATGTTCTCGAGCACCGACGATCGGAACCCTCGGGCAATATCGAAAAACTCCTTCGACTTGTAGTATCCCTTCTTCTGCACGTTTTTGGGTGGGGGTACCACCGTCTGCAGCTCTGCATCTCCAACCATGCATCCCAACGATGCCAGCTGCTCCTTTCGGATGAACTGACGCGCGTTGTATGGGATACGTGCGTTGGCCCGCATCTTGGACGACGAAACGGGGTAGTGTCTGTAGAGAGTGTCCGAAGAGGCAGACACGAGCACGGCAAAAAGAACAGCCGACGCAGACACTTCGTTCTTATGGCACGTGTCGAGCAGACGCTTGGTCTTGGCTTTGTCAATGTCGATGAGCGAGTATCGTCCAGTCCACTTCTTCTTGTGTTTGGGACCGGTTCCAAATCGGTACTGGTCCACCTCCTTCGAGTAGACCAGTCGACGCAGAGCCGTGGCAAAGGTGCACAGCGGCTTGGCGTATTCCTCCATGAGAGCGACGCAGAGCTTCCAGTAGGGCACGGAGACGTTCATCTGGCCCTCCAGGGGTGGTGGGATGGGAGCTCCAGACACAAGGGCCACGTCATGTCGTGACACGGACGGGTTTCGGACATTCTGACATGCCTTGGCGAGCTTGACGCAGACAGAGGCTCCGGACATGCCATCCAGGGGCGTATGGTCGTAGACGAAGACAAGCTCCTTGCCCTTGTTGATGGGGAAGACTCTCCAAAGGGGCTTATCACCTTGCAGATCAAACTGAATGTCGTGGAGTTGGGTGTGGATGTTGGCGATGTTTTCTTCGTTGAAGTACTCAAGAGACACGGCGTCGGATATTCTGATGCCCTTGAGTTTGGTGAAGCGCAGGTCTTTTTCCTTTCGTCCAGTGACCACGACACCGAGCATGGGTTCGTCCATGATCACGTCGGCCACGGCCTGGTAGAGTACGTTCAGTTCCACAGGCTCATCGAGCTCTGCAGAGACCCAGACGTTTGTGTAGAGCCCGAGCTGGGCTCTCACCGCCATGAGTCGTTCTAGGGGTCCTGTAGTTAGTATTGTAGTTGCAAGTGTGGTCCACCACACCACCACATTCCACATTCCGCAGTGGCATGTTGGTGTTGTACCGTGTCTACTTGTGGGCGTGATTTACGTCGGTTCTCTCGCGTTGGCAGCCGCGGGAGTCTGTCTGCCATCTTCGACCACGCCTTCTCCACCACCTCGCCATCTACCGCCACTCACCAAGTTGTCGAGACATGTTGTCGCACATCTCACGTTCCATATCGTCCCTTTTGTACAAAAAATAAGCTCTTGGGAATATATAATCGGAGTTGGCAGTGTAGGAGGGGCAAAAAGGATAACTGCAAAGTTTGATTGAAAGAGCAAAAGGAAAATGAACAAACGAGCTGAACACAAACGGCCAGAAAGTTGGCCATGTACTGGTGGAAAAATGTCATGATCGTGAAACGGGGATGAAGATGTTTTTAATCTCCACCATTTTGTGATTTTTTTACCAAGTCGGGACTCGAAGGCAAAGACGAAAACACGTGGGGGTCGGGGATAACCAAACTGGTGATGTCACCACCTGCGTACCACCACTACGCCATGGTCTGCAAGAACCCACGTTTTTCTTCAAGTAATAATAGCAGCATAATCGACATGTGAAACGACCCACCTGCAACAACGTCCACGCTGTTTTGTTTAGGGGATAACAAAGGAGTGCATAGAGTTTCGTCTACTCTTTGTCCCGAGACTTGGCTCTTTTTAGAGTATCCGTCCTTGTCACTTGACTCCTCCCAAATGTAGTGTCGTCAACATGTCACTTGCACCCAACCTGTGATTCTAGGTAGCCGTGCCCGAGGCCCACACTAGCAGCCCGCCCCCGTCCTTTTACGGCCAACATTCGCCCTTCTACGGGGCTTTTAGGACCGCGCCCTGGTTTCTTCAGCCCCCAGAGTCCTTGCAAAGTTCCATTTCGCTAGACATACACCTGGGGTGCGAGATTCAGCCTCTGAGCCGGTGCCAAGAATGGTAATACGGGGGCTTTTCAAAAAGCAAGAAACTGCAAAAAGCAACGTAAAAGGGGCCAGCTCGTTTTAGACATTCAACATACACGCGTCTTGTCCCAGCTAAATTCCCCCTGCCCCCTTTCCAAATTTCCCAGCACGCGTTTGGCGTCAAATCTCTTGCCGACCGCCCGAATCATAACTCACATAGTAACAAACTCTAGCATGCTGCCGACCTGTCGGCAAAAGACAGTTGCCGTCCACGAAGACAACAACAGATCCCCAAAGTCGAGGCCTCCTTGCACAACCCCTTACAGCAACTCCAAAGTAACGCACAGTTGCAGAGATTTTTTTTTTTATTCGGCGTGACACATTTGTTCCCCACATGCTCCTCCTTGTCCTTCTTCTATTGTTCCATCTTGAACATACCCTTGTACACGTGCAGCCTGCATTATTGTACAGCCTACCTGTCCCGAAAGAAGACGTTGGCAGTGCGCGTACCGCTTGAGATGGTTTCTACAGCGCTCACACTGTAAGGTGGCCCACATGTTTTTTTCGTCTGCTTGCTGTTTTGCCTTTCATTCTATGTCCATGTCTCCCCAGATCCAAATGGACTTTTTGCTATATTGCACGGCGTGCAAATTCCCTCAAGTGTGGTCTTGTTTTAGTCCGTTGCGTTTTTTGATTTCCCTTAGAAATTCGGTTTGTCCTCCACTGAATTAGAAGTACACGCTTGAAACCTGGAATGCGAGCCGGGGTGCAACAAACAGGAACGGAACTTCCCATGTATGTCCTTTCTCCGTGACGCCTACGCACGGTCACATTGTACAATGGACAGACCAACGAGGATGAAGATGAGTGTCGAATACGGGAGAACATGAAACAGACTCATAACAAGTAGGAGCACTCCTCCCACTGTACTTGTACTGTACATACCGAGCCACATGAACCTCAACCTCAAGCTCGCACTCGTGTTTGGACAGATCCGCTTTGGGAAAACATGTCGGAGTCATCGGAGACTTGGCTCTGTCTTTGGCTCGAGATGTACGACTCGCTATCCGGCGTAACAGATGCATATCTAAAAATGGCGCACGGGGCTGGATCAACTGCTTTGATTCGGGCATACATGTCCGCTCAATTAATACTCATGCCACAGGGCAGTGTGAAAACCTCGTACCCAAATCCCGCGCCACCAACCAAACTATCCATCTCCTGGACGCCTGAAACACATTCCAATGGAGTCCGCACCTAGGAACACCCCTTTCTTTTGGGCTCCCCACATTCTTGGCACTCAGCCCTGCCTCTCTTAGGCTGCCAAGAACACCAGCCTTGCATATCCCGGGAATAACTGCTGGCTACCAACCTACTTTGTCAGTCTGGATCTTCATCTGGGCTCATAATCTTGTTCGATGGCTGGAGTCTCCAACCCTACAGTCATGTGAATACAACACGAGACCCTGGAGGAGTTCACCGAGAACCACTTCTAAAAATAACAGGACCAGAGAAGACCAGCTTGCATCCTAGCGTGCACGACGCACACAGCCTCGTGCTGCCGCTGGAGAACACACCACCACTGCACCACTTTTCTAGATTCTGCTACGGTGCTACCCGGACCATCGCCCCCCTTGTTCTAAGGCTTCGAAACATGTTTGTAAGACAAGGCAGGGGTGGATCTATACAGCAATACGGCATGTAGCTAAGCCGTGAACGGTAACATACTCCATATCATCGAGTATCTATAATGACTACGATTTTTCATTATACCTCGCTTCCCAAGGTACTGAAAACTATACAGTGGCATTTACATCGCTTACAAGTGTCAACAGTGCGGCAAATCAACTAATAGCAGTACATCCAATACTTGTAGGCTACTCTTAATACAACGGGTAACGCTCATAACCGAATTACATGCTGTATTGAATCTTTCGATAATGAGAGTGTGTACTTTTCCGACTCATTAGGAGCGACCCAAACACGAATTTCTTATCAACACAGAGCACAACCGAGGTTCCACTAATTTCGCACTTGTAATAACAGTTCAAACACATTCAGGCGAACCCCCCTGGAATTTCCACTCTATTGTCCACATCCCACCATCAAACATCAAATCAATTCATTTAGTATACATTAAAAAATATCCATCACATTAGTGAAATTCTTCTCACCTCGCTCCTTCCAGTAATCTCCATTGTACTTGTAGTAAGTCTCGCCAGTGACAGGGTGCTTGGCTTCCTCAAAAAATCGAGGCTTGTACACCTCACCCTTAGCCTCCCGCTCTCGTCGTGCGGCTCGCTGCTTCTCCTCGACTCGGTTCTTTTCCGTTGCAGCATCGTCGTATCGAGCCTCTTCCATGGCTCGCTGATCTGGTCGAAGACGAGTATCGGTCGGTGCTAACCATGGCTTGAGACGATCGGGAAGAGCATTCAGAGTGATAGCAAAAGGCGTAAGGTTGAAAGGCGCAGGAGGTCGGGGATTGACCTCCCAAATGACCTCCTTAGACTCGGAACCATGCTTCTTGAGATAGAACTTTTCGTGCCAGTGTCCTCCAACGGTCCACTGAGGGTTGCCGTTCTTGTCCACAACGTTACCCTTGACCTCGAAGGCGCCGGCTCCTCGCCATCCTCGAGCCTTGAAATGAAGAGTACAGGTGTCACCAGTGTCGTGGTTAGTGATGGTCATATCACCATAGTTGTCGACGACAGGAGATCCGGTAATAATACCGACAACTTGGGTGTTGACCTTCTTCCATGTGTACAACTCCGGGGGAGCGTTATCAGGTCGCAGGTTGAGGAACAGAGTACCAAGAGGGTTGATATCGAAAGCTCGACCGGTGAACTTGGACTTGACATTACTCTCACCCATGTAGTCCCAGTAAGGGGACTCAGCATGGCAAGCACCGATAGGAGGATGATGCGAAACCTGCTCACTGAAGAATCGGAACTTCTTGTCGGGTCGAGCGTACTCGTAAGTCTCACCAAGAAGAGGGTTGAAGGGCTTCGCAACTCGAAGAGTGGTGGAAGCGTACTCGGAAGCAGCAAAGGCAGCAACGTAAGCCAGTCGCTTGGTGGAGTCGTCGAAAGTTCGAGCTTTGTCCAGCAGATCAGTATACTCCATATCCTCAGCGACTCGCTGAAGAAGAGAAGAACACTCGTTAAAAGACACAGGCAGAGTCATCTTGGTCATATCCTTACCAACCAGGTTCTTGAGAATACCCCAAAGGGACACCTTGGGTCGATTATCAGCAGAAATAGCGAGCTGCTTTCGAGGGGGGTCCTCGTAACCAGCAAAGGAGTTCTCGTCAAGAATCTCCTCCCACTTCTCCTTCTGATCCTCGACCTCAAGCTTCACCTCGCCAACACCAAAGGGCAGAGAAATGTCCTTCTTGGGAGCAGACTTGGGCTGCGCACTTTTCTGCTGGGGTTGAGACTGAGGTTGAGACTGGGCCTTGGGCTGGGACTGGGACTGAGACAGGGGGAGGGACTGCTGAGACTGCGAACGAGAACCAGCAGCAGCGCCGGCACCAAGAGCACCAGCTCCGACAGCTCCAGCAGCAGCTCCAGCAGCAGCTCCTCCAACACCATGACCAGAATGGGCCTGGGGGATAGGAGGTCGCTGGCCCTGGGGAGCCTGCGTAGGCTGACCCTGAGGAACGGGAGGGGCTTGGGCTTGAGGAGCCTGACCCTGGGGAGCCTGGGAATAAGATTGAGACTGTGGCACAGGAGGAGCCTGTCCTTGAGGGCCCTGGTGGGCCTGGGGGTGGGATTGGGGTTGGCCCTGGGGCACAGGAGGGGCCTGTCCATATGGTGGACCGTGTTGACCATGCTGCTGCTGACCGTACTGCTGCTGCTGACCGTACTGCTGCTGCTGACCGTACTGCTGTTGTCCCTGCTGACCATGCTGGTCTCGGGAATGAGGTCGCTCATGGCTGGCAACGGAACGGACGGACTGGGGTCGACTATCCTGTCTCACGGACTGAGGTCGGCTTCCCTCACCGTAGTGAGAAGAGCTCTGAGAGTAGTGAGAGTCTCTTGAAGGAGGAGCGGCAAACGAATCTCGAGAAGGAGTGGCAGCGTGGCCGGGCTGGTTGTGCAGAGGAGGCTGGGACAGAGGCTGGTGGGACTTGTGGGCCTGGGAGGCAGTCACAGCGGCAGCCTGAGCAGGGTTCTGGGAATGGCCGTGGGTCTGGTTGGGCTGGACATGCTGACCGTGCTGCTGCTGACCGTGCTGCTGCTGACCGTGCTGCTGCTGACCGTGCTGCTGCTGACCGTGAGGAAATCGTTGAGACTGGCCGGGCTGCAACTGTCCGGGCTGACTACCCATGAAAGAAGTATGCTCAGTGTAAGGAGTCTGGGCAAGAGGAGAGGGGTCGTTGATAGACTTGGCAGGCTGGGCAGGCTGAGCTCGAGCACCATCGTTGACGGCCTCGTAGGCATCGGCCTGTGCGACAGCAATACCAAAGGGATTCTGAGCAGGAGTGTGCGCTGCCGAAGCAGCGTGAGATGCAGCAGGGCCAGGATCGAATCGGGACTTGGGAACAGCAGGAGCTGCGGGGGGAGCAGAGTTAGGAGCAGCAGATCGAGAAACAGCTCCACCAGCAAGGCCGCCAACTGCAGCGCCTCGAACACCGGGACCAGCGGATGACTGAGACTCCTCAAAGTCGAAGCCGGGCTCCTGGATCTCAGGAATGTCCTGAGTATCATCTGCATCAAAGAACTCATCATCAGAATCGTCAGAAAACTCGGGGGCTTCGGGGAAGGGAGGGGAAGCAAAGCCAGCGGCAACTCCGTGAAGGTTGTGCATGGAAGGGTCAGGAGACATAGCGCCAGAAAGAGAGTTTCGCTGGTACGAAGTGTAGGCTTCTCGCAGACTTCGTCGAGCCTTCTTCTTCTGTTGGGTGGCCTCGTGCAGCTCTCGCTGGATCTTCTCGTGCTCCTTCTCCAGGCTCTGGACATTCTGCTCCCAGAGATGCTGAATGTCAATCTCTCGGGCCAAACGTCGCTGGTAGTACACCTCTCGGGTCTGAGTCATTCCGGTGTACTCTTGGTGGAGCCTCTCAAGCTGTGAAACTCCGTCCTCTAGAGCCTTAAGGCCAAGGCCGAGGTTTCGAGGATTCAGCTCGCCCTTGTCGTTGGACTGAAGGAGAATAGTCAGAGCGTTTCGGATCATCTTAAACTCCAGACCAATAGATCGGCCCATGAAAGCGTAGTCAGCGTCGTTTGGAGCTCCCATCTGTGCGAGATCCTCAGCGTCGTTGGTGTCATCGTCATCGTCAGAAGCATACTCCTCAAGATCGACCTCTTCATCGGGAGCACCTGAAGAGGAGGCAGCTCGAGATCGCACAGAAGCAGATCCAGTAACAACGTCAGAAGGAGACAGCTGGTTGTTACTGTAGGCAGAAATGGGTCGTTCGGAAGCAGCAGCGGGGATGGCGGGGGGAGGGCCTGAAGGAGGAGGCAGATTGTTACCACTGGTAGCGGCAGTAATACCGCCGGCAGCGGCACCAGCGGCAGCTCCGTGAGAAGCTCCGCCACTGGGAATGGCATTGCCAGCGCCTCCTGTGTTAGCGCCTCCTGCAGCTCCACCTGCTGTAGCAGCTGATCTTGTTTTCTTCTTGCTGCCACCTTCCTGGTCCTTGGCCCATCTGATGGCGTTGCTAATGTTCCAAACCCACTTGTTGGTCTCAACGTGATGCTTGGCCTTGAGGTGGAACTTATAGCCGCCCTGGACCTTTGAGCCAACCTCGAACTTGAGATCTTCGCTCTTGTCGAGCCGTACGTAGGCGTTCTTCATGTTGATAGAGCCTCGACAAGTGTCGGTGCTGTCCTGCTTCTTGTAGTAGGACAAAACACCATCCTCAAGCACAAACCAACGCAGCTTGTATCCAGAAGTGAAGTTGGTCCACTTTTTGAGGAAACCCTTCATCTGAGGAGCGGGGTTGGACTGCTTGGGGGGTCCGTTGGCGATATCAGCCTCGGAAATGACTTGCTGCTTGGCAGTAGACTTTTGGAGCAACTGTCGAATGGTTTCGTCCTTGGTCAGATCTGAGGGGAGCTGGCCATTCTTGTTTCGAACAAGAGGGTCACCTCCGTGCGATAAGATGAACTCGACCATTCGAGCATCTCGTCTGTGTGCAAAGTCGTGGAGGACGGTGGATCCAGTCTCGGGGTTGTGGCCATTAATGTCGAGAAGAGACGACGATCTGGGGTTGGTCAACAGAGCGTCAATTCCCTGAAGATCGCCACGGTCGAACGCCACCTTCATCTCGTTGGAGATCTTTTCCACAAACTTGTTTCGCTCCGTCTGAATCGTCTCTGCAATCTCGGGGTATCGGGCAACCTCCATGGGCTGTCGTCCCAGCGAGTCCACGAGGGTATCGTCGATCTCGGGCTGCTGCAGCAGAAACAGGACCACCTCGTCTCGGCCCTGCTCAGCGGCTAGATGCAGGGGGGTCTTGTTGTAGATAGTGTCCTCATCGGAAGGCGCAGTCTGTGCGTTGACATCAATATCGGGGTACTTCTGGAGCAGAAACTTGACCACCTCGAGGTCAGATACCTGCACGGCAATGTCGAGCAGATCGTTTCGAAGCTCCGTGTTGGCGTGGGGACCCTCGGCAATAGCCTGGATTCGCTCCAGATCGTTGGATCGGAGGGTGGACACAATCTTCAGTCGAGCAATAGATCGCTCCACATTGTTGTCTGTGTTAGAGAGGGGTAAAGAGTGAAGGAAGGTACAAAGACGGACAGTTGCACAAACAGGCAAGTTGCGCTTTCACCAGGTGTCGGAACGAGATTCCAATGGGGTATCTGTGCATCCTGGATACTTTGAATATCACAGCGTGAGATAGTGGGCTGTTGGTGTGATGAACCACATGCAGAATACTAAATTACTGTAATGGTCCAACTAAGGTGATGTCGGGTGGGGATGTCCGATGGTGGCTGGCAATTCAATTGCTGTCGTTTCGGTTTCTCATTTGCGCCAGTATGGTAACTTCTTCATCTCTGTCAATCATTCAATGTCGTGGTCTTTGTTGCCCGTGTCGTCCGTGTCGTCCGTGTGGTTGTAATGACCTTGTCTTGTCCATGTAGTCGTCCGTGTCTGTGTCGTCTCCTATCTCATTTACTCACTCTGAACTTGCAAGGTAGGCTCGGAAAGAGGCTGTTGCTGGGTTGTGGACGGGGTATGGTGATTCGCAGACTGAGGCTGGCGCTGCTCCTGGTACGAAGCTGGCACTGGTGGCGCCTGGGTCTGGATCTGGGAATTGGGCTGTCGGGAAGCCCGGGGATCCAGCGTTTTGGGCTGTGACATGGCGGGGGTGGTGATGGCTATCCAGAAGGAAGAGTCGCTCGGTCGGGGTCCTCAGGTACAAAGTGACGTGGAAGAGAACGCGTTTCTTTACCCTTCACTAAGATTGCTAAAACCGCTCTGAGTTATAGACATTTGGACACTCCTCCAACGTGCACCACACATGCACCACCATAAAGAAAAGGCAATTTTAAGCTCTGCGCCGGCGTGTATGGTGTCCTCCCAAGTCAGCAGCTTTTTTTGCTCCATGTTATTTTCCGGACATGTGCGGCATTTTCCACAGGGGCGCTTACTAAGCCTTTTTTCGCGCCCCGCATCGTTCCCGACGTGTGCAATTGCTCTCAACATTATATCTCGCGGTCCAACCCTGCCGCTCGCAGCCCTACACCCCGGGTTGTGCACGCCTTACACTAACTCCATGTGATCCTTCTCCAATATTTCCAATAGACTTTGGCGCACATGCTTCCTCCCCGACCTACACACAGCACAGTTACGAGCCGACCCGAGTGTTTGTAGTGATATATAGAGGATCCGGGGCTGGATCAAGGGGCGTTAGATTGAAGTTTGTGCTGAGATGTGATTTTCTTGGTAAAACGGGTGTTCAATTCTTGGGGAAAGCTGTTCTTGTTAGTTCCTTGCTCACCTCGATAATTCCACCATTGCTACTGTCTCATATCGGGCTGGTAAAGCTTTGGAGTTGAGCAGTATCCACATGTGTGTGTGAAAATGGAGGAGTTTCAGTTTCCGATCCAGTCCGCCATCCACCCAGTTGCCCGGCTTCGTTCTCTTCGCGGAGGCTGGGGAGTGTTTGGCACGTGAATGACCTTAACCAGCTCACAATTACCTCTTTCCCTGCCCCTGCCTAGACTCCTCATGTATATGGTCTCCCTGCATGGAGAGCTCTGACACTGCCAAAGATACGACGATCCTTCACCTGCCAGATTGCGAAAAGGAGCTAAGAGAACATGACACATGTGATACTGGCGGAAATGTGGCCCCCGAAGCATGAAACCATCAAGCCCCCTTTAAGCACACACACACACACACACACACACACACAATTGGTGAGTATTGCTGGTGTTCCATCTAAAACGTATGTGCCGATTACATGTGACTTGAAGGCTATGACCATCTAGCTCTGGGTTTAGCTACTCGGTTGTAGATGACGTAATCTAGCGGGTCGCGTACGACACTAAACATGGACCAGGGTGCTACAGTACGTCCGAAAAGGAGACGACCGGGGGGTGGGGGGCCACTTCTGGGCTGGGGTCACGTGACCCCCTTTTTCGGCGCCTATCTTCAGCACTGCGTTCCCCACCGCACCTCTGTTAGGTAGACCCCACTTCGAAACGGGGCTGTGCAATGTCAAAAGTGTCTTGGATGCACGCTACAGCTGAGGACACTGTGAATGTGGAAAGCCGGAAATTGAAGATGACGTTGAAAACCAGCGTTAATTGAATCAGCAAAAAGAAACGTGAGAAGCTGGCTACTCCGAAAGTGATGATCCGCAGTCTGGGACGAGTGCAAGTAGCGGTTGTTGACTACACGTCCTCCTCTGTTATATTTCGAAACAGCAGTTTAATTGAAACAGCATCTCGATTGGAACAGCAGCTCAATTGCACGCTCAATTACCTTGTTTACAATTCTCGTCAATTTTTTTTTCTTGCTCTACCCGATTCTTCCACACGTTGTTCCATACCTCCACCCAATCACATTGCCTTCAAAACCAAACTCTACAGTTGACCTACTTTGTAGTTGACGCGTCTCTTCAGACTCGCAGCCATAAGATTTCCGCTTTGGTGCGGGAATGTCGTTGAAATCTGAAGGACACTGTTGGACAAGAATGGAGGCACCCTTGCGTTTGAAGATCTGAGGTCATGTGACAGTATATCTTGCCAAAACAGGTATACGATTTCTGTAGCCGCTTTTTTTTCTGCATTACAACCAACTATTTTGGTCGTTGAAGTAGTTCCAGTTAGCGTCTTTAACAGAGTACTACGTGACGGCCGGACTTCCAATAACAGAAAGAAAGAAAGAAGAAAAAAAGAAGAAGAAAGAAAGAAGAAAAAAAGAAGAAAAAAGAAATAAGAAGAAAAAGAAGAAAAAAGAAATAAGAAGAAAAAAGGTGGGGGGGGGGGGGGGGGGGGAACACGTACTGGTACAAGTATGATACGAGTAGTAGATGCTGTACAACAGAAAACAGACAAGACTTCGAGGGATTGTGGTAAGAATCGTCTTTATACAATTGATTAACCTTACAAAATGTTTCTGACAAGACAATGACAAATAAAATACTTTTAGCTACCCACAATATGAGCTACATTCTACAGTACATCCATAGGACTTCCACCTGGTGGGCTTGTACCACTCCAGCTCACCTAGTAATAATGTAATTAGTTAGAACTTCCTCCCGCCTGCTCCTACTCCATCAAATACCACCATTCGTGGTTCTGGGTGCAACCATTCTCACAGGCAAACGCAATCGGATCCACCTTGTCTCCAAACAAAATGTAAAGAGCTACGGCCACGTTCATGATACGTTCTGGGCCATGCGGTAGAGTCCATAGACTGGGAATGTCTGCTTTTTGAAGTTTGGTACTCAACTGCTCTTCCTCGTCCTTCTCTCTGCTTCCTGAAAGGTGTTCGTGGGCCTGGTAGACCTGACGAAGCACATTCTCATGTTCAATGTACTTTTTGGCCTTGAGTTGCAGCTCCGACTCTGTTGTGGAAAACTGTTGTAGCGGCTTGCCAGTCTCGTAGGCCTCGCAGTATACTGCAAACAGACATTGCAAGCTGGTCAGCTCATCGTTTTCCATTTCATGCTCCGGTTTGTATGGCTAGACACACAGAGACGGCCACGGTGGACTTATAAACACCGGTTAGCGTCATGCGGCTGGAATGAGGGGCTGAAAACCATCAACGTCCGAACCTGCTGAATCGACCCATGCCAAGTCCTTACGTCATCATGGCCCACCGATGCTACATGCCAAGAGCGCTATAGGGCGCATCTTGACATATGGCAAGTGCTAGTGGATATAATGAGGGAAAAAATTACGCACCCCCGGGCACCCAGGCCCCGTGCGTAGGTAACAGACGGCGTCATATCCGATCTTGCAACCTCCGAACCCATAATATAAACAGAGTCATGGGTCTCACTTGTCCTTACCCTGTGCAGTCTAAAACCACACTAACTAGTGCTAGTTCATCACCTACAGTATTGTTGAATGTGAGCCATTGGGAGATACGAACGCTCTTAGTGTCTTCGTTCATAGTCTTAATGGCATTGGTGTTATGAGCAGTCGCTGGTTATTGCACTACTGTACTCCTACTTGTAGCTATGAGGTTTCAGAGGAGGTTTTGTGTGCTTCTAGATCCAAGCGCTAGTCTCCAACCACCACCAGTCGATGAGCCCACATGTCAATCATAGAGGTCAGACAAGGTCTCGTATTATCGATTTAAGCAGCCAATTGAACTATCTTCTGGGCACACGACGAATCAAACTCCGAGGCTTCTTTTTTCTTACACTGGGGAATCAGTAGGAGCTTGGACTATGGTACCATAGTACATCTGGTAACTAGTTACACGGCAGTCACGTACAGTACTCGTACAATATGTACTGTAGGCAGCATTTATCAAAATCTGAATGCACTAAAAATTGCCTTTATAATCATCACGCATCAGAATCGAACAACTTGGTCTTCATGACCCGCAGTTCGAACCCCATAAACACCTTGATCACCGACCAGAAAGAAACTTTTTTCGACTGCTGTGAAAAATCACCTCCAGATCACATCACCACATAAACACCATGAACCTGCGAACGTGTATCAGTGGCGTGCGACACCTGTCGACCTCGCGGGCCGTGTGCAACGCCCCCAAGCCTGGGCTGGAGAACTATGCCCGAGTGGTCGACTCCATCAAGAACGACCGGCAGAAGGCAGGTGACGAAAAGCCCAAGAAGAAGCTCAATCTGCGAAAGAAGAGCGTCTCTGAAGAGTCTTACGCCCCTGGAATGGGCCGAGTGACTGTGGGAGGATCTGCCGATGGCAATACCAACAAGCGGGTCGATCGCCGAATCAAGTTTGGCAACTCCTCCGCCATCAACGACAACCTGGTCTCCACCAACTACGATGCTGCCAAAGACAAGTTCCGAAAGCGACGAACTCCCCTCGACAAGAAGGTGGTCCCCAAGCGATACGGAGAATACAAGGCCGATGAGGACCGAAAGGCTCCCCGAAAGCTCTTCAAGAATAACAGAGAGTCCAAGCCTGATGTCTCCAAGAGAGATGCTGAGGACGAGTTGCTGACCGATTACGTGACTGTTGCTGAGAACGCCCGTCTGCAGGCTGCTCTCGACGCCCTTGATTTCGAGAATAAGGATGTTTCAAAGGCTTTCGCTACCCTCATCACCTCCGAGGCCCAGCCCAAGACTAAGAAGATTGACACCGCCAAGCTGTTTAAGGACGCCTTTGATCCGTCCAAGGGCTCCACCTTTAACACAGGAGTGGCCAAGCCCGCAAAGGCCGACAACGCCGACTTTGTCGTCCACAACCTCAACAAGAACTTCTCGTTGAACGCCGAGCAAGCCAACACTCTTCTGGACATTGTGTCCGGGAAAACCCCCATTGCCTCTCTCAAGATGAAGGAGGAGAACTAGTATGTATATAGTATGTGATGAATGAAAGAGGAAACGCACAGACGTGTCTAAGCGTTCCGCCCTAGTAGAACAGCCCGAGCGATGCACTTGCAACATTTTCATAGACAAACACAACCACCAGCCGTACGAGAGTATTTGGTGTTATACTGGTAGATTCATTCAAATCATTAATCATTATTTTACATATTACTGATATGCTGATGTTCCATCCCTCCTACTCCCTTCTAACCTCGGCATCAATTCTTGTCAACGCAGTCAGCTCGTTGGTCATGCTGACATTTTCACTTCGAGTCAAACTCTTCATCATCAGACTCTTGTTCTTGTCATTGGTCAGCTGTCGCAAAACATTCTTCAAGTACCCATTCAGAATCTCAATGGGCCAGTTTGGAGGCACCGCGTTGAGCACAAACTTGGTTTCAAGATGGTTGCCGTACTTCTCCATGACGTGACGACAGTAGTACACTTTTGTATCCTGGTCAGACGTGATCTTGAGAAGCTGCTTGAACAAGTGAGTAAAAAGAGACCGTTTGAGAATCTCATCCGCAGCAGGTGTACTTCCCTCCACATTGTCAACATTGGCACAATAGTCGACCGCAGTCTGATAGTCAGTGAGATCGTGCACCAGCATATCAATGCATCTCTGATGGTCACCCAACTGGCCATAAATAATGACCAACTCCAACAAGAACTGGTTTTGATAGGGAATGAGCTTCTCTTGAAAACTAAGATAGTCTTCGAGAGTCAAGGACGACGACCAATTAACATCAAAATGCCACTTGGCGTCCCCGAATACACCTTTTCCACGAGATTTTTTGCCATTGTGAGACTTGTCATCGCCCTTCTCCTTCTTCTCTCCACACAGTCCCCGGTCAATCATTCGAATGATCTCAACACGGCTGGCCAAGGTGGTGTCGGTGCCCTTCTTCGACTTGAGGAACTCAAAGTACGACCGCTTAGGGGGGTTGAGAGCCCTGTACGCTGCTGACACCTCATCCTCGTCGTAGTCCTTGGCATCTTTGATGTCAGCAATGCACTCGTCAATCAGTAAACCAACATACTCCCCAACCATACTGACCTCACCCTCTACGAATAACATCTGTTGAAGGTAAGATTTCCAAGCCACCTGGTTCTGCATGGCCTTGATGGCGGTCGAGATCTTGTCCTTGTCCTCCTTGGAGTTAAACTTGATTTTCGAGCCTGCATTCGAACTGTCCTGGTCCACAAAAATCGCCACGCCTTCCTGAGGAAACTTGTCGACAAGCCAGAGTCCATAAGCACGCACCAACTCTTTGTCTGAGCATGTCTTGAGCAGCGCAGAAAGGCGCTTGGGGCCATTGGTGAATAAGGGCTCCTCAATGTCACCGGCAAGAATTGACTGCCAGATTTCACAGACAGAGGCAATTTTGTTGACACGGAGATCGAGCAGCGAAAGTGGGTACCACTTCTTGTGCTCCCTGAGAATCTCCGCAGACTCAGAAATGCCCTTGTCGGTCACCAGCTGGCTCTCAACAAGATGCATGATAGCACCTGTGACAACATCAGACGAATCTTCGGCCGTATTCTCCTTTAACAGGTCGCTGGCACAATCGGAAACCAGCAACTGGCACAGGAGTACCTCTAGCATCCATCTACCCTTGAAATCAGCAGTGTTGGGGTCTCGCAGATGGTACTGGCAGATATCGTAACAAGTATGCCACCATTTTCGTGAAACAACGTCCCCAGACTTGTCATCTGGAGCCACCATGCTTTTGGACACATCAAGAGCAGTAACCACACCATTGGGTACCTCCAACTTGTCCAAAATCTTGGGACAGAAAATGTACATGAGAATCTTCAGATCCAACAGGTAATCGTGGAAAGAGTTGGTCCATATTTGCTTGAAGTCAGCCTGTCTGTCATGAGACAAGTGCGACAAACATACCAAGAGTTGCAGATACTCTTTTTGGCGGTTGGCGGCCTCTGAATTGGCATTATCTCCATGTCCGAACGATTCCAATTCGATATAGAGCTCTCCCAGCTTTTGCTGCTCGACTAGATTCTCCAGATGAAACAGTCGAGGGGTGGAGATGTATGTGAAGACTCCTTTGTCAGAGTAAGTAAAGATGTTTGAAGATGTTTTGCACCAAGAAGAGAGTTTGGTAGAGTGAGAAGACTCTTCTATGTCCTTAATGTCATCCTTCGAGCCACCTTTGTCCTTGGCGTAGACATCCACCAGTGTCAACTTGTTCACCATCTCTGGGAACGGAATATCGAACTGTTTGAGCACCTTGGAGATGGTTACCTTGGTGGCAGGTTCCACGGTGGCCTCGGTATTTTCCTTCGAAGCCCCTTCTGGCTTTTTAGCTTCTTCCCCGGCTTCATTATCGGTCCCCTTATCCTCGCCCTCTTCAGATTCACCCTCGGCATCTTCCATGTCCTTTTTGTCCTTCTTGTCCCCCTTGTCCTTGTTTCCATTATCACCGTCGGTATTGCTATCCTTCTTGCATTCCTGCTTGTCGTCAGACTTCTCCTCTTTGCTGACCTTATCATCCACTTCATCGCCAATCAAGACCTCTGTCTGATTGACGACATTATGGAAACACACTTTTTGACCAACAACCGCGCCAACAAGAGGATAATCGACAACCACCGAGGTAGGATAATCGTTCCACGCAATGGTACCCCGCGAAATGTCTCCATCACTGTTGATGATCATACCCATGGCAGGATCTCCCTTCTGAGTTCCACATGCAACTAGAAACTCGGAATCTCCGACAAGGGCTGCGACGGGCTGCGGCTTGAGATCTGCTCCGCTGTCGGCACCACTCCACACCTCAAACAAGGGCACTTTTCGTACTCTCTCAACGTCCACAAGATCATATGTCTTGGTATTACCAACGAGACAAAGACGGCCTCGACGCACTCCTGTGAGAGCCTCTGCATAGCTCACGTCCTTGACGAGCTTCAGGCCGTTTGCAGACACATTGACGATTCGTATAGTGTTTTTCGTGAATGTAGTGACGTGGACAGAAGATGCCGCTGCCGTGGGGTTTTTGAGAAGAGCTTTGGTGATGTCTTGATCTACACACATGTCCAGAACATCTCTGACCTTGCCAAAGCCGGAGGCAGGAGCGAACTCTGGCACTGAGAACACGGAGACAGTGGAATTGGACAGAACCAAAGCTCTGGAGATCTGGGGAAGTACCACAATCTTGTCGACGGTCCTGGTTCGGGTAGCATGCACCTTTTGCCTGCTGGCAATGATGTACTGTGGTGGTGCAATTTCACGTCCCCTGTCGGTAGAAGAGACCTCAATGTCCTGAACACAGAAGAAGTGCAGAACTTCTCCATCAGAAGTACCTAGATAGAGAGAGTTTTCTGTGTTAGAAGACGGAAATGATTGGAATTTAACTGTACTCATCCATCGTAGGAAATGTGTGATACCCCGCAGGGAACCGAGCAGCACTCGACACCCATGTCAGCAGTCACTTTGGACTATGGAAAGACACGTGGAAGGTACCGCAAACATGAATGTGTTTGTGTCGTTTGATTTCGGAGTTTGAAAGAATCGTCTTCGCCTCACTGAAGTGTGTGATCCCATTGCCGATATGCTGACATTCTTCCTCTCTCTCTCATACTCACCCCATGCTTCAATGCAGGTAATGGTGGCGCCCTCCAGCACGTCTGGAGCCAGCGTCTGCACCTTGAGATACGGCGGTGTTTCCATCGAGGCCTTGTTTTGAAGGGTCGCGGCGACGTGATGTGCTGTCTGTAGCAGGTCAACTGGAAGTGTGTTTTGTTGAACCGACGAGATAGGGTTGCAGGTCATGCAGACTACTCCGCGTCTTCATCAGGATTACAACCAGCAGTCTAAAATCAGCACGAGACTGCAACTAAACGACCGCGGAAATGAGCATATCGTATACCGGCCAGCTGCCCACGACCAGCCCGTTGTCGCTGACTCAACTCATCACCTCAGACCGATACCAGCAGGTTATTGAGAATGCCGATGCTGCCCGGGCCCGAGTGAGAGAACAGCTCAAACACGCCAAAAAGACAGGCGCCACAGAGGCGAATGGCGACATTATGCCTGTGATCAAGGCTCTGGAGGAATATATGCCACACATTACCAGCATTGTCGACAACGAAGGGGTGTTTCGATTCACGTCTCAGATCATCACTTGCTGGAGACTTCCGTTCCAGTCACAGTCGTCAATGGCCAACAAGACGCCTCTGCATGGTCTCAGCTTCGAATATATCATGGTACTATTCACGTACGCTCTGGCTCTGGCTACCTTGGCCAACCAGTACGTGGCTAGAGATAAGGAGGATCGATGGAAGCATGCCAGTGCATACATTAGTAAAGCTCGAGGCGTGGTAGACTATCTCAGGCAGTGTCGAAGCTTCCAGATCATCTGCAACGAACCTCCAGCCTCGGTCCCTCGAGACCTCAGCTCAGCTACAATGTCGGCCCTTTCACACATGCTCTGTGGAGCGTCCCACATGCTCATTCTGTACAAGTGTGATGCAGAGACCTATCTGGATGGAGGAGCTCCGTCTGCAGGCGCAAACTCGGGAGGGTTTTCAAGCTCGTTGTTACTTCGAACTGCAATCTTTGCCAGAGATCAGTTTGAAACCGCTTCTGCCCTGCTGGGAGAACCAGTATCGAAACGCAAGCTGGTGACGAGTCTAGTCAAGGAAAAGAGCTCCAAGTTCTCACTGTCAAAAAAGCTGCATTTAAGGAAGGACGATGGCTCCCCGAGTTTGGCGCCAGTGTCATCCTTTGAATCAAACAGAGACCTGTCGTCGACGTCTTCGGGAACTCTAGACTCGCTGCTTTCCTGGCTGAGCAGAGCACGAGGGGTGGCCGAGGGATTCGTCTTCAAGCACATGGCTATTCAGGCGTATGAGAACAACCAGATTGGCAAGGCTGTAGGCGCAGCTTATGCAGCCATTCTGCAACTGGAAGATGTCAAGATCCCTCAAAAGTCTGCTCTTTATATTCCAGTGACCCATCTCAAGGAGACGCTGAACCGTCACCATGCCGACTACAAGGCTGACAATGATCGTCTATCGTTTGAGCCTGTTCCTTCGCCTTCAGAGCTTGCTCAAGAGTGGCCCTCCGGTCGACAGGTGATTTCTGCTCAAAAGTGGACTCCACAAACAAGTCTGGATCTTGGAGAGGACACTTCCTCCTCCGCACCCAAGTATTCTGGCCAGGGTTCCTACTACTAGCTACTTGTAGTTGTACTCCATCTGCACACACAGTCAACACACAATCCACAATCTACAAAACCAATCATTACCCACACTGTGACATGTAACATGATCAATACAATCAGTACTGTATGTGCATACTTGTATTTTGAATAAATAACTGCCAAAGACAGTAATGCATTAATAAATAATCTGGTTAGACCTCGGAGGTCCGACGATGATGGTGATGCAATCTCTGGGTCTCCTCCACCTGCTGCTGCTGTTGAGCATCGTCTGCCGTCTCGAATGGTTGTCGGCACATGGGACACAAGCCCTTGGACGTCTCTGTTTCCAGCCACTTGAGTAGACAATGCAAATGAAACGAATGTGCACACTTTCCAATGACTGTGTTAGCACCACAACTCATTACTTCTCTGAATCATCTGAATCCTCTGAATCATACTCACTCAATGGACAATCGTCTCCTGGGTACTTGCACACAGGACACACTCCATCAAACGGAACCCGGCAGATACCACAAACTTCGTCGTTGGGCACGTCCCATTGCCACACGCTCACGGCGTTCCACTGTTTGATTTTTACCTTCATGGCGTTGCTGTGTGTTTTGTTGTCATGTACTTTACGAGTACGAGTACGAGCACTTGCCTCTCAGCACTGCTCTTCGGGATGGGTGTACATGTACCAGGGTGCAGGTGTAAACAACTTTATTTCAACTCGTCGCGCTAACATGGTGGTGTACAAATACTTGAGATGAAACAAGGTAGTGGGGATGGCGAGGGAGGACCTTTGGGTGGCGAAATTAATCTGGTTTCGACGTCCTTACTCTTCATCACTTGGTGTTACTTCTTCCACAATTGTGCATCATCGGCGAAACTCCTGCAGGACTTGCTCGATAGTGTGCAACCGCTATTGTGGATATAATCGGCATTTGTTTGGTATCATTTTGATTGGAAAAACTCTGCCATTTCACTGGCGCTACTGCCGTTCCAATCAAGTCATTATTTCGCTCAGATCTCCGTCTGGTGTGGCTGATGAAACAGTTAAGCTTAGGGTTTTGACAATAAGGTTTCCGAAGCACCTTTTAATACAACACAACATTTACTCACGCGAACTGTTGGAAAAACGCCAGACTCACTTTTCAACCGTGAACTGGACGACCCTTGCGACGACGCCGAATCGACACGTAATCACCTCTTGATTGACGTTCGTTTTCCTCACGTGACCCCACTAAACACCCCCTCACCTACGCCCACCACACCATGGCCGACTCGGACTCCAAGCCCTCCTCTGGCAACGAACTCGAACTTCGAGAGCAGGACAAGTGGCTGCCAATAGCCAATGTGGCCCGAATCATGAAGTCTGCGCTGCCCGAAAACGCCAAGGTGTCCAAGGAAGCCAAGGAGTGCATGCAGGAGTGCGTGTCCGAGTTCATTTCCTTCATCACCTCGGAGGCGTCGGAGAAGTGCGCAGCCGAAAAGCGAAAGACAGTCAATGGCGAGGACATTCTCTTTGCCATGCTGTCTCTGGGCTTTGAGAATTACGCCGAGGCCCTGAAGATTTACCTCACCAAGTACCGTCAGAACCAAAACTACAAGCAGGAGAACAGAAGCGAGAATCGAAAGAAGAAGACGCTGCCCGCCCAAGAAGGAGCTGTGGCTGCTGCTGCTACCGGTTCGAACCCCGTCACTGAGACAAACTCGCCTTCCCAGCAACAGCAGGAGGAGTACTACGCTGCCTACGACGTTCCAATTAACGGACAGGACCCTACCGAGCAGCGGTTCTCCGAAGAGCCCACCCAGGACGAAAAGGCCATGTATGACGCTTATACCGGTGACTACTACTAAGTGTCTGATTGGAGACACATGCTACGGACCTTTCCCTTTGTACTATTGATGACTATTTATAAAGTGTATGTGATATATTATGACTGTATTGTACTCGTATTTGTACGGCGGTTGTTGAGCTATAGTTTTTGGCATGGAACAAGCGCGAGATATGCTGTGGAAATGATCTTCGTGGAGTGCTACTTCTTTTGTACTTGTAGTACGGTAAGCAGACACAGTTCATAGAGTGAGCACCACCACAGCTGTACAAAATGAAGCGCTGAGACGTCCGGTATCGTAAATGTGAATAATTCAAGTATGCTAGTAGTTGTGAATTACACCAACACCTAGTAGTTGCATTGGCATTTCTCTTAACAATCTATGACTTGTCTGTCAAGGGTCGAACGATGTACACTTCAAGCAGTGGCCATGTCCTCGACATCGTTCTCAAAGAGAAGACACAAAAGATATGAGGACTTCTCCATCTACTAAAATAGGCCTCGATAAGTAATTAATTCCGTTTTTCCCGCTAAAATAGTTTGATTTAGATCCGCTTTGAGAGTAGGGTCAGAGCAAGTTGTTGTTGAAGTACTTCAAATGATTAGTGTGAAAGCTGCGATCAGCAGAACTGAAACAAAATTTGATGAAGTAAATTATACACAAATTATTATCTTTTGATACCACTTACTAAGCATTTTCAGGGAATTTAATGGATCTTATGAGTGTATTGTTTCAACACTTTTCAGTAGGCATATTTGGGCATCCTGGCCGAGCGGTTAAGGCGAGAGATTAGAAATCTCTTGGGGTTTCCCCGCGTAGGTTCGAATCCTGCGGATGTCGCCATTTTTTTGCGTCGTCTTCCTAGCTACAGAATAATACTTCAGTTCTTCTTTTCGCATGATTTTTTCTTCCTTTTTGATATCCCCCTTGCGTTTATGAAGTTTTGGAGAGAGTAGAGTCTTATTCGTCTTTTTGTACGTCTTCTTGCCTGTTCGACTAAACGCATATCATGAGTTGATTGTTTACGCGTTCTACATCAACACGCGTTGTTCGACATTTTCAGCGCAGAATGAAGAGGAAACACGACGGAGATTCGACAGACGACGATATATCTGGTCAACAGAACCACTCGTATTCGGAAGCGCATGTCTACAGCGTGCTGAGATCGGTGTTCAAGAAGGACGCGTTTCGAGGATGTCAAAAGGAGATAGTGGAGGCGGCTATGAAGGGAAGAGACGCATTAGTGTTACTTCCTACGGGCCACGGCAAGTCATTGACCTTCCAGCTGCCAGCTGTTGCAGTTTCCAAGGGCGTCACTATGGTGGTGAGTCCGCTACTAGCTCTTATGGCTAACCAGGTTCAGGGGCTTAAGAAACTTGATATCCCTGCAGAGACACTGAATAGTGACGTCCAGGGTCACGACAGGCGCACAATTCTGCAAGATCTGGTCAGTGATAACCCTGAAACCCGCCTGTTGTACCTGTCGCCTGAGTACATCTCAAACCAGGCATTTCAGCGCATCCTCAAGCGTCTTTACGATCAGGACTTGCTGGTGAGGATTGTGATTGACGAGGCCCATTGTTGTGTGGAATGGGGTCACTCTTTCAGGTCCACTTACAAAGAGCTGGGGTTCTTACGACAGGAGTACCCCAATGTTCCCATCACTGCTCTCACAGCTACAGCATCCGAAAGCGTCCAGAAAGGAATAATCGACATTATGGGACTGGACGAGAAGAGGCTGGGAGTGTTCACCACGTCTATCAATCGCTCCAACTTGCATTACGAGGTCAGATACCTCATCCCCGATTATCGCTTCACAGACTCGAACAGTATTCAGGAAGTGGTCATGAAGGACATTCTGGAGTTTCTACAAGACTACAAGGAACGCAGACAGGCCCAGAAGTCGACATGTCCCGGTGCAGGCATTGTGTATTGTCGTACCCGAGCCTTGGTCGAGAAGGTGGCTCAGAACTTGGGTAGGAAGGGGTATGGAGCTCATGCTTTCCATGCAGGCATGGATCTCAACGTCAGAGAAGATATTTTAACCAAATGGACGGACTCGGAGCCCGGCTACGAAATTGTTGTAGCCACCATTGCATTTGGAATGGGTGTGGATAAGCCCAACGTCCGGTTTGTCATCAACTTTGATCTTCCTGACAACCTGGAGTCTTACTACCAGTTATCAGGTCGAGCAGGCAGAGACAACAAGGGCGCCAGGTGTATCATTTACTATTGTTCAGGTGCCCATAGCCCTACTGCGAATGCCGATATGAAAAGGTACTGTTCCAAGGCCAATCAATGTCGTCATGTTTCTATTGCTGAATATTTTGAACCCCAGAAGACGCGAACCGTCAAGGAGAGAACCCAGTTGGCGAAAGAATACTGTGATTATGCTTGCGATGTGTGCAAAAATAAGCAGTTTGTGTCTTCTAGATACATGGCGATGGTTAGAGCTGTTGACTCCTTGTCGGAGGGTGTATCTAGCACTCAGCCTAGTTGTTCCAGGAGTTTAGCCATCAAGTGATAGCTTCTTTGTAAACCCTCGCAAAGCATCACATAAATTATTTGTATTTATACCAATCTCATACCGACTAGGTGGCTCTTACAGGGTTGTACTGTTGAAGATAATTTATTAATTTTACATTGGTTTACTCGTCGTCGTCGTCGGAGTAAGACATAATCTTGACCTCCTTCTTGAAGTTCTCGGCATCCTTGGTGATGAGAGCCTTGAAAGCCTCGGGATCATCAGCAAACTCGACCAGGAAGTCGATCTCCAGGTCGTGCACGTTGTTTCCAAGCACAATCAGAGAGTGCAGAGGCTCGCCAGACTCGTACTCAGCAAGCTCTCCCAGAGAACCGGCCTTGATGCATTGTCGAGGAGATCCTAGTCGAGAGACAGCAATAGCTGGGGTGTCGGAACAGTACACCTTCTCATCTCGAGATTCCTCAATCTCCAGCAGCTGGGAAGCAGCCTGCTCAATAGACATGTATCGGGGAGGCTCAAAGACGTTTCGGCCTCGCATAATGTTTTCAATGCTCTGCTCCTTGACCTTGATGTCAAGAAGAACCAGGGTGTGCAGACCAATCTTTCGGTTCTCGTGGATCTTGTCATAGAAAGAATCGGGCTTCCATGAATCGGTGAAGAAAACGAGAGACACGGTCTGGCCAAAGTTGTACAGCTGCAGACCGCAGGCTCCAACAGCATTCATGACCGAGGCGTTGTGGATAGTCTGGTATTTGATTCCCAGCTCTCGGGCTCGAATCACCAAGTCGGTATGGGTGGTGGCTCCAAAGGGGTCTCCCACCACCAGAAATGCAATATCGTCCTCCTGGGCGCCGGCCAGAATGTCGTCGGATGCCTGCTCGACCATCTCTCGGTCGGCCAGAATGAGCTCCTTGCCGTAGAACTTCTCCAGGGTCTCCTTCTCGGCGGCCATGAGAATCGAAGTGTACGCCTCGAGGTAGACTCGCTTGCACTTTTTGATGGTCTCCAGACCTCGGACAGTGATGTCGGTTTCGTGGGACAGACCCAGGCCAATCAGATGAAGCATTTCGTGTAGATTGTGTGTCAAAAATTGGATTTTTGGGAACTGAAAAACTCACCAAAATTAATTTGCGTGGGAGTGCGTCTGACAGGTACGAGGTTAAGCGGGTCATTCGAGATGGGTGGGGTGAGTTAGTGCAAATGTAGAGGGTAGGTATAATGCAGTGAAGGAGATTTGGTAACCCCCTCCAGACAAATTGCTTCCTTGTTTCATTGCTTCCTTGTTTCATTGCTTCATTGCTTCCGTTTATATCAACCACAACAGTAGTTCACTACTCCACAGGGAAGTCACTTGAGGATCAAGTCAATAGTGGAAGAAAAGTATAGTTTGAAGATAAACGATGGCGGCTCGGACCCAATAACTTTTTCATGTTTGGTTTTCAACTGTTCCCCTCTCTGTTTACTAGTTTAGTACATCTGTTCAATATATATATTTGTCTATATAGAGCTTCTTTATGGACTCAACGATTCATGTCCATCAAAAAACTTGTGCATAGTGCAGGTACGATATGATACTGTACAATAACTGCAAGTGCCAGAAAACCATACGAGACGATATGTTATGATTCATTATAGAGCGATAATTGGATCGTGGTATGTGTGCATATTCTATACAGGGTTAGTCAAACTCACAATCACTCCTCCTCCCCTCACACTTGCGAGCTAAACCATCTCCGTTTCGCCATGCTACCATCGGAGATACTCGACCACATTTGCTGCTACTTAGATCTGGAGGCTCTCGTTTCCCTTACTCAAACCAGTCGAGAGCTGCTGGAATTGATTTTTGAAACAACTTACCGTGACGTGCTTCTGAGATATTGCCCCTTCTATGATCTCGACTACAGCCAATGGGACAGCTGGAAGGCTAGTGCCCTTCACTTTTCAAAGGTGGACACACGGCCTTTCGAGTTGAGTCTGAAAAATCCAATTCATATCAACACACCTCTTCCAGACGATTTCCAATGTTTCTGCCGCGGAGCAGATCTGAAAAGCGAAATTGTCTACGAAGATAGCGGTGTCTTCATCGAGAACAAGTTTGTGAATCTCAGCCAATCGCACAGGAAAGTCCCGCCTTCCCCTATACTAATGTACATTGACAGCGCTCCCTTTGGCTTGGTTCACGAGATCAATTATGGCGAGGAGTCTATGAAGGTGGTAGGCGACTTCCATCGATCTATTTGCACTTCGCAGATAATGGCTGCTGTTTCAACCTATGGAGACCAGCTCGGTCTTCTCATGAAGGATCTTACAGAAAAGATGGAGGATCCCGAAGAAGCTCCCTTGTACTTTGCAAGACTACATGGTAGAGGGCCATTCAGATTGCAAGCTGTGGGGAAAAGGGTGATCCTGGTCGTCACGGGACACAAGGGAGAGCTATTCTCGTCTATATTCAGCGCGCCTGGCGGATTCACGAATCTTGTGTACACGAAACCGCTTAGAAAACTTCCTGCTGGGATGCTCTTCTACGACGGCCATGTTTACGACGTGTTCATGTCTCTCTCGAAGAAGCCTGTTGTTCAGAGCACCAGATCCAACTCGTCTACTCCTGAAGAGTGGAAACTAAACAGATACCACAAGGTGGAACAGGACGAACGACACACACAATATGCCTTGATCTACAACCAGCATGGAGTGGTTTCTGCGCTTGTCGATCTGAAGGAGCACAAGATCCAAAACTTGATGGATACTCCAAATGCCCCGCAAAGCTTTGGAACATGGTCGATACCGACACAAGCTTTTGGCACAGAGCGCCACCTGATCTTTATTGGCATCTCCAAAGGTGCTGTGCGCATTCATAAGTACTCGGAGACATATTTGGCAGATAGGTACAGGGGCCAGAATCACAGAAGCATGCCGATCGGTCTGGATGTATTTCATCCTGCTGAGGAGGACTCCACCGATGTTCTTACCTATTCAAAGTTGAATTCCTTCGTCGACCGGTTTGCGGGTTTGAACATTCCTTCTTGGCCCGGGGAGTGAAAGCAGCATACAGGCTCTCAATCTGATCTGAAACAACAAAAAGCAAATACTACATGTACGAGTATGAGTACTTGTAGTTCCATTAATGTGCAGCACATTGTTCACTGTGTGTACTAATAGCACGCGGCGCACCTTTCCTCCAAAAGTTGTCGCTCGCTAGCTTAAGGCAATGTCTGCAAAGATTAAGCACATGTTGCTACCTTCCATAATAATCAATATCGCCATGTTGTTCGTCTTTCTACCTCAATCACATGTGGATGGCATGATAATGGCGACGCAGAAAAAGTTGAAAATAAGGCCATTCCGTTTCATGTGATTGTGGGGAAGAGTACAGACGGTGGCTTCGGTGCAAAATTGTAGATCTAACGTTGTTTGTCAGGGGAACCGCTACAATAGGTGGGGAAGTTACAAAGGTCTATACCGACAGTTATGGAGAAAAAATGGAGAATAAAAATGTATGGACAGAGATTTATTGTCTCTTAAACCCCAGTAAGAGAATTATCCAACCATTTTTTGTCCATTCATGGCAGCTATGGAAGCCTGTCTCCATTTGCCACCATCACCAAACCCCGCCTTACATATGCACCATGATAAGCACAAGTGGGAGCAAAGGCGTTAACACACCTAAGCCTAAATATATATAGGGTTGCCCAAAAAAGACCATTCATATATTTCACACTCGACGTCTGTCTCATTTCATCTCTCTTGACCACGTCTGAAAACTTGTCGAACCCCCACAATGCCCACCATTCACACAGAAATCGAAATCAATGCTCCCGCAGCAGTCGTCAGCCAGATTCTGTACCAGTTTAACAAGTACCCCGAATGGAACACCTTCCTGACCTTTGTCCTGGGCAACTCCAACGACTACTCTCACCGACCCCAGGAGCTGGCCAACGAACACATCACCATCCAGGTGTGGACCCCCGGCAAGCAGAAGCCCCAAATCTTTGACTGTGTCGTCAACAAATGGGAGCCCAACAACCTGTCATGGGAGGGCCATCTGCTCAGCAAGCACATTATCAAGGGCGAGCACTACTTTGAGATCGTGCCTGTGAGCGAGAACAAGTGTATTTTCAAGCATGGCGAGAACTTTAGCGGCGGGGTGGCCGCAGTGGCCTCCTTCACCTCTGTGTTTGAAAACCTCAAGCCCAACTACGAGCGAATGAACCAGGAGCTCAAGAAGCGGGCTGAGGCCGGCGTCTCAAAGCTGTAAGCATGCTCATGCACCTGAAATGACATGACATGGCATGGCATGATATTGGCCATTGCAATGGAACGCGCTCTGTGTGCAACTACACACACATTGATGTATATTTAATTCACGGTAACTTGTGTTGCCCATGATCCTAAAACACCACACCCCTGGCAAGATTTCAACGCTGTACTGTAGACTGACTACCATTGCTAAGGCAGCAGTGTAGATCTCGCTGATATATTAAAGTTGCGTCGGGATTACAACCGACACCATTCCAAACGGACACAATAGTAGTGTTGTTACGCCGAAAATTTGACAGGTTCCTTCAAGACTGATCATAATCCGTCGTAGTGAATTCCAGCGAATTCTTTCAGGTATTCACCATTCCAGAGACCCTCAGATTTCATGAGCTCTTAAAGCCCTAATCAGATTAGGCTTCAAGGGATCGAGACGTTTTCGTGATGACATAAATACAGAATTGGAGACTTGAAAGAAGAAAAAATTGATATATTAAATCGAGATTTTTAGTCCATAAGAATACATCAACAGAACTACTTGAAGATTTGAAGATTTGAAGATTTGAAGATTTGAAGATTTGAAATCATTCACACTCACTCATAATCTGTTTTGCTTCACTGATGAGATCCATGAGATCAGACACGCTCCCAGTATTTACCAGTAACTTTTGTTACGCTACTTAAACCTACAAACACCCCTCCAAACATCCAGCCCTAACCCTAAAGAACATGACCATGATTTGTTATGTTTTCTATACAACCTAAAAGGACAACAGGGTCTAGCCAACTCCACACAACATGAGGCTTTTCGTAGCTACACTATACCATAAGTATATAAGCAGGGTATACAGTCTCTTTTTGATGGGCCGGATCAAGCAATCTGCCTGTGTTCTCCTGTAATAACACGTCTAGCCGCACACATATGCCGTGTCATTGTATGCATTGCGTCCACGTGTCGTGACGGTGTTTGTAATGTGGCTGTCACATGGACGTGTTTATCTCAGTCTTCATGACTTCCTCCCGTCATGTCACTTCATTTCGGTTGTGCTTCAGCCATAATTTTCTGTCTATAAATATATGGCTTTTCCCATCTACGAAATGACGTTATACACCCTGGAGCTAATTACTGTGCCCACACACATGTCTCAGAAGCATACGCGTAACCAAGGTTAACTATATTCGACTGGGAGTGCATGGAAAGGGGCATCGGCGAAGAGATGGACGGGGGGTGAGGTATTTGAGCCTCGCTGGTCGGTTTGGTGACGAGTTTTGCGGACGACAGCGGAACTCGCTCTTTGTGAACTGACGTCGCGGGATTTTAGACCCGTTTAGGCCGTCTTCCCCACGCTTGTTGACCGCTGTTTATGCCAGTCAGTGTCGGGAGCTAAAAATAGGCCAGTGCAAAAATAAAAATGCGTTATGCGCTGTTCCAGCAAAAACCAAGTGCCAAAAAAAATGCGGATGGCGTAAACTCTCCAGCTTCACCAGCACCGTGATACAGACTCAGACGAGACACACGGTCCAGCACGAGACATACGGCACAGACACGAGCACACATCAACCCTCGTTACACAGACGCAACTAACAAAAGAAAACACCCGGCCCCACACCGCCTAGCCCGCCATCAAGACACACATACTCCGATAGCACACCAGTCGTAACATCCACCACAACTGCATACCATGAAGCTCAATCCCATGGTCCTGGTGCTGGCCACGGTAGCCCTGGCCTCCACCATCACAACTCCCCCTCCACGAGCCACCCTGGCTCCTCGGCAGGACAACACAGATTCCAAGGATGACAACAACGAAAGTATCGTGACCCGGTTCACCGCCAACAAGAGCAAAAACACCTTCACCGAGGAGCCACCGACCCTGACGCTCCCCGGCATGCCCACCTCGGAGCCTGTCATCCCCTACACCGAAGATAACCCCTACGTCAACACATCCAAGTACCCCGAGGGCACCGTGTTCATCTGTGTGGGTTCCATTCTGGGAGGTCTCACACTGCTGGTCACGGCATGGCGATTCGGTGTCGCATGGCACATGAAGAAGCAAATCAAAAAGGCCAACGCTGCCGAGCCTCTCATGGCTGCTTACCACAACAAGAACCCTCGGCCCAAACGTAAGTTCGACCACAAGTCCTTGTTCCCCACGGAAAACCCGTTTGGAAATCACGCAGAGCTGTCCATGGACAACCTGTCGCCTCAGGGCAAGAGCATGTCCAAAGCGCAGGCGGCCTCCATGGCCGCCCACAAGTCGTCGCTTTTCTTCTCTCCTACTGCCGAGGTGATGAACGCCCAGAAAAATGGTGGAGGAATGGGCGAAATGCAGCAGCAGCCAGCCTACCACCCGGGATCGTCCGCAAACTCATTCATGGGCTTCAACAACTCCGGAAACAGATCTACTGCATACCTGCCTTCGGGTTACTATGGCCCTCAGTCTGGCCAGTTGAACTCCATGACCTCGCAGTCTCGAGCCAGTATGAGAGGCTCCATGATGGCTCCTTCCATGGTTGGAGGACGGGCCAACTCGCTGCGACCTATGAGTCACATGGACGGACAGAGTGGAAATATTGGAGGAGTCCGAGCTCCTTCTGCTTTCTTGGATGACATGCTCAAGGACGACATGATGAGTGAGGACGAGAGAGAAAAATAGCTGTAGTGAGCAACAGTGAGCACCAGCAGGCAAGTGAAATGATCACTTATATCTATTCACGAGAGACGAGAGATTCTCATGTCGGTCCCTGTCATCTGCAGAGGTCTTGAGGTCTGAGGAATGGGCTCAGACAGGTATTGTTGGTGGGTTATTCGATGGCATTCTTCAGTGTGGTACGCATCTGTACCCGTACAAGCAACTGAAAAGTAGTAGCAATGGCATGTTAATATGAAATTATGCGGATGATCACGGTGTAGTTGACGAGGAAATCGCTGGATGTAGGTGGTGGGTGAAGAGACTACCAAGGACGTGAAGATGAGAGATGAAAGCACCCGTACAATACTTCTAACAGGCCAAAACAAAGGTGTAGGCGATAGAAACTCCGTTCTCGTTTAAATCCTGTACAGTTATCGAATACATCTCTCTCTTACCGATGCGATAGAGGACACATTATCTGCTCCTTCGGCTGTCAGTGATATATATATATATATATATATATCTTGTGTGCGATTTAAAAAATACGGCTGCCCCTGACAAGACATGTGTATTACATGTTTTCGTCTCTACAAAATGGTCATATAAATATCAATATCTATTATTTAATATATACAGTCCGTCCTACAAAGTCGTCCCTTTCATTGGACACACTTAGTAAGAGCTGGCAGCCTGCTGGCAAGCCTTGAGGGCCTGGAGGTACCAGTCGCAGATCTGCATGTTTCCGTTGTTCTCGTCGAGGCACTTGGTGAAGGCTCGGGCGTCGGCCTCACAAGCACCGGTCTGCTGCTGCTGCTGGACCTGGGCGGGGGCGGCGGCCACAGGAGCAGCCTGCTGCTCGGCGGGAGCGGAAGAAGATCCTCCTCCGAACATGCCAGTGATTCCGGCACCCAGAGTGTGGCCAATGGTGGATCCGACGGCAACACCGGCGGCAGTAGAAGCCATCTGGGCGAACATACCGGGCTGCTGAGGGGCGGCCTGGACGGGAGGAGCGGCGGCAGGAGGAGGGTGGTTGTAGTGCTGCTGCTGGGGATGAGCCATGGTGGAGGCAGATCGGGACTGAGAAGGAGCGGCTCGGGCAGGAGCGGCTCTGGATCGTGTTCTAGCCATTGTGTTTGTGTGTTGTGTGTAACTGGTTTAGTTTTTTTTTCTGTTGTGGTGGGTAGAGGGAACCTCGTGGCTATATAAGATTTTCGGTAGCCATTTTCGAACAGTCTCGAAGCTTGAGTCTATTTGCCACCTATGTAAAAGCACGTACCAGTCGCACGAAATAGACCCTCTGAATAGAGCTCTATGTACAGCGGTATGATAGCCGAGTCGGAGATCTGGTCGAAACATATCACATGTCCCTCGTGTACTACGCCACCGCTATTTCTTCTTACACATGTCCGCCGTTAACCCCGCTCCTTAGTCATCAATACTAGAAACCTAACCCTCGAGATAAGTTACAGTACCTACGGCGGAGCTTTAGGTCGGGGCGTGGGCGGACTGGGGCACCAGAGAGAAAGTTGTATAATAGAGCAACAAGTCACGTGAGGAAGTAGTGAGGGAGACATTTTGGAAGGTCTTGGAATACTGTGGAACGTTACATTGTGAGAACATCACTCTTATAAATACATCCTGTTGTGTGTGCTTATACACTTACAAGTGTACTCACTGAGTGTCCGTACACACCCTGCTGTACTGTAAGTAAGCGCTGACCTCTCCCTCCAGACGTTGAATATTAGGTTGAAAGTATAAACCCCGCGTTGTAAAAAGTGCACACAGTGGGTGGCCAATCAGAACCGCCGAGTAGTCATAATCTGTGGGAGAGGCTGAATATCAAACAATGTCTAGAATGTGGTTGGTCGTTTCCTTTTTTGGCGTTTTTGAAGGGTTAATCTTGCATCTCATTCACAAAATATGGTGGATTCTGAAGGAGAGAGATGTAGGTTCAAATTTGGGGGAAATATAAGCCGAAACCGTAGTAGGGGTGAAGTTGAGGGGGAGGTCGTTGGGACGCCATAATATACTGTGTTGTAGGATATTCTGTGCTAAAATCAACACAAATTAATGGAATAGAGTCCTTTAGAAGTAAATATTCGCAAATTGCGTCCAAAAAATACACCCCTACAGAGCCCGCTCACAGTCACCTGAATCAACTCATTAAACGTTGCTAACCAACTTTATCCACTACTTGGAATAAAACAAAGCAGTCTTCAAACTCCCCCAAAAGATCACTTATTGAAACTATGAAACTTGCATTACAATAACCGTCCCTTTTTATCCCCTTTTGTATCTTTATATCTTCCTGTTAAACCTCTCAAACTCGCAAAACGTGATTCCTTTGAGCTTGGGAAGTTTGGCTGGTCAGACTTCCACACATAAACCTCCACCCAATGAAAGCCGAGCTATTGAAAGAGGGAGATGGTAGAACGATGCAATTGGGCTTTTTCCACGGGACAAGTCGTGAATTATATAGCTACGGGCCAATTGTCTTAATCTACTGACTTCTTACCACCACAACCACCCCCACAACCTATATACACTCCTTCAACCCTAACCCCCGTTTGCGCCAATCAGCGTTCTCGGAATACTCCCATCTGGACTAAACTCTTCACAGCGACCGAACCTCTGTTACACACCAAAAGCACAACCCCTCACACAATGCTGCGATCTGCTGCTGCCCGAGCCGTCAGGGCTGTGCGCCCCCGGCTGTCTGCTCGATACATGGCCACCACCGCTCTGCCCCAGGACCCCATCCCCTCCGGAGCTCTGGGCCAGAAGGTGCCTCACGTCGATGAGAGCCACCAGGACCTGCTGTTCCGAACCTCTCACATGGTGGAGGATCTCGAGACCTACGACGAGGACTCCCCTATCAACACGTCGGACGCCAACACCCGAATCCGAGCCTTCACCATCAACTTTGGTCCCCAGCATCCCGCTGCCCACGGTGTGCTGCGTCTGATTCTGGAGCTGTCTGGAGAGGAAATCATTCGATCGGACCCCCACGTCGGTCTGCTGCACCGAGGAACCGAGAAGCTCATTGAGTACAAGACTTACATGCAGGCGCTGCCATACTTTGATCGTCTGGATTACGTGTCCATGATGACCAACGAGCAGGTTTTCTCTCTGGCTGTCGAGAAGCTGCTCAACGTGGAGGTGCCCCTGCGAGGCAAGTACATCCGAACCATGTTCGGAGAGATCACCCGAGTGCTCAACCATCTCATGTCCGTGTGTTCACACGCCATGGATGTCGGTGCTCTGACCCCCTTCCTTTGGGGTTTTGAGGAGCGAGAAAAGCTTATGGAGTTCTACGAGCGAGTCTCTGGAGCCCGTCTGCACGCCGCGTACGTGCGACCTGGAGGAGTCTCCCAGGACCTGCCCGCCGGCCTGCTGGACGATATTTACATGTGGGCTACACAGTTCGGTGACCGTCTGGACGAAATCGAGGAGCTGCTGACCGATAACCGAATTTGGAAGCTACGAACCGTCAACATTGGAACCGTGACCGCCCAGGACGCCTTGAACCTTGGTCTTTCCGGCCCCATGCTGCGAGGATCCGGTATCCCCTTTGACATTCGAAAGAACGCCCCCTACGACGCATACGACAAGGTCGACTTCGACGTCCCCGTCGGCATGAACGGAGATTGTTACGACCGATACCTGATTCGAATGGCCGAGTTCCGACAGTCGCTGCGAATCATCGAGCAGTGCTGCAACGACATGCCTGCCGGCGCCGTTAAGGTGGAGGACTTCAAGATTAACTCGCCTCCTAGAAACCTCATGAAGGAGGATATGGAGGCCCTGATCCACCACTTCCTGCTCTACACAAAGGGATACTCTGTTCCTCCCGGAGAGACCTACACCGCCATCGAGGCCCCCAAGGGAGAGATGGGTGTCTACGTCGTCTCCGACGGTAGTGAGCGACCATACAAGTGCAAGATCCGAGCCCCCGGATTTGCCCATCTCGGAGCCTTTGATCACATTGCCCGAGGACATTTCCTTCCCGACGCCGTGGCCATTATTGGTACCATGGATCTTGTGTTTGGAGAGGTTGATCGATAGTCATAGAATACATACTAAGCAGAGTCGCATATGCGTGTGCTCGTGGAATGTACTGTAGAGGGTTGTACACTGTATGTGAGAGCAGAGTTGCTATAAGGAGAGGTGGTGGATGCGTGACTGTTAGTTGGACTGTGAGTCAGAATGGTCCGTTGAGAGCAATGTGGGTCATGCTAAATCTCTTAATGCTTTCTCTTCTACTATGGTGATGTTACCTCACAGATACAACAATCGAGATACGGGTCGCGAGACGAGTAGATGTGAGACTACAAATACTGTACACTTGTATAACTAATCTACAGGACAGGTGAATGCGAAAGTAAAATGCGATCATCTCTCGGCCGTAGATGGTCATATTAGTCACATATAATCTGATGCCGGTAAATTTCACATGTCAAGCATGTCCATATGGATCTGTCATCAAGCGAGACAGCCACCAAGACTGGAACCAATGCCGCTGGTAGTAATGGACCTTCTGGTACCAGAGCTGTCATCATTTGCTTGAACCACCTCCTTCATATGCTCACAAAATCACATGGCTGTGGTTCATCTCACACCAATCCTTTGAGCATATGTCATTCATGTAGCATGCATAAACATGTCATCAAAGAAACATATTGGGGCGATGGGAACTGATAAGGGGGTGGATGAACATCTGATCTATTGGATGAACTCGATATAAATGATCGTTAATTGAACTACTTGTAGTTATTACAAACACTTTTGCAAGTGCTAGATCATGATTACTTGTGTACACCTACTGATGCGTGATCAATAGGTAAACCATGATCTGGTGAATACCATTACCTGTCCCCTGGTGTACATAAGCATACTACGGGACAACTTCTGCACAGAGAGAGATCATTCTCTCCATGACATACTGTATAAAACCACTCGCTCCTACACCCACCGAGCTAAGCTCTCATGCCCACAATCAATAACACAATCCATTCTATCCGTAATAAATACACTACATGATGACGCACTTGGAAGACTCCTCCTTGTCATCGGCTGCAGCGCCCTTGGGCTTAGCTCCCAGAGCACATCGAGCAGCCTCGGTAAAAGCCTCGTTGACTCCTCGGTTCATCTTGGCCGAGCACTCGAGGTATCGAAGAGCGCCAATCTTCTTGGCCACCTCCAGGCCCTGCTCGTAGGTGACGTACGTCTTCTTGGCGCCCTCGCCGCCCTCCTCATTGTTTCGCAGATCGCACTTGAGAGCCACCAGCACCAACTTGACGCCCTCACAGTGGTCGGCAATCTCACCCACCCACTTGGTCTGCACGTTTTCCAGCGAGTCGCGCGAGTCGACGGAAAAACACAGCATGATGGTGTGTGTATCTGAGTACGACAGAGATCGTAGTCGGTCAAACTCCTCCTGACCAGCAGTGTCCCACAGAGACAGCTGTACGGGCTGGCCGTCGATGAAAATGTCATGCACGTAGTTTTCAAACACGGTGGGCTCGTACACGTGGGGGAAGTATCCCCGAGTGAAAACGTTCAGCAGAGAGGTCTTACCGGAAGCACCATCACCTAGAATGACAATTTTTCTTGAAACTGGGTTAGAATGATAATGAGCTGTGGTATATTTGGAGAGAGAGAGAGAGAGAGAGAAGGCGTAAGAGTGTAAACGAAGTCTCACAAGTGGTGAGAAATGAGAGGTATGAAATGGACCTGGTGAAGTCATGTTCAAACGTAGTTCTGAGACCACATCCAAGACAATGCCTCATGAGCCCACATATGTTGCAAGAAACCTCAGTAAGCCTGAAAGTCCACACTCAGATTGTGCCCTCAGGTCCTGGCTCCAGATTCAGACTCCACCACCCTCAATACTCAATATCATGCTCATGCGATATGGCATGGCGCCGCAGACAATGGGTATCCCCGCTGGTGTCGTAGGAGGGCAACTCGATCGATGTGGCGTCTTTTAATAGCAATATCGCAGTGACAACTCGGGGGTTGCAGTGCCACATGGCGTCCTCAGAACACCCTCAACATTGTAGCTCCGTCCAGATCATATCCCGTATATGCTTCAGGGTGCGTTTTGGCGCGCACGCGTGTTGCCGTGTGCGCTGAAATACTCACTAGCCTTGGGGGCTCCGCCGCAGATGGCCATGTTGAATATTCGAAAATGAGCGAGAGAGTGGAAGAGTGGTGCGTTTTACCTCGTAACGGTATGGTATATCTCTTGGTGCAGGTTAGGTGGACCACGGCTTGTTTTGGTTTCCAGCAAAGCTTATTTGCGAGTCTATGTTTTTCCCTTGTGCTCTTGTAGCGCTGCGCTTGAGCCAGAGTCCAACTGTGAGGTTACACCTCCCACGCGAGTGACGGAGTGACGTGTCCACCCTATCAGCTGCTTGTGGCAGGTGTACTTGTACTTGTTGTTTGTGGTGATAGCATAGACTAGTTTGCCCTCGGCGGTATTACGGGGTGCTACAGCTGTGGAGACGGTGTTTCCCCTCCTTATTTTGGCATAGTGCGCCTTTTACGATTTTTTTTTCTTCCCATTTATGAAGGTGACATTTTTCACCTACCCGTTTTTTTACGAAAAAAATAAAAATATAAAAACTTGTGTGTCCAGCCAAGAAAGCGCACAGTGTCACAACCTTGCCCCAGAAAAGCTCGTATTGACGCGAACGCGTGCGAGACGTCTGCGACCAGAGCGAGTCCATATCTGGCACTACAGGGCCCGAGGGCCGCCAACAAGACCGAGCTTGGCGTCGGCTCTAGCACACGCTGAGAGGCGCTTACCGGCCACAAAAACCCCCGGTGCAAAGACCTCTGCCGCTACGCATCGTCTGGTTGCTAGTGATCGACGGACCCCTGAAAGTTTCCACCCACCTGTAAGTGTGGACCTGGAGAGTGCTTAAACCGTAAGTGTTGGAGATGCACTGGCTCACATAATATGACGGTCCATGGTGCTGTGATTGTGCTGTACATACTGTAGCATTGATGAGTGTAAAGGCCTGTCATTGACAGTGTACAGCACCGACTGTGCGTATACTCCTATCATTACCCTCTGAAGCCATATGTATGTACAGTACTTACTGTTGATACACACGAGGGCGGTTCCCATGGGAACCATGTCTGATCCGCAAATGCTCTGTTTCAGACTGACAGGGGTGCTATTGTAATTGCGAGCTATAGCTCAGGCCGATGATTGGTACCCCCAGGAGAGTGCCTATACCAACCTTTTAATTAATTAAGGGATGCTATTGTCTGGAATTCACCTCCACAATATTATCTGGCGCCTAACCATAGTCCGGAACCAGCTCCCACTCGGCCCTAAAGATGCACATTCCGTCTAAGCCCATAATATCGGACTATTCTGGCTTTTGACAGTGACAGGGAAAGTGCACCAAGTGTCTGAGTGGGTAGCGTGGGAGACACATGTTGGAGTCACGTTATTGTCTGCTTGATTCATTACATGTTATGGTGATTTATCCCGATATTCCCGAACATGTGGTCGACTGTGAGTAGCGAGAGCTGCATCCGGATCGTACAAGTAAAGAGGGTAGTTGGGTCATTTGTTGAAGATCTCAACTAATAGCACCACCTGCCAAGTTGGAACCATCAATGGAATGAACAACACCTGTCTAAAGTACAAGTATGTACTGTACAATCTGTACTTGTGCTCATACGACACGAATGGATACCACCAGTGACAGATAACTCCTATCCACGAGCATAGATCTCGTCATACCAAGAACGAACGCCATACCCGCACCATTGACCACTCTTTTGCCCAACTTGCAAAATCACGTGACATGGAGAGTTTGCTTCAGGCACATCAAGGCAGGAGCCTCAGTTAATTAGACCTCCAAATATCTCGTGTTCTTTCTACACTAATGGTGAAGTTTTCAGCATGAAGAAACGAAGATTCCAGATCAGAGCACTTTTAAGATTCAACTTTATTGCGACAGTGCAAATGGGTATTTGGCCAAGTGGAAGGGGGTATCAAGCTTGGCCAATAGTGGCTATATTTTGATTCCGAAACTTTTGATCAAATTCTGCCCTGAAAACAACTCCGTCTATGTATTGTTGTTCCCGGAATTCCTGGGGGAACGCTCCGAAAAGTCTTTCCCTTTCCCAATCTGTTGTTCCCCAACCCAAGCCTAATCTTGAGTCTTTCCCGATAATCTTGCATGGCACTGGGACTTGTAATTTCACAAGTTACAGGAACAGCAGTCTTACAGAGTCCACCATGTGGCGACTAGGTCCTCGACACTTTTCCACGTCCGCCGCTCGGGCCGCAGACTCGTCGACCCACTACTCGATTCTGGGCGTCAGCGTGTCCGCCACGGCGGCAGAAATCAAAACCGCCTTCTACCAGCTCTCCAAGGTGTACCATCCCGACCGGGTCCGCAACAAGAGCGAGGAGGAGCAAAAGATGAGCCGTCTCAAGTTCGAGGAGGTTTCCATGGCCTACACGGTGCTGTCTGATCCCGCTCAGAAGCGAGACTACGACCAGCAGAACTCGTACCGCTTTAATGGAGGCTCGGCAGGCACCCAGGGCAACCCCAACACTGGATCCGGATTCCACAGCACTGGAATGTTCCGCGAACGGCCTGCGTCTGGATTCAACCGACGGGCAGACAAGCAACGTACGTCCACGTTCCAGGGTGGCTACCGAACGTCGAAAATGAAGGCAAACACTGCTTCTTCGCGTTTTTCCGGAGAACACCGAGAGGCGTCCAACTACGACGTGCCTCACTTTGACTACGATAAACACCACCACCAACAGTGCTCGTACGAAGAACATAGAGTGCGACACCAGCGCCAGCAGGACGAGGAGTTTCGACAGGCCCGACGCAAGAAGAACGAAGAGAGACAGTATCATACCCAGGGAGGAGGCATTAACGTCGGAGCTGTTGCTGGGTTGGGGGCCACGGGTGTGGTGTTGATTGCCATGATGTGTAGATAGCGTGCTAGACGAGCCAATCGATGAGACAGTGACACCTCATTGAAGAATTCAAAGGTCTCCATTCAAATCGAACATTTACAGCCATCGAGCAGACGCATCCAAGTGACACCACTGGCACCCATATAGATATTTATAGATATGAGTAATGAATTATGTGTTATGAGGCAATAGAGGAGGCGGGACTACGGTTCGAGTACAATCCACAACGTCCTTGTACGTGTGTGTGTTTTTCTCTCTTCGTACTGTTGATACCAGTATCTACGATACATTGTAAGAAGACATAAAGAAAAAATTACAGACAACATTGTGTGGCTATATCCATCATCGTGCTCGTACTGTAAGCACACGAGGTAAAACAGCAAGATCCGCTACAAGTACTTGTACGTTGTTGTACATTTGTCAAATCACACCGAAGCCGTAAGAGCGTGGCACCATGACACTTTGGTCACGCAAACAACCGTTGTTGCATCCATATGGCGGCCAGTCAGGTAACAAATACAAATGACAGTAGCAAGTCCTCTCCCTCAGCCTGCTCAAGATACTACACCTCGGCGACAGCGCCGAATACGACAAGAAAGCTACAAGCCAACATACCGTCAGTCAGACACACTGATTACATATACAGAACTCATTAAAGTATTCTAATTAACCCTCAAAGGTGAAAGAAACACCGAGGTTGTGGGCGGACTGCTCGAGTCGCTGGGTGTCGATGGAAGCACCGACACCGACTCGGACACCGGGCTTGAGGCCAACAGAGTAAGCAAGAGCGGCAATACCCTGGTTGTTGATCTTGGCCTTGGCGAAAGAGTTGGCATCAAGAGTGTGCTTGGCACCGATCTCGAGACCGACGGGGGCGGCAGCAGCCTTGGAGTCCCAGGTGGCCTTGGCACCGACCTCAGTGGCGGGGTTAACCCGGTGGAAGTAGGCGGCGGAGAAAACAGAGAGGGAGTTGGTGGCCAGGATGGAGGTGGAGTAGACGGGGGCGGTGTAACCAACAGCAGCAGAGTACTTGGTGACCTTGGCGTCAGAGACGTCGTATCCGACCTCGGCACCGGCAATGAAGCCGTCGTGGCCAAGAGTGGCGTCGGAGGTGACGGTGGGGCCCTTCAGGAGATCGAAGAAAGCTCGAGCCTGGAAAGAGGGCTGCTTGAAGAAGAGAGAGAGCTTGGCGTTCTTAGCACCGGAAGAGGGGACAAAAGAGGTGGCGAGCTCACCCTTAAGACCCTGGGCAAGAGCCTCATCGATCTCAATCTTGGAGTCGAGGACGTTGGCGGTGGTCCATCCCTGGGTGACAGTGACACCGTTGGCCTTGTCGGCGTACTTGGCCTCGAGGTTACCGGCAATGGAGCCGTCCTTCTGGGAAGACTTACCCTTGGCGACAAAGGCAACACCGTTGGGGGCCTTGGTCTTGATCTCGAGGGAGGCTCGAGCAAGGTGGTAGTAGTCCTTGTTGAGGAGGTCGTTGGAAGCCTTGGCGATGTCAGAGAAAGCGAGAGGAGCCACTGGGTTAGTACGTGTTGCGTGTTATGATGCTTCAGCACGTGCTTTTCGGGTGTCATCAAGACGCGCGGCAGCACAGCGACTGAGAAAAAAACAATCGTCACCTCCAGACGGTGATTGTGGCAGTTGAAGGACGCCATAGACTCAATTGTGACGGGAGACGACCATTGAATGCCGATGTGTCATAGTGTTGATGCGTTTGTTGGTGCAAAACACAATCACACCCTGTGATACCTCCCCCCCCCAAGACACATCATGAATGCGATGGGCTGGTTACCGAGACCCGTGATGGGCACCCTCAATGGCCCCATTGTCGGGTCTCACATCACAGGCTGACAATGTCGCCACCTGTGTTTGCAGCCCGATTGATCGCAAAACCACCACCTCGGTTGTTACTCGGTACCTCTCGGTTGCGTGTCAATTTGCGTTGAGGTGAATCAAGCCACGTGCAATTGAGTCGAGAGTGCCACTGTGGATGTGCGTGTGTTCAATGGAGGAGAGGGCGTTCGGCGCCTCAATGGCGCTGTGCCTGTGTCGCCACGGTGACTATACTCACTGTTTGTGTATGTGTGTTTGTGCTGAGAAAGAAGACAAGTTACGGGGAGCGAAAAGCTACGTTAGCCACTGCGGTGAGTTAGTTCCTTTAATCTGCGGCGTAGGCGGGGACTGCAACAAAGACGGTAGACGCACCTTGATCAACTAAAGTTATTAAGGTTCCGACCAATCAAAATTGAGCTGCCGCACACCATACGTCCACATAAACATACAAGACAGCCCAGAGGAAGGTCCGGGTGGGAGGCGGTAGGGAGGGCAAAAATATGTGCGGCTTGATCTGAGCGGTTTACAGCTTGTTTCTCGGGCCGAAGGGAGGGCGGCGGGAGCCTGGATGGTGCCCTAGCAGGCCCCATAGGATTCTCAACAAATCCTCACATGATCTCTGGCCCCCCGCTCTCAGCACATCTCCTTCAAAAAACGGTCACATGGTCTGATTGCTCAGTGCAACCTCCTCTCCCCTCTGTTCGGTTCTCCCCAACAAAATGTATCCTATATGCATGTGGGGTGGTGAACTGTAACGTGTTGTAGTACAGTAAAGTAGGTGTGTGGGAAAGGTGTCAGTTGGGGGCGTTTGGTGTCACTCTAAGGTGAAACTGGGCACACTGGCACAAGTAAATATATAACCTGAGTGTGGACACAACCCCTCCACCATCTGTCCGAGGCACTACACCGGCATTGCAGCGACCTACTACTTCACCCTGACATCTCATCTAAGCGATCTCATCGTGCATGGGTGATAATATCTAGGATCGTTGATCTGTCGCAGACGACACACGTGAATGGAAATTAAAAAGCTTCCGATAACCAGCACCAAGCCACAACGCGTGGGCCGGAATTAGCGAAGTGAGTTAGCCGGTATATATCGGGTGGACTATGACGCATTTGGCACCACGTCTACTGTACAGGTACAGGTACGGTAAACACACGATAATTGCAGTTGTAATGAGACGGGTCACGAGTAGCTCAACATTGATCGTGCATCTCGGTTACAGTGTATGACAGCTGTGTACAGTCAGTAATAAGTCGTTGTTGGGGAATAGTCTGTCAGAAGTTTTCCCCATATTGTAGATATAGAAACGGCCGAAGGGGATTGGTGATCTATACACGGATCATAGGCACAGGCACTACTGTACAATGTAGGATAGAAGATGGAATATCTCGCACGGAGAGACCGACCTATCAAAAGAGAATACAACTGTTGTTGCAGAATGATGCGATGCAAACAAACACTCCCACAGATGCTACAGCATTTACTCTGCAGTCCTTTTCGGAACGACTATACGCAGTGTGCTGAGGTTCGCGATCTAATTATGTACGAGTACGAGTACGAGTACATACTGGTACGATAGATAGGGTGTCGTTTGGACTAGACTGTACCAGGAACATAGGCGTATGAGCAGTGGTTCCTGTCATCAACAATCAGTACGGCACTTGTATTATATTTGAATGGTGGTGCTCTTACAACCGCCGTGTTTTTAGTATATATATAATATCTCGTTCGGTGCTGTCTTAAGTAATTACTGACTCTACTTGTAGGTTGGACCTACCCCTATAGCACGGGTCATAGGCAAGCTGAAGAGATAAAAAGTGGATTTTCCACCAGAAAAAACATCAACCGGAATCAATCTGTCTTATTATAGTGACACAAATACTATTTTATAGCCCTCTGCCACCACTTCCACCCTCCTATTACCCTGCTGAGAGGAACCGTCCTCAGAAATACAGTTACCCTGCTCACTGATTGGGACCTGATTTTTCTTGTGCATCTGGATCCGAACATTTCATTCCGCACCTCTCTTTGGATCCACTCCAGCATGCCATGAGTGCAACCAAACCAGCCGAAAACGGCAAGTATCGGGTGGCGACGCGCGGCATGGTGGACGAGGACGTGTACGATACCCGCAACCGCCACGTGGCCGCTCACCAACAGCACCTCCGGCTGCGACGCATCAAAAATGTGCTGGCCAAAAGAACTGCTGTCTCTGAAATGGAGGCGGACGTCATCCAGGGCGAACTGGCCCGCGACTTGCGTCTCTTGGTGGAGGCAGGAGCCCTTGAGCTGCCAGACATTGGCGATGAGCACCAGCTGGAACAGCTGTTGCGAGACGAGTTACAGTCTCACGAATCGGTCCATGGAGCTGTCGATGGGCTCGTCGACGGCGATCTCGACGGAAACGTGGACGTAGTCATGGATCTGACCGACGACGAAGATGGCGCACTGGAAGACGAAGAAGAACGGATGATCCAGGAAGCCTTGGAACTGGAGGCCCGGGACATTGAGCATCTCGTCAACCAGATGAACCTCGATCATTAGTTATTTATATTTTTCCATCCTTCTCCCCATGAACGCCCTGTGCCTCGCTCAGCTTTCTACTCTTGGTTAGCTTCGAGCTGGATGCTCTCGGATCCTCAGAGATCCAAGTTGCAATGGGCAAGACCAACCCCTTTCACCTCATTTGAGTACGCCCTCAACTACCAGTGTTGTCCGGTGTAATTACCGGTGATTACATTTTATTTATAGAGTAACCAGAGCCCAGACATGGTCCGTGTGAATGTCAATGTTGTACAGTATTTAGTCGAGGGCACTTTTTTAGACGCTTCACAGTATGATTGAAGGTCATTAGAACTAAAAAAAAAGAGTATCAGTTCTAAATACAAGTAACGATTGTCAGAGTAAGAGCTTTCGGTTGATATGAACACGACCTTACCGTGCCACTGCTATGGGTTGTTCGTCTGGGTAATCTGTCACCGGTACACTTGCATTCTGAGACTGGCAACAAAGGATACATGGCGAAGCTGACGAAAACAGTAACATATACGTATTGTACAAGTACACAAATGGCAAGCATTATAGAGAACAGCTACGATATGAAATATTCTTTGAATTTCGTGGCTATTTTACTCTTTCTATTGAGGTAATTTGATCAACTAAATATACTTTGTTTACTTAATACTATTGTTGGATAGCTGGTGTGTACAAGACACCCAGAATCAGACAAGAGAATAGTGCCTTAAAAGAGTTATTTAGTGACTTAAAAAAACATACATCTTGGAAAATGCCATATATAAGACAAGAACAACTTCCCCCTGTACATATATTTCCCCACATTCTGCCCAAGTGGCGTTAGAATCGCCTCGTTCGCTCACCACTGATACGGGTAAGGGTTCTAAAATTTTATGAAGCTTATTCGAAATTATTTTTGAAGTTTTTCAAACTCGCATATTCGGCCACAGACACAGCTATACACTACACATTACACACAATGGGTTCTGCTAAACGATCAGCTGACAGTCGAGAGAAGACGGTGTCCAAGAAGGTCAAACTGGTGGAGAAGTCCACTGGCAAGAAGGGCGCCAAGAAGGTGGTCGAGGAGGTCGAAGAGGCTTCTTCCGAGGAGGATTTTGCATCTACTGATGAGGAACAGGATCAGGAGGAGGACTCCGATGACTCCGATTCTGACGACATGGAGATGAGCGACAGCGACGAGGAGAAGGAGGAAGATGACGAAGAGGACGCTCTTGACGACGACGAGGAGGATGAGGAGACCAAGGAGGACGGAGAGGAGGCCCCTGCCGGCAAGTCTAGTGCTGCCGAGAGCCATGCTGAGCAGAAGCGCCTGTTGAAGGAACGAAAGCTTGCTCGATCTGGAGGAGAGAGTATCGCTCAGATCAAGCAGATTTGGGAGCGGCTCCGAATGAAGACTGGTGTCAAGCCTGCTGAGCGAAAGCAGCTGGTGGAGGATATCTGGGCCATTTCCAAGAACGATATCAAGAACTTGATTCTCAAGCACGACGCATCGCGAATTATCCAGACTCTGTTCAAGTACGCTGACAAGGAGAAGCGAGAGATCATCACAAAGGCGCTGAAGGGCAACTACTACGACCTGGCCATCTCGTCTTACGGAAAGTACCTGCTGGTCAAGATGCTGCATTACGGATCTGCTGCCGTTCGACAATCTATTATTGACGAGCTGCACGGCCGGTTCCGAAAGCTCATGCGTCATAAGGAGGGTGCCTATGTGTTGGAGGATGCCTACAGAGACTACAGCACTGCTGCTCAGAAGCGACAAATCATCCAAGAGTTTTTCGGTGCCGAGTTTGCCGTTTTCCGAGACGCTGCTGGCACAAAGACCCTTAAGGATATTATCGAGGACGCCCCCGAGAAGCGACCCATCATCATGCGAAACCTGAACGAAACTATCACTGCTGCTGTCAACAAGGGTTCCATTGGTTTCACCGTCATTCATGCTGCCATGCTTGAGTACGTCAGCAACCTTGACACCAACAACTCGGAGAAGACCGAATTCATCGATCTGATTGGCGAGCAGTTTGCAGAGATGGTGCATACTAACGAGGGATCGCAGGTGGCTTGCAAGACTCTGGCCATGGCTTCTGCCAAGGAGAAGAAGGGTCTTCTCAAGTCGCTCAAGAGCTTTGCCGACACCCTGGCTGCTGATCAGTACGGACACATGGTCATGATGACTGCTTTTGACACCATTGACGATACCAAGAGTGTTGTTAAGGCCTTTTCTGGTGAGCTCTCCGAGAAGCCCGTGCATGAGCTGTTCATGGACAAGAACGGTCGACGACCCTTCCTGTATGCCATGCTAGGCCGAGACTCTCGATACTTCAACAAGCTGGTTCTGGATCAGCTCAAGCAGTACGATGAGATGAAGACTGCAACTGGTACTGCCAAGAAGGATGATGCTCTTCGACTGGAGGAGATCAACAAGGGAATGTCCCCTCTGATTCTCGAGGCCATTGCCAACAACGCTTACGAGCTCATGAACGACACCCTGGGTTCTCAGTTCATTTCCGAGGCTCTTCTGTCGTGTGACGGTGACAAGTCTGAGGCTATCGCTGCTCTTATGGAGGTTCTGTCTGCCGATCCCGCCGGTGACAACCACGTCATCAAGCAGCCCAACGCTCAGCGAGCTCTGCGAACCCTCATTCAACAGGGACATTGGAACAACAAGGAGAAGAAGGTAGTCAAGGTCGAGACTCCCATCGACTTCGGTGCCAAGTTCTACGATGCAATTGGGGATCACGTTGTCGCATGGGCCACTGGAGACGGTGCTTTTGTCATTGTGACTCTGTTGGAGAACCTGGAGGACGATAAGCTGAAGAAGGAGCTCAAAAAGACTCTCAAGGACAGTAAGAAGGAGATTGCTGCTGCTGCCGAGGATGGAAACAAGGGTTCCAAGCTCATTGTTGACCTGCTTTAAGCGAAAACACGTTGTATAAAGATATATTTGGTAATAGAGGTATGATAGGATAAGTTGAGGATACTGTTTTACTACAAGTAAAGAGTTGTTTGCCACTCGCGTACAAGTGCATACGATAGAGAGGGATGCTTTGATATATACATATATATTTTTTTTGGAAAGATCAATCCATAGATCAGAAATGTTGAGAATTTCCAAATGAAATAGAAGGAGATCGAAAAGGAAGTATTAACAAGTTACCAAGGTATGGCATATTTAATAGTTGGAAAATAAATAAATAAAACTAACTAAAAAAATAAAAAATCAAACCAAAAACCAACACAAACAATACTACAAGTAGTCTCGGTGGTAGTCACACCAAATACCCATCTAAGCATTTTCCTTGATACTCGCTTCTATGCATGGCAAAACTCTATATCAAAAAAATCCCAAATTATTCTTCACGGTGCAGGGAAAGATATCACCACTTCTTCACAACACCTTTGACAAAATGGTACGACAGTTCAAGCACCACGAGGGCAAGCTGCTCAAGAAGGTCGACTTTGTCAACTGGAAGACAGATAATGGCCACCGTGAACAGCAGGTGATGGGCACCTTCCATCTGCAGGACCGAGACGACTACAACAAGTACAACAAAATCTGCGGTAAGATCCGACAATTAGCATACAAGCTATCTCAGCTCCAACCGGACGACCCTGTTCGAATCAAGCACGAAAAGCTGCTTCTCGACAAACTCTACCAGATGGGCATTCTTTCCACCAACACCACCGTTTCGCATCTGGAGACCAAGATATCTGTGTCTGCTATCGCCAAGCGACGACTCCCCGTCATCATGCACAAACTCAAGATGACCCAAAAACTGGACGCTGGAACTGCCATGATCGAGCAGGGTCACGTGAGAGTGGGTCCTCACATTGTCACCGACCCTGCGTTTCTGGTGACCCGAAACATGGAGGACTTTGTCACCTGGACCGACCGATCCAAGATCAAGAAGGCCACTCTCAAGTACCGAAACGAGCTCGACGACTTCAACACTATGTAAGTTTTTATTTATGCATGCTACTATTAGACGGAATGAGAAGGCGTGTAGAGAACATGGAGAAGTAGGGGATAGTCCGCTTTTTTATTATTGTCAAGTCGATAAGAACACTATCAGGTGAAACGAAGACATTCATTGCTATATGTTCAACTAAATGACTTCAGATTTTGAGCGTCGTCTCCTTAATCACTGTGCTCTTGTCTGATCTCTCGGTTGTTGGTATTGTCTGGGCGAGTATGTCAGTTACGATACAAGTACTACCGTTGTAGATTCATATTTGCAAGAAAGGCTACAAAAGATACACGCCGCTGGTACTTGAAGTCGTACTACTATACGATATGGTAGAAGCACAAGACTCTGCATCTCCTTGGTTCTGTCTCTCAGATTACAAGTGAGGCACTGGACCTATAGGCTAGCATTGTAGCCACAACCAAACCACTTAAATCGAAGTGATGACAATCAAGTGATCACTTTATACCACTAACTACTGTCGGGTCCCTGTGGTGACTCTATTATACCGTATGCTAATTATTTTCAGACTAAGCCGAAGCAGCCTGGGACTGGGACTCATGCACGGCCTCCAGCCACTGGGTGGGGCACTGGTAAGCCGAGTGACAGGGCACCAGGCGCACAAAGTCGCCGGGGGAGTACTGCACGTCCTTGAGAACCTCGCCGTCAAAGGCACGGGCAGCCAGGATTCGCGCGGGGACGATGGCTGTCTTGGACAGCACTGTGGGATGCCACTGGGCCATGTGTGTAAGGGCGGCGTTTTCAGGGTTGCCCGGCTGCTGTTTCCGGAAGTCCTCGTACTTGTACTGCAGAGGGTCTCGCCAGTAGTCGGTGATGGCCTGACCGTACTGGTCGTTGGAGATGATCATGGAGGCGGAGGTGAGGCCTGCATCGTCCTGGGTAAGCAGCAGCTGAATGTCCTTGGCAGGCACCCGCTTATACGAGTGGATGATGCCGTTGGGAGGGATCACGGGTACGTCTCGCAGCATGATCTTCTCCAGCTTGACGGGGTCGCACAGATCAGTCTCCACATTGAACTTGTCGTTGGCAATGAGGGCGTTTGAGTCCAGCCACCAGATTCGGTCCGCGTCGGGGAAGGCCTGCATTGCTGCTCGGATGATTTCAAACTTGGCCCAGTTTTCGTAGTTTTCGGGCGTGATTCCGTGGCCGCTGAGAGGGTTGAGGAAGTCCTGATAGAACCGAGCGTACAGCCCGAAGCCATGTTTCTTGGCATAGTTGAGTCGGTTCTGCAGAATCGTCAGCGACAGCTCTGAGTCGGCTCGCGCAGCATCGGTGCCGTCCAGACTCATGACAATGACAGTTCGGGGCTTGCCAGGAGTAGACTTGGTGAATGGAGCATGGCCGTTGACAATGTTGGCCTGGGTCACAGGCTTGGACTTGCCGCCGTCTCGGTAGATGACCTGTGTGTACTGGGTCACCGTCTGCCGGTCTTTATCGGCGCCGTCCTTGAGCTTGAGGTCCTCGTTGGCGATGGTGGGGTAGATGTAGGGCTGTTTGGAGTAGGCCACCTTGATGGAGTCGGGGCCTCCGCCGAGCACGGGGATGCCAGTCTTGTACGTATATCCGGCCGGGGTCGTGAGCATCGACACAAACGTGTAAATTGACAGCAAGATGGCCAGGCCGACCACCAGGGCTCTGAGGTTGGACGATCCTCGGTGGTTGAATGACGGTCCAGCTATCCGCTGGGCGGTGGCTCTGATCTGGCCCAGCAGGCCGCCGGACCGGCCGTTGCGCGGCACAAACGAGTTTTCGGAGCCGCCGGGACGGGGGAGCGCTTGGTGCATGGTTATGGTGTGTAGTGTGGTGGCAGAGAGCGGTTTGGGTTGGATGTCGGATTATCGACACTCGGCGAAGAAAACTTTAAGCATGGAGTGTGGTATTGCACGTCATAGCGGGTCGCGCGAATAGGTAAGGATGGGAGCTATGATACAAGAGTTGATTTATCGGGGAGGCCAAAGAGATGTTCCCAAGAGACCATTCGCTTCGAATCACATGTTTCTAAGCATTACTAAGCCGCCTACAACCTGTGTCGCTCGAACGGCGTAGGTCACAATCGTCAGGTACGTGTGATGGACGTGCAAGGGGTGGTACTCTTCGTACATAGACAAAGAATGAAGGGCCGGAAATAGGACTGGGTGAATAATTATACTGTAAGAGAGGACATATCGTAAAAGTACAGTAAGAAGCAGACTGGAAAAGTACAGTAAGAAGCAGACTGGAAAATGAGAGAGATAAAATAAGTTTTATCTTCACAAACTGATCGTCGCCATCCATCACTACGATACATGCATCAACGGGGGGGGGGGGGGGGGGGCAAGCCCACCTTTTGAGACTACTGTTTGTCATTTTAACCACTATCACTGAACTAACACACGATACACGTCTTTCATGCACCTTGTTCTAGGCCAGACCGCCATGATGGTGCGACTACGGGCACAGACCCGATTTGTGGTATCGTACCTGGCGAACACTTCGATATCTTCCGTTCACACTCTATCGTATAAATACTCTCAGTGTCTCAGATATATGCCCGTAAACTACTCCTTCTTCCTACGCTGTAGTTACACCTTCCTCCTATACTCTAGTCTGGATACCAAAGAAAATGCAATTATCGCCATGCTCACTCCTTATCATAAGCCCTCATCCTCCTCGCTCAGCACCTCGACTTCTGCCAGCTTGTCAATGGCATCAAACTGAGAGGAGAGGTACGCCGGGTCGGATCCAGGCATCTTGGCCAGCAAACGCCCCAAGTCGGAACGGGCCTTCTTGAGAAACGAAACGCAAAGACCATGCATCTGGCGGTCTCCGACATCCGTGTCGCCAAGTACGGCAATACCCTGGGTGATGAGTCGAAACAGCCAATCCGGGTCCCAGCGTGTGCCCTTGAGAGAGCCCGTCTCCTTGGCCAAAATAGCCACACGGAACCAGCACGTGATGACGCCGGTCAACGGAAGACCCATCATGGAATGCACAAGAGACACAATGTACCATGAATGGGCGCCAAGTTCCACAGAGGCAGTGCGTCGCCGGGCCACCCACACCAGCAGAGTAATGAGACTGGACATGCGTAGAATGACCCGGTACTGGGACAGCACCCCGGCCTGGTCCTGCTCAATGCCCAGTCGAACACACAGCTCACGGTGGCCGTACAGAGGCTCCTCGGAGGCGTCATACGTGTCCATCTCATAGTGCACACACAGCTTGGACCACAGACAGTAAATGCGGCATCTGTGGATCAGCTGGAGGGCAGAGGTGGCCGACGACGCAACCGACGAGGTGTCAGACTCGTCGGCATGGTCGTCATCGGACGAAAATGCCAACGAGTCGTCCTTGGGGATGCCAAGTTCTTCTCGCAGCTGGGCAAGAGAAGCCACCTCGTCCACCCCGAACTTGTGTAAGTCCTGGCCCAGTCGTTGGATCAGAGGTTCGTTTCTGTACATGACTGGTCGGCTTGTTTCGGTCATAACACAGCCCGAGAGGGCACAGAAGCGCAGCATGGCCCGACGGAACGCCAGGACGTTGCTGGCGGTCTTTCCACCATCGTCTGTGTGGTCGAAGTACACATCACAATCGCCCTGAGGTAACGACAACGGAATTCCAACCTCCAGGTTTCGTTTGGCGTCCAGAATGAGTGCGCATCCGTACAGTATACGCCACAATTTGGCCGAGGACGGCTCGATGAGCGATGCAGAGCCCGCAGACGACACGCTCATGGACCGCCTGTGGGCCTTGGGAGACTGCACCAACAGCGAGTCCTGGAACGCCAACACTGAGGTGCTCTGGGTATCAAAGTTGGCGGGATCCATGTACAGACCCTGCGAGAGCGCCAGCTGAAGAATGACACCGGTAAGGTTGACGGAATCGACCCCATCAGGCGAGTATTCGGAGTCTGGAGCGTACAAGCAGTCCAGTTTCATGAGCACAAGAGCCTGGATGGTCTTGAGCCCACCGTGTCGGAAAATATGCGACGCGTTAAGACATGCCTCGGCCACCTCCAACACCTGGGGACCCAGATACGTGTTGTCTCGGTGGCCGTCCTTGATGCAGTAGTTTGGAGGGCTCCAGTCCTTGAGCGGGTATGAGCCTCTGCCGAGTCGGAATACCAACAGCATGACGGCTATGGACGGTAGATTGAGGTATGTTCGGGCATTGAACTGTTCGCCATCCTCGATACGCTGTTTGGCCGACCACAGGGCGTTGAAATCCGTTCTCAGACCCTCTGGACAGGCGCAGTAATGCACTGTGTTGACCCGTTTGAGGAACGAGTCAATGAGAAACTCACAGTACTGCTGGCCGGGGAAGAGGTCCAGCAGCGGCTTGTAGACGGGGTCGATGGGGCTGTCGGACCTGCGTCTGCGGGTCTCCTGCAGCGTTTCAATAGCCCTTTTGCACTTTGCGTCGTTGTGGAGCGGCTGCTTTTTTCTCGGAGAAGGCGGCACCTCCACGCCCTTGGCCCGTTGACGTTCGCTGAGGTCCGCTCGGAGCAAGTTTGCGGCATTAGGGAACCGGCCGTACATGCGCTGGTGCGAGGACTTGGACTTGACGGTGGGCTGCAGTGGACTGACGATGGGCTGCAGCATCTGGGGCGGCGTCAACGGCTTTTGCATCGGCGGCACACTGATGTTGGAGCAACTGCTGCTGCTACTGTGGTGACCTCGGGTATCGCTGTTGGAGCTGTTATTGCCCGGAGGCTGTGAAATGGGCTCGGCCTCGTCCACCGTGAACTGGATCTCCTGTCCTCCTCGGACCTCTCGTCCTCCCCAAGTGGGCGGGGCGTATTCGCACGAGCCCGTCACGTTAGCAGTCTTGCAGGCCGAGCACGGCATCTGCTTGTCGCAACGCACTTTGCGTTTCCGACAAAGCAGGCAGCTGACAGGCGCTCTACGCCGCCGCTTGACGACCCGTGAAAAATCGTCCTCGAACCCTGCTCCGGGCGCAGACAGGTCCGGAATGCACTGCTCGTAGGGCGCCAATCGAGTGCCATTGTTGTTCACGGACTTGTCCTCGTGATCCGGTAGTAGATCCAGCGGCTGCTGGTCGCGGGTATCTGGCGGTCGGGGACCCTGTCCTTCTCTCATTTCCGCAATGGCCCGGACCGCCAGTTGCTCCAGTCCGTTTCGTCTAGACTCTTGGTCTGTCATGAGTGAGAGTGTGGGTTGAGTGTGAGTAGATGTGATTGTAGTGTAGTGGTGGGGTGAGTAGGTCGTGTGAGTAGTAGTAAGAGGCGTGTAGTCGTAGGAGTAGTCGTCTGTAACGTGCTAGTATCTGCGGTCAGTCTGTCTTACCTGATCCGAGACCTGGTCAAGGAATAAAGCGCACGTCAGTCAAGACTCCCTAAAGATATATCCATGCACTCCGAAGTTTCGCTCCCCCAGGTAATTATCTCCGAAACGCTAATCGAGGTGGTGGGTGTCCGTGGAGCCACGTGTGGGGGGAAATGGGGAAGCCGGGGACCCACAAACCGCGCGTGGTTACCTTCAGACGTCTATATAAACCGCATTGTGCTCTTTCCAACCTCTACACCCACGTCTCATGGCCCTCCAAACGTGACGGCTCTGGACTCATCTCAAACTCTCTCGGATAATCAGCGCACATCAGCCTGCAACAGAGTTTATGGTGAGGCCAAAATCAAAGGTTTGGGGTTGGGACTTTCTCGGAGCGCGATTTAACCATGTCCCAAAGGGTTTACTGAGAGAGTAAACAGCATGTTGTTCAAGTGGCTGTAACATGGACCAAACAATGTTGCCTCCAACAGAGAGCAGCCACTGGGAACTTGCTGGCGATGCAGACTTTTACCCTCTCGTCCTCCTGGCTTCACACCCGCCATTCCCCCGTCACGTGACCGGGGCGACGGGGCGACTTGTTCGGTTTTAACCCGCTGACTCAGCCCATGGTCTGTCGCCTAATCTGAAAGACCAAAATATTTGGGTGATGAGCAATGAGTGGACACACGCTTGCAATGGGCAGCCTGAAACATGCATGATCTGCTCCTCCGCATAGACACGACCGAGTCTAAGCAGGGACCAATCGTGGAGTATGGAATTCAACGGCCCAAGTCCGGAAAAGTGAGTTGCATTCAATGGACTGCCGACTCTTGACTTGTATGAGTCGGCGGTTTTGGTATGAGACAAAATCTTGAAGATACCATTTAAGAACTAGTTGGGGTTCGAACGAACTATCTGGCAGTTCCTTTTCTGCTGAGATTGGACTATTCTGATACAAGTGCCGGTAGCTACTTTTACTGGTACTTGTACTGGTCCCAGTGTGAGAGCAGCAGCACTGTTGCTACTCCCAACACCGCTCCGAGACGATGATTTCATAGCATGTCGAGGGTTAGTCTGGGTTGATATCTCTTGCCGTGACCCTATGTATCGCACTGCAGTCAAAGTACATCCTTGCGCTCTTCAATCGCAGATTGATTGTAGCCTATAGCTGGTGGTTATAGGTGGGGTATCAATTGTCAAGCGGCAGTGGTCTTGTTTGAAAAACAAGAGCGAAGAGATGTGGTTTTGGAGGGTTCCGGACAGGGGCTTGACGTGTGGTTTCGAGAGGGCTGTTTGCAGAGCTCCTTCCCTTGGTCTCGCGCATGACTTGTCTCCCTCCTCAATCACTCTTTGCTTACACATCTCAGCTCTCCCATTGTCAGCGTTAACCTCTGGCAAGGTTTAGTGCAGATGGCACGCTACCGGTCGGCACTAGGTAGTAGTGGGACTAAACGGAGGTATGAACGGACACTAACCACTGTGCAAACAAGCCATTTTCTCGGAGACAGCATCAGACCAGAGGGGGTGAAGCAAACGGCTTTGCAAAGGCCCACTTTGGGGGTCTTGGGGACAATCTGTCCATCTTACACGCTCGTCCAGGATAGACTATTAGGCTATTTCAGCGATGGTATTTTAATTCCGACGCGCAGATACGAGGGCTTGAGAGGGACGAGGCTTTCACTGTACATACTGCACTTGAAGGCCGTGTGTGGGAAGAGCCAGGCCTGGAGCTAGTGTTGCATGACAAGATTGAAAGAGAAAAATAGAAGAACAGAGAACAGAGCGTCTTGCCCGTTGAGCACACAAAAAAGACGTTCTCGATCCCCGAACCTCCAGCCGAAACAGCCAAGACAAGAACCACGGCTATCCTCCTCCTAAGTTTATCTCCGGAGAGCTTGTGTCTATCCCAAGCCGTACCATGAAGGACGAAAAGCAATTGTTGAAAGATGTCTGGGGCAAGCGGACTAAATGCCTCAGTCTAGGGGCTGTTTGTACCAGTTTCCCGGCCCTCAGAGGACCAAAAGGGGCTAACTGCCAGTTTTCCGCTATTTTTTTTCCCACGTATTGGAGGGTTCCCTCTCTTAGCTGCGCCATAACAGCACCGCTATAGCTGACTAGTCTAGGGGTCGACCTAAAAAAAACATTAAAACATAGATCCGCTGTTTATATACTGCGGCGGAAGCCAACAGGACGTGTATCCGCTATATCCACCATGTCTCAACTGCCCCCCTCCCCTGGATCTGACATTGTGCCTATGGCTGCCACCGTGGAGCTGGAAAAGGAAAAGGAAGACGCCTCTGAGGAAGACGCCTTCAAGTCGGAAAAGTCTGAGCCGGAGGAGACTACCGAGCCTGTTCCCAACCCCATGGCCGGCTTGCCTCCACCAGATGTGGGACTCAAGGCCTGGCTGGCCTGTCTGGGAGCTTTCTGTGGCATCTACGCCTCCTTTGGATACATTAACGTAGTCGGCATGTTCGAAGCCTTCTATCTCACTAACCAGCTCAGCAACTATTCTGCATCGACCGTTTCATGGATCACCTCCCTGCAAATCTTCCTTCTGGTGGCTGGAGGTCTGCTGTTTGGCCCCGTTGCCGAGCGATATGGACCCCGATACCTTGCCGGCGTGGGAACCTGTTTCGTCGTTCTCGGAGTCTTCACCACCTCTGCATCTACAAAGTACTGGCACTTTCTGCTTGCCCAGGGTATCTGTACTTCGCTGGGAAACTCCATGCTGTACTACGCATCTCTTCTGGGTGTCTCCACCTGGTTCAAGGCCAAGCGAGGTTTCACCCTGGGTATTGCGGTTGCGGGCTCATCCATTGGAGGTCTGACTATGCCCTTCATGTTCTCCGAGCTCGAGCCTCGAATCGGCTTCCCCTGGACCGTGCGAGCCATTGGTTTTGTTCTGCTGGGCATGGCGCTCATATGCACCGTCACCATCTCTTCTCGAATCCCCGCTAACCCCAAACTGCCTCTTCTGGACATCAAGAAGGATCTGATTGCGCCCTACAAAAATATGCACATCTGGCTGCTGACCGCTGGCATCTTCATGACCTTCTGGGGCTTGTTTGTGCCCATTGGATACATGTCTGTCCAGGGCCAGAGCAACGGCATGTCTCCCCGAGTCTCCTTCTACCTGATTTCCATTTATAATGGCTGCTCCGTGGTAGGACGAATTCTTCCTGGAATCATTGCTGACCACGTTGGAGGCTTTAACATGCACGCCTTCTGCACCATTCTGTGCTCCGTCTTCATCTTCGCGCTGTGGATTCCAGCACGAACCAACCCTCCCATCATCGCCTTTTCCGCTGTCTTCGGTATCATTTCAGGCTCTTCCATCTCCCTGTTCCCTGCCCTGGTCGGTATGGTGACTCCTGTCGCTGAGGTTGGCCGACGACTAGGCATGGTCTCCTTCTTCGTCGCCTTTGCCTGTCTGACCTGTATGCCCATCGCTGGTCAGATTCTGCTCAAGGACAACGGTTCGTTTGACGGCTGCCAGGCCTGGGCCGGAGTGTTCATGTTCTGTGGAGGTGTCACCATCTTCATCACGAAACTAACCATTCCCGGAAAGACTTGGAAGTCTCGATTTTAGCATGGCAATGAGAAGGACAGCAGATTGAACGGCACTGGTAGTTCCAGGCTGCTCAATCTTGCACAAGGATAATAGATGCTATACTCGGCGGAGCTAGCAGGTAGAATAATAATAAAAGATCATGATACCTACAAGTACAAGTAGCAAATTGAATGTACAGTGGTGAAGAGATGGAGACTGTCGTATATATAGTACAAGTACTTACAAGTGCACCTATCTACAAGTAGTGACAGCAAAATCACCCACTGACTCACTTACTCTTCAGTCCGCCTTACAGAGTATGTACAGTACATATATACCGTATCTTTCCGCGTGAACAATGTCACAGTAAATACAAGGGTATGATACAAGTAGACAGTCGCCAGTAAACGGAATGGAACTACACCTCGGTAACCCAGATTAACCCTGAGATATATACAACTTCTTCTGCAGGGTGCACTATTAAGTCTGGACATACTTTCTTGTACAATACTGCCATCATTCAGTCCATTAATACGCCCCCACTAGCACTTACTCAACCACTCAACGCTCTCTGTTACTGGCCAATACATGCTACCGTACACTAACGCAACCGCTTAGTGTATTTCCTTAGTTGTCGCAGTAGTGAAAAGGACTACTCTGTGATTCTGGAACCTGGCCAACATCCGGCAACAGCCTGAGAATGTGGTATAGAGCACGATCCTTTAGTTGGTATTTGCTATGGTATTGAACGAGCGACAGTATCATTCTGGACCCATCTTGGGGACAGGCCGTTCTCAGCTGGCTCATTGTATGTACAAGTACGTCGCTAGATGAAGTCCTACCCATTTTCCAGTAGCCCTTCTCAAACTTATATCCATCCCTATGCCCGTGTTTACTCACATGGCCGTGGTCCCCACACTTTCTGCTCCAGCAACCTCGCGTAAAGGGTCAGCTGAAACAGGTTTATCGTTAGAGTCGAAATGAAGCTCGTGGATTAGAGGTCGAGACAACCATCACGCGTCGAAGAGAGGCTGAGGTTTGGTCCGACCCCACCGTTCCTCTGTCGGCTTTCATTCTCCAACCAATGTAAACTTGACCCGATTCCCACCACATGTCACGTGCAGATCAGTCCTAGCCTCTATAACAAGCATCTGGTGCTTCCTGTGAAATCTTCCCTCGCTATTTGCTCTCACTTGCCCACCATCCTTGCTCATCTTGCCTGGTGGAATGTACAGTCGGTACGCACTTCAAGGTTTCATTAAAGCAGGTTAAACCACAGCTAACCTTGTGTTTAATGATGCGGTGAGAATGTGCACCAAGTATACATGACGAATATCTGAAGTGCCACAACGGACCTAACAATGTCTGGCGACAACAAAAAATAGGCAGCACAAACGAGGTCATCACGACTGACTAAGCACACTAATGACCCTTCAGATACAACCCCACTCAAGCTCCTCCAAACACTAATGCGCCGTGCGTCCCCACAGTACTCACCAAAGAGGAATAGTTACTGGGGTTTGTAGGTGTTTGAGCTAGAGTCTTACCCCTGGGAGAGCTTCGACGGTGCGTCTGCTACAGTACGAGTACAAGTGCGTCTGCTGCATAGTGTCTAAAAGAAAACGACAGATGAATTGACCGCCAGCGCGAGAACATGTTTTTTATGTTTTTTAGTGGATCGGTCCAATTTCACAAAGAATGACGTCTGACACATGTCGCCAAGTGTGTCTGCTGCACCTGCGATGGGGTTAGAGAACAAGGAACGACGGACAAGCGACCTCTCGTACTCGTACTCGAACATACAATGTTCCGAACACGCGCGGAATCTGTGCCTCTTTTGTCTCTCTCTGTTGTCAGTCGTGTCTCCCATATGACCAAATCTGAGTTGATAGTGAGCGACACCTGGAGCTTACGCTTTTCGAGCTTAGTCGAAATACAGGTTTTTCTCGACACGCTAGACTGAGCTTGTTTCACAGCCAGTGCGGAATGTAATAAAGAGCCATCTTGTGTGGTCGAGATAGAGGTACAGTAAAATGCAGAAAAAGAAAACCGTCAACGAGGTCGAAAAGGGCAATCTGGGCGGACCCCCTCGGAATAGGGCCGGGCTGCAGAAGGGTCGGAAAAACGGCTTCTTCTTCGGATAATTGATCCGACAGCTTCCTCCAGTGTTCGGTGGTCCCTGGAGCAGCACATTGTGCAGCCCAAGTGCACGTCTGCAGAGTTGTGCTTTCCCTATCGGCTTCTTTCCGGCACGCCCAAGGAAATACGGCTGCTATATAAGTTGAAATTTGGAAACAGATGTGGTGAGATTTCGCAGCAGTCGTCTTTTAATCAGCTCCGTTCATTCAACCACAGCATTGGTGCAATTCGAAGAGCCGTAGGGTCTACAGTATGTACTGCTCATCTCTTGGATGTGCCACCGGAAGCATCGGACTCACCAAACTCACATCGATACCAATGACAATCTCTGATCTTGAGTTTGAACGTTGAGTATATCAGGTGATGTCACACATGACGGTAGGCCTATTCGGAGACCACGGCTGCAGTCGTCTCGGCTTGGGGAGTCGGCTGGTTGTTTCCAAAACATGTTGGGACCACTGCATCGCCATCTACAGCTCTGATCGCGTCCCAGATCGAGAAAAGGTTCCATTTAACGAAGCAGAGATATCTCAGCAAAAAGACAACCTCATGGCTTCCTTTACGCTTCCGTTGCATTTCCACATAGGGCTAATTCGGATGGCTTCCAAGGGTGCGGGAGCCCAAACTATACTGGTGGGCCACCTAGGATGGGGAAAGTAGCTACTTCTAGTGCGAGAGACGCGGCTGGAGCCGAGGTTGGTGCTAAACTGAGAGAATCGAAATTGAAATCAAATCTCGAACGCGACTTGGCCTTTCTGCCGCTGCTCTCGGGCCAGAGGCCCCCCAGCACACGCCGTTGTGGTCCTTGTAGTTGCTGCATTCAGGCTCTCCCATCACACAATCCACCATCCCAGCGTATCGAAAGGCAAATTAAATGCCGCATGCGTTGGTGAAACAGCTGGGAATACGGTCTCACGGAAGCACGGCGACTGAACTGCTGTGCTGGAGGAGAGGTGCTGACCGAGTGCTGGTGTGGATGTCTTGTCTGCCAGCCTCGATCTCACATCTGTGGCGTGCACCACGCATGTCGTATATACTGTTGCAATGGCCTGGCTCGTCTCACGGCTTCTGCAGAAAGTCGACCTTTGGACTAGCAAACATGATATTCAAGACTGCACCATAGTGGCACTTGTATCCTAACTAGTGCGTTGAGGAAGACACTGTGTAGTCTCTGTCTTTGCACACCCGGGCCGATAGCCGATGAGGCTCGCTCGCTCTCCCTCTCTCGCTCTCGATGGTGGATGTGAGCCAACGGCGACCGGCGAGTTTGGCGACACAGCCTCGGCCTCGTGTGCCAGCCCAACTCAACTCTACCTGCTTTCATTTATCTGAACGGTAAAGGGCGAAATGAAAAAAGAGCAAAACGGAATACAACAAAAGGTCCGGTCGCTACTTACCGCTTAAAGGGCTCCTTGCAGCCCTCATGTGCACTTGACTTTGCGGTAAAAGTTTGCGCTTGAAAACAGAGCTACATGTGCCAGGTGCTGGGTAGGGGGGTGGCAATGTAGCGTGCCGAGACGTGGGTCGGTTCTAATGGCGTGCACGCTCCCCGCGGTGACCGCGTGTGGATGTCTGTGTGACCTTCCTTTCTCTTTCTTCCATTTCCATGCGAAAATCGTAGCTTTATCAGCCGTCCTATACCTCTTTCTGGTGTTACAGTGGTTAACCTTGAGTGCTCGACATTGTCTCTTGTATTTTGTTTGTTTTAAACTCAGCATGTCATAAATAGCGCACAAAAAAGGTGTTAGCGACAGGTCTTAGATACGAGCGTGTGGTTGTGAGTGTGAAGGGGCTAGCCGCCCGTTCGACTTATTTTTTTGGACGCAAAAGCAACACACGCACATCCTGCGGAAACCTGGGAATCTCCCCGTGCCCCCCACGGCCACCCAGTCACCCCATTTATACCCACCTTACTTTGGGTCAAGAAAAGATCGACAGAGTTTTGCTCTCTCAAACTTACCCCGCTGCTTTACGCTAATTTAGATTAGCGCATGTGCAGTCGAGTCGAGACCGTTTGGTCTACGTCATGATCGTGACTTGACTTGTCGATAATTGCACCACCGTCTCTTGCAACACAAAACCTCGCCCATACCTCTCCTGGCGTTAGTCGTGCCCCGCACCCGCAGCATCCATGAACGACTTTGAAGACGACCAGAAACATAAGGCAAGAACCGAGCCCTCGGGCCAGCCGCCCAAGAAACGGTCAAGAGTCACATTTTCGTGTCTTATTTGCCGTAAACGAAAGATGAAGTGCGACCGCAATCTGCCGTGCTCCACCTGCAAGGCCGCCAACGCCGCCCATCTCTGTCGCTATGACATGAACCGCAGCGCGTCGCCCCAGGACAGAGACATGCCCATCCCCAGCGACGAGTCCATGGTGGCACCAACGAGCGCTCCTGGAGGAGGAAGCGCGGCCAACTCGGGCTCCAAGAAGCCCCGTGGCCGGCCCAAGAAGTCTGTCGCCGAGCTCACCAAGATGCACCAGCAACTGCTGGAACAGAACGAGCTCAAGGGCGAGACCAAAGAGCTGAAGGACGTGGTCAAGCAGGAGTTCCAGTCTCTTCCTCCCCAGCAACAGCAACACATCCCCCAACAGCAGCAGCAGCAGCAGCACCAACAGCAACAAACCATGCGACATGTCCCCCAGCAACAGCAACAGCACATGCCCCAGCAAGCACATCAACAACAGCAGTTCCACGCGCTCAACCAACATCAACACCAGCACCTGCAACAGCAGCACCACGCTCAGCAGCATCACAAGCCCAACGGCCTAACCATCAATACAAACGACCCTGCTACGCCCGTCAACCAAGCGGTGCGAAAATCGTCCGCAGCCTCAGCCACTCCGGGCAGAACGCCCCCCAACGAAAACTCGCCTCGACGTGGATCGGCCAAGAAACACCTGCCGCCGATCGGAGATACGCCCTCACCGTCCATGTCGTCGCCGTCCTCCGCATTCAAATCGTCGGCTGACATGCTGCACCAGGTGGTCACCCGGACCGCCACAGACACCAAATATATTGGCATTTCGTCGAAATTCTCGCTGTGCATGAAGCCCGCGCGCCAGCAGTTGTTTGGACCCTTCTCGTCCATGTCCTTCTTTTCGGAAAACGAGCACCTGCAGCGGTTCTCCAAACAGGTGTACGAGGCCAAGAAACAAAACTACATCAAGGACAAGAACGCACCTGTGCTTATGCGCCACAAAAACATATTTACCGACTTGCCGCAAAAGTACCGGGTCGGCCGAGGCTCGTTTGTAGGGGCTGGCAGCCATTACGGAGGCACCAGTGCGCCGGGAAGCACAAACAGCCACGCCAATGGCGGCGGTGCTTTCAATGCGGCTGCGTCGCCCATGGACAAGACTCCGGCCTCCACCTCGTCATCTTGCTCGACCATGGACTGTGGAGACATTTCCAAGTCTTTCCCATTTGACTCGCCGAACGGTATCTACGAGGTACTGGAGCTAGTCCCTCCCAAGCCCCTGACGTACTTTCTGGTCGACAAGTATATGAACTCGGTCAACCGGTTCTTCTACACGGTCATTCCCAAATCCTTCTACGAGTGTCTCGACGAGTTTTTCATCCAGAAGCAGCGCATTCTGAACCGAGAGATCCCCGCCACTGTCAAGACTGTCGATCTGCGACAGGTGGCCCAGATTTTGCTGATTCTGCGTCTGGCTCGAATTACGCTCCCTTTTGACTGGGTGGTTCCCGAGTACCTGGTAGGTGGCAACTCTAACAGCACAACTGGCGGTTCAAACAATGACGGCTCCTCCGCCTCGTCTCCTCCTGCCTCGGCAGACACCTCGGACGTGTACCTTGGAGCCGGGCTTTCTCAGATTGCCGAAAACTGCCTCAACCACATCGGCTATCTGCGAAAGGCCAACCTGCGGGTACTCCAGGTGCTATGTTTGCTCAAAATCACGGCCATGTGCGATCCCGACGCCGGCGACTCGGCCGACGGCTGCGACTCGTGCAACCTCACCGGTCTGATCATCCAGATCTCAATCTCTATGGGGCTGCATATGGACCCCAGCCACTTCTCCAAGGTGTCCCCAACCATTGCTCATCTGTGGAGAATGCTGTTTGGTTTCATTGTCACTCTGGACGCCCATCGATCCATGGAGCTGGCTCTGCCTCCCTCTCTGCCTCTGGAGTGTTCGGATACCGACATTCTGTTCGAGCGACACTCTCTGCCCGATGACCTGCTGTCACCCGGCGAGGAGCAGCACATTTACCATCGACGAAAGCAGCTGCGATGGGCCTTCATTTCTCTAGATGTGGTTCGGGGACTGCTGCGAACAACAGTGCATGTTACTCCCGATGGAATGGGCACCTCTCCACAGGCCATGGGCAAGGAGTACTTCGATGCCATTGAGCGCAAGCTGGAAGCATTTGAGAACGACATGAACCCTTACTACGAGGAGATCCTGTCGGCTCTACAGGCACCCGAGTCCCGAGACAGCGACTACCGCACCGTGGACGGCCATGCTGCCGCCCAGCGGCTGTCTCTGTACATGACACTAGTGCGTCTCCGTCTTGGCTACTACCTGTGTGCCGGCAACTTTATGGACGCCGCCGAGGTCAAGACCAAGGTGGTTACGTGTGCTCTTAAGATGTGCGATATCATGCAGGCTGCTATGGAGCGACCTCATCTCTTCTCTGGGTTCATGTGGTATGTGCATTTCGTCAACCTGCGAAACTTCACCTTCTCGTTTGGTACTTGCATTTCTGCATACCTGAACGAGATCAACACTCGACGAGCCGAGCGCGACATGCCCATCATTACTCCTGCCGTCAACCGAAAGTACAATGACATGACGTTTGACTATTCGCCCGACAAGATCCGAGATCCCAAGCGGTTGATTCAGGCTGCCATCAGAACTCACCGATGGGTCCGATCTCTTTCGCAGCGGTACTATGTTGCCTGGAAGTGTCATGCCGTCATTGTCGGTCTTCTTCGAGGTGCTCGTCTGGAGGTTCTCGCCCAGTACATTGACGCTCAAGAGTACAAGCGGCTGGAGAAGGAGGGCCACCGGGACAACACGTTTGTGGGTCCTTACGCGCCTCAAATGCGAGAGCCCACAACCATGTCGGTTACCAAAAACGACTGGGGTCGAGACATCACGTCGGAGAACTACGACCGAGAGCAGAGCGAACTTCGAGCTGCCGAGGAGCGTGCCAACCGCCAAGGTCAAGGCCCGGAGTCTATGTCTGCTCCTGCAGCGCAGTCTCAGGACCAGATTGGCCAGGGCAACCAGCAGCAGCAGATGGAGTGGCAGGGTGACAACAACATGTTTCAGAACAACGGTCTGATGGAGCCTCCCTTTCTAGAGGACCCGATCATTGACGACCCCACCTTTGATACCCTGGGCTCGACTCTGGGGCTTCCGTCGCTTATTGCCGAAGAGTGGGCCAACATTGAGGACTCGCTCTTTGATGATCTTAACTCGTCGCGGTTCTACATGTCCATGGACCAGAATTTTAACAACACCTCCACCGCCACTGACAACTATGAGGTAACTTCGCCCTCCAGATAGTCGGATTCTTCTAGTTGATTGGTGGTTATTTATTTGTACAGTAATGTGATAATAGACAATTGAACATGTTATTGTATTGTATACACTTGTAGCTACTGTAGTGTAGAAACTGACGATCACTGTTTCGTAATAGACTACGTTTTAAGCAGTCAGTTATTGATGATGGGTACTTCCAAAGAGGTATAGTAATGGACCTCATTAATTGGTGGTTAAGAGAAATCAAATGCCTCATTATTCAAGTGCAGCACCCACTGATAGCCAAGACATTGAAGCTATTAATCGTCATGTAAACCCTGGCGTGAAAGGCTCTCCAGCCCCCCGGCTATCGATACATGTCCGTTAAAATCCGTCCTTGTATTTAGTTTCATTTTATCGACGACATTTGCGCGCATGCGCTATCTAAAGGCTACAAGCACAGTATATACGAGTACAAGCAGCTGCAATCCAGTATACAGTCGGCACAACCTTCACGTGTGAGCGGGCTGAACCGGTGGAGACAGCTGCTGAAAAGTGGAGCGAGTGCAGAGACTTTGGCCGCCGGTGGCGATAGTGAATTATGTGCAGCTACACTGTGTGCACGGCCCGTACGGGGAGACCGTATACCTTGCCTGTGAGCGATTTACACATGCAGTGAGATAACACTGGCGGAAGTACGAGCTGTATGGAAGACAAGCTAACTGGTAGCTACCAGTACGTAGTACGAGTACTTGTAGCGATTAGCTGAAACAGCCAAGTGAATTGAAGTAAAACCACGTGTCAAACAACCCCCTGGTCAAACAGTTTTACCCCCACGTTTCCAACACATCTTATACAGAAAGCTCAAAGTTGCACGTTCCGGACGAGCCGATGCACGTTAATCGGCCAATGGTGATCCAGAGCCGTGGACGTTTGGGTTGTGTGGAGATGTCAGCTGGGGATGGAAGTGAGCTTGTGCCATGAGCTTGATAATTGTGCAATGCGTGGTTTACGACGGTTCGGTAGTTATCGACTAATTGGGCGGTTGCCGTTGGACTGATCTAGTGGTTGGTGATAATCAAGGTAGTCATGTCAAGATGAGAAAATTTTTGGAAGTGCAGGTAGAAAGGGCAAGCTCGATTGTACATGATGTAATCGTTCAATGGCTTGTCGAACCAACGAGCCCACTGTACAGCCAACAGCTACCTCACATCTGTTCACTCGCCAGCCTCTTGTACAGTCCTTACCTCATACAAGCACCATATACGTGTAGACATGCTACAAGCACGGAACAAAAGAGGCAATCAGTGGTATCCTGTATAAGGACAGGTACAGTATACAGGCACAGTGAGTATCCTTTATCATTACAGTATATACAGTACAAATACCATAGATGTTTACGATCCATAAGAAGCTATGCCGTTGCATCTCACACCGTATGTTTTTTATCCTCCCTTTCGGTATCTTCCCCGAAGTCGACTTTTGTATATGCCGAAGAAACCCAGAACACGACAGTTCCTTGTCCTCTGCTTCCTTTTTCATTCCACCGATCCCTGACCCTATCTCTTCCCTCCTTCCCCTGAAAGCTACAGTTGTCATGTATCTCTGTAACACCTATATATAGATGCCGTAACAGTCTGCCGAAATACGAACGTTTCACAGCTTGACATTACGAGCCTCACTCCTACCACAGTTTCATTTTCATTTTCAATGTTCCATTCCCATAAATATCTATATATCCTTGACGTGTACACATCATGCCGAGACTTCCTATCTCAATCCTTCTCTTCTCTCCTTCTTAATTGTCCTCATCCTTCATTATGCTGATTCCAATAACTAACTGCTTCGGGTTTTGGGAGCAAGCCATTCGTCGGTGTCGAACCATCGCTTCTTGTGCTGTGTGTTGGCTTGGTCCGAGTGGTGTTCCACGGTGGGCATGGGGCTAGGAGTGGCTCGGCTCTTGGCCGAAGCGGCGTACCATCCAAGAGCAGAAGGGTAGGGCGCAGGAGGAGCCATGTTGGTGGCAGAGCCTCGAGAGTACGACCAACCAGGAGTATCGGTGGAAGTACATTTGGGAGGAGGTGCAAAGCTCAGGAAAGGTGTGTAGCTGGAGGTGGGGAACCGCTGAGACATGCTCTTAGCGGTGATGGTAGAGCCAGGCTGCATCTGCATGGGAGCGTACTTGATGGTTCCGGATTGCTCGCCGTAGGGCACGGTATGGGAGGCCATCAGGTCACCCTGGGCCTTCTCAGACAAGTCGGAAATTTGCTTAGCAGGGGGTTGTCCGGGGTCTTCTTGAAGAGCCTTGGTGGCGCCAGAAAGGCCGGTCATCTCAAACCAGTTGGTGTAGTGGATGGTGTAACCTCCGTTGGCCAGCAACGCGTACAGCTGAATGGTGTAGTAACCGTTTCCGCCGGCAGAGGCAGGGATAGTAACCGACACCGAGTCGGAGTCGGGAGTAATACCGTCCTTGAGCTTGAGACCCTGCGGGTTGAGGTCTGTGTTACTGGTTCCGGTGACCAGGGTCACTGTGATGCCCTTGAGGTCGTCCAGAGGCGGCTTGTCTCCGTCGTCTTCCCACGACACTTTGATAGTGTCACCGGCCTTGAAAGACTGGCCGAGTTTAGGAGATGTGATGGAGATGTCGGCGACGACAAAAGTCGCCAGCCAGAGCAGCACGAGCTGGGGCAGAAGGTGCAGCATTATGGATTAGTTGTGTGTGTTCTTGGTCGTTGTTTTCCGTGATGTTAAGAGTGGTTTATGATCGTGTCACAAGAGGTGTCTGTGAGCTGAGATCTATTTTTGGAAACGGCGACGGAATACTAGCGAGCGTGGAGGCCGTGGTCGTGTCGAGGTCGAGAGCAGTGTTGGACGAGCAAGCTGAGGGTCGGAGTAGCTTGGTTCACCGCGGATTCGAAAAAAAAAAACGGTCGTTGCTGATACAATACAAGAACAAGTAGACGTCTATTTTCAAGTTTGCATTTTCTGGCTTTGCTAAGTTGACGAGGCGGTGTCCAGAACTTTAAAACCACATTAGAGTTTCTGGTCCGAAACCAGAAGGGCTCTTTGGTGTAGGTATCGTAGCAATGAGGAGTTTGGGGTGATCGAGCGGGGATTTGAGAAGGCACCACCCAAGTTCGTGGTCACGTGATTAATCCAGCGACTTTCCCGCCTCTTTTTGGTCCCCGAAACACCCTCTTCGGCCCCCTTGAGAAAATGTCACAGTACGCTGCAACATGCGCATAAATCCACCTGTTCACATTACATGAACTATTGCTTGGCTACCCTTTTGGTAAGCAATGAGCTAACCGAGAGACACGGAAGAGGGAGGGGGGTCCTTTTTAGAGCCGCTAAAATAAATGGCGCGCTGGTAAAGTGTCCACTTTTGGTCTTTATGGAGCAATGGCACGTGCTCTGATATAGATCCATTGCAATTCTGCGATCCAGCGGACGTGCCATACATCAATTCCATATCTCGATCACCTCGCAAGTCACTCTATTTACACATGGAATGTGTGTTTAAATTCTGGAAAAAACAGGCCCACAGGCTGAGTTGGAAAAACAGGGATAAGCAAACAAGGTTGGCTGGCTCTCCCAACACAGCAAATATGAGTGGATGTCAGACACAGTGGAATGAGAAAACAGCATACAGCCTACATGGTCAGGGGTTTGAGGTGATATGGAAGAAGATCAGAGATACTCCCGGAGGATTTGACAGTACCCTATAAGCAAGCTGTTCACGTCATCTACCCTCGCGCCTATATACAACCCCAACTATTGGTTGTTGACATGGCTTCACAAGCTCCGAACTGTATTTACGCACTGCGAGATTCGTGTAAAATGAAATGCGCTTGTACTAACGTGATCTACGCGTGGCGCGGGGTTTGGTCGAGCTGAGGATTGATTGGCGCTGGATTCCGAGGCTGTATTTCAAGTCACGTGGGCTGAGAGAGAACGAGGCGAGATAACTGAAGCAGAAACACTACAAGTACAGTACTTGTAGTTAGTGTCTGGCGTTTCCCTTCGTACTGAAAACACTTACACACCCTACAATGACATCATGATCACCAAGAGTGATTGGTTCCGTGGAGATTTAGATATTTGAGATGCAAGAGTGTCGTCGGCTCCGGTGGCTTAGCTGCGCTACAGGTACTGTACATACTGTACTCGTACTTGTACCAGCTTGACATAGCTGGCACGTTCCAGTATATGATAGTGGAACCACTTGTTAGGTATATTGGTTGAATTTTAGTAAGCGGGATCAATTCAGCTGACCAATTGGTACTCAATGTATTTTACAGCCTATCTCCAGCATGTCTGGAACCCATGCTGTATCATACTCCTTCATGTTTCTGATCTCTACAATACTGTAACAAAGTTCCACTTTTTTTGGCCAACTCTTTTCCCAAATTCTTAGCATACATCTCACTTATGGATCTCATCCCCATTTAAGTGACAAACCCACAATCTCAACAGGCAATTATATTCAATAGGCGCTTTATATTATTAATACCTGGAAAAAACACACGTGACCTAATCCTCTTCCAGGGCTCCGCTAATTGTCGCCCTCCTTAGTCATATGCTCTGCTCATACACACTGTCATTTAAGGTTTCGAGAATCCAACTTTTCACCCAGATTTCAACATCTCAGTTAGGATCTAACACAACTACACACAACCTCACTCACCATGTTGTACCTCAAGTCTCTGATCAACTGCATCGACAACTCTGGTGCTCTGCTGGTCGAGTGCATCAAGGTGCTGCGAAAGTCACCCAAGAACTACGCCGGTGTCGGCGACAAGATTGTTTGTGTCGTCAAGCGGGCCCGACCCATTCCTAACGGCTCTTCCATCACCCAGAAGGCCCGAAAGGGTGAAATCAAGCGGGCTGTCATTGTGCGAACCAAGAAGGAGATCCGACGACCCGACGGCTCCTACATCCAGTTTGATGACAACGCCTGTGTGCTGATCAACGACGCCAACGAGCCCGTGGGTAACCGACTCAACGGAGTCGTTGCCAAGGAGGTGCGAGAGCGAGGCTTCACCAAGGTCGCTTCTCTAGCTCCCCGAGTCTTGTAATCTGTGCTTACCGTACCCGTACCGTAACCATGGCTTGTATATAGTATTTAAATGTTTGGTATTCACAAGCTGTAGTGTGGGATGGGTAGCTTGGAAACAAGGAGTGGTTGTAGTGCGAGTACAAGTAAGCCCAAGAAAGTAATTTATCAATGATTATAGATAATGAATGAATGTTGTCACAGATGTAGTTACAGCACTCGTACGAATACTTGTACCGTATGTACTTGTTCTGTGGGGATAGAGCTTGCCTCCATCGCTCTTACTTCATCACTATCTTACTTCGTCACTATTGTACTCCATCATAGATTCAGCCATCCAGAAATAACATGTCAAAGTGCTATTTCGAGATAAGGAGCAACTCTTGTTTGTATCAACTTGAGGTTCCGTTCTAGAAGACGGTCTTTGATCAAGTAGAGAATCCCATAGCTATCGTCGTATGCCCTCAAAATGTCATCTCCACCCCATACCAACCAACGTCAGACCTCCTCCATTTTATGAGACAAAGTCTCACACGCCCTTCCCAATCCCCTGTGTTACAGCTCAACTTGGTCTCCGCCACCTATCCCTCCACCGCCTACGCCTCCACACAGATGCTCACGTCAAAACATAAATAATCCATTAACGAACCAATAATATACAACCCTCGAATAATCCCCTCTAAGACCGGAAAATGTTGTTGCAGTTGTTGCAGACAAAAAACAGAATCATGGTGGTCTCCGCACGCTTCTGTTGCGACTGGAAGAAGACCACATCGTGCTCGTGACACTTGGGACACTCCTTGTCGGATCGAGGCAGAGTGGGATCTGCTCCAATACCGGTTGTCACTCCGGCCGTCTCCTCAATGTTGGTGATCAGCTGATGCTTGAACACCAGAGGAGTGGATGCAAACTCCGTGTACGGACAGTTTCGGCATGCAAACAGCAGCTTTCTATCCTCCTTATCCTCTCTCGGATAGAGCATGTTGTTGCTGGGTTAGCGCTGGTCCTCGATCATTCTCGTCCTCTCGTTCTCTTGTTCTCTCTGATCACTCACCACTCGAGACAAAATCGCGACGTCATTTTGGTTCCGTCTTGTTCCACACACTGAGCTGTCGTCTGCTGTGTGTTTTTCAAAGCCCAGTGAAGATGGTGTTCTGCAGCTCTATGGCAAACTCTAAATGTGCGCACGAGTCTATTCTTCCCGTCTCTAATCCCTCCCTCTGACTACAAGTATAGTGATTGGGAGGTTTGGGACACCACAGTACAAGAGCAAGGCCGGGTAACCCTCCGTCACGCACCCTGAAAATTTGAAAACTCACCTACAGCAGCGTCTACACTGAGTCCATCTCAACCCCATACAACCGCACAATGTCTGCTCTTCGAATGTCTCTTCGAGTTGCTCGAGTCGCCCGTGTGGCTCGAGTTGGTGTTCGGTGAGTATTAATTGCGAGATTCACTCCTTGATTGTTTTTCTCGACATTGAAATCAAGCCAGATCACCAGCCAGATCATGTCATCAACTCACAAAAGCACTGATCTGAAGACGAAACGCTTCAAAAAAACCCACCCAGCTCCAACTAACACAGATTCAACTCCACCGCCGCCCCCGTGGACCCCAAGATCACCGCTATTGTCGACCAGATTGCCCAGCTCAACCTGCTGGAAACCTCGTCTCTGGTGACCGAGCTCAAGAGCCGACTCAACATTCCCGATATCTCTTTCCCCGCCGCCGGAGCCGCCCCCGCCGCTGCACCTGCCGCTGCTGCCGAGGAGGCCGCCCCCGAGCCCGTCGAGGAGAAGACCATCTTCAACATCAAGCTGGAGTCATACGATGCCAAGGCCAAGCCTAAGGTGATCAAGGAGATCAAGACCCTGCTCGGTCTGTCTCTGGTCGACGCCAAGAAGATTGTTGACGCCGCCCCCAAGATGGTCAAGGAGTCCGTCCCCAAGGAGGATGCCGACAAGATCAAAAAGGTGCTTGAGGATCTCGGCGCCAAGATTACTCTTGAGTAAGTGTATATAGTAACTCATTTTGAACCAGACAAAATACGAGTGCGAACCACGAGTATTGGATGCTCTTCTGGCTGGAGAACTGGAACGTAGTTGGAGTAGTAGTAGTCGTTGTTGCCCTTATGGTACGGCTGTGATACGACAGAGTACTTTCAAGATGTAAAGCATGAAATACGACGAAGGAAATGTTTGCTTGACTGTTTAGATATGTTGACAATATCAATAGCCTTTCGGATAATCAGATATCGGTACTGAAGCAGTGTGATTTCCTTGACCTAATCACTTACTCATATGTTACGTTGATGACATGATCTGAATGCCAATGGGCAACAGTTTCATATCTTCCAGCTGAAACATCTCAATTGCATCTACAACCGTCTATAATCACCAGGTGGTTGTACATTACTAATAAATTATTCTACATGTTGGTATGAACGCCGTCATTGGATAGCTACGGCTAGGCATACCAGAGTCCCGTTTTTTTATCACCTCTTGATCTCGTTTTAAGCACCCACTACTCCTTCGTTAAAAGTCTGGGCTCATGCTCATGCTCTTCTGCCGTCTATTGTGGGCAGCAAGGCGTCTAGCGTAGCTAGGAGTTCCGAGTTCTGAGGGCGTGGCTGGAGTAACAGATCTCAACGACGACGACCGGGGCATCCGGGGAGTGGTCGGATGTTGTGGGGGGGGCTGCACGAATTGAGGAGCATACTGCTGTTGTTGAGACGGCGGTATCTGTTGTTGGGTGTAGGGACTCTGGTAGGGGCTGCTAGAGCTGTATCCCTGAGGACTAACAACACCAATGACACTTCTTCGGTTGGTTCTCTTGATGGCATGGATCTCTAGTTTCTTCTCGAGGATCTTGACGAAGGAGGAAAGAGCCACTAAATTGTTTGAGATGCCTTCTGAGAGGCCAGATTGGCCTGGTAAGTGGCACAGGGCAGTCATCTCCTCGTACATGGTATACAAGGACTCGTAGAGATCTGCATCCAAATTCTTCAATCGGTTCAGCGACATTTCAATGTCAATCATGTCCTCCGAGTGATCAAAGTTGGACATAGTGGACTGCCCAGTGTGTTGAGTTTGCAGAGGTTGTTGTATATGGGCTCTCTGATGCTCCATTTCCGACTCTATGGACTCGCACGATTCGCTGGACTCGTTTGATGCAAACGACGTGTCTCCATCTGCTCTGGAGACTCCCTCCTGTTCCGTTTCGGTGCCTGCCGAGTCTTCGGAGTTCTCATCATCTCCCTCCATCTCAGACTCCATGTTGAGACGTCTGATACGTTCTCTGAGAGCTCCTAACGCCGACCACGCCGAAGAGGGAGGCTCAATAGTCTCGGGCTCCAAATCACGCACGTCCCGCAACGTGGACGAGCGATGATGGCTCTTGTACGCTGGCTTACCACCTGCAGGGGACCCCGATCCAAGACCGCCCATGTATCCGTTGTTGAAGGCTGGAAATGAGTTGACGCTGGTCGAGTGGGTATGCGACGTGTGTGGACGACCTGCTGTCTGTGGTCTGTGCCCGTGAGATGTGTTTGGACGTGGTGCTCCTCCACCATACAGAGATGAGCTTCTGGACCGCGACATTTGGGTGTTTGCGAACGGGTTTTCTTCGCGGTCACCTGAACGGCTGCCGCGTCGGTTGGTTTTGTAGGGGAACATGTCAGGCCTAGTCGAGAGTTATGTCTGTGGCTGGGTATCGGTGTCTGTCTCTTAATGGCTTACCGTGGTGGAACGTTGAGTCAGAGTTGGTGTATGCAATGTATATCGTTGAGTTGTTAGTCGTTGAGTAGTTTGTTTCTCACGGACTGTCTGTGTCGTATCTCCTCTCAATTGGCAAATCCACTTCTGTTAGACTGGTGACCGTCTAGATCAAACCTGGCCATCAACGCGTCTTTCCTGTAATCGTGTGTGTTAAAGTTGATGTTGGCACCTGCAGGCTGTTTCACAGCATGTAGTCAGGGTCTATTCAACTGTCCAAATATCGACTTTCTCAGAAAATATTTGCATCCCAGGTATCTGGACGCGGTGTGTTGTTGAATACATCTTGTTCAAACGCCATTAAGTGCACAGAGACACCACGGGTCGCCTAATGACGCCCATAACCTCCTGGACTCACCCTTACAACTTAAAAACACTTGTGAAGGAGTGTTCTAATTTGGGTTAAGTAAACGTTATAACAGAATACTTGAGAAGTACTTGAACTTATTGCTACGTAAACGATCCTTAAAACTGCTCCAAAAATCAAAGAAAAAGCATGTGGAAAAAAAAAACATAGATATTTTGGTCCACTTTCAACATTTCCAAGTATATTCCTACCCTTCACTTCGTTCCTACATCCACCTTAAAGCCCCCTCAATATCACCACCACTTCCTATATGTAACCTTAAATCTCTTACCCTACCTGTTTTCATCACCAAATTTCCTAACCAAAATACTGCTTGAAACCGCACCTGATCTGACATATTCAGACCACACAACTAGCAAAATGTCGTCCAAACAGTTGGCAAAAAACCTCCGTCAGACCTACCAGAACATGACTGGAGTCGACAAGCAGATTTTCCAGCTCAACAAGGTCGTCACCGCTCCTGGAGCATACAAGCTGCCCGACAATGTCTCGGCTCTGAAGCTCCGTTTCAAGGACTCTGGTAACCGGTCTCAGACCAAGCTGTTCTGGACCCATTCGCTGCCCACTCTGCAGTTCTGGAACCCCTCCGTCGCCATGAGTGTGTCTCGAGTCCAGGCTCCTAAGGAGAAGTCCGTTGGACCTACCGTGACCATCACTCGAACTGATGGCTCCGAGGAAACCATTTCTATCGCCTCCATGTTCTGGGAGAAAATGGCCGAGACCATTGCTGAGGCTGCCGGAGCAACCCCCGTCTCCGCCGGCGAGCTCAAGAAGTACTCCATCCCCTTTGTCACCGACTACGACAAGAAGATGGAGCTGGCCAAGAAGACCCATCTGCGAGATGTGGCCTTTGCACAGAAGGTGGAGCTGCACAAGCAGCAGGAGGCAGACCGAGAGGCCCTGGAGCTGGCGGCCAAGGAAGAGGCCAAGGCCGCTGCCCAGAAGAAGAAGGACGCCATGATCAAGGCCCGAAAGGAGGGACGAGTTTACATTGAGGGAGAGGAGAACGAAGTTAAGGAGGCTGCTGTCGAGGTTGAGCAGAAGGTGACCGAGGAGGTGGCCGAAGATGGAGCCAAGATCGAGATCAAGGAGACCGAGGTCAAGATCGAGACCAAGAACTAGAAAGAGTAAATATGTGGATCTCTCGTGAACAGTAATGGCACGTGAGACGGTATATAGTTCCATTACATGATTTATTATGACACACCCATAGGTGTGAGCGTCGCGAGTGATTGTACACATACGGGTACTACTTGTAGCTACAAGTACAGCTGTTGGCACTTGTACATACTACACTATTGTCAGCCTAACATAATGCCAAGGGGGGGGGGTCGCTAATGCCAATAGTACAGCATTTTGGAGTTCGTGGGTAATTAGAGGTGCTGGGGATTCCGAGTGGTTTATGTATCGTTACGATATGTTCTTTATTGCTGTTTGAAGGGGGAACAGTTCAGGTTCTTGAAGGGGGTACAAGCAAGTACATCATCATACTTGAGCGGTAAATTTGGGCCTCGGTATGTAGTAATTAGGGCATTGGAAAGATCCTGTTAACTCGGGTTTACATTGCCAATGTGCACAAATCCTTTGCATTTTCCAACAAGTAATTTATATGAAAATGTCTCCATTATTTCCGTCACTCTTTCAACCACTTTCAGCTCTGCAGAAATGATGCAGCTTAATCTGGGTTCGAAAAATTATTTTGGATTAATTATTTCAAACTGATTTCACACCCCAGTTACCGACTTAAACACACACACAATGTCGTTCATGTTCCAGGTTGACGGATGGAATCTGTCCAACGATGTCAAGGCTGATAAGTTGACCAAGCGTCAGAAGGAAAAACGAGACCAGCAGGCCGAGCGAGGCGTCATGATGCGGGAGAAGCGAGAGCAGCGAGAGAAGGAGCGAGCTGATGACGAGAAGGCCGCCGAGGCTGATGCCAAGGCCAAGGCTGAGGCCGCTAAAGCTGCTGAGAAGGCTTCTGCTGCTGAGGATGCTGCTGATTCTGGCAAGAACAAAAAGAGCAAGAAGGACAAGAAGAAGGATAAGAAGGATAAGAAGGCCAAGGCTTCTGAGACTGAAGAGGCTTCCAAGCCAGCTGCTCCTCCTGCTGAAGCGTTCACACAGGCTCCTGCCGCCAAGCTGACACCTCTTCAGCTCAAGATGAAAGAGAAGCTGGCCGGATCGCGGTTCCGATGGATCAACGAGCAGCTGTATACTGTTCCCTCCGAAGAGGCTCTCAAAATGATTACCGACAACCCCGAGATTTTTGACGAGTATCATGCTGGATTCCGAAACCAGGTGCAGGGTTGGCCCGAGAACCCCGTGGACACCTTTGTCAAGCGGTTTACCGAGAGGCTCAACAAGCCTGTGTGTTCTCCTGGAGGGCTGCCTGCTCACAAGCGCGAGAACAAGATTGTGGTGGCCGATATGGGCTGTGGAGAGGCGCAGCTGGCGCTGGATCTGAGCAAGATCAACTTCAAGAAGAAGGGCGTCAACCCCCAGAACAAGAACCTGGTGGTCGAGACCCAGTCGTTTGATCTGAAGAAGGCCAACGAGCGAGTGACAGTGGCAGATGTGAAGAATGTGCCCATGGAAGACAACTCCGCTGACATTGTCGTCTTCTGTCTGGCTCTTATGGGAACCAACTTCCTGGACTTCATCAAGGAGGCCATGCGAATTCTGCGGCCCAATGGAGAGCTGTGGATCGCCGAGATTAAGTCTCGATTCACCGACGGCCAGACCGACGAGTTCATCAAGGTGCTCAAGAGCCTCAGCTTCTTCCACAAGCTCACAGACGACGAAAACACGCACTTTGTGCGGTTCGAGTTCTTCAAACCCACCCAAGAGATTCTCGCCCAACGAAAGAAGAAGGTGCCAAAGCGAAAGTTCATTGACTATGGAGATGAGGAGGAAAAGAAGGGACCCGAGGACGGCGAGCAGCTCGAGAAGAGACGAAAGAAGCAGGCTGAGGGCGAGTGGTTGCTCAAGCCTTGCATTTACAAGCGACGATAGAGAGACAGTACAAGTACCGGTAGCTTGATGGCTGTCAGTTAACTATATATAACAAAAACCAGAACAGTGGTAAACTACTATAATAGATTTGTATAAGTAATACTTTTTGTATCATCATCATCCTCCTCATCCTCATAATAATCATCATCATAGTCACTCTATTATTGAAACTATTGTTTTCTAGGAACTTTTAGACCTGCAAGTGTGTCTTAAGTGGTTGACAGAATGGTGTTGATCATCTCGTTGCCAATTCGAGTGGCTTCAGGGAACATGTGAGCAAAGTATTTTTGGGTGTCGTTGAACTCCTGCTCGTACAGTTTGTAGGAGCCGTAAGAAACGACCTTAGACCACGTTCGAGCAGCCACCACAAACTCCAGATCGTCGGGTCGGAAGTCCTGGTTAGTAATGGAGTGTTTGATGCACTGTTCGAGCAGTCCTGGAGTGCAAAAGACGTATTCAGTGACACCCAGCCAGATTCGGAACAGAGGTGTCGAGCAGATGACGTGGTCGTAGGGGTTGATCTTGAGTTTGTGCCACGAGTCGACAATGGACAGCAGTGACAGATGCGAGTTCGGCTTTTGTGTTTCTCCCAGGGGTTTGGTTCCGAGCGAAAACTTTTCGAGAATCTCATCGGACAGCAGCAGCGAGTGTTCCTTCTTGAGGCCTCCAAACACAAAGTCTCGGGCAGCCGTAAGGCGGTCAAGCAACTCCTGCTCCTTGCCTGTGATCATGAGTTTGTACAGATCGCCGGCACTGGATGCGTACTGCTGGATCTGAACCTTGGCAGCGGGGTTTGAGATGGCCAGACCGGCATAGACGTGCCATTTATTGGAGTAGATTCGCAGCGAGATGTTCATCTTTGCGTTTTCCAGACCTCCGATCCAACGGCTTATCTGCCAGGGGTACTGTCCGTTCGCCTGCCAGGCCTTGCCCATGGTCAGAAATGCGGCGTGAGTCACAGCCTGTGTGTCGGCAGTGATTTTGTCGTGTTGCTCTGCCGACAGGTAGACAATCTTGGACTTGAGTGACTCCAGCAGTGACTGCACAAACTCGAACTTCCACTCCTCGGTGTTTCTGTGTCGGATAATCACCAGAGGCATGCCCTCGGGGTTGACTTTGGGGCCGTGTAGTGAGTGGCACGAGATGATATCCACGTCAGAGGGCAGATGTGCCTCGAACGCAGCCATCTCGGGAGCCTTACAGGACGTTTGACCACCTACAATGGAACCGACCTTTGTAGAGGGACCGTAGATGCTGACAATCTTGCCGATATTCTCGGCCTCGACGCAGTAGAGAATGTAATCGCACTTTCGAGACACATAGTGGCCATTCTGGACGATTTCAATCTCCGAATCGGCAAATTCCTCCTTGAGCTTCTCATAGTGGGATTCCTGATCACAGGCCAGCACTTTCCAGCCCTGAGAGTTCCAGTGGTTAGCAAACAGACGGCCCATGTCGCCCATGCCAATCACACCCACTAGCTTGGTTTTCTTCCATTCCTCAATAGACATGTTGTAGAGCGTGGCGAAAGTACAATGTATCGTGTCGTAGAAATGGTGTTTCCGGATCTCCATATTGAGACTAAAACCTTATGCGGATAGTGAAACTCCGAGGTGGAATGGAGGTGAAGGTATAGGGGGCTTAAAACGTGGTATTTTAGAACTGAATTTTTAATTTCTGGATCTTGAATTGGTTGTGATTGAAATTTGACATTTCTATTTCTCATAACATATCTTTTACCCCTGTCATTGTCGAGTTTGTACTTTCCTAAAATCATTAACAAACTTTTAGCTTATGCTGAAGTATATTCAACTAAACGGACCACCTTGAACTTCCATCTACCACGGTGATCTGATTCGGAAGAAACTGAAACATAAGCCGAGGGGTTGACTGGTCTTTTTTTGTATGTAAATTACCTGTTGTTATTCAAACTCCTTTACCCAGTTACCCACTACATTTGTTCTCCTACTTCTCATGTCACTCCAAACACACGCGCAACTCTATTTGCACATCCGACATACGTGGTACAGCTCTCCATACCCACACCCGGAGGATAGACGTGGTTACACAGCAAGAGAGATGTACGACGAATGGGCATACATGGACGCGGCGAAGCCGGCTCCAAAGCCGGTAAGCCCGAAGAGATCACGTGCCAAAAGCATCATTCAGTCCGTGGCCGTGGAGAAGGTGGTCCAAGTGACCCAGACAGATGTGCTGGAGGTGCCTCCTTTGCGTCGACGGACACAGAGCGTCAATGTGGGCTCGCTGGAGAGACCCGAGGTTGAGAAACTGCGCACAGAATGGCCATTCTCGAGGAGAGAAGTGGAAGAGCTCTTTTCTCCTTCCGGAAACAGCTCCCTACAACAATCAGCATCGTCATCACAAGAAACAAACACGCCACAGCTCCAAAGGGCCACCACCATGTACATGCAGGCCACGTCGTACTCGCTGACGTGCTCCAAGCTGCTGGACCAGACTAACGACATCATTGGCTTGTTGGACACTCTGTCCGTTTCATTCCTCAAGGTGGAAAACGACACGGAGAAGTTCCAACGCGAATGCAATGCGCTCATGGACGAACAGACACATTTGGAAACTCTCATCGGTAATCTGCAACAGAATCTCGACATGTTCACCCGCATTGAATCTGTCCAGAGACAGGTGACAGGAGGCAGTCACAACTTCATCAAGACGCCAGCGTTTAGATCCATTCTGCAGCAGATTGACGAGTCGCTTGTCTATATCCCCGAGCACAACAACTTCAAGGGTGCTGAGGATTATGAGCAGCGCTTCATGGCACTTTTAGTGCGATGTTTACGTCTGGTGGTGGTGTATTTCGGCAACAAGGTGACGGATATTGGCGCAGAGGCACAGGAAAAGATGGCTACCGTTTCTTCGTCGGCAGCCAGTCATGCTCTCATGTACAGCAAGTTTGAGCAGGCCACTAACCTGGGAGAAATGGTGTCTGAGGTGTCAAAGCGAGCTCAGTATCCACAGATTGAGCCCATGATGCAGGAGCTATACCAAAAGTATTTTGCAGCCCGTCAACCAATCCTGCGACCTCACATTGATAAATCTGTGTTTGACATTAACTCCTCCAGTGGCACAGACAGCGTCAAATTCTGTCGGAAGGCGCTGTCGTTGTACAAGCAGATTTTCAGCGACGAGAAGCGGCTCTTTGACCATTTCTTCCCCGACGAGGGCCATGGTCGACTTGCTGAATGGATGGATGGACTGTTTGAGGGTCTGTATGACCAGCTTCGAACTCGAATACTTCGAGATCGGTCTGTTTCTGTCTTGTGTGAGATTGCCGTCATCCTGCAGGACGATGAGAGTATGGATGACGATGGCTTTGGCAACCTGGTTTTCAACGCACTACAAGACGTCCAGTCACGGTTGGTGTTCAGGGCCCAAAATATCATTGATCATGAGATTGTTAACTACGTTCCTGGAGACGGAGACTTCTTGATTGGTAGCAGAAGGACCAATGAAAAAGAAGATGATAAGACAGCTTCTTCTTCTGTTGGCGACGAATCTAACGCCGATATCTCCAATGATCTCCTTCAGGGCTGGTACCCTCCTCTACGACGAACTGTGATTTTACTGTCGCAAATATACCAGTTGGTCAACTCGCATGTTTTTGATACCATGGCTCACAATGTGTTGCACGACTGTATCACTTCGTTGAATGTTGCACGTGTGGTGGCTCAGAAGCGCCTGGGTCCGTCTGACGCCGAGCTCTGGTTTATCAAGAACCTGTTGATGCTCAACTCACAGGTGGCTGAGTTTGACATTCAGTTTGTGCCTGAGGAGAAGCAGCTTGACTTCTCGGGAGCTCTGGGCATTCTGGGCCAGATTGCGCGTGAGCGACGTGTGACCACCGACAAGGATGGCATTGCTGGTCTTGCACGAGCCTCTCTGCCTCGAGTCATTAACTCCATGATGGACGCTCGTGTGGAACTTTCTGCCAACCTGCGTAACGCCATCTCCACCATGACCGAGTCTGAGGTGCGCCACATTGCCAAGAGCATCATGACGGACCCCAAACCGGAGAACATTGTGACTGACACGCGGCAACTGCGAGAAGACACGGCCTCAGAGATTCCGCGGTCGTACACGAAGATTAAGTCGTATGTGGACGATGCCCAGGCTGCGGATGTGCTGATTGAGGCCATCCAGGACTTGTTGGTGCGCAACTACGACGAGTATCATCGTAAGATGGTCACTCGGGGCAAGCCTGAGCAGCTGGAGGCTCTTATGGAGGTGGATGGATTCGTCAGTTGGGTTGGAGACGTTATTCAAAAGTTGTATATTAGTGAGCAATAAGTTAAAGGGTGGACATGTAAATACGACTGAACGCATGATGAAGGAATTACATGGAGAGTGGGGGAGACTTGTAGAGAGTCGGTAGAAAAAAGACCACATAAAATAGACCACCAGTTACTACGGGTGTGTATTCGTTGTAAACTACAGTAGACAGCTGCAATACACAGTATCATTGTCGCGTATTGTACAACAGGCCACATTTATGACAGTATTACTGCAAGGCAGTGTGTAGAGTAGGAACGGTCCATCCACTTTCTCTGCAATTTTATTGAATAAATAATCCGTCGACTGTCTACTTTCCAGTCGCTTTGGCAGCCTCCTCGTTGGGGTTGTATGTGTTTTCGGCCAGCATCTTGTTGAGCTTCTGTTTGACCACCTCGACCATGGAGGGGTGGATCATGAGATGGGTGTCATCCAGCTCGTCCAAAATGATGTTGTGTTGCGACGAGTCAATGTTGACGATGAGCGCCTTGATGGAGGGATCGCATTCAATCAGAACGCCTGCGTTAGTTGTCTGCTCACCGGCTGGTTTTTTCCGCTGTCGAATTCTCCCTACTCACCTCTGGTGGCCTTTGGCATGTTGATGAAGCGAACTTTGATTGGGATCAGAGTTGTGATGAAAATAGGTGTAATGATCAGTTAGAGGTTCTGATAGAAATCGATGTGATATATATAAAACCCTTTTAAACCACTAAAATCAAAAGAGATGGTAATTTGATAACTTCCCCTTTAGTGGGAAGTTGCCCCACTTTTTCAATTTCACCTACCGTGGCGTGTATTTTCGTACACTTGGTACTCGTTCTTAGAAACAACTTTCAGACTCAGAAAAAGAACTGTTACAGGTTTACATGCACCTATAAATATGACATGAGACAGCAGGGGTGTTGTCGTTATACAGTGTTACGGCAGTGCTCATCTGTGATTGTGATTGTCGTCGCATTCTACAAGTAGTCACATGAGTACGTACAATACACGGTCTTTTTGGTATTGCTGTAGCTTCTACTACTACACCTTGCCGTAGTTTAACCGTCCCAACTAAAACACACTCGGTAGTTAAACAATACATACGCTACAGAGATACAATAGAATCCCCGCTGTACAAGTACTATACGGAACTGGTGCGCGTTCGACGTCCAAAAAAGTAATTCTTGACACAAGCACGTCGCTGCCAAGTGTCGGCTGGTTCCAAACGTACAAATATACACCTGTATGTACGAAGACGTCATAGCTCTGGACGAGGAAGGGGTAACAGCGAATGTCTTTAAATCAGCAGGTAGAAGTTCTAACAGAATAATAACTATACCATTCGATTTGTCTCGTCTCGGTGGTCATTATACACTTTTCAGATCTTGAACTGTTCCATTTTTACCACTTTCACCTCCTGACACCCTGGACTCGACTCCCGGGTAACCCGCATATATCACAGCCTACATAATCATGCAGACATCCTCTCCAGTCAAGATGCCAGACGACAATGCTATGGAGGGAGCTGAAACTCAACATGAAGGTGGCAATGTGGAGAATCCGCCGACGGGTGAGGAGGTGATTCCCCAGTCACGTGGCTCCGACTACAACACCGCTCGAGATACGGCCGATACGAGTACTACTACTGCCAACAACGAAGTCGATGAAGCAACTGAGACGAACGGAAACGACACAAGCAATGGTTCTGGCGACAATAGCTCGGGTAAGAAGGATACGGAAGGACATAGTGATGACAACGAAGCTCAGAATGGAGAAGGATCTGATAAGCATGGACAGGAGGATACGCAGGAGGAAGAAGGCAATGATGAACAGAATGGCAAACAGAATGATGACCATAAGTCTGATCACAACTCGGAATCCACCAACTCCGAGTCTGAGTCTGACTCAGACTCCGGCTCCGATTCTGAGTCCGATTCTGACTCTGATACTGAAGAAGCTGAACCACGACTCAAGTACTCTCGTTTGGCAGGTCTTCCCAAAACTATCTTTACGCGCGACCCCGTGTCTGCCACGTTGGTCAACGATAATATTGTGATTATCGCCACCCACTCGGGTCTCATCCATCTGTTCAGACCCAACATTGAGTTGATCCGCAGCTTCAAGGCCCACTCGGCAAGTATCATGTCTCTGAGCACAGACGGCACGTACTTTGCCTCGGCGTCCCTAGATGGCCGCGTAGTCATCGGCAGCATTTCAGATCCCCAAGACATTGCTGCATCCGACTTCAAACGACCAGTTCATGCTGTAGCCCTAGACCCAAACTACGCCTCATCAAAGACATTTGTGTCTGGTGGAACCGCCGGAAACGTGGTCTTATCGGAAAAGGGATGGCTGCAGGCTCGAAGCGACACCAATATTTGCACCAGCGACTCGACAATCGTGCTGCTGAGGTGGATTGGCGACGTAGTGCTGTGGATCAACGACGACGGAATCACGATATGGAACCACGTGACTAAACAACAGGTTCTTCAGGTGCCCAAACCTGACAACATTTCGCGGGCCGATCTGTACCATCCCCGCATGCATCTCAGTGATGGACACGATCGAATCTACCTCGCTTGGGCAGACCACATTTGGATTCTGGAGGTGACGCAGGAGAAGAAGGAACGCGGTAAGAGACTCAAGAAGGAGCCTGTCAACGACGGCATGTCAATATTCTCGCGCCGAATCCTTTCAACCTCTGCGTCTTCCACGAAATCACCCCAGCCAGAAACAACAGTTGCTGTGGTGACCAAGTTCAGAGTCGATTCTCTCCTGTGTGGCATTTCGACCTTTGGAGCCGACATGCTCATGTTGCTGTGTTACACCAAAGGAGAGCGACGGGCCCAGAGACCCGAGTTGCGGCTCATTGATGCTGCTTCAGGTGAAGAAGTGTCTTCTGATGAGCTGCCTCTCAACGGCTTTGAATCTTTGGGTCCCAATGACTACCAGCTGCAGACCCACGCACCTGTGCAGAAAGATGCCAAAGCACAGTACTACATTATCAGTGCGCACGACGGAGTAGTTGCTCGTGAGCGAGATCTCACCGATCACGTGCAATGGCTTGTTGAGCACGAAAAGTACGAGTCTGCCTGGGTCACGTGTGAGTCCATCTACGGTACTGTGGAGCGAAAGAATCTCGGCATTGAATGGGTTGAGTCTCACGTAAGAGATGAACTTTGGCGAGAAGCTGGAGCGGCTCTTTCTCTTGTTCTGACTGCATTTCTGGGTACAATTGACCCTCAGGATACTTACAAACACACAATTTGGTCGGAGGACTGGGCAAACTGGGCTTTCATCTTTGGAAAGTCAAACAACTACGAGCTTTTGGCAAACTATCTCCCTGACCAGCTTCAGTCTTCGGTCTACGACGAGTACCTGCGTCATTATCTACGCGATGATGCTGAAAAGTTTGGTTTCTACATGAAAAAGTGGCAGGGTCTGTTCGGCGAAGGAATCGAGCAGTCTCTTGTTGAAGAGATTGATTCCTCTGAAGATGACAAGAAGACCAGTGCGCTGAAGCTGGCTCTTGCTGAGCTCAACATTGCCGACGGAAAGTATAAGCCTGCTCTGGCGCTATTGCTGGAGTTGCGAGATGAACGGTGTCTTGATCTAATTGAAGCTCATCATCTCCTGAGCGATATTTCACCCAAGGATATCCCCAGCCTGCTGACCATTGGAGCTGGTAAAGACACAGCATCTACTCTTGCTGCCCTTGACAAAGCATCTGCTGAGGAGATTCAGACGACTCTGAAACGCACCACTGAGCTGCTCGTGGAAGGTTACCATGAGTTGCCTCCCAAAACTGTTCTTTCTTCTCTCCCTGAGTCTTCTCCCCTGGCATACGTGTACCTGCACTCTCTGAACCAAGTAGATTCGTTTGCTGCTCGTGACTATGGTAACCAGCTCATGGCTCTGTATGCGAAGTACGACCATGTGGCTCTTTCTGCCTTCCTCAAGTCCAACAATAACTACGACATTGGTTCTGCCGTTGACCTGTGTCGCGCAGACAAGAGTCTGACTCCGGACTTGGTATACTTGCTTGGAAAGGTTGGCCGCAACATGGAGGCCTTGCGGCTGATTATTGACGAGCTGCAGGACCCTTACCAGGCCATTTCCTTTTCTCTTAAGCAGAAGGATTCCGAGCTGTGGAACTTCCTGGTCGACTACTCCATCGACAAGCCCTTGTTTCTCAAGGCGCTTTTGGAGAACATCGCCATGGCACAGACTCCCACATACAAGCTCATTGAGCGGATCCCCCCTAACCTCGAGATCCCTGGACTCAAGGGCTGTCTTCTGAACATTTTCACCGAGAACGAGCTGCAGCTGTCTGTGACTAAAGGAGCTCATGAGATCATCACCAATGAGTGTCATCGAGAAACAGACGCTCTTGGTCGGTTGAGAATGGGCGGAGTGGCGTTTGATGGAGTAGGTATGGACGAGTTTGCTGTAAAAAGTCTTGACGGGAAAACTGTGGAGGTGGATAGCTTGCCTTCTTGGCAGGCGCATGATGGGTCTTTCGCATCCAAGCTGGCACATGTTTCGTTTCTCCAACAGCAGTCAGGCAGGTAAGGTGGAAATATACAATAATTTATTCATTAACATAGATATTGCAGTATGTAGTATAATGTAGTTTTGTTTCATTCGTTGTTCGATCACTTTTTGTTGTTCGCCTTTGCCAAGCGGTCATTATTCCACAGACCCACAAACGAGATGCACCAGTTCACTACTATCCAGATGAGCAGTACTCCGACGTTCAAGCCAATTGTAGACTTGACGTTGAACAGAATCGTTCGGATGGCCTCCAATGCATTGTACAGTGGCATGGCTTTTCCATAAGCGTACACTCCAGGCGACACTTCCAGAGGAGACATGGCAGTGGCAGTATTGACAATGACCCAGAAGAGCAGCCAGACAGGCAAGATTGGGGGAAAGTACTTGACGAAGATGATTTGAATGTTGTCCGTGGCTCCTCCTAGTGCTAACATAGCCAGGTAGTTGATGAGCCAGTAGACTACGAAGCCTGCTTTTCCGTAGGCGACTTCAAAGTCCTGTTGGAAGGCCAGAGACACGAGCGAGAAGCACAGCGACACAATAAACATACTGACGCAGTTGACGGCGCATCTGTACAGAAATCTCTGCCAGAAGACGATCTTGTAAGGGATCATTATGGCGTGGATGAGATTCCACATCATTGTTTGTTGGAATGATACAATGATGAGATAGATGAGTCCCACATTGTCTATAGCCGATGCTACTCCTCCTGTAAATGGCCTGATGTCGTAGTTTGCAAACTTCAGTGTTGTGATGTTGTTTCTGATGATGTTTGCAACCTGCAAATCTGAGAAGTTCCTCGTCAGCAGCTGTTGAATATGAGGGACCTGTTTCTCCAAAAACTGGGCCTGAAACTCTAGAATCTGGGGAAGAATGTAGGTCCAATGAATTGTTTCCTGTCTTCCTGATGCATAGTAGTATGATATTTGGTGTGCCTCCTTCATGTCTCCATTTAGTATCGCCTGGGTGTCCTCGGTCGCATTATGTTCCACCACCAGCACTCCCCAATAGTTGTGCTGTACCACCAGAGTTTCGATCTGCTCCCTAGTGCTGAACATGTCTGAGGGAATGTAATCCAGCGCTACCAGAGTCTTTTCTTGAGGTCTAGCACCCACTTGGTCCATGAACAAGTCTCCGACCACCCCCTGATCCCAGTTGATTACCCCCACCCGTAGGTTATGAGCCCTCTCCGATCTGCGGAACATGGCGCCCCAGAAGACGGAAAAGACAGCCAGCACTCCGACACTCAAAAAGAGCATCATGAACAGTGACTTTTTTAACACGGCATAGTGTCCGGGACGCACATCATTGTGGAAGAGGTGTCGTTGCTGCTGCTGTGAAGGCTGTATGTCTTGCTCAGAGTTGTCCGACGATTGAATAGGCTGTTTTTCCGAAGCCGACATGCTCTGTCTTTTGTGATTATTCGCCAGGCATGCGTATATATATGACAGCGGAACAACTAAATATGGCTGTCATCCCTGTGTCTTGGACTGACGTACTATCGGCCGAGGCTGACAAATGAAGTGTGGAGAAGGTTGCATTATCGGAGTAGGGACCCGGGTTTTGTTTTAAAGCCTTTCTAGGAGAAAGGTGGCTACCGTTCGATAGCCGAGTAGCTGGGTGTGTACAGACTGGGCCTGTACTGGTACGAGTACGAGCACGAGTACGTCATAAGCAGGTACGCAATATTGTGGCTTAGACAGCCAGCGACGCCACCACTCGCTTCTACAATGTACTGTCACTAATAGTATGCTAGTGGTTCCGCACGTGATGAATGACAGTTGCTGTGACCTGTTGGTGGTGGATTTTGGTACATACAATCTCATTCAAGGGTATTTTCCAGACCTGAAATATTTCATTGTCAACTGTAGCTGAATAATTACGTACTCACACAATCACCCAGGAAGCTCAGTTGTGTAGGTGCCGTAACGCACGTGCGATACAGGAAAAAAGACGCTCTCCACACAAGCATTATGGGAGCGAGTAGGAGCAGATGTTCTAAGGCGATGACCACAGACTCCCAGGTATATAAAACTCGTAATTCTGAAAGAAATACCAAATGGCTAATTCTCTGTCTCTCTTCTGTCCATACTTGTCCTGGCAGTCCGTTACTACAAGCACTCACTGTACGAGTATGTAGATACTCTCTACACCTCCTTCTCTATCTGTTGCCTATTGCACGTCACGTTGGCAACTTTCACAGCTATCTGACAGCCCCCAGCCTACAGTCATACCCGTCGGTATTATCTCTCACGTCATTAGCAACCATCACGGCACTGAGTTGTCTCCGCCTCGGATTCTAAGACACTCATCGTATGTGGGGAAAGGAAGCTTCCAGTGTCGATCTCCGAAACGTTGTGTAGACGTTTGCGAATGCTCGTATAGAGGAGAGAATGCTTGAAGGGTGCCCTTCTGATGAGAATAGCCAGCATGTGTAGAGGGTCCGCGTAACCGGTTGAATCTCCATACTAAAAGCCCTTAGTTAACAATCACAGCTCAGATCACAGTTCGCATAGTCGACTGTACCTACTTCACTACTTGTACAATATTCAACTCAAGAAAAACGCTAAAAAACTGTACAGTGCTCCCGGTATATTGCCAACATCTCTTGAACAGCCAATTACGTACACATATTTCGCTTCGCCCACCAATTCGGAAACGTAATTGAAATTGACTGGTCAGCGCAATGTCGGTTGAGATGATCTGCAGTGGACCTGACCCCACTAATTAGCCACTAGAGTCGGATTGAGTTTACGTCATCGGAATTGAGCTGAGAAAAAACTGAAAACAGCATCCCTAACTGGTAGTGTAGAACAGCTATAAGAATTCGGGGAAACCTATGTTGTAGAGAAAGTACGTAAGTATCTTGTGTCCAATCTTTTCACCTCTACCGCCCTTACATCAGCCATTTTGTGTGTCTCTGATATCTGTCTGTTGTTAAAGTCCCAATTTTTTTTTAGCTTGTCTGGCCCCACTAATTTACCAGTGCGCTAAGATTTTTGGCGGGGTACAGGACCTAACTGCCGCAGATATAGTTGGGAGCGGAAATGTGAATAATAGTGCCATAGGCAGGAACCAGTTGCTAGTCGGGCACTACGAGTAGTACGTACGGCTGCGAGTGGTAGTAGAGGATATGATGGCGATAGAGACACTAAGGCGATCATGAGCTACAGGTTTCTGAGTACACATCCTCGCACACCATGTAACTACAGCCCAATTATCAAATTGTATCCACGGACAAGCTTGTTGCATGGCCCATGCGCTAAAAAGCCAATGTGGAGGGCTCACAGACAAGTATGAGACATGGTAGTAGGGTCAGGGGGGGGGGGTAGATGTTCTTCAGGGGGGGAGTGGGGAGAGTTGTGCAAAGCTGGTTCGACAAGCTGTGATTGATAGAAGAGCTCGTGGTTACCGATTACCCATAATATCTGCACCAGTCGCAAATCCATACCGTGTTTTGCTGCTCATCTACAAGTGTCTTTAGGTTGCTGTGACAATGAGACTTTTCGTTTTCGTTTTTTCGCAGTTTTCGCTTTGGCTTTTCGCTTGTTCAACAGAGTTAGTGGGATTTGGATTGTTTGCATCACGTGCAGACTGTATCCCCCTCATCTCTCTCAGTACAAAAAAGTCCGCGGTCCCAGCTGTTGCTACCCATCCAACATCAAACCAGCCATGTCCAGCGAAGTCACAGTCGTCGTGGCCGCCTCCACTCCATCAACCTCGATTGTCGTGCCGGTCACCAACACCAACCCACCGGTAACAATCATCCAGCCTTCCACACCGCCTTCCACAGTCTTCATCACGGCTACTCCGGAAGCTGGCACTACCGTCACCGTCAAACAGACCCAGCTGCCCGCAGCAAAGACCGTCACCACCGTCACAACCACAGGATGGGCACCTCCGTCATGGTCCACAACGTACATGCTGCCCCCGACGCCAATCGTGACCCTGGAGCAATCTCCAGCCCCCACCACAGACGTCTACCTGGTCTACCCCACGCCGCAAGCATACAATGTGTTCCCGTGCCAGTCGGACCACACATACTACATTCCCGAGTTTCTCGAGGGCAATGACAACCACTTTGCCGTGTGCTCCAAGGGTCAGGTATGGACGTCGGCAGCGCTGTGCGGCCCCGATAATGCCACCATCTTGAACGGCACTACCGCCAGCATCACCGCACCACTCCCCGACTTTGAGTTCTACACCACCAAGCCCGTCTTCTACCTCAACGCGCCCCCAGTGCAGTGCTACCGAGGAGGCGCCTGGGTGCTTGCCTACGACACTGTGGTGGCCTCTGCTCAGACCCAAGCAACAAAATACGTCGACGCTAATGCAGCCCCTGGAGGCGCTGCTGCTGTCCCCACGGCCGTGGCCGGCGCAGCGCTGCTGGCTCTGCTGTTCTAGTGGCCCAAGGACTCTTCATCAAACGTTCCCTTCACCTAATAATGCATTTTTCTCACCATCACAGACTATTTTGATACTACGGCTTTCGCTTAGGCGGGTGTGAGAGCTTATTCGATACTCGATATTGATAGTTGCCGTGTTACGGGGAGGCTAAGCCGTGGAAACTACCCCTGGTACCGACAGGCCGTGTGTGATCACCATACAGCCAACCCCATGTCTTCCACCTTCCACCTTCCACCTTCCACCACTCGTATTTCACTCATGTCTTTTTCCACTGACCCACCCCCCACCAACAAGTGGAAGTTTATTGACCCCCGGTCGAATCTTGTCTTGCACCTGCACATATTACAGATGCGGTCATAGCTGTACAGCATCAATACAGTACAGCGCCTGTATCGGCCGGTGTGCAATTACATAAGCAACGTCGTGGACATTTCATCTTTGCCGGTCCACTTTCACTCACGCACAATACACAGCTGTGCGCGGCCGATCAACTCTCTTCCCCACAGATCCCTCTCTTGGTTGTCTCACGAGAATAAACACACATTCCAATTTAGCTTCGAATAAGTAATAATAAAAAGGCCCTATCCACATTGGGTAATCGCAACGACATAATGGGAATGTATGATATAGAATTAGCACTCTGCACAAGGAAAAAAGTACATACTGTACAAGTAGACCCTGTATGTAAATGGCCAATATGATAAGGAGAAAGTGGTACAAACACAAAAACTGATCGATGCAGTAATCGCTAAATACTACAGTGGGTTCTTTACTTGGTATTTCGTGTTTCTCAGTGTATTTCTGCGTCTTGCTACTCGTATATACTATATATAGTATGTATGTGTGTGCTTGTACTTTTAGTGTATGCAAACATCGTTAATTAAATACTGGTGCTGAGATCAAACACCCAAGCTTTCGGGAATCCACATGCCTCCGCACCAACAGTTTCGTTGGAAAGCAAACGTCCAATGTGTGCCAGTGAACTGCTTGCCGTCAGATGAGTCCACAAACACTGACGTTCCAGCACATCGCTGACACACCCGCAAGATGCTTCCCTCCTGTCGCTCGATAATGAACTTTCGCAGACAGTCAATCTTCAGACCCGTGGACGTCACGTTCCTGTAGGGAGCCATGGCAGGTGTTGGGGCCGGACGGCCGTCGTAGTGTTCGTCAAGGCCGAGCCACGACACATTGTAAAAGTACAACGGCGACAGATCATTTGTCTTTCGGAACTTGTCAAACTCATCAACACACCGTTTGGCCAGCGGCAAGAACTGCTGGGGGATCATTCCCTGGAACAGGAGCTGCTGCTCTAGCCCCAAACGGTCCTCCACGTTTTCGGCGACCTGCTTCGTGTGTGAATCAATAACGTTGAAAAGCTGCTCAAAGAATGTCATGGAGATGGGTGTGAAGTGCGATAGTTCCCGTTGTCGCTGGGACGCCAGGCCTGCCTCTTGCGTCTCCGTTCCAGGCTTTTGCATCAGGATCGTGTCTAGCGATCGAATGCCTCGCCACGAGTACATGAGCAACATTCTAGAAGAACGCGCCATGACCATGGGTAAAGCCACATGCTGTTTCTGGAAGTAACTAGGGCCTTCGTTGGAGGCAGCCAACAGCTCCTGGCAGAGATAGGCAGCGAAATCAAGACACCATCGCTTAAGACCAGATAGAGACATGAGATAGTGGATTCGCATGGCATGGTTGGGGGCCACGCCTGGCTTCTGCTGTCCAATGGCTCGTAGAGTAAATGTCAAAGAGAAAGAGACGAGACGGAGGTTGAGGAAACACCACGAAAGACGCGAGGTGACATTTCGAGTCCATCCGTGCTGTGTTCCAATAACCGTCTGCATGGTCAGGAGTCTTTGGAGAGATGGGTTGATCATAATTTTGTCCATCTGGTGGTCCTTTTTGAGATCCAGCGAGAAGTTGATAGCCTTGTGTGACTCAGCTAGAAGTAGCAACGGGAACTGTGTCTCAAGAGCAGGAGCCAATTTGGAAACCCGCTGAATCTCTCGTCGCATTACCATCATGACATCATCGTTACAGACAGCAGAAATGCACGAAACCGAGTGTCGAAGAGAAAGGACAAAAGCGGAGTCAACCATCTGGGCAACTGTGAGATCGGCATCGGGGATTTTGTTGTCAATGATTCGTAGCTTCAGTCCATCTTTCGTCTTATACACGTAGGAGGCACACGTGGGCGATACACAAATGTAATCAGGACGATCTGAGCCCTTGGGGAGAGGAGTAAAAGCATAGCCAGCATCACTGAACATGTTGAAAGGCGTTCCCTTTGTCGAAGAAGACACATTGCCTCTGTATCTAAAGTTGAGAATGCCGTCTTCGTGTGCAGCGAAGAAGATGGAGTCATACACTTGCGAGCCAATGTTGACAATCTTGTTGGAGGTGGTGGTCTCCACCAGCGAGATAATGTGTGTCTTGTGCGTTGTAGTTGAGCTGGCGGATGAGTCGTTAGTGCCGAGTGAATAAAAGGTCGAGTTAAGATCCGGTGTATGTGATTGCAGTTCATATCTGTTTGTAGTGGCTCCCTTTGTATCCGTGAAAACGCACACCATTTCAGCCTCTGTTTCTGACGACACTTGGTTCGACCGGATGCTGAACAGTTTGAGGTCAGTGAGTCGCGCCGGGGCACCTGATTGCGGCATAAGTGTCTCCTTGAGCAGTCGAGTTGCTCTCAGTTTAGGTTCCTCCTCCTTGGACCACTCCACCTCGATTCTGTAGAGGTAGATGGCTCCTGCTGGCGAGTAGCATGCCAACAGCATCTTGTGGTCTTTGGTGCCTGCAAAACTGGCATGTGAAATGATGTCGTCGGAATGCAGCTGGTTGAGTGATAGCTTAACGAGGTTATATGGCTGCGAGGGGCCGTTTTGGGTCCACAGCTTGAGCACCTGCGATCTGGTCACTCCTATGCATGCTCCAAAGCCCTGAGGGATTCGGGGTCCCAAATGCAGTCCCTGACTCACTCCGTAAGTGACGCTGATGCCGGAGTAGCCCAGCAGCTGCGAAGTTTGGCCGGTAGGGAAATCCTTCACGTCCGACAGCTTTTGTTTCGATTTTTCATTGCCTCCTGCTTTGAGTCCCGGGTTGGTCAAGATGACGGGCTTTTCAGGAGCCACCCAGGTGAATCCTACAATGGCGTTGAGATCGATGGGAGTCGTCAGTTCCTCGGATGGCGGCTTTCTGAGGCATGTGATGGGCGATAGTGTGGTGTACTGACTGTAGATGTATAGAGAGCCCAGAGTGTCAATGATGGCGAGATCCGATCCCGAAGGAGACCACTCCACATGGCAGAAAGCGCGATGCGGAGTCACAAACGAGGTCGTCGGGGGTTGCAGGATGCTTTTGGGAGCGTACAACGTCGGCTTGGTCAGCACCCAGTCCTGGCCATCGGTGCACACCAACAAATTGGTTTCCACGCCCTCGTCGCCTATGCTGGCAATGATGCCGTTTCTGTTCCACGAAATCGACTCGCGTGCGCCCAGCTTGGGCTCAATGATGCTGTCAAAGTCGATTGTCATCTGCACAGGTTGATTTAGTTGCGTAGCTGGGGGGTTGACTGGTGATGTAGGTATTGCAAGGTTGGGAGGGTAAATCAGATGTGCATGATTCCACTCTATGTGGTCGAGGTTGTGGGAGGGTGCATATTGGTACATGCTGTGGTATCGTACATAAACCAACTGATGGGCTGTATGGCGTTGTGAGATGGGGTGCGTGGTTTATATAATAAAAATATTATTCTGACTGGTACGATAGAGTATGCAATATCAAAGTTGTCTACAATGCAATTCACATGAAAAGCACAGCAGTCTACAAGGTAGAAGGGTGTCAATGGTATAGGCCAACACGACCCCTGCTTAGTAATACAATACACCTGGGTAACTTTTGGCACATACTGTACAGGCCGTTTAATATAATGCCCTCTTCAAGTTTGGTCTCTTTTCAGACAATCTTTGTCACACTGTTCAAGTCCGAAGACGAGGTTCGACAAGAAGCTTAGGGGAATGTCTTCCAGTAATCCACAACAAAGCTTGGTGTGAGAGTAGAGGCAGTGTTTTTGGTATCGTTTTGAGGCTCTTGTTGGACTGGTTACGTTGGTGTTGTTTGGTACTTTGTGTCTAGTCCGCCTATCTTGCTATACCATAAGCCGTCAGCATTATTTCACTAGGATCATCGAAGCATGTACACACTTGTACCTGTACTTGAAATGCGACTCAGAACACAACCACAACTGAATGAATAAGTGGATAGTATTTATGATCACAATGATGGTGCCTCATTGCAACCTCTTCAGTTATAGCTCTCTTTTAATATATTCAATATGGGATTTATATCACATGTATCCCCGGAACTCTGCAGTGAGAATCGATACTGGGATACCAGTACATACTACAGTATCTATCTGTATATTTGTAACTCAGAGCCGCTAGTCTGTATTATTTGATATATTCAATCAATAAAATCACGAGAATTCCATCAGTTCCCTGTACTTCTCTCACCCAGTTGGCTTCATAAAGTCTCAGAAGTTCTACATTCAGTGAGAGCTATGATACTGTATGGCTCGGGATAGAAGCAGTATATGAGCATGGTCGAGAGCTTCCAACGTACTTTTGGTTAAAAAGACTCACTTGTTGACAATATAATCATGCTATCCCCAAACCTCCAAACCTCCATCGCATCGAACATGGCACTACCTGTATGTACGCATCAGATACACACAGTAGTTAGCTTTAGTTGGGAAACAATTGAAAAGCCATCTCTACTGGCACTTGATTCAGTGTTCAAGAACTCTCTCAAGAAAGAAAAATCGACGCGGTTACATATAATCGATTTGGAGGCGTCCCTGGGAATAGAAACATTACACCTCATAGCTCTCTAAACTCCAATATATCCGTTACCGTGGTTTTGGCCCGAGTATATTTTGTTAAGGTATGCTTGAAGACGGAGTCTTGAACAGTACGAGTGCAGTGTACTGCAGCTACAGTACCTCCAGACAGTCCACTCAAGTGACCCCATACATTGTCATTCTGTTGAATGAAAAGATATGGCTATTACAAGCTGCTACTTTTGCTTATTGCGTGCGTTTCAGAAGATACAAGATTGGTACTACTTCCCCTCTGGTATCTCTTGCTTGTCTAACAGAGCTCTTGACCCTCGGACAATGTCGATACTGCGTCCTCGGTTCCACGTCCTCGGCTCCGCGTTATAATCGCTCACGCGTCACAATGCATACATACATATAACCCGACATGCGATTGAAAATTCTTCGACAAGACGAGCATCTATTCCGAGTTGCCACGAGCAGTAGATGAAGGTTCAGCTGCTACTGTAACCACGTCTCATTGCTCGGATACACTGAAGATGGCTCCACCCCGTGTTAAGTTTAATGGGGTGATGAGTGACGTGACGTGTAGCTCGACTTGTGCTGTAGGTAGACGTACAGTAGCGAGATGAGATGGGATGAGATGACTTGGCGATGAGCAAATTATATAGTCTGTCGAGGTCCACCTTCAACCTGCGACGCCAAACACAGCGCCCATCTTGTCACATACTTGCACCCTATACAAATTGGTCTATCTAAACGCCCCCACACCCCTTTCACAGCAAACCGCTCCCAAAGTCAAAGTTTAGGCACGAGTGGTAGGTAGAGTGGAATATAGAGCGTGCGAAACGCGACTCTCCGAACACCACCTCACACAATGCACCACTTTGTACGAGACGAAGGTCACCACCACCATGGAAATACTCTGCCGGAGTACGAGGAGGGCAACCACGACATTCCTGAGGGCCAGTACACCTCCAACGAGAGCGTGGGCGCGGCCATGTGGACCTACGTGCTGGTCACCATGCTGGCGTTTGGAATCATGTTCCCCATTGGCCTGATAATGGGCCTGGCTAGACACAGATACTTCATTCCCATGCAGATTGTGGCTGCGGCAACGGCGGTCGTGGGAATGGTGTTTGGACTCACCCATGGCGGCCGACGATACTCGCCCAACAATATCGCGCTCATCTGGGGATGGTGCTTGATGGTGCTTGCTGGCATCCAGGTTTTCTTCGCAGTGTTCCTGCAGATCCCGCTGCGAACCCGAGAGGGAGAGCTCGAGGAAAACAGCGTGCTCAGACGATACCCCTTCTTCTACCGGGTGCGAAACGTGCTCTCCAAGTGCCTGCTGGTGCTGGCCTGCTTCCTTCCAATTGCCTCGTGGGTCCAGTTTGGCTTCATCTTCATCACCATGTTCGGCTGGTGCCACGAGGACCATCTCGGCCAGTGTCTGGCCCACGGAATCATGGGCTCTTCTTTCATCGCCTACGGATGCATTCTCACCATCATGCTGCTGTTGGGAGAGGCCTGGCTGCAGCGACGAAACGTGTCCCAAGAGTTCTACGACTCCACGATCATCATGCTGTGGGGAATCGTCAACACCTTTACCGAGCACAGATGGGGCCAGCCTTGGTCTCATGGAGACTACCAGCACACCTCCATGGGCATCATTTGGTGGTGCGCTGGTCTGGTCGGTATTCTGCTGTCTCGAAAGCGATGGGTTGCTGGCTCTCCCCCCATGCGAAACCACATCCCCTCCATCGTTCTCATGTTCACTGGTTATGCCATGAGTGAGCACGCTCAGCATCTGGAGGTGTCCACCAAGGTCCATGCTTTCTTTGGGTGGGCTCTGATTCTCGCTGGTCTCACCCGAATCATCGAAATCTCCTTTGTGCTCAAGGACGGCCCCTCAAAGCTCGCCGTGGCCAAGGCTTGGCAGTTTCTGCCTCCCTTCCTGCTCGTTGAGTCTGGAATTTGTTTCATGGGAGCCACCGAGGAGCAGATGGCTTACCTCAATGACGCTGGAATCGACCATTCGTCGTACCTGCTGACCCTGTCGTCGGCAGCCTTCCTCGTCTACTTCCTCTTCCTGTCGCTCATCATGCTCTACAAGTACCTGTCGGGCACCCAGTTGACGAGCCGGGATTCCCACCGGGGTCAGCATGTTCCCCTCGCCACCGAGGAGGAGGAGCTTGGCCTGAACGACGAGGAGGCCGACAAGTTTGAGATTGACGACGAGGAGGATCCCTCTGAGGGCTCGTCGTCAGGACGAAGGGATGATGGCTTTGAGCTGTCGCTTCTGCGAGGTAAATAATCAAATAAATATATAGATTTTGGACTTGTTGGGGGAAGGCGCGTTGCTACAAGACATGGGGTACTTGTGATGCTGGGCTACCTTCATAATTGGCGCTGCCAGGGTCGCACTGGGTGTAGGCCTTTGACATATGATACACCCCACCCTGTGCTCTTCCTGCTTATGCCCTAAATGATGTCTTGAGGACGGTATGCCTTTTACTTGGTAATGGAGTTATAGTGAGATCCTGATACATATTGTATCTACGAGGTGTCTACTACTGTAGTAGGTACTAGTATCTCTTAACCCCATGCATGTTCTTGTGCATTGATGTAAGACACTGGTGAACATGGGAAGCATGGTGGGGTGTCTTACTTGTGATTGGCACGCGCGATTGAGAAGATGCTTGTGAAGATGTTGGAGAGCTGTGTACAAGTAGTATAGGTACGGTGCTTTTAGTACCAGTACACGTATTTTTTGTACTGTACTTGTACTTGTACTGGTATATGTATGTCCCTCGGTGGAGATCCCAGATACGCGACATCTAGGAATTTGTTATGACCCTTGATTTGATGGAGTATACCGCTTGTGCAAGTGCACCAGACTTGTTTCACAAGGATGACATCACCAAATTCTCTCCGGCTTGTATTCTCGTACAAGGTACTAGGAATCAACTACCGGTACTTCCGCTGTCGTTTCCTCGACATTGATAAAACTATTGCCGGCTAATAATGTCCTCCCTTTGAAGCGCCCTCTCGAAACTCTCAAATGCCACCCTGGCTATCGACGGAACATCATTCTTCTAGCAGATCACGTGACGGGTGGGTCCCGCTGCTGGCCGGGATTCCTCTCACCGGATACATGCCTTCTAATACGCAAGACGGATGTATACGTGGTGATTTTATCTTCTCCTGTGCCGGGCAGATGTACGCCTTGTGAGACTATTTAGAGTGGTAGTGTAAATGGGTTGATACGGTAGACAGTGGAGAGATACCGGCGCGTACAGGGTCGCAAAGAGTGTATTTGTATAGCCCCCATACATACGGCTATAGATTCAGCCCTGCGCAACCTTCTATAGCCGACGTATTACCGTCAAATCCGCCGATCCACCGTTTTTTTCCGTGCAGCAGGTTTTTAGCAGTAGCGAAACGTTCATGCTTTTCTGCAAAACTTTGTGGGCTCTTCCTAAAAATTCCGAGAGTTTAACTGGCACAGACACGACGATTGGCAGCGTTTAGGAAAAAAAAAATAGAAGCCATTCAGGGGAGGCGGTTTGACTCTGTTTGCTACAGTGGCCCGTCTGTGGCGCCGGGCGGGCCGATATTGTGGCCCTAGAGTCCCACTGCCCCACATTAGCGAGAGTTTGACAGGTTCTTTGTGTGTTGATTTAGCCTGGATTTTTAGACCGATGTATATTGGATGGTGTCCAAATGTTACGCTACGTTGAAATTTCAAAAGTTTAGTTTTTTCTTTTGATTTTTTTTTTTTTTTTTGATGCGGGTCGTTCCGAAATCAGTTTGGTGGTCTCTCTCTCTTTTTTTGTATGTCGCCAGTATATTACAATTTAATTGTGAAGATTTTTTCACAGCGACGATCCCGTGGCTGGTGAGTGGCGTAGTCTTAACCCCGAAGTGGGGGGTCGTCTAACTCCGGCTTTCGCTCTCTCACAGGGCCACACGAGCTGTCACTACGAGTACATACTGTAGGCCACCGCAGAGACAGTATGACACACCACCAAGAAGAGCCATGCCAGCCGGAATAAGTAAGGAGCGTCTCTGGGCAACTACGTCATCGCTCACAGCCGACGGAGGTCCGATGGACGCACGCGCACAAGTGACTTTCTTGGCCTTGCACACACTCCACTGAGCCGAAACTCTGCCGTGGAAAAATCCGTCCGGACATGCACAATGCGGAGGGAGTAAACGGAGTGAGCGGAGTAAATAAGTGTAGTTACGCGTAGCTATCAGAATACGTTCTCTCCTGATCTTGGATAAACTCACCGGGGCAAGTACAGTTACGACAGACGAGCCTACCAATGTCAGAGCCAAATAATCTCGGTATACCCCGCTTGTTCCAAGAGCAGGGGGCTTGTACGTGACGTAGTGTCTCTTGGGCTGACGTTGGGCGCCTGCCTCATCCTACTCTCCTCCGGGTCGTCTTTGTTCATGCGGGCGGATCTCATTGGGTGTCGAATGTGTTGATTATGCACTGGCGAAACACTGGATCTTTTCGCTCTTGTGCCTTTTTTCCCTTGATTGGCCTCCCTGCGGCGCGGTGTGCGGTGTTTACTGAGCCAAAGTCTGCCCGGTGCATAACGGCCGACTCGGCCGAGTAGAAATGAAATCACAAAAAAAGGGACAAGATCGGAACAGACACACACTCTGAGATTGGCCAGGCCAATTGCACGGCTTTCTAGTGGCTAATTACGGAGCATCAATGCTGGCAAACGCCCCAGCACCACCCAAGGTATACAGCCATGATCAGATAAACGTAAAGCCAGCCAAGGGGCTAATCCCGTAGAGTTGGACTAAGTAGCGGGTGTCAGCGACGTCAGAGGGTTCCAGGCAACATTCTTCCGCCTAGACCGCGAGCTAGGAGACACTACCGGTACCGGCCGCTATGGCCTCTAATACTGCAGTTCGAGTACAACTGCTGTACCCATACAATACGCACGCAAATTGGACTCGCCTAAGACACCACTTTAGGGACGAGCAGGCCCCGTGACCAGCCCTCGTGAGAGAGAGAGAGAGAGAGCCAGAGAGAAAAAGAGAAAAGAGAAAAGAGAAAAGAGATGGAGCTCATACGACTGAAATGCCGATACCGCACACGTTCCGGAGTATTAATCCGCCGATTGCGGGGTGCCAAACCCAAGAGGTGGTCTCCACACTCGCCCAAACAAGCTCACAGGGGCGACTACCTCTAACCGCCAGCCACTAGTGACTGGGGACCGGTCGCTATCGGAGCTTGAATGTGGCGAACACCAATAATCTGCGTTGGACGGAACCTCCATATACCAAATAAGGTTCACAAAACCAAAATCTAGGTTCAACTCTAGAGCGTTGTGAGCTCCCATTGGCTGCAACGGCCCTGATAAGCATGCACCGGAGGCGTGAGCGCACAAAGGCGCATTGAGTCTATGCATTTTAGTGTTTCGTTATCTCAGCCAATGAGAGGTTCAGAACGGGGAATTTTTGGGTGTTTTGGGCCGAAAAACTGCCCTTGGGCCCTGCGAGGAGATACAGATGGATTATAGCTCTCTGTAGAGTCTCTTTCCGTCTCAATACGACCCCAATAGCTCATGTCACCCTCCATAGTTTGGCCAGCTCGGCGTTAGGGTTTTCTAGGCCTGCATGAAAAATTCATCTTCATGTGAGCACACTACAACCTCCGAGAAGGTATATATAGAGGAGACAAGTCTGTAGCTTTGAATCTTTCTCTTCAGTAACACCGACAATCACAATGAACTACCCCGCTGAACCCGAATTCCAACAGGCTTACGACGAGCTCTACAACTCCATCCACGACTCGACTCTGTTCGACAAGCACCCCGAGTTCGAGAAGGTCATCCCTGTGGTGTCTGTTCCTGAGCGAATCATCCAGTTCCGAGTTGTGTGGGAGGACGACCAGGGCAAGCTGCAGGTCAACCGTGGCTACCGAGTCCAGTTCAACTCCGCTCTGGGCCCTTACAAGGGAGGTCTCCGATTCCACCCTTCCGTCAACCTGTCCATTCTCAAGTTCCTCGGATACGAGCAGATCTTCAAGAACGCCCTGACCGGCCTCAACATTGGAGGTGGTAAGGGAGGTGCTGACTTTGACCCCAAGGGCAAGTCCGACGCCGAGATTCGACGATTCTGCTACGCCTTCATGGGCGAGCTCCACAGACACATTGGTGCTGACACTGATGTCCCTGCCGGTGATATCGGTGTTGGTGGTCGAGAGGTCGGTTTCCTCTTCGGCGCCTACAAGAAGTACAAGAACACCTGGGAGGGTGTTCTGACCGGTAAGGGTCTAACCTGGGGTGGATCTCTGATCCGACCTGAGGCTACCGGTTTCGGTCTCGTCTACTACGTTGAGAAGATGATTGAGTACGCCACCTCCGGCAAGGAGTCCTTCAAGGGCAAGCGAGTCGCCATCTCTGGTTCCGGTAACGTTGCCCAGTACGCCGCTCTCAAGGTCATTGAGCTCGGCGGAAACGTTGTCTCCATGTCCGACTCTAAGGGCGCTCTGGTGCTGGTCTCCGACTTCACCGAGGGCTTCACCCCCGCCGAGATTGAGCAGATTGCCGACATCAAGCTCCAGCACAAGGAGCTGGCCTCTCTCTACCCCTCCGCCACTCTTCCCGAGACCAAGTTCAAGTACATTGAGGACGCTCGACCCTGGTGCCACGTTGGCAAGGTCGACGTTGCTCTTCCTTGTGCCACCCAGAACGAGGTTTCCGGTGAGGAGGCCAAGTCTCTGGTTGCTGCTGGCTGCAAGTTCATCGCCGAGGGCTCCAACATGGGCTGTGAGTCCGACGCCATTGAGGTCTTCGAGGCCGAGCGAATGGCCCGACCTAACGGTATCTGGTACGGTCCCGGTAAGGCTGCCAACGCTGGTGGTGTTGCCGTTTCCGGTCTGGAGATGGCCCAGAACTCTCAGCGAATCTCCTGGACCAAGGAGGAGGTTGACCAGAAGCTCAAGGATATCATGGTCGACTGCTTCAACACCTGCGTTGAGACTGCTTCTACTTACTCCTCCGAGAAGGTCGATGGCCTCCCCTCTCTCGTCAAGGGTGCCAACATTGCTGGTTTCCTCAAGGTCTCTGCTGCCATGAAGGACCACGGTGATTTCTGGTAAACTAACAATTAACGACTGTATGATAGAATAATAATATTTATATGATGAAACAAGACCTGGTATCGTAGTAGTAGTTTCCATATTTCCAACTTCGCTCGCTCTAAATTCCCAAACTCGGTTTTCTATGGCGCCACTTTATCGTTCCCTCTTCAATCATGTTCGCCGCGCTCTTGTCTGTTTACCGACTAATTACCGGAGTAATTAAACTCGAATTTCACTTTAGGTTCAGGAAAAACTGTTGCTGGCAAACACAACCCCCTCTCTGCTCTTGGCACGCATGCCTCAGGTGGAGACGCATCATCAACCAAAAGTTTTTCCGAACACCAATCAAAGGGGGAAGTTAGCGAGGCTTACGCGGGGTCTCTTCCGACGAGTTCCGGTGGCCCGCCGGTATGGAGCAAGAACACCTACTTGTAGTCTACGACGGTGTCAAGTACGGTTTTGTGAACGGCCATCATCTCCCATGGCTCGTGTACCAGAGTGGGGGTACCCTCAGTTCTAAAGCAAAAGCGTGTCTCAAGGAAGGAACGAAACGGCGGGGTTTGAGAGACGGCATTCCAGATTTTCAGGGATGAAACGCGGCCTTTCAAACAAGACGGATATCGACACGGCCCTGTTATTCAGAAGCAAGCATTGAGTGGATCTTTGCGTAGAAGGAGGCAACACATTGAGCAAAGCACTTCACAGCAAATACGACAAGTTCTGTAGCTACCCATTCCGATACACACTCTTGCCGAATACCTAATACGGGCGCCCTACTAGATCTTCTGTAGGTTGGTATGGTATATTGCCTCAGTCGTTTCTTGTTTGACACATGTTACCAATAATTTCCAATTGCCCCAAATCCTCCCATGCCCTTTTGTTGCAATAATCTACGTCCCTTCCTCAGCCACACCCAATGATGTGGTCCACAATAAATCCGACGCTCAATTTTTAGGGTCACATCACACCTAAGGAAGGTAATCGAGAATGCACGTCTCTTCATTATACGGTCTACGGCGCCGGTGGGAGCCATATGCCTGGCTGATATAGACTCAAAAAAAGACTGAACGAGGCAGGGGATGGTGCTTCCTATTTCTCCCGAGACCTGAGCGGCTCAATATGTGGGATAAAGGCATTATTCAGGAACAACCGACAGACGAATGGTTCTTAAAAGCTTAACTAAATGACATACATACAAACAAGAATAATCAACCCCGCTTCAACAACAGTTCAACTAATATACAGAACAATTAACAATTCATCGTCACAAGTAACTAAATATTGCCCATTCATCGGCAATAATCTTCAACCTATCTACAGCTACCGTAGAACACACCGATAAAGATGCTCTCACAACTCTCACTGAAGATCTTCAACCTTTACTTATATAAATAGCGGTATTTCCACCCCGCTTACTCCTTCTTCTCCTCAGCAATGTAGTGGAGGTAGGCTCCGAGAGTCTTGACTCCTCCAATGTAGTTGGAGATGTTGAGCTTCTCGTTGATGGAGTGGGCTCCATCGTCTCCTCGGCCCATGGGCAGCAGCAGAACATCAGATTTGGTGGCCTGCTCGAAAATGAGGGTGATAGGAATAGATCCACCCTCTCGGGTGAGATCGGGCTCGACTCCCCACACGGCCTTGGTGGCCTTCTTGGCGGCGGTGAAGTTCCAGTTGTTGGGGTCAGACACCCAGTAGTCACCGTCGTGGACAAGCTCGACGTTCAGCTTGCACTTAGAACCGAGCTTGGCAAACTCCTTCTCAACGTGGGCAAACACAAGCTCGTCCAGCATCTTGGAGTTGATGTTGGGGACAGTTCGGATGGAGAACTTACCGGAGACCTTGGCAGGAATAACGGTCTTGGCTCCAGCACCAGAGAACGCGCCCTCAATACCGTGGATAGAGAGGGAGGGGTATCGCCATCGAGCCATGAGGGTGTCCTCCTTGGTAGAGTGCATGTTGATGTCGTTACCACCGGTAGCCTCGGTGAGCTCCTTGATGTCGTAGTGAATGTCGTCGTATCGAGATCGCTCCTCCTCGGTTACGGGAGCAACCATCTTGTCGACGCCCTCGATCTGGATCTTGCCCTTGCCGTCGACCAGGGTGGCCAGCACCTTGGAGAGATCAATCATGGGCTCGTTGACAATACCTCCAAAGACACCGGAGTGCAGATCAGCACCGGGGCCGGTGATGGTGATGGAATAGTAGTTGCAGCCTCGCAGACCGTAGGTAAGAACGGGGTGGGTGGTTCCCAGCCAGTAGTTGTCGGAGATGCACACGGCGTCAACACCCTTGAAGTACTTGTCGCCCTCGGCGAAGACGAGCTGCTCAAGACCGAGAGAGCCAGACTCCTCCATGCCCTCGAAACACATGACAAGGTTGACGGGGAAGTCGATGCCGGCCTTCTTGTAGGCCTCAATGGCGTTGAGCCAGCCAATGACGGGACCCTTATCATCGGTGGAGCCTCGGCCGTACATGACGTCCTTCTCCTCGTCCACGGTCAGAACGAAGGGGTCGGTGTTCCAGCCGTCCTCCTTGAGAGCGGGCTGAACATCTAGATGGCCGTAGATAAGGATGTTCTTCTTGTTGGCATCATTGCCGTACTTGGCAAGCACAACGGGGGGAAGCTGCAGATCCTCGGTGCCCTCCTGGACACCCAGCTCTCGGAGCTCAATGTCGTGAGCGCCCAGAGCCTTGAGCTGGTCAACGGTCCAATGGGCCATTTTGACCACCTCAGGTCGGTGCTCGGCGTCAGCAGACACGGAGGGGATAGCCACGGCGTCAGAGAGTCCTAGTGGTTAGTATGGTTGATTCGGTTATCGGTGTACTTGGGCGGTAACTAAAAAACGCCACTGACACGTCACGAGTGGAGATGGAGAGACACAACTACTGGCACAAACGTTGAGACCACGACATTTCCACGGCCATGGCGCGTAATGACACACTCTCTGTGCTGGTCTGTGTCGTGTCTTTCGCCAGTGCCTGTGTCTGTGCAACTGTGGTTAGTCCCACAGACCCATAACCCCACTCCACACATGAGGGTGTTTTAGCCGCCAAATCCGCAGGCAGATACTCACGCTGGATGAATTCGGGCTTGAGAGAGTCGACGGTCTCGAAAAACTTGTTGAGATCAGCCATTGTGTGTTTAGATGAGGAGAGAGAAGAAAGAAATTTCTGGTGGTGAAGAGTGGGCCCGCAGAGTCCATGCAGGTTGAGTGCCGTACGGTTAGCGTGCCCTAACCCCAGTTTGGAGCTGAGGCCACTTCGGCTAGTCGGAGTCCGTCGATCCGAGCCTCTGATTCCTGTGCGGCACGCTCGCGTCAGGCCGCTGAGGTGGTGGGCGAACGTCGCTTTGCTCATCTGTGTCACTCCTCGACGGCTTGTCTTACTGTTTCAGCCGTGCAATTCGGGCTGGTTTTGTTCAACTGGTGCTTTTGGTTAGACAGGAGGCTAAGTGCAAATAGCATCTGGGCCATTACGCAACCAGGGTTTTGATAGTGTTCAGTGGACCACTGAGGTGTCTACAAAATCTGGTGGAACAGGGATATATATGTACACCCGAAAACACAGCGGTTACAACACCAGTGTGACAGCATGATGGCATAACAGACGCCATCTGGTTTACTCACTTTTTTCACTATAGATAGACACACCATTTACTCAGCTATGGCGGGCTAATTTTTTCAGCGGTCACATGACAATGACGTCAGAAAAGAGAGCACGAATAATATCTGTCTTGCAGAGTAGTTGGAGACACAAAACCAAAGCGAATCACATATAACCGTGTCTGCGCGCCTAAAAACAGTCTTCTTATTGTGCCCTGCTTTTGACACCGGCCTCCCAGCTCCTTCTATAATGTGTTCCTCCCCCACACATCTGATTGCGCGTTTTGAGTTTGGGTTGCAAAATCTGAAGACCTCACATCATACAATAGAAATCAAATCTATACCACATTCCCCACAACATAGCAGCTTCTTGCGACCCGCATTTTTCTTTCGACACAGAAGCAAACCAGCGACATTCTAACTCACTCGCAGCAACACGCAACCCACCAACTTTTAGCAATACCAACCACCCCAGAAAACAAGAACACAGTTGAACAGCAGAACTCATGTCAGACGTCTCTTCGATTTGGAACAAGAAACACAGCGACTTTAGTTTCGGCACGGGATTCAAGGACTTCAAGGAAAACGGCGCTCTCAGCCCTGCATCGCCAATTGGATCGTCCATCGGAGGACCATGGCGACCTCGAGCAGGCAAGGACTCTTCGGCAGTAGGAGCTATCGGAGGGTCCAAACGGTTTGAACGGAAACACAACGGCTCTCACCATCACCACGGAGGAAACCAAGGTGGCGGAAGCGCTCCCAGAGTGCCGTATGATGACCCAAGCACGCCTCTGATGGACCCCAACACGGTGGTCAACGAAAACAACGAGGTGGTGGTGACCCCACGGCTGGGCCAACGGATCCTGGAGTCCCAGTGGACCATCTGGTTTTTCTATCGGGCTCAGGGCGTGCGAATCTCCAACTACGAGGCGGCCACCAAGCGAGTATGCACTTTTGCCACCGTGGAGGAGTTTTGGTCGTTCTACGGACATCTGAAACATGTCGACAAGCTGCCATACACCTCCGAGTTCCAGGTCTTTCGACGGGGAATCAAGCCCATGTGGGAAGACAGCCACAACGTGTGCGGAGGCAAATGGGTGTGCAGATTGAGACGACCTTCGAAGCAGTTTGCCAAACTGGACAACGATGACGATATTGTTGTGCCCACTAGAGCCCCTCCCATGCAGATTGCCTCTCTCAGGCACCAGGCAGCAGTATACTGGGAAAAGCTATTGTTGGCCCTGGTTGGCGGTACTCTGTTGCCCGAGGGCCAGTACCAGGACGAGATTGTAGGAGCTGTCATCTCGGTACGAAAGGAGGAGGATATCATTTCCGTGTGGAACCGGACTAGCAACGATCCCCAGGTGACTGAGGCTATTCGAGCAGGAATGCAGGCGGTTCTGGGAGTTCCTGAAAGTGTGACCTTTGAGTACAAGGTGCACTCGGACAGTCTCAAGGAGGGAGTGGAGAAACAGGCTCTGTACGAGACCGAGGAGAAGTAGCGTGTTTGTCAGTATCGTACATGGCCACAGCATCATCACGGATGTTACCAGACGGAGAGTGTTCGATTCTCGTCTATATATAGCATAAACTGGATAATGTGATTCAAGAAAAAGATGTTGGAAAAGATGTTGGTAGGGCAGAAGTGTTGCTTACAAATCGTGAATGCCTAAGAATCATGGATGGGAAGAGATTTAGTGAAACCATGAAAGATGGAGGTGCGGCTGTTGAGGTATAGCTATAGCACATGCCCATCTGTTTCCTACTGTCTGGCATTGTTTACATCCACATTCACGGCAACTCCTTTGATGTGCTTGTTCATGGGGGCACACACAGCAAATCATTAGCAATGTAATAATCGCCCTACTTGAGAGCTGTCAGAGGTCTTCTTCAACCGTTATTTTACTCTGTGAATACACATGCGACAGTATTGTAAGGATCCTTGCGAGTTGTGTGAAGGTACATTGATCGACTGTCTTCTCCTGGTAGGTACTTTTGTATCTGATGCTCAACGAAGCTTGAGCTACAAGTACCAATACCTGTAAAACACTGGAGATCTTTATTAAAGCTCGTCAAGATCGAGACTGGACCCTGGTTTGTCTCATGTGTCTCATTATACACCATTCTTGAACAGGAATGTTCGAGACGCGCGACTCAGATACATGGCCAGTTGTGGCTTTTCTGATTTCCATGTCCTATTCTGGGCAGAGTCAACAAACTGTCTTGAGTGACAGAATATCCTGAATGTCAGAAACGGCAAAGGATCATTGCAACTCTTTAGTTCTTTTTACACTGTTCAATCTTTGGCCTTACTTGTACTATTCACACAGCATAACACTATGTACTACCATAGTAGATGGCCATCCTGTGGTCTCTGGTAAACTGCCCGTCTGGGGAATATGAACAATTGAAGGGAGTGCGTGGACGACATAGGCCATCTTCAAGCCATTGTCAGCCTGACATTCCAATCTTTAATATGTTCAGTCCAACTTCACGTCATGTTCTATGTTCATGTCTGTCAACGTTGATAATTGCCATGTACCAAGCTGTCAAAGGTAGATATGCATAATTCTGTCAACCGTGGATGGAAACGGACGTTGATATTTGACCATTGTAGGAGACAGTTCACCCCGCCACTCTTCGGGCTCGGGTTTCTATCGCTTTCTACTTAGCAATGCAGGGTACCTCTGACCTGCACGGAATCGAGCAGCGTATAACGTACGATCGTATTCGCTAGTTTGTATTCTCCATACATTTCGTACTTGTACTCGCACTTGACGTCAATTGCTTCCAAATATCGTATCAAACCAAACCATGGCTCCGAGAGCTGTCTCAGAGCTTTGACAGTCTGGGTCAAGACCTTGTGCACTTAGACACGTCTCAGGCACCACAAATCTAACCAAGCCGTACCATGGTTACGAAGAAGGTCAGAGAGGAGAGTTTCGTCTTCACCCGAGTAGATTTGTACGCATTTGTAATTCCGTAGTTCCAAAAAAAGCGTGTTTACGACCCTATGAGGGTGTTTACGACGACCCTATCCACTCCTCTCTCATGAAGTTGATGATTGCTCTTGCTCTTGGCAGTTGCTTGGCAACAATGTGGGATTTGCAATACCATACGCTAAGTCAATAAGACAAGTGTTGCCAGACCATAGCTGTGGTTATTGAACAATGTAGTCCGCACCCATAACTCCCGCAGGCTATACGTGGACATGGGATGGGGGTTTCTATCCATAAATGGCAGTTATGCTCGCCATCGAACATTGTCTAATGGAATCGGTTAGCCGGAACATTAAACCCGGCAGTTTGCACCTGTGCAGACGAGTTCTGTGCGACATTAACAGCGGCTTCTTTGTCTAGGGAATTTGAGACAACCAGGCTTTGTAGTCACGTCTAGGACTCTGCGCTGTCCATCGACAGCCGCCAGGTGTATCTTAGTTTAGCTCCAATTACGACTTTGATCTGCAACCAACCGTGAAGGAGAGCGGGAATGCCCAGAGGTCGGTCCGAAGCCGTTTTTGGGGACTCAACCAGGTCTGTGCTTGCGATATGAACCGAGGGCCAAGAGGTCGCATGGCCCGACAACCAACAGCCGTCAGTGCATACCCCGTACAACAAGTGTCTGAACATGCAACAAGAATGGCTTTAACCGCCCGCAAAGTTGCTCCTCAGAGGTTCTTTGGGAACCGCTACTTGTAGCACTCATGTCTCTCTTATTATGGCACGGGACCAAGTTTCTCAACTCTACCCGGGTCGGGGACAGCTGAGTTTGGGCCAGGGAAAGAGCTGTAAGGAAGGAGACAACTGAGACGGCCCCGCAAGCAATCAATAGAGCGGCAGGGAGAGGTTGGTTGCGAAGCATCCTCCGTATGCGGGCCTGAACAATAACTGCTGAAGTGCGCTTGCGCTTGTCACCCTACTGTAGTGTATGTACTTTGATGAGGGTAAACTCGAGGTACTACATGAGCACAGCCTTCATTTACCGACCGTCTGCAAGTTGGTGCAAGATGAGATGGGGTTTCACATTTCGCAGCGGCTCGAACGGAAGTGAGGAGGTCTTCATTTCGAGGGTGGAGAGAGCACAAAGCGCAGCTGTTCGCCAATGCGGGCTTTAGCACTCTTTGGCCTGCCAAGTTGTGTTTATGGGAGGAGAAGCGAGAGTGGATCGAGCTTTCAAGATAGCCTCTCTTGTTGCACTTTCCCGTTTTCCGGAAAAGGCCGTTGTCAAATTCTCTTTCTCGATGGTCCTCTCTTAAACTCGGTCAAGAGAGTGAAACAGAGGAGTCCGTCCCAGCAGAGGTACAGCAATAATGGCCAACCTAAGGCTAGCCGAGTGACTGAGTTTGGACTTTCAGTTTGTCGATACACTCTATTTATATGGTTGGTGCATTGTTTGAGGGGGGGGCACGTGATGCTGAGGGGCTGTCAAATGGTTGATCTTAATGGCCTAGGCCTGGAAAAAAGACACTAGCTGTAAATAGACCGGAATTGCGTCTGTTTCAAGGCCGGTTTCCAGGTTCCATCCTGCTTCCCACCGAAAACCAGACCCTATGATTGCCAGTGTGGCCCAAAGTCTGAAGTTATTGATGTTTGCGCTTCCAGCGGTTCGATGTCTCACTTTGCCACTGTCTCAGAGCCAGTCTCTCAGACCATTTCTTGTTGCATTTGAGTTGAGTTTCGGTGGATCGTTGTTACCATGAGAAAAAACTGGGAAAAAATAAAATCCTTGGAGCCAACGTATGGTCAGAGACCGAGAAGCACAAGTGAGACTCAAGTGCAATTGCAAGTGCAAGTGAGACCGTCAGTTTGGAAGCGAAGTTGCAAACTTCCCGCTGGCCGCTCTCGTATTCGCTTGGATGGTGTGTCTGGTATTGGCCTCCCTTCACTCTTACACAGCTCGCCGTGCAGCCCTCAAGTATCATGGAGCCTACTACAGATGAACATGAACCATGTTACACGGCACGGCTAGAAGGGGGAGATGCACCGCCTGAGACTTGGCGTTTTACCAGCTGCCGGCTCGTTACGACTTCTCTTAAACCCAGTCAGACCCCATCAGTTGCCGGACATGATGGAGGCTCCTCCATCGGTTGCTCTCATGCACGGGTGCAGGTCCAAGAAGTACTCCGAAGAAATATTCGGTGATAATTATACAAGAACAATGGATGTGCAGCAGAAGCACGAAAAAAACCCGGAGACAACTTAACAGCACCGGAGTTAAGCACTGTGCACCTCGCAGGCCTGGACATGTGCCAGGGACACTCAAGCTCAATGGTTGTGGGGAAGTGGGGGTCGTAGACCAGTTACTACACTTGTACTCTCGTACAAGTAGTGTGTCTGTATTCGGCTGACCAGTTAGCTCGTGCCAAGGGTCTATTGTCAATACTTCGACTAAGCATGACTCCTTGGAAGACGTAAAACAAATGTCGTGTGTACAAGTGTCGGTACATCGGATAAAGCAAGTATCTGGACGGAGCTGTGACGACGGAGAATTGGATACGTCACCGATGCCATTGGTCTACCTCCGACAGATGGACGGTCTAAAGTATCGTAACATGACCATGCCACTTCCCAAACTCGTTAGCAGCTGAAAAAGGAGTAGCAAGGCTAATTACACCGCTGATCAGCCTTGCCCACACTGACCCTTTTTCGCGCACGTACATACATCGTTACTCGTATATGCTCATGCTCACGCCCGCTGTGTGTGTCAATGGCTGCCGACATTGGATTCGCAAGTAGAGAGACGCTTTCTAGCTTTTCATTTTCACGCAAATCTTGGTTTAAAAACCGTTTGACTTTGAGCGACAGGCGGTCAAGTTCAACTCTACCCCAGCGATGTCGGACGGGTTGCAAAATTCCTCCAAAATCCTGGCTTTTGGATTTTCCCGTCTTTTCGGTCTCCCGCAAATAAAATTTGTGACCATCATGTCGACCACCTTGTACTATCGCACAGAAACCACGCACTTCTCGCAGAATATTGACGTAGTCATCTGTACCACTCGCATGCAATCACGTCATTCTCAGCACTGAGTCACTGCGAAACGAGACCGTGCGCTGAACGTGTCAATAGCCAGCTATAGAGGAGCAGTGCTCCGTGCAAAGGTGGCTAATAGTTTGGTAGTGCACCTGCACCCGGACTATCATAATAATATACGCACAGTAGAACAAGGTGTGTTCGGTAGGTGTGTATCTTAAATTGCCAGATCCATAAACAAGCACCATGGACAAGCACTGACAAGAGCTCAGTCACCGTGCAGCACAGACAGGACGGCGTGGTGAGACGGCAAGAGTCACGGAGCAGGACGGCCGGTCAACTGGTCGTCCGGGTCACGTGCTACACTCGCCCCCCGCCTGCCTTGTCGTCTCCATTTCTCGGTTGTTCCGCCACGTCCACAGCCACTTTGAAAATACGTGGTTTCCCCGTAGTTTGTCCGACTCGGGTGGCTAGGGGAACCTTCATGGCTCTCACAAGAGCTGTCACAAGGGCTGGGGGCGTACAGTGACAAAGGTGGTGTGTACAAGGTTCAAAAGGTTTTTGTCAAACGAGTTTTTTGTCGGTTTTTGCCCTTGGTACCCTCTCTACAAGGTTGGCGCACAACCTTGTCCATACAGCCAGAACGTGCAGCCGGACACAAGGTGCCATTTTAGGGCATATTTATAAGGGTTTCCTCCGAGTCTAAAAGCTTCTTTTGGCCACCCAGGGCATTTTGAGCTTTCCTCCCTACAGCACTTAATTTTTGGTAGTCCCACACAGCAGATCCTTTTTTTCGATTTTTTTTCTCTTCTCCTACACAACCAGCTTGGAGACTCCACCGTTCAAAAACACGACCGTTCGCGAGACAAGCAAACGTCTCTCCACCACCTACTCAGCGTGATACTCCTCAGGAACCCCGTGGGTGCGGAATAAAAGACACAAGAGCCAAAAGACAAAAGCGCCCCCACAAACCAAACATCTCCTCTACCTCGACTCGCACTCCTGACAGCCACTTTCCCTCCATGTTTGGAATCTCTGGCTACTCCGAGTCGGATGGCTTCAACGACTTTTTCCCCGAGGACAACGACATCTTCGACAAGTTCATCGACGTGGACGGCAACGCCAACGACTCGCAGAACCACGCAATCTCCCACAACACCCATGTCATCTCCGCCACCAACAACAGCGCAAACAACAACACCGCGGCCATCAACGCCAACATAGCCGAGTCCTTCCAGCAGCCCGTTGACCTCATGGGCATGCTACTGTCCGGCCAAAAGAATGTCAACCAACAGACCCGCATGGACAACTCGCACTGGCGACGGCAGAACGTCCCCCAGCAGCAACAACAGCAGCAGAAGCCCCCCGCCCATTTCAGCCCCTCGGTGGCACCTACCGTGGCCACCTCCAGTGTGAATGTGGAGTTTGGGCTGCTCAGCCCCGATGATGGACTGGATTCGCAGTTTGGCTCGGTCAACACCAACAGCTCGTCCTTCCAGCCAGTCTTCTCGAAGTCCAACTCCTTCTCCAACGAGGCCACACCGTCGGGACTGGATATGACCCCCCAGTCCATCGTTGACTCGCCCGAGGAGCCCAGCAATAACACCGGCAAGGGAGGCATGTTCCAGATTGGTTCGTATGACACCCCCAGCGGCATGGCCCAGAGCTTTGGAGCCTACAACAACGCCAGCGGCATGATGGGCGGAGCTAACAATAACGGAAATGCCAACAACTCGACGACAAACCTGGCCGACAACCTATTCACCAACAACCTGCACAACTCACAACCGTTCGGCTCGTACAACCCCAGCGCATCGTCGTCCTCGCACCTACATAGCCAGCTCAGCAGTATACCCCAGGGACAGCAGCACAACAGCACCGGTGGAGGAACTGGAGGAGGAATGGGAGGAGGAATGGGAGGTATGGCAGCGTCTGCCCCCGCAGACAACTCGTTCCATTTCGCTCTGGACCCATTGGCTGTCGAGGGTATCGACTTCTACCAGGAAAACTCTATGCCTTCTCACCAGAGCCAAACGCATCTATCTGCACAGCAGAGATCTCGCTCCAACTCCATTCGAGGCGGTCCTATCCGACGAAACCGGTCGTCACACTTTTCCTCTCCCTACTCTGCATCTCCCAACGTCCAGTTCCAGACTTTTGCGTCCTCTGGCCACCACACTCCAAATGCCAGTGTGCCATCATCGGGAGCTTCCACCCCCGTGGAAGAGCCTCTGTTCTTCGACCCCTTCCGAAGCAACAACAACAACGCTCTGACCAACCCTCACTCGCTGGCTAACTCGCTCAGCAGCACAGCCATTGCCCCTCCTCGAGAAGCGCGGTTTTCGGTTTCTTCCGCCTCGGCGATGGCCTCGGAGTCGCCCTCTCCCGAGCAGAGCACAGCTGCCACTTCATACCATTCGGGCGTAAATCTCTCGTCGCCACACAAGCAGCTGCTGCCTAAGGTGGCATCCTGCCGGTCAATGACCACCTCCATGGGCTCCAACCTGCGACCAATCAAGCGGCAAAACTCGTCGTCTACTAACCTCCGAAAGGTTTCCACCTCGGCCTCCTCCCAGACGCTGTCTGCCATGTCTACATCGTGTCCCTCCAACAAGGAAGCGCTGCAGTGCTCCAACTGCAACACAACCACCACTCCTTTATGGCGACGGTCTCCTGAGGGAGAGTCGCTTTGCAACGCTTGTGGTCTGTTCCTCAAGCTGCACGGTGTTGTCCGGCCTCTTTCTCTCAAGACAGACGTGATCAAGAAGCGAAACCGAGCCTCTGGAACCGGCACCACCTCGGGCAACTCGTCGTTATCTTCTTCGCTGACCAACGACAAGTCTAACCCCATTGCTGTGCCTCGAATGACTCCCATTGCGTCTTCTGCGTCCTACGGCAAGAAGATTCTGCCTGCTGTGGCTCCCATGTCGGCCACCAAGTCCGTTCCTCTGGTGCCTATTGCGCCTCGACCAAAGCCCTCGCAGTCGCAGGCCCCTGTTCCCATTGCGCCTCTCTCTAAGGAGGCCTACATTCGCACCAAGAAGTCCAATCTGACGCGGTTGGTCAAGCAGGAGAAAGATGAATATGACTGGTTGAAGTTGAACCCCTCTACTTAGGCGCACTACAAAACGACACACAGCACACAACTAAAAGAACAAAAAAACAAACACACGGGAAGGGGAAGGTTGCATGGTGAAAACAGCTTTATAGCGATCATAACTTAATTTATTGTATATTAATGGAATACTAGTGGATAGAACAAGTATTTTTCCGAGTGAGAGTATGTACAGTACAAGCACAGATGTAGTTTCAGTTAGCTGGTCTTTCTCTCCGCAGATGCAATATACTGAATGAGTGAATGAGTGCAACGCAATAATCGAAAGTAAAATTGAACTCCTTTTGGGGTGTGGAGATCATAGACGCTATTTCAAGTGTAAAAACTTGCTATTTTGATACGAGCGATAATACAGGTTTGGTACGGGTGCACAGGGCGTATTCTGTGGTTGTTTTTTTAGCACATTCGGGTACGTAATTATGCGGGCTTGTCTCACAATAGCAGCAGTCTTACGGTAATGTGATGTGATTCCCCAGCCCTTCTCTTCTGCTTTCACTCTCCTCTCTTTCTCAGTTGGTTGCAACGTTTCCACGGATCCCGATCTGTACGTTAACTCAGACTCTGTCCTGCGGTATGTAGGGTTGATAAATGGTCAGGTTTATAGGTTTGGTTTGATTGGTTTGAGGGACTATACTGGCGATTGGGGCTGCCTTGGATTTTACTACTAGTACCACTACAAGTAGGGACCGCCTCACTTGTGCTGGTAATATGGGCTCAGCTACACGGTTGAATGAGAACAAGGTTGGCCCATAGTCTACGAGTAGTCTAGCCCAATAAAATATGGAAGAAAAAAAACAGTTCGAGCCAGAGTATGACGAAGGTGAGCTTCCGAAGCGATATCGGCGTACGAGAATGATACTCTATGGCAATTTAGCTGAGGAGAAACACAATTGAAGAGTAGATTGAGTGTGAAGCTAAGGGCGCGGTTACCCCATGAAAACCATGGGCACTACTGCACGAGTACATACATAGTCATAGTGGCACTTGTCCTTGTTATAATACATGATAATAAGTGTATTTCACGGAACGTGATGACAGGTGAGGGCGTTGTGACAATGACAGCTGAAGAACATACCAAGAGCCCAAAAACGGACCATTGCTACTGTCAACTTATACAGTAGCTGCCGCCAAGGCTTCTTTGTGTCCGTCGCAGGTTCCGTAGTCTCGTCTGATCAGCCCAGATCCATCAGCATTACTCTGCATTACCACATCGCAAAGTGATTGGGCTAGGGACAGGTTAGAACATTCCACGGCAGGGTATGAAGGTGTAGCCTTGAACTTGACACTTTCCACGGATGAAGACAATGTGTATGTACGAGTACAATACCAGTGTGTGACCCAGAGTGTACCCGCGTACAGTAGCCAGATCATAACGGCCGTGACATCTGAAGCGGCTGTAGACAGTTGTACCGGCACAATTATCTGTGAGACAGAATGTGTTTCAAGAGACCCCATGTTTCAAATGGGAATGACTGTCACTCCTGCTCTCACTTTCAACCGGCAACTATTGTACGAGTAGTGTCACTTTGTCCATTCAAGCATCAGCATATCGATAGCCCGAATGCCGTTTTCGAAAATGGGCTCGGGGTACTTTAGAAAAAAGTCTCGTCGAATGTCGCTGAACCGAAAACCGCACTTTTGGTAAAAGGCCAGGTTGTCGATAGACGAGTTTGCGGTGCCCACGACGAGCTTGGACACATGAGGTTGCTCCTGAAGCAGCTTTATGGCCTTCTTTCCCAGCCCCTGACCCTGATTGCCCGGAGCTATAGCCAGGTTTTTGATTTCGTCTCCAATCACTTGCACCACCCCCACCACCTCTCCATCGTCCATAGCAATCTTGTACATAGTTCCCTCGTCAATATACGTCTGGACGATTTCCTCGCTTTCGTCAGCTATGAGAAGCAGCGGCAGCAGCGGCAGTCGGAGGCCTGGAGCGACGGCCTGGAGGTTCATGCTTGCAAAGTCTCGATCCCAATCAGATTAAGTGTGCGGTGTAGGCTCGCTTAACTAAAGGCGATAATTAAGGGGCACCGGTAGAGTTACATCGAAAGCCAAAAGACAAAAAATGGGCTTTTTTTTGCGGGGCATGGGTGACTGTACCAGAACGCAGTGTGCCGGAACGTACAGTACATGCCGGTATGTACATCCAGCATAGCCACGTAAACACAGCTATAGGTGTTGTTGAGCAAAGGCCAAGTGGGGGCACTACAGACCTCCTCCGCCCGCCCTCTGATCCACCCCCACCCATGTAACGCACGTGCATATGGACCCTAAATGAGCTGTTTCAGCCAAACGAGGCTCGGCGTAGACTAAAGTAGCCTGATTATGAGCACTCTTGAGGGGCCAAGGAGAGGTGGTGGGGGGGTTAAATAGCGACAGAGATTGTTTGTATTGATTGATCTATTCTCATTACATTGTCTCTGGCACTTTTACCACCCAAACCCCCTCCCGAGATGTCTCCATCTCACCCTGCATCAGCTTCCGATCTACTGGTAGGGATCGTGGTAATACGTAATACCCAGCCAAACGAGCCGTCCTCCCAACCCATGCATAAAGCTGGACAAGTGGACCAAGTGGTCCCAACATGAAAAGTGTGCTGTTATTACGACAGCAAAAAAGACAACTTGCACACTCGCCGATATATTCGCACCCCCATACAACCTAAGCCCCGACACGACAAGAGGACTGGACACTGGACTCTGGAGGCATAACGACATCCAGGAGATAGCCAAAGCGACCCACAGAAAGAATCACATCCGACAAGAACCATGTCGGCCCCTCCCTCAGGCCATGCCCGCTCTCCAGGCATGTCCATCATGTCGCTGCTGTCAGATGATAACAACTCCACCAACCAGACACCAGGAAGCCCATTAGCATACCAGCAATCGCCTCCCCAACATCCACATCCGCATCAGCAGCCGGGCCCTCCGCCCCAGTATGCCACCACCTTTAGCTACTCGCAGATTCAGCCCAGACAGGGCGACTACCCACTTCAGCAGCAGCAGCAGCAACAGCAGCAGCACTATCCGCCTCCACAACAGCAGCAGCAAACATATCAGACCCAATACCAACAACCGCCATCGCAAGTGTCTCCTCCCGTCCGGGCGCAGCAACCACCTCAGCCTGCGGCTCCTGCCCCTCCGTCCAAAACAGCTTCTAGTCCGGCTACCCCTGCTACACCTGCCACGCCGGCAGCGGCACCAACTACGGCGGTGGGAAAGAAGGCGGGCAAGGCGGCATCCACAGCAGCGACAGCAGCGGCAAAACCGACAGCTACCACGGCAGCAGGGAAACGGAAGAAGGCTGACGACCCAGCAGCGCCAAAGAAGGGAAAGAAGAAGCAAAAGAAGGATGATCAGACACAGCAGTCGGTGGGATCCATTCCTATTGTCACTGGCTCCGACGACAAGGTGACGGCAAGGCCCAAGGAAAATATTCCTCCTCCTCCTTCAGTGCCCATGTCGCCAGGCAAGAAACAGGCCCAGGGACTGGATGCCATTGGGCAGAACAAGGACGCCGGTCGAGGCTCCAAGCCGGAGGTGACTCTGCGACTCCGAATCCGTCTGGCTGGAGGAAACGTCAAGGTCAAACCCTCACAGTCTGTTCTCAAGAAGGCCGACAAGTCTGCTGCGTTGCCTGAACCCAAACAGTACGTGATTGATAACGAGGAGTACGACTTTTACTCCACTCCAGACAAGGCCAATGACTGGACCGCATCAGCTGATGATACCACTGTGCTCAACTTCACCCGATTGGCTGAGGACAAGTACGGATACGATCATGTGCACCCCAACCAGGCTCTTGATCTCGTGGACGACGATGGAGAGGTGGAGGACGACGACGAAGAGGAAGAGGACAAGGACAAGGAAAAGGAAGAGAAGGAAATGAAACGGCGACAGCGAGTGGAGGGTAAATACGATCTTAACGATCCCTTCATTGACGACACAGAGACTGCATGGGAAGAACAACAAGCATCAACTCAAGACGGCTTCTTCGTGTACTCCGGGCCACTAATTGAAGAAGCTCCCAAGCCGGTGGAGACCAAGAAGCCTGCCAAGAAGCCTGGTCCCAAAAAGAAGACTCTGGCGGCAAAGGAAACTGAATCCAAGAAGAAAACCACCCCTCTCGCCTCAGCTACTACATCATCCACAACCTCAACAACAGCTAGCGCTACAACCACTACCACCCCAGCAACAGTTGAGAAGAAAGCATAACCAAGTATTATATCTTTAATATATAAAGAAATTTTTATTCTCAAGAAACATTTGTAAAAACACCCGATCATAACCCATTGCCCAGTTTTAACGGCTTTTTGCGGCAGAATTAAGCTTTTTTCTCTGGGTCACGTGAGTTTAATGGCCCAAGAAAACGGAACACGTTCCAAAAACGTCACTATCGGAGGCCCGATGGTTTAGTGGTATAATTCTCGCTTAGGGTGTCCTAGGCAATTTGCGAGAGGTCCCGGGTTCAATTCCCGGTTGGGCCCCTTCTTTTTGCTTGCTTTACATGTCTATCCTTTTCTTTTTCATCTCATAGAGCTTTGCACCGCATGGCGTGTCGCTCCAATCAAGGGATATGTTCGCGTCCAGGTTGATTAGGTTAAGCTTCTTATACGAACTTTATTTGGCACAGATGATTATTTTGATCGATCTTTCGTATCTGATGACTGTATCGAAAATGTAATTATCTCCATCTTTATATATTAACTACAATTGTATTGGGTACGCCGAATTACGTCCTTGTTTGATATCATATCATCATTATTCGTGCATAAATACTAGACTTAGAGTCGGGCGAGAGCTCCCATGGGATCCCACAGAGGCAGAACCTTGGGCTCCTGCTTGAGAATCTCAAGAACCTCAGGCTCAACGTACTTGTCGGTGGTGACCACCTGGAAGACATACTCATCGAACCAAGCATCGGACATCTGGTAATAGCCGTCCTTACCGTTGTCCTTACCCCAAGAGTTTTCAATTCGCCATCGAACTGGCTTTCCGCTCTCATCAAGATGAACGGCAGTGATGGCCATTGCGTGGGTCATCATGGAAGAACCTGTCTGGAGGCGCTGCTTCTTGTTCAGTTTCATGCTGGTGTTGAAACCCAGGTTGTAGTCCCAGGCCTGAGTGTCGAGCACACCGGACTTTCGGTCTCCAAACTTGCCAACGTCAGAACCGAAGAAAACAGCCTCGTTGTTCTGGATGGCCTTGATGGCGGCCTTCTTGAGCTCGGAAATATCCGTGTTGACGTAGTCAACGTGGGCCTTCGCTCCACCAGCAACATTGTTGAGTCGGTCAACGGTGTATCGCTTGTTGTACTCGTTTCGGGGGTCGTTGATGAGAGAAAAGTACTTCTTGAAGTCGATTCCAATGAGCTCGTAAAGCTCCTTGGGGGTCAGCTGCAGAGTCTCCACCTTCTTGGCGGAGATCTCGAGCTCCTTGTCATCAGACACCTTGTCTCGGGTCTGGAAGTCCCAGGTGAACTTCTCGTCCACGGCAGGAGGAGTGCCCAGAGTGATGCACAGAATGGTGTGGATCTCCTGGAGGAAGTCGGCCTTCATTGCAAGAGCCTCGTCCTTCTTGCCAGCCTTGACCAGCTCACGCAGGGTCAGAGCGTACTCTCGCAGCTTCTCGGTGATGAGGTAGCACATGTTTCGGGAGTTCTCCGAGTTCCACGAGTCGGGGAACACGTCGAGAGGCACGAGGCCGTACTTCTCCACTAGGTTGATGATCATATCAAACTGGCCTCCGTCGTTGACGGGCTCCTTGAGCAGCTCCTGCACGAGCCGCGAGTCGAGCTCCTCGTCGGCGGTGTCAATGACATTATCCAGGAACCAGTTGGACTTCTCCAGCTTGTCGTAGAAGAAGAGATAGGTCTGGGAGAACTGGAACGAGGGGATCTTGAGCTTTTGCTGCAGGGCGATCCGCAGCACATTGAGCGAGGCGAAGATCCAGCATCGGCCCGAGGACCGCTGGTACGTGATGGGGGTGCCCTCGAGCTGGATCTGGGTGTTGAAGACGCCAATGTTCTTGTTGAGGGCGGACCGGTCAATGATCATGTCCTGGAAGTTACCTCGCGAGATGGCGGCCTGCGCGAGTCTGTTCTTGTCCGACTTGAAGGCCTGGGTCTTCCAGGCATCGAGAGAGGCGGTGTTGACGGGGTTGGGCGACATTGTGGAGTACCGGCGGGAGGAGGTAAGGTGTTGGGCTAGAAGTGGGGTTGTCTTGGACGGGGCTCTGGCTCTATATATACTTCTCATTGTGGTGTGGTGGGATAACTAACAAGGTTGGGACAAGTGGATATGGCACGGAAGCCGTTCATCTCAAAAGAACTCCAAGTTAAGTTTGTGTGGAGAGAGCTCATGAGAGGTGCGGTTCCTTCAATGTGGTCATGTGACCAGATAATTTGCCACGGTGTCCTCCAAGGTCTGCAAGAACCCCCGTCAATCTCAATCCACTACAATTACGATACTTGTAGTGCTGTCTCCATCGCAATTGAACGCCACCGGCCCTCAACAGTTCCTCTGAGTCGTGCCTTGTATACGAAGGTTATGCGGCTCAAGTGACAGTGTCAGATCTTATCAAGAATCACTCTAGATACCCTACGGAGCGACAGGGAGTGATAAGGTGCTTTATGAGGGAGTTTGATCGTATACACAAGTCCAATGTATCCGAAAAAATCTCCAATATGACCTTTTCACGGCTCAATCTCCCTAGTGTCGTCTTCTATACTGCATTTCCGTGTGCCGTTTCTTCGGACTCCGTAGTGCCGTCCACTACTCATATTACATGCCACCTGCAGGCGGAGTAACAACAGAACATCAGAAGCAAGCCAATTGGGGCATAGGGGTGGTGAAATGAGTAATATATTGAGTCAGAGAAACAGGTTGAGATGTGCCGTGTGTTTTTTTTTGGTGCACATCTAGCGACAACATCCGGACACTTCCAGTAGATATCCTACTTCTGTACGAATAAAGTAGAAGTACTGTTCCAACTTTTTGCACTGTCCTCATGACCACTTAGTACAAGTACATAACTTTCTAGATCACTTTACTAAAACCAACTACAAGTATTTTTTTAATAAATCAATCTCAATGTATCATTCTATAGTGTCAATAAACAGTTTTGTGTGTGAATCCTCCGCAAATCCTCCATCTAGGCCTTCTCGCTGGAAGCAGCCTTCTTCTTGTTGGCTCGCTTAGCCTTCCAGTCAGCAATGGCAGCACCAGTTCGCCACACTCGAACACGGGCCAGGTAGTAGCAAAGAACCATGGCACAGATGTTGAAGATGATGTAGGCGCAGATGAAACCAACGTTTCGCCATCGGTAGTGGTACTTGATGCCCACAGTGGCAATGAACTCGTCAGCCACAGAGTAAGGGCAGTAACCACACTGGGTAGTGGCGTTGGGGTCCTCAAGGTAGCCGGTGGCCTGGCTCAGGAACTTACCAGCATACTCCTGACAAGTCTGCCCACTGGGAGGGTTGAATCGAGAGAACTCTCGGGGCAGACAGGTAATCTTTCGGTCATGCATAACATCTCCAACATAGGCCTGAATAATGTAGGTGAAGGGAGACAGCTTGTACATGAAGGTCCAGAAACCAGGCATGAGAGAAGCGGGTTGCATAACACCACAGAAGGCAATGACGAAGGAGAACATGAGCGAGGTAATGATGGAAGCCGAGGGCACATCAGGCGAAAAGTAGAGAATCCACAGACCGAAGGACAGGTAGTACAGGTTGAACAGAATGGCGTAGATGAAGTAGAAGTATCCGGCCACTCGAGCAGAAGTACCTAGCTTGGTGGGGAAGTAGACACAGCAGTAAAAGATGGTTCCACCAATCAGAGCGTAAGGCAGCTCAGAAATGAACTGAGAGAAGAGCAGACAAGACCAGTGGAAGGTGTTGGACGACGACTCTCGAACCTCAAACAACTCTCGGGACTGGAAGGCAAACGACTGGATCTGGTTGATAAGAGGCACAGACAGAGTGGTGATCATGAAGACAGCGAAAATGGCATTCTGCATTCCAGACAGGGTGAACTTGATGTCCCAAAAAGAGAAACCAATGAAGAGACCACCAACGATAAGAAGCATGAACTTGGCCATAATGTAGCCGGGAGACCGCCAGAACTGAATCTGGGTTCGTCGAAGAACCCATCGCAGCTGAGTCATGTAAGGAGCAGCGTACTTTCGCTGAAGAGAGGGGTCCAGTTCCTTCTGGGGTCGCTGAGCAAGCTCCTGTTGGAGCTTGGCAATCTCATCGGTGGTCTGTCGGTACTCCTCAGAGTTCTTCCACTTATCGTGCCAGTCTCCATCGGCAGTAGCAGTAGCACCGGCACCGATACACTCGAGAATGTATTCGGCAGGGTTCTCATCGGGAGCACACTTTCGACCACCCTGTCGCTCAAAGTAAGAGACGAGGGTGTTGGAGTTCTTACCAATATCACCGAAGTAGACGGTCTGGCCACCCTTCTTCAGAAGCAGAAGACGGTCAAACTCCTCAAACAGAGTAGCAGAAGGCTGATGGATGGTACACAGAATGGCCTGGCCGGCAGCAGCAAGGTTCTTGAGGAACTGGACAATAGCCCAAGCAGACTGAGAGTCAAGACCAGAAGTAGGCTCATCCAAGAACAGCAGCAAAGAAGGCTTGGCGACAAGCTCGACACCGATAGACAGCTTCTTTCGTTGCTCCACGTTGAGACCTCGACCAGTCTCTCCAACAAGAGACTCTGCGTAAGCTTCCATACCAAGCAGCTTGATGATCTTGTCACAGTAGTCAATCTTCTCCTGGTCGGGGACAAAAGAGGGCTGTCGAAGACGGGCAGAGAAAATCAGAGATTCACGAACAGTGGACTCAGCAAGATGCAGATCCTGCTGCTGGACATAACCGGTTCGTCGCTGGAAAGTTCGATCCAGAGGTCGGCCGTTGACAAGCATGTCACCAGTGATGACACCAAAGTTGATTCGCTGAGACAGAACGTTGAGTAGAGTGGTCTTACCAGCACCAGACTCTCCCATAAGAGCAGTGATAGTACCGGGCTTGACGTAACCCTGCACGTTATCTAGCAGCTTTCGAGTACCGCCAGCAATAGGAATGACATAGTCGACATTTTGCCAGGTGAAGACGTCTCGCTCTTCATCGAGGGAGAGGAGGCGGTCCATCTTCTTCTCGGAATCGTCAGCCTGGGCCTTGTCAGCAATCACCTCGTCAATATCAGCACCCTCCTTCTGCAGCTCCTCGGGAATATGGCCTCGCTTAAACAGCAGAACGTCACCAGAAGAGGAGTGGTATTGGATGTACTCGGAGAAGGTGACGTTGAAGAAAACGAAGCCCATCCAGAAAGCAAACAGAATACCCAGGTTTCTCCACATGTGCGAGAAAGAGTAGTTGTACGAGTTCTTGATGTAGTTGTCACCAGTGACGACCAGAGAACCGGGTGTGGAACCAGAGAAGGAGCAGACCTTGTTGGATTCGGGCATGCCGGAGTAGTCTGGACCAGCGGGCACAATCTGCTCACAGGTCATGACTCGGTTGTGAAACTCGTTGGCCATCAGGGCCTCGAAACCGTAAGCCACAGGGTTGGCTCGGTTCAGCCACTTGAACCACACATGCATGGTAGGGGTGGGGATCATATAACCAGAGTAGACGACGATAATCAGAATACCAATACCAGCCAGCGAATTGGCAACTTCAACGGAAGGAGTGGCAGAGGCCAGCACTTGGAAAAAGGCCGTCATACACTGGGTTGTGACGAACAAAATGAACAGATGGGCAAAGAACTGGCCGGCCGTTCGGTTCAGGTGGGTCAAGAAATAAACAATGAGGGTGAAACAGATCATGGTAACAAGCTTACCGGGGATATCGGTCAGCAGGGCCTGGAGGGCCTCGCCGGCAGGGTGGTAGAACGAGTAACTTTTTTGCTTCACAATAATAGGTCGCTGGGAGAAGGAGTGGGAAATCTCGGCCATAGAGGCGAGAGCATTAAACAGAAGAGTAAAGAAAAGAACACCACCTCGAGAGAATGCTCCAGCGGTGGACTCAGTAATGTTGTAGAAAAGCGAACCAATGACGAGGGCCTGGATGATGTTGGCACACACGTTGATGGTCTGGTAGGCCATGTCTCCCTTGAGACGCTCGAAACCTCGCTGGGTGAGGAGTCGCATCTGCATGGCAAAGGAGATGAGGTAGGGCGACTTCTTTCGCTGTCGCTTCATCTTATCCTTGGACAGCGAGTCCTGCATGTTCTGGAATGTCTCCTCGGCGTTATGGGAACCCACATAGTCGTCGTACTCGGCTTGGACCACTCGGAACTCGGGGGAGGCCAGCCAGTACTTCTCGAACTCGTCAGCGGTGGTGGGCACCTTGCCGACCATCTCAGGGTAGGGCTCTCGGCCAAGGGGGTCGGTAACAGCTGTGAGGAACTCGGCGGTAGTCTGTCGAGGAGGGCACTCGTAACCCATTCGCTGGAAGTAGTCCTTGGCGTGATCGGCGGGTCCGTAGTAAATCTGTCGACCAGAGTAGAGCACAGTGACCTTGTCAAAGAGGTTGTAGATGTGCTCTCCGGCCTGGTAGATGGCAACAAACGACGCATTGTTGAGAATGTTAGTGGTGGCTCGGATGGCCTGAGAGTATTCCAGAGCAGTGGAGGCATCGAGACCTCGAGTAGCGTTATCCCAAGCAAAAATGGAAGCTCGGGTAGCCAGGGCCTCTGCAATAGAGACTCGCTTTCGCTCTCCTCCAGACACACCTCGAACGAAATCGTTTCCAACCTTGGTGTTGTAGGTGTGACGCAGACCGAAGACGGTTGCCAGCAGCTGGACGTAGTTTTTGATGTACTGGTCTCGAGTGAGTCCGTCCAGACGCTGTCGTGGGGTTCGGCATCCGACAGCAAAGTTAAGAGTCTCTTCGACGGTGAGATGGGGGAAATGCACGTCCAGCTCTCCATTGTAGATAATGTCCGACTTAAAGTACTCCAGCATGTCCTTCTGGCTGAGACCGTCGTATGAAATGTCTCCCTCCACGCCAGTGTAGCCTCCGACCTGTCCGGTAATGGTCTTGAGGAAGGTGGAGCATCCAGATCCAGGTCGGCCGAGCACCAGGCACATCTCTCCGGCCTTGAGCACTCCGTTGTTGTTCTGGATAATGTGTCGAGTCTGCTTCTTCTTGAAAGCCTTAGCGATTTGGACTGGCAGGGTGGCCAGGGCTCGCAGCAGCTCGTCGACCGAAGGAACAAAGACGGTGGACTGGTCGATACCGTCGGTGGTCAGGTTTCTCCAGCCCACGCCTGCAGAACGCATGTGCACGCCTTGCTCGTGGGACTTTTGCACAAAGCCGTCGAGAATTCGGGCCAGGTCAAAGGTGTCTTCGTTGTTCTTGAGAGACTCTCGCTCATCTTGGGTCATTCGACGAGAAATCTGCTCTGTGTATGACTGCAGCTTGTGCAGCGACTCGGGGTTGGACAGCACCCGCTGCAGATCGTTCACGTCCCGGGAATCGGGGTCCATGTTCTCGACATCGGTGAGAGGCACCGGGGTCGCCGTGTAAGTGTTATCTTCCGAGGTTTCCGACATCTGCGTTAGAGGAGCTCCGGAGGAGGAAGATTCGTGCTTCTCGGTGTGGTCGACTTGCACCGGGTGTTCTTGCTCCACGTCCCGATTGGGATCGATAGGGCCGTTGTCCATGGTGCTTGGAGTGGTGATATGTGTGAGGAAGAAAAAAGTTGGATCCTTTTCCGTCTAGACTTTGGAACCTCTTCCAAGCAGCAAGGCTAGAACGGTTAACCCTTCCAGCAAGGTTGGTTGGGCTACTCTCTCCATTCAAGTAAAATCAGCAGATAGCAGCGGCACCAGGCCCGCTAAGACGCCATGGTATACTCACATTGATCGAGACACGTTCGTCAGGTAGCTTAGAGTTGCTACAGTGGGCTACACTCTTGTATTTATTTGATCTTGCTGAGCTACTGGAAGCTGGCCTCGCACTTTGTTATGCATATCAGCCCGATCCGAAAAGGGAACTTTCAGATGCATCTAATTCAAAACATACAATCGCCAAACCCAAACGAAAGCTGTTATGGAAGCTTGTCCGACTATGACAATCGGACGCACCGTGCAATGGCGAAGCTGTGTGAAGCAGCCGGTGAGAGCTGTCAGATTTGTCCTGTACACATGTGCCAATGCCTCGGTTGGCCCATCGCCCAGCCTGTCAAACTTAGACCCTCTGCCACCGTCGCAATGGTTTGTCAGTCCAAGTCGCCTGCATCGGAAGGAAGCAACCAGTTTCTAGCACCTTTCCGTTCCGCTCAGCCGTGCAAGAAAAGCAAAAAGCCAAAGGTATGTTCTGGAGGAGATGTGGAAGCCAAAAAACCTTGGGTGGCTTTTAAATCATACAGTCATCGCAGCTATCGCTTGGTTCATTGTCGTTTAGCAATACGCCATGTGCTTGGCTGGCGGCGTACATTGTAGAGTCCGGCATGTGACGGTCGCAGATGGATCACCGTGCCGTGAGCCGCCAGGGCAGCCAGCGTCGCACATTTCAACCAATTAGTCGAGATATAAATGCAACGTTATACAAGTATATCCCTTAAACAGGTGGGGTAGGTATGAGGGTGCCGCTACGCTTGGTGTTGTATCGCTACACTACGTAGTGCAAGCACCAAGGTGGGTGGCTCTACCTGATGAGAATGAGGGATATTTTGTCAATGGCTCCGATAGTGGCAAGTCGACGTTGGCAGCACACACTCTGTAACTTCCACTTGGGGCTATTATTTCCCCAACATGGCCATCATCCCCTCCGGAACATGTCCCTCTTTTTATCTCACTTTCCGACCCGATCCCAAATAGCAGCAGCGTGGATACTTTTTGATGCTTCTCAGATGCCTATTTGTAAGCGGGCCTCCAAGGTCAAGGTTTTTTGCCGTTGAGAGCTTAGGTACACCGAGAGGTTGACGTTTCGCCCAGCCTTTGTGTTCGCCACCGTCAGGGTGGCCCCTTCTTATCGCTCCGGTCACCGGGCTGGGGCCTCTCTTCGCTTGCTGGGCCCTTGTTCCAGCTGCTCGGTATCTCTACTGACGTCAAACTCAGCCGTTGATCGGTTTCTCTTCCCAAAGTCTACTTTCTGACTGGCTCCACTGGGTGCTTGTGTGAGAGATGAAGGGTGGGCTTGTCTCACCACAGTTCCTCCGGTTGGGGTGCAGTTGTGCATGGAACGATTGGCGCATGGGGGCTTTATCGATCCATCGATATTGCTCCACCACCTCTCCTATAAGTACGTACTCGTACCGTACGAGCACCAGTACTCGTTCGCTGACCGCCTCAAGACAGGTCTCGGTTGCCCGAGCTTGACTTAAAAATAAAAAACAACCAAGACGTGGCATGACAGTCAAGCTCAATAAAAGACAGACGACCGACGCCTTCGGCACATGGATCAAGGCACTAGTTAGCAGACCCTACATGGCGAGAATAAGACACGGTTGCCCCGAATACCGCGCCCTTCCTGGGTCCTCAGACTGGCCCCTATCCGTAGCTACAAGTAGCTAAGAGTAACTACTCGTATCACTACCTAAAATCCAACCATTGTGATAATAATAGGTCTCAAGATGAAAGGAGACCAAACATTGTCGCATTACTTGACGGACTCACATTTCTACTGCCCTTCAACCTCTTCAAAGTCTCTTCTCTACCTTAGAACGTCGAGATCCAAAACCTGCTGTAGCTACTTGTTATCACGCTCATTTATTTATCCGATCTATTTTTGTCTCGACTCTTGGCTATCATTGGTTTTGGCCGACTCCTATCCAACCCAACATCTCTCCTGATTGAAAAAAAGCTTCATCGCATAAATTACTGCTCCAAAGTTAGCCTCCAGTTGCCTAACCTACAGCTGTTGGACCAACTTGTTTACTTTTTTTACACCGAAACTTGTCCACGGAAGCGCCACCAACAGACCCTCCCGTAACTCTGAACCTGAGCCCACTCAACTGAGCCTGTGCACACACAAACTGTATTCCCCTTTGTACTGTAATTAGTCATCTCTGAAGGGGCACAGCTTTGATCCTTGTAGCAACTATAGTTTGGTGGCCCTTAAACCCGGCACTAGCGACTGAACGCCTAAAAACAAGGACATTTCGGACTTGACAAGCTCGCTATAGCGCGGAAGTTGGTCTGCTTTCCTGCCAATTCTTCATTCAATCAGCTCACCCGAAATATTGGTGACCCGAAAAGCTCGCATTATCGGACTCGTACAAGTACCCCGATCTGCTTGCTGCAGAACACCCCTATCTCGGCAGTAACCGAGAAACCAAACGCCGACATTAAAAAAAAGTCACTTCATATGAGTCCGGCATTGGTTCGGTACAAGTAATTAACCACCTTCCGCCAAGCCTTCCCGTTTCATCTTTGCACAGCGATCAGCAAGGTGCATCCATCTATCGCTTAGTAATCTAAGAGTAGACCAGACCAGTTCGTCGGAGTCCGAATGCAGCTCCAGCAATCTATTTACCTATTTTCTTCGGTGCAACAATGCAGCCCTCAAGGTACAGTATGTACACTTTGTCCCCTCATCATCCGAGCCGCTTCATCTTTTTGGCCTTGGGCTTCTCAACTCGTCCCACTGTGTTAGCTTCGATATCGTAACAGACAGTTTCGGTACGCTGTTGGACTGTACTTGGCATCTACCTTGCGGAGCTTGGCAACCAGTTATCCAACCGAGGTTCCGGCATGAAGAATGCTTGACAAAAGACCTCCTATTCCTTCGCCACCATATGGACTGCACCAAAACTGCATTCCGGTGATGAAAAAAAATAGTGAGCCGCAGCAAAATTCTTGTTGAGGGTGGGTAGCAACACGTGCGTCCGCACAATGAATGTTGCTGCAGCGAAAGCAAACTTCTTTCACAGAAGCACTTGCGGCTGATGGCTGAGCTCGTGTGCAACGTAATCTCCCTTCCGTGTCGGAAAATCAACTTATCTTATTCCGCTGCCGCTGTCTTTGACACAGCAAAGTGATGCACACTTTTAGCCGCATTTAGACCAGTAGTAGTCCATCGTAACCGTATCTTCCATAATCTCAAATGTAATACTCACCTCTACCGGATGCGTCAGACGGACTCTGAAACATACTGGCCCGTCCCGCATTGGCCTTTTGGCTGAACTTTTGCCACTTGTTCTTCGTGGCATCTAGTGCCTCCTCCTGCTTCTCCCACTTGCTCTTTTTCTTCTTGGGAGCCAGAGCGTTCTGAGACTGCAGAGCAGGTCGGTCGCTTGCACGTGACTCAGCTGGTGGAGCTGAGGGAGGGGGAGTCGGCGATGCACTGGATGCGCTTCTTGGAGGCGGCTTTGGAGCGCACACTGGTTTAGGAGGAGCTGGTGATTTGGGAACACTTGCTGGGGGCGGAGGGACAGCCAAAGTGGGCTTGACAGGTGCACTTCCACCCGTAGCAGAATCTTTTGCTCCCTTCTCGTTGCCGTCCTCACCCTCCACCACATCCTTTTCGTCACCACAGGCCTCCTCCTTTTGATCATCATCTGCATTAGTATCATCTTGTAACAGCTGAATTAGCTCGAGCAACTCATCCCTCAGGGTTGCCAGGTCGGCGTTTTCTGGGTCATCCAGAAGTTCGGTTTGCACTGTTTCCAGCTGATCTAGGTACTCTTGGAGATCGTCAGACATGATGTCCTGAGTGTGATGTGTTGTGTAGTGGTGATGTTCAAAAAAAAATCTGGCGTGGATAATGTATATGCATGTTCGAACTTTGTTACACGATAGACGATACATACCCATGGCTCACTCATTAATCATTAATTAGTATAAATAAGTACGGAAATGTCTGTGGTTCGTGACTTTTGGAGGCTTGCGCGAGCGCATTAAATGAAGATGACGTTGACAATTGTGGAAATGGTCCAGATACTGATGATGGTCACTCCAATTGTCTTGGTCATGTGCCATCGAGCCAAGGGAACCATCACCATGGTGATGACCAGCGTCAGAAACAGCGTGGCAGCAGAAATAATAAGAGTCCCGCTGATCTCAATGTGGTAGCTGCCGTTTTTGACTGCATTACCAGGAGAGCTGGTAACAATGAGACCAGACACTCCGACTCCCACAAGAACGTTCAGAAGAGGGCCACCGAAGCAAGCAGAGAGAGCCATCATTGGGAATCCCATCTTGGCAATGGTAGTGTTGGCAATCAGATCTCCCAGTGAGTTACCAAAGGCAAACACAGTGAGACCCAGAACGGGGTCAGAAATGCCCAGAATGGCACCCAAAGCCTTGAGAACACCAACCACAACATCCGCGATATGAGACACCCACGCAATGGAAGTCAGGAAGCCGAAGAACGCGAGGAAGCGGTACTGGCCAGACTGCACCATTCTGTCGTAGTTAGTGGCTGCCAGCCACATTAGCGTCATGGAACAGATAATGCAGAAAATAGTTCCCCATACTCCGGGGACCTCATCTAGCATGAGAATGTTGATGACGGGAGGAGCCAGCATGGCCTGCACAATCACAAGAATCTTGTTTCGTCGAGCCATATTATAAAGTACCTTGTTTTCGCTCTCAGCAGCCAACAAAGGGTTCGTTGTAGCAGTGTTATTGGACACAAACGAAGCATCATCAGAATAAGCAGACACGGGCTCGGAAGCATTGGGAACCTGAGGCTCTTCAACCACAGACTCCACAACGGGGATAGTGATGGATAGGAGGAAGACAGGGAGAGCCGTGATGACACTGGACACCATTCCCATGAACGACTTGGACCAGAAATCAGTCAGGGTAGGGAACAGAGCCACGACCCAAGCACTCTCAGTCACCTCCTTGACGTTGGACCACATGGGTTCGATGGAGGAGGGAACGGGTGAGAGTTCAGTGTCTAATCGACGAGTCAGAGGTGAGTGAATCAAATCTGAATGGTTGTGAGCATGATGATCCTCACCGTCATTAAGATTGTTGATTCGGTCTCTAAAGTCGAGGGCACCATACAGAGACGGTCTGATAGGCGCAGAATCGTGAACTCGATGGGTTGTGTGCAGGGGAGTAGGCAGACGCATAGAGGACGTTAGCCCCGTATATCTGTCTTCTTCCTCGTCCTCATCGAGATCCAAATTATGAGTAACGATACGGGGCACGTTTCGATGACTGTGGGAAGAAGGATGAGAGTGGACAGGGGTGATAATAGGGCTGGATCTGTTATCCAAAGGTGAATAGCTTCTAGACTGGGCGTGCTCGGTTCTAAGACGTTCCACGGCCAGAGGGGACCGTCCACGATCAGGCAGACGACCGTGGGGAGACAAAGAACGTCCATGAGGAGCATGGGGATTAGGGTGGGGCGATAGGTTATTTGCTGTAGGTGTCTGGGGACTCTTGACGGGAGATCTGGAGGTTCTGGAAGCGTCGTCTGAGTTTGTCAGAGACAAGAATCCCTCTCTATCGAAACCGTCTTGCAGAACCGAGTTTGAAGATTCTCCAACCTCTTCATCTTCAATCACATTAGCCTCTTGTCCAGCATCAAGAAAGAACTCTCGCGCTCGGATCTCAGAAAGGTATGCCTGGCGCTTCTTGGTGTAGTGATAATGCCAGGAAACAACAGTGGCGACGTAGATCATGTAGATGATGAGCATGAGAATGCATTCGGACCGACGTAGTTTTCCGTCCGAAATAAACGCCATAGTGCACAGCACAGCGGCGGTAAAGAAGCCAATGTCTCGAACAAACGACTTTCGAGCGACCTTGAACGGCCGGGCAAGTGCCATGGCTCCCACGACAACAGCGCTGATGAAACTGGCAGCACCAATGAGTTCTCCGATGGCAAGCGAACCTGATCCAATCTTCATGGACGAGTAGGTAGAGAATAAGTCAGGGGATCCGTTTCCAAAGGCCAGGAATGTGACTCCCGCCAACGACTCGCTCATGCCCAGCAGTGAGGAGATGGTGCCCAAATTGGGACACAGAAAGTCGCTGGCGGCGATTCCGAGTGTCATAAACAATGTCAGCAGCCACAGAAGCAGCATGATCAGCAGGAAGGGTCGTTGTCCATAAGGCGAGCAGTAGTAGACCTGCATGTAATCGATGAAGGTGTTTTCGTCTTCTGAGCAGTGCAGCTTGACGAACTCGCACTGGTCAGCTCGTGGAATGTGTCGCACGTTGGAGCATTCATCTTCCGGGAGAACGTCTCTTTTGTTAAGCAGTCTGTTGGCGCCCGAGATGGAATGGGATCGAGGAATGGCCAGAACACAGAGCACAAAGACAGACAGGGCTGCCAGAGACACCAGTGCCTTCCGCAACTTGCCTCGTATTTGCGCCATGATGAGGTTGCCGGTATGTGAGTAGAGCGAGGTGTTGTTGGGAGAGTGCTACCACTTGCAATGTACGACGTGCTGTTGACCAGTGACTTATGCTCGAGATATCTGATGGAGTGGCAGATAGAGTTCAGCTGTGAAAGACGTTGGCTTAGTGGATGTGAGTGTGATTATGGGACTCGTGGGTACGCATGTCGGTGCTTGAATGGTTTGCGATCATAGCAACTGGTTGGCTGTTCAAATCCAGCGTCTTTTTTTTGCAAGTTTTGAGCCCCCAAGCCTACTCTATGGGTCGTATGTCTTGCTGCTAACAGGCGCACTCTCTACACACCCAAAACTCATGCAGTGGGCCCTTTATTCGGTAATCAGAGTAGTTGTATAATTTACAGTACCGTGCCGTTTAGGATATGGTTTGGGCGGGCAGTGCAAAATTTGAGGATGTGTGGAGAGGTTGCTATTTTGCTTATCGACACAAGTTGGACCACTTTTCGGCCTCATTCCTTCCCTTGTCGTCGCCTGATGCCGCTAGTGGCGTCATCTATAGCCCCGCAGCTTGAAAGTGCTATGAATTGTGCCTTCCAGCAACTATCGCCAAAGTACAAGTAACTACCAATAATACGCTTGTCCAAGCTCAAATTCAACCTCGACGTAATACGCATTTTCCGTACCAAATAGGCAGCCGGGTTGACTTGTTTTGGTTATTGTGTGTGCATAGAGTTGTTCTCTCACATGCACATGGCCTACGAGGTGCAGCATTTTGAGCAGCAGCATGTCGAGATTGTAAACAACCGTCCTAACAGTATGAGTAGTAATTCATGGATTTTACTTGGGATATCAAACTAGCTCATAAGGTATATAATAATATTAAAAAAGTAAAAAAGGTATACCAACAAGACATGTGAGAGGAACCTTGAACATTACTGTAGTATGTATGTACATACTGTACTCATAAAAAATCAAAAAGATTACAGCACCCAGGATTCTCGTATGGTCTCCCACTACAATACTAACTAGGCTCTCTGGTGCTTGACTATGGCTGATCGGACGGGAAGCCGTATTTTCACCAGGATATGGCCGTAACCAAACTGCGCCGACCCGGAATCGAACCGGGGGCCCATCGATGGCAACGATGGATTTTACCACTAAACCATCGGCGCGGGTAAGTTGCAAATTTTGAAATGCTGGCATCTACTTTCATATATATGCTTAGTAAAAGCGCGAAATAAAATGATCGGTCATTTGATAGTACTAGTATTATTATTTAGGATTGTATATATTTCATGTATCAAAAGTATATAGTCTTTGGATCGGGACTGTTGAGCACTATCAGATTACCCCACACAACACAACACTGGTTGTGGAGATGTCAGCGAAAAGAAGATGGAGGTTTCGGCGATCGTTTCTCCACTCAATAGGATTTATACTAGTAAGTGTAACCATCATAGCCGGAACAATTCCTCGATGTGGGGTGGGTATAAAACAAACTAGTCATGGATGTGTAAGCACTGGTTGGTTCGTTTAGACTAAGAAAGCATACGGCACTTCCTTCCAAGTGTCAGTATTTGTATGAGCACTTGCTTGTGTCTCACTCCGTTAATCAGATGTCGAATGACTAGGTGAGAAATCCTTCAAGGTGCGATAATGGACGGTACATTGGCTAATTGAGGGCCAGGTGTGTCTCATGAGGTGATGTCTCCATCTTTTTTGCGTCCTACAGTAGTGGATTTGTAATCCAAAAGTAGACGGTTCAGGAACAGGACCCACATCCTGTGGAGGCAAAAGGTGTTTTAGTATGCATGATGAGGGGATGTTGGAAGCGCTGGGCACGGATAAAAAATGCGACTGAGGGAAATTCGGTTGAACCACCCGCCAATAAGACAGCTTTTCGGGGCTTCATCAGATTTCCGACCACCAATAACACTATCTGACTTACCCCTCCTCCATCTCTCTATTGCTAGTGGCTGTTAAACCCCGTCAGGTCTAGCTACTTTCGGGTTGAAGTAGAGCCTAGGTGTATAGATCTGGTTTGTGCAGATATTACCGCCATATATCCCAATTTCTCTGTTCCCGTTCAACGAAACCGTTCTTTTGAATCTGAGCATGTTACATTTCTGTCATGGCAGACCCCCACATCGGAAGACAAAGGCGAATACGGTGGCTTTATTTGTTCTTTGTTTCATGTCTATCGAATACGTAAAACTGCTTTATGAACTCCCCTCCAACCTTGAGCATGTCTCCAATGAATGTATTCCAAGTAGCACGGACACAGCCGATGTGGACAGATTAAGGAGATGAAATCTTTCCCCAATGGGAAAACATAGCGTCGCGTGGTGCAATGAAACGGGGCTTTCGGAAGTTGAAACAATGCTTTCGGAAGTTCCATGTAGTACTTACCGGTACAAACTGTGCATGCTTATTCCTGGCAGCATAAACTTGCAGCCTGACAAAACTGACAGAATAAGTCGACTATAATTCCACGGGTATCGAGGCTTATCGCTCAGCCTAGCCGTCACGAGAACACGGCGTGTCGCAAGGCTGGGGCTCTTTGTGAGCAAAATTCAAAATACCAGCTGCGTCTTTGGGTTCTAACTTGCCTCAAGGGCTAATGGGTAACATGTAGGGAGACTATCAATGTCTACTCAAGGGCACACAACGTAGGTCTTCCAACAACTATACGGTACATGCCTCAACCAAATGGCCCTTCCAGACCTCGCTACTCCTTCCTTTAGTTCCCTTTGATGGCTCCAGGCGAGGCACCCCGCGAACCTCTCAACTTTACGCGGCCGATGGCATGCGATCTACACACCATAATGTAGCCGCAGGGAGACTCGGAAGATCGGTAGCCCGCGTTTTTCCGACAGGAACAGCCGCGCCGAGATACGCTATGCAACGGTCATACGAGAAAACCAGAGGATTTCGGCACATGAAGCTGCCCGCGGACGGCCATGGCTCTCGCGGACGGCCCAGGGCTCCCTCCGTTATCCGTGTGGGGTATACCGCTGTTGCAGTGCATTCTCAAATTGCAGAAATAAGTCTGAGTTAGAGAAGAGAAAGAAAGGCAGCAACTTTAAGTGACGTAATCATCTCCAGCCAAGAGTGAGTCTGCCAAGGGCTTTCAAAGCTTAGACTTGTCGCTATTATGTTTCCTTGGCGTTTAAGAGCAACCTGCGACAAGCCCGCTTGTTTTGGGCGGGGTGTAGAGCTCGCCAAATGCACGAGATGATGACGCAGGAGCAATCTTGGGCGCATGTTGCCAAGACGTGTTGTGTACACTCTCCACGCGGCCCCCATAGGGAGGGAGACCTTCTCCGTGCTGGCGGCATAACAGACGCTAGACATGGTAGCACACGAGTGTGTTTCGGAACCCTTTTCGGGTGGTGCCGCTCGTCCTCTTGTCTGTTCCTGGAAAGAAGGGGGGAGAAATCAGGCCGAACTTTACCAACTCTAAGCATGTCAAAGTCGACACGAGACACAAGTATGCGTCTCCACCATGTGAATAGATGCCACCCCTGGTCGGCAAAAAATAGCAACCTCCCAGACCCTCTATAGCTGCCTGTTTATGCGCGGTGACGTAGCGCCGTCGGAGTTGCCAACTCATGGACCTACCTCGACGTTCTGGACTACTGTAGCTGCTTGTGTTTGTAGTAAGGCCTGCTTTTGAAATCACCTGTCTCGGAACATCCTTTTTCCTCCCCACACAACACGAAGGGACGGCTACACCGAACTCAACCTAAAGAGCCACATGCACCCCGGACGACCTTGGAAATGGGTTGTAAGGGATGACATACGGAGATCAACAGACACAAAACCAACATTCGATGGACACACGCTGATAAACAATAAATCCACTTGTCATTTAGCATGTCTTTTTTCCCCATGTTTGGTGCCCTTCGACATTATCTGACCCAGTAGGTTCATGCCAAACCCACCGAAGTCTGCAGCTCATTGCGTATTGTATCTACACTTCCCCGCGCTAGCTATCTCAAGGCCTCCCATTTTAGCGCAAAGGGGCATGTCGAGGACCTCAGTAAGACGATAACACAAAGAGACCCACTGCAACGGACACGTATTATCTTCCTACCACAGATGGAGTAGTCCTCGAGCAGATCATTAGAGTTGCGAGTAGGTAGAGTTGGCCGGCTTCCTTATTTTGGAGGGTAAGTCTTGTCTGGTTGAGACTTCGGGCCTACTTTGCATGCAGTTGCCGGGTCTCGTAGCTGCAGCTGGTTATTCCGTTGCTATGTTTCTGACAACTATATATAGATGGCGATCTCTCTCTCTAGAATGGCATACTCGATACGTCGTTCGCCATGTCTTCCTATCCATCCGAGAAGGGCGGTACCGAGGGGATCGACAGGGTCCCCAGCGAGACTAACGACGCTTCAGACAACACTTCCGATAACAACGGTCTCCATGAGAAGCCCTCCAACGAGCACGCCGAAGGGCTACCTCCTGGGAACGCTCTGAACGCTGATCTCGACCCCGAAAACCCGCTGTCTCGATACACCCGCGATGAGCTGCTGGAAATCGCGTCTGGGTTTGCTAAGGAAAACGGAATGGGCGACAAGGAGGACATTTTCCGAAAGGGCGCTCTAGTGGCCCAAGACCCGGCCAACTTTGACAACATTGACATTCTCGACGACAATGACCGATACTGGCTGAGACGAGAAATCACCCACAAGTGGGACCACCCCATGAAGGTCTACTACATTGTCATCTGCTGCTCTTTGGCTGCGGCCGTCCAGGGTATGGACGAGACTGTCATCAACGGAGCCAACATCATCTTCCCTGCTCAGTTTGGCATCAAGGAGGAGGCCGGTGTGGTGTCTCAGAAGACCTGGCTTCTTGGTCTGGTCAACTCGGCCCCCTACCTCTGTTGTGCCGTGGTTTCCTGTTGGCTCACCGACCCCATTAATAGACTGCTGGGCCGAAAATGGACCATTTTCTGGACCTGTTTCTGGTCTGGAGCTACGTGCTTCTGGTCCGGTTTCGTCAACAACTGGTGGCACCTGTTCATTGCCCGATTCTTCCTTGGATTCGGTATTGGACCCAAGTCTGCCACTGTTCCCGTCTACGCCGCCGAATGCGCTCCCCCCACCATTCGAGGAGCCATGGTCATGATGTGGCAGATGTGGACCGCCTTTGGAATCATGATGGGATACGTCATGGACCTGGCCTTCTACTATGTGCCTGATCACGGCATTGAGGGTCTCAACTGGCGTCTGATGCTGGGCTCTGCTCTGATCCCTGCCCTGCTCGTCTGTGTCCAGGTCATTTGGTGTCCCGAGTCTCCTAGATGGCACCTTGCTCGAGGAGAAATCTCCAAGGCCTACGAGTGCATGCGAGTCATTCGAAACTCGGAAGTCCAGGCCGCTCGCGACCTGTTTTACGCACACGTGCTGCTGCTTGAAGAGGAGGAGCTGAAGCGCGGCAAGAACCGATTTTTCGAGCTCTTTACCGTGCCTCGAAACCGACGAGCTTCCTGGGCCTCCTTCATCGTCATGTTCATGCAGCAGTTCTGCGGTATTAACGTGATTGCCTACTACTCGTCCAACATTTTCATGGAGTCCGGTTTCGGCGAAATCCAGGCTCTTCTTGCCTCCTTTGGTTTCGGTGCCATCAACTTTGTGTTTGCACTTCCAGCTGTTTACACCATTGATACGTTTGGTCGACGAGCGCTTCTGTTAGTTACCTTCCCGCTCATGGCCATCTTCTTGCTATTTGCAGGCTTTTGTTTCTGGATCGACCAGGACGACCCCACCAACTCCCCAGCTCGAGTCGGTTGTATTGCTCTGGGTATTTATCTCTTCTCAGCCGTCTACTCTTGCGGAGAGGGTCCAGTTCCCTTCACCTACTCTGCCGAGGCCTTCCCTCTCTACATTCGAGATCTAGGTATGTCCTTTGCTACTGCCACCTGTTGGCTCTTCAACTTTGTGCTGGCTGTCACCTGGCCTTCTCTTCTAGCTGCCTTCACTCCACAGGGAGCCTTTGGATGGTACGCTGCCTGGAACGTGGTTGGTTTCTTCCTCGTGCTCTGTTTCTTGCCTGAAACCAAGAACCTGACTCTTGAGGAGCTGGACAAGGTCTTTGGTGTGCCCACTCGAGTGCACATGAAGTACCAGTTCAACGCTTTCAAGGTGAATATCCAGCGACACCTCTTCCGACAGGACATTCCCAAGCCCCCTCCTCTCTACGCCCACGAGGTTGGAGTTGGCGGCACTTCTCACTACCAGCACAAGCCCCACCACACCGCCAACCTCACTCCCCTTCACACGGCGGAGCTTGCTTAAATTATTCTGTGTTACTCATTTAGTTAATTGTATTCATTTTACCGGCAAGTCCAAGTACTGTGCTGTGCTTATAGACGTCCGTTTGTATCGTATGGCATAGTCGTATCTTGGTCAGTGATCAGTAGCAATATGCAGCTCAAACTCTTGGGGGGTAGAGAAGTCCAGAGGACAGTGAGGACACTTCATTCGAGGATGCTTGGGTCGTGTGGACTGGCGAGGAGACATTCGGGAGAGATGACGTGCAACATACGACTCCCCAGACCTATATAAATACACACCCACACATACACAAACAAAAGGAGCTACTGCTGGTAGCCCCTTGCTAGGTCAGCTGCATGGTATGTACTGTACCCCACATTTTGTTGATATGCGCATCTTTTGGCGGGATGGTGTTTAATCTCAGATTTTAGCCTTGTGATGTCACAGGCACGTTAGATTGCCAACTAATACAAGCCGTAAACAAAGAAAAGACCGCGTTCATGGAATCGACTAGCTACAAGTAGTTGCTCATGTAAACACATGTAGCAAGCAGGAGCCCAAGAAGGGACTCCTAAGAGGAGACAGATCCCTCAATTGAGGGCATCGAGTGTTCGCATACCTGTATACTGTTGTCCATGTGCGGCGTTGGGCGGTAGCAGTACAACACAATCAGGCACATGTAGCTAACTACTTGTACTAGTATATCACATCCTTGCACTTGCCTTTTAAATATAATATTGCTTGGTTATGTTACGTAGCTAGCTATTCCTGGGGCATGGCATCCAAAAGCTTGCGCATGTCGCCCCATTTGGATTTGAGATTGGTGTGCTGGGCATCAAGCTCGCCATGCTTTCCCCGAATCTCGTCGAGCTCCTGCTTCATCTCCGTCATTTGCGACTGCAGCTGCTCATTCTCAGCAACCAGACGCTCGTTGTCCTGTCTGAGATCCATCAGAGCCTCAAGATCCTCGTCACCAGTGATTCGTCTCATCTCGCTCACCTGCATGTTCAGAGTCTCATTCTCGTCTTGCAGAGATGCAAGCTTGACCTTGCCCTGTACCATTTCGTTAGCAACCTCAATATGCTCCTTCTCGAGAGCCACCAGAGTCGACTCGATTCGTCGCACCTGCAGAGTCAGTTGACCGTTGGCAAGTCGCAGAGCCTCAACCTCCTCCAATCGCTCCCGCTCAAGACGGTTGATCTCGAGATACTCCTCCTGGTACTTGTGTAGCAACAGAGGGTGTATTTTCACGTCCATGGCATCCCGCACAAACTCGTTGACTCGGAACACATCTCCAGCCCCCTCTCTATAGACGTCGAAAATAGACTCCTTGAGGAAGGGCAGCAGATGGTCGAATTTGAGAGCCAAAATTGTGTCGGCGTTCTTCCGGATCAAAGCCACTCCAAATTTGAGAATGGCCTCGATACCCTCGGTCATGATGATGTCAAAGATTCGTAGCACCATTGATAGAGGGAACTTGTATGCAAACAGCGTAAGGAACCACTGAGAGGCGTACATGGACGACTTGACTCCCTGGCGGGTCAAATGGATATGCACAGACGGGACCTGGTCTTCCAACAGCCTGTCAAACTGGTACAGCTTCAGATGCAGTCCGGGCATTTCCTGCAGGAACATTGTTCTGAGCTCGTAGTCCTTGAGCAGCCGCACTAGCAGGCAGAAAGCGTCCACCTCGTTGAGGGTCAGTAGCAGAGGGGTCGTGACAAACGCCATGCCCTGTGTGTATCCCACCTCGGGGTCAAACAGACTGTATGCCTTGATGACGTTGTATAGAGAGTCGGGAGAGGTCTCCATGACAAACGACGTTCGAGACAGATCTCGTCGGATGGCCTTCTCGTGGGGAGTGCTCTCCTTGAGGATTTCAGTGTAGAAGTCTTGCAGAGCAGCGTTCTTAGAGCTTGTGATAATCTGCCAGATTATAGACCGTAATTCTGTGGGGAATCCGGCGCTAATAGCCTCCTTGAGCTGTTTAGGGTGCTCCTTGGCCACGGTTGCGTAGTCCTCAATGACCCGACTCCAAAAGTCCCAGTCAATGAAGGGGTTTTCCAGCGACTCCTTCTGTCGCAACTGTCGGAAGTCCTCCTGCAGTAGCTCGCCAGCCTGCAACACCGCCTGTCGCTCCCGTTCCTCCTTTTCACTCAGGCTGTCCTGGTTCTGTTGCATTCGGCTGTACATGAGACCGTAGCCCTCGGCCACAATCTTCTCATCGACCTTGGCGGGCTGGGCGTTGGCACGGTGGCTGTTGGCCAGTGCCGTGATGTTGTCCTCGCTCTTGAGACTGGTCTGGCTCTTGTTGCCCAGGAACCACGAGAAGGCTGACCGCTTTCGTGGTGGCAGACTGGGAGCTCCCTGCCGAGGAGGAAGTGTGGGGGGAGTTTCTCCTCGAGCAGAGGCTGCTCCACCGTCGCCGTGGGTGGCGGGCCGATGGGGTAGCGGAGGAGGAGGAGCCGATGATACGGGTGAGGGGGTCTGGTCATATGTGGCATCGGGGAAAGTGCCAGGTGTTAGCGATTCTCCGTCGGAGTTGAGAACGTTAGCAGAGGGCGACGTGGCCGAGGGCGTGGTGGTGGAGTCCTCATCTGCCCCCGCAGCTCCAGGGAAAGATCCAGGTGTCACTTTCAGTGACGTGGGCGAAGTTGGCTTGGGAGTGGCGGGAAGTTCATCGTCGTCGGCTTTGGCAGTGCCAATGGAGATGGTCGATGTGTTTCCAGCAACTTCTTCGGCTGCTGCACTAGTAGGGGCATCCTCTGAGCCCAAAAGAACATCTTCAGTGTCCTCGTATCTGTGGTCGTCTTCAGATTCCGTTTCGGATACAAGTTCAGGTTTCTGGGTTAGTGTGTGAAGTCAGAGGCTCGGTGGCGAGAGGCGGACCTTCGGGGGCGTGCGCAATTGCGTTGGCTGCGCCTGTTTGTGTTCCTTACTCACTTCACTCATGGTCGGGGGGTGGTGTGCGGTGTGCTCCGTCTTTGTAGTGAGGTTGATGGTACCTCCTGCATGGTCACGCTGGACAGTGTGAGTCCCGTTGCCTGAGGGATTACCCAAACCTTAATTTATTGTCTCAGGTGCGGTGATGGTGGTATCCTATGTACCAGCCGGTGAAGTTCGGAGATGGAGTCCCAAACTGAACAGACTATAGTTGCCCAGACCATGGCAAGGGTGTTAAGTCCGAGTGCGACTAATTGAATTGGTCGGAAATTGATTTATTTCGCGTGTCGAAGATAAAGGCGGTGTACTTGTAATTGCTTGCTGTTAAACCAGAGGTTCAGGTACAAGTTCAGGGACCTTGTTTGGTGATACTTGCTTAAAAAAAAAACTCGTGATTCCAATCGCTCACTAATGACACACCAGACGTGTGATTTGTGGCAATGGGTCGGTGACATAAAGTGCTAAATTATCTTGGACCAAAAAGACGGTACCCACATTAGCTCCAGTTAATTTCTGTACAGTCTTTTACATTCAGATACCTGAATGGCGCACAGTATGTTCCGAGTGTGAAGCTGCGGAGATAAGTTAATACGGTCCATAGGGACGACAGCGATAGAAGAACTGTATGTACTGTATGTACTGTACCGGTGATGACAGTATATGGCTGAGACTACTGCACTACAGTATCGATTAAATCATTCGTAATCCTTTCATTAGTTAATAAATACTGACAATCTCAACAGAAGAGTCCATGTGAGTGTTCTCCTGGGAGCTTTCATTGCTCAGAGAGTAAGAAGAAGCACTGGACGGGGACTCGGACAGCGAGGGAGGTGTCGAACACAGGTCCGAAACAGAAATGGCCTCAGTTCGAGCCTGCACAGCAGGCTGCAGACGAGAGCCCTCCAGAAACTCGTTCCAGTTGGTTTCCACGACGCTGGCAGACATGAGCGACTCGGAAGAAGAGTCACTGGACTCCTCCTCGGTGATGACTCCTCGGGTCACGCCAATGTCCTTGAGCATAATGTTGACCTTTTCAGCATCAGCATTAGGAAAGTGAACACGAACGTTGTTTTTGTTGACAGTTACGGGCAGCTCTCCAAGAGAGGCGCACACTGTCTTGATGTCTTTAAGAAGCACCTTGGTCTCCTGGACAAAGGCCTGCAAGTCTCGCTCCAGTTGGTCCAGGGATTCTGTGGTCAGCTGTTCCGCCTCCAGAGAGAGCTGGGGAGCAAAGTTGAAGTCCACAAATGTGCCTGTGGAAGTAGGCTCCAGACAGGCGACCCAGGAAGAAGACTGGAAGAGGGACTCTTCCTCGGTGACAGACTCAACCTCGACGGGAAGAAAATATCGGGGGAAGTACTCCTGGGCAGCGGAGCACAGATCTAGCTCCCGCACTCTCAGCTGGGAGGTGACCTCCACGATGCTCTTTCCTCCAAAGGCCGTCTTTTGTAGCTTATGGATGCCCTTACAGGGCATGGCCATTGTAGCGTACAATCTTCGGCCGAAGTTGCATGTAGTATCTTTGCGTTCGAACGCCGAACTAAAGGCTCTTCGAATCGCGTAGCCTGCCAGGGGGTAGGTGATTCGCCTTCGGCAGCCCGGTGCTCGCTGGTAGTTGTAGCCGTTCTCGAATACACGGCTAATGTGACGCGCACAATTGTTTGAGCTGAAGTGTCGGGTGTGCATTCGACGGGCATGTTGGCGATGTTTGCTGAACATGTCAAACTTCTGACGGAACGTCAATGGACGGCCAGCCCGGGCATAGGACAGCACCTCACGATGTGCCTGGAGTCGGGCCTCACATCTCAGTGAGATGTTGAAAGCCAGGCTCTCGTACGTCTCGTGGACGGTGCGGGAAAAGTCCCGGGTGACGTCGCGAGTAAATCGGACGAGATTCTTGAAAAATGGCATGGCCAACAGACTGTGGTGCCGTTATCCACCTATGGCACGGTGTACAGGGTGGTTGGGTTTATCTGTAAATATTTCTTGTCGCTTAATATGCGGCCGGGTAACCTGAGCTGGAGTAAATGTGTTAAGCTCTTCGGGACATCGGAGCCGACTTTTCCGACCGCCCGAAACACGACGAAATCTCGTCTTTTTTCCTCGCTCTCGGGCTACTCCGCATTTCCATGTCATTTGCATCGACCAGCGACTTTGCTCTCTCTCATGTACTCTCCAGCTATGGCAGTGCAGCTGGTCCAAGCGGGAACTTGAGAAACCCAAATGTTGGTGGCAAAACAAAATATGCGTCATCGCTTGTTGAAAAGGGTTTCATTCCGCAGGTACTGTACTGTATGATGTACCTGGTGCATGTGAAGAGGATGGGAAAGGGCGTACGAGTACGATGGGGTGTCGACAAGTCGGGGGCCGTGTAGGTGGAGTAATGTAGGATGTCTGTTACACGTACTTGTGCAAGTACACTTTCAACACGTCATTAGTGTGCTCAAGTACCTGTACTTGTATTTGTACTTGTACTGTCGCCATTTTCCAGCCAGGGGGAGTATGCTCAGTCAACTTAGCCATCGTTGCGTGTGGAATAGTTGTACAAGTACAAGTACAAGTAATGGTATGCTCACAAAGTTGATCCATGAACGCCCAGATTTCCCCGAAACGAGACACTTGCACATGGACAACACGGAAACACCCCGATACTTGTAGCTCTCCAGCTCTCTCTCCCTCGCGTTTCAGGAACCTCGCGATAGAGGACCTTTGATCAACTAAAAGTCTAACTGGAGCTGTGGTCATAACAGGATCGGAAGCAGCGACCGCTGAGGTCGGAGCCCATGAAAGGGATCGTTTACTGACCCATAATAAAACAATACCAAAATATATAATATATATGCCGCTCTATAATATGAAACATCGTGATGCGTTTTTTAAACACGGATGTGAAAATATATACATCCCAGATAGACATGTTCGTCAACAAACCCTCAACTACTTGTACCAAGATGTATAATGGTGGATGTCACAGCAAGCATCTTCCTTATTATATACAAAAATAAAACATAAAACATAAAACATAAAACATAAAACATAAAACATAAAACATAAAACATAAAACATAAAAAAAAAAAAAAAAAAAAAAAAAGGAAGTAACACTCGAAGGAGATTACTCACGCCCTAGATCCTACCTACAAGGTGCCTGACGTTTCAAGATGCGTTCACAGCCCCCATTATCCGTTTACGGCACTTCTTACTCATTCGCCTGTGCGTTCAGTACGGCTACAAGTATCCCCATGCACCCGCCTTAGTGGGTCACGTGCAGAATATTGCACGAACTACAGCAGTGTGTTATGAGGGGACAAGACAGTGATAAATCTCCAGTAAAAACTTCGAAATCCATTAGCATACTGAAATAGCACTCACACAGCTCCTGCCTTACCAAGTGCCCTAACCTCAGACTTTGGAGCGTTCCACGCCTTAGATATCATCCCCAAGGCACGATATGTTGCTCAAGGTTTTCCAAGCATCCTAACCGTTCACTAATCACACACACCAAATCACACCAACATGACCGCCTGGAGCAAGTACAGCGTGCCTGTGGTGGCTTCTGTCATTATGGCATCGACCAGTGAGTAACTCGACCTTGATTCTCAGCTTTTCACCCACTAACACAGCCTACTTTTGGTTCAAGCCAATCATCATGTGAGTATAGGAACTACGAACCGGCTGCTCGAGAAAGAAACAGCTACAACAAGCGCGTCAGCTACCAATAACCATCTCAATCAACAGCTAACCAAGTGAACAGCTGGCAATCGACGGAAACCTCAAGCCCGGCGTCAAGATCGATCCTGAGATTGCTGAGAGCATAGAGGCTCGAAAAGCTGCTCTGGCGAACGCCCAGAAAGTTGAGATTCCTAAGGGCGGTCCTCTCCCCAAGGATGGAAAGGAGTAATTGTGCATATAGACAATTGATATGTTAACTGAGTGGACTACCCATGATCCGAGGACGTGGTGAGTTGACAAGGGGTATGAATCTGATGTAGTGATCTGGGGTAGATGATCCACAAAACAGATGCAGCAGTTAGATATCTGAAGCCATAGAGCTCATGTCCGTCCTCTATGATATATATACAAGTTGTATTCAAAACATACTGTTTATGTAGGTGCCTATCTCGTCTCGCTACCAGCCTCCACAACCCTACACTCTTCTTTCACCAACCAACCAAAAAACATATATACATCATATTTACATGAGACCGGGCAGACTTATGCCGGATCTGATTATTTGTTCATCTTGGAGACGAAGTTGTTCTCCTGCATAATGGCCTTGGCTCGAGCCTTCTGGGCCTTTCGGGCCGCTCGCACGGGGTCGGCAGCAAGCTTGGCTTTCTGGGCCGCGGGATCAAGAATGTCCCACAGCCACTGGGGGTATTCCGAGTCCTCCAGGGCCACGGGGTCCTGGCCGTTCTTTCGCACGTTGCAACCCTTGAGAACGGTTCCTGCGGCGACGCTGGAGGGCACCTTGGGCTGCGAGGGGGTGGAGTATGCACGCGAGATCACACGGAGGGGGGTGGCCCGCGATCTGGTCAGGAGTCGAAGCATGTTGTGTGTAGTTGTGTGTAGTGACGTTTTTGTCGTTTTCGATATGCTAAGTTTTTCAGTTGACGAGGACCATGCTGAGGGTTAGGGATATGAGGGAAGCACTACTTGTGGTAGCCGGCAATAAAGAAGTGGCTAAAATGGATATATGAAGGGCTGCAAGAAACACAAATACCCGCGAGTGGTTTTTCCGACGTGTTTTGGAATAGTTTCTCACCAAAAAACAAAAACAAACACCAAAAAACATATCGTAATACTCACCCATATTCCTCCTACACTCCATCGCTGAATAAGCACCTTAGAGACGCACGAGTTTAAAAAATTGTGAAGTTGGTGCAGAGTGAGAAATCAAAGAACTTCATAGACATCCTTAAGAACACACAAAACCACGAAACACAATGGCAAAAATCAAGCGAAAAGCCAAGCACACCAAGCGAGACAACCCCATCGCCCGAAAGGCGTCCCAGGCCGCCAAGGACGACCGCAAGGATGAAAACACACGAACCACCAAGATTCTGCCTCTGCTAGAAAAGCTCAACGGCGGCAAGCCCGCAGACAAGTGCACTGCCATTGGAATGATCACAGCTATGGTCGAGGATCCTAAGCTGCGACAGATGCTTCTCAAGGAGTCGCTCATCCAGACTGTGATCGACAAGCTGCTTCCTGACGCTTCCGAGGAGGTTGTCATGGAGTCGTACGGCCTGCTGCGAAACATTGTCCTGGAGGAGGGCTACGACGTGGCCGTGTTCATGTTCCGAAAGAACGTCATCAAGATTGCATGCGACTCTCTGGAGAAGATTGTTTCCACCTGCCAGAACATTGCCAACGGCTCCCAGCAGATCCCCAAAGGAGATCAATTCACTCTACTGTGCGAGTTTGCCGAAAACATTCTGTCTCTGCTCACCAACATGGGCGTGACTTCCGATGACATTTTCGACGCCATCGCCTCTTCGCCAGCTGGCGTCCAGACCGTGGCTGCTCTTCTGGAGCTGCGAAAGACCAAGGCTGAGTTGAATCCCAAGTTCCCCTCTGCTGTGCTCTCTGCTGCCTTTGAGTATCTCTACACCTTTTCCGAGTCTAACCCCGAATTTTACAAAACCATTCCTTTCGACTATAAGATCTACCTCGAGGATACCACTCTACCCATCGCTGCCCAGGTGTTTGTGTGGGGTCTGCACTACAACATCTGTGTCGAGAGCCAGGGAGTAGGCTCTAAGGGCCGAGACGCCTCTCTGTCCGAGATTCTGTCGCGACTGCTCATCATTTTCAACTCTAACTCTGCATTTGCCGACCTGCAGGCCAAGCAGGATGCTGGCTCCAAGGACGGAACTGTGGTTGCCACGGACAAGAAGGACATGGACGCCATTGAGGCCCGCTCCACCGTGAACGCCCTCCAGGTCATTCTCGAGCTCATTACAGACATTGCCGAACAGGTCACCTGGTCAGGCGTGACCGAGGAGCCCGAGGACGTCGACGAAGATATGGAGGTTGACATCCCCCAGGACATTGACTTTGGTCATGGAGACAAGAACGGCGCTGAGGGAACTGCCGCTACTTCTACCATCAACTTGCTTCTCAACGAGGCCTCTGCTGTCATTGAGAAGGCTCTCACTTATGCCCCTCTCGAGTCGCGAGCCATGGCTGCTCTCAACAATCTGGCATGGACTATGGCATCTCACGAGCCCACAAAGGACTCTGAGCAGTGGCAGGGAGCCGCCCAGCAGCTCTGGACCAATGTGTTCCCCATGCTCGAGAAGTACGAGGGCGAGCTTGCTATTGACTCCCTCACATCTGCTGTTGGTGTTCTTTGGGCTGTAGCAGCTGCTCTGGACTCCAAGATCAACTCTCTGACTGTTTCCCAGTCCGACTTCATTCTGGCACAGATTGAGCGAGTCACCAAGGCCACGGAGACTCTCACTGCCGACGAGATTGCCGACTATCACCAGCGAGCTGTTGCTCTGGTTGGTCTTCTAGCAATGGCTACCGGCAAGAGTGGCTCTCAAGAATCCATTGCCCTGGTTGAGAAGGTTGGAGAGTACCTTCTCCAGCTTCTGGAGGCTCTTCCGCAGACCCAAACCCAGGTTGCTCTACAGGCCGTGGACAAGATCTTTGACATCTTTGGCGACAAGTACCCCTACGATGGGCCCGTATTTGTCAACAAGGGCTACCTGAAGCGACTGGAGCCTCTGCTGCCCAAGGTTCGACACATGGCCAAGAAAATTAACAAGAAGCAGAACCCCAGTTTGCGGGAGGACGCTGATGCTGCCTCTCAGAACCTGATGCGTTTCATCAAGTACAAGGCTGACGGCAACTAGACAGGTTATCTAGTGTATTGAATAAATAGATTAATGACGATGTTGTAATGATAGTGACTGAGTGAGTAGATATAACCCGACCTTTGTATCGTACCTGTACATGTACTTGTATCGTGCTGGGTTTCCTGGATGTACTGTAACCTAATTTTGAATATTATCTCCATGCATGATATTTTCGAACACTCATTTCGATCTCACACGAACACACACTAACACACACAATCACCACAATCATGACGGAGCTAAAGATGTGCACCGTGTGTGCCTCAAATCAGAATCGATCAATGGAGGCCCACAAGGTTCTCAAGGAGGCCGGGTTCGACGTGGAGAGTTACGGAACGGGAAGCGCGGTCAGACTGCCAGGTCCAGCGTACGACAAGCCCAACATCTACGCCTTCGGAACGCCATACGATGATATTTATAACGAGCTCAGTGCACAAGACGAGCGATTGTACACAGCTAACGGACTGCTGACCATGTTGGATCGAAATCGAAAGATCAAGACGGCTCCTGAGCGATGGGTGGAACACAAGAACGTCTTTGACGTGGTCTTCACCTGCGAGGAGCGGTGCTTCGAAGCTGTTTGCGACGACCTGATGGACCGGGGGGAAAAGTTGCAGCGACCTGTGCATGTTATCAACGTGGATATCCGTGATAACCATGAGGACTCTGTGATTGGAGCCCAAGGCATCTTGAAGCTGGCCCGGAGTCTAGCTGACAGCAAAGACCTCGACGCACAAATCATGGGTATCATGGACTCGTGGCAGGAGCAGCATCCCAAGCTGCCTCTGATGCATGCTGTTGGCTACTTTTAGACAGGACCAGAAGGACGTGTATCTCACTATTGTATAAATTATATATTTAAAAATGCTTCATTATTAGATTATGTTGATGGTGACGATGATGGATGGGGTTTATTGTGTAGCCTCCTTTCGCTTTCTCCACTTTTCATTAGTCACATCGGGAGTGTCAAGCATCTTTCGCTTACTGATGGGAACGTAGGGGATCTTCCGAGAGAAGCTTCCAGAGCCGTTGACCACCGCCACTCTGTCGCTGTCGCCGTCTTCAGCACGGGGGAAAGTCCGTTCGCTTCCAGTTCGCTCAGCAATGTGCTTCATCATAGCTAGACTGAGGGTGCTCTGGAGCATGACGTCGTGCCAGTGCTTGAAATTGGAGTTTTCCATTCGCTCCTGGGGCATGGCGTTGGGAGTGATCCATTCGATGGGCTCCTTGAATGTACAGTCATAAAGAACCAGAGGAACATCGTGAGCCATGTCGTACACGGGGCGTCCAGGATACTTTTCGGGGTTCAGCAGATCGGTTATCACGCTTGGTTTCTCGAGTTTCTGGCCCACCAGGAAGAGAATAGCCATCATGCATCGAACCTGGTGCCACAGGAAGGCTCGTCCCTTGAGGTTGAAGTAGTAGATGTCGTCCGAGAGCTGCTCGATCTCGGCCTCTAACATGACTCGGTTGTGGTGTGCCAACTGCTTGGATCCATCCACCTTGCAGAAGTTTCTGTAGTCGTGTTCACCCAGGTACAGTTTGGCAGCCTGTCTCATTAGATCAATGTCCAGATCGCCCTTGTGGAAAAAGTATCTATAGTGCCGGTATTCACAAGAGAATCTGGAGTCGAATCCCTCGGGCAGTCTGAGAGCCACAGAGTAGATTCGGATATCTGGTGGCAGCAGCTGGTTTAGAATGTGAATGTAGTTGAGCTCCTTGTTGTCGTTAGCGGCGTCCTGCTGCTCCTCGGGAGACAGCTTGGATCGCACCTTAAGAGCAATGACCTGAGAGAAGGCGGACACGCCTCGGTCTGTCCTTCCGCATCTGCTAAAGTCGAGATCGAATAGACTGGCCGACTCGGGGATCAGTCTGCACCGTTGCATGGCAGACAGAATGGTTCCTTCGATAGTGGGCAGAGGGGTGTCTTCATGCTGGACAGCCAAACCTCCATAATTCCAGCCGAGATAGGAAAAGCGGATCGCGATTTTTCGAACGGGGTGCCGACTAATGTCGTAGCTCTCGTTTCGCTTGGCCTTGGAGGCCTTGACCGGCGGGTCTGGCACGGCTCCCTGGGCGGTACTAGGGTCCTTGCCCTCCAGCTCGAAAATGCGATTGATGAGGTCCGCTCGAGTCCATTTCTGATACTCGGCCATTCTGGAAACTTGGTGTGGCGTGAACTTTAGCTGTCGTGTCGCTTTCGGAGCGGAAATCAGCCGTTTTAGTGCAGCTATCAGAGCCATGACAAGATTCGAGCTGGGAATTTTTCATCACTAAGTTGGGAGTGTCGGCCTGCATGTAAGCTGCACAGAGTACGAGGCTAATGGAAATAATTTGGCGGTGAGAAAAAAAAAGACCAAGCACACTCACACAACACAAAACATAATGTCTACCGACTGGAAAGACTTGCCCGTTGCGCCATGGCTGATCGACACCATGGAGCAGTTCGGATTCACCGATATGACCCCTGTCCAAGCTTCAGTCATCCCCATGTTTGCAGGAAACAAGGACGTGATTGTCGAGGCAGTCACTGGCTCAGGAAAGACCATTGCCTTCCTAGTTCCTCTGATCCAGCGAATGCTGAATCTGCTGAAGGAAGGACCGGCTGTTTCTGGCCGAGTGTACTCTGTGGTCGTCTCTCCTACCCGGGAACTTGCCCGACAGACATATGAAGTGCTGCAGTCCATTCTGGAGATGGGATGTCCTGAAGCCGATGCTAGCGACAAAATCACCCTGGAGAAGAAGAAGAAGGGAAAGGCCGCCCCCACCATGCCCAAGAAGATCCGAGGCCAGCTGATCATGGGTGGAGATCTTCCATCTCATATGGATCTGAAGAACTTCCTTAGAGACAAGCCTCAGATCATTGTTGCCACTCCTGGCCGATTGCTCGAGCTGTTGCGTGCTCCCCAAATCAAGACATCCGCATTTGACTCTCTGGTCCTGGACGAGGCCGACCGGCTTCTCGACCTCGGCTTTGGACGAGACATTACATCCATCATCAACATTCTCCCCAAACAGCGAAGAACAGGACTTTTCTCTGCTACAATCACAGACGCCATCCAGAACCTGGTCAAAATTGGTCTACGAAATCCCGTCAAGATTGTCGTCAAGGTTGGCGGTAAGAAGGAACAGAAGACCCCGCTTTCGCTGGGTCTCTCTTACGTTGTTCTGGAGCCTCGCGAGAAGCTGGCCTACGCTCTCAATCTGCTCAGTATCTACCCCTACAGAAAGGCCATTGTTTACTTGCCCACATGTGCAGCTGTGACATACTACCAGCAAATGTTTTCACATCTCAACGAGGGCAGGGAAGAACCCTATGAGATCTACGGTCTTCATGGAAAACTGCCATCATCTACTCGAATCAAGATTCTCAACAAGTACCAAAAGACTGGAGCGCAAGCCATCTTGATGACTACAGATATCGCTGCCAGAGGTCTTGATATTCCCGAGGTTGATCTTGTTGTCCAGCTTGATCCTCCTTCTGATGCTGACACCTTCCAGCATCGATGTGGACGAGCCGGTCGAGCTGGAAGACAGGGCCAGGCTATTGTACTTTTGCATAAGGGACGAGAGGAGGAATACGTGGACCTCATGAGAGTCCGAAAGGTGAAGCTGCGACCATACACCGGACCTGGGTCGGAGCTGGAAGGAGAGAAACTGGATCAGGAGGCTACGGAACTGTACACCAAGCTGAGAAAGTGGGTGCTCGAAGACAGACAACGCCATGACCAGGCTCTTCTTTCGTTTGTGTCCTTTGTCCGGTTCTACTCCAAGCATGTTGCCCAGTCCATTTTCCGAATCCAGTCACTGGATCTGCCTGGGCTGGCAGCCTCTTACGGCCTGTTGCGCCTGCCTAAGATGCCTGAGCTGCGAACCAAGGACAACGAGAGACCTGAAAACACATGGCTGGGCGAGGTGATTGACTTCGACACATACTCGTACAAGAACCCCGCCAAGGAGGAGGCCCGACTCAAGGAGCTGGAGGCACACAAGGAAGCCATGAAGAACAAGGTCAAGATCCACAAGACCAAGAACGACGTCCAGAAGGCCAACCGAGCCTGGTCCTCCACGCTTCAGAAGAAGGAGGAGAAGTCTGAGCGTCACCAGAAGAAGCAGACACGTATCAACGAGAAAATCAAGCGGGACTTTGAGGAGGCCAAAGATCTCAAGCAGGAGGAGTCCAAGGAGGTTGTTAACGACTGGAAGGACATGGTCAAGAAGAGCAAGAAGCGCAAGGTCGATCTGCCTACCTTTGACGACCTGTAAGGTATATAGACAATTATTTATGCTACGTTGTACCGTATGTACGAGTATATCCTGCCTGAAAGAACCGAGGCAAACCTTTTGATAATATCAAACTACAGCTCAAGTACACCACCAGAACGGGTAGAACATTCCGCAAGTACACTTGTACATCGTGATAGTCAAATGTGCAGCACTTCTGTACCATTCTAAAGTATCGAATACTTCACAGATTCATCTACAATTACAGTAACACACTACGGGTCAAAAATTATGGGGATGGGACTGAATAGTCCAATCGTATTAGCCCCGGAGGTTCGGCGTTCCAGCCTACGTCCTCCAAAATACTATGTAATCCGACAGGCAACGGCTCTTATAATCCCTCTGTGAAATTTCCACGGGTCTTGCTCCAAGGGTCATCGGCACTAACTTTTGCTCTGGCTCTTTCGGCGGCCTCGGTTGCGGTTCCATCTTCACCATGATCCAAAGGATCAGGTTGCACTGCGCGTATCCAACTTAATCCATCAACTTTCCGTCCGGTCCACTCCATACTTCGAGAACACGGGCTCGAGACGAGACACGAGCTCGTCAAAGTCAAGAACACGAGCTTGATATGAGATCACGGGCTCATACTGTAGAAGGCGAGAACACGGGCTCGCGATGAGAACACGAGCTCATCTAGCGGACAAATTCGAGAACACGAGCTCGAAGTGAGAACACGAGCTCACTAGGGACGATGCGAGAACACGGGCTCGCCATGAGAACACGGGCTCATAGGAAAGAGTCGAGATCACGGGCTCGAATATGAGAACACGGGCTCATCACAGGAATCCAAAGTCGAGAACACGGGCTCGATATGAGAACACGGGCTCATACTGGAATTATTGCGAGACACGGGCTCTGAAGACGAGGCACGGGCTCAATCTTCTCTCAAGGTGCGTCGAGACACGAGCTCGAGGCGGGGTCGGTCGGTGGCGCTTTGGCTCTGTAGCTCACGGGGCTGCAGGCTTTTATGGCTCTTTGCTGTTAAGTCAATTGCGAAATCTTCTGCACTAGCGGCTGCTCAGCAGCTCTTTACCGTCTTGTTTCCGTAGTATTTCTGGGGCTGGGGTGATTGAACTGTGATATTTTTCCGTTTTCTTTTCCGTTTTCTTTTCCGTTTTCCGTAGTATCCGTAATGGTTCCGTAATAATTCCGTAATGATGACGATCCGAATGATGACGATCCGAATGATGCCGAAGTATCCACATGATGATAATGTTCCGATGAATCACAACCGGCATGGGGCCGGAGGGAGAAGATATCGCTCCATCATGCGATGAAGAGTTTCTGAAGAAGCAAGAGAGAAGTGGTGGATGACGACCCCTTATATACCTTTGGAGAGCAGCAACTCATGCACGAGGTTGTGGGGAACTGGCGCAACTGAAGGCTTATTGACGATAGAATTTGGGTCCCATATCACGTTGTGCTTTGACAAGTGGGCAGTGGTCCCATGACCCAGGCAGCAGCAGCAGGCGTAGCAAGCAATTACAGGCGGCAATCAAGGGGACTGGTGGATGGATATGTCGGCCGAAATGCCCAAAACCGTCGTCATTGGCACCCGATTTGCCCTCCATCACGCGCCATGAAAAGCTCTAAACTTGGGCTTAAATGGCTGGCTCGAGACCGAGATGATGGGGGACCAACATGTGACGTAACCCCAAACTAAGAAGCTAACCCGACGCATGGTTTGAGGGGTTGGGCGGCTATGACACGTTAGCAGTATTGTAGCACATGGTGTGTTTATTGGTGAGAGATCGGCTGTTACAGGTGTAGTGGTCTGGATGGTTGTCTCGGCCAGCCATCTGATTATCCACTGATTATCCAGTCTTGTGCTTGATCGGTGGAGTTGCGCTTCAGGCTGATGTCGTAGCTACGAGTATGAGTATGAGTATGACTCTGAAGTGACAGTTCTATAACCTACGCACGTACTTCTTGTTAGCAAGTACGAGCACAGTATGTATTGGTAAATACACCCGTTACTCGCTCGTACTGAGTGTCTATTCTTAGACCGTCTCAGGTCTCGACATGACTCCACGGACTTGTGTCATAGTGCAGTGCAGACGTGCCGTGTGTCCGGAGAGGGACATTCTATACACGATGAGAATGTACTCGTACTCGTACTCATACACACATGTACTGTAGTTCCCTGATGAGACAATAGCCTGTACAGTACCTGACAATGTCGTCACCTCCAATGCTCACAATCACCTCAAATAACCACTACACTGTCAATATCCCTCTTGCAACGTCGTGGACAGCGCTCAAATCTCTCCAACATAATAAGCGCGGAGAGTGTCGATTATGCACGCCCCTGTGAGTCAGTCTATCATCTGCCCTTATCGGGTGATTGAGGTACTTGTAGGTGGGCCTGGGATATCTCTTGAAAATGTGATTTGGTGGCGAGTCGAAAATCAGCTTGTGACACGATATCGAACCGTTGTCCCCATTCTCCATTCTCCATTCTCCATTCTCCAATCAATCGCGACACTTCCGACCCCTTTGTTCTGCATCGTATCATTCCATGGCCGGCGTATTGGAAGGCTCGCTTCACACAACCGAATCTGTTGGGACCAAAGTGGAGGTCCGCACAAACAAGAGAAGACAAACAACTGACCAAGGCTACAGTACATACTGTACTTATTGTACGAGTAGGATCGGTTCCGCACCACACTAAAGAGCTGAAAAACGAAATTACGTGCCGTACTCATACCGACATATAGACACTCGTATCAGGTATGCCATTAATAAAGTCTCACGAGCACGCCATACTTGTCTACTACTTGTAGCTCTTTCCAGCTCCAGCTCGTACAAAAAACCCCCCCTTCCCACAACCCTCCCCCCAATCCTCTTCGACCCCTATTGCGAGATTACTTGTACTTAATGGAGAGGCAATTTCGGCATTGTGCCGTGTTTGTTTGGCGGGCTTGTTAACATGTCTTGTCTTGTTTTGTTTATCAGGGTTGCAACAGAGACGGGCCCGGGCTCTCATTGGTCCAAACGGCGCATGTCATACCGGCTCCGTTAGTTGAAGATTGTTGACGCAACTCTAATGTGTCAAAACAAACCACCGCTCCGTCTGTCTACAGGCACTAATCACACCCCGTTAGTTTAGGGGTCGCTTCATGATCCTACCAGGCCCCACAAAACACGAGCCCTACGCGCAGTGGCTTTGGTGGAGCAGGGTATAGCTTGAACAGTTCTACTACTGGTACACCACCATGGATATATGTCCAGCCACATTCCCGCAAGACCGAAACGGAAAGAATACGACCGACACGGTCGGTCGATACGGGCCAGTATTCGGCTGGAGACTGAAAGCTATAAAACCAGTAAAAATCTTTCGTCGGCCGCTGGTGGGTGGTGCCGGTTGGGAGACGCGTTGATGGTTGGTGGGCCGTGAAAGATGCAGATAAACAGGTCTGTCGCGTGACCCACGGTAGAGTCTTGTATAGACAGTGGGGCCCGAAAAAAAACCACATGGGCACACTCGCGAAATACCGCCTGCCCTCTTGGTTCAATGTACCGTATCACCTGCCCTGGAAAGTGTTGGCCCAACCCCCCCCCTCCTCCCTCTCTCCCTTTCCAGCCTCCCCATGCCCCCGAAACTTTAGTTTGAGCACGCATCCAACTAACTTTGCTTCACATTCTTCAGCATTCTTTAGCCCGTCAACTAGTCAAACTGTATCCCCCCTGTTGTTGTTGACCCAACTCTTCCACCTACGCGTCACTGCTTCGTCAACTCCACACCATGGCTAAATCAAAAATCTACTACACGCCCAGCGACATCACTAACACAAAAACCCTGCACGATAACGCCGCCACGGTGCAATTCCTCACCTCGGAGCTCACCGAGAGCGCAAAGGTTGCCGCTCTTGTGGCCACTGAGAGCTGGCAGCGACTGGTCGAATGTGTCGCCCACACCCGGGGCCTCGACAACAAGGAAACCAAGGCGTTTGTCGAAAAGTGGAGCCCCGACAACGTGGACATCACTCTCAGCGAGGAATTGTCCAACGGCAAGCGGTTCCGAGATGAGGTGGAGCTCACCCCCACCGGCCGTATCAAGAAGAAGCGTGTGGTGGACCCCAACATGCCCAAGAAGCCCATGACCGTCTTCCTGGCCTTCTCCACCAAAAAGCGGGCCGAGATTCGAGCCGCTCGACTGGCCCGAGGCGAGCCACCTCTCCAGAACTCGGAGATGGCCAACGAGGTGGCCGAACTCTGGGGAAAGCTGTCTGACGCTGAGAAGGAACCTTACCAGATTGAGTACCAGAAGAAGCTGATCGACTACCAGAGCCGAAAGAACAAGTACATTGAGAGTAAGGCTGCCAACGTGGCGGCCGCTGCCCTGGCCGAGGAGGTCGAGGAGGCCGAGGAAGAGGCCGAGGAAGAGGCCGTTGAGGAAGCCGTTGAGGAGGAAGAGGAGGAGGAGGAAGATGAGGAGGAGGAGGAGGAGGAAGAGGAGCCCGAACCCATCAAGTCTCCCAAGAAGAACAAGAAGTCCAAGGACAAGAAGAACAGACGCTCCTCCAAGTCTAGCAAGGAGTAGACTGGAGTCCGCACGAGGAATATGTAATATTAATGTATTAGTATAATGATTGTGGTTGACAAGTGTTTGGCCCTGTTTGAGCGGTTCTATCGCGTCGAAACGCGTGAAACACAATGGAGATAGACATGGTACGTACCCGTACATACAGTACAAAATGTTGGCTCACGAGAATGGGAGAACTTTCATGGAGTAATGTGTGGACCAGCATTTGAACATGTTCATGCGCTTCTATTGGTGTTGGACGCTGTACAATCGGGGCTACAAGTAGCTACTGTATGGACTCATACTGTAGTCCGTTTACCAACACATTACAGCCTGGTTTGAAGTCGTACTTTGAGTACCATTTACAAGTTTATTAGGATATCATGATCAGTAAGTATACATCACACCAAGCTTAGAAAAGCATGGCAGCGGCAACAACACCGGCGGCAGCGGCAGAGACACCGAGGGCAGCGGCACCGTTGGCCTGCTCGGGAGCAGCGGAAGGAGGAGCCTGGATCTGGCCGTCACCGATCTGGGAGACAACGGCACCGTTGTTGGAGCCGGGGGCAGGGGCGGCGGTGGGCTTGTGGCACTTGTCGTCCTCGCAAGAGGTGATGGTGACGAGCTGGGTGGACTGGGCAGTGACGACACCGGTCTTGGTGACAGCGGTACCGTTAGCGGCAGCAGACTCGGAGCTGTTGTCGTCCTCGTAGATGACACGGGCAGCGAAGGGGGTAGCACCCTGCTTGCAGTCATCGGAAGAGGTGACGGTGTACTTGTAGGCTCGGCCCTGGGCAGCGCAAGCGGTGAAGGAGTAGTTGGGGACGTAAAGGTGGTCCTGGCCGTCAACGGTGACGCCGTCGGTTCCCTGACCCTCACCATCCTCAATGGTGGCTCCGTTGCCGAACTGGACGGCCTTGTCGTTGGCGTAAAGGACACCGTCCTTCACCTCGTAGGTGGTGGGGATACCGCCCTCACCGCCGAGAACGAGCTTCTTACCGTCAGAGACAACGGGGGTGTTCTGGATGTCGGATCCGGATCGGATGGCGACGATGGTGAACTTCTTGGCGGAGACAAGAGCGGCGGCAGAGGCGAGGAGAACAGCGGAGAACTTCATTGTGGATGTTTAAACGAGTGTGTTGATTGATCAAGGGATAAAGAACTAGAATAGCAGGCGACAGAGCGGCACTTTATAGTCCTCGGGCTCCTCTCCCGTCAGCAACGAAACCCTGCATCCGCTGCATGTTTCTTCGTGTCGTGACAACGTTCAGCACTAAACACTAGGTCCTGCATTCCAAAAGACAGATCGGCGATGTATAACTCTGAGCTTGTCGGATGGCCACATTTCCGTTTCGGGTCCACTTGAGGTGGGTGTAATCGTTTGATATCGAGCAAAGAATCCGCACCTTTTATCGATACAAGTCCATGTTGCGCTTGAGCAGTGCGTTCTACGCTACCAAAGGCTCCAATTTGGCACACCAGATTCATCTCGCTTATGCATGCCAAGGGACTAGCGAAGGCCAAGGGATGGAGCTGGGAATGCATGTATGCACCTATAGGGGAAATATTTTGATCAAAGACAGCGAGAGGCAAAGGTGGAAGGCACGTTGGTCCATCTAATGTAACATTGATCTATTTTGGATTGAGAGATCCGAGACGAGGAATCTGAGACCCGAACTCTGCGCGGTTGTGCTCGCCTGTTTTGGCGCTTGGCGGCCTCCACTCGAACGTGTCTCAGAACCTTACCAGTCACGAACAACGGACTCGGACAAAACTCTCGTGCGGTCTATGTCTCAACGTGTTCTCTCCCCTCACCTCCGCATTCTGCAAGCACAGTGTGTGTGGATAGAGCCATTCATGGGCCCGATATAGCTCTTGGCCATGCAATGAGGCATTAAAACTACGAACACTTGTAACCCCCGCGAAAGATAGGCATACTGTTGGCATGTCTGTTTGACGGCTCGATGATACAAGTGCCGCTACTACTTGTAACACACCTGTAACCCATATCGTTCTACCCCTGCGGAACCAACCCGAACTATACAAGCGGCCATAGCGCCTCGTGTTGTTATTTCTCACACCACCCCTGTGCAAGTGTAAAAGTTACCCGTCACCTTAGCCACTCGTTGTGGTTTTTCAATTTGAACCTTGAGCCACGTCCAATATCGTACATTCTTTCGCTCCTTCGTTATGAGGGAGAGACAGAGAGAGACACACAAACATTCTAGAAAGCCGCATAGCGTGACAAGCGCGTACAATAAGACTACCGACAGCCTGAGTCTACACTTTTTGCCTACACCGTCTGCACACTGGCTGAGATGTCACACATACAAGATGACACTACTTGTAGCCCATCTTTTGGATCTGTCAAACTAGCCACAGTCTCTAGCCAGGGGTCATCGGGATGTGCATTCAGTAGCACCATATGAGCCTTACCAACGTCTGGGTTCGACCGTGCGTAACTTTACCAGCGTCTCTTTTTCGCGTGCTGTAGTTATAGATCCACGGCTCCCCATGGAGATGTACAAGAACAGTAAAGAAGCAACGTGTAATCGATTTGACATGGTGCTATCCGGCGGATTCGCTTGCATTACTACAAGCATGCGAAACCTCCGTGCGCATGGGTTGCTGGCAGGAACGACGCGCAGTCCAGAGGCGTGCTGGAGAGAGACCAATCCATTCTTGACATTGGAGTATGTTACATAGAGCAATAGACCCCATCTATAGACTCTAATAAATGTTTGTAACATGTGCAGATTGATGAATAAACATCATAACAAACCAACGGGTGACTGCAGACACAACCCAGTGCTGGCTATTTTTTCTACTTGAACCAGGTACTTGTGCAAAAAGTGGAGGGTGCATCTATCTCATCGAAGCCGAGAGTTTCAAGTCTCCCCAGGTATGCGTGTTTGAGGGATTTAGAGAGAGTATTGCGAAAATATCGACGGATATATATGCGGTCAAGTGATTGAAGGGACTGACACACACACAGGTGTGATACACATCGAACAGGTACTGTACTTGTAGCAGTTGAGTCGATCGCTGTGATGCAGAATGCCACTGGTGTAATTGTATTTGTATGGAGCAAGAAATTTCGATGTCTCATGTTATACAGGTTAATCTGGAAGCGTATGTATTGAGAGGTATAATGTAAAATAATAGCCTGATCGGAATGTTAAATCGAAGTCACGACGGCCTAATTAGCAACCGTTCTTACCGCACTTCTGCTGGGGGGTCTGGCAGTGGTTCTTGGCCTGGGCGGTCTTGGTGACGGTCTTGTTCACAGTCTTGGTAACGGTGACGCACTTGGGAGAGGGAGGAGGGCACTTGTGGGCCACCTTGGCACACTTCTTTGCGTGGATCATCTCCTTGAGCTTGTGGATGTCAGCAGGGTTCTCAGCCTCGGCAGTGGTGATGGGCTCAGCCGCAGCCACAGGCTCGGCCACAGGCTCAGCAACAGAGGCGACTGCAACGGCAGCAAAAGAGAGGAGAATGGCGCTGAACTTCATTTTGAAAAAGAGACTGGGGTGGGGTGGTAGTTGGAGTAACGGGAGTCGGGATCCTTGATTTGTGTATCATGGAATCGCCGCCTGGTTAAATACTCATCAATATTCACGTCCACACGCGCTATTCCAAGTGTTTGCGTCGGTTTTCGTCCATCTGGAAGGTCCGACGACTGGTACCTGGTCACGCAGGGGCCACCCCTGACCGGAATACCCCATAAAACTTCCCTATATTGCTCGAGGAGCTCTCATATAGCCTGTCCCACGATCTCAGCTTAGGGCGAGGGTACAGCTATAACCAGAGAAACACCCATAGGCGTGGACCTGCCGTCCAGTCACGGCTAGGTACACCTCACCCAACATCATCTTTTCAACTGTACCTTCTACCAAAACCATTCTTCAAGTTAACCGACAGGTTCTGAAACATTCACTCGTACTTCATCGTCACCAATAGTAAGTTCTGGCTAAGCGAACCTGAGCTCTTATACAGTCGTATCTTACGCAATGGAACATCGATCTACCTGGTAGCTCCCGGTCGCTCCTATTGTCACATACTGTGCCTGTATAGAGATGCCCATATAGCGTTTAGTTACTGCACGGGCAGGTACACGGGTGCCGTCTGGTATAACTGGCAAGAGTTATCAGGTACCGGTATAAGTAGCTTCAGTATGGACCACGTGACGCGCAATTTTCCATGCAAGGGCATTATACAGAAGCATCTCCATGATGTTCTTCCATGCCTGTGCTGGCTCTAAGACTACACTGAGCCACATGTATAGCAGCTCCTGTGTAAGAAACGGCAGTGTTATTGTACGCGTACTCGTACTTGTACTTTCAGGATGAACTTTCACTTATATCCATGGTATTCGTACCTCGACTTCTTCCATACGAACAGGCAACATCTGTCAGCATGTGGGCAAGTCCAGCAGCTTCGAGTATAATCATAGAGATGGCCACCATGCCAAGGGAACATACCACGAGATTTAAAAATGGCACTAATGCACCTCTAGTGGAAACTAGACCAGTTTAGCGCCATTTAACAAACTTCTTCACCCTCACGTCAAGGAGTAAGCTGCGTGTAGGCTCCTTGTCCACGGTCACAAGCGGTTGTCTACCGCAGGTCGACGTTACATCAGCTTGTATGGAAGCCGTGGAGAGCGGATGTACGGTATTGGCCAAGAGTGCGTACATGACCAAGAATGTGGGTTCTGGATAGCCTACCAGCGTGTTCTTAATGTTTTTTTTTTATTTTATTATTCAGTGTCAACCATGCACCACAGCTCCGTGAATACGTGTACGGTACTTGTACGGTGTCTACAAGTATACGCAGAAGAGAGTACGAGAACTCTCACTACTGTAGGTACAAGTACAGTGATAGCGCCCCCACTGCTTGCTTGAATAAACTTGCACCTTCTTCCATCAACTGACATGTACTCGTACCGGTACGTGACCCGAGAAGAGTGAGACAGTGCTAACGAAGTTGAGTTTGTTTGGTTGCAAGAAGGACGTATTCACCTACGAGTAGCAAAAAATATTCGACCGTCTACCGTAGCAGTGCGGAGACTTGACCAGAATGCTCATTGACGGTGGGCGGAACTAGCCCAGGACAAGGGGAGCCGTTTGGGAGGACGCAGGAAGCGGTTTCAGCAACAAGGAGTTGAGGTTGAGAAACTCCAAAGTTTATGTATGTCTGCAGTTTTCTCCGCAGTCTCTTCCACAGACCATAGTCATACAATTTAATAGGGGAGTAGTTATTGTAAGTAAATAAATCGAATAATGTAGGTCTCCATCACATCATCTCCAAAATACAGCACGATCAAATAACTCACTCACCGATATTATGGCTTCTCAAAAAAAAAAACAAGCAGGGTCCATTGCCGAAAACCTAAACTCTCGTTTTATCATAAAAGGTGGCTACTGATTAATAGGAAGTGGGCAGAGTCTTGTACGAGTACCGTACCCGTACAGTACCGGTAGCATTTATGATTACAAACAGTGCAGACTATGGATTGCTATAGCGTACCTTGTATGGTGCACTGAGTACGTTACTTGTGCTGCTTCGAATGCATAAGATAACCTGAGATATTTGAACGCCATCAACAGCCCCCAAAGCTATATACAGTAGCGCGCGTCCATCAGACATGCAACAACCAAAGGTGCGTTGTTGCTCCCCCTTTGTGTAATATACTGTAGCTATGGGGGGCTTGTTCACTCCTCGTAGACCAACCACGTCCAAAATCCAACATAGTAGAGTATAAGTTTTCGGAAAGACGTCAGCCACGCTGTAGCCACTCTTCTAAATACATGGCCGATTATATACAACCATAATTTCTCCCAAAATTGCCCCCCAAATTGCGGCCTTTTATTCACAATGCACAAGATCGTGCCTAATAATTAATATTTATTAAAACTAGGTTGGAGTTAATGCTGTTTATCGGAGGAAAGAAGAGACCGGGTCGGTCCGAAAGAAATGCTGCGTCTGCCTCCTGTAGTTGGGTCTTGTAGTGCGCTGCTGACGGGCGAGATGGACGAGCGAGCTAGCCGTAGCATACGGGTGGGCTGCGGCTGTCGTCTCAGTATTTTTCACTCTACCAGTAGTTATTAGTAGCTTTAATATCAGATGCATGTCTGCGTCTCTCTCCATCTGGTGATATAAGCTACTCCACGTTAGGCCTGCAACGTACAACGGGGACATGCAGTGCTTAGGTACGAGTACAACATCGTTTGACAGCACGAGACGGGGGAACGCTCATCTTGTCGGTCGGAATTAACTCTAAGCCTCCTGTTCATCTCCTGTTCACCCTCATTCTTCGTCAACCGATCTTGGGCTTCTTCTGGTGTGAGAAGCCGTAGACCCTTCACTCGTTACACGAAGCAGACAGATACAAGCACTTGGCCACCGCCCCGACTCGAAAGAAAACAGCCTTCAACTTCGACCATCGCCAGAGGGAGGAGAAAAAAGACGAGAATTCCACCTTCTGTAGCTACTTCAGCAACTGGCATCATGAGCGATGACCAGCCTCTGTACGAACCGCCGAGTCCCTACGAGGAGGGCTCTGGTACAGAGACCCTGACAAACGGCAAAAGCTACCCTTCAGACATGCCTTCATCCAGCTCGGAGCAGCATCCCTCAGCTCCCAATGGATCGTTGGACAAGGATCTGTTTTCGGAACACTCCCGACAACTTGAAATCGACAAGGAGAGTCTTTCAAGCCAACTTCCTTCATACCGACGGAGAAAGCGGCTGGACATTGTTAGCGACGAGGAAAAGGAGGATGTGGGGCCTCCAGTTCACAGACACAAGCTCAGACCGACGTCAATGGCCAAGGTTTTGGGACTCAACATGACCGAGCTGGAACTGCTGCGGTTCTACTTCCATGAGAGTAGCCCGATTCTGTGCGCTGCCAGTGGAGCCAAAGACTCGATATGGATGGGGAACGTGCCTGCGCTGTCCAACAGAAGCCCTGCTCTCAAACGGGCCGCCATGACCTTTGCTACGTTGCATCTGGGAAAGAACCGTCAGACTGCAACTTATCTTTTGAACGACGGAAACGAGCATCCCACATCTAGTGGTCCTCCCGATATGAAACAGGTGATCGGCTACGTGCCACTGCAAGACCGTGTCACCGAGAGACTGCTCATTGAGTTCACAGAAACGCTGCGAGCTCATAAGAAGGAGATCATGGAGACGGAAGCAGAAAACTGTGAAGCTCTACTGGTGACATCTGTCGTCATCTACCTGGTGGCCATGTCTCTTGGCCCTTTAATTCCTCTTGCCAACTTTGACGGAGGCTCAGATCTCTTTTCAATCGTGCGCAATCTGCGTCTCATCACAACCACAATCACAGGCCAAGAACCCGTGATCCATCCTCCTTTCGAGGCACCTGCTGAGGGCAGCATCCGGCTGCCCAGGGAAGAGGCTCTGTGGGAGATTGTCGAGTTGGTGGAACTCAATATGGATTACTCGCCCATCACGAAGCGACGTATCAAGGGCATTCTGACCAAGGAAATCAACTCTCTGATCCAGCTGTTGAACATGGACATCCTCAACCACAGTGTCGCGCATTTCTCGGCCTGGTGCACCTACTGGCAGCCTGAGTTTTCAGACCTCAAGAACAACGCCAACCCCTACGCTCTCATGATCATCTGCTACTATGCCGCCTACACCCACATGTGGCATATTCTCTTCTGGTGGGCAGACAGATCATCAGAGGACGTCTACTACATCATGGATCACATTCCTATAGAGTTCCATGACTATCTTCAATGGCCTCTGGAAATCGTGCAGACCTACGAGTACAACTATGAAGACATGTTGTCAGGGAAGTTACGGGAAATGACTCTCGCATAGCAAGGAGACCTCATCCCCACAATCTAACAACTACGGTACTGTACTTGTACTGGTACAGTACTTGTAGTACATGAAAAAAGTGATCCACCAACTATTCTAACAGCCACTACTTACATTAGATACAGAGTTATTTATTAGTTGCTGCTATTATTTATTAATATCATTTTCTTGATTATGTTGACAAGGTGTATCTGCTTTAGTCAAATTATTGTACCGTAACTGCTCTTATTCTATCAGATATAAATATTTTTGTATGCCGATATTCAATCCGCCTTACATGGAGTAAGTCTCGTTGCAAAACCGAACCCCAGTCTTCTTGGCAGCCTGCTCAGCGGTCACGACCAGACCATTGGGGCCACAGGCAAGAATCCACTTACCCTCAGGAGCGCTTCGGTCGAGAAAGTAAGCGCTGGCCGTGTCTGCGGGCTGGGGACGGCCATCGTGGTATGTAATGCTTTGAGAAGCTTCCCGCTTTCCATTGTCCTGGTCCTTCCCCTTGTTCTTGTGTGCGCCCTTGGTGCTATCTTGGCTGCTGCTGCCTTCGTCTTCAGAGAGCAGGTCGTCGAGCTCATCTCGCTCTCTGTCTTCATCTTCCTGGCCAATCTCCTCCATCTCCATATCCTCGGACAGGAGGCCAGCGGTGCCTTCAGCGTCCTTAGCGTACACCACACCTTCTCCCAGGAAGGGATCTTGACCAGTGATGTAGATATCGGTAGGCGTTTCACCCAAGCGCGACTCGACTTCACTGACACCAGCCTTGTTTCGCAACACCCAAACCAGCTTATGCGAGATTCCGGCCTTTGCAAGGGTCTGGACGACAGGAAGAGCAAAGGAGATACCCGCTCCTCCAGCAAATACTAGGACTCGGTTTGCCGTCGAGAAAAAGTCGTCGGGCAGAGACTCGAAGGGGCCGTAGACGGCAAACTGGGTTCCAGAAGCAGCGTGAGCCAGGGAGAACTTGGTGGGTCGAACAATGAGCTCCACGTGATCGTCTGAGGGCAGAGACGAAATGGTGTATGGGTGTGTGGAGGAGATCCAGGAGAGTGGGTTTCTGAGAGTTCTAGAGACTCGAATATGAGAAGCTGGGACAAAGAATTCGGGCAGAATACTTCGGGGGAAAGTGACACGATGCAGATCGGGACCCATGGCTTCCGTAGACTCGATCTGGACCGTGCTGGATGCGAGGACACGGTAGAGCAGCGAGCTGCCCATGAAGAGAGCGACCCAGAAGAAGAGCCATCCCACTCCGGGTCTAGCGTGGAAGATTGTAGCGATGGCCACGAACCACGCCGACAGGTAGTGGATGGTGTAGAAGAGGGAATACATTCGCTTTCGGAAGAAGGGCAGGGAGGTGACCACCATGACCAGGAAGACGGCCAGGATGATGACGCCCAGAAAGTTGTCGAACTTGAACACCTTGTAGAACTCGTTCTTCTTGACGAAGTGGACGGTGTAGAGAACACCATGGACGACACCGACAAGCGTGGCCAGTCGTCCCAGCCACTTGTGGAGCGGTAGCAGTTTCAGATAAAAGGTCCGGGGCAGAGGGGAGGGTCTGATGGCGAGAAAGACAATGAGCGGTAGCAGAGCGTAGCAGAGCCGCCCAAACCGTTTGGCCGCCTCGTTGAGTTCCTCGACGTGAATGACTCCCATGCCAATGACCAGGGCTGTCCACAGCAATACCGAGAGCCACAGCGGGAGTCTGAGATCGCGTTTCGTGCGTGCCCGAACCTCGGGTTGGGTTAGGTTCCTAACCGCGATGTAGCACACGACCAGCAGCGAAATGACAAGCACAAACGTGCCGTACTTGATGTTGGCGTTGTGGTGGTCGCCATGGCGTTTTTCGAGCATTTTAGCGGGGGCCCAGACAGAGTGGTGCGGAGGTGGCCAACTATGGGACGTGTAGATGTACTTACCACGACTAGGTTGTAAGGTTCACCCGTGGGGAGGTTATGTTGACGAGGTCTTCAGGGGCAGTGCCTACAAGTAGAGAGGGCAAGAGCACCAATAATGAGCAAATATCTGCCGATGCGGGCGCATAGCTTAAACCGGGGTTTTTTTTTGAGCGCTTTAGCGTACAAGTACTCAAGCTGAACCCGCTATTGGCCATGTTTTCATACACATTTCTTTGCTCGCATCTGCTGTGACATGTTGATATTACTGTAACACGGAGGATACAGCCATAGACGTTAATTTATAATGTGACGAGAGTTGCAGAAAATAAAGCCGTGTCGATGCTCGACTAAGTAACGGCCGAATAAGTGCACAGCACGGGACACTAGTACGAGAACTCGTACGGTATTCGTATTGTAGGCATACTACGACTGGCACAAACAGCTCAAGTCACAACCGTCCGTACAAGAAGAAATTCTGGGGTGATTTCTGGGCCGACCGGTTGTTTCAAGGTGAGACTTGGGCTTGCCTCGGATCTCTCTCCATGCATCACATAGGCATGATGCCTCCATATGGAGAGATGTCCCCGGCCATTTCAAATGGTCGCATTACGGCAAAATGGACTACATTGTAGTATGGGCTACTTGTACTGTACTTGTACTGGTACCATTTCGCATGCAACTCGGTTGGCGGGTCGCTATCGTGTCTCATTATGCTGCTCTACTTGTAGTCTTAGAGACCTACGCTCTACAGTAACATTCACTAATCAATTTCCTTCGTAATACCTACTCCTCGACAAGACCAATGGCCTTGACGGGGATGACCTTGACGGGGGGAGCCTCAAGACCCTCCTTCTTCTGCTTGAGAACAGACTCAATCTCTCGCAGACGAGCCTTCTCCTTGGTATGATGCAAACACTCCATGTAGTCCTCAAAGTTGGGGAGACACTGAGCCCGGCTTTTGGCATCAGTCTTGGCTGTGCAGTGCATGAACGACTGCCATTCTGTGTTAGTTGATGACCTTCATGGTGCTGTTGGTGTCAAGACGGCCGTTAGGCCCGATCTGAATGGGGTATCAAATCATATCAAAACAGAAGTAACACAAAACAAATTGCACTCAGCCCTTCCAATCTGCTGCCACGTAGCATGACCGCAGATCCAGGATCATTCCTTCACAAAGTCGCTGTTTTTCAAACCACCCTCGCAGCGCCATGAGCGAACCTCATAGAGACCATAAAAAGCCGGGAAAACAAAGGAGACGAAGCTGCTCGATGTAATTGCCATACTCACCCGAAAAGCATCGGTTTCGACCTCCAGTCAAACTAATTCCAGCAGCAGTCATGTTGTGTAGTGTTGTGTATGGAGGGTAGATTTGGTCTTATTGGTTTCTCTTGATTGGCCCACAGCATATACAACCCTAACCTTCTCCCAACCATCAGGCTGAGTAAGCAGAAATACCAGCTTCTTGAGAAAAGAAGATATTGTTATATAAAGAAGTGAATATCATTCAAGATGCTCTTCTAGAGGCGTAGTAGACCACACTTTCTGTCTCCGTAGATCTCTACCACCCCGTGATCAGTGGTTTTGCAGAATACGAGGACTAGAAACTCCTATAAATGTTCTTGATTCACTGTCAACGAGCTCAAGAATCAATCAACTCGCCTACGATCGTGCTTGAGCTCGTACTTGTACTTGTACTTGTACTGTATGTACTCGTACCGCTCCTACGTATCTCACCGACTTCTGAAATCTCACCTCTTCACACGCGTACATTACAGACCACGAGTACATGTGATCATAACAAATAGCCGTAGTTTCTCGGCGATAAAACCCACTGCAAGCTTCTCCATCCCCCATAAATCGTATACAAATACCTGTAATCGTATGAGCGAGAGCCCCACAAGACCACCCATCGTTGCAGTACTCCCTACATTGCGAGAATCTCTACTATTAAGGTAATAAGGGTAATATCTCCATCTCATACCCGCTGACCAAGCACAATAGCTTATTCGCCACAGCACTGCAAGCGACTGGTCACGTGACCGCCAACGCCATCCGTATCGGACGGACACCACGGTTGCGGAACAGCTTCCTGTTTGTAGCCCTATGACGCAGTGCTTGCATAACCGTTGAGACAAGACGAGCACGGTGGGTAATTTGGAGTCCAAAAGTTGTGGCCAAATGTACAGTCGGTGGCGACACGGTACCATTACACACTGTACTGTTACTACTGTAGTTTGTAGTGGTTGTACGGTAGCTTCTTGTATAAGGACTGGTACCGGTAGTCACGAGTCAGCGATGGTCTTGTCGGTGTACTAAGCATGGAACCTTCTAGCATGTTCTACAACGGGGCTTGAAAATGTGCGTCAAGACGATACCGGTGGGTAAACAGCTCTGTGTCTTTTCGTATCCAAAGCCAGCCAAAAGGACGCTCTTTAGTCGTCTCAGTCTAACGCCGCTACCCACCATTCTAGTTACCCTCTCACGTGCCCTGATTTATGCCTCAGAGAGTTAAAAGCTTAAAAAATCTGCTACAGCTCACACCCAACTTAGCACTCACTTTCATCATTCATTTTCACACACCACATGTCCAGCACATACAGCTCGATACAACGACATCGCAAAGACACGTCGTCGTCGGGCTCTAACACGACGCCGCTGGCCCGGCGCAGGCGGTTCGACGAGGGCCCGGCCGACCCGGGATCAGCGCCACACCTCGACAGCTTTGTGGTGCCCCCCACCCGACACGACGATGGCACCAAACGGCAGCCAGGACGACGCAAGCAGCGCTGGAGCCACGGCGAGAACAAGGTGGCAGACCTGCTGCAGATGCCAACGGCCCTGACGGGCCACCTCACGCCCGAGCAGGCCGAAGCGTATGCCATCTACTATCGCATTGAAGAGATCAGCCAGCAGCTGCGTCTGGGAGATATCGTGCCGCCGGAGGACGAGCGGTCGCCGTCGCCACCGCCGCAGTATGATTCCATGGGCAAGCGAACCAACACACGGGATGCCCGATACACACGCCAGCTCGAAGAGGAGCGCCACCGGCTGATCGAGCGGGCCCAGCGACTGATTCCCAACTACCGCCCGCCCGTGGACTACCATAAGCCCGCCAAGACCCAGGAAGTTGTCTACATTCCCGTTAACGAGTACCCCGACATCAACTTTATCGGCCAGCTGCTGGGAGCCAGAGGAAAGACGCTGAAGAAGATGGAGCAGGAATCAGGCGCCAAAATCTGCATTCGAGGCAGAGGCAGTGTTAAGCAGGGCAAGGGACGAACAGACATCCCCTTCCAGTCCACTGCCGAGGATGACCTTCACTGTCTGATCATCTCAGAGGACGAAGAGAAGATTGCTCGGGCAGTCCAGCTGGTCCAGCAGGTCATCGATACTGCTGCTAGTGTTCCTGAGGGCCAGAACGAGCTCAAGAGGTCTCAGCTGCGAGAACTGGCTGCTCTCAACGGTACTCTTCGAGATGACGAAAACTATGGTGGCGCTCCCCAGTCGTCTTCTGGAGACGAGATGGACGACCGCAACAAGCGACGAAACAACTTCATGTCGTCTATTGTTTGCCATATTTGCGGCTCCAAGGGGCATTTCGCCCGGGACTGTCTCGAGAAGGGCACCAACGCTGGCACGTCTGAGAATGCCGACAGAGAGTACGACGCTCTGATGCGAGAGCTCCAGGGAGAAGGAGTCATTGACACTGCCTCTCAGCAGCAGTCCATTGCTCAGAACCCCAACACTAACAACGTGTCCAAGTTGCCCCCTGCTGTGACTGGCTCCAACGCTGCTCCCATCAATATGCGAAAGCCCATGAGCGAGAGAGGAGGGTCGTTTGATAGATTTGACCGAGGCGGCTTCAACCAGTCCAACCAGCGAGAGCCCCAACAGCAGAGCCACCAGCAAAACATGCACAACACTAACGGAAACAACTATGACCGATACGACCGCAACTTCAACAACTCGTCCAACTCGTCGCCCGAACTCCCTCCTTGGCACAGACCCACACCTCCCTCGCAGCCTGCTGCTCCCCCGTGGCTGCGACGTGACAACTACAAAAAGCACGACAAGGTATCTGTCCAGCAGTCGATGCAGCAGTCGCCGTGGAATCGCGACACCCGTCAGCACCAGCATCAGCACCAGCCCCCCGTGCACCACCAGTCTATGTTTAATAACAACCAGTCTCCCATCGGGCCCCCTGGTATGTCGTCTTCTGGCTTTGGTGGTTACGGTGGCGCTCCTGCTGGTGTGCCCGGCATGTCTGTGCCTCCCGGACCTCCTGGTCTTTCTAAAGTTCCTCCTCCCCCTCCTCCTCCTGGGGTGCCTGGAATGGATGGAGACCAGCCCATTCGTCATCCCCCGCCTCCTCCTCCCGGAGTTATCGGGCCCCCAAAATAAAAAAACTACTAACATGTATACTAATGGATTTGGATCTTAGACTCGTATATCATTTTGTCCGTAGGCTTGTATTTTGTACAAAAATTTTGATAAGTTTTATATATATATATATATTTTACTGCAATTTTTTCCAACCTTATTTAGCAGTAATTCTGAAGAGCGAGTGTCTTTGGTACATCCTGTACACACAATGCTGTACTTGTAGCTTGGTGATAGCTTGGTGATAGTGGCGCAGGGTGGAGTAACATGAATAAGGGATCGCAGCTAGTGTTATACAACGATTCTATTATACATATACAGATAAATACATAGTTGGCTCCCACAGTCAAGACTGATTCTGAAGCTTCCATTTTCGAGCATTCTCCAGGAGCTTGGAGAACGACTTGTCCTCCTCGTCGGTGGGGAAGACGTAGTCGATGTACTCCTCGAAGGTGCCATCCTCCAGCTTTCGCTTCTTCTTGACAGGAGTGGGCTTTCGCTTGTCCAAATCCGCCTTAGACTTGTCATCTCCATGCTCCTCTTCAAACTCACGCCATGATTCAAACAGAACCACTCGCTCCTCTCGCTTGTTGGCGGCCTTGAGAGCGTCCCAGGCCTCGCCAAAGATACTTCGTGCGCGTGCCTTTGCTTCTTCAGTGACCTCAATCTCGGCCTCTCCCTCGTCGTTGTATTGCAGCTCCTGGTCTTCAGCAGGAACAGTGACCTCAAACTGGGCAAACGAGATCCACACCTTGATGTGACCGTGGGTTCGATCAAGAAGCTGTCGGTAGATGGCTCGTGCTCGGTCGTAGTTCTCCTCTTCAGCCTCGAACTCAATAAACCGTTTCCACACAAGTTCAGGCATCTCCATCTCGGGCTGCGACACAGCTAGCTCAAAAATAGCACGAGCTCGCTCCTCGTCACCAAGCATCTGCTCCAGCTCCGCATACTCCATCCACGGAGCAGCAAACTCGGCAAATTTCTCCACATACTTGTCGTAGAGCTTTCGACACCGGTCAAACTCACGCAGTTTGGCCTCCAGAGCAATGTATCCCTTGTACAGCGCAGGTTTGCCCCCCGACATGCCCAGTCCTCGGCCTAGGATCTTACGAGCCTCTGGCAGATTGCCATGTCGAATCTCAAACTTGGCCCATAGTAACCACACTTTGGCGAATGTGAACTTTTTGTGTGGGATGATAGATATGCATGTTTTGTAGATTTCACGGGCCTTTTCAACCTCCTTGTTCTCAAGCTCCTCCCAGATGGCATACTTGATCCACAGAAAGATGTACCGTCTCCAAAGACGCTTGGAATGTGGGGGAACGTTAGAAACAGCACGTTCAAAGATCTCACGAATCTGATCGGCCTCAAGACCACTTTCCTGACCCAGAGTGATGTAAGAGAACCACGTATCGTAGTCTGCAGGGTCCTCCTTCAACTGATCCTCGTACTTGGATCGTCTTTTAGTGAGAACCACATTCTCAATACCCTCCTTGGCTCCATACTGTTTCTCAAAGGCCGTGTAGTCAGCATACAGCTTTGCAGACTTGCTTTTGGGCAGCTTCTCGAGTCCATAAGTGTACAGAGCTCTTGCTCTTTCGTACTCCCTATGACGAGTCTCAAAACTCGCCCATCCAGCCAGCAGACTCTCATCCAGAAAGTCCACGCCTCCATGCGCCATTTCCACCAATGTGTCGATTCCCAGAGCATACACCTCCCTGACGGTGTCTCTGTTTCCTGCCTCCATCTCAAACTTGGCCCATTTGTTCCATGCTGGTGCACCTGGATGAACAGTGACATATCGTCTCAGAATGCCCCGCGCACGGTCAAACTCACGATATCGCTTCTCCATGTTCACGTAAGCTGCCCAGGCGGTCACCGGCGGCCTCCAATGCATCCATCTCTCAAACACGGCTCTGCAGCCGGCAATGTTGCCCAGCGTCTCCTCTGTAGCCACGTATGTGAACCACAGCTTGTCGACACGCGGCAGGAGTGTGACGGCTCTGTCCAGCAGGTTTCGTGCGTGGTTGATGTTCTTCTCCTTGAGCTCGCACTGAATGTATCGGATCCAGGTGGGCACATGCGTTGAGTTGACCTCGAGAGCTCGTTCAAATACAGATCTGGCACGTGCAAACTCCCGTTGCTCCAGCTCCCACTGCGCGTACCGCATCCACTGGCCGGTGTTCAGTCGATTTCGTCGCAAGGCTCCCTCATACTCCTGTCGTTTGCGGCCTTGGTACTCTGCCAGCTCTTCCAGATCGGCAATCTGCTCTGTCTGCTGAAGAGGCGTCTCCTTTCGCTCATATGCCTCCAGCAAAATCTGCTCTGCAGAAATCTGCAACGCGGCGGGCGCTTTGTTTTTCACCCTTCCTTCCATACCGGTGTGGTGTTTCGAGGTCGTATATGGCGTCAATATTTTTTGGTGATGATTCTGCGAAGGTTTTATTTGCAGTGATAACTAAGCTTCGTCGAGTCAACATGAGATGAGAGGAACAGTGTGAACGCATCTTGACTAGTGGAAATCAGTATATATAGACATATAGACAAGTACTACCTCCAACACCTAATGCTAAGAGATACATTTGTTTTCCCGTCTGTTTTGTCGGTCTATTCTATCTTTATATCGATACTCGCGCCACAATACAGGAACAAGTATTGTATGTAACTACGTACTTACAGAACATACTGTAGCTACAGTAGCTAGTTGTATGGCAACCAAAAAGACTACAAGTATTACAAGTAGCTACTACCTATTCACATCTATACCTAATTCCACATATGTTCATCCAGTAGCACGTAGTTCACGCTGCCCCATCCCACATCCTCTAATCAGTCAATTATCAATACATTAGTTGCCGCCTCGAAGGGCCAGGACCAGATGCAGAGAGGCTCCAGCTTCAATCTTGTTCTCCGCAATGGTCTTCTCGTCCTGGAGCTGCTTTCCGGTGAAAACGAGACGCTGCTGGGCGGGAGGAATACCCTCGAGTTCCTCGATCTTCTCCTTGAGAACGGAGATCTGAGTTAGTCCTGTTTGAGTGGTGACGGGATAGGTGCGAACAGGTCCGTAAGTGAACCTTGCATTTGTGGGATCGTGATAGAGAACAGCACTTTCCCATGACCTTTTCCCCTTATCGTGTCTCATTCATGCCAACTTCATCGTGGCACGCACGCGTGACCACTTCGCAACAGTCCCCCCAGTCCCTCCATCTCTTCATACTCACCTGATCTTCGGGCTCAACGTCCATCTCAATCTGTGTTAGCTTCGTCGTCACACACTGGCCGCAACAGTGTTCCAAATGTCATTTCATCTAGGAATGTTACTGCTGGGTGTATATCGTGGTTCAGGACTCACCTCCTTTCCAATGAGTGTCTGTGTTAGCATTTCCAAGTTAGCGCACCGCAAGCACGAATCTGCGGGGAGGATGCGCACAATGAGGTCTTTCGAGTCCCCAATCATGTACCCCGCGGTCTCCCCAAATCATACTCACCTTGATCTTGATCTTCATGTTGCGTGGCTGTATAGTGGTTGAGGTTGAGTTGCAGCTGGAACGAGTTTAAGTTGCATGCGAATATATATTTTGGCATGCACAACCACCAAAGAATATCGTAGTCTAGACACCACCCAGAAATGTCGTTTCCAACACCTTCCACGTCATCAGCCAACTATGAAGAGGTCTACGAGCCCAGCGAAGACTCCTTCATGCTCCTGGACGTGCTGGAAATGGAACAGAGCTACATCAACAGCCATCTGTCATACCCTGTGGTGACAGAGATCGGAACCGGATCAGGCATCGTCACCACCTTCATGCTGAAATCCGTGGTGCCCAAAGGCGTCTTTTTGGCTACAGATATCAGCCCCTTTGCATGCAACCAGGTTCTGGCCACGTCAAAAGAAAACAACGGCACCCAGTACCTCGAGGCGCTTCGTGGAGAACGTACCACAATGATGAGACCTCATACCATCGATCTACTGGTCTTCAACCCTCCATATGTGCCAGACGACAAGCCCGTAGAACCCTACCCGGAGACAGATGGTGACTGGGTCGATTGGGCACTTCTTGGAGGTGAAGACGGAATGCAGGTGACTTGGAAGGTGCTACTAGAACTGAAGACCATACTGTCAAAGAACGGAATCGCCTACATTTTGTTCTGTGCAAGCAACAAGCCAGAACAAGTGGCTGTCAAAATGAGGGAACTGGGATGGATCGTGACGCGCATTGTTGAAAGAAAAGAAGGCAGGGAACTTCTAAGTGTCTACAGATTCGAGCTGAAGTAGTAGACCATCATTGCATATTAATTACATTTTTTCACACGCATACATATCATTCATTCATTAATCTATTTAGTATAATATATCATCTTTACTCCTGGATATCGGCCAAGAGATCCAGCTCACAAGCCTCCTGATCAGTCTCCTTGAGAGCGTAAACACTTTCGTAGTTGTAAATGGAGAGCCGGTCAAAGAAAGGCTTTAGCTGTGCAAGAGAGGTAAGAGAACCAATCTTCTGTCCAAAAAGCAAAGGCCGTCGCTTGGAAGTCTCCTCCAGATGAAGATCATCACTGCTGACAGGCGTAGACTCAGCCAACTGATCCAGAATACCGTAAGGGTGTCCGTAAATAGCATCACTGGAATCGGTGACAAACAGCCATTGATCCAGCTGGAAATCCTCCTGGTTAAGCACCAGCACAAGATCGAGCAGCTTACAGGCACTCATCACGATTCGGTTATCCGTCTCCTTACCTTGCAGCAGACCCTCGAATATAACCTGCAGGTTGTGGGCAACCAGAGGCCAAATGGGAACCAGATGAGTGGCAGAGAACCGCATAACAATAGCACGCAGTGCAATGAACAAGGACTCGAGCTCAATCTCATCCAGAATGCCCTTGATCTCCTTCATATGAAGCACAAACTGGTCTTCCTGGCCAGAAAGCAACAGGTAACACAAACGTCGAACACTGTTACCTCGAGAGCCCCAGTTGAAGACACCAGATGAGCCGGTGATGAGCTCAGAAACCTCCTTGGTGCACGTGGACCACTTGGACAGAATCTGGGGCCAGGGAGCCTCGTAGACAAAGTTGTCCTCGATGAAAAAGTCGTGAACGGCACTCTTCCACACCTTGACGGTTCCTGGGATCTGAGTGATGACGCCGAGTAACTCAAAAGACCGTTTGGGGATCACGACGTTGTTCACAATGCCCTGCAAAACGGAACTCACCTTGTCTTGGTCAATGAGAATCGTTCGCAGAACAGGAACCACCTTCATGAGAGTCTGTTCATCGGTAACCTGTCCGACCAGCTTCACAACAGCATCAGAGATTTCCTTGCTCACCTTTCGGTTGGCAAAGTTGCTGCCATCAATCTTGACTCCAATAATAGTGAGGGTCTGAACGGTGGGAGACAAGATTTCCTTGTAGGGCACGGGGTTCAGCATGACGGTTCGGGCGAAACCCATGTAGTCCGAGTAAATGTCCTCTACAGCGTCGTTGGATAGAGACTTCACATAAGCCAAAAGGAACGAGGCCGTTGACTTCTTCTGGTCATCTGAGAGACTCTGAAGCAACTGGCTCACCGACAGCTTGGGCCGAGAGCCATCCAGAACATGCAATACCTTCAACACATGGGGCATATCATCCTCCGAAAGCTCGATCAGCATTTGAAGAACCTCACCTCGCTCGAAAGAGAACAGCTTGTCGAGAATTTTTCGAGCTCGGAATTTCAACCGCTGGCCAAGGTAGACAACGCTGTCCAAAGTGTATTCCTCGGCCTCCTGTCCATCGACCTTCCGCCACAGATTGAAGCAGCTCTTGACGGCATTCTGGAAACACAACAGAACAATCATTCTGTAGCCATTGCCCTTTGTAGGCTCCTCCAGAGATAAGACACCATTGACCACGTTGGTCATCCACCCCGTGGAGTTGAGATTTAGTTCCTCCTGCGAAGCCTCGACCTTGGTGTAAGCAAGATAAAGGGACTCGAGACAGTATTCCAGACCTGTCAGGTAAGGAATAATGGAGTCAGACAGAGGTGCCGTGACATCAGTGACTGTATCGCCAACTGCAGGGTCCTTCTCGCCGTCCTTGTCGTCAACTTCGACCAGAACCTCCCTGGAGCCTGTAGAAAGCTTCTGCAGAGAAGCAACGGGGGTACCATCAACAAGAGCACACAGTCTCTCGACGATAGCAATGCTAATCTGGAACAAATCAGTAGAGTAGATTCCGAGCAGACACTCTAGGAAGTGAATCCATCCCGAACTGATGATAACGCCCTTTCGAGAAGACAAGCCATGCAGAACAACAGCAATAAAAACACCGGGAATGTTCACATCTGAGGTTTCAGACACCAAGGGGATGTCCACAGGACCGTTTCCAATGAACTTTTCGCTCTTGGAAAGCGTCATGGAAAGATCCGAGGCCTGCAGAGCCTTGGCAAGAACTGCAAGCACGATGACCTGAAGCTCCGAGTCCTGGTTTACCAAGTCAGACAGCTTAGTCACCAACACGCGCACAAATACCTCCCAATTGGCTTTGGAAGTAGGGAAGAGAGGCGAATCAAGCAGAATGGAACACAGCTTGAGCACTGCAGACAGAGCTGAACTGTATGCCAGCGTATCAACAGCCTGGAATTGCAGAAAATGAGCCATCAGGTTGGCAGTCCAAGCGGCATAGGTGGATTTGCCTTCATAGTAATCGTTGATGTCAAATTCTTCCACCTCCTCCTTGTTGAAATGGAATTTGGCCATGCTAGAATTATTGGCAGAAAGAACCTTCGTGAGAGCTGAGACGTGGTATGCGAAAAGAGCCAGGTCATCGGACTCTTCAAACAGCAGCTTGCCTTCAACGGTTGGCCGGCTGAAAAATGCGGACTTGGACAGAGGGTCTAGGAGAAGTGAGAATAGTTTATCACACGACCCGCTCGAAGCCACTGTGTTGAGCCAGTAAGAGCCAGCAAGAGATTTCTCCGATGCAAAAGCCAGGGAAATCAGCTCATTGGACGACACATCAGAGGCGAGGAATTTGTTTTTGCCTGCATTGCTGCCATAGAGCTCCAACTGAGAGGTAGGAAGAGGAAGCAAGTCGAGATACAGGAACAAGGGTCGAGCCAATAACTTGGAGAAGTTGGGTGCCGAAAGAGAGTGCTGCCAAATAGCCGAAAACACTTGTGACTTCTCATCACAGGGTTTCGAAAACAGAATACTCAGAGCAGCCTCCACTTCCCTGTCATCGCTACCGTGAACAGCCTGAAGAGACCACAACGCCTTGACCAGCTCTGCATTGTGGAAAGGGCCGTTGTAGTACTGTGAGTTGGGGGTTAATGATGTGAAAATGTATCCTACCAGAGCAAGAAGATTCGCTGGGAACAGCGGGTACAGCCTGGTCCATCCCAGGACAGCCACGGGAGGCAGAGAAGGCAGGGGAGAGCTGGAGAAGGGGTCGAATTGAGCCACTGCTTCTTCACCTGCCAGCTGTAGAGTTTTTTCCAGCTGTTCAGACTTAAAACCAGAAACCTGCTTGGCTTGTAGCTCGGAAATGATGAGTGCAAGCTTGGAGAAGATGGCTGGGTTATTACTACATTCAGCAGTGACCTTCTGGAAGAACTCATCAGCCAAGCGAGTGGAGGTCTGTAGAAGCAACAAGTAAACATCAGCAGCTCCATATCCATCGGCCCACTCGCCATCGTAGTACTCTTCGACCTTGGACTCAATAGTGGACACTTGGAAATCGCCATCAGTGAGCGTCGAATGTTCCACTGGTAAAAATGCCCGCTCGGGGATGAGTTCAATCAACAGAGTAGCAATCTCGTTCCACTCTTTCCACTGAGAAAAACGTCCAGACAGAAGATGGCTCAGTAGTGCCAAAGGAGCATGCTTGACAATCATCTCTTCGTCCGAAAGATTGAAGGTTTGAAGTGTGAATAAAGCCAAAGATAGAGAGCCAGTCTTGAGCATCTTTTGAATGTCGGCCCAAATGTTGATTGCCTCCACTGAGTCAACAAAGGCGGAGGCTGACAACACAATATCCTGGTAGTCAGGTCTCTTTTCACAGTCGTAGACAGATTGGATAATGGGTGTCAGAATCTCTGGAATCACAGTAGATCCAATTTCCCATCGATCCATCAACGAGAGAGAAATCTTGGAAGCTCTCACTGGCGAACTCAGAGCCAGGATGCCCTGGACAAGCGCATCTCGGCCGTGTGTTGTAAAGTACTCCTTCATGGAAACATCATCGGGTCCAAGAAGCCAGGCCCACAACCTTCGGTTGAGAGACATGTCCTTTCTGAGCACGGCGGCACACGCGCTTGTCATCAGCAGAGAAATGTCGCTCTTAGAGGCCAGGCCTGTAATGACAGGAGAATCGAGAGGCAGGTTCTTGACTAATAGTTCCAGAAAACCTCGCTGGACAAGGAGTTGGTCGTCCTCTAGCCCCCGACAGAAGGCCCGGATCAGCAGGCCACATTCCGGAGTGACAGCTGACTGGGCTTCGTAGGATAGACTGTGAATGATCTTGTCGGATTCATTGATGCCCTCGACCTTGGAGAACTGGGGCAGTTCTTTGTATGCATAAACCAGCGCTCCTTGCCTCTTATCTGGAGCGGATACAATGGTGAGGAAGAAGCATTGCCAAAAGTAGGGCTCATCATGGAGACGTAGCTTGAGCTTCTGAATGAGATCAAAGCACGCCTGGAATGACTCACTTGACTCGTCGTCGATACCGGGAAGCAGTGAGAGCAGCAGCGGTCGAATTGTCGTTTTGAGAGTCGCTTGAGGCAGCTTCTCCACAATGTCCTCCTGAAGTACCTCAATCAAGATGGGCTTGACGTTAATGGATGCATATGCCATGAGCGGGAGCAGTCCGGGGAGCCAGACTCTGATTCCCTGGGCCACGGGGTCCACCGATTTGCCGTCCAGACTCTTGTGATAGTCGCCGATACCTCGCAGTATCTCAAACACCTGACGGTACACCTCCAGGGTCTTCTGGTGCACTCCTGACGGCAGGTTTGGCAGCAGACACCAGGCCAGTTTGGAGGCAATTTCGCTCTGTAGCGGCAGGTAGGATGGGTTGGAATGGCTCTTGAGTGCTTTCTGCAGCTTGCCAATGAACGAAATGTAGTCTGCCCATTCGTCGACCGAGTCCCATAGAGCCAGCGCCTTCTCTAGTGCTGACGTGTATTTCTTCATTTTTGGGTCTGAATTAGTAAGTCCTGTCATTGCACACACTCGAACAGTCGTCGTTAGTGCCGGATCATCGCTGTGGATCTCTTCTACCACCCCCTAACGCGTTCGTGACATGTCCTCATGTTGAGGCGTTCAGTGCTGTAAGAAGAACAGACACAAACAAAAAAAGAGCTTGCGTGCCATAACCCTCTTCATACTTACCTTGGGTCGCATCCTTGGACCAGAATGGCAATGGCGATATTGACCGAAACATGTTGGTGATACCCTTATGTTGTAGCTGACAGAAGGTTCAGATACACACAGCATGATGATGCGTGTGCATGACAGGCTTGGGTGGAAACAATAGGACACATATTGTAACGTCAAGAGGCGAGTGAGAGTGAAGGAATGAGTGGGTTTCCAGATCCGCGACCACCCGATATCGTATCTCTGAACGCTTTTGTCGTGCCACCTGACTAATCACTCCGGCAAAGGTAGACACGTGAAACTACCCTAACCCCCTGATGGGAGAGTGACACGTTTCAGATGTTTTTTGTTAGCTTTAGTTAGGGGATTAAGTAAATTCCGTGGGTTACGTAAGCGCGGACAGACATCCGGAAGACCAAAAATAATAATAAAAAAAATAAAATGATACAAGCACAGTAGAGAGCAAAGGGAATAGTCATGCTGATTGAGAAGCTCCACGGTAGGTTAGATTTGATGCCCTAACCTATTAATAGGAACCCACTTTCGGGGAACTTGTAATTATGGAAAGAAAGACCTCACGGTGTGTACTGTTTTCACCACCTCAACAGTTGGACACTTGTATCTCTGAGTAAGATGACAAATTCACATCTTAAGCTTGCGAAGAGAAGATTAGCGATAGTAGAGGTATATTATTCATTCGTTTTCCTAAAACAGAAGAACGTCTTTGCAGATGCGTTGGCTAAACCCCATGGACGTAACGCTCGATAAGGGTGGGACTAAGAGCGATAGTCGGAACTGAATCTTGACTTTTATGGTGAATAAGACCATTTCATAATGTCTAGCACGGCCGAAATGATTGACTATCGAACTCTCTGTCCTATTATCTGCCGTAGTTCATCGCCAGCGATTGGGTCTCGTGCCATCTCTTCCCGGTGTAGGAACCACACCCTGCAGGAGGCTTTTTACACGAACGCTTGGCTAACTTACAGCCATATTAATTGATTCTTGCCCCTTTGGGATTCACCACAGACCGCAATCTGCACATGCTACTCCACCTGAGTTCATATATGTTCGTTAGGATGTGCGTGATGAGCTGTGGCCCGGTTGTGCTGTCAGAAAGACGTTCACTTTTGGACCAAGTCTCCCAGTTGTCCCCGAGTAGCAACCTATAGACCATCTATGGGTGACAGAGATGATGAGTCTTAACTGTAGGTTGGGCGCTATAGCGGCAACGGTGAAAAAACGCTCACACAGCATATTTCTTTTGGGATGCTGGTTGGTAAGAAGATCGAGCGAATTAAGGCCCACGGCTCCCGGGTCAAGTCCATCCGCTACAGGTATCATGCAGCAACAGCGTTCATTAATGAGCTCGCGGCATTGTTTTGCATACCGTCGTGCTCAATAGGCTCGATCGGTATTCACTAAGTCGAGATGGACCAGTGGTGGAGAAAGTAGACGACGTATATTCAAGGAGAACCCAGCCTGGGGACGAGGCCTAGATGATGGCGACAAAGCGGTATGACGACATCTGTACTACCGCCGCCTTCAGCACCATCCATGGCCTCAGCTGTCTCAGACCTCAGCCAGCCACAGACAGCTTCAACTGACACAAACAGAAGGCTATTTTTTCATCTGGGAAGACCCTGCGTGAGTTGAGCCAGTTACTGTATCAGGGCAAATGTTTTACAAGGACACTCCCTCTCCCTCCGCCCTGTCACGATTAGCCTCGAAGGTACAAGTAGCAAACACATGGCCGATCGAGTTTTTCGCTCCCTTAATCATGCAGATGGGGTGGATTAAGGGGGTGGCATCTTGTTTGTATGGGTGAGAAAGTCGCAAAACACTGGCGCATCTTGTGGTCCAATGTTTCACAGATACATCCAGTCTGTGGGCCCACCTCAGATCCTCAACACACTTTCATATCCCTCCTCCTCCCCCACTTCAACCGTGAATGTGTTGATTTCTTTTTTTCCTCTCTCACCAACGTTGTTCATGCCCCATGCATCAGGACTGTGGGCACAAATACCAGAGATTCGTGATGCTCTGGACCTTCCTCTTCTGTCACGGTGCGTTTATATGGATAAAATATATCCATCAGGCTCGACGCTCTCTTTTCCTCAATGTTGCATGATGTCATACAGTGTCGTATTGTATGTACTTGCGCTAGAGAGAAGAAAGAAAAGAACTGAACCATTGTATCCCCTCTTGATGATCGCTTCTTTGTGTGGCTCCGGACCTGGACATGCAATCTTGTACCGGGACACTCATAGAGAGAGAGAGAGAAAGAAAGAGAGAGGAGATCAGGGCCCTCAAGGACGCCCAGATCGTGGCCCAGCAACCTCCAAGGTCAATTGGACACCCACTCCAACATTTGGGGACCTGATCTGCACCCAAATGGGCTTAGCCGCTTGAACACTACGACCCAGACGCACGCATTCCGAACCAACTTTGTTCGGAGGTTCGACACGCCGCTGGAGGACCTGCAATCTCAGTTTAATGCGAATTGAGTCTGTTTGACAGTCGTTCAGTCAGTCAGTGTCAGTCAGTGTCAGTCAGTGTCAGTCAGTGTCAGTCAGTGTCAGTCAGTGTCAGTCAGTGTCAGTCAGTGTCAGTCAGTGTCAGTCAGTGTCAGTCTGTCGGTTCATTGCATGTGGAATTCAGGTGTCCGATCGCAAACTTTGAGCTACGCAACCACAGCAAAACAGCGACTCCCTTGTTGGACTTGTCTCAAAGCTCGCAAACTTTCTGCCAGCGGGCCCTCTTGTTCTTATGAAACCATGAGATTATTTCATTAGGAAAGAGGTTGTGATACACGGTGGCTGTGTGTCTCCAATCTCAATCATCAGCAGCTCTGAACCTATGAGACAGAACGTCCAAACCTACCTTGATGGGTAAACGTTTGTCCCGTTTGTCCCGTTTGTCCCTGGTGACTCAGCAACCAGACAGAACTTGTCACGATTCAGTACACGCAGTCCATGGCTGCCCAAACCCGGACGTCAACCGTGAAATCTTCCGATTATCCACGCCAAGAAGCCCTGCAGCCCCCACAACAACAGTACAAGTACTTTTGTCTCTCCATCCAGGTGGAGATTTCTTTTTTGTCCTGACCCCTACACAAAGTTACGCATTTCGGTCGCTGATTGCCGATTGCCGGCTTGATGAGCCCTCTAATTGTCCGAACAAGCTGCAACATCAGCATTAGACAGTACGGAGCGGGTCGTACCTAATGGCCAGCCCTGCCAGCTATCGTTAGAAAGAGAGCCAATCCCTTGTCTACAGCCAACTGGGCTCCGGCTCCCGGAGGTTTTCCTTGTTTAACCAAATACCGACGCCGATTACGCCTACGAGTGTTTATGGCAGTCAGTTTTGGTTAACTCAACTCCGTGGGGGCTCTCATGAGCTGTGCTAGAGCGGCTAACCGCTGAAGCTGCGCATCTGGCGATTGCACCCTTGATCCACAGAAAGCGTGCGTGCGAACGGCTTGGATGCTACAGAGCGAAACCCCCTTAGCACGTCGGTCCTCGGACGTCTGCGATGTGCAATCGGTGGAAAGGTGACGACACAAAGAAAGGAGATCGGATTGTTGTCGGCAGCGGACTCCTACGACCAATAAGCGAAGATTTCCATGCATCCCGCAGGTGGTAAGCGGTGGAGGAGGGGGGCGAGGGGCGTTCTTCATGTGCGACGTTGCATGTGGGTTGTCCCAAAGTTGACTTGTGTACATACTCACAAGTAGCGAAAGCTCGTTTGATCCCAGCTGTGGGGGACACAATTACCATTCTGGATTACACACTCCACCGTCTGCATTCCAAACGGTCTCGAACGGTCATGTCTGACCAATCCCTGATTGGTGTGTGTCTGATACCCTTCTGGTTCCATCTTGCTGTTTGCTACTAGAGCAAGGTAGGGAGCCCACCAACACCACCAGGAGACGTTAATCTTCTGCTAATTCGGTATATGATGAATAATTGAAACAGAACAACCATAGGAGATATCGATCACTTCCTTGTACACGATCCCTTTGGTAAAAGGCTGCCAGCTTGGGTGTTTCCGATCTACATTCAAACCTCCTGGCCATGAAAACTTACTTGGGAGCTACAGGGTCACAGACTTTCATAATCATTTCATATTGCAGACAGGGTGGGGGAGGTATGGCCAGGCGGACTTGTGCTTGAACAGGAATCTTCCTGAGCTCCAGAGCAAGTGGTCAACACCAAACAAGTGGTTTTCATCGATCTACAGAGTCCCTACAGAGTCCCTGGATCCGAGACCTCTTTGTTATCATTCAGGTTGTCAATCTCGCGAAAGATTAGCATTGTTTTGTTATGCCTACAAGCAACGCACAAGCCGTGAGCCGAACACAGAGCCGGCTGCAACCTATAATCCCAAAATGGCAGTCTGCTTGTTCCTGTCCTTCATCGATTACATCTTCTCTACTGGACGGGCTTGCATGCGACTTTATGCAATGGATCGAGAACCGGAATTTCTGTTCCTATGAAACTCCTCCGCGGCCGTCTCGATCTCCACGATCCATTCCAGCCTCTGAGAGCAGATAATTCTGTCGACACTTTCGGACGCCGAACCAGTGCTCGACACCTTGCACCAAAAGACAAAGTAGCAAACTACTTGTACTACTCGAATGAAAGGGTAAGATTCACGCTAAGGGCTTAGCATGGCTGACCACCTGGTTATGATAAATACACCGCATTAGTGCAACGTTGATTTATTGCATCGAACTCAGACACACGGATTACTGCTGCCAATGTAGCGTTGTCCTCCTGGCGATGGCGATAGATGGATGAGATATTTTCGGCGACAGTGGATGGTGCATGGTGGGATAACATTTCATCTCCATTGACTATTCAAGGCCACATTCAGACATCTACGCACTTCATAAGCTTGGAGTGCATTGATGCTAATCATCCATAGTGGAAGACAAGCCACCTTATAGCATTAGACCCGCTTGGCATATGATGGACATGCCCTGTAAATGAGGTGCAGGTTTCGATCACTCATAATGTGAGAAGGCACCACAAAGAAGATTTAGTGCGGTTCACCTGGTTGACAGTTTAGACTGCTCGTCTTAGCACCACGGAACTGCCCTACTTTCTCTCTTTATCCAGTACCTGCCTTGATTAGGGCTTGATCCGTAGTGTTTAGGAAACAAGGGTTCGTGTCACTAGCTCGTGGATGACGTAGAATTGGCACTAGCGCGACACTAGCATGGCACTAGAAGGCTCCAAGCCGTTCCATTAGTGCGCTAGCGTCGATTGCCACAGCTGCTTGCTACCGTTGTCATCGAGTCCAAGTGCCAAAAAATATCCAGGTCCACAAACTCTGAAACTTTCCACGATGTTTTGTTGCACAGGGCTTCCGGGGTGACAGAAAGTGAGGAGCCTCACGATATGGGCTGTAGAGAGTTGTCGCACTCTGTACACTGGAGCCGCAGCGAGTCCCTTACACACATCTGGACTCTTTTTGGAGGCAAAGAATGGACTGTTTCCGATTAGCTAGGTGTGCAGATTCGGTAGCCGGCAGCACCACCAAACAGAATTCGAACTATGCCATGGCTTGAGAAAAAAATAAAACCTATAGGCCCCTGAGACTAGCATAACATGAAACTAGAGTCGTCGTTGGCGACATTTTCTTTTCGGCAGGTCCGGCCGTAGCCTCTGCCGCCTCCACCGGTACCTGCATACGCTAAGCTGGGTTGGTAGGAGGTAGGGTAGGTCCCCGGCTGGGCGCGACTCCGTGTCATTTGTAGAAATCTACACGCTGTTTGATTTAATACAACTTGCATCTAGTTTCATTTATCGTAACGAAAACACTAATGGTCGTAAAATATCCTAGGAGGACCCAGGAGGGAACCTGGGAACCTTCCGAAACGAAACCCAAATCCGCGGCTAAGTAAACCCCATCCCAAGCCACAATAAGGTTGGATATATAGGCTCATATGCCTCCAAAACCCTATTTTACGAACACTAATGTTAGGTTAGAGTTCAGCACATTATTCGCTTAACAGTTCATTTCAGAGACTCACACCAAGATGAAGAGGAGAAACTGTAACCGACTTCTCCCCACTTTATGGGTGGAAATAGACACGGGGAAAAGACGGGGAGAGACAGGGAGAGATGGGCAAGGAGCGGAGATGGGCAAGTCGTGGTCGACTATGCCAGACCATGTGTTCATGACGCGCTTGACATGTCAAATTTTTGACACAGACTAACGGTCTCTGCAGCTGTCATCAGCCAGGGGTTCAGTCCGTGGATATATCGGTGGCAAAACCACGCACACTTTATTTTGGGCGAATCTACGCGGATATTCCTGCACTTGAGCGGTGGAAACAGCCATTCTTGAACCACATGGACCTTTCCAAGAGAATCTTCCGACACACTGGCATTGAGCTGATCTTGGCTGAGATGCGCCCTAACCACTAGTCGTGGATATACACTTTCTGACACTGGTCCCCAGCAACGGCGAGGTACTAGTGCGATGCCTGGAGACATTTGACTGGTGCTACGTGCCTGCTACTTGTACTGTATACATGCGGCACGGGGCATCGATGCTTCTCGCTTAACGAAACCCGCCAGAATACGACGATGGCTGCAAAGCTGCACAGTGCATCTGAAAGCTGGCTTAGTCTCGGTTGTCGGGGGGGGGCCATATGCAGGTTCTTGGCAACGAGATTGGTGCGTAGAGGCCCAAGTCCACTCTCTCCAACTTGCGAGCGACTTGTTGGGTCACATGTTGAGTGACAATCGTTCATATATCCAAGGGAAGCTTATGTCTGGAGAAGGTATAGTGTCGGTACCGTCCAACTGATGGCAAGGTTTCGCTACAGTGTCAACAGAAGAGCATGTCTGTTGTCTTCTGGAGAAGGGTCATGTGTTGAGCGACAAAACAAAGATAGGAGGAGTATGAAACCTAACTTTCTCATGACATGCTCTAGCCCCCCTCCAACCACTTCATATTTGCCAGTCCCTTTTTCCATTTAGTTTTTATTTGTGCGCTTACATTGCCTTTCTGTCTCGTCACTTCTTACCCTCTCTTATTGCAAGGTTGTGTTTGAAAGTCTGATTGAATGAAGGGAAATGCAGAAACAAACGCCATTGACAAGGACTGGCCGAACTTTGAATGTCGTATCCTTGCAACTTGACTTCTCAACAGACGGTAAAACTCTTCCGAAACTCGTCATGTATATGCCATCTATGAATGTCGCTGGGTTTTCAGACTTTGCACGAGCTTGTCATCTGGCAGACTGTGAAACTCCATGTGGTTCAGTCTGAGGAGAGCACTACTCTACTCATCCTCGCGGTCTCTCCACCCTTTGCTACAAGTCCATTGTTGGAGACAATCAAGTGTAATCTAGTCCGTCCCTCACACATCTTCATTGTCTGATTGTCTGATTGTCTGATTGTCTGCCACGCTGGATGCTCATCTCTGCCCACAGCCTCAATCATTCTTTCAACGCAACACTCACAGTTAAGGCCCTCTAAGCTCGTGTCTTTCCAGTTTTGGTTATCTTTCTCGCATCTCGCCTTCCCTGAAGCTTCAGGCAATGGCTGCTTGAAGTCTCGTTGGTTCAGTTTCAGGGCTCTCATCTCATTCACTGAGCAGAGCTGAAGCGGGATAGACAGGAAAGAGAATGGATGTATGAGTACGAGTACAAGTATGGACTGTACTTGGTTGACCTTCTCGAAAGGGGAGTCAGTGTACCCAGACATCTACGAAGACTTCCATGTTGCATATGAAGATGCCCAGAAAGGCAATAGCTCTGCGAGACCCCGAAATATGCTGTAGAAGCCAGCAGCCACAAGTGTGGAGCTATTGCGCTGTTGTTTGGGTTCTTGCAGGGAACCTCATTGATTCTCATACCTTGATAAGCCGAAGAATAATCACCCTCCCTCCCTCGGTATACCGTAGATTCTGTCAGCTGGACCGGGTCCCTTGTTGCATCTGGACTACAGCTATACATTTCATTTTCAGTCGCTATTAAAGGCTCTTTCTGAGGGTGGGGCTGTAGGAGGTCTATGATGGTTGCGCAGTAGCGGCAGCTTGTTGGACTAGTCTAAACTGTGAGATCGCACTAAAAGAAACAATAATTAGTACTCTCTAAGGACGCGACCATGTATTGGTGCGATGAGCCTAGAGAATGGCTCTTATGCGGTCCCTGAGCCTGGGAAAAAGTGGTGGCTCGTACGCAGGGAGACAGTTCGGAAGACGGAAGTGGTGCGGGTAGCTCCAGGGGTCCCGACTATCCCGGGAGCCCCTCTACACAGAGTTTGTCTTGGTTTCTTTTCGCTCTTTTCTTCACCGCGGTTGTTTCTTTTTCTTTCGTTTTCGTTTTCGTTTTCGTTTCCGTTTTCATTTTCTGCGCTTTGTGCATCTTTTTGTGTGTCGCCATGGATAATGGCTTTGGTGGGTTTTTCTGCTGTTTCTGTGTCCACGCTTTTTTCTTGTCCCCCATAATAATAGACTTTTGATAGTCGGACGTGCAGGAAAGACGAAGTCACAAAGATTGTCTGATTCCAGTTTGCTGCATCCACAAATAGAGTTTCGATCAGAAAATAGTGTTATTGTGATGTGATCGAAATTCGCAGAAAAAAAAAGAGAGCGCCTGGAGAGGGTGTTGGAAAACCTAGCTGCTGGTTTCGCTGGACCAGACGGTCTGTGGAGTCAAAAGAAAACAAAAATAACACAGAAGTGGGCGTCCTCAGGGAGATGGGTCTGTGGGGAATATCTTTCCAATCACATGGAATAGACTAATGGTGGTGGTGAATGTAGTATGGTAGCTCTAACTACTTTAGTACAGCGAGGACATCGAACTTTTGGTGGCAGCTTCAGGTGAGCATGTTTTTTTGTGTTTTTTTTCTTCTTCTTTTCTGTGACACCGCCATTGTCGACCCCACAGCAGCAGCAGCAGCAGCAGCAGGTGGACGGGCACTGATTGGTGCTCTGCGGGAGTAGGAGACGTGGTGTCTTGGTTGGAAAGTCAGGCTGTCAAAGAGGTTACAACAGACAAAGGGAAGAACCCTAACCCAAAATATTTAGCTCTCATGCGGACGATCTGTCGCCTTGGCAAATTTGAGTTTTAATGAAATAGCCCTTTGAATGCATGAATGCCAAAACGAACCTAAAAATCCCAAACAAAGAAACGTGCACCAGAAGAGCATTCGCTAAGGTCAGGTCTGGTGGTTTATAAAGACGGCCCATGTCGTTCCAAAAGTTCCGATTGTAACTACCAACTCCAGTCTCAGCAAATAGAAGATCATCACCTCCGTTTTGACTCCTTTTCCCATCTTTCCCATCCCCTCTCAGACTTACACTTAAGTCGTCTCTCCAAAACTCACCCCAACACCCACCTCCCCTCCAATCATCCTCCAAACAGACAAAATGCAACCCTCTATGGTTGACGAAACAGTGAATTATGTCAATGCCAGCCTGGGCCTTGACATCGGAGCCTCTCCTGCCCTTGCAGACGCCTCCGCCTCCTCTAACACCTCCGTGCCCAAGTCTATCTTTGTGGAGACCCACCGACCCCGAAGAGCTTCCATTTCTTCCGGTCACATTGCCAAGGCTACTGCTGCCGTTGCCGCCCTCCAGGAGCAGCAGAAGCAGCGACACGGCAGTCACCGAAGCGAGTCTGAGCACACTCGACTCGTTGAGGGCGCCTGTCGACACATTGCCGAGGCCGCCGCTCAGGCAGCTGTTGCCGCCGTAAAGGACAACGACGTCCAGGTCGAGGAAGACTCTCGACGAAAGGTTGTGAAGATCCAGCGAAAGCGACGACGAGGTGGTATCCTGGGCTTCAAGGAGCTTGCAGCCAAGTCGGGTCTGTCTCCCTGGCACTTCCACCGAGTCTTCCGATCCATCACCGGCCTGACTCCCAAGGCTTATGGTGATGCTTGTTGGAAGGCTGTTACCAACAAGCTGTCTGACCCCGAGCTGCTCACCAACATCAAGGAAGAGCACGGTGTGTCCACCAAGACTGAAATGGAGCCTCCTAAAGAGAACCACTCCGCCTCGGTCACCCCCCAGCACACCCCTACCATGGCCCAGTCACTGCCTACGCCTTCCTACCCCTTTGAGCCTGTGACTCCGTTCGAGGCAGCCCCGGCTATGACTTCCAACCCTATGCCTCAATTTGATAACACTCCTTTCGAGTCTATGTCTTACGAGCCTCCTTTTGAGACGTGCTCCTCCATGACTTCTCCCGAATCTACTATGTCCTTTGATGTTCCTTTCATGTCACCTCTGGCCAACAATGCCACTCTGACAGCGCCTGCATCCGCAGTTTTTAACACCCAACAGCAGTACTACTACGACTGGTACCAGATGCCCTCCGAGGTGCCTAACATGCCCATCGGCACTCCGACAACACAGCCTTCTTTCACCCTTGACATTCCTGATAATATGTCTGATTCTACTGCCACACAGCCCATGTCTTGCCACTCGGCATCGTCGGCATCTTCTCTTTTGGACTCGGTTCACACTCCAGGTGAAGAGTTCAAAGATGAGATGGCTTCTTGGATTGATACCAAAGACACCTTCACCGTTGACCAGAACCCCTCTTATGTCGACATGGGCTTCCAGTAAGCTGGCACTTACTGAACCATTTATTTATTGAATCTACTCACCCTCTATTGTCTACCTAAAACAACTAACCCCCTTCCCTCCTCTCCTCCAGATGCCCCGATGTTGATCATCAATTTCTATTGATTTTACAATGCTCCTTTTTTTGTCGCTGCAGCTTTGAAAGCCGGCACACTTGTTGATCACAACCAGTCCGATTCTTCTTCCACTATTGTTTGATATCTGTTTCTTGCCCATCCATCTGTGCAGAACAGTTCACAATCACGTTTCCAATCACCATCTTTCGCCACATGTTTCACCACCCTTTTTTCGAACGTTCTTGCTGCTTGCGAGGAATGCTTCTCATTCTGATCTTTGTACTTTTTTATTTTATTTATTTCGGACGACGTTTGTTTTATCATGTTTTTCTTTCCACTTTTTCTTTTCCCCCACAAAAAACCTTTGGGCAGCGACACCACTGTAGACACTTGTATGCTAACCATCTTTACTCCCTTCTCTAGATCCCCGATTCTCGAACAGCTCCGAACCCATGCGAAGAGTCCGATTCCACTCAGTCCACTCCAATCTTCAGTCAGCCCACTTCCACCACCGACCATGGTTGCCCTCTCTACGCCTCCCTGCGTCTTTTTACGCCTTCCCACTCCTCCTCGCTCCTCCCACGTCGCCGCCTTTACGTTTGTTTCGCCACCGAAAGATACCCCTTCCTCTTCTTCATGTTCATTTTTTTGACTGCCTCTGAAACACTTCACGTGTGGACGGGTGACCGTTTCCGGTAAGCTTCTGCTGCTGGATAACTTTAACTGATCTATATATTGAAATTCCACCTTTTTGTTATTTAGCGGAAATCCCCGCTCCTTGGATGTTTTTTTGTTGTTGTGCAACTAACTACAGGACTCTTAGCCACGGTGCTTCTCTGCTTTGCTTGGGGACCGCGGCTACGTGTCTTTTTTCCTTTCTTTGTCAAGACAGTCTTGGTTTTTCCGCGACACCCACATTTTTTTCGCCTCTTTTTCAGCTCGCCTCTTTTTCAGCTCGCTTCTTTTCTCGCCAATCTCGCCCCCTCGTACTCATACAGTACATTACTGTGCTACGACTTGTATCGTACGGACTTAAGTGTACACCCCATCCCCTCGTGCAGAGTGCAGAAACAGCCTGAAATGTTATTTAACCGAGCTCTTCGTTTGATAGGTCAGTGACGCCGCCTTACTGCGCTGGGGCATAGAGTTGAGATCAAAGAGTTCGTCTTGAGAGCTTGTATTTTCGAAAGGGTTTGCCGAAAAGCCGCCACTGCATTCCAACAACTTTCTAACCAATATATAATGTTTGATCTTGTAGAAAATGGTGCTTTGTATACTGTAGCCGTCTCCCGGACTCCTTGAACACCTGTAGCGAGTCTAGGCACGCTCTAATGTGGCTTCGGAATAATACTCGGAATAACCGTCCTTCAAAGGAGACCAGAGGCATATCTACACTTGGTTAAAGCTGGACAAAACTTACCCAAAACAAGCGCTCAGGATGTACAAGTCGTAGAGTTTTAGATGATACAACAATGTAACATACGTCTCCAGGAGCACTTTGCGGTCATGATGCGTTTCCACCGTCAAACAAGGCCAAATACGTCCTGGGTACGGCACTGCTTTGGAGGTCAGATGCACGTGCATTGCAGCACGCCCAAACAAACGGTTGTCTCTGCGCGGTTGCGTCAACATATGTACGAACAGCTTCCGTCCCCAATGCATGGGAGTGTAGAAGCCCTACAGAAGCGGCTTGTACAACGTTGACACATTTGACACATTGACACTAGCGTGGAGGTTGTTGTATCAATCAATAGCTGGAGTGCAGGCGGTTGCGGGGCTCAAGTCCTCATGCCCACGGGAGCTTTTCTGGCTCCACAGTTGCCGTTAAACTATTTCCCTTTCTCTCGACGCCCATACAGGCACTTTTCGTTTCCGTATAGCAACCTGGGTTGAAAAACCAATGTCTGTACCGTACCTCCAAGTTGTTGTTGCCTCGAAAGCACACGCAAGGTTAACCACCGCAGTAGTCTGCAGTATCGGCTCTAGGTCGGCACTAGCGCTAGTGCGAGGCCAGCATCGCTAGATGAAGTATCGGAGCCTAAAGGGCCGCCCTGTCATTGTGCGCCACGCAGCGGCCTGGTGCAGTAGTGCCTTCTCATGCGCCTAGTAATGAATGCGGCTAGTAATGGAATGGTGCCTTAAATCTGAAGTGCGGGTGCGTCCTTGAGTCACCTGTCCGTTGCAGATGGTCTTCTCCTCCTCCGACTCCGGATACGGTTCAACACGAGCTTAGAGCGGAACCATCATGCCGAATCCCCTCACCTTTGGCTTTGGTCTGCGCCTTTGATGGGCTCGTAAAACGCTATTCCCGCCTGGAGAGGACAACGAAAAGTCTACATCCGCGATGCACAAAACATGAGTGGGCTGTGACGATCTCCGACATCACAGACTTTTGGGACTGCACGTAGCAGGACGCTCAAAGTAAAAAAGACGCAATGACTACCCAATCCGGCTCTTCCGTGCAAATCTCAGACCTCCTGTAGCTGTAATGTATGTAGCCCACAAAAGGCCCTCCCAACAAGACGAAGAGGATCACACAAGTCCTATAGCTTCTTGGTTGAATAGACATAACATGTGCAAGGTCAAACGAAACCAGAGAGACGGCGGGATAAGTGGGTCCCTTAAGTCTAGGGGTCTGCAGGCCAAGCAGTATACGGCTCTGGCCCATCTCTCGTACGATGGCGTCACTGTGGACTTTGCAGCCACACTGTGGGTATGGGTACATTCCTGTCCCCGGGTACCAGTACATACTGTAAGGTACTCGTACCAGCATGAGTAGTTACCGGTATAGTACAAGCAACCTGGCAACCATTACCGCCACTTTGTCTTGTTCCAGCAGTTTTATGATTCACGGATAACTTTTTATTGATATTAAAAGTCTCCGGAGCTCAGGGCCCCTTGCCAACAATGCTGGAAATAAACCCCGCAGTCTCTTGTCTCATACCGCGGACGCACACCTGCAAAGCGGCCTTGAGCGATGGAACTCGGTAACGAACAATGGTTTTATATATATTTCGGCTGATAATGTATTTGACTGCTTTTGAGCCCGTGCTTGGCCAAATGAAATCATAATCTGACTTTATAGAACCTCTTCTCCTCGCTCGCTAAAGCGCCCTTGTTCAGAAACAGTCTTCCAAAGGGCGGAGATGATGGAGTACATTCGAGGTACAGGTGGGGTATTTGCACCAACCAATGTCATCACCGTATGTACTCGTACTCGTATGACTCCTCCTTGGATCGGCCAGTGTCATCACCAGATAGACACCTCCGGTGAGCGCCAGCCTTGGAGAGACACACACTAACGACAGCCCTCCTCTCGTCATGTTTTCTTTTTCCCCCGCAAGAACTGCTTTTTCCGACGTAACTCCGCCAGATTTGGGGGTTAAATTCTACCCACCTCCACATGGAAATCTACTCCTCAGAACAAACCTACACATGTTGAGAGCTCAGTGTGGGCATCTTGCCAGTCTCACATAATAGAAGTCCAAATGAGTTGCTGTGGAAGTCGACCATGCTTGCTTTGAGACAGATTGCCGCCAGGAACGAAAAGTGGATGATATGTGAATACAGCGGTTTTTGTCAGGGAGAGATAAGCTCCTGGTGGAGACCCGGCGACAAGACATGGCCTGTGTGTACAGTGGAAGCTACAGTATCTTCTAAAACATGTACAGTATGGAGAGTGTCTTAGTTTTAGTGCAACTCCCATGCCAGTAGCATCCCATGATGTTACCCCAATCGCATGATACACTTGTGCTTCACAGTGTCTCATGAATCATTATTACCGAAGCATCCAAGTGCTTTTTGAGCTCTAAACCCTGGCGATAGACAATGGACAAAAGCACCGACTCGCCCCAGCAACTCGTAAAATATCCCGGGACCTTAACTGTGTCTTGGACATGTGATGGTTCAGCTGGAGGAGAGCTGTGATGTGCTTTTTAGGTCAACATTCGAGGGAAAAAGCAATATCACGGAGATGTTTTCACGGATTGGACGTGGATCTCCGGCGGTCTCGGAGTGACAAAGTGTTTGATTCAATTGAGTACATAAAGGATCATAATCATATGACGGAAGGAACTGTGGAACACTAAAGAATTGTCTCGGTTCAAAATGTAACACTTGTATGTCGTCTTGTTAGAGACTCCAGATAAGAGTGTGTCAAGGTGAGCACAGTCTGAAGTGATGGTCGAGGGAGTCAAAGATATTCGCTGGTTGTTCCAGGCAGTCCAAAGTGACGCCTGTTTGTTCCATATCTCATTAACGGTCCAGAAATGCTACAGCCAAGTCTTTGGTGCTCGTATGTCCTCTGAGGCATGCCTGTTAGGATGCTCCCATTGATCTACAAGCGTGAAACCGTCGGGATGTACTGTATCTAGACTAAAGATCTCATTTTGTAAGAGTACAGCAGTTTCAGCTTCTGTAAATAACCGAGTGTATCTACTTTTCCGTCACTATCGTGGAGACAAGATAGGACGCAACCTGCGCTACCAGACAGAACATAATCAGACCCCGTATGTCGACTCGTGTGAGACAATAGTAATGACTAAGACTATATTCCCTGGGTACTTCTACTAGTAGTGCGTGATGGCCACTCACAATGGTACGAGTACATACGTACATACACTGTCAGTAAAAAGCTCGCTAGGAAGCCCTACAAACACACCTCACTCTGGTCGGCACAAGTACTCGAACATTTGGATTGTAGCTCGACTCTCGGAAGATACAACGTTGTAACACCCCCGACTATACTGCTCCAACACTTACCATGTTAATCATGCATTGCACTATTGTTTCTATTGTTTACGCATGCCAAACATAAACCATCTGGTCCCATCCAACGGTGGTGATCCATCCAGGATCGCCCCATAACGACCAGTCGCCGCCAATAACGAACTCTGTGTGTCTGTCCATGCATTTCACTTCTGTTCCACCCCGCTGTCGAGCCAGATAGTTGCCTCCAGTGCTAGCGTCCCGCCAAACTCGAGCAGTCATGTCGTAAGAACACGACAGCAGCAAGTCGGCATGATGCGGTGACCACGAAACTCCTCTGACGGGTAGTCTGTGGCCCAGAATCAAGCTCAATGGCTGAACGGGTTGGTTGGCTGCAGGTTGAGTCATTCGGATATCGTAGACCTGAACAGACCGATCAACGCCACCTGTGGCAATCACTGTGGGTCTGTACTTGTTCCAGTCCAGCGACAGAACCTCTGGTGGTCCTCCAGACTCGGTTTGCTGCGTGGAAAACTGTTGCTGGAGAGGCTGGGGTGCTCGAGTGTCCCACACCTTGACCATTCCTGTGGAGTGTGCGGATGCAATAATCGAGTCTGTGTGAGGCGAGAATTTCGCCGAATAAATGCACTCCTGGGCTGCTGCCTGGTTGGGGGCCGTCTGACGGCCAATGTGAGCTGAAGCGTTTGTTCCCTGGGCCGGAGCAGGCTGGCCAAGGGTCATGATGGAGTTTGTACGTTCCGGCGTCCAGATTTTGATTGTAGAGTCCCATGAAGATGTGCAGAAGAGCGCCTTGTTGGCCATGTTCCAGTTGACAGAGAAGACTTCCCGTGTGTGCTCCTTGAACGATACCAGAGGGAAGGCACCGGCCTTGATGTCGAACAGCTTGACTGATCCGTCTCCGCAGGCGGTTGCCACGTGGTTTTCGTGTTGCTCGGACCACGCGACATCAAAAATGCCGTCCTGGGTGTCAAACTGGCCTTCGCAGACCATGCGGCCCTCGGGAGAGATGCCCAGAATGAAGAGTTTTCCGTTTCCGACCAGCCCGTAGTTGGCCGCCGTTCCGACCGCAATCTTGTCGTTGAAAAACGGCGAGTAGTTGGCCGCGTAGCCGTTGAATCCCTGTGTTTTGAATCCCAACATGTGTAAAGATGTGATTTGTGTACTAGAGTGTGTAGAGTAGGTGAGTGTGATTGAGTGTCAGTGCTTGTGTTTCGGTTGACTTAACAAGCAATTCCAACAGATTCAATGTCGTCGCCCTTGACAACTACCATTCCAACGTACCGCTGATGGGTACGAACTCCTTTTCTGCTGCGAACCTCGCTGGTGTCAGTGAGAATGAGATTGGCCTCGTTGTCGATGGTGATGAGGCGGCCGAAAAAGGTGCGCTGGTCGTCTTCGGGGCTGCTGTCGCTATCTGGCTTCACGGCGACTCGGAGAGGTTGCGAAATGAACCTGTTGAGCTGAGTCTGGATCGAAGACATTACTTTGGGTGGGGGAATGAGTGAGAAAAAGTTAGGTGTGTGAGTGGGTTAGGGGAGTGCAATCTGGTATCGCAGTGTGGATTGGTGGTGGCGGTGGCGTAGGTCACTTGTCGTGCTGTCGGAGTGGAGGAAGCGGATGCGTACTCTTTTTGGTATCGAGATCACTAGCACAGTAAACCAAAGCTGTCGCTCAAACTTGACTTGCCCTATATATACTGTAAGATGTGGGAGTGGGTGTGTCTCCCACTGTTGATTGGGTTCACACATTGAGGGGGTGCCTGAAAATTAGACCGGGTCCGGACTGTACGCGGTCATCACGTACAGTACTTGTATAAAACAAAATGTCGTGCTTGTAGTGTGGTTTCTGTGTTACTGAGAGAGAAGAAAAAAAAACACACTTCAATCACTCTCTAGTCTCCCAGAAGTGCTTCCATCTCAGACTCCTAATCAATCTCATCTCACTGTTTCCCAAGGTTAGACTCTCAAGCATCCCAAACCGCCTTGATTTTGAGATGTAGATGTCCCCGTGGCTCGAGGAAGTGATGGTTTAGTGTCGGACGTTGGTGTATTTATATTCTTAACAACCAAACGTCACAACCCCTCTGTCGTTATACTCCTCTTGACAACGCACGTGTGGAGTGGTATGGAGCAGTTCAACCCAGTTATGATTGGTCTTTCGTGCAAGTACCTACTGTACTGAGAAGCTTGGGCTCAATTACTTGGGCACTTATACACACACAAGTAAAGATCTATTTACTTCACGAAACGTGTACAGAAACGTGTACATAACGGGCACATAACGGCTTCTCTCTCTACTCGCACCAATCCTAACCTCATTGTCAGTCCCTCAACCTCGGCTCAGCCATGCTAACGGACGTGCATTGAAGCACTGCAGAATACCATCTGCTTCGGTCATGTATGTACAGTGTGTACGATACTGTAGGTGTTGAATGTGTTTTTTTTAAGCTGGGAGCGGTGCGTGTAGTGAGAGAGATGTGCTGTTTTTTCAGCACTCGTGCAGTGAGTACTGTACATAATCGTACTCGTACTCGCACTGGTTGTGAAACAGTAGAAGTTCTATTGTACAGTAGTGTTGAGTTTTGTTAGCTTTAGTTGGACATGCGTTTAGCTTTCGAGACGACAGAAACCGCACCAGAAACCCGAATGGTGAGCATGCTCGCCAAAAGAAAGCCATCGGGCCATTAATGGCATGACTGCGTCCTATATAACATCAAATCACTCACTTAGATTCAACCCAAAGTTGGTTTCGTCTCGACCCACTTTGAATCAAAAGTGACGTCACCTCTCCAACCTTGCACCACCCAGTCAGAAGCGGAGCCTGTCTGAAGATGGGTACAAGATATCGTCCCATCAACAAGACGGATCTGACGGTGTCACCTGTGCGATATAAGTACTCGTACTAGAACCAAGACAAAAACTGCCGCATCTGACCGTCTGTCTCCTCACCGACCTGAAACCCACGGAACCTACTCGACTTCAACCACTAGCTACTCTGAGCGAAAAACCGGCCGCCGTCTCTTGTCTGTATCAAAATGCGGTCTGCGGCTCCCCATGTCTCACTTTTCAAACTGCAAGTGAAGAGCGGCGAGAACGAATGAGGAGCTGTTGGAGGTACGCGGGACTTGTCTGTAGACGGTGTGGAGGACGTAGGGGAAACTATTTGCACCCCGAGCCGTCCAGCATCTCGAATGCCTCCTCGTTGGCTGTCTCAGGTCTATTGGCACGGATCCCAATTTGGAAACACATCACCTTTTTTCATTCAACCCAAAAGTTTATCAGTGAGGCTATTTTTTTGGACGAGACGGGCCTGATCCGAGCCATGGCAGTCATATTCGAGGCATAGCTGTGAAGACATGTACGAGGACAATGCGAAATTTGCATCTGTATCCACATCCGGGCTCTTTGAGAGCAACGCACGCTCAGTATTTCTACACGTACATGCACAATCGTCGACATAAACTACTGTACTCTGAAGATCACCGCAAGCAAATGTCACTAGCTACAGCTACGAGTGAGATACCACCACAGGGACGTGGAATATGCGACTCCGATCCACTCCCGCTAAAACAATGTGTCCAATTATTCCGAAACCTGCTTTTGGACAGCTGATGGCCCGCACGTTGCATCTACTTTTTGCCGCGGCCTACCCCGGCAGCAGCTTGCATTAATCCGTGCTGGGCTGGTGGGATCGGGTCGAATGGGAGTGACCAAGACAAGAGATGCAAACGGGTCCAAGTCTCCGGGTGAATAATGGGGCCATGTGTCGGGTTGGGGCTGACTTGACCTGGATTTGGAGCGGCCAACGAGGCCAAAATCAACGTGAATCGCGCCCACAGAGCCCACAATATCCCTGGGTCGTGTACGTACGATACAATACTAGAGCCACTAGCGTCAACTTAAGTCTCGAGTTTGTGCGGGGAAGTCACACCATAGTGCAGAATGACCAAGGAGCGGTACGCACGTTACCAACACTATAAGATCGACTAGTCTGGAAGAGGTGGAAGTGAATAACGAACACAGAGGGGAAATACGATGGAGATATTCCCCTCCCCTGGGCCTGTAGAATATGGCTATGGGTACAGGACGTGCATAGTCCTCGCACTCCACACAAGACCCATCAGGCCCCCAACAGGCAGCCCAAACTTTGAGCCACATAGGTTGAAACTCTACCTGTCAAAGTGACTGTACTTGAACACTGCGAGTTTAGCCTTAATAGTGAGGTTTGTTCCCATTGCTCCGCTATTGACACCACAACCCCCAACTCTTCCTCTTTCTCTCTCGCAACAACCGATTCCAACATGACGAGGGACACACGAAACCACCTGCTGTTCGAGGTCGCCACCGAGGTCGCCAACCGGGTCGGCGGAATCTACTCGGTCATCAAGTCCAAGGCCCCCGTCACCGTCTACGAGTACGGGGACCGGTACCACCTGATTGGACCCCTCAACCGCAAGTCGGCCGACATTGAGGTGGAGGAGATCACCGACGAGTCCCAGATTCCCGAAGCCATCAACAAAACACTAAAGTCCATGGCGGAACGAGGCATCCAGTACGTCTACGGCCGATGGCTCATTGAGGGCGCTCCCCGAGTCATTCTCTTCGACCTGGGCTCCGCCTGGGGCTACCTTCCCGAGTGGAAGAGTGATCTGTGGACTGTGGCCGGTATCCCCGCCCCCGAGGGCGACAAGGAGTCCAACGACGCCGTTGTGTTGGGCTACTTGGTGGCCTGGTTCCTGGGAGAGCTGACCACCCACGAAACCGAGCGGGCCGTCATTGCCCACTTCCACGAGTGGCTGTCCGGTATTGCTCTGCCTCTGTGCAAAAAGCGACGAATCGACTGCACCACCATCTTCACCACACACGCTACTCTGCTGGGCCGATACCTGTGCGCCGGCTCGGTCGACTTCTACAACAACCTGCAGGGCTTCGACGTGGACGCCGAGGCCGGAAAGCGAGGCATCTACCACCGATATTGCATTGAGCGGGCGGCTTCCCACTCGGCCGACGTTTTCACCACCGTGTCGCACATCACCGCCTACGAGTCCGAGCACCTGCTCAAGCGAAAGCCCGACGGTGTGGTGCCCAACGGTCTCAACGTGGTCAAGTTTTCGGCCATGCACGAGTTCCAGAACCTGCATGCCCTGATGAAGGACAAGATCAACCAGTTTGTCAAGGGCCACTTTTACGGTCACCTGGACTTTGATCTCGACGACACTCTGTATACCTTTACTGCCGGCCGATACGAGTACCGAAACAAGGGTGTAGACATGTTCATCGAGTCTCTCGCCCGTCTCAACCACAGATTGAAGAGTGAGAAGTCCACCAAGACCATTGTGGCCTTTATCATCATGCCCGCCCAGACCTCATCATACACAGTGGAGACCCTCAAGGGCCAGGCCGTTATGAAGGCTCTGGAGGACACCGTCAACGAAATCCAGCAGCAGATTGGCCGACGAATGCTCGACCATTGTGCCCGCCACAACAGCCACGACGGAAAGGAGATCCCCGGCCTCGACCAGCTGCTTTCCCCCTCCGACAGAGTGCTGCTCAAGCGACGAGTGTTTGCCCTCAAGCGAGAAACCTTCCCTCCCATTGTCACCCACAACATGGTGGACGACTCCACAGACCCCATTCTCAACCAGATCCGACGGGTACAGCTGTTCAACCGGCCCGAGGACCGGGTCAAGATTATCTTCCACCCCGAGTTCCTCAACTCCAACAACCCTATCCTGCCTCTCGACTACGACGACTTTGTGCGAGGCTGTCATCTCGGAGTCTTCCCCTCCTACTACGAGCCTTGGGGATACACCCCCGCCGAGTGCACCGTCATGGGCGTTCCTTCCATCACCACCAACCTCTCTGGTTTCGGCTGCTACATGGAGGATCTCATTGAGAACGCCTCCGACTACGGCATCTACATTGTGGACCGTCGTCTCAAGTCTATTGACGAGAGTGTTGACCAGCTAACCGACTACATGTTTGAGTTCTCCAAGAAGTCGCGACGTCAGCGAATTAACCAGCGAAACCGAACCGAGCGACTGTCCGATCTGCTGGACTGGAAGCGAATGGGCCGAGAGTACATCAAGGCTCGACAGCTGGCTCTTCGACGAGCCTACCCCGACCAGTTTGACCACGAGGAGAACCCCTTCGAAGACGAGGAGCCTCTCAAGCTGACTCGACCTCTATCTGTGCCTGGATCCCCCCGTGACCGAGCCGGTCTCATGACTCCCGGTGATCTTGGATCTCTGGGTGAGATTGGCGAGGGTCTTGACACTGACGATTATGTGGGCTTCCGACTTCCCCAGGATGATGATGACGAGGAGGAGACTAGCTACCCTGCCACTCTCACTCTAGCCGGTAGCAGAAAGTAGGCAGAAGTTGAGTGTTTGAATGTACTACTTGATAGTAGGGAGAAGGAAAAACCTGGTAATTAATATATTGTCATGATAACGATACTCAAGAAGAGGACGAGTGATGCAGCAGTGGAACGAGTAGTTCGATGTGAGGCAAACGTAGCCTGCTAGTTACGTACCGGTATTGGAACCAATACGAAAGTGAAAACGCACACATGTTCAGATGTTCTTGCATCATGAAGTGTCAATATTATCTCACCATGTCTTGAAATAGTACAGTAAGCAGGTTTAGATACTGTTCCATGTTGCATTAATACATCGTCGAGATACAATTATGATATAGAGCTACAGTATGGCTCTGAAAAGACATGTATCGAAAGTAGGATAGAGTCTAAGCACAAGTAACGAGCTCTGCGTTCGATTCATGTCTCAAATTGTATACGCATAGCCATCTATGACTTGCGTCACCGCCGTCGGTTGTCTACTTTCTTGTCTCATTCATTGATGATATAAATAACCTAATCAACATGCTATGTTCTCGCAACCCGCTCCTCCTTCCATCTTTGTGCTCTCTCGTGTCGCAGATGGTATCGTGAGCGAGCCTGTCTGTAGTCGGCCACAAATTGGGCCACGTCGGTGCTATCGGATCCTAGAAACGACTCTCGAAGAATCTCACTAAGCTCGTCCGATTCCACAGCTGAATGGGTCATACTCGACTGTAGAGCTGGACTTGAAAACGGTTGCAGAGCCCGGTACATTTCTGCCTCCAGCTGGACCCATTCTCCTTCCAATTTCTTGCTTGCAGTCACCTTTTCTCCTACTCGTTGACGCAGTTCAGGAAGAGTCTCCTGGTACTGTTCCTTGAGTTTTTGTGCTCGCTGTTCGAGATCTTTGAGCGCGCGTGTCTGTCGGCTGTAGTCTCCGCCGTTCTCGGCCACAATTGAGCCCTTGAGCACGTCCTGAGGCACACTGGAAATGTGCTGGGTGGCCAGCTCATCGAGATGCGACAGTGTGTACGGTGTGGAGTTGCTTTGTGCGGGAACTGGCGTGGCTTCTACGGGTGTGGACGGAGCAGGCGAGGCAGGAGATCCCAGAGCACCTCCTGGCGGTTTCGCTGGGAGCGGCGGTGGTTCCATTATGGTGTATTGTAGTGTTGATAACGAACCTGCGATGACGAAACTTAACATGTGGGGTTGCGCATCTTGCAGTCAATGAGCTGCTAGTCAACTATAGTTTCAATTAAATAGCCAAGTGAGTTACTTAAAACTGTCGTCAAATGGTCAACGATATGGACGAAGACAGAACTTGATCTGAACTACCAGCGACATATATAGTCGTATAACGTAGTTGCCCCAACCTCAATTGAACAGATAAACACAACTTCATGCTTATCAGCGGGTCGTACTTGGAGTGTTGTTGCATTGTACGGTGCTAGTAGCTATGTTTGGTTGCCTAACTGACGCCCAACCAGACGACAGTACAAGTAAAAACACCGGAAAGTGGTTGCCCTGTACTATACCAATACAATACTGTTGAGCCTTTGAATTCTGTCACAATACTGAGTGACAGACTGCCAGTAGTTATTTGTAATGGTTACATATAGACAGTGTACTGCCCTCTCCTCTCATTCACCTTCTCGCACACACACCGATAGATGCTGTACCTATATACCCTAGCGGTCCAAGCACCGATCGTCGCGGATGTACTGTACCCGTATGTATGGTCAGATCTGAACGCCACAAAAATGGTGGTCGGAAAAGAGGCCAGCCATTGGGGGGCAAATACCGGTCATGTGACTCTGTGTAGCCGCTTGCACGTGACTTCTCTTGCCCACAACCATGACTAATCCGGCGCTACTACCCTGTCACAATACACTCCATGCCTGTAACCAAGGCAACCCTCCCAGTCAAAATATACGGCCACGGGAAGGTAAAAAAGGTACTTGTCGCTACCCTTGCCCTGTATACATACAACACATGCATATACAGGAAATACACACACGCAGACATTTTGTTGGACAGCGGGTAGCTACTAACACCACTCTTCTCGACCGACAATGGACATCATCGTGGCCATTCCGCTGCGGTACACGTACCTGTACCCGCCCACAGATTACATGTGGCATGTGGGAAACGTGTTTCGACCGCTGGATCAGGAAACAGAGAGGTTTCGAACCCGACTGGCAGCCAAACCAGACACTAAAGAGGTGCTGGACAACCTGGTGAGCCTGCGAAAGGTCGTTTCCGAGATCTCCGACGTGAAGGCCAACCTGGAGGAGCGTCGGCTGGTTGAAAACACCGTCACAGTGTCTCTGATGGGCGCTCGACAAGCGGTCCAGACCGAACGAACACGGATTCTGAGAGCATACACGGCTGTGGCTCGAGGCCATGTGGCGCTGGAGGATCGAGTGGTTTCTCAGCGAGGAGATGACCTCAAGGAAGGTCTCACGGAAATCGCCACCTACTGCAATGTGTCGATATATGTCACCAACAACGTCGACAAGGTGACCTATGGTCTGGGGTACTCTGGAGGCTCTGTGTCCTCTTCGGATGCTCAGAAACCCTTCCACGTGCTCATCTACGGCGACCAGGAGCTCGTTCAGTACGCCCAGTTGCGAGTGGAGATTCTGATCCACAAACTCATGGGCTCCTTCATCGACGCCATCGAAGTGCCCCTCTCAATGCAGCCTCTGATTGCCGGATGCCAGCTGCTCAACGTCAAAAACATTGAGGCCCAGAGCCATTGCAAAATCCTCTTCCCCAATTGGCTACCCGAGCTGTTCCACGTGGACGAAGAGATGAACCTCAACTACGATACGGTCTTTGTTGTGGGCCCTACACAGCATCATACACTTCTTGCCAAGACGCTCATTGCAGAGATCAAAAACAAGACGCAAACAATTTACAAGGACTGTTTGGGTTCCTACGCCAAAATCGACCTCATGTGTCTCAAGTACCAACAGCGACTCAAGGAGGTGATGCAGAAGCTGGGAGCTTTCATCCAGGTGCCCTTTTTGGGTGCCTCTAGATCCGTCATTCGAGTGACGGGAATTTCAGATACCCATGTTGAACAAGCCATTGCCGAAGTAATGCTTATGGCTTCTGGTTCATACCATGCCGGCTTTTGGGCCCATACCGGCCAGGAAGACCCTGCCACAAACACTTATGTTGGAGTCGATGTCAAGTACACAGAGGACTACCTCTCTTTCATCGATCTGGTTGCTGGAACCTCTGGAGCTACTGTCTCATGCTCGGGCTCTTCGTTTGAAGTGTCTGGATTCAAGGCCGATGTCAAGCGGGCTGTTTCTCTGCTGGCCAAGGCCCCTTTCTGGCCCAACGCCCAATGCCAGCTGCGGTTCCGACTAGAACTACCTCTTTCCGAGTTTGAATTTGTCACCGGCAAGAAGAATGGAAAGATTAACCGGATCATGGATTCGTCGAAATGTTTTATCAAGCTGTCTCCCTTCCACGAATACAACTTTTTCCTGGATATTGTGGGCGACGACAGTGGCAAGGTGCTGACCGGCGTGCAACTGCTGGAAGAGGAGTTCCCCTCAGAAACGCAGTTTTACATTCCCGAAACATACCACAAGCAAGTCATCGGAAGCGGTGGCCACCTCATCCAGACGCTCATGCGAAAATACAATGTGTTCATCAAGTTCACCAACGGCTACGACCGTGCCCCCAACGGATACTCGCACCACCGGTTCGACAATGTGCTGGTGCGATGTCCGTCTAAAAACTCGGCCAACATTGCTCCCACCAAGAGCGACATTCTGGAAACGGCCACCAAACGAGCCGGCGATCACGGCAACACATTCATCAAGGTGTCGCGTTCCCATCGTCGCATTCTTATGATGGAGAACGATCTCTTTATCAACATTGCCGAAGGCCAGTGGAACACGTGTGTCATCTTCCCGTCCATTGAGCCCAGCGACATTTGCGATAACGACGAGGTCGAGATTCGAGGTCTTCTGGGCTCCTCCGCGGAAGCTGCTCACGTGATCAAGAACTCTCTCCCTAACGACTACGAGTTTAAGGTCGCGTACTCGAACCGTTTTGCAGAGGTCTGTTCTGAAGACAACCCCGAGTTCTTCTCCAAAATTGTGGTTCCTCTGCGAGTTGCCCTCAAAATCCATCTCCAGGTCTACCCCGAACCTCGAGTGATGAGTGGACAGAATCTGCTGGGCCAGACCGACTACGATTCTCCCCGATACCAGCGAATCGTTCTGTCGTTCACCTTGGAACATGCCCCTGGTCTGGAGGAGGCCATTCTGGCTCTGACCACCTATCTGCGTGAGAAGGAGCTCGACATTATCGATCGAGGAGATTTAGTTCAAGACGTGATTCGACAGGGTTCCGTGCCTCTCAATACGGGTTCATCCGAGCGAATTGTCGAGGAGGAGCACAACGAACAGGAGCCCCGAGCTGCCAAGTTCTTTGACGTTGTTCCTGGAGACTCTCGCGACAGAGACTCGCGTCCCAGCTCTCGTGATCACAGCGGTCCCTTTGGTGGCAGAGGTGGACCCGGCGGAGGAGACGGAGGATACCCCAATCTCCCATACAGAGACCCTTACTACCAGTACCCTGACCACCGCGACTACGACCAATTTGACGGTCCTCCCGGCCAGCAGGAGTACTACGAAAAATACCGAAACCCCCGGTTCCGAAGCCCAGTTCGAGGCGGTCCTCCTGGTGGAGGCATGAACCGAGACTCGCGAGATCAGCATGAATACGACCAATACGCCCAGCAGCAGCAGCAGCAGTACTACGGTGGTGGCGGACGAGGAGGAGGAAGAGGAGGTCCTGGACAGGGTGGCCACAGTGGGCCCCCTGGCGGCCCTTACAATCGAGAACAGCGGTTCTTTGGAGGTAATAACTCGGCACCTCCGCCTGGTCCTCCCGGTCCGCCTGGACCCCCTGGACCCCCTGGACCTCCTGGTTCCAATCCTGGCTCCGAGCAGTCTGGCGATTTCCGAGGACGAGGTTACAACGATGACCAGCGTGACCGGAAGCGGTTCCAGCCTGCCAGCTACTATTGATAATAATGATACCTATATTTGATGATTGTATGTAAAATGATTTCCACTGACCCGTAGTAGTTACAATGTGATGATATCAACTGATTGAGATATGCTGTATTATGTGATATGGTTATGTAAGCAAAAGTATACTGCAAGTGCAACCACTAATTATACTACGAGTAGCGTTGATTTGTGTGTCTATTGATTGTGAGTATATCTTGCAGCATTGCACAAGTATTTGTAGCAATGAACGAGTCTCCTATGTATGAATTCATGGATTCTGAGATGACGAGGTGTGTTCACAATTTTCTTTAGTAATCCTGCTTTTAATACATAGCGTTTAGTTGACACCCTTCTCACTATGTAAACTCTAATTTCGTCCCAACCTCCAACTCACTTTCATCGCGTCGATAACACATCACCACACATTCACTGAAAAATGCCTATGCCCCCGGTTGGACCGCCCGTGCAGGGCCTTTCGCATTTGCTGCCCCATCAGCTTGTGCACGCGATTGGCGAGATTGGCGCCGATGGCAAGTCTGCGCTTCACGACGAGGTCGATGTCGTGTCGCCTCGAGACATTGCCGCCATGCGATACATGCGTCACTACGAGTGGATGGAGCTTGTGACTGGAGCCACGAGTGTGGGCGCCAAGGGTCTCAAGCTCACTGCTCCTCGAGGTATCCCCGTTTACGACATCAAGAAGAAGCTGGAAGAGACACAGAAGGAGGTTGAGGAGCTCAAGAGTGAGCGACCCATGGACGTTGATGATGAGAAGAGCGAGTTCTACAAGAACGAAATTCTGCGGCTACGAGAGTCCTTTGGCGACGAATCCGACACCGACACTGTCCAGCGACTACACGAGAAGTTCAACCTGACTGTACACGAGTCTGGCAAGCTGCGGCCTGTCAAGGTGGACCTGTCTGTGCCGTCCAAGCGACGAAGCGACGTGGACGCCGCACGTATCCAGCGAGCCGAGCAGCTCATTCAGGAGCGACTGGGGCCCCAGATCCAGCAGCAGCAGCAGCAGCAACAACAACTCCAGCAGGGCCAACAGCAGGGCCAGCAGGGTCAGCAACAGGGCCAGAACATGGATCAGCAGCAGCAGTACCCCATGGACGGCCAGCAGCAGCAGCAGCAGCAGCAGCAGCAGCAGCAGCAGGGCCATAGACCACAGGGTCAGATGCAGCAGGGACAAATGCAGCATGGACAGATGCAGCCGGGCCAGATGCAGGGCATGGGCCAGGATATGGGCATGCAAATGCCTCTCATGGACGACATGCTGCTCAACGACATGGATATCCCCGACCACGTCATGGAGCAGCAAATGGCTGACCAGCTGGGAGGCGAAATGATGGGCGACGGTCTGGATATGGACATGGATGTTGACTTGGATTTGAACTACGAGTAGGACTAGAAAGGATAGGATTATATAACAAATGTATTATTATTGATTGGATGGATGTAGAGTGTACGTTGATGTCTACTCTTGGTAAAGTATATAAAGGGTATGTTCTATCTCTCCTGAAACATGTCTGAATCAGTATACCATGTCGCAGTTGGCTAACTCATAGTGAGGATGGTTTGGAATGGACTTGTATTGTTTACTTATCGAGATGGTGGATTAGACATTTTTGGAGCGACATTTCTACTTCAATTCAAGTGGTAAGTGAATCGCATGTACCGATGATACCATATTGGGCACTCTATGTCAACTTATCGGGCTTACCAGGTTCATAGGATTGATGTATCATAGCAGATTAACGAGAGCTGTATGCAAAAAGCAATTCACTGGTACAATAGATGCACCATTGTAGTCTCTGTATCCTGAATCTCTCTCTACGGCATTGATTTAACGACAGTCAGAAAGAGAGTACCTTGAAGCCATGTTGGAATGTATCTTCGTCTTCTAAAGTCCCCGTCACCAATCATACAGTAGCAAATAACCGTGGGATGTTCTCCTATAGACAATCGCATCGATGGCTGGAAATAATGGATGCCATAGCAATGGACAAGGTGTCTGATGGCTTCGTTCGACGAAGTTAATGCTGAGAGCCGCGTAAAGACACGGATTAACTGCTGGAAGCTAGAGAAGTAAGTTCTTTGGTTTCTCCGGTGGAGGAAGGGAGACTACTGGACGAGTAGTTGTGCTGGGACAGCGTAGGGCATGCGTACATGTGCTACTTGTACTGTAGCGTACAGGTCTCGGTCTAATGACTTGAACCACGGCTGCACCATCACTATGACTGCGTTAAATGCACGCGAAGATGTGGTTTTACCTGTTCCTGTTGCAGCCGTGGGGGGTCAACTAGAGTTCACCAGGGACTTGTCGGCCGTTAAAGAGTCACGTTTATTTTGGGGGTCTGTGTCGATCATTTTTGGTCTGGAAGCTCCGTGGACGGAAGAGGAGCGTGACCTGTGACGTACAAGCGCCGTCGAAACCACAGCGATTCGCGCTGGTCAATCGCAGCCACGTTCGCCTTCCCCATGGCTAGCGCAATTAACCGGACTAAGCGCCTCACCCCACAATGCGGAGATACGGCACTACTGTAGTTTGTAAGCACGTATATGGGGGATGCAGAATGCGCGAAAGAGGTTGTGGTTGTCTGTCCCCTGCTCATGTCGGCATTGAAATTCACGCACTAGAGCTCGCCATTGTTCATGTGGTAGCCCCTTCCAGCACGGCTAGGACCAGACACATGCCCAGATACGGCTGAGACTCGGCCTATCAGCTGTGGCGTAGTTCGTTCTCGCTCGCTTAGGTCAGGTCCTGCCTGGGTCACGTCATGGTGCTTGTGCAAAGTTGGTGGATTGCCGTGGGGGGTACAGTCGAGGCACAGTTATTGCATCATAGGCGTGGGAGGCGAGAGAGGGAGACGGGCCCAAGACGCACGGGTATGGTGGGTGCAATTGGCGGGTAAATGGGCAGCGGGTTGTTTGTGTGTGTTCTTCGCCTGTGTGGGACTGTTTTTGGCTCTTATTTAAAGCAATTCCCACCCTCATAGCACTCCTATAACCCCTCTTCTAGCCTCTTCGGTTTGCTATCTGCATATTGCGATTGCGTCAGGTTGTTTGCGAAAAGCTAATGCGTCATTATTCCGACGTACGACTTAATTATCCGACATACCAGGCCCGGTGTGTCACCTGGTGAGAAGCAATGGAGCTGGCGAGAATCACAGGTTGTGAGCCGTTTCCATGCCACCACTTTCCTGGCCATTGTTTAATATCTCAAGGGCCATTGCAACGCTCTCATAATCTCTTGCAATAGTCCACCTCTTCTACTGAGTTCCATAACGTTAACCTTAGGCTTAGGCTGGGTGTGGTGTGCTGTGGTGGGTGGATGTACATAGCGAGGATTATATATAGAGGTGGCCTTCCCCCTTCTCTTACGACCTCATCTTTCTTGTTTATAGCTCAATTGTTTGTTTGCAACACCAATTGAACTTTTAACAGACACATCACACACACCTACAACCAACCCAGAAGACATTCACAATGGCAGGCGGACCCACTCTCAAGCTCAACTCCGGACACGAGATCCCCCAGATTGGTCTCGGAACCTGGCTCTCTAAGCCCAACGAGGTCGCCAAGGCCGTTGAGTCCGCTCTCAAGGACGGCTACCGACACATTGATGGAGCCACCATCTACCAGAATGAGAACGAAGTCGGTGCTGGCTGGAAGGCCTCTGGAGTTCCCCGAGAGGAGATCTTCCTGACCACCAAAAACTGGAACAACGCCCGAACCAAGGAGGGCGTCAAGAAGCAGCTCGACCAGTCCCTCAAGGAGCTGCAGACCGACTACGTTGATCTGCTGCTCATCCACTGGCCCGTTGTTTTCAAGACCGGCGAGGAGCTCTTCCCCCACAACGCCGACGGCACTGTCGCCCTTGGCGAGGTCCCTGTCGAGGAGACTTGGGAGGCCTTCGAGGAGCTCGTGAAGGAGGGCAAGGTCAAGTCCATCGGTGTCTCCAACTTCACCGAGGAGCGAATTGAGAAGCTCCTCAAGACCGCCAAGATCCCCCCTGCCGTCAACCAGATTGAGTACCACCCCTACCTGCAGCAGCCCGGTCTGGCCAAGTACCTTGCGAGCAAGAACATTGTCCTCGAGGCCTACTCTCCTCTCGGTAACAACACTTACGGGTTCCCCCGAGCTATTGATGACGAGCGAGTGATCGATCTGGCCAAGAAGAAGGGCAAGGATGCTGCTGCCCTCATTGTCAACTGGATCAGATCCAAGAACCATGTTGTTCTGCCTAAGTCCGTCACCCCTTCTCGAATCAAGTCCAACTTCGAGGTCTTCGATCTGTCTCCCGAGGAGATTAAGTTCCTGGACAGCCTTGACGAGGAGTCTCGACGAAACGACCCCATCGAGTGGGGTGTCGACATTTTCGGCACCGCCACCCCCGAGGAGATCAAGAAGCGAGTGGACGAGGCTGCCAAGAAGTACCTTGCTGAGCAGAAGAAGTAAGTACCCAGCGGTATCAGTTGAGACATCTTTTTATATTTGACGATGAATGAATTTTACGATTGTATTAACCAAGGTCCAAATTGTAGACAACGGCAGTCTGCCCTAGATTGACAATTAGATGATACATTGAACTAACAGTAAGACGAATTAGAACCGCAACTTGGCGCTTCTCACATGTAGATAACAGGGGTGCTCGCATATGCTGTAATTACGATAGTATTGCATGTATTGGTGCGATACGACTACTGCACTTGTACTTGTGTGTCAACCTACAGTACAGTATCTATTTGAGCAGATAAAAGTGCCCCAATTCAGTCCTATGATTACTCAGCCAATAGCAAAGCTCGTACATGACTAAGCTGATCACAAATCATACCTGAAGTGGGCTATGTATCATTAGCGAATGCAACCTTGCTTTTTGGCGATCTGTAGAGTCAACTTGCCAGGTTGTATTGAGAGAGATGGCCGGATGAAGGGAAAAACATAACCAGAGAAAGTACAGCGGAAATAAAAATTAAAAAAAAAGCGAATGCACAACGTCGGGGCATCATCGAGATAATTTTTTGGCCGTCGTCTGCAAAACAAGCTAACTCGCCAACTGGCTTACGGCGTGAACGGGGGGTGGGGGAGGCACTCAAGATTCAAGGCCCTCCTCCCACCATGCGTGTATAAGTTTAGTGCGTTTAGTTGAATGTAATCGGCATGGCAGAAGCCAAGATTGCTCAGAGGGAGGAAAGGAAGAAGGAGCTGTGAAGCGGCAATTGGGTGTAGCTGGGTCCGGAAAGAGCTTTAGAAGAGCAAATCCCGCGCCTGGCGTTATATTCGCAAGCCCCGCTTACCAACTTGTCCTCCTCGCCAATTGCTTTTTTCCCACATTATAGCTAAAAATACCCTCGTCCAAAAGTTCACATTCCTCAGTGGCCAATAGCATAGAAAGCTGCCAATAAGCTTCGTCTTTTAGTCCCAACACAACCCTTAGGTTCACCGGAAATTAAAAGCGTTACCAGTGTCATAATAACAACGGTATTTGGAGTTGGTGTCTGGTGGGAGAGAGAGAGAGGGGCTGTGAGCAACTCCAAGGCAGTAGAGTGTGGCTACACCAGAGAAAAGGGGGCAATAGGAAGGGGGAGGAGGGAACTGTGGGGTTCTAAATATATATAAAAAAAGGCGAGAAAAACAAAAACAAAAAAAAAAAAAACACAACTCAACAAATCCACTTACGCCCTTGTATCTTCTTGCTCATCTCCACTGCAACACAATCATCCCACCTGCCTGAGCTGACACCCAACTACAGTAAGGCCGCCGCCGTCTTTGACGCGCGTGCAGCTCACATACCCCATGCGACAGAAGCCAGGTGTAGAGGGGGCTGGCTGGCGGTTGGCGATGGCGCGGAGGTGGTGGAGAGGAATATGTAAAGGACGGAAAGTGGTTGAAAAAAGGAGAGTGGCTGCTCGTGAGCTTCGAATGGACGCCCCTTGTAACCCCTCCCGCCTCCTTGCATCTCATAGAGCGCGCAGTATTTCTCCGTTTTTATACCTCAAAAAAGCAAAATCCATATTAAAATAATTGGAAATGCGTAGGCAAAAAAAAACTGGAATTTCGCCAGTGTTCCTCCACAACGACACGACACACAACATGTCTGAAGAGCACACCATCTCGCAAGAGGTAGCTTCCCCAATTGTGAAGCGAGGAAGAGGACGTCCACCCAAGGTTCCCACGGGCACCGAGGTGGTCGATACCACCCCCAAGGTCAAGAGAGGACGAGGACGACCACCAAAGGTGCGACCCGAGGGAGAGGAGCCCGTGGTCAAGAGACCCCGTGGCCGGCCGCGAAAGAGCATCGACCCCAACTCGGGCGATCCCAGCACACACGGAAACGCGGTTAACGCGTCTGGAGACCCCAGCGTTATAGTTGAGAAGCGAGGACGTGGCCGACCGCGTAAAAACCCCATCGTCGTGGCCCCCGCACCCTTGTGGCCCACCCCGGACCTGGTGCAGTTTGGAGGAGCTGACCCCTACGAGGAAATTGACAGCTTCAGCGCTGAACGCATTGAGGAGCAGGCTGGACAGGAAGGTGCCAACCTGACCCACCCCGAGAAGCTGGCGCTCATCAAGCGACGTCTGCACGCCGAGGCCCAGGACAAGGACCTCTTGGAGGCGCTGGCCACCAACCGCGAGGACTTCTTCAACGCCGACGAGGCCAAGGACGTGTACTCGCAGTACTCGGTGCTTAGACACCATATTGCTCTGCTGCTGCAGAACTATGGTGACACGGACGAGGGCCGAGTGATCAAGAGAAACCTCAGCAACCTCATGGGAGTGCTGCGGTACCTGCGATTGAAGGACAACATCCTTTCTGAGCTGCTCACCATTGTGCCTCTGATCCAAGACCAAGACTACACCGGTGCCAAGAACCGAATTCAGGCGCTGGACGGCCCCTGGTGCATCGGAACCCCTTCCAACCGGGAGATCCGGTTGCGGGAGACCCAAAAGTGGATTACTGGTTTGGTCCAGCTGCTGGAGTGGTCCGATGGCTCCTACAACGGCCTGTACCGTGTTTAGAAGAGAGGAGGATTTTGCTGTATAGGACTTGTATTGTAACTGTATGTAATAAGAGATGTATTATTTGTGTTCAACGTGTACAAGAGCGAGTACGAGTATCGTACAAGTACTGGTACTGTACTGGTAGTATGCTTTCATTTTACTTGTACAAGTACTTCAATTCTGACTTCTACACCATCTTCTGAGAGAACATATCTAATACCGTTGCTATCCCATAGTTGGCAATTCTGTATATATTTCAGTCGCTACCTGAAACGGATAGCCACCCACTATACCTGTATTTCTCAGCACCTTTACTCGCAAAGTGACACTGTTTCAGGCTGCTTTCCATTGTTGTTAAGGCTGCCAGCCAGTGGAACGAAAACCTCAACAGAGAGCTCTCAAGGCGCAATCTGGGCGCAATCTGGGCGCAATATAGACTCGGTCTGGGGCTTAATTATATATGCCATTGGAGGTACCATTAGTTACTTGTGGCTCTGACTGAAGTACGAGCACTCATGCTGTACTTTTTGATGGAACCAGTCCTCTGGTACTCGTTCTTGTTCTCATACTTGAATGTTGCTGTGATGAGATGCGCCACAGGTGCACGTGGTACGAGTACAGGAAATTAGACCGGAGTAATTCTCTGTATTCCGTACATACTGTACATACTGTACATGCTGTAGATATGGTGGTGTTTCGCCTTTTTCTTAACCACCTCGACTCGTAGACGAAACCTACATCCTCAAATCCTGGTCGAAAATGGGACTAACCTCATTCCATGCTCGGTATGTTCTCGTAGCTGACTTATTACGAGCTCCGATCACACAAACGCGAGAGTACAATCAGACTCTTCTCTTCTCTTCATGCACTCCAGTCTTCCCATACTAAAATTGGCCCCTTGCTTGTATCATACAATTACAGTATCGTACTTCTATATATGATGATAAAAGGGGAAATATAAAGCCATGGGGCACGCACACAGCTATACATGTGTGCTTGTTTACCATAGCTAGCGGGACCGCGTGTTATTGGTGCTGTTTGCTTGTTCAGTCTGATGGTGCAATTTTTTTTTACTGCCTGCCGCTAAGTCGCTCTAAAAAAGAAACGCACATTTCGTGCCTCTTCCAATCGGGCAAAGTCAAATGACATAGATTATGACAAAACCACATCACGTGCGTAGATCACCCTTTTAGGCAATCTCCCCTTACCTACAACTAAACTTGGTGGAAATGCCGCTGCAGTGAACTGAGAAAGAGTAAACACGGAGGCAAAAAAAAGGTGAGTATGGAGCACTGGGCGCACGGGTGGAGCTGGCGCGCTAGGGCCTGTGGACGTCGTGTTTGTCGTCGCGGAGCCCCAGCATATTCTCTGGGTTATTCCGGTCTCCGGTTTTCCGGCGTTTCTCTCTCTGCTGCGCCGTCACTGGACCCTCTGGTCATCTTCAGAGGTCGGAGATGGCGAGGGGACCTTGGGGCTGCGGGAGTGGATGTGTGGAGGGACGGTCGACAGGTATTTATACAGACAAGCGCTGTATTGTGAAGTTTGGGGTTGAGATGAGCTGTGCCAAACGACTCATCAACTGGTTGTTTTGTTGTTTACGTCGGCTTTTGGGGGCCTGCTTGCGGCCGATTTGGCCACTAAACCCATGTCGTTGGACAACAAAACTGAATCACAGGACCATTTTGTCCTCCCATAGCTTTCTGCTCTTCCTCCTCTTCTCTCGAACACCTCTGTCATCTCATATTCCCTGCCCACAGTCCACCCTACAGTACAGCAGCTGAGTACACCTTATTCTGCAAACGTGCACCTTAACTAAGCTAACGCACAGATGCCTTCCAGTCCTAAGAAGAAACGCTTCTTCAACATCGGGTCTGTTTTCAACCCCAAATCCAACACAAACACAAACGCGGCATCGACCAGCAGCAACAACTCCAACCCCAGCGCCACTAACAACTCTTCCAGTGGCACACGCACCCCCACAACAGCTACCTCGGATCCGTTGGAGTTGACTGCTTCTCCTTCGCCCTCCAACGACCTTTTGTCCGGCCCCAAAACTACAACCACAACCAGCGACACCCCCGTGCTGGCCGACTTTGGGAAACAAAAGGCCGGTTTCCGCAACACGTACATCAACACAAGCTCCACGGCGTCCAACAACCCGTTCGCAAACCTGGGAGAGCAGCCACAAGCCGCCACAGGTACCACATCGTCGTCTAGTAACACAAACGGAAACGCGTCTCCAGCCCTTGGTGAAAGCAACCCCGTGCCCGTCGCAGCGGGAAACAACAACAACAACAACCCTGTTGGTCTGCGTCTAGACATTACCCCCGGCGCCGTCGAACAGGTCAAGTCGCCCTCGACCCCCTACAACAACCAAGGTCTGGCCGTGGAGGAGTTCTTCCACGATTGCGCCGGCCCCTCCAACGATATCGTCACATCCGTGACCAGTACCAACGACCACCAGCACGACAGCGCCGACTCCTCAGGCGACTCCAACGACACGGACAACATTCCCAACTCCACGCCCCCCGAATCTCCCACCGGATCCAACTCCCCAGGAAACATGAGCATCGCAGGCGCACCCAAACGGGTCGGCGCGGGCATGCGCTCCACTTCCGCAGCCACGCTGCATTCGCATGACAACGGTGGCCAGCGAGAAGTGGACCAACTGGAAGGCATGGACGAAGAAGACGATGTCCACATGGCTGACTACGACGAAGAGCACAGCGGTCAGCATGGCGACTCCATGGACGACACTCCCGAACTCTCTTCTGCCGCCGGACACTCCACAACCGGAGCAGCAACAGCAGCAGCATCCACAGCAGGCGCCGCCACGGCTGCCAATACAGGCTCCACTGCGCCATCGTCTTCACAGTCCGACGCACCGGGCTCTGCCGCCTCCGCTGCCTCCGACGGCCCCTCTGCTACATGTGCCACTGCATCCTCCGCTGCGCCTCCGTCTGCGCCTTCCGAGCCCCAAATCCCGTCCATCCGACTCACACCCGTCATCGACCATTCTACTTCCACCCCTGCACAATACTTTGGTCCCATCGAGCGACGTCTGACTAGTGGATCCATTCGCATCGGCCGTCAGACGGAGTCCAAGGATGAGCCCCAGCTTCCCCAGTACGAGCGGCCCATTGTGTTCAAGTCCAAGGTTGTTTCGCGATCGCATGCGGAGTTCTTTGTCAAGGACGACCAGTGGTTTGTGCAGGATATGCGGTCTTCCTCAGGTACATTCCTCAACCGTAGACGTCTGTCGGAGGCCGGCAAGCCCTCCAAGCCCCACGTTCTCAAGAACGGAGACATGCTTCAGTTTGGCATGGACTTCCGAGGAGGAACGGAGGAAATCTTCAAGTGCATCAAGGTCCGAGTGGAGACGAACCAGAGCTGGAAACGAAAGGTCCAGCAGTACAACATCGAAGCGGTGGAGCGACTTCGAGGCATGGCTAACGGCGATCCCACTGACTCCGAGTGTGCTATCTGTCTTGTGGCGGTGGGACCGTGCCAGCCACTGTTCATTGCTCCCTGTTCGCATGCCTGGCACTACAAGTGCATCCGACCGCTCATGGTCAAGACGTATCCTCATTTTCAGTGCCCCAACTGCAGAAACATTTGCGATTTGGAGGCCGATGCCGATGAGTCCATGGTAATGGAGGGATAAAAACATCCTTTTGGTATTACTTACTGTACGAATTTTTGAAAGGATATCGTGGCCATGGTATATGACTCTACTAGCCAATGACTCTAGCATAGCAATGACTCTGTTGCAGCATCCCACTAGCTAATATTAATGAAGTGTATGAAGTGTAACCGTGCCGGTACTTTTGTGTACTTGGTATTTGCACCTTGGAGGTGAGACTACAGTAACTCGTACCCTGCAGTACATATTTCTAGTTTATTTCTTGTAATAGTCATTAGCTATAGATATACAGGGGTGGTTAAATGATTGACGTGACGATTATAGCGATCAAATGTAGTAATCGACGAAGTCACGGAGGATATCCTGGAGCTCCTTCTTGGTCTTGCCCTCCTTCCACAGATCGTGGCCACCCTCGAGGATCTTCCAGCCAACGTTTTCCTTGGTCAGACGAGTGAGTTCTCGCTGCTTGGCGCTCCACTTCTTAGACTTTTTGATCATCTGGGAAGAGGAGACGATCTCGACAGGGATGTCCAGGTTGACGAGCACGGCGTTGGAGGCTCGCACTTCGGATCGAGTAACCCAGGCAACAGCGTTCTCCTTGAGCTGGTAGCCAAGGTACTTGGTAGTGTAGACCATGTCGGGGCCCACAAGTCGGTCCCAAGAGCCATGGCCCTTTAGAAGAGACCAGAGAGACTGGAGGCCGAGAGGAGAGATGGCTCCTTCAATAAAGAGCTTGATACCTCTCCACAGGGTGAGAGTATCTGAAATTAGGTCTTCGTGGAGGGTATCAATAAGGATCATTCCCTTGACGATGGAAATGTGCTTGGAGGCAAACACACGAGAGTAGAGACCTCCGATTCCGTGGGCGACGATGAGCAGGTTAGGAAGCTCGGTCTGGCCACCTTCTTCCTCTGAAGAGAAGAAAGAGGTGAGAGCCTCGCTGAGGAGGTCAGAAATGTCCCCTGCGGAAGTGAGACCTCGGCTGGCGTCGGAGAAGGCAACTCCGGGTCTATCCCAAGTGCAAACTCGGGGGATCTCGTTCATGGCGTAGAGGTCAGTGATCCAACTCCAGTAGACCTCGGAGGAAGTGGATCCTGCCTCAGCGAAGATGGTAACGTTCTTTTTGGACGGATCGGGTCGATCGGGTCGTCTGGAAGCAACGTGAGGATGGGTATCCTGGAGCTGGAGCAGGTGGTTACCGGGCAGGTCATAGCAATTGATATGGACCTTGAAGGCGGCATGGTCAACATCGACTCGCTTTCCAGGCACAGGCACACGGGCAGCATCAATGGCAAACAGAGTAATGGAGAGAGTTACGGCGATGAGCAGAAGCAGGTTGACAAGGTTGAAAAGCAGATTGACAGATACCTTGAGCCACTCTCCGAGGGTTCTTCGAGTCTCCACACGGCCGGTGAGACGTCGTTCCTCGGTGCTCTTGCCCCACTGCACGATCAGGTCTGAGACGGCTGACAGAGAGCAGGTCAGAATGGCCCAGACGGGGATGATGAGGCCAGCAATGACTTCTCCATATCGCAGTTGCGGGGTGGCAACCAGAATGATTAGATCGATAAACAGCAAGAAGATGGTGGCGTATTGGATCTGTCTCTCCATGACCGAGGGGGTGGAGAAGAAAAGCGCCGAGTTGACAGTGGTGGTCACTGCAATGAGCGAAAAGAACCACGACAGGAAACCTCCTCCTCTGGTGTACAGACTGGGTACGTGTACAAACAGATTGAGGGTCAGCAGAAGGAATGCAATCACCGAGATAGCGAAGAAGACGGTGATGAACGACCGGGCAATACGCACACTCAGCAAGTTGTATGGGGTCACCTGGGGGTCTTCTGGTGTCAGCAATTGGGTTCTCTCATTGGGGGTCATTCTCTCTTCCTCTGGCGAGGGGTTGGTGGGCTCCGGGGGTACTTCGTTGAGAGCCATGGCTGGTTTTTTGGAGATGTTGAAAGCAGCGTGGTAAGCCCAATTATTTATTGATAATGTAGCTTGACTGCATAAAGGTGTATGCAAGGCTCTTGCACGCAAGACATTGCTGCCTGAGGCTAATGGACTGATAGTAAGTGGCTGAGAGGTAGCTGGAAGGAGATGTTAGCAGTAACTGTTGATGAAGCTGTTTCCAATGGCTTTCTGGCTAAATTTGACTTATCTTTGTGCTTAGAAGTCCATTTTTTGAACATTTTGAAGCCCCTCCCCAAATTTCAACATTGCTATGTCATGTCCTTTAGCCTTCGCATATAGTCTTAGATCAAACCCAAACCTCTCTAACCAGCAACTCAACTACTGCCAGTCTCCAGCATGAGTACACATTGGCTTTGGAGAGATGTTGGTGTATATTATCCATCAGCTGTTTGTGGTGAGTTCAAATACAGCTGGTAAATAGCTACCAGCACCGACATCATCAAGTGTAATTAATTTTGCTTTTGCGCATGTACAATCGCACAATATGCACCACTCGTACTCGTTCTGTCGGCTGTGTCTGTGGCTTTCTCGCAACATGCCGGGGAGATGAGGACAAACAGATCTTTAATTGATGTGTCAGATACGTATTAGTAAGAGTCCAAGTGCAAGTGTACTGTATTGTATTCCTTCCATGAATGCGAAACACTCTCTTGTATTGCACTCTTACTCCACCACGTTAATGCATATGCTCATCGCTACTATGTCAGTTTTAGCGTGATGGTGCGTACCAGATATAGGGGTACTTCCAGTCATCTCCAGGAACATACGGACCTTTGCGACACGGCCAGTTTGCGAGATATAAGATATGGCCTTCATTTCAACAGTCAGCCCGTTTCACTCTCCTCTGCCGATAACCAGTCCGTGGTATCATAGCAAAATAACTATGAAAGGAAACGGTCTAGATGCGGACTCGCGTATCGTGAAGAGGCCTAACCGTGCACGTGCGGTTCGGGTGGCAATTAGAATGATCTGGTTGGGAAGGGGTAGTGGGTTTTAATGGGTTCGAACAGGCAATAGTCATCTTCCTGGTCCACATCTGGTGTTTGCTACAGTACATACAGTACTTTCTGAGAGGGTAGGTGTTTGTATTTAATTGGGAGTATCAAGTAATGGTAGAGGGTTAGTTGACAGTTTGTTGAAACAACTCAAAACGGAATGACGAGAGATACTGCCTGATACTCTGTGTCAGAACGACCGGTATTCTCAATCCTCAATTGCTAAATTCGCCACCTTATTGTACTCTATTGTACTCCAATTACTTGTGCCGTTATCACTAACCACAGCCCTTCGAGTGTGCGAGTAATCGCCATATTGCTATGCTATAGCTAGTGTATTCGAACAACCGTACAAGTACAGCTTCTCGTAGACCTTCCCGATGAACTGTGGCTTGACAGCACTACACACTCCACTTGACGTCATCACGTGACGGGAGTGCACTCCTGTGATTGTACAGGAAAGCTGTTTTTCGGCGCAGTAACAATCACCGAAATCCGCCCGGAATCTGGGGTGTACGCTTGTTCCCCACATTTCGGCTCGCAGATAACGCGGTCGGCCGAAACCCCACACACATGTGAACGACTTTTGACTTTTGAACGTGCATGCATGCATCACCGTTGGCTAAAACCAATCAATATATTGGATCGTGTTTTCCCAGCCTTGATCTCTGCACACACGCTTTTTTGCCACCATGGAGAAACTCGTTCACATTCCCGCCGTCACAAAACTCACGCCGCTAGTGAGCCGGTTCCTCGGCATGAACCCGGGCAAATTTTCTCTACAGGGTACAAACACCTATCTCATCGGCCAGGGACCCCGACGATTGCTGATTGATACCGGAGAGGGAGCCGATGAGTACACAGAGACGGTCTCCAACTATCTCAAAGAGAACAACATTGAGCTTGACACCATAATTCTGTCTCACTGGCACGCAGACCACACCAAGGGTACGGTGCCGCTGCTCAAGAAACTCAAGGATAAGAAGGTCCAAACCTCTCCCCCTAAAGTGGTCAAGTACCCGTTTCCTGAGATGGACAAAGAGAAGAACATCAACGAGGGCTGGTCCGTGGACGAGTATCTGGACGACGGTCAGGTGATCTCGAACCTAGGCTTCCATATGAGTTGTCATCTGTTTCCCGGACATGCCATGGACCACCTGTGTTTCTGGTTAGAGGAGGATGATGTTCTGTTCTCTGCAGACAACATTCTGGGCCAGGGAACGTCTGTGTTTGAGGATCTGACGGCCTATATGAAGTCTCTGGAGGGTATGCGTCAAACTGGCAAGACCAAGACCAAGCGAGCGGACGGCCAGTTCCAGATATTCCCCGGCCACGGACCCGTGATCGATAACGGCTGGGAGAAAATCACAGAGTACATTTCGCAACGGAAAAAGCGAGAAACCCAGGTGTACACTATTCTGCATGAGAAGGGTCCCTCTGATGCCCGGACCATCACACGGCAGATCTACGAGGGCTACCCTGAACGTATTCTTGATGCCGCTCAGCACACTACCACCATGCAGCTGATGAAGCTGGAGGATGATGGAGTTGTCATCTCCGACGCACGAACTGGAATGTGGCAGCTCAAGGAGAAGGCTTCCATTTGAGTTGTGACGACCATTCCCCCCGCAAATACTATAGATATTAGAACTGTTTTCTTATGTCTCATTCGTAGATCCGATTTTTGAATGTTCCCGTTCGTAGATCGTCAGCGAGCTACAGTATCTGAGACTTGATGCTTCAGACCTTGCATCGCAGCTTTTACACATGTAGTTCCCACAGGCTACAGATACTCATACTCTTCTTGTTCCTCCCATACCGTCTATGCTTCCAGCGAGAGCAGAGAGTATGTGAGACGAGAGGGAGGGTGGACTCCTTGATATGACACAACTCTACAACGCCTGTACACTTACCAACCCTCAAATCTCTAGAGATCGCATAGCCTCGGATGTCTCACTATGAGACCCAAATGGCAAACTACAAATACGGGATGTGCCTTCTTCGGCGCGTGCGTACTTCCATGCCAATCACTTTGTCTCACCTATGATTCTCGCGATTCTCGTGATTATCAAACAATAATTGAAACAGTCGGGATCAATTCGCCAGTACCTCCGCTGTGTATTGCTCCAACTACTGGCATCTTAGTATCTATCATTAGCTGCTAGCGCAGGCCATTAGACTCACGTTCATGACACAATCTACAGCGATATACACGTCCAGACCACTCAACAAAAGGAGACTCTAGTAAGGCTATAAAGTGAACGTGCCCAGAGAGCGCAGTTCAAGTAGTGTTCCCGTACGTCCCCGCAAATGTAAATACACCCCTGCCTACGTCGTGTAGGCCCTATCTTGACTTGGCTTAGATCGTCTCTACCAAGATTGAGAAATTAACACTTCTGAGACATGGTCAGATTGGCCCGGTTGATTGTGGGAACTGCCATTGGTATTGGTCCTTCTCGGTGTAGGTTGTGTGGCCTTTACAGGTATCTAAGCCGATCTAAACGAGGGATGTTTCAATTAGCCAATGTTCCCTCCACAACCCCTTCAATCGCAGCATCGCAAGTCCATGCTGGCTCTGTACTGTCGTCAGTTCCTTTACCATCATCAAATAAAACCTATATATCACTTAAATCTCTGTCGTAGGTTGGTGGCGCTTGTTTTCGATCGAAACTGTCGGGAAAATGATGCGAAGGCCCGCCGAGTTTGCACGATCGTGTGTTAGGGCCGCCAGAGATGTCGCAGAAACAGCCCTTTTATTTGTTTCGCTTGAATAACAGAATGTGGGGCTCGGGTGCGTGTGTTTCGTAATGCTCCCATCCCAGACTCTGGGTGATGCCCAGACCTCGCCATTCCTCCTCCAGCAGGATTCTCAGCGTGCCCGTTTCGGAATTGAAGTAGTCTCTGGGGATTGCCTTGAGCATGTTCTTGGGCAGCATAACGTGTCGGTATTCAAATGTGTCGTCACTGTATCGTGTAGAGTAGTGAATTGCCTCCTGGAACTCCTCCAGTCGCGCTCGTTCTGAGGACGACAGCAGTCTCGGTTGCCGTGACATTGTCAATGTGGCGGTCGCGTGTTTCCGAAGGGCCGTTTGTGCAACTAGGGCTGCTGTGTTTGTCTCTTGTTACCACGCTGTTGTCAGTGCCGTGGCTTGTCCAATAATAAAACCCAGTCAGGAAGGGGCTGCTGGTGATCTGGCGGGTATTGGCGGTCGACTAGTGCTCCCTAGGGTGATGCTGTGATGGGAACGGTTATACTTGGAGAACGGTTCCAAGAGTTCCAAGTATAGCGGAATATGTTCTGATCACAAGCACGCCAAAAATCAAACAAAGGGTTGGTGGGTTTTTATCAGGGTAAGGGTACTCTGCCGATTCGGGCCGTTGAGAGGGAATGCGCCAGCACATTCTGATTAGGTTGAGGTCTTTGGTGGGTGCACTTTAGCGAGCATGGTGTTTTGTGGTTGCGGAGCTACAAGTGGCCTGGGGGAAGACAAGTCGGGACTGGTTATAGGCCGACCTATATATATTTTCTCCACGCCCAGTCTTCTTTTGTGTGAGTTTGGACTGTAGGATTTTGGGACTGGTTAAACTGTACTACAATGTACGAGTACCAGTATTGGCATATGATGGCCATTTAATGAGTGTAGTGACGATTTGCAATATACAAGTACTTGTACAAGTGTAAATACTCGCGTAATCGGCAGGTTCCGTCCCCAGTGCCATGGGGCGCCTTTCACCACGGTATAAAGTACAACGGTACTTCCTATGTCGTTCTGTTCCGAGTATCATCACTCCATCTAAAATGCTGCACCACGCCCAAGACAGTGCTGAAACCTCACCGAAAATGCAACGTAGCCAACCTGGCGCAGAGCCCACGAAGTCTGGTGCATACAAGTGATTGTTGAATGTGCCTGTGTGCCGGTCAGTGCATGTCTACGATGGTACGATACACACGAGTATCACTTGTTGTAGACCATTGTCTGAATTCTCACGTGGTACGGACTACAGTATCGTATACACTCATACTCGTACTGAATGTACTATAAACTGCAACATTGGAGAGAGTCACTTGACGAGGTCATTGTCGACAGTCGAAAGTACAACGCTACAGCAAGCTGCTCAAACACACATCCGACACCCCTACATCACGTCCTCTGTACACCCAAGAACTTTCGCATCGCTTCGTGTCCCTTATCCAAGACTTCAAGTCACGATAATTTATAAGGAATCGCATCACCCCACAATCAACCTTATCGAGAGCCCCTTGTTGAAGCTGTATCTACCCGTAAAAACGGGTTATACGAGCAAAGGTCAGCATCCGACGTGCAAGTATATAAAGACACCCATTCCAACCCTCCACCATCTTTCATTAGTCCATTCCTGCCACAGCCCCTTTGCCAAGCCTGACGGACAGGGAGGGCGACTGTATGGTACGTGGACGATGGAGAGAGGCATGGTGCATTCGGAGTTGTCGATCCCAAACGGTGTCTTAGAATGGGCCGTGAGTGATTATCATGACTTGTGCGAGTTCGATATGAGTACAGTATGTACCCGTATGTCACCAAACCTGCCCCATCATCGTCATAGACATGCCGAAAAAGTACACCTCGTACACCCTGCAAGTAACAATGGACTAACGGTAGGCTAAGTAGACACTGACTAATTCTCAGCGCAACTATAGAACAAGTACATACAAGTAGCTACAGTAAGCAGTTATAGACAAGCTAAGCAAGTACAGCCGCTTGGATATATGTGGGCCACGAGAGTTATAGGCGCCATTTAGCCAAACGGTGACCCAGTCTTCTACTGCTGTAATTCGTCCAAAAATTCTACAAGTACCGGCATCGTGGTCACTGCCCATGCTCATCGCCCATCCCTGCATTCTCCTCTCCCGTGGCTCAGTTCGAAGGCGAAATTACCCTACCCAAACGCGGAACCCTATTTTTGCCAGTGTCCGAAAATAGCCTGTCAAGGCAACAAGTTCATCCGCGTGAGTGAGCACCAAGAATGGTGTCTGACTGAGTCTTACAAGTGGTAGAAATGTCGTATGACAGACAGTCACAGGAAACACAGGGGAAAGATGGCCGCTGGTTCGCTCAGTCACGTGACTCCCTATACATTTCACCACAGTATTCGTACTCGCACTTGTTTTAGGTGCATAGCCCATCTCCTCCATGAGTTGAACGCGTTAGTCTGGCATCATTTGTAGGTTAAGCGCAACATTATAGCCCAGCTACTGGAGTTAATTATCGGGATGGGTGTTTGTAGGGGGCTAGGAGAGGGTGACAGCGTCGACCAAAACGGCTCATAATGGCGACTCAAGAGTATTGGGAACATTTTCAAAGCCCCAAAGCCCCTTTAAATAAGCCCCCATTTCTTGCCCCTCCTCTACACGCATAGGAACAGCGTTTACATATCATTTTCACCACACGCCAAGTAAAAAGTTTATACACAAGCGATACTACGTTCCTGCCGTCAGATATCAGCCCAGCCAACGTCTCCCTCTCCCTCTACTTTCCACACATACACACATTCAAAATGCGGTTTGGTCTGATACCCGCAATTTTGAGCGCTCTGGCGTTCCTGCTGGGCACCGCCCGAGCAGATCTCTCCTTTATGGATCTCAGTAAACCAGACACGGTCCATGAAGCACTCGCTTTGGTGGCTGGAGGCCTCATGGACTACTACGATGGAACTCGACCCGGAGGAACCGTGGGCATGTTTGTCGCTCCTTACTACTGGTGGCACGCCGGCGCAGCATGGAACGCCTTCATCGACTACTGGCACATTACTGGAAACGACACCTACAACAACCTCACCTGGGCAGCCATGAAGCACCAGCGAGGCGAGAAATACGACCTCATGGTCTCCAACTTTTCTTCCTCCGAAGGTAACGATGACCAGGGAGTGTGGGCCATGACCATGATGACAGCTGCCGAGAAGAACTTCCCCGAGCCTGGAGATGAGTACGGATGGCTGTACGTAGCCCAGGGTGCCTTCAACACCATGGCTGCCCGATGGGACACCCAGAGCTGCTACGGAGGTCTGCACTGGCAGATTTTCCAGTGGAACTCTGGTTATGACTACAAGAACGCCATTGCCAACGGAGCACTGTTCAACCTCGGAGCCCGTCTCTACCGATACACCGGAAATGTGACCTATCTCGAGTGGGCCGAGCGAATCTGGGACTGGTCCACGCAGATTGAGATTGTCGACAACGGCCGAGTTTACGACGGTATCCACTTGCCAAACTGTTCCGACCGATCTCCCTACCTGTGGACCTACAACGCCGGTATTTACCTGTCTGGAGCAGCTGCTCTCTACAACGCCACGGTGCTGCGAAATCACACGGACCCCAACCACGGTAAGTGGCTGGACCGAGCCAACGAGCTGTGGAACTCCACCAAGGGGCCCAACCTCTTCTTTGGCGGACCGCAGAAGAACATTATGGTCGAGATTGCCTGCCAGCAGAAGACCATCACCTGCAACTCCGATCAGCGAACCTTCAAGGGTATCTTCTCCTCGCTGCTCGGACAGACCGCCCAGATGGTGCCCACTCTTGCATCCGACATCATGTGGTACCTGGAGGCCTCTGCCTACGCCGCCGCCCGAACCTGCAGTGGAGGCCGAGACGGACACACATGCTCGCTCAACTGGCTCACCGGCCAGTACTCCAACGACTACATTGGACTAGGAGAACAGCTGAGTGCCATGGAGGTGATTCAGAACACCCAGGTGCTCAAGTCCAGCGGACCTCTCACAGATATCACTGGTGGTACCTCAAAGGGTAACGGTAGTGCCGGAGCTTTGGGATTCCATCCCTTTGGAGAGGATGAGGCTCATCCTCTCAATATTGGAGGAGGAGACCGAGCTGGTGCCGCCATCATCACCGTCATTGTCGGTGTCATGATGATTGCCGCCGGCTGGTGGTTGCTTGTGTAAGCGCACTACGCTTGTAGATATTGCCCATGGTGCGATTCAAGTTTGTAGAGCACATCCTATTTACGAATTTATGTTTTGATTTTGACCGCAATGCAAATACAGTCAGAGAGTACCGGTTGCCACTGTCAAATACAAGTACAATAGTCTCTTTGTGCGGATTCCACTATCCGTAGCCACAAGTACCGGTAGTTTATAATCTTTCAAGAAACGCGTATCCATCACCTTATCTGTGCCACAACACTCCTGCCATACACCCCTATTCCACATCTACACCACCTACAAACACAACATGTCCTCTCGTCGAATTCGCCTTACCACCTCGCTCATCCAGTCGGTAGCCTCGCTCACATGGGCGTTCATCCAGAAACTTGGCAACCGTTCTGGAGAGTTTCTCAGAGACACCTTCTTCCTGCCGTTTGTGTTCATCAGAGACCTTTCGGGCCTGCAATTTGCGTACCTCAGCGACCTGTACCAGCTGCTGGTCAACTACCAACGGGAGATGAGAGACGCCATCCCTGCCGTTCCCGAGCCCGCTGTTAAGCTTGACTAGAGATGTTGTGCATTGGCTGAACTACTACTGTGCGAGTGCCGCAGGAGCCTCTAGAGGAGTGGATCTCACAACATGGATCATGTCAGGAAGCATCATTTCAGCCCAAAATCACCCCCAAATCCAGTTAGGCACCCAATTCTGGATTCAGCCAACTTGAGTGCCAGTGAGGCTAAGTCAAGGAAACTAACCCACACGAGTATCGTAGATAGCTCAATTTAATGTCATTGCTACAACTACAAGTAGTAACAAACCGTGGTCCCGTTATGAATCCAACATGGGGATACTCAAAATATCTACAGTAGCTCTTTACTACTTGTAGATCGCTACAGAACCCTCACTCTCACCTGCGACTTGTACCCGATGACACTGGCACTTTTCTATAACTTCAAGTACACAGAAGACAGCCATGACAGATTCACCATCCAAACACAACTGCATCCAAGAGGCCCTACTCACAATATGAACAGATAGGAGGATAAGCCCAATGAGTGATTGACTTTCATATACTTATTCAGCTTTAGTTCTGCTGAAGAAAAAGGGTCTAGGGATGGTGCTAGCGGAGTACAGGTGATGAGCAGCCTGGCTAGATGAGGGACTCACACAGGGTGATGCCTTGGAGGGGTTGGATACGAGTGACTGACAGTGGTTTATGTTGTTGATTGTAACTCAACAACTGCTGAATTGTGCTGTAGCTATCCAATACTTAGCGTGTCTTATTACAAGAAAAGAAAAACAATACAACTGGGAATAGGTGTTGTATACCACTTCCAAAAGTACTGTAGCTACTTGTAGCTAAAAGTAACCATCCCTTGCAACTCTCGTTAACGATCCACATCTCGCATTGCAAGTATGTTACCTTTGTCCTAGCTAACGATCCGCGATGCGTTTACAGTGTGGAGGGTTTAGGTCATGCCGAAGCGGAGATACCGTAGCTCTTGTGGGGGTGACTTATACATCACGAGTCTGTCTTGAAGTCGGGATACGGGAAACCCAACGTTTTTCTGTGTATTTTGGCGGCTCCATGTGAGCTGACTTGTTTTGTGTCCAGTCGCGTGCATCTAGTGAATCAGGCACATGGTCACATCTCACACATCCCTTCTAATTACTTGAAGAGTTGCTTCCTTTAGTTGTGTTAATCCCTCCACCTTGAGCACCCGCATCAGCCAGGCATAAATACTGCGCCAAGAAATACCTCATGCATGTTAGCCGGAGTTAATCTCAGAGTTCGAGATCAGAAGGCCACCGCTAACCAACGGTTGACTCAGAGTTTTGGAGGTGAGTTTCAAAGATTCTTAATGACACTCACAGCCGCTCATAAGAGACGTTCATCTTCTTTCCCCCACAAAACAAGCAACGACACTCGACTTTCACCATGACTATGGTCGAAGACATCGTCGGTACCAAGCCGGGAGCAGTGTACAAGACCGGCCACACGGTCAAGTTCCTGGTCCTGTTTGCTATCAAAAACTGGTTCATTATCGGCATGGGAGTGGTCATTTTGCTGGCGTACCTGTTTCCCAATGTTGCACGATCCCACGGAGTGCTAAGAGCCGATATCGCCTTCTCATACTGTGCAGTCGCGATTATCTTCCTTATTTCGGGACTATCCATGCCCACAAAAGTCATGGCCAAGCAAGCCAAGCACTGGCGCGCTCACCTGATCACCCAAGGCCTATCGTTTGTGATCACACCCGCGGTCATGTTTGGTTTTGTCGTGGCCATCCACAAGTCCGGAAACAAAAACATGGACCCGTGGGTTCTGGTTGGAATGATTATCGCCGGCACCACCCCCACTACAGTTGCTTCCAATGTGTTGATGACCCGAATGTGTAATGGAAACGAGTCCCTCGCTCTGCTGGAGGTCACAGTAGGAAATCTTCTCGGCTCTTTTATCTCGCCGGGACTCATTCAGCTGTACCTTTCCAAACATACTGGATTTGCCTACGGAAACCCGGCAAACCACATGAGTATTCGAGAATTGTACGCCAAGGTCATGAAACAGGTCGGTCTCAGTTTATTCGTGCCTCTGTTTGTCGGACAGGTGGTTCAGAACGTATTCCCAAAGCAAACTAAGTGGGCGGTCACTCACTTATATTTGGCCAAGGTGGGCACCCTGATGCTGCTGCTTCTCATCTGGAGTACATTTTCCACTGCGTTTTACGACAAGGCCTTTGAAGAAGTCCATTATACGACCATGGTGATGGTTTGTTTCTTCAACGTGGGTATTTACCTCCTGTTCACTTTGCTCTGCCTAGGAGCAGCTCGGTTGCCGGTCAACCATCTGCCTAAGCCGACGGAGAACTCTGGAAAGTTCTACAAGTGGTTCTACAGAATGGCACGACCGTTCCATTTCAGCAGAAAAGACACCTGTGCCATCATGTTGTGTGGAGCTGCCAAGACTGTCGCTCTGGGGGCGCCTATGATTTCAGCTCAGTATGGATCACAGTCACCGGTGATTGGAAAGGTGTCCATTCCCCTGACTCTCTACCAGGGCGAACAGATTCTGGTAGCCCAGTTTCTGGTTCCTGTGTTGAAACGGTGGGTTGCTGGAGAGGATGATATTCCCAAGCCTGAAGACATTGAAGCTCCTGCAATAACCAGTAGCAGTAGTGGCGATGACGTTGGCCACGAGCATACCAAGGCCGAAAGACGACCCACCCGTGAACCTTCTGTCCAGCCTGAAGCGGTCGCCGAAAAGTAATTATTAACAATGCTGTGTATATGGTATACTTGATGTAACAAATGATGAGCCATGAAAAGTGATGAAGGAAGGGAGTAAGCAGATAGGGAACATTGAGACCACAAGAAGAAACTTGAGGAGTTGGTGAGTATCACCTGACGGATTACGCACAGCCACTGGTGTTCTCTATAGCCGAATGAGCTAAGCATTACAACACGTTGAGGGCTGTTGGCGTCCAGGACACCAAACGCCTACATAGCTCCTGTTTCTTGACTAACTGGTTCTTTGTCTTGACGATAAACTTGTTCTTGAGCATGGATATCTACGAGACTGTGCCAGGCCCAACTGTTTGCCGAACAGGCAGTGGTGTAGACAACAGTGCGAGGCTTGGAGATACTGTAGAGAAGACAATACAAATACCTGTAGGCTATGACTAAGACGAAATGGAGGCGTGGTACTAGAGAGAGAAGCAGAACGGTCCTATCAAGTGTCACGACGGCACTTGCTAGATGAGCGTTTGCGATGTGGTCTAAAGACACCGACACTGGATTCTAGTGTCCACTACAGCTTGTACTAGTGATATCACGTGATGTCAAGTAGTAGTTCAGTAGGACAGTCCCATTGCTCACGTCAGAAATCTACTGCAACTGGGTTGACTCCGTACTTCATCTGTGACACACTGTGCAATTCGTTCGATTAAAACGGAACATGCATTATCCCAGGGATTATTCCACATATGGTATAATGTCAACTGTGAAAGCGGCCATGCAGTGAAAAATATTTAACAGACAATATTTCATCTTTTTGAAATGCCAAAAATCTTCGAAATGGCTCTTCATTTACTGTAATTCATCCCAGATTTTGATCGTCACTATAGTCGGAATCTCTCGCAGTATCTCAGATGAAATTCACTGATGGATCTCGTGAGAAATGAATAAAGAACTGCAAGTCCAACCCAGGACCACAGTATGTACAATAGTCGAACAAACAAACGAAGAGATCCACGGATTCCCAGGAAAGGTACCAAATCGGCCCTGACAAACCAACTCATGGCCAATTGGCAGATTCCTATTCTCAAGGCAAGAATATCCTCTGAATAACTCTTGTCCTACACTAGAGGATGTGAGAGACATCTTTGTCCGAGACGTAGCCTTAGTTTGTTCTACAGAGAAAAGCCATATGTCCTGTCACAGGTATCCCTATACTTCTTCAGTGTCTCAGCAAATGGATCTGCTTTCAGGATCTGCTCTTATACAGCAGCGTTTGCAAGACATTTATGTTTATAACTTGTCTATTCTGAACACATGCCCAGAGATAAAATCCACCTACTGTGAAGGAGATCTACAAGTAGAGTAATCCTTGATACTCAAATGCTTGTACTTGTACTGTAGCGCTGAAAGGCGAATAAAAGTTCATGACCACTTCGTGAGTGACTCTTCTCTACTCTACAGTCCAAGGAGATTTCCCATGGTATGCATCGTACTCGGACTCTGGGCACTCCACCGAACTACAGTACAAACCAGTGCAAGTACAGACTGAGCCCCGTGACTCACCGTCGTGACTCGTCTGAAAATCGTCAGTAATACCTTCCTTTACCAAGGTATAGCACCAGTATCGGTACGAACAGTTCAGTACTATTCTGAATTTCACTCGTAGTTATGCAAAAAAAAAATAATGCTACGATAGGTCCAGACCGATTCGCGTGATGCGCTTGTAATTATCTACCGATACGCGATGGATAAGTCCAGGGCACTGGCCTCGCTCTTATTCTTCTACGATCGAACTACACTGCGCTCGCTGTTCTGGGCATGAAATAATACATCTTTTTCTTTTATAAACAACCGTTTAAGCCTGGACAGACTGAGTTCGGAGAGAAGAGGCTCGTCGCTTCTTCTCCTCGGCCTTCTCAGACTTCTTCTCGGCAACTCGCTTGGCGAGCAGCTGGGCGTACTCAGCGGCAGCATCCTTGGAGGCCTGGATGGCCTTGACCTTCTTCTCTCGGAGCTGGGCCTTGTGGGCGAGTCGTCGGGGAGTGATGAGTCGCTGGATCTTGGGGGCCTTGGTGTAGGTCTTTCCGGACTTGGTGGTCACCTCACGTCGGATAACGTACTGTCGGACATCATCCTCCTTGGAGAGAGCAAACAGCTTTCGGATGTTGTTGGCTCGCTTGGGGCCGAGTCGTCGGGGAACAGTCTCGGTGGTCAGGCCCTCAATGTCGGCATCGCCCTGCTTGACGATAACGACAGACAGAACAGACAGGTCGGAAGAGACAATGCATCCTCGGACGGACTTTCGCTTTCGCTCACCGGCTCGTCGAGATCTGTAACAGGAAGAGTCCTTGGACAGCAGAAGTCGGACTCGGGTGGGGTGCATGACTCCCTGCTTCATGGGGAAACCCTGCTTGTCGTTACCACCGGTAATCTTGAGCACGTAGCCCTTGAACTCGTCACCGAGGAAGTCAGCCTCAACCTCCTGGCCCATTCGCTTCTCGTAGAAGCCTCGGACTCGGTGCTCGTCCTCAATATCAATGCACTTCTGGGTGCCCTGAGCGGGGTATGCGATGTTAAGCTGGTGTTAGAAATTTGTCAGAGATATGATCCAAATGTGATCCAACATAATTCGACAAACGGGACATGGTAATTTCTCCCCTCAATACCGTCTCTGTCGTTCTCCCGTGTCGCCTTAGTCACACCAATATCCACCGTCACTCACCTTCATTTTGCTATTGTCGAACGCTGTAGAGAAACGAAGTGAAAATGTCAAGATTACAGGTGGGAGCAGAGTCGAAAGCGTAAAAAAGCGAGTCACAAATCTAGGGTTCTTAGGGTTATGCACGTGACCAAGGGACTCAAAACAGACCAAAGTCCCAACCAAACCTAATGGAGGGAACTGTGAGCACGTGACCAGAACGATGGGGGGTTGTCTGGGGCCGGTTTCCATTGTTTAAAAACCGACTCTGAACATTTGAGATGGAATCGAGACTTTAATGCCTAATCTGGAGGCGTATTGACCTCTAACATGGTCTTTGTGGGTTTTTTTTAGAAGATATCTTGAATACGAAACCGATACACCTTAACTTTAATAAATTTTATTGGTACAAGTACTCTTGAACAAAAGGTGAAAGTATTGTAATCCAACTGGCCGTGTTCGTAGATGGTGAGAAAGGGATAAAGCAGGGTACTGTAGTTGTGGGGGGTAAGTAATAGTACGATTACTCGGGTTGTACCAAATGACGATTTTCTGTATATTCCATGAAAATACGTCTTCGGTCACATCTCATCTCGAGATCTCCCGTAGGGACCCGCTGAATCGACTCCTGCATCTATGTCGGTCAGGTTCAGTGCAGCAGAGATGTTCAAAGACCCGAGTGTCAACTGCAAAGTGAGGTTTAGCCGTGTTGTGAGGTGAGGTGAATAGGGGCTGCTGCTGTTGTATGACAGACAATGTACAAGGTGAGAGTGAGTGCGTGAGGCCATGATAAGACAGAGAGGCATGGCTTGTATCATGAACAGAAGTACGAGTACAATTCTACAAGTAGTACACAGATCTGTTCAAGTAGATTCACACCCAAGTACCGGTACTAGGATTCACTCCGGCAGATTTTGTCGTTCTCATCTGCACTCAAGCAGCATACTGCATACTGTGCTACTCAGTGTTCTACTTTCAAGTCATCGTCTTGAGAGACATCTACCTGTACATACTGCTGTACTGAAACGCGAAGACAGCGTTCTCAGAATGAAACATAGGCACCATCAGAGTATGTGGACCCGTGGCTAGGATTGAAATACCCAGTCCGTGAGCTGTCTACCTCTACAACACAGCACTATATGAATATGTTTCCTCGCAGTATCTTACACATTACAGTATGGCTACAACTTGGCTGCCCTTCTCACTTAACACAACCTTGGACATTGACACGAATACCTCATTTCATCAGAAGAGAGAAGTTGTATACATACACCAACATCTAAAACTTGAATCATTCGTATTAGAAGTACAAGTACAAGTATTCTAGGAGAGAGAACATCCTCAGTTGGTAACTCACCAACACGCTCACAACGTAGACATGGCGACCAGACGTACACATCTGCCATCCTCTAAATGAAGTACAATGCACCTGAACGCCATGTAAGGCTCAATAAAAAAACTAGAACCACTAGACACTCGTTCCAACATTCTCCTGCGCCCTTACCACACTGCTCATATGTATCGTATGAGTACTTGTAACCTACTAGTCCTGGTAGGGTTCCGCATCAAGGTGCATTGATAAGGCGTACAGAAGTGCTAACAGTAAGCAGCTGGGTGTTCCATGCCTAGTGAGTAAACCAAGCCGTCGAACATGATTCACGACAGATCATCTGCGTACTCGTACCATACTGCTGCCTCTCTGTTCTACAATTCCCCATCAAAACTATTAGAATGTATTGTACAAGGAGTGTTAGTACCCAAACTGGGTTTATTATATACCAAAAATTGCCACATTGTGTCCGTGGAACAAGTTAATCATCATCATAATCAATCATCATCGTCGAATCGCATCGCATCATGTCATGTCATCATCTCACCCCAACCTCTGCTTCTTAGGGTCCAACTTACTATCGCTGTTATCCACCCGCTTCTTATCTTTGCAGGCACTGGTGGGTATCAAGGAGCCTCCCGCAGAAAAGGAAGAGCCCCCTGCAGACCCGGGGTTGAAGTTCCACTCTGTGCCGTAGAAATTTGACGGACTGGGCAACAGGTCGTTAATGTACCGCGATGGTAACGCTGCCGACAACGGCGTTTGTTCTCCATTCAGAAGCGTGGGTTTCGCAAAGGGGTTTCCAGGGCCCACTCCCGAGTTATTAATGTACGAGGAGGGAGAGGGTGGTGGTAAAAGCAGCGCGGCGTGTGAGGTGTTTTCGTCCTTGGACCCATCTATCGGTGTGCCTTCCCCGGATGTGGATCTGGAGTTCCCTGCCTGTCCTGCTGTGGAGCCTTGACCTCCAGGTCCAGAGTTGCCTCCCGTGCTGCCTCGTTTCTCGCCCGGAATCTGAACCTTGAGTTTTGGCCTGGTTACCGAGTTCTGTCGAGACGAGACCCGTGACGAGCCCTCGGATCCTGGAATGTATCCGCTCCCTGCCCCGGCCACGCCCTGGCCCATAGGGTTTCCTCCAGCGGTTGCGGGGATAGAACTAGGTGGCATGTCGTTAGTTCCACGCCGAATGTCCAACAGGTGGCCCGCCAACGAGCTCATTTCCTGCGAAATGGGGGTGAATTGGCTCTTGTGATGCTGTTGCTGTTGGTGGTTCTGATGCTGTTGATGCTGATGCTGCTGGTGCTGCTGAGCATGTTGTGCCTGTTGCTGCAATTGATGATGGTGCTGTTGTTGCTGCATCATCTGTTGCTGTAAAATCTGCTGCTGGTGGGGATGCTGGCCCATCTGTCCCATGCTCATGTAGTCATAGTAACGCTGCTGCTCGGGGTGGTGGGGATGAGGCATTTGCTGCTGCTGAGCCTGTTGAACCTGCTGGGCTTGCTGAGACTGCTGAGCCTGCTGCTGGGGAGTCAGCTGCTGCTGAGGTGTCACGTTTTGAGGCATCTGCGGAGTCACGCTCTGGGCCATCCGTGGCGTGACGTTGGGGGGCATCTGAGGGGTGGCGTTTTGTGTTCCGTTGTTAGAATCCTCCTCCTCCTCTTCGTCGTCCTCATCGGTGGGCTCGCTCTTGATGCTCGTGACGCTTCCCGTGGCTCTGTGGCCGCCCGCCCGCTTTTTACCATTGTAGTCCTCAGGCGTCTTCTTTTCGTAGGGAATGGACTTTTGGTATCTTTGAATGAGCTGGTTTGTGTCTGTTGACGAGAACTCATACAGCTTCTGGTTGGCGCCAAAGACAATCACGGCAATATCTACCTGGCAAAGCACAGACAGCTCGTGGGCCTTTTTGAACAGTCCCGCTCTTCGTTTGAGAAATGTTCTGAGTTAGTTGTGTCCTACAAGTAGGTGGCGAGGAAAGAATAGTGCAGAGAAGAAGGAGGTGGTGGACAAGCACGCTCGATGGAAATAACGCTGTTACATGTCTTAATCAAGTGCCTGTTTTCTCCACTTGTGTATCTGTTTCTCCTCTTGCGTGTCTTGATGTCGCGGGCTATGCCAGAATACTCACACTGAACGGTTGCGTTCGTCTTCCAGCGGTTGAATAACAATCTTGCGACGTCCCATGGTGATGTGTTTGTGTCGAGCAGAATCCTTTAACGGTGATGGCTTGTGTTTTCCGTCGCTGTCGTCTCGTGTGGTTTGGCACGTAAATATGTCAGAAGGAAGTGCTATTAATAGCAAGGCAGTTGCAAACTGAAAACCCTGAACCACCCTCTCCCAACGTCACCATGCGTCCTCCATGCACGGCTCTCACAGGATATTGGAAGGTTAAAAAATTACTTCCTGGCGCGACCCAGCACGATAGGCTGGAGTAGTGGACCGAGAGAGTAGCTGACTCACCCAGACAAGCTAATACTAGTGCAGTGAATCGACCCATGTCTTTTTCTGAAACAAACAACCGCTTTTGAGCGCTTTTCGGTGCCTTTCTCCCACTCAAACACGTATACACTGACAGTTAAAGTCACCCCGAAAAGTCAGCCTGGGTCACCTGTGGAAGTAAACAGCATATGTGCTCCTTCCCACCCCCCAAAAAAAGGCTCTTGGCAGGATTCTCCCTAGGAGGTATTCCAGAGCACCCCCTGGTTGCTCCCATCTCCCGTTAGTGACGCTAGCTGGGGAACATCTGTAGTGAGGCAATTAGACATAGCTCAGGCGGCAAAAACAGCCACATAGGGCTTGTAGCGGTGTTTTTTTCGAGCTCGTATCATTATATGGCCTGAAAACTACGTGATCTCCTTCCCAGGCACACCCCCACACGCGTCGCCGTTTTGCTTCTAAAGATAGTAACATGTACAATCAATGCAGACCCCCGAAGCTTACTATAAATAGAACCAGCCCTGGGGTACACCAAGTCGAAGAGCAGCCAACAGAGAAATAACCACCAGGATTTAGGTGAAAGAAAGAAGTTTGTACGCCTGCCAAGAACCTGCAAGTTACGCGAAAACCGTCTCCAAGATTCAACGTCATCAATAACCGACCCTGAACTGAAGACAGAAGACCGAAGACACATCAACCCCAACCTACATGTCCACTATTCCGCCTTGGTCAGACACACTACGATCAGAGCTATTTGTACCCGTACGTGTAGATAGTTACATATTTTCGGCCTAGATCTCAGCAATCAATACGACTGGCTCAAAAAAAGCTCACTGCCGCATTACAGAAGGACGCGCACACCCCCTGGGGTAAAGGTGCAGACGGTCAACCACAAGATCCGACGCGATGAGCATCTCACAGGTTCTAAATATAAATTTAAACACACAGAATACGAGCAAGGCACTGGAAAGACGTTACTCAAAGGGCGCTGGGACGGGTGCAGGGGTCTGAACGGTAATTCGCCAAGATCATCTCATCCTGACCATGCAAGCTTATGTGTTTACTTTTCGTTTCAAACACCTACTATCCAGTACATCCCTCTGCAAGTGGAATCCAGGGTCGTAGTGTCTCTGTTGGTTGTCACGTAAGAGCGACTCAGCCGCCTATCTTCATCCCATTGACTTGTTGACAAGGATACTTCATCGACATACTCTACTCGTACAAGTACTTGTAGTGAATGTGTATGATCATTAATGTGATATATTATGACGGCACCAGTGCCTCTAGGAAATGTGCGAAAGGAACTCCTCAACGTACTTTTCTACCTGCGGAACAATGCTATCGTCCTCAGCAACGGCAACTGAGATGCTAATGGGGCCACCCTTTATTCCCACAGTGGAAAACTGAATGAAAGGACAAGTACCTCCTGTGCATTGAGAGAACCGCAGCCGCTCAACCGTAGTAGAGGTCTCCAGAGCGGTCAGGTTGCTCAAAGAGTACATTCCATGCCGCTGGTAGTTGTTGGTATGAGAGGCAAAGTAGTCTTCCAGGTCAACGAAAGGAATCAGACCAATGATATGCATGAAAGGATAGCCGGAGAACCATGTCGAGACTCCGTCCTTCTTAATCTGATCCTGGTACACCTTGGCAACCTCCAGGAACCCAGAAGGAATCGTTGGTCCACTTCCAAATTCAACATCTGCAGGCTTGGGAACCGGGTTGTCAAACAGAGACTCCCCAACGACCATTCCCAGACGTTCGGGGTCCTGACCGGGTGTGAATTTACGAGCATTCCAAGGAATGGAACCGCTCACCTGTTGCTGAACTGCGTCAGGATACTTGTCATGAAGCACCTTTGACGACGAGCACACCAGAAGACCATACAGACCGGCCCCTCCACTGATGGAATGTGCCTTGCACATTTTCAGAAACGCGCTTGTCTGCTCGGTAGTCATATCAATGACACCATAGTACCCCGTCCATGGGAGAACCTGAGGAGGCAAAGAGGTTTTGGGTTTTGAGAAGAGATACTCGTTAGCCAGTTCCTTCACCAGTCGGGAGACAGGAGCGGAAACGGTAATCTGTTTCTCCACGGGTGGTGGCAACTCTTTCTGTGACACTTGGATCTTATTGTCATCAGATCTTTTGCCTTGTCGGTATTCCTCGATGGACTTGACCAATTGACGGCATGCAAAAGATCCAGACATTCCGTCCAGAAGAGTGTGGTCGTAGAGAAAGAGGACTTCCCGGCCGTGGTCTAGCCCAACAACTTTCCAGTGAGCCTTGGTGAGATCAAACCGCACGTAATGGAGATCGGATTGGGCTTCACTCACCTGCTTATCCCAAAATGTCGTAGTGTCCAGGAAGTCCTTGACATCGTAGTCGTCGGCATTCAGTTTGTGCATTTCGTATTGGCCTGGCTTGTCTCCTGTAATGGTGACACCTAGGATGGGTTCATTATGGATCAGTTGACACACGGCGTATTCAACTGCCTCGGTTGGAGCGGGGTCTCTTAATCGAGCACTCACAAAAACGTTGGAGTAGCTACCGAAACGGCTTCGTGTAGCCGCGTACGTTTCGTGGGGCCCCAGCTTGCGCGACATGGTTGTATATGAAAGAGGAAACATGACATTTGGCGTTAACATTTATAACCCAAACTGGAGTGCGTGTCGCGTGCAAGTGAAAGCTTAACAAGTTATCTAAGTATATACTGTATATTCAGCGAGTATTAGTTAGTCTTTAGTGTAGCTACAAGTCAGACTAGACAGTAGCAAGCGTAGAAGGCGGCCGAGGCCACCGAGAGAACAGCGTAGCAGAGCGCGTAGTCACCACAGGGGACGCAGAACCAAACCAATGACGAAGAAGAACCACGAGGAGACGTTTTCAAAGGCAATGCAAACGAAGAGGGCAATGGAAGGATTGAGATTAGAGAACTGGAGACTGGAGTGGCGTTTTCCCGATGAACGAACAAACACGCGAAGCTATGTGGACCAACATACAACACGGACTGAACCAGGTTTTTTTATGATTTTTTTACTGGAAATAGGTACGTGCCAAGTTGGACCATGACACTAAACGTGTTTAATTAGTAATATTCGTGTAAGCGTACATTAATTTCAAAGGTTATTCTTTCACAGCAAAGTTATAATTAAATGAATGTAGCTACAGTATATGCAAAAAAAAAAAACTAGCTACTTGTACCAGGCACCGGTACTTCTACCACATTAACAGGTTGTACAGAACCGGGTTTCTAGATTTGATACGATAAGAGAGTTAATTAAGTATAAAGTGGCACAGCCGAAGAAGAGAATTGAAGTCATCCTGTTTAAGCAGAGGAAACAGGGTGGGCAGACAGAAGGCTCTTGAGGGAACCGGTCTCGAGACCCAGAGAAGAGGAGAGATCCTCAATACCGGGGAGCTTTCCAAGCATCTGCAGAAGTAGAGAGACATTCTTGAGAAGTCCATCAATGGACTGGACAAGGGGGACAACAAGGTAGTCAACCAGACCACCAACCAGCAGAGTGACGAGCTTCTCGACAACAAGGAGAAGACCGTTGATGACGGGGTTGGCTGCAATCTTGGCAACGAGGTTAACAACGGAGCCAACAAGAGGAATCTTTCCAAGATCGGCCAGAAGCTTGTCGACTCCAGTGTTAAGAGTGGCAAAGGTGGAGGTCAGAACAGAGATCTCAGTAGGCCGGTCTCCAGGAGGCTTGATGAGGGTGTTGACAGTGCCGTCGACAAGAGAGAGAACGGTCTCAACATCTGCATCAACATCCTCAATGGCGTTCCAGAGCTGTCGAGCAGCCAGCTCGTTAGAAGCAGGGGCAGGAGCAGGGGCAGGAGCAGCCAGAGCCATGGCGGCAAAGGCAGTGGCGGCGATGTACTTGGCAGAGACCATTGTAGTAGAGTGTAAGAGGGAAGTAGAAGAGTGTGGAAAGGTGGTTGTGGGGAAACTGTGAAGTTGTTGTTTGATATCGATTTGAGAGGCTCCGGAGGGTGTTTATATGTGTTTTGGACGAGATCAAAAGGTGGAGGGTATCTGGTATCTGGTATCTAGAATCAATTAACTCCCCAGGGTGGATGCATGGGTTCCGTCGCCTTCTCCTATCTCCAGAGGAGCGTTATCTCGTGCATTCGGTGGGTATATTGAAAGGTTAGACACGAAAAGATGACTGTTGAGCTGTGGAGACTTCGACATCGAGCTAGTGGTGCAGGCACTAGTGCGAGTTAAAAACTCATCTCCACTGATAATTTCGGTGAGGTTTGCAGTCCTTCATTCATCAGGAGTTCATGACCATCTCAATTCACTTACACATGTCATGGCATTATCATCACTCGCTAAAACTCTTGGCTGCCGCGGAGACGCATATCCCACGAGTCGCCGATGGTGTGGAGAAGAGTTAAAAAACCTTGTTCGTTACTTTTCCCTCCTCTTTTTGAGACAGGTGGTGAAAAAGAAAAGTCCTCATTGGCCAAGTCCGACTTATCAGGTCGACGAGGTGGACATGGTGGACCTTGTACTGAAATGATTTGCATCTCGCAATTCATCTGCATGTGGGACAGTGGGCTTGGGTTAGGACTTACGAAAATGGGAGAGATGATCCTCCTCTTCTTCTGCTGTACCGGGTACAAGTACGAGTACCGATAGTACACTGTAAGTTACGTATTGAGTGTTTTCTTTTTCTTCGGAAAGCGGCCGAAGGAGGCTATGTTCCCTGCTCGTATCAGTACGTACCCTATTCTATTGTACTTCGGAGATGGACCTTGCGTGTGCAAAAGGTTGGGTCTTTGATAAGGACATTTTCGGGTCAGACATTCTCCTTGAACGTCCTCGACACATTCTGTCTTCTTGCTTTCTATCCCCGAGGGAGGAGTTTTCATTCATGCGGTCCCATTCAGACCTTGTATCTATAGCTACTGGCCAACATAATAAATCTTCGACTAACCAACTATCGTTGGAGCTGTTGGCGACCCATGGAACAAACTTTTGTTCGCGATAAACCCATCGTTTTGGGTAGACGGTATTGGTGGGCATGTGTATACGTTGAGTCTACTCTTGCATCTCAAAGGTGGAGTGCGTCGATGCGTCCGCTGGTGCATCATCAGTTTGAAGGTGTCTCTAAAAAACTCGTCCTGTCCAGCTCCTAGAGCCGATTTATCGACATGTAAATCCACTATCGTTGGTGCCATCTGAAGCATCTCATTTCTTAACAATCACCTTATGTACTAGTGCGAAACTGACATTATTGTTGCCTTGTTTACACAATATAAAGAATATAAAGACTCAGCTAAGAGTCACACGACAACAGACCCCTTCTCTAACAACTCCAAGCTCTATACAGTAGCTACTTGCAACGTTCAGCCATATCGAAAAGCGGACAAATATGAGAAAATCTTTTTCGTCCCGCCGTTTATATTTGCTCTGAAAGTCGCTCGTGGGCTATCTCGCTTGACGGTCCCTGTATCGGCATCCCCACCACTCTTGCAGAAACTGTCGATCTTTGCTCCCCGTCAGGATCAACATGGATACGGGGAGAGAAAAAGCAGCCATACGGTGTACACGAAGCCGTATCTGAGCTGCAGAACAAAAACCGGATTACGAAAAGTTGCTTGTAGTCTTTCTTTGCTGGAGAAGCTCAAGACGAAATGATTTACCGAGTCTTGGCCCTGATAAAGGTCTAGTCATAGATAACACAATGGTAGCTCCTATCACTCCCCGGCATGATCTGTTAAGCATTGTTGGTCACACATCTTGTCTACCACACAGGTGTTACTCTGTAAGTCGTCAATTAATCAATTTCCATGCTCTATCTATCTATAATATTTACATTGTCCCCGTAGTTTGTCCCTCATTGTCTTTCGTAGAGTTGCCCTCTTATGTCTGTTTCCCTCTCCTTCCTTCATGCTTTGTTTTGCAGTCCACATTTTGTTTCTACTGCAACTTTTGTCGTCCGTGGTCCTCCAGGTTGAAGGGATCGTACACATCGAACGCCTTCAGAGCAGTCTGGTACAGCAGCAACATGATACTGCTCTGTGTGGAAGTCCAGACGAATCGAGGCCACACACCAGAGAATAGCCCAGCAAACCGCTCAGTACGCCATATCGTTGCCAGTGACCGCAGAACTGAATCCGACAAAATCACCCGAGTGTCTGTAGGTCCTCCAACCGAAGTTGGCTTGGTGATTTGTGTTTGAAGACGGGTCTTAACGACATCCAGAGGAGTGGTGATGATACCTGCGAGACCTCCACCAGCTGCACCTGTCAACAGCTCCAGGCCGACGCCCATGTCCTTGCCATGGCCCACATAATCCTGAGCCCATTGATGGAACTTTTCGTAGAAAGCAAACTGCAGTCCCGAAAAGGGCAAGTCTCGAGCCAGAGTGGCTTTGTAACCGAAGAAGAGCGCTCCCAGGCCCTCCTTTCTATAAATCGTTTTGAGCGCGTCGTTGAAGCCTCTGTAGTTGTATCCCGAGTAGAAGTGGGGGTTGTTGTGTCGCCCTTGAAGCTGCAGACGGGTCTTGAGCACCTCGGATGGCACGTACCACACAGACGACACCAGGTCACCCAGAAGTCCACCGAGCAAATGCACAAAGGTGTCAGGAGCCTTGTAGTAGGCGCCAATTCGTTTTGTGGTCTCATAGGTACCGAAAAACATGCAAGTTGCCGGGAACGAACCTAGCAGTGCCGGCGTGAAGCCAGCGTATAGTCCTCGAAAGAATCCCTCCTCCAGATAGAGCGTCGAGTATGCTCTCAGCATGCTGCGGTACTTGAGCGCGTGGGGAGCTCCCTGCTGTCGGGTCTTGACGGTGTCGAGAGAATGCATGACCGAGTCTCCAGTGGCACCTCCGATTCCTCCGGAAAGCACCACGTATGCTAGGGGCGAATGGGACGACAGCGAGTCTGTGTCATCGGCTGTCATGATTGGCGCGGAAGAAAGAGTTTCTGGGGTTCCCCAATCGGTTCTATGGCACCTAGGTCGTAAAGCACGTCCGGTCGATGGTGGGTCTGGTCGAAATCTCGAGGATAGCTCAGAAAAAAACATAGTTTGAAAATTATATGCATGATCTGGTGCCGCAGCGCTTTGGCGTGGGTTCGACTCCTGGTTGGGGTGGTGTTGTTGGAGGTTGCTGGGTAAGTTTGAGATGTTCAAAGGGAAGTTATAGCGAATTTTCTGTCCGTTAATGAGTAATTTTCCAATTTATGTTTTTGTTTTATGCGAGTATGACCGCACAATGTGCCCCTTTGCTTACTTCCGTTCTGGCTCCTGTGCTGATTACTAACCCTCGACCTTCCACTGGCTGCCCCCCGTCTTTTGGAAGCAAGGGAGTTGTGAGCAAAGACGCTAATCAGTGCACATCTCTCTTTTGATTGAACGAATCTAAGACTGCTTCAATAGGTTGCTTCAACTACACCTCAACGATGGGATGCGTTGCTGCAAGGATGACACAGGCCAGCACCATGATGGAAGAACGGTAGTTCCATAAAATGACCTTTGGTTGATGAGAACAGCTGAAGGGACCGAGAGGTTCTGCCGTGTATGTTCTTGTATATATATTAGTGACTAACCTGCATTATAAAACCGGTACGAGTACATGTTGCCAACAGCATGACAAAGTGCGTATCGATGGCTGTTCTTGTCTTGTAGCTACAGTATGTATTATCAGATGGTACGACATGAGATAAATATGCAATGAGAAACGGAGAGACTGTGGGCGACTTCTTTCCACACATCTATCATCTTATTGGTACAGCTTTACAGTAGCATCTGTCTCCTCGGGCCTTCCCATTCTCCAGCTTCTGTCTCGTTAATACCACTCAAGACAGCTCATGACGAGAAGATACCATGATTAAGACCCTTCAAATACACAAGACAGCCAAAGCAGAGGACAAGAGAGGACTGAAAGTTCTCTCGCTTCGTCAACAGTAGTCTGGATTGTGGGTGGGAGCCTTTACGTGAGTCAGGCACTGGAATTATAACCACAATTGTATTACGAACGTTTCATATGACCAGAGAGACTTTGGCCGTTGAACCACCGCGGAAAATTTATTCAGCTCATCCCAGGCCTTCTTCTTGGCCGCATTCGAGATGTTCCTGTTGGTCAACAGAGTTCTTTCTGTAGTCAGTATATCCAATACCGGTGCGAGTTTTGAAAACACGATTCTCAATATACATCCGGTGACACCAATCACTTGACTCCATGCTATCATCTGCATAAAACCAAAGTTGGCACATATTCTTGTATCAAAAAAAACCGATAATAGCGAAAACATGTATAGTGCTTGTTTGTATCGTTATAGGGCCGGACGTATAGTGATACGCAGGAAACGCAGTGGGGACGTCTGTTGAGTTGGAAACCGTAATGTAGCGACCGGGACGGGCCGCTCTCTATGTCTCTATGTGCCTGCTCTCTGCAACGGGTCTGTCTATGGTTTCGCAGTTTGGCCCAAAGCGGTACACTTAGGCGGTGTTGCTTTGTATGACGAGAAGTTTAGAGCGGAAGGAGGTTCACTGAACATTGTAGCGACCAAATTATCATACCGCAAACTGCAGTCTTCAAACCGAGTACTGTATGTACGGCGGCACCATACTTGTATCAGGTGCAGCAGATATCAAATCTGTGCACATGATGTGTTTGTTTGTTGTACTCGGTCGAGTCCTTGTATCGCCTTGTCTAACCACGCCGCTATCTGACGGTTTAGTCGCTCGCTTGTCGTACTCGCTCTCAACCTAGAATTGTTGACAACTCTGACCCTGACGACAGCGTATCAGGAAGGCTTTGGACGTTGACATATTGTCCAGAAAACACAGGGTTTCGAGTGCTTAGGTTTGCGCTTTTTTCTCCGCTGGGTTTCACATGCTGACGTCCCAGCGCAATTTCCGCTGTCCACCAAGGGACTTGTCTCTCCGCTTTTTGCAACGAGCTTCTGTCCAGGTAAATTGGTAAACAATGCAAATCAACTTGAAATTTTAAATACGGGACTAATGGAGCTCTTCCCGGCACTAGCGAAGGTAGGGAAGTGCAGTAGCTCAGGTGTATCTCTTTTATGGCTCTTTCGCCGCTTTGCCGGTGGAACTCAGAGGTCCTTTAGAGCTCCAAACTGACCCTACTCTCCCATACATTGGTCTTTGGCTTTGGCCAAAGCGTGCATGTGGTCTCTCTGGGCGAGAGTTTGGATGCTCTAAAGGCTCTCCGTTTTTGTGAACTTAGACATGCATCCGACACCGAGGATGTTGAAACGCTGAAACAGGTCTGGGGTAGGGGTGTGAGCGGAAGCCTGTCTGTCTGTCTGTCTGTGCGAGTTGACCAACTTGGCACAGCGTATTTGGAGCCTGATTCTGTGGACTGGTCCCCCCACGGTTGATGCACGACGAGTGTCATTCAGTACGTCTAACATATGGTCTGCTACAAGTAGCTACCGGTACGTGTACTGGTACTCGTACAGTACACCTCGGAATTGTACTTGTGGACAAACAGAGCTTTGGTTTCTTTTTTCTCGTCTCCGTTCACAAGGATCACAGGTAATAAAGACAAGAATACCCGGATTCTTTGCATCTCACAATGCTAAGGGCCTGCTCTAAGTTGGCATTAGACGTCTCGGGGGCTTTAGCGCAGACATTAGTTCAATTTCTTCAGCCATATCGCGCTAGTAGGAACCTTGAGACCAGCTCATGAGATGCCACGTAGCACAAATGTCATTCTTTTGACGTTTCTCTGTCTCTGCAGATTTTCATTTCCGCTCAATGGCACTTGCACTGACCACCCCTAGCTGCCGGACGCTCGTTGATTATGTCCTGGGGTTGAGACAAGAAGAGGAGAGAGAGTTCTGGACAGAGTCTTGTGCCAAACTGTGCTTTTTCAATAGACGGACTTTCGGTAACATTACTTGTTCCGGGACAGCTTTTGACAGCTCCGACTAATGTTCTATGGCTCATGATAGACCCATGCTCTTTGGTCCATGACAAACAAGACTCATTAGTCCAGGAACACAAGCTGGAGCAGCGAGCGCGCTTTGGATACCAGAGACACATGGCGATCCCCTTGTACCAGACCCCCACATCACCCCCAGCCAACAAATGAGGAGAGCGATTGAATTTTGTTTGTCGGGCCCTGCGTGCTGACAAAAGCAACCCCTACCCCACGCATGTGTTTCTCGTCTTGCGTGAGTGACAATTGACAGCTGACAGCTGCTCGCTCTACAGCTACTTGTAGAATTAGTGGCTTTTGTGCGACCTATGACTGTTTGTCTTGTCCTTGTGTTTACAAAGGGTACTAGTTGTGCTTAACAATGTGCAAACTGCATGATGGTGATAAGCTGGAACGGCACCAACGGTTGCAACCTGCTTGTCTGTTTGGTTTTCGGCCACAGCGATAGACAATTGTTGGGTCTGGATGAACATCACAGACTGGAAACCTATTCGCTCTCAGCCTCGTAGTTTAGTGAACTTTTAACGGCACTCCGTTTCACTCCTCACAAGGGTGTAGGACAGGCAGAGAGGGTGTTAGTGACATTGTCGTGCAGTTGACAAATATTGGCTCTCTCAATTGGGGTAATGGTAATGCTGCTCAACACAGCCAAGGCGGACGATCATACCTGGAGTTGGTTTTCAGGAAATCTGAAACTGGCCCTGGAGGCAGGCCTGTACTGTGTCGCTATTACCCGGCCAACGAGCCCGTATTCGTTTACTACCTGACTTTACTTTTTCTGGACACTGTATGGCTGATGTGGAAGCTGGCAGATCCACATATGTAAGCCGAGAGTTAGATTGGCACAAGCTGTGAAACCCTACAGGAAGGTGCATTTTTGGAGCCGCTTTTGCTGTTAAACCTTTGGACACGACGAAGGGTTTCGTCTTCTCCGCTAGTCCATCTGTCCACCTGCCACCGGGAAGACGCCGGAGCAGAGCTGGGCTCGACAAATGGTCCTGTTTTGTCTCACTTTGTCTCCACCTTGGCTGACTTCTCGACCCATAGATCGCTTTTATGCCGCCTTGTATACGTTGTGCTGGTGCAAGGCTTGCGTGGACAGTACACCGAGTTTACGGCTCGCTCGCTTATAAGGAGAAAATGAAAATGGAACTTTTTCCCTTTGCTGTGCCCGGAGAAAAACAAATGGTGGCTTGGTGCAGCTCCGATAAATACTGCCAGTGCGCCGGTTGGAGCGCCTGCCACTAGCGCTACAAACGTTCTTCATACAAAGTAGGCTAAAATAAGCCGTCTTGGAAATGAAATTATCAATAAATTCCCCGCTATTACAAGTCTACTCCAGTACCGCACAATCGAAAATCAAAATCAAAATCAATAAAACCTGATCCTGGATGTCAGTGAACCTAAACCTAACACGAACCAAATCAAGAGGGCCAGTGGTGTGGACGATGTGAGACGTGCTTGTGCTGCATAGGTGTCCCGTACGTACAGGCGGAAGCAAAGTGCGCACACAGATACGTGGCGTTTACGTAGAGCACGTATAGACAAGGTGGGCGGGAACCACGGTCATACACAGCTAAGCCCCACTCACTGTACACACCAGAGGACCCTACTTGGAAACATAAAGCCAAAAGGCAAATCCCAACTGTCGCAGATTGTGACGACCCAAAAATACGGAGAACGCAGTAACAGCTTCCTTATCCTCTAAACCTACTTGGCAGCCCACAACACACCTTCTGCTTCCATTCCACCTACGGTACTTTAGCAGCCCCCTCTCCATCTTACCTAGACAGCAGATCGCACGATCTGATCTGCTGTACTCGCCCGAAACATCCCCATCTTCTTGGTGAGTATCTCTACCCCACAATGGCGCTGGTCTGGCGATACGAGTCATGGCGAAACAAACACGACGCTATTTTCTAGTTAGCCCGGTCTCTCCACCACAATATGGCGATGTCCCCAAACGCGGTGGACGAGGAGCAGACGCCCACACGGCCCGAGGCTGGTGGTGGACGGCATCGTGGGTGGCGGCACAATAACCGTCATGGTGGGTTACACTCTCCCACAAGGCGCGCAGGTCCCCCCGCGTCGGTCTCAATTGCATGGCCGGTGCCCACTCGCAACTCGTCATACCGCTTCTAGACCTGTCACTGTCATCTCAGACACGTCACTGGCGCTGTCACTGTCGCTGTCATTCGATTGTTGCATATCAAGACAAGAAAACCGCACTCTTCGCGCAGCTCAACTAACTCAGGCCAATGACCTAACATTTTCCCTCCATCTCTCTCCCCCTCCCCCCATTCCCCCATCCTATCTTCCCCATCCTATCTTCCCCCATCATTCCACCTATTATTTCCACCCCCTCCATCAACCCTCCCCCTTCACCCTCACACCTACCCTTCTGCTTTTAACAGCCCCATCATCCATCCCATTCATCTCTCTTTGCCTCCGAAACGAGCCCCATCAGTAAATGTCTGCGCCAAACCCCAATTCCTATAACGACTTTGACGAGTTCCGGGATCAGTACCAACAGCAGGCAATACCCTCCGAGCTGCCTAGTCAGCCCATGCCGCCTCTAGCGACCTACGACCAACAACAGCCGCACCTACCTATCGTATACCCGGTGCCGGTCCCCATCTGCTCGTACTACCCTCCTGTTGCGTCCTATACCCAGCCGAAACCCAAGCGGAAACGTAAGCCGTCAAACCCCAATGCCCCATTGAGTCAGCCACCCACGGCACGACCCAAGCCCCGACAGTCTGCGTACGCCTTATGGGTCGGCAACATTCCGTCAAACTCACCCATTGACTCGCTGCGGACACTTTTTGCAACCAAAGACATTGAGAGTATTTTTATGATTCCCCGAAGCCGATGTGCGTTTGTCAATTATAAGTCTGAAGAAGGTGTTGTCGCTGGAATTGAAGCTTTCAACCAAAGAGGAGGACAGATCAGATCCAACAAACTAGTAGTAAAGAGACGGACCAAGGACCCCGACACGGATAGCCCCGAGCCATTGACGGACTCGGAGCGGTCCCAGACCTCTTCTCCACCCCTCACAGACAGGTACTTTGTCTGCAAGAGTCTCACGGTCAGAGACTTGGAGGTGTCGCGAGAAAACTCGCTGTGGTCGACCCAGAGCCATAATGAGGCCATGCTCAATAAGGCCTTCCGAGACGGGTCCAACGTCTATTTGATTTTCTCTGCCAACCGAACAGGTGAGTTCTTTGGCTGTGCCAAGATGATTGAGCCCATCCCTCCTAAGGAGAAAACAATTTCAAGCGTCATCACCACCTCCTCCAGCCATGTATACAGTCCTGTGATCACCATGACGCCCTCTTCCGGCGAGATTCCCGCAGGAAGAATTGTTCACGATGTCGAGCGGGCGTCTCTGTTTTGGGAGGTTTTAGATTCTGTGTCTAAACCCGTAGAAGAGGAGTCCAACTGGACTTCGCCCTTCCGAATCCAATGGCTGGGCAACCGGAACCGGCGTGTACATTTCTCTGAAACGCGCCACCTCAGAAACTCGCTAAACTCTGGCCGAGAGGTCAAGGTGGCTCGAGATGGCACTGAGATTGAGCCCTCGGTTGGACGTACCATAGTGGAGATGTTCAATTGAGTGGCCTGATTGATGGTCTTGCGTTGAGGACTATCAAAAAGTAAAAAAACATCCCCCAAGTGATATAAAAAGTAAAAAAACATTGATAAACACAAGAAGCGACGTGATGTGACCGTAATGTGGAAGTTGTGTACACTGTATGACCGAAAAGCGCTCGCCCCTGCGTACAGTATGTAAAAACAATTATCTATTTTACTATGTCCTTATCCGATGGATAAATAACTTACAAACCCTTACCGTAGTTACCCTCGAGGTAGAAGGCCTTGATGATATCAACAATCTTCTCGAGACCCTCAACCCAGGCAACAAACTGCTCCCAGACAAGAGTCTGGTCCTGACCGAGCTTCTCGAACAGGTCCTTTCGGTAGGGGCAAGACTTCATGGCGAGCTTGAAGATGGGTCGCACTAGCATGGAGTGGTGCTTGGTGAGGGTGGCGTTGTAAGCCTCGGTGAAGGACTTGGCCAGCTCCTCGTCCTTGTTGTCGATCTGTCGTCTCAGACCCACAGCGGTGAACTCGAGGCCTCGCATCAGCCACAGCAGACCCTGGGTAGCGGTCTTGGTCTTCTCACCCTTCTCGGCAAGAACGAGATCCTGGAGAGTACCGTTTTGGATGGGGTTAGTCATGAGACGATCCTGGATCTTCTTGATGTTACCGTTCATGTCGGACTGAACAACGCCAAAGGCAGTAGATCCGAATAGGTCTGTGTTAGTTTGATCTGGGCAGTGACTGCATCGGGTTATCGTTGCAGTTCCGTGGTCATGACAAGCGGCCTGCTTTTGTTCTAACGGTTGTTGGTGCCCCACAGTTGCTGCAGTCGCTATGATACCGCTGATGTTGCTAGGGTGTCAGATCGCGTGATCTCAATATGGGCGTTGTTTGTCACGCGTTGACTGTGACGGTGGACCTTTCTCGAGGCATCTAGCAAACAGGTCGACTAAGATGGACCGTCCTTCTGTCACGTGTCTCCTTTCACGCCATTGCGCCCTTGGTCACGGCTCAGAACACTCACCGAAAAGTCCGACAAGGTCCTTGGAAGCATCCAGGAACTGGGAGGTGTCGACCTTGCCCTCGACGATGGTCACGTCCTGGAAGTTCTTCTTGTTCTTCTCGAAAAAGGTAGCCATGGTTGATGTTTTAGAAGTACTGTAGTCGACTAATGCTAAGATGTGCGCGAGGCGAGGACTGGGCTCTCTGGTTAGGGTTGGCACACTGCAGAAAGTTGTCCTACGTGTCAACTTAAAGTGCTGGGTGTGAGATTGAGAGGGGCTAGGGTGTGGTCGTTGAAAGGACATTTGCACGTGATGTAGCATGGTTTGTTCGTGTCGCGCTGTCTTTCGGCGGATGTGCGGTTAGATCGCAGCTGTTTTAGTATGCCCTCGACTCTCTATGGTCCTCTCGTATAAGCGCCAGTACAAGTAGCTACAGTATATCATGTACGGTCTACTTGGCGTGTATATATGCAAAGGTTCGCTTATTACTTGTGCGGGCACGTACAATTGTAGCTTACACGTACATTACAAGTACTTGTAAGATTTGGTGAATTATCACCTGTTTCATATTTCAGATAAGACATGCAATCTTTGGGCATTCCATGTCACTTGCTACATTGTAGTCATATCCAACTTACCACTCGCCTGTCTGTATGTGACTACAGTGTGTACAAGTATGGTACATGAATCAACAAAGAGTGTTGACGAACTCTAATCTGACCAGGGGTTCTTCATCTATTAAACGACCCACCCAAGAATCGAACTGATAACTACTCAACACAACCCCGGGATTACATCCTGCCGAATGAGGAAGGTTCAGCAGTGCAGCAGATCTACACACCAGAAAGGCACATCTTGTAGGTATAGAACTGGATAAAATTTCCTCATTTGTACATTTCAGCAAAACGGTCACGTGGGTCCGAGGGGAAGCGATTTTTTCGGTATACAAACTGAATAGTGATAAGCACGGGAGTCAATAGCAACACTGGTCACATGCCCCGTCACAAAACCCGCGAATATAGACGGGTCTCACCAGGACGCGTGGAACCACAGTACATACAGTAGACTACACATCCACAAGAATGAGCTGCGATATATTTCTTAATCGAGAGTTGAATAAATAGTTAGCGGTTGTCTGTTCATAGACTTTTAATTTTAGGTAGCTGAGCGGGCAAGCCCCTCCTAGTATACAGACTTGTTCTCCCCTGGATAAGAGTCTTCGTTTTGGTCAGCAGGTCGCTCAACAGAAGGAGCAGGGAAGTAGACAGAGTCTGAAACATCCACGTAGTTGGTGCTCTGAGCCTCATACTTGGGCAACTCCTCCTCGGGGGTGTCCCTGGAGTTCCAGGGCGTGTAGTTCCTGGTCGCCAGCTGCACAGGAACAAACATTTGAATCTTTTGACGATCCACGGTGATATGGACCTCGAGACGGTACTGTCGAGATACTAATGCAGAGTAGAAGGAGGGGATGAACTTGGGTTTTCGAGGAATGGAAACAGGTACCCTAACAACCATTTCGAACCCACCATCAGCACAGGGGACCCACTCTTCCTTCAGCTCCTTGCATCCCAGCAAATCGTTCTGAGTCGTAAGCTTGAGGATACCGGGAGAACTGGAGTTGTTTGTGCACGCACTGAACTGCTTCCTCTGCTCCTCAATGACTTCGAGGTTGGGAACAAAACTCATGCCCTTTGAGGCTCGGAAAGTGTCGGAGTGGATTCGGGTAGTGATGAGCTTGACCTCCGGCACATGAGTGACACCAGCCTCAGGCTTGTACTCCAGCTTGATTTCGACAGGGGATGTGTTGTCCATGTAAGGGCCGTTATTGGAGATGGCGTACAGGCCTTGGTCAATCTCGGTTTGCGGGATTTTGAGAACCACAGAGGGCGGGACGTGGGCAGCAATGCTTCCAATCTTTTTACTACTCATCAGACTCTTCTTTTTAAGGTCGCAGGAAGAGGAGATGGCACTCTGGTGATGCTGGAGTTCCACAACGGGATAGGAAGGGATGACACGAACAGGCATGATTCTCTGGTGGTTCTTTCGAGCCCCTTCATCCCAAATGTTGACCTTGATCTCGTAGATGATAGTGGCCACCTTGCCGGGCACATCTAACGCTGGCTCTTCCCAGGACAGCGACGATCCCAGCGACGGAGGCAGTCTTCTGTTGAGAGAAAGACCTGTGAGTCGCTGAGCCACCTCGGGCAACTCGTGGGGTACAAAGAGCGAAAAGTCCAGGGCGTATTTGTGGCCAGGTTTCAAGGTATCTCCTTCCTGGATGCGTTCGTAGCCTCTCTGGGCGGCATTGAGGGTTTCGTCGGTGGTAATTCGTTGCTTCAGAAAGTTCCATGAGGCTTTTGTGTCGTCCATAGTGGCCTTGAAGGACGAGGTTTGAATGCCGCAAAAGTGGATGGAGAGTCGGTCCACTTTGATGTCTCTGTCGGGGGTGAAGAAGATTGATCCGCAGATTTCGTCTCCAATGTCAAAAGTTCCTCTGCAGCGCGGGTCTCTGATGATTTCAATGGTTTTGGACACAGTGGGCTGCTTGAGCTCCTGTCGTGGCAAGGGTGTGGCGGACGCCACATTGTAGTACGAGTTGCACGACGTATCGGTGGTGTCCGACGAATGTGAGAAGAAGGACTCGGTCGAGCTGCGCATGGTGGTCATTGTTGTGTATCTCAATGTCGAGGTTGGATATATATGCTGTACCAGTGGTCAACAACGGGATTCACTGATATATATCGAAACGTGCTTGTGAGTGCAGGGCTAGAGTGAGGGGGGTTAGCTCTGCGCCAGTGTATTAGATGTCAGGGCAGGCGAGTATTCGCGTGTTAGCAGCGTACGCCAGACTAAGAGAGTGCTCTCAATTCGCTAGCCAAGAAAGTGGTGGTGGTCTTGTGACTTGCAATTTCCAAGGTCAGGCTGAGGTGTTGATATGCGTCTACGGGCGATATTTTATTTGCTTCATGCGGGCACACCAGCCCGTTGGGATCGATAGCCGACGCCTCCAAAGACAGCAGACCTGGGAGTGGCTAGTGACTCATCCTCCGCGTGGTTACAAGGCCCGCTTAACTTTTTGTATTTTGTATTTCTAGGGCATCGCCAAAAGACACACCCACATAAAGAGCCAAACTTAGGACTTTAGAGTTATCGAGATGAGGGGTGCAGGTCTTGCTTTAATAAGGCATATTCTGGAGGGCGCAGCGATATAGGGGCCGGTATCGGGGAGGGAGGAGGAGGGAGCTGTGGAGGGGGTTACACACACAATTCCCGGATGAAAAGCCATCAAGAAGGCCTACAGACCTTCCTCTTCAACAAGACTCCTTTGTCAACCCCCTCCCTTTGTCTCTTTCACGAGATTCACTAAAAAATTGCTACCAGTAGCGCCAATCGTGTTTGCTCCGGGGACGGACACCGCAATTGAACCTTGTCATGTGGGTAAAAAAGAAAACTCAACTGGATGCGTACAATAAAGAAACAAGTGCATTCTCAGGAAGCGTGATTGGTCCCTTGGGCCGTCTGGCGAATGTTCCAGACACTTGGCCGCTGTCAAGCATATCTTCCTCAGCCGTTTCCAACGGCATGACAGCCCCGTCGCTCTCCGATCGCTTGCTTCATTGTCCTATAGTGCTCGTACAAGTACAAGTACATACTGTACTTTTATTCGGTTTCATGTTCTGTCTTACACATCATCATCTTTAACTGTATTGTGACGACGCTGTATCGACCACCATTCTGATGTTTGGGTACAACTGGATCCTCTGTTATAGATGCGCCTTGTCAGTAAAACGCCGTGCTACGGCTGCATTGGTATCGATATACGCACCGTACCGTACAGACGGCGATGTTTCAGGGTCACAGCTGCTGTAGGGTATCTACAATGTGTGCCGTCTCTTGAAGAAGATGCTCGCTCTGAGGGACGCCATCCAGAACAACCACCTCTTACTCGGACCATGCCAGAGTTTGAGTGCTCCCACTGAATCAAACTGTGGAACGTGAATAACTCAGCGGCGCTAAATGTGTGGGGTGATCACAACTGGACTACAACTAGTCACAGAAGTGCAACAGCAGCTAAAGCACCGCTCGAAGCAATGGCTGGTGGATGTGGGGAGGTGGCGAACAGTCTATATCGACTTTTAGACAGAACCAGGTGGTCGAGCAACAAACCACCAGACCTCGGAATCCCAGGCCCGTCAAATATAATTTAGTATTCAGTTGGTCCACGTCTGACATGCTCAACTCAACCTTCTACCGAGGCCGTTAACCCTTGCGACTCAGACTCAGATTAAACAGGGTCCGAGTGTAATACAGCTCCGAGTCCCGATGAGAGAATTATCCAGAGCGCGCAGCGTGTTCCATGGGGATGAATTCCGACCAATTCCGACAGCAAACACGGACTCAAGTTAGTAGTGGCTATCATCTGACGGAATGTAGCTGCCTGTGTATATACTGGTACTACTTTTTAGCCCCTTTTGCAACACTTCCGACGGAACTACCACCGTTATAGACGGTGCAACAAGACTCCTGCCCCCACTCCATTATCTCCGCTCCGCTAGATTGTCCATTTAACCGTACAGCTGACGGGCATAACTGAGCATCGACAACGTGGATCATCTGCTAGACCGAGTAACGCGAGAGAAATGGTAAATTTAGGAGCCGAAGGAGGTCAGGAGACGTATTCAAGCAACCATCGGGTAAACATTGAGTAAATATTTGGCTAAAAAATGTCCCATGTTCCAGCGTTGTATCTACCAGTACACTCACTGTACTTGTACATGACTCATGGTAAAGCTGTCACAACCTGACAAATCAAGCAGACTGCTCATCCCCATGTGGGAGCATCCATCCTTGCATACTGGCCACTTCTTTGTCAACAGCTATTTCGGTTTAATATGGGGTTCAGAATCGATTGCCGGCATATGACTGACGAGTTATGTGTAGAATGCCAGTCACATTGGTTGTGCATGGTGTATGGGGGCATGAACAACAGATACAGAATCGTTCCGGTACTAGAATAGACCATCCTTCTGTATGAGACCACGAGTGTCAGTACATACAGTAGCTAATGCAACAGAATATGTGCAGAATATACCTTAGCTTCCTTCCCATACACCTTCTCGGTCAACTACTTGCACTCGTACTCGTACTCGTGCAGTAGTAGCTCAAGCTGTGATATAGCCAGCGAACTACGGCTGTTAGTTCGAATATCGTAGAGCGCAGAATGACTCTCAAAGCAGCACAATCTACAGTACAGCCCCGAGCCACTTGCATGTATTTGCTCGTGGTCATACACACATCATGCCACTTCCCCTCAGATGCATGAGTGTACCTTCCACTACAATACTTGTAGCACAAGAACCATATGTCACCAGAGCATACACGGAGATGGAGTGTCGGAGAGATGGACGTCTTTATTCATCAAATCAGAAGTACAGGTACTTTTATTGACACTTCAAGAATCAGGAGTTTAGGAGCTTGAAAGGCTCCCATTACTCTTCAGCGTGTCCCTCCAACATATCTAGCTCATTATACAATGAAAGGGAGCGTAGTAAGGGACAAGGGTTTCCTCCTTCGTTGTATGCACACAAGCTGTAGTGGATTTGGTATCTCGTTAAACCGCCACCGTCCTTACATGAGTGCGAACAGTATCATTTCTCTTACCAAGAGATGGCCAAGAGAGGACACTTTATACGCTCGACTTTTGGAGCTATTTGAGAACAGCGCGAGGTATCCATCAAACATGATCTCTTCGTCAGTAACATTGTACAGTTACACAGCATTGAGAGAGTAAGGCCCAGCAATCAGTGTTGCTACAAAACGCCAGGGGAGATGAAGAGACACTTCAGACTTTTGAGCATCATGGCACAAGAGTACTCGTAGTACAGTACCAGTTAAGTCGAAAGCTTGAAAATAGCTACATTACTGATATACCAATGCACTCGAAAAAGCGGTTGCAGGTTCCTTTCGTCCATTTTGGGTCCCATATACTCTCCGTGAACTACAGTATGTACGATGTACTCGAGGACTGGTCCATCGAACCTACAGATACCGCGATGGTACGATACAGTTCTTTTATTGGTAGATATAGATGACATTTGGAACCCGGTGTGCTTATACAGCAGTTCTACAACTCCTACAACGGAGCCGACAGCTCCACAGAGTCTCTGACCTCGCTCTACACAACTAATGCTCTAACACAGGCCCGAAGGTATATGAGAGAAGCCGCGGTTCAAGGTAACAGGGAGCATATCACCGGGATTACCGGGGAAATCTGAAGACCAAAGAGACCAGAGATACACAACAGTCAGGAGGCATGTTAGTTCCACTCCATACAAACTACTGTACATACGTGCACCTACAGTACATTCAAACCTGAGAAAGATCATGAGATATCTGTAAGTGCACAACTTCATTCAAGTCCAGTACTCTTACCAAGATATATCATCACCGTCGTATTAGACACTTTCCAAGTCATGCTCTTCTCCACACCTACTGTACGATACGAGGCTCTGTCTGGTCATGTGACCTTAGTTAAATTGCATATATATACATACAGCACACACATCTTCTTTCCTCGTCTCCCAACTACAAAACTCTAACTAACTAAACACCACTGTAAAAAAATTAGGAGCTAGTGGTAGGTAGTGGATCTGATGATGACGTGATAATGCGAGGAGAAATGGGACAGCTTTATAGAATTCTACTTCCAAAAACTGAATACAAGCACCACGCCCTGTCGCAGCCCTCTACTTCTGCCCCTCGTCACAACCACAATCCCTTCTTTTTGCCTAACCCTCAAAGTTACCCTACCTGCAAGTCTCACACGTCTGCTGAAAAATTTCTAGTTACACCTACCAAGCAACCACACCACCAATATGGCTCCCCATCAGAACGTCCGTCCCGAGACGGTCTTGAAGCGAACCGACGAGCTTATTGCCGTGGGCCAGCAGGATGCTGCTCTGGAGCTTCTCCACGAGACTGTGTCTGCCCGAAAGGCCCGAACCACTTCTGTGGCTACTCTGGAGCCCATCGTGGCTCGATTTGTGCAACTTTCCGTTGACCTGCGCAAGGGCAAAATTATTAAGGATGGTCTTCACCAGTACAAGAAGATCGTGCAGTCCACCAACGTGAACGCCATTGAGCCTGTTATCAAGCAGTTTCTGTCTCTGGCCGAGCAGCGAGTTACTGATGCTCAGGCCCAGGCTGACAAGATTGCCGACGAGGAGGAGGCTGACGATCTGGAGGCCGAGGAGACGCCTGAAGACCTGCTTCTGGCCACGGTGTCCTCCGAGGACACCAAGGACCGAACTGACCGACGGGTCGTAACCCCCTGGCTCAAATTCCTGTGGGAGGCCTACCGAAGCGTGCTGGACGTTCTGCGAAACAACAGCAAGCTGGAGGTCATCTACCAGCAGGTGGTCGAGCAGGCCTTCAACTTCTGTCTGAAGTTTTCTAGAAAGACCGAGTTCCGACGACTCTGTGAGCTTCTGCGATCCCATCTGCAGACCACTGCCCAGAAAGGCCCCAACGCTCCCCCCGTGACCGCAACTTCTGTCGATCTGTCTGATGCTGACACTCTGCAGCGGTACCTTGACACCCGGTTCTCACAGCTCAACGTGGCCGTCAAGCTGGAGTTGTGGCAGGAGGCCTTCCGATCCGTCGAGGATGTGCACACCCTGCTGACAGTTTCCAAGCGACCCGCCAAGCCCCTGATGATGGGTAACTACTACGAGAACCTGGCCCGAATCTTCCTGGTCGCCGGAAACTACCTCTTCCACGCTGCGGCCTGGAACAAGCTCTTCCACCTGCTGTCCCAGTCTCCCCGAGGTGCCATCCCCGTGTCCGAGTACCAGCGAGTCGCCTCTTTTGTGCTTCTGTCTGCCCTCGCCATCCCCCACAACTCCAGCGCCGAGGATCGATACCGAAACACCCGGCTCACTGGTCTGCTCAACCTGCAGCGAACCCCCACTCGAGACGCTCTTCTCAAGTCTGCGCTGTCCCGAAACATTCTGGCTCACGTCAAGCCTGAGATCAAGGCTCTGTACAAGACTCTGGAGGTCGACTTTCACCCTCTGTCTATTCGAGCCAAGCTGACCCCCGTGGTTGGCGCTATCGCTGAGGCCCCCGAGTTCAAGCCCTACTTTGCCCCTCTTTACCAGGTCATTCTCACCCGGCTCTTCCAGCAGCTGTCGCAGGTCTACGAGTCCGTCAAGCTTGACTTTGTCATCCAGTTGGCTACTTTCCCTGCCCCTTTCTCTGCTACCCCTCTGGAGATTGAGCAGTTCATTGTCCGAGCCTGTGCTCAGGGCGAGCTGGCCATTAAGATTGACCACGACCAGCGATCCGTGCTGTTCGAGGAGGTCCGAGCCGCCACAGGCTCTGCTTCTCTGCAGGACACTCCCATTGAAATTGTTCGAACCCAGCTCTCTCGGCTTGGTCGAACTCTCTCTGTTGCTGACCCTCTCAACTCCGCCGAGGCTCGAGAGCAGCAGTACGTGGCTGCTCTCACTACTGCTCAGGACAATGCTGAGCGAGAGCACGCCGAGACTCTGGCTCGACGAGCTGAAATTGAGGCCCGAAAGGCCCAGGCTGAAGCCGAGCGAGCTCAGCGAGAGGAAGAGGAGGCTCGAAAGCGAGCTCAGCGACTTCTGGACGAGGAGCTCGCCGAGAAGGAGCGTCTGGCTGCCGAGCAGCACGCCCGAGAGCTCGAGCGGATCCGAAAGGAGCAGGACGCCATCCGAGAGGAGGAGAAGAAGAAGCTGGCCGAGGAGATCAACGCGAAGGGTATCATCACTATCGATCTCGACAAGCTCGAGGGTCTGGACACCAACGCTCTGCGAAAGATGCAGGTGGACCAGCTGGCCAAGGAGACCAAGGAACTTGGAGACCGACTCCGAGTCACTGCTCGGCGAATCGACCACACTGAGCGAGCCTACCGAATGGAGGAGATCAAGCTGGTGGAGGACGACTTTGTCAAGCAGAAGCAGCGAGACCGAGAGATCTACGATACTCGAATCAAGCTCATCAAGGACACCGCCAAGGCCGAGCACGACGCCAAGGTCGAGCTGGCCAAGCGTCTGCAGCGAGCCGTTCCCTTCTACAAGTCTTTCCGTGACGATATCCGTGTCAAGCGAGAGGCTGAGTTTACTCGTCTTCGAGAGGAGGCCGTCAAGAATCTCGCCGAGGCTAAGGCTGCTCGAATCGAGGAGGTCAAGGCCAAGCGAATCGCTGACGCCAAACGAGCTGAGGAAGAGGCCAAGGCTGCCGCTGAGGCAGAGGCCAAGGCTGCTGCTGAGGCGGAAGCCAAGGCCAAGGCCGAGCAGGAGATGCGAGAGAAGCTGCTGGCAGAGAAGAAGGCCCGAGAGGAGGCCAACGCACGAGCCGACGCCGCCTACGAGAAGCAGCGACAGAAGGAGGCCGAGTTGGAGGCCAAGCTGGAAGCCAAGCGAGCCGGCTTCTCCGGAGCTGGTCGACAGGCCCCTCCCAGCGGTGGCTACGTTCCTCCTTCGCGACGAGAGGGTGGATACGTCCCCCCCAGCCGACGAGGAGATGCTGGAGCCGCTCCTGGAGCTGGCTCTGGAGGTTACACTCCTCCTAGCCGACGAGAAGGTGGCGGAGGCGGATATGTTCCCCCCAGCCGACGAGAAGGTGGCGGAGGAGGCTACGTTCCTCCTTCTCGACGTGAGGGTGGATCTGGCGCTGGATCTGGAGGCCGATATATTCCTCCTTCCCAGCGAAACTAAAATTAAAGGTGATTGGTATAGATTAACAACTGATTTGTTGAGATACGAACAAGTAGAACAAGTAGAACAAGTGGCGTTTGTGAAAGTACTGTATGAGTACACATACTTGTAACGGTACATACTGTACTACTGTAGTAGAGTAGAGTGGGAGCTGTGCTCCAGATAGATAGCAAATGCAATCAGAAGGTGGGTTAAACAACCATACAAGTAAACTTTCATTGAGATGCTTGGTACACATGAGAGGGGCGAGGCATGTTGAATACGAAAGCAAGCTCGACAGAGTGGGCTATCTTATCTGAATCAAATGGAACGATCGAGAGGTGACATGTCCTATATTACTACAGTACAAGTAGAGAGTACTTGTAGTTGGATATGATTATGGCACTGTGTTATAAAAACGCCACTCTCGGGGACAGCAACCTTCAGAGGCTTGCTTTTGGGCGTTGAGAATGGACTTTCACGGACATTGTCTGCAGCGCCAAGTGGCTCCGTTTTCTTATCTTGCAGTTGATTGCACGAGGGTTTCATCAAAAAACCACGGCACGCAAAGTTCAGCCGCCTGCTTGACTTGACGAGAGGTAACCTGGTGAAAGGCGCTTGTAGAAAGCGGCTGAAACTGCCCACCCGAGCCGTCCAACCGAGCCACTACTTTGGCTGAAAACGAAATTGACTCGCAGTGCGACGTAAAAACTGGAGTATGGTGCTGAAACAGAACTCATCCACAACCAAAACGATCACAATTGCTCGCCTACTTGTACTGGTACGTTCCCTATCTTTTTCCTCTCGTAATGTGACCGTTTTGGGATTTAGTTTACACCAGGGCCAAAAGTTTGATAAGGAATGAGAGCGAATCTCAAAGGTGACGTAGATGTTGGAGCCTCGAAGCCGTGGTCCCTGCAACCCTCTACTTGATTTGCAAAACTTTTTCTGTTTCTAATACGTAAAAAGTTTGGAATGTCTCCTTATTTCAAATCTTGTGTGCTCGCCGACGAACAAGTCGTCTTTGGATCAATAATGGATGTGACACTGTCTAGTTTTTCCGCCCCGGCTCACTAGTGCTCCGTCTGTTAGTATTCATAATCCGGGTCATCATACGCTATAATACACTAGTTGAGTTTTTTCATCCGCTATTATAGCTCCTCAGACGGGAACTAGCCGGGAGCGGAACGTTCTTCATGTCCCCGGAAACGAAAACTTTGGACATGGTAGAATTACAGTGGGTGGCGCTACATTCTAAGGAGGGGAGGTAATAGTAAACAGACTGGGTGTGATATGTCCGTCTGGTTTTCGGACTAGCCTCTGCGTCATCTCTCATGGCGCAAAGTGCTACTTGTAGTGTAATGCAGAGGGCTTTTTCGGCGGAGTTCACGTATTCACGTACAGTTGTATTCACCGCAGCCAAGACGGGCTAGTCAAACAGCCTTTAACAACGGCTAAGCTCAAAAGTCCTCGAAGGATGGGTGCAGTCATTGCAGCCCCTGTGTGCAGAAGACGGCTTCTACTCGGGGAGAAGAGAGGTGTAGAGTGGTGTAGATCGTGCCGTGCCAGTCAGCTTGATGACAATGATAATGACCTTCTACCCCACAGGCGGGATTCCGTGTCTGTCTAAAGCCTACCGTGAAGCGGCTAACAAGGCCGCAGAGGCTAATATCGAGTGTCTTTTGGGCTATGGTGAAAAACTAATCCCTGGGCTGCTGTTTGCGACGAACGGCACCTCACGTGAGTTTACACATGATGCTGTCTCATGTGTCGGGATAAGCGCCCCGATGCCGATGGGGGGAAAGCTCTTTGTGAGTAAAGCTTGTAATGCATGGGCCCGGTGCCGTTCAGTACGCATCGAAACGCCCGTAGGTTCATAGCTCCGCGGTTTCGACAAGGCTGGCTTCACTTTAGGCGATAGTTTAACTGGCTCGAAGTCTGAGCTTGCAGCCCTGGCGTAGGTGGAGTGCATGGCTGAGAGAGAAATATACACCTTGTCTGCGCTTGTGATACGTAAAAAATGTATGACCTTATCAGTCGTGTGGAGAGGAGGGTGGGTAGTTGTGCAAGACCCGGATTGGGCGACATTCATTCTTTTTGACCTCGATTCCTTAGCCCAACGGCTGCTGTGGTTCATCTGACAAATGGCTTGGCAGGGTCCGCGTTAATCCGCTTCGGCCAGCACTGTGCAGGACATTTTTCTTGTGTCTGGAATCATTTTCATTGTTTGGTGGTGGAGCATGAACTCTATCAAAAACGATGGTTTGGTATCAGAGTTGCGTTACACTGATTGGCTTACTCTCGAGGTATGGGGATAGAGAATGATACAGCCCTACGAGATGGCGACAAGATATCAGCATGTTTATTTACATGGGGACCACTTCAACAAACGGCACAAGACCAGATTCGCGTTCGCAATCCTCAATTACAATCTCTTGGCGCTTCGCAAAACGTCAGCCAAGTGGCATGGCACTGCAATCTGACTCATTGACAAGACAGACGCGCTCGCTTTTTTGAAGTCTATCAGACATCCCACCAGGCACGGCACCATCGGAAGTAGAGTTTGATGGACTCACGCGAGAGACTCCGCGATAATGGACAGATATATATGGTAATGGGGTTCTCTTGGGCTGGTTTAGTAGAGCTCTCTCTAATACTTCTCTCTCTCACTCACACACTATGGGTTACGACGAACCCCCTATCGACTACTACGAGTCGGCAGCAGAACATCACGTCCAGAACGATGTTGCTTCTGGGAGCATGGAAAATATCTCCGACGAAGTTGTTTACACAACCGAGCCTCCTCAGACCACTGATGAGAAGAAGGACCAAACCGACTACGATGCCAGTATCGCAGAGGTATCCATGACCACCGTTGAGTGGGTTGCTCAGCAACTGCTCATCCCTCCCTCCGAGCTCGATGGATCCTACCCTGAAGATGTCCATTACATGGCTCGAAAGGTTGAGGAAATGTCCAATGTTACTGCCGCCAGTATCATCAGAGCCAACATTGACTACCACATGAACGACAAGAACTTGCCTGCTGGCATGATGGACGAGTGCCGTGACCTTCTGGAGGAATACACACATGGACCTGAGGGCGAGAAGGAGGACGAGATGGTCGGAGACTATGCCGGTGATGACTTCCAGCCAGAGAACTCTCTCATGATGCGATACTACGCCGCTCTGTTCCACGACTGGTCTCCTTATCCCCAGGTTCGATCTGTCACCACCCCCATTCCTGCAGACCCCAATGAGCATGTCGAGACCATTCGATGCTACATTGTCGGAACCATCTGGGTTGCTATTTCTGCTTTCGTCAACCAATTCTTCTACCCCCGTCAGCCCGCTATTTCTCTAACCACACCCGTGCTGCAGCTCTTCCTCTACCCCTCTGGTGTGCTTCTGCAGTACATTCTGCCAAAGTGGGGATTCAAGCTCTGGGGTATCGATTTCGCCCTCAACCCCGGCCCTTGGTCCGCCCGAGAGCAGCTCATGGCAACCCTCATGTGTTCCGTGGCTGCCGTGCCCCCTTACATTAACTCCAACATCATTGTCCAGTACTTGCCCATGTTCTACGACCAGTCTTGGGCCCTCGGATTCGGATACATGTTCCTATTCATGCTGGTCACCCAGTACATGGGTTTTGGCCTTGCTGGTCTTCTGCGACGAGTGGCTGTCTACCCCACCCGAGCTTTCTGGCCTACTTCCCTGCCGACCCTTGCTGTTAACAAGGCTCTTTTGGACGGTCACCGAAAGGAAACTGTTAGCGGATGGAAGATCACTGAGTACCAGGCTTTTATGATGTTTGGATTTGGTGCCTTCCTCTACTTCTGGGTTCCCAACTACCTGTTCACAGCCCTCTCCACTTTCAACTGGATGTCCTGGATTGCCCCCAACAACATCAATTTGGCAACTGTCACCGGTAGTGTCACTGGAATGGGCTTCAACCCCATCGCCACCTTTGACTGGTCCGTGATCACCGCTCTTGTCCAGCCTGTGTACATGCCTCTCTACACCATTGTCACCCAGTACGTTGGTTTCGTGCTTAGTGGTCTATGTATTCTTGGTGTATGGTACTCCAACTACTACAACACCGCCTACCTTCCAATCAACTCTAACGACCTGTTTGACAACACTGGCCAGCCTTTTGAGGTCGCCAAGGTTCTCACTAACTCCCAGCTGGATGAGGATAAGTACCACAACTACTCCCCGCCTTACTACACTGCTGCAAACCTGGTTCTTTACGGTATCTTCTTCGCAATCTACCCCATGTCATTCTTCTACTACGTTGCCAACGAGTGGTCTGTTTGCAAGCAGTCCGTCAAGGATATCTGGCTGTCTATCCGATACCTGAACAGATCCAACTACGAGGGTCGAGATGATCCTTTCTCTCGACAGATGGCTCAGTACAAGGAGGTGCCAGATTGGTGGTACTATGCCATCCTTATCGTCATGTTTGGTCTTACCGTTGCCTTCGTTGAGCACTGGGAAGTCCAGACTCCCGTGTGGTCCATTGTTCTGATTCTCTGTGTAACCCTGGTTTTCCTGTTCCCCTTCACCATTGTCATGTCTGCCACTGGTGCCCAGCTTACCCTCAACGTTATTTTGGAGCTCATTATGGGTTACACCATTGCTGGTCGACCCATTGGTATCAATGTCGCCAAGGCCTTTGCCGTTCAGATTCAGGCACAGGCTCAGAACCTGTCTTCTGACCAGAAGATTGGCCACTACATGGCCCTTCGACCTCGATCCATGCTGCGGGTTCAGCTGTGGGCTACCATGGTCAATGGACTTGTCACCATCGGTGTCATCCAATTCCAGCTGACCAAGATTGAACACTTCTGTGACATCAAGTACCAGAAGGAGCACGAGAAGTTCACCTGTCCCAACGAGCGAACGTTCTTCACTGCCTCTGTTATTTGGGGTCTTTTCGGACCCAAGCGAATGTTCGACAACCAGTACCCCGTTCTTCGATGGGCTTTCCTCATGGGTTTTGGCGTCTTCCTGCTCTTCTGGGGTGTCCAGACGGTCCTTCCCTGGGCGCTAGTCAAGAAGTATCCCCAGAAGGAGCGAAAGATTCGAAAGTGGCAGGATCGACTTATGATGGTCAACCCTGTTCTCGTCGCGTTTGGTGGTCTGTCTTGGGCTCCTTACAACTTGTCCTACATGACTGGTGGTCTTTACATTGCCGTCCTGTTCTCTTACTACCTCCGAAAATACTACACTGCGTGGTGGAAGAAGTACACCTACGTTATCAATGCTGCCCTCACCACTGGTACCGCACTCTCTGGTATCATCATCTTCTTCGCTGTGCAGTACACTAACAAGGATCTGAGCTGGTGGGGCAACAATGTTCCTTTCGCCGGTCAAGATGGTGCTGGACCCCCTCTGATGGACATCCCTGCCGACCCTGGTTACTTTGGCCCCCCTCCTTCTCATTATCCTTAAGTGGGTACTCGGAAGTATCGTTTTTGCATTTGTCTATTGGCTGTAAATATTTAATTAATATTGGTGATTTATTTGTTCAACTATTGTGTTCACTGCACTCCAATTACAATATCGGCGCGTAAAGTCCAAGTAGATGCGTGGAGTGGGTAAGTACTGTAGTCAATTGAAGAAGTAGCAGATGATACCAGCACAGAGAGCCCTTCTATCGTACGAAGTACTGTACATTATTCGAACTATGCTGCATCAGAGTATTCGAGCGTTACTCACTCCAAGGATGTAAATGGGCACATTAAATGAGGAATTGATATTTGAGGACAGTTGAAGATACCAATGCAGTTACGTATGTTGCAAATTTAGTTCTCCGATCATGTTTCGGAACACGTAGAAAATGCTTCATTTTTTGCTTCTGAGGAAAACACATTTCAGCTACATTGAACAGAAAAAGCTACATCGAACAGAAAAACTCGCGGGGTTTGTTGTTTTTATATTCTACTTGTAGGGAAATACATTTCAGCTACTTGAGGCCTATAAACAATGTTATACCCGCAAATCAGATTCGGATTCGGTTGTTCTTTTTTTCCTTTTTTATGCTAATGATTCATTACAGCTCTTTTTTTATTCTAGTGGTTCATTACAGCTATATACTGTACCTAGTAAGCCGGGTTATTGGCGTTCAATAAATCATACACTTCTGAATCTTTGCGGTGTGCGCTGCGAGGCGCTGTCAGTTGGTTTGTCGACGCTTCGTCTAGTTGATGTCATTGTCGTGGTCTCGTGGTAATGAATCATGGCCAACAGATCAAGAAATCATATCAATCGTTTCATGTCTTATCCAGACTCGAGGTCGGTTTAGTTTGTTCTCATAAAAGATCGTAGACGGTGTAATTCGGATAGGGATCATGAATATGATTCGTGTGTGTCATGTTTGAGTCTTTGTGCCATCGGGGAGTTGAAGTTGGGGTAGCTCGGTGTTTGGTTTTTTTTTTTTTTTTTTTTTTTTTCATTTTTTTTTCAGATCTTTCATCTATTTCAGAACTGTCTGTCAACAGTTTCAATCTCAAAAAAACCGGACTTCGTGGCCAAGTTGGTTAAGGCGTACGACTGTTAGTCACCTAAATGGCCGCCATCGTAAGATCGAGAGTTCGACCCTCTCCGAGGTCGTCCGATTTTTTTTCATTTCATGCTTGTCAAACGAGTAGTTTAGGCTGGTATCGTGGTCATATATATTTTGACATCCTTTCATCGATTACTAGGTGTACTATCGTAGGTACAGTAGCTCATCAGAGGATAAGGAGTTGGAGCTACGTGCAAGCAACACATCACTATCAACCGCTGTCAATTACACGCTCACATTGATAAGTGACTGGGCATCGACTTACGAACAGGGAATTGATTGCTCTGGAAATCGAAAGTGGTTGCAAAACTGTGTTGCAGGTGTGCAAATCGGTCATCATTTATCTCCACGGCGTTCTGTTTGACTCTTGAAATCAGGAACAAGCAACAAGAGATACAGCAAGGCCATATCAATGGTACAAGCCCTTGCACTGCTCATTGGCAAACAAAGGGAATCAAGCGGGAGGGGGGAGGTCATAAACCCCTGACTGAGGACTCCTATGATCCCCTTATCGTGGCATGTGTTCAAGAATCAATATCCAAGGATGCTCTTTCCCAACCTTGAGGTTCTTGGCTCTTCACCAGTAAACCAGTGTCTCAGTATTAGCTTCAAAGAGATATTTACGGCTCCGTCCTCTACGGTACACCCACTTTTCAGCCTTACAGAGCCGCGGTGACGATCTCCTTCGGAGTGGGGGACAAGCAAAAGCGCGGGAGCTGTCCATCTACATCCGGAGGTTGAAGATCCAGACCCACCTGCCATCAGTATCAATTAACTCTATCCCATGAGAAACAATGGTCAGACCATTGACCAATATCACTTCCAAATATATCTTGCAGTACACTTTTTTGCTCAATTGTCTCTATTTTTTGTGAATTATTGATACACTGTAGCTATTCATAGTCTCTCTTCGTGAAGCAACCAGAGAGAAAACTAGACAGGGCGAGCGCTCTGTAAGATCAATTACATGGATTAATCCTTCATCTTCCACGCTTACATGTCCCAATTGACCAGCCTACGACATCATATGGTGGTACTCGTACTGTATTCGTACCGGCACCGGTACTTGTAAGTGCATAACAACAAAAGTCAACAATATCAAGGGAAAAAAGGACCGACCTGGCACAGTTGCCCCGTTACGAGCTGTAAACAAAAACCGTAAAAGTTGCTTCGTTCCCATATAGGGAGATCGACATTGGAAGCTTTCTTTTTCATTATTTGTCGATCCCTGTGCAAAAGGAGAAGAACGCAAACGGAACAACCTTCCAATGTTGGCGTTTTGGAGACTTGCTAGGGGGTATGTAGTGATTACTAGTAGTTTTTGTAAAGAAATGTTTTTGTTAAATATCTAAGAAAATTTATTCACTATGAAAACCCAGGTTAATAAAGGGGTATTGAATAATATTAAATGTATACTGCTTTCTACTTCATAATTTAGAAAAGAGCAAGGATACCAGCAGCGGCAAGGATAGCGGCGGAGATACCGTTGGAGGCAGCGCCGTTAGCCTGGGCAGGGCCGGAAGAGGGAGCCTGGGGAGCCTGCTCGGGGGTGGAAGGCTGAGCCTGGGGAACCTCGGGCTTGCCAGCGGGAGGAGCAGAAGCCTCGGGCTTGGGGGCAGGGGCGGGAGGAGCAGAAGACTCAGGAGCAGGAGCAGGAGCGGGGGCAGGGGCGGGGGCGGGGGTAGACTCGGGCTTGACGGCGGGAGACTCAGGAGCAGGAGCAGGAGCGGGAGGAGCAGAAGACTCGGGCTTGGGAGCGGGAGCAGGGGCAGACTCCTCAGGCTTGGGAGCAGGAGCAGGGGCAGAAGTCTCGGGCTTGGGAGCGGGAGCAGGAGCAGAAGACTCGGGCTTGGGAGCGGGAGCAGGAGCAGAAGACTCGGGCTTGGGAGCGGGAGCAGGAGCAGAAGACTCGGGCTTGGGAGCGGGAGCAGGAGCAGAAGACTCGGGCTTGGGAGCGGGAGCAGGAGCAGAAGACTCGGGCTTGGGAGCGGGAGCAGGAGCAGAAGAGGGAGCAGGAGCGGGGGTAGGCTCGGGCTTGCCGGCGGGGGACTCAGGAGCAGGGGCAGGAGCGGGGGGAGCAGAAGACTCGGGCTTGGGAGCAGGGGCAGAAGTCTCGGGGACGGGAGCCTCAGTGGTAGTATCGCAAGGAACGGTAACAGTCTTGGTAACTCCCTCGATCACAGTGACCTTGGTAGTGAGAGAAACTCCCTCGGGGTACTCGGAGGTAGGCTTGGGCTTGGGGGCCTCGGTAGAGTGGTGCTTGCACTCCTCACACTCCTCAGTGAGAGTGACAGTCTTGCCCTCAACAACGGTGACCTTGGTGGTAACGGGGGCAGAAGTAGCCTCGGGGGCCTCGGTGGGGGCCTCAGTGGAGCAGGGCTCAGTGATGGTGACAGTCTTACCCTCAATGACGGTGGTCTTGGTGGTGAGAGAAGGAGCAGCAGTAGAAGAGTGCTTGCAAGTCTCACACTCCTCAGTGACAGTCTGGGTGGTGTTCTGGACGGGAGCCTCGGAGGTAGGGACAGCCTCAACGGAGGTGGTAGGAACCTCGGAGGTAGTAGGGACCTCAGTAGAGCAAGGCTCAGTGACAGTCACGATGACAGTCTTGTTGCCGCCGTGCTCGCACTCGTGGCAAGGAACGGTAGAGGTCAGAGTCTTGGTAGTCCAAGAAGCAACGGAAGAGGAAGAAACAGTTCCGTTGGTGGGGACAGGGGAAGTAGCAGCCTCAGTGGTAGAGGGAGCGACAGAAGACTCGGTGGCGTTGGTGGGAGCAACGGGAGCGGAGGTGGGGACGGCAGAAGACTCCTCGGGCTTGGAAGAAGCGGGGGCAGAGGAGGCAGGGGTAGAGGAGGCAGGGGTAGAGGAGGCAGGGGTAGAGGAGGCAGGGGTGGAAGAAGGAGCGGGCTCAGTGGTGGCACCCTCGGTAGGGCAGACGGGGATGATGGGAGTGGGGGTGGCAGTGGGGGTGGCGACAGCCTTGCAAGCCTCAACGTACTGGAGGAGCTGCTTGTCGACGTTGAAGTAAGGCCACATGTTGTACTGCTGGACACAAGAAGTGCACTGGTCAACAGCAGACTGGGTGGACTTGATCTTGTCACAGATGCACTTGGCATCCTGGCCACAGGAGTTGATGTCAGCAACAACGGTGTTACAGGTCTTCTTGCAGGTGAGCTTGCCGATCAGGTTGAATCGCTTGTTAAGCATGTTATCAAGAGAAGCGGGGTGAGAAGGCTCGGGGGTACAAGTGGGAGGAGGAACCTCACACTCGGGAAGAGAGCTGGTAACATCGGGGGGAGTGGTGGTGACAACAACGGGAGGGGGAGCGACAGAAGAGGTGGCCTGGGGGTGGCACTTCTTAATGACGTCGTCGATCTCCTGCATGCCGTACTGGGGGTAAGCCTGAGCACAAGACAGACACTTCTGGGTCCAGGCGAAGCCATCAAGGAACTGACACTCGCAGGACTGGAGACCCTGGCAGGTCTGCAGACCGAAAGAGAGCTTGAAGCACTTGGTGGAGCAGAAGACCTGGGACAGGAGGGCCAGAGATCGCTTCTCCTGAGCGCCGGCGGGGGCGATACAGGTCTCCTCAGGCTGGGGGGCAGGGGCAGCCGAAGAAGCGGGAGGAGCGGGAGAAGAAGCAGGGGGGGCGGGAGCCTGGGTGCTGGGAGCGGGAGCAGGGGGAGCAGGGGTAGGAGTGCTGGACTGCGAGAACCAGAAAGTGTTAGGGTCAACTCCGCCGGGGTTAGGCTTGGGAGCGGGAGCGGCAGGAGGGTTGGAAGGAGCGGGGGCTCCGGGAGTAGAGGGCTGGGAGAACCAGAAAGTGTTGGGGTCGGGTCCCTTTCCGAGGATAGGGTCGGCGACAGCAACGCTGACTGCAGCAGCGAGAAGAGTGGCAGAGAACTTCATTGTGTCTTAATAGGGTCTCTCGACTTTTGAAAGGGTATTAAGCGAGTGTGGTAGTCGAAATGAACACAAGTGAATCTGTTGGAGTTGTAAGAAGGAGGACGGGTAGGGTATTTATGGACTGCCAAGGTTCGTACAGAGTGTATTTTGGGTCTCAGACGCGAGCACTGTTTTTCGCTGAGCTGGTCGTCATCCTTTAGGCGCAATGGCGATCACAGTGTCGATCTTTTGCATGATTTGCATTCCGGTATGATGATCGGCATAGGGACTGGGCCTGGGAGGCGGGGAGAGCTTATGGTCATCACTTTGGGGGGTAACACAATAATATCATGGTGACAATTGGTATGATTTGTTTTAGCGGCTGGTTGTGCTGGTCGGTGCAAGTCGTCTTGGCGCCGTTGTGTACCTGACAGGGTGGTGTGTGTCCATGGCACTAAAAGTAGGGGCTATTAACTTTATGCAGGGCCAAATATTACTGTAGGGGGTTCTTACACAGCACAGAACAGCCCAGAACACGTCCTCTCGCTACGATTGTATTGGGACCAATGTCATAGATTGGATTAGGGGGCTACATGTCGCGTTGGTGTGCTTGGACCCTGCTGTGGGTGTTTCTGTGGGGTGCTTTTGTTTCATTCCCACGCAACGGTCTGTTATAGGTGTGGGGGGGTCAACAAAATGAGCATTTGTTTATCGGTGCTTGCGTAATACAGTGGCTCGCTCTTTTCTCTCTATTTATTTGTGTCCATCCTCTTTGGCACTTGCACACACCTCTCTGTTTTGTCTTGTCTTTACCCTCCGCACAAGCATGATGATGATCCGTAGATCCTTCTATTTTAACCAAAACCTAAGCCAGGGCGGAGGAGAGGTGAGACCAACTTTAGTTGATACACGACCACGCGTTTTCCCCGGCTGCTGAAAGTTAGAGCAGGGGTGACCCCCAGCAGGGCGTGAAAAAATAAATAAAAAAAATGCCGTTAGACCTTGTCAACAAAGTAGCCAGAGAAGGTCAATGGGTAGTCAATGCCCTCAATCGATATGAAAACCTGCCACGCAGGTTTAAGATGTGCGCCAAGAGCTAGCCCTCCTGAAAAACTTGCTGATCGAAACCTGTGTGCATCAGACAGCTGGTCTGTCGGTCAGTGAGAACCCATCCCTCCGTTTGTGAGGGTTTTGCTTGTTGCGACGATCTTCATTTTTGCTTGTTAGCGTCAGCCGCCTTACACGAACACGTCTTTGGTGATCGACACTGTTGTACCCAAACTCAGTGAGCTGTCCGTTTCTGGCCTGCGAGAGAAAAGAGAGGGAGAGAAAAAAGACGGAAAAACGAAGTCCCCAAAATAACATCCACGCAACACGTTAACGAGATGCAGGGATCGATGACTGGCCTGAACTAAACATGATGCTGTGGCTGGTTAAAGTCCCATGCTGAATGTTGAGGATCAATGGGTTACTGGAGTGTTGTATGGTTGTTGCTACGGTTTTTGGGCCGTAACATCTGGTCCATAGATTAATCGTATAGTCCATCGTACTATCAATTAGCACCCCTTGTCCTGGAGGTGGTGATCTTCACAACAATCACGCTAATCAGCAATGTCGATCCCAAGCAGCGTGTTTGGTTGGAAGAGTTAGTGATCTGCGGAGAAAGCGAACCATTACAAAAAGAAATTCCAAATAGGGAACCCAAAACGCCTGTTTGTTGCTCGGCAGTGTGCGACGTGGTGAAGGGAGTGCAAGGCACGGGCAGGGGAAAGAGAAAAACAACAGTGGAACTTTCAGGCACAGCAGGGGGGTGTTCCTGGAATGACAACGGCAGTGGAGCACTACCGGTGCACGAGAACGGGGATCACCATCGATATCAACTTCGATATTGATAGCGGTTGTGCAGATGGCCCCTGATGATTCCACCGATTAGATGGCTATACATGAGAACTTCATAGCTAATGACATGTGAAGATAATAGGACAGCACCAGGACCCTCTTCATCTTTGTTGCTCGGTACTTGTACATACTAGGTTCTTTTGGGTTGTTGTTTTTCACGCCGTCGTAGTCACTCCGCTTGAGATAAGTGCCTCGTCTTGTCGGCTAGCCCTTGCCCCGATCGAATTGGGCCGAGTTGATCCGTTATATCCGGTAACTTCTTCCAAATTTAGTTATGTTTGTTGATTTGGGGGTGTATGGAAAATCGAAGAGGGTGGTTCTTGTAGCCATGTACCAAGGCATGGAAGCGTCATTGTGCAGTCCTTGAGGGATTAGCGAAACTCAAACGCACAACGACGGGCCCTGCAGTTGTTTGTCTGGCCAATATGGATTTCTTTTTCTGGTTAGTGGGCCCGGCGAGGTCGGTCGATATCACAGCAATTCAACTAATTGCCAACATTGTTTCCCAAATATAGAACAACTGCTTGCCCAGAGATTGGCAACCAGACAAGGGTAAGCCAAATGACCTGATCGAACACAACAGCGCTGGCACACCGAGGGCCGTACACACATAGCCATGTGATCCACATACAGGCGACAATCAAACGGACTATCCATGGAGCTATCAGTTCACCCGTGCCACAATTTGCACTGTACACCGTCGCCAGTGCTGGTTACCAACTCGATGATGTTCAACTGCGGACAGACTGATCTGCCCCAGCCCTCCTGAAAGACATTGGACGATCACTGTACCGGTCGGAGTGGGACGACCCATAGTGTCAATCATAATTGATGCCCCCCAAAGCAGTATGACCACTGTCTAGAACGTGTGAAACCAGACACCCGGGTGACATGGTACAGTTTCCCGACTTGACTTAATCTAGGTGGTTCATTGCCTCCAATATCGCCACGAGAGTTCTTATCCAATGCACCGCCTTAACAGGTCATCTCTCTGCTGCATCGCACGAGTACTCGTACAATTGCTGCAGCGGAAGACGCAGGTGCTCATCTTGGGATACAGCTGACAATGCCAGTGATACAGGAGGCTGGCTGGACCATCCTCTTTTTGGTCCACGACAAAAGGGCGTGGAAAGTATTTGTCTAGATGCTAATGTAGGTTGAAACCTGTCCCAGTTCATGGCAAGGTGTAACGAGGAGTAGCGTGTGTCGTACAGTATATGTGCAAACAAACCTCTGACATCGTAGTCAAACCACATGGAGTAATTGATGCTTGCTCGGAGTTGCTTGCAGGTACTGCTATGTGTCACTCGCACAAGTATACGCAGTACCTGTACTCGTATGTACTGTAGCAATAGGGAAAGATCACTTTGTACAATGTTACCAACCCCACTCTCCGTGCGAGTATAAAAGCAATCAAGAAGATCAGATAGGATACCCATGCGCAAATCTCTCCCTTTTAGTAAGTGCCCAATTGTGTCTCATCCAACGTATCCCCCAGGCTAATTAGATCACAAAGGTAACTGCTCCATTTACAAGTATCGGTTAGTTTGAGAACTCATTTATACGAGAAGTTTGATATCCAATATCATGTCTCACAGTAACGATTACTCTTTTGTATCTTTCTTAGTTACTACGCTGTTTCCAGGAATAGAATCAAAATTGGGCATTAACAATGTACGACAACTCCCTAATTATAGACAGGCCAATAGCCGTCTGAATTACAACAGCTCTACCCGGCCAAACCACTGTACTAGCAGCTCTACGTGCCTAGCCCAACACGGCGCACCATCTGCAAGGTTTTATCTAACGTACAAGTGACATTTAGTTTCAGGAACAATCATGACTATCAGCTTCTGCTACTGTACTCACACTCGTACTCGTGGCCAAGCCTTTAGCCAAGGTCTTCCGCAACCCATTCTCATTATGGTAACCTGTTTGGGGGATCGTCCACGACCTTAAGCGAAGATCCCGTCCATCACGACTTTCTTGAACTTTGAGTTACGTTGGGGGTCATATTTCTTACATCGAAGTCACCGAGTGTAACTATCCTCCCAACTTTTTCTCTACCAGTCAAAACAATATTGTCTTGGAGTAATTCCCACATTCTCCATTGGGCTATATTTCTACAACAGACAGTTTAGCGCGATACCTCTTGCGTATTATATGCAGGCTTTTCGTTTGTCTTGTCCCAAGATTTCCGAGTGCACGGAACCCTAATATTGCTTATTTTAGAGGGCCCAGAGGTGAAAAAAACTAAATCGAAAAACGAACCCAACCCAGAGAAAGGGGGTTAGGGTGCCCACCTCTCGTCCACAAGTCATGTGATCATCGTCGAGAAAGTGGGTCGGACACTCCGAAGGCTGGTTGTTGTTGCCGCAGTTACCAGCGTCGTAGTTACGGTTTGCTCCAAAGTTCGTACACACATAGTTGAGCACACTGTAGAAACGTTACGTAACGCGACACAGCTCACATTCACGTCTAAGCCTCCATTCCACGAGAAACGTACATACACGGGGGCCTGACTAATGTCCATCCATGATGTGATGTTACGCTGAAGTGACCGACAGCGTGAGAAATGTGCCTTGCAAAGAATCGATCGTACTGTAGCAATCATCCACCAGATACAGGTTAAAAGTTTTCACAGTTACTTACTGTACTGAACAGTAGTGACAGCCCACTCAAATACCGCAACGACAAATAGCGTCGTGGAGGGTGGAAAGAGTGATAAATTATCGCTGATAAAATCGCTTGCCTTAAGACCCATGCTCGCTCTCCTACGACTACGCCTACTCTACCGGCGGTCTCATTGCTGTCTGCCAACTGTAGCCGATACAATGTGCAGTGTTCTCGGCACGATTTTGTAGGAGGCATAATTACCGGTTGAACTAAAAAAGTCAATTTTTTTGACCGAGGCAAACAAACGCTGCCACCGAGAGAGAATCTTTGTTGACTACAATGTAGAAAAAAAAAAAAAAAAATGGCTGTGCAGAATGCAGCCACATCATAGCGGCGAGTGTTGAAAATAGAAGGCTTCCGAACCGCATCCGCATTACGTAATTGGTCCGGTGTAACGTCTTGGTTATGGAGGCTTAGCAATGTGCTATGATATGTAAGGCACAAGTCCTATTGTTACGTAGTGCAAGCCGACAAGCCGATTTGAGGGTATACCTCAGATTATGAGCAATAAAGTGAGAATACCGACACATACACAGGGAGTTCTACCCACTAGTCATCAATGCAATCGCTGCCTTACGAAGAGTGTATTCGTACAGTGTTCTCGTCTAGGCTCAATGAGTGAGTGCTCGGTCAAGTTTCGGCAGAGAAGTACTCAATGCATATTTCGTTGCATGGACCAAGAAGTACTGTGCCGAAGACGAGACAACGTACTAACGGTATCAATCATAGGCTGAACTAAAGGATGCTAAATTAGTCCCTCCGTCCATTAGTCAGTTGCCGGGTGTTCGTTAGCGCGGTTAGTAAGGGGATGTAGCGTAGGATAGCTGGGTCAGAGGAAACAGTAAATGTACTATGATAGGGCTGTGAGGTTTTCAGGAGACAAAAACGGCCCATTCTTCTGTCATAATCACCTCGCTCACTCCAGCCAAAGTACGGTTGTACTTGCTCGGGTCGGCAGTTATACTTTGGCTAACATCGCCAAGAGGGAAAAACGCAGAAAAGCGGAAAAAAAATTAAATCGTGATTTTGCACCCTCGAAAACCACAGCCAACCATTCTAAACGTTTCAGAAGCGCCGAAATAACGCCCTTTTCACGCGTCCCGCACCCTTCCACCCTCCCACAAAAACACCCGTGTCATGTCTGCTGCATCTACTGGAGCTAGCGCCACCAAGAGTGCGCCTGTTAGCAGAACCGCCCAGGGCACTCAGTCTACACCTGCTTCTCTCAAGAGCGAAACCAAGACTACCGAAACCAATTCTAACATCACCGACACCAACGGCGAAGACCTGTTGGCGTTCTGGCATAATGGCCGGTTTGGCGCCTTCTTCAAGAAACACGAAATCCCCAGAAAGTTCCTCCACACCTCCATCGGCTTCATCACCCTATGGCTGTACACCCAAGGCATCAACCTGAACCAGGTCACTCCCGTTCTCGTGGTGATGGCATTGTTCATCGGCACCTTTGACTTCCTGCGTCTCAGAAACAAGGCCCTCAACAAGGCCTACTGCAAAGTCATGGGAGCTCTGATGCGAGAGTCCGAGATTAACGGCGTGAACGGAACCATCTGGTACCTGCTTGGCCTCATTCTGGTCTTCTCGTTCGCCTCTAAGGATGTTGCTCTTATGGCTGTTCTTCTGCTCTCCTGGGCTGATACCGCAGCCTCTTCCGTCGGCCGGGCTTATGGATACCTCACTCCGAAGTACAAGAACAAGTCGCTGGCTGGTTTTATGGGCGCCTTCATTGCCTCTGAGATCGCATGTCTCTTTCTATACGGCATCATCATCCCCAAGTACGGCGCTGAAGTCGACACGCCCGGCCAGATCACCTGGTCCAAGCAGTCTTCTCGACTTACTCTGGGAGTCTTGACAGCCATGTCTGGTCTCGTCGGAGCCGTTTCCGAGTCCATTGATGTGTTCGGAATCGACGACAACTTCACCATTCCCGTCCTCTCGGCGCTCTTCCTTACTGGTCTGCTGGACATCTTCAAGAAGTAAATTGGCTTTCACTCCCCGAACATCACAAAATCAACACAACAAGCGATAGAATGACGACAAGAAGAAGCTGACAAGAGTTGCGGAGGAATAGTAATAGTTTTTTGCATATAGACAAATAGATAGATAAATTTCTCTTATGACTAACCAGACTGAATGAGTTAGCATTGAGATACGTCCTATAAATTTCAAATTGTGCATATCGGAAGCCATCATATACATGGTTCATGTAAAGCATGGCAGATCGATCAGTCTATACAGTAACTGCAGTAATAGTAGGGTATGTACCCACGTTGCCGCTCAGATAGTACAATTTTCATTACATTGCTTGTTCTATATATATATACAAGCTCACCTTATGCCAGGCTCTTCAACACGAGCTGCTTCTGAATGTCGGCAACCCGATCACCCAGCGACAGAGCCAGACCCTGACCCTTGGACCGAATTCGGACGTGTCCAGAAATCTCCAGGTTGTCGTTGATCTCAATCGAGATGTTTGCAAGAGCCTCCTCACCAAACGAACTGATAGAGTACAGGTTAGCAGAAAGGAAGCCGCAGTCGTCCTCAAGATCAGTAGCATCCTCCTTGATGGCACCAGGAGTGAGACACTTCATGTTAGTGTTCTCAACAAAGTACCGAATGTACTTCTGAAGAGTAAGACCCTTTGCCATGAGGTTGACCTTGTTCTCCCATTCAAACTCGCTCCACATGCTTCGGAACTCAGTCTCGGAGCAGGTGGAAGGCTTGATGTAGTCCATAATATCAACATGCAGATCGTTGAGAATAACAACCTTGTTGTCCAGAGAAGACTGACCGTCGTAGACAATGTTACCGAAAATGACAGACGCATCAGCAGAAGACACCTTGATGGTGGTCTGTAGAGAGGCAAATCCATGGGGACCGAGGTTGAGACTCTGAGGCTGGTCAACAACCTTGAGGTCACCAAGCACAGAGAACTCCACTGTGAGGTTCCGGAGGGTGTCCTTGGTCTGGTTAACAAGCAGAATGTCGAGAATGATGTCAAACTGGTGCACGTTGATGACGGCCTCAGCGTAGATAGGGTCGGAGAATCCAGTGAGGGGCTGGACCTTGGCAAGAGAGGAAAGAGGCTTGGTAGAAACAACAGTGGTGTCGATAGTATCAAGAGCCTCGGGCTCCTCGTCGTCACCATCAGTCTTGACAAGCTGTCGAAAAGATAGGGAGTCATCGACTTGAACGGCGTTGTTTCGCTTGTCAGCAGCCTTCTTGTCGGCACGCTCCTTATCGAGCTTGCCAACAAGGGCTCGGAAGGCCTCCTTCGTGTCTTCTCTGTAGGCCTCCACAACGGCAGGCTCTCGGTCGCCCTGAGAGATCGCTCGAATACAAGACAGGATTCTGTCAGTAGAGTCCTCGTCGATAGAAACAGCAGAAAACTCGGACTGGCCAGCTCGCAGAATAGAGGTCAGGAACAGCATGGCCTCGGCCTTGAGAGCGTTGACCCGAGCAGGCTTTTTGGTGATGGCAGCGTATCGGAACACCAACTTGGCGAGAGTGGATCCAAGAACGCCGGCAACAAAGTAGTTGCCATCCTTGAGGATGATAGACCGCAGAGGTTGGCCCTCAAACTCGTCAACCTCGGCCTTGACAGTGGTGGTCAGGGCAGATTCGGTGGCGTAAGTACCGTCAGCAAGAACCTTTCGGGAAGGCTTGTGGGTGGCAGTCTCGCCAACATCGGGCTCCTCCTCGGCACCATTGGTCTCACCGTCTCTCTTTCGTCGCTCAGAAGCAACAATGGGAACCTCTCCAAGAGAATTTCGAATGTGCTGCCATGCCTCCTGGATGTCTGCTTCCTCGAGACAGTACTCTCCAATGACCCAGAGAGCAGATCGGTAGACAGTGGCTCGTCGAACAGAAGACAGAGTGGTCAACAGTCGTCGGACGATAGTAGATCGTAGGTTGGGGAACCGCTCGACAACCTCTCGTACAAAGATGATGACATCGTTGGCAGAAGAGGAGTTGAAGTCGGCCACAAAGTCTAGCAGCAGATCAGCAACCTGGGCAGCCACCTGGGGGAACTTGATGGAGCAGTTGTGGATGGCTCGGATAAGAACCTGTCTGTACTCGGCGTTTCGCTCGTACTCCTGGGAGACGGTGGCCTGGAGCTCCTTCTTGAAGAGCTTAATAACCTCGTCAATGTTTGTAGAGGACACCATGTCTAGGGCAATGTCGATGGCCTTGGATCGCACATCCAGATCGGCAGACGACAGAATCAGCAGAATGGACATGGACAGCTCGTTGAGAATTCCTGGGTTTCGTCGATGCAGGGTATCAACTCGGTCCAGAACAATGAGCTTGACGTTGTTGTCAGACTCGTGGATGGCGAGATCCACCAGCTCCTGGGCGGCAGCTCGCAGAGCAGTGGGGTTAGAGGTGAGGGCAGTCAGGGCCATGGCAGCCTCGTAAGTGACGGCGGGAGACGAGGCCTCGAGCATCTCAAGTACGATGGCAATGTAGGACTGCTTCAGCTCGGGAGTGACAATGGCGTCTCGTCGAATGAATTGGACAAACGCCAGCTGGATGAGCTCGTCGAGGGAACCGATGGAGGGCAGCTGTTTCTGCAGGTAGGCAAACGCCCAGTCTCGGTTGATGTTGGCAAGCGACACAAACGCGTTTCGCTTACATGTGGCGTCGGTCTCAGCGTCCAGGAAGGTGGAGATCAGCTCGTCGCAGTCGGGGACAAGGGTCTCGGAGATCTCTCGAATGGAGGCGATGGCGAAAACGGCGTTCTTTCGCACGTAGGAGTGTCGGTGCTCCATGTTGGACCGCACAGAGGGAATCAAAGACTCCAGCAGCTCGGGCTCCTTGAGCTTGCACAGGAATCGCAGGGTCTCTCCTCGAATGTACTCGTTAGGGTGCTGCAGGTCGTTTCGGATGGCGTTACACACGAGAATCATCTCCTGTTTGAGCTTTCCATCGGGCTGGAGCTTGGGGCAGATCTCCCAGTAAAAGTGCAGCAGCTTCTTGAGCTGCTTGTTCTTCGAGGGCATGACGAATCGGATGATTTGCATCAGAAGCTGGGGCATGGGGTCGCCGTTGAGCATGGCGACCAGGATTTGCCGCATGGCATCGACCTTGTCTTCATCCCGTCCCTTCTCAAGCAGGTTCTGGAAGTCTCGGACCGAGAGCTTCTCAGTCGAGGGCTGTGTTAGTGGTGTCTTGTGAGGTGTTGGGGGCGTGTAATTTTTGAAAGACACGTCGAGAAGAGACTTGTGGGGGCCACAAAACACCTCGGGCGGCTTTACTCACCTCGTAGACCAACGTGTACTGAGCTGAATCAGACATGGTAGTGGTTAGGTTACACGTAGTGTGTCTCGTCAATTGACTTTTGACATCGTGGCCATAGGCATGTGTTGTTACCCTACTTTGGGGTTCAATAGAGTGCGATCCGGCCAGTTGCGTATTTGATACTCTTAGAGAGCGTTAGAGAGGTGTCTAGAAAACGGGATGGCAGGCATTTTTTATTGCTATAAGGTCACGTTACAAACCGCGTCATTCTCAAGTAGAACCTCTACTAATGACGTAAATTCTGCTCAACTACATACGGTCCGTGCACCTCTTCACATCTTCCCACATGGCATATCTGCAGTGCGATTGCCGACATTGGAATAAGCCCAATAAGCCAAGTGAAGTAAATCGAGTCTCGCAGTTGACATTATTTCTTACAATTTCAACAACACACTTAGACACTACGTACTGTTCCCTACAGTGAGACATCTGGTAGTCTTCCCATATTCTATAGAGTTTAATGTACGTATTATGTTATTATAAAAAAAAATACATATTCTACTATGTACTGTAATTATAAAATATATAAATATATATAATCATGGAAAGATGGTTATGGTACTCAACACACAATCCATGCTCCTACAGTAATAGGAATATCATATTATCGATGACAATAGCTTGAACAAGTGCTACAGACTCGCTACAGTAGCTTCCAGAGTTGGTTGCCATCAGTGTGTTTACCATTTCATGTTCCAGTGAGGGGTGATGGAAAAGATGGAGTTTGGGGTCAAAGATGTCCAGGGCGTTTCAACATAGTTTGGAAAGGGATTTGACCCTTGAGATATAGCTACAATGTAGATACATCTCGAACTCTGCGTCAGGAACAATGTTCATCTTCACAGCATCCCAAATCACCTCTTGCTGCGTCACGTGCCGACCCCTACTTGTCGCTTGGCTGACGTCACACATGCAAAAGCCTATTATAGTGCTGGGACATGCAGTCGAAAATAGCACCTCCTAGACTGGTTAGACAGACAACAACTGTCACAAATCCAGCACCACACCACCACAATCACAATGTCTCACGGAGCTGGAGGGTACATCAATGGCGTGGTTTCCGACAACAAGACCCCGTCGCCGTCACAGCCTCCAGTTCATGTCCCCAAGCGAAAGCCGGTCCATCGAAAACCTGTGGGAGTGGACTCGAATTCCACCACTCCAAGTGCCAGCCCGAACCCTCAGACAGGCTCACCTCTGCTGGGACCTCCAATCATACCTTATGGAGCTGCGAGTGCCACGGGCACGCCGTCTGCTGCTCCGGGGACGCCTCCTGCAGCCGCCAAAAAGCAATACCGGTATTCTTCTCTGCTTGATCCAGAGCCGACCTCTCCGAAACCCGCGACCTCGGAACGCCGGGCCGTAAGCGAGGCCCGAAAAGTGCCTCCACTTCAAACGACATCTGCTGGCGGATTATCTGGAGCAATCAACTTTTCCAAACCCGTGTCACCGGCAAGCCAACATGCACAACAGGGCGTGGGGTTTGGTAGAGCACAGGCCTCACAGTCGTCTACGGCCCAACCACCGCCGTCGCTGCCACCAAAGGTCCCCGTAACATCAACCCACAACCCCTACTCGGGGACTCCGGAGCTGAAACAGGCGTCGTTTGGTTATCAGGCCAGTCAGTTTGCAAGCCCAGCTGCCGCTCCTTATGCTACTAACGGAACGTCACCAAAACAGCATGACTCGACCAGCCGCAACTACAGCGCTTCTTCTCGACCACCGGTGCCCAACACGTCTTATTCGACACCAGTAGCACCTTCGACACCTAAGAATAATGGACCTGGCGGAAATGTACCTGGGGGAAGTGCCCATGGAAGCACGTCCGCAAGCTCGCAACAGAGCCCTCCCTACCCAGTCCCCGCAAACACGTCGTCATACGGATCAGCATCGAATACGACACGACAACCCTCGGCCGCCTCGACCACAACCTCTTCCAACAAGTCTACCCTGCCATACCCAGTTCCTACTCCTGCTGCAACAAAACCCACGCCGCAAACTCCTCCCGTTCAGAGTGCGTACAAGTTTGATAGCCCTCAAGTCGAGGTCAAGCCCGTGGCCAAACCAGCAGTGTCTAAACCGGCTATGCCACCTATTCCCAAAACTACCATTAACACGTGCCCCCCTGCCATGCCTCCTGTTCCCAAGACCAACATTCAAAAGCCAATACCCACACCTGCACCAGTAGCTCCTGCTGTCACAAAGGCACCTGTACCAGCCCCTGCTTCTGCGCCCACTCCTGCTGCTGCACCCATCTACCAGCCGTCACACCATCTGCCTCCTCGGTCTCCTTCCCCGGACTCGGACTACCAGCACTCGCCTCCCCGACGAACGCTGCGAGTCGTGAACGACTTTTCTTCTTCTAGTGACGAAGATGAACCCACACCGGCAAAAGCTGCTCCCCCTGTGCCTACGGTCACCAAGACCCCCGCTGGACCTCGAGAGTACCCTCTGACGAACCGCATGTCTCACCTGGAGATCAATGATGGCAACCATCTGGACCCTTTTACACCAGCAGCGCCTCTGAGAATCCACAAGAAGAGCAATTCGTCGACTTCCAACCCGTCGTTCGACTTTGCAACCCGTGAGTCGTTTTACGCCACGCCTTCTGGCTCTACAGATGACATTTCCCAGGAGTACGTGACCAACGAGTCGTACCTTAATAGTCAGAGAGGAGGCGTTGATAACAACAACAGATCTATGAGTTCCATGTTTACCGGCAACCATAGCTACGACAGCGGGAGCAGTCATAGCACACGTCCCATGAGCGGAGAGGATCTGCTAGCGGGACATCATCTGCAACCTCAGTACACACACGAATCAGCGATTGATCCCTTTGATCCTTCGTTTGATCCTCACAACCCAGCATACGAGCCTAGAACTTCTTACGAGCATCCCGAACCTCCTTCACCCCAAACCCCTGCGATCCCTGAAGGGGTTGCTTTCGACGGATCTGCATTTGGAGGAGGAGCTGTCATTGGTGGTTCTGTTGCTCCCGTTCTCTTGGATCCCTCAATTAATATCCCAGATCCTACAGAGTATGGTGCTTTTGATGTGGGCGCTCCATTGGTACCTTCAGTCACCAATATGAGTACTGGAACCGCCACAAGCATGCCAGGATTACGGGGCGCACCGAGCATCATCTCGACCACTTCCCAGGTGTCTCAAAAGGGCAGAATTTCCAACTCCGACTATCCTGCTTTGGGTGTCGAGTCTCAGTATGTCCGTGCGTTGAGAAAACGAACAGCCTCAGCATGGTGTGAAGTGCCCTCCAAGGTCTGGGGTCTTCCCCTGGGTATCTCGGACAAGGCTGGAAAGAAGTTCAACAAGAACATGGACATGCGATATGCAGCTGGCCTCAAGAGGACCATGGACATTCGTCACTCCCACTTGAAGCCCAGGTTGCTGGCTTCGGAGGTTGACGATGACGACGGAAAGAGAAGCAGCAGTCACACGGACATGCCATCGTCCATGCATGCTCCCTCTATCCATTCCATGTCGCGATTCGATAACCGGTCCATCATCTCTCACGACGATGATGTTGACGGTAGAAGCAGTGTTTCTTTGGTTTCAGCACCTCAAGAAAGCACGCCACCTCCTGCAGTTCCAGCTTCACGAGGACGAGCCGCGTCTGATTCGTCTCAGGAGAGTGTCCAGGAGGTACGACGGATTCACCTATTTGTTGCCAATCCTGATAGCGACTGAAGTTGAAGCTAACGTAAGCGCATGCCCTCGGAAGTGTATATATTATATCAATGCATTAATTATCAACAGTAAAATGCAATTTATCCTATTGTGATAACATGAAATACTAGAATGATTCCTCTACGAGTACTCGCACTTGTAGACACCAATATCACGGGTGGGAATTGTTTAAAGGATGATGCCCAAGGAAGGCTGCATTGGAAACTGCCCAGAGCCCAATTGATGAAGTTTACCAACGTTTAGAGAGAAAATATTGTGTCTTGGCAGTAGCAATTGTCTGACCGTTGATATGTACTGCAACATTGAGTTGAGTTCTGAACTTCCAGGAGCGTGCCTCTACTGGAAGGAGCTACAATCTTGTATCCAGCTTAGCAAAACTGGTCCAGGCTCTGGAGATATGTTCAATGTTAGATAGTTGTAGTCTAACTAAGACACACATAGTGATTAAAATAGTTAGATGGAGAACAGAGTTACCGGAGAGCCGAGCCGGTACTGGCGGTTTCGAGGACAAAAACCCTGATATATCGGGTCACTTCGTCTATTTTCCACTATTGGGTTTGGCAAGGCTTATTGGACTCGGAATTACCTCCAACCACGTCTCTGCTGCGCTCCCATGCACTATTCGGACTCCGACCACTCATTTTGCCTTCATACTAATGCACTGTTCTAACGGTCTCATTACCTACTCGTACCTGTAAAGTCTTAGCTTGACTGTATAAACGCGGGATCCTTGAAGCATACTGTAACTGTTGTCGAATGGCGTTATATGTTCGTGCCCAGACGAACTGCCTTCGCTTTTAAAATGCTTGTATGTTTACTCTACTGTTGAGGATGGTATGGTGACTGTCCAAACTTCGGGGCTCCATGTAGACGTGAAGACGCTGTGAGTGGATTAGTAAGGATCATATGTAGTAGAAATACCCTTGAGAACCCTACTGATGCTGCCCACATTCAGTTGAACTACAGATGCAAAGAATTGTAACCACCAAGGTACATACTCCTTTTTTTTCTTCTTTCCCCATGCATGTCAGCTCAGGACTGAAAGTCAGATCAGGAACAACGATGGATTAGATAAAACGAATAGGAGAAAAAAACAAAATAATGTTTCAACTCTTTTTCATCAAGTTTATATAATGGAGATGGAACTCCTCGCTCGTCCCCAGAACCATTGCAGCGCGTCATATGAAGTGGATCGGTACATTCAAGAACTGCTTGGTCGGTGGAAGCCAGCAGCAAACCCACGATGCTGAAGAACGGGGATCCACATGCGGATCTAACTCTGTCAAAGCAGCTCCCACTGAGACTACATTGATAAAGAAGATCTTCAATCCCACCATCGTCCAACAGAAAGACACATGTGTCGATAATGCTCTAGGTGGATCCCAAGAGATGGAACAGATCACTTCTCTCTGGAACAAGACGGATCTTTGGATGGCCTGGGCCTCCATGCTACTAGTAGCCGTCGCGGTGGCCCTCGAAGTTCAGACAGTCTCGGTCTACTCTACATTTGCAACTTCCGACTTTGACCAGATGTCTCTGCTGTCTGCTCTCAGTGTGGTCAAAGCGGTCATGTACATTGCCACTCGGCCAGTGATGGCCAAGTTTGCCGATGTACTTGGTAGATTCGAGTCGATTCTCATGTCTGTGGTTCTCTTCACCATTGGCTTCATTATGTTGGCCGCTTCACCCAACATTGGCACCTACTTTGCTGCCCACATCTTCTACGTGTTTGGCCAGGTAGGTATCCAGTTCATGGAACAAGTTTTCGCTGCAGACACTTCCGATCTAAAAAACCGAATGTTTTTCGTCATCCTGCCCAACATCTGCTACCTCTTCGTGCCTTGGTGCTCGGCTCCCATCACCAACGCTATCATTAAACACTCCACCTGGCACTGGGGCTACGGAATGTGGTGCATCATTGTCCCTGTCGTATCCATCCCAGTCTTGACGATTATGTTCAGACATAAGATGAAAGCTCGCGCTCTTGGAATGCAGTGCGGCAAGTCTGTCCGCAACATGAAGGAGACTCTTCTTCAGTTCGATTTAGTGGGCCTCATTTTGTTCACAGGGGGTCTCTGCTTGCTCTTTTTGGCTGTCACTTTAGTCAAGTCCTCCAAGTCCTGGACCCAACCCCATGTTCTTCCCATGATCATAATCGGACCCATTCTTCTCCTCCTGTTCCCAATCTGGGAAAAAACGTACCCCAAATACCCTTTCCTTCCTTTCTCTGCCATGAAAGATCGAACTCTCATCACTGGATGTATCTTTGTGGGCCTCTATTCTCTTGCCTTCTACATCTACTACCCTTACTATTACCCCTGGCTCCTGGTATGCAAGGGTCTCTCAGTCACTGCTGCTACCAACACCTCTGTGACTTTTACAGTGGCCTCCACAGCTGCTTCAATCGGTGCTGCAGCTCTCATTCGTTACACCAAACGAATCAAACCTATTATTGTGGCTGGTGGCTTTGTGTACATCTTGGGACTGGGTCTGACATACCACTACCGACAGCCCGACCACTCTCTTGCTCAATTCATTGCTGCCCAGGCCGTGGAAGGAGTTGGATCCGGCATGCTGCAGTCTCCCACTCTGGTATTGATTCAGTCTGTGGTCAATCACAACCAAGTGGTATCTGCTACGGCCATCTTCTACTCTTCGATTTCAGTCGGAACGGTCATTGGAGATGCCATTTCGGGGTCCATGTATCGACAGTCATATCCGAAGCAACTGACTGAGTACGCTCCTTTTCTCAGCGAAGCAGACATTCATAAGATGGTCAATGATGTTCGAGCACCTCTCAAATACGCGTGGGGTTCTCCTGAACGAGTGGCCGTGATTGAAGCATTCAACCATGTCTACCGAAAGATGCTCTACGGTCCTCTTGTGGTTGCGGGTGTGATGATTCTCATTTCTTTCACGATGCCCAATGTTGATCTTGATGAGCTTGAGCAGCGGGTCAAGGGAGTTGTTTTCGGCAAGTCAGATAAGCCTGCCGATGGTGAAAAGAACCCCGTCAGTAACCAATGTCCTTGTGACATCTTGCCCACGGACAACTCTTCGCAAGATGGCGACTTCGAGAAATCTGAGTCGGTTGTGTCAAAGACCATTCATAACGAGCAAAAGATCTAAAAAAGTAGCAATGTGTATTTATGTAACGAATTTATGATGTCTCTTTTTTCTCACTCGTTTTTATGCAAATCTCAGTTCAAACTCACATTATCAGATCCCTAACTTGAGATTACAAACCTTAAATACGGTCTTCTTCACACCTTGAAGGTAGCGCATCTCTCATCATCATCACTCACAACAACAGCCATGTCGACTGACGATTACGTGAAACATAACATCGAGTTCTTTGAGGGCAAAAACTCGGGCCCTGAAAAGAAATTGACAAGCGAAAACTACCAGAAAATCGCAGACCAGTGCGCACGTTTGCTGCTGGGGTTCGAGTTTGGAACTGCCCATTCTACCACTCGAGACGACACCTATGACACCTCAGTGAGCTCGCTTTGGAAGCATGATCCTGCTCCCAAGGTACTTGACTTTGCTGGAGGCCTTGGACTTGTTGCCCAGCGAATTTCCTCTTACACCAGCGAGGTGGTGGGCGTGGATGTGTCTCCTAAGATGGTGGAGGGCTTCAACGAGGCTGTTCTGAACCAGGGCATTACCCCCAAGGAAATGAGAGCTATTGTGGCAGACATTTCGAAACCGGCAGACTTCGAAAAGGTGAAGCAGGAGGCTCTTGGTGGATTCAACATTGTCTTCTCCTCGCTCTCCTTCCACCATCTTCCTGATATTGATGGTACCCTCGAGAAGCTGTTTGATCTGACCAAGTCCGGTGGTACGATACTGATCATTGACTTCATCTCTATTTCTGGCGAAGGCGCAGGGGAAATCTTTCCTGATGCCAAGGGACACTCCAATCACTCTCATGGCCATGATCACAGTCATCACCATGGTGATCCTCACGGCCACTCTCATGGCGGCGAGCACTATCATGTGGTCGCGCACCACCATGGCTTCTCTGAGGAATCTATCACCAAGTCTCTGGAGACTGCAGGCTTCTCAAACGTCTACCTTTCTCCCCACTATGTGGCTCTCAAACGAACCACTGATGGTATCAGCCTGGACTCAAACGGTCACCATCCCGATCAGAAGCTGCGACTGAGAATCATCGGTGCTCGAAAGTAGCCGGTGTGAGGTGCGTTTAATCTGTATATATTTCAACAACTCAACTAACGATTTTAATGGCGTGTTCATGGCAAGGCGGCATATTTTTGCTCTGTCTTGATAATACAGCAGCAAACCGAGGCAGCCGGCAGTCATGCATCTACTGTATGTACTTGTAGGACTTGCTGTTTAGGATACACCTGCTTGTATGTAGCTTGCCATTGATGATTTTGTGTGTCTATAGCTTCAACAAAATTATTAATTCAGGCTGCAACACGTTCTAATAAGTCTTTCTCTATCTTGGAGGCGTGGAACCCTTCCTTCTACCGGTACAAGTAGTGCTGTCTACCGCTATATATCATCATTAATTGACTTCCGACATCCACATGCAAGATGCAGCTACAGATGTCACATAAGGTTCAAGCAACCTACAATATGACACTACAGTATGAGACCACTCCAACGTCAGACAATCATCTCTACAATATCATTCAGCTCTATCCCCAGTTATCCTAGCCTTTCGACACTCGATCAAAATGGTACTGGGATTGGACTACCTCAAAAACAAAGTAGTGGGCAAGGGTGAGTCGTACATTCTCGGCTTCATCCCTAACATCTTCCGATACATTTCTCTTTTGTGGGGATACTTTCAGGTGCATGTTCTGACCACTCTTGCCAACCAGAAGAAGTGGCGCATTCTAGTGGTACAGAATGTAGCACGGGGGAGCGATCCCTCTACAAGTTCATACGAAGAGAAGTTCTTCACTGTATGGAATAACTGGATCCTCCTGGGCCTCTACAGGCTGATCAATGGCTCCACCACTCTCTTCAACACGACTCAGATCGACAAGGCCGCCACTGCGGTCATCTCAGAGTACTACTACAATTTCTCTCCTGAAAAGACACGCCCCTTCGCCGAGAGCCTCTACATTCTCAATTGTGAGATCATTCTGGGCCGACGAGTTGACATGACTGCATACTTCAAGAAGTCTGTGAGCGACGACTCGCAGCTCAAAGGTGGTTTCATTCCCAACGAAGACTCCAAGAACCAGCTTCTGAACGCTCTGGTGCTCTATGAACTGCCTCGATACACAGGAGTGTCGTTCGATGACCGACAGGAAGCTCTGGAGCTGTCTCTCGCCATTATTGGAGCTCTCAATGACACCAAGATTGACCTTATCAAGCTCTCCGAGACACCTGTCACCTGGGCTACTGCTAGCAAGAAGTTGATGGATATCCCTGCTACTGCTCAAAAGATCCCGCACCAGGATGTGGTGAAGGGTGCTCCTTCTTCCAAGGGTGAGATCCAGTGGGAGAACTTTGGTTTCCAAGGCAAAGATCCGTCCACTGACTTTCGAGGTTCTGGAATGTTGGGCTTGGAGGCTTTTCGACACTTTTACTTGTTTGATCCCGCTGAATCTACCAAGCTGATGACACAATCCGGGGCAACAGACCCTGGTGAGACCTGGTACCCTCCTGCCCTCATCAGCATCAATGTTGTGTCCCATCTGCGAGACATGCTCGTTGCCGGACAGCTGGACCGGGGCTTCATTCTCAACATTAATGGCGAGCTCTTGAAGCGAATTGGAACCCTGGCGTTCCACGAGAATGACAAGAAGAAGCAGGACTACTTTTTCGAGATCAGAGGCGAGCTTGATCGGGAGTTCAAGGAGGTTTTCTACAGACTACACGAGCATCTTGTCTACAAGTTCCATCTCTTCTGGAAGCATGGTGTGCAGGAGAAGAAGATTCAGAGCGTTCTGCAGACTGACAACCACCTGAAGATCTTCCTGGAGAAATACGACGCAAACCTGCGACGGGGAGACTGGAAATAAAACATGAGAGACACACACGTGCAACACACAAACATTAGTTAATTGATTCATCTGATCTGCAAAAACATGTTGGTGATGGTTAAGAGTCACATAACAAGCAGGGTCCATGCACTCGCTTTCTTACATAGCACCATAGAATACGGTGTTGTCGGCATTATCAAGACAGAATTTAATTTGGTGATGTTATCACATGAGCCGGGGGGCATAGGGTGGGCACTCGTACTCTATGCGTTATTGGTTGCAGACCCATAATCTCAAGGGCGTTCCAGAACATACACTATGCGACCGCAGGGACCCTCGATATGGACGATGAATAGTATGGCAACATAAACCAGAAACTATTATATAGAGATGATGGGGGCGACATTTCGGTAATTACGTTCATCCACCTTCGATCATGTCCACTAGTGCTATGACCGACGATTATCCCATGGCTGAGGTCTCCATTACTGAGGAGACCAAGATGCCTGAGCCTGCCAAGAAATCGCAGCTTCTTGTCATTCTGCTCTGTCTCTTTGCCGCCATGGGCGGTTTTGTCTTTGGCTATGACACTGGTACCATTTCTGGCTTCATCAACATGGACCCTTTCCTAGAGAGCTTTGGAGAAGCCGATGAGTCTGGCGTTTTCTTTCTATCCCGAATCCGAGCTGGGCTCATTGTTGGACTCTTTTCCATTGGTGCTTTCCTTGGCACCCTTCTTGGTGGCTTCCTTGCTGACAAGGTTGGTCGAAAGAAGGGAATTGTCTATGTCGCCATGGTCTACATTGTTGGTATGCTTATCCAGATCACAGCCTTCACAGCCTGGTACCAGATTGCCATTGGTCGTGTCATCGGTGGTGTTGGTATTGGTGCACTCTCTGTGCTGGTCCCCATGTTCCAGTCAGAGACTGCTCCCCAGAATCTTCGAGGCGCTCTTGTCTCTTCTTTCCAGCTGTTTATTACTCTCGGCATCTTCATTGGATTTAGTGTTTGCTACGCTACCAAGTCGCGGCTCGATACCGGTGCCTACCGAATCCCCATGGGTCTTTGCTTCGCCTGGGCTTTTATCCTTCTCATTGGCATGTGCTTCATGCCAGAGTCCCCTCGATTCCTGGTTTCAATTGGCCGCATTGAGGAGGCCCGAAAGGCTATGGCCATGACAAACCAGGTTCCTCTCCACGACGCTGTCATTGATGAGGAACTCAAGGCTATTGAGAACTCTGTCATTAGGGAAAAGAGTGCTGGTAAGGCCACATGGAAAGAACTTTTCACTGGCGAGCCCCGAATGGGCTACCGGCTTACCCTTGGTATTCTCGTCCAGGTTCTCCAGCAGCTCTGTGGTGCCAACTACTTTTTCTATTACGGAACTTCTATCTTCAAGGCCATTGGAATGTCGGATTCTTTCGCTACTTCGATGATCTTTGGCGGAATCAACCTCCTGTCTACCTTTGGAGGTCTCTACATTGTTGATCGATTCGGTCGACGAAAGTGCCTTCTTGGTGGAGCCATGGTCATGTTTGTCTGTTTCCTCGTCTATTCTACTGTCGGGTTCGCTGCTCTTTATCCCAACGGTGATACCACCCTTCCCGCCAGAAAGGCTGTTGGTGATGTCATGATTCTGTTCACCTGTATCTTCATCGCCGCTTTCGCCTCTACGTGGGCCCCTATTGCCTTCGTCGTTGTTTCTGAGACCTTCCCTCTCAGAATGCGATCAAAGGGAATGGCTGTTGCTACTGGAGGAAACTGGATGATCAACTTCCTCGTTTCTTTCCTGACTCCCTTCATCACCAGTTCCATTGGGTTCAAGTACGGTTATGTCTTCACTGCTTGCATTGGTTTCGCCATTATCTTTGTCTTCTTCTTCATCCCTGAGACCAAGGGTCTGTCCCTTGAGGATGTTGACGAGCTGTACGCTTCAGGTGTCAGTGCTCGAAACTCCCCCAACTGGGTTCCTTCTTCCAAGAAGCAGGAAGTCAACGAACCTAAGAACAGTATGACCGACTTCTCCGAGTCCTCTTAGACTACAGAATTATTTATAGAGAACAAGAATAAATTTTAAGACTACGAGAAGCTACTGTACAGCACTTTTTTATTATTTTTTTTTATTTTATCAAGTTAGCATTCATCTATATGTTATGTTTTGGTACAACCTCTGTAACTTGCAAGAGTGCTCTCTACATCATCCTCTTGCCAATCTCCGACTCCCAAGCAGCTGCTCGTTCGAAGCCGTTGCTGCTATATTGATAGTCCATAAAGGCGTTCATGATGCCTTCTTCCGAAGTTGCGACAAAGGGACCATGTTGGACAATCTTCTGGTCGAGAATCTGGGCACCAATGATGATGATTCGAGAGTCAGGGGCAGGAGTGAAATCAATGGTGTCACCCTTGATAGAGAGTATGGCGACATTGTGGGCGTTGACCACTTTACCATCAACGATAGCAGAACCCTTCATTACATAAAGAAGAGAGTTGAAGCCTGCAAGCATAGTCTGGCTCACCTGCTTGCCGTTGTAGTTGGCTTCGGTGAAGTAATCCAGGTACCAGACAGGAGTGTATGCGAGATCCTTGACAGAGTCGACGCCCATGGCCTGGCCAGAGATGACTTTGACAGTTAGATCCTTATTTTCAGAGTGAGCCTCAGGAATTTCCTCAGCCTTCAAATCCCGATATCGAGGCTCACAGTCCTTGAGGTGTTGGGGAAGGTCAACCCAAAGCTGGATACCCTCTACAACCTGTGTCTCGCCGTTGGGTCCTGCAGTGGGCATCTCGGCATGAACAATACCTCTTCCAGCTGTCATAAACTGAAGATCACCGGCACTCAGAGTACCCTTGCTTCCAGTGAAGTCTTCATGATCAACAGACCCTTTAATGACGTAAGTGATGGTCTCCTGGCCCCGGTGGGGATGGTCAGGAAATCCGGCAGTCGAGGGCACTTTGAAATGGTCAAACATGATGAAGGGATTGAGGTTTCGTAGCTCGTGGGTACCGATAGCTCGTCTGACTCGGGCACCAACTCCCTCAGACTGTTCGGGGGCAGTGAAGAGCTTATCGATGGTCTTTGCCAAGGGGTTGGTAGTGGTGGTAGTAGTAGACATGTGTCTGTGTTTGTGTTTGTGCTATGTTGCTTCTTTATTGAAGATAATATTCAACACTGCGTAATTGTTGGCCCTTTTATATTTAACGGCAAAGAGTGACGCGCTTTCTAGAACATAAGTAGTAATTTGTTACCAAGCATACATCGCATACATTATGCAGGCTAATAGAGTGTTGTACATCAGGGATGCAACATAATACAGATGTCAGGTATGACCCCTCTAAAATAACTCGTATTAGAATGCCATCACATAGAGCTAAATGAGACCTGATGGAGTCGCAAATTGAACTCAGAAGCGAAAAAAGAGATTCACCAGCCGTACGATTTTGTTAACTGTCACAAAACTCGTTGTTTGAAGTCTCGGGTATGAGCTTCGTTTCCTCTCTACAAACACACAGCCGTAACGTACGTTAACTACAGAACGTCATACAAGAGTCATATATTAACATCATTTACTTGAATCAACACAATATCGATCGAAACATCCCATGCAAAAGTCTGGGATGGTCTTGTTGGCTCCCTGATAAGCCCGGAGAATAGTGGCACAACCAACGCACTTATTCCAGTCGGGGTCGACAGTGGAGTTCTGTCTGGTCATCAGATTGTAGCCGTTGGTAATGTAGCCGGCAACATCCTCGGTGGAAAACTCAACCTGGAAAGTACTATCACCGGTCCAGTAAGATTGGTAGCTGTTTGGGATATACACAATGAGAGGAGGGTACTTGTCGACACCAACAGTAACGTTGACAAAGGGGTCGGTGGAAACATTTGTAGGAGGCATGACTGGAATGGCACCAATAGGGGTAGTGTGGTCATAAGGATAGTCAGCGTCATAGTCACGACCATCTTCGATGATAGGCCGGGGTCGTGAGGGCCGGGGTCGAGGGCGAGGTCGAGGGCGAATTATAGGTCCCGTATCATTAGTAGTGCCGTTGGAAACAGGAATCTGTCTGGCTCTCCAGTGAGCCCTGGAAGCCATACTAACATTTGAAAAAGTGGAGTTAGGATCAAAGGTAGAGTTAGGGAAATCGAACGGGGGAGGAGGAGGATATACAGGAATAGTCATATTGGGCTCGGCAGGACGGTCTCGTCGATAGTTATAGCTGTAGGCTCTCCCCTTGGGTGGTACCGAGTAAGACGAGTTTATGAAACATCCAAGGAAAACAGGTTCATTGCCAAACTCTGCAGCCAGCTGGGGAAACGATATGCCAGCCGCCTGCTCAGAATCCTCCGAAAGGTATCTCTCTTGTGACATACGCAGCGCAGTTCCATCTGGGAAGTTGTCCTCAGTGTTCGAAGACGCATCAATGGCGAAGATGACATCAACATTACGCTGTTCCTGAAGTAGGGGCTCGAAGGGAACCAGCTGGCCATCCTCACCACCATCAGCCAGGAAAAGATGTTTGGACTCAGAAAACTTATCAGTGGTGGCGTTAGAGTCAAACCCAAGGAAGGGGTTGGGTGAGAAGATGGCATAGTCGGCGTCCCGCCAAGTAAGATCAGTTTCAGGGACAGTGCTGTTCTCTGTAGAAAAGAATTCACCCCAGAAAGAGGTATTGAAATTCTCAAGGGCATCAATGATACCAGTAAAGAGCTCTCGAATGTAGTCCTGATCGATACCCGAATTCTCGAAAGGATCATTGAAGACAGAGGAAGAAGTGCCGGCAAGGAAACCAGCATTATCATATCCCAAGACACAAACGGGCTCAGTTGAGGGAACAGGCTCAAGGGTAACATTGTTGACGGGGGTCCCATTATAGAGGGATGAACCAAGGTATCGAGTGTCAGAGAAGGCGTTTAAAGAAGGGTTCCAAGATCCAAACTCGAAGGGAGTCATTTCGAAGAGAGTCGACCAAAGAGGAGAGATCATGTAGGTACTGTTAGACTCGGAGGGCTCTCGACCAATCGCAACCATGATAGGGAAAGGCACAGATGCGTTCATGAACTGAGGTGTGATTTGAACATCGGACCAGGTAGTACCCTGTCCTCCTCGAGAATCAGGAAGCAGCTGACGGGCGAGTGCTCGACCCCAGTAATCAGTGATAGTGGTCACAAAACCAGCACTGGATTTCAGGTCGACCTCTTCCTTGATCATCAGGAAGTAGTACAGGGTCTGCTTGATCTCATTCTCCAGGTGGTAATAAGTATACAGAGGGTCAAGGTACTTCAGGAACTCTGAATAGTCTAGGTCACAGAGGAAGTCAGGAGAAACGTACTCCAAGAGCTTTTCGAGATCAGACTGACGTCTTCTCTGGTTAAAGAAGTCACCCATTGAAGGTTTCGAAGGAATGTGTTTGTCAAGAGCCTTTCGGGCATCAGACAACCCAGGTTTTATTCGAGAGATCCCCTTGTCGACGTTATCATATATTCCTGTCTTGGGTCTATTTCTGAGTCGTTGGGCGAGATCGAAGTGGGGCCGTTGAGAATTCTTGAGCCGATCAGCATAGCCAGTCTTGGGTCGATTCTTCCAGGTGTCGGAAACGCCAGTACTGGGCCTGTTTCGCAGCCGATCAGAGAGTCCAGTACTGGGACGGTGGTGTAGTCTGTCAGAGATTCCAGTCTTCGGTCTGTTTCTCAGACGGTCAGCAAAACCAGTGCTAGGACGAGTACGCCGACCATTGGAAATGCTCTCACCGATTGGAGGCATGTTTCGAAGACGCTCAGCGATACCAGAGTTAGGTCGTTTGGCCAACATGTCGTTGAGGTTAATGTTTTTGACAACCTCAGCTCCACCGGTCGAAGGTCGTCGATTCCAGTGGTGCTTGATTGAGTCGGAAACGATGTTCCGAGGAGCTAGATTGACGAGATTCTTCAGTCGAGAGCTCAGACGATCTGTCAGGCCAGATCCAATGACAAGAGAACTGTTGTCACTCTCGGTTCCGTTGTTATCAATAATACCAGGGTTGGGAACGGGGTTGTCAAGCTGGACGTCCTTCATTCGTTCTCCACCCCAGAATGAGTTCTCGAGACTCCAGAGGTTAGGAGCAGCCTGAAGGTCAGGAACAGTGAAGTTGTCGTTCAGAAAGAGAGAGGTCAACAACCAACTTCCACTGGACAAGCCCACCAAGTAGGACATTGCTTGGAAGAGACCACCCAGCGCGCCAAGGTCAAGAGACCCGTTTACACGGGCGTCCATGGCAGCAACGACACCTGCTCCTGTCAACATGGATCGATAACCACCTCCAGAGAAGGCAGTTCCCATCACGACAGGGGGGACTTCGTCCAAGAAGGAGACGTTGAAGTCGGGAATGTCGAGACGTTCCATAAACTTGACATGTTCTTGCTGAGTCTGCAGCCATCGCCGGTCCATGTAGTCTTTCTCTTTGGGATTGAGGGTATCGTTGGCCTCTCGAACCAGTACGGTTGGGGGACAATCAACATGTTTGGGCTCATATGTGCCGCCAGGGGAAGCGGCAAGAGTGGCCACCAAATGCAGGAATAAGGGCGTAAACTGCATCGTGTTTTACGCTACAGGAAGGTCCACCAGTCGGTCACGCCATGAAGCTCCATGATATATACATTGTGTGATATGGCACAGTTGAGTGGTGTCTGGAGTGCGTGTCCGTTAGTATATGGGTTTCTCCGAAGTTGCAATATGCCATGTCATAAATGCCCATCACGGGTAGCTGCCAGTAGTTGAGTTCGCAGATGCACTCGCTGCCAGCGCCACCATAACTTCGTGGAAGTACGTACCACATCGGGTTTGCATAAAGTTAACTGACAACAGCACGATCCATAATCCCATACTCGCCACACAAACACGATCACAGCCACGTGCACAGACATTGACATCAAGATGCCAAACGTGTATAACGAGTGAGTTCATTGAGCCATGCTGCGGCGACGCACACGAACAAGCCACTAACGCAGATTCCTGAAACAGGTTCCACCGGCTACCAAGCTCCTGACCATCACCACTGTGTCAGTATTTATTCTGTCACGACTGGGATTCCTCAGCCCATACTTCCCCTACAATCAATGGAGCACATTGTTTCAGACCTGGGAGCTCTGGCGTCCCTTCACAGCCCTCATCGCTATACAGGGCAGTGCTATTCCCGCCTTCTACACGGCGTACCAAATGTACAGCTACTCCAATGACCTCGAGGCCAACCACTACGGAGGGATCACAGCCAAGTACGCGTGGTGGCTCACCTTTATCTCTCTATTCATCTGGATCGGAGACTATCTGCTCATCAACTCGCCCTTCTACACCCGTGCCTTCATGATGGCACTCACCTATGCTTGGGTCCAGGATCACAAGTATAACCAGGTGTCGTTCTACTTTGTCAGCTTCTCGGCCAAGTTCCTGCTCCCTGTCAACCTTTTCATCTCCCTGCTCGACGACCCTTCCGATCTCTACCCTTGCATTCTTGGCATTGTGGCTGCCCACACTTTCTACTTTCTCGACACCATCTACCCCTCCGTGTACCCTACTTACGGCAAGTTCCGAATTGTCGAACCCCCCCAGTTCTACTACACTCTTCTGGGGACTGAATCGTCGGCATACACTTCCAACATGGGCACCGGCTCGCAGGCTCCTACCAACCCTGCTGGTGCTTCCAATGCCTGGGGGTTGGGCGGTGGCCCTGTCGGCGGAGCCGCTGCAGATGGTGCTACTACTACTGGTGCTTCTGTCAGAAGTGAGGGCTCCGGTAGTTTCTCTGGTCGTGGCCAGCGACTTGGTACATAAACTGTAGACATTTTAATGATTATATGTTAGAAAATTATTCGTGCTCGGCAAACTCGGGTCGCAAGTCGCTTCGAGTAGGTCGCACTAGAGGGTGTAGTTGGGCGAGGTATGTGATTGCCCACATTAGGTACATCATGGCCATGGCAAGGATCAACGATGATCTCCAGACGCTGTTGTTAGTACTGTTCCCTTGATAAGTAATGTGAACTGTTCCATTATCATGAGCAGTTCAAACACCATCTGCTGCCAAATGTCGTACAAGTAGAGTAATTGGCCCTGTCCATATGCCTCAGTTCGTGGTAGTGTGCAACATGTGATCATGCACATGTCTCATACCAGCACAAGCTGACCAGCAGCCATCACGACGTCGTTCAAGAGACGTGGCAAATCCAGCAAGCCATTTTCGCTCAAGCCTCCATCACATCCGCAACCTTCCATCATACTCACGTCTGATTGTCGCCCTTAGGTGCGAACACCCAGGCACCAAAACAAAGACCCACGACAAGTGCCAATACAATGATAACAGTCCAGCTGCGTTAGTTGTCGTCCATAAATAGTCCCTTTTACTTTGACAAGTCTTCCTCTTCAATAACCGATTTCACTCACCCTCCCATGTTGTGTGATGTTGTCGATGAGATTGATGATGGTGGCTGAAGCTAATTTGGACTCTTACATGCTGTACATACTGGAGTACAATAGTTGTGGTTAGAGTAAGGGACTCGTCAAGGGTTTTAGACAAAATAATTGTCAGTGAAAAACAGCAAATAAGGAAGATAAAAATATTGAAACAGAGGAACAAAAAAAATGAGGAAACAACAACTAACATATTCCCTCAGCCATGATCACCCACACCCACCCCTTTACTTGTTACCAGCAGGGTTAGGGCCGTACTCACCACCCGCCAGCCATTATCTGCATATCAAATGCTACTGTCCACCTAACCAAGACACCCAGGTTACAAGAGACATTGCATTGCCATGGCGCTTCCGCCGGCGCTCACCCAGTGGTTACGGAACGTGCTTCTTCCGGTGAGTATCTTACGACAGCTCCTAATGCCCCCTTCAACGCGCAAGATCAATTGTTTTCTAACAGCAGGAATACCCCCATTTGGACCGCACATACAACGACACTCTTGACGCTCTCACACGCTACCCGACACTTCGGCCTCGAACCAGTGTTTACAGTAAGTATCTTGAGGATTTGGACAGTACTGATTGGGGATAAACAACTAACCCAGCCGATGAGTATGGCAAACCAGCACTACTGTTATGTTTGCATGGAACAGTGCCTTCAGTGATTGCTGGAGACACATACAAGATCCCCGTGGAGGTCTGGGTGCCACATCGGTATCCCGACGAAGGACCTTTTGCATACGTCAGACCGACCAGCACCATGATGCTGAGCCCGGGAAACTACGTGGACAACAACGGACGGTGCTATCACCCCTACATCAGCGAATGGGGTTCGGATCCCCAGAATACGAACCTGGCTACCTTCCTGAGGGTGCTGTCAGACATTTTCAGTAAGGAACCTCCTGTTTACAGTCGTCCTACACCTGAATACGGACCTCCACCTACCTATCCCTCTCAGAACGACCAGCAACAGACACACCAGATGCAGCGTCCTCCGCCTTTGGCCCCACAATCGGGTATGCCAATCCAGCCTGTTCAAACTGGCCAGCATGCTGTGCCACCTGTGACCAACCACACAGGTCAACATATTCAGCAACAGCCCATGCGTACGGGTCCTGTAGATCTGGGTGGCTCTTCGACTCATGCTTCCGAAGCAGTGCCTCCCCTTCCGCCCAAGCCACCGCAGCAATGGAACCAGGGCGCCGTACCTCAGCCACCGGCCCAGTATGCTCAGTATGCTCAGCATGCTCAGCACCCTCTCCAGGCCAGCCACCACCCTCAGGCACGCGGCGGTCCTCTTTCTCAGCAGTTCACTCCTCACCACAGATCCCGTGCTTCCCGCACAGATATCATGGACATGGACACCGCAAAGTCTTCTGACGAACCGGCTCCACCTAAACCCCCTAACCCTGAGCGAATGAAGGCCTTAGATGACCTACACTCTCAGCTGAAGAAAGAAGCGGATGCCATCCAGGCAAACGTGCAAGCAGATGATGCCCAGATTGAAGGTCTCTGGATGAAACTCAGCTCTCTGGAAGCAGGCGTGTCTTCGGAAGTACTGCTGCTCAGACAACTGGAAGCGCAGGCAGACAAAAACAACAAGATCCTGTCAGACAAAATGGACCAGGCTCGTCGAGTCATTACACAGGCCAGAGCCTGCGAGATCCCAGATATCGACTCGGCTGTTTGTGCAGAGAATGTGGTCTTCAACCAACTGTACGATCTGACTGCCCAGGAACAAGCCATTGACGACACTATTTATGCTCTCAGTCTTGCTCTTGACCGAGAAAAGATCACCGTTGAGCCGTTCATGAAGCATGTTAGAAACCTGGCCCGCGAGAAGTTCATCAAGGTTGCCACGATTGATAAAATCGCCGTTGGCGCTGGCCTCAAGTAGATCTGCATCCACTAGATAACGAAAGGTAATGACTTATGTATAGTGTACTAATTGTACTAGATGAGTTTTGGAAACGTCACTGTGAATTTATCTGAGAAGTAGAGACCTATATCACCAGAGTCACCATTTCAGGTGTCCTTAAAGTCGATCGTACAACCTGTCTTGAGCCTTCCATTTAACAGAGACAAACACAAGAGAAATATAAAGCAATTTAGAAAGATATGATCCCTTTACCTGTGTTTCTTCTATCAATATCCGGTCTGTATCCTCGAAAATGTTTCCTTCACCAAGTCACGAAACTCGCGCACGCAAAACGACGGGACAAAATGACGCCATACAGCTTTGTCCAATTACAAATGGACTAGAAAGCATTGAAGAATCAATATAACACCATTTACTACAATGTGACTATCTTAGATTCACTGTAGAACCATTTTTTTTATTCTAATGATTTTTTTCAAAAAATAATATTTTGGATACAGTACCCCTAGTTTTTTGTTTAAAAATAACAATGGGCGTCTGGTGTAGTTGGTTATCACATGCGCTTAGCATGCGCGAGGTCCCCGGTTCGATTCCGGTGTCGTCCATACTTTTTTACATTTGTACTACGGACAATCACAACTTGTTAATTTTTTCACGTCGACTATTACGCGTAAGCGCAGTTTCGTAGATTGGTCGGATATTATTTTTGTTGCACCGTCTTCGTATCGTACATACTGTACCAGCAGCTTCGTCATTATTGTGTGTTTGTTTTGATCACAGCAGTTCCAACGCGTGCCCCCAAGTATCGATCTATTGTACGCGACCTGTCACATTATAAAAAATTAATATTATTCCATTACCAATACATCCATATAAATAGCCGCATTAAAAAACGTGGTACAAAAAAAGGTATCAAGTCCGGCTTGCGGACGCGTGTGTGAGTGTCAAGAAACAAATGTCATTAGGACGAACAGGGAGAAGAGGATCTCATTATTGAACGTCGGCTGAGGTGATCATAATACTGCTGTTTGCAGGTGCCTTTTTCTTGAGCTTGCCAAATACACGCTTCATTCCTCCTGTTCCCGTGGATCCGCTGAGAAGAGCTTGCTGTCCACGCAATCTGTCGTCGTCGTAATTTGACTGCTGGTATGTAGACACATCGTCCACGGTAGGGTTTGAATTGTTGTTGGTTCCGGTAGCCAGCTCCTTCTGCCAGCCATAAAGAACCTCGTCTCGATCACGCATGGCTGCTGGCGACAGAGTCACGTGTAGAGTCATCTGTCGTGCTCCCAATCCGATATCATTGGGCGACGTTGGAATGCCAACGGGGAAGCCGAATTCAACAATCTCATCAAAGGTTGTAGCGTTTTCTGCATTTTCCGCAGGAGCGCATAGCATTCGCAGCTTGTCGCGTGCCTCCTGTTCCCGCCAGAAGACTGAGCTCTTGACTGTTCCCATGGGCAAGATGGGAGCTGCGTGACCCTTTGTTTTTTTACTGATGGAGTTGATCAAAGTGCTGGAGAAGCCTGTGGGAGACGTAGTCTGTTGTTCTCCGGGAGAAGAGGGACCTTGGGAAGGTGGTGAGAGTCGTGAATATGAGGTTGTGACCTGGGGAGGCGGTTGTTTCCAGCGCCGTTCGCTTCGGTCTGTATGTTCTGCTAGCGACTTGGGGAAGTTTCGGGGCAGGTTTGGAAGTTGAGACGAGTCAGATTGCGTGTCTCCAAAGTGAAGAGGCTCGACTGGTCGAAGGTCCTGACGCGACTCTTGGTAGTATTGTTGTTGTTGTTGTTGTTGTTGTTGTTGTTGTTGTTGTTGTTGTTGTTGCTGTTGCTGTTGCTGTTGCTGATGACGTTGGTCGTACATGCGTCGCGAAGAGACCGATCCTGAAGAATTGGAGTCTCTGTTGATGTGTGCCTGCGAACGTCGTTTGCTGAGCGCGACGTTGGGGTAAGTTGCTGTTGCGGTGGTGGCGGTGTTTCCAGTTCCTGAGGGGCTCAAGTCTAGCGCCTCGATGGGCGGCATTTCAGGCACCGGCGGAATGTCGTCTGACGGGCCTTGGTTGCGCCTGGACGGGTTAGTATGTTTGTACGAGAGATACTGGTAGTTGGACGGGTACACGAAATCATGTGTGCTTGTGGGTGTCGTGGGTGTCGTGGACGCAGAATCAGACGACCGAGAGTCGGTAGATGGAGACTTCTGGGCCACCTGATAAAGAGGGTCTTGGTAGAGGTTCGAGTAGTACATGGTGTGGTTTTGTTGTGACTGTCGTAGCGTCGTGCAAGTTGACTAACTGACCCTGGATGAAGAGGTTGCAACGTGACAGGGAGACGGAGAAGAGCCCGAGGCAGCTGGAGTGGAAATTATCGAAATGTAGTATACTCACCTGCGTTGAGAGTTCATTATAACAAGTTATCCTTGTGTTGTTAGTTTGACTCCTGGGTTGCGTTTCGCTAGGCTTGGCTTGCGTGTGCGTCTTGCGTGGGGCGTTTGCTTTTGTGCTTTTTGTCCGGCTGGCGGCTCTGGGGACTCTTGAAGAAGCAGCGTGGTAGGGCTTAGGGGAAATACTCTGAAAAGAGGATTTTGGGCGCTCTGAGAGTGGAGTGTGGTAAACGACGCATGTCTTAGACGCGCGTCCTGTTTGAGCCGAACTATAATTGATGGATGTGGTAAGTAAGGGGGTCTGTCTATCACTCCTTGTGTCAGGACCAGATGGGTCTAAATCGAGTGTGCTGTTGCCCCTCTGGGGAGGGTCGAGAGTTATGGGGTTTGTATGGGCCTAGAGGACCCGCCTGGACCACCCAAGATTGCTCACTTTCGGATGACGTTTTGTAGCGACCCCTCAAAATATAGCGTTAGGCAACACTGGTCCCCCTAATAACTGCACATCACAGATGCACCCAAATGGCAGGCCGGAGATTAGATTTTTACAAAAGCAGAAACGACAAAGCGAAGTGATTTTCACTGCAAAACCAAACAATCTTGTCGTCATCAGGTGTGCATGGTAGAGAGTTAATACTGGCAATATTATCTGTTGCGGGGCCCGTAACACAAATGCGCTGGGCAGACAATACAGCCGTGGACGCCATCAGCGTTGCGCAGGCGTTCTTTCGAGGTCGCCACTGTAGGATTAAACACCGCCGAAGCGAGCCACAAGAGGCGGTTAGCTACAAATTTGTGAATAGTCTTCAAGGGAGAGCATGGTCGGTTAACCTCAAACTATAGACGGGGTCAATACGAAGAGCGATCTGCTGTGGTTCGTCCAAATTGTACTACTTACGACTGTGAGTGTGAGAAATAACCATTGGCACACTACAAATACCGTACCGACACTACTACCCTTGGAATGTGCTATCTGTAGCGCATCTGCTATCATGTGGAGCACAGCTTTTTAGCACCTTTGGATTTTCCATCTCGAACCATGTCTACAAGTAGTTAAAGAACAACGTCGAAAAAGAGTGTCTGCTCCCTCGGCCAGAAACGCCTTGTGCCACTTTGCACGTCGGTGCTGCTGCAGACTTCCCCTCCTGGGACCATCCCTGAATGTAATAGTGAGCGGCATACAAGCGCCATTATTCGTATATCCCCACCAGCGGCCTATTATAACTGGATTCATTAGGTGTGCCCGTGCTTCCCACCGACCCGTACATATCGTACATTACCTCGAGTTTATTTGCTGTAGCCCCCTGTATGGGTTGATAGGTTGTATCTAAGAGTAGCAAGTGCCCTGAATTACACGCTCCGTGTGCAAGGGTAAGAACGGAAAGTACCAGTTTCCACTTCATCGCTACCCACGCCGCTAGCTACCAGGGTTTACCGCTGGGCTTCACCCTCGCTTTCCCACAGTGCGGACCTCCCATTGTATGACCACTGTTTGCCCGACTGCATTTGATCTACTGTCTTTGCACACTTCTCACATTAGCATTCAGCATAAGAAATTCGTGGGTCCGAAAAGCAGCAGTCTTCCGAAGATCATACGTTCCACTACAGTAAGTACAACTACACACACACACACATTGTACGCTCTATTCCAAAAATACAACCGGTAATTAGTTGGTAGCTACACACCATACACATGCACCTCCACCCCAGGCCAGCAATGCAGAGACAATGCAAAGCGTGCCTTGGGCCCGAACGGAAGCCCTATTGTCTTATTCTACCCGTGCCCCCGCCTAAAAGCCTTCCTTTGGTCTCTTCTTCGCCTGTCATCATGTTTGTTTGTCTTGGTTAACGGCCAACCTAATCCGAATAGGGGCAACCAGACAAGGTCCACGGTGCTGTGCACTGTGCAGGGCGCAGACTCCATACAGCAGCCCCTGACTATTGAGTTTGCCTGCTCTGATGGAGGCTTCTGGACGAGGAACCGAGCCACCAGGACTACAAGTAGTACAGTAGAAAATGCTGTACGTCCGTATGCCAAAGAGCTAGACTATATGTACAGCATCCACGTGGGAGCCATATATGTGCCCGTGCACGAGACGCTGTTTATCACGTGTGGTTTTAAGACATCCCACGTCGTCATACATCCATGTTTGAAATTCCTTGCAACTCATGTCACAGAGAACAAGGAAATCGGTCCATTCCACACTCGTCGGTTCACACAAGCGAGCACGAGGTACAGGACAAGTCTGTGGATGGATTCTGTAATTTCATGACTGACTTTTTTGAAAAGGTGGAGTATATATGATGCTGACTACGTCTACGTCAGTAATTGATCGCACATGTAGCGATACAGCCAGGTCATTGTACAGTAAGTCTCTATACCAGTCGCTCTACACCACCTGTTATCACTTTACAGTGGCTAATGCATCCTCTCCTCATACAGCAACATCAACAACCGATTGCAAAAGAAAAGTGCCCCTGAGTGGTAGCAATAATATTTGCCCGCAAAACGCCTTATCACAGTATTTGAAAAGGGTGTAATATAATAACGGCAATTATATACAAGTAAAAAAACTAGATTAGGTTTGTACAGCTAAAAATATGTACTTGTACGAGAGCTGGACGCACACACTACATTGTAGCTCGCCAGTGAACTTCAAGATCAATCGACATGATCCAGTCGGCGCAACGGTGCAAGTACAGTACAGTACTTGTACTTATACTTGAACTTATTGGTATATATACATGTCGTGCATTGGTCCACAGGTGCAATATCGAGCCAAAATATCTCTCTCCTGCAAGATGAAGAACATCTCTTCTGGGGATCTGCTCTATGTCGAGGTGTAGCCCAGCTGATGACATGTGAAATCTTCTTTATTTTAGCACTTATTTGTCACCATTACTTGTATTTATTACTGATATATCGGATAATAAAACCCTTGCGACCCCTCTATGGAACATAGACTTGCCTGTTCCGGAAGTAATGAAGATGAATACACCCTCTGAAGACCCCTCAAGACCCCTTAATTCACCTCATTGTACCAGTAATCAGACTAAGACTAACAGTACAAGCACCAATAGTATATACCAATGGTTAACCAATAACTCAATATGCTAATCTATATACAGTACATTCAAATAAGGAAAAAAAAGATACACCCAGTTTGTATTGTCTTTTCTTGAAGTCCCTGGTGGATCCTAAACAAGCCCCTTATTCCCGGTTATGCAGCCTCTCTCCAGTCGTGTACAACTTGTCTCGAATCTGGGCCTCGTAGAGCTCTAGGAATTGGAACACCTGACCCCACACGACGGGGATAATGGAGAGAGCCAGGATCACGGGGTAAATGGCAATGTGGATAAAATGTGTCTGGAAGAATCCGTCAAGCACAAGGCCAATCATGGCGGGAAGAGCCACCACCAGCAGAGATAATGCCGACGAGGTGATCACCAGCTTGGAAAGAGCCTTGAGATTGCAGGTTCGGATTCCGTTCTGGAAGGTTTGCGTGAATAGAGGGCCAAGTACAGGAACATGCAGGGAAGGAGCATATTTCGCTGCGACCAGAACCATGAAGCCCATAGAAATGGCTCGGGCGACGGTAGATGTGTCGGAATCTATGAAGATGTCCACGACTCGCAGAACATACATCTCGCAAGCAGCCGATGTGGCAATCAACAGAGCAATACCAGAGAGGAAGACGAGCACGAATCGCGAAGCGATAGCCCCCGACTTGGTGGAGGCGACCAGGTAGAAACCAGCTGCAATTGGAGCACCGATGGAGAAGGCCTCAATGTCGGAAAACTCGCTCCAGAGATTGTTGAGAATTACGGAGTAGAGGAATCGTCCAGTGAGAATAGGGGCAGCTACAAGACCAGTGATACAGAGAGCACCGCAGATCCATATGGTGCACAGAAGTGCCAAAATTCTGGGTTGGAACCGGGGGGGAGTATAGACAACCACATAATCCGAAGAAGTCAACGGAGGGACCTCTTCCCCATTCTCAGTTGCGCCTGTGGTCTCAGTTGCAGTGTCTGTGTTACTGGCAATGGAGCCGGAGTCGGCATCAGCCTCAGCGTTCGTCTCGGTTCTGGGGATCTTCTCCGGAATAATGGGAACGTCATCCTTTGTCACTTCCACAAAGAAGTTCTTAGATTTTCTCAGGGAAACAGAATCCGAACAAGGAGCCCGCACAAAGGAGCCCTTGGGATCCTGCTCACTGTTCTGGTCGTCGTTGAAGATGAAAGACGAGAGGGAGAGCACTGCGCAAGTTCGCTTCAGAATTTGAGTCCAAGTGTAGTTTGCAACCTGCTTTCCATCGATTTGGGAAGACAGCCAAAGAGACAGACACACGTGAAGACCCACGTGGAAGAAGGGCTTGCTGAGCCAGAAATCCCCTAGAGCAACATCAAGCGACAAAGGCAGCAGGCCTGCCTTGTCAGAAAGCAACTTTTGGTATGCAAAGGTGACAATTCCAATGCACAATCCAATGAAGACAGCGTACATTCCTCCAGAAATGATGATACGCTTGAACTGGAAGTACATTGACTTTTCCAGCACCTCTTGGACCGGCTGGTAAGAAGGATCATTGGGGTTTCGCACAAAGTACAAAACACCGGGTCGCATCTGACCTCGGCACATGGACACAAACATGGCGAACTGGATCATGTAGAAGGTACCAATGACCCAGTGGAGAACAATGTTTGTAAGAGGAAACATGCTAAACTGAGCCAGTCGCTCCCACCAGAGATCGCTGAAGTTACCAAATAGAGGCAGAATGGACACATGCAGAAGCAGGCCACAACAGAAGGGGAATACCAACAACTCAACGCCAAACATGGTAATGACCTTTACTATGGCCTCCAGAAGCTTGAGAAGCTGCTTGGCGTCCACAGAGAGTTTAGGCTTGGAGATCTTCATGTACAGGTAGACCAGCGAGGCAACAAAGGTGTATCCAACAAGAACCTCAAAGGCATGTGCTCCGAAAGTTGTGGGATTGTAGAATTTTGTGTTGTAAGAAGTAAGCTCGTCGGATATGGGGAACCAAGTAGAGCCAAATACTCCTCGCAGGAACTTCATGATTATGCCCTGGATGGCATCAATGCAATAGTTTATCGTATCGACATTCTTCTCGATAGTAAACATGGTAGCGCGGCCAATAGTGTAGGGAGAAAAGAGCAGAATGACTGTGAATCCAAAGTAAAGAGTGTATGCAGTGAATGTAGCTTGCCACAACGCCTTGAGGGGACCTGTGAAGCCCAAAAATGCCATCAGAGTATTGTCTTCCGCGGCAGCATCTAATGCAGCCAGCTCGTCGTCATCACGCCGAGCAGCCCGCGCCTGCTGTTCTCTCTGATCCTCTAGTCGGTTAATCTGATCCTGCATTCGTCGCATCTCTTCCAGCACCTGTCGGTCGTGCTGGACGTTGTTTCGTTGATCCTGCTGGAACTGGTTGAGGGCGTCAATGACATTTTCCACGTCTTCGTTGGCGCCTTCTCCTCCAATGCGTCGCATCACGTCAACTACGGCCTGAGCGTGTCTCTGCTTGATATCCTCCTCCTGGATACGGTCGAGCTCCTGTCGGAAGGCGAAGCAGTTGAGTACCCACTCACGCACAAAGAAAGGGACAATCACGGTTAGGAGATATGCACTGGTGATGACAAGACCCTCGAATGTCATGACAAAGAGCCCACTGTAAAGACCTCCATCTGTGAAGAAGAACTGGGGCAACAGTGCTCTACCGAGGGGGAAGGTGCTGATATTGTCCACTAGCGATTCCTCGATGAAGAGCTGGTGCGTGAACTTGAAGATTTTGAAAAAGAAGCCACTTGTGATGATGGGGAAAAGAATCAACCACTTGCAAGCCACCAGAAAATATCGCAACCACGTTTTCGTGCTCTTGAGCACGGATATCGATAATTGGTGTGAGAAGAGACCCAGAGGAATGTCCCTGGGCATGTCTGGTGAGTATATTTTGGTGAAGAGGAACTTCGTGTTGCATAGCTCGCACACCTGACCCTTCTTCGATGTGGTCAGCCACTCCTGTAAGCAACCCTGATGGACGTATTTGATACTTCCGGAACATTTGCACGGGTAGAAGAGTGGCTCCTCTGGTGTTTCCTCACACCTGCAGATACGACACGTTTCCATTTCGGGCTGTGATGTTGTTTTCTGTCGGAAGATGCGGTTGTGTTGCTGGATATGTGTCTTGTGCACAGACTGTCGGGGTTGTAGCCACTCTGTGCTGTTAAATAACTGATGGACGATCGGCTCTGGATGACTGTTGAATGTGTAGAGCGTGTAGCAGAAAGTATGGGGGTCTGTTGTACGTCAGCTGGCCCGAACAAGCGTGATATTGTTGTGTAAGTGTAAGCGTAAATGTGCTAAGTTCGAACGCATGAAAAAGTGTGACTGCTTAGTAAGAGAGTTTATTTAGGTGTCAACGTGATCCAGCGAGAGAAGATAATTCCCTTATGGGTGGCACCGATAAGTATCTGATCAAATCCATGTCCTGCTACCGACAGTGGTAGGGGATTATTCTGCACTTTCAACCGTTGCAGTGTCTTTTCTTCTGGTCTGTTGAGTTTTCTGTCATGTGTATGATTTCAAGTACAAGCGATTCATTCATTGATGTTTCACCGCACAAGTTTTGACATGCCATTTGTGTGTTTCATCGTATTAGCACCTGATATTATTGGTGGTTTAAATGGAACCCATACTTTCACGAGTACTCGTACCGGTACAAGTACTACAAGTACGAGTACAAGCAGTTGAAATCGTTACAAGTACTCCTCTCTCACCTTCTGATTGCAAAAACACGATTGACATTCTTTTATGTTTTGTTTATGGAAGCTCGATGTTGGATTTCCCTAATTGTACTGTATATGAAGATTATATTGCTTGCATATTGCTCTGAAATGCGAGTGGGATCGTAAAACAGAAACAAGTAGAAGTACCAACTTATCTTCAAATGCGCTCAGTTTTCCGTATACAGCAATATTCCAGGGAGTATGTGCTAATCTCACGTTCCAAGCCTCCAAAAGAGAAGTACATACTGGTAATTTTAATCTCACCCTTGCTCAGTTCGGTGAGACATCAACAGTATTACAAGTTACAGATACTTGTATTTGATTTAACGTGGAAACAAGAGTCGAAATGACGTGCAAAACAAGACAGACATTCTCCCTCTTGTAACTCGTTTTTCTACAGACGCTCTATATCTTCTTCTTGCTCTCCGTTTAGCTTTATGGATCCGTATCTATCGGAACTTTATCTACATCAACAACAGACACAACCCTTCTCTTCATCCACACAAACACGATGATCAGACGCCACCCTACCGCCATCACCGTGACCACGGCCGACATTCTCGAGTACGACGACCAGAAGCATCTTGAGGAAATGACAAAACACCAACAGAAGGCTCCCGAGAACCCAAAGTTCGAGCCTCCAAAGCCCCAGAAGGACCAGCGATCCAAGGAGGAGCGTCTGGGAATCAGGAACTAGGCGGAAGAAACGAAACTGAGTCGGGACTACAAGTCACAGAACAACCACAAAACAGATACAGTGGCTATCACGCTACTATTACGTCAATACTATTTATGAATGAAAGGAGGGACGGCGGCAGCGGTGTTTTATGTGTGACCCTCACAGTTGGACTGTAACCGCACAAACACAGCTTTGCACGAGTCACATTAACTCGTAGATCTCCCTATACCGATAGCTCTACGATATCACACAGCGGTTCAGGTGCTCATACATTTTGCATCTCATTGTAAGTAGCACTTCCTGATTACCTAATAGAGGTTAGGGTAAACTCTAATCCGCACTCTGTATGCAAGTGAATAGACAACTCCAAATTATCCACACGCTCTCTCTAGAAGACCCCCACGCAATAGCACCGGTAGTCTCGATACCCCGCCGGATCATCCAAGAATGCCAAGCACAGAACCTAGACGGTCGCGACGAACGCGTGTTGAAAGAAGTGAGTGTGTGAAAGAAGTGGATTGTGGTGTTTTGGACGTCCACTTGAACGCGTCAAATCTCAGACATGATATGAGGATACGTGATTGTGGTTGTGCAATCAACCAGGAAAGAAGGGCACACACATCTGGAGTTGTGTCCGTTTCGATTTCTGTTCGATTTACGCGTATCCTGCAGAAATCGCGTTCCTCACGTCCATACAAGTGATTCGCGTAGAACGCGTCTTCTGTGCCTCATGGTACTAACTCCAGCATACCACGACGACGCCTCTGATTCAGACGAGCCTGTAGTCCAGACACGACGAACCAAACGACACAAAACCAACAGCGGAAACGGCAACGCTAACACCAACCAGCTAATCGATCTTCCAGATGAGGCTGATGCGACTCCAAATTATCTGTACGATGCTCTATGCGATAGCGAGTCTTCTTTGACGGAGCTGGCACGTGGTTGGATCGAAAGCTACGAGGAAAACTCGACTTTTGCCATCCGGGACTTTGTCAACATGATTCTACGTCTAGCCGGATGCCATGACGTGATTGAGACCCACGACATTGAAGAGGGAGACTCAGCAGCAGCCACCGTGGCCCAGCTGCAGGACCACGTTCGAAACAAGTCGGCGGCGCAGTACCCCCTGGTTAACAAGAAACCGCCGCACAAATTTCTGCGGGACCATCTCAACGAGTTTCTGCGTCACCTGGTCACCTTTGCCAGCGACAAGGACCTGCTCTACGACGACGAGAGTGCCGAGGGCAACGTCATCGACAACCTGCTCATCTGGGTGTCTGCACTGTCGTCTTCAAAGCTGCGGCCTTTCCGTCATACGGCCACTGTAGTGTCTCTCATGTTTCTGACGAACCTGTGCAACGTGTACAGCTCTGTTCTGGAGCTCAAGGAGGACAATGAGAAGGTGCTGACGAATGCGGCATCAGGCAAGGGCCGTGCTTCCAAAGGAAGAAGCGATGAACGAGTCAGCGCAGCCAAGGACACTATCGAGACATGCTCCAACAAGATTGGCAAGCTGGCCAACTTCATGAACGACATTTTTGAAACTTGCTTTGTAAACCGATACCGAGACGTGGACGCACGAATCCGAAGTGAGTGTGTTCTGCAGCTCAACAACTGGATCGAAAACTTGCCGTCTGTTTTCTTTGAAGACCAGTATCTTCGATACTTTGGCTGGCTGCTGTTTGATACCGATCCCGGTGTACGAGAGTCGGTGGTCAACGGTCTGGCCAATCTTTTTGATACCCTCAACACTTCAGGTTTCTTGCATTTTACCGAACGATTCAGATCTCGTCTGGTAGAGATGGCTCAGAGCGACAGCGATCTGGATGTGCGGGCTGGAGTGATTGAGTTCCTCGTGCTTCTGCAGCAGGCCGGGTTCCTTGAACAGGACAATGTAGACAAGGTGATAATGCTGCTGCTGGATGCCAATGACGTGGTCAGAGAGCAGGTGGTTGATTTCATCGTGGACTACTGCAACGAGCAGAGTGAAGACGAAATCAAAAACATGGGCAGGAAGGTCAAGGCTGTCAAGAGTGTCGACGCCAAATGGGTCACCTACAAGAGTGTCGTGTCTGTGGTAAGCAGTGCTATCGCCTTGCCTAGGGACAACGAATCGGAAGAGAACGAAGATGATGATGAGAGCTCAAATGCAAACATTGAAGTCGGAGCCACCATCGCCGAGGACCTTACGCAACATTACGAGTCCGAAGATGTTAAGAAACTGCTTTCATACCTGCTGTTTGATCCTTCTTCGTTATCCAAGGACAAGTTTGAGGAGCAGCTGAGCACCATTCTGCAGCTCTCTGCCAGCCAACAGACGTTCTTGTTGCAACTAATCTCTGCTTGTGTGGAGGGTGTTTTCAAGGAGGCGAAGGGCTCCAGAAAGGCTCAAGATTCGAACGATACAGAGACTATCTCCTCTCTGATCATCGACGAGACTCCTGCTCTGTTGGACAAGTTTTCGTCTTCGTCTGACATGCTGACTTTGATCCTGCAGTTGCATTCCAAAGTCGACTTGTCTCTCTACACTGTCAAGCGACTCGAAGACCAGTTCTCTGAGCTGCACTCTACCATTTGCCGTATTTTCAAGACCCATCACAACCGACAGACCCAGCTACAGTGTGTCAAGTTCCTTGCATCTGCCAAAAAGCAGGATATTTTCCCCGAATCCACGCTTCCAAAGCTCGCTGACTTGATGGCTGAAATTTCCAGCGACTTTGCCAACGTACTGTCGGACCCTGCAGCTGACTGGAACACAATTGCCTCCGCTACTCAGAGAGTTGAGGTCCTGTGTCAGTTTATGCCCTTCTCTGAAATATCTTCTGACGACTCTCTTCTGGACGAAGTGATCGCGAAGGTCAAGTCTGCTGTTGAAGACGACGATGCAAACACCGAGATTGGCGACTTCATCAACTCTGCCATCAACCTGCTTCGTCTCCAGCTGCTCTGGTCCATTACAAACAGCGATTCGTCTTCCGACTCGGCGTCAGATTTTATTTCCGAGGTCCTGGGTGCCATGAAGGAGGTGTTCATGAAGGAGGATATGCCTATTAGTGCCACTATTAAGACGGCAGGCCTCTTTTTGGAGATTCTCGTTGCACTGAAGATCAAGGACAAGCTTACCTCGGTAGGCGATATCATTGACAATGATGTACAGGCACGTATCATGTACCTGTTCATCAATGCCGAGTACACATATTTCGAGGATCTTGGGGAAGACGCTCCTGCGATTGAGCGACTTCCCGCTCTGTTATCGTCGGACGACGAGGAACAACTTGAGGCTAACCTGGAGTCCAAGAACCCGTTGGAGGACTTGCAGTGGCTGCTGTCGAAGATCTCCTTGGCTGTGACAGCTAAGATCTTGGACGAAAAGTGGAACTCACGACTGACACTTAACCAGAAGTTGTATGGGTAAATATGGGACTATTATCGATTAAGGGAGGTTATTTAGACGGCTGTGTAACTAATATTATGATGTACAATACGACTACTGTTTGATTAATAAATACATTTCTATAATTACAATTTGCTTAGCTTTCTGATCGCTCTCTTGTCTCCGCCAATCTGATCCAGTAAAGAAGAGATCACCTTTGAGGGGTTAGATTCAAGAGCCGCCAGCACTGGGGTTCGGCTTGTGTAGGGGAATTTTTGAGCCTTTTTGTCAATAGAGTGATCAATCACGTGAGTGGCATCCTCCAACCGGGCGTCTTTACGGGCCAGCAGGCCTTCGATATCCAGACTCTCTCCGTGGGGGATAGGATCTGGGTGGGTTGGAGTGATGCAGTCAAAGTCCACCTCTTTTCGAAGCACGTGGTCGATATCCACGGCGGAGAAGAAAGCACAGCCCTGGGGAATGTCATCAATACCAGATTGCTGACAGAACATGCCTCGAGTCCAGATGTTGGACACTTGCAGAGCCATGGCAGCTCGGTAGGCATCTTCGTTCTTGACCAGGAATCGCAGCTCGTCATGCACAGTGATACAGAGTCGCATGTCAATGTCATACTTGGCTGCAAGGTACTCCATGGAAACTACAAGCATGTGCAGGTAGTCGACACCTGACGACTGGATGGTCCAGTTGACTCGAGAGGTCATGAACGATGACTTCTTGAGGTTCTGAGAGGAGAGAGCCTTGGTGATGACGGCTCCCAGAACAGGAGTCTCGGGCATATCCTGGGTGGCAATCTCTTCGAGCTTGTTGAAAAGAATACTCTCGGTTCCTCCAGAGTACTTACCAATCGAGTAGATCTTCTTACCCTTGGTAGAAGTGTAGAGCTGGCCTGCAAGCGTGGAAGCTTCGGCATCTGTGACATTGGGAGAAAACTGCTTGAGAAGCGCTTCGGCAAACTTGAGACCTGCTCCGTAGATACGGCCGTAGTTGAAGATTTTGGCCTCGTTTCGAGAAATTCCTAGAATCGAGGCTGTCTTGGAATGAAGGTCGGTGCCTTCGGACTTTGTGCCCTCCAGAGTCATCCAGCCAATGGCGGTGGAGCCGTGGTTTTTAAAACAAGAGTCGCCGTAGAGAGAAGCAATCCACAGCTCCTCGGAGTCCACATCTGCTCCCACAAAGGAGTAGCCCGGAGGAGCCTTGATCATAGACTTGAGTTCGGATCCGATTCGATTCTTCTTGGCGTTGGAGGCTGTCAGCCAAGTATTCTCAACACATCGTCGGGTGATGGTGCCCATGGGAATGATTCTGGGAATGATAATTCCAAATCCAGGACCACGGCCCATATCCACACCATCCCCGTCCCAGATGCAGTGCTGAGACATGATTCGAGACCGGTTGGACACCCAGTAAGAGGAGCAGACAGACATCTCGAACATCTCCTTGGTCTGGGGGTTGTCTGAGCTCAGGGTCCCCTTCTCAAAGTGTCCCAGGAAGGACTTGCCCATGAGCTGTGTGGTTCGAGTGTTACCGCCATCCTTATGAGGAATTCTGAAACACAGGGTCGAGCCATCATCTCGAAGATGCGGCTCTGTATCGAGAGTGGCCAGTTTGTACTTCTTGGCCTCGAAATGAGCCTGCTCAGAAACAGGAACTCGGAACATCCAGCCTTCCTTGTCACTCCAAACAACAGGGTAACCTTCCCATTTCAAACGCAGCAACAACGGAGTGATTCGTGTCTTTGTGGTGATATGCATAGGTCCAGCAGACGACTTGAACAAGGCCTTGTACCATTCAGGGTAACCGGGGAACTTGACGTTCTTTGGAAGCCGTTCACCTCCTCCTTGCTTGGCAGGAATCTTCACCATCTTGATGGGCTTAATAGTCCAGTCCAGCTGCGACAGCCAAGGATCGTTGAGCCAGGGCTCCTTATCAGCCTCATCCTTGAGCTTGACTGCTTCAGTAACCAAAGACTGGAGACCTTCGTCAATAGATTTCTTCATCTTCTGGTACATGTTTTCGCACCGGTTAAGGTAGTCTTTCCACTCTGAGTCTGTGGGTAGGATTGCCGAAGAGATGTTCTTCAATGCCGTGAAACTGACGGGATGGGGGCACGTATCGAGGAACAGCGGAAGAATCTTCTTGAACACCTGTGCGGTGATTTCTACATCAGTGATATTGTAGTCAATAGCCTGCTTGACACGCTGCTGCAGCTCACCCAACGATTCTTGACTGAAAAGCTCACGGTCATCCTTAGACATGACGAGTCCGTTCAAATGCAAATGAGCCACTTCAGCTAGCGAATTTGTGGCAGAAACCATGACCCAGGGGTCCTCAGAGTAAGCATCTGCAAGATCGTCTGAGATATCCAGCAGCTCGTTAACGTTCTCCTCGTTACTCAGATCCTCATCATCCAACAGCTTCTTCATACGTTTCTGGCCCTTTCGAGCCTTCATCCACGTTCCTCGTTGTCGAGAACACATGCCGTTGACAGAAACATGCAGTGACAGAGTATCCATGAAAAAGTTTTTCGTCTGCTTAAGGGAGTACTCTTCCTTGACTGCTTGACGGTCGTAGCCAATATTGTGTCCCACAATCACCCGAGGTTCATCCGGTGGACCCAGGGGGATAAGATGCATTGATTCCTGGGGATGGTTGACAATCAGGTTTTCCCCATCTAGACTCTTGGTCTTTTCCTCCACATCCACGCCAGTTTCGCGTGACTCCACCAGCCAGGGACTGAGCCAGACATACCAGGCCTCAGTACTCACGGCGCTTGCCATCACAGGGTATCCACTCACCTTGTAGAGCACCTCGATATCAAAGACCAGGCCGTTTTCTTTGGGGTAATCTACTCGCTCTGGTTTCTTCCCCTTGGCGTATCTCATCCATCCACTGATATCTGTCTTCACGTCCCTGGGCCTAGGTTTGGCAGGGAACTCCTTGGTCATCATGCCCTGGATAATATCCATGTAGGGTTCCCCCATAACTTTAGCCATTCGATAGAAATGCTCGTCCAGACTGGATCCAAGCATTGGAGGCAAGTCGAAATCGATGATGTTTTCCTTCTTGGTCTTCTTGCCCAGTAGTTCGTGTTTCATCAGATGATGCTTGGCCATAGCCTCCAACTTAACCATCTCAGGCTTGGTCAAGGAGTTAGTCTGGTTGTAGTCCCCGAAAAGCTGGTTGTACAAACCTGAAGACAACATCTGAATCCCCATGGGGTTGATTCGTCGTCCTTCAGAGTCAACCTCAACGTTCCCTTGTTTCATTGCCTTGTGGGCCTTCTTCACAGGCTCCTTCACATCCTCCACATCCTCCCAAGCATTCGGATCCATATTCATGTGGTCAAATGTGTCGGGAAATACTGGAGCGCCCTGTGGATCAAAAGTGGCATCCCATCCAACGGCTCCAAAATCGGACTCTTGTCTTCTGGGACCAGGTCTAAGAGGGATGGCACTGTGTGTCAATAAGCGGTGGAGACGGCTGGGCGAGGGCACTTGGCGGGTAACGTACCCTATGCCTTGGCTCCATCGCCTGGAAACGCCCCGAAACCGCAGCATCGTATATGTCGTCAGGTCGGGCGGAAACTGTTATCGGTTAAATCTAGTCTGGTGCTTGTAAATACACCTGCACTTTAGGCACTAATAATTTAGATCGCTTGCAGCATCTGCAAAAAGTTCGTGCCTAATTGGGACAGTGGTGTGTGATGCGACGAGGCTAATTAGGGGGCTCAAGAATAATTTTTCAGTACACTTTCGAGGAGAGGCAAGTGCGATCTCAAGCCGGATGAGTTGCCGTCTCGCTTGAAAGGTTCATTGCATGAAGGTAAATGCCACAAGTGACATAGTCATAATCTGTTCACTCATAACCTGTGAACTTGACGTGGTCTGTATCGTAATTACAAGAAGTATGTACGGTACTTGTAGTGTATTGTACTCGTCCCATGGACTCATGTCATTAGGAAAGAACCATTTGACCATTTGCCACCGAACTACAGCACCCAATGAGACTCTAACATAGAGCAACGTCACTAATGGCCGATAACTACCGTACAAATACCCAAATACCCCTTACCGTACCTACGTAACAAGTCCATTGTTGAGTCCGTACGTCACTGTCACTATTGCCGCAAAAGCCGATGGACGCATATCCGTTGCATGGGACACTCATTTTTTTTCCATAAGCTCTGGGATGAAAAAATGAGTGGGGATTTACACGATAGGTAAAATAGGTGGAGTAGTGATGTATAGAAGCTACCTTTTCACGGTTCTCCGTTGACGTATTATCACAGTATGATTGTATCGAAGCTGCGACCGTGCTCGCTCGTACGATACATGACATAAACGAGGCGGACTCCATGCTACAGAATGTGATGTACGAGGAGAGTATACGGGTACATGTGCTCGTACCTACAGGGTACGATTTTCTAGGCAAAGCAACGTATTCGGGCCGATGGGGTGGACCTGTATTGAGAGTGGAGAAGGGATGGGTAAAAAAAAGGTAAGCATCGCCTACTGTAGGTACTTGTAGGGAACAGTGGGGGGTGGGGGACCTGACGAATGGTTCACGTGACGTTGAGGGTTGACTCATAACATCTTCGGGCTGTAAAATATTATTTACCATCAAAACCAGACATTTCCAATTCATGTCCCAACCGATTTCGGAACCACGAAAAAGACAAGTGGGCTACAAGTGTCAATAATGGTGAGATTGACAGGAAAAATAGGGTTGAGAACGGAGCTAACTTCTATTGTCTGCACACTTAGGGTTCATTTAATTATAACCCTAGGGTGGGGGTCGGGAGAATTTAGCCGATGGTGTGAAGGGTTGTTGTAAGACAAGTTACAGTGCCTGAGACACGTTGCGCCTCCTACAATAGACAACGACATGTGGATTACAGACGGTTCGCTGTCTTCTATTTGCTTGTCCACTCCTTATACCACGTTGGGCCAAAGTGTCTCAGGAATCTGTTTCAGTCCCATAAATAAATACGGCCTAAGTTTTTCTAGGCTTGGCGATGTGGAGTACATACCCCAGTAGCTCTGTTGGCCGTGAGGAGAGAGTATGAGAGCACTCATTTCGGCTGTTTTGCAGTTTTATTTTTTGCGCAGGCTCACCGCTATCAGATTGATTTAACCATGCGGCTATACCGCAACCCGACAGTCCTAATGGTTGTCTAAAAGTGTCGTTTGCGTGCCTGTCTTTGTCCACGGTTGAACGTCAAAGTATCGCGGACCTGCTCCGTCCCGAGAGCAACATTACTATGTCTGTGCTGGTTGGCCCAGAATCCAGAGGCGTGATTTATAGAGAGTAGTACAAGTAGGGTATGTACAATATTGCACTGATACGCGTACAGTAGTGCAGCCCGATCAGTTTCATACAACTAAGTGCACTGCACACTTGTAGTTTGTAGAGATGTTACCGAGCGAAGCAAAATATTGCGCACTAATGCCGCTGGCCTCACGCCCGATATTATGGCACACGACGACACCATCACGACTTGGGATCACACTTTCTTTTCGACATCTGCACAGATCTCCTCCAACTTCCCTTGTCCATCTCATCTCATCTCGATGCAGTTGAACCCCCTCGACTACAAGATGAGCGATCTCAGACCTCCTGTAACATCTCAGTGAGCCTGCAGAGAGAGGTGTGCATGGCATCTATAGGTCTGATGGATCTGTCTCAGCCAAGACAGAGACACCATATCGACGAAGGAGAAGTTGGGGTTCGGAAACAGGACCGAAGATCAAAGAGAGCCCTAACTTGCACAAACAACGACCGTACCCTTCGTCGAATCGTACAAGCCCACTTGTTGTATGATGCAACCCTTGTCTTCTTGCTCCCTGTTTTAACCTCCGATTGTCTTCCCAGCCCGCCATGAGCCCGCCCAGGGCTTAAGTCCTAAAGCCTTTAGTGGAGGTTATTTGCAGAAAAGTTTTGGGCGACAAAGCGCTGTCAAAAGTGGGTATAAAACGAAACTATAGAGCCGTAGGAATTGTCTCAAAGCCACCATGGAACAACTGTATTTGTGACATGTTCACCGAAGCAAGTGAGCCTTCTCTAGGCTTACCAGATTTGTCCTTTTGACACTTCCATTTGGACAGCCAGCTGTAGCTCGCTAGGTTAAACTCCAAGGTGCACCTGCAACCAACTTTTATTACCCAACCCAAATGACGGAAAGGCCTCCCTTCATGCACCAAGACTCTAATGGGAAGATTTATAGTATACTTGCCCTTTGTGCGTATATGTATATGTGAAGTGTCGGTGAAGGGGATCCTATCGCGAAATCTCTTTTTCATCTCATCCGCTTGCCCACCGAGAAGACCGCACTACGACCGGGTGCGCGCCTCAAGCTACAGCGGCAAAACCGGAGTTGCTAATCACATCGACAGAAACACGTTATCAAAAGTGCCACACATTCGATCTGACAACGTTGAACAATACGACAGAGCGATACAGAGCGCGCGGCACAAAACTCGCACAACGAGCTCAACAAGTGTCGACAAACGAGGTTTTCGACTTTGAACAACACCGACTCACAGTCGCTCATTACGAACCACAATCACCACATACCTCGGCTCGTGGGCTCAACCTCTGATACACAAGGCGCTGGTGCAACAACCACGCCCACGCAACACTACAAAACACACACAGAATGAAATATGATGCAACCACCATTGCCATCACTCTCCTCTTTCTTATTCTCTTCCAGTCCACACATGTGCTAGCTACGGACGTTACCGACTCGTCAGACCCCCTGTGGGACAGCAAGTACACAACCTCGCAAAACCGGTCCCTTCGTATCGTCTCCATCTGCTTCTCTTCACTCTCGTTGCTAGCAGGAACCTATGGAATCTTCTGGTTTTTCTATCACCAGTATAAGAAGCGACATCTGACAAAGAACGCTGGATTTCGAAGCCGCGTAATCAAGTTCCGACGAAAACTGGTGCTCGCCTTGATTCTGTTTGACTTCCTCAAAGCACTCATGCTAACTATTTATCCCGCAAAGAAGCTGTGTGGAACTCCAGACTCGCCACAATTTGCAGCAGTCATTGGATGGTTCACAAACGTGGCAATTGAGGGTGGCGATATGTCTGCCTTTCTCCTGGCCGTGCAGACAGCCATGATGGTGTTTGCTCCTCAAAACGAGCACTCAAAGGACAACCTGTGGAACAGAAAATTTGCCAAATACTTTCAAAATGGTCTGTATCCCTACAGAAAGTACATTTACGTCTTTTGCTTCACCATCTTCCCCACCTTGCTGTCTTCATTGGCATTTGTTGGAACAAGCTACCCAGCTGCCCAGGACCTGGGCTTTCGAGGATATGTTCCTCTGCCTACATTTGTTTTTCTGCCAGCATCTCCGACCTGGTATCGGGCTGTTCTTTCGTGGGGACCGCGGTATTTCATCATGTTTGCCATTTTCGCGATTTACATTGCAGTATTTATTCATGTGAGACGGGAGTTTAAGAGATTGGATGTTTCGATGGCCGAATTGGCTGGTGCGGAAGAAGGAGGGGCTTTGGAGGATAAGGTGGAGTCCAGCAAGGGGTGGAAGAGGGTGCGAATCTGGCTGAGTCATTTCCCCGGTCTAGGTATGCTGTATCATCACCATCATCACTACCCAGGCGTTGAAGAGGATATTTATGGGGAGGGTGAGAACGAAGTTTGGCCTGGGGTTGGTCGACAGGAGAGTTCTTCGGATTTGGAAGCTCAGGACGACCCCCTATCTACGCCTCCAGGTAGTCCTACTCGCACCCCAGATAGTCCCACGGAGGACGAAGGGCCTGTTGCTGCTACTCCCGGCAGAAGAGCTGCCAACCTTGCAGATTTGCAGTCGCATATCAACAAACAGAATCTCAAGCGGTTTCGGCAGCGACGGGCAGACATCGAGCGTCAGATGAACTACATTTTCATTTACCCTTTGGCGTATCTCCTTCTATGGACAGGTCCCTTTGTTCAACAGGCCATGCAGTATTCCAAACACAAGAACGAATACAGCAAGTTCTCGATCATGATTTGGGCGGTTGTCAGCCAGGCTTCCAACTGCTTCATTGATACGGTTGTCTTCATTCTTCGAGAGTCCAACTATCGAAAGTGGAGACGGGAGAGAAAGCTGCTGAAGCAGGCTGAGGAGAGGAAGCAGGAGTGCACAAACTGCAACGAGCATAGAAACAAGCCTCACGATGATGACAACCAGTCCAGAAGTGAGGAGAACGAGTCGTCGGCCGGAACTATAATTTCGCTACCTACTTTTGGTAACTATGAAATGAGGTTTGGAGGAAGTGGCGGTGGAGATGGTCCAGATGTGAGGGAGGCGCCGGACTCTCGGGAGTCGGATCCTCTTTCAGCCCCTCCGTCAGCCCCTCCGTCAGCCCCTCCATCTGGCTACCAGACACCTACGTCGGTGACTTTTCCCCCCCGTTCCACTGCCAAGAGCCCCGAGAAGGACAATGATACTGTTCCTGAGATGATGTTTGTGCGGTCTCCTGGTGGAGTTACCTTTGGTGTTCCATTTGGCAGGCGGTCTGGTGACCTGGATCGAGAACAACCTCATAGTCAGGGTCTTTGTCAGCGAGACTCTCATCGGGACCATCATAGAGGTAGCATCAGCTGGGGCTTTGGAGGACGACGCAAGAGCGAGTTCAGCACTGGAGACGAGGAAGTCGATCTGGTTGACTTTTTGCGCCAGTAAGGGATTACGAGTGGTCTACGCCAGCATTGTATATAGGCTAGGACCGGCACTATTTATTTATTTATTGCATAATCACTAATATAATTAATTTCACAGGAGCAGGGTAACAGCATGTCACTACTTGTAGGTAAGAGTATCGTACATATTGTTACAATATGTACAGTACAACTTGTATGCAGTTGTGCGTAAACTCAATAACTGATGCGCATGGCCCTTGACGCGTCTCAACCCTTTCCCTAAATGAGTCTATATAGCTGCTCGTGTTTCGCGTTTTCTTCCCCTTCCCCCAAACATTCACACAAACACAAACATAAACAGCATGTCTCTCAAGGTTGCCTTCCTCAACGAAAACGCCCGAGCCCCCACTCGAGGCTCTGTGCACGCTGCTGGCTACGATCTGTATGCTGCCGAAGAGAAGACTATTCCTGCCAACGGTCGAGGTCTGGTTGATCTGGGTCTGTCCATGTCCATTCCCGAGGGCACCTACGCTCGAATCGCTCCCCGGTCCGGGCTTGCTGTCAAGAATGGCCTGAGTACTGGCGCCGGTGTTATTGACTACGACTACCGAGGCCCCGTCAAGGTGATGCTGTTCAACCACAGCACAGAGGACTTCAACGTGACCATTGGTGACCGGGTTGCCCAGATGATTCTCGAGCGAATCGTCACCCCCGAGGTCCAGGTTGTCCAGACCAACGATCTGGAGTCCACCGAGCGAGGAGCTGGCGGGTTTGGTTCCACCGGAATCAACGACGAGAAGAAGCGTAAGTTGGACGAGGCTGAGGCTAAGGAGTGAATGGCACAATCAAAAGTGTGGAACGCTTACTAATCCAGCTCTGTAATCAGTCTTATGACTAAAAACGCATCATTGTGTGACTCATGATCTGTTAAACGACATATCCAAAACACCACGCACATTATTTATCTAATTGATACACATTTAAGGAATTTATGAAATATCCCCAGTAAAATTATGACTAAGGAGTTACAGCAACAGTAGAGTTCCATATCGGACCTGAATCTCCAGTGACTGACTCAGAAGCCGAGTCACATACATACGACAGTGATGTTCTGCAAAACAGACAAACACACAAGATTATATATAAAGGTCCAGTTCAGCAACTGTACAGTAGTTTGAAGCTGTTTCATACTCTGCACTTGTACTTGTACTTGTACTTGGTACTTGTAGTGAACTCAAGTTTCACCCATTCAGGTCTCGAAAATCAGCCTGAACAGCTGTTCTTGACAACAGTCACTTTCTGTAGAATCACATACAGAGAGTCCTTGTGGTAATACCGGTACATGTACCTGTGTTATTCGCATTCTGCTCGTCTAATCAAAGCCGAAATCCGATGTGGAAATCCGTCTCGTCAGCCAGCATCTATAGCTATCGCCCCCGACCCCGCCCACTAACCACATGACACATCTAGACCGGCCCGATGTCCGCTGCTTTATCTTTAGAATCTAGGGTCTGACTAAAACCAGGCTTAATTTTCGTTCGAGGCCAATTGTGGGGCTTAAATTTATAAGCAACAAGGGTTTGGGCAGCTAGTGGGGTGATTGGTTTAAGCAGATTTGGAGTCCGGGTATCTGTCGAAACACTTCCCATATCACCGGTCGGGCATTTAGACATTGTTCAGCGAGTTTCATTGTCCTCGGACCCGCCTCAATTTCGATCTTGATGCAATCGACAAACAGCTCAGATCGTGAAAATTTCAGATTTTTAGACTTCCAGCCAAGCGGTGTATAAACACATCGTAGGTCCACATAGAAAAAGGACCACTTCGAATCACACTTTAAAAGGGTGCAACACTTGCTACTTTGCCCTCACCACACCTACTGTCACACAGAATCATGCTACGACTAAAGACTCCGGCCCGACATCTGTTTGCCCAGGCACGACGTTTCCAGTCCACTACCGCTTCTAATGGCAACGGAACTGCAGTGGTACTGGTTAACATGGGAGGTCCTTCCACCGTACCTGAAACATACGATTTCCTGCTCAGGCTCTTTTCCGACAAGGATCTGATCCCTCTGGGCCCATTCCAGGGTCCTCTGGCCAAATTCATTGCCTGGAGACGAACCCCCGTGATTGAGAAGCACTACGGAGAAATTGGAGGAGGATCTCCCATCAGAAAGTGGTCCGAGTTGCAAGCAGCCGAGGCCTGCAAAAAGCTCGATACTCTGTCGCCCGAGACTGCTCCCCACAAGCCCTATGTGGCTTTCCGATACGCTAACCCCCTTACTCCCGACACATATGCCCAGATGAAGAAGGACGGCATCAAGCGAGCCATTGCCTTCTCCCAGTACCCCCAATACTCGCTCTCCACCACCGGCTCCTCTCTCAACGAACTGTACCGAGTGCGAAAGGAGCTGGACCCCAACGAGGAGATTGAGTGGTCCGTAATTGACCGATGGCCCACCCACCCCGGTCTCACCAAGGCCATGGCTGACAACGTCAAGGAGCAGCTGGCTGCCTACGAGAAGGAGGGTATCAACCCCGAAGATGTCACCATCCTCTTCTCGGCACACTCTTTGCCCATGGAGGTTGTCAACAAGGGCGACCCCTATCCCGCTGAGGTTGCTGCCACGGCCTACGCTGTCATGACTAACCTGGGCTTCTCCAACCCCTACAAGCTGGTGTGGCAGTCGCAAGTCGGCCCCAAGCCCTGGCTGGGAGCGCAGACACAGAAGATGGTCGACGAGTACCAGAAGGCCAAGAAGCCCATCATTCTGGTCCCCGTGGCTTTTACCTCCGATCACATTGAGACTCTGCACGAGCTGGATCTTGAAGTTCGAGGAGAGGCCGAGCATCCCGAGCTGATTCGACGAGCCGAGTCTCTCAACGACAACCCTCTTTTCCTCGATGCTATGGCCGACATTGTGCACACTCATCTGCGAATTCTGAATGGTGACGTGACTGCCGCGGAAGTTGCCAAGGAGAAGGGTCTTCAGTCCAAGATTCTGCGAATCAAGGGTCCTGGAGCCCAGGGCGAGCGAGGCGCGTTCCACGAGGCCATCAACGCTAGCGGATAGATATTCTCGGACGGTTTGTAAATAAGTAAATTAGTAGATAAGTATATAGAGGTGATAGACATTGGATGAGCAATGATGGATGAAGATGAATTAAGATGAAAGTCGTCGTAGAGATGACGCAAGAGACACTCTCCACACTGAGCAACTTAGAAACGAGCTTGCAGCTGGGAAGGCACGCCAATGCAAGTAGACGGTTATCTGCACAGCAGCTTCTCGCCATTAGGCCCATTGTTTCACTTGCGCTCTTGACTGTACCAATTAGATACAAATGGGTACGAACTGTAGTGGAACAGTCATCATAGGGTGTAGCGAAGCAAATACGCGAGACTGAAACACTGCCCTGTGAAAGCTGTGTTTATACTGTCTCGAAACTTTCAGACCTGTTTAACGCCACTGACAATCAATTGTACCTCCAAAGTTCTGAACCTAACTCCAATTCTAAGGCGGACTGGGCCAGTATATAAGACACCATGGGGAACAGATACTAGCAACCATACTATTCTTCTTTATCGTACACCAACAAAATGCCCGACGACCACCGAGAGTCTGGCCACGACCACCCCGTCGAGGTGGAGGATCTCCAGAGACACTACCAGATCAAGCTGATCAAGCTACACCCCATTGAGAATGCAATCTTCATTGCTAAGTTCTTCATTGTGGGTCTCTACTTCTACTACACATTCAAGATTGACTACCAGTACTACGTTGCGTCGTACGGCTGGGAATTGGCGGCTCCAATTGGTGCGCTAGCCCTTGAATGGATCACCTATCCTGTTGCCTTCGTGCTGCAATATACCCAGGAGACTGGTCGACAGAAGTACCAGTACATTCGACTGGCAGCCAGTGTGGTGGCTTGGATTATTCGATTCACCTTCTACGGTAGATACGAAGTTAGACGCGAGGTTTTCATTGTTGTTGCTGTGGCCATTTCCTCCATTATTCTGTGGTTTGCAAAGTGGCGAGTTGCTCTCCACCAGCGAGCCATTCAGCGTTCTTTTAACAGAGCCGTTGATGTTGATCCTGAGCAACAATAAGCAAACTGGGAGGTCAATTGACACACTATATCTAACTTAACACATTCATTTCGGGTTTATGACGACTTTTGTACTGATGAGGAGCATTGAGCGATTGAGAGAGAAAAAGAGTGGTGTTATTGTGTTTTAGTTGACAAGTCAACAAACCCCAAGTAATATTGTCAAACTTAATTCTATTGTTTAATTTAGGCGATATGCGATATGGAACTGTATTGGAGGTGGGGGGTATCTACTTGAAAAGTACAGGACAACCACTTAGGCGTCGCCAAAACGCAGACTGTAGACCAAAAAAGTACATGTTTAATAAAATCAAAAGATGCACACAGGCGGGACACAAGCTGACATCCATAACACACTCGACTATCCACTGTAGCACTGGCTTTAATGCTCTCATTTATAATTAAACATACACGTGATTATAGAGTTTGGGTGCACCTTGTCTAACATTGTTCGTTGCTCACCACGAGACTTGAGCAAGATTTTTTGTAGGGAACTTCCCTAGGAACGCGAGCTTTCGACACCAACCACCCAGTCCCTCAAACATGGCCTTTCCATGGGCAGATAAGTGGGCAGCCGATGCGTCTGCATCTACAGGGCTGCCTCCGGACCTCCTCAAGATTGCATTCACTCTGGTCATGTCTTATCCGCTGAGTTCTCTCATGAAACGGCTGCCAGATGACGCCAAAAACCTCAAGATCATCTATATCATCTCCGTGTCCATCTTCTACATGGTGGGTGTCTTCTCCCTCTATGGCGGAGCTGCCACTCTGCTCTTCTCCTCAATGGGTACCTTCTTCATCACCCAATGGAAGAGCCCTTACATGCCCTGGGTCAATTTTGGTTTTGTCATGACCCATCTCTTCGTCAATCACCTGCGTTCGCAGTTTTTCCCCGAAACATACGACCCCAATGTCATTGACATCACCGGAGCACAGATGGTTCTGTGTATGAAGCTATCGTCTTTTGGATGGAACGTCTACGATGGATGGCAGATTGAGAAGGGTGAGCAGCTCAGCGAGTTCCAGACTAAAAGGGCTGTTCTCAAGCACCCCAGTCTTATGGACTTCCTAGCTTTTGTGTTCTACTTCCCTTCCATTCTGACAGGTCCTTCTTACGACTATATGGAGTTCCATAACTGGCTCGATCTCAGCCTGTTCAAGGAGCTGGAGAAAGATAAGGACCCCAAGCGAGCTGCTCGACGAAAGCGACACAAGATCCCCCGATCTGGAATCGCTGCTTCCAAGAAACTCGCCGCTGGTATCTTCTGGATCGTTCTGTGGACCCAGGTGGACTCTCGAATCTCCACCGCCTACGCTTACTCAGACGCATTCACCAAGGAGCACAACATCTTTGGACGAATTGTGTACCTCTACATGCTCGGTTTCATGTACCGACTCAAGTACTACGGAGCCTGGTCCATTTCCGAGGGAGCCTGCATCTTGTCTGGCCTCGGATTCCATGGCGTGGACCCCAAAACTGGCAAGTACAAGTGGGACCGTGTCCAGAACGTGGACCCGTGGGGATTCGAAACTGGTCAAAACACAAAGGCTCTGCTGGAGGCCTGGAACCAGAACACTAACAAGTGGCTACGAAACTATGTGTACCTCCGAGTGGTGCCCAAAGGCCAAAAGCCTGGATTCCGAGCCACTATCTTCACATTTGTGGTTTCCGCCTTCTGGCATGGAACTCGACCTGGCTACTATCTCACCTTTGTGACCGCTGCCATGTACCAGTCTGTTGGTAAGTTCTTCCGACGATACCTGCGACCCTTCTTCATGGAGTCTGATGGAAAGACTGCCGGTCCCTATAAGATCTACTACGACATTGTGTGTTGGATCGTTGTCCAAACCGCATTTGGATACGCTACCCAGTCCTTTATGATTCTAGACTTCTGGCTGTCGCTCAAGTGTTGGAAGAACTCCTGGTTCCTGTACCACATTGCTCTGGGCGCCATCTTTGCAATTTCTAGCCCCTACAAGGCATGGGCGATTCCCAAGATCAAGAAAAAGCAGGCTGGAGCCGTCACTGACAAGAAGGACGCCAAGGAGGAGGTGAAGAAGGACACCATCAAGACCAAGTAATTAAATTGGGCATGGCATACTGTGTACGAGTACGTTAGATAATTGTGGCATAGACAATAAATAAATTTATTTAATGAAGCTAATTAAGTCTCGTATCTGTACGACAACTCTTCGTCACCCATCCACTCGTCGTGTTCGGAGACTACACCCTGCTTTTGCAGCTCATCCCGTCTTCGATTCTCTTTAGTGAGCACCCACCAAAGAATACCGGTGATAACAATCTCAGCTGCGACAAATCCCAGAGCTGTGGCATGCCCAGGTATGTATCTGGGTGCTGTGTTGCTTCTGTATATTTGAACACCATAGATGGGTGCAATGTCTCCGATCATGATCTGGATAGCAGCTGCCACAGAACGTTTCGTTTGACCAGAAACATTAATACTGGGCCACGAGAGGAGAGTTCCCAAAGCTGGATAGATGCCAGCAGCTGCGAAACAGACACCCACGTACTTGGCACCAGGGGTATGGGTGGTTAGTAGGAGGATGTATCCAATCAGAGCAACAACACTGCCGGCAATGATATACAAACATCTGTTTCGGGTTCTTTCTGCCAATAGAGCCGCAGCCAGAGTAGTGATAGTTGCAGCGGCGTAAACAGGAACCGTCAGAAGCTGGGAAACAGTGGTTGAGTAGCCAAAGTTGTTGATGATGGAAGGTAGGAACATGGACAAAGTGTATAGAGGAAGAGCTAGGGCGTGGAAAGAAATAGCATATAGCCACACTCTAACATCGGTGAATGCTCTCCATACCCATTTCCATTCAAAGGACTCTTCATTGGCTGCATCTCCGTCCATTTCTAGTCTCTTCTTGACAATCTCTCGTTCTTCTTCACTCAAGAATCGAGCTGTAGAGGGATAGTTGAAGATGAGAAAGTAGGCAGCAATGGCCACGACGACTGTGACGAGACCTTCGATTATAAAGATCCATGCCCAGCCTCCTAGTCCTGCAATGCCTTTCATGAAGCCAATTCCGTAGGCCAGGAGACCCCCGAAAGCTCCGGCCAGGGCCGCACATGCGAAAAAGAGAGCCACACGGTAATGAATCTCGTTCCGCTGATACCACATGGAGAAGTAAAAGAGAACACCAGGGAACAGACCTGCCTCTGTAACACCTAGAAAGAACCGATTGGCTAGAAACCCCGAGGAGTTGGAGACCACTCCAGTGAGAGTAGAAGTGACCCCCCAAAGCAACATGACCGTAGGCAACCAGATTCGAGGAGTCGTTCTCTTGAGAATGATGTTACTAGGAACTTCACACAGAATGTATCCCACAAAGTAGAGAGATAGAGAGGTGAGGTAGTCTGCATCAGACAGATTTATAGCATCGTTTAGTCCTTCTAGACGAGCATTTCCGGCATTAGAACGGTCCAAAAATGATAGCAGGTAGAGAAGAGAGAGAATTGGCAGCAACCAAAGATCGATTTTTCGCACAATTCTCTTCTCTTGACTCTTCTCTTCAGGTGTCAAGTGCGTGTGCGTGTGCGAATGCACCTGAACGATATCGGCACTTGAGATTGAGAGTTGTTTCTCGGACATGGTCAATTGGTCAAAATGAAGATACGTTAGGGTCGTATATTTTCTTAATCGCCAGCTATATACTGCCATTTGTTGGACACATTCATATGCTGATGTCTCTGAAACACAAGCCACTGCGTTATGTCCGCCATTTCCGACGGAAAGCTGCAAATGTGGCGTTTTCAGCCTGGAAACGGAGTGACAGCGTTTTAGCCTCATTTCACGAGGAGCCGTCAAAAGAACGAATACCATCTGCTCATTCTGTGGCTTAGCTATTTTAGAGCAAGTTCCTTGTAGATCCAGATTAGCTCATGCCGGCGGCATCACGATGTGTCCAAGCGATGGTGAATAGGGGGTATTAAAACAGATGTTGGTAAATAACGGCATTTGTTTTGTAATTATAAGCTGATTAATTTATCCGAAATGGTGCGATATACCTGTTGATTCGCACAAATGGCAATTTTAGACCCTCCTTTACCTTCCATTGCGTGCTTCAGCCACGGCTGAGCTACCAGAACCATAAACCTGGAGACAGGGGGCTGCGGCTTCTGTCGGAAGTGTGTGTAACCAATTGGGGACTTTGTTCCGATAGATATGGAAGACTGGACAGTGTCTATGCATTAACCAAGCCTCAGGTGGCTCGGTTTTTACCGTATCTCTTGTCCATTCCATAATTCAAGTTTTCACGCTCTTGAAGTCAATCTATACCCTAATTGCAAGACTGACACTAGCTACAAGTAGCTACAAGTAGTGATAGATAGATGGCCAATTATAAGCCCTCTCCATCCAGAAATCTAACGTGCAATGAGCTTTTGGCTAATGCTCCATTAGGATTCTCCTTGAAAGAGTCATCAGCACATGCGATGGCCAGCATGTCGCCGGATGTAGAGTCCACGTCCAGACCCATGACACTGGTGGGCATATGAGGGTACTGCTTGAGACGTCGGCGCTGTTTGCCGTCCCAGCAGTAGACCACACCGTCTGATCCTCCAGTGAAGAATGCGGGTGTGGCTGGGTGGAAGGCCACTCCGTTGACTGGATGAACCTCAATTCGACCCTGGGCGTCAGGCTCCTTGGCCCTATGGCACTTGAATGCATATTTTTGTGCCTGGACTTCAGGCGAGGGGTCAAACCATTCTACCGCAACTCGGCCTTCGATCGATGTGTTGGCGTATCCCTTTCCATCAGGCATACTTCTTACTTTTCGAGTCATGAACTTGAGGGACGAGTCTCGACGCTGAAAGACCTGGCCCATGTTTCGAATGTCGTAAATGTGAATCTGGCGGTTGCCCAGACCACAAACCACATAGTTGGAGTTGGTAGCCTTGTCCATGGTGTAGACCTTGCCTGCTGTGGGAATCATCATAGAGCTGTCCTTGTTTCCAAAACCTCCCCGAGCGTCAATGAATTGCAGGTTCTTGTCCCACGAACCCGACACAATCAGATTGTTGCCGGCATCGCAAACCACTGACGAGATGGCATCTGCATGCTGTTGTCCTATGCTCAAAAGTTCTCCTGCCTGAAGATCTATTGCTTCAACCACACCTGCCAATCCTCCTGTGAATGCAACACCGTTGTCCCCCCAACAACAGTCGAGAATCGGGCTGGATGCAGACACCTCTGTGACCTGTCGAGAATTGTCGTGACTGACAGAGTACAGACGCAGTTTAGTATCCCAGGAAGACACAAGCAGATGCTTCTGAGGACCCCATGTGACCTTCGATATTAAATCGGGCAAAGCGTCGATTTGAACTGGGTTAGAAAATGTCGCTGACAAGAAGAAAAATCAAACGGATACTCACTTATGCTCATTTTTTGGACTTGTTATCGAAAACCGATATTGTTCGTGATGTTCCGGCGTGTATACAAGCTTATGCAGATCAACATGCGTGGTTGTCATGGAGACGCGTGTCAAATCAGGAGGCTAGGGTTAGGGTTGGAAACAAGAGCTGGGCCATGTGGGGGATCTAACATGAGTGTATTCTTTCCTTGTCTGGAGTTTCGAGCTTGTTGTAGGCACAAGTACGACAATACCTGAAGATGTATATGGTTGAAGACTATGGATCAAGAGAGTTGGTGATTTCTTTTCCAGCCCGAAAACAGCCCACTTTGACTTTGGGGTTTTCATCGACTGGGTTAATCGGTGTAATTACTTGTACTTGTAGCTTCTTGTAGTTCAGACTGACATATTGAATGATACCAATGTTTACACACTACCCACTGTATTGTTCGATGACCTCCAAACATACAATGGGAAAAGTGAAACGAACGTCATCAACTCTTGTGTACTCGTACTTGTAGTTTCAGATCCATATAAGACGACAAAAGGATCTTGCATATGAGCAGTATTGGCCACTTTCATCAAGTGTGGCCCAAGTCAATTATCGGGTGAGAGAGAGGCGTGAATCTTGATAGTCAAGTTCAGTTGAAGCTTGTGTGTCATGCCTCTCCGCCTTCAAATATCTATACGGGGGAAGAGCAAGAATAGCGTTATTACAGAGGCTGTAAGTTGGAGTCTTGCCTGTAATTCGGTGACAGTTGGTGCACCGGGTCGTGTCGCAAACGGTCTCAAAACCACCTCCAAAACCACTTCCAAAACCACCACTTCTGGTCCTTGTTTCAGAGACCTTCTCCAAGTCATAATATCCAGCTACTGTACGATACTGTATCCAAGCAGGCTGAACAGGTTCGTATATCTGCATGCATCTTCTGAAGTTAATCCCAAAAAATAGAGAAACGGCATGTAGCTCACCGAAGTTCACATTGGAGAGGGTACTCTTGTTCCGTCAGGTTAAGTGGTCCACTGGATTCTCAAGAGAGAACATATCCAGCTTTCATTCTCCAGCTGCACCCTTGTCAACATTTGGGGTCTATCTAACCCCTCCTCAAATAGGGTAAAAGAGCAATCGTCAACAGTAGGCTTTTGGAATACATGTGTGATGCAGCAACATCCTCCAAGGCTCAGCTGGATCAGTGTTTGTGAACCTCTCTCAGTGACCTTGTGAGATATTAACGGCATCACTTAGCGTACCACGCCCCTGCTGCGCATCTTGCATCATGACCTCGACAGTGGAATTGGCCGAGCCATTATCGTCACAGCGCAATCTCAAAGCCATCAGCCTGGCGTTCCACAACCAAAACGATGATCAAAATCTGTCATTACAACCCGTCCACTCGCACGACAGCGATATCGCCAATGGGAGCTCGACCAAAAGCGATATCTCGAGTTTGGACAGCTCGCCCAAGAACCACTCAGACAGCCACCATAAGGGTCTTACAGATGATGTGTCCGCTGAGAAACTAAGAGGAGGAAAAATTGCAGACTCGGACGGCAACGTGATGAGCGACGCCTCCGATTCGGAGCTGGACACGGACGGCCCCGAACCCATCAACCCCCATGCTAAATTGTCGGTCAAACTCATGGACAAGATGCTGGCCCTAGCTCTGCCTCCTAAATCAGCTGCAGTGGCCAAGAGAGTCAGAATCCAGCAGGGCCAGGACCCCTTTAGTATGAATCTAATGGGAAAGAACTTCAGGGGCGTCACGTCGCGGTTCACCATCATCTACGAAACCTACTATACCGTGCTGGAGATTCTAATGTGGAAGAGACCGTCTTTTACGCTAGGAGTTATGGCCATCTACTCTTTCATCTGTTTGCATCCCCGACTGCTGTTCATCACCCCATTGGCATACATCATGTTCTGTGTCATGGTTCCCGCGTACGCCTCCAGACACTACGACGTCCAGGAGAATTATTTGACCACCCAATGGCCTACCATTGAACCCAAGATTCCTGCTCCTGCTCCCGAGTTTTCCAGAGACTTTTACATCAACATGGTGGACACACAAAATGCGATGACCGACTTCATTCGCACTTATGATATCGTTGCTGGCATTCTGGCACACTTGATCTACTTTGCTGGAGATGAATCACTCAGTGCTGCCATCTACTTTGTTGGAATGCTTGGGGTAGCTATCTTTTATGTATACGGAGATACCATTCTCCGTATCATGCCATGGCGCTTCTTCTTCTTTGTCTTTGGATGGGCTGTCATTCTACTGCTTAACCCGATGCTGCATAGAATCGTCCTGAGAGAGTACAAGAAGCTCCCTCACGAGACCCGGGAGAAGTTCACACCTGAGGCTGTAAAGGAGGTGATTGATGAACTAGCAAGAGACGAGTTCCTGTACCATACCGCCGATGATGTGAGAGTGATAGAGGTATTTGAGCTGCAAGAACTGGATGTTCACACGAGACAATGGAAGACGGCTACTTATGTTGCCCATCCTCACATTCCGTCCATGCTTCATGAGCCCAATTACTATGCTGATCCTGACGACTTGGGTTTGAGCCCTACCGCTTCAGCTGGATCTGTTGACTCTGAATCTCGAATCCTACCTCAGTTCCGTCACACAAATGGTATTCCAGACAGGACCTTTTCGCCCCCGCCAACGACCATGGGCGAGGCCATCAGAAACATTGAAGAGGAGGTGTCTATGGCAACCTACGGGGTTAGTTCTCTTCATCAGATCCCTGCGCCCCCAGGAGTTTATTCGTTAGAGGAAGTTCTACCTCCTACAGGATGGACCTTCCTGGAGGTCCCTGAGAGAGATATGCTATCTTCTCTACCGCGGTCGTCCGATTGGGAAATGGACTACATGCCTGAACAGTGGGTAGCTTGGTGGGGTGCCTGGCGCAAGTACCTCGAGATTGACCAGGACGAAAAGTGGGTCTATGACATTCTTCCCGACGGATTCAGGGGTACTTGGAGAAGAAGACGGTGGACCAGTCTGTGCAAGCGAAAGTCGTATCTGAAGTCCAATGTTGTTGGTCGTGTCGGAGAACGGCGTGAGCACGATTGAGCCGCAAAACAATAAGATCATATAAGTTATTGCATTATTTATTATTCAGCCATATGTAATTGGAAGTGACAAGTTCTTCCTGAACAAGTATGGTACGAGTAGGGTAGGCTCTTGTAACCACCTTGTCCGTTGCACAGTGTACAGTGGTTAAACCGAAGGAGCCATGAACGTCGTCTACAGCTCATCTAGCTACCGTACACAAAATCCCATCCTAACCTCTAATATATTAACATACGTGCCCCTGCGATAAATACTTCTTAACAAGCACAGTTGGACTGCTCATTATCCAGATGGATGTTGATGGTGTCGGCGAAATCGTCCGTGTAGTCCTCTGAGTCCACCTGTGCCATGGCGTTTCGAGCAACGGTCTCGAAAGCCTGGTCTACACCAGTGTCCTCCTTGGCACTGGTCTCAAAATAGGGAATGTTGCCGGTTGCCTTGCAGAAGGCCTGGGCTCGCTTGGCGGAAACTGCCCGCTTGCTCTCCTCCACATCCACCTTGTTACCGATCACCACAAAAGGAAAGTTTTCTGGGTCTCGGGGGTTGGCAAGGAGAAGGAACTCATCTCGCCACAGAGTCAGGGCATCAAAACTCTTGGAGTTGTTGACATCGTAGACCAGAACGCAACAGTCGGCGCCTCGGTAGAAAGCCAGACCGAGGGATTGGAACCGTTCCTGACCGGCCGTGTCCCAGATTTGCATGTTGACTTTTCGGCCCTCGAGAGTCAGCTCTTTGTTGAGAAAGTCGGCTCCGATCGTGGCCTTGTATTGTGTGCTGAACTTGTTGTTGACGTACTGTTGCCTTGGTTAGTATCTGATAGTAGGTGGAAGAAAGCGAATCAAGCTGTGGGAAACGATGTCATTCGTTGCTCCCCATCTCTGTCTTCTCTTCATCTGTGGCATAATCCCAATGACGATTTTGTTGCCCAACAACCGTTTGAGTCGACGAAAGGTTGCCATGGTAGCACATCAACCAGGGGGCCCAGCAGACTGCGCTTTGTGTTGGTATACTTACATCAACGACGACTTACCAACGCCGGAGTCGCCGAGGATGACGACCTTCAGCATGGTTCTCTTTTTGGGCGGCATGGTTGTCTGTAATGGATAAGGACCATTATGATGTCGGCCATGTTGGGATATAGACCGGGGTTAGGGTAATTTGCCGTGGGGGACCACAACATAGGAGCGATTGGGAGGTGCATGTGACGAGGAAAAGGTGCTCAGGGGGAGATGAGCTGATGTGGGGTTTCCAAGGGGGATAAACGGGGGGGAGATGCAGATTATATAGATACGAGGTGTTACATAGAGTGTGTGATGTGAGGAGGAGGGTATCATGTGGAGGAAATGGTTGGTAGGTATAGGCAACCTTGATGACGTAATTAGACACTCCAACATCTAAACGCTCATTCACAAAACCTGAGGGCAGAGGATATTTGATGAACAATTTTAGTCCAAGAGTATTTCTAATCGTGACTTGAATTGAGGGCAATAGTTGATATTCCAGTAAGTACAGTACAGTACAATGCTCGTACTTTATTGTAGTAAGGAAGAGCTGTCTGTTTCGGTGTAAAATTATGGTCTGAAATTCTCTTTGCCAGTTACGTGGATACTTGGCCATTTACTTATCTTTACTTGAGACACGTGCACTATGCACTATGCGCGCGGTGTACGAATACTGTAGGAAGGACAAGCAGAGATGATCAGAGACACATTCCGATGACAGTTCTGTTATAGGTGGCGCCGAACTTTTATACCTACTGTCATCACAACCATCATATCTCGTTACTTTGCTATTCCACACTTGTTTCCTACAGGGCCCTTGTACATTCAGTTTCACTGTTCACAGCCGTGTCCAACCTACATGTACAGGATGTACAGTATGGACAGGTACTTGGACGTTCTGTACTTGCAAATATGTCTGTATTCTTGTATCCACTTCTGGTATGAATACGAAGAACAGTTCGGTTCCTGCCGTCTATATAAAGGGGCAAAGTACGCTCTCTGGGGGTGCTTTGGTCAGCATAATCAATGCTGCATCTCGTATTGTGCTCACAATTGTTTTTGTTGCTGGCTCCCAGTGTCGTTGTAACCTTCTGAACAGAGTGGGCAGGCAGCCATTTATTTGACAAGGTGTCAGATGAACAGCCGCCAAACGTGGCCATAACGGCAATGGAAAGTGAACAAAATACTGGAATCTCTGGTATAAATAGACCTCAAACTTCCCAGACAGGTTGTTTAAGTCGGGTGAATTTATTTCCACCCTCTCTCACCTCTCCCAGCATACTCTGCTCCATCCTTTTCAGTAAGTCCTCCCTTCACCGTCTCGTCTGAAACAAACTTTTAAAGGGTACAACTACAAGCATCTCGTGCAGCAAAATCAAAAAGTCGCCAACAGCATCTCAATTCTGCAACTATCGGTCTTCTTTAGTGCAACGACACATGTGTGAGTATATATGGGCCAGGACTCTGCATTTCGAGCCACTCAATGCCTCAGCACTAACTTGCAATGCTACAAGTGATCCGTACTAACGCAGCTTCGTCAAAACAGGTGAGAACAGAGAACCACGACCACGGGCGACAATGAGACGACCACATGCGATAAGGACGAACAGGATGGAAGATACGAACAACACTCGGGGTTAAAGCGACCCAGACTAGGTCTGGACCCTGGGATGCCCTTTTTCGTGCCCAGAACGGTTGATAGAATATTGGTGAAATGTTCTAGACCCTTCAGATCAGCCGTGTCATGATTCGAAAGAAGTCATGATCATCAACATGATATCCGCGCACCCAGTCAGTCAGGTGAAGTCAGGTCGATACTCGCGCCCATTTTACTATTTCACTACTAACATAGCCAAAAGCCAACGCGCTGAGAAGCCGGATTTCGGCGCCTCCAGGCTCGGCCAGCTCTCCACGGTCAGCCAAGAGAGTCGCATCAGCTGGAGGAGTGAAAAAAGCTGCAACAGCCAAGCCAACCTCCACGCGGTCTGCTAATCAGCTTAAGAACAACGCACTCTTTCAGGCCATCAAGGGTATTCCCAGAACATCTCCGACAGCCCCTGCCCAACCAGCTCAGCCACGACCAGGCCAGGAGTTGAGAGACCGAATCTCCGGAAAGACGCCCGCAAAGACTCAAGCGCCACCTCCAGCTAAGACAAAGATCCCAGCCAAGCCCGCACACCCTCTGGCAAGCCGGTTCGGCCAGCCTCCTCTTCCTAAGTCCAAGTTGGACAAGCTGGGCACAACAACTGCTCCCTCCCACAGCAGATACAACGGCAGCGACACCAGCCGCTCCTACAGTTCAAGCCATAGCTCATCGAGTGACAACCACAGATCCACGCACGACACCTCGGCGTCCTCTACTTCTTCCAGGAGAGACGACAAGCACGTACGAGGCGGTGGACACGACAAGTATGGCAACTACGACAAGTACGGAAATAACGACAAATTTGGCAGAAGCCAGGAGAGGTACAACAGTCGAGAAAGAGAGCGGTACGAGCGAACAGGGGGATCGGATAGAGCCGTCAGTAGCGACAGCAGAGACAGATTTGGAAACGGTGGACGCGGCAACGAAAGCAGGAATAGATACAACGACCAGCCTCGATCCCAGGCCCAAAGCTACCAAGAGTCTCGGGAAAGATACTCTGAAGATCGAGTGCGATACAGAGCCACGTCCCCTCAGAAGCATACTGCTCAGGAGGCCGTTGCTAGTCCCGCTGCGTACGCCAATCCCGGAGATACTGTTGCCGTTCGACCTGCTGCTCAGGTGTCTAACACAAATTTCGGTGCAAAGGTACCGGAGCTGTCGGCCAACGGAACCCCTTCATACTCAATCAAGCATCTGGCCATGCCTCCCATTGTTCAGATCTCCAATCTGGATCGAGGAACCACTCGAGACGATCTGTACAAGTTCTTTGTTGAGCTCGGCGCTATCCGTGACTGTCGCATTCTTACTCTGGGTACACAGGGTGCTATGGGTGAGATCACGTTCGAAGACCCTGAAGCTGCTAAAGTCGCCTTCGCAAAGTTCAATGGCGCACTAGCCGATGGACGACGACTCGTCGTCAACATTGTCAAATACAACTCCATCGCCGACCAGAAGCCCGTGGAGGTTAACAACGCTGTGCACCACTGGCCTGGAGCTGGTAATCTTCGATCCGACGGCTATCTGAACAAGTAGGAGGTTATGTGCGAGTATTTGAACAGAGGATGTATGGATGAGAGGAGGGGAGAGGGGAAATTTGAGTACGCTGGAGACGACAGGGCCTCACAAGTGGAGGCCTTGGGATTCGTTCGACGTGATGCTCTGGAAAATGGTGGTGTAGATTGGGTGATCTACATTTACGGTTATATTGTATAATGCATGTTTGTATAGTAAAAGTAGTACATACGGTACAGTATGTACGTACTCGTACTCAGGAGCACGACACCGTTCCGGAAGTCTCGCGTAACGACATACACACCCTTACAATGGCAGTATTGAGTACGTTCAAGACAGTTCAAAGTCATTGTGGACGAGACAGGGAGTACCCGCGCGGGTAACTAAATTCAGACCTCGTTTTAGGTCTACTGTAGGACCCAAGGGTTATCTGCTGGGTTCACGATGTTCCAACACGACCTAGCCCAGGATCGCAGCCAGCAAGAAGCCGTGTAGGTTTTTTATTACGTGCCAGTACTGTACTGAGAAAGTCTCGGCATTTGTTGATATCGCTCGGGGGTTGATCGGAGACATTGGGGTGGTATCAAAGTTGCATACAAGTACATCCAGTGTACACACAGTCGCATCGTCTGGGCGATGTGATGCATTATGGTTATTGGAATGGGAAGAATTTTACGAGCCATACTTTTACGAGCGCAAACAGGTTAGCCGGAATCCGAGATGTGGACGGAGTCCACGGTTCTCCTTCTTCTTTTTTGAGCGCATCGTGCTTGTAGACTGGGATCAACGAGCTAACCCATGAAATGCCCCAGCCTTGAGTGGGCTGAGATTTAGCGGTGAAAGTACAAGGTGAAAAGTTCTAACTAACTAACCCTACTTGTAGCCCCCCAAGCTTGCATTTTCCGTATTCTACCTTCTCTGCCTTATCCCGGCCTCTAACTGTGGTCAATGTCGTATCAAACCAAGGTCCTGGGTCAGAAGGGGTCTTTGTCGGAGGGCCTTTTGCGTCTCCTCAAATGGCCATGACAAATTATTAGTCTTCCCGTGTTTTGTCACATCTGTTGTCGGCTAAAAGATGCCCCCAGAGACCGTTAGGCACAGCTATAGCCAGGGTTACAGGGATGTATCTCTCATCTATAAATGGCAAGGTCACATAATAACACCACATCTGGTTTGAGTAACTGGTGATGTACTATCAGGTGTAGAACAAAAATATGTATTCACCATGGGCAGATTTTTGGGCTACAGTACGAGTAGTCTACGGCAATGGCAAACACTATACGACGGGCACCACAGGCACAAACAGTAGGTTCCTGTAACATTTCCGCGCGTCTAAAAAAGGTCTAAAGCGCTCGATCCAGTATTTTTACAAGGCTTATCTTGTCCAAAGGAAAGTTGCGTAAAGCCTACTTGTAGTATTGTCTATGCACGCTGGTGTACCCTACCGCATCTAGGATTCAGACAGACCCGAATCAAAGTCACTCCCTCCCAGAACAAGAAATATGGGGCGAAAAAGAAACGAGACCGAGCCGCATTTCAGTTGACAATCTTAGCTAAGGCTACAGGGGTGTTTCTGGGTATTTCCCCTTCTCAGGCTCAAAGGTTTGCATCGAGAGTAAGCCCGGTAAAGTTCTTATTGATAATCACTCAGGGCATTATCACATTTCCTGACAAATAATTAGCCGTGCGCATTACTGCACATTACAAGTAGTATTTTTTACACAATGGAACAAAGAAGTTTTTTTAGATCGCCGTGGGGGGTCAAGTATCCGTAGATGCGCCAGACGCAAAAGCAAATACGTACCCGGCAAGGTAGGGCGGAGGAAACCATTGTCATCAGAGACACACACCTTATTCAACACACAATGTGTGTAGGGCTGTTGGATCGTCGATGACATGACAAGTTGATCGGTAGATCATGGTGTAGCCTATGATAGCAACAGTTGTCAACGGCGATACAAACGAAAGTACCGGAAATAGCTAATCGTAGACCCTGCAAATACACACTATACTCTACAGCCATGCGATATAACCCGCCCGTAGGTATACTATACAAACTATTGCCGCATAGTTTCCTAGCAAGATTTTCCGGGTGTCGAGCTTGTAGAGCATGACAATAGTTTTTGTAAGCCTAATTGAGGTTTAAAAACACTCCAAAAGGCCAGAAAAAGCAAGCCATGCTTGATAAGGCGTGGATTAAACATGAATTCCTTTGTCTGCTGTACGTACATTGCCATTCAGCTCCACTTCTCCACCTAACTGTCTTGCATTACGGCAGGTACCTACGATACCCACCTGTCAATACGTTTTGCTAAAATAGACTTGATTGCGAACTCTCATGTTTTCTGTATCAGGCGTGGCTACACAAATACAAGTATATCTGTGTCTGTATAATCATTTGACAACAAGCCCGAGCCTCGGCTAGAGGTGTTACATCCCCTTGCATACCCGAAACGACCTCTTCGCCCCCTTGACGAGACTGTGGAATGTAACACTGTTTGACTATGTTTTCAGCTCTCCCATAACCCTACACGTTGGGTTTCCGCACTTCAATAGCTGAAAGTATTGTTCTTTGCTATTATAATGGGTGTTATGGTTTTTGAAAATGTTCTTTCTCGTTTACACTACACCATTTTTGCCATGTGGAGTAAGTCACATGAACTGAACAAGGCCAAATATGACCCGAAACGGGACAGAACTGTGGGCGTAGTCAATTATGTCTGTAGTCAATTATGTCTTGGGGTAGAATGGCGTGACTATGCAAAAGTGGTCCACGGCTGAAGTCCGAACATTACACTAACTATCAATGGACTTTGCAGGGATTTCGACCTAATCGGTTAGCTTGAACCCTTCGAACTCAGTCGAATGAACCTCTCAGGTGCACTACAAGCTGAACTCAGTGACACAATAGCTTTCTAAACGATGTGGTTTGGTCGGAGGGTTCGCTCTAACTTTCGTGTTCAACCGCCTCCGTTCAAAAATTATCAACACATCCTGAGCTCACAGATGTAACAGTGATGACACAGAAATTCAGGTACGGCAATAGTTGACCTTGGGGATTCTATAGAAGCAAGTTTTATCGAGCTCGCAATCCCAAGGAACGACCTTCTATGCGTTCTTCATGCGGCCTTTTTTCATCCATTTTTGTAGACCTATAACATGCAAGTTATACATGAGCCTCGCCGGAAATACTCCGTGTAAGCCCGTAATGTGTCTCAACCTACTAATACAGTACTTGCCTGGGCTCGTTTTTAGACGAACTCTCCGACCCCCATCACGGGAACTCCCATTGTACCCCCAATCTTGCATCAGTTAAAACTTAGGCAAGGCTCCATTGTTCATTGAGTTTAATGTACCGTTGGCGATGTCTTGGCGCGCAGAAACCATGCATGTGCACATGTGTGGAAAGCTGAATGTAAGATATTGGGCTAGCAAAAACCCTGATTTGTGCCGCTCACGGGGAGTCTAGATGCACGCGTGCTCGTTAAATTGAGCGGTAATTGATCTGTAGTAAAAGCTATATAAACCAGCTGTCCTCTCGTTTCAATCATCAGTTCACAGCTCCTCACTCAAACACAACAACATCCTCTTTCCACCATGAAGCTCTCTCTTCTTCTTCTCTCTACGCTGGCTGTGGCCCTCCCCATTGCCCAGCAGCCCGCCTCCGAGTACAACCAGTTGCTTGATCTGATCAACAACCAGGACCTTGAGAAGCGAGACATCTCTGGACAGCCCACCATTGTCATGTTCACTGACAACTCCACCATCTCTGACAAGCTCGCTCATGTCAAGGCCATTATTGGTAATGATCACATTGAGAAGCTTTACGATGTCTCATCTACTGAGAAGGGCGCTGGTGTTGCTGGCTACGTCGGAACCTTTTCCAACGAGACCCTGGCTCTCATTGCCGATGCCGGTTGCATCTCCATTTTCCAGGAAGATATTATCGTTAAGGGTCTTGGCCTCGAGGAGGACCTTGAGGAGCGAGATAGCTCTATCTACACCACCGAATCCGGCCAGCCCTGGCACCTTGGTCGAATCTCTCACCTGCAGAACCCTCGAAACACCCCCCAGGCTTCCGAATACGTCTACCGAACCGGAACTCGGGATACTAACATCTACGTGGTTGACTCTGGTGTGCGAACTTCTCATGTTGCCTTTGGTGGCCGAGCTCACTGGGGTGCCAACTTCAACAACGACGTTGACGAGGATGAACATGGACACGGTACTGCTGTTGCCTCCATTGCTGCTTCCATCTCCAAGAACGCCCAAATCTATGCTGTCAAGGTCCTTGGACCCCAGAACACCGGTTCTCTGTCTGGCATTCTCGCTGGCATGGAGTGGGCTATCAACCACGCTGCTGGTCAGAAGGGTCAATCTGTTATCAACATGTCTATTGGATCTGATAGCACTGAGGTCTACAAGACTCTGATCCAGAAGGCCCTTGAGAAGAACATTGCCCTCTTCTTCGCTGCCGGCAACAACAACGAGGACGCTTGTACAGTCTCTCCTGCTCGATTCGCAAAGGACTTCACTGGTGTCTTCACTGTCGGAGCCTCCAACCTTGCCGATAACATGGAGGACTGGTCTGGATACGGTAACTGCGTGTCCATGGTTGCCCCCGGTGTTGCCATTTCCTCTGCCTCTCGACGAGGAGATGACGTTTGGACCTCTTGGAAGGGAACTTCCATGGCTTCTCCCATTGTGGCCGGTATTGCTTCTTACTGGATGTCTATCATCAACTTTGACCTTCCCTCTCTCGAGTGGGTCCTCACCCAGAGCAAGGGCCTGGTCAACACCCACAACAACACCCCCAACATTCTGGCCTGGAACTTCCATCCCTAAGCACCTCGGATCACATCCAACCCACTCATTAACTCACATTCATTATAGACATAGATAGATACTAATAGATTGAAACGACTAGAACCTCAACTGATACTGTACACTGTTTTATAGTCCTGTACAGTATCATCCCCTTACTCCCTGTTGTGCTAAAACCGCCATAATAATTACTGTTGTCCTCTATAAACATTTTACTTCTTGTCCAGAAACTTCTTTCGGGCGTCCTCCAGCATGGTTTGTCGCTGCTTGAGCAGTTGCTCCTGTCGCTCCTCTTTTGTGTTCTTCCACTCCATCTTGCTGGCCTTTGATGGCTCTGTAGGATTTCGTGTGCTGGACGTGGATGCAGGTTCGGGATCGTACTTGGGGGGATGAGGGAGGGTGCCCTCGCTCAGATATCGCTCCACAGTGGCCTCGATGTTGCCTGTCTTTTCCAGATCCCATCGGATCTGAGCCACAGATACGTTAGGAGCAATGGCCTGGACCACCTCAATCATGCTCTGGGTCACCGGTCGCCGCTGTCGCTCGTCGTACTCTCGTGTGATTCGCTCGGCCTGCAGGGCGGCGGCATGCTGCTCGATGTTGGACAGCTCCCGGAACTCATCGGGTCTGTGAGCAATGGGGGCGTCTGGGTTGGGATTATGTTCCTCGGAGCCATTGAAGATCACGTACCGGAGAACGACAAAGATGACTAGAATTGCGATCACCGCGTTGATCGTCGTGGCATCGTCCATGTTGTCAGAGTGTGTCCAAAGTGATGTGTAACTGGAGATGTTTCACCCTGGCTCTCGCGTTGCTTCAGAGTTACGTGTTGGGAGTCCTGACCAAGTTGCAGTACATGATTTACGTCCTTTATGAAGGGTGGAGAAAGGGGTTTTAAGAGGAGCTTGGGGGGCTTCATCGGCATTGTAACACCCGACTCTGTGATGTGATAAGCGACGCTTGCAAAGTGGTGATAGTTTCGGTGGAATTTTCACATCTTGCCTAGATCTCAGATACGCCACAGACACATGACGGCAAGTGCAATAATAACTCACTGTACAGAAAGATACGGCAATACGCACATTAGAAATTATTATACCTTTCCTCAATCCGATCCGGGTATACTTGTATATTCAAGAGCTGCCCTGAGATGATGGCGAGTGTGTCAATCACCCCTTCTGCGGATCACAGGTGCATGAAAAAAGTGCCTGCTCCGAGTCTTAAATGAATGGGCTGCTTAAATGAGTGGGCTGTACAATGGCGTAAATGATCAGAAGAGGTAGCCATTTCGCTCAAATGAATCACCGGAAGATGAGATATGCATGTGATCAGTTCTCACATTCTATCTTTGTTAAATATATAGCCAATTACCCTCATTTCAGTACGATGTAGCACGCGTGCTTGTATGGTTATTTCCCAGTAATAAACGATCACCATGCAGAGGACTGGAAACTCCGACAAATCACACTAACGGTGCACTAACGGCCACAGTGGCGGAGTCTACACACGGGACTGTAGGTACAAGTAGATGTACAAATAAACATATAATTAAAATAACAGCATACACAGCTCTCTCGGTCGTATCCAAGACATTCCTGTCGAATGCATCCAATAAATAGTAGCAGTCGCATGAGATTGATACAGTGACGATGATGCAGTCACGCGCAGATAGTGGCAGTCGGGTGGTGGATAGACTGACGGAAAACGGTGGCCTTCTCTCGCACCTCAAAATCACTCTGCCCTATCCTAAGGGTTGAACTGCAACTTGAAGGCCTTGTCGTGGTTCTTGACGGCGTAAACAAAGTCGACGATAATCTCGGACTCTCGCACGGGCTGGGCCATGAAATGCTTCTTGGCGGCGGATGCAAGCTCGGGCTTGTTGACTCGAGTTCGGTGCTTGTAGCTCCACGTTTTCTTTCCCATGGGTCCGCTCAGAAGGTAACCGTTGAGGGTCAGAGCCGAGGGAGCCTGCAGCTTGTGCAGCGACTTGTATTTTCGCAGCGACTCGAGAGGCAGTGTGTCGAAGTTCATGGCCTCGCCGGCTGTCATGGTGGCTGGGGGCTGGTTGAGCTGCTGTTGTTTTTCGAGCATTTCTCGCTCCTTGTCGGCCCGCTCTTTTTCTTTCTGCAGAGCGGCGGCTGATGTGGCGGCGGGGGGCTTTCGAGGACCGCCTCGGTTGGCGGAGGGCGTGCTGGCGACCTCGCTGGAGGTTTTTGTGGCTTTAGCGGGAGGCATTTTTCAGTGACAAGGTGGTGTATGGTGTGGTTTGTAACGATGGTTGATTTGCACAATGCAAGGGGATGCACGAAATGAGCTTAATTATGGCACGTGATTCAAATCTTAATTTGACAACATGAGAAACAGCTCGCAAAGAGGACTCGAAAATGACGATATAGAAACGAAAAGTGTTGTTTTTTTCGTGCGAGACGACGGTTATGGTCAGTACTGGGCCTTTGTTAACCCTTCACCGGTCGGTATTTGATTTATATAGTCGATCTGCACATTCTAGGGCTCAAATCGGTGATTGCATACGCTTGGAGTAATATGCAAGGTCTGGGTCCTAAATTCAGAATGTATGACCCTCCCATCATCATTGTAAAGTGGCTCGCAAAGTCTTCTTCCTTTCACAGCTCCCCAAGGATAAATCATCGCAACATACAAAGGATATAGTGCCATTGAGCCTAAATGAAATAGGCTCGGAACACAATCAATTTGTTGTTTGGGGGGCAGAAAGAGAGAATGTCGTTTTGGACACTGCCAGAGAGTCGGTTGTACTGTTGACGCGGTCACATTCAGGTATCGTTGGATGCAGCCTGACAATGGGAATCTTCAAGTGATAATTCGACAACAATCGCAGAGACTCACAGTTCCATCGTCATGTAGCTACGGTACCGTTGCAGTCACGTGATTTGGCATATACTACCGCTCCGGACTCCATGTCGTACATACTGTACTGGTAATTAGAGCACCATGGAGTTCCAACAAGGCGATATAGGACGATCGCAACTTGAAGCTGGATACACAAGTCTACCGCAGAAGAGACATATCCTTTTGTAATATGCCCAATGGTCGATCTTTATCATACACACTTGTACAGTTGCTGTAACCCGCTACAATAAGCGTTTTCCAACTCACAAAGTTGAGATCTCCTGCTGTCCAATAAGGAATGGACACTGTCTGTACTGACTGTGTACGACACAGACTAACCAAAAGGAAGGCACGATGTACTGTAGTTCTTCCGAACCCATCTTACAACACTGTCTGTCTATTATGAGCACTTAAACACACAAGAAACATGAGTCTGACGTTATCCCTTCTGAAGAAGTCTGTGCGAGTACCTACTGAACCGACATCGTACTTTCGTTGTGCAGATGTATGGGTAAGTAAGTAGTCGTATTTGTAGTACTTGTATACAGCTCGTCTCCGACTGCTACACACAATACAATTGTAGAAGAAATGACTGCTTGCGTAGTTTTCTTCTGCGATTAGTCGTGTCATTGTCATTGTACAAGTAGAAGCGCCCCGTACAAACTACACCGGATTGTCCACTCTTGCTACAGGTATACCGAAGATCTCCGCACACTATCTTGTGCACCATTTTGAAGACTCTTGTACTTACAATTCGCTCCATTCATACAGCTGTTGTACTAATCTAATCAGCTATGGCAAACGTTGAGAGCTCTTAAAACTTCTTACCCCACATGATCATCTGGAGCTGGTCGTAGATGGACAGCACACCGGCACCAGCAACACCTCGCAGAATGTTGGCTCCACATCCCTTGAACAGAGCTCCGACACCCTCAGCAGCCACAATCTTGGAGAAGGCATCAATGGAAGACTTGTACTTGACCTTCTGTCCAGAAGTCATCATCATTCGTCGTCGCACAGTATCCAGAGGGTAGGAGGCGGTAGAGGCACCGGTGGTGACAACCCAACCAAGAAGGAAGGAGGCCAGGAAGTTACCCTCGAGAGGTCCGACAAGAACAATGGGCTTAAGGGTATCGTAAAGACCAAAGTACAGACCTCGATAAACAACAATACCGATAACAGAGGGGACAAAACCTCGGTACAGACCCTGGACACCGTCAGACTTGATGGTCTGGACATACACGTCAATCAGACCCTTGAACTGCCGCTGGCCCTCAACGGGCTTACCATCGGGGCCCTTGGTGACAGACTTGGCGTCGTTGGCAAGTCGAGTTCGGGCGAAATCGAGAGAGTAGACAAAGAACAGAGATGTGGCACCAGCCATACCACCAGAGGCGATGTTACCGTACAGAGTAAGCCAGAAGCCATCCTTCTTTCTGTTGTAGCCAAACATAGCCTTGAACTTGTCTCGGAAGGCGAAGTTAAGAGCCTGAGTGGGGAAGTATCGGATAACGTTGGCGGTGTTACCTCGCCAGAAAGAAGCCAGACCCTCCTCTCCCCAAGTTCGTCGGAAACAGTCAATGATACCCTTGTAAGGTCGAGACAGACGACCCTGCTTGATCATCTCCTCCTGGTTTTGGAGCAGCAGCTTGACTCGCTCGATGGGAGCGGCGGCGGTCTTAGACACGGCGGCAGACACACCTCCCATGAGGAAATCAATCCAGAAATGTTGAGTCTGGGTTAGTACTTCACGTCGGATGATAACTCTTGGCATCAACCAGTAAGCGGCAGATTATGGGGATCATCTCAACTAGAGAGGCATTGACTTCATAAGTAGCTCCAATTGTGCTCAACAGCCCACCCTCGGAACTCTTCACCTTCAATTAGTAGCGAGAACCCTGCATAATCTGCTGCATGATAATGCAGCTCTGGGTCCATTGAGTCTTGTCTGTTGTACTTGTACTCACATCGGAACTTCCACCCATTGCGATAGTTTTTGTGTAAGTGGCGAGAAAAAAGAGTCGACAAATACGTGGACACAAAAGGCGCCTTTTTTTCAGCAACTATCCAACTTATATAGTCCTGTCTTTGGCAGTTAGCAAACACCAAAGTAGTCTAAGCTAAACCTTGCAGAGGGGGGTCCGGTGGAAAGAAAGAGGGTCAATCCGGAGTTTTGGATGGCCATTAATAACAAATATAGCCGGGAAACAACATCTACGGTCGCAGAGACGTCAATTGAATGCCCCGGCTTACTCAAACATATCCCTCATCACCCCAATCAACCACCGTCCATGTATGATTGCTAACCTGGGCTGCACTCTATGCATAATCTCACAGGCAGGATGCGGCATTATTTGCACGCTATTGGAGAAGAGCCATGTGGGTAGTCGGTGAATTATTCCCGTTAGACGCTTGGAGCACGTCATTGATCGTATTCCACCATCTCCTGTGCATGACGTGTGTACTCTGCTTAAGACCAGTTCTTCTTGTCGGAGCTACTAAACCTCTCATAAATGGACCGTGGGAAATACCTCGATAATACACGTGCAATTGCTCTTGAAGACTAACGTGGCTTAAAAAAACACCTTATTGGTTGCCCAGAGAGAGAGCTGGAAGGGTGGATATTTCTGAGCACTCTATACGGAAGTTTAGGTTTAGGGTTGAAACCGCACCTTGGAAGGAACAGGTTGTCGACGGAGAAATGGCGGGCTGGACGGATGGAGACAAGAGTTAGCGTTTGGCAAGTGCAATAGAGTTGGGTGTGAAATATGACTGGAGTCTTTTTTTTTTTTTTGGTTTCAGCATAATATATATCAAGTGTGTATACTTTAATACTGACAAGTAATGAAACACGTTTCGACCTCCCCCAAACCACCTATAGACATGTATGGATATCTATATGTATATATACCATCTCCCGCTCTATCCCCTACCCTAACCCGTCAGGGGATTTAAGGGTTGAGTGCAGGAGTGCAGGTTAGGGGATGACCCCTCCAGGCAGGGGACAGATGGCAAAGTCAGGTTTTTCCGTGATTACGCGGGGTGGCGCACAAGGCGCAGATGTTGATGGGAGGGGACAGAAGATGGTATAGTGGAGATGTTGAGAGGTGGGGAGGGGTTACTGGGTATGAGGGAAAGTAGGGTTAGGGCGAATTATCCCCCTTTTCACGCTACTGTGCCGGAATTCGGCCTTAGAAGCTCTAGTTCTCTCTATTCTTCATTTAGGTCTAAGCCCTGTCCAATAGTTTGCACGTGTATGATAATCTGCGGGTCTAGAATTATGTTAAGCTTCCTCCAGAGGTGTATTTATCTCCGTCTTTTGAGACCACGGTGTCTGAGTGAGCGTGTACCAGTAGGGTAACTCTTTTGAGGGGCTTTCGAATTATGTTGAGAGTCACAGATAAACGTCTTGTCGCGCCCCCACTCTTTTGTATGGTTCCAAACAAATTGTTTATGGTATTCGGCGTTGGTATCATGCACGTTAACCTAGTTTTATCTGATGTAATGAGAGATATATAGCTTGCGGAATAGTGTTCCGATTGAGTTGGGAGTAGATTCAGTGGAAAGCTCTCCTTTTTAGCTTTCGATTGATATGCTTCACGTGACCATATCTCCCCCGCACCATGCGCCAAATCACCCCTAGCTGCACCTAACCCTAGCCATGCAGATGTAACAGTGAAAAAATCCGAAGGCCACCATTCTGCCTTGTACAACACCATGACCAACGAAGAAACGCCGTTGATTGACAAGCGGGAGGCCTCTTTGTCGCGGGAGAACAGCTCATCCCGGGGCAGAGGGTACCGCAGCTCTTCTGCTGGCAAGCACTATCCTCGAGGACGAGACGAGACCACTGAAGAGGAGAGAGGCTCAGGGAGACGATCGTCCGAGACAATTGATCCTCGATACAACAGCACCCGACGACCTTCCAGTGCCAGTGTTCTTGGAATTGAGCGAGGGGGTCCCCGGGAGCATCTAAGCATCCATGTTGATGAGGAGAGAGAGGGGCGAGACTTTGGATCTTCTCCTACTTCCCCTTGCCTTTCTCGAGCTCAGTCTCCTATCAGACGACGGACTCTGTACTCGCCCATTCCTCTCGCTCCTGGAGCCTTTGGACAGGCACTGCATACTCTCAACTCCATGTCTTCTCTGCCTACCCGAGAAGAGCGTCTTTCGCAGCTCAATCAGCTCACGGAACTGCGTCCTTTCCGGCTGATTGGCTACTCTCGTCCTCTCACCAACTGGGAGGTGTACCGTAGCGACAGCGAGATGCGGAAGGGCAAGTCTGCCGGAGTACGGCGGTTCTACGATAACCAAGACGAGCTCATTGACCGGTTTGAAGCCGTGGACAAGATTCTGGACTCTGGAATCCACCACACGCTTCTTAGAACCTACGGAACCGATCTGGTGGATGTAGACGAGAACTCCACGCCGGAATTCAGACAGGGAGTGCCTGCTAACATCCATGAAGATCTTGAATGGGGCACTTCTCGAGTTGAGTCTCAGACGGACATTATGATCGCCATCTACGTCAATTTCTTCATCAACACAGTTCTCCTGGCTGGTAAACTGTGCGTTGCATTCCTGACAAACTCGCTGTCCGTTGTTGCTTCCGTCGTAGACTCCGTTCTGGACTTTATGTCGACCCTCATCATCTGGCTCAGTACCAGACTTGTCGACAGAAAGGACTGGGAGAGTCAACAGAGCTATCCCGTTGGTCGATCGCGTCTGGAACCCATCGGTGTTCTGGTCTTCAGTATTCTCATTGTTCTGTCGTTTTTGCAGGTCGGAAAAGCGTCAGTAGAACGACTCATCTCAGGAGATCACTCCACCGTCGATGTGGGTATCCCTGCTTTGGCCGTCATGTCCCTAACCATCATCGTCAAGCTGTTTTGCTGGGTCTGGTGCCGAAGATCGCCTTCTTCTGCTGTCCAGGCTCTCGCCCAGGACGCCATGACCGATATCGTGTTCAACACTTTTTCGATCGTGTTCCCCCTGGCCGGCCAGCACCTGGACATTTGGTGGCTGGATCCCATTGGAGCCATCTTCCTGTGTCTCTACATTATCTATTCCTGGGGAGCTACAGGTCTAGAACACATTGACAACCTATCTGGCGCGGCAGCTGACCCGGCAGACCGCCAGATGGTGTTGTACATGTGCATGCGTTTCGCAGACTCCATCCGAGAAGTTTCTGCGCTCAACGTGTACCACGCCGGAGACCGTCACGTGGTCGAGGTCGACATTGTCCTCGACTGCACCTCTCTTAGAGACGGTCACGACATTGGCGAGGCTCTTCAGTACGCCATCGAGACGCTTCCTTTCGTGGAGCGAGCCTTTGTGCATCTCGACTACCGAAGAGACAACTACGCCGGACATATCCCGAGGTAAGGGGCCATTTCGTTTTAAAAAACTTAGCCAGTGGTCCAGTGACAATGTGCGCGAAAGCACACGTCCGTGACATAAGTCGGTACCGGATCTTCCAGCCGCAACACTCTACCTCCAGTCCAAACGGGCTATATAATATGTATCAATTTTTTCCACTCAGTAAACGATCACCGAACTGTACTGATATGGTGTGTGCATAATAGTTGGTGCGTCAAACAACATGAAAATGTTAAGTAAACATTGGTGTACATTACTTGGAAACATCAGTAATCACTAGCGCTGTAAACCCTCGCTTAAGTAAATTCATATTGTGCTTTGGCATTGTCGTTATCATACAACAAATAAAACAGCCATGAGCAGATCAGTCAACAGTTCAGTTAATGCTGCCAAAGCAAGTAACTCCCTCCAAACATCATCGACAGCATTGACACAGATGAGTATAGACACATCCCAAACATATACGACACACTCTGGATAACTAATAATATATAATGTACACTCTGTTGTACACTTTGAATGTCGCTAAGAACATAACATCGCTTTATACAGAGGACATGTATCCCTTCAGTGACACCCATACCATATAATTTTATGGCCAGGCTTCCTAAATGGCAGGAATTCGATCTGGGAGGTTCGAGTGGACTGAGTCCAATCTGGCAACGTTGCGCAAACGAAAAAACGCGCACCGTCGTGGCATAATACCTCCGTGAGTTTTTGATCGAAGAATCAAAACTGGATGCGACATGCACCAGACTATATACTCGTGAGAGATCGGTAGGGTAACTCCCACTATGCATCAGGACCAGACCCTATTATACGCCGTCCACGATATGACATGTGTACTTACAAGATGTGATATGGGACAAGTGAATTTGTCAATTAGTTGGTCGTTTTTAAATATGGATATATTAACTGGTTTCATCAGATAATATTATGCTACTGTCGAAATTTCAACATCATTGCGTGATTATGAGTCACTCAAAAATGATCCATCCATTGTACCATCGATAGATCTAACTTCAAGAATATGCAGCTCTTTTATGTGTGCCTGAACCAGCCTTTTTGCGAACATTACTGCTTCAATATTGTCTGTTTACTTTCCGTTGACTCTGGAAGCATTTTCGACATCATATTATTATTCTTTGCGACGAGGTCATCAGTTTGATTCCACTCTCCTGTATATGATTATGTAATCAATTACCCTGTCAACTCTATTTTTACCCGCCACCATCATCGACTATGCTTATTAAGCTTTCCGAACCATACCAACCAACATGAAGGGGCTTCGATTTGGGCAGCTCAGATCGTTTCACACGGCGCTTCGACCGCTCGAGGCCAACAAAAAGTCGGAGGGCTCGCGACTCTTGCCCGTCAAGATGCTCTCACACCCTCTGGGAGTGTTTCAGAAGCCCGAATCAGGCGATCCCCATTACTTTGTGGATGAAAGAACCTGGAAGGAGTGGGGCCGAGACGTCCGAGACAAGGAGAAGCATATGAAGAAGCGAAAGGAGCTGATGGAGGAGTTTGGAGAGTCGCGATTCCGGGACATGAAGGAATTGAGACAGCACAATGGTAAACAGTGGTTGTCTCCAGCAGCATTTTTCCGGGCTGAAAAGTCTCGATACATGCCAAACTTTCTGGGACGAACTCTGGCCAGCCCCCAGATTGTTTCAACTACAGATACCCTGGAGGGCAACGTGTCGATTGTGCGGATGTTCACTTCTGTGTTTGGAGAGGAGCATGCTCGATCTTATGTTACCAACGCTGACCGGTATCTCGACAAGTTTGATCTGGTTCAGAACCGAGACTTCCAGATTGTCAACTTCAACATTCCCGAGAACAAAATCAAGTCATGGATGCTGAGCTGGTACGTGGGATCCATGGCCAAGAAGTGTCCTCCTGATGAGCGAAAGCGATACTTCATCATTGAGCATCTCGGCAAGCTGATGCGGGGTATCAAGAATGCCATTGGCCATACTAACGTCTACACTGGCTACGTCTATGTTGTGGATCAGAAGTGTCGAATTCGATGGGCTGCTTCTGGTCTGGCTACCGAGACTGATCGAGAGACTCTGTGGAAGACTGTGCGAGCTCTTTCAAAGAATGGGCCCGACGGCTTGAAGCCGAAGGTTGAAGAGGACGATGACGATATCGAGTAATGTATATAGGTTTCACTGGTCGTCCAGTCCATGAATGAAGATGAATTCAGCAAGCCCACATGCTTGTGGGCCGTTTCCTTTACTTTAGGGGAATGCGTTAAATCTACGTAGTACCAATGACAAGTTTCGTACTCTAGAGAGGTTGGCTGGGCTATCCGATGACTCAATCTGCATTTACGTACAGTACTGTAGATGATTACAGGTTAATTTCAAGTGGGCTTGTACGAGTGCAGTACAAATTTACTCAAGCTCGTGGTTGTCTATACTTCAACTATTGCACACTCACTGAGCTCCTATCACTTGCAATAATTGGAGTGCACGTTCATGGTTTCAAACGTACTGTAGATCGGAATTACCAAACCACACTCCCTCGTGAATTCACTAGCCACTGTTAGCTCCTTAAAACTCTGGGTACAGTATGTACTGTAACATGAACTTCACCAGATATTGTACCGCATGTACCCACGGCGGTCCATAGCCACCGCATACCCCTGAACCCTGTCACGCGTGCAATCTCAAGTGACCGTTTGGCAAAGTCAATTAACTCCTAAAATGCTGGAACTACAAGTAAATTGCCGACTGTCTGAGGTTGCCGCTGCTCCAGAGCTCTCACTGTCTTGCCCCAAAGCTAAGCTAGTCCGGAAAGCGGGGCCTGTCGGAGCTACTCCTTCCGTTTTAGTGTCGGAGTTGCCAAGAGGGTAGGCAGCATTATTTAGCGACTTGTAGCCAGCAGAGTACATACACTTGTTTTTGCAGCGTCAACGACACAAAAACCCTCATCACTAAAAACGCCGGTTTCTGGAGCTCTGCGACACAAACCGCATATCTCCAGAAATACACCGACAGTTGCAGCAAAGCCAAACTCCGACGACTAACTCCGACCAACCCACCGCCAGTCATGAGACATTTATTAAAGTTTGCATATACATTATCTAATCACTCATCGCCACCAGAGTCACCCGGTACAAAACCAGTGACGCGGACTGCAACTCTCCCCCAACCCCTGCAAATGACATCGTACCTGCGAGGCACGCGAAAGGCCCTGGAACGGGCGCCCCACCGCCTGTTTGGCAACAAGTCCGTGGAAGATCGAGTGATTGTGGAATGGGCCAAGGATTTCAAGGTGGCCCAAGATGCGCTTCATTTCCTGACCCACGAGCTCACAACCTGGACCGAGACATGGAAGAAGCTGCTGGACTCGCAGGCGGACTTTGCTACCGTCTTCGCAGAGCTGTACAGACCCATTGTCGAGGACAAACACAACTTTAAGGAACCCCAGGTGACGCCAAAGTCCGTGTTGGCGTACGTGACCGACTACGAGCATCTGGCTCAGGATCTGGCTGTGGCGCTGCTGCCATTGACCGAGAGCCTGTGCTCAGTAGCCTGCGACCGCATCAACACGGTCCGGTCTCAATTGGAGTCCATTGAGAAACGCCTAACCAAACGAGCCCACAAAAAGATTGACTACGATAAGGCGTCCGAGTCGCTACACAAGGCCATCAAGAAGAGCACAAACTCCGAAAAGGATAAGCTGCATATCGACACTCTTCAGGCCCGATTCGACGAGGCCACGGAAATCTTCATGGCCATTGATGGCGAGGTAAGAACCCAAGTGCCTCAATACCTGGCCATGCTCTCAGAGTTCCTGAACCCCTTCACTACCTGGATCTTCTACCAGCAGATGACCATCTACGAGCTGCTGCAGGAGAAAATCCTCGAATTCAGTGTCACCCAGGGTCTTACTGAGTGCTCCTCGGTGCACCCCCAGAGCGAATCGTTCCGAGAGATCTCAGAATGCTGGAGAGACCGGTTCCCTGATCCCCTGAACCGAGCGGAGGAGGGACTCAAGACGATCCGAGGAGGAGAGACTGTGAAGACAGACTACGACGACTGGGACAGTGAAAAGCACTTCTACACCGGAGAGCGTCACGCACAGTTCTTCGAAAAAGCCAAGGATGACATTACGGCAACCACCATGGGCCTTGTGGATAAGGCCCAGAAGCCGTTCCATCACGACAAGCCTGTGCTGTTCTCGTCGGATCAGGGTTTGTTCCAGGGTGAAGCTGACCCTCTTGGATTGATAGGAGGAGACTCTAGCTTGACTCCCGTGACGTCCTACGATGGAGGGTCGGGTACCAAACTCACCCCTCAGTTGACGCCACAGAGCTCGCCCCTCAAACAAACCCATTCCCCTCTCAAGACCCCAGCGTCACCAATAACTCGACGGTCTCGAGCGTTTTCTAACCTCTCCAACGTGTCAACGTCCACTAACGCCAACTCCGGCCCTACTCCCATCACATGTCGCCTGGAGGAAAGATATCCCAGTGACGTGACTCGTCGTGCTCGTGCGTGGTCTTCTTCGTCCGCCAGAGCACTATCGCCTCATCACATGACCCTTGAAGAGGTGCGTAAGAGTTGGGCTCCTGAAGGCGAGGACGTGGAGATGCTCAACGAGGAGGAGTCGGGGACTCCATCGTTCGGCTCTGTGATTGCATTGTTCCCGTTTTCAGGCCAGCAACCTGGAGACGTGGCGTTCGAGAAGGGCGACACTCTCAAGCTGCTGTACAACGCTGAGAATGAGGATTGGTGGGTGGGACAGACCAAGGATGGACGCTACGGCTTCTTTCCCCGAAACAGAGTCGGAATGGTGTAGGTCTCCGCTAGTGTGGATTCGACCTAGATAGTAGATGATGACGAAGTAGATGCATAATGGATAAGATTGGTAGGAAAAGAGACTTTGAACAGTACGTAGGTTGTTGCTGTCTTGGATCATAGATGATCATTAGTGCTGCAGTAGTGTCGCATTGGTGCTTTTCTGGTAGATTACAGTTGGAGATTTGTATCTGGTATTAAAGCTTGCGAGACCACACTGCATGTGGTTCTGAAGCCGTTCGAGAAGTGCAACGTCATTACGTAGTTGAATGTATCGACAAGTGCGGTCATCTTCCCATTCTGGAGCTTTCTTCTTCTTCTCATCGCCTTCCATCTACAAGGAGAGCTGTTTCTCTGATGGGGACAGTGACCTCCACAACAGTAGATGAATGGATGGACCCATGTATCTTATTGTCTTTTTCGTTTTCGCCGCCTTTGCTATATATTTAAGCGCTTTTCTTTATAACAAGCGTAGTGGCTCCAAAACACTTTTTCTTGTTTGGCACAACCGTTGTTGTCGAGTTGAGTTTCACTGAGTAGCAGACTCCAACATATACATTTAGGAGCTCCAGGACGAAAATGTGAGGATGGGAACTTCAGAAATGTGATATTTTACATTTTTTCGTACCATCTTTCCATTTGCTACCATTTTGTTCTTGAGGCTATGAATCTTAAGGGGGGCAAGTATGAAGGGAACGTTCAATTCAAATATCACGCACACAAATGCATAATAGTGGCATATACCATTCAGAAAGATTGCCAAGAGTTGAATAATGTAACCTTTGTTCTTTCTAGTGCAAAAGTAACCTTTTAGATATCTCTTAGGGTCTCTGATTATTGAGCCAGAGCTGCAAACCAGTCTCCTCTGACATTTTCATCAGTAGTTTAAAACATGATATTCTTTTCTCATGCAGTCAGGACAGTGCTCATATAATGAATTTCTTGGGTATTTATTACTTCGTTAAACAAGAATTTGAAGTCCCCACGATGTTTTCTTCATTCTGCTTTCTGTTATGTAAATTGCTGTTGTTGACACTAGTGCACTATCATGTCTCATGTAGCACCCCATTTTGCGCCTGCAATTTTTTGAAGTCAGCGGTTTCGAAACCTACAATCCCACCTATAGGAACCCTTTCAGTAGCGACTCTGTCTATAACATTCTTTCCCAGACTCTCACGACAACCTACAAGTAGAGCCGGAATATCAGAACCAACAATGTGCCAGGTACAAATATCCAGGTCTGGCTTGTGTATCATCTTGAACAAGTCAGGAAAATCGAAGTAGAAGTCGAAATAAATGAATATTTATTTATATATTGTAGCCTGAATCAAGTAGTTGAAGCCGTGCCAGTTTCGAATGAGACTTACTCTCCTACAAGTAGGGTTGATGACTACTGCACTCACCACTTCCCCCTTCTCAATGATCTCTCTAAATCATAACTATGCTCCATGAACCTGGTTCGATGGCGGCAAGTATACATTTTTACCAGTCTTCCTATGTCGCTTTCACAGCACCCTGATGGCATTATCTGTCACGTGATAGTCACTTCCCCAGATTGTAAAATATGCTTTAGGTTCATGGGTTGGAGACAGGTTAGGAGCCTTTCTACAACATTTCACTTTAATATGTTCAAACTTGAACCCCTTTCATCAACTACAAGACTCTTATACTCGTTGCAATCGGCACTTCTCTAACCAAGAAACCTCGGTACGCCGTTTTGAGGGTCTTTCTCAATGTCCTACCACGTTAACCATATAGATCTCTCTCCAATCGCAATCACCGACTACCCAAGTGTAAATCAGTAACCAGGAGCTGACTTTGTGTTTTCTCGTAGCACATAGCACAAGTAAAGACGTATGGAACTGCCTCAGAAGGGTTTCCATCGGTCGCAACTTGCGATTGGCTTTAAACTAGGTTCGTCGGATGACAACGCTTATGTGAAGTAAACTGCGCCGATACCCTAAGAGATATTTTCGGTCCGATGAGATACCTTACAAAGACCGCTAGATTTAATTACAAGTAGGTCTGATATCCGAAGAAAAGGAAGAGGGGCCGTGTCTGCATCAACGACGGCAGTCTCCTGCAGGGGTCTGCTGGTTAATCTAAACGCAACCAAGTGCCGATATCCGTGAAACAGTCTGTTAACGGCCAGGTATATATACGAAGAACAATGAGCTTCTTACTTAATCTCTATCGCACCATTGTTTTGATTCGAGGCCCGAGAACTCGCCGAGACATGAGAGGGTGGGGTGCAACTCCATGAAACACTGATGGCAAGGTACGGTAGACGCCCAAGACACTGTGGAGAGACTGCAGTGCAGGAGCACTGCCACGAATCTCGATAAGGTCGCGTTTCAAAAATGTGACATCGGGGTGGAGGAGGTCTATCAAAGGTTCTGTATATCTCAAGCCGTTTAATGGGCTTCTAGAGGAGTTTCTAGAAGGGTTCGATAATATACTTAAACGCGATGAGAATTCTCGCAAACGCCTAAAGTATTTGGCACGCATATTGCAACTACAAGTACTACAATCTCTGGTCGATACACGAGATTTAGGGCACTGTGATCAGTCATAGCAAACATCTATGCCTTCGATCAAGCCTATATATATCATAGAAACGGCTATTAAGGGTACCTGCATGCATTATCTAGCCTAGTCATGGTACTACGTATGGACCCATCTACGTAGTTTATTCGTACAGAACCATGCCCAACTAACTACAAGTACATCGATCCACCACGTATCGAATACGCTTGCATACCAGCTGCCGTATCGTCTTTTCAAACCGGGCCAAAGCTACAGGTTGGTTCTACTGTTTTTCGCTCAACGTTTGGCTAGTCTCAAACCCACCATGGTGGTGCGGTAGTCTAGGTACGGGCACTAGCATACGACGAGATTTGGTACGATAGGGTCTTCGTTTCGAAAGACGGAAAGTGACGTCAGCGAAAATCCTAGAGGCATAAACGCTGTGAATACTCTCTACCCCGGTCTACGGATCTTCTGCTCACTCGAACTCTCCCCAAACGTACGAGAAGACAGATACATACACTTTTGAGTGTCCACTAGCGCGGAATGGTAACTCAATGTCGTTTCTTTTGTCCACTTGTTTCTCCTGTGCATGGTCCATGTTCATTTTGTGAACTGAATACGTTTTTAAAAATCGAATTTGAAATTAGGCGAAAGAACTGCGAGAGCTCTGGTGGGGTCATGTTGCCATTCTAACAGCATTGGTCGTCCCAATTATCAATATGGACTGTCTTTACCATGGCGTCCAATCTGAACACCATGTACAGTAGCGTCCCAACAGTGTTCCGGAACTATCTACACACGGCTGAGACACATTACGTGATAAAAGACGGCGTGTACGGACATGAGCACTTTGCCCCTTTTAAAGTCTTGCTACCATCAGCCCAGACTGTAACCCCAACCTCATGTGTCTGAAAGAGTCTTGACTTCGCCCACGGAGACCCTGAGGAGTTGAACAATCGAGTCTACGGTGCAGTGCATTAGTGTGGGAATAATCGCGCCAAAATCCAAGCCAACCACTTCCCGCGTGTACTAAGATCGTATTTTCCACTTGAGCGTCGTCATAATCGTCTTAAGGCTGGTTCTCGTCAACATGTTGGAGCACAATCTGCCGGAAGCAAGAATTTCAACGCCCTGTAGCAAGGGTTGGTCCTGTGATAATCAACAGACAAATTATGATCAGCTAGATTAGGACAAAGAGGGTCCCTTGATTGGTGTTTGTTGGGAATGGCGCATTCTGTTTAACAGCAATCTTTTACGAGCGTCTGGAGACCGACGGAGTGAGTTCGCGGATGCGCATGTCTTGATGACATTACTGGAATGAATCCTAGACGTGAAGAAGCCTGGACCTCAATTGAGAGAAGATATACAGTGATGATCAAGCCGAATGGTTTTCTATATACTTCCAAGTGAGCCATTTCAGTGAACAATTGAGACCTTCGTAGGTTTGGGGTAAATGCTTTTTCAGTTTCATATAACCTAGCTTGTTTGTGCACTAATTATTTCAAAATGGAAGAGAAATAAAAAGTCAGACAAAATTCCACTAGTGTACAAAGAATGCGTTTTTTTATTATTCACTTTGGATATCTAATCCATAGAAACGGCTACACTTTGTCTTTAATCACCGCTAAGGATTGCCCCATTGATCCCACTACTTTCCATCTCGCGAGGCTGAATATTACTCCGATCGTGACGGGGAGTTCGAATCCCTAATCTACGATTCTAGGTGTATCTATAAATCAAGTACTTGAGTCTGTAGCTCCATTCCTTCTCCGTTGAAGATGTTTGTCATATCATGCACAATGCATACCCTTTGTCACCCTAAACTGGGGATCATTTACAAGATTCTGAATAATATTTATACAGAAATTACGTAAAGCTGCTTCAGAATCCAATCTCTTTATCTCCAAAAGCATACGGCTCGTCCTTTAACCATCGTTTGCTGTCTACAGTGTACCAACCAATCCCATGAGTTTATCTTACGAGCATGCGTACAAGACAGGGCAGATTAGCTACTTGTAGTATGCAGACTAGGTATACCGGCTCGTGCAGGATATATCGTCCACATGCGCACATGCCGTACATAAAATTATCTCACTTCCCTGCTAGGGGGGTTATGCGCACATCCATCCAGTTGTGAAATTCCACTATATACTTAACGCTATTTACTGCCTGAACTATCGGCCATCCTATCTATACATAGAATAATGCTTCTCCTGTCTCAATCTATGCTCAACTTGATTCAGAACCCACTCCGGATACACTTCCTCCACGGTCATGGGGTTCTCGTCGCGCAAGACTAGTTCCTCATGCTTCTTCTGCTCGTCCTTGGTCATGACAACCACATTCTGCAGGTTAATAGGGCCCTCCTTTCTCCATCGCGAAAGCGACAGTCGCGAACATTCGCCTGAAATTACGGACTTGTTCTTGTATACCTCCTCGACAAGATAGCCGACGTCGGCTGAGTCAAAAGGAGCCGCAATTCGAATACCGTTTTCTCCGGTTCGACGCTTACTTTCCCGAGCCAGCTGGCCAACCAAGGTCTGCTGAATCTGGTCGTAGGCCTTGGGCTTGTGTCGGCTTTGAGTGACAATGTATTCAGGAATGCTGGCGTAATCCCCGATAGATGTAAGCACATGGGTGGCCATGGAGAGTCCAAAAATGGCAGGTAGGGAGCCCAGGACAGGCAGAATCCGCACACGGTACTGGGGTAGAACGGATAGCTCACCGACAGTTGTCTCGTTTTCCTCGTTCTTCTTTTCAAACTCAGAATCTTCCAAGGGAAGCAGTTTGGCTTCTCCTGGCTTCTCAGTCGAGAAGATCACAGGAATACCTTCGTAGACACCGAGCTTTCGAAGCTTGACTCGAGTGGCCTTGGAAAGGGGATCCTCGGCAGTCTGGGAGATGTCGGCAATACGGACTTGGGTGAAATCACTCTTGCATCCCGCACCCATGGACGAAATGACCTTGATATCACGGGACTTGCAGAAATGCAGCAGGTCCACCTTGGCGTCAATGTTGTCGATGCAGTCCAGCACCCAGTCGGGCTTGTCGCCGTTAACATAGATAAGTCGTTCGGCCATCTCAGTGTATTCTTGCTCGCTCTTACTCAGCTTGGCAGGCACCCACAGGTCCTGGACAGCCTCGATGTTGGCCCAGGGGACGACTCCGCTAAAGTACTGCTTCACAGACTCCACCTTGGGGATACCAACATGGGCTCTGCTGGCGGTGGCATGTCTGTTAAGAGACGAGAGAGTCACCTGGTCAAAGTCCACCAACCGCACGTTTCCAACACCAGATCGAAGCAGCATGGTAGCGGCCCAAGAGCCCACTCCTCCAGCACCCACGATAACCACCGAGGACTTTCGAATCACCTCCAGTCCATCGTCACCGAAGAACACACGGGATCGCGCAAGCTGTTCAAGAATCAGCTCTTCCTGCTCGTCGTCAGAGGGAGCCAGGAAGGGCTTTGAAGCAGATGTGGATTTCGACGCTGACTCAGCAGGTTTTTGTGTTCGCACGTCGTCGTAGAAGTTGGGATTGCATTTTGTAAAGGTCAGCACGCAGGCGGTCGCCAGCGAACTGAGTGCAGCCGCCAGAGCCACCGTGGTCCAGCCGGGTTTGGACATTATGTGATGTTTGGTGTACAGATGGCCTGTGAGCTGATGTTCTGATCTGTAGTCATGCAGGTTTTTTTAGAGTTTGGAGACCGCGCTTGTGAGTAGGAGGAGTGTTGGAAGAGAAAGAAGAGATATGAGGTGGCTGGGGAGGACATAGAAGGAAATACTTGCTTTGACTGATTATTAGTTGAGATTAAGAAGCATGCCGAGTTTTGTGGTTTGTTAACGTGATACTAGTATTATTTCTCATATAACTCGCTTAATAAACTTGGCATAATAATATAAATTGGGTCGTATAATTCAGGAGATTCTCGTGCTTCATTTAATATACTGTAATAACTGTGGTATTTCCAGAAATGTGGTGTTGTGTTGTGACCAGACCACCTTCACCTCAACTGTCGACGATCTATATCTCTAAATAATCTTATGAGTCGAGCAAGTGGATCAGGAGATGGAAAATAACCGTATGTGGGTACGAAGGCAGTACATGCACTGAGTTACTCTTGGTTGCTCTCGGTAAACGGTGATATATACAGAAGCGGTTTGGGTACGAGCTCCTCACCTGTATCGTTTGAGTGGAGTCTCAGACGGTCCGACTACAAGTAGGCACCTTGGTTCGATCTCGTATATATACAGGCTGACAATGGCATTATTAGGGATTTGGGGATGACAAAATAGCGAGGTGAAGCTTGGTACTTGTACAGTACAAGTACTTTTAATGTGAGAACGCTTTGACAGCCTCGTGATCGGTGGATGGAGAGCTCCATCGTATTTTTTTTGTTGTCGACGCTAGTTTAGTTCTCATTGTACATTAGTGCCATCGTTTGAGCAGCTACACACTTGTGTGTGTGTGTAGAATATAATTTTCATCAGGGGACAATAGCCTGGTTTTCCAAGGATTGGGACCACGTATAAAACCATGCAGTCCCAAATCAGGTGTCGATCGCGGGTATGTCTCAGGGAACTCTGAGTCTTTTGGGTTAGTAGGCGAGCTCCGCTTCTTCCTTTTCCCTTTTGCTTTTGGGGACACTGCACTACTTTTTGAACTCAGTTGAAACGGTCGACATGGACGGACATAGGATCACGGCCATTATGCAAAGCGTGGGCAGTGACGTGTGGCCGCTCCGGCTGTGCAGAGGCTGAAAGGCACATCGTGGTGGAGGGAGAGTTCTTCCGGGCCATTTCTTGTTGGTCCGAGATGAAGCAAATCTCCACGATACGGGCTTAGGAGGAGCATAGATGCAATTTATGGGTCTGCACCACAAGGCTCTGCTTGTAGGTATCTTGTACTGTAGACCGTACGATACAGTTAGTTGAAGTCATACAAATCACAAATAATTACAACCGTGCAAGAAACCAGTTACACTTTGGCTAGCGAAGCCCTAACAAACTGGCTCCCTCGATGATGTCTCAAGAGTACAGCACCGCTGCCGTTCCTGTGCCTCCAAGGTAGCGTTAACGTTGCGCAGCTCCATCGTTTGCAGTCTGCTTGTCTGGTGTTTGAGCATAAAGCTTTGCAGTACAATGGACACGAGACAATAAAAGTCAAAGATGCGTGGCTGGGAACCAGGTGGACTGTGGTTCGGTACGATACCGGCACCCTAAGTAATGGCGCCAAGCGCACCAAAGAAAGACGTTGTGTGGTCTTTTCTGGATCCCCTGTGTGGACCATTGACACGGCTTTGGTAGGTCTTTCGGTGGCCACACGTCAACCCAACATGGCACGATGATCGTGATGTGGGAACATGTCAACGTCAGAGCTCAGAGACGTGATTGTGGACTGATACGGCCCTATGGGTCCTTTTGTGTGATGCAGGGCCACTTGATAAGCGCGAGACAGGCTGGAAATGAAGCAGTATCGTCTTGCCAACACGAACGGACCGTTTCGATGCAGTACGACGACAAGGTCTGCGAATACGATGTATGAAGAATGCGGTAATAACAATGTCCGCTCCGGGAAGTAATAGCAAGAGGGTGAGCAGCGATATGTATAGACGCGAAACGTGGACAATTGCAGGCAATTGCAGTCCGTTGTGACCGAGTGCAAGCAGTTGCACCTCTTCCATGTTCACTAGTCTACTGTATCTGACATCTGCTTGTTTGTTAATTCCACCGGTTAACCCCATCCAGCTCGATCTTAAAGGACACAGTTCGGAGTCTCAGCGGTCTCAGCGGAAAAAGCAACGACCTATAGATTGAGCTTGAGTTGAGAAGTGTTTGACTCCGTCCTGTCCAACAGAGGAGAAGCAGAAAAACACAAAAGAGGACAAGACGAAAACCTAGTCGCACTCACGAATACGTGCCCACAGAGTTGGTCGGTCACATGAGATGCTCATAGGAATAAATGCTGGGAAATTACTCTCAGAGATGAGTAATACGGCCTTTGAACAGGAGAAGAGACACAGCTGGCCCCATCCAATAGTGACAGGTGCTCTCAGGGCTCAACCCAATCTCATGCTACTAGCTCTTAGCCGGGTCTAAGTGGTGAGGCAGAAGCCACTAATGCTCTCTTGGTAGCCACTAAAGGCGGCGTTAGACACCGTCGAGTAGTTATAGCTGTTATTATTTATAGTGGGCCGGCTTTGGCCGATTCGGCTGGATCCTCCCATCGCCGGATCCGAGCGTTGCAACTGTACGCGGGGGATAAATAAGCGACGCGACGCTCTCTATTTGTAGCAGATAAAGGCCCGTGCCAGCATCTCCAACGGCCAACTAGTCCAAGTTTAACCGGAAAAAAAGTAAAGGTTTACGTGCGTCCGCACGAGATGTGTTTATATACGTTTATACGTGGTCTAGAGCGCACTTGACGAGTGAGCTAAAAGTCTGTGGTGTTATAGCCCGCTGTTTTGGAGCAGTTGTGAGTGCTACAGGAATATGCTTCTGATGGTGAACTTCGTGGAGAAGAAGTACAAGCACGTCCAAGTACGTGCAGTAGAGTAGAGCTACATTCAGTAAGCACATACATGGGCAAAGAGAAGCAATACAGATATACCCTGTTCATTGTTGTGACACGTGACCGCGTTTTATTTGTCGCGAACATTAACCCAAACCAAATCTGGCGTGACCTAGCTGGTAGCCGTTTGAACATAGCACCTGGACCTGAAAGAGCACAGATGTTTGCCGTAACGCATTCCTGCACTGATGCGCATGGAAGGATGACAGATCTCAGAAAGATGGAGATGGGGTTGGAGATGAGAAACGAGGTTCAGAGCCCCTGGCACTACCCTCCTGGTTGGGTACAAATGCCTTCAGTTATAGCTATGAAGGAGAAGGCAGCCCAATAATAGATAGGTGAAATTTTGCAATAGGCAGACACGCTAAGAATAACGGAGCTGACATCTCAGAGAAACAACAGTACACCTGGTCTTCACTCCTATTGTTCCTTCCACCGAGAAAAGTGAGTTTGGGGTGTATCACCTTTGGTTGCTACCGCGCTTGGTCAGGGCTCCCAACCACCCAAATCTCTTCAGAGAGATGATAAATACGAAATTTATCAGTTATGGGAAATATAATTCCGGAGGTTGAGTGTGGCACATGGGGCCGCATGGCCAAGAAGACATGATTTTTAATGTCTCTCTCTTCCCTCCCCGAAATTCCCTGCATGTTTCCCCATCTTGTTTGCTCTCGATCGAGTCTTGTACTGTATATATCATGTCCCACCGGGCAACGAGATGTAAACCCCCAGGCTATACGAGGACGTATAGAAGGAGCATCTGGATCGGAGTTTCTCAAAGCAGCTTTTATGTTTTACCTGAGGTAAAAAGACTCCATAACACCCGGTCCCATGTAAGGCGAGCTTTTCGCAGGTAGGCCTTGCATTATGAAACGCTGAGTTTATCCCGAGATGCGATTTTTTGTGAGGGCGACAATATGCCTAGGCGTGAGCATGGCCAGTATAAGTAGCGGCCGTTTGTGCGAGCTGGGGTTGGAGTGTGTAGGTGAATGAGGTGGTTCCTGACGCTTACTTAAGGCGGAGGGAGATGGTGACACTAATCGCTAGTCTCAGTGGGCATCACGCTAACCGTGAACCACACTAGGCTAGTTGCCGATTAATGGTTTTAGTTGTTTTTCCATATATTTGTCTGTTATACCTGTTGCGACAACTTTTGGGGTGAATCTGAGGGCGTTGGATATCAAGGTCGACTGTTGGAGAGGGGAGTAAAAAAAGACGGCCTTCTTTTAGACCGCTGGGGAGAAGCGCTAGCACGTCAGTGTCACATGGATGGGACATGAATAATCAGGTGCCAAAAAAAAAAAAAAAAATAGGTGGCGACAGGCGGGTAACAGTTCAGAAATGGTGCTGGAGTAGGATCATAAACCTCTTTTCAATAAATTTGTAGCTATACATAGGGTCTAGATCAGGGACGTTATAAGACAAACTACTGGTAGGCCCTCCGAACACGCCGGAGGTTTGGATTTTACACAGCAAACTATTGGAGCTCTTGGAGCTAAGCCCGTGGATAATACAAGGCCGTCCTTTTTATTTTGACACCACTAGCGCACACTAGTGTGAGTGGGGTAGTCTGGACTACTTGTAGATAGCGGAAGACCACAAAGATAGAAGGGAGGAAATACATACATATTCTCATACTCACGTCTACTTTCAGCCCAGCTGTATTAATTAAATAACCGTATACCCATCTGTCTACTCCTGATAACCCATATCCGTGCCTGCGCGCGCGTACTGTGATGTAGCGGCGCCGTACTGGTACGACGACGTCGGCTTGGGGTAGTACTTCATGTACTGATTTTGCTGTGCCGATTGCGACTGATCCATGTAGTAGTTGTATCCTGGTTGCGCCGAGCCCGTAGCGGCCACTGTAGTGGAGTTTGACGGCGTGACGGGCGTTGTCAGGCCGGAAACCACAGCTGTGTTGTTGACGGTAGCCATCACCTGGCCTACGCCCGAGTTTGCAAAATTCGGTGATGCGCTGGTAGGCACCATGGGTTCGCCGTCCTTCTTGTCGTACGTGTAGTGACTCTGGATGGGAGCGAGTCTCTGGGGATAGTAGCTCTGTGGCTGGGTCACGGGCGTGGTTTGCTGGCCATTCTGGTATCCGTACGGGTAGTAGCCGTTGCCCGGAGCAGGAGGTCCGGTCTGTGAGGGGCCCTGGACTACTGCCGACGAGCCTTGTAGCTGGGGGACGTGTCCGTACTGCTGTTCGATGAGCTTTGCCTTCTTTTGCTCCTTCCACATGCGTCGCAGCTCCTTGAACTCGCTGGGGGCGCGCTTGGAGCCGTGGCCTTGGGCCGCAACGTGCGCGTTGAGATGGTTGAGGGTGCCATAGGCCTTGGAACAGCCGTGCCAGTTGCACACGTACAAACGCTCAATCTCGTTGTACTTGCGCCTTGGGCGTTTCGAATGGTTTTTGTTGAGCGGCAGCAGTTGGTGGTAGGGGAACATCGTTGTGGAGGTCTGGTTTCGTTTGCCCGTGAGCCATTGATATATATATATATCTATATACATGAAGCTGCTTATAGGATATAGGGAGGTAGGCCAATATGAAATTCAAACTGCGATAGAGTAAACAAGGCCCAAAGTGTAGAAATCGTAAAATCATTCGCCAAACCACAAAAACAAGCAGAGTTTGCGTCTACAAAGCCCACCTCGAACCTTGTCGAGTCCCATTTGCAATTCTCAAACCCTCGTCTAAAAAGTCAGACACACAAGCGTGAACCTAGTTCCGCAAGCGAGAACCGTAACCTTGACACCCACTATTTGTGCACAATGGGGCAGTCTGGGCTTCAGAGGGGCGACAAGCGGAGTATTGCCCAAAGGGTGGCAATGACGTCGGCTTTCGGGCTCGTCCGACACACGCGGTTTCGCAAAAAGACTCTCCGGACCTTGTAACCACTGAGGTCTCCCTCTGTTGCATGTCCAACAACCAGATTATCGCCACTAGCGTGGGATGGAAACGAAAAACGCAAAGGTCATGGCGAAAATCACAAAATGTAAGCAGAAAATAGTCGTAGACCACATATTCCGAGATGGCACCTCCGATAACACACCGCTCTGAGCTACCCACGTGGTCACTTTTCGAAATTCCCCAGTCGAGCCAAACAAACTACCGATAAACTGTGCAAGAGCTACAACTCGAAGAGAAGAGAAGTACAGTGGGAGAAGATAAACATCACGTGCAACTCATAAAAGAATAGCCACCGATAAATTCTAACTTTTTTAATGAATTATCAAGGAGACCTACACTTCTGTGTGGCTCTCCCTCCCTCTCTTCTCTTTTCTGGGTCTGCTCGCCGCTGCCGTCGTTCGCAATGCTTCCCTTTTGCTTTTCCTTCGCCACACATTCCAGGTTGCAATTCCCTCACGCCCATTCCATTGACCGAGGTGTCGGGATACAGTTTATGTCCGGATTGTTCGGAAAACGGAACTAGGTCGTATAGCGCAGTGTTGTGTAACCGCAGTGTTCAACAAAGCGACAGTGTCGTACGTGCTGCCACTTAATACGCAGCCTGTGTGCAAGGTCGCGCAGATTACCTACTGGAAGACCCCCCACTCGTTCAAGAACTGACGGGAAGGCAGAAGATGTCTCTCGGCTGACCCCCCAACTTCGGCGATAACATAATGATCGTATATTCGTTATAACACTAGTCTACACTAAACTAGCCCCTTCGGCTACACTCGCATAACTTGCCCCGACTAATTACAAGACCAGCGGCAGAGAGTATCCTCCATCGACGTAGCCGGCTCGGATAAACGTCGGACGTCGGCCCACTACCGATTGAATGTAATCAACGTCCACTCCTTCGTCCATGCCTGAGGCCGAAAGCACCACGACGTCATCTACCATCAGCGAAGGCGTGTAGATTCCAGGCCCAGGTGGGGGGCCCCAAGTCAGCTCACTATCCACCAGCATTAGTTCAATGTCCTGGTTGACTACTGAGCCCCGAGCTAGCGCCGAGGGGGATTCTAGGGTCGAATCAAAGCCCCAGCGACCCACTCCGTTCACGTATAGACCTACCAAGAGGCCCTGGTAGAGCAAACCGAGATGGGTGTATGTAGATGCTCCCGTAACCAGTACCAAGCCGATGATGTAATGGTGGATCCGCAGCTCCAAGTTGTTCAGGGCGCCTACCAGACCCAACCCCACCAACAGAAGCACTAGAGAGATGTAGACCACAATATAGCGCTGGAATAGCCCAGCTCGCCAAATGAGGTAGGTTTGCGAGGCGATAGCAGCTATAATGATGATCACAAACACAATGACCACAATCCAGCCCTCGGGCCGTGCGTTTAGATCGCTCACCATCAGTCTATCCACGGGAAGATTGGCGAAGGTGTAGTTCTCAAGCACTCCACACCACAATCCAGAGTTCCAGAGCAGCAATCGTGAGAGGGAGGGTGTTCCCAGCGATCGGGGCACTTTCTCGAAGGTCTTGAACAACGAGTCACCATTCTCCAGATCCGAGTCGTCATTCTCGTCGACTTCGTCTTCGTCTCCTCCATCAACATGACCGGAGCTAACAGACTCCACGTTAGCGTAGCCATCGTCTCCTCCTGGAGTTCGAGCGGGGTTCTCGTCGGTTCCAATCATGTTCTTGACGGCAGCTCTATAAATAATGTATCCTCCGAGCACAGCAGGCAGAAGTCGCTCCACAGCCATACTCAGCCAGAACTCGCGGACTGCGAGGCTGGTGGGGCCTGCCCCTCGAGAAAAGTCGACAATGGGGTCGGCAACCATGACCAGAACCCAGAAGGATACAAGGAACTGCACCCAGTAGAAGCCAGCGACATTGACACAAAAGTAGCCGAAAATGAAGGACATGATCACACAAAAGGCCACAATGGAAATGCGGTTGTCTTTACCTCCGCTCACGTGATCCTCGTGCACGGAGAAGGAAGCGGGGAACGGCGCATCAAAGTCTATACTGTCAATGGTGTAGGCCCCCTTCGAGCCCATGAAAGAGTCTCTAGGGCCCTCGAAACGAAGTCGAAACGTTCCCCCCGTGTATGGTGATACGAGTCCCGCATGCAGAGCCGCTGCGCAGGGGCTTGAGTCGGCCCGGTAGTATCTGTTGGTAGCTTCCTCCTCCTTCGTCTGTCGTTTGAAGAATCCGCCCACGTGCAGATCGCTCTCTTCGTAGTCCTCCTGCTCGTCTTCCTGCACGTCGGTTTCTTTTTCGAGGCCGCCTCCGATCACGTAGGGGCGGTATTGCACCGATTGCATGCCCACCAGGGTTTCTCCCCATTTCCAGGAGCCCCTGACGCATCCCACGGGGCACTTGAGACGCATTTCTCTTCTCGTCCCGTCTGGCAGCGGCTCGAACGGCGGTAGACAGCCCGTGGCGTTGACTCCACAGTCGGGCTTCCACACGTGCCAGTTTTCCGCACACCCCGACAAGCTGGTGTCTTCTGGAACCCGCCAAAAAGACTGTGAGAAGAGAGATAACGCAATGAGCCACCAGAGGGCGACAAAGGCGACCATGGCGGCCGACCAAATGGTTCTGCGCTGTTCATTGCGCTGTAATTTGGGTCCGTCGCGCAATCGTAGAGGCCAGAGCTGAGCGGATTTGCACCACAGGGTAACGTTTGGGTTGACGGGAGGTGATGGGCCGTATGTCCATTTGGGCCAGCTCAGTCGCAACATTGTGGGTGTCGTTGGAGGTCAGTATGTCGAACGAATGTGCGGGAGACCTGACAAATGGCACAACTAAAGCTACCAGGAGGCCAGCTACCTTTGATTTTAAAATATAGCATTTTTGGGCTCTTTCAAGCCTTCACAGAAGAGTGCTGCTCATCTGCAGACGTGAGAGTTAAATTGCAGAGTGTGCCAAGTGTTGGAAGGAGCTGTGCCCACAGATACAATAAAGAGAGGGCGATAATGGGTTCATTTTGGCGGTCACAGACCCTCCAGTCCAGGTTTCGAGCTACCTGTGACCGTCTAGCAGACCCCGATCGTGCACGAGTTTATCTGATCACATTTCCCGGATTATGCACCACCTGCATTTTTCCGAAAAGACCTCGGAATCCGTTGTGACTAGGGCTAATGCAACGAAATGCCATAGTTGCGGATGAGACAGAGAAATAGTTAGAAAAGAGAGAAAAGGCGCCCAAATGAGGAGACCATATGTGCGGTCCCAAAGACGGCAAAACTGACGCGCACGCTTTGGACTGCGCAACATTTCCTGGTCTTCTATGTATGACACACGTGATATTGCTATGGATGCGATTCTAACATGTCGGCGCCAGCCATAGCTATTAATCACAATCAGATTGCGACAGCGGGGGGGGCTCACTTTTGCCGTTTTGTCTAACTATAATCGGTTGTCAAAATGCGAAACCCCCAAATGCCTCAGCTCCTCCCTTGAACCTTCTTGGCACGTTCACCTCCTATTGTAGGTCCCACGCGATGTGGGGTCGCTATGTATAGGTATAGGTGGGGAGAGGCTAGCACCGGACTGGACGCCCGGTTATATAGTCTCCGGGCGTCTGTGTCCACCACAGCACTTTTGTGAGCTGCTTTAAAACTCAGCGACAAAACCAGACTTGCGCACAAGTACCTATGAGTAGCTACAAGTAGTGGTAGTGGCTACAAATAGTCGCACTTGGCATGTCATCATCAGTCACGGCCGTCGTCCACAGTTTTGTCCAAATTAGTTGTAGAGAGAGCGGAAAGAGCATCCAAGTACAGTGCGGTAGCAGCATTTCCCCACAGTCAACAGAACCAGTGTCAGGGAAGAGCTGAATTTCGCATGCTCTTTCTGTATTGGATGTTGCTGGAATGCAGAGAGGCATACGGATAATAATTTCCAGGTTATTGAGGCGTTTGGGACAGAAGTCGATGGGTGAAATTAGCCACAGTTGGTAGAGAGCCTTGCCCGCCCTGGTACTCGTATTTTGTGCCGTAGCCACAGTTGAGTACATACCACCCAGACTAGCGCACATTCACGTCTACACATCCTCAATGACGTAACCCAGGCATGGATTAAATCAAGCTCCAGGTGGCTATTTTGGTTAAAACTGGACCAAAGCCATTTGAAGGGGCACCAAAGGGCTATTGTACGATACTCAAAATTACACCTTGTTTATGTGTATTTGGATTAACGTGTGCCGCCGTGTGTGTACATGCCAGACCCATGGAAGTATGACATCATATCACAACAGACAGGGCACACACACGCACGCACCGGCTTACTAATACCATCGACTCATACATGAAATTCATATCTCTGCACCCAACTGCAACCCGGTGACCTCCCTCTCCCATCGGATCTATAAGCTGTTCCGAAGATCCGATTTCTTCCGAAGGTTTCAGAAGGTCAAAAATAGGTTGCGTGTTGCCTTAGAATTCCAGGTCCAGATTTACGCACGACTACAGTGATTATGCCGGTGAACGTCCTAAAATATCGGGCCTGTCAGACCGCGCACAAGTCCGATTTGCAATCGCAGGAGAATCTCCGTCTCTACCACATGACTGCGTCTGTATATACCCTCGTGCTATCTCTGACCATACAATAAGCATCTTTTATGGTCACTTTTATGCTGCAAATTTTACCGCCAAGAAAGCTGCATTCATTCAGTCAGCTCACCGATAGGATGCGAAATGCTGCGAAATGCTGCGAAATACTGCGAAAACATGCTGGCTAGAGGTATCCCGAGGCAGTAAAAGCCGCTGGCCAGGCCAGGTCCATATTATCAATGACTAATTAGCGTGGCAACGTGTTACTACAAGAAGTAGTATCAGCAATATATCGAGTACAAGGGTCTCGCACCCACCAATGTTCTCACGTGATTAGCCCTAGCCCAATGGACCATCCCCACAAGTAAGCACAGTAGTGCAGTGTCAATCCAATGACGCGTGTTTTAGTCTCCACTAAGTGGGGAAGCTGATAGCACGCCGCTACGCCCATTTCCCGGCCAAAATCCCTTTTCAGGGACTTTTGGCAACCCCTCTCTCTCAATCATTCCACTACGGAAAGAGCAGGCGCACATGTCTGCTGTGCTGTACGTTAATTTGGGCTGGTGGGGTTGTGGATCCAGCATCACTTGTTGGCCCAAACGCAAAGGGTGGTTGGGAGGCAAGATAACAGAGATGGAGGCTTGTCGGAGGGCATAAAAGACACTAAAAAGGTGATACTAGTCTATGCTAACGCACTCCACCTCTCGCAGTAGAGCTGCTGCACCGTGTAGGGGTCTACGTGGGCACTTTGGGTCCGTCGCCACTGAAGACAGCACAGGGTTCTTCGGGACCTGACCTTGTCGCTGACATTTGCTATTACAGGTTTTTCTTCTTGCACCTTTTAAACTCCAAACGCTTTTTCAACCTTAACCACCTCGATGCACGCGAGTCAAACAAAGCCTGCGCCGGAGGACATAGCTCCTCAACAAGTGCCATAATGTGAGGGGAAGTTGGCTGTTCGGAATCGGCGGGCCCGAAAATAGGCTGGCCAACTGTCCCGAACCCCAGAGTATGGGAAACACGGGTTTTAGAGCGCAGCCATAGACGTGGTTTATGCACCTTCTGAACGCTAACGCCGAAACCATGAGACAAGATGCCCTGGAAAACTTTGCTGAGCCTGGTATATATGTCGAGAGCGTGCCAGGTGCATGGAAAACAACACGTTTGCACCATGACCGAAGAAAAAACGCATTCGCTGTCGCCCAATGACTCTGTCAGCAGCGGCATTGGCGAGATCAAGACCACCTCCAAGTGGCGTAACTTTGTCGATTCCTTCAAGGAGGCCGACCTCCACGATGTCGACACCGAGGGCATGACCGAGCTCGAAATCTCGCAGCTCAAGGCCGCTAACTCGCCCCTGCAGCGGTCCCTCAAGGACAGACACGTCAAGATGATTGCCATTGGAGGTTCCATTGGAACCGGTTTGTTTGTGGGATCGGGAGGAGCTCTGGCCCAGGGTGGACCCGCCGCCCTGCTCATTGCATACACTCTTGTCGGTTCTCTTCTCTTCTGCACAATCAACTCTCTCGGAGAGCTTGCTGTCGCGTTCCCTGTCTCAGGAGCCTTTGCTACCTTTTCGTCCAACTTTATTGACCCTGCCTGGGGTTTTGCCATGGGCTGGAACTACACTCTCAACTGGTTTATCACTTTCCCTCTCGAACTAGTCGCCGCGTCTATTACCGTCGACCTGTGGCGTGAATTTAACAATTCCAACATCTCGCCTGCAGCCTGGGTTGCCATCTTCTATGTGGCGATTGTGTCCATCAACTTCTTTGGCGCCAAGGGCTACGGAGAGGCCGAGTTCATTTTCTCCATCATCAAGGTTGTAGCCGTGGTCGGATTCATTCTGTTCTCTCTCATTCTCGTCTGCGGAGGAGTCCCTGGAAACGGATATATTGGAGGTAAGCACTTCCACGACCCCGGTGCCTTTGCAAACAGCTTCAAGGGTGTGGCTGCCACCTTCATCAATGCAGCCTTCGCGTTTGGAGGAACTGAGCTGGTCGGTCTAGCTGCTGCCGAGACTGAGAACCCCCGACGAGCCATCCCCTCTGCCACCAAGCAGGTCTTCTGGCGATGTTTCATCTTCTACTTCCTGTCTTTGCTTTTCATCGGCCTTATTGTGCCCTACAATTCTCCCGAGCTGCTTGCTCAGGGCTCTGTTCTGGGCTCTGCCTCTCCCTTTGTCATTGCTATCAAGAACGCTGGTGTCAAGGGACTGCCCTCCGTCATGAACGTGGTCATCATGGTCGCCGTTTTGTCTGTCGGAAACTCCGCTATCTACGGCTGCTCTCGAACCGTGGCTGCTCTGGCTGCCCAGGGAATGGCCCCCAAGATTTTTGGCTACATTGATCGAACCGGCCGACCTCTTGTGGGTATCATTGCCTGCTCCATCTTTGGTCTGTTGGCCTTTGTCTGTGCCGCCCCCAAGGAGGTTGAGAACGAGGTCTTCTTCTGGCTTCTGTCGGTCGCAGGTCTGTCTGGAACCTTCACCTGGGGCTCCGTCAACCTGTGCCATATCCGATGGCGACTGGCCATCAAGAAGCAGGGCCGAGAGCTCAAGCGAGAAGTCACCTTCAAGTCGCGAGTCGGCATCTGGGGCTCCATCTACTCCTTTGTTTTCTGCATTGTCATTCTGGCCTTCCAGTTCTGGGTGGCTCTCTTCCCCGTTGGAGGAGCCGACCCTACTCCCCGGGTCTTCTTCCAGGCCTATCTGTGTGTGCCTGTCATTCTCGTTTTCTACTTTGTTTACAAGATCTGGAAGCGAACTAAGATCTGGAAGCTCGCGGACATCAACCTCGACGTGGGCCGACGGGAGTTCGACTACGACGCCTTGCAGCGACAGCTGGAGGCCGAGAAAATCGAGATGGCTACCCGACCCTGGTACGTGCGATGGGGCAACTACTGGTGCTAAACGGTTTATGGAGGAAGCAACCTTGTGTCATGGCCTCCCTCCACATTATCAAGCAACAACTTATTATGAGCACACTAAGAATGTCCGAGAGCGTTTGGACTTTATATTGCCGCTTGTCTCTTGTCGATATCTTAGTCCCTGCTTTTCTCCTCTGTACGAGATGAGTCCGTCCTAAATGTAGGACAGGCCAAGGGCCACGAGGGTCATGAATGACCGTGAGTCCGTACAGAACAGTACGTAGAGTAATATTATTTATTTGTATGACGTTACGTTTGGCGAGTGTTTTACACGAAAATAGTACGAGCAAGTAGGTTTCTATACGACGAACTTTGTCTGACATGTTTGTGCGTGCAACACAACTCCGCGACACACAAGGCTACAACGCCCAAAGGTCGTAAATTTGCTCTCACAAGCTAGCACTCCTTGTATGTACAAGATTTCTGCCAATTCCAGAGCGCATATATGATGTTCATGGCGAATCAAAGGCCGAGGTCAAGCAACTCTATATGGAAGCTTAACCAAGAAACTACTGTATTCTATTTTTAGTCTAACAAACACGCATCGACATTACATGCTTCAGAAGAAGGACGTGGTTTGATAGACGAGCGATTGTGGATGACGTCAGAGGATCATGGGTTGATTTGTGTCAATTGGCCTCAATTGGTCTCAATTTGTCAATTTGTGTCAATTGTTTGTTTTCTGTACATACTTGTATTGCTTCTCTCCATGGTATAGTCCTAATCTCAATTCCTCTCGCTGTCTCTTCTAAAAGCACACGACACACACAGCATTGATGCATTTTTCTGTTGGAGAGGGGTAACGTTGGGGACCGACCTTTTTGTCACAACCCGACATGGCAAACCCGCTTTCGACACTCGCGTCACTCTTTGTTTCCACTCAACAGCTCCATCTCGGATCGCTTCCTACAGTACATACGATACATGTCTCTGTATCTCGTTTGTGTAAATTAGCCGACATTACCATGTTGTAGCTACATCCCATCATCTTAGGAACAGTACTAACTACTGGTAGACCTGGTCCAATGTGGATATTAGTTCTGGCGTTATCGCAAGCTCTAGATATGCAAAAAAAGTGAATCTTCTTGTCTCGGTTAGCTCGGTTGGTGGGGTGAGAATTATATTAGACACGGTACTGTAGCTTGGTTAGCAGGCTAGTGGTAGACTGGCTAATTTAGACTGGTTTCTAAACCCGAGTCTAGAACACGTTTTTAGACGATGCATATATAGCGAAAGTCGCTATGGCCAAGTATTAACGTCACGTGAATAGGTGGGGTCCTTGTGTGGGGTCTCTGGGTGGCTCTGGTGCTTGTTCTTGAACCTTTGTATATGCCGAACATGTATAGATCGGACTTATATTTCTCCCAGGCAAGTGGATCCTGCTCGCCCACAGCTTCTCCGTTAACTCCATCTGCTCCTCACTCCTAAGGTGTTCAGGAACAGGACTACTGATAGTACGCACACCATCCCCTTGGCGTGGTGTATTCATCGTGTTATAGATGTAAGAGCTTGGTACCGGTAGTAGGCATAAGGGCATTAGTAGTGGTTGCGGTCTGGCGACTCTTGAGGCCGCCAACTCTTTCTGAATCCTCTTGAACAGAGACGATATTATGTGTTCATTATTGCCGTCGTGGTAATTCCACTAATAGTTGTGAGGTTCGTGTCTCCCCCCATAAGAGAAGGAAAGGAGAATAATATTCCAACTATCCCTTCCAGAGAAGAAATGTTTGCACAAGTCGCTTCCCCGCCCGTGCTAGTCTGGCTCATTATTATCCATTTCACGCCTGCTATAATTGTTCAACGGTGGCTAAAGTTGCCCACTATATGTCAGAGTGTGCGACAGCTATCTTAATGGCTTCTTTTTGGACTTGGTGGGAAGCCAGACACCAATCTATACTACAGTATGATTAACTGGAGAGGCTTCTTGCGGAGTAACTGGTACCGACACTGTATAGATCAGCCAGCTATGAGGAGTCATATGATATCATAGTCTCACACACGATAATAAAAAACCACAAAGAACGAATCAAAAGAATCACGGGCTCATAAACTAGTCCAGTTTACTCATTACCCATTGGCTAATCTTGCATTGTCAATATTAGTTGTTTGCTCACTTAGTGCTTCTCTTGTTATCCCCACATACTATGGGTTAGGGGGAGGAGAGCGGGTTAGCCTGGTATCACGTGATAATAGGCCGGTGACTTGGAAATATAACTTCATGGGGTATCTTAGAACCATTAGTTAGTCGGCATGATCCCCACAGTCCACGGCAGAATGAATAAACCTCCAACAAGACCAAACAAGAGTGTTTATGCTATGCATCCCTATTCCATAAGAGCGGGCTTTGTCTAAGAGTTCCGAATGAAGACCCAAAAGTACGACATGAATGTTATCTCCACATTATTCCGATTCGTGGGTCAATAATATTCCCCACATTTTCTTCTTTATCTTGCTGTTTGTTGGTTGCCGAAAGGGCTGCTTCAGCAGTTGCTAAAAACGGTTGATAACTTCTAGACCCTGACTACTGCATTCCCAACCTCCAAACTGCACCAGTAGTGGCGAGATATCATCATATGACTTTTCGGATCCATTCCGAAAGTCTAGATGAGTCCAATTGAGGCTGACAGCCGTCAGACGTCTTGCTCATGCTTTGAAATGATGCAAAACATCTACAGACAAGAGGCGGATGACGGGGATATAATAACAAAGAGAGGAAGAGACAAGGACTAGTGTGTTGTAGAGTGTAGATAGTGTATATTCTAGTCGCACAAACTGTCCTTGATCATTGACAGCTCAAGAGCAACACTACAAGTAGGCTTGTTTGTTTCAGTACTTGTAGCGATTTCAGGTGGCACGAAGCACACAAGGGGGTGTTCGGCAAACAAGAAGCAACCCAGGTGAAGACACGCGCCTTGTAGTGCGAACAAGTTGGGCTTTTTTTTTGAACGGCTTGCTCTCTGCTGTGGCTTGGGTATAAAACGTCACATTGCCATACGTCATTCGCTATGTCTAGTTAACGTTCCGTCAATCTGTGCTGCGACGTCAAAAGTGACAAGATGCAACCGTCGACGTCAAATTCACCGATTGGCTGTTTCCTTTTTTGGGCGAAACCAAAGGTTCCGTCAACCGACGACGCAAGGGACTGTCATGGTTCCGTAGTAATAGATAACATAACAAGGGCGAGCTAACGAGAGGGGTTAGCCAGATGTGGTTGACTGAGGAAGACAGAAGCGTGCGTACGACTGCTAGTGTGATACCTAGAGAGACAAGAGATATGTGCAGGAACAAGAACAAGACGGCCCTTTGCTTGTCCTGCTGTCCTCTCGTCTTGGTTATCTGTGTTTGAGCTCGTTGTAGACACTCCTGCATGTATAATTAGTCGAATTGGCACACTAGTGTCCAGACAAACGTCTTTGTTTTTGTTTTTTTGTCAAGCGGTTATTCTTGCCTGGAAGGTGTGGCAAACCCGGCGACCAAATCGTTGACATTTCCTGATCTCCACGTGTTATGGTCCGACTGAGAGACCAACCGCAGCCCGGAAAACCACACCCCAATCCTGAGCCAACCGAAGATCCAGCAACGTTGAGCTAGCAGCACACTACTTGTAGACACTAGCCACCCATCAGTGAAATGCCATGCTACAGTGTGCAATACATACGTGACAGTCAGGTGAAGACAACCAAAACGCGGTTGGCCCACCATGTCCGATGACCATACTGGGTGGGAGGGCAGTCAAGGTGGAGGATTGTGAGGGTTTGATGAGGTCATACAAAACTGCCATATGTCAAGCGGACTCCGTTCCACGCTCTCGGTCTAAGCAGTAGACGCCGTTATGCACAGGATACAGTAGCTTCCCACCACTGTGGTGGTTGTTGTGGCTGACAGCCATGTCATGTCCATTTAGCTGCTGTACAGTGTAGAGTAATAGGGATTACATACTCGTACAAGTACAAGTACTTGAAGATTGGATTGTTGTGAGGATCGAAAGGGGGTGCTTTTTCCCGCGCTCTTCAAGAGACAAGGAGTATCATAATTCACCGGGTATGTTTGTCATTCTTCACATCTGTGTATCAAGGTCAGAATCTCATCGAGGAATCGAACTGCGAGGTGGCTATGATACTTTTACGAGAAACCATGCATATACGCATATAGGCATAATTATGGTTACCCGGCCCAACACAAGGGTCTCCAGAATCGCGGATATTCTTGTTCTACACGTGGGAACGGAGCTGTATGCCAATGGTGCTATGAGACACACACCAATGAAGAGCCTGCTCCAACCCACCCTCTATTGAATGGTGTGTACGGCACTCTCATTCCACATAATTCTGTTAGGCTAAGCTTGTTTGGGACCATCCATGACTTGACGTATAGCCTCTGAATATAATTTAATTTTAGGGCGATTTCAACTCAATATATTCTGAATAATCAGGGAAAATGGAAATAACCTGGAATAAACGAGACTGGACGTAAAAAAGACATCAGAAGCACGTCTGTTACAAGAGCAGTCTAAATGATGTCCAGTCACTCCCAAATACAAGTAGCTGAAACAGGTAATGTCTCAAGTTGTTTGCGGGGTTCGCTCCGTGGAGCTGCAGATCTCCAAGCGCAGATATGTGAAATATGCGTGGAAAGTGTTTGAAGACGCTGATCATAGAAGCCATTTACTGTACGAACCAATGCAGTTACAAGGCTCCCAACTACCCGTACTTGTACCAGGTAAGTAGCCTAATAATCCAGGTCTCACCATGGGGTCTCACTATACAGTCCACGGGTGTACATTCCTCTCTTTAGACAGAAACAGACAAGACATGAAATAGGTGGACATGAGACACTCGAGAATGTAGGTTTGAGATACATCCCGAGCAAGCCGATAAGCCGAAGATGGTACGAGACGACGGGGTTCTTACCGGTACAGTGCGGTTACTTGTAATTTCAATTTCAATTGAGTTGCAATAACGGGGAATGAGAAGATACATGGAGTCGGATTGAACTGTACATACGATACAGGTACGAATACTTATATTGTACTCGTACCGCACTTGTATGAGACATTAATTTGTACTTATGCCAGTGGTTCATAAGATGTTTCTAAAGATAATCGCGGGGTTATTTATCTCACTGAGGACTGGTACAGTTAACTCCACTTATTCAGCTACACGATCTTTCTCCGTAGCATCTTCAAAGGTCCTTACAAATCTACCTCGTCATATTTATATCTTATATATTCGATTTTCGATTGGGTATAACAGTTGCTCCGCTGTAGCTCATTACTGTCTGCTGCTGGCGATCAGACGTGCGTAAATTGATTTTTAGAAGTTAAAAGGCGTTCTGTAATTCAAGTCTGCCGTCTAGCCCTAGTTCTTCGGACTTGTGTCTCCAGCAACCCCTATTTTCTCCAATACATGACCTGCCTCTACGTCATTATCTCTCCCATGCTGTACCAGGCGCACGCCTCTTCCCCGCACCGAGTTAAAGTGGACGATGAAAGTTCTGCAGATCAAAGGTAGATGAGAGATTGCTGTGAGGGCAGGGGCTTGGATAGTGGAGAAATGACGAAAATAATTGGTTAAATCAAATCCCCTCACCAAGGCGAACACAGTCAATATTTTAAAACCCCCCAAAGCCGTCGGTATCATCCTATACTTGACGACATCTTTTCTGAGAGGGGCGGGTTGCAGTAATATAGGCGTTTTTAAAAGCCTTTTTTCCTTCTTCTGCGTCTCTACAGTGCGGCCTCTTAATTGGAGGCGCAAAACGGCTCTTTGCCCAGGGTCATTTGGATGGTGGGGGACGTTGCTAATTAGGGCTCTTCTGCGCACGCCGTTTAAACACGTTCAACAGAGACAGGTGGGCAGGCACGTCAGGCACATACGGCTGTGTCAGATTGTCGAGATTGGGTCCTAGACAGGCACTAAAACTTGGCTGATGGCAGCTGTGGGCCGCTACGAAACGGAAAATCGGGCATTAATAATCATCAAAGCGCCGGAGGCCAATATCTATTCCGTTTCGGTAGGATTTTCATTGCAGAGTGGCAGTATCATGTAGGGTGTAAAAAGTAAAGGTGCTGGAGGGAAAGGGTAAAAAAGCACGTATCCACGAGGGCTGTGCATACTATGTCGATCTGTTGCGTAATTGGTCGTCGTCTGTGGAGGTGTGTGCGAGTGGTTGTTCTTAGGGAGGTATTTGCTATTATCGTCGTTTACTTGCCTCGTTAAAAGCACGTTTGACGCACTATTCCTCTCTGTTTATTATCAAATATGTGCAGTCCGAACATGGGTCTTGCGCACCTTGTCGTTTCGTAGTTCTTTACGCGACATAATGGGAGTCTATGAGATGTGAGGGAAATGCTACATGGCCAGGTCCACTAGTCAGATTCGAAAGAATAGGAACCGGAGCACACGATTTGGCCATTGCAACTACCAGCACCTGGCCCACCCTTATATATCCTCCCGTTCCTCTATCTTCCTAGTTCCATTCCTGTTGCTACCACTAAAACCGACTTTCCAGCGTCAGCGTCTCGTTCTAGGCTCCCAAAACCTTGTCTCCTGCCCCTCAACCAAAACAAACCAAGGTTTAGACCCCGGTATGGAGGTGGGGTGTGGGTGTGCAAAGTAGGTGAAGGAGATGTCTGATTCGTAAGAGAAACCCGGATTCAAACCCGTCGCGTTGCCAGCTCCTCCAACATGTCCTCTTCCACCCATCGCACGGCTATATCCGCTAAGAAACTGGGTCCACTTATGCACCCCACTTGTCTCTCTTTGCAGCTTTTGGACTGCTCGCCAAACTATGTTTCAGGTGGCATGAGCATATCTGGAAGTGTATAGTATCGGGAATAGACACTGCGAGCACGACAATCGGCCCTAAAAGCGCTATGGCCGAAGAGTACACGCTGTCGACACCGTATCTTCTCCACCGACCTCCGATCGCTCATCTCCATGCTCCCCACACGCTGATCATTTAAAGTCTGTTTTCTTTTCGCTAGCTTCGACTGTGCATCCCTCAACAAGGTTAAGGTCACGACAGGCCTGCGACTCGATAAACGTCTTATAAGGGTGGTGTCGCCGGATTGTCAGATATTGGAGGTTGAGGAAGGAAAGAACGACACGGAACACCGACAGATTCAGCTGCTGCCGATAGATTGGATTCGCGACCAAACTACCTCGACACAAAGACGCGTCACAACTTCCACCAGATACACTACATTCCATCAGATACACACTACATTCCATTCCAGACACCGCTACAGCCGATATAGCCGTCGCCGTCTCGTGTTGGTGATAATTTCTCCGCGATTTCTCTCACTTTTTTTGCATTCTCTCACTTAATCTCACACAATACCAGCCATGTCGACAGCCCAACTGTCGCCGTTAGAGCAGTTGCTGGCGCTGCTGCCAAAACTGTTTGAGGGAAACGGAAACCTCGCCACAGTCACGTCGCTGCTACCTTCAGGTCTACTAGAAACAGTGCTCAACTCGCCCTATGGCCCCGCTCTCGTCGATATTCTCAACTCACAGACAGGCAACCGGCCACTCGAGTACTCAGATAGATTGCTCTCGATCATGCCGATCCCACGATGGGCATGGACAGGAACCGGAGTCGCCAAGGTGGTCAAAATGGCCCACCAAGTTGTGGGAAATGAACTTCCCGTCAATGTCGTCAACCTCGTCATGACCACGCAATACAATATTTACGGTAACTTCCCCACCAAAAGCGATATTGCACCCTCAGCCATTTTCGTGGCAGTCAACGGCATCCTCATGTGCGCCCACTTTTATGTGTTTGCCCGAGGTTACATGCGAAACCACCACTTCTGGCCCTCCTTCGGCCTAGGATGGCACTGCATTCTCAACATGCTGGGTTTTGGCATGCGAATCGGCTGGGCCAAAAATGTGCTTGACATTAAGCTCGGTATCGCGTCCACGGTCATGATTGTTGTTTCTATTGTCTACGTCAACGCTATGAACCTGCTGCTAGCACACCGAATTCTCACATTTAGACATCCTGAAACGGGTGATGCCACGTGGTTCGGTTGGGCCATGATTGGCGTCTACCTTGTCATTATCGGAGTCATTGTTATGGCCGTCATTTCGCAAGTTGTTATCTTCCTCTACTTTTTGAACTACCAAAACTGGAGACAGGCCACAGGAGCCATGCAAGCATCTTCCGTGTTTGCAACACTGGTCGCCATAGGAGGAGTATTTCTCATTGGTCTGGCATACGTTCTTCCCCGAGGAGCCCTTTCTCTCCATAACGACGACCGACGGCGTCTCCCAGCTTCAAACATTGAGTCTTACGGCATGTTCTACTTCCCTCCCAAGTACTCGCAGGTGCTGCAGTATGAGGCAGATCCCAGTGCCAAAATTGATTCTGGCAAGCTGGCTGCTCGTGTGTTGAACGGACGAGATCTTGGCTCCTCTGCCGCCATCATTATTATCACTTCTCTGATTCTTACCACCACAGCTGCCATGCGATGTGCTACCTGTTTCCTGGGTGAGCGATGGTCACTCAACGTGGCACCCATCTACAGTAACACTCTATTCTACATTGGTTTCGGACTGTTTGAGACTATTGCCAACGTCATCTTCCTCGTGGTTCGAATCGATCTGCGATTCTACATTCCCGACTGGCCTATCAAGGGCACTGGTCCTCTGACCATCAAACCCGGCACTATGGAGATTATGACCGATCCGTACCGACAGGGTCCTCCTGGTATGGGTCCCGATGAGAAACACTTCGAGAAGGCTCATTTCGAGGAGGTCCAACCTCCAATGCCTCCCATGCCCACCTATGGAGCAAGCTACGGACCCATTTCGTACGCTGGTCTGTCCCCAGAGGTGCTGGCAGCTGCTAACGCCATGAATACCACACCTGGAGCTATTCAGCAAACCGAGGAGGAAGCTGAGCGAGCTGCTGAGAAGGCCGCTAACCCCCACACTCCCTTCTCCGAGGCTACCAAGCTGCCTACGGACTCTGAGTTTGTGGATCCCATCCCTCCAATGCCCGAAAAGAAGCTGAAGCATTCTCCCGAGCTCAGAGAGGCTACTCTTCCTCAGCTTGTGAATCTGGGAAGTGCGCCTGGAACCCCCAACGCTGCGGCTGCCACCTTTGGAGAGATCCCCCACGCCACTCCGATGTCCATGCCCACAGTGTCGCAGACTCCCATGCCCACCTTACCTACCATTACCACAGCCCACGAGCCCAGTTTCGCACAGCTCCAACGAGAGCGACTGGACGCCACTCCTTCTCTGCCCGAGATTTCTTTCCCCCCTACCCCTTACCAGATTCGAGCTGTTACCCCAGCAGCGTTCCCCACACCCATCATTTCTCCTGCCACTCCCCAGCAGTTCCCCGAGGCTCACTTTTCTCGAGTCACGACGCCCATGGAGCGTGGTTTCACGCCTGTTACACGTGGATTCACTCCTAAGCAGGATCTCAATGAGCCTACTTACGGCGTGCCCTACGCTGAGCGGGTGAGCATCCCCTCACCGGTGCACGATTACGATCCTCATTACAGCAAGCCTTATGAGGAGCCTAAGGACGAGTTCCGAAACAGCGGGGGCAGTGAGGAGGTTTAGGCAATGAGGGAGACTCACTAAAACATATTTATTGGATCATGATCCACTACTTGTAGCTTTCTTGTATTTTAATTTTATGACTTTTGTTTATCACTTGACGCGACCCAAGCCAGAATCCCCAACCTCGCTGGTGCTTGACTACGTACTCAGCCTCATTGGATCCATGCTACGAGTAGACCTCTTCCGCGGAAAAAATGTACAATCGCAGTATGGAAAATGTATGTTCATACAAGTGCCCATAATTATTTGCAGGGTGATTGAAGGAGGGTTATGAAGGAGACAACATATTTATTAATGCTGGAGTGGAGTAGGGGGGTTCTTCGGCAAGCACTATATAGCAACAATCATTCTTCGCTTCTGGAAGCTCTTCATACTTGTGCACAGAGTGGTTTTACGACTGGCCAAACACACAAACGCATCAAGCTCCTACAAACTGTACTCGTACTGGTACTAACCAGTAAAGACAGGTCTACTGTACGATAAGATAGGACGGACAAGGACGTCGTTTACGTCATGACAGCATTCATAGTTGACATTAGTTACAAGGCTAACTAACCGTGTTTAATTTCAAGCCTAAACACGTTAGGTTGACCCTAAGTCCGGAAATAGCGAGTAGTCGGGATTCTTGATCCTCAGACATAGAAGGAGGTCTGCTGTTGATCCTGCGGGGTAATAAGAGATGGACCTTAGGAGGGGCGGCGTTTCTCCTCGCCAACCAGTCCTGGATCACGTTCTAACCCCCCTCATGGGTGCACAATGGTATGTTTGTGCGCAAACTCTTTTTTACATTCCAAATCTCAATCTGGCACTAAAAGAGAGTTCCTCACTGGGTCAGCGTCAAGACAAGTTTAAAATCAGTGGCAATATGAGAACAATGACAGTTCAAGGGAAACAACATCCGGAAGACAAAGCATTGTAGAGTGTATGTGGGTAAACACGCGCCAGTTTTCGTGCTGCGAGAGCCGCGTGAGATTGTGGTATCTACGGCCTCCTCCCTCTATGTCCGAAAAATACGCCCCAAAGAGGAATATCCTGATGAAGAAGGTGCTTGTCTGAGTCTGGGGTAATTATGGTACAGGGGTGCAGCCAATACCAATCAATCTGACAGAGACAAGGCTAAGACTCACACTACAGCATACTACCGTAGTTTCTCGGAACATGGACCGAGTCTACTTAAGTCGCACACTAGCCAGCTGTCAGTCCATTCCACTTTAGCGCCGTGGTAAAGTCAAAACTGACTCAAACCCGATTCAAACTCGCTCCGCATTAGTTTTCTCTTAGTTCGTGGTACAGAACTTGTAGATGGTTATTTGTATGCTCGTGTGAGGGTAAGATATGGGCTTTAGCAAAGATTAGATTTCAAGTTCTTGTACACACACACAACTTCTTGATCAAGTCATTACCCGATTCCTGTACGCGTACTTGTCGCTGTTTCGTCGTTACAGACCTCGTAAAACAGTCTCATTGTACCGACTGACAAGCACTAACACGATGGCTAATTGCACGTCAATCTAGAAAGCCTGTAGCTTGGACTAAACCGAGCTTTAGATACAAGCACACTAGTTTAGCCTGGCTTGGGCACTAGGAGACATAATATCGCTACAAAATGCCTGCCGGCGGTGTTTTGCGCAAAAACGTCCGAACTCCGACCTAACAAACAAGAGGTCGGAAACGAAAAAGAGTGAGCGACCACAATGATTATTGAAGCATGACAAACAAGACCCCGGAGGTTGCAACTTCCGGCTGGCTGGGCTTCTGACACCAGTGTCATATGCAAGCCATATAGATGTTCAAAAAGACTGTCAAAGTAAGCCGATGCAATGCACTGTTACTCTGTCATAAGTCAACACACTCGCTAGATCCACGAATACAGATGAGCTGAGCTCTCCATTGTGCATGATGAGTGCATTTAATCGTCAGAGAAATCAAGTAAATTGTACAAGTAGCGGATGTTGGGCCATTGACATTGCTTGCCTGGAGCACGTTGCCGTATTCGTTAGGCGGTCCTCTGGTAGCTAACTATCGGTAAACTGGCATTTTCATGGAAATATTTTTCGATCTACTGTACAGATAGTGATACATACTGTAGCTTTCTGTTTAGCTGGCAAATTAGGAGACAAGTTAAAAAAGATCCTCAAGCAACTATAGCAAGTACCATTTCCCAAATAATTCAAGGACTTATTGTTAAAGTGGAGGGTGGTTTGGTGGTTAGATGTTACAGTAGAGCGGACCCAAGATGAAACACGACGACTTTCTGGATTGTGTGAACTATAGTATGATTTTTACATAATGTATGTATGTATCGTACCAGTATAGTAAATATATACTTATACTTGTCTCGGCAGATGCACTTGCAATGAGCTACAATGTGCTCTGGGCTGCAGTGGTAAACTACAAGTAGTGAACGCGAACTACTGAGGAGTTCAAACCCCCGATCTTACACACTCGTTCGAGTCACATGACTGACTCTCACAAGACCAACAAACTCCTAACCTCTCACCGATGTGCCACTAATTTTTTTACTCATAGAAGGCTGGGAGAAGAGTCGTAGAAGGCTCGTATTTTAATTGTAAGGTGTAACGGGGCAAGTAGGGTTAATAGCCGTAGTATTAAACTCAACCGATATACTGGTAGCTCCGAAGAGTAACCGAACATACGAAATATATCGTCTCAGAATTGCAGACTATACACCGGAAATCTCTCAGTACTCACAACGCAACCATTACAACCTTGGACCAAAGTCACATGATCACACAACGCCACACTAGCGTTCCCGAGCTAGCTTAGATGCATGGGTATCGGTGATCTAACGGTGTTCGACAAGATTATTCATTACGCTGTCCTATAAGACAGCAGTATTGCAGGATTCACTTGACTTCACTCCCACAAGAAAACAACGACAACTCCGACTGCGGATATACCGCAAAGCGCTAAAAGCAGGTCCCTGACTCATTCGTATGTCCGCAGGGTGCATGTGTGAGTAAGTAATCTATAGGACTTGTTATTGTACAACAATCGACTTTGAAATAGGGGATATGCACAACAACGGAGATTGAAAATTTATCAACAACGAAACATGATAAATCGAATGAACGATATCCGATATCGATATCTCCTCTATTTTGTCGTCAAATATCCCATTTTCTTCCCCGGCTACCGACGGCCAACTCTAACTCTATGAGCACTGAAAAATCCTACTTAATCAGAGTCTTCCCAAACTCACCTTGCACACAATATACACACAAAAATGACCAAACTGTCACCCCTCAAAGCTGACCGACTCGAGATCACTCTCAACAAGTCTCCCAAGCAGTTTGACTCTCCCAAGGACCTCGCTCCCAACTCTTCCACAGACTACATCCTCCAGGTCGACTACACCGATGAGGCTGGATGGGATGCCCCCAAGATTGGGCCCTTTGGTCCTCTTCAGATTGATCCCACCGCCTCTGTTCTTCACTACGCTGTCGAGTGCTTCGAGGGTCTCAAGCTGTACAAGAACAAGGCTGGCAACAAGCTGATTCTGTTCCGACCCGAGCTCAACATGGCTCGTCTCAACGACTCTTGTGAGCGAATCGGTCTCCCCCGATTTGACGAGGCCGAGCTCCTCAAGTGCCTTATTGAGTACGTCAAGCTCGAGGGCCGATTCGTCGCCCCCGGTGGCTTCATCTACCTGCGACCCACTGCTATCGGCACCAACGGCGGTCTGGGACTCAAGGCCCCCACTGCCGCCAAGGTTTTTGTCTGTGCCACCATGATGCAGGCTTGGAATGCCGAGCCCCTCAAGCTCTACTGCTCCGATCCCAAGGATGCTGTGCGAGCATGGCCCGGAGGATTTGGCTACGCCAAGCTGGGAGCCAACTATGGACCCACTCTCCAGGAGAACTCCAAGGCCGTTGGAGCCGGCTACCACCAGGTTCTGTGGCTCTACGACGAGGACAAGAAGACCGTCACTGAGGCCGGTGGCTCCAACTTCTTCGTCGCCATCAAGAAGAAGGACTCCGATGAGATCGAGCTCATGACCTGCCCCATCTCAACCAAGCTCATCCTGCCCGGTATCTCTCGACGATCCGCTCTCGAGTACCTCGGTGAGAAGCACAAGGGCTCCAACGTGACCGTCCACGAGCGAGAGTTCGGAATCGACGAGATTGCCGAGGCCGCCAAGGAGAATCGACTCGTTGAGGCCTTTGCCATCGGTACCGCCTTCTTCGTCGCACCCGTCCAGCTCATCCGAACCCCTGAGGGCGAGCTCATCAACGTGCCCCTGTCCCAGGGCGACTCCGGTGACTTTGCTGCCGACGTCAAGGCCAAGCTCACCTCCATTATGTACGGAGAGGAGGAGAACGACTGGGCCACCACCGTGGACTGCTAATCCAGTCAGCAATGTCCTACTTGTAGCATATGTGAATAGAATTATGATGATTATACCTAGAAAAAAAAATAAGTACTTGTAGTCTAGTAAAGGAATGACAGGAACTTGAAGTGCCAACTACATGTACAAGTACCGGGTAGATAATCTAGGGGTAAATACCACTCCGACTGTACAAGTACATTATAAACTACCAGTAGCGGTAGATGTTCCAATGGTTACACATGTACACAGTATGTACACTCGTATCGACATCTCAAGTACCCACACATAACATAAAGAATCAATAGTAAAGTGATGGACATAGCGGAAGATAGACATACAAATACCCGAAAGATCACATATGTCCTCAGAAATTCTGATTGGACAACATTAGGTTATATCGCATAGATTTCATGACATAGATCTCATTTTCGAACATGCTGTATCGAGGCGTGATAGAAACAGCGTTACCCAGAGCAATCGAGATAATTAAGAAACAGATCAACAACAAACTAATCTCCTGTTCAAGTCGCATGCACTTGATACTTCTGTTTTAGGCATTTTTTTGGTGAGTAAATGATATTCTGTTGCACACTTGCCATGCAAAATTTGAGAAGCTCTATAGATCCCAAAACAAGGGAAATATACCTAAAACAGACAAATACGCACTATCGATACATTATAAACCGGTGGGGTACATGTATGTTGCTACAAGATCTCGAATAACTCGATTTTTTTCGAAAGAGCGGAATTCCGATAGTACACTTTAAGTGTCCTGTTTTATTAAAATCCGCAATAGTTTAGTGGCTAGAATTTCCGCCTGTCAGAACAGTTGTTCAGCACGCGGGGGACCGGAGTTCAATTCTCCGTTGCGGAGGTTTGGTTACGGCCATATCCTGGTGAAAATACGGCTTCCCGTCCGATCAGCCATAGTCAAGCACCAGAGAGCCTAGTTAGTATTGTAGTGGGAGACCATACGAGAATCCTGGGTGCTGTAATCTTTTTGCAGAGCTTGCGTTGGTGGTCCGCCAACGTGGCTATCACTTGGATAATTTTTAGTATCTACATGACCAATTATCTGCTCGTCGTACATCAACCATTTGACAATTAAAAAAATATCATTGATCTATCAATTCATTATTCGTCCTTCCAACAACCCAACAACTAAGCTCTTGAATCTCTATGTACTCGTATTGGCATCCCCAGCGGCTGGCTCAGCCTTGGTCTTGTCCTTCTTCTTGGACTCCTTCTCTCGAGGTTTCTTCAGTCGGTAACTGTAGTCATCTCCGTTCTTGGTGATGTACCTAACCCATGGCAACGACCTGTACTTGAGAGTAGGCTCGTTGACCTTGAGATATCGCACTTGCAGGCCTGACATGGCATAGTAAGGAATCTCGAAGGTAACCTGGACGGGGATCTGGCTCTGTGGAGTGTTATTAAGATGCAGCAACTCTGACAAAGACTCTCCCTGCTCCTCCGTGCGCGAAACAGAGATCTCGGCCTTCATGGAAAACTCCTTTCCTCCTCCCTGGAGCTGTTTGATCTTCCATCGGATGGCGTTACGCTCGGGCATGTAGACCACGGTTCCGGCAGTGGCTCTGAAACGTGGTGAAGTGGCATCTGGAGGCACAGGAACAAACACTTCTACATCGTTGGCTGTTGAACGTTTTCTGAACTGCGACTTGAGCTTAACAGAAATCAGAAGACGCGTGTTTCCCTTCTTCTCAACATCTGTGGTTACCAGAATCAGTGGCCGGTTTCTGGCAGCGTAGTTTCGCACCTTTTGGCCCTCCTCTTCTTCAGCATGATCTTCTTCCGCGTTGGCCAGGTTGAGTCGGTAGCTCATGAGCTCGAACTTGCCGTCTGGAGGAATAAAGGAAATCTGGCGGTCGACGTTAAACTTGGACAATTCGACGCACTGGTGGAACCGCACGTCTTCCATCTCCACAGTTTTTGAGCGCGGCTTTTTATGTGTAGTGGCTCCAGTGGCAGCCAACTTGTGTTCCAGCATGGCCTTTTCATTGAGTCCCAGACGTAGCTCAGGCATTCCGGATAAATAGGAGGTGACGTTGATTCGGCCCTGAATCTCGTGTCGAACCACTTTGTCGTTAGCATAGAGCAGATTGACGCTTTCAACAACGTCCAAAAACAGTTCGTTTTTCTTATACTGCAGACCGGTCGGTCGCCACGAGATTCTACTGGTTGTGTGTGTTGCCACGTCGATGTCTCCCGAATTTCCGGCTGCTCCTTCCTCGCCCACAGCGGCATTGACCAGATCTCCCACGGCTCCCAGTAAGCTTTTGTGAGCGTCCACAGTGATGTACTCCTTGAGAATGCCCGCGTCTGTGATCTGGGGCACTCCAAAGTCCATCATTTCGTCGAGCAGCTCGTAGATGAGCACAAAGTTGTCCTGGACCGATTCGGCATGCAATTGTTCGAAATATGAGGTCAGAACGGTGGCTAATTGCGATAGAAAGACCAGAGTCTCCATAGAGTTGCAGCTCACCTGGGGACTCACGGCCACGAAGATAACTGAGCCACTTTCCATCCACATGTAGTGGATACCTCTGTCTTCGAGAACAGGAGGGGCCACATTGCCATTCTGTTGAGCGATCTGAATGAGCCCAGGAAGATCAGAAATACAACTGAGAGGCACGTCTCCCCGGTAGTTTCGGCTCAGAAGCGGCTTGAATGACGGATCCAAGATGAACAAGGCCGAGATCATGGTGATGTTGATGTCAGTATGTAGGCCACGTTATGCGAGATGCGGGATGCATGAGAAGTTAGTTTGGAGGTGTAAAGGGGTGCTTATGTAATGGAGGGTGGGAGAAGTGGGAGAACACATGTATATGTGGATGCACAAGTACTTGTACGAGTGCGTGGATGGAAAGCGTACGAGTACCGACAAGATGGTTCATGATATGTGACGTAGGATATTGATGAGTTATGGGCATGCCGTTTTGGTTCTTTCATACAGCCCATGCCAACAAAAGTCTCAAGTGGACGCTAAAATATATATCACAATTACTTGAGCTTATCTCCCCCTTCTGCTCACAAGTACTTGCACTTTTACAAGCAGTCTTCAGCTCTGCTCAGCAGCATGTCTATACAATTGAATGAGCTCGGCCATGCGGAAATCAATGGCCGTCAACTTATCGAGATAGCCCGTCTGAAGCACCACCTTGGTGGTGGTGTAATGGTTCTCAAACCACACATGGTGTCGCAGAGGTTGAGAGATGGCCATCACATCGGTGATGAACTGCGTCGTTTGCTTGTAGTTTTTGAACTTGACATCCATGCTCAATTTTGTGGCGCTTTCGGGATCGCAGGCGGACCCGTCGGTCTTTGTGGCCTTCCAGCTCGTCAAATAGGCCAGGTAGGCAGCCTGATCCGGAGGACTGAGCGGCTTGAAGATCTCGGCTTTGTCATCGGTTAATTGCACGAGTTTGAGAGCAGCCGAGCGGGTGATGAACGACACGGGGTTTGTAGGAAGATGAGAGGCAGTAAGTTTGAGGGGGAGCATGTTGTAAGGCGAGTATTGGTGGTGGTGGGAAGAGTGGGTGATGAATAGTGCCCAATTATCTCATGCAGTTGTTAACGCTAATCGGGCAGTAAATTAGTGATGATGACCTTCTATGATGGATATGCAGACGATTATTAATCCAATGGGATGGTTTGATTTTCAAAAGGTCATGTTGTCACATCTCCATCGATGCAATTATTTTTTTGATCCTAGGGAAATTCATTTCTCCTGCTTAGGGTCTCCCCTACAACCCAACTACTAGAAGTAGTACAGTACATACCGTACATGTACATCCGTTTGAGCACGAGTATACGAGAGTAAAGTAATACAGTAGCTCGTGGTTCGATTCCCAGAATAAACGGAACATTTCCTGTGAAGAAAACACAAGTACAACTATGGATCATCGTGGAAGAAGCAACTTGACGACAGAAGCATTCTGTATAATGAACACCTGCAGCCCATCTCACTTTGTTGATTAAGTTCAGGTCTCTTACACTTGCTCTTCTGGCCACTCTCGGAGCGGAAGAGACGTTGAGATTCCAACCGCCGGAACCACGCGAAACCTTGCGACGCGTGAGTTTCATCTCCAAACTGCTGTTGCAGTAAGTTTTGACTTCTCCCTCAGTTGCCACTGTGGAACCCTATTGTTGCGGAAGACGAACGTTTGCAGTTAGATTGGACGAGAGTTGGGGGAAGTCCAGCGGGCAGTGAGACCTCTCTTCGGGGCTTCTATGGGTGATATTGGGGTTCCTTGGCTGGTGACCGGGTGTCGATAAACTACGATAAAGCATGTACAGCCGAAGTACAAGTACTCGTTCTCCTACGAGTATGAGTAGCTGACACTACCGATTCTAACTGCAGGTTCAATCAGACCAGGGCAGCAGTGATGGCGGTAGAGTGTGTTTCAAGAGATGCTTGGGCCTGTCTACGTAACCGGAGAGACCAGTAAGTAGTACTCGTACATACTGTACATACTGATCTCTAGTCTATTTGTAAGATGATCGAGTCATGCCCGTCATGCCCTCCATCGTCATCGGACACTTGTATAGGATTTAGTCTGCTTCCAAGTCCCCTACTGCAATTAAACGCAGGGACATAATTATTTCAGGTCTTGCCCTGAGTTGTAGGAGGGACCTGAATCAGATGTCAACAACCACCTTGAGATATTATCGACTTGAAACAGGAGAGTGTACGGGTGCAATTAGTACATACCGTACAAGTAGAAAGAAAAGAGCACTGCCGGCTTAGTTATGGTAACACAAAGGGTCACCTACAAGTGGACACTTGGGATGTCCTCGGTCTACTACAAGTACTGGCACAACTTTCGGATTCGAAACTTCAACTCTAGCCGGCATCTGAAGTCAATGTATTTATGGATAGGAAGGCGGGGATTGAGCAACTCCGATATATAATGGTTTTAATTGTGATTTAGAGGGCAGGGACTGACTCAACAATAGAGATTACAGTAGAGCAATTGAGCGCAATCAAGTGGATGGTTGGTTTCTTTTGCTCCGGTTTCAACAAGTAGTGTCGATATATTTGAACTCCTACAATAGTGCATCTACGGCTCTGCAAACTCATGGCAACATACTTTGTATTGTTACTCGCACCGGTACAAGTACGTAGCTCCAAGCTCTGCTTTTTTCTTTTCGACATCAATGTCGATGCTTTCCGTCCTGTTTCAGCTGCAGTGCAACATGTGGTTTCGTAATTCAAAGCAAGGAGTGGCCAGGTATGCAAAGATAGGGGTGCGTAGGCGGAATAATGAAGAGAGGAAGTCAGGAGACGGTCAGGGATCGGACGATTTCAGCCAAGGAAATCCTTTCTGGTATTACCAGCTTCGGTCTCATTCGTACGTCCTGTTCCTAATGCCAGCGGGTTGCAACGTTGGACTCTAATATTACAGTATATGCTTTGGGTTTCACAAAATTGTCAACCGCCTGGTTGGGTGACGTCATGCCTCGCATTTAAACGGCTCTAGCCAAGTAATAATGTTAATAGCGTTGGAGCCGTAAACAACGCTGAGCGGGTTATATAGGAGAACAAGTCAATGACCCGGGTGTGGCTATTCTGACCTGTAATCGGGCGTCGTATCAGGTGAGCTGATGTTGATAGAAAAAAAAAAGAGAAAAAAGAAAAAAAAAGACGTCATTATCGTCTTTTGGGGTCCGAATTACAGTTGTTGGCGGCTGCTTCAAACGCATGAGTAAGCACTGCAATATGTTGTTAGGGTAACAAAAAACCTACGGATACCGTAGGTAGGCAGAGCAAACACTTCAGATAGATGTACGAGTAGATACAAGCACACTACAGGAGCAAATTTGTGCAACTCCACAAGTGCAATACCCATTCAGTCATTGGTAGACCCGGTTTCATTGGTACGACTTGTACTCGTACTTCACTCGCGTTTCACCGGATAAAGCCAAGAATGAGAAGGACGAACAACGGCCTGCAACAAGGGACAAGTGAAACAATAAATCTGACATGAAGCAAAGACAGTCTTGTGCATCACCTTAGCGAAGCGTAAGTAGAGTGGGTCGTTTAGGGCTTATACTGTAGGATACTCTCAGCATTGTTATCCACACCTACAATACGCCCGATACCCACCTCAACGATCGCTTGCTACCAGACTCTACAGCCGCACTTGCTCGTAGCTTGGTCTCTCTCCGAGTGCAAATTTTGGGTTGTCAAAAGGGAAAAAAAGTACTAAGTAATGCTGGACAGAGTTTGAGATTGCATCAACGCGTAGCAATAGAGGGAGCTGGGGAGAAGCAAGGGGACTGAAAATTGAAATGGAGAATAATACAAGTCTCTGCCACACCTGGTATCACTTTGAGCACATTACGGGAACAGCAGGGTATTGAAACTGGCTTCTCAAAAGCCAAGGTTTCACAATATTTTAGGGGCTAAGCTTGTCGCTAATTTTAGACGACGATCAGATCGGAGCTAACGCGTGTGAGATGCGAGTTGAGGTGCACTGGTGGAGGAATAAAGAGGGCCTGTAAAGAGAGGTCGAGAGGGGGTAGAGGTCATGGTGAAGAAAAAACATATTACTCAAGCAGTGTAATACCCCAGAACACCCCAGAATACTTCACAACATCCGTATTCGAGGCACTAAATTCTCAAACCACTAGTGAAGCCTTAATAACTCGTCTATTATACACATAAGCCGAGATACACCCCGCGCTTGTTCTGTACTCTAAATTCAAAAGGCTAAAGAAGCAGAGGCACAAGCAGACTGATTTTCGAAGAAGCGGAACCACCACAGCTATCAAATAGTATCGTTTGGCCTGGAAAATGGTGAGGGAATTTCATGGAACAAAGTTCGGAGTCAAGCAACGGAAGCTGGGAGGTAACGAGATGTAAACCGCTGTGCTACATGTGCCACATGCTCAATGGCTGCCGGAGTTTCGGGATTAGCCCCTGAGAGATGGATATTTAGTGACAAGAGGGAATCCCTCTGTTTGGCTGCCAGGTAGCACCACTTTAGGCGGTGGCATGAGGTTGTTATAGGGCCACGTAAACGCTCGGCTAAACCGGAGCTTTTTCATGTACCTTGGGTTGGGACAGTAGGGAGAAAGTCAATTGAATGTCAAAAAGTCTAACCTTAAAGTTAAGAATTTTCGAAGAAGCGGAACCACCACACAACACATAAATATATTTCTTCCCGCTACACACCAACACACACACGACACTTACAACATCATGGACGATCTGGAAAAGGGTCCTATTGACGACCGGCATCCGGCACCCGTCCCCGAAGACGAATTCAACGACTCGTCGTCCACACATACAAACCCGCCCCAGCCACCACCCGCGGTTGCTATGCCACATGTCTCTCGTCAGACCCAGAACCCCTACCAGCACATGGGCCACGATAACCTCCACGAGTCTGTGCAACAGGCCGGCACCCACGCCATCCACGGCTACCCGCCTGCTCACCAGATCTATCAACAGCCCACTTCTCCCGCATCTATTCAACCCGAGGATGGCTTCCATGTGCATCCACTAGCTCATTCGTATCCACTCGACAACGTGGAGAGCTCAAACACATACGCTACGGCTGCCCAGGTGCCCCGACCACCGCCCATCGACACCTCGATCGCCAACGAAAAGGCTGGTTTGCTGCAGGCATCAAACAACAGCCACCATTCGACATCTTCCGACGATGAGCCCGAAGAGAACCTGCAGCAACGAATCGAACGTATGGCCAACGGCACCGTCCCCGGAGGATCAAAGATGCGACGGTCGGCCTCCAAGAACTCGAAGCGTCGAGGTAGCAACTCCAGTAGCGCCACTGGCCTCTACAGGTCGAAGACCTCTGCCTCTGGTCGAAGTTACAAGAGTCATGCTGGAGAGGAGCATCGAGCTACCGGACGACGACGCTCAAACTCCACATCTCAGCAGCCCGGCAGTGCCATGCCGCCCCAGAGCGCTGTGACAAACAATAATAACTCCATGGACGAGTTTCCTCTTGGTCTTGGTATCACCCGCCACCAGACCAACGCCACCACACATACTACCGGAGACCGAACCACTAACGAGAAGGAAGAAGAGGATGAGAAACACCCAAAGGTGTCGCATGTGCTGGAAACGGTGTTCGAGGACTCGGATGCCGACTCCACGGACCTCCCCGAAATCAAGGACGTCATGGGCGACATTCGAGAAGAGCACGGAGTAGAATCTACCGACCACTCTCTACGACCTCCGGAGAACGAGGACAAGATTGCCACCGGTGTGCGACGGGGCTACCACGCACTCCAGCGATCCACTGGTACCCAGCGACCTACCGAGTTCAAGATCATCGTCAAGACTCGAGCGTACATTCGATACCTCATGCAACTGTCGATTCTCACTCGATGCTTTGTTTTCTGGTTGCCTCTTGCTGTCGTGTTCTTTATTCCCCTTGCTATTGGTGCTTGGGGTCAGCCTGATGCTGAACTCGGTAATGTCCGTCTCTCGTGGATTTTCATCTGGGTCGAAGTCATGTGGAGCTCCCTCTGGGTGTCTCGCCTGGTTGCTCATGTGATTCCCAACTTATTTCGTGTTATTGCGGGCATTATTTCCCCAACTATTAAGCGATTTACCACTATTGTCTGTGCCGTGGAACATGCTATTACGCTCGTCTTGTGGGCATTTTGCTCTTGGATCACCTTCATGCCCGTCACCAGCATGAACAAGTTGGCCAAGCCCAATGACGCTAAAGAGGTATGGCAGAAGAACTTTTCCAAGGTGCTTGTGTCCTGTCTTATCACAGCCATTGTCTACCTATGTGAGCGAATTTTCATCCACTTCATCTCCGTGTCCTTCCACAAGACACAGTTTGCAAACCGAATCAGAGACAACCGTCTTGCCATCTCTGTTTTGGTCAAGATGTTGGACGCCGCTTACATGGTATTCCCTCAGTTTTGTCCCGAGTTCGAGGATGAGGATGTGACACTTGCTGGTGGCCTTCTTTTTGCAACTACTCGAAAGATGGATGATAGACTTAACCGACGTATTCAGCAGGCTGTTCAGAACGAGGGTACCCGGCGGTTCTTTGGAGGACTCAAAAAGGCGTCTAAATCCTTGGGTGAAGCTGCCAGAGATGTCATTGGTCGAACTGCAGGCACTGCAGCATCTACCGAGTCCATTGTCATGGAAGCCATGAAGTCGCGATCCACAGCACGAATTCTCGGTAAACGAATCTGGATGTCTCTTGTTCTAGAGGGACAAGACTCTTTGACTGTCCAGGATATCATCGATGTGGTTGGAGAACACTCTCGAGACGAGTGTGAGGCTGTGTTTGCCGTTCTCGATCAGGACGGCAATGGAGACTTGACTCTCGACGAGATGTCTGCTGCTGTGACCCAGATCTGTCACGAGCGAAAGTCGATCTACAAGTCTCTCAAGGATGTCGATTGTGCCGTCAAGAAACTGCATCACATTCTTGTGTTTGTGGTTCTGCTGATTTGTATCATCATTTTTGTCGGAATGTTGTCTCCTTCTGTCGGAGCCGTTTTAGCCACCCTTGGTACCACCCTGCTTGCCTTCTCATTCGTCTTCTCTACCACCTGTCAGGAGATTCTGTCTTCTTGTGTCTTCCTGTTTGTGAAGCATCCAATTGATGTCGGAGATCGAGTCGATATTGCGGATGTCGCCTACAACGTTACATCCTTGTCTCTTCTGTACTCCACCTTCACCCGAACAGATAATGGTAAGTTGTGCCAAGCTCCTAACTCGCTGCTCAACACTCTGTGGATCGGTAACGTCTCTAGATCGGGTCTCCAGTCTGATCCCCAGACCCTTATTTTAGGCCTTCCCGAGACTTCCACTGAAGACATTGATGAGCTGCACCGACGAGTTGATCAGTTTGCTCTGGACAACCCCAAGGACTACAAGCCTAAGCCCTGGTTCCAGGTTTCCGGTTTCACCGATCTCGACCGAATCTCCATCACCATCAACATCACCCATCGGTCCAACTTTGCCGACATTCCTCTTTGGGGTTACCGACGAACCAAGTTCCTCAAGTTTGTTGCGCAGTGTGTCCAGGAGATTCCTCTGTACGTCCCCCGTCGAGAGGACAACTACTCGGATCCGGCCAACTCGATGTACCTCAGCTCTCTGCCTCCTGGTATCCCCGGTCTATTGCAGAGCCGAAACGACCAGAACAAGTCTCCCAGTGGCGATACTTTCACCGAGCTCTCCTCCGATGGACGGAAAGACCGATCCCTGTCCAAGAACTCCACCCGATCTACTCGATCTACTCGATCCGCTAGAGACCGTCAGATTCACGGCGTCGCTCCTACCTGGAGAACCCGAATTCGACCTGGTCTCCGTGTCATCGACGAGTCTGAGGATGACGACGATTATGCTGTGGAAAGTGATTCTTCGGAGGATCACGAGCATACTCTTGAGGAGAAAAATAACACTCATGCCACCGGCGGAGTTCAGGCTCAGACTGAGGTTCAGAACAGATTCAAAAACTAGCTAGCGTGACCTAGCACATGATTCATCTAGTTTGGGGTATCAGTTGTATCCCAGCTAGCTTATATATATTAGCATTACATCATTTAGAATATGACTTGATTGTGTATTGTAGCTACTTGTAGAGATGGCATGTTTGTCGATGATATGGCTCCCACCTTTGTTCTGGTGTGCAATAATCAATACTGGCGGAGTGTGCATGACACAAGTGTATATGGTGGAAGTGATGTATAACCACCATGTAATTAAACGACTAAAAGAGCTGGAGAGATACTGGAAACAACAAAAAAAAAAAAACGTCTGTCTTTCCTCTATGACTCAGCATGGTTATTCCAGCACCGAAACACTGTATCCTGCTGTTCTGTGTATCTGTTTCCTCACATAGCCACCCTAACCCAACACCCAACTCTATCACACGAAACTCATTTACGCGTCTCTGAAATAAAAAAAAAAAACACGTACCCGACTTACGCACTTAGACATACATCTACTACAGTACTACACAACACACATTTCGGCATGGGTATTAAAGGATTGAACAAATTACTGATGGAACACTGTCCCGCGGCTCTGCGGTCGTCGGAGATCAAGAACTTTGGAGGTCGAAAAGTCGCCATCGATGCCTCCATGTCTCTCTATCAGTTTGTGATTGCAGTACGACAGGCTGATGGCCAACAATTGACCAACGAGAATGGAGAGACCACGTCGCATCTCATGGGCATGTTTTATCGAACCCTGAGAATGGTCGATAACGGTATCAAACCCGTATACGTGTTTGACGGCAAGCCCCCCGTCCTCAAGAGTGGAGAGCTGGCCAAGCGAAAGGAGCGACGAGAGGAGGCTCTGAAGAAGATTGAGGAGCTCAAACAGCAAGTGGAGGATGGTGAAGAGGGTGAGGAAACAAAGGAGGCTCAGGAGGATGTTACTCGATTCGAAAAGCGAACAGTTCGTGTGACACCCGAACAGAATGACGAGGCCAAGAAACTGCTCACACTCATGGGTATTCCCATTGTGGAGGCTCCATGTGAAGCTGAGGCTCAATGCGCCAAGCTAGCCGAGGCCGGAAAGGTGTATGCTGCTGCCTCCGAAGATATGGATACTCTGTGTTTCGGTTCTCCTGTTCTGTTGCGACATTTGACCTTTTCCGAGGCCAAGAAGATGCCTATTTCCGAAATCAACTTTGCCAAGATTCTGGAGGGTCTGGAAATGACCCATGCTCAGTTCATTGATCTGTGTATTCTTCTGGGATGTGATTACGCAGACACCATCAGGGGAGTTGGACCTCAGACCGCTCTCAAGCTCATGAAGGAACATGGAAGTCTGGAGAAGATTGTAGAGCATATCGAGAAGAATCCCTCTGGAAAACTCAAGGTGCCCGAGAACTGGCCGTACCAGGAGGTTCGTGCTCTCCTGCAAGCGCCTGATGTACTCGATTCCAGCAGCTGTGATATCAAGTGGAACAATCCCGATGTCGAGGGACTGGTGGACTTCCTGGTGAGAGATAAGGGATTCTCCGAAGATCGAGTTCGAGCAGGAGCTGCGAGACTCATGAAGCAGGTCAAGGTGAAGCCGCAGGCGCGACTTGATGGCTTTTTCAAGGTTATGCCCAAGGAGGGAGGAGAGAAGCGAAAGGCGGACGACAAGAAGACTAAGGGTAAGAAGCCCGCCACTAAGAAGGCAAAGAAGTGATTGGTTAACTATTGGTAAAAGTAAAAGAAAATTAATGCATTGAAACACATCACTATGAGCACCGTGCATGGCCGAAGGCAAGTACACATACTACAATGCATCTGTGTAAGCACCTTCTTGCCATATATGAAAAAAAAATAAAAAAATTGAAGGTGTGGGTACTACACATAAATCTCATTTACTCGCAGGTCGCAAGAATCACTCTCTATTGCAGTTTTAAACTTATTTATTAAGATCATGGCAGCCGAGGCAGATATACTTCGGCCCTGCGTCAAAATTTCAAGCTTAATGTAAATCGGGAAAAACGGAGTGCAAAAAAAAAAGTACTTGTATTTGTATAAAGGGATGGGAAAAGGAACGTATTCAAAAAGAACAAAAATGGACGACACCGGAATCGAACCGGGGACCTCGCGCATGCTAAGCGCATGTGATAACCAACTACACCAGACGCCCTGAAATTACAGGGGGTTTAAGAGGGTCGTGCCAAGTTTTTGTAAAATCAGTGAAATTTTTTTTTAATGAATCATTAGAATAAAAAAAAAAAAAACAACCGGAAAAAAAAACCAAAGAGATAAGAAAAAGATGGAGCGACAACGATACTGGCAGTATCGGACTCATTGACACACGCACCGAAACGCGCATCGCATGGATTATCATGGCTATTATTTATTGAACGCCAATAACCCGGCTTACTAGGTATATAGATGTAATGAATCATTAGAATTAAAAAAACCAAAAAAGAACAACCTCCACGAACATCTTTTTGTCAACTGTCCAGCGTCCAAGGGCATCTGCCAGAAGATGGTTGTCCCTCTTCCATCCAAAATGGCGGGCATGGATCTTACTGGAGGTCAAGGACAGTCCGTTGAACTACATTTGAGAGCTCGCCCATGCCTTGTGGCATTTGAGCGAGCCATGCAACAAACTGGCCTAGTGGGTACGGACCCCGTAATCCTGCGATATTTCGCTCACTTCGTGTAAATAAACCGTTTCCGAGATTTCGAATAAGCTGTTTATCAAGACTAGAAGTCGCTCTGCTGTCGTCTTATAATGCCGTTGCGTCAAGATCTTGTTCTGACGATGTTTCAACCGGTTTATCTAGCTACTGTATTTGTAGATTATAGCCCGATGTATCTATAGTATGTACTGTACTTGTAGCTACAGTACTTACCCCAAGGTACAGTGCAATAAGTAAGACACCATTTAATAATACAGTTACTCTGCGCTCACTACACCGGATCTCTGCACTATCTTCACTGATACTCTAGATTAATGTATTACTGAGCTATAAAAGCAATGCAAATAAATATATGCGTGGCGGTTACTTGCCAACATTCTGCTTACAAGATGCAAAACTCTGAAGAGCCTTGAGGAAGACTCCGTAGGTAACGGCGTCGTTATCAGGCTGGTGGTAGATTTCTGTGAGACGAATCTGCCAGGGAGGGAAGCCCTGCAGGTCAAGCTGGGGACCAAAGACAATGAGCAATTCTGGTTCAGTTACAACGAGCATGTTCATTTGCTCATCGATGACGTCCACAGTGATATCACGTGGCTTGAGTTTTTTAGCAATGGCCAGCTCCGACAGGGTCTTGGTGAGATCGACCAGACATTCTCGACCATCCTCCTCGGACAGCAGGTGGATGGTGAGATCATTCTTATTGTCGGTCTTTCTGTTGACCACCTTGCCGTTGGATTCTCCTGTTGGGTGAGCTGCTCCAGAGTGGGGTACGTCGATCTTGATGGAGGGCATCTCCGAGCCGTAGTATGATCTCATTCCCTCTTCCACCAGTTTGTACACGTCTTTGATGTTGTAAGATTTGAGGCATCCGGTTCGTTCGTATACTGACAGCTGCTTGATTTCGCCGGTTCCGCAACACCAGGCTGCAATCTCCGAGATCTGGGCAACCAAACCTTCCACTCCTCCGCCCTCTTCAGAGCCATCCTGCAGGTCGACAATGACGGCCAGGTGGTTGGGCAGCTTGGTGAGGTCGGCGACGTCATGAGAAATGAGCTGGGGGGTTCGGTTGTGATGGTAGGAGATGGCGAGGCCTCGGATCTTGATTCTATGGGCCACATATTGCACAAAGTGGACCAGGGAGTAGGCGAGGTGGAAGACCAGCAGCACAGTGTGGAGCACGTGGAAGCAGATGAAGGACCATGGATCGCTCGGCATGAACTTGGGGTTGGCCGACGAGGGGTACAGCATCTGGTTAAGACGGGTAAACATAGCGGTGGTTGCGTTTGTACGAGTCGTGACACTCGCTGTGTGTGGTGGAGGTGTAAGTGTACAAACAAGGTTGATCAGAAATCCATCAACCGAAAAGGTTTATTTATGGGAGTCCCAACCAGAGAGAGAGCTGTAGCATACTGAGTGGGCAGGCGAGACAGGCAAAGCTGGTATCCACGGCAATATATATAGAGGAGGACGCGCTGTTCAACCCACTACAACAGCTGGTTAATTTTAGGATATATATGGCGAAAAGTCTTTCCTGAGCCACCCGTTTCTCACTATCTACTGACCCCCTGTCTCGCTAATGCGCGTTCCAACCGATTACGTGAACAGTAGTGACAGGACAGAAGGAAAATACTGTATGATGTGAAAGTGACCCTGTCAGAGTTACTGCAAAAATGCCGACTGTAACTGTGGGGTGTGCAGTCAACACGTCCTTGGTCACTGTTGAGTGATCACATATAGTCGTTGGTTGATTGTACCACTTGGTGCATACGATAATTTGCCTGTACCTAGCTACCGTACAATTGCCGGTGCAATATTGATTGTACTGCGATTGTTGTGTTGGATGTAGACCACACGTGTGTACAATAGTCCACTACAAGTACAGTATGTATGTACTGTACTGTACTAAGTAGATAGGAACATGTACAGTTAAGTGAAACAAAGAGCGTTGATTGTATGATCACAAGTACCGTGTGTACTTGTAAGCAACTTGTTACTACAAGTAATATTAAAAGACCAATTATATTAAAAGACCAATACAAAGAAGTATTATACTGAACTTGTACTCCTATAATTTTGTACTTGTACGATCAAACACAGTAGAAGAAGACTGCAGGGTGCATTCGCTTATGTTGCAGGATAATGTAGTGCTGATGTGGACTGTACAGGTCGAGAGAAGATGACAAGAATATGAGCGAGAGTTTTCTGCCGTGTCATCTATCCCAAAGACTGTACAAAGAGTCAGACTTGTGAGTGCCCATTCTTACCATATAGGCACTTGTCGAATCTCTGTTCCACCGAGGGGAATCTTGAGGCTGATACACCTTCTCCCAAGACAACATCGTGAAGTCATACGAACAATCTAAGATTGATGTTGTGTTGAGGCTGAAACGAAGCATATGGCAAATCGAAGATTCGATGAAGATATAAAGGGTCCCCCTTCTATCGGATGACGACCATCCCTGAACTATCAGTCTACACCATGCAACAAAGATATCTACAACCCTATGACGACGACACTCTGGTCGAAGAGATTCCACCTACAAATGCCGAGGTGGGAATTGTGCCATTTGATGATCTGGAACTGGTGGCCGAAAGTCAGCCTCCTTGCGATACCTGGAAGAACTGCGTCTTATCATATAAGATGATAGTCCAGGGCTATGACAATGAAATCCTGACCCATGAAGGACAGTTGCAAACGAATTTCGTACCGGGCATGTCTACCGCCATTTGCATGACTTCAAATCTGAATTTTGAACCCCACATGACTCCCGAAGACGTGCAACGGGTCACTTTGGCTGCTTTGGTTCGTGACCGTCCTCCTCCTGAGGTGGACGAGGAGTCTGACAATGAGCTATGTGCACGTCAGAGTATGGCCATCTACGAAAGATACAAGGGCCGAATGAGCGAATTGTGGCGCGACATGCCTGAATTGCCATTATTTGAAGATGGAGACAGCAAGACTACTCCTAAGGCTTCTTCTGAAGATGATCCCTCAACTTATGCCGATGGGTACCAGAACGAGGCAGGCGCTACTGCGAACGATTCCCAAAACGAGAACGATGGTATAGGATATCAGGGTGTCGATAATTCTCTTCTTCCAGGATGTGACCCAAGCTCAGACTCGCATTATTCAGATTCAGACAGACCATGTACATCGCATTCAATATCTGGTGGAGAAGCTGTAAAGAGAACCCAGATGCTCAAAGACAGACGACTCTGGAAACGAGCCAACGAACCCCAGTTCATCACTTGCACTTCTTGTCCCCGAAAGAGCTTCAAAAGTCTCGCCAAATACGCGAAACATCTTGACACCCACCATAGTGGACTCTCCAACGAACACTTGTGTCCTTCTAAGACCTGCCCAAGATCGATTGTTGGCTTCAGTACTGCTGTTGGATGTTCTCAACATTTCAACATCTGTCACAGAAACCATGACAGGATATTCGAACTCAAGTGCAGAAAGTGGTATCTGAAGAGATGGCGGCTAAAACCCGAGATACCCTGTCTGTCAATGTATGTGTTCATGGTAGACATTTAGAACGGGGTCATTAGCTAACCTCTTTTCTGTCACATGCGCTATTTGTATTGATTGAAGAGGACGCTGTTAGCTATCTGATACACTTGATCTCTACAGAGAGGAAGAGAAATATGTCACCCGTTGTGTACCACCCGTACCTGCATTACAACTTCTACATTTTATATATATGTGCATACTATTGCGAGTAGGAGAATAAATACCACGTACTGGACTTTTCAATGGAACCGCGAAGACATTACTACAGCTCCATATCTTTTCATGATCTCAGCAACTACAGTTTCTGTCGACTACATAGCTCAATCCAAGTTCAGTATGCATACCAACCAAACTTGCCTAAGGAAGGAGGTGTAGACAATTAGGAAAGAGATAGTGGTCATCTGAGTTGTATTGAAAGGAGTTTTGTGGTTACTGTAGTTACTTCCTTGTTTCAATCGCTTTAGAACTGCATAATCGCCCATCCAACTTCTTGCAACTCTCACGCGAATATCACAAGATGCACTTTTTTCCTGATTCTTAACATTTTCTTACCACACACCACTTCACTATCACAGCCCAACTCATCTGGTGAAAGACTGTTCACATGACAGCTCAAAACACCTACCGAATCGGATCAGTCGCAGCCGGACGTTTTTCGAACTCCAACTTCTCACTTGACATGAATTGGTATAGAAAGGGAGATGATCACAGAGAACAACACAACAATGTGAGCCATGTCTAGACAATATCGCTCGTTTTACAGTATTAAACACTCAAAATGAAGACCATGAACACAAAACATCTCTAATGATACCATTTTCTGGCATATTCGCCACATACCTGAAACTGACAGACGACGATCACTCCAATCAAGTCAGACCGAATAGGAAGTAGGAAGCCTTCCTCGGCGCCTTTTCACAATATATAAACTGGGTTATGGGCTCTTCATTATCTCTACCCTTGATCAATCAACTTCCCCAACATCTCTTTCACCAACATCCTCCTTTCAGTTTTACCAACTTCAGATTTTCAGCTTCCATCATGAAATTCTCCACTACCACCGTTATTGTCGCTGCTACTCTTGGCCTGGCTGCTCCTGCTTTCCAGCAGGATGCTTCCAACAGCGACTTTATCTACCAGCTCCAGGTTTCTGACAAGAACAACCAGTTCAACCAGCAGCTGTTCACCGATGGAACCAACATCTACTATGGTCCCCGGAACCAGAACACTGCTCCTCAGGGCCAGAATCTTGTGACAATCACCGTCTTCATGGACAGCAACGGAAACCTGCAGTCCATCGACAACCAGAACCGATACGTCTCTGTTGGCAGCAATGGCCGAATGCAGATGTCCAACCAACATCGAGGTCGATGGAATGTTCAGACCAACCGAAACAACAACAATGATGTTTCTCTGCGGTTCGACAACAACCCCAAATTCCTGGCTTGCCCTGTCCAGAACTACAACAGCGGTTCTCGATCCAGAGGCAAGCGAGAAGAGTCCGAGTCTGCTGCCGCCCGGAAGGACCACCAGAACAACTGGAACAATAACCAGAACTGGAACAACCAGAACGGCCAGAAGGACAACCAGGTTTACCAGGTTTACGTCAACAACGCTCCCTGTGCCAACCCCGTTGAGCTGTCCCTGAACGGCCAGAAGCGGGGTCGACGAAACCAGTGGAACAACCGAAACAACCGAAACGTTGCCCGAGATGTGTCTACTGAGACTCCCGAGGCAACCATTGTTCTTCGAGTCAACGGAGTCACCCGACAGAACGCTATGTATTCTCCTGTCTTCAACCAGGATGGCCGAATGTACACCCAGATGCAGCGAGACAACCACCACTTCTCCGACGACCAGCACGGCAACAACATGTTCCGACTGTCGCAGGATGGCCAGATCATCGACACCCGATCCCAGCAGTACGCTCGGCTTGGCCAGAACCAGCAGTTGTCCATGACCAACAACCAGAATCAGGGACTGCTGTTCACTGTTGACATCAATGGAAACCTGCAGTACAACGGTAACCAGTTCCTAGCTTGTGATACAGGAAACAACGGTCTGTACGAGGTTCGACCTGCCGGAGCCGAGGGAGCTGCAGCTTCTTGTGCTAACGCCCAGGCAATTACCATCCAGATTGACCAGCAGTAAACGGGCCTACCAAGCGTTTGACAATGTCATCTGACCTGTGACAATAGTGGTTTTCAATACAAGTTTCCAGTATTATACACTATATTGTGGATCTGCGTAGATTGTATCTGTTTCTTGTCCCCTTTGAGTATCAATTAGTTACCTTGACGATATGCGACTGTTTCGTCTTTAGGTCATGAGAGCTGCCCAACACGGCACTGGATAGATCGGACTTATAGGCCCAATGCTACAACTCGGATTATAAGGCACCATTTTTGTTTAGTTCATTTTACGATGCAATTGTGGGCAATAAGGTGACATGGGTTAAAGGGGTTGCTGGAATTACTGTAGGGACTCGCCTCAGTTTTTTTGCTGTAAGCAACGGATGTTGAGATAAGTTCCGACTTCATACATTCGTTTCTGAGACTCGGAGTGTCTCTGGTCAATTAATTGAATCGCTTTTATGCTACATCCGGCTTGTTTCAGACCGTTCCGACATCACCAACAGAAAGAAGACAATATTACGACTTTTTGGGGGGGAATTCATGGCTTTCATATTACTGTGTCCCGCTACTTGTAGCTACCTTAGAGTAGATGAAACACTCCCGGGGAGCAACGTCCTTCTTTTTTTTTGTTCTTTGGACTGAACGGTGTCTGTTTATCTACCTCGACGCACCCAATATTCGTTGCATGTTGACAAGCAACTTTCTTTCATTCCGTGAGCTACCTTGTACATATCCGACCCACAAGGTCCAGACAAGCCAAGTCGGTGTCTTTAGCCTCCTTCTTCATCCCAGTGGGGAAACGGTAATAGAACAAGTGGTTGTCGAAAGGAGTTGGTGGGGGCAGTGACAGGAAGATCACGCCGTCTTATTGCACGAATTTGGAAGCTGTCAAGCTCGTGTCAGAGTGTGCAAGAACCGACTTAGGATGTACAAGAGCTGGGTTCGTGTTCTCTCATCGTACTACAATGTGATCCGTGAAAGACTCTACTCAAGAGCACTTCTACTTAGGTGTCTGCGTCAACTTCGCGTGAAACATGATTTCTCGACACACGCAGGCCGAGATTAGGTGTCAGACATGGAGTGGATTGCGTGTGAGCACATTGTACTCGTACTTGTAGCTTGCATGCTACTGGGTTCCTACAAACAGGACATCTGTTCAGTCATTGCGGCTACCTATGGTACAGTAGCTGGCGGGAGAATTTCGTTTTCACGTGTCAAAAGACGCCAATGAAAGTCAGCAGTCTTAACGCCACAATAGACCCAAGTGTCCTTGGGGGGTGCTGTAGACCTACCGCACACAAGTACCTATATGTGTGCTCGAACTTGTGCTGGTGAAAATATGCTGCCGGATACATTCCACAATGGCATGGAGGAAAAAAAGAATGGTAGTTTCGTATTTACGGACCCACCCAGCTTAAAGTGGGTCTCCCCAGCGTGTAAGTTCGAGGACTGGGGGGGTCTTGCAGCCATCTACGATACCGGGTGTTCGGTGTCCGAACCGAAGCCATGTTCCGCGATAGACAATCGGACTTTTACCAGTTTCTGCCCCAACCCTTAGCTGCCCCACTGTAGCCCAACAAGTACTTCTTGTTGTCTACCCACGGGGTTAGCTTGTGTTAGTTTAGTTTTGGTACCAGGGTGGGCTTGAGGGCAAGCCAAGCCCAGGACACTGGAATGAGGTCGAGGTCGTCGTCATAATATCCGTTCTTGTCCCCGTTTTCCGCCCTCAAATCTGTGAATCACCTGTCTTACTTTGGTGCCCGTGTGTTCGTTGCACGGCTATCATTGGTTCTCGTAACTTTGAACTCTGAGCAGCAAGGTTTCCATCGGTGGTGGTGGGTTGGGTGTTAACGTAAATTAATCACAACAAAAAAACTAATGGCAAAAGGGGGCGTAAATAGACGCCGTCTTTGGTCGTGTGAGGTTGGGTTTCTAAGGAATTAACAGAAACACTTTCATGGAAGGCGGAAATGGTGAAGGACTCGGCCAGACTGCTGCCTGAACCTCACACATGTCGTATTTGTTGTGCTTGGCATGTTCGGACATTTTCCATGTCCGCTTCTACACCTTGTCTGCAGTTGACATTGATTGTCTCAGATCTGCATCGCTCAAGCAATACCGTGCAGGTCTCGCATGACTATAACTGTATCCGGAACGGGTGGAAACTCGACTATGTGAAGAACTAAGGCCACCCCGTACCTCCAACAGCAGCCCCTGCTTCGTTGAGATGTATGTTTTTGTCTCCCAAACGTCACTCGAGAGTAGCGCCGTTTGAGCCCTCGAATAAGGCACTATTTAGGACCAGACCACACCCCGCGGATGTCAAGCCGAACCTTGTTGCATAAAGATAATACTAGTCAAGTGGGGTGTCGACCCGATGAGAGAATAAACCGATTGCAACGGTTTTTATTTCATTCGCTTCTTCCAGCAGACACTCTTGGTTTTCTTCCTCACAGCTTTCCGCCATTATCAGCTGCGTGTATCGTGAGTATATTGGGAGTGAGAGATGCCCTCACGATAAGACAACAGCTATAGTACAAATGTTAACACAGATGTCAGATCAAGCGCCGCCAAACTCGCCCGGAACACGGGTACCAGGGGAGATCGGTCCCCAACAATCTTCCCAGCAAGTTCCCATGGCTTATACCATCCCAGGAACAACAAGTACAGCTCTAGATGAGGAGATCTCGGAGTACCGTGACACCAACCGAACGACCAAGACCCCTGGGATAGACGAGCTGACACCCACAGCGTTTTATGACAATCGTGGTGTTAGGCATGAGCATAGGGGAATATCTGAAGAGATGAAGAAGGAGCTCAAGAGACAGGAGAGACGCCAGCACGAGATGTTGCAACAGAAGCAGCTTGAGCTGAGACAACAGGAAGCCCTACACCAACACCAAATGCTTATCATTGAGCAGCAGAAGCAAGATCAGATTATTCAACAGCAGAAACAGCTGCAACAACTGCAGCGGCAGCAACAGGAAGAGGTGGTCAGACAACAGCAGCTGCAGCAACAGCAGCAACTGTACCAGTACTATCAGCAACAGCAACAGCAGCAACAGCAGTATGCCGCACACATGTTACAATTCGAGCAACAAAGGCGGGAGCAGATGCGACAACTTCAGTTGGCCCAGTACCAGGCATCTCAGGCTGTTCAGACACATCATCAAGATGTTTCTCATCTAACCCCGTCTGTTCCCGTACCTGCAGCCGTAACACAGCCTCCTGCCTCCGTAGCACGTACGGCATCAGTCTCAGACATGTTGGTACCTCCTATGACATGGTCAAGAGAGGAGCCTGCCCATACTCCACAACCTACTCAATCGCGCCGATACACACCCACTTACGGTCCTGCAAAAGATGACTATCGAGGTGATAGCGGAGGCAACAGACACAGTGGTCATGGTGGAAACAGGAGGATTGAGATACCCATCACAACAATTATTCAACGCCCTTTTGAGCACTACCGTTCCCACAATAAGTCTCCTATAGAGTTTTCCACCAGTCCTTCTGGGCCGTCAGACAGCGATGAGGATTTCGGAGACTTGACTGAGGCAGAGATTGAAGTTCTACGACGTCAAATCTCGACGGATAAAGTCAAGGTAAACTTTCTTACACTGTTCAGGTACGCTACCAAACTTGATATCTTCATTCTGTTCATTGGAATGGTCACAGCTGCCGCAGCTGGTGTTTGCATGCCTCTCTTCACTGTCATTTTCGGTCAGATGACCAATGAGTTCTTAGCTTTCATTGTGCTTGGTTCATCAGCTGACCGTTTCCAGCATCAGATTAACCATTATGCTCTGTATTTTGTCTACATTGCTGTGGCTACGTTTTGCTTAACGTCAATCAAGACATACATTACTGTCGAAAGAGGAGAACGGTTGAGTGCTCGAATCCGAGAGAATTATTTGAAGGCTATCATGAGACAGAACATTGGCTACTTCGACAAACTGGGAGCTGGAGAGGTGACCAACAGAATCACCACTGATACAAATCTGATTCAGGAAGGCATTTCCGAGAAATTGGGACTTATTGTGTCGGCTGTTTCCTCGTTCATTACCTCACTGGTGATAGGATTCATCAAATCGGCTCGACTCACTGGAATTATGATCTCCACTGTTGTCGCTCTTGTCCTGGCCATGGGAATCTGCTCCACTTTCCTTGTTAGATACGTTAGATGGGCAATTGAAGACGACAGCGAGTGTTCGTCTATTGCGGAGGAGTGTTTTGCATCAATTACCAACATTGTGGCATTTGGAATGCAGGTGAAGATGGACAAGCGGTACGAGAAGCCTCTCAACTCGAGTCTGAAGAATTACCTGCTTAAGGCACGAGTTCTTGGAGCCATGGTAGGCATCCTTTGGTGCATCACTTATTGCATGTATGCCCTTGCACTCTGGGAGGGTTCTCGGCTTGTCAACAAGGGTGAGACCAGCATCGGTCATGTCATCACTGTTCTTATGGCTCTCATGATTGGTGCTTTTCAGTTAGGAGGAGTCGCTCCCAATATGGAATCTCTTGGATCTGCAGTCGGGGCGGGTAAGAAGATCTTTGAGACCATTGATCGAGTTCCAGATATCGATTCTCTCAGTGGAGGAGAAACTCTCTCAAATCTTCGAGGCGCTATCTCGTTTAAGAATGTCCATTTCCGGTACCCTTCTCGCCCTACGGTTCCTATTTTGCGAGAGTTCAACCTCGATATTCCCTCCGGAGCTACCGTTGCATTGGTTGGAGCTTCTGGATCAGGTAAGTCAACCATCGTTGCATTATTGGAGCGCTTCTACCAGCCTCTAGGAGGCTCCATCACAGTTGATGGTGTGAGCATTCTGTCTCTTGATGTAAAGTGGCTTCGTCAACAAATGAGTCTTGTTTCTCAGGAGCCGACTCTGTTCAATTGCACTATCTTTGAAAACATTTCTCACGGTTTGATTGGAACCGAGTATGAGAATGCAGAGAGATCTGTTAAGATGAAACTTGTTGAAGACGCATGTGAGCAGGCCAACTGTTCAGAGTTCATCAAAACTCTTACTGACGGTCTTGACACACAGGTTGGTGAGAAGGGGTATCTCTTATCGGGTGGACAAAAACAGCGAGTAGCTATTGCCCGAGCCATCATTTCTAACCCTCCTATTCTACTGCTTGATGAAGCTACGTCAGCTCTAGATACTCGCAGTGAGAAGCTGGTTCAGCAGGCTCTGGACAAAGCTGCCAAAAACCGAACCACTATTGTCATTGCACACCGTCTGAGTACAATCAAGAATGCCGACAAGATTGTGGTCATGTCCAAGGGTGAGATTCTTGAACAGGGCTCTCATGACGAGTTGATTGCTGCAAGAGGAACTTACTATGGATTGGTTGGAGCTCAGAGAATCGAAGACGGAGGTCCAGAAACCGCATCGACCACAGAAAAGGGCTACTACTGGGAAAGCGGTTCTGGATCCGATTTTGACGTTGGTAGTAATGTGTCTGTCGAAAAGACGACTCCTCTCAACACCTGGGGAATGATCAAGCTTCTAGCTCGTTTCAACCGAAATGAGCGACTTCCTCTTTTGCTTGGATCGGGATTCGCAGTCATCTGTGGAGCCGGATACCCTTCTCTTGCTCTTCTCTATGGATCTGTGATGCAAGCATTTATGGTCGACCCTTTGGCTTACAAACATATGCTCCACGAGATTGACAAGTTCTCTGGTTTCTTCTTCATGGTGGGAATGGTCCAGCTGGGATCCTACTTCATGCAGGTTTACTATCTGGGTGTGGCCTCAGAGACTCTAGTGAGGAACCTCAAGCGAACCATCTTCTCACATCTTCTTAACCAGGACCTGCGCTTCTTTGACACCACCACCACCGGCAAGTTGACTTCTTCCCTGTCTAAAGATACACAAAATGTTCAGGGACTAGGAGGAGCTACCTTTGGACAGATTCTGTCGTCTATTGTCACTGTTATAATCTCAGTGATTCTCTCCTGTTGCTACACCTGGAAGCTTGGACTTGTCTGTTCCGCCTGTATTCCTCTCATTCTATCCTCTGGCTTCTTCCGGTTCTACATTCTGACCCAGCTCAACCAGCGAGGACGAAAGGTGTACGAATCTTCGGCGGGATACGCCTGTGAAGCAACAAACAATATCCAGACGGTGATGGCGTTGACTCGAGAAGACGATGTTCTCAATTTTTACTCTTCCAAGGTCAACAATGTGGTGTATCACTCTGCCAAGAGTAACGCCATCAGTAGCATGTTGTTTGGTGCTTCGCAGACTCTCATCATTCTTATCAATGCCCTTGGATTCTGGTATGGCTCAACATTGATTCGAAAACGGGAAATTGACATCAACCAGTTCTTTGTTGCCTTTGTCACTGTTGTCTTTGGTGTCCAATCAGCTGGATCCATCTTCTCCTTCACTCCTGATATGGGTAAGGCCAAGGTAGCTACTCAAAGCATTCATGAAATTCTCAAGGTGAAACCTGAGATTGGGGGAGACAAGGAGTCAGGTCTTTCTCTTGATCCTGAAAAGGTTGTGGGCAATATTTCATTCGACAATGTGAGATTCAGATACCCTGAACGACCTAAAATTCCTGTTCTTCAGGGTCTGAGCCTGTCCATCCCTGCTGGCTCATATGTCGCTCTTGTTGGCTCTTCTGGCTGTGGCAAGTCAACTACTATTTCGCTGATTGAACGGTTTTACGATGTGCTTCAAGGAAGTATCACTATCGATGGCATTGATATTCGAGATCTCAATCTTGGATCGTATCGGTCTCTCATCTCTCTGGTGCAGCAGGAGCCTATTCTGTTCAGTGGAACTATCCGAGAGAACATCTTGCTGGGTGCTGAAGGAGATGTCGACGATGCTACCTTGCATTCTGCAGCTATCCAGGCCAACATCCACAACTTTGTCATGTCCTTGCCCGATGGATACGATACCTTCTGCGGAAACAAGGGCACGTTGCTTTCGGGAGGACAGAAGCAGCGAGTGGCCATTGCACGGGCTCTGATACGAGACCCCAAGATTCTGTTACTGGATGAAGCCACTTCTGCCCTGGACTCTGAATCTGAAAAGGTTGTTCAACAGGCTTTGGACACTGCAGCTCAAGGAAGAACCACCATCGCGGTGGCTCACAGACTATCCACAATTCAAAATGCTGATTCTATTTATGTCCTTGAAGATGGAAAAGTCTTGGAGCAAGGTACTCATTCTCACTTGATGGCGAAGAAGGGACGATACTACGAGCTGGTCAAGTTGCAAGCTTTGGAGGGCTGACGTGGATGAACGATTACATAAAACACTAATGGACATCATACAATGAATACAGTACAGTTATTATTATGTATTAAATCTGAATTACCCCTTAGTCTCATTGGTCTCCTCAATCTTTGTACCGTTGATCTCACCATTGGTCTCACCGTTAGTCACGCCACAATTGGTCTTACTGTTAACCTCGCCGTTTATCTCCCTTTTAGTTCTCTCTCCGTTGTAGCTGAGCACGGCAACACCCTCAACATGCTTGGTCTGAGGGAAGAAGTCGAAGCCTCGAATGGACTCAACCTTGTATTCAGGACACTGTTTCAGAAGGTAAGCCACGTCTCGAGCCTGAGTATGCACGTTACAAGAGACGTAGACCAGTCTCTGGGGTTGGAAAGTAACCAGCTGGTTGATGAAGGCCTCGTCAGTACCCTTTCGAGGAGGATCGATAATCATGCAAGTCTGGGCAGGGTCACAGTCGAGATCCTTAAAAATATTCTCGGCCTTTCCGGTCAGGAAAACGGCGTTGTTGATTTTGTTGAGCTCGGCATTCTTTCGAGCAAACTTGACACTCTCGTCGGAGATCTCCACTCCGTACACCTTCTCAACAGCCTGAGAACAGGTGATAGAGAACAGTCCAGATCCACAGTAAGCGTCAACCAAGAATCGGGGAGGCTTGCCGCCGTCGAGGAGAATGTTTTCTCGGACGTATGCAGTGACAGCAGGCAGAATGGAGTTGTTGTTCTGGAAGAACTCGCCAGCAGTAAAATCGAACCGGTAGTTGTCAATGTATTCCGACACAATGGCTTTGTTGTCAGTGACGCACCTCTTATCGAAAGTCCCTTCCTCCTTCTTGATGGTGTTCTCTCGCAGGAGGTATGTCTTTCCTCGTTTTGCGGTCTTGTAGTGAAGTTTGACATCTTCTCGGGACTCCTTGAGACCCTCGCGGACAACAGGAGTTCCAATAGGACAGTCTTCAATGTCCAAAACTCGATTGACAGTCTTCATGTTGAAACCGTAGGGTGGTGGAGATGCAAGCCATTCGGGCGATTTGGTCTTGGGCACGTCGTAATGAGGGGTTAGTTTGGTTCGGTAGCCCATAGTCTCAGGAGAAGGGAAAGTGGGACCCACTTCAGGCAGAACAGCGTCTTCAGTATGGCAGTAGTATCTGAAGGCGTTGACGACCACATTCCGCTTCTGGTTCAATTGTTTCTCGTAGTCCATGAACTGGTACTGGCAGCCAGAGCACTCTCCGAAGTATTTGCAGCTAGTGAGAGCGTCGTCTCTGAGATCTCCCTTGCTGATAACTTCGACAATCTCGCTCTGGAAAAAGTACAGGTTTTTCTTGTAGACTCGGACCTTGACCTTGTCACCGGGCAGAGCGAAAGGCACCACCAGAACTCGCTTCTCTCCATCTTCTCGCTCCTCAATAGCAATTCCATCTCCATCAGCACCCAGACCAGAAATGGACACCTCGACCTCGTATTTCTGGTGAATCAGCTCCTTCTCGGGTCTTTCTGTTGCTCCTTCGTCGCTCCGCTCCTCTCGTCGGATTTTCTTCATCATGGCAGGACTGATGAGTTTGTTCTGGACCTGATCCAGGGTGGTTGGAGGGTTGGCTGCACCCAGAACTCGCTTGATGTCGTTCAAAAGCACCGAATCCGAGGCCATGGGATCCCGCAGTGTGTCAACAATGTCCAGCACTGCATTCTTTCGTGCTCGCTTCAACGATTTGTGACTTTGTGTGACCATCGTTCGTACTAACCGTAGCATATACTGGCCAACTGATTTTTTTCCCATCCAAAAAAATCCAAATGTTCAACCTTAATTTTTTCGTACTGTGCGCCAACTCTATCGTATTACATGAAAGCATTATTGACAGTGTATTGATTGGTGGGCGACGAACATGATGGAGAACCAATCAACTAGAGTCGTAAAATTGTGGGAGATAGTAAAATGTGGTTTGTGCATGTTCGTAGATGTTGCAAAAACAGTCATGAGTCCTCCTTCTGCTACGAGTAGTTCATATATAAAGCGGCTTATTACTGTAGTTTGGGATGCTCAAGAAGTCTCAGATTGTCCGGTAGCTGTACAAGGTCAGGAAGCGATAGTGTTAATATTCCATCCTCCAAAAGCCATTGAGTCGGTCTTATGGAGATTTCTTTCTCTGTCATACACTGTATGTGTCTTTCTAAACGAACTTGATGTTCTCTACGCTTGATAATCTCGTAACTTCTAACAATATGTACATACTGTACTTGTAGTTCAGTGGTGATATTAATGAAGTATCACGCAGTACAGTGGTTAAAGTACTTCCAGTAAGGGAATCAAAGAAAGAGTAAAAACATGTACGTACAAGTGGACTCAATACGGGTATCGAGATACTGAGAAAGTGCTTTGAGACACCAGCGTAGAGTCATTTGGTGGCTTGCTAGGGTGACTAATTACCTACGAACTGTCCCCTCTTAGTTATAGGGTCATGAAAAAGTCACTTGGATCGAAGGTCTAACTAGATGAGTCACTCATAAAGTCATAAGATAAGCACACGATACTTGTAAGCTACTCGCGCGTACTGGTGTTGATGTCTTATCATGGTAACGATTTGACTCAATGATTCACACCACCATGTCAACATTGTCGCGTGAGTTCAAACTCTTCCACTTTTGCAGCCATGCGAATACAGTTGTCCAACTCAAATAAATCACGGCACCCAAAATATTTACAGTATTTCTGTAGTGTGTTCGTCACATCCCATCACAGTCGTCACATCATTGTGAGGAAGATGTGAGCACGCTCGTAGTGCCCAAGAAGCGAAATGTTACAGGGGCAGAATTAAATCGTGCTACATTATTCTTCCAGGTTTAGAGAGGCGGACGTCCGTAGAAAGCTAGACGCCAGTCAACAAGCCTGGTTGTTACTTGAAGAAGAAAACGTTTTAGCAAGAGATGCAGCTTTTATAGTGCATGTCCAACTCCCAACCCAAACCCAAACTCAAAATAAGCCCGACAGGTAACGTTTTTTTCAGAGTCATAATTTCACAGATCACCCGTGAGTTGGTTAGTACACCATTTTCCGAACATCACTTAAAAGATTGGCATTTCCCAGGCAAGGAATTGCACACCCCCGATTTTTGCGATACATGAGTGAATCCGCACAGCCCCCCGCTGCCGCTCCTGCTGCAGGAGAGGCCAAGCCCAAGACCCCCAAGCAGCTGGAAAACGAGAGAAAGAAGGCCGAGAAGCTGGCCAAGTTCAACGCCAAACAGGCTGCTAAGAAGGACGCTCCCAAGAAGGAGGCTGCCCCTAAGAAGGCAAAGAAGGAGGTTGAGCCTGTTCCCGAGTTTGTCGACAAGACTGTCAAGGGCGAGAAGAAGATTCTTGTGTCTCTGGATGATCCTGCTCTCAAGTCTTACAACCCTGCCACAATCGAATCTTCGTGGTACGAGTGGTGGGAGAAGCAGGGATACTTTGAGCCTGAGCTCAAGGCCGACGGATCTCCCAAGGACAAGGGTCTCTACGTCATCCCCATTCCTCCTCCTAACGTCACTGGAGCTCTCCATATTGGACATGGTCTCACCGTTGCCCTTCAGGATGGTCTGATTCGATTCCACCGAATGAAGGGAAAGACTGTTCTTTACGTCCCCGGTTTCGACCACGCCGGTATCTCGACTCAGTCTGTTGTTGAGAAGATGCTGTGGGCCAAGGAAAAGAAGACGCGACACGATCTGGGCCGAGAAAAGTTCACCGATCTGGTCTGGGAGTGGAAGGAGGACTACCACGTTCGAATTAAGAACCAGTTGAAGAAGCTCGGTGCTTCGTACGACTGGTCTCGAGAAGCCTTCACTCTGGACCAGCCCCGAACCAAGGCTGTCAACGAGGCCTTCTGCCGACTGCACGAAGAGGGCGTCATCTACCGAGCCTCCCGTCTCGTCAACTGGTGTGTTGCCCTTAACACTACCCTGTCTAACCTAGAGGTTGAGAACAAGGAGATTGATGGCTTCACTAAGATGAACGTTCCCGGCTACGACGAGCCCGTTGAGTTTGGTGTCCTCACCCACTTCTCCTACAAGGTCACTGGCTCCGACGAGAAATTGACCGTTGCCACCACTCGAGTCGAGACCATGTTTGGAGACACTGGTATTGCTGTTCACCCCGACGATAAGCGATACGCTCATCTCCACGGCAAGACTGTTGACCACCCCTTCCTGGACCGAACCATTCCCATTGTCACTGATGCCGAGGCTGTCGACATGGAGTTTGGAACCGGAGCCGTCAAGATCACTCCTGCCCATGACCCCAACGATTACCTGACCGGTAAGCGACAGAACCTCGAGTTTGTCAACATCCTTAATGACAACGGTACTCTCAATGAGGCCTGTGGCGATTTTGCCGGTCTCAAGCGATTCGATGCCCGAAAGAAGGTCATTGAGAAGCTCAAGGAGGTTGGTCTGTTTGAGAACCAGACCGCCAACCCCATGTCGGTTCCCACCTGTGCCAAATCTGGAGACGTCATTGAGCCTCTCCTCAAGCCCCAGTGGTGGGTCCGAAACAAGGAGCAGGCTGATGTTGCCATGGAGGCTGTTCGAGATGGCCGAATCACCATCACCCCTAAGACCTCCGAGTCCGAGTACTTCCAGTGGCTCGGCAACATCCAGGACTGGTGTATCTCTCGACAGCTGTGGTGGGGTCACCGAGCTCCCGTCTACTTTGTCAACCTCGAGTCTGAGGCCGATCAGGACAAGGAGGACGGCAAGTGGTGGATTGCTGGCCGAACCGAGGACGAGGCCCGAGAAAAGGCCGCTGCCAAGTTCGGAACTGACAAGTTTACCCTCGAGCAGGACGAGGATGTTCTCGATACGTGGTTCTCCTCCGGTCTGTGGCCCTTCTCTCTGCTCGGATGGCCCGACAAGACCAAGGACATGGAGACGTTCTACCCCATGACCATGCTGGAGACTGGCTGGGATATTCTCTTCTTCTGGGTCGCCCGAATGATCATGCTGGGTATCAAGCTCACTGGCGACATCCCCTTCCGAGAGGTGTTCACCCACTCTCTGGTTCGAGACGCCCAGGGCCGAAAGATGTCCAAGTCTCTCGGTAACGTCATTGACCCTCTGGACGTCATTTCAGGTATCCCTCTCAAGGACCTGCATGCCAAGCTGCACCAGGGTAACCTGGACCCCCGAGAGGTCAAGAAGGCCGAGGACGGACAGACCATGTCTTTCCCCAACGGTATCCCTGAATGCGGTACCGACGCCATGCGATTCGCCCTTTGTGCCTACACCACCGGAGGTCGAGACATCAACCTTGATATTAACCGAGTCGAGGGCTACCGAAAATTCTGCAACAAGATGTACAACGCCACCAAGTTTGCTCTCATGCGTCTTGGCGACGACTACGTCCCTCCTGCTAGCGACGCTCCCGGCAAGGACCTCTCTCTCGTCGAGAAGTGGATTCTGCACAAGTACACCCATGCTGCCAAGACTGCTGATGAGGCTCTGCAGCACAACAACTTCATGGACTCCACCACCGCCGTCTACAACTTCTGGCTCTACGAACTGTGTGACGTTTACATTGAGAACTCCAAGTTCTTGATTCTCAGCGGTACACCCGAACAGCAAAAGTCCGCTCGAGACACTCTCTACACTTGTCTGGAGGGTGCCATCAAGATGATGCATCCCTTCATGCCCTACCTCACCGAGGAGTTGTGGCAGCGACTCCCCCGACGAGTCGGCGACAAGACTGAGACCATCATGCGAGCCTCCTACCCCGAGTTCAACCCTGCCTTTGATAACGCCGAGGCCGAGAAGGGCTACGATCTGGTTCTGGATATTGTCAAGGCCGCTCGATCTCTGCTGGCCCAGTACGGCATTCTCAAGGACTCCCAGATCATTGTCCAGGGCTCCGACGCCGTGTCCAAGACCGTTGGTGAGCAGACCGAGTCGATTCTGTCGCTGGTCAAGGCCGCCAACAAGGTGCAGTCCATTTCTTCTTCCGACTCTGCACCTGACGGATGTGTTGTTTCTGTCGTCAGCCCTGAGTGCTCTGTCTACATCCTTGTCAAGGGTCTCGTTGACCTCGACGCCGAGATCAAGAAGGCCCACACCAAGATCGAGAAGTGCGAGAAGTCCAAGGCTTCGCTCGAGAAGCAGATGGCCGTTAAGGACTACGAGACCAAGGTGCGAGCCGACGTCCAGGAGTCTAACACCAAGCGATTTGAGGCTCTGACCGCCGAGATCGAGGGTCTCAACTCCATGGTTGAGGACTTCAAGAAGCTTTCTGCTTAGGTGGATCTTGTAAATCTCTACTGAATGAATAATGTGTATTGTATTGTATGAGAGTGTAAAGGTAGTGTGAGTAAATATACGTGTGTGCATTAATATGAACTTGTAGAAGTAACTAAGAGACAGCTGTTGTATTTGTATGATTGATACCAAAAAAGTACAGTACATCCATACTTGTACTTGTACGTTGGATTCGTTATACGTGTCTTTGATCCTACTTCAACATGTCGATCCTTCTATAGAAATCCTACAGGCTCCTGCCCTACTATGTATCATTCAAGTGTGTCATAAACTACAGTACATCCTGTCATCCGCCCATTATTACGTGTCTTTTCATGTCTATCCATTAATAGGTATAAATTACCGATGCATTACTCCTGCCCAGCATCAATTCGAAGGCCCTCCTTAACACCCTTCTCAATCCGCTCTCTCATATCCAGAGCCACGTCTTCACATGCACGTGCGGCCTGCTCAAGCACCTCAAACAGTTGGTTCTCGGTGAACTCACCTTCACTCTCACACATCAACAGACCCGTGGCCTTGTTGTTCTCCACGAAATACGAAACAGCATGTGTAGACGTCGACTGAGACACCTGTTTTCGAGTGGGATGCAAAATGAGCTTATCGTCGACAATGGCAATGGCGACTGCTGTAAAAAGACCAGTCATGGGCGTTCTGCTGTCAATCAATGCCAGACACACGGCGTTCAGACATGCCGCTAGCTTGAGCACGTTGTATCCGGTTCCTTCACCCTGTTCAAGAATCTGAATCACAATCTGAAGCAACATGCGAGGGTACAAGTTTCGCACCACTGTGGCGGCCAAAACACTGTAGATTCGATCCTTAATCAGTGTCTCCCGGGTTGTGGCCTGTCCAATAGCAGGACGAATCACCAGCTCCACCTGAGCTAGTGTAGGTTCATCTGTCCGTCGCCGAGTTTCTATGGGACCCGTGACCGAGCAAATCACACTTGTTCCTTGCTCCCATTTGGCAGATCCATCCACATTGTTCAAAATGTTCATTTTGTGTGTGTTTTTGTATGCTGGTGATGGTTAATGGCAATATGGCATCCTCGAAATATTTCTTGCATATGAACTTTATCAGAGAGGTGATGATGACTAAGTGGTGCCTGAAAATTGAATCGGGGCAAACCTCTATTATTCACGTGAGTTGTATTATTTGTTGTCTCATGTGGGTTCTTATGGGCCCTGGAATCTTTTAATCCGGTCCTTATGTCTGTAAGGTGTATACTGATAGCTCTGAGAGAGAACGGTAGCGATGACAAGTACAAACCAGTACATACAGCTGCAAGAACCGTGGTAGTAGCAACCTACTACAATTAGTAGCTACAATTGTAGTCCAAGTAATAGTTACAATATTAACCATTTTATAGCACTAAATGATAGTGACTCCAAAACAAAAGACAAGGGCTCCTGAGTAAGTGGCTCGATAGTGTTATTATGTAACTACTGTATTGTACAATATCGTTCTCACTGTAGCAATGTTCCACCCACGCTCCCCACTATACAACCACCGCCAAACCCTGACTAACGATGCCGCACGATTGGAGCAAGGGCTGGTTGATTTCTAACTGGAATAGGCTCGTATTTTTCAATAGAGGGATGATGCAAGGATGCGGTTGTGATGTTAGCTCAAAGTGCTTGTAACTGAATATGCTTTTGTATAAAGGAGAAAAATTGTTTGTAATTGTGAAGAGACTGGTTTGGTAACCAAAATCACCTTTTCAGATTATTTTTTCATCTACGTAAACCAACAATACAAGAGTCCACACCTATCTTCAATAGCCGACTCTTTCTGAGTGGAATTTTTCCGGTCGTAAACTCTAATTTTAGCTTGGTGCACGGGACTGGAAACGAGAGCCAACTGAAATCATTTAAACAATAACAAGAGAAGGAAGACACCAACCTACTGCTCACCACCCATGTCCAACCACCTTTCCAGCGACTCGGATATCTCGTCAACGGAGTCCATGCTCTGTGGCGGCATTGCCGGCATGGTGTCGCGTTTTTGCATAGCTCCTCTGGACGTGGTCAAGATCAGACTACAACTGCAAAAAGATGGAAGTCGCTATTATCGGGGCATTTTTCAGACGATGCAACAGATTGTTCGTGACGAGGGTGTCACGGCGCTGTGGAAGGGAAATATTCCCGCAGAACTGCTGTATGTCTTCTATGGAGCTACCCAGTTTGTGACATACCACCATGTCAACCAGGTGATCAATGCCTACAACGAAACGGCAGAGAAATGGAAGATTTCGTCCGGTGCTCAGTCTTTTATCGCCGGAGCAACGGCAGGAGCAGGAGCTACTATCGCCACGTATCCTTTTGATCTGTTCAGAACACTGTTTGCAGCTCAGGGAGCCAAGAACTGCAACGTGAAAAACTACACGTCCCTGTTTCAGACCTTCAAACTCATCTACAAGACGGAAGGGCCCCTGGGATTCTTCAGAGGCGTATCCAGCAGCATCATCTCAATCGCACCCTACATGGGTCTGTTTTTTGCATCATATGGACGTGTCAAGGATTCATTGGATGCCTTTTCAAACAAACATCACGACCTTCTCGTGTCCTACAACCTGCCTACCAAGGGTTGGCAGGAGGCAACTGCCGGGTTGTGTGCGGGCACAGCTTCAAAGGCTCTAGTCTTCCCCCTGGACACAATCAGAAAACGTCTGCAGACACAAGGAAGAATGGATGTGTCTTACAAGGAGCTGTCTGGCAAGCCTGGAGTGCAGCGACTGCTTGACTCATACAACCCATTTGTCATGGCGCGTCGGATCATCGTCGCCGAGGGATGCAGGGGTCTCTACAAAGGCTTTCTGGTTTCACTCATCAAAAGTGCCCCCACTAGCGCTATCACCATGTACACTTTTGAAAAGTCCCTCAGCATTCTGCGATGGTGGAAGGCACAAGGAAAGTCGCTCGAGGCTTGATTGCATTATTTATTAGCATATACAGTAATACTGTACACTGACGATACACGTCATCGAAAAAACCTGGCACTGAATGAAGACATAAACTCAGATGACTCAAATAACCATGCTGATCAAAAAGTAAACATGAGTCATTTTACGTCGTACAAGAGACACGGGAAAGAGACACTGAGTCATTTTCTGCATTGAGATTAAAACATAAGACATTCAGAACGTGTATGAGACGTGACTACAAGTAAGTATCGAGTTATCAGTGGTTAGCTTCGAAGCTCAACCATACATTTCTTACTCTTAACTTGAACTGAGTAAAAAATACGATGTCAATGGTGTGATTATACGGTATGAGTACCATAGGTGTTGCAGCGACTGGCTTTTCTTTTTCTTCTCGTTCAACTCAAGATAACAAATCACTCCTTGGGGGTATTCGTCCACATGTAGTTAGGAATGCTCTCGGTGTTTAATATTTGTGTCTGTCTCTTCAAATATAGGTCCTATTGTACATACAGCACTTGTTGATAACTGTGTATACAGTTAGCTGCAGGTTACTACAGTATGTTCTACTTCATTTGGTGGAACATCAGTATACAGAAGCACACATGTCACTTGATAATGAGTCTAATCGTTTGAGCGTCTTTTTTCTGTTCCCTAAGTTATCTACATGCTTGATCACTTCCTCGAGCTTTGCTCTCAGAGCCTCTTATGCTTGCATTAAAAAGACCATCCCTCCATGTACTGTCCATCTCCAAAGACCTTGAATTTGTCGAATTCCACAGCAGGGACGTTTCGGATGTTCTTGCCCATCTCCTGGTCAATTAGCGACTCGTAGGAGTGGTCCAGGAAGTCCTCCATGTTGTACTGGGGCTTTCGGAAAGGCTCGGAGATGATCTTGGCCAGCTTGGAGATATTGGGGTGGTAATGAGACTGGACAGTCTCCAGCTCCCACAAAGACGACTCCAACGCGTTGGTCTTGAGAGGATCGGTCTCTTCGGGATCAAATGGGTCCTCGTACTCTCCTTCAACGTGTCTCTGGAGCAGAGTCATGCATGCAGGGTGTCGCTTGAGCTGGTTGTAGACAAAAGGGTAGAGAGTCACTACGGCAGCAGGAGGAGCTGTGAGGGCAAGTCGAGAGCATCTCTTGATAAAAGAGGCGACAATGGCACTGGCCAAATGCGAGGAACTCAGGAAAATGTCGAGCAGTCGGAAGAACCGCGATCGGTAAGATGCATAGAGAACCTGCTCGTCCAGCAGAGCGTACAACTTGGAGTAGAAGTCGGGGTATTCCAGGTTCTGCTTCTGCATGAGCGAGAAAAGACCGTTAAGAGCCAGCAGAGCAACTCCACCTCCCATGTTGTACGATTGGGTAAGAAAATCCATGGTGGTGTGAGGTTGGTTCAGGAAGGGGATTATCTTTTGATGCATGACTGTCAGGACAGTCTTGTATTGATCGTTGGTCTGGGGGAGACCCAGGATTCGAAGCCATCCGGTCTGGAAGGCCAGAGTCTGTGTGTCATGATGCAAAATGGCGTCCTTCTTGGAAGTGGGCTTCTTGGTCCAGAATGAGGTGATCTCTGCATTGGATTTGGGGAAGGCAGCAGCATCGGCGTGCAGAAAGAGTTCCTGGATTCGAATCGACAGCTTCTTCTGGTCCACGGAATCGGGAATGTTGGTCTGTCTGAACAGCTTACCAGACTCGTTGTAGACATGAAATCGAATATCGTCGTACTTGTCCAGGTACTCAGATACAAAGTGGGACAGTGTACTGAGATTCACGTCGACAGAACATGTGGCAATGGCCCACACAATCTCTCCAAGCAGTCTAGTGGGGAACCAAGACACTCCATCGGCACTCCAGCACTTGTTCTCTATCTTGATTAGTCGCATTAGAATCTCAAGAGCCATCAGACGGCTGTTGGCGGACTTGGAGGTGTTAAGCATCTTCAGAACGTGCTTCTTGTAAGTCTCGTACTTAGGAGAGATCCACTCGGCCACGGTCTTCTTGTTCAGATCAGGAACCTTGGTCTTCTGGTCCTTCGTCTTGGGTTCCAGTACGTGATCCGGGTTCAACAGCAAATCCTCCTTGGCCATGTGTCGGAAAACATTGTATAGACTGTTGAGAGCAGCTGTGTGGACGTCTTCGTCGGTAGACTTCAACAGAGACATGAGCTCTGACAACTTGTTGTAATTGGTGGTGGACGTTGTGATTTCGGTCCCGAGACTGGAAATTTCCTCGGGAGACATATGCACGGCCGACTTGGCCTTCTTGACCTTCTTTGTCACTTCGGCAGCTCCTCGTTTGGACATTTTGATGTTGTGTTAGGTGGTTTGTCCCACAAATTTCACTATGCACATTTTTTTGACCACCCGGCATGGTTCATGCATGTCGTCACAAGTGGATGCCCTAACCTTGATTAGTAAGTGGTTAGAGGGTAGGAAGAGCAATACAGAGAATGAGGTATAAACTACTTGAAAATAGTTGGGTGAAACACTAGATACCACTGTATATTTGATGTATCCCGCTTGCTATATATTTTAGGAGCCCATTGTATCAAGTTATAGCTTAACGTCTCTCCATATGAATGTGCGGAGAGTATGGAGTATGTAGGGTATATGAAGCGTGATCGGACCCAAAATTTCTTCTACACAAGTAGCCCATCAATGGGTTTACTACACGCACTTTTTTATACTGTTGGTGTTTGTAGCTAGCTGTATCCGCAAACACGTATCTTTCATCCGCCATAACCGTGCTTGTGTAGAGTAATGATTGTACGAGTATGTACTTGTACATACAATACAGTAGTGAGCAAATTGCGGCATGTGTATTAGTCTGTACAAGTAGTAAGAGTCGGAGTCGTCTCAGCAACATATCATTAGGCAAGTCTTACACTACAGTGAGACATCTGGTACTTGTACAAGTACTTGTAGTCATCTCCAAAACACCCCCACCCCTCGCTTACTACACATGCTTCAATCCAGCATCTGTACAGCAAGGAGCATCGATTTCCACAATTTTTTTTCACTATTTTCAGCCAATTTTAATTCACCATAATATCTCTTAAATGCACTCACTCTTCACGTACAGTAGACACCTAAATAAGCTTTTAGACCCGAATAAGTACCGGGTTACGGTCCCAACCTCTTAACCCTAGCCCTGGAGCCCAATCCTCGGGCCGGCCGGGTAACACGTACTTCGCTCCCATTGGCCCAATCTCTCAAAATTTGGGTGTCAAAACCTGCCAGCATAGGATTGCACAACACCACATCACGGTTCTACTTTTTTGTGTACCCATACAGCACTAAACATGAGTCTCAGAATTGCTGCTCGACTGGGTGAGTATCGACTGCGAATGGCGAGAAGGACGCCTGACGACTGAATTTGCAAATTGATTGCGTTTCGACCGGTTTTTGAACACCCTTTGACTAACTCTTTAGCTGCTCGACCCGCTGCCATGCCCTTTGCCCGGGTTGGTGCTCTGTCTGCGTGAGTATTGGAGGGAGGAATTGCCTGCTGTGGAGAGGCGGAAAATGGACTACGTGGCATGTTCAATTGAGGCTGTGGAGCGGAGAATTGGATGTCTCTTGAGAGACTGAAATTTGACATTAGAGTGTGACATGACAGGACGCGGTAATTACCACAGACGTTGTTGTGACGAGGTGACAGGATGGGGAATGAGATCGACGACAATGCGACTGCATGGGATTATGACGACGAACGACAATCGTCGCGTAGTGATTCAATGGCGTCAACGACTCGATGCATCTTTTTCCGTCCCCCAATTGCGACATCATCCATATCAGCCACCACATCAACACTGTCTTCTTCAATATGGACACCATACGAACACATTTCCAAACCCGTTCAACCGAGACATACTAACCCAGCCGACATTACTCCAACCAGGTTGACCCCAAGGTCAAGGCCACCTCCATCCTGGACTCCATCCCTGGTAACAACGTGCTCTCCAAGACTGGTGTGCTCGCTACCGGTGTGCTCGGATCCATCTATGCCATCTCCAACGAGCTGTACATTGTGAACGATGAGTCCATTGTTCTCGGTGTCTTCGCTGCCTTCGTTGTTGTTGTTGCCAAGCTCGGTGGCCCCGGTTACACCTCTTGGGCCGACGGTTACATTGAGAACATGCGAAACATTCTCAACACCACCCGAGACAAGCACACCGACGCCGTCAAGGAGCGAATTGGTGACGTTTCCAAGCTCAAGGATGTTGTCAAGACCACCCAGGATCTTTTCGCTGTCTCCAAGGACACCGTCAAGCTCGAGGCTGAGGTCTTCGAGACCAAGCAGCAGGTTGTTCTTGCCGCCGAGGCCAAGTCTGTTCTTGACTCTTGGGTCCGATACGAGAACTCTGTCCGACAGCGAGAGCAGAAGCTCCTGACCGAGACCGTCATCTCCAAGATCGAGAAGGACCTCAAGGACCCCAAGTTCCAGCAGAAGATTCTCCAGCAGTCTGTTGAGGACATTGAGAAGCTTTTTGCTAAGGCTTAATTTATAGCATAGAATGACTATACGATGAATGAAAGGTGCGTTTCGCACATGATATTACGCCAGAGGTATATGAGAATTTGCAATTGTAGAGGCAATGGGTGCAATGAAATGAACGACGTGGGTATTATTGAGAAGACATCTCCTTTTGTATGCTTGTTTACATAACTTGTTCAGTTTGTACAGTAGTAGTCATCTGGTCACTATAAGTACCATTCAAGTATTGTTGATTTTGGTCACATGAGAGTAGAAATTGGTGCTTGTAATTGAGAACTGATTTCCCACACGACCATTTACCGTGACACTTGCAACTATTCGTTTCTTCTTTCTGAACAGGTTTTAGACACTACACACGAGTTGGAGTACGAGTACGTACGCTAGCTAGCTACAAGTAGTACGCACACTTCATAGGAATGGGTATGGAGATTTTGTATACAGGTTTTTGCGGTATCAACATGTCAAGATGTCGATTCAATTCCATTTGGCACATTGAATCAAGACCTGGCCTCGCCGAAGCTCAGAATAATCTATGTGAGCCCCTTATCTGATCCGGTCAATCCCATTTCCCTCTCACACTCACACACGAAACCCTAGACAGGGTAACTAGCATCAAAAGTTTGCAACTCTAATTTTTCGGTATATATTGCAGCTGGCACCCACTTCTCGGACTTTAATGACCTTCCACGTTTTAAACGTTTATGATGAAAATTATGCGTGCTAGCTGATTTGCCCCCTCCTCGGAGGTAGTCCTTGACCGGACGGCGGCATCTTATGTTGATAGCGTTTGGCGCACTTACCTTGTTTAAACAAACGCGGTAGTACTTTCTGATCCTTATCATGTGGCAATGGTTGTGAATCGTGTAGATAGTTGACTATAGTTGTACCTTCCTTGTACACTCGAGGACTTTGTTCAGGTTGCAAAGGTGTACAATTAAGTTCTTAGGTGCGACAGCGTTTTTGTACATGCCTCTGTTCTTACTATATTTTTCATGTTACTACTGTACCATAGAAAACAAACTCTTGGCCCCCACTTGGAATTGGCATTGATGTACACGATGACAGAACAATATACTTGTAAAAGTACTTGTATTAGTGCAATGGCGTGAAGTATCGTACTTGTACATATCGGTAATGCATCGTACTTGTACTTGTACGATCCAATGGTGTGTGGTCATCCACTTCTGTGTTTCCTACTTGTAATGTATCCCTGGGTCATCCCATGTCAAACTGACTACATACGATTATCCAAGACATGTAGATGTTACGAGCAATAGACTAGCTACTATGCTGTAGAGTATATGCTGTAATGTAAATACTGAACGAGATCAACAGCTTGAACTGGAACTGGATCATCCCATGACTTGTTCTGTCGATCTGCTGGTCTGAAGCCCTGCAGTTTACGCGCTTACAAGACATTGATTCCTATTCGTATCATAGAATATTCCGTTTCCTATATTAAAGCGCACGATTGTTGTCTTTTGATGTTGCTTCATGAGATTCAATTGTACTGGTTTCGATTCAATCTATATATTCCTACACTTCAGTGATAGCACATGATTCCCATCACTCCAGACCTTTTACAGTCCACGCCATTTTTTGTGAGAACACAATGTCTGTATGTAGTATGTAGCTGTCTAATTACTTGAGCTTGGCGTTCTTCTCCTCGACGTCTCGCTCGGCCAGAGATACGGCGGCCTGGTACATCTGGATCACGTTGATGACCTGCTTGAGGGCGCACCAGGGGGCGGTGACGGCTCCCATGAAGACGACCCAGGTAACGGGGTGGCCGTTGACAGTAAACCAGGGGTTCTCGTAGGCAAAGTCGAAGGACCACAGGTACAGAGCCACGAAAAAGAGCTCGTTGGCGGCGCAAATGCCAAACAGCACCGTGGTGTTGGTGTAGTAGAGTTTGAGCAGCTGCGACTTCTCGCCGACCTTCTTGTGACTAGACGATCCGCTGGTCAGAGTGGCGTACATGTGCATGTAGTGGGAGGCGAGATCGAGCGACACGAGCAGCTGGAATGCCACGGCATAGTTGGGGTACGCCACGCACAGGTAGCAGATGAGCGATGAGGTGGTGCATCGGTCGGTGACCATGTCCAGAATGGCTCCAAACGAGGAGGTCTGGTTGTATTTTCGGGCCGTGTAGCCGTCCAGAGCGTCCAGAATGCACGACAGACAGTATAGAATGGTGCAGTACTTGGGGTGGAATCGCATGATCAGTAGAGATGCGAGAGCCAGTACCACCCGGGTGTATCCAATGAGGTTGGGGATGAACAGGAAGATGTCCAATGTCGTGAGTTTTCGTACGGCAGGCATTGTGAGGGCTGGTGTTCGTCTACTGGGTCTGTTTCTCACTTGTGTCTTGTTGATTCGGAGTTATTCGGAAATAAAACGTGTCGAATGGAATGATGAGTGTGTCGGATGAAAAGTCGAACGTGTCGGAGTCGTAGAGTCGTGCAATCTTCTCAAACAAGCCAAATCGAGCTGTGTCCTCGCTAAGATATGTCGTCAGAATAAAAAAACCAGTGGTCCACCGCTCAGAAAAACGTGTATCAGGGTGTTCTTCACCGCAAGTTGCTTGAGGGAAAAAAGCTTAGTGTGCTGCTGTGCGCTGTGCACCCACCCACAAAGTCGAACCGTATGCAGACCAGTACACGGTGCAGCGTCTAAGCTTAGTCATGTGTAACGTGGGGGGGATATGTGAAGTGAAGCCCCGAAGTGCAATAAATGTGTGTCAGCGGAGGTGATCCACGGACCTGTGTCAATTTCCCTCCACTCCCCTTGCCAACTTGTAGTCTTCAGAGCCACTCTCAAGCTTCTGTTTTGTTTTTTGTTTTTTCATATCGCGGTACCTTTTTTTTTTTATTGGAACCGGAATGGCCGTGTCTTTTTCCAGCCTCGTTTTTTGCTGCTGGCTGCCAATCCAGTGCCTTACGCTAAGCTAAGTCAACAGGGATGCGGAGTTAGTTGCAGACTCACAAGAGAGTCATGTGAAATAGGTGATGTACAGTAGAGGTGGCAAACCAATCGCTCACCGCCTGTGATATCTACCGTTAGGGAGCCATTACAATATATACAGTACACTGCTACTCCATCTACAAATTAGACCTCGACTAATTCCACTAACTATACACTGTACAGTATATACCGCTCCTTACTCTGCTGCAACATTGAGACTGGACCTCTTTCAACGAGATGAAGAAGGAGGCAATTGGCGTGAAAATACGTCGGACATATAACCATGTCAGAAGAAACAAATTCAGGTTTCAGATTTCAATGCCTATTTGATATTTTTATATTCCCCCTATTGGACACACCCTCTTCTATATAAACATTAAAGTGCGCTTACTGTAGTAACCTCTGACTAAACCAGAACTGCAACTGAGCAGATCCAGTGTGCGAGGAAAACCCCAAGTTCTGGTACTTGTGCTTGTAATTCTACATTTGTACAACTCTTGATTAGTCCTACAAAAGGGTCAGACACTTCGTTCAAACTCTTGAACAGCTGTTGCACCTCTCAAAGCACATGGCACCCCTACAACGGACAAACAGGCCCATAGGGCGGTACTCAATCCTAAAAACACTCTCTTGTCGTTTTCAACTTCTCAAATTCACACTCAAAACAATTAGCATTCAAGTACACCCACTGCTCACCTGTCCACATTCACTCAAAATATCTCCGCGGAGTTAATGTCCCCATTTGAGACGCAGCTAGAAATTCAGAAAATTAGACTTCCGACATGCAGTGCAGAAGAAAAATATATTGTCAGGCCAAAAGCCAATACCACGAGTAACCAGCAGTACCAAAAATGACTACTCTGAAGACCATTTTGGGCGGCCCTCTGGCTCCCGACCATGTTTCTGACCTCTCCAACAACCTCGTGGTTGTTCTTCACCAAATTTACAACGCCAACGCTCTGACTACAGCTGATGAGAACACCCTACACAAGTTTAGGGTGCGAGTGTCTGCCTTCCTTAAGTCCAACGACTCCCGACAGCGGTGGTGTGGTGCCTTCCTGGCTCTGGCTGCCGTCCAGAACTCCTGGGAGTGTCTCAAAAACCACGGAGCCACCTGGTTGGGCATGTTGATTCACATTCTTGAGCTGCCTGAGGCCCCTGCTACCTGGGAGATGGCGCTCCGAGCTAGTGCTGAGATGCTTGCCCTGGTGTCTCAGAAGACCGAGCTGACCCGTGAGATTGCTACTTCTCGAATTGCTCCCCTTTCCAAGGCTGCTCTGGCTATTTTGGAGTCTCCTGAGAACTGTAGCCCTTCTACTGCCGCAGTTTTCGTCTCTGAGCTGCAGCGAGTCAACGTGGCCCACCCCGTGGGTTTCAGACCCCATTCCAAACGGTTCCAGTCTGCTCTTATCAGGCTCATTGCAACCTCCCCCGACTCTAAACTCGTCCAGAAGGCCTGTGACGCTCTCACCGTGGCCCACTACTCGGCCTCCAACTTTGGAGAAGCCGCCGAATGGAGAGAAGGATGCCTGTCTACCATCTCTGACATTCACATCGCCGTCAATGCTCTCCTGGAGGGTCGAACTGATGACGCTCTTGCTTCCGTGGAGCAGACAAAGTCGTGGGGATTCGATACCAAGTCCGGTTCCTCTCCCGCCGACATTTATGCCAGTGCTAAGGCAATTGAAAACCTGTATACTCTTCTGACTGCATTTTTGAGCCAGCCCACTGCTGTGCCCGTCAAGATTCCTGTTGGTCGTATCATTCCTCTATTCAACAGAGTCACCTCTCTGGCCCAGGTCCACTTCAAGGCCCATGTTCCTCTGGTTGAGCAGAACCTGGTGCGATCCACATTCGAACGAATCAACATTGCCGCCATGCAGTCGCTTTCGGCTCTCATTAACACTGTTGGCGCTAACATTTCTGCCTACGTCGAGGACCTGCTTGAGACTGTCGACATGATCTCTGCTGACAACTCTGCGGTGACCTTGGCTGCCCTGGATCTGCTCACAACCATCTTCAATAACGTCGGATACATTTCTGCTGGCTCTTCTGTTCAAGAGTACGTTGAGAAGGCCGTTTCCCAGGCTCTGGTTCTCATCACTCCCGGCACCAATGTGTCTCAGGCCGGCCAGACTGAGATCCCCGATTACATCTCCAAGTCTCATCTGTTTGAGTCTCCCATCTCCCATATCACCCAACAGACTGTCTACACATTTCTTGAGGCCACCATGCTGGTATGTGACCTATCTGGACGATGTCGAGGACTCATTGACCGAACTCTCCTGCTTTCGAAGCATGCTGCTCGACGGTCTGCTGCCGTCACTTCAGCGCTCAATCCCTCTATGGCTTCCAAGCACAGTATTCTAGCCATGGTTCAGCAGCAGTACCCCCGAGATACTTCCATTTCCCGATTTGTGCATCCTAGACTTCCTCCTCTGACTACCGAACGACGATACTTGCCTGTTTCCTCGTCTCTTGGAGAGGAAGAGGAGCTTGACGAAGAAATGGAGATTGAGGAAGAGGAGGAAACCAGCGGAATTGAGCCTGTTTCTGCGTCTTCTGCGCCAGTCACTACCAACACATTTGCTTCTACTGCTTTCAGAGAACCTGAGAACCCTGTAGTTGTGGATGCTCCATTTGAGCCCCTGCCTGAGACGATGGCAGAACCTGTTCAGGCTATTGAGAGACCCTCTAATATCGAACCCACCACCGAATTTGAGGAAATTGAAGAGGAGGAAGTTGCTGAGAACCAGGTCGACGATTCTGACGAGGAGATGGGCTCGGACTTTGAGATGCCCGCTTTGGACGTCGGAGACAGTGATGATGACGAGTAGGATTTAGACAGGATGCATGCAATAATTAGACGTTAACTATGGTATGGAGACGTATTACAGGATTAGTATAGTAGCTATCGTATCCACAGTACATGCGAGTAGATGGGATGGGCAGATAGATGTACATCTGAAAACTGTTGTAGGTGTACAACAATGGCCATTTCAAGCATAAAAAGAATTGTGCAGATACATCAATACGGAGTGGATTTTATATTTAACTGATTTGGAATTTCCGTTTATCACCTTCCCATTCAGCAATATTCATTTTCCATTCCTCTGCTCCAACCTGCATCACATGACCGAGCTTAAATAATTTTATCTGCATGCAGGCTGAAATTATTTCTGGCCCTCAGTTACGATACACATCGCACACAAAAAATGTCAGACATCTCGGACGTGGATGCTTTTGACCAGCAACAGGAAAAGCTCCTTTTGGAGCAGAGTATGCGTGGAGACAGACGTCGTCACTATGACCACATGGAGATGAGTGACGAGGAGGTTATGGGATTCAAGCCCAGCGACTCTGAGGATGAGGAAGACGACGATGATGAGATTCTCGACCGAGAGGAAGAAGACGACGGAGAGGCCCAGGAGGCCTGGGGCAAGGGAGAGCTTTACGGTGCCGATGAGATCGAGGACGAGGAGGATCGAAAGCTGGAAGCTGAGGAGGCTCTCAAGCTTCAGAAGAAGCAGGCCAAGCAGATGAAGGAGAGTGATTTCCTTGGAGAGTGGGCCGCCGACGACAGTGATGATGAGGACGAGGAGGATGCAGATCTTGCTACAGCCGGCAAGGGTGTTCGAGAGAGCATTCCTGTCAAGCCTATCGAGTCCATGTCTTCTAAGGAGCAGTATGATCAGCTTGTTCGACTCAACCCCGAGCTGGTTCTCATGAACGCTGAGCTTGCCAAAGTGACTGAGGAGATGGCTGCGCTGAACAAGGCTGAGGAGGATGAGGATGATGAGCCTGAAATCGTGGAGATCAAAAAGACGGCTCTTCGAACTTACATTGGAGTGCTGAACGCCTACTTTGCGCTGTTCATGGACTCCGTCAAGAACGGAAAAGCCAATATGAAAGATCACATCATCATGGAAGCCATTCTAAAAGCCCGGGAAATGTGGCGAATGGCCCAGGAGATTGGTCTGCCCGAGGAGGAGGTTGATGAGATGGCTTCTGATGAGGAGATGGTCTCTGAGGGTGCTGAGCTGATGGATGCTTCTGCCGCCGAGAGTGACGTCTCTGACGATCTCGATCTGTCTCGATTCCGACGACGACCTGAAGACGATTTCGAGGATGTGGAAGAAGTGGAGGAAGAAGTTGACTCTGACGACGAGCTTGCTCTGCCCACCTCTTTCAAGGCCAAGAAGTCCAAGTCCAAGATCTCTGCTGTGCCCGACTATGGTGAGCATGCTATTAATGACGTTGATCAGGCTGACAAGGACCGACGAAAGCGAGATCTACGGTTCTATACCGCCAAGATCGACAAGCAGGCTCGAGGACGAGAACAGGAGGAGATTGAGGGAGACGCTGACCTACCGTACCAGGACCGATGGTACGAGCGACAGCAGCAGCTCAAGGAAAAACAGGCCGCCCACATCAAGGACTCGGGAGAGCATGATCTCTACGACTCTGGAGACGAGGGAGGATCTGCTGATGACTACCAGGAAATGTCCTCCAAGAAGAGCGCTGGTGGAGATGATGACGAAGATGTGGATGAGTTTGTTGCTGCCCTCAAGGCCAAGAAGCAGCAGCGAAAGGCGGAGCGAGAAGCCATGCATGAGGTCTACCTCGACGCCAAGAAGGGCAAGATTGACGTGGAAAAGCTGGACGACAACGGAAAGCGAGCCATCAATTACCAGATTCTCAAAAACAAGGGTCTCACGCCACACCGAAAGAAGGAGAATCGAAACTCGCGAGTCAAGAAGCGAATCAAGTACGAGAAGGCCAAGAAGAAGCTTGCCAGTACCCGGGCCGTCTACAAGCAGCCTACTGGTGCCTACGCTGGTGAGAAGACCGGTATCAAGAAGAACCTGGCTCGATCTACCAAGTTCCGGGAGTAATATAGATGCATGTTGTAATAGAGGTTTTGGATTTGAACTGAGGTTGTAAAAGTTTTGGCTGGTCATGGCGTATACTAACTGTACCGGCGCTTGTACAATAGTCTGGTAATTCTGTCTCTGACCGTCTGAAACAGATTAGAAATCAAATGGGCGTCTCAGTAGTTATTCTGATATATGCTCATGATAGTTACGCTAGCGAGACTACAAGTACGAGTACTTCCCGGTACTGTACGGTACTGAGCTTCCTGAGAGTAAGATAAGTGTCTATAGTTTTTTGGAGTAGCTGTATACTGCAATAAATGAACATAAAGGCTCTTGATACAATTTGGATCTTTCAGCATGAGGTGAGCATGGACAGTTGGTTCCTACCAGCCCTCTCTCAAACGGCCAAACACCCTTTATTTGGACCGCATGACCGCTAAAGAGACACACTCGTATGGTATAGGCTGCCTACACAACCGTGATTCTTCAAATGAACGCAAACGCATACTTTGTATTGGTACAAATGACAGCCCTAGACTCGTATTTGCATACTCCACATCGTGATATCAGCACCCCATGTCTCACGTTTATCTGCGGTGGCTTGGGTGAATTTCAGACAATGCTAAAAAAAAAGAAAGACAAACCGAGAGTCAAAATGCGCAGGCAGAAAAAGTGTGGAAGAGAAAAGTAAAAAGTAAAAAGTGAAAGTGAAAAGTGAAAAGTGAAGTGAAATAGGGGAACGATATACTGGGTGATATTGGGGTTAATCTGAGAAACTTTTTTACTGATAATCATTTGATATCTCTCGCATATCCCTTGGGACCCCTTTTATATCTCATCCCTACACTCCCCATTATATCCCTCATTGTTTACACCCCGTACATACGATTATGCAGCGCGGCATCTGGAGACGATAGAGTTAGTAAAGGTATATTTTAGTGCAAAAACATAATAGACCCTATTAAATCGTCGAGTGTGAAAGATAGCGTCGCAGTTGTTCTTTTCACCATTACTTGTTTGCAATACTTCTACTCATCGCTTTTCCTTCACACAAAACACTACAACATGGCCAAAGCACAAGAGAACAAGCTGGAACTGGCTGGTATCCTGCTCTTCTTCATTCTGTCTGCTGCTCTTTTCACCAGAGACATTCGGTCTTTCCAACGAGACATTCTGCCGTCCTACATGGAGACGGATATGGCCAACATGCTGGGCATGGACATTTCTGTTTTCCTTTTCATCGAGCGGGCCATTCTCTTTGTTACACCTCTTATCATTGCCCTGAGGCGAAAGGCCGACGATGATCAACCTCAGCAGGAGTTTGACGTTCCTGTCGAGCTGCTCATGTAGGCCTCGACGACCCATACTAACCGCTTGACTGCTTTTTCTCGACAGTCATCCAACCACATAGACAAAGAGATTATGAACAGAGTACCAGTATGTGTAGGGAAATTGTAGCTGTCGTAATAGAGGCGCAGTGTATGTATCTACTTGTGGAATGACGTTGTCAGTTGAAAAACATTGTATTCCACACATTGCATCAAACGTCACACCGACGTCAAACGATATTAGTGCGTTTGTGCATCTGATTATTAAGTCACCTGAGTGTCCACAACTATCCATGGATCATCCTCGAGCAGTTCTAACTATTTGCGCTTTCTTCGTGTGATTACTGTATGGTGTAGATCATTCAAGGGGTTATGCCATGCCAAGATTGTGTACAGCCCACAGCAAGTGCAAGGGGTAAGTACTGTATTGCACTGGTAACACACTAAGGTCACCACCACAATCCACACGCGCCCGCAAGCCCCTATTCAGCCGTACATACCACAGCTTTCCGTCGCGTGCGATGTATACATAAAGCACAGCCGAAGTACCACGCACAGATCTCCGTGTTTAACTTACTGTAGGCCCAGTGGATCGCGTGGAATGTACCAGGGTGCAGGGATGGGTGTATGAGGACATTAAACTGATACAGTATGCAAATCAACCGTTATTATTTAGTCACGTTTCAAATTGAGATCTCCTTCCACAGTTTTATTCTCATAATCCCATCGCACATCTCACAACTGTCTATCACTTGTCCGTGGGATGTTCATGTCTCAGTTTCGGGCTTCGCTTAGAAATATTAACTCAAAAAAAATCAAAAAAAATCCATACTTGTACGATACTTGACTGCACCTCCTGCAACTGAATCTCCTCCCACTCCAGAGTTTGAACTTTGTATCGTGGCGGAGTCGTGGGAGTGGAGCTGTGAAGACGTGAAAGAGGTGCTGGGGAGAGCTATTTCAGGCGCGGAGATGAGGTAGACGCATAGAACTAAATGCATTTAGTAGATGTATACAAGTAAAAATACCGGTACAAGTAGTACGAGTAGCAGTTTCTTTTATTTCTACAGTATCTACAGCTTGGAGGCACTGTTTCATAGGGTGTATGAGTTGTGCTTGAACATTAGTGTGTCAGGAAGTACGGTCGATACGAGTACCGGTAGCTACAAGTAGTACACCGTACATTCAACAACCGTGTCACCGCAACCCATTGAACAACTTATGTGGCAGATATAAAACTCAGAGTTATTGCGAACATAGTTTTTATCATCTCCCCTCATCGCGTACTCGTCAATCCCCGTTTTTTTTTCACTGTCTTATGTCATTCTAACTGTATACTGTACAAGTACAAGTGCATTAAACCATTCCACATCTCTAATGCACCTCTGCTTAACCCAATCTGGTGTCTGTTCATGGTTGTCATGGTTACGGCCTGAGTTGAGAGGTTTGACGATCGGACGTAAGTAAACCCGAATTCAATGAGGACTGGTACTTATAGACCTCATCACATGCAGAAGCAATAATGCGTCGATAGTTGAATATCAATGAAATCTATAAATATATGTACATACAGTTTGGTCCGCTTAGCTGTCTTGAGACGTAGTGTTTGCCGCGGTTGTCTCGTTAGCAACACTATCCCCAGTTGTGTCACCGGTAGCACTGGCCTCCCCGCCTTGGTCACCATCCAACCGATCCATCTCCCGCTGCTGACTTCGCAGCATTTCAACCATGGCCTCGGTGTCCATGCTGGCGTTGACAATGTCCATCGGCACCTTGTTCTGCGAATGCCGCTGACAAGCAAAAGAAGCGTTACGAAGTTCCTTATCAATCAAAAGCAGATCGAGATCGAAAGAAGGAGAAGTGGCATCCAGATTGACCAATGTCGACCATTCAATCAGAGAGTCTGTGGTGGGATAAAACACATTGAAGTCCATCAGCCACACCTTGTCGTAAGGCTCAGGAATGTAGACATCAAATACAAAGCTAGAGTCGGGGAAAGTGTCCTTGATGTGTTCGTAGAAAAAGAGCTCGATTTCGCCCAGAAACCGCTCCTTGAGCTTGATCAGGAACTCGTAGTAGTTTTGGTCTCTCTGAGTCACAGCGATGAGTTCTCTATCCTTGACGAAGCACCGGAATTCCAATGCAGGGTTGATGTTGATCCACTTTCTGAGAACCAGCTCAAACGAAAAGTCCTTAGGAATGCCTCCAAGTTTGTCCAGCATGGTCAGATCGTGCGCAATGTAGTCACTGCTCTTGAGAAGCAGATACACATCGTTGACTGTAACACATCTGGTCGAGTTAGAGGGAGAGATCCAAATCGCGTCTTGAGGACTCGACCAGTTGAGCTTGGGTGCTACAGCTCCAAACTCATCAATCACAGCTTGGACCTTGGGGTGGAAATCGTCCAGCTTGGAAACGTATGAATCAAGCTCGTCTTCGTCGTCAGAATACTCCTCGAAAACGCCGCTATCCGATCCGTAGCTGGTTTTTTCTTCATCAGGAAGAATAACACCGTCCTCACTCAGATAATTGACGAAATCCTCGGGAAGAGGCTTGATGATCCGGGTCTTCGGTGTGATGGACTTATATAGCTTGTACCAGGCCGAGAACTGGCAGTTGAGAAGATGCTCGCGTGTGAGAGTCAGAGTCGTGGTATCGTCAACCTTGGTTTCCTGGTCCTTTTTATCGTTGATGATCATGTTGCTGATGTATATCGTGTACACTATCTCCACAGATCGATATCTCAAATTATCCTTCATCATGCAGGCAGACCTGGCAACCATGCAAGGCTAACCACGTGAGTCGCCACTACCTACACGTCTTGTTCCAGAATGTTCCATGTGGGATTTTGACATATATTATGAGTCTTGCGATTTCAAATCACCCGTAATACCAGCTATATTATCTCTGTTTTCCAATTTGCCCTTCTCCGCCGCCCCCAGACACGCCTCAACTACTGTTACCCTACCGATCAAGAAAATCCCATTGCCAAAAGCTAATCACCCAAAAATCACTACTACACCTGTATATCCAACACAATGAGCGTTCCTACAGGCACAAAGTCCGGATTTAAGAACAAGGAAAAGCCCCTTGAGGTTCGAAAGAGCAACATTCTTGCTGCTCGAGGTGAGTATCTTTGGATTGGATGATTTTGGAGGCGGTTTGACCGTGCAAACCCGAATTTTTGTCGTCATACTAACACATAGCCGTGGCTGATGCTATCAGAACTTCCCTTGGTCCCAAGGGTATGGATAAGATGGTGAGTACTTGGAGGAGTGGAGCTATTGAAGTTTTGGTTCGATTGTGGCGATTCTGTGCGACCTAAGGGTCCGATATGGCATGTGGAATCAGGTGGAAGGAGTGGCTTTATGCAGGCATATTATGATGATAGGGGTTTGTGGGGGGGGTCGTTGATTTTGGCGTCCAATGATGACACGTTTGTCGTTGTCATACAATTGTTGAATTGCCCCTGCTACGTGTGTCTTCACGCGTTCCAATATGTCCGCCTGAGACCACGTTCCATGGCTAAGTGAATGTCTCGTACGCCTCGATATTGATACAATCGCAATAGCTAAAAAGTGATGAGAATATCGTTCGGATAGCACACGACCTATTCAGCCGACTAACACAGATCCAAACTGCACGAGGACAGGTGATCATCTCCAACGATGGTAACACAATTCTCCAGCACATGGCCGTCATGCATCCCGCAGCCAAGATGCTGGTCGATCTCTCTGCCTCCCAGGACTCTGTCGCTGGTGATGGTACCACATCGGTTGTTATTCTGGCCGGATCTCTTCTCGGTGCTGCCGACAAGCTGCTCAAGAAGGGCATCCATCCCTCTATCATCGCTGAGAACTTCCAGAAGGCAGCCCAGCGAGCTGCCGAGGTGGTCATGGACATGTCCAAGCCCATCGATCTGAGTGACCGAGAGACTCTGATTCGAGCCGCCTCCACCTCGCTCAACTCTAAGATTGTCTCTCAGTTTTCGTCCACCCTGGCCCCCATGCTGGTGGACGCTGCTCTTCAGGCTGCTAAGAAGACCCCCGAGGGTGGCCTGACTCTGGATCTCAACGACATTCGAATCATCAAGTCTCTCGGTGGCACCATTGAGGACACCACTCTGGCCAACGGCCTGGTGCTCAACAACTACGCAGTCAAGAACGCTGGAGGCCCCTCGCGCATGGAGAAGGCCAAGATTGGACTCATCCAGTTTCAGCTCTCGGCCCCCAAGCCCGACATGGAGAACCACATTGTCGTCAACGACTACCGACAGATGGACAAGATTCTCAAAGAGGAGCGACAGTACATTCTTGGCCTGGCCAAGGCCATCAAGAAGTCCAAGTGCAACGTGCTGCTCATTCAGAAGTCTATCCTTCGAGACGCTGTTTCCGAGCTTGCTCTGCACTTTTTGGCAAAGCTCAACATCATGGTGATCAAGGACATTGAGCGAGACGACATTGAGTTCATCTCCCGATCTACTGGTGCCAAACCCGTGGCCGACATTGAGGCCTTCACTGAGGACAAGCTTGGCTCTTGTGATCTGGTCGAGGAGGTTGAGTCTTCCGGCTCCAAGACCGTCCGATTCTCCTCTCGAGAGGGATCGAACACCGTCTCCATTCTCGTTCGAGGAGCAAATGACCTGGTCATTGACGAGACTGAGCGATCTCTGCACGATGCTCTGTGTGTCCTTAGATCGCTGTTCCGAGTCCCTGCCCTTGTTCCTGGTGGAGGAGCCTGTGAGGTCCAGGTTGCACAGGTTATTGGCAAGGAGTCTCGAGCCATGGACGGTGCTTCTGCCATTTGCTACGAAGAGTTTTCTAACGCCATGCTGGTGATCCCCACCACCCTGGCCGAGAATGCCGGTCTCAACCCGGTCAACGTTGTGACCGAGCTGCGAGTTCGACACGAAAAGGGCGAGGTCAACGCCGGCATTTCGGTGAGACGAGGAACGTCCATTATGGTGGAGGAGCATGTCATTCAGCCCGCATTGGTTACCACCTCGGCCATCACTCTGGCTGCCGAGTGTGCCAAGGGTCTGCTCAGAATTGACGATATCGCCTTTTCCAGATAAATATAGAGGGTATTTAGAGTATGGTATGATTGTTATGAGAGAGGACTACGACCGGAGAAATTGGTTCGCGTAGGTACTACTGTAGTTAGCTACGAGCAACATGTCCTTGTAGTCCGTAGAGACAAGTAGTATCGTATTTAGTGTGTATTGGTACAGCCACTAACGGTGCAAGTACAGTTTGTACTGTAGTGGTGTGTTCTTATTATATAATGCTATTGGATATATGCTGTTTATTCCTCCTCCTCCAGTGTCTGGCCCTCCTTTTCCAGTCTCCAGATTGGTAGACCAACTGTCTTAGGGCTCTTGATGTAAATAGTTTTGGTTGATCGAGCTCCCCCGTCCACGAGGTTGTCGACGATGTTGTTTGCCACTCGATGCGAGTTCTCCTCGATCTCCTTGGCGGTATTGTCTGGCAGGTATCCGACGAGGGCAGTCAGATTAACAGCGCCCTGCTCGCATGCCATTGATCTGGGGAGCGTCACCGACGTGGATCGAAGCAAACCTCGCACCTGTGCCTTGACGTAGTCCGGATCGGCAAACATGTTTGCGTCTCTTGCATCGTCTTCTTTTCCAGGTTGGATGAATCTGATGGGGAACGGCTTAGTCAGATGTCTCAGAGAAATCTTCTTGGACAGTCTATCATAACACTCCACGACCTCCTCGTGGATTCGGGAGTCGGCGACAATCAGATCGAAGTCCTTTCCGACAGACAAGGGGTCCTTTCGCAATTTAGGTCGAAACTTCTTGACCGAAATGATATCAGCAAATGTGTCTTTGGTGCTAGCTTCGTCAGCCTGGAAGATCTCTGCATATTTGGCGGTAGGGTGTGGCACTATGAGCAGTATTTTCGCCTGGGATATCGACTTGTGGATCTTGTGGTGCAGAGGAATGACATAGGGGACTGAAATGTTGTTCATACCTCGCTGCCCGGGAACTCTGACATTGGTTTTGGATGTTGTGGTGACGGTGAGGTGGACGGGAATTCGCTGGTTGGGGTCCTCGGTTAGCTCCTGTTTGGCGGACTTGAACAGTGCCTTAATGGCTGGCTTTTGCGTGAGTTTCATCTTGTCGCTGGTGGTCTGGATTTTTTTGTCATCTTTCGAAAATATTCGAGACCTGCATGTGAGCTGTATGGGTTAGGGATTGCTAGGGGTAAACTAGTTGAGCTCCTGTCAACTAACTTTAGTTGGCATTACTTGTGACAACATTTGTATGGTAGGAAGGTTCGGCATGTTATGATGGCCAAGTTGAGGTCATATAGCAGATGATGGAGGACACGGCAATCGTTGCCACAGACAGAATGTTTCATGGAATCACGGCCTATCCGAGCAAATACGACTACAACTACGAGTACTCGCACACGCACCACACGAACAACGCGACACAGCGAGCACTATACACACCAATCTTCGCCACCAGTCATGAGTTCCCTCGTCCTGACATCGACCGCCTCCAACTTTGTTTGATTGTGGCGTACAACATATCACGGTAAAATAGAGTATGGAAGCAGCCAAGATGTAGCAAACCTGCTGTCCACGTGAGCCACGGGAGATATAATGGTAGCTGGATAGTGTCTGACACTCTCATCTTCCTATACCACTGTCTGCTTTTCAAGCCCACCGCACACAGAGATACAGTACACGTAAAGCCATACAACATCGCGTATAGGCATAGACCAACGGAGGTTACACACAAGAGCACCCCCAGACACTCCCAACAACAAGGTTTTGAGGGGAGTTACCCGGAAAAGTTTTCATCTACAACACTCCTTCCCATCTACCCAAGGTCGATATTACCCGGACTCGTTTCGCGAAACGCGGTTTTTGGACAGATACAGGAAAACGCAAAACAGTGTACGCGACGAGCACCACGTGATACAACGCCAGACGCCGCCAGACCACAACGTGACACTCACATCCACACAGCCACCTACACACAAGATGCCCAAGGAGGGTAAGCCCGCGCAGGAAGGCGCACAGGCGCTGCTGGATCTCCAAGACGAAGGCAAGGATCCTCGCAATGTCAAGGATGACAAAAAGACGAGCGATGGCAACAATACCAAGGACGACGTGGGCGAGGAGACCGTCGAGGGCGCTCTGATGCATCTGGTGCGATTCACTCAGGACGAGGAGAAACGCGAAAAGGAGAAGCCCGGTGTTGGTGTCGGTAACAACGGAGGAGCTCCTGCAGGCCAGCAACAACAGCAGCAGCAACAGCAGCAGCAGCAGTACGAAGACATTGCTCATTATGGGGAATTTCTCAACGACAATTCTGACACGCCATGGAACCAGAACCTGTTTTCGGAGCAGTTTGCCGTCGCAGCTGCCACTGCTGCCGGCGAGGGAGACTTCCAGGAAAAATTCAACAAGGAATTCAGCAAGGAGTTCAACAAGGAGTTCAGCAAGGACGAGTTCAACGAGATGGTGGCTGCTGCCGCTGTCGAGATTGGATCTGGAGGCGCTCCCCAGCCTGGCGCAGGTACAGAATCAGACGCACAGGCTCACGGACGGAAACGAAAACGTCAAAAGACGTCGCTCAACCCCAAACAGGACCTGAACGTGGATCCTGTGCTCGAGGGACTCGGAGAGGCCGTCAAGGGAGGAGACAATCTGCTCCTGATGGACGATTTCCGACGAACAGCAGGAGTTCCAGGTCACCCCCACGACCACCCTGTCACGTCACGTGACTACATCATGCCTCCCGAGTCTATGGTCGCGATGCGAAACACCAGCAACGCTCCCAAGGTTGCAGCCTCGAAACGCCCTAATTGGACAGGTGACGGTTCGGAGTCTGGAGGAGCATTTACTCCCGAGGAGATCGAGAAGCTCGAAGAGTATATTGAGGGCTACTGCCAATCCCATGTGTGGGATCGAGAAATGCTTTGCCAGCGAGTGTGGTCCAACGAGCGCAAAAAGGACCATTTCTGGGACTCCATGGCCGGTGTGTTACCCCATCGAACACGTGCTTCTGTATATAAACACGTTCGACGAGCATATCACGTGTACGAGACGCGGGCAAAATGGACTCCTGACCAGGATAAGCGGCTGGGAGACCTGGTGGGTGAAATTGGACCTTGCTGGAAGGACATTGGACAGGTTCTCAACCGAATGCCTGAGGATTGTCGAGATCGGTGGCGAAACTACGTCAAATGCGGTAACAACCGAGCCTCTCATAAATGGACTGCCTCTGAGGAAAACAGACTTTACGAGATTGTTCGTGATATGCTGAGTGCCCAGGGAGAAGTTGGCGGTAACATCAACTGGACTGCTGTTTCCGAACGCATGAACGGAACTCGGTCTCGAATTCAGTGTCGTTACAAATGGAAGAAGCTGAGCAAACGGGGTCCCAACCATCATGCTGCTCTGACAATGACCACTACCGACCACCAGGTGTTCCTCAAGCATCTGGATGTCAATGATTACGCCTCCGAGGAGCAGATTGACTGGCAAACGATCGCTGCCATGGACTCTCGAAACCTATGGGCTGCCAGTGATCTTCAGGAGGCTCTGGAGCGACTCAAAAAGGATGTGCCCGACTGGGACTCGCGAAGTTTCAGGGAAAACATCCAGTTGCTGGCCAAACGGGCTGCGGACGGCGAGAACTTGGGCCAGGCGCAGCTGCCAGGCCAACCGCAACAACTGCCGGGAGCAGCGATGGCCGGGGCTTCGATGCAGGGACAGCCCCTGCAAGGTCAGCCAATGGCAGGCCAGCCGTTACCGGGCCAACCACCTCATGGTGGACACGGTCACGACGAAGCGACCGGTATCAAAAAAGATAATAGCAAGGAGTACGAGATGCCGTCGTTCAACTGGCACCAATTGGCCGACGCGCAGATCAGTTAGGGGGATGGAGAAGATGGAGATTGGCTGGCATGCCGAATGTATAATAGATTAGGAGACTTCGGTGTATTATTATTATTATTATTATTATTATTATTATTATTATTATTATTATTATTATTGATCAAACGGGAGCCCTATAAGTAGAGATGTACAAACACTTAGCTGGCGAGAGTGTAGTGTGGTTGTGTTGTGTTGTAGATGTTTGAGTGAGAGGTGCGTCCATCGTGGCAGTCTGACAGCGTGTATCAGATCGTGGTGTAACTTGTTGCTGAAATGAAACACAGGGTAAAAACAGATACTTGTACAACTACAGTATGTACACCTGTACTCTTTAATGTGTGTGTCTTTCGTTTCGTAGCAGATCAAATATCTATCGTAAGCACAATATCGTTTTTGTATCCGCTCGCCCGAAGGACAAATACCGAGGTGATTTCGAAAGAGCAAAACTGTTTGCCATAATCAAAGCCATTGGATAATACATCAGAAGCTGGTCTCAGAATCAGCTGCTTCTCTTGGATTGGCACAACTACGAATACAGCACTTGGTATTGTGTGTTGCTTTCCACAAGCTTGACATGTAGTGATTGGATGGCTTTTGAGTCGCCTCACTCCTACTCCACGACTTTTCGTGATACAGAATGTTCTACACAAGTACCTACAGCACCTGTAAGATCGATGGTGGGTTCTCCGCAAGCGATGTCTCATATTCAGAATCAAGGGGAAGTCTTATTGAAGCTTCGTTACGTAGGAGGAGGCAGTGGCAAATTTACCATGACACGTGAAGACCAAAAGAATATAAATCGAGTCGTAATCCACGCTTATCAGGACGGGTTTTCTTGTACCATATGCACCATTCGCACGAGAGTACTTGTTCTTATACCCGTAGCACCTACTCATTCTTGTTAGGCATCTTAGCCTCTCAGCCGTGTAAAGAGCGACTCTTCACAGAACATGAGTTTATCTCTACAGTACTCATATGGCTACAGTAACTCATTACAAATCTCATTAAGCTTGACGATTTTTAATACAATATCTTACTAGATTTTTTCAAGTTTAGAACTTGGAGAAGGCCTTGTTAGCCTTACCGGTGGCAGGCAGAACTCGGAGAACGTTGAATCGAACGGTCTTGGAGAGAGGTCGGCACTGACCAACGGTAACCATATCGCCGTTCTCGACTCGGAAAGCGGGAGAGACGTGGGCAGCGAGGTTCTTGTGTCGCTTCTCGTATCGGTTGTACTTGGGGATGTAGTGGAGGTACTCTCGTCGGATGATGATGGTTCTGTGCATTTTGGTGGAGACAACCTTACCAGTCAGGATCTTGCCTCGGATAGAAATGTCACCAACAAAGGGGCACTTCTTGTCAATGTAGTCACCGGTGATGGCGGCAGAGGGGGTCTTGAATCCGAGACCGACCTCCTTATACCATCGCTTGGTCTTTCGGTTGACCTTGGACTTGGCGTTCTGGAAGATGTGAGGTTGCTGAGTTAGTTGTGTTCGAGTGATGATAGATAGCTGTACAGCCTGTCATGCTACTATGAGTGCGTGCTGTTTGTCGCAAATGGTCATATCCTCCCGTATCTCGGCCCTGGATGTCTGTCGCGTGATCTCAAATCAATACCAAATGACCACCTGTTGTGACTTGTCGAGTGCACTCGTTGCTCAGCAATTAACAGCTCCTCCTGTCAACAATTCCCTGACTCACCTTCTGGAAAGCTCGCTCGTTCTGGACGTGAAGCTCGGACATTTTGCTGGTCGTACGTTGTTCGGGAGAGGAGAATGCAAACGATGATTTTCAAACTAGAGTGTGCGAGCCTAAAATTTTGCGTCATCACGTGCAGCTGGGACTTTGTGACTGTCGATTCCAAATTGGGACACAAACGGCATATGAAGTTTATTTGGTCGGAGTGTGTGACGACATTAAGGTTTCGGCTAGACGACTTCGATGTTAACTAATGAGATGTCGTAGTTGATATGGTTAGTTGGGATTATAGTTGGGTATCTGGAGTGGAGAGATATCATCCATATCCACACCCACACACGCAATCTTTGCTACATCGGCCCACAATGAGCTATACTAACGCTACGCCACTTCAACCAGCATTCTAGACGATGCATGAAGCGTGCTATGTATCACGTGCACAATGATCGTTATTTCCCTGCTGTCGATAAAGTGAACGTCAGGGTACGAGCTCATACAAGTAGCTATCGTACGAAATACACCAATTAGCTCCAGTAGATCGATGTCTAAGAGGGTTCACGTGATCATGTCATACTATTTCGAATCGCCATTATGAAGTGGCAATAAACTGTGACAACAGTGTCCTTATGAAAGCATGAGTCATTTCAAGTGCTCGTAGTGGCTACTCCTACATCTTCGACCATCAAATACAAGAGGTAGATACGTCGAACCTACTTGCAGATATCACGAAAAAGTGCAGATATGAAGCCACAATTGATAAATATCTCTAATCGAAGTAGAGTACAAGTACGTGAAGTAGATGTAGAGTTGTTACACAACCAACATGACTTCCAGAACGGCGATATCGACTTCCCCGGCATATTCAGCGGGCTCGTTATCCTCTGATACAGCAATATCACTACAAGTACCGCCAACACCGCCAACACCACCATCAGACTACATTACTCCTGCACCAACATCAACACATACGGCGGCCATATTGATGGCTTCAGTGGCGTCGGCAAGAGTTGGAGTGGCCGAGGTAGAGTCGGACTACACACTTCCTGCTCTTTTTATGTGTGTCAGTCTCCCTTTTCTTATCTTTGGTTTCTGGGGTCTTTTAAAGGGGGATCCAGCAGTTGATGAGACTGCTGAGTCCAGTGAGCAGATACGCTTATCCAATGCCTCCAGTGGGTCCGGTGGGTTCAGTAGGAAGCCCACAGAGAAGCCTGACGAAACTTGAATATGTTTTGAGCATCATACGCAGCTCTTGTGTGATGCCATAGACTACGAAGGACATATTTCACTCCATGAAGATGCTTTCTGGACCTGCTTAGTTCATGTGGTGCGAGATGTTGGTCAGGACATGAAAGAAGCAGACTATATTACCAGCACAATACTCGGTACTGTACACATACTGTACCTTTCCTCTAATCAAACGATAATAAGTAGTTTTTTCTTTCTCAGTATTATACACATTCATCTCAGATAGTCTTCGATAGAGTCCATCGTTCCAGTCCAGTCTGCGAAACATACTGTCTTGAGAAGTGTCTGTGTGCATTCTAATTAAATTGCAAGAATTCATTTGATCAATAAGCTATATATCTTCTAGGAATGTATTGAGGATTTGTAACCAAGCCATAATACGAGTACAATTGTACTGCAATGACCGCACTTGTGCGTTTTATTCAGTTGAACATGCGCCAGGCACTTACTTCAGATGGTCCAGAAAAGAACATTACCAGTATAAGTACAAAAACAAAATCTCATTGATTAGTATCTCATATAAGTGGAGTGTACTACAGTACAAGTACAAGTCCACTTTTTTCTCTCAAAATGACCTCAAACAAGTTTTTTACGGACTCCGATCTTCTCAACATAGATTATTTTTCATGTCGGTTATAGACTCTAAATGAGAGAGTCATGTTCCAGGTTTGAGGGTATTTGACATGGATATAATGAGGTTGTCGTTTTGAAAATCGCTGGTGATGACAAATTGTGTGACAGAATTTGATTTCGGCTTCTGTTCTGGCTTCTATTGCAGGATTAAAACTGATCATGGACAGCCGAGAAAACTATTCTTGAAATCATATTATGGTATGTACATACTCATACTGTAGTGGTGTAATTTACTTGACAAAGATTCACCACGATCGATCCAAAGACTGGAATGATAGCCGCAACACAACCAAAAAATGACATCCAAGTAGGTAGCCAATAACCCGCCTCCCATATCTGCTTCGTCTTTTCCACTGCTTGGAAACACAGACTCTGGACTAATGCATGCGTAGACCGTCTATTGTATCACTCATCAGTGTCTCCCGACACTAGTTTTTGGCTTACTAACTGGAGTCTAGACCGTCCCTCGGCGCAAGTATCAGCTTCGGTGCGTTATACAAGCACATTTGAGGGTTGCAGTGTGGAAGAATCGTCTTCAGAGTGTATATATTGATACAATACCACAACAGAGAGAGCGAGAGAGCAACACCAGCACAACATCCTACGCTGAGGTAACACCATATATATGCACTAATTGTAGCCCTTCTTGATGTCTCTCGCTCTTGTCTTTTCCACGTGGCTGAAGTTGCCCGCGTTTGTAGCACAACGTTGGACGCAAATAGACTCTGCCAATGAGAGATCCGGTTATTTTTCTTACGGGCCTAGAATGGATAAAGTTGAGAGTTTGGCGCACCCCACGAAGTTAGAAAGGAGGGTGAGAGAAGTGGAGGGCGATGTTTGGGGGTGTCTGTGGGGCGTTTGAGACGAAACCAAGTCTTGATACGCGATCAAAGACCCCGAAAGACGCAATTGAGGCCCCAAAATAGCTCTTTTCCGCCGACAACAGCCCAAACACATCCTCTGCAAATCATGCTTAGCTTTGTCACTGTAACTTTGGGTGGTGTGTTTCTTGAGCTGTGGTAGCACCTGAGGCGAGACGGGTCGTGCCTGTAATGGTCCATGTAGTTAACATATCAGGCTCAAATTTCTCACATGACAAATACATACTTCTCTCAGGCAGCCAGCGCAGACAGGAATACACTTGCGCAGTGCAGCTCTTCACCCACTGCTGCATTGTCACGGTCAGGTCATATGCTAAGGATACTATTTGTAGTAGTGCGAGTGCGAGTCTCGAAAGACAAAGTAAGATACTGACTATAGATGAGATAGCAATAAAAAGTGGGTAGTAGCAATGGCGTGTGTTTGAGCTGAGATTAATGCCTGAACACTCTCCTGGGAAATACACACACACCTCTACAAGTAAGGCACTCACCACTACACCCCGCTAGACTTGCCATCATCCTCTGTCGCAACACAAAGCAACCCCTCACCTGCATAATGTAAGACGCCTGGCAGAAACCTAACCACCCCCACTATATATATAACTAGTGGAGGGCCGCAAAGTTGCCTCCTTATACACAAGACACACTCTCAAGATGCGATCTTTCCGAGCAGTCCGAAACTTCTCCACCACCGCCAAGCGCCTCAGCCAGGCCCCCAAGGCCTCCACTCCTAACGCCTCCTCTGGAAACGGCTTTGTGTTGGCCTTTGTGGCCGCCGCCGCTGGAGCCGGTGCCTACTACTACTACGCCAACTCCCCTGCCGCCAAGGTCGAGACCTTCAACGCCACCAAGGCCGACTACCAGAAGGTGTACGACGCTATTGCCGACAAGCTGATTGAGGACGACGACTATGATGATGGATCTTACGGACCCGTCCTCCTGCGACTCGCCTGGCACTCGTCTGGTACCTACAACAAGTCTGATAACAAGTTTGGCTCTTCCGGAGGTACCATGCGATTCAAGCCCGAGGCTTCTCATGCTGCCAACAATGGCCTGGTTAACGCCAGAAACTTCCTCAAGCCCATCCACGAGAAGTTCCCTTGGATCTCCACCGGTGATCTGTACACTCTTGGTGGTGTCACCGCCGTCCAGGAGCTCGGTGGCCCTATCATCCCCTGGAAGCGAGGCCGTGTCGACGAGCCCGAGTCTGCTTCTCCTCCCGATGGATCTCTTCCCGACGCCTCTCAGGGCGCTACTCATGTGCGAAACGTTTTCAACAGACAGGGCTTCAACGACCAGGAGATGGTTGCTTTGATTGGAGCTCACGCTCTCGGCCGATGCCACAAGCAGAACTCTGGCTTCGAGGGCCCCTGGACTTTCTCCCCTACCATGTTCACCAACGATTTCTACAAGCTCCTGCTCGACGATAAGTGGCAGTGGAAGAAGTGGGACGGAAACCCTCAGTACGAGGACGTCAAGACCAAGTCTCTGATGATGCTGCCCACCGACATGGCTCTTGCTACCGACAAGAACTTCAAGAAGTGGGCCACTGCCTACGCTAAGGACCAGGATCTCTTCTTCAAGGACTTTTCTGCTGCATTCTCCAAGATGCTCAACAACGGTGTTGACTTCCCCCAGGGAACTGAGATCTGGGAGTTCAAGCCCAAGAACGCCTAATTCTGGAATTCGGCGATTTAGAAGAGTGCAAGCGCTCGATTAATGTATTGTAAGTTATCCATCATCATTGACAATTGTATTGTAGTGTAGACTTCTGGCTCAGGGTTCAAGCCAAGCCAAGCTTTCTGCAGGGAGAGATGTAATGAACTGTATCGTGTTCGAGACTTCGACGCATTAGCTACAGTATATCCCGTACTACTACTGTATCCCCGAACGAATACACCGAAAGATGTTGAGATGTACTGGCTTGTATTTCATATGATCCGTGTACTTTTAGGGGAGGCAGGTGTGCTGAGATCTCTATAGATAGATAAATACATGCATGTCATAGCTTGGCACCTACTGTACGTGCAGTGTGGTAGTGATACTGAGGTGCTTGTTCCTGGTTGGGGGAAGAGTATTCTTTAGTGTCTATAGATGTCAAACAGTACTTGAACTGAAACTGTCTCAGTGTACACCATTTACTGTGTTGGTGTACATCTTTAGTTCATATTCGAACACCAGAAGTAGCGTAAGTACACACTGTACACTGTAGCACATTATCGTACAAGATGTACTTGGGCTGGTACACACATGTACAAGTAGAGCGAACACGTTATGAGGGGTATTCCCACATTGTCTACTACAAGTACAGTACAGGTATTTGCACCCACTGACTCTCCCATTGACTCTCAACTTCTGGTTTTGTACATGTAATTGTACCTCTGCCGGCTCCATGTTTGCTTGGAATCTGGCAATCATGGGGATGCCAATCTGATCTCACATTTGTACAATTAAGGGATATTGATGATGGGGCCTGGACAGCACAAGTATGATGGATCTCTGCATTTTATAAACATCATAAACGTGGATGCTGCCATTTCAATCGGCTTCTAGCTGCGTTCTACAGTAGATAAATAATTTTTCAAGTTTTGTGAGACCATTGAAGTAGACGAATCGCCGGCTTTCATCTCGATTGTTTCTATCGCATTGTTGTATCATTTTGGTATTTGTAGTTACTGTAAACCCAGTGCTACATGTACTGTATCTCTACTTATACAGTAGTTGGGTAATTGGAATTACAGTATACTGAATCCACCACAGTCAACGGGACTACCTAAAATACACATTCAGGATAGCTACGCTTCTAGATACTGTACACGCACGCTCTGTCAAGCAAAAAAAATAAAAATAAAATAAAACTCGCTATCGCATTTTTCACACATTTCTCCTACAAATTGTTCATTATAAGTAGCGATCCTCCCTCCTGGCTGGTGAAGATGGTCCCATTCAGTCAAGGCAACCTAGGTTTCAACACGGTTGTGGGCTGCACATGACAGACCACTTCAATTTGGCCTTAGTAAGCACTAATACGAAATGTGAAGACAATATATATTCCAAATTTTGTCCACTAATTGATTTATTGCTTCAATTCCCCCCAAACCTGCCAGATTACTCACTTATCATCGCCCCTCAATGAACCTCATTTTATACCCTAACCCTAAATCACCACTGGCGGCAACCTTGAAAACATCCATCACCACTTCCTACGAGTAGAGGATTTGCACGACATCACAATCAACAATGGACGAAAACATGACGGATGCGACTAAGTCGCCGTCGCAGCCTTCGTCCGTGGACATGACGTTTGTGGCCAATTTTTTCGATCTCGATGAGGCAACTGTGCAGCAGCTACCTCACGGTCTGTCTCACAAGCTGGCGTCTCAGGCCCAGCAGTTCGAGCTTCTCAAGAGTGAAAAGATGATGGCGGAGGTGAATTTTGGTGAGTAAAAACAATCAAGAAAAGTATTGCCGAAACTAAGGTGCTACTCGCTCTCAACAGAAACTAACACAGAACAATCGACACACAGTCTCAACTCGAAACTGAAGACTATCAAATCCCAACTTGCCCAGGCCAAGGAGAATGAGGATGAACTCTCTTCGGAGATTGCAACTCTCAAGGCCGAGGCCAAGTCGTTCGAGGAGGCCAAAGAGTCCATGGCCTCTGCTTCTGAGCGATCAGGAGCAGTTGTCGAAAGCCTAAGAAGCGACATTGCGCTACTCGAAAACGAAAAACGACGTCTTCTTGAGAGCCTGGAATCTCGGGGAGGTGACTTTGTGTCTCTTCGTGCGGATCTCGAGGCTGCACAGGCCAAGAACGGAGAACATCGACGAGTGATTGTGGAGCTGGAGGCACAGGTGCAGAAGGAACATGCGGCAGTGCTGCAGGCGCGGTTCAAGGAGGAGCAGCTCAAGCAGGAGACACAGCAGCTCAAAAAGAGTAACGCATGGTTGGACGAGGAGCTCAAGACCAAGCAGGAGGAACACAGCAGCTTTCGACGAGATAAGGCACAGCTGGTGGCCCGGTTACAGGCCGAGGTGGAGCAGACGGCAGCCGAGCGAGATGGCTTACGTGCTTCTCTTGACACGGCTCGATCGAGCAACAACACCGTGTCTGCCAAGGTCGATGAGCTATTGACTCGAAACAAGCAGCTGCAGGATGCAGCCGCGTTGGCTGAGGAGAATTTCCGACGAGAAATGTCTGCTCAAAAACGGCTGGCTGAGCTATACGAGAAGTCAGCGTCAGATGCCAAGGCTCGAGTCAACGAGCTGGAAAATGGAGGAAACGTAAAGCTGCGAGCTGCAGTGGAAGAGGAGCGGGCCAAAAGTGCGTCTTTGGAGGCCAAACTGGAGGCGGTCGAGAAGCAGCTTCAGGAGATTCATGGATCCTCGAGTACATCTTCCTTTGCTAACGGCACACCTGCTCCTTCTACGCCTCTTCGGGGAGGTCTCATTCCTGGCGGAGGAAATGGTACTCCCTTTTCCCCGTCTGCCAAAATTGTTTCCGAGCTCAACCGGGGTGGAATCTCTCTTGTGCAACTCTACGCTGACTATCAGGATGTGTGCAAGCGTCTGGAAAAGGAGCGAAGCCGAAACGACGAGCTGCAGAGCGACTTTGACAGACTGCTGGAGGAAATGGAACAACACACGCCTGCCATTCTGGCTGAGCGAGACGAGTGTAAGCGTCTGGAGGGTGAACTGGTGCAGTTGAGTGTGCAGCTGCAGGAGGTGTCTGAGTCACGTGAAAAGCTGGCTGCAGGCACAGAAAAGGCCGAGGTAACTGCTAGAGACGGCCAGCGCGAGATCAAGCTGTTACAGCAGCAACTTGGGGATGCCTCTCGGCAGATCCAGCATCTGCTTGTTCAGCAGAAGATGCGGGAGGGCAACTCTGGCCCTCTGACTGTGGCTGAGCGAGAAGCTCTCAATGGCATGCTTTCTGGCGAGCTGGACGTGTCTGATACTGATAAAGTCATCAGTGAACGCCTTGTTGTGTTTGCTGATATCATTGGCATGCAGAAGCAGAATGAGCGACTTCTTAAAATCTCCAGGGAGCTTGGTCAGAAGCTGGAAGCTAAGGAGTCTGAAACTCGAGACAAGATGGCCAACGTGGAGTCTGCAGCTATACAGGAGGCGCACGATGCTCTCGAATCTGTTGTGGGCGACATGGAGCGTCTTCAGAGCCGATTCGAGGCTGTTTCGAGAGAACGAGACATGTTCCGGCGTATTGCTGGCGACAAGGAGAATGGAGGAGTTGGTGCTAACAACAATGCCGTCACTGTTACTTCTTCTTCTGCTTCTGACGGCTCTCTTGAGGCTGAGTGGAATGCTTATAGGACTGAAACTAACGCTACAATCAAGTCTCTCAACACTCAGATCACGTCTCTGTCTGATGAGCGACATAGTCTGCAGATCAACCTGTCCAAGGCCGAGAGCCAGTGTGTTCTTCTTGGTGAGCGTCTTCAAAATCTCAAAACGAACAGCGAGACTACTCGACAGGAGCGAGAACAGCTTCGACAGCGAGTTGAGCAGCTCCAAGAGGCCGCCACTCGACAAGAAATTCGAACCCAGGCTGCCACAGAGGATGTGGTGTCTGCCAGATCTACCTGTGATCAGCTTCGAGGAGAAGTGTCCAACTTACAGGCCGAGAAGCGAGTGTGGAAGTCTATTGAGCAGCGTATCACCAAGGATAATTCTGAGCTGATGGATGAGAAGACCAGACTGAACGGTGTTATCGCCCAGATGCAGGTTACCGAATCTGAGCGGTCCATGCAGGAGGGAGAGTCTCGGAAGCGACTTGTTTCACAGCTGGAGGCTCTGGAACAGAGCAAGAGTTCCACAGAAAAGCAGCTGGAGGAGGCCCGAGGAGAGCTCAAAAAGGTGTCTGATCGACGAGACATTGAGCAGGTGCAGTACCAGGAGCGAGTCGATGCCCTCAACAAGGAGACTGGAGTTGCTCGGGAGCATCTTGCCGTCGCCAAGGCCGAAGTTTCTTCTCTCAAGGAGCGGAACGCTTCTCTGGAGAGCCAGGTGATATCGTTGACTCAACAGGTTGCTGTCCTTCAGCAACAGAATGAGGGCGATGAGGCTACCCAGCTTGGTCGACTCAAGAGTGAGCTTGTTTCTGCCCAGAACGAGCTGTCTACTGCCAAATCCGAGCTTGCTGCTGCCAACGCTCAGGTTGAACAGTTCAAGGGGCTTGCTCAGGCTGCCGAGGAAGGTCTGGACAACATGGTGGCTTCTCATGACGAGTACAAGAAGTCGATTGAGGCACAGTTGGAGACCCAAACAAAGTCTGTGGCTGGTCTGGAGGAGCAGAACAAGGTGCTCTCCGAGGAGCTCAAGCTTGCACAAGGCGAGATTGATGTGTTGCAACGACAGGAGGGAGAGCACATCAGTGCTGTTGTCAACGAGAAGAAGGCTCTGCTATCACAGATTGAGTCTCTTAAGGCAGAGACTTCCACTCTGTCTTCTCAGACTGCCGAGTTGAAGAACCAGCTTCAGGAGACCGCCGTCAACTGTGCCACTTACCAGTCCAACTATGAGACTGAACTGGTAAAGCATGCCGAGGCTGCCAACTCTCTCACTGCCCTTCGATCTCAATTCAATGAGGTCAAGACCCAAATTGCGGTGTCTGCTGCTGAAGCTAAGTCTGCCAAGGACCAGCTTGAGTCTGCTTCCGACTCCTGGGAGACTCAGAAGACTGCTCTCGAGGGGGAGGTTGCCAAGCTGAAGTCTCGAGTCGACGATGTTATTTCTCAGAACAATCTTCTTCTGGACAGTCTCGAGACCCGAAAGTCTGGAGGGGACACTTCTGGAGAATCCACCACTACTAATACTGACGTTGTCACTTACTTGCGTCAGGAGAAGGAGATCATTGAGACCCAGCATGAGCTGGCTATCCAGGAGAACAAGCGTCTCCAGGCTCGACTAGATCACGTGAGTGTTTCTCTCGATGAGGCTCGTTCTGATCTGGAGCGACTCAAGGCCTCTATTAATGATGGAGCCAAGTCCGAGAGTGCTCGTCAGGAGCTTGCCGACAAAATGGAACAGCTCAGTGTGTTCCGAGAGTCCAACAAAACCCTTCGAATGGAATGCGAGGCTTCCAACAAGGAGGTTTCACGTCTCCAGGCTACCATTTCCACTCTGGAGGCCAACTTGGAGCCGTTTGAGAACCAGCTGAGTGACCGTGAGGCCGAGATTGAGGCTCAGAAGGGCGAGATCTCGCTGCTCAAGGAGGACAATGAGCGGTGGAAGGCACGAACTCAGCAGATTCTGCAGCGACACGAGCGTGTGGATCCTGCCGAGCTCGAAAGCGCCAAGAAGGATCTCAAGACTAAGGAGACAGAGCTCGAAAGTGCCAAGAAGGATCTCGAGACCAAGGAGACGGAGCTTGAGGAGGTCAAGAAGACCCTCGAGGCGACCAAGTCTCGTCTTGACCGACTGAAGGAGGAGGCCAGCCGAAAGCTCAAGCATGCCCAGCAGGCCAAGAACGCTGCTCAGCAGGAACTTGTGACTGCCCAGGCTGCGCTTGCTGAAGCTCAGAAGGCCGGATCGGCTGGTTCCGAAGCCCACACAGCTGAGGTGGAGACTCTGCAACAGCAGGTTCAGAAGCTGACGGCTGACCTTGAACAGGCTACTGCCAAGGCCTACGAGACCCAGACCCAACTGGATGCTGCCAATGCGCAGGTTGCCGAGGGTCAATCCAAGCTCGAGGCTGCTACTGCACAGATCAACGAATCGCAGTCCAAGTTGCATGCTGCTTCTGCCGAACTTAACAAGGCCAAGGAGGAGGCTGCTACTACTGCAAGCGAGTTTGCCAGCTATAAGACGAACGCCGAGTCCAATACAAATGCTGCAGAAGCTCCTACAGAGCCTGTTGTTCAGCAGCCTGTGGTCCAGCCCGCTCAGAGCGAGGACCTCAGCAATGAACTCACTTCTGCTCGAGCTGAGATTGAAGCTCTGAAGAAGGAGGTTGATAGTGCTCGATCTGCTGCTGCCACTGTTGCAGCCGAGGCTGCCACCACCAAGGAAAACGATGGTGAAGGTACCACCACTACCGTAGTGGCAGACGCTTCCACCGAGACGGCTCCCACCGTGGCTACTTCCGCCGCCACCCAGGCGGAACTCGAGGCTATGTCTCAGAAGATTGCAGCTCTTGAGAAGGAGCTGGCCCAGAAGGAGGAGGAGCTTAAGAACGCTCCTGTTCCGGAAGCCGTCAAGGCCCAGATTGTATCTCTTGAGGAGAAGGTGACTCAGCTCGAGACGGAGAAGAAGACAGTTGAGACCGAACTTGCACAGGTTCGAGAGGAGCTCAAGCAGGCCCAGGAGACTGCTACCAAGACGTCTGTCGAAGGCGCTCCTCAGTCTCCTCCTTCTGACGAGGCCTACAGACTGCAAGTAAAGGAGGAGCTGTTGGCTTCGATCCAGAAGGATCATGAGGAGGAGATCCAGAGACTGCGAGCCCAGTGGCAGGCCCCTCTGGACGACTGGAAGACTAGAATCCGAAAGCAGGCCAACGACAAGGTCAAGGAGAAGATCGACGCCATCAACGCCGAGTGGAAGGGTAAGATGGATGCTCTGAGCACAGAGTGCGAGGAGAAGCTCAAACAAAAAGATGCTGAGATCAACCAGTCTAACCCCGAGTTTCAGGAGCGACTCAAGGCGGAGATAGAGAGTGCTCGAAACTCAGAGCGAAAGATGGCAGAGATGCGTCAAAAGCTGCTCAGCAGTAAGGTGGCCAAGCTGGAGGCCGAACTCAAGAGCCAATCCGAGGGCGGCTTGGCTGGTGTGCCCACTGCTCCTGCCTCCAGCATCTCAGTTCCTGGTATGGCTGCTCGACCCCAAAGCCGAATTCCCGGCCCTACTATTCGTGGAGGACGAGGTGGCCGAGGTGGACTTCTGCAGCCTCAGCGACCCAGCATTGTGCGACCGGGATCTATTCCTGTGCCTGTGGCTGGTGTCAATCCGTTCGTTCCTGGTTCTGTGCCTGGGTCCACCACTGCTCCTGCTGCTGAGTCTACTTTCAACAACTCTGGTGTTCCCCCTGGAGCTCCTACTGGTCCTGGAGGAGGATCTGCCAAGCGGCCTCTTTCTGGAGAACAGCCTGATGCTCAGAAGAAGCGCCGAGATGATTAGAGAGGATGGGAGCTGGAGGAGGATGATATGGAATGGAAGGGGGTGTATTATTAATGTATTGTTTAATGAAATTGTATATTTGTAACATGTATAAACATGTATAGATAGGCTTCAAGTACATACTCGTACTCGTACATGGAATAAATGAATATTAAATTGAATATTGAAGAGATAAATTATGCAAAGGAGCGTGGGCCTGTGACAACGGGACTTGCTTGTAAGACGATGGTGTACTTGGACAGCGAGGGCGAGAATGTATGCCTTTCACAATAAAACACGTGCGTATATCATTTCTTGATACAATGAGTGACAATCATTAGCTAGTCGAACTGTTTCAACTTTAGTCGGCATAGTTCACGTGCTGTAGACTCTTAAAAAAGCAGAGCTGCGAAACCAACCATGACCACTGTTCCAGCAACGGCCAGAGAGGTGGCTCCGTTGGCATTGGCAGGGGCAGACGAGGCAGGGGAGGCCGAAGATGCGGCGTCAGACTTGGAATTGGATGGAGCCGAGGTAGAGTCAGCCGTAGCTGCTCTTCCAGAAGAGGCGGCTCCAGAAGAAGCGGTAGCAGAGGCCAGACCGGAAGCAGAGCCGCCGTTGGACACCTCCTTGTTGCTGGCAGCCTCAGATCCGCTCTGAGGGGTGATATATGTTCGAATGGGGTGGATGTGAGAGACGGAGGAGTCTGTGGAGCCATTTCCAGCTGCGACGGTGGAGGTCACCACAGAGGCTGTAGTAGTGACATTGATGGCACCAGGGGTGATGATGGTGTTAACGGGATGGATGGGGGCCACTGAGTTGACTGACGACATGTTGTAACTGAGGTGTGGAGGGGTTGAACAATGGTTATGTTAATTCTCGTACGGTATAAAGAGATCGGCAACACAAAATAATGTTGCCAGTACAAGTACAATTCGTTAACCCGCTTAAACGAAAGTTAAAAGTGTTCGGGGAAGGGATATTGGAAGCCGAAAGGGTGTGAAAATAAAAAATTGAAAATAAATGGTTCACTAACACACCACAATACACACCCGACACTTTTTTCTTTTATTCTAAGAGCAATATCCGCCACTATTTCTCGAGCGCAATTTATCTTCCTGCACCTTAAGCAGCTGATTGTGGCGATTAAACTACTCAATTGCATATATGTCGATGGCTGGAAGGAGGTTGGAGGTGGGCAATTTATTTATGACTACGCTGTAGAGGTGGTGGTATATTATCGCAGACAAACAATCTCAAGATTGATTGATTTATGGTAGCTCATTATTTCACTCAACTGTCAGGAAAACTTCCTCTCGTGCTGTATAAGTAGTGCTCTATCGTCTACTGTACCCACCTTTTTCCACTCCCAATATGGTATCATGTTGTTGGCCGAAAACACCAGAGGCCACTGATCTTCACAGAAAAAGTAATGACTGACAGTACAGTAACGTTACACCATGTAATAGGAGCTACGATGAATATGAGTATGAATATACAGTATAAAGTAAGATGTTTGTTTTAATACACACTGCCCGTATATATACACATTGACGACTACAATACCTTCAATGTGCCTCTCTTTCCATACAGCCGGTTATCTGCATCTCCTGATGTACAGGCTACATAATTCAAGTGCTGTACCGAAACACTCCAAATATGGTCCTGAGATAATAAAACCTTAATCATCGAACGAAGGGGCAGAACATAAAGAACACCAACGACACCACGGGTACCCACAAGTACACGCCGGCAGGCCCTGTTCAATACTCTAATAATATATATTTGTTATACGTTGTGTTCATTTTTTGTGTTTGTTGCTATCCAAAACCCCGGACTCTATTTACATGTCCTTCTTGATCTTGGAAACGTGCGGTGCGATGGTCACTCCAGCAACTAAAACGCCAGAGAGGTACTCTAACACCATCATGAACAGACTGAGACCACTGGCGATACAGTAGTGTGAAATACCAGTGCCAATGTCGAGCCATGAGCCCTCATCGACAACCAGATAGAAGAAGTTGAGTGTCAGAATGTCGGAGACACACAAGACCATGGAGAACAGCGCCGAAGGAGGAACTCCAAGCTTCAGGTTCAAGATGCCCAGACATGCAGATAGGACAGCAAACGGCACCAAGATCTTGAACATGAGCAGAGCACCCATGGAGAAGGGGTCAAATACAGGAATCAATCGGTACACAGAGTCCAGAGAGAAAGACGAAATGGAGGCAATGTTTCCAATACCGAAGAAACCAATCTGGGACATGAAGAAGGTGAACAAAGCCATTCGGAAGTCACCAGGAGTAAGATCAGCCCGGGTCTGGGGTGTCACTCGGGCATCTCGCATTTGAGTCTCAAGCTCAATCCAGATGACAAGGATAGCAAAGAAACAGACGTAGAAGAATCCCTCCCACGAGATGGTGAGGATGACAAAGGTAGGTCCAAATGCCAGGAAGATGATGAGCAGACGCAGTCTGTAGTCCTTGGCATCAGATCCCAGGAAGTGTAAGAAGGGCACTGCAAGGGAGAGAAGAAGAGAGATCCATCCTCCAACCTGAGAAAACAGAGGAAGACCGTTTCGAGCAGTAAGAGACTCAACGGACTCTCGAGTGAAGTACATGGTTGCAACAACGAGAAGGATCTGAGCAAAGAGAACGCAAACAGTGGAGGCCGCAAGAGCAAGTTTTCGCTGCAGATGAATAGTGAACACCAGTCCAATGACCAGCATGAGGGCACCAGAAAGCAGAATCTGCTCAATAGACTCCACCTTCACGACCTCCAGAAGTGTGAAGGAAGACATGATTGCGCACATGACAACCCAGGCAAGAGTAGTGGGCCATTCTCGCTTGGCAACAGTGAAGTTGTGCACAAAGGGCCACAGAGTAGCGAGTCCGAAACAAACAGAGAATATCTCTCGGTGGAAGTACCCGTAAACAATGGCCTCAAGGAGAACAAGAGAGAGACCAATGTCCAAAATAGCAGCAAGAGCTGGAGCCTTAGAGGTAGATCGTCGTGCCAGAATGGAGATACCCTCGGCAACAGCAGTTCGCCTCTGCAAGACAGCCTCCCAGAAGACAACAGGAAAGACAGCGTAGAGGTGGTAGTGGAGAGGAGACTTCTGGAAAACGAAGAAGCCTGAAAGAATGGCCAGGGCAACGTAGGCAACTCCCTTGAGAGGAAGAGACGTGGTAAAAGGCTTGTCGGACTGAACCACGAAGGCAAGCAGGTAAGAGCAGAAGGCAACAGCAATCCATCCAAAGAAGCCTATGGTCACCAGGGTTCGCAGGAACAGCCAATTGTAGGTCTGAAGGTACTTAAGGCCGGTGATGGCATATGTCATGAGTTCCTCAGAGGCAACAATCGACTCCTGGTCGAGTCCCTGGGCAATCAGCTCGTCGATATGGGCCAGTCTCTCATCGATGGTCTTTCCAGCATCAGAGAGGGGAGGGTAAGGCTTGAAAATGATCTGGGAACCCTTCTGCTGCTCTTCCTTGACTAGGTACTGCTCCACAAGAGCAAGAGCGTTGTTTCGGATAGCCAGAGCCTTGGTCTCAGAAGTAGCGTTCACAAAAGCCAGAGGAAGCTCTCCGACAGAGTTAGAGGGGTAGTTGAGACCCACAAGGTACGACATAAGAGAGGCGATATCAGCCTGGTTGACGTCATTTCGCTTGACAGGCAGATCCCAGACCTCTGAGTAGTCGTCGTGATTACCCTTGTCTTCGAAGGCGGGGATTGGCTTGTTAACTCCAGCTCCCCAAGCGATGAGAGGAGTTCGAGTGTTATCAGGGTGACCGTCACCGTGTGAACCCCAATCGGACATGCCGTGATCGGCCGTAAACACCCAAGCGGTCTGTTCGTCATCGTTGTAGAACTTGTTCACCTTGTCCACCAACTTCTCGATGTTCTCATCAATGTACTTGATGTTATCGTAATACTCAGCCGAGTAGGGTCGGTAAGAATGACCAGCAGTGTCGATTCCAAGCAGATGCAGGAAGAAGACGGTCTTGTCGGATCTCAATTGGTCGTCCAGAGTCTTGTTGGTCTTGGATTTATCGAAGATCTCGTCCAGGTGGTCGAAAACGAACGCGTCAAGCTCAATAGAACCCTTTGTGAAATCCTCAAAGTCGTGGCCATACATGATAGCATCAATTCGCGATTGATCCTCGGCTCCATGCTTGAACATGGGCAAGATATCGGGAGATCCAAGCGAGTAAGTGTGTCTGGACTGGTTGAAAACGGAGTCAAAGTCCACAGGGTTTTCCTTCCATCCCTTTGTGACGGCACTCACGTCCTCGTAGAAGCCTGCAATGAGCGCCACATGGCCAGGACGACTTTCTGTGGGCATTCGGGTGTGTGAGATGCCAAAAGTCGCGTCGGACATGACCTTTGAACGCAAAAAAGGAGCCAGGTACTCGGACTCGCCAGTTGTGGGATGTCGCACCTTCTCAAAGGCCTTGTCGGCTCTCAGACCGTCTCCCACAATGAGGAACAGCCGCTTGGCAGGCGGAGTAGCGGTACTCTGGTGATGCTTCATGCCATGGATCAAGGGCGACACAAAGTAGATGTCGAAGATTGACCACATGAAGGCCACATGGAAAATGACTCCCACCAGCAGCACCAGCTTCTTGTTGAGCGATATCATCTTATCTGGGCAATATGGTGATTTGGCGAATCGTCAAGCACAAAAAGGACCTTAGTGGTGAATGCTGCATGAACCACGTCTACACGTGGGATAGGGTTGTAAGGGGTCAGATGTGGGGTGTGTACGGAAGGTGCTAGCAGAAGAACCAGCTTGAGCCAGTCTAGTGGATCTGTGGGACCCCAGGGACGTACATTAGATTATGGATCATCCTCTTTTACATCTAAGTAAGTTGATTCAGTAGGCTACGTGTCAAGTGAAAAAAACACGCGTGTTCCACGAAATCAGAGTATTAGGTTCTGTTGTACTTGTTCTGTAGTCCCACTTCGAGATCGGAAATAGAATCTAAATTTAATTGCGTATATACGGATGATTTACTAGAATATATCATATTAATTCGAATTAAATTGAGAGAAATGTGGGAGTTGACACAATCGTTGTCAGAGGGTCACATATGACTTTTTATATACAATATTTTGTATTATTGACTTTGCACCAATGCCATACAGTAAAACATGTAGAGACATCACTTATTATCTCTTGTTCTTCGTAATGCCAGTGCATTCGTATAACAGCTACAAGTACATACTGTACAGTAGTTGTACTCGTAAAGGACATATACGTAGTACACGTTTTAGTTGACGTGTCGGGTTGCAAGTGCTTGTACAATACTTGTATCATATAAAGCAATATGAAGGCCTAACGACCAGATGGAATTCTTACTCGAAGAGCAAACGGCTGCACAGGTACACACGGTTCTTGTTATATTTTTTACGTATGACTTTTGTTGTACGCAAGATAATACTGTAGTTCAAGTACAGTAGTTTGAAAGTTACTGTATAATTAAATGAATGTATATGCAGGAAAAAACAAACGATGTTGAACAAGTAGAACACCATCTGACTGGCAATGGAGGCGAATATAACATATCTGGGGCACTCTGTTCCACTCCCACTTTACTTCGGAACTAATTCGAATCAGATATACTTGTACCTTCCAGCATATTGAAAAATACACCCACAGCCCTTCCATGTTAGCCACTGTCGAGTTGGCTGAATTTGGGACACTGACCAGCCACTGAGAGTATAAGCTGCCACCCACCCACTACTGTATATAGACACGTTACAAACCATAGAGAAAACTCGTCGGTGATCTGAACAATATCATTTACTTTTGTAAACACTTGCCAAACAGTAACTTATCCTAGTGTATATCCTTCCCTACAAACACTTCCCACACCCCCATTGGTCCCCCAATATAACACCCCACATAATCGCTGCATATCACTGAGACTAACTACAAGTAGCTAAGCTACCGCGCTCATTCTGTACAGGGCTGATATCTGATACATAAACACCACACATGGACGACATTATGCAACACAACATGTCTTGGAAAGAGCAAGCTGAGCGTTTCATGGACTTCATGTCCAACGCCCCCACGGCCTACCATGCATGCGATCTTCTGGCCCAAGACTTTGATGCAGCTGGATACAAGGAGTTGTATGAGCGAGACGAATGGGACCTCACGACACACAATAAGTTCTACGTGCGACGAAACGGAAGCGCTATCATGGGATTCGTGATTGGTGAGAATTGGACGCCTGGAAACGGTGTCGGAGTTGTTGCCACGCATACCGATGCTCTATGTGGCCGAGTCAAGCCCATCAGTATCAAGCAGCCTGTGGATGGGTATAATTTGTTGGGTGTGGCTCCTTACTCTGGTGCTTTCAGCTCTGTGTGGTGGGACAGAGATCTAGGAATTGGAGGACGACTGATTGTTCGAGACGAGGCTTCCAAGTCCGTGACTTCCAAGCTGGTTCATGTCCCTTATCCCATTGCTCGAATCCCAACTCTGGCACCCCATTTCGGAGCTCCTGCAAACCCTCCTTTCAACCCTGAGACTCAAATGACTCCTATAATTGGTCTCACATCGTCTAAGGAAGTCAAGGCACCTACAGATGAAGAGAAGCAGTCTCCCATGGTTGGAAAACACTCGATCGACCTGCTCCGAGTCCTCGCTAAACACGCACGCGTGCCAGTGAAGGACATTCTGCAGGTCGAGCTTGAGCTATTCGACACTCAGGACCCTGTCATTGGAGGTCTTAACCACGAGTTCATCTTCTGTCCTCGAGTTGACGATAAGCTGTGCACTTACACTGCTGTGCAGGGCTTCATTGCCGCCAAGCACGACGACAGAGCTCTCAACGTCGTTGCCTGCTACGATAACGAAGAGGTTGGCTCTGGGACTCGTCAGGGTGCTCAGGGAGATTTGTTCCAATGCATTGTTGAGCGGGTCGTGGCTCATGGTATGGACTCCTCTGTAGCCAACCAAGCAGCGGAGTACACTCGACAGACCTACGCCAACTCATTCTTGGTCAGTGCTGATGTGGGCCACGCTGTGAACCCCAACTTTTCTGACGCATACCTTGAGTTCCACAAGCCGCAGCTCAACTACGGAATGACACTCAAGGTATACCCGAATGCTGCTACCACGTCCGATGCAGTTTCCATGGCTTTGATCGAGGAGATTGCTCGACGAACAGACAACAAGACCCAGGTGATGCATACTCGAAACGACACTCGTGCTGGAGGAACTCTGGGTAAGTTCCTTGCCTCAGCTACAGGTATGCGAGCAGTCGATGCTGGTATTGCTCAGTTGTCCATGCACTCTATCCGAGGCACACTTGGTTCCAAGGACATTGCCCTGGGTACTCGATTCTTCCGTGACTTTTACTCCTCTTGGTATGAAGTTGACCAGGAGTGGAAGAATGGTGATATTTGACGAGCTACAGAAGTAATAATTATAACATCTACATAACTATGACATCTACATTGTATTAGTATGTATCGTGCAATTGTATTATAATAAATATTTCTACTTTCATCTCAGCTCGTTGCTAATGGCATCGTAATGCTCCAGAGCCTCGGCATGCTTTCTGGTGGCCGAGTACTCCTTTTCCAACACCAACGCGTCGATTTCACGAGCCTCCATATTAGCCTTTCTGTAGGTGGACGTAGAATTGAGGATGTTCTTGTGAGCCTCATTGGCCTCCATTCGTGCCTTTCGATACTCGATGCATTGCAAGTAGAACTTATCCATGTTTTTCTGGTACTGGTTGAACTCCCTGAGATACCGAGCCAATGCGGTATCTGCATCTTCTCCTGAATTGTAGCTGAAACTGGGAGGCAGGGGGGGATCAATGAATTGAGCGTTGTCGGTAGCAAGATCAATATTGAGCTTTGTGTAAGGCGAGGCACCCTGGGGTCTGAAGGCTGACGAGGTGTTGGTGTTGACGGGCTCACTGGTTGTGTTTTTAGACCGTCTGAACCGACCAGTGCTGTTGTTGTCTTCCCCAATAGGTCCCCCCTTCTCAGTTTTCACCTTGTCCCCACCCATCTGATCAATGTTGTTTCGGATTTCGTCCATACCAAAGTTGCCGTTGGTCTCGTTAAACGGGTGGATGTTGTTGATATCAAACAGGGGATTTTGTTTGAAATCTGGGCTCACCTTCTTCGACGGAGGAGCTTCTTCTGCGTTTCGAGGAGTGAAGGGCGTTCTGGAGGCATGATCGGAATCAGAAGTCTCCTCCATGTACGGCTGTCTGCTTCTGGTATAAGTTCGAGAGGTCGGAGGTTTTCGACGTCGATGAGCAGCCACAGGCCTTCGCCGAGGTTTAGCTTGAGGACTGTCACTACCAAGATTGAAGTTGAACATGGAACTCAGCACGTCCTTTTCAAATGGTGTAGAGTCGAACAGACTGGCTCCAAATATGTTGCCCTGAGCAGCTTCATGCTGATCATTACCTTCAAACATACTGGTATCAATATCAGAATCAGACGATGAAGAGACATCCTGAGCATGGGCATCCAGATCATCACTACTGCTGGTTTCCTCCCCGAACATGTCTCGGGCTCTCTGAGACTTTGCCTTGCTCTCATTGATGAGTTCTTCACGTCTCTCCTGATCCTTACGTCGCTGTGCTTCTCTAGCAATCTCACGGTACTCGTCAGGAGACAGCTCTTCCACTTCGTCGTCCGTTCCGGTCAAATCAACAAACGTGCTATTGAATCCAAACGGGTTACGAGTCTGCTTGTAGTTGGGATCAGGAAGGTCATTCTCAGAGAAATCACTTTCTTCTTCAGACTCTTCTTCCTGATCCTGTCCAAACAAAAAGCTATGGTCTTCTCGGAACGATTTGCTCGCAGGAGAAGGCTCACTGGTCTTCATATCAGGCATGGTGAAGTTGAAAGAGCCTGAAGTCGGTTTGTTCTTAGGCGGGGGCTCGTCGTACATCTTGAACTTCTCTCCCTTCCCAGAACTGCTATGAGGTGCTCGTTGTCGCTCAAAGTTGAACGGTGCTTCAGTTCCAGTCGTATCCTTCTCCTGCTGCTGCTGCTGCTGCTGTTCGTAAACAGGCGGCTTAACATTGGGGGTATCTCCGGGTCTATATCGTTCCCCAGATGTGTAACTGTAGCCTGTCTTTCGTGTGAAGCTTGGGTCGCCAGCTGTCGATTTGAACTGCGGAGGTGTCGAATAAGCCTCTTCAAACTGTGACGGTTTCGGCTTGGTTTCCTGCTTAGGTGTGGGCCTGGGCTTCGTTTCAGCTCGCGGTTCGGGCTTGGGTTTCGTTTCAGTCTTGGGTCGAGGTTTGGTCTTGGTCTTAAATTTGTTGCTGCCGCTTCCGCTGGGAGTGCTGTCATAAGCGTACCTGTTGCTGTTGTCTCTCTGGGCGTAGTAGTTATAGGCACTGCTCTTTGATCTGGACGATTTAGAAGATCTGCTTTGCTGCTGCTGCTGCTGCGGGCGTCCATAGGCTCCATAAAAGCCAGAGTAGGCCCAACCGCTGGCCCCGCCAAAGTCGGAGAACGAGTCGTCCCAATGATGCTGTGAAGACGTCCATCCTCCTCCTCTGGAACTGCTAGTAGGCGTACTTCCATAGGAGTAGTAGGCAGTAGACGAGGCTTTGGAAGCGGTTCTCCATTTGGCCTCAGCTTCTCGACGGGTTTTGGCATCATTCAAAACGTTGTAGGCATCATTGATGTCCTGGAACTTCTTGGTGGCTTCGTCTTTGCGATGTGGATTTTTGTCGGGGTGCCAGACCAGAGCCATCTTACGAAACGACTTTTTGATGTCCATTTCGCTCGCTCCGGGCGACAAACCCAGTGTTGCAAACGGGTTGAGGGTGGACATGGCGCGTTTTGGGCTGAGAAAGAGGTGTCAAACTTGTGGTGTAGTTATAGGGTGCGTCTCTCTTGGGGTCCGTCTCCATTAAATTATTTTGACTTCGATGATGCAGGATATGCCATTATAGTTCGCCACTGTAACTGAAGATCTGTAGAGGGGATGTCGTTTTAGGGGAATGAGATATATTTTCAAGCTGAAAAGTTCTAGATATCGCAGCCTCAACTAGTTTTGTATTTATTTATTTTTTGCTTTTATCCATTCCAACGACTCTCTTAGCGTTAAAAAACTACCTCCATCGTCTAGCTAGTTGTCATGGCAACGGCCCGCCTGCAGTCAGCCTTACCTTAGCTACTGTTACGGAAACTACTTGTAGCCATACACTACAGTACACACACATTGTGCGTGCGGGCCCAGGAGGTTCGAGAACAGACGCTGGAAAACAGCAACAAAAACGTTTCATCATGTTCTATGGACATACAGAAGCGTATATTTGAAGCGTCTTCCACTTCTCAAACATATCACACAATGCGTTTTAATAAAATGACTTACCTGATTTGCATTATGTGACTTCCGTAGCTACTTGTCCCGGTACATACTGTACTTATAGTGTACTACACTTGAAAGTGTCACCACCAAACGGCTCTCATCTGTCAATGTTGTGGCAAGCTACTGCATTGACTTAACATAGTCCCTGGGGCTCCAAAAACGTCACAGTACCGCTTAATTAACACTATACCCCAATGCCTAGATATCGTCATCTTCAGTACAAGTATGATATACGTATGCTCACTCACTGCACATTCATAGTTAAATCAAGCAAGCAATATTGGGCACAAAATGGGGTTTCTACGGCAGCCATAAATGCAGAGTGTGGGTATTTTGTGTGCATTTTTGGTGGCTACCAATGCACCATGAAGGGTTTTTTCTTTCTTTCTCGCCACCGTCCTCCCTTAAACTCCACAATGGGATTTTCTAGAAACAGGTCAAAAAAACAGGTTGAGTCCGTCTCACTTCAATTATGCGAGGTGGATCGTAAACATGAAGGCGCGTAGGGTAGAAGTCAGAATAATTCAACACGACGAAGTACAAGTACTTGTAGCTCCCATGGCATTACCCTTGTCTTGTGCCATTCGTACAGTATCAAAATGATCTGCTTGGTCTGGGAGGTTCTCTGAACAAGTACTGGTATATATAATTTTATGTCAAATATCACAGTATGGGTTTCCTAGGGCTCCCCTCATGGCTATATGGATGATTACATGAGAAAAAACTACAATACATTTTTATAGAGAGAAAGTGATTGCGCAAGAAGACTCACAATAACATGAACTTTCGAATGATACCAAATACGACAACTCTACAACGCTTCATCACTTGCTGACATCTGAGGTGCTCCTGCTCTAACCCTCCCTATAGGCTTAATCTACTACAAACTGTACAAGGCCATACTTGTACTTGGAATACAGTACATTCGAGTAGCTATACTGTAGTACAAGTATAAGTAAGTACATGGAGTAAATTCAATAAATTAATTAAATATGACTGTAGTAACCATCTACAAACTCACATCATGGGAAGCCATCCAACATACATCAGAGAGAGGTTTTCGGGGTTGATGGCGTCCTGAATAAGATGCTCTACTTCTCCAGAAACACTCAATGGTAACGCTTCCTGAGGAACAACACCCTGGATCTTCTTGCGAACGATACTCAGAGCTTCCTTGGGTCCAGATGCTTGCCTTCGAGGTCCCACAGAGAAACCTGAGTCACCACCGCCCGACTTCCAGTCGTTAATGGGATCGTGAACAAACGACTCCAAGGCAGTCATGATAGTGTACTCATGCTGTCGAAGAAGAGCCAATGTAGACTCACAAGATCGTCTGAAATGACCCTCGTAACCGGTCACGCCCATTGCATCGACCAGGTTCTGAGTAAGACGGAAGGGGACCATTTCAGGCTTAGTTAAACTGAGAGCCTTCTCGAACAAATTGTCGAAATCAACATGCATCACTCCTCCGTCACCCAGTAGCAAAATGTTCTCCAGATGCCGATCACCCAGACCCAGTACATAGCCTACAATGGACATGACGGCCAGTGACTTGGTGAACTTGTCACGAGCTCGCAGCCATTTATGAGGCTCACTGAACTTCTCCAAGAACCAACGGTAAAGCTCCGGTTGGTAGTTCTTGAGAATCTTCAAGAAGACCTTAGCACCGGTCTTCTTTCCCCGGGAGGCTCCATACTCCAACTGCTCAGTCAGAGTACCCCAGTCAATGTCTTCATAGAAGCGTAGAATGACACTCTTGGCAGTTACCGAACCAGACACCCACTCAATCAAACCACAGGAGTCACCAAGAGGAGTGACAAAGTAGGTCTTAATACCCAGAGTGTTCTTAGCAAGCAGCTTGTCAACCAACTGGGTGATTTCCAACAATCGGGCATCCTTTCGAACATCATCCTTGTTTTTCAATAAAACAGGATAGTCTTTGCCATCAGAACCAACCAAGGTGATCTTGAAGGGGTGCTGAAGGGATCGCATAATGGTGACCTTCTCACGGACACCGATAATGGAAACAACTTGTGCATTCGTGTTGGACATGAAATCCTCACAAGGTACACACAAAGGACAGGGAACTAACTTGGGGTTGAAACCGAGATCCTTCGTCACGCGCACCTGACTCTGTTTTGAATTGTATCGAGCCCTAAGTGTATTTCTCAGTGAAAGGGCAAACTTCTCCGACTTATCGACCGTGTTTTTGTTGATGTTGGGGTTCTGCCTGAGAGACCGAAGCAGATTGGATCCTCGGCTTTTTCGAGTAGCATTGCTCGACTGCGACAAAGACAACAGGTGCCAGATGGTTCTGTCAGTGTACTTTTCACAGACGTGAATCATGATGCTGTTCATGACATCGAGGGTGGCAGCATTGTCCATAGCAATTCGAGCCGTCATCTGAGACATTCCGGCATAGAACGTAGACGCAGGAATGTTCTGATGCATAGACGAGATCAACGAATTGATACGAGCCAAAGTACCAGACTTTTTAGGAGACTCTTCATCACCCATATCAAGCCAGGCACTCAGAAGCATAGGCAGAGTCTCAGTAGCATACTTGTTACCCAGCTGTAGAGCCGACACTAGAGCTGTGATCATGGTGAGGGTCAATTGGCCGTTCTCGTATTCATTCACCTTGTTATTTCCATCCTGATCCTGGATGACACCATGGTAGAATCGTGCCAGCTCGTAGTAGGCCTTCTCGGTCTTGGCGAGCTCAGTAGCAGCAATGTAGGTTTTGGAAGCCACCGAAAAACCGACATGTCCACTTTGGGCTAGCCAACCAGCATACAGCAGAGCCACCTCACCATCGTGACCACGATCTTTCTCAAGGGTTCGGAGTGCTCCCTGCATATCTCCTTCCTGCCACTGAAGCTGAGCGTACTCCATACGCCCTCTTGGCGTGTAGACCATGCCTTGAAGAGCAGCTGCAGTAGCCAGCTCCACACGACCTGCATGACGATACTGGGCTGCGAGTTTTGTCCAGATGTGGGCAACTTCCACAGTGGCGAAAGGCAGCTTTGAGACAGAGAAAATGAACTTCCGAATATCTAGAATGTACAGCTGGTCTGAAACGTCCTCAAGACGCTTATCGAGCGCCTCAGAAATGCTTCGGTGATCCTGAGAGAAGCACTCAGCAACTTTGGCGACAGATTCAAAGTCAGCAAGAGCATGTAGCCGATCAAACGACAGCGATAGGGTATGTGGGTTGACGAGATCTCGCTTGACGAAGTTTCGGGCCATGCGAATCTGACTGCTGACACAGTCTGTATCCCCATCTCCAAAGGCAATCATAGCCTGGGCCATGCAGGTAGAGTAAGATTCATGACCTCGGCTCCGAGCAATGTCACACCATTCTCTCACCTTGTCGACATTACCCAACCGCCAAGCAGCCTCAACAGTGATGTCGACTGACTCATTCTCAAAACAGATGAGACTCTTCTCAGCTTCATGCAACAGAGTCTCATACCGATGAGCATTGAGAAGACAGTTGAAGTACTGCTTTCCCTTGGGGAGATGGAAATGCTCCACAGACCAACAACTGAGAGCCAGATCCCACTTCTTGAGCCCCTCATATTGGTCCACCTGCTGCTGGGGAGACAGAGACTCCATCTTGGTGACAATACCGGCAAGCGCGTCCGTATCTTTCATTTCAGAATATACCTTGAACAGCTTCTGGTACACCTCGTCTTTCATCTCGGGAACTCGACGGACAGCAGTGTCGAGATAGAGAACAGTTCGCGAATAACTCTCACAAACCATGGCTTTATCAACCAGCTGCTCACTGTCGATACGTTGCAAAAAGGTGTCCACACGCTTGGCTCGCTGCCTGGTAGCATTCAACTTAAGATCCTTCTTATCAGCAGGATCACCTTCTTCCGGAGGAGCCAGCAAATGCTGCATGTAGACAATAAGATAGTCCACCACTCGGAACACAGTTCGGTAGAAGTCATGAGTCAGCGACCGAGACAGAATCTCCGTAATGGACAGGTTGAGCTCCTTCCGGGTAGCTGTCTTGCAGTGGACCACCACACACGCGAACAAGTAGGGGAACAGAAAGGTGGCAATCTCCGGAGACTGCTTCATGGTTGGCAGCAACATCTCGTAGATCTCCTTCTCCGCCAAAGAGCCTTGCTCCATGATCAAGTTAGTGAGCCACCGACAGTAATTGATGATCCAGTCCTCATAGGGCTCGGAGCACACTGGTCGGTCCTTCCTCTTGCCAGTGTCTTTACCCACGTAGAACGTTGACATCGTGAGGGGAGTGAGAATCAACCGAGTTTCGTTATCGATGCGACTCCATTCCTCCTTTGTCAACTGCTCCTTCCTCAAGATCTCCTGAATACCAATCGCAATGTACTGCTGTGTCTGCACCTCAGTGCTCTGAGAATAACATTTTGAGAGAACGTTCGTGAGTAGGTAGATGCAAAATTCACGACGCTCAGGGCCAGACCAATCCACAACCACAGGATGAGGCGGCTTCTCCATATTGAGGGTGCGTGGAGAATTCAGTACGCCAAGGTTCACACAGGCCAGGTAAGCAACGTCGTTGGATTGATGAGCAAACTCCTGAACCCAACGAACCAGGAGAGCAGCAGCAGGTCGCTTGTCGGACTGTATCTTGCTGATGTTAGTGAAGAGATGAGTCTGCAGACACATTAGAACCCGCCGTGCGACATAGACATTATCATGGCGAGGGGTAGATATCAGGTAAGCCAAATGTTCATCTGCATCTTCCTTGGGGTGCTCAGAAAGTGCAATACCACTCTTATTGATAAGCTGTCTATCACGGGAGCCAATCAAACTGAGCCAGCCAGTGAAAAGAGAAGCAATCAGGTAATGCTCTTCGGGAAGGTACTTACCCAAACAGATTAACAACTCCACACAGGACGATCTGAGCTCAGGAACCTCAATGGCAGACTGAAGACAAACAAATAGCTGCGGGAAAATGGCCGAGATCTCTTTGGAAACAGACAGTGTCACCTTCTGAAGCGCCCGTAAAGCACTGGTCTTCTCATCGACGGTATGAGGGTTCTCCAAAATGTTGGCCACATGCAACATAAGGGACAACATAGTGCCCTTGAGAAGTGATTCGGGGTTAGTGTTTCCCCAGGTTGCAAGCACACCGAGAGCAGCATCAACAGGCTCACTATCGGCCTCTTCCCACCGACACAAGATACTCAATAGCACTCTTGATCTGACACCATGCTCAGCATAGATGTCGTGAACGTCCCGTTGAATACCCGCCCAGTCAAGCATCTCCTTGATTTCGCCAGCGTAACGTCTCTGATACTTGATAACGGCCGCTGCAATCACCTCAGGAATGTTTCGACGAACAACCTCCGCCACTGTGGTAGATGACAGCTCAGCAAGATAGTCAATGAGCCCTCGCTCTTCAAGAACGCCAATTGGAACCACATAACGCTCAATCAAACGGGACATTTCGACATTGCTGACTCCAACACACACCGCCAACACATCACACACTTTCTTGCGTGCTGCGAATAGTCCAATAACCTCCCAAAACTGGCCCAACAAGTCCAGCGGCTTCACCTCCAAAACCCATGCTGCACCCACCACAGCCGCAACTGCTCGGCTTCGAAGCAGCTCATCATCCTGTGCAAAGTATTCGACCAGACTGTATAGAGAATAGCTCAGAGTAGCACCCGTGGCCTTCTTGGCAGCAGCAGCCCAGTATGAAATCTTGTCTGACGGATCCATGGTGTCAATTACACCTATAAATTGGGGATGCGAGGCGAAATCAGCCAGGTAGTCAGGTGCCCGTGGATCTCCAGGGTTCTTCTCAATCCAATCAACACACTCATCAATATCTGCAAACTCCAGATCCTCAGTCTCAGCCGTAGTGTATCCATCTGTTCGGTCCCATCCGTTGGTGTACTTGGTATCTCCAACGATTGACGTAGTATCCCAGCCCCAGAGAGAGGCCGCACTGAGTAGGTGACCCAACCACAACGGGTTGGGGTCAGCATCAGCTAAAACATATAGTTCAGTCCATGCTGCCAGCCCTCCTGGAGGCGGATGTGTTTTTCCCTTCACCAAAACCTCCAACAAATCATACCACAAGTATCTCTCATCGTCATTGAGAGCATGGAACCATGGCAGCATACGGTCAACTGCATAGTCTCGAGCATCCACATCAAATGTCAAGTATGATATGAGCGCAACCAGACAACCCGGGTGTTCCTTGTACTTTGTGGCCTCCTCGTCGACTCTCTTGAGTAGATCCTTCCCCATAATTCCTCCCCATCCGGAATGTTCAGCCATCTTCCACACCTTGGCCAGCCGTAGGTAAGTGATTCCTCCATATCGATCCATAGTTCGGAAATACGATGCTCGGGTATCGTAAGACGTGTACTCATCCCCCGTCAGTAGATCCATCCACAGATCCTCCACCTCGGTCTTTTGTTTCCATTCCAGCGTTGCCTGCACCACCTGTGCTATTCTCGTTCGACATGTCTCAGCGTCCTGTCGTAAAGCTGCAATAGATCCCTCATCTGTGTTAGTCAAATGATAGACAGCATACCTCCTCCAACCCCTCAGATTTACTCACGTTCCACCGCCAGAGCGGCATCTATGCGTGACATGGCGAGACTTGTGAACGCGTGGACAGGTTCTCATGCGCGATCAAAACTACTTTACATCATGCCTGCCAGTCGTGTCAATTTGCCACCTGACTAGGAAGCTGGGGGGCAGTTATATGGATATAGTAGGAAGACTTTATATTTTCAATTACTTATCAAATTATCTATTGAAAGATACTTCTACTGACGACTACAATGACTGAACACTTCTAAATATTACAAAATCTCATCAAAAAAAGTCCCAAACACTCCCCACAATTTAACTTCGGATTCTTGCATGAAAGTTTAAAAAATCAACCTTCTAAAAGACCCTGATCACATCTCCAAGAAAAAAAATATACATACAATTGACGAGCGCCATGAGAAACCTCCAATGTGTACACCGGGGTATTATCAAACCCGAATCAGTGGAGGCACCTGATCTCAACCTGGTCAAGACCATTTATGACCCTCTTTCAGACGCCATGGTCTTCGTCTTCGACGGCTTAGACACCGTTGAGGTTCAGCAGTTCTCAAAAACCGAAGGTACACAGGTATGGGCAAACTTCCCCGTCAGTGGCCACGTCCTTGCATGCGACTTTTTGTGGGAGTCGCAGACGTGTGTCATCTTCCTCAGTGACGGAAACGTTTACAGTGTGGAGCAGGGAGATCAGGTCATCAACCTGGGAGAAATGGAGGGAGTGGAGAGTGCAGCATGGTCCCCCGACCAGCAAGTAGTTGCTCTGGGAGCCAAAGACAAGGTCCTTGTTCTGTCTAGAACTTTCGATCCGCTCTCAGAGACTCCTGTTTCAGTGGACGACCTCAAACTGTCCAGACATGTCAGTGTTGGATGGGGTTCTGCAGACACCCAGTTCCGAGGACGAGGAGCCAAGAGAGATCCCACAGTGCCTGAGCATGTCGATATTGGTCACGTGACTGAATCAGATGAGTCCAACATTACTCTCTGCTGGAGACCTGATGGAGAGTGGCTTGCCCAGTCCTCCTGTGACGATGTAGAGGGAGGTAAGCGACGAGTCGTGCGAGTTTACTCTCGAGATGGTCAGCTCTTTTCTGTCTCTGAGCCTGTTGATGGTCTTCTTGATCTTGTTGCTTGGGGAACTTCCCTTATCGCTTGTGTTGCCAAGCAAGAGGTTGTTTTCTTTGAGCGAAATGGTCTCCGACATGGAGGGTTCCACATTGGCGACTTTGTCCCTATTGGCATGCAATGGAACTCTACGGGTGAGATTCTGGCCCTGTGGTCCCATGAAACGGTTCGACTCTATACTACAAAGAACTACAGATGGTACCTGAAACAAGAGGTCGTTTCTCGGCTTCCCGGAAACCCCAAGACCCTCACTTGGCACCCCGAGAAGCCCCGAACCATCATCATCAACTATGACGATCACGTTGAGATCCACGAATACACAGACACTGTCACTAGCGAGCCTGTTAACGGAGTCACTTGCGTCATTGATGGAAAGCTGCTTCTTGTGACACCTCTGAAACTGGCCTGTGTTCCCCCTCCAATGTCTAGAGACGAGATCCACATGGAGGAGAACATCGTTGCCGTTTCTTCTTCCGCATCACACATTGCCGTTCTCACAAGAGAGGCTGTGTATATATACGACTCTTTGACAGTGACCCACGTCACTACACACAGGCTTGACTTGAATAACGAGACTGTCAAGGCGGTTGTTATTCACGGAGAAGTGCCTTACGTTCTGGCTGAGTCAGCATCTGCCTCCAGAGTCATTACCCCTGCGAAGAGCTTTCCTCTCCATTCCGACTGCATTGCCTTTGCCAAGAGCCACAAGGCTCCTTTGCTTCAGCTTCTCGACGGATACGTCTATCTTCTACAAGACACTCTTGAACCTCTCGCCAAACTCCCTCGATGTAGCACTATCGCTTACACTGACGAGATCTACGGACTGACCAGCAAGGGTAAGCTCTATAAGGGCGATCAGGTGGAGGCAAGTCACGTGACTTCTCTGCTTTCTTCCGACGATACCTTACTATATACGACAGCTGAGCGGCTCTATCTCGCGGGTGAGTCGAGAGAGATTGAAAAGTCGTCCCTGCTGGTGTCTGTGCATCCTTCCACTTACTCTGTTGTTCTACAGGCTCCTCGCGGCAACCTTGAGACTATCCATCCTCGTCCACTTGTGCTGAAACGAGTTTCTGAGGCTCTTAAGAATCGAGACTTTAAGGCTGCTCTGACCATCTGTCGAACCCACCGAGTTGACCTCAACTTCCTGCATGATCATGATTCTGAGCTGTTCATGACTCACGTCAGCGAGTTTGTTGACCAGGTATCTTCCAATCATCTGGATCTGTTCCTCACCGAAGTTGGAGTCAAGAACAACCCCAAGGGCAACGAGATCTGTGACGCTGTTCTCACTAACACTAAGAACCTGCTAAACCAGATCACCGCACACAGCTTCAAAAACCCCCCAGATGTGGCCGCTGCCCTGGCCCTGGTTGACTCGGAAGAATCACTGGAACATCTGTGTTTCTTGCATGATGTCAACCACCTCTACGATACTTCTCTGGGACTCTACGATCTGGAGAAGACTCTACTTGTCGCACAGCAGAGTCAGAAGGATCCTAAGGAATACCTTCCTTTTCTTCAGAAGCTGCAGGTTATGTCCGAGGACCGTCGAAAGTTCACTATTGACGATCATCTCGAGAAGTATGCCAAGGCTCTTGAGAGTCTTATCGCAGACAAGGCCGAGCACGAAGAAATCGACACCTACATTACCCGACATGTTCTGTACAATGAGGCTCTGAAGCTATACACTGACAAGAGCGATACTCAGCGGGTGCTCAATATTTACGCAGCGTTTTTGGAGTCCACTCGAGAGTACAAGGAGGCTGGTATTATCTACGAATCTCTCGAGAAGTGGGAGGAGGCTCTGGAAGCATACAAGGCTGGTGTCTACTGGGAAGAGGCTTTGTGCCTATGCCATGCTGTTGAAGGGTTCGAAGACCGAGTCCGAGACGTTGCAGATGAGCTGGCTCCTCAGCTTGTTTCCGCCCATTGCTACAAGGAGGCCTCTACCCTTTATGCGGACTACCTTGGTGACATTATGGAGGCTGTTAGATGCCTGTGTCTGGGCTCCAACTTTGTTGCCGCCCGTGCTCTTGCTGCTCGAAAGGCTGGTGGTGAAAAGCAGAGAATCTTTCGGGAGATTGACAGTCTCCTCAGCGATGCGTTTGGTACTCACTCAGAGTTTCTGGCTGACTGTCAGACCCAGGTAAAGAACCAGGTGTCCCGACTTCACGAGGTTCGACAGCTTGCTCAGGTCAGCATGTCTCGAGAACTCGAGCGCTTGGAAGATGATAACATGGTTCCCGACGATATATCTCTGGCTGACACTGCTTCTACCTCTGGAACCTTCCTGACCAAATACACTGGTAAGACTGCCGGTACTGCCAAGACCGGCGTGTCTCGACGAACAGCCAAGAACAAGCGACGAATGGACCGAAAGAAGGCCAAGGGTAAGAAGGGTACTGTGTTCGAGGAGGAGTATCTGGTTGCCAGTCTGGGACGCCTGGTGGAGCGGTTAGAGCAGTCTAAGGTGGAGATTTACAACGTGATCCAGGCTCTGTATTCTCGTGACCGAAGACCTTTGGCCCATCAATTGCAGCAGTCGCTCGTCGCGCTCGCTGCAAGCTTGACCGAAAACGTCCAGTTTGTGTTCAACCGAACCATGGAGGATCGGAAGCGAATCGACGACGATGGCGCTGTCTACTATCTGGATGAGGTTCCTGTTCCCGAAATTAAAAAGGTGGAGGTTTTTGCTTCTCTCTAAAACTTTTGAAGATACGTAAGAATAGAGTGAACAGTATTTCAATGAATATGGTATAATACAGTAGTTACTGAAATGTCAATCACCACATACTGTACTGCATACAGAAGACAGTTCTCTTAAAACTTGTACAATGGAAACAAAAGCTTTCCGCTGCAGTGTACATACTGAACAATACAAGTAAACGGGTAAATATCTTTAAAGAATGTATTAGTCAATAAATAATCATCACACTGTGTTAATATCACATTATGGTCAAGAGTGCTGTTGGAATACAAAGCACTCTGTGGTTTCAAACTGTCCCTCACAAGATAAGAGAGTAAACTTGGACGGTGGAACTCCTCTAATAGCCAAGTTAAGATCTGTCTTGCCGAAATACAAGGGGAATGTAAATATAGCATGTCTCCCATTGGCACTCTGATGGGAATCGGCCTCTTGTGAGTCGTAAATCTGAACAATGGTGTCGTGCTCAGTTTCGACCAATAGCTTGGCGTATCCAATACGTCGCTTCTTGCATTTTCGGATCTCGTCGTCAATTCTGTCAAGCTGATTCAAAGTGAATACCTTGGTGGGAGATGAGGGGTTGGACATCTCTTGGTTGGGAACGAGTCGTGTCTCTGAAATCATGAAGATGGAGCAGGTAGCGTTTTTAGACTCTCTAGTCGCCAGAAGACGTTGGGCGTGAGCCCAGGCCTCGAGAGTGACCTTTTTGGTTCCACCTCCGCGTACAGAAGGGTCATTGAGAGAGTTGATGCTGTGGTCCCAGCCTGGCCATTCAGGAGAGGCAAGACCCAGAGCGATGTACTCAGTATTGTTGCTTGCTCCATAGGTGGAGTTTTCGTCGGGACCACAACCGACAAGAAGCAGAGACAAACGGTCAAGATGTGACATACATGCCAAGATCCCTCGGATGGTCTTCTGAAGCATCTTGATTTGAGTATCGTTACAAGACCCGATAGGAACGACAACTACCAGATCTATGGGGGCATCTACCGGCGTGGCCAGCTTGATTGGCGAAGACAATGGAGGCGTGGCCTCACATCTCCGTTTATGGAAAGAGTCGCCGTGGCGATTGCCTCGGAAGAGGTGGACGAGGGTGTTGAACCATTCATCTTGGTTTCCAGGAATGTTTACTCTCAATTCAGGAGAGTTGACGGAGTGCACGAAAATGGACATGTCCTTGCCATTGATCACACTCGCAATGTGTTTTGAAATCACAAGAGAACCCTTGATGACGGATCCCGGGAAAAGAGTCTTGGAGGGGTGCCGCACAGGATAAGAGTTCTCCACAAACAGGACAAGGTCATCAAACAGGAATCCAACCAACGACTTGTAGGTTGTGCCTTGGTCCGTAGAGACCTCCATTAGATCGACACATCGGATGGAACCAGCAGTATTGGGGTCAAGTTTTCCCCAATCAGCAACTGATGCCACAAGATTATCCAGCACAGGGTCATGTCTCTCGGGACCATCTCTGGGAGAGACCTGTTCATGGTAGTGAATGAAAGAGTCACGACCACCATCGTACTCGTCAGGAGTGACGTCAATCTTGAGGTTCATGTAAGAGAACCCAGGGGGCTTGGGAGTGCCGCGCTGCTTGTTCACCTGTACACTGACGATTGGTCTGACAGTCGAACAGGCTACTGCTGGAGTCTTCTCCTTCGCCAGAGGCCACAACAAAATATCTACCCCTCCTGCCGCCTTTCCTGGAGACGACTTGATGAGTTGATTGATTACATCTTCTCGTTCAAGCTGACGAGCCTTTCGAAGTCTTTCATGGTAGAGATCGTTCCATTGTGAATCGTCAATTGGCTTAGATTTTTCACCACAGACAGGACAGAGAGGTACGAGGTCCTTGTCGTCTGGTGAGACCACGTCATCGCTGAGGAACTCCATGTAGCACTGTTCGTGAGCAATGTGTTTGCACTCGAGCACAAGCTTTCGCTCGCCAGCTAGAATGAAATGCAGTGGCTCTTCACAGATGGCGCAGCTGTCGTTCTCTACGAAACGGACCTTGCCAGAGAATACAAAGGGCTTGATGGCAGGTGGCGGTGCGCTGTTGAAAGGCTCGAAGCTGTTCTTGGTTGGCGTCTTCTTTTTGGGAGGGTTGGAGTAAGGTGGGGATGTGTAGCAGGTGGATGTCGAGTTGGGTGGAGACATGACAGAGTCAGTGTAACCATGGCCAGGAGATTGTGAGTATGAGGTATGGAAAATTTGATCCTGGGGAGTCTGGATTTTAGTATCGTCAGTCTTACTAGGGCGTCTCTTCATGAATGTGAGATTGAGAGAGTTCCGTAGTCGGCTCCGAGTTGATGTAGGACTCAATGGACTTGTTAGGCTGCCATTGGAACCGTTGTGAAAAGAAGTCAAGCTCTGGTTGCTGGGGAATCGATGGAGATGGTGAGCCGACGACATTTGTGGGATTGGTAACGGTTTGGCTGTCACGGTGTCGGGCATGGGGTGATTGGTGAGTTTGGAGATATTCAGGGGCTTAACGGATTCGATAGTCGTCATGGCCGAAGAAGTGTGGGTATTTATTGAGGCTGGGGTATGCTGGAAGAGAGAGAAGGAGGGACCTCCCTAGGTATATATTAATTCTGATGATTGAATAGGCCTTTTTCGACAGGTTAATTGACTTTTGCCTCATCGTAGAGCACAAGAGCATTTCTGAAAAGTCACGTTGTTCCTTGTTCCTTTGTCTTTTGGGTATCATTCTGGGGTATACAGGTGAAGAACAACATGCTTCTGCCTCATCACTAACCCCTCTATCGGCGATGCAAGATTGGGTTGCATGATATGGAAAGGTACGCCCATTAAACAAAGAACAACGACCACTTGTACCCAGACTTTCTTCCCCAGATGTCTGCAGTATCTCGATAATTAAAGATCTGTGGCTGAATATTTCTTCCCTGAAGGGGCTGTGTATTGTATTGTCCACCAACAGTAAAACCGGGTATTGCATTAATACTTGTTTTCAGCTGTAATGTAGCTACATAGAGGGCAACACTTGCTTAGCTATAGCATCTGAGATAGGTCAAGCACGTTATTAGGCGAAAAGAACCCTGTCTTCGACATGTCACTTGATCTTGTTAGATTACTGGACGTATCAGAAAACAGCTGACATCTGTGCTTTCGAGGCTCGGTGGCGAAGGGTCTGGTGATCCCAGCTTTGTTTCTAGCTCAAGTCCAGCGATCTGGTGTAGTTTTAGTTGGAATTCCTGAACCCTGAAGGAGGGGTTCTCGCTTTCACACTGTCTACTTGAACTATCATTCGGTGAGGCAAAGGGTCCAACTTACTTGTACTGTATGTACTGTACTTGTCTTGCTCGTATCTGGGATTAGGAATGAAGGCTTGCCCCTGGAAACATGTGCTACTTGACGCGTGGACTGAAGTATGTCAGCGCTTCGGGTAGCGAGTAAGATTTCATCGTCCCGACTAATGCTTGTACTCCAATATTGTAATTCTTCATCAGGTATGATACATCATTTTTCACTATCGGTTCGCTTGATACAACAAGGGGGGCGCCTACCTACTGTACAGTTCCCATGCCCCCGTCTGTACGATACTCTCAGCTATCGTCTCTACAGTATCGGAGCCCCACCACAACAAACACCATGCATCCGTACAGTTACGCGGGGTATTGGAAGTACCACAAGAAAGGATTGATCCCGTGTAATATGTTATAATCTTCTATCTTAGGTAGATGTCCATCCGTCTAGCCATTCTCTGTATAAAATGAATTCACATCTGACAACAATTCTCAGATGAGACTGATTTTCACAGCTCGTATCCCTGTAGATCCTGACACTTTAATATCCATCTGCTATCTTGGCTTGGGTGTAGAGTCAGGTGACCTTTTTTTGTGGTCGCGAATACTTTCCTCGCTAAAGGATCCCAGGGAGCTCTTGAAGTTTTTCCCAGGCTAAAGTTTTCTCTCTCTTCCTACCAGTACATTTCGTACATACCAATAGCGAGCTGTTGAATGCATTCTTTGAGCTACTGTAGCGAAAAATCTGACGTCGTCGGAGTTAGACAGGAGGGTTTAGAACTGGATGAAACCGTTTCCACCGGAGACTACTGGTACGAACATGGCGAATGGGGTAGAGACAGATGCTCTGATGGACAGACAACCAATATTATCCCAAAACAGTATCGATATACGAAAAGATTTTCCAGACTACTTGCCACAAATGCAGCGAGCTGCACATTGATGCGTTCATGCAAGCTACAAGTACGAGTAATTTGACGTATTGGGCACTTCAAGGCAGTCTTTCGAAATGGCCAATCTGGGAGCTCGCTCACCCTCCGAGATAACTGTTGGGCACACCAGCAGGTCTCAGCAACGGTTGAAAATGGGCTCTCAGTTCAACTAATGATCCAAGAAAATACAAGTACGATGTTGTGATTGGTCGGACTACTTGTAGACGACACTAGCCAAAGCGAAAAGGCACCCACCCTATCTGAATGCTGAGCTGTGTTCAGCCCCAACTCGGAATGCTGAACTGTTGTAAGTCGATAGCCGATAGATATATATCGTAGCAAACACAAGTTGTTGACTCAAACGCATTGACAAGGAAGTACAGATCCGAGAAATTGTGCCGTGTCAACTGCTCCCAGGCACGGTCTCAATTGGGGCTATATCTCTGTATAGAGTAAGCCAGGTTGGCCCCCCACCCACGAGAAATGCACCAACCAGTCGGCGAGCTCAACAGCCGTATGGGAGCCTCTCGTTTGATGTATGTGTGACAGGAGGTGTATATTGGGGCTACTGGGTGAAAATAAAAACGCGAGAGAGAATATAGGGGTTTCAGCGAAATCCCAGTGGAGAGACCGAATCATAGTATTATAACTATGACAGTATCGTGCGCTCTCCTCTTTCATCACTTCTCTCCAATATGCGTACCATCTATCACCACTCTCTTGCTTAGCCTCCCTCCCTCCCTCTCTCTCTGTTAGACCCCCACACGCTCAACAGTACTCAATATCCGCGCAGAAAAATAAGGTTGGTGGGACATTTCTCCGGTGTGAGCGATTAGTGGGTTGTGGTGGTGCCCATAGCAGACCTAAAATTGACTCTCCTCACTTGACAACACACAGATAGAACCTGCAACTTCATCCAAGTGGCGCTTTTCTCAATCCAGTCCGTGTGAAAACAAGACAATTGACCATGCTCACTGCCGCTCGACGATCTACACGGCTCACCAGCCGACTCGGCCACCAGGTCCGAGCATACTCCATCGCTGACGATGCCGACAAGGTGAGTATTTTTTTCGCCCATTGCGTTGGGGTGTCGTGGATTTGGGTTACAGGGAGTTTTTCCGAAACATACGCCTCACGAAACACGACGAAACGGACGACACAGACATGCCATCGACGCGGGACCCCTCGGAATTGATTCTACGGATGCCATTACCCCTGGCGGTGGCGTCTCGTTGACGCTGCTGAGATTGTTAATGAGAAACGGGCCTAGAGAAAATCGAACCTCTAGGAACGCATGCACCCGGAAAAATTATTCCTCACCCACCAGCAATCCATCACAAAACGTGGCAAAACAGCTTCAATCGACCGTATACTAACCCCAGAAATGCACAATCACGCTCAAGGAGGATTCTTACACCACCTACATGCTTGATTCTCCCCCTCCTCTCGAGTTCGAGATGACCAAGGGTGAGCTTCTGCAAATGTACAAGGACATGGTGACCGTCCGACGACTCGAGATGGCTGCTGATGCCCTCTACAAGGCCAAGAAGATCCGAGGTTTCTGCCATCTGTCTACTGGTCAGGAGGCTGTTGCCGTCGGTATCGAGAAGGCCATCGACCACGACGATTCTGTCATCACCGCCTACCGATGCCACGGTTTCGCCTACATGCGAGGTGCCTCTGTCCGAGCAATCATCGCCGAGCTGCTCGGAAAGCGAACCGGTGTCTCCTACGGTAAGGGTGGATCCATGCACATGTTCACCGAGGGTTTCTACGGAGGAAACGGTATTGTCGGAGCCCAGGTCCCCGTCGGAGCTGGTCTCGCCTTCGCCCACAAGTACCTCGAGCAGACCGGAAAGGCCACCTTTGCCCTGTACGGTGACGGTGCTTCCAACCAGGGTCAGATCTTCGAGGCCTACAACATGGCCAAGCTCTGGGACCTCCCCTGCATCTTTGCATGCGAGAACAACAAGTACGGAATGGGTACCGCTGCTGCTCGATCCTCTGCCCTGACGCAGTACTACAAGCGAGGTCAGTACATTCCCGGTCTCAAGGTTAACGGAATGGACATTCTGTCCGTCTACCAGGGAGCCAAGTTCGCCAAGGAGTGGACCACACACGGCAAGGGTCCCCTCGTCATGGAGTTCGAGACCTACCGATACGGTGGTCACTCCATGTCCGATCCCGGAACCACCTACCGAACCCGAGAGGAGATCCAGTACATGCGATCCCACAACGATCCTATTTCTGGTCTCAAGGCCCACATCCTGGAGCTTAATTTCGCCACTGAGGACGAGCTTAAGTCTGTGGACAAGGCTGCTCGAGCTATGGTTGACAAGGAGGTTGCCCTTGCTGAGTCCGACCCTGCTCCTGAGGCTACTGCCAAGGTTCTGTTTGAGGATATCTACGTTCCCGGCACCGAGCCTCCTGTGATCCGAGGCCGAATCCCTTCCGAGGACTACTACTTTAAGAACTAAGTAGAGTAGAATGTAATTACTAATGTACGAGCCGTCGTTTTCTGAGAATGAGTAGAAAGCAGGAGTACAGTACATAGATTGGGTGAGCTTGAAGTGATTGTGGAAAATGTTGCGAGAGAAACATGGTGAATAGTAAGTGAGAAAGAATTTATCCCATTTATTTTATCATTTTTTGCCCTTTTAAAGGCACGCACTCGGGCTAGTACAAGCATCTGTCGTAGAATCTGCAGTAGCTATATTCTACTTGTAAATTGACCCTGCTGCACTGTGGGCTCACCACCCAATTTTAACATCTGTTACGCATATGGTTCAGAAAATAAGCACATCTACGCTGAAATAAATCCTTCACGCAACACACACGACACCAAGCACATCATGTCGAACAACAATGACATGTCTCGTTACAAATAGTGAGTATTAGAGGGGATGGTGTGATATGACTCGGCTTTGTGTGACAAACGCCATTCTGGATCACTTACTAACTACAGCGAGGAGATGTCCTCTATTGTGGTGCAGGCCGATAGAAGGCACATCAACAGAGAGAGTGGCGAAGACAAGGCTATTCCCGAGTCTTTAGTGGGAAAGATCAACGTTAAGGATATGGGATCTGGTGTGCGACGGGAGGTTCCGGATGCTGGGGTTCGTCAACAGCAGGAAAAGATGGCACGCAAGGAACGAATGACTTCCAAGCCTACTTCGGTCTACTCTTCCAGCGGTTTGTACACTCCACAAATGCCTCAAACTCGTGAAGCGTTTGAGCTGCTCATGGCATGGACGGGGCGTGTTCTTGGGGATGTATCACACGAGACTATCTGTGCTGTTACGGACGAGTTGATCGCTACTCTACGAGACGAGAAGCTGCAGGACAAGCAGCGGCAAAAGGAGATAGAGAGCATTGTTGGAAAACTATCCAACACGGACTTCAACCAGGCCATGAGTTTGGCTGCTCGTCTTACTGACTATGCTGAGAATCAGGACGAGGAGATGGCTGACGATGGAGAGAGCGGAGTGGCTGTGGTTTTCGACGGAAGCGACGACGAGGACGCCATGGACCTTTCCGAAGATGATGAGGATTTGAGTGATATGGACGGCGATTACGTTCGACGTGTGCCTGTTGCTCAGAGGGAGGGCGAGGATGAGGAAGATATGGACGTGGAGCAGACTGTTGTGGAGGCTGCCAAGGAGTCCGATTCAGACGTAATCCCTGCTACAGAAATCGACTCGTTCTGGCTACAACGTGAAATTGCATCCCTAGTCGGTGGTGATCAACAGGAGAGTATTGATCTATCTCGTCGGGTGTTTGATATTCTTGCCGGGGAGTCTTCTCTGCGTGAGACTGAGAACGAACTGTCTGAGGCCTTTGATTTCGACCATCTCGACTTTGTCGCCAAGCTGTGTCATAACAGAGACCGCGTTGTTTGGATTACACGACTTCAGCGAGCCGATGGACCTGAGAAGGACACTGTGAAGAAGCAGATGACGTCTTTGGGACTGGCATCTCTCGTCTCTGAGCTACACGGTGAAACGGAGACTTCGGAAGATGTGGATATGGACGTCACAGAAGATGCTTCTCAGACTTACGTTCCCAGATACATTGATACACAGTCACTTGTGTTTGATCAGGGTGCTAGACTCCTGACATCTTCGAAGGTCAAGCTCCCAGCAAACACTACAAAACACAGCACCAGTCAGTACGAAGAGTTTGTCATTCCTGCTCCTGAAAGAGCTATCCCTGATGCTAATGAGAAGGTGGTATCAATCGCTGATATGCCTTCTTGGACACATGTTGGCTTTTCTGATACCAAGTCTCTCAATCGAATTCAGAGCAAGGTGTTCCCCTGTGCATTCGAATCTGACGACAACATGCTTATTTGTGCACCCACCGGTGCTGGTAAGACCAATGTTGCATTCCTGGCCATGCTGCGGTGCCTGTCTCATTTCAGAGCTCCCAATGGAGGCTTTAGAACCAATGACTTCAAGATGGTGTACATTGCCCCGCTCAAGGCTCTGGTCCAGGAGCAGGTCCGAGAGTTCAGCAAGCGACTCAACTCCATGGGATTGAAAGTGTCCGAGTTGACTGGTGATCATAATCTGACTAAGCAGCAGATTGCAGAGACTCAGCTGCTGGTGACCACGCCGGAAAAATGGGATGTCATCACCCGAAAGGCTGCCGATTCCAGCTACACCAACCTCGTCAGACTGATTGTTATTGATGAGATTCATTTGCTGCATGATGAGCGAGGACCTGTCCTTGAAAGCATTGTTGCGCGAACAACACGTCGGTCAGAGCAGACTGGAGACCCTGTTCGAATCGTTGGTCTCTCTGCCACGCTTCCCAACTTCAAGGATGTCGCATCGTTTCTTCGAGTTGGTGAGACAGGTCTTTTCTACTTTGATTCCACTTTTAGACCTTGTCCTCTGGGACAGCGGTTCCTTGGTATCACCGAGAAGAAAGCTTTCAAGCGATACACAGCCATGAACGACGCATGCTTCGACAAAGTGATTGAAAACATCAAGGCTGGACACCAGGTGATTGTCTTTGTGCACTCCCGAAAGGAGACCGCCAAGACAGCTCGAATGCTGCGAGATCGTGCCATGGACGAGGGCCTGCTGCCTCTTTTTTGTGCCTCTGATGGCAGTCGTCGAACTCTTGCAGAGCGTGCCCAAGATCCTGAACTCGATGCCACACAGAAAGAGATCATCGGAACTGGTCTCGCTACCCATCATGCTGGTCTTGCACAGGTTGACCGTAAGGCTGCGGAGGAGCTCTTTGCTGAGGGACATGTCCGTGTTTTGGTGTCTACTGCCACTCTGGCTTGGGGTGTCAATCTTCCCGCACATACCGTCATCATCAAGGGTACTCAAATTTACAATCCTGCCAAGGGTCAATGGACCGAGCTGTCTCCTCAGGACGTTCTCCAGATGCTTGGTCGTGCTGGTCGACCTCGATACGACGACTCTGGTGAAGGTATCATCATTACTACCCACGGGGAACTCAACTACTATCTGTCGCTGATGAACCAACAACTCCCTATTGAGTCTCAGCTTATGTCACGGCTGGAGGATTCTCTTAACGCAGAGGTTGTCGGTGGCACAGTTTCTTCGGTGGGTGATGGTATTCAGTGGCTAGGTTATACTTACCTCTACGTCCGAATGCTTGTTTCTCCTGGTATATACCTTGTTGGATCTAATCCCGATGATGCCGCTCTTACTAACCGACGTGCCGACCTCGTTCATTCGGCTCTCAGCAACCTGGCCAAGTCTGGTCTCGTCATCTACGACACCAAGACTGGCCGTGTGCGTGCCAACGATCTAGGTAGAGTGGCTGCACATTACTACATCACTCACTCGTCTATGCGAACATACCGAATTTCTCTCAAGCCCCATTTCTCCATTGTGGAGCTGTTCCAGGTGTTCTCCGCCTCTGAGGAGTTCAAATATGTGGGAGTTCGCCAAGAAGAGAAGCTAGAGTTGGGAAAGTTGCTGGAATCGGCACCCATCCCTGTTCGAGAGTCCGTTGAGGACTCCACTGCCAAGATCAACGTTCTTCTTCAGGCTTTCATTTCCCGACTGAGTCTCGAGGGCTTTGCACTGGTATCCGATATGATATACGTGACCCAAAGTGCCCAGCGTCTGTTCCGAGCCATCTATGAGTTCTGTCTGAGAAAGAAATGGGCTCGACTAGCCCGAATTACCCTTGACGTGTGCAAGATGGTTGAGCAGCGTCTGTGGCTATCCTCTTGTCCTCTCCGTCAGTTTCCTGACTGCCCTGCTGAGGTTGCCAAGAAAATTGAGGCTTCTGCTATGCCTTGGAAGCGGTACTTATCGCTGGAGAATGCAGAACAGGTTGGAGAAGCTATCCGAACTCCTCGATATGGCACTCCTGTGTTCCGAATGCTTCAGAAGTTCCCCCAGCTCAAGCTGTCTGCTCGCGCACTGCCCGTTACTGCCTCTCTCGTGCGACTGGAGATTGAGGTGGAGCCCAGTTTTGAGTGGGACGTTTCTATTCACCATGGTTCCGAGCCTTTTGCTCTGACTGTGGAAGACGGAGACGGTGAGAAGATTCTTTACTCGGACTCGTGGACCCTACGGCGAGATTACGCCACTGAGACTCACTTAATTGAGGTGTCTGTCACTGTTGCTGACCCCCGACCTCCTCATCTATTTGTGACTCTGTCTTCCGAGAGATGGTTGCACGCCGACGCTCGTCTGGCTGTGCCTTTGCGAAACATTGTCTTCCCAGGAAAGTTCCCAGCCCCTACTCAGCTTATTGATCTGCAGCCTGTCCCTGTTGTTGAGCTAAAGCGAGCCGATTGCGCCGGGCTCTACGACTTTTCTTTCTTCAACAAGATCCAATCGCAGCTGTTCAGACCTCTTGTGGAGGGCGACGGCTCCGTCTTTGTTGGAGCTCCTCCTGGGTCTGGTAAGACTGTTCTCGCCGAGCTGGCTCTACTGAGACTGTGGAATGAAGATGCTGATGCCAAGACTGTGTACTTGGCTCCCACACAAGCCCAAGTTGATGCTCGCTACGATGATTGGAGTCAGCGAATGAACGAGATTCATGGAGGAAAGACCTTCTCAAAGCTGTCTGGTGAGCTTGCTGCTGACTTACGGAAGCTGGCCACCTCCGATGTGGTTTTGGCCACTCCTAACCAGTGGGATTCTTTGTCTCGACGGTGGCAGAAGCGAGCTGCTGTCAGAGCTGTAAGCCTGTTCATTGCCGACGACGTGCATCTGGTTGGCGGCGATGGTACCTACGAGACTGTCGTTTCTCGAATGAGATATATCGATGTACAGTTGCAGGAGAGTGGTGCTGGACGACCTCTTAGAATTGTCGGACTGGGTGTTCCTGTTGCCGATGGAGTAGATATGGCTGGATGGCTTGACGCCACTCCCTACAACTTCAAACCTTGGACTGCTTCTCCTACCAATATCCACATTCAGTCGTTGTCCATCCCTCATCACCCTTCTCTCATGCAGGCTTTCCTTCGACCTACATACAATGCCATTCTTGAGCTTGCTCCCCCCAAGCACTCCCAGACTGTGATCTTTGTGGACTCTCGTCGAACTCTTGTGGATGTGACCATTGGTCTTTCCACGATTGCGGACGAGCAAGTTCTGGTGCCTCCTGTTCCTGAGGACTCCAATTTGGAGCTTGCTATGGCACAGGTGACTGACAACACTCTCAAGGAGGCCATTCAGAGCGGTATTGGCCACCTCTACCCCAGCATGTCTTCCAGAGACCGTAAGATTGTGTTGGCACTGTATGCTGAGCAGTCCATCTCCACAATCATTGCTACCCGTGAGGAATGTTGGACCTCGCCTCGTTCTCAACTGAGTGTCATTCTTGGTACCCAGACCTACGAGGGATCTGAGCACCGATACGTCAACTACCCCATCTCTACGGTCTTGCAGATGATTGGACAGGCTTCCAACGACGCCCTGGTGCTGACTCCCGCTGCTGCCAAGGACTACTACCTGCGGTTCCTCAACGATTCTCTTCCTGTGGAATCCAACTTGGGAGCATCCCTACATGATGCTCTTTTGGCAGAGATCTGTGAGAAAGTGATAGAGTCCATGGATGACACTGTGGCCTGGTTAACCTACACGTACCTGTACCGACGCCTGCATGCCAATCCTGGTTTCTACGGTGTCCCTGACCGATCAGATGATGCTCTCAACGTCTATCTTTCTGAGCTCGCTGAGACTACTGTAGAACAGCTTGTTGAGGCAAAGATGGTCGAGATGGACGACGAGGGTGGATTGGAGCCTCTCAATGCTGCATCCATTGCATCCTACTACAACGTGTCTTTCGATACTATGGCTACTCTCACATCTGCCCTCTCTCCCAAGAGTAAGTATAGATCTATCTTGCAGGCTGTCACCACTGCAGCTGAGTTTGACTCTCTTCCCATCCGAAACCACGAGGACATTCTGTTGAGACGTCTTTATGGCCACATCCCCTGGAAGCTTCCCGAGCTGGACTCTGCTGTTCTTCTCACTCCTGCTTTCAAGGCCTTTGTGCTGGCTCAATGTCATATTGCTCGGCTGAATCTCCCTTCGGAGTTGACTGCTGATCAGGCCGAGGTTGTCCAGCTGCTGCCTACCCTGCTGGCTGCCTCTGTTGATCTTCTGGCTTCTGAGGGCCATCAATCATGCATGTACGCAATGGACCTGTCCCAAATGGTTGTTCAAGCTACTCTTGAGTCTGATTCGCCTCTGCGACAGGTGCCTTTTTTCACTCCCGAAATCATCGACGATCTCAGGGGGGCGGGGGTTGAGGCAGTCGGAGACATTTCCGAGCTGGACGAGGACAAGCTCAAGGGCATTCTCAACTTTACTGCGAAGCAACTCAAGCGTGTCATTGACTTTGTGGACGCCTACCCAAGTATTCAGCTCAGCTATGAGCTTGCTGACTCTTACGCTACTAACGATGTCGGAACCATCGAGGTCACTGTGGAGAGAGATGTGTACGAGGAGGATGAGCGTGCTAATCTGGAGGTGGTTGCTCCCCTGTTCCCCCAGCCCAAGACGGAGAACTGGTGGATCGTGGTTGGAAATACCAAGACAAAGCAGATTTTTGGTATCAAGCGAGTCACCTTGCCTCTCGAGTCCCAGACTTTCAACATCGATGTCTCGTTCCCCGAGCATGGAGAGGTCAGTGGTCACGTTTGGTGCATTTGCGACTCGTATGTTGATGCGGATGCCGAGAAGAAGTTCACAGTGACTGTGGCTGAGGGTGAGGAAGCGGAAGAGGTTGAAATGGAGGAGTAAGAGGATGATCATAAATTATGTATATTATTATTGTATTGTATAACCTTGCATTGACTGTGCCTGTGGACTGCTCTTGTGTTTTAATTAAATAATGCTTGTTATATTATATGCTGCTACGGATATCTGTACGTACCGTTGTTATCGAGCAGCAATTTCTTTTTTGGCTTGTTCGACTTCTCTGAGACCCTCTTCAAGATCCTTTTCATCGATATCCATGGCATCCTCGGGGGCAAGTCGGTAACCTCCATCCTTTTTGGATCCCTGGTACTCCTGAAGCTGCTCCAATGACCACACTGAAACACCCTCCTGGTCTTCCTTGTTCATAGGCTGGGCCATAGTTCGCAAAAACTTCTTGGCTGCAGCTAGAGCCATATCTGTGGACAGATTTGTGTCAGCATCCAAAATGGCCTGGTTGATCCATTTGGGCAGCTGGTTTCGCTTCTTGGCAAAACGTCTGTCAGCCAACACCATGACACCGTAGTCATCTTTACCTCGCAAGACTCGTCCCAGACACTGGGCAGCATGGCGCATGGCATCGAAAGACAAGAAGTCGTTCTCTCGAATGTGGTAGTTATCTCGCAAAAACTCGAGACGAGCCTTCAAGATACGCGACTCGGTGTACTGAAAAGGAACACCAATCATAAGCACAGTTCTTCCAAACTGGTGGTCGAAATCGATACCTTCCGAAACCTTTCCTCGAGCGACACAGAGCATGACAGCGCCTCGACCGTTGGAGCAGGCAGTTCGGTAAGTTTCTAAGGCAAGAGAGGTTTCCTGAGCATCAGGAGTCTCGACCAGAATGAGTTTGTACTTCCACACTTCGTCCAGAATACCCATAGTCTGCCACATGGAAATGATAGACTCCATGTAAAGATATGAAGGGAAGAAGACGACAAGGCCATCAGGTGTGATCTTAGAAAATTCAATCAGAAGGTTACCGTAGTTTCGGACAACTGAAGGATCGTTTCGGATCTCGAATCGAGAACTGATGGCTACCTGGTCTGAACCCTTGGTCACAATGAGAGGACAGAAGGCTCGCCGTGCCAGTGTCATGGTGTACGACTCCTGAACCACAGTCTCGAAGTTCAACATTTTCGGGTACATATCTAGAGGGGAGATGGTACCGGATGTGATGATGATGCTTGAGAACCGATCAAAGACAGGCTTGATAGCAATGGAGGCGTCCAAACATGTAAGATGCAAAATGGGGTTAGGAACGGTGGCCTGATCGGTCTCAAAGGGCTCCAGAATGAGCTGGAAGCCGGTGTCGTAGGTAGACACCAAGGTGGCGAACACAGCAATCTCCTTGAGAGCAGTGTAATCATCGACGTGAGTCAACTCGAGGGTTCTGACCAGGTACGATAGACGCTCAGCGCAGAATCGAAGAGGCTTTCGTTCAATGTATGTCAAATCTCGAAGATGTTTCAAGAACGATGCAGGGGTTTCGGAAATGACATGAAGCACCTTCATTCGACTCTTGAGATATTCAATGAATCGTTTCAAGAAGGCCACGAAATGTTCTGCCTTTCGAATGTTTCCAGGCACAGCTTCCGAAATAAGATCTTCAGGGAGCACAGGGTTAGCGAGAAACGTATCTTCTTGTTCTCCGGATTCCAGATCTCGCAATCCATCCACCAGTTTGTTGTATTCATTTTTCAATTTCTCAGAGTCGCTGGATCGGGCCTCACTGACCTTCTTGGCCAGATGGTTTGCTCCCCGAGTGGCTCGTTTCAGGGAGTCTTCAGTAATGTCGACAGACAGAGCCTCAATGCAGACGTTGTCGATATTATGGGCCTCATCAAAAATGACAATGCAGTCTTTGCTCAGCTCCTTGGAAACTCGGTCGGCGATCTTGGGATCGAGTAGATAATGATAAGAGTAGATGATGACGTTGCAGAAGGCCATCATTCGACGCACAGTAAAATAAGGACATGTCTTGTGCTCCTCGCCATACGCCAAAATGTCCTCAAAGGTGAAAACACCAGGTGGAATGTAGTTGTGAGGCTCAATGTCGTTCATGTTCTCGTGGTATTCACATAGAGTAACGTCTTCTCCTGCAGCCAGCTTCTGCTTGGCAATTCCAGATGTCATGGCTCGGCACTTCTCGTCGACAATGTAACCTTTCTTTTCGTATCGCACATTGGGATTCAGACACAGGTTCTTTCGTGAGGTCAGACCCAGCCCTCTAAAGTCCTCCTCAAAGCCTAGAGTCTCAGTTCGAAACTTCATGAGGTTCTTCAACTCAGCCAGAGCCTTCTCGATCTCCGACATTGTTCGGGAACAATAAATGATCTTTCGATGCTCGGGATAGTGTTGCTGGTACGCCACTGTCAGAGACAACAGGGAGACAGTCTTGCCTGTTCCTGAAGGCATTTCCAAGATGCAGTTGCCTCCCACGTCCAGGGTTTTCTTGATGTCGCACATGTAGGCATACTGCTCGGGATAGATCCGAGGGTATGGCCACAACACCGGCAGATCATCGATGTAGAACTTCATCTCTGGTGGTTGATCTGTCGCAACGAATGGTGCTACTGATATATCAAGGTTGTGTAATGCATGGCGTCGTGGTTAGGGTAGATTGTTTTGGGAGGAGCTGGGGATCTGAAAAATTTATCAGGAGTGTGTAAACGGCTCATAACCCAATAATGGTATCATTAATAGTAATCATGTCCGTAAGCTGTCTATCTGTCTACTTTTTAATTCTGATCTTGTGTGCATGTATTCCTGGATGCTCATAACCTCTGAACCCTAATAAGTTTTTTCAAGCGCTGTAGCTAAATTTTTTTTTCATCCTGCAGTCTCACACATCACACTACAACAATGGGCAAAGACAAGGGAGATATCACCGTTGAGATTGACGAGGTCGACAACTACGACGCTCGAATGGAGGCTCTGCTGCCCTTCGCCAAGCCTCTTGCCCCCAAGAAGCTCAACAAGAAGGTGCTCAAGACCGTGAAGAAGGCTTCCAAGGCCAAGCACGTTAAGCGAGGTGTCAAGGAGGTTGTCAAGGCTCTCCGAAAGGGCGAGAAGGGTCTTGTCATCATCGCTGGAGACATTTCTCCCATGGATGTCGTCTCTCACATTCCCGTTCTCTGTGAGGACAACGGTGTTCCTTACCTCTTCATCCCCTCCAAGGAGGATCTCGGAGCTGCCGGTGCTACTAAGCGACCCACTTCCACCGTCATGATTGTTCCCGGCGGAGGCAAGAGTAAAAAGGCCGACACCAAGGTCGAGTACAAGGAGAACTTTGACGAGATTGTCAAGGACGTCAAGAAGCTCGAGGATTAGTTATTTATAATGTACACTAGCATGAGAAAGGAAGGAAGAGGGTGTCAACTAATCTTGACAGTAGGGTCCGATGGTTAGGATAGTCGGACTAAATTATGTATAGAATGTTACCTATTCGATTTGTTGCTCGTAGTGGGATTGTCCGAGTGCAGCAATACCTCCTTCAATGTCAGACGCTACAGTATGTACAAGTACCGGTACTGTAGATACTTCATACACTATTAAGGACTGTACTTGTGCTTTTTTCTGTATTGTAGTTGGATCCACGAGTGGAGGGCGTTGCTGCTGTAATATATCTTCTCGTTTCTTCATCAATAATTATCTAGATACTCTAGGGGCATGGTCTCATTACTTCGTCATCGGGCCTTGTCGTCTTAGTAGTGTCACCTTAGTGGTGGTGGTCCAACCACTCGAGAAAGTCGGGGGTAAAGTAAGAGATAAGGAGGTTGGCTCCGGCTCGCAGGTTACCGTAGGCCGCCTCGAAGGCCATCACCTCCAGATCAACAACGCCCTTCTCGGCAGCTGCGTGGATCATGGCGTACTCTCCGGAAACCTGGTAGGTAGCAATAGGCACGTCCTTGCAGATCTCAGCAGCGTCCACCACGATATCCAGGTAAAAGGTGGAAGGCTTGACAATGACGGCATCGGCACCTTCGGCCAGGTCTCGAGCAAGAGCTCGTCGAGCGAGACCTCGACCGCCAGCGGGGAGCTGGTATCGCTTTCGGTCTCCGTGGCTGGGAGCAGAGCAGGCAGCCTCTCGGAAAGGTCCGTACAGGTTTCCGGAGAACTTAGTGTAGCTCATAACCATGACGTTGTGGGCAAGACCGGCCTTGAGCAAGCCCTTTTTGATGTCGTGGATTCGACCGTCAATCATGTCCGAGGGTGCCACACAGTCAGCTCCTGCCTTGGCGTAATTGACAGCCACGGCAGCCAAACGTCGCACAGTTGTGTCTCGGATAACAGTTCCGTCCTCTCGAAGAACGCCGCAGTGACCGTGCGAGGTGTACTCGCACAGGCAAACGTCACACATGACAAACAGGTCAGGGAAGGCCTTCTTGAGAGCCTTGGTGGCCTGAATAACGGGTCCCTCGGGATCATCCGCAGCAGTTCCCTCAAGATCCTTAACACCCTCCTTCATAGGAACACCGAAAAGAATGACAGATCGGAGGCCCTTCTTGACCAGAGAGTCGACGTAGGGCACCAGCTTGTTGACGCCCCATCGCTTCTGGCCGGGAAGAGAGCTGATAGGAGTCTCCTCCTCGGGATCATCAGTGACGAAAAGAGGATAGATGAACATATCCTTGGTGAGGCGGTTCTTCTGCTGCCACTGTCGAGACAGAGGGTGGGCGTAACCGCCGCTCAGAATGGAGGAGATCTGGGTCTCGTGTTCTTCAAGGTACTCGGCTTTGTGGACCATGGTGGTGTGATAATGTGATGAGTGTGAAATTTCATGCACGTACACACTTGAGTTTGCGTTGTGGGGGAGTTTGGGACGGACAGCTCATTAAGCCAGCAGAGAAATAGCGTTGCTCTTGTAGTAAGAGGGTGTTACAGAAGCAAGGCAATGAGGTAGCTGGCGTAGACCAAGATCCTTACCACCTTCCTGGTATCGCTATACGACCTCATTTCCCGATTGGCATTACTGACGCTTTTCCTAGTCGTTAACTAAACAGTAGCCTAAAACTTCAAGTAATCTCTTCCAGGTTGAATAACTCAAAATTCCTCCTCTTGCGCACGGCCCACAAGAAGGGTCTAGAACTTCGGATGCCTAGCAATTAATGTTGAGCTAGTCATGGAGCCTGTTTCAGACCCTCGCAGTAGAATATCGCCACTAAATATATCCGGGAAAAAAAACGCAACCCAATATGAAGCATCTACCACTACCAACATTCTACACTACGCAGTATCGGCCTCAGGCACACCCTTCATCTCACCGGTGCTCATAACCTCAGATAACGATACCGAATCTTATACCAAAATATCCAAAGTTAGTGCGGACCAAGTGCATATCATAAACAGCCTAAACTCCAGCTTTCAAACAGAACCATATGGACTGCCATTCTGAACACGTTGAACACGATCACGGTGACCACGGCCACGACCATGGACACGACCACAGTCACGTTCCCCAGCCCCATACCTCTTCGGCTCAGACTCTGTATAATCGGATTTCGCACGCTGGCATCCGAACCCTGAACGAGTCTGAAGAGGGAGCCGGAGCCTCTGTCTTCAAGGACTGGGAGTCCCGTCTGGACACCTCCAAGTACCTGGAGAGTGACGTGGACGAGCAGCTTCTTATCCACGTGCCATTCACGGGTCTGTGCAAGATCCACTCGCTGCTCATTCGAACCACCAACGACGACTCTGCCCCTCGACACATGAAGCTATTCAAGAACAGAGATGACCTCGACTTTTCCACCGCCTCCGATCTCACTGCCAACCATGTGATCGAGCATCCCGAGGGGGTCGGAGGCACTCTGGATCACTCCATTGAGGTCGCCCCTACGTCGTCGTCTCTGGATGAAGAGGGTATTGCTGAATATGCACTTTCGCGGGCCCAGTGGTCCAACATCACGAGTCTGACGCTGTTTGTGGAGGACAACTACGGCGAGGACGTGACCCGAATTCTTTACATTGGTCTACGTGGCGAATTCAAGGAACTTAACCGAGCCCCCGTCGTGACGCTGTACGAGTCAGCCGCCAACCCCGCGGATCACAAGAAGATTGTGCCTGGCGAGGAGTATGTTGGAGACACGCTTTAATCAGCCAATTCCAAGAACCTTTAGTACGTATCACCTGTATTTATTTAAACCAAAGTGTTGTATATATGAAGCCAATAAATATTGATGTTTTTTTATGTTCTTGACCAGTCCGCCCTGTGTGCTTTGTTTAACTTGCGTATATCCTTATTCTCACACCGTTTGAATTGCGATGCTGTATAATGCGGATGAGCCGGTCATGTGGGGAGATGAGCCAGCCACAACATCGAATAAGGGCAGATTGTGCGAAGCATTATTCAGACACTCTCGCGCAGACCCCTATAAGCACTCATACAAGTACGAGTAGCTATATACTTGCCCTATATTTCTCTATCGTACAAGTACTTGTTCTCGTTCTGGAGTAGCTATATATAAGTTAATCCTATTTACACTACAAGTACCATGTGCGATCTTGCAGTTAAAACCTGTGCGAGAGGGAAGGTCTCGATAATAAATAATAGACAATGAGACCCATGGAAAAATTAGCGAGTAGCTTGCCTAACCAAGAAAAAATAACCCATCATCCAGCCTGAATTATCTTGGGCACACTGGCTCACGTCAGCCTCATGACCCTCTTGAAACGCGACAGTCGAGAGGTTGCTGCAGGCGGCAGTTCTGCAAGAGGTATCTGCGTCTGCGAGGACAATGAGGGGCTATCATCTGACCCTGAGGTCGTCGTGGTGGTGGCTGTAGCTGTACTAGTGACCCTAGTATCTACAGTTGGTGTGGGGACCTGCCCATTGCTAGCCAGCCAGTCAGGCATGGGAGGGGGTGGGGGAATGTAATATTGTGTCTTGCACAGCGGACAAGACGCATTTCGATTAGTCATCCAGGGAGTGATGCAAGAGAAGTGAAACACGTGGTTGCACTTAAGAACACGGATCTCATCACAGTCCTCTAGCTGCTCGATGCAAATCGCACACGTATCGGGATCTGAAGGTGGCTCCACTCTGTCGGTTCTAGAGTTTGTTTCCGTGAGCGATAACGCAGATGCACCTGCAGAGTTAGATAACGACAAAAATCCCACATTACCGATATCCTCCTCCACGACGATGGTAGTGTGGTTTGCGGAGTCTTCAATAGCGTCATCGCTGAAAGCCTCCATTTCCTTTTCTGTCATGTTTCTTTCTGCGACTTCTTTCTCCAGTACCTTTTCGTCCACGCTCTTTTCGTTGGTGTATGTACCGTTTTTCCAGTCGGCGTAGCGTGTCATAGGGAAGTTGTCGTCCATGAATGCCAGCGACACCACCTTCTTTTGTCGCTTCCTTCGCTGCCTGGCTCTGGGATGGCCTCCTGTCATCACCATACCGCGGGCAATCATGGGAATCATGGGATCGGGAGATTGGTTCTCAGGATCCGACACAGCTCGTTGTCGCTGGCGTCGTCGATATAGGAACCGGATGCCCAGAATGATCCAGAGATTGACAAAGACAATTCCAAGAGCGAGGGCAATGAAGAACAGATAGTTCTGTGTAGTAGAAGTGTTGCGTTGTTGCTGAGAGTTTGGGTTTGTGGGGACACCAGAAGGAGGCCCACTTTGAGTTGATGTGGGTCCTAGAGTGGCCGTTAGTGAGGTGACTAAAGTGTTGAAGGTCGTAGGCGTAGCCGGTGTATTTGTGGGTGTCCCTGTCAAGATTGTGATCGACGCGGTGGTAGACATTTTAGGCCAGGTAGATGCAGAGACCTATATGCTGTCGGGTGATATGTAGATGTTGTGCGTGTGGAGGTTTAAGAAGGCCCTTTCTGCAAACAGAAACAAATGGATGGAGGTTCTTTGTCTGTGTACTGTAAGCTGTCTGTACTTGAACCGGCACTTCGATGTGTCAGTAAAACAATTCAGAGGGCGAACGGATGTGCACGAAACGAGCGGCTGTGTCCACAACAGGAAACCTTTGGGCGAAAGAGGTTCCAGAAGAATGGCAGATGCAGGAAAAATACACCTGGGGACTTTTAGAGTACCAGTCTAGAGGCGATCGGCTCGTTTTTATCGTAAAAAAGCGGTTGCATGCTTTTATATCAACACCCACCACCTTGCATAATCCGCCAAGATTTGCACATTAACTCACATGACCCTCAGCCTCACTGTCATGAACCCAAGTATAAAGAAGCTTATCCACGAGGCTCGTATCCACAGCTCAAGGTCATTCTAGAGATGTTTGTGGGCGTCCCAGACGCCGGCCCTCGGCTCCTCGTCCCATTAGGCAACCCCAGCATGGACTATATTTCGGTACCTTACTTTGTCTGTCGCCCGTACACCTGCCTCTTTGTCGCTACTCTCTTTATTTCGCCAAGAATTAATTAGTCTAGCAATTTGTGTTTTTTAGCCTTCCCATGTCTCTTACTTGGCACCCGGGGGTAGATCTTAATTAGTCACCGAGGACCAAAGACGCGAATTATCAACCCTTACACATCATGGCAGTGTCTAGTCACTCTGCGATTTTCGCACTATCAAAAACTTATAGTAACCCTGGCTAACCGCAGAACCATACCAAGACACGCCAATGCCCAGCACGTATAGACTGTCAATGATGGTTGCCGCCGTACTCAGAAAGCCAGCCACACTATACAAAGAGTTATTTGCTTCGTAGGGCTACATTTCCTTTTTTTATATCCTCTCTTCGTCTTTGCCACACTGATTGTAAAAGTCGATATCACATCACCCACTTTTTAGTCTCACGCACGTTGCACACGTTATTGCTATCGGCGTTCCACCCCACTGAAGCAGCCTAAAAACTGAGACTGACAGGGAGCGTCTTTAACGCACCCCTCCTAGCGCTACACCGTGGCGGAGTAATTATAAAACATGTCACAATATACATTTCATACTTAGTGAGAACCGGCTCCTCGAGAAACTCGCTCGAGAACAGATTCGTAAGCAACCTCGGAGAAGTCAGTACCCTGGATCTCGGTGGAGATACCGGTAAGAGCCCGTCGGAGAGAGTCCTTGGAAGAGGCGTAGATCATCTTGCTTCGGACAGGAGCGGTATCGGGAGACCAGGTGAAGAAGACAAGCTTGGATCGCTTACCCTCACCGCTGGAGATCTCGTACTCAAAGTCGTAGACGGCGTATCGGCAGTCGTTCTCGGGCAGCTTGCCGAGGAAGGTGTCGTAAGAGTCGGTGGTTCCCTCCTCCTCGACAACAATCTCGGTCTTGGCATCGTTGATCTTGTAAATGATGAAGGTGACCTTCTTGCCGAGCTTGAGCTCGTTGAAAGCCTGGAGGGCAGAGTCGTTAACGGCAACACCGGATCGGGACTGAGTTAGCTATGTATGACAACGTTGTGTTCCATCACATATATAAATCTCCACTTGCTCTGAATATTCCCCTTCCATATCGACCTGCTTCATCGCATGCTACAACGGCGAGCATGTTTTCCATCACCCCATTGTTCTCGTGCTTCAAAAGTTAAAGGGCAATACTGGGGCCTTTGTGGCAGAAGCCGCATATCGAGAGGGTCATATGCCGAACCAACAAGAATCAGACGAAAGAAGGTACAATAGGCGCGAGGCGGCAAAGACGTGGCTGGATGGTCATACGCTTGGGTATCACCGTGACAGCCGATGAGACATACGACACACCATTGTGCTTTTCGAGCAACATGGTTGAAACATCAATCTTGTAAACGCAGACAAAGTGACATCACCAGAAGGGGGTCATCATTCTTGCAGTTGCCATGTAGTTTGGTGGTGTCATGTCTTTCTCGGATCGTTCAAATTGTCGATGCTCGTCTTATCACACCCCCATGATGCCATGAGTCCCGAACCCCAAACCCCAAGCGCCATTAAATTCCAAGTCGTCGATGTCGTCGTTATGACACAAGGATCATTCTGTAGACTCCAACCAGATCTCTCAAGTGCCCAATTCGCCCAATTGCATTGCCCGCAGGTCGAAATCCGGGTTGACTCCACGTTGTTTACTCACCATTTTTAATGAATAGGTTGTGTGTAGCTGAGAACTTGGGTGAGGTGTTGCCAGCTGTACGTTGCGGGAGCTTATACTTCCGGGTAAGTTGGTGCGGTCACGTGCATAAAAGGGGCACACTGACCAACTATAAATAGTGGTGATGTTAAAACAGCGGTGAGACGTCACGATCCGCACTAAAAAAGTGGAGTAATTTAACCCTGCAACTGTGGTTTTATTGTCAATTCTTCTAGTGCTTAACTGACAAATTAAATTTCTATATACATATATGCATTGATAATGTGGAGAGCTGGCATTTTCAGACTGTCACGCATTCACCATATTACCAGATATAGCCCATCTACAGCTACAGATCAGATGTTTTTTTCCCCCCTCCGAACTCCCTCGTGACTATTAGCAGTAATCATAACCTTGTGATTACTGTAGCCCCTCTTAATTGGTGAGGAAGGCAGCGTTTCGGTAGAAACTGGTCATGGGGTTCTCACCGGTCTTGGTAGTGGTTGCATCAAGGTCGGCCCATTGTTCCAAGAACTCCTGATGGGTAGAAATCTCAGGCACTCTGCCACACACGTGACGAAGAAGCTGCGCAGCAAGCTCAAAGTCGGTGGGGAAGAGAATATCGAAGTAACCCTGCAGAACCATATGTGTGTTAGTGGTGACCATCTGGTTGTCAAGCACTGTCTGAACCACAGGAGAGTTGTATCCGGAGAACCGTGAAGTGGTGGTCTCGGGCAGATGTGTGAAATCAGAAGACAGCAATCTAGCCTGGGGGAAGTACTTCTTGAGAATATACAGGAACTCGAGGTATCGAGTGGGGATGAACTCGGGGTCAGACAGTTCAGAGTGGAAGGGCCACATGAGGTTTCGGGCCTCTTTGTAAAGCCAAGGGGTAGACAGAGGATGGAAACCGAGTCTGCTATCGGGAGAGTAGTCCTCAAGAGCCTCCGTTCGGATCTGAAGGAAAAGCTTGGTCCATTCGTCGAGCTTCTGAGTATACACCTCGTGGAAGTCTCCATTGGCATCAACCAGAACATGACCCTGGTAGGGCTGCAAAGTTCGGTTATCGTATCGGACGATATCGTGGGCAAAGTTGTCAAAAACTTCGAGGGCGACAAAGAAGCAGGGGTCGTTGACGGGCTCCTTCCAATCAAAAATCGACTTGTTGATGATCTCGACCTTGGACCGATGACCGGTCTCGGACGCCTTGGTGTGCAGAGCACTCTGCTGCTTGTGAGCCAGCTGGTCGGAAATCTCAATGACCTTGTATCGGGTTCGCTCGTATACCTCGGGCTGAGTATCTCGAATATAGTCGAGAATGTTGGTCATGAGCGTACCGTTACCTCCTCCCATTTCGTAGATGATCAGATCCTTGTAGGGGTATAGCGAGAGCTTGTAGTTGACCAGCAAGTATCGTGCCAGAGCCTCTCCGTAGTAAGGCTTGAACAGCTCGGTGGGGGTATGCCACAGCTGTTTCGAGGCGCCCCTCGATGTGAAGTCCTTGTCCTGAGCGGGAAAGGTACCCGAATGGCTCGTATCTTTTGTCTTACCCGTCAAAGTCGGGCTGTTAGCTGCGTATTTGGAGTACTCTCCGGTCCACGTGTTGAGGAAGTCGTCCACATCATTGATATTCGTGTAATCGAACGGTTTGTCGGTGGTGAAAATCTCCACGTTCCGGGAGAAGTAGCCGTAGTAGGGGTTGTAAAGAGAGTCGTCCATGAAGTCCTTGGCGGTCATTCGGACTCCTCTGGGCCGTGAGGAGCTCTTGGACAGCTTCTTGGATGTCATCAGAGGGTACTTGCTGAACGACTCCGCATTGTCCTCCATTCGGTACACGTAAGTCGTGGGTCGCACCGAGTAGTCATGCACAAAGGGCTGTTTCTTGCCGGTCTTGCCAGAATCAGGTGCTGCCGAGGGCTCACCCTTGGGGTTCGGCAGCGACTTTTTGGAGGACGTTCGGGCGAAGATCGAGTAGCTTCGCGTAGCGGGCATCCGCATTCGGCCCAGGCGGGAGGGCAATCGGTTCATTGTCGTTGCTGCTGGGCTGTTTGGCCGGGTTCACCTGCAGTACAAATTATCACCTTTATGCCGGTGTACACTAACGATAAATAGACGTTGGGTGATTTGTTCATGCAGCAGACATGTCGAAAAAAGACTGAAACCGAAGCACTGTAAATACTGTAATTGCATAACCAGATATAGCATCCAAATCCAGCTTAACCGGCAACCGTCTACACCATGAGTTTACCGAAAGTTCGTGAGTACAAGAACAACAAGTGACAGACATACCCACCATGACACTAATACAGACATTCTGGGAGCAGGTTCAATCGGATCTCTGCTGGCGTACAACCTGGCCAAGGCTCAAGTCGTCGCCCCCGTGTTGATGCTGAGAGATGCAGCTCGACAGATGGACTTCAAGAAGCGAGGCTCGTCAGTCTACTTTTGCGGCAATGACACGCCTCTGTCGCAGTTTGGTATTCGCCACAATTACAACACCGAGCCATTGCTGACTGGGGAAGGCATTAAAATCGAGACCATGACTCCAGACCAGATCAAGGAGCCACTGAGTCATATTATCGTCACAACAAAGGCCCAGAGCACACTCAGCGCATTATTCAACTACAGGGACGCTATCGACTGCAACACTGCTATGTTGTTTCTGCAAAACGGAATGGGACTGAAGGAACAAATGGACGCCAAGGTATGGCTGAATGAGGACGATAAACCTCACATATTCTTTGGAGTCACTACACACGGAGCGCACAGATTGCCGTCGCCATTCTACGAGTACAGACACGCCGGCCAGGGTCAGATTGACATGGCTGTGGCTCCTGGAACCTTGTTGGAGGAGAATCCCTTCGAGGAGATTCTGCAGTCCTCACCTACTCTGGGATGCCAGGATACTATGCCATATCCCGAATTGCTGCTGAAACAGAGCCAGAAGTTGGTTGTTAATGCGTGTGTTAACCCTCTCACTGCCCTCATGGACTGCAACAATGGCCAGTTGCTGGATAGCTACGCGACTAGCACCATCATCAATACAGTGGTGTTTGAGTCCAGCATCATTCTCCGAGAATATTTGCTTGATACCATTGGACATCAGATTAACCCTGCTTTGATTTCTTCTGCGCTCAAGCCCCAGAGACTGAATGAGCTCATCAACAAGGTGTTACAGCTGACTCACGATAACTCATCCTCGATGAGAGAAGATGTGCGGAACAATCGAGTCACAGAGATCAGATACATCAACAAGTTTCTTATGGATATGGGTAACAAGTACAAGAAACCCATCACCGCCAACCTCATGCTATACAACCTGGTGAACGCACAGCAGGACTTCAACAAGTTTTAACAGTCTAATTTGTATATATAGATATTGCATGGAATAAAAAGAATGCTACGGTACATGATAACTCGTTAAACACATCATTTATTATTTTTTTTAATCGTTACATCATAAGGTCATTTCTGCTTCTGGTTTAGATCATCACTGTTTAGATCTTTTTCTCTTCTTCAGCACCGAAGGAGGCCTCCTCGGAGGAAGTGGTTCCTGCAAGGGCTTCGATGTCTTCAGAATCATGGTGGACGCCCATGCCATCGTCCATAGACTCGGATTCCGAGTCTCCCTTGATGTGAGGCATAGCATTCTCACCGTCGGTGTTGTTCTGGGCATCATCCATCAGGCTGACATTGACGTCAGGAAGAGTCAGGGTTCCAACGAAGATGAAGGAAGCCACAATAATAGGCGGGTATAGCATTCGTCGGTAGACGTCATTAAAGGCCGTAACAATCATCATTCGCTCTGGTGTCTGCCATTTGTATTTGAGAGCAGCTCCAATGTTGTTTGCAACCAGATGGTTCTGAGCAGGGGTTAGGAAGGGGGCGAAAATGGCCAGCTGTTTGGGGTAGGATTGTCGGTACATAGAGCCGGCAATAGCTTCCCCGATAATGGTTCCAACCGTCATGATGGACAGGTAGATGGCTGTGGAAGAAACCACATTCTTATGGGACACCACAGACTGGAGCATGACAAGCATGGGCATCTGCATCATGCCCGATCCTACACCCTCCACACACTGGGCAACGATAAACTGGCCAAGATGATGGTGAGGTTGTCGGTAGTGGTATGTCAGACCGAGACCAAGCAGGTAGATGGCTGCACCAGCACAAACAACTGGCTTGACCTTGTTTGTGAGCTTTGTGTAGGCAGCTCCCACAAAGGAGGAGACAGTGGAAGCGACAACAAAACATACAGAAGTGTTGGTGGCAGCAGTGACGGACAAGTTCTTACACACCATAAGCCAGGGCATGTAATAGGTTCCGTAAAGGAAGTATGCAATAGAGTAGCAACAGATGAGGAAGCAGCAGGTGAACATGGTTCTGTTCTTGATGATGTAGAAGGGCATGAAGGGGTACTTGGGAACCATTTCCCAGAATGGGAAAACCACCAAGAGAATAGGTCCAATGACAATCATGGCAAGAATGTGTGCCTGGGACCAGGACTTGGGACCCGTAGCAAGTGTGACGGCTAAGAACAAAAGAGTCAGACCTCCAGTGAAGAGAATCAAACCGATGAAGTCAAACTGTCGCATGGTCTCTTTGAAGTTTCGCACCGACTTTCCGTATTCGAGACCCAGCCTTCGGGCCTTGAACTTCAGCCGTAGCATGATACCACAGACAGGAATGGCCACAACTGGCATAACAATGCACCACATTCCGTAACCCCATCTCCAAGTGGAATGCTTGGTGATGGCGTTTGTAATAGGAGCAGCGATCCATGGGGCGAAGAGATACGCAAAGTTGGGAAGCGAAACGAAGAACATTCGGTTCTTAAGGCTTGAAGTGTCTGCCGCGAACACTTGCTCCATGAACTGGATGCCTACTTGGCCCGAGACGTAGAAGATATGAGCGGCAAAATATGTTCCAATGTTCTGACAGGCTGCTAACATGATAAACCCAACTGTGAAGAACACCACAGAAATAACAAGAGCCTCAAATCGACCTAGAACATCTGCAAGTTTGGCGACAGTGGGTCGCGAGGCGGTGTACATGACAGACTTGACAACTGCCAGTGCTGAAAGAAGAGAAAGCTCGTTGAAATGTGAAGTAGCGAAGGTCGAGTAGACGTTAACAGTCTGAGATTCAAGAGCAATGCAAACAGAAACTAACAGGAGTGAACACCATGCAAAGACCAACTCCGTCTTGGAGAAGATTTTGTTCAGGTGCTCCATCTCCTTGACACCGTCAGTGACGTTGGTGTCGTCTTCGTCGTGGGCTCTCTCCACCTGAGGGTTGAATACGACTTGTAGGTAGTGCTTGAAGCTCTGCATTGAATAGCCGGTATGTCGAAAGGAATAGTTTCTGTAGCACTAGCATGCACCACAGGGCGACGAGGTCTTTATCTACCTTGATTCCAACCCTGATCTAATCAATCTCATCGTCTTTTTTTTTTCACGCTAAGCTTCGACATAGGGGGTTAACCGTCATGTGCACTTTTTGTTTTCGACTAGGAACCTGTCGGCTTTTCATTTTCTCTCGGCTTTTCATTTCCCACGATCTCCAGGTATACCCGGTTTTCTCACCAAATAAATTTACATTTCCACTAGGCTTGTGGGTTTTTCTCATCAGTGTCCTGCAGCGTTGATGCGTCCTTATATGCGTAGGTTCTAATATCAGGGGCTAGCGAAAGCCAAACTTGGTCGGCGCGCCGGTGAGCAAGGCAAAACAGGAATTTACCACACGCCAAGACCAGGAGGTTGGAGGAACATCAACAAGATTCCTGGTGACATAAAGTTGAAATCTACCAGAGTTGAGAGCAAATCAGGACCGCGTGTGCCTACATAGAGAAATCCTCCAGGCAAATGTGCACAGCAAGCTCGTCACTCACCTCGGTTGTTCAGTCGACACCTTTGGCGGACACAGCCTTCACTGTTGGGTCGCGTGCCGAGATCATCGCGTCCCTTTCTTCCCCCCACACGTCAACAATGGAAATTTAACGCTGAGAAACTTTTGAGACGAAAGAGAAACTACAGGCTTAATTTTGTATTCTGAGCAAAAGAAACGGGCGACACAATGCTCATTGAACCTTGCCTTTGGTAGGAAACGCTGCTCGATCATACTGCGTAAGTGCAACAATGAAAAATACATGTATCATATGTTCATTAGGCTACTTCCGGCTGGTTACGGAGCGCCGTGGCTTTGAGGTGAAGATCTAAGTAGCCCCGACAATTGATGTTAAGTCCGCCAGTAGCGACTGGATAATCTTCAACCGACTCTGATGCAAAATTTCCACACAGGATCGTAGTTTGGCAGAAGACGCAAGAATAGCCTCTGTCTCCTGGGCTGAAGTAGTAAGAATATCCCTCAAGCCTGCCTTCATGGTGTTCTGGAAACGCTGTGTGCCTAGTTTTCCATCCACAAAGAGCTTTAGCAGTCGTGCATTAGCGGGTTCGGCTGACTGGAGAAAGTGGATAGCTGCAAATGCAACCTGGGTACGGAACGATATAGAATCTGGCAACAGGGTGTACTCGCCGTAATAGCCCATCTCCCTGAGAACAGTCTCATGCTGTTTGGTCAAGAAGGTGTTCTCCAATGCATCGCTGATATCGACATCATCCCATGGGTTTTCAGGAACGGTGAAACCGTACTCGCACAAAAGCACTGAGTTTGATCGGGGTCCGTAGCATAAGAAGATTTCTTCGTCCGCCGTATATCCTCTCTGGCCGCAAAGAATCTCAAAGCCAATGGAGCTAGTCTTGAGTTGGCAGTGGGTGGGTCCTGACTCTACCGAGTGATTGATTAGATCAACATACGGAGCCAATGTAATGTTATCAGGCACTTCCTGCGCGTCTTTTTTACCCGTAGTCAACGTAAGATCAAAGTATAGACAACGAGAGTTCACACAGAGCCATGCCCAGAGATAGGCGTCTCTCGGATCCGAGTCGTACTTGGCCACAAACGTCTTGGTCTTGTCGTAGTCTGCCTCGAACGTGTCCAGTGTCTTTTTCAACACCACAATGCCCTCCGGAGTCAGCGAGTCCTGATCCTCCTTGGACCATTGCAATGGCACATCCAGGAAGCCTTCTTTTCTGTCTGGCAACAGCCCCATGAAAGCCTTCCAGTCACTTTTGGACCCTAAGCTCTGCTGGATCACAAGGAATAGAGCTAACACCTGATGGGCCGACATGCTACGGTACTCTGTTTCTGACAGGTGGCCGCCGTCTACCATTGCGTTATGGATCGAAGAGTAATTGAGCAGCTGGCGAAGCTTTAGGTGAATCAGACGCTCATTGGGGTATACACGATCATTTACCACAAGACCTCTTCCTCGGCCAGGGAGTTCTCGGATTTCCAACTTGGGCGAGATATATCCACCGTTGGAGGTGATCCACTCTATTAACTGCACGTGGCTGTTTTCCATCGGGTTAATATGTGTGTGTCTTTGGTAATGTGATATCACGATGTTATAAACAAGTATCTGTAGTTCAGTACAACCGCTTGTTTGTTGTCTGCATTATCTGCGAGAAATATTTCCCACATGCTCTATCCAATAAGCTTCCTGAATGAACCCAATCCAACAATGGGGGTTTTATGCTGATGCGAGTAGACGTGACATAGACACCCAGTGGTATGATCTTGTGCAGGGATCTGATTATATCGAGGAGACCTCCGAATGCCTATCATTTATGGCCTCCCACTGAAGCTAGGTTGGCTAACTAGAATGATTGTGGCCTTACCACCAGAGAGCTCTAAGTAACGTGCTCATCTACAATATGATACCGGTACGACTACGCACCGATCTGATTACAGTAGGCTTCGCACAAGCCTACTTGTACCGGTTCTGTACTCGTACTATGAAGGGCTACAGCGAAGAGCTAGCATCTCCTACTTGTAGTATCGTACGCACATGACGTACATGCCATACTCACGGTAAAGGCAAAAGCAAAAGCCATTCGCTAAGCGAGATGTGTCCGAGAATAAACCATGGACCTGAGCTCCACGTTTTCGGCTATGCTGTAGGTGATATGGTTTACTTTTGTGCTTTCTGCGTCTGACTGTTGGCGCCTCGCATTTATCGGATTTCAGTTCTGTCAGGAAGTACTGTAACGGCCACCCTAAACTGCTTAGACCTGGCCCACCACCAATTCTCGTGCCCTTTAGCTTCAACAACGCCCTTCGTATGCTTGCACGATGAGAGTCCTTCTGCAGGTATATGAGATGGCATTGTGGTTGGAGAAAAGTGAAAGGGGAAACAATTACAAGAACCAACAGGCAAAAGCTGCTGGTCCCCGACAAACACTCTGACCCTCTCTCCATGGCACAAACTTACACCTATCAATGGGAGCCTGCAACTTTAGATTTGTGTTTTGCCGGTTACAGGCCATCTGAGTGAGTAACGTGCAACACGCTCTCTTTCCAGCCCAAAAAGTTATACTCCGCAGCTTAACCCAAACTCCCGGAAGCTTGCGAATCTACGGATGAATTTGGAGTCTTGTGGGGCCGTCATAATGGTTGTTTGGAGTGTGTTTTGTATCGATATGATGGGGTTTTCATGAAGATAACGAAAAGAGCCCCTCCAGACAAGTATAACATGCCGTTGAGCTTGTTCAAAACCGTCCCTGATTCTCAACTCTAACTGAGCTTGAAGGCTGAGCTTGGATATGCTTGGATATGTGGGAAGCTGCTGCATTTCGACAACCTGCTCATACTCGAACCAAGAGGGCTGATCGTATCGGAGTCAATACTCGCATATGTGAGAGAGAGACAAATGAGAGAAAAAGCAGCTTGAGCGAGCCCAGATTAGGGTTCCACGGTCTTACCTGAGCGCCAGCTCTACTTGTACCGTACCAGCATAGCTCGTCATTGGACATACAAGGAGAACTCGGATTCATAGACCGTAGGTTGGGTTGCGCAAGCACAAACTCACGTGAGGCTCCAGTTTAGGACGGGGGCTCGTATCTTACATCAAGGCATGAAGAAGAAAATATTCCACTTCAAGCTTCGGTTTGAGCTGGATTTTCCCTGGAGATTTCGTTCCTCATTTCCCCGAGCACATTCTCACCCCCACCCTCTCAGGGGATATTCAACCTTGGCACCAGTCTAAACCGTGAGCTTGTAATTAAGACGACTGTCAGGCACTCACAGGGTCCTGAGTGCCCTGAGATCTGCAGGTTGAGACTGCTCATAACCACTAGGGGACTCAATAGATGGGATGACCAATCCATTGAAGGCGAAACAGGGTCCTTCCCGCAGTGCGATCCTTGCTCTACATGTGCAACCGTTTAAGACCGTTGAACCCTTGTTTTCGGCGATTAAATCCGAGCTTAGGTTCTATTGCCGAGCAGCACCACACAGACTCAGCATATACTTAAAAGAACTGGGACAAGCCCACCTACTGTAAGCTCGCAACCTGTGGAAAATCACTAATTTCGAAAACCACACAAATCGAATCTTTTCGACACCAGAAATGCAACTAAATTAATCTCCCTGTCTCAGCTCATCTTCAACACACACAATGGACCGTCCAAATGTACCATCACCACCAGCACCCTGGTCCCAACATCAGAGTTTATCTTCAGCAATCTAGCCTCTACCGCTAGCAACAATGTCGCGGCCATTGAATGTGAGAACAGACCCCATGAAGAGACTTCGTTTGTGAATCTCTCGCCTTCCAATCCCCACTCTTTACTAACACAGAATGAAGATGTGAGTTATCGACACTGCGCCTGAGGCAAGGCCACTTGCAGCCGCTCTACGTAAGATCATACCGAGCAACTATACTAACAGACAGTCATTGCTGACTGCCACCTTGGCAGGCGTTACTGCAGGACTTGTCCAGTCCTCTCTAACTTGTGAGTATGAGATGAGTTGATATCGTGAACACCTCCGATGAGCACCCCACTAACTAGACCCCTTCGAGTTCATGAAGACGTCGCTCCAGCTGCGACGAAACCTTCCTGGAGCAGCAGCATGGGTCCCCCCGGACTTTGGAAAGGTTTACTTCACTGGTCTGTCCGCCGTGGCCATTGGAGCCGCTACCAAGGCTGTTGTCCGAGTCTCTACCTTCACGGCCTTCTCCAAGTTCATGGCCGACGAAGACAACAGAACCACTGCTCCCCGAGTGGTCACTGCAGGTCTGCTCACGGGTATTACCGAGAGTTTCATTGTGGTTCCTTTCGAATCCATTAAGACTACAATGATCAACCGAGTCCAGGTTGCCGCAGGCAAACCTGTTGCTGTGCCTCCTACTGAGATAAAGCTTCCGGAGAAACCTGAGACTGCTGCCAAGGGACCTGTTGAGACTGCTCCCGTCACTATCAAGGACAAGAAACGTGTTGCTCGACCTACGGGAACCATCAAGCCTCCCACCGTCCACTATGGCCAGATTGATACCTCAGTCTCCGGACTCCTGGGCAACATCAAGGAGATGTATAAGGACCGAGGCATTCGAGCCTTTGTCCAGGGTTTCTTTCCCACTGTCACCCGACAGGCCGCAAACTCCGCCGTTCGATTCACCACATACTCGGCCCTCAAGCACTGGCTTACTAACCCCGAAGACAGCGAATACGGCCGTCTCAGCGCCGTATGGGGCTTTGGTCTCGGCCTGCTGTCTTCTGGAGCCATGGTCCTCGCCACACAGCCAATTGATGTCGTCAAGACCCGTCTACAGTCCATCCACGGTATCAAGGAGTATCGATCGTCATTGCAGTGTGCCTACAAGATTTTTGTGGAGGAGGGAGTTATGACATTCTGGGCCGGTACTCTGCCTCGGTTCTGCAAGGCCGGTCTTAGTGGTGCCATCATTTTCGGAACCTACGAGAGTGTCAGCAACGTCCTTAACGCTGCCTCTCAGAAGAAGCCTTTCCCCCCTGGAGAGGAATAGACTGTTAGATAGTGTAAATACAATTGATTATAGCATGGAATGCAGATATTGGTTCAGATCGTGACATGACATTATTATATATAATTTGTTTAGGCGGCAATACCGAGCTCCTTGAGGAAAGCATCATTGTTGGGCTCTCGTCCAAGAACCTCCTTGAGACCCTCAATCTCGTCCCGAGATCCACCTCGGTCAAGAATAGCCTTTCTGTAGTCAAGACCACTCTTGGTGCTCATGGGGTCGTCCTTGAACCGAGTGTAGTAGATGTCGGCAGCAAAGACTTCAGACCACAGGTAACCGTAGTAACCAGAGTCATAACCGCCCATAATATGGCCGAAAGTAGAGTAGCCTGCCATGGACTCACCATCGTTCTTGACCAGAGCAATTTCCTCTCGCATGTCGTTCCAGGTCTTGTCCAGATCGGCAGGAGTATCCTTGATACCCTTGTTGTGAAGACCAAAGTCGAACATGGCAAAATGGACCTGTCGCAGGTAGTGCAGGCCGTCACAGACGTGCTTGGTGGCAACCAGAGATTTGATTGTCTCGTCAGACATCTTGGAGCCGTCCTTGTAGTGAGCGGAAAAGTGCTTGATCTGCTCAGGCTCCCAGGTCCAGAACTCGAGCATCTGAGAAGGACACTCGACAAAGTCCCATGAGACTGAGGTACCGTGGAATCGAGACAGTTTGGTGGTGCCCATGAGATCGTGGATACCGTGGCCAAGCTCGTGGAAGAAGGTAGTCACCTCGGAGTGCTTGAGAAGAGAGGGCTTCTCAGCGGTGGGTTTGGTGAAGTTGCAGACCAGAGAGGTGGCGGGATAGGTTCGAGAACCATCCTTCAGGTCGGTGAAACCGGGACCAATGCCAAAATTGGCAGCATGGCCGTACTTGTTGGGTCGAGGGTGCAGATCAAGATAGAACCATCCGACGAAGACAGGCTCAGCAGTGTCGTACTTCCACACAGCGTACTGCTTGACATCCTCATGCCAGGTGGAGGCCTGGTCCTTGGGTGTCTCGACGAACTTGAGAGAGAATAGGTTCTCAAAGAAGGCCAGAGATTTGTCGAGAACATTCTGCAGAGGGAAGTATTCGGCAATCTTCTCCTGGTCGATCTTGAATTGGTCCTCCAGAAGCTTGTTGAGGTAGTATCGGGTCTCCCACACATAAAGGACGTCCTTGTAGTCGGCAGACTTGCCCTGGGCTTCGTAGTCAGCCTTCTTGATAGGCAGCAGCTCAGCAATGTCCTTCTCTCCCTGGGGCTTGATTCGCTCCTTGAGGTCCTCCAGGAAAGGCATGACGTTCTCGTACTTCTTGGCCATTCGGTCCTCAAGCACATAGTCACAGTGGTGTCGGTACCCGAGCAGGTTTGCTAGTTTGGTTCGGATTTCGACGGTCTCCTTGAGAAGAGGAGTGTTGAGGTCCTTGACTCGGTTCTGGTCGCCAAGGAAGGCTTTCTTTCGGACTTCAGGGTTCTTAGCGGATCGCAGCACGGGAAACAAATCGGGGTACTGGAAAGTCATCTTCAGCTTGCCGTCCTCGGTCTTCTCAAAGCCGTCGGTAACGTCCTTGGGGACTCCCTCAAGCTCCTCAGCAGTGAATGCTAGGAAGGACGTGTCGTTAGACAGGTTGTTGGAGAACTTGATGGCAAGCTCTCCCTTTCGCTTGTTGAGAGCCTCGACCTCCTTTCGGGTCTCTTCGGGCAGACCCAGACCGGATCGCACATAGCCCTTGTACATCTTCTCAATAGCTCGGATGTACTCGGGGTCGAGGGTCTTCTTGAGCTCGTCAAGCTGCTTGTGGACAGCCTCAACTCGCTGGAAGACGTCGTGTCGCATAGTGGACTCGACAGAGGCGTCCATGAGAATCTTCTCAGCCTCGGCAGAGGCCTCTCGGAGTTCCTTGTCGGCAGAAACATGCTGGAAGAAGGTCAGCTGGTTTCGGGGCAGAGCTGTGGTGTTTTCGAGCTCCAGCTGGGGCACAATTGTGTTCTCATAGGTGGCCTCCTCGATGGGGATGGCTCCAATCTGGTCATCCAGCTTCTTGAAAGAAGCAGCCATGTCATTGGCGGATTTCTTAACCTCCTCGGGAGTGTACTTCCAGTTGGGGGGCTGCTGGGGAGGTGTGGACATTTTCACGGCGGCGATGACAGAGGCGAGGTCAGGAGGAGTGCTGGTAGTTGCAAGAGTTCGGGAAGCAAACTTGGGGACTCGCGACGTGGTGGTGGTGGTGGGACGAGTACAATTGACCTTTGCGGGGGCTTGAACGGACACTCTAGTGGTTATATACCTGTGTAGAGTTGGTGCGGTTCGAGGTGGCAAATGCGGGGAGTGTCGCAAGATAAGATTCACGCGAGTGCCGTGTCTTAGCATGGTGTGTAAATTTGGGAGGACGGGTCAAGTGTGTTTGGCAGAAGATCTGTGGCGTGCGGCTTGTGGGCGGCGTTTGAGAGCAAGCCGGCGTAGTGTGTATATACAAGAGGGAGGCTCGGTGTCGGTGGGAATGGACTTTTAGTTGCTCTGAAAGTCGCTGAGACTGGAAAAGATCAAGACTGCGACAACGAACTGTCCACAGTTGGGAGCTGGGATTTGTCGTTGCAATTTTTGAGTCTGATTTGGTTAGGCTTTGTCCACCACAGCATTAATCACCAGCGCCGTGGATAAACAGAGAGCCGTGCATGACTGGAGACATCGATAGGCAGTGTTTGGAAGCCTCGGGATGAGTGAGGTGCTCGGGTTAGTTTGGGTCGTAGGTGGCGTCGGACTCCGGTTTTGATGCTGATTTGAAAGATTATGTTAGTGTTTCTAACGGGTAAGGGTTATGGACGTGGTCAAAAGTGTGAAAATGTGTCTGAGTCATCAGAGACCCTGTTCGTGACGGTACAGTATGTACTGTAGTAGGGACTATCTCAGCAGTCTATAGCCACTTATCGACAGATATATAACTGTAACTACAGTAGAGAACCACCCGCACATTAAGGAAGACAATCGGCCCATCTCATCTGGCACGGCACTCGCTATATGTTCACATGTACTTCATTCATGTGGATACATGGCACCTGCATTACCACTGATAATAATCAATGACCAGATATACCAGACATTCATGATCCAGTGATATCACTTGCTGAACGACACCCTCGTCGTCTGGTTATTGCTCGTTCCTACCACATGTGTCTCAATGATTTACTGCATCGTTCAGGGCGTTCTGTTCGAATGATCCAGTCCATCAACTCAGTCTCATCAAATACACAATATATTAAAAACGTCATGGCAGAGCTCTGCACTTACAAACACGGTTCTGCACCTCTTTTAGCTCGTCGAACTGGTAGAGCTTAGTACCAGTTCTCGGTGTTGATAAGAACAGTCTTCTCGTCAACATCGTTGTCAGGAACAATCTCTCCAATCTGGTACACCTTCTCGCCAACCTTCTCGAGCAGCTGGGTCACCTCAGCAACCTTCTCCTGCTTGACAACCAGAATCATGCCGATACCCATGTTGAGGGTCTTGGAGATGTCCTCCTTGGGCACATTACCAGCCTTTCCGAGCCACTGGAACACGGGAGGAAGAGGCCAGGTGGAAACGTCAATCTTGGCGGAATAGTTTTCAGGCAGGATTCGAGGAATGTTCTCGACCAGACCTCCACCGGTAATATGGGCCAAAGCAGAAGTCAGCTTGGCGTTAATGACGGGCAGAAGCTGCTTGACGTAGATTCGAGTGGGGGTCAGAAGAGCCTCGCCGAGCGACTTGGACTGGTCCCAAGGGCAGGCGTCAGTGTATGTGAGACCGGCATGCTCAATGATCTTTCGAACCAGAGAGAAACCGTTGGAGTGGACACCGGAGGAGGCGAGACCGAGAATGGCGTCTCCCTTGGCAATCTCGTCCATTCGAGGGAGAACGGCGTCTCGCTCAACAGCACCGATGGAGGTTCCGTTAGCGTCGTAGTCGTTGCCGTAGTAGATGCCAGGCATCTCGGCTGTCTCTCCACCAATGAGAGCACAGCCAGCCTGGATACAGCCGTCAGCAACACCACCAACAAAGGCAGCAGCGGCGTTGACATCGAGCTTTCCGGTAGCGTAGTAGTCGAGGAAGACCAGAGGCTCGGCTCCCTGGACAACCAGATCGTTGACGTTCATGGCAACAAGATCGATACCAACAGTGTCATGCTTGTCGATGGACTGGGCAATCTTGAGCTTGGTTCCAACACCGTCGGTGGCTCCAACCAGTAGAGGGTCTCGGAATCCAGCAGCCTTGAGATCAAAGAGACCTCCGAAGCCGCCAATGACGGAATCGGTTCCGGGTCGAGCGGTGGACTTGACCTTCTCCTTAATTTGCTGAACGAGCTTGTTACCGTTGTCGATGGAGACGCCCGCCTGAGCATAGGTGATTCCTCCAGAGGTCTTCTCAGCGTCTCGGAAGGCCTTGTAAGCAATGTCCTTTCGGTTGTACTTGCCGTTAAACTCAACAGCGTCGGCTCCCTTGTAGGCCTGGGCAACAGCGTCCTTCAGAGTGGGAGCAACAGCGGTAGATGCAATGACTCGACCGCCGGCAGTGATGACCTGGCCATTCTCGGAGGCGGTTCCAGCGTGGAAAATGTAAGTCTGCTCGGGGAGACCACCGACAGTGATAGCGTCGCCCTTCTTGTAGCTCTCGGGGTATCCGCCGGCAGACATGACGACGGTGACGGCGTGCGCATCAGGCTTGACTCGCAGAGTGACGGCATCAAGTCGTCGCTCAACACAGGCAAGCATGACTTCGGCCAGATCGGTATCGTCCGAAAGCAGAGGCAGAATGGTCTGGGTCTCAGGGTCACCGAACCGGACATTGTATTCGAGCACCTTAGGCTTTCCGTCGGGAGTCAGCATGATTCCAGTGAAGAGCATACCGACAAAGGGGATACCGTCTCGTCGCATACCGTCAATGGTGGGCTGGAGAATGGACTCCTTGATCTCCTGGAGAAGAGCAGGGGTACCGATGGGAGCAGGGCAGTAAGCACCCATTCCGCCGGTGTTAAGTCCCTGGTCGCCATCGCCAATTCGCTTGTGGTCCTGGGCGGGGGGCATGTCAACGACAGTGTAACCGTCGGAGAAAGCCAGAATGGAGAGCTCGTCTCCCTCGAGGAACTCCTCGATGACAACCTCGTCACCAGCCTCGCCAAAGGCCTTGTCCTGCATAACCTCCTTGACGGCGGCAATGGCCTCCTCGGTGGAGGTGGGAATGAGCACGCCCTTGCCTGCAGCCAGACCAGAAGCCTTGATTACGACTCGGTGGCCCACCTTCTTGACGTAGTCCACGGCCTTGTTGTAGTCAGTGAAGTTCTCAAACGCGGCGGTGGGGATGTTGTGCTTCTTCATGAAGTCCTTGGAGAAAGTCTTGGAGCCCTCCATGACGGCAGCCTTCTCAGAAGGGCCAAAGACGGGGATACCAACCTTTCGGAAGTGGGTCTCAATTCCCTCGACCAGAGGCTGTTCGGGACCGGGAATGACGAGACCAACATCCTTGGACTGGGCAAACTCGACGAGCTTGGCGAAGTCCTTCTGGGAAGAGCCAATCGCAATGTTCTCGATCTTTCCCTGGGGGTTGTCGGTTCCTCCGTTTCCGGGGGCAACAAAGATTCGCTCCACCAGAGGAGACTGAGCCAGCTTCCATGCAAGGGCGTGCTCTCGGCCACCGTTGCCAACCAGCAGAATTCGAAGGCTCATGATTGTGTGTGGGTGATGTGGGGGGGTGTTGTGGGTGGGTGGTGAACACTGGACGTTAGTAGAAAGAGCTTTCAGCACGTCGATACCATTTTCGAATTAAAAATATTTTTTAAGCTTCACACTTTGCAACAGACACCCGTTGTCAGTAACTCGGGTCCATAGGCACCAATGGCCATGGGCATGTACGTACACATACTCGGTGTGTTTTTACCCAGATTCGACGCCCTACATTGTAGACCAATTAATGCAAGTCCCTGCCCGGACCTATCCCTACATCGTACCTCATCCCCCCTAATGCCCGCAACAGCACCAGTAGGCATTCTCCACTACTAATTCTGCATAGCTCTGCAGTGTCCCCAGACAGTAAAAATGCTTCACTCACGAATGATGGCCAATAAGTCATACCCAATCCCAAAAGCTTAGTAGTCAAATTTTTGGCACAGAGCAGCCACCCATTTTGATCTGACACAAGACTACCCTACTTGTAGCATCCTGGTAAGCGGCTTACACCAAAGATACAAAACCAATCTACACTCTACAGAGCGACCGTGACTCACGTATTGGCTGCACCTGCAATAGATCTCGCGCACACGGTCTACTCGGGTCCCATGCTTCTCGCAGTGGCCCAGGATACATTTCATGCATTTCTGGAGATAGACTTTTACAGTAGCCGTACCAGAGCCATGATCTTACTTATACATGTTCGGGTACCCACGGCATTCGACTGAACCACACTTGTAGCTACAGTACAACGTTTCATCAGTCACCAACTAGAATATCATATTGCTATATACCCCAGAGACGAAAAAAAGGTCAAAAAAAAGGGTTGGAAAAATATGGCGGAAAGTGGGAAAGATAACCCACAAAAACCGTACACAAAAAACCAAAGGAAGATTGTAATCGCTTTTTTCAGGCTCGCGTTCTTACTGCGACGGCTGCTGGGGCTGGCCATTGTTGAAGCCCTGTGGCGGCTGAGGAGGGAAGCCCTGCTGCTGGTAACCATAGGGAGTAGGGGGCATGTAGCCGCCGGCTCCCTGAGGAGGCATTCCTTGAGGAGGCATTCCCTGAGGGAAGCCCTGAGGAGGAGGGTAGCCGTATCCGGGGCCGGGAATGCCCTGAGGAGGACCCTGGGGAGGTACGGGACCCAGAGAGTGCTGGTTTTGACCGTCCTGTTGCTGCTGCTGGTTCTGGTTCTGCTGGGGCTGGAATTGCTCGTTTCGCTTACTCTCCTTGCCTCGAGGCATATCAGCAATGGGGAAGGGTCGGGGGATGTTCTCGCTGGACTCGGCAACGTAGAGGTTCTTGTCGATCTGGGCAGGGATGGGCTTGATCTCAGTTCCAAGTTCCTGCTCAATCTTGTACAGGTTGTATCGGTCGTTCCAGTTAATGAGGTTGATGGCAATACCGAGATGGCCAAATCGTCCAGATCGACCAATTCGATGGAGATAGGTCTCGGCGTTCTTAGGGAAGTCAAAGTTGATGACCACGTTGACGGCCTGGATATCGATACCTCGGGTAAGCAAATCGGAACAGACGAGGTTTCGGCACGTGCCGTTTCGGAACTCATGGAAGACTCGGTTTCGATGGCTCTGGATCATCTTGGCGTGGGAGTAGTAACATGAGTATCCCAGCTCAGTGATCTTTCGGGCAAGTAGCTCAACTCGCACAGTGGAGTTGCAGAAAATGATGGACTGGTTGATGTCGAGCTTAGAAAAGAGCGTGTTGAGACAATGCAGCTTCTGTTTCTCGTCGACAAAGGCGTAGTACTGCGTGATACCTCTTAGGGTCAGCTCGTCCATCAGGTTGATTTCGTAAGGCTTGTGCAGGTTTCGGTCCATAAAGGCCTTGACAGTCAGAGGGAAGGTGGCGGAGAAGAGCAGGATCTGACGGTCCTCAGGGAAGAAATGGAGCACCTGCTCGATGATGGGTGTGAAGTCCGGCGACAGCAACTTGTCGGCCTCGTCCATAATAAACATGGGCGACTCGCTGAGATCAGCGACGCCCTTTCCTGCTAGATCCAGCACTCGGCCGGGAGTGCCGACCAACACGTGTACCGTGTCTTCCAGACGCATAATGTCGTCTCTGAGGTTGGTGCCACCGGTGGTGACCATGACCTTGATGCCAAGATGCTTGCCTAGGGTCTTGCAAACCTGTGAGGTCTGGAGTGCCAGCTCTCGGGTGGGCACCATGATAAGCGCCTGGATCTTGTTAACTTTGGGGTTGACCTGCTGGAGGGCTGGGATCACAAACGCGGCGGTCTTGCCGGTTCCGTTCTTGGCTCGGGCCAGAATATCTCGGCCTGCGAGGGCAATGGGGATCGCCTCTTCCTGAATGGGCGAGGGGTTTTCGAATCCTGCTTCAAAGATGCCCATGAGCAGCTCTCGTTTGAGGAAAAAGTCCTCGAACCCTGTACCCTTTGTGGCGGTCACATCTTCGGTTTTGTGACGCGTGTCCTTTTTGGGCACGTTTAACGACTCTTTCCACTCAGACATGTTTTTGTGTAAAATGTGGGGTGGTGCGGTGTCGTGGTGCGTGTCGTGGGCAAACGGGAAGTATGGATATCCGGAAACTCAGAAGTAGGGACCTGCGATGGAACAGTGTAGGTGTCAATTGTCGATTAGAAAACTCCAGATATGTTTGTGTTCTGGTGTTCTGTGATGGATGGCAATAAAACAGTTGGCTGTATTGGAGGTAGGGGAGAAAGAAGAGATTGTCGGCTGGTTGTGGGTGTATTGAAAACTTTACTGGGGTGTGGATTCATTGGGAAGGGTAAGTTGGAGTGTCCGTGACCGTGAGGAGGAGGACTCCAGGCCACCTTGACATGGAGAATGTGGTGTTGGTTTGCTACGTAGTTATATAAAGAGGTCCTTTTTTTGTTATCTCTCTTTTCCACGTTTGTCATTTTGCTGGCTCCCTCTGTTTTTTTGCTGTCGTAACCCTTTTCTGTCTCTATCCTCACCTGCACACCTATTACAGCTCGCCACTTACCCGGTTGACGAACTTTGTCTGGGCACGACGGTGGCTTGGAGAGGAGCAGAGCAGAGAATGAGTGAAGATATCACTTGTAGTGTAAACGAGTGAAATGACGAAGATGGGACGATCATCCGCTGGTTTTCCCCCATACACGCGCTTCACCTCAACCTGTAATGGGGCACATATTATGACTGTCTCGTCCAACGTCTGAACAGTCAGATGTATGTAATATTGCTCCCACACACGCAGCCCATTTTCCCCTTCAGCAAAACAGATATACTTCCATTAAATTATCCACGCGAACCTCATCGAAGGTATAGAAAGGTGTACTTGTACGGTACGAGCATGTGTGCTGAACAGATACTTGTAGTCGCAGATACTGTCGGTACAGTGGTCACAGATGCTGTCTCTTCATCAGCTAGCAGAGAGAAGTACATCGCGATACTTGTACGCGCTAGAAATCACCATTTTGTCACCCATCTAAGCTAAAAGTACAAGTGTGATTACTTTAGTATCACTGATCCACATCGACAACAGAACGCTGATACCTCCCACCAAACACATCGAAACACTGCTTCCAGTGTTCCAAGTCTCATACCAAACCATAACGACGGCCCATTTGGACTCTCTCGTCCGGTTCAGGCAGTGCAGTGCAGCTCGAATGTGGGCCAAGGTCACGGCGTCAAGAGTACATACTGTACGTGGGTGGTATTACCTCGGAAATTGCCCTCCCATTTTCAATCAAGGTTAGCTCCAAGTATAAGTATCGTAGTGGCATGAGCTGAGCGATGGCAGAGTAGCTACTGGTGCCGGAACGATACAGATGTGTGTGGACTCTTGTGTTCAGAGATCGTCGTTGCCCCATTTGTCCCGGCCACCTGGCAACTTGCACAAAATAATTAACTCCGATATATATATATATATCAAGCCACATGCCCCAACCCCCCTACTTGTAGCTTTTGCACCCACACCCCATCCATCCACAACCACTTCCCCATTCGGCCAAGGTCTGCACCAAGCGCATCGCCAACGCGTAGCGTCTCTCCCAACGTACGGTAAAACCACAACCTTCAACCTGCCAGACAATAGACCGATAAAAACGGTACATTGTCCATCGTGTGAACATGTCTGTCGACCTCAAACCCAAGACGCTGAAGCGCAAAAACTTCAAGAAGCTGTCACTCAACGCCGACGCCGGAGTGGCGCCCCAGGCAACAGCTTCCCCTCCGCCATCACAGCCCTTCACCCTCGACAAACCCACGCTCCAGAGAGCGCCCTCAGCAGGCAACCTGATAAGCCAAATGGCATCGCTGGAGCTGGGCGTGGAGTTCAAAATCGACATCCGGGCTCAGGATCTGCGCACCATACAGGAGCTGGGCGCAGGCAACGGCGGGTCCGTCTCCCGGGTGGAACACATCCCCACTGGTGCCGTCATGGCCAAGAAGGTGATCCATATCGAGGCAAAGGAGGCCGTGCGACGCCAGATTTTGCGGGAGCTGCACATTATGCACGAGTGCGACTCGCCCTACATTGTCTCCTTCTACGGCGCCTTCATCAACGAGTCGTCCGGCGACGTGGTCATGTGCATGGAGTTTATGGACTGCGGCTCACTGGACCGCATCTACAAGAAGGCCGGCCCGCTGACCGAAGAGATTGTCGGCCATATCACCGTGGCCGTCGTCGAGGGCCTAACGTATCTATACAACGAGCACCGCATCGTCCACAGAGACGTCAAGCCGTCCAACATTCTCGTCAACTCCCATGGCCAGATCAAGCTGTGCGACTTTGGAGTGTCTGGCGAGCTCATCAACTCCATCGCAGACACCTTTGTTGGCACCTCAACGTACATGTCACCCGAACGAATCCAGGGAGGAAACTACACTGTCAAGTCCGACGTGTGGTCGCTTGGCATCTCGCTGCTGGAGTTGCTGCTGGGAAAGTTCCCCTTTGACATGGCTAACGGAGCTGTGGGACCCATGGGTATTCTTGATCTGCTGCAGCGAATCGTCAACGAACCTCCGCCAACCCTTCCGGCAGAAGACACCAGGTTCTCGCCCGTGTGCAGACGGTTTGTCGACCGGTGTCTGTATAAGGAGGCCGAGCGTCCTTCCCCTCAGCAGCTCATCAACGATGCCTTTATCATCACGTCTCGGGCCAAGCAGGTTGACATGAAGGCCTGGGCCATGAGCGTGCAGTAGAAGGGTGAAGAGAAGACTCTGAGGAGAGGAGAGAAGCATGTTGTTTGGTGCATAGAGTGGACGTTTCCAAAATAAATCATATAGTAAGCATTGTCATTGATGTTGTTTTGTAAGTGGAATGGTGAGGAGATGGTAGCTCGGGAGGTGGTGGTGGAGAGAAAGCGACTTTTTTTGGAAAGTCTACAAGTCATTACCGAAATGTAGGTCTCCAGACTACAAGCATGTCTGATGTCCGCTGGCCGTGTCGATCAGTCTCGGCGACAGGCATATAGTGGAGGTAGATAAGAGCTTAATGGGGTGTTTTGGTGGAGATGATGGGATTAGTGGGCAGTGGGGCCAGAACAAGAGAAGAGGTTGGTATCGTAGTGACGTAAAGCTGATCGGCGGGAAACTACTGTGTTGTGTGTGTTATACTAATGGGAATAATCCGGCGGCGAGAATAGTGCTTTGCTGGCAGTTATCGTGAACAGGAATGTACAGTGTCTTAGCGGTGTCTCAGGCGCTTACGAAGATTGAATAATGGTCGTAACGTAGTGTCTGAGATGAAAGTGGGCGGTCTGCGTAGCTACTGTATGTTGAGATCGCTCGTGAGTTGCAGTGGGTGACAGTTAGCTTCGATAATTTCCAAGTTACTGGTGGCAACTTGTACGATACTTATATTAAATTGTACCATGTACTTGTACTGTAGCTACAAGAGCGTCAATCAGACGTCCTCAGTCGCTTGGACAACCACAAGTCAAAGCTTTTACAGCATTATTCGAAGAGTAGATACAACACCAGATCGATATCATACAGTCACATACAATGCCAGCACCAGTATGTAGACGCATCCCCGCACTTGATTCTTTTGGTAGACCTCGGGTCGGCAGGTCTTCACAGTCATAGTCATCTTTCATCAATAATATTAATATGTACATGGCATCAGCCTGAGGGAGAGGCCCTGGAAAGTATTTGTAAACGCACTTGTAAACGCACTTGTAGATCACAGTACCTAAGCATGAGGAGCCTTAGGAGAGAAAAAGTACCAGGCATTGTAGATGCCAAAGGCTAGCATGGCAAAGCCGAGGCCTCGCACGCCGCCCTGCCAGGCCTGGGTGGCAGCAGGGGGGAGACGTTGGCCAGGCTGCACTCGGAAGGGCATGTTGGATGCAAAGTAGGCACCTCCTCCTGTGAGAACAACGGTCTGGAGGATCTGGCAATGGGTGCACTCATTGGGAGTGAGGTCCCGCGATTCGGGTGGGTTGAATACCTTGAGAATGTTGGAGTTGTTGGACATGGTCAGTGTGCTTGTTGTGTGGTGGTGACAAGTCTGGTGATGGTGCGCCAAGCGTCAAAACTTTGCTGTGGTAGATCTTGGACTTGCTTTAATTATCATACTTGGTATGCGGAAACTTAATACTTGGGAATTTGGTTGGGAAGAGATGGGATTTTTTAGAGAATAATATTACACACTCTGTGCGGTATACACAGGCAACAGTGCAAACAGCATCCAGACCATGATCGTATAATACGGACTCATCCACCCTTCGCCACTCCCACATGTATGCAACTCTGATGTGTCATTAGTGTCCTGTCAGACCCTTCTAATTACCGTACAATACAATGCTTGTACTCGTACGAACGTCTGACTGGCGCCAAGACTTGTCTGCGCTGTGCAGTATCCAGGTAATATGGACGTTGTGGGGAAGCGTTTGGAGGAGTGGGGTTGAGGTACATCAAACCCCCTTTGACAGGGGACTACTGTAACCCTGACTGGCGCACCTTGCGGCTTTTAACGCGTGAGATCGCTTATACCTGCGAGTTTCTTCTTCGCCCAGGTCTGGGTGGTTCTAGCGAGGTGTAACGGACGCAGTTACAGGTGGTGCTCGTATGTACTATGCATGTCTTCAGATCCATACAACTAGAGCGTTGCCTGAGCTCAACCTGAGGGGTGGAATACAGCACACTGGTTACAGTAGTACAAGTACACGTAGCTTTAATCTGCAACTTCCCAGTTGTACGACCTTTTTTTTTTTTTGACATCGCAACTCCTACAGACTTTGGAAGAGGTTGAGGGGCGGGATCCGAGCCCATCAGTTTTTTTCCAACGGCTGGCTGCCTTTCAACCCCGCACCATGAATACACAGATTCAAGGGTGTGGACGACGTCTATCAGCTGAGTTTTTCCGAATCGTAAAAGATACCCAGCAACTCCTATGCGTCTTACCCCAGGTTACGAATGTACGACTGTACGCACACTGGAGTGTCGTCATTTCAAATGAGAACAAAAGAAGGACGAAAACGAATGTAGAGGTCCTAATATAAGCTCACAAAAAATAATAGAAATAGAAAATTATAATGTGGTATTTATGGTAGCTACTGATGATTAGGCCTACAAGTAGGGCAATTTGCACAAAATAAGGTGCATTATACGTTTCCTGCCAGACACTAACGTTCGCACTAATGTCGGGTTCCCGAGACTACGGGAGCTAAAAAGAACAGGATAGACTGGTGTGAGCGACGCAAAAAAAGGTGGAACTAGGCCTCAGCCGGCAATTGAGACCCCCAATGCGTGTATGCAGCTATTATTGCTGTTGTCTCACATGTATTTCTATTCCCTTTGCTCGAGCCCTTGTTCGCTATGCATAGTGCGGCTGGCGAGTGTGGGGAGAGGCGCATTACCGCAAATAGAGTACTAGGAAGAGAAACAGACAAAGGCCGAAAGGCAAGAGAGCGCATCAAAAGATATCGTTTACCAAATATGGGCTAACTCGCCAAAATGTAAATACACAGGCGTTCTAGCAACGTCTTAGAACAATAGGAACTTGAATCAGATCATTAAAGCTGATCTAAAGGGGGTCTATTCTTTTACCTGCAGTATTCGCACCGTGTATACTCTGCTTCGGCATATGCCCGGCAACCTGGACTCCCACCTTTATTTTCACCCTTAACCTTGGCGTTCATGTAACAGTCGCCGCCATGACAATCGGGGAGGTAACAATTTCTCGTACAAGGACCCTCCCACGGATAAGGTCTTACCCCCACCATATGTCTGCTTGTCTGCTTTTGTGGCCACGTCCGATTAAGCAGCTTCGTCCCTTGTCTAAGGGCCGTCAATGCATGGATATCGAACTCCTCCAGACAAGGACCAGCTTGGCGATGAATGCATGACTCTTTTGGATCTCTTGGAGCTACGGGTATATAACTGGGACGGTTAACTGGTTAGTTTTCCATCTCCAAGCATCTCGATCCCCATCGACTCTCAACGCTCTCATACACATCTCCTTACGCAACCTCAACACCAACCTGCATCTCAACATCTACTCAACAACCCTGCAACAACCACTTTAAGAAGACCTACATTTCTCCTATCTTCTCTAGAACCCACAATGGACGAAACTAAGGAACTCTCCATTGAACACAAGGAGCTGGCTGAGATTGCCTCCATTACATCTCCTAAAAACATTGGACTCCCCACTGCCGAGGAAAAGTTTCCGAACATCAACAGAAAGAAGCTGCTGCGAAAGATGGACTGGCACCTCATGCCCATGCTCACAATGCTTTATCTCATGTCATTTCTGGACCGAGGAAACATTGGAAATGCACGAATTGAGGGTATTGTTGAGGATCTGGGACTCTCAGGTACCCAGTTCAATTGGTCCATCACCGTCTTCTTCTTCACATACTGTGTGTTTGAAGTGCCCTCCAATATGCTTCTCAAGCGATTCCGTCCATCCATCTACCTTCCCACCATCATGGTTGCCTGGGGCATTGTTATGACTCTTATGGGCATTGTCAAAAACTACGGTGGTCTTCTGGCTTGCCGACTCATTTTGGGAGCTACTGAAGCTGGTCTTTTCCCTGGTGTCGCTTACTATCTGACCATGTGGTACTGCCGAGCTGACATGCAGTACCGACAGGCCATGTTCTTCTCTGCTGCAGGATCAGCTGGAGCCTTCTCTGGTATCCTTGCCTTTGGAATCGGAAAGATGAGAGGAAAGGCTGACCTCAACGGATGGCAGTGGATCTTCATTCTCGAAGGTATCGCAACCGTTGTCGTTGCTATCATTGCGTACTTTTGTCTCTATGACTTCCCTGAGACTGCCAAGTTCCTGACCGAGGAAGAGCGAGAGTACATCCAGTATGCTCTCGAGTATGATGGCTACGATCGAGACCTCGCTCTCAAGGGTGGAGCTCAAAACTCTGACGCTGTTGGACGAGACAACTCCAACAACTCCAAGTTCCTCAAGGCTGCCTTCATGGACCCGCAGTCTTGGATTGGTGCGCTTCTTATGATTCTCATTGTTTCTCCTCTCTACTCCATGTCTTTCTTCAGTCCTATCATTGTCAGGAGTATGGGTCATTCCGCCAGTATTTCGCAGATTCTGTCTGCCCCATTTGGAGCCATTGGAGCCATCACCACTGTCATTCAGGCTTACTTTTCAGACAAGTACAAGAGGCGGTTCCCATTTCTCATGGTTAACTTCTCGCTTGGCATCATTGGATACGCCCTTTGCATCAAATATGGTGTCAATAAACAATGGATCACATACGCAGGTTGTATGATTGTCAACATGGGTCTACAGCCTTCATTCATCTGTCACATTTCCTGGATGTCTGTTAATATTGCTGGCCCTTACAAGAGAGCTATTGCCATGGCTATTGTTATCGGTTTCGGAAACATGGGAGGAGCTATTGCTTCCAATATGTACCGAGCTTCCGACGCCCCTCACTTCAAACAGGGTCATACCATTGCCATCTCCTTTGTTGCCGCCGCCATGGCGGTCACCATCTGTCTGTATCTTGCCTACAACTTCATCAACAAGCGAAAGGCCAAGCGATTGTTGGAGGGCCACTATGACCAGTACACCTCCGAGGAGCTATCTGCCATGGGTGACCGATCTCCTTACTTCATCTACCGAATGTGATTCGGACATAATCAAGTGTATAATAATATCGACTATAATTTTGACCTATTCCCATACTGTAGGCTGTGTGGCAGAAGAAAAGTTTTCGACTGGGCTACTTATAAGACTGGGCTTTCACTCGTACTATTGAAAATTCGAAATCGATTTATAAATTACTTGGTTGTGCTACTTGTAGTAACATCACTCCTTATTGTCCTCTAGTACGGGTCTCATAGCTAAGACCCCTTTTATCACGTTAGACCATTCCATCCGTGCCAAACACGAGGGACAATCGCCACCAATCGGGATGATGTGTCGGGAAGGTGTGGTGAAGGGCAATTCTTCAGGTATCTCCTCATTCAGAAAGCGCTCGGCTAATTCTGCCACGTCAAAGGCCCCATCACAGTTGTGACAGAGAGCAACATTGCCTTCTGAGATGTTCAGTGTCTTCTCCGATAAATAGCAAGTGAGTTGTTTGTCATTTGAAACAGCATCTCTGCACTTTTGTAGATATTCTTCTATGCTTCTATTGTTGATGTCGAGTTCCCCGCTTCCCACTGTCGATGGTGGGGCTTCGGCTTCGTCCGAGGGGTAGTCTGTCTCGACCTGAAACTGAGGTGGCAGACTGCCAACATCGTAATCGTTCTTTTCCCACGCTTCATGCGCATGTGAGCGGAAGAATGTGATTCTCAAATGCATTCTGCGAAAGTAGGAGCATCTCACTAGCAGACGGATGAAGGCTAGATGCGTTCCCAAAGCTCTGGCTTTCTGAGGCACTTTTCGCTTGATGTCTTTAGTGGTAATGAGACGAGTCATGTTAGGATGTTGCAGGGCATGCTCGAATTTGAGAGCAGAAATCTTGGAAGGGAATCCGTTGACAATCAGCACCATACTCCAAGGTCTTAAGTGTGCTCTTTTGGTTCGCCATGCTCCTCCGGCCTTAAGGTCTCCGTTGTGCTGCCGAATACGTCGGAACGGATTCGGAGTAGAGCCCACGTAGCAGGAGAGAGGTTTCTTTGTAGACTGCAGCAAATACACTCCGTAGAATGGAGGGTATTGGTGCGTCATGGTATCTTGTTTTTATGGTGTGGCTATTAAGCTCACCACTTTGAGAGATGTTTGTTGTGTGCAGTGTGCAGTCGGTTAATATTGAAGGTTCCATGCAGCACCTGAGAGTGACACGCACATGGTACATACAGTACAGTACATCCGATGTTGGACAATATTTGGAGGTGGGTTACAGTAGCTTATATAATGTTTCATACTTGCACATCATTACATGTCGAATCTCACCCTTTGATATCAAGGTAGAGTGACATTATCGAGTGAACTGCTATATCTCGTTGTCCATAACATCAAATTTGGGTGGCGTTTAGTTACGACTCACGTGACGATATCACTTGTTCTCACGCGACTACCCACCAACAGTTGACGGTTATTCGCAAGATGGCTTCATTTTGTTGACAGATATACATCACTTGTAAGAGTAAAAGCGGTGTACCTAATATAGCCTGCCGTACTTTTACGCGCCTCAGTAGGCTACCTTCCCACTCATATTCACAATAAAATGATCTGTTAATCTATACCTCGCCTAAACGACAAAACAACATGTACTAGTGTACAGCCACCTGTCGTGGGCAGTTTCTTTTGGACTTTTGGACGGTCTTCTAGGTAGCTTAGATATCATCGATATCAAGCTCATCCTCCTCATCATCATCATCATCGTCGTTGTCGAACTCGAAGTTGCACTCGTCGTCCTCTCCACCCTGGTCAGCATCGTTGATCTTGGCAGACTCAGGAAGCTCACCCTGAGCCTTGAGAGCTCGAGCCTCATCGGGGTGGTACTTCATGATGACATCAGCCTTGTCGTCCTCGAAGTCTCGCAGAGAAAGCAGAATGATATCGGCCTGGTTGATCCACACCTTCTTTCGGAGCTTTCCTCGAATGTGAGCCAATCGCTTGACACCGTCGAAGCACTGGGCCTCAAGACGACCGTTTCCGAGCATCTTGACAACCTGGGCGTACTCCTGGCCTTCCTCCTTGTAGACAAGCTCTCGCTTGCTACCCTCAGACTCGTTCTTTCCTCTTCGTCGGTTCTTTCCGCCCTAGAGTTAGTAAGGTGGGCATTTCAGATTATTCCGTTGGCATTTCCACATGTGCAAAATACCGCCTAGCCTCGATTCTCGTGCCGCAAACCACCGTCAGCTACTCACCTTTCCCTTGTTCTTAGGCATTTTGTAGTATACTATCTAGGAACAAATTTTGATAGGGTTGAAAAACTAAGGGAGAGGCATGTCCCAATCGGGAAGTCATGTGAGTTACCCGGCCGGCAGAGAAGAGCACCGAAGATACGACTTTGGAAGCAGCTATGTGTGAACTCTGTATTAAAAAAATGGAAATTGTTTTTATGGAGGTCCCCGTGTTGCTTCCAAATTAATACCATGTCAACAAGTCAAGCCCCGCTAAGCTGCTGTTTTGGTTTGATGTTCAGATGTCACACGAGATGGAGCATCCAAGGCACACAGTTGGGAGTTTAGGCTTTCACACCCAGCATTAGTTGATGCAAGTCAACTACAGTAAATTACATAAATTATATTGTGTGCCAACATCATTAATCATCACCCCCACACAGCACTATGGATCCTTTTGAAGCTCGAATGACGATGGTGGAGCTCGTGGGACGGCTCAACGCCTCACATTCGTCCGAATCTACCCTCGCTAGTTTCATGATGAAACACGACGACCTCAAGGAAGACCTCTACGCCTGTATCATGGAGATTCTCGAGAGCACAGCCAAAGACAACGTCAACATGCGTAACAACATCATGTGGGCGCTGGGCTTTTTGTGTATGAAGATTGAAGAGTACGAGAGTAAACGGAAACGCAAGATTGCTGAAGGCACGCCAGTCGGAGACTCCAAGGACATGACGTTCTACAACGCCAGTCTGGTCAATGATCTGGTCAAGATCACCACAGAGCTCGTGTGCTCAGACGACGAGATTGGCCGAATCAACAAGCAGAGCGCGTTGCTGTTTCTCAACAAGATGAAGAAACGCAAACTGGGAACCGCAGCTGGTAAGGGTCCTCAGGGCTTGGAGCAGATCGACCGAGCTATTGACATTCTACAAAAGCGACAACCACCAGTACAGGATGAAACCGACCTCAAACTGCCCATGACAAATGCGCAGAAACTCAAGCGAATGGAGGAGGACCGGGAACGTTCAAAAATGGAACGAGAGAATGCATGGGTGATTGGACGGAACGAAGACGAGTTTGAATTACAATGGGATGCCCTGGATGGCGGTTTCACGGCTCTGGACAAGTACGAAACCCAGGAGGAAAACGAAATGTGCCAGCTGGCGAAATTTGGACTGGACTTGTCTGCTGCTGTGAGATATTTGGCTCAGGGAAAGCGAAGACGGCTAGAAGAGCCAACGCCCGGGCGGGAAACTATGGCATAGTATGTACACTATACAGTAATTATTTATTTGCATCAGCTACACACCCAGTAGTGAGCTGTAACCAATCACCATGAAGCATATTTTTTCTTTGTATTGTACATTAGGAGCTGTAGTACAAGGACAGTATGGACAATTCCTTGTGCTGTTCTATTGTGTACTTCTGCAACCCAACAAATATACAAGTAGCCCTGCTGTGTACAGTTCGATTATTACTCAAGCCAAAATTTTAACCTATAAATGCAAAATGTCCTACAAATAGAGAGAGCCCCTTAATACTCAGCCAGTCTGAGCTTTCTACCAATCTCCTTGCGTCCCAGCCGCTCGGTATCAGCCGCGTTCTCAAAGTCCGCCATGTCAAAGTATCCGTAACCTCCAAGAAGATAAGACATCTCCTCGTCGTAGATCTCTGTCTCGGAGGGCTTCCTGGACCGGGGAAGAGTTCGGCCAAAGTGAACTTGCTTGGTGGTATGTACCTGAGGAACTCGTTCACAAGACCGAGCTCGAGAAGCACCAGCAGGTCGCTGGGCCTTGGCCTTGGCGACCTCTCGAAACAGGAGACGGATCTCCATCATGACAGTGGACAGAGTCTCGAGGAAACGAGCAGTCTGTCGATGCTTAGAAGATGCACAGATGGTGATGGAGTCATCCTTGATGATGTAACCAAGACCGTATCCATCGGGAGAAGTGGGACCGAATCCGAACAGCTTGAGAGCAGGGTTACCACAGTTGGAAGTCGACAGAATGGTGTTGTTCAGCTTGTCCCATCCGGGATCAGAGAAGATGCTGGGAATGGATCCACCAGCCTTGGGAAGATGCACGTCTCCTAGACCAGTGATGGGAGTCATCTCGTCTCCAATATCAACTGCAGTCTGAGAACCAATGGAGGTCTGAGAGGTGGTTGAGTCGTTGTCATCAGACTCCTCAAGATATCGTCTCCAGATGCACAGAAGAGCGTAAAGATGACGATCCTGTCCAAGACCTTGAGAGGACTTCTTAGTATTCTTGGTGTGCTGCTGGCAAGCCTTTCGTAGGTACTCCAGCTTGGTTTCAGCAGGAAGGTCCTCGCAGAACTTTCGGCAGAACTCAGACGACTCCTTTGTTACTGACCGAATGGACTCGGTTCGGCCATGCAAAAAGGTTTTGGTCATAGCGGGCTCGTAAGTGCATTCCACACGTCCGTAAAGAACGTAGTAGGCAGCCTGGAAGACCATCTGAACAAAGGCGTCAGGAGAACAGCCCATCTCACAGATGGCTTTCTTTCCGTAGTGGTTGAAAGAAAGACACTCAAACTCGTTCTGGTGGATGAGATCGGAGTTCCGGGTCTCGGCAAAACGTAGAGCAGTTTGGAGCTCGGGGCCAATGGACCACTCGAGCTTTCGAGGAGTGGTAGACACGTTACCGAACGAAGCTGGATCTCGCTTCGCTGGGTCAGGAGAAACTGTCTTCCAAAGAGAAGGAGCAGCTCCAGAAATGGTGTTAGCAAACCGCAGAATGGAGTCGGTGTAAATGTCGGACACAAACCGCAGCACGGTGTGACCATCGACACCAGTATGCTCGAAAGTCACCCCGGCCTTTGCATTCTGAGTGACGATAATTTGCAGCTTATCGTACCATCTGTTCGTGCATGTTCCGACCTGGACACCCTTCTGGAGCTCTGAAAGACCACAAAGGGCGTTTCGGGTGAGATCTGAAAGAGACTCGGGGGCTGCGTGATCCAAACAGACGACAAACAGAGCAGAGTCAATGAGTTTGAGACACTCGTAGTTGGAAGAGTCGGTGGCACGGTTCATCTGGTCTCTGATAGAAGCCCAGACACGTCGGTTTTCTGTGGTGAGCACTCCGACGGCTCCCTTTGCAATCTCAGTGATAGGAGTACCCTCTGCGTCCTGGATGATAGTCTCAAAGTTGAGCGCGATATCCTTTTCCACCATGATGAGGTCGTTGTTGTCGTCCAACACGTCAAACCAGTAGAACTGCGATCGGCAGAGCACAACAATATGCTTGGAGGTGGAGTCAGACTGCATGACACAGCCATTTGCAGAGGGGATTCGGGCACTGGCAAACAGTCGCGAGTACTGGTACATGCAGAGCTTTGTGCCTCGGACGTTATCTGGGGGCAGCTCCTCTCGTCGGAGGGCTCGGATGAACCGCAGAGAAGATGTGGTTAATGTAGCTGCTCGATCGACCTGGCTCTGTTGAACCGGGGTGGGGTCATCTTCAATGAGGAAGAAGGGGTTGAGGTTGAGAACGAGGGGGGAGTCATAGTTGAGATACGAATCGTACCAAAACTGCTCAATGTATGACGATCGGGGCTTTCCGTACTGCTTGAGCTCCTCCTGGAGAATGGGTCCGCTGGTGTTGAGAAACTCGTGGACAGCTCTTTCTGTTCGTTCATGCTCGTGGGCCGTTTGCAGCGGTCGCAGTGCCTCCAGATAATTGTCACATGTGTCTTTGAGGTCGGGAATGGGCAGCTTGGGCAGCGACTCCTGGTGAGCAAAGGTGCTGTCGCTCATGGTGGATGTGTAATAAGCGATTGTGTAGTTACGGGTAGTGTGGGCGTGAGGTTAGTGTGCGAGTGGCAGTTTTCTGTGCGCTGGTACCGCTAGTGTTAGTTTGATAGACTGCTGGTGGGGTGTGTGTTTTGACGACGGACTGGTGGACACTTATATCTCGCTCAGGTTGCAGTCATGATGATGCGACAGGGTTTGCAAACCAACTTTTGCAAACAAAGTCAAAGGTTCAGAAGTCCGGGGTGCATATGCTGGCCGAGCTAAAGTCGGATCACCGGAACGCTTTCTAGGGGAGCTGTAATAAGTGACAACAGATACAACCGGATGGAAACAAGTAAACAAGACTAGTGTGGTTAGAATCAAGTATACTGTGTCATGAAAATTGATTTTGAGCACCTCCACTGCAAGCAGTCACAGCCCATCCACCCACTCCTACACTCTCCAATTAGGTTGACTGCAATGGCTATCGCTATTTGGTCCTGTATTGTCCTACTTTGCCTTTTCCTTTGCCTTTCTCTTGGTCTCCGCTTGTCCGGGGTAACATTATTACAGCTGGTACAATATTCGGGTAAAAGCCACGACGTTAGGTTCGTAAAGTAGGTTCTTGAGGTTCCCATAGTCATATATTCCTGTGTAGGGCACGGGACCGGTGGGCTAGTATGTACTATAGTGTTGAACTGGACGGTACAACGGTGCCGAGGCAAAACATAGTTGAACAAGTAGTTCTATGAAACAACGGGTGCACAAGGGATTCAAATTGCGGCTGATGCACTTTGTGCTTGGTTTGTGCATGCCAGTATCATGACCTATCTTGTGAGACATATGACATAACGAGGAAGAAAAAGAGAGGTAAAAACTGACTTGCTTCTTGCGGGACAGTCTGGGGTAGCGGGGATCAGCAACCTTAGCAGTCTGGGGCACGATCAACGAACTATCGGGGTACAGTACTTACAGGTTCAGTGACAGAGCTCCTCATACCACTTTCACTTACGGAAATCGCGGCTTTTAGCCCGAGATCCCAGTCCCACTGGCTTTCAAGACTCATCCGAGCTGCATGCCACATCCGGTATTGCGGACCCCATGCAGGTGGCAGCGAAAAAGAAAAACAAGCACGCGTACTCGTAGCTAGGAGAAGAAAGGCAGATACGAGCAAGAGAATGAGTAAACAAGACGTCATACCGTTTGTTCGAGCTTGCTTGTTCCATGTCTATACTGTCTGTAGCCTGCCAATTTGTCTCTGCATGCCACATTCTATGCCGGATGTACTGATGATTTCTTCCGTCACTAGAGATTGTTCACTTGTAATTACCCATCCGCGGGCCAACTGCTAAATTACTGTATACCAGCTCAAAGCTTCACTAGTTGACCGTGTCTAAGGACTAATACCATACATACTGGCGACACCGGGCGCCTAATATTACCTATTTGACTTGCGCGCCAGTCCGATTCGGTCGAGATATGCCGCCTTCTCGCCCCATTCTCTGCCGCCTCATTATCTTTTTTCTCGTCGCCTAGATTGGCTACACCCGTTCTCTGCAGCGTCGGCAAACTTTACCCCGGAAAGCCGGCTTCCTACGATAAGACAGGTTATGCAGTAGACCCACTACAGTACAGCGATATCGGAGCTCGGCTTTTGCTCCGATACAAGTAATTGAAATGCATTCGGATGGTTGAGATTAAGAGCTTGCCTTTCCACTACTATTGAAGACAGTTGTGCTGAGTCTCATAATGTAAAGTGTAGATGCTAAATTGCGGTACCTCTACTGTAGCTATATTTCTCTGAGCTCAGTCTAGACCTCCATCATCTTTTCCTCGGACACAAGGACTGCCCCACCATTCCTTTCAGATGAAATTGTGGCGTTTTCAGATGCCGGACATACTTCCGTGAGTGGTTGAAATTGATTACAAGTGATTACAAGTGGATTCGAACGACACTCACCCCAGTATCGTACATTCACTCTATCAACCATACTCATCCGCCTCATCCACGGCTGAACTCAGATAGTAAACTCACCTTGGACCGACGGAGACTGGGATATAAATATAAAACATGCTGTAGCTTCCTCGCTGCTACGGGAATCGGCAGCTCGGAGGACCCGGCGCGCAATCAACGCATCCGAAATTCTTTTTATAAATTCCGGTACGACTATAGTGATTGGAGCAGCTTTTGGATATACACAAGGTAGGAGGTTTGGATCCACCCCTTTGATTAAACTACTTTTGAAAGACACACATGACTCCACTCATTTTTAGATCCACCCATAGCATGAGATGTTCTACAGGTGATCAGGATCCGAACATGGCCCCTGGCTGTGTACTGTAGTCAGTTATACGAGTAATCACCAAACAGATACTTGTGCTCGTACACCTCATTACCCCTTAGCTACTCGTAGTCTTCCATACTCTACTCTCCTCCGTAGGCCCAGCAGGTCACGTGCCTTGGTATGGCAAATGGCAAATAGGTAAATTCACGCTGTTTTAATTGCGACGTCGCAAATGAAGGGAATATATTTCCAAGTACTCCCTACAAGTAGTTGATAATGAACCATTGTCTCAATAAATAGTAACCCCTTCTATTACTAATCACAGCTAGACCAATAGAACTCCGTACAATTGCAGAGTTTGGGATAACCCAGATACCGCATCGACGCACCTCAGGCCGGGTAAGCTCCGCATCTTCATTCTCCAGTGCAACTATCTAAAGCAAATCAAGACCAGATTATTGGAACATCTTAACCACTCACACAACACACACACACAATATACAATGGCCTTTATGCAGCGATCCATCTTTGCTCTCCGAGCCGCTACCCCCGCTATGCGGGCCCCCGCTTTCCGAATCGCCCCCTCCATGCGACGATTTATCTCCACCGAGACCAAGGATGCCATTGAGACCGCCATTGGCACTGCTCCCGTGGTTCTCTTCATGAAGGGCACACCCGAGTTCCCCCAATGCGGTTTCTCTCGAGCCACCATCCAGGTGCTTGGCCACCAGGGCGTCGACCCCCAGAAGTTTGCTGCCTTCAACGTTCTTGAGGACGAGGAGCTGCGTGAGGGCATCAAGGAGTTCTCCCAGTGGCCCACTATCCCCCAGCTGTACATCAACAAGGAGTTTATTGGCGGCTGTGACATTGTCATGTCTATGAGCCAGAGCGGCGAGCTCGCCGAGATGCTGCAGCAGCAGGATCTGCTTGCACCCGAGGAAGAGGAGCACATGGAGTAAGCGTGCGACTACTCTGACGTGGACGGTGACGACTGATTACAAGTCAGGAGGATATATATTTGCAATGTACATATTATAGAGTGTTGTTGTTGGTGATTGGATCGTAGTTTGTGCGTTAGTAAGAGTATGTATGTACACACATTCAAGGACAACATGTATCAGCCTCGAACATCTCAGGGCCGTGATTAGGATATGTATGTCGCTTCCGCCCGAGATAATGTGCATACTTACGGAATCAATTGCTCCACCTTGTAAAACGATCACTACATTTGGTCTCAGTAGAGCAATGAAAGCTTGTACATCACCCATTTGTTCGAGTACAATCCCAGTAACCGAACTACAGTATAGTTCACATATAGCTTTTACGTACTGCTGACCATTTGCCACTTTCAATGTTCATGTATTACCCTGCTTTTTTTGTTCATTCCCTTATCCCTAGATTAGTAAAGCCTTGGTGTCGCCTTCAACTCATAAGACCGCTCAGAAACCCTGCCCTCATCAGCTTGACACAGATAGTGAGAAGGGATGTCCACTCGTGCCTTTCAGCTGGACCCGATGGACCTTTGAGAACAGCTCCATTGAGAGTGGGAGCTTACGCTCTTGATTTGCTGTGTTGCAAGGGCACTAGTAGGGGTACAGATGTCATTTCAGTTCAAAGACCTACTCTTGTGCCATCTGCACGCCCTTGCAGCCTCGGACCTTTTACCAGATAGAAAACATCATAGAAACCCCACCACACAAGTTACTCACCTGGCATGTAGAATGCTTAGAATCGCGGGGGTCGTCGTTCAAAGTAGCTGGAGGTGGACATGAAGGCCACGGAGGTGTCAAAAACCCACTCGCCGACATCGAGGTATCGCTCGATGTACGAACGAGTATCCTTGTTCTCAAAGTCGTTGGTCTTGATGGTGAGACCAGTAGATCGCTTGACACCGGCCAGAATGGTGGAGACCAGAACAAGGTCAAAGGAGAAGTGGAAGAGTCTACCGAGCTGAGTTAGCATGAGGAGGCGGGTGGTCGCACGTGCTGATAGAGGCACCAGCAGACATCCTAGAGAAGTATGAATTGCAGGAGGAAAGCGTGGTAGCATTTCAATCTCCCTAATCAGTTTTCGAGTTACTCACAGTGCCCATTATGCCTGGAAATAGTAGTAGGAAGAGAATTTTTGAAGTGGCGTAGAGTACGTGAAGTAAACATTTGGAACAATGGGGCAAATAAAGTTTATGACAATCAGTCAGAGCTGGCTATTTGGCCTGTCTGACCGTTTGACATGTTTCGCCACATGTTTGCTGTTATGCGTAATTAAAACATCCGTATGGTGACCGTGTGTGAATTATATACACTCTCTTCTCTAACCTCGCTACTGTACACTCTACTTGAGGCATCACAGACACCCCTTGAGGTGGGACAACCTAATTTTCTACTCACGTGACCTAATACATCGTCAACCTAAAAAATACACCAAACGAAACGCATAATAGATCGTCACATTACAAACTACGCATCTTACGGCAGAAGAAGCCAAGGAACGGGAAAAAATGGAATCGGTTCCGGCAAGTATCGAGACATACAAGACGCTTAAGCCGTCCAAAACGCTCCGGTACCACCATAACGACCCCATCACATCGCTCGATTTCGATGACACTGGAGCCTACGCCGTCACAGCTGGAACAGATGAATCCATTCAGCTGTATTCGGCTCACAAGGGCACTCACCAGCGATCCAGCTACTCGAAGAAGTATGGCGCGCATTTGGCCCGGTTCACACACAACAGCATGAGCATCGTCTACGCTTCCACCAAGGAAGATGACACAATTCGATATCTGTCGTTGCACGACAATTCGTACATCCGGTACTTTAGAGGCCACAAGGACAAGGTGCACGCGCTCAACGTGTCTCCTATCAGTGATGTGTTGCTTTCGGCATCAATGGATCACACTGTGCGGCTATGGGATCTCCGGTCGCCCCATTGTCAGGGAGTTTTGAACCTGGTGAGCCCGAATCTGATTGCATTTGATCCCCGAGGTCTGTGTTTTGGCGTGGCCAACACATCGGCCCAGGACCTGTCTTTGTACTCTGTTTCTGCATGGGGATCCGACCCCTTCGCCACGTTTGCTCTTCCTGCTCCCCCTGGAGACGGATGGGCCTCTGTAGAGTTCTCCAACGACGGAAAGTATATTCTCTTGGCGACTTACGGAGAGCAGCACCACGTCATTGATGCTTTCACGGGTAATCTTACGCACAAGCTCGTTGGCCACCACCCCTTAAGACGCGATCAGGACAACATGCGGGGCGGCTCCACTCACACTGCATTCTCTGTGGACGGCCGCACAGTGTTTGGCTGCTCGCGAGACGGCAAGATTATTGTCTGGGACTTGCAGGACCGAGTCGACGAGCGAGGACGACTGTACCCTTCCAAGGCTCTCAACTGCGCACCCAACGCAGCCTCCCCTCAGATTCTTGGTGTCAATCCAGCCTCCATGCAACTGGCCACAGCAGATAAAGAGCTTACTTTCTGGCTGCCGGAAAAAGACGTGGCCGAGCCTCCAAAGGAGGCATAGATGTGGTAAAACCTCCAGTCTGCCACAGCTGTGCACCTCGGTTATTATGAAACATGACTCTAGTGTGCTTGCGTACATATTTTCACGGGGGTGGACCGAAAAGGTTCTCACACGACAGTATGATTAGTGGTCTCGACGCACGCACCATGGGGGTATCCCAGGTTCCATGCACGTGGGGAAAGCCTGCGTCAGAGTATCCTGTGCTCTCACTGAACCAGTACCAGTATTGTACAATGACTTGACTTTACAACGCACGTTGTTGTGTTGCTGTTGCTCGAGTGTTCCTGGCAGCTTGAGCTTGCGGACCTGCAAATGATCAAATTATCGGACCATGATGAGATCCAACTTCCTGGCGCTTTCCCACATAATATCTAACTGAATAATATATAATGAAACACACAACTGTGGCTAATTTTTATCTCTGGCTGTGGTGGCGAACGAGTGGTACGAAAAGCACACCAGCATCGAAAAACGGCCCGCGTAAAACGTCCTATTTTGTACAGTGCAAGCTCCTTGTGTGGACGCCATACGGGAGGATAGAGTATCGTGTATACAGAACACGTCTCCTTCCACAGAATGTTTTGAATTGAAACCGGTCAGGGATTCCAGCAGTAGCTCGAGCCGGCTACGACGTCTTGGGGGGATTGTCGCCATACTCCCGTTTCCCGTGGTTTCAACTACGTACTCCACCGTTCACATTCGATAAATCAGAACCGTCTGATATCGAAGGTGCCAAATGCCGAACCGGATTTCTACTGCATTCTGGACTATGCCGACATGCATCCTCGGCCCCGACCACCACAGGTGAAGTCTAAGAAATTCGAAGTAAATAATATAAGTATCGCTATAAGTGCAAAAGAAAAAACGAAAAAGGGGACAACCAAACAGGTGCAGATTTCTATGTGTAGGAAAATACTATAGCATGTGCGATGCCAGATGCCGTATATAATCCAACCATGCCCTCGAGTCAGAGAACCAACAACACATAATTTCGAAACATGCCCAAGATTAAGAACGTGTCCAAGCTCAGCCCATACACTGTGATCCAGTGCGACGCATGCTTCACAAACATGTACTACAGAGACGTTTTGGAGCACTGTGTCGACGAGCATCAGGATTGGCTTCATCTCATGAAAATGGAAGACATTGTTAGCCGGTTCTTCTACCTGGTTCCTCTCAACCAGACTCTGGACCTGGACAACAACCCAGACTACGAACTTGGATCTGCGTATAGAGCAGCTACCACACAGAGATCTGCCCTTCCCCAAACGTCTTCTCGCGAGGATCTTCACAACTGGCCTCTAGAGAAGCCCCTGCTGTATTGACTTGACCAACCACTCACACACTTAACTCCGCATCCAAAAACACCACCTAACAGCAACACTCCAATACAAAGCATCATATACAGCTTCCGTACATTCATACCTGTAACAGTCTCTGCTCTGCAGTGGCTGGTCTAATTTATAACTTATTATTAAAATGAAATCATCAAAAGGGAATGCTGTAAGGGAACTTGGAGCACGTTGAGAGTCTTTTCAAAGTCTCCAAGTCTTCCTCTACGCCAATAAAGGCTCTTTCTTCTCGGGTTGCTTGTCTTCCGGAATGCCCTCGGGAACCTTGGGCAGGTCCATAGGCTCCTCGATCTTGTCCTTCGGGACCTCGGGGAATGTAGTCTGCTTCTGGGGCAACTTGGCTCGTTCCTGCTGTTCCAGAGCCTCCAACTCGGCCTGAACGTCCTCCTCGTCGGCGTTAGAAATGTTGGACATGAGCATGGCCGAAACCTCCTCCTGGTATGCAATACCCTCTTCTGTCTCATCTCGTAGTCGTTCAACCCGATCCAATGAAATCTCCTGATTAATCTCTTTGAGCACCTTGTTTCCTTGCTCAAGACCATAGACCACATCCTTCTGAACCAAAGCAAACTCTATGGACGATGTGAGATTCTCTAGAGTTTCCAGCTGTTCGTCTGTCTTGATTAACATACCTTCCTGGTACTTTTTCTTTCTCAAAGCCAGCAGAGCCCGCTTCTTGTCTCCCTTTTTGAGCGCATCCTTAGCCAGTTCCACCTCACTGTCGAGAACAACTTGGATCTTCTTCTTGTATTGCTTAAGCTTGTCACGTTGCAGCTTGAGATCCAAAATTGCCTTGTCCTGGCTGGTCACCTTGATGCCCTTGGACGACTGGTTGCCCATGTTGCGTGTTTAGACGTTTTGTTATATCGTCATGGAGCTATCACAAGTATAGAGTTGATATCATGCATGTCACGTGACACCGTCAGTGAAAACTTAGACACAGGTAAAGTTCATGCACCTGAAATTATTTTGATAGCGATCTGTCTACGCTATTTAGAAGACAACTTGCAAAAAACGACAAAATGGCAGGCAAAAAACCAGGCAAAGGCAGATTGCAGAAACAGCAAGAAGCAAAGGTCTATGAGCTCACCGTGGATCTCATGGAGGAGAAATGCCAGGCTGACGACACTTTTTGCGCCAAGAACCTGACCAACCTCGAGGTGTTTCGTTATGTGCAGGCACGAGGAGGTCCTACTGGGCGTCTAGGAAAGCAGGAGCTGGGCCGGCATGTTGACGCAGCCATCACTTTGTTGCGACAAGAAGAGGAGAGTGGCATGTTTGGTGGAAACCCCGAAAACGGTCTGAATGGAGACGCGATGGATGTTGAGGAAGATATTGATATCGCTGAGCCTGCCAGTGGGCCTATTTTTGGAGCTCCTGCCCCCGAGAAGAAGGAAGACACTTCTACAGCATCCACTCCGGCTGTCTCCACCCCTATCCTGGACTCCAACAGCATGAACAAGAGCGTGGTGGGTCTGTGGAACACCACGCCTGCTGGAGGTGCTACTCCTACAGCTATCTCGGGAGCTGCTACTCCTGTCGAAGGCGGAGACAACGAAAAGAAGAGAAAGCGAGAAAAAACTAAAGAGCGAGCCGCAAAGAAACAGAAGGGTATGTATGAAAGAAGGAGGATCACTCAGAGTTACGGAACATTGGCTAACACAAGTAGAACACAAATCAGAGCTTTCCATCAGCTTAGAAGATCTGGGAGGTATCGAGAAGGTTATTGAGCAGATCACCAAGTCTGTTCTGGTTCCTCTGACGCATCCCGAGGTCTACAAGACTACGGGTCTCACTATGCCTCGGGGTGTGCTTCTGCACGGTCCCCCTGGATGTGGTAAGACCGTTCTGGCCAATGCCATTGCTAACAAGGCTCAGGTTCCGTTCATGTCCATTTCCGCGCCCAGTGTGGTGTCCGGTATGTCTGGAGAGAGTGAAAAGAAAATCCGAGAGATATTCGAGGAGGCTCGGGCCATTGCTCCCTGTCTTTTGTTTATTGACGAGATTGATGCTGTCACTCCTAAGCGAGAAGGAGGAGGACGAGGCATGGAGACCCGAATTGTCGCCCAGCTGCTCACATGTATCGATGACCTGAACCCGGAAAAGAATGATTTCCGACCCGTGATTGTTCTTGGAGCTACTAATCGACCTGATGCAATCGACCCTGCTCTGCGACGACCCGGTCGTTTCGACGAGGAGATCGCCATGGCTGTTCCAGACCGAAAGTCCCGAGAACTCATTCTCAAAGCCATCACACGGCCTCTTAAGCTCAATGACGACATTGACTTCGAGCTGCTGGCCATGCGAACTCCCGGTTATGTGGCTGCTGATCTCAAGGCTCTAGTTACTGCTGCAGGCTCTATGGCTCTGGAACGAGCCTTCAAGCAGCTCGTGGAGAATAAGGAGGCTGGTCAGGAAACAAGCGACAAGATTGAGGAGATCAAGGATACAGATTCTATGGATGTGGAGGGTGCCCCCCAAGATGGGCAGCCCACTGAAGCTGTCAAGACTGAAACAGACAGCATAAGTGCCGGTGATGTGAAGGAAGAGCCCGTTGAAACGCCTGTTGAGACCCCCAAGCCCACTACTGTTATCACTCTCCCCAACCCCCCTCATACTTCTGTTTGGGTTGATTTCCTGCGAATGTTCCCCAACCCCCTGACTGCTTCTCAACTTCAGAACATGGTCATTGCCCTCAATGATTTCCTGATGGCTATTCCTCTAATCCAGCCCTCTTCCAAGCGAGAAGGATTCGCAACTGTTCCCGATGTCTCCTGGGAGGACGTTGGTGCTCTGGCTCAGGTTAGACAGGAGCTTCACATGGCCATTGTCCAACCCATTCGACAACCGGATCTGTTCAAGATGGTTGGTGTTGATGCTCCTGGAGGAGTGCTTTTGTGGGGACCCCCTGGTTGTGGTAAGACCCTGCTTGCTAAGGCTGTGGCTTCCGAAACTGCCGCCAACTTCATCTCTGTACGAGGACCCGAGCTTCTCAACAAGTACGTGGGTGAAAGTGAACGTGCTATCCGACAGGTGTTTGAGCGAGCTGCTCTATCGTCACCCTGCATTATCTTCTTTGATGAGTTTGACTCTCTGGCTCCTCGACGAGACGACGGCGGATCCGAGCATTCTTCCAGACTTGTCAACACTCTTCTTACCGAGCTTAACGGTCTCACTGAGCGAAGAGGTGTGTACGTTATCGCTGCCACTAACAGACCAGATATTATTGATCCCGCCATGGTTCGACCCGGTCGTCTGGACAAGACTCTGTTTGTGGGCTTGCCCGACGAGAATGAACGGTTTGAAATTCTGTCGAAGGTGTGTCGAAAGCGACCCCTGGCTGCTGATGTCAACTTGCGGAACATCGTTGCGGACTCTCGATGTGGAAACTACTCCGGTGCCGATCTCACCCAGCTGGCCAACGAGGCTGGTCTCATGGCTCTCAGACAGCAAGTGTTCACCCATGGAGCTGAAATAATTCACGATCACAAGGCAGCTCCTCCAAGCAGCATTGAGATTACTAACCACCATTTTGAGGAAGCCTTCAACAAGATCCGACCTTCAGTCACTGACGCAGATCGGCTCAAGTACGACGCTCTCAAGCTCACTTGGTAAGGGGATGACAAAAAAAAAACTATAGATACATGATGATGCAATGACAGTAATAAAATATACCAATGTAATGCGATGATATTTTTTTTTCAGTACGATTTTCTACTAGTAGTATAAGGATATGAGAAGAACTACGTCGACGGATGTGATATGGAATACCAATAAGTTAGCTATTTATACACTGAGCTCGCTCTTTCTGCTTCGCATGGATCGAATTCCAGGAGTCTCGTTGCGGCGTTCTCCAGATTCCTCTCCGTACATGTTCATGAACTCGGCACCAGAGGACACTGCCACAGATTGTGTCAGAGCCAAGATACGCATGTTCTTGTCGTTGGTGACAAGCAGAGCTCGAACAACGCCCCCACGACTGCCCTTTTGCAACTTGCAAACGGTTCGAGTGATGAGCTCATCCATGGTAGGCTGGCCACGTTTGGGCAGCCCCCCGTAGTCGTTGGTAAAGCGAACAACACCTTCGGCACAAGCTTGCTCGTTGAGAGCAGCTCCATCGAGACCAACAATGGTTAGACTCGATCCTTGGCCCTTGGACTTGATATAGGCCAGAGCCTGTTGCGCTAGGGTGCTCGTTCGGACGTCACGGTTAAATGTCTGCAGTTTCTGCAACTCGTGCATGACCATAACAGGCACTTTGATGCGCAGCCAACCGCTCTCAACCACAGTGACGATGAACTCCAGTTCGTTCAGCCATAGATTGGTATCGAAAATAATGGCCGGCTTTCGTTCACCTGCCAGAGGCGAAGTGGTCAGTTCCAGGTTTTCAATCTTGGACTGAACGCCACACTCCTGGCGCACCATGTCTCGTTTTTTGCACAATGATTGAATGTCATCAGAAGTCACTGACGAGCTCTCTCCACCAATATCGGGCAGAAACTCATGGTATGCTTCGTACTCGGAGATGTAGTCAGGAGCTTCTGTTTTGGATGCCAGACAAGAAGTCAGCTCGGGATCCTGTTCAAGACCGGAATCACCCAGTTTTAACAGTCGAGTATCACATAGCTGTCTGATGAGATCCTGAGCACGCTCGAGCCTAGTACATTCTCCAAGAGTGTAGTCCAGTTGGCCACCCAGAGACATGGTGTTGACAATGTCTTGAGTATCACTGTCAAAAGGACAAGACAAGACCTCTTTGGCCCATGAGAAGCCTCGTAGAAGCAGCTCTTCGGGGAGTTTGGAAACATAGCCCTTGGGAGCTGGGGGGAGTTCGCGAGGGGGAGGGGCCTTTTTGAAATTAAAATTGGACCCAGTTGTGTCGTTGTTGTCAACAGGAACTCGGGCAGTTTTACGCTGGATCTCGTTGAGATACCACAGCATATCCTTCCAAGGGAACCTATGGTCGAGCACCTCGAGGAACACTTTGGGGTGTTTGGTTAGAGCCAACATGAACAGCAGCCAGGGAATAATGTGAGGAAGAGCCTTATCCGATGTGAGAGCTAGATGGGCACGAAGAATGTGAAATGCAACATATTTGTTCGGACTGGGAACAACAACGTTTTCTTCGTCCACACTGTTTCTCCACACTCCAGCTAGAGCTCCCCGACCATACTCATGCAAGCCAGCAATGTTTATGGCAGCGAACATGGCAGATCGAGATGCCAAGAAGGGGCTTGGGGTTCGAGCAATGACAGCGCCCAAGGAAATGAGCTTCTGACGGATGTTGGGAAAGCGACCCTTGGTGACTCCTTCATGAACGGAGACGAAGGAGTCCACGACCACCTCGAGGGGTTCGCGTTCGCCCTGTCGCTGCATCTTGGCTGCCCCAGCGTTGAACAGGGCATCCATTGTATTAGAAGCGGGTGCAAACGGAACCATACAAAGTGTGGCACGACAGAGAGACAATAATGACTCCAGACGGCATGCAAGTACTAGAGCAAAGTGGTGGTGAGGCCGCCCATTGTCGTTGTATGTGAGAAGAGTTCGGCTGTACCACCAATGGGCTACTCCACGCCAGTAAACGGCATCATCTGTTCGAACAGACATGCCAATACGAGCGAGATCCCCAACAGCTTCGGTCCAAGAGGGAAGATTTTTACCGTCAGCTTCACGGTCAAAGTAGGGCTCTGCTAACAAGAGGAGTGTCTGGGCACAGTGTCTCAGGTGGTCATTCAGGTAACGGGCCGCGTAAGGCTGCAGGTTCCGGGCAATGTGCACAAAGGCATACACTCCTCGGGACCACAGTCTGCTAGGGATGTCGTACTTGTTGACCAGTCCACGAAGTGACGTAGAGTCGTTGTAGTGAGCTGCTCGAAGGAAATCGTAGTGGGCGTCCAGTAGAGCAGCATGCCGCTTAGTGGCATCTGCCAGTAGACGGTTGAGACGCTCTTGACGAATGTCAGTATGCTGTGTGATGCATGGTTCGTCCTTCTGAGGAATCTCCTGTGCGAGTTTCTGCATAAGTCGTCCACACTGATCTTCCAGCTGGCACACTCGGTGGTAGATGTTTTGAAGTTCCTGGTGGACAGCCGACCTGGCAGGAGATGCAGGTGTGGGAGTTGGAGTACTCATCATAGAGGCAGTGGATGTGGTACTTGCGGTCGGGGAGGACATGGTGGCATCATTGTCTTGCTCTTCCCGCATGTCTTCACTTCGTTTGTTGGGTTGGTTGGAGGCTGTATCTCTCGACCGGCGTTTCTTGGGTGTCGGTTTTCGATCTTCTGTCAGCGCAGAAGGCACGGTCAGATGCGACGAATGGATGGCCGGGGTGACCTGGCAGGGCTGCAGAGGCACGCTGCTAGGCTCAGGAGTCATAGTCATAGTCGCAGCTGCTGAGCCTCGTGACACCACAGATGGTGAGGGCTTACGTTCCCGATCTCCGCGTCTGCCATTGGCGGTGTTGGGTCGATTTGCGGGTTTCGAAACGGAACCTTCGGTGACGGGTTTCTTGTTGCGAGACGCCGGCGTGGAGGGCTTGGGCGACTTCTTTCTGGCGGGACGTTTGGCGGTTTCAGACTGTGCGGAAGACACGGATTGATTCGGCGTTTTCTTGTGGCTTCGTTTTCGCTCTTTATTGTTGGCCATTATATGCGTTCATTCGCCGCATTCTCTGGGATGATGGCTAGGGTGGTGAGTAGGCGACGGAGAGTGCGATGCGGGGTGCAATATTTCCGTCTTGGCTGCTGCTGGTCGTAATGTACGTATGCTGAGTGATATAAATTACCTTAGTTAGGATTACATACACAACTGCGCTTACGATTGCTTAGTCAGTTGGGACGCCCACAAAGGGAAGGCCGTAATTTCTGTGAAATTGCCACCGTAAATTAGTCTACAGTAACAATCTCAATTAGTCTTGGAGACGGCGTTGGTCATTATGCTTTAAAATGAGTAACAAGAATGGCCTCCCTGTCTGATCAGTTCTTGAGACATGGCTGCAATGAGATCTGCGTCTTCCTCACCTATCTCAGGTGGCATGCAACATGACAATGCTCACTCACACACGACATACCTGTACTTGTTTTTGTTAACGGTTCTACACCATTGGTCCTTGATATCACACCCGAACTAGCTGATTATTTGATGTTTATTGGTTTTACACGTTTGCCTTTTCTGGTTCGCAGGTTTGCCTCTGGTGCCGTCCAGGGACAGTTACAACTGCTGCAAATCTAGGGAAATTTATTCAGACATCGGCGTTTGTGTGATGACTAATCAGTTGCTAGGGAAATGATCACACTCTGTCCAGATATTGAGGTGCCAGTATGCCAGCTTGACACCGCCGTGCCCCTCCTGCGGCCTCATAAGTGCCCTCCATCTTCACTCGCTATCTCTCACTTATGGTCCAAACTTGTCGAGATCCAGCTCGTCCAAACACTCAATGGCAGTGCCAATGTTGTCCATCATGTTGTTGACACCGACTCGCAAAGACCGGTTAGATGCAGCGGCAAAATGAATCAACAGACTGGAACCCTTGGTGGTCAACTCATGGCTCAGCTCGTCGGCCTTGAGAGGCTTGTCCTGAGATATTGTGGTGCAGACAATCTGAGCCTGTCTGTCATTGGGGAACGGAATCTCCACGTCACTGTGTTAGTTCGTGTCCAAAGCGAGTGTTGTGGCTTCCCCCACATTCTCCTACTCACAGTGTGTATTTGCCTGGCATGGTTGATATTGGTGTGAAACGTTTCTACGGTTGCATGTAGGTCCTGAACTTTGTTGGATTGTGACTAAGATGTGATTAAATGTGATTAAATGTGATTAAATGTGATTAAATGTGGAATAAGATGGATAGATCAGAGAACAATACGAGAGCCGTTGAAATGGATATTTCATTGCATATTACTAATCCAATCATGTGCTCCAAGTGTGAGTCGTTCGATTTATAAAACTAGAAGCCTATGAGCTTCCACGTGCTCTTATCACCCCCAATAGTCTTCTTGCTTTCGGACCTTTAAAACCGGCTGTAGACTTTTGGTAAACTTGATATCCGGGGATACTTGGGGATCGTCTCTTGGAAGAGTCCTTGCCTGGGTACCGGTACTTGTAGCTGAGAGAAACAAGAGCAATAGAGCAATACTGTCATTGCATTGTGAGGCTTGCAACCAGAGGCATATAAATGGTTTCTTCTCTGAGTACTCTTACGAGAGATAAAAAATAGCTTTCAACGAGATACTGTAAGGGTACTGTAACAAGCTGTTTCGTAGAGACTCTACAAGAAACCACCTTGTAAAGCCCGCTGATGTAGTACATACATAATAAATGTATTTTTCACCAAATTGCAGCAGAGTTTAGGCCTTTCAGAAACCCCGATTCGGTCGTATGATACGAGACGAAGGTTTCGTTGTCGGCTGAGAGATGCTCGACATTGAACAGACACTGAAACTGCTCAATTACGAGTACTCGTATACAAGAAACGGACACTTTGTCCCCATTTCATACAAGTCACCCTCGGTCTCTCAGGGACAGCCTTGCGCGGCGTAGTCATCTGATCTTCATGTTATTTGACTCGTTTGTCGATCTAAACAGAGTAGGGTTGCACAGTAGATACTTCTACATTATCTACGAGCATCCGAGAGTAAGAAGTAGAGTTATAAATTAAATTAATGGAATCGTCGGGTATCTGTCGCTTAGTTGTTAGCGGCAGAGAAGTAAGCCTGATCAAGTCGGTTAGAGGCGGACTTCATGGAAGAAGTCTCGGAGTGCATCCAGGGGAAGAGGTTGGCAATAGAGCCAATGAACTGCTTGATAAAGTCAAGGAAGTTGCCGAAGAGGCTCCTGAAGACGTCACCAATAGTGGAGATGGGACCGTCAGTGAACAGAGAGATAATAGTGATGGCAATCTGCTGCATCACCTTGGCGAAGCCCTCGGAAAGGGGGTTGATGATGAGAGGGCCAAGGGTCTTGGCGACGTCACCGACAATGGGCAGAGTCTTGAGGTCGTCAATCAGAGTGGGGAAGAGGTTGTTGATCTGGGTGACACCCTTCTGCAGGTTGTCGTAGACGGTGCCCTTGGACTTGTCGGGGTGAGTGATGATGTCAAGGGTAGAGGTGACAGTCTTGAGGACGACTCCACCGAAATCAATGAAGTCGTCAATGGTGGAGTTTGCTCGAGCCTCGAGGATAGCACCCTCGTGGACAGCGGGGGCGGCCAAGGCTGTGGAGGCAATTGCAAGGGGGAGGAGGACGTTCTTGATGGCAACCATGGTGACAATGGAAAGGAGGGATTGAAAGTGAAAGAAGAGAAGATGAAAGCTGATGATATCGAAATCAGGGAGATCTATGGGTGGTATATATATCACTTCTCGCGAGTAAACTCTGGCTGATTGGACTGAAAGAAGTTAGTCCCTACTGTACTCCCCTTATTGTCCAAGATAGGCATGATTTCTTTTCATAAAGTGATCGTCATGACCGTCAGGAGGCTGCATGAGTTCATTATCATGTTTAGTAGGTGTAGATATCAAGAGAAGCTCTGAGTGACAAGTGTCAACAGGACTGTGACTGCTACAAGACGTCACCTCTAAAGGCCCCATGTGAACCCTAGACAGCTACTCAGGTTGGTGAGAGGGTGGTTGACACCCTCCAAAGCTCCAAAATACGATAAATCATATGAAATAACTAGCTGCAGCCGTCTGCTCATCTTCTTCAACTGAATGTTAATCCCGATTATCTATGCCTTTTGAGGACCAGTATAAACGCAAGATCTACTTAAGGGATTTCAGTTAAAAAAATAAGATGAGGGAGGGTTCAGTAGTTGATTGCTTGAATTGTAGCCCCTTATCTCTTCTTAAAATCAATCGACTACATTGCTAAACCCATCCCACATGTCTCGCTGCTACCCGGGGTCTTGTACCGCTCGGTGCCTGGAGCTTGCATGCCTCGTGTATCACTTCAAGACAGTCTGTATATTTACGAACGGGTACCTTGTGGTACCTTTCCTTCCTTTTTGGTCTGCGCGAGTCCTAGTTTGGGTGAAAATAAGGACTCGAGAGTGCCGATCCGCTTATCTGTAGATCGTCTGTATAGTGGTTGTGGTTGATGTTTAGACTGTATAACAGCGGAACAAACTGCCGATATAAATGTCAAATGGGCCAATAATGGGGATTCTCAAGTCTCAGGAGCCCAAATCGGCCCACCTGATAATTCTTGAGATAATTTATTGCATACACTTGTAGACATATGGAGCTTCACATGCAGGGCTGTTAGTAACACATGGTCACACCTGTATTCTCGGCTCTGTCATGAAATAATATCGTCGTTATTTTCTTGTTCCGCCCTTCTTCTAGTTCCTTGCTCTTACTTGGACTTGCTATCCTGTGACCTTTGCTGCTTAGCCTTGCTAATTATCATGTACCTGCATAAGCCTGAGCTACAAAGTGCTCCTCGAGAGCCTGGACTTGCCGCAAAGCTCAGGCCGAGGACCTCTTGCTTTTTCTAGCTTTACCACGCGTAAATTTCGCGCATATTTCACGCTCGTGACAGCTTCCCGAGTGGGCTGTTTGCAGATTGGCTGCAAGACAGCCGTGGAAAAGACCGTTGTCTGAGACCAGTGTCGATAGCACGATGATAGGCGACGGTCTTGTGGCTCATCAAGTATAGATTCCTCTTAATGCCTACAAACTGGCTGTGTACGTCCCCCACTCAACCACATACGGTATCTACTTTACTGTATCTCAATTAGGTAACTTAAGCATCGATGTTGACAGATTACTACTGTAGAATGACAGCTTTGAACTGTACGAGTACGGAGAAGGGTAGGTACGATACAGTATCACGCACGTGGGTATGTAGTCAGACCATCTACTAAAATGGTTTTTTCACTGTTGGAAAGACATGTCTCAGAAACTAAAGTCTAGCCTCAACAGAGGAGCGGGTGTTTCAGTGAGGGAATTGAGCAGAGATTCGGCACGTGGGGTTTTTTCATGTTAGGGACAGTTGCAATGACTCAATCAAGCACGCGGTCACCGAACTTTTCTCTTGCCTATCAGATTAGACTGCTCCGCCTCTGTCAATCCACGTCCTCTTTATTCGAACCGTGCCCACATGATGATTATCATTGTGCATTGTCTCCGCAGCGTGGAGGGTCACCATGCAAGTTAGTATACTCTGTGTGCTTACTCTCACTCTCTAAGCGTATGACAGCCGTGCCGAGTATGAGTAGTCGTAGGGTTGAGGTGGCTACCAGAGAGAGAAGTGGTTTGACTAATGTCGCGTCAGGTGCTCTGGGCTGTAATAACGTGCACTATCGCACACAAAATGTTCACTCAAGTTACCCCGGAAACGTTGTTTGGACGCTCATCGCAGATGGTCCATGCACCGGTGCAAAGTCCTCAGATTTGCTTTTAGGAGATCCAGGAATGCAGTGACGTGACGAAGACCTCGAGACCCACTGTGGATTCAGGAAGCGTAGAGGGAGCGTTTGGATCGAGGGAGCGGTCCCGGAGAAGTTCGGGAGACCCCCAAACGGAGATCTGTCGATCAAATGAAACACCGCTTGAACTCGAGCACGACGTCATGATAATAGAGGCAATGATACAAGAGAGGGAGGAAAGGGTTCAAAGAAATATGACGTTCATGTGAAAGACAGCTCGAACGGAGGGGGTAATTCTTCGTTGCTGAGTGATTGTCAAGAGGTGCTACAAGTACCTGTACTTGTGGTGACTACATGGAGGCGTTTTTGCCCTTGATAGTGAATTCAGAGGTGCATACTCTATAGGTACACTGGACTTCCCTGTGTGTAGGAACATACAGTGCTTCCAAAGTACAGTGTACCTGTACGAGCATTGTATAAGTTACTTACTGCACCTGTCAGTTGATCGAGTTGGTTGAGTGATGACATACTGTATCCTCAATGGAACCCACTCATTTCATAGAATAACAGTACAAACAGTAGCCAACGATTTCCAGTGCTTGTAGCCAGAATATTATTGCCTGTAATCGTACCGGCACTTGTTTTACGATATATAACTGTCAAAGTTGCAAAATGTCTTGCGTCAGATTATTCTCTGGCATTGATCCCTTCATCCATAGCTCACAGTATCCATGGTGGGTCGGAAGAAGCTGTCTAAGAGACGACATCCCCAAAGAGTAGCGTGTGTCAAAATCCCACGATGTTTTATACTGTCATAGGTCCGTTGCTTGTACCTTTTTCAATTACTTGGCATGACTTCTTGCAGGAGGGACCCACCTGACGGAGTTGGCCGACATGTACACTGTAGCTCCAAACTGTACAACGATATTCAACACACCATTACGTCCCGCTCTAACAATCAGGTGATACAAAGCCAAGCACCACTAGAAGCCCTCAGAAACAGTCTGACCCGGGTCTCTTCATTAAGCCGGATTTACATCTGCTACAATAATTTTTGATTCATTTCCAGTATTAAAAACCCTTGGTTCAGTCTTTTTTCGTTACCTAATAATAACCGGTCGTATCTCCAAATAGCTAGCGCAATAATATCACGGCCGACGAATGACACCACAATCCATGAGATAAGCCACAACCAAGACCACACGTCTCACTACTTCAACAACACATTATTGCCGACGGTCAGGCCGTCAGGTGCAGGTTTCTATGCATCGCCAAGTTGCTTTTGAAGTGGCCTGCCGAAATCAGACCACACATCCACACCGCCTGACGAGAGATTGTACAAAAGGGCAACACAAGTCGGTGAACTATTCGTGCAACACGGGTACAATTCTGAGACTTGATATTTTGTATCAACTAAATATAGTAATACACACGACAATACGTTAAAAGACAATACAAACAGAGAAATAAAGAGATTTTGACATGTTATTAAAAGAATATTGTAAATCAATCAAAACAATAATTACTATACAGATCCAGACTTCTATATACGATCCAATGAGGTGTTTCTATATATGATCCAAGAGTTGTACAATATATGTACATGATACGCCTATAAAGGCATACCAAAATGTGGGCGTCTTCGTCCTTTTAGGGAAGAAGAGTCCAATGTGTGAGGTTGGCGTCAACCCAAACATGCCTCAGCAAGTAGTAAACGGCCATGCTGGTGGGGCTATCACTGCTGAGGTGTATCGGTTACACTCCTTTTGCTATGTTAGTAAGTCTTTTGGGAGAAGAGAGGGGGAGTACATACCTGTTAGTGTCGAGTCAAGAGGAAAACGCAACAGTTCCAATGCCTTAATGCACAAGCTCGCCGGCGTCGGACACGAAGTAGTCCTCAGCATACTCGTCTTCGGGGACCATAATCTCCTTGAGCAGACCGCTTCCGGGGTCGTAGACGACGCCGTGGATCTGGAGATCTCGCTCACCCTGGGCCTCGATGATCACAGTGTTTCGCTTGAGATTGTTGACCTGGGCGCACACGTTGAGCTCCACGAGGCGGGCACACTTGTCCTTGGGGTCCTCGATGGCATCCAGCATGGCCTTATGTCGCACCTTTGTGTCTCGAATGGGTCGCAGCCAGTGGTCAATGATACCCAGCTTCTTGGAGGTGAGCGACGACCACACTCCTCCGCAGTCGTAGTGACCGCAGACAATGATGTGTCGCACCTTGAGAACCTGGACGGCAAACTGGATGACTGAGAGCGACGAGAAGTCAGAGTCGGGCAGCAAGTTGGCAATGTTTCTGTGCACAAACACCTCTCCAGGCAGCAGATCCAGACAGCCTTCTCCGGCTCGTGAGTCGGAGCAGCCGATCCATAGAATCTTGGGGGCCTGGCCCTGAGCGTTTGTGGGGAACAGCGAGGGTCTCACTGATGACACTCGGTTGGCCCATTTTTCGTTTCGCTCCAGCAATGTGGCGAGCGAGTCGGTGGCTCCGAATCGGAAAAGAGGTTTCTGGGCCATTTTACTGTCGGTGGTGTGCGAGCAGGTGTGTGTGTGTGCGTGTTGTGGGGGTAGCGCGTCCTGACTGTGGTCGTGGGTACACGTGTGGAGGTGGTGAGAGTGAGGTTGTGACGTCGACGGAGCGGTGGGTGGGGAGGTCTTAGTGTGTGACGGGGGAAGGCCTCTGGTTGGGTGTTCGTTTTGTGGCTTGTGGCTGGAAGCAAAGGCTCGGCTGACAGATGCGGGGAAACGGGGTCCTTGGAGGGATGGTCTAGTGTGCAAGACTAGCCGGCGAAGGATTTTTAGCGACGAAATGGTGGTAGAGAGAGGGAGGGTGGATGGGGGGTTATATCTGGTTTCGAGAAGAATAGACGAGCCGATTTGAGATAAGGTGTTGAGGAAATTTCTCCCACCAGAACCTTAATGTAAAAATGCGGCCAACGTATTCCACTGTTGGGTGATTGGGTAGGTCCGGTGAACCAAGGAGAACACGAGCAGAAGCAGTGAGCTCAAAGAAGGAAAAATGAATGGAAGAAGCAAGTAGGAAGAGACGGCGGCAACACAATGATGGCGTTTATCTCTTAGTCAGACCGAATGCAGCAATGGACGTCACTGATACCTCGGCGTTGAGTTGACGTGTGTATGTGGCTTTTTTGCCCTGGTTTTTTTTTTTCGGCCGTTGTGTTGAATGGTAGCGTATCAACTGGTCTAAGCGGCCCGTTGTTCTGTGAGTGCAGTCGGTTTTGTCGGTGCTTTTTGCGGGCTGGGACAATTGGGACTTGGGTGTTTTTTGGGGCGACCCGGATCTGCGACGGGAACAGCAACAGATTTGGAGGCAGGTGGGTACACTCAAAGGGCGTCGGACAAAGCTGGGCAGGGTGGGGGCAACGCTTCTAGTCTCGCAAAGGGCTTTGGCGTCGATTGGGGAGTTTTGGAGGGCTCTTGGACTCTCCCGTTGACTCGCTATATATACGTGCGGCTACAGACGGGGTTAGCTCTACACAGAGTTTTTTGAGTGTCGGCACAACCTCGGACTGAAGCGCTCCGAGAAGCGGCCGGAGGGTCAAGTAGAGCAAGTAACCGCAACTAACCACTAACGAGATAGTTGGAGTGGATGATTAATCAGAGACAGAGAGACATAAAGTCATAATTACATCTCAGATTTGATATTAAAAAAGGCTGCGTGTCTGTGACTATTTCTGTGTCTAGCGATCCACTTTGACTGCTCTTCATTCATTTCGGCCTTTGATTTGCGGCTCTGAAAAACGTTTTTCCTTTTCATGCCTTCCACTGCCGATCTTCAAGCGAGATAATTCTCCGTGAGATCGATGAAGAGTAATTATGCAGGTTGGGTGCCCAAAATACAGGGCAGAGAGGTGTACGTTAGGAGACATGTATACGGAGAATTGGGGGAAAGGGGGGAGATGATTAATAACGTCGATTCCGAGATATACAGGATCTCCGTGAAAAATAGACCCCCATGTCGCCCTGTAGTCACCCATCACCATTATAAGTGCAATTTTATGTTTGCCAATTAATAGTTGCAAACATCGAATGCCCGGGTTTATGCAAGTCGACCTGTACAGAGTGGACCCTTATCTCAAGCACCAATGTATAGAAGCCCTTGGAGAGAAGCGCGATGAAAACTGTGGATCGTCCCGTACTGTCATTTGACCGCCGATTGGTGTTGCTTTTGACAAAGCAAAGTTCCTCTCCAAGCCTCCTCACCACACCACAAGTAAAATCGATGCTGTATTTCCGTCGACTCTCCCGAAGCCGCTTTGGTCTCGTGCACCACCAAGGTGAGATGACTCAGGCTCAGAAATACTGTTGGATAAGACCAATGCGTCTAATAGTCGCTGGTCCAATCCCATAGTAAGTCTTTGGGCTCTGTCCATAATAGTGCCTTTCTTCGATCTGGTTGGTGGCTCCCCTGGAAAAAGAAATGACGAGCAAATGAGGGAAGCTTTTGCTCACACCATATTTACTGTACAGTAGGGGGAGTGGATCACGATGTCATTTCGAACTGTTGTATAATAGAAAGCTATTCTTAGCCCTCGTGCCAGAGACGGTCTGTTTACTGGTAGATTTCAACTCGCATATTTCCTCGGAGTCAATGGATGAGGGAGTATAATAAGTGCAAGTCGTCGTTAGCGTGGATGTGTCTGGTTATTTACTATCAAGGTGAACTGAGCCGTGTCTCGGTTGTGTATGATTCACGTCCTCAGTAGCTTGGACTGGGATATACAGTCTTATTGCGACCCATGAACTTGAAGGGGCTAATATGCTGTGTATGGGCCGTGTGTGGGCCATGCTTTCTTCGGTTATCTCTATGGCATGTACACCGTGGGATGCCATGATGCACCAATTATCAGAAATTGTGGCCTGTCTCCAAGACGAATTTTAAAAAAAACGGAGTTTCCGAGGCGGTGCCTTGGACATGTTATCGTCATGATAGCACTGTCTTCAGCATGGAGCTACACCCCGAGCTTCATACATTGCCATCACACACAATGCGACTGGTATCATGGGATCATACAAATCTCATGGTTCTTAAGTACATTATATACAGTCCTACTTTACGCAAATATTCTAATTGCTGTAATTGTACACTCGTTCGTTCGTTGGAATGGATAGAATAAATAAATTCGGAAGCTGTCCAGCAGTTCTAGAATTGGCTTGGGTTAGAAGGGCTCGATAAAAACAACCAGCAGGCAAGAAAAAAATATCAGGGTTAAAAAGCTCTGTACTTATCTCCACACGAGGTTTCAGTTGAAGAAATTCAACGTTGTATTTTTATCATCAGTAAAGCAAATGTTACTGTGTCGAATGCACTCACGTTTTTTTGTCTGGTTAGGTTGGTATCTTCGGCTCTCAAATTTATTCTCTCCGATGGGCGGTAGGGTAACTGCGTACATCTGGTACTTTGGAGTTACCCTCTTTAGGGCTGGCCTTGGTTTTCACACACAAGCATGCGTGGGTTCAACTCTGGCTGTTGCCAAATACCGGTACCTTGTAGTTACTGTAAAACAAATTAACTGGGCACAATATTGACAGCTCAAAACGACGCCAGTGCCGGAAAAACAAGAATATTGCTGCGGTCATCGCATCAGGGGGTCATCCTGCGCAACGGTTGCGTCGTTGTTTACGCGTATTCCAGTCCACTGTACAAATAGCCTTGTTTTGGCCCCGTTTGGAGTTGGTGTTCAGACGTGAGGGACATCTTAGATGTCCGTTTTCGATCAGTATTGATTCTCGTAATGAGAGGTATGCGATGGCACGTAGGAGGCGTTGTGTCTGGATCGTATGGCGTTACCCATATATCACGCGCGCGCACGTGCAATGCTCGTGCAGCCTTGTGCTTGCTCATCGCTAGTGCTCATCGGAGCGCCCATCATGTCTCAGGGCCTGCTCATCTCTTATCATCTGAGCTTCCAGAGACCGTGTTTATTCATGTTTATTTCGTGTTGACACTAATAGGTTTACACTGTAGAGAGTATACAGTGCGGTGAGAGGCGTCGTAACGATGTCGACGTGAGGTAAACAGGATGAATACGTCCTGGTCGGGCATTGGTCACGGCCAATTGGGCGGCTTGGATGCTGTCAGGCGTCATCATGTTTGTTTCCGTAGTTGTATCGCTGTTTTTTGTCTTCCATTGGACAGTGGCTGTGTGGGATGCTCCACTTCCAGTCTGCCCCCACCCGTCGTATTGTGACCTCATCCGACATTTCCGTTAACCATTACAGTCTTCACGCCAACCAAATGATTGTATAGAGTTGGCAGGTCTGGTAGAGTTCACTATAACTGTTGAAGTTAAACCAAGTGTCAAGTGAGGCTAAGTATACGTAACGTGGAGTCGTCCGTGTCTGTCATGGCTCTTCTCTTCCCGTAAGAGCTATACGGCCAAACACCCGATCCGCAACGAATCCCATCAAAGATCTGACAACATATTCCGGCCGCTCCGATATGCAATGTGCCACACCTTCCACTGTGCCTCTCCCATGTCCATTTGGTATACGGACGCAGTTGTAAGTGCATAAATCCCACGAGTATTGTTGTACCGTACAAGTAGTTCTAAAAGTTGCCTCACGGCTCCTGCACAAGCACAAGCACGAGTACAAGCACTGTACCTGTACTCGTCGATGTTTTTTTTTTTTTTCTCTCTATAATACCACCTGCTGTGGTTGCAAGCTTTCATTAGTAACCCAATACCAGAGTAACCCATCCAATAGTATGTAGAAGAGTAACCCAACAATACAGTAGTGCCAACATAGCGCGTTGGAATAGCGCCATATTCAAACGGCTCAGCTGCGAACGAGCTAGTATGCGGCTGTGCTATCTTATGAGAAGTCTGGCGTGAGCCATCCGCACCTACGCCGAGGGTGAGTGATATTTTCTAACGACCTCCAAGCCTTTTTCATCCATAGGGTTCCACTCACCTTCACTGAACCCAATCTCATTCGAGTTCCCAATACGGCAGGTTAGTGACCTAGAAATAAACTCGGGAATGTGTAGGCAACCAAAAAATGGTAATAAATGCAGAGTCAACAACAAAGTCGAGTGGAGATAACGGCACATTCTGTGGCTCCGGAATGTGTGGATTTGGCCTCATCTGGTAATCTGAGTGCGGAGCCAGCAACCGTGAGCGGATTGAAGCGCGCAAATAAGTCGGCTTAACGAAGCACAAATACCACGGTACAAGGAGTCCATACGTGTAGCAGCGGCTTGGGTTTCAGGGGAGCGTCTCTTGCGACCAACTGCCCACCAAGCCACTAATTACTCAGCTGATTCAGAGGATCATATAGGGGGGCTAATCTGCGATGTCGGCGGGAAATTATTAACCCAGGGCTGTAATATTTTTTTCGAGTGGAGGTATAGGTGCATGGACTGAGGGGCGGATAAGGGGGTATAGGAGTACGAGCACTGGATGGAACCATGGCACGAGGAATAATTTCGCAATACACAGAAGAATCACAGCAATCGTATCGAAAACGACGGATAGCGACTACAGGTGTAGGGCAGATCAGTGACCGCTCCTCTGACTCTCCAAACCAGTGCACATCCTAGGGCAATCCGACCATCCATGCCGAGAGCTAATGGGTTAACTGCGGATGTCTGCAAGTGCGTCAGGGAATGTGTATGTACGATTCGGACGTAATTGAAGTGCGTGGTACAGTGTATGTGAAGCTACAGCATGTACAGTATGTTCCGGGTATCGTGCAAGTACCAGTAGCATCTTCTGACTAACAATAGGGACACATTCTATGGGCTACCACGGAGCTTGTTTACCACGACAACTCATCCAATGGCAGTGTGTTGTGTGTAGTTTTCTTTTAGTGGCCCCATTAGTGCTTCTCATTGTGCTAGCCAATCTCGTTTCTTCAGATGGCGTTGACGTGCTCAGATAAGGTTTTACCAAGATGAATAGGGGTCCGACCTGGGCTCTTCTTTCTGGTGGTAACACGCAAGTATACCGGTAGTTGTGGATACCACAAACACAATGGGCTCACCATCAGATACATATTTCCACACCGAAACGTCTCCAGTCACGACTTCGGTACCAAGACGCGTCACGTACGCCCGACTCACAAAGAAATAACTTTACCAAATTAACGCAGCCAAGCCTGTAAGCGACCGAGCTTGTGTCCCAAAAAGGAACCAGTCATACCGATTTAAAAATGCAAAAGAAAAAGAGTTTGGAAAAAAAAAGACAAAGTGCAATGGACATCATGTAGCTGTGAAAACATATATAATCATCTCCCCCGTCCCACCATCTTGTCCAGCAAACCAACATCTCACCCTAGTCTTTCTTTTACGGATACCAACCAACCCCCACACTCACAATGAAGTTCTCCGCTGCCGCTCTTATCTCTGCCGCTGGCCTTGTTGCCGCCCAGGTTGCCAACGTTACCCTCGTCTCTACCGAGACTGTTGCCTCCACCCTCCTCCTCACCACCACTCACTGCTCTGACACCCCTTGTCACGCTGAGACTGAGGCCCCCAAGCCCGAGCCCAAGACCGTCACCCTGACCACCACTGACGTCAACGGTGTTACCATCACCACCACCTTCTGCCCCGAGACTGAGCTCCCCACCCCTGCTCCCGTCCCTGCCAACTCTACCGTTGTGCCCGTCGGCCCCAAGACCATTACCCTCACCTTCACTGATGTCGAGGGTAAGACCGTCACCACCACTTTCTGCCCCGAGACCGAGACCGCTGTTCCCACCATCCCTCTCACTCTTCACACTGTTCCCGTGGAGTCCATTGTTGTTCCTCCCCACCAGAACACCACCGTTGTTCCCGGACCCGTCCCCACCGCCTCCAAGCCCGTTGTGCCTGAGGTCCCCGCCGGAAACTCCACCTCCACCGTTACTTCCATCACCCGTGTTACCCTTACCCCCGTTCCCCAGGTTCCCGAGTCTACTCTCCCCGAGCAGGCTAACGGTGCCGGTGCTCTCGCCCCCATGGCCGGCCTGGCTCTTGCCGGTGCCATTGCTGCTCTCATCTAAGATGCTTGAGTAGCCACCCTTTAGACTTAACTTATACTAATTAATTGTTTGTATTTAGTTACGAGTGTGTCTGTAGAGTTGAAGTAATATGAAGCTATCATGAAGCGCTCTGTCTTATTGGCACTGATCTTCAAACGCTGATAGGATTGTTTATAATAGCTTAGATACCGTTCCTCTCGCCAAAAAACTTCCTCATATCAACAACACAGCACGTCATGCAAAGCACACCATTGGATTTACGCAACCTCCCTCCACCCTCTAATCGCAAACAAAACTCCAGGCCGCATGTTTTGATGTTTCCTCGTCGGTATACTTCTGCTTGTCCGTATGGTTCACAGTTGCAGTCGTGTCGATCAAAGCATATCTCTTAATATAACGGAAACCGAAAAATGCACAACGCACTAAAAATAAACACACTAGCGCGTCGCACTAACCAGAAAAAAAGCCCTATATTACCGGTGCCGTCGAGCCACTGTCCGTGTACAACGGCTTGACCAGTCATTTAACTCCCTACCCTGAGATCTCTCTTCTATGCCTCTTTTATGTCCCCTCTTTTCATTTGACATCGTATCGGACAAAGTCTGATTGATGCCTGGCCAGACTGGAAATATGTAAACAGCACTGTACAGTGAGATTCTCATGTCACGTAAACATTCCAGCACGCGTTGACAAAAGCCTATCAATATTAAGCTCTGACACAAGCGGCTTTGTGTAGGCTTAAAGAGGTAATTTGAAAAGTCAAATGGCAGATAATTTTTCTCCAACCAAACCCAATATAGGGGTGAAAAATAGGAGACAATCAGGTGGGCGTTGAGAACCTGGAGGATACGACATATTTTGAGATTTTAACATAAATGAGACAAACAGAGCGTCTATTAATCATATTTTTACAATGGGGTAAGTGACTTCCTGAGTGCCGCTCCGACGGAAGATTTTTTCCGCACTAGATGACCAGGCCGTTTGGTGCTTGGCAAAAGTGCGTCAAATAACGTCTGTCTGTCAGATCGCCCAGTTATACGCTCTTTCTCACATCTCTGTGCTCTTGTGTCGGCTGCATTCTGAAACACGAGTCCGGGTAATATGTAGGGGGCCATGGGCGCCTGGCAACACGAGTGTGATTCAGGGGTACATGATAAAGCCCATGGTTAGGTGAGACTAAGGTGGGAGGCCCTGTTTTGGGAGACACTGAGGTGTAAGAATGCAGAGGTGTTGCCATGGTCATTTCTAATGACAATATTGTATGTTGGCATACTTTTGCGTACAATATCACGTATTACTGTGGCCACTGTGCCGCAGTAGGAGTTTTGCATGCCTCGGTCTAAAGCTCTGAGCACATGCATGCGACTAACGCAACAGGGGTGATCGTCGACTCGCAGCAACGATGTAAAGGCACGAAGAGAGGTAAAACAGTGGCGGATCTGATCAGGAAAAAACAGGCTCCGTTCAACGGTGATCTCCAGGCCGATCTACAAGCACGGTACGATACGATAGAATCTTGAGTGTGCTCTACGGACGGAGATATTTTGTCTGTATAATGTGGAGATATGACATCACACTCTGAACCTACATATGTTGAGAAGCGCCCACACACTCTGAGTTCACGTGTACCAATGATTATAGTTGACATGATTCAGATACTCGTACCGGCACATGGGGTCAATTGGAATGTGACCAGGTATGCGAAGTGGCTGCCCAACTATTCTCAGCCGGAACACATTCTCATGACAACTGGGGGTCATGGTGGGATGCAAGATGGAATGTGTGAGCGGACCGCACAAGCTCCAGTATATACTGATAATGTGATACTATACAATACAGAGAGTGGTGGCCATCAAATAAGGGCAGATTCGCACTTGCTGACGCATCTCCATGGCATACTGTAAAAGTCTGATGATTAATCATTGTACGAGTATGTAACGCGTCAGCCCAACACTCAAGGGAATGATAACAGAACAAAAAACTAATAATCACATTGTTTTTCACTAACCGACACAAGATGAGTACACTTGTACTTGCAGCCCTCAGCTCTCATCTATTATTGGTATATACATGTGAGTGTGTGTGTGAGTGTGTGTGTGTGTGTGTGTGTGTGTGACTGTGTGCTGAGATGATCTCCAAAAGGTATATACGGACGATACTTGAACACCACATAGGTCATCACTTAGGAATACCGCTTCTTAACACTGGAGTTGTTGTCGGTGACATACGAATCCATTATTCACGGCTTCCGCTATTATTTTACGCAATGGTCGATGTCCTCAAGGGTTTGCAGCAGTAGAAGGGGTATGTCTCCGCTTTCTAAAAAGCGGAGACGAGAGAGATCGACGTACAAGTACCGGAACAACTGTCGCCACAAGGATCTAGCGATACAAAGGCAAGCTGAAATAACTGGCAAAGAACATTCGCATATATACAATAGCTACAAGTAGTTCAATCTCTCATGTGGTTCTAGATCCTCGACATACCGTAGACAACTCAGTAGCCAAAGGCCCTTTTTTATATCTCATCCCCAGATCTCTCTTAAATATTTCACCCGTCAGATATATCCTTTCTGTCTGGACTGTTCAGTCTGTGTTGAATACACCCCCATTGATGACATATTCAAACGACAGAACCAACGAGACTTGTTAGCCATCATTCGGAGTGACATCTGAGTATACCTACGCCGTGAACCACTATCTGTAACCGTAGTCATCCTCCATAACTGAGATTCCCCTCTTCAGGTTACTTGTAGTAACTACCGGCACCGGTACAAGTAATAATAGTTAGATCTACCTCTCTGAGCTTGGTGGTCGAGTGTCATTGCACGGGTGCAAGTAATACCGGTAGCTGTAAACCGTATCACAATACAAAGTAGAATTAGCCGTAGTGTGGAAGAACAGTATTTGAACTCCTAGCTCATATTATGATTGCGGGTAAGAATGTTCACCCGGTCCGACCTACTGGGGCATGTGGTGTCTCGGTCGTATTCAACTTTCGCTAGAAGACCGTATTCGAAGAGTTATTACCAGTATGTACTATTATAGATGCAGAAGGCTGTGCAACGCGGAAAGCACTACAAGTACGATACAGTACAAGTATAGTACACCAGTAGCCGGGAATGGAAGCCGAATATTATTCCAGCCGAGACTTTTCGCTAAAGAACCAGCCATGAACAATGTCTTTTAACCGCCACGGAATCCAAAAACGCAAATCTCAGACAGCTTCCAGACTGCAAGTAGTGTATAGCACCAGTAGTCTGGTTCAAAATTAGAAGAGTTTGGAGTGTAAAAAAAGTGGGCAAATATTATGGGCGATATTGAATTCCATCTAATCGGATCTACAGTAACATCCGCTAAATCACTCACTGCCGAAGGGTTATATATAAGCAACCTCCACCTGGCGGGTATCTTTGAGCACTGATTTGCGGCACCAGCTGGTTTTCTCCACGTGCTCTACAAGTACAGTAGCTATCATTGTGGGGAGGGGAGTTAAGCCTCCGTGTAACTACTGTAGCTATTTGGCTGCAAAGTCCGTAATACGCTCTGACACAGAGGAGCCGTGTGCTATAATAAATTGCGGAAAGACAGTGTTTTTAGCACCCCTCAACACCCCATATATGCATCTGGGGACGCTGCCGAGTGATAATATGTCTGTCTTCACGGACATAGCGGGATACATCTGAGATCTAGAGATCTAGCTAATTTCTAGCGTCCACCAGTGTAACATCTCTGATGATGAAGTGAACTTTCGGCTTCACTGACTCAGGTCACATGACCGAGTTTCAACCTCCATTAGGATTAAGCTCAAATTAGGGTAAAATCTGAGACAGCTACCCAGCCTCGTTGCCAGCCACGACGACTGGAGAGGAGGAGATAGCTACGTACTATGGATAGTCTGCTTGGTAATAGTTGCTGTTATTGTCAATGCTGGCTTTCTGTAGGTAGCGTCGCACCATGCGGGAGAAAATATTATGAGCGCATGTAATAATATTTTGGACCCGTTTTGCAGTGTGCCGTTTCTCGTAAGTCTATTTTGTCGAGAGAACTGAAGGGGACACCGTTCCAAGTGAAAAGACCATTGGAGAGTGAATAGGGGTAACATTAGGGCTAAAAACTGGCCCAAAAGTGCTGCAAGCCGTGCCGGAACACCATTGGGGGCCCAAATAATCCACTCCGTAGATTGTCAGTCCGTATCCAGTCGTCTAGCTGTGTTTCTTGCTATATATTGTGTGCAGTTCGGCACATCATGCAGGTGCCACCAGCCGACAAGTGGGTGCAGCAACCGTGGGATAATATCGGTGATGCGAGCTCGAATCTGAGATCTGGCCTGACGGGTATCGCCAGCCACGCAGTATAGCAACGATAGGGCCCGAGAATCGCTGCGGGCTGGCTTTGTGCGGGGGGATGAAATGAATCCATATATCATCGGGCTGGTGATCGGCATGCATGAGTGGGGTCGTCTAGTTCAGCGGCAGAAGTAGGACGCACGTTAACTAAGAAGAGTCCCAGTAAAACAAGTAGCTGCCACTAATCAGACAAAACCACCACAATCACAGTCTTGCTTTTTCGCCCTGTCAGATCTCTTTCTTGCGGCATATTATAGGCCCAGCGCAAGGTTACTGAATATGAATGAGAGAGTACATACAAGACCTGCTGGTTCAGGCGATGCCGTGCGGTTTAATGCGATAGTAGCGAGATCAGTACAGCTCGTTCCGCTCCACAGCTATCATAGATCTCACTACTATCCATACTTGCAAGGGTCGTGATACAACCAACACGCTACTGCACTCTCGGCTACCTACCCCTATTCTGACAGGGCTCTATCTGTGGCATCTGAATTAGACTTTGCAGGATTAGGTTGGCCAAAAAAAAAGAAGATCCTCTGGCCTAAAAGGCGAAAAGACAAGAAAAAACAGGGGCGGGTTGGAGAGGTAAAGGGTCGGCTTATGGCAATGTAGAGACCGGAAAAGACACAGAAACAAGCGGGGAAAAGAAACATCTGACACTGAAGCTGTAGAATCAGTCCACACAACCCTTGTAAACCACTATAACTCCAGCCTAACCACTAGTGTGCTTCTGCCAGGGTCATCCCCTATTTTGCACATTTAGCCTGCGCCCAACTCTAACTTTCAACGGTGCAGCATATGCTAAAGTTGGAGATGAATCTGATCTGAGATTTGGTGGTCGTATAACTTGTCTGCTGCTTTGCTCTGCATCTCCACACAAAAACAAGCGCCTTGCTCAGCTACACACCCACTTGTTTCCACACACCCTCACCAACATGCGGTGGTTTGTGGTTCTCTTGCTAACACTGGTTTCAGCTGGCCCGATACATTGGCAGCGACAGCAGCTACAACCATACCGACACTCTTTCGACAACCTCGATCTCTACTCACAAGACCACTTTGACACCGAAGTGGCTCTCGACACAGACCCCGTCTTGCTGGACGAACGACAGACACAATGCATCGACCTGTCGGTGGACTTTTGCAGAGAGAGCTGCCAGAGCATCATCACAGAGGTAGCATCATGTTTGCCACTGCTTATGTCCCGATGTCTGTGTCCCAAGATTGAAACGTCGCTGCGGAACATTGCCATCTGTGTCGCATGCACCACCCGTTTCCCCATCATCTCGACGCTTGGAAACCAGGTAGCCGGCTTTTTGCGTATCTGCAGCGCTGTCCAGCCCCCGCATTTGCAGTTTTGCGACATTGAGGTACCCGAAGCCAGTGGCAGCTTTGCGCTCTCGGATCTCTCTGGTGGTCTTACAGATTCCTTTACTGTATCTGTGGGTGGTACTCCCACCAGTCTGCCTAGTTTTTCTGTAACAGACCCTTCTCTATCAGGGCCTAGTCTGACTTTTGATCCCAGCTTCAGTCTTCCTAGCTTCAGCGGTCCCTCTTTTACAGGACCCTCTTCCACAGAGCCTAGCGTTACTGAGCCCAGTTTGACACTGCCCAGTTTCACCTCAGTGTCTGCTCCCTCGTTCACAGACCCCTCACTCAGCTCTTTCAGTCTGCCCGACGTCACTTTGACCGGTCCCCCCTTCACTAGACCGGAAGTGACCCTGTCTAGTGGAAACATCTCGAGATCTACCAACCAGGTGTCTACCGCTGCACCCTCGCATTGTGCCTCGAGCAGAGATGCTTGTATTGCAGCCTGTGCATCTGTGATCACTAGCATGCAGCAATGCAACACTCTGTCTCTTCAAAAGTGCCTTTGTGATGCGATTGTCGACTCTGTCCCGGACGTCAACAACTGTATCTTCTGCAAGATGGTGTTCCCCGACATCGGCACTGCTATCCCCAATTGGCAGATCACGGGCATGCTCCAGTGTCCAGGTGTTAGTAGGGCAGTTTGTGGCACTGTCTTGCCTACCAGTGTTTCGCAGACAAGCCTTTCTACTTCATCTTCGACTTCGTTGGTTGCGTCTTCTTCTGACGCTTCTGTGTCCGGATCTTCTGCGTCCTTTCACACCTCTTCCCTTACAATTTCAGTTTCTTCATCTCAGATCAGCTCCACTGTTAACAGCACCTCTGCCGTCTCCAGCACTGCTTTTGTGTCCTCTGACAGCACCACTGAGTCGTCGGTATTCGAATCTTCATCTTCTTCGCCTTCGTCTACTGTTGCTGTCAATAGTAGTTCTGTTCCTGTAACTACCTCCTCTTCTCATTTCTCGAGTGCAGTGCCTTCCAGTCACAGCTCAGCTATTACCTCTTCGACTGTCGATACTACAGCCATCAAGTCTTCGTCTGATGGCTCTGGTTCGATAGTTTCTTCAGCTTCTGTTTCTTCTTCTAATGCCACATCTGGTATTTTTCCTTCGGACATCACCTCTTCTCAGGTGTCTAACTCTGGTTCAGTGTCCAGCAGCTCCGTCCCTAGCAGCTCGATATCGAGCTCTAGTACCGATTCCAGTTCTGGCGTCCCCAGCACTGTCGACTCGTCCTCAACTTCCGGCTTGCATTCTTCTGCCGTGACAACTGGACCGTCTTCATCTCTTTCTTCGACCACTTCTTTCTCCAACTCGACGACTGACAGAACTACCGCTGTCATTCCTCCTGGCACCCGGTCTTCATTCACAGCTTCTCAGACTGATGTTTCTTCGGGGCTGACAGATAGCTCTTCTGCTTCTAAGACTTCGGCCGTTGATTCATCAACTTCCGAGACCTCAGTCTCTAGTGCAGGAACGTCGGCTTCCAGTACTGGAGAATCGTCAGCTAGAACTTCAAAGTCAACTGCTTCTGAAAGTCTCTCGACTTCTGAAGTTTCATCTTCTGGCGTGACCTCTGAGTTGTCAGCTTCCTCAACTGTGACACCTGATGTCTCCAGCTCCTCTCTGTCTTCTGATCCTAGCTCGTCTGTATCCTCTGATGCATCAAGCTCGGTGTCTAACACAGCGTCGGCTAGACCAGTGTCTAGTTCAGATGTCTCCAGCACGGGTTCCAGTTCTGCGGGCAGTTCGGACTCATCTGCATCTACATCGGGACCTTCGGCCACTAATGTCGCATCCACTAGCTCAAGTGGCTCCGCTTCTGTGTCCTCTACAGACAGTAGTTCTGCTTCTTCTGAGACCAACAGTGGCATATCAAGCAATGGCCCTTCAACCGCTTCCACAAATTCTGCCCCTGCTTCTAGTTCTGCTTCCTCAACTGGTCCCAACTCAGACTCAAGCCATGATCCCACTTCTGCCCCTGCTACATCCAGCGATCCAAGCAGTACTGCAAACAGTGTTTCTCAGAGCTCGTCAAGTGCGTCCAGCTTGCCAGGTTCCAGCCTCTCGGCTCCGGACTCTTCAAGCGTATCTAGTTCTTCGGCTTCAGCCAGTGCTTCTTCGCTAGAGTCCAGCTCAAGCAGTGTGACCAGCTCGATTGTATCCAGCTCTGCAGGATCCAGCAGCAGCGACGAGACTTATACAGGTACATCTGCCACTTCAGGCTCGTCAGCGACAGGTTCGTCTTCCTCTGTCTCATCTGACTCCACTTCTGCCTCTACTACTGACTCTTCTTCGTCCAGCAGTTCGGCAAGTGCTTCGTCTGGATCTTCTGATCCAGGCACTGCTTCTGAGAGCGCAGCTGCTTCAGCCTCTGCATCTCGGTCTGCTTCTGCTTCTCCTTCAGCCTCTGTTTCTTCGGACACATCTTCTATCCCCCAGACTTCGGCTAACCTGGTGCCTTCAACCCGGTCCATTCCCTACAATGGCACTGCTCTTCCTCCCGTGGACAATGGTGTTAACCCCACTGCCAACCCCACAGACTCTCCTGTGTCGGCTCTCGGAGATGGTGAGTCCCCTGTCTCCGATGATAGCTCCCCTTCTCCTACTGGTGGTGCTGGAGATGTAAACGGCAATCCTAGCGATGGATCTGGCGACGGCAGCACAAGCGGCAGTAATGGCGGCGACACTAGCAACGGTTCTGGCAACGGTGACTCTAGTGATCCTAACAATAACGATCCTAACAACCCGAGTGATCCCAGCAACCCTGGTAACGATCCCAACGATCCCAACAGCCCCGACAGTCCCAGTAATGACCCTAACAGCGCTGATCCTTTCAATGCCAATAATCCCAGTGATCCCAACAATCCATTAAACTCTAACGATCCTTCGAACAACTCGAATAGCCCCAATAGCTTGAACGATCCCTCTAACGATCCCAGCGATCCGTCTTCTTCCGGTGCTGCTGGCGCCAATGGCGGTTCTCCTGGTAATGGAGGCTCTTCTGGGGGCTCTGGCAACGGTGGGTCGGGTAACAGCGGCGCGGAGGGACACGCTCCGGTCCCAGTCCGCCTGGATCTGGCTCTGGCTCGTCTGGCTCATCTGGAGGTCATGGTGCTCCTGGATCTGGCAGTGGAGGTTCTAGCGGCGGTGGAAATGGTGGTGGGAATGGCGGTGACGGTGGAAATGGCGGTAACGGTGGAAATGGCGGTAGCGGTGGTGGAACCGATGGTGGATCGTCTGGTGGCGTCAGTGGTGGTTCTTCAGGAGGGTCCTCATCAGGATCGTCTGGAGGATCTAGTGGATCTTCTGGATCTAGTGTATCTTCTGGATCTTCTGGATCTTCTGGATCTTCTGGATCCTCTGGATCCTCTGGATCCTCTGGCTCTTCTGGCTCTTCTGGCTCTTCTGGCTCCGGATCGTCAGGCTCATCGGGATCTTCTGGCTCTTCTGGCTCCTCTGGCTCTTCTGGCTCCGGATCGTCAGGCTCATCGGGATCTTCAGGATCTTCTGGCTCATCAGGCTCCTCTGACTCGGGAACTGGTTTTTCGGGCTCGAGCGGTGGTTTTACTTCTGGCGACAACAACAACTCGCCTAACAACTCGCCTGATGCTAATTCTCCTAACTCCCAAAACCCCGACTCTCCTGACAGACCCACTTCTACCACTCCTCACAACAACGACGGTTCGCCTGCTTCGCCTGTGCAGCCTCCCATGGGCTCTCAAGGCACGATTCCCAATCTGCAGGGCAACCGAACCAACTCTACTCGGGGCAACAAATCCGAGGGCAGTACCACGTACGGTGGCCTGGGCGGCAATGGTTCCATGTTTGGTTCCGCCGCTACTGCGATTTCCATGAGTGTGGTTGTTCTGCTGCTGTTCTAGAAAGACTACAACAAAAACTCAAGACTGAAAGGTTTTATTTATTTATAGACTAATGCATGATATTATGGTAACTGCGATATAGTACAAGTACATTACTGTACTTAAATTGGGGTATATTGTACAGATATTGTATTTGGTGAGGTTCCCTCTCCCATAAAGAGAACTGTTCTACCCGACAGACACTTCCCTACACGTACTGGTATTTGGTTAGGGGCATAGTATGAGAACCGGTAGATTTACTGTCAAATTTCTCGTGAGTCAATACTTTAACCCGACATAATACCTGTTCATGGCTAATGAGAGCGGTTCACATCAACTTGCTATACCAAGTGGTGATGATTACTCAGCGTCATAGTACATACTGTAGTTTGTAGTGAAAATGGAGCGTTGTTGACTATTCATGAGATACAATGACCCCTATTCTGTAGCATCCACAGGCAACTCTTGTCACTGATGAGCGCCAACACAGACCTCACAACCCTACACCATTCCACTGTACACTACATACTCGTATGTACATACTGTACATACTCGACACATTACTACACAACACAACATCTCTCTGATCCTCCATAATTAACCAAATATACATTTCTATATCCTTGCAGTCCAATTAAACCACAAGAATGCAAGCGTGCGCCTGCAAATGAAGCCAGCGAGTTGTTGCCGAATCAGATTGAAGCCTTGTTAAGTCTGTATGACTGTCGAAAAGTGTTTGTCGATCTGTGAAAGCGTTCGATCCTCGCTGTGCTTGCAGTTCCCTTACAAATGGAACTTCTTCTTATCCTTATCCATGGCCGATCGATGCTCCCATTCCACCTCTCCTCGAATGCCTCTCTGAAGACGTCTGAGTCTCAGGGTGAACTGAGGACCCAATTCCTGCAGACCCACTCGCTCCTCATTCTTGAACACGTATCTGTGTCTTCGGAAGAAGATCCAGTCTCGCTGGTTATGCAGAGTCACCACCTGACGTCCCACAAACTCCGGTTGCTGAGGAAACATGGATTGGAACAGCCGTCCGACAGTCTTACCCAGTCGCGTGGAAAAGTTGTTGAGAATCAGCTCGGGAATGTGGGTTGTTGATCGGCCGTGGCCCTTGATCTCCTTAGGCATCTTCAAAGATGACACGGAGAAGTACATGGTGGGGCCCTCGGGCAGATGAATAAAGGTCAGGCCGTTCACCTTCTTTTTGTCCTCGTTGATCACCACCAGATCAGTGTAGTCTCTCTCGGCGCACATCTTGGCAATCTGCGTCATTGTGAAGTCTCCCACTCGCTTTTTGAACTCGGAGCCGGGGATAATGTCGTACAAAAGGTCTGCAAAGTCGTAGGCCTGTCCTCGAGCTCGCTTAGAGGTAGTGATCAGTACCTTGGGGGGCTTTCCCTCCTCAAAGTACTCTTTGAACTCATCCTCTCCCTCCATCTCCTGAGCGATGGTCTCATCATAGACTCGCTTGGCCTCGATGGTGTCAGGCACGTTCTCAGCCAGACGTTTCTCTTTGAGCTCGGGGTTCTTGGCCTCCTCCTTGGCTCGTTCCCTTCGCATCTCGTGTCGCTCCTTATTGAGCTTGTGCTTCATTTCCGCGAACACCTTCTTTCGCTTCTCCTTGTTGGCGATCCGAATATCTCGCTTTACCGTTCCCATCGTGTCTTGTAGTGTGCTATGGTGTCTGATTCTCTGCAAAACAAATTTCTTGAAAATATTGGAGATAAAAAAATCCTGCATGAACTTTATGCAGGTGGACAGAGAAGGCAGATTGAGCATACGGAGGGTAGAATGGGGGTTGTGGGGGTGAATGAAGTAATGTGGGTACTAAGATACGGAAATGACTAGAAAACCTTTAAAAGAAGCTGCCATTATTCACATACCCCCACGTGGCAGCTATACCAGGACTAGTTTATGCTTACTCTCTCCGCCATGTTCATTCAGAATAGGATGTGAAAATGGGACGTGAATTGAACTGGCGTTGGAGCATGTTTAAGCAAGTTTAAATAACTGTTTAGTGTAGTCTGCCTTCTCACTCTCAAAGGGCTATACCAGTACTCTGAACGAAGGGGTTGTCTTGCCGCGTGAATCTTTGATATGTCTTGTGCTCATCCTGCTTGACAAGATGGACAAATAACTGAACGATACGAAGCTATTGGTGAAGTTCCTGGGAATGGAGGTTCCACCGTCTCATAACACTGTTGGGGCCGAGTTATATGTCAATGGGAGAAAGGGAGGGATTGATATATTGATATATATTAAAAGCACTGGAGGAGTTTCGGAATCGTGGAGCCTCGTTGATTCCTTTTCACTTGGGGACATTGACAGCTGGGAGGGACTTACAGTAGTATGTGTCCCATCCAGCTGAGACCAGACAAGTTTCGAAATCAACTAAGGGCTCAAGTAGTTGGTTTGCACACAGACGGAGAGCAGACACAAAGAAAAGCGGCTCACTGTGTGCTCTATGTTAGTGCGACTGGTTTCATTGAAAAAATTACATGCATGAAAAATGAGACGCGTAAAATCATTTCAATCCATCAGACGCGAAGCCTGTGGGCGCGGTCAAGGATAGGTACATACTGTAGCTACAAGAAGTACCCCGACAGGCGTAGGAGCACAGCATTGGGTTGCACAGCATTGGATTGCATGGGCGTTGGATTGGCGTGTCTGCTAAGGCCCATAGTGCAAGAACCAGACATAAAAATAGACAGAAACAGCTATCCGAGATGTTAGAAAGTTCATCAGAACACACGAAGCTTGCTACGGATGTGAAAGATCTCATACAGGAGGTTTGGAGTCTCTCATCCTCCGTGGGGTTAGGGTAAACCAAAACAGGCAAATGAATCAGTTGATCGAGTGAACTCATACAATGTGTTGTGTCTTGAGGGGTTCTCATACGTTATAAACAATAGCTGGAAAAAAAGAAGTTTTGAATAAGCCCATTACCGGTTCTCACTTTCAGTCTCCTGTTTTGGTCACTAGACATTCACAACCCCATCGATCTACGAATACCTCATACTGAAATCAAGGTTTCAAATTTCACCATTTGGGACGGAGGCCAGACTGTGCTGTAAATACTGTCACTTTAAAGCACTAGTACAGATACGTCGTTATCACCACCCACAACACACCATGGCTATCTTGGAAGAAATCGACGATGTGGACAACATGGACTTTGATCCCGCGGAATTCGATCCCCGGGCGGTTCTCACCGACGCCACCGCGCATCAGGAGAGTGACGGGCGAGGTCCCATCAACCTGATTTCCAAGGCTGAGCACGAGCGACGAGAACAAGCCAAAAAACAACAGGAGCAACAGCAGGAGCAACAGCAACAGGCCAACCCCATGGCCCAACTTCAGCAGATGATGGACCAGATGAACCAGGGCGGAGGTATGCCCCCCAACATGGGCCAGCAGGGCAAGCCCGGTACACAGGTGTTTGACTCGGAGGAGTTCAAGAACCAGGAGATCCAGGAGTCCGACTTTAAGGACTGGCAAATAGTCTACCCGGTCTACTTTGACAAGAACAAGACTGTGGGCGAGGGCCGACGAGTGCCTCTGGAGCTGGCTGTGGAGAACCCTCTGGGCCAGACCATCGCCGAAGCCTGCAAGATGCTCACCCTGCCTTCAATCTACGAGGCGCACAAGACTCACCCCAAGGACTGGGCTAATCCCGGTCGAGTTCGAGTGCAGCTCAAGGATGACCCTGCTCTGGGTCTACCCCCTCACAGCGTCAAGAACAAGCGACATTTGTTCCGACTCATTGCCCAGTACATGAAGGAGCACCCCACCAAGGAGGTGACCCCTTATCAGGGTCCTGTGTTCCAGAAGATTATTCAGACCAACCCCGAGTTCCCCTGGAACTCCAAAAACCTACCTCCCAAGCCACAGTACCCCCGAGGTTGGAAGATGCCTGAGATTCTGCCTATTCTGTCACCCGCTCTATCTCATGGAGAGGCCAACAACGATATGATGGAGCAGATGGCAAATCAGTTCATGCCTAAGATCCCCGAGGCTCCCCCACAGCAAAAGGTCAAGAAGATGAAGGTGCGAGTCGGAAGATAGGTTGGAAGGTATATAGTATAAACATTGGATTAATGAATGATGGATGGGTAGATGCGGTGAAAGGTGTTTAATATGATGCTAGTTTCCAACACGCCATGGTTATTGGCTATAGGGCATACATTTAAGATCAATCCGTAGAAGTTCAGTATGTACGTATGTACTGTATGTACTCTAGTTGTACCGTAACTACAAATAAGCATCAGATACATCCAACTCACCCTTCAATTATTCTACTCTTTTATACTCGTACTGTCGCACCCATCTACTCCTTAGGCGAGTACTGATCTCGGTACTGCTCAATCTTCTTCTTCTCGTCCTCGGTCAAGATGCCATCGGTGTACTGGATGACGTCGTTGAGGTTGAAGATGTTGAGAACAGGCACGTTGTAGGTCTGGGAAACAACCTGAACGGCAGACTTGGGGCTGTCAACAGTGGTCTCCTGTCGATCCAGTGCAATGACCACAGCAGAGACGGTAGCGCCGTTTGCGTCAATGATTGAGAAGGCCTCCTTAATAGCAGTACCAGCGGTGATAACGTCGTCGATAATCAGCACCTTCTTGCCCTTGAGAGAAGCTCCCACAATGTTTCCTCCCTCACCGTGGTCCTTGGCCTCTTTTCGGTTGAAAGCGTACTCCTTGGTAGCGTACTTCTCTCCGCCCAATTCGGCAATCTTGGCGGCGGTGACGGCGGCCAGAGGAATACCCTTGTAGGCGGGACCGAAAATGACGTCAAACTCGACTCCGGAGTTGATGATCACCTGGGCAAAGGAAGCTCCGACAGTGGACAGAGCGACTCCGGTGTTGAAGAGACCGAGGTTGAAGAAGTAGGGTGAAGTTCGGCCGGACTTGAGGGTGAAGGAGCCAAACTTGAGGGCCTCGTACTTGGTAGCCAGATCCAGAAAGTCCTTCTTGTAAGCCTGCATTGTGGTAGTAGTGATAAGAGATACGAAACTCCGATGCTGAAGGTAAGTTTTTTTTCTGCCATTAGAGTTGACATGGTGAAGAGATGGAGATGGGGTAGAGAAGGATATTTGGGGGTTATATTTTGAAGGTCAAATAGTATCTGACACTAGGGGGGTCATTTCAAAGAGTGCTAGGAACTTCTTGTCTCAATATTCTGGTTGGAATAGGGACTTTGAGTCATTATTGCAACTACTTGTACTACCTTTCCTTGACGTTTTTTTTTTTTTTTTTTACTTGGGAGATTCATTTGTAGACACTATATTACTTAAAGACGGAACGACAACACCCTGATATTCTCTACAGAAAGGTACAGGTAATGAATATGCAAGTGAAGCAGAACATAAGTTTCTACACCCCAGAGGTGCCAAATAAGGCTTCCAGGTCACCCAGGGATCCCGCAATTGCTACCTGTTTCTGATATCGCCCCGCAGCTAATAATCCTCAAGGTTCATGCACAACACTTCTACTTATCACCACACCATGCCGACCGAAGAGCAACTCCATGGGATCATGGAATCGCTGCGGGAGGTGACAAGAAAGTCCGGCTCCGCTCCGACAACACCCACAAAACACTCTCCCCGAAATTCGACGCTCAAAACAGCAACTCCAAACAGATTCACAACAGCATCCTCGACATCTGGAAAAATATCCAAACGACCGTCTTTAATGGAGCGAATTAGACAGGTCAAGGAGAAGGATTATCGAAGAACAACAAAGGAAATCACAGAACTAGCTCCTACGACTACAGCAACATCAACCCCTGCTACATACACTCCGTGGTCCAAGGAAGACTTTCTTGACCGGGTCTCGACATACACTTATCAAAAGTACCCTATTGAGACGTCGCTGTACCCGAAACTGAGTCCCTATAATGTGGCTCGTTACGGCTGGAAATGTACAAGTTCAAAAATGCTCCAATGCGTGAGTTGTGGGAGTTATCTGGCAGTTGTCTGTGGAGAGGAAGATGATGAAGCTACCATCAAGGTTGTGCAGGATAAGTATCTTGGGCTTATTACACGGAACCATTCCAGTAGATGCTTGTGGAAGAACAAGCCTTGTTCTGAGAGCCTGGGATCGATCATGGGCAACATTGGACGGCTTCGAAAGGATTTAGGAGGAAAAATTGCAATTCCCGAGGGCGTCGAGGTTACTGTGGATGGACAGAGTGTGGAGGATTTCTTTAAGAAATTACTTCTTGAAGTTGACGGTGAAGTAAACAAGGAAATCGACGAGAATAGGGGACTGGATTTGAAGGAGGAAGTGAAAGAAAATGGATCTGGCTCTAATAAGGACTCAAACGACCTGACGCAGTCAGCTGAACTTGGATCCGACTCAAAACTCATCCCGGAAGAAGTGTCTAGAATCACACTCGCTGCTGGATGGAGAGGATCCCACAATATGTTCAAGTGCCACGTTTGTTCAAGAATAGTCAAACCCTCTGAGACGTTTGATGTGGTGCAGGAACACAGAGACTGGTGCCCCTACGTTGTGGAAAAAGAGGGTGACAAGCCCGCATGGTGGCAAGTATTGACCAAGCCATCCAAGGAGTCTTCTAAGAAGCGTCTCTCCAATATCAGAGAGGTGTATTTCGGTGTATAGAAACGTATTTATTATTAGACATGACTAGAATTTAAAAGGTAGGAGATGTACAAGCGTACATACATACAGATACAGTATTTCTCGCAGTTCGTGGAGATAATAGTTCCAATACCCACTCATGGACCAAATATAAGTAGTTAGGATCTGAAAGCCTGTATCATAATTAATTCAAGACTAAGGAAGACCTTCATATATATTCATATTGTCCAAATTCGCAATCTTTTTATTATTCTAGGCATTTTTTTTATTCTAATCTTTACTAACCCAAAATACAGCTCGTTTCACCTTTCCGATATAGTGTAGGGGCTATCACATCACGCTCTCATCTTGAGAACCGTGGAGACCGGGGTTCGATTCCCCGTATCGGAGTGTACAGCCAACTGGCTGTCTCTTTTTTTATTCTTCTTTTCCCTATCATGTGTTGGTATCAACCAATTTTGCATGAGGATAAGCTGACTAACCCTTTTGACCTGTAACCCTCCCATCCCTTCTTATGGGGTACGTGAAATACGTCTCCGCCTTAAATCTATACATATAATCATCATTCGTTACTATATACATGACTACTCCAGCACAGTCCACTTCTTTTTGTCCATGGTTTCGTATCCGGGGCCGAGAGCGGCCACTGAGTACCCGGAGGGGTTGACGAGATACTGCTTGGCAACCCGCTTGACGTCATCAACAGCCACATCAAGCAGCTGCCGTCGTCGCTTCTCTCGCTGCTCGTAGGTAAGTCCGTTGGCATAGAGAGCCATTCCCTCTGACTTGACGGAGATGGGGGCATCGATTCGCTGGAAAAGGGACAGCTTGGCCTCCTGCAGATCGGAAGAGCTCCAGTCCTTCTTGACAGACCACTCTCCAGCCTCCTGGCAGGTCTGCAGGGTTCGTTCCAAGTTGGGGTCTCGGTATGAATAATATGAGAAGAAGCCGTCAGTGGGGTTATAAGAGGCTCCTCCACCGTAAGCGCCTCCCTTTTCTCGGATTTCTCGATGCAGATGCTTGTGGGTCAGCATGTTGGCGAGTACCTGCAGGGGAGCTCCGTCAGCATGAGTGTAGGGCACTCCGGGGATGGCAATACCAGCGTAGTTGACCTGGAACGGTAACTTGAACAAGGTGCTTGTGGGAGTGGTCATGGGGATAGACAACGACGAGATATTGAAGGGCGACTCATTGGTCTCGAAGGACTCAGCGAACTTTCGCACCAACTCGTCGTTCTTGGTCTGCATGTCCTGGCCACAAGTGACGGCAAATCGCTGCTCACGGGTCAGAGCAAACTTGGCAATCTCCTGGAGCTTGGGGATGACCTCGTCGACAAGCTGCTGCTCGGACTTGGCAGCCAGCTCAGACAGGAAGCGCACCTGGGCCACACCCCCCAGAATGTCGTCAATCTTCTTGACAGGGGAAATATCGGAAGCAGCTCGAAGCATGGCGAACGAGTGTCCAGACTGAGCCAACGCGTTGGACAGGTTAGCGGTGGAGGCTGCAATCATGGTCTTAAGCTTCTCAACGTTGGTGAAATCAGTGTTTCGAAGCAGCTCCTGAAACAGGCCAAACATGGTCTCCACATTTTTGTCCAAAGCCACACCATCCATAGCAAAGTTGAGCTGGGACGACGGCAGAGAAAGAGGAGAAGAAGAGCAGGAGACAGAGAAATCAAGACCACCAGTGTTGAGTTTGATTTCGTCTTCCAGTTGGCCCATAGTCTTGTCCTTGGTTCCCAAAAAGGTTAGGGACGAGGTGAACAGAGGAAGGAAGGGGTAGTACTCGTGGGGAAGACCCTCTAGAGAAGAGATGGAGTGGAAGTAAGTCAGACCGTTGGTGGGGGCAAGTCGCCACTGGATGGGATAGGGATTCTTGGTATGCTCCAAGGCAACTCGAGGCTTGCTTCTGGGGATGTCTGAGACGTGAAGAGTGGGCAGACAGTCAAGGTTCTCAGGCTCTTCCTGCATCTTTTCCAGGTTGGCCCCGGTCTCGAAGATTTCCTCCTTATCAGATTCAGTCAGTTTGGCCAGCTTGTCGGTCAGAATCTCGTCCTCCTTTTCCTGCACATTCTTCTCATAGTCGGGATTGGGGTTCATCTGAAAGTGGAAGTACTTGTTGTCGAGCAAGTACTTCTTCATCACCTTCTGCAGGAACTCAGGGTCGGCCTCCATGTCTTTGTTGAACCGATCGAGCACAGAATTCCACTCCAGAGCCTCCAGGGGGTCGACCTGGTTAAACCAGCCAGGAAGAACACCGTTCATAAGAGCCATACCGAACTTGGCGTTCTGGTCCTTTCGAGCAAGCTCAGTCTGATGCAAAAGACCGTCGATTCGGCCCTTGTCGAAGCCCTCAGCAACGGTAGTCTTGATGGTGTCGAGAATAACAGTCTCGACCTTTGTAAGATCGCTCTCGGTCACTCCCTGAAGACCAACAGAGAAAATGTTAGCTCCAGGAGCACTGTCAAGGCCAGTGTTGGGAGAGTAGGAAGATCCAAGACCGGAATCAATCAGCTTCTGATGAAGGGGGGAAGAATGACCGTCAATGAGTAGAGAAGAGATGATCTTGACGCAGAAAGACTCGTAAATGTCCTTGGGAGAACCCATCAACCACGACATGGACATCTTGTGCTGCTTAGACGTATCCAGAAGAGTGTCAATAGGACCCTCTTCAACGATACGGGTGTTCTCAGCGGCAGAAGAAAATTCGAGAGGCAATCTCTCGGTGTTTCCGGGAGTTTTGGAGATCTCACAATTCTCAAATTTGGCGTTCAGAGCCTCCAAATGGTCAGCAACAGAGATATCTCCATAAGAAAACGTCTTGGCGTTGCTGGGGTTGTAGTGATCAGCATGAAACTTCTTGAGACCCTCGTAGGTGAGTTCGGGAATAACAAGAGGGTCTCCTCCAGAGTTGTTCAAACTGGGGTAGATCTTCTCCAGGTACCGAATGTAGAAAGCGTAAGCAGCATTGGACATTTGACCTTTCATCTCGTTGAAAACGACACCCTTGAGGATGATGGGACTGGTCTTGTCCTTGGAGTCCTCGTTTTCCAGTCTCCAGCCTTCCTGAGAAAAGTCCAGCTCTCGAAGCAGAGGCTTCAGGGTAGCATCGAGGTACACATCTCGCAGATTCTTCATGTCGGTAGCGTTGGTGGTAGCAAAGGGGTAAAAGGTGTAGTCCTGGGCGGTCATCGCGTTCATGAAGTTGGCAAGAGATCGGTTAAGCATCTTGAAGAAGGGATCTCGGACTTGGTACTTTTCCGATCCACACAACGTTGTATGCTCCAGAATATGGGGAACTCCGGTTCGATCGGGAGGATTAGTCTTGAAGCCGATGGAAAAGACGTTGTTGGAGTCATCTCGAGCAATGTGCAGATGCTGGGCTCCAGTGGAGTGCTCTAGCAGGGTAGCCTGCAGATCAAACTCGGGGATCTCTTTGGTTCTGAGAACATTGAAGCCATGGATATTGTCGCCGACAGAGAGAGTGGGTGCGGAGGTGGTGGCGAAACGTCGAACCACGGCCTGGACCGGTTTTTTGAGCGACTTTAGACGTAACATGGTGGTGGAAGAGAGTGTCGATGCAAGTCTCGATTTTAGATAAAAGAGTGAACAACTCTAAATGATTTATAATAGTTGGGGGAAGGTAGCGACGAGGCGGTGGTCACATTACAGGAAAACAAATATGGATTGATACCATGTACCATGAGTGATCACGTGCCATGAGTGATCACGTGGACAGTTTTCGTAGTCAGGATTTCCGTCTGTGGGTTTCTGGAGAGTTGTTAGAGCGTCAATAACCGACATCTTCCTCGATGCGGGGAATAGGGTAAGGGAGAAACCCGTGAGGTGGCAAGACGAAGATTAGTAATATTTATAATGAGTGGAGGACTGATCACGTGATAGGATTCTACGATCGTGTGGCTAACTTATGCTTGATGGGCTCGTGGCGGTCGAGAATGATTTCTTATCTGTCTTTTGAACACTCCTGGTGATGCATAATTAGGTTGCAAAGGTCTGGAATACTGATGGAAGAAATCGATTTCAGTGTCGCTGCTAAGACGAGGAGGGGACTTACAGAGAGAAGAATAACAGCATTAAAAATAAGGGTGCCTGTAGCTTTCGATCTATATAAATAATGTACTACAATCTCATTACGTTGCTTACCGTAAACTGCGATTATTTCCGTAGGTGCTGTGTTGAGGTTTTCAGTGGCGACTCGCCAGATTGTCAAAACAGGCTATTCGAGTCACAACAGAAGACGTAGGCTAGCTACTGTATTTAAAACAAGCATCCTAATGAAAGTACTTGTACTCACCTTGTAGGTTGCGGCTCCCAGCAACCAACAACCACAATTATTTACATGATCTGACAATTCAGTCAAATGTTGGAATCAGCATACTCCCGTGAAAATGTGGACCTTGCATTTCCAGGGCCTGGACTGTTTCGGTGGGTGTTTGGATCGCAGTCTCGCCACCAGACGTTTCTTTCCACCACCTTCGTAGACCTGATCGACTGTTTATAGCGAGAAACAGTGGGTTCTGTTTGTGGTGTGTAATTGTGGAGGTCAGGTTGGCGTCGGAGTTGGGACTATTAATAGGTTCAGGTTATGACAAGTATTTTTAGCGACTTGCACGGCATGTACACTATGAATAAGAGAGATGCACAGAGTCAGTGAGAGATTAGAGATAGTTGAACAGACACGTGACGAAAAATATCTCGTGACCTATTAGTTGCAATTGAATCATATTTGGTAACGTGACACGCTCACGACTTCCGCGTTCAACTAATTACCACTTCTGGACGCGTCTCCCAAATCATTTCAATTAAGCTCTTGGGTACGCGTCGTGAAGGCTGGGCCTTGTAACCTCCTTCTTTCCTCCACAACACCATGGACAGCTCTCCAATTCGACTCATGAGCGCAAGTGAGCAGAATGCAGGATGTGACAAGCCTGTAATGGCCGACAACAAGCCTCTGTGCACGATTACCACGCCCGAACCGTCACCCAAGCGTCGAAAGATCTCTGCCGAGGAGAAAGAAAAGATGCGACTTGAAAAGGAACAGATCAAGAAGCAGAAAGAGGAAGAGCGAGAGCAGCTTCGAAGACAGAAGGAAGAAGAGAAAGAGCTACTGAGAAAGCAGAAAGAGGAGGAGAAGGAACAACTGAGGAAACAGAAGGAGGAGGAGAAGAGGGCTAAAGAGGAGGAGAAACGACGACGAGAAGAGGAACGAAAGAAGGCTGCCGAAGAGAAGGAGCTTGAGCGAGCCAAGATTGCAGAGGAGAAGGCTAAGTTGGCTGAAGAGAAGGAGGCCAAGAGACTTGAAAAAGAAGCTGAACTCAAGAAGAAGGAGCAAGAACAGACTCGAATCATGTCTTTCTTTAACAAGAAGACCAAAAAGAAGACCAAGAAGGAAGCTGTTAACAGTGACAAGTGTTTGGACTTTGATAAAGACTTCCTACCCTTCCACATCAAAGATACCGTGTGTATGGCAGACAAGACGGAGTGTGAAGTGATGGATCAGGATCCTGTTGACTGGCTCAACAGTCTCAACCTTTCTGATGACAGCAACACCGCCGAAGCAGAAGAACCACCTGTTCCCGTCAAAACCATCATTACTCACATCCAGACCGCTGCCACTCTGGGTCTCAATCCTGATAATTACAACGGTACTCCTTTAGACACGCTGGTCAATGCTCTTCCTAGACGATACTTGCAGTTCTATGGTGACGAGCGACCCGCATACCTGGGCACGTACTCCAAGAGCTGCTCGCGTGATCTGTTGCAGAACCCTCTCTTCCAGGTGCCTGGTTTGGACTACGAGTACGACAGTGAGGCAGACTGGGAAGATGAAGGAGAAGATATTGAAGATGATGAAATTAGTGGAGACGAGGAGATGGAGGACGACGAAATGGCCGACTTTGTGTGTTCTGATGATGCCAAGAGTCCCAGCACCATGACTTCAAAGGTCACGACAGCCCAGGAACCTGTTGTTGTCTGGGGCTGCTCAGATATGGTTGGTATGACTTTTGGAGGACTGATTGTCCAGGGGGCAATTGACCCATTCAAAGACTATTGGACTGTTGCAAAAGTTGAGCAGAAGACCGATACTAAGAGTGACGTGACAATGACTAGTGCGACATCAGCTTCTGGTACAGCTATTAAATCTACTACAACCAAAACCGAACTCAGCCCGTTTGAAGTCCTCTCCAAAACTCTGTCACCTTCCCCAGCGGTTGCTTCAGCCACGAAACAGTTTCTGGCTGCTGCCAAGCCTCAGAAGCTCATTGCTGGAGACGACCTGACTGCTCTTTTGAAGCGAGTAGATGGATCCGACGATAACAAGACGCTGTTGACCGAGCTGCTTTGTAAGCAGTATCCCCAGTACACACGCAAGATGGTCACGGCCACCATTCAGCACTATGCTGAGCGACAGGGTCCTAAGAGCGACAAGCGGTGGGTTCTGAAGGATATCTAGGCCGGGGAATGATGAGTTCTGCTGGAGTACACATGACGCAGTAGATAATGAATTAACGATGAACTGATGATTCAATAATGAAACAACTGTGTGAGAACGATGGCCGAGGCCTATACTCGTAAAGTAGTACTTTTGTGCTTGATTCCACCGCCGCACTTAAAGGGACGTCAGAAGTAAAATTGGTACAGTACACTGAAATACGGTCACGTGACTCGATCCCACCTCTCGCCTCTCGGGTAACGTATAGCCGATCCATCCTCATCCTCATCCTTTTCTATGTGTAGCTGCATTGCACCTCCATTTCAATGTCGTACTTATACCAGGTATTTGGGGTTGACATCCTTGTACAGTATTTAGGCTCAGTGCAAAATGGACCGTGAACCCAGTTTCGATCGCTCTTTCGACAGGCTCTGGTCTACAAACTCTTACTGTACATCGGGCAAATCAAAGAAGACAGAGATACCCGATTGGCAGATCGACACAAGTATGGTTTGGCCGGAATAAGCAAAGGCGCAAAGTGTAATCAAGATTTGAAAATTGCTCATCGTGGAAAAAGAAACGGGGTGGGGGACATTTAATTGGTAGTGAGTGGTAGAGGTGGTGATATATACTGTGCACGGTTGTTCTATGAAATGGAGGTGAGCGACTTAGACCTTTGGAGTAATAAGACTGTACTTGTGAAATGAAGGCTTCAGTTTACAGCAGTACATACCGTAGCTGATTTAAGCCTCCTTAGCGTATGAGCGAAATGTTTCGATGTAGCGCTTCAGATGGGATATTCCCTTAGGAACGTACTGTGATAAACGGGAACTTTAACAAAAAGAGGAGTGGATTATTGGGACGATTTCCTCGCGAGTCGGCAGTCACGAAGTTCAGTGGGTATTTAGATATGTGATCATTATCTGATGGGTTAGTCTGAGAATACCAAAGAAGTCGTCGAGTGAAGACTCATACTTTTCACCTCCGTAACATGTGCTGATGTTCTCGATTGATGAAGTCCTTCGTTTGTCAAAACTATTTGTAGTTGTCTGAAGTCGCGGACTGCTGAGTCTACTTGTGCCTTCCTGCGGATTACGATCTCCACAACAATAGCTACTCTTACTCAATACAACAATTAATCAATTACTTTTGGACGTCTTTCGACAATAAATAATGTCGTTTACACGACACATCATCAACGATACTCCTCCCCTTGATTAAGCCCACTTGGCCAGCAGGGCCATGAGTCCGGCTCCGGCACACATCCAGGCAAAGGCCCAGAAGATTCGCCAGTTGTTGGCGTGCTTGAACTCGGACGAGAACAAAAACTCGTGGGCCATGAGCTCAACGAGACCGGTATACAGCAGGATACCGGAAGACACGGAGTCAAAGATACCGTTGGTGATAGAGGCTGTCTTTCCTCCAGGAGGGTAGGTCTTTCGCACACCGAGACCAATGGCAATCGCAATGGGGGTGGTGAGGCCAAATGCCAGACCAAGGATCCAAGGAGTCCACACCTTTTTCTTGGGCCAAGGGGCAGTGGCCAGTCGAGTTCCCAGACCGAAACCCTCAAACATCTGGTGGAAGACAAGCACAATGTACAGGTCCTTGAACTCGTCTCCGGAGACAGCAAGAGTCAGACCAATGAAGACAGAGTGGAAAATGATACCAAATTCGAGCACAAAAATGGAAACGAGCTGGGCAGAGTAGGTCTCCAAACCCATGTCGTTCTCCAAATCAACGTCGTTGGGGTCAGTATGCTCTTCGCAGTGTCCGTAGTGGTCTTTGGGTGTCAGGGGGTCATGGTTAGCAATGGGATTGGGCATAGAGACAGGAACGGAAGAGTGCTCTCTGGGCTTTTCGTTCTCCTTGACGATATCATCGGAAGAGTGGTCGTCGTGAGAGTGACCCTCGTGGGTATGCTCGTGAACACCTGAAATCTCCACGTCCTTAGAGGAAGCCAGTCCTACGGGTCCGTGGCTGTGGCCCTGGTGTCCAAACATGTTGAAGCAGACCAGCTCCACAGCAAACATGAAGAAGACCATGAAGAGACAGATACCAAAGGCATAGGGGTAGTCATTCCAGTGACCAAGACACTCTTGGGAAAGAGCTTCGTTGGCAGGTTGTAGAAGATGGAGCAGAGAGGTAGCAATGATGACACCAGAACCGAAGTACTTCGCGCAGAAAAAGAAGACGGGAGGGACCTTGATTTGCGAGTACTTGGAACAAAGAACAGGGAAGAGAGCTCCAAACGTTCCGCAGATGAGAATGACAAAGATGGATGAGATTCGGGCGCCCATTCGACCATCGTACTCGTTGCCAGAGTCGCAGACAACGGGGGCAGCGTCTGCATCGTCATCTCGGGTCAGCAGTCTGACCAATTGATCGGTGATTTCGGGAGACATGTTTCAGATCGAGTGAACTGGTCGAGTGGAAGAGGTTGATGCCAAGTGCCAAGCCCCGGAAATGAAGAGATATTTATCTGGGTCTCTGAACCGAGATGATGAGAAAGCACCTCTCTCTTTGTCTTGTCTGCACTGCAGCTAAGTTGTAACTTGAACCGTAGTGGTTATGCTTACTGGGTGCAAGTGGGTATGCGAAGCGAAAAGTTGAAAATATTTTCAGAATAGAATCTACGTATTTTGTTCGCCTACTTCCACGCTATTTCATCCGATGCTCCAATCATCAGCCATACAACAGCTTTCTTGGCAAAACTCTACTCAGTCTCTACACGGCTAGCGCACTATTTTTTATTTTTTTGAGAGGTGAAAACCTCCAAGGTGCTCGTTAATCTGAACTGTAACCTAGCGTGGAAACCTTGACGTGTTGGATGACGGCAGGGCACTGCTGGTACTGATGATACCCGGTCGTATATCAGTTGTTGAAGACGAGAAACTCGCGCGGAGCAGCTTGCAGCCTATAGATCACGATACTGCCTTTTAGTACACCTCAAATAGACCATTCGTGGTGCCAACCATCAGCGTCACATTAGCTCCACCCTACCAACTCCTATCGAGGCGCGCGCTACAGCAAGGGCTAGCGGATACACGCATAAATCGTAGCTATGGAGGTGGGGAAAGCTGCCTGTAGGGAAACGTGGACCAACTGAATTGATCCCTAAAAAACTCGTCTCAATTGTGGCCATGACGTCTTGTAGACTGGTGTTATTACCATCCAGCCCTCTAACCCTCAAGGTGCACGTCTCAACTTTGTTTGGATGGGTAGCGAAGAGCCGCTTATCCGAGTCGTGGTATTACACATCCTGAATACTCTACAGTACAAGACAGGGACAAGCAAGCTATAGTGTGTACTGTAGCATCGCAGGTTGTTTTTTTTTCCCCTTGGCGTAACGGCCGGTTGATAAGTCGGCATAAAATTACCGAGCACTATAAAGACATGGATCATCGAAAAACCGAGGCATACTTATCTGAAAAAGAACCGACGCATTATGTACTGCATGATTACATACTATACTGAAACACCTGCGATGCTGATAGGCATCTAAAAATCGACTGTACGAACACTTGCACATGTCGACATACGCCTCGCACATGTAACCAAAGACGTATTCACCGTATCGTTTCCTTTATCCAAGACTGAAATCTTTTTCTCATCCTATAAATTCAAGGATTATAGCGTGTTCCGCCAGAGTAGCCCCATAACCTACACACTAATAGCGTGCAATAGGACGGCTCTGATCATCGAGCGTATTGATCGTCTGATGAGCTGTCTTAGATTCGACATTATTACAAGATCATGACCTATTGGTGTCAAGTATCACTGTTCCAAAGCTATCTGATTCATCCTCTACAAGGATGGTGTGTTCTTGGCCTATCGGTACCCACTCGACCAACACCCAGTAATGGTGCTTGCCTCCAGAATGACACATGTATCAGCCTTGTACTCGACAAAACAACGAAACGAGCAGCTCTACACTCTCCGTCTCCCCCTGTCCAAGAATACATGGACGCAGAAACTTTTCAAGAGTCACAAGGTCACACGACACTTATGCATTATGATCATGACACCCCGAAGTCCCTGATATCACCCATCTCCTCGCCTCCACCACATGTTGTAACAGAGTACGCCTCCAACGTCCCAGCCACCAATTGTATCTTTAGCTGTCAATCAACCACGTGCAAGTCTCATCTGAATCACGTTTTCTCTCGTATAAACACACACTCTAACTGATAGTGGGTCAGATGCTACAGTACATACAGTAACGGAGGGGCAGTGTGTTCAACTGGACATGTTCACATACATTAGTTCGACCCGAAGATTTGGGAAATAGTGGACTTAAGCACAGCAAGGAAACCACCTTTGTGTACCTATAGCAGGTGCCCGAGAAAAAATTCTCTTCCCGCAAGTTTTGGTGGAGCGCTAGAAAGGGAAGGTGAATCAGCAAACTTGGTGCGCACAAAAGTTTGACTTGTAGTAGCAATACAGCAGACAGAGGGGTTTATTATTGTTCTGATTGAGCGACTATGAAGAAGAAACAAAGATATTGAAGGGCATTGGGTAATAATGAATCTGTAGTTGCCCTAGTCTGTCTTATGGACCTTCTAACAATCATATCCCATACCGACAAGCAGAACTGCAACTGTCTGACGTTTATCTGCTTCTGGCTGCCCTGATATGACTGCCTAATCACCTACAAGGTCAATAGAAACAAACAAAAGACCCCCTGGTCAGATGATGGTTTCGTCACTAGCAACGGCACCTGTTTTTTTGTTCTTTGTCAGAGTGTCCAACCGCCAACGGGCTTGTATTAATGCTCACGTGATAATAGATATGTGCAATTATTAGATGATAGAGATCTAGGAGTGTTGTTTCTGTCCGCATTAATCTGAAATTTGTCATATCAGAACATTCATTTTATGATACAAAGGCTGGCCAGTGACAGCAACAAGTGATATGAATATGATTTTGGATTGAACCGCAAGTACAAGTACAAGTGTAGACTGATACAATTGTCAACCTTTACCACTCGCAGTCTACTTATAGACTGGATGTACTTCATCTCCTAAATTGTACAGAACGATGTTGGCTGTCTTCTTCACCAGCGCTGTAGATCATCGAATAGCTACTCGATGTCACAATGAAGAGATATTCTTTTGACAAGCCTAGGGAATTGGAAGGTCAACTCCATGATTTCCTATAATCCTTGGAACACGTCGTAATCAGAGAAAATCAGGCTCTGGTCATTAGAAGTCACATAATGAAGTAGAACAGAGTAAAAACGTACTGGTCCATACTACTTGTAGTATCTACTTGTATAGAAACCATTGACACAAGTCCATTCCTCGAAACTGACAGTCACAATAGCGACAAAGAACTCCGTGGTATCTGCAAAACTCCAATGGTTGCTTAGGTAACTCAATGCCTGCCCACCCATCACCACATATGCCCCATTCCGCGACATCCAATGGACCGAATTTCGCTGTAGAAAAGACAGGGCACCAATAAGAGCCCTTGGTTGCACTACTGATCCCTGTAGGTCCTCTTCAGTGACAATACTCTGGGATACAGCAATGGGAATCCGAACTTGTACAATCCTGAAATAAACTGGATATCAATTCATAGAAAGAGGAGATCTCCAGGAATATTTTGATACCATGTTTGTTTGCCAAATTGACTTGCGTTCTTGGATAGTTACTGTATACTCTCAATCGACCCTGCTCTCGAGAGAACTACTACAGTATGTGCCTACTGTACTGTACTTACATAAGCTTAAGCCTTCTCTACCTCCGAGATGGAACATTGTTCATCCGATATATTAATCTCCACAGGACAACCGGATACAACATCACAGGCACAATTTTATTGTAAAAATAAATCAAACCTGTAAAACATGGCCAGATTAACACAGTAAAATACTTATAACACACGAAAAATCACATATATTACCCCCAGCAAACCCCTCAGATTTAACCAGGGTTAGGGTAATACGTGCATAAGACATTGCATATCTACGTGTAACTCCATACACTAACAATCTCGAGACCATTAACAATCAGGGAGGGTACCTACATTCAAGAGTGAGTATTTCGGAATCGGAGAAGCGTGTGGACGACCGGATATTATGTATACGATTGGTGATGTGCTACTGGAATTGTTCTGGGTCTTTGTCACGATGCGATGTGACTAGTCGACTGTCAAGACGAGTGAATTTGATATCATCAAGATGAGATGGACGTGGAGAGTATTGTGACACATTGGATGAGGCGCAACAATCGCAAGGGACTCGATTGAGAGAACTGCTTGACGTTTGTGTGATTGGGTAGCCCATATCACCTGTCAGCAATTGATATCAGAATCTTGAATCGACATCGCCGAAGAGAGTCATATCCACCAAGGTGGCATCTGCTTCAGAATGACTACGCAAGCAACCAATATTGCTTGATATCTTCCGCTTGAGACGTACGGCCTCACGCTTCCGTTTACTAACCCAGTGCCCCCCAATTCCCTAGCTAAACAGTATGATGCCGACAAGGAGCGGCTCATCAAGTCGTGTTTCTCCAAGGTCGATCAGACCGGCCAGTTGCTGGAGTCATACATTACCCACGTTCGAGTCACCGAGGACTCACATTACCCTTCAGCTCGACCTCCTCCGGACTCCCCCGTTGCTAACAAGAAACCTCGAGTGATTATCATTGCAGTGAGAAAGAGTGGACGTGTCCGAATGCACAAGGCCCGAGAAAATGCCAACGGCACATTCCAGATTGGAAAGACGTGGAATCTGGATGACCTCACGTCTGTGGAGAACGACCTGCAGATCCCCAGTGGATTCACCATGCATCTCGGAAAGCCCTACTATTGGATGACCGGCTCTCCAAAGGAAAAGACAGTCTTTGTGAGTTCGGCCATTCGAATCTACCGAAAGTACCGTAACGGTGCTGTTCCAACTATGATTGGATGGGATGCTTCGATTGGATCTCCTATGGTGGGCCAGAGTCCAAAGTTCAAGGGTGGACAACAGCAAGGAGGACATGGTAGTCCGGTTGGAGGAAGCCACGGCAGCCCCGGGAACATGGGCACCCCTCCTCTTGCTGGACAGTCCCCTTTGCATCCTGGACAGTCCCCTTTACTACCTGGCCAGTCTATGCCTCTGCAGCCAGGTCAGAGTCAGCCCATTAAGATGGGCCATTCTGGCAGCCCTGTCAACGCAAACTTCTCTGGTTCCCCTGGCAGTGCTGGATTTGCTGGTAGTCCTGGTAATGCAGCGTATGCAGGCAGTCCCAGTAAGACCCACACCAGTCCATACAAGCATGCCCGAGGTCGATCCACAGCTTCTGTCAGCTCAGCCGTTTCTATCGGTTCAGGTTCATCGGCTGGGAACTCTATTCCTGGCCACGGTCGTCGAACCAGTGTGATTTCCATCAATGATTCACCTGTTCCTCAGTCGCCAGTGCGATCGGGTATCTCCACATCGCAGTCTGCCAACAATGTGCGTTCTATGGTGGACCCTGAACCCGGAATGAAACAGACTGGTATATCGCAGAGCAAGTCGCTGGGCAATGTTGCCGCAGCAGCCGAGCCCATTCCAAAGCTCGACGACCATCTGCTTGAACAGCAGCGTCAGGCTGAGCAACAACAGCGACGTGAACAGCAACAACGTGAACAGCAGCGCCAGGCCGAACTCCGAGCCGAACGGGAGGCTGAACAACGTTTGGAGCAACAGAGACAGGCTGAACGACAGGAACAGCAAAGGCTCGCTGAACAACAGCGACTGGCGGAAAAGCAACGTGTCGAACAGCAACGAATCGAACAGCAGAGACAGGCAGAGGCTGAGCATCAGCATCGACTGGAACTCGACCGACTGGAACGAGAACGACAAGAAAAGGCGCGTCTTGATTTGCAGCGACAGGAACGGGAGCGACAGGAACGAGAGCGAAAGTCAAGCGTTAGTCAGGCGGCAGAAGCGGCCGCTGCTGCTGCAGCCGCCTCTGCCGCTGTTGCAGCAGCAGTTTCTACTACACCCGGACGAAAGTCTTCAGTTGCTGATGTTTCTTCTGCCGCTTCTGCAGTCACTCCTCGTCGCAAGTCTTCTGACGTCATCACTATTGAAGACAGTCCCTCTCCGCCCACAGCAGCTGCTCTAGAAAACCGCCAGCCTACCATTCCGGTGATTTCCGTTGACGATGATGTGGTAAATGTGGATGAAGACGACTTCGACATGGACTCCCCGAATCCTGCACCCATCGCACCAGTTGTGCCTGCGGCCCTTGCTCACAACCGAAGCTTCTCTCAGGAACTTGCAGGAGCTGGTTTCGTGGAGGAGAAACCCGCTGGAGGGTCTCGGGAGCTTACTCGGGAGCCCAAACTGCCAGAATTTGTGGTCATTGACGACAAGCCTCCACCCGCAGTTCAACGTCATCAGCGAAACACGTCTCAGATGTCGTTTGAGAGCAATCTGGAGCCCGTGGATGAGAACAAGCAAGTTACACGTCATCAGAAGAAGGTGTCTTTGTCAGAACCATCCTCTGAGGGCCTTCCTATTGTCGGAAGCACAAGAAGAGACAGCACAGGTACAGGTGGACATCGACGTAACAGAAGTAACGGCAGTTTGGGCTCTTCTCGTCGTCTTTCTCGAGATCTCTCTTCAGGAGGCAACATGGCTCCCATTACCTATGTTGGCACTTCTCAAGCCGACTCTACCTTGATCGAGGACACCCTGATTGAGCTCAATTGGAGCGGCAACAAGGATGCCAAGGAACTCGAAGCTGACATCAACCGGGAGCTTGCTCAGCTTGAGGAGAGCAACATTTCTCATGTCATCGATCTTGACACAAAGTTTGGCGATCTTACGACCGACCTTGATCAGGCTATTGCTCAGTGCGACGAACTGGATGCCATTCTCACCTTCTTCTCTGTGGAGCTTGGGGGACTGGGATCTGACATTGATTACATTGAGTCTCAAGGACACGGTCTCCAGGTCCAGACCACCAACCAGAAGATTCTGTGGGAGGAGCTCAACTCCATTCTGGATACCATGTCTGTGCCCCAGCGAGAGATGGAGATCATCCGACGAGTTCGCCTGGACTCTGCACAGGATGTAGCATATGCCGAGGCTGCCTTGGTCGACCTGTTCGCTGCCCTGGCATCTGTGCGAAAAATGGGCTCCAACTCACGAGATGAGGAGGTGTTCATTGGTGGTATGCGTGCTCTTCAGGAACGAAGATCACTGTACGAGCAGGCTGCTGTTGATTTCATTGCTCGAGCCCAGGTGAGTCTTCAGGAGAAGGTGAGAGATGCTGTTGTCTCCTCCAGCACTCAGCTGAGCGCTGCCTCTGCCTCGCCCACCATTCCTGGACTTATTTCCACCGTTAACTCGCTGTACAAGTTTGCGGGTATCATCCTGTTTATTCGAGACGTTGATCAGACAGCTTACTCTGCTATTCTCAAGCAGTACGAGCGATCTGCTCGTGACTACTACGAGGCTGCCTCTACCGCCTTCTTCGCCAAATGGAAGCAGCAGTTCAAGGCGTCTGACAAGACTGACCAACAAAGCATGTTTTCCCCTGGTCGGGAGCACGAACCCACTGAGCACAAGGTGTCTGCTGTGCGACAGCTAACCATGAAACGAAGCCATAGCCACCAGAATGTCGGCCAGCGAAAACGAGACGTCTCTCTCAGTCTCAGCAAGAACGACAAGTTACAGAACTCCTTCTCTGGTATAGTGGAAGCTCTCCAGACTGCTCTGAACTCCGAGCAGGAGATTCTAATCCAGCTGTTCCATATGACGTCGTTCGGTGCAGCCAACTACGGTACTTATATTAAGCAGTATCCTGCTGGACAACGGCTCGCGTTTGCTCGACACGTGAAGAAGCGAGGTGTCGATCCTGATCGAGCTCAGACTCGAGCTTTTTCCACTGTTCTTTCAGGCATCTTCGCCCCTTTCTCTCACGAGTGTTTGACCTACTTTGAGAACGTCATGGAGAGTCGACCTCTGGAGTGTCCGACTCTTTTCGCCGTGCTTGATGCTCATATCGAGCCCATGGAGAGTACCAACCAGGCTTTCCTGCTGACTCTGGTGCACAAGATCTATGACAAGTCTGTGAACATCTGGAAGACTTTCGTTTCTCGACAGATTGACATGATCAGTAACACGCATGTGAGTTGCAAGCGTCGATCTGGTGTCTTGGGCTTTGTGGCCACCTTCCCAGAGTTCTGCGAGAAGGTTGAGCAGCAGATTTCAGGCGAGAAGAATGGAGCTGTGCGAACCTTGGTCAACGATTCATACGACAAGCTAGGCAAGGCCATTTTGCACAATCTGCAACGAGCTGCAGATGACGTGTCTCTCAAGAACAGCTCTTCTGGAGGAACCGGAACCGCCATCAAGATGGCAGCATCTCTGGCATCTTCTTCTGGTGCCAAGGGTGATGAGCACGAGGACAAGGAGATTCTCAACTACCACATTCTCATGGTTGAGAACATGAACTGTCTGATGGACTCTCTTCACGAGAACATTATCAGCCACAGCCATGTGCTGATTGGACACAGAGACACAGCTGTTTCACAATACCGAACTCACCTGTCCGAGTACTCTGATAACGTTCTCCGACGACCGTTCGGTAAAATCATTGACTATGTGCAGGGTGTGGAGGCGCTTCTCAAGAAGGATCCATCAGCCACCCCCAACCAGAAGCACTCTTACAACAAAAAGGCTCTCAAGGCTGCTATTTCGTCCTGTCCCCAGAAAGATCTGCGAAAGGTCATTGATATTCTGCGGAAGCGAGTGGAGAAGCATTTTGGGGCATCTCCAGACGATGATCTGGCCACTGTCGGGAACGTGCCTGTTTACAACGACGAGCTGCTTGCCAAGGTGTGGAATGCTCTTCAGGCCGAGACTATTTCTGTCTTCAACCGACTGACCAACATCATGAACAAGTACTTCTCTGAAAGCAGTGCTCAGAATGATATCACCAAGGCTGAGATCCAGGCAGCTTTCGCACGATGATCTATCGTATATACAGGTGACTAGATTATGTCACCGCCCCCTAACTATTATAGTAAATGTATTGATTGTTTTACAAATCTGACCTATAGACATGTAATTGACTTACGAAGATTTCTCAAGCCGTGTTTCTGTGGAAGAAGCCCCAGGAGACCGAGAAAATGGAGATGCTGGCGGGAAGCTGGAATATCGTGCCTGATCTGACCAAGTCAACGACGAACTTAAGGGGCTAGAGAAGGACGAGCTGGTCCGTCTTTTCAAAGTGTTTTTGGCCATCCGGCCCAAGGGTCGGAAGATGGATAACGAGTCGACTACGTGCATTGATACCAGCCTGGTACATGATTGACATCAAAGAGTCTGTACTCAAGGTGAGGTTGTTGTGTCTCTCCTCTAGGTGGCATACATATATTTAACGCCGTATCCTGCTTAGAAACGTCCGACGTTGATACTTGTCGACAGTCTGTTGATATAAGAATGTACTGCGTGATTATATTGACGGTCATCAATTAATCCCCATTTGGTCACCCCACGATGGCTTTCTCCACCCTCTTATATGTAGATAAACCCCCTGTAAAGCCAAAGTGACAGAACCAACAAAGATCTTGTTTAGTGAACGTCAAGCCGTCTCATAACCGTCGGTTTGCCTGTCCCAATCCGGCTATTCAAACTCCACACTGGAAGGTCCTTCTACATGCTACCTGTATAGTACATACAGTACATACAGTACATACAGTACTTGTAATTCGAGGACTTAATACATCTCCGGTCAACAGAGCATATATGACACTTGTTAAATCACTCAGTCTTTCCAAGTACGACCTCATGAGGATTTTGGCCGCTATCTTCAATTAGCCCACCATATCCGACCTCGTTTGAAACCATCGAGATCTTGGCAGCCTGTTGTTATTTAGTGCCGACCCCTTTTCGGTCAGGGTGGAGATGAAGAGGAGATGAAACGAGTCCATAAGGTGGATTTCGAGGAACACAATAGAAGTGGTCAATATATGTAGGATTGAGATGTCCACCCAGAATTCATTCATACATCACCGCCATACCTACTTGTACACATTGTCCCCAAGTTTCAGTCAAGATCCTGAGCCAAGAAGCACACTAACGCAATATGTATATAAAGATGGGCACAGGTACCAGGACCGAAATGACATCAAAAGTAAATCATTGATCGCCATGAAATTCTTCCCCGTGGCCCTCCTGGCGGCTACTGCTACAGCAAGTCTGTGCGTTGACTACCAGGCTGAGAACGATCAGGTTCTGCTTGCAGTGCAGCCCTGTGAAGAGTCGGTCACTGCTGCGGAGTCCGAAATGAGTATTTTCATTCGAGCAGCAGCCGGTCAGCCCGAAGCCATTCTCGCCGAGTCTCTCAAAAAGAAACTTGACATTGGTGACTTCGCTGGGTACCTGAGAACCAAACTGAGCTTCGATACCGATGAGCGTCCTGTCAATGTGGCGTCTGCCTTTGCGATTGTTCCTGAAGTGGAGCTAAAGAGCATCAAGAAGTACGAGATCCAGAACCCGTATTCTCTTCAAAAACGTGGAGAGTGCAGTATGTGGAGTCCCGGAAACTGTGGTCTTTCCGACGTCCAGACTAACTACTATAGTAACTTCTACACTGTCCACGCAGACCCCAACCACCAGGTGTGTCTCGGTATTTGCACGGACTACCTATCGCACATTTGGAATGACGGGGTGCTCCAGGGCTCGTTCTACTACACCTACAACGGCTGTAAGTTCCGAAGCCAGAACAACTGGAACGGAAAAACCTGGAACTTCTGTCGAGTGGGCGCGTTCTACGTCATGACCAAGTACGCCATCTTCCCGACTTTGTACGCCATAGAGCTCACTGGGTGGGTTGATGGTGTCAATTATGTTTCTCCTCGATTCTGTATGTCTGCTCTTAACAGTTGCAACTCAGATACGCCTTCCAATGCAGACACTGTGTGTTAGGCCGGTGGGAGAGACACTACAGTATGTATTAGAGAGATGCAGGTATATTGTTCAACTAAAGATGTAACAACAACGTAACTATAATTCCACCCAATAGACAGCATGGAGGTTAGAGCTCGCGTAACACCCTATCTTACCGAAGATGTAGATATACTGGGAGAAAAGTGAAATTGACAATCGCTTTCAAATAAGCCAATAAACCAGTTCCACTATTTAAGCAAACCTCTTTCCTTATGTTTACACCCCAAGCCTATCTTGCCACTCACAAGTTGCCTCCCACAACACTGCACCTTGGACGATAAGGTTTTGAAGTTTGAATTTTTTTTGAAAATATATTCAGCGTGCATTTGAGAACCACTCCACACACAGTACACAATGCCCAAACCAAAGGCCCCCACATCCAAGCGAACCTCTACTCGACTGAGAGAGGGTATCAAGAAGAAGGCTGCCGCCCATGGTCGAAAACAGCGAAAGCTCGCCAAGAAGGACGTGACCTGGAAGTCCAAAAACAAGAAGGATCTCGGTATCCCCAACTCCTTCCCCTACAAGGAGCAGCTTTTGCAGCAGCTGGACGCACAGAAACAGGCCGAGGTGGCCGAGAAGGAGCGAAAGAAGGAGGAAGCTCGACAGGCCCGAGCTGAGGCCCGGTCTCGAGGCGAGGACGTGCCTGATGAGGAGGAATTTGAGGACAACCCCATGGCTGCTCTGTTGGCCAGTGCACGGGCTGCTGCCGAGGAGTACGATGGCAGTGATGACGAGGACGAAGAGATGGAGAGCGAGGTTACGGAGCTGGATGTCAAGGTCAACCCTGGTGATGATGTGTTTAACGAGTCTTCGCGAAAGGCCTTCGACAAGATCTTCAAGACCGTTGTGGACCAGGCTGATGTCATTCTCTACGTTCTGGACTCTCGAGATCCCGAGGGAACCCGGTCTCGAGCTGTCGAATCTGCCATTCTGTCCAATCCCGACAAGCGACTTATTTTCATTCTTAACAAGGTTGATCTGATCCCTGCCGAGAACCTGCAGAACTGGGTCAACACTCTGCGACTCACCTTCCCCACTTTGCCCCTGCGAGCTGCCAACTCCGGTCCCGTGACCGGCCGACAGCTCTGCAACAAAAACGTGACCCAGCAGTCCACCTCCACCGCTCTGCTGGACGCCCTCAAAAAGTACGCTAAGGACTCGCAGCTTAAGCGGTCTGTCATTGTCGGAGTCATTGGCTACCCTAACGTTGGAAAGTCATCCATCATCAACGCTCTCACCAAGATCCATGGAGGAGGACGAGCCTGTCCCGTCGGAGCCCAAGCCGGTGTCACTACCGCTCTTCGAGAGGTCAAGATCGACAACAAGCTCAAGATTCTCGACTCTCCCGGTATCGTTTTCCCCTCCGAGAAGGCCAACAAGGTGCAGGAGCAGGCCCGTCTCGTGCTCTTGAATGCAATTCCTGCTAAGCAGATGGTCGACCAGGTTCCCGCTGTCCAGCTGCTGCTCAAGCGACTCACCAACGACGAGTCTCTGTTGCAGCAGTTCATGGAGCACTACTCTATCCCCCCTCTGTCGCACGCCAACTTCAAGGACTTCACCACAAACGTGCTAATTCACGTGGCTCGAAAGACTGGCCGACTCGGCAAGGGAGGAATCCCCAACCTCGAGGCTGCCTCCAAGAACATCATCAACGACTGGAGAGACGGGCGAATTCTCGGATGGACCCAGGCTCCCGAGTACACTGAGGCCCTTGCCGACGAGGAGAACCGACCTGGTATCTCGTCATCTAAGTCCCTCAAGGCTCCCGCCAAGCAGCAGGACACCAAGACTGTGGTCCAGGAGTGGGCCAAGGAGTTTGATCTCGGCGGTCTGTGGACCCCAGGAGAGGATGACGAGGACGTGGACATGTAGGAGTGCAAAACGGAAAGTACACATGATATGTAATAGGTTATAGTATAGAGCATTGTTTGGTATTTCAGAGTATGTAGGAGAGGGGTACAACCAACTACAACGTAGTTCGGATGAGATCAGGAAGTGGACAAGTTTAGCAGTCACTTCTAAACCAAGCATATGGGGGCGATTTGAAGGTCGTGTGTCCATGCACTTTTAGCCATCATACTTCTCTCGTCTAATGTTGATCCATCATAGCAATCCCTTTTCTGACCAAACTAAGTTATTATTGTTTCCCGATTTGGACAGTGATGAAGGAGTCACAAGACCGTTACAGCAGTGTTTTTTTTGGCGGCTGTAGTGGAAGTGAGCAGGATATCAACATATTAATCAAATCAAAGACTATATATGACTGTTCTGGTACCTTTAACGTCTTCACACGACCTACACCGACTATGTACCACCACCCGTCCGCTCTTATAAGAACGTCCACTTTGGGACATCGGATATGCATACGCGTCTAACCACCGCCATTTAGTATTTTCGACAGTGACGCGACCAGCTAGACATCCAAGAGACAAAATTACGATAATGAGTGAACTGGAGCAGATTCGTCTGGCCAACATTGAGCGAAACAAAGCACTGTTGGCGGCTCTGAATCTTCCCACAGAGGCCAAAAAGGAGAGCGTGGACCCTGAGGTTGCGCCGAAGAAGAGTAGGAAACGAAACTCAGCTCGACTTGAGTCGCCTGACGATGGATCTGACGATTCCGCGCCCAGAACTCGACGAAAATCGCGTCGGCTGCAGGGTCTGGATCCCGAGGCAAACGCACTGAAGCAGGAGGACCTGGGAGGTAGCGGTGAGCTCAAGCGACTGATGCAACAGCTCAATGGAGGAGTCAAGAAGGAGCGACTGTCTGGAGATCTGAGTCTCAAGGAGATGCTAACTAAGACTGGACTCGACGAAAAGGAGTGGAGTGCGTCGCTGGGCCAGCTGTTTGGAGACGGATCGAGGGTCAGTCAGGGAGATTTCTTTGATGAGATTGTCAAGAAGGAAGAAGAGGATACTAAGGACATTGACATCAAGCAGAGCAGAGACAACTTGAGCGGTCTGCAGCTCGGAAAAATGTCCAAAGTAACTAAAGAGCGAATCTACATCACTGCTGTGCATCCTGGTACAGATAAACGGATTGTTTTGGCCGGAGACAAGATTGGAGTGTTGGGTATTTGGGATGTTGATTCCGATAACGAGCCCCTACAGTTGCAATTGCACCACGCTACCATTCCTGCTCTTTGTTTCGATCAAAATTCCAACGATATTTTGTATTCCGCTTCCTATGACGGTTCTGTGAGAAGTCTGGAGCTGAAAACAGGCAAGAGTGGAGACGTTTTGGACTTGGAGGCCAAGAAGAACGCCAGTGTTGGTGTTTCGGACGTGGCAAATCCCCAACCTCATCTTCTTTATGCCTCTACTCTTTGCGGTCACCTGATTCGAAAAGATCTACGAACGAAATCAACTGAATATGAGACTCTGATTCTCGGAGAAAAGAAAATTGGTGGCTTCTCGGTGGACCCCATCAACACTCATTTGCTTGCGACCGGATCGCTGGATAGATCGATGCGAATATGGGACCTGAGAGCAACTGAAACTGCCAGAACCATTCCTGGGGGAGAAGTCATCGACACACAGTTCCAGATGCCCCATCTCCAAGCCATCTACAACTCCCGACTGTCTGTGTCTTCTACCGACTGGAACCTGGCTGGCCAGATTGTCTGCAACGGCTATGACGACACCATCAACATCTTCAACCAGAGTGACTACTTCTTGGATATGTTGAATGACGGTAACGGAACAGAGCCTGTGAAGAAGACCCGACGAACCAGAAATTCCAAACTTGCTGAACCCGAGATCAGCGACCAGGAGCTGCCCGAAATCAAGAAACCTTCCGTTCGAATCAAACACAACTGCCAGACTGGCCGATGGGTTACTATTCTCAAAGCTCGATGGCAACAACAGCCTCTGGACGGCGTGCAGAAGTTTGCAATCGCCAACATGAACCGATACATTGACATTTATTCTGGCACTGGTCATCAGCTTGCTCATCTTGGTGATGCCCTCATGACTGCTGTTCCTTCTGCTCTGGCTTTCCATCCTACTCAAAACTGGATTGCAGGAGGAAATTCCAGTGGAAAGATGTATTGGTGGGAGTAGAGAGTAATATTGGACACACATTAATAGTTAACGAATTATGCGATATGATATGTACTCTAGAGACGGTCATTTAGACAGCACCCCATGATACATTCTACACTTGAGGTGTTGTCATTTATACTCATTCATGCCATTATTATATACTCCTCCATCTAAAACAAGCCAAGTAGATCATCATTGGCTTTTCCCTGTCCCTGCTGCTGCTGCTGCTGAGCAGGCTGTTCCTTTGGTTTTTCCGAACCGTTGCCAATATTGAGAGAGGCAAAGGCATCTGCGGTGTTAACAGCAGACAACGAAGCAAACGGGTCGGCAGGGGCAGCCATGGGTGCAGGAGACCCCATAGAACCACCCATGCCACCCATGCCACCCATTCCGCTCATGCCACCGCCCATGCTGCTGGAATTTCCAAACAGTGACATGATGTCGTTCATGGAAGAAGCTCCAGTGGCACCAGAGGCACCAGAGGCGGCAGCAGCAGCGTCCGTGTTGCCGTCTGTGTGCGAAAACAGACCGTCGAGGTCGTTCAGGTTGTCGGTGTTGGCAGCAGCAGAAGCGGGAGCGGCTCCATCAAAATCGATGTCCAACAGGTTCTCAATGTTGACACCTCCGGAAGCAGCTCCAACAGCAGCCGCGGCGGCACCGTCTTGAGCAAGCGCTCGCTGCTCCTCGATGGCTCGCTTCTGTATAGCATCAGCGCCAAACTTGCCCTTACCCATGAAAGTAGAGGCAGGTCTGTGGTAGACCGATGCGAGAGTGCCCAGCTCGCTCAGAAGCTCGTCTAGGAGAGCAGGCTGAACCTCAGGGATAATAGAAGCAATGGGGGGCTTATCGGCTCCAACCACACTCTGGGCGAAGGCCGTGTCTGACGACAGAAGACGCCAGTAAATGTAGGCTCGGTCTCGAATGTCAGCATTGTCCGAGGACGAGGTAGCAGTGTTGAGGGTTTCCTGGATCAGCCGCTGACCCTGGTCGGGTTTCTTTACGTACAGCTTGACCACAGCTGTGAGAAGCTGCAGCTGCACGGGTGTGGACTCCTCCAGAAACTGGGGGGTTATAGAGCCCAGAATCTCAGCCACGTTGGGGACCTGGTCGACGTATTCGCCCAGAATCCAGATGATGGCGGCCTTGGCTTCAGGTTCATCAATCTCGTCCATGTTTTCGCACAGCAAGGGGATCACGGGTGCGAACACCTGGTTGGAGATGGCCTTATCAGCCACTCCACCAGGCAGGTATCGTCGCAGAATGTCCCTGAAGACAATGACCACCTCCTGCAGAATGTAGTTGATCTTGGTGTCCAATAGCTCAAGTAGCAGCGACACGCATTTTTCAGCCGACGAGGGGATCTTGATAGCCAGCTGGCCAATGGCTCTCACGGCTCGTCGCACAAAGTCGATATCAACTTCAAGAGCGTACTCCTTGAGCTCTGCAAGCAGTTGACTGGCATTGTTGTCGTTGGCCACTCGCACGAGAATCTCGAGCTTCTCCATCTTGAGGTAGGCGGGGTCATTGTACTTGACAAAGAAGACTCGGAGGTCTCGTGACAGCAGCTGTGGGTACTTTTGCAGAATCAGTCGAATGTTTCGCAGAGATACGTACTGCACCTCTGGGGGTGACGACGAGCCTACGAGCGAAACCAGAGGGGGAGAAATCTTTCGTAGCAGAATCTCCCGGTTCTCCTCCGTTTGTGTGTGCAGGTGTGCCAGCACACACTTGACGGCTGCCAGAACGACAGACGGGTTGGCATGCTGGAATTGGGGTACCACACGGTCGACAATGTGGGTGCCCTCGTCGCCATCGGCAGTATAGTCGGCCAGGGAGGTCAGCAGGGTGACTCGACCCCATTCGGTGCATTCGTTGAGAGCACTGAGCAACTTGCCGAGAATGTGCGAATTAATAACAAAGCAGTTTGTCGAGGGGTCTCTGTCCTGAATCTCAGCCAGGGCGCTGACGGCGTTGGCCACTACCATGGGGTTGGAGTCACTCATGAGTCCTTGCAGCGTCTGCAGGAAGCCCTCCTCCACACAGGTTTCGGGAGCCAAATCAAACAACTTGGCGACACAGATGGCGGCAGTTTTTCGCACGTAGGGATTGTCGTCGCCCAAAGTCTTTCGCAGAGGTCCATCCATGTAGTCGACCATCTTGTCAACTCGAATACAGCCCATTGTTCGGATGGCGAGGGCTCGAACCAGCGGATTGGGGTCGCCGGAGTCTCCCACAAAGGTGTTGACGGCAAGAATGCACAGCTCGGGGTGCGACTTGGCGTAGTTCATTAGATACAGATAGACGAGTTTCTTCTGCTCAATGTCGTGGGTGGCGAGATTTTTCATAATGTCCGGAAACAGAGCAGAAACATCCTTGCCCAGGGTCATGGCCTGGATCGTGCGTTGAATAGCCTCCTTTCGCTCGGACGCGTACTGCGACACGAGTCCGGACCGCAGCTCGTACGTCTCGCCCTTTTTGGGCGCCTGGAACACGCTTCGGATCCGTTTTTCCAACGACATTGGTTTGATGGTGATTTTGGTTGGTGTTGGTATATCTGCTGTGCTGTTAACTATGCCGCGGGAATAGGGTTAGGTCACGTGTTGGGAGTGTTGAAACGTACCAGTGGCTGTGTTGCGCAGGGATTATAGCGATTATAAGGCTAGGGAGTTGATGGATATGTGTTTGGGTTCTTAATTTGTAGCCTTCATGGATTATGGCAATTGATTGATGGGTTTATTGGTGGTGTTCGACACCGCGGTATTGTATGCTGAGCTATTATGTATGCATGTTCCAATGTGTGGTCTCTGCTGCACCGTTGCTGTGCAGCGTTGTACTGTAACAGCTGAAACTTTACGAAGAACTCAGTGGAATGACGAGAACGAGTTCTTGGAGCTATACTAGTATAAGTGTGTGGGCTGTTTTCGAAGTGCCCGAAAGTGGAGACCATTGGATTTTATATACGAGTCACAAACGCTGGTTTGTATTGCTTGATCAAAGTTGTGGATGCTATTGAGTGGAATGAACAGCCTCGGTAACAATGGAGTTATCAAATAGATTGTGATTACTTGTGACAATAGTTAAAAAAAGAGATATTGAACTGCATGAAGAGATCGGAAGTTGAAGGGTGGATGGAACAGAACTAATCAGATGAGGGAATGCATTCAAGTACTTGAACTTGTACAATGTACTTGTAGAAGCACTTTATATGACACTCTTTTTGAGTGATTGACTTGGTTGATGAACAAGTACTTCTACCTATACCAATCGCACTTAGTCCGTTTAATAGAGACCGTAACGGAGAACCTCGAAATGGAGAGAACGACAGAAGACCTCTGCAACGAGTAAGTACAAGTACAAGTACATACTTCTATATCTTCTAACCTACCACGTGGAAGCAATAACACTCCTCCCCCACTCCTTACTCCCTTTGCAATAGCTGGGCGACTTGGTGCCGATGATACAGCTGAACAATTTCCGAATCCCATGAGGATCTATCTGAGCTTTCATTTAGGGAAATGGAAGCTGAAATGCTCTAAAAGAGGTACCGAATAGATCATTGTCAACCTACAAGTAGCTGCTCTATGATCAGATCAAGCTTACATTTGAGAAGAGACACGACTGCGAGACGCTTGACACTCAGAGATAACTACACATTGTCTCTGTTTAGTTTAACGGTGCCAAATTGGCGTCGCATGAAACACAGATTATCACAAGGATCTATAGATGTATACGGTAGATACGAGTACAAGCAATAGACATGCTCTAAAGTCAGTTACCTTGTGAAAAAGATGAACCAATCATTCCAAGTTTATACAGAGTCATAACCACTGCCATCTCAAATCCTCCACTGCTCACCACCCTCATTGACATCCAGTTCTTGGTTGTAGGTAGGCTTACTAAGCTCAAACGAAGAGGACATACGATACAGAAGTGTGACTCCGGCATCTGAAAAGCACAGGCATGAAACATTTTCTCTCAATCTACTTAATTAATGCAAGTCCATCTCAGCCAGGATCTCACCTGATCTTCGACGAAGTCGGTTCCCCTATTTAGACCAGGGGAAGGGGCTACTGTCAATCTAGACAATTTGTAGTGCCTACAAGTAGCCGGTGGTTTAGGATCAGGGATCGCCTTTAGTGATCGTCTATGTGAAAAAATTTCGAGTCGCACCTTCTCCAACCTCCCCAAGTGTATATTTCTCCCTACAGATGCTCTGTTTACTTCTTTCTGAGAAGCAAAAGTCAGCCGTGTATGGAATGTACAATATGTCAACATGCACATATCCATCAGCCGCGTGAAAAAAATACATGTAAGCAGAAAAAACACGCGGCCCAGAAAAAATGGAGTGGAAACTTACAAAGTTATAAACACGCGTCCACGTGACGGAATCGGTCCTAAATTTCAAACCCACATTCTGCCCACATGGGTGTTGGATACCTTGGATACCCCGCTCCCACAATAACATTGTTTACCGCTGTCAATCACATTCCAAATCAGTATCTAATCTTTGGCCCAACTTAGTCGGCTAAACCAGGCACACGTTGATCCCCAACCTTATATGAGGTGGAGATATGTGTGTCAGAGTGCGATTAATGAATGAATATGGAAACGGTGTTGATAGACAGAATAAGCAAAGGGAAAGGATTGTAACGGTATCATTTAAACCCCATAATGCCGTCCGGAACACCAAGTTTACGCTTTCTCTCATAACTGTGATCGTCGCCAAATGACAACGTGGATATTACGCAGACAGACCAGAAGTCCTTGAGGTGTTTGTACAGAGCACAGTTTTGGTGCTATGGAGATTCAGAAAAAAAGAAACATAACGAGTACGACGATAACTACAAAACCAGCCTATCTTGGACTCAAGAAGCAATATTACCTTCTCAAAAACATCCCCCTGAACCAAATGAAAAAGTTGAGAGTGAAAATTATTAGAGTTACATATACAACAGAAAAGAAACATCCTCAAAAGGATGAATACCAAAGATATAAGTAAACCAGCCTTGGAAATCAAACCACCGAACCGTAACCATCGGATTGATATAAACACCTTTCCAAAAAGTCTCTCCTTTTACCCTAAAAACTAGGTTGCACGTTTCTCTCCATCCCCTAACCGCAACTCTAATTAATCGCGATACTACTGTACTTGACGACGTTGTCCTCCACGTAGCACGACACACAAAATGGAAAAATCAATCACCAACTCGCCAGTTCTGTCGATCCTGTCGTACTGCGCGGCATCTATTCTGATGACCGTGACCAACAAGTATGTCTTGTCCGGTACCTCTTTTAACCTGAACTTGGCGCTTCTGGCGGTCCAGTCCATTGTGTGTCTGACGGCCATTTCCATCGGCAAATCTTTCGGCCTGTGCAAGTTCCGGTCCTTCAACGCCGATGAGGCCAAGAAGTGGTTCCCCATCGCTCTGCTGCTGGTCGTCATGATCTATACCTCCTCCAAGGCCCTGCAGTTTCTGTCGATTCCCGTCTACACCATTTTCAAGAACCTAACCATCATTCTCATTGCCTACGGCGAGGTTCTTTGGTTTGGCGGCAGCGTCACCTCCATGGCCTTGGCTTCTTTTGTGCTCATGGTGCTCTCCTCCGTCATTGCTGCCTGGAGTGATATCAGTGGAGCCATTGCTGTGTCCGGTTCCGCTACTACCACAGTGACCGCTCTCAACATCGGTTACTTCTGGATGATGTCTAACTGCTTCGCGTCCGCAGCCTTTGTGCTCTACATGCGAAAGCGAATCAAGCTCACCAACTTCGGCGACTTCGATACTACCTTCTACAACAACCTGCTGTCTATCCCCGTGCTCCTCATTGCCTCTCTTCTGTTTGAAGACTGGTCCCCCGCCAACCTGGCTGTCAACTTCCCCCCCGAGTCCCGAAACCTCATCTTCTTCTCCATGGTTGTTTCCGGTCTCATGAGCATTGGTATTTCCTACTGCTCTGCCTGGTGTGTGCGAGTCACCTCGTCCACCACCTACTCCATGGTCGGTGCCCTCAACAAGTTGCCTCTGGCTCTTTCCGGAATTGTCTTCTTCGGCACCCCCGCCACCTTCTCTTCTGTGTCTGCCATCTTTGTTGGCTTCGTCGCCGGTATCGTCTACGCGGTGGCTCAGATCCAGAAGAAGAAGGCAGAGGCTGCTCTTCCCAAATAAGGAGCTACCCACACTTGTATTTAGCATGAGTGGTTGGAGGGTTGAGACGGAATAATCCGTCAAAGACGTTACCCATGTTTTTGAAGGACCGAGTCAAGAGACCGGCCCAAAAGAACAAGAAAGTAGAAAAATATATTAGAGATATTGAGATTGGTTGTAGTGATCGAAGTGCTAGCCACATGTACCGTACGATATACCCGCCTTTTCTGTGTGGCTTGCTCCACAGGTAAAATATGACAATACAGGTTATGAGCAACACTAATTGTACATACTGTACATACTGTAAGTATATCTCCATTCATGACATCTCGGTAGAAGGACAAGTACTTGTACATCATCATCTATTGCACATACTCTCTCTTGGATATTTCTATAAATGCATTAGATTAAGTTAGTTTTGGACGTCTACACGGTTGAAGGCATACCAGTCAAGGAAGTGGCCGTCAGTAATATGCTGGTTGCGGAACTGCGTCAGCGCAGGGAGAATGGTGTCGAAATCAGCGCCCTTGAGCTGTTTCAGGCGAACGTTGAGCTCGTTCCTGTACTGCTTCTGCTCCTCGGGCGAGTTGCCTACAAAGGCCCGCATGATTTCGAGAATCCGCTCGTTCTTGCTGAGCCGCAGATCACGCCAGTGCGCGTACTGCTCACACTTGGAGTCGTTGCACACGCCCTGGAGCTCGTACGGACACAAGGGAAGCTCGGACGGCTTGAACTCGGCCAAAGAAATGGTATCAGAGTCGGCGTCAGCCAAAGAGTCGGAGGACTCGCTATCTACATGAACCGGCCGCTGAGCACTGAGTGTGCTCAGAGGACCGAATTTGTGGCTACGGAAAGCCGCCAAGGGAGACCGGTAAGACGAGTCTTGGATCTCCCGCTCCTTTTGCTTGGTGTTAGTAGGAAATGAAATGAACGACTAGTGCTGGGAAAAATAGAAAAGCAACATAGATCTTGTCGAGGTAGAAGAGAAAAATGACGCGAGGATCGAAAAACGAAATATTGCGGTGCACCACGCAAAAAAAAGCATGCACCAAAGAAAGAAAATAAACCGAATGCAACTCTTTGCCATTCCGCTTCCGCCCGTGAAATTTTTCCCGTGTCCTCGCCAAGCTCGTTTGCCAACCCCACTCAGCTCATTCGTCACTCCAATTTGTTCTTCTGTGTTAGCCATACTTACTACATGAGCAGCCTGGCTCTGCTGTTGATGACTGTGGGAGGAAGGTGCTCGATCACTAGCATCGATACCTTCTGTGTCACTTTGGTTAGGTTGCCGGGTGGCAGGGGGTGGTATATCAGGTTGGGGTATCGAATGTGGCTGTGTCGCGCTCTTCAGACTTGTCGTGAATGCATCCTCCTCGCCCTGCAACAAGGTCTTGAGTTTGACGATCTGAACAATCTTGTCCAGTTGAACCGCGCTCAGCGATTCTAATGCAATGTGTTTCGAGTTGAGGTACGCCTGGACCTCTGGGGAAATAGCAGGCGTCACAGGGAGAGGTGGCGAGGCAGGAGAACCGCTCTTGGGGGCAGCTGCTGCGATTTGAACGACATATTCGAGTTTTCCAGCAGCCTCTTCAACAAGAGGGCTCTTCTCCACGATGGCAGCAGTCTCGTTGGTCTCGCTGGCCTCACTATCCTCATGGCTGGGAGTGCCGTTTCTGGACGACGCGTTCTGCTGGGCAATCAAGGCCCGGATTCGTGCAATCTCTAGCCGCGTCTCTTCCAGAGACATGTCCTTATGCTTCTTTGACACAACACCTTCGCTTGCGCTGTCACTTTCGCTGTCACTAATCTCAATGCAAAGTCGTTTCTGACGACGAGACTTCTCTCCGAACCTAGGGATGGAGCGAACGGGAACGACGTACGCAGGATTGAAGGCAGCAGCACCAATGGGCGGAGTCTGCGGGGTGGGTGTGTTGAGCTCTGATCGTGTCTTGCGAAACTGCTCGAAGGTCATCACCGGTTGTGTGCGTGATGATTGTGATTGTATCTGTGTCTGTTGAACCGCGGCCACAGGGGTCGGGATAGGGGGCATGGGTGTTTGGACCACCGACTCGATGCTATATCCCAGCTGCTTGAAGATATGCCGCAGAAACTCCTCACTGCATCCGCTCTGTTGCAGGATCTCGTCGAACCGCAGTCCCAAACGACGAAGGTCGAAAACAGACTGGTAGACGGGGTGACCACCCAGTAAGCCAAGAAACGTGGGTTTGGAGGTGGCTGGCGGTGGCGGCGCATGTTGCCGAGGGTACGGCGAAGGCTTCTGCCGGGTGAGCGGAGGCATTGGCGATAACGCCGGTTGCGTGGTCACTATCGGCAGTGCGGGTGGCGTTGGCAACGACACACCTTGTGGTACGGGGTGGGCCGAGACACCTTGTGTTGTTGGTTGAGTATACTGCTTCACATCCACAACCCGGATTTCGTCGCCTGCGGGTGGATGGGTTGAATTTGCTGTGTTTTTGCGCAGCGTGTCTAGATGGTCTTTGTGGGCGTACAGCGAGTTGAGCGCTGCTTGCCGTATTTGCGCTATATCCATGGCAAATGTGAGGGTGGCACAAGGATGTTGAGTGTTATTGTGTCTTGTTAGGAAGAGAAGAGAGAGAAAAGGATTGTGAAAACGGGTTTAGTATTTAGGCTTTGTGAGGGATACTCGTAGTTGGGTGGGTGATGCAGGTTAGGGTTGTTTTCATACTTGAGTACAGTATGGGTCCACGATGGTTGTTCAAGCCGATGGGGAAACGGGTAATTGTACGAGGAGCGGAGAGGGAAAGGAATGGGCCACTCGTCTTTTGTCCAGTACCATTTAAGGCACCGCGGCAACAGACTTTCACCTCTCGTACTCTTTCGGAGAAGACTACGCACGGTACGGGTTTATGATATATATCTGCACTCTCTTTTCTTGTGCTCCGAATACGAGTGGCTCAGCTATCTCAACCTAAAGTTGTGTTGAGCGACTCTCAACTTGAGAGGGGAGCAACACTTGTACAGTATCGGCAAGCTGACACAAAATTGGAAAGTACAGCGTACAAGTACCAACAAGTAGCGACGGTTTGGAAATTCTAACCACTCTGCGTTTGTTTGAGGAGATGGGCTGCTGAGACACCTCGATTAGTGACCGATTGGGTTCATAACCGAAAACTGTTCGGCTCCGGGTGGTTCAGTTGAATAGGTGGTCCATTTGGCACCTTCGCAGTGTCCATATGCCTCATGTAGTCTATGTCAGGTACTCGTACAACTTTCAGTTATGATTTATGTAATATAATATATATCCGAGGGTACAAGTACAAGTACAAGCCATATCGGCATCCAGAATGTATATGCACCATAATATAAATGACGAAGAGCCGGAATGACTTACAAGTACAGAAAAATGAACCCTAAAAATCTGAATGGATGTTACTGTACCGCAGCGGTGACGACGAAGAACAGTATGCACTGTACTGTAGCTACATTGTATATAACGCCTATTGCTCGCATTACAGTAGTCAATGCCAAACAACCGACTTTGCACTGTCAGTGAGTCGTGGTGATGTCTCCTGAAGACTCTTCGTTGGAGTTGAACAGACCCTGAACAGAAGGGCAATGATTCAAAGAAAGCCCTACAGTAGGTACATACTGTACTTTTGTTGTACTCACTCATTCTGCTTCATGATACTACTGCACATTCCGAATAATGACATACTACGAGTACATACTGTAACGAAGCACTTTACACTTACTGCGGTACGTTCACCATCTCAAACCACCTAACCGATTACTTATGAATAAACCCATGTATACATGCATCCCGATCAACAAGTGATCAAACCGGTCACGCGTTCATTAGAACCGTGTACACGTGACCAAAAACCAAAAGTGTGTAATATGTGCAAAGAACAAAACCGAGAGTCACTAGAAGCACAGCTCAAGTATTCACATCCTTGTAGCCGTATCCCTGATACTGGTTATAATTCTGACCCATTCCTAAACCCATACCTTGCCCCATTCCCGGGGTACCGTAAAACCTGACGTAATTGGCGTCGGCCACAACCGCCGCTTCTCCTCGAGAAGCTCCGCATTTGAGACATGCCACATTCTTGGCAAAGTTGTGGTACGAGCAGCCATTTTTGCCGCACTTCCAGTCGCCAGCACGGAACGGAACGGACCGGTTACCGCCGTGGTTACCATGGTTGCTATGGTTGCCATGGTACCCGTTCTGGTAGCCTCCTCCGTTACCATGATTGCCATTCTGGTAGCCACCTCCATTGCTGTTCTGGTAGCCACCGTTGTTGCCAGGGTTGGCGTTCTGATATCCGTTTTGTGCACCGCCCATGTTGCCGTTGTGACCTCCCACTCCGATGGCTTCGTTGCATCGGAAGCAGGCTGTTCTTCTCTGGAAGTTGGAGAATCCACAAACCTGGCAAGTCCAGTCGCCAGGTCGGGGTCTGTTTTTGCTGGGGGGAAAGGGAGTCAGCAGATCTTGAGCACGTTCGATGACCTGCTCCGAACTGGGACTCACCTCGACCACCTTGTCGTTTAGAGCTCTACCGTTAAGAGCCAGAGCCTCGACCGCCTCTTCATGTGAGGCGAACATGGCGAACCCGAAACCTGTGGGCTTATGCTGTTCTGGTGTTCGCATCGTCCAGAACCCGATCGGCCGTCCGCCATGCTGTATGAACCATGATTCCAGCTCGCTCTGGGTCGTGTCCAGCGGTAGGTTTTCCAAATGCAACACCTTGCATCCTCCGGTGAGAAAAGCTCTCAGATCGGCCTCCACGTCAAGTGGTCGGGTCAGCACGGTGGGAAATTCTCTAGCGGGAGCCACATGCATCAGTTTGTGTAGGCATGAAGCCACCGTGGTGACCATGTCTTTGGCCCGGGGAGAGGTAGGAGGCAGAACGTCGAGAGAGTTGCAAATCTGGATCAGAGGTGTGGGAGTGGCAGGAACCATGCCTTTCTGTGTGGCCCACTTTTCCCACTCCTTGGCCAGATCAAAAACTCTGGGGTGAGCCATGACGGGAGGCAGCTTCACACCCTTGTCACGCGACTCTCGTTCCAACTGCACCCTTAAATCCCACGAGTCCAGACACACGTAGACAGTGCCCTCGTCAGCGGCGCCGGAGGCAGCAAACTGAGCGATGGCCTGTTGCAGAAGAACTCCCGAAGAGGCAGTTTCCCATGTAATACTTGTCAGCTGTGTGCACAACGGAGTGATGGGGGTGTTGACTGGTCGAACCAAGGTGGACTGGATGGGCGAAATGGAGTCTGGCGAAACGGTGGTCCACGCAACCTCGATGATCTCCGTGGAGTCTCGTGTCACGTAGACACCCTGTTCGTCGCATGTGGTGAGGACATGGACCACTAGGTATTTCATCGTTGTTGGAGGTAAGAGGAGTTGTGATTTAGCCTTCCTCAACTTTGTATGACCAAAGGTGAAGGTGACAGTAAACAGAAAACCCTAACCTGGACGATATATATATACCCATATCCCGGGTGGCACGAGTAGCCCTTCACCAAGGCTAGGGTGGCTGACACGTGTGGTTTATTGAGATCTCTACTGATCATGTGAAGTGCTATGTGCTCATTTTGTCAATTATGATTTTCGGCTGATATTTCTCTTCGGGTTTTCAGGCTAATTAATTAGTTGTATCTTAATGTCGGCTTTTTTTGTTCAACCAAAAAGTGCAGGTCTGAGCGAAAAAGGCGAATTAACGTCCAGAAGCGCGCAGGCATTTAATTACGACATTATGCATGCTTATTGGACTTAAGCTTTGATATCGTGTGACACGCGACGAAGAAACGGAGCGAAGGGAAGTGATGTTGGCGTAGGAAAGATTGTAAAACTGAGTCTCTTGGGCTGTAGGTCACTACAATGTAGTAAGATCTTGAGTACTTGCAATGTTGGTGTTTTACACCACTATGGACTGTTTCAGTATCTTATAATTTTTAGGTGGACCACTTGGAAGAGATACGCGACCTGATAGTGGTTACTACGAGTATTGTAGTAATGATTTGTTGGAACTACTTGTAGTTCCTTTCAATTGAAAAAACATCACTATTTTGATGATACAGTAACATCTGAGGAGTCCTTTTTTCAACTGTACATGTCGAAACTATTCCAATGTCAACCTGTATCTACTTAGATGCAGACAATTGCGACAACTGATACCTCAGCGAGAAGTGGAACACTGGGCAGTTAATAAATTCATTGAAAACGTGTAAAAAACTACGAATTTTCTTTTAAACTGTGGTAATTACTCTTTTTTGCAGTAATGGGGTATCGTAGCATGGATGCCAGAGAACTAAGATCTCATACAACTTACAATCCTCAAAAATCCAACACTGCCAATAAATGCCAAATCCTGGACTTGCGTTAGCCAAGTTGTTTAGTGCGGTATAGAGGAACTGTCATCTGTTCGCTCTCCACGTGACTAGCTCTCATTAGGAACAACTAAGACCCCCTCGTTTGGCTTAGTTCACTTTGCGTTTAGTCGACTACAGTAGCTACAAGTAGTTACAAAGTACGTAGCGTAGGGCAAGTAGAATTTATGGAAAGTACATGAGTTCATCTTTCGGGGTTTCCAAGCAGTTCGAATACGGGATTCTCACCGATTTTGCTTCTCATTTTCAACGACAGCTGTCAACTTCTGCTGTTATCAGTCAAACAGCTCGATGTATTTTTAGTATGTTTTTTAGCATCGGACTAGTGTCGCTTTAGCATGCAAGTCGTGCCAAGGGTTGCCAAGTCGAGACTTTCGACGAGGTGACAGTGCCGTCTCCGAATATTCCGCTCGTATTATTGTTCAGCGTGATAAACAAAGGCTTTACTATTTCTTGGACAATGATAGACGTCAAGGGATATGCTACACAAGCATTGTACGAGACCGTTGTCGCGCCATATCTACATTTAGAATGGAGGAGGAGGGGAATTGTTAGCTGATGTCCTCGAGCAAAACACGTCCTCGTTTAGCGACCTGTTCTATTTACTACTATAACTCTACAGGAAAAGTCGATGATAAGGCGTATATTATTACCCCTCCAGGAGATATGTTGCCAGTGGACTGTTTTTTTTTTTTTAAGCATATGGGGAATTCATTTACATTTGCCCTGTGAACATGAATGTTTCTTTTATTAGCGTCTGACTAGCCTGCTTAGTGCCTATCTCTCGTTATGCTGTATCACGTCTAGAGGGAAATTGTAAGTTATCACTCACCATCGCCATGAGAATACAACTCGTCGCAGCCCTTTGCGGTTTGATTACTACCGTAACATGTGCACTCAACCTTGACCTCAACTCACCTGTATCTGTCAACAATGCTGTGGCTTTGGTTGCCCAGGGAATGCTCGATTATTACGACGGGTTCCGATTCGGTGGCACAATTGGAATGTTTGTTCAACCGTACTATTGGTGGCATGCTGGAGCTGCGTGGAACGCCATGATCGAATACTGGCACATCACCGGTAATTCATCTCTTAACGATATCACTTACGAGGCTCTTTTACACCAGCGAGGAGAACGGTTCGATCTCATGGTGTTCAACTTCTCCTCCTCGGAAGGTAACGATGACCAAGGCGTCTGGGGAATGACCATGATGACTGCCGCCGAACGTAACTTCACGGCCCCCACAGACGAGTATGGCTGGTTGTACGTTGCTCAGGGCGCCTTCAACACCATGGCTTCCAGATGGGACGACATCTGTGGAGGAGGTCTTCATTGGCAGATTTACCAGTGGAACTCTGGATACTCTTACAAGAACGCCATTGCAAGCGGAGCCCTGTTCAACATTGGAGCCCGTTTATATCGATACACAGGTAATGAGACGTATCTGGAGTGGTGTGACAAGATCTGGAACTGGGCCGAGGCTGTGGATCTCGTGACAAAACAATACGAGGTGTACGATGGTATCGAGACAGGTTCCGGTAACGTGCCCAACTGTACCAACCGAACTCCGTACATTTGGACCTACAACTCTGGAATCTTCATGCACGGAGCCGCTGCCTTGTACAACGGAACGCTCCTGAGAAATGGAACAGGTTCGGAAAAGTGGGGGCAACGAGTCAGAGGTATTTTCAACACTGCCGTCTCTCCTCTGCACTTCTTTGGGGGTCCTGAAGGCAACATTATGCGTGAAATCGCCTGTCAACAGGCTACAATTACCTGTGATGCCGATCAGAGAACCTTCAAGGGCATCTATTCGAGTCTTCTCGGTCAGACTGCTCAGCTAGTGCCTGATTTGGCCCCTGAGATCATGAAGTATCTTGTTCCTAGTGCCATGGCAGGAGCTAGAACCTGTTCTGGTGGACGAGATGGCCACACCTGCTCTTTGGACTGGCTGACAGGCAAGTACGACGACCAATACATCGGTCTGGGAGAACAACTCTCAGTTCTGGGTGCTATTCTCAACACCCAAATCATGAGCTCGGAAGGTCCACTGGCTGATATCACTGGAGGAGACTCCAAGGGTAACGGATCGGCCGGCACTGTATTTGAGTCTCCTTATGCCAACACCATTGCTGCGCCACTAACTATTGGACCTGGTGACCGAGCCGGTGCGGGTATCATCACTGCTGTTGTGTGCATCGTTCTCATTGGTTCAGGATGGTGGTTGCTCACTGACGGCATGTACAAGGGGTTCAAGATCAAGAGAAGAGACCCTTCAGAGTAGGTTGATTGATGTTTGTGTAAGGGTATTTTATTGTGTATTTTTGGTTGGTTATGTTGAACTGTAGTTGATGAGTAAATAGCATGTAATGTCGTGTATGAAGCAGAGAGTATGTTCGACAAATGACGCTCCCAAAAATAATTAAAGTACAAGTATATACCTAATTGGGATATCCTTAGTTACTTGGAATGTTCAACAAATTGCACATCTACAACGCTGGTTATAGCTCCACATATAAACATCAGTTTTCCCATAATAAAATTTAAAACCGATGCATGGCGACGAAGAGTCTTCATTATTTTCCATGACTCTCCAATTATTCCAAATTGTTACATTTTAGACCTTCCAAATCCACCTACCAGTATACATAACTTCGCTAAATAAAGTTCAACCACCATCACGAAATCCATCAGCTCCAAACCAGAGCGTCCAACACCACACAACACTCTACACACCATGATCCGACCTGCTGTTCAACGAACATTTGGCCTTAAGCAACACATCGGCTTCCGACGATACTCGACAGAAAAGCCCACTCTTGGCCAGTTTTCCAAACCTCTCACCTCCACCTTCTTCCTCGCCTCCGCCATCTACACAACCATGCATTTCATCTGGTGGCGTCTGGAGACCGACGAGCGACGAAGATCTTATGCCAGTAAGTATTTATTGAAGGGACTGGCGCATTTTGTGTTGATTTGATTCCCCATCTCCTTCAATGACCACATCACATCCAGTCAGATCAAACTAACACAGACACAATCACTTCCCTGGAAAACGAGCTGAAGACCAAGCAGGCCAAGCAGTAATCAAAATGTACATATAGACGAAAATGATATTGATTTTATGGAAGACGTGGTACTGCACCCAAACTACAAGTCATGTGGATGGGTCTGTATCGAAGATGGGTGACGTGCATTGAGCATGATGAAGGCCATAGCAGGAAATCTAACACAAATATATATAGAATACCACCAAACAGCTTACCAAATGAAAGCCCTGGACGAGACAAATCGAATAATACCAATGATTTTATCCTGTGACCATTGAAAGAGGTGGGAATCGCGAAACACGGCACTTTCAACTCAAGCCAAAAGAAATTAATTTCGAGATATAAATACAAACAAGAAAAAACTAGGTTCAAAATTCCCATTATGATTCGACACACTCAATATCCGGAATATCACACACATGTCCATGTCCATGTCCAACCTCCATTATAGGAAATAAGCTTCCAGCATGCATGCCTCTCGATGCACCTTTTTCGTTACAACTTGTACACGCCCTCCGCAACACAGACTCTAGCTTGACACAATCATGTCTTTTCAGAAGAAAAACGTTGCTGTTCCCAACCGGGCGGCCGTAGATCGCAACTCCGGTAATCCCCATCCTCTCAGAGGTCCTCCAGCCAATTCGTCTCATCCAAGCGTCCAAGGTAGAAGCCCCAGGGCTCCCTTTACAGGTTCCACAGAAGCCCGGGGGACCTCTGGTGTGACACACGCTGTTCAACCCGTCCCAAACACAAAACCTTCACTTTTGCAGTCCAGTACGCCGACCGTGTCGTCTGGATGCTTCGATTTCGACAAACTGGTCGGTCATAACGGCATTCCTACCGGTACTCTGACTCTGCTAGAGGAAGAATCGACTACAGATTATGCCAGCATTCTGATAAGAATGTTTGCAGCACAGGGGTGCATTGATCGAAGGAATGGCGGGTCTGAGGTGGCGGTGGTAGGAGCTAATGATGCATGGGGACGACAATTGCCAGGAGAGAGCGACAAGAAGAGCAGGTCCCGTGATCCCAGCTCCAAGGCTGGCTCTGGAGCAATGAAGATTGCCTGGAGATACGGCTATAACAGTGAGGTGGAGCGAAAAGAGCAGCTTGCAGAGAACAACACAGCCACTTTCGATCTAACTAAGAGACTGGGTGGTCCAGAGATCTCAAAGATTAGATACTTGAAACCAGATAAGTCGATTGTTCCCGAAATCAAAAAGCTCGCATCCGCCGCGGCTTCCGAGAACTCGATTCTGCGAGTATGCATTCCCACCTTCCTTCATCCTGCTATTTATGATAAGCAGATGGCTGATTCAGATTACGTTATTGGCCTTTTCACACAGCTCAGGGCCCTCACTAGAGAGTACAAGAGACATCTTGTCATTATCGTGTCTCTGCCTCTGGTTCTGTACCCCAAATCGTCTCCTTTGACTCGATGGATGGAACTTCTGGCTGACTGCGTGCTTGATTTCTTCCCTTTTGACGTCAAAGTGCAGGAGCGAGAGTTCCAGGGCCTGGTGAATGTTTCTAAGCTGCCATGCCTGTCTGACAGAGGTCACATGCTTGTTACTCAGAGCGAGTATGCCTTCCGAGTGACGAAACGGACTTTTGAGATTGACGAGTGGAGTATCCCTGTTGAGGAGGATGACGGAGAGAAGAAGGAGGATGCCTTAGCCTTTTAAGCAGATGGAATATGGCAATATTCGACAATAATGATAGCCTAGCTTCCTTGAGAGTCAGACTAAAATGGGCCAGTTTATTCAAACTTGAATTGAGCCCAAGTGAGGGGTGTTTGAGGAGCATCTTTCAAGGCACTTCAGCATTTCAAGGAACAGGGTAGTGCTATACAGGCCAAACGCATATCCTTCAAACACAACCAGTTTCTCTATATTTAAAAAACTGACCCTTGCACGTTGCGTCACTCCTTGCACTCTTTAGTCGTTACTGTAGATACTGTCCCGGTCGAGACAGTGTCAAAACTTGCAAGGACAGTTACGATACTTGTAGGACAGTTACAATTTAGATCCAGTGAATAGAGTCCTGACTATTGTAGAGCCCCAGGATGGGAGCTTATCGCCCGTCTCGTTCTGCGTACGTTGTCTCGGTGTTGTTCGTTTCCAAGAATGGTTTTCCCAGGAACGGGCTATGAATGTACGAACAAGTACGACACTTCGACTATCGTCGCCTCAACGCCTTACCCTCCCTCTTAGCTACTTGTAAACACCGTACATACTGTACCCACACATACAGTACATGCAGTAGCTAATTACTTGGACTTGTACAGTAGCTAGGCTACCGCATCCAACGTAAGCTTATTGTTCAACATGAGACATTATCGTATAGACGTTCGTAACTGAGCCAGGACGACACATTTGCACAAACAGTTCCGCTCGCTGTGTGGAGCTCTCATTTTGTTTATTTTCCATTTGGCCCCAAACCTCCACCACTCGCCATGCCATATGACACACGTGGTTGGACTTGCATGGTGGAACTTTGTTTTGACCAAAGGTTGGATGGGGCTACTTTGGTGCGATAGAAACAGGCTGTTAGTTGTTTGATAGACACGAGGTGGTCCAAGGACAACACAAAAAATTGTACTGTACATCATCAGCACTACCGTAACCACAGGAGGCGTCAGGAACATCCTATCTATAGCTTCCACAACACGTGTATGTAGGGTGGGGATATTTGTGGGCCATACAGCGAGTTTTTGGCTGCCTCTGATGTCGCCCAGTCCGAACCTTCAAAAGGGTAAATTGCAACGATTCATGCTGTCTTTTTTATATAATCCACCACCACGCTCTCTTGTTTTGTTTCACCTAATTTACTTACACACTGGGCTCAAACTTGCCTCTCCTTTTGTTCACACTCAGCTCAATATGAGAGCATCAAATTAGGTTCACCAACTCCTGTTTTCTGCCCTGATAACTGTATCCACAGTTTGGGACCTACTAACTAATAACACATATCACCATCACCACACCACATCCCAGCGGCAAGATGGAATATAGCACGCCTGGATCCGCAAGCCCGGGGGTCTTCCAACACACCCAGGTCGTCGGCCAACAACTCGCCCGTCATACGGCCCACATCTCACGATACCGAAGTGGCCGATATGCCCGGTGTAGCGTCCTCGTCGTCCTCAACATTTTCGTCTACCAGCAGGTTCAAAAACGCCCGGCAGCGGCTGAGCCGGCTCATGAGTCGTCTGCCTTCATTCTCATCTGACGCACGTGACGGCTTCCGCAACGGCTTTGTCAATATCAACGGCAGCGTCGCGAGTGGATGGGGGGCCTCTTCTTCCTCTTCCAGCAGCACTCCTGTGGTCAAAAAGCGAGACAGAGAAGAGACTGCAACCACCCCACCGGCTGCCCCAACCACAAAAACGCCCAAACGAGTATCCACCTCGCCGTCCATCACGTCGTCGGCGCTGTCTCGGTTCTCATGGTCCGAAAGCGAACACCGACGCACACTGTCGTCAAAACTCTTTTACTCGCCACAAAGAGTCATTGGAGAAACCGAGTCAGGAATCGCCTTCATCGACGATGTGCCCCAGGGCACGGACTTTGTGTCGATTCTCCCGACGGAAATCTCCTTCTCTATTTTTGCATTGTTGGACCCACTGGACCTCGATAACTGTGCCCTAGTGTCCCGCGACTGGAACCGGGCCATTAATAGCGATCCGCTCTGGCGCCAAATGTTCTACCAGAACCGATGGAAGGCTGTCACGGAACCCCACACATGCTGGAAGAGCCTCTACCGTACCCGCCACTTGCTAGCTCAACAGTGGGGAACTACAAAACACGCACAGACACACACGCTTGTGGGCCATCAAGACTCAGTCTACTGCTGCCAGTTTGATAACGACAAAATCGTCACCGGCTCGCGGGATAAGACCATTCGAGTGTGGAACGCAACTACTTATGTCTGTGAACGTGTATTGGCTGGCCACGAAGCGTCGGTCTTGTGTCTCCAGTTTGACGAAAAAATCATGGTGTCAGGCTCGTCCGATTACTCCATCATCATCTGGGATATGGTGTCTATGCAGCCTATTCGTCGAGTCATAACACACACCTCCCGCGTGCTTTCAGTGTGTCTCTCCCCGGAGTACATTTTCTCGTGCTCCAAGGACGGCACCATCTGTGTTACGAAGCGGTCTGACTTTACGCTCAAGTACCGGCTGTCAGGTCACAACGGACCTGTCAACAACATCCAGGTCTTTGGAGACTACATCTACAGCGCAGGGGGCGACGCACTCATCAAAAAGTGGTCCCTGGCCACAGGTCTGTGTGTCAGAGACTACCGAGGCCACACACGCGGAGCTGCTTGCATAGAAGCCAACGACAAATTGATAGTATCTGGCAGTAGCGACAATACCATCCGTGTGTGGGACAAGGACAGTGGCACATCCAAGGTGCTGGAGGGCCACAGCAAGCTGGTCAGAAGCATCAACTTATACGACGACTACATTATTTCGTCGTCGTATGACCTGTCTATTAAGATTTGGACTATTGAGGGTCGGCTTCTGACGAGTTTGACGGGCTATCATTCTGGCTCGTTGATCACGGCCAAGGCTGACCGACAGAAGATTGTCTCCACATCTCTGGGCTGTTCTCCTGTGATTTTCGATTTTGGAGCGGGTCTCAAAGAAGAGCACCTAGCTCAAATCACGGGTTAGTTAAATAGGGATTGTAGCATATGTATTTATTGGTTGGGCGTGAGCTCGTAGTCACACTTGTACAGTATTTACTGTTTATGATATTGTGTTGAACTATAGCAACAGTAAGAACGTAGTGTAGGGCTCAATGACAGGTGACGACTTTTGGCAGTTGTAATCAACTAAGCTATTGAACGTGTCTCATATGAACGAAGTCATCGCCTGTCTTCATAACTCAAAATATATTACTCAATACATGCGATATGGCTCGTTACTCGTTAGATGATCATTGTGCAAGTGTGTGTCTGTGTGTCTGTGTGTCTGTGTGTGAGAGGGAGAGTGGGAAAGAGAGAGAGAGAACTGAGAATTAATGTGAAGGGTGATGAGGGCATGCTTCTTACATTAAGCAGGCTCTGCCTCTAGTTGAATCCCACTCGAGCTAACTATGGTACTGATGCAACGACCGCTTATGCCTCTGCAACAGATCCTTTCTTGAAAAGGCACTGCTACACTCGTCACATCTGTGTGGCTTCTCTTTCGTGTGGCTCAGAATGTGCCTTTGCAAATGCTCCTTTCTGTAAAACGTCCGTGTGCACTGGTTGCAGGCAAACCGACGCAGATGCTGTTTACTCGGGAGGTGTGCCACCGGTAGAAGGGGTGCATGGTGCGGGGAATGCTGCATCTGTGTGGACGGCTGCAGTTGTGCATGCATGTAGTTGAGCGGACTCGGCGGTGGAGTCACCCGTTTGGGGCTGGCCTGCATTGGCATCAGTTTCGCCTGGTAAATGTGAGGGTGCCGTTGGGCAAACACGTGATGGTAATCGGAGATACTCCAATCCTCATATGCCCGCGCCAATCCGAGGTTATATGCGCCCAACTGCTGCAGTCTCAGGTCCCACTCGTGGCGTTCACGATGGGGGAAGTTTTGACACAAGAAGTCGAGTGCCTGTGGCGTCGTTTGACACAGACGCGAGAAGCGCAGAAGACAACAGTCTTCCACGGTGTCAAAATGTGGGCTTGTTGGGTTTTGTGGGTGTCCCCCGTATATGGGCAGTTCCGACTTGACTTCTGTATAGGCCATCATTTTGGTGGTGACTTGAGGTTGCTGAATGGGAGTGTGTGATAGACGGGGGTGTGGTGTAGTGTGTTTAAGAACCAGACTAGCGGGGTTCTAGACTCTGTGTTAGTGGCGCTTTAGGGGGTGAGGCGTGTAGGTCCCTGAGATGGGCTCGTTGGCACTTTCTGGTCAACTCTACGAGAGGTATCTGTGTTCGTTGTCGTTTCGTCTGTGTCTGTGTCTGTGTACTTACGACTGCGATGTAGTAGGGGTATAACAATGTGACAGTATACCCACAAATGATTAAATCAGTATGTGCCTTGGAGTAGATCGTCTTGTTGTTGCGTCGTCGAACGTGTTGCACAATCTGTTGTCGAGTATGAGAACTGTTATGACGTGTTATTTGTTATTCCGTTTGCTCAGTTGTTCCAGAGAGATGTCGCGCAGGTTTGTAAACAGTTGTTGAATAGCTATGTTTGCCTTTGTGCAACTGTATGATCGAGTCTGTGTGTTTGTTCTTTTGGTAATATTGTGTCGAGGAGCTTTGGTGACTTGACAAGAGCAAAGTATCGGTGATGTGAAGAATTCTCGTCGAGCCTCGTATATTTGCACTAGCGCATCACCTGACCCTAGGCGACACCACTTATTAATATAGTGTCTCCTGTGGCCTCTGTATTTTTCTCTTCCTTTTTGTGGGGGACTATTGTTTGTCCGTTTCCTTGTCTCTGCGTGGACGCATCATTAAGCTTTGCCCCAGATTTTAGCTCGCCCACTTCCCCACACAACTGCATGTTAATGTGGGGAAGCGGAAAAATGTGGACCACAACACAGCACATTACGTGCAGTGGAACCACATATGTGAAGATTGAACACACATTTTCTGTAATAAAATGTACGAAGAACTCATTTGACTGTTAAATATATCCTCACACCCTTCGCCCTTCTCTCTACGTATATTATTACTCCCACCGACATGGGGTAAAAGCCCTGCGTGATGTGCAGTTACTCCAAAAGCTTGAGCTTAATAGTTGCTTGCAGCAATGAGAACAGAAGAGACAGTTCCCTCAGCAACTTCCGGATGCGGGAATGGGAGAATCAAGAGGGGATCTGGACGTAGAAAAGCGGTGAAAATGGTGGGCTTTTGAACGAGCCGCTCTAAATCAGCCTAAATTCGTAATCTATCCCCGAGGCTTTCCCCCGCCCTTTTCCCGAGTTTTTCAGACCTTCCACTCATCATTTGCTCCACTCCATTACATCGAAATTACCCCAGTCGATTGCCACCCCTTTCCCCTCTTTATTCGTGTGCACACCTTCGGTGTGGAACATGCAGCTTATGTGGGGGGGGCGTTATACTGAGGCAGACTCTGGAATTGCGACCTACGTCCTGACGACGGACCGCACACAGCACCACACGCGAGAGAAGGGAACATAAATACCGCATCTTTAGACCCACACACTGCAACTCCCCTTTCCGAGCATTAAATTGTATTTCTTACTACCTTACGGTTCCATGTGCGGCCTCCATCGAATCTGTCAATAGACTTCTATTAGTCCCAAAGCAGTGCTTAGTAGCGTTTTTGTCCCGTCCGTAACACCAACAAGTTGGTTATCTGGAAAGACGTAGAAGCAAGATCCGGACAGTTCTGGCCGCTTGCAGCCCGGCAAAAGAGGTCCCATTCTACCTCCCACATGTCGTATTTTCTTTTTCGTTTTCTTGTTCTTGTTCTTGTTCTTGTTCTTTTTCTTTTTCTTTTTCTTTTTCTTTTTTTTTCATTCTGCTGCTTCCGCAGGTGCAAAATCGGCGATGATCTATTTCATCATAAAACCATGTTTGAAACGAGGGAAGTTCTAAACGGCACTAAGCCATTCGTATGTAACATTGAGAATGCCAGAAGAAGCGACGCTGTTAGTCACGTGAGCAGGATTAGTGTGGGTAGTGTTTGTTGAGCGGGCGCCGATGGGTCTGTCAGCTTCCCGTGACGATGTCACGTGACCCAGATGCACCCCTGTAGTTCTGTGCGTCTTTGCATATTTATTTTGAGCCAAGTTTAAATAATCCGACGCCCGGGGGAGGGGAAATTAAAATGTCCGACAGTTAAGGTTTTGAAATTAAGGTGTGGGGCCGCAATTAAGGTCGGAGGGGAAGGGGTTAGGGCTGCGTGAGAATGGGTAGGGGTAGCCGAGCTGCATAAGGAGGAGGTGCCAGACCGGTAGACTAAAATGACTAGGTGAGACTTTAGTTAGACTTAGTTGGGTAGTTTAGTTATAGAGTTGCGTATCGAGATGGCTGAGACATCGCCACACAATGTCTAGGTATTTGGCATGAGACAAGGCTGTCACGGTACGTACCTGAACGGGGTAGATATTTCGGGAGATTTTTGTTGGTTCCCTACAGTACTGTAAAACTGAGTCCGGTGTATCGGAGTATTATGGTATGGTTTATTATTGGCTTGTTCGGATATTCGAAGTGAGGCAAATGGTAGCTACAACACGGTGACAAAAAGGCGCAAACAAGAGGCTAGACTTGAAAGATAGAAGGCAAGTGAAGTGATGGAGGCGTTGACCAGGAGACGAAACAGTACTTCAGTAGTCTGGTTTTTCTAACGAGCCAAATCCATCCACGGAAGTGAAATAATAACCGTCATTGGAATGTTACAGTTGTCCTACAGGCAGTCTGATGAGATGAAAAGGTCGTTATTAACGGCATGTTGACGAATGAAGTTAGGAAACGGCTTCCGAGAACATCTTCCATGATAGATTTCATAATGAGTGCCACCCTGAAGTGCGCAACTTGTAAATGCCACACAATGAGGCTTTGATCACACTCACACACAGACACTCCTGTGGCCTGTTTCATGGTGTCGAATGGGCGGTGTGGGAGGCACCTCCTGCATACAAGTGATACATATATTGATTTTTTATATAGTCGTGAGGGATGTAGACAGTACAGAAGTACATACTGTTCATAGAATGGCAATCATGCCTAGTATACCTTTTAATATTGTGCATTGAAACTATTGCAAGCGGTTGCTTCACGATTGAATATTAGCAGCATCTCTAATTGGTAATACTTGGTCAACGTGTCCTATTACGACACAGCCGTGTAACTTTTGCGGAGTTGAACACACCCTGTCAACTACGACCACTACAAGTACAAGTTTATCACCCAGTGAGTTAAACCATTTTTACTAGTCTACAATTAAATCTCCTCAATGATACACTGGACATCTTCATTGATGCTCTTTCGAATCATTTTTCTGAGAACTGTTGAATTAATAAAACTCAGCTAATACAACAATAGACGTTAGATTATATATACCCATTATAGCCCTGGTCATCGATCTCTCCATCTCATCACCGTGTCTCACTCGTAGACTTTGCTGAACATGTCTCAGCGAACGAACCTTTCTACATCTACAGTGCTATGGTTAAACCTACATGGAGAGCGGGTACGGGGATAAAAATCTTCTCGTATTTGAATTATCAATCATCATGAAAAAAGTAGCATCGTTATCTTTTCAGCTGTCTCATACAACCCGAAAGACCATTGCATTGGCTTCTGTGGACTCGTAGAGGTGAGTTGATACAAGCTGTCGGTAGTTTTGCTGAGTAACCACCTGTCACTACTGTAGCAAAACAAACAAAGCTAACAAAATATGAAAGCATTGCTTCACTTAATCTATTATCACGTGATCCATCTCGTCCCCAAACCCCCTCCACGGTACAGTGTTTGTTTACTTTTGGTTGAGACTGTCTAGTGGTAGGGTCCTGTGCATGCTAATAGTACATACTAAATCGTTCAATGTATCTCTACACAGTAAACGTATATTAACGGTCTCAATGACAGAGTTCTTTTGTCCACTCAAATATGTGTGACTTTCTGATTCAACTCCTATAGTTTTATTTCCCCTTCGCTTTCTACATCGTCCCCCATCTCATCTTTCAAAACCTCTCACTTATCCTAAACGGGTATATGCAGTAAGAGTTTATTTTGGTGACTGTAAGAAAGGGGTAGATTTTGAAGAGTCCTTGAACCACTTAATAGACGGTTCTGATCACAGGGTTGACACGAGAAGTGTATTTAATTGATCACTAAGACCTTATCGAATCCTTTTCCGTCCAAAAGCTCCAAAATTCACCGACTTCTCCTCCAGTTCTTGACTTACCCTACTGAGTCACGTCGTCCCAATCTGGTCTTGCTAATTGAAATCGCGTTTGTCGCGTCAGCGTAAACTTTGAGTGAGGTAACGAGTTTTCCCCATCATCAACACCACACAACAGCACGCCATACTCGACGAGCACGCACCCAACCGACACGCCGAGACCCCCATTATAATCCCCAAGCTCTGCACACACCCCATACATCACTAAATCGTCATCATGGATCTCGAAGACTCGCTTTTCCAGGACCGTTCCAACCTCTTTCTGGACCTGCTGGACTCTCCCACTCTGTCGCACAGAGAAAACATTCTGCAAATGCTCAACCGCAATGAGAAACGGTACTGTGTTTCGCTGGACGAAATCCGAGACTTTGACCGACCCTTTTGGCAAGGATTGATTGACCACCCTACACCTTACTTGGAGGCCATGGACAATGCTCTCAAACAGATTGTGCATGGTGTTCGAGACGCTCGTCACATGTTTCCCGAGCACGAGCACTTCTATGTAGGCCTCACGGGCTCTCTCGGAAACCATATGCGAAACCCCCGAACTATCGATGCGAAGCTGTTGGGTCAACTAGTTGGAGTGGAAGGTATTGTTGTCCGAACCTCTCTCGTGCGACCCAAAGTGCTGCGATCAGTTCATTACTGTCCTGCCACCGGTCTAACCGAGTCCAAAACATACAAAGATCAGACTATGGGTGAAGGAACAGTCACCCAGGCAGCTGTTTACCCTACAGCTGACAACGACGGCAACCCACTTATCACAGAGTACGGCATGTGTACTTATATGGACCATCAGACCATCAGTATTCAAGAAATGCCCGAAAAGGCACCAGCAGGACAGCTTCCCACCAGTTTGGAGATTGTTCTTGATGACGATCTGGCCGACAAGGTGAAACCTGGAGACCGAATTCAGATCATCGGAGTCTACAGAACCCATGGAGGAGGAAATGGAAGCTCGCGGTTCCGAGCTTACGTTCTGGGAAACAATGTGGTGATTCTGAACGCCAAAAGTCACGTTGTCGAGGGAGTCTCGGATGAAGAGGTACGGCAAATCAACCTCATCAGTAAGCGAGATGATGCCTTTGACATTCTGAGTCGATCTCTGGCTCCTTCTATTTTCGGATTCGAGTACATCAAGCAGGCTGTTTTGCTGATGTTGCTTGGTGGAGCCGAAAAGAACCTGGAGAACGGTACCCATATTCGAGGAGACATTAACATTCTCATGGTTGGAGACCCCTCCACTGCAAAGTCTCAGATGCTGCGATTTGTGCTCAACTCGGCCAATCTCGCAATTGCTACTACTGGTCGGGGTTCGTCTGGTGTCGGTCTTACTGCTGCAGTGACTATGGATACTGACACTGGAGAGCGACGTTTGGAGGCTGGAGCGATGGTTCTGGCCGACCGAGGAGTGGTCTGTATTGATGAGTTTGACAAGATGAGTGACACTGATCGAGTTGCTATCCACGAAGTCATGGAACAGCAGACTGTCACTATTGCCAAGGCTGGTATTCACACCACTCTTAATGCCCGATGCAGTGTCATCGCGGCTGCCAACCCTGTGTTTGGACAGTATGATGTCACCAAGCCTCCTCACAAGAACATTGCACTGCCAGACTCGCTTCTGTCGCGTTTCGATCTACTCTTTATCGTCACTGACGAAACAAACGACGAGAAGGATCGACGAATCGCCGATCACGTGATCAAAATGCACAGATACGTGAAACCCGGCACGGAAATCGGAGCCGTCACACGTGACCAGCCTCCTCAGGTGCTTGCCGTTGGAGAGCCAGTCAAGGACACTGCCGACGATCCCATGTGGGACATTGAAGAGCAGGTACTTTCTGTCGGGTTTGTCAAAAAGTACATTCAGTACGCCAAGTCACGTGTGAGTCCCGTTCTTTCACGTGATGCCTCCAACCTCATTGTCGACACGTACACTTCTCTTCGAAACGACGACACTTCTCAGCGGACAGCTCCCATCACTGCTCGAACACTCGAGACGCTCATTCGTCTCTCCACTGCACATGCCAAGATCCGTTTGTCGTCACGTGTGGACCTGGAGGACGCTGAGGTGGCACGTGACGTGCTTAGATACGCGCTGTTCAAGGATGTGCCTGTCGAGTCTCGTGTAAAGCGACGACGACGAGCCGAGGCTGCTGTTGGGCAGGAGGTCAGTGACGTCGAGGATAATCTGGAGCACTTGGAGCTCTCTGATGACGATGGAGATAACAACGTCTACAACTCGCAAGCGTCTACAGCTCGTCAGCGGTCGTTGGCAGCTCTTCGGGCGGACTCTACGTTCGATGAAATGTCTGATTTCGTTGTTCCTTCTTCTCAGCTTGTGTCTGAGATCGATATGGAGGACTCTGTGCTCAGTTCTCAGCCTCGAGCACGACAAGGCCTGTCGACTTCGCGCCTGGACTTTTTCACCCGCGAGTTCTCCAACGTGCTACGAGCATCCAAGGACTTTGAGAACGGAGGATCCATGCACAGAGACGCTGTTCTTGAGGCCATCAACCGCTCTATCCCTGAGGAGGACAAGTTTGCCGAGGAAGAGGGATACGCAGTTCTTCAGCGACTCAGTGACGATGGTAAGATCATGTTGACCGACGACGGCGAGGTTTATTCTATTTAAGTGTTTAATTAATTGTTATAGAGATGTTGATCTAGGGAAGTAAGTAGTGGTGTACATCCTTGTACCTGTATACAACACGAGTACACATTGTAGTATCATGTAATGACATGAAGGCCATATTCAATTGTTTACGAGTACTTCGAATCGATAGAAAACACTTATCACACCATATTAATTGTACCCTACTTACTCCAAATCTCTACTTCTACGATTCTTCCTACTTACCATGCCACTACTGATTATTTCGCTAAAATCGTATTTCTCGCAGATATCATGCAGGTGGAATCGGCACGGCACACGTTATCTGCAAAATCACTGAACAGGACACGTCACCATTTGGAGAACTTTTCTGTGATAATGGTGAGATTTTAGCGCGTGTATGGAGTTGAAGTACTCGTATTGGTAAATTAAAAAAGTCCCAGACTTGTTCAGACCATTAGTTCTCGTTCTGCAGGGAGTGGAAGATTCCAGAACGTTTTTTGATGGTTCGGAACTGCTTGCAGACTGTACGGCGTTTGGCTTTGTAATGGTTGCGAGATGGAGATGGGAAGTGGATGAAACAATCTTGGTGGAATGAAGTAATTAGAGGATGCAGTATGGATATGACCATGTCTTCAAAAAATCTCCAACCCCACTTTGAAAGAGTGAGACCTGTGGTGGATCAGATCTGAAATAACAATTCGACAAAAGCCATTATGGGAGAAATTGGTTTCGTTAGGATTGGATTGAGATCCTACATGAATTGGTGTTGTTTCACTGGAACCTATCATCTCTTTAATACGGTCTATGCACTCGTCGTTTCGCAGCATTCAATCATACCCACTAACGCCGCTAAACTTCCCTTTAGATTTCGACTCCCCATATTGGGACTTCGGGAAGCCGCCATAACGTTACCATTATAGTCGGAGTGCGTTTTCTGTTCTGTTCTTGTGCCCTGTTATTGAAGAAAGACAAGAGTGCTACAACTTCGCGAATAGCGCAGTTATTCAAAATATGAAAACAGTAATCGATACCCCACTCCAATTGGTGTTGGCTGAGTCTTTCAAACTACATAAATCGCCCCATCTATCACTTTCGCGTACACTTCTCACGCTTAGTCAAAACCCTAATTGTGTCACCTCACCTTTAGTTTAACTCTGTCCAGGTCACCTTCTTCATCATCACCATTACGATGTGAGTATGCTCGTTTGCCGATATTGCGGAAGGAAAGCCGACTATACAACCACTTGAATTGGACAATGTGGGTTGTTTTAAGGTGTTTACTACCCACCACCTCGAAGCGCCACTTTCATAGACATGTTTGTGTCACATCTCCAACAATACTAACCCAGGACACTGGTTTCGTCACCTTCTATCGCCAGTGCCAGTCTGCACCGGGAGCTCTCCTCCCTGGTGAAACTGTACATCTGGCCTTTTGTGATTTTGTACCCCATCTTCACCTACGCCTATGTGCTGAAATACGACACCTGGATCACCGGCCAGGAATGGACATTTCTGTTTCTGGGTTCCATCATGACCACCCACGCTCTGACGTGGCTGGGAACCCACTGGAACGTCAACTTCAAGAGCGCTGTTGAATCGCGGCTCGTCTCCGACATCAAGGACGCCGATCTCATCAAGCTGTTCCCTGCCCCCAACTGTGGCGCTGCCGCCATGGTGCCCATTGTTCGAAAGGTATACGAATCCGACTCCACTACTGAGATCTCGTTTGTGTTCCAGAAGCGACGATACATTTGGAACCCTGAAACCAAGTCGTTTGCGCCTCCCCATTTCACCATTGACGACGACAACGTGACTGTGGGCGAGTTCCAGACCCCTAAGCCCGTCCGATCGGACGACCTGGAACTGGCCTACCGAGTCTATGGCCCCAACAAGTTCGATATCCCCGTTCCCACCTTTTCCGAGCTTTTCTACCAGCACGCCGTTGCTCCCTTCTTTGTGTTCCAGATCTTCTGTGTTGCTCTGTGGTGTCTCGACGAAAAGTGGTACTACTCTATCTTCACCCTCATCATGCTCGTTATGTTCGAGTCTACCGTTGTGTGGCAACGACAGCGAACCATGACCGAGTTCCGAGGTATGGGCCTTGCCCCTTACCCCGTTCAGGTCTACCGAGATAACGCCTGGTCCGAGATTCAGAGCGATCAGCTTCTGCCTGGTGACATTGTTTCCGTTACTCGATCTGGTGAGGACTCCGGTCTCGCTTGCGATATGGTTCTGATCGCCGGTACCTGTATTGTCAACGAGGCGATGCTGTCTGGTGAGTCTACTCCTCTTCTCAAGGAATCCATCCAGCTGCGTGAATCAGCTGCCACCCTCGACATGGAGGGCGAAGACAAGAACTCGATTCTGTCCGGTGGAACCAAGGCTTTGCAGGTTACTCCCCCTGAGACTAACGTGCACAGCGATATTCCTCCTCCTCCCGACGCTGGATGTGTTGCTGTTGTCACCAAGACCGGTTTCGAGACTGCCCAGGGCACTCTTGTTCGGGTCATGATTTTTGCTACAGAGCATGTTGGTGTCGGTAACGCAGAGGCCCTCTTCTTCATTCTTTTCCTGCTCCAGTTCGCCATTGCCGCCTCCTACTACGTGTGGACCGAGGGTGTTCGAATCGACCGAAACCGATCTAAGCTTCTGCTGGATTGTGTGCTCATTGTCACCTCTGTTGTTCCCCCGGAGCTCCCCATGGAACTGTCCATGGCTGTCAACTCTTCCCTAGCTGCTCTGTCCAAGTTCTACATTTACTGTACTGAGCCCTTCCGAATTCCCTTTGCTGGACGTCTTGATATCTGTTGCTTCGACAAGACAGGTACTCTGACAGAGGAAGATCTTTTGGTCGAGGGTATCACTGGTCTTGGTTCCGAGAACGACTTCATGAGCATTCTAACTGCCGCCTCTGGAGCTGCTATCCCTGACCAGACTGTCCACGTTCTTGCCGCTGCCCATGCTCTCGTCCTTCTCGACGAGGGTGATGTTGTTGGAGACCCTATGGAGAAGAACACTCTGGCCTCTATCCAGTGGACGGTTGGTGCTCATGACGTCATTTCTGCCCCCTCAAAGAAGGAGCAGGTGACTGTTCGGCGACGATTCCAGTTCTCTTCTGCCCTCAAGCGATCTTCTTCCATTGCATCCCACTCTTCGGGCCGAATGTATGTCGCCACCAAGGGTGCCCCCGAGACTATCAAGAAGATGCTGGTTTCTGTCCCTAAGGGCTACGACGAGACTTACAAGCACTACACTCGAGCCGGTAAGCGAGTTCTTGCCCTCGCTTCCAAGGATGTCAAGCTGAGCAAGGATGAGCTCATCCACATTGACCGAGAGCATGTTGAATCCGACCTTGTCTTTGCTGGTTTCCTTGTCTTCTCCTGTCCCATCAAGCCTGATGCCAAGGAGACCATCAAGATGCTGAACGAGTCTTCTCACCGATGTGTTATGATCACCGGAGATAACCCTCTCACAGGTGTCCATGTTGCCAAGGAGGTTGGAATTCTGTACCCTGGCCGAAAGACCTACATCCTGGACTTGTTCAATGGCAAGCTTGCTTTCCGAACTGTCGATGAGGTTGAGGTTGACTACGCTGATCCTGCCAAGCCCCTTGATTCCAAGTACCTTGATGGTACCCATGATGTCTGTGTTACTGGATCTGCTATTTCTTCTCTCACCTTTTCTCACCCTTCCATCGGTGATATCATTCGACACGCCTGGGTTTACGCTCGAGTTTCTCCTTCCCAGAAGGAGACTCTTGTGTCCCACATGAAGGATCTTGGATACATGACTCTCATGTGCGGTGACGGCACTAACGATGTTGGAGCTCTTAAGCAGGCTCACGTTGGTGTTGCACTTTTGAACGGTACTGTTGACGGTATGAAGAAAATGGCCGACAATGCTCGAATTACTACTCTCCAGAATGTTTACAATAAGCAGTGCGAGATGATGCGAAAGTGGGGCCAGAAGGATCCTCCTATTCCTATGGCCATTGCTCACTTGTACCCTCCCGGTCCTCTCAACGTCCACTACGTCAAGGCTATGGAGGCTCGAGGTGTTGAGCTCGATGAGAAGACCAAGGCTCAGGTTGCCATTCTTTCTGCTCAGCCTGTTGTTGCTGGACAGCCTCAATCCACTGCTGCTGCAACCCAGGCCTCTGCCCTTGCTGATAAGCTTGTTGGAATGTCTTCCGAGGATATGGACGAAGCTCCCACTCTCAAGCTGGGAGATGCCTCTGTTGCTGCCCCCTTCACCTCCAAGCTCGCTAACGTTTCTGCTGTCACGCACATTGTTCGACAGGGTCGATGTGCTCTGGTCACCACTATCCAGATGTATAAGATTCTTGCTCTGAACTGTCTGATTTCCGCTTACACTCTTTCCATTCTGTTCTTTGCCGGCTGTAAGACTTCCGACTCCCAGGCCACCGTCTGTGGTCTGCTGCTATCTGTCTGCTTCATCTCCATCTCTCGAGGTAAGCCCATCGAGAAGCTGTCTAGAGAGCGACCTCAGCCCGGAATCTTCAACATTTACATCATGGGGTCCATTCTCGGTCAGTTTGCCGTCCACATTGTCGCACTGATCTACATCCGAACCGAGGTGTACAAGATTGAGCCTAGAGAGAACCTGACGGATCTTGACCGAAAGTTTGAGCCCTCCATTCTCAACACAGCCATGTATCTGTTGCAGCTGGCTTCTCAACTGTCTACCATTGCTGTCAACTACCAGGGCCGACCTTTCCGAGAGAGCATTCGAGAGAACCGACCTCTGTACTTCGGTCTTCTAGGAGTTGGTGCATTTGCTTTTGCCTGTTCTACCGAGTTCATGCCCGAGATCAACGAGCAGCTGCAGCTGGTGCACATGCCCGATGTGTTCAAGGTGCAGCTCACCACCACCATGGCTCTTGACCTGGGAGTGTGTTGGTTGATTGAGCTTGTGCTCAAGCACTTCTTCTCGGATTACAAGCCTAGCGATGTTGCCCAGCGACACGCTACCGAGATTGACGATGATGTTCGGGAGCCCCTGCCCCTGGAGGAAAAGAAAAACCAGTAGAGAGTTTAGAATAATGAATTAGATGTATTTTACAGATATCTGGGTGTGCCGTGTCCCTGTATAGTTGTGGACGGTGTAACATGGAAGTATTGGCTACAAATGACGACTTGTCTTCATCTGGCGCATAAGGAAGGTGTCTCGAGGGGTGCACCTACTACAAGTGCCAGTGATTAAATATGTATGTACATACTGTACATACTGTATGTAGCTCTTCTTTATCTATTAAAACATTACTGTAATACATAGCATAGTATATCGTATAGGTACAGCTAGAATGGGAAGTAGACACAGCCAGCACTCCATGTTCTTAGTGCCCACCGCGGGTAGAGATGACTGAAGGAGCTCTGTTACCTGCACTATAGCACTAACATAAGTATCATGAATCTCCTGAGTCTCTGGAGTGACAGTTGGGTTATCATTTTTCTCAACAGCAACATCGGAAGTATGCACTAAGATATTTGTGTCCATGGATGTGCCTTGGACAAGTCCCTTATCATTCCGCTCCTCAAAGATTCCAATAGTGTCTGTGGACAAAGTCCATGTTGGTATCAATGAAATCTGTGGTGGTATCACTGAAATCATCAGGGAAATAATGGTTTGTGTGGTGACGTATGCAGTTCTCATTGAAATGCCAGAAGCACAGTCGACATCCATCGAATGTGTCTGCCTCTACTGACGATTCAGATTTTGTTGCAGCCATGTTCACGACAGTGGTATCAGGATCCAGGGGATCAAGGATGCAGGCGGCAGGCACATCAAAAGCACCACCTGAAATAGCTGAGGACTGCATATATTTTCAGCGGATCGGAAATGTCTAAGAACTTCGTCTAACATTCGTCTTTTGGGATCATGGATCTCCTCTGTCTCTTTCACTCCCAGGTGACGCTTCGTCAGAGAAGTTCGCTCTACAAGGCAGTCAAAACCCCCCTTGGAAAACTCATACCAGGTAAGTCTGTCAATGCATCTCTTCGCCTGGTCTTGAATATCGATAATAGGTGAGTTGGTGGCGGACATCCGAGTGGTCGAGCTCTTCGAAGCTTCGTCATCTGGGCAGAGGGCAGCGAGCGTGTCATGGCAACTGATTTTCTGTAAGTTGGGAATAATTCATCTATCTTCTGAAGGCTTCCCTCTGTCACAATATGAACGAGTTCCATATTTAAACACAGGTGAACTAGAAAGTTGCGGATGATATGGACCACCACTTTCTCCAGAAAGCCGTATCCTGGTAGGCGGGCGAAATGGGGAACTTCAGTGGTCTTGACTGCGGTAGTGCTGCTCATAGTCATCTGAATACTCTTTTTGGAGTGGCGCTGAGGAAGATTGACGTTACCTTGGATACAAGGACCTGAGAGATAGAGCGCACACCTGTCTAGGCTGTGTGTGCGTCGAAGGGCATGCTGACCGCAGCTGTCTTTCCAGTATAACAGGAATTGAAGACAGCAATCTGGATGGGCAGACTGGACTGAGAGGAACATGCGGTTCCTGTCACCGGTATTCGAGCTGGAACGGAGATGTTGGGCGCATATGGAGCTCTTGGAGCAAAATGGCCCAAGACAGGAAGCCCTGGGGCTTCGTTGGGTAATCTGGGTATCTCCTCAAATCTGCTGTTGGGGACAGTCCACATTTTGAGTGCAGACATGGTGTATTTATCGGTCATGCAGATTTCAGTAACCTCAACAACCCATTCACCTCTTGAAACACCGGAGGGGACGTTACAGTATTAATTTATGCATGCACGATAAGGACGAAATTACCTGTGTGCATGAGCTGAGCAGTTGATTCTCACAACATGGACTTTTCCACCCATTGAAAATACATATACGGGGACATGCTTACAATAATTATACAGACTACGCCACTGTAACATTACAGATGTAGTATTCCAATATTATATAATAAACCGTCCTTACCTACAACCTAGCCTTGACTCGGTACTTTCTCTTCATCTCGTTGAGAAAGCTCCAATTGGTCAGAATTCGCTGTTGGTCTTCGGGCTCTTCCCTGTCGACCACAGTGATGGACTCTCGTCGCCACTTTTCGTACACCTTGAACACGTTTCTGGATGCCGCGGAGATGAAGGACAGCAGCTGGTACTTTTCACTGGTCTTGGAAACAGACTCGGGGGTGATGAGCAGACACTGGAACAGTTTAGGGTGCTTCTGGGCTGTTTTGACCATCATATCGGAGCCCTTTCCATCACCTAACCCAACAAACAGCGTCTTGTTCTGCAGCAGAGGATGCTGTCTCTCTCTCAATGCCTGAATGACCATGTAGGGGTCTTTGTCGCCAACATGCTGGGAGTCAAGAGCAATCACGCCGTTGAGGAAAAGACGGTGTTTTTGAAGCATCTCCTGCTTCAAAGACCAGAACAAATTGGCATTGTCACGGTTACCATCTCCAATGTAGAAGAGAGTTACCCGGCTATGTTTACCACTGACCATGCCTGTTCTACCTTGGTAGAGAGACACGGGGATGGAGGAGACTGTCGTGGTGCTTTTGAACATTTTCTGTTTCGTTGATAGTGACAAAAACACCCACCAATTTAGTGCCGTCTCATTATATATATATAATCCGCCTTTGCGCCCTTTTAGTGTTTCAGAACCCCACATAGAAAGCGGGGATATGCACATACGCTAGCTTTGATTAAATGTGGGCGTGGCTCCGTTGGACATAATCTTGCATAATCGGGTAGTCCAAAAGTTGTAGTAGTTTTTCTTGACTGTTGTTGTAAGCCATTGATTCTCTGATGTCGGGTCTGTAGACGCGTATCATGGTTCCTTTAACTCATTAACTGCCACCTACAAGTAGTGGTCTTCTATTTGTCTGAAATATTAATTTGGGGGGAGGGGGCTGAAAACGTTACCCCACTATTTTGCACATCATACGACTCTGACGTCGCTACAATATGTACAGCCTTATACAGTCATACCAGTTAGTTACTATACATACACACCCACGTTGGAAATGTCATCGTGAGCTAAAGGAGTGAGGGTCTCTTAGGAGTCAAACTCGTCCAGTCTCACCTTGCGTCTAATCGTTCCCTCCTGATTAGCAATCACCACCTGATCTCCCTCGTTACCAATCCAAGGACCGTCCAGACGGGCAGTCAGGTGGGGATTATTGTAAGTCAGGAAACGCTCTCGAGCCTCATCCAGGGTCTGAGACCGCATATGTCGCATGGACCGCTGACCCTCGAGATCAGTGAAGCTGACTCCACTGCCTCCAGTATCTCTAATGGCCTGCAAGGCAATGAACTGCGTCAGGGGCTGGTAGTTGTTCTCAAAGTTGTACAACAGCAGCATGGCGCATACTGGAAGAGGAGCTAACAGAGTGGCAAGGTAGTAGGCCTGCTGAAGAGCCAGAATACCCGACATGGTGGCATGGAAGAGCACCAGACCAACGCAGACTCGACGCACAATCATAGGCCAAGCCTGTCCAGTGGAATGTGAGGGATGGACCATGGCGTACATGAGCAGATACTTGTACGTGAAGTAACCCAGAACGAAGTAGGCGGTTCCAGCTGCCAGAATCTTACTGGACATGACATCAAACACGGAGTAAAGCAGGGTGATGATCAGAATCAGAATGGGCTGGGGAAGATTGAGTCCAAAGTTGAACACAGGAGGGGTGTACAGAGATCTAAATTCTCTGGGAGTATGGGTGATGGGCTTTTCAAAACCAAACCGCAGCAGGTTTCCAAACTCAAGCAATCTAAACGGGAACATGCCAATACCCTGAAGAACAATCAGATCAACGTAGAACAGAGCCCACTTCTTCAAAGAAGAAGCAAGCTTGTAGGCAATGGAAGTGGTGTCCTTGAGGTACTGGAAAATGTCAATGGCGGCTCCAGCAACTGTGAAGATAAGGAACAGGTTGACAAAGATGTAAAAGAAGTTCTTGGAAATGACAGACAACTCCTCGTCTCCATGGGAAATAAAACCCTGCAAAGAAGCAAGGTAAACGTAAAAGTAGGGGAGAGCAAAGTTCAGGATTGTGAACAAATAGGGAGGCAGAATACCGGTTACCAGCTTCTCCAGCCACGGAGTGTCCTTCAGAAGCTGTCCCAGAGCGGGCCACGACTTGGAGATGGTCTTGGTGTCCATAAGCTTGGCGACACCCAAAACGGGTGGTACCAGGGCCACAGTGAGGAACCCAATGGCGATTGTGACCGCGTAGGTTCGAACTTCTCGCTTCATAGTCGACATGTATATGTTCTTCCAGATAATATCATGAGGTGCCGGGGCCAGTTTTGCAATGAGATGGTAGGGAGAAGGATCTAGAACAGCCTGCGCCACCATCTGGGCAGACGCAACACTGTCCATAGTTACAAAAGCCGTGTTGGTAGGAGTGTACTCCTTGTGACGGGCCTTGATAATCTTCTGATCCAGAGTGTCGAGCTGGCCAGTGTAGTAATCAATGGCGTCCACCTTGGTGCCGTACAGACCCCAGAAGGTGAACCCATGCCATCCTCCAATACGCACGGTGGGTCTGTCGTAAGAATGAGTTCGAGAGCCGAGCTGCAGAGTAGCTCGGGGTGTGTTGAGAGGCGTGTTTTGGCCAGTAGAAACTGAGGAGCTCGAGGAAGAAGGGTTGTTGGTGTTACTGGGCTCGTCCAAAATGTGTCCGTTGTTGCTGGGAAGAATCGTAGGCACAACTCCAATGACAGTCTCTCTATCCACCTCCCGAGGGCCCAGGTATACACACCAGGCACCCTCCAATTTTTTGATTATTTCCTTTCTCACCACAAATAGCTGGTCCAACTCTCCCCACTCTCTGCAAATTGTGATCGACCGCACATCTCCGATATCCAGCTTTTCAATGTGTTCTGTGAGCCGGTTTTCGTCTCTGAGCTCGGTGGGGATACCAGACAGTCTGATAGTTCGGTCTGTGATCGAGTTCTGGGCTCCGAGGTATCGCTGTCGCACTCGGATCACTTTTTGCGTGTATCTCATGAGGAAAAAGGACACGATTCCGGTGAAGACGTATGTGAAGAAGACATAAGTCCACAGATAGGGCTGGTAGTCTTCCTGGGGCGGTGGCACCTTTGGCTTTTTGTCCCCCAGCGGGTCTTCTTCTTCGGTGGCGTTTCCACTTGCTCTGTAAGTTGTCACTCCAAATGAGGTCAAGATCAGTCTCAGAAGAATCACTCCAACGTCTATACCTGCCTCTCCATCTTCATCTCCGTTGTCGTAGTTGCGCCTGATCGGGCCAATCACTGTGACGGCAAAAAACGTGCACAGCGCAAAAATGATAATCGCCATCTTGAAGAACTGCAAAAAAACGTAGCAGTCCAGACCACAATGTTCCAGCACCTCTTCTTCTGTGATCTTGTAGAGCGCTGGAATCCAGCCAAAGTAAGTATTAGGCAGCGGTGGCAAGCCCTTTCTGCGCAGCGTTCGGGCCGCGTAAATCTGAGGCCAATTTTTCCGTAGAACACAGAAACTCAGAAACGCTGTCATGCCCAGAGATCCAGCAATGAGCAGTTGTGTCTTGAGCAGCGAGCTGTGCTTCCACAGATCCGGGCCATCGTCGTCCGGCTTTTTGACCAATACTGATTGCCAGGACATGGCGTGCTCAGTTGTGTATAGTTGTATCGTTTGGTTGGGGGGTTTGGTGGTGGTAGTCAAAAAGAGTGGTGATGTTGCTCAGGAGTACAGTGCGAGTACAGCAGCTACAAGTAGTATGCATGATAACTTTGGACAAACCTTAATTTGCCTTTTTCCTTGGTTTTTCAGAATCATGTGATTGTATGTTTGTAGTGTGTTCCTGTCATTCTAAGGGATTAAATAAATGTTTTCTGGGTGTGATTAGGCTTGTATTTTGTACCTCGCTCTTTTCGGCTTCGAAAATCGCGTTGCAACAACGTGTCACACTCTTCCCACCTTCCCACTTGCAATATAAACTCCCCCTATTCTCACAAGCCTATTGGACTGGCCAACCATGAGATTTGAGGCTGGAAAGTTGCAGTAACGAAACTACCTGCTGTTCCTTCACTTGTATATTCGTTTCCCCGAGGAATTTTCTCAGACACCCATCAATAGCCCCAAGACAGCCCCCAAAATATACTCTGTCTCATTGTCCACTCGTTATCGATAACAATGAACAATGATGCTGCATTAATATACCTTTCAGAAGTGCGGTAAACTCCGATGACCTGTTACCCTACATTGACATGGTACTTTTACGAAATGACTTGCGAGACAAAATGAGGAGACCGCTGGGGGAATATCGTCTCATCTGTTTATCTCAGCTGTTATGTTGTTGTTTTTATTCTAATGGGGTGTAAGAAAAACGCACCCTCTAAGGCACAAGGGATGGACAAATTAGCGCTGCACGTCGACGTGGTGTAGAACCGCCGATAAGGCCTGATTGCGTCTACACGTGGGTTCGATTTTGGTTGTGACGCATTAAGAAACTGCAAATTGATTGTGTGAAATATTCCCTCTGGTACTAATACGCTTTCTGGTACCACGTATCCAATATACTGTAAGTACGACGTAGGCCGAAATGGTCGCGCCGTGTGCATAACATCTACTGTAATTCTAGAATACCTCTCCCCTCGGCTTACCTAATATATATATACACCTGTTACTTTTATATAGACACACTGATACCATCGGCTGTGTCAAACCCCCAATTGCTCCTCTCTAAATGGCAATCTCCTTCTTTGCTCGAGGCTGCTTACCTCGTCCATATCCCTCCTTTCCATAGTAATCCATGGGGTAGTCGTTACCCTCTAAAGTGTCCTCGTCCATCATAACCATCGCCTCGTAGGGAGTCAGCAGAGGTTTAGGGAATGCGTAGCCCCAATCAATAGAAAGACGGGGGCACGCAACCTGCACCCACGCGTCAACACCGTCGAATAAGGCCAGCTTAGCTGGGAAGATCTCACTCAGAAGAACAATGTGTGTCTCATAGCCCTTAGAGTTGAGCTTCTCCTGCAGCATATCCAGAGTAGCAGTGTTTCCCTGTCGTCCCAGGGTCCCCAGAATGAGTCCTATGGTCTTGGCGTTCTTGGCTGTCTGGATGGCGCGTTTTCGCACGCTGACCATCTCAACCTGGTCAAAGTACTCCCTAGTGAGCTTTCTTGAGTAGGGATCGTATCTGTATGCAGGTATGTCGGGGTTGTGGATCATGGCTGACTCGAGATGGAACCTTCCGTCTCCGATGTACATAATCATATCGTAATCTTCAGTAGACATGTTTGCAGAAGTGCATCCCAGAACCTCACCTTTCGACAGAGGCATGATCTGAGGAGCAGTGCATACGATTCCAGCTTCGTTTAGGAGTCGATCCTTGAGTGTGTGGATGGTAGGGTTGAACTGGATGGTTCCCACCATGGCCATGCGAGTTCCAGTCTCGAAATTCTTCTTGAACGACTTAACGACATGGTCAGTATCAATCTCGATGGTGACAAAGACATAAAGGACCTTGATTTTGATGGAGTCGATGGGAACCAGACAGGAGTGTGCATAATGAATCAGGAAGTCACATCCCAGGGCGATAGCTGAGAAGTCATCAACGCAGCATGCACCATAAGTCACATCTCCCATGACAACTGTACTAATATCGGGTCCACAGAACTGCTCAATAATATCGGAAATGATGCAGGCGTAAATGAGAAGACCCTCGGGCATCTGAAGGGCAATCTTCTTGCAGTTGTTCTTTCGGATGTGCCAAATACTCTTGTGGATCTCAAAGTTGTAGTTTTTGGGCAGCGTCGTTGCAATCACTTCATTGAGCTCCTCATCGTTCAGAATCTCGTCGGGAATCTGGTTAATGATTCGTGGACGTCTGGTAGTGTTCTTGACGAGAGAAGTGGATGCAGAGGGCCCTGAGCCGTTAGCACGGCCCACAAAACGCTTTCGGGGCTGTGTGGAAGTTGATTTTTTGCATGTATCGGGGTCACAGGGAGCTACCGGGGTGGCAGTCGTACTCTTACACTCACCAGATGCTGAACACGACATTTCTGAGGGATTCGATGATAAGTTACACAGGGACGATTTTATGCATGCTGAAAATTTATTTAGGTTGGGTGATTAGGGATGCATTGCTGGGAATCGAACCCACTACAGGTTGTTTCTGCCGAAATTGCTTTCTACGGATTTGATGAGCAAGGCTTTTGAAGCAGATCGCTACGTTTATCTGAGTCATGAAGTCGTTGGAGTGATTTTAGGACCGCCTCGTGTCTTAGGTGCTCTTTTCACCGACTTCTCTACCCCAGTGGCAAAATTAAACTTTGCTTTCTGACGAGGCTTGGACTGTCTGAGGCGTGCTCTAAACAAAGTTACGATGATATGCAAGAGATGCATAAAAATAATTTTTTGTTTCCTCTTCATCAAGGCGGCACACAATGATCACTCCCGACTTTACTGTGGATCAGGACGAGGACTTTGTGTTCGTGAACATCAAGGCACCCCATATTCGTGTCGCCAACATCGAGATTGTGGTGGATGGCGAGCTCTTCGTGTTCTCGTTAGCACCCTATTATCTGCGGTTGCGATTTCCTGGTCGACTTTTGGACGAAGATGAGGAGGAGGTAGAGATGGTAAAGAAGCAGATCAGCGATGCCAATCTCGATAAAAAAACATTGGGTCCAGGTGATCCGAAATCAGACGACAATTCGACCGACAAGAAGGAGGCTACTCTGATTGAAGAGGTGTCGACCAAGCCTCTGATAGAAGAGATCACAGAGACTAAGAAGGAATCGGAACCTAACGCCAAGAAGCGAAACTACGACGAGATGGCCACGTCGACTTTGGTGGAAGAGGTTCGGCCCAGCAAGTTTCTTCTGGAAGAGAACACCTCTCAGCCTCTAGTTGAGGAGGTGGAGCAGGTCAAGGTCAAGCCTCTGGTTGAGGAAGTTGGCGGTGGAGGGCTGCTAATTGAGGACATCACCGAGAAGACGGACGGCGACGAGGCTGTCACTAAAATCGACATCAAGAGGCGTCCAAAGGTGACCAAGGCTACTGCTACATACGATCTGGGAAGCTCTACCATCAAATGTCGAATCCCCAAGGAGGAATCTGGTATGTGGAAGGACATTGATATGATTGGAAAGCTTCTGGCTCGTCAGAATGAGACCCAAGTGATGGACGATCTTCGAAAAACTGTCATTGAGGAGCTGGATGGAAATGACAACGAGACTGAGCCTACAGAGCTCCAGGAGGCTGATGCATTTGACTGGGAGATCAAACAGGAAATCCCGAAGCTGGGTGAAGACAGCCACGTTCGATACGGCTGGCAGGGAGGATACAACGGTGCTGTGGGTGTCAGTGTGGCTAAGGGTAACGATGTTAACGAGATCGTTGATCCTGAGATGAACGGAGTCGACGAGGAGGCTAGAAAGGAGCTGAGAACAGACATTGAACAGTCACGTTTTAACCCAGGCTACTATCTATCCGATCTGCTTGAGAACGATATGGTTCCCGAGTATCTTCATTACGAGCTTCCTAAGGAATTTTGGAAAGAGAACAAGAGCGACATGTTATTGTCAGGCGAAGAGAATCGTGTTCTGAGCGAGATTATGTCAAAATCTCGGTCGAAATCAGCGTACAAGAACATTTCCGATCCTAAAAAGGCCTACATTGGACTGTTAAACCTTCTGTTCTCCTTCTTTTACGACATTCGAACCACATTCAACGATCATACTGTCGAATCCCCATGGACGATTGGTAAGTTGACTCCTCAGTTTGCCTCTTTGGATGATTCTTTCTACACCGTCTCTGAAGCTGTGATTGCGAGCAGTAGACGTGCGCTCACGTATCCCCTGGTGCGAAGTTTCGGACTGGTTCTTGAGATCTGGAAGGATGTTTCCAAGGTGATCAAGTCTGGCAAGCGGGCTATTCTCAAGGTGCTTCTGGAGCTGTACAAGCTCTTCTCAGTGCACGACCTCTATTATGTTTATGCTGACATCTGGCTTAAGGACTACATTGGATGGATCCAGTATGCCAGCGACAAGGTGTTGGATTCGCTGGCCGAGGAGTTGGACAAGTTTGTTTTGACGAAGGAGATGCTTGGGTTTGATTTGGAGGAGTGGGAGCGGAAGGCTGAAGAGGGCGAAATTGAGCCTGAAACAGGTGAGTCTGAAGAGCAGCAGCGGTAGATACTTGCTCCTAATAGAAGGAAGGGTTATAGATGGAAAGAAATAATAACATTATACAATGCAGGATGCCCAATCGGTCGATACGATATTTATATATTCTTCTGCAGTACTGTAGTTTGGTTATGCCAAGGTCGCAACTGATAATCGCAGCCCCTCCCTAAATCGTATTTTTGGAACTCGCAATTTTAATCGTAATTTGGAAAGTTGTAATTCGACTTTGATAACGAGACTCTAAACTGAATTTGTACCCCTTGCTGCTTCTGTGCGTTTGTTAGTAATCCGTCTCGAGATATATGATCGGGCGACAAGACCAACGGCCATGGCTTGTTAGCATCATTTTCTAATGTCGTACATGGATAATGCAAGATTATGTAAGACCACATATGATGGATGGCGTGCCGAGCGCTTCCTCGGTGGAATCGGCCCATTTTCTTTTTCGCGATACCGCTCACATTTCCAATCCCTCGCCAATGACAACTGGGGTGGTTCTAACGTTTTTTGCCATGTCCAAAACACCTTATTTAAATACCTGCTTAATTGGCTGAATGCCGTCCCGTATGTACCCAAATACCTCAACTATGGGAGGTTGGCAGAAGTTCACGCAGGTTTGCGATCAGCAACATTGGCTCCCGTTGCCATCTGCTCATCTCGTTTGCCATTTTCGCTCACTCCAGTATTAACTGCCGACTCTGGGGTGAGACCAAATGAGACATTTTATGTGAACAAAAGGAAACACAGCCTTGTCTAAGGGAGTGCGTGCATGGCTAAGTTGAGTTAAGTGCTGAATTTAGCAAGCCTTGGGGAAGTTAGACGGATTTGTATGGGGTGGTATTGCAATATCTGGACTTTATTGACCGCAATTGTGGCTGTTGTGGCCGCCTTGGTGTCCTAATCCATCTTTCAATGGCTTGGCTTGCTATCTCACTGGCTACGCCCATATTTTGTGTTTTCCATTTGTCATATAAGAGAGACTTTTGGTTGCGCAGATCCGGCTCCGCAAAAGGCAGTTTAATTTCATACGGTTCACGTGACCGCTGCCAGAGTTCGTCATTAACACAAATGGTGCATCGCCGTTGTTTCAGTGGTGTTACACTGGATCATGGTGATGATATGGCGGGGCTATACAACAAAAGACGGTAAAAGTGGAGAGAGAGTTGGATTTGCCATACGACTTGACATCATCTGTCCAAACTGGCAACCAAAATTTCAACCTAAGATCTGCGATACTGAAGGAGTTATAACATCCCTATCGCTATCCCACTATACTTGATCTCTCCAACTAAAACCCAACTGTGGCCGAATGCAGTAGAGTTCTCCATTGAACCTCTAATTCTAACCCAATATTTTGCCCTAACTTTGGCAGAGTTTGCGCAATAAAAACCTATAGATGCCGAAAGAGGTACTTTAAGAGTCTGCTCGTGCACTTGCGGGCGGTCTTAGCGAATGCTTGTGCGACCCAATTATGGAGGGGTTTGTTTTGTGATTTTGAGCATCGAAATACACCTTTTTTTCCATCTTGTAGCCGCAACAGATCGTCTGAAATTGATGCTGATCTTCAGAGCGATGAACAAATGAAGATCGATTGACGACGGGTACAGAGATGACAATTGCGGTAGACTAACCAGTTGCAGTTTGTTTGTCACCATATTAGGCAATCTACTAACCAATTAATCTTAGTCTATGCTGTCAACTATTACTTAGCTTCCACGCCCAACTAATGATCTCTTCTATGTTTACCCATCCACGTCTGTACACTTCGCCAATTACTCAATTAACACCTGTGTCCCGATAATTTACGGTGTCTGCCACTTCTACAACTAGAACATCTCCTAGGATCTCTCTCAAACAACCAATTGACCTCTACACCTGCTTCCTACACTTACTGGTGGTATCTCTCCACCCCTCTAACCTCCTCTCCCTCTTGGGTATTCAATATATTCGCACCACTCGCACACGGCTCGTGGGCATGCATTACTTCTCCTTGTCAATCATAAAATCCACGCCATGTTTGTGGCTTTTTGCCTGGGGGTTGGGCGTGGTTCTTTCGGACGAAACAGCGTCCGTTTTGTAAGGGTATTCCGGGATACTCAACGACGACAGCTCGCTGCCAGTTCCTCCAGCCGTACCGCCGCCGCCACTCTGGAAGTAGTTTAATGAGCGGTTGAAGGAATCGCTCCGGATTGATGTTTCCGAGCGATGTCGCGTGTGTGTTTTTCGGCGATTGGAAAGAGATGCTGCGTTGGCAATGGCCGTGGTAGATGAAGATGAGGCTGATTCAGCGGCGTCTGCATTACTGGACGCATCACTACCCCGACTTCCCCGAGCAGACCGCTCGGCTCCACGCTGCTCTCTTTCCCTCTCTCTCTCCTTCTCTCTCTCCCTCTCTCGTTCTCGTTCTCGTTCGGGGGCCGTGGCTTCAGCTCGGGCAGATGCGCCTGCTGCGTCACTTCGGCGTCGCTTTCGACCTCCTCCGCTTTCCTCCTCATCGTCTCTTTCGCGATCTTTATCCTTGCGATCTCCTCCCCGTCTTTCTCTCTCCTGTTTCTCCTTCTGCTCCTTTTCCTTCTTGGTGTTAGACGGCGTACGCGTCGGCTGCCAGTGGTGGAACTGGATGATGTGATGCATGGATTGAGACGGTGGAGCGACCGGCTGTGGCGAAGATGGAGGCGATCCAGCGGCGGCTCCACTAGGTGTGCCTGGCATGCCAGAAGGAGCACCTGGGGGTCCCACAGGAGTTCCAACGACGCCAGGAGTACCTGCTCCGGGTGTACCTGCCGCTACACCAGGAGCATAGTACGGCCAGGGTCCGACAGGGCCTCTAACGGGAGAGGTATGCGTTGCGGCCTGGGCGTGGGGCGAGTTGGAGTATATGGGCGGGGACGGGTGCAGTTGTGGCTGCGGCGGCTGCTGCATGTGCTGCATGGGATGCACCGGACCAAACTGGAAGCGTCGGGGCGATTGGGAGCCGTAATCAGTGGGCTTAGACGGCATGCTGAGGTTGCGCTGGTGATGGCGGAAGGACATACGCGAGTCCTTGTGCAGCGGAGACATAAGGCGAGCTGATTCGTGGGGCGGCTGTTGTTGCTGTTGTTGTCTCTGTGGAGTTCCGGGAACCACTCCCTGCGCAGCGGCAGCGGCGATTGCGCCTGCCTGCGCAGATATAGACACGCCGGGAGTACCGCTGTGGCTGGGGGTCGAGTGAGTGGAAGGGTATGTATTGGGGGGCGCTTGAGCGGCCACAGGAATAGAGGCTGACTGGGTAAGCACGTTTGCTGCTGCGGCGGCGGCGGCCTGGACGAGAGCCGAGTATGAGGTCAGCGACATGGGCGCATCCTGGGCAAGTTTGTCAAGCTCAGTCGTTATGTGGGTCGAGGCGGAGGCTGCATCGTTTTGCGTAAACAGAAGGGGTATCAGTGCTGGGGGGACGTTGTACTTTACGGCCTGGTCGAATAGTTGCAGCGAGCGTTGGGCGCGTTCCATGCGGTAGTATTCGGTGCGCGACAGCTCCTGCTGCAGTAACAGCGCCGCCGAGGGAGCTTCGGGAGCTGGAGCCGCTGCTGGGCCTCCTGCTGGGCCTCCTGCTGGTGCTGCGGTGGTGGCGGAGGAAGAGTCACCCGGCATGTGTGGTGGGTGGAGTTGTGAAGACGTTGGCGATGGTGGATGGGTCGGTTCGGGCTTTACATCTGAGGTGGCCGCGGAGGATGGCGTGGCGGACGTGGCCGTGGGTGTAGTGGCTGTAGTAGCGGTCGCACTTAGTGCACTTGGTGGGGCTAGAGACGGAGCACTCGTTGTGGTTGGCTGGTCGGAGGCGACGCTGGATGCTGGCCCGCTGGCTTCTGCTGATCGTGCCCCTTGACGCGCTGACCAGTCGGACATCTGAAACACATGTGGCTCGTCCACGGTAGCTGCCATAGATGCGAAGAAATGTTAGTGAGTGTCTAGTTGCAACAAGGGCAGCAACGTTCTAGAGTGCGACGGGATGCTGCACGCTGAGGCTGTGCAACTTTTCCAAGGGATGCTGAGTGAGAGGCGGTCGAGCGGACGGGGAGGGTGGCGACAACGACTGTGTGGGATGGCGGCGGGGTGGTGCAATTCTGCTGGCACTCTCTCTCAAAGTCAGGCTCTTCGTTTCCGTATAGGTCGGCTTTTTTTTCTCTTCCACCCAAACTTTTGTGCACAATAGGAATTGATAAACCTCTGCCTTGGCTCACCTTTGTTTAAACTAAAAAGCCCAAACTGTCACGTGGAATCAGCTGGCCTTTCTGCATTGAGATGTGGGGTGCAAGGACAGGAACAGCAAATACTACAGAGCGGAGCAACAGGCAGAGGGAGCCAGCCGACTTTGCGGGCGCCGTCACGCGAGCTCCGCCTTGGCACAGATTTCCCACCGGTCCCCACCGTCACCTACCCTCCATGTATACATCCAGCACTATAGCATACCAGATGCTGATTAGCTTCGTTCAATGCAGAGTAGTCAAAGACCAAGGGACAAGTAGACGGGATTTAGAGAAAACGAAAAAAGGGGAACTGTGAACCATCGCCCACTAATACCGCCAAATAGACTCGCCAGCCGGACTAAATAGGCCTGGATAGACCGCACCAAAAGTCACAGATCAAAATTACTTCATTTCTCTCAAACACAAACAGTTGCTTATATCTTGTTGTGCCGTGGGCACTGTATCTTGTGTGAGCCCTATATCAAACCACAATCTATAGAAACACCAAAATGCACTGCAGCAGACTGCTCATTTAACCTCAACTCCCAAATCGATCTTGTACATGTTGCTTTATGAGTGAGTGCGAACACCAAGTGGCAAAAAATCGTACGTCTCAGAGATGGCCGGGGAGGGGCGTAGGATACATGACGTGGATTCGCGTGTATTCGCAAGGTCCCCCTTGAGAGAGCCAAGTCTGGTTGCCATAGTAACTATCGAGTATTGTCTTTTAAAACCGCTGTCTTGGGGTGTAAGAATCTGAAGGCCAAAATGAAGGTTCCAATTTAGATTTAAACTCTATTCCTTATAGAGTGTAAACGTGGCAAAATTGGGCAAGCGCATGGAAGCTTAGGCTCCAAACAGGAGTCGAGTGCCCGTTTTAGGAGTCAACATAGGGTTCGAGCTTAGACTTCTCCAACTATGGATTATGTAAGCAGTTGCTGGGGAAACGGGGTGGGAAGGACCATTTGGTTTTGGATTCAGAGGTTTATCAAGCAGGGTAGGCAATCTGCGTTTTAGTGTCACTTTGATTTGTCATAATATACCGGGGCACGATACGTCAGGTTGGTGTGGAATGTGGCGTAGACGTTTGTTTGTTGTTTTTTCGACCCAAAAAATATCCCTGGAAAATATTTTGGGCGGGGGGTGTCGGCCAAAAGTGCCCTTTCCATCCAAGGCTTCACTTCTCTGCTCCTTCTCTTTTTTTCACTCCAGCCTTATGCTGTGTGTGCATATATTGAAAGTAAAACTGTGAGACGGGGCAACCTGCTCACGTGATTCGAAATGCGCAAAATATGATTGGATTGGTTCCGTGCGATCGACAGTAGTTAACGGCGGTTGGTTAAAGTCGGTTCCCCGGGCTTCCTTTGCTTTACTCTTATTGCCCTGATACGCAATGGGTTACAGGGACAGACATGGATGAGCGGCAGGGTTCTATAAATAGGAAAGTATCGGAACTCTGCGTTCAGACACACGTAAATGAGAGGTTTGCAAAGTTGCAGGCTGAAGGGTTTTCTCGGTTTAGCTTACATTTCGCTTCAAGACGTATGATTCTCACGTGTAGGGCGGTGGAGCAAAGAGCACCATGTTCTAGAAAGGCAAGGAACCAGCACGCAGTTGAACCCATCTTTGGTTGTTTTACGAGATTGAGTCGTTCTTCTTCCTCAAAAGTCCTATCTAAAGCCTAGTCTTCTCCCCTCAAACGTACAAGAACTAGCAGTACGAGGCCCTGATCTTGAATTATTAAATCCGGGCCGTGAAAGCTGTGCAGTATTAGTACCCTCGCACGAGGGTGTCTGTAAAAGTTGCAGTCTGATTGGGGACAGCACCAACAAAAAGAAACAAGGTCCTAATATAACAGGGTGATCCTCTCGGACGTAATCTGAGCCCCACAGCTATCCCTTTCCAACTTTCAAAGGGATAGCCTCGGTATTTACTTATTGAACGAATTAGCAGACTTCGGCCGGGTGGTCCACATGACCTATACTACGGGTCTCACACTGATTTTCTTCTCCGAGGTAGTTGTCAATTGAATTCCTCGTCTCTCTATTTATATCTCTAGAGTTCACATACCGGCTTCTGCTATCATACATACTGCGTAATTACATCGAATTCATGCAGCCCTTAATATTCCCCGGGCCATGAAAAGTTTGGTATATTATGTCAGACCTGCCTTCAAATATTACACTGGAACTACTAGTACTGTACCGCACAATGCGCAAACATAGTCTCTTTCGCCAGACGTGCCCCCTAGAACTACCCAATCCAGGAATATTGGACTTATTCTGGGCTTGTTGCTCTCTTTTTTTTATAGCACAACCCTAGCGATAAAGAACCCCCTACGGAAGGAAAAGGGAACCAAAGATCCGCCAAATATGTAACCCCCAGCATTTTAGATAGCTCGTATACCCCTGTGGATTGCACCTTTAGTTCGTGGTGAATGTCTCTGACACACTAACCATATTTGCCTATCGAACCTAGTTTTGGGAGGTGAGCGGGCATGCACACATGTTCACTAGTGCATGAAATATGCACCATCAGGTGATAATGTCCCGACCTGTCATGGCGGATTGAGCATCCAAACAAACAAACAATGGAGTGATCGAGGTTGATGGCATAATCTAGGTTATTTTTATGTCGAATTTAGTCTGTTATGCCACTGAATAGTTTTACGTCTTCTTTTTTTCTTTGCAAAATGTATCTGTGCTGTTTTTAATTAACGAATTAGTGTTCAATCACAGTATGTACGTAGTGGGGGGGTTCATATGTGCCGTCTGTACGATACAACACCTTAGCGTAAAACATCTTTGTGTGCTGCAACATCATGGTCTGCTCTTGTTGTTATATTGAATGTATCTTGAGTTGAGTACGAGAAATACGACGTCCAGTCGTATGCGACACAGTTGGGTCTCAGACGGCACTATTGGCCGGTCCAAAATAGCGGGTAGACGCGCCAGTAGCTTCCGTTTGGGAGGCAGGAGTCGAGAATTACGATATTATATTATTTTCCAGCCGTAGCCTTCTCCAGTAGAAGTCTTGGCGTTTTAGACCAGGTGTAGCGTGACCGAAGCCACGATCTACTCGAGAGTTCTACTTCTTCTGCGCAACCTGTCTGCACAGTTAGCTCTCCCTTCTGTGGGAGTACGAGACATGGTAGCCCCGGCAATGACATGCTAAGGTGGATCTGAGACATCCTTATTTGGATCAGCTGTTCATACTGTAATTGTCAATGTGCTCGCTTTTGGAGCGTTATTATTGACTCTACGGAGTCTTGTCCAGAATACTATGGTGTTCACCTTGGCTCAACTTGCAGCGGTATTGGTGGTGGGATACGTTCCAAAAAGGAGATAATTTTTCTTAGTGATGTAGTTATTACTGGATACGTCTGATCCCTACACCTGTTTTACCTTGGGAGACTTGCCGTGCGTGTCATCTCTTCGTATTCTTTGGTGTCCGTAAAATCTGGTGCATCCGCTGGCTTGTGCTCCAAATACGTGTTGCGAGCCGCAGTGCCATATATCGAAAGAAGAAAAGGAATAGATTTATTAATACTTTTTTAATTACGGATGTGATAGCATGTCTTTGCACAATTCGTCCTTTTAAAAAGGCGGATGACAGAGATTATCGTGGAAGGATGTTGGTCAAACGTACATACTGTAGCTCCAATTGTTGTATATTACCCTTCTAAACATTTTGATCTGCTAATCTTTATGACCATTGGTTGTTCTCAAGTATTTTTACAATAAATCCCATAGCAATCATAAATGCACCAGCCATCTTCACTGTTCACCCCTTTGCACCTCAAAGATATCTGTCAAGTAGCTCCTCAACACTACTGTCAACAAATACATAGAGTTACTTAACTTGAGTGTAAAGCATAACGTCCCCCAGATACTAGACTTATTCCGGATGCAACTGGCTCACAAAATTTGGCATAACTCGTTGAGCCTTTCTCTATTCACTTATCAGCTCTTCATTCTTCCAGATCATCTTTCATACATGTTCCACGCTATATCCCAAACATGCCCACCCAACAACGATCCTTAACCGATTATTCTTCCTAGACATGACCCTTCAGGTCCCTCAATTGCACCCCAAAATGTCTGAAAGTCGGCACATGGACATTATCGCATACTTTAACTACAACAAACTACCTTCTACCCTCCCAGCCCTTTCCAAATCACATCTACAAGGCCCCGAAAAAGCTCCGCCGAAAAAACGCCGCTCAAAGGTCGGCTTTCGGTTAAGCTCCATGCACTCCACATTTCAACTTTATCTGGAGTAAAGAGATATATAGCCAGAGTGTTTTATCCTACTTAGTACGGTACCCATAACCACTATCAACATCACGTCACACACACACAATTCACAATGCTCCGAACAATCTCCAGAACCCGGACCATGGTCCCCAGCCGACATTTGATCTCATACAGATTCTTCTCCGACGTGTCCACGACCAAGGGAGAGACGTTCACTCTGACCAAACACTTTTTGGATGCCTCCAATACCGCCCACATTGCCGTCTACTCGCTCAACCGGCCCGAGGCCATGAACTCCATCTCCAAGAAGCTTCTGGAGGAATTTGAGACCTACATCAACTCGCTGGCAGCCGAAGGACGTCATCAGAATGTCACCAACACTCGTGCTCTGATTCTGAGCTCGGAGCTGCCCAAGGTTTTCTGTGCTGGAGCAGATCTCAAGGAGCGAAAGACATTTACTGATGCTGACACCGCTGCCTTCCTTAACAAGCTCAATGGCACTCTCGACACCATCCAGAGCCTGCACATGCCCACTATCACTGCCATTCAGGGCTTTGCCCTCGGAGGAGGCGCTGAGATCTCCCTGGCCACAGACTTCCGAGTTCTGTCTGATGTGGCCCAATTTGGTCTGCCCGAGACCCGTTTGGCAATCTTGCCTGGCGCTGGAGGAACCAAGCGACTCCCCAAGCTGATTGGATACTCTCGAGCTCTTGATCTGGTGCTCACTGGACGACGAGTAAAGGCCGACGAGGCTCTCCATCTTGGTATTGCCAACCGAACCGGCGAGAACGCCCTCGAGACTGCCCTTGAAATGGCTAAGCTCATCTGTGAGGGAGGACCCATTGCGATCAATGCGGCAAAGATGGCTGTTCGAGGCCAGTCCAAGGAGTGGGAGATCGCCGCCTACAACAAGGTGGTCAATTCGGAAGACAAGTTCGAGGCTCTGTCGGCATTCAAGGAAAAGCGAAAGCCCATTTTCAAGGGTCGATAAGAAGTAGACAAACGAGTGATGATGAGTGAGACGATGAGTGAGATGGCGAGTCGAATGATGAACTCGAAGTAAAAATGACTATATATGATTTAATTTGGAGAGTCGGTAGTGGTACTCGGCGGTGGTACTTCTAGATATCGGAACAATTAACATCAGTTGGTGATCAATCCATACATACTACAAGAAAAAGGGGTTGATGTACAACAGCTACCCAACACTTAGGGTATCAAGCCCGTTCACTAGAATACGTCACATACAGAAATCATAAAATGACTATATTGGAAGTCTTACAGTATGTACTATATGGGTACAAGTACAGTATGTACTGCTTCATTTGATAAACTGATCTACAAATACAGAGGTGACGTTTATTTTTGTCTTCTCCTATTAATAGTTGGTATGACCATATACTTACTGACACTTTTCTTGTTGACTATTGTTCAGCTGAAGTCCCAAGTAATATCCGACCTAGCCCCTCACGTCTAGCTGAAACTTATTAAACCACTCAACAAACAGCATCTTCCATATCAGCAGCAAGAATAATGGAAATATCATCATCATGACGAATTTAGGTAAAGAGCAAATATACAAAAACTGTTATACTGCTCTTTTTTCATCCAACTAAGAATTTCATATATACTGTACCTTGTCCTTCCACGCACCTCCTACAGCCCCTTATGATGAGTAAGCAGATTAGGGTTACCCTCTTCCTGCCATGTATCTTCTCCTCCCTCCCATATAAATACGGATTACAGCAACATGAGTACCCCTCCTTATTACAACATCTACCGGGTCAGCAGGTGAGTTTAGCAGAGTTATTGGATGGGACAGGCCCGAGATGAATACTATGTCTTTTCCAGCTTCATTCCTTGCTATTTGACTGATTTTTCATGACATGTTGCGAGGTCCGGCAGTGCAGTCATGGATACCTAAGGACAATAGAGGGAACGGCAGTGACGATGTCACAGTCATGACACTACTTATTCCATCCTATACGATATGTCCACCCGGTAACCACCACAGACCCCGGCTATACTAACGCAGCATAGGAACAGCTCTCACGGAGGCCCTGGATGAGCTGATTCGAGATAGCACGATCCCGCCACAGCTGGCGCTTAAGGTGGTGGAGGTGTTTGACCGGGTCATGGCCGACACTCTGCGAAATGATGTGCGCAATCGAATGTCCTTCAAGGGCGAATTGCATACCTACCGAGGGCTGGAGGACGTGTGGACGTTCATCATCCGACGGGTGGTGTTCAAGATGGACAACAATGACGTGGTCAACGCCGACAAGATCAAGATTGTTACCTGTAATGCCCGGAAGGCCGGTGATGCGTAAGTGTCACCGTTTACCAAGCGTTCTCATGACGTTGTCTTTTTTGTGCCATGAGAATGCTCAAGCGGTCAGAGTGAAGGACATGCAGACCAGGCACACAAACCCCTGGCATTTGTTTCTTTGCGTCTAACGTCTGATGTCCGTTCAGAGTGATTCTCCTCTATATAGTACCCCACTTGATTCTGCACTTTGAGTAAAAGTTCTCGGTGCAAGAGATAATATATGTTTGGTTTTATCAGAGCTCTAAAGAGAGCGATACAAGTTGATTGATTGAGTGTTATTAGATACAGTCTGTACTGTAGTTATTGGACAGTATGTACAGTATGTACAGTAGCTGCTGGTTCAGGGACCATACTGATTCGTTCCGTAGAGTTGCCTAATCAAGGCTGCACTGTACATACTGGACTTGTATGTCTCAGTGGCTGGAAGAGTGTCTGTCTCTAGAGGACCACTCACCCAGCCTCAATTCTCTACAAGTACTGTGTTTATTGTAGTGTAGATAGACACTCGTAGTAACGCCGCATGTTTATGTAATCAGGTCATCCAAGGAAGTTCCTATGTTGTCATAATTAAGTCAACAAGGCGGCAGAAGACATTACTCAAGTACACAGTATGTACAGTATCGAGCAAGTGCCGGTACAGTACTGTACGTAGCATGCTCACAAACATTTTTTTATCAGTTCAGTGTATACAGTGTACAATCCTTCGTTCACATTTTGTCATATTTCGTTAAAGTACAGAAAATTAAATACAGGTGACCCATTTCTAAATAACCATGGATCGGTAGTGAGGCTGCGTCTGGCCTTGGGGTCCGCCGGGAGGTCCCTGAGGAGGCCGTCCCTGGCCCTGCTGACCAGGAGGCCCACCAGGGCCTCGAGGACCCATCATATGAGGTGGAGGTCCGCCCTGATGACCAGGAGGAGGTCCTCCAAAGTTCTGCTGCTGTCCAGGAGGAATGGCAGATCGAGGCTGAGGTCGATGAATGCCTCCAGGAGGTCCACCAGGTCCACCAGGACCAGGACCAGGACCATAAGCGCCAGGACCCCCAGGTCCACCAGGGCCGCCATGTCGAGGAGGCTGGGGAGCCCCTTGGTAACCCTGAGGGGGAGGACCTTGCTGGAATTGGCCGGGGGGACCTTGAGGTCGTCCCTGAGGAGGTCCCTGGTGTCCCTGAGGAGGTCCCTGGTGTCCCTGAGGGGGTCCCTGAGGTCTTCCCTGGTTGGGAGGGCCGCCAGGTCCACCGAAACCGTTAGGAGGAGGGCCGCCAGGTCCACCGAAACCGTTAGGAGGAGGACCTCGGAAGTTGCCAGCGGGCGAATGGGATCGCTGGGGCTGGACAGCCGGCATCTGGGGAGAAGAAGGTCGGCCCTGTTGCTGAGCGTAGGGAGCAGAGGGGCCATAGTTTCGACCGGGATGGCCCTGGCCGTGGGCACCACCCTGAGGGCCGCCATAAGGTCGTTCCTGGGGCTGCTGTCGAGGAGGAGGCTGCTGTCGCGCAAACTGGGAGCCGGGATTGCCAGCCTGAGGACCGGGACCTGCGTTTCCGGCAGGAGGGCCCTGAGGAGCACCGTTAGCACCCATTCCCTGTCGCTGGAAGCCGTGGGGAGGAGGTTGGGGACTGTTACCATTCTGAGCAGGTCCTCGGGACCGCTGAGAGAAGCCAGAAGAAGAGGAGTTGTTGGCCACGGAGTACATGGAGTTGTTGTTAGCATTCTGGCCGCTGGGTACGCCATTGGGTGCGGCCTGGACGGTGGGAGTCTTAGGCTGGGTGGCGTTGGTCTGGATGGACAGCTTGCTCATGTCCTCAGTAGGGTCTCGAGTGCCGAAAATGGACTCTCGGATATCAGCTCGGGTGTCGCCTCGAGAAACATCTCGGATGTCACCCCGAGAGCCCTTGTGGTTGAGGTTGGGGCCATCAACGGCTCGTCCGTAGCTGTCCTCATCCATAAACGCACCAGAAGTGGGGTATGGGAGTTGGGGCGACTTAGGGTCGGTGGACTTGCCAATGGAGGGCAGCAGGGTGTTGGGCTTGGCTCCGTCGCTTACGTGACGCTCGTGAGTTCGAGGCACCTGCAGAGAAGCACCGCCAGTGGGAGCCTTCGGTAGAGGGTGGCCATTGTCCTCGGGGACTGGTCCAAACGTCATGTTGGGATCCCGCTGGGGAATCTCCCGTCGCGGGGGCTCCCGCAAATGTTCACGTGACCTTGCCGGAGAGTTGGGCTGCGACACAGAACGGTCCTTGCCGAACACATTGGGAGGGATGGCCAAGGACGGCGAGTTGCCTCCAGATCCGATACCGGAGCCGATAGAGGAGACTCGTCGGGAGGCGAGACCGCCAGAGCCCTTGTAGCCAGTGGACATCTTTCGAGACAGAATCTCCTTAATGTTTTTGGTCCACATGGCAGGAGACCAGGACTCGGATCCAGAGACACCGACGAGCATGAGAATGTCAGCGAGCTCAAGATAATTGACGCGGGGAAGTGTGGGCATACCAAACAGAAGCGACCGCTGGTCGGTCTTATCGGCGTTAAGACGGACAGGTCGACCATAGAGCTTGAAAGCATCAAATACAGGGACAAGGAATCGGATCAGGGTCTCAAAACCAAGCACACCGGCATGCTGCTCGGGCATAAGGAACACAGAAGCGTCCTTAGCACCCTCAACGTCGTCAAAGGTAACAGTTCCATCAATCTTGAACAGCGTCGAGTTGTTGATAAGCATGGGAGACGAGGGGTAGATGGCGTAAGCGGACTGAGCGACTGTGATCTTGGCAAGCGGTGGCTTCTTGACCTTCTTCTTGTCTTCGTAAAAGGATACAGTGCCGTAAGCCTCATAGCCCTTCTTCTTGGCCTTAGACTTGACCTTGGGGTCGACGGGAGCCACAATGGTCCAGCATCGTTTCCAAGGCATGCCAGGGCCAAATCGCACAGACACCCAGTCTTCGTGAGCGAACCGGGTCTCAGCCAAAAGAGTTCGGATACCGTTGAGCTGTCGGCCCTTGGCAGAAAGAAGACCACCAGTGTAGGCCTCCTGGAGAGAGGAATACTCAAATTGCGACAGTCTGAGGGCAGAAGACCACTCCTGCAGCAGCTTCTGGGACGAAAACTGCAGCAGGTATCTGTTTTTCAGCGTTGTGGAAAGCACAATAATGTTTTGCAGGTCTCCGTTGGGAGAAGGGAGCGTCAAGATGGACTTGAACGTGGCGTCGGTGACGTTGATGTATGAGGGCTTGAGCTTTGCGAGGCCGTCCTTGTGTCTATCGAGCTCTTCGGCGTCCCAGATGGACATGACGGTTCCCTGGAGTCTGCCGTAGACCTCTACCCATTTTCGATCGTTGACTGGTTTTCCATCTGTGTTAGTGTGCACTAATTCAAGAATACAGAACAAGCCACGTTAGTGCGGGGAAAAGACTGAGAGATATTGTGGCATAAATATTATGAGGTATTTACCACCACCATCCGTGTCTCGACGACGACTTGAGATGTGTTTGGACACACGGCGATTATCACACACGGCGATTATCACACGGCGATATCGCGAACCTTAAGAGATTAAATGCAAACAAACAAAACGATTGCATGCAAAAGTTGGGATGACAAAAAGTGCGTAATGAGGTATCGCAATGAGGCCGAAATAGAGGACTGGAATAGTCATCGTGGAGTAGCTATTGTAGAAAGACCACCGTGGTATCCCTCTCTGTATCTCATCAGGCCTTGTTCCTTGTTCCTTCTCCGTCTTCAATACTCACCCTTGTTCAAATCATTTAACAGCATGTAGTAGCCCTCGAAATAAACCCGTTCCTTCTGGGCCGCCAGGAGCGTGAGAATGGGGATCATCTCTGGGGGCGTATCCTTGTCGAGTTCTAGCCCCAGAGAGGCTGCTGACCCGCTTCGAACCCGACCCTGAGGCGAGCTCGGCGAAGACGACCGGCTGTTTTGAACCTGGGCCATCATGGGGGTTCTTGGGCCCGAGTTGTAGGACCCCAACGAGCTATTGCTATCCATGGTGCTCTTTTTGTGTCGGTTTAGGAGGCTTTTGTGTGCTGTGTTGTGGGGTGTAAGAGGGTGAGGTGTTTGTCTGTGGTGTCACTGTGCGGTCGTGTGTTATGACACTTGTGAGATGTGTGCGCTGTGCTTGTGGCGGGTACAGTAGCGTCAGTGTAGTGTGTCGTGGAGACAAAAGTTCGGTGTTCAGCGAGAGATGGGGGTCAAGTCAGGCCGCTGTTTATCTAAAAAGCTTGCAAGGCTGTGCAAGCTAAGACAGGCGGTTAGAAGAATAGTTGAAGTTGCACTTTGGTCAGGGTCAGACCGCAGATCGATGCAGATAGTGTTGATGTAAACGGAAGGCGCAAGTGAGGCTAAATATGCAATCGTCCCAGACAAGGGGTGGTTCTGTCTAAAGATAGCAGTAACGCTGTTTATTAGCTTCCCAGCGTTACAGAGTGAGCGAGGATGATGTGGTAGCGTTATGTGGGTACTGCGTGTGGCAGATATCCTTCTGTAGTTTGTGTGTGTGTGGATATTGTCTCCGTCTTTGGAGGCTGTCATTACACACTCATTCTCCCACTGTTATGTTCGACACTGTTATGGTGCCAAGGTTCGGTGCTTAAAATAGACAGCCAAGACGGCATTACAAAGACCGAGGTGGTTATGCGGACTGGCGACGTCATAGACGAGCAAATTCGTCGGGAAATGGGCGAAGATGCGGGGTCCGGCCGTTATTTTTGTTGGCCATCCCGTCCACGACAGTCAGCCTCGACCCCCACGGGCGATCACAACAGGGTGTGAAAAATCGCGTGCCCAACCCAAAAGTAAAACCATGGGGCTGAGTTCGGTTCCGACCCGATGCAAACGACGTCACATGACCACCCACGAGGGTAACATGAGGGAGTGCACGAGATAACATGTGCATTCGGAGCAAATATATAGCCGAGGCGACGTTATTAAATGAACATGGACAGGCTGTTAGGCAAAGACATGGTACAAACCGGAACACTACGGTATGTACGGAACCATTACATACCGTCTGCCGCTTGCCCCACTGATTGCTCAGTGCAACTCTCCCACTCGATCCTGTCGACAAAGAAGAAGAGAGCATAGACTCTGGCCGTTGAAACAGGGCTGTGCTAGATCAGATACGATGAGAGCGGAGCCCAAGAATGCACATATAGCTCTGGCGGGGTACAGACAGCCAATAGTTTGGGGTCTGAGCACTCGGCGACGGATGTGCTCTTCATACACCTTGCTTGCGTGTAACCAGCCGTAAACTCTTGATAGCTATATGCTTTTCTGGCCAACTGTTGGCAAGGACAGAAGTGAGCATAATACCCGTAAGTGTGAAGAAAATACAGACCAACCCACGATGTATCGTCCACACTATTGGGACTGTATGTACCGGTGCTTGCAATAGCGAACGGGATGAATACTCGTACGTATAGCAACAGCAAAAAGAAAAAGTCTGTGAATTCACCAGCCACCAACCCCATCCGGCCTTGTTTCAAAGAAAGAACACACGCACAAGTACGTACAGTAATAGCAACTCGCTGGTGCTTGATGAAGCAACCAGCAATAGTTAATACTTGACAGCAAGAACGGGCACAAGTAGCAAGTCTTGGAGGGTGGAGCCGTATAAAATAACATGGCGCCTTAATCGCGGACCTTGGCACTCTCCTCGTCCACTGTCCACTGTCAATCTCCGGGCAACCCCGCTTGGCAAAAAAAGAAAAATATGGAGGTATAAAACTCAGCCTCGTTTGATGTAAGGGCTCTCGCTCGTATCATGCTCACCATTTGGGTGGGTCTTTGGCACCTACGCATTTTAGAATTCAGAGTAGTTTGGAAGACAAGTAGAGCAAAAGGACATGTGGAGGTGCTGGAGGGGCGGTGGTGGGTTGAGAGTAAAAGGAAGGGAAGAGTTCACCATTTGCAGTTCCTTCGCGTATAAAATTTCAGCCGTCTCCAAAGTCGACCAGCGCTTAATTTAATGTCTGAAAGTACATATTTGTCAACCCTAAAAATCTCACGAATTTTTAGACTGCACGATATGACGGTTGACGTGGAAACAGGTACTCATACTCGTACAGTTCCGTGATAGGTATATTTAGACATCATTTGATTGTGTAAGCTGTTCTGGCTTCAGTGAGCGGTTAGTCAGCCTTTTGGTTCTTAACTAAGTTGTCTGTGTTGAGAGAAAAAAATTGAACTTTTATATAACAAATACATTAACGACGACTTACCTATCACTTGCTGGGAAGCGTTCCGATAAACCAGACTCTTCTCTCTACAGTAACAGAGAGACTCATCAGGAGAGTCTCCGCACCCTCGTGGAGGATTCGACTGAGCACGCCCTCAGGTTGACAAATTCAGCTGAGTGAGTGAATTGCCCCTCAGAATGGAAACTACTGGTTTGTCACCCACGTCACGGTTTTCCATTCAACAGTCTGTACTTGAGGTTCAGCGACGTGCCGATATGATTATAATTATCAATGAAGCTGTGGGTTGATCTTGCTAAATGGTTCATTTAATTATCAACAGTCGCTTCCAACAATAGGCCTGGTGCTTCTCTACAAAACTAACAGTAGATGCTACTGTTAGCTGATCCCAGTTACCAGATGTACTTTACACCAATCAACTCATTCAGCTCTACACTCATATACGCTTCTTCCACTTTAGCTAATATTATTGACAGAGGCAGTCTCGAAATTAATAGTGACTTAATTCGCCATTCTCGAACGCATGCTTTTAGCAACCCTGGAACTCGGGACAACGGAAACAGGTTCGAAACGCTCTGGATCAAAATTGAGACTCCAAAATCACATGTTCAAGTGTGCCACATCACCCATGGTCACGTGGGATAGCAACGCTTGCTAAAGTAGGTACATGAATATGCCGTATGCCTACATGACCATGCGTATCTCATCTCGGTTGCTAACTCTATCTACCGAGGTTATCGAGGTGAAATGGGATCTTTCAAGGATAGTAATCGCTGTTGGGACTTAAATAACGACTTAACCCCTCACAATTGATTCATTATTTCAGCTTACAGAGGTCCATTTCCCAGTTTCGAGCCAATTGTGTGCTGCTGCCTCGTATGTCTGTATGCAGCAGCAACCAACTAAAGCAAAGCTCGAGCTATTTGAACTATACCTGTGGAGTGAGAGTATATATAGTGTGTCTCGGTGGCCAATTAATCGTCTCCAACTTACAAACACAAATACACAATGCTTCGAACCACTCTAAGAACTTCTCGAGTTCTGTCTGCCCGACAGTTCACCGTTGCCTCTCGTCTTCAGCAGGATCCTCTCAAGAAGGCTGCCAGCGATGCTTACGACACTGTCAACAAGGCTGCTCTGAAGGGAATTGATCTGGCTCAGGATGCCGCTGATGCTACCAAGAAGGCTGCTGACCAGGCCAAGTCCAAGCTTGATTCTAACCAACTCGACGGGAAGATTAAGGAGGTTTGGGAGTCTGCCAAGGGCAAGGCTCAGGATCTTCAGTCTGAGGCTGAGGACAAGGCCCACGATCTCAAGGGCAAGGTCGATAACCAGTCTGGAGGACTCAAGGGAGAGGCCAAGGAGGCCTGGGGTGATGCCAAGGGCAAGGTCGAAGAACTCAAGGGCCAGGCCCAGGGTAAGGCTCAGGAGCTCAAGGGAGAAGCTAAGGACGCCATCAACAGCGGTAACACTGGTGATCTGAAGGGCAAGGCCAAGGAAGCTTGGGGAGATGCCAAGGGTAAGGCCCACGAGGTTGCTGGCGAGGCTAAGGGCAAGGCCCACGAGGTTGCTGGAGACGCCAAGAATGCTGCCAACAGCGGAAACGCTGGAGAGCTCCAGGGTAAGGCTAAGGAGGCCTGGGGTGAGGCAAAGGGTGATGCCAAGGATCTTGCCGGTAAGGCCAAGGGTAAGGCCGAGGAGCTCAAGGGCGACATTAAGGGTAAGGCAAAGGAGCATCTTTAGATGTCATTCCTTTCAAAAAGATGACATCTGAATAGGATTTCTAGCAGTTATATATTATAGGAATGATGGATATTGAATTAGAAAAGTAGAAAGTTGAGGAGTTAGCATCTAGTAGATCATTACAGTACCTCTAGCTTTTCTTCAATAGCGGTGTTCTTCGTTCCAGATGTAGAAGCTGTTAATATTGAACAATTTTGCTCTGTCTGTTTCTTTTGATAAACTGACATTGAACCATGGTATATTCCAGGTAGAATGATAACTGTCTAGGCTCACTTGAGGCTGTGTCGACCTCTGCGTAGCTACACTGACTGGTCCCGAGGTGTACAAGTACAATGTCTATGGAACTAATGTAGTCAAGTTTGTATCAAATTGACGGTTTTTGTGTGAAAAATGAATTTGAATACACAAACCCTTGGTTACAGTAGCACTTTCCCTGACAGGCTCTGGGGCTTTACTGTACTTACTGTACAGACAGCAGTTCATCCGTACATTCAGAAGTAGCTTGGACCGGACTTACTACAAAACTGCTGTTCGGACTACAAATTTCTTATGAATTATCAAAAACATGGTATGTTAGGAATGCTAAATACCTACTCACGATTGAAAACATTTGGACATTCCGCGATATGGACATTCTGCGATATTGTCACTCTTGTACATAGTTGTGATAAGGTGGTGGGGTGCACAATCGAAGCTCAGTCTCACGAGTACGGCACGGTGTACTTGTACTTTTGGTAGCGCTTTTAATCCAATAACGCCCCCGTAGGGGACTGTTGAACTCCCCAGTAGTTTTTGTATCCGTTTATACAACTTCCGTGCGGCTACTCGAGTGGCACCTGCTCCTGCGTCAAGGGGATCCTCTGAGGCCTGAAGATTTTCGGTTGGCAGGATCCACTTTATGTCACTTTATGTATGCACTTGTGAGACGAGCTGTCTATTAGCCACTTCGAACGTTGGATTCTATTTGTAGTAGTTCGCCTGCACAACAAGTATCCACCAAGCCCTGGTTGCTTCTGCTGTCATCACAACCCCTGGTCTCACAAACAGGCTACTTGTAGCGGTGTGTCTGTGGCTTTTTTATTGTATTTGGGTTGCCTGATTGCCGCATATGTCATAGTAATATCTTTTGAGACAGCGGCAGTAGATATTTCCGTCTACCCATGTTCTTAGCTCCAAGAGAACACGAGTTGTAGAAGTATGAGTAAAAGTAGAGTGGTTGTAGAAAATTTGAAACGTACTGTACTTGTACAAGAGGTCGCATCGGTCTCCACATACGGGAAGGAGGGTCTTTACCGTCGTCTATATGAGTTCAATCTGCATGACATAATGGATGCTTGCCCACGAGTGGATCCAGAACAAGCACAGGTTGAAATAGAGATTTCACTCATACAGATACTCGTACTTGTACTCACTTGGAGTTCGTTTTCAAATCACACAAATACCGACTTTGTGTTCTTTATTGCTCATGATCAACTACTGTAGCTACAGTGTGGACCCCTGTCACCCTTCCGCCAGGCACTGACAAAGAACCCAACAAACCTTCAACTAAAGAAGAGTCTTGGTAAGTAAGTTTCAGGGGGTGTGAAACACAGATTTGTTACAAACGGTAGCTCTGGAGCCCTTCAGGGGGGTGTAGGACACCTTAACCCGTACCGACAGACTGTAAGTCGTCTACAACTCTCTCTTTACGGCCGTTTATCATTACAGCATGTACTTAATAAGATTCTATCGTATGTTGTACGCTCGTCGGCATGCCCCTCATGATCTAATGCACCCCACACTGCCATGTCTCGAATGGTGCAATCTGCCGAAGCCATATTATTGTGCGGGGATAGCAGTGTGCGTTTGGACGAAGGCTTCTACCTACTGCAGTAGGTAACGGTGTCACGCGGTCAACACTCTTGTTGGTGTTCCTTGCAGAGGGTCAAGACAGAATCCTGGATCTAAAATAAGGAGGGGATATCCAGTTGCCAAGATATGGGTATTGTCTTGCCGTTACATGTTTCAGGGGCAGCAGTGTGACGTCAACAGCTATATGGTTGTTTGTTCTGTGTTATTAATTACCCCACTGGAGCGAACTATGGATTAAATTGAGCATCTGAATAAGACACACCGTGGAATCGAACTTACTGTCACTCCACACATCTGTCCTCATGCCAGGTCATCAGATAAGAACACGATTGGCTTGGGATGCATGTCGGCAGCAATGTTCGTGCCTCGGTTTGGAATCGTGAAGAACGTCGCACTCAGAAACATCGTCATCACCACACGAATAGGCAAGACGTTCCACTCATCCACCATGTCCGAGTACCCCTACATTTCTGAGCCGCAGACACCTGAGCTGCCCTCCTACCACTCCAAAATCCAGGGCATTGCCAACAAGTTCCGAGAAGCCGGATGGACTGCCTGTGACGCAGCTGACGCTCTTGTCAAGCACGGCGACGAGTCTGGAGGATACCTTCCCGGTCTAATTCAGCAGTCTTTCAACTCCAAGACTCCTGTGACCGTTGGTCCTGCTTATACCGTCGAGTACGCCCCTCTGGATGACCCTCGACCCGCTGTTAAGGCTGGATACATTGACGATGCCCCCAAGGGCGCTGTCATAGTCATTACCACTTCTCCTTCTGTCCAATTGACTGCTGCTCCCTTCACTCGAATCTCTAACGCACTTTATGGAGGTCTGATGAGCACTCGAGCCAATTACCTCAAGTGTGCTGGAACTGTGGTCTTTGGAAAGATTCGGGACAAGAAGGAACATGTCGATCTCGATTACCCCGTGCACTCTTATGGTCTGGGAACCACTGCCCCCGGTTCTGCTGTCAAGGTTGTTGCTGTGGGCGAGCCCGTGGAGATCCAAGTTGCTGGTCAGGCTGGAAAAGATGATAAGGCTGAGACCCGACGAATTGCCGCCGGCGATCTTGTTATTGCTGACGAGAACGGCGTCGTTGTGATTCCCGAAGCTGACGCCCAGAAGGTGTCTCTCTACATTCCTGCTCGAGTCAAGGCCGACACTCTTGTTGCCAGCGACATCAAGGAGGGAGTCCGTGCCCAAGAGGCCCAGAAGGAGCGACGACGACTCATGTACACCCCTCTGAACGATGAGGATGAGTGATATGAGGATGTTGAGGTCGAGAAGGGCTTCTAGACTTCCTGGCCTCAGCAATGACTTATGACTATAGATGATATAGAGAAGATTATGACGGTAATTGTGGGGCGTGTATGTACCGTATGTGTCTGGAGACACCCAGAAATGGAAAACGTCGACTACGACTACGACTACCAGTACTACAATTGTAGTATGGTGCATTAACTACGCTTCCATTGCATCCACTCCCGCTGTGTGTCTAAGACAGATCAGTTGTCTTAGAATGTCAAATCGAGCTTACAGTGCGCGGGTACAGTACAGTAAGTGAGTGATACATGAGCGTGCGTAGATGAATTTCGTGACTGATCGGACTGTGTAAGTCCAGCTGGGTGACTCGTATTTCTTGCCAATGACAGTTTTTTGACACTTGCTATGCCTTGTCAATTTAGCATGTGTAGCCAAAAGTCAGGCATGCTGGCATAAACGGTGATTTACAAGTACAAGTACAATGAGTTATATCGACACCAGTAAACCATAGACAGCAAGATACAAGTACAAGTACGATGTATTCGCACTTCATTTCACACTCTCGTCTGATCTGCTATCATATACTGTCAATATCAACTAGCGTCAAGAATGGAGCTAGTCTAAAACGGACATAACACTACAATCCAAGCCAGATACGTATTTGTGCACAATACAGGATATGCCCGACGGGAAAACCGTCACACCCGCCATATCTATCTACCCCTAAACTCCTGTGTTCCCTCCTGTGCGTGTGTATCATATGGCAATTGAGTCTTCGCCTCGTTGACGGAAGGGGTGCACCTTGTGCTTGATGCATATACCTGACAACCCCTAGCGTGCTATCTATCTAGAGTATGAGGAGGAGGTAATTGCTCCGTACGCACCCCTACGTAGCGCTGTCACGCCTCATGTTGCACGGAATCTCCACATGATCGTCGTCCCTGCCTGAACCAGATTTTGTTCGATCTACACTCAGATCTACATGGCAGCCCCTACTGTGCCTTTCTGCTGCAAGGGACAACCGAAATTGCAGGGGTGCCAAAGGGATGAAAGGGAGCAGACAAGCAGAGAAGACAAGAGACTGGGTCTTGTCTCAGTACAAGTACGCGAACCAGCGTAGACCAAAGGGTTTCAAGAGCGTACTTGAGGAAACGTGCAAAGATCGCCACAGAAGGTAGGGTGGGCATACGTTGAGCCGTGGGCGTGTGAAATCTGGTCATGAGCACCAAATCGTTGCGCGAACGCTATCATTACTGGTGTAGAACCAACATGTCACGTGTTTTGATCTCGTGTAGCATCTTACTACAAGTATCGTAATTGCTTGTAATTAGCTATCGCCATGGAGATGTAAAACTGCATGGCGTCTCGACTCGAAACACGTGACAAGAATGAAGTAAAGTTGCCTTCAAACAGGGACGCATTCACGTGATGCGAAGTGCAGAGGGCTGTATATGAAATCTCACGTGATTACTGTTCCGAAGAGTATCGCGGTTCTGCCTCTCTGGTTAGACAAATTCCACAAGTACCCCTTGTAGAGACGAAGTAGATGTGAGGCACATTGACGACAGAGCCGTGAATACGGTTGGGCATGAGGAAACACGTTCTCGCACCGTGCGATGGAAACGGTCTTTCACGTGACCTACGCGTCCCAAAGCAAACCAGAGAACGGTCCAAAACGCTGTTGCAGTAGTTTGTGTTTCGCGTTTTCTCATGCGGCGCGTCGTTGACATGCATCATGCATGTAGGATGTAATGGGGGACATTCTTTGCGTTGCATATATTAGATATATCAGATTCCAAATGTTGAGCTTAACGCGAATAGAGTGTTCATAGGAGATTCTGGAGAATTGGAAATATAAGGACATAGCGGATATAGACAGAGATGTTGAGAGAAGGAAGTCAAAGATAATCGGCAGTAAACACGACTGTATTGATGTTGATCAGTGACAATAGGTGCGTATATTTGCAGTCCAGACGTGGAGCAAAACGTAAAGAAGTCGTGTGAAAGTTCTCTTTTGATGCCCTCCACAGGCCATTGTAACACAGGTCAAAGTAGCGAGCGACGGGACAGTTGAGAAATCTAATTAACACACTTGTAATATCCGTTCTTGGGTCCAAGGTGGAGGGTCGAATATTATATTATATTGGAGACACAGGTGCCATGGCCGCATGCTGTCAGACAATGCATGATGTCCGAAAACAGCTTCGTCGGTGCACTACTTGTACTTATATTCAATATTAAATCCCAGACGGATTCAGGCACTGGGGAACACTGGCATGTGCCCTCTCCTATTATCTCTATGATTGGATGCGTGTGCATGCCCAACGGTCTAGTTGCGAGCTTGGATGTCTTTCAGGGGTTAGTGTGACGGCGTAACCGTTCTAAACCAAGTGAGACAGTGGATTCAGCTACGCGAAATGAGAAATGGTTGCACGAAGACGCGAGACGCGACTGATCAACGTGCGAGGGCGATGAACAGATATTTAGAGCTCTCTCTTCTCCCCAGATGGTTTCGAGTCGCGTTTTGAAACTTGCAGAATTCAGGTGAGTTTTGGTTGGAATGAATGAGACATTGGGCGTGAAGTATGGAAGCCATTGGGAACGCGTATACTGGGTGATTGGGCGCCGAATTTTCGTATATATATCAATTGAACCATACAGAATCGACTTATCGCGAAATCAGTCACTTAGCACGATTTTCTCGCCCTATTACAGACTGTCACCAAGAATACGATGTTCCAAAAATAGGCAAAAAAACTAACTTGCACATAAATCTGCAAGGTTTATTTCGCGAAATGCGGAAACGAAAAAAAAACAGTGAGATCCGGAGGCTTGAGATATGGAGACGGTCTGAAAAATAGACCAAGCAAAAGGTACGAAGAGTGCGACAATGTTAGTGTATTAGGTATACTCCAGAGTGCGTATTTTGCCTGTTTTTGGAGCCGTATCGGCCGAATATCAGACTCTGGGTTTATTGCCCTTACAATCTCAAACAGCTCATTACGTCAAGCGCATGTGCAGTTTCAGATTCGAAATAAGCTTTGGGGTCGTGAGCAATGTGACCAGTCGAGATCTGGGCAAAGAGGAGGGAGTAGTGGTTCAATTTGAATTATTGTCGCTTCATTGGATAGAGAAAAAATAAATACATAGGTCTGTATGTTGATAATGGGTCTTAAAAATTACGCCTGTTTTTGCGCATTTTCACGTCTTGGGCTGAACTCGTATGGGTGGCTGTATTTGACTCGCATTTTTTGGGAAGAGGCAAAAACGCTCTTAAAATAAGCTCTGGTGCTCAAAAAGGTAGTGCTTCAGCCAGTGGATGTGGCAAGATCCAGAAGGTGAGGGATAATCAGACGACAGCATTGGAGATGGAACACCATGAATACGAGAATCAACAGACGGTGATAGGAATGGCCTAACACCACACAAAACCCCCTTAAACCCAGCTCACGCTAACCTCCACTTGCTAGTCCATGGCTGCCATAAAATTTGACCATGGCCCTGCCTACCTCACCATGCAGATCTCCAACCCTGTCGAACTCTGATGTCTCACGTCGGGCGGGCAACTGGGCTCAAAGGGGATCTTGGTAGAGGGAGTGACGGAGGCTGACGGTCTGGATTTGGGTTAAACGGGGCGGGCCACGACCGGGTTTGGGCCCAGGGAGGGCGCTCAGCACGTAGTTGGACTTGCTTTTTTATTTTACATGCCTGTGAAGATAGCATCTCGTGTGATCAGCCCGTCATTAAGCGGGGGCGCGTGTGCAGCCTAAGTAGTTTTCAACTAGTGCAACCATAGACGGTGGGACTCGAAACAAAGACAAGCCACGGAGATGGTGACCAGCATTTACTGGTAGACTCTTGGGCGAGAGGGTCAATTAGCGCAAGTAGAGCATCCGCAATAGCCCCTAGATAGAGGCTGGTCCAGCGGGAATCGAGTCGCATGGCCGTCATCCTCACGTCACGCCCATACGAGTCCATTACAACATCTACACAAGCCTTATACCCCTGTGTCAATGTGGTCACATCACATCTGGAACAAGCAGGGGCGGACCAACAGAGTTCGTAGGGAAATTAGTTGCCCAAACGGCTGGTGATCGTCACAGAGAAACAAGACAACAAGAGCGGAGATCTCTGTAGGGGTTCAAGAGAATGTGTTACGAGCGGCCCCGACCAGCGATGACCCCAGCTACGAGGGCGGTGATGTGCAGACGGCCAGCGTACCACCTCCAGCGTCTGTACAATCTTCCGCCCCCTACAGGGTGAAACGGTCTCCTCACTCCACCACAACGGATCCAACGCTACACGCAAGAGTCCACTGTAAGCACCTGTGCAGAGACCCAAGAGTATCCGTAATGCTATTCACTGGGGCTGTTCCAGGTATGACTGTATGACTTTGTGCTGCGGTCGAGTCTCCAAAAGGAGCGTCCTTACGGAGCCATAACCTCTTGCTGCATCTACAGAATAATACGGGCGGCCGTGTGTGTGTATTTTTTTGGGTCCCTTGCGTGCACCAGCCTCGCAAAGTCGCTTCTCACGTCCCGTCACACTACCCATACCAACCCACCCCTTGATGGATTAGCATTCCAGCGACGCCGAAAATCTGCAAAGTTCAAGACCCCCTGCTGACTCCTGGGTTCCCAAATCGGACCGCTGGCCCCTTTGAACTCTGTTTTCTGGTGCGGTCCAACTTAAGGTTGGCGAGCTTGTGCACTATGTGGACTCAAGGTTTCGCGATGCGTCTTTGTGCCCCAGCCTCATAATTAATATGGTCAGCTCTTATATAAGGCTGGTGGCCGCTAGACCATCAAACAGCATCATCATCAGCGACACGTTCCTTTATAGGTCTGCAGGCACGACTCTAAAAACACTCTCACCACACGCAAACAGTCATTTACTAGCTCATACAACAGACACTCCACCCGCACAATCCATCGCCCCCCACAACCCTCTCAACTTCACCCACTAGACACCTTTCCACGCAAAACCACAAATCAAAATGTCCGACAAGCAAGCCCTCGAAATCTTCTGCCAGCAGCGGGTCTCCCGATCCATGATCCACTACCTCGTGTCTACCACCCAGACCGTCATCAAGTGCGACTCTTCCATGCCCTCTCCCCCTCCCTCTCCCGCCGACTCTCAGGGCTCCTCTGCATCCTCCAACTTGCCCACTCTCTACGAGTTCATCTCTCATCTGGTTACCTCTTCCAACGTCCAGACCCCCACTCTCATGACCTCTCTGGTCTACTTGGCCCGACTGCGGTCTTCTCTGCCTCCTCTGGCCAAGGGCATGCCTTGCACCCCCCACCGAATCTTCCTGGCCTCTCTCATCATGGCCGCGAAGAACCTCAACGATTCGTCCCCCAAGAACAAGCACTGGGCCAAGTACACCATGGACCTCTTCTCTCTGCACGAGGTGAACCTCATGGAGAAGCAGCTTCTGTTCCTGCTCGACTGGGACCTGCGAGTCCGACCTCAGGACCTCTACACCCACTTTGCCGTCTTCCTTTCGCCTATCAAGGCCGAGCTCCGAGAGCGATACGCCGTCGAGCACTCTGCTCCTTCCCGACGAGCCGTCCCCCAGCAATCTCATCACTCTCACCAGGTCTACAAGAGCTCATCGATGGCCACCGCAGGTGTTCCCCACCTCACCCACTCTGTCTCCCCTCCCGAGACCCCCCGACCTCACACTCGAGCCCCCTCTCTCACCATGTCCGAGTCCTCTTCCACTTCGTCCATCTCTTCCATTGGCTCCGCATCGTCTACCGCATCCTACTCTCGTTCTCGACCCCATTACACTCTGCCCCAGCAGCACTACGTCAAGCAGGAGTACAAGCACGAGCACTACAACGTGCCTCAGCAGCAGTACTACGAGGTTAGAGCATAGGTCGACACTCTTTGCTGACGACGACAAAATGGTGATACTCCAAACATTGACATTGACATTGACATTGACAGATTTGCATTCAACACACCCTTCGAAAATATCATCCCTACTAACACTACTGCTGGGCGGTAGTCGACTTTCATTTAGATTCTTGCATTAATACAGGTGTGTTCCAAACATTAGTATCGTACTCTTTTCACAGTAGCTCGTCCTTTTTAGTATTGTTTTTGTTATGATCTTAGTCTTGCAATGACGTCAATGTAACTTCTTGGCGGCCACTATATTTTTTGTCTACTGGGCTGGGCCATATTACATTTGACTAATATCTTGGGACTCGTACATCTTCCCACTCAATCTCTTTTTTGCAGTGGACCCTGAGATCTGCGCGGTCTGTATAGCGAGAGTGCACTTGTTCTGGATAATAATAATTTTTTTTTTGTTTTTTTGTGTGGTGTTTGTGACGTCAGATTTCTTTATGAATATGGTACAATGGAGGGATGTGTTTGATGTTGTACTGTTCTGGATAGTGGATCCGAGCGGTGCAAGATCTGATGCTGTACACTTGAAGTTACAGGTTGTGTTCTGAGGGTAAGACCATTAAAAGAGAACTACGAGAAGTAGGATTAGTAGAAGACGAGTGTCTATCCGACAGATAACTCGGTTCCTTTTTGAAACCGGAACTTATCGTATATCTCATCACCTACCTATATTTGCTTCTTCTGAATGTTGTGATGGAAACTGCGGTGAGAATATCTGGTGCAGTGAGATTCGCAGGTTGTGGTAATATCGAGTGCAGAACAATCAAAATAATGGACACGATTGGCACAAAACCCAACTGAAACACCTGTTTGCATATGTGCATCAATGAAACCGTTATTCCCGCGCCCCCGCTACAGTAGTCATCGAGGTAAGAAAAGTCATGTACTGGTACGACGTACATACTGTAGCTTCGTGGATAGGGGGGGCTTCTGTAACTTGACGCAAAACGTAAAGACAAGGTGTGGATATGGAGGTATATATTGTTGAAAAGTGCTCAGATTTTGCTGGAGAGAAATTAAATCTATTGAGGTATATCTTTTTTATTTAATTGGCAAGTTAGATGTCTTATTTTATCACTGTATCACTCTCACTACAGTTGCTTGTACTTCGCCATAATCCCACCCTCCGTTAGAGTTGAAGTACCCCTGATTTTATGTATAGACATGAGCGAGCACTAAAAGGACTGTAGATGAAAAAAATAATCTGCACAGATAGACGCCGAAATAATAGTTGGTTTATTCTGGGTGTGCCTTGCAACATGTACATACGTAGCAGTAAACAAACCGATAAACATGGATACTGGTACGAGACCGTACATGAAGGCGGTCCTTGTAACCATGAACGCAGGAACGGACTAAACATACCCCTACCTTCTGCAAGCTGTGTTGGTATGTTTACGTAATGAGCGATACGCATGAGATACCATGGTGCTTGATAAACCAGCTGCGAGGGACGTCTTTCAACTCACTATCCCCCCATCACTTTCAAGAAGGGCTATTGATATACACTTCTATAGCTCTAGGGTAAAAATCATCTATGTTACTCCTTACCAATGCACTGAACCGAGACTATTTTAGATCCATTTGAAACAAACATTGGATCGAGTCACTCCAAGATACCCGTGGCACACATTCGTATTGTTATTTGTCCGTTGCAATAATATCTTTTTAAAACACAAGGCACATTCTCACAGCTTGCAGGGGTCGTTAGACAGTCTGGGACACTCTAACTACAGGTAGGAGTACCCTGGGCGGAAATTAACACCCTACAAGTAGCTGAAATTTAAAAACTGAGTAAGATGACACTAATGGCGGTCGGAGTCATCGTCGACTTAGCAGATACGCCTGTCTTAGGATCATGGGTAGACGGGGTGTGTGCGGTTCGAATGCATTACAAAGGCTACTTGTAGTGTATGTACCCGCGTCCTGACACTAACACGAGAGACAGTTAGAGCAGAGGGTCATGCTGCATTTTGTTTTAGTCTTGTTTCTGTCGACTCATAGCTGGGGGTCCAGTTGAGTTTTAGTTCTCAATATCCATATACTATAAGTGAAAGGTCCACTCAATTAAACCGAAAAGTAATGACGGTGCTTCAATTGATCCCAGTTCAGATGTACTGTAGAAGACAAGGTGAGTAAGACGGCCATATATTTCTTCCATTACTATATATAGTGCAAGTTTTCCTAAAAGGGACGATTTGTTGGGAATAATTTGAACAGATATAGTTGTATTATGACTTAGTTCGAGCTACTCGGACCCCATGGCATCGCCCTAGACTAAATAAAGAAAATGCGGGGTTGTCGTCTATGCAAAGCTAGGAAGTAACTGTGGCACACAGAATCCAAGAATTTATGAAAGTATGTCTCTTTAATGCCAAATTATACCGTATATGCTCATTATCCGCCCAGATTAACACCTCTTTCGTATTGGGAACATGTAGATTCATGGCATAGTACGAAACTTGGAAGGCGTGATATTTTGAGGATGGTGTGGACAATATGATAATATGATAATTAAAGCAAATAAGAAGATATATGGGACTCTAGTAAATCCATTATTTGATTTTTTATACCGCCAAACACTCGGAGTCACCGTTCATTCTAATGATCCATTACAGCTATATACCTACTTCTATTAATCCGGATTGCTGATGTTCAATATATCATACACATGACAATCGTTGCGATGAGTGTTTTGTGAGCGTGTCAGTGGCTGCCAATGTCGTTGTCGCTTCATCATGCTCTTGTCCCGGTCACTTTTTTTTATTCTGATGATTCGGGGGGGGGTTTAATTTCTAATGAGGGTTTTTTATTTTTTATTCTAATAATTGGTTTTTTTTTTTTTTTTTGGGGGGAGTGTTCTTGGTATGTTTTTCCGGGTTAAGTAGGTTCATCACTTTTTAGACTTTTAAGTAAGTCCCGGTGGCCGAGTGGTTAAGGCGTTGCCCTGCTAATTGATAAGTTGTTAGGCAGTGGGTTTTGCCCGCGCAGGTTCGAATCCTGTCCGTGACGATATTTTTTATATGTCGAATTTCTAAATCACCTGCTGAATCACCTGATCTTGAATGCATGTGTTTGTCAATATACCCCCAATCTTTTCTTTTTTACTTGTACTTGCACATTGTATCTCCATATGATCTAACACTGCTACTTCTGATACGGCCGTGTTTTGAGCTTGTTTCGCGCTTGTTTTGATGGCCACTTCTGTAACGTGAGATGACGATCATGCGTTGCTGGGACGACTAACAGCACTTTATATCAAGCGGCCAATCAACGTATGCAACCCCTGCAAGAAGCGCGAATACGAGCTGTTACCATATATTCGGGAGTGTAATAAGACCAATAACCAATAACGGTATCGAACTGGCCAGTTTCAGTACTCGTAGTAGACACCCAGTCACTCCTCCTGTGCACCTTTCTATCTCCTAGTTGCATACCATTCGGCCCCATCGGAACTGGTGACGGAGAATCACCACCCTTCAGGGTCTTTTTCTTGTCATCCAGGGTGCAGCAGGTTGCCAGAGACACGGCGATTACCTTTAGGATTCGGTGTCTTTATTTGGTGCGCCAAAATTAGAGATCCGAGGTACGTTACCGTAGATCCACGATGGAGGTTGCAGAAGAAGAAACGACAGGTATTTATATATTTATATAACGCCACAGAACCTGTCATGCCACTGCTATTGCCCTAGAATGTAGGGCCATTCAGCTACCGGTAATGTAGTGGATAAGCCGACGACTTGGACTCACCACCCCTGTCCTTGCTCTGAGTTACTTGTAGAGTTAACGTATCCTACAAGTAGCCCAGATGTGACGTGGTTGCAACAACCTCATGTTGTGTATGTTTTTCAGCGTGAATAGGTGCAGGAGAGTGATCTTGTGGTAGATCTAAACAATCCCATCTAAAAGTAGTTGATACATGTGTCACTCAGGATCTAAAACTCCATGTTTACCCCTATATATTCGTTACATCTTCATTATAGCTGGAACACAATTATTAGTACTTATATATTAGTCTTATCGAAAACTTGCATACAGTAGGAGTAGCACTTCCCCACATTTGGCCACCTGCTCGAACTGATGCTTGGACATGAGTGCTGTGGCATGCACATCTTGCGTGGTTAAAACGGTGTTTCGAACACGGTAGAACCAACCCGCGAGCCATTATCTCGCACCGTTTGTACAGGCCCCTCGTTTCTCCCTAAATCTACCACATTATTTTCATTTATGCAGCCCCTGGCGCCCCTGAGCTAGTTCCATGTGATAATACTGCGAGCAAAAGACAGCTGTTTGGAATGTATAGCGCTGCGGAAAATCCGGGTAGATGGCTGCCAGCAAGACTGCAGCTCCATATTTACCTATTTGGCGGAATTAGCGCCGTTTTGGGACTCCTGGCAGCCAGTACATCGATGACAGATCGCTGACACCATGCACATAATGCACCAAAACCTTGGGCCTCAAACTGAGACCAGATGTGGTTGATGCTTGACTGGTTGCTCGAAGTTTGTTAGAAAATCGAGAGTGTAGAAAAGAGTGGCTGACTAACACCATGGCATGAGGGACGGCTGACGCGTGGCGCCCATAGCATTATAAAACTCTCCTCTGCCCACCATTGTCCACTAGTGCCTTACGTGGGGAATGTCTGCACCTAACGGTTGATACACAAACAGTCAGACTAGCCCAGCAGCTTGTTATCCTGGTGGGAGCGCTTGGCTTTATACTTACAGTAGCCGACTCAGATGCACGTCTGGCATAAACTCAACCACGTCTCATGAAGCGTGCACCGGAAGAGATGCAGAACAACGCAAAAGGGCCTTCTTCAAACATGGCCGCAGGAGTAGGACCCAGCTCGTCCTCCACTCGATCGCTCAAGAGCCAGCGCAGCAGAGACAGCAAGAATTCCGACAAGGAACCCGGCTTTTTTCGACGTCTGTTCACACACAGTCCCAAGATGTCTTTCAGGAGGGTGAGTAAAAAAAGCTGGATGGAACAGTTGCGGTTTTTTTTGGACGCGTACCAGCCTTGATGACGGTGCCATATCACGATATTCGAAAGTGCTAGACTAGTCGTTAGTTGTGACAGGTTCTTTTTTCCGATTGGCCAGAGAATAGGGGGTACACTCACTTACATGGCGTGATGATGGGACACACGGTGTTGCGCGTGGTCGGATGACCCGAATGGTATGGTGCTATGGTGAGAGGAATGAAGTGGCACTTTCATTACGACATGATAAGGTCGCACAACAAATGTCATGTGATGTTGGTATGGTTATGCCAGAGGATGATGATGATCTGTGTTATGATGAGCTCAGAAATCACCACTTGTCGGCCAGGAAAAGCAGTTAAGGAGAAGGTTAGGTGGTGGACCGCACGTGTGTGACATGCGCTATTCTGTATCACTTTCATGCCGTACTTCTATTGTCTCAGTGGTCGGTATTTCTGTTGTCCTTGGCACATCATTATCGTGAAATTGTGATTTTTCACTTCTGTTCAGATCAGCCCATTCCTCCAAATCTTGTGTCCACTACACTTGCCTATTTATTCGAGTTTCGACTTGAAAGCAATATTTCGTGGATAGTCTGACATGAGTGTCATCACAATGCCACCTCAAAAAACCACTTTCCATGTTCCACCAGAACCTCGGAGCGTCCTCCGAGAAATACCGTTACAACAGACTGAGGGTGAAACCACCCAAGCTCTAGCACCCCACATTTACTAACCCAGGATGACCCCGCCCTGTCCATGGCTATGACCGCGGTGGTAGATCACCCCATCTCGGACGACGATAGTGACGACTACGAGTTCGACAACCACACAATCAATAAGAGCAGCAGCAAAGAACCCACCCCCGAGCCCGCATCTTCCATTGCTCCCATGGTATTCCATCCTCCTCCAGGACCCACTCCCCCTCGAGACTTCACATCGTCACTACGCGACAAGCGTACCAGCAAGTTTTCCATGGCCTCCAATGCCTCGTATCATTCTGCTCGCGACGACGACTCGATTACCTCGAGTCAACTTGTCACGCCAAAGCACGACGTTTCTATTGACGCCTACGACCATAGCCACCACATCAACGGCACTCCGACTCGAACAGGAACGATTCGACGAGACAACAAAAGCGGAGATGTGTCTGTTCCAGGTACACCAGTTCTAAGCGGTGACAGTGTTTCGCAGCGACTATTTACCGGAGGCACACCCAGAGAAACGACTCCAGGCAGCGGCGGAACAGTTACAAAAAAGAGCAACTCAAACACATCCATGGGTCCCCCCTCAGCGCCCCAGCAGGCTCACCAGAAGCACGACAATCAACAATCAGATACCACAGCATTCCCCCCTCGACCCATTCCCAACTCGTTTTCGTCGTCGTCCTCCCTGTCGTCACATTCTTCGTCCTATTCAGACGGAGGCGACGCAATGGCAGCCATGAATGCAGCAGTTGCTGCTGCGATCAAGGACGACGGAGCCGGTCCAGTTGCAGATGGTTCTGATGGCACAGCCAGAGAAAGCATGCGTGATTTTGGCGGTGGTCACTCTCGAGACATTTCTGAACAGTTTGGCTCGTTCAAGATCTCCACATCTACAGACGAACCCATTGCTGAAGAGAATGTCGGCCCTTACGAGAAGAATGTTAGTCCTCATGAGAAGAGTCTGCCTCCCATTCCACCACCGCAACAGCAGCAAGGATCTGTATCTAGTCTGGTTGTTAACTCTACTGCAGCAGAATCAGCAGCCACACAACAGCGCCAGGAACCACACGTGCATAGATCTGTTGATGCCCAGAGAGCAGCTGTGGAGGCTATGCAGAGGTCCAGTGGTGGCGACATTTCGCAGACGGACAGCACAGCTCCATCTATTTCTGCATCCAGTCTTGCCCGATCGGGAAGTGCATCCACCAATGCTACCTCTCTAGGAGCTCACGGAGTCTTTGGAACCCCCACCATCGACGATGCGCAGTTTGAGTCTTCCAAGCCCAGTCTAGTGGATAGTCTCAAGGCCGCTGGGGCTGTTCCCGAGATTAGAACTAACAACTCGTCGCGAGATACATTTGATAGCATGGCCTCTTCCAATAGCATGGCCTCTTCCAGCGCTGCATCTACAGACATTTCCGATCTGGCAGAGAAGTTTTTCAACGAGACATATACCCAGGTTTCACGAGATGAGTACGCCGCATGGCTCGGAGATGATGCCCAATTCAACAAAAATGTCTGCCAGGCGTACATGACGTTATTTGCATGGCAGGGAGTGTCGATTCTGGCGTCTCTCCGTCTTCTCTGTACCAAGCTATATATGAAGGGTGAGTCCCAGGTTCTCAGCAGAATCATGGAGCGGTTCAGTGTTGCATGGGTGCAAGCCAATCCCACAAACGGCTTCATTTCCGTTTCCCCCGTCTACACTACCGCCTACGCTCTGATTCTGCTGAACACAGACCTGTATGCTGCTGACCACAGTCTCACTAAGCCCATCACCAAGGCTCAGTTTGTCAAGAACACCACCGAGACTATTGTCATGGCCACTGAGCAGAAGAATCTCATAGCGGTGCTGCCCAACGTTGAGTCCAGAGAAAGTTCAGAGATGCGTGATAGCACAGACACTCTTCTGTTGGTATCCAAGCCGTTTGAGTCTTTCAACCCCACCCAGTGGCTTACAACTCTTCAGGCTATTCTTCGGGTGTTCTACAACTCCATTAGCAAGAGTCCTCTGCAGATTCGGGCCGTTGATAGAGTGGCTAAAATCACGCCCATATCGCCTATCGATACGCTGGCACACACGAACGCACAGTCTCGAAGCAGTAGTGTCTCTTCGAGCTTGTTTTCCAAGTTTCGACTGAACAAGAACAAGAATGCAGCAGATTACAACATGAGCAGAATCGACAACAGTCTACCTGTTCCTTCCGATCCCTTTGGACGACGAAACTCCATCCAATCCAATTTCTCTATTGAAACAGGCATGTCTTCTGGCTCGTTCACTATGCCTCGTCAGGCTGTTGGCTTTGCAGGTATCCTCTGGAACTCTATGGCTCGAGAAGAGACCAGTTCTATGTTTTCTCGAGAGGAGGACGATGACGATGACGATTTCATGCATGACATTTCGCGTTTAGAGAATGCTCTTCAGGCCGAAGATGAGCTTCAACTGTATGGAGCTCCGTGGGCCAAGGAGGGCCTTTTACTGTACAGACCCTATGTGGACCCCCACTCTGGAAAACGAAGTCGAAAGACGAAGTGGAAAAGTCTGTTTGTTGTAGTCCAGAAGGGCCAGCTCAAGCTGTTTGACTTGTCAGCCAAGAAGTCGACTTTGGGCGGCGGTGGATTTGGAGGAGGCACCGTTGGAGGTGGAAACTGGATGGAGAGTGCTCTGCAGGTGGATGCCTGGAGTTTGTGTCACACCATCGCGCAAGAGCTGCCCAACCCCAAGCGTTCGAAGTCTTACCAGGCTCTGTGGTCGCTGACTCTCCCCCAGTATGGTCTTCTGGTCTTCCAGGCAGGTACTTCTGAGATTGCCAAGGAGTTTGTTTACACTTGCAACTACTGGAGTGCCCGACTGTCCAAGGAGCCCATGAACGAAGCCGTTTCCAACATGGAATACGGATGGTCGTTTTTGGAGGGTACTACGGGAAGTGCCAATGGAGATCATCTTCAGATCAAGGAGTGGAAGCCTCGTGGACATTCGCTGGTGGTCAGTGACTTTGATGAGAAGCGCCAACTTACAAACATTAAGGATTATTTGGCTGCAGTTGAGACTCAGCTGAGCCACCACAACGGTTTGTTACCCCGAATGCTCAGTAGTTATACGCAAGGCTCACAGAACTACTCCCGTGCGCATGCCAACTGGGAGCGAAAGAGTCAGTACCTACTGCAGCAGACTGTAAGATTCCGAGTTTACGTGGATGCTCTAGAAGCCGGTATTGAGGATAGAAAGGACCCTGGTCGACGAAAATACGACGTGATCGAAGAGGAGGAGTAAGAACATTGAAGTCCGAGACGGATGCCTAACAAAAGAGCTGTGTTGACCGCAGCTAAACCCGAACATCTTAATATACGTTTGAATACTGCCCTCAGCTACTTGTAAGTTGAATCATTGATTATAATACTTTATATAATACCTTAAGCTCAGGGTGCGAGAACGGTTATCATCGAGAGTTTGATGGTTCTGGCTTCTTGTCTCTCATGTGGGCTTCAATCATGGTTTCGATTTCAGTCCTACCAAGAACCTTGGCCCAACCTACAGGCGTGCTCTTGTATAGACCATCCTGGATCGTGGTGTCTGCTCCACTTTTCAGCAGGAACTGAACAAAGTCTTCGTCTCCGCGTTCAACAGCGACATGGAGAGCTGTTTTACCCTCGTCCACTACTTTGTTGACAAGATCCACCTCTGTGATTGCTCGTGAGATGCCCCCTAAGTCCCAGAGGTCCACAATCGAATGAGGAGCGTCGTTTCGAACCAACCATCTAGCTGTCTCCTCATTTTCAAAGTGCAGAGCAAGCTCCACTAATGACATTCCATTGGCAAGGGGAAACTGTAGACTCTGAGAATACTTGTCCAGTCCCTGAACGTCTCCTTGACACACCAACCAGATGATTCGTTGCTGTTCTGGTGTGTTTTTCTGGTACTTCTCACGATGAAGCCACCAAGTGGATCCATTAGATGCATGTTTGAAGCCGATCCGCTCATACATGACAGTTCCTGTGCCATTGAGAGTCACATTGTTGGCGCCTCTATCATTCCTAGCGTATTTGCAGGCCATCTTGACCAGCTCAGTGGCTATACCTCTGTTGGTGTATTCAGGATTCACGCCAACATTGTACATCCCCGGTGATGTACCGAAGAAGATGTCAGTATGGCCGACAATCTTCTCTTCAACCTCAGCAACAAACTTGACCACCGTTCCATCCTTCCACATCCCCCTCACGTAGATACTGTTGTCATCTAAACTTGAAAAGGGAACCTCCGCGGGAATAACGAGATTCTCATCCGGCTCGACACGTCGTATAACCACTCCGTCCATCTCCTTCTGATCTAAATCAGCATCTTTCAGCTCAAGACCCATCCATTGAGGTTCCCAGCCCAACTGAAACCCTCTCGAAAGAAGTTGCGAGGAGATTTCGTGAGTATCCGAGTTACTTCTTCTCCAGACTCCAATGGTCTTGGGCATTGGATTGCTGGTATCAGTATAGGTATCAATCATCTTGTCCAGATCAACATCCGTCTGCTTATCAGCCAGAAGCACCACCATGGCATGCTGGCTTGGCCCACAATCGGTGTACATGAGGTCTGGGAAGGAGTAAACCTGTCCCAGAGCCAAGGCATTGGCCTCAAACAGCTCCTTGTGGTTCAGGAGCGATATTTGGGGTATTTTAGACTCAAAATCGTTGTGGCCCATGATTGTTGAGGCGGTGGTGACTGCGACAAGGTTTGCTTATCATAGAAACAAACAAGCTGAGACTCAATGGAGTGGGTTACGAACAACAAAGTGACATCATGGTGAGTATCGTACCTCTCTGTCTATACTACAAGTAGTATCGTACTCATACAGGGGTAAAAAGATTGCGTGAGAAAGGTTAAGTGGGCCCACAATATGAGGAGATTTATTCGTAAATGTAGAGTATGTATTGTAATACATGTAGAGGAATATATGAAATGAACAGACTCTTATCTGCAAAAAGATTGACATCAATTGAGTATATCTTTTCTCTAGATCAGCGATGATTACCATGTATTGTGTATTATATTCGATTTTTTTTAATTTTTTTTTTTAATCACTCTCAAACTCCTCTTTTTGGCTAACCAGAACACCAACTAATTTAAGCTCTTACTGGGACAATTACACAACGCCACCTGTAAGCAGACTCAGTGAGAGTATCCCTCAAACCACTGTGCAAGTCATCGATAACAATATTAACAACCAATGGAACTCCGTAAATTGCCCACAATAAACTATCCACAGTCTCACACACTCAAGTTACCCCCCAAATACCTCTTCCACGTTTGCCACCCAAGCTTACTCAGCAGTGAACCTTGCCAGCACTAACCATCGCACCCACACGGACCACTTCGTACAGGACAGATTACATCACCATAATCCTAACACCCTCACAATTGATTGACCATGTCCAATCCTCAAGAAATTAATGGTGAGTACAATGCGAGACGGGAGTGATCACGTGAGACGACACCCACTTTCCTACACACGATTCAGCAACCCCGATTCAACCCACGATTCAGCTTACAACATCATCTGGCATCAACCACATCTGATTCTAACACAGGCGGCTCTTGTGTCGCAATGGTCGGAAAAGACTGCGTCGCCATCGCATGCGATCTCCGAATGGGCTCCCAGGGTCTCGGAGTGTCCAATGACTTCGAGAAGGTCTTTAACTACGGCGACAACGTCTACCTTGGCCTGACTGGTCTTGCCACCGACGTGCAGACCCTTCATGAGGTCTTTCGAGAGAAAACCAACCTGTACAAAATGGCTGAGGAGCGACAAATCGAGCCCGAAACATTCGCCAACCTCGTGAGTTCCACACTCTACGAGAAGCGATTCGGCCCCTACTTTGTTGGCCCCATCGTGGCCGGCATCAACTCCAAAACTGAGAAGCCATTCATCTGTGGATTCGACCTCATTGGATGCATTGACTTTGCCAAGGACTTCATTGTGTCAGGAACTGCCTCGGACATGCTCTACGGTATGTGCGAATCTCTGTGGCAACCGGATCTGGAGCCGGAAGACCTGTTCAACACGTGTTCTCAGGCCCTCATGTGTGCCATGGACCGAGATCCTCTGGGAGGATGGGGAGCTATTGTTTGGATTATTACAAAGGACAAGGTGGTGAAGAAGTTGTTGAAGACTCGGCAGGATTAAGCATCATGAGCAAGCGAGTCATGTTGGGCTAATTGTGGCATGGGTCTGTGAAAGCCGGTGCAACAAAGTGCGGCCTTACGCTCTTCAGCACCAGCATGTAATGATTATTTAATAGAATTTTTCTCTCTACTCTGGCGTAGGCAGTCGTGGTGGATGAACCAAGTCATGTGATCGGCTCGTATCTCAAGATCTGGAGAGTTAAAGGCAGGGACTAAAGCAGATGAGTGTCTCAACTTATTCGACACGAGAGGGGTTTACTGATTACATGCTCTTTCAATACTGTAGCTTCATCAAAAGGGATGTGGGCAGATATGCTGTCTTGTATGTCATTGTACTTGTACTTGTACTTCTTATCTGGGTAGCCTCTCACTGGATTTGATATTGTACAGTTACTGTAGCTCTCGTAGGTCAACTCGTACGGTGCCATAAAATCATTAACAAGCACTATTCGTAACGTTTGGGATTCTATCATAGTCGAGGTTCAAGTGCAGTCCGTCTACTTCTTGTGGAATGGCTGCTTGGAGAACAGCCGCGCTGTTTTGGACAGAGTCCAATGGATTTCGGACTTGGTGAAGCCTCTGCTATCGGAACGCCCAAACCTCCGACCCAACATTCTGGCAGCATTATTTGCGGACCCCCAGCACTTACCGAACCCGCCGTTCAGTATGTATGTGATACAGAAGGTCCATCCGTTTCATTAGCCCACATGCCCATCTGTGTTAAGCACGGCCTGGAGTCTAACTTGTTAGCCAGACACCGCCCTGTCGTAACCAGGGTGGATTTGAGAGACAAGTTGGTAATTGTTTGGTGTAAGACACTCAAGATTAGCATTGATTTGACATTAAACTGCTCAATTCCGGAATGTGGGGTGTGTAATGAGCTCTCTTGCGTGTGCGTATGAACCGTTTTTACCTGCCCTCCACTGATCTGGATCAATCCCGTATTGACGTCATGAGTGAATGTTGCGGTAAAAGCACTAGGATTCATGTTGAGGAGTAAACATTAGACGTTATATGCAGAAATAACAACTGTCTGGGGCCAGGGCAGGTGCGTTTGTACATATCGACAAACAGTAGTCATGGCAGAAGTAGCTTTGATAAGGACCACACACGGATGCTTTGGTAGCGCTGTGTGCATGTCCTAATATTGGAGATGGGAGATAGTGGACTTATACTGTATATAACATCTACCTAAGTTATTTACAAAGCAACAATCTATGTAGGTGGTTGTGCTCACATGCTGTTTCCTCTTTCTCAGAAGACCCCACCATACACACTTGGTGTGAGTATAAAGAGATTCAAGCAGAGCTCCTCGGTTCTTTCAATCACACGAGAACTTCGCAGAAAGACTGAAAAAATATCCCTAAGCATGCCATGGATGCCCTCTACGAAAATATTTCTCTACAGTATGAGTACTTGTACAATGTAACTACAATGGGCAAGTACCAGTACATCCTGTACTCGGCCAATGTGTAATGTACGAGTACAGTACCGGATCTATACCAGAAACACAGGATGTATATTGGTATATTGGTATATTTTGACCCAGAAAAAGCAACAGCTTACTCACTGTCTAAAGAAGACGAATTATTCAGTAATCACTATTCATTCATGGCATCTCCACATGACTCATCAACCCATGATTCATGGCTCTCCCTGACATCAAAGAAACAACAGACTTCCCAACAATAAATAATTGAGGAGGCTCATAACCATATAGCCACTGTACTTTGAAGGCAGTATTTATACAGGTGGAGAGAGGAAAACGCGCTGATGGAGAAATCAACACTCAAAGGGAAACCGCCATCCGGGTAACAGTATTTGTCCTCTAAGCTGCTCCAAAACTCAATTACGCATGCACTTTCAAAATATGCACAGGAATACGCACCGTTGTGGCTGGTGTGGCTGAGGTCAGATCTCCCCTCCCATACCACGTGTGATATTCCCTTCTCTTACAAACAATCAAGTCAGTAGTTACTATTTACAAATATATACACGTTTTCATAATCACTCAGACTGCTCGACGGGAGCAGCGATGACGGGAGCCTCGTAGCGGGGCAGGGAAGACTTGCCGTCCTTCTCTCGTGCGAGAATGTCAAGAAGAATCTTGTTGGGGCCATAAGCCTCCTCGTCCATTCGTCGGGTCTTCTCAGCAAACAGCTTCTGCTTCTCGGTGGCCTTGGCTCGGTTCTGAGATGCGTGCTCGATTCGAGCGGCTCGCAGACACAGAGTCAGCTGCTGCTTGACGTCGTTGCAGAGACCGAAGGCTCGAGGAACAAAATCCTCTCTGTGGCACTCATCTAGAGCCATAATAAGGGGCTCGCAGCCTGGGTTAGTAGCGTTCGGGAGATGAAGCTGGTGGTAATTCAAAGCAAGTCGGTGTCCAGATGTAACATCAGCGTTGGACACTTCCGAATGTGCTTAGTGGTTCCACTGGCCACCATCTCATTTAAAGGGTGTCTGCTGATCCAGGTTTCATTCAAACAGTCATAACACACTGATGAGCTCACCACATTAAACTTGTACCCTTCCACAACGTTCACCACTTCCACATCCAGAAATGCCACCCACAGTCCATGTGGTGGCTAGTTATCGTGCACGCTGCGTTCAGAGGAAACCTGTTGATCTCAGGTGATACTTTCTCAAAAAAAGTCTCCTTTCTGTCTTTACTCACTCTTAAATCGTTCTTCCTGAACCTGGGGATGCATGTTGTGAGATTGGTTGTGTGGTGTGACAAGGTAAGAGTTCTTGATGCATATATTGAGGCGTTCGAAATAGAGTTTTAATGACTTGCTTAATAATATATTTAAGTTCGGAACATGTGCTCCCCAGTTCGACGCCCCTCACCGTAAAATATATGTCCTGAAAAATGAAATTTAGATTCGGTGAAGGTGCAGAAGGGACTCTCAACACCTCAGTCACCACAGCCATGATTGACCAGGAGAAACGAGCAGCCGATTTGAAGCGACGGAAGAACCAGATGCTTCTGTTTGGCGGAGCCACTCTGGCTACCCTGGCGTCTTGTCGACTGACTGCCCGGGGTATTTCCAGCAGACGATGTGAGTATGACACCCGACAGAAGAGATGGATCTGGGTGAACACAGACAAACCAGCTGGGTGTCTCATGTGATATACCATATGTGAGAAACAAACATGGCCAATGTCTTTTATGCCTCGACATTTTACTAACGTAGACATTCCCAAGATGTTCCAGGCAAACCATATGCCCCCACAGTCCGACATGGTCAAGGAGGCCGCTATGGCTGTCGTCTTTGCTACCACAATGGCCTTGTCGTCCTTCAGTATGGTGGTATTTGGCGTGGCATGGTCCCAGGACGTGACCTCGCTCAAGCAATTCGCTCTCAAGATGAAGACTAAGCTCGGAGCCCAGCAGATTGAGGATGAAATCCGAAATGCCCCCATGACCCCGGAGACACAGGATCTCCAGGACCAGCTTGCCGGCGCATTGAAGAAGGATTAACGTGGAGGAGCAACTTGTATATAGTTTAAATGATGTATGTCAGTTATTGATACGGCTTACAGTGTTACTAGTACACTCCTGAAAACACAATTTGTACAAATACATACATAAATAAACATCATTAAACATCCTCCATGGTGACATCGAGCGAAGCAGCAGTGTCAGGATCCTGAATAGAGGCCGCAGTGACAGCAGCAGCAGCAACCTCGAGATCCACAGAGTCAACAGAGTCAACAGGAGCCCCAGAGGTAGTCTCTCCAGCCTGCTTGGCTCGCTCTTCGTTGATCGCGTGAACTTGATCAAGAATATGGGCTCGCTTCTTGGGCTCAAGCATCACCTCATCCTGCTTATGATGGAGTCTCATGGGCTTCAGCATGATTCGATCCCTAGACTTGCCAACGTATTCTCCAGTAGCACCATTGAAGTACATTTCCGAGCCCACCAGCTCGGTCCATTGACCCTCGTAGGCACTGTCACCGATCTTAACGAAGGGCCTGTCTTCAGTGAGACCAGAGATCTGAACTGGTGCGTTGGAAGACACCTTGCTAGAAGCCCCGGCCTTGCGGGACATGGGAGGAACGTTCAGGGGAATGAAAACAGACTGGGTTAGTAGTTGCTGGGGGAGCATATTACGTGACAGCACATTACTACCGACATGGTGATCAGTTCGTGATCCATGATCGAGACAGTTATATTACTCTCACGTGGTATCTCACGTGGCGGGATTCCATCTATATTCACGCTTGGGAGCACGTGACAAGCCTTATTTACTCACTACTGTGTCGGATTCGCCTTCAGCAGCAGCAGCAGCAGAAGCCTCGGCAGCAGCCTTTCGGGCCTTGATATCTTCCTCTGATCCAGGATCGAAAGGAACGTCTGGGTTAGTCGTTGAACAGAATTCACGGTTATGGCATCACACATGGCGTCAGTCATGTAATGAACATGAATGTCAACCATGCAATTTACACATTGTACATCTCCATACTCACCAAAGCCCCAATGCATAACTTCTCCCTCACTCAGGTAGTCCACCTGCCCAGAGGACTTCAACTTCCATTCTCCACAGAGTCCTCCCTCTTTGTCAACCTCGAAGGTGTCCAAGGAACACACACCAGTTCGAATGTCCAAGGAATTGTCACCCACTAGGGCTCGCCCAAGCGCAATTCGGGGAGCAGCGTGAGATACAATGAGAATAGTCTCGATTTCGGGCTCCTCCTTGTTGAGCTTCTCGATCAACACGTTGAGAAACCGCTTGGTTCGCTCGTGCAGTTCAGCCTCATCTTCTCCGTCGTCTCCAGCAACCACTAGGCTGTTGTAATTCTTGTCGACTCGGGGGAAAAAACCCTTGAGAACAGCGTTACTCGCAGGCTTGGGGTGCGAGCTTCTCTCTCGCTTGAACCATTCTCCGCAACCTCCCTCGGGGTAGATCGCAAGATCAAGATGATCGGCGGTCGGAGTCGCAGTCTCGATACATCTGTAGAAAGGAGAAGCATAGATACGCTGAATGGGAGGCTTGATGTCCTTGAGATATTCACCTAGCTCCTTGGCCTGGACAACTCCCTTCTCAGCAAGAGCAGGATCACTCTCGATACCGGTGGGAGACGGGGGAATGGGCTGGTCGGTCAGCCAGTTGGCTCGGAACCCGTGTCGGGTGATGTAGATGGTTTTCACCATGTTGTTGTTGTATCGAGGAAGTGTAGATGTTGATGGTGATAGGAAACTTTGATTGATGTACTCATCGTACAATATGTACATGTACAGTATGTACTTGCAGTTGAACCAGCACGAACTCAAATGGGGTTTGCGGCTTGTGGACGATGCTATAAGGAGGAATAGAGGTATATGAAGCGTTTGACAGGAATTGAGACCGTACTTATACAGGATTTTTGTGTTAGTGTTTCCATCACGTGTAGATGGCAAGCTGAATGTGGTGTTTTGACAGGCTTCCTCTACTTCCTCTAGCCCACGTGTGAAGAAGAAGCTACTGTAACTAAACGTATACAATAGTGAAGGAGGTGTAGAGGGCACAATTTGTAGCAACCAACCATCCATTCACCAAATATAAGGATCCAATTGTAGCACACTCTACATCACCACGAGCAAGATGAAACACGGGACTATTCACAACTATATACACTACTAGGGGTAGAACTGCTTGTACTTGTAGATGTAGTATCCCAAGTTAAGAGAACCAAGCACGGCGAGACCCACAGGGACAGGCTTGATACCGGCCTTGATGATCCGGGGAATGGAGGCTCCAAGAAGAACGGTGGAGGCGCCAATGGCAGTCTCAAGACCCCAGTCGGCGTTCTGCTTAAGCAGAATGGCAGCAGTCAGGTACATGCCGGAGACGGCAAGACCTCCGTAAAGGGAAGGCTTGGAGTTCTTTTTGCTAGGTCAGTTAAAATTCTCGAGCAACAACACAACGATAAGTTCTCGCGGTATACCAGCATTCATACTCAAATATGCCTTATTATCATTTTGTTTCATAAAACACCTTTTTAGTCGAATCATAATACCGGCACCATCGTAGCGATTGTGTCGACCGTGATGTCACAGCCAATTACAGCCATTCGAGTTGATCACAATAGCTAGCCACCGTGTTACTCTTAACCGGCCAACCACAATGCCTCCAAAACCCATGCCATACTTACAGGTAGCCCATAACGCCGCCGAGCCCGGTGAGACCGGCCATAGTAAAAGCAGGATGTTCCTGGGTTAGTAATTGTGCTTTGAGGATGCCTCAAGATGCCTCTGTCGCGTTTTCTTGCTCACCATTTTTGAAGGTGTGTGTGTAGGATGAGATGATTGATGCCCAAACGTCAGATTGATTGATTCATGTCTGGTGCGAGTTTAACCTTGAAGAAGTGAGTAATGCGGGAAACGTATGAATGGAGGAGTATTGCAATAGCGGGTTGGGTAAACCAGTAAAGCAGCAGTCGTTAATTCTACTAACAACGAAGCTCACTTGTTCATATTTCTCAAGTCAGTTGCTTAGGGATGGTAGAAGGGCTCAATATCAGTGGCAATTTATGCACGTGTGTGGCGTTGCTGACAAATTGTGGCGCATGAAACAGATGTTCTAGAGTAACCTATTAGATCCTTACACAGTGAAAGGAATAGAATTCGGCGGTTAGGAGTACTGTACGATACAAGTGTCGATAACGGTACGGGTACATGGTAGTCCGTAGCTGCCGCTCTTTCAGATTAAGAGTCTAATTACTATTCGTGGTGTGGTGAGATTTACGAACTCTTGAGATGAGATGAGCGAAATATAGTATAATTGACAGTACGAGTATTGTAACTGGTTACGTGGATCACAATAGTTACTTAACTACAGCTATTACTTTCCAAGCCGTTATGAAGATCGTCGTACCCTCTCTTTTATTTTCTCAAGAATTAAACCCATCAACTTACTTAGCCAGCCCAACAACTCTACTTGACTATTCGCTCACTTGCGCGCACGGGGTTTATTTTTATCCAGCCCCGCCCTACTTCACCGCATTGGGTGGTGGTCATCACTTCAGCCCTGTCTAGCCCCTTCGCCAGCCAGTGTTGATCGTTGCTTGATCTTCATGATCGGCGCGTGGTATGATTGACCACTGGAGACCAGCCAGCGCTATATACTGGTTACATCGCTACGGGACCTGTAGGGCTTGACGGAACGAACGGTTGGCATTCGAAACTAACCATCTAAAGTGAAATAGAGCAGAACCCTTAAAAAGAGTCAAAAGTTACGACAGCTATGCACTCGCCCTGTGCGGGTCTTACTTTGTTCGAGGTACGCTTTCTACTCTAGAGAGACAAGCAGAGGAGTCACCAAGTGGAGGGGAGCAGTGGTTTTCGTGCAAGCCTTCTGCACAATATCACACAGGTTGGTCTGAGAACAGAGAGAAAAAAAAAACACCAGATCAAGATTGCATCATTAGCATCTCCAGCCGCAACAAAAACTAAAGCGCTTCGACAACCTGAAAGTGATTGCGTAGGATTTCATGCTTCTGTATGTCGCGCGTTCTGCCGCATGACTCGACGGTTTGGTTTGTGTCTATTATTATGTCGCAATCAGGCCTTGTATCAAAGTCCAGGTTCTGGATTAATGAGCTGTAGCCAAGACCACCCCTGCCCAGACAGCATGACACTACAGCCACTGGACACCATGTGACGCTGGGGAGAGAGATAGCGACCATAACCAGAAGATCACAGGTTGGGTGATCGTGCCTGGAACCTAGCAAAGTTCGGGAGTTGCTATTTTGATTCTCAGTTGGAGATGGGACGAAACGTTTAAACTGTAGTAGATTTGCTCGCCTGCATTTTTTTTGCCATATACCAGTGTCAGTGTGTCACCTTCGTTCTTGACCAGTCACTTCCTTCCTTGCACCGTTTTCATTTGACGTACTCTCACAGATAAGCGAGTCTTGGCGAACTCTAACAACCAACGACAAATTACACATTTCAGGATCACGCACACCTACCAACACCACCCACCAACACACTCATCACACACACACCTCACACATCTCACGCCACCACAGAAATGTCGTCTGACGAAGTATACCGATCCACAGGTCGAGGAGGAGCCGGTAACATTGCCCCTGTCAAGTCCTTCGAGCAGCCCGGAATCGTTGAGCTCAACCCCGGTGAAGGCACTCCCTACATCAGCCAGGAGGTCTACACCACCGGTCGAGGAGGCGCTGGAAACATGCAGCGAAACGACAACCCCGAGTTGACGCGAAAACTCCAGGACGTGGAACATCACGACGAGGAGCAGGCGCAGTTCGGCGACAACGATCTGTCTACAGTCATGTCGTTTGGCCGAGGCGGCTACGGCAATATTGAGGCTGCCCGAAAGGCAGAGAACAAGAAGAAGTCGCTGTTCCAACGAGCCAAGGACGCTTTCAGTCACCACTCTTGACTCCCTGACGTCGAGGAAGGGTACGAAACCAGCGAACCCAATGCAACCAGCGTGACCGGCGAGACCACACAAGAGACTGCGACCGAGACCCCAACTGCTCCTGCCGAATCGTGGCTCTCTTCCTGGTACAACCATGTCAAGAGTTATTTCTGGTCTTAGACCGTTATTTATATGCAGCACTCTCCAACGTGCTGTGTTTGTTTGTTGTATGTAGCTTAATCATTAATGTGTAAGGGTCGAGAGATTCTTGAGGAGGACCTCATCTCCAGAGAGAGCCACATTCCCTACAAGTACTCGTACTGTAGAGGATGTAAACAAGTCGAATAATCCTGCAGGTTACTGTCGCTAAAATATCCGCTAGCCGCCTGTCAGAAGTAAAGAGTCACCCCTCAAGAAATGGATGAAGACGGGAAGGGGCAAAAAAAGTGAATCGTGACTGAGTCACCTGGTGAAGTTCCGGATATATGGGGTCAAAACCTGGAATACGGTTTGTTCAAAAGAGATGCGAAGGTCCCTAGCTCTTTTATCTATATCCTCATATGTACATACAAGTATGTACATTCGCGATGAGGAGGCCTCTTGTCAAACAAAACGTGATGACAGCAAGAAGGAATCAGTAACGAAGGTATATGAGCATTTGCGGTAATATACGGTACGCAATTGACGAAATATGTCTTAGTTGACTTGGTACTGCTAAAACACTGGCGATGTTCCTTACAGATCAAGCAGTCTTTCCCAAGCATTACTTGCTTAAATACAGTTCAAGTATTATAGTTAATTAATACTTATCTTCATATATGCACAAAATTAGCTTCTGCATCCCAGAATTATCTTTTACGAGTACAGTGTACCAATTACAAGTACTGGAAACTCCGATCACATCACGACTGAATCATCAACATCCATCACAATGAGCTTCGGCAACAGTGGATTTGGAGCAAGCAACAATGAATTCGGTAGCAACACATTCGGATCCAAGGCGGTAACCCCTGGAGCCTTCGGCAAGCCAGCTACAGGTAGTGCCTTCGGAGCTCCTAGTACTTTCGGGGCCAGCAACAGTAACAGTGGAACCTTTGGGGCCCCATCAGGTGGAGCATTCGGCTCAAAGAGCAGTTTTGGCAGTGGAGACAACCCATTCAAAGCTGCTGGAAACCCTTTCGCAGGTACCAGTCCGTTTGGAGCCAACAATGCCGATACCAATAACAGCGGTGGAGCCTTCGGTAGTAATAACACAAGTGGCGGTTTTGCTAGCAACAACACAAGTGGAGGCTTTGGTAACAACAAAACAAGCGGAGGCTTTGGTAACAACAACACAAGTGGAGGCTTTGGTAACAACAACACAAGTGGAGGCTTTGGTAACAACACAAGCGGAGGTTTTGGTAACAACACAAGCGGAGGTTTTGGTAACAACAACACAAGTGGAGGCTTTGGTAACAACACAAGCGGAGGATTCGGCCAAAACAACTCTGCAGGTGGATTTGGCAATAACAATACTGGTACCAGTGCTTTCGGATCAAATACTTTTGGAAGCAAGCCGGCGAACAGTGCGTTTGGAAGTAGTGCGTTTGGATCGAACAACAAGACCAGCAGTGCGCTTGGTAGCTCCAAGAGCGACACTCCGAATCCTTTCGCCAGCAGTAACACTGGTGGTTTTGGTAGCAGCAGCAATACCAACAATGCTGCTCCCAGTGCCTTTGGAACCACAAACACCTCTGGAGGTTTCGGTAGCAACACCAATGGAACTACGAGTGCCTTTGGAGCCACCGCTGCGGGTTCTTCGACTTTTGGCCAGACCAATTCTGCATTCAACACATCGCATAACTCGCCATTCGGCCAGAACAATACAGGTACCTCGCCATTTGGTAGCAGCGCAACTACAGGGAACTCTCCTTCCGGTAGCAGTGCTCTTAATAAAGAGAACTCCCCATTTGGTAGTACTCCTGCTTCTGGTATTAAAACTTCGACCTTTGGAAACACCACCGCGCCTACTTCTGCATTCAGTAGCTCGGCGTTTGGATCAGGCGACATGTCTTCTCTCGGGGACGCTCTGACTGTAGCCAAGAAGGAGCCCACGAGCGCGTTTGGTACATCTGCCTTTGGCGCACCTCAAGGTGGCGGTGCATTTGGAGCGACTACTACCTCTTCGTTTGGGCAGCCTCAGAATGCGGCAGCCAATCTGGCATCTGTAGAGGTCGAGGGTGTTCCTGCCAACTTTGTCGAAGTGTTCAAGATGGACTACTTTACACCCGGAAAGATCCCGGACGTTGCTCCTCCTCCTCAGTTGTGCCAGTAAGAGCATGACTGATCTGATGGATGGAGCACTGGTGTATCCATACACACCCACGCAGTATTTATATATAGCCGTTAATAGAAGCGGCGTCGAGTTGATGGGAATCGTCGAAACACCAAGCCAGGCTGCATATATTACCGATTGACAATGTACCAGTTTCGTAGACAGGGGGGAGGGAGACATCCAATTGCCCATGGAACAGAAGCCAGAAGGAAAAACACAGCGGAGAAAGCTGGAAAACCAAATGAAGAAGAAAGGATCATAGTTGACAATGGCGGTGCCACCGATGAGTCTGTTGTAGTGATGGACCCATAGCCACCCCAGGTTTCATCATCTGGCTCGGAGGCACCAAGCCAGAGCAGCGCGAGTGTTTCAGGTATCGGAGGACAGTGACAACTCAGTGAGAGCAGTGGCTCTGAAAAATCCACATGATTACCTACTGTAGACTCTAAATAACTGATTTATTGATTTATTATGAATTTATTCGAGTTTGCGAAAAATGTTCATGTCTTTGCAGGCGCTCCATGTTGAACTGGCGGCAAGCAGGCACGCTGCACATAACATAGCGGACACAAGTTGTGATAGGCCCCACCAGCTGTCTCGTTACTTTTACCTAACCTCCTACGATCACACGTAATGAAGCCCTACCGAATGCCGAATACTTGGACCTCCAAAAGTCACGTGACAACCAAGATCCTATCACGATCCAATAAGTATCTTTCTTATTTCACTTCGCGCCGAAGACACTCCCTATTCTATGCATGCTGTTTTGTTTCGCCACCAACTATAACAGGCAATTTAGACACGAACTGCACGCGACGTGTTTTAAGTGACGAACGCACCCGTCAAATCCACCACATCTCTGCCCCACCCAGACTATGAAGGTGCTATGTGTGGCGGAAAAACCGAGCGTCGCCAAAGCTGTCTGCAACATCCTCGGCGGAGGATTTACTACTAGACACACAGCCAACAAGTTTGTTAAAAACTATGACTTTCAGTATGACTTTCCTGGCTGGGGAAGGTGCGATTGCACCATGACTTCGGTTCTAGGACATCTGACAGACTCGGAATTCGTCAGCGAAGATGCGCGGAAGTTTGGTTACAATGCCGCCAGACTCTTCACTGAGCCCATTACCACCCAGGTGAAGGCTGACATGAGAAAGTGTGCTGACAATATCGTCAAGGAAGCGCGACACGCACGCAAGCTACTCATTTGGACGGATTGCGATCGAGAAGGAGAGTACATTGGATGGGAAATCGTGCAGGAGGCGATCAAAGGGAACCCCAACATCGAAGTCAAGCGGGCCATCTTCTCTGATCTGGAAAAGACCCATGTCCACCAAGCGGCTCGAAGTCTACGGGAATTGGATATGAATGCAGTCAACGCGGTAGCCGCCCGGATGGAGATTGATTACAGAACGGGATTTGCGTTCACTCGACTGCAAACCCTGCACATCCAAAGGAAGTTTGCGCAGCTGAGCAAATCTGTCATTTCATACGGATCATGTCAGTTTCCCACGCTGGGATTCATCGTCGACCGGTATCTTGCCCGCGAAAATTTTGTGCCGGAACCTTTTTGGTACATGACGCTGAAATGCAAGGTAGGAAGGAAGCAGATGGCTCTGACATCGAAGAGAGGACACATATTTGACAGAGCGTCTGCCGTGGCCCTATACGCCCGTGTCTGTGAGTCAGGAGTCCTTCCGAAAGTAACAAACTTGAGTTCAAGACCGACTTCGAAATACCGACCTCTGCCTCTGACAACGGTTGAGCTGCTCAAGCTCGGATCTAAGTCACTCAAGCTGCCATCTAAGACAGTTCTCAAACTGGCCGAAGAGCTGTATCAACAGTCGTTCATCTCGTACCCGCGTACAGAAACAGATCAGTTTAGCAACGACATAGATCTCATGCCGTTGCTGGCTAAACAGAAGAACAGTCCAACATGGGGAGATTATGCAAGTACTCTGGTAGACGGAGATGCATTTAGTCCACCTAGATGGGGTCGTCACAACGATAAAGCGCATCCCCCAATCCACCCTATCGCTCACTGTGCTAATTTCAAGTCCAACGATCACAAAAGGGTGTATGAGCTGATTGCTCGACATTTCATGGCATGTTGTTCCAAAGATGCCAAGGGTCAACAGAGTAATGTGGACGTGGATTGGTATGGCGAGCAGTTCTCAGCCACTGGCCTAGTCATTCTCGAAACCAACTTCCTCGACATCTATCCCTATGTCAAGTGGACGGGATCAGGGGAGCTTCCTGCGGGACTTGAAGTCGGCAAAGAACTACCAATTGTTGAGAGTATGCTGGCAGAGGGAACTACCACGCCCCCGAGTCTTCTCACTGAACCTGAACTGCTGTCGCTGATGGACATGAATGGAATTGGTACCGATGCCACTATGGCAGAACATATCAGTACAGTCGTCAACCGTGAATACATTCTCCGGTGCAACGCACAGGGCCGTCCAGTACAGGGCCGAGCCAAAGCCGAATACTTCACTCCTTCTCCTCTAGGGCAGGCATTGGTGGAGGGCTACGATTCTATTGGTCTGGATCGGTCACTCACAAAACCGTTCATTCGTCGAGATCTCGAATCCCAGCTTGGCCAAGTAGCCAAGGGCGAAGCATCAAAGGACGCAGTGGTAGAGTCAGCTCTGATCGCGTTCAAAGACATGTTTGATTTGACCAAGACCGAGATTGTGAAACTGGAGAGGGCGATTCGACAGAGAGTTGCGTAGCACGTAGCACTAGAGGGGATCCTATTTATATATATATATTAATGTCTGTACAATTGCATGCATACAATATTAATGACGTCTTTGATATCTTCATTCAATATCTTCAACTATTTACACCCTCATCCGCTGTATTTAAACTCCAATATCTTCGTTCCATTCTTCCGGGTGGGCAGTGATGAACTCGTCCATCAATTGCTTGCACTCGTCGTTCTTGAGGTTGACCACCTCGATTCCTCGGGCTCGCAGGTAATCATCCCCGCCTACAAAGGTGTCGTTCTCACCCATGACAACACGCTTGACTCCAAACATGATACAAGCTCCGGTGCACATATCACAGGGAGACAGTGTGGTGTACATGGTAGCGTCCTTGTAAACCTTTCCAGCGAGTCGACCAGCGTTCTGAAGAGCGTCAATTTCACCGTGGTGTACGGCGGAGCCGTGTTGGATTCGTCGGTTGTGTCCCTTTCCGAGCACAGTACCGTCTCCAGCAACCAGAACAGCACCAATGGGAATACCTCCCTCGTTTTTACCTGTGTTAGATCAGCGGATCAAAGATCAAAGATCATGGGAAAAGGTCAAATTCGAACAGTAACAACTTAGAGAAATATCTCAGACTCTCACTCACTCTTAGTGGCCTGCTCGATGGCCATGGCCATGTATTTTGCGTCGTCCAGAGCCATGTTGATGATGAAAATAAGATGAAATTTCACTCGCTAAAAATCAAAGATAAGGGAAGACTAATATCCCATCGAACGTTAGCAGCGTCGGCGGAGTCCGATAAGAACTAGAGCGTGTACGGAAGCAATTGGGGGTTCCAGGGCGAAAATAATGCCTTGGATGTGGTTTATCAGTGGTAATAGCACGTTGCAATATGTTTTGAGGTCAAAATCTCACTTGCATCACGTACATAAGCGAAGCCATTATCATAGATGGAAGCCCATTCGGATGTTCCGGTGGATGTGTCAAATGTGTCACAGAGCAGTGGTATCTACAAGTGCTGATAGGACACAGGAGTGGATTTTTAGCGCGGTCTCTTATGGTTCTACAAGGTAGAGTCATGAAGCCAGGGTCTGGGTTGAAAAACTGTTGTAACCAGTGTTGCCTATATTTTCAACTAGCGAGTATGCTATATTCAACTAATATCAATATGTTCATTGATATCGATCAAGTATTCTACAGTAGCTTTTTCAAAATCTATGGAGTTTAAAGTACAGGTATATGTAGTCAAAGAAACATTACTTCTGGTCTCATAGCACCGAATAACTGAACTACAGTACTGGCACTATAGTACAGTACTGTACAGTACGAGTGAGGTGAGGTTAGTATCCGCAGACTAAAATTATCCAACCAAGTTTCCCCATGTCCACACGGAGATGTGGGAGCTGAAAAATGATGGACTGTTTTTTTTTCTTTTTCTGCATATACATTCATTTAATGTAGTATTATCCGAATGGGTGTGCCATTGTGATGTGATTATTCATCAGTCACAAGTTCGTCGCAACGGCGAGACTTTCATACAGGCACCATAAAACTGAAACGTGCAAATTAGGTCGTAATAACTCTTCATTGCCTCCTCATCTCTTCAGATCAAGCCCTTGGAGAACATCCTTGTATTTACTGTACTGTACCATCCGGACCCAATTTTTAGGCTTCTATGCACTCACCCGTGTTTCGTCTAAAAGTCACAGATCCCATACACTTGCAACATCTGTTGAGAAGCCCATTGTATATTATTAGGATCGTAGCATTATTGTGGCAAAAAATATTCAAGTGCTCATGTGAATTGACACGATCACGTAAATACCTGGTGAAATTGCTAGTATTCGTGATGTTCTAATACAACTCTGTTCAATATTTCCGGCGCTCTCTTGTATACAAGAGCACAAGACATGCACCCCACATTAACCGAGGTCAAGTGTTTATGTATGAAAAGTGACATAAATCGTCCAAAAAAAAGTAGCACATAGTTGTATGGCTGTAAGTTATGTGATTGTCAGTTCTTCGGCCTTCCAACTCCTATGCACCGTCTTCAATCATCTACCCCCGTGCCCCACACCCCGCACTATTAGAGTTTATCACAGTCAGCTAAACTGCTTGCACATCTACACCTCTGACTACACCACCATGGATTTCTTCAGACGGCACCAGAAAAAGGTGCTGGCACTGGTAGGTGTGGCGCTGAGTTCCTACCTGTTTATCGACTATGTGAAGAAAAAGTTCTTCGAGATCCAGGGTCGTTTGAGCTCGGAGCGAACCGCTAAACAGAATCTCCGGCGCCGATTTGAACAGAACCAGCAGGATGCAGATTTTACAATCATGGCTCTGCTATCCAGCTTGACGACACCGGTAATGGAGCGTTACCCCGTCGACCAGATCAAGGCAGAGTTACAGAGCAAGAGACGCCCCACAGACCGGGTTTTGGCTCTCGAGAGCTCCACCTCGTCCTCAGCTACCGCACAAACCGTGCCCACCATGACAAGTGGCGCCACAGAGGAGGGCGAGAAGTCGAAAACACAGTTGTGGCAGGATCTCAAGCGAACGACCATTTCCCGAGCGTTTTCTCTTGTCTATGCAGATGCACTTCTTATTTTCTTCACGCGTTTGCAGCTCAACATTCTAGGACGACGAAACTACGTCAACAGTGTTGTCGCTCTGGCGCAGCAGGGCCGAGAGGGTAATGCCGAGGGTCGAGTGGCGCCCTCGTTTGGTGATCTTGCAGATATGGGCTATTTCGGCGACCTTTCAGGCTCGTCCAGCTTCGGAGAAACTATTGTCGATCCCGATCTGGACGAACAGTACCTTACCTTTTCGTGGTGGCTGCTGAACGAGGGATGGGTGTCGCTGAGCGAGCGAGTGGAGGAAGCGGTTCGTCGAGTGTGGGACCCCGTGTCACCCAAGGCCGAACTTGGATTTGACGAGTTGTCGGAACTCATTGGACGAACACAGATGCTCATTGATCGACCTCTCAATCCCTCGTCGCCACTCAACTTTCTGAGCCAGCTGCTGCCACCACGGGAGCAGGAGGAGTACGTGCTTGCCCAGAACCCCAGCGATACTGCTGCCCCCATTGTAGGACCTACCCTCCGACGGCTTCTGGACGAGACTGCCGACTTCATCGAGTCCCCTAATGCCGCAGAGGTGATTGAGCGACTTGTTCACTCCGGTCTCTCTGTGTTCATGGACAAGCTGGCTGTCACGTTTGGAGCCACACCTGCTGATTCGGGTTCGCCTTATCCTGTGGTGCTGCCTACTGCAAAGGTCAAGCTGCCCTCCATTCTTGCCAACATGGCTCGACAGGCTGGAGGCATGGCCCAGGGATCGCCGGGCGTGGAAAACGAGTACATTGACGTGATGAACCAAGTGCAGGAGCTGACCTCCTTTAGTGCTGTGGTCTATTCATCTTTTGATTGGGCTCTCTAGAGGCTCATTCACGAAAGACACGAAGAACGAAGATGGGGACTGAATACAGCGCTCTCATTTGTACACAAATGATTTATGACAGAGTAACTTGTACATCATGTAGAGCATACATACTGAAGGTGTGATCTCACGGGATATCTTGAAGACCACTCGTAGCTGGAGGCATAGGTAGTGCTAGTACGGATACTTGCACCGTATCCAACATAAGTAGAGGAGCCTCCTAGTGGCTATTGGTACACCGATAAAGATACACATACATGTTATTGCCACTTGTATCTACCAGTACCCGTACTGTATGTACTTGTACAGCACTTACTGTTACTTACATGACCAATGCCTTAGATCGAAATATTTCTGATCAAAGTAGAACCAGGCGTAAGACGAAAATGGACAGGTTTTACCGAAAGCCCACGTGAACAGGTTACTTTCTCAAACCTTGGAGAGAGTGGAGAGCCAGTCACCTGAAACAGAACTCTCATCCTCATTCATCGTACAAAACAGATCCCTAACCTCATGCCCACGGATAGGGACTTCTCTTATTTATAGAGATTGGACTTATTGGAAGCAAAAGACACCAAAAGACTGTGGTTACATATGGCCCTTGAGGTGAATTTGATAGTTAAGATGCTCCACTCGATCCCCATAGCTTACAATTTGAACGTTCTCGTACTTGGGGGCGAGACGTTTCATCCTCCAACACATTCACCACCTGCCGAGACATGGTGGCGGAGCCCTCGGTGGTGCGGCTGACTAGAGTTGAGATGGTGTTCAGGCGGTCTAGGTTTGAGTCATTTGTTGCCTCAGTTACGCCCGTGGGTTCCACAATCGCCCCTTTGTTAGACCACAGGCCGTTTCTGTGGAAACGCGGCTTGCTTCAAACTGCGTTACGTTTGACTGGCTTTAAGGCATTTTGAGCGGTTTAGCAAAGAATGGTTGGAGTTCCTAGATCGGACCGCAGACAGGTGGAGCAACAGTAACCCGTGCGATTCACATCACGATCCGATCCAATCTGTGTCTTGTTGACGCGCCTTTTCATGGTGTTCTGCCCGGTTTGACCTCTCCTTTTTGCTCTGCGGGATATATGGGACCACCACCGTCATTGATCGTTTGTTTTTGTTGGCTCTTACTTCTGCTGTTCTCTTGTCTTACTCCACCGTTCCTTCAAGACTAACTCAGATCTGATGAACGAATGTTGCTCCTGTCGTTATGCAGACGCTGCTCTCTCAGGACCGTCTGTGCGGTCTCGCAGAAGGTGCATTGCAAAGGAGCATTGTGTCACATGTCTGCCAATGCAGGGATGGATGGGGAATGTAGACGTGTGCCAATGCTGGCCTCCACTGTAGGACAAATTGTGCCTGGAGTTTACTGTGCCCAACTACAGTTCAGAATACCCACTGACATCAGCGTACCAAGCTCACGTGTCATCGCATTGCTCGCGGAAACTGAAAACCATACGAACTCAGATAATGCTTAAGCTTCAGAGTTGTCAAACCAATGCATAAAATGCACCCTGTCAGGAGGGCTGCCAGAGACAAGTGAAAAAGTTGTGATGAGGAGAAATACGATTGAATGCCTTGGCAAATTTCCTAGGTTTTTTGACAGATAAAAAACCAGGAGAGAAATTGTTGTGTCGAAACACTTACCTCGGTTTTGTAATTCATTTTCACCTCAAAACTAATACACGGCTGAGGACTGTGTGGTTATTCGCACTATTGTGTCAAGCAGAGTTGGTGCTAAAACTGTCTGAGCTTGTGTGGATTTTCTTCGGCAGAAAACGTATATATAAGATGTGTCCGTGTCCATGTTACATTCATCAAATGGTGCTGTTCCAAAAAACACGACGGCTGGTCAAAAAGGTACACAATGCTATGCACTACCGAGAGAGCAGCGTGAGCGACGACGAATTTGAATGCTTGGCTAGTCCAGTGGGCAGCTTTGAGGTCAAGAGTGTGACACGAGATACTCCCTCCAACGATTACTACTGCAAAGACATGGTTAAATGCATTCCTCCTAGCTATGATCTCGACCACCCCAACTACACCAATCTGAACACTCCGCCATTGACTCCAACGACTCCATCCTACACTCTTGCTCTGACAACACACACCGTCTCAAGCACTTCTTTACCGTCCATTGCGCCGCTGGTTTCGTCGCAAGTTGTGGACGACAACTTCCCCGTGCAGGATTACACCAAGTGGGAGGCTCAATATGGCCACTCTGTCTGTCAGGACTGTCTGGTGTGTACCAGACCCTTTTGCCGGGGCGACCAGATCCGAGAGCTGCCCTGTTCAAGCACCCTTCCCCATATTTTCCACTCCAGTTGTCTGTTTGACTGGCTTACACAAAGCCATCTGAGTTGCCCTACTTGCGACAGAGAGGTCTTGTAGTATTTATTTATAATGCATTAATTACAGTACGAATACTGAACATGAAGAGACTGTAGCAAGTGAATCTGTTGTACGTTCATACTGCATGGTTACAACGGATGGATAACAGAACGTAACGTTCTTGTCAGTGCAGATGGCCTGAACAGATGTCAAGTATGGCGCCCTCCAGTGAGAGAACCTCAATGGCACTTTGTAGAAACGAAGAATCTAGGATATGTATTCCACCAGTATTTGCGCTCGAGACTAAGCCAAGACAACAGTCGATATCGGAAGGTTTGCCTGACCAGGTGAGAACGTGGGTCAGGTATCGTCCCCAGGTCCTCAGGAATGGTTGATTCCATTAGGCAGATTGTAGATACAGTAATGGAGCTGTTGTCAATTGTGTTCATTCCCAGATCAGTGAGATAATCGTAAACATCTTTCTGTTCTTATACTGTAGTTTATTAAGCGCCCGCGTCTGAAGCTCCGGGACAGCGGGACAACACCACATATGCTACTGTGAGGACTTAGACGGAATCCATATGTCGGATGATCCAATAGTGAAGACTACCTCGAACTTCTGAGGAGATGAGATGATTTTGTGTACCGGAAACCACTTCTCTGTCTCCGAAGGCATCTTATTCTTAGCCAACACCAACGAAACGACCTTGGATTAGATGTAGGAACTGCCGCTGCGAGGGCATCCAATAGGAAATAGAGATTAGGTCTACAAGTGGTAGTGCTCAATAAACGGTAATAAGGCATATCACTACTTGTAGTTCTAATATACCGAGCGGCCTCAACTCTATCCCCAATGCGATATCTCGAACTGTATCCACCCAATATCTTGAACTTTCATAGTAGCACTGCGAAGTAGTATTTTGGGTATTGGTACAATAGATTAAACCTACTAAATCATGAACCCTCCACTGTTTGTAGTATTGGATTGAATAAATTATAGCTATGCAAAATGTTGATGAATGCGACTGTGCACCGCATGCCTCACGCCGTATCAGGGGTGTATCTTCGACGTTTCAATGCTGGAAAATCGGTATACTTGAACTTGGGACAAGACTTCGTAGGAGTGATTTTCGTCTTCTGAGGTGTTGGATGTGTAGATGGCTCGGATGATGGTTTCTTTGCGCTCTTTGGTAGCTTCTTTATGATCTGGAATTCCTGGCTTTGCGAGCCATCCTTGGAGTTTGAACTGCTAAACTCTACAACAATAGGGGAAGAGGAAGTCGAAGCTCCTCCATCAGGGGATGACGACTTTCCCAAAATGAACTTGTTCATAATACCGAACTGGATATCTGAATCAGAAGAGAGAACCTCCACATGTCCACCAGTGTCTGCAGGTGGCTCAATGGTGACAGCTTCAAGGGAGTTGTTGTTATGATCCGTTTGTTCAGATTTCTCTGTAGATTGCCCAGCGACTTGTCTAGTGAATTTCACAGAAGTTTTCTCGGGAGTTTGTTCAGTAACTGGCTCATCCAGTTCTTGTTCGAGAATATCGATCTCCTCGACATCTATCACTCCGGCCAGGTCAGTATGGCGTTCAATCTCAGAGTGCCCGTTAGATTCACCATGACGGTTGGTCTTATCCACCATATCCTGAGAATCTTCATCTTCCTCGATGACAATTACTTCGTCTGGTAGCTGCACAGTCTTCTGGGCCTTGCCTGCACTCGGTAGTCTAAACAGCTGTGCCAGGTTGGGATATTGCGGGTGGTCCTGTACCTCGGCCACTTCTTCGATCGCCCCTTTATCCTTTTCTCTTTCGTTATCCTTCCTCCCCAACTCTTCAGTATCTCCTTTATGCTCGGCTCCAGTTCCTTTTTCTTTCTTATCCTTCTGCTCCTTTCCTTGCACCTTTCCTCCATTCTTGTCCTCAACAATCACAGCCTTCTCGACGTCGGTGAAACTCACCGCGTTCTTGAAACTCATGACCTCGTAGTCGAGAAACTTGACATCAGCTTGCTCCTCCTCTGGAAGTTCATGCGTGTAATCAAATGCTGGGGACAGATTGAGTTGTTCCAACGTGTACATGCGGTTGTCTATCGCTTCCATCTCGCCTGCGAAATCGAGCAAATCAACACTCTTCAGATCCAGCGACACAACCTTGCCTTCATTCCAGAAGCGAGTGAAAGGCGTACCTCGAACAGACACAGTCTTGTGTAACAGCTTGTCATAATGGGCTTTAACACTTCCCATATCTCCTCTCCAAAGGAATGATGCCACTACTGTCTCTCCCGACCCGTCGTCAACCTCCAGTGACACAGACAGCTTGCCATGGATATCGTTGTTGATAGTTCGCACATCAACAGACATGACTGAGCCTGTCAGTCGAATGTGAGTAATGGGATGGGTCTTGTAGAAATGAATCAGACGTGACGCGTAGTTCTTCCGGGTGTTACTCTCAGAACGAGAGACCGCTTTACGATCTAGTCGCTGGATATCGTAGCAACTGAGAGGAACCCAATGGCCATAGTACTTCGACCTGTCCAGCGACATGGTCGATGTTTTGGGGGTTTGCAGACTTGGGTACTGGTGGTATGTTGCTGGTCAGCTCAGGTTTGGCTTCATGCAGGATGTTGGTATAAATTAAATCTGAGTTTCAGATCAATCGAACTGGTGGCGAGGTGACGACAACAAAAGATTTGATGTCGATACTACAGCAGCTGGATTGATGTAGAAGAAGTTTTCACTTTTTGTAGGAAGAAATCATAAGATTTAAATGTTTTACACGTGATTGCTCGTATGTTGATCTCTCTTGCTCGCCCAAAGTACGAAATTCTGATGATCACAGTATAGTTAATCATGTAAACAAAACAACATATTAGTTGAAAATTTAGTTACGATATGTATCATCTCGCGTACAGAAGTTACACCACAGCTTGCATTGGCACTGTGAGGGATGAGCGCGAAAAATGCAGAATGAGGTTACTCAACATCGTCGTTTTTCATAAGAGCTGCCCTTATTGGCCTCCATAGCCATGTTTTGATCACACCTCTACACCCATTTTACACTGGAAACGCGCGCCGTTTTCTCGCAACATCCCTACTCTACATTCGTTATAGCACTGTGAACAAGCCAGCCAGTTGATGAGAATCTAGCTGATAATTGAGACGTAACCGAAACTTGGGTTGGTATATTTTGTATTTTCTATGGTTTCCTAATTCTCCTGATTCTCTTTAGTCTCTTGTAAACCCCCATACTTCCTATCGGACATCTCCGAACCCTGCTCCTCCGTGCATGAGCGTGCATGAAGATCGTTATCAGCGCCGTACAACCACCACCTCTTACACACACACGCCTACCAATTTATCTCACGCCATGGAAAGACATCCCATTACCTGCCATATTCTCGACACAACCCGAGGCCGTCCTGCGGAAAACGTGCTGTGCCAGATCTACCGAATTGGCAACGTGTCTGGAGGACCCCAGCGGGCTACCTCTGAGACTGAGGCTCTGGGCAAGGCTCGAACCAACAAAGACGGGCGAGTGGCTCTGTGGACTCTCGAAAACTCTTTTCCCGAGTTCACCACTGCACCTCTTCCCGGATTGTACAAGATCCGTTTCGAGACTGAACAGTATTTTGTTACTGCTGCCAACGGAGATGTTGAGAAGACCAAATCCTTTTTCCCTTTTGTTGATGTGCATTTCACCATCCCCAGTCCCGCTGACGCTCACTACCACATCCCTCTGCTGATTTCCAACTACTCTTACTCTACTTACCGAGGTAGTTAGACATCAGAACCACGCACTGTTAAATTGCGGACAGAGCATACAGCCTGATGCGCCAATCAACCGGTTGAAACACTAGGCAAACAACAAAACATCTCATACGGAAAGAAATCTTTTTTACATCTATAAATTATTATTACGTACGCATTCTTCAGGGGAATTTCATCTTCCACAGAGCCATTGTCACACAACTAGCTGTGATGGCCATGGTAAGATTGACGCCATTGTTGCTGAGGATATCAGCTCCTGCAACAGACTTTAGATCAGCTGCCTGCTCCACTTTTCGTCCTCCGCTCATCTCCACAATCTTTCCTCCCTCGTTGACTACTGACTTCTGGAAGAGAGCTCCTAGCAAGGAGTCCAGCAGTGATCCGCAGAGGCCTACAGAGCCCATGAACAAGATGAACAACAGGGCGTCGGCGATCTTCCACGACTTTCCTAGGGGAACCACCAACACGGTCACAATGCCAATGTAGAGACCGCCAGCAAGAGCCACCATGCATCCCAGGGGGGAGATACCTCCATTGGTGCCCTTGGGACACGGTTGGAAGGTGGTAATAAGAATGGGAGGGTACTTGGAGAGAATTCCAAGCTCTGACGAAAAGGTGTCTGCAGTAACCACGGCGTAATGAGCAATGAATCCGACCATGAGCCAGTCCGATTTGTCCCACTTGGACTGTCTGCCGTCTGGGGACTTGTAAATTTTGAAGTAGTAGTGCAGAATGAGTAGAATGGAGGCGAACACAGAGTTGCATAGTACCTGGGCGACGGTTCGGGTCTCGTGGACCTTCTCCTTAGCGTTGGTCACCTTTCGCTTGGTCTTGATTCGTGATCTGGGGTCTGACTTTTCGAACCGCTCATCCTTGGCGGCCTGGATCTCAGTGACAATGTGGTCGCCACGGGTCTCCGTGAGCGTGCTCTTGAAGTCGGCCTTCATCTTGGTGAACTTGGACGAGGGCAGGTAGAAAGCAAACAAGAGCACCATGCACACGGACCAGGGGTGGACCGCGTGGATGATTCCGGTGACAACCGCGGCCACAATTGCAGCCGGCGTCAGCGACTTGTTCTTGTGGGCTCTCCGGGCAATTTCTACCAGCGCAGCTGCTCTCAGCAGTTTTCCAGTGTGCATTGTTGTATGATGGAAAGGTACGCACGGAGGCGGGATAAGGTTGGATGTGAATATCACACTCACAAAATGTAGCTTTATGCGATGTTTCGAATATGTAGCTTATACGGAGAGATCAAAGTCGGGAGTACTGGTACAGTAGTTAGCAGCTGTAGTCGTGGATAAGAGCAATATGGAACAGCAAGTTTGCTGCGAGAGATGATATTATGAGTGTGTCTTTCACACCTTAGTCCTATTGTCTGTGCTACATCGTATAGCTATCATAACACTCCATATACAACTCTACATTAATATGTGACGAAGGTTACTGTAGGTTAACTCGATACGAGTGCGAAACAGCAAGATATTGTACGACATACAATAGGTAGGTGAAAAAATACATTGTTATAAATAGTGAAGGCATGAAATGAGTTCCTTCAGAAGGAGAAAAAGGACTAACTCTGAGCTGGATCAGCAGCTTCAGTTTTGGTGGTTTCTCCAGAAACGCCGTTTCCATTGACATGGCTCTGGGAAGAAGAGTAGTTGGGCTCAAGCACAGGCACCGGTGCTGGCGGATCCTTGTTTTCTTTCGATGAGCTTAGCTCAAGTGATGCTTCTAGAGGTTCGTTCTTCACCGAGGAAGAAATCATCGCCTCTCGCACGGCTCCTTCGGGTGCAAAGTTCATGATTTTGTCCAGCAAGCCCTCCTTTTCCAGCCACAGTCGCCGTCTCTTTCTATTTCCGATCTTGAGCTCCTTCTGCAGGTCATTTTGCAGCTGCAGCGCCCACGCCTCCTTGCGTTTGAGGTCCTGGTACAGTGTTTTCAGGGTCTCTGAGGGCATCGTCTGTAAGTCCCCATCTTCCGGGTACTCCATGATTCTGAGCACTGGTATGGTGTCCTTGACGATGTCCGTGATCTTCTGCACCTCGTTGGTTCGTCCCATGGTCCGGGTTTCATTCTCCAGAGTCGTGGCAAGAGTGTGCAGACTTCTAGGCTCCAAATGCTCCACCACCGCATCCACATTGCCAATTACTCCACTGTGATGGGTCTTGAATTGCGGGTCGCTTGGTCGCAATTGCTCGGTTTCGTGCACGGTTCGCATGTGTTTGGCCAGAGCGTCACTTCGGGTGAAATTTCTGTCGCATTCGGGAACAGAGCAGTAGAAGGGCTTCTCTCCAGTGTGACTTCGCATGTGTGATACCAGCGCGAATCGCGACGGCTGGACCATACCCTGTCGCGAGCAGCCAGCCCAATCACATTGGTACTTGCTCTTGCGGGCTCCAAAATGCACCTCGTTTAGATGATCGACCAGAGCGTCCAGATTGGCTACCTGGGTCTCACAGCCCACCCAGTGACAAATCTGGGGCTTGGGGTTGTATACGTCGTCGTCCGAGTCCATGTGGTGGGCTATGGACGGCACGGACGAGTATCCGTCCGAAGACAGTTCGGAGCTTGACATCTCAGACATGATTCGATGGCGATGTGACTTAGTGATGTTGTAGAGCTGGGTTCGAGTAGGTTATGCATGAACCTAATTGGAAGTTGTGGGAGGGTGTGGGAAGTTGGAGAAGGGTGTTGTTTTGTATCAAGCTAAGACTCGGAGATATGAGTCAATAAGAGCACTCTTTAAGGCCTTCTATGAATCATTGTGTACTCTACCCTCCATTTCCCCAAGCAAACAAGCACTGTAAAGGGGGTTTCATTTTCTCATGCTATGCTGGGCCAACAGTCCATTGAAGGTGGAACTGGTTGATGCCTTATTCCAACAACAAATAGACATGTCTGTGATGCCAAAATGAAGAGGGGCAATCAGCATTGTGTTCAAACTCGTTTAAGTCACCCTTTGAATAAGTCCATTTCCGCTTCAAAAGACTCACTTGTTACTGTATATTGCTACACTAATCCCACTCGCTCCCGAAGCGAATCGCGTTGAGACAGGGTCAGCTTCTGTAGGTCTCGACAAGATCCGTGCAAAGACAGTAGCCACAGAAAATGGTCACATATGGATGTATGAAAGTGGCGCGCTATGCTATTTCAATGACCAAAATGTCATACAGCCCACCATCACCACCACCAAGATGACTAAGCTATGCTGCGTACATTTGAGCATGACTCAATTTTTCCAATATAATACCTAGAGAGAGGGAAAAAACAAGAAATTACCGCCGTTCAATTTCAATGACTATGTTGTATAAACAAACAATCTCCAGGTATTTATAGCTACAAGTACCTAAAACCGCAGCTCTTGTCCCATCTTCATCTCTCACCCTCACGACTTTCTTCTCTCCTACAGAACCTTGTGTGCTGAAATTTACCCTCCTCGCCAGACAGTGAAAATATTCAAACTTTACTTTGAACACCACCGCACAACCACAATCATGGAGTACGATCTGACACAGAAGACGCTGCCCTTTTTGGACCGACATCTCATCTACCCTCTGCTCCAGTTCCTCAAGGGCCGAGGTGTTTACAACGACACAGAGCTGCTCCAACTCGAGTATGACCTGCTCAAGGACACCAACATGACCGACTATCTGGTGGAGCTGAGCAAGGAGCTTGGCCAGAACGATGCCGATCTGCAGGCAAAGAAGGAGAACGTTGTCAAGACCCTGGCCGAGCTGGAGGAGGCCACCAAGCCCGTGTTTGAGGTGCTTGAGAACCCCGAGGTGGTTTCCGAGCTCAAGGAGAACAAGACCCAGAACCAGGCTCTGCTGACCTCAAAGTACGGTCTTTCTGTCGAGCAGATCAATCTGCTCTACAAGTTTGGACAGTTCCAGTACAACGCCGGCCGATACCAGGCTGCCTCCGACATTCTGTACCATTTCCGAGCTCTGTCCACCGACCCCGAGCTGGTTGCATCTGCCACTTGGGGCCGTTTCGCCTGCGAGATCCTCACCTCTCAATGGGACAGCGTTCTTGAGGAGCTTGGAAAGCTGCGAGACTCCGTTGACTCGCGATCTCTGGACCCCCAGCAGCAGCTGCACCAGCGAATGTGGGTCATCCACTGGTCTCTTTTCCCCTTCTTCCAGAACGACACCAAGGGTAAGGATGCTCTGTGCGACCTCTTCTTCTCCTCTTCCTACATCTCCACTATTCAGGCCGCTTGTCCTTGGATTCTGCGGTACCTGGTGGTTGCTGTGATTGCCGGCGGCCATCCTCACACTGCTTCTGTCTTCCAGAAGCGACTCAAGGACCTCGTCCGAGTCGTTGGACAGGAGGAATACGAGTACCAGGACCCCCTTACCCGATTCGTCAAGTCTCTGTACATTGACTACTCCTTTGAGGATGCCCAGAACCAGCTTGCTGACTGTGAGAAGGTGCTGAAGCAGGACTTCTTCCTCGCTGACTCCGCTGACGCCTTCCTCGAGTCTGCCCGAAAACTTATGTCCCAGGTCTACTGCCGAGTTCACCAGCGAGTTGACATTGCTCAGCTGTCTCAGACCCTCAACCTGTCCCAGGAGCAGGGCGAGAAGTGGATTGCCAACCTCATCAAGGACTCTCGAATGGACGCCAAGATTGACGAGAGCGACTCCACCGTCATCCTCAACCACCCTTCGGTGTCGGTCTACCAACAGGTCATCGAGAAGACTAAGGGGCTGACCTTCCGGTCTTCCCAGGTTCTCAACCAGGGAGTTACCATCTAGACAGCCCCCGGGCTGTTTTTGTTTAAGGTGTTGCGGTCGGCTTAGACTGCAGTGGGATAGCATTAGAAGGAAAATGTATGAAATAGAATGAGTGTATTGGCTTACTATGAGTAAAAGCAGAGTTTAGCTGGGATTTTTCCGCAGATTATATAACTACTGTATGTACTGTATGTAAGTACTGTCCTTGTATTGTGTTCAACCATGCATTAACACGTTCGATGCCGACAACGTGGATGTCTGACAGATCTCTCAATGGGCTGTCTGAATGAACTGGAAATTGGGACTCGATACTGAGCAAGTGAAACCTCAGTTTGGCGTCCCAACGACCCCAACAAATTCCGTGGCTGCTGGGGGCCGTATTTAGTTTGCCATGGTATGATATTCAAAGACAAGAACGCGTGCTTCAAAGCCACAGGGTACAAGTACATGAACTTGTAGCTACACTCTTACTATGAGAACTCTCGTTCTTCAAGTTCCGTAGATTTGTTCTAGAAATCAATATTGTATAAAGTCAGAATAATATGTTTATATGTGATTGCAAGGCAAATGCAGCGTCTAGTCAATAGATATGGAGCGCCAATGGCTAGTTTAGGCCTTCTTTGCCTTCTTGTCGTCGTCGCCGAAGTGTTCCTTGCTGACGGGATCAACGTCGATGATGTGGTCAGTGACGTCCTCCATCTCCGTGTTCTTGGGGGCAGGGGCGCTTAGAATAACAACGTCACTGGACTCGGGGAAGAGAGTCTTAGCGGGTCGAACCTCGAGTCGGTAGTGGAACTCGTTGTCAGCTTCAGTGTAGTGGGAGGCAAAGGGATCGAAGGATGCATCGTGGGTCAGAACAACATCAACAACACCAATGACCTGCTGCTTGGGCTTGCCCTCAATGGACTTATCGAGCAGCAGCTCCTCGAAGGCAATCATCTCCTCTCGGCCGGGCAGGTTGTCAAAGGGGTTCTCAGTATCAATCTTAGTCTGTCGGGGATAGAGCATGGAAGACTGGGAGATTCGTCCAGTAGGATCAAGGGTCAGAGACTGGCCGTTTCGAGACATGGCAAAGGGGTCTACCTTAAGGATAGAATTGATATCTCGCTCATCATCGTTGATAGCCTGGTGAATTCGGTTCACGCACACTCGGTTGAGTTTCTGCAGATCAAGGGGACCCTTGGTCTTGTAGACGAGAGACTGCTGGGCCATGCCGACCCATCGCTGGTTCATGACACCAATCTGAGAAGATGCGATTCGAGAACGGAACCACAGCATGAGCAGAAGGAAGGGAGGTACAATGATGAACAGAATGGGCATGGTAATGAACAGGGCACAGTTGAAGAAGAAGAGAGCGAGGCCGAAGAACTTGATCCAGGGAGGAGTCACGTTCCAGGCAATGGAGAAGGGTCCATGCTGAGAGTACTTCTGTTTCAGGTTGGGGTTTTCCTTGTTGTTCATCTTCACCTGTCTGGCGGTTCGTCCGGACGAGAACTGTCGGGAGAACTTGTTGAGCTGGGCCATGACATTGACCTTCTTGTTGGCGACACGGGAGGTGGTCTGTCGAGAGAAAGCTCGGGCAGTCTGAGAGACGGTGCTAGGAGCAGCAGTCTGGAACGAGGAGAATGCAGCAATTGAGCGGGGCTTAGCGACGCCCAATGGGGTCACTCGCAGTGAACGGAGCAGAAGCATTGTGTTGTGTGAGGGGTGGTTAATGTCTCGTTTCTGGGAGGTGGATCAAAGCTTTAAATATAAGAGCCGAGAGAGCAGATTGCTAAGGCGTGGGGAGAGAATTAGAATTTTGGGTTCGGATTTGGGCGGTTTCTAAAGAGGCTAGTTAATGCATTTTGTAGGTATCCTAATGAGACACAGAAAAGTCTCACCTTCATTGCTAGTCAGTGGGGAACCGCACGTTGGTTTTTTTTCTCTCTTGCTCCTACATTGCGTGCAGTAGAAGAGGTCTCGTTTACAACCGCCTCGCCTTAAAAGTGTTCATAAACTCCCAAGACGATAAACTTCCAACTGTGCAGCTATCATGTTTGGCAAGCGATGAGCGAGAGGAAGGATTGAGACCCTGTGTGGCGTTTGTGGCGGTGTAGTTATTGGAGGGATATAAGTGAGTTGCAGTGAGCAGTTTGTGGCAAAGAGTGATTTTGCGAGAATCGTTCCAGAAGAAACAACATAACACACGATTTAGATTTTGATTTTTCCTGCTTGTTGCAATGTTTTCTCTCCACCCTCTTAGTGCTGCCTTTAGTTAACCTCGTCTGCAGCCCTTAGCCGGATCAAATTTAGATCGTCTCTTCACACACCTCCTCCTACGTGTATCACACATTATGGCGCCGCAAGGACGGAAGGGACAGGCTTCTGGGCAGAAGTCAGATGGTGCGAAAAGAACTCGAGCCACTAGAAGGAGTGTGGATCGAAATAATCACGTCGATCTGAAGAATGGTCAGATTACACCCAAGATCGAGGATGAGGTCGACAAGGGTGAAAAATCCGAAGAACAGTCACAAGACGAGAACGGCAACGAACCTGCCACCAATGAAAGTATCCCAGAGGATGATTCGGAACCTGACTCCGAGGAAATCCCTTCTGGTGAGTCATCTCCAGATAATAGTGCTGACGAGTACATGGAGGATAGTGAACCAGAGAAGAGTAACGAGGATATTTCTGAGCCAGCAACTAAGAAAAGCAAGTACTTTGCCGATTCTGATGATGAAGAAGAGACTGATATACCCACTTCCCATATACCTTACTCCAACATGGCTCTACACCCTAACTCGCTGTCCTTCATTCAAGTCCTAGAAAAGAACAATAATCGAGAGTGGTTCAAATCACATGATGCCGAGTTCAAAAAGGCCAAACAAAACTGGGACACTTTTATCCTTTCCTTGGCAGCTTTGTGCCACAAGAACCACCCCGAACATGTGCCTGCTGAGATTCCTCTCATCAAGCTGCAGTTTCGAATCCATAGAGACATGCGATTCTCAAACGGACTGCCCTACAAGCCTCGTTGGATGGGTGGATTCAGTCCTACCGGATGCAAAGGTATATTCCCAAAATACTTCCTTGTCGTCTGGCCCTCTCATGTGGTCGTGGGGGCTGGATACAGCGCCATGGGAGATGCTGATGTCGGTCCTAAGACGTTGAAAGGACTCAAGGATGAAATTCAGGAAACTGAGGGCGAATGTATTGCTAAGATCCTTCGAAAGGTGCAAAAGAAGTCTGCTGGTCTGGTATTCAAAAGCAGATTCGATGATGCAGAAGGTCTCATGAAGGAGTTTCTGGAAATGAATGTGACTGAGAACATGTACAAATACGTTCCCAAGGGCTATGACGCTGAGTCTCCCGCTGCTGGATTACTTAAGTTGAGATCTTTCGTGATTAAAATCCAGCTGGAGACTACAGTGGTGATGGAAAAAGACGGCGCCCAGATCATGGCCAGCTACTTCAAGTTCCTGATCCCGTGGGTCAAATTTCTTAGCAAGTACTTTCCTCCAGGCCGGGGTGGCTAACTGTATATATGTGATGGAATAGATTTCGTTTTGAATGATTCTACATGTGCGATAGCACAGGTTTGTCTTTCAAATTGTGACTTCCTGACAGGACCAGATGCATTTTGGCTACAATGTGAACATGTATGTACTTATTCTAATAATATTAACCGTCCTATGTATCCTAACTATCCTCATTCGCCCGATCTCCTATGCTTCAGTCCTGGCAGGGGCCTCAGTGGCCTCAGTGGAAGCCTCAGCACCCTCAGTGGAAGTCTCAGGGCATCGCTCGCTGTATGGTCGAACACACATGTCCTTGTCGAATACCTCTTCGCCCAGCTTTGGCAACCTGCTGGCGAACAGCAGGTACGAAGTATGCGACTTGATCTCCTGCTCACACTTGGACACCTCGGTCCACTCAAAGCTCTCATCTCCCTCCTTGATCTTCTGGCCCTTACCCCAGGGGTTGTATCCTCTGTGACCCGACTCGGTCTTGGACCGCTTGGCATCTCGCTCATCCGACTCTTCCTCCTCCACTCCAGTTTCAGTTTCGACCTTGATTCGAGCATTTCTCTTAGCCAGACCGGTCTCTCGTCGGGCTTTGACGTCTCTAAGGCGAGTGATAGCCTCGTCCAGAGACCGCTTCATCTCCAGTCGTGACTCCCATCGCTTAGCAGCAACCTCTACCATCTCAATATCGACCCAGCCGGCTTCTTGCAGAGCCTGGACTGCCTTGACAACCTGCTCGAAGCAAGGCGAGAAACAGCACACTCGAGAGACAACTGATCGGTCAATAACTCGCTCGAGATGGGGAATAGCGGTCCAAGGGGCAGGAAGGTCGAGGAAAACGGCAGTGGCATTGACGTCGATGTTCTCAATGTCAAAGCCGTCGTTGCACACATCCCGATGCGTGGGGATCACGTTGGTCAGCTGATGACGCTCAAACTCCTGCTTGGCCAGATTGTATCGCTCCTCATGAAACTCGTACGAGTAAACCTTGCCGGCGAGGCCTGCAGATCGACTGATAGCGTGTGTGAAGGAACCAGAACCAGTGCCAGACTCAATCACAGTCGATCCAGGTCGAATCTTGAGACGCTGAACAATGTACGATGAGTCGGTGGTGTACACAATCTGGGTACGGTGGGGCAACGAGAGAGTCCATAGCTCGGGAGTAGGGTGAATCAGATGAATGAAGCCCTGCTTCGACATGCTTCCAAGCTGAGCTCCATACTTGTCCATGTTGCGGTGAGGGAAGGCTCCGTATCGGGTGTTGAAGAGCCCTTCCTTCTTTTCAACCACAATGGGCTTGATGGCGGTACGGGTCATCCACCCGAGTACCAGATCTCCATCCTCGATCGTGTCCTTGTATGCCGAAAACATTGTGTGTGATTGTGGAAAAGTTCAAAATATTTTTTGGAATTTTCACTTTTAGAGTTAACCTGCATGGCAAAGGTGAATTGATGAGTGACGATTGAAGCGATAGAATCATGCAAAAACTGAAGAAAAGGATCGATATTGGGATGGGAAGGAATTATTGATACTTTCAGAGTACTTAGGAAAAAGTTTCAGCTATACGTGAGTGACTTTATAGTACATCCACTGTGTTATTGCGTCTTATCAACTGTTCCACCTCACAGCATCAGGACAACTCGTACAAACCTCCCAACTCAAACTGTTGATAATGTACAGTAGCTCTGAGTCGAAGGAGGTTCTGTCTCTACAGAGTGATTAAGTGGGATTGCCAGATATTCGCTACCCATGGGGTATCAAATTGTAGCTAATGAATGGATGAAGTTATTCTAACGCCATTCACCACCACCAGGAAGCATCAGCGAACGACAGACGCACATAAAGATTTTTAACGGGGCAGCAGATAAATAAGGACACAGATTTAGGAATCTATAGATTATTCTCTAACAACTCCAAATTGTCAACAAATTCTCTCACATTCCGGGCACAGTGCCAGCTACTTGAACCACCTACTGTACCACCTCTCAATCGCAGTTTCGAGGTTCACAAAAATCTATTAGAGTTCATGCACAAGAAATTATTTTATTTGCATCTTGCAAATCACACACACCAACACACCATCACACGACATGCCTCCTCTAACCGAACCGTTTGTCCTGTGCGACCTGCCCCAAAGCTCGCTGACCGTGGCCGACAAGGTGGCTGTGCCCGGCCGAAGCGCAGGATCCCAGTATCTGCTGGGAATTAGCCACTCCCAGGCTGCTCTCTACGAACTCACCCCAAGCCCTCGATCTGTGTGGACTCACTTCCTGTCCTTGACCCAGGCCGTGTGCGCCATCACCCAGTATGCTCCTAGCACGAAGACTGGTGTTGTCTACGTCTCGATCCGGGACCGGAAAAAGTTTTTTGTCGAGCGTGTCGAGCGAGGCGTTGACTCCGAGGACGGAAACAAGAGCGCTCTGACTCTGTCAGAGGCTGCGGTGGCTGTTGGGACCAGCTCCGATGATTCTAGAATTTACCTGGTGACCGAGTCTGGCCACGTTAAGGTCGCTCCAGTGTCTCTGTTTGGTCAGGCTGGCTCCGGAGACAAGATCCCCACCCTGTTTGATGCTGGAGCCAAGCAGATCACTGAGTACTCTCTGTTCATGCCCGATAGCCGTACTGACGAGTTCAGTGACGGTCTTGTTGTGCTTGTTCTCGGCTCCCGAGACTCGTACCGAGCCGTTCTGCTGGGTCTCAAGTCGTCTGGATGCGTCGTTCTTGCTGACAAGGTTCTCAAGGATATCGCTACCGACTCTAAGCCTGCGTTCTCTGCCGTCGACAATGTCCTATCGTGCTTCTCAAACACCACTCTCTACAGCTTTGCCCTCCCCTCTCTCAAGGTGACCACCCAGATTGAGCGACCTGAGGGTGTGTCTGGTAATTCTTCAATTCTGGCAATTGACTCTCGAACTACACTGCTGTCTTCCAACGACAAGCTCACACTCGTCGATACATACTACGAGTCTATTGTAACCGAGGTTGATGCGTCCCAGCTCTCTCTGCTGTCCTTCTATCCCGATACCCAGACTGTTCTTGGTGTGCAGCCCCAGAAGGGTGGCTTCTGTGTTTCCGGTGTCACTGTCGATCTCTCTTCAGGCTCTTCTCTGCTCGACTCTGTTGCTCGAGGACAGGGTTTGCAGACTTCTGCCACCCGAGAACAGCAGCGACAGCACGACTGGAGAATGTCCAACATCCACATGGCCAAGACTTACCGATTAGAGAGTGACTTTGCCAACCTATCTGGCTATGATGTGGTGGTCAAGGCTGCTAAGAAGTCTCAGAAGCAATCTCAGGCTCTGATGGAGACCCTTAAGGCCTCGCAAGGTGCTGCATTCGATTCTGCTCTGCTCAAATACATGAAGCACAAGAAGTGGCTCAAGCAAAATCCCGACCTGGCTTTCACCGTGTACGAGGAGCGAGATGATGCCCAAATTGATAACTTCCTGATGGACCAGATTTGTTCCCTGTTGTTCGACAACTATGAGGACTCTGAGCCTGTTCTTAAGGCCGATCCTCCCGTCAAGGCTCTCACCTACCTTCTCACACACTCTCTTTTCCCCACGAACCGATTCCCCAACCTGTTGGACACATTTGAGTCTCACCCTTTCCTGCAGCGTCAGGCTCTGGTGAACGCCCCTGCCCTCCCTTGCTCCACCCTGGTCAAGGCTCTGGCCTCTTCTGTGTCTGACGAGATTGTCAACGATGCCGTCGTTCGACTGCTGGAGGAGTTCCGACCCACCGAGGTTACCAAGACCATCCGAAAGGAGATCTCCAACCTCAACGGTCTGGTGGAGCGACTGCAGAAGATGGACGCTGGCTGGGCTCTGATTCCCTGTGTGATTGATGCTGGAGGACTGCTAGGATGGAACCTAGAGACCATTCAGGAGCTAAAGAAGTCGCTCAAGAGCGAGCTACAGACCCAGACCGAGTCTGCCCAAACCGTTGCTATGGTGGACGCCCTCAAACTTCGAATGATGGCTCAGGAGCGAGTGGCAATGCGAGAGCAGTACATTGAGAAGGGAGATGACAAGTTGGATGCTAGTTACGTGGTGGAGAAGTTGCATATTTGAAGGACTATACATACAGACCTATGACATTAGAGGATGTTTGATGAGAGTATCTGTGGGTTTGTGCTGCAGTGCTCAGGCTAGTTAGAGGTATAGAATGAAAACTATTATATTTGATTGATCGTTGAAGTTATGGTAGACATACTGTCGCTACATGATAATTAATACGATTCCAGTAGACGGTATTGTAAGTACTTGTTCGATACTGCCTATTGTACATACTGGTGTGTATGCAGTACATACTGCACTTTTACAATGGGATATATTTCAGTATATACTGTACAGCAGAAATCTGGAGCCCCTGACAGTTACCAAAAGTTATTAATGACCTCACGTAGCCCGTTATTTGTCCATGAATAAATTAAAATAAATACATTCGCGCTCTGAGCATGTCCAGACACACCCGATCAGCGAAACTGCTTTTTATACTGAATGAAAATCTCCTGTGTTAGCCATTTCCTCTTATAAGTAAACATCCCATGCTAAAAAATAAAAATAAAAATCATTTAGCATCTTGTACTCACGGCCAAAGCAGCAGGCTCCACCGATCCGTCCTTGCACATTTCGTAGCATATTCGGAGACCCTCGTCATCCAGCGGCACATCCAGCAGCCGCGCCATTTCCTTGAGAACCTCCAGAATCTTCTGTTCCTTCTCCATTACCAGATGCAGAGGTGCCAGTCGACGATGAGGTCGATGAATATACGGAACGCGTCGTGATATAAGTTGGTGTTTAAGGTTCTTCAGCAGAGAAATGGCGACATAAGGTTGGTGAAGCAAAGCGTTAAACGCAATGGAAGTAAGGAACAGAGATGGGTAAACAATAACAACTTGTTTTGATCGTCGAGTGGAGATTTTGGAAATGTACGAGAAGCCATAAAGATGATGTGACACCAATGATGTGATTATGGAATCAGCGAACTAATTATGGCATTTGTGTACTCGTACCGTACTTGTACGATGATAAAGTTCAGGCCAGGCCCCTGGTAAGATATCGTGGTTTGGGGGCCATCTGACTGACTAGAGATTGTTAACGCCGATAGGTTGTATGCGTTACAAACCTCATACAGTAACTGTCTTGTGAGCTCGTCGGTGGAAATATGAAACACCCACTACAAGTAACAGTAATTCTGAACTAGGCTAATAGTGGGGAGCGTAGCTCGGTCGTTCACCGTAACCATGGCAACCGCTGTTTGGGTGTCTGACTTGACACAAGACAGATGAGAAACTCCAGCCACATGTATCAAAAAAACACCGTAGAAGTACCGCTACCCGTGTATCCGGGTTGACCTAAAACTCCCGAAGTTACTTGCGGTTTGTTTGGCGGGGTCGTCGGGTTGCTCTGGATTACCAGCAGTATGCATGAGACTGATGTTGAGTGGTGTATCGTACGAGTACATACTCATGGTACAGCACCGATACTACTTGTAGTACAAGTACAATGTACCAATTGTTTACTTGTAGCGGTATACGAGTATGTACTTGTAAAAGTGAACCCCTTCGCCATTCCACGACGTTTCTGTGTCATGTGTTCCATTCGCACAAGTACCACTACAAGTACAGTATGTACAGTATGTAGGTGCTTGTAATATGTAGCGTTCCATTCTGACTGTGTAATGTCTGCCTGTATCAAACGAGTTGAAACAACAAACTGATCTGGACTCCATGAAATATGCACCTAAATTGCACTGAATTTTCTTGTAATATATCGTATGTACTGTAGGTCAGTCTAGATCTTGTATGGAACCTCACCTCACGAACTCGCTTTATTTGGTGCAGTTTCGCCAGGTTGAAATGGGATATCAATGGCGGTATATGAGAGGTAAAGGTACAGTAAGAGTAGCATCATAATTTATTTATGAATCTCTACTTTATTTGCCCCCATCATTCCATTTTACACTGTTGTACAAGTGCTACAAGTATGGCACCAATCGTTTCTACTCTACTTTACCACCGTGACCCATCTCGTCCGCTAATCAAATGTCCCAAAATGCGCTTACTGCACGAAATGCAGTCTAGAGCCGATAAGGACCCGGGTATGGGGTAGGTCTGAGGAGCTCTTCACCACAAGCTTGTTGAAAGGAGAAGTGATGTTCCGAGATAACGCTTCGCGTGTCTCTCTGCTGTTAAAAAATGTCAATCTGCTGTTGAAAATACCGCCATTTACACCGGACAATAACATCCGACTCCTCTCAACTAGACCCTTCCAGAAGCCTAAAGTTGCTCCCAGGCTGGTCCCTCGGTCAGAACCTAAACCCCATTTAACCAATTTTTAGCTTCTATGAATCAATATTTCACTGATAAATTTGAATCACCGACTAACACTAACCTCAACATACACACATCACCACAATGACTTCTATCAACCTTGGCCACCCCGTCGACATGCACGTCCACCTGCGACAGGGCGAGATGATGAAGCTCGTCACCCCCACCGTCAAGCAGGGCGGTTTCTCCGTCGCCTACGTCATGCCCAACCTGGTCCCTCCCGTCACTTCTCCCGAGCGAGCTTTGGAGTACAAGCAGGAGCTCCAGGCCCTGGCCCCTGACACCGAGTTCATGGTCACCATGTATCTGTCTCCAGAGATCACCCCCGAGGTTGTTGCTGACGCTGCTAAGAAGGGAGTCTCCGGTATCAAGGTCTATCCTGCGGGTGTCACCACAAACTCCGATCAGGGAGTCTCTTCATACGAGCAGTACTACCCCGTCTTCCGAGCCATGGAGGAGCACAACCTTGTTCTTAACCTGCACGGTGAGTGCCCCAGCACTCCCCAGAGCGACATCACCGTTCTGAACGCCGAGGAGCGGTTCCTGCCCACCCTTGGAGAGCTCAACAAGATGTTCCCCAAGCTGCGAATCGTTCTCGAGCACTGCACCACCAAGGCTGCTGTTGATGCTGTCAACGCCTGTGATGACAACGTCTCCGGCTCTATCACTGCTCACCACCTGTCTCTGATTATCGACAACTGGTCCGGTAACGCCATCAACTTCTGCAAGCCTGTTGCCAAGCTGCCCTCTGATCGAGACGCTCTCGTGGCTGCCGCCACCTCCGGCTCACCCAAGTTCTTCTTCGGATCCGACTCTGCTCCTCACCCTATCAAGAACAAGCGAACCTGCAACAACGCCCCTGCTGGTGTCTTCACTCAGAGCCACGCTCTGACCTACGTCGCCCAGGTCTTCGACAAGGCCGGCAAGCTCGATAATCTCAAGAAGTTCGTCACCGATAACGGCCGAAAGTTTTACCAGATCGAGAACATGGCCACCAGCGGCCCCGAGGTCACTGTTGTCAGGAAGGAGGTTGTCATTCCTGGTCTCATCGGTCCTGAGGACGACGGTGTTGTTCCTTTCCGAGCCGGCGAGAAGCTCGACTGGACCATTGAATGGAACTAGTCATTTGACGGTTAGAAATCGTTACCAAAAAGAAAAAACACTACAGCTAATGAATTATTGAATACAAGAAGTAAGCAAGTATAGACAGAACAATGGTGTGCTGATGTCTGCATCACTTTGGCGGGCAGATATATATGTACTGTACCAATACAGATGTTACCAACACATACGATACTGAAGATTCAAATAGAATTTCATTTAAATTATCGTACATTCATACATTCCTCTCTCCGCTTACTAAGATGCTGTCGCTCTGCACTATTACCAACCAAGGCATCAGTGTGCGGCGCACATGGTGCCCGATCGAACCTTCGTTTGAAATGTGTGGTCTGCTTTAGAATAGTATAGAATAGTATAGAACATTATAGAGATGAGGAAGGAACCTAAAGGAGTAATCAACAAGTAAGGGACGCTTACAAATCGACATGCTTTACGCCCACTTCGATTCTCCTTGTATTTATCGCCACTTCCACACTCTTCCCCATGGTTCCATTAAGCTGCTTTGCAGGCCAGCTGCACCAAGAGCCTAAATTTTTTTATTGGGTCCATTTATTTAACATGTATGAAATTTCCACTGCGAAGGCAACACAACCATACACAACACAACAATGGCTGATAACACAAACACAAACGTGCCTGTACACGATGACAAGCGACAAAAAACCGAGGAGGACGCTGAGATGTTTCAGTCGGTAGGAGACCACGCCTCCAATGTGGACAACCAAGTCGACAGCCAAGGTCTGAGAAAGACCGGAGCTGAGGATGCCGAGGGACACCCAGTACAGGAGATTGAGTCTTTCTGTGTCAACTGTGAGAAGACCGGAATCACCCGACTGCTGCTCACTCGAATTCCTTACTTCCGGGAGATTGTGCTCATGTCTTTTGAGTGTCCCCACTGTCATCTGAAGAACTCCGAGATCCAGCCTGCTGCCCAGGTCAGCGAAAAGGGCAGCAAGTACATGCTGCGAGTAGAGAAGAAGGAGGATCTGGCCCGACAGGTGGTCAAGAGCGACTCTGGAAACGTGAAGTTTGTCGAGCTCGATGTTGAGATTCCTGCCAAGCGAGGCCAGTTGACCAACGTTGAGGGTCTCCTCACCCAACTTGCTGAGGATCTCGAGAGCGACCAGCCCGTGCGACAGCATGTGGACCCAGAGACCCACGCGAAGATCGAGGAATTTTTGGCCAAGATCAGAGGCACCATTGAGGGAGATGAGCAGCGATACCCCTTCACCGTCCAGGTCGACGATCCAGCTGGAAACTCGTGGATCGAGTACGTTCCCGGAGAGCCCTCTTCCAAGTGGTCTCACGTTGAGTACTTCCGAACCAAGGCCATGGCGAAGGCTCTGGGTCTGTCTGTTCAGGAGGATGACACCCCTGCTAGAAACCAATCTGTTGCCCAGGCTGTGAACGACGCAGCTCCCTCTATTACTGCTGCTTCCGATACTATCACCACCGCCGATGGCTCTGAAATTGAGAACATGCACTCCGAGGTCCAAACCTTTGAGTCTTCGTGTCCTTCTTGTTTCTCCAAGAACTGTCCCACCAACATGAAGGTGGTCAACATCCCCCATTTTAAGGATGTCATCATCATGGCCACTGTCTGTGAGGACTGTGGATACAAGTCAAACGAGGTCAAGACCGGAGGAGAGGTTCCCGAGAAGGGTAAGCGAACCACTCTTCTGTGTGATGACCCCGAGGATCTGACTCGAGACATTCTCAAGTCCGAGTCCTGTAGACTGCACATTCCCGAGCTGGATCTGGACCTGACAGCCGGAACTCTTGGAGGTCGATTCACCACCATTGAGGGTCTCCTCAACCAGGTTCACGACGAGCTTGACGAGCGAGTCTTCACTCAGACTTCCGACTCCATGACTGTCGAGACCGAGCAGCGATGGCGAACTTTCCTGGCTCGACTCAAAAGCGCTGCCGAGGGCAAGATTCCTTTCACTCTGGTGATGGAGGACCCTCTCGCTGCCTCTTACATTCAGAACCCCTTTGCTCCTGATGCTGACCCCAACATGAACCATGAAGACTTCGAGCGAACTGACGAGCAGAATGACGATCTTGGACTCAAGGATATGAACGTTGAGTCTTACCAGGAGCAGCCCAAGGAGGAGGCTAACTAGATTATAGAAACACTAGGAGTTTGGAGTGTAAGCATGAATGATAGCGTTAATGATATTAATTTGTAATGATACAAATGTGTGTATACGTGTAGGACTATCAGGCAATTCTTGAGCGGTATGGCAATATTACGAATATTCTACATACCTGTACCCCATTCGTAGATCATTGTAACCTAACTGTACGATTGTACATGCTGTAACGGCACCATCGCCTGAGGTGTGTTTTCTGAAGTAATCATCTTCTACTAAGAGTTTTGTTTTTGTCATTATTCACCGTTCGGTTGGTCTCTTTCCTTCGATAGAGTTGTATTCATAAATCATCATTCATCTACTACTTGTACTCGCTTCTTCTTTAGTCATCATTCTCACCCTCCTCGTTCTCGTAAGGCACCTCGGCCTGAGGAGTGTATCGGTAAGCATGTCGTCGAGCTCCATCTGACCAGTCCAGCAGGGCAGTGTGGGAGGTTCGTCGGTTGTCCCAGACAACAACAGATCCATCTTCCCATCGGGCTCGAACATGGAAATCCGATCCCTTGGCGATTATGTCGTACAGGAAATTGAGAATCAGATCAGACTCTTCCTGCTTGAGACCAACAATGTTTCGGGTGAACTGTGGGTTCACGAAGATAGACTTCTTACCAGTGGCGGGGTGCTTTCGGATAATGGGATGCACGTTCTGGACAGGTTCTCGTCGGACAACACCTCCTCGTCGGATAGAGGCGTCAGCCTGCTCGTGAGCAGAATGAACAGCCTTGAGTCCCTCGAGTCGCTTCTGGAACTCAGGAGAGAGTCGGTTGTAGGCCTCGGTGTTGTCAGAGAACAAAGTGTCTCCTCCGGTTCGGGGCATCTCGAGAATACCGAGGAAGGTAGTTCCAGGAGGTTGCTTCTCGTATGTGACATCCGAGTGCCAGGCGACAGAAGACAGGTTGCTGGAAAAGTACTCCTTGTAGATATCATCTCCCTCCTCTCGGAAGATAAGGTGAACCTCGGGGTAAGCCTGGGGAGATCCGGAGGTGGGATGAATGTGCTGTCTTCCAAAGTGCTCTGCATACTTGAGGGCGTCCTTGATTGGAAGCTCTCTGAAATCCTGGTCCCGGAAGACAACCACTCCTCGCTCGGCAACGAAGTAGGCAAGCTCGTCCTTGGCCTTGTCGGAGAGCTTGGAAAGCTGTACACCTCGGACCTCAGATCCAAACTTGGGGGTGAGGTCATCAACAGAGTAGCCGTACTTAGTCAATTGCTCACTAGGAACAAGGTACTTTTTGTCATTGGTGGGAAGACCCTTCTCGAAGAGGTTGGGCAGAGTCTTGTCAGCTCGCTTACCAGGCTCTTCGAACTTGAACTGCTTGTAAGGTTCGAACTTCTCAGACTGATCCCAGCCAGGGGCGTACTCAGGGAACTTCAGAGGAGGATTATGGCTCTTGGGGCCATTAGCGGTGTCCTTGTCGCCAGTAGCTCGGAAGGTGGAAGCGTCAATAGCCTGGATTCGGTAAGCTGTTTGGGTAGACATTGTTGCGATGTGGATGAATGAAACTAACCGTTTAGAAACGAAACGATACAGACCTTGCTGTCCACGGTTTATATATACCCTACGTGAATTGACCCGTGGCTTATCACGCAATCCCCATTTCAGACACTCACTCACTCCTCCGCTATTTCCATGTGGCTTGAAGCTAGCCGAACTTTGTGCTTGGGTGTGGCTTTTGCGTGGCGAGAAGTGTCATGGGCACGGGTGGCTTATTCCGATGAATGCGAGCCTTTGAGCTAGCTTCTCCCTTCTTTGCGAGTTTTTTTCGGCTGCTTTTTTCTCTCCATAGTTGTGTTTTTGTCCAGCCCGCAGCCGCCTATCCCCCGCTTACCAATACCCCAGCTCTTATCCGTCATGGCACCATCGAGAGTGCAGATTGCATGCATCATCCTGTCGCCACATGCATTTGCCCACCGTGGCTAGGGTTTGAATACGTGATTGTGGCTGTCGCGGGAAGCCCCATCCCGAAAGGGACGATCTGAATATTGCGCGAGTGTGGGGTCTGGGGTAGCCACATGAATTGTTCGGCGTTTTGGTGTGTTGTGTATGGTGTTGTGTATGACTAGCGATTTTTTTAACAGTAGCTACTGTACATGGCGCACACAGCTGAACGCGCCGTGCAGCTTTGTTACCAGCTTAGTCACCGTCTACACAGAACGAATCACTTGCGTCGTATATTTCACGTGTATTCATTTGGAGCTGTTACCATGTTGGGTTTCTCCAAAATTCATTGTCTCAAATTGCTAATCTGATTGCGAATCTGAGCTTGTGGCTGTGGCTTGGACATGGGGCTGTGGGCTGATGTTGGGTAACAGAGAGATCTCTATGATCGTAACCGTCGTAACAGTCTTTAATACTGCTTCAAATGTCACTTCTACTCATTGGAGCAGAATTATGGTCTTTTGTGTGTGGTGATGCTGTGTCCTAAGACTCTCAATTTGATAATGCAAGAGTGGAAGTAATAGCTACCAATAGTAGCTTATTTGCCTAGAGACCTGAGATGACACAATAGCTACAGTGCAAGGTAGCTACTGAAATACTGTAGTGTGTCTGTCAAAAGATGATTCAAGGTGAGTGTCCAATCAGCGTTTCAGCTACCTGTACTCCACTCCACCAGCTCAGCTTCTCGCTGTACTCTAAAGCGGCTACTCATACTCGTGCTTAGATGTACAACAAAGGAAGACGCAGATTACACCTGTCCATGGATAATCGAAACGACTGAAAAGGTTATTTACTTGGTGAATATTCTCGGGTGACTTATTCTTTTTGACGTATGGCGTCAACAACGAGGTCTTCAGCGACATTTATTTTGGGAGACATGTAAAACGGGAGGTTGGTTCTATCTACCTGAAGGTACACTCATTCAGTTCGAGTGATGTTTAACGGTAGCATTCTCATTGAGAGTCTTCAGTAACATATATATTCTGTCTCTCTTCGTGGTTCCAATTTTTCAGCATTATTTCACGTTAAAACCTCTTTGACATGCATGCCCTTCCCCCAGATGTGGTCATCAAAAAAAAAAAAAAAACATCTGATTCCAGCACACAATTCAACACAGGAAAATCACTCCACAGGAATCGGACTCCGAAAGATACCGTGCTAATCTTGAGACAACCAAACTCACTCTGACCAGAGTACAAGTGGTTTCTATGGAGAACTTGTATCGAGATGCAAATAAGATTCGGAAGTGCCTTATCTAAACTCTTTTTATATTCCAGTCTGAGACTGTCTCTCAAGAGTGAAGGCTTAGTTGCGAATTGTATTCCCTTTACTGATACTTCCTAACCAAAATCAACTGTGAGCTGTTCACCAGTTAATGTAAGTCGCCATTCTTCACCCAAGGGTGTCACGGGGTTGTTTCCGTCAATACCCACACTCGATCAATAAAATGCGTATCTTTCTATGAAGAGCTTACGTCCAAGATCACCATGATACTTGTACCACTTTCTCTGTTCTGAGTCATGGAAAAACATCTTGGATTAACTATATTATGTAATAGGTCATCTGTGACTGGGGAAAAAAAGAACCAGCAAAAAGAAAAGAAGGAATAAATTAAAGCAATAGAGCTGGGATCATAACAGCATAAACAGCTCTGTAATCGACTGCGCTGGCTCCGTTGTGTTTCTTGACATGAGCGGGTGGAGCAGCTGTTTGAGCATTCCCGAGCCAGGTCTGGGATGTGGGCTTCACAGGAGTTCCAGTGCCTGTAGTGTCGACGCTAACTTCCAAAGTCGAAGTCGTGGTAGGTAGAGGGTTGTCTGAGAACTGAGTTGTGAGTGTGTGGATATCAAAGCCTGGAACGAGCCATGCGCTGTTGATGGAGGTGTAGAAGTTGAAGCCCGAGACAGTGTTGAAATACTTGTCAATGAGCGACAGCATTTCGTCTCTCACTGTCATGATGCCGTCTCTGTTGTCAGATGACATAGTTTTGAGGTCCGCTCTAATGGACTTGTATTCAGGGTCGTTTTGCATAGAGACTCCAGCATTTTCGTATGCATTGTGGTCGATGATCTCTCCGTCGAGACTTCGGTTGATCTGGCCAGACCCTGTACCATACTTTGGTTCTGCTGAGGTCGTGTGTTTGGCTGCGAGGGCGAGTGATAGTTGTAGAGCGAGTGCGAGGAGATTGACCATCTTGAGATACTCAAGCGTCCATGCATGTGTACCACACACACATATATATATATATATGTGTGTATATGCCCGGATAGTGATTCGGTAGTCCCAGCTATTTTTACACGTTAAGTTGGCTACAGGGGGAAGCTTGGAAGTTATCGTTACACGGACGAAAAGCCCAGATTATAGATGACCAGATTAAAATATTTGTTGCCCAACTACATTCTCCGTGGTCCTGTTTCCCCCCCTGAATTCCCATTGTATCGTTCACCACTGGCCATGTTGAGCCTGGAAGACTATTTTGGGCACCCAATACAGTTTCAATTAATGCACCGTATTTAGGTCGCCATGCGGGGGTTGGTTTTTCAGCCACCCCCCTACGGCCTTATAAGTGGTATTTCTGTGTCGAGTAACTTTTCGGAATGGTCCGTTATCATATAATAATTGATCTACGTTGGAAAATGAACACATTCTTCTCTCGGACCCCTTCTAGGACATCCCCGTTGTACCAGCACCACTACTCGGAGTTAGTCTTTTAATCTCAACCGTATTTTTGGCCTCCCCCCTTACATGATGACCATTCAGCCTATGGGGTTGCTCCAGAACAAGAGGAGTTATAGCCGGATACGGTCATCTGGTGATATTTGAAGATAGCCGACACCCGTGAATTATTCCAGTGGTCCGCGTCACCTTAGGCTTATCCTCTAAACGAGAGGGAACAAGACAGGCCTGGAGATCGGGTCGAACCGTCGCTGGCCTATTGTCTGACAAATTAAAAGTCGAATCTAGACGCTCAATTGAAGACACCAATGTTATCCTTCTACCAAAACCACCCAAACTGCCGGCTACCAAGCGCACTGTACAGCATGTGTGGCACCTACCCTACCAGCCCGCTGATCTGCAGGCGGGGGTATGTACATACTGTACTCGTAGGATGAATAGTCAGTGAAATTGAGCATCAGCTATATGTGACGGCCATAGCTCATGCTACTTATAGCATGAATACATACTTGTTGTAGAGGCAATTGCGGAGTAGCGTGAGAAAAACAAATTCTGCTCCCATTATACGCTGTATCGTGTTGCGTCACCAATTTCATTGTTCGTATTCGTGTCATCAAGCACAATTGGTGGCTTCAGGGGTATGATGTTTGGACAACACCTATATCATAGTCTGATGCTTGCGAGTTTCCTGTGCTTCCTGAGCTGCTACTTGTTAATCGAGGTCACATGGTAGATATCATGTAACTAGCGAACTGGTGGAAAAATATTGTCTCATAATAATTAAGCGAAAGGATGTGAAATATCATCAGAAACCCCAGATGTCATTAAGCGTGCATGCAGGTTAGCCATGGCACATGGTTGAAATATATATAGGTTGAGGTTGATGGTATGAGTTGGGTTTCTGGATGATTTATAGAGGAAGACGAAATTGGACGTCATGGTGTAGCGACTTCCATTAATCAAGCTTTTGACAAGGAGGTCATCCAAAGGGATATCTACAAATAAGTACCCATCACTCGAAGTTGTATCGAATATACTCTAGTGGTTCGCAGCTACTGTACGCCCCAATGACTTTTGGTCACGATCTCCAAGTCACATGAGATAGCCAATGGAATCACTCTGAGGCTGTTTCAAGTTCAGTGCATGGTAGAACCTCAAGAACAGTAGAATCAATGAGTTCCCTGGCTCTTATCTGCAGAACCTCAGGAATGAGCTATCCACCCTATTGACATGACCAAAAAAGGTCTGATCATCAGAGTCCAACGGATACAGCCCCAAAATGGGTTTCCATATATACATGGCAGAGCTGGGACTACAACTGAATCCCAAACCAGTACATTCCTTTACAACACCTATCACTACTATCACAATGTCTCCCCCACGACCCGTTCTCCGAGGTGATCCTAACTTCAAGGTTACTCCTATTCCAGGTACGTAGTATGCATTTCTACCCTTCAGTACACCATAACAACACATTCTAACGCAGGTAAACCAACCATTGCGGTTGAGCAGATTTGCGTAATCGCTTGATTGACCCGATATCATATAGATAATGCAATTATAACTCTCAGCTAAATTTAGATATTTTTCTTCTTTTTTCTCGCTAATTCAAGTCATTATGACAATATTAAGCGTAATTCAAAATAATTGCTTCGTTTTTGATTCTAGGGAAGGTGTTGTTTTATTCTAATAATCCTGGTCATTGGCGTTCAACGAATCATACACATGATAATCGTTTCGGGCGCGCGTGTCATTTTTTTTTATTATAATGATCCATTTTTATATATTTCTATTTCAGAGAAATTTTGATGACTAAGTAAAAAAAATTAATTTTTCTAATGATTCATTACAGCTATATACCTACAGTAGTAGTTATTGAAGATCATAAGTATTATTGATGTGATATAGTTAATTAACAACTTACAACCCACTTCTAGGGACACGACGTTCCGATAGTAGCACACACCAGAAGGGTGTGTGCTTGCTCATTCACCAGAAAAGATATTCTAGATCAGTGGATAAAACTATCTACAGGATGGACATCTCGTCTACGACCCAGCTGGTTCCTCTCATCACTATGTGGTGACATCTCATCATTATGTGAGGAATTAGCCAGGTATTACCCCACCGGGTATTACCTTCAACAGTAGTAAGCCGGGTTATTGGCGTTCAATAAATCATACACTTCTGAATCATTGCGGTGTGCGCTGCGAGGCGCATGTCAATTGGTTTGTCGACGCTTCGTCTAGTTCTTTTCCTTGTCGTGGTCTCGTGGTAGTGAACCATGGCTAACAGATAAAGTAATCATATCAATCGTTCCATGTCTTATCCAGACTCGAGGTTGGTTTAGTTTGTTGTCATAAAGATTGTAGAAGGTGTAATTCGGATAGGGATCGTGAATATCATTCGTGTGTGATTTTTTTTTCTAATGATTATTTTTATTCTAATTTCATGACTAATCATAACACCTTATGACTAACTTCTGAATCGTTACAATTTTGTTAGGGATCAGCGGCTAAGAAATAGCCGCCTGATTAGTCTCTCATGAACCGCTAGCGGAGTCCCGGCAGGATACCGCGGAGACTACGACGAGGGGCCACCACGTGGGCCCTCAGTGGGATTACGCTATCATTAATATCGATATGCCAAGCCTGCTATCACGGACAAAGGGTTGCGCCGCAACCCAGGATAACATATAAACCCCTGTATTCCATCTATTCTAATACACCTTTCTTGAGAGTGACGGCAGTGACCATACCTTCGGTATGGCTACCGCGGCTGAGTCATCAGTCTGCTTAGTCACAGTGCCTGGGTTCTAACAAATTTAAGATTTGACTTCGTGGCCAAGTTGGTTAAGGCGTACGACTGTTAGTCACCTGAATGGCCGCCATCGTAAGATCGAGAGTTCGACCCTCTCCGAGGTCGTCAAATCATTTTTTGTTTCTCTGGGTTGAAACGAAGTTTTGTTTTTTTTGGAATTGGTAACAATAAGGCTGTCTGATGCTTTCAGGTTGTTTTTATTGTCACTTTGACATCATGTGGCTTATGACAGCTGTTTTAAGAATCCAAACACAACTGGTTCACTTAGTATGTTACTCCGTAAAGCTATCTCGTGCACTATTGAAGCGGCCTCTCAGATGATACTTGAAGCCATAAACTACGCGTGAGCTACTCATTCCATCTACATGTCTGTCATTCAACCGTACTATTCATATATACACTATTTACATTACTCCTTCTGGAGCTGTTGGGTCTGGTCAGCCTCCTTTTCCTGAGCCACCTCCTCGGCATCAAACTCCTTGAGCATCTCCTGCACTCGGGCCTCTACGGCCTCGTTGGAGACCTCATCCACCTCCATGGCGTCCAGCTGGTCCAGAGACTCGGGCAGACCTTCGTGGGTGAACAGCTTGGCCTTCATACCGACACCAGCCAGCTTGTTTTGCGAGAGGAACTGCACCAACACCTGAATGGTATCCTGGGATGCGTTGTTGAGAATGAGCTTTCGGCCGTGGGTTCGTCGCTCGAAGTTTTCCTTGGACTTTGCATGCACGAAAACTGCTCGGTTCACAGTCCATCGCTTGAATCGGGTCTTTTGGGGCACAGGTCCCTCAACGGGGATTCGCAGGTAGTAGGCCGCTCGCTGGGCAAACTCGGTGAAGACCTCTAGGTCCTCGTGAAAGTATGCGTTGAAGAGGAGCTCGGCACACTTGACCTTAGGGGTGCCCTCGGGAATCTTGACCTTGAGAGGTCCGTAGTAGTTGGCGAGAGCAGAAATTGGCAGAGGTCTCTCAGAGTTGGCCTCGTAGATCTTGTGCTCGGTCTGGGTGTAGGTGCCCTGCTTGGGGACCAGCAGATCATCAGACAGCTGCTGTCGAAGGGCCTGGGCCTTGGGGGTCAACTGGGACTCCACTGAGGCCTGGGACATCTTGCCTAGCTCATTTTGTCGGAAAGTGGAGTTGAATCGCACAAGCGCCGTTCGCGGCAGTGTTCGTGGGGCCAGGGTCCGAAGAGGAATCATCGTGTGCTGTGTCGGTGTGGTTTGATGCGAAATTTCACCACACCTGAGTGTCGGTTAAGTTTTTCAGGGTTAGGTCTGGTTGGGACAATTATGTAATGGGGGATGGGATGGGAGAGAGAGTAGGCGGGAGGCGGTACAATAGGCAAAGGGTGTTCTATTTATTGTGCAGTAATTGTCTGTCTATTGGTATTGGTAGTACATGTGATATTGTGGTGTTTAATCCGTGGATCTGGTTTTTCATTCGTTGGGTTTTGGAAGAGTCAGTGTCCGAGATGTGGAATGTCGTCAACGAAACTTGATGGCGCTAAGTAATAAGATATGCTAGTTGATGATTAGTTAAAGGACCGGGCGACTGGCTGATTCATAAATTTATTGCCCACGGCGGCTATATTAACACAAACTGCTACAGTAGATGGCAGGGCAAAGGTTTGCATTATATTCCAACGCCGATGGATGCAACACAATCCTAACTAACAGAAGATGTGTCGAGTGGCGATGTGGGCATAGATGTGAGTGGCGTATACCCTGAAACCAAACACGTGTTTAGAAGACAAGTGTGAGGAGGAGGAAATACGGGCGGTCTTGATTGTTTAATTGGGTAGGTATGCTCTCAAATTATTTCTCACACGTTATACACAAGCTAACATCTTCATTACTTCAGCTACTGTCCGGTAACGGAGAAGTCTCACTGGTTGGTCAGCTTTCAAATGATCCAAAACTTTGGTTCACCCTCCTACTCGTAGTACACTTGCTTGAACTTTTATGGTAATATATACAGTACAATAAATCAGAGTTGAGGTCTGTGTTGATATATGCTACCAAAAATGGCAAAATGTGCAAATGATACATTGTAAAGGTCATAATCCGACGTTTTTCCACTTTGTATGACTAGCCCCTGTCACTTTTAACCACCTCTCACCATAGCCTCCACTGCGCCTGCCGGACATGCCATCGCCCAAAGTCTAACTCCACATCGCAGTGCATAAACACGCTGATAGTGATCCACACCTATCCACACCCCCAACATGTCCGAGTACCGACGCCAGGCGCACTCGAAATACAAAATGCCCGGGGGTCTGCTGCCTCCGGTGAACCTCGGCGAGGGTTCTGGGCCTACGCACGCCAATTCGGGCTTGCGCACAGACTCCAAAATGGCTTCATTTGTTGCAGTGCCTGACCGAAAGGCCACCTCCTCGCCCTTCAGACACTCGGGGCAGTTCAGCAACTCATTCACCTCGCTTGCTAGCCTCAAAGATCTTAGCGACCGAGATCTCCCGGTCAAAGCCAGCCCTCGCAACAATAATAGCCATGGCACCAACAACAGTAACAACAGTAACAACAGTAGCAGCAACAACAGCGCCAAGGATGTGTCTATCCCCACGACACCCAGATCCAGCTCTCCCGCTACAGCCGCTCTGTCACCAGTAGACGAAATGAACAGTCCCAAGAGCCCTACCGAAGCGGCATATTCGTCCGGTCAAACGCCGCCTTATTTGAGAAACATGACCATGAAACGACGGAACAACAGCAAGTCGGCCACACCGCCTCCTTCGACTCCTGGACTGCTTGGACGAGCAGGAGACAATGGCAAAAAGAGCAAGGACGAGATTCAGGCATCCCCACGGTTTCTGGATGTCAACAATAGTCAGTGGAGAGAAGCCGCCACAAGCCACAACTCCACAGCTAACCTGGGACCCAACTCGAATTCCAACTCCACAACTGGAATGCCTCCCCGATCAGCCTCGTCATGGATGATGAGCAACACCCCCATTGCACCCATAGCACTCATGGGCCACGCTGGTTTGAGAAACGGACAAGGTGGAAACAAGGGAGGCCGCGCATTCGATCTAGGAGACGTCCTGTCTAGAGACGACGACTCGGATAGTAGCAGCAGTCGCAGTGTTAGTCGAAGCCGCAGCGTCAGCCATGATCCTGACGAACGAAGTGGTCGTGCTAGCTCGCCTTCATGCATGGATGATTGGGACGGTGATAACAGGCTTAACATGCTCATGGCTATCACTGGTGACATTCCTCAGACACCCATGAGTGCTGGAGGAGGTTTCTCAGACGACTTTACTAATGATTCACCTGGAAGCCCTCCAATGAGTGCTGGCGGCGCTGGCTGGATGGGCCACCAAGGAGAAGATGTGGACGCCCTGGGCATCCTGGAAAAACTGGATCCTGCCCCTACGTTGGTTGACTACACTGCTCTAATCGATGATTATGGTGATCTAGGGTCTCAGGACGTGCGAAAGCAAAAAATCAAGGAGTTCAAACGCAAACTCCAGGAACGCGCTCAGCAAGATAGCGAGCCAGTTGCAAAGTCTATCTCTGTGGTGGACGCCACTCAGCATATGAAATCCAACCTCATCAGTAACGTCGGTGCTCAGATCGGATCTGTTGAAACTCGACTTTCTAAGAAGCTGGAACTCTTTCAAGCCAATCTCGAGGCCCTCATTGATCTCAAGGCTCGAGCCAAAGAAACAGTGTTAGCATTCAAGAAGGAGACGCTTACATCTTATGAGACGTTCAACTCACAACTGGACCATATTCGTGCCATCCAGGAGTCGTCTGAAGCCATCGAACTGCTAGAAGAGCGAATTGGAAATTGTAGAGCTAAAGTGACGGAGTACAAGGAACGTCTCAAGACGGTAAACCAGTGGATTGATGAACAGGAACGGTTTGATCGACTCTGGTCTCGACGTAAGCGAGCCGCCTTCAAGATTACTGTGTCTGTGCTTGTTGTGATCCTGCTCATCTCCTCACTGGTTCTCTTTGTTGCTACATTGAGAGGAGGTTTCGGTAAGAGTCTGAAGCTTGGATTCAAAAAGGCGAAAGGAAGCACTGTGACACTTTCCAAACAGAGTCAGTTTGATGATGTTTTGCAGTGCCTTGGTGACTTTGACCATTGTCGTTTCAAGAATGACATGAAGGAATTGTAGGCATATAGATTTATTTATTCATTTACTTAGAAGATTGAATGTAGACTGGAGTCCATCTGTAAAGATGCGAGTTACATGTTCGTGCAAGTATCGACAAGTCCACCAAGCTTCACAGTAGGATGCTAGTGAACGACTCCATATACACATGTATTGGTACTGTACATACTGTGTGTGTAGCTTTAGTATGTACTTGTAATACATTATGGTACTCGTACATTTGTGTCCAGACTAAAACCTGTGGCGCTCAAATGAAGACAGTCAATCCTAATGGAAACTGATCCGTCCGAAACTAATAAATATATATATTGGTCCACTTATTCTGTGTCACACTTCGAGTCATGTAGTGTGGTATCGTAGCAATGGGGGAAGAGGACTCATTGTTGATCCTGAGGAGTCTTCACGGGTGTGAGTATCGGTACAAGTATCAGCTGATGTAAAAAGAAACGTCTTCGAGATGCAAAAGGAAAGCCCGACGTGGGGCTTGAACCCACAGCCTTGAGATGACTTTAGAAATAAGAGTCTCACGCTCTACCGATTGAGCTAGCCAGGCCAGATTGTTGAGCCGGGAGAGCGGATAACCGTTTTGAATGGCAAAATATCTCACGTGTGTCATTAGAATAAAAAAGTGCATCATTAGAATATAAAAAATTGGTACAAAAAATGTGAACAAAAAAAATGTGAATAAAAAATTTAAAAAAAACCATGTATTTCCCTACAAGTAGAATAATAAAAAAGCTCTAGAATCAATTTATTTTTTTAAAAACAAAAATTTTTAAAAAAAACCGAACTCGAATCATGTGCAAAAGAAAGAAAAAAAATCCCAATGAGGATGAAAAAGGACGGAAGCTGTGCTAAAGATGGTGAAGCTGCAGTAGGAAGCATTCGAAATACGCTGTAGTATGTGCATACGTGATCTTTTCAGCTTTCTCATAAAGCGATATGTTGGGCTCTATGAATGCTCCCCTGTGGTCTCGAGCGCGAGTCTTCTCAACCGAGAAGTGAGAGAGAACTGTTAAATTACAATTAAATATGCATAAACTATCAACTATCATCAAAATTCCTACCCCTAGTTGGCACTGATGAGAACGTACTTGGTAATGGATTCGAATCTCTCAGCCGTCAGCTTCAGAACCACTTTCAGAAGCTCGTTGGCAAGCACCTGTCCATCAGGCTCGAGCTGCTGGAGCTGCTTCCACGACTCGGCATCCATCTTCCAAACAGTGGTCTCCACCTCTGCTGTGACAGTTGCTGTTCTATAAGTCTCGGAGAAGAACGGCAGTTCTCCACATGTGGTACCAGCCAGAATCGTCTCGTAAAGTCGACCCTGCTGCATGTCGTAGTCTGCTCTCAGAATACCGCTTTGTACAAGGTAGAATCCGGTGGGAGATTGGTTGGCAGTGTACAGAACGTGACCCTTGGGAAGCACCTCCTTCTTGAAGAATGCGCAGATTCGGAACCAAAAGTCCTCGTTCTCATTGGTAAGACCCTGGGACACCTGAAGCAGTAGAGGCAACGGCTGCTTGAAGTTGTTCCACTTCATTATAGGGTCGTCTTTGACGTTGTTAGTGGCAGCCCGATGGATCATGCTCAGTCGGGGAGATGCAGAGTAGCCAGGAGATGAAGAAAGCACAGCAAGCGCATTCTTACGGTTACCAGAAGTATTGGTAGGGATATCAGTGGGTGTGCCTGGAGTGGTAGGAGAGGCAGCATCGTCGCGGGCACTGTAGTAGAGACTCAAGAACTCATTCTCGCACCATTCTAGGGCCTCGTTCAAGTTAGAGAACAGCCGAACATCAGTTCCCTGCGTGCAAGAACCCTTCCAAAGGCCAACTGCACCCAAAGCGGATGAGATGGGAGAGTTGGATCCAATACCAGACATGACTAGGTAAACGTTCTTGCTATCCAGCAGCTTTTTGATACGGATGAACGCCTCGGCAGCAGAGAAGTCGATGTTAGAAACGGCAGTCATATCCAGAATGAGGTATCGGAAAGGAGACTCCTTGAATTGTGCGTCATCCATGAGCTGCTTGATGGTATCCTCCACACGCACAATGGTACCGAAGAACATGTATCCAGAAAGCTTGAGCAGGTAGATGAGGTTACCACACTCCTGAAGAAACTTCTGTTGGGTAGCGTGACGTCGAACGGTGGATCGAGCCACGGCTCCAGTGTATGTAGCCTTGATGACCGATCTCTGAGAAGATTGGATAACAAATGAGAAGCATGCCAACACAATACCAAACAGAATACCGTAGACAAAGTCGAAAATACCCATGGTGAGCACAATTGCCAACACAGTGATATACTCGAACCGAGACAGTCGGCCCCAAGTGTCACCCAGAGCTTCAATCAGAAGCTCAATGCCCAGCAAGAAAATGAGGGCACCAACTACACAGACGGGGATGAAACCAATGACTACAGGACCGGCGAACATAACACCAGCCGTAGCAATGGCGAGCATGACACCAGCCACTCGAGAATCGGCTCCAGACTTGATGAACAAGACCGAGTTAGTGTAGACCAGGTAGTTTTGAATGGATCCCATCAGACCACTGAGACCGTTACTGATGCCGTGAGCAAGCAGTTCTCTATCCACGTTGATGTCCTCTTGTCCAGTGGAAACAGCGAGAGCAGGCACGTTGATGGGAACATGCAGAATACCGAAGAAGGTCAGGGCGAACATGGCAGGCACGGTTTTCAACAGAGCGGCCCAGTCTGTCTTTCCAAAGTCGTAGAGAGTGTAGTAGTACCACCAGGGCTCGCTAGTGGCCTGGGCAGAGAACACCCAGCCATTATCTCGAGCCATTTGCAGGTTCCATGAAGGAATAGCCCACACCAGCAGATGGAAGATGGCAAAAACACCGCAGAAGTATGAGGGCACAATCAGTGGATGGTGAGAGAATCGTTGGATGAGAAGCAGGGCTAATGCGAGGGCCAAAGGAGTGCTCCACATGAGAAGGATTTGGGGGTCCAGCAGAAACTTGAGAATTGCAAATGTGTATTCCAGGGGACCGTCCATTCGGGAGGACACCTCAATACCCGTTACGCACAGGAACCATCCTACACCTCCAATGCATCCCACAAGAATATGACGAGGGAAGAAGGAAATGAGTGATCCTAGACGGGCAGCTCCCAGCGCCAGAAACACCAGCCCGGTTACGACAGAGGAGGTTGCAAACGCGAGAATAACAGTAGGGATCACCCGCTCTGGCTCCTTGATCTCGGCCATTAGGGTGTATGCCATGGAATGGAAAAAGGGCACGACCTCAATCATTTCGGATCCAATACCAGCCTTGAAAGCAGATCCTCCCAGTGAGTAGACCAATTGCGAAACGACACAACTCATGTAGAACATTGACAGACCTGCAGGACCCAGATGTGCAAAAATGGGCTCTGATAGCGGGAACAGAATCATTCCGTACGACAGACCGTCCAAGATGTTGAGGAGAGTTCCCAGCACTACTGAGGGCAGGTATGATATTGGCTTCTTGATGCACTCGTCGAGCATGTCTGCTGATGAGGTATTTTTGATCTTTTCCTCCAGTCTCTTGAACCATCCGCTGAGTCCTCGTCTTGGTCCTCCATGGTTCACGTCGCCAGTTTCGATGTCGGGACATCCAAACGTGTGGTATTGTCGGTGTGAGTCTCTTCTGGACGCTGTGATGGTCGATTGTGCTGATTTCTTTGATTCGGCTGACTTCTTTGGCCGTAGCGGATCTCGCTCTGTGTTGCTCAGCCCGGGAGTTTCGATCACATCTGGAATCGGTAGCGGTTCGTTGGCTAGCTGTCGAGACAGAGAGGAGCCGTGCATAGAGTAGCTCTGTGCTGATCCGGAGGATTTGGGACGGTCGTTGTTAGATGGCGAGGTTCCCATACCTTCTTCGAGCGCCATATTGGCTAGCTCGGCACTCTGGTGTCGGAGGCCTTCGTTCATGTTGGGCACTGATGGTGGAATGAGAATGGACGGTCTTCGTGAGTAGGACCGTCCGCCCAAACGCTGGAGAGGCGACTCAGAGAATGAGGAGCCCAGATATGAGTTTGGCTGCTCAGACATTGTCGCAAAAGGGATGTCGTCGTTGAGTTGAAGCTAGCGTCCTGTGTTATCTAGATGGCCTCGAGAAGAGAGTTCGACTACAAAGTTTGAGTAAATGGAGCTTGAGTCTAACTATGGAGTCGGTGGAGATGATGGATTTCTGGTGAGTGGTCGAGAATAATTGGGGGTGGTTGAATTAATGGATCGATATACCATTTTTAAACTAGTCAAATAGTTTTGGTCATGTTTCCTTTTATGTAAAGCATCACAGCTACCACGAAAACTAACCCAGGTTGGTTCTCCCCAAGCGTGGTTACACTTTGGGGTGTGAAAGACAAAATTATTGATGCAAATACTTATCAGTCAAGACAGCCTATAGATAAACAACGACCGGAAAATTATAGCTCCTAAATGTCCAAGGGATTCGTGATTCAATAGAAGAGCTCTTTTTGGCATCTCAAAGGCATCTCCACTTGGAAGACACGCCTACAGTATCTACACTCACATTAGTGTCTGTGCCAACGTTGATGATGCATAGATCTTGTGGGCTAGTTGAAATACTACAAGTAGCTATTTCTGGGAAATGGTGGTCTCGTATCCTACACGCACTGTACGCAAGAGACATGTGGCCCTTGGACAAAAGGCATCACACGGCAACTGAGACAGGAGCTCCAGGCACGGGCTCACACGCTACCATATGATATTTGAGGCAGACACAGAAAGCGTAATTCTCCAGGCACGCCCTCACTTTTCTCCCCAGGTAGACAGTAGACAACGGACTCTCTCTCACTACAGTAAGCCCAAAAACGGTTAAGCCTCAGCCTTGGTCAAAACGTATTGTATTGTGCAAGACGAGAGAAATGTTTGTCAACTCTAAGACAGCCACAGTAATGGGAGAAGGCGGGGCGGGGTATTGAAACGCCCTTGTTGTGGGATTGCTCGATTCGCCGCTTATTTACCTCCTTCCTGCGTTTTATATCTGCGACCAATCGCTTAATATCCCGTCTTTTCACCACCAACAGGGTTCAATATCTCGTCCATACACCACACCTGTATGGTGGTCGCAAAGTTCACGCCCCTCCAAAGTTCACACTAACGAACTCTAGCTAAACGAAACAGAAGACTCCAATTAGTTATCCCAAAGCATAGATACGAGTGTAGCGACGAGAAAACAGGCACACGAACAAGGGCCATACGCTCCCTCGGTATGGCTTCAGATGATTAGTTCTAGACATCTCTCTCCGTTAGCGCCACATGCAAACAAACGCCGATCGTCGTCCTCCTTTCATTTGCCCCATCTTCAACAATGTAACTTAGACAGCTCTCACCCAATCATATTCTGCATACAGATAAGGAAAAACCACACACCCATGTACGGTGATAAAAGAAGTTATTATTACCAGTACTCGTGCTCGTACCCTGACACACTCAGTTTAGTACTTGTACCCGGTACAGTAGCTTACACAAGTACGGTAGATGCAATGTTGGAGTAAATTTGTACTTATACGAATAACATGTAACAGTACATACAAGTACGCTTGGAATGTAATAGCCAACATGAAATAACCATGCTTCCCCAACCAATACAGACAATATCACAACTCCCATGTCTTTCTATCAGACTTACACCTGTGAAAATATTCTCCCATTCGTATAATAATACATCAGTATGTATCTACTGTATCTTGTCATTGAAGGAAAAAACATCTAATATACAGTATCTATATACCTAGCTATGTTTTCATGTTCTCAATCCGACTAACCTTTATAGGCATTGCTGGTTCATCATTCATAATACAATACATTAATAAATAAATTTCCTCCTCCGATCTAGTCGGTACACCTATTCTGTTCCCTCGGTAGGCATTATATGGCTGTTGAGTGAGGCAAACATTTTTTCAATTTCCTGAGAGCCCTTTGTGAACTCCAGGTCCCAGAACCGGTAACTGGGGTTCTTGAGCAGCTCAGCAAAAGTGATCATCAGACCCCAAGGATGAGGCCGGTTGCAGATGATTCGCTCAAGCAGCACCCGAGTGATAATGTGCTGAATGTCTACCTTGCCGGAACCCAGGCTGGCCTCGCCATGAGCGCCAAAGAGCGACAGAATCACACAAGAGTACCAGTAGGTGTGTCTGTTGGGGTACCGCAGCTGGTTGGCAATGGCCTCGAACAAGAAGTATCGTCCCTCGGCGTCCAAAGCCACTGCCACAGATGTCAGCAGAGACAGGTGGGGCGAAGAAGTATCAAAAGTAGCGGTGGAGATCAACGAGGCAATGTACAGCACCAGAGCATTGAGAGCAGTGGAATCCACGGAGATCTCGTTGAAACCAAGACCCAGGCAAGGCTTGGCAGAAGGCAGATAGAAGGCCTTGAGTAGGTTCTTGATGATGGCAGGCGACGGGTTTCTCAGATACATGTCGGTGAGCTTTCGGATGCCATGCTTCTGGGCCTCGTGGCCAGGGTCAATAGCCAGAGGAGGGGCCGCCTTGATCTCAGCCAGCGATTCGACCTTGAGACCAACTGTGAGAGGGTCGGGCAGCTCGAGATCGGCAGGGAAAGCTGACAACACGAGGTTTCGCAACTGGATGAACGAGGGCGAAATCACATTGCACAGCGGGTAGTGGTTCTCGATGAGGAACTGGGGGTAGTCGTGGAGGATCACCAGCATAATTCGAAGAGTACCCTTGTACATGACAGCCACGTGCTCGTTGAACTCCTTGTCGGTGGTGAAGTGGTCCTGGAACTTGAGTAGGGCCTCCAGCAGAGATAGATAAGGGCCCCAGCCTCGTCGATTTCTGACCACGTCCATCATCTTGGGCAGGAACATTCGATGCGAGATCAGAGTCATCCAGGCAAATGCAAAGCCAGGGAAAGCCATGGGTTGGATGAGCTTGAACGTCTCTGCAAGGCACAAGTAGATGGCGTCTCGAGACTCGGCGCTCAGCTCAGCCTCGCTTAGCTCGCAAAGAATGGACGAGAAAAGTCTGAAATAAGGCTTCTCGTTAAATCCGACGGGAGACTCGCCTCCGGACTTGGCCTCATGATCACCAGCAAATACCAGCACCACCACAGCCAGCAGCTGTCGCACAAAGGCGCTGATCCGCTTGGCGTTGGTTGCCTCGTGGGCAGAAATAATGGTCACTAGTAGTTTGGCCAGACCATCCACAGCAACAGCAACATCTCCAACAGGGGCAGCAGGCTTGTCAACCATCTCAAAGCAGTACGACTTGACAGAGATCTCGGTTGCAGTCCGCACAAGCACACAGAGGTGGTCAGGGTTGGATAGCATACCGATCTCAGAAAGCTGTAAAACAAACATGTACCGCATTCGCAGATTGTTACAGGCTCCAGGGTGGCCCACAAGTCGCAGCCACTCAGCAAAGATGTAGGCACACTGCTCCTTAAGAGACACCTGGGAGGCGTCAGTTCGAGAAGCACGAGTGGACTCAGACAGCTCTGTGATGGTGGGAATCACCACGTTGGTGTCGTTAAGAGTTGTGATGCACTTGGCAGCCTCTGTGGCAGCAGCCGCAAGCTTTTCCTTGTTCTCGGCCTCCTTGGCCTCCTTGGCTTTCTTCTCCTCCTCGGACAACTCGGGTTCGACCTCCTTACCTTCTTCCTTGGTCTTTGCTTCCTCCTTGGACTCATCCTTGCCCTCCTTGTTCTCTTTGATGAGAGCCTCAAGGACAATCAGACAACAAGAGAAGTCGGTTCGCAGAGCACAGGGATCTGCGCCAAGTACCACGTCAGCAATGAGTTTGTGAGTGAACTCGACAGCAGCTACATCCCGCGACTCAAGCATCTGCTTGGCCAGAGACTGATCCAGCTCGGTGACAGTGATGAACCGAGTCCGCAGCAAAGTGGCAACCACAGGCACGTTAAACTTCCGCTTGTCAGAAGAGTGGATGAGCCAAAGCAGTACCTCCTTGCAGGTCTCAGCAGAAAGCTCGCACAGCTTACCCAGAAGCAGAGCAAATGACTCATGTGAGAGCTGGGAGTCGGACTGGGTGAACAGAGCGTTGACCACTAGCTGAGAGGTTCGCAGTACAACCTCGTTCTGGTAGGGACTCTTGCTCACCAGAGACAGAAGCTGCAGCAGACGAACTCGAATCTCGTGGTCAGCGGGAAGTTCCACTAGAGAGGTGGGGACGGGGCCTGCAGATCCATCGGTCACAGCGCTAATGCTTCGCAGCAGAGCGTCGATTCGAGCCTGAACAGTCAGCAGAATCTGCGACAGCACAGCCTGAGGTGTCTCGGGGGTGGAAGGAGCAGGCACGCCGGCAGCAGCTCCTTGACCACCAGGACCAGCAACCGCAGCCATTGCAGCAGGAACGCTGGGCAATCCAGCTCCGCCCTCACTGAAAGAGTCGTAGAGCGCCATCTGCTGAGGAGTGACACCACCGGGCTGGATTCGCAGAGGATCTGGCAGGGGCAGGTTGAACCGAGTTACCTGGGGGTCCACAAACGAGGCAGCGTCACCCTGATGAGCCTGTCGCAGAGCGTAAGAGGCAGCAAGGGCCTCTTCAATGTCCAGCAGCGACTTGTCAATAGCAGCCTTCTCCACAACGCAGCAGATGGCGTCAGCGTTGGCAGCCACGGCAGCGGCCATCTGGTCTAGAGGAAGGGTCTCCTCTCCATAGCCCTGGCCCAGCAGGAGGGTCTTGAGGTTGTTGAGCAGGGAGTCCTTAAGAGGCTCCTTGGAGGTGACCAGAGACAGCGATCCAGACAGCATTCGAACCACATTGTGGGCGGCTCGTCGCAGCTTGTCGCAATCTACCTCAAATGCAAAATCCTTGGTAACCAACTCCCGGGTGGCAATGGTGGCAATAGACACCGATCGTTCCACCACGGGTTGGAGCACCTCTCGAACGGCCTTGTCAACTGACAGCATGAACAGCTGTTTGAGAGTTGGGTGCGACACAAACGGAGAGTCGCCCTGAAGCTCCATCGACATAATGATGTTCTGGTAGGCATCGTAAAAAGCGGCAGAGGCAACTGCGGCTCCAGCGGCTCTCATTCCAACGCCAGGGGCCCCACCTTGCTGCTGAACCTGAGCCTGAGCCTGGGCCTGCTGCTGAGCCTGCTGCTGCTGAGCCTGCTGTTGCTGTTGCTGCTGGTTGACACCAGGAGGGCCGTGAATAGGGGGCATGCCAGGACCCATACCAAGAGGACCCATGCCTCCGGGACCACCAGGGCCCATCATGCCACCAGGACCACCCATGCCACCAGGCATGTGCATGCCTCGAGGAGGAGGCATGCCTGCATGCATGCCCATGGCGCCAGGGGGAACCATGCCGGCGTTGGCAGCATCAACATTAAGCTTGCTGACACCGTCAACAACCTCGTCAACGGCAGAAGAGCCACCTCGAATAATGTGGCTCTGCTCCAGCTCTTCAACATTGAGCTTGAGCTGGTTGCACAATACCTCGATCTCAAACTTGAGGTTCAGCTTGAGCTCGGCGTGATGGTACAGCTCTGCAAGTACGTGCATGATACCCAGTGTCCAGGGGTTTGGGGGAGCAAACACCTTAGACTTGGCGGCCCGCTCCAGCACCTTGGCCACAAAAGGAATCACCAGTACCAGCTTCTGATGCTTGTAGCCCTCTGCCAGCAGCGCCTTGAACGAAATGTTTCGGTGCTTGATGGGCAGGTTTCGGCCTAGAGTCAGAGCTCCGAGCCACTGGCCCAGGTTACGAAGCTGGTTTCGGTCCGTGGAAGAAGAGACCGTCTCGGGGCTGTTGAGAAGCTTGACAATCTGCAGGTAGGTCACCCGCAGGAAGAAGCTCTCAAGCAGTTTGTTTGACATGTTCTTGAGCATGGAAATGTACAGGGAGTGGTAGTTGGGCTCCTGCTTTGCACGATGTCGCACAATGTAGGTAGCAAACCATCGGAAGTACCGCTCCTCTAGCACCTGGGCCATCTCTCGAGACCGAGCAACTACATTGCTCTGAGCAAGGTTGTTGACCATGAACAGCACCTTGTCAGACAACTCCTCTGGGGGCTCCACCTGCGCAGCATCCTCAGGCAAGTTGGAGTCGACTCGAATAGATGAGAAGATGAGGGTCTCGGGGGCGAGAGAGTTGTCAGGTCCGCCAGGGACACCAGGAGGAGGTCCACCAACACCAGGTCCTCCAGGTCCACCCCCGGGTCCGCCAGCAAGCTGCTTCACGTAAGAGTAAATTTCCTGGTGAGACTGCAGACCTGGGATCTCAGCAAGAATGGAGCAGTAGGTGGGGAATTCGTTGAGCCGCTCCCTGAACTCGTAGAGTGCCTGCAAACCAAACTTGAACATGTTGGAATCGGCGGGCTGCTTCAAACTATCCAGCACGTATCGCAGTGCAATGGACAGAGGGATGTCCTGGATGAGCCGGAAGTAAATGAGGCCACCAAACAGGACGGCAGTAGCAGCAAGGGCGTTTCGAGGGTACTCGGGGAAGAATCGATACTCGTCAAACAGCGAATGGACCATGCATGCAAACACGTCCTGGTCCTGGGGATCGTCGCTCTGCTTGAGCCGCTGCAGCATAGTGATGATGTCGCGGATCTGAATCTGCTCCTCGTACATTCGCTGGTAACACAGCTTCATCTCCCGCTCAATGTGAGGAGGGAAGGCGTTCGAGCCGTCGCCGTGGGCCAGAATGGCTTGGTCGTGACCCTGGCCAAAGTTGATGAGGCGAGGGTACACTTGGAAGGTCTGGGTCTGCAGCATCTTGAACTGCTCCAGTCGGTCGGCAGGCATATCGGAGCCCGAGGACACAAACTGTAGAATGGTGGCCACAGAGCTGAGAGTGAGGGGGTTCTGAGGAGGAGGAGGGGGAGGAACACCGACACCGGCCTGGGAAGATAGCTCGACGCTAATCTTCATTTCCAAAAAGTCCAACACGCCCCGCACAAAGTCGGCTCCCACGGCCTTGTATGTATCGTCCATAAACTGTTTGAGTGGATACAGCTGGCGCTGGGAGGCCAGCACCGCCAGATCCATGGTGAAGGCAAAGTATCGCAGCTGCAACACATGGGGCAGAATGTTGGCGGCGTGGCAAATGTCTAGAATCTTGCCCACGTTGAGAGCACTCACCCGGTAGTACTCCACAACCATGGATGCCAGGAAGGCCTCGTCCTGCTGGCCCAAAATAGAGAAGACCAGGATTGAAGAGTTGTGACCGGAGAAGAAGAGATCAAAGAAGTTCTTGATGACACGCTCCAGCAGAGGTGACCACGGCTTGGGGGTCTTGAGCGAGCCCAGAAAGAAGAGCTCGGGTGTGACCTTGGCGTGTTTGTCGAGGAAGTCCTTGGCGGCCGACTCGGCCACGGTCTCCCGCTCAATGGCATCGAAAGTGAGCCGCACCAGATCCACCAGGTTGAGGGGGGACGCCTCTAGGGCCACCACGATGGGTTTCATGGGCGAATCAGCGGCAGCCATGGCCGGGGGGATGACGGACGAAGAGATGATTTTGGTGAGTCCGCATCCGGCGAGGTCCAGCTGGTGTCGCTCTCGCGAAATGCCAGCTGTAGCGTTCATCAACTGCACTTGCAGAGCCAGTCGTTGCCATCGACGTCGCTGATAAAAGTATGCAACCAGAGAGCCATTGGGGTCTCCAGCAAGCAGAATTCGCAGCAGAACAGCGAGGCCATCGGATGAGCCAATGTTGAAACTGTTGCTATTGTTGTTGTTGTCGTTGTCCTCCTCGTCTAGTCCGTCGATGGCCTCCTTCCATTTGTTGAGGTCAGGCAGCTTGGCTACCAGTCCCTTGCCCACGCCGAGGCCATCCCACTTGGCATTTTGGACTCCACGCTTGAGCACCTCTGTAATGTCTGCGGGGGATAGTTTGCCCGTCACCAGCTCGTTGATGTCTGATTCCGAGAGATTTGTCCGGTTGGACAAAGATGCAATAGTCACTGTGTTAGTCGCCGCAAATTCCTTTTGTCGTCACTGTCGTCGCCATCGCATGCCATCACTATCACTCACTTGTACACCCGACGTTATCACTGTAATATGGGGGTTCGTGTGCTGATCTGTATAGATGTCTGTGTCAGTAACGTGTTTGGAAGAAGGCATATCGCGGGATCGGATCGGATCTGTCATGTGATTCATCCCTCAGCCATCGCACTCACTTGTTTGTGTCGATTACCAGCGTGACTACTCGTAGTAAATGTGTCTTGATGTCTGGTTTTTGGTGTGTGTGTAGTGGTGCGGTGAAAAACTAAGGTGTACTTCTTCTACCCAACTTTGGGAGGTTGGGTTAGGTGATACTGTATGATGACTATATACGGCAGGCAGGAGAATGTTAGAGGGTTATGAACCGGTTTTTCCTTGATTGAGAGAATGTGAACTTGGGGGTTCATATTGAAGCGGCCAAACAATGGCGCTTACTATCTGTTTTCATTCACCACAGCCCATTTAATCGGATCAAATACCAACGCCCTTGACAGGGTAACTCAAGCAACCAAAGTTAAAACGCCACTATAGAAACACATTCGACGATAGTCTTTAACAACACCGTGTTCGGGAACACCGGTAATGTATGGTACAAGTAGCATTGGATACGACACTATGATGCCACCATTGGTTGTGATGTGACGTGGATTGATACGTCAAGGGTAATATTGGGGTATGACATAACTCATTTAACACGCAATCTACCAATTGTGTCTCTTGGCCAAACTTTACCGACACTCTTTACAGAAATGTCCCTGTTATTTACAGCAGACGATGGAAGGGGTCTACACACCTTCACAGGCTTCTTTCTCCATATTGGTGCACCGCATCATGAAGCCCAGCCCTGTACATGAACCTTCTTTGGCGATTAGATCATTATGGAGGAGCAACGTTGCATAATTGCTTGTTCCAGGGGATATTACGTGAACGAAAGTGAACTGAGACAAGTGGGATAGATTAAATTGGTTCTACTTGAAATATTCATTTGAGTTCCGGGTTTGCGGTCTTCTTGTACTACTTAAACGTACACTGTTAGAGCTTCACCATCAGTTTTTGTAATATTCTAACTAGCCTCTGAAATCCATCAGAAGAGAGACAGAAGGGGAAGCAGAGCAAGGGCTCCGAGGGTGGCCTTGTCGGCTCCGTTGGCTTGGGCCACAGCAGGAGTGGATTGCTGAGCCTGGGAAGGCTGAACCACAGGAACAATAGGAGTTCCAGGAACTGCAGATCCGGCTGGAGAAGAGGCCTTGCTGGCGGAAGGAGTAGCCTTGGGGGACTCAGCGGCGGGAGACTCGACAGGGGCCTTCGAAGGCACTACTGGGGCAGGCTTAGGGGACTCGACGGGCTTGGAGGACTCAGCGGGCTTGGAAAAAACCTCAGCCTTTGGAGCAGACTGGGCCTTAGTAGTAGGAGTCTCGGCTGTCTCGGCCTTAGAGGACTCAGGCTGGGACTCTGCAACCTTGGAAATAGTGGTGTTAATAGTAGTAACAACCTTTGTGACTGTTCCCTGGGCAGCGACAGTGGTAGAAGGGACAGGGGCAGAGGCAGAGGCAGAAGAGGCAGGAGCAGAAGAAGCGGCGACAGAGGAGACATAGTTGTGCTCGCACTTATGACAGACAGTACTGGTGACTGTCTTGAGGACGTGGGTTGTCACAGTCTTTCCAGTCTCATCAACAGAGGTGGTGAGACAGTCAGAAGTGTAGACAGTGACGTAGGCACCCTCAATAGTGGTGGTCTGATGGACAACAGGGACAACGTTGACAACAGAAGCAGTAGAATTAAACCCAGCCTTGGAAGACTCAGTAGACTTGATAACTTCTTGGTTGGTGGCGTTAGAAGGCTTCTCCTGGGTGACGTTAGTGGGCTTCTGAACATCCTCAACGACCTTTCCACACTGGCCAGCAGCGGGCTTGATGATATTGGGGATATCTCCCTCAGTACCCCACAGCTTGGCAATAGGAGGGAAGATGGTGTTTCCGACGAGGCCAATAGCAGAGGCATTGGGGGCGGGGATAGACACTCGCTCGTCGTTGAAGTAGCCGACAACAGACTTATTATTGTACTGACCTGTGGTATCATGGTCAACAATAGAGATGTTTAGAGAGTCAGCAACAAGTTTGAAGGGGTTAGCAACGGTATCGAATCGCCCGAGATGGTCCAGTCCCCAGTTTGCCTGGACAGTGGCAATGTTAGAGTAATGAGAGTAGTAGGTGCTGTCGGTGGTACCCTTGAGGTGGTCAGGGACGGCTCCGCCAAAGAGGATAGCAAGTACCTTGTTCTCCAGAGGCTTGGTGTGGTTCTCGTCAAACGTAAGGATAACAAGAGAGTTCTTCATGAACTCCTCGTTACTGAGAAGGGGCTTAAGCCATCGGGCCACCCATCGTCCAGCCCAGTCTATATCGGTATCGTGGGCATCGTTGGTCATGTTAGGAGTGATGAAGGTCCATTGGGGGAGCTCCTTGGCCTTGAGGTCTCGGTCGAACTCGGTGAAGTTCTTGATGTTTCGGAGTCGAGACTCGTTCTCAACAACACTGTCGTAGATTACGAGGGGGTTGTGCTTTCGCACGTAGTCCTTGGCATAGTCAGTCTGTCGGGAGAAGTTGAAACCTTCAAAGCCGGTGTAGGGAAGGTGTTCTTGGTACTCGGACCAAGAGATGCCCTTGGACTCAAGCAGATCAACAACAGTGCTCACATTCGAGGGGACTCGGAAGAAATCATCGTTGTTGATTCCAAAGTAGTCTCCTCCGACAACGCCAACGTAGTTTGGCTCGGAGGGGTGAGTAAGAGACCAGTAGTTGTCCAGGGTGATTCCCTGGGTTCGGAGCCAGGCAAGATCCTCCTGCTCAAATGCCTTCTCATAGTCGGTATTTTCGAGCCAGATCTGGTAGTAGTTATCAAAGAAACATCCGGGTACCTTGGGAGAGGTGTAGTGGTTGCTGACAGCAGTGGCAGCGGCAGCCTCGATCTCGGTAAGATCGGGAGAGATGGTGGAGAACTTGGGCTGGTAGGTGTTCTTGTCCTTTGCCAAGACGGCAGCCACCAGAGCTGCCAGAGTGGGAAGAGAAAGCTTCATTATTGTTTTACCGAAACCATGGTGTCTCTGCAATTGGTTATATATGATGCAGTGAGAAAGATATTAAATCGATTTGAGCTAGAGGAATGTAAAAGCCATTCGAATAGAGTTGTCCGGACTCCGTGCTAAAAAGTTGGTGAGCGTTTGGTGATCAGGGGCGGCGATGGAAGTTGGTGATGAACGTTGGATGTTGTGGGTTCCAACAAAACGGTTTGAAGGAATCACAGAAGTGGAATCCCATTCAAGGGCATGGTAATTAGAGGTGGTCGGGTCGACAGATGTCTCTTCAATCACATGCTTAGTCCCTTACCGCTGCTTCTCGACAAAAAACCAGCAGCCATTAGGTTCAATAACAACGAAAGTCAGCCACGGGAGCCTAAAACGAAAACTCTTGAAGGAGTTGTGATGAAGGTCATCTTCATGAGTGGGGATGCATGTTGCCAGTGTCTATTTGAGCGATAATTGTATCAGAAGCACACTCGTATCACCACTACTTTCAGTGGGATTCTCAGAGACATTCATAGAACTCAGTAGACACAAGAGCATAACTGGCTGTGCCCCTGGGTAAAATTATATCCGATAATGTTAGAAATACACTCTTTCTAATTGGATGGATTCTACCACACGTGCGTATCAGGCACGTGTAGATTAGCCTAGCCGTTAAACTAATACTTAGATGGTTGAGATGTCACGCACTGCAGATGTGATTTTCGGTACGCCAAGAGATCGTCTGTGAGGGTGTTCGTCGAACGTGCGCCAACGTGATTGCCAGTACAAAGAGGAAACGACGTTAGAACAAACCAGGAGGTTGCCCAGAGATCATGGGTCGGCGCCTCTTTCATCAACCAGCCGTTCAATGGTCGCGACTCGTCCAAGGGAACTCAAACACGTTTAGGCGGATTGAGAGGCATCATTAGGGCTGTCTCAGATGACTGCTTGTCAATTTTGGCCTCTAATAGTGAAAATGTCAGTCTAAAAAGCCGTTAGAGTGGGCGGTGGAGACCCAAGGGCCATTATGGACTGGATCGGCACCACGTTTTACCAGTCATTGGGCCAAACGGAATGTGGAGTGCATGGTGGGACTCGCAGTGCAGGCGGGAGCTTATCTTCCCTCTGAAACATGGCTTGACCTCGTCCAGAATGGGAATTTTAATGAGGATGCCGGCCAAGACGACTAAGAGCTCGTCCCGACTTGGCAGGGTGCTGAAGATGCTTATCTGAATGTTTATTGAGTCATTTTGGACAGACTGACACTGCCTGCGCAGTGGATGCATGAACGAGGCTCTTGTGTGGGATGTCGAGTCATGGAGGTCGATGAGTTGCAGTAGTCGAATGGAATGGACATTACTTGGTAGCTACTTGTGCAAGTACAATTGTACTTGTACTGTAATATATCAACAAAACTGCGGATATTGTTTATTTTTAAAATGTCAAGTAATTGCTATCAGCCAGAAAAAGAGTATTAAAGAGAAAAAAGGTGGACTCAGTCTTATGGGGGTACTCGAACTGTAGTTGATCACCTGCCGTATATTTACGATATATTTTAGTTTAATTTAATGCATAATATGATATTATTAAAAAAGTGGAAAGAACGGCTTGAAAGCACATTGCTGCAAGGATACAACATCCAGAGTGACCATAGAGAAAAGTATAGGACCAGTCGGGGCCTATATCCCCATACAAGTAGTCATATATGAACTACTCTGTGTTCAAATATCGACTTCTCATGTGCTTTATAACATATCACCCCCTCTCGATTTTCTGTCACTTTATTCAGTATAATGTATATAATTAAGGACACATCGTATGGTAATCACGTAATCATACTGTATAGTACCTACAGTATCGTACTCATACTCGTACAGTACGTGTACGTGTATATACGAGTACAAGTATTCGTACGGTACTCGTACACTTTACAAGTAAAGATCTTTTCCGAGTTTCAACAGCTTGATGTTCTGTTTTGATTCCCAGACAGACCCTTGTGACACCTATGCTGAAAGGTTGTCCTCATCCGGATGTCAATACCAGCGACAGCACACATGGGTTGGCTGCGCAGTACAGTACAAATGCAATATGCACCGTACCAGTGTGATGCCGAGATGACATATATATATTGTGGTCTTTCACGAGTCCATCAAGTGACGTGATCAGTTCATATATTCGGTCAACGTACGGTGCACGAAATGACGCGCGCGATAATCACACTTTAAACGACAACACAGCCTCGTCATCAGAGTTCGGGATAGCTTCCGGGAGTTTTATCTATTACATCTTTTGTATTCTTGGCAGAAAATGACACACCAACCTCAATAGCCGCCATTTTTAGCCGCATTGAGACAAGCTGGGGTAGCGTTAGGCAGCCCCGTTAGGCAGCCAGAAGCAACCGCCAAGCCAGTTGCTGTATTCAAATATGTCAGTCGTTAGCTCGCTATTGGGCCCTCCCAACTGAAGCTCGCCCATACTTTCGTTCTTTGCTTTACATATGCCATTCTCTCACACCAACTGTCAAAAATTCAAAACTTCGGACCGCATCATATGGTGACACTACAGTAGCTGCCTGAGAATCACGTGTATCGATGTAGATATATAGGTTGGAAGGGATTTTTTTTAAAGGCCAAATGGGACCCAGGACAAATACATTCTCCTTCATAACACGTTACTCTCCATCACTTTGTTTGAGCCGGCTAATCAGTTGCCATCTCTAAACCTGTTTCGTTTGCGTTTTACTTTGCATAACGCCATCCCAAAACACTCTCTCTATTGCTGAAACTTGTCATCTACAGTAACGGCACGACACAATGGCTCTCACAAAACAACCGACGCTGTGGGGAGTGCCGCTCAAGCTCATTTCGCTGGTGACACTGACGGCCCAGAACTCGTCGCTGATTCTCGTTATGCGATACTCTCGAATCATGCCTGCCGGACCCAACGGCCACTACTTCACCTCGACAGCCGTGCTGCTGAACGAGTTGCTCAAGCTCGCCATCTGTCTGTGTGTCGCCATCTACATCACTCCCGGCCATTCCATTCAAACCCTGTACAAAGACGTTTTTGGCCCCGACGCGTGGAAGCTGTCCATTCCAGCCGTGCTCTACACCCTGCAAAACTCGCTGCAGTATGTGGCCGTCTCCAACCTGGATGCCGCCACCTTCCAGGTCACCTACCAGCTCAAAATTATCACCACTGCCTTCTTCTCTGTGGCCCTGCTGCGACGATCGCTCAGTAACACACAGTGGCTGTCGCTGTTCATTCTCACCATTGGCGTGGCTCTGGTCCAGCTCCCCGCAGCAGCCGTGGAGGCCATTGTCGACTCCCTGCGATGGAGCTGGTGGTCTGGCGAGGAAGCCAAGACCGTGGTCACCAAGGTTGCCCGAGACCTCGTCACTCGGGGCGCTCCCACAGACACCAACTCTAAGGTTGGTCTGGTGGCCGTCATTTTGGCATGCTGCCTGTCCGGCCTGGCAGGAGTTTACTTCGAGAAGGTACTCAAGGGCTCACAGACGTCGCTATGGACCCGAAACGTGCAGCTGTCATTCTTCTCCCTCATCCCCGCCACCCTTATTGGCTGCTGGTGGTACCAGGGAGCTGAGATTGCTGAGTACGGCTTCTTCAATGGCTACAACACCACTGTGTGGAGCGCCATCATTCTTCAGGCCCTTGGAGGCATTGTGGTGGCTCTGTGTGTCAAGTTTGCCGACAACATTGCCAAGAACTTTGCCACCTCCATCTCCATTCTCATCTCCTTTGTGGCCTCCGTGTACCTGTTTGAGATGGAGGTCACGGTCAACTTTGTGGCTGGAGCCGCTCTGGTTGTGTTTGCAACCTTCCTGTACTCTCGGCCTGCTCCCGTCCCCCAGGAGCTGCCTAAGAGCAACTAGACATTGACATGTACTTAATATAGATAGAGATTGTATGAGGGGCTTGGTGGTGACAGTGGGGAGTAGAGAAGACGCAGGGCGTGTTCTACGAGAAAGGGGCGCCACTAATGCACCATACCAGAGGAATTCCACCAGGGCAACGACAGTGTGAGTACTCGTACCGTATGTACTTGTAGCTACTTTTGTTTACGGTATGTGTTTGTCTGTTTGCTCGTGTGATGTTGGGAGCGCGAGTCTCAATTGGATATGGCTTCCGTCACTACGCGAAACTAACACGCAGGGAGGGGGCTGGTGTGATACATATTAAATGGTCTGCTGCTTCGACTGAAGTATACCTTTGTAATTTGTTTCCATCACTGCATTGTCGTATACGTGCACACCAGAATTAAACGACTGCCTGGAATGTGGTTTGGACCTTAAACCCGTTTTAGTGCAGTATTGTACAAGCTACCCCGTAAAGTCTCACACAGCCTTCGGCTCTGAGGTGTCACATACCCATGCTTTGGTGTGTGATGTTCATGAATTAAAAAAAAAAAAAAAAAAAGGTGTGGTTGTTATGGTGCAGAGTTGGTTTGAGAGCATGTCTTTATATTCTGACAACTCCCTGTGTCCGTTACTAGTAATCCTTGTTGAATAGCCAGTTTGCTCTCTCTCTCCAAGTACTTGTACTTGTAGCTCTGAAGATCATGTTTCAGAAGTACAAGTACAAGTATGTGAATACTATGTTTCTTGGTGTTCTTATTTAGCGTTCATCTTACAGCTCTTATTTAGACAACATATATATTTGTAAATTTAGTCATCCCTGTAGGCATTTTTTACTTGTGCTTGTGCTTATACAATAGCTTTTACCCTCATTAATGTACAAGTACAAGAATTCCTGTCTTTCCAATTACCAATATCACCAGTCACCACTCGATAGAACCACGTAACCATTGAACACGTCCACAATCCCTCCTTTCCACCCATTTATCCAACACCACCCAGAATCGAACCCACGTCCCCCCATTAAACAGTCCGGGACATGCAGGCTTCGGGCACGTCGTCGAGGCTAATTAAGCTCTGGTCCGGGTAACACCACCTTTTCTTTATCACCAAACCTGGGTTAGGCCGTTTGATGCAGACCAAGAACCCGACCATCTTTTGATTCAGACCGCGCCAAATATGGAGTACCAAGAAGGATTCGCCTCGCGCGAGTACGACAACGGACTTGTATACCAATTGCCCAACGCACAGCAAGTCCCACGCCAGCAGCCAGGTGGCCCACAGCTTCAACAACAGCACCATTCGCCGGGAGACACTCCTCCACAGATGGTGACAAAGTACCATACACAAATCGACGTCGCGGCTGCGGCAGCAGCAGCCGCGGCCTCTGAGCCGGACCCCGAGCCCGAGACGGAGCAGCCGTTCTACGTCAACGCCAAGCAATACCACCGAATACTGAAACGACGAGTGGCTCGAGCCAAGCTGGAAGAGAGCCTGAAGGTGGCACGCGGCCGAAAGCCGTATCTGCACGAGTCGCGACACAAACATGCCATGCGGCGACCCCGAGGCCAGGGTGGCCGGTTCCTGACTGCTGCAGAGATTGCAGAGAAGGAGAGACAGGAGGCTGAGGAAGCCCAGGCACAGGGAGAGAACAAGTGACGAGAAAAGCGGACGTTCCGGTTACCACACACTAACGGTTGGAGTTTGAAGCCATGAAAAACCACCTTTTTATATGTAATATTGTACTACTTAGTGATGAATGATGATTAATGATTAACTTGATGGCGTAGAGGGTACACGAAGTATATCGAGGGGAGGTAGTTAAAGGTGCAGGCCAGCACTTCGAGTTCACAGAATGACGATTCTAATAGGTGCTTCGAGCCCATCGCTTTTCTTTTTATCGTATGTCTCAAACTAATTATATGTGGAATATCACTTCATGCACGTGAGATTTACAACTTCATGGAAATACGAGCTACGCTTCCAAGTGCGATCAGTCATTCTATAATCTAAGCAAAAAGTAAGTCGCTCTGTGTCTTCTCTTCAGGCTGGACGTCGACTTTGGCAGAGTACTTGGGCATAAATACCGACTCGAACCTAGGGCACACAGTGAATAGCGAAGAAGGGCCAGAGAAGACTCTTGTTAGCTTCTCTCGCGACTGGAACAGAACCAACTGTGTGTTTGAGGTGTTCTCGCCCATCTCGCTCACAAATTCTGTCCCAATAAGTTCAGCAAGTTCAGAATACATGTCCCCAATGATTTTGTCAAAGGTGCCGGCTTCATGCATAGACAACGCGATTTGGAGCACAAATTTGCACTCATCAATGGTCTTGTGAGAACACTTCTCCAGCTCAGTCAGAATCTTGGAATGCAACCCAGCCAGACAGGTTGTGATGAACTCCTCACTGGTGGTATACTCCTTCTCCAGAAGAGCCACATGCTTCGAGGTCCACTCATCATCCTCATCATCACCTTCATCGTCATCATCCAGTGATCCCTTGACCTTTACAAACACCTCCTTTAGACTGCCGAGGACAGCTCGGATCTTGGCCACGTTCTGCAACACCTGTTCATACTGAGACACAATAGTGAATGCAGATGATCCGGTGACCTTGTTCCGAGTGTCGAGAATGCCCATAACATCGATCTTGGACGACTTGCCTGCTCCCACAAGAGTAAGAGCGTTCACAAGCGGCGAATCAAACGAAATGATAGCCTCCAGAGACACCTTGTCCTTTATCTTGTTCTTGAAAAGCCCAAAGTCAACCTCTCCGAGGTTTGCCTTGATCAGTTCATGAAATTTGGTCTTCCATGCTTGCAAAAACTTGTCGATGTTAAAAACGGAGCCGAAATCAGCATTCCGCAGATCTCGAGACTTTCGGAAGAGCCCAAATACGTCCCTTAGAAGGTCAATCAAACCCTCCAGCGTATCACGAGACTTGATGGAATCGGTAGATGCACGATCCAAAACAGGTCCCATCTGGTCACGGCAATACTCCTGCAGAAGATCAATGATGCGTTTAGGAAACTTGTCATCACGGGAATACTTGCTTCGAGAAGGAATAGACGCTGCCTCAGCAACTTGTCTCGGTAAGGTGTCCCAGTTAAGCAACAGAGCAATGTTCTGTTTGCGTAGCTCTGTCTTGAGGGTCTCACATAGTGTGCCTTCACTGGAAAATTGGGCAGATTCCAGCTGATATAGAATAGAAGACTTCAAGGAAGCAGACGCCAGGTACTTGGAGGCAAACTTGAGTGTGTATGAAATACTGGTGAGAGCTTTGGTTAAGCTCTTCTGTTCAAGTCCTTCGAATCGGAGCTTCAAAAGATCTTCAAACGCGTCCTCCACAGACACAGAGAAAAAAATGCAATAGGAGAGAAGATCACTAGGCGAGATTTCTCCACTGAGACAGTTTATAAGTAGCTTGCGGTACTTGGACTTGAGAAAGTCACGTGGTTTGTTTGAGCCGTCCAGCGAGTGGAGATAGAACAGTCTTGCCATGAGCAGGTTGGATTGTTCAATTCTGGAGTCTGCGAAGAAAAGCAATTTTCGCAGAATCGACTCGATGGCAGATTTGTCCAGTTGAGCCTCGTTTGCTTTCGTCTCCTTTACCCATCTTTCTAGACTTTTGTCACATACAGCCAGTTCCTGTTTGATATCTCCATGGCTCAGATTACTCAAAAGTGTGTGTTGTTTGGTCATTTTTTCGCTCAGAGATTGAATGTCGTCTGTAGTACCCAATAAATCACGGTACGTGGTGTTTATCAGACATCTCAATTCCTCATTTCGGCGATCCTTTTTGCTTCGAAGCTGCTGCTCAATGATGACCACGTCTGCGATCGAGTACTTGGACATTGTGGACTGCCACGACGACAATCCCAAGGCCATATAATCGTCTGCAGACGTCGCATTACGGATCTTGAGAGCTAGAGCCGAGTTTGCTGGCGGCTGTTGCATTTCAGGTCGTGAATTAGTGGTGGTAGGGATACGTGGTGTTGTGCATGGTCATATGCATGCTGGATAAACCCTAACCTGGGCGGTGTAGCTTGGGGTGAAATTGTGGTGAAATCGAAGGTAAGGAGCATGTGATTGACAGTTGTGGCTATTTATCATTATTGTATCATTAACCTGTACAACGACCTTCATGTGAAGTTGCGGGAAACGGGAAGAGTCATTACTGTGATCAGCATTGACATTTCTTCCATGCTTCAGCAGCAATCCCAAACAAACTATTTCAAAGCTAACTAATTCCAACTAAAAATCTACCACCCCATGGATAAAACAGATCTAATACTGAAGCTGTGGCTACAGGAAAACTCAAGATACATAAAATGAAGCCGATGTGATATCTCAACCTTTAATTTTTCAAAATCGCACTGGTTTTTTTGCATAAATTCCATCTCGAGTACTGTGTAGCGAACCAATAATCTCATCACATGGGCGTCTGGTGTAGTTGGTTATCACATGCGCTTAGCATGCGCGAGGTCCCCGGTTCGATTCCGGTGTCGTCCAATTTTTTATTCATGGTGGCATGATTACCCCAAATCCTGCCAACTGAACATCGTCATATATTGTGCTGTTATATTGTGCGATGTGAATGTGACGATTTTATTTTTTGCAGCTGTTGGGACTGCTCAAAAATGTCCTGCACTTTGCCTTGAAGGTGTACGTACAGTACAGACGTTAAACGGCTGGCATAGGGGGCAATTTAACGTCCGATAGTCCGTCTTCAGACAATCATACAGCCTAGATCCATCCAGACAACTATACAGCATGTCAACTCGACGAGAACGACAGTAATATTAGCACCCCTGCTTGATTTCAGGAGACACCGCTGCTCTTAAACGTGCCTATACCATGCTAGTGTTTCACCAGTTCTTAACCAGTGGTCCAGCTTGTTGTAGACTCCCGCTTGCGTAGCTTGAGTATGTACGGTACCGAAAACAACCGCCGTTCAAATGTGGCCTGAAAGAGAAGCCCTACCCTACACTATGGCTTACTCCACAGGACAACCGCACACGTCGATAGGGCTTGTGTAACCGTTCGGACAATGGGAAAGGGCCATAAATCAATATTTTTACTTGGTACACGTGGCGCAGTACAGATATTATCGGAGCGGTGTCGTCAGGCCATTGCCGCCCAGCCCACATTTCCCTTGTCTACGCACTCTAACAAGTGTGATGACGGGAACAAGAGCAAAGACCGATGATGAATTAATATGGCGACTAGGGCGGTTTTGCCAAACACGCCCTTTGTAAATGGCAGGCATATTTTGCCCCAAATGTTTCATCGCGACAGTATGGACGCCCACGCTGTCGGATATTATTCATTTCCGTGGATTCTCAGACAGGAACCGACCATCCATAAACAACTGTCGTACGACGTATTGTACCAGTACATACTATAATGTCGGTCACACCTCAATCACCCCACTAAATATTCTAATATCTGGGCTACAGCGCACGAGAACACGACATCTCCTTCTCGCATGTACAACTGCACCATGTATCAAGGAGCGTCCAGTCCGTCTCCATAGCAATAGGCGAGGAGAGACATTATTGGTTTACCAGGGTTTAGCTCAATTAAAGAGAATGAGAGTCCGAATGAGTTCAGAGTGACAACCTCCCACTTGTCTCACCATGGAAAGGCTGATTCATTCACCTGGAATGTGGAAGTATGTGTACGATTTTGGAAGATACTCATTAGAAATCACAACACAACAAGATATTAAGGTGCCAGATGTTGAAAAGGACGAGACTACAAGGGTACCCGTACTCGTACAAGTAGTATGCGAGGATATTGGCAGAAAAAAAAAATGCATATATTAACGAACGTGGGAGTATTGTGCTACTCCATGCAGTGAGATCAACTCTTAAATAGGTATGTGTGGCTGATAGGCCGCACAACTGATTGTGAACAAGTAGCTAGACTGTGCAACTTACATGATAACACACCCCTTCTTCTTCTTCTTCTTCACCTCCGAATTCTTCCTCTGATGCCCTTTGAAACTCGTCGAGATGTTTCGGATAGACGCTGCCGAACTCGTACTCTTGACACTCACGTGCTTCGACGCTCTATCGTCGTAAGGCATGTTCAGATAGTCTGCTCCAGTAGAGGACGTGGGGCTGTGGGTAGGGCTGCTCACGCCCATTCCGCTTGTACCAGCCAAGGAAACGGTTGAGCCGCCAAACGACGAGTCTCGACGAATGATCTGTCGCAGAAGGTCCTGGAACACCTGGTCAATGTTGGTCTTGAACTTGGCCGACGTCTCGTAGAAGGGAACCTTGCCCCATTGGTTGGCCAGCGCCACTCCGTCCCGAGGCTGCACCTGTCGCTCGTTTTCCAGATCGCACTTGTTGCCCACCAGCACCATGGGCACGTTGTTGTTGTCCTTGATCCGACACACCTGTTGTCGCAGCTCCTGCAGCTCTCGCAAAGACGACTCCGAGTTGACTGAGTAGACCAGAACGAAGCCCTCACCGTTTCGGATGTACAGCTCTCGCATGGCGGTGAATTGCTCGACTCCAGCGGTGTCGAGAATCTCCATGGTGCAGTGCCGGCCATCCAGATTCACCTTTTTGCAGTAGGAATCCTCAATGGTAGGGTCGTAGGACTCGATGAAAATGTCCTGCACGTACTGGACGGTAATGGCAGACTTTCCGACGCCACCGGCGCCCAGAACGACGATTTTGTAGTCTCTCATGCTGTGTATTTTTTTGTGGTGGTGAGAAGCGTAGGAGGGCTCAGGTATAAGTCATGTTTTGGTAGCTACGCTTGTTAGACATTAAGTTCACGTGTGAAATTTGGGTTTGTCATCAAGTTCTGGGCGGATGTCCATAAACATCGTTGTGATAGGGATAGGGGTGGAAAAATTACATAAAAATGCTTGACTTTATTATGGCTACTTTTTCCCATCTTTTATTTGTTTCTCGTCCTACAGGAATCTCAAATATCAGACGCTGCCCGCCACTCATTCCAACTCATATACACCAACACTAAAGCATAGTCCCAAAACTCTGTTTGTTGTCTCTGTGCTTTTTGTTTTGTTTTTATGTCCTCTTTCAAACAGGCGGGTGAGACAGTTGTGGGTTGTCTTTAGGCGTTTTGCGCCCTCTGCTTTAAGGCGTATACGACGCATTCCGCAGACGTTGCTCGGTACAGTAGTCCGGCTGATGGCAAGTGGCCCTTAAGCCCTTTCATTTGGCCCCCTACTTGTCTCGTTATTCAAGCCGTATATGCCCTGCCTGGCTGCTATACCTCACTGGGCCCACTTAGCGAAGAACCAAAAATAGACCCGTTTATTATTTCGCTCTGACACAAATATTCCGCCGAAAAGTGCCATATGTACTTTTGTGTCAAGACGCGAAACGCGACCTCTTTAGGCTCGGGGCACGTGCTGTACTAGTATAGCCACATAAGGGGTACAAGTGGCATAGAAGCTGTGCAATATTGTGGACACGGGACATAAACAAACCGAGCGCTGTACCAGCCTCGTGTCTAGCATAACAGCTATAGTTGCGCGCGTGTAGATGATTATTCAGCCCGATACAAGTAGACCCCGCTGGAAACTCAATTGTCAAAACACTGTTGACAATCATGAAAATCAGGGCAACCCAAGACCACACCACCACATACAAGCGCGGTGCGAGACACTCTGCCAGTAGCGAGTTCGATACTTGTACAAGGCGAGTTGTTTCATTCTGCGGTCTGAACCGACAGCCTCACGTCTCCCACTCGCTAAGAATGTAACGTCCACTGGCAGTGGTGCGCTCCTTGCATTCCCCTTCTTCTCCTGTCTTGCTGGCTTCGTCCTAACCACACATAGACACTGTGTTGTTAGGAGCGCTTGACAACCTAAAAACCCCCAAGACTGCATTCCGTCACTCCCGAGATGACGGAAGTGGATAGTGAGGAATTTGGGGACGGCAGGGCGCGAACCAGGGCTCTCAAGTCTTAGAATCGCTCAGGAGATCGTCAGATGGACCCCAGACGTCTCCCTTCTCTCCCCTGGCACTTGTACACATGCTACAGTACGAGTAGCTTGCTCTGAACGCTGCCCTACTTGTAGCTCTGCCAACTGTGTGTTTGGTGTGCACCAGTCGAACCTAAAGGGTTGATACAGTGCCCACCCTCAGAGCCAGAGATCTTCATCTGGGGAAAATCAAAACAGCACAGACGGGTATAAACATACATCTGGCAGAAAATGTGCAAAACAACGGGCGAAAAATATCGAGCCCGTGCATTTATACAGCCACGAGAAAAGGAATAAGCCGCTGTCCACATGAAACAAAAGACACCCTGGTTCTTTTTTTTTGCCCCCCTTTTTTTTCTTTCTGTCAAACCAGCCACGCGACACCTCTACTCATTATGCCAGAGAGCCACTATTGTTAGCTTAGCTCACCCCTTGGATGCACTCCTTCATACTTTTTTTTCTCTCCGATTGTTCAACCACACACACAAGGTGCAAAGTTTTCCATCGTGTCATGCAAGGAGTGCCTAAACATCAACCAAGGACCGATGACAGACTCCTTGGGTCGTCTAACTACACTACGAGTACAATATTTATGGACTTGACTCACGTGATAGCCGCTATAACCTCCCATGGCAAGCTTCGGTTCCTGGGCTCCTGATCTACAGGCACCTGCCCCTTGCGGATGATGGTCGGTGTTTTGTCGATCTTTGGGGCTAGGGTAGCACAGCTCATAGTGGTTGTTGGGTGATCTGTCTTATTAAGCCGATACCTTGTAATAGCAATGTCTGATAAGCCATTCGGACAAGTCAATGTCTTAGGTGCTCCTCGCGCCAGGCATGACTATCGTACATACCATACAATACCAGCTCGTCCTTAACCTGACCATTTACTGGTACAAATGCCGTTTGCAAAAGTCGCTTAGTGGCTGGCTACAAGTAGTGCGCCGCTATAAAGGGTAATTGAGCCGTGCCATCCTGGATCGTACCAGTGCGATATCGTACAGTAGCTACAGTTCTACTAGGACTATCACCTCACGGGCCGCGCCAGATTAGACTGCTATATCTGGTCATCATACCATTTTTGTCTCAGTCGGTATAAGAATGTTGTGCGAGATGAGACAGCATGAGTGGTTTGAATGTGATCTTAGATCGGCGTCTGGCATTGTGTTCCTATGATACGCCACGGAGAACCACCTCGAGTGAGAGCGTCCTTTAGATCGCTTTTAGAACAACTTTTAGCACTGCTCACCAGCTCTTTCTGGACTGAATACGACCAGAAAGGTGCCCCGGATCTAAGACAACAACTGATGTATCCTGTGGTCGCTGCATCGGCTGCTTTTCTGTCACCTGCGGTTGGTGCATGATACGAAGAATGTTGAAAAGAGTCCAACAGAGAAGGGTCTGTTATATACTGTTCTACTTTTACAGGTTCTGGCAGCTACAAAGGAAGATCATTCTGAGACTAAAAAACTCCTCTATTGAACTTCCTTCCTTAGTCTATTGTACCGTACTTCCACTTGATTAAGTGTCGTCACACACCTTGTCGACTACCTACAGTAGTTACCATTATGTATGTACTGTACGGTACATACATCGTACTACCTCTTCCCCATGCTTCTGTGCATGAACTAGAATGAATACAAATCATATTGGGGTCTGTACATGACAGGATGGGGAAGCCAGCATAATGGTTGAAAAAGTGCTCATCAACGTATCCGGGACTCATGCTATCATACACGGATGGACTCATGCATGATGAACTCGTCAATATAGGGTCTTGACTGCTCGTAGTAAGTATCGTCGGTGGTAAAAGGGAATAATTAGCTTCCAGAGAGGTGCAAACTAACCTACAAGTTAGATGGAGACCATGGTTTGTTGCATATAGATTCATATGACATGAAGGTCAGCTCCTGGCAAAGGTCAAATATTGCTATCATATTCTATGCTATACGATCTGTGCATTCAGAAACGTGAGTCTTATCCTGTATGCGTATCTCACCCGAGAGTAAGGATTGCAGATGCGCAATTGGATATTTACGTGGCCCTGACCTTCTTCTCAGCTTTCATTTGTTTGTCCTATCCTCTGACTTTTCCTTCCACAGTACGCCTTGAATCATATCCTTCTTACAAGTACAATACGAATACAAGTGCATGTACTGTACGTACTTGTAGCTACTAGCTACCTTATGCTGGACACTTTTATGTAGACTTGTTTAGGCAAGTATAACCACAGTGGAGGGGTCTAGCAATGCGATAAATAGACAAAAGACGATTCTTGGAAAAGACGTTTCTGCTTTTTTGTTGCACGCAGCTTGACTTCTGTCCAACAATGGCTGCAACACTATCTCCGGCTTCGCCATCTGCCCCAGGACTGGCACGAGAGATCGAGAAACTCCGCAAAACGGAGTTTACCGTCTTCATCAACCTGCAGCCTGGTCTGATGGTGTTTATCGAGTTTTTTCGAGCTAGCATCACAGTCCACGTGGTTGACGAGATGGAAGGCATGCTGTACCGACACAAGGTGATGTTCATGGATGTCGGCATTGATACCAAAGTAGTGAACGAAAAGTCGACTCGAGAATGGACTGGATACGATGCAAAGGCCCTCAATGAAAATACCATTGCCATTTTTGTCTACCATGATGTCTTCAACCTCACTATTGAAGGACGAGGTGAGCTACGTCCCCTAGTGGTTAGAGTGGGAGAATCAACTGATTGGATGGGCAGCTTTATGCCTCTATTTTCCAAAATTCTTAATATCAGTGACCAGATGGCAAAGACCAAGCCTGAGTCCACACCAGCTAAGGGCTTCCGACTGCTCCACCGAGTTCCAGAGTCCACAAACTACATGATCGTGTGCAGTGACGGAGTGACTATTCCTGTTCATTCACTTGTTCTTAAGTCGGTATGGCCCTATTTTGCCAAGCTGACGAGCTCAGAACCTGCCAAAATCAAAGAGGGAGCATGGGCTATGCCTTATGGGTCAACATGGGTTTTCCCGCTGATCAAATACTGCTATGGTGACCTGGAAACAATGAACTTTGAGGAAGCAACGGGAGCGCTGATCCTAGCACAGAGATACGATCTACCAGAACTATCTCAAATTGTCCAAAGACACATTCTGGGAAGTCCTCTGAACATTGAGACGTGCCTGCTGGGATGGAAACGAGCCTTTGAGGGCAACAATAGCGTGGTGAGAATGTACTGTGCTCGACACTACTACCAAAACATGAACCAGCTTGCCATCAGCAATACCTATGCTGAGCTTACCAAGGAGGAGTTGATCCAGCTCGGAATAGATGCCGGTGAGAGTCTGAAACAGATTGAACGGAAATAAAAAAAACGTGATTTAATGACTTCAATACGAAACATGTTGTAACCAATATTAATTTTTATCTATTTGCATGCACAAAACAGTTAACATGCCTGTTTCATAGCCTATACCTTTCAGTGTTTTAGTGGCGCATACTTTCAGACGTACCGAGGCCCCTGCTAAACAAGTATCAAAGTTGCTTCCCTCTTTCAAATCAATTTACTGCTTCTTCTCCTTGGCCAGCTCCTCCTCAATGATGCTTTCGACCTCCTTGACGTCGGCCTTGCTGAACAGCTTCTTCTTGTCCTTGTTAGCAAAGTCCTTGAACTCCTGAGGGAGAACATCTCGCTCAAAGTTGTAGCCCTCGAGACCCTTGAGGGCCTGGTCGACGGCGTCAGAGAACTTGGCGGGGTGAGCGGTTGACAGAGCAATGTACACGGAGTCGGTTCCCTCAAGCTTTCGCAGAGCGGCAGTGACACCAACAGAGGAGTGGGGGTCCAAAATATAGCCCTTGGAAATGTTGGTAAACACATCCTTAATGGTCTCGAGAGTCTGCTCGTCGGAGACTCGCTCGGAGGAAAACTCGGACTTTGCGGCTCCAAGGACCTTGGCGTCGACAGTGATGACACCGTCGGTCTTGAGAGACTGCATCCACTTGTTGAGGGTGGCTCCAGCCTCAGCGTCCGAAGAAGCAACGTTCTCTCGGGCAACGTACCAAAGGAATCGCTCAAAGTTGGAGGAGACGAGGATGTCCATGGCGGGGGAAAGGGTGGCATGGACCTCGGCAGAAGCTCCGTCGGATTTCGAGTAGGAGCCAGTCTTGAGGAATCGGTCGAGAATGTCGTTGGAGTTAGTGGCGATGGTGAGCTCCTGGATGGGCAGACCCATTCGTCGGGCGTAAAAGCCAGCGAGAATGTCTCCAAAGTTACCAGTGGGGACAGAGTACTTGATGGCGGAGGAGGTGCCGAACTTCTTCTGGACCTGGAAGAAGGAGTGGAAGTAGTAGGTGATCTGGGCGAGGATTCGGGCCCAGTTGATAGAGTTGACGGCACCGACGTGGTGCTTGGCGTTAAACTCGGCATCACCAAAGACCTGTTTAACAATGTCCTGGCAGTCGTCAAAGGTACCAGCAACGGAGATAGTGTGCACGTTGGCGTCAGAGACAGTCGTCATCTGGTCCTCCTGGATGGGGGAGACTCGGCCGGTGGGGTACAGAATGAAGACAGAAACGTCCTTCTTGCCTCGCAGACCGTAGATGGCGGCGGAGCCGGTGTCACCAGAGGTGGCTCCCACGACGGTAAGAGTATCTCGGTCGGTGCCCTCCTTGCCAACGTTCTTTCGGGTCAGGAAGTACTCAAACAGGTTGCCAACAAACTGCAGAGCCACGTCCTTGAAGGCGTAGGTGGGGCCGTGGAATAGCTCCAGCAGATAAAGCTGCTTCTCCTTGCTGAGCTCAACCACGGGGGTGACCTCGTCGGATCGGAAAGTAGAGTAGGACCGGGTGACAAGCTCCTTCAGGTCGGCTCGCGAGATCTCAGACTCGGGAATGTACAGACTGAGAATCTCGAAGGCCAACTCGGCAAAGCTCAGATCGGCCCACTTGGTGAGGAAGTCGGAGGGCAGCTTGGGGATGGAGGTGGGAATGTAAAGACCTCCATCGGGGGCCAGACCCTTCATGACGGCAGCCTCGAAGGAAATGGGCTCATTGGATGATCGCGTGGAAAAGTAGGTGGTCATGGTGGTGAGGTACTTGTAGCACTGTCTGGGATCGAACAGGTTGATCTGAGAATTGGGTTGGTGATGCATTGGAGTGGTTGACTCATCGGTAGGGTAACTTTGGAAGGGACATCTAACTTGTGTTTGGAGGGTGATAAAGAATTAAAGGAGACTTGGGTTGGGAATTCTGTGCAATAGAGACTATTTCTACCCCACTCACAACTCTTTTCTATGTAAATATACCGTTTAGATGACATGTTCTACGGTGCTACGAAGTACATACTACTTGTACCCTCAAAAATGCATGTTGGGACAGGTTGAATTTTTGAAGTGAACTCCGACCAGAAAACGTGAGCATGCTTTTTTTGAGCCGAGCAGAACGTATTATTGCAAAGAAAGAAGTTTGAGACATAGAAGCAAGACTTGAGCACTTGACTACGTGACACACACAGGTCAACCACACTCTACACCCGCTGAAACTATCAGAGCCGGTATCGCTGTGACTCTTTCATATCCACACTTTCGTGGAGAATGCTGCATATAAGTCAGCCGCTCCTCCCTGCATGTAGAAGTGCGTGATGATTTTTCAACACGGTGTACAATGTTCGCCTCTTCGGTGAATAGCTATCTAAAAAAAGTCTTACAGTATGTTATATTTTATACCAACCCAACATCTTGTAATAATTGTGATCACTCAGTTCGAGGCTCAAGAAGCAGAGAGCCAAGAGGCTTGAGAGACATGCCCTCCTCGGTGTCATAAACGACCTGGCCCCGAACAATGGTTCGTCGCACCTCTCCCACCAAAGTGCCATCCTTGTAGGGTGAGATCTTGTTCTTGAAATGCAGCTTGTCGGTGGTGATCTTGACCTTGGCCTCGGGATCAAAGATGCAGAAGTCAGCATCCTTACCCTCCTTGATGGAACCCTTGGACTTGAGCAGACCCACCTGCTCGGCAGTGTTGTAACTGCACCACTTGGAAATGTCTGCAACAGTCACATTTCGGCCGTCCTTTCGAGCAGTGGTCCACAGAATGGGTAGGCCCAGTCCGACGGAGGCAATTCCACCCCAAGCCTTGAAAAAGTCCCCGGTCTGCAAGTCCTTGAGATTGGGGGTGCAGGGAGAGTGGTCTGAGACGACCGAGGTCACCACACCGTCTTCTAGGGCCTTCCACAGCAGGGATCTGTTGTCTTCCGTCCGAATAGGGGGGCAGCACTTGTGCTGGGTGGACTTCTCGGGGATGGACTCGGCAGCGAAATGGAGGTAGTGGAAACAGGTTTCCACAGACAGAGGAACACCCTCCTCCTTGGCCTTTTTGATGATGGGAACAGCCTCGGCAGTAGCCAGATGAACAATGTGAAGCTTCACGTCTGGCGAGGATTTGGAGGCCTCAATGATTGAGTTGATGGCGGTCAATTCCAGCTTGTCCGGTCGAGAGTGCAAGAAGGACATGTAAGACTTGGGGTCTGCATTGGGAGGAAGGTCTGTAGACTCTCCATTAGCCATCTCGGCGTGGAACATGAATATGGTGGGGTGTCCCTCAATGGCTTTGAGGGCCTTCTTGACATCCGGAACCTCCAGGCAGGGGAACTCATCCACCCCAGACTCAATGAGGAAGCACTTGAAGCCTCGAACTCCCTTTTCGATGAGAGGAACGAGATCCTCGGAGTTACCTGGGATGGCACCTCCCCAGAATCCCACATCGACCCAGCACTGGCCACGCGCAGCTGCTAGCTTTGTGTCAAAGTTGGCCACGGTGGTAGTGGGAGGAATGGCGTTAAGAGGCATATCAATGACGGTGGTGACTCCTCCAGCAGCCGCGGCCTTGGTGCCAGTGGCGAATCCCTCCCATTCGGTTCGTCCAGGCTCATTGAGATGCACATGCGCGTCGACCAGGCCAGGAAGAATCACTTGCTCAGGGGGAACGGACATGAAATCGTCGACATCCAAATCTCCATTGTTGATGAGTCCCTTGTGGATTTTGTGGATCTTGGTGTCGTACAGAATGGTCACCTCGGTTGGTTCCGAGGCGCCCTCCAGAAGAGCTCGGCCGGCAATAGCTTTCATTGTGTGTGTGTAGTGTGTAGTGTGTGGTGTGATAAGAGAGAAATACGATTGTTGATCTGGGCATCTACAAGCACTCTTATTGCCATGATGATTAACTTTCGATTAGGGTTCCATCCTGGTAACATTTCCCGGGCCACAGACGCACAACTTATAGGATCTTCTAACAAAGATTTCGAGGCTATCAAGGTTTTTATCAACTCGGATGACATTCCCGACGAATCTGTAAAATTTGCCAGTCGTCTACTAGTCCATGTCACCCAGTATCAAACTTCGAGATCCAGAGTCGCCCATCGCCGAACCCTAATTTTTTAGTATGAAAACTAAACGCCTATCTCATGCATCCGAAGGTCAGTGGGGTGGAGGCCGCGGAATAGCCGAGGGGGGGGCTTCAGGGGTGCAAATTACAAAGAAATATATCGAATTTGTCCATTTTAAGTAACGTGCTAAAAACATCCGATGATTAAAGGTCTTTTTCATGTACAAACACATCTGTGGAAGTTTGCTGTGGCAGATCATGTGTCTTGCGAAATTAAAATGAGCCTCTGAGACATGCAAGCGTCCTCGCATATATGTGTGGTTCGAGATTGGAGAGATTTGGGGGATGACTGTTCGCTTAGTTGCACCGCCTCTTATTGATGGGTGAAGCCCTTAGACAGCATGTGTCTTCTCACTTTTCAATCGCGGAGTTCTGACATTTACTCGTAATCTTCTACTGTGTAGTGGCTTGATGCCTTGAACTTTTCCATATGGCAACAATCATACTATTACAGTACGATTCGAATCATCCTGGGAGCTCAATGTGGTGTGGTTTTGTGAATATCCTGGTAGCTTCTGATAGCTTACTCAGATGCTTCAAATAGCATTGTTTCCTACATACTGTACCTCTCCATATCATACCTTCCATTGATCTGCGTCTTGATGACTAAACAATATGAACCCATGATATGTGAATCAGAACAAGGCAGATTTCACGGTGGTACATATCATGGGCAAGTAGCTACACTTCTTCGCACTGGAACGTCTTCACCAACTCATAGACACCACATCCGTCCTCATCTCTCTGCCAAAGATCTCAAGATCAATTGTCTATAAATATACTATACATCACGCGCTCTTGTCCACGTCTCGTTCGCCAATGATGTACACCTCAATGAGATATACCTGTGTAACAGCCACCAATATGGTCAGAGCCACAATTCCCAGGTTGCCGCGGCTAAAGTTGACAGCCACCTTGTGTGTCACGTCGATGTCTTCATTCAGCCGATCCCATAGGTCGTCCAACTTCGAGTAGCTTCGAGATACAGCCAGTTCGACCTTTGTGAGCTGGTCTTCGACCCCCTCGTACTCAGCTGCGGCTTCGATGGTGCCTGGGTGGATGGGGTTCTTTTGTTCATGCGTAAGAGGTTCCATCAATGGATCCTCCACCGAGTTGTACATGAACTCGATCTTCTTCTCGGGGAAATATGGCAGCACGTGCCGGAAGCAAAACTGATACTCGCCCCAGCTCTTGGACAAAAATTTCTTCTTTATGATCTTGAGCTTGGTTCTGTCTTCGGTGACAATGTTTTTGGCCGGATCTCGGACCACAAACTGCAGACCCGAAGCGCCACCCTTCTCCACCTTATAGGAGTACTCTATGAAGTTTCCGATTTTGCGCACATCTTCGTAGAAGCAGTTTTCTGTGCCGGGTTCCAAGAGAAATCTGAACCTCGCGTCATGAGCGTAAGTGAATGATGCCAGAAGAAGAGCCAGAAGAAGTATTAGTCTCATGTTGCGGATGAAGTGTCAAGTGTGAATTTCAAATAAAGATTGTAGCGAAGGGAAATGGATTGAGGATGAATGTAATCAATGATTGTAGAAGGCGAAAAATGGGGTCAAACAACCTAGCATTCAAGTGAATCTCAATTGTCGTATTGTTATCGAAAAGTCGCGAATGATGCGTCCCACCTTCACTGGATGTCCACCAAATGTCCCGGGTGTGGAAAGGCGACTAGAACAACAATTGCCGCAGGCAGACGAAGGGGCAATATCGTGACCGGTAGCGTTCTTTTAAGACTGTTTACTGGCCCTGAAAGATACTAAAACTTGAGGGTTCTGCAAGCATCGTTTATGCAACTTTATGCATACCAGAGACACCAAAACAGAGGCCGTTGAGGGTGTTTAGATTACCGAGAGGGCGAAGAATATTATCCACTCGGCGTGAAACATCTTTATATTTATACTAATGCCTTCTCCTTATGAGATGCTGCCTATTATCTGTTCTTTTGAACAGTGTCCCTTTTCACGCGGACTATTTAAGTTGGGTGCCGTTCATTTGATGAAAACACAGAAAACAGGGTGTATTGTGGGCTATCTCTCAATCTACAGTATGGTACAGCAGTGATAAAACACCAAAGATTGACGTGCCAAAGGATAACTGTTTGTGATGGAAGAATCCACCATCCCCCAAGTCCTAGATTGTCGTGCACCCCGCTAGATCTGTATCTGATGCACCTGCATTTCACCTGAGGCATTTACGAGCTGCTTGAGACCTGACTGATAACGTATATTTTTAATGTGTTGCGGAATCCTACCTGGGCGGACTCAATTAAAAGATGGGTGACCCCCGTTACACCTTGGAGATATGACCTCGGATCGTGTCTCACAAAATACGACGTGTTTAAGTATATATCGGCAGTAAAGGTAGTGTGCGGTTGTGCGGGGTTGTGATAATGACTTAGGTGTCGCTGGAGCGAGTAAAGAGACTCAAGAAGATATTTATGGACGGAAACAGACCTTCCGATGACTTGTTCTTCATTTTAACACTCCAAACTTCCTATTACATACTAGACCAGGTTTCAATGTTTTTATTTTTATCACTGGATCTAAACAAGCCTAAATAGAGTTGCGGAAATCCGAAAATGGACCGTAATTAAGAGCTGCAGACCGGCGTTTAAACGGGTGACGTCATAATAGAGCACCCTTCCAAACGAGACGATTTGATAAATGGCCAGGATTTTATATCCGAGTATTTATAGATGTGGTAAAATACCGGGAGTAAGTAATCTATTGAGCACCTACTGTAGTACGATCGCTTAGTTTTTACTTGCAAGTCTAGTTGACTCTTGCTTACAGAAGGTCATTTATGGGAGATGCATCTGATTGCCTGGAGGTGTGTGCTATGTACATACTATAGATTCCTCATGCTGGCTCAGTCCGCAATATAAGAGGGGCCAAAGTAAATTGCAACAACACATTAGCCCCCCTTACACTCAGATCATTGGGGTGATAGACAGGATCTCCAGGCAGCCCGAAAACATTGAGAAACATGCCCAACCCTAACTAGGAAGCTTCCCAGTGTTCTGTAGCCACCTTGTTGAAGGAAGAGAGTAGCATAATACTGTAGGTTGGTGGATATACTACGGGTCGAGCTGTGACATATGTGGCGTATAATGTCTGTTTATTTTTGCCACTCACGTGATTTCACCGGCTCTAGTGACTTTTGCCCTTTGAGAGACGTAGTAACGGTCTTGCATTGTCAGTAAGGGTCCCGTGTTTGGAGAAATGGTGGTGGGTCCAGAGAATTGTAGATACTTGTACAAGTAGATGTGTTTCGAAGAAGAGAAGAAGGCGAGATTATCCTACAACAGCCCCAAAACAAATACAGAATGGCACTTAAACTCCCCTTTTATTTATTCATAAGTCTTCTTGCACTTCTACATATTCCTATATCTACGCCTCTTCTTTGCCACACGCCAGGACAAGGTTCCAACAATAGCATTGCTAAAATTCAAATTAGGGTGGTGTTCACGCGTTTATTTGGTTTGGGAGTTAGGAGGGAAAGGCTCGAGAAAACAGTGTCGGAACAGGACATCATAAGAAGGGTGTGGAAGTGGATTTTAGGGGGATTCAACAAATAAAAATGCTTTGAAGAAGTGACGGATTAATTTGGGAGCTCTACAAATCCTCCACCTTACGTACAACGCCGGGAAAATCCCTTTTGAACAAACCTAAAAACCCAAGGTTAGGGAAGGCAGCACACGCGTCACTGTGCCAGTGTACAACCAGAAACAATATTAAGGTGTCTGTCAAAAAACCTGAACATACCTCTCACCACAGACCAATGCTCCGAGACGTGAGCAAGTCGACTCTCAACATTATGGAAGCAGGTGCCACGGACACGTGTGGGCGCGACGGCGACGGACTCCACGACGCTCGCTCGCAGGTCGAGCCACAACACGTGGACTACGCCATCAACGACGACTCGGTGATACCCGACTCGGAGTGCGAGCAGGAGGTGCTCAACACGGACTACGTCGGCGGCGTGAGCAAGTCCCACAGACAGGGCCATCAAGGGGGTGTGGTGGAAGACACCACGTTCAGCGATCTTCTGGAAATGAACATCAACTTTGCCCCGGGATCCATGGAGGTGGGCGAGTTGCGGACGGAGGAAGTCACGCCCGAGGTGGAGGAGTGTTTTCGGGGTTTTGAGCGCCAAATGATGAGCCACGTGAGCCACAGCAACGTGAGCCACAGCAACGTGAGCCACAGCAACGTGAGCCACAACTCCATGCTCGGAAGCTATCCGATCCAGAGCCACTGTGGATCCATAGGCCAGAGCCTAGGGTATTTCGCCAGTGAGGAACTGACTGAGGTGGAAAAAGGGACCATTCATGATGAGCGGGAGCAGGAACAGAAGCAAGAGCAGGAACAGAAGCAAGAGCAGGAACAGGAGGAGCAGATGGAGGAGGGTAATGAAGAACAGAGCAACGAACAGCCCGTGACTGAACAGTCGGAGTCTGTTAGTGGAAGCGAGGAGGGTCAGGAGGTTGAGGCAAGTGAAGCTGGTGTTCTAGCTGTCATTGAAGATGAAGTTGGAGAGAATGGCGAGCCTGGTGGAGCGGGCGATTCTTCTCATGCCATTGAAATCACATCTACTAGTCCTTCCAAGATCGAGATTGCTATTGAAGATGAAGATGAAGGTGAAGATGAAGATGAAGATGAAGATGAAGATGAAGGTGAGGCTGAAGTAGACGAAGAGGCAGAAGAAGTCGAAGACGAGCTAGAAGCCGAGTCAGAGACTACGCCAAAGGTTTCTGCGTCCGAAAACGAGTTCTCACACACATCGCACTTTGAAACTCCAGCAGCTGAGACACCAAAACACGACGAGGAGGTTATCGCAGTTGAAGCCGATCAAGACGTGTCCATGATGAACGTGAGCATGGACCGAACCAACCACGATGTGAGCATGGCAGAAACAACTGCAGTGGTCAACACCACTAGTGGAGATACTACTGTCACAGACGAAGCTTCTACAGCTCTAACAGCACCCACTACACACACACATGCAGAAGACACTGCATCGCAGGCTACTGTTTCGCGTGAGTCGTCAGCCCAAGTTGGAGCAACTCTCGGAACAAGTGCTAAGCCCGAAGAAACAGAAGGAGATACAACAGTCACTGTGACGGCCTCTGCTACTCCAGAGAACACAGGTATGGACGAGGGTCCTCCTGTCCTATCTCTCTTGGACGTAGATGGTGATGTCCATATGGAGATGCAAGAGGCCAATGGTGAGGTTAATGAGCGCGATACACATGGGGAGGATACACATGAGGAGGAGGAGGAGATGACAGGGGAGGACGGCGACGAGCTGGCAGATGGCGAAGACTACGATATGGCAGGCGAAGCAGACGAGCAACCACAGAAACAGACTATTACAGAGACTGCTCCAACAGTGTCACCGGTTGCATCTTTCCCAGCACTTCCCATGAACACAGCTAGACTTACTCGGGAACACAAGACGATTCCCGGTGAGGTAACACCAGAAGCCAAATTGATTCCAGGTGAAGTTCCTGGTGAGAAGCGTCTCATTCCTGGTGAGAAGCCTGTTGCCGGTTCTACGAAGAAGCCCATCCCAGGAGAGATTCTATCTGCCAAACGACCTCTTCTTGACGAGACTCCCGTGTCTCGATCAGCTCCCACTGTTGCCACATCTAAACTCATTCCTGGAGAGGTTCCTCGAAACACATCATCATCATCATCTGCATCGAAGATTCTTCAGCCGACACCACGAGTGGCATTGTCAATGAAGCCTCCGGAGTCGCTGGTTTCGAGTGTTCGAGCATCGTCTCAGCCTCCTCGTCAGCTGACTCCCATTCCCAATCTTTCGCATTCCGACGCTCTTCCAGAAGACCCTACCGACCAGGCTCGACAGGCTCTGGCTCGAAAAAGACCTCTCCCCAAGCGTCCCCAGGGCCGTAAGATCTCTCACGAGACCACTCTGGAGCTGCAGAACTTCGAGTTGTCTTGCAAGGGTCTTTCTGATCACTATCGGCTTCTGGACAAGGTTGGCGAGGGTACTTTCTCCTCAGTCTACCTTGCCGAAGACATTCATTACGACCTCAAGCGTGAATTTGCTGCTCGGAAGAAGCAGAACCAGTCGTCCAGCCACTGGAAGTCTCCCCCTTTGAACTCCAAGAAGCGGATTCGATTGCTGGAGCGTTCAAACACAGATATCCATCGGGGTCCACTTGTGGCCATCAAGCGCATCTACGTGACGTCTTCGCCCAAACGAATTCTTAACGAAATCAAGATTCTTGACGCGCTCTCAGGCTACGACAATATATCGCCACTGTTAAAGGTGATGCGCCATGAGGACCAAATTCTCGCGGTACTGCCGTACTTTGAGCATCAGGATTTTCGGTCGCTGTACAAAACCGGCTCCAAGACGGACATCCGTATTTATATTACCCAGCTGTGCCAGGCCCTCAAGTTTGTGCATTCCAAGGACATCATCCACCGAGACATCAAGCCTACCAACTTCCTCTACGACCGTCACCGACGGTACGGGGTGCTGGTGGACTTTGGACTGGCAGAAGTGCAGTCATTTTCGACGTCCAATCCCTGTGTGTGTGTTTCTCAGGAAAACCAGAAACGTATTTTGGGCTCGGCGTGGGAGCTCAAGCCCAAGGGCTCATACGAGAAGAACGACGTGCGGTCTGGCCGGCGAAGCAACCGAGCAGGTACTCGAGGCTTTCGAGCCCCCGAGGTGCTGTTCAAGTGCACCTGCCAGACGACCCAGATCGACATGTGGTCCGTGGGCGTGATCTTGCTGTCATTCCTGTGCAAGACTCTGCCTTTCTTCATGTCGCACGACGATGCTGATGCTCTGGTGGAGCTATGCAGCATTTTTGGCCGCCAGGCTATGCACCAGACGGGTCTTCTACATGGTGCTTTTCTTGAGCTCCAGATCCCCAAACTGCGAAGTACAGGCCTGCCGTTTGAGCGGGTTCTGTTACAGGCTGGATGCCCCGAGGAGTGGGCTCGAGATCCGGTGGTGATTGATTTTCTCAGCAACACCATGAAGCTGGATCACCACCATCGGTTTTCCGCCGAGAAGGCTTTGGCCCATGAGTTTTGCCAGCGTGCCTATGAGGAGGATGATTACGTAGACGTATAACTGGGGATGAACTAATTATATTATTTTATTGCTTTTAGTGGGTAGGCGCATAATTATCAACCGTCTTACAGTCGTAGTTAGATAAGAGACGTCGCTATAAATCATACAGTAGTGAGCGCCTGGAAGCAATCTACTAACAATTGTTTTCGCAGCTTGTTATTCGCGTCATTTGTATCTATAGTACACGTATAACTCCATCTTCTACAGGCTGAGCTCTTCGACTGATCCCCTCACCAAGGAGTACATATTACGTGCTTTGTTGAGAAGCTATCTAAGTGTCAAGTATTGAGTAAAAACAACAACACAACAGACATTTGGGTTTTGTTTTTGAACACTCGAAAATGGGCACACAAGTTGTCAGGGCAAAGACCCCTGTTCGAACAACAGATTCGGATGGATAAGTTTTGCAACACGTGATGTGTGCTTCTCTCGAATTCAACCCCAAAATGTAAAATTGCGCTCAAAGTGCTGCCCAAGTGGTCAGACCACAGCATGTGCTATCGTGCATACTGGAAGAGCTAAAAGCTGGTAACCACTTTGGCTCAAAATTAATCTTGCATCAGTCAGTCTCTTGTATCGTACCAAGTTCAACATACAACCACACACACACACACCTCGTTGCCATGTCGTACAACGGAATAGGTCTGTCCACTCCCCGTGGATCGGCTACTTCGGGTCATATTCAGACCAACATCTCCAACAGAGCGTTTCAGAGCACTAACCACAGAGGCGAATTTGCACACCATGAGATGACGGACGAGCAAGACAAACGATTGAACAAGAAGCTGGACAGAGACTACGCAGCTGACCGACAGGCTGACGTGGAGCTGCTGGAACATGAGCGAAAACGCAAGGTGGAGGTAGCATGCATGGAGCTCCAGGACAAGTTGGAGGAGGAGGGACAGAAGGGAGAGGAGGAGATTGAAGAGGAGGTGAACACCCTGAGACGTCAGCTGACACTCAAGATGGCTCGGGAACTCGATGTGAGAACCACCATTGTTTCTGCGGATCGAGAAGCTCTGCGAAAGAACTACCACAAGGCAGCCGTCATCAAACAGCAGGAAATGGATCGAATGAGAGACGCCTTTGATACCACAAAGAACCTGGATGACCGAGGACGTGACCGGCCACGAAACCGACAGCGACAAAATCGAGAAAAGTCGCCCGTCAGGGACACAAGACGATCTAGAAGTGCTCGAGAACGATCTCCCTCCCGAAGAGGAAGACGTCCAAGACGGTACTCTGTTACTGAAGATGTGAGAACCTCTGAGGTGATTTCTGAGCGACAGGGATCAGGATCGCCATGCCGGAGAGCTGACTCTCGATCCAGATCTAGAAGTCCCGAGAGAGGCTCCCGACGAAAAAGCTACAGAGAAAGATCTCGATCTCGATCCCGAGAAAGAAGTGAGAGAAGAGGAAGACGAGACAGCGTCAGAGAGAGGGAGCAAGACAGATCTCGATCTCCATTACCCTACTAGTAGACCCTCCATTAACAGCATAATATGTTTGCGCAATGCCAAGTATGTAAGGCTATATGAACAACGGACATAACAAAGCTGATCTACAGAATCTGTTTTCCTAGCTGTGGAGATAAACCACTTGCTACAGTACATAAAAATACAGGGATTGTGAATGAAAAAAAAAAAAAAAACCTCAAAAAACAAAGGAACCCTTAATAAATTCTTTTCTATTCGTAGGGTGAAAAATGCTCTCAAAAGTCACTCAAACTCAAAAATATGATGACAGATGTGGGGTTCGAACCCACGAGAACTTGCGTTCAGCAGATCTTAAGTCTGCCGCCTTAAACCACTCGGCCAATCTGCCGCGATCGTGTCGAGAGCCGAAATCATATTTACTGATCTTGAGCTCCAAGTTTCGGGAAAATCACGTGACCTGACAAATTATCCTCCTAAATAAGAGATATACGGGTTCTGGAAAAACGGATCATGGTCAAATGAGTCGTTGCGGATTCAATGAGACAATAAGAATAGACAACTTCTTGAAGCAAAGTCTCCAAAAATGCCATTAATTTTTGAATAGAACTGATGACGTCATAAGAAAACTCTATTTAAGCTCCAGTTAGCCGCTACCCCACATAGCAGGGTTGTCCATATACGGCAGGTATATGGTGGTAGCTGTATAAAAGAGACCGAAACTGTGCTCCCGGGGAAACGTCTAGTAACATTAGCTACCAGTTCTTTATTCGTCCCATTCCCTACACGCGCCTATGAAATTAATTGCCCCCTTTTTTAGGCTTTGGGAATGTAGTGCCGATCACAGCTTTCTGCCAAAAGGCGTTGGGTAGCAATTATGATCGTCTTCCCTGCATTGGAGCTTGTGACCAAAGCTACCAATGACTGTGTGGAGGATCCACTGCGACGTTAGATTAGGTTGTGTTAACGCCTAAAGGCTGGAATGAGTGTGCTCTGAAACCGCAGGGGTGAAGGTGGCAAATGCTTTGGGTTGAGGCCTGACTGCTCGGTGTGGGTGGTTACCGTAGAGTTGTTTCAGTGGGCCATTTTGAGACATGTGGGGTATTTCTAACTTACGCGGAGCAATCAGGCAGGGCGGAGGTAGGTGAGACCGGAGCTCTACGGGTGGCAAGCGACGAGAAGTTCTCACTCTGTGGTTGAAAGATTTTGTTGGGTAACTGACGCGTTTCTGATGATCCTTGTTTGCTGGAGCTTGAGTTGAATGTAGACATTGAGAAGCGAGTTAGAAAGAGAGTGTAACGTGAAACGTCAGCAAGTTACAGTAAATGTACCGTACGAGTAGAGCATGTGCCCACTGCGTGCATTACAGAATATTGTATGTAGGGTGTCATACTGTACACTGTATTTTCGCAAACGATCATCTAAAGATGGACTATACAGCGGTCTTACAGTACCGACACTTGAATTATAGTGCTACAAGTATAGTACGAGTATCAATCTTTCTCCCATTAATGAATACCTTACCAATAAATACAATAAATACAATGCTACAATACCGTTCTCTGAATCTAGTCATGCTCGCTGTATCCAGCGCCAGCAGACATTCGGGTGACTCCTACCAGACCCTCCTTATCGAGACTCAGACAATATCTGCCGAGAGCAGACATGAGAAGAGCCTGCTTATCGTTCTGGAAGGTCACCTGTCGGTTCATCTGATCCACCAACAGTGGCACGGTGGCGGCGCCTCGATGCATGTAAATGGTATCGAATCTCTGCTTAGTGTGGCCCCACTCCATGTAGGGAATGTCCCGGAGAGGTGCCTTGAAGGGCTCGATAAGATCTCCGGCTTTAAGAGTCACAGGGCAGTTGACCTGGAGCTCTGCAAACTCGTTGGCAATCAGAGTCTGCTTGCCTCCAGTGATGGACTCAACGTGGAAGCACACAGGAGGACCATGTCGACCCATGAAGATCTTATCGCCCGCCTTGATGGAGCCCTGGGAGACTCGGCCAAAGATGAGGTTTCCGGGCTTCACGGAAATGATGTCGAAGCGGGGATCCTGGCCAAATGAGGGCATGAGTCGCTTTCGCAGGTTCTTCTTGGTCTGCTCACCGGCAGAAATCTTAAACAGAGGACCAACGTACTCAGTAGGATAGGAGAAGTGCGACTGGAGCTTGGTCTTCCCCTCAAGATGCTCGTTGACGACTCGTCGCACATTCTCGAGGTCTGAGGGCTCACAGACCCAGGTGATGGACTCCACCTTGAAGAAGACGAAGAGCTTGGCCAGAGCAAGAACCTTGGTAGACATATCGCCCTCGCACAGAACAACCATATGCTCGCAGTATGATGCCAGGTTGACGGCCGAACCGTGGAAGACATACAGAGACGTGTCGTTGTCGTAGTTAATCTTGAATCCGTTGGTTTCCTTACCGGGCATGTAGTTGCATCGATGAAGCAGGTTGTTCACATAGGTGTTCGTGGAGCCTCCAGTGGCGTGGCAGATACCGATAGCACCAATGTATTGCTTGTTGACGATGTAGGGGGTTCCGCCAGATACAGACTGGCTGTAAGTCATTGTCATGGACATTTTCGAAAAAGTTGTTTTTGTCTGGGGGGATGGAGAAGTGTGAGAAGTGTACGAGCTGATGGAAGGAACACCTGGACTAGCGAGGTGTTACATCTATATATATGCTGGGCTTTTTCTTTCTCTCCTGCTTGAGAGGTCTTCGTCTTATGCGTAAGCGGAATACGATTTGAGTTCCGAAGGTTAGTGTTCGCTTCCCTTTTGTCTTGCTTGTTTGTTTTAGCCTCCAACCCCGCAAAACTAAAACATTTCCATTTTGAAACCTCTGGCGGGGTGTCTAGAAACTCGTAGTGTAAGTATCTAGCTCGCTCACAACACTGAATAAATAGTAACAGCAGTTAGCTACCGTTCTTTTCTTTGACACCTTCCACCATGCTCTTTAGCCCACCACGACCTCCACCTTATCAGAGTAATGCGCTCATTGAACTCTTTTTGCGCCCCACTACTGTGCGTAAGCCACCAAGTGGGGATGGTGAGACATGGATCGACAAGAAAAATTTCCCAAAGCAAGCGTTGAGAGCGCCCATCACTTGAGATTAAGCGGGGATAGACCAGTCGATCTGTGGGGTTGGGGTAGGGCACGGAAATGATAGGCAGATGACCAGGGGGGATAAGTCTAGCTCCGCCCTAGTTACTCCGATACACGCTGTGTCGCGTTTTGTTTTTGGTTGAGTTCTTCTTTGAGTCGCACCATCTGTCGCAAGTCGCTAGACCCCTGTTAAACAAGCAAGGCCAGGCTGCAGTGCCTCGCCGAACAAGGGCTTATCATATGTAGGGTAGGGATTTTTGGCGCTAGTTGTAATCCACCCACACTGTAGTGGCCCCAGTGGCATTTTTGCGCCCAACATATCATTGTTTCGGTGTTTGACGTGTATATATTTCTGTGGTCTACGTTTCCTTGCGGAACATAACTCGGGCATCTTGTCGCGTCGAGGCTGGGAGTGGAGATACAAGTACAGTATGTACTGTATGTACTCGTGCCAGTACTGGTATACGTTTAAGATGGGTCATTCATCCACTCAAAAGGGGTGAGTGGGTATCAACCTACCATACAGGCTACGATGCAGAGACACACCCAAATGCTGTCATTTTACTTTTGTTTCAGTCTCCTATCCCCTATATCCACACATCCTGCCACAGCAAGCGCAGTCGCTATTGTACATACACCCGGCTGTTGTGCTGTCCAATCTTCCAGTTATTTTCTACCCTTGCTGCATCGAACGTCGATCCTCACATGTCCCGTGACGCTTGTACTTTAATGTCATTGTATGGCAGTTGTATCACAATATCGATCGGGAGGGATGGAAAGCAGGGAATCACATTCGAACCGATGAGCCCCACGAGGGGTACTTCCTGCGCCATCTCTTGTGGTGCCTGGACCTCTTGTGTGGACAAAACCATCTCTGGAGGCTGGCATTGTAATGCGCGTCATTTGCTCATAGACTTTCTTTTTGTGACCCCGCTGTGCATGGTGTGCATTCATTCCGGCTGGGTGTCTTTTTAAGCCTCCTCCCACCAGAAGGCTAACCTTGGAGGACCATCATCTGCCACACACAGGTGAAGGCAAAGAGTACGGTGGTCAGCAAGGCATATGGAGAGTGGAAAATATGTGTGCAATACCACGAAATACAATAGTGGCCACTAATAGAAAATGGCTACAGCTGCACGGCTGAAACAACCAGGTACGACTTTCCCCACCCACTAATATCCTCTAGTTCCAAAAGTAGCCGAGCCCCGTATACGTTACATGCTATTCCTTGTCGCGCTGGTTTCTTCTTCTCTACTTGTTCGGTGACTGAAGCCTCTTCTCTGACTTTGTCCCTCTCTCATAATTCTGTCCGTACTGGACTTGTAATTACAAGTACAGTGGCATGTACCCCGCTCTCAAGGGTGTTACTCTGACACAGGTTTCACCTTATTACTATACCAGCGGAAATAAGACAAGACAAGCAGCAATAAATGCCAGTCAAATACGTCATCCGCAGTGAGTATTTGTCCACAGACTTTCCAGAGGATATTCCAGCTGACCAGATGTATCGATTCCAATCGATACACCTGCTCTACTCTGCGTACACATCACACATGCGCAACTCATGTGGATAGATAGCAGCGTCCCGCATACAATTCCACAGATCCTTGGCACAAGTATCGCCAGATTCCGGTTTCGGTTAAATACAAGATGACTGAAAAATAAAGGCTACTTACAGTAATCCTTGTCCTCCTGAAAACACCAGCTTCCCCACTCTTCTTGTTTCTCGTATCCATGCATATGCAGGTGGTCGTCACGATAATGGAGATAGCAAGCTGCTCGAGAAGCTATAGAAGTATGGTTTGAGGTATCATACGTTCTCATCGCTGCTGAAAAGGCTCTTTCTCAACTCTCCCGCATCTCTCAACGTTTGTGACGTCGTCTTTTGAGGATTTCTCACACAGTGTGTTTGTAGCCTTCTCTTCCGAGTTTTTACAACTCTGAGACATGATCTCGGAGATGAGAGGAGAACAAGCTAACTCAACAAGAAGGTCGGGCCGGCCCTACATCTCGAGATGTGCACTTGTCGAGCCTTTGTATCCTGGATCGAAAGTGGCACCAGTAACGCAGAGTGGGGCATATCAGGCACAAGTTTTTTTCTCGGGTGGCTTGGAGTTGATTAGCAGACAAAGCCCAAGCTTCATCTAGAGGATCCTCTGTCGTACGAGTACGAGTACAAGTACTTATATATGTGTGAGTTCTATAGAGCCTCCATTAGAGAACTCGATGATCAGCTCTCTCCACTATACGCACGCTTGTATGCTGAAGTACAAGCGACTCGCTGCCTTAAACCTGCGTTTTAGCCAGAGCTCAACAGCTGCCATCCAAGCATTTATCTCAAACAGTCTCAGGTTGTAATTCATTGGTAAGTGAGACGGCGGTCTAGACTTTCTTAGTATACATCCGATACCTATTTTGCCACAAACATCATTTCACATGTCGGACTTGCCCCGCTCTTAGCCTAGCGCATCTCCTGCTGGTATATCGTACAATGGAAAACTCATCAGTGACATTACTACTCGTGCTGTAATGCTTTATATATACTATACCCCCTCGATTTTTTACTGAGTCAATAGTCTCACGGCCCAGTCAACTGACAGGGTTCGTAGATCAGTATAATGCTGACCAGTACCCACAAACAGCACGGGAATGTTGGTCGCGTAGGTCATGTTGACAATCGAACCGATCATGTCTCCCACAGTGTCACATTTTGAAATGAGGAAGAAGTCCAAGTTTCGATCCTTGCCAAAGGCGTCGTTGAAGTTTCGAGCCTGCTGCACAGAGTCAGTTCCAACCAGAGCCTCTCCCACCATGATGATTTTGTTGGGTCGAGCTCGCTTAGCAAACTTCTCCAGATCTCCCATCAGACGCTTATCACTATGACGTCGACCGGCGGTATCGATGAGAACCACGTCGAAGCCATGCTTCTCGCCGTACTCAACGGCCTTCTCAGCAGTGTGAGCAGGGTCTTTACCGTATCCCTGGGCGAAGAGCTCAACCTCTCCAGTTCCCTGACGCCCAGCAAGCTCACTGAGTCGGTTGACATGGACACCCAGCTGCTCGACAGCTCCGGATCGGAACGTGTCACATGCAGCCACCAGAAGTCGCATCTTGTTTTGCAGGAGCCAGAAGCCAATCTTGGACAGGTTGGTGGACTTGCCCACACCGTTAACTCCAACCACAGAAATAACATAGGGACGTCCTCCACCGAGCTTTTTGTGCCGCTGGACCTCGTGGAGCAGGTCTAGAGAGGCCGAAGGGGTCAGAATCTTTCGAAGAGCGTCCGCCATGGCCTGCTGCACGGTCTGCTCGACGGTGGTCCACGAATTGGTAGTGCAGCCGACTAGTGACCGTGACACCTGGTCACATAGGTGGACTGCAACCTCCTTGGCCACGTTCTTCTTCATGAGCTGCTCCTCGACCTTGGCAGTCACCTTGTCCATATCTTCCTGTGTGATAGTCTTACCGCCCATGATGTTCTTCAGGAAACCGAATCTCGACTTGGAGGGGATCGGAGGCTCGTCGTCACCCAGTTGTTTGAGCACAAAATCGCCCTGCTTGTTGGCTCCTCCATAGTTGGTCATATCCACATCTTCCACAACAGCCGTAGCTCCTGAGGGTCCAGAGGAGAAGTCAAGATCCGCGTCGTCGTCAGAACCGACATCCAGGGCTTGGCCATCCTCTCCCCATTTTCGCATGACACCCTTCTTTTTCTTTTCCGCTGTAGAGTCGTCCTTCTTGCCCTTCTTTCCTCGCCGACGGGTCTTTCCTCCTCCAATAGGTGTAGATGCTCCGCTGGCTGCAGAGTCTGTATCGACAACAGTAACAGACGACTCAATCTTCTCGATCACAGGGACCTTTGCCTTTGCCACGGGCTCCGGCTTGACCGTCTCTGCCTCCAGGGAAGCCAGTTTTGTAGCGAACCATGCTTCGTACTCGTTATCGTCCAACTGGGGGAACAGTTGTCGGGCTTGGGTAACCAGCTGACCCACCCAAGGCAGATGAAGAAGAGTCTTGTAAATGCACACAAATACGAGCCCCTGCTCGTTGGCGACTGCCCATCGGGCCGTGTAAATGTCCTTGGTGTAGGTGGAGTCCTGGACGGGATAGGACTCTTCGATGAACACGTCGGATATCAGATCATTGACAATATGTGTGACGTTGGATGCTGAGGGAGGGGAGTACTGCCACTTGACAATTCCTCCCTTTGTAAACGCGACAAAGTGGTCAATCATGTTTGTTGTAGAGAGAAGAATCGGCCTGCTGATCTGTTGATTTTTTTTTATTCTAGGGATATTCCAGTAGGTTCGGGGATATGTAGACGAAATTAGGTTAGCATAAACCTGCACGGCACAGGAGTCGAACGGACATGCGTATTATGGGGTGTGTGTATGTCAGCATAACACAGAGTTGGGACTTTTAATAGCTATCAAAAACATTGGCATACAGACGAGGGCAAAGAAAGCCAGAAAACGAAACAGGCTCATCGGCACGTCCAAAAAAAAAAGACACTTGCGAAAATCGATATACGCAAAATGGTCGCGATAAATAGGGCGTTATAGACGCGACGAGGAAGCTGGGGGAGTGTACAACCAGACGGAGAATGGCCAGGGCACATAAAAAGAATGCCTGAGTCGTTTCCAGAGTGGCGAAAACAACACGGATTTGAACTTCCGACTTTTCTTTGCTTCCACCAGAGCCCCAATATGGCTCCCTTCTTCTCACCCACGGCTTTCCGCGTGGTGATCTTCGTACAATAGTGTGCATTTCACACTTCTCTCTCGTGTGACGTAAGAGGGCACACATGCCACAACAAGACAGCAAAGATAAACTCTACTTATACACACCAGCACCACCCATCCATACACAATGTCAACGCCTCGGACTGTGTGGCGCCGAAGAGGCGAGGAGTCGTCCAGCGAAGATGACTTTGACCTGACCCCACCCACCCGGAAGGCTGCCGCCAACAAAAACTACGTTGAGCCCAGCAGCAGTGAAGAAGACGACCATATCCGACCCACGAGAGACAGCAACGACGACGACGACGACGACAACGCAAATGCCAGCCTACAAGCGCAGCTGGCGTTTGACGAAGACGAGGGAGTGGCCGATTCGCAGGCCGATTCCGAAGAAGAGGGCTCTCGTCGGAAGCGCGGTCGAGCTGCAAGCAGCGAGAATGGTAAGTCCGTTCCAGTCACACTTGCCATCGGGTGTCGATTAGCCCAGATGATGGAGAATGGAGGTGAGTGAACTACGTGACCAAATTACTACAGCAGAGATTCGCGACACACTCGATGTCTCATGTCTCACATCTCATTAGGTACTAACACAGCTATTGGAAAACGCAGAAAAGTGGAGGATGACTCCGACTTTGAGATTGAAGTAAAAAACGACGACTCGGACGGCGGATCGCCTTCGCCGGCTTCGGACTCGGACGATGTCAACTTTGGTTCTCGGGCTCGGAAGAAGAAGGGAAGCAGACGCAAGGGCAGATCACACCATGCTACGGGAGGAAAGCGACCCAGACGCGCTCGTTCACAGGTCCCCGACGACGATGAAGAATACAGCGCCAGTGATAACTCGTCGGACAACGAAGGCTCCAACGATTCTGGTGCTTCCGAGAGAGACGAGGATCCTATCAATAACTTTGTGGAGGACGATGAAGAGGTGCAACCCGTGCGACGATCGAACCGACACAGAGGTCTGGGACGACGGGAACGAATCGCTATTGCTACTGCTGACGACGATGATGACGACGACAAGCGTCTGTCATTGGCTGTTGAGCTGGCAGAACTGAGACGAAACGATCCCCCTCCAATCAGAAAGAAGACCCTGAGAGCTCGAAAGGCGGTCAACTACCAAATACTGCCCCCACCCACCGTGGACGAACCATTCAATGCAGATGAGGCAGGTGCTTCTGCTCCCACACGACGTCGAGGCAATAACAATGCTCTTCGACGTCTCATCCCTACAGTGGGACCCTTCGGCGGAGGCGACGTGATGCCTTTGTTTGGAAACAACGTGCCTGGACTCACAGCTGTTGGTGGAGCCGACGATGACGACTCCAGTGATGACGAAAAGATCAAGGGTATCCAGGGAGCTCCTGGCATTGCCAAGAAGAAGAACGCAGTGGCAGACACGGATCCTCTGGGAGTGGACATGAACATTGACTTCACCCACGTCGGAGGTCTCGACAACCACATCAACCAGCTAAAGGAAATGGTGATGCTGCCCATGATGTATCCTGAAATCTTCAAGCGGTTCAATACCACTCCCCCGCGAGGTGTACTGTTCCATGGTCCACCAGGAACCGGTAAGACCCTTCTGGCAAGAGCTCTCGCTGCGTCCTGCTCCACTGAAGGAAGAAATATCACCTTCTTTATGCGAAAGGGAGCCGACTGTCTGTCTAAGTGGGTTGGCGAGGCTGAACGGCAACTGCGTCTCCTGTTCGAGGAGGCCAAAAATCAGCAGCCCAGTATCATCTTCTTCGATGAGATTGACGGTCTTGCCCCTGTGCGATCGTCCAAGCAGGAGCAGATTCATGCCTCCATTGTGTCTACCATTCTGGCATTAATGGACGGTATGGATAACCGAGGCCAAGTGATTGTTATTGGAGCTACCAACCGTCCTGATTCAGTAGATCCTGCTCTCCGACGACCCGGTCGATTCGATCGAGAGTTCTATTTCCCTCTGCCTGACAAGGAGGCGCGAAAGGCCATCATTGGAATCCATACCAGCAAATGGTCCCCCCCTCTGCAACCGCAGTTTGTGGACCATGTCGCTGGTCTGACCAAAGGCTACGGAGGAGCCGATCTCAAGACTCTGTGCACCGAGTCTGCAATCAATGCCATTCAGAGAACATACCCTCAGATCTACTCTTCGCATGCCAAGCTCACGATAGACCCTGCCACAATTAATGTGCGAGCTGCTGATATTCTGTTGGCTGTCGACAAAATTGTGCCCTCTTCTGCGCGATCCTCTTCTTCCGGGGCGACTCCTCTGCCTCCTACTGTGGCCCCTCTGCTTCAGAACACCGTCGATGAGCTCAAGGACCGTCTGGACTCGATTGTTCCTCGAAAGAAGAAGCTGACAGCTTTGGAGGAGGCTCTGTTTGAAGAGTTCCCCGACGAGGACGGTGGGTTTGCACGAATTCAGCGACAGAAGCTGTTTGAGAAGTCGCGAACCTGCCGACCCAAGCTGCTCATCTCTGGTGACACTGGTATGGGCCAGCAGTACATTGGCAGTGCTCTTTTGCATCATCTGGAGGGGTTTCACATTCAGCAGCTGGACCTGGGATCTCTCTATGCCGATAGCAGTAGAACTGTCGAGGCTACACTGGCTCAGATCATCACTGAAAGCAGACGTCATGCTCAGTCGGTGCTGTACATTCCTAACATTGAGTTCTGGCCCACAACTCTCTCTTCTCAGGCACTGTCCATCTTCTACACTCTGATGAGACAGGCGCAGAGCCAGACCGAGCTACTTGTTCTGGGTATCTCTGAAATGCCTTATGAAGAGCTTCCCGGGGACTTGAAGTCTTTCTTTGGGGTAGCTGCTTCTCGCCTATATTCCATTCGAAAGCCCTCACTGTCAGAGCGACGAAAATATTTTGAGGGTATCGAGCAGTACATTGTGGCCAAGCCTACAGACTACCCTGACCCTGCGACCCGAAAGAGACGAAAGCTCCCCATTCTGCCCGTTGCACCCCCGCCTCCGCCCAGGGAGTTGACTGCCTCCGATGTCAAGACGCAGCAGAAGAAGGACATGCAGCTGAAGAACGTCATCAAGGTGAAGCTCAGTGGACTGATGGAGCTGTTCAAAAATCGGTACAAGCGGTTCCGAAAGCCACCCATTGACGATATTCATGTTGCTCATCTGTTCGAGCCTGAGATTGATCCCCAGGCTGCTGCTTTGCATGATTTCAGACGTTCTGAGGACGACATGATTTTGCAGGTGTCCACTGGCAAGAAGTACTACAACTACGATCTCGATGTGATCGAGGATCGGGTTTGGAATGGCTACTACTCGGAGCTCAAACAGTTCCTCAAGGATATCGAGTACATCTACCTTGATTCCATCACCTCGGGCGACCGCGAGCGACGAAACAAGGCATCGGAGATGTTTGCCAATGCCCAGGTGGCCATTGAGGAGATGAGCATCGACCAGCAGTTCGTCGCTGACTGCAAGAAGATGCGACAACGAGAGATTGAGGCTCAGGAGAAGTGGAAGATTGAGCAAGAAAGAGTGGAGGCTGAGGAAGCCAAGGCGACCGCTGAACAATACGAGGCAGAGGCCCGTCTTGCTGCTGAGGTACAAGAGCGAGAAGTGGATGGTGACGACGGAGATCCCGATGTCAATCAGATGCAGGTCGACGGCGAGGGTATGATCGAGGAGGTCAAGGACGAGGAGATGGCTGACATTGACGCCGAAGATGAGAAGGTTGACAACAAGACAGAGGAAGTCGAAGTGGCTGAACCCGTTGTCGCTAAACCTGCTGTGGTCGAGCGTGCTGTTCCCGACCCTGTTGTCACAGAGGTGACCGAGACGGCAACTATTGGAACCGAGCCCGCCATCAACGGACACGCCAATGGAACTGTCGTTGAGGAAGAGAACGTGGAGGCTGAAGTCCAGGTTGCACCTCCTGTGGAAGCTTCTCCTTCTCCCCCTCCCACTCCTGATCCTCCTCTCATTGTAGACACCAAGAAGGCTCAGGATGTGGTTGACTTCCTTGCTGGTAACACTGGCGAGCTCACTATCGAGGAGCTTGAGCAGGTCTATGCCGCCATCATTGACATTATATGGGCACACCGAGCATCCTGGGACCGAAATGTCATAATCAACGCCATCACTGCCCAGCTGGACGAGATCGTCAATGCTTTCCACGAATAAACAAATAGACCTATATTAATTAATGACTACAGTATGAAATTGTTAAATTATCGATGACTGTTTCACTTATCACGTAATGACCGCTGTGCGTGCTTTTACTGAGGCACCTCCACCACCCGTGTTGTCAGTTCTGAGTCTATTACCATGTAGTCAATCTATATATACATCCACTAATCCTGGTGGAGCTCCTTGCACTTGTCCAGGAGCAGTCGACCGACCTTCATAACGCCCAAATCATCACCGTACTGTCCCATGATCTGCATGCCTACGTTGCCCTGCTTGGTCTTCCAGGGAATGTTGAGGGAAGGAATACCGGTCAGGGAAGCAGGGACGGTGAGTACATCGTTGAGGTAGGTATCAACGGGAGCAGAGTCGTTGAGCTTAGAAAGAGGGTAAGGCGCACAGTTAGAAGTGGGAGCAATGATGAAATCCACACCGGGCTCATCGTTGGCCTTTTGACCCTCGTTACCAGAAAGCACGTTGGGTCGGTTGAAGACCTCGTCGAAATCCTCCTGTAGAATTCGTCGAATCTTTTGCGACCGAATATAGTCGTGGTTGAAGGCGTCTGTCGACAGGTTCCATGTTCCAAGCCACATTCGCCGCTTGACTTCATTTCCAAAGTACTCCTGTCGAGTAGGAGCGTACAGGGTACCATGTTCCCCTCGGTCCTCGGGAGCTCGAGATCCATATCTGATACCGTCGAATCGTGCGAAGTTCGATGAAGCCTCTGCTGGTGCGATAGCGTAGTAGGCAGGAAGGGCGTTTTTGATGGCAGGAATCGAACATGTGACTACTTCGTGGCCCATCTTGATGAGCTCGTCCATGATCTGTGACCACGCCATTTTGACATTCTCGGAGATGCCCTTAATGTTGTATTCCTTGACGAGACCAAACGTGAGCTTTCTGTGGGGCTTGGGAGGCTTGAGCTTGGCTCTCTTATGGGGTGTGAGACTGGTGGGGTCCAAGGGATCGTACTTGTTGAGGATGTTGAACACCTTTTCGAGCAGATCGATGTCCTTGGTGAGAATTCCAACTGTGTCGAGAGACTGGGCATACGCAATGACTCCGTGTCGCGAGATAAGTCCGTACGAGGGCTTGAGGCCAATGACGGAGCACTGAGCGGCCGGGTATCGCACGCTTCCTCCGGTGTCTGTTCCAAGAGCAAAATGGCACATGTCTGCAGCCACAGCGGCAGCTGAGCCTCCGGAAGAACCACCGGGAGTGTGAGGTTCATCGGGGTACAGGGGGTTGAAGACAGGTCCAAACCATGAGTTTGCATTGTCTGAGCCCATACCAAACTCGTCGAGATTGGCCTTTCCAACAATGGAAACGCCCTCTTGTTTCAGCAGGTCGACAACGGTGGCATCGAAGGGGGATGTGAACGTTTCCAGAATGCCAGATGCACAAGTGGTGTGCATTTCGTTGGTGCAAATATTGTCCTTGACGGCCAGTGCAATTCCTGCCAGGGCTCCCGATTGAGCCACCTGGGGGTTCTCGGCGGTAGAGATCAGAGCATTGCTGTAGGGATTACTCTTGATGATGTTTTCCATACATTTTTGGACGGTCAGTCGTGCACTCATGGCTGGTATGGTGAGGTCGCTCAAACTGTTGATTTGACTTGCTGCTTGTATGCAGATGTTCAGACATGCTTGTGCTAACGGAGTTTATTTGAGACTTCGTAGGTGGGCGATGTAGTTCTTAGGAGTACAAGTAGCTTACTGGATGGCTAAGAGGTGGGTTTAAATAAGAAATTGTTAAATCTAGCACGTACTTATTCATCATTTACCCAGCAGTAGATTGCTTGTATCGTTGTTCCAACAGTACGTATGTCTTGGCCAGTTCAAACTTGATGTGAATTTTGAGAAGCTAGGACTTGATTAGGTGAGCATTTGGACGCTCTCGTGAATCAGTGACAAACCCAGAAGTATACTTGAGTGACACTTGATTTGCTTGTGAGTGGGATCTATTGAATTCGTGGTGTGCTACGATACAATGGACGAAGCACATTCGTACATTAGTAAGCCAATCCAGAAAGACATGATTGGAGAGTAAGAGGGTGTGAAGATCGTACAACACGTAGAGGGATTTATGGGTATATTTGTTGTAATACCCTAAAGATGGTACACAGACTATGGTAGACTGCGCTAACAGGAGCTACAAGTGCTGTACGAGTACATACACGGTGCCCCAAGACTTATAGCCATGGAACATCGAAATGGACTCAATGACGGAAGCAAGAGACATGAATGACTATTTGGGTGATAACAGTTTACGTCACATTGGTATAGAGCAACCCTATAGCCCCTAAAAATCGTCGCAACACCCATTCAAACCCATGTCCAGCTCAACGACCGAACAAGGGCCGAGTGTGGACGTCGAGAGACGCACAAACGCCACAGACTATACCACAAGGACGAACTTTCTGTCAATCAGCACAGTACTTGTGTCTACAGTAGGTTAATGGATCCATCTAACCTGCGTCTGTGCTGTCCAAGTCACGTTGACCTACCACTACTTGTAGCTAAGTACGTATGACAGCAGGGGTAGAAGCTAGCGGAGGTTTTTCGGCATCTTTTGTTGTAACATGTCGTTTGTTTCTGGATGTGGCAAGTGGGTCTTTCCCTGGATCTCGTACCAGCTCGCTAGATTTGAATCATTGGTTCCGGCATATATTCGGAACATATTTTGAAGCTCATACGTTGTACTGCGCTTTCGGCCCCCTACCTCGGCCTCCATATCGTGCATGACGTCAGAGATTATGTAGGGAGATGCGGATGTGGACCAATGGGGGTCCAGAAGACGAGTACATTACGAGAGGTGGAGGAACTCACAAGAGACACGCGGAAACAAGGAACCTCAGGGTCCACACATCGAGACGTTCACTCGAGTGCTAAATGTGTAATATGAGTGAGACAATCGTGACAGATGGTACTAAAGACCATAACAGGCGATGAATGACTCACCACGATAATGAAGAGACACCACAACCAACTGCGATACACATGAGACGCATTGCCAGAGCGCGATAATGCCACCCACAGCCAATGTGTCCCTTTCTACCGCCCAATTACACTCCTCTCACCCGCACATTACCCCTTTGTGTCTCGTCATTTTTGGCCCCAAGAGGTAAAGGATAAGATTGAGTCATTGGGCACTGCACCAGGGGTGTACAATTAGTCACATGCAGTTTAATGTGTGGGGAATTATGTTTCAACAAAGAGCAAAGTGGAGGGGCAAAAAGCACTTTTGTTGGCGCAACTTTGGAAAATCTACTCTCCTTTTCCACGTCACAGAACTCGTGTTGTATCCCACCAAATTTGCCACTGTATCAGCTGAATAGAGGCTGCCGGATTAATTATGCCCAGTGTGGTCCCAGTTACCCTCTCCTATTGGCCGAGGTTCGGTAGGTTGCACCTTATTTACATTATACTTTAGGGTTTGATTCTTTGTGCATAGACTGTCAGCTCGACACGCAAAAAAGTATAAAAAAAGGGCCATCGTAACGTATATATACCAAAGAAGATCCTGCCAAGTTTCTGACCATTAACCACCTTCATCCCGCGCTCTCACCCTAGTCTTCAAGCTACGAACAGCTGACTATCTTCAACACACTTCCACACCAATTCAACATGGCTTTTATTCCCCTCGAGATCCCTTCCAAGTCTGCCTCTTCTCAGTCTCTTGATGAGCTGAAGAAGGGCTCTACCTCCCCCACCGACGCCCAGGCCACCTATCTGTACGGCCCTGGTGGCAAGGACAAGACCCCCAACCCCGAGAACGATAACCTGACTCGTCCCGTTCTGCTGCGAGGTCCTTCTTCCAAGAACGAATACTCTCGATATTCTGAGTACAACGAGAACGGTCAGTTTGAGCGAAAGTAAGCGGTGGACCTTCTTCACTCTCTCTCTACCTCTAAAAATATTTATTCTGCATGTTTATTCTGCATTAAGCATTGATTGCCACAAAATACTAATTGATCCTTGTACTGATGTCGTCGTTCGTAGATTCTTTGAATGTCTCTTGCTCGTAAAGCCGTTATTTGGCTGTGTTAGACTAACAGGTTGTACAGGACCGCCACAAACCTTGTGTAGAGCTCTGACAGACAGAAATTTTCAGCCTCCATCTCCATACCACGACTCACCGCTCAGACAGCCGATGGATCAAAGATCCGATGAGCCCAGTAATGGAGCTATTCTTCATTAGGCAGTTCATTGCAATGTATTCGGGTTTTCAATGTTGCCGCTCCTCTATAAGTCTCAAAACTCCTACGGCAAGTTTTAGACAACACGTTTAACTTCAGGGAGTGTGGAACTTTTTATGTACCGCCGGTACGACAACGGCTTTTGCTGTGTGGGCGTAGGGTGGCGTTTGCACTTTTCCCATACCAATGACCGCTCGCTAATCTGTGATATGCCAATCTGGGATATATAACCCGAACCATCTGCTTCGTCGTCGCTAACCGACCCCAACTGCTCCCCCCGCCTTTGCACCAATTTTTCTTTTAGTTTATGCTGTGAACAGGCATAGAATTTGAGCGGAACAATCGCTTTAGGCAACCGCAAACAGATGGTTCGGTTGGGGAATGGAAAAACAACTTGGAGCCGTGTGGGGGTACGTTGGGGGAACAAAATCCAGTCTGGGGTATTAGCTATAATGTTTAGGCCAATGTTGAACCCCGTCAGAAGGACTTCCGTGGCATTATTCGGGATCATACATTGACACCACTTGGCTACCGCAGCTGTATGAGGCCGGTCCCAATACACCAGTCGCCGCTACCGCAACCTTAGTTTGTTGAAAGAGCGCAATCGGCGTAAATTGGAAGGAGGGACATCGAGATGCAGCAACAACCGTGGAGTCACCAGAGAGTCATTAGCTGCAACACTTTCAGATCCATGATTGGCCGTGTGTTCTCGTGGCGGTGCATGTCTGTGGTGTGTCGTTGTCGTTAACACGAAAATGGCACCAACAATGTTGATCCGGGGCGCGCTAGCTTAGACCCGTTTGTGCAGACATACACGCACTAACACCCACTACTGCTCGCTCAATTGTCCCGATGCGAACGTTGCAATTGTCGTGTCCTTTTAACATCTCGTTTAAAAGACGCTGATCGTGCACCATATTTTGGCTCCACAGACATACAACCTTGGAGTAATTATATGACAATTGCCACTCTCAATTGAATCGTGAGATCATAACCTCACATCATTACTCGAGGAATACTACAGTATGCACACACACGCCAGACGTCAAAAAATGTTGGGGTACCTTCCCCGCTTTTATTGAGCCGTCTTGGCTGGTATAATTACAGGATGCCACTATGATCGACAATCTCCCCTTCCTCTACCATCATTGGACCTTGCATACTTGTGGTGGTACTTTTACTTGCACTCGTAGCATATAGCCTTCGTCGGCTCAGATGTGTGAGACATACCGACCGCCTAGGTTCATACGGAGTATTCATCAGATTTTGTAAGAGAACGTAACCTGGAGAAGGATCAAGGTACATGTTACGTGATCCTCATCTTGTCATTCTATCTCTACTATCTTTGCCATTTTGCCACTAATTAACCCCACTGGTACTTACATATCCCTTGGTACTTACACCTTGCGGGATACTTTTCTGACCACCCATCCATGCACAGGAACATGTGGCTGCTATGCGTGGCTACAAGTACACAAGCAAAACGCAAAAGTAATGACGAATGTTTTATGTACTCGTTGTAGATGCGAAAGAATACATTCTATAAGAGTAGGTGACACACAGATGCAGTGAAACTTCTCCGTGGCACCCAGGGTCGAGCTGCTCGTAAGCAGTGGTTGTTTGAAACCGTTCCCTGTGAAACTTCCAGACACTTGTACCTCACAAAGCTTTTTCTTAGGCCGTGTTGACAGTTGTTGTTCTTGGTATCATTTCGATCCCAATAAATCACATCTCACTGCTTCTGGTATCTACACTCTGATCCAGTCCTCATATTAGAACCGTATGATGTGATCTGTAGACGCGTGTCCTCCAATATGTAGCTAATCACTGTATATCGCAATGTTGACAGCCATTCCTCGTTTTGAGGTTACAGTAAGGTCACTGTTGCAGAAAATATTAGTACCACTCAGGGGTCGAACTTCGAGCAACTTGTATAAGTACTCAAGCTGGTCGGCTAGCCGTTTACTCATACTTACTCATAACCTGTGGCGGGTTATTTACCGATATGTTTCTAATCAAAGCCGAATACTCGAACAACATTTCTTGTTTTCTGCATATTGTCCACCGTCTGTCTTCTTCCATTTCTACAACGCACTACTCGTCGGCGACCTGGGTCAAATTAAATTTTCACTTTTGGAACAAATCATGCACGTGCTAGAACGAGCGGTGAGGGCGTCACTCAGTCCGAAAGGAGGGGTAAAACATCACAATTCGACGAAATAAAATGTTAAGATAGCTTTAAATCAATAATTGAATCAGCCAGCAACTTTTCAACATCAAAAATACCTCTTAACCCCAATTAATACCTTTCGTCTTCCTGCACAGATCACGTTTAGGGTTGTAAAACCCAACCTCCACGTATATATGCAATTTGGTAGTTCCCTATTTCTTCCTTTCCCTGTACACACACATTCATAACAAAAATGTCCACTCCCGCTTACCCCCTTGTCTGCCTCGGCAACCCCCTTCTTGACATCCAGGTCAACGTCGATGACGCCTACCTCAAGAAGTACGACCTCAAGGCCAACGATGCCATTCTTGTTGAGGATAAGCACATGCCCATTTTCGATGAGGTTGTCAAGCTCGACAATGTCGCCTACATTGCCGGTGGTGCTGCCCAGAACGCCGCCCGAGGAGCTGCCTACGTCCTCCCCGAGAACTCTGTCGTCTACTTTGGCTCTGTTGCTGCTGACCAGTACATGGACGAGCTCCTCAAGGAGAACGACAAGGCTGGAGTCACTTCTAAGTACCAGGTCCACGGCAAGGACTCCGGTCTGGCCACTGGTAAGTGTGCTGCTCTGATCACCGGCCAGGACCGATCTCTGGTCACTGACCTCAACGCTGCCAACCACTTCGAGCTTGAGCACCTCAAGAAGCCCGCCAACTGGGACATTGTTGAGAAGGCCAAGGTCTACTACATTGGAGGCTTCCACCTCACCGTGTGCCCTCCCGCCATCCAGGCCCTCGTTGAGCACGCCGCTGAGACCAACAAGATTGCCATCATGAACTTCTCTGCTCCCTTCCTGTGCCAATTCTTCAAGGAACCTCTTGACGCTGCTGTCCCCTACCTCGACTACGTCATCTGCAACGAGTCCGAGGCCGAGGCCTACGCCGAGTCCCACGACCTCAAGACCAAGGATGTCGCCGAGATCGCTCAGCACATTTCCAACATTGAGAAGAAGAACACCCAGCGAAAGCGAATTGTTCTCGTCACTCAGGGTCTCGAGCCCACCATTGTTGCTACCCAGGGTGCCTCCCAGGTCCAGAAGTTCAACGTTGTTGAGCTCGACAAGTCTAAGATCAAGGACACCAACGGTGCCGGTGATGCTTTCGCCGGTGGCTTTGTCGGTGCTCTCGTTGAGGGCAAGTCTCTCGAGGAGGCCATCAAGGTTGGCCAGTGGCTCGCCGCTGAGTCCATCCAGCTCCTCGGACCCTCTTTCCCCTACCCCAAGAAGTCTCCCCAGTAAGTGAGTTGCTTTTTGAAGACTCTAGAAAACATTAGAACGTGTTTCTCAACGAACGCGTATTTATTTATCGTACATAATCAACTTAGTACTAACGTTATTGACCGAGAGCTTGCAGCTCACGATGCTAGCACTGAGAAATTGCCGAATGAGGCTTGATATATGGAAGAGCAGCATACAAAGAATCTTGAAGTAGCCACTAGGTACGCTCTTTATATATACGAGTAAATTACTCAAACATGGGTATGACGTAACACGAACGAAGGTCGTCTTTTTCATAAGCGCCATTTGCTTTGTCTTGCAAGCACACAGCTAATGACTTGCCCACGATGATTTTCTTTTTCTATTCCACCTACTGCAACGAACTGTATCCCAAAAGTATTCATATCTTATATAATTAACCATGTGTCAGTGATTCCAGTCACTCCTGTGCGTGTTATGTTGCGTGAGAAGATGAGTATTGGATTACTCCTTCTTCTCATCCCCCTTCTTTTCATCCTTCTTCTCCTCCTTCTTCTTCTCCTCCTTCTGCTTCTCCTCCTCCTTCTTTTCATCCTTGACCTCTTCTTGCTTCTCGGCCTCCTTCATCTTGAGATCTTCATTTTCGCCCTCGGGGGCCTGGGCTCCCTGCTCCTCGGCCTGCTGTCGAAGACGCTCGGCCTCCCTGTCAGCCTGGAATCGAGACTTCCACCATCCCTCATCGGGATCAAGACCCTTGGCATCGGCTTCCTCCAGACCAGCAAGCTCGTCACAGTCAGTGGACCATCGCAAGTGCATTCGAATGTGCTCAATGTTCCATCCCACTCGCTTCTTCTTGCCCTTGGTCACAGGATAGCCCAGACTCAGGTACTTCTTGATCTTGCAAACGGAGTTTTCATCACCATCCTTGCCTGTGTACACAAACTGATAGCACCAGTCCTTGGACTGACACCACGCCTTGCACTTGTCGATGGACTGTCGAGGGGAATCCTTGAGAGGCTCAAAGGGGGGAATCTCCTGCTCGGGCTCCTTGTCTTCCTCGTCATCGTCACTCTTCTTCTTAGTGTGCTTGTTCTTCCAATCCTCCTTCTCCTTGGCAAGCGAACTCTCCTGGCCATCACCATCGGTATCTTCTCGCTCAATGGTCCAGTCCTCTCGAACGTCGTCAGAAATGTAGGGCTTGACGAAGTCGTGGTAGAGGTCCTGGTAGGTAATGTGTTTTCGGAATTCGGGACCCTTGCTTCGCTCATACTGCCACATGAGTTCGATGTCACGGTTGGTCAGATGATGGAAGGTAGTGATGGGCTGACACCAGTTGTCCTGAAAGAACTTGAGAGTGGTAATGGGCTCTCCCTGGATCTTTCGCGCAATGTAAGGGTACTTGCTGGCTGAGGTCATGGAGAGTTTCACCTTGGCCTTGTCGAGCAGGACCTTGGCAACCATATAATCACCACAGCAGACAGATGCAGTGTGTTCCTCATATTCATGTTGCAGGGTGTCGAAACCATCGGCAATCTCGGCGTCCTCAAACATAGCCTTCATTGCACCATGAGAAAGAACAACACCGGATCCACCGTGAGCAAAAGTGACACCCTTGACACTGGTAGGTGAGCCCATGTACAGAGGCTCTTTGGGGTCGAGCTCCTTGAGCCACGCCAACATAGTATCGAAGAAGACGTAGGTATCGTCATCAATGAACACATACCAGTCCTTGGTAGAGTCTGTGTTCCAGGCGTGTTGCAGCATGGGGATGTTCTTGTACTTGTCGAGCTCCCATCCTCCGTCTAGCTTCATCGTTCCAAAGTCAACCTGGTTGTGAAGTTCTCGCAGCTTCTGCTGCTGTCGGTAGAGTCGGAAGTCCTGGCTGTCCATGTACTCCTGAGAGGTGTTGGCAAGGATATCAATAACCTCATAGCCAGCGATGGTATCGGGGTGGTCGGAGTAGATGGCGAAATGAGGCACTCGGGTGAGAGTTGTGTAAGCATGAATCGGCATTCGTTTCCAAAATGTGGTGGCTCCAGTCTTCAGCATGAGGAACAGCCGGTCCGATCCCTCAGCAAAGTCAGCCACCAGCTTCTGCTGCATGAACTCGCCAGCGTTGCCCACCTGCAGAGGATCGATTCCGGGAGCTCTATGAACCCCTCCCAGAGGGTATGAGGGGACGTATCCGTGTGGTCGCCACACGTCATGTCCCATGTGTCGGTTAGCGTCAGCTCCAGCATGGAAAGCGTCGGGGTGCATCTCAAAGGCCACACCTGCGGGAGCCGTGGGTGATTTGGGTCGTTGGCCTGCAGATTGCTTTTCCGTGTCGGGTTTGGTTTCGGCTGTCAGTTCGATTGGTGCTGGAGCATCGTCTTTTGGTCGCGGATCTGAGTCCACTGGTGCCGAGCTGTGTGAGTTCCAGTCTGTATGGGCTCCAGCAAACTCCAGGACCCGATTGGAGTCTCCATACAGAGAGTAGATAGAGATGGAGATGACGGTGAGGCCGAGGATGGCAATTCCCAGCGTCGCAAGCCGCCGTTGTAATCGCACCATGTTGTGTAGAGGGTTGTGACAAGAGGGTTGAAGGAGTGCGTTGGATGAAGACACGTTATCAGCCCAAAACGTGATTGCCTCTGCTCTTTTGGGGTGGAGTAGGCCAATGTCGGATTGACTTTGCGGTTCTGATTACTTTTGCTGAAAGAGAGAGGCTGAGCTGCTGCTGCTGCTGGACATAGGTTTTAGCTTCTGAAAAAACGGAGGAGATGGGTCGCCCACCAGCGGCCCATTTTGTGAGCCACGAGCTACTAGTACTTGTAGCCACTCCGGTTGGAGCCTCCTTTAGACGTGGATGTTGGTTGGATTATACTGTAGCTTGTTTTGCGGCTTCTAGCAAAGGTACCGCAAAACAAAAGTTTTTTCACTGTTAAGACTATTTCGATACCCAAGAGTCCTCTTGACACGTCAGGCTCAAGTATATGATGCTTGGTTGCAATCCGTAGTCAAGTCGACTTGACCGTTTCCCCCAAAATACACTTCAAATACGACAAGGACATCCAAGGCTACAAAAACATGGCTTGGAAATCGGAACTACAAGTGTAAGCCTTGTCTATCATGGTAGATTCCTCATCTTCAAACATGCATATTTTAGAGTTTTGTGTTCCTATTTAAAGCGATACCATGCATGAACGCATGAAACAAACTAAGAAAAGTTGTGCCTTGTTTGTCCAATTTAGTAACAAGCGATAAGGAAAGGGCGGTTTTGGTGAGGCAGCACAAGTAAGTCGCATCATAAGAACTCCATCTTTCTGGTGACTATAATCCTACTGATAAACTTTTCAAACACGCCTGGCCAGAACATCGGGAGGAGCGGCATACTTAACCTTGTTTGTGTAGATTTAGAATTACTACTGTAGTCACTTGTACTGTACACGGCATGCATGCATGCATTGCGTTCTCGCCTATAACCACAAACATCTGGTTTTTGGGACCCAAAAATAGCTCAAAACACCTTAGCCGCCTACAGCAGACTGGCTTGAGAAAAAAGAGGCGAGATTTTGACTGCACTACTTGCATGAACGGACCAACCGGGGAAATGGTTTCTTTGAGGTATTTCTGATTTCCCGCCACTTCCGGATGGCTCTCTACGATTTCTGGATTCCACAGTGATCGTCTCAAACACGCTTTATCCCCTGTCTTCTGCATGCAAGAATTCTTTGGTGGGTAGGTAGGTAGATTTACAGCAAACAGAATTGTGAACCCAGATTCCAATGAATAATGAATGTGGAGGAAGCCGCGTACTTGTAGCCATCAGAGTGTCGTCCCTAAGACCTCTGGAACCGGTCCTTTCTTTGCAGAGTACAAGGTGCCGGTACTTGTAATATTTATAACGAAATTACCTCTCCGCCCACATTTTCGACCTCTGATGTATATTTGGGCCCTATAAAATTGGCTGCCTGTTCCGACTCCAGAGTGACGTCTGAACCCATGCGAGTGCTGCCTGGTCTTGGTTCATTAGCACAAGTTACTAACAAGTCGTGCCGGTAGTAATTGCCCAAGGACCCCAGTCGCCTCATCGCTGCTGACACAGATATACCTCGTCATTGTTTGATACGGTGCATGCTTGAAACACTAATACAGTAGATACATATCCGACTAAGGATGTCAACTGTCAAAAAATGATAGCGGGATGCGGGTGAAATGAGGACGTGGCGGTGGTGGGCTTCGCACTAATAAAGACTACAGTACAGTAAAAGTTCATTCGTTGTTCTCGGGTCAGCTGACACTGGTTGCAAATACTGACTCCGTATGATGTTTGAACAGATTTTTTTTGGTCTCATCCGCATCGTTCGTTGGGTACATGCACGCGTTGCGCCAAGGCCAGAGCCGGTGAAACTCTCCAATCTGAAACACTGAGAAAAACAGTACGAGGAAGAAGGAAAATCCAAAGAACGAACGCATAGTTGGCAATTTATACACTTGTAGTGTTGGGGCACAGTATTTATGTACAATACAGCACAAGTATACGGGACGTATTTTCTTGCGGTGTTATTGAAAAGGTACATGGGGTACTGGTAGCTTCGTTTTTTTAAAAAAAATCAAGCAACATTTTTTCTCCTCGTATTACCGTAGCTACATCCCCGCACCTTTTATTTCAGTATGTATCGTACAAGTAGACCCGTTACAACCTGAAACCCAGCAGCAACAGAAGTGACGATATTTGACACTGGAATAGTATCATACCTACAACAGTATGCAGCTAAGAGAAATTCAAGGAGTGGTAGCTACTATACTCTGCTGAATAATGTACAGAGGTACGTACCGGTACTCGTATCGGTACAGTACATACTTGCACGACAGCCCTCGTACTGTCGGGTGTCGTATTTTTGCTCGGTAACAGTAACCTCATCAACTGCCATAGGCTAGCAAAAGACTTGCGGAGAGCTTACCGTGCGGGCTTGGCTTTTATAGCGACCTACAAGTATTGGCCCTAAAGATATTCTGGAGGCGGTTTAGCCGGAATTTTTCACAATAATATAGATGGCTTCAGGTGATTAACCCATTTCATTGTGAATATGTATGGGTTGTCTCGAGCAGGTACGAATATAGACGTTTCTTGTACTTGAATGCAGTTATTATACCCACACATTGCCCGATCAGCAGCTTTAGATGACGACGTAACAAAAATTCAATATACCACCAATATTAGTAGCTTGAAAAGTATTACTTACTGTGTCAAATACCTCTCTCGCTTACCCCTTAAAAATCATATTCCAGGGTGCTTAACCGCTGTAATTAAGATGTATGGAACTACAAGTACAGTGCATAGTGTATCTCTAGACGAACCTTAGAAGCGTTGGTTGCTTTCAGGCTAAAAGCTCTTTGCAGTGCAATGTGTTGTGCAGTACGACTTAGAGCACCATTGGCTTTGTGCGAGTCGTCGCCCCTCCACAGATGTCACAAAAACCACGGAAACGGCTGCATCATGTATCGTGCTCGCACATACTGTACGCTAATGCATCCGGCATTGCAAGGGATACGAGGATACGGCTGAGAGAAGCGGGCATGAAATGTTAATTATAAATAAATAGGGAACTGGAAAAACACAGTCAAGTGGGGTTCGTGTGTGAGTGTGAGTGTCTATCTAGTATTCATGGGCGCCGTTGAAGTGGACGTCGGCCTCCGTACAGTGTCCACCTTGGGCGGCCGAATCAAGCGCAAAGCAGACAAAGATGGAGTCGACAATCATACTGAGAAGACCTTCGGTACTGCCAAGCACAAACCAACCCGTGAATGAGGCGAGAACCACTTCCCAAAGAAGATGTCCCCGAACCCAAGTGGTGGCAGCAAACAACAGAGCTGTCAGAACCCGTACTACCACCAGCAGAAGCTTCGCAAGCTTGTGCACTCGCCATGCTGCTGCAGGGAGACGGAAATGCAAGTTTTGAACAGTCAGAGAAGACGACTTTAGGTTTTGAGAGTTGATAACAGCCAGTGTCAGAGTCAGAGGGCTCATAGAGAGCACCCCGGAGGGGGTTGCTAGAATGTACAATGCCGGTGACACAACGTTTAGAACCATTCGAAGTGGCCATGGCGCGACCACCGATGTCACGGTACCACTGAGAGAAACTACCCGTGACAGTAGCAGCACCGGAATGCGAAATGTAAGATGCAACAAGGAGCTCAGACTGATGCTGCCAAACTGAGTCGTGAGAGCATATCCAAGAGCTGCAGCCAAGACCTGGCGCGAGCTAGTGTGCGGGAAGAGATGACGGTAAAAGTACCACTGACTGACAGTGGCAGAAATGGTTGCTCTCTGAGTGCCGTTCAGAATACCCCAGGTCCACATGTACATGAAGATGCCCAAGGCGCTCACAAGCATGTTCTTACCATACATGACTTGGCCGATGGCTGTGACACAGATGGCCGAGATGAGCACAAACAGGGTCATGAAGGCAAAGGACAAGAATACAAGCACGTGGTTAGCACTGAGGATTCGACAAGAGAGCTGAATTATCCCGACTGCACGCGACACGTAATCCTTGTGCTTCCAGAATGCTAGAGGCCACATGGATCCCGTGATCATGAGTCCCAAAGTCACCCACCATGAATACCCTCCCGAAAAGAGAGTCACGAGCGCAGCTGTCCATACAGCCACCGGAAAGGCTGCAGCCAGAAAGTAGAACATTACTGAAGAGTACTTTCGTAGGAGCAGCAGCCAGACCAAGGAGATTGCGACTGCAAACACCGTGTAATGAGCTAGTACTGTCAGTGGTAGAAATGTTAGAGACGGAGATCCAGTCGGAGCTCCTCCATCAACACCTCGCAATAGCGCCAAAAGATACGTTGCGATCGTCGCTGCCAACATGAACAGGTACACTCCTCCCCATACCTGGTCATATTTTATGGTATCCGATACTGAGGTTGGAGGCGCCAACTCAGGGGGTATACTGGAAGCCATGGAATCTTCATTCAGCCCGTGTTCGGGATCCACAGGCACACCTGCTGCTGCTGCCGCTGCTGATGTTGATGCAGGAAAGAAATGTTCGCCTTCAATACTCTGTTCTGAGTCTTCGAGCTGCTTGCCAACCTCCTCAGGTTGTCCGTCTTCTCGGTCTAGAAAGTCCACAGGGAAAAAACTCTCCTTGGGCTGTTTGTGTGACTTGCCTGGCTCCTCTACGGCTCTCAGAAAGCTGTTGCTGGGTCCTTCTGTCTCGCTGTCACTACCCGAGTTGGAGTTCCAGGATGCGTTAATCGCGTTGGACGCCTCCTCGTCGTCCTCCATGTGTTCCCATAGTCGGCGCGGCGAGTAGATGCCTCTGTGGTTGTTATTGTTGTGGTTGGTGTGGCCGTTGTGATTGCTGGATTCGGCCTCTTCGACGGCCGAGTGGAATAGCGGCACATTTGAGTCTTTTCCAAACTTGACCTGGCTTTGTGTCAGTAATTTCGATGCGTATTCGGAAAACATGCCGTGGTGCTTTGCCGTGGGCAGAGTTAGCTTGAGAGCTGTGAGCAGTGATTTGGGCCTGCTCAGATAACTGATAAGGTTCTGATAGTAACTTTGCCACCCGTGATAGCAGTGGAGACTGGAGAGCCCTAGAGAGTAACCTGAGGAGGTGAATATATGATTGTAGTGTAGAGTGCGTTTGCCAATGTGTAGGTATGGCGTTATTAACAGTATATTTTCGCCTTCATGCTGGTCACGCATACACCAACAGTAATGTCTCACAGAGCTATCTCCGAAAGCAACGTGACCGAATTAACATGGTCATGCGAGCTTGGGAGAGTGATTTGAGGTGGTCATGTGACGATACGCACCAGTAATAGTCACTGTTCAATTATCTAACACATAATTAATCATTATACAGTATACAGCATATACTTCCACTCTCTGTATAGGTGGTCGAGCAGGCTACAATACGTGACATGTAGATCTGTCATCTGACATGTCGAAAGCGGCAGGTTGAATGTAAGCCACAGTGGTGCATTGAGTACGAGTAGCTACATAGCGATATTGCAAGGGGTGACGTAGACTTGTGGAAGTAATAGCAGCTGCCAATTTCATCTCTGTCTATGGCTGAAGAGCAGGGTTGTATAGAAGCATCGCTTGGAGAACCTGAGGTCGTCACATGAGGGACTAGCTGAACTCAATGTTGGTGGGAAGGGTTGTGGAGCTGTATAAATCGATTTGTACTTGTACTTAAATATATCTCAACGAATATGTTGAAAAAACTGGAGCATGACCCAGGCAGTAGGGTCACACCCCGTTGGCATTCTAAGACTCTAATAAACGTACAAGTACAGTAAATACAGTACTCTACGTAGTTAAAAGTACCAGTGTATAAACATACTGTGTACTTGACAATACTTAGAGAAACAAGTGAAACTAATACAATGGGTTGTATGAACAACGAAATGTGCGACAGAGTAGCTGATGTCGTATATACAATTATCCTGTGTTGCATCGGAGATCTGCTACATGTCCATTTCCCAATCCCCTCGTAGTCCTTCATCTTCATCTTCATCTCCACCACCTAATGCTTCTGACTGCATCACCGCTGCACCGTTTGGGAAATGAAAAGGCCTATTTGGGCTGTCACTAGATTGACTATTCTTAAAGCAACACTTGACCAACTGCCTGAGCGCGACCCAAAACTCTGGAGACTACGCAACCAGACCAAGCAGCATTATCACATCCAGCATACGTTCAACGGAATCAACTCATACACGCACACACACAATGAGCTGGGATTATATTGCCAAAATCGTCATGATTGGAGATTCGTGAGTATTCAGGGGTCTAGGTGTCCCAGATGCTGGTTAAAGGCGTTCATGGCGGGGCGGGTGGCAAAAGGGGCGGCATATGTTGCGGTGGGTATCATGTGCAGCAGCCTTTCGCTCAAATAACCCACCATTGCATGTCCCGCCATACGTCTTGCCATGACTCAAACGCAGATATCATTCCTTTCTGTTACCATACTAACACCAGAGCATGCGGAAAGTCGTCCCTGACTCTAAGACTGACTGATGACACATTCAGCGAGTTCCATGATGTCACTATAGCCGCGGAGATCGGCTCCAAGGTGGTAGACATTGACGGAAAGGAGAAAATGAAGCTTCAGATCTGGGACACGGCAGGGCAGGAGCATTTTCGGGCCGTGACCCGGTCGTATTTCCGCAACGCTGCGGGCTGCTTGCTGGTCTACGATATCACGCGCCCCAAGACGTTTGCCAACGTGCAAATGTGGCTGGGGGAGTTGCGGGATCAGGCTGACGAAGATATCATCATCATGCTGGTGGGCAACAAGACGGACGTTGGAGCGCGTCAGGTGGAGGCTGAGGAAGCCCGAAAATGGGCAGATGAAAATGGTCTAGCCGGGTTCATTGAAACGTCAGCCAAGACAGGAGACCAGGTACTAGAGGCGTATCAGCGGGTGGCTCAGAAGATCCACTCCAATATCAAGACTGGCAAGACCAATATCAATGATAAGAGATATGGAGTTCGTGCAACGACTACTGGAGGAGCTCAGCAGCTGAATTTGGACGAAGGCGATGTTAAGAAGAGTGGATATTCAGCATGCTGCTAGCGAGGTAGAGGTCCGAAACGTGTATATAGAATTTATGACCATGCGACCAGTGCAATACTTTACACTACACAGTACAAGTACTCCTGTTTCACAGGCACCTCTACAGCAACTGATATACTGTAATTAGATATTCATCTTCACTGGTCAAGTTGCTTAATCACAGAGGCATGTTGTTGTTCTCCAAGATTTACTGTAGAGGCGAAATGTAGAACTGGGTGTGCTTTTTAAGTCAGAGACTCTTCACTGTGATATATAATCCATATTGGCCAACAAAACTACATTTAATATGATTGAATACTACAAAAGCGCAAGATACTCGTTCTTGAACCTGGTTTCAACAAACACTTCTGCGAATGTGATATTATCTCTCACATGATTATTTAAGATAGGAAGGGTACTGTAGCTGTTGTAAAAGGGTAAGTGGAAACAGTTATCTTAACAGAGAATGAAATATTGGACGGTGTATACAATTTCTTGTATTCTAATCGTGCCTAGCAAGGAAGTCTTAAACAGGGCCCCATGAGCGGAAGGATCTCTCTGCAAGTATAGTAGACGTGGGCTGAAACATTGTACTATTAGTGCGATTTACATACTAAACATATATACCGGTATTCTATATATTCTTCTGCGTACAAGAAGTACGGGGTACACTCAAATGTAACAGATTTGCACAAATTATCCCACTTAAAACTTTTCCTCCCTCCCTTTGTCTAATTTCATGGTTTCATTGATCTACAGTATGATTCTATCTAAGCCCGGTTGGCCTCGTTCAAGTTCTCCTCCTTGACAATGTACTTTGTGGGAGCTCGCTGGGCCCACTCGGTCCAAGATCCATCGTAGACAGCATTGGTGTCTCGAGAACCAATGCCGGCAATCTCCAGAGCCAGGTCAATGACACAGGCAGTGACACCGGATCCACACATGGAGATGATGGGCTTAGAGCCATCAATGCCCTTGGAAGCAAACAGAGCCTTGAGCTCCTCAGGAGATTTGAATTTTCCATTCTCGACCACCTCGGGGAAGGCGATGGAGTAAGCTCCGGGAACATGGCCCGAGGACAGCTCGGCTCGAGGTTCAGCGTCCTTGCCTGTGAATCGTCCGTTGGGTCGGGCATCAATGAAGGTGACCTCGTTTCGAATCTTGGCTCCGTCACCGTTGTGTTTCTCGACGATGGCCAGCACGTCTTCAAAGGACTTGACCAGCTCGGGTCGGGCCTTGGTCACCTTGTAGGGAGGATCGGCGGGATCGATCTTACCAGGAACTTGTGTGTCCCAGATGCCCCAGGTGTAGGCATCCGGTCTGCTGGGGATACCAGGGAGCTGGGTGTAAGCCTCAAAGCCATTGAGGAACTGGACGTTGTCATGGCCAAAGACCTTAAAGGTCCACACAAGTCGAGGTCCGGAGAAGACGCCTTGTGTGTCGTAGACCACGATGGGAGAGTCAGAGGAAACACCCAGCTTCGTGAGCTCGTTTTCAAAGGTCTGAGGAGAGGGAAGCATGTGGGGGAACTTGGAGGGGGTGTTGACGGCATCGATGTCAAAGTAGAGAGCGCCGGGAATCCGCTTCTTCATGTAATTGTCGTAAGCGTTCTTACCAACGTTGGCAGGGGTGGGAAGATACCAGGTAGCATCGAAGATCTTGGTTTCCTTGGAAGAAAGTCGCTTGGCCAATTCGGCAGGGGAAATGAGTTTCGACATGTTGTGTTTTTGTGTCCTGTAGTGTATCAATTGACCAATATCAAGGTGTAAAGATGACGATGATGATCCTGCTGTGAAGTTGGTTGGGACGCCCTATGCAACTAAAAGTATGTCTGTGGAGCTTAAACGAAACAAGTGAAACCAATGAGAGCGAGGGAAAATATGAGTTTGAACAAGTTTGATTGGCGGGGAATCTGTCTGTATGACTAAGCGTATTTTATTTTGATATGAAACAGTTTTTTTGGTGAATATTGCTCCAATTGCTGTAGTTTGAACGACACGCTGTTCTCTAGCAACCCCGCTCAGGCAGCAGTCCATACGCATTATCGGCAGCAACCCATCTCAATGGGTGAGTACACAATGTAGAAGCGATGATCTCGTGGGTTCGACTTTCGCAAAGGTCATTCGAGACAGATGGAGACACGTGTCTTTCAACAACTTAAACGTGCATTCTGAGTCAGCGAAGTGATTAGTAAGGTGATTACAGTCGGGTATATCACCGATATATGAATAATAAGACTGCATATTTGACAGATCCGAGATCTAACACAAGCGATCGGACTTTTAATGACCCGTTCACCTCTCATAAACAGTGTGCAAGTGTGTGAGCTACTGCAGCTACTTCCTCTTGGCACATGCTAATCATCTCGAGTCTATATAAGCCGACTCAATGCGCTGTGATTCGTAGAAGTTCAATATATGCCTGTAGAAGTAGTTGGAGGCTATGAAATCACACACAAACCCTTTCATTTCGCTCCTGAGATATGCTGAATTAATACATTTACCCGGAAAATGCATTGACACATGTCGCTTACATATCAAATTCAGATCCCCCTCCTACCTGCCATTGGCTCTACTGTTCAGCCGAAAAACCTCATAGCCCTGAAAGAAGCCAAATCCGAACGGCGGAGAGTCGGTCGAGACCCGATATGGACGACTCCCCGGACATAAAACAATCATGCTTAATACTCTACTATCCATCCCTTACTTGAGCGTGCATTGAGCATTCGTTGATTATGCTTATAAACGTAAATGTGATATCTTGAGGGCTAAACAAACGGATCTCTAGCATCGGTATCGTCGCAGCGCCACTCCACACCTGATAAATTTTATTATCATGGTCCTTTCATACACACAAAAGTATTCCCTCTCATATATCGCCTCGATTGCCCTCCATATCATTCTCTTAGAGTCCAACCCTGCGGTCTAGACTTTCAATTAATGCAACCAGAGTTAGATCTGAAATTTCATCGGACTTGTCTAAAGTAAGCAAGAAAAGCACCCCCAGAGAAAAGAGGACACGTTCGTCGGCATCTTCCGGATACGAGCTACCCCTCACGGCAATCTCTGATACTTGTAAACGTGTCCCGCCTGTAATGCCTCAGTGCGTGAACTAATGTAGATGTACACCAGTGCATATCTACAAGCGTCGATGTTTAGAGCACCTATAGGCATATTTTTTCACAGTAGATGCTGTACACACTACTTCTACACCTACAATTCTGTAATTGAAAATTCCAAATAATCCATTCATGCCAAGAAATACAAGCCGATGCCAAATGCTGTCGTATCGTGTGACGACAACGGGAGAATGCTTTCGCCAAAGAATGAGCGAAGAGCGGCACAGCGCTGTCAAGATGTGTTTGTGTAACAGTGCGATGCGAGTCCAGAAAGAAGTAAATATATATATAATCACGATTTGTATGATCATTTTTTGGTGTTTTTTTGTCCAGCACCAGAGCACGTATGGGCGGTGCTGCCTGTTACTCCCGGCTCATCTCAGTTTTCAACGAAGGAGCTCGGGTTTCGACCTCCTTCAAACTGGGGAGAACATTGATATCAATATCCTGCGAAGTCCGAGCCAGCGGCTTGTTGCTGGCCGGAGGAGGCATGGAATTGAGAGCGGGTTTGTTGACGGGTTTACTGACGGGTTTGCTGATGGGTTTGTTGGCAGCGCCAGTGTTTCCGGATCGAGCAGTGTGGGTCGACGTCACCGACGAGATGGAGTCTGTCCGTCCAAACGAAGAAGTTCGGCCGGGGGCTCCCAGAGAGTTGCACCGAGGCACACCTGCCGCCGAACCGATGGAGCTGCTTCTCTGAGCTGGTGAAGGCACAGGAGTGGCAGAAGTGGCAGAGCTAACTGTCGCTGTGGGTGTAGCGGTACTGTGCTGAGGACTATGAGTATGGTAGCCCGAGAAGCCGGCGAAGTGGTGGCCCTGATGCAAATGCTGATGGTTTGGGTGGTGTTGGAAGCTTGAAGTGCTCGCATTGCCCTGGTTAAAAATAGGGCTTGTGAGGTGCTGCACGCCTTGGCTGACGCCCTGAGAAGTTGATTGGATCGGCTTAGTTAGCTTGTTGAATAGCCTCCGCCCCCGACTAGGCTTCTCCTGTGCTGGAGGCGACTTGACGACTGACTTCATGAAGTTGAAGAACCGGTCACCATACTCCGTCGATGGAATAGCCGAGAGGGCAAATCGAGGATGCTTGAGGGACTTCCAGAAAGTCTCCACTCGCTTGACAAAGCCGTAAGGAGTGAGGCAGTCGATGATACCAAGATAGTAGATCTCATCGAGAGGCTCATCCTCCTCGTTGGTTGATCTGAAGCCACCATCATCCGCGTAAAAGCGCAAGCTAGAGTGTCTGTGTTAGTTTTCGTTCATGTTAGTGTTGTAGATGTTCCATCCCTAATACCATAGTAATACTCACTCATTGACAACATAAGGCATATCCTGTGTGTTGAATGCCGTGGGGCTAGTTGCACTAATCACCCTCCTCAGCTCATCCGGCTTACCCGACGTGTTGTTAGAGTCCACGGGCTGGAATACTGACAGCAGATTGTCTCGCAGACCCTCTGTGTTTCCCCTCTTCAAGTCGTGGATACCAATCAGCAACGAGTAGTCCATGATGTTGAGCCGCTTGAGAAGCTCCACATCAACTTGCAGCTGCTTGAGGAACTGGTCTCGCTTGGTGGGACCCAGGTTGATCGTCTGCTTGGCCTTGATCCAGTTGATATCCTTGAACACCATGGCGGCGTTCTGGAGGTTCTCTCCCTGGGCTAGCGCAGCCTCCTCCTCCTCAGTGGTAGGGAGAGGAACAGGCAGCTCTCTTCCAATTGAAGAGCCCTTGAGATCGAACGTCCGGTGGATATCTCTGTGGGGAGGAAACAGGTTGTTCATGACGATGAAGTGGATCTTACGACCGAAGGGCAGCTTGACTCGATGCAGGCCGTAGAACTGCGAAATCAAAGTGTTGGGGTTGGCCTTGACGTGGTTGTAATAGTCCTTGAGTATCTTGCGCAGCTGCTTGTGCTCCGAGTGATGAATCGTCTTGATGATGAATCTGTAGTCCCGAGAGAAATAAAAGAAAGATCCAGATTTACCAGGAGAGCCCAGCTCGCTGACAATGTACTTGGAGGTCAAGGACATCAGGTAGTCGGCCGGGTCCAGCTTGAACAGCTCTCGCAAGTGTCGGAAAACCCAGGGAGAGTAGTCCTTAAACTTGAAGTCGTACTTAGCCGAAGGAGTCAGCTCGTTGCCAACTATATCAAAGGCCAGCTTGTGTCGGGCGGTAAAATCCTCGTCAGTCAAAGGTCTGTCGTTCTTGGCGTTGCACCGCGAAACAGCAACCCGTAGACCCGTCAACATGTTGTATGCAGTGACGTAATTGTCGTGGCCCTCGCTCACCTTGGTGCCCACAAGAACCTTGTCATCCTCCACAAACTCACGACGCTTCTTCTTGTACTCACGCTGCGCAATGATAGAGTCCCGCAGCCGGTTCACCTCATTCTGCTCATTCTCGTCCAGCAACTGGATGCAGTCGGGGTGGTTGTGTCCGTGGGTCTGGACAGGTACAGATCGCCGCCGAGAAAAGGAATGCGACGGCCGGTGGGCGGCGTGGGGAGGATGCAAAGTCGCGGAAGACGGCTGCGCAGGCATGTTAGTAGGAGGAGCTGTCTGACGACGGGTCATGGGTGGCGACTGCTCTTTGAGAAGAGGCGATGAGAAGGGCGCCGAAGGAGGCACCAGACCCGATGCGTGGTTGTTGCCAGCATCAGCATATGTCTCAGCGCCAGAAGAGCCCTGGGCCGGAGATGCAATGGCAGAGGGGCTTTTGACGGTGTTGCTGGATGTGTCAGTCGAAGAGGACGCCTGTGCCGGCGTTGTTGTGTTGGTGTCAGTGTTGGTGTCCGTCGTGGCGCCGGTGTCGTCGCCTTGGACTGTGTCGATAATGCTTGTCTTGTCGGTGCCGGTGCCGGTGTCGGTGGCGCTGCTCGCGTCCTCCACGCTTAGAGGGTCTACCCCCATCTCCTCGGCGCTATGGTGCACTGGTCGGTGGGTCGCAAAGTAGCCCGCTGACACTTCGGCGGCGTCAGCAGCGGTGACATTCTCCTCCGCGTCAAAGAACTCGTCCTCCTTGATCTCGGGGGCCATCTCATCGTCGTTGTTGTAAGATGACAGCGACGACAGGTATGCTGGCGACACGCTGTTAGTGGGGGACACGGTGGTCGACTCCGGCGACGGTGACTGTGGCTGTGTGGTGGTCACCGATTCGAGATGTGTGTGTTCCAGTGGCGTAGACGATGACTGCGGCTGAGACTGCTGCTGTGTAGTTGGAGACTCAGGGACGCCGAGAGAATGAACCTGAATGTGTTTCGGGTCGAGAGTAGATGCATAAGTATGATGTGTGATGGTGTTGGTGTTGGTACTGGTGTTGTGGCCATGCTTGGCCTCCTCCTCCTCCTTGTGCTCGGAGGACATTTGCTTGTCCTCATCCTCCTGTCTTTCCGAAGCACTGGTCAAATCAATATACTCGGGTTTGTAATCCTTATCTTTGTGTTTGTGATGCGGAATATGATGGAGAGGGAGCGGCACCTGGCTCACCAAGTTGGTCAGGTTGTGCTTGTGTCCGTTGGTATGATGCTTGCTGTGGCCATGTGTGTTTTTGTGGCTCGCATCATCTCTCACGTCGGTCAGCACAAAGCTTTCGTTGTCATCAGCTTTGTCGGACTCCCCTACTCGAGCAGTGTCGGCCGTCTCGGCAGACTTGGCCGAGTACGCCGTGTGAGCATCAGACGAGTCGAACGACAGCGGCAAGACACCACTGTGTGCGACCGTCGATGTTCGTAACGAGTGCGGAATTTTGGAGATAGATGGCCCGGGGGGGCTGTGCTGTGGAGTGGCCTTCGTGTAGAGACTGGGGTCGTCCTGTTCAAAGTCAAACTCGTGGTCGTGGGTTGCGCTGCGGCTGTTTGCGACACTTGCGTCTGTGCCACGAATGTCCCGGTCCTCTGTCTGTGTTGCTCGGTCAGTGTTTTTACCACAAGGCTCCTGAGGCAAAACAAACGCTTGTTGATGATGATTGTGCTGGGACCAGTCCTGTTTGGGGGCGCGGTTAGGGCTATTGTTAACGTAGTTTGAGTTCGCTGGTTGGGACAATGGAAAAGAAGGGCCTGAAATACCGATGCCAGAGAGAGACGAGATACCAGACACTCCAGAGGGGTATCCGTAAGTCGAATACGATGAGCGAATAGATGGCGCTGTGGTTGTAGCGTTCGTGGTAGTAGTCGCAGCCACAGAACGTAGGTCGTCCTCGTAGAGCGACGACGTGGATGAAGTGGAAGTACGGGGAGAATAACCCGTAAAAGAATAGTCGGAAGGTGGCGAGGGCGTCACGTTCGAGGGAGGTACGCCTGCGGACACGAAACCCGAGGTTGAGTACTGCTTCTGTTGCTTGCGGGCCTGTTTCTGCGTCTGTTCGTACCGCTTCTTGTTCTTCGCAGCCGCTTTGGCGGCGGCGGCGGCAGCAGCTTTAGCGGACTGGAACTGAGGCAACGTGTATGGCTTGAGTTCGTTCATGCCTTTTCGATGGCCTGGCTGCAACGCGTGGTGGTCCAGTTTCAAGGTCGTTGTGGCGTTGTGTGTATGAAGCGTGGTGATAATGTGTGGGTATGGGCAGATTGTGGAGCCTGCGTTTTCGAAGTGCATGTCAGAGAATTCGGACAATGGGTTTGTTTGGGTTAGGGTCGTGATAAAAGGGGGTTAGATTAGGCTTCCAGTGTGTCACAGGCAGATAGGGGGTTGCTTGCCTATTCGGGGCGCGTTTGGGCACAGAGAGTTGCGCAGATAATATCTGGATACTTTGCTCTCATGCAGAGAAGCCCAAATTTCTCACCTATCAAGGCCCTCCCCCATTATTGACCCCTATTATCCCCCTCTCCGAGCTGTCAAGAATTATGTGCATTAACTTTGTTTCTGTGCTAAGCCATGGACTAGGTTTTTTACCAGCTAACCTTATGCATCGATCGGCTGAGAGACGTAGTGGTGAGGGAATACGGTTGAGGAATGGGTGTAGGGTTAAGGGAGTGTGTTTGGCGGTGGTATGGACCATTTGGGGAACTTCAATCAGTAGGAAACACCTTGCGGCCCTTTCTGGGGGTGTTCTGAGGACTCCACGGCCGATATTATATGCTCCTCCACCTCGGCTACAACATGGACCAGAGTAATAAGCTTCGATCGGAATGTTCTAAATAGGCAAGTGCACTGCGCAGTTGGGAGATGGAGGCAATGCAAAGGGTTAGGAATGGAGAACACGCAGGACGTGATTTGATCGGTTTGGGGACGCGAAAAGTGGCTGGTAAGGGGCCTTGGGGGGTGTCAATGGGAATTTTTCACCCACGCATGTGCTCGAGGCCCTCGAAACCCCTTAGAAATACCTCTCAAGTGCCGTTCTCAAGCTCTCCTCGAATTTTCTACGTACAGTAGTTACTCCAGCAACCGTTTGTATCGAGGCATATAGATAAGGTGTGACTGGAGGTCGTCAGAAAGGAGTGCCACAGAAAAGATAAAAGGCAGAGTCTAGAAGCAGTGTAGCATCGCAGCAGCGATGTGACTGCGTATCAACTTTACATGGTTGTTTCGGGCAAGGGAAAGGAGACAAGCTCGAGATGCGGAGCTTTCCAAATGGACAACCATCAAAGGGTCCCGTGTCACTGTCTCAAGCTCGAGCCAAGATCACGAGTCCATTTAGTAGACCAGAAATCCCCTAGTACCTGCCCGTTGGCACTACTGTGGGGTGTTAGTGCTGCAGCCACCGCTTCGTGCAGTGCTGCTTCAGCTTCGGCATGTTGTTGTTGATGTATATGCCCTTTGCCTTTCATAAGAACCATGGCCTCATTATTACCACAGCCACTCACAAGGGGCCCAAAAAGGTGGGAGACTCAAAAGGCGCAGGTCTAACGAAGGCGTCAAACGTCGCCGCGGGCTCCACTGTTAACTTTGCTGCTCTTGGCCATGTGCAGAACAATAGTTTGTTGCCTGGTAACGCTAGCTCGGAGCTAATCCGATAACTCCGATAATCCCGGCATACACAATGGCGACCAAAACTGGTCACGTTTCCCATGAAGTCTTGGTTGAAACCTCGCCACGATGACGTCATTTATACCGGGGATTAATTTCCTTCTCATGGGATATAAATGTTATACATGCAGCGAGCTACGTTGTTGTTAGTACTTTCTGTTTAACATGACGTCATCATGACCAGTTGAAGGTCAAGCGTGTCCAGTCTGTCAGTAGTGTACTGTAGTTGAGTGTGGTTGGAAGCATGTGCTATTTTCATGCACCATAGAGGCAACATGTCTCTCTACATTACTTGTAGGCCAACTCTCCGACCGGCTGTGTTATCTCTGGTGCCTACGAGATGCCCATTTGGAACGAACGTTGTTTAGGCCTTTCCTCAAACAGCTCGCACATCTATTTCAAGCAGCCTTGAGAGAGGCTTGCTTAAGGCTTGTTAACACACAGGCCTGCATAGATAAAATAACCGTAACAATGTAACTCGTGAGTTGACTGTAGGTGTTGCCATTTTTCCCTGTATCATTACTTGCAAAAGTACATACTATATTCACCCGTGTATACCACGACACCATGTCATGTCTGCATCAGGTGATGACCACACACGAACAAGGACTCGTACTTGTAAAAAGGGCATGAGTTTCAAATGTTCAAAGTCGCTCATTCAGATGACACATGGGGGCCTCGGTTACTTTTACATGGTGGTAGCATTTCTCGCTTGTGCGAGCTTGATCCTTCCTTCTTGCCTTCTTGTTGTTACGTTCACTATCCATCTCCTATTATAACCACCCAATTGAGTCTATAGAGCGGTTCGCATAGTATTTCGACCCCTGAATGAGCAAGAGCTTCGGCAACCCACCCAAAGCACATCATTATCATTCGACTCTCAAAAGTACAAGTAGGTACTTCTAACCACTTGCTGTATTACCACAATCAACACCACCAAGGCTTTAACCTGTGTGTTACGGTAAACTACTTGTAGTATTATCATCATGAAGTTACCATTTGTCTCAGTTTTGCCAGAAATGGAGGCAACTTCTAGCTAAGTATATACGATCAGCCACTCATGTCTTATCCTGTAGATAAGCCACTTCAGGTAAAAACACCTCCTTGCAAGCACAGCCTTGTTAACAGCGCTGCCGCACTACAGTTTGCGCTTGTAGGTCGCGTAAGGAACGCTAACAACCTGTAGCTTTTGGCTTTGATGCTAACAGTAGCTACCTGATCCTGCCGTACCCAGCCTTGTTTGATATCGACAGAATTTTGAAACGCCCAGAATGTTGCTCTTATTTTACGCGAGCTCTTTTAGGCTGGACACACAGCCTCTCGATCGGGTCTTGATTTGAGGCATATCTTTGGCCGTGTTTCAAAATACATTCGGAGGCGTACATGATGAAAGAGCGATTATAATGAACTGGATGACATTGGAAGTACATACAATAGTGCCTTGTAAGGAAAGTGGCTCAACGTCGAGCTCTTAACACCAGACGACAGCGACTCCAGTGTACCAATTAATCGAAATGCGAGCATACATGATATACTGTACCGCTAATTACTTCTACGATGGCTTACGTCTGATAAACTAAGAAGCTACAAGCATATCCGTTAATTCAAATAAAAAACACAATAAATTCATCTAATTAATACAAAAAATAACCGTCTACAATCGAGACTCAATCATAGGATCAAATCGAAGGTCCCAGACCAGCTCCAAAACGTCCCACATGTACTTGACATAAGAAATCTCCATCTTGTCAAGAACACCGCCGTCTCCGCCCTTTCGCTGCTCCTCATCCACGTCTCGTTTGTTAGCAAGAGGCAGCATGATTCGGTTGACGCCAGCAAGATGAGCGCCAAGAAGTTTCTCTCGAATACCTCCAACAGGTAGAACACGGCCTCGAAGAGTCATCTCTCCAGTCATGGCAATAGAAGGAGGGATCGGCTTACCCATAAACAGAGACACAAATGCAAGAGTCATGGCAACTCCAGCAGAAGGTCCATCCTTGGGGATAGCACCGGCGGGGGCATGCAAATGAATATCCACCTTGTCAAAGTCGGTGTCGATATGCAGAGCAGCAGCATTGCTCTTGACCCACGAAAGGGCAATCTGCGCAGACTCCTGAATGACATCTCCAAGCTTTCCGGTGAGCTTGAGCTGACCCTTACCGGGCATCTGGGTGGCCTCAAACTTGAGAAGACCTCCATTACCAGTGCCCATGTAGGCCAGACCGTTGACAACACCGATGTGCGACGAGTTGGGCTCCTCCTTGGCGTCCTGAGCGTCCTCATCAGTGTAAACCTCCATTCCAAGGATGTCGGTGAGATTCTCAATGGTCACCACGGGATCGTAGGACGAGTGAGCACCCTTCTTGGCCTCGTCTACAACAGTAATCAGCTCACCGTCGTCGGCGGAGAGAGACTTGGCGTAGTCTACAGCCTTGGCTCGACACACAGCGCCAATCTTTCGCTCGAGGTTTCGAACGCCGGCCTCACGGGTGTACTTAGTGCAAATGTGAAGCAGAACGTCGTCGGGAATGACAACCTGGTCAACCTCAAGACCGTTGGCTTTAGTCTGCTTGGGGACAAGGTACTTCTTGGCAATATGAAGCTTCTCCATGTAGGTGTAACCCTCCAGGTGAACGGTCTCCATTCGGTCCAGAAGAGGAGCGGGAATGGTGTCGAGGTTGTTGGCGGTGGCAATGAAAATGCACTTGGACAGATCAACGGGGAAGTTGATGTAATGGTCTCGGAAAGTAGCATTCTGCTCGGGGTCCAGCACTTCCAGCATGGCAGCGGCAGGGTCCCCGTGGAAGTTTGCGCCTCCAATCTTATCAATCTCATCAAGGAGAACGACAGGGTTGTTCACCCCGACCTGTCGAAGACCCTGAATGAACAGACCAGGCATGGCACCAACGTAGGTTCGTCGGTGACCTCTGATCTCGGACTCGTCTCGAACACCTCCGAGAGACAGCCGCTGGAACTTTCGGCCCAGAGCTCGAGCCACAGACTTGGCTAAAGAGGTCTTACCAACACCGGGAGGGCCAACCAGCAGCAGAATGGGGGCTCGGTTGGAGTAGTCGATGGGCTTGGCCGAGTCGTCAAGCTGGCCGTTGGGGCCCTCAGAAGAAGCAGCAGCAGCAGTCTCCTCTTGAGCAACCTCAGACTCAGATCGCAGAGACTTGAGTCGCAGAACAGCAAGGTACTCCAAAAGACGCTTCTTGATATGAGAAAGACCGTAATGATCGTTGTCCAGAATGGTTCGAGCCTGGTCGACTGTCACAACAGTGTCTTCGGTACATTTGTCCCATGGCAGCTCGGCAATCGTCTCAAGGTAAGTTCTGCAGACTTGGTACTCAGCCTGAGTGGGAGGCATTCGCTTGATTCGCTTGAGCTCTCGGGATACCACCTTGTCGGCTTCTGGGCTCAGCTTGAGGCTCTGCAGCTTCTGGGTGAGCTCCTTAAGATCATCGTCCTCTCCTCGGTCGTCGGTCTCTCCAAGTTCCTCCTGGATGGCTCGCATCTTCTGTCGAAGTAGGTACTCTCGCTGTTGCTTGTTCATTTTGGAGTCCACGGTCGAGTCGATCTTCTCGGTGATCTTCATCATGTCGAGCTTGGTCTTGAGAATCTCGGAGCCCTTGGCAATTCGCTCGGGAATCGAGAAGGCAGCCAGAACCGCGATCTTGTCCTCAAAGTCGGTGGGGAGAATGGCCATGAGCAGATCAACCAGCATACCAGCGGTCTTTCGGGTATCTCGTGCCGATCCGGGGTTAGGACCCAGCTTGGTCAGCTGCTTCATAACAGAAGCGGCCACTGTGGTCTGCGAAGCCATAAGCTTGGAGAACTGCGTGGCATTACTCTTGGCGGCCAGATCGATAATTTCCTTAGCGGAGGCGTGCAACACCTCCAGCTGCGACAACTCGGTCTTGCTCCATGTGGGCTCCTTGTCACTGGACTCGTCAGAAGAGGCAGACTCACCGTCCTCGTCAACTCGGACCTTGATTCGAGCTGTGGGCACTAGACCGGACTTGTCGACCAGCTGGCCGAGCTCCAAACGGGACAGACCCTCCACGACAATCTGGAAGTCCTCAGTACCAGATCGCTCAAACCGCACGATTCGACACACGGTTCCAAAGGAGTAGACAGAGGTATTGACCTCGGTGGAGTTGGTGCCCAGCACGGGAGTCACGCTCTCACTGTCGTGGGCACCGGCCTCGTTGTTCTCGCCGGTCTCCTTGATCTGCTTCTGGGTAATGCGGGGTACGCAAGCAATGGTGATCAGACTTGCGTTTCTGTACCCGTCAGCAGAAGTTCGCTTGAGTTTGAAGAAGGCCTGCAGCTTGTTGACACTGCTCATTAGGTCTTGCGTGGCCTTGGAGTACGCCACGTCCTTATCTTTGGGCTTCTCAAACAGCTTGAGCATGGCCACAGCGGTCTCCTTACTCAAGCCCACCTTCATGCTCACACCGGGCAGCACAACTGTGTCGGCCGGCAGAGTCAGCAGAGGTAGAGTTGCGTCCATAATATCGTAGTTTTGTGTAACTAGTGTTGTAGTGTCGTAGTTGGTTCTGTACTTCGACGCCTGATACTCACTGTCGCGTGGTGTCGTACTTATATGTTCCAACCGAGGTAGTCGATAACAAACCCAAAGCAACGTTCTGAAACTTTAACGCTCTGATTCATGTGATAGCCCTGGAAGCCACGATGTAGAGTTGATAGGGGTAACGGGGGATTTGCATAGATCGTGGATACCAAGGGGTCTCTACGAGCCATTTCCGGGCGGTTTTTAGATCCAAAAGCAAACATTGTAGTACAAGTTTAGCCCGCAATAGACGGTGGCAAACCCACTGAAGAATGCCTAAAGCACACCATCGGCAACCTAACGGAGCTGCATCTGAGATGACTTTCAAGTCCGCAATATTTTGGAGCTTGCAGAAAAATAAACACAAAGAAATGCTTGTCCCGCCCGTGCCATTTCAGAAAGCTTCTCAAGTTGTCTCTCAGCCCGCCATTAGTCTATCTACAACGCCACCAGCTTATCGCTCAAAGTTGGGCCCTTCGAAACTGTATTTGAGGGGGGTGGTGAGGATGTCCGTAGATTTTGAGACACTAAGCGAGAAAAATTTCGATTCGGAATAATCGGAATAGCTTAAGAGAGAACAGAGAAATAACTTGAGAATTATTTTTTTGTGTTTACAGCCTCCCCATCACAAAAATACATCACCTTGGCTCTTGTACTTTGCTCCCGACCTTGCGTGGTGCATGTACTGATTTGCAGTGCATTAAAGTGGGGAGAGGGTGCAGGCAGATGAGCCGACTGCACTAGTGGGCTCTTTGTTGGACTAGCGCGGTATAGTTGAACTTAATTGGAGTTTTTAATTGAACTTCCAACTAAACGGCTAACTAAGGGTCCGAGACGTTAACTAAACTAAACAGATTCTCATGGGGTAAGAATATAATTGACGTTCCGACGGTAGAGGGAACAGCACTGCTGATTCATCGGTTTAATAGAGACTCTCACATCAACCAACACCAGCAACCGAGTCAAACAACTTGTCTCAAAATCCTCGTAACCATAATGCTGAGACCTAGCTCAAAGGATATCTTCAAGGCGTTTTTGAGCACTTATTTGCCACCTTCCGAAGGAAAAAGAACCCGGGTATCTCATTAAACGATCCCGCCTTTTCCTTGTCACTTTTTTTCCCCTTTCAGGAAGCCGTAGCCTTCCATTACTGCATGCTTATCCCTGCACTCCATCTACTTGTAGAAGGTTCACGAACACAATAGTTGAGTCTCGGAAAAAACTCGACCAACAAATACTGTATTAGTCCCAACCTAATCAAGGTCGGGGTTCTAGATGCTTCTGACAACACCATCACCTGCCACACCACATCAAGGCGTTGACAACATAATGCCAACATCACAAGACTGATCTGATTCACCCCGAGAAAAGATATCCAGAGCTAGATTCCCCACAAACTCGCTAATGCACAGAAATCACGCTTGACATGTGAGTCTAAGTGAATCCATTTGAAGAGGACCACCGAGGTACTTGTACTTGTTGTACTCGCAGTGAGATGGATAACGCACGCAAGCAACAAGACATACACAGAGTATCTCAAGATCTGGTTGCAATGGCATCTCAATAACTGCACTACTTGCACTATCTCTACGACACAAACACTAGGCAATACCCACTATTCGAGATACCTCCTCATAAATATTCTTGGTGGGAAGCAACGTCGTCTCCGGTGGCGTGGTGGGTGTCATGACAGTGTAGATCAATACAACCAATGTCCCAGGATTCTTTCGGTGGGTACGAACACTTTGGGAAACCGGCGGCGTGACCATCGAAAGTTCGAGAGAGAGAGAGAGAGAGAGAGATGTCAGATGGAGAAAGCCGGAGTTCAATAGTTGGGGGTAAGCTGTAGGCACCATCTGATAGTTGAGGTTAATGCTACCAAAAAGGGGCTTGGAGGGGACAATTGAGACCCGAGTAGTCATTCCAGAACGCTTAAAGGGAGTGGCGACACTTTTGTGAAATTCTGAATGCATCTTGCGACGTGAATAGTTCACCGAAGTAAAACAGTGATAGTTGTTAATGCCAGAAGTTCAAATACTTGTTCTATTATTTACTGTAACATCTATATTTCCTTTTTCTTAGCATGTTGTAGCGGCGATCACCCTTCCAACATTTGAATAATCCAATCTCAGTTGATAGAGGAAAGATACCTTTTTACAGTAACAACTTCAGTAATTACAGTACATACAGTAATATATGCTGTATAGCCTACTCTACGTATATATAATTCGTCAGACACAATCTACAATCTCAGAAAGAGGGGAGGGACAATGGTCCAAACGTATTTACCCGAGAGGTTCTGCTTAATGCTTACAGTATATCCTCTTACTATATATCTATCAAAGGGTCGGCTGGAGAGATACCTAAACTGTGGAGGTTCCACGTCCTACTTCCTTTCTGACTGCGAGTCAGATCTACAGAACTCCGACTACCCTGAATGCTCTTGCGGCGGCTCTGGATCTTCTGTCTGGGAATCTGGCTTTTATCCCAACGGTCTGGCTTACTAGCACATGGGTTCTGGACCTGGACTCTTTGAGCTCCTAGTGGCACTGACTTGTTTCAGCCCGATTCTCGTAACATTTGTAGCTCCTATTGGCTTCATAGCGCTTAGTGGCTGAACAAGGTGTTGATTCTTACAGATTGGCACTGGCCCATATCATCACTCAAATTGCGATGACATCATCGTATAACCGAATTCGTGCGGGCCTGACTTAACGTATCTTAGTCAATTAAACGTCTCCAGCTCTTGTGGCAGGTGGATCTCACCACAAACAGCTCCAGCAAGCTTTTTAGCGTTGCCAGAATTGAGTGTTTGTGTGGCATCTTGTCGGTCGGAGGCTCTGAAGAGATCTTTACTCTGGTGGTCTGGCAGGATTGATCTAACGCTAAGGCAGTCTTGAAAATACCTACACCAGCCAGGATTGTCTCAATATCTTATCGCCCAGCATCTCCCGAAAACAGTCGAGTGTATGGACAAATACCATGGTCTTCTGGTACTGTCAATGAGGAGCATCAAGGATGGGGGGGGGGGGTTGAACTGCTCAAATATACCATAAATATTGTGTTTTTGAGTTTGGAGATTTTCAAATAGGGAAGTTTTTAAAATACCTAACATAAATAAGGACTAGCTAAATAGATCAAAAGGTATAGAGAGCGTAGCCGAGTACATACAATTGTACAACAGGTTCACAACGACGAAGAATAAAAAAGTATGAGAGCTGTGAGGTTCGAACTCACGCCTCTTTCGAGACTAGCACCTGAAGCTAGCGCCTTAGACCACTCGGCCAAACTCCCATATGCACCAAGTCTGCAAGGGACGATCTACGGGGGAAAAAAAGTCACGTGAGTAAGTTTTTTTGATACCGATTACGGCACACCCAAGTAATTAACAACACCTTAAGTGGTAGCATACGAGATATATATACCTAAAATTACCTATAAATGTTGTTATAACTCTTCATCCACAAAACTGACACTTCTGGAGCAGTTTCAATTTTTGATTACATAATACGACAACACGGAAGCTAAATTAAATACGAGCATCTACAAACTGAGACGGCTATGTGTGAGTATGTCGCTACTCGTGCTACTACTGTACTGTACTTGTATTTTTCCTGAGACCAAAACTGGGCTATTTCGGACTTGCTGACCCACCTCAGGCGGTTTGGGGGCTCTGTATAAACTTGGGTCAGTGGATACTAGTCGACTCAAAAACAACGAGTAAGATATAAAGAGTGAAGCTATCCGCCTTTCAGCCACAGGTGGGATTATTATCCCAGAAGGCATTTCTCATGCCCAGTATTTCTTATCAGAGCTGTATTAGTATCTGATGACACTGGCTTGTTTCTGTGTTGTGTTGTATCAAAGGGATATACCCATGCACAGTAAGGACGACTGTTACGAGTAATAATAGATCAATGAAATAAATAAATAATGTAGATATTCTTAGTAACTCCCATCTATAACTCCCCATCCAATTCTCTTGCCTCGAATCTTCTAGAGGGTAGCAACAGCTCGTCCCAAATATCTGCTGGCAGATAGTCACCTTGCTGGGCTACAAAGTCTTGACGTCTATTAGTCTCCTGGATACTCATCTGAGCCAGCTTCGCGTTCACCTCGGTCACATAATCTTTCATTTTGGCCTCGGCTGCATTTCTTCGTTCTGCTTCGTGCAATAGGGCCTTGTATGAGTTCAAGAAAGTCTGGTAATGCGTCACAACAGCTGATGTTTCACTCACATACCGCTGCACCTTCAGAAGATACTCCTTTGTATCCCTTTGTTGAGTCTCACAGATCTCGAGTGTAGCATCCATGGTCTTCTCGACAGCTTGGATGCCCTCGAGCTGGCGCACTTCCAGCGAGTAGGAGTGGTACATCTGAGTCATGTGATTGTGGACACCTTGACATCCCTGCTTGACCTCGTCCAGGCGCTCTTGTAGCTCGTCCAACACATCTGGAAGTTGTTGAGCGTCGTTCTCAAGAACCGCGCGCAACTCACCCAGCTCATTAACGTCCTCTGCCTCGATAGCGCCAGTACTCAGATCCTGCCCTCGTTCACACAAGTCGTAATGTCGAGCTAGCGACTGTAATAGGTTAGCCATGTCTTCCGAACATGCTTCTGCCGAATTCAGCAAGTCGTAGATGCCCGAATCTGATGTTTGGTGGATGAGAAGTTCGGTTTGTTCAGCCTTCTCCCTCTCAAACTCCTTCTTGGAACGATTCACAATATCTCCGTGTCTCTGAATCTCTGGCAACAGCACTCGAAACACATTGAGCGCCTCCTCATGCACTTCGTTCCATCCCTTGCCTTGAACCTGAGCGGAAATGAGATCTTCGTCCACAAACTCTCTCAGATTGTGAGCCCCATTGTTGACTCTCAATTGCACAGGAGTTGCAGCCAACTCGCCTAGAGCTTCCTCCAGAGCTCCCCTCGCTGCCTGAAACCGTGTCTGCTGCCGGGTAACCGTTTCGAGAGACTTCTTTGTGCGTGTGAGGGCGTTAGAGTAGAATTTCGACGCCAGCGTCCATTGATGGGCGTGTGCCTTGGCCAGGAATTGTGTGCGAATGCCAAGATGGACTGCAACCTCCAAATTCTGTCGTGCGCGTGCCAAGACGTCCTGTGATTCTTGACACAGTGGCCCTGCAGCCGCCAGAGCGTCCTGGGCCTCCCGAAATAGTTGTTCCATCTGTCGCGTGGTGTCGGTGATAATGCGTCATGGAGGTTAGGTTTACATGCAGCGGGGGAGATGGCTGAGGAGAGAGGTGTCAAGAGGGGGAGGTGACAAGAGAAGAATACAAGTGTGATGAATTCGTCGAGTGTGTATATGAGTCTGTTTATCTCTGTATTGCGAATAACTATCGAACTTCTGCCTCGCAAATATCTACGTTTCATTCAGTACTTTGTCAAAATAATTTTCAAGTAAACGTCACTGATTAGTTGGATATATTACTTGACGATTTTATTGTTTCAATATGGGGGTTTCCAGAAGCACGTTTGTAAGCAGCAAGCCGATTATAAACTACTACTCTGGTTAACATGTATACATTGCCCTACCAGTGTGCTAAAATGAATACATCTATCTCATATCTACCTGTACTTGTTGTTAGGTCTGCTATAATTGTTGATTTGTTTTCTACCTACAGGATGTACATTCTTCGAAGTGCACTACTGTACTCGTTCAGTATATATTGCGAAGGGGTTATTCTATGTAAGGTTTATTATCTTCTAATCTGATCTTTACCCTCAGCTATTTTTACTCCTTTTTATGGAAGGGGTAATCTGTGTATCCATGAGGACCGGGGGTATAGAAAGAGGGTCTATCCCAGTGGGTCAGAGGGAGGTCGTTTTCAAGACGGTAGACGAGATCAGGGTTTGCAATAAAGTACCGTCCAAAACCAATCAGCGTTCTGTCATCCTCCTGAGCGGTTTCGATGGCCGTTTCTCTGTTGTATCCTCCTGCTCGAATGAGGTCTCCGGTCCAGATGTTTCTGAAAGGATCGTTGGATTGCCATTGCTTGGGAATGGCGTCAGAGATGCCGTCAGCCCGAGGCTCAATCACGTGAATGTAAGAGAGGCGGTTCTTCTCATTCTCCTTCGCACGTTTCTCCAGCTGCTCAAACAGATATTTGAACTGAGGCAGAGACTTCTCCTCGTTGACCTCCATGTCCTGGAAGGTGGTCCAGGGTGAAAATCGCACGCCGACACGGTCGGCACCGATAGCAGCAGACACTGCATCAATAATCTCCAGGCTGAATCGAGATCTGTTCTCAATAGAGCCTCCATACTCGTCTGTTCGGTTGTTGGAGTTCCAGTGGATGAACTGATCAGGAAGGTACCCGTTGGCCGAATGGATCTCCACACCGTCAGCACCAGCCTCAAGAGCATTTTTAGCGGCGTCTACGTAGAGCTGCACTTTCTGTTTGATCTCAGGAATAGTCAGAGCTCGCACATGCTTGGCTCCATCTTCATCTCCAGCTTGAGCAATTGCAGAAGGACCCACCAGATCATGGCCAGTCTGTTGAAGCACATCGTAGTTGGCTACACGTCCAATATCCCACAATTGGATGTAAATCTTGGACCCCTTGGAATGAATGCCTTGAATCACCTTCTTCCAGCCTGCAATGATGGAGGCGTCTCCCCAGATACCAGGAACAAGACCCTCTCGACCCTTGTGGCCTCCAGCGGAAGGATGAATATATGTGGCCTCGGAAATGATGAGTGTTCCGGCTGTGGAAGCTCGCTGGGTGTAGTACTCAACGGCCAGATCGGAAGGCACGTGTTTCTCGGCTCTGGTTCGAGTAAGAGGAGCCATCACCACCCGGTTAGACAGCTGGCTAGCACCGACTTTGATTGGCTTGAACAGGTTTGGAGTAGTCATTGTTACTTCAGGTCGGCAAAAAATGGTGTATTAAGATTGTTGCAAGGAAGGACAAGCCACAGTGATACCATCTTGGGCAGTCTTGCTTCGTTGTGCAGCTCACATGTATTGCGCGGTTAGTGGGCGTTATCGGACGTTAGGTACAGTAAGCAAATTACAGGAGTAAATTGAGGTCAAGTGATGGCAGTCCAATGATGTGATGTAGACTTCGCTACTGGATATAATACAAGCCCATAATCCCTGCAGAAGGAGTATGAGATATGAGTTACAGTAAGTTGCTGAATCACTGTGGATCATAAGGTACAAGAACAAGTGACATAACGTTTCTAGAGCTTACCAGTGATGAGAAGATGTCGCTTATGACGCTGACCGATACCCGTACTCGTAAGAGTACCTGTACACCCCCAATAGGCAGGGTAGGAGTACCAGTACGAATACCAGTACATGTACTCGTACGGTACAGGTACTTTTAGCCGTACATCTCCGCGCCAAATCTCTCAGCAACACTATAGAAAGCTGGATCAAACATACTGTAATGATGATACTGTCCTCGCGGGCGACCTCATCGTCAACCCTTCTACCTCTTACGTAATAATAAATTAGCTAATAAATTAGAACGTACGAGACTACAAATGAGCTGTGCTAGAGAACCAGGGTGAAGAGCCAGCTTCAGAAAATAGTGGTTACTGACAACAGCCATGTAGCTACAACTACGCAGGCAATACCTGGCACAGGTACTAAAGATAGCCTGGCAAGAACCAAGGAAAGGGTATCTCTACAGTAAAGCCGGACCCATAATCACCTATGGGGTATCCTGGATGGTTATGTAAGAAAAGGAAGAGGAGAAAAACAAAAACAAAGAGAGAAAAAGAAAATGAGAAGCCGGAAGGTGCAGAAGATGTAAAGACATGAATGCAGAGAAATGCAATGATGTGTACACACAAATAGAATATAATGCAAAATAAATAAATATTTTGAGATCATGACTGTGTCACATGAGCAGGATTGAAATCAAAACTCGATCATCACAAGGAACCGCCGCTTTGAATGCGGACGGGAGAGAGGAGCACTGCGAGGCTTGGAGTGGTAAGGCGCGGAAGGGTGGGGCGCGGAAGGCGCACACGCTGTGTGTGGAATGATGCTTCGCAAAGAGAAGCGTCTACAAAAGTAAGTGGGTCAAAACAAGGATGACATGGAAATACCGTCATGCTCAACCCTTGAGATTCGCCAGCTGGTCCAAAATGTTCTTGACGTTCTGGCCGGGATCGGCAGAAGTGGGAACAGGAGCAGCAGGCTCATCTCGACCAGACAGAGGCTCAGACACAGGCTTGCGATTTGTGTGTTGAGCAACATAGGCTGATGGTTGAGGACGGTTGGATACAGGGCCATATGGGAGGGGGCCCGAACGGCCGCGATCGTTGTTACGATCATTGTTGCTGTTGTTGTTTCGATCATTGCGGTTGCGTTTGGAGAAACCGTTCTTGTTGCCACCGTTGCCATTGTGGTGTCGAGGAGGCTTAGCAGGAGGTGGCGACGGGGAGGGAAACAAGTTGGGGATTGTATTTGACATGAACGGCGGCATGAATGTGCTCTGCTGGGGCTGGGGCTGGTGTTGCATGGCGGCCTGCTGCTGCAGCGCCAGAGCCACTTTTTGGAGGCTCATGGTATCAAGACGGTTCTGAAGAGCCATGAGAGTCGCCACCTGATCGTTGGACAGAGTGGGGATGCCCATGGGCATCCCCATTGGACCAACTCCAGGAAGAGCCATGCTCGCGGGATTGGGAAGACCACCAATGCCAGGGATGGCAGGCATTCCGTAGTATCCGTTGGTTGAGATGGGCTGAGGCGAGCTCATGTGAGCAGGAACCACAGGGTGAGGCTGGAAGTTGGCCATTTTCTCACGTTTGACTCGCCCGAGGAGCTCAATGGCGACCGGAATGTCGACCATTTGGTACTCATCGAATCGAACACCGCCATCGGGGGCTGGGTGGAATACCTGGAGGTTCACCTTGTTGGCCTGCTGGTTGATTCGCTCGACAATGATCAGACCAAACACCCGCTCTCGGATGAGCTGGTTGACAATGTCTGGAAGGGACTCCTTGACGGACGTCCGTGGCTGCAACCACTGGTAGTTGACAGACATGCCGTTTTGTTTGAGAGGGCGTTCTACCCGGTGGACGAAATCTCGGTCAACACGAGATTCCATCACAATTTGGACCTCGGGAATAATGTGAGGCTTCTTACGAGACAGGAGGTCTCGTCGTCGCGACCGGCCCCGGTCGCTGTTGCGGTCAAGATCGGACCCAGCCGGAGAACGGCTTCTATACCGGTCACCGTTCTTGTAGCCAGTCGGCGACACAGACCGACGGCGCTCCCGATTCTTACACTGCGGTTGGGCCACCTCGAGCTTGAGGTAAAATCCCCGCAGGTACCGGCCATTCTCGACCTTCATGGCACGCTCGCAGTCTTCGGGACAGAAGTATTGCACAAAGCCGTAAGCACGTTTGATAGAGATCTGGGCCAGCCGTCCGTATTGATTGAACAGCTTGAACAGCTCCATGGTGTCGATACGGTCGCCGGGAAGGTTGCCGATGAACATCCGCGAGCCGACAGGGAACTTGTCCCAGTTGCCCGAGGTGATGTACTCGGACTCGACACGTCGATATTCAGAGAACTGGGATGCCTCCTCGGGGGTGAGTGGCGATTTGATTTCAGCCTCCGACACGGGCTCCGTGGGCGGCACGTCGTAACCGCCATTGGTGCCGTTGATGCCATTCGAGCCGTTCGAGCCGTTGGTGCCGTTCGAGCCGTTGGTGCTGTTGGTGGCATGTGACAGCGGCTGGAGGATGCGTTGTAGAGAGTCTGCAGCAGCAGTTTGTGTGTTATTATCGTGTTGTTGTTGGCCACTACATGCACGTAGCAAGTCGTCGAGGTTGTCAACGTTTGTGTCATTTCCGTGGCCGTTGGTGTGGCCGTTTGTGTGTGTGTGTGTGCTGGTATCTTTGTTGTCTGTGTTTGAGTCGGTGGGTTCGTACTTGGGGCTGTAGTGGTCATCATCTTCGTCCAGCGACGACGATGATGACGTTGCTCTGTCAGCACTCATTATGGATTCTGTGGACGTCGACGTTCCCGAAGACGAGGCCGAATCCACGCCTGAACTCGAACCTGAGCCGGAAGGCGGGCGAGAGACCGAGTTTTGAGGCACATCAATCTCTGCGTTCCCTCTGTCGGAGTCGCTCATTATATATAGGAGCAGTTGCGGGCAACAGAAAAATGTGGCAGCACAACTGGTATGTGGTGGGTTGAGTAAACAGAAACGTAACTGCGTATGGACAAGAGTACTCGAAGTGGACAGGTATACTGCGGTGGACAAATGTGTGGACAGGTGTACTGTAGTGAGAAGAAAAACGTGTGTGCGTGGACGTGGATGAGGAGGAAGAAGCGTTGTGTTCTTTTGCTTCCTTCGGTTCTTAAAAGACAAAACAGCAGCTTGGGGGGAGCACTGTGAAGGGTGCCTTGCCGATTAGAGTTACCCCCGTAAAGACTTCTTGCCTATTACCCGGCCCAGCATCCGAAGAAACACCCAAAATGTGCAGTATTATTTAGAGTTTCATACCATGGGACCAAAAGACAGCCGAGTAAAGCGAAGGCCAAGAGAACCACATCCAAGGTAACTTTTAACAGCAATGAAAGAGATCTAAACAAATGAACTAGCTGTAACTATCTGCATGGAATATGTTGTCTTTGGCTGACCTCTCAACCCCGTTACCAACAGCCTACAGTGCCCGTATCTACCTATACCCGCCATATTCCTCTCAAAGGCCTATTATGTTCAACGTTTCACGTTTCACGGCAGTGATCATAGCAAAGATACCTTGTTCATTACAAACCAGACCAGCATGTACTTCGGGCGGAAGTACCAAATCTACTTGTACATACTGTAGCCGATCGATCATCAATCCTATAGCTGAGTGAGGGTTTAATAGATGGGATATACTACTTGTAGTTCAGGTGGTACAAGTCTGTTATGCAATAGGTACACTAGAGCTTTTCTCGCCGTTCTATAGACTATATACAGGTACATACGAGTAGATACGCCGTCCTCACCACTAGCTGGACGGCCCCTCCAGGCTCATGTGGCATCCTTAAAGTAGAGTATTTTTTTGCCCCCGACCTGGACCAAACCGCTTGATTGGTCCTTTCGATGCAGCCACCGTATTCGCATATATTCGCATGTAGGCTATCGCGCCGGCTCATGTCTACAGTAGGCGAAACTCGTGATACACATACGCATTCTATATACAGAAACGAGTTAAAACAGCATAAAGCAGGTCCATGGCGTCACCCACGAGGTTTAGCATCGTTTCGACTGTCGTCTGACAGAATGTGGGCTGTCAAACGAAACGTTTCTCCACAAAACCATCGAATAATGAAGAATGTAGGCCGGGATTTAGGTTGGCAACCGATAAAACCGAAAAAGTGAGAAGCATCAAAGCAAGTCTTTCTCTCCGATCCGTCATGCGTCTTACCCTTCCCCGCCGAAGCGGACTACAAGCACAGTAATAAATAAATAATTTATTGCATCCATGATTATGTAACGCACTTAGATTCCCGCCAGCGAAGTTCCACGAGAAGGTACTACATGATGAGTATGTAATCACAACTCTCACAGCCATATGGCGATTATGTAATCACCGCTCCTCACTTGCTTCACTACTCCAAATCCATACTCATATCGCCATCATCGTCGGAAAGAAACCGTCGCATGTGACTGCTGCTGTTGCCAATGCTGCCCAGGCTCACGTTGCCAATGCTGTCGTTGCCAACACTCACATTTCCAAGAGTCATGTTGCTGACGTTGCCACGATGCGGGTTGATGGGTGTGTTGCCAATGTTGAGTTCGCGAGTGTTGTTCGTGATACTGCTGTCAAGGGTTCCGTTGACCAGAACATCGCTTCCGTCATCATACTCCTCCTCAGCCAAGAAGTCATCCTGGTACTCTGCTTCATCGTAGTCATCGTAGTCATCGTAGTAATCAGATCCCTCCGGGACATCATCATCCAGATCTCGCTCTTCAATACCCTGATCACCTCCTTCTCCATCACCGGACAGCACATCTTCGCTGACCTCCAGACCACTGAACTCCGTGTTTGTGTCAAGTGTGAGATGCGTTCTGCCAGTGTTGTCTGTGGGCTCTCCTCCGATTTCGAGCTCTTCTTCTACCACCAGAAATGAGCCCTCTTCCTCCTCAAATTCGTCGAATTGAGTATCTGTCTGGTTGTTCTGTGGTGAGTCTTCCTCCTCGTCTTCGTCTTCCTCGTCCAGACATGCTTGCAGAGTCTTGGAAAACCCTGGGGGTTTCAGATATGTGTATCCGAGAGTGCGGATGTTACGCAGGTACAACTGCCGCATCTCCTCGTCACGCTCCAACGACCTTGTGGAGGCCATGAGATTGGTGTTCTCGTCTCCCCAAGGCTGATCCACTAGGGAGCTAGCGAGAAGATTGGAGCGTCCCAGGGTGTTTGCAGAGATTTGTGGCGTAGATTTCTTCGAATTTAATGGCATGAGAGCATGTGCACGAACATATGAAGGTCTCCAGATGTCTGGATTGACTCCTAATGGTGGTAAGTTCATGGTGTGTGTTGAGGAATTAAGAGGTTCGGTCTGGAACTAAGCTGATTCAAGTTGTCAAGTTAGCGCTGATTAAGTGTCTGTTGAAATCTGAATGAGTTTGATTAGTAAATAGTGTGATAATGGAGTTGTGCCGTGTGTTGTGTAATGTGGTGATGTGATTGATGTTGATAAGTGTAACTACAACGACTGTTTGCAAAGCTTATTTTATGATTAAATTGTATCCACTTTAGTTGAATGAACAAGTAGTGTGCGTGAGTGTTTACTTGACTGGGGTAGTTAGAAAGTGTATAAAACTGACTCTCTCTCTCTCTCTCTCTCTCTCTCTCTCTCGGGTTCCTACTTTTAGCGCTTATATCGTTCTGTTTCACTCATACCCAACGCTGAGACACCACTTTAGCAAAGCAGCAAGTCAAGACATTGCTCAATAATAAAAAGAATACTCAATTACTACACGGATCAGCTTCAATATTTCTACTCACCTTACCTATGGCACCTCAAATCAAAATCACCCCAAGTAAGCATCAGTCCCTCGTCTCAGGATGGTCCCACATTAGAATAGAGTGTCAGATCATTGGTCACTTGAGGATGTCAATAATCATTAGTGTTATTAGTAAGAATAAATGTTGAAAAAATGCCACAATCTAGCTGACATATTTCTAACGTCATATGACAAACGTCCGCCCTCTATATACAATACCTCTTAGTCTCCATTATCGAGCTTCGCATCTTGCCCATATCCATATCCTCTTTGCGCCCAACCTAAAATTGGACATCAGCTGAAATCGAACGTGGAGCCGTCCACCTACATTATTCGTTTTTCTTCACCCTGCCGTCCATTGGATACCACACTACGTGCGAAACGACCTTTGCGGCCCTCCAAAATGCTGCTATCGAACGTAGCGGTCAATCGTACGGTTGTCCACACCCAGCTCGTGTCGGGAAGCCGGTCCGCTCTTCACGCCCTGTCTCGGACATCACACTCAGTGCCAGTGACACACACCCATCAACGGAGACACATCTTTTCACACAAACGCCGGCTGTCGTCCTCGACCCTCGCGATCCCGTTCGCTCTCAGCAACACTAACTCCGCCACAACCGCTCCTCTTCAGTTTCTCTCAAATGTGTCTCTTTGTCGAGTTACTCCAGGAACGATCACCACTAGTGCTAAAGCTACCGCCCCCAATCTCGACAAGATGAGCGCCGAGGCGGCCACAACAGCTGCCCAGGCTTCCGCAAGTCCGGTGGAAGACTCCTTTCTGAAAAAGGCCGTTTCGTGCCAGTCGGAAACAGAAAGAGAAGCCGTCATGGCAGCCCGAGCAGCAAAAAAGGCCCTTAGAGAAACCAAAGAAACATGGTGGGCACCCTACGTTGCCCTGACTAAACCCCGGCTGACCGTTCTCGTTGTTCTCTCGGCGATGTCGTCCTACGCACTCACTCCGGAGGCTGTTTCGCTGACTAATCTACTGTTCCTGACGGTGGGAACTGCTCTCTGTTCTGGATCTGCCAATGCTATCAACATGGGACGTGAACCCGCTTACGACTCGATGATGACTCGAACTCGAGGTCGACCCGTTGTACGTGGTGCAGTCACCCCAAACCAGGCATTCACCTTTGCTGGCATCACAGGTACCGTGGGAACCGCGGCTCTCTATTTTGGAGTCAACCCGACAGTGGCCATTCTGGGTGCGTCCAACATTGCGCTCTACGGAGGTCTATACACCACCCTCAAGCGAAAACACATTATTAACACGTGGGTGGGAGCTGTGGTTGGAGCTATCCCCCCTCTCATGGGATGGGCGGCTTCTGGAGGATCTCTTCTGCATCCCGGTGCTTGGTGTCTGGCTGGACTTTTGTACGCATGGCAGTTTCCACATTTCAACGCCCTGTCGTATAGCATCCGAGACGAGTATAAAAAGGCCGGCTACGTGATGACTGCATGGAAGAATCCCGGCCTGAACGCCCGAGTCGGTCTGCGGTACGCACTGCTCATGTTCCCTCTCTGCGTCGGACTCTCCTACTACAACGTAACCGACTGGTGGTTTGTTCTAGACTCGTCGGTGCTGAACGCATGGATGGCATGGTGGGCTTTCAAGTTCTGGCAACAGGAGAACGTCAACATTGCCCTGGCTGCTGCAGGAAAGCAGTACTCACAAAACCCATTTGCCCGGAAACTGTTCTGGGGCTCAGTCGTGCATCTTCCCGGTGTGTTGCTGCTGGCCATGATCCATAAGAAGGGCCAGTGGGATTGGTTGTTTGGACCCTCCGAGGATGAGAAGAAAAAGACTCTCAGCAGCTAATGTAAATATGTATATAGGTCGATAAGACAGGTTCTGATTAGGGAGAGAAGGTGTATTAGCGGAGAGTCGTGATACAGTAGCTGGAGATGATATTGTAATCACATGCTCCGATATCTGATGGTTTATAATTACAGTCAAAGATATCAAAACAATCATTCAAATAATTCATTGGTCCGCTTGAATGTGTCATCTTCTCTACAATAGTAACTTTGGCAGAATATTGTTGCTTCTACATTGAGTATTTGCTTCACCGCCCTTATTCATTCCATAACGTCATTATAATTATATGCACTTTTTCTCCGTTCAATCTTTTTGCTAATCCCTTAAGCAAAAGCCTGGACGCCGGTCATGGCTCTTCCCAGGATGAGAGCATGGATATCAGACTGGCCCTCATAGGTCTGGACAACCCACAGGTTGGCGGCAATTCGGCCAATGTGGTACTCGTCAGAGGCAGCGTTACCGCCAAAGATCTCCATCAGGTTTCGAGCGCCAGCGAGGGCTCGGTCACAGTTCTGTCTCTTAATCATGGAGATGAGCTCGGGAGGACAATTGCCGGCATCCTTGAGCCGGCCGACCTGAATGGCAGCGACCTGTCCGTAGGTGGCATCGGTCAGAGCGTCAGCGAGCTTCTTCTGGATGAGCTGGTACTTGGCCAGAGGCTGGCCCTTAAACTGCTTTCGGTCCAGAGAGTACTCTCGAGCGAGCTTGATGGACTCGGACAGAGCGCCCATGGTTCCCCAGGCGATACCGTATCGGGCAGAGTTGAGGCAGGTGAAGGGGCCCTTGAGACCGGTCACCTCGGGGAACATGTTCTCCACAGGGATCTCAACGTCGTCCATCTGGATCATACCGGTGATGGAGGCTCGCAGAGCGGTCTTGTTCTTGATGGCGGGAGTAGCGAGGCCGGAGGCGACCTGAGATCGCTCGACAAGGAAGCCTCGGATCTTACCGTCCAACTTGGCCCACACAACCATGAGATCGGCAATAGGAGAGTTAGTGATCCAGTTCTTGGCTCCATTGAGCACAATGACGCCCTTCTTAGTAGGGTGCATCTTGGCGACGGTCTCCATGGATCCAGGGTCGGAACCGTGGTTAGGCTCGGTGAGACCGAAGCAGCCGATCATCTCGCCGGAGGCCAATTTGGGCAGGAACCGGTCCTTCTGCTCCTGGGATCCAAACTGTTCAATGGGGTGCATGACCAGCGACGACTGCACAGACATGGCAGATCGGTAGCCGGAGTCGACCCTCTCGACCTCTCGGGCCACGAGACCGTAAGCGACAGAAGACATGCCGGGGCATCCGTGGCTCTTGACGGTTGTTCCGAGCAGACCAACCTCACCCATCTGCTTCATGATGCTTCGGGGGAACTCCTCGGTTCGGTAGCCCTCAAGTACCTTGGGGTAGAGCTCTGTCTGGCAGAAGTCTCGAGCAGCCTCAGCCACGGCAATCTCGTCCTCGGTGAGAAGAGAGTCCAGCTGGAAGGGATCCTGCCAGTCCATGGCGGCTGTGGATCGGTTGACGGAGGAGGTAGCAAAGCCTCGGGCAGCAGGTGCCAAACGGGAGATTCTGGTAAGCATTGTGTGTTTTGTGTTGGCGACCGTGGTTGTGTTGTGGAGAGAAAGGACGTGTTGGATCACAGCTCTGTTATATAGTTACTTCGGAGAGGTGCTGTGAGAATAGAGTTCCCGCCAGCTTTGTGTGTGCGGCACAAATTGCAATGTGAACAAGCTACAGGTAGACTCTGGGGAAGCTGCAGGTAGACTGGCGCGTAGCAGAAGGGAATTTATACCGCCAACAGTTGATGGAAAAAAACCCGGGGAATATGTTATTTTCAATAAAAGCCGCACACAGGGAACTACAGACGCTGAAACAAGGGACACGGATGGAAAACGTTGGATTCTGCAGTGTCTAGAGGGGTATATATAGGCATGAGTCAGAGTGGAGCTTTGGATTGAAAAGGAGCTCGGTGAAATCACGGAGTGCAAGAGAGCATTGTAATGAGAAGTTTTGGAGTGTATTTCGTTAGTGTACTAGTGCCGTGTGCTCTTGTAATCTGGACTGCTCATTTTAGACCCTCGGTAACACCACTTTAGACACTTCTATGTCCACCCTCATTATATATCGACCTATATACCTCTCTCATTCGTCGTTGTCTGCATCATGCACCCCACCTCGCGCTAAAGTGTCCAGTGCATGAGTATACAATAAGTGATGAATAGTGGGATGCTGTAAATATGGGTTTAGGGTGGTCTGTGGAGGATCTGACAGCTGAGTGAATTTTTAGAGGCTGAAATACTCGACAGTGGAATATCAGGCAAAAAAACATTCCTCCAACAGTATATCTCATCTCCTGAAAATCTCCTTGAAAGCATATCTCCTCGTAGCTTGTAGTTATAATTACCGTGCATACAGATCATTCCAACAAGGAGGTACTATCTCGGCTATGAGGTGGACTATCAGGGATCCTGAAAGACAATGGATTTGTTAAGGGCCGAAATGCATTTAGATCAACTGTTGACTGGATAGCTCAGGGGGAAAAATTGGTGTCATTAGAAACGTGTCTATGTAACTGTTCACCTTGCTATCCCTTGTTCAAGCTGTAGAGCAGCTTTCAAGACAATTACAAGAGAGATGGAGAGTATTTGACACATCCAGATGCTCCATTGGTTTGATATTTATAATTCAACTGTGTATATCACTATCTTGAGGTGATATATTGAAACAGCTGCGTTCATTTCAATCTTCTCACCTCTCTCTGTCTCTACAACAGCGATACTTGTATGAGTTTACCATTGGCACTGTACGTACGATATACCTTTACACTTACTTTTACAGCATAATTACAACTCATAATATGTCAGATACGTTCACTCGAAAAGATTTTATATGGAGTCTCCATGGTCCGATCAGGGATTATCCCAACAACCGATTAACGAACAAGACCATTCCCAGAGCCGAGTTTCCACTCGACAGGGCTGAGCAGACTGTTCGTCTGACCCGACTAGTGGTCTGTCCAACTCCTCTGATGGCCAGATTAAGCAACGGAACCTCTCCCTGGCTCATCTCCGACCTCAAAGTTGACATTTCTTCTCTCCACTCGCTCGGAGTGTTTGCCCAGACTCGAGAAGGCACCATAACTGGTGCCTCGTAGGTAGTATTGCGCTCGATTTCACGGATCGTGCGACGTGAAATAGCATTGGGTATCGATCGGCGGAAAAAGGTGCCTCTTCGCGCCTTGGACATCTTCTCCTGGCGTTTGCGCTCGGCCTCAACCGTTTGGTACAAACGTGCCTTTGCGGTATCACCTACTCCGGGTATCTTTCTGCACTGAGATCTGAGACTTCGTGTCCAAGTCTTGCACGGTAGAGGAGGTGTGTTCATTGTGATGTGGTAGTTGAAATCCTGAATTTTTGCAGACGAATGTGGTGATTAATTCTAGCCGTATCCACCAAATCGGTACGACAAGCTGGTGTTAAGCGAGCACAAAAACTGTCAACAGCAGCAAAAACAAGGTGGTTAAAAATCTTAGTGGTTGTGGCAACAGTGTACGTAGGGGTCCAACACAAACACCATGTCTGTCAGCCCAACAAGGTTCTTGACGGAGAAAAAAAGAAGTGGACGAGACCGGGTTCGAACCGGTGACCTCAAGCATGCAAAGCCCACGCGCTACCACTGTGCTACACGCCCAAACTTCTAAAATTTCGGGAAATTTTGAGGTCACAATTGTGAATTATGTCAAAAAAACGCTGAATCATTAGAATAAAAAATAAAAAAAAAAAAAAAGCTGTAATGTAATGAATCATTAGAATAATAAAAATAAATCGTGTAATGAATCATTTGAATAATAAAAATAAATCGGGTAAAGAGGAGGAAAAGAAGAGAAACGCGAAGACGAGAGCACGATTGTCATGCGCTCTTCTGAACACCCGAATCCGAGTCCGATGTTGTGCGTATACTTGTACCGCGGAAATGAGGTACAAGAGATAGGGAGACGAAGTCACAAGGTGAATGACTTACGATAAGAAAAAAAACAGCCATGACATACAAAATCGCAGAATAAACAACCTCAATCCTGACGATGGTCCAGAAGTGTAAAGTTAGGGGTTGTCAGACCTTTGAGGGCTGTCGTTCAGTTCGTTAATGTTGGTCGGACCTTAGCCCCAGATCGATTGTCGATAGCAATCTTGTATTTGTAAGGCTTGTTGGAAGGAGCAGACGAAGAGGAAATGTCAAGGGGTTTATATAGTTGTCATTCCAAGCTAATATTTATCGATAGCTTTCATATAAAAGTTGTATCACAACGGTATAACTGCATTATATTTTGTGAACGCATGCATTCTTGTATTGATAGAATGTACAATATGAAAACCGACGGAGCATCAACTGTACAACGACCAGTGCTTCTGATTATTATTTTTAAGTCTGGCTACACAAGGGTTGAACTGACCTATTGGTTTCACTCACATTCTTGTCATTGTGTGTATATATATAATCATTCTATGAGGAAGTAGGGTTAGTCTAGAGCAGAGCCTTGGCACCAGCAGCTCCGATGGCGACAATAAGGACCCAGAACCAAATCTTTCGGAAGATTCGGATCAGCACGTTGGGGTATACGGAGCCGGTTCGGGGGAAAATGGGGCCGACCAGCAGCAGGTTCTTGACCATGCTTCGCTTGGTTTTGGTGTAGGGGGCGTATCGCACGTCCTGAAGAGGCTCCAGAAGCTTGGGCTGGTTGAGGTAGGTTTGTCGGTGGGTGAAGGCCAGGAAGGAGTCCTCGCCATGGTAAGCACCGTAACCGGACATGCCGACACCACCAAACGGAGCCTGGACACATCCAACGTGGATCAGAGTGTCATTGAAGATAAGGCCACCAGAGTTGATCTGGGACTGGATGTAGTCGCCCTCAGAGGCCTTGTCAGTGAAGACGTACATGGCAAGAGGGGTGTCGTGGTTCTCGTGCACGTACTTGATACCCTCCTCGACGGATCGGGCAGTGAGAATGGGCAGAAGAGGGCCGAAAATCTCGTCCTCCATCAGGGAATCATTGTCGGGGACCTTTGCGACGACAGTAGGAGCGATGAATCGAGTCTTCTCGTCAGTGTTACCTCCAGTAATGATCTCTCCCTTGGACTTGCTCAACATGGAGGTAAGTCGGTTCCAGTGGTTGGGGGTGGCGATCTTGGCAAAGTCGGGGTTGTACTGGTCAATCTTACCACTGTAGAACTCGTTAATCCAGTACTTGCAGGCGTCGATAAACTCCTGCTCCACCTCGGGCTCGACAATCACGTAGTCGGGAGCCACACAGGTCTGGCCAGCGTTTACCACCTTACCCCACAGGGCTCGCTTAGCGGCAAGCTTGATGTTCTTGCAGTTCTTGGTGACAAAAACGGGCGACTTACCTCCGAGCTCGAGGATGACGGGTGTCAGGTACTTGTTGGCGGCAGTGGCAATGATCTTACCGACAGTGTGGTTACCAGTGTACATAATCTTGTCGAACTTCTGCTCGAGGGTCTTGGTGACGACGGGGACACCTCCCTGGATGGCCTGGAAGACGTCGGGGTCGAGGGCCTTGGTGCACAAGTCGCCAACAATTTTGGAAGTGTGGGGGGCCATTTCGGAGAACTTGACAGCCACAGTGTTACCGGCAGCCAGAGCTCCAATGAGAGGAGACACGGTCAGCATAAAGGGGTAGTTCCAGGGCGAGATGATGAGCACGTTTCCAAGAGGTCGCTTTCGGATCTTGGGGGAGGAGATGGAGTACTGCAGGTTGGTCTTGACGTCCTCGTCGGCGGCCCACTTCTTGAGGTTGGCAACCACGTTGTTAAACTCGCCCCACAGGAAACCCACCTCGCACAGGTCAGTCTCGTGCTTGGGTCGGCCGAGATCCTTGTACACGGCGTCCTTGATGGCCTCGACATTGTCTCTGAGGACGTAGTGCAAGTTTCGAATCTGGTCCAGTCGGTAGTTGAGATCGAGGGTCTTTCCGGATCGGAAGCCCTTTCGCAGTCGCTGGATGTCGCCAGGAATCTGGTCGAGAGGAGTGGCAGGCACAATGGATTCCCAATCAAAGGTAGACATTTTTATTGGTGGTGTGTTTGAGGAAGGAGGGAGAGCGTTCAAGCTTTATATATCCCATCGTTACATGCTGGCAAGTCTGTCGTCATGCATATGTTAATCTGGGGTTGGAAGGTTATTTGAGAGTGATTGAATGGGCCAATTTTGACGGGGAGTTGAATGTATACAAATTCGGCTGAGAAGATTCTACTGGTAGCAATTTTCGTGTCCAACAATATTATCTAACGCCATTAGAACTGTCCATATTTCCCCGCCGCCGTTTATATCGTCCAACTCTATTACCAAGTCCCACTTTCACATGTTCTTGTCCTGAACCTTGCTGTAGAAGTGTCGAGAACATGACGCGATGTTAGATATATTGGGGGACACTTTTGAGATCAATTCGTTGAAGAAGTAATAATATAGACCTATCAGAGCTGATTTCACTTTTGAATCACCTCAATAAATTCTTCCAGTCCCAACTGAAGGGCTGATGTGGTGTCGGAATATGAAAAGCACTATGCAACAGCATTTTTAGACGAGTCAACAAAGGAGTCGTTAGAGACAACTGTTGGCGCTAAGCTGATGGATACGACAAACAAGGAATATGAGACTGAGACATCAACCGCAACTTAATGACTACAGGAGAGGTGTTTTTGTGTTCATATCACATCGCCGTTCGTGGAGGGGACTATGGTAAACATGTATAAGCCCTCATTTTACCCACCTCGTATACTTGCTTGCCTCTTCCCGCGTTCACGCTCTGGCATTGAGTTTAGTGTGTCGATCCCCCAACGAACTAATATGGGGAAGTGAAGGGTGGCAAACGTCTCGCGTATGTCATGCAGAGAATTTCGGCTTTAGTGGTGAGCACCGATTTGAAGGGGCCAACTTCATCATGTCATCCGATTTATTGGGGTGGGGGGATGACAGAAGCGTCTTTCTTATATCGCTTGCTGTTGTATTGGGTGAGTGGATAACAACTCTCCAAGTAGGAGCGTGTTTCCACAGAAAGTCGCTTGAGAGCGTGTACATGAATGCAACCCAGATCTATGTTAGAACAGAAGATATACAGGTACTGTACCGATATGTGTACATACTGTACGATACTGCAGAAGAGATGTCGATGATTGTAAAATAATTGCTGGACTGTCTATGTTCTGATTCCTTGATTATGACTACATGTTTGTGACCACGCTCAGATCTACAGCATGTACGTGTACGTAGGCGGACTCTGTTATGATAGCTACATCTATGTTAATGGTGCCTGATAAACTTGTTGACGCTATTTGGAAGCCATATCATTCTCTAATAGCCCATCATCAGATAAAAAATCTTCTGGACATTTCACTTCTCATGGAACTTCTTTTTCACCTATCACACTCATTAATACATCTACTACTGTACAGTACAAACCCATTGTAGCTCACATCTATATACCCATGGTTTCAGCACTCTTGAATACACATCCATCCTCCTATATCCTCTTTCATACTCATCTTGATCTCATTATACTATACAATACATACTTGTGGACTGGTGCTTGCGGTCGGGGCAGCACTCCTCCTCTTCATCGTGAATAAATAAGCCCTTGAGCTGTCCTTGCTCTCCGTCTACCTCTTCTTGGCCTGGTCGATAATGGACATCAACAAAGCTGGGTTCTGCAACAGGTCGTTCTGAGCAGGCGCAGCAGGAGCGTTTCGGAGATTGGGATCGTTCAGAAGCGTTTTGAGTGCGTCCAGATCGGGGGGAGGAGCTCCAGTAGGCTTGCGAGGATGGGCAGCGGGAGCGATAGGAGTTCCAGATTGGGCCATGTGATGTGCAGGAGCACCATGCATACCCAATGGGGCGACGGGGACTCCGGGCATACCAGCTGGAGCGATTGGCACCCCAGGTACTCCCATTGGAGCTCCAGGCACTCTTTGAATGCCGACAGGAGCTCCGTATACCCCTCCCTGAAATCCTGCATAAGGGGGGACGACAGGAGCTGGACCCACAGGAGCATTCACTGGTGCAACAAGAGTAGGAGCAGCAGGAGTCACTGGGGTGGCAGTAACCGGAGGTGTACTCTTTCGGGCGTCCGAAGCACGTCTGCTAGCGTTTCCAGCATTGCCAGCATTCTGCTTCACTCGATCTCTCATAGACTGTCGTTTCGGAGGGTGCTTCTCGCTTGAAGCCACATGGGACTCCACACTAACTGCTGCTCCTCGCTTGGGACTCAGCTTTCCAACAATATACAGAGCCACCAGCAGCGGTCTGGACCGTTTCAGACTGCTCAGCTCGACACTAGGTTTCACAAGAGAGCCCAAAGTGTAAGGAGGAGCATCATCGGGAGCCAGCGGGATCAAATACGCGTCTTTGACAAGCGTCGACCGGTTATGAATCACTCCATACTTTGATCGAGAGTGGAAATACTCATACAACTTATAATACGCCTCTCTGTCGGACTCTGATGAATCTGAAGGAAGCAAACAAAAGGCTGCCACGTCTCTAGTCCCGGCTCCAAGTACCTTGCTAAGATAGGGATCGGCCTTTGACTTATCCAAGCGACCCTCGATAGTAAGAGGCTTACTGGCGTAGAAAACGGAGCCCCAGGAAACATTGGGGTTGAAATGGACCGAAGAAGAGCCCAGAGAAAAGGCAGCACAGGATGTCTTGTCGAGTCCAGCCATAGGTACTGTTCCCGTCCACACAAACGGAGCCTCAGAGATAGTAGTCCAGTCATCCGTCTCAGCCTCTCGAGCCTCTCGAGACACATCTCCAAGAATACCATTCACCTTATCTTCGTGATCGGAATTGTGATCGTGATCATGTTCATGATCCGACTCTCCCTGGGCCAGATCAATGTCCCGTTTCCACTTGGGCACTATTGGCGAGTTGGAAGACTCTTTTGGGGAGTTTGAAGTCTTTGAGTCCGCTTCGCCGTTGGCACCTTCGATATCTCTGACGGCTCGTTCAATCTGATTTCTCGACTCGGCAGCCTCTTTCCCGTCTCCATCCCGTTGTCTTTCCATCTTCAGAGCCTGATCCACATTGTCAATGTACTCTTCGTACTCTCCAACAATCTCCTCACCCTTATGAGTGCGTCTGAGCCGGGGAGCTTCGTCCACAACAAGCACTGTGTCTCTGATAGCTTCTGCTCGTACCTCTTCGGCCAGCTTTTGCAATTCAGGATTCATCATCTCCTCAGAAGACATTGCCACAAGAGTTTGGGGTGTCACCTGGCCTGTCATGACCCGAATTCGGAGAGTCTCGTTCTTGGAGTCACGCAGGTTGAACGAGAGAGTCCGGAACTTGTCTCTGTAGTTGGATCCAATCTCAGGCTCCACTGTTCCATAAGCGTCGTACAGCTCCTGTTCGATGGTAAGAGCTAGCGTCTCACAAAACTGCTCGGGAGACACGCCTGCTCCGGGAGAGTATTTGGAGGTTGGAACGGACACAAAGATGCCCTTGAGAGCCGAAGCAGCGCTTTTACGCACCTTTTCGGTGATATCATCGATATGTCCCACCCGTTTGTGTGTTGATTTCGAGACTCTAGCCACAGGTTCTTTCTCAGCTGTCTCGTTGTTAGGAACATATGTGGAATCATATTTCTCATCCTTGTCGTTTGAGTCCTTCTCCTCCTCTCCCTTGCCCTTATCTTCACTCTCTTCTTGGGCTTCGGTGGTTTCCTTCTCTTGTGTCTTCTTCTCAGTGCACTCGTTGCAAACGTAATGATCAGGAACCTGCTCAAGATCATTGGTTTGCAACACGCACTGCGAATGCTGCCATTCCAGACAGTCCTCGCACTCAATCATGATCTTGCCGTCAGAAGGATCGTCCTCTGTAGCTCCACAGGGACATCTGACCACTCCCTCCTCGTCGTTCTTGCTCTTTTTGCGCGCTTTAGATCTGGTTGTCGTCTTAGCTTTGGTTGGTGTCTTTAGCTTGGTCGTCTTGGGGTTCTTGTCGCTTGTCTTGGGGTCCTTCTTGTCACTCTTTACCTTGCCGGGCTCCTCCACAGCCTCCTCATACTTGGAATGTCTGCCTCGGGTAGCTCGAGTGGACCGCCGTCTTGCGGGCTCCGCTCCATCTACCTCCATATTGATTACGTACGAGAAATGAGTGGGTACGGTACTGTGAGTAGTACTTGTACGAGTAGTGGTGTTTCTAGGTGGAGTGTGTCCTGCTGCTTACTGATTAGGAGGGGCAAGTAGGGTAACTTAAAGTCGTGTGCAAGGGGATACGAGGCGGTATATAAGTTGGACTTCTGGTGACAGTGAGTGATATAAATCACGTATAATATAGATGTCATGTACTTGTACTTGTGACTGTGTATTTATTTATTGAATATACCGGTGAGGTTTCCAAAAAAATTAAAAAGTATCATCAAACAAAAAAAATTGCAAATACCATACCCTTCTCAAATAGTGTGCATACTACCAAAAATAACAGGCGGTTAAAAACAACACATTCTACAAGTACACGTACTTGTGTTAGAATAAAAAAACCTGTAAAAATCCCATGAACCCGAATCCGAGTCCAATGTGCTGGTTTGACATTGTGACAGGTCCTAAATAGCTGAAATGTATTTCCCTGGAATATAAAAATATATAAAAAAAGGGCATAAATGGGATGACAGGCTGATATTAACCTTGTTCAGATCATTGCATTGTCACGTGATTGCTCAGACTATCATGCATTAGTTGGAAAGTCTTTCTGAGACCTTTGGGGCTAATTTGACGTGCCAATACGACACAAGGAAATAGCTGCTACAGGTGTATCGTATCGTACCACATGGGTAGCTTCGCACGCATCAAAAAACTCAGATACAGCTCCATGTTCACAAATTCGGTCTCAACTGTCACGTGACTACAAGTCGTGCAGATGTTTATCAAACAAATATCATTTATTCAGGGCTACAGTATGTACATACAATACGATAGTACATACGGGTCGTATCTAGCGAGACTAATGATGTGTTCGGTAGGTACTTTATCGTACTTCCATAGTTACTGTAGATCCAATGAAACAGCTTCGTTACTGTAAGTACGCGTATTGTATCGTACTAAGTACTTGTGCTCTCACCATCACTCACTCTCCTCCTCCACAACCCACAAAGTGCTGCCCTGGCACCACTTTGTATGTTTGTTGAATCCATCGATGCTGAGGAAAACACATCTGCACTCTGCACACATGTATTTCTGTGTTTTGGGCATGGTAGTTAAGTCTTGGTTCTCTGAGGAGGACTCTACATGTATATGTAGGTCTCAAACGAGATCACGAACACTGAACGGGACAAGATGTGCAGAAAATGAGTGCTGCAATACGTGGTCATGAGACTAGCCAATCTGCGAGGAGTGTGTACAGTATCTTACATTCAAAGAGACGTGTCTGAACCACAACATTTCAGTCCGAATATGGGACAATAGAGACACCCAATGTGGTCCGGCTTGTATCATCACTCTCCAGAAGCGCCGAAGTCATTAACCAAGTTGCCGACATTTCAGGTATTGTATTTTACGTACTGTATATTATACATTCTGGGCTTGTCATATAACATTTGCGCATACGATACTGTAGGTCAGGACCGGACACATACAATGGATACAATGGGGCACACAATCCTGCCACACAGGCACATCAGAAGTTGGGGCTGATGAACAAGCCAAAAGCAAATGACGTAATTCATCACCCAGTTCCACGTTCATCCCTTCCAAGCCCCTTACGCCACAAGTTGCTAATCATGCATAATTCGTAATCTATATTGTTTTTTTTTTTTGTTGGTCCTAGACTCCGAGTATGGATCTAGGATCAACGCCCTTTCGCGCCAACTCCCGTTCCAGTCCAACTCCTCCACAAGTCCATGAAAAAAGGTCGTATTCACGTCCATGACATCAATATCCCTTCGAGTCCATGATCAACCATACTTTTTCGCTTTGCTCAGGAATCTTACTTCTCGTTCAACTTCTTTCCCTCAAAAACCATGGGCTTGGCTTGCTGGGGATAAGGCAGAATCTTGACGGCCGTCTTGGAAAAGACATACGACATTCCTGAAAGGAAAGTAGTGGCTCCCACAAAGTAGCCGTAGTAGGTCATGCCAACATCAAATGCAGCCATGTCAGCAAAGGTGCCAATGATCGGCTTGCTCATCACCAGACCAATGTACAGCATCTGGAAGGCCGTGTTGTACTTGGAGATGGTGGTGGGGTTCACCTCGGCACTGGGGATGGAAAAGTCCCAGAACCGGGTGAAGGTCTTGGGAGGAGGCAGCGAAATGTATCTGTAGTAGAAGGCGCTGAGTCCGAGGCCAAAGTCTCGGCCGAGAATCAGGGTTGTCAGGTAGACGGGCATCTCTCCCGCTGCAGCCAGACACACCGTCAGTGTGATCATGAGAAACTTGTCTGCCAGGGGATCAATGACCGATCCCACCACACTCTTCATGTCGAATTTCCGGGCAATGTAGCCGTCCAGCATGTCTGTGACACACGAGTACACAAACAAACCCGTCGCCAGCACCTGCTCGTGTTGGATCACAAAGTAGCCAATCAGAGGAGCAGACAGCAACCGAGTGAAGGTCAGAATGTTGGGCAGGGTGTACAAATTCTCGTGGATTTCCGACGGGAGCAAAGTGGCAGGTCGCTTGAGAGGGTCCAGGTTGAGTTTCTTAAGCACGGGACTCTTAATGTCGCTCTTGAGCACCTCGGTCTGTGTCGGTTTGGACGAGTTCCATCTTGCTACAGGATGTTGAATGCCTGCCCGCAAGGGAGGCCGCAACGTGGCCTGGAGAATCCGGGACCGCGGAAGCCCAATTATGTGAGGTCGAAGAGTCCGGATCATCTGTTGAGAGATGTGGCTGGGGTTCTGTCGTCTATGAGGTTTTTGATTTTTCCTCTGACTTTCTGTGGTGACAAACTCGCTAAACTTTGTGTGGTCCGATGTTGGGGACGAACTTTGGTTGGGCGGAGGGACTCGAAGTCGGCGTTTGCGTGCAACAAAAGAAGCGGAAATACGAAGTGGGTCGTTTTAATAGCCAGCCTCTAGCGAATGTACGATCATTATTTGTTACTGTTCTTCGTTGACCCAATTAGGAAGCCCCGGTTCTGAATCCTTAGTTATGCCGAGGCATAAGACTAATTTACCGTGTCCTAAAGTAGGGCACATGCGACCGTTCAACCAAATCTTCCAGGAAAAGCGAACCTGGCTGCAGAAGGGTAATTTTTGAAGGTCAACGGTGTTGTACAATATATGAAACGATATGCTGAGGAGACCTTTCTATTGCCTTCTCAGTTCCATTAATAGTCGCATGATATTTACTTAACTGTTTTTAACGATTCATGACCGCCTGAAGTAAACCGTACAAGTAAGTCTCAATGTAGCGCCTGTGGCGTACTTGTCCTCGCACTATGAGTACCTACCGGTGCGAGTACGAGTTCAATAATCGTCTCGACAGCGCCCAAGCTGTACAAGATCAAACAGCAACCCAGAAGAGCAAGGAAGACATGACAAGGTGATGCTTGAGCCATGTACGGGGAAGACAAAGCCGTAAAGAGTGGAATACAGATAGAAGTAGTAAATGCTGTCTCTTCAGATTATTTGGGAAAGAGATAATATTATAACTGAATTTACTCGAATTTCTGTGAACAATTCATTTTAATTACACCATTATTCCCACTTTATAGACATGCAACCTTATTTCAACACCAAACGCGTCTTAATTAATGCCTAGTAATACATCACCTCACACGACGCACTCATGACATGAGCCAGAACGAAAATGGGGACAAGGAAACACCATCTGAGACGACAGAGTATCATGTGAACTCGACCAATCTGTTTGACAAGGGGAATACTCCATTCAGACGGAGTTTGGGGACAAACAGCATTACTGGGACAAACAGCAGTCCAACAAGACAGAACGCGAAAAATCCAAACAATTCGACTAAATTATTGAAAATTACGAAAGTGACAAAAATCGATGCGGAGAGTAAAGGAGAAGACGGTACAACCTCACTTAGCGTGAATGTGGGTGCCCATGAAGCAGATCAGACTGCAGGATCATCGTTGAACGTGGAGGAGATATCTAAAGAGATTCCTTCCTTCTCAGCCTCCCTGGCCATGTTTGAGAAGGAGTGGAACTCCATTATCGACAAGTACTCTAACGTAGAGGACCAGGGCGATGTGGTGGACCTGGCAAGTGGCTCCATCGTTAAGAACAATGGACATTTGGAGCTGCTGGAAGATGAGGAGGAGACGATATGGGATTGCATGTTCCCGATACACAAAGAGGGAGAGGGGAAAGGTGACGAGGCAGCTGTTTCAGGACCACCAACTCCGTCGCTATTGCAACAAATGGGAGAGTTTCAGAGCGATTCTGAAGACGAGGTGGAGGAGAAGGAGGAGAACACCACCAAGAAGAGACGAATCAGTTTGTGGGATGTTTAGCGGAGACTTCTCAACCTCTTGAACAATACACGGACATACAATGCTCGTACTATACTCACGAAAATATTACCTACTTTTCCACATAGACTATTTCATTCTAATCATATTTATTGAACCGAATCCACTGGGTGACAACTGAGAACAATAACATCTCTCAACACCCGCTAAATATAACATCGGTAACCCCGGCTTACTGCAAAGGCCACTTCTCGCAGTTGTACTCACAATTGTACGCCCAGTATGGTTAGCCCGGTGCATACGACTATTCCAGGTACATACGAGGGGAGCCGTTTCAGAACAGAAGTACAGCATCTATATTTGGAGGGGTTGAGTGGGTGGGGCATCTGTTGCCACTAGTACAGGTTCTTGTAACTAAAGTGGTGGCATTGAGCTTCCTAGCAATAGCACCCGTCATGTCGAGTGCCGCAACAGTGGCACTGATATACCGCGACATCTGCTATCATGCTATCCACCACACACGAACAAGGACAAGTACACAGTAGAATTGTAAAAATCCAGGAACTCCGTCAGCCTTGTGTTTCATTTTGAGAGGAGGTAGTTAATTATAGGAATACGAATCGGGAGAAAGAGACTTGTAACAGTGGTTATTAGGCGGAAAACGTATTTGGGGGGATGTCTATACAGTACATACGTACCAATGAAGACACCCAGTTCACTTGAAACGCATGTAGCACATTCTTCGACTTCACGGGTAGCAGTAACACTCGTCTACAAGGCGTCTTTAGAAGCCAGCTCCACCACCTCTGAGAGTAGCTACGAAGCAGCTAGAGTACATACGTACAAGCGACTTGTAGGTTACAACGGTCTGTCGGAAAAAACAACATGGATTCCACTGTACGTAGCTGATACTGTACTTGTAGTGTAGCGCTACAAAGTGGTCGGGATTTGAAATATGTTGTTTGTTCACATCCCATGCTACGATACTTGTACTGCAGATACTGTAGATCAGTCACCCTATTCAGCCATACCATACTTGTATGTAGACCAGAATACTACCCCGTATATCGAACGGAAACGACGACCCCCACTCTGGCCTCTCACATCGCAGATCATCCCAATGTCAAAGCAAGTGTATCCTTGTATCGTACATGCTACAGTACCTCCGATCGGTTATTATTGCCAAAGCACGCAAAATACCTACTTGTAGGTCTGGACATGCCGATCGTTCCGGTTTGAGATTCCGAAATCGTTGCTGCTGGCTGCAGAGGGCATATAGATGAAGAGTTCGTGCACACACCCGCCTGTAAAGGGTTTCATTTCGTGTTTGGGTGCATTCACTCGTGGGAAAAGGACGCAAAGGGCACCTACTTAGCCGTTTCTCCCGCTCTGGGCACTTCTCAAATAGTGTCACACCTGTCCCTTTTTGGTAACAGCGCTGTACAGTCAGATAATGACAAGGTTACGTTGGGCCTTGTTTCATTTTTCAGCGCTTGGACGTGTGACTATCGTCTGATAGTGCGATATTATTTGTATCAGCTTTCGCAGCCGCCAGAACAGCAAGAAAGTGGAAAAAAACAGTCGTTCATTTTTTTGCCTCCAATTTTAGACCCTCTAATCTTCATCCCTAAATACCTCATTTAAATGTCACAAGCGTTCATTTTTCGATATGTCCACCCTCTATGTCGATAACCCCTTCGCTCCCAATTAGGTTGCAGCCTATCCCGATCCGGCCAAATAATTATGCGGGTGCCCTGAAAGGGGATGCGGGTTTCTAAGACCCAAAACCAACAAGGGAAAGGAAGAATGTATACTGTAGTGGAGAAAATGGCCACTTGACGTCGTCACAATGACACACCACTAGTGTTCAAATAAAATACTACCCTACACAGCCTTCAAATAGTGCCGCTACAGCCCCTAGTTTCAGGTGGCGGAAGATATCCGCACATTCGCTCGCCAATCGCGCATTTGCGCATGGGTCATTAATCTCACATGAAGGGTTCATCGCTTTTTCTCGTCACGTATGTACTCCTGATTCATTTCCACCATGTGTGACACCATGCTGTCAAGTACAAACCCTATTTACAAGATGTAACAGATGTGCCTGGCTATCAACTCTATTTGTAACGCGTAACGCGAAACAATTGGATTGTTATGCTGTCTACCTGCGTAGGGCTGGCAGGGGTCCAGACCCGACCGTATGGTGGGCAGCCCCAAAACGACGCACAAAACTCAGCAACACGAACGTAACGTCGTTGTGTCCTACACTAAATAGCTTTATGTTTACCGACTCTTGAGTTGCGATTGTGCTAGTTTAACCTACCGTGCAGGTAAGACCTTTGCCACTGAGAGATATATCAGGTGAGCGGTGGGCAGGTGATTTTTGACTTCATAAATCTTCGTTAATCGAATAAATTCAGAAAAAATCAGGGGAAATCAGGAACCCTTAGAAACTACATCATCCTGGGAGTCTGTGACAGTGGTTTGAATTTGACTGTTTCATAGCCAGCCTCCCTCTACAGACTGGTCAGCGATCATCGAACAAAGGGGAATTTCGAATTCAGAAAGATAAATAACAGCGTAAGCAGTTGCCCGTTGAACAGGCAATAAATAGATCCCGGCGCGCCAGCGCTACCAGGCCTTCTTGTAGTAATCCTCCCACATCTTCACGTGGACTTCAATCACGTTTCGATCCAGATCCGGGTACATGTTGTACAGATGGTCTACCATCTGGTCGATGGACCGGCACAGATGGTGCGTTCTGACGTGCACCTGGGCGACCTTGTCGTGTTGGTCAGACCACTTGACTGCCATGTTTTTTCGAGTAAAAAGATGTTCTTGAAAGTGTGTGGTGATTACCAAGAGGTTGATGCAAAATGCAAGTGGCGAGAAATGCGGTGGACGGTGTTGCTGGCACAAAGGAGTGGGTACCAGGTAACAGAGAGGGGCAGGTGATGGTGGTTGTTGCGTGTGCGTGGTGGTTGGAGGGTGTGAGAGAACTGGGCGTTACACAAATGGGTCACAGACTGAGTATATATATACTGACGTTTGTCATGTGGGGCTTAACCTCAGGGGGAGAAGTTTATTCGGGTTCTCAAAAAATATTGGCGTGCAGAAGGCGCTTTGTTTGTGAGTGGACCGGACCTACAGACACACAAGCAGGCACAGATGTGGGCTGAAACGTGAGATAGAAAGAAAAAAGTGTGCTCTAACCTGCAACGAGAAAAAAATAGCCAGTCGAAATATCTGCTCCTGTTTCAGTTTCAGAGGATGGGGTTGCGTGGTTGGCTGTGGGATTGGTGTGCAGCTGCTGGACCAGTGTTTCTTTCCGATCACTACTACAAATACAGTAGCTCTGTCTGCCGTTTCTTGATACTGTGCTCAGACCACCGGAGCTGTCTGTTCCGTTTTTCAATTCTGCTCGTCCTCTCAATTTTTTTTCTCTTTTCTCTTCCGCCACGCTTCACTTGTTCCATGCATGTGTGCCTGTCTGTCAGTGTTTTGGCTTTTAAGCTCGCCTGCAAGGTTGACTTTGGAATCCGTCTGCACCTGGGACTCTCAGACTTTAGGGGGTCGATTTGTGTCAGATTGTGGAGGAGCTAAACCACAAAGACCGGCGGTGAAATAATAACCGGCTGTAAAGGCCCCAAAATAATAAAGGGATGTTACGTGACGCGTGTCCCGACGATGAAGATGAAACCTCCTACAAGTAGTAGTCATAGTGATAAGGGTCAGATCAACTACACAAGTGGACTGTCACTTTATGCACTACTGTAGGATACACAGGACCAGTCGAAAGCTCTTGGGATCCATTGGCCCCATTGTATACCGCACGCGAATTCCAGATGTGTGACATTCAGATGTCGTATCGTAGATGTTGTAGCTACAGTACTCGAACTGTGCAATTGGACAGTATGGAACAATTGTTAGAATATATTAAATAATGTTGCGTTTTGTGTGTGTTTGTAGATGTTTTGTAGTTGGGTGTGGATCACATCACACCCTTCCAATACTTGACTCTCTTGAGCACGAAGGAAAACTCGTGGCCGGGCAGATGGGGCATCAGAGTCACCGCAGAGGTTTCGCACGTCTCCCCAATGTTGAGCTCCACGTAGTTTGCCACAATCTGATCTTGTTCGTATCCCCAGGCCATGTTGCTTGACGACTTGTGTGTACCGACAGTGTAGTTGACGACTTGTCTGTGAGGCTTGGGTGGGTGTGGTTGAAGGGTTGTCTTTGATCGCCCGACTTGTGTCTGATGGTGGATCAGTTACATCCCGACCTATATAAATACACACATACCGCTTGTGGCTGGCCAATGCTGATACAGCCCTGGTTTGGGTTTTACCACACTCCTAACAACCACCCCCCCCCAGTTTGAATAATATAATATCGCTTTTTAGCATTTTGAAGCCAGTGGAATCCTGTTCGAATTCTGAGCGCCCCGGAAATGGAATAGACCGGGTAAGTACGTCTTCCAGGGACTTCTCCTCAAAAGAAGCGTTTTCAAACGCCCGGAAACGGAAATCTAACTGAGGATCTCACTACAAGTAGATGCGTTTTATCCGCTCGTAGTCCGCCTAAGGGCTCCGTTAGCTTGAAAATACATCTCCGTCGATCAGACCAAAAAAAAACAGGGCCACAGTATTTTGACTTTGCACATTCGTGTTTCTGAGTGATAGACAGTCAACCAACTTAGGGGTTGGCTGTTTTACTTCTCAGGGGTAAGGTGATTGACATTGTGACTGATTGATTGTGATTGTGGTTGTGATTGTGAAATAATTGTACAGCACGTACTTGTGTCAGCCGCTCCCACTCATATGTACAAGTGTACCCAGGTATCGATATGTAAGGGAACTCCTTCCATTATTCTCACTAACAAATAATGGAAGGAACATGCATGGTAGGAGTCGAGGTTAGCGTACGCACGGAAAATACTGTGCCATCTCCGGGTCTCCAACCAAAACCACCACCAAAACAGGGCCCTATCGTTGGATAGTGGTGTAATCCTGAGACTACAATGTAGGGTGAAGTTTACCCGGTCGCAGGAATGCGGAGTAAAGTGATTTTACTGGCCACACAGACCAGCTAGAAAAATATAGAAAAAATAAATGTGCCGATAATGATCTCACAAACTCATTAAACCCTTTTTTATCTCATAAACTGTAGAATTTCTGATTCTGAGGGTCTCTCCATCCTCTCGCACTGTATGCATCTTGACCCAAGGTGTGCTGATAATATAAACACTTATTATTCGGCTAGTTTTGGGGCCAGTTTAAACAGGGAAACTCTCAATATGTTGACCATCCTCCAATAGAGACAGCGCTAAAATATATGATGTCCCAGATCATTCCAACCCCCTTAAACAGCTACATTTTCACCCTATACCCAGATACAAAACAGGTCAAATAAAGTTGCTGCACGATTGAAAAAAATTACTGTCCGCCACCAGAATAGAGTTTCGAGATAACCTATATAAGCATGGGCACACCCACACCCAGTTCTTTTCTGTAAGTGACGTATTCCATAGGATCATTTCTATAGGACATGTCTCTCATGACTTCTTAAAAGAAGCCACTTATTCAAACTTGGTTGATGAGATAGAACCTGCAAACCCCAGAGTGAGAACACATTTGTTTGATTGTTTGTCCTTGTGACTCAGTCATCTTATTATTCCCGGCGCGCAAGCGTTCAAGGAGCGATGATCTTGTCCCTTTGTTTGAGCCTCTCTGGAGGAGTGACTTCGGGTGGGTTTGTATGGCAGTCTGACAAGTTTCCAGAGGCTTCTCTTGGTTATTAGATAGATGAATCGTGACTATTTGTACGTGTATGCAACATTGGATCGTAGAGTGAATGAACAGTGTGAACATGTACCATAAGATACTTCTACTACTGTACTCTCGTGCATGGGAGAGTAGGAGCTGGAGCGATAGCAAAGAGATCAATTGGAGATTGGAGTCTTCTAAGTGATGTATGTCCTCTCTCTGGAGCCACATATACTATTCTTGTACTACAGTACATTCCAGCACTCGTACAACAGTGATCTACCTTGTAGCTCTCGTATCTCCAAAGTGTGTTCTAACATCAGACTGAAGCAAACTATGGGTTGGAGAATGAACTGGGGATGTAAGGGCAAAAAAAGGGAAAGCCTCAGCTTGACGCTTGGTAAAAGAATTGCAGCACCCAGGATTCTCGTATGGTCTCCCACTACAATACTAACTGGGCTCTCTGGTGCTTGACTATGGCTGATCGGACGGGAAGCCGTATTTTCACCAGGATATGGCCGCAACTGGTTTTGTAACGATTCAGAAGCTAGTCATAAGGTGTTATGATTAGTCATGTGCCTTGGCACGTGACTGGACGATGATGACGTCCTCCGGACGTCATGAGTGTGTCATTATGGATGAATACTTGGTATCGCGTGGCTAGGTCACGTGGATAGTGACGTGCTTTACAGAGTTAGGGTTGAGATGCCTGTATATATAGCCACCACTCACAAGTATGTAAGTTAAGTTATGTTTATACGACTTCCGGAGCTCGTACTATTGGTGTACTGTTCTGTAGAGTAGGACGAGCGGTTCCCGCTCGTACCTAGGGATATCTTGAGGATTGACCCATCACCGATCCGTTACAGGTTTCAAGGATGGTCAAAGTGGATTGGACACGCTGATTAAGTCACGTGAGTCCAAAAAAAAGTCCATAAAAAAAGTCCCGATGAAAATTCCCTACAATTAGGGTGAAATTTGAAATGTTCTACTTCAATGCCTTTTATGAGTTCCGGCGTGGTTGTGTATACATCTCGACATCCTAAATACAGTAACATCATCATAGAGAAATACTAAACTGTGCGGTAACAGCTCGGATCGTGGCTTCTAATTAACCACTTGTAAATTTTCTACATCACACATCTACCAGTAGTATACAATCAATTTGCGCTATTGCAACTAATAAATAATGTTCGTTGTTCCTACTCGTACAAGCACGACTACTTCTTGTAGCCTCTCTTGGCCTCATCAGACAGCCGCATACTCTCCTTGATGTTGAAACCTCCCGTCAGCAGCTGTTGAATCTGCTCCAGATCCATGCCGGAAGTCTCGGGATACAGGAAGAAGACAAACACTTCTCCGAGAGCACAGAGACCGGCGTAGAAGGAAAATGTTCCAGTGGGGGTGATATTTTCCAACATGGTCAGGAAAGTGGAGGACACAATGAGCGATCCTGCCCAGTTGGTGGCAGTGGCCATGCCAGTTCCAACACCTCGGACGGAGATGGGGAACAGCTCCGACTGCTGCCATGGCACATTACCGATACCAGTGGCGTAGAAGGCGACGTAGACGAGCTGAGCAACGAGGACCACGTATGCCCATCCGGAAATGTGTTCCTTATCGAGCTCATGGTTGGGGTTCTTTTCCTTCTGCTTGTCAAGGAAGTGGAAAGCAATGGCGTTGACAACGAGTCCCAGAGACATGCCCCAGATGGTTCCCAGGAGAATTCGGCGTCGTCCAATACGGTCAATGACCATAAAGGCGACAATGGTGAAGACAAAGTTCGTTCCAGCAACGATGATGGAGACGGCTGTGGCGTTATCAAAGCCCACCACCTCAAAAATGGTAGCAGAAAAGTACATGAGCGAGTTGAAACCACAAAACTGCTGGATTCCCTGCAGTCCACAAGCAATTATGAGGGCTCGCAAGTTGCTGGGTACGCAATAAAGTTCCTTCATAGTGTTTCGAGCTCGCGCCATAGTGGACAGGCCGGACTCCTTGTATGCGTTGTGGAGCATGAGTTCGTGGAGCTTTCGGTCGAGAAGGTTGTCGTCATCGGTGGCATATGTCTTGGCCAGCACCTTCTTGGCCTCAGCAATCTTATTCTTTCGAACAAGATATCGAGGAGTCTCGGGCATGAACACAAAGATGACCATTTGCACAAAGGCAGGCACCATAGACAGACCAACTAGAATTCTCCATCCTTGGTGCACGTGGGCCATGCCAGCACCAATTCCGTAGGCCACAAGCTGTCCTCCGGTGATAGCCAGGACGTTGAGAACGACAAGACGACCTCGGATTCGAGTGGGGGCCAGCTCGGAAATGTACAGAGGAGCACATAGAGATGCAATACCCACGCCCCATCCCATGACGAATCGGCCTCCGATCATGGTCCACACGGCGTGAGCTCCACACTGAATGGCAGCTCCAACCAGAAACAGAATATTGGCAAAGGTGATAACCCACTTTCGGCCAAAGAAGTCGCACATGGCTCCGGCAATAACTCCTCCAAGGAGAGCTCCCAGGGACGTGGAAGCAGTAATCAGCTCCTTATCTCCGTTGGAAAGGGCACGTCCAAGATCCTCCTTGATGACCACCAGAGCTCCAGAAACATAGCCCGTGTCGTATCCAAACAGGAATCCGGAAATGGAGGCCAGGGCAACCAGCACAAACACAAACGGCGAGATTTTCTCGGCTTCTAGGTTGCCTTCCGAAATGGAACCAGTGGTCTCGTCCTGAGTACTAGTACTGGTCAGGCCTCTCATGATATGGGTCCCTTCATCGGCACTGCTTCCAGACGACGACTCAGAGGTCGTGATCTGGCGGTTTTTGTCCAGCGACATTAGTTCGATCGAAGTCAATGTTGTTGGTTGGTGTCAATGAGACGTGTAAGGTGTATACTCGAAGTACAATTTACAAGTATCTGTGTACAAAGCTAACTAAGCACCGACGCTAACCGAAAAGTCAATGTTGCACTAGAGATTTACTTGGTGTATGACGATGTAGGTGGGGGTCACCTGACTCAAAATGAAGCTGGTCACGTGATGAACCATGTGGAGTTGTCTTTCCCCCCCTAATCGTGAGTAATATCCTTGCCAAAGCGCTCTACGCAAAACAATTCTAGTTTGCTATCCACACGGCATTTTGGATTTTACAGTTAACCCGCTGTAAACGAGAAAAAAAAATTAATTAAGGTCAAGATTTCGACACCAGAAAAGGTACTCAGGGGACGACGCCACCCTGGGACATGTCCAACAGGGTTTGCTTCAATTCCTGAAGGAAGCCCAGATGTGTTTCTACGATGGACAACCGCCAGCACTTCACGATGAGCGAGAGTAGAGACAGTAGCAAGCGCAAAAGGCGGCCGAGGCCACCGAGAGAACAGCGTAGCAGGGCGCGTAGTCACCACAGGGGACGCAGAACCAAACCAATGACGAAGAAGAACCACAAGGAGACGTTTTCAAAGGCAATGCAAATGAAGAGGGCAATGGAAGGATTGAGATTAGAGAACTGGAGACTGGAGTGGCGTTTTCCCGATGAACGAACAAACACGCGAAGCTATGTGGACCAACATACAACACGGACTGAACCAGGTTTTTTTATGATTTTGTTACTGGAAATAGGTACGTGCCAAGTTGGACCATGAAACTAAACGTGTTTAATTAGTAATATTCGTGTAAGCGTACATTCATTTCAAAGGTTATTCTTTCACGGCAAAGTTATAATTAAATGAATGTATATGCAGAAAAAAAAAAAAGTTTTTGTGACCCCCAAATTATCCGCCCTCCTCAAAGGAAGAGTGCACAAACCCTACTTTATGGGAGTCTCGATAGCGGGAGGAATGATGTTAAGAGGAATGGGAACATCAATTATTTTCTGGTTTTTTTTAACAATTTTATACGATTTGTTGGAGTTTTTTTTTGTCTCCTTGTTTAGCTCACGATTTATCCTCCGTAGCCGTTCCGTCCCGTTCCACCCGCCGCTTATTACTTGGGACGCCGTAGCTCCTCCAATACAGTACGATCCGTACATACAGGCCGCAGCTGCTGGACTGAATGCTGCTCGCGTGCATTGTGATGACTTGTTTTATGTTGATTGGATGTCAGAGGGAGATCCGCGTTAACATTGATCCGTTTGTCCGAGTAGGCTCACAGTAGTGACAACTGTAGAGACGACTGTCTCGGAACTATAATCTGCTTGACCATCTTAGAATAAACCACCACCATACCCTGTCAAACAAGTCTCAGGGCTGCATTCCTGTCTCAGCCCCGTCATGCCAAGAGGCAACGCGAGTGGAGTGAGAGTCACGCTATCTATGATGCAGTATCTGCCTGGAGGTGGATCGCGTTTGCTTGTATTTGCACTTGGTAGGTTGTGCGGTTTGATGGAAGCAGACCACGTTGTCTTACAGTAAATGGTTTCAGCTCTAAACACGTCTGAGTCGATCCTCCTAAAAGTGCGGTGGCTGGCCATCCTTGACTCTGAAGATAGATATACACAACCTTTCACAGATGATGAATTCCTACGCAAATGCCTCTGTTCTGTCACTACAGTAGCTTCTTGGATCCGTGAAAGGAATTTACCAATGGATCATCTTGGACTACGGCATGTACTCATACAGTAACTCACACTGGTACATCAAGAAATCAAGAACCCATCAAATTCTTACAATTGTAGTACTTGCAACTCCTGCAACTATGTACCCGTATCTCGACTAAAATGTCCTATACACTATATACTGATATTACAAATCATACAACCGCTTGGCAGCCCCTTCGGCAGTAATGTCTCGCTGCGGCATTCCCAGCATCTCGAATCCGACCTGGAACTTCTTGACGGAGGCAGATCGCAGAAGAGGAGGGTAGAACAGGAGCCGAAGATGCTCGTAGGGACAGTTCTCAACGTCCACAAATGATTGATGAATACCCATTGAGTAGGGGAAAGAGGTGTTGAAGAGCTTGTCGTACTTTTTTGTGATCACCGAGATGGCGTCGGCAAGATGCTGGACTTGTTCCTTGGTCAGCTTTTTGATGGAAGAAACCCGTTCCTTGGACACAATCATGGTCTCAAAAGGCCAGACGGCCCAGTAAGGAACCACCACGAGAAACGAGGCATTCTGGTAGACGATTCGTTCGTTTTTGGACATTTCCAAGTTGACGTAATCGACCAGAAGATCACGGTTCTTTTCGTCCTTGTATTTCTTCAATGAATCAAACTCCATCTGGGGCTCTTCAGGAACAATACTGGTGTTCCAGACCTGGCCATGGGCATGAGGGTTGGAGCAGCCCATGGTAGCTCCCTTGTTTTCAAAAATCAGCGAGTACTTGATTCCTCGACTCTGAGCCTCTGTGTACATTTTCTGCCAGGTCTCAATCACCTTTTCGATCTGCTCAACAGTCATTGTAGCAAGAGTCACATTGTGTTTGGGCGAAAAGCAAATAACCTGACAGTATCCGAACACATCTTCTTTTCGCAGAAGGTCCAGGTCGAGAGCAGTAGACTCTGTGTGCTCCTTTTGGGCCTCCTCAACGACCTTCTCCACTTCCGCAGTTTTCTCAAAAACAGCACTGAAGTCGTTCTCAAACACGAAAGTGTCCTTGTAGTCCGGGTTCATCTCCCCGTTGATTCGAGCATTTCGAGGACACAGATAGCACTTGTCGTCGTACTCGGGCTTCGTGTCCTTGGTGGGCTCTTCTTGCTGTCCCTGCCAAGGTCGCTTAGCTCGATGAGGTGACACCAGCACCCATGATTGTCGCAGCGGGTTGTATCGTCTGTGAGGAATGTCGGATGCCACAAGAGTCATATCGTGAGTTTTGTAGCGGATCGTAAACACGTGGATCAACACTTGGGGGAGAGAGATGCAAAAGATGGGCTAAAGCAGATCGGGAAAAAGCTGGGGTTTATCCGGAGCGGAGGTATAATCGGCTTTGAGTTCTGTATTAAACTTCAATAAGATGGGGTGAAGGTAGGGGACTAGAGTTGCAATATTGAGGGTGACAGGGGGTTTTTATGGGTGTTTTTGTGAGTTGAGGATGTTTAAAGTCTATATATTTGTTGATTTCCAATTTCCAATTTCTTTTTTGGACTAGTTTTGGGCTACTCTCGGCCTACTTACGGCGCGATGGTGTTTCAACATCATTTTTAATTTAATAGTCCACTGGGGGAGCTTCGCATTACAGTAAATATTAGTCATCTACAGTACCATTAGAAACGGCTGTTTATAGCTAATATATCAGTTTCTTTCATTGTGTGACTATTCTTCATCTTCTTCAATACCTGCTCTTTTGTGTATCGTATAGCTACAGTATTTTTTGTACTGTAAGAGGAGTGGCTCAACTGCTCGTCCACCCTGATTTTCTGCTCTGCTTGACATCCAAAGAGAATGTTGAGGCGAATAACGCTTAACGCTTCTTAACGCTTCTTTGCGTTTCTAAAAAAACATGTTACTGTAGTACAGCATGCTTCATATGATCACATGACTAGCAAATAATAAATTCATTATCTTTCAGTGCTGATTAATCTAAATATCCCCCTTTTTACTACGGTTCATCTCGCGTAAGCAATTTACAGTAGATTGGTGGTTTATTGTTAGGGGACTGTACAAGTATTCCAAGTAGGAGTACAAGTACATACAAATACGAGAACAATTTCTACAGTACTTGCTGGATAAAAGTGAGAAGTAAGATGGTTTTAATGTGGCAGTGTTGTGCATTTTATTACTTGGTTGAAGATGCTAAGTCATTTTACATACCACAATAGCTCCGGACAAGTTGGTCGTACTACCCCTACAACACGACGCACAATCTTCTTACAGGACCATGCATAAAAGTTATCCAGTTACTCATCACACGATCTCTTTACCTTACAAACTTGTGCAACATGGCCAAAAGAACTGCTAAACCAACAGCGAAATCAGCAAAAATCACAGCCTTTCCTTGGCCCAAGTCTCTGCTCGACAATGACCCCTCCAAGTCGTACAAGGTCCACACTGAGACGATACTCAAGGACCAGATTTACGTGATCCATGGGTTTCTACCCGCCAAAGTCTGCAATGATCTGGTTCAAACCATTGTTAAGACGGACGCCGACGACACACACACTTTTAAGATGGAGACGACACCGCTGACGAAACGAAAAGATTATGCTGCTCGGGTCAACGATCGAGGGGCAGTGGAAGATACAGGGATCTGCAACTACCTCTGGCACCAGCTGGAGCCCATTATCGAGTCTGATCCGGAGCTGTCAGAGTTCAAATCGGCCTTTGGACTCAACCCCAACATTCGAATGTACAGATACACCCCTGGGCAGTTCTTTGATCAGCATTACGACGAGGCGGTAAGATGCAAGGTGGGATCGACTGTCTGTACTACACGATGGACGTTGCTACTGTACTTGTCAGAATGCCAGGGAGGTCAGACTATGTTCTACGAGGATGGAGGGAAGTCGTACGAGGTCCAGCCCACTAATGGCAGTGTACTGCTGCATAAGCATGGAGAGGACTGCCTGTTGCATGAAGGACGAGAGGTGACGGCGGGTGAGAAGTGGATTCTCAGATCGGACATTGCTTGGAAGAATTAGCGAGCAATATCGAAGCAATTTGACTGACGATGGTGAGCCATGGCAAAAGAGACTCTGACAGATAGTAATCAGGATAACTGAGACTACAGAGACACAGGGCTTGGAGTGTTCTGGCGGCAGTGGAAGTGCCTGTGGTAGAGTCAGAAAATCTACGACCACTCCGGCACTTATATAGCATCTTGAGCACAAGCTGGGGGGTACAGTCCTTAGATGATAAGTGATACACTCCGGATCACCTCCTCCCCTATAGGACTGATAGACGACGTATTGTATGGACGTGGGAAAAGTTACGGTCTTCACTTGTTGAAGTATGTAGTGCACGACAGCAGTGAACACAGGACTGACAGGACTGCCTCTTGGTTTCTTTACTAAAGTGGATTTCATACTTAACCTTTTGTCAAGTATAATAGTCAACGTTGTTAGCTTCGTGGACATGAGCCGAATGAATAACTACTGCGGTCAGCAGTTTCGGTTCTTCCCCTTTGCCATTCTTGTAAGTATGTACCACATCTTCTCATTATCTCAAAACTTCCATGTCACAGTACATACTGTACTCTTTAACAAGTACAGTACAGAAGCTAAAATACCCTTTTAGATTACTCAGAGCAATGCCATAAATATCCTTCCAATAGCGGCTATGGTCCACGATTACTCGATTTGAAAAAATGAATCTGCTAAACAGCTCAGCACATCCAAGGTGTGCTCTTCATATTTCTCTCACCTGGTCACATGATCGCCCCACCGCCTTACTCTCGTCCATACAGTCTATCTTGCTCCCAACTCTATTGCTCCAAAACGGGGGTGCGCATGTCATCATGCATGAAGAGTACTTCTTCCTGCCGCTGAGATAATGGTGTCATATAACCACCTACTCATTTGCCACACACCACACAAAACACAGACCCACCTCACGCACAATGTCACACAACCAGCAGGCCGCACAGCCATCGTCGTCACGCACACAGGTGATTGAACGGGAGGCGTCTCCAGGTGTTCTGACCGTACGAGGAGCCGCCGAAGACGAAGACTCCAACGTTCGATTTACAGAGGAAGTCGTGGACAACGAACACATGGACAAGAAGAAGTCGAAAATCTGTTGCATCTACCACCCGCCGGCCGAGTTTGGCGAGTCGTCCGAGGAAGAATCGTGTGGCTCTGACGATTCTGGACCCGAATCCGATGAGGGAGATATTCCTAATGCCCGAAAACCCAAGAAGAAGAACAAGGGCAAGTGCGGAGGACACAGAGACCCTTCTCCCAATGCGTACGAGCGAAAGCCACGACCCAAGAAGAACTAATCGTTACAACAATATGCATTTTTACACCAACAAACACGATAACCGCGCTACTTTTGTACAGACATATGTACCTACAACACTGTAAGATAGGAATTGTTTTTTTGATGATTTAAGAAAGAAGGAACCAAGTAATTGTGGTAGCTCTGTATCTTTTAAGTAGACTGTACGTTCTACTCATACTGCTCTGTACATTTCTTGTACTGTACTGTAGAGATCTCTTGGGTACAGTACAAGCTTACTAACACAAGTCGGGATGTGAAATAAGGTTTTTGATCTCTCCATGCCTTTACCTGGAAATCAAACTAGACCAACAACATCATCGCAGAATGTCGAGACTGACCAACACAGAGGTGAGTACGATTTTAGAGGACGATTAAGGGATTGCTCTTGATTGCTCTTGAACCAGGAGGGCTTTGGGCTGATCCAATCGGCTAGAACTTGTGACACAAACCCATGAATGAAACGATCAGAGGCCATCAATATCTCACTACCCACAGCTAACACAGTTCATCTCGTCGCTCAAGGACGCTTTCGACGGCATTTCCAAGAAGGAGAAGAAGCACTCCCTTTATTTCACACAAAAAAGACTCAGTCCCGCCAACGTGGAGCCCGAAGAGCCTTCAAAGGAGTACCCTCTACTGATCCGAGTGGCTTACACCACTGGAGGAAAGAAGACCAAGCTGACCACCGAGGTGGACCCTTCTAATCTCGACGAGTTCTGGAAACAGTACACGGACGTAATGAAAGCCGGCATGGCTCTCAAGAAGAAGGACAAGAAGCGAAAGCGAAAGTAGTCGTGAGACAGAACGATTGCGGAAGAGACGGAAAAATGAATGTATTTAATGGTATTTTTGGATGACACACAACATGGGATGGTGAGAGATCGATTGGTGTGCCTGTGGTACAGGTGTTTCTATTGTTGTACCAAGTCTTGCAGAGGATGCGTGTAGTATGTTGCCTCTTTGGTAGATGTATGATGAACGTCACCCCAGAGTTACAATAGTTCCAGTCGTGAGAGGTTCCAAAGGGTTATCTTAAGACTGTATCGTACCGTAGTGTTATGTTTTCCTAGTACACTCGGGTTACTGGTTGGACCTTCGATTAGACACGAGAGAATTGTATCGTAGCACATTTGACCTCAGGATAAGACACTTGTATCACTAAATGGCGTTCTACGAAACTTTTCGATGAAGTTCATGTGCTAGAAAAGTGTGTCGTGTTTCTTAGAAACACCTGTCCTTTCTTCACAGTGATAGCATGTACTGTAATTCGCATTGTACGGTTTGCGGTTTAATACTGGTACGCTCGTACTCATACATACATCGCTACTGACCAGATCCTACTTGGCGATCAGGCGTAATTGTTGCTGTTGGTACAAGTATTCGAGGACGTAGCTCGTCGGATGCTCCGAAGATGACTTTTCCTATGACATACTGTTTTTGTAACCACCTCCACTGTGTACTCTATCAAGATAAATCTCCACTGTACGAATTTAAGGGACAATCAGCTCGCTATAATTTCCTGTTTTTTTCTGCATATTTTTGTTGAAAGCTCTGAGAAAATCCAGTCGTTTATACTTACAGTACTGAGACTAACAATGACTGAGCAACGGAATAACGCGTTGTGCTGTGACCGAGAGTCTGATCTTTTGCCTGCTTCCTTATTGTGATATTCAAGCCCACCTTATCAGCAGCCACTGTCATACGGATTACATTCACGCCTAATATTTAGACCCCTTTGCACAGATTGAACCACTGATAAATACTGTAACTTCTGGCTTCTAACAAGTCACTCAAGCCACTCAATCTTCATGTTCCGACATTTACCGGGCATTCTAAGTCTTAGTCATGATTGTGTAGTATGTATTGCGCGTTCGGATGATTCTATAACCAGTTTGAATATTTTTCCCAATACACCTGATTATTTCCCCATGACTTCTCCCTTATTTGTAATTTCACCGATTTCATTCAAATATTTCCAGCTTTCCGATTAAATCCACCTGCTTGTGGTCAACCCACACATGGAAGTTCTCCCAACCACTCCCACACACGATAAGATGTATATGCCCCCAGCCATGGTGGACATGCACAGGAAGAATGCAGTCAAGTTGAACCATGCCCACCCTTGATACAGGATATTGTAAGATATTCAGAGGGGAGAAAATTATATCGAGATGTTGAGAAACACCTCATAAATCCATCAAATTATTTATCTCATCTCTACCACCTCGCAGGCCAACCCCACCCTTCTTCTTGTGCACCTGCCCCATCGGAATCCGTCTTAACTTAGCTTGCTTGGCATGTACCTGAAGTTAAAAGTGTTATCGTGAGTGGACAATTTCATAGAATTCATTCTCTCTACTACACTGCCAGTAACAGAGTCAGGAGTACACAGATTCCTAGCGTGTGCTATTCGACCCTAACAGAGCACATTTCCTCAACTTCACGAGCCTTGCATCTCACTAGACCGCTACGACCGCTTTTAAAACACCACAAAACTACCAAATCAATATCACCCCCACCAGGACAGAGATCCTCTCTACCAGTACAAACACTTCCCGTACGTACTCGCCGTCCACAACCATACCTAACTCAACCAGCCCGGCAACGCTAGAGTTGCAACCCACCGAAAGGCACCCTTCTCCCGAGAAATCGTCCCGGTTATACTGCCTCAGCATGGACTCCAGAAAACTGGCGCTTCTGTGCTCGTTCCTGGTGGCCTCAGGCTGCGGAACCATGTATGTGTACTCGGCCTATGCTCCTCAATTGGCCACTCGATTACACTTCAACGCGTCAGAGTCGCAGATCATCGGTCTTTGCGGCACCGTCGGAGTATCGCTTCTGGGTATCGCAGCAGGAATCATTATTGACAAATACGGAACCACCACTCCGATTGTGTTGGGTGGCGTGTTTCTGATGCTCGGATATTCTCTCATTACTTTGTGCTACATCAAGTCCATTGAAAGTGTGCTTCTATGTGCCCTGGCACTCATGGCCGCAGGTTTCGGCTCAGGAATGTCCTTTGTGGCCAGTATCAAGGTGTGTGCGTTGAACTATCCCGAAAACAGAGGAACCGCAAGTTCGATCCCGCTAGCGGCTTTTGGACTCTCAGCCTTCTTGTTCTCCACTATAGCAGGTATCTTCTTCCCTGGTAACACTCAGGGCTTCTTGATACTACTGACAGTACTCACCTCGTCGCTCTCACTGGTTCTGGTGCCCTTTGTGCGAGTCATTCCGGCTGTTTCACACGCGGAAGATGAAGCTCTGCTTGACGACGGATGCTCATCTTCCTCCTGTGAAAGTGTAGACATCTATGGAGTCTCATTGTTCAAAAGCATCGACTTCTGGAAACATTTTCTCATCATCGGATGTATCGCTGGGTGTGGCCAGATGTACATCTACGGCTGTGGATACGTCATTCGAGCCCTTGTGGGTCCCGACGTCGAAACTTCAGGGGTCCAGTCGTTCCATGTCGCTATGATTTCTTTGCTAAGTTTCTGTGGACGCCTTCTCTCAGGATCTATTTCCGATGTGCTTACCCGCTACCAATACTCTCGTCTGTGGATGATCTTCATCTCTCTGGCTCTTGGTCTAGTAGGAAGCTTTCTGGCTACTGTTGTCACTGAAATCTCTTTTCTGTGGATGGTGTCGTTGTCCTTTGGTCTTTCCTACGGCTTCTGTTACGGAGTCTACCCTACTATCATTGCCGAGATGTTTGGAATGACGTACTTTTCGCAAAACTGGGGTTATTCCGGTTCTTCGGCGGTGTTTTCGGCGTACTTTTTTACCACCACCTTTGGAAAGGTGTTTGACTCGCATTCCAAGGGCGACGTTTGCTATGAGGGCGTCAACTGTTATAAGTCGGCTTTCAATATGGCCTTCTACGTCTTTGCTGTGTTTGTCGTCATGATCTTGTACATGATCCACAACAACTACCAGAAGTTCAAACAGTGAAGAGGAGCTATTATAAGAATAGTATAGATATATATAGAATAGATGTGATGACATATATTATAAGGTGAAGATGACACTTTCATCATAGGTTTTGTTCTAGACGGCCATTTTTGTCAGCAAAGACATGAGACTAGACATGGCCGTTTCTGGGTCGCTTGGAAACGAGTCGTAATCGTCGTTTCTTCTTCGCCCATCGTCATCCATCTCCAACCTCGCCTGGAGACGCATGCGAGCCTCTTTACGAATGGTACGCATGTCCAGATTGCTACTGGGCCATCTGATGACGACATCGAGGATGTGGCTGGTGAGCGCCTGGACCTGCTGGGCCTTGAGAAGCTGGGTTTGTAGCGTCTCCATTTTGTCTTCAAATGCGGAAAGCTGCTCGCACGTGAGATGGCCGTTGGATTCGCGTGTCGTGTGTGTGAGTTCTTGTCCCAAGGCGTCGACTCTGATCCGGGTCAGTCGAATTGTGTCAACAGCGTGTTCTCTCATGAGCACTAGATTGACCACCACTTCGTGGAGTGACGTCCTGTTGGAAGGGGTGTCTGTTTCAGACGGTATCGCAGGAACATTGGACTTCATCACGGGGATATCACAGCAACTTGTATGGCGTTTGGAATGTTGGTGCAATCGGAGGACTGGTATCGAATAATTGTGTGCCAATGGTATCGAATAGTATGGATCAGGTAATTCAGATGATGTGTGCATCAACAATAAAAAGATATGTGTCGCTGGTGTAAAGGCTCGGTCAGTGGCTACGTTGATGCTGTATCAGTGTCAGCATGGACGTTGAGCGTGGTATGGATGTTGTAGTGTCAAGCAAGTGAAACTGAAGCAGAACTGCCTGTCTGGGATATGAGGCGTATCTTCGGTCTGTGTAGGACTAGGCATGAAGGCAAAGCCAAGTGGATGTAAGGGCAAATGAAAGGTGCTTTATTTAAAGTGTCTTGTCTACCGTAGTATGTGACGTCCTGACTGTGGAGTTGATAGTGGTACACGCTACACCGAAGATAGAAGTATGAAACTGGTCGATCACTCAGAAGAATTCACGTCTTCTCTGTCTGGCTTACGTCAATCAGCTTCAGATGCAATTTTGTAATGACCTATATATAGGGATGCTGATGTGTTGGAATCGAGTTGTGGATACTCAGTCATGATTGTCCTAAAACAGTTGTCTACGGCTTTTGAGTCGCACAGTTGATGGTGTTCTCATGGTGACTGTGAAGCCACACTGGTTGTGTAACTGTGTGGCTGTCTTGTTAGGAGTTCGATACCGTTGGTGTGAGTTGTACTGGCTGTGAGAACTGATCCAGCACGTGTCACTAGCAACTCACTTCCGCACTGCTGTCGTGTCGTATCTATTGAGTAAAGCCAGGAATGGGGCTCTCATCGGGGTGGGGAAAGCCCTTGTCGTCTTCGGCAGCGTCGGAAAAGATATCTTCGTCTTCTGCACTGCTGGTTCCACTTCCATTCACGCCAAGAGCCGTGGTGGAGCCGCCACTTGGCCCTTCTTCCTTGATGGCGTTTTCGATCGACAGGAGCGTGTGTTCAAACGACTCGATTCGCGTCCCGAGCTCGCCTTCCATCACTGCCAGCTTCTTCTGGAGTTCTTCCAGCTGGCTCTGCAGCTCGATACCAATCTCCATAGGGGTCACAAATTCGGCCTTTTCGGCCTCTGTGGGTAGAAGAGGTGTCATTGGAGCCATGGGTGCCACCAGTTTGTCGTGGCTGTCGTTGGTTGTCATTTTAATGTCGTTTGGTGCGTCGTAGGAGGTTGGTTTCACACTGCTGGATGACGTGCAGGAGGTGCAGGTCTGAACCTTGTCGTGTAGAAGACCTGTAGTGATGTTAGAGGTATCCTATGTGGAGAAATACAAGAGTTATGGGAGGATTCCGAGGAGTACAAGTTGTTCTAATTTGTCTCTTTTTTTAGTCAATTCATGTCTTTCAGCTTTTAAGTAGGATGGTGGAATCCTTTCTGAACTGTGCTGTATACAGTGAGGCCATACAATTGCCTGAACGATATGCCTGAAAAGATACTTGTATCGTATTCGCACAGTGCTACAACTACAGACGCATGATTACAGAGTATAGCACCGGTATATATACGAAACTGTACTTGTGGACATATTTACTCTTTTAATAATCCTCAGGGTGGATCTTTTGACTCGTCTCTCTTCTTACCAGTCCTGCTACCCTCACTCTCACAGTTCGAAGCATCTACACACTTCATTATATACTAATTACCGCCGCTCAGGAGGTTGTTGTCCTTCGCAAACTTCATCACTCTTCGTAGGATCTTACTTCTTAGTCTCCAGTTTGATACCCATTCGGCTCATGACGTACTCCTGAGCACCCACACCAATGGTCAGACCAAGACCCTCCTCGATCCAGTCAACCACCCAGTCCCGAGTATCGACACCCTTCTCAGCATGAGGGTTCTCCTTCTCGTCGAGCCATTGGGCCCACTGGGAGGGGAATGCCTGAGAATTGATGGTGGTTCCGAAATCGTGGTCAGGGTCAGCCACTCGAACGGCAAACTGGAACTTGTTTTCGTCCACAAACGGCTGGATGGACACAAAGATGGAGGACACTCGGATAGTGGGCTCCTCTTCGGGGATTGAAACCTCAGGGTCATCTTCGGGAGACGGCTCGGGCTTGGCGTCCTTTTTGGTGTACTCTTCCAGAGTGGCCATGGCGAGCTTTTCAGCCTGCTGGGCGGTTCCCACAAAGGTGTTGAGGTCCCGGGTAACGGAGGCGTCTGATCCTCGTCGGTGACGCTCCTTACCCTTCTGCACCACCAGCTTGAGCTCTCCTCCGCCCTCCACCTGCTGCATCACCTTGGAAAAGACATTGTAGACAATTGTATCGATGGCGGGGTAGCCGACGAGGTCGTGGAACACATGGATCTTGAGCTGCTCGTGTCGCGAAATGGGAGGAGCAATGGTGTCCAGAACGGTCGAGAATAACGACTGTTTCTTGAGCATCTCGGTGAGACCAGCCACAGTGATGGCAGGCTTGCTTTCGCCCCGCTCGGCGGCCTCAACCTCCTGGTTGGTAAGCTCCTGCAGCTCCTTGACCTTGGCTTCGGCCTGCTTGACTGCCGCAGATGCCGTGTCCCAAATGCCATCCTTGTTTCTATTCCACCAGGACAGAGCAGCTCCAATGGCGGCTCCGGCATCCACGGGGGCAGCAGAAGCAGCGTGGTCGACGTCAGAGTCGTCAGCAGTCTCCTTCTTAACAGGCTCTTCCTCCTTGACGCTCTTGACGGCATCCTCAATGCTCATGTTGCCACTCTGGACCTCGCTCTTCACCTTCTCGATGCCAGCCTTGGTGGCGGGAGTCGCCTTGGGGTTCTTGGCCAGTGAATCGAGGAACCCAAGGATATCATCGTCGTCCTTGGCATCAGTCTTCTTGTCAGCAGCCTTGGAAGAGTCTGTGGAAGTCTCCTTCTTGTCGCTCTTGGAGGTCTTGCTAGTCTTGTCGCTCTTGGCCTCGGACTCTAGAGAGTCCAGCATGGACAGGACGTCGTCTGTCGTCTGTTTCTTGTCGGTCATTGTGTCAGATGTGCTTGTTGTGTAGTGGTGTGCTGTGTTAAACACCTTGTCATGCGTGTCCCCCAATCCTCCAAAGGTTATCGCCATGTCCAGGGCAATGCATGGGTGGGAGTTATCTGACGCGTTTTATAGAGATTTTGAGTGAGGGAAAAACTGACTAAAATAATAGTTTCGAATAGTTGAGTTGCTTCGTGTATCTTTCATTTGTTTTTCGACAGTTATATCACTTTTAATACCCCCATCATAGCTTGCCCTACAAATCTGCACATGCTTTTACAGGTGCTGCTTGTGATGGCGAAACACGTGCGTATGTAGCAAGTGCACCACTAGTGGTGAACGGCTAGCATTGATCCGAATGGACTGAAAGTAGCTGTTCGATCCTCAGCATTATATGAATGTCATTTTCTGCACACCGAGACTACTGTATGTACTTGTACAGCTGGTGCGTTCGCCACTTGGTAAACTAGCATGGCTAAAATGGTACAATACGAAATAAAATATAAAATAGGGTGCACTTGATACAGTAACAGGTAATAACCGAGGATTGTAGCAAGTACTCGTATTTTTGCATCTACAAGTCCCGAATATATCGTCAATGTTTATATATGACTATGGTTCAGACCATGTAAGCCAAGTGGGATGTGTAAGGAAAAAAAAGAAATAAACCATATCGCGCCCAAGAGAGCTACTTGTACTTGCAAACCCCTAGCCGTCTCTGGGGCTACAAATGAACTGAGTATCATGGTACAAGTAGACTGGTAGAAGCAGACAGGTATAGCTCCTATGAGCTGGGTAAAGAACATGTTGATCTGAGTACATACTACAGCAGCACCATACTCTACCCGTGTGTAACTTGAGTTGCCGTCAGAGGTATGAAGGAATGACCATGGAATCCTTCAAAACCACCCTTCCAGACCTCTTCCTAGATTCGGTCGACTGACAGACTGGTAGAGTCAAAATGTCCTTAAAACATGGCAGAGATCATCGGAATGAAGACATTAATCAAGCTATCTGTGTTGGTGTCTGGACGGAAATATATTAATGGAAGTTGCTTTCTTTTTGAACTCGTACTGTTCATAGATATGTAGCTACGGGTACAGTACTTGTACTCGTAGTGTACTTGCACTTATAGTCGTAATTTGATTGAGTACCATGAAGCTTTCAAGACAGAAGTATAGGTATGACCTCCACTCCTGAGATGCCAATATCCATAACAATTCAAACAGATTAAAACTCGTTTTCACCTGTTATAATCTAATGTTTGTTGTGTCTGTTGCTGTCTGTCTCAACTGTCTGTGCAAACCAGGCTCTTTTTGTTTGTTCCTACACATACTTGTACACCAGACTCACTGATGAGGATTTTCAAAGTCTTGAAATGACCATTCGGAGCGTCATACAGTCTGAAACAGCTATTATGATATTCCAGTCTCCGAAATCTGTTTGTGCGTTTATTCATACAGTGAGAGATAAACAAGATCTCAGACACATCACCCACTTACAAGTTCTAAGAATACAATCGCTCTCTCATAACCAATAAATTCTCTACAAACGTCTCCAAATTTTGTGCAATAATACATTTTTTTCCTTTATACCTTTGTTACGTGGTATGCGCTTAGTAGAAGGTAGAAGGTCGCTTGGAAGCAAAGATGTTTCGGCTCTTCTGGACTCGGTGGGGCAGAGGGAACTTGAGATCGGGGGCAAGCAGCTGCTTGACGTACTGTCGCTTGACGTCCTCCTCGGACTCGAGCTCAACGACCTTGAGGACGTGGATAGATCGGAATCGAGATCGGTGTCGGGCAGCCATGTCCTGGTAGAGCATCTCAACGGCGTTGGTTCGAGAAACGTCTCGGTACTCCTTGTACATGTTGTGAGTGCCGGATCGGGAATCGTATCGGATCCAGATGCCGAAGTTCTTGACCTTAGTGGGGGTCTTCTCGGAGATCTTGTTGATGGCAACAATCTCACCGGTGGACTTCTTGACCTTCTTGAGCTGGGTCAGGAAGTACCAGAATCGAGACTTGGCGACAACCTCGTTGGGGGCGAAAATTCGCATTCGGTAGAGCTTCTGCTCGGGAGCAGCCTCGGTAGGCAGCTTTCGGCCAATAACCTGGTATTCGTTGAGTCGACCCACTGAGTTAGTATTGTATTGAGGATACCCTTGTCTGGTCGTGCGGAGACAACATTATCCAACCCATTATAATGACATCCTCCATGTCTCGATAATCACATTGGTCATGTCGCTTCCATTATTCCACCCTCATTATTCACAGTGTCGTCGTTCCGTACTCACTTTTTTTGTGATGCTGTCGAAAGTAGAAAGTAACAGACCTTGTACAACAGCAGGTATGAGTGAAAAAAACCCAAATCGGGAATGCACGTGATGTTGAGGGGGTTTCCTAAATCAGAAAGCAGTCACAAAGTAGGGTAACCGTTGGGAGGAAGTAGTAAGGTTTGGGTGATTGGTGGATGGGCAAGGAAATAATGAAATCATTGGTTTGGTATATCGTTGATGAGGGCGGAACAATATCTACATGTTTTCATTTCAGTTTCTTTCTCGTTTTATTCCAAGTTTAGCTATTTGCTTTTATAAGTTTCTGTTACGATTACTTATCGTACCTTACTGTACTCCCACCTGTACTCCCACTTGGTGCTGTCTGTAAACCAATACTGCAACTACTTTGAGTAAAGTCACGTGAACAGAAAGAGTGAATATAACTCCAGTCGCATGAGCCGTAATTAACAGTGAAGAAGCCTTTTTGTGTTTCTGATCAATAGGTTTGTTTTTGCGTTGTTCTTAATTCTTAATACTACTTGTAGTTGTTTGAGACGTCTCTTCAGACGACAGACCCACAAGTATTCGAACCGGTTCAGTACTCGTACTGGTAGCTAATTAGACGTACCCTTCACCTCACGTGTCAGACATATACAAGTTAATTCTGCTGTCTGAAGTTGGTGTGATACTTTGATAGGAACTTCAGTAACGTCTAAATCGATGTCTATAATACAAAGTACCTCAATTCTTGTTGCTCGTCTCAACACGTTTGGTCCCCCTTGATACCACGGCGCAGTGCATGGATTACGTGCATACATCCCACCACCGTGTGTGTGGATGTCGAGGTTTATAGCTTTTCCAGCAACTAAAACCCGAAATCAAAAAGCGTTTGTGGGAGCTGTCTGGACAATGGATTGATTTCCTTGCTAATCTCAGTTGCGACGCGCCAGTGGGTGTGGCTGCTTGGCCCTCACCTTTGCTGTGATCGGGTTGCGGGATTGCTTGGATATCCAATAATCAACCTAAAGGCGGTATTATCTAATTAGTTCCAGATGCAAGCACTAGTGCGCTGTATAGCAAGCGAGCGATTTGGAAAGAGAACGCTTCTGCTATTACTACGTATTACTCTCAAAGATAGCACCTCTTCGTACATGAAGATCAGACACCGTACAATAGCTGAAGTTAGCTGCACAGGTCATCTGAATCACCAGGTGAGTTTGATGACAATAAGACACATTTGGTAATGAACAAGGATGTGATAGTCTTTGCTTTGCATGTTGTACTTGTACCGGTACAGGTACTTGTACGATACTGTACCTGTGCTGAAGATTAACGATTAAAGTGGAGCACGTTCTGATTAGCGAGGTGTAGCCGAGGTGCAAGCTAAGGTACAACTGTGTACGTGGTAGTCGACATGCCTGCTACAATTAGCATGCAGGTGATAGTACACTTGTGATAAGAGCACTACAGACACTCACGCCATTCCCTTGGAGACATGTCTGAGATTTGTGTCTCTTGAACTGTTCGGTTTGTTCGTTCCCCAACCGTTGTTCCCGTCATCTTTTTGCATTCCAGCTAACGTTACGCTTTATAGCAACCCAACGGAACAACTGTGGCCTATGAGCATCGACGACGACCAAAAGAAAATATACAAAACGGGATGGGAGCGAAAAGCAAAGTGGGGCGTTTTGGACAACGGACGAAAAAGAAAAGTGGGCCACTACGCTGCATCCACGTTTCTACATTATTTTCAGCGCCGTAGCTACACTGAACAAGTACGAGTACAGGGCTAGATCACGTGGGAATACAGGTGTACACAGGTTCTGCACTGTACTTGTAGAATACAGATACTGTAGCCTATGATGGAGATTCTCTCTCGTTGCAAAGGACTTTGCGATAAAGATAGTTTCCGGGTCCGTCCGTGCTCTACCCATCGGTGACGTCACCCAAGCTTGTGCCCATCTGAGTGTGGTACAGCCCTGTGGTATGTACAGCTGGCATGGTGAGAAGCCACGGCTCATAGGGGCAGTACAGGGGATGCAAGACAACTGTGGGATACGAAATACTACGTTGCAGGTAGCAATCCAGGTGATGCAAGACGAAACAGCAATCAACAGAGCTGTTTCATATCAACTACGTGCCCCTGTTTGGGAAGGACTCGATTCTTGCAGCTCATGGTTCGTGCTTTTAACTGCATGTGCTACTGATACAGCCGGTTATGTATTTGATACGCGCAGATCTTCACCAAGTACATTGGACGCGTATCAATGCATCTTGGTATGGTTCCACGAAAGGATAATATTGTAAATAGTTGGCTCCTAGGGGAGTAACGGTACGATACTCGCAAGGTGGACGTGCTCCATCGCTACGTCGGCTGATGTGGACTAAGATGTATGCGGTCTAGATCAATTAGCTACTTACCATATTGGTATAGTCTGGATTTACACCAACCCCTTTCATCCAATGTATGCTCATAACACAGGGATAAGCTGTAAGTACCGGCATCTACTGTACTTATACATCATTTCTCTCCCTTCCTCCACCTGAACCTACTGATCTGTACGTGCGATGAACGATACGAGCATGTGTTTCTTAACACCATCTAAGGAATGGGTCACAGGAATGCGCTAGTACGATTCTATATTGCCTCGACTACGACTAACTGTATGATACTGTACCTTCTGGCTACTATGTGGACTACTGTGCTATAGATGGATTACTCGAAATCAGGTTTTATCTATCCTCTTCGTTCTAATCTCTTAACCCCTTTTCTACCCGAAAATCTTCATTCGGGAAAAGTTAGCTCGCTTGAAGAAAAACAGAGCCACCAGGGCTAGGCCGGGGGCCACTGTGTAGTAGCTAATGTGCAGAGCATTGTGGTTGAAGTCCGACTCAAGGGCGAGCAGAATCGTGAATGCCGTTAGACCCCACACCAAGTAACCGCCCACACGGTGGAACTTGTAGATGGCCCGGCCCTTGTGCACGGATCCGAACACCTCAATGGGCCACCAGAACTGGGCCGCGCCAACAAGCATCACTAGCACTAGCGCACCATAAGTAATGATGCCAAAGGTTCCGTGCCAAGAGTAAAAGTGCTCCGCGTGGTTCTTCTCCTTGTTGTAGAGAATCACGCCGGCCCCCACGCAGTAGGCGAGCACTGACAGGGAGTTGAGAATGCCGTGGAGCTCGCCGCCCACCTGCTTCTGGGCCGCCGATCGAGGCTCGGGCTGAGTGATCAGAATACCCTGGCCAAGCAGGAAGAATCCCAGTGAGTTGAAGATGGGATGGTACGAAAACAGAATGATGGGCGTGGTCAGCACTCCATATAGCACCGATCCAATCACCAAAAGCAGCCCAATCTGCACGGGAATGGCTGTACCAGTGTACAGATTGCTGAGCGTCTGGCGCTTGAGCTCGGCTCGGCTCTCTGTGCTTACTCCCTCATTTCCCAATAAATTCTGTCGGTCACTCATTTTCGAGTTTCAAGTTTCGAGATTGGTGATGCGTATGTGGGGTTCTGCAAATAAAATGAATCTGATTGATAAGCGACACCCAAACCGCCAACTGTGGCGTGCTTCAAGCGCAACTCATGAACCTTAGTATTGAGTAATACCTAGTCCTAACCCTCACAAGCCGCACCAGATAATAAAATGCATGTGTGTATACAACCCGATAGCTGAACTCTAATACGCGTAACTCCGCCACAATAGATCTACAAGTAGAGGACAAACTACGCCGAAAACACCGCAAAAATACCCCATCAACACAGGAGATATATTATATTCTATGGGAAACCCCATAACATGAGCGGATATTTATATCCACCAGGTAATCTCACAGATACACACACTCGGCAAAATGAATGCACTCCGATCAGTGATAACAGTCCATGTCTCATCTCCCTCATTACATCACGTTGCATTAGCACTGTAAATCTTTCGACGGGTCACTCGAGGTATGCAACTCGCAATGACCTTAGGTGCACATCACCTGGGCAACGTACATTGGTAAACAACCATATCTGAAGACAGAAAAATTATCCTCCACCTAAGGGGTGGAGGAACATTTAATGAGTTGTACAGTATCGTACAGTAGGTACCATAACACAGAACCACTACTGTACGCGTAACACTCTACAAATCACACTCATTAATGAACGTATCTAATAACCTATGACCCTTAAATTATAACGAAAACTGTCTTGTTAGCAAACCGTCTAGATGACCCTCCTTAAGCAGAAGCAGTAACCTCGTGAACGGCGGTGGGAGCAGCGAGGGAGTTGTCAACAGCGGAGGTGGTGTGAGGCTGGCTCACGGGAGCAACACCAGAGTTAGAGTCGGCCTTCTCCTCGGGCTTCTTGGCATTCAGAATGGACTGGGCGTACTGGAGGCCCTCCTGTGAAAGATCTCGGACAGTGGCGACGGTGGCGTATACTGGACCAGAGACAGTCTTCTTATCGTCGATTTCCGATCGCTTGCCGTCGTAAACCTTCTGGATGTGTTCTCGGGTGTGCTGGTTGATTTCCTGAATCTGGGAAGTCTGCTGCTCAATCAGAGGTCGGGCTCGGTCAAAAGCAACCACGGTGAGGCGCCATGCTCGGGCCAGCTCGTTCTCGGCATCAGTCACAATCTCCTGGCCCTTGGGCAGGTAGGCGTTGATCAGGGCTTCGAGACGGTCGTTGAGAGGGTGGAAGATGGGGTCGAGTCGGGCGTGGACAATGGGCTTTCCATGGGCATCGTAGTAGGTGACAACCTGGGACTGGACTCTGGAGGCAACGTCTCGGATGGGCTGCACAACCACTCGGGAGACAGTGTTCTTGGTCTCGTCGGCGTACTTGTCGACAGTACCTCGCACGTTCTCCAAGGGCTGGGTCACGATTCGGCTGTAGACCTCGTCGGGCTTGGTGTTCTTGAGAGAGGGCACGGCCTTGTCGAGTCGGTTGAGGGCCTCGTCGGCAGCGTTGTCAATCTGAGAGATGTAGGGGGCGGCTCGCTTGACGACGGGCTCGGCGACGGGGGCACCTCGGTTCTGGATGGCCTGGATGAGAGGAACGGCGTTGGATGCAAAAATCTTGACAACGGGGAAAGAGGCAGCGAAGCCAGTCACGGCAGCAACAGCTGGATACTCGCTCAGGTGCTGGATGAACTTGGACTGGGGCAGAACGTTGCCCTCAATGGGACCGTTGGAAGTGTTGTCGGCGACAGAAGGCATTTTTGTGTGTGTATGCTGTGAGGATGTCTCTTGTGGGTTCGAAAAAGCTGGGTTAGTGAAGTCTTTTATAGGCATCAGCGCCCAAATTTATCCGTGCTTGTCTCACTCCCGCATTGGGTTTCATTACCTGCGCTTATCCATTTTGCTGTCAAAGCAAAGTTTCCAGGTGTAGAGTTCGAGCTTGAAACTCAATCCAAAACAGTGGTTTTTCGGCTCCTGTAGCGGGAAGGTCCGGCTGGAGCCACCCAAAAGCAGAAAAACGAAAAACCTAGGCTCAGTGTGTGGTGTGGAAAGAAATGGCGCACTAGTGGGCAGCACAGATAGCCATCGAGAACAGCAGGATATCCCCCTGTGTGTCGCGGACCCGTCCCAGCTGTCATTGCAACGCATCTCGAGCTCACCAGAGACCTCCGACCCTCGGCTCTCGGGATCTGCACCGATAATGAGGTGAGGTCATTCTCAGTGCGCCAAGATAATTGTTCCGGTCAATCTAAGGGAACGAAATGCATGCAATGCAACTTTGAAAACGGGATGTGCATGAACCTGTGTGTGTGACGCCACGTGAAAGTTGGAGCGTGCGATAAGATAACCCAGAGTGGAGTTTGCGTTGCTAAGAGCAAGGCCGGCGACGGAAGGGAGGCGACAACAATGGCTGATCGCGGCAGGACGACAACGGCTGGTGACCAGAAGGGGGACCATTTTTTGTATCAGTCAAACCACCCGCAGGTTCGGGTAGTGTATGAACTTAAACGAAAAAATAAAACCCCTGCCAACAGAGTTGTCGTCACTCACGACTAAGACAACCACCCTGCGGAAACCAACAAGGGGTTATAGGCCCATAGTTCTGTTTGTGTTTGTCGTGTGTTTGTGTCGGGAAGGTACGAGTACTCACCAAGTGTTTAGAGCTAAGCACTGCACTCTAGATATCGCAAGAAAGGGATGTTTTGGAGGAGAAGAAGAGTTGTGTGGTGCCAGGTGACTCCTTAAATATTGGAGGGCGTGGTTTTGTGGTCTTATCACACAGTGTGTGTTTTCAGTCTTTAGGTGTTCTGTCTATCTAATCAAGTTAAGGTTTTGGGTTTGCGTAGTGTGCATTTATAAATATACTATTTGGTGACACTCGCTGTATAGCTGTAAGCTGTGGTGACGATGAGGCAAAGTGTGCCAATTCAGCGTAGTCCAGGAAGCTCAAAAGACGGGAAATTGGGCCAGGATCAGCTATCCATCTACCTCCATGCACTGATCCGTGCCTATCGTGGAGACACACAGAACATGATAACTTAGCGTCTAGTCTGGCCCATAGTGCTAGTGCTGTCATGAACTTATTTTTGCAATGCACATGCTGGCCATTTTATTTTCGCTTACGTGCCTGGTACGAGACAATAGCTGATGCGTATGTTCAGCTCTCGGAAATCTACATCTGAATTCTTTCAGGTCCTCATCCAACAACAACACGAACAAAAGCCATTGGTATGAGGGGTAGTGTCGATCGTTGTGGATATACGACACTCAACTTAGTCTATTTGCGTTAAATCGGAGACTCGGCAATAATAATGGTGATACAAAACTCTGATGTGGAACGCGTCTGAGGGCTTCAATACGAGTTGCATCATCGCCAGAAGAGTGACAATAACGAACCTGGAGTGCAGACAGAGCAGCAGACAGGCTCATCGGGCCTCAGTTACATGCCGTGTGTATATACTACCAACATGGTACCTCTCCCTCCAAGCGAAAGACGACTACATCTTCAAGGAAGAGCAGCTTTACAGTAGAAATTTGGTTATCAGTAGACGTTCAAAATGAGCTACGAAATATCCGCTAAATCTGAGGCCCATTATTAGCCCAGATGTTGTTTGCAAGTCCATATCCAATGTCTCTCGGATTCCCGGAATAGGCCCCTTGGAAGTCTTTTTTTTTCTCCTTTTTTCAGTCTCTGAAACACGATCGACCCGCTCTGGAGCTCGGTAAAGCCGAAAGTCGATGTCTACCCTACAAGTAGGTTACACCCGATTCCGACTCTGAGACAGCTTGCTTGTGTCGCAGGAAGGAGATTAGCCCATGGAAACCTGGAGTTGCACACCATCTGGACTTCTGGCTTTTTGGTGTATGCACAGCCATACCCCGCACTCAACTCTAACCTAAGGCTGGTTGAAACCCTACTGTAGGCAGTCGAGAGACAAAAAAATTGTATTCTGTCAAGACAAAAGGGCGAAACAAGAGAGCGCGATGTCGAGGGCAATTGGAATGAGCTAAGAGAGCTGGCTACAAGAAGAAATATAACACCATTGCTTAAAAAGGACTATGGGGGGGTGTCCCCAAGCGGTTGCAGCCTTCATTTATTATTCCGTAACCGGTATCTCCGCCCTGTCTCGTGTATATCTGTTCCTTCTTGCCGGCTCTCTGCACATGTTTCCCCTCGTCGCTTGTTTGTCACGAGAGGTCTCGAACATAATTACAACAGAACAGACGCTTTGAGCATGTGAAGATGAAGAAAAGATTATAGAGAGGCTTGTGCAAATTGTTCTAAAGAGGCTATGGGTTCTTTGGCGGCCGCCCTCCAAGCTACATCTACAAAATACATACCGTATAATGATCATCGTAAAAGTGGCTCATTTGTATCTTTAGGATCGACGGAAAGGGGAACAATCTGAAAAGCACTTCTTACCGTGACCCGAGAGTTACTTGTAACTGTGCCGTGTGCAATGCTCAACAACGGTACCGTCTCTGCTTGTGTAATACCTCACATTCTCGCTACTCCATCCCACTCACACGACTCACTCCAGTTATCACATTCCCACTAACCATTCCCTTTCACAAGCATCCTGTCATTGTGTCACATTTTGTGTGGCACGGTCATTGTCCATAGTTGACAAATCACCTCCTATGTGTGTCACACTCTCGCCCTTGTTTCTCATCCCTTGTCCGTCAGTTTTCGTATTTCCCCTTTTTCTGTTATTCTGCAGAACAAAGAAGCAAGAGTCGTCGTATTCCGCCTGAACCTTGTCGGAGCGATAACTAGACACACCCACAAAATAGACTTGGTAGGAGAACGAAAGTGTAGTGGATATCGGCAAAACCACCTGTAACGTGCTTGTACAGGGTCCGGGAAATGTGAGAGCTCATATCTGATCCTTTCAGACAGTCTCAAAAGGAACCTCGGCTGCCGGCTCACTTACACCCCCCCACTGTGCCTACATCCGGTCCTGGTACAGTCGTTTTCGTGACATGCCACAAACGGCACACATCATATTTTTATGTACTTTACCAGCTTTGGCTCTTTTTCCCTTCTTCAAGAGCTGCACCTCCGACTACAAAACTGCACGCGGCTCTTTCATACCAACCCTGCATTGTCCTCGCATTTTTTTATTTAATTTGATTGTTGTGTTCGTCGGACGAAGGTTGCTATCAGAATTCCGGGCATGTACGGCTTTCCTTTTTTTACCAAGCCTAGACCAACTGTTGCCTGATGCGGATGAAGAGGGTGCATAGGCCAGCGATAGGCTACCGACAGCTACTAACTGTGTTGATCATGAGTGGGGAAAAAGTGGAGAAAAAGAAGCGCACAGAATCAGCACTCTTGGAGTTTGTTGGAAGTGCTCGCATGTGATGGGGGGCATGTAAAAAAAAAATCAATCACGTGACCCATGGAACTGAATGAGTGATGGTAATACTTGTAGACGTTGAACCAAGTATCTGCCAATATGCCGTGTAGAAGTTTTCACCGCACAGAATATAAACGAGACAGCACTTGCGCTACATTCGCACTACTTGCGCACCATCAGCGACGCTAGTGGCTTCCAATATCCGATAACGTGCGTGTTTCAGCTGTCAATCTGCATCATGGTAGATAAGACGAGGAGATCCATGTCGAATCTGTAGCGATGAATGCATGCTGTACTATTATTCGATTATTTTTTCATGTGGAGAAACTCTCGTTTCGTACTGTATCACCTGAATGCCGATCCCCACAACCTCTAAACACAAGTCTTATAGCTAATAAGTAATCCGATATGTCTATGTGCCAGTAGCTTACACTCTCGGGCGGGTCTCGGGCAAATTGCGGACAGCCCTCATTTTTTACCTCTTTTTCTCATTATGGATGACAATGCATTTTATAAGCTGTTTCAGATTACATCCCAGGGTCTTGCTGAATTACCACTCGAGCTCCTCAGCCCATTTGACACCCCGTTGGTTTCTTCTGGTGCGCCGTTTGCGACCGTCGAAAAACCGGTCTCTGATTTCCTTCCCCTCCAGCCGGGCCCGTAGATCGTTGGCGCTATAAAATCCAATTGGTTCCGAACCCGTTAGTGCTGAATGCAGCGACGAAATTAGTTTGCTGGATGATGGCGTGTTTCCGGACACTCTCAGCGATGGCTTGAGGTTGATTTCGCGCTTTATGGGGCTACAGATTCGCCCAGGCGACGGTGGCTCGTTATACAACTCGGCCTCCGCAAGTCTTCTGCTTCTTCGAAGCGGCTGTGTGACATTGGCCGCGAATCCGAGTTGGGAAGACTGAGTACGAGGTGGTGTTGACGGAGGAGACACTGACGGAGGTTGCCGTTGAACGGGTTCGATGATTTGAACTGAGCTGTCGTTGTGGACTATTTCTGAGAGGAATTGAACTGAACTGTCGTCCCCATATGAGTCCTTCCCAGAGTCATCTTCTCGTGCTTCTGCATCCTCTTCAGAGTCGTCCTCGAACACCTTGAGCTTTGGTAGGTGACTGAATTGGAGATTGGACCGGAAGGCAGAGAGTCCTGGCTTGGTCGGTTCTGTCCCGACAGGAACAATGGGAGGCCCGAGCCTCGAACTGAGCACTGGGATCTTGGTAGGTCGATTTCTTCGAGGTGTGCCTCCGTTTGTGTCTCTCTTCAGCTCCAGGGGTGAATGGACTTCAAGGGGTGTTATGGAGCCAGGTTTGCGAGTCCACTCCGTTCTGGGTATGCTTCTTGGGGTCCTGCTTCGCATTTCTGAGTGTGTTTGTGGTCGTGGTGTCCCCTCTGGGTGCTCGATTCTTGTGGGCGAAAAATGAATGTAGTCTCCGAATGAAATTTCGTCATCCTCATCGGTGCTGATCTCCAGGCTGTCGAGCGTCGGGATGAGCTCGTCGAGCTCCTTCTGTGTAATTTCTGTCTCCGAGTACTCTCTGTCTGCTAGAACGCTTTCGACGACCCTTAACCATTCAAACTCTTGCATGTGGTCGTCCAGAGGTAGTTGGTACGGCGAGCTCTGGGCCGGGGTTGCGGTCGAGATGGAAGCTGAGATGGACATGGGTCTTTTTTCTGGTGGAGAAGAAGGAAATTCGTCCGCCAACTTATTTCAACCGAAAAAATGCGACTGCTCTCAGTTTCGAACTGTTTGTTGATTGCCCCAAACAACCTTGCATAAAAAGAAACTCAAACCGGCGACCCAATGTTTGATAAAAGCATATCCTGCTTGTATGCTGTGTAGTCACGGGAGATAGGGGTTTGGGAACTATGTAGCGGCAAGGAGCGGCTTGTACATACACACACACAGGCATGTGAGGGGAGATCAGCTGAGAAGGCCACGTCACAGTCCCTCGTCTCTTGTCTGACTAATGCCTATTATCCGGCCCCTAATTGCACTGTATACTGTGCTCAGTAATTAGCATTGTCGATCTCCTGTCAGGGGTGTGTCGTTCTGTATGGATGTGTGTGGGGTGAGAGGCTGTTACCCGGGAGTGAAGTGCGAAGATATATGCTTCTTAATTAACGGATACAACATCAGATGGAGAGTGTATGTGATAATTATATACAGCGCAAGACGAACGGGAATGACAAGTCAGCAGCGAGAGCTCCACCATCAAAACAAACACAGAAGCACCACATTCCAGCACCACATTCCGTAGACATTCTAGGGATCCTACCTTGGACTGGCGTGACAAAAAACACGGGACTGAAATATACACAACAGGAAGAAAAATAAAGGAGATGTGCTAAACCATCCTAAACAAACAGACTGACAAAAGGATATGCTGAACAAACACCTGTTAGTCCGCAAATTTGGCACTTTGAAACTTTTTATCTATTTTGCAGTATTATTCCAGCGTCGCTAAGGGATTGGTCTGCAGGTTTCGTACGACAAGTGTAAGACAAAAAAGCTACTCCGCAACGGAGAATTGAACTCCGGTCCCCCGCGTGCTGAACAATGTTCTGACAGGCGGAAATTCTAGCCACTAAACTATTGCGGATTATGGGTTTTTTTGAGCGTTGTAGTATAACATCAGAAACCAGATGACTAATAGCCAAATTTCAACTACCCATTTAAGATCTTGAACACTCAAGAACAAAACAAAATCAAAGTCTTCGACAGATACCACGTTCTGCAAAAGTCTGCACATGGTCGTCCGTCGAGACGATTGCAAGTTAGTGAGGACCTAAAACTCCATATGAGATGGTTCTGCGACATCCCAGGTGACAGCACATGGTCCGTCGCACTTGAAGTCAGCGTGGACACGGATAAGCCAGTGAATCGATAAGTCCAAGAGATAACGCCAAGTCTAGCAATCACTTCCAGCTGATCCATCACCACTCACCAACTACACCGCTCCGCACTTGCTCTTCTGAACAACCGATTCCGAATCTGATTTGCGGTACAACATTGTCTTTGGGCCTCGAGTAGCTGAAAGTATTCCCCTAGAATAAAAAAGAATAAAAAAGAATAATACAAGCGACGAAATGATGCGGTTTGCAGGTTAGTAGAGTAATAAGGGAAAAGAAACAACCAAACTGCAACCCCCAGAATCGAAACAATCAGGACACCGCTTCCAAGTTCAGTTATCACCAAGGTGTAGGCCATTGGATTGTGTGACAATGGCCACGGGGACCGCTATAAAACGACCAGAGGCTTCACAGATGTTGCTATTTCTTGACGATAACAGCCATAGACGTATGGTGAGACGGTTGGTTCTGTATTATATAGCTAGCGTGAGATCAGTCTCAAGGAGTAGTGGGTAATAACCGAAAGTGAGCCAACGCAAAGCGCTGTAGTATCGATGTCGGGTATACACATGACACGCTAATAGACTAGTTGTAGCTACTTGTACTTGTACTTAGGTTGAAGACACCAGGCAGGTCATAGAATATAGCTTCCTGCGAGAAACCCGGTTGAGACAAGTCTGGCATAGGTAGGTGCGGCTTATCTGGGTTGGTTAAGAATAGCGATGTCTGTCATGATGTGATCATAGTTCATCAGACGGTTATTTTCATGTTCAAATACCAGCCGCCTTGAATCTATTCGTTCAAAGCTACCCCACACAAGTCTCACCATTGGCTAAGACAGGGAAGGTGTGGATTTCTAGAGACCTACATTATCTGAGACATTGTAATAGAAGTGTCAGCAGATATACTACCTGAGGAGTCTGGTGATTGCCAAACCGCTTAGTGCCTACTTATGGGTAGAGGTACGTACTTGTACATTGGTTTCCTCACCAGACCTCATACTTTTATTGGACCGACTCAACAGTGTACATACTGTACATACTGTACTGTACTATGTACTGAATCAACTCAGTTGTCTAACACCCAATTGCCACCAACTACAGCAGATATACGATATACCTGATGTTAGATCAGACAATGGGATTGAACAGCATTCGTGAAGCACTACTTCAACTCCAGGAGCACTAATAACCCTCAGAACCATGTCTCTGGCTTCAATTGAGACATACTCAATGCGAGAATAGTGATAGAAATAGCAGAAAAATAACCACTGCTATGTGAGATATACTAGCAGTGTACGTAGGCCACGCTACACACAGCAGTTCGAACAAGCACTGTAATATACGAGTATATACTGTACTGCACAACTCATTGTTCCAATCAATCAAAACTTTTGTTATTAGTAAATGTACATGTGCTTAGATGAGGAGGGCGGCGGCAACAACACCACCGATGGCAAGAGCGCCGTTGACGTAGGCCAGAGAGCCGGAGTTCTTCTCCTCGGTAGCGGAGGCAGAAGCAGCGGCAGAAGAAGCAGCAGAAGAGGCAGCAGCGGAGGTGGCAGAAGCAGAGCCGGAGGCAGCAGAGGACTTGGAGTCAGTCTTGGATGCGGAGGCGGAACCGGAGCCAGAAGAACCGTGGGCGTGGCCAGAGGAGTTACCGGAGCCCTGGGTGTTCTCGGCGAGAGAGCCTGCGTTGGCGTTGGAAATAGCCTCAGCGGAAACACCGGTAGAGTTCTTGCAGACGGCGTTGAAAGCGTCAACAGAGTTATCAACCTCGAAATCAATGCAATTGTACAGGTTACCGTCAACAGCCTGCATGATGACCTGAATGGTTCCCTTCTGGCCGTCCTTGAGATCGCCAAGAGGCAGACCAGGCATGCAGAAGTTTCCAGCACCAAGCTCGTTAATGGGGCCGTAAAGCACCTTACTGAAGTCCTTCTGGCCATCAGATCCAGACTTGGTACCACAGTCGTCACCAAGACAGAGTCGGTACTCAGTGATGGCGGAGGTGTGAGAGGTCTTGAGTAGGACATCTACGGACTTTCCGTTGACCTTGAATCGCTCACCGATCTTGTTCAGACCACCGCAGGGGCCCTGGGTCTGAGTGGGGTGAGAGTCACCTCTCCATCCGGGGTAGTAGACGGTGAAGTGGGCGTTAGCTGTGGCCAGGAGAGTGGCAAGGGCGAGGGCTGAGAGCTGCATTGTGTTGGGTGAGTGATGGAGCAAAGAGTGTCTGGCTATTTTCGATACGAACACACGTCTATATATAGTAAAGGAGTTACATCATGTCACGGAGGTGACGGGGTAGGCTTCCGAGCGTATATGCTCTGCGACGCATAAGGTTTTGTCAACAAGCTAATGTAATATAAGGTTGCTAGCCGTGAGATGTGATAAACAATAGCGTGTGGTTTAACCGGTGTATCTGAACCTAGTCTTGTGGGTGGTCAGTATGGGGGGGGGTCGATAGAAATCAATTGGCCACGTGACCAAAAGTGCAGCATTTAAGCGACACTAAATAGGCGTCTTTTCGTCCGTTCTAAGCCGCTCCTTTACCCTCAGCTTCTAACAGCTCCACCAACGAGCAAATTTATGCAGAGGTGCGCATTTTGAAAAAAGCCTATTTGAACATCACCCAATGAAGCTCTTGAGGATGTGGAGATGAACAGCTTGAAATAAGCAATTGGCTGTTGCACGCTGGGGGACTGTGTGGAGGCGACCGCGATCTGCATTCGTATTGAAAAAAATGGGGTGACTTACAGGTTTCGCACGTTTGTTGGTGTGTCAAAGTTACTTGTTTGTACCTACAGGGGTCATAATCATCAATTCATTATAAGTTAGGTGCAACGTCAAGTGAACCAGAAGCGAGCAAATATATCGGTATAATACACTCCGTTATCGCTCGTGCATGGATTATTCATCTTGACTCACAAACGAGCAAGTTCTCGCTTATGCGCAGGTGTGCAATAATATCCGCTTAATTTGCTCAGTGCAAGAGTCGTGACAGGGCTCTGAATTTGCTCGTATCTGCTCACTCTCTAGCTTGCGTAACGGGCAAACAGCAGCTCTCCGAGGAAGATGCCGCCGAGAACCGACACAAAGTAGCCCACGTTGTAGGTCATGGTGATAAGCATGAGCAAGTAACCCACGCCGGAGAGCACCGTCTGAATGGCTGCTCGAGGAACGTCCACGGAAAGTCTCCAGGGACGAGGACCTTGTCGAGTAGTCATTGTGGGCGCAGGAGAGGGCTGGTCGGGACGCTCGAGCTTCTGAAGTCGTTCCTGCTCCTCCTCCTCATCGATCTCATCCTCGATATCTCGCAGACTCTTGTAGGGCTGGTCTCGGCCGATGTCGTTCAGAGCCACCACCTGCTTGTTGAGCTTGCCACACTTGATGAGCTTCTCGTCCAGCTTGAACTTCACCACAAACAGACCTCGATAGATCATGGCAAAAAACACAATGAAAATACACGTTCCCGCGTACTGGCCTCGGTTGGAGGGAGTCCATTGATCTGAAAACAGAGCGTCCACCATGTTGGAGTGGAAAGTCATGGCCATGCTGTGGGACATTCCTCCGGACGACGAGCCGCCCATGTCCATGCCGCCCATATCCATGCTTCCGTGGTCGTGGCTCATTTTTGTGTGTGAGAAATGGTGTTGGAGTTGAATAAAAAAGAGATGGAAATACTGGAATTATGAGCTGCTGATGTCTCTTTTTTGAGTTTGATATTTGCTCGTTTCAGCTGGAAAATCTGAGTCTATGTGCGAATAGATTTATACTATTACTAGCTAGCGGAACACTATGCATCTTTGAGCAAACTGTAAAGAGTGTGTGGTATCGGAGTCCTTACGACCAGCTCCAGGAGGTTCCTATTCTCAGCAAACTCCCTCGAAGTCACTCACAACATGGTCTACGACATTCTGGCCACCGCCAAAAACCAGGGACAGGGCTCATACAACTCGGACGGATCTCCAAGACCAGGGTTTCTGGGAAGAGTTTACTGGATGGTCATTGGTGCCATTTTGGCAGTAATTACCATTTTCCGCGTGCTTTCGTTACTGCGACAAAAGTACTACTTGAAACGACAAAAGCCACCCAGATCAGACTCTGTTCCAGCCAAGATCATTGGAGCTATCGTATCTACAGCTCGTGAGGCCTCTCTATTACAGATCCCAGGGTTTGATATTCCTTGGGTCAATTACACGGTGGAGTTCCCGCCAGTAGGAGACATTCTCATCATTCTCTTTTACGTGATGATTGTAATGCTGCTGCTCTTCTCCAAAATCGACCCTTTCAACCCTATGAACTACGAAACTGTGGCCTACCGATGCGGCTGGGTGTCTATTTCCCAGATCTCACTTATCGTCATTCTGGCAGCCAGAAGAAACCTCGTGTCCATTCTCACGGGCATTTCTGCTCAGAGGCTTAACCTGTACCATCGATGGACGGCCCGAGTGTTGTTCCTGTGCGTCATTCTGCACCTGGCCCACTTTATCAAGACCTGGGGAGTCACTCACCAGATTCAGAACCAGGTGTCGACAAATACGTTTGCCCTGAAAGGCTTTGGAGCGTTTGGAATTCTCTGCTGGATCTTCATTTCCTCTTTTGCGCCCTTCCGAAACATGAGCTACGAGTTCTTTGTGTTCCAACACATTGTTACTATGATTGGATTCATGGTAGCAGTCGTTATCCACGCGCCCAATTACGCATACCATGTCGTAATCCCTCCTCTGGCTCTTTTTGGACTTGACAGAGTGCTCAGACTGGTCTGGAACCTGTTCATCAATAAGGCAGGGCTCAAACCTCATCAGACAGCCCTGAGAGTCGAGCCTGGAGCTGTGGTGGCCACAATTCCCACAGGACTCTCATGGTACCCTGGACAGCACATGTATCTCCGTTTCCCTAACGTATCTCCTTTAGAACAGCATCCTTTCACAATTTCCACACTGCCCGGAGACGATATGCAGTTTGTGATTCGTTCAAAGGCGGGATTCACTAAGCGGCTGCTCAAAAAGGCCTCTCAGCTCCCAGAACACGAGAAAATGACCCTTCCAGTCTACCTGGACGGTCCCTACGGCGAAACTCGTGATTTCAAGCAGTTTGACACCTCTGTTTTTGTCTGTGCCGGTATCGGAGCTTCTTTCTGCCTCCCTATCGCCGTGGACATTATTAGAAACCAGCACAAGACCATTGCTCGACGTCTCAAGTTCATCTGGATCACAAAGCGGTTCCAGGACATGGAACTGTATGCCGCCCAGCTGACTGAGCTGCTTGAATGCGCACGAACGTTCTACGATACAGCCTCTGGAATCGATGTTGTTGTCGAGATCTTCGCGACTTGTGAAGATGACTGCTGTGGGGCTGTCACTAACTGCTCTAGTTGTTGTTGTGACGAGGTGGCTGTTTCTCGGGGCGAATGTTGCTGTGCAGCTGGTATCGAGCCCCAGCCGAAAAACGAACTTACACAAGCCCAGACTGCACTTGCTCAATCATCAACGCTTTCTCCGGTATACTACGACTTCGTTGAGGCCGGGTACCTGCGTCTCAAGCAGGGACGACCCCAGCCTTATCAGTATAACCGACGAAAGAAGCTTGGATCTGACAAGTCCTTCTACCGGCTCATTTCGCCGGTCATTTCTATGGCTCAGGGTGAGTCTGGAGTGTGCATATGTGGCCCTAGACGGTTTACGAGAATTGTTTCCAACACTGTTGTTGACATCACCGACGACAGGGCAGTTCTGAGAGGTACAGGTAACCAGGCCGTGTACACACACGTGGAGCATTTTGGGTTGTAGGAAGAGGGAAAGGATGATGATGACATATATATATATATATATAATTTAACACTGCATTTGTATGGAAAGTAGCTATACTTAGCTTACAAAGAGACATATTCGCTCAAGCGCCTACATCCTGTGGTTCCTGTAACTGCGCTACAGTAGAACAACAAATTCGACAAGACCTGCATTCATAAAAAGTCATAAGCTGACTACAAGTAGATACTTGTACATGATTAGGGATTATACCAAGGAACTCTTACTCACTGTTTGTATGTAAGTTCAAATCAGTACAAGTACTCATATTCTTCATAGTAACAATCTCTAAGCAGTTTATTACACACTATCAAGGTACAGTATGTACAGTAGGTATGGCGGCATACGTCTTCGTTTTATTATTTTTGCACACGAACCTCTGAAGCGCACTGTACATTGTACATACTGTTCAGGGTAAGTCCCTTCCCATTCCAATCAATGTAACATCCCCTAATGTAAAACTTGTAGACTGCGCCAAAACCACTGGTTCTCATTCCTTCTCTCAGTCTAGTGAGGTGTCGTATCACACCAATCTGCAGTTTTAATTAGCACCATTTTATTCGCTATTCAACCGTCTATCTACACCAGTCCACCTCACTCCATTCACAAGTTACCCGCATCACTGTAGTGATCCAGCACAATTCTATATATAAAGGCAGGGCTGAACTCGCCAATGTTTGTGTTGTAGATCTGGATGTCCTCCGGGGGCACGTAATCGGCAAGAGGGTTGAACACTTGAAAGCCCTCCACAATCTCCGAGTCGGAGTAGTCGGCCACCTGTGCCGAAGAGCCAATCTCAATCATGCTGGGCACATCGAAGGGGTACACGGGGGACAGCTTGTAGATGGCTGTAAGTACCACCACGGGGGTGGAATGCTGTGTTGCTGTGGCGCAAACGAGAGCAGATCCAGCTGATGAAAGACATCCTCCATTGGCCAGCACGGTAGAAGTGCCCATGATGACTCGTCCGACCTTAGACATGACGGCGTAGACGGCAGCATCGGGGATGATGATGGCCTCGACTCCGGCCTTTGTCAGTTTCTCCACCATGTTGTGTGCTGCATCAATCTGGTTGGGGAAGCCCTCGGTGACCAGAACGGTGAAGTTTCGCTTACGTGCGGCCTTGAGCAGAAACAGCAGCACGGTTTCGGATGCAGGGGTCGGGGTCAGAATGATCTGGTTGTCGTGGATCTCGTCGACAGACATTTTGGCAATGTTCTCCTCGATGTTGGCGACCTCGTCAATCAGATCCTGAATACCCTCGATGATGTAGGGCCGGATATCTCGGTTCGCCTGTCGCAAAGCAGCCTTGTCCAGCACCTCCTCCTTCTTGTCGTTCTTCTCCAAAAGACCCAGCATGCTGCCGCTAAGCCCGCCGTTTTCGGCCTTGTGGCCGTGCTGCTCCTCCCGAATCAGTGTCAGCACTCGCGATACGATATTTCGACACGCAATCTCCTTGGGGGCGGTCTGCACCAGACGCACTCCCAGGGCACGAATGTCCTTGACTAGAGAGTCAATGTGATTCCATCTTGCGGCAGAAACAAACCGCAGAAGCAGTTGTGCCGTGGCCAGAGCAACTGCGTGTGATCCCGACAACTGTCGACGTTTCAGTTGGCTATGTTAGTTTCGGCTTGGTGAGGATGTCGTGATCCATGTCACGAGGTCTCGCAACAGCCCCGAGTTTAGGCATCGAGCCCTCTTTTTCCAGCAAGAAGCCCTCAAACACTCACCTGATGAACTGCTCAACGAAAATATCAATTTCTCGGTCGCCTCGGTTCTGACTGGACATTTTTTGGTGATGGAACTGATGCTGGAGTTTTCTCAAACTTTGCATATTGGACCTAAATTTTGATGAGAGTCACGTGTCATGCACGGTACAGTAGTGATAATCTATGGAGTCAAGAAAGTGCAATAAATGAGGAATCTGTTGTATAGAAAATTCTCGGACACAAATGATCGAACGAAAACATTGGATCGATTAGGATATCTGTGCTGTTATACTACCCTTGGCGTTTTGAATAGCGTGCGTGTTGTTTCACACACAGAGATATCTGTACATACGGCGGTTCTATGGAAGCCAGGAGCACTTCCAAAAGTGGAGAACATTTTGTACAATCTATCATGTATGCTTCGATGTCATACAGTACCATCCCCAGGAACCCTACTCCTTCGCTGCTGGCATCTGCTTGTCAATAAATAATCTCTTTATAAATAATTGTTAACGGTAGAGGCCCAGAGAGTCTTTATCGGCTCATATAGACTCGGTGTCGGACTCAGACTCACTTTCGGATTCGCTGAAGTCCATACCAAAGAAATCTCCACCCTTGGCCTTCACATTCGAGCTGGAAGATCCTGCAGAAGATGACAAGGCAGTATCAATTTCGGATACAGCCAGAGCAGCCATCTCCGCGTCCTTTCGCATCTTCTGAACGGCATCTTCATGGTCTTCCAGCAGTCGTGTGTTTTCAAACTTGCTCTTTCGACTGGACCCACTGGTCTTTTCCTTCTGCAGAATGTTGAGCAGCTTCTGTTTCTTCTCTTCGGCCTCCTTCTTCTTGATCTCGTCGGCTGTGCTGAGGTACTCTCCAAGCTCCTTGGCCTGCCGGATACTCTTCATTCGGCGGCCGTCCAGCGTTCGAAAAGAGTCGTTCTCCGTCTCCGTCTTCTTTCTATTCTTCTTTCGGGCCATACGTCCTCCCTGGGCTCGCAGCATGGACCCGAAACCACCCTTTCCACCGCAAAGACGCATATTCCAGCGCAAGTAGATGTCACCAGCTGCAGCAGACAGGCTCTCAAGACTCTGGCCTCCTCTGGTGCTGAGATATCCCTTGGCTGTGGCGTTAGGGGGCAGTTCTTTGAGAGCGCTTTCGATAGCGACGTGGACATCATCATCAGCCAAAACGTGTTTCTGGATATCTCTCAGACCACTGGGGGTGGAGATGAATATAGTGGGCATGTCGGTGGTGGTGGCGAGGCGAGGGTTTTGTGTACCGTGGTGTTGTGCTCTGGATGGATGTTGGTGATACAAATTATATTATGGTTCAGATTATGGTGCATGGTACGAGTGAGGAAAAACTCGACCAAGCACTACATTACTTGTATGTATGTACCGATCCAGAATAAGCACTTTGGACTGGATGAGACTGAATTAGAGCGGTTGGTAACTGGTTGTGAGAAAATAATATGGGTAGAATAACAGCACCAAGACGCCATCTTCACAAAAACATTCTCGGTATCAATTTGTTTGTCACGATCTTCTCTTCTGTACCGTCTTGAGAGCCCTAAACTGTAGAAAAACAAGAAAACATTACAAAACGATTCAACAAAGGCAAACTCATTGTAGAAAGACGAAAATTACTACAGTATTCGAGCCATATGGTAGAGGAACACCACGGACGCATCGGCTCATTCATTCTTATAGCCCCTCTCCCTTTGTTTTCTCATCGTCTCGGACTCATCTTCCCAGCATTACAAACCGCAAACCCTAACCGCGACTGAAAATTTAACCAAAATAGGCCCTAGAGCACACCAACAGTCAGTATACAGCATCACCACACTTGCACAAAAATGCTGGCTCGACTGATCCGTCCATCGCTGGCAGCGGTGCGTCTGCCCGCGATGCAGATGGCCACATTCAAGACCATCAAGCGAGAGCCAAAGACCGTCAACATCTACGAGCGACACCCCCGACGTCTGGGTACCGAGAACGCTCTTACACACGTCACTGACAAGCTGATGAAGCAGTTTGATCCCCAGGGCGTCAAGATGGAGCTGATGAACCCCAAATCCGCTGACCGAATCAAGCCCGGAGACATTGTGCAGATCAAGACCACTGATGGCTCTCTGTTCACGGGCCTCACCATGGTGGTGGACTTCCGAGGACTGTCCTCTAACCTGCTGCTGCGATCTAAGATCACCAAGATCGGAATCGACCGACGATTCAAGATCTTCTCTCCAACCGTCGAGTCTGTCAAGATTATCCGACGGGCCACCCAGAAGTACACCGCCGAGCGTCTGTACTACATCCGAGGCCACAAGCGTCTGGATGTTGGCGATCTCGAGGCCTCCGTCAAGAAGGCAGCCGCCAAGCGAAAGAAGTTCCTCTTCAAGTAAATGTATATAGTGAATGGAAGGATATGGAAGGAGAGCTGAGAGTAGGAATGATGGAGGGCTGGATCACTACATGTGTTTGTATGTGACATGCCAACATGGGCAGCTTGCGAGCAGCTGTGTCACAACTCCAGTGTTCCAATATTCGAGCATGGTCACATTCAGTTCCTTACAGTGTCAGGCGGCTTCTGAATCAATGCCAAATACACAAGTGCGGCCATGTGAGATCATTTGTTCCCCTTTGCTCTAAATTACAGTAGCTTATACAGTGGAACATCTCATCTCTCGAGGTTTATCTCCTTTTTCCAATAAACATTATCAACTAAACTGTCCCATTAGTTAAGACTCAACATGAACACTATCTATCCACCAATATTGTTTTAAATTTGCTTAAAAGCTGATACATCTGACAATATCACCAAATGAAACAATAAACACTCCTCCGATCCTCCCTCGGTCCCTCAATTCTCCGCCTTCAACACTGGCCATATCGTTAACGACTCAAGTCTGAAAGTTACTTTGCCCCGAGTAAAAGCTCGTATGACAAAACCTAGCAACATCGAAGTTCCAGCCTCTCATTGGATAGTTGGTGGTGTGACATCTATTTACACAATATAGAGACTCAATGACGGCCACAACAATACTACCAGATTGACAAACACCAACTTGCACCTTCAAACCCAAACCGTCAATAAGGCAACTTCTAGAGATGCTCATTTCAAGCACTTCCAGAGTGGAAAACTTGCTTGCAACCATGTGAAGTTATTGCATGAAAACGAAGGGATGTTAAAGGAGTGGAAAGTGGCGAAAAAATAATTTTTGAAGGAGTAGAATGAGGAATTGGTGCCGAATTGAACGCCCCCCAGCGATTGGTATTCACATCATTCGCTCCGCTATCATACCCCTACAATACCTTTGTCTTAATTCCGCTATTGCCCATTAAAGTTACAAGTAGGGTAAGGGGGTTCTGCAAAAGTTTTAAGTGGTTGTCCCAAAATCAAGCTGTGCTTCCTTCTCTGATTACACACCCCACAACGCGAAATGTTCTTCAAAACGCTTGCTAGTGTGCGACCCGCCGCCCAGCGAGTGGCCACCTCCGTTGCCAGCAACAAGGTCCTCTTTGCCCGAGGTTACGCTGCCTTTGACCGATCCAAGCCCCACGTGAACATTGGAACCATTGGCCACGTTGACCACGGAAAGACCACTCTGACCGCCGCTATCACCAAGGTGCTTGCCGAGAAGGGCGGCGCCAAGTTCCTGGACTACAATTCTATCGACCGAGCTCCCGAGGAGCGAGCTCGAGGTATCACCATTTCTACCTCCCACGTTGAGTACGAGACTGCTAACCGACACTACGCCCACGTTGACTGTCCCGGTCACGCCGATTACATCAAGAACATGATCACCGGTGCCGCCCAGATGGACGGTGCTATCATTGTTGTTGCTGCTGGAGACGGTTCTAAGCCCCAGACCCGAGAGCATCTGCTGCTTGCTCGACAGGTTGGTGTTCAGAACCTGGTTGTTTTCGTTAACAAGGTTGATCAGATTGAGGATAAGGAGATTCTGGAGCTCGTTGACATGGAGATGCGAGATCTGCTGACCCAGTACGGATTTGATGGTGACAACACCCCCGTCATCATGGGCTCTGCTCTGTGCGCTCTTGAGGGCAAGCAGAAGGACATTGGTGAAGACGCCATTGTTTCCCTTATGGAGGCCGTTGATGAGCACATCCCCACCCCTAACCGTGATCTTGAGAAGCCCTTCCTGATGCCCGTTGAGGAGATTTACTCCATCTCTGGCCGAGGAACCGTCGTTACTGGTCGAGTCGAGCGAGGAAACCTGAAGAAGGGTGAGGAAATCGAGCTTGTTGGCTACAACAAGAAGCCCGTCAAGGCCGTCGTTACTGGTATTGAGATGTTCAAGAAGGATCTCGACTCCGCCATGGCTGGTGACAATGCCGGTATCCTGCTCCGAGGTATCAAGCGAGACGAGATCAAGCGAGGTATGGTCATCAGCAAGCCTGGTACCGTCAGCGCCCACACTAAGTTCCTTGCTTCTCTTTACGTCATCCCCACCGAGGAGGGAGGCCGAGCCACCTCTTTTGGCAGCAACTACCGACCCCAGATGTACATCCGAACCTCTTCCGTCACCGCCATCCTGACTTTCCCCGAGGGTACCGACGAGTCCCAGACCGTCAACCCCGGTGACAACACTGAGATGGTTTTCGAGCTTGTTCACCCTACCCCTGTGGAGGTCAACCAGCGATTCAACATCCGAGAGGGTGGAAAGACTGTTGGTACCGGTCTTGTGACCCGAGTCATTCAGTAAATGTATATAGTATCTAAGATCTGAATTGAGTTGACATACGAATACTCTCACATAGACATAGACACAATGGGAGAGGGGAGAAGATTGGTGTAAACTAACCGCCACAGAGGTGGACTGTTCGGTCTGGATTGAGTGGTGTATTATATGCCCTCTACGCTTTGTCCACCACATGTATTTCAGGGCAGCGGCTCTCTCCGAACCAGCGAACCATACAATCGAGCCACCTACAGGTGACCCGACACAGCGATGCTGGCTAGTTTGCCGACGACCAACAGTTACTGGCGACATATATTGAGGCATCATACACAATCTGTCTCCGTTCTTGTTATGTATTGTCCCGTTCGTTGGATTCTGGCGAAAACACAAAACAGGCAGTTGCTGTGTCTTCGAGTAGTTCTTCTGATCTGAGTACCCGTTTCTCTTCAGCTATCTGCACGGTAATATACCAGCACCGGTACAGATGGCTAATAGTTTGTGATCATGATCATTCTTAATAACTCATCACCCCAAAATGCTCTCCACCTACAAAGTGACACTAAGGAGGAGAACCTTCCCTGGCCAAACAACTATCTCCGTAAAAAGTGCGAAGGACGAGTTTATGGCCCATTCGATAGGAAACAGATTGATGGGCGTCTCAGAAGTGTCACTCTGGATCACCTCCAATGTCAGAGACGCCGTTCCACAATGAAACTCCTGTTCGAAGCGCTCCACGTGTTCTGTAATACAGTCTCCGAGCTGAAGAACATTGAGAACTTCCCATTTTTTTTTCTATACATCAATTGAGTGGGATCCCAGACATCATAATGTAGATTGTCTCCTCTTCATTGAATACTCCATTTTTAGTCACCCACACATACATATTTTATATATGACTTGTCAGGTAAACATGCATGAAAGTGAGTGATATATTACCAAATATTAACGACAAGTTGAAATTTTTTTCATGGCACGACAATATATCATCTTTCACTTCTTAGTGTTAGTAATCACCTCTCCACCCCGCGCGCCATGCACTTCAAGCTAAATCTCGAACTGCTACTGTACCTATACACTAACCTGAAGAATTTAGTACTGTACATACTTGTACTTTCGACACAGGACGACAAGATCATGTCCTGGATCGATCGAGAGTTGGAGGAATTTACCAAGGAGTACACGCCGTTCGTCAAACATGTGACTGTCGAAAATGGTGGCTCTTTGAAGATCGAGTCCTTGGACGGGGAAATACATTACGGCTTCAGTTACCGAGGATGGATGGACAGATCAGAATGGACAACGGTACCCGACAAGTCAGGCACTGTTGTCGGCAAACTCTCCTGAGTTCGTTCATAAGTGGCACGACCAGCTGTTTACTGCTCTTAGTCGCGTTAAAGATGATCAAAAATGAAGCTGGAGATGAAGCATCTTTGAATGTCTGACGCACCCAGCTGGGTGAAGCTCTTTAAAGAGATTCAACATTATCCAGCCTATGGCAGGCTGGCAAAGAAGGGATCTGGTATCTCATACAATCTCAGAACCTTCAACAATTGAACGTCCTGCCAGTATGCAAAGTGCAAGCGCGAGTGGACAAATTTCACTCTTGCTGGAGCCGTTGATCCAAGCGGCTATCTGCTTCACTTCATACATACACACAAATTGTCGCTGGTATTTGAATCCACGCGGCTCGGGTAAAATACAATATTTTCTTTATGCCTATTTAATGTTAGTTGTCTATTTGACGGCCTTCTTAACGTCCTCCTTGTACTCCTCAGCCTTCTCCTTGGCATCGTCAGCAACATCCTCAGCCTTGTCGGCAGCGTCCTCAGCGGCATCAGCAGCACTCTTCTTGGCCTCATCGAATTTGCCCTTTGTCTTCTCCTTGATCTCGTCAGCAGTGCTCTTGACCTCGGCCTTGAGCTCCTGAGAGTGCTGCTTAGCCTCAGCCTTTGCTTCCTTCAGTCGGTCCTCCTCCTCCTTCACAAGCTCCTTCCAGTCATCGCTGTGCTCAAGCTGGACGTGGTGGTGGTGAACCTTTCCATCCTTTCCAAGGAAGTCTCGAGAGTTGTTACCGCCGCCAAGGTTATCACTGGCAGAGAAAGCAAGAGTGGCAAACAGAAGAATGATTGTGGAGGCCTGGGCGTACATTCGAGCCTGGACAATCTTCTGGGTACTAGTCATGTACTTGTCTCGGAAAACATACCACATGGAACCAGCCATGGAAACAACCCAACCACCAAAGACACACTTGTACTTGTGTTCCTTGAGGTAGTGCATGAATCCGGCTTGCTGCTCTTTTCGGTGCTCCATGTCGAGATATGCACCAGAGTACTTCTTGTCGTCATATGCCTCTCCAGCCTTCTCAGCACCAATTGAGAAACCAGCCAGACCGGGGACAATGCCGGTTCCGACCTTTACTGTTGCACTCATGTTTCCAAACAGATGAGGCTGTCGCTTCTTGAGAGTGAATGCCAGACCGATACCCAGCAGGGCACCAACACCAGCGCCCTTGATACCGCCAATCAGACAGGTGTGGTTGTATTCTTTGATTTCTTCGGGAGTAGCGACTTTCATTGTGTAATGTGTAGGAAATGTGTTTGTGTGATGATGAGAGAAGACTGAAACCGGGAAATCAACCTCTACTTATACGCAAAACCGTCGTCTAGACGCCTTGTAATTTGCTACACTATATCAACATCAGACTTTGGCTTGCTGCAGAGGTCTGTAATGTGCGGTCAGCAGTATACCACATACAACAAATTGCTGTGACGCTTGGAAATACACATCTAAATAATAGGTATGGGTTATTCTCAAGGGTTTAAATTGATTTCTGGCCGTTTAAATCAAGCCAGCAGCCTCGTTCGTCGTCCCAGGACCTCTAGTGTCCTCCCCGAACTGTTCCCAGTGTCGTGCGGCTCGGAAATATATCTTCTCTAAACAGAGTTCCGGTAGCCTCTATGTTGTGCGGCTCGTTAATTGCGGTTTTTCAGGGCACCACCCAGATACCCATTTGGTGCGGCTCGTGAATGGGTCCCCGAAGGAATGCACTTCATGGACCACTCAGACATCATACAACGAATCTAACTGATATGTTATGCGGCTCGCGTCTTCCGCTGCAACGTCTTCGCGTTTCTTTGGCAACTACACCGTTGAGCACTCTGTTATTATGACCTGTCTATATGCCGTCAGATAAGCATTGACATGCAGAAAGCCAGCTAGCGTTCATTCGCTCCCCTCTCGTCTAAGCACGCCCCGTTGCAATTGCATAAACAGTTAGAGGCCGTGGATGAGTGAACGAGAGCGGGCCAATGTTCCATAACCTTCCAACGACTCTCAGACACTTACTGTAATCGCAGAGTGTAACGCTCCAAGTCTATTGCACTTCGGACGGGAAAGGAAGGCATCTCCACATTAGCCCTCCGTGCTCCTTGTAAACGATAGGTTACACTAATTCGTTGAAATGGGCTTTATCTACCGTACTACTCCATTGTACTGTACGTACAAAACGGTATGTAGCTGCTGGTAGTTTCTGCGTCTTCTCCACACACCATGCTGCTCTCCCACATTTTCTCTACTGCTGCCTTGGTTGCGGCTCGGCACAGCCTTTCAATACCAACCTTGTCGTGGGCTGCGGCTCATGAAAGAGACCAAAACGGAAGAATATAACGGATCCTCCGTCCATCTGACATCTGTACATTATTTATTTGTTCCAACACATATGTGTCACGGCATCGGAGTTCTTTAACCGATCTCTGGCTTACATTGATTTTTTGTCTCAATTTTTTAAGGTCTTGTGCTTTTGCTATAACGCATCTGGATTGCGATCTCTCATTTCTTTTGACCGTTTTTTTCGATCGCGAAAATACACACTACTTGTACCGCAATAAGTTCGTCAAGTGAAACCCCCCTTGATATTACATCATTGCGCATGAGTTGAGATGATACCTGGCGTTTAGTCCTTATGAACATTTACAGTCACACTACAAGTAATTAGCTACATATATCATCAGAAGCCGTAATAATTAGCGCCGTTAACCACACCCGTATGTACGAAAATGTGCATGAGGGATATTCACTTGTACAGGATTATTACTAAATCCGGAGATTGCAGCACGCAAGTGGTATCATTTTTTGTAGCGTCAGAAAGGTATTCGTACGAGTACGAGTTCAATAGTATGTACATACTTGTAGTTATCCTTCTATACTTGGGTAGATTCCGTGCAGAGTGGTGATGTGGCAAGTACGGGTTTAAGACACGTTCCCGGGATATAGCCGTTCAAGTACAAGTACAAGTACTGTATACAACTATTGATTATGGATCATGGGCAATGTTTTTCTATTAGTCTAGTATGTACAATAAATTAGTTCTTAGCAGCGTTGAGTCGAGCCTCCTCGTCCTCAAGCATTCGCTTCCAAGCATCCTTCTGGTAGTCGTAAGACTTGATCTGGACGGGGTGCTTCTCCTCGTACATGGTGAGACCAAGGGTACCGAGCAGGAGTACGACAGTGAGGGCCTGGGCGTACATTCGAGCCTGAACCACCTTCTGGGGTTGAGTCATGATCTTGTCTCGGTTAATGAGCCAGAGAGAACCTCCGACGGAAGCAGCCCATGCGCCGACAATCATCTTGTATTTGTTCTGAGAAACGTAGTAGAGGATTCGCTGGGAAGTGGGAAGAGCCTGGATCTCCTTCTGTCGGGCAATCTCATCGGGGTGGAGGTCACCAAACTTGTAGGCCTCTCGGTCATAAGCAAAAGATCGCTGCTCAGCAGAAAAGACCATACCAATGGAGGCGGGAGCGAGCACAGTGAAGGCCTTGGCGAAACCTCCGTAAGTTCGGTAGACAGGTCGCTTTCGAGCAGCATACAGAAGACCGAAACCAACAACGGTACCGATACCAAGACCGACAAAGCCGTGCTTGAGAATATCGTTGTAGAAATCGTTGGTTTGTTCCTTAGTAACGAGCTTCATGTTGTTTGTGTTGTTGTTGTTTTGATTGTGGAGGGGGGTTTGTGATGTATGTGAATACTGGTTGTCAAAAGTGGCTGAAAATCGTCTTTTTATAATAGTGCAATTTTTAGGTTGTGTGTGCCCGGCATGTTCCGTGATCGCGCCACAATCCAAACATCAAACTCTAATGCAATTAAGCTCAGGTAATTGTGGCTTGTGACTCAGAGTATTACTAACTCTTCGGAAGTGGCGGAAATGGCGGGTTTCCTGTATCAAACGATACAACACAGCTAATGCTATGAAACCACTTTTAATAAACTACTCCAAACATCCCATTTACTATGATATCAATAAAGACACAAATAAATTACGCCACAATTTCTCTTTTTCCTCTTTCCAAATGTTGCTATTTTTGCCGTATGCGGCGCTTCAATTTTTTCCGCTACGTCATGCAGTCTAGACCATTCGATTTGTGGCGCACGGACTGGCTCTCTTTCGATACAGACAACCGCAAGTATCCGTAACAAAGACATAAGGTTTCAGCCACGGCATTTCAGCGGAAGCCAGTAGCACACAAAGAAACTCTTAGCCACCACACAAAAACGGCAAAAAAGCTCCGAGCATACAAAACAAGACCGGATGACAATGAGAATCGGACCATAAATACAAAAGTAATAGCAGATAATCGATTTTTATATACAGCTACTTCTTTACCCGTGTGCTTGTTTCACCTCCTGGTCGGTGTCTGAGAGAAGAAAAAAATAAGGAGCTTGGCACCCGACGGAACTCCTTCCGATCCCTAGCCACAGACCTAAAACCGATTAGACGCGATTATATTTTTGGTGAAGGGTCTCATCTGCACCGCCATGCGTGGAATCTGGTCATATGTGGCTACTCTGAGCAGTTCGGGAAAGACCTCGTCTGCCGGAACCCCTTGAGCAAGCATTGTCCCCACGACACCAGCCACAATTGGTGCTGCCATCGATGTACCGGATAAAGCCATTGTTCCATCTGTGTTAGAATGACAACGTGGTGTGTCAACATATTCAAGTTGGGTAGGTACTTACAGTCGTTGCTGAGGGACTGGACAAAGACCCCTGAGGCGAAGATGTCAACACAGCTGCCGTAGTTGCTGAAGCTGGCGATGGTGTCGCCCCTGTCGTCAATAGCACCAACAGTAATGGACTTGCTAGACGATGCTGGACTCGATGTACATGCAGGGACGCCACTATTGCCTGCAGCCACGACCACTGGCAGGCCTGAGTCCACGGCTGCGTCGATTGCATCGTTCAGGAGACGGTTGTAGGTTGCACCAAGCGAAAGGTTGGCGACTGCGACCAGGTCCCTGCGTGCCCGGTCATTCGCCGCAAAGTCAATCCCTGCGATGACCTGCGAAAGTGACCCATCGCCGTTTCGCCCGAGAACCTTGACTTCGATAATGTTAATCCGCTTCGCCACGCCATAAGTTCGAGAGCCAACCAGGCCTGCAACATGAGTTCCATGACCGTTGGTGTCACCTGACCCTTCTCCCGTGAAGTCTGCTCCAGCATTGGCTCTGCCTCCAAACTCGGGGTGGTCAACGTTAATGCCTGTGTCAATCACGTACGCATGGACGTTCTCGGTGTTATATGGGTTATGCACAAACCACAGCGGCGAATTGGTGCCAAGAGGCGGCGATGGCGCGTCGTCTGCAGGGACAGTTCCAGAGACATCATCATCTGGAAGTCTTCTTCGAGACCAGAGTCGCGCCAGATGTCTGGGGGCGTCGTTCTGTCTGAGACGGCTGGAAGGGAATCGTTGAGTGGTATGGACCATGACGTCAGGACTGATGTCTACGACCCAGGGACATCGTCGCAGAGTCGATAAAAAGCTGGAATCAAACGCCCCACTGAATCCTTTAAACTTGCCGAACGCAAAAGTAGATTTAATATAATCTTTGGCTTCCGGGTACACACCCAGGTATGCAGATACACTTGCAGTGTCTGCCAGCTTGACGATGAGGTCCAGCTTCCCGATGGGCAGGCTGGGCTGGAAGAGATTCTGTTGGGCCTGAAGTGGGTCATCAATGGTGAAGTTTCTGGGTTCTTCAATGATATCACGAATGTTGAGGGTATCGCCAGGATTAGAGGTATCTGGGACATCGAGAGCAAAGCCGACGGCTAGAAGGGTAAGTAGATGAAGCACTCTCATCAGTCAGTGGGGTTTCTCAGAAGGTATCTGTAGTGGTGTTGGTTAGCCAGGGGGTATCTTTTTTGTGTTGTGAACAGCGGTTGTTTAAGTGAATGTACAAGTAAGCCCCTGCGGTTTAGAGTGAAGGGTGGGTGGTTGGTAAATGCATGCTACACGTGACCTCGTAACCAACCTACAAGTAGGACACTTACGTGTAAGCACCAAGATAGCGGATAATCAGATGCCCCTTACACAGGAAAGCCTTAATAGATATACTCAACAACTAATAATGGCAAAAAATAGTCCAGTGGGCAAAGAAATGGCTGCAAACAAGGAAGGATTTATACACGCTACTGTTTCAGCAGGCTAGATCAACCAATCACCATACAGCTGTGCACCGCCACAATCAAGACTCTACTTGTAGTAGACGATCAACTCGAACTAGTACTTGTGCCGTACTACGAAAGCTCTAATAACTAGCCCAAAGGCTCGTGGTTAATTATATATAGTGTACGTGTTGATGTTGTACATTGTGCCGCTTAGCACTGCACGTCAGCACCGGCCTTGGAGTTGAGCAGAAGAGCAACAATAAGACCATAGAGACCCAGGACTTCGGCGAAAATGAGAATAAGAATCATACCAACGAAAAGTCGAGGCTGCTGTGCGGTACCTCGGACACCAGCGTCACCAACAATGCCAATAGCGAAGCCGGCAGCGAGACCGGACAGACCGACGGACAGACCAGCACCGAGCTGGATGAAACCGGCGTACAGAGAAGATTGCTGCTGGAGAGATCCGGAGATAAGGACGGAAACAACGAGACCGTAAATGGCAAGAATACCAGCCATAATCACGGGGACTGTGTTCTTGATGAGCAGGTCAGGTCGAAGGACGGAGGTAGCGCAAATACCAACACCAGACTTGGCGGTTCCGTAAGAAGCGCCGAAACAGGTGAAGACAATGGCGGCAGTGCAGCCGATGGCTCCAAAGAAGGGCTGAGTTAGTAAGGGTTTTGATTGAGTGAATGTTTCTGTAATTAGGGGGCGATGTGATTAGGTTGATGTCGTCGTGTCGTTGTCGTGCGTCGATAACTCGGACATGCCCACACTGTGTTATTCGCAAGCCATCACATGGAGGATTGCTATGAGCGTTGTTGTCGGTCTGCATCCATCACACAGTCGATTTATGGCCTTCCATCGCCACAATTGTCGCATCCAGTCATCATGTCGCTTGCAATGTTCATGCAGCGACTTGTCGTCGAGTACTTACAGCATAGACGGGGCTGAGTTAGTAAATGGATCCATTTCGGGGGACTGCAAGTATCGCAGTTGCGTGTCGCAGCGTAGATACTCACCAGAATTCAGTAGCAGTCAGAGCCATCTTGTCCTTTTTGTGTGTTAGTGGTGAGTGATGTTGATACCTCAATCGATGACAAGCGTCGAACAGTGTGTGCTGTGACGAGGAGGCAACCGAATAGAGTTATGGTAGGGTAACTTAGGGGAGTTCCCAATGATAGCGCAGAGAGTAGAATAATGGTGCTGTTAGCGTCTGAGTTAAACTGGTGATTAATGTCAATGACGGACGGAGGAATGTTGAAGGGTGGTCTCCAGATTGAGGTTCGAAGACAGCAGTGTTCATGTCATATGACCTGTCGTATCCATTTTAATTCACCTTGCTGCGATCTAATGTTGTGTATTGGCGTGCGATTCGGTGACCCAGAAGTCTCACGCAAGAAACCGTTAATGCTTGTATGACTTCCGGTTTCAGGGACACTTACAACGGCTCATCTCAGCTCAATGAGATCCACTTTGTAGATAGACTGTGTCTTGAAATATTAGACTGCAAATATGATGCTGGGTTGGAGACCTTATGATGAGAGATGGCTAAACTCACCACCGTACATCTAACTAACGCATAAGACACCAGAATTCTCATCGGAAAACACAATTACGCTTCTTGAGATACCTACATTACATTGATTTCACTTTTTTCTCCAATATCTCCACCCCCACCTCCAAAACACTCTTTGCCACCATCCACTCAGACCATTAAACTCCATGCGTCTAACCACACCCTCCCATCTTAATAAGCACAGTGTACGTCGTCTTCTTTAGGGCAACCTTATTTGAAATTTTTGTCTGCATGTATTGGGATATTTTCCCACTTTGAATTCTTCTTCTCTAAGGCGAGCTTTGCAAGGAACCTTTACCACCAAACACACTAACCATCAAAAATGTCTGAGCCCAACCCCAAGGCCTTCCCCCTCGCCGACGCTGCTCTCACCCAGCAGATTCTGGACATTGTCCAGCAGGCTACCCATCTTCGACAGCTCAAGAAGGGAGCCAACGAGGCCACCAAGACCCTCAACCGTGGTATCTCTGAGTTCATCATCATGGCCGCCGACGCCGAGCCCATCGAGATTCTTCTCCATCTCCCCCTCCTCTGTGAGGACAAGAACGTTCCCTACATCTTCGTTCCTTCCAAGGTTGCCCTTGGCCGAGCCTGCGGTGTCTCTCGACCCGTTATCTCCGCCTCTGTCACCTCCAACGATGCTTCTCAGCTCAAGGACCAGATCATCCAGATGAAGGACAAGATCGAGCGACTTCTCATTTAATTTAATGTATTATATGACTTCGAACGGAAGCCAAGGGCGTAGATCTGAGCGGACAACAGCGGATTTTCTTCAACTAGGACTGTAGGCTTGGGTAGATGCGATCTTTAGTACACCATAGTGAATCGTCCTTCTTGTACTCGCATCACTTCGATGATCTCTGTAGCTACATTTACGAGTAATATGTATATATATATATATATATATATATATACAGTCCATGACTTAGGTTGGGTCAGATCAGTTCCTTGTCTCTTAGACATGAGATACAAGATGCCTCGGGGTAGTTAATTATTGTTTTTTTGCAGCCTTAGATCACACACACACACACACAAAAATGAACCAATACTAAGCATTTCCCTTTTTCTTTTCGGCTTCATTTTCAAAGTCGAAAAAAAAAAATTCTTCCGGGACCCACTTTCGTTCTTTCAATGGCCAACGTCTATCAGCCGCACAACTGTTTGCCCTGCACTTCAGACTGCATATGAAGACAACAAACCTTGCCACAGCATGCCATGAACAAACTAAAGCTGGTGAAGACGTCCAAGGAGCTGGCGCTTCAACAAAAGCGACAAGGCGGTGATGCCAGCTCAGATGAGCCGCCAAAGCAGCAGCTTCACATCACCGAACCTCCGTCGATTGTGGCGTCTGAAACAGGCAACCTCAAGTTGGTGGTCCCACAGACAATCTCAGAACACAACCAGCTGATTGTCAATGAGCCTGTGGCGCGCCAGAAACCGAGGAATCCTGTCAAGATACTGGACGAAGATGATTATGCGCAAAAACTGAAGCAAATCATCGAATCTGGAGGAGATACAACGGCCTTTCAACAAAAACACACCACAGAAGATAACGCCTCGTTTCAGCAGCTGATCCAGGTGGATAACGCAAGAAGAGACGTGAAAACGGCCGACAGATTCTCAACCACAAAGCTCGACAATGACTGGGACAAGCCCAACCCCAAAAGTGCCCTATTCTTCAGACCAAAAGATATCCCCCAGGAACCGTCTCTTAGAGGAGAGATCGCCGTGGAAAATACCATTGTGGTGAAGGAGAATGTGGAGGTGGAGGACCCCAGCAAGAAGTCAGAACAGATTGCTGACGATATCATTGCTGCGGTGAAGGGCCCGCATGTTGATGGGTATCCGTTCGTGACCAAAAACACATATAAGATCGCTCCAGAGTCCAAGGAGTCCATGCTTTTGAGAAAACTCACTGCAAAGAAGACTGCCAAGGTCACCGGAGACGTGACTCCACGAGGTGACCTCTCTCCAGCAGGTAGAAACCTCCTGAACAAGATTTCAAAGAGGAGAAAGTGATTTGTCCCTGACTCTCTACTATTTATTCATATTATTTATACATTATTCATTAAATCACAACCACTACTGCCTCGTATAATGCTTCCTTGTCATATATCCATATTCTATTCATTCTATCACTGTCATTACTCATTAAAGGATCCTGGACTTGTGGGTCCGTTGGTCCTGGGTTGGTTAAATTCGATCATCCAACAGCCCCTCCTCGAGAGCCTGGGTCTCCTGGGTCCACTGACCACTGTTCCATCGTTCGGAGAAGTTGCCAAAGAAACCCTTTATGTTATTGGACATTTTTGTGATCTGGGTATCGGGGGACGCGGGAGGCACCTCGAATCGAGGGTTGGGCACTCGCACGCCCCCAGAGCTTCGTCCATTCATTTCAATCTCTCGGAAAATGAGATCTCGGCCTTCAATGTAGAGAGAGGCGTCGTCAGAGTCCTCCTCCTCATCGGTGAAGTCCAAACCGAAGCCGAACCAGCCCTTGATCTTGTCGTAGACGTTGAACAAAGTCAGGCCAATAGGCACGAGGATGAATCGGGGGATTCCGTCGGAAAAGAAGGTGCCAAGAGGAGTCAGGTTAATGTACTTGCCCAGGAACGCTTGGAAAACGGACTCTCGAGAGGGAATCAACATGAGGTAGTTGTAAGCGATGGGGACGGTCAAACGACAGGCGTACATGGCGTAGAAGAGCATGGACGACGCGTCAGAGTGCTGTCGAACCAAACCGTAGACGTTGAAGACACGCACTCGGAAGAGGGACGACACTGCAGTGTAGCACATGTATCCGAGAATAAAAGAAGACACGACCTGCTGACCAAAGCCCTGCGTGGACGAAATGATAATGTTGACAAGCGAGTACTTGGTTCCATACAGCAATTCACTCCACACCAGAGTCAGAGATAACAGACCCCAAAAAACAGCTCCAAGACGCATTACCCAGGGCTCAACCAGAGAGTAGTAAATGTGAGCGACATTTGGCGGCAGTCGAGTAGACGATCTTCGGAACTTGAGGTCTCCGTGCGAGTTGACAATGTCTTCATCTCGCGCAGCTTCGTCCACCAAGTTCTTCCAGTCCATGGTATATCGAATAAGTCGGAATTCAGCCTTCTGTAACGATCTCTGGAGGTTTGACAGATACTCTTCGGAGATCCGGGATCGCTCCACGGTGGCGGGACGTCCTCTGGGAGGCAGCTGGACCACATTGGAGGTGTCTTCGATGGAGTCACACAGCTCGTCGACCCAGTTAGTGTACTGGGTGTGTTCTCGGTGGACTCTGAGTGCAAGCACCTCGTTGGACACCTCAATGTACTTTTGCTGGGCCTCGGCGTATCTGTCGTGTACCGAGACGGCCTTTCTGTAGTGCTGTCTGACACGTTCAGTGGGGGCCGCCAGGATCCAGAGTCGTCGGGGCACATTGACAAGGCCGTGACCCATGAACCAGATGGCGAAAATCAGCGTGTAGGAGTATGACAGGGCAATTGCCACCTGCTTGATACTGGTGATTGACAGGCCGGTGGAGATGATGGTGTAGATGAGTCCAATGAGACCCACGCCCAGCAAAATGCCCTGGTACTTGAGGTTGTACATGATTGCTTCCCGGGCCTTCTTTCTGGGGTCGTGGTGGCCACTTTCGACGTAGCTCTGCAGCAGGGGCAAAACTGCCCATGTCAGCACAAATGCCAACCAGTAGGAGACTCGCCAGAGAATGAGACGCACGTTTTCATTGAGATAGAAGAGCGGGTGGCCCTCGCCATTGGAGCTGGCCGATAGAAGGTCAATGGGGACCAGAACGACAATGGAGAAGGGAATGTAGACTGCCAGCACCAAAGGCAGGAGAATGAACAGCGGAGTGCTCTTGATGGAGGAGTACTGTGAGATCCACAGAACGGAACACACGGCGGTGGCGCAGAAGGCCAGAATTGGAAATAGCTGTGTTAGCATTGGGAAAAAAGAAGCGGCCGCTTCATTTGCGTCTCTCTCAGTTCAACTCACAATCATCGCGTGGTGAGAGTTTGGTCGTGTTCACTGGCGTTATGCAGTTAGTTCGTGGTCCGTCACGTGATGCCTCTGGGACATTGCGATATTAAGTCGCCGGCGAGCAAATGGAATGTGGTTAGCTAGGTAATATTTTGGTTCTGACGGTAAATACTCCGTTACGTGCTTCCTTTTCATTTCCCTCTCTACAGACACATTGTTGCAACATCCCTCTCCAATTCATGTCCGTGATAGTGTATGACCATGCATGCATATTATGAATCGCAGCATACACAATTAGTTCCCCAGAACACAACATGTCTGAGATTGCTAAAGCATTGGATGCTATGTGAGTACGACGAGACAAACCACCAAATCACACTAACACAGGCTGCAAGACTCGGGAGAGCTCTCCGGAGCTATTGCCATGAGACCCGATTATTTGTGCATCGGAGGTGAGTATGAGTGGTGGATGGAGTCTCGTTTGGACGTATCTAACACAGCTCGAGGAGTCGCTGTGCCCAAGGACGCTAGCCACTTTGCTGAGGCAGAGAAGTTGTTTGATTCTGACGGCTGTGTGTCTATTGAATTCAAGGATTATCTGGTGACTCTTCAGAAGGGTCATGGAGTGATTATTGGAGTGTACCGACCTAAATAAGGGTCCAATATCGATACGCAGCGAGCCCCGGATGAGCATGTGAGGCGAAAAGGACCTGTTAATTTGAGAGATCTCACCACATGATCTTGAGGGTACATAGCGAGCAGGTGTAAAATAAGTATATATGATGATGTATAGCGCCATTATGAGAAAAGGCCAGCCTAATCAATGCAGCGATCTTAATAGTTTTGTGTTACTGGTCTTCTTCATGTGCACCGGCTCTGTCAGTTGTATACTACAATGTATTGGCTATCTATGACGATGTACAAGATTAATTTAACTGTTTGTGGAGGCTGTATTCGGAGATGCAGACTGAGTGCCTACGTCTTCTTGCACACCCCTCTATCTTCCTCCCAGTCCCTTAAGGGAGGACATGGTAGCGACACTGGTTCGAGCAAGGCGCAGCTCGGACATCACCAATTCATGGATCTTGAATGTCTTGCGCCAGTCATTCTGATCGGAGGAGTGGTCAACCATATCCTTGATCAGCTCCTCGCCTTGCTCGAATGCAGGAGTGCCCTGGGACTTGTCCCACTTGTCGAATGCCGACAGCAGAGTCATGAACTGTGACGTGGAGAAGTTGAACTGCTGACTGATGGGCGACACGTAGTTGATGAGCTGGTGGATCAGCAGACCCAGGTACTCGGTGGGCAGGAGTGGGAACTCAAACAGAGCCAGCAGATACTCAGACGACTTGACCAGCTGGCCAGAGCGTCTCAGGTTGAAGTACTCTGTCAGAACAGCGTAAGGAGCAATGCATTCGGCCACCTCTGCAGGCACGTCAGAGACAGAGGCAGGATCCTTAACGTAGTCTGCCAGGCTCTTATCTCCTTCCACGGGAGACTCGGCCACAAGAGCATTTTTAAACAGCTTCCAGCAGTGGTATCGGAGAGCTGCAATGTTGCCGTTCTTGGCAAACATGCAGAGACCCATGAGATTGTTGTTGTTGTGGATGGCCTTTTGTGCGAGCGTCTGAAGAATCTCGGCCTCGACTTCCACTAGTCCGTTCTGCTTACATTTCTTGATGGCCCAGTCGATTTCACGGGCAGAATCGTAGGGTAGGCGAGGCAGCAGCAGACTGAGAATCTGACGGGCAGGGGCAACGTCTCGCAGCTTCTGCAGAACCTCGATTCCGACGTTGATGAGATTGTCGTAGCCAATACACTGCAAAGCGAGGTTAGTGAGATGGTAATCGGGCAGAGCCGCAGGGTTCGCAGCCCCATATCCATTGAGAAGACCGGCATCGTAGCACATGTTAGACACAAGAGCAGCAATGACTGAATCGCAGTTCTCCAGGGTTTCAATAGCCAGCAGCAATGAACCCTTGATGGCGTGGCTGGCCCCTGCTTCCCAGACGGTAAAAGTGTCCACCGGATAATTGGCAACAGCGGCATCATAGTAGCCCTTCATTCGAGAATCACAGGGATCCACGTACTGCTGCTGGGTTACCAGAGCATCGTACCAGGTGTGATTCGTGCCCATGATGGCGTCTTCGTCTCCGGCAAGCACCTGAAGCAGAGTAGTGAGTCCCTTCTGGATCTTTGCGTCGTTGATCTTCAGCAGCTTACTCTGAACGGTACTAATGGAGTTGTGCCATTGTCGGAAGTAAAAGGATACGTTTCCGGGTCCCTGGGGGTATCTGCTGAGAATGTCGATAGTCTGTTCGAGTGTTTCCTGACAGGAAGGATCGACTTCCCCTGCTCCACTGTTATGCAAGCAATGAGAGGCTTGTTTGAGCATACCTCGACAGACCAGTTGGTAAATGTACTTCCAAAAGTCCTTATGTTGGACCGGCGGGGTCTGTGACATGACTTCCTTGCCCAGCTCGACACTGGGCTGCTGTTCTGAGACGTTGACCCATTCCACCAGAGGCTGTCTAACCTCGTATGTGGACTGGGAACCAAAGAAACCTGACTGCCCAGCGGCTCCATTGTGAAAGTACACGGCGTAAATGCACAGAGCAATACTGTACGCGTCATCCAGAGGCTCGGCTTCGACAATATCGACATCCTTCCGGATCTCCTCTCGATAATGCTTGATGCTCTCTATGAAGTCTGCGAATCGTTGCGTCAGATCTTCAGCGGCCTGGGGACCAAGTGTCGTTGCGAATGCTTCGGCCACGAAGCCCTTGTAGTTGTCGCTCCACTCGTCTCCGACGCGTGTGGTTGTTGGATACAGAGTCCGATCCTCCTTTGTAGCGTGTCCGTCTTGCCCGGGCTTTGCATCGAACCAAGCAATTCCGCGAGCAATCACGGGATCCATGACAAAGCCCATGTTTCGGCTCTTCTGCCATTCCTCCACCTGCCCCTCGGGGATGGGTGCTCCTGGGAGAGTTATCTCAGGCAGTTCTGTGTCGTCGCCGTCGAGAATTGTTTCCATTTCGGCCTCACCAAATTCTCTGGCGGTCAGTGGGTCGGGAGATATGTAGTTGTCTGCGCCATTTATGGTGGCTGGCGGTGCGGAAAACATGGTAGATGGCTGGAAAATCACCACTTTGCGATATACACAATCTTTTGGGAATTTTGTTGCACTGCGCCTAAACAGTATGTTTGCGGTTAGGGCTGGGTTGGTTGGGAGAGGCTAGTGTGGATTTTGGCTAAGTATTGGATAAGTAATGTTATTTTTCAAATAACAATTCCCCATTTAGATTGTAAATAACGGATAAATGGAAGGTTTGATTTTGTTAGAATTACTTGAAGAAAATTAGATTGGCGGACACCGACATGTTAAATGACGTCAAGATATGCACCTGTGAAATATCACACATAAAGTCGATGCCACAGTAGCCCAGTAGATGTGTACTCGAACAATTGCAGATATGAGATGAGGGGAATATAGACCCGAATCCCATGTAACTACCGCGAAAACAATGTCCGCCTTTGTACAATCACTACGCGACACATCTGTCTCCAGGTGCTACCGTCGTAACCTGTAAGCTACCGCATGCTCGAGTCACTGAGGATCTGCAGTGCCCTATTCATCAGGAGTGACGGCACGCCTGGTATACGCGTGTAGTATGACGTTCTTGCCGGGGAGCACGTACAGCAACGTGTTGGTGATGAATTTTGCTCATTCCAAAGCCCTCTACAAAGGGGTACCTGGTCCTTCACAGCCTCAATTTACAGTCTCTTTTATGCTCCGTGCCTATAGTGCGGTTAAGCTCGGACCATTTTGGAGCTGAACATCGTGCGTATGTCGTACAGTTAAAATGGAAGGTTGGTGGAAGGGAGGAAGCAATAACAGAAGGGCGTGAAACGAAGACAGATAATGATACTCGTACCCGTAGATGAGGTGAGGACAAAAAGCTACGACGTACAAAAAAAATGCCACAAATTGACACGTTGTTCCACATTGCAGTATAACCACCCCCACATTTGCTACACCCTATCGCACAGGGCATCACACGCTGCATCCGAGACAGTGGGGAGCGTAATACACCGCCGAGGCTTTTAGCACTTGAAGCTGCTCTCGACCAGTGGGTGCAGTGGTAGAGAATAAACACGCATCACGTGACCGGATATGCCTCTGAAATGTGCCTTGCAATTTGCGTGGACGGTGAAATTGCCACTGGAGATATTTATAGCGGGCAGAGTTATTTATAGATGTGGGGTCAGGTTGAGCAGTGCAACTGAGCAGAGTGGTTTACGAGTAAGAGCGGTGGTCCATTCCGGGAGAGACCAAGTGAGGTTGCTCGCGATGGGGCTGAAGCCTCGCTCATCTTACGTGTACCTCTCAAAGCCCATATGGCATCCTTCTACGGCGTCCTCTATTTTGCTTCGCCAGAGACAAGCCTTTTTGTTGCTGCTCCAACTGTAGCTACGTCATGCAAACAAAGTTAGGCTCAGACAATCGAAGACTTGAACTTGGGACACAGGAGCACTCAGGAAGGAGGAGAGTAGCAAGTACCGACAGCAGTACAAGAACAAGTAGCAGCACACCAAACAGCAGCAGCACTAGCGTTCTCGACCAGCAGCAGCATCAGCAGCTACAGCTACATCAGCGCCGTGCATCCCAGCATCAGCATCAGCATCCCTACGACTTCCCCACAACAGTAGGTACGTGTACCGACAGACTGACCGCCACTACCGAGCCCGGGCCCATGTCTGTATCGCCGTACTCTCCCTGCTCGCCGGAGGTGCGATTCCCCATCAAAGAGCAGCCGTCATATTTCGAAGCTCCCTCGGCCGTCACTTCAAATACACACACAATGAAGGCTCGCAGTCAATCGCCGACAACCGAGCAGATACCTCCACCAATAGCGCTGCCATCACTCCAGCTGCGTCGTCCCTCGCTACCCATCACTTCGCTGGCTCGAGAAACGCCGTCCCAGATCCGGGCGCTGACTCCAGACCAGCTGGTGGACTTGCTACAGCAAGCTCCAGGCGCCACTGTGGTCGACATCAGACCCTACTGCGACTACACACTGTCGCGGGTGAAAGGCGCCCTTCATTTCTGCATCCCGTCCACGTTCCTCAAACGGGCCTCCTACTCGTTCCGACGCACGGTCGACAACATGCTCCCCGAGCAGCGCCATGCCTTTGACAACCTGGCCGACCTGCCACCTCTGGTGATCTACGATCGCAGCAGCGAGCACTTACAGACTTCTCAGAGCAACCTGTACCATACGCTGATGAAGTTTGTGACTGCTGAGGGCTGGCCTGCAGACCAAACTGCCCACTACTTAGTCGGAGGCCTAGATGCCTGGAGCAGGAACGACAGAGTAGCAGCAAACGGGCTACTTGACTCGGAAATGTATAAATGCGAGGGCCGACCACCAGAGTTTGGAGCCATTGGATTCACTCGAGCCACAGCCAACCTCGCAGACGCAAACGCCATCCCCTTCCCGCTCGTCACGTCGGGTCTGAGACAAAACCCGCTTTTCAAGTCCGTGCGGGCAGCAATGGAGGTCCAGGACGATGAGTACATTGAAGTGCAACTGCCTGTGGACCTCGAGCCGTCAGACAACCACCCGGACTGGGTCAAGACGATTCTTAGTGACCCTCTGGAAGCCAGCAAAAAGATGGCTGCCGAGTTCCGGAGTCTGGAGCAGGCGGAAAAGAACCGGATGTTCGGCGCGCTGTCCATTAAGAGCGACTCGGAAAACTACTTTGATCGACGTTACTCCATTTCAGGAATCGAACTGGGCGTCAAAAACAGATACGACAACATTTATCCTTATGAACACACCCGGGTCAAATTGGCTCGAAAAACCCAGGGATGTGATTACATTAATGCCTCGCACATTTCCTCAGCACACAGCAAGCGGGTGTATATCGCCACCCAAGCGCCTCTGCCTGAGACGTTTGCAGACTTCTTCCACATGATCTGGGAGGAAAAGGTGCCTGTCATTGTGCAACTGGCTCCCGAGTTTGAGGGAGCCATGCTCAAGTGCCATAACTACTGGGGCGAAGGAACGCATGGACCTTACACGGTGCGCGTGATTGCCACCAGGAAGGAGGACGTGGACACCAAGGACAACATTGTGGCTACCATCCGGACATTTGAAGTGTCACGAGAGGGCGTGGTGCGGCATGTGACGCAGATCTTCTACGATGCTTGGCCCGATTTGGGCCGGCCTGCAAACCCCGCAGACCTCTTGAGGTTGATGGAGCTCAAGGACGGTATTTTGAAACATGCCAAGCTTCCCGTGGACGGTACCAAGGTGGTTGTACACTGCAGTGCCGGGTGTGGCCGGACAGGTACTTTCTGTGCCATTGACATTGTGTGCGACATTTTGCAACGCGGTGATCCTCAGTACCAGCATAAGGATGTGGTTGCCGAGGTAGTTGCCGAATTGCGAACCCAGCGAACCTCAATGGTCCAAAGTCTGCGGCAGTATGTCTTGTGCTACGACTCTGTTCTTGCCTGGTTGGCTAAGCGACAGTAGTCGGAACGCGTAAGTACGCAAGTATATATTTATTCATTCAATGCATCATTGTAGAGATTCAGTTGGTCGGTAAAAAAGTACCTACTGTATGTATAGGTACTCGTACGGGCGATACATACGATACTATACACAGTTTGTAGGAGTGTCGTACAATACTAGTATATAGATGCCATGTGTATATGCAGTATGCCCCGTATATGTCATTAGCATAAACTTTATTCTCGGGGATACGATATGATTTTCTGGGGTAAGAAATAGGTGGGATAAGAGACGAGCGGTGAATATGACAAGAAAAGACGGTTTATGGGGGGGGTTGATTTGAGGCCGAACCAAGAAACTGACCAAGGTACAAGATGATAAACACGACAGACACCCACCAGCTGGATAGACACATACATTAAGCATTGCTACCGACCAAATGCGATTCCAGAAGATTGGAGGTGCTAAACAGGGAAGCCCAGCAACTCGGGTAAAACGAAGCTAGACAAAAAAGAAATCAGACGACCTCGGAGAGGGTCGAACTCTCGATCTTACGATAGCGGCCATTCAGGTGACTAACAGTCGTACGCCTTAACCAACTTGGCCACGAAGTCTGATTCGTGATGCGGCATGTCAAAAATCTCTTTTATGAGGCCAAATATGAAAGAAAACCGCGCGAATTTTGTCATTTTGAGGGAACAGCAACACTATAACGCCGATTTGCTAGTGAAATATGAACTTCTGAATTCTCTAGGTCCAATTTTGAGGGTTTCGTGATCGGATTGGTTTTTCTTGACTGTAGATCCAGACCTCATATACAGTAGAAGGGATAGACCTAAAGAGGTGCTATATTTATGCTATTGACAAGAATTTAGCCATTTTTGAACTCCAGCAACGCTTAATATAGATACTTGAGTGGGAATTTGCTGATACAGTAGCTACAAGTATAGGTTAGTCAATACAATATGCCGTCGTTTTCATATTTGTTGACAATTGAAGGCTAAAAGGAAGGTAAATGATGCCGGAAATCATGAAGAGATCTTAAATTGAAGTCAATATTCAGCTTTGGATTAATTTTGTCCCTCTTAACTTGTGAAAAGATGTGGAAGCATCAGTTGCAGCAATCTGGAGAAGGTGGAACCTCTACTGCATTCCATATGGACGGCTATGCTATGGCGATGTGACGAGCAAAGAATGAGAAAGGAATTGTGGAAGTAATAATGATTGAATATACAAAATGTGTGAATCCGTGCCTCGGTTATATAAACACCGTCGGTACTCCAAATTTCACAGTATCTCAGATTTCATATACCAACAATGCTTCTCAAGAACATCGCCCTTATTTCTCTTGCTGCTCTCGTTGCCGCCAACGAGGCCGTCCCCGAGTCCGCTACCACCATGGTTGCTGTCCCTATCTCTTCCGAGGATCACTCCGAGAACCCTGAGGACATCAAGCAGTTCATGAAGAAGAAGTGCCCCGAGCAGAAGTGCCCCAAGCCCAAGCGAGTCACTCTCACCAAGAACATCACCAAGAAGGCCACCAAGACCGTCTACAAGACCGTCGGCTCTTGCGAGACTCAGGCTCCTCAGAAGAAGTGCGGAGGCAAGAACTGCTAGAATTCGACTCTAGCAATCTTCAAAGCACCTACAAGTAGCACAACTAATCTTTAGATTCTAATTGTACTGATAAATACGAGTCTGTAGACGTCCGAATAACTACCAATACCATCTCTACACACTACTGTACTGTGCACTCATACCATCATCAGAAATGCCAGTTGGCAGTTAGTCTATTTACATATGTACAGTTGGATTAAAGAGAGCCGGGCAACTTGGTTGTCTTTCTCTTGTATTGGTTCTTGGCAACCTCCTCAAAGCCGTTCTTAACGACAGAGGCATTGTGCAATCGAGAAACAATGTTCTGGAAGGGCACTCGGGGTCGCTTGAGCTGGGCTCCAAGGTAGGCTGCCGCAGACAACAGAGCAAGAGCTCCGGCCTGGTGAGCGGCAGCCAGAGGAGTGGGGACAAGATATATCAGAGTGGAAATACCCAGAGTGACCTGAACCATAGCGATACCCATGATGGAGTGGCAGGCCAGGAAAGCCTTTCGGGGCAAGAAGGGCTTGAATCTGTTAGACATCAGCAGCAGAGCAAAGGACGCGCAGAATGTCGTAGTGGCGAGCACTCGGTGGTCAAACTGGACAGTCACGGGGTTCTCGAAGATATTTCTCCACCAAAGATCAGATTTGTCATTTTTTTGGGCGAACAGAGGGTCCATGAGCTCGGTCTTGGGGGGAACAATTCCCTCTCCCATGAAGGGGAAGGTGTTGTAGATCATTCCGGCATCGAGACCCGCAACAAAGGCTCCGGACATGGCAGTGAGGAACACAAGGCCGCAGAAGACTGTAGTGTATCGCTTGAAGGGCTTGAGGATAGGATTGTTGAGTTTGGCGAAGTCAGCAACTGCAGAAGATGGGTTGGCGATCCATCGGGATTCTCGCAGAACCTGAACACCAGTGGAGAGCATGGCCCAGTACAGAACAAACGCCGCTCCAAGATGGGTGGCCAGTCGGTAGGGGGATACTCGAGGGTGAGAGTTATCTGTCTCCATGAACTTGTTGTCAAGACCCGACTTCACCATCCACCATCCAATGGCTCCCTGGAGACCAAGCAGGATAGAAATGACACCGAGACGGCCGGCGATATTGGGAGAGACTCGCTTTCGGGCAACAAAGTAGACGGCAGGGAGCACAAAGGTGAGACCAATGAATCGACCCCACAGACGATGGGCCCACTCCATCCAGAAAATGAACTTGAACTCGGAAAGGGTGATGTTGGAGTTGAGCAGCTTGAACTCGGGGGAGTCCTTGTATTTGTCAAACTCCTCGATCCAGTCGGCCTCGCTCATGGGAGGCAGGGATCCTGTGACAGGCTTCCACTCCGTGATGGACAGACCAGACTCAGTCAGACGAGTCAGACCGCCGAGAACAACAATACCAAAGACAGAGACAGCGGAGGCAATGAGCCAGTATCCAGCCCACTTGGACGAGTTGACAGGCCACTTTCTGGGAGAGGCCTTGGGGTCCTCATTGGGATCGGATTCTCGAGGCTTAATCACGTGGACGTTGGATCGCTGGTACAGGGCAGCGACTGTGGAGAATTGACGGGTCTTGTCGAGTCTGGGGGCTGACGCTCGAGTTAGAGCGCCGAGAACGCCTCCACGAGACACAGAAGCGACCTTTCGACCCAGAGTGAGGGCAGGCAGAGCCGAGGTCTTGGAGGCCACCTTGGCGGCTGTGGTTTTGGCCTGCAGCACGGCGAGGTTGCCGTTGAAGTAGAACCTCGATCGGGCGAGGAGCATTGTTGATATCAGATGTGATGTGTGCTTAGGCTTGTACTCCAAGTAGTCACGACAAATCTGACGATATTTTTATGCTGCACATACTTTGGGTTTTTGACGGCAGCATCAAAATTAGAGTTGGGGGAAGCAAAAACCGACGTATGGTAGGGTTGGATTTGTAAGACTACGATACAAGCGTAGTACAACTTGGTGAGAGGATTACTGTAGGACAGATTGTAGAGGAGAGGGTGAGGACAAGATTGGTCACGCGTATATTATTAGTCACAGTTTTAAAACACATATTCCGCTATTTTCCGATGGCCGTTCACACCTGCATCATCCGATTAAAAGCTTGCTCCATATAGATGTCTTTCCTACATGTCCATCACGAGCAACTCATGCCATACTACAAAGTTTAGGGGATACAACGGGATACAACGGGATACAACGTAGAAGAACGAGTTAGGGGTTGGAGGGGTGTTTCAAGGGGAGTAATTATTTCGGTCAGATCACATGACCACATTTCTCTCCTCGTTACACAATAAAATGGTGTCTGATGCCTCCTTTACTCGTACTAGCTGACACACACCACCCTCCGTACAACATCAATGGGAATATATATTCATCTAGTGTTTTATTTCAGGACTCGGAAGAGCTTGTCAGCGGTGTTGTCATTAATGCAATGCTGGAGGTGGAAAAACTCCTCGACACAGTCCTCCTTGTACTCGGCGTGGTCGTAGTCCTCAGCCTCCTGTGCCTTGGTGACTCGCTCAACACACTCGTCAAAGTGGTGCTTGAAATCGTGGCAGGGGCCCTCAGCGGCGGCTATGTTAGTATGTGGTGTGGTGGTGCGTCGGTATACACTTAGTGATAGTTGAAACTGGAGTTGAGATATCAAGTATAGTAACCTGGCACAACATCACAGCATATTGGGAGAGGCATGATGGACCATACTGAATCGAATCAGGTAGAGGTTGAAGACGAGTTGGACCAGCAGATCAAAGAGCACCTCGTAATGCTCTGGTACCCTCTCCTGTGTCAACGCGAAACAGGGATCCGCGTCTCAAGGGATGAGGCATCTCTGACCACCTCAAACACAACGTACCTGTCCAATCAACGTCCAGTCCTCTCCGTACCTGTTCAATCCTGTTGTATCCGTCCTGTAGGTGTCATCACACACTCTCTGTCGTGCTTTCTGTCGTGTTCTCAGCTGTTGTATCCGGCTCCCTACTTGTTGCTTCAACTCCATATCCTCCATATCCTCCATATCCTCCATATTCACACTCAATCAATCTTCTACTCACCTTCGTGAAGAGCAATGGCGGGATCGGGGACCTCATCATCATCATCATCGTCATCATCGTCCTCATCCTCCTCCTCATCATCGTCCTCCTTCTCTTCGGACTCGTCATCATCGGACTCAACCTCGACGGGCTCGTCCTGCTCCTTCTCCTCCTCGGAAGCGAAGGCGACGGTGGGGAGGAGCGACTCGGCAACCTCGCTAGCAAGTGTCAGGAAATAAGACATTGTTGTGTTGGTATGGGTTGTGTGGTTGTGACAATAGTAATGTGATACGATTTCACTGCTGGGTGTGGTACGCTTCGAAAATTAAACGCACACAAATCTACACTTAGAGACAGCTGATTGGCTGCTGCCGGCGAACACCCCAAAGTTTATTTACCGCCAACAACCACTCGTTCCACTGTGAGAGCACTTTACAGGTGGTTCCATATCCTCTATCGAAATCCCTCCTACCAATAATATTCTCTGGATCATTTTTCTGGGCACGTGACTTTATTTCTCCAATTTCCGTGCACCATCACCGAGTTGAAGAGGTTGGAGTGTTTTTAACTTGTTTCGTTTCCCGTTGGTTGAATTCTCCGTCCTCCCAATTGCCTCGACCTGGAATTGTCGCGCTTCTGTATGGCTGGTCCACAGGTTATGAGTGTAATGGAAATGGAGTGATGGTTGTTTATGACTTGAGTCCGAAAACGGTGGGTTTTGATTCCTCTCACTTTTGCTACCCATTTTCAGTCTGTTTGAGGCAATTGCTCCAATGGCCTGATCACCACACACGAGTGGGGCATAAGTTGGGGCATCTGGAGCATGAAGTTGGGTTAGGAGACAATGCTACTTGTAAGAGGCGAGCTGACAACAGAGTGACTTTCAGCTTCTTCATATGACTACTTTCTAACCCAACTGGTTCAGAGGGATAGGAATATCTTGTGGGAATATTTTTAAACGGGTGGATTGTGACCTTGGTGCCAGTGTCGTGAACTGAGAGCGGTACGACCTCTCAGGCAGTGACTTCACTTACAGCAGCAGAACCAGATCGTAGAAAACTAATACTAAGCGAACATTTAAGATGAGGCCGACTATTAAAAACACAGTGAGTACGTACGTACAGTATGTATTAGCTACAGGCAAATACTACTTGCGACGAACAAGACCAATAGTAGATGCTTCTCCTCTACTCATAGCAGATCGAGGACAGTGACGCGGTCGCAGGAGAGTTGTGATTATTGGTAGGTGTAGCGCACAGTAGCTACTTGTACTACAATATGTACTCCTCGTACAAGTATGTACTGCAGCCGATAAGAGATCATACTGTAGTTACGAATGTTGACTAGATTTCTGTTGGTTAACGTCACAAGTTTATACTCAGCACCTACAATTTGCTGCAGGAACTCCTCCAGATAAAACATCAATGTGATCTTTTCACCTATAGAAGAACGAGTACAAGAACTCGTACGTCCCACACTATATATACACATAAAGATTGCTCGATCTCTCATAAAATATAAGGACTATCTGTTGATAGTAGTGCTACACCTACATAATTTCACTGAGATTTCACGGGTGCATTGCTGTGTAGCTGGACGGGAGCATCCAGTTCAGACAACTTACTGTAATGCACAATCTCTTTTTGATTCGAATGATTCTATAATATCCATCTCTCATGCTACACCAGTTCTCAATATGTACCGGTACTCTTGAGCACCTGTGTCAAAAGACGACCCACCTGTCATAACAGCACTGCTCTGGACAGCCGCGCAGAGATACGAGCGCTCCTCAAGCATGGTTGGAATCAAACGAACAAGAGCGACACAGCAGTGTATTTTGACTTGAAATCATCTACTGTAGTGCGTCGTTTAGTACGAGAGTACTCGTATTTTAAGTCGTTGTGGTAAACGTGATTCTGTTCATGATTAAAATGTGATCATAACAACTTCACATATCTGCATCACTACTATCACCCACCACTACAATACACTATCTCAGCTAATAATTTATTGCCTCTGGGGCTGTCGAACAAATGCTCAATACTTTTATTTTTACGGAATCATCAGGTCTAAGACTACACTTAGATCTTGATGACGGCATCGAGAGCCTTCTGCTTCTTCTCGAGCTTGTCGAGAGCCTTTCGGCCGAGAATACCTCCGCCCCACTTTCGTCGAGACTCGTCGTACTTCTCGTTGAAGTTAGCCTCGATGGTGGAGACGAGGGTGGCAAGAGTAGCCTGGTCCTCGGACTTGACCTCGGTAATGGCAACGACGGCAGCGGTCTTCTTGTGGACAAGAGTACCGAGTCGGGCCTTACCCTTGACAATAGCGTAAGGGACACCCATCTTTCGGCAGAGGGCAGGGAGGAAGACAACGAGCTCGATGGGGTCGACATCGTTGGCAATGAGGACGAGGTTGGCCTTCTTGTTCTCAACCAGAGAGACAACATGGTTGAGACCGTACTTCACAACGTAGGGCTTCTCGGAGACGTCCTTCTTGTCCTTGCCGGCGGCGATAGCCTCGGCCTCCTTGGTGAGTCGCTCCTTCTTCTCCTCCTTAGTCTCGGGTCGGTACTTGTTGAGGAGCTTGAAGGTCTGGGCAGCGGTGTTCTTGTCCAGGGTGTTGGAGAACTGAGCGAGAGAAGGAGGAACCTTGAGTCGCATGCTCAGAATCTTCTTCTGTCGCTGGAGTCGAACGTACTCGGGCCACTTGACGAATCGGGAGAGGTTTCGCTTAGGCTGGATGGACTGACCAATGCCGTAAGACTTGGCCTTCTTCTCAAAGAGAGGGTTCTTAGCATCCTCGGTCTTGGAGACCTTGGCAGCAGAGGGGGCGGGAGCAACCTTCTTTCCTTTAGCGGCGGGCTGTGTCATTGAGTGGTTAGGATTTAGTTCTTAAAAAATTTGCGAACTGCTCACATATAACACTCTACAGTCTCATAAGAGACTCAGCCTGGTCCCCTAGGGGAGCATCAGTAACGTCACTTCGGTAATGGAGTAACATTGTAATCCTCCTCTAGCAGACAGAGCTGCAGAGATATCTGCTCACATTCTTTTCATCATCATCGGAGCCAGAGCTGTTCACAGCTCTTCTCTTTGGTCCTTACCATTTTTGTGTCGGGTGTTGGTAGAGATAAGTTTCACCAAAAACTTCTTTTCACTTGGGAGGAGGAGGGATGAGTGGTGTCCCAATTAGGCTAGGGTTAGCCCTAAGTCGAGAGTACGTGAATTGCAAAACAGGAAACCCTAACCTGCCGGGAGGGTGCATCGATCGGTGCTGGTGGGTGACCAAACAAGTCTTAGAATGTCAATACTGGGCTAGGGGCCTTGCAATAGGTCACACCACCTCCAGAAGTCTTCTGGACCGCTTGCTTGGATTATGTCTGGAGGCTGTTTTGGCTTGCATCAGGGTACCGTACGTATCTTACAAGTGTGTGGTGTCGTGCAGTGATACACATCTACATACAAGAGCGTCTTCAGTTAAGACAGTTGGGTGGATGTGTATGCTGTTTTTACAGCAATCTACAGTAAAGAACCACACAAATAAAATGTCACAGGTATACAGTTTCATTTGTGATTGTTTTTTTAAAAAATAAGAAAAATAAGAAAAATCACAGGGGCATGAAACTATATACATGTACGTACCTACATACTGTATTCAAGAGGTGGGAATCCCATACTGAGCCCACGTTGTGAGGGCGGGACACGCTCAAGCAAATGACGCTGGGTTACTGAATACCAGATGCGACAGTGCGTGTACAAGTATCGTAATTGTACCGGTAGGTGAAGTGTCTGTATCGGTATGTACCTGAAGGCTACTGTTGAAAATGGAATTCAGCACTGAGTACCGTTATTTTCCTGTAGTATTTACAGTAAGAGCATACTTACACACCCTACGATATCATTACTGAAGACACAGCATTTACAGAAGAGCGCCAGCAGGAGAAGTGATGCCGCAACCCCCTAAATCAGCCTCATTGGAACCACAAGTACAACCACTGAACACAAGCATATACAAGCACAAATATGAAGACATTTTTTAGATTGTAATTATGTGGCCAATTTCATCCTCCGCGATTCAAGCCGACTTCTTCCACACTGACCCCAGTTGGTTTTGCATCTTGTCCACTCAAGAGTAAAAACTTGTATGAGGATGCATACTACGATACGTACAAGTAGTACGATAGCTGTGATGTCTGCAAGAGGGCTGTAATTTCTCGAGTACGAGAGACTAGTGCCCAGCCGTTAGACTCGCCGTGAAACGATGATACACTCCATCCACTCAACACACTCCATGCTTCCAGCCACCGTACGGTTTCATTTATAGGCTCAGTATGTCCACTGTTTCAACTCGCGAATGTGATACTTGTGCTTGTATAATAATGCACCATGTACGATACGAGCTCTACTCAACAGTCTGTCGGGAGATTACATCCTTGTACTCATACATGCCACGAGAGTTTCTCGTCTAATGACCTCTAAAGTGGGAGAAAGGATCGGAATATGTCCATCCTCAGCTCTTCACCCATCGTATCCCTGGAGCAATAGGGTTCTCGGACTAAGTGAGCTCGAATGACGTGAGTCTTCCGAATGTATGGTGTACAGGTAGTGCGCGCGTGTTGGGGCAGCCAGGGTTAGGTGCAGTCTGTACCAGCTGACTTTGTACTTTGAGAGCAAGAACACAGGAGAATGGGGTCGCGGCCAGGTAAATGTGCCGGTTTGAGGGCGGAATCGGTTTCCCCCAGGCGTGCAATCCCAATTGAACATATCCCGGTCTTCTTAGCCCCATCACAAGCCCCTCATTTCTCATTTTTGCGTTTGTGTCACACATGCGCCGACTTGGGGCATTACTATACTTTGGGCCAAGTCTAAAACCAGACACTCTACGTATTCCACTACACATCACACTCCGACGCAGAATCCCCCAAGCGCTGATAACCTCCGTTTTCGCCGCCGTTTTTCGCCTCCAAACCATCCCCCCACGTCCGCCACGCCCGTCCCGACATTTGTGTCTGTAACTACTTCCCGCCACCCCCAAGTTACACAGAAACACCCCACCACACCCCCCGTGTAACTTTCGCCACGCGTTACTAAAACATCACCTGCACCTACAAGATGACCGTCAACGAGAACGACAACGTGCCCGTCCAGTCCAACACCCCCATTGAGGGCACTGATGGACTGCGGCTTTTCTTCGGCAACCTCGATTTCCGAGTCTCTGCCCCTGAGCTCAAGGAGTATCTTGCTGCTTACAATGTGTGAGTAAACTTAATCGCGCGTCGTGCGGCGATATCAGATGGGGACAAATGGAGTACAGCTGGAGGGCTCGAAGCTGCCGTCCGTCACGCTTCTGGGATGTCCAATACTGGCCGATGGCTTGGTCCCCCATTTTTCTGCGATTTTTTGTCTCCCCCCCCCCCATTGCCCCCCACATTTGCCACTACTAACCACAGACAACAGGTGACCATCCCCAAGCGACGAGTCAGAGCCAAGACCACCAACAAGCCCTACAAGAAGGGCATGGGCTACGGTTTTGCTCAATTCACCTCCACCGAGGACGCGAGCAAGGCTCTTGCCGAGCTCACGGACGCTACCTGGAACGACCGAAAGCTCACCGTTAGTTTCGCCAAACCCAACCAGATTAAGAACGACGGCGAGGATGGTGAGGAGGAGGCCTCTGCCGCTGATGGTGAGACCGCTGCCCCTCCCAAGAAGAGCAAGCGAAACCGAAGATCAAAGAAGGAGAACTCTGCCGAATCTGGCGATGCCACTTCCAACGGAACTTCGGCTGCCGGCACTGAGGCTTCCGAGACCAAGGAAAGCAAGCCCCGGGGCCGACGACCTCCTCTTCCTCTTAACGAAGAGTCTCCCACTACTGATACCGTCTTCGTTGCTGGTATCCCCCGAACGGCTACTGTTGCTGACATCAAGGAGTTCTTTGCTGCCGAGGAGCCCGTGTCTGTGAAAATCAGCCAGCAGAATGTCTTCAACCGAAAGGATAAGACCCGAGAGCGAGTCAACCGAGGTTTTGCTCTAGTCAAGTTTGCCGACGAAGCAACACGAGATGCCGTCATCAAGAAGTACCACGAGCAAGAGTGGGATGGCCGAGTGATCCACTTGCGAGTCGCCCTTGATGTTCTCCAGACTGAGGGTGAGACCGACACCAACCAGGAGCCCAAGGAAGACCCCAAGGAAGAGCCCAAGGAGGAGCCCAAGGAGGAGCCCAAGGAGGAGCCCAAGGAGGAGCCCAAGGAGGAGCCCAAGGAGGAGGTCAAGGAGGAGCCTAAGGAGGATGCTGGAACCGAGGCTCCCACCACCACCGAGGACTCGACCCCCAAGGATGAGTAAGCATCTGCATAAATTTACTAATGGTTGGAGTACTAATTGCTAACGTCGCTGATGGTTAGAATAGTTTAAATAGGAATAATCAGGTTAAAAGGTACATTACAAGTATGCGAAAGAATGAGTTCAGTACGCACAAGTACATACAATACAAGTATAATGTACAGAAGATGTGCCATTATCGTCTGTACAGATGGTATCGGTAACCACATGTTGGATGCGACTGCAGGGATAGCGTGCCAGTTGCATTTGCATGTTAGTGGTTGTAGACGGTACGCAATAGGTCATGTGGATGGGCTGAGCTCTTGTTGGGCGAACTGATCCTTGGTTTGTGACCAGTGCCCGTGAAGGCTGATATGTTAAGATTGCGTTGGATCGGGCTGTTTGAAGATGGATTAATCGAGTATTCAATAAATGTCTGAACATCCTAAATGTACATATATTGGTACTGGTACGGTACTTGTACGGTGTACTGTGTGTACTGTAGGTACTGTACTTTACACAGTACGTATACCCGATCTCTCAACGCCTTATCCATGAGCCTAATGACCATGCCTTGCTCACAATATAACTGCAGTCACGGTCGCTAAACCACAATGATCTAAGAGTGTCAAACAAGAGCACACAGGGTAGGTACAAGTTGTGCTTCGCAAGGTCATTTGTTTTTAGACCGTATACGTATGTACTGTATCGGTAAGTACTCGTGCTCTTAGACCTCAATGTGTTCACACGTCTGTTTGGATCACACCACTCTGTGAGTTGACCACGGATGACGGCCATATACCGATATAAAAGGTAGTGGTAAAAGATATATTAATGGACCCATAACTCCTCATTGATTCAAAAGATGTCACAACATCTCATAAACAAATAGGTCTGAACTTGCTCACCATCTCACAGCTTTCAGTGTAACGACTCCTCAACCCACTGATATAGTACGAGTAGTTGTACGGGGCTACAAGACCTCCGCCAAGATAAATAACTAATTATATCTTCCGTGTAGGATTCGCATGCTTCTATCAGTGTATCTATGTTTTTGGCTGTGGTACTCATATCATCCGTCACCATCCTCACTACCGATAAATTAGGGTTTGCACTCTATTCGACCCATCCCCCACCTCTGTTAGCTCTCTTCCAAACTTTATGTTTATCACATGACTTACTACTTTTGTGACTGCTTTTCATCCCAATTGGGAACTCCCAACTCACTCCCGGCGTCTCGGTTTAGGTATCAAGAATTTGTCAAGTCTTCTTCCCCCCGACTGTATAACCGATAATCAACAATGGGTCGTGTCATTCGAAACCAAAGAAAGGGTGCTGGTTCTATCTTCACCGCCCACACCCGGCTCCGAAAGGGCGCTGCCAAGCTCCGAGATCTCGACTACGCCGAGCGACACGGATACATCCGAGGTGTTGTCAAGGAGATCATCCATGACCCCGGTCGTGGTGCTCCCCTCGCCAAGGTCGTCTTCCGAGACCCCTACAAGTACAAGCAGCGAGTTGAGACCTTCATTGCTAACGAGGGTGTCTACACTGGCCAGTTCATCTACGCCGGTAAGAAGGCTACTCTGAACGTCGGAAACGTTCTGCCCCTGGGCTCTGTCCCCGAGGGTACCATCCTCTCCAACGTCGAGGAGCACGCCGGTGACCGAGGTGCCATTGGCCGAACTTCCGGTAACTACGTCATTGTCATCGGCCACAACCCCGATGAGGGCAAGACCCGAATCAAGCTTCCTTCCGGATCTAAGAAGATTGTCCCCTCTACCGCTCGAGGTGTCATCGGTGTTGTTGCCGGTGGTGGACGAATCGACAAGCCCCTGCTCAAGGCCGGCCGAGCCTTCCACAAGTACAAGGTCAAGCGAAACTCTTGGCCCAAGACTCGAGGTGTGGCTATGAACCCCGTCGACCATCCCCATGGTGGTGGTAACCACCAGCATATTGGTAAGGCCTCTACCATCTCCCGAGAGGCTGTTTCTGGTCAGAAGGCTGGTCTCATTGCTGCCCGACGAACCGGTCTGCTCCGAGGTACCCAGAAGATCAAGGAGTAAATTTAAAAAATGTATTATTGCAACGAGACATTCAAACGACGACTGTAATCATTCTAAGAGAGACAGCGATACCTCAAGTAATCAACAAGTTATTAAAGAGATTCTGTATAGGCATGACAGTGATGGTGGGTCAAAATTTTCCAACCCATTCATGCGGTAAAAAATTCTACTTCTAAGAGAGTATTCGTACAGCACTGTGCATATCAACAACGATTGCAATATAAATGATGAGACCGAAGCCACGGCTTTGAATGTGAAAGAAGTTATGTAAGTAAGACGTACAAGTATGTACACTGTACCTCTATCTTTAACGGCGGTTCGACTGTTACTTATGTTTCATAGCCTCTATGAAGATCTCTCCTCTCTTTTCATTTACTGTAATAGTGTGCAAGTGCACCATGGCTTTTTTTTTTTTTCATGAAGAGGCACCCATAAGTGTTCTACGTCTGGTCCGTGTACATGCTGTAGTTCTGTCTAAAAAAGCGCTCTACGACAAGCCGTGTAGCCTGGAGTGCTTTCATGGTACATACTGTAGCACAACGATTGATCCAAGTCCGTGTTTTGTACACAACGGGTCAGAAATAAGACCCCAAGTGTTGTTTTTTATAATATTGCGTTCACAGACTTTAAAAAACATACTCATAAAGTCGAAGGCTTTGTTTAGTGTTTGTTATAGGCTTATACATACACCTCATCAATCGTTATTCATTATCATTATATATCGTGTCTCATAAATGCAGCGAGATCTGACTCGCTCGGCGTGGACTTGGTTTGTTTTACAGGTGCACGCTGGGAATTTCCCGAATAAAGCCCTGTCCAAACTTGGAAGAAAAGAAGATGACGGATAGAAGCATCAGATCAAAGGCTCCCAGCACAAAGAAGCCAGCATGAGCCCACTCGTCCGACAAAGCAAAGCCGACCTTTGTGAGAATCAGAATACCGGCTCCTCCAAAGAGAGAGTAGACTCCGGCAATGGAACCTCGAATCTCTGCACGCACGTCGGTGCAGTAGCTCATGGAGGTGATGATAACTCCAATCTGGCCAACACCAATGAAGCCACAGAAAACCATGAACCAGGCAGTCTGGGGAGAGTCAATGAGACAAAGAATCCACGAGGAAATAAGACCAAACAAAGCAGCAGCAGTGATACAGATCGTTCGACCAAACTTGCTGACGGCGAAGCCCCAGACGGGAGTAGTGAGCAGAGCCACCAGCTGGGTGACTCCGGAGATGATGGAAGCCATAACGTAAGCCTCCTCACATCGGTCGGTTCCCTTGTAATTTCTGTCAGGGCCACAGTAGCCGTTGTTGTGGTACCACTGATTGACAAAGGTGGGGATAAAGACGGCCGTGGCCACAGTGGTGGATCTTGCAACAAATCCGCCGGCGTAGGCAAGCATTACAGATCGCTCCTTGGTCATTTCCACAAAGCCCTGCTTGATGAGTTCTCCGTAGGGAGGAGTAGTCACCTGCACGGCCTGTTCTTCGGGACGCTCTTCATTGTTGACAGAGGCGGAGATGGAGAAACCTCGCTGCTGACGAATCCAGCCCTTGAGACTCTTGTTGGGATCCTGGTAAAGAGTCAGGAAAAGAATTCCGGAGGCAACAATGGCGATAGCTCCAACAATGAAATACGATCGCTGCAGGGCGTCTCCCTTGGAGAGGTCTGGGAACTGGCTGGGAAGTCGCAGGAAGACCAGAAGCGAAAATACGGCTCCCAGGCCAGTTGAAATGCCGACAAGAACGGGAAGAATGGCCTTTCTCTTATCGTGGTCGGTTTCGTAGCCAGCCTCCGGAGGATCTGAGTGGAAGTGGAAGCCGAAGAAGGAGAAGGAGATGGTGGACTGGGAGATTTCGGAGAGCATGGCGGTGATCATGGAGCCCGCAGCCGAGGCACCGACGGAGAAAAGACATCGGAAAATGAGAATGTCCGGGTACAACGTCTGCCGTGTTGTATAGAGCATGATGGAGGTGCCAATGATACACACTCCGACAGATGTGACGATTCGGGTGCCAATCTTGTCACTGAGGGCTCCCAGAGCAGGAGCGACGATGATGCTGACAATTTCGTCGGCGACAGCGAGATTGCCTACATGGGTCGCCACCTTCTTTCGGTAGCCCAGCAGGTCGGTGAGAATGAAGGGCTGGGTTGCGGACAGAAAGACGACAAACGCAATGGTCAACAGACACGAGCCGTAGAAGGCCGTGGTTTGTTTGAGGTGGAAAACACCGGGTTCCATTTTGGCAGTTCACGAAGTAGCAGCTGTGTAGAGAGTGTGCAGTTGAGAGGGTTCGGGTGGTAAAATATAGCCCGTACCAAACGTACCGATGTACTAGCTGTGCGCTAAACCTTGGAAATAAACCCTGACTGCAGGATCTGATAAATGTGAGGGGTAAGAGAGAGAGTACAAGTACCTGTAACTTGAGTTTTGAGAGTGCCGTCAGAGAAACGAGTTTTGAAATTAAACAAATAAAACATGGGGTTTCTAGCTGTTAGTGCTTAATATTTTGTTTTATTCAGCAAAAAAATCGTCCTCCGAGGTAAGGCTCTAGAACGGATTACTTCTGCTGTCTTGGCACAACAGGGTTTTCGGTTTGGCAGCAGTCCAATCAAAAAGATCATTTGGAAGGTGGAGCCGCAGTGCTATGTCTGGGAAAAATACATTATCGGATTGAAGTAAACCTCTTATATAAGTGACAATAGTCGGTTGGAGTCACCACCTCCCCCGTTTCTCTCCGTATAACTCACCTTACATTATCGCGATGATCAAAATAGATAGTCCGGTAAACGAGCATCATCTGATAAGTCCATGTAGCACATGGCAGCGAGCCAAACAAAGAAGCAGTGGCATAGAGTATTTTTCACCCGGAGAAAACTTTTTCGACTGTGGGTAAACACCAGTTGCCGGAGTGAGCCTGTTGCCACACATAGCAGTGATGTGCCTCTAACTACCAGGACCATGTCTCAAGGCTACTTACTAATTACACGTGTCCCAGTACACGTTTCTTATACACGTTTCAAACAACAATATGTACAGTATATACTGTACACTTCTTCCTGTCTCACTCTTGTCTGGCTTCTCTTTCCTCACCGCCGTTAAACCTAAGAGACACACACCAGCCAGTAGGAAACCAAGTAGACTGTGAGACACTAAGACCTGACTAATTCCAATTGCATTGAGTCTAGAGATTTGGGTGTGTTGCGAGATAACATCTTCGTACATAAGTGTTCGCTACTCCGTTGTAGGTCTCATGTATCAAAATGAAATTAATGGTACAGCCTCTCTGTAGGTACTGGGTCCTGTATCATTTTTCATTCGTGATGCTCAGCATTAGCACTTATATGAGTGTATGTACTGTACAGCATGGTAGACACTCGAATACATATAAATACATTAAAATACAACCCACATAAATCCTACATGGCAATGACGGACGACGAGCCCTCCTGGAATCGAGCCTTGAAGACTCGGTTGGCGTTGCTGAAGAATCCCTCTTTAAGCGACACAACAATGAACTGCGAGCCCTTGAATCGCGTCTTGATCAGATGACCAATGTTCTGAGTGTGGTTCAAATCCAAAGCAGCATCAACCTCATCAAGAATGTACATAGGAGCAGGCTTGAACTGGAGCAGAGCCAGAATCAACGACAGAGCAACTAGAGATCGCTGACCTCCAGAAAGCTCCGCCAGAGACTCCTTCCAAATCTTACCCAGCATGACCTTGATTTCCAGACCCTCGGTAATCTCCTTGCCCTCCAGAAGTACCAGCTTGGCGAAGGAGCCAGGCAACAGAGTCGCGAAGATCTGACCAAAGTCCTCGCTCACCTTCTTCCACGTCTTGGTCAGAGCCTTGCATTTGTACTCGTTCAAAGACACAATGGTCTGCTCAATCTTGACCTTGTCCTTCTCGATGGTCTTGATCATACCTCGTAGAGTCGCTTCCTTCTTCTCAACGTTGTCAATCATGTTCATGACCTTGTCGTTGACCTTGTGTCCGAGACCCTTGATTCGCTCCTCCAACTGGCCAGCGGCCCGTCGCACCTGCTTGATGTCCACACTCTCGTAGTCATAATGAGATCCGGGCTTGCCAAACAGGTGAGCGTCAGCAGCGACCCAGTTGTACTTGGCCTCCATGGCAGTGGCGCCCTTAGAAGCATCTTCCAGCTCCTTCATCTTACGGGTATGAAGATGCTCAGCCTCCTTTGCAGCGACAAGAGCATCGGCATGGAAGTCTCGTTTCTGTTGAAGAGTAGCCTCCAAAGATCGTCGCTCCTCGTCCATGCCATGCAGAGCAGCCATCATCTCCTCAACCTGCTGGGTCAGAGAAGCCTCCAGAGCACGGGCCTCGTCCTGCTGAGTCTCCAGTTGAGCAAGGCCGCCTCGGGTAGCCTGAATTGCCTCTTTTAAAGCCTCGGCCTCGTCTTTCATACCAGTAATGTCGGACATAAACTGCTCGAGAGAAACCTGGATGTCCTCATGGGCAGCTGAGGCCTCGTCAACAACAGACCGGTGCTGAGCTACTTCAGCAGCCATTTCTTCGACAGAAGCAGCCAGCTCCTCAAGCTTACTGCCCTTGTTCTTTCCAAAGTCAGCCATGTCTCTCTCAATAGTTCCAATCAGAGCAATGGCGTCTTCAAGCTTCTGGTTGAGCGTGGGAAGGGACTCCTGGAGCTCATGAAGCTCGGCCTCCTGTTCCTGCTTCTTTCGCAGAACAGAAGCACTGGAAGAAGACTCCAGTTGCTTCTCGCCGGTCTTGATCTCGTGCTCCCGAATTGAAAGCTGGTTTTCAAGCTGTCGTCGCTCAGAGATAACTTTGGAAAACTGAGCCATGGACTTCTGGATGTTGCTGAGATCGTATCGAGCCTCCTCCAGCTCCTGTGTAAGGTTGTTGATGCTCGTCAACTTCTTGAGAAGATCTCCACTTCGCTGCTGAGAGCCTCCAGAAAGGGTACCCTCAGGCGAGTAGTGATCTCCCTCCAGAGTCACACAATGAGCACGAATCTGGGGATGGTAAGCACACTTCTTTGCGGTCTCGGTATCTACACACACAAGAGTGCCGCCAAAAACATAAGCCATGGCCTTAGCAACCTCATCGGAGTATCCAACTAGCTCTAGGGCACGTCCAACCCGGCCGGGGGCCACCTGCTGGGCCACGGCGAGTCGCTCCGCAGAAATTAGACCTTCGGCAGCAATTTTATTCAGAGGAATCATGGTGACTCGTCGCTTGAGTCGGCCCCGCTGTAGCAGCTCCTTACCGGTGATCTCATTGTCAACAACAACGTTGAACAGCTTGCCTCCAGCAGCAACCTGCAGAGCAATGCACTTGTCCATGTTCTCATCTCCAATGGTCAGCAGTTCGGCCACGAAACCCTTGACGGATGAAGCAGAGAAGTTGGCATGAGGACGAGCGTAGGTGAACTCGGAGAACGACGCTTGACGCTTCTCGGAGTCAATTCGAGCAGAAAGAGCATCGATTCGCGACATGCACTCGCGCTCCTTTCCGGTCCAGTCCTCGTCGGCTCCGGGAACAGCCATAAGACGCTCCACTTCAGCTTCCAGAGCTCCTTTGGCTTCTCGCAGACCAGCCAGCTTGTCGAGCACGCTCTGGTTCTGGCTCTCAGCCTTGGCGACCTTGGGAGCGTCTCTTTTGAGAGCCTCTGTCAGATGTGAGATTCGCATCTGAGCACGATCAATTGCCACACGAGAATCATTGGCCTGTTCACGTGCCTCAGCAAGTTGGCGCTGGTAGCCAGACTCCTTACCGGCCGAAGATGCGATACCGGTCTGAAGCGACTGTAGCAGTTCACGCTTGGACTCGAGAGCCTTGGTCATGGAGTCAAGACGCTGTGTTTGAGCGTCCAGTTCTCTCTGGCTAGCGTCAACTTCGGCCTGGCGCTTCTGGAGCTCCTCGGTTCGATCAGTAGCCTCAAGACTGGCTAGTGAATCTTCTTCCTCGGTAAGCTGGGACCGTTTCAGGTCGATTGTAGTGTTGAGACGCACCACTTCATGGGAGGCAGCCTTGGCCTGCTTTTGAAGAACAGAAACATTCGTATCTTTAGACGCCTCGGCTGCCTGACGAGCCTTGACCTCGGCAATGTCCTGCTCGAGCACGCCCATCTCGTGTGTGTTCTGCTCCACTGCTAGGGCCTTTGCTTCCTTCTCGGCAACAATCGCTTCAATAGCGGCGGTCATCTCCTGAGCACCCTGGGTCAACATGATGTAGTCATGTGCCACAATGAGCTTGATAGCCCGCTCGAGGTCGGACTGGGTGTGTTGGTACTCGAGGAACGACTTCTTTTCCTGTCGCAGCTTATCCAACTTGGGCTTAATTTCCTCCTCCAAAAGCAATGCACTTTCCTGGCGCCGGGCATCCTTCTTCGCCATAGTCTTGAGAGCCTTCTCCTTTCGATCCTCGTACATTCGAGTTCCAGCGGCCTCCTCGATGAGAGCCAGCACCTCGGCAGGCTTCATGTTCAGTACTTTGGTGATTCGACCCTGCATGATCAGAAAGTTGGGATTGTTGATATTGAGCTGGACCGATTGGAACAAATGCTGTACCGTCTGCTGCTGCGCTCGGTGACCGTTGATCAGGTACTTGCTCGTGCCTCCAAGCACAATTTGACGGGTCACCGAGATCTGGGCGTACTTCTCGAACCCGATAGGACTAGTGGCGGTATCTGAGTTGTCGAAAACAATGGTGACACTTGCCTTGGTCACACCGGCCTGTCCTCGCTTGTAGATGAGATCCTGGAGGTTCTGAGCTCGAACAGTAGCCATGGTCGTGATACCTAGCACGAAACAAATGGCGTCCAGAATGTTGGACTTGCCACTACCGTTGAGACCGGTGATACAGTTGAACTGCGGGTCCCATCCGGAGATGACTGTACGCGTGGCGTACGACTTGAAGCCGTCGATTACGAGCTCTTCGACTTTCATTTAGGTGTTGAGAGGTGTGGTTTAGAAAAAGAACGTTAAGCGTGTTTCGTGTTTGGGACCTGTTGTCCCAGCAACGGTTAGAGTTTTGAGTGTTACACTTTAATTCGCCGCGAAAGCTACTCGTAAGTAGTTGAAGTACTGATTATAGGTGCGTTCTGTTACCAAAAACAATGGCTACACATTACAAGTAGTCGGTTCCATTGCAGCAAAAAATGACAACCGAGAGATTCGAACTCTCGCCTCCGAAGAGACCAGGATATTCGTTAAGGTGTTAGCCTTAACCTGGCGCCTTAGACCGCTCGGCCAGGTTGCCCGAAATGTGCCAGATTCGGGTCCGTTTCTTATTCCAAAAGTGGTTCGGGTCACGTGATTACTGTACTGTAATGAATCTGTAATGAATCATTAGAATAAAAATAAAAAACCGTGTTTCACTAGAATAAACAAAATTCCTAGTTGATTTTCAGAACGTCTTACCAAGTGGCAAGTGTGTGTTCTATTGTTCTTTACTAAATGGCATGGAAAGTATCGCATCACTGCTGTATGATGGGCTCAGAGCTGTTCTCCTGATGCTTGAGGGAAAAAAACAGAAAAGAAGAAGAAGAAAAAAATCATTTGACGATGAAGATCGATGGGGCGTTGTTTTTGGAGCCCCTGTGGAGCTTCTTCTTTACTTTTTTATTTTTATTTAACCAGGGGCCTGTGGGCAGGTGTTGGATGTTGTGCTTGTTTACCACATCTTGATTTGGAGTTGTATAGGAAGTCTAACTCACGCGACAAGTACTTACACAATTGTGTGTGACAAGAAATATACAGTACATTTTACACGTGTAAGTGCCCGATATTCATTCCAAACTACAGCAAGGGCGTAGAAACTCCTTAACACCAAAATCGAACGCCATTTTTTTTTTATTCTAATTACAAAAATCAAACGTTTTTTTTCTTTTCTAATGATTCGTGACTAAGCAGAAAGCACAATGTTTGCCTAACGTTTTCAAAAATCGGAAGATTTTTCAGGCATCCTGGCCGAGCGGTTAAGGCGAGAGATTAGAAATCTCTTGGGGTTTCCCCGCGTAGGTTCGAATCCTGCGGATGTCGCCATTTTTTGTTGATCCTGAACAGATACGAACCGACACTTACTTTAACTCGTACCCTTAGAATATGCGTACTGTACTTGGATTCGTGTCCTCGAGTCATGTCTCAATCTCATTTTAAGTAGCTACGATTACTTATCTCGTCGCTCCATTTTTGAAATGCAATAATTATACAAGTAAACAGGAACAGTAAACAGATACTAGCGGAAACCTCCAAGAGTCTTTCTTCGCTTGGAACGCTTCTGAGAACCGCCCTGTGAACCGGAGGGGCCAGCAGATTGTCTTCTCGTGTCCTGAGAGGCAACACGAGCTAGCGACGAGCGATGGGAGCTGGACGGAGCCAAAGATGCTCGCTGCGAAGGAGCCTGGCTCGAGAGAGACAGTGTGGGAATCGTGTTTCTGCTGGCAACAATCTGGGAAAGCAGCTCCTGCTGAGTAGGGGCCTTACGCTTATTCTTGCGCGTTCCAAATTCGACCCAATCATCGTAGTTGGTTTTGGGAGGCGCACCTATCACCCAGTCATCCAACATCTTTGTAATATGCACCGGAACGTCCTTTTCCTTTCCTCTGTCTTCTTTGGAGCGACGTACGCTACACGTCAGGTAGCAGAGCGTAGCTGCCAACCGACGACACATACGCTCAGTCTTGATGCGATACTCTATGAGGTACTTTCCAAGAAGAGGATTGCCCCGATCAGATGTGTCAGTCGAGGGAGTGACGTATACACTCATGAGTTCCTCGTACTTTTTCACTGGGTCCACATTTGGGAAGATCCGGACCGCAGAGGTGCTATAATGTTTCTGCAACTCGCCCAGCATCTCCCCAAACTCATCAATCGACGAAGGTGTGTCGTCAGCTCCCAATTGAGCTAGAGACGTTCTACCGCCAGGACAGCCTTCCTTGTGCCAGGTCTTGATGAGACCATCAAGCTTCCCAGCAATCTCAGACACACCAATGGGCTCTGGAAATGGTGGCGGTAGCATAAACTCGTCATAGCCTTCAAAACTGAACACTCTCACGTTTTGTTCTTTACCATTTTTGTACTGACCAGGAAACTTCCACACTGGGTCAGGTTTGTAGTCTTGAAATTTGGACGGTTCACTAGTGAGAAGCTTGCGAACTACACATCCATCAATGTCGCAATCGAACAGCATGTCAATAGCGCCTGGGAACTCAACCAGCAGGGTTGAATTGATAGGTGTTTGTGTAGACAGCATAATAGGGTAAGGGTCACAGGTCCATTCTAGCAGAAGTGGCTCTGCAGGGTTCTGGTATGCATATGTGTAGAATATCTTCTGAAGAGACAATTGAGAATGGACAATGGCAATTGACTTGCCTTCGACCAGGGACATGGAGAGCTTGATGGAGGCATCCTCACTCAGCAGGTTCATTGTTCGGGAGATCTGAAGAGGCGTATCTTTGTTAAGGTCAAAGATCATCATTCGCACCGCAGAAAGCACAACTAGCAAGTTAGGGTACTTGGGGTCTCTTTTCATGTCCATAATCACGTCGCCTGCATGCTGCTGTTGAAACAACTCGACAAAAGTCGGTTCAGCTCCCATATCCTCCTTGTTCATCGCATATAGCCGCAGTCCTTTCCTTGAAGCCAGGGCCATCTTCTTGCCTCCATCAAACAGCTTGATACTTTTCCAGTCACTAAGCACCTCAAAGCGTGGATCGTATCCCTGAGCAATAATTGGAGGATGAGCTTCCGGCTCTGTTCCCAACTGGTGTATTCGCCATGTTCCATCTGCAGTTGCTCCTGCGTATAGGTCGCCCTGAAGATCACAGTCCACGTACTTGTCGTCTCTGAGATCAAAGTAGGACGTGGAAACCATGCTTGTAAACAGCTCTTGGACATTAGCATTTAGGTCCACAACATGAGTAGCTCCTGTAGTTCGTACCAAAAGTCGCGTAGCAAGTTTACCCGTTCCCGCAGGGTTGTCAAACAGCACCTGGGTGATTTCGCGCTTGAAATCGTGCTGCTTGACATGATGTAGGCTTGGGAGTGACTTGTCAAACACATCACGGGTGGTGGCATACGCCGGATCAAGAGATGGGTCTTGAGGAGCAACGTTCTCTATGATCAGCTCATTCCCCTTGGCATGAGCCATAATTCTGAAAGTGGCGAAATTCGTGTCCTCGACATGCTCAGTATCTCCATGGTTCCATTCCACGTCGGCCATGGCCATCTTTGTTCCCACATCGACCCTAAACAGCATGCTGGACTTGCGAAAGCCCAACTCTCGGTCTTCAGCGAACTTGGCATGCATCTCGGCCAAAGGGATTTTACTTTTGTTCACGGCTTGATTACGAACCGTCTCGACGATATCTCCCTCTGTAGAGCTGGTGAAGGTCCGGAACCCGGTGTCGTAGAGGGTCAAGGACTGGCCGACCTCCGATAGAGGCAGACTGCTGTTGACAGTGGGGTAATGCAAGTCGGTGTCGCCAAAGACCTCTCGGGAGATGAGAGGCATGCCCCATTGACCGGTGCCGACCTGGGACTCCCACAAGGACGGGTCTGTGTTCACCCAGCTCACTTGGCTCACTTGTTCGCTCATTTCGCGTGTTGCAGTGAAATGCTTCTGCACGCCAACATCTAGCTTCAAATAATTTGGACTTGCAGAAAGTGTAATCAATGCAGAGTGTAGTGCCTACTTGTAGCTACAGTAAGTACTTTTACAGTAGGCACTTGCCAATAACTACAAGAGCAAAAGTACCAAGCTACATGTGACGAGACAGAACGAGACTTGTAGAACGCCTTTGTACTTGTGCCTCATCTATACCGTTAGTCGTAAGGGAATACATGGCACAGGCTGATTAAACATGAGTCGTAATCTACAAAGATCCAGACTGTGCAGTGTCATAACCGTAGCAAACCTGCTAGGCACCGCAATTACTAGTAGAGCATGTGTAAAAATCTTTCTTGAAAGGCAGGAACCTCTACGTACGTAAAGATCAATTGTATGGTACGTGCACCATTCAATTTGTCCTACGGTAATAGCTACAGTATGTACTTGTAGCTAGCTAGCTGCAAAGAACGACACAAAGCTCACACCTCACCTTCATATTCCTACTACATACTGTAGCTAGCACATCACGCAACAATAACTACTGGTCGGAGACGTTCGGACTAGGTCTTCTGTTCTCCTTCTCTTATTCACACAAACTCAAGAACTATGTAACTAAATACAACGATTCGAGTATTTCAGCGGACTCATGTGTAGCACTTTGGATCAGTCTATAACTAACCAAAGGCACACGCGTGGTGGTTAGCCACGCTCGCATCTATTACTCAAATCGCAGGTCCCAGTCAATCTTGGGACCGAGCTTGGGCAGCTGCTCAGCAACGTTCTGCACGTCCTTGTCTCCTCGTCCAGAGAGACAGATGACCACGTTCTTGTCCTTGGGCAGCTTCTTGGCCAGCTCCATGGCACCGTGGATGGCGTGCGACGACTCAAGGGCGGGAATGATACCCTCCAGCTGGGTCAGCTGTCGGAAGGCGTTGAGAGCGTCGGCATCGGAGGCAGCAACAAACTCAACTCGGCCAGTATCCTTCCAGTAGGACAGCTCAGGACCGACACCGGGGTAGTCCAGACCAGCGGAGATAGAGTGTGTGTCCTGGATCTGACCATCGGCGTTCTGCAGAACGTAGGTCTTGACTCCCTGGAACACTCCGACCTGGCCCTTAGTGAGGGTAGCAGAGTGGGCGGGTGTATCAATACCGTCTCCTCCAGCCTCGACACCAACAAGTCGCACAGACTTGTCGTTCTCGAAGGGAGCAAACATACCGGAGGAGTTGGATCCACCGCCGACACAGGCGACAACGGCATCAGGCAGAGCACCGTTGTTGAGGGCAGCAAACTGCTCCTTGGTCTCTCGGCCAATAACGGACTGAAGAGTTCGCACCAGAGTGGGGTAGGGGTGAGGGCCAATGGCAGAACCAATGACGTAGTGGGTTGACTCGAGGTTGGTGACCCAGAATCGCAGAGCCTCGTTGACGGCGTCTCGCAGAGTCTTGGAGCCCTCCTCGACCTTGACAACCTCGGCACCAAGCATTCGCATACGGAACACGTTGAGAGACTGTCGTCGGGCGTCCTCAGCACCCATAAAGACCTTGCACTTCATGCCGAACTTGGCGGCAACAGTGGCGGTAGCAACACCGTGCTGGCCGGCTCCGGTCTCGGCAATGAGCTCTTTCTTGCCCAATCGCTTGGCAAGAATGACCTGACCGACGGCATTGTTGATCTTGTGAGAACCGGTGTGGTTGAGGTCCTCTCGCTTGAGCCAGATCTTGGCTCCTCCGCAGTGCTCGGTGAGTCGCTCGGCCTCATGGAAGGAGGAGGGTCGGTTCATGTAGGCAAAGTAGGATCGGAACTCCTCCCAGAAAGATTCATCAGCAAAGGCCTCCTCGACGCAAGTCTCGAGCTCCAGCAGACATCGGTGCAGAGACTCGGGTACGTACTGGCCTCCGTGAACACCGAATCGGGCAGGGTAGACAGACTTTCGCAGCACCTCGTCGGTGTTGACGGCCTGGGTAGTGTCGGACTTGTTTTCGTTGGACACAGCGGCAGAGGCTGCTCGTCCACCAGTCACAGACTGCAGGTACTTGGCGACAGCCTCGGGGGATCCGTTGGACTCCTCGATGGTGGCAATGATCTTGGATCCAATGACAATACCGTCGGCCAGGGGGGCCAGCTGGTTGAAGTGCTCCTGGGTGGACACTCCAAAGCCAACTGCCAGAGGCTTGCCTCCAGTGTACTTTCGGACCTTAGCCACGAGCTCGTCAATGTCGGTAGACAGCTTGCCGGTGGCGCCAGTGACGCCCATTCGCGAGACGACGTACATGAAAGAGTCGGTGATGGAAGCGAGGACCTCAAGACGGTCGTTGGGGGTGGTGGGGGCGACCAGAGGGACGTAAGACAGACCCTCACGAGTGCAGAGGCCTCTGAAAGCAACAGCCTCCTCCGGGGGAAGGTCGACGATAATGAAACCGTTGGCTCCAGCGTCTCGGGCAGCCTTGACAAACTTCTCGTCACCAAAATGGTGGATAGGGTTGTAGTAGCCCATGAGCACAATGGGGACGTGGACGCCCTTGGCTCGAGCCTGCTTGACAAGGTCCAGACACGAGTGGACGGTGACACCGTTGGCAAGAGCCACATTGTTGGCGGCCTGGATGGCAGGGCCGTCGGCAACAGGGTCGGTGAAGGGGATGCCGAGCTCAATCACGTCGGCTCCTCCGGTCTGGAGGCCCTCGAGAATGGGCACGGTTTTTTCAACAGAGGGGAATCCTGCGGTGACGAAGGTAACGAGGGCGGGACGGCCCTCCTTCTTGCACTGCTCGAAAGTGGCAGCCAGATGAGCAGACATTTTGTAGCGGTGTAGTGTGCGTGTGGAGTATAAGAGAGGTTTGATCTGGTATTGAAATTGGTGAAATTCTTAGACTCGGAGGTTAGGGGAGGATATAAAGGCTGATTTAGGCGCTAGTTTGTATGATACTGTTTCTGGGAAAGCAGATGGATCGATTTTAAGTGGTCGAAATAATATACTGATGGGAATTATACCAATTTAAGCCACTGAAATACTCCTTATGACTCTTGCACGAAATGTTGTGCCCCGGATATTCACCGCTTTTAGAGTTGCCGGCTGGGTCAGTCATAAACCCTGTTTGTCACCTTCTGAACTGCTCTCGTAACTGTAGGTTGAGTTCGTGTATTCAGTTATGAAAGTTACTGTAGCTGCTAGCAGAGCTTTCAAGGAGGTACCAATGTTGATAAGCACGTGTATTATACGAGTAGATCATGATGAAGTCAGTCTGTTACAATACACCACTCCATCTGGGTACTGTAATTATAAAAGATGCACCAAAAGCATGGTGTACTTGCGCACCTCATAGCACTGTCTGACGTGCATCGGCAACTCTCTATACAGTATGTACCAGGCTGCGGCTGATCCTCTCCGAAGACAGAGCCATTGGGTGACAGAAGGTGACTAATATCATACCCCTGGTAGTGATCTGGCGGCGTAGGAGTTAACTGTTGACAATTATGGGAGACATCAAGCGCTTGCTTGCTCAAACAAGTCTCCAGTGACGTGTATTGCACCCCTATCTTGTGCATATGCTGAACTAGTCCTGCCAGTCACGCTTACCATATTGCTCCGATAACGGCGTGCATGTGGGGTACACAATGGGGTTGAATGACCGCTGAATGGAGTAATTGTTGGTATTCTGAGATGCCACATACAAGCCGTGATGGTTGAATAATAATAATATAATTAAGTATTGGATGGTAGTTTTTCTTTTATGTAGCCAGGCAAAATTTTCTTAGCTATAAATCGTGGTTGTTGTAGCCCACATCGTTATAAATGAACTACAGTATACTTTGCACAGTCGATACCCGAGCTTACTAAGTATAATAAGATATATGGCCGAATTATTTCCCTGTTGTTGCCTATACTAAAAGAGGGAGATAGATGGAAACATAGTCACTGGGTTGAGCAGCTGAAACAATTTTACCGCGGTAATGTAAGTCATAACCTGTACCAAATACCCTAGGCGTAAAAAGAAGCACGCAAAAGATGCATGTTTACCCTACCGCGACAAGCTGGTTTATATAGAGCGGATAGGCCCAATTTTTTCCGCATCACAGCCAAAAAGAGTGAGTATCGACAACAGCACGAGGCTTCAAAGGATGAACGTATCACAGACCTGTACCGATCTCGGGGGTTGTATCCCAGGAACAGAGGAAATGATTGCCTAACGCTGACACAAATGAGAAATTTGTATTTCCCATGAGACTTTGAACTAACATAGATGAGTGATACTTCAGTAAAGTCAACTAAGACACCACTATATAGTTAACTATTTATTAATTATCCTACCAAGAAAACATAGCTACTATATGAGTCTTGTGCATTTTTGAGCTTGGAGAATCACATATACACGGTATACGCCACGAAAATCGATTGGATCTCTCTGAATAGTTAACGCCCAAAGTTGCTCGCCTCCTTCGTATTAATAACACTATTGGTGCATTACGTCACAAACCATCCCTGCAGATGTTGGGCGGTGATATACTGGGGGCTATAGTGTAGAAGGCAGATTAATAACCATGGAAATCAAGTAAAAGTGCTCATATAAACAACATCATCTGCCCTTAATTTATTCCTTCTCTTCTGGAACACCTTCCTACATCCACCTCCAATTCCCCAACACGTGACTTATCTCGCATAGCGCGCATCAGTCCATCGGCGCTCAACACTACTGTAGTCTTTGCAACCCCACAACACCATGGAATCGGTATTCAGAATCATTCTGTTTATCATGCTCATGGGGCTGCTCATGTCGCCGGGGGGCAACCGCTACACGCCCCTCAGCCGCAAGGAGAAACGCCAACTTGAGCAACTTGTTGCCAACCACAAGTTCCAGGCAGACCGGCTCCGAAACCACAACGCTCACGACTACACCTTTGGCAACCTGACGGGGTTCACGTTTGGTTATACAAAGCCGCGCAAGGGAGACAAACGACAACAGCTGGGCTGTCGCGACGAGGGAGACAAGGTGTCGCTATTCCCACAGGACGTTCTCAACGAGGCCAGCTCATATTGGAAAAACGAAAAGGGACTGTATCTGCGCAACATTTCTGGCGTTGTGCGGGGCGACTGGACAGGTCCCGCGAACGACACACAGAAACTTCTCCACATCCCCATGCCAGTGTCGCAACAAAATTGGACGTGGCATCCTCACAACCACAGCGTTAGCATCACTCCTCTACCAATAGACCCCGATGACGACGGTGGCGACGAGGGAGAACAGCGGATAAATGGCAACATCACAGCCGTTGACGGTAAAGTTGAACTCGACTTCATTGATGCCATCCCCAGCTACGTTAATCAGCGCATTCTTAGCTCATACTTTGCTAACCACACTGTGCCAAAGGAGCTGGAAGCGTTTGCAGATGTGAACGTGGTCACGTGTACAGCCCAGCTAATGGGCCAGGAGTCCGACTCAGAACTCCACACGGTAGTGCTCCGGGGCTTGCATTTCAAGCACTCCGGAAACGTCATCATGACAACCCACTCAGCAAAGTTCTGGGGGTACGAGGCTCTAGCGGGCATGCTAGCGGAAATCATGCAAACGGCCGACCGATCACGTGAAAGTACCGACGATGCCTTCAACACTACCAAGGAGGCCATGATGCCCATCATTGAGCGGCACCTGTCGATTATTGGAGACACAGATCAGGCTGTTCCTGTGTCGGAAATGGAGCAGGAGGCCGCTGCGTCGTGCGAGTACATTGGTGTTTTGCACGTAGATTCCGTCGATGCTAATCAATACAGCGGAATAGACCTCCGAAACATTGAGTCAGAGCTTCAATACCCAGTGGGGCGTCCTCACAAGCGACCCCCAAGACTCCAAATGAGCGGAGTGTTGTACTCGCCTGATTGCGGCAAGAAAATGACCGTTGGAGACGCAAAGGGCCTACTTTGGAATGCCTCTTTGATGAAACAGAACCATGTGGTCGTGGCTGTCATCTTCCTTGGAATCATCAACACTCTGCTGCTGGCATTCCAGATGCAAAAGGCGTCGACCCCTTCTCTGTGCTCTCGGGTCAGCATCTGGTCGATTGGAGTTATGTCCATGATGGACGGATTCATGTGCATGTTTTCGCTCATGGCCATTCTTTACCGAACCCAGCCCCAGTTGCAGTTCACGGCTCTTGCATTTGTGTCTTTCACCTACGTATCGCTGTTTGGACTGCGGTTCATGCTCAACATCACTCTGTCGCAGATACCCGAGGAATTTGCGCGTCCTGCTGCCATCCAGACTCCTGGAGGAAACGCGCAAGACAATACCCCTGGTGGGGATGACACTCTTCCAGTGACAGAAACACAGCCTGCAGCCACCCCATTCATTCCGTCCGACGCAGACGTTTCCACAGCACTCTATGGACGATTTTACTTCTGTCTGCTAGCGTTTGTCATCGTTACTACAGTAACCTATGGAATGACTGCTCCTCGACGATACGTGATGGAGTACGTGATTGTTCTGGGTATGGCGTCGCTATGGCTGCCTCAAATCTACAGAACTGCATACCGAGGCACTCAGCAGGCTCCGTTGGCGTGGTACTTTATGATTGGCAGTTCCTTTACGCGTCTGCTACCTCTCTACTACGTGTGCCTGGTTAAGGACGATGTTTTCAGACACCGAATTGACCGGATTCTGCCAACATTGGCTACTCTATGGATTGCTCTTCAGCTGTTTGTCATTTACGCCCAGCACAAGTTTGGTCCTCGGTTCATCTTGCCGCAGCACATCCTGCCCCCCATCTACGACTACCATCCTATCATCAGCCAGGATGACATTGAGAGCGGCAGTTACGGTGCGTTGTTTGAAAACGCCGCCAATGGATCATTAGAAGACGCACACACTGACTGCAGCATCTGCATGAACCCCGTCGAGCTTGTGGTGCAGACGTCGGACGAGCAGAACAACATGGACCCAGCGAAGCTCGTGGCTAGACGACAATACATGATCACGCCGTGCCGCCATGTGTTCCATACGGACTGTATGAGCAACTGGATGATCCGAAAACTACAGTGTCCTGTTTGTCGAAATCCTCTTCCTCCCATGTGAGGTGTGATACTGTGATACTGTGATATGACAGCATATATATATTCGTAACATAGATGTTTATTTAATAGTGGGAGGTGCACCAGTAGCAGATTTGGTATTAGAATGAAGGGAGTATGGTCTGTATAGGGTACAATTCAGAGATACTTACTGGTGACCTGTGTAGTAATCGTTAATATCATTCAGTTTTAATTATATATACTGGTACTTGTACCACCCATCTACTGAGACTTAATCCACTGCTCAGCAAAGTCAGTGACACTCTTCTGAAGAGGGATCCACTTAATTCCTAGCAATTTATCCGTCTCGGAGCAGTCGAGCTGACAAACAGTTTTGAGCTCCTTATCTCGGTTGGCAGGGTTTCCGGTGGCGATATTACCCTCCAGCTGGGGGATCTTGTTGGCAATATCTTCGATGTCTTGGGTGCAGAAAGCACTGGTGCCCAGAAGCAGTCTCCTTCGGTCAAGCTCGGGCTTGAGAGCAATAACGTGAGCCTCAGCGCAGTCTCGGACGTCGACGAACCAGCCCGCAGAGCCCTCAGGGTTCTGGCCCTTCTTGGACTGAAGAACAGCAGCAATCAGCTCGTTTGAGGTGTTGAGAGCAGACATGTCCAGGGCAATACCGGGACCGAAGATATAGGAGGGGTTGATCCAGGTGATGGAGAAGTGAGGTTTCTCGTTGTTCAGGAATTCCAGACCTGCCTTCTCGGCATACAGCTTGGATCCCACGTAGTTGGCAAAGGGGTTGCCTTTCTCAGCCGCCTGCTCTCGGGTCATTGGGTTCCAGTCCTTCTCAGTCAGAGTGTGAGTAGGGTCATTGTACTTGGACACGTCCATGATGGCGGCCAAAGAAGAGGTGATGACAATCTTCTTCACATTGGGAGCATGAGTCTTGGCCATTTTCAGAACAGCAGTGGTTCCTTTGACGGCAGGCTGAAGCATATCTTTCTCGGGGTCCTCAGCCTTCATGTTAAAAGGCGAGGCCGTGTGCAGAATGTAGTCAATCTCAGGGTGCTTCTCGAAGATGACCTGGAACTCGACCTCATCCTGGACGTCCTTGAGTGTCTCAAGCTCGAACTTGCCGGACTCGACCTCGTTCTTAAAGGCCTCCGCAAGTCGCTCGGCCTTCTGGGGGCTTCGAATAGTTCCGATGACGGTATGACCAGCCTTGAGCAGTTGGTCAACACAATGACCTGCCAGAAAGCCGGTAGCTCCAGTAACAAGGGTGGTAGGCATAGTTGTAGATATGGTAGATGCCAGTGATATAATGCCTATCAAGGCCCACCCCATCCCTTAAATATATCCATGTTTGCTGCTTCAAAGCCCATTAAGTTTATCAGGCGGCTTGAAGATAGCTCACCTTAGGCGGACAGTTGGAGGCGCGTACCGGTACTTGTAGGGCGAAAGGGATGTTAGAAGGACAAAGGGAAAGGATTGCGACCCAATAACCCACCGTCCGACACCCCTTTTGGCCATTTTACTGCCAAAAAATCTTCGCAATTTCCCCAATTGTCATTGTTGTCCTGATTCCTGCTCGCACAAACTTCACAACCTCACGCCATGCATGCTAGCAAAGTCCGTCGATAACGGAGATACACACCCAGGAAATTATGTCCGTGGTCAGTGAAGTTAACAGTATTAGAGTGGATTTGTCATGACAGAGAATTTCAACTCAAATGATCACTAAGGAGGGCATCACGTGGCTTGGGTGGTTCGATAGCGGAAGCTGGAGCCATTGTAACAATCGCTCAAGTATCAGTCTAAATAGCTGTGAGCTAAGTAATGCCAACTACCATAAGAGGTGCATGCCACCCAGTTCTCGAAACAAGTACCATACTGCATGTTGATTCGTATTCGCTGCCTACAATTCTGATCATAAGTGCTCCGAGAGAATAATATTTGTTCAATTGTCGCCTCGAGCCACGCCTGTGTTCTACAGTACGAGTATTGCAGCTTGTGTCTGACTAACTGTATTATCAGAAGACAGTTAAGGACAACACAATTCACTCAGGAGCAAGTTGGGACAGCACAAAGCCTCTTCTTGTAGCTACAATATATACAGTAATTACGACACCGTAGGGGCGTCCATGCACCTGAACAAATTAATATAGAGATAAATCTGCAAAGCGCTATTACACAGATCGTCAAGACCTCCAAGAGAGTGTGCCAAAGAGTCATATAGGAAAGGTCGTTTTGCCTCCATTTGCGACAAGTTGTGTAGCCCACCGGACAGTTGATTTTAAATATTTTCACCCAGTAAACACGGTCACGAAGAACTCACCAAATGATGATTCTAAACCAAGACCAAACCAACTAATTCCCATTATCACAAAACCTTTCCGTAGATACCCCAACCAATACACAGGCGACAGACAACAACAAGTACTACTATCTACAACGTACAAACACCTGCGGTATTTGAACCCATCTCAGTTCATTTTCACGTGCAATAATACATTTTAGTTTTGTGTCTACTTCTTGGAGACAATCTTCTTGAGGTAGAAAGCAAGCTCCTCTCCCTCGAGAACGTAACCGTCAACTCGGCCGGACTGACCGGGTCGAGAAGAAACGCAGGCGTAGAGTCGGCCAGCACCGAACTGAGCCTCGACGGCGGGGTCGAGCTTGGCATCAGCCTGTCGGGCAGCAACGGCAGCCTGGTCAGCCTCAGCAATGACGGGCTCCTCCTGGCCAGCCTTCTTCTTGCCGAGAGACTTGCCGTAGTAGGACTCGTACCACTGTCGGAAAGGAGTGGCATCAATCTGGACAATGGCAGACTTGGTCAGAGTGTTGGTTCGGATAAGCTCGTTGTTGGAGGGGTGGAAAGAGACACCGAGGACTCGGGTCTTTCGGGTGGTTCCCTCAGAGCCCCAGGAGAAGTTGCCGGTCTCGATTCGGATGGCTCGGAACTTCTTGTTACCACCACGGGTTCGGACGGTGTGGATTCGCTTGGGGCCGATTCGGGTGACGGCACCCTGTCGACCGCACTCGAACTTTCGCTTCTTGTGGATGGAGACACGCTTGGCGCCGGTGTGGGATCGCTTGTGTCGGGAGTCTCGAGAAATACCCATGGTTGTCGTGGAGTGCTGAGAATTGGTGGGAGGTTTGATTTTTTGTCAGAGGTGGGAGCAGAGTTTCCGAGTTTCCTTTTCAGAAAGCAGTCACAAAGTCACGTGTGACTCAGAGTTAATTTGGACGTTTGAGTATTAGGGTTCAAATTGTCGTGTGTTCGAATCTGGGAGACGGCGCACTTAATAGGTGAAATTGGATGAGCAGATGTTTTTAAAACGACGTGAGGGCATCCGTGGTTCGATGCTATGTACACACTACAAATACGTCAACACACAAATAACAGCCGTCTCCACCACTAGACGTCGATGATTCTATGATCGTCGCCCCCCACCCCTTGACACCACCACATCCTCGTTGGTTTCCTTTTTTTCGTCTCTATAAACCTGCCAGGCCCCAAAATCATGTACATAAATACTCAAAATATCAATCTATCTACCCACCACTACTACTTATTTGTACCGTCTTATATCTCAACTATCTAATATATCTGATCGATCTAATACCTTCCGCGAGTATCTCATCTCGTAGTAAGCCCCCTATAACCCTAACCCAACACCCTCTTTACGTGTAATCGTGCTTCTGACATGCGCAATTTGAAATTTTCGAACAGATGTCTTCAGCTACCCCTGTGGCGTTCGTTACTTGCACCCCATGTCTTTCTACGACGAAATCGAAATCGAAGACATGATCTTCGACGCGGATCAGGGTATCTTAACGTATCCTTGTCCGTGTGGCGACAAGTTCCAGATTGCCCTGGACGACCTCAAGGATGGCGAAGAGGTAGCCGTCTGTCCCTCGTGCAGTCTCATGATCAAGGTCATTTTCGACCCCGAGGACCTTGAGCAGTTTGAAGAATCGTGACGAAGAGGTGCTCTATAGCACTAGTCAAAATTCAGATTATGACTGGAAACTGTCATACACGACACCCTCACTATGAACTGTTCTGTCACGACTTCTACGACATATGCCATGGGCCCCCTCCACACACTCTCAAACACACACACACACACACACACACACACACACACACACACACCATACACATACATACATTCAGGTCACGCGGACTACTCACATATCCGTGTGACAAGGTAAGAAGCAATCGTTGTGTCTTGGTCCACATATCTATTTATTCACTAATGGAAAAAGAAGCAAACATGCAACTCTAGTTAGCACGGCGTCCATGTATTTATCTGTATTTGTTCCTCACACTCGATTGGGAATAGCTACAAGTACTCGTCTTATAGTTGAATTCACGCGACCGTAAGGTTGAAGAAGAAAATAGGATGGATAGGACGATGACATCACTTTACTTGTTCCCTTGCCATGCTGGCAGCTGTATAGTAAGCGCCACTAGGTGTCTGTGCCTATCAGCTACCTAGATCTTCCTTGCTTATAGAAGTGTACAGATACTTCTCTTCGAACTTGTTCTGCGCAGATCACCTTCCGTTATCAGGAATACGATTTAGGACGCTCACAATTACGATTCAGCGTCTCTCGGAGCTTCGAGGCATTTGTCTAGCGACAAGGTCCACTACAGAGAGGGTATACAAGTGAGTTATTTGTCGACGAAAACTACAGAGAGAAGCTATAACGCCAATTATACCATGTCGTGGCTCCGAACATCTCACCGAGCGCATTCTCCTATTCTGTTACCCTCATTAAACCAGCCGCAGCCGTTGGTGAGCCGTTCGGAGATAACCTTGAGAGAGAGGACGATGTACAAGTCAAGTAGAGGGTGGGGGAAGAGTTGATAATTGAGTTGTTTATAGCTTCTGGAAGGCAGAGTCACACTACGGTGTATGCACCGCTATGGGTCACCCGATCTCACGCACCAGGTATGTACAGTACGATACTCTCCCGTCTTCGCTAGCATCTCGCTCTTGAGACGTCCAGACACGCATCCCGAGGCAATCCCTAATAGAGCTCAACTGTCTGAGAGCTGAAGTTTGACGTCAATCGGGTGGAGACATACTCAATATACAAGTACTGGCATAGGCTGAGATGGAAAAATGAACGTTCTGAGAGGCTACTACTGCTCAACTTCGGTTTGTGTCACCTCAAACATTTGTACTACGGCCTACAGAGGCCTATTCCGCACGATAAGTGAAACTAAAAAGAGATGCTAGAGCACGGTGCCAAGCTAAGGAACGTGCCAGGAGTTAGAGGCGGTCCAAGGGCTGTGGTAAGAAGCTGGAAATCGAGACACAGCTCATATATCACTCACAGACGCCAATATCCCCACCTGGCCCCCCGCTCCAACAGCAGAGATATCTCGGGTTTCTTAACTCCGAATTTAAACCCTGATGAAATCCAAATGCGACATTTCTGCAAACCGGCTGCAGGGGAATACAAGCAGTTATAAGACCGCCTGGTGGCCCTAGCCGATCTCCTTTCGAGCAAAAAAAAACATCGCGTAACCCCGATCACCCGCACCAACAGCACCAACCACAGAAACCGCACACAAACACAACAAGATGGAAACCCTAGCAAATTGGCTTCTACCCGACACCCCCAAGCCTCTGGACATCAAGCAACTGACTTTTGGCCGACCTGGGGGAAACAAGGGCTTCACCTTCTCCACCATCCCTCTGCCCCTCAAGACCAATGAGGTACTTATTGAGGTGAAGGCGGCCTCACTCAATCCATGGGACCTCAAGGTGTGGAAGCAGCCCCAGACTTGGCTCAAGGAAGAGCATGGCTTGGGCCAGGATTTCTCCGGTATCATCAGCGATCTGGGCCAGGGAGCTGCGTCAAAGGGCTGGAAGGTTGGCGATCGTGTCTGTGGTCTCAAACTTCACTACGGTAGTCAGGGAACCATTGCGTCCCACATTGTTATTGACCTCAACAAGACCAAGTACTCTATGACCCACATTCCCGACAACATGACTTTCGAGGAGGCCGCAGCGTTCCCACTCGTGTTTGGAGCCGCCTGGGAGGGCCTGTCACATTGCCCAATGCAGGCGATTAGAGATCAGACCCTCAACGTCTGTATTCTGGGAGGAGGAACAGCCGTGGGCCAGATGGCCATCCAGCTGGCCAAGAACCACCTGCGAGCCAAGCACGTGGTGTGCACCACAGCCGGCGGCGAGTCGGAGGAGATTGCACGTGATCTCGGTGCAGACCATGTTATCGATTACAAGGCTGCCGGAAACGTCGGAGACGCCATTGAGTACATTGTCGGCAACCAGGAGCTAGACGATACCAACGACCAGCACAGGGTGCGGTTTGCAAACTCGTACTCCACTAATGGCGAGAAATTTGACGTGATCCTCGACTGCGCCGGAGGTGCTGGAGCTGGAGACGTGCTGGCGAAGGCCAAGTCGCTTCTCAAGCCCTACAATGAGGGATCCGCCTTTGTCACCCTTGTGGGAGACTACAATACCCCCAAGGTCAATGCCTCGGTTGTCCACGGCTCCAATGGTCCCTCTCCTCTCATTTCCAAGTCCATCTCCACATATGACTCCGCTTCATATTGGTACGGAGGCTGGACTCATAAGCTGGCTTTCCAGACCGGCTCTTCAGGTTTTAGATACATCACCGCCAATGTCAAGGGCTCTGGTGACTGGATCAACCAAGCCCACGCTGGCTTCGCATCCAACTCTATCAAGGTGCGAATTGACACGGTATACCCCTGGACCAAGTACGACGACGCCTTTGAGCAGCTCCTGAGCCGAAAGGTCAAGGGCAAAATTGTTCTGCGAATCCAGGACTTTTAATGGGATAATGGTAATATATAATAATATAATGGATGTGCATATGGTGATTCGGGTGAAGCAGGGATATGGTAGCGAGTCCTTGTACAATCGTTGTGTACTTGTAGGTACTGTAGCTGGTATTTATTGGCATGTGTTATATCCACATGTTAGTCTCTCTTGATGCAAGTACTTATATGCATATGCATCCCCTGCATGGATAAACTTCACCATTGCCAAGCTCGGTTAACATCTTTCATATCAGCAACAATGACCATGAAGTGAGTACCGAACGACAATGGCCATGAAAGAGCTTCGATTAACACAGCATCCGCGCTTGCCTCTTCGACATGGATGGTCTACTCATCAACTCTGAGCAGATCTACACCGATGTTGCCAACGAGATTTTAGCCGAACACGGTAAAGGTCCTCTTCCCTGGGAGATCAAGAAGGACCTGCAGGGCCGACCTGGTCCTGAGGCCGCGCGAGTCTTCCTTGAATGGTCTGGATTGCCCTACAACCCCGACGAGTATTACGCCATGACCTCTGCTCGTCAGTCGGAAAAGTGGCAGACCTGCAAGTTCATGCCCGGAGCTCTGGAGCTGCTGAAGTACCTCAAGGAGAAGGACATTCCTTTTGCTCTGGCCACCTCATCCCACCGAGGAAACTTTGAGAAGAAGACCGCCCACCTGGGTCACGGATTCGAGCTCTTTGGCGACCACATTGTCGTTGGAGATGACGAGCGAATCCCCAAGGGTCGTGGCAAGCCCAACCCCGACATCTGGCAAGTGGCTCTCAAGTCTCTGAACGACCAGAGACACGCCGGTGACCAGATCAAGCCCAATGAGGTGCTGGTGTTCGAGGACGGCATTCCCGGCGTTGTTTCCGGACGAGCTGCTGAGGCCCATGTTATTTGGGTGCCCGATCAGCGCCTTCTCAACGTGCTCAAGAAGGGCGAGGCCCAGGAGATCATTGGCAACCAAGGCGAGATTCTCACCTCTCTCGCCGATCTCGACAAGACCAAGTATGGCCTTTAATTGGATCTATGTAAATCAACATCAATACGCTTTAGGCAAGCTTTTAAATCAGACATGAACCATACTGTACCTCTAGATCAGCATGAAGCATAGACCACCCTAACTCATTGTTGCAAGACCACTAAACTAATAGCTGTATTTGTGCCGCCCGGCCCCTCACTCACTCTTCTATAAATACATTCTCTACAAAGGAACGTTTCTAAACAAATAGCTGACGGACTCTCCGTTGTGAAGACGTCGGATACTCTCTGCCAGCACGCCGGAAATGTCAATGATGCCGAGCTTGGGACACTGGTCCATTTTGGTTTGCAGATCCAGAGTGTTGGTGCACACGACTCGGTCGAGCTTGGAGTTGTTGATGATCTCAATGGCTCGGCCAGACAGAATGCCGTGGGTGACAATGGCAATCACCTTGATAGCGCCGTGCTCAAATAGAGTATCGGCAGCCTTGGCCAGAGTACCACAAGTATCGGCCATATCGTCGACAAGCACACACACCTTATCCTTGACGTCTCCAACCAGCACCATACGGCTGACCTCGTTAGCTCGAGCCCGCTCCTTGTGGATCAGAGCAAAGTTGAGATCCAGACGGTCGGCAAGAGCAGCGGCTCGCTTGGCTCCACCGGCATCCGGCGACACAATGATGGTGTTTGTGTGGTCTCCGGGCTGGCCATTGACGTTATGCATGATCTCGGACTTGAGGTAGTTGACCACCGAGGGCTCGGCGTAGAGGTTATCCACAGGTACGTCGAAGAAGCCCTGGATCTGAGAAGCATGCAGGTCCATGGTGATGACATGGTTGCATCCAGCAGTCTGAAGCATGTTGGCCATGAGCTTGGCGGTGATGGGGGCTCGAGACTTGTCCTTTCGGTCCTGACGCGCGTAGGCAAAGTTGGGGAGAACAGCGGTGATTCGCCGGGCCGAGGCGGTCTTGCAGGCGTTGATCATGATTAGCATCTCCAAGATACGGTCATTGACCTCGCCGCAGCCCACCTGGCAGATGATGTACACATCCTCGTCTCGAACCGACTCTCCAATGGTGATGGAAGTTTCTCGGTTGGAGTCTCGGAAAATGTTGATTTTGGCCAGGGGGAGGCCGAGTCTGGGTTAGCACAAGGAAGTGAGTGGCTGTAGGTCACGGACGCTCAACGATCTATGCCAGGTCAGAAGAGAATAACGGAGAGCCATGCAAGAGGAACAAGACGCATGATTCTGAAACAGATACAGTAATTCGCAATCGGAGGACAAGGGTGCAGCAAACAGATTGCCGTCACATGAACACTGAACTTCACCTGTCCACGAGGCCAAAGAACTGCTTATATTCACATGCTCCCCATATGTCGTTCTCGGTGACCGTATAGATTAGTCCGCAACCGTTCAATAATGAAAGCGGGAATCGATAAAACCTGTCTTCTGTGTCGCTTTGCATCTTCTGGTGTGTCGGTGTCTCTCCTCTTCTGTCTTGTGACTTGAGTAACACTGTCGTTGTCGGAGCTCACCGGCTGACTCATCCCGTCTTCTCGGCACAAACTCACCTAGCAGCAACTTTCTCAGCCAAGCCCTGGTTGATATCACCGGACAGAATCTTGATGGAGTTGGAAGTCATGGTTGCACTGGCCGTTAAGGACAAACTCGAAATATGGAGACGGGCTGCTGCTGTTCATCAATCATTTTTTTAGGGTTAGAGTTGGTCTCTCACGTGCTGCGGAGGACACCGAATCTCCAGACGTGGGGCACCAAGGGCCTGCAATTGGCTATCATCAGGGTAATCACAGTTGTGTACCAGGCTGGGGCTGCTGAAAAATGCCGGTTACAAAACGTTCTTATATACTGTTCGTCTCTGGATCCCATATAGACCCACCACACGTACCATGCAATCGTAAGCCAAACCGGCGTCTCAGATGCGGATCGAACCCCCGTCTGACAAGTGCACTCCAAAAATCCACAATAGCTGATAGGCCTGAAAAGTAAGTCTTTTGACGGAGTCCGAAAAGGGCAGTTTGAGACGTTTCCGACCAAATAAACCGACCAGGAGATATATGGACTCTGGATCGACTGCAGAAAATGTCTCTCAAATGGCCCCTTTTCACGGATCTATATCTATACTGGAGATATGTGCGCTAGTTGAGTCTATTGAGCGAGCCCGAGTCAAGCAGACGGTCAAGAGTCAAAATAATGACTGGTATATATAAATACTATGTACAATATAAATATGGATTGTGGTGGAGTACCGGGGCTTTTAGACAATCACTCCGCAGCCCAAAACCCGATCCTCGTGGTACAACACGAGGTTTTGACCAGGACTAACCGCCCGAACTGGCACGGCTGTCCTAATTGCAATGTCCTCTCCTTCAATAGCCAAATTTGTAATGGCCACGGGCTCCATGAGAGATCGGAATTGAATGGTGAGATTCATTCCGCTCAAATCGGCTGGCTTGGTACCCAGCCAGGAAAAGTACTTAGCCTTGATGTTCGAGCTAAAGAGGCTGGGATGGTTTCCTCCCTTGACAATAACCAGTTCATTGGTGTCAATGTTCTTTTCCTTGACGAACCACGAACCACGGTACTTGGGGTTGCCCTGGGGAAGGCAGATTCCAGACTTCTGGCCCACAGTAGCATTCCATAGTCCGTTATGCTGACCGACCACTTCTCCCTCCTCAGTAATCACATTACCAGGAGTAGTGGAAATGTAATCGCTTAGAAAGTCGCGAAACTTGCGCTGGTCCTGAGACACAAAACACAGTCCCTGAGAGTCAGGTTTGGACGCCACGTGAAGTTTGTAGGCGTGGGCCATCTCTCTGATCTCCGGCTTGAGATAGTCAGATAGGGGGAACATGACGTTTCTGAGCGAGTCGGAGTTCACTGAAGAAAGATAATAACTCTGATCTTTCGCCAGATGCTTGGGTCTGAACAATCCAGGGGTGCCAGACTCGTCTGTCATGACTCGAGCATAATGACCTGTGGCAAGCCACCAGTCTCCCTCCATGCCACTGTTTTCATGCCGATCCTTGAGTCTGTGTTTGAGAGAACCAAACTTGATGTATCTGTTGCAACTAACGTCCGGATTGGGCGTCAGGCCCTGTCTGTATCTCTCGAGCATGGGTTCAAACACCTCGAGCCAGTACTCCTTCTCCAGACTGAGATTCACGGCTGGGATGTCGATATGAGCACAGACTTGCTGCACATCGTTCCAGTCAGCTTCAGCACATTTGGAGTCGGGGCTCCAGTTTCGCATAAACACTCCAGTAACTCTCCCCTTGTACCTCTCAGCCATCAAAGCAGCAGTCACGGAGGAGTCCACCCCAGCACTCATAGCCACATAAACATGGTCGTTGGGGCCCGGCAGAGGCGTTGTGAAGCCCAAGTGACTGCTGGAATAGTGTCTCAGTCGGCATGGCACACCCGTCAGCGGTCTGACAAGCTTCCTGAGCAAGTTCATTGTCGTGGCTCTCTAAGTTGGTAATTAAATTAATTTTTCAGAACCTCGTGGGATTCGAAGTTTGATCTTGATTTGGGTTATCGGCATTACGGGCCTAGCTGGTGTCGCTGAGTAATCAGTCTCTGTGCGCATCGTCGAGTGCATGGTAGACGTACGACTGGTCTGACTGTGGTGGCGGTTTTGTTGTGTGAGTCGACACCGACAGATCCAGTAGCCGCTTGCATCGTTCTCTGCGTGTCATTGCTTTTTCTATTTTTACCTCTCAAACATCTCATCTCGCTTGGTTTGCAAAGGGTGTGACAAAGACGCCGATATTGGATCCGACAGACAGTCTTCCCTCCTTCCTAAACAAGCTCCTACGTACTTGTACTTGCGCCAGTGCTTGTACGAGAGGAGAAGGAAAAGTGCCCACAGAGGCTGTGCACAGAGTAATTCGGCAGGTACTGTAGAACGTTGCAGCGACATGTCAGACATCTTATTATTGAATGTGACTGCCAGCATCTTTAAGCGATTCATACGTCACAACAAGATGTCAGCACAAGGACGCCGATGATCATATCTGAGGAGTCGTGTTGGGGTGTCCAAAAAGGGGAGTGCGTGTGATTATTCGAGGAGAGCTTTTTGGGGCTGACAACCGTTGCGCGTCCAACTTCACCTGTGAACAGCACCCCCTCCCAAAGCCTCATTAAATGGTTTAGCACCAGTCTATTGTTTGGCGTCCCCTCTTATTATGCAACGTGCGCAACCATGAACCTGCGTGTTGTTTGGTGGCGAACCTGTGACCGAGGAGCCGTAGCCACTTGTAGTGGTGGAGGAGCAGAGCTGCGAAATCCAAAGGTGTACATTACATGAGACAAGGAGGGTGAGCAAGCTAATTGTAGAAGAGGCAGAATATTATTGCGGTCTGGCAAGCGGTTTACGACCTGTTTCGAGACCCTTGTGCCCGATAATTATATATCAGGTCTGTAGTACAATTTTTCTTTGGTGGGGTCTACTCCGAGTATCGTACTTGAAGTCGGTAGATTAAAATGTCGCTCTATTAATACACTAATCTCTTTATCCCACATAGACTCACCTCACACAACTCACATCACACAATCACACTCGGCTCCCCGTGACAACCCTATTTCAACACCAAGGTTCCCCATTACACAAGAACACAACATCCACATATACACCTCTCACTTGTACTTCGTTGTCACGAGGACCGGTCAAACACAAAACCCCAACCGCGTGTTCCTACCAGTATATGCTCACGTGGCTTCAGTGGATCTTAGCATTCTCCTTCGCCCTACTCACCCCGACCTACATCACCCAAACGCCAGATAACGCAACCACCCCCTCCTTGTCCCCATCATACCCACCGTGCAACATGACCGTTCCGTTCCAGGTCATCGAGTCGTCGGTCGACAAACCCGTGACTGACGACCGACAGTACCGAGTCATCACGCTGGCCAACGGTCTGGAGGCCCTTCTCATTCACGATCCCGATGCCGATCGGGCCTCTGCAGCCATGGATGTCAATGTTGGGTCCTTCAGCGATCCCGTTGGCCTGCCGGGTCTCGCCCACTTTTGCGAGCACCTGCTGTTCATGGGTACAGAAAAGTACCCGGAGGAAAACGACTATTCCACCTACCTGTCCGAGCACTCGGGCTCCTCCAACGCCTACACCGCCTCTGAGGAAACCAACTATTTCTTCGATGTCGGACACGAGTACCTTGAGGGAGCATTCGACCGATTCGCCCAGTTCTTTGTGGCCCCTCTGTTCGCAGCCTCCGCCAAGGATCGAGAGATCCAGGCTGTCGACTCGGAAAACAAAAAGAATCTGCAGAATGACATGTGGCGTCTCTTCCAGCTCGAGCGGTCTCTGTCCAACCCGGACCACCCTTATAATCGATTTTCCACGGGAAACTACGAGACCCTACACACAGAGCCCCTGGAGAAAGGCATGGACGTGCGAGAAGAGCTGCTCAAGTTCTACAAGGCGTCGTACTCCTCCAACATCATGAAATTGGTCATCTTGGGTCGAGAGTCCCTTGACACTCTCCAGAGCTGGGTCGTCGAGAAGCTCTCGTCCGTTGTCAACACCAACGCCACTCTGCCGGACTACGGTGTCCCTCTGCTCACCGAGGGCGAGCTCGGCACCCTGGTTAAGGCCAAGCCCATCATGGACACAAAGTCCATCGAGGTCACCTTCCCCGTGCCCGATACTCGAGAACACTGGGAGTCCCACCCTGGCCACTACTACTCCCATCTTGTAGGGCATGAGGGCCCTGGATCCATTCTCTTCTTCCTCAAAAACAAGGGGTGGGTCTCGTCGTGCTCCAGTGGGGCCGTGCAGGTGTGTCGAGGGGCTGGCGTCTTCACAATCTCGTGCGAGCTTACCGACGCCGGTATGAACCACTACAAGGATGTGGTCGTGCACATTTTCGAGTACCTGCGAATGTTGCGAGACGAGCCCGTGCAGGAGTGGATCTACGATGAGATGCGGGACGTGGCTCTTGCCAACTTCCGGTTTAGACAAAAGGAGAACCCTTCGTCCACCACCTCGCGACTTGCTACTGTGCTCCAGAAGAACCACCTGCCTCGACAGTACCTGCTGTCGTCGTCGCTGTTCCGAAAGTACTCGCCTGAGGTGATCCAGGCATTTGGCCGACACTTCACCACCGACAACTTCAAGATCTTTCTGGTGGGCCAAGAGCTGGAGGGTCTCAACCAGACCGAAAAGTGGTATGGCACCCAGTACTCCAACGACAAGATTGATGCCGACTGGATGCGACGAGTCAAGAGCGCTGGTCGAAACCCCGACCTGCATCTTCCCGCGCCCAACGAGTTCATCCCCACAGACTTTTCTGTGCCCGACAAGCGAGCCAAGGAACCCCAGACTCACCCCACGCTGCTGCGAAACACAGACTACGTGCGGCTGTGGCACAAGCGGGATGACACCTTTCTGGTTCCCAAGGCAACCGTGCGTATCAGACTCAAGAACCCCATTGGTCACGCCGACCCCTTCAATAGCGTTAAAACTACGCTACTAATCGAGGTTGTCACAGACCTGCTGCTGGAGTTTGCATACGCCGCCGAGATTGCCGGACTCAAGTATGGCGTGCTTGCCTCTCGAGACGGCGTGGAGATCGACCTCAACGGATACAACCACAAGCTTGAGACGCTGCTAGAGCGGATTCTGCTCAAGATCAAAAATTTCGACGTCGACCAGTCGCGGTTCAACATCGTCAAGGAGACTGTGTCCAAGACATACAAGAACTTTGGCTATAACGTCCCCTATGCCCAAGTGGCCCATCACTCGCAGTACCTGCTGAACGACCATACCTGGACCGTTCAGGAGAAGCGGGAGAAGATTGAGCAGCTGACTCGGGAGGATATCATCTCCTTCGTGCCCGAGTTCCTGCGTCACCTACAGGTGGAGACACTGGTGGTAGGCAATCTTGCCAAGGAGGATGCGGTCAGCATCTCGCAGACCATCAGCAACGTCCTCAAGCCCGCTCCTCTGTCTCCCTCTCAGCTGGTTAACCCCCGGTCTTTCTTGCTGCCCGACAGCTCGGCTTTCCACTATGACGTCGATCTGGAGGACAAAGCCAACGTCAACTCTGTGATCGACTACATGGTGCAGGTGGGCAAGTTCAGCAACATTCGAACCCGGGCATTGCTGGAGGTTCTTGCCCAGATTGGGCAGGAGCCTTCATTCAATCAGCTGCGAACCAAGGAGCAGCTGGGTTATGTAGTATTCAGCGGCATCAAGTCGACCCGAACCACTCTTCTCTACCGAGTGCTGATCCAGTCGGAAAAGACGTGTTCTTACCTGGAGTCTCGAATCGAAAATTATCTGATTGAAATTCTCGGCCCCATGATCCGAAACATGAGCGAGGCTGAGTTCGACAAACATGTGGCTGCAGTGGTTGCCAAGAAGCTGGAGAAGCGCAAGAACATCAGTGAAGAGGCGTCACGTTACTGGTCGCAGATCATTAGTGGCTACTATGACTTCAAGCAGAACTTTAAGGACGCCGAGGAGATCAAGACGCTGAAAAAGGCGGACCTGGTGGAGTTCTACGACCGGTACGTGGACCCTGCATCCAAATTGCGGTCCAAGCTGGTGATCAACCTCAAGAGCCAGGTGACCAAGGACGAGGGCCAGATCCCCAACAGCGTGCCAATCATCGACCATGCTGCGTTCAAGAACAGCCTGAGCATGACCGAGGCGCCCGTGCCTGTGGAGGATCTCAAAAACTACATGGATCCCAAGGAAAAGTTGTAATTTAGCTATACTTAGAGAGGTGGTACTACAGTACACAGGAGGATACACAGGGGAGGATACACACACTGTCATCATATTACGTCATATTACTATAGCATATTCGCATGCAACATATACAGATTAGTCAAAAAATTATTGGTAGACCTGGGACTATAGAAGTTTTAACTGGGTGTACTTGTACGAGTAGCTCGAATTGTGCGAAAGCTATCAATGCCGTCTATGTCATGCTATAGAAGCCCCATTCATTACATGGCCATACCATAACTGTGCCGAAGATATACAGCTATTCATATGTCTCTTGTACTGGTGTTGCTATAGCGAGTGATTTGGTGCTTCCAAACAAATAATGTAAGTCTCGTATTGCTGTCACTCAGTTCTGATAAATACATCTTGTACGGAAAGGATTATTATATGATAATATTGGTAGCTATAGTCAGTTTATCGCTTAGCGAGTCGCTCTGCTCGTCGTTCACAAGCGTGCTTCACGCAATCGCTCATCTCCTGGTTGCCGTCCTTTGCAAAGCCTTCAATGACTCCGTCCTTGTCTCCGCAACCCATCTTTTCCTGGGACATTTTGAACTTTCCCTCCTGCTTGGTGATTTTGATCTCGATACCAATAATCTTGGGAAGTAGTTTCTCCAGGTGGCTATCAGAGGCATCAGACACCTTCCATTTCGATCCGGCTAGCGCTTCCTGCTCATCGACAAGCTGGTTAAGCTGGTCCATCAGGAAAGCTCGGGTGGTCTCGTCTTTCTCGTAGAAGACCTTGACTTTTCCGTAGCACTGGACTGAGGCGAAGTTCCATGTAGGCACCACGTCGCCGGTAGATGGCTTGGTTTCAACGTAATACTTGGGAGGCACGTAGGCCTGGGTGTGGGTGAAGGCAACGAGGGCGTCAGGATCTCCGGACTTGGAGGCGTGGATCAGCTGTTTGGCTTGGGGGTTGATTCGATGCATGTGGGCTCGAAGGGTGCCATATTCGCCATGCTCGGGGCCGGTAACAAGAGTGAAGGGGATGTAGTTAGCCTGCAGAGGTAGAGTGGCGGTATCGTCCTGAAGGTGGGTGATGAGAGTGCCCAGGGCCTCAGCCTTGATGAGCTTCTGCTGGACCTCCAGGTCGGGCTCGTTGTAGTAGGGAGGAATGTACATGTTGATGTAGTGGGTGAGTGTTTGTGTTGATTGTAAGAGGAGAGAGTAGTGCTATATAAGCAATTGGGGTTAGCCGCTTGGAGATGTTCTGAGTCAATGACAAGAGTAAATGACCCTTATTTTGTTTTTTGATCAAAGGCCGGTCTGTCAGTAACAAGCTTCACTCGATGACCTAAATATGTGGCTAAAGAGGCTAAAAAGAAGTTACGATAAGCCACCTGAGGAGACCAAATGGTTGCAAAGATAACTTGTTTGATGAGCAGCAGGTAAAAGGTACGAAGTGATTGGATCTTTCTGGTGGATTATGCATCCGTTGATACCCCTCATACTCGCTACATGTTCCTCTATTGTCCTGATAAGCCTCCTCATCGTTCCCCACACGCAAACAGTCATGCAGGACATTGCTTAATCAGGAAGTTATTGCCGGTGGGAGACCAATCACAGAGTTGGCATTAACGCGAAACACACTTAGGGGTGGGAAGGAATCTCAGGTGAAGTCGCCGCATAACGAGGCCCAGACCATGCAAGCTGACACGGCCCTCACGTGACCAGAGTCATTTCTCGATGAGTAATCCTAAAATGACTCAGATTTACGATTGACTCAGTGATAATTCTTGTTGACTCGGTGTTTTCTTAACCAGTTTGACCCGGATCAGTCAGACCATACAACTATCCAGCCTCGGTATCCCCTTATGGCTCAAGTCCGCCAGGTGGAGATAGCGGAAACAGGATCGATGAGCAAAAGCGGTGACCGAAAAAATGCAGAGATGCATCCGGACGAGAGAGCGGTGGTGGGCGGGATGCGGTGGTCAAGCGGAAGCTCTATGAAGAAGCTACTGTGCTGAAGAAGCCACTGTACTGTGGGGGAGGCGGGTCACTGGAGGTGGGTCATGCAGGCTACAGTTCGTACGAGTAGAAGTAATTTGTTAGTTTTTGATTGTGGCATTAGTTGAGAGTTAGTGATGAGAACAGTCTATCAAGAAAAAAAACCCACCAACTACTCATCTCCTACTCAGTGGTTTTATTGTGAGGGTTTCCCCGAATCGGGGGTTGTGGGCGTGACCCAGCGACATGTGCAAGTACCGGTACATGTACTTCTTGTACTTGCCCTGTTATCGGTGAGTCCTTTTGGAGCCGTTAGTCCGGACAACTATACAAGTACTGATACAAGTACAAGTGGGCATGTGTGTTCGATTCACCTCAACTTCATGATTATGCATTTACAACATAACAAGTACTTGTAAACTCCCCGGATGCACTTTTTTTGCCCTCGAATTATGCTCAGATGGTACGGGTACGAGTACTTGTGCATATATTACATATGAAGCATTCTTGTCCATACCTACCTACCCCTACTCGCACACAGATGTTGTCCATCCTTTTTTATGAGACTCCATCCAAAATAAAGTTTCGTTCAATCCACCTGTGAGGATCGGTGCGGGTGCTTCAGTCTCTCTCTCTCTGGCTACCAGTGTGCACATATTCTTATGTCAACCACCCATGCACGTCCTTCCCTTGTGCAGATTGATGCATTGATGCATCATTCTCGACCTTTGCCCCATGAGCACTTTGTGCTCATATTATTTCCACATGACCAGTCAGTTGGGCTCAGCCCAACTCCCTTTGCGTCGCGAGTATATAAACACCTTACATCCTGTATTGTAATGCATCGATTTTAGTACTTGTGTTTTCTAAGGAAAGTCACCAGTCTGTCGACAGCACCGTCAGGAGCTCTCACATTCGCGCCTCCAGCACTAGGGCGATAGCCCTAATGCCCTACAACCCACTCCTTTCCCTCCTCTCGACAAGCACCAATACTATCGTACTGCTGATTGTGTAACGTTCTGAAGCTTCCGCTACAGTCGGTTACCCCACCTGGTATTTGTGTGTGTTCCACACACATAATTACCATACATACACTGTCTATCACCACGGCCTCACTTTATCCAAACGCTCTGTGGGCAGCATCTACAGTAACTTGTACAAGTAAGCTTAAGCAACAGATCAAACAAAAGGGCTCACGGACTGGGAAAGTTCAACGTTTTATCGTGGGCGAAGACGTTGGCAGGCACTGCTTGTTGAATAACAAGCTGTACCTCTACAATTAAACATTCAGTCATACAGCGACTATACTCCTCATGTGCAATTGTCTAACCGCAACGTTGAACTATTTCCGACGAGATTGACCGCGCACATCTATGCAGCAGCTAAAATGGCACCTTGTCCTGAGTACGATACTGTACACGATGGGGTTGCAGGTTAACCTACCAGCATGCGAGGAACTTGTGTGTTGAGTAGGCAATCTGAACAAAGCAGTTGCAACTTGTTTATCTACAGAGGTAGTGTCCCTGGGTACAGTGTCACTGGATACAGTGTGTACATTTACTGCTGTATGTGGACTTTTGGGCATATTATCCGTTTTGCCATCATGTTGCCATATTTTCTCTCGTCAGTTTTAGCACCTGTCACGAACGAAAGAGATAGATGAAGGCTAATATAATATCCCGCCATGTGTATCGTGGCCACGTTGATTCTGCCATTCCATATATGCTGTAACTCCGACCACTCACAACACTGTGTCTTATCAGTCCCACCTTGCTCACAGATGCCTGCTGTGTTGTAATTATAATGGCCGGGCGAAAGGGTACGGACGTGCGGCGATAATTTTGCAGAAATTCGGACCAAGATGCGGCGGTCCTTTTTTCTCTTTTTTTCCCGTTTTTTTCTTGATCTGGGTTTCAGGTGCGCTAATTCGCTGCGACATTAGTCTTCAGCTGGAAGCAAGTGAAAAATAGGGCAGGATGGACCAAGGCGTCAAGTATGTTTGCGAGCGGGTCTGAGATTGGAAGAGGCGGAAACTGGGTTGCGGCGTGTCAAGGCGGCACGTCCAATTAGTGCAACGGCAACCCCAGGTTTGTGGGTAGTTGATGAATGTGACAGAGCTCGCACGGTTACAGTATTACCTCAATCTATGATTTCGTTAGGCAGAATTATTGATTTTTCGCCTGCCACCTACAGCTGACACTAACTGATGTCATACCTCAACGTTATTGGTCAATGTTTTTCCGGGCCTACTACTGTACATGTACTCTGCTTGTAATTACATCTGTTACATGTCGAGATTTGCTGTGGTGTCTCGTCTTAACGTCAGGTATCGTACTCGTAGCTATACTGGTGCACCATTATGACGCCCCTTCTCGGCTAGTAATACCGCCCGTATGAGACGCTAGTGGTCGACGAGATTAAAAGCGCCGCACACCCGGCACACCGGTCCTGTCGTCCCTTCTCTCACATAATTACTTATACCCATGTATCTCCCCGCTTATCATTTTCGATTTCCCTTCACCTTACATTACAACAGTACATTTGAGACTGCCGCCTGCCTCTGCCTTGGTTCCTCTCTCTGCACACTCGCATCAAAGCACCACCACCCACGAAGAAAAAAAAAAACAGCCTTTAGAGCCAAGAGAGCCCAAAAAGCCTAACTTAAAGTTTACATTGCCTCGAGCTCTGTCATATCCCACCACAAGCGCATAGTCCCCATCATCCACACAATCGGACCTCTTCGACCCGCAAACATGCTCCGTCTCCGTCCAGCCGTCCGAGCGGTCTCCGTGGCTCGAAGCGTCGCTCTGACTCGGTCATTGCACGTCTCCGTCGCCAAGTTCAACAAAATCGAGGGAACCGCCCCCGCAGGTCTGCCCAAAGAGGTGAAGCAAACCGCTGGCCACCAGGGACACCACCAGGAGATCCCTAAGCCCGATGAGAACCACCCCCGACGAAAGAAGTTTCACTTCTGGCGATCATTGTGGCGCCTGACCTACCTTTCGGCCATTGCTTCTCTGGGATACATTGGCTACCGAATCTACGTCATTCGAAACCCCTCCGACCAGTTGCCCGCCGACCCCTCCAAGAAGACCCTGGTGGTGCTGGGTTCCGGCTGGGGCTCCGTCTCCTTCCTCAAGAAGCTCGATACTTCTAACTACAACGTCATTGTCGTCTCTCCCCGAAACTACTTCCTGTTCACCCCTCTACTGCCCTCTTGTCCCACCGGAACCATTGAGCACCGATCCATTATGGAGCCCATCCGAGGCATCATTCGACACAAGCAGGCCGAATGCCAGTACCTCGAGGCTGATGCTACCAAGATTGACCACGAGAAGCGAATTGTGACCATCCGATCCGCCGTCTCTGAGAACTCCAAGGAGGAGGTCATCAAGGAGATCCCCTTCGACTATCTTGTTGTCGGTGTTGGCGCCATGTCCTCCACCTTTGGTATCCCCGGTGTCCAGGAGAACGCTTGCTTCCTCAAGGAGATCCCCGACGCCCAGCAGATTCGACGAACCCTCATGGATTGCATTGAGAAGGCCCAATTCGAGAAGGACCCTGAGGTCCGAAAGCGACTTCTGCACACTGTCGTTGTTGGAGGTGGCCCTACCGGTGTCGAGTTCGCTGCCGAGCTCCAGGACTTCTTCGAGGACGATCTCCGAAAGTGGATCCCCGATATCCGAGACGATTTCAAGGTTACTCTTGTCGAGGCTCTCCCCAACGTTCTGCCCTCTTTCTCCAAGAAGCTCATTGACTACACCGAGAAAACCTTCTCTGACGAGAAGATCTCCATTCTGACCAAGACCATGGTTAAGTCTGTTGACGAGAATGTGATCCGAGCCGAGCAGACCAAGGGTGACGGTACTAAGGAGACCCTTGAGATGCCTTACGGAACTCTTGTGTGGGCCACCGGTAACACTGTGCGACCTGTTGTTCGAGAGCTCATGTCCAAGATCCCTGCTCAGAAGGGCTCCCGACGAGGTCTTCTTGTCAACGAGTACCTTGTTGTTGAGGGTACCGAGGGCATCTGGGCTCTTGGTGACTGTTCTGCCACCAAGTACGCACCCACTGCCCAGGTTGCCTCCCAGGAGGGATCCTACCTTGCTAACCTGCTCAACGGCATTGCTAAGACCGAGGACCTCAACAACGAGATCACCAACCTCGAGAAGCAGTCGGAGCACACCTTTGACGAGCAGGAGCGAAAGAACATCTTTGCTCAACTCGAGTCCAAGTCCCGAAAGCTGCGACGATCCAGAGCCATGCTGCCCTTCGAGTACTCTCACCAGGGTTCTCTGGCCTACATTGGTTCCGACCGAGCCGTTGCCGACCTGTCCTTCAACTTCTGGGGTATCATGAACTGGTCTTCCGGAGGAACCATGACCTACTACTTCTGGCGATCCGCCTACGTGTCCATGTGCTTCTCCATGCGAAACAAGATTCTTGTTTGCATTGATTGGATGAAGGTCCGAGTCTTCGGCCGTGATATCTCTCGAGAATAAGCGCATAAACCTATACAATAAATTTTAGATTGACAGTACAACTGAGGGCTGTAATGAGTAAGAGTGGTATCACTTGGTTGTATTTGACGGAACAGTTGTATACAATTATAAAGAGTTGCAGCTTCTCCATCTGCAGTATTGCTGTAAGCATGTTTGTGGAAGGTTTCATCCTGAACAGAATCCCTCGTATAAGTGAACCCCAAAGCCAATGTTTTAGAGGCATTGAGACATAAGACTGCATGTTTCTTTTTGCTCATTTCACTTCTATATTTCTTTTTTGTGTCTGCCACTTCTGTATAATTCATTTCAATCAACACAATAGAGTTCCATAAGGCGTGTGGTGCATATTGTCAACTGTGGATACCTGTTCGTACAATACGTGAACATACTAACACACACCACAAATGATCACGAAAAGGCTACTGCGGTTCCTGCTGGGGCCTAGTTTTGCCACCAATGAGAATACAGAAACAGAATCTCTTGCTCTCAACCACGAATTGCTCAACGCCAAACACAAGATTCTCAACAGCTATGGACGGTCTTCCCTGGAGGCCGAGAAGATTGTACCTCCTCCTACTTCAGCCGCTGATCTGGACGCTCTGCTTGATCCTGCCGAATCAAACGACTATGTCGACAAGTGGATGCGAGCCTGGGAACTCGGTATTATCCCTGAGGGGATTGTTAGAGGTATAGAGATGATGGGCATGTGGCCCCTGGAGGTATCTTGGGCTAGATACCACACAATTGGCAGATCCGGAGGACAAACATACTGGCAACTACTGAAGGGAACTATCCACAGCGGCAATCCGTTCCCCGGATTCATGGCTTCCCTGGCGCAGAGTATGGTGGAGGAAGCTATCTCAGACCAACCGGACGCAGGCTCGTATACGTGGGAGAACGGGACCATGGTCAAAAGCGAACACAAAATCAACATCATAAGCGTGCTCAAGGGCAACCACACAATGGCTGAAATCATCCCCTTTGCCCTGAAACACTTCACGGCCTGCATCATGTCATTCCCCTTCTTCTACTACTCCTCCATGCAGATTTTGGGGGTGTACAACAACGTCGACACCCCCAACAACTCGCCCTGGGGCCCGTCTATTGCCTGGCTGCAGAATTTCTACAACCCCTGGACTCCAGCTCTACCCAATGTCGGAGTCATGGCCGTCTGGCATGTATCCAACTACTTTCTTGGTCTGGTGGGTCGAACGCATCTGGCTGAAATCAACAAGTCTCACGGACAAATGGGACCCGAAGTGGCCCATCATATGCCTCCATTTGCGGTTTTATATGAGAACTTCCTTCGATCATCCTTCATCATGAGATGCATGACTTCCAATCTGTTTGGTTTCTTCTTTTTCCGGTTTGCTGTCGGCAAATCTTTTGGGGATGACCTGCAGATTGATTTCCCAGATCTCTGCGGCGCTATTGCTCTTGATACCGTGGTTAGATGTGGTATCAACCACTTGTACATTCTGTCCACCTGGATTATTGAGAGATCTGTTTACGGGGCTGACACAGAGGAGGAGGAGACGTAAATGTACATAGGTCTACATCGCTACATAGTTGCATTATTTATTTGGTATTCAAGAAAGAGAGACATTTTTTTCCCCTTTGAACTGGTGTGCTCGTTTGTTGCATTTGTACATCAGGAAACGCGTTTCCCTTCGTCATTCCACATTTTAAAACATCACACTCTTATCCTTAATGACCATCCTAAACGGTACATGTTGCTTAATAATCAAACCCTAATAACAAGAATATGCATGGCTGGACTCCCCGGCCAAATTCGTCCAGTACACATCTTTTACACCAGCAACAACCAAACACAATGTCCGCTCGACGCTCGAGACGCAATTTTGATGACGACACGGTGGAAGCGTCCAGTGACAGCGAAGGCAAAAAGCGCAAGTCACGGGCCGCCGACAAAGCAGCAGCCGTACCTGAAGAGGATGAGGAGGTCGAGGACTCGGATGGACTGGTGGAGTCCGAGGAGGTTACACGGTGCATTTGTGGCCACGAAGAGTTGCATCTGGACCGGGCTGCCAAGGCTCTGGAAATTGATCAGGGTCTGTTTATCCAGTGTGATTCTTGCTCTGTGTGGCAGCATGGCTACTGTGTGGGCATGTACCAGGAGTCTGAAGTTCCCGATGTCTATTACTGTGAGAAATGCCGACCCGACCTCCATCAGATTTTCCTACGGCCAAGCGGCCAGACGTCCATCTACAACAAGTCTGCCGACGACGATGAAGACGAAGAAAACGAGGATGGCAACGATGAAGGCAATGGTAGCCGGGCTTCGGTCAAAGAAGAAGAGCTCCTCCCGCCAAAGCGTCAGCGCAGCAGCCGAGCGTCTTCTTCGACAGCCTCAGACAGCGGCACTGGTGCAACACGCGAGTCTGCCCGCGACCCTCCCCGAAGCAATGGAGAGGAGCCTGCAGCTGCTAGTGGCCCCAGACAACAGTCCGGGTCCACCCCCGAGCAGGGAGGAAAGCGAGGTACGGGTAGAAGTCGACGTCCCGATTCTGCTGCTTCTGCCGCTGGCTCTGCTGATGATGGCTCTGAAGACATCTCTGACGCAACTGGCGAGGCAGGCCGTGACTCAACTCGCAGCAGACGCAATTCGAGCTCTCGTCGTGAGATAACCACCTCGTCGCGACGTCGCAACAGAGACACATATGAGGAGACTCTCAAGCGGGTGCTTCAGGAGAGCGCCCGCGAAGCAGGCAAGGACAAGGAGGTCAAAGAGGAAACCACAACGAGCAAGAACTCTACGACCAACAACAATAACGCCACAGCCAACAACAGCAGCAGTAGCAAAAAGTCATCGCCTGAGACTACTGGCACTGCTTCTGGAGCAGCAGCTGCAACAAATGGAACAACCAACGGGTCAGCAGCAGCCTCGGGAACGTCGGAAACGCCGAAGCGGAAACGCGAACAGGAACTCCAGGCAAAGTCGGATATGGACGGCAGCGACTCGATGGACTCGCCTGTGGCCAAGGCCCGGAAAAAGCGCAAGACAAAGACGTCGGTGGGTGCTGGAGGAGCAGCCAACTCGCCGAAGCCGAAGGAGACACCCGAATACAATGACGAGCGGCCATCCAAGCCACGGGTACCTCATTCACGAACTACAATGAGCGAGATGCGACGACGGGTAGCTGCGATACTGGAATTTATTGGCCGCACACAGATGGACATGGCCAGTGACCAGAACAAGATTGGAGATCAGGTGGTGCTTAGCTCCACCTCTGCAGATATGATGGATGGACTAACTCGCAAGCTGCTTCTGTGGGAACAGGAGTACGGTAGATATGGCGAGCGAAGGTGATTAACAGAATATACTTAATTTATTGTATCATTATTATTTAAAGGTATTTTGCCGTCGGAATAGCCGCTCCGCAAAAACCGTTGCACGTTGTGTGAGAGGAAACCTATTACATGTAACAATTGGGGATGTGTCTCAATTTTGGGTATTGCGATAAGCTAATTGTAGCTGTTACTACCTGATCTACAAAGTAGCTTAGTGTCGGTTATCGATCTCTATATTCGTATATTAGATGCCAAGAACAAGAAGAATAATGTATGAAGTAGACATGTCATTTCGCTTAGGTGGTGCTGTGAGCCTTTGCGGGGGCCACTACAAATAATAGGGAAGTTTTGTATGCGTCTGCCATGTGCATTGCTCCGCTACTATTCACTTCAACATTCGACGCGTTTCTACAGTCATGGATGTGAGAGTGGCTGGGTTTATATTACGAAAAGGCTCCAATATGTTGAAACATTTAGTACAAGTACCTGTAGCTTGTTTTCTACTTCTCCCCATTTCTCCATCCCTCCAAGAACACTCCACATCAAGCAATTAGCCGTTGGGAAAGCCGAAAGTACAAGTAAGGTAAGTTGACTTGAACTACAGGTACAGTATTAGCTGCCTCTAGGCTCTCTTATTTCTCCACCCAAACGCGCACACCATCGTTCATACCGACTTTGACAAACGTCATTGTTCTTACACATACACATACAACATTCACCTTCTGAATTACACACAATGGTCCATGCCGATTACTCTCGATTCTCGTCGGAATCAAAGTCCGAATTGTACGACACCATGGCCTCCAATGTGGAAGCTCTAGTTGATGGTCAGACCAATTGGGTTGCTAATCTTTCCAATGCCTCGTCGATCATCTGGCACGGTCTCAAATCGCTCCCCGAGCCATCCAGCGACATCAACTGGGCCGGCTTCTACGTGATTGATCCTAAGAAGTCTGAACAGCTGATTTTGGGACCTTTCCATGGTCAGGTTGCATGTCAGGAGATCCCTCTGGGCAAGGGAGTGTGTGGAGTTGCTGCCAAGGAGCAGAAGACCCAACTGGTCAAGAATGTGGAGGAGTTTCCCGGGCACATTGCATGCGACGGAGTCACCAAGAGCGAGATTGTAGTTCCCATTGTGTTGAACGGTAAGCTCTTCGGTGTCATTGATATTGACTGTGCCAGTCTAGAGGGATTCGACGAGGTGGACCAGCAGGGACTGGAGAAGATTGCCTTGATTCTGGCGAAGTCTTGTGAGTGGTAGCGACCATTCAGATAAGTTATAATGTGTAGAAATCAATACGATACAGTGTCTCGTTGTATACATACAGTGCAGTCTATCAATACATAAATAAGTCCTAAATACTGGCTGGCCCAACCAGAAAGCAGTCCTCCACAATCATCTCACCCAAACAAAGAAGAAACACAGGAAAATGAAGGCGAAGAGACCGAGCCAGACTCTCCAGCCAATACCGCTGTTGTCGGCCATGATCATCATTCGCTTGAAGGTGCCCTTGAGTTTCGTGGATGCATTTTCAAAAGTGTCCTCCAGGTTGTTGAGCAGGTGGCTGGAGTCCCGGATCTCCACTCCGATCTTGCTGGTCACGTCCTTCAGCAGCTGCACCTTGGCAGACAGACCCTCCATTTGCTCGTCGTTCTGGGACTCCAACTGCGACAGCATCGACGTCGAGTACTGCTTGTGGCTTTTAGGATCGTACTCCTCCTGCTCGGGAACGTAGGGCTTGGCCTCTCCAAAGGACGAAGACGACCCGGCGTACGGCTGTGGAGGTTGAGGGGTGTTGATTCGAGAAGAAGCCTGGCTGGAGGCTGGTGATCCGTATTGTGCCGAGGAGGCAAAGAGTTGATGTCTGAGTTAGTTGCTGTGCACGGAAGAGAGCCTTCATCGCAATAGGTACTCACCTTGAGGTCATTGCTGTTTGTTGGTGCTGAGGTTCTTAGACTTTCACAAACCTCATGCACATGAACACGCAAAATAAAGACACGATTTGGTTCCCATGTTAGCCAAATAAGGTTTCGTTGAGCCCACCTCGTGGTCATTATTTCGGTGGCGATAAGAGTCGTTGAAAAAAATGAGACATTGTAGTTGTTTTGACACGTCAATATTTTTGAGTCATGTTTTTCAATTGTCAGAATATCATTTCTCCGGAGCTATTTAGTTTGTTTGCTGTGTCCACTGTAGAACACCTCATTCCTGCTTACTGCATGAAAAAAATGAGTGCGTTGTGTCGATAGTCGATATGAACTGAGGCCGACTCAGAGGCATAGAAGGAGTGGGTGATGGGTGGAGAGCAGGGTGACATGTCTATAGTGGTGTTTGTGGTATTGATTAAGCAGCACTTCAAGAGTGAGTATGCCGTATATTTTACTGTAGACTGACCGTGGCTATTTCGGCAGATTGGTTGATTATATTTCGAAATATTACATAGATCAGAGTTAGAAGAAGTTTCTCATTCGCACAATACTATGAATAGTCTGTTACTCCATAGTCTCTATTTTTTATTATTATAATAACATAACTGTAGGTCTTCGGTCCTTCAAAACTACTTCACAGTAGTACAGCAGGTAGATGCCTCGCGCCATTACTCGTAATTGTAGTTCGTGAATAGAGTTCTGGTCCATTATCAACGAACACATCTTGCTACAAGTAGGTAACATTCACAATCTGACAGAAAAGAAACATTCATACAATGATCCCTTCAAAACACACGACTATCAAAGATCTAGACATTGTCACCTATGCATTCAACGACAAGATCTTCGTCAATATCCACAGCAAAGGAGCATACACTAGATCATACTATGTTCCCCTAAGACTATCTCCAGGCAATCAGTTCTTTGCACATACCGAATATGACGACGAAGGCGAAGACATCAGCAATCTGCCACTCACTCATCTCACTCCCATGTCGCTAATTGGAGGCTCCAATGCTGACACATTGGGTCAGATCATAGCTGTCCAGGTGGCGTCCCAGGTAGTCAAGGACTCGCCCACAGAGGTGCGAACTGTGTTTGTGTCCATCGGCCGAGTCAGTCAGGACGACTACGACGACGTTCTTGAGGGAGTCAAGCTTTGCCGTGTTTGGTAATTGATTATGGGTGTTGGATTGTGTGGAGGTGTGGGAGTGGTTGAAAAAGAGCCTTGTGACACCCGTCGATTCGTGTGCCTGCAGTGGGACTATCACCAGACTCTTTACGACGAGTCTGAGCTGTTATTTCTGCGGTTGACTATGGTACAACTACAAGTACTGTCCTGTACTTGATAAAATGACAGTCGACCCGGTACACACAGTGTAAGCACGTTCATCAGTTGTGATCGACAGCACCTACTGCACCTACAGCACCCCCCTAGGAACACAGGTGCTACCGCGCCCATAGCCCACACTTGTGATCATTGCACCAGAGGACAACTGAACTAGAATAAAATTTAATATCATTGCATGACTCTCGATCGGTCAGTCGAAGCGTGTTCTCTGATAAAGGCAAGCTGGGACAGAAACAGTGTGCCAGTACTTGTGGAGTAGAACCGGCTAGTATGAGAAAGAACCTGAGCCAAAGAAATTGGTATGAAATCAATCTAAGAATATTGTATACATATATATCGACACAAGCACTGACACTCAATCTCTGACGCCCATTTGATTCATCTTTGCTCGATAGTCAATATTCTGGGTTTATGCAGCTTACATGCAGTCCTGTCGATTAACAATTAAATTCTGCTTCGATATATATAAGGTCGAACCGCCTGGAATTACCGACGAACACCAAGCTTTTACTAACACTTTTTCGTTAACACACACAATACACAATGGCCGGAATTCAGCAACCATCCGGACAGATCAAACTGACCAACGTGGCTCTTGTGCGACTCAAGAAGGGCCGAAAGCGATTCGAGATCGCTTGTTACCAAAACAAGGTCCAGGACTGGCGTAAGGGAGTGGAAACCGACCTTGATGAGGTTCTTCAGATCCCTCAAGTCTTTGTCAATGTCGGTAAGGGACAAACTGCGCCTCGAGACGACATGAAGGCCGCCTTTGGACATACTGACCAGGACAAGATCATTCTGGAGATTCTCAATACCGGAGAACTCCAGCTTGGAGAGAAGGAGCGACAGCAGCAGAGCAACCAGCTGCAAACGGAGATCATCCAGCTTGTGTCGCAAAAATGTGTCAACTCCAAGACCAAGCGACCTTATACTGCAACCATGATTGAGAAGGCTCTGATTGGAGAGCTCAAGTTCAACATTGTGCCCAAGAAATCCGCCAAGATCCAGGCCATGGATGCCATCAAGCTGCTGGTGGAGAAGCAGATCATTCCCATTGCTCGAGCTCGTATGCGAATTCGAGTGACTGGCGATGTCAAGAAGCTGGGGCTAGGAGAGAAGCTCAAGACCGATATGGGAGCCACAGTCGAGGAGGAGACCCACGACGAGCTGGTCTGCTCCATTGATCCTGGTCAGTTCCGACCCGTGAACGAGTTTGTTTTGGCTGAGGTCAAGGGCAAGTGCAAGGTCGAGGTCATGGAGGTTGCTGTTCAGAATTAGCCAGTGATCAGATGCCAAGCAACTGAAGCAACTACCCACAGTCTGACATGGTGCCCCAACAGCGAAGCGCAAGCTCTCTATGGGCCTCCACTTGGGCCTCCACTTGTCTCTTTAGGACATGGGACATGATATGCGTGTAGCCTATTCCTCGGGGCTCTCTGCATATGGGGAACATGCCACTGCTACTTGTAGTACACAGATAGTTACAGTACTGTCAAAACACCATATATTTAATGTATATTTACAGAGCAATTGTGAAGGAAGTGGAAGAAAAGGTGTTTTTTTTGCTGTATAAAGTTGGTGTTCCAAGTAATTGGGGTAAAAAAGGGGTTCCCTGGTCGTCTTGTCACCTGGTACTGAATGTTGTTACAACAAAGTGCACATACTGTTCAAATGTCTGTCTAATAATCAATTTTCTATAAATACAAGGTACTAAAATACTTAGTCGACCTCCTCGACAGTGGGGCCCTCGCCGCCAGCGCCGGGAGGAGGAGCACCTCCAGCACCAGCACCGGGGAAGCCACCGGGGCCACCGGCACCAGGCATTCCGCCGGGAGCACCACCCTCGGCTCCGTAGAACTTCATGAGGATAGGGTTGGCAACACCCTCAAGCTCCTTCTGCTTGTCGGAGTACTCCTCAGTAGCACCAGACTGGGTAGAGTCAAGGAACTCAATGGTCTCGTTGATGGCCTTCTCGAGCTTCTCTCGGTCAGCCTCGTCAACCTTCTCCTTGAACTTCTCTTCGGAGAGGGTGTTCTTGAGAGAGTAGGCGTAGGACTCGAGACCATTCTTGGCGGCGATTCGAGCAGCCTCGGCCTCATCTTGCTCCTTGTACTTCTCAGCATCGTTGACCATTCGCTCAATATCCTCCTTGGAAAGTCGGCCTTTATCGTTGGTGATAGTGATCTGCTGAGTCTTACCGGTACCCTTCTCAACAGCGGAAACGTTGAGGATACCGTTGGCGTCGACGTCGAAGGTGACCTCAATCTGGGGGACACCTCGGGGAGCAGGGGGAATGCCGGACAGCTCGAACTTACCAAGGATGTTGTTATCCTTGGTCTGGGCTCGCTCACCCTCGAAGACCTGAATCAGGACACCGGGCTGGTTGTCAGCGTAAGTGGAGAAGGTCTCGGACTTCTTGGTGGGGATGGTGGAGTTTCGGGGGATGAGCTTGGTCATAACACCACCGGCAGTCTCAATACCAAGAGAGAGAGGAGCAACATCGAGAAGGAGAAGATCCTGAGTGGAGGAAGAAGTATCTCCGGAGAGGATAGCGGCCTGGACGGCAGCACCGTAGGCAACAGCCTCATCGGGGTTGATGGATCGGTTGGGCTCCTTACCGTTGAAGAAGTCAGAGACAAGCTTCTGGACCTTGGGGATTCGAGTGGAACCACCGACAAGAACGATCTCGTTGACGGCGGACTTGTCGATCTTGGAGTCTCGGAGGACCTTCTCGACGGGCTCGAGAGTACCTCGGAAGAGATCCTGACAGAGCTCCTCGAATCGGGCTCGGGTGATGGAGGTGTAGAAGTCAATACCCTCGTAGAGAGAGTCGATCTCGATGGAGGTCTGGGCGGAAGAAGACAGGGTTCGCTTGGCTCGCTCACAAGCGGTTCGCAATCGTCGGAGAGCTCGCTGGTTGGTGGAGATATCCTTCTTGTGCTTACGCTTGAACTCCTGGACGAAGTGGTTGACGAGTCGGTTATCAAAATCCTCACCACCAAGATGGGTGTCACCAGCGGTGGCCTTGACCTCGAAAATACCATCCTCGATAGAGAGGAGGGAGACATCGAAAGTTCCTCCACCAAGATCGAAGATGAGAACGTTTCGCTCACCAGCCTCCTTCTTGTCCAGACCGTAGGCAATGGCAGCTGCGGTAGGCTCGTTGATGATTCGCTGGACGTTGAGACCGGCAATAAGACCAGCGTCCTTGGTAGCCTGTCGCTGGGAGTCGTTGAAGTAAGCAGGGACAGTGATGACGGCATCAGTGACCTTTCCACCGAGGTAGCCCTCAGCGGTCTCCTTCATCTTAGTGAGGATCATGGAAGAGATCTCCTCGGGGGTGAAGACCTTGGTCTCACCCTTGAACTCCACCTCGATGTTGGGCTTTCCTCCCTTGTCAACAATCTTGAAGGGGAAGTGCTTGGCATCGTTCTGGACCTCGGGGTCAGAGAACTTTCGGCCAATGAGTCGCTTGGCGTCGAAGACAGTGTTGGAGGGGTTCATGGCGGCCTGATTCTTGGCGGCATCACCAATGAGTCGCTCGGTATCAGTGAAGGCAACGAACGAGGGGGTGGTTCGGTTACCCTGGTCGTTGGCGATGATCTCGACTCGGTCGTTGGCAAAGTGAGCCACACAAGAGTATGTGGTTCCCAGGTCAATTCCTACAGATGTGTTAGGCATTTTTGTTGTTGAAATGTGTTGTAAGGATCGAATTGACCGGAGACCCCTGGGGCTATATATACTTATCGCATGTCACGATGGACCTGGTCTCTGGAACATTGGAGAATATCTAACTCTATGCGCCATATGCACGCCTAGAGCCTATCTAAAAGTCAATTAAGCGACTTGGAACCTGTTGGAAATAATGTCGGGTGGTGGCAAACCCAATTGCGGAGGGCTGTGGAACTCCTTGGAAAAAAGGTGTTTAGGCACGCTGTACCTGGGAGAATCCCATGGAACACTAGTGACAGCCCATCGGATTTTGTAGTGGTTTCTGGAACTTTCCAGCCCGAATCGCCACCTTAATTGAACCCTTAGTAAAGCCGTTTGTTGTACATCACCCTCCAGGATAATCCGGCCTGCTCTGGTTGTTGCTGCTTTACTGTGCCAAGTGGTGTTCATATCCGATCAGGCGCTTCCACGAAGTGATGTCCTCTATGAGACAATTTCCGAGCCGCATGGCACAAGAGCCGCTTAACCTTAGCATGACGTCAACAGGCTGGATTGTGTGGCGATGGGCGACTTGGATACATTTTCGAGCGGGGAAACGTTGGCGAGGCAGACACTGGTGCTGAGTTGATTTTGTCTCAGTCGCGTTTCCTACACCAAAAAACCTGGCTAGTTGGAGACTGTTGTTATGTATACCACAAAAAATCGAATTAGAATTTTCCCTCACAAAGCACTCCGGAAGCACACCATGGTTGCTACCAAGAAGAGGGATTATTGTGGTAAGGTACTCGCAATTGAATAAAAATAAGACTTGATCAGATATCTCTATTTCTGTGGGGAAATATTCCGCCTCAGCTTCCCCATGTTCTACTCAGGGATCATCAACCACACCCCTCAAGGACTTTCCGTAGTCACAATCCGGTCTACAGTAATATGTAATAACAGGCAACCGTAATTCTATTCCCCGGGAGTCTGAAAAAGGATGGAAGCTGGTAGAATTGGGTCGATGACTTGAGCTAATCATCCTTCTGACTCAACTCAGTTGACGGTCATCTGTTCCAGTGGTCATTGGAGCCCCTTGTCAAGTCCATGTAGCGCTATTTTCTCAGTCTCATGAGATATTTTTCCTATACTGATTTCTAGGCACACCCCCAGCGTGCATTGCTGCCTTATCTGTACACTGTGTACTGTATGAGAGGAGCCCACATCCTTTTGTCCATAGGTCTTCCGGACCCTCGACATGATGCGGCTCGAAAATAGCACAAGTGATGAACAGCTACATTACGAGTGAGACAAGAGTTTCGCTGAGACACGAAGGACAGACTCGAGGGCAGACACGACACGAGCAAAACACCTCCGCTAAATACTCCGCCCTGAAATCATTGTACATCTGTGGTGCCCCAAGATCGACGCCTGGCAACGCGCATGGGAGAAGTACAGAGAAGACTGGAGAACCGGAGGAGCGAACCTTGTGCGTTGTCAGGCTGTGGGTGAGTACTCCCTCACAATTGAAGGGGAGACGAGTGTGGCTGAGCCTGTCTTATTATGTCATAGTACAGAATATACATGATGTACCCACTCGTTGTGTTGAGGTACTTGTACGTTAATAGTACAAGTAGAATAAAGTGTCTAACCGGATATTTGGGGTAATTTCTTGTGGAACGCATCAATAGGTCTTGTGGAACGCATCAATAGGTGATGAGACGAGTGGTGGGTTCCTGACGTACTTGTAACATGTTGACTGGGTCAGTTGTTATCGCTGGCAAAGGTTTGAAAGAACCAATCTCAACATTCATACCCGAAGTCCCATACACACTCAAATCAAGATCCATACTTGGGTCATCGCAAGAGCACAAAAAGTTGGCAAACTGGTGCTGAAAAGAAGAATGATGCCCAGAAACATTCCCGAATGCAGTACAATCACTTGTAATTGGCCCACAAATCTCAGGAAGCCTCGCTACAACGTCTTCTATCACGTTTTTGATTCTTAGCTAAAAAGCATGCGAACTGCATATCGAAATACCAGCGAAAAAAACTCTGATGTAAGCAGCCGTTCAAGCTGGTCGTGTCGTAGAGACCGTGCCTGACACCCGGGGTGGGACTCGAACCCACAATCTTTGGATTAGAAGTCCAACGCGTTAACCATTGCGCTACTCGGGCCGGTCGTGTTCTCCAGAGCTCACCATATCGTACTTGGATCTAAGTTAGCTTTTCTAATCATCCACGATTATAGTTAGGGTATCAACAACATTACTGAAGCTTGAGCTTAGTTTAACTGGGTAGGTTAAAACATCAACTGTACACCGGAGAAAATGTGTTTACACAGTATTAGCAGTTACACAATCAGAAACCACCCAGGTTTAAGCACAATATACTGCATAAAACAAAACAACTCTCAATTATCTTCAATACTTTCTCCTATACAAAATTTCGTCATCTTTGGTTCTCTCCTCCAGAGTTTCGAACCAGCTCGTAGAAATAGGCAATGGTCTCGAGATGAGCCTGGTACTCAATATGTTCATCGACAGTGTGGATTCCAAAAGCGGCGGTCTCTCGCACAGGATTGAATCGGTAGATGGCGTCACATAGCTTCCAGTAGTGTCTAGTATCAGTGTTGGCAGTCATGATACCAGGAGCAGCAAAGACGTCCTTCGACTCGGGGAAGACTGCATCTCGGAAAACGTGCATAGCGGTTCCCATTACGAGATCCCAGGTGGGTCCAGAAGTAGGAGCTCGGGGCGCAACCTCCAGGGGAGCGCCAAAGAAGCCAACCTCAATGGAGCCCTTGGAGTCCTTGTCTTCGGGGATGATTTCCTTTCCAAAGGCAGTGACAGAAAAGCCGTTCTTCTTGGCGATATTAATGGCGTTGCCGGTGGCCTTCTTCTGGACGTCCTCGACCTTATGCTCAATGGCAATTCGGTGGTTGGTGACAAAAACGGTGGTCTCCGGAAGAGCGTTAGCCTTGACACCTCCAGTGACGAGATCAATGGCCTGGGTAGTTCGGATCAAGTCTCTGTACTTGGGATTCCCGTAGAGAATCTCGACGAGCTTTCTGTTTGCCCATCGGTCCTTTCCAGCCCGCTGGATCAAGGACTTCAGCTTTGGAGAGATGGACTTGTCATGGGTAGCCACACACTGCATGGTATAGAAGATTGGGTTCTCGGGGGTTAGTTCCGGTCGGTAGGGGGTGTCCTCCAGCTCGTTGATGATCTGGGCAGCAATACCAATTCCGGTATGAGGAGGGGGCATAGAGGAGTGTCCACCTGGAGCAGAGACAGAAATTTGAATGTCAGCATAGCCCTTCTCGCCAGTGGCAGCAATAAGCATGGCGTAGTTGTCCTCCTCAACCACTAGGCTGCCTTCATCTACAACTGAAAAGAAAGACTTCTCTCCATGCTTGTCAACCAGGAACTTGGCCATGTTCTTGGCTCCGTTGGGTCCGGAGATCTCCTCGTCAAAGCCATAGGAGAAAACATGGGTTCGCTTCGGCTTGAATCCCTGTTCCAGAAGCAACTCTGCCGCAGACAGAGAACCAATGAGCGAGTTTTTGGTATCGACAGAGCCTCGTCCCCAGACGTACTTGCCGTCAAAGTGACCTGAGTAAGGAGGGTGAGTCCACTGCTTAGCAGTCTCCTTGTTGACGGGAACCACGTCCTGGTGAGCCATGATCAATTGAGGTCCGAGACTGGAGTCAGATCCTTCCCAGGTGAAAATCAAACCGTGGGTGTTAACCTTCTCCACAGTCATGTGCTTGTGGACCTGAGGGTAGGCAGTTTCGAGATAAGAAGAGAAGTTGTAGAAGATGTCCCATCGGTCGTCTTCTCCAACAGGACCTAGGTCATCGTATGACTGGGTCGGGACCTGGATGGCGCCCTGGAACCGTTTAAGCTCTCCCTTGGCAAAGTCGTCATCGTGAAGAATGAAGTCCAAGTTGGAGTAGCCCTGAGGAACGAGCTTGGGCTGAGAAGGACACTTGCCCTCGATGGGCTTGAATCCCAGAATGTCGGATCGGGAGCCATAATACTCTCGAGAAATATGCGACATCTTAAAGAGAGCCATACCAAAGACGGCAGCAACGAGTCCTCGCTTAATCCAGTTGGGCTCGGGAGCCTTGGGAATCTGGGCCTCGAAGTCTGGCATCTGATGAGCCCTGAGCTGCTGTTTTTCGGGATCCATGATGTAGAGTTGAAGGGTCTATGGACCACCCCGATGGGGATCAGCAGTATACTTATAGTTCCTTGCCCAAAAAACTATCTAAGACCAAAATCACCTTAAGTCGGACTTGCGCATATCGGCTGAAACCTTGGATGGCGGAGGCCAGTCAAAACTAACCTCAAATGTCGCTCTCTATGAAGATACCTTCGAGATCGGGCTGTATCTAAACGTACAAGCGGGTTATTCATCCACCTATTTCGCTATTATTTCCCATATGTAGCTCCTCCAAGATATACCAAGATACATCTGTTGAACAATCGACTTGGCGATGCCCCAGGATCATGCATTGATAGTCCGAGAATATTCCCCTCAATTCTAGTGAGATGGACGCCATTGAGCTTTTTGAGTCTGAGAGATGCTGCCTACAGCATCAATGGATCTACTCCAATAATCCACATACTTGTTGGTGTGTATACACTGGTAGCTCAATGTAACCATCCCTCGTGTCACTGAACATCTACGAGAGTACATACATACTTGTTCGATGCCCACCCAGATAACAGGACATCCTGTCAACCAGCAGTGATACAGGGAAATACGAGCGTGTCACCTAGAGGTTATTCGGAATAGTATATTTTCCCGCTGGCCGCTCTCCATCCCATTACAGCAACCCGCTCCACACAGCTTTGCTGCCTGTCGGACTCCGCAAATATGATCCCCCGCATTTTGGCTTTCATCTCAGTCGATTTGGGCTCTAAGTGCCTATTTGGGAGAAGATCAAAGTTGCGCTTACAACTAACGCATGCAGCGTTGAAGCGCTCTGGTGGTGATAGCGGAGTTGCGAACTAGGAAAGTCCAACCAGGACAATAGCTATTAGTGGGCTGTAAAAAAACGAAACAAAAACAAACGATGCTATTAATATAAATCCTGTCATGGTGGCAAAAAAAAATTCAATCAGCCTACGCTGCAAAAATTATGCCTCAGACTGGAATCGAACCAGTGACCTTTGCATTCCAATATTAGAATACAAGTGCAACGCTCTACCCCTAAGCTACAAAGGCGACCAGTTACGAACCTAATAATGTGGGATTGCAACAATGAACGTTTGGGGTTACCCGGCTGAAATGAATCATTAGAACATACATAAACAAGGCGGAAATGCATTCACCTAGAATAAAGAAAAGGCCTTTCTTAGAATAAAAAAATTCTTTAGAATAATAATAAAAAAAGTAGGCTGGATTTTATGTCAAGATAGAGAGCACCTGAAGAGATATATCGATAGAACTAATGCTTTTGTAAGGCACTGAGGGAGGGTGATTGCAATTTCTCGATTGATTCTGCCAATGTCTCCATGTTAATCAGTTATGGAAATCAGATCTAACCGTAGCCTATATCACTATTTTAAATCCCAGAAGTGCTTCCAGGACGCTGGTAACACGAGGTCTTGTTGACAGCTGAATGACTTCAGTGAGATTCTTTCTGCCCAATGCTCCAATGTTTAACCAAAAGCGAGTTCAGTGCATGTGTACGCAGAACTGGCCTTGACGGGTGCATTAGACACTATCCCTGCTACAAGTATGTACTGTAGTTGTTAATACCATTTCTAAACAATAGTACACACTCTGGATTCATTCAATGCAGCAAGCACTACAGTGTCAATCTGAATAAGAAGATTAAGGATTGTCACAGTCTACGAGTACCAGTACATTACGTAGTGATGGTATACCATTTAACTAACTAGCTTATTGTAAACAATTCTTTCAATATAAATAGTGACGATAAGCGTCTTTTAGGGTGGATATTCTGCTAAATAACTTAGTAGAAAAAACCGAGGATCTTTCCAGCAACGTGTCGTCGTCGGGCCTCCTCGTGGTCCATGATTCCGGCAGAAGTGGTCAGGATGATGTAACCAAACTGTCGAGAAGGCAGCAGGTTCTGGACCCACTTCTCCATATCATCAATTTTGACGTTGAATCGGGGAGAAATGACACCACACTTGTTGAGTCGGCCGTTCAGCTCGACAACGATCTTGCCGGATCGGTGGTCATCAACGTAGGTGAACTCGTTGATGTAACCTGAAGTTAGTAAAAACATTCGTGGAAATGCTGGGGTGTATCTTATATCAAAAGAATGAAATAAGGAGGAATGTAACCGGCATATAAACACCGAACACCAGAGGGTTTCAGTGACAGCGTGTAAGTGCCTTTATTAATTTCCCGGACAATTAAAAGACAGAGAGAGACAGTGTTCAGACAATCCATCCAGTTATCAGCCCGGGTGCTCTTAGTAACAAGAGCAAAGAGAAAAAAACGAGTCAGACGACGCGTCGGCGTAAGGAGTACTTACCATGCTTCTGCATGACCTGCAGGAACTTGATGATGACCTTGGATGCGGGTCGAATCAGGACCTGTCGCTTACCAGCCTTCTCGGCGTTGGTGATGGACTTGAGGGCGTCAGCAAGAACAGAGGTTCGAGTCATTGTGAGATATGTGCTGAGTTAAGTGGGACCTGTTGTTAGTGGGTGAAAACCACAAGAGTATCCGGGGAGGGATTTCATGTGGCATGTCGCGAGTAGCAACGCCACACTAGAAGTGTCGCAGAGTGTGTTGAAGTGTCAATCAAAGAAAGCGGCATTACCACCGTCTTCCATAAACAGATTCAACACATAACCACGATTTTCTAGTGAGGTAAAACGAGGGCAGTGAAGTACATACGTTTGGTGATGTGTAATTAAGAGGAGAAAGGAGGGAAGTGACGTGGTGTTATAAGAGAGAATTTTTCAGACAGGGTAACTTGGGAGTTTGAGTTGCGTTAGGGTCTTTTGTTTGAATTTGGGTGGTGCGGTTAGGGTATGGTTTGGAGTATTGTGGTTTTGAGAATCAAAATATCAGATATGATAGCTATAATTACAAGTAAAATCTATTATATATGACGAGTGAATTAGATCCGAAGGAATTTGGGATCCTTGCATCTCGCGCCTTCGTGCTATGATTAAATATATAAATTAAATGCTGTTGTTTCCTTCACCACCTCTCTAACGAACATAACGGTTCATGAACTTTCGATGGAAATCTGATCGAATGAGATCGTTGACATAGCTGTCTTCTTTCCGGGCCTGTTTGGTTTGGTTTCGGAACACCACATCCTCGTTCCACTTTCGCTTGATGGCTACGGGATTCATGAGAGGGTTTCCAAATGCCACCTGCTCCTCCCGGGCCTTTGCTTCCTCCAAAGCTAGCCGTTCCTCTTCTCGAGCCTTCGCCTGTGCTCGTTCCTGCTTGATTCGCTCGAGTTCGATTCTAAGCAGCTCGTCTTCGTCATCTGAGTCTGAGTCCGAGTCGTCTGAATCGGACTCCTCATCGTCAGACCCAGAGTCATCGTCATCTCGGTTCTCCTCAATGATCTTGGCCTTCACTTCATCGGAAAGTTCTTTCTCAGAGTCTTGAACCTGAGTTTCTGCCTGCTGCTGCTCAGCAACTAGCTTCGTGGCGGCCTGCTTGAGTCCCCCCTCATTCTCCAACAGAGTCTTTCTCATGGCATCTGTGTTTGTACTAATCCGAGCATATCTGTACTTGAGCTTGGTGTGAGACGGGAGGGACCGGGTATGTGAGATGGACCCAGCGGCCTGGGTATTGGACTTGCCTCGTGCTGGGTCAAAAGTAGGTCGATGTGCTGTAGTCATTAGGTGATGCTGTAATTGGACAGAAAATGTATTGTCAACTGGATGTGATGAGTTTTTAAATCAGCTGCCTTGTATTGTTCAGCTGTCCCTAATGCTATGATCGATGCGGCTGGGGTTACACCGTCTGTTTGTGCTGTCGTGATGTGGAAGTGGTGATGATAAGGGATGGAGGTTGATGGTTCCTCATGCACCTCCCAAATCTTTTGCTCACGTTCTGCAGACCTTAACTACGCCACAAGTAGACTTTGATACGAGTACTTGTATGATGTTCAAACAGGCAAGAGAATTTCCACATTAGTTTGCTTGAGTTTGAAACTAATTTTGGTTACTGCAGCACAACTGTGAAGAGTATATATATTGCCTACTCGTCCCATGGACTCATGTCACTATGTCTAATGCATTGGCCTCTGTTATTACACCAGATCACGTCATCACATCACTTCAAAACTCGGCGCAACCCTACGGAGTTGCTGCTCGCTGCACCCACTGCTGCTTGACATGTGGCGTTCCAAGGTTTTGCCGAACGGCGTGTTGAAGGCTGGCTTGCTCAGCTGAACCTCATGTGTAACACAGCTGATATTTTGCCGTGGAAAAATGCGTTTGGAACGTTGAGCAGCGACATGGCTATCCCCCAGAGAGGACCTTGGCAAGTGCGTCTTTTGCCACTCCTTCTTTGTTTCTCTCATTAACCCCGCCAAATTTTAGTATTATTGGCAGTCACATTAGATTAACCGCTTTTGCTGAGGCAAGAGAAGCAGTGCTACGCACTACTTTGGTGTTGGAACATGCAATAATTACTTCTAAATATAGCCTGTATCTGAAACCGAGTGGAACTCGCCACATATAGAGGATTCACCGTTACTTTGTATATTCACGCACGCTGCCAGCGAGAGTTGAACCCACGATCCCCACGGCCCACCCTGCTCCAGAGCTCCAAACCTGACATTACCTTACATGGCATATTGTGTTAGCCCAAAGAAACACTGAGCCAGAAACACTCGTGTTAAGTGACAACCGGCGACTCTGACCGAAAACAGCACACTCCACACACAGCACAGGTGCTATAACAACCACAGCAAGAACACGGACAAAGTCGCGACAATCGCCGTCAGCACTCCACGAACACGCCAGACAAGAAATATTGGCCAGCCACTTTCAGCTGCACACAGCATTACAGAGACATTCTGGTTTTGCAGCTTCTCCTACCACACGACCAACCAAGCGCTTGCACGAAAAATAAAGAGCCGCCACAACTACCCCACAACCAGCAACTCGACGCTCCGCGGAACGCACTAGACGAATCCACACGAATTTCTTTACCCATGGCAGAAAACACAAGCCAGGAGGTACTTGCACCGGCACAGGATGTACACCCTGTCCACAGTGTGACACAGGACCTGGCCTCCGTGTCATTGGACAACAAAGATACCACAGAGCCAATAGCACACAAACTGCGCATATCTACACAGCGACTGTCGACCCTTTCGGATCTGGGCGAGTCGCGCGACTCCCCCTCCAAGCCATATCCGGCCGAGCAGTCTCCTTATTATCGTCGGTCTCGGCCTGACCTCAGTGAGTCGTCACGACGGGGCTCTCGCATCTCGCAAAGCAGCAGCGATCCTCTCAAGCTGGAACTAGCGGCGCTGCAGTTCCATTCGTCACTGGACTATGCCATTGTCCGGGACTTTGGCTACCCTCCCCAACACCCCCTCTTTTTCGGCGCCCGTCAAAGCATGTCTGTGGTGTCCAGCTCTCTTGACGAGGACGACGATCTGGCATACCCACCAGGAATCGGCGAGGGTCCACCTTACTACGAGGACTCAGACGTGGACGCAGAGCTGGACAGCGAGCTCAACGGCCGGGCAGTTGCGCTTTTCGATTTCGAGCCGGAAAACGACAACGAAATCGGCCTGTTCCAGGGCCAGATTGTGTGGGTGCACTACCGGCACGGCCAGGGCTGGCTAGTGGCCATGAACTTAGACACAGAGGAAACAGGATTGATTCCCGAGGAATACGTGCAGATTCTGGGGGAAGACGAGGTGGTATCGCATGGTTTGGATGGAGAGGAGGATGAGGAAGAGGCCTCAGCTGCAGCTGCAGTGTCATCAGCCGCGGCCGCTCTCATGGCCAAGGAGGATCAGAATCATGAAGAAGTTGGAGAGATGGAGCTCGAAACCGACGCGGGTTCCGTTGTTAGTGAGGACCAAACCGTCACCGGAGAGGACGACAAACCTGAATTGAGCTAGCAGGCACCCACGTGAGGCACCCTGAGGCATCTCATTGCGTCAGTCACGGACTTTGTGATACGCTACATATACGCTCCAGTCATGCCCTGGACCATGCTGGTATTATTGGTAGACACCAAACAGTACATCCAGCATCTTGCCTCAAATGCCTCCAGTAACACCGTCCTCACAGCCGTTCGCACACAATCTTAGCAAAATCTTTTAGCATGACTATTGTGGTCTTATGTATAATAATAAATCAATGGTATATTTTTACGCTTGGTCAGTAAGCAATGAGACACAGCTATGCAAGCCGCGTTATCCAGCGTGTTATTGGACGGTTATCTCGTATACCCACAGCAGCTAATACGAGGGGTGAGCATTTCTATACATTTAACGCCTCTTGTTTGTTATGCTCCTTAGTTATAACCCCCCTTCCTGGATTATGGTGCAGCTTTATCGGACCACCTTGTTCGTCTGATAGCGTGATTATAGTAGCGAGTCTCCCTTGTCTGACTGTTATTTGTTTATACCACTGGCGTTTATATACTACTATGAGAACATTACGAGTGCCTGGTATAGGCTGGGTGATGGTTTAACAGGACTACACATTCTGGTCAACTGCTTCTGAGTCTGAATCTGAGTCTCACTGCGTACTGTAATGTGAAACAGAAGATATGGTAAGAGAAGGTGTTCAAGACGACCTGAGGAGTAACTTCCGAACTGTGAACGTAGGGCCTCTGGGTGGGAACCTGTATATTCCCACGTGGTTCTCCTTTATCAGGCGTTTAAGGGACTTATGAGGGCTTGGTCTACGGACACCAAGACCGCTAAGGGCTACTTGAAGTGACTAAGGTATGCTCTGCTTCTGCTGCACACTTGTGTGCCGAACTGGGACAACAACAAGAGAGAAACAAAGGTGTAAATATCCATTTGAAACCGGGGTAAATGGGTGAAACAGACTTGAGCGGCGCTTGCATCTTTCAGTAATTATTATAGCAGCCATATTTGCCACACCTACTCGTTATGGTATGTTGAATACATGACCCGTCTGTTCAGGGACTGTGTGTGCGGTGTAGTCTGTAAATACCCATTTCTGAATGCACTACCTCCAAACAGATCAAGGTTGCACCGAGACAAACTCTGTCGGCATGTGACTTTTTCAGCCATTACTGCCATGGCGTATAGTTAGGTTCAGCTTCACATTCCGGAGTGGGTGTTGACAATAGAATGTAGCTGATTGACCTGCTGGCCATCCAATAGGTGGCAGTTCTTCGCAGCCAATCACTCGATACAATTGGCAAACCAAAAAAGGTCTCCACATTTTCGTCGTATCGACTGCCTTACATCTGTCTCAAAACCAGCCCCGCCCACATTCCCATTCTTCGCGTCATGCAGGAGTCTGTCATGGGTCCACATGCACACAATAGACGTAGAAGAGCTTGTTGCAGAAAGGGTGTCATAATACCGGCACACCTCTGGGGCCTAATGCGCATTACCTTTACCCACCTATTATCTCTTTTCTTCTCCTCCCTCACTCGCGATACTACCTAGGAGTCCTCTTACCCACACTCGTTTGAACACCCTCACCTCTCTGCCCAAATCGGCACTCTCAACTGCACCTTAATCTTATCCGCGAACCACACAGGTCATCGCGACAGGGGCAACAAGGACAGCACTGTAACACTGTACAGAAGATATCGACGCGTCCAACTGGTGCTTCTGACTGGTTTACTCGACAGGCCAATTCCTAGACACAACCGAGGTCCTCGATATCCACCACATCACTCCACCCCATAGCATTCAACCACTCACACTACACACATCACTTGCATCATGAACAGAGACGAGGCCATACAGGCCACACTAGACGCTCTGAACCAACCCATGGTCCGGGGCGATTCGTCCGACTACCTCAACAGCAGACCCAGCTTCCACTCCAGACGATCCTCTATCATGGCCCAACTGTCCACACCCAACCACCACGCCAGAACTCCCTCCGTGTCTATGTCCGACTCGGATCTCAGCTGTATGGACGAGAACAAGCGCCGGAGCCGCATATCCATTGATTTTTCGGGTCTGTACTCGCCAGCTTCATCGACTGGGGACTGGTGTGAGAAGGAACTGCTTAGTCCTGATCCCGAAATCGAGTCCCTCGACAAGAAACGGTCCTCCAAGGGCTCCGAGTTCTTCAAACGATGGTCGCTGGGACCTGCCACAAGCGTCACCCAAGTGTCACGACAAACCCAGGCACTTTTATCGCCCCAGGAGTTCCACACGGCCGAGTTTGAACCTCAATCATGCATGTGGCAACGAACACTCCAGGAGATGGCCCGAACAGATAACACCCGTCTGGCACTGTTGGCTCGAAACTCGAACGCAAACTCGTACCCACTGCAGTCTATGCACAACAGGAAACGCCACTCTTGCGACTTTACCAGCTCAACTACAGCTTCCAATGGTCTGGGTCTCGGCCTGGGCCCTCTCCGAGCTAGCACTCCTGTAAAGGGCCCTAACAACCCATTTGTGCCTTTTTCCTTCGAGACGGGTAGTGAAGAGTCCACAGAGTCGCCCGTCCACACAAAGCTCAAGCATCGGACCTCCATGTCTCGAACTCGGCCGCTGTCCATGACACGATCCACGTCTCAAAAATTCAACTCTGGTAACTTTTCGCTCAGACAACGGGCAGGAACACCCACGCCGACCAGAGACGGCGACAGTACGCAAGTGGATAGCTTTGTTTTTGGTGCTGGAGACATGTCTTCGGACTCAAACTCCACTGCCGTGGACCCTCTGGACACCCAACACACCCAGGAGGTGCTCTCCAAACCGCCCCTGGATCCCACAATCCCCATCACGGACTGGAGCCAAAAGGCCCAGCTCGTTAAACTTATTTGTGCGTCTATCCAAGATGCTCCCACTATGATGGCGTACATCAACTTGCTATGGACCGCCCTCTCCAACCCCGAGAACCTGAATCTCAACAAGATTGATATTGTTCCAAGCTCGCTGGAGGACGTTGCTGCGCTGCAGGACAACCTGGTTCTGTTTGTGTCTGAAATCGACGTGAAGGCCATGGTCTCTGCCGGATGGATCCGGTTCTACAAGGTCATGTATGCGTCTGCTGTGGTGTCTGCTACAATTGGACTGCTGGCATTCCAGACCTTGCTGCTACTGCTCTACCTGTGCGTGGCTTCGGTGATCATCCTGGGTAGCAACATTTTGCACAAATTTGAAAAGAAGACCCAGCCTCAGGAGGCTGCAAAGGTGCTCGCTAAGGAGTGTAAGGAGGAGTAATTAATTATAGGGTGCACCTAAATAGAATGCATATGGCTCACACGCCAAAATATATTAACACGTAATACAACTATCGTACTGTTCTCAGGCGCTCATTGTTCGTAGACCCTCATGCTACACTGACTACAGTAAATCATTTGAGTTGAGTACATAATCTTGTGTGACTTAGAAGACCTGCTACAGTAAAAGTACAAGTACAGGGATACCAGTACAGTAGCTACTGTCATACAGTAGTCGGTGGCTCCATATTAGATCCCACCTGCACAAGTATTTACAGTGTACAGTACTTGTACTTGTGCTTTAGTAGTCAACTAATACTGCCAAACGCCTTAGCTGATAATATAATCCTTTCAGCTGATAGGGGTGCCGCAGGGCCGAAAGAGGCAACTAATAAACGAATAATGGGGGCTCTCAAATATGATCGATTCTGACATAATACCAGCCCGACAGGTCGACAAGTCTCTCAATTCGTCACTTCGAGGTACTTACACAGAATGTATGTACGAGTACGATACTTGTAAACGGTATCTGCCAATCTCGATACTTCTACATGTGAATAGTCTGACAGTGGCCACCATACTGTAAACAGTTTACAAGATCTCTCTTTCTCTTAATTCATGCTTATCCTTATATTCATAACTATCATTAAACAGTTTACTGTTGCTGTTGTTGTCCCATTGTAGTTTACATCTTGGGAAGAGAAGGACCAACATAAATTTCCTCCAGGCCCTTTCTGAGATCCGCGGGAATTGGAACCGCCTTGTTGGTGGTCGAGTCGACGAAGACATGCACAAATTTTCCCAGAGCCTTGACCTTTTGGTTTCTCAGCTCTCTGAACAGAGCCTCTTCTGTGGTGGCAGGTACGGGATCTTCTCCGGAGTTGGCCCAGGCCTCGTAGACAATGCTTTCTGCTGACTCCTCTTGCTCGGCCGTTTTGCTCTGTTGAAAGACTCCGATCTCAAACTCCACAGACGATCGTCCAAGTTTCCGTACTGCCAGACCGAGCACCAGAGGTTTGGGGAATCCGTCGATGATCTCGAAGTATTCTGAGCCTGAGGCGACCACGAGAGCCCGTAGATCGCCCATCACGTTATGTTTGCATTGATCCCAGTAGTATCCGTTAACAAGTGCATCGTAGAAGTGGTAGTAGACAGCGTTGTTGAGATGGCCATATTGGTCGTTGTCAGACCATCGAGTCGACTGAGTAACCACGAAGGGGTACTCCTTGAGCTTGGGTCGTGTGATTCGGGGGGCCATGTTAGATGTGGAAGACGTAAATAGTCGTTTGGTGGTAGGTGTATGGGCCGACAGAGTAGAGACACCTTTAATAGAAAGATTCAGAGATCGTAACATCATGGGCTGATATAAGAGTGTTAGAGTTACCTCGGCAGGTGAGTAGGGTGGAGATGGGGAAATACACACAGACAAACAAGACTCTAGAGACGCTGTCACAATTACGAGACTACTACAATGCCATTTATTCTGCTTCAGATTATCAAAATTCAGACCATCATTACTACATCCCACCCTTGCAGTTGAAAGACCTCGGTAAAAACACTAATTCATGTGATGGCGGCCATTACCCCGTGGGGAAGGTTAATAAATATGGTGGGGGAGGGGTGATAATTACAATTGTCGAGATGTGACGCTGAAAGAGTAGAACTTCTTGAAAATTGTGTACAATTGCATCCCACTTAAAACTTAGAGTGTGATTTGTACAAAAATGATACCGTTTGTCATTTCCCACCTCTTTGCTTACTAAGCAACATAAAGGCTTTGCATCACCCCAATTAATCCGATCGACCGAAGTATAATATCCAGCGCAAGTTTCAGCGCTCCGGAACAATTGTTGCCCTGTAACAGATTGAAGATCACATGACCCATCTTCCGACTCCTACCCTGTCTTTGAGGTCTCTTGGCTGCATTATTGTGGGTTATTGTGGTGTGATGTTTCGGAAAAAGTGGTGCGACCATTGGGAGTGTACGAGACTTGGATTAACCAAGTGAACAAGCACCAACAGTAGGATGGTGTTGGAAAGTGCCCATGGATAGCTATGGATGTACTATTTAGCAATACGGGAGATGAGTATAAAAACATGCATAGATGGGCCGATTGCTTCAGATGACAAGAGAATCATTGTGGTTGATACTCCTTTCTCTGTATTATGACACCTCCTTGATTACTGGTTGATTCAGGCTTCAGACTTTCCATCCTTGATGCGAACTCTGAACTCTGCCTACAGGTGTACGAGTATATATACTGATCAAAGAACGAGTACTGCTTACTAACAGACCCACCGACTGACACAAATGCCGTACGATCCAACCACAGCACGTCCTTCTGTTTATTTGCACTCTTGAGACGCACGTCTACACGGCGTTTGGCACTAAACCCCGTACATATTGCGCAGGCGTTGGGGTACATGAGGCAAACTTTCGGGCTGGGGTCGGGATATGATGATGGTGAGAATGTAGTTTCGGGGATGAGTCGGTGTTGTAGAAGGGAAATACGTGGCTGTGCTTTAAATAAAAGAATGGGACAGATTACGTAGCACGTAGATAGGATGGCCACGTTCCATACTCGTAATGTATTCGCATACACTGTTAAGGATCAGCTGGGTTATACTCTGCTGCCTGGCTTTCATGTATGTTGGAGAGGAGGCGTATTGTGTGGTTGTACTTGAGGTTCGTTAGGGTCTTGTATATACAGCGCGAAATGAGGCAGCCCTTGTACCGGTAGCTAATAGGCAAGCGCTTTTTTTGGTCTACATATTCACCCCATGCCATTCTTAAGGGCACTGGGATTTGTATTGTTACTGGTCGGAAAGAATCGGCAGCACTGTGTGGGGAGACTGGGATGGCCGAATATGGCGCAGCTGAAACAGGGTAGTTCTCCCATTAATTAAAGATAGAAGTTCTTTGCACAGCCAGAGCCCGCCAGCCGGGTAGCATACCCAATGACTCGTTCACATGACTATAAAACGGACCCGGAAAAATCCAACATTTCGCTCTACATGCAGATGCAGGTTGGCCCGGAAATATCCGGATGGGCGGTCAAACTAGCAAGTGGCGTGTCGATTAAATACGGGCAAGAACTTGTGTTTGTAGTAATGATATGAAGTTGAGCCGATTGGGGTGTCTCCTCTCTATAAGTACTCTCCCCTCATTTTGTTCACTCTTCCCCCACCCTACCTCAACCATCATATGATGAACCTAGTTGCTGTGCGTCTAACTAGCCTAACCTTCGTGCAACCTTAGTTCGGGGTCAGTAGATATACAGGCCAGGACACAGCTCTAGCTTTCCATTCAATTGCACCCAGAGTGTAGTGAGTGACCAAACGACACGAACGGCACGCAATCAACACCGACACAAACAGATCCGACAAACACTCTCCTTCTGACACACACAGACCATGTACAAATACATGACTCGCGCGGGGTCCAAAGTGGCCTGCCGATTCACCCGCAACATGAGCACCCAAGCACACAAAAGCTCGCCCGGCAAGTTTCGAAAACTCGTTAGACTCACGGCGGGCGGATGTCTCGTGGGATACACCGCTGCCGTCTTTTTCGCCTCTCGAGACGAGCGGTTCAGAGACATTTTTATCGAAAAGTTCCCGTTTGGCCGGCCCATTGGCGAGTACTTCGAGGAGCAAGAAATCAAGAAAAACAGAGACTCGCCCAAGCCCAAGCCTATTCCTACTTCTCCTTCTGGCCAGCCCAATGCTCGAACCAGCCATCTGTCGGCCCTGTACCCCGACAAATCCAACCCTAACGCCATGACCAACAACCCCGATGGGGACTCGCACCAAGAGCGAAAGTTCAACCTCGAGAGAGCTCTTTCTTCCAAGGGCACCAAGAAGGAATACTTTGACCCTCTGACTGAGAACCAGGGCAACTTCTTCGACCCCTCAAGTGGAGTGGTTGCCGAGGAACACAAGGAGTACCTGCCCCTGATTCTGCTGCACGACTCGGCCGACCATGCTGCCCGACACTCGGCTATGGCTCTCAACGACCTCATCTCCTCCATCAACACCTCCATTGTCACCAACGACTCGGTTAAGAACGTCTCCGACTCGCTCATCCAGCTGTCCGAGTTTGTTGCCGTCAACCACCCCGAGATCCAGACCCAGCTGTCTGAGCGTCTGGGCGAAAAGGCCCGCCGATTCCATGCGCTGGGCGAGCATTACCACACCATTATCCAGGACTTTCTGCAAAACGAGGTCGAGCACGGGCCTCACCAGGGCCACGCCGCAGAGGTCGAATTGACCATCTACGAGACCGACAAAATGAGAGACCTGCGAAAGAACGTGATCCAGGAAATCCATGATACAGAAGACCTGCTGGTGAAGTACTGCAACCGGTACTCGCGACCCGAGGGACCCGTAGCAGAGGTCATCACTCGACGGGTGCCCACAGTTGAGACTGTGACTCTGGAGCCCATTGACTCGACTGCCAAGGCAGCCTTTGACGCGTCCAAGTACAAGTCTCAGATCTCAGCAGCCGAGCAGTCGCTAGCCGTGCTGGTGGCCGCAGTGCAGCACTCGTCGGTTCTGGGGGTGGACCCGTTTGTGGAGGGCGTCAAGCAGGCCATCAACAATGTGGACATTGGAGATCGGTCCAAGATTCTGACCGAGGCTCTCAAGAACGTGACTGTTCCCAGTGACGTCAACCTCACTCCTTATCTGGAGCAGATCACCGACAAGAGTTCCTAACTTGCAAGCATTTATCTAACGTTATTGATTATGGAAACGATAGACTATGGCCCGTAGGGTTGTATTGACATGAAACCAGACCGAAGTGTACCATACGAGTGTGTAATTCGGAGGAGGCACAAAAAGGGAGACTCAATGTAGAAATGTTCACAATTGAAGTTGGGTTGCTCAATCATATTGTGACAGTTATGTTCAGCAGCATTTACAGGTGGATGCACGACATCCGTGGTCAACTCGTACTTGTCACCTGAAGATGTGGTAAGTTGGAATCCACTGTCTTTCATGTGTCCCAGACACTCTAGACTCATGTCTTGTACCTTTTATCTGGAATTAGTAAAGGTACGACTTCTTTATCATTGTCTCCTTAGAATGCATCTAGAGAGAGAAATGACACGCATTGGGCGAGTTGGCTTAGTTAGCTTGTATAGATATTTTAGCTACGCAATGGGAATATACTGTACAGTACCAAGAAGTGCCGAACGTACTCTCCATAATCACATGATCTTGGCACACGGCTGATCTCGTTCACATGGAGTGCAAGTACTCGTATAGCAGAGAGGAGAAGATCGCCGTGACATCGTGTTGTCACATGTATGGTGTCGGGCAGTGAGCTTGACAAACATTAGTTAACGAGGCAGATGACAGATTATAGACCAGTTCGACTGGATGCCTGAACGGGTTTCGTCAGGGTTCGTCAGGGTTTCGCATGGCTGTCGTCGACGGTGGAAATTGTGTAAAACTCGAACTGAAAGTTCTTTTGGAAGTTAAACCATCGTTGGTCGAGAAAGCATCTGGAGATGATAGCTTGGATTCTCGAAAAAGTTTTCAATATTCAATAATACACGGACACACCTCCGCTACGGGGGCTACGGTTGAGTTGACGCATGAGGAGCTACCTCTTCGTCGGCTCGCGTTCAATAAATAATATCGATTGCTCGCAAATGTGTTCATTAGTGCATTTTCTAAATGACACCTTTTGAGATGGCTAAATGCCTTTTGTAACTTCCCTAATAAAAGAGTTGTTTAGATGTAACCGATCTTGTTGGCAATGTCAAGAGCATCGTGGTCGGCGGTGAGTCGGACGAAAGCCTTCTTCTTACCGTCGGGTCGGATGAGGGTGTTGACAGAGGCAATCTCGACCTCGTAGAGCTTCTTGATAGCATCTCGGATCTGGTACTTGTTGGCCTTCTTGTTGACAATGAAGACAAGGGTGTTGGAGTCCTCGATCTTCTTCATGGCAGTCTCAGTGTTAAGGGGAGAGATGATGACATCGTAAGAGTCCATTCGGGGGTAGTGAGCAACGGCCTTTCGCTGGTACAGGGGCTTCTTGGGGAGCTCAAGGACCTTGGGTCGTCGGAAGATGGTGGAGGATCGGTACTTGAGGGTCTTGGAGCCGTTGGTACCCTTGAGGGCAGCCTTCTTGGCGTTCTGAGCTTGAGTGGCGGCCATTGTTGATGTCGTGAGTGTGAGCTGAGGAACTAAGATTTTTGAGCCGGCGGATTTGATGTAGTGAAAAGTTTGGCACCGCTTTAGGTTAGCCTGTGACTGTCTTTAGGGCTAACCCTAGACTAAAGGCAGGGTAACTCTGTGTGGGAGCGGAAGATGTGGTAGGGGAATTATTACCAGGTAAATATTTGTCTTGTAGTGGCATGTGGACAGAAACATTCAACCATAATGACGATTTCTAGAGCTATATTTAGGGTCGTCTAAAATAGGTCACGTGGATAGATGACCCCAAAAAGGACGAACCTTAAACCCTTATTGGTAGACGGAGTTTGGACTTGGTGATGGGATGGATGGATGGAGCTATAGAAGTGCGCGTTCGAAGATCGCCATGCACTAAATAATGGGCCTTATTCTCCGGACTTGTTGCATGTTATTGCCCAGGAGCGTCATATGACTTTTTGCAGATTATGTCACGTGATAAAGCATTACTTCGAAGATTAATGTGCTAAACGTCTACTTGTGCGAACTGTTGCCCTACAATACAGAGTCAGTAGGTCGTCTGTTGACATACAACAAGTACTCCCAACTAAACTTATTTAACCGCGGATGTACTGCAGGTTAATATCTCACTGAACATTGTGGAATAAAAGCACAGGTATAAGGCCCGCCACGCAGATACACTATTCAAGTTCATTACTAATGAAATTCGTATCTATCGGCCATCATTCGGGCTTCTACCGTTGCTCTGTTGACAATGGTGATGTGGGGCTTCTTGCATCCAGAGGTGCGAAAGTGGCGGTTGAAGCCCATGGGATCGAATGTATGTCCACATTGGGAACACGTGACTGTAATTTTTTTCTGCGAGTTGGGGACTGAATAATACATGGAGATGGAGAGAATGGATGTGTTTCATGGGCTTCTCCCTATATACTGGTATTTTGTGGAATGGTCTTTTGGGGCATACTGACCAGTCGCCTTCTTGTCCGGAAGTAGTTGGAATGTGCGGTGTGAAAAGGTCACAATCCTGACGAATAACGGGCTTCGTGGGTCAGTGTAAGTACTAGAGGGAACTATCTCACTTGCTGGAGCATTGTACAACTACAGGCATGAAAAAGTCAATGAGTGGTACTTGTACTCCAAAGCGACACTTTCACCGTTCTCTTGGTATGTGTGCTGTTTGGACTTGGTATAGCATGAGCAAAGGTTGAAATGTTTCCCTTGAGAGTGGTCATATCATGCTGAAGTCGCAGGAAAATGATAAGTCATTTTTCCACAAACATGACGGGCATCCACAGATTGTGATCCACATATTGTCAAAGCATTACTCAATACTTGAACTTTTCGACTGTCCATCATCAGAATGCTTCCAGATTAAACCCACAACTTCATCCAGGACGATAGCAACTTGACACGACTTGATCGATCTCTTGTACGTATTGAAGAAATCGAACAGAAGGATGAATGACTTCCCATACTTCCTTTCCATGTGACGAGCAGCTCTTACAACAATGCAGACCCCTCATCCAGTAGCGACACACCACCACGTAAGGGAACTGACATCGGCTGCTGAAATATAGATTATCTCTGTCATTTTTTTCAGACAAAAGATGAATATAATCTACTGATGGGGTAACTCTTAGACAGTCCCAAGAGCCGTGGGAGCTGTTTTTTTTCTGGACCCAATGTCATCCCGGACTTAAGCGGAGATGATGTCCCAAATGGTTGTGACAAATGAATCAAGAGTGGGTCCGTGGTGTCTCATTCACCACATCGAGATACACAAACTCCCTTCTAATGAATAGTTAACAGCTGGACCACCATTTATACCTGCTATACAACCAATAGTACCTATTATTATACACCTCATGTCGATACTTTCACTTTCTGCCACTACGATGTTTTCACATCTCGTATCTCTCGTGTCCATCCCACATGAGTAGCGAACAAATCGCACTATTCAAAGTCAGTTTATGTTTAATATGGGTCCATTTGAGCCATTACATACGCTGATTAGGGTCCCAGAAGGCTACAAATAGCTGCCGTGCCTCGGCATTCTTGGCAGATCGATGTGCCATATCTACATATCCTATTTGGCGACATTCAAACATACGAAAATCACAAAAAATTAAAAACGCTCAGATCTGGAAATGTAAAAATAGTAATGATGGCACAACAGCGTCCCCACTCGCCTCCCCAACATGCACTTGTCAAAGTCGTTCCGATCGCAAACAAACGTAAGCTCCTAGATCGAAGTTACTGTAAAACGAGGTGCAAATCTCGTCAAGAATACGACCCTGCCTATCTTTGCCAATATCTACAGCACTCACGCAAGCAGTAAGTGAAGTACTGTAACCCAGAATCACATACAGTATACTTGATGTTTTGCACCATATACTCACCTGTCTGACTGTTGAGACCTCGAAAATACCACCCTGGGCGTAACACAGTTATGGCTGCCGATCAGTCTCGATTATGATGCACACCTCATTTATACATTGCTCGATAGCTCTTGTGTTGCTCCTGTTGGTAAGCATAGTTATCACTTGAGTCATTTATTGCAGAGAAAGTGTGTGTAACCAAAAATACTGGTGGACGGACTTTAGCGCACCCGAAAAGCGTACTGTAGGGAGAGCGAGAGAGATGCAGATGGTCTGTACGATCGGAGATACTGTATGTACTACTCTGTGCTGAGAGAGATAATACCGCTGTTAAGAAGAGACCGAATATGAATGAATTTCGACACTGCGCACAAACTATTTGGTTGATTCAGCCACTCACTCACCAACAGTCGCCACTATACGGACGATTCTCGGAGATAACCCAAACGTAGCCGCTTGGCCCGAAACAAGAAACCACAGTGGTGTGCTTTTTGCACTTTCAGTTCTACAATCGCATCCGTTTCGAGTAACCGGGCTTAGCGTAACTGTCTTTAGCTTGACACAGTACAGTAGCTACTGGTAGAGACAAACGCAAGTCCACCTAAGAGGCGTTGATTTGTATTGAAAAATCAATCTGGGTGGGGTTATGTCAACACCTCAAGTGGCGTTGATAAAACGTATGTCACATCACATGTCTTACCAATTCTACATGCTGTACAACCATAGACTGCCACTTTTCGTCTGAACTCGTACTTGTATATTATGCTATGTATTAAAAAGAGAATGCAATTATTGATGAGTGGTGGTGTCGGGGTACTCAACGGAGCTGTTGGAGTTCTCTCCGGCAGTCTCAGATGTATATCCCTCAGGGACCTCCTCATGTTCGGGCTTGGGCTCGCCCTCGGGGTATTGTTCGCCCATGGAGTTGCCTCGAGACTCGATGTCGTAGTTGTAATGGTCTCGCTTGGGCATTCGAGCAGCAATGCCAACCACGTCCCAGGGGGTCTTGGGGTTAGACTCCTTGAAAATCTCGTCGATCTCCTCGAGCGACCGGCCAGCAGTCTCAGGGTACAGGAAGTAAATGACTGGGACCATGCAGGCGTTGATGGCTGCGAAAATGGTATAGGTGTACGACTGGATGGAGTTGAAGCCGACAGGACAAATCATGACGACTGTGAAGTTGAACAGCCAGTTGGAGGCGGTAGAGATACCGGACACGGGGGCTCGAACCTCCAGTGAAGTAATCTCGGCGGGATACAGCCAGGTCATACCCAGCCATCCAATGGCGAAGAAGGAGTTGAAAACGAAGAGGAAGACACAAGCAGCAATACCAGCGGCTCGATTGTCCTTGTTGTTGGGGTCAGCGGCCCATGCGGTACCTGTAAGAATACCCATGGTGCAAGCCTGTCCAACAGCACCGAAAAGCATGAGCTTTCTTCGTCCGAATCTTTCAATAGACCAGAAGGGAATGAATGAAGCCATGAAGTACTCGGTACCGTTAGCTGCAGCAAGAGCTCGAGAGACAACATCGTCCATATGGAGAGAGTCCTGGTAAATCTTGGCGGCGTAGTAAGTAATCAGGTTGATACCGGTCAGCTGTTGCATGGCCTGGTTCCAGAAAGCGAGACAAGCTCGGTGGAAATGCTTTCGCTCTCCATAGGTGAAAATGAGCTTGAAAGTCTGCCAGGAAGTCATTTGCTCCTCTGCAGCCAGATTCTTCTTGACCTCGTGGATCTCGTAGTTGATATAATCGTCGTTGGGACCACAGTTCTCCAGAGCAGCCCAAACCTCTCGTGCGTCCTCCTCTCGACCGACCTTGACCAGCCATCGAGGAGACTCAGGGAACTCGAGCACAAAGGCGACGATAATCAGAGCAATAAGAATCTGGAAAGCAACAGGGAAACGCCAGTCCATAGAACCGACCTTGACAAAGAAGAAGGCGAAATCAAGCCAATAAGAAAGAGCAATACCTCCGGAAATCAGACATCCTTCAATCATGACCATGAGACCACGATCTTCGGGACGTGCACACTCAGATTGCCACATGGGTACAGTGGCTGTAATGAGACCGTTACCAATACCTGCGACAACTCGGCCAACAATAAGTTGACCAAGATGGTAAGAAGCAGTCTGAATAATAGCACCAATGATGATAATCCAAGTTCCAAAATAAATGACTTTTCGTCGTCCCAGCTTGTCTCCGAGGTAAATGGTGGAAAGAGCTCCAACCATACATCCCAGCTCGTAAACGGCAATAGCGGTACCTTGAATGGTAGCAGTATGAAGAGAAGTGTCATCGACAGTGTTAATGGTCTCGAACTGCTCTCGGAAAGTCTTCAAGTTGAGCAGACCGCCCATAACACCTTGATCGTATCCGAATAGGAAGAAACCAAGACCGGCGATGCCTCCGATGGCTCGCTGAAGAGTCTTGCCTTTCAGTCCAAAGTACTTTGTACCTGACGCTTTGGAAAATAACATTGTGAGTCGGGCTGTGAGAAATAGTGACCGGCTTCTGGGGACCTGTCCCCGTATATATATACGATACTCAGATAGTGCGAAGACGCCTCTGTGTAACCAAAAAAGTATCATACCTAAGTCTATTGTGATACAAGTGCAGTAACTCTGGGTTTTTTTTCTTATTGCTCCATGCCGACAGAGATGACCCAGAAGTTTGTTTGTGAGAGTCTATTCTGGTGAGCAATCCATCGCACTAATTTTCAGGGGTGTCGGGTAGTACAACACGCGTGGATTAGAAGGAATACTACCAAGACTTGGCTAGGAATTTATAAAACCCAATATGACACGCGAAAAGTCGGGTTTCCTCCTTCGCCCACTCTAACACCGGTTCCCCACCACCTCGGCTTTTCCCTTTACTTTTCTTCTCTTTCTCGCTTGCTTGCCTTATTTGCGCATCCAGCGGCTTTTTTTTTTTGCACTTCCGTTTTGTATTTACGTCAGCATGGAAAGGAGAGTGAAGCACTAATTTTAATCCGCGGAGGAGACACGCTCGATGGGTCCACATCTGACTCGTGTGTTTTGGTCATAATTTCCACCTGTAAAAAGCTGTACCCCGTTACACTAGTCAGTGATTTAAAAAAGCCGCAACATGATTAATCCGATGCCAAGGATCACAACTGCCTTGTTGGTGCGAGACAGCAATGTCAGGGACGTCAGGGGCAGTTGTATAACAAAGACTTTTAGTAAGGCCAAGTCTAAAGTGACACACAACAAGGGACATCCGAGGTCTAATCGTAGATCTGACCCGTGATATCTGCATGCCAAGGGGATTTATAGACAGTATCGGATTGTCTTGGACGTGATTGGCTTCTCTGCAGATAATATCTCAACCTCCTACAACATGTGACTATGCTGAACCACAAGGCGCTACAGAGGTGTCTGTCTCTACCCCACAGTCACGGCTGAAGTCCCAATTCACGGCGCGTTAAAGAGGTTTTGGTTTGGGAGCTTGACCCGAGCGGCTTCCTCTTTCTGTCTCCGCAGCAACCATGGCTGTAGTCTGTCGCAGTCTAAATTTCAGATGTGCAGATCCAGCTATGTGAAATGACGACACTCTCGCACAGAGGGAAAATGGAAGGACCCCATTTGGGTCTCAAGGGGGCGTATTCCAGCGTCCCAGGAGTACGACAGGAGTACACGGTAGAAAACACGAAACCAAGCTCGTGGCGTCTTTTACTAATAATAGAAGCGTAAGGTTAAAATAGCGAGTGTTGTTGTGACGTCATAATTCACGTGAGCCGGAGGGAGACGATAGATGTAGCTTATTAAAGTGACGTCAATTTGGAAGCACATTCACCCTCATTCTTAGCCGACTCCCTACTTGTAGGTGACTTTTTGGGCCATGTTTAGTGATGTGAAAAGACGGAAGTCCTAATGCGGAATACCGTGGAAAACAATCTAAACGTCCTGCACCGATTATATGCACTTAACCGACTTGGCGCAAATGCACTGTTCAACGGCATCGTGAGAAAATGGGACAGAATGTGAGAGTGCTCTGAAAAACTGGTGCTTGACAGCTGATCATTCATCTCATAGTATTACGGAAACGGGAAATCGACGATCTCTACACACTCCCAGCAGACATTCCAAACGCCCAAAAGTTAGAAAGAAAGGGTGGTGTGCACTCTCTAAGGGCTTCTAGCTATATAATTCCGTCGTTTTACCGGTAAGACGCATGGGAGGGTTATAAATATTTTCACGATTGTGGGGTAAGTCTACCAGATCCATTTCGATCGAGCCATTTTCCCAAACTAGATGCGCTCCCGCTCTGAAACACTCATCGGATGGGTACATACATGATTGACTGGCGGGGTATATACCGTTGAGACCCTTGCTGTGAACTTCTCCGTAACAGTACCACCGCGGCCGGTTGAGTTTGCTGTACACCGAACCTGGTCGTCTACATTTGACTCTTTCTTTAACTTGCAAATCATACGACCGTGTTTACATGACCGGACAGAGAGAAGGCAGCACACTCTTGGGTCTGTGCATTGGAACACATGCATTTCGCGTTGCCCCATAAACAAGTCCGTGAATCACCTACGAGTTATTTTACACCGGCTTGCTTTTCCCTGCTGCTGCGGCAGCTGCAGTGGCACTAAAAGTTACCGTTTAATTTACTGAAACTGGACAGTTCCAACAGAAGGGCTGAATACTGTAAACACGCCCCGCACCACTACGAGTATGTACATACAACCTAATGGAGCAAAGACTAACGCCTAAATCACATGCTTGTACAAGTACGAGTACTCGTAGAGATTCTAGTAGTTCCACGGTCAGTTGCAATCTTTCAGACTATTATCTCATCCATGACGTATCAGTACACACGGTCCAGAGATATCTCCGACCCGACAAGGTTGCCGTCCTTGCATATTTTTGTCGTTCCACCTTGGAACGCGGCCTCCGTAACCCTATGCTCCATACAATTGTCCCTATACAGAGGTGGTGAGAACTGAGAGGCAAACTGACCTTTAGATGACGTCATGGAGGTGTGCTTAAAGGGCACGGCACTGATGTGTGGGGTTAGGCGCCCAGTGTGGCTAACTAGAAGTCCATCTCAAACGCGACATTACGAACATGACAAAAAACAACAACACAGGCTCAGTAAAAGTCCCTCAAATACACCCCCACTTCCAACTGTCTCAGCTTCACGGATTATTCATGGAGGTAGCAGGGCCCAATGCGTCAGCGTTTCAGCTGCTAGCATCATAAAGGTAATACTTTCCGTCTATTCTTCCTTGAACAAAGACAGAAACATGAGCCTATTACTACTTGTACAAGGGTCACAGTCGGCACAAGATGTTCCGGGCAACCATGACGTTTACGTTTGTCTCTTCCCATTACAAAATTTTCCAACAAGCTTCGTCAACAGGCTTAGTTGCCTACCTCAACCATAGGAGTAGAGTTACAGAAATACATTCCTAGATTTTCCGAAGCGGCACGGAAAAAGACGGCAAAAACGAAGCAACCGACGGTGGTTGATCGGTCACGTGATTCAGAACATTCCAGCAAGCGTACACTAGTTCTGGACCGAGAGGTCATGTGATGATGAGCACCAAGAGAAAAGACAACACAAGCCATACAAGTAGTTTTCATGTGGATCTCATTGCGTGGAGGGCGTCTCAGATTACCATGCTATCGATGCTCTGGTCATGTTGCAGCAATTTGCTATCTGCAAGAGGGCTACTTATATGTTACTGTTATATATTAACTAGTTAAAGGGCCTGATGAGACCTCGTGTGTTGTTTACAACTGTTTCTGAGATTCTGTGTAGTGTGCATACTCAATGGGAACGTTGAAGCCTTTTTTCACCTCGGGAATGGAGATGAGCTTGTTGAGCCACTTTTCGAGAAGCGGGAAGTCACCAGCAAGATCAATCTCCAGAGGGCCAGATCGCTGGACCCAACCCACAAGAGAGATATCCGCGATAGAGATGTGATCTCCAACCAGGAAACCGGTTCCGTTCCGCTCCAGTCGGGTGTTAAGAACTCCGTAGAGTCTTTTGGTCTCATTAGTGTATCGGGTCACTCCGTATTCAATCTTCTCAGGAGCGGCGAATCGGAAATGGTTTGCCTGGCCCTGCATAGGTCCGACGCCTGCGTTTTGGAAGAAGAGCCATTCCAGAGTCTTGAAGTACTCCACAGATCCCTGGGGATACGAAATTTTTTGCTTCTTGTCGTACTTTTCAGCCAGATACTGGAGAATGGCTCCTGACTCGAACAGAGCAAAGGGTTCTCCTGAATCAGTACCAGGCCCCTCGGTATCCGTGATTGCAGGGATTCTTCCATTGAGCGACACCTTTCGAAACTCGGGAGTGTGTTGTTCACCATTCTTGATGTCCACAGTCTCGACTTTGTAGGGCAGTCCAAGCAGCTCCAGAGCGATGGATATCTTGTGTCCGTTGGGAGTGGGAAAAGTGTAGAGGGTGATGGCCATAGTGGTTGCGGTCAATTGATGTGAATGGTACCAGGTCAGTTGCTGAGGTAACAGGATGGGCTTCAGGGTCTAGAAGAATTTAATCCATCATTTAGCCACCATTTGCTTATATATACCGACATATTCCCTGTGGCTTAGACTTCCATTTCGTCTGATCCCCTCAGATGGCATCACTGCATTTGTCAGCTCACACACGATAACTTTATAAGCGAAGAGTGGGGTCAGCCACAGTTGTGGGGACTACGAAAAAAATGGTAGTAAGAGTAAGGAAAGAAGAGAAAATTTTAAGGGATGCACTTTACTGGTACCTCACCAATGTCTTGTTGACATATGAGAAACACCATTGTGAAGACATGGAGCGGTTGCGCTGACTGAGTGAGTGCGATAGTTGTTATTAGTGGTGTTATTAGTGATGCATCGGGGTGTACACCGAAAGCACTCAATACCAGCGTGACTCTCCAACAAAGCAGTCAATGCGCCTCATTTAATTTCCGAGCCTGGACTGTGGCGTCTCCACTTCATGTTCATTTGCAACTTGTAGGATATCAACCATAGTGTCGGCGTTAACACCAAGAGACCGGCTGTCCATCAGAGTTTCCTCTGACTTCACCCTATCCAGGCATAGTTCACCATCTTTCGGGTCCCAATGGATGTGTTTACTCAAAACTGTCATAATAATCAAGTTCGGTCGATTCTGAACGAATCCATTCACTTTCATTGCGCGCTGGGGTTTGCCACCCTAACACTCACATATCCATTAGACTCCTTGGTCCGTGTTTCAAGACGGGTGAAATGGGTGGATTATGTCGTCGGTGGCAGTGTGGAGGGTTAGGGGAGAACGCCCGAAGGCGCTCCCATTTGTAACCCTCGTCTCGCTATCGATGACTCGGCGTCGGCAGTACACCGCGAAATGGCTGCTTCGATACGTAGAATATATGGCTGGCGTGACATCTTCTTCGGATGATAAGTCAGGTTGTCATTCGCCTCTCCTAGACCTTCTTCCAATACCCTAGTTACTCTAAGCCTTCAAACAATCTACTGTATTCAATACTCCATTGAAGAACCACCCAAACGTGAACCACTGATTTCGCCGTCGACACTGAAACAGCTCCTTCTGTTCTTCAAGCCGCACGTCCAAAATTGAGCCACTCAATCCGAAAGTCCCATGTATTGCTTATATAGTATTTCAATTATTGTATGCTCAGATTATACCATCATATTGCTGAGAGGAAGGTCCCCACAAACAGCAGTCGTTGTGTCTGACCTATTTGAAACCTTATGCATAGGGTCTTAAAAAAACGACTGTGATTTCGGGCCGACGAGATTGTATTAGAGCACCAAACTTACAGGTACTATATCTTCGCCCCCAAAATTACAATATTTTCTGATACTTTTGTTCCATTTTGTTGCCATTCTTCCTCTGAGAAGGGATAGGGATTTCCATCAATTATTTCTACCACCCCATTACTAGAACTCTAACCCAATCCAACCACATCCGTAAAATTGAAACGCTTTCTAAAGCTGGTAATATATTGAAATGGAAACCAAAAAAGTTGTAAATCTAGGAAGGGAGAATATAGTTACATTTTTTAGCAAATAATATACACTTCAACTGACAAATGGACACGTCAATGAACATTTTTTTTTCTCCCAGTATGTTCAGTGCACATCAGACATGCTTGTCAAACCTGCAAGCTTAATGCTTAATCCCAGTCTTCCACCTCTGAAAAATATATAAACCCCCTTGCCATCCACTTTTGTAACGTCAATTCGAGACTCCTACCATGACTTAGCTAGAGTTTTCTCGAGCTGCCAAGTTGCATCAGTGCACCTCCCTTCATGAATCTATGGGACAGAGCTATGACTTGCAAATACTTACGCGCTCCGTTTCTCAGATGGGTCGCAACGAGGGGTGAAACAACCAGCATGAGCTACAGTTTGGGGTCTGCTTTACTAAATGGTCCTGTCGCAGGGTCATATTCCAGAAGCTGCCGAATGGGGGCTTAAAAGCACCTGCTATGACACAACTGTTGAGACCGAAAAAAACCCCTGCGATGTGGAGCCTTTCTGGGGGTGAAGAAACAGGCATAAGTCAGTAGCTAAGACGTGGAGGGAGTGCAAGCAAAGCCACCGAGTGAAAAGAAACCCCTCAGTACAAGCATTAGGACGCAGGATGTTGACGAGAAAAGCCTAGCTCGCCTTCTGAAGGTCTGTCTCCTTGAAACAGCTATTACGGGCACAAAACATTGTCCATGAGTTTGCAATGATGGACAATAGACGCCCAGAGCTCTACACTAGATGGCTGCAGCAGTCGAAGAGACTTCGATATGTTAAGCTACGCCAGCACCAATGGGACTGTGAAATGATGACACGAAAGCAAAGATGAGACTGTGAACTGCGAGAGCAGAATGGCAGCACGTCTCGGGCCAGAGCAGTCAGTAAGAGTTAGAATTAGGGCCAGAGCCATTGAGCCAGTGAGTGCCATTGAGCCAGTAAAAGCTAGTGCGATTGTAATACAGTACAAGTACTCGGACATACCGAAATATCCACAAATATGTATCTTGGCCTTTATCGTTAATGGTCTATGACTGATCATAGGGTCATTAACTATAGCCACATCTTAGGGGAGTTAGTGTTAAGAACAATCAAGCTCTAACAGTAAAAATAGCTCGTATAACCAGTGCTAGTGTATCCAACTCCAACTACCACTAAATAATCCTCGTACCTGACTCTACGCGGCTGTGTTTCATTTTAAAGCTTGGCCGCATATACTTTTCTTTGTTGTTGAGTTTCTTTGTACGTTTAACACTGTTTTAGGCTAAACCCGCGACCCTGATTATCCGCATCATAGCGTCTCAAACGCAACGCTGACAACCAAGAAGATACAGAGAAACTGTTAGCATGGTTATAAGTATGTGTCAATCGCTGAGCAGCCCACTGCCGGAATCTAACACATTATACACATATACCCTTTCCCATGGACACAGCCTTCGCCCAACTTCTGAATTATGTGTCAGGGGGACGATGGTTTCCCTACCCCGAGCAGCGTGCAGGGTTTGAGGTTCCAGCTCAATTCTGGAACGAACCAGAACCTGAACAACAAGAGATTGGATACGAAGATGCGTTCAACGGTATTGATTTGGAGGAAAACAGAGACATTCACAACACTACTCCTTTAGATGCCTCAGCCGCTTCAACGATTGAAAAAAGGGGACACACTCCAGACGCAGAGAGCCTTTCCGACGACCTGGTTGTGGGATGGTATGGCCCTGACGATCCAGATAACCCCCAAAACTGGTCAACTTTAAAGAAGACAACAAGCGCAGCCCAGGTCCTCATTCTTACCTTCTCTGTCTATGTCGGATCATCAATCTATACACCAGGACTCCCTGAGATTATGGAGGATTTCAATATTTCAGAGACTGCAGCACTAGTTCCAATGACAGTCTTTGTCTTTGGATACGGACTTGGACCTGTCGTCTTCTCCCCTCTATCCGAACACCCTGTTGTTGGCCGGCTATGGATCTACGTCATCACGCTGGCTATCTTCGTCATTTTGCAGGTCCCTACAGCACTCAGTAAGGATATTGGTTCGTTGATCGTGCTACGCTTCCTTGGTGGCATCTTTTCATCGCCCGCTCTGGCTATATCTGGAGCTACCTTTGGGGACATTTACGAGATCGCATACATTCCCTTCGCTCTGGCATTCTGGGCCATTGCCGGAATTTGTGGACCTGTTTTTGGACCCGTTATTGGAAGTATATTTGCTCAGCTTCTGAACTGGAGATGGACATTCTGGGTGCTGACAATGATTTCGGGTCTGTGTCTCGCTGTTCTGTTTTTCTTCTTCCCTGAGACCTCTGCAGGAAACATTCTCTACAGACGAGCTAGACGACTGGAGAAGCTGACAGGCAAGGAGTATACAACGGCTGCACGACAAGAATGGGCTGCCAAGAAGATGACGACAGTGGCGTACGATATTCTGCTCAGACCAATCCTCATCACCTTCACTGAGCCAATTGTCTTTGCTCTGGGTCTGTACATTGCATTGCTCTACTCCACCCTCTACAGCTGGTTCGAGGCTTTCCCCATCGTCTTCAGTCAAACTCACGGTTTCAACACCATTGAATCTGGTCTAGCATACCTCGGTCTTATCGTGGGAGGTGTTATTGGGGTGGGATTGTACCTTCCTATCATCTACAGCAAGTTCACCCGTCCAGTGCTGAAGGGTAACTTTCCTCCGGTAGCCATGTTCATGAAACTGTGTTTGATTGGATCCTCAATCTTCCCAGCATCCCTGTTCTTCTTCGCCTGGACGTCTAACAAGTCTATCCACTGGATTGTTCCCATTATTGCGTCTGGTTTGTGCATCATAGGCATGGTGTTCATCTTCCAGACTGTCTTCAACTACTTGTCAGGCTCTTACCCCAAGTATATTGCCTCTGTCTTCGCTGGAAACAGCGTCTTCAGAGCGTTTGTTGCTGGAGCCTTCCCTCTATTCACACATCAGATGTTTGATGCAATGGGCCCTGAGAGTTTCCCTGTTGGATGGGGAACCACACTGATAGGCTTCGTTGGAATTCTGATGGGTGCTATCCCCCTGGTGCTCATAAAATGGGGTGACAAGTTGAAGGGCTCTTCTCGATGGGCCTAAACACACATTAATATATAGAACTCAGTAATAAATAGAATGATAGAAATTCATACCTTGCTTCGACCTATGAGTCATTTAACCCCCACATCGGACTATTTCGGGTTTTAAAGAAGAGCTTATGACAATCGTGCTCGCGGGTTCCTCTTATTCTTCCCCTACACCAGATAAACAATACATATCAACAATCTTAAACATTGCAAAAAACTTGGTTGCCGTTTCAGGCTGGACCATCAAGGGCTGCTGATAAACGAAGAAGCTGCAATCGGTGGGACGTAAAATCGTGTGTTGGGTGGCTGGGGTGACTGTGTGTCTCGGTGACGTGGTTTCGTGTTGTCTATGTGACTGCGTGGTCCATATGACGGTTTATCTTTTCGACGAGGGCTTGGATGACTTGTTCGGGTGTATGGGGCGTGGGATCGGTGCGACTGGTTGTCAGAGCGACGGGTAGTCAGGGTGGAGGAAAGACCGGCACTGTGTATTATACAATACTTCTCAGCGGTTCTTCGCCAGTTAAAATATGTAGGCCTTTCCAATATTACCAACTAATAAGTTGTATTAATCTATACAGTGCAAATAAATTATGGCTTCCCTTCTAGTACTTTCCTCGGGAGAAGAATCGCTGCCAGAAAGTAGGCATGGGAGCAGTGTCGGGAGACTCCTCGCGCTGCTTGGCAAGAGCCTTCCGGACTCGCACCTCTCGGAGGAAGAGCAGGCAAATGGCCGAGAAGATGAAGGCAAAGGCGGCAAAAACCTGGGTCCACACAAAGGGCTTGGTGGGGTTATTTCGTCGGATCTTCAGAGCAATGACTTCGGAGAAGAAAGCAGGGATGGAGAAGACTGTGAAGATCATACCGGCGAGGGTAGGCAGCAACTGGAGACCTCCAACTTCGGCACCAATGGGTCCAACAGCAACCCAGACGGTTCCAACAATGAGACCGTTGAAGACGGCGTAGAAGATGTACACACCGTAAGAGGTGGCGGGCAGCCAGATACACAGGTCGAAGATGACAATGAGAGCTGCGGCAACCAAAGTCATGTTGATTCGGCCAAACTTATCGGACAGGTATCCCACCAGAGGTCGACCAATTGCCATGGAACCAGACATAATGGCGGAAATGTTGGTAGCCTGGTCGTTGGTAAGGCCAATAGCCAGACCGGAAGCAGAGACGGAGTAGAGCATGACAATGTAACCAGCGAGAGAGAAGAAGCCCCAGGCGAAGATGAGAGCACATTCGTAGTGGAAGAAGAGCTTGTAGTTGAAGCAGGGGAACTTCATCTTGAAGCCGGGGTTTGGCTCTCGGATTAGAATGGCGGCACAGGTGTTGATGACAAAGGTCATGATACCAGTAGCTCGGAATGCCCACTCCAGGCCCCAGATGTTGATCCATCGCTGGGTGGTCAGAATGAAAAGCACTCCTCCAACACCGGATCCAGCAACAGACAGGCCATTAGCGAGAGATCGCTTCTTGAGGAACCACATGGGCACAATGTTGATGGTGGGAACAAACAGAACACAGAGGGAGAGACCCTGGAGCAGACCCTGGGACAAGTAAAGGTGCCAGATCTCCTTTGCGAAAGAGGCAGAAATCTGAGATCCGGTCTGCATGCAAGCTCCAATGAATAGAAGAATTCGAAGGTCAACGTACTGGGTCACCTTAATGTAAAGGGGAGCAAAGAGGAAACCGGTTCCAAGAGCCAACCCACCAACAAAGGCATAATCAGTGGCAGTAGCTCCGGCAAACGTCTGGTATCGCAAGTAATGGGCCAGGAACACGGCAAAGGACGAGTTTACACCCCAAGAGGTGGCGTTGATGGCCAGGGCACAGCCCACAGACACCCATCCGTAGCCTCCATCAGGAGGAGGTCGGAAGCCGGGAGGAAAGGGAGAGGGAGGAGCAGCAGGCTTCTCCTCGACGTCCTCGGGACCCTTCTCGGGGAACTTCTCGGACATGACGGACATGACTCGGTCAAGCTGGTTGCTAATGGTGGGCAGAACCACATCATCGTCCACAACGTCTCCGCTGAAGACGACCTCGTGTTTGTCTCCGACGGACTTGACGGAGATTCCTGCAATTGAAGAAGAGGAACTCATTGTTGTTTGTGAGCAGGTTACGGACTTCTCAAGAGAGCAGATTTTCTACATATATAAGCAATCAGGCGTTTTGTGAGAAAGCTGCTGGAGTACTTGAATCTGTGCATCGGTGTTAAGGTCTTCAGGGCCTAATGGACATTGGGTTTTTGAAACTTCGCATAGAGTTGTGAGCGGCTAAAATGGGTGTTTTGGCAGAGCCCCTAAGTCAGACTAGTATAGAGATAGGGGGGAGATTCCAGAGGCTAATGGGGGTAAAATTTGTCTGTGAATAATCTGAGCTCTTTTTTTCCAGAATTTTCCTTCTCTATCACAGCTCTCACACACCCTATTACCCCTACATATAACGTGTTATTTAGACTGCAGAGCTTATCTTGAGCCTCGGCACATTCGCCTCGTTGGCTTGTTTTGTTGAGTCACGGATGTCGGACCCGGACTTTGTTAATCTCCGACTGTTCAAAAACCGACAAAATCTGTCATGTCAAGGCTCCGCCCACTACACTGAGTATTTCTGTGGGTGAGCACCGTCTTACAAATCCTTCTAATGCGGCTTCTGCTTGGGTGCGGCTAACAACCTTGAGGGCAGATTTGTGGACTCAGTTTGGCAGACGGAAAAACGGAAGCTTGACGCAACTGCGTTTTTCAACGAAGACACAGATATCAGTGAATACTTCTCTGCCTATGCGTGTGGCATGTCTGCCAATACATGGTGCAGGGCCATACGCACGCACAAATGTGGCAACCATGGCGTGAATTTTTGTTCCCGTCCCCCCTTTCCGTCCTCCCTCTCTCTCTGGCCCCGTGATCGCCGTGAACTCTGGGGTTTGCTTCATACTTTTTGGTGCTATGATAGTCTGTTTCTGGGAGGCGTTTTGGTGCTCGGTTATGCAACGCTTTTAACGGCTGTAACCGATGGAAGGGGGGGGGGGGGGTTGATTACTGTACGAGTACAGTATAAACCTTGCAATCAGTGTGCACGCTCATAGAAGGGCGTGAGCCAGTCTCGCAATTGTTGGGTGCATGGCGTGCGCGGCTTACAAATGAAAAAATAAATCAAGAACGCCCAGCTCGTATCGCTTATAATGTATCGGTTTTAAGAACTCGCTTTTAGCTGACAAATATAATATTCTCTATGACAAGAACCCATCGACTTTGTGACGCAAAAAGGCAATGTGTGGAGGTCCCGTTCTGCAACAGCCTCCCAAAATCGAAACCGAGGTCTGCCAATCTGACAACGTAGCTGCCTCTAAAAACGAACTGTCGCAATTGCCACTCCACGTCTTGGTGGCCCCATCGTATACTTCTCCGGAGTTCGGATACACAATCAGTTGGAGAGATGTGTGCTGTTGCAGTATGTCGAGGGACAGCTTGGCAACCGTCTCCGCACAGCAATTGACGCCTAGGTGCGTAAAAGAAGGACAAGAGGCCGCAAGTTCGGCGATGTTGGAAAGCTCCGATCCATCTGCAAGGGCAACTCTGTCATAATCTGCAGATTTTACACTTAGAGAAAGGCACACGGGTATGGGGGAAGGCGGGAGGATGGTGTTCAGAACGTCAACCAGTACCTCTACTTCAATAATGGACGGGATTGTCTCAATCAGAAGCATGTCTGGACTTCCACCCAAGACAGCTCGAATCTTGAACTCGTGATGCCGTCTGATGTCGTCCTTGGTGTATCCCGTATAGTCTCCATTGTACTCCTGGCCCCCTCCAAGCCATGCTCCAAAGGGGCCTACTGAGGCTGCTAGGAGTACTTTTCTTTTGACCTTAGCTTCAGTGACTGCCTTTCGCACCAACTGCTCGCTCTTTCTCAGCATCCACAATGCTTCAGGCCAGCGCTGAACTGCCCCTGCCTTGATTGTGCCCTCCAGAGATGCCTGATAGGACGCCGAAGTGACTATATCCGCGCCAGCCACTACGTAGTCTTTGTGAATCCGATAGAGCAGGTTTGAATTATCCTGGGAACTTTCCAGCCACTCAGGGTGCTCGTCGAGGGCTCTGTTTACCTTCTCAAGCTGATCCACTGTCCATGGATCGGCGCTTTCGATACATTTGAGGAAATCGGAGTTGATAGGAAGCAAGAACTTGGCTGACCAGAGTGTTAGCCATAGCGGATCGGAGCAATCGATGCCACGATTCTCCAGTTCCGTTCCCATACCTCCATCAAGAATCAACATTTGGTGTGATGCGAGAGAGTGTAGAGTTCATGGAACATCGCTCTAAAAGGAGGCTGGCTTCAGGGTACTGGAAGCGTGCAAAAGTGCGGGGAGTAGTATAAGTCTTGTAACGGCAAGATATGGAATATAGGATATACAGTAATTCCAGAAAACAGCGTACCTTTTTGAATTACTTTTTCGTTAAAAAACACTCACGTGACCAAACAAAGGTCGAGGTTTACAACCCACTCTTATGCATCACATGCACTATCAGTGTATAGCTGGAGTTTATCGCCTTGAAATGTTGTGGGTGAAATACAAGTCGCGCTTCTGGAGAGTGTGAATTTCCAGTAAGGATGAAAGTGAGAACCTCTGTCATTTTTTTTGATGTAACTCAGTCGCTCTATACCTATACCCAGCCCAAAGGCTGTGGAGCAATAAATGTTCAAATCGAGTTACGTATGGAACCCGTCACTTGAAAATAGTCCAAACTTTGCCAAATTGATATTAGAGAACTTCTACCAGATTGCTCCAGCGTCATTCAAAATCACTGTACTAAAGTACTGTCGTAAGTTGGCGAACGACTTCTACAGCTATAGTATACTTGTTCCACCTTCGAATACTCATTGTTCACAAGATCCACATACCCTTGCACTGAACTACAGCAAGACGAAAATCATACTCATAACCAGTAGCCTGAGGGGTAAACAAAGGCAACCAGTATGTGTTTTCCCTTCTCCTCTTTCTCCTCATTTCCCGCTCTCCTTGATATTGCCTTCAAACATCTCAAAAATCACCCCGTCTTCAACAATCCACATTTGGAACAATTGAATTACAGCACCCATAGCGGGGTCTTATATCGACTCAGAGTGAACAATGTCAGACAAGAAAGTGACATCGGAAATACAAGCAACATACTTACAAATACTCCATATTACAGGTACTGGTACTGAACTGTTATTATACATTGTTATATATTAATTACTCTAAGAAAATATGCAAGGAAGTACCAAAGGAGTACGGGTACCACGGAAGAGGAAGATGTGAGATGGGGACTTGTGGAGTCGATACAACTCCAGAAAATGCAGGGTATATAAATTAGTGCGCGGTGAGAGTGGGGTATGGTACTAGGAGGCTCTTCGTCACCTCTTGATCTTCTTGGCACTCATAATACCCGACTTGATCTGATTGAGATCGTCCTTGGCATCCTCCGTCTTGAGCGGAGTGACTCCCTGATAACTTCTCGAGTGTCTGCTCGACCCATGGCCTCCCTGACCACGTCCAGGTCTCTCGCTCTCTTCTCCCTTGAACAGAAGACCCTCCAGTCCTCCGTCTCGGTCCGAAAAGGCATTGTCTTCGGATGGAATGCCGCCACTCCTGTAGCCGTCGTTCTCGGTAGTTCCCCCTCGTCGGCGCTTGGATGAGCCTGATTCTCGTCCAGACATTGCGCTGTCATCGTAGTCGTTTGTGTGCGTGATTCTGGATCGTCGGACAGGACGTCTCTCGAAGTCGCCTGCAGACAAAAATGGCGACGAGCCTCGGTCATCGAGAGACATCTCATTTGTGTATGAGGACCGGTTTCCCGCTCCGGATAAAAGCAACATGTTGTCGTTAGCAATGTCCAGAACAGCACGATCCTCCCGAAGCCGTTTTCGCTGCAAGGTGATTCGCGACATGAGCCGCTCCTGCACCATTTTGACCATACGGGTGTAGTCTTCCTCGGCCACGGCCACCTCCGCGTCGTACTCGCTATTGACGCTGTCGAGCTGGTACTGCTCCCACAGCTTGAGCTGCACGAGACCCTTATCTCGGGTCTCCTCAAGGTCCACGAGTTTCTCCAGGAAGTCCATGTTGCTGCCGGCGTGTAGTGACGACAGCGTGTTTTGCAGCGTTCGCAGCATATCGCGGTAGTGTCTATCCCGGTCCGACTCAAACATGTCAGAGATGTGACCGAGCCTGTACGCTATGCTTTGTCGTCGCTTATCTTTTTTGGCGAGCATTGTGAGTGAGAGTGTGACGGTGGAGAGTCCAGGGTGGCGTTGTTGTAAGTATGTGGCGTGTGTGGACGATGTTTCTGTTCCGGCGTGTCTGTTCTGTGCTAGTGGCTTGTGTTGTCACTCTTGCCACAGGTGGTGTGTAAAAATAGGGCGATTTGTTGCTGGGTCTAGATGGTTCAGTGCAGCTTACTCAATGACGGACAGGCAGAGTAATCACCTCGGACTGGCTTCTTTCGCGTGCTCGAGTTGGGCGTCAAGACACGGCTTTCTCTGGTGGTGAGTACAAGTGCAAGATGGGACAGCGTCGGCAAAAGGTCAGTCTTTTTCTCGTGCATAATTCTGCATGCGAGGTGGGGGGAGCAGGAGCGTCCATTTTATGGGCTGGGTAGACGCCCTAGGGGCAAACGGTCGGAGAGGAGCGTTTGCGGGCCTGTGGCGAGCTCATTTCCGCACCATTTGTTTTGCTGGAATATTCCATCAGGTTATGAGTTGGAGTATGGTGGGATTTTGAGCCCGCAAAACCGTACGAGGCGGATTCGAACTCAGATCCGTTGGCATTTGTTGAGAGGGAGAGAGAGTGGGAGAGTGCAAGTCAGGGTAAATGGGAACTGGCTAGATAAGGGCATGATAGGCTGAGACTCGAGACTAAAAGCACGGAGGAAAGGGAAAACGGTCATGTGACTTTTTCGGACTTGAGAAACTTGTCGGACCTGACGAAAAGGAAAGAACAAGAGGCATGAGGGGTTAAAAGGTGGAGTTGGAGAAGTCAGGCGTGTAGTTAGCAATAGTCATGTGTTTATTCTGTTGTAACTGGGCATGGTGGCTCGTTCAGAACCTCTCGTGGTATCGCATTGTGCAGATACAATAATAACGAGTCCAGGGTGAATCAGCGTACGAGTGTAACCAGCACAAGTATCGCACTGTACCGTCACGGGGCTGAGGACGAGGAAGGCGAAGACAACGTCGCAGCAGGTCCGTACACCCCGCACATACTCACTCACACGACTCTTCCTCCCACCATCATGTGACCTGGAGGTCATCAGGGTTGCTTCAGAAACCTACTTGTACATATAATAATAGCGTCTCATGACTCAATGGATGGTGTAATGATGTGACTACAACTGATAAAACGGTGACATACCCTAAGGGCCAACGGTTACTCCTTCACCGTCACCATACTGGCCAATCACATATATGAAAATACCATTACGCGCCAAGAGAAAGAACCTTGAATACCCCCAGACTGCGAGTTGCTCGTTATGAACGGCGGTTATGAACGTTGAATCGGAAAAAAGGCAGACAACAAAGCTTGATGGTCGCGAAACTCGGCCGTTTGAAAACGCTAGAGTTCCACACAAGAGAGACTCCAATAGTTCGCAAATCGACGACACTGGCGCGCTACGAAACGCCTCGCTTGTCCCACAGTGACCCAAATTCTCTCGGTACCCCTATCAAACCCTACACGTCGGTGTCCGACTTGCATGAGTCCACATCGTTAGCGTAAGAGATGAAAGTATCGATGCACGTGGTACAGTAGTCCAGGATCAAGTACGGCTGACAAGGAACTTATTTAGCGAGTTGCCAAGATATTTTTGTGTCAGTCTGAAAAAGATAGGTATATATAAGTAGGGGCGCATTACAACAGCTGAACACGTTCGAAACACGCCCACAGCTGCCATCTGACCGCACAGCTGATACACGTTCCAGTCTAAAACTATTCACTCAGAGTCTGTCTGCATTTAGCTACCCCACAGCTTCGTGTTATATATACGCTTGAGACATCGCATTTTACTGCGCAGTCAAGATACGCAGACGTGATCTTTGACTATCAAGATCACCAAACGCGAAGACAGCAGTGATACAACACCAGCCACTACCAAACAACACTTCCAGTTTCACTCCCACTCACACGCACTCACTACAAATGAGCACTTGGGAATCATTCCGGGCCACAGGTCTGGCGTCGGTGGAGTCCTCCGTCTCGGTCATTGCCATTCTGGGCTTTGGATACTACTGTCGAACGAAAAACATTGTGACCGACTCCGGCGAGGCCTTTGTCTCTAAGCTCAGCACACACATTTTCCTGCCCTGTCTTCTAATCACCGAAATGGGCCCTCACATGACCATTGAGAGTATCACTCAATACTGGCCTCTACTTCTGGCCCCCATGCTGGTGTTAATGCTCACCTACTTCATTGGAAACAATATTGGACACAAGCTCCTTGGTTTCCCCAAGTACATTACTGCTGGAGTCATGTTCAACAACACCACTTCTCTGCCTCTGCTCATGCTGAAGGCCCTTGGAACTACAGGCGCCCTTGATGTTCTCATCCCCGAGGGAGGGAAGCTGGAGGACGTTGTAAAGAAGGCAAGTGCCTATGTTTTGCTTGTTTCTATCGTTCATACGATTGCTCGATTTTCTCTGGGCCCTATCATCATGGGCCAGAAGGAGGAGAAGTTTGAGGGAGAGACCACTCCTCTGCTTGGAGGAACAGCCGGCCGTCTCGAGCAGAATGTTGAGACCTTCTACGAGCGACACATTTCCAAGTACATCAACGCCGCTGTCATTGGAGGTCTGATCGCCATCTTCATCGGAATCATTCCTCCTCTCAAGTGGTTTATCTTCGACTTCACCCCCATGAAAGCTTCTCTGACTCAGGCCGTGACAGATCTCGGAGAGCTTTACCCTGCCCTCCAGCTGTTTGTGCTCGGTGCCAAGCTCACCGCTAAGCCGAGTGTGCCCGTCAAGCCCTCCTACATGGTTTTCATCTTCTGTACTCGATTCATTCTTGTGCCCATTATCGCCATCTCATCCGTCTTCTACCTCCGACAGGCCAACGAGAATGTGTGGACCAGAGACCCCATTCTGGACTTCATTCTGATGATGACACCAGCTGGCCCTCCTGCCATCACTCTGGCCGCTGTTGCTGAGCTTGGTGGAGTTGGAGAGGATGAGCTGGCCTCAATTGCACAAATGCTGCTGTGGTCTTACGCCATCACTCCATTCATTGCCCCTACGGTCGCTGTTGCCATCCAAGTCGTCAAGGGCGAGTATGGCCTTTAAAATTAGAATAAGAATGGAATTATAGAATATACCTTGCCATGCTGGAGAGGAGTGTATTAATATTTGTGATTAGTCATATGAACTACGTGTTGCCCAAATCGCATGATGAAATTTGATGAGCGCTACACAAGCCAACTGTTTTATGGGGGGTTGATTCGAATCAGGACTTCATATCTCCACATTGTAGGAGTAATCTACGATTCTTAAGCATGACAAGCGACTCGATATCTGAAAGATCAGTTAAATCTTTTCCATTTCGATGTTGACTCTATGATACTGTATATTTTACTCTATTCGTTTATCATGACGTTTACTGTATGTTCTGGTGTTGCTTGCAGTTGAGAGCGAGAAATATATGATATTTGATATTTGATGCCACATTAAGAAAAGATGGATGTTTTAAATTATTTTGCAACCAGGGGATTATTAATGGCTCAGCACGTTTTTCTATTCCCGTCTGATCCTCTATAAGCTATTCAGGTGGCTCCTGTAAGTCAGTTGAACAATGCAGACACAGCTCGTATTCGTTAGACCTCTCAGGTACTGACGGTACAGCATCTACATACATATACCAAGGCATAGCACATGGAACGGTTTTGGAATACGAACAAAGACGGCCCGAATCAAACGTGGAGTGAAATCTGTCTCACAATAATTACTTTTGATTGCATTTTCAGTTGCAAAGCTCGTAAAAGAAGTCGAGGAAGCAGGGCACAACAATGCTGTTTGAAATGCGTCAAATTTTGACAGCTTTGTGAGCTTGTTGTCTGAGGTTCCTGTTACGCTCACTTTTTTCAGATGGCCACACTTACTATGGCTACCGATTACATAAGCAATCTCGCGTCGAGCATACAATGGCATAGTTGTTGGGAATTACCACCCTATCTTGCATCCTATCTGGTGCACCCCCGTGGACCTGCCTGGAGTTAATCGTCAGGCCACGCAAAAATTGCTTGTTTCTGTCATTTCTTCTTCTGGGTGTGCGCTGCAAGATAGCCAGACTTACATTGCATGCGCTAGACCAAATTGGAGACCCACTACAATACTGTCACCGGATTGATCGAAGCTGCGTGTATCCGTTTATACGAGTTTTGTACGTTCCTACCGTCGGCATCTTCGTGCTTGTATTTGTGAGACACGGTTATAATTTAGGCGATAATATTTCCACTGATAATATTCAGAACTCCCCTTTGTCTTTCACACTGAGTTTGATGACGGCACTAATTACAGTACGGTCGAAGTACTACCATATGGTCGTCGAGCATCCCAGTAGCAGCTGGACACAGAATGACTTGCTAGTCCAATAATGATTGATTTCATTTCTCCATCGACCATAAATGGTGCGAAATCTCCGCTCTACACGGGACCCAGAAGCAACTGACGAAAGTAGTCAGTTCTCGTCACTTATGCAGCAGAGGATGCTTGGAAGCAGCGAAACAAAGGGTAATACATGGAATAACTGGCCCGCGGCCTGGGGAGCTGCAGAGAATCCACAATCGAAGTCGTCGACATTCATTACATATCCCATTTGGGATTGATTTCCTGTCGGGACATGTGAGTCCAACCCAATGCATATGGCTGGCTGTGATCGGCAGTAGTCCAGGGACAAAGAAAACAGCTATAGCCAGCTTTGAGACGCTGCAGAGGTAAAAACATGGTGACGAATACACGATACGTCGTAGCTATGATGATCTGCGGATATGCATTTAGCTTGGGCATCAATGGGTCCTTTGAGAGACCTTTTGTGACGGGTCACGAAGTTTCCTGCTGACAATAAAGTCGTATCTATCGTTGAGCTCAACAATGACGGCCCATGTCGTAGTAGCTTTACACGAGATTCCCCGGTGGACCAGGTACCTGCTTGTCACTACCTGTGTGCGTGTAAATATACTGTAACACTGTTCATTCACATGTTTCTACCAGGACTTCCCTGCGCGTCGAGATATGCACAGACACTCGTATAGCTCACGTAGCATGGAATCGAGCGCTAAGTTTTCTTAGCATCCAGGAGTCAATCGGGGGTGAGGACCCATAGTGAAGGCACCATCGGTACATACTTGTAGTAGACTATCAGTACGGCTTCTGTACACTCTACAGGTGGCTTGAAGTAGCGATTTTCGCAGGATTGACATTGCCATCAAAGTCGGAGCGTAGGCTCACAACCACTTAGACTGCCTTTTATGGATTAGCTCTGAGAGCATGGAACGAGCCGGCTGCCATGTTTGCATCCCGACCCAGACAATGGCTCAATGATCTTCACAGAACTATGGCTGGGGCATGTGTACTCCGTGTGAAGACCCCAAAGAGTTCTCTACCCCTTCATCTGTAACAGTCCAATGTGATCTATCTGTGTTCTTCCTCTCTACTATTCTTTCAGGGTTCTCAGTTATCACCATCGCATTGATCACAGGATTGATAGAGAGAAAGAGGGAGAGAGACCAACAACTTTTATTCCACGAAGAGCCCTTCACGACTGTGGTAGAGTTTGGAGTAATCAATTAAGGTAACAGGCTTTTGTTCCATGTCGGAAGAGCATGACAAGTACAACGACCATGCTTAGGGATGAGACATCTGTAAATGGGTTCCAGCTGTCCAAAAGAGGAAGGTGGCGAGAATTTTCGTTGGTTGGGCGACAGGGGAGTGTCTTTTTCGAACGGTCTACTGCTACTTGTAGTACAGTCGACCGTTGGTAACCATGGATGGTTCTAATGTTTTTAGACGGCTTGTAGTCGTTTCTTAGACCTAAGATTTCTCAGATGAGCTAGACGTTCATTTTTTTGGGCTGGTTGCCTTCCAACCACCGTCCCAACTTACTAAAAGTAGACTGCCTTATATAATAGGGTCAGCATTGCACTTTACGTCACCGCGACCTGAATGATGGGCGCTGCACGATTGCACATGTGCCTCTGAACAATGTATGCCAGCCATGTCAGATCCCCCTTTTGCATAAGCGTGTGTGGAGGTGGAGGAGCAGAAGAGGATCGAGGGAGGATGTGGCCAGAGAACTCGCGGTCGACTATGCGACAGGGACCCTTCGGCTAATAGACGGGTTTTATGACTGCAGTAGCTGCAGCACCCTACGGCGACTCGTTATATCGTCCTGGTGGCGCTTTAGCGCGATTAGAGAGCTGCAAAACAATGCTAGTTTTTGGTCCCAGTGGCCCTCAGTCCAAGCCTCTCGGTAACACGAGTACCAGTCTCTGCTTGATATCAGAATGCACGAAGGAAAGTTGTCTTCGTTCTTCTAGACACTCAGATCAGGGACAGTTTGACCCCATCAAACTTTTGGATGCAAGCAGCCATGTGACGAATAAATGTGACAATCGGAGCCTGTAGCTCTGTGAAAAACGTGGATTAGGTCCCTTAGCTCGAAGACGAAACAGTGCTATACTGGCCGCTCAGGGACTCTCTAAGCGCCCCAGGCAGACACGTCAGTGGTCTACTGGACCTGGTGGCAGCGTCGTTTATTACTTTTTCGCACTACTTGTGGCCAAGACGCTAATCTGTCGCCGTAGGTTTTTCGATATTGACGTCCACGTTTGGTTTTTGATTTTGATTTTTCGGTCTCCAAAATAAAATTTGAGCAGGCAGGGAGAGAGAAAGAGCCAAGCCCAAAAAGCAAATTATTAGGTTCCAGATCAAAGAGAGGTTGGCTTTCTAGGTTTTGGTAACTGCGCTTGTTGTCGATCATCGTTAATACAAGTCCTTATATGTGGGACCCCGGTAGTCTTTAGAATAATTTTTTTTTTGGTACCTCCGCCCTTTCTCCAGACAAGTCATCTCTACAGCTCGCTCGCACCACGCACAGCACGTTCTGCACCTGCCCCGCCCTGTTGCAGCTCAAAACGCCCACGTTCCCTAAACATACACCAATTGTGTACCCTCCTTGCTTCGCTCACGCGTGTCTAATAAGGGGTAACTTTGACCTACACTCTCACTACCGCTGTCCAGCTCCGTCACAGCCCACTTGACTAAAAGCAACATCTCTGCTTGCACATATACAGTACCCCTACTTAACCCCTTAGATCTGCAGTATATCATCTCAGACGACCCCGGAACCTCCCCCTGAACCGATATTATCCTACGCTCCCCCCTAAATCTGCACCCCACCAAATCACCACAAACAACTACTACCGCCTATAATGCTGTCTCGAACTCCCCGACCAGACACCAAGCACAAGCGAAAGTCGTCACTACTGGATCTCTTCGGTCTCGGACAACTCGCAAAGGAAGACCCCCAGGTGCCTGAAATCTCAGCACCCATCCCCAGCTCGCTACAGCAGTTCCATACGACCCCCCAGGATCTGCAAGGCGAGTTCATCGATCTCACTCTGGGCGCCAAACGAGACTCGTCACACTTTCACGCTGAATGTGAAACGCCGCCCAAACGGCGCTCCTACTACGACCCCAACACAGACCAGCTTTCGCCCATTCAAAACGTGGACGCCAACGACCTCGTCAACGAAACCATCTCGCTGCGAAACAGAGACTCCAGCAGGGACTACACTCACCTGTCCCACTCCGCGCAACCGTCACTGTCGGAATCTCTCCACGACTCCGAGTCACACTGCATGTCAGAGTCGCAACCGCAGACACCCCATACAGACTACAACGACGAATTTGAAGACGACGACGCTGCCATCCTACAAGCCGAGTGCGTCGAATTCCATCAACCGCGATTCCAGACAATGAACCCGGCGTCCATGCACTCTGTCTCCACCATTGGAGATGCCTGTGTGCGAGTTGGATGCTCTTCTCCCGCCTTCTCGGACGCTGATCCATTCAAGAAGCGAGAGTCGATGCTCTCCACCTCCACTCTGGACAGAACCCCCTCGAAAAGAGGCAACAAAAATGATCTCATCGACAGATACCTCAACTCCCTCTACGATAGTCAAGATCACCCTTCCATCGACGATGACATGAACATGGACGTTGACGAAGATACTACTCGAGTCTACTATCAGCATCCCGTGACTCCTCCCCAGTCCACGTTCAACTTCCCCACAAGAGATTCCTCTCTGCCCCAAAATTCACCTCGAAACGAGTTACAATCTGCATCTTCCTGTTATTCTTCTAATGTGTCTAGCGCCCAAAAGTCCGTTCAGGTGGAAGACGCCTCGTTCGCTATGATCAACCCTTACGCCAACGGTTCCCGGTCATCTTCTGCATCTGTCAATGTGGTACCTCGATCCCGAGTGGCCTCTTCAGGCGGAGTTAACAGAAAGCCTGTTCCTGCCAGACAGGAGGAGTCCGTCATGGGAGAATTTGAGAACGAGCTGGCCCGTCTGGACTCCATTGGTACCTTCACTGAGCTGCCTCCTCCTGTCTCATACGCCAGTTCTATCATCAGCGATAAGTTGACCCCCCACCCTGCTCTTGTCAATGCTCGCAACACTGCTCCTGGAATGGGTTCTCGAAACGGCTCACAGCGAGACATTTCCCGAGATATGGCTGGCATGTCCATTGCCTCCTCCTCGACACAGTCGGTCAACCATGCTGCTCGAAACCCCCATATTCAGCAGCACTCCACTACACCTTCTGTTTCTTCTGACAACAGATCCAAAAGACATTCTCTCAGTGGCAAGTTTGGTAAGCTTAAGGACTTTGGGCGACGAATTACACACTCCAAGCCTACTGCTCCTGCTCCTACTCCCGCTGTCTCTTCTGCTGCCCCTACCCCTCGACCTGGTTCTAACAGATCTGACAACAGCCGACGACGATCCATGCTGGGCTTGTTTGGCTCTTCTGGCGAAGACAACAAGAACTCTTCTGCTTCGCACCGACGAACCTCTACTCTTGCTAGCAGCCACATCAACGTTGCCCCTGTTATTAACATGCGGTTCGAGTCTGAAAAGCCCGACATTGGACGAGGATTCTAGTGTTACCTTTTGTTTCACTCTATAATTTATTGCATTTCTACCACCCAACTGTGAATGAGTAGGTACGAGCGACACCGTACAGTAGGATACGTCGACAGCCACTGTTTCGATGTGAGCAAACATTGTAGCTATTGTTATCCTCTTGATAGCTGCTCATTTCGCAATTTCCCTTCTTGGAAGTGTTGGAAGTGTGCACTTACTCGTAATTAGACACTGCGATAATTATGTGGCCTGTGTGCTGGAAGGAAATGACCTGCTCAAGATTATTATTGGAGGAGATGATAGGTCTCATACAGCGTAATATTTGTTCGATAATATCGGAACTGAGCTCGGCTAATTTTGTTTCAGCTCCAACTAATCTCTCGAGAGACTTTTTGCTTACATGTCAGCAGTGCTATGCTCAGATGGTGCCATACAGTGGGGAGGTCCGAGAGGTACACACGGTATAGGGAGGAAGCAAGAGGCAATAAGGCATGTAGATGGTTAGATTTTTTGATAGCATAAACGAAATGGAAACAAACGAAATACGGCGGCCGATACGGCGATTAAATGTCTCACAAATTTTTCAGGGTGTAACCGAGTGAAATGAGCTTGAGTGGTCGGTCTGGAAGAGACAAGTATTTCCGTCCTGTCCTCCAGATGAGTTGTTAATTTCTCTTCTATAATACCCGCCTCCCTAATACGCCCTGGCGATCCAACCAGCACGATCTACGTTGCTTTGTTTTAGCTCTATCGAAAGATTTCGGCGGCAGATTAGACACACGATTTGAGTGCGTGGTAGGAGCACTCTGACAAGGTTCCGTGACTGCTGCACCGGAGTGATACAGGAAGTGCAAAGTGAAGACGAGAAGAGTCTACCGGTTCGTGGCGGTAGCTGTCAAAAAATCACAAAAACATGGGCGAAAATACTCGCCTGACTTATGCCACACACATCTTCTTGGGTTTAAATGGGCGACGTAGGCCTCAACTTGTCTGGAGCCGCCGTAAGATGCAACAGCTTCAACGCATGTCTCACCTGAAGGCTTCTACATCGTACTGGGCAAGGTTTTGAGTGGATTAGCGGAACCTGGGTGAGCATCTTACATGTTGACAGGGCTGGGTGGAAACAAGCGTTTTTGTTTGGCTATCGGCAGCATTTCCCAATCCGGTAAATTGACAAGTATCAGTGGGTATAACAGTAGTTATGTACGATTACTTATGTTGGGGAAACAGGGTCGTAGAAGGCCCGTTGGGGTGGGTCTGAGCACTTTGCGGATTTCTCTTTCTCGGTTCCTTTTGACAGAGTTCTGGCAGGGTGCATTCGGCGCACCCTGGCGCAGTCGAGTGACGATCTCTGAATCTACTTACTAATTCGGCAATGTAATTGTGACAGACGAGTATGTAATTATGGTACAGTAACATCAAATGGAATGTCAATATTTGTACAGGTACGATTACAAGTACCGTTACTCATAGTTGTGTATGTAGTGTACTAGTTACCGCTACATCATGATGTAAGGGTAGTGTACATACTACTACGCTGACATAATCACACTTGAGCTTACGATTACTGTGCTGCAGTTCTTGAATACCATCCCGTCCTCTGTATACAGTGCATCTCCTCAATTACTAGACAAATAAATAAAGCGCATTCCCTCGTCTGTTGCTAGATCCCACTCACCTCCTTAGGCACTGCTGCGCCGACTTCGACTCTCCTTTTCACTCTCAGGCATGATGAACTCCGGCTCCTCAATGCCTCGTCGTGCTAGCTGATAAGCCGAACTGACCCATCTGTCGCCTGTGTTGGTGCCAACCAGTTGAAATTGGAAGAACACGCCCTTGTACGCCAGCTTTTTGAGCAACTTGTCGATCGCCAGAATGTACTCTTGGTTCTCCACAGGATAACCCTGGGTCGTTTTCCAGCCGTTCTTTTTCCATTCCTCCAAATACACCGTCAGACACTCCAACACATAGACCGAGTCTGTTCTGATCTCCCACTTGGGGTAGTCTCGTCGATTCCAGACGATTCGCAACGCCTGGTAAACTGCTGCCAGCTCAGCCCTCTGGGTCGTGTGCTTGGAGCCATGCAACGGACCCGAAAAGTTGCAGATGTTGGGGGCTCCAAAAACAATGCCAATGCCACCCTTGGAGTTGACGTAGCCGTTGTTGTCACACACACCAGACGTGTAGAGCACCCGGATCGGGTTTCCGTACCCGTCCACAGTGTGCAAACCTCCTCCAAGAGGCGTCTTCATGTATGCGTCGGCCTCCTGCTCATACATGAACTCTTTGGCGTTGGAATCGGGATAGTTGGTGAGCATGAGGACAGCCATGTTTCTGTCCGTGTACACTCCGGGCTTGTGGCCCATGCGCACAACATAGTGTGGCGTGGATGGCGGTTGTTCTGTGATGCCATAATTGGGGTCTTCAGCAGTAGTTACTGGCTGCATCGTTGTTCGGAGCACTTGTGAGTCGATTGTGTACCCTAGTCGTCCTGGTCGTGTGGCCTTATATGTAGAGGTGGGTCCCTGGCTGGCAAAAACCTAGATGACGCGCAACTCAATGTCTATATACCGTGAAAGATACAAGATGTTTTTTTGCGCATTTCAGATTTCGGCTCCAACAGCTCGCCCGCAACAAAACTGTTGGGAAAGCCTAGCAAACCTACCCGGATAGGCAGGTGCGGCTTATCGGCACATGCACCATGTAGGGCAAACTTGCTTTCGATAAGACAAAGCCGAGGTCGTCAAGAAACGACGATCGTCACACACACAATCACGGGCTCGTGGCTATCATACACTATCCACACACCAAGACTGTAGTACATCCATACTCTAGACCAGCAGTTATCAGCTGCAGATTGGGTGTCTCATAGCTGCTGATTTAGCCTCGTGCTAATACGGCAGTTTTTAGAATACTGTAGCCACGGGCAAACTCTCAGTTGGCGGATAAGGCGTCATCGCGTGTGGATCCAGCTTTCGCGTGCATAAGGACGATACGTCCATTTCATAGATATACGGCCTGTGCAAAAAATGTGGGGTAAAAATGTACTTTGGATGTAGCGTACTCGTGTGCACCAATACAGCAGTTCTTTGTTCTATATGTTTCCAGATCAGGTCTTTTCGCTTTTCTTTATCCAATATACAGTAGCTACGACATGCAACACCCATGTCATGTGAGACAGCGGCGCCGAACGTTGGATCAGTGTCTAGTGAATAATCCTCTACTGTACATCTCACCCGTAACAATTGCCATACCACCCGTCCAGTCAAGGCACTTCCCATAGCATGTACTTGTATCAATAACCAAAACTGCACGGATATGCACCCAAATACGCCACGGCTATATCCATACGACCCCCATCCGACTCCCTGCGCATCCTTCACCATGTATCCCTTGTGTCCCTCTGCACATGCCGTTATCATACATATCCCGTCAGAGGGACATAACTGAACGTCGAGTGAGGGCTCCTGTTTTCACAACAGTAAAAAACGGAGATATGTCAGTTACGGACGTGGTAAATGTCGCCCACACTCGCTCACACTTCCGTTCCTCCGAAAACAACTCTCTCTCTCTTATGACGTTTTCAAAGACCCCCACAAAACATCATGTGAAACACTTCGAAACAAAGAACTTGTTGAGCAGAAGCTGGCCGTGAGACGCTGTATCACCACGGGCTGTATGGAAATAACCACCACAAAGTTGGGCTGTACTGAGACCCGTTGGCTATCGTGTGTTCCAGACCTCTCTACGATTGTAGTGAAGTGACTCTTCCAGATCGTCTGTCACGACTGGCCCTTTCAAATTGGATAGTCCCAGTAAGACTAGTACTTGTAGGTGGGTTCCAGAACACCCCGCTTGGCCAACTTCATGGCCTTGTTGTAGCCCTTCTCATTGGTGTTGCAGACATGCTTGAATGAGAAGATATCGCCATAAAAGGTCTTCATAAAGATCCATCGATTGATAGAGTAATAGATATCTGCATTAGCAACCAGCCGTCCATTGCTGCCCTTCCAATGCTTGTTTCGAATGGCCTCCATCTCTGTCGTCACGCTCTTGAAGGCTTCAATGCTGTGGATTCGAATCTGCCACTTCTCCAGGTCACTTCGCTGGTAGATGATCTGCAACGCCTGGTAAATAGCCACAAGCTCTGCACGTTTCTGACTGATGCCAATCTCCTCCATGGGGCCCGTATAGTTGCAGGGGTTGTTTTCTCCAAACCAAATGCCCATTCCACACATGTCCTCCTCATCTCGGTAAGCACACACGTAAACCACGTAACGATGATGCCCATCTTCGTCTACGGTGTACAAACCGTTCCACGTCGGGCGAGATTCTCTGTACTCGTCTGCTTCGTCCCAGGTCGTGTGCACTTCTGGGTGTGAGTCGGGGTAGTTAGAAACCGCATTTTGGGCCTCCTTCAGCTCAGTAAAAGTATTGGCACCCTTATGGCTGATCTTGACCGTGTAATAGGGCCCCGGATGAACTCTTCTGCTGTCGGCCCAAGGCATTTTGTGGTGTGATGTGGTGTGTCAAGATAGTCTGTGGGAGGTGGAACTCAATCTGCGTGTGAGACGCAGGTGGGGGTACCAAAATGGTTAGTAGAGTGGGGAGTGTAGGAGGGATTGGTTTGGAAGAAGAATTTGGGTATAATTTGGTCGCGAGCCAGTCAAATATTCTACTCTAGCAGGTCTGGGGGCAGTGGGGGACATTTGAAATGGTTGATAAACATACCAATGATTCACAGAGACAGCATCCAGATACTGATGATGACAGCGTATTCAAAAGGTGGAACAATCCGAAGGTCAAATATGTGTTATACACAACGGCAGTGTACGCAGTACATTTCTTAATATGGCATTCAAAAATTCGCCAGCTAACAAGAACAGTTCCTCTGAGAAAGCGGGTACATCACTCGGCACTTCCAATAACAAATTTGTGTGAATAATCCGAACATTACACCATTCTTCATTCAATTCTTCATTCACTCAGCCTACAGTAGCTACAGAATTTACTTGTTCTTGTTCATTAGAATTTGTTACTGAATCTATGGAAACATTTTAAAGAAGAAGGGCGGCAACACCAACCAGGGCGGCACCAAGGGAAACAACGGCAGCTTCAGCACCGTTCTTGTTGTGGGAAACAGAGCCCTTGGCAGCAGCTACACCGGCAGATCCGGAGGCCTTAGCGCCAGTAGCAGTGCCATTGTGGCCTGCAGTTGAGTTGCTGGCGACAGAGGAGTTGCCAGACTTGACCAGATCAGCAATGGCTGGCAGAATCTTGTTGCCGGAAGTACCAGTAGCGTTAATGAGAGGAGTAGGGAAGCCAAGAGACTTGTCGGAGAAGTAGCCGGGGTAGGAAAAGTTGTTGTACAGACCGTGCTCGGTGATGTTGTGGTTGGTGACAGAAGAACCAATCTTGTCGGCAACGAATTTGAAGACGTTAGCAGTGACGTCTCCTCGTCCAAGATGGGGAAGCCCCCAGTTAGCTTGAACAGTAGCAATGTTAGAGTAATGGTTATAGACGGTGTCATCAGTGGTACCCTTGAGGTTCTCGGGGATGGCACCTCCAAGCAGAAGAGCAAAAACTCGGTTCTGCTCGGTGTATGTCTCTGTCTCATCAAAGGTCAGGATGATGAGGTTGTCTTTCATGAAGTCAGTGTTGTTGAGGAGGGGGGACAGGAAGTTGTAAGACCAGGTTCCAGAGACCTCAATGTCGGTATCGTGACCGTCGTTTGTCATGTTGGGGGTGATGAAGGCCCACTGGGGGAGGTCCTTGTCAGCCACATCTTTGTGGAACTCGGTGAAGTTCTTGAGGTTACCAAGTCGCTCCGGCTTCTTAGTAACCGAGTCGTACATGACCAGGGGGTTGTGCTTTCGGACGTAGTCGTTGGCGTAGTCGGTCTGTCGAGAGTAGTTGAAGCCCTGGAAGCCGGTGTAGGGCTGATGCTCCTGGTACTCACCCCACGAGATGGACTTGGAGTCGAGCAGGTCGGCAACTGTGAAGATCTCCTCGGGAAGAGTTCGGTAAATGTCATCGAAGATACCAAAGTAGTCTCCACCGACAGCAGCAACATAGTTTGGCTCGGAGGGGTGGGTCAGAGCAAAATAGTTAGTGAGAAGGATACCCTGCTTGGTCAGAGCCTTGAGGCCGGCCTGGTCAAAGGCCTTCTGGTAGTCAGTGTTCTCCAGCCAGATCTGATGGTATCTGTCGAAAGCCTTACCCTTAACTGTCTTCTTGGACTTGAAAGAGTTGGAAGTGGCAGTGGCAGCGGCAGCCTTGATCTCAGCCAGATCAGGGGTCTGGGAGGGGATCACGGGAGTGTTGGTGTACAGAGTCTTGGTGTTTCCAGTGAAAGCCTGAGTCTGGGTCTCTCCGAGACCGGGAGTGAAGCCAGCAGCGGCGACAGTGGAGGCGAGAGCCAGAACGGTGAGCTTCATTGTAGGTATGAGGAGTGACACTTGGCGATGAGATACGGATCTTGGCGCATTATGTAGGTCTTGGCAGTCTTTGTTTGAGTCGGAAATGAGCGGTAAACAAGGCCTGTTTGTAGCGATAGGGTTTTTCTACGGAACCTTGGCCTCGACAGTTTGGTAGCAAGAGGCCTAGGTGGATGAGTGGTTCTGTAACTTATGTGTAGTTTCTTGCTTCCAAACGAATCAATCACGTCCAGCTATTTGCAGGTATGTTTTCGCAGCCCCCCCTCCTCCAGGTATCGGACAGATCAACCCCTCTACACGCCACACGCGTGCGGCACGAACCCGAAGACTAACCCAGGCACAGCCAATGATCGTCGCTTCATTAGATACGATGTAAAGGTTCATCTCCACGTGGGAGGAATCTGTGTTCTCGCTGGCCATCAAGATTGAAATGATACGGTTTGTACGATGAAGCAGTTACCAACTTACGCTTGGAACAGACTCCACCTATATGTAATAGGTTCAAGTAGCTATAGAGGGACCTTCGATTATAACGCTGAGGTGACCGTACATTCTACAACACGTGGATTGGCAATCATACGGGGTTGTTTACTAGCACAGAGTATGCGGGCCCAGAGATACGGAAGGCTCTCGTGAGGCACTTCCGCGGGTGCAGCTGATGCGAATACCAGGTTTGGTAACTGAAGAAGAACCTGTTATGTCGATGGAAGGGGGAAAACATGTGGGTCTGAAAGGAGGGTCTTGGCACATCCACAAGGGATCATTAATGAAAAAAAAATTGCTTTGGTCCGGTTGGGGGCCACTATGGAACCAACTAATAGTTATCATGGTGCGCCGTTCTGGCAGAAGGTTCACGGTTAGTGCCCGTTGGAAGTGGGCGGTGGAGGAGATGCTCGCGTGACAGAGGGCAAGAGGGGATGAGAGCATGGAAAACTGTAGACTTCTTCGAAGTAGGCCAGCTCGAGGACAACTGGAGAGGTATCTGTCTTGCTACAGGCGTCACTGGACATACACTCCTTTCAATCTACTGTATGATTAATTATACCTCGCGTCAAGCTGTACTCAATTTCTATACGTCCACAGAGTTACGTCTGAGAGAACTACAACCAACGGTTAGGTTACAGTGACTTGGACGTATCAAGATGGCGGCAGAGTTCCGTGCAGTAATTACTTATTCTCGAACAACCAACCACACTGAAGTTCGAAGACAGGTTGCGTGGGGGTGAAGTCGACTGAGCAGTTCCATGGAATCTTGAACGTTCTTGTACTTTTACGTGAGACAAGGGTTCTTAGAGCTATTGCATTTATTAAACGGGTTCTCAGATGCTATTTCATGACCGATTAATGCCTGTGACTTAATAATAAGCCGGCTTAACCGACATCTGGACTCCGTATCTGTAGCTCATTTCTTGACCACCTGGAGACAGGCAGTGATGGTGACTAGCTAAACAAAAACCGAAATATGCCTCCAAATAACAAGTCCATGAGTTGGTTTTAGCACCAACTGTTCTCTCAACTGACCCGGTTATTACGGGGTGGCGTCCAAAGATAGTTGTTTGTCTTCTTGGCGGAGTAGTGTGGCTTCCGAACGCCAACGACGTTGTCTTTGGAATGGGAAATCTCTTGGACCAAAATACCGGGTGAATTCAGTTAAAATATGTTACGGCGGCAGCTCCTTAAGGAACAGCGACTCCATTCGGGACAGATTCGTCTTGAAACTATCAAGGGTCTTTCAGTCATGTCTTAAAAGCTTAACTAGAAGTAATTATACATATCAACTAGGATTGTTAGACATCGTCGACAGTCAGCCTTCTGGTTCATTTCAAAGGTTATTCTTTCACAGCAAAGTTATAATTAAATGAATGTATATGCAGAAAAAAAAAAAAAAAGGTATACAGTACGCAGGAGTTCAACTAGAAAGAATTAGCAATCACTGAAGGAGTATGGAGCCATTCTGAGTGTTGATGATGAATTCTAGCCAAGAATCTTTTCATTGTTAACTTTTGCAGGGGTCCTGAATCCCGTACTAGAATAGAAATCCCTATTAGGGTTCTGGGTAGGATGAGGTGAGAATTCTGATACATGCAAAATATTTATCCTCTAAAGAGTTGGTCTACCAAAAATGTACAATTATGGTATCATAATGATGCTCTCAATCATCTTATATAACGAGAAATAATATCTTGATTTCATAGCCGGACCCACTCATACCCTAATACAACTTCCTATTTGGAATGACTCGATTTAAGCGCTTCCTGCGGCGCAGAAAAGTTTTACTTTCCACAATCCACAATCTTAGCAAGGCTGAATTAGCACCGTTGTGGCGCTAACAGGTCTGAGGTCTAATGAAAGTGCAGGAGGGGGCCATGGAAGATGAAGCGACAGGGACGAGCATCTCTCTGGGGTTGCATTTTACGTGGGTCTCATCTGCTCGGAGAATTATATCAACGTTTCTGTGCCGCTTCTGATCAGACAGCGACGTTAAACGAGCTCCGCAAATCACCGGTATGTTTCTGTACTATTGCGCTGACAAGTCCAAAGAGGGTTCGTTTCAGTAGAACCATTCTTAGATTTCGGGCGTTACATGTTTAATTTAGTCTCGTTGTTGATACAAACCCTGTCTTGTGAGACAGTTCGTAGATATCATGTGTGATGGATTTGGAATATTCTGAGTCCGAGATCATGCAGCATCATGAAAAATTGTAGGAGGTGTGTTTTACCGTCTTTCACCATTCTTTTGTAAGCAAGTCCGGTACAATACAATGCAGTAAGGTAATTATACAGTGCCCGTTGGGCTACAATGCCTACTAACCGCTTAGACCTACAAACAGACGCTAGCGAAACAGAGGGGAACGGAACAGAGACACAGCCCTGAGACACCACAAGAACGAGGGGAGATGGAAAGCATAAGGGCTCGAACCTGAGTTCCTGAGTCACACGATCTCTATATGGCGCATTACAAATGATCTTCTCCACACTAACGAAGTTTTAGGTCCTGTTGTTGCTCAGAGACACTAATGCTGGGGTTCAGGTAATGACAGTAGTATGTACTTGTAGTAGTTTGAGTGATATAATTACTGTTCTTGGAGGCGCAAGAAACCACAACTGTTTCAAGTTTGGTATTGAGGGCTTTCTTGTGCCCAGGAATACCCTGGGGGATAAAAGTGACACATGCAATCATACGTCAGATAATGTGTATCTGGCATGTATCTCTGTCTATATCTCACTTGTTGGACGTTGTCAAAACCCGAAAACCTCACCACAAGGCGACCCACATGAGGGTCCACCTACATTCGCCTTACATGAATGGTCATCACAGGTATGTACATGTCTGATGTGCTTGAGAACTGCGTCGCTTAGAAATGTGCGACAACGGCGCCATTATTGTGATTCAACGGTTCTACTATCCGCGCCACGACACATCCTGCCCAGCATCACCGTATTCTGCTTCGAACTCCTTTCAATTGCCGATATTGCCGTGTCTCAGAAGTGCCGTGTATAATGTAGATCTCTATTTTATGGCCCGGTCAGAAACCGTAACAGAAGCAGTCGACCACCTCCGAATCTTCTGAAGAAGCTTAGAAGACCATCATTCCACACGTAGCTACACTACGAGTACATGCTGTACATACCCCAAACAAGCTACCCCAAAATAGCTGTCCTTCTAGTTGTGCATATCCACTAATAGTTGTATAGCAGTTTCCGGAAAAATGGAGCTGCATTTCATTTCGTTTCATATCATTTCATCTCGGCTCTGTCCACATCTTGTCCTTTTCATTTCCTATGGATCAGATAAAGGGTTCCGGCCTCGCCTGCCGTTTTGAGTTGCCCAAACAAGGTCTTTCACCAAAGTTCGACTAAGACAAAGAGAAAAATTTGTCCGGCAGGCACGGAAGCGCAGGTTACATGCATCTCCAGAAGGTGTGGCTTGAATGACGCAAACGTCTACTTCACGCCTGCATCGCGTGACCTGGACCAAGGGGCCTGTGTAATTCGTTTATAGATGTGTTCTCTTGGCGTCTGGAACCTCCCGCCCGATTGAAATCGCTTAGAACTACGGGGACACCCTGCTCACCCATAGCTGCAGCTTCCGCCTAAATTTTCCTTTATTTAACCTCGTGAAAATCAAAACTGAAAAGCCCCCGGTGAGGCTCGGAGTCAGAAATGAGCCTTGTCGGAGTCATGTGACTTGTGCTAATCGAGGGCCTCCGCCAAACTTTACGCCTCTCGACAAAGGGAAATGAGAGTTTAGCGGAAAAATAACCTATGCAACAACCGAGCTGAAAACGTTATCTGTTCTCAGGGCATCTGTAGTGCAACCCATCATTTTTCTCATATATTGGGCCCATTCGCGATTATTTCCTCACGCGCATTACTCTGGGTCTCGACGAATTGGTGTGGCATTTTCTCAGTGAAATTTTCCGCATTCTTTTACCCAAACTCACCCGTCTATAACCACGACAAACTAACCACCCTTCCGAGCATCCACAGTTTCTACGACTACTCGTGGCTTGGTGGCTTTTTTTTTCGTCTGCTTGGCTTTTCATTGAACTCTGAAAAACGATTCACATAAAAAGGGACAGACTCTCTCTCAGTCCATTTCTCCAAATACGCAAACCATGGGTCTCAACTTCATTAACAAATTGACCAAGTCAGCGTCACCTTCGTACGACGAAAAGGAGCGAGAAAACGTCTCCGTTAACTCTGCCGATGGTCTCGGTACCGAGCCTCGAATTATGGAGGCTGGAGACCCCCATGGATCCGACTCCTCAATTCTCAATCTGGGTAACGGAGAAATCATTGACAAGACCTCTGATGACCGAAAGCAGATTGGTGTCATGTCTGCTGTCTTCCTAATTTTCAACCGAATGGTTGGAACCGGTATCTTCGCCACCCCCTCTACTATCTACCTGCTTTCTGGATCCGTTGGACTCGCCCTCATCATGTGGGTTGTTGGAGCTCTGATTGCTGGAGCCGGTCTCATGGTCTACCTCGAGTGGGGTACAACCATCCCCAAGAACGGAGGAGAGAAGAACTACCTCGAGTACGTCTACCGAAAACCCAAGTTTCTAATCACAGCCATGTTCGCTTCCTACGTGTTTCTGCTCGGATGGGCTGCTCCCAACTCCGTTATCTTCGGAGAGTACATTCTGAACGCCGCTGAGGTTGAGGTCACCCGATGGAACCAGCGAGGTATCGGTCTTGGATGTCTGTCTTTCTGCTTCCTCATCCACTCTATCTCCGTAAAGTGGGGTCTGCGACTCCAGAACTTCCTCGGTGTCTTCAAGCTCATTGTCATTGCTCTGATCACAATTGTCGGCTGGATTGCCCTGGGAGGAGGTCTCAAGCACGTCAAGGACCCTCATGCAAACTTCCGAAATGCATTCTCAGGCTCTGAGAAGGCCACTGGATACGGTATTGTCATGGCTCTCTACAACGTCATCTGGTCCTTCATTGGATACTCCAACGCCAACTATGCTCTCTCCGAGGCCAAGAACCCGGTTCGAACCCTCAAGATTGCTGGTCCCCTCGCCCTCATCATGGTTGCCATTTTCTACATGTTCTGTAACATCTCCTATTTTGCCGTCGTCCCCCGGGAGCAGATTGGTGAGTCCGGACGAATTTTGGCTGCCACCTTCTTCCGAGTGGCTTTTAACGAGTCTGCCGAGAAGGCCATGTCTGTCTTTGTTGCACTTTCTGCCCTGGGTAACGTTCTTTCCGTCATTTTCTCGCAGGGCCGAATTATCCAGGAGCTTGGTCGAGAGGGTGTACTGCCTTTCTCTTCTTTCTTTGCTTCCAATAAGCCCTTCAACTCTCCTTTCCCCGGTCTGTTCGAGCACTACTGTGTCTCCATTGTCATTCTGCTGGCCCCTCCTCCTGGAGACGCTTACAACTTCATTTCCAACTTGATCACATACCCCCTTTCGGCCATTAACGTGGTTGTGTCCCTGGGTCTGCTTTGGGTCCACTTTGACAGATGGCGACACGCCCGAAACCCCAACCTGCCTCCTTCTATCTTCGCAGACTTCAACCCTCCCATCAAGGCCACTATCCCCGTCACCATCTTCTTCATGCTGGCGTCTCTTTACCTTGTGGTTGCCCCCTTCCTGTCTCCTGATGCCGACCAGTCCGTCTACAAGGATCTGCCCTACTGGCTGCATTGTGTGGTGGGAATCGCTCTTTTCGCTGCTGGTGCCGTCTACTGGCTCTTCTGGGCCATCATCTTCCCCAAGCTGTTTAACTACAAGCTGGTGAAGCAGACAGTCATTGGATCCGACGGTTGGTCAAGAACGGTTATCACCCGAGTCAAGAACGGCGAGATTGGTGAGGGCGAAGAGTTCTAAGGACTTGCCTAAACCAAAACAAAACAAAACAAAAAAAAAACTCCCCTAAAAAAAAGACTCTCCAGTCAGCATTTGCATAGGTGTGAATCCAACCTCACACTGTCATTGGTCCTCTGAGTTAAGGTCCATGAATGTCACTCCTAACAACTTATTTATTTAGTTTTGCTTCAACAGTTAATGTGAACCTGTTCACTGGCTTTACCCAGTGTACAATGAAAAAACCACTTGAAAGATGTAGACTGTGTGTAATTTGTATAACCTGTGGCTTACTTAAGCTAAATTTTTGTTAAAAGAAAAGAGTGATAATAGTTCAATGAATTGTTGCGCCACAGAAATATTAGTCGGGACGATCGTTGCTGTCGACATGACGACTTTGATTTGCAAGTCAATTATGAATTCGTATTGTGTTTCGGAGTTTCAGAAGTTCCACAGATATACAGTCCATCGTATTAAGCGAAACCCTAGTCGAGATAGCATTCCAGACAGTTTCACCTCATTTGGACATTTTCACAGTTTTGAAGGGGTGTGGAGGATCAGCATATGGAATGGAAGCTCTAATTGTGGGGATTCAGGTTATCCAGTTTATATATACTCGCAAAATTGCTATCCAGTTGCCCAGGCTTGAGAAGTAGTACCTTCAATTGACCAAGGCTAGGTATTTGTACCCGCGTCTAATGATGACATAACTAGTAAGGGGATATGGGATGCTTCAGAGATGCTATCACCCAACTTCTGACTACTTCTGACTACTTCTGACTACCAAATCCCTGTTTTATTAGAAGCTATCCATCCTATCTCCGACCAGAATGGCACCATGAACATGGTTAGAGCTGTACTCTCACTCGGACAAAACTGTGCGCCTGAATGCCTCTCCCTCCGCTTCAAAAAGAGAGATTTAACAAGTGTGGCAACAGCTTTGCCTGAAATGAACAGACGGCACTTATCGATAACCGAAATTGCCAGTCATACTCAGAGTTACGTTGGTGTGGCTTGCGCCGAGGTAGTTAGGATTACACCTTCACTAGTGCCATGATGGGCATTCCCTTCTCACATAATCGAAGTATAACAGATGTGGCTTGAGATACAACATACTCGATGGCAGACAACATCCGAGAAAACAACCTGTCAGTGCGTTGAAGGTGGAAGGAGTTTGCGTGGAAGTTGAGTTAGCCATTATGGGCCTTGCGTTATATCATAGTTTATCTTCTTGGTTAATGGCTCGCTAGAGAACACATAAGGAGTGGTGATTAGTCGTACAGACTGTTGATAGTAGGCTGCAGCTTTCAGTGGTGTCTAAACCGTGTATGTGTGCGAGTGACGCTGCCATGGTCTACACCCAAACGCCGCCTCTTCTAGGATGGAACACCCTAGTACCGTTGCTAAAGAAGGGAATACCTGTTTGAACCGTTCGACAAGACGATGTTAGGTTTAGCTGCGAAAAGCTTTGGTCAGAGCAGTTGCCCAATGCAGTGCAACCTGTAATATCTGTTGAACAGCCGATTGACTACAAGGAGATTTCATATAGATATGGACTTCGTGTATAGCGGGACGGTATTGCGGGACGGAGTCACATTAAACCAGTTGATTGTGACGTCTTAGGCTAATTATAGCTCAAACAGCATGCGATTATCACTGAGTCGTGTCTGACTTACACTGCTTTGTCATCCGCCTTACAGTCATCCAAAGTAGGTGGATTTTGACATGTACTGTATATGAACAAAAGTGATAGAGTGATAGTTTCCTGAAAGATTTAGACAACTTCTGTCCAACCAGCAAATGAATCGTTAACGTGAACAGTTTGAGGCTGCGAGACTGGCAGGTAGGTGTAGACGAGAAAGTATCACCGCTTGGGCTTCTTGCGGCAGTTCCTTCTGTGACCCCCAGGTTAATAACTGATTGGCTACTAACCCAACTTCGAAGCGTTAGCACCAGCAACGTGACCCTTGCCCATGGCCACTGAAGTCATCAGTTTCGTAGAGTGTGCGAGGGACTACTAGTACAACTTTGTTGGTTATCGTCCAAAGGGAACGAGAGGAGGAGAACACACTATTGGGACTGCTGTTCTTTGAGAAACCAAGAAAAAATACCAGAATTGTATCGAATAGTTTGTAATTTTCACCCAAGCACATCTAGATAGTTATCAAAGCCTTCAAGCCAAAACACGAGGGTACTGGCGCTCTTCACGGAGTTGAGACTGAGATCATATGGCCCAGACGAGCTGCAGATTTGATTCGACAGCTCCGGGATCATGAAGGTGTCTAAACCGCACTGCTGGCAGAACGCCCTCAGATACGATAAAGGAACACGACTGAACGTCCAGTCTGAACCTCCACAACTCAGCCGTCCCACACTTGTGCATGCTTACAGTAACTTCGGAACAGAGATGCCGAACTAGTAGAACTTGTACTGTAGGTAGAATTCATCATGTAGAATGAATTTTACAAGTGTGAATTATGAAGTCAGAAGTCATAAAGGAACAGATGTATTGGCAACCCATTATCTCATCGCTTGTGAAACGTAGTTTGCTCCTCTGCATGCTTCAGCCCTCCATCTATAGCAACCGAAAACCTCTCTCTCACCACAAACCTTAGTCCAATAGAAACATGCGGAACGGCCCGTTACAAGTCGTGCATAAAACAGTAATAAAAGTGAAACCGGTTAATATTGTCCGTCTGCCATGCATGTTGGACGTGTGGTTCAGACGTGTGGTTCATTGTTTCTGATAAGTTCAAGTACAAGTACAAGTATAGGGCAAGGATAATATCTCGCACATTTTGAGGGCCCCTATTTGGCACGCGGGCGTGTTTAGTATATGTGGGGAGCCCTAGTGTATGTTGTGCGCAGGTGTCTGTAACCAGACTGGGGTCGATCACCTAAGAAGACAAACACTAGCGACTGGTGAGCTCCTGTAGCGTGTGCGGCACGTCGTGTTTATCGGAAGACAACATGCCAGGCCTCACTACACCCCTCGCCAAGTAGGCAGTGCTACCTTATGTACCAATACCTGTACTGTCGTTGGGGTGACGTGTATGCTTGGGTCACCTCCGTCCCCTCTTGGCAATGACTGTTGGGCAATAACAATGGAGACGAGGATCTTCGAAATCGACGTGAACAGTAAGATAAAGCCAGGGTGATTTAACTCACGAGACCCTGTAACCCGGTGGTGTCCGTCAGTGGCGGAACAACCAGTTCCCCGAATATGTTTCTGGTTCCATGGAACAGTCAACCATCGTTTGTCAGCGCTCCGTGCACAGCTTTGACAGTCTGTCACACAGCTCCTGGATGTGCATCGAAGCCCCCTCCACCTGGTGCCACCTTATCACCAGGTGGAGGGCGAATTAGGGCTTGGAAAATGTCCATGCTGGCTGGATTGGGACGTTGGCAAGGAAACAGATACGAGGGATTTCTGTACAAGTGACACAGCGGAGGTTTTGGAGCGAAAAAACCAAACGTTGCAGCTGGGCGCCCGCTCACCTCAACCGTCAGATGTGGTATATCAAAACAACGACCAAAAAAATTTAGCTATTATACAACCCTGCAGGAAGGGGGCAAGGTGTTGATAAAGGAAGTTGTCCCGGGAGGTGTAGCAATGAATATAATCGAATCTGGTGGATTTAAAATAAGTTATTCGGCCACGCCAAATCGATTAAATCCGCCTCAACTAGCAGCACCCCCCAGTAAACCCCTATTCAACAACCTACACGTCTCGCTTGTTCATCATGCACAAGGAGGAAAATAGACGCACGTCTGGCAGCTGTGTTTTCATCCTCTGTCTTTAGTTTTTGATAATCGTGCCTTCTAACCAAGAGACCCTTGGTTTTCACACTAGCCGCGAACCCCGGCCTCAGACAGCAAAACCACCTGTTTGTCTTCCCCGCCTGCGTGGAAACCTCCCACACGTGATCCACCTCTACAAAACGCGCTAACCGGGTGCTGATTCGAATCACAAATACGACCCACTAGCTAGCACTATCGGCACACTCGTCGCACCACCACAAAATCACAATGCTACGACGCAGATCTTCAGCATCATACCCACAACAGTCGCTGCCCAAAACACAGGGGACCTGGCAGCCGTCCACAATGACGCAGGGAGTGCGGACCAAGGCCCGGTTCTATCTCAGTCGCATGCCGCTCAAAATCCTGGCTGTTCTCGCAGCGCTGCTCATCACAGCCGGCTTTGTGACATTCAACTTGCGCCACCCGGCCGAGCAACAACCCGGCGGAAACAAGCAGTACATCAAAGAGATTGTGTTTGAGAACCCAGCACTACATGGACCCTTTGTGGCTGGCTGCAGACCGATCGTAGCTAATCCTGAAGACAAGGTCAACGCGGCGTTTGTCGTACTGGCCCGAAACCAGGACCAGGAGGGCCTACTGTCGTCCATCGCTTCGCTAGAACGGCATTTCAACCAGTGGTACAACTACCCTTACATTTTCCTCAACGACGAGCCCTTCAACGCTACCTTTAAGGCCGCAATCTCCAAGTCCACCGCTGCTAAGACGGAATTTGGAGTTATCCCCGACTCTCTGTGGGACTTCGACGACAGCGTCGATCGAAAAGAGCTCAAGAAAGCGTTGCAGAACCAGGCGGACCAAAATGTCATGTATGGCGACTCGGAATCGTACCACAAAATGTGCCGATTCTACTCGGGCAAGTTCTACGACCACCCGCTACTCAAGGACCTTGACTGGTACTGGCGGCTGGAGCCCGACGTGCAGTTCTTCTGCGACCTGACCTACGACCCCTTCCGATACATGCAGGACAACAACAAGGTGTACGGCTACAACATTGCCATCAAGGAACTCAAGGAGACGGTGCCTAACTTGTGGCGATACACCAAGTCATTCAAGCAGAAAAACAAGATGCAGTCCAAGGGTATGTGGGAAATGTTTCTGCAGACAGCGGAGGAGCGAGAACAACGAGGAGGCCACCCTCTCAAGGACGCTCGAATGTCCGACAAGAACGACAAGGTCAAGGGTAAGGCTGAAACTAACAATCCCACCTCCAAGCGGTTTGCTGATCCTGATTACGAGGATATGGGAGAAGAGGCCTACAACATGTGCCACTTCTGGTCCAACTTTGAGATTGGAAAGCTCTCCTTCTTCAGATCCAAAGAGTACAGAGACTACTTTGACTACCTCGAGGAGAAGAAGGGTTTCTGGTCCGAACGATGGGGAGATGCACCCGTACATTCCCTAGCCGTGGGTCTGTTTCTGGCCCCCTCCGAGGTGCATTATTTCCGAGACATCGGATACCAGCATTCGGACATTTTCCACTGTCCTTACAACGCCAAGGGCGCCCAGTTGCCTCCTCCCGAGCGGTACTGGGAGGGCGTTTCCAAGCGAACCGGTCTCAAACTGACTGACGAGCAGATCAAGGAGGACGAGAAGTGGCTGGTTCCCGACCCTGCGGAGGAAGGCGGCGTGGGATGCAGATGCATTTGTCCTCTGGATAAGGCAGCGTTCATCGAGCCGCGAGACGGAAGTTGCATTGCTCACTGGGTTGAGACCAGAGACAAGGGGTTGTGAAGGATGTAAGATAAGTGTGCGAATGGGACATGGCATAGAACGAGGAGGAGAGAGGGGTTGGAGAAGGTAAAAGAACATAGCAAACGGACATAATTAATACTACCCTCTTTGTGAGCTTAATGTGGGTTATCACATAAAATCCTCACCAAGTCTAGTGTTCTATGCCCTTTAACAGTGTACAACAATAAGTTTTAAAGACGGAATATATGAGGGGTGTCTAGTATGCAATGACCCATGATAGTTCTTCAGACCCTGTACAGTAATCAATGAATAAGTTATTTACGGAGGTTTTTCAGGAGTAGGAGCGGTTAGTAGCCGGTAGCGGGCTTGGTGCTGTTGAATTTCTTGGGCAGGTACTTGACCTGGTCTGGGCAGTTGTTCTTAGGAATAGTATCATCGACAGGAGTGTACTCGGCGGAAGGAATGGCACCCTGGATATGAAAGTAGTACCAGACCTCGTTGAGGGCTCCGGACTTGTCACAGGCAATGTGTACCTTGGAGTTGGAGTGGTGGTACTTGAGCGCGGCCTCGATGTCCTGCTTGGGGTAGGTCTTGTCATCAGAAGGCCAGATGCCCTTGGATCCGAGGAACCCGAAAGTGTTGAGCTCCTTCTGGAGAGCGATGGCAGTTCGGGCGTAGTCTGCAACATTCTGGTGCTTGTCAGTGCCCTCCTTGTAACAGCTGGGGTTGAGGGTGGACATGCAAGTTCCGTGCTTGTTCCACTCGTGCTCCCAGAAGGACTCATTGTCGCCGTCGTCAGAGACCCAATGCTCGTTCATGTAGTCGAGCAGAGAAGGCTCGAGCTTCTTGATGATGTCGGTCACGTTGGACACCTCCTGCTCTTTGTCGCAGTATTGCTGATAAGTGCCGTCACAGTTGTCGGGCCACAGTCCGTGGAGGGTGAAGGCATCCTCGGGGCCGAAGCCGGGATCGTAGTCCCAGAACTGGGCTAGGAGAACGAGTCCACCAGGCTGCTGAACGCAACAGAGAGAGTCCTTGTCGGTGATCTCCTTGGAACAAGACAGGGGAAGGTCAGCGTTGGCAGGACAGTCCTTGTGGAGAGGAGCCGAGAGCTCAGGCTGAGTGAAGAGTCGGTAGACAATGGGGACACCACAGGCGGGCTGCTCCTCAGCAACAACAAAGGAAGCGAGAAAGGCAACAAGAACAGAAGAGAACTTCATGGTAACGAGCGAATAGAGCTGGCAACAAAGTGACAGGGCTTGGTATACCTTGGCGAGATGACCCAAGATCGACTATCGCACGCTACTTATATTTGCATCGTTACATACGGCGCACTCCTTAACAAAGACTAGAGTTGGCCGTCTGTCAATCGGTGTCTATGGCTCTGCCAATCATTGATGTTATCAACAAACCGTGCCTGTGTTTAGCTGTCTCAGGAGGTTAACTTTGAGAGGATAGTGCCCTCCGATAGGGGCTCTTGGGACTAATTACAGATCTAGAGTAACTAGGGTCAGGTCAATCGAACGGGAAAATAAATCTCCACCGTTTTTGTATATTACCTGTTCCGTTCTCCTCTCCATTCACCCTCATTTTTTTCACCTCCCACTCATCGACACGGCTCCGTAAACAAAAATAAACTCACAGGTTGTACATGAACACGGTCCCAATTAGTGCACTCCAAAAGAGCTTGTTATTCCGCGCCCTGGTTGCCTTTTCGTCAACTCGCTTCTTTTAGCCCCATTCTTTCCCCGACAACCACGTGTATATAAGTCACGTGGCAAGTTAGCGGTGAAGTAGCGCTTCAGACTCACACACAACCCAACGTGTTTGAAATTGGCACCAAAGTAGCTCAGTGCTAACGTAAAACGTGACTCGTCTATTGTCTTGGCAGGAGAACCGATGTCCAAGAAACTGCTTTCCGTGGGGTGGAAGAAATCGAGCAATCATCGATAAATGGTAGATGCTTTGAGCCCTTCAAATATTGGCCCATCTAGCCCCCAACATTCCAAGATGAAACTGTCATCCAGCTGTCATTGTCAGGACAGGGATGTCTCCTCCTACGAGTAGTCGCATTATGCCGTACACTATCTTCATCTCACGCTTGTCACATGCCGAGGACCCCTCCACACGCGCACTGCAAACGGTCTACACTGCCTCCCAAAGTAACAAGCCGTCTTCTATTGGTTCCTCAGGTATTTAACACGTGGTTCAAGCTAATTGTACTGTACCAGACTGTACCATTCACCCAGGCTCTCGACATGTTCCGAGAATGTCAACCTTCCGAGCATAACACCTGCATAGTAAAGCGTGATAACAAATCCTGGCTCGCTTTTCCTACACCTCATCTACTACTTGTAGATCTACATATCACCCTGTTCAACATCAATTATTTTTCATTCATTAATATCAATTATAACATCTAGTCTCTTACCAAAAAAATTCCTCCGCTCTTGACCATTGTCGCGCTGACCGTCGTTTGAACGTCTTGTTGATATGTATGATGTCATCAAGTCAGTTAGTGGTATTGTCTATATGCAAATAAATACTGTTAAGCAGGAATAATGTATGCTATCATCACAATACTTATCCCGGAGGTATGTGTATGTATGTGTAAAAAATTATGCCTTGGACTCCTTGGAGTGCTTGACTCGAATGTGTCGAGACAGAGCATCCATTCGGCTAAAGGTCTTGCTGTCGTCTCCACAGTGCTCGCACTTGTACGTCTTTCGAACAGCAGCATGAATGGTATCCTGGTGTCGAATCAGATCATAGGGTCGAGAAAACACCTTTCCACAAGGGCTTCCAGAAGAATCCATATGCTCGCACAGATGCACTCGTCCCTCGGACTGGCCGGTCACCGGCTTTCGTCGTCGAGTTCGTGCGACAGGCTCAACAGTAGACACTGAGTCCGTGTCGTTGAAGCCAGGCGAAGATGTGGTGCTGCTGGAGGAGGGCTCAAACAAGTAGTCGGAGTCCTTGCCGAGAGAGGTTGTGCTGGGGTTGGATTCGTACAGAGTGTCTTCCAGCGACAACGACGAAAAGTTTGGAATGTTGGGGTTGTGAGGCGAGACGTCAGCAGGACCAGAAGTGCCAGCGGGACTAACAGGCTCCTCAACGAGGGGCTCAGGCTGATAGACAGGCTGCTGCTCGATATGCACGTGTTGGGGCTGGTCGAGCTGCTGAGGCTGTGTCTGTGTCTGGTGCTGGAGGTCCATCTGCTCAAGAGGCTGCTGCTGAAGATGCTGCTGCTGCTGCTCGAGAACAGGTGGCTGATGCTGGTAGGGAGTATGCTGGGTGTGGAGAGTGGGAGTATCGTACTCGAGAGGAGGAGCCTCGAACTGGTCGAGGTCGATATCCAGATCCATATCCTCGTTCTCCATGTACTCATGCAAATCGTCAAATTCGTCACACATCTCATCGTCGTCGTCGTCCTCCACCTCGGGAGCAGCGTCGTAATTGAGGTCAATCTCATTGGTGTAGGGAACAAACTGCTGGGGCTGCTCGTTGTTGATGAAGAACTCCAGACCCTGATCCTCGGGCTGACCGGCGTAGAAGTTTGCGTTCAGGTAGTCCCAGGGAGTGGAGCTGTTGTTCTTCTTGAGAAGCGAATCTGCAGGAGCAAGAGTCTGTGCAAAGTTGTTGTCGTTGAGAGGCAGCATATCTTGGTTGCATGGGTAAGGGTATTGGGGCTTCATCAGGTAGGAGTAATCCATCTGAGGGTCCATGGCCATGTTGTTATCCATGTTCATGTTGTAATGCTGCTGCTGTGTGACGTCCAGGGTGCCGGGGTTGTACTCGGTGAACTGGTCACTCTGCTGAGTCTGGACCGGCGTGAGGTTGGGAAAGTACTCGTCAGATGCTATCATAGGAGACTGTGGGTTTGTGGAATGGACAGAAGTCGAGCTGGAGTTGTTGGTTGAGTAGAGACTGAGTCCGTTGTTCTTGGGAGTCAACTTGGGAGAATGGGGTAGGTCGAAGTTTCTAGAACCGTCAGTTGTGTTCATGTGAGGTGCAGTGTTTGGACTGCTGTGGTAGGAACTGCGATTTTCCTGTTCCTGTCTGTGCAACTTACTGTTGTGGTAGTTACCGGTTCTGCTTAGTAATGAAGGGAACCGCAAATTAATTTCTTTGTATGTGCTGCGATGTCGTCTGTGACTCGCGGCGTTTCGAAGTGTAAATTATTCTTGCTTGGTCGTTTGTGTGTTTGTGGTCGAAAACCTGGTTTTTGGGGCTCGTTCGGTGGCAAATGTCTTCTATATAAATGGGTGCGGCCTAAGTTTAAGTTCGGTTTAATTTGTAAGTAAGTTCATTGTGGTGGTGGGAGATGGAAACAGAAAGTGGGAGGAGGAAGAGTGCCGAAGGGGTTGGAAGCGGATGGAATAAGGATGCATGGTTGTCCGAGAGACATTCTTTTGCAAACGTGACGGTTTGGAAGCAACAAACAGACCGTGTTTATACTCCAATTTGTCCCATACCCCCACTACCGGGTCAACTCTGGCTGAATATCTCCGGTGTTTTACACTGCCTTGTTGCCGTTGTTGAATGCGTCATGCAAGCATGAGTGGGGTTAGCTTAGTTGGAGCCTATGTGCATCAAACACGATGAAGAGGATAAACACAGGTTACAGGAGGTTACAGGAAACAAAGCCCCGTACTGATGAGCAGTCATGGATATGACACAGCCTATCTCAACCCCATGTGTTTCATTTGACCCTGTCTTCAACACACAAGCCGTATGTTGTTTGTTATGTTCTGGTCGGCAAGCAATAGCACGCCTCTCTAGCGTCTGATTATGTTACCGGCTCCATTCACCTCGGATGAGGAACTAAAGATACCCGAGCCCTTTAGCTCCAGCCAGAAGACGTCCCCAGTCCTTCCGCCATAAGGCTATTTCACATGGATATTTGCGTTTGTTGGGCTCCTTCAGATATAGTGATGCCAATAACATTGACACGGCAGTGGGCATCGAAGAGACGAGCACATATCTCAAGCACAATCTTTTAGACAAGGCGCAAGGAAGATGCACGCCATTGGCATCTGTGAATTGTATCAGGTCAGAGAAGCAGCCGAAGCTAATCTGCAGCTGAATGGTACTTGTTTTTCCACTCCTGCCTATCAAGGGGTAAAATACCACCCTACTTGATGCCTCTTATCAAGCCACCATGTTGCAATAAGATAAGAAAGTGCTTCCACCGCCTTCTGACACAAGACACACCTATTGGGACAACCCCTTCTTTTTGCCACCCAAAGTTTATTTCCCCTAAGGTATAACCCAATGCCGCTTAGAGCAACACGAGCAACTCTGTTTGCTATTATTAGCCCTCAGAATATTTGCCACTGAGATTAGCCATTATAGCCGACAGTCGATGTGTAAACAATACCCCATGTGAAACAATTCGGCTCCGATATAGCCAAATTTTCTGTTTCTTTTTCCGAAATAATCTGCCAACCAAAACACCGGCTGGAATTGCTATCCCCGATCCGTCCCTCTCGGATGTAACATGCCGTCTCCGTGTTCCACGATCCACACTTACAAATTGGTCATGTGGCCTAGAAGCTGCGCAATTAAGGTTGGGTGACTCTTCCTGCGGCTGAAATCACGTGACCACCGAAAACGACATGTCACGTGCGTGTCCTCAAATATAAAGGTCCTATAATTGCGCTCAAAAAACCAGTATACACTCGGTTCTGGAATCTTCCTACTTTTTTTCCTCTTACAATCGCTCTTCTCTCTGACTCAGAAAATGACTCGTCGTCAGCTTGTGCATATTAAAATTCCTGCATACGAAGTCCCAACCGTTTGAACCTTAAGTGAAATCATGCATGATAATGAACTACGCCATGAAGTTTCTCATTTCGTGAGAGAGATGCTTTGAGAGATATATATTAGAGGTTGGGGGGTATAGGCGGAGTGTCTGAGGTGTATTAGGGGTGCATGGTGTGAAAAATGGGGTTATGGGAGGTAATTTTAGCATATTTGAGGCGATAAAGCCTTATTTGTGACCTACGAGGGTCATTTTCCGTCTCAAAGCCTTCTCTTTGTAGAACCAAGAGAAATATACTACAGAATTATTTTTTTTCCATTTTTTTCCATCATCGCCAGCTCATTCCCGGAATTATCACATGACCCCTCTTTTTTTCGGGATCAAAAGATGTCCCTGAAAACATCGGATAGCCCGGCAGACATGATCCGAACATGTTTCAGCTCCGTGGGGGTCATCAGAACTTGGTGGAAGAAGGAGTGGCGATGGGAGAAGAAAATTTTTCACACTGACAGTGGTCACGGGTTCCTCTTTGCTGTTGAACTTGGAGTTGGTATCTCGGTGATTGATTAGTCAGACTTCAATATGGGATGGACAGTAAGTATAGCTCTACAACAAGTACATATAATACAACAGAACATGCTAGAAGGATTTGTATCATCGACAGAAAGACGCCTTGCCGACTGGTCGACTGGGGTATATCTATGTGTAAGTAACGTGCGCCTAGCAATATCAACAATATTTATCAGCCCCAAATTATTGATATCTTGTGGGAACCTTGAAGTAAGATCAACTAAATGTGTAAGTATCTACTTACCGAGGGCAGGTACTCAAAAAAAAGCTATTATTCCCGTCATAATTGTCACTACAGACTCAAATTTTTTTTCAAACATTTAATATTACAATCCTCCCTAATAAACAATAAAAAAGTTGTTAGACAGCGGCTTAACCACCGAAACCGTAAAGGGTTCGGCCCTGTCGCTTGAGGGCGTAGACAACATCAAGAGAAGTGACAGTCTTTCGCTTGGCGTGCTCAGTGTAAGTGACGGCATCTCGAATGACAGACTCGAGGAAGGACTTCAGAACGTTTCGGGTCTCCTCGTAAATCTGGGCGGAAATTCGCTTGACACCACCTCGTCGTGCAAGACGTCGGATAGCGGGCTTAGTGATACCCTGGATGTTATCTCGCAAAATCTTTCGGTGTCGCTTAGCGCCACCCTTTCCAAGACCTTTGCCACCTTTTCCTCGACCAGACATTGTAGTAGTTGTTGTGTGTGTAGTAGAAACAGAAGACTCTGTGATGAGGAGTTTACTTAGTGGGGATGGCGACCTTTATATAGCTTTGCAGCTTGGGGCAGGTCCGGAGGGTGCTTCATTTCTCGCGTGAACCTTATCCCCAGGGTGTATCGGCCCCAAAAACAAGCCATTGTGCCCTTCCTTTTCGTATGGCTATCCTGCAGTCCCCCTCTGCTAACAGCGACACATCTCTATGAAGTCCCAAAAAGGAAGGAGATTAAGGTTCTCTGTTAGCAATTGAGTTCCAGCGCGATGTGTGGGCCTCACACCCAGTAACAGCTATAGTGATGGCGGCAGTGTGGAATGTAAACACACTTTGGTTGTTTGCGTGTGTGCGCGAGTCTGTCTATGAGCTCTCTTTAGTTGGAAACGAAAGAGGGCTGAGTAAGAGGTGGAATCTGGAACAAAAACCGAATTACGAAAAAAACCAACTAATCTCAAGTAATTTACTTAGCTGATCTCCCTTAGACACTCCCCTTGCACCTTACTCAGCCCCCCAAAATATCCAACTTCACGTTATATCCCCACCACGCGACCGCGTCGTCTTTGCACCCTTGTTCGCGCTTCCAATCGCATCCAATTAATGCGTCGCGCTCTCTGCTGTGAAATCTCCCAGGGTTGGTCGCGCTACACCTCTGGTATGTGCATATATTGATCGCGCGTGGCTGGTTGGAGAATGGAACATCTACTTTTCAGTGAGGTAAAGCTGATTAATAGGATATTCACGTGATTTAGAATATTTCTGTATTTTTGAAATATCAATTTTGACCACGTCCGACTCCAAATAGCACCATATAACCAACCCCTGGTTTAGACCCACACACACTACTTACCACCTGCAGCACATCACGTAGACATCCCCGCGATCAATCGCATCAGAAACCCTAGCCCTATTTCGGGAGGTCAGCTCTCATGCAGTCACCAGCTCCCCTAACCCTATTTCTCGTTCTCCTAACAGCGCTATCAGAGATTCGCTATCAGAAACTCTAAATTTATTACCGGATTGGGGACCGATTGGGAGTTGGAGCGCCCTAACCCTATTGTTAGCACTACCCTAGCCCTATTTCAAACTCCCAACAGGCAAAATGCACCACAATTTTGACACAAAGTCCCAATACTGGAAAATCTTGACAACCAAGGGGGCCAAACATGCACCATGAATTAGGCGCAAACACGGGTATTTCGACACAACACAGCAGAGCATACTCTAAATTACTCCCGGCCAAACAACACAGCACGCTCCGCAGCAAATCTATTTAAACACTCCCACGCCCCCCCAGAAATCCTTCTTCACACAACACAACAACTCAACCACTCCAACAAACAAATACAATGGCCCGAACAAAGTCTACAGTTATTGCCCGAAAGGTCACCGGTGGAAAGGCTCCCCGAAAGCAGATTGGATCCAAGGCTGCCCGAAAGTCCGCTGCTCCTTCCAACACCTCCGGTGGTGTTAAGAAGCCTCACCGATACAAGCCCGGTACCGTCGCTCTCCGAGAGATTCGACGATACCAGAAGTCCACTGAGCTCCTCATCCGAAAGCTCCCCTTCCAGCGACTTGTCCGAGAGATTGCCCAGGACTTCAAGACCGATCTCCGATTCCAGTCTTCCGCCATCGGTGCTCTCCAGGAGTCCGTTGAGGCCTACCTTGTCTCCCTCTTTGAGGACACTAACCTGTGTGCTATCCACGCCAAGCGAGTCACCATCCAGAAGAAGGATATCCACCTTGCTCGACGACTCCGAGGCGAGTAAATGGTTTAGCTTGCTTACTTGGGTTTTATTTAATGAGGGTATTTAAAGTGTAATATTATAAATTACTAAGAAAAAACATCAACTGTACTTCGCTTAATACTTGGTTCTCCACATTCTTGAGGCTTTTAACTCGGCTAACTCAGCAGTAACTCAGCTCATTGTGCGGTATGCCATGCAACCTACTGTACGTAGAGTGCTACACCACCGGCATACTGATGTCATGGGGGGATATGTTCCTTCTGTACCTACTTCCATGCTCCACCAATGTCTCCGCGATGGAGGATTTTTCTGGTGGCGTCTATATCTATGGCGCTGTCGTTTGCCACCGTGTCCATAAATTGTAAATACCCACCAACTTCGTGTCGCCTGTTCCACCACCTTCCATAACCTACTTTTTGGAGGCGCAGAACAGCTGATACCTGATCCTCTGCGGCAGCATGTTCCAATAAAATGACCCGAAAAAGAAGAATAACGTCACGCGGCAATACAAATGTGTAAATACCGCTGTCTTAAGCCCTTTCTTATACCTTTTAGAGGCTTTGTGTCTCCGGCCACTGACTTGTAACCCCCAATTTACTTTCACTTTTGCCATAGCGTCCTTTGATTAGCCAATTGGCATGATAGGTCCAAAGGTTGAGGTTCTGAGCAACGTATACGAAGGGTTGCTCTCAATTTCGAGTGACAGAGTTTCAGCAGCATGCTAAAAAAGGTCAGGTGACTCACCCGTGTGATGGTACGTATGTGTGTCCGCAATGTATCAGATAGTATTACTAATCAGATAAACGTTGTGTACCCTGGAGAGGACATGACAACACTGGGGACGGATAATTGTCGTATGAAGAGTCAGAATATTGTCTGAATTCGTGTAATAGTTCCGATTCAACAAAATGGTGGGTCTTTTTGGGTGATCCTACGGTATCGTATTGGTGCTTCTTGTGGTGTAATCCAAAGGGGTAGGTGAACATGTCAGTGCTGAGATTTACGGGACGGCCTAAGGAGATAGATATCATTCCATGGCTATACACAAGATATACTCCAGTGGTTTGTGTACATGTTCTTTTAGCACTCTAAAAGATGCTTCTGAGGGGTATCGGCTGTTCGTGGCTCCTCACTGGACCCATGCCTCGCAATGATACTACCATATCCACAGCAAGATCGACGTTCTTCTTGGTGCTTCTGTATATTAAGTTGCTTCCTGGGTTCCCATTTCCAAGCAGTCACTTCATCTTCGTCTATACATTACTTCAGCCCTCTCCACGGTTCTCCTTGGGTCTTTTCCCATTCGTCAGATAGAGGGAAGTACCATTTCCCCCTACTAATAAATGTTCATTCGAGTTTGGACAGAATCTTTTGGACATTGGAAGGTCTCTGAATGTACCAACATCCGTTCTCTTGAAACCTATGAAGATTAGTGAGGGACCAAACCACCGTCAATACATACATCAGCTCCATATCGCCGCCAGTGATAGACGTCATAGTCCGTTTCGTTGGCAAGCAGTATACTGTAGCGGCTCAACCCACCCATACATGGTCATACTGCCGTAGTTCATGACTATCGAGGCCCAAACAGTCCCCGGAGGTCGTGCTCTCGAGGGCATACAGAAGAAGTAGATGGGGGCTTGTTACTCAGTTTTCTCACCGGTTTCATCAGGAATACTACAGGGCCGCGCACGGCGAGATCGCAGTTCTTGGGGATGTGCGCGGCCTGCAAGGCGTTGGCGGTGGCATACTGCTGGAAAGAGCCGTCGTGGGTGTATCCAGACATGTAGTCAGGTTAATCATCCTTCAGCCAACCGCAGCTCGTTACACTGAAGCAGCCCCTAAGCAAAGGCTCGTTTTTTGTCTGAACCAAAACTAGACTGATTCTGGCCACTCCAAATATCAACAAGATACTATCCCGTAGTCCAGTGGTCTCCATAAATGTGGTTCTCGAGCTTTTCCCATAATCTTTTCTTTTTTTCATTACAGTAAGCTCCGCAACTACTTGTAGTCAGGAACGCTACTGTAGATGTCATGCAGGTAAAAATAAACTGCTTGTTTAACGCACGACTCTAAAGATACGAAGAGGAAGAGAGAAGGCGCACAAAAAGAGGTTCAGGAGAGAAGCAGACATGGCAGCCACCAAGGGGCTGATAAAAAAAGGATTACAGCACCCAGGATTCTCGTATGGTCTCCCACTACAATACTAACTAGGCTCTCTGGTGCTTGACTATGGCTGATCGGACGGGAAGCCGTATTTTCACCAGGATATGGCCGTAACCAAGGACTCCGCAACGGAGAATTGAACTCCGGTCCCCCGCGTGCTGAACAGACGTTCTGACAGGCGGAAATTCTAGCCACTAAACTATTGCGGATTTTCCGTTATTTGGAAGAAAATGTTGCCTCTACACAGTGGAAAACACTGTTTTTAAGGTTCGCCACAACCTTATTTTAACAATATGTTATTGAATTTGAAATGAGTCTCGTGATTTTATTAAGTGGCAGAAAAGGAGATGTAGAATACAAAACATGAGAATGGCGGTATTGAAGACCAGAGGGCCCCGAAGAATTTACAGGTCTTAATAAAACACCCAGGACCCTAATCCACGCCAAAAAAAAACAACCTCCTCCCTGTCAGCTGTTACCCGAAATCCCACGTTTTGCTCTTTTGAGAACAGCTGAGTTTCTAGCAAGTCCACCACTCTCGCGTGTTCCACATTTTCTCATAACGGCAAAGATTTGCGCGTGTGGTCATGTCTACTCTCCCCGCTATCGAGTTGCTCTTGATTTCGAGTCTCTATATCTTATCTTGAACTTAAGATATGATAAGAGAGATAGAGGCATGTAGATAGTATGGCGAGATGTGAGTACCGATAGTGCTATTAGAGGTCCAAGATACAAAAAAATCCCTTTGGATGTTGGCATTTCCATGGGATAAATGCGTTCTTCCATCATAGTGCAGTCCATATCGTTTTCTAGACGCTGCCTATTCTTTCTTCCCCACGTCTGTCTCTTATCTCACCAGACAGAGTTTGTGGGGCTAGTGCCAGGAGCTAGTGTGTGGATAATGATAGCAGTATAAAAGTGTCGGCTGTGGCTGACCCTGGCCGTGGTATTGACATCTGTTTGTTATCGACAGTTCCCATTCACCAACAACTCACATGATCATCTTCTGGATTGCATTACTCTCAGGATCACTGCTCTTTGGTGTTTACCACTTGATGGTGTCTAAACGACGCTACAACTGGTCCAAGAAGTGGCAGCGTGCCAGCTCCATTACAGCCATGGACGAGAAGCCTGCCTTTGGAGTCACCGCCGATCCGCAACGAAAGTGGGGCACCTGGATACCCCATCCCTTTGTCACTCCTGTGCCAGCTCCTTACCCCAACTGGAGTGTCGCTCATACCAAACCTCTTCCTTACCGACCCTTCAAACACAATTATTTCGTAACTATGGGCATTCGAAGCATGAGTTGGGACGACTGGATCGAGCTGGACAACGAATGGCCAGAATTCCACGCTCGAAAAATGAATCGAATCCAAGAGAGAGCAGACAAGCTCAACCATACGGAACCCTGTGCAGTTCCTGCCGTCGAAGAGCTTGTGGATGAACTCTCCCGCTACCTCACTTGCCGATACCCCAGTCTTTTCAAGTTCACATCTCCTGGAATTATGTCTAACCTGTATACTGGAGAAGTCTTTGACCTGAGATCTCGGCCGTGGAAAGAAGATCCAATGACCATGTGCGGCAAGTGGTTGCAGGACGACCTAGCTGTTATGATTGAAGGCGAAGACGGTCAGTACTACCTCAAGGCCGGGTCCATCATGCTCTCTGGCTTCTGGAGACTCACAGACAAGCTCAACATGAGTCTGGCCGAGATTCACACTTCAGGAGACGTGCCTCATTTCAACGCCAAACTCAAGACTGGCATGGAGCGTTTCTTCCAGAAACTGGGCCCCGAACGCGCTGTCAACAGAAACAACTATTTCATTCAGACCGACAACGATCTTGCTTGGTCTCATGCCATTGGGCATGAGGATTCAGACACCATTGGCTGGTACACCGCCGAAGACGCTGTTGGAGTCGACCAACTCAAGTTTCGAAGTGAAAGGCAGTCTCTCAGACGTCTTCCAAAGACTGGAGCGATCATTTTCACCATCAGAACGTACTTTCTGCCCATCACACAGATTGCCCAGGAACCCTACTGCTCAGCTCGTCTTTTGGATGGTATCAGACACTGGGATAAGGACGTCAGTTCTTACAAAGGCTTGCAAAAGTACGGCCCTGTTCTGGTGCCCTATTTGGAGGCCATGGCAAAAAAGGATGAAGAGAGGGGCAACGGAAGGGATTCTGAAAAGGAGAATTATCCTTGGTAGAAGTGGTGATAGCGGTAAAAAGATAATATATTTTAGGTGACCTAGTGGAAACAACAAATCTCATACGTCCGATAGGGCATAGGATTGGTAGCTTCTTCTTTCGTACTCGTTTCTCTCATTCGCCTGTATCTACTCCTCGTGTGTTCAATGCATAGTCTATTCTACTGTACTTGCTCTTTTACTTCTGGTGGTGAGACAGAGGCTTCAACTTGATGCTCTTGGGGACAACAAACACAGCAGAGGCCTCGACCAAAGGAGGCTTCTGGAACTCGGCAGTTTCGATGGTGCCGGTCACAAGAGCCTTCTTGTCTGAAGCCTCCTTGACTCTTGTGCAAACAGTCACAAATTGGTCAGTTCGAACGGGGGCCTTGTAAGTGATTTTCAGGTTGGCAGTGACTCCGGTTCTGCTGGGAAATGCCAGGAAAGCAGCTCGGGCAAGTGCCTCGTCCAGAATGGTGGCAATAACTCCTCCATGCACAGTGTAGGGGTATCCCGCTACATGGTGACCCAGATGCATGACAGTGACAGCCTCCATGTCGGTGTCGTTGATGAAAATGTAGGGAGGAATGGTAATATATCCCACCCGGTTCATGGTCTCAGTGGACCCCGTCAGCGAGTGCTCCTGCATAGTCTTATCCATACCCTCCCAGCCTCGGACCAGCCGGAACCGCGAGTCCTTCATCAAAGCCTTTACAATGGGCAGCTTTTGCATCTGCTCTTCTGTGTCTCGAACTGCCATCTTCTTGTACGACTCGTTGTTGATGTCTGGCAGGCTGTTGAGCGCAATCTCCATCACCTTGGTGGGCGATACAGTCATTCCAACCACACCTCCAGTCATAAAAGCAGCAGCCAGGTACTTCCACCACGACCGCTTGGGGCCCTTGGCACCCTTGGCGCCTCCAGAGACATTGTACGTGGTGCTTGAGGTCGAAGTGTTTCGAACCGGCATTCGAGTGACTCGAGTCAGCCGAGGAGCCATTTTGAGTGATGATCTGAACATGTTGAGTGATTTCGCGTGAGATTTTGTGTCACTGAACGACTCCTTTTGTTCTCAATCAGATCCAAGCGACGGGTACTGAAGATGCCGAAATGTCTGTGATGAAGACCAGGTTGATAGCAGACCAAAACTCTAACTGAGCGGGGTGCATCCGAAACTTGCGGCTGCTGATTTGCAGGTGGTTTAATAAGGTTCCATATTGGAGATATGGTGGGGGAAGTACGCATAGGGAGTGGGGTGAAAGTCGTGAGGGCGTTGGGATGCTGTGGTCTTAGTGCCTTGATATATGAGAAATATTGGTTTGATCACCTTTAAAATGGCGATGTCTGACTACTTGATAGTTTTTGTATATCTTATTAAACATGTCTGCCAGTTTTGTGGGTAAGAGCAGTGAAATGCAATAATCGGGCTGCTAGGTAGTAGTATTGTCGGTAGCGAATTGCAACATCTTTGGTAGGTTTAGGAATAGATTCATTGTGTGTGTATCTTCTTTTCAACCTCTATAATCAAGTCTTTGCAATCTCGGGCACTCCTGTGGTAGTGGAGGTACTCAGGAGCCGTTTGTGTGGCTAGATTCTTCAGACTGTGATTCTATACCATTCAGCCAATATGGATATTCTTTCCAAGAGGTCTATTCTTGAGTTCTCATGATTTCCATTTTCCCCAGGTGGCTTCACTGTCACTTTCACTTGTCTTTGTGCCTGAATTCTTCGTTTCATTAACACAACAAAAACCATCAAATGAAACCTCCAAAGATGTGATTGATCTTTGTCTTGTCTCTAAAGCTTGAACAGAACTGATTATTAACAGCTTAATGTCTCAAAGTCCAACTTTACAACGTCTGTTCCGCTAACTGTTGGCTGTAAAAGACGTTCAGACCTGAGCGATAACACATGACGATAGTTTGAGTGCTCGACAATGATTACAATCGTATTTATTAGTATATTAAAAACTTCTAACGTACCAAAAACATCACCTGGCTCACTTGGAAAACCTCAGAATTGGCACTATATGGTATATAGAGAACCAGCTATGAATCATGATTCTGACCTCAATGTCCGAGGATGAGTTCATAAATCAAGTCCCCATGGCCAATTGATTATAGCAAATATAATTTTTCGCTGTTTTCATCTCATTTTGGCAAGTTGTGATCTTTTTGTGAGCTCCCCACATCTTCCGCAGAATCCAGACCTCCGTACTATGGTTCCACCAATTACTATGCATAACTTGACAATGTGTTTTGCGGGGAAACGATGAGACAACGAAACGTCGAGAAATATTGCTATTAAGGCAAGAAAAAAAGGATTGAGATAATCCATGGGTTTCTATAACTCTCTGGACCCAAATTATACTCCCAAATACTCCTACATCTGTCTGAACCAGTCCACCACACAATTGTGGCTCGTCGGCAAAAACGTCAATTTCTCAAAGTAGGATTCGAACTTTATAGCTCAGTTTTCATCACAGAGAGACCGCAGTAATAGTAGATTAATCAGTATGGCAACAAATTAACCAATAATATGTCTTAAAAACAGTTACGTACTTGTACTTTTACAACATATCTAGGACTTTTCTGAAAACTGGATAAATGAAAGGTTTAAACTTGTTAGGGTTTTGTCCATAGAATCAGTTGACCGTGTGAGAATAGCGAAATGACCTGTCATTGAATAAATATTTTCACAGTACACATTTTGAGCCTCTATAAATACTTCACTTCTGTCCGCAATTAACAGCACCAGAACTCCTCTTTCCAGAGACCCCTCAAAACTCGACTTCCAGTAATCCAAACTCTATTGCTATAGGGGCGCTTAGATGAACGTCGCTACTAAGCTGAGTTTTATAGCTAGGGAGATGGATGCTAAGAAATCGTAATAAATCACCAATATATATGTAAAAATGTGTCTAGTAGTCAATAACGTTTTTTCAATCATCCTCTATAGTCGACATTATGTTCGGCCTTAAATCGGAACTTGTTAATTTAGCCGATTTCAAAACCTTATTTATGTAAAATAATCCTACAGCGCCTTAAATAGAGTAAAGAGGTAATCGCGGTGAATGTGATCTTCACGTGTAAATAAAAAAATTTAAAGGCACAAAAATGTTTTCAGTCTTATAAAAAACAAATATATTAGATCATTATCGTCGGAAAACTCTTGCAACATCCCAAAACCTCGTTCCGCCATCTCAACAGCTCGGAACCTTCATTTCCGAACACTGCAGCTTAACCCAACCACTCATAACCTTTGAACATCGACCATCACGACATTCTAGACACTGCTAACTACACCATGTCGCGTTTGCTGAACTCTCTGCGGGCGTACGCGCGCACTTCGCAACACGTGACCAACAACTCCGTGTGGTCCGAGCTCCCGCTTTCCCGCCGGGCGTCAGTGCTGGTCTTGCTGTTTGAGAGCGAGAATGGGCTGTCCGTGTTGCTGACACAAAGAGCACACAACATGCGGAGTTACTCGGGCCACGTAGCGTTCCCCGGCGGCAAGGCCGACTTTGACACCGAGTCTGCGCTTCAAGTTGCGCGACGAGAGTCCTGGGAGGAGGTGGGACTTGTATCCATTGATCCGACAGACTCTCAGCAACGGGTCATTGGAGACCTGACAATCAACACACACACATCCGACGAAGTCGACACACACGACTGTCTGACGCCACCACTCAATAAGAACTTGGCTGTTGAAATCGAACCGCTATGCGAGCTACCCTCATATCTCAGTTACAACCTGCTGGCTGTCAAGCCTTGTGTGGCCTATGGAAGGGTCGTGGAGCTCAACAAACTGTCCGAACCAGGCAACTTTGAGGAATACAAATACCACGACTCGCCCAACTCGCTCAAATCAGCCCCCTCGGTGCTGGATACGTTGCACCCGTGGGTGGAGGACCATGCCGAGGTGTACGAGTACTTTGAGGCGCCGTTCGACCGGTTCACCAAGAAGGGCGACGGTTGGTACCGACTGCAAAAGTGGAACTGGGGAGGAATCCACTGGCCACAACTGCACTTTAATGTGCTGCGCAAAACTCACAAGACCATTGGAGAACGCGGATGGTACGACGTGTGGGGGTTGACTGCCCGGATCCTCGTGGACGCAGCCACCATCGCCACAGGAAAGCCGCCGGAGGTGGATTGCATGAAGGTTGTGGGCGATGAGGATCTGATCAGAGGCCTGGCGGAGAATGGCCGGATGCCTGAACAGAGAGTACACGGAGAAACCATCACCGACTTTGTCAGTATTCTTGGCAAGGATAGCCCTCTGATTGCTGCAAGGAATGGCATCATTAAGGGCACTACTGCTGCCGCGGCTGCCTAACCAGACCACTCCTACTGACCCCTTTGACATAACAGACATAAACAGACATAAATGGCATATAGATAATACAATGCAGGGGCAAATGGACCGGACCGAACTGGATCCATTGCTTTTGTTATAGACATGGACTACTAAGTGAGTGAGTTTATTACTATCTCTCTAGGCCAAACAGATATAGTCAGCAGTAAGATGACTACAAGACATTTGTACAGTAATTCACAAAAACTTCGTATGAACTTTGCAGAAACTTGAATGGCGGTATATCGACTATGGTGATTCAATCGAGGAGTGATTCGACCACAATAGTTACTAGAGCTGGTCCTGGCTCTGTATATGCTATGTGGCTTTTAGACGTTCTTGCCACGGATCACCAGAACGCTACAATATGGTGTGATTGGAATAAGACAAAACAACACATCAATCAGGAAGATAGCTATCAATACACCACATTGATTTCTCTCCAAAGGGGAAAAGATCCGTTCAATTTTTCATTCAAGAAAGCAAGTGTTCCCCTCAGCTCAACCCAAAGTCGCAAAAACGGCTGATCTTCTTCAATATTAGTATCAAGTGAAAGCTACTGGGTAGTTAAGTCAGATGGAGCTCTCTTTTTTTCCGCATAGCCTGAGAAATGATGACATAATCCGAGCAATTGTATCATTGCAATAATAGATGGTGTCAGAAAATGCCAGAAAACTCTAGAAGAACACATATCCACGCAATACGTCACCTAAGAAAGTCTCCTTCTATTCCAGTATTATTACCAGTTTGAAATCACCTTTCGCACCGTCTACACCATATAAGCTTCGATGTTGGATTAGTGGCGAGCTTATCTGCTTGGCGCAAATAATCATGTTGAATACCCCACACAAATAAGCTTTCTGGTGCATTTTACTTAACCGAGGTAGCGGTTCCCTCATCACCAAACAGCAGTCATGTCTACCGACGAGATCCTGAGAAATTTCAAGCGGTTTGAAAAGCAGCGCCTTAAGGACGCGACGAAGGCTGGTCCACGTGATTTTCCCGGCCAGAAACGCCCCAAAATCGGCACTACACCATGGTACACCATTCCCCTATCACGTCGAAGCGCTGTTCTGATGCTGCTGTTTGAAGTGGCTAATCCCGACAAGCCAGCTGGAAAGGAGCTACATATTCTGTTCACAGTCAGATCCGCGCACCTCCGGTCGTTTCCCGGCCAAGTGGCGCTTCCAGGAGGCAAACTAGACCTGGAGCTGGATGGATCCAACGTCAGCCATATTGAAGCAGACCTGTGGGAGAACGTTGATCCCGCACTGTCAAGTGACACTGAAAAGAGATTGTCTGAGTCGGCATCGTTTTCTGCCTGGAGTATTGCTCTGAGAGAAGCCTATGAGGAGGTGGGTCTGTTTGGAGAGTTCATCAATGAAGACACGAAGAGCATTTTGATGAACCCGGTGGATGGAGGAAGGGATGCCACCGGGACGGAAAAGCCACCTTTTTTGAACGAAAACCCTCTCTTGTCCGTCGAAAAACTGTGCGAGTTGCCACCCTTTGTCTCCAGAAACGGACTGGGTGTTGTCCCATGTATTGCATTTGCACGGTCCAAGCAACGCGGACAATTTCTGAAATACTCGGAGATTTGTCCCAAGCTTAATTTCGATGAGGTTCAATCTGTCTTCTCCATTCCGTTGGATTACTTCTTATCTAAACACACCTCGGGTGGCGTTGAGTTATACAACTCCTACCCCCGAGCAGCGTGGGGAAACACCGGGGTTGATTGGATTATGCACTCATTCAACCACAATGCACTCCCATATCCCAATATTCGGAATGGCGACAGTAAGGGCCGAGTAACCATTGATGATCTTCTGGCTGAAGCCTCGGCTCCGCAAGTTCAGCCTGGAGAACTGACGCAGGTGGGCCAGAAGATACGGTCACGTGAGAGTATTTTCAGCGAGAGTGGCCCCGAGCCCGACCCAGCTTCGTTCCACAAAAACGTCGTGGCAAGCGTAGACTTGCTGCCTCCTATTTGGGGTCTGACGGGTCACATTTGCATAGACTGTGCTCGGGTGGGTCTGAATAGAGATCCCACCGAGTTTGATTTTGTCGCTGACATTGGCCAGGACTCGCTGGTGGGTCAGTTGATAAAGGAGGGAATGTTTAATCCCCGCCCTAAGAAGCCCCAGTCAAGGGTTTAGAACGAAGACACCGACGTCACGGACATTAATTACTTAGAGGGATATAACGGAATCCATTAAACATGGTCTAGAATTCGAATGGAAGGGATTGGCGGCGCTAGTTCAAACTCGCGAGGCATGTCTCGTATCATGGAAAGAAATAGAAGGGATCGATTGCAGTTACGATCTGACCCAGTTGAGTCAATTGATGTAAAAGCAGTACAAGACTCATTCCACGCTGCAGAAGTACTGGCAGTGGGTGGCTGCTGTTTCATCAAGGCGGTTGCAACAGCTTGACACGTGAATTTCACAAGTAAACACAGCAACAATCTATAACCAAGTGCTCAACCAGTCGGATGCATAACACCAGTGCTATAGAGCAATCCTGACTGATTACCCCATCGCACGTCAACTATGGAGCTTGGTTGCAAGCAATCAAACCTACTTGTAGAGTAAATCTGTCTGGCGAGACACGCACTGTCTTCCGTTAGCGAGCCTCCCCCCACTACTTGTAGAGACAGTACCGTACTTCAACGGCGCATGGGCGAGAGGTTACTTTCTGCGGCTAAAAATAACATCGCCGTCTGCTTCCCATATCATCGCCATGTGTCAATTCAGCACGAGCCTGTACGGGATAGAAGTTCATTTCAGGCGTGTTCCCGCTGACATGTTGCACCTTGACGTAAGTGTTCGTTGCTTAAGTGCTCATCGGATAAAGTGCTCACCAGATAAAGTGCTCACCGTATATCTGGTGCTCAAAGATGACCGCCCATTCCGGCCCCTCTGTGGCTTGAAATCAAGCACCAACTATACTCTCCGTCCTCACATTGCAGACCCGAACACATAGTGAGCATGATTCTTGTCTTTTCTCACCCACGGCCTAACCTTCGGACCAACTACAGCACGGTAACTCTGTAGACTAACCTTGGCTCCAGGTTGTTGAAAGAGTGTCCAATGACGAGGTTCTGCTCCAAGTGCAGTACAACTGGATTGTCGTCGATGCATGGTTGCCAAAATGATGAGGTCGCTGGCATGCACACCTGTCTGAAGCTGAGAGGGATGAAACCTCGTTGCTTTTGGCAATGTAGGGGTATTGTTTTATGCTGCGAGGCGGTATTCAACCTAAGGTAAAAAGGCACTTTCAGTGTTACAAGATCTTCTTGATTGCAAATGCTCCATTATCGTGATGGCACCACCAACGATAATCTCTAGGCCAGAGTGCTTGTTTCCTCCACCCTCCAAAGACAGGGTCTTCCCCCGCGGGTATAGGAGCGAAGCTCAGCTGCAGGTTATACGCAGTCTCTCGGCCTAACTCGTGTTTTTTAGCGTGGCTGTGATTGCTATGGTGCATATGAAGAAAAGAGTACCTGTGGTAGTTGCCAGGCAAACATTTTGTTTTAATGGGATCTGAGATTATGGCCGATGCCAGGGCGATGAGCACGGCGCTAATTGAGACCGCATCGGATGCTGACGTATCTGTATCCACCGCCTTCCAAGAGTCAATGTCGCTCGATATACGCTCTTGGCGCTGAGATTTTTGCCGAAAGGGCCATATTCGCTTTGCGCAGATACCTCCAGCAGCAAAAACCGTTGGAGGTTAGTTGACGGGGCCGATCAGCGCTCCTTTGGGAGAGCGGACACCCACATGTCCTTTGTCAGCAGGTGCTTTTGCAGAACAATAGTCCCACGAATGATTTTCGGTTAATACCACACAGAGCAGGCAGACCCCACAAGACCGTAGCAATCGAGATTTAAGTAACAAGGACGAGATCTTCATCATCTGACGGGAGGAGCTTCCGCCATATTTCTGCTCCGATTCGCTCTGACTTTTTTTCCCGGATATCTGTCTCGAAGAGGATCGGTCCTTCTTGTTCCCAAATCTACTTCATTGTGAGACAGTCAAGCGACGATGACACTTGGTATACATACAGCATGATACTTGGAGGCCGGATCCAGCTACGCTTTAGCCATGTACATATTGTACATGGCCGTGGAGGATACAATGAAGACATCTACGGCTGCAGGAGAGCTCCGCTGCAATAGGCAAGGCGACAGCAACCTTGAGACACCCATGTATTATCCTATGTATGTACAAGTATATACTTGTACATGTGTTACGGAGGCCGATATGTTTTTTTTTTTTTTCTTTTTTTTTTCTTTCACATCCAGGCTGGTCCTTGTCTGCACTGAGAGACAGGATCGTCCAACTCAACCCATGTTTGGCTGTGCGTTTGAATTTGTTCTTGGAGAGGACATGGACATTGTGGCAAAAAGCAACGTCTTGCGAAGCAGCGCATTTTGTTCCTGGCCAAGTACTGTAGGTACAGTTACATCCGTACAGTGGCATTCGTGCTCTCTCGTGCCTGGTCCGGAATCTCCGTTTCATGTAACAACAAAGGCTGCAGGGTACAGTAGGAGCTTGATGCGCACTACGACGTACGACGCTACGAGGCACCATAGGAACTCTCAAGCAAACTCCAAGAGTCTTCTACAGCCATAAGCCTCCAGTTATGGATGGTACCAACTTTGGCGACCCTACAATGGTTAAATGAAAACCTTGGGTGCAATGAAGATCACAGGCAGCCTGGTGACAATAAAAAAATGCAGGGGTGGCCACGCTAGTGCCTTGCACATGATGAAGGGTGGTGTCAGAAAGTGCAACGTTTGCAGTCACGTGAAGTGCTAACGACAAATGCCACCCACCGTGGAATCCAATCTTGACTTTTGTCCCTCCAAGATGCGCCTTCCAGCCGCTAATGTTGCATCTTGTCCAGGGCCTCATCTCCGCTCGTATATGCTGTAATAGTAGAGCGTGTGACGATTACATATAGTATCGTCATATCGTGTCTATCAGATGATTATCTTCTGTATCCTCGCTCCCTGAAACACTCAAACACTGTGTTCTCTCCATGCCAGTAAGAGATCTACAGTCGGTCGAATTCAGAGTCAGATAGAGTGCCGTGAGTGCGTCTCTTGTAGAGGTTCGAGTACAGCAAGGGCCCGACTCTCTGGGGATGTAAAGCAAACCCATTGAGGCAATCTGATACCACTCCACTCCATGTAACCTGGATCTAGACTGTGATCCACCCTCCTTGTCTACTGAACCATACCCTGGTTGTCACACCCGAAGGCCTGTTACATGGCCCCACTTTTTTCCACTTGCAACCTCCAGTGGCAAGACAAGCGAGACCAAAGACTATTGGCCGTGGAGATGCGCCCGAACGCGTAACCGTGGCAACGCGTGGCTGACTTCTCACCGTGCAAGAAGGTTTGGTTGTCAGGTGGAAGGGAGATGGAAGAAAAAGGAAGTGTGTGAGCTACGAAGTACGACTGCCGGAGTACTTGGTAGTAAAACGGAGGGTTCCAAAATACGGCGCGGACGGTCCTTTGTTTCTAGGTGGGCAACGGAGGCTCATACTAAGCGCCAAAACCGACATGACTATACGCTGCTTGCTCGTACGACCTTGTCAGTCTCCTGTCTGTCACTCTCACTGTATATCTTTACCCTGGCGAATACGTCACCTCTTTGTGCGACGGAAAAAATCACGTATTGGCATTTAAGGCTTTTAAGACGTTGGTTAGTTGAGACTGTTTCACCTGTTCGGGTTGAGAAATTCAGCCGAATGAAGCCGATAACTGCGGAAAGCCCTCCGTGTACGTAGTGTAGGTGATTAGTATTACAAACCACCGAGTGGCCTCAATAGCCGAATTCGTTTCTACCGCGTGTTCGTGGGCTAGTGGCATATTTAGCCGTCGTCTCCTCCACCTCAAATCCACGTGCCTCCTCTGCGTACAAGTAGTTGGAGATAGCGCTAAGGGACTCAAAGGTGTAGGTTAGACACTCAAACCTGTTCAAGCGGCGCGGCAGTAATTATCTCCTAGTTGAGCCATGGTATTATAGGCCACTCGTATCTGACAGTAGCGACGGATCTAGCACTGTCGAGCAATGCAGCTTCAACCTGGGGTCTAGTGCAAGTCAACACCAGCGGCGTTCGACCTCGTATCTAAACCCCTACTATTGCTTGTCAGTGGTTTTTCGCTTGCATCATATTGAACGCTGTTGAAGCTGCCTGCCGACAGGATACAAAGGGAGTCGTTAGTGGTAGCTAATACTCTGATAGAGGGCTCCTGGAAGCTACAAGTAGGTTACAACAATGGCTTGTGCCGTTAGCGCCGGTGTATAAAAACGGGATGAGGGGAGCTGGAGCCGCAGTCTCCGTTAGCATCTGCAGGGACACCGGCAGAGCCCCCCCCTAGCTGGCATTCCGGTTCCGTCTCCTACACTTGCCCTCAACTTAAGGACGTAGATTTGTCTTAAAGGTGGCCTCAGCCGTCACGACGACGGAACAGGTGTAGAGTTTGCAAACACTAAAGGTTGAGGGCCCACCACCGTGAAAGATGAAACTATGTGGTGGAACAATGAAAGACGTACTTAGGGTGTTGAAGGTTCGTCGTTTGTGAGCAGACGAGCTTGTGGGCCAGACCTTTGACGTTTGGACAGACCAGCCCATCCAGACCCATGTACCCACTGGGCAGCGCTGTGCTACCCCAGACAAAGTAGCAATCTACAGAGCGAGCTTCTGCAAAGAGACGCACGAGGCGCAACAGACAATACACATCTCGCTAAGAACAGAGCCATATTATGGTGGTGATGCGTGTCTCATGCAATCTGACCCTATTGAAAAAAGTAACGAAAAGTGAGCTTTGTAGGGAGAGGAGGGCAAAAGATGAAAAAGAGCAAAATGGAGCGTGGTTTGCACAAACGAGATAGAAATCTAAGAGATAGGCAATTGACCCTTTAAATCCGCGGCAGCTTCTTATACTCGCCCAGCTGCCCCATCTTTCCACCCAAGTCCCGCAACACTTACAACCTCTGTCAAAAGGCAATCTGCTGTCTCTTCCTTCCTGGTCCGAGACATTCGACATCGACATCGAGACCTACAACCAAACCATCAAGCCTATCGAGCCTTGGAATCGAAGACAGTCTTAATCGTGCTTCTCCTCCGTGATTTTTGTTCCTCTTGTTCCTTTTAATCCATTCCTGTTCTTTTTTTGGCACCATACTACAGCACTACTTGTACTTCACTTTCGTCACCTCCATCTTCTTTTTTTGTTAGTGTATTGTCTTCTCCATCCACGGACCACATCCTTTGGCGCCATTCGACAAATCCAACAACCGGTGAGTACGCAACGCGCATCTGTTCACACAGCCCGCCCGACAAAGACGACCGTCGCTCCTGCAAAATTGATTACCTAATTCAATCGCCAAGACCCACACATACATGTTCATGCATAATCATAAAAGCGCGCCCTCGGCCTCACGCGCCATGACCGCTTGGAAAAGGTCCATTGACAACACTGACTGAGGGGTATTCTTGCACATCTGCCCCCCCAGCTAGGGCCACTCGGATGATGGGAACCCGGTCCAGCCTTTTTCCGCCGACTCTTTTTTCCATGCATCAAGATCTTTTGGACGAATCAGACGACTTTTTCCCCGTGTGTCCTACCCAACCAGTTTAAGCTCGCATCCACACTCTCAGCTGTTCGCTGCCAGCATCCTTCTTCAGCTTATATGAGCTGTTGTCATTCACTAAAGTGCGAGAAAGCTGGCGTGATTTCTAATGATTCCCACCAATCTACCGAGATATGTGATTTGCCTCTTCGGTTTTCCCTTGCGTACACACTGTATGGTGTTTCCTTGTATTTCGTGGTGTTTGAAGCTAACCCAGACCTGTGGAACCCCCCCACCTCCTATTACATCACCACACACCGAACGCAGCCCAGCGCACTGAGCTGCATCGGTCCCCTCCAAATACCAACAAGCCTTTTGAATTTGAGCAAATCGCAGCACATTTTTTTCCCTCTTGTCACTTTTTCGCCACAGACAGGACCCTCAACGACTATTATCGACACCAACAACCCCCATACCTTTGAAATCGTGAGTATCCACGCTGAAGAGCCTGAGTCCGGAGTTGGAAGTGCCCCCAAGCCCGCAACAGCGTGTAATTGGATGTTTTTGGCGAATAGCTGGAGTGTCGCGCTTAGTCATCTTGATAGCCAGTCCAAGAACATCTCGGAACCTCCCATTAAAGTTTCTGTCCGACAGATCAGATTTTAGATGCAATATCGGTTGTCCAGGAAACAGACAGATGGGAGGTTAAAGAGAGAGACAGTGACAGAGAGACGGGACGGAGGTTAGTTAACGAGCAAAAAAGAAAAGACAAGACCGAGCGCCAGAATTCCCCACACCGCTGACGTGTCAATGTATGCCGGCAGGTGACACCGGCAGGTGAGTGGCCCAAGAGAGTCCGTGTGTGAGCAAATTTTCGTGTGTCAAAATAGGAGCATCAGCCACCACCTTGTGACTGTCTCACTTATTTTTTGACCAGGTCTTCTTCGCCCACCAACAACTCAGCCTTGTGCGCACTTGAGATACTCCTCGCCTCATTCGGCTTGGCGTGGGAGGAGTGTCTCGAGTCTACTCTACACTGAACTTACGCTGGTAGTCAATCTTGTCGCCTTTTGGTTTTTTCGTTTCTCCCACTTTTCTATTTTTCATTTTCCCGATCAGTGAGCCTATCTTGGTTTGACTTTCCACCTTATGCCAGTTCTTTTGTCTCCTCTAGCTCGTATCGCGCGCATGGAAGATAGTCCTGGACATGTCTGACTCCAAGCTCCTGGCTTCTCTTCTTTTTAAACCCAGCCAGCCGCCGCCCACCAAGGCCTCTCCATCCACAATTACTTTGCATGCATCATCCCACGACACCCTCCAACTAACACAGATGTACTCATATCCCACCATTGAAGAGCCGCAGCTCGCGGATCAGGACTGGTACCCTACCACACAGGACTTTTTCTCCTACCCCGTTCCCACCGTCGCGGACCACGAGCCCTCCCCCCAGGCACCGCAGCCGCAACCACAGCTCTTCCGACCCCAGTACATGGGTCGTAGTAGCTCATTCAGCCCCTCGCTGGACCAATTGAAGCGAGGTGACGACTTCAAAACTCTCATGTTGCCGTCGTCCTCCAACATCCATGCCAATGCTCCCCACACCCAATTCACCGCCACCCGCATGAAGCGATCTTATACACAGCCCGAGAAGGACAATGATACTCTCAGACGGTCCCAGTCCATGATGGCCCTGTCTGTTTCCACCGACGGACGAGCCCGTCTCCAGCCCAGAGAATCGCGGGCTGCGCGAGATCACTCGCCCCACAAGTTCCGAATCGAAGAAGACATTGATTCGCAGTCGTCTTACTCTGATAATGTATTTTCGGACCGGTCGTCTATGTCGTCGGCTTCCTCAGCATCTCCTCAGCTGGCCACAGACTTCCCGTCCTGTGTCCCAGTGCCAGTTGGAGTGTCTCGATCCAAGTCCTGCGTGTCGCTTTCGCAGTTTGGAGGCTCGGCATACCCTTCTCTTCCTCCTCCTGCAGTTTCTGCTGCCTCATCCACTTTTCACTCTCCTTGCTCCTCCCCTTCCCCCAGCGTTTCTTCTTCTTCCGACGAAGACGACGAGGTGGCCGCCCCCAAAAACGACGCATGCGTGGCGCTGGCTCGTCTGGTGGCCCGAAAACGGTCCAAGTCTCTCAAGAGTACCAACGCTGCTCCCCAGAGACCTCCACATGTCCGATCTCGGTCTCTCGTCGGAGCCTCGGACACATACCAAACTCGAGCTGCTATGTCTTCGACCTCTACCATGGAGTCGTTCCAGTCGCGAGCAAGACGAGCCTGTGCACCGGTAGTGCCGCCCGCTAGCATGCTGACTCCCCCTGCCTCCGCCACCTCGGACAAGGGCTTTGACTTCGGCATGACCCGAACTTCTATGAGATCCATTTCCCCCAAACGAGGCCGAACCTCCATGGCCGTCGCATTTAACTACACAGACGGTTCTCCTCATTCACACTTTCATCGACGACAAATGTCGCTCAGTGACCTTAGCCAGCTGTCGCTCCAGCCCGTACAGTCTGAGTGGTCCAACTAACTTGCATAGATGTATATATACATTGACAATCCAAAACAAAGAATAAACGAATAACTAGTAGAGAGATCCGCATTAGGTATGGTCTCGCGCTCAATAAGAGACCCGGACATGGTGTTTCGATATAAATATATGGGCCTCTATGGTCAAATCACGATCAAGGGAGGAGATCTGTCAATTAGGTGTATGTCAAAACAGCCTAACATCTGTCCAAACAATTCCAAACAGTTCTAAACTCCTGCAAGCGCCATTGACGGCGACTGTAGGAGTAGGCACATAATCGGGCTGATAACAGAGGCTGCAGATAATAACCAACCTCGTACAAAAGTTTTAGGCGTATTCCCTATACTGGTACACTCGCTATGGAACTCCTGTCATCACAAAACTTCCAGATAATATCCGGCAGCCACCGACTAGCTCTCGCACCACCCTTGTCCCGAAATGGGCAACTGGCACGAGGGGAACCTGTATTAGTGGAGTAGCTCGTTCTAACTGATTTTGGTGTTCTGCCGTTTGCACACTCGCCATGTTCTCCATCTGCAGGTGATACTTACCCCTTGGCAACAACACATCCCGCTGTTTTTAGTGCCAGACTACAATGGGAGACTTGTCGAGTCCGTGGAGGCTCCGAAACTCCCCATGTTGGCATACAGGGCATCTCTTACTATCGCGCCAACTAGCGCCAATTCTAACCACCTTATACCTCTAGACGATACACTTGAGAGTGTAAGACGCTAGAAAACGGTTAAGAGGCCACATCCTAGGGGCCAAAGTCAAAGCCACAGGTCACACAGTACACGTACGCATCCCATTGTGTCAGTGTCTCCACACTTCGTTTTTGTTCGCTCTTGTTGCAGCTCACGTATGTACGTCGTTATGTCTCAGGTGCCGGTATTCCGAGCCCGCTTTTGCCCTTAACAAGCTGACGTCAAACCACAGCGGTTGCTGAAGGTCCGCTAACAATTGCCTAGGTTAACCGATAGCTCAACTCTGTCGCCCACCTTCCAACAAGACCGGACTGATAGTCGTGGTAGCATAAAGATATAGATTCTTATACCAATACAGGGAACAATAGGAGACAATTGATTGTTTGGGTGTCATAAGATGCAGTTTTCCGAGTTGATAGGGACTGGCTTCCCACACGTGGGCCGTAATCATAGCGCACTTTGTACATGTCTTCATGTACACACGGCGTTATATTTCCAAGGCCAATAGTCTACGATGCAGTAAGGACTTCACAATAAAGGGCTGTTGGAAAAAGACAAGGCCACCGCTGAGAGCCAAAGCAAGAACCAAAGCAAAGAACCAAACCCAAGCGTACAGACACAAAACCCACACCCACCAATAGATCACTAGACACCCTCGTCTTTTGCCCCTCCATGCACACTCAAAAGTGACACACAAAAAAAAGCCTACTTGTGCTCGTACTTTTGTACTGGAGGAAATGTCTCAACCTACTTGTCGACATGCATAGACGAGAGTCAAACCTATACAGTAGCGCTCCAAGGTTGGCTTCAATGTATCCCTCCCTTCAAAGTGTAGAGTATAGATGCGTTGAAATGAGGTGTATTGAGAGCACAAAAGCGTAAATGGCCGGGGTCGTACGATCGACAGGCATCGCTGACTACCATGCTCTTGGCTTTTATATCGTGGCTTCAGCTAACAAGACGCTAGCGGTAACCTCCAGTGTTGAAGTCAGCGTGTCCAAGACCTGCTCTCGAGACAAGTGTCTTGTTTTAGACCGAAATGCACACATGCTAACGCATTCTACTTGTAGGGCAGCCCAATACCCGACAAGGAGCCGGCGACTCCTGGCTAGGGTTGGCTGTGTCGGTACAACCTGCGCAATTGCCTGACACACTCCAAAAAACACACGTCAGGGAACATTTTGAGGTTGCATGACATGATACAAAACTCTGAGATATTCCTCTACCCCTCCCACAACCAAATCTGCACCTCCTATCTGTGCCAAAAATATCTTATGCTCTCAGTGCCGTTGAGCCCCGTTGCCATTGTGGGACAATCCCCTTTTGCCCCCACGCTAACCCACTTAAGCACCCCCCTCCGTCGGAAGTTAACTCCTACAGCTGGTCGGAAGGGCTAGAACACCCCGGATAGTGCGTATAGAGGCCACGCCGATGATAGTGAGTGTGGACTGGGTTTATATCGGATAAAATGTAGATACCATATATACGGGCTCTCACCTGCAGCATGCCAACCACAATAACCTCTATGGTATCGTATAGCTGAGTAGCTGAGGCCTCCTATACCGCGAACCCTTATAATTGACTATAGGGAGTCTCCACAAATGCCCAAAACAAGCTACAAGTAGCTCGTCTTGAGTCCTTGTTGGAAGAGTCGGGGGCCAATTCCGTATGCGTTAGTTATTTGTGTTACTCCTCGTCTAAACACCCTTGTCGAAACAAGAGACAACTAACTGACACTTATCTCCTGATCTACAGCGACAGTACAGTATGTACAGTAGCTACAAATAAATGAGTAGGCTAGCCCATGGAAGAGTATGTGGATACATTAGATCGCAGTAGCGGTTTTCTACAAGTACAGCTTAGAAACACGTGCTGCTCCAGATCGGTTATTGATTTGTACCCTGTAAAGACCTCTAAACTCAACCCGTTGTCTAGCTAACATAGGGGCTAAGTGATATCATTCATCTATCTATTTCTAATACTTCAACGTATCACATCAGGCATACGGTACAATTCCGCTTTCGGTCTCATATTTCTTGGCTACGCTCACCAGGTCATGCAAATGGTGGTCATGTGCCTCGGGGGCCAGCTCGATCAGAGATTCGTATAGACGGTACAGATACTCTCGGTTCTCGCCGCTGGGACCCTTGCTGTGTACAATGTGCTTTGCCAGTTGGGTGGGGTCTTGAGGTCCCACAAATGCCTCGTTGTCGGGAGTCCCGATGAAGCACACGGTTTCAATCTGGGTAGGCACCTGGCCGTCGAAGCAGGAGCACGGGTATGCGTCCTTGTTTGCCCGGAGGCTCTCCTGCGACACGTGGAACGGCACGTTATGCACACTGTAACCATTCTGCTCCCGTATGTCCAGGTACGTCTTGACTTCCTCCACGTATTCCTTCTTGATTCGGTATGCGACACCCCATGTCGTACAGTCGTCGTGGCTGGGGTGGGGATCATCCAGGCTTTCCCAGAAGGACTTTTCAATCAGGGTCACCACTCTACCAGGAGCCTCGGGCACACCTCGATGATCGTTGGAAGACTGCCAGAAACGACGCACATAGCCGGTGACATAGCCCGGAAGACGGACATCCCAGTGGGGTGGGGGCTTAAAGATGAGTGAACCGTAGCCAAAGATCCAGTACTCTGTGTTCTCCTCTTTTTCCGGTGCGTTCTGTGCTTCCTTCACATCGGGAAAGTCGCCGTTAGGAGCAGCACGCAAAGGTCCGTTTTCGTTGATCATAGTTCTCGGTCTGTATGCTCTATGGATGCAGTTCTAGTGGCGTGCAGCGTGTGTAGCGAGCTTTGGCGTAGTGTGGCGCTCACACTATTTGTATACAGATCACGACAGAGTTGTTAGGTGGAGGCAAATAGACCTTTGGATTATGCGTGATTAGCTTTTTGTTCACGTGACTTGAAAGGGTCGGTGCAAAGACGACAAAGTACACCCCCTGTACAATCAACACGCACTATAACATCTATTGTTTATGTATTTAGGCAACAGGGAAAGTACGCGCTAGTTCGTATCCGTCGGCAATGTTCTGGACTCGAGCATCTAGCTTGAAACCCTGAGCAGCGAGCTCCCGCATAGTCTCGGGGAAGGTCTTGAGAGGCACGGAGAAGGTCTCAATGAACTCGTTGTCCTCGAGCTGGGGCTGTGGGTTCTTGTTCTTCTCGTCGTTGAGATCCACGGAAACGTGCACAAGCTTCATGTTGGTGTTGCAGAAGCCTGGATCGTTGAACATGACGGGGGTGACGCTGAAGGCCTTTCCCACATATCCAGTTTCCTCCAGGAGCTCTCGCTCGGCGCAGGTCTCGACGGTTTCGTTGGGGTCAAGCAGGCCGGCGGGGATCTCAATACAGATACCATCCACGGGAGGGCGGAACTGTTTTTGAAGAAGCACCTCGGGTCCAGTCTCCTTCTTGAGAATGGCAAGGATGCCTACTCCGTCAATATCCTGGCCGGGCACTCGGGTTCGTCGAGCGGCACATTCCCAGTCACGTTCTTGGTTAGTTGAATGGAGCAGATAGGTGTCGTTGGTACAACAGATCGTTGCGCGTGTGTTATCGTCGTCGTCTTGTGATCTTGCATTCTCGCAATGCTACCCGCATCTCACTCACGCTTTCCTTCGGGATCCTCGTAGAAGATCTTCTGAGTCTTAACCCATTTGCACTTCGAAGAGTCGAGATCTTCAAACTTGAGGACTTTGGCACGGGCGAGATTCATGATTGTTCGACGCATGGGTGTTGGGACGCGAGCTGGTTATAGGTGTAGGTTCGTTGATGACGTAATGATGGAAAGCGAGTGAAGGTTGGGGCGAGGAGAGGCTACGGGTTGTCTCGTTGATTGATTGATGGTGTTGCTGTTTTTTCATCGACAAAAAATACGTCTTCTTTGGGATTTTAATGACAACAGCAACATCGCTGGAAAAATGATATATTTCATAACTAATAGTGCATCCTACTCTTGATCCAACAGTTGGCATTGTAGTTTAGAAGTAGGTACTTCTTTATTTCACTTTACAAAGGTCGAGAACGATCAAATACTACCCATTGTATCCCGTTGAGTCGGCGGGAATGTTTTTATATCTTTTCGCAACGATCTCAGCAAGCATGTACTCCATCTTTGTCTCACGACTCGTACAATTCTCTGTTCTGGCTCACATATGCACGCATATTTATACTCTCTTCGGCCGACTTAACCAATACACTGCACACCAACATGACCGACCAGGTACGTTCGGATGTCCAGGAAAAACTGGTTCAGAGCGGAGAGTACGAAAAGTGAGTACCCAAATCATGGACACAGACCCAGACGCATGGAAAATAATCGACATTAAACACAAACACCAACTAAACCAGACTCTCTCAACACATCCAGGCCCGACTTCGAAACAGCGGCTGGTACGACAAGGTCAGTGCTTTGGCCCAGGAGGAGGCTAGCAAACAGGATAAGGTGGAACTGAGTTCTCTGTTGGAAAAAGTACAGCCTCAGGCATGCGATCTGGTTGACGACGACATCAAGGTCGAGACTCTCAAGATGATTGCCTCTTTTCTCGAGGGAGCTTTAAAGTAGTGGAGGACTGCTGTATTTATGTGCACTAATGTATTTATTTGAAGAATGAGGAGCGGAAGTCGAGAGAGACTTCTAGGAACGGTTTTAAGTGGTTACGGTACTTGTATTTGGTACTGTTGCAGTGAGCCAGGTATAACCTTAGCGTAGTGGGCGGGCTACTGGTTGTTAGTATGAATAATTCAACCAGATCATCGTACGAATTCTTGTCTCATTCGTAAGATATACGTGGGAAACAGAGCACTCGTGCCATATATATGTCACGTGACGTTCAACTTCGATCGATCACGTGCCACGCGTACCACCCACTATCGTAATGGCACTCCGTTACACCATTGTATTCCTCCTGTTATCAGGCTTGCATCATCATCACACCCAAATCTAAACTCTCACACCACAACCACATCAAGCAAAAAACACCATGGTACGATCAGACTGGAGGGCGCAGGAAATCAGAAGAGTCATGACGTTCACGGGGAGCAAGGAGAAGACAGCCCGTGATGCCCTGGAAAAGTTTGACTGGAACGTCGAGGTGGCTATCGATCATATTCTCAACACCCCCCAGGTAGACCTTTCAGGAGCTAGCAAGGTGTTTGACAAGTACCGAAATGCCGATTCGGACGAGATCGATCTGGATGGAACCATTCAATACATCACTGATTTGGGTCTGTCGCTGGAGGAGCCCACTGTTCTGGCGGTTGCTATGACTGCTGGATCTCCATCGGTAGGCACCTTCACACGAAAACCCTTTGTTGAGGGCTGGGCTGCCATTGGCGGCGACACGCTGCCGGCCCAGCAGAAGTTGTGCAGGTCGTTTGCCGAGTCCATGACCTCGCTGAATGCCGATTTCCAGAAAATCTACAAGTTCACATACGGTTTCCTGCTGCAGGAGGGCCAGCGGGTGTTGCCTCAGGAAACGGCTGTGGACTACTGGCGGCTGCTACTGACGGGGAAATACGAGCATCTGGACAAATGGCTGTCTTTTGTGACCGAAAAATACAAGCGCAACATCTCCAGGGATGCCTGGAACATGTTATACGAGTTTATGCTGTTCCAGGCCAAGGATCCCTCTCTAGAGAGCTACGATGAGGACGGTGCCTGGCCCAGTGTCATTGATGAGTACGTTGAGTTTCTCAAGGAGTGATGTATAGTTGGAGACGGTATATGATAGTAATAAAAATTCAAAAATACCACCTTTATTTTTTCCCAGTTCGTTTCCTGTGTCGTTCTTACCACCTCCCTCTATACCCTGTACCTGCTTATTAAGTGACTAAATTATAGTTCGTGATGATACACGTTGACGTGTATGAACAGTGAGATATCGCCAACCACAACTCTCTCTCCAACCACAACATCTCACCACAAAAATCAAAATGGAGGCTCTGCGATCTACTCTGGAGGCCACAATTGTAAGTTACCGAACATCCCTGCACTGGCGCACTGCTACTACGACTTTCCCCCACTAACACAGGACTTTGAGGGCCAGAAACTGTCCAACTTGGCCAAGACCCGATTGCTGGTTCTGGGCGCCATTCTGTCAACTATTACTGGCTTTGCGCTGGGTGACGTGATGATCATCTGGTTCATGTTTGCCTTTGTGGCCGGCATCACCATGCTGCTGGTGGTCCCTCCCTGGCCCTTCTTCACCCAACACCCCGTCCAGTGGCAGACCCCTGCCTACTAGTTTGATACGTGCGGCAGCGCTTTATTTATTGAATGGGAGTAATAGAGGTGGAGTGAATGTTGAAAAGAGGAATGGTGTTGATCGTTGAATGTGAGCCATGTAGGACATTGGGTTAACGAGAAAGTACTTGTACATCGTGCTGGAGAATGAATATGTTGGCTAGAGTGTTAGTAGAATCTCCTTGGAGAGCTCCATTGTCTTTTTCTCTAGATCAATGTGATCACCACGACGCCATGAATGTCTTCATAATGTCGCTCTGGTCATACTGTATGTACTATTCGTAGCTAGGAGATGTAGTGGCTACTCTGTAGGGTAAATAGTAGTAAGTAAGACAACATGAATAGATCTGTCACAGCAGCTGTCATCTATTCATGCTGGCATTTTCAATATTCGACTTCTCTGCTTCTTTCTTTCTCAGCTGTACAAGCTATCTTGTAGCGTTTTCTCATAACCATCAGCTCAACAAAATCAATGATCTTATACCTAACTCTTACTTGAACAAAGCCACAACCCAGATCTACCACTCGTGACCGCTTGAACTGGTGATCTGACTAACAACTATATCCCCAACCACATATATCCTGTCTCTCTCTCTCTCTCTCGCTTTAATTATCATATAAATTCTTCATTCCCCTTCCCATAAACACTTCTAACACAAGTATTGACTAGTCTACCCCAACTAACCTCAAATTACGTCATAGTCAGCAAGGGCAATGTGACTCAGGACTACATTGTGGGGTCGGTTGATCACGTGACTAATGAGAAGTGTGGCGATAAAGGAGTCGAATGCTACCGAAACGAGACCATCCAATCACGTGACCCAATATCATCTCTAGTCCCCGGAATTTCGCCCACCTCGGCCATTGGTCGGGATTCATTATCGTGACTTAGATGGTCTGGGTTAGGGTTATGTGATCCAACTTCCCAACGGCCAGTGTGAAATGAATGTGCCGTATATGACTTGTAAGTCGGTCAATAGTGGCGAAAGACTGCTGATTTTTTCAGTTATTGCAGTTAAAACGCTGATGAACAGTATGTACAAATTTCATACCTCCACACTAACGCCACCACCTACAAACTGCCACCAAAGTTCTAGAAGAATCCATGATTGATAACAAGGTTTCTGTATGCAGTGTTGGAAAGGTGGTTATCACTGAAGTCGCCACCTTTGCATCCCATCCTCTGTACATTGACAGGAAAACCGCTTTGACCATGATTAGATCAACGCGAGCGGCCTCTCGGCTTCGGCTAGGAGCTCGTTACTATGCGTCACACGCCCCCTATGGCGTGCTTTCCGAACATTTGAAGCGCACCCCTCGAACCAACTCTCAACACTACTATCCTCCTCCTCAAGGAGCCCACGACCTTCCCAAGGTGTCCAGCATGGGAGATTCCATCGCGAGCATTGTTCGAGGACGAGAGTTGTGGGTCCAGGAAAAGGACAAGTCCGACAAGCCAGAGAAATCTGACAAGCCCGACAAGACTGATAAGACCGACAAGGACAAGCCTGAGAAACAGGACAAAGACAAGACCGACAAGCCCGAGAAGACCAAGGTGAGCCACACCCCGTCATCCACTGCATCCACCGGAGCCGGAGAAGCTGCTGCTCCTCCTTCTGCGCCTCCCTCGGGCTCGGGATCATCGTCTTCTTCTGGAGGAGGGTCTCCACCTGCCAAGAAGAAGAAGAGCCCTGCCCAGACCTATCCCGAGATTTTGGCGGTGCCCATCAGCGACCGGCCTCTGCTTCCTGGATTTCATCGAGCCCTGGTCATCCGAGACCCGAACGTGATGAAGGCTATTGACGAGATGATCACCCGAGGCGAGCCATACCTGGCATGCTTCTTCCTCAAAGAGTTTTCCAACGCAGACGTGATCCAGGACGCCTCCGAGGTACACGACATTGGAGTTATTGCTGAGATCCAGATCCAGTCGCAGGACCACAAGCGATCCACCGTCGACGCCTCCAACGAGCCTGTCTATGTGCTCATACTCTACCCCCACAAGCGAGTACGACTCAACTCGCTTAAAAACCCTCCTTCCAGCGGCGGAGCTGTGTCCTATGCCTCTGTGTCCGAAGACGTGGCTGAGGACGGAGAGCTGCTGCTGACTAGCAAGGATCTGGAGGGGTACTCGGAGGAGTTTCTGGAGGCCCGAGAGGAAGCCAAGAAAGCTAAGAGTGGCAAGACTGAGGATTCCAAGCACGATTCCAAGGTTACTTCCAAGGACGGCAAGGAGACCACCGAAAAGTACGACTCTTCAACTCTTCAGGAGTCCCCTTACTCTTTTCTGTCCACCTACGATGTGTCTACAGCTGCCATTTCTCTAATTGAGGACAAGCCCCACGACAAGAACAACAGGGTCATCACTACATTGACAAATGAGATTCTCAACGTGTTCAAGATGCTGCGGGCTGAAGACGCCACTCTTCGAGAACAGCTGTCGAGTGTCGTGGGCGATATTCTGCGAACCGAGCCTGCAGTTCTTCAGGAGCCCGGTCGGCTGGCTGACTTTGCCGCGGCTCTGTGTGCTGGCGAAGGAAAGGAGATCCAGGCTGTTCTGACCGCTCTGGATCTCGAGACTCGTCTCAACCGGGCTCTGATTTTGCTCAAGCGAGAGCATACCAATGCCAAGCTGCAGCAGAAGATTGCACGGGATGTGGAGAACAAGCTCAACAGCAAGCACAAAAAGTTCCTGCTGACCGAGCAGATGAAGGCCATTAAGAAGGAACTCGGGGTTGACGACGGCAAGGAGAAGCTGGTGGAGAAGTTCAACGAGCGGGCCGAGAAGCTGGACATGCCCGAAAACATCCAGAAGGTGTTTGAGGAGGAAATGACCCGGCTGCAATCCATGGAGCCCTCGTCCAGTGAGTACTCGGTGACCCGAAACTACCTGGACTGGATCACCCAGATCCCCTGGAACAAGACGACCGAGGACCGGTTCAACCTGCCCCAGGCCAAGGATGTGCTGGATTCCGAGCATTATGGCATGAAGGAAGTCAAGGATCGCATTTTGGAGTTTATTGCCGTGTCGCGCATGAAGGGCGGTCTTACTGGTAAGATTCTGCTGCTGCAGGGTCCTCCCGGTGTTGGAAAGACCTCCATTGGAAAGTCCATCGCCAAGGCACTCAATCGGCAGTTCTACCGATTCTCTGTCGGAGGAACTAACGATGCCTCTGAAGTCAAGGGTCATCGACGAACATACGTCGGAGCTATCCCTGGTCGACTTGTTCAGGCTCTCAAGCAGACACAGACAGAAAATCCTCTGATTCTGATTGATGAGATTGACAAGCTATCGTCTTCGCGAACTCAGGGAGACCCCGGAGCTGCTCTTCTGGAGGCTCTGGACCCCGAGCAGAACAACGCATTTCTGGACCACTACCTGGACGTTCCCATTGATCTGTCCAAGGTGCTGTTCGTGTGCACCTCTAACGATCTGTCTACAATCCCCTGGCCGCTGCTGGACCGAATGGAGGTAATTGAGATGAGTGGATATGTGCCCGACGAGAAGCTCAACATTGCCAACCAGTACCTTGTCCCCCAGTCCAAGAAGGAGACTGGTCTGGAGAATGTTAACGTTCAGGTGACCGACGATGCCATCAATGCCCTTAACCGACAGTATTGTCGAGAGTCTGGAGTTCGAAACCTCAAGAAGCACATCGAGAAAATTTTCCGAAAGGTGGTTGTCAAGATCGTGGGCGAGTATGGCCAGGACGAGGTTGCTGCTGAAAAGATTATTGACGTGGAGCCTGTGGAGAAGGATAAGGAGTCTGCTGAGAAGAAGACCACGAAGTCCAAGTCCAAGGAGGTCAACGAGGAACCTGCTGCCAAGGAGGAGAAAGACAAGGCAACTGAATCTGCTGAGTCATCTGAGACCAAGGTGGGCACGAAGGCTCCTCCTGTCACGGTCCCCGAGGACTACAGCCTGACTATCGATGAGAAGGATTTGTATGACTATGTCAACTCTCCCCCTTACTCGTCCGACCGAATGTTTGAGGATCCTCCCCCTGGAGTCGTCATGGGTCTTGCCTACTCTCCTCTTGGAGGCTCTGCTTTGTACATTGAGTGTATTCTGGATGGAGGTCTTTCTGCCGACTCATCTGCTCGACTCTCGTCGACTGGTAACCTGGGTAACGTCATGAAGGAGTCTACCAACATTGCTTACTCGTTTGCGAAGTCGTTTATGATCCGAAACTTCCCTGCCAACCGGTTCTTTGAGCGAGCTGGCATCCATCTGCATTGTCCAGCTGGCGCCATTTCCAAGGATGGGCCATCGGCCGGATGTGCCGTTGTGACTGGTCTGCTGTCTCTGGCTCTCAACCACCCCATTGACTCTTCCATTTCCATGACCGGTGAGATTTCGCTGACCGGTAAGGTGATGAAGATTGGAGGTCTCCGAGAGAAGGCTGTTGGAGCTCACTCTGCTGGAGCCAAGACCATCATCATTCCCAAGGACAATTCTGGAGACTGGGACGAGCTTCCTGACACCGTCAAGGAAGGTCTTACTCCCGTGTTTGCCGGCACCTACCAGGATGTGTATGACGTTGTTTTCCAGGGTCTGGATACCAAGGTGGCCGCTGAGGTGTGGAAGAAGCAATTTGATCTGATTGACCGAAAGCTCGACAAGCGAGGAAGCAAGTGAGGATGTATATAGTATGAATGAATAATGATTGTTTAGTTGTGATCATGAGTGGAGCAGCACAAGCATGCAATGTAAGTATCCCTTTAGACAACAATGTCAGTCTTGACAAGTTTTAATACATAATGCCTTTCTTAATATGTGCCCATGGCATATTTCTGTCGTAAGGAAATGTGTCATAACTCCATGTTATCAATCAATGTCAGATGGCAGCCCTACATGACGCCAGATTGTTGGCGCGCATAATTTATATCCTCTCGCTAATCGTCGTTACTTGTTTGATCTCTCACAACAAAGAAAGGGAATTACTTGTTTCCAGCTGCTTCGCTTGTTTCTCCACGGGATTTCTTCTTCTCCTGTCACGCCATTATTCTTCAGATTTACCTTGCGTTGCATCCCAGCTCGCGGAGCAGGGTGGTCGGGGGACATTGAAAAAGCAATGAGCGCAGCAGTAACTTACGGAAGCTTACGTGTTGGTTTTTTTCGTTAGCGTTTCCACTTTATTAGTCTGGAGGGGAGCCGTTGACCTACAAGTAATGGTACAATAGTCTCTCGGAAAGATGACAATAGTGGCCGTGCTGGTTTCGTGCTACTGCAGTGGCTACAGTATTGTCCTAGCCTCGTCTGTGGATGTCCAATGGTTAGTCTGAACTGCAAGTACAGTTCAAGTAGTGTCCTTGGTCCTAATCAACTTAACGACGTGTAGCACTGTACTATGTGTCTATGTCTTTCCCGCCTCCGGCACTTCGCATTAGATCCATTAGACCCGCCCGGTAGAAGGGCATGTGAAAGAGGCTGGAGGGGGCGAACTCAACAACTTGCTTGTAGTTGAAAGCCATGTTGTACAGTCCCTTTGATGGTTGATAGGCAGTACAGTAATGAAAAACTCCAACTCAATGTCACTCTAAAGTCAGACAAGGCCCTTCTTCCTGTTGACTCTGCAGGAATGCTCCACTTGTCTCAGCAGAGTTGACTTTTATCTGAGTGATTAAGAGGTGTATAACTTCACGCTGGTTTTCCCAGATACTTGATTTGCTACTTCTGGATCACCTTGTGGCCATTGCCCTTTCGAATATCGTCTATAGTTGTTGAAAGAACCCGAAATGCGCACAATCAAGATAATCTGGTGCCGATGATGGGCTGCCTAGGCAGTCCTTGTACACACTGCACAGTGCCCTCCAACACAATCGATACCTGGATTGAAAAGATCGACGGATGTAAAGTGTATCCGTCTTCTTTTCCTCTTCTCCTATGGAATGCTGCGCTTTTGTATTATTGGCGACCCTGTCCTCGTTCGGAGGAACGACAGGATGACAATGAGCACAGGAACAGACTCAGTATGTGGTCACAGAAGACTTTGTAACCTGGGGGGTGTATCAACTTACGCATTATGTTGGTGATATCGAACTCTGGTGGATAACAGCACTGCTGGGGGGAAGGATATGACCCCATCATGGAGGCCCTCGGAGTTTGTTGACATCTCTGCACATTCACAAGGCTGATGTGGTTCTCAAGGTGCTCATTCAATACACCTGTTATCCTGAAACTAACTACTGGCCGTGAATGGGTTATTTGCTTCAAATCTACGACTGCCTACACCGACAATCTCCTACGTGCAGTGCAGTGTTGTATAAGTAACTGAAGTGTTCAGGAAGTCCTCAACGTTACCTGTGTACATACTGTACTGTACGATAGTATGAAGATGTACTGTAACTACAGTACAAGTACAAGTAGCTGACTACTTAAACCGCCACTTTGAAGATTTATCTTCAAAGTGGTGATTTTATTGTTTTTTAAAACCATTGCAATATGTTTACCTCTCGTATCAGTCTGTCTGTTCTACATTGTAGTTCACATCCTCACCAACCACATGAACGTGTCAAAAATGTTCTCTAGACACTCAGCAGCTTTCCAATGGCATACTGTAGCTACTGTAATTTATCCTCCAACGAAAATTTTGAGAAGTATGGAGCATGCCACATCCGATCTAGCCCCTCACCTTATCTGCATCGAGTCACCTGACCACCATACCAGTAAAATAGTTGACCTCAATGCTCACAACTGACAACCAACACCTCCCTTCACACCACCATGCAAACATAGTCACAGGACTACAGAAACACTGCAATATGCAATACCCCTCACACTCGATTACTCACGTGACTCACCGCAAACTACACACTTTTCCCCGACAGCTTGCTGTGCAACGTTTTTCTGCGGCGTCTAAATTTTCCGTGCGGCGGGATAAGCGTCGGGTTTTATATAGGCTTGGCATCACAGTACGTTGGAGGGGTAGAGAGTGGAGTGGAGAAGTTAGTGGTGACCCAAAACATAGGTAAATGATATACTGTAGTCGAGAGAAGTGATAGCAGACCAGTTGTAGCACGCACACAATACCCATCTTACTAATCCTGTACCCTCGCCATTACTAAACCCTGAGAACCCCAACTACACACGTGCTCAGATAGCAATTTTAGACGCCTGACCGACACGAAGCTTGCGGTGTGTACAACTTGAAGCGGCAGTCAGATATGTCATATTTGGAGCTAAAGATGCAAATAAAACGCAACCTCATTATCAATTCCACAATAATAATATACCGGAAAAGTCACGTGCCCAAAAACCCTCTCCATCACGCCCCATCCACCTGCGGCAACTGATACCACTTTGGATTTTAGCTTTGTGGAGTGCATCAGCTGTGTCTACTAACCGCGCAGCTAAAGGTCTTATAAACCACACTGCGCAACCCAGTCTCCTCTGTAAGCACCTTCTCACACACAATGTTGCGAGCCCTGAATACCGTCCAGCGACTTTCCAGCACCCGAGCCATGTCCACCTCTTCCATTTCGTCTCTGCTTAAGAACCCCAATCTTCTGCGAAACCAGGGCTATGTCAATGGTCAGTGGGTCTCCTCCAAGACCGGAGACACTTTCAGCGTTGAGAACCCAGCCACTGGCGAGACTCTGGGCCAGGTGCCCGAGTTCTCTGTCGCCGAGGCCGATGAGGCTGTCCAGCACGCACAGACTGCCTTCAAGACCTTCAAACATACCACTGGACGAGAGCGATCCAAGATGCTGCGAAAGTGGTACGATCTGATGCAGGAGAATGCTGGTGATCTGGCCACCCTGGTGACTCTGGAGAACGGTAAGTCCCTCGCTGACGCCAAGGGCGAGATTGGCTACGGAGCATCTTTCTTCGAGTGGTTCTCCGAGGAAGCTCCTCGAATCTACGGAGACATCATTCCATCCGCCAACCCCGCCAACCGAATCTACACAATCAAGCAGCCCATCGGAGTCTGCGGAATCATCACCCCCTGGAACTTCCCCTCGGCCATGATCACCCGAAAGGCTGCTGCTGCTGTTGCTGCTGGCTGTACCATGGTGATCAAGCCTGGTTCCGAAACCCCCTACTCTGCCCTTGCTCTGGCTTACCTGGCTGAACAGGCCGGCATCCCTAAGGGTGTTGTCAACGTGGTCACTACTAAGAAGAACACTCGAGCTTTTGGTAACGCCCTGTGCGAGAACCCGACCGTCAAAAAGGTTTCTTTCACGGGCTCCACTGGTGTCGGAAAGACCCTTATGGGCGCATCGGCCTCCACTCTTAAGAAGCTGTCCTTTGAGCTCGGTGGCAACGCTCCCTTCATTGTGTTTGAGGACGCCGATATTGACCGGGCTGTCGACGGAGCTATTGCGTCCAAGTTCCGAGGCACTGGCCAGACCTGTGTCTGTGCAAACCGAATTTATGTGCACGAGAGCATCGCCGAGAAGTTTGCTGAGCGAATGGCAGCCGTGGTCAAGGACTTCAAGGTTGGAAACGGTCTCGACCCTAACACCACCCATGGCCCTCTTATCCACGAGGGAGCCAAGGGCAAGATCCAGGAGCAGGTTGACGATGCTGTCAAGAAGGGAGGAAAGGTACTCATTGGAGGCTCCGACGCCCCTGAGATCGGAAAGGCCTTTTTCCAGCCTACCGTCATTTCCGGGGCCAAGTCTGATATGCTGATTGCCTCCGAGGAGACGTTTGGTCCCATTGCTGCCATCTTCCCCTTTAAGACCGACGCTGAGGTCATTGAGCTTGCCAACAAGGCAGAGGTCGGTCTGGCCGGCTACTTCTACTCCAAGGACGTGTACCGAATCCAACAGGTTGCCGAGGCTCTCGAGGTCGGAATGGTCGGTGTTAACACCGGTCTGATGACGGAGTGTGCTCTGCCCTTTGGCGGTATCAAGGAGTCTGGCTTTGGCCGAGAGGGCTCCAAGTACGGCCTGGATGACTACATGGTGCTCAAGACTATTGTTGTGTCTGGCGTCGAGCCCCACATTCAGCCTTAAGCAAAAATGAGTAGTTTCAAGATTAATGATGATGATTTATTAAATACCGTACTCGTACTGTCTGCGTATAGATAAAGCAACAGGTGCATTATCATCAGAGTTTATTTGAGGCGCGTGATGATGTAGCTACACTAAGATCGAAATCCAAGTACTTGTACAAGTACAAAGAAATACTGTAGCTACAGTACATGACATTTATATGAAAGCTTACAGTGAGAAAAAAGATCTGGGTGAAACATGGATGAGGTTCGTGGTGTGCAACTGTTACACTAGAATCACCATCATCCAGTGCACAATACGGTTTGAAGACCTTCGAATATATATGACATCTTACTGATTTCTACGTACAAGTATTTCAAGTACAGGTATCAATTGGTAACCTCAGGTTTCCTACAATGCTGAAATTCGTATAAGATATGTTATTGATCAATAAATAATATGGTACTTGTAGTTTTGTGTCAATGCAAAGCATATTACGCAGCCATCAGGGTGCTTATTTGAGGTTGGTGAAGTCAACCTCACCCTCGAGAAGACCAGAGTTCTCCTCACCCTGGCGGGAGCAGGTGCAATGGTTGGCAGGTCTCATGCCGCAAGAGCAGGTGGAGGAGACGGGCTTGGCGTTCTCAACGGGAGCCTTGGAGCAGACACACTGCTGGGCAGGCTTTAGGCCACAAGAGCAGGTGGCCTCCTGGGCGCAAATGCAGGTGGTGTTGTTCTTCTTGCAGCAGGTCATTATGAATGTAGTGGGTTGTAGTGGTTGTAGATGGAAGAGTGTGTTTGATTCTGTTCATTTTCGGGCTTCCAAGGCTTCCTTATAAGGAGCTGGGAGGAGCTGGGGGTCATCGCGTGATCGAAGTTAAACGTGATGACTCGAAACCTTCCTGACCATTACAACGATTGTTATTGGATGTTAGTTCTTCCTGTCATATTCTAGAAATGTCAGCCCCGAAACCTTATTTGATGACCTCTATGCACACAACGATTGGCTGATTTTAAGGTTAGTCAGGTGATATTGGGAGTAAAAATAATTTCAACTACGATTTGCCAAATATTTAGGTCACGTGAAGCCGGACGAGACAAAAATGAAGATCTTCACTTAGGGAGTGAAAAAGCTGGGCCCAACCGGGAATTGAACCCGGGACCTCTCGCAAATTGCCTAGGACACCCTAAGCGAGAATTATACCACTAAACCATCGGGCCTCGACGATAAGATTTCACTTAACACTGGAATCAAAATCCTTGTCTCTGCTTTGTCATCAATGTATCATTAGAATAAAAAAAATTGTAATGAATCATTAGAATTAAAAAAAAAATTGATTTATTGAACGCCAATAACCTGGCTTACTAGGTATATAGCTGTAATGAATCATTAGAGTAAATAAAATAACCTGGCTTACTAAGTATATAGCTGTAATGAATCTAGAATAAAAATTTAAAAATAACTTTAATTAATCATTAGAATAAATCCCCCGTAACCCCAATGCATGGAAGTAATTATATGGTGTGGGAGAGACTGTTACTGTTTTAATTCACGGACATTATATTATTATCTATATTTGGTTTAAACACAAATCAGTCTTACAAATCGCACACAAAAATGGTACGTTCTAGTATTGATAATCATGTATGGTAATACGATGTCGTGCATTGTTTATGTAGTGTAAGTAGTTATTGTGCGTTGTGTATGCAGTGTAATCGGTGACAGTGACAACATGGGGAGATATATATAGAACGGCTTTGGGACGGTTTAGATCAAAACTCATGTTAAGAAAACAACAACTCATCAGCAAACTACAACAACTAAAACTAATGTCTACCACTACCGATATTACTACACCCATTTCCAAGCCCATTGACAAGATCTTCACTGCTCTAGAGACTTCCGAGGGTCGAGGAGCGCGTGTTCGGCGTGTCATGCCTACTGGGAATATGGTGAACTTTACCCCCTTTCTTATGTTTGATCATTTCAAGGTGCCCTCTTCTGCTGGTTTCCCAGACCATCCTCATCGAGGCCAGGAGACTATCACCTATGTGGTTGATGGATCCGTCGACCACGAGGATTTCACTGGTAGCAAGGGTACTCTTAATGCCGGAGATTTACAATTTATGACTGCTGGACGAGGTATAGTGCATGCTGAAATGCCTTCTGCGGGTCCTAATGGAGAGGTCCGAACTGTGGAGGGTATCCAGCTGTGGGTGGACCTACCCAAGGAGCTCAAGAACTGCAAACCTCGGTACAGAGATCTGAGAGCCGCTGAGATTCCTATTGCCAAATCGGATAGCGAGGATCTCACTGTCAAGGTGATTTCTGGCAAGTCTATGGGCGTCGATTCCGTCAAAGATCTTGCGTATACTCCTGTCTGGTTCCTTGATTTCGAATCTTCCAAGCAGTACAGCGGACGAGAGGTCAACCAGGATATACCTGAGGGCTTCAACTCGCTGTTATATGTCATGAAAGGCACAGCTACCGTCAACGGCAAGAAGATCAAGCAGCATGATGTGGTTATATTCAAGAATGGAGGAGACTCTATCGACTTCATCCCTGGTCCTTCCTCAAGAGTCATTGTCATTGGAGGAAAGATTCTGGAACAGCCCATTGTCCAGCATGGTCCCTTCGTTGCAACCACCAGAAAGGGCATTGTCAAGGCCTTTGAGGACTACCAGACTCGAACTCATGGTTTTGAGCAGGCCAAGGGTTGGTCTTCCGAAATCGGTAAGCGGATGAAGCTGTAGGCCCACGAGTCTACAGTACGAATACCGGTACGTAGTCACCGAAGTCCCTTACTAACCTTTTTATATACCTACATAGCATAAATATAAATGAACTATCAATAGCCTATCTAAAACTATCACCACGTGTAGCCTTATATTTCTGGGGCATGAGCTGAGTCGCCATTCCGCTACCCCCTTATCCCTTCATATGACGGACATGAAAAGAAACCTCATATCACAAACAGCCCCTTACGCTCACGCTCCAGAAAGTCACGCAGCTTACATTTGAGATGCAGCGCTTCCAATAACACTATCGTTGCCACCACAACGAAAGTGGCAAGACGGCTCTTCCAGTATTTTCCAGAAGCATTTTAGTAGGGCAAACGAAAACGAAAGCAGAACTAAAGAGAAATTTCCTTTACATCTACGGATAATTTTTTCCTTGTCAAGCTCCCAAGACCTGTACCGTGCTCACATTCTGATCAGATGTAAAACGCCACTTGAGTTGTTACTCTGTGCTGTGTTTGGCACGGTTATACTTTCAAGTACAAGTAGGAGACATTGTTTGTATGGGGTATGGAGAGTACTCAGTCACTAAAAAACTAGCCATAGGACACAGAGATGATGGTAGTATCAAAAATCGTCACTCACGTGGCCACTGCCTCACAAACCCATAATCACCCTCCAACTTCCTGCTAAAACACCTAGACCTGTTCCGCCCCCTTGAAATAGGGTTTAAGACACGTGACCATACGCCTCTTCACGCAGGTTGTATATATACATCCGCAGTACGTAGCACCTCTTCGCTAACAATGACTCGACACAGCATGGAATCCAACGACTCGAACGACGTGTTATTCGACGCGCCCTCCAGTCCACGTGACGCTCTGGCTGCGGCTTTTGGAAGCGACTCAGATTCGGACTCGGATGATGAACATCATCTCCAGAGCGGAGGACGGATGGGACGTAGCTACAACCAGGTCGACACCAGCACACAAGATGATGACGACGACCTGAACCATGACGACGATGGAGGAGCTACTCTGGAGGAGCTGGCGCAGACGGAAGACCCCCAGTACGACAGAAGCAACTATGCAGACGACCGGTTAGGGGGCTCCAACAACAACGGAGGCCATACCCGGATCCCTGGAGGTTTTCCTGAAGCTGGAAACACCGGTTCTGGATCGGGAGGCAACGCTGGCTCCGGGTCCGAGGGCTCCAACGTGTTTTCTACCGGCTTCTTCAACCGTCTATTCAACAGAGGTCAACTGCTGCCTACAACAGAACCTCCAGCATCATCTTCGCACGATGGTGTGTTTTCAAACACTCAGGCCAATGATGACGACGAAGATAAGCCCACTGACGAAACACCTCCTACCTACGAGGAGGCTGCTGCGGATGCCACTCCTCCTTACTGGGCAACCACTATTCTCCACCCTGGCTACGCGGAAGAGGTGTTTATCGACGGACTTCCCGTGGGCTCGCCCATTTCTTTTTTGTGGAACATGACTGTATCGTCCGTTTTCCAATTCATCGGTTTTGTTCTTACGTACCTGCTGCACACGTCGCACTCGGCCAAACAGGGCTCTCGAGCAGGCCTCGGACTCACAGTGTTCCAGATCGGCATGTACATGCGAAACAGCGGAGGAAACCCCACTACAGACTACTCGTCAGTACCTGCACACCAATTTGTGCCCTCAGACCCCAACAACTTCGATGTACCCGGTTACGGATCCAACATTCCGGGAAACGCAGTCATTCCGACCATGGAGCATGTGGACCCCACGGTGCAGGAACAGGAGCGGGCCGCTCATGAAAAGAATGTCTTCTGGTCAGGCATTATCATGGCGGTGGGAACTCTTGTCATTCTCAAAGCTCTGTGGGACTACTGGCGTGCTCGACGAATGGAGTTGATTGTTCTTCAAACTCCCCAGCACGTAGTGACGGAAGAAGATACCCCCGAGACTGCTGTCTAGGAAAGGAGGGAAGCAAATAGACTAACTTGGCCCCCGTCAGGAAGGGGACCATTATTTATTAGACACTGCATGGCACATACTGTAATAGCATGATGGAGTACAAGCATCTGTATTGTAGACTGTTTCATATTGCGTTCATTTTTGTGAGACTAGAAGAGTATTTGATACAAGTACTAATATATTGATCAATGTAATAACGTACGCACGATGTTGTTTTCTGTTCATCTAGTCATTATGTATAAACGTCTAAAGAATCTCCATGATCTTCTCATAGATGGTAAAGACAATACCTCCGGAGAGAATGAGTCGTCCGAGACGGGGAGTGGCTCCCTTCCAGAAGGTCAACAGGCCCTCCTCCTTGAAGATTCGAGCAAAGCAGTGGAAGGTGCCTCGGTATTCCTTTTTGGCCTCCAACGATTGCATTCGGGTCTTGACGGTATCCAGAGGCATGGTGGTGTAAACAGTGACGATACCGGCAAAGGCACCGACAATGAATGTGGACAGAGACGAGAGAGGGGCCTTAGGGTCCTTCTGCCGGCTCTGAATGAACACCTTCATCCAGTTGTAAGATCCCAGGCGGACAGCCTGGTTCGCAGCCTGTCGCATGGTAACAGGGACAAGACCACGGTAGATACCGGAGAGGCCCTTGTCCTTGATGAGCTGTGCGGTTCCCTTGAACAGACCCTGGTACTTGGGATTCTTACTCTGTCGGTCGTCGATCATGGCTGTCTTGATGGTCTCAAAAGGAGTCACAGCGACGACGGACTCAAGCACACCGGCTCCCAGTCCCGCTAGAACTCCTCGAGGTCCGGACACCTTACCATCCTTGTCGGCCAGCAGGCCCTTGATTGCGTCGAAACCAAGGAACCGGACACCAGCCTTGACGGTATTGCCGACAATGAAAGCGGGGCAACCAGTGTACACTGCTCCGAGACCCTGGGTCTTGGCTGTGTTGTAGATGAGCACCAGAGGGTTTCTGGAGGCGGTGGATGACTTGTCAACGAGCTGGAGACGGGTCTTGGACCATTCGAAAGGGTAGGTAACGAGACCCTCCACGGCTCCGGCCGTAGAACCGGCTACCAGGGACTTCCAAGGTTCGGCCTGTGTTAGATCATGATGCTTGCTGGTAGTAGTTGTCGACTATGACTCATACTCACCTTCTTGGTATCTGATGAAACCATTGTCAATGTGTCTGTGTCTGTACTTTTCAGTGGGGGTGCTGTTGAACGGGCTCTGGATGTGTCAGTCCGTGTTTTTAGATCCGCTTAGTGTGGATATTTTTCACCTGAAAAGTCTCGAGGATAACTTCAGCCGTGTTTGACTCAAGATGCGCTTTAGGCTCCCAGCATGTCCGCTTCGGCCCGTGTATGCACACCAAAAGCTGGAGAAGCATTGGTGGAGGTTGTAGCAGTAGAAGATTATCTTGGTCCAATTTGTGGCATGGATGTCAAATTGATGTCACGTGAGTAGATTTCGAATATCGTATCGCTATTCACAAATGTCGATGTGCTCCATCTTGCCGTACCTAGAACATAAATGAGAGTACGTTCGCTTAAAAGCCAGATCAACTAATATGGATAGAATAACCAACTAAACTTCGTGAGTGTCCACGGCAGTGTTTACAGTGCTGGTATGTATGAAATAATTGTTTTGCTTCCGCATAATGGACAAAATTAATTTATATAAAACCAATGTTATATCTCTGATCCACAAATTCGCAACATTTCCTTTATCACTGTCGCGTTTGGCCGTATCTACAGTGTTTTTATGCTCACAGCTCTGCTAATTACAGTGTAATACAATCATGTCTTTGTTAATCGTCTCCTACATGAATCTATTTGAACGAGTTTTACCCTAAATAAACAGACGTTCTAGTTCCAATATTAATTCCATCTCTCTATTAGTACAGTAAATCTATTCCCTGTCACTCCGATGCCCAATGCATCCCCTCCACCATCTCACATTCACTCTTACCTCAATTAAGTTCACGACTCGACAGTCAGACATCACCACCTAAAGTTTCATCTACCATCACGTCCATCACCACACATCCAATGCCGTCACTAACGCCCCCCACAGCCAACGGAGCCGTCCAATCGTCGTCGGACGAAGTCACGTCCATCGTCATTGAGTGCGGCTCGTCATACACGCGTGTCGGCTTCTCGGGAGACGACCTCCCCAAGGTGGTCATCCCCACCAAATACGGCAAGTACACAAACGACAAGGGCGAAGATGTGTACGAATTCGGCCTGGAAAACGTGCATCGACCTGTAGCCGGCAAGGAAATCTACAGCCCCGTGCAGGACGGTTGCATCCAGGACTGGGATGGAGTGGCCAAGCTTTGGGAGTACGCCATCAAGGAAAAGCTCAAGGTGGACGACTTGAGCGAGTACCCTCTGGTGATCACAGAGCAGATGTGGAACTCGAGTGCAAGACGGGCCAAGATCGCCGAAATGTGCTTCGACAAGTTCCGGTCGCCTGCCATCAGCTTCGTGAAGAACCCTCTCTGTACTGCTTACGCTGCCGTGCGACCCAACTCCATCATTGTGGAGATCGGTTCGGCCGTGGCCAGTGTGTCTACCGTACTTGACGGCAATGTGGTAACCAAGGCCTCTTTCCACTCCAAGTTTGGAGGCGACTTTCTCAACTACCTGATTCTCGAGGAGTTCAAGCGAAAGCAGGTCGAGGTCATCCCCTCGTACCTGGTCAAGAAGAAGAAGGACATTAACGACCCCAACCCTTCTACATTCCTGCGAGAACTGCCCGGCATGACTGACTCGTACAAAAACTTTGAGATTGAGCGGGTGCTCGACAACTTCAAGGAAACCACCCTCCAGGTCAACTACCACCCCATCATGCCTCACACACCGCTGCCACCCAACATCCAGAGACCCTACGAATTTCCCGACGGAAGCACATACATTGCTGAGCAGGAACGATTTGGAATCGCCGAGTCGCTGTTCAGGCCCGTCGAGTTTGGACCCCCAGGTGTCGTGCCTGAGGGAACTCTCGGTATCTCGGAGCTCATCTACCATGCCGTGCTCAAGACCGACCCCAAAGCCGAGGTCCAGATGGAGCTACTTAACAACATTGTCGTTGTTGGAGGAACTACTCTGCTCAACGGTCTGACTGCCCGAATCCACCGGGACATGGCCCAGTTCTTCACCCAGTTCCATGTCAAGCAGCCCTACCTCTCGGTGACCTCCACCGAGCGAAAGTCGCTGGCATGGACCGGTGCCTCTGTTTTCGCTTCTCTCGGCAACTTTGGTTCTTCCTGGGTCATCAAGCAGGAGTATGAGGAACAGGGCGCCGATGTCATTGACAAGCGTTTCAAGTAGAGTAGCTGTAGCTAACGTGTATTATAATGGTATTGGATGTTTTGAATCATGCAGTATGTACTGTATCTACCAGTACGTATCTAGTTACTCGTAGTCTAATGTGTATAAAAAATCTTTGTTATATGTACATCACCTGTAGTTTTTCTTCGTCTACTCCTCGTCAAAGTCAGCCTCCTCAACAGCCAGCTCAACATCATCAAAATCACCCTCATCATCGTCGTCATCTTCCTCATCTTCCTCCTCCTCATCCTCGGCACGCTGCTTGGCTTCGTATTGCTTGTAGTATGCGGCCAGAGCGTCCTCTTCCTCCTCCTCGAGCTTGGGCTCCATATCCTCGGCCTTGACCTTGGGAGCCACTTCCTCCTTTTTAACACCCTCCTTTGTATCCTTCTTCTGGGGATAGTCATCGTCGTTACCAATCTCTGTGAATCCATGTTGCTCCTGGTCGGTATCCCCCATTACCATCTGTCGACCAACAGTAGACTCCATGTACCATGCGGGAAGGGCGTTCTGTTCGGCCAGCTTAGCCTTCTCATCTCGCTGGGCAGCCTCGTCCTCTGCACCCGTGGAAAGGTTGACGGTGAGAGTGGAGCTTTTGTTGGAGCCCGTCTGGGACGAAGTAGTGCCTCTGCCAGCAGTCTTGATAGAAGAGGTGCTTCCTGCAGTGACCTCCAGCTGTGCGGGAACCGCCTTGGCAAGCGACGTCTCAAAGGTGTTTTCGGCCACCTGGATGTCGTCTATCTTTCGTAGCTCGTCTATAATGGGCTTGATTTGCTGCATGAGCTTTTCCAGTCGGTCCTGGTGCACTCTGGATTCGTCACTGGTGGTATCTTCGACAATCACGGTAGAACAGACATCACAGGTGAAAGTGCCGTCCATTTGCACGTTGGTGACGGCCTCGAGGGTAGTGAACTTTTTGGTACACAGCGGACACACGTATCCCTGTGGCTGGGATTTCTTTCCAAGCGCCTCCTCTGCCTGCTTGTTCATGGAGTGCACCTTCCACTTGATGGCATCGATAGTCACAGTGTAGTGGATGTAGTAGTACGTCTTTTGGTAATTTTTGTTGTAGCCGTATGTGTTTTCCTGCTGCTCGCGCTGGGTGTGATCCTTGAGCAGCTTGTCGTCCTTGAGCTTTGCGCAAATCTGTCGAATCTCCTTGGCCGGAATGCTCAGCAGCTGGTGCAGTTCCTCGTCTGAAAGCACCACATGCTTGAGCAGCGCGTCCATCACCAGGATGGACTTTGTGTCGTAAAAGCCTCGTGTAACGTACTGGAGGAGCCGCTTGATGTTGTCCATGCTGTGTTAATTTGTGGTGTTGGTTTTTTCTTGTGCCCGTCCCCGAAGCTGCTGTTGTATGCTACAGTACTGCCTGTTTTATCCCGATCAAAGTTAGTCAAACCGACTGAGAGTGCGTTCTTCCTGCATACTCCAACATGACGACGGATTTCGGCGGTGGCACAAAAAAAGTGAGAACCGAGCAGGAGGAGGACCTGGCGTCGGAGTTTCCTACGAAGCTCACGATAGACGCTCACTCCGCACCCTGCACGACGGCAAAAATCAGCCCAAACGGCAAACAGATTGCAACATGTTCTGCAGACGCGTCTATAAAGCTGTGGGACGCTGCTACTGGAGACCTGATACAGACGCTGAGAGGTCATCGAGCGGGAATCAATGACATCAGCTGGTCGCCTGACTCGAAGATGCTCGCCACAGCTTCCGACGATCGAACGATCCGAATTTGGTCCACACACCGACCTTCCAGTCAGCGTATCCTAGTGGGACACACCCACTATGTGACATGCGTCAAGTTCAATTATAAGGGCAACCTAGTGGTGTCCGGATCAGCCGATGAGAATGTCCGAGTGTGGGACGTGCTTCAGGGTCGGTGCATCATGACCCTGGCGGCCCACTCACAACCCATCTCGGCGGTCGACTTCTCATGCGAAGGAACCATGATTGTCAGTGGATCACATGACGGTCTTATCCGAATGTGGGACACTGCCACTGGCCAATGTTTGAAAACAATTGTCGGTGAAGAATCTTCACCCATCATGTTTGCCCGCTTCACTCCAAACTCCAAGTTCATCCTTGTCTCTAATATGGACTCCACTGCAAGGTTGTGGGACTACATGAACAATAAGGTGGTCAAGACATACAAGGGCCACGAGAATGGCAAGTACTGCTGTCCCACTGGCTTTGTGTATCGTCAGGATCGAGCCGTCCTTTTGCATGCCTCTGAGGACGGTCGCGTCTACGTGTACGATATACAGGATCGAACTGTGCGGGGCTCGTTTGACGCTCATCCGGGAGTTATTATTTCACTGGATGTTATTGATAACAAAATCGTTACCTGTTCATTAGATGGCTCAGTGAAGCTGTTTGAGCTGGTGGAAGAGAACAGCCCAAGTGACGACATGGATACTGATACCGAGGAGAATGGCTGCCGAACCAATAGCAGTGAGGAGCGGGACAACAGCAGAGAAAAGGAGGACGGCAATGGAGATGGTCATGGAGATGTTAGCATGAACAACGACTAGCACTGAATATGGTGCTTAAAACAACACGAAAGGTGCTGTCTACTACAAGCACACAGCATCTACGAATAAGTAATATAGAATAACAGCATAATGACTAAACGTACAGTAGCTACAGTAGGAGTACAGTGGCCACTCGAACGCACCTACATACCCCAGTTCAAACATGAACCGTTTAATTTATTTATATAATGCACTACCTAGTACAAACCACCTACGCCTGGAAAGCAACGTTGTCGACGTTTCCAGCCATGAGAGAAACAATGTTCTCCTCCAGTCTATCAGTAACAGCATCCTCAAGATGCTTCTTGGGGTCCTGCTTTCCGACATATCGAGTCTTGAGCTGGTCCTCGGTCATCTCCTGCTCCTCCTGCACTCGGTTGGTGTACTCAATGGCCAGTTTGACCATCTTCTGTGCAGCGTTGGCGTTGTTGCACTCCTGGGTCTCGTAGTTCTGGATCTCCAGACCAGAGGTCCAACTGCTCTTGTGCAGGTTCTGCAGCATCTTCTCATCCAGGGGAGTTTTCTTGTAGTTGATGTTAATGGAGTAGTAGTGTCGGTTCAGGCCGTGGATCAGGGCGTGGATTGTGGGCTTGTTAAGATGACCCACGTTGGAGGTCGACAATCGAGGCTCCTGGCCCAAAAGCACCGAGTTTGTGTTAATCAGTCGGAAGGCGTCAATTACAACCTTACCCTTGACCGACTGAATGGGATCCACCACCACTGCCACTGCTCGCTTGTTGAGCTGCTCAAACGATTGTTGGGTGTTGATATCCACAGACGACAGCCAGCAGCCGAAACCGGGATGTGAATGGTACCATCCGACGACCATCTGATCTCGACCGGTCTGTTTAAGCATATCCATCATTCGTGTTTGGAACACATCATCAACGGCCTCAACGGAGACACCAGTACCACTCTGGGGCATGGCAAACACATCAATGACATGAACTGTGTAGTCGTCCACAAACTCTCCCAGCATAAGTCCCATCTGTTGTTAGTATTGATTCGTTCAACCCATCCCCCTCGATCTGCTGTTGCCACCATTGTCACCACGTTGTGGCGTACAACAGCCATTGTCGAATAGCACCGCGTTCATTGCATACTCACCACTTCCATGGGGACACCAGCTCGTCCATGCTTCAGCATCTTCAAAAGAGCTAATGAGGAAATGTAGACAGTCTCTGAGTTGTCGACCACAGGTCCATCCTGTTGTTAGTACTATGTTTCATGAGTCGTTTCCAATTCCTGGACATAATCAAACCATCCAGCTCCGATCATACTCACACCTCCTCCAACACCGGGACCACCGAGGCCCCCGGTCTGTAGCATTCGCTGAAATCGCTCCATTATTGATTTTTGATCTGTAGTTGTGTCGTGTGTTAATCTATCTTGGTGATGTATGTGTGGCAAAGTACGAGGTTAACTCGAAATTATGGTTTGTTCGATTCTCGCCTGGGAGGCGTAGGAAAAGAATTCCATGACCTTCCGGTGGCGATATAAGTGGATAAATAAATGTTCAAGAGTAAATATATGTCACATTTACTCTCTATAATGATTGACATTACTCCCTCCATGATGTATGTACTCATAACCTGTAATTCGTACTGAACTTAATGTGCACAGGTTGTCATATCGTCTGAACATACAAAAACGCCATGCTAAGAGCAGTTAGGCGGATTCCCCGGAGTGTGGGGGGCACACTTGCGGCAACCATTCGACACAAATCCACCGGTCTGAAGTTCCCAGCTTCTGAAACCGTCGTAACCAAGTTTTCGTTTCCTAGTCGAACCCATTCCATCACCGGTCTTCTCAAAGATGCTCCTGCGCTGGAGCAGAGCCAGAAGAAGGTCACTCTGCAGGGCTGGATCCACAAGAAACCCCGAAAGGTATCCAAGAACCTCACTTTTGCATCCCTGAGAGATACTAACGGAGATATCATCCAATTGGTGGATTCCAACAGTCCTTCGATGCTTCGATCTATGAAGCCTGAGAGTGCAGTGGTCGTGGAGGGTGTGGTTGCGAAGCAGAGAACCGCCAAGAAGGGAGTGTTTGATCTAGTGGTTTCTTCTTCCTCTGTGCTCAATGAGGCCAACGAGAAGGGGAGTCAGCTGACTCTGGGTGATACAAAGGATTGGCCTGCAGAGTACCGATACCTGCAATTGCGACAACCCCAGCTTCAGGCTGCTCTCAAGCTTCGAGCCAACGCCATGAGGGCCTCTCGAAGCGTTCTGGATAATCTTGGGTTCACAGAGGTCGAGACTCCTCTACTTTTCAAATCCACTCCCGAGGGAGCTCGAGAGTTTCTGGTGCCCACAAGAAAGCGAAACCTCATGTACGCTTTGCCTCAGAGTCCGCAGCAGTATAAGCAGCTGCTGATGGCTTCTGGTGTTCATAGATACTATCAGTTGGCGAAGTGTTTCCGTGATGAGGATCTGAGACAGGATCGGCAGCCTGAATTCACCCAGGTCGATATGGAGATGGCTTTTGCCAATGGAGCTGACGTGCGAGAGGTTGTAGAGAAGCTCGTGCTCAAGATCTTCGCCGATACTGTGAACAAGAACATCTACACTCTTGATGCTAATGAAAACCTTGTGCAGCAGTCCACTTTCAATCCCATGACTTTCAAAGAGGCTCTGGGCAAGTACGGTATTGACAAGCCAGATCTCAGATACACTTGTGCCATTACCGATGTCTCTGAGCATGCCACCTCCTTTAATGAGGACTTCCCCGTGTGTGAGATTCTGCACGTCACCAAGGAGAATGCTCCTGAGTCTCTCGACTTCCTATCTGAGGCTCGACAGTACACTAACCGAATTCCCGACGTGATTCAAATAACTGAGGAGAACCTTTCGTCCTGGAACCAGCAAGTTTCTCAGTTTAAACTTGACAAGACACTTCCTGTTTCAGTTGGAGATGTTGTCCTTGCTTCTACTAGACAAACTACCTCATACGAGAATCCCACTCCTCTTGGACGTGCGAGACAGTTACTGATCAAGGAGTACCCTGAGAAATGGCGACGCCAATTGGCTTCTGGGGAGCAGCTTCCCTCAATTGAAGACACCTTTGTGGCCTCTTGGGTCATTGACTTTCCTCTCTTCTCTCCTAGCTCGATGGACTCTGATCCTGAAAAATCGCAGCCCTTCCCCAAGTTTGACTACACTCAGATTGTGGCCTCCCATCATCCTTTTACCATGGCTGTTCTTGAAGACTACCCCCTTCTGGAAACGGATCCACTGAAGGTCCGAGGTCAACACTATGATCTAGTCCTCAACGGCGTTGAAGTGGGGGGTGGGTCTACTAGAGTCCACGATTCGCAGCTGCAGAACTACATTTTCAAGGAGATTATGAAGATCCCCAACTCTGAGAAGCTTTTCGGACACTTGTTGCGAGCCTTTGATGTGGGATGTCCCCCCCATGCTGGTTTTGCTATCGGTTTTGACCGTTTGGTCGCAATGCTTGCAGGTTACTCGTCTATTCGAGATGTCATCGCCTTTCCTAAGACCGTCACTGGGGCTGACCCCATGATTGGCAGTCCATCTGCTGCCACCTCGGCGCAGCTCGCTCCTTACCATGTTCGAGTTGCTCCCAAGGAAAACAAGGAGTAATTTGAGATGTACAAGCATGATGCTCCTGTTCAAAATAAATGTGTGCTTGTACAGTACAAGTACAAGTATTTGTATATAGTAATAGAACTTTTAGTTATTCGAGTGTTGTCTCTCTGTGTTAATTTTGCGTACAAGAATTATTATTGTGCTGGTCCAATGGATATCCTATACAGAACCTTCAGTTTTTGAAACTCTCAACTGAGATGCCAAAAAAACACATCAAACCATCGCAACTTGTTGGATTCAACGGAATATGAACGTATTTATATTGATTTTAAGAACTACTTGTACAAGTTTTACGTACAAGTACAAGTAGAAGCGTACAATACCTAGATCTTCGGTGGAAGCTCTTGCCCAGTTCTACGATGATCTTGGCGTCTTGAGCTTAAAGATGCAACCGATTCTTACCGAAGCGCATGCCGTTCATACAAGTAGCATGCTGATGTCTACGATCCAGCGTATCAAGAATGAGGGAACCTCACCCAAACTCCCCTCACCTGTACATGAAGCAATGTAGCACAGATAACCAAGAATTACGAACTCATTGTGCCAAATTCATTGGAATACCCTTCCAATGTCTGAACACGCTACGCGTCAAAAAAAACACGCTATGATGTACTGATTAACCACAGGAAGAATTCTTATGGTTGTTTGTTTTGCACCCACCAACGTACCTACCCCCACCTAGTCACAGTACATTCAGCATATAGTCAATGTTAGCATTCTTTACGTACGTTAGTCAGTGTACCATCTACCAGTGGATGATTTTGCCCTCGTCCTTTCCAAGCTCCCAATTTCCAGCCAGTCCAACATTCTCATCTTCCGAGTTATCCTCCAGGTTCTGGACCTTGTGCTTGATCTTCTGTCGCAGATGAACAGCATTCTTCTCTCGAGTATCCTCGTCTTCGGAAGAAGAGTGGATCTTTTCCGTGGGCTTGGAGATCTTGGTCTTCTTGGGCCGGCCAGCAGGTCGCTGGTAGCTCTTGAAGTTGTCCGACAAGATTCGCTTACCCCAGGACGAGGCGGCGGGGTCTCCAGTCTCGTCTCTAGCCTGCTTGAGGAAGGGAATGAGAGCGGTTCCTCCAGTACCTCGCTCAGGGCCAGCGGGAGCAGTGAGAGCAATACCGGTCTTGGCCTTCTCCTTTGCTTGCAGAATGATATATCGGGACACAATCTGGATGTGCTTGTCTCGGAAAGATCGCAGCATGGCCAGACAGGCATCGTAGGCAAGAACGATCTCGGGGTGCTCGGCCTGATTGGCCAGGACAAAGTCCCGGATCTCAGCCACCTGCTGCAAATGCTCCAGGAACCGTCTATGGGGACCGGGCATGTACTTTCGCATCTCGTGGATGAAATTGTTCTGCTTGGGGGGAGCAGTGGCCTGAGAAGCAGGAGGAGAGGCATCTCGTGTAGAGTTGTCCTTCTTGGAGGTGGGTCGCTGGCCAGTTGCTCGATGCTCCACGTTCAGAAGAATATCGAGAGTCTGAATGAGAGAGGACTGCGCGTTAGAACCTCCAGCGTAGGCCCGGTACTCCTTAGAGTCAGGGTCAGCTCGAGTCTGATACTTGACTCCGTGAGGCAGACCTCGGTCTGCCATGTTCTCCGAACCACTGAGGTAAGGTCGCAGTCGGTGGTAGAAGGTGTGAGGCTCGCACATCTCGTACATACGTCCAAGCAGAGTGATGATGGCGTCGATGGCCTCAGCGAGGTACTGCAGGTTGGAGGTAACAGTGGCAAAGTCGTTTTCTCGGGCAGCAGCGATAGCGCCCAGACCGGCTTTGATGCAAGCGCCTCCCTGTCGCTCCATGGTGGTGGAGACCAAGTAGAACCACGACTCGTCAAAGGAACCGGTGTATGTGGTGATAGTGGCCAGAGAGTCGAGGTCCCACTGGTCGGAAGAGGCCACGGGCATGATGGTCTTGTGGTTCCACAGACACAGACCGGCGTATGTGCAAACAGGGGGCAGTTCCAGGAGGTCGGAGATGGCCACCCAGGGCTCGGTGATCTGAGGAGGAATGTAGTCTCGAGGGTCATCTCCAGGCGAGCCCCAGATATAAGCGTGGGCAATGAAACTGAGCACCGAGTATGCTCGTCGCTGTTCTTCGGGGGTTTTGAGCTGGTCAATCTCCAGCACGGGCATTCGTGTGTCTACATACTGTCTAATTCGTCGGGTGAGAATCAGAGCAGGAAGGTTTTGTGCCACCTGCTCCCAGGGAGCATAGTAGGGGTTGGTGAGGCTTTCAAGAGGCAGCTGTTCGGGCAGGAAGCCTGTCTTGTCAGAGACTTCGTAGTCTGCGAGGTTAGGAAGAGCTGCGTGCATGTTGTGAGTGGGTGATGAAGGGTTAGGTGTTGTGAGTGGGCGAGGTGACTGTGTTTGTGGCAGGAGGTGTAGTTAGTACACCGACTTTTCGTGTCACTTTATAGATGTGAAGTGGTAGTGTGACTTGACTTAGGCTGTGTGGTGGTGAGAAGCTAAGAGCGCTGCACTCTAGGTTTAGATGTTGGAACGGGGCGGATAAGGTGTAAGGGAGAGTTGCGGCTGAGGAAAAAAGAGGGTGTAGAATGTCGAACGGCAGAAGTCAAACGAAACCCTTAAAAAGAACCACGTGCCAGCAACTACCATATATGAGAGGATTGGGGGCGTTCAGGAAGTAGGAAATAACCAGACCTCCAGCTCTCTGCTAAGCCACCACCAGAGCTCACTTTCTTCTGCCGATGCACTACCACCTCAAGTCGGCTCTTAGCTTCTCCGAGTAATTTTTCACGCTAGTAAATACGCAAGATAGGTGACATGCTAATTATTAGCGCAGTTGAGCATGGTGGAGTCAGGCAAGTTACTTTGAAAGTACGGAGCATCTCACATTGTAAAATACCAATAATAAATACAATAAAAGTGCAGAGATTTCCACGATACTGTACTTCTAGCGTCTTAGTAACTTTTGAGCATTAACCCGCCCAATATGCAATTAATTAAAGCCCCGCATTGTGTACGAGTAGCTACATGACGTCAGCCCATACCTGTGTCATGCCAGCCATTCACACCCTCTCAATATGGTATGGTTGCTCTTGAGCAGGGCACACTAATGTGCAAGTGTCCGCGAAATTGCCGACGTCGCTGCTACGACGCCTTTAGACCCCAGATAAACCAGGTGGAGGCTGTTTCCAGAACCCAGGCGTAAAAGCTGCGGTTTCGGCTTTGCATCCGAACGTGCGGCTTGCATCACTAGCGTGTAGTTCTGGGAACGTTACGATACATACCGTACCGATACATACAGTACGTTCGACATTCCTACTATGACCAGAGATTGCGGGATCCGTATATAGAGAGCAGCCGACCGTGTATACTGTAAAACTGAGGGCAGCTCACAGGCTGGTGGTCAGATATGTACTGTGAACCTTCGATAACCGCGATACTGTCTCAGAAGCTCACTCGAGACAGAGTCTACGCCTGGAGTTCACGCTATCGTAGTGCCGCTAGCCGAGGATACCCGGGAAGCTGAAGTAATTTGGTAACTAATAATACTGGAGTGTTTGCTATTTGTAGTTGTGGTATTTGGCAGAGTTTCAGTGAGAAGATTGAATGTGGCTGCTGCCCTGATACTTCAACAGAAACAACAGAGTATGTAATTACACCGTCAATTCATTCTCACCTCTCTCCAATCTTCGGAATGGCACACTAACTCCGGTATTCACCGTTCCGTAGACTGCTCTAACATTGCGGGGTTGCCCAACAAATGATCCAGGGGCCATTAGCCGAAGGGTCACGTGCATTCAAAACATACCCCCTCCGTAGAGATCACGCGTCAACCAAACAAGACTCAAGGGTGTGAAAAGTCACGTGCCCTCATAACCGTGGCTTGATCTAAATCTTACTCCCTGTGTGTTGTCGTAATACTTAATGCTACAGTACTTTTTTTCATAATTATTTCATAATAATAACAACAGTACATACAAGTACAAGCACACAAGACACGCTGGGGGTGTTTTACCATACCAATGAAGAGTACACGGAGAATCAGGCCACAATACGATCTGCTGACTTTTGAAATATCCCCAAAAATGTTGACCGTTGGATCAGCTGATTACGACTCAAAGAAGCCCTCCACTCCAACGTCGACTACTGTACAGTACTTGGTGTCACCATCCCCGCGATGAGCTACCTCATAGAGTTTCATATTACCCCATATCTACAGTTGGTGAATTGTAAATAGAGCTAGATATGCTCAACAAGGACTTGCTCTGCTAGTTTCATCCGACCCGTCACAACTCCCACATGCTATTATTTGAGCTGTTCGAGGTATCTCAAACGGTGCAAACGGTGCAATTGGAGCAGGAGTTCCGAAATCGCCTGGTTGATTGGAGCCACAGTGTCGCGAGTTTATGTGCTTTAAGTATTGGCTATCAAATCCTCAGTAACCCTCAATCACGCGAAAGGTACATTGAATTGGGCGACGAGGGTGCGTCCGAGCTGGTAGATCAGATTGACGACCCGTTGAACTTCCTCGAATCATGCTTCTACGGCTTTTATCGACCGCAAATCGTCGATCCAGTGCCATTACTCAAGGTGCTACAGGACCACAAGAAGGAAAGCACCAGGGCGGTGTTCTCAGGGACGCAAGATATTCTGGAAAAGTTCTAAATTACAAAGTCACAAAAGTCCAAGGACTTTGGAATCCTCGAATGGTGGACAGACATGCTTAATGTTGATCCCGAGGGGGACGGAGAAGCAGTATCAAAGGACAAAGAGTGGATCGCAAGAGAGCAGGAAAGACAAGAGACAGATAAGTCAGAATTCAAGGGGTTTTCGGAAAAATTCATTCCTCACTTGGAAAACCAGCTCTCGGGCCTATTACAGAATGAAGCCTTTGTTTGGGAGACTATACGAACTCTAGGATACGGCCTGATGCTGGAAAGTCATAGACTGCAACACTTGAAGAAGATTCTGTTCGTTACCCACTGTGAACCTCCTAGAAGGTACTGGAGCCTGCTACACGCCTCTCTCGTCAGACTGCGAAGAACAGCCCTTTACTGGGAGACTAAAAAGATTTCAGCTAATGATAGTGTCAATATGGCGCTCACTAGAGCAGTATACGAGAGTCTGCTGTTGCTACTGGAGAACCTATCGAAATTGGTGAAACATCTCAGCTCCAAGTACTCAAAGAACCTATGCCAGATAGCTAACAGATTGTGGATTATTGGTCATACCATGGTTCGACAAACTAACCATCCAGGCATACCATACAATTCTGTCTTCAGTGATATCACTGTTAGAACAGCATATATTGAGTACTTTTACGCCAACCGAGTGCTTTCAAAGAACTTCAAGCCGTTCCATTACTCGTTCCACACCGACGAGTATTATCCATTATATGTTATTGATATTGCTCTTGACACGGCAGAGCTGGAGTGGATCTGTCCAGGCAACTTTGGAGACAGGGAGGCTGAAAAGGAGCGAATAAGAGATTGGAAGTTTGCTCAGAAGTAAGAATACATACAAATAAATTTCATATTACATTAGTTAAATAAAATCGCACAGTTAAAATCGCTCAGTATTTCACCTATTGCACGTACCCGGCCATGGTACGAACACCTCGCTGAGTGAAGTCTGTGGGGTTGTTGAGCAGCCAGACGAAGTCAGAGAAGGCGCCCAGAGGCATGTAGTCGTCGGAATGGGCAGCTTCCAACAGCTTCTTCATCTTGGCGGTGTGCTCAAACTTCTTCGCGGCCTCCTCAGCGTTATCGACAATGCTCTTGTCAATACCGCACATGGCAGCCACATGCATACCGAAAGAGCCAGGCGACGATCCGGGCTCCAATTTGTACAGGAAGGTGATCTCCTTGGACGCCTCGGACACCAGAATGGCCATTCGCATGGGTCGCACTTGAGGGTGGTGTGTGAATGAAGTGTGCAACGTACCGTAATGCGTGGCGAAGAAACCCAGACAGCCCACCTGCGTAGCCACATGGTGAAGCACAGCCTCGGCAATGGCAAATCCGTCGGCAGACGAACCTCCTCGTCCAAGCTCATCCAGTACAATAAGAGATTGGGGAGTAGCGTCAAATACCTTTTTAGTTTCACTGAGCTCCACGTAGAAAGTAGATTTGCCTGCGAAGATGTTGTCCTGGGCTCCAAGACGTGTGATAATTCGGTCGATGGGAGTTAGACGAGCAGATGCTGCAGGCACATGACAGCCCATCTGAGCCATCACAGCGGCAGTACAGGTCATTCGCAGTACCGTAGACTTACCAGCGGCATTGGCACCGGTCAGCAGAGTGATGTTAGCCTCATCTCCACCAAGGGACACGTCGTTGGGAATGAATTGCTTGGTAGAGTCGAAGCAGGGATGTCGCAGCCCCTCAAACTTGAGAGTAGCATCTGTTCCCGAAACATAGGGCACAAACTCGGGCCGACAAGAGGGAGAGCCGAGAGTCTGAGAACACTTGGCCAGAGAAAGCAGACAGTCCAGCTGAGCACACACCTCAACGCACCGCAGCCACGAGCTGTAGTGCTCGTCGAACTGGGCGTACATCCGTCGCTCCATGGCCGCCTCGATGGTCTTGTGGTCTTCTCGCGCCTCCATCAGTTTTCGAACCAGAGCCTTGACCTCTGGACTCCAGAACCGCTTGACCTTGGCGGTACCGCTCATCTGTTGCCACGAGTTGGGAATCTGCTTGACGAGCTTGACGGGCATCTCAATTAGATAGATCTCCTTGCCGGAGTCGTAGAACTTAATCTCCTGGCTCTTGTACTCCTTTCGGTACTCTCTCAGCTTGACCATGAGTTCGTCCTCCAGACCCTTGATGGTCCCTTGGGAAGCATCAAAGTCCGTTTCCACCCCAGGCTCGGGGATGAGAAGACCTTCCTTGGCCTTTTGTCTGTCAAACTTGGTATCCCAGGGAACCAGCATAGTCTCCAGATTGGGAAGAGACTCGATCAGAGTGCGAATTAGAGGAGCAGACTCGGGAGCCTTCTCGCTGAGCGCAGCAACCATGTGGTACACCTCCTCAAAACCCTCGACGACTCGAACAAAGTCCTTAGGCATGATTCGACCAGCATGAATTCGGGCCAACAGACGCTCCAAATCAGGAAGCTTGGCCAGCCGTCGCTCAATACCGAAATCGTCCTCCATGAATGCTTCTACAGCGTCAAGACGAGCCTCAATCTTGACCTGATCAAGCAAAGGAAGGGCGACCCATTGCTGAAGCAGTCGCTTTCCAAAGGGAGAAACACACTTGTTGAGCAGCTTGAACAGAGTGCCGGCATCTGTGGAGTCGTAAGAGTTAGCAAAAACCTCCAAGTTCTGCAGACTGTGACCATCAAGCACCATGTACTCGCTCTGGATGGGCTCATAGTCAGAAAAGTTTCCCAGAGAGACAAGCTCCTTGTCCAGCTTGAGATACTGCATGTACCACAGCAGAGCACCAAAGGCGGACATGCACACATCGTCCTCAATGAAGCTCTTGAGATGTTCAGGGTAGTTGGACATGTCGTCCAAATCCTCAGCTTCAAAGTACTTGCCTCGTGTGAGCTGCTCCATGGCAGTGGTGGCGTCCCAGAACTCGGCCTTGGGGATCAGGTAGTTCCAGAGAGTATTAATGGTGGTGTTTCGCTTGAGGATCTTGACGACAGCCTTGTCGATGATACCTTTTTCCAGAAGAACTTCTCCAGGTCGAATCTGGGCTACCAGAGTCTCAAACTTGGAGAAGTCTGCGTCGTCCTCAAACGAAGAGGTGTGGAAGGCTCCAGAAGCGGTATCCACAAATGCCACAGCAATTCGAGAGCCTTCCTGCTTAACAGCCATGCAATAAGTGGCCAGATCGGTAGTCAGCATCTTCTCGTCAGTAAGAGTACCGCTGGTCAGCACCAGAGAGAGTTCTCGCTTGATGACCTTGTCCTCCTTTTTGAGCGTGGCAGTTTCTCGCATCTCCTTGGCGAGAGCACTTTCCTTCTGGTCCACACGAGCAACCTTGTGTCCGTTTTTGATGAACGCGTTGGACCACGAGAAGAAGGACATTTCGGGAACTCCACAGAGCCGCATGTTGGCTCGTCCGCCTCCAGCGAGCTTGAGATCAAACTCAGAATGAGCAATGTCTGCGTCTCGCTCATATAGCTCGTAGAACTTGCCCTTCTTGAAGAACACAACCGTGTTCCACATCTTACTCTTGACCTCCCAGTACTGCTTCTCGAAAGCTGTGAACTTACTCCAGGCGGAAGAAGGAATGTAAAGGGTTCGGGGGTCGTAGTCAGGAGAACCTTCGGGATTACCCTGGGCATCCTTGATATCAATAAGCCACTTGTAACGCTCTGTGTTGTTTTTGGCAAACTCTGAGTGCTTGCCTCCTCCGTTGACGGCAGCCTTTTTGGCAGCAGGTCGTGCCGATTTGTCACTAGTGTATGAAGACTTGGCCGAGAACTTTGCCAGGGCAGAAGAGCCTGATTGAGAACTCTTGGGAGAGGATCTCTTCTTGACAGCCACAATCTCCTCTTCGTCGTCTTCGTCGGCCATTTCAACGTCACTGACATCAGCCTCGTTCACAGCACCCTCAATGACATGGTCGTCAGCCTCCTCTTCACTGGGTACGTATCCGTCAGTGTCACTGTCGTCATCAATGACTCGTCGTTTGGATCGAGTGGGCTTGAAGGCTGCCTCATCCTCAGAGTCGAGATCGAGATCGAGATCGGAATCGTCTAGTTGAACTCGTTGTTTTCGGTGCTTGGTTAGTAACACTTGATTGAGGAGTATGCGTCATTGTCAAAGCCGCATTGACACAATGGCCTCAGGTTGGTGCAGGCTCACACGCAAGTCACGCTCCGAGAGTACAGGTCGCCGCATTTGGCCGTCAGGTATGAGCAGCCTTGTGACTTTGCTACTCCCACAAAGGCATCTGCCATAGTGTGTGTCATGTCACACATGTTATTCTCAGCCCCTGACCTTCAGTCATGCGCTAGCGTTGCTTCCGTCATACTCACTCTCTTAACAGGACTGCTATGCTCCTCTCCATCCTCGAATTCGCTGCTAGGAGTGGGAACATTGCCGGTTGTGTCGAACTTGGGTGGCGGTCTCGAAGAGATGGTTGTGGCCTCAAGGGACTTGAGGGTGCTCTTCGTGACAGTCTCTGGAGTAACAGGGGTGGCAGGAGACGTCTTCTCATCTACGAGCGTGTTGTCACTGGAAGTCGTCGTCTTGGTCTCCTGTTTTTTGGTCTCCTTGACAGGCGTCTTCTTGAAGAACGATAGCACCGATTGCTGCTTCGCTTTAGCCATGGTGCGTTTTTATGGTGCGTGTTTTGTATCGGTGGTGGGTGTGACGGTTGAGAGTGCAAGCCTCTTCCAAATGATGTGGTCACAGTGTGCGTCGTGCAACCTTAGACGCGTCTCATTAGGCTGGTCCTGCGTCAAAATTGATTTTTTGCCAGTGTTAATTATTCACGCGTCGCGTGTGAACGGGAGGGAGCATTTAAAATGGGCTAAAAAGGTCTGCACAAATGCAATCACGTGATCAGAAACACGAAAAAAAAAAGACATTAAATGGGGTTGTCACTAAAACATTTCCGTGTAAACATTCCCACTTGACTGGTACAATGTCTCCTTCTCTATACAGTCTTACACAGAACGCTCCAGGCTGAAATTTTTAGGGTTGGCTGTACGTGTTTGGGACGATGAATTGCTAAAGGGGGTTAGCAGAACCAGCGAGTACAAGAGGTACTGGATTATGGAGTGTCGAAAGACACAAATGAGTTGAAGAGGTTAGTATTGTTAACTAGATGGTTCTCCCCCCAGTTTTCAGCTTCTCTCTGGGTCATTTAATGGCCATCATACGCTGCATCATCAACCAAGGTTCGGTGTATCCAACAGACAATTGCGATGAGATTTCACCAGCAGAAAATGAGAACTGGTGTCTACCAATAAGGATATCATTGGTTACCCGTAATACTACATTAGATATATTTATATTCAACAGTTATCTAAGAGTCGTCTTTAATCATTAATTTCATGTCTCATATCAGTTCAGTCATTGACCTGAGGATGCGACCCTGTTTGATAAAATTACACTGATTTGCTCCCGTGCAATGTGCTTGCTCACGGGTAATTAAGCCCAATCAGTGCACGCAATTCTCTGACATCAGCTCCTATATCTCCGCAAGAGCATCTATCGTAATAGTACTCACGTGAGGATTATTCTAGGGATCCGTCACTACATGTACCAGTAGCAGCCGCGATATACTGTAGACGCTTTCCGTTACTGTAGGTGCCCACCAAAGAAGCATCACACATCATACAGTAGTGGTCAGAAAATTGTGTATCGTTATGTGCGTCGTTTGATAGGTCTCACTGTGAGGAGCTGCGAACGGGATCTATTGGTACAGAGCCGAAGACATGTAGCTTAGCTAATTGTAGCTTGGTAAGTAACGGCCCCTTATCATCTAAGATGCGAGCAGACGAGAGAGTCGGCGTAGTTATCAGTCCACTTCTACCCATCTGAGCGCTGTTTTGTTAGTCTGATGTGAGCAGCTCTCTACAATATGTACAATATGTACTCTTACTCTGTTATCGTGCCTCTCATAGCTGAGACCACAAGAGTTGATACGTCAGATACAAACAAGATATTAATCATGCTACCAAACTACACCAATTGCAATACTATCCGATTAGTCATCTCCAGAGCAAGTTCTGGATCTGGTCAACATGTTTCCTGATGTGCACTCATCTACCAGCAATACTCACACGACTGTATCACATTCCGCTTCAGATCGGATGACTGATGTTCTAATCTCCAAGCCCAATCACAGGCCTTTTCGCCATGCAATGAGGTGTGACTATGCCTCATCGTAGCCCAAGAGTCCCCTGACTCACCCCACATTTTCTCTGCGCCGATCATCCGAACGTTTTCGTCGGCTTAATCACGTTTCGGTCCCAGAGTCTGTTCATGTGGGGGAGATGCCGACATCGGCGAGACGTCGGAGGGGACTCAAAATGGGGCTAAATGAGAGGGGAAAGATGTAAATCCATTATTTAGACCTCAAAAAAGAGCTCTATGTTCTTGATTTCCCCATATTACCTTCTCCCGGACTACTTTTAACCGGTGTTGTGGCTGAATAACGGTCCCGAAATCCACCCGAGCTTATCAGGGAGCTTATTTCGCCTAGGACAGGTACCCTGTTGTAGGGCACATCTTAACTGTTATAAAGAGACCTCCACCCTCCCAGTGGCATCACCCCAACCAAACACACACACAACTCAATGACCACTGCACTGACCCGATCCGCACGACTGCTGCTTGTGGGCGCTCCCGGCGCTGGCAAGGGCACACTCACTGACCGTCTGCTCACCAACTTCTCTGGTTTGGAAGCAATCTCTACCGGTGATTTGCTGCGACGAGAGATCAAGAACGAGAGCAAGATTGGCGTTGCTGCTCGATCCATCATTAAGGCCGGAGGGCTGGTCCCCGACAACACAATCAGCCAGCTGCTGCAGACCGAGCTGGAGACCAAGGGCTGGCTCAATGCTGACAGCTCATGGATCCTCGACGGCTTCCCTCGGAACCGAGCCCAGGCCGAGGTGCTGGACGAGATGCTGCTGCCCCACAAGGCCAACCTGTCCCATGTCGTGCAGCTGGACGTGCCCGAGGAAGTGATTCTGGACCGAATCGAGAACCGATGGGTGCATCTTGCCTCTGGCCGAATCTACAACCTCACCTTCAACCCTCCCAAGGTGGCTGGCAAGGACGACGTGACTGGAGAACCCCTGTCTAAGCGAGAGGACGACAAGCCCGAGGTGTTCAAGAAGCGACTTGTGGCATACAAACAAGAGACTGAGCCATTGTTCGAGTTCTACGAGAAGCGAGGCGTCCTGGTGACTCTCAAGGGAGAGACCTCCAACATTATTTGGCCCAAGCTCGAGCAGCTCATCAAGACTGAGTACTGTTAAGAGCTATCAATACTTTTCTTAACAGAGCTAACAGGGTCTAGGATGGTCTGATGCTAAAAGACTATCACGGTAGATATAAAACGTCAATTGTACTGGAATGTACGGACAATGCATAAGCATCGTATAGATAATGAATTCATGATATCAGTTACACATTTGAACCGAAACGGACTGTAGCGAATTAAAGCGGAACAACAAGATAAACATTTGCGTAGCGAGTCTGATATTGTCGTCGTGATCACCACACATGTCCAATGTATACTAATAGACACACACTATTCCCAACATTCGATCTAACCCAACAGGCCGTTCATTGAGTTCAAAGGGTGTATGTGACAGTGTCTATGGAAGAATGAAGTATCATGACACACGATCAAGTGATGAGAACAGGAGTCTTTTTATGGGAGCTATGCTTTATTGTAAATCTTACAATTGTGCCTTTTTCTAAAGCTTATTGCAATTATTGTGAGAAGTTACTGTACAAGATTATCACGTACTCCTACTGTACTCGTAGGTCTGTCCCAACGGATAATAGTGATCAAGGATCACCACAGCTTATTGAATGTTTAACTTACAGAAGAGTTTATGGAAGATTGAGAGCTGGGTTGCTTTACAGAGAGTTATTGAATAGAAGGAAAGATCGTGGGAAACGGATAACGTAGTCGTCTGCTAAGGCTTCCAAACTGACTCGGTAATACCCTGCTTGGCGAGGGCATCCACCTCTTCGTTCTCTCCAGCGTGACCCGGAATGTGTTTGAAGGTGATTCGGGTCCCGATCCGAGTTCGCGGCTTCTGCAGATACTCATCGATGGCTAGAATGAGATCCTGGTTCTCCACCTCCTTTCCCTTGCCGGTCTTGAAGCCGTTTTTCTTCCAGCCCTCCAGCCACTGCGAGCAGCAGTTGACAGCGTACTGCGAGTCTGATCGGATCTGCCAGTTAAGGTTTTCACCTCTGTTATCGATGATTTCGAGGGCCTTCAAAATAGCAGACAGCTCAGCTCTCTGGTTGGTCTGAACGTCTCCTACGAGAGGGCCCGAGTAGTTGCAGGGATGAAGTTCTCCAAAGTAGACACCGATGCCACCCTTGGGTCTGTGTCCACCGTTGTTCTCACATGCGCCATCTGTGTAAGCCAACCATGTGTAGGCGTCTGTTTCATCATCAATCAGAAGTACACTGGTCCAATGCTCGGGTGCGCAAGTGAAGGACTCTTCCATGTAGTCCTCTGCCTTGGCTCGAGTGTCGAACTTCTTGGGCTGTGAGCATGGATAATTTTCGGCGGCGTGTAGTGCTGCATTGTAGCTGGTATAAATACCAGGCTTATGGCCAACTCTGACAGCATAGTAGGGTCCATTGTCGGCTTGGGCTGTGTGTGTCTGTGTGGTGACTGAGACGGAAGGCATGAAGGCGGTTTTAGACATTGTTGATGTGGTGAGGTGAGGTGAGGTAGTAGGAGAGAGGGAGCGGGAAGACAGGTTGCTAGACTTCTTAAGTGCACACACGAGTTCCCCACACATGATCACCCCACATCTACAACAAACCAGGAGACCGAACTCAATTTGCCGTTTATAGTTGCCCTTGATGTTGACGAAGAAATAGAGGGGGTTAATGTGGGTGGGATGAACACACAATTGGTTGAAAAATATGACTCGTGCGCCTTTCGTAGATCTTGAATCATCATTGGCCTGGCCTTTCGTGGATAAATTTCTGTCTCTGCCAACTTCGTTGGGTGGCAATTGCAAAACCCCACAGTCCCCTCATGCACCTCATTGTTATCATACTCTATCATGCAAGTTATCGTGTGCACCCGAACCTTGTGAGGGGCTTCGAGGCATCACAGAGTGCCACGTCGAGGTATCGTAGTGTGGGAGAGGTGGGATGGATTCTACTGGGGTATATATTGGAACTCGAGCTTTTATAAACTATACGTCCAAAGTCGCAAGATTTCGAGGGAGAGTGAATTATGTTTCTGAAAAGCTTGTCTAATAATATGAAGGATCTGGTTACAGTATTGCTAGCTGAACCACTTGAAAATATGTAGCTTGCTCATAGTTACCGTATGTAAGAAACTACCAATATTACTACTCGTACAACTATCGTACAATTACAATAGTTGGAGTACATACTGTACACAGGTCATGTGAACCACAGTTGATGGGGATGACAGCTCCTATTATACCTCTTCGTATGCTTTCAATGTGTCGCTTCAATGCAACGGTGTAGATAATATCTGTTTAAGATATGCAGGGGAAATTGCAGTATGTACCAGTACTCTCACTGTACTTAGCAAAAGTATCCCTGTCTCATGAGAATCACAGTATCCTATTGTAAAACAAGTAGCTCATCAACCACCGTTGATGTTGCTGCAGTGCTGTGATTAAAAATCTAGACCAAGTCTGGAGCTTGAGTCTGTACTAAGACCAAAAATTTATTGGCGCGAGGGATAATGTAGCTACAAGTAGCAATGGTTGACAAACGACGACACATTTCGCTCTAAACGCCAATTCTGAGAAAAGAGCCATACATGCAGATAACAAGAGACTATTAACAACACGTATGGCTGGTTATCTAATGTCGATACGGTTAGCGCTACAACATCTGGCATAGAGCTATTCCAGACATGGATCTCGGTGCTCAAACTCTTCAGTCACTTTGACATAGATTCACGGAGAGACAGGCCAATTGTGACACGCACACAGTCTGTACCGACAACTTTCCAGCCTTCCGGTTACTCCCTCTGATAACACTGTCCAAGTCCTTTGATATTCTCACTAGTACGAGAGACAGCACACAGTCTTTCGCATGATACCTCAATTACTGTATATATTGTTGCACTAATAGAATCAAATATCCTAGAGATCTCCACATAGTTTCACTGTCCAGTAACAAGACCATCTCGCGGATTGTTGTATCTCGTACTGTGCAGTAGCTGCTTAGCTACTGTTGCTGGATAAAACGTGGTTTCCTATAGTTAAGAGATTGGTCCCTGCAGCTTTAAGGACCTCGGTCTTAAGGACCTCGGAATTGTTGGGGGACTTTTTCGAAGCTGACCTTGACAGAAACTACCAGACTGGATCTTCTCCAACAATTTCAAACCTCCGGAAGCTCCATCGTGTCATATTCGTTCCTGATACAGCCAGCCCGAGTCGCTGAAGGACTATAGTTCCACTGCTTCATTTTCGGAGATACTTCCCCATTGGTGTTCTCCAAACACATGTGCACGTCTCAGGTACAGCATGAGTAGTACATACTGTACGGGATAGCTGATGTAATAACACGACAATATGGACCAGAAGAACACATCAACTTTATGCAGCCCTAGAGCGTCAAATTACTGTAGGAAGTTACTGTACAGTACTCGAACTTGCAGCTCTCACTGGCGAGCAAATACTGCAAGTTAATACAGCATGGGAAAACACACCAGTAACCAAGTTATCAGCAATTAGCCTTAGGTTGGAGCTAGTCAGAGGAGGAAGAATAATGGACTATAGATGTCCCTGAATGGTGCGCACAAACGGGGGGACAGAAACCGAACCCACACACCGTACACGTATCTGCAACTCAACATCACCACGGACACGGATCGAGAACCTTGGAGGCTGCCAAGCCAATTATTTCAAGAAACAAGGGCCAGACGACAGAGTCCAAACACCCACGTACAAGGACCAAAAAGTCAGGGAGGACAGAGTCGAACTTTTTTTTGCTTGTTTCTATTGCCTAAACGAGCAAAAATACTCGTATGACCCCTGGTTGGCGCCAATCATGCTCATAATCGCTCTTTATTGCATCTGTCGGGTGCATTTAAGCTGCTGCAGCTCTGCACGGCTGGAACTCTTATTTCCCACCTTAACCCCCAGCCTCTGACCAACATCCCAACCGTCTATTGTAGATAGACTACTGTAGCTACTTATTCTCACTACACCACACTTTGTAATGTGAATTTACACTGGGATAGCACCATACGATACTATACAAAAAAGGGTCAGTTGGTATCTTCTTCAAAAGGACAAGACCACCACCCCTAACCTACGTATGTACTCAACCTGCATGACTCGGCTGGCCTTGGCAGCATCAAAGTGACAATGGATTCCTGTTACAGGCACACACCTTGTCGGTTTAATTGCTCGTGAGTTCGTCCGGTAGTGAGATGACCTGATTCTCGAGCACTTATATATACCTTCCTTGGTCCATGGAAAAAAGACCATCCCAATCGTTCAACACACACAAACAATGAAGTTCTCTGCCATTGCTCTCTCTCTTGCCGTTGCCTCTGTCTTTGCCGCTCCTCATGAGGGCCATGACCATGGTGAGGCTGCTGCCCCCTCTGTTGCCTCTGCCGCCGCCTCCGCCTCTCCTTCTGGAGGTGCTCACAACCATGATGACCATGATCACGACCACGATCATGACCACGACCATGACCACGATCATGACCACGACCATGACCACGACCATGACCACGACCATGACCACGATCACAAGGATTCTGCTTCGGCCATTACCTCCACCGCTGCCTCTAGCGTTGCCTCTGCCGCTGCGTCCGCTTCTGCTTCTGCTTCTGCTTCTGCTTCTGCTCATGACCACGACCACGATCACGATCACGATCACGATCACGATCACGATCACGATCACGACCATGACCATGATCACAGCTCTGTCGCCTCTGGTGCTGCTTCCAAGACTCAGCCTGCCTCCGGGTCTGCTGCTGCTACCAGTGCTGCCACTTCCAGTGCTGCTGAGTCCGCGGCTGCCACTAGCGCCGCCGATTCTGCTGCCTCCGGATCTGCTTCTGCTTCTACCACCCAGGCTAACGGCGGAGCTTCCAATGTCATTCCTGGTGCCGTGGCCTTCGTTGCCGTTGCGGCCGCTCTCCTTTAGATTTTCCCCAAAACGCTGACAATATAGTTGCTACTTAATGAAATTAATATAACAAATACATCAACGACTTACATATAACTTGCTGGGAGGGCGTCCCGATCCACCTTACTATTCTCTCTAACAGAGAGACACATCAGGACATTCTCCACACCCTAATGGAGGATTCGACTGAGCACGCCATCAGGTTGACAAATTCAGCTAAGTGAATTTGCCCCTTAGAATGGAAATAGTGGTTTGTCACCCACGGCAAGGTTTTCCATTCAACAGGATTGACTTATTACAGTATTACAGTAGCTACAGTATGTACATACAGTATGTACATACAGTATGTACATACAGCAACAACATACAGTAGTATCAGCGCTCTGCTCCATCCTGATAAAGAGGATGTATTATGAGATCATAAAATAAAGCAAACAACCGACAGTTAGTACAGTAGCTGTTGTTCAATATTTTTGTATCATCATAATACTCAATTCCCTATGATGGTGTTGGTAGGGTTGAGTGAATACACCTGTAAGAGAGGTAGAGGCCTTGTACTGTAGGTTGTTGTCGCAGTATGTTGCTTTCGCCAGATATGATTGTATCATTACACAGTCATTACACACAACAATAAGTAGACCATTCCCTCTCTGTTGCGTACTCATTGTACTTGTATCTGGTACACACAGAACCGTATGTACAATACTTGTACTGTAGTTTACAAACCCGTCCTAATCATAAATCATTAATATATGCATACACCTTCTAATATACTTGTGCTTTTGTCTTAGAGAACATCAATGGTCTTAAGGTCCTTGGAAACCTCGAAAGGAGCCTCGGTCTTCTCTCGGATAGATTCAACGGTCTCGCCCTCGGCAATCTCAATCAGAGTGAGTCCACCGTTGTTGGCAATGTCGACATCAAAGACAGCCAAATCAGTAATGATTCGGGATACGCATCGGGAGCCGGTCAGGGGGAACTGGCATTCCTTGAGAATCTTGGGTCGGCCCTTCTTGTCAACGTGGTCCATGACAACCACTACTCGGGTGTTGAGAGGGTTGGCTACAAGATCCATAGCTCCACCCATACCCTTAATCATACCGGGAAGAGCCCAGTTCGCAAGGTCTCCGTTACCAGACACCTGCATGGCACCCAGAATGGACATATCAATCTTTCCAGCTCGGATCATGGCGAAAGACTCCTCGGATCCGAAAACGGAAGCTCCCTTATCGAGAGTGACAGTCTCCTTTCCGGCGTTGATGTAGTCAGGGTCTTCCTTTCCAGGTTCGGGGTAAGGACCGAGACCAAGAATACCGTTCTCGGACTGCAGGATCACGTGGATATCGTCAGAGACATGGTTGGGGGCAAGGGTAGGCATACCAATACCCAAGTTGGCGAACATGCCGTCCTTGAACTCCTGAGCAGCTCGTCGCACAATCTTCTCTCGTCGCAGAGCAGAGGCAGACATGGAGGCGGGGTCAGCAGCGCCGTCGCTGGACTTCGGAGAAGAGTTCTTGACAATCTCAATGTCCTTCTTGGCAGTCGACTTCACAACTCTGTGCACGTAGACACCGGGAACATGAACCTCCTCGGGCTTGATCTCTCCGGGTTCGACAATCTCCTCAGCCTCGGCAATGGTGAGCTTTCCAGCTCGTGCCATGGCTCCGTTAAAGTTGTTAGAGGTGGCTCGGAACACTAGATTACCCAGAGTGTCGGCCTTCCAGGCCTTGATCAGAGACACGTCTCCGTTAAGGGCATTCTCCAACACAAACTTTCTGCCGTTGAACTCCCGGGTCTCTCGGGGAGTGTTAGTCTTGATCACTGCACCGCTTCCGTCGGAGGTCTTAGCGTAGAGAGTGGGGATCTTGCCCTGCTCCAGCCAGGTGTTGGCTCCTGCAGGAGTGTACACTGCTGGAATGCCGGCACCAGCAGCTCTGCATCTCTCGGCGATGGTTCCCTGGGGGGTCAGCTCCAGCTCGAGCTCGCCGTTGAGGTAGGCAGCCTCGAAGAACTTGTTGCCTCCGACGTAGGAGCCAATGAACTTGGAGATCTGGCCGTTCTCAAGCAGCTTAGACAGACCCTTACCCTCAATACCACAATTGTTAGAAACCACTGTCAGGTCCTTGACGTTTCCTCTCTTCTGCAGAGCAGAAATGAGAGTGTCGGGAATACCGCAGATTCCGAAGCCTCCAGAGAGAACCAGATCGCCGGACTTAACGTCCTTGACGGCCTCGTCGGGAGAGGCGTAGACCTTAGATCTGGCGGCAGCAGAGTAGAAACGAGTTTGCAGAAGCGCCTTGGTAATGTGTTTTCGAACAGAGAACATTGGATAGTTGAGTTACCTCCGTGTTACGGGCAGGCTAGCCTTTATGTATGGTTGAGGCGGGGGAAGCTCGGGGGGTTAAACCTTCGATAGCCGGGGAAAATTCGGAGGGGGTGTAAACAGGGCAATATAGTCGGGTTTTGAACACCGAAAACGGTATCATGTGAGAGATGATCCACTGATATTACGTTCCTCCCTTATTAATGTGTGTGCCAAAAAATCGTTGAACTAAAGCTGACTCATCGCTTCCCGTGTGGGGTTCCGGGGTACAAAGTTCATCTCCTACATGCACGCGCATCATGTTGGTCGGGATTTTGAGTTGGGGTAATCAGAGACCTTGCCAGTGTTGGAGAACATTGGTTGGTACGATACGATCACCAGGAAAGACCAGAGTAGTTGTGAGCACAATACTGATGGTATCTGCTTTATCCTAGTTACTTTTGAGACTCATTCAGTGTCGTTAGTGTCTCACTAAGGTGGTCTACGGTAACCGGTGGTATGCCTGCCGGAGCGTTTGTCTCTCTCTCATGGCCAAACATTTTTAGCGTGTTTCTGTGGTTGGGAAAGAGGTGAAGCAACAGTACAAGAACAATTGTAGCTACAGGTATGTATGGCCCTACTGTACATCTACTTGTAGCTACTGTAGATCGAATGGCCGATCATAGTTAATGGTTGCACGGTTTTTTTTGTTACTTTTGACCAAACATGGTGCTATTGGACTACGTCTTGCTGATTTGAACAAATAAATGGCCTACAGTAGTCTGCCTTTCGCAGTGTCTCGCTTAATCACCAGTGCAGAATATGAAGGCGATCAGTAAGAGAAAGAAATGGCAATGTAATCATCTGTAGAGTTGTCTGAACAAAGGACCGTATATGAGCTCCTACACACAGCGACACCGCACGCTTCTTTACTCCACCGAAACCCTGCCGTGCTAGTATTCTTGGTGGGGCCTGTATCGAAGCAACAGCGATATCGGCGACAAGGGTCGGAGATGCATTATCGTTGTTATCGAGTGTGAAACAATGGCGTTGCAGAAAACATGATGCAGGTGTTCAATGTCTCAACCGGTAGAATACCGGTAATACAGTATGTACTTGTACAAAGGGTATTGATAGCACTTGTATGTGCTTGGCTCGACCACCAAACGAACCACTGCAGTTCATGTTTGCTCATTCGTGATCATCAATTCATCATATATACACTATTTAATATTTTCCAGGTGAATGGCGTCCAGAATTTTCTTGGCGCCATCCTTGACCAGCTGCTCGGCTACGTCCTTACCAAGTTGCTCGGCCTCCCAGTTCTCCTCAACCGCTCGAACCTGAGTGCACTCGACAAACTCGGTACCCTCAACAGACACGACAATGGCGTCCAAAGTCAACTTGCCATTCTCGTACTTTGTCTCAACGCCAATGGGCACGGAGCAGCCTCCCTCCAGGGTTCGCATGACAGCTCGCTCGGCAAGACAGCACAGAGTGGACTCCTTGTCGTAGATTGCCTCGAGGATCTTCTTGGTCTTCTCATCGCCCTGTCGGATCTCCAGGCCCAAAGCTCCCTGGCCCACAGCGTGCAGCATATCGGGCTTCTGCAGGTAGCCTGTGATTCTGTCTCCGAGATCCAGCCGCTTCAGACCAGCGGCTGCCAGGATCAGACACTTGTAGGGAGTCTCAGGATCGTCCAGCTTGCTGAGACGGGTGCCCACGTTACCTCGCACACTCTCGTAGACAAGTCCGGGATACGACTTCTTCAGCTGGGCAGATCGTCGAATAGAAGATGTTCCAACCACTGATCCAGCAGGAAGATCGGCCAGAGTCTTGTAGGGAGAGCCAGCGGCCATAACTAGAGCATCTCGAGGGTCCTCTCGGGTGAGAATAGCTCCGAGCTCACAGCCGTCGGGCAGGACGGTAGGCATGTCCTTCAGGGAGTGGACGATAATATCCTGTTGGTCAAAGCCTGGCACCTTCTCTAGAAGCAGAGTCTCCAGCTCCTTGGTCCACAGAGCCTTGCCGTCGAACGAGTACAGCGGCTTGCTCTGGACCTGGTCACCCAAAGTAGTCAGACCGAGCACAGGGAAGGAGTAATCGGGATGGACCTTCTTGAGCATAGCAGCCACATGCTGGGTCTGGACCAGAGCCAGCTTGCTCTTTCGGCCACCCACAAAGACCTTGGGCAGTTCGCTCTGGTCGTCAAAAATCACTGGTCGTTCCTCTACTGACATTGTTGCAGTTGTGCCGTTATCAGAACCTGAATAATGAGAATGCTCTATAACTTTCACCTGCAAAGTTTATGTTTCGGTACAATACGTCCTGTGCGATACAACCCAAGATCGACCGACTGCAAGTCTTGTATGTTGAGAGGAGTTGGGAAGGGGTTTTATGCGTATGAAGGGTGGATCTATCTACTAATAGAAGTATTTATGTATGTGGTGCTTGTGCGCTGTTAACACTTCAACTGTAGACCTCGCTATGTCCGTAAATTTCATCCCTGAAAAATATTTGCATAACAAGGAGTTGAACCCAGAGTCTAGAACAAGTCCTGTATGTACATGCAGTCAGAGCAATTAGTAAGAGATTAGTGTGCTTAGTAATTATGAGAGCGCTGAAGTGAGCTCTCGTCATATATTCCTATTGTCACCCCAATGCCCATGATGACTTCCCAACATATAGAAGCCTTCGTCTTATATGCCTCTCCTGTCTTAAGTCATTCTTTTTTCGAGCTGCACGACATCAACCCTAAATGACGAACATCACCACTAAACATTTCTCAGATCAACCCAAGGCAGACACACAGCATGGAGTGGACCAAGTGTTACGCGAAGCTATCGGCCAATCCGGACGACTTTGAGCAGTGGAAGAACCTGCTGGCTGCATCGCATTCGCTTGGAGGAGGTCTTAACAAGGGAACAGCAGAAAGTGATGTGCAATTGTTTCGATTTTCTTACGACAACTTTTTGGAACGGTTCCCGCTGGCATTTGGATATTGGATCAAGTATGCGGAGACAGAATTCATGCTTGGAAACACTGAGGGCGCGGAAACCGTGTTTGAGCGAGGAATAGGAACCAACCAAGTTTCAGTGGAGCTCTGGGCAGCCTATGCCCGGTTCAAAATCCGAGTCTGTCACAATGTGGACAAGATGAGAGCATTTCTGGAGCGAGCGGTGAGTCACGTGGGCAACCACTTCTACGCGCACTCCATTTGGGACGTGTACGTGGAATTTGAGAGACGCGAGGCAGAGATTGCAACGGAAAACAAGCTGGCTCGACTGGCCGAGCTGCTGTCTCGAATCATTCGAATCCCCATGCATCAGTACGCAAAGTACTTTGACTTGCTGCGCGACATTTCGCGGCAACTCAAACCCGACGAGCTGGGCTGGATTAAGAAGGGGAAGGACAAGAGCACCAACAACATTTACGTCAGCACCCAGGCAGAGACCGCCCGAAGATGGGCATACGAACAGGCGTTCCCACGGCAGTATTTTCATGTGCTGTTCGTCAAGGAGGAGGATCTGCAGGCATGGAGACGATATCTCGATTTCGAGGAGTCTGAGGGCAATCTGGACCGAGTGAGAATGCTGTACGAGCGAGCCATCATCGCCACTTCTCACAACGAGGAAATATGGTTGCGGTACATTCGGTTCATGCAGACTGTTTCTTCATCTCTGCGAGTCCATCGAGAGGAAGTCAGCACTCTGTTTAGACGAGCATGTGCACTGCTTCCCATTGGACGCCTGGAGGTGCGACATCTCTATGCTATTCATTGTGAGTCTCTTGGAGAACTGGCACTTGCTCACGACATCTACATGTCTATTCTCGGGGCATTCCCCAACTCCATACAGACCATTCTGCTCTTTGTCAACTTTGAGAGACGATACGCATACTCGCAGTTTCTAGCGCAGGGCAAGTCGGTCAAGAAGCAGGCAGCTGTCCACCAGGCTGTGCAGCTGTTGATGCAGTATCTGGACGACGAAAACAGTCTGCGCAACGTCGAAAAGTGCGAGATTCTTCAGCTATTGGTTGACTACTTGCAGGTATTCCCTGGCCAGGCTCCCGCTAACGTAAGAGACATCCTGTCGAGGTACGAGCCGGCGCTGAAGGAGGAATACAGGTTTTGGAAACTGGCCATGGATTACGAAGTCGAACGAGTGCATAAGCCCGTGAAGGATGTGTCTGCCATGTCTTTCCAGGATACATTGACAGAGCTCGCTGCTGAGGACGAATCGCAGGCTCTGGCTGACGAGAAGACGAAGCGTCTGTCAGATATTGTCGACAAGGCTCTCGGGTCTCTATTGCGTCTGGAAGACAAGCGGGCGCTTCTGAAACGGTTCCTTGCGTACTGCATCGACCAAGCCTCCAATGTCAAGGACTATGAGAAGTACTCGGCAGTTTTGTATAATCTTGGAGGTGTTCAAACGACACCGCCTGCCGAGCCTCTCGACAAGCCAGGAGATGCTGCTGTTAGCGCTGGTGCGGGTACCAGTACTACTACACCAGTGGCCGCAGAGTCCTAAAAATGTAACTTGTAAGCATAATCATAATTTATCTGTTTGAACGAGCACAACTGTAAGGACACAAATACTAGTCATAGACTGAGTTTGCAATTCATCCGATCCTCAATACAATAACTTATCTATCATGTCTATATACTGGTTTAGGGGGCCAGTCCAGCGGCACTGGCAAGGAACAGACCACCAACAGCGAACGCAAAGGTGGCCAGAGCAGCGGTTCCAACGGGGAAAACAATGGTGGCTCCTGCAGACTTAATTCGCTTGTCAGAAATGATGAAAGCTCCGGTTAGGAAGAATCCTGTGTTAGAGGTATGTTTCTGTAATCGAATGTTGTTATGTCTTTGGATATCCAAGTGCTGACTGTAATTGAGGGTTGGAATGTTCAAATTGATGTCGATGTCTTTGGTTGTGTGCACAAATGGGATTGTCTTGTCACCATATCCGCTTCCATCCAGACCACTTCTTATCTGTGCCGTGTGTCGTGAGTTGTGTCACCTTCCACATGCTGATCTACTCACCAATAACAATAGACACCAATGCCACAAGGCTGTGAAGCTTGACATCGGGGTAGGAGCTGGTCCAGGGTTGTCCTGACTCAAAAGCGAGCTTTGTGTTAGTAAGTGTAGTCTTCCTGGGCGCTGGCTGGTACTCACTCTGATAGCCTCGAAATCCGACATGATGATGACGACGTGTAACTGCTGCAGTGTACGTTAAGATGTAGCGGAGTCTAAATGCGTGGGAGCACAACCTTAAAGAGAAATATCGAAAATACTGCATGAAATAAATTTAAGGTGAGATTTTTCTATTTACTCACTACTCACAGCAAAAGACCTTACAAAATGCGACAAAAGAGAGCGAAAAACTACAAGAAGCAGATGCAGAGCTACCATCTGAACTTCAAGTTCCGAGAGCCCTACCAGGTTCTGGTGGACCACGACCTCATCATTGAATGTGTCGAGCACAAGTACGATTTGCTGAAGGGTCTCCAAAGAACGCTTCAGACCAAGGAGGTCAAGCCCATGATAACGCAACACAGTCTGAACAAGCTGTTTGAGAGCAACAACGAGGAGGCCATTCAGCTAGGCAAGACCTTTGAGCGTCGACGAACCCTGCATTTCGAAAATAGCACTGAGACCCAGGAGAAAAAGCTGAAGTACAATGGTTCCAACGCTGCCCGGAAGATGCATCCCAGCGAGGCCATTTACAAATCGGTTGTTGTCGACGGCTCCAATGTCCACAGATACGTTGTTGCTACACAAGATCCTAGTTTGCGAGGTCGACTTCGGTCCATTCCTGGAGTCCCTCTCATTCATATGAACCGAGCCATCATGCTGCTGGAGCCCTTTTCCCCTGCTTCTGAGCGTGCTCGTCAGCTGATTGAGGCGTCCAAGCTCACATCCGGTCTCAATGCCGTAAAGCGAAAGGCACCTGAGGGAGATGAAGAGCAGGCCAAGAAGCGAAAGGGTCCAAAGGCGCCTAACCCTCTGTCAGTCAAGAAGAAGAAGGTATCTAAGGAGGATCAGGGTAAGCGAGAGCGACCTGAGGAGAAGGAAGATGATTCCCAGTCAGTCAAAAAGGTGCGACGAAAGCGTGCCAAGAGAAAAGATGGTGAGGGGGGAGAATCCAATGAGGGTGGAGAGACTGATGAAGTTCCTCAACTTGTGAAGGATTCCCCCAGAACTGGAGAGGATAATGAGACTAAAGAGGAGACTCCCAAGAAGGAAACGAATTCGGAAGGCAAGGACGATGTTCCTATGAGCGACGAATAAGCAAATAATTTATACATTGATAGATTTACAGTAGGTGAAGGGCCGAACAGGCTACGGAGGAGGTAGAGTAGACAACAATGTACAGTGGTAGGAGAATATTATAGTATGTGTCGAACTGGGAAATGATAATAAACAACGCGAGCGTATATCTATCTGAGAATCCCACAGCTTTACTCACTCTCACTACCGCCAACATTACACCTCCTCAATTACCCTAACCCTACCCAATACTTCGCAGATCTCCACGAGATCAACTCGACACCAGGACACAATGCTCAGACAATCACGGCGTCTTTTCTGCACGTCTCAGCGGGTGCTCAAGAAGCGAGAGTCGCCCCTTCAGACTGCCTTTGGCAACGATGACCCCTACGATGACGGTTTTTTCCACATTGGCGGCAACAACTACAAGGTCAAGAACCCCATCAAGCCCTCCACTTTGAACATTCCCAAACGATGGCCCAAGATGGCCACCGACGAGCAGCAGGATGTCGTCGATTACCTGGAGGATCAGATGCGTGGAGACTGGAAGATTATGACTCCTGAGGAGAAGCAAGCTGGTGAGTATGGAAGGGGAGAACAGACACTAAGGGTATGAGTATAGGAGTGAGATACTAGGAGACACAAACCCGGAGCGGGCCCCAACCGTTACCCCGGTTGATTATTCCACAAACGAGCCCATAAACTAACCCAGCTTACTACATCTACTTTGGACCCTGGGGACCGCGAGAGCCTAACCAGGATCCTGATCGGGGCATGCGATTGCTTACCCGATCCATCTTGTGGATGGCTGTCGGATTCGCATTCTACACTGCCGCCAACCAGTACATTGAGTTCTCCGAGGAGAGCGACTCTGCCTCCAAAAAATAGTCTGTATATAGCCGAAGTCTTGTTTTCGTTTTTAGCTTGTTGCCCGAACTGCTGTTGCACTAGTACATATCGAAGACTTCTTGGTCACGTGACACGTTGCACAGCCCGCAAAAAATCGCCACCGTAACATACTGGGTATGGTGGCTCCTGCCCTATTGCATATAAGGCATCCGTGATTCCGGCTTTTACGCCACCCACATTTGTCATCCTCTCTGCAACCCTAACTCCGTTATATAAAAGTGGTTGTCTTCTTCCCAACATGCAAAGTCTGGATAGCCAGACTGGCGCGCGCCATACAACTCATTACATCACCACCTGAAACAACCAAACAACAACACACGTCACCCCACGCCGCACACGGTTAAGTAACGACAGGTAACCGAAGAAAGAAAATAAAAACCAAGCCACAGCCATGTCCACTACAGCTCGAAGACGTCTCATGCGAGACTTCAAGCGCATGCAACAGGATCCTCCCCAGGGAGTCAGTGCATCTCCTGTGGCTGATAACGTGCTGACATGGAACGCCGTGATCATCGGACCGGCGGAGACCCCGTTTGAAGATGGCACTTTCCGCATGGTGCTGCAGTTTGACGAGCAGTACCCCAACAAACCGCCAGCCGTCAAGTTTGTTTCGCAGATGTTCCACCCCAACGTCTACTCATCTGGCGAGCTATGTCTGGACATTCTGCAAAACCGATGGTCGCCCACCTATGACGTGGCAGCGATTCTGACCTCGGTGCAGTCGCTGCTGAACGACCCCAATACGTCCAGTCCTGCCAACGTGGAGGCGTCTATGCTGTACAAGGATCACCGTCAGCAGTACGAAAAACGGGTGCGGGACACAGTGGAGGCCAGCTGGACCGACTAGAGCGGATAAGAGACGAACTAGAGATACCATTTTACTGGGAACGAGGGAGGGGCCCGTTAGCGGGACACGCATCGGTTGCATTAAGAGGAGGAAAAGATGAGGAAGAGATTAGGGCGTCTGCCACCATCATGCAGTTTGAGCCACTAGACAATGGACGTTGATGGGGATGTTTGGTTCTAGACCAGTTCATATATCTAATCAAACCTTCCGGAATAGGCTGTAAGAAGAGTACCGTGCTTACGTGAACCACCTGGATCAGGAGATATTCTAAGTCGCTGTTTTTCGTTTGACCGGTGTAGTAAATCCGACATGTCATTAACGTCAGTAATTCCGCTGAATACGAAGCTTATCAAACTACCAGTACCGTACAAGTACATACTCATCGCTACTTCACCTCATACATCTGACTTATAGCCCGTCGGAGATGCTAAATGGATTAAACTACTTGTACAATGAAAGGGGGCCGCGTGTGGCTATATTGAAAGCGGTATTTTGGTCAACATGGTTCCGCAGTTCCTGCGCATGTTCTATCCTTTGGAAAACTGAATGGGGTACGAGGGATATATATTTTTACCTCAGTTAAACATCTGTTAGCTGCAAGTACAATAGCTACTGGTAACTGTAGTTGGATGCTTGTCTCACTGTGTACTTCCAAGGTTCGCTGTTAGTCAACAAATTGTCTTCAGCCACATCTTTTATTGCTGTCAGAAATAGCAATGCTACGGTATTTTCGGTCAGTTCTTTTTCTGGTTTTTTAATTACTATCATTATCTACATTCTAGTGAAGAGCGCTCTTTCGCTCGAGCTTCTCGGGAAGCTCAACCATACCCTTGGCCTCCTTGAGCTGGAACTGGAGACACTTGAGTAGCTCGTAAACCACCGACAGAATGGGAGTTGGAACATTGTACTTTTTGGCCACATCCAGGGGTGCCTTGAGAATCACCTCCATTTCCATCAGGTTGCCCTTCTCGACATCAACCAGCATGGAGGGCTTATAGTAGACCTCTCCGTCAGAATCAATCATGTAGTCCTCGTCCTCCTCGGTCAGAATGTGTCCATCTGCCTTGGCAATAGCTCGAATCTCGCCCATTGCAGGTCTGATAAGAGAATCAGACACTCCATTGAGCCACAGTCGACCTGAGTCCATTCGTGTAATGGAACAGATGGTGTTGAAGGTAGCGTTGTACAGCAGCTTTCGCCATCGGTGGTAGACCACATCGTCGACGTAGTGAGCAAACTTGGGTCCATAAGCCTGGACAAATTCCTTGGCTCGCTTCTCCTGGGGGGCCTTGTCCGATCCGTTGTCAAAGTATCCAATCTTGACGTAGTCAGGCTCTGCCTGGTGGATCTCGCCGGCTCCAAGGTTGGTAGAACCAATCATGGACACACCAGAGACACAGACATTGTTAGGGAAGGCCTTAACGATGGGCTCCTCGATGTTGAGGCCGTTCTGGAACAAGACAATGGCCACGTTGGGAGAAGACTCGACAACGGGTCTGATGATGTCGGCAGTAGAAAAGACATCGGGCAGAGCCTTCATGGCTACCAGCACGTAATCATAGTTCTTGTCATTAGCGATTGCCTCCTGTACAGAGTTGACCATTCGGTGGGGCTTCCAGTTCGTCTGGTCGCCGTGGTCACAACTCTCAATGTTGTATCCCGTCTTCTTCAGTTCCTCAAAGTTGGATCGCACCACAAAAGTGACCTCATTGCCATGCTGGGTAAGAGAGAGGCCTGCAATAGTGCCGACTCCTCCAGTTCCGATGATGAGAATCTTTGCCATCGTTTTAATATGATGTTGACGTTGGTTATGCTCTTGTATACACTGAAATGTGGGGAGACATCTCGGCTACTGACAAACTCTATGCGTCTCCATGCACCGATACCGGCCTTGTTCGAGGGCAATATTAGCCGCTGAAGAAAAAATGGTACGGATATCAGTAATGGTATCCACGTCGTACGTACCTTGCAAAAAGAGATAATTGACGCTTTGCTTGAAGGAGAGAAAAAAAAATTACAGCACCCAGGATTCTCGTATGGTCTCCCACTACAATACTAACTAGGCTCTCTGGTGCTTGACTATGGCTGATCGGACGGGAAGCCGTATTTTCACCAGGATATGGCCGTAACCAAACTGCGCCGACCCGGAATCGAACCGGGGGCCCATCGATGGCAACGATGGATTTTACCACTAAACCATCGGCGCACTGATTGTTGAAGAAATTCTGCCACTTGCGACAAGTTCTTAAAAATGATTTTTTAAAAAAAGTGTATGATTTATTGAACGCCTATAACCCGGCTTACTACAAGTAGGTAATCTGCTGTAATGAATCATTAGCATAAAAAAATCAAAAACGAAAAAATACGGGGAAATACGGGGGGAAAACTTAGAGAAATATAGATTGAATTATTATTTTTTTCGTGTTCAGTATTAGCCCTTTCACCAGTACAGTAGTTACTACTGTAATGCTATTCCCTCTGTTATCGTTGCTTCTACTTGTATATAGAGATTCGTGTAATTGTACACTAGTAATTACAGTAATTTTGCCACCGCAAATGTTCCCCATTGGTTTAATAACGTTGGCGGACATTCATCCATTCATAACAATTCATTTCGTTAGGGCTCTAACTACAGTAAATACACAGTATGTACTGTACATACTGTACTTGTACGTTGCACTGTTTTTTAAGCTACACATTCTTGATTCCTGGCTTGACACCCGGCGGCTTGTGATTACCATATTAGTACCTTAACCTTCCCACAAATCTTCTCTTCTTCTGTGTCACACCCTTGTCCCTTGCTCAAGTCCACATCTGTGGGCAAGTTGCAACATGGGCAAAACCATCCGCTACCAACCTCCTCGAGGAGATGATACCCCTCGGTAAGATACCCGTCACTTGATTCTGATACCCTGAACCCTCTCTCTAACGCAGACCTTTCATCTCACGCTACAAGAAGCAGTTTACGATTCCTGTCATTCCCCCTACGCAGAGTCTCCCCGCCACTCGCTCAGCTCGTCTCCTCAGTGGGCGTGTCAGAAAGTATTTCGCCAGTCGGAAACGTGTCGACTTTGACGTGGACGACCTCGTCACTTACACAAACACCATCTCACTCAATTCCTCAACTGGTTCCTATGATAACCACAAATTTGAAAACTGGGACGAGGTCGATCTACCTATCATGAAAAAGCTCGCCAGACGGAGCACACGTCTGGAGAGAGCAATGAAAGAACTAGGAGACAACTACCTCGTTGGTGTTGCTTCTGGAAGGAGCATGGATTCCGGCCGACAGGCTACCGAAGAAACCGACGTTGACAAGGCTTCGACAATTTCCACCACAGACTCCTCCGGTGCCAGTGGAGCGCAGACTTTTGTTGACTTCGATGAAGCTATGGCTAGTAGCGGCTTTGTCAGCATCTATTCAGACGAATATCCTGTAGTGTCTGTCAGACCTTCTGAGAATGATGCAGACATCGTTTTCGAGTCAGAAGTTTCACAACCTCTCAGTGGCTCTGAGAGTGAATCTGGCCGTGTTGAGTATCAGAGCGAATCCGAGGATGTTGCCTCCTCGTCTGCATATGAGACCAGCTCAAGTCGACCTGAGACGCGTGACTCGGTGGTTGTCCTGACCAGCTCCCCGAGGGTCAACACCGCTGACTATCCTGAGTCTGTTGCTTCTATGGGCTCTCCCTCCGAGTCCATTAGCGGTTACGACCGAGACTCCCTGCCCTCCTACTCAGCGGCTGTTGTTGGCGGCTACCATATGGAATCTGAGCCGGGGACTTTCCCGTGTCCTCCCGTTGACACTAGCTCCCGGGAGCTACGCGAAGATCCACATTCCGCCGAGGCAGACCTGGATTTTGCGCTTGATCGCTTCAATCTCGAAGAGGACGCAGAGTTGGATGTGGAGAGCCGCTCCTTGGCTGCGTCTTCATCTCAGGGTACTTCGACTACTTCGTCTACCTTCTCGGACTCCACCTGTAGCTCTTCTGAATGCTATGTGTCGGACAGTGACGACAGCGGTGACTCCGATGAGGATGAAGGCAGATCTCATTCTGATAGCACCGATGGTGATGGAAACCAGAATAGAGAAGACAGCAATTCTGACGCTTCCCAAGGGTCTCGCTACGGTTTCGAAGACAGTGTTGACGGCAATACCACTGAGGAATATGACAGTGATGACAGTTCCAATGAATCTGAAAGCGACGACCTGATCCTTTTGTTCACTATTGCGAATTTGGATCCAGAGGATCTGATTCCTATGAGTGATGGGTCTGGTTACAGCAGCTCTGGTAGTTCTTACGACAACTGCTACGCATATCAGTCTGATGTTCAGAAGGTCGCGGGTCTTGCTTCCGGACCCCCCAGCTCCAGCTACGACTACTACGACCAAATGTCTTTCATTTCCTCAGAGGTTCCCCGTAGCCTCGACACCAAGATGAGGGAAGAGCTGGGGATTACTGTAGGTCAGATTGATGTCGTCGACCATAACAATTCCTCGGAAGAACGACTTGACTCTTCCTTGTCCCAGTTCAATGAGACTGGAAGCCGCGGGAGTATTCTGGGAAACCTCCATCTGGGACGAGATTTGTGGTCAGAGCTTTCTCGGTCTCCACCCCCTCCGAAGTCTCCAACCCCTTATCCTATGGAGTCTCTGTCGCCTGTTCTTGTTCAAAAGAAATTCAAATGGGATGTGCCCCCTGCTGCCCCATTCCCCAAGCCTCGCATGACTTTTGAGGAAACTAGTCCAAAGGCGTGCGTGGAGCCCGAGAGGTTTTTCGATGTTCCCCAATCCATGGATGTGTTCCCCCCTCTTCCTTTTCCCCCTGCCCCAGCTCTTAGCGTGACTGTCACTGAAGCCTCTGAAGTTCAGTCACATGACTACTTCCCCTCCACTGTTGTGAGCTGTGAAGATGCGCGACTTGAAGATACCTTGAACCTTGGTGCCCACTCCTTTCGTCGTCGAGTGTCAAGACGGATCTCTTTCACGCACACACGACTCCGACTGGATATTTGGAACAGCATGGCTGATATCCTTTGTGGTCATGGTCTCCCTGGTGGCGCTTTTCCAGAGAGGAAAGATATTGAACAGATGGAGAGGCAGAGTACCTCTGCGTTTCTTTCTGACCCTATGGACAGTGATCATCTTGGACTCTCCACTTCATCTGCAGAGGTGGATGAGCTTGATTTGGAAGCTAGCGATCTTGACGATGACCTAATGCTTCGACTCAGACGATACAGCATGGTCGACACCGGTACCAAGATTGAGCATATCGACGAAATTTTTGTGAGTCCTCATTCGCAGTACGCCCCAGCCAGCTCATCTTTCTGTTCCACATCTGACTATAACTCGTCTGGGCTCACCCCAACACCAGACACATCGCCACAGGATTTCCTCCCCACTGATGATGTTATAGGGAAGGCTCCTCTCGCGTGCAAAACTGTGGTAATGTCCTCAGAGGGCTCTTCCGACTTACCTACTTCCGAATCTTCTCTTGGAGACCTGGCCGCTTTCCCCGAAGCAAGCCCTAATTCCCTGGGGTCATGCTCGGTAGTGGTAGTTAAGGGAGACGTTGGCTCAGCCTCCTCCTCGTTGGTTATTTCGAAGCCTTCTCCAACTGCTGAATCTATTGGGCAAAGATCGTCGTATTCAGACCGTCTAGAGGCTGGAGCGCGAAGTGAACAAACATCCGGCGATTTTTCTTCAAACCTACCGAGCACCGCAGATATCTCTGCTTCCTTGAGCTCATCAACTCGAGCCAATGACACCAGAGATACATCTTCTTCAGGACCCTACACTTCATCTGCTGATGTGTCTGGCTCGCCAACACCCAGCTCGTCTAGGCATCTGAGCTCTTCGAATGCCAACTCAGGCAGCAATGATTCCAAGTCAACCTGCAGCCCTCTGATTCTGTTTGACCCTTCCTCGACATGTAGAAGCACACCTTCTCTACCAAGACTTCGAAGAATCTGTCTTTATTCCCCCGCTATGGTCTCGTCCGAGTCAGAGGCCGACGAGATAAAACACGAGCTGTTGGATGCTGTCTCTGACGCGGCATCTGTAATTACTGGGACAGCAACTGTGAATGTTCTTTCGGACGTGAGTGGCACAGCCAAGGAGAGACCAACTGCCATTCCGTCGGTGCCGCCTGCTCCTTTCCCCTCCCATCGTGTGGCCTCTCCGGGCATTGTTTCTATTGTGCCTTACCAGCCTCCTAATGTTCCATTTTTACCTTCAACAGAGGGTCGCAAGGATATTGCAGCCATGACCACCAACCTGCAGTCCGAGCTGTCGAGCTATTTCGATACCCCCAAAAAGTATAAGGGTAAGATGGTTCTCGGTGATGTGTCAGCTGGTGTTTTGGGCCAGTCAACTCCTACATCTTCTAACATCACGGACGAGAACCTTATGGATGTTCCCGGATCTTGTAGTGTCTGCGTTGTGGGCTCTCCCCATCCCAACTCTGGTTCGGCTTCTACGCGAAGTTCCAGAAAACGAAGAAGGGAGAAGTCCGATGGGGAAAGTTCTCCAAGATTACTTGTCTCCCTGAAAGAGAAGGTGAAGCGCTCCTTCAAGTCTGAGTCCAAGTTACGAAAAAGCGAGCTGGAGGATCTTGCTGCTGCGGCCGCCGGATTCGCCTACAAAAGCCCAACTTGGAAGAGTCCTTCATGGAAAAGTCCCACTTTCAAGAGCCCCTCTTGGAAGAGTCCATCTCATTATAACAACAATGATACAATGAAGCGGCATACTATCAGCAAATTCTTCAGCCGGTCCCGTGACGCCACCCTGCGTGACTGAAGATGTCTCAAAGTCTCTGGTAATGTCTCAACCGTTGTGCCGATCATCTGTCTTACCTAAAATGTATGTAATTTATGAGTATGTTTCCCCTATGAGTGAGTAAGGTAACTGAAATAATCTCTATTCTTCTATAATATATAATCAGGAAGGGGGGTTACCGCCGTTGGTGCTTCCGTTGGTTCCATCGCCGTTGATACCTCCATTGGTGCCGTTGATAATGCCGTTGGTGGTACCGTTGGTGGTGCCGTTGGTGGTGCCGTTGATGGTGCCGTTGGTGTTCTTAACAGGCTCGGGAAGGAAGAGGTCGGGCCAGACCTTGGGAAGGTCTTCAATATGGGAGATCTCCACGACACCTGGTGTTCCTGCAGGGATCTCAGGAGCTCCAGGGTAATGCAGATACGCGTTCTCTGCCCATCCGAACTTCTTCGAAGCCTTGATATTCAGGGCACTGTCATCCACGAACCAGCATTTGCTCTTGTCTGTGACACCTGCCTGTTTCATAGCCTTCTCAAAAGCCTCGGGCTTTGGCTTGCAGTGAAGTGGAGTGTGGTAATAGTCGCAGTATGTGAGCCCGTCGATGAGATCATCCACGCCAACCAGCTTGGCTACTCGCTCTCCGTGGGTCTTGTAGGCGTTGGTAAACAGCCAGAGCTTAGAGACCTTGGTTCTGTCCAGACGTTGGAACATTTGTCTGAGAGGCTCATCTCTCTTGAGGATCTTATCTAGAGGCAAAGAGTCATCCACGAGCCGGTTGTATTCGTCAATATCAATATTGTGGTGTCTCAGCAGACCGTCCAGAGCGATTCCGTACTCTTTGTAGTATCGATGGTGAAGCTCTGTGGCATGTTCCTTGTCCAGACCGAGTTTGGTTTGGAAGTAGTTGTTAATTCGCTCGCCCATGAGAGCGTCCACGCCCTTATCCTTGCTGTAGAGCGTGTTGTCAATGTCGACGAAGAGGACAATGCCCTCAGCCTTAGGAGTGTCTTGAGTCATTGTCTTTAGTGGTCTTGTGAGGATGCGCGTTAGAGAAGTTGTACGCGCGAAACGGGGAAAGGCAAGTATCCTGGCAGGTGCTCAACACGGGATCGTTCGGGTGAAAGGGAACGGTCTAAGAGTGTTGGGTTGAGCTGAAGAGATGGACTGGATCGTTTCTGCACGTGCAACCTAAGCGAGCTTTGGATTAGGGGCTGGCAGGTGGACAGGGTTTAAACCAGTGGGTTAGCGAGATTTTGACTGAGCTTGGTGAGTAGGACTCAAAGGTGTTTTTGCGACGTCACGAACGTGAGTTTGATCGGTAGCAACTCTCGCGGCTCACGTGGGTCTTGGCCGGTTAAACACTGGGTCGGATCAAGGCGAGGGACTTATTTGTATAAACCATAAAGCGTTGAAGAATTGTGGTCATGGCACCGAAATAACGCATAGGTGATGCGTGACGGTACAAGTGCTTGTATGCGAAAAGTGGGACGGAGTAACATTGAACTGCGGAGCGGAAGGAAACAACGCCCATTGGTAATGAGGAAGCTGCAATTGCCCGAATTGCCCTGTAAAAACACGGGGCAGAAACGCAGAAAAAGTTGTGAGAAAAGAAGACAAGACTAGACGACTTGGTACAGTACTGTTCAGTGCGAGGCTGAATAGAAAAATAGTGGATAGACGTATTTCTGAACCGTCTCAACGCATTTATGATGACGTAACCAATGGGCGTGACCGGCTCCGATATCGGTGTGTCGAGTGCTGTGTGTGTGTATGGATTGTCTGTGTCGTGGTGCTCATCTTTATTGAATGCTGTGCTGGAGTGTTGGGATTCTCGGGTTCTGAAGTTTGCTTTTGACGCATACAGCAGCTGGTCTCTATATATGTGTCCGAAATGTGCTCTCAGTCGACCCCAGATTGTGGACTGATAATGGACTGATTTATGTACGTCTGTGCATCGTTTGCATAGTCCTGGAGTCAAATGTAATGTGAAAATGTGGGTGTGCGACGATGTATTGATGATATCTGACGTGTATTCGAACTTACAATACAAGTAGAGTCCTGACTACTACTACCCCTTCCTTCATTATTACGATGACGTATTTGTCACGATATTTTTTTGACTGCTCATATTACGCTACAAGCATGAGTAGCTACAGGTGGTTACTGTAGTGGAGTCAAGGCTGAGATCTACAGTATCTGCTGTAAGCAAATACTGCATCCACCCTTGGACTAAAATACAGGTACTTAGACTTGCACATACTGAAATTTACGCTGCAACATTCAACTGTACTGCGCATGGATTGGGATTAAATGCAGCATCCGAACTGGGCGAAAATACTACTGGACAGACCACCGACTAATCTCCATGTGTTCTCCCCACGTCCAGATCCCCACATGCCCATCCGCCTTGTTCGCATGCGTTTCAGCCTTTGTTCGAGGAGTCCCACAAACAAACTCTGACAGTAAAGTTCGGGCATGCCAATGACTCTAAGACTCTATCTATCGCTATCAAGACTTTAACCATGCTCCACTGCACACGACACCACAGCAAAGCCATGTTGCGGATAAAACATCGTCCGGCACACTTGCTACAGCGGACACGTGGATCGCGCTACAATTCCCAGCTTGCATCGCTCTCGTTCGAGCCCGAAACCGTGCGCCATGACTACCCCTTCACGTCAGCCTACCCTGTGGGATCCAAGGTCATCAACGAACAGCACTTTTACCAAAATGACATTCTCTTCAACTGGTACAACAAATCGCCGCATCCCGTGTCGCTTCGACAGCTGGCCTTCTTTGGTCGAAAGTTGACGGAAGAGAAGATGATTGGAAGTGCCAACTTTGTGCGAACCGAGCTGCCCACCCGTCTGGCCCACCGAATCAGAGACTTGCAGTGTCTGCCTTTCAGTGTCATGCGCAACGAACACATGTCCCAGGTTTACGAGCTGTACTACCAAGCATTCAACCAGTTTCGAAAGTTCCCCGCTATCAAGACTTTGGAAGATAATGACAAGTTTTGCAAGCTCGTCTCTGATCTGCTACTCGATCATCTGACCATCATTCCGTCGCTGGTCACTGGCGGTATCGAATGTGCAATGGACCAGCTGATCGAACCCAAGAGACTTGACGACGTGATGAGTCTCATGCTTAGGTCGAGAATCTCCAGAAGGGTCATTGCCGAGCAGCACATTTCGCTTTCCCAATCCTTCAACGAGTCGCTGGCACAGGGAAAGCGTGAGACGGCAGAGAAAGCAAGCGACTACATTGGGGAGGTCTTCCTCCAGTGCTCTGCCAAGGATTGCATTCGCACCGCTTCTGCGCAGGCAGAAACCTTCGCAGTTCAGGTCATCTCCAAGGAGCTGTACATGTCGCCAGCAGATATCGTGGTACCCGAAGTGGTGGTTCAAGGGGAAGATGCCAAGTTCCCTTACATGGACTCCCATCTCAAGTATATTATGGGTGAGATTCTGCGAAATGCATACTACGCAACCATCCGACGACATATTGTAAGTGGAAAGGGAGGAACGCCACCACCGATCCTCGTGTCCATCTCCAACACACCCTCTGATGTGCGAATCCGGTTCTCAGACCAGGGAGGAGGTGTCCCCAAGGAGGTTCAGCCCCACATCTGGTCTTTCGCCAAAGGCCCTGAAGCTACCTCTCGTCTGGACATGTTTAAGCGAATCCCCAAGCTCGCTGGCGTGCCCCACGAAGTAGACTTTGCTGGAAATCTCGACACCAAACGAGTTATTTCCACAGATACACATGAATCCTCTCTAGCACGCTTCTCAAACCGACCTCCTAATGTCAAGCTTGGAATCGGTCTGCCCATGTCCAAGGTCTACGTGGAATACTGGGATGGTAGCCTGGACCTCACATCTCTGGAAGGGCATGGAACGGACGTTTCTCTGCGAATCTCTCGTCTCGGTAATCAGAACGAGAAGTTGCAACTCGACAGAGTCTAAGAAGACTCCACATTTGATTGCGTGTACCGTCATGCATTGAGGGACGGCCGCCTAACATGTAAGATATCTCATAACAATTTCATAATTACTGTCATGTTTACTCTACAGCACGTAATTGTATGTACCGCTGTACTCATTGAAACTCTCGGGTTCAGTTTGCTAACAGGTATGGTATGGTACAATATGTTCAGGAAATAACGAGCAATGATTGTAGGAGCAAACACTGAGCGAGCAATACGTGAGTACGATCAAGTACTACTTGTACTACAAGTAGTGTTGTAGCTAGCGTACAGTGTACAGTACAGTACTTGTCAAACGAATTATTAATTGTAGTGTAAAAAATGCAAAAAAGTGTTGACTAACAGAGGAATTAAACCTCCTTGATTTCCTTATTGAGGCCATCGTCAGTCCCGAAGAACAATGACATGGACAGGAATTGAACCTGCAACCCTTCGATTACAACTTCAAGCTGGAGTCGAAAGCTCTACCATTGAGCCACCACATCAACACGCTTAATTTTTTGTTAGGGATCAGCGGCTAAGAAATAGCCGCCTGATTAGTCTCTCGTGAACCGCTAGCGGAGACTACGACGAGGGGCCACCACGTGGGCCCTCAGTGGGATTACGCTATCATTAATATCGATATGCCAAGCCTGCTATCACGGACAAAGGGTTGCGCCGCAACCCTGGATAACATATAAACCCCTGTATTCCATGTATTCTAATACACCTTTCTTGAGAGTGACGGCAGTGACCATACCTTCGGTATGGCCACCCCGGCTGAGTCATCAGTCGGCTTAGTCACGGGGCCTGGGTTCTAACATTTTTATAACGATTCAGAAGCTAGTCATAAGGTGTTATCATTAGTCATGTAGGCTTACTAGGTATATAGCTGTAATGAATCATTAGAATAAAAAAATAAAAAAGAAGTATATGAGCCTCATAGTGTGGTAGATGTAAACACCAACTACATTCTGACTATGGTTACTGTGTATCTTCTTTGTTATACTACTCAGTTTTGGTCTCCGTGACTCTGTCATTTGACAACCTATAGGGTTCACGACAACGGCATGAACGATACCACGCAAATTGTCCCCCGTTGCAGCCTTGACAACTGAAGTTCATTAGACTGCCCATTGGAGTCTTCTCGATATCCGAAGTAGTTGCTTTCTCTGCTTATGTGAGTTCCTCTCTTCTCAATGTCTGATTTTTTTGCGCTTGTGATATGATCTGACCTGATCTATAACCGGCAGTACTTATACAGATACTGTAAATCGGCGTACTCTCCACCATCGTTCAGCCGTGTTAGTTCTATCTGGGCTATAATAATTTTACCATTCCCCGTAGTCTCATTGGCTACCTCTGATAACCCCTACGACAGATTACTGTAGCGACAGAATGTCAGAATGTGCATCCAAGGTTTTAAAAGGACACAGAACGTTTTGGTGTGATGGAAGCAGTCAGGGATCAGTGGTCACGCCAAAGCGTAGCAATTACTTTTATCATAATAATTGACGCTACCATCCACTATCAGAATCATGGAAGCCGCTAAGTAACTACTGTATACTATTCGGTCGGTGTCACTCTTAGAGTGAGTTCCACACGAAGCAATTTAACGTATGATTGTACATTGTACTTGTACTCACAAAAACCGCAAGCGGGGATTACATGCCTTCGAAACTAGCAACATAACCTGTATCTAAGGAGCACAATTCCAACGAACAGCCAGCCTTAAAATTAATTTATGCAGACTATGCGATCGAGAAAATTCCACCTTCAGCTGAATCAGACTGGTCAGTTGTTGCTGCCCTCGCAACTCAGGTTTACACATGGTTTACACATGGTCTCCAACCTTAACCTTAGAGGGCATGCGCATATGTGCGCACATCAAGTTCATGGATTGAAGTGCAGTATAAATCCCACACAGCTTTGTGTTCCTTCTCTCACCACACTATGTCACTAGACACCCCCGATTCGCTTGCGCGGGATTTCTCCGCCAAGCTGTTCACATCTGAGAAGCAGCTCGAGCCCATGTCTGACGCAGTGCTTCCGCCGAGTTACTCAGCCGCCACCAGCGAGGCTGACATGTCTGATGTCAGCACTTACAGCGAGTGCAAGGCCACCACGATTCCCGCTCCCGAGGAGGAAAACAAGGGGATGACAGACGTCCCTGTGCAGATATCTACTCTGCCGGACCAGCGGTATGATGATATGGATGTTTGTACTGCAATGAATCTACTAACCACAGAAGAGACATCGTCGCAAAGAAGGGAGCCGTATTCAACCTCATGGTTGTGGGAGAAAGCGGAACAGGCAAAACCACCTTCCTCAATACCCTCTTCGCTGATGAACTACTCAAACGAGTGGGATCTCGACGGAGACCGTTCCCCTTTGGCGGGCAGGAGGAGGAGTCGGCTTATGAATACACTGGCGACGAGTCGGCGAATTCACAACACCATCGCACGACGAAGATTGAGTCGGCGACCTTTGATCTCGAAGAAGAAGGCGTTACGGTTCGGTTCACGGTCATTGACACGCCGGGATTTGGCAATTATGTCAACAACACGAACTCGTGGGTCCCCATCGTTGAGTACCTCGATGACCAGCATCGGCAGTACCTCGTACAGGAGGAGCAGCCCGAGAGATCCAGAATCAGGGACGTCCGAGTCCACGTTTGCGTCTACTTCCTCAAGCCAGGGTACCGACTCATGCCTCTCGATATCAGAGCCATGAAGGAGCTCTCCAAGCGGGTCAACTTGATCCCTGTCGTGTCCAAGGCCGACACTTTTACCATCCCTGAGATGGAGGCTTTCAAGGCCAACGTAAGTGCTATCGTTTGATTGTGTGCTGATTTCCTTTATCTAACATTCTAGGTTAGAGCTGCTATCGACGCTCACAAGATCCAGATCTACACTCCCAGTGATGACTACAATCTTGGCTCCCTCTACACCTCTGAGGTGCCTCTTTCCATTATCGGCTGTCACGATTCTGTCATGGGACGTGATGGACAGCAGACCCGGGGCCGTCAATATGCCTGGGGCGTTGCCGAGGTGGACAACCCTGACCATTGCGACTTCGTCCGGCTGCGGGAGATTATGATGAGCCACTGTATGCTGGATCTTATCGACACTACCGTCGAGCAGCATTACGCTAGCTACAGAATGCAGAAGATTGAGCTTGCACGAAGCGCCATGAAGGATGCTGGTGCCTCGGAGGAGGATATTACTGCTCAACCCTTCTGTATGCTTCTTCGAAAGTCTGCCGCCCAGCTCCAGGAGCACGACATCTCCAACAGCATCAAGTTCCAGGCCAAGGTGGTGGAGCTTAACAGGCGATTCGCCAAGATTGTGGAGAAGCAGGAGGAGAATTTCAGCAACTGGGAGACTGAGCTCACACAGAAGCAGGATGAATTCAACGCCGACATTAAAAAGATCCATCGAGAGTGAGTATGGTGGAGGGTGATCTTTTGAAGAGTTACTAACCCAGTGTGATTGATCTAGAGGCTGCAGTCGATATCCTCTCTTACCGCGTCCGGAATGATCCCAAGGATACTGGAGGACGCATTTCCAAGGGCAAGGCCAACGTTGCTGACATCTTCCATCGAGATCGCTAGCTGCACTCGATAGAGTTCAGTCTGTTTACATCCTGAACCCTACTTGAGCTATCTTGCATTATCGCTGTATGGCTACGTGGAGTCAATGAAGTACCGGTTGATTGGGTTCCTGCTGACACAGGAGTGATCCAGATGACTCTGTGAGTAGGCTTGACTTGCAGGGTTGTATTGCTGTTCGTCCTTTGCAGTAGGCAAGTTGACTGTGGAAAGAGCGGCACATATTAATATTATTTATGAGTAAATGTTTATTTTGTAGTTTATCGATTGGTGTACAGCAATTAAGGAGGAGTATGAAGTGCAAATAATGTCATGGATATTTCCCATGGGCATAATAGTGTTGTTATATCTTTCATAGTGTTTATTCCTAGACTTCTAGACTGTGCTTTGTCCCATATTTCTGACTCAGTTTGGCATATGGTGCTCATTGAAGGTGTATTACAAAATTTCAGGAACGCCCCACATGACAACAAAAGTCCTCAAAAACGAGAACAAGATTCAATCTAAAGGTCCAAACAATAATACCTCGTCAGGATTGTTACAGTGTGAAAAAAAATCTCATCATTCCGAGTCTTCAGGAGCTGTTTTCTTGCTTGCTACCCCTACATCACGTAACCAATTTTTCATTGAGTTTCAAATTGGATGTTGGACCTGCGGGCCGAGTTTAATATACCTGTGGGTGTCATCCGACCGGAATGAGAGCCATAAAGACGCGGTAGAAAAGAGAAAAATGACGATATTAAATTAATATTATAATAAGTCAACATTTCTTCATGATATTTTTTTTATAAAAACACGACAATATCCACGTTATGACTCGTCTGACGGTAGACTACAATCCAGTCACGCTCCCTGGTTGCAACTTTGTTGGCGTGGAACCCTATTGTGTGGACGCGGCATGAACCACTCATCGAAGTTAGGATTTTGGTTAGCAGAATATTACTTGTCTTCACAACAGAGCAGAGACTCAGGACGGTACTTTGAAGGTGGAAAGCGGACGTTTTTTTGAAACCAGCGAGGGCCCAACAACAACCTACACAGAAAACATCCCAGCTCCGTTCAAAGTACACTTAATCACTCACATTCCACACTTTCCAATGATCGGATTGGACTCGCCCGTACTCAAACCTCTGGATGCCAACCAGAGCAACCGGTCTCCCAAGTCTGGCGCGTCTTCTCCCACCAAGTCGTCGCGACCTTCCTCGGCTCGATCGGGCTCCGTTTCGCCTCTCAGAAGAGGCCCTCTGAGACCGTCTTCTCCTATCAGACGCGCTATTCAGGTTCAAAGAGATGCGCCAGCGTTCACAATCTACGCCGCTAGCGAGGAGGAGGAGACGCAAACACTCAAAACTTGCCAACTGATGCCGAAGGCAGACATGTTTGACGACGAAGTACCCAAGGAAAACATGGTGGAAGGTGTCGTGCAGGCCGAGGGAAAGGACAAGGATGACAGCGAGAAGGCTGCACCTAAAAAATCCCCTTCAAGACTCGGACGAATGCCTCTGGGAGAGCACTGGCCCACCCTGAGAACTAGCAAAGTCACCAAACCTGTCACTTCGCCCAAGAGAAAGCCCTTCACTCCTCTGTCTGCCCTTGACTTCCCAGCATACATTTCTGCGGGCAACAACGAAAACGTGTTGCTCACATCTGCTAAGGGACTCGCAGTTTTCGACGAGACATTCACATACGAACTTCCGGTCTTTGCCACTCCACCAAGAAAGCGAAGAATGTCCATTCCTGCTGCTGACACTCGTACCAGCATCTCTCAACCGCTGGTCCAAACCTGGCAAAAAACCGCATTCCCCGTTTTCCAGGACGAGTGAGATGCCAACAACTAACTGTAAGATAAGTAATATATGTACTATAGCATGACTAACGAATGTGAGGTGCGTTTCTGTGACGATATACCGGCATCTTACAACTCAGATAAGCTCAAGGACAGTGTTCCAGTATGTTAATATTATATAACTATTTAACCAACTAGTTCTGGTTGGAGATGAGAGGAGCTCGCTCATTCTCGGCGTCGACCTGGTCAACGGCGGGCTTCTTGAAGATAAGACCAACAGCTGTGAGCACGGTGAGCACAAAGGTGATGGCGGCAGCGGCGAAAGCAAAGCCCCACTGCAGAGCAATGACCTTGTAGAAGAGCTGGTGCACACCAATACCCCAGGTGAGGAACTGGACGGCAAAGCCAAAAGCCCAATCTCGGTAGAAGAAGAGAATGAGCACGGGGACAATAAGGAAGTCCCAGATGAGCACGTTGGCAATGATTCGAGCTAACAGGCCGTTGGCGTGGAAAGCAGCAGCTCCAGTCCAGAAGATGTTGTAGAAAGTCCAGGCCAAGGGCAGGGCAGACACGGGGACGTGAATAAAGATGAAGTTGGAGGCAGGTCGCAGGGAGTAGGTCTTGTGCGAGATGTAAAGAGCCAGGACGTTAAAGAAATTGGCAGCGGTTACAACAAGAGCAAGAACAAGGTGGCCACGGGCAAAGAGCCAGGCCCACAGGAAGTGAAGAATGTTGAAGACAGAGAAGTGGTAGGTAATGGAGCCAGAGATGGCAGCGGGCTCGGCGGAAAAGACCTGGCTGAGGTACAGCAGCTGGAAACCAAAGGTCAGGATCCAGAAAATGAAGATAAAGATGGAGCTTGCCGAGAAAGCATTGGTGTGGATCCAATCGGGACCATCATGGTCAGAGTGGGATGTGGCGATACCATATTGGATGTTGGCGTAGGTGGCCAGAGCGAAAAAGACGACGGTGGAGAGCTTCTTGCTCAGCAGCGAATTGGGGGTTTCGGCTTGAGTGACGGGCATTGTGAGAGACGGGAGTGCAACCAAAGAGCTAGGAGGCAAGATACATACAGACCAGACGGGCTCTTATGTACGCCACCATTTCTTGAAAGTTACGGTTCTACGCTACCGAAGGTCCGTATTGTGGAGTAGCAACCTGTAGACGAGTGGAAAATAAAACCGCAATTGTGGGGAAGGGAGATGAAAAATGAACATACTCCATGATTTTGAACACTTTAAAGACCCACCACAGCCTCCAATTCCGTTTTCTACCCCAGCTTCGCGGAGGTGCAAACCCCAGAATCGTCGTATAGAGTTAGCAACCTTCAGACAAACGGAGGCTTATGGCTTGTAGAGTTTACCTAAAGGCACATCTTGCCTTCCTCGAATCATCGACTGTAACCTGTGAGTGTGACAGGGAAACATTAAAAGAGGTCGTGTGACCAATTTTGCCTCGGAAGTAATAATTGGGCTATGCCATCCCATATGAACTGCAGCAATCAATAGATACAAGAACTATAGGTGCTATGCACAAAGAGCTATAAGGGTTCCACTAGTCGAACACAATTCGGAAAACAAGTACAAGTACACCTTTTTCTTCAATACACATGCACCGCAGCACATACTTAGATATACTACAGCAGATTCGCACACTGCCGTACAGCCAGTACTCACAGATTGCGCCATCTGCGGCGCTGGTTTGGCTCAACGCATAAGCCTGCATAGTCATGGCCGTCAATCGAGTTGATTTTGTTTGTTGGAGCTGATGAACTCAATGAAGACGCAAGATGCAAGACACAATGCTATGGTCGTGCCATAGACATAATGGATGGCTCAACAATGAACTGGGTGCAGCCTTCACGACGACCAGAGTCGGTTTAAACCAAGGGGCGGCAGATAAAATTAAGGTTTTAGGTTTATTGTCACGTGACAAATCCACAAGGAAATTAGAATTTATTGATTAAAGCTCCTGCAAAAAAACAAGCGCCGATGGTTTAGTGGTAAAATCCATCGTTGCCATCGATGGGCCCCCGGTTCGATTCCGGGTCGGCGCAGTTTGGTTACGGCCATATCCTGGTGAAAATACGGCTTCCCGTCCGATCAGCCATAGTCAAGCACCAGAGAGCCTAGTTAGTATTGTAGTGGGAGACCATACGAGAATCCTGGGTGCTGTAATCTTTTCTTTTGGAAAGTATTACGCAGGCGATGATGAGTTAATAAAAAATTCGATTAGTCTTGAAGACACCTAAGTGGTTAGAACATTTATGAAACTGAGTCCTCTCTTTTTGGCCTTCAGTATGTACAGAATGAATGCTTATCTATATTAGTTACCGCCTCGTGTTGTATTCACCTAACTCTAGCCTTGGGCCTGTTTCTTTTCATCACAGTCTTGGGTCTTCCTCCTACCCTGCGAGCATGTTGTTTCACAACCATACGTTTACGAAGTTGGTACTGAACAGGAACAACAACACTGCCTATAGTAGCGGCGTTCTTGACAACACCTGTGGTGGTACCCATGAGAGCTTCGTTCGTCTTCAACACCTGTTTGATGTTCCCCTTGACTAACTTCTTGGACTTGGCACGGGAGTACTTGTGCGAGTTTGCTAATGATGTCTTGGTCATTCTTGACCGATGCAGTTTGATTATCATTTTGTTGAAAGGTTTCCTTTTGGCTCTCTTAATTTTCTGCGAAGCGTGCTCCTTCTTGTAGTGCATCTTATGGTTCTTCCACAGCGTCAGAATGGCTGCGAAGGCAGTACAAACGACCAGTTGGGGGTCAATCTTCTTCTGATCGAAGCTTAGACGGAATTTTGTGTAGTCGAGACGCTCTACCTTTGCAATTCGTTCTCTTGTCAACATTTGCTGTCCATCAATTCGGTGATGTCGTTCAAGATACTGGGACTCCTTTCCCCAGACGTAGAGAGATACCAGGTCCATATACTTGAAGGACAACGACGGATAAGGCCAGGTATTGGCACTCAGAGCACGGTATACCAGTTTCTTGTTGCCTTCTCTCTCGTTTCTCACAAAGTGGATGTACTTGGAGAACCTCATTCCTAGCTCAGCGACCACATTCCTGCGATTGTCTATCAGGGCCCACGTGCCCCTTTTCTTCTCGAAGCTGAACAGTCGTTCTCCACAATGAAACACATACCACAACTTCTTGCTGAGCTCGTCTCTAGCAATAGTCACCGTCTGAGTAATGGGGCACAACGGGAGGACATCGCTGGAGTCCCCACAGTTCTTGACCACATATGCTTCCAGCTGTTTTCCTCCATACCCACATAAGAGGGCAGATACGCACAGCGCAGCAGCTATCGGAATGATCATAGCGAGCCAGCCGTACCCAAGCTGGTGGAGACGCTCTTGGTCGTGTTTGGAGATTTTTGTGAGATAGATGAAGAAACACAAGTTAGCCACCATTTAGAGTGGACATCTAAAGCGGCCGTTACCGCAGAGGATTACAGCAGACAGCTTTTCATATTCTGGCCCCATAATAGGGGAGGTGAAATGATAGATTGTGGGCATTCGACTCATCCCGTTGAGGATGTTGACCAACCGTTGGGTCTAGTAAATATGCCTACAACAGTGCGGGGAGGGTCCTACCTGCATAGGGAAAGGTGGGGATTTCTGTGTTACGGCCTTAACGAGAGATAACCTGATGGGATGGATGGAACACGTTACAGCAATATGAGCCGTGGGGTTAAGGACAAACCCGAACGACCGGAATGGTACAGTACAAACATCAGCTTATCGTTTGTGTCGAGGACATACTCGTATTCGGACTCGTACAGGAAGCCCCAGTATCTATACCGTGCTACTATGCTATACACTCCCCTCGTGTATCGTATCGCAGAGTCAGACAGGTCACGGCACTTATAGACTGATCAACAGTGCACTCTTTACTGTCCTCGTTGATCTGGGGGAGCATGTGAATGTTGACCTTACGTATCCACACGCATGGATAGCGCCTGTGTTCATCTACCCCACTCGCAATATTCACCAGCCACTTTTCTTTCTGCTTCCGATGATATGATATACGACGATCGCCACGCTTTTCGCTCTTAAATCCGTTGCAACCGTTTTGACAGGGGATCTGCAGGAGTGAGAGAGTTGACAAGGAGAAGCCCAAAGACACTGAAGGCACAAGTACGAGGAGCTTGTCTGCACATTTCAGAGATAAATCATCTCGGGGCACTTGTAGCTCGTAAATAGCTCACGTGGACGACCCACAATGCGTTTTATTACCACACCTTGATGAGCTAACGGCGAAAAAGCAGGGAGCACAACACTACAAGTACTTTACAAGTTGACAGCCATCACACCAGGGGCAACACCTCCTATTTGGTACTAGTACTACAGACAAACACAGATGCATTGCTCCTTAGACGCATATATCTGTCAGGCCGCCCACCAGTTTTATAATATCTTGTTCTGTATGTACTCGTACGACAAGTCAACGATCCATCTTCTTCCAATACTCTTCTGCCGGATAAATCTCCTGCATTTATTATAACCGACCTATAACTGCATCTCTTTAAAATCTACAAGTACGTAATACCCACGCTAGCAAGATGGTTAAACTACTGGTACATACTGTACTTGTAGCTTTTATGATGATGATGTGCACTTTTAGCCCCCACAAAAAGTTAATCTGGTGGAGCTTATATTATGAGCCAATAGAAATCACCAAATATAACTCATGCGACCCGTACGTTATTCCTTGATGAGTATCTTATTTGATTTGGAGTGGTTCAGGGACGTAGAAATAGCCCCACCACGGAGGGAAGGGGTCTCTATTCTGCCGAGCCGTCCGTTCTTTTACGTTTCAAAATATTGTGAGCTGCATCGCATCACCCAACTCTAACAGACAGTTAAAATTACGATCAGTGGTAGATATTGTCCAACTTGCGCTTAAGGCAAGAGAACTGCTTGTGCTGCTAAACCCGTTACGTTCCCGTTCAAAGGCAAATAACAGATTGCGGGGACCCCACATTCTGCTTCTCGTGCTTGCATCTCCTATGTAACAAGCGATACCCCGATCCGGAGATAACGGATTTGCTTCGGTGATAACCGTCTGAGGTGCGTACCATCCTTCATTTCCCCCACTTTCTCGCTTAATGCTGTGTTGCCACTCTGACCACGCTTAATGATAGGCTTTAACATGGTGAGCCCCTTGTCACAAATCTGCCTCAGGTGCTTGAGATATGCGCTATGGGTTTCAACGGTCTGGACAGCACAAAGAACAGAATGGCGTATTATTTTACTATAATAACGGCGGCAGTTCCTCTCTTCTTATCTAAATAACGATAATGGACTCTTCTAACCACACAAATATGAATCGACACACTCACGCCCTCATTGTTGGTGCTGGCTTCTCTGGCCTGGCATCAGCCATCAAGCTCCAGACCGACTGGAACACCACCGACTACCAAATCTACGACCGAGATTCCGAGTTTGGCGGCACTTGGCAACAAAACACTTATCCTGGAGCTGCGTCCGACATTCCTGCACTGTGGTACTGTCTCGCTAGCGATCCCAAGGTCGACTGGAAAGAGCCCTACCCTTCTCAGGAAGAGCTGAGACAGTACATCAAGGACGTGGCAGAGAAATACAACCTACGAAAGCGAGCTACTTTTGGAGCTGAGATCGAGAAGGTGGAGTGGCTGGCCGACCAGCAAATGTGGAAGGCATCCATCAAGGACGTGGCCACCGGTAACAAGTATACCCACACCTCGCGGGTGGTTTTTATGGGCAAGGGCTGTCTTGTTGTTCCCAACAAGTTCAAGACTGCCGGAATTGAGGATTTCAAGGGGCCTATCATGCATACCGCCCAATGGGACCACTCTGTCGACTACAAGGGCAAGAACGTGGTTGTGATTGGCAACGGCTGCTCTGCTGTCCAGGTGTGTGCTGCTATTGCACCCGAGGTAGGTTCTCTGACCCAGTTTGCACGAACTCCTCAGTGGATGGTGCCCCGACCTGAATGGAAGTGGCTCAAGACGATGGGTGAAACCTTCCCCTTCATGCTTGGATTTGTGCGATTTCTTATGTTCCTGACACTCGAGGCCAACTTTTCGCTCTTCCGAGGTGGCTGGTATGCGCGAGCCGACCGAGCTGTCCGAACCTGGGTCAGCACCATGCTCCTCAAGTGGCACTTGCCCAAGAAGTACCACGAGAACTCCATCCCCAAATACGAGCTTGGCTGTAAGAGAATCATCTATGATTGTGGATACTGGAAAGCCCTCCACCAGAAGAATGTTGAACTGACTTACGATCCCATTGTTAGAATGACCAGCAATAGTGTTATCACCAAGAGTGGCCAGGAGTGGCCAGCCGATATTGTCATTGATGCTACTGGATTTAATGTCGCCGCTTCCATGGGAGGTCTGGAGATTGTGGGCGAGACTGGCGAGAACCTGGTGGACTTCTGGAACGGCAAGGTCTCCGCTTACGAGACAGTTATGGTCGCCAACTACCCCAACATGTTCTTCCTATTTGGCCCCAACGCCACCACTGGCCACAACTCTGTCATTTTCGCAATTGAGAACGCTCTCAAGTGGATCGAGAATGTCGCTTCTGATCTCGTCACCGGATCTGCCACCTACGTCACAGTCAAGAACGAGGCCTACGACTCTTGGACCCAGAAGGTGCACGAGGCTTCCAAAAAGATGGCTTTCTCCACTGGAGGATGTGTTTCCTGGTATATGAGTGCCTCTGGAGCTGGACACAACGGTGTTACCTACCCCTGGACTCAGTTTACTGCTTGGTGGAGAGCCCGATTCCCCGTCAAGAGCGATATGATTGTCAAATCCAAGAAGGACGAGTAATTACCACGCAAGTGAAGTATGCGTACGGACACATTATTTTAGAAAATACAATATTACAGTTGAACAGTTTTTCGCTGAGAGCTGTAGCTTGTACTGTATCTCCCGTGTCTCATCTCTAACTGGTGATCACAAATCGTAATATATGGAGCCGAGGTGTCCCCCCATGAAGGAGCTAGAGAGTATGTGAACATAGACTGTATATGAGTTGACATTGAATAATTTTGGACGCAAGACTTATTGCTTTATAAGTAGTTCATGAGGACATTCTTCAACACCAGCATGATGCCTACCTACTCCTATTGCATACCCCGGGCACTATCAGATCATCCCTTGCATGATCTGCAACAAGATAAGAACTTCATACGCTGGTAGGTTTCATATCGCTGCGGGGTATACACAGACAAGGCTTGTTCAACAAACAATCTGCTCGCTTTTTTCACTGACCGATTTTATGGTGATATTTCTGACAGTTGGATGCCGAACGCAAGTAAATAAGTGGAAACAGTGGATGTATGTCGTTAGGAGACTACCCAAAAATTGAACATGGGGGTCAATGCTGTAGTTCTATTCAACGCAGTTATCTTCAGTGTACTCTCTCAGATTTTCTTTTAATTCGGTGATCTCTTTATGTAGGTATACAATAATCGTCTTATTCTCGGCTCATGGCACCCCATTTGTTGATTATTAACTGGAACGTTTGAGTTTCTCCCCGCAGAAACCTAATCTCCATACATTGAGTCTGGGGACGTATTAAATCAGGGGTGAGTGTATGAAAATGACTCAATTGAGAGTGTTTTTGTGCCTATGTTTTTTTGAGACTTGAAAAAATCCATTCTGGCTCATTTTTTGCGTGTTTGTTCCATCACGGAGTTGTATATCCACCGACTAGCCGCAGTCTTCGCTAACCAAAATTGTATGTGGAACTCTGGATGCGCGAAGCCAAATTTGAAGATAGGCAGCGTGGCCTCAACGACAATAATAATGGACTCAGTTTACTTCCAATTTGCGAGAAAAGCAGCTCATAAACTATTGACAGTAGTATTTCAACTGCATCACATTTTCCCCAATCTATAGGTCCCCAAGATACTCCTCTAAACTAACCCTCCAGGACGAAAGAGTCGTAAGACACCTACTACCCCACCATAACCCAAAATGATGGGGGGTAATCACGTTCCTTTGGCACCGAGTGTATTATATATAAGTCAGTAGATCCAGAATGTCTGTTCCTTTCCCACCAGCGACTTTCTCTCTCAAAAACAACATGACTGAGCTCTACTCTCACTCTCTCATTGTCGGCGCAGGCTTCTCTGGCGTGGCCACTGCAATCAAGCACATCAAGGAGTGGAACAACCCCGACTTCCACATCTACGACAGAGACTCGGCCTTTGGAGGCACCTGGAAGGCCAATACCTATCCTGGCTGTGCCTCGGACGTTCCTGCCATCTTTTATTGCCTTACCTCAGACCCCAAGATTGATTGGAGCCACATGTACCCCTTCCAGAACGAGCTGTTCCAGTACTTTCAGGATGTTGCCACCAAGTACGGACTTCCCGACAAGAGCACTCTCAACACCGAAATTGTGGAGATGCGATGGAACGAGAAAACCAAGGAATATACCACAACTCTACGAAACGTCAAGACTGGAAACACCCACACTCACCGATCCAAGGTGGTGTTTGTGGGCCGAGGATGTCTCGTGGCCCCTAACAAGCTTAACCTGCCTGGTCTCGAGACCTTTAAGGGACCCGTCATGCACACTGCCCAATGGGACCATAAGAACTCCATTGTCAACAAGAACGTGGTTGTTGTTGGCCACGGTTGCTCTGCTGTGCAGGTTGTGTCTGATATTGCACCAAAGTGTAAGACCCTGACCCAGTTTGCCCGGTCTCCACAGTGGATTATTCCTCGAATCGAAAAGATTCTTCATCCTGGCTTCATGAAGTTCCTATCTTACATTCCAGGAGCAGTCCAACTAACTCGGCTGGTGCTCTTCTTCCTGCTCGAGTACTCGTGGACCATGTTCTCTGGAGCTTGGTGGTCAAAGCTTGACAACAGAATCAAGTCCACTCTGACATCCAGATGGATGCGATCTAAAGTGCCCGCCAAATATCATGACGTCATTGTGCCCAAGTTCTCCATGGGCTGCAAGCGAACCATCTTTGATCCCGGTTACCTCAAGCAGCTGTGGCTTCCCACCATGGAATTGTCCTTTGACCCTATTGTCAAGGTCAAGGAGCATTCAGTGGTGTCCCGAAACGGCCTCGAGTACCAGGCCGACGTCATTATCGACGCCACTGGCTTTGATATCCCTAAGTCAATCTCAGGACTCAAGGTCATTGGAGAGAATGGAATCGAACTGGACCAGTTTTGGAACGGAAGAGTGTCTGCATACGAGACCGTCCAAGTGCCTAACTTCCCCAACCTCTTTTTCATCTTCGGACCCAACGCCTTGACCGGTCACAACTCAGTCACCTTTGCTATCGACAATTCTCTGGTCTATGTTGACAAGGTTGCCAGAGATCTTGTGTCTGGTAAGCCCAACTGCACGTACGTGTCAGTGTCCGAGGAGGCCTACGACAAGTGGGTTGACGACGTCCAGGAGGCCACTTCTAAGACCACCTTTGGATCGGGAGGCTGTGCTTCCTGGTACCTCGGTGCCAACAAATACAACGGCACCACCTATCCCTGGACTCAGATTCGAGCTTGGTGGCACTCGCATTTTCCCAACCAGAAAGATATCATCCGACATTAACTGATACAGTAAGTGGGGAGAACTTAATTTACTTGAATTGATTGTATGTGAAATACAGCGAGTACAGAAAATTGTGTAATTGTGGTATGTATTGTGTAGCTGATAAAAGTGTACATACTGTACTAGTACATACTGTACGATACTGTAATGCCATAGTGCCGTGTCTTGGATGTATGGTTTGAAACCTAGAGCAGCTAAAAGTGTATGGTAAAACTTCCAATAAATTACCTATGTAAATGGAACGGGTATTAATTACTGTAGATGTGAGGCTGTGCAGACGTGGGCTGTGTTGACATGGGCTGTGTTGACATGGCTTCTGTAGGGCCGTGTGCCATGTCTAGACCTGGGTCAACGACTCCTTGCCGAAGCCCTCCTTGCCCAGAATGTTGAGTTGGGGGTCTCGAACCACAGACAACTTCTCAGGAGAATGACCTCGGGCTCCATTACGAAGCTGAGTGGGGGACACAGACAGAGGCATCGTGTTCATGTTGCTGGTCATGTTAGCTTTTCGTCGGTTGACAGCGTTCAGGGCACTGATGATCTTATCCTTATCCACCAGGTCAGCCTCCAGCTCCTCAATTCGCTCTCGCTGGTATGCAAACACCTTCTCTGGACTCTGGGATCCAAACATGGTTCGGGCTTCCTCCGCCGTGCCCAGCTGCCTCTCCAGATGCTGAATGTACGACTTGTATTCCTTCTCTCGTTCGAGGGGATCGTTAACGGCGGTAGCCATTCGAGCAGAGTGCTCCAGTCGTTCTCGGAGGATCTTGTTCTCGCTCTCCAGACGCGAAAGCCGAGTAGTGGTAGGAATGTCGTCAGCCGTTCTCGCAGAGGCACCTCCCTTCTTGAGAGTCTCGATTTCGGCTCGGGCAGCGTCGAGCTGCTGCTGAAGTCGGTCTGCTCGAGCGTCTCCTCCTAGGGTGTTTTGTCGAACACTAACAGAGATGTTCTTGGTTCTAGCAGCGAATCGAAGAGTCTCCATAGCAGCAGTGGCGTCCCCATGGACAGTGCACAGAACGGAGACGAGAGACTTGCCCGAAAGAGCGGGCTGCAACAGTCGAGTGAGCTTGGAGTCTCGGAAGGGCAGATGAGCCGAGCCAGTGGACTGGTCGGAAAGACGTCCGATAATCAGAGCAAGAGTTAGAAGCGACTTGTTGATGAAAGAGCCCTCCTTTCGTCGCTCGTCATTGTCGGCAGCACGCTCACTTCCTGCCAAGTCACACAGATAGAGAGTGGCAGAGATGGGGGGCGAGAGGGCTGAAGAAGATCCCTCGACGGAGATCTGGACAACGGCATGAGATCGTGACGATCGAGCATTGAACTCAGTTCCTTCTGTTCGTCGACACGCATCTCCTTGCTGCACCACGTCCAGTAGCTGTGCTGGAGACGTCACGAGAACCTCCTTGAGGCCATATGCCCTCACACCTCGGAGCGCGTCTTCTCTCAGCTTGATTTCCTCCGACGGTGTGCCGGGGTTGAGCAGATCGTTGAGATGCTCGTTGTAAATTTCCAGATACGACACTCGCACCTTGTAGTCGCCCTTGGCCGCGGCGGCAAACAAAGTCTCAGCAGACAGGGGGATGATTCCGGGATCTGCCTGTGTACCCTGCATGCTGTGAGTTTTTCCTGTGCCGGTCATTCCGTAAGCAAAGACTGTACCGTTGAAGCCGTTCATCACGTGGCCTACCAGGTCTCTGACCGACGACTCGAAAACATCTCGGTTTGCGCATCCTGGCGCGTAGACATTGTCGAAGGTGAAGTCGCCGAGATCCGTCTCGATGCGATTGTCTGAGAGCTGCAGTTGTGGAGCGGGGGGTCCTGTGGGCTTAGTGGTCGACGGCTTGACTCGTACTCCCACGGAGATGGTGCCTTGGTACGTTTCTCTGTTGCCCAGGGGTGTCTGGGGTCGTCGAAGAGGACTGATGTCTCCCATTCGGTTGGACCTCATGGACATTGTGGATGCAGGCCGTCGAAGCACCGGTGTCTGTGGACGCGACGGGGTTTGGGGTCGGAACTGTCTCATGTTGGCTAGCTTTGGCAGAGTTGTGTCACTAGTGTCTTCTTCGTGATTGTGGGCCGTAATATACTTGTTGTAGGGAATGTTGTGGGTATGTACGATAGTTAAGAGTGTAGCTGTATGCCGCGCTGTGTGCTGCACGGTGTTGTTGAGAAGTCAAGAGCCCAAATGCAATGATTTTCTGGAGTTTCAAAATCTTTTCGTGTCAGCGTCGTTTTTGGGGCACTAACGGGTACGACAGTTGTTAGACCGTAGCGTGTCAGATCTTTGGTGTCAAGTCGTTGTTTCGTGGTTGGGATGTTGTTTTTGCTTGTGCTTCTACAGTATATTAGCTTCGCCGACTTTTGATGTTGATCTTTTTCCCAATAGGTGTTTCCGGTACGCAGGTCGCGCAGTTGGCGCGTGTGGCCTAGTCACCACAACCCCCTAAACCGCCGGAAAAGAGGTGATGCATACTCCCGGGAGTTCAAATAAAAGCGACACGTAAGAAACTGAAGGGAGACATGTTATTAATCTCCACGCTTGAGACAATTTTAACCTCCCCATCTATAAGGGGGGCCTGCAAATCCTTCTATTTCTGACTTTACCCCTTTATCGAGCATGCTCACGTTTAACTTCCACGAACGAGAGGTGCCGCCATCGATACGCCAGGAATTCTTTGTAGCCAAAGAGCAGCCGTCTATGACAAGACGCACCTGGGTGTAAATGATAAGCTAACCAGTCGTATAGGAGGGTAGCGGTTGTGCCTGTCACATCACGTACCGTCCATAATGCTGTTACCGTGGCTACATCTCTACTCTGTCGCCTTGTATAAACCGCGTTTGTCCCACGCGTTAATATTCTCCCCCAGCCCAGCGAGCCTCGAGTGTGCACCATCAAGCTTCATACTCCTTGCAGGGTTGACAGGGGTTAGGGTTGGTCCCTTTAAATTAACACGTAGTTGGGTCATCATCTTTCTCACAACCAACAACCCAACGGTACAATAAAAAAACAGACACAATGGACAAGCTCAAGGAAAAGATGAACTCGCTGCGGCTCGAGACCGATGCTGCCCAGGAGAAGGCCGACGAGGCTCTTGAGAAGGTCAAGGCCCAGGAGCAGGAGCTGCTCCAGAAGGACCACGAGATCCAGGCTCTCACCCACAAGAACTCTCTGCTGGAGGAGGAGGTTGAGAAGCTTGAGCAGCAGCTCTCAGAGTCCAAGGACGCCGCCGAGGAGGGCGCCACCCATGGTGCTGCCAACGAGGGTCTTTCCAAGAAGCTGGCCATCCTGGAGGAGGATCTGGAGAACTCTGACCGAAACCTGCGAGAGACCACTGAGAAGCTGCGACAGACCGACGTCAAGGCCGAGCACTTTGAGAGAAAGGTCACCTCTCTCGAGCAGGAGCGAGACGACTGGGAGAAGAAGCACGAGGAGCTGCTTGAGAAGTACAACGCCGCCAAGAAGGAGCTGGAGGAGATCACCCAGCAGCTCGAGAGCATCTAGGCGCTCGGACCCCTGCGATCCGGACAAGCTGCCAATGCGCAAGTTCAAGTTCAAGTCTCCCCCCGTGTTACCCTGCTCCATTGGATGTTTATTTCTGGCGTCCTTCTGATCAGTATGATAATTGTGATGCTATAAAACCCTGAAGGGTGTGATTGTGTAGGTGTGTCCGTGTCTGTACACGTGTGTTAATCGTGTAGTTGCAGTAACGAATTGTAGAGCTTTGATTTTAGGTCAATTGATCAGGTATCACGTGTTTTGGACCTGAAGATCGTTCTTTTATGTTGCTGTATGCGTCGCCTCAGATATATTGCTGTGACGAGATCGTGATGCGCATCCGTCGTGTGAACGAAAAACACCACACGTGAGGATATCTACGTTATTGTAACGACACACAGGTTTTTGTAGGGAGATGTCAATTCCAGGAATACAATCGACGCATTTAACCCCGGAAAAATCACTTTTACGCCTTCATCATTGCTCCTCTGAACTTGGTGGCGACTTCAGGCTCGCGTCCAGGCTTAGCTGATACCATGTTTTTAGCTCAGTAGAGTTCAGAAACCGAGGGATGGATGGTTGGTTAAAACAGGAGTTTTAGGGGTATATGAAATATGAGAGGATTTAAATTTCGTCCAACTTACTAAACGGGACTGAATATATAATACTAAATGCGTATTGTTACCTCCAAATGCCTCATTATCTCCGTTAAAAGCACTCACGCAAACTCTTGGTGATTGGTCTTTCAGTGGGGTTATGTGGCATCATCACATGGTCAACTCTAATTCTAAGTGTGCATTGCCATGACGCTTGAATCGATTTCAGATGGGTGGACTATTGGGTGTTGGTGAATGCTACAAGCACAGTATGTCGTAAGGGGATATGGTTTCTGTCTAATAGGGTGTTTGTAAATGATTGTAAAATTCAGACTCCCGATTGTAGATTTGCTCAGGACCACAGCTTGGTTCCTCCTCATCGATATAAGGTGGACGAAAAGCTTTTGGGTTCGTGGACTTCGCGTGTGTTGAGTGGATAGTGACTTGGTGGGTCAGTAAAAGTCCTACTGTATTGGAAGTGGGTACAGTAATAGAGGTGGAATTGAGCCTTGAGGGTTCCAGTTGTAGGATGAGGTGCTACGAGGACTATAATACTTGCAGTTGTAAGTATACTACACACGTATCTTCCCCTGTCTACAGTATGTAAGGGCGTATGCTCTCTACTTGTACCAGTATGTAGTAGTCAATACTGCAAGGCTACACCTCTTAAAAAACTGTGCAGTTGATGTCACCACCACATACAACCAGTTCGACCGATCATTACTGATTACATATCGTATATCTGGTATCGTAGTCTCCTCAATACAGACAGATTTTTGCCAAAAAGAGAGACATCACTACTCATAGATAGGTTATGGGCGTGTTCTCCCAACCGCACGTTCGTTACTACAAGTAGCTACTTGTACCATAGTTAGCTGTACTACGTAGTAGCCACCTTCGATATATTGTAGCTACTTGTACTTGTACCATATATACAGCACTATGATATGTCGTATTGCACTGTACAGTATTGTTGTCGCCGGTTCCAAAGCAACACTGTTTGTATCATATACTAAGTAGTTCGTACGATACACAGATGATCAGGTTGGAATCTTCGATGCTTCGCTCTAAAGCCCCAAACTCCCATCATGTGAGCTATTGTGCTGTACCAATGTGTAAGAGTAAGGAATACATGGTCCCATTCCGTATCCCCACACTGGTCGAGCCACTATTGGGGCGGGTTATTTGAAGGTTGTATACATACTACAGCTACAGTTCGTACCGGTACTGTAGATATGGCTATACCGTAGGAGTGATGGCGCTTAGACTTCCTGTAACATGACCTTTGGCACAGTATCAATTTGCACTTCAATATACGGGTTGCCTCTCCACTGTATCTCATGTCTATTCACATCGGTGTCCGACGCACAGCATCAGATAAACAATCACTGTAATGTGGCGTTGATTGTTTGACACATTTGTTACAGCGTCCACAGGTGTGGAAATGAGTTGTCCAGTCTCTTGTTTCACTCTGCTTCGTTGATTATATGTACCTCCGATACCAGAGACGACAAACTGTCAACAAAACTAGATATTAAAATACTGACACTGTACCGACCAAATAAAGCACTTTGACTGTCTCAATTCCTGGACTAAAGGGGTCACATCGCCTCGAACTGGTAAGCGGCTATTTTTAGTGCTCTCTGCGGTGTGTCTGACAGTCTCTGATCAATCAATCACGCCAACCCCAGCCATAAAGTTTAGCTGCTCTCATTTCGCTCATTGGGGCATTGTCGCATTGCGAGATTAGTGCCTTTATTATTTACAGTTGCACAGCAGACGGCCATGGTCTGCGACACAGATCAATGGCTGGATCGCTCTACGAAGGCCAGAAATTCTTAAACCTGTGCACAAATACTCGCATCCGTAATACAATACCTCTCTTTTCTCTACCCATATCTCCCCCACCTACTACCCTCTCTTCAGCATGCTGTCCATGTGCATGCATTATCAGTCCTAAACGGGAAAGTCTGATACGGTTCGGAAGCAACCCTTACCCAATAACCCCGGTTGGGACCACGGCAATAACCTTGTACATATATCGTTGCTACTGTCCTTCTTGGCTTCCTCATCATCCATCAGTTTCTCAGTGTTCAATTGGGAATCTAGGACAAGAACAAAATGAAATTCACAGCTGCTGTTTCCGTTTTGGCCGCAGCCGGCAGCGTTTCTGCTGCCGTCTCCAAGTGAGTATCACATCACCTTTGTGGAGGTCTTCTGTCTGGTTCTTTAACGCCGAACCCCACATGGGTGGCGAAAGTTGAGATGACAGACCAAAACGATGAGATGCACAAAACCGGGAAAAACAGTCGAGGAATGAGCATTGAAAAGAACGCAAACTAACCGCAGGGTCTCTATCAACAAGATGTCGACTGCCGAGCTCCTCGGAAAGGAGAACGGTTTCGAGGACCATCTCCGAATGATGGGCCAGAAGTACATGGGCAAGTTCCAGAAGCTGGGCGAGTTCAACGAGCTGGCCAGCATCCAGGACGTCTCAAACTCTCCCCTCACGAACTACCTCAACGCTCAGTACTACACTGAGATTGAGATCGGAACCCCTCCCCAGAAGTTCAACGTCATTCTCGATACTGGCTCTTCTAACCTGTGGGTCCCCTCCGTCCAGTGCAACTCTATTGCCTGCTACCTGCACCAGAAGTACGACTCCGCCGCTTCGTCCTCTTACAAGGCTAACGGTACTGCTTTCGAGATCCAGTACGGTTCCGGCTCCATGGAGGGCTTTGTGTCCCAGGACACCCTTAAGCTCGGCTCTCTTGTTCTCCCCGAGCAGGACTTTGCTGAGGCCACCTCCGAGCCCGGTCTCGCCTTTGCCTTCGGAAAATTCGATGGTATCCTTGGTCTCGCTTACGACACCATCTCTGTCAACAAGATTGTTCCTCCTGTTTACAACGCTGTGAACCGAGGTCTCCTTGACAAGAACCAGTTCTCCTTCTTCCTCGGTGACACCAACAAGGGCACTGACGGAGGTGTCGCTACCTTTGGTGGAGTTGATGAGGACTACTTTGAGGGCAAGATCACTTGGCTCCCTGTCCGACGAAAGGCGTACTGGGAGGTTGAGTTCAACTCTATTACTCTTGGTGACCAGACTGCTGAGCTTGTCAACACCGGTGCTGCCATCGATACTGGAACTTCCCTCCTTGCCCTTCCTTCTGGCCTTGCCGAGGTTCTCAACTCCGAGATTGGCGCTACCAAGGGTTGGTCCGGACAATACACCGTTGAGTGTGACAAGGTCGACTCTCTGCCCGATCTGACTTTCAACTTCGCTGGATACAACTTCACCATTGGTCCTCGAGACTACACCCTGGAGCTCTCCGGATCTTGCGTCTCTGCCTTCACTGGTTTTGACATCCCTGCTCCCGTTGGCCCTATTGCCATCATCGGTGATGCCTTCCTGCGACGATACTACTCTGTCTACGATCTTGACCACGATGCCGTTGGTCTGGCCAAGGCTAAGTAAGTGCCGTAGCATTCTATATAAGCATCTAATGGATTATAACTTCGTATCTTAATCATCTGCAGACGTGTACAATACTTGCGCTGCCCAAAATTCACTATGGTACCAGCAATGGACTTCTACAATAGCAGGGATTTAGCAACTTTTCACACAGTGGTACATCTTGCAGTCAGATTAATACCACCGTTGCACATCATTGAATTTATGTGCAAAAGTAGCAATACTTTTATTTTTACTATCACATATACACAGACGTAGCTACTTGTACCTGGGATGGGCAGTCAAAAAATGCATATATTACAATCAGTATTCTGTTCGTCGGACGCTCACTTGTCGTCCGCTCTGAAGAGTTTCTCCATCTCTCTTAACTCCACTTCGAGATGCCCGTCGTGACGACTGACGAGAGACCTGTCGAACAGGAGTAGTTACAACTCCGTTGAAAGCCCGAGAGTTGAAATCAGCACGAGCAAGCTCGGCCCTGGCCTGCTCCAAACGCTTGAGTTCTCGTTCGGTCTGCTCAGCGAGCACGTGAGGAGAAATATCCTGGGTGCGCATGAGCTTGCCAGGGCGGGAGGTACCATCATGATAGCTGTACTCAGGGCTTTCAATATTGACGAGCATGGACAGAGAGCCACCCTCGACCTGGGGATCAAGGAAGAGATGGATGATGTCTCCATGTTGAAGCTGCACTGTGTTGCCTTTGCCGATCTTCTCGGAGTTGACTCTAATGCCGTTTCGGCTGAAATCGTGAAGGAAGATCCTGAAGAAGCCGTCAAGCTTGGGGTCAGTCATTATTCGCTTTTCGAAGATGCAGTGTTCCTTGGAGATGGGCGCCTTGTCTATCACAATCTGGTTGTCGGAAACCACTCGTCCAATTCGGTAGTTGTCTCCGGTAATGTCAAACTCGATCTCGTGAATCGTGTTCGGCAGGCTCTTGAGGTTGAGCCATGTGTTGGGTCTGGCTCGTCGGGTCTTCGAGGCGGAAGGAATCTTCACCACGCTGCCGTCTTCAACGTCGCTCTCGTCATTGTCAGTATCAGCCTCGGCCATTCGCTGGGCCTCAGCTTCAGCACGGATCCGAGCAGCCTGCTCAGCCTGGGCCTGAAGAATAGACTGGTTCTCAGCTCGGACACGAGATTCCACCTCGTTTCTGATTTTGCGCTCAAGCTCCTTACGAATACGAGCCTCCATCTCGGCAGGGGTCTCATGCTTTTCCTCGCTTCCAGTGCCGTTTCGATCAGGATTAACCCAACTGAAGTTGGAATCAACAGGACGGTCGTGAGCCTGTACTCCTCCATCAGTATCCGAGTCCATAGAATCCTTTTCGTTCAGAAGCTCTCGCTGTCGTCGCTCCTCCATAACGGCATCTCGAGCCATCTCAGAGGCAGCTCCACCAATGCGAGTTTCAACATTGTCCGTGAGAACAAGACCCTCAACAGAAATGGGCTCACCTCGGCTTCGGATCTCACTGTCGTTGTCCTCCATTAGAGGTGGCATGGAGTTGGGATCAGGACCGTCTCCAATGATGGTGGCTCGTCGAATGTCCTGGAACTTGTCAGAATCCAAGGTGGCCTGAGGAGAGGCATCTCCAGCTTCCCCCTCTGTAACTCGCAGTCGAACAGAGTCATCAGAGAACCAGGGGTGGCGCAGAATCTGAATGGCCGAAGGACGCTCTTCAGGATCAACAGTGAGCAGACACTTGATAAAATCTCGACCCATGGGGGATATGTTGAAGTCGTTTAGAGGCTTCTGGCAGTAGGTACCGGCAGTAATGGCCTTGACAATAGCCTCATGGGAAGTGCCATCAAAGGGTAAGTATCCGGTGGCCAGAACGTAACACAGACAGCCAATACTCCACATGTCAACGAGGTTGGAGTAGCAACCGGGATCGGCGCTGTTGGCTTTTCGTCGTTCTCGAGACAAAAGAATCTCGGGGGCAATGTAGGCCATGGTACCACAGAAGGTGTTGAGAATGGAGTCCTGGGTGACTTTGGCGAGTCCGAAATCAGACACCTTAACAATAACGGGGTCATCCTGGAAGACGAGAATGTTATCAGGCTTGATGTCTCGATGCGAAACGCCCATAGCGTGGAAATCTCTAACCGTTTCAAGCACCTGTTTGACGATCTCACGGGTGACAAACTCAGGAATGGCTCCAAACTCGCTGATGAAGTCCATAAGGTCTCCGTTCTCCATGAGCTCCATGACCAGGTAGTGACACTGGTCGTCTTCAAAGTGGTCAATGAGCTGCACGACGCCGGGATGGGTAATCCGCTTCAGAACACGAATCTCTCGCTGCACAGCTCCGGGGTTCTTCACCTTGGACTTCATGATCTGCTTGACGGCTCGAACAGGACCTCCATCACGGGCTACGCACTTGTACACGTTGGCAAATGCACCCGATCCAAGGAGATCATTGGACATGTCGTACTTGGCGTGAAAAGAGTTCTCGTCGTAGGGCACTTCGGTACCCATATGGTGGGTAAAGATGAACTTGGTTTCATCCGGGTTGTCCTGGGTGGCAACGCCTTCCATTGCTCCAACGGTAATCACGTCTCCGTTCTGCAGAAGAGCACTGTTGCCACGTCCCAAGTACCGGCCATTGACACTTGTTCCATTGAGAGACACGTCCCGAATGACAACTGTGCCAGCTCGTTGTTTGGTTCCTCCTGTATGCTCCACGATGAAGTGGATCTTACTGAGACGGGCCTTTCGGGCCACGACAAAATTGGCGGATCCAGCTCGCCCAAAGGTCCAGCTCTGAGAGCCCTTATAGTCTTTGGCCAGGTTCAGAAAGACCTCGTCGGTCTCCTGTTCATCCATGTAGTCTTTGCCTCCCGCAATGATCTTCATGCTACCGACAAGACCGGCTCGAATGTCTTCGTCTCTTTTTTCCTGACGACTGTGAGAGTTTCTGCTTGCCAGGACGGCTGGTCGGTCTGGCTGAGTTGATGAGAGCTCGTTCTCAGCTTCCCGTCCCAAAACATCGTCGTACTGCATTTTTGATTGGCTGGTTGATGCGAGAGGGGCAGAGGACTACTTGTAGCTGTTGGTCAAGTTGTCGTGGAGAACAAGTTGGGTGATTTGGGACCAAAACGGCAGGCCTCCTTCTTTTTATTGTCCATTCTGCAATGCACACAGTGGAACCCAACTTTATACTGTGGAAAGGTGGTGGCAACAAACAGAGTCTGTAAAGAGATATTTTTGTTGGACACGAGGGGTTTATGAAGGTGAATTATGGTCTCTTATACATAATTACTCGATACTTCTCTGTTAAATTACTCGAATACACCTTGAAAACCATACAAAAATTCTCCCTCTGCTGTCAGCATGTTTTGGTGCATCTACATTAGAGTTGTCATGAAGAACATGTGTGTTTGAAAGATGTGTAACGCGTTGTCATTGTGAGGCAGAATACTATATTTTTAAGAGGTGCGACTTGGTGAGAATGTGTTGGTTGAAAAATATTTTTTTCCATCGTAAACCGATCTCCACACCTCCACTTAATGACCATGTGTCATCGTTTCCTACCCCCACTCGAGACTGTGATTTGCAACAAAGTTCATGCGAACGCGTTTGGCCGCTGTTCTGTACACGCTCACGAATGAGATTCTCCATACCAGGAAGACAGAGAAATATTATATATGACACCAGAAACATTTTACACACGCCTAGAATGTACCTTGACCTAATTATTCTCTATCTTCCCCTCTACAACTAGGGTCTCTGTGAATCTACAATACCAAGTCACTTCGTCATATTATTTTTTATGATCAATTAAGCATATTGGAGTCAGTTAATTAGTGCTGCAGGCCGTCGTTGGGGTAACCAATGTTTATGACGAGGGGTTTGTTCAGCGGGCAGTGTCTAAACGAGGAATAAAAATATTTGACATAAGAAATCATATCAGGTGAACCATTGGAGACACTTTTTACCCATGGATATCCTGTTTTTGCTCATTCCACAGCTCACATTTGAGTTGCTCAGCCATTGACACGATTTCAATAAAACGCGTACAGCGTGTACAGCGTGTACAATGCGTGCATATCGATGTCCACCAGGGCGTGGGTTATTGACAATTGCAATTGGACAGTCAGGATGCAAGTAGTTGCTGTTTCACTCTTTGCGCGAAAATAAAACAATCCAAGAAAAAGCCTCTTATTATTGGCATCAATTGCAGCTCCACACTTGCAGTCTGGGAGAGATTATGCATGTATGACAAGAGAATTACACCATGCGCAGAATTGAAGGGGGATGGTGGCGACTACGAGGTACAGTATATACACTGTAAGCACTACCCTTAGTTTTTTTTTTTTACATATCGGAAATACAGTCGTCCACGGCAGGGTTGTAATAGACGTCAAAACAAAAAAAAAAATTTTATGAAAAAACAAGCACCAATAAAAAGCTTTTGTAGTACTCGTACCTTAGTCTGCATACAAATGTCAACTGAGGGATTCGAACCCTCGCCTCTTGCGAGATCCGAAAGCCAGATTTCTCTTGCTAAGCTTACACTTGAGTCGGACGCCTTAGACCACTCGGCCAAATTGACAGATTTTTACGTTTTTGAGAAATCTGGCCACTGCCATGGGTCATTTGCTGACTAAAACTGAACTGTGATTTTGACGATATTATGGACTGCAGACACGAGTTAAACAGATACTGAATATGTTGATGAGACATAAGACCCTTTTGGACACAGTTTTGAAGACAAATGTTGACCACCGGACCAGGAATTCGGATCAAACGAGATCTACGGAGAAAAGGATCTACATGATACTGAACTTTATGAGGGCTATTTGTTGATTGATTGAATATTATCAGAAGATCACATACTCCAAAGGACCTTCAGAACCCTAACGTTTGGAAGCTCAGCGTGGTGAATGGAGAGCTACGAAGGGCTGGTGAGACACTTGTTAAATAACGAGCGATATGATGTCGTGGCTTAATAAGGGACACAGCTTTCAACCCTCAGCACTATACTGTCTTCAATCATTTGACTATTATAAGTATGTACGAGTACAAGAGTAGTGTACTTTTAGACACGCCCAAGGACTGAGTTTCACAATTCGTCTTTTTCACCTGGGGTAACCTCGGACAACCACGTCGTTCCAATGTCATAGTAGAGACTCTGTCTGAAAACTTCATCATCAAAGCTCATCCACTCTACAATCATACTTCAACCTATCTCACTGGCCCTTCTTTCGAGTGCTTCGACCAGCATTGTGATATGCACCACCCTCAACCTTATTGTCCCCCACATGCATAATCTCAGGCGTCTTTGGCGATTTACAGGTGCGCGACAGATTACATTTTTTGCAGAGTGTCATACGAGTTGCTACGACGACAACAACACAAAACCAGACGCATTCAGGCTCAGGGCACTGCTGTGAACATCTAAGAACTCGACACGGACAAGACACGACCGCTTTTTTAAGCTCACTCAAGCAAGGTCCAATGCCTCCTCTTCAGATTGTATTGGACAATGCGTACCAGCGTGCCTTAGTATTGTACGACGAAAGATCTAGGCAGGTGGAGCTGATTCACGATGAAGAGCAGTATTTACAGCTGCGATCTAGCACACCACAGAGATCACAGAGTCCATTCTCAGCTGGTAACAACAGAGAAGGTCAGCTTATTGTAGGAAAGCCGAAACGACCTTCGGTTTCCCCACCACGACGCCACTCTGAAACTTATTGTGTGACATGCGGATCCAAGCTTCCAAGTGGATTCAGACAGCGACCAACTGCTTCAGCGAACGACTTCGTTGATCGCAACTACTTCCAACTTCTGGCAGGAGACTTACAACAAAATCATCTGGGCTCCAACACCAATGCCACGGGGAGAGCTAAGAATGGCACCTTTTCAAACCCGGTGTACAATAGCATTTCTGAAAATGCGTTCCTGCAGGGTTACTTTGACAAGTTCTTTGAACTGAAACACGAATTAGGCCGAGGAGGACGAGGAACAGTGTGGTTGGTGGAACATGTTCTCAATGGGGTTTCGCTGGGATTGTTTGCATGCAAAAAAGTGCCAGTTGGTGATGACACGGTGTGGCTGACAAAAGCTCTGTACGAAGTGACATTGCTGAAACAGTTGAACCACCCAAATCTCATCCGATACAACCATGTTTGGTTAGAGACATCTCAATGGTCTCCATTTGGTCCAGCTGTCCCCTGTGCATTCATTCTTCAAGAGTATTGCTCAGGAGGCAACCTTGAGGTCTATGTAAAGAAGAGACGAACTCTGACTCCGTTCGAGGTTGTGAGCTTCTTAAAAGATATATTGTCTGGTGTTTCCTACTTACATGAACATCAGATTATCCATCGAGATCTCAAGCCCTCCAACTTCCTACTCAAGGATGAAGGAAACGGACCTGGAACTCCCCCGCAGATTCTGGTGAGTGACTTTGGAGAGGGAAATGTCGAAGGCCAGCATAGATCAAGTACAGGAACCACAGGAACATTGGAATACTGCGCCCCAGAACTACTCTCGCGTGACATAAGAGGAAACCTCGGGGAGTTCTCACGGCATTCAGACATGTTCTCCGTGGGATTGGTTTTGTACTTCCTGTGCTTTGGTCACACGCCATACAGATCCCCTCGTGGAGTTGACAGTGGTGCAGTGAACTTTGAATCATTGAGAGAGGAAATATGTACGTTCCCGGGATATGAAGATGGTGAAGAACAACCAAACTTCCCTATTCCCACTGATCTACAGACTTTGTTGACCTCGTGGTTATCCACCATTCCTGAAGAGCGCATCAGTGCCAAAGATGCTCTGTTTTTGCTCGAGAACATGGACATGAGCACCATCACCGTCGACACGACTCTGACGACACGAAGACTGTCTATCAAGCCAGTGGTCCCGGATAGTGAAGATGAAGATGAGGAGCTAATTGGACAGGACTTCTCCGGTGAATTTCTGCCGGAAATACTCAGTTTGAGAGGAGCTGAGAAGCAACGAAAAGCACAGGAGAACAGGGTCATCAAGTATGGCATCAAGGGCTGTCTTCTGGCAACGAAGATAGCCACTATCGAGAAGGACAAGGACATGAGTCCTGTTTTGAGGCAGATGTTAATTCTGCTCATAGGTTTGGAGTTGCCTCTTAGCGCTCAAATGTCAGTTGCATTATTTGGGCTTCACATGGTTCTCATGTTGGTTGGTTACTACGGTTTTCTGTAAATTGACGGCTCTACTGACATGGTGATACACATGGTTTTGTGTCCCAGACATTAGCTACTGGTAACTGGCTCACCTCCACATACATAGCTACTCTGCACACATCATCAATCTCATTATTTCATTACTATGCATTAACTACTGTTTACGTACGTCTTCTTAACAATTACAGCCTTGGGCTTCGGTTCCTCCGTTCTTATTGAGGTCCACTCCCTTGGCGCTCATTCTGGGTCTTGCGGTGGAGTTCTCGAATGGCACTTTTCGTGCGATTTCTGTAAACAGCTCCAGCACATTCTCTCCTGTCAGGGCCGAGGTCTCAAAGAACAGAAGACCAGCCTCCTCGGCGTAAGCTCGAGCCTCCTCTGTAGGCACCTCTCGCTTGTCCTCCAAATCCAGCTTATTTCCGGCAAGGCCAATAATGATTCCGTCAGCAGCTCGGTGCTGGAGCTCCTTGACCCATGCCTTAGATCGCTCCAATGACGAGGCCTGTGTAATGTCATAGACCACCACAGCACAATTGGCGTTCCGGTAGTACATGGGGGCCAGCGACTTGTATCGCTCCTGTCCGGCAGTATCCCAAATCTCGAACCGGACTGTCTTGTTGTCTTCCAGAGAGACAGTCTGGGTCAGGAAGGCTGCTCCGATAGTTGATTCTCTCTGCTCGAGAAACTCGTCCTTGACGAACCGGGTCACCAGCGAGGATTTACCCACAAACGATTCACCTGTGTTAGTAACATCAAGCAAGTGACAGGCAAAGCGGTTCTGATACGAATCTGACCTAGCTTGCACCCTTTCTTGTACCCAAAGATCACACCAAAGATGCTTTGCTCCATTCCCATTTTCTTCTTGTGGTGGAGTCGCTGAAAGAAGCCAGAAGAGAGTAGCATAGACCCTCTCTCACTCACCTAATAACACGAGTTTGAACTGTGCAAATCGCTCTTGAGAAGACGTTCTTGGGGTGGCCATGTTGTATTGTGTTATCGTAGTGGCAGTATGATGGGATGTGGTTATCTGGGAGATACGGTTCGGATCATGTGACGTGGTACTGCGTAATGCGTTGTGGTGTATCACAGCATGAGAGGTGGCTGGGAGCAAAGGTATGATACTTGTACCGAGGGTTACGAGAGGCGGAAAACAGACGCAAAAAGTCTTGGCAGAATATATTACGTGGACCAATAGTTTGTATTGATGTAATGTACAGCACGAGTGCGTAAGTCCCTACAAATCTACTTATCATCGCCAATACCTGTACTCCGTTGAACTCATCCCATATACCTTGGTCGCCACCCTCCCCTGTAGCTATTTATAATTGGTACCGCTGGAACCCAAAACGGGTAATAAGTAAAGCAGTGCACTGACTTCTTGACATCTGAACACTTGACTTGCCTGAGAGGGGGACAAGAAAAAACAAAAAAAAAAAATCACGGTGCAGCTGTCAGCAGGATAAGGACGAGATATCGTACGGATGGCGAACACAAGAGTAATCAGCTTGTGCCATAGTGTTGTAGTATAATATTTCAATCGTGTTATGGGCAACACATCACAGTGCGACTCTCACTGTATATAAACGTATGTATCGTGCCAGTGTTACTCATACAATACAGGTGTACAGCATTATGCGTTCAGCTAGAAATCACCAGCATACCAAAAACTGCTTACCATCTCCTGACCGGGTAAGTTGGCAGTCAGTTATTATTTGAAAACGATATATATATACAGTATATATGACACCCTTCGGCCTTCGGCGCTCGCTGCAATTTGGGCAAAAGTTATCCCTCCACTCCTTGTACAAGTACGAACGCCTTAGTCTCGACAAACTTGCTCATTATAGACCCTCTGATATGAGACCTGAAGTCACGACACCCAGAAATGCCTCCATCGCACCACCCAACCCCAGAGGTGACCCAAACTAAATAATAAGACGCCCTGTGTGTCACACCAAGCGCTTCTCGATTGCTTTGACTGCACTCCAACATCACAAGACCCTACTTGTAGTGTCTTACAGTAGGTAACTCGGTGATGTGCTTCACGGAAGAGGGCTTTACTTGACCCACGTCCAAGTGAAACACCCTTACAACTCTGAATGCAAAATAACCAGAGTAAAAACCCACAATGGCTGCTCATAGTGAGCATTACTGTAGGGCTCGTAGTCAACGTTAGTCATACTATAATCTACTTGAAGTAAGTGGGTTCACAAACTATAGCGATACCAGGCGCCCAGTTGCCTCCCATTATACTTGCAATCTGTCCAAGAACCAACTACTGTACCACCTACAGGAATATTACCGTGTACTTGTAGATAAAAATGCAATAAATAAATAAATACTATGTTTCATGGGTGACCGAGGTTTCTAGTGCATCCTCGTCTACGTCACCTTCACAATTTTCACAATCGTCCCAGTTAATAGGAACCCATCTCGCAGGCACCTGTTTCTGGGTCGTAATGCATCGCTTGTCGTCGAACTTTGTCACAAACCGCTTACGAATGCCAAAAACCTTTTCCCACTCTCCATCAATTCCAGCCTTAAGGCGGTAGAAGGAGTCGGGATTGTCGGTTCGAGGCGGCAGCAGCATGGTGGCTCGACCCACAAAATCGGGGTCCAGCTTGCCACGCTGCCGCATGAGAGCCTCGGAAGCATACACCCTCAGAAAGTCGGGGTTCATCCGGTGCTCTCGGGGGCGAACCACAGGCAAAAGAGTAGAGCTGTAGTTGTATGTCTTGAGAGGAATGTTTCTGGGAGAAGCAGTGGAGGTAGAAGTGGCAGTAGCAGCTTCCTCGTGAGTACAACCAGCGTTGTCGGCAGCAGCCGCAGCCGCAGCTTGGTTCAGCTCGTCAGTCATAACCATACACTCATCTGTGGATCGGGGAGAAAATGCAAACAACGCCGAGTTGGAACTCACCTGGGCCTGCTGAGACGTGGAGAACTTGCTGGCGGCGTTGCTGAAGGCCTTGAAAGACTTGGTGATGTTGGACACCAGTTTGGACCGCGTGGAGGTCGAAGTGGTAGCCACCGCAGCTGCAGCAGAGGCAGCAGAGGCATCGGCGGTTGAAAGAGTTCCATCGTCGGCAGTAGCAGTACCCACTACAGAGCCGCTATCGTGTGATGCAATGGATGCGGCCTTCTTAGGATAGACGTAGTCCACCCCGCTCATGTCATCATCATCGGTGAAAGAGGCAAACGATTCTGTGCGGGGGAAGCCCAGAGAGGGGGCGTCCGACTCGTCTCCAAATTCGGAGTCGTCCCCAAACTCAGAAAGAGGATGGTCCGACACGGGAATGGGACATGCACATGTCACCTGTCGCGACGAGGATGAGTTCTTGCTCGAGAAGGACAGCAGAGAAGTTCGCCGTTTGGGTAAACGGGAAAGAGCACGGCTGGAGGCAGCAGCAGACATGGTCCCGGGGAAGTTGTTGTTAGTAGAGGGTACGGCAGTGCCAGCTGACGTAGCAAGCACAGGTACAGTGTTGTTTCTGATAGTAGTGACGCCATTTGTGTCGCTAGTGTTTGTGTTGGTAGCCACGTTGGTGTCATCTTCGTTGGTGGCAGTGGCGGTGGCATTGTCAGTGACAGCGCTAGTGGCCAAGGCAGGGTCATAGTCGATGCTGCTGGCTGAGCTAATGGAACTAGCGAACATGTCGTCAGGAGGGCTCGTGGCATAATAAGGTGTCTGGGAGTCCCGAGCCAGTCCAGAGAGTCGCTGCAGGAGGCCGTTTGTGTCATTGTATGTCTGGCCAAACAAGGACTCGTACTCGTCGTCGTCGTCATTATCGTTTGATTCTGATGAATACACCATAGACAAATGAGGTGGGGTGATGGAAAGACGACCCAGAGTGATGCCCGTGCCCATGACATAAGGGTTCTCACGCTCCATGATAGTCACATGAGACCCCGAGGGAGTAAGATGTGTAGCACCACGGACGATTTCCGTTGTGTCAGCAGGCTTGTTGAGGCTTTGAGTGGTGGACACGGTGGAGGTCGAAGACACCTTTCGTGCGTTCTTGTGATACGTCTCATCATCTCCATCTCCGTCACTCCCTGCGGTGTCCAAATGTGAGGTTTTCTTTTTGCTCTTCTTCCGTCTTCGTCCGATGGGAATCTGAGTCGATAGTAGCAGCTCGTTGACGCTGGGGTTGATTGTACGGCGGGGCACTGCAGTTAGCCCTGAGCCCCTGGTTTCAACAGTTCTGAGGTTCATAGGCTGTGTGTATTTGGTAGCAATATCGAGAAAGTCGAGAAATTGTTGAAATGCGCGGGTTGTCGGTTTGAATGTTTTTTTCTGACTGTGTCGATAGTCGATAGTTGGGGTGCCCGGAAAGCCGTTTCAGTTGTCAGTTACTTCTGCCTCGATCAAAAAGATGAAAAAAACGTGGCAAGGTGAAGCAGTGGAAAGAGAAAGGACAGCGTCGTGTATATGCTGCAGGAGACCGAGTAATGTAACTTGCACCACTTGTCTATATGTTGTTGCCACCCGCTGTTGTGTGGTGATAGGGGCCAACAATCAGTAGATAAATGTCTTCTCTGTAGCCAAAGCGAATAGCCACCAATATATTGTTGGTGTAGTAATTAGGTTCACAAAAGGAAACGAGTCGTTGGAGGCTTATTTATTCCGGGAAATGGCGCTACTACAATTCAGACTCACACACTAATCTGATCCATGCGTTTTCTAGATGGGAAGTTGGAGACACGCCGAGCAAGTCACGAAAGGGGTCTAATTTCCATTGGAGTCCGGGTCGGGTCCTTTTCTGGGACTACGCTAGCGCTCGGTCACCCCCTAAGCCAGTAGAATGTTTGGCGTTGCCTTCTTCCATGCGATAAACGCACACACAGGTAAAACAGAGAACCGATTTGCACATATCACTTTATCCTAGAGGTTATCGTGGTTGGGGCTAAAGATAGGGTGACAGATAGCTTATTGTAGGGGGCAGCCAGAGGCTAATAAGCAACATTCAAAGTCTCGAAATGCGGTCTTTACGAGCCGATAGCAAGCCCTTTTGCTGCCCCTCCTTCTCCTGGGCCATTACAAATTAATCTCGTCTCAACACTCTACACCAATGCTGCATGACCTACCTGTTGTTAGGTGCGCAAAGGCTGCAAGGTGTGTCATGTCTATGTGGGTCCTACGTCATGGGATGAGCCGCAAGCACAAGTTGCAAGAGAGCGCATTTTGTTACACGAGCACAAGCAATAGCAGCACAGCTTGTATGGACATGACAGATTTTTTGCCCCAAAATTGCTAATATCGAAAAAAGTGGACCACAACCCCCAAAAGGCCCTGGCTCAGGGTTAACCTCCCAGTCGGAATCCGCCTTCTCAATCCAGAAGAGCTTCGGCTTATCTGGCTGTTACCCGGCACACGGCATTAGCGGACAACAAGGTGGTAAACGGCTCTGGCCGATCCGAGGAGATGGGGTTAGGGTGTGACTGTGTGAAGCGCTCCCTTCTCCCTTCAAGAATAGTTGTGGAGGCGCCAACCAATCTTCCAAGAACAAAAAAAGCTCTGCAAAATCGTCTGTATCAACATAAAAAATAAAAATAAGACGTGGCTGGGGCGCCACTGAGCAGACCCACACAGCCATACAGAAGATCAAAGACCCACCCATATAAAAGGAGAAGTGTTATCCTGTTGCTTCGAATACGATACATACCGCTCGGCTATGTGCATCACCGTCAGGACCCATAATTATTTTATCCACTCCCATTTTGGTCCTTTTTTTTGACTCTTTTGTCGCCCATTTTTGTTTACGTCTATTCTTTTGTGTTGTCTTGTTTCACTGGTGCGGATCGTGAAGTGCGGAGTCCACACCCTTGCCGTTTGCCGCTGGGCTTGTGCTCTTTGTGGGTTTACAGTGCAACCGCAAACCCCCCTACAGTGTGCCACGTGGGTGGCAATGAGGAGATAGAGCCAATCTGCATCAGTGAGAGCCCTCCGATAACACCAGAAGAGACACGTAACATTGAGAGCACAAGGCCGTGGCTGGGGTGACAACATGGCGGTGCCATGTTGGTCCGAGTACAGTAAGTGGTGGCTATACACCCTCTGCGAGTGGTCCAACACTTCTGCTCTGCAACTCACTATCATTAGCTACATGCCACAGGTACAACTTAACTAAGCGCTGGCTTTTATGGGATTTCATGAGTCGGAACGTTAACACAGCTGGGGTAACCTCTAAGCACATCTGGAAAACAAATGCGAATGCATGGAGCTCTCAGTCGGTCCCCTCCCTGTAATGCTTGCCCAAACACGAGGTGCGATGCGACCTTCTCGCCGCTCGGCTCGGCATCTTTTAATGTTTCATTTAACGTGTACAAGTACAACATTATCCAATTATGACAGCAAAGATCAACTTGATTCCTCCCTGAAGGGCTCTCAAATCCCGTATTGTAAGTACGCCCAATAATTAGGGCTTATGTTGCGTATTAGCATTCCATGGAATAGGAGGTTCGCCTATTACAGAAATGTCTTGTAGTCGCCATAGCAAGCTATACCAAACGCAATCATCCTATCGCGAGTCAGCCCTTCAATTGACAGTTTGCGTGCTACCCCCCCTGAGTTCTGTTTACCTGACTGTTTACATCCGCGGAGACGTCGGTTGAAACAAAAAAAAAATGACAGAATCAGTCATCGGAGAAGCGGAACCAGTGCTGCGTCCACCATGCTACATAATTTTTTAGACTCCAAATTCCCGCATAGTTTCTGTCTCCCCAAATCTCTGTTTTACGTATTTTCTTAACCCTAACCCCAGTTGACAACTGTGGGGGGACGGACGGGACGGAGTATGTCAATCTGTAGACCCCGTGTGGCCAAAACTACCAAGAATGACATTTTCGGTTATCAGTGCTATCACAGTTTGCCCCTTGTCTCACCATCCACATAGTTGGCGTTTGTTAGGGTGAAAATCGTTCACTTTTGAACCGAAATGCTACTGTACACCAGAAGTCCCTGGTATGATACTTACAGTATGTACTGTACGTACCAGAGGCTATTAAGGTCCCAGCACTGCCTGACCAAGTCCCAACGAAAGTAGTTACGTCTTGGCCCAAACTCTGGTTAAAAGCCGCTAGCGCCAAAGCCTAACTGCATTCTCTTGAGTGGAATAAGATGCCTCGTTCTGGAACAAGATAATACGTAATACGACAGAAAAGGGAATCTAAGCCTCACTGAAAAGGGGGAAATACACCGGCCTGAGGGACTTTATGAGGGTATAATTAACTCACGACTCCTTTCTGACATAGGACGTCCGCACCTTTTTTTCTTCTTCTTTCGTGCACAACATTGCTAAAAGTGCATTTCCCTCCCAACGGGTTTTTCCTCGTGTACGCCGTAGACGTAAGGGTTGCATGGCAATGCCAGTGTACATGCTGTACTTGTATCTGTCCTTTTTTTTCAGTGCAACAGATCACTCTTGCGAGCCATAAAAGCAAATGCGTGCATAATTAATGAAATGTTAGAGTGCCGTATGACCACCAGTATGCGAGCCCCATTACCCAAGATTTTTCAGAGTGCCGTACGAGTACAGATTTGGAGTGCGTGAGAATGCAGTTCAGAAAATTGTGCCGTTCAATAATAAGGGTATTTATTGCTCATACGGTTATTGAGGGTTATGAGCGGAGTGGTATGGCTCTTCACACGGGCAGATATAGGGGCTGTCTCTACAGTTAAGAAGTATGTAAGACTGCACCCCCGCCACAGGTAACTATTACTAAGCGTAGAACCTGGCTTATCTCACTCACGTCTGCCTCTGGCATCTGTCATCTCCATCTAAAACGTCATGGAAAAAGTCAATGAATTCATAATGGTGGACCTTGTCAATTAAGCCTCTCTGGCTGTATGATACCCCGGTAGCAGATCGACACTCGGGATGACAGCCACAATCGACGATATCAATGTAACCTCTTTCGGTGGAGGCCCAGTGCCGTGCATAACCTTGTAGGTGACAACTCCGATTATTGATATCACGCAGCTGTCGTTATCATCAGTATTGGTAATTGCTTTATCTACCGTACATACCCGTGGTTCCTTTGTTTGTTTCCGATGAGAGCAGTTTATAACCCCAGTCGCCGTGTATCGGTGTTCATTGTCGATGTGGCTTGAAGTCTACATGCTGTACCAGTACAAGCACTGTAGATGCAGAAGTGTTTCCTTACAATAAGCGGTGATTGTCTTGTAGCTGGAGATTGGGTCAAGGAGAAGACAATGGTCAGAAAAGGCAGCGATAAAGAGCTGAGAGACAGTAATTACTTTCTTGTACAATAGTGTCCGGGGTCAGCTATTGGGTGTCAATGGGTTGGTACAGAGCATACAACAGAGTGCAAGAACTTGAAAGGACTCTCTGTGTTTGGATACAAATATGTACACTTAGGTATAAGTATGAATTTGGTTAGCTGCTCTACTCGTGGCTGCGACGACCAATTACAAAGGCCCATAAGGGAGACCTGATGTGCTTTATTTAATCACTGTGCTTGCATCTTTTCTTTACGAGGCACTATAGCTATCTATGGAGATATCGATTCCACCTCTACTTGTACCTGGAACAAAACAGTTGGCTAAACTTTTCACGCTCAGTATTCTCCCGGTCAGCTTATACTGTGGAACTCGTACGGACTCATACTTCCCAGATGGTATAGGTACATTGATGTGAATTTTACATGTATAAATAGATGGCCTTGGGCTTTTAGCAAGGCCGGGGCCAATTTGAGACGCGGATTATTAGGAACCATCTCCAAGCCGATTAACAAGACCCTCTCTATGTGTCGGTTGAGCTGAGGTGCTCGTGCCTGCTTGGGGTGTTTCCGAGTGGGAAACAGAGTCGGTCAGACGTTGTGTAGGAGCGGGAGCAGCATAGTCGGTGTTGTGCTCTTCCACGTAGACGTCTTCAGTCTGTTCGCGGCTGTTATCAAGCCATCTTTGGACGTAGACCCACGGGGGAGCCAACGGTCTAGATCCGCCTGAAAACTTGGGGTACACATCTTCGAGGAAGAAGATGACATGACCGATGAACATACCGATGAGCTCAAAGATGAGGGTCTTGTCTCGTCCACTGAGTCCAGGCTCCTGATGCATCTCGTCATGGTGAGACACCTTGATGGGCCGGCCTCGGTGGTCTCGTCCAGGACCCTCATCGTTGGCAATATATGACATGGCCAGAGTGACCCATGGCAAGTAGGGTGCCGTGAAGGTGAAAACTCCGAGCAGCGAGACTCGAACGCCTTCGTTTCGTCGAGCCCAGAGGTATGTGATGGCTGACAGGAGAGAGGATCCCAAGAACGGAGGCGAGATCTTGGGAAATGCAACAGCTATGAGCAGCAGGTTGGCGGCGGCAAAGAGCATGATCCACGCATACTCGGCCACGTTGTGTCGGTAGCAACCCTCCTCGAGCATTCTAGGGTGGCGGGAGAGAAAGTAGGCTCTGAGGGCCAGGTCGATATTGAGCTTTCCAAAATAGAAAAACGGCGTGACAAACCGCCAGTACTCGTGGCGTTGCACAATGCCTTTCCACAGAAAGATGTAGTGGATCTCGGACGCAAAGCCCAAAAATTGCAGCAGACCCAGAGTGAACACTCCTCCAATAAATGTCATGGTCACGGGGGGCAGCTCCGTGAGCTGTTGTACAGCCATGTCCATTTTGAAAGAATCTTTTTGTGTCGGTGGTTCTTTTCTTTTGTGTGCTGTGCTGTTTGGAAAAGAGTGTGGAGATGTGAGGTGATGTGATGTGATGATGTAGTGATGTCAGAGAATGGTGAAGTGACGTGGAGGAGAAGCAATATAAGGTTGTTATCGAGGGCTCTTGACTAAGCTCAGTAGAGTTGCGCCGAGGAGGTGAGAAGGGGTTTCGGAGTCTTACTGTCAGTGTATTCGTGTGCTGGATTGTTTATGTTTTTTTTTCAGGTTGATATTGTTTGTTTTTTTGTATTGAAATCGGCATTTAGAAGTCCTCCTTTTCGCTACGATACAAATACCTCCTCTCTCCCAGGTACGTATGTACTCTATGGAAAGAGGTCCGATGATTGAGTCTAAGTGTCTCAACAAAGAACGATGTGACCCCAGCTTGACAAGTGTAATTAACAGAGTGTGAGCATTTAATAATTTCGATAGATCAGGAAGATGAAAAACACAGAATGGGATTCATTACCCAGGTAAAACTTGCATATTGTATCCTATGTACAGAGTTCCATCACGTATCCAAACTACCACCTTCTAACACCACTACAGTATTACAAGTACCGGTACCACAGGGTACTCTCTTACAATATCGTTTTCATCGCACCTTCTCTACCCCTTCCCAAATTAATTTCTTCGTTCTGACTATAACTTATATACTTGCAACCCTTGGTCACTTCTTCTTGGCCATATCCTTCTTCATCTGTCGGAGATCCGGAGGCTGTTCGATTCCAAGATCTCGTCTCAGCTCCTCGGCGTCCTTCTCCAGAACCTCTTCCCAATACACATTAATGACAGGTTTGGATCGGAAGCCATTGTAGAGAGCCCAGGGAAGGTAGACGTCAAAGTACCGCTTGCGCTGCTTGGGCTTGAACTTAAGAGGAGTGAGGACCATGCCCAGACCACTCATGGGCAGACCTGTATTGGCCCATTCGAACGCCTTGAGAGCCAGCTCACCCTCCATGATGATAGGCAAACCCGTCAGGGCATGGTAGAAGTCATGGGACTCACGGTATCGCTGCATGACATAAGCGCACTCGGGATCGTCAATGTATCGCACCTGAGCTCGGGTATCAGGTGAGACCCCCTCCTTGTCCAGCCACTCCACGTATGTTCGTCCAATGCTTCCGACCTTCATGTTTCGCAGTTTGTCGAGATCCAGACTCTTGCTGGTCATTCGGGGCTGTTCGCGCAGCAGACGTCGACCGGTCGGGTCTTTGAGCATCTGCTCTCGCAGCTTGTAGATGAAGTAAGGCTGGGCGGTTGCTTCTCCAAGAGTGGCAACCAGATCGCCTCGTCGAGAGTCGAAAAAGGTGCCGAACCCACTGCCTACAGCAAGCACGGCTCGTCCCAGACACGTGAGAGGCACGTGTTCGGGGTATGCCTTGGGGTAGTTGCCGTTTAAGAGCGTTCGGCGCTGAATTGGCGCCAATAGTGTGGTTTTGGGCACCGTTCGGAACATGTTTGTACGCTTGCAAGAGAAAGTGATTCACTTAGAGTTGGTGGACTGATGTGAGAGATAAAGTTGATGCATCAAGATGAGCAACTGTGTGGTGTACCAGGTGCTCTAGCTACGACACAAGTGGGGTAGACCATTGGGAAATATTTAGTGTCCAGATTAATAAAAAAATGTTATAGACTTGTTTGGATGGTAATTTTTTTCCCGAAATTGTGACTACCGGTATCTCAGAACGATGTTGTGGTGAGGACTGTAGTTAAGAATGCATGAACAGTATAGTATGATCACTGAACAACCCTCATACGACCTACATTGTATGTACTTGTACCTACAGTAAGTGATATATATATATATATTCTTCGAACATTGAAAACGTAAGTTACACCTAATAGACCTCATCATATCATATCTTCAATATTCCATTTTATGCAAATTTCTCTTCCTTCCTTCATGTCAAAAATCACTACAAGCTTTCGGTACAGTATGTACTTGCGCTGGTAAGTTCATGATTCGATGTGCAGCTCAGACACAATCTTCCAGCCATAACCACACATCACAACATGGCACATCTATCGTGGTACCTAGACGATCTGCAAACAATAGTGCCAGAGACCATTTCCAACGGTCTGAAGCAATGTCTGCTTTCACTCACAGCCCCTGAAGACTCGCCCTTGCCTCCGTTCAAGCTACCCGTCTCATCGCACGCCTCGGAAACACTCAAGGGAGTTGTCTGTCGAAGTGGAGCTGCTATTACCGCTACTGACATCCAACTGAAACTCCATTCACTGAAAAACAAATCGTTCACAGTCAGAATCAATCCAAAAACAGACGGATACCAACTCAGCCAGATCGACAGCTGTATCAACCACGTCAGCCTAGCATTGGACCAATGTGACGCCATTATCGGCTCAAGAGATCCACAGTACCTCAATATAGTAGCCCAATCGCTCATCAAACACATCAACGAAGCCGTGGCGTCAATCAACTCACCTGTCGTGTTGCTAGAGAAACCCACTGAACCGGCTGGAGGAATCCCCAGCAACAACACCTCGCGATGTGCTACACCCAACCCCAACATTTCGCACTCCAGTCAGTCTATCCCCGTCTCGCTGTCTGGAACTCCGCACTCCACACCCTGGCTGTTCCCCAACACTCCTCCAGTTGACTGCTTCAACCCAAACCTACCTCCAGAACTCATTGTCGAGTTTTACATTGCCAAGTGTGCCATTGTGGTGGACGTGCATGTTGTGGACCGAGGCATCAGTCGAGCTGGAACTCCCTCGCAGAACCCTTCACCTTCTTCGTCTTCCGCAAACTTGGCTGCTCTCACTAACCTCTTCAAACGAGCTCCGGTAGCCTCCAATACAGCCCCCAAAATCACTTACAACGGAGAACTGGTGAGCGAGGTGGAACGAGTGGTTGTGGATACGAAAGATCCCATTCTTATGTCGATAGAGGCCAAGCTGAGCGCAATCAAATCTGCTGCTTATCGTCTCCATCGAAATCTGGCTGCGGTATCAGGTGCTTCAGAAGCTGAGCAAGTTATCATGCCTGTCACAGAGGTATCTGCTAACTAGAGACATTATTTCAGCACCTTATCTATTTATTTATTCAACATTACACATACCGTATTAATATCATCATTATCGTATTTCATACTATACAGCTGCAGATCCTACGCCGGTGATTCCAGCTACCCACCGATCAATGTGTTCTCGGAAAAACTTGTTGGCCACGACAAACCCAATTCCCAGCACCAACACTGTTAATGACGCAAACATCTGCTTCTTGTGTGGCTTGTTGTCCTTATGCTCATCCAGTTGCTGCTTGTGGTGGTCCAGCTGCTGCTTGTACTCGTCCAGCTGCTGCTCAATCAGGGACAGCTGAATGGTGGAAGACTCTGCTTGTTGCTCAGCAACCTCCGCTCGTTCTCGCAGCCGGGAGTTTTCAGCCTTTGTATCAGTGACTTCTCTTTTAAGCTGTGTCAACACCTCACTGTCAGAAGAAGGGTTGGAAACAGCTCCAACAACTCCTGCTGCTGTAGCCACGCCGGCAGCTCCGGAGGCAGTTCCAACTGCTCGTGTTCGCTCGAGTTCTGTTTCCAAGTCGCGAATCTTTTCTTTACCCTGTTTCACCTCAGCTTCGAGCTCCCGCACTCGCTGCTGCAGCTCCACACTAGCATACTCTTTCATCTGCTCGTTTCGTTCGTCCTTAAGACTTTTGTGTTTCTTCTGCTGGCTTTGGATCTGCGATAGCATCTTGCGCACACTTTCCAGCTTGGCTGTCTCCACACGCGTGCTGTGGATTTGTTCAGCGAGAGTTTTTACTGCATTCTCAATGTTGGACGACGAAGAGATGCCTGACTTCATGAAGAGACCCCCGACCGAGTTGCGAGAGTGGCCCAGAGCAAGATCCTCCAGAGAAGTGTCCACATCTCCGAAAAGTGCAACATCAAGAGCCTCGGCCTTCTTGGGACGTGCTCGAGAAGGAGGACCAATCAGTGTCTGCTGGCCTTGTGAGGTAAGTGTCTGGTTTTGCGTTAGTTGCTGGTTGTTCCCACCGTTGTTTTGAGAGACCACTCCACTGCCGTTGCTCAGGACATTGACCTGCGTGAGAGACGAGTCTCCTGACTGCAGACTCATGACACTGATTCGTTCCACCACTGCGCTGATTTTACGGTGTAGAAGAGCCGAGCCATCGTTATTGGCGATGTCGATTCCGAGCTCGAGCAGATCGTTTCGCTTGAGCTCGTGGGGTTCCGATTCTCGTCCATCTTGGCTCAGACGCTCGCCATTGATATATGTTCCGTTGGAGGACTTTGCGTCCTTCATCCATACTTTTCGTGTCAGTTTGTCGGCCCAGATCTCCGCGTGTTGTCGTGACAGCACCCTCGAGTCGAAGTAGCCATTGTCGGGTGAGGGTAGAGTCTTTTGAGACGTCTGACGGCCTAGTTTGAGCACTTCGGGATAGAATGGAAGTACTAGAGACTTGCGGTCAAACGTGTTGTTTCTGGGAGACAGTACGATAACAACACAATATTGGGTACGCGCGGGCGTGATTCCCAGCTCGCTGGCGGAAGATGCAGACGTGTTTCGAGTTCGACGTCTGGGGGGATCCGCAGGAGCATTTGTAGCCGTAGTGGCGTTATTGTTATTGTTGTTGTTGTTGGTATTGTTTGATGCAGCTGCTGATGAGATCTGGGGTGCAGAGGTTGATGGAGCTGGAGTGGTGGCTGCTTGGATGGCGGTAGAAACAGATCTGCCAGGTGTGCCCGTAGGTCCCTGTGTAACACTCGAGACACCTGTAGCGCCTGAGACTGCAGTTGGGGCTGCGGTTGTGGGCGCACCACCGCCATTCACTCGCTTAGGAGCAATAGACGAGGAGGATGAGGAGTTGGGGATGCTGGAAATGCTGCCACTGGAGGTACTGGCGCCCACAGAGCTGGCCCCGGCACTTGTGGATGTGGTAGAGGCCGTGGCAGACGCAGTGCGGGGATAGACGGAGGGCGCGTTGACCGGCACGTCTCGGTCTGATGGCTGGACAGTCGCCGAGCTGTCCACCGAGTTGAGAGACGACACTGAACGTGCGGATCGTAAAGAGCCGTTTTCACGCATGTCGTTTGTGGAGAGAAAGAGGCTGAGGTGTTGTTTGTGGAGAAGTGGAGAAGTGGATTGGATCTCCCACTGATATGTATCGTGCTGGTATGTGTTGCAAGCTCTCTGTCGATGCCAAGTGTCTTTTATGAGCAGATGTTGTCACACCGCGTTTTGCTGTTTGGTCTGTTTGGTTCTGCAGAGACTAAGTTAGACTCGTGGATAAGGAGTGGAGATGCCAACTGAGGGAGGTGTAAGTAGAGAGTTTGAGTGACGTCAGAGAATGAGTGGTGCTTCTGAGAGGGTTATGTTGGGCTTTTCAGTTGATGTATGAGTCGATATGGTTCCTATTATCAGTGTAACGAAGTCGCCGCAGTTCAATACAGTAGTCTCAAACCCCACTGTCTAGTCCAAGTATGTACTTATAGTTATGTTAACTGGACTGGGAGGCTTCTTGTACACTGCACTCTTGTGCTGCCAAGTGTCTGATTTTGGAAGAGAGGAAGACAGGTTTATCGTGGGAGAGCGGTAGACGAAGCAAGGATCAAAGAAGCTGATTGGGTCATAAAGACTTATGGAGATGTTGGTAGCATATCCTGACAACAATTGTCCGCTTATGCCACCCCCAACACCTATAAATACTACCTATAGTCTCGCCATAACCGTATTCTCAATGTCACGCTTTCGACATATCGACGGTTGCTGTTTGAAAAACATGGGGTAAAAGAAAGACATTGAAAAGGAACAAGGGAAGAAGAAGAAATTAAGTGATCAAGACTCATTCGGTTGGTGATTAATAATAGCACCAACAAGACTACTCCGTACAATTTTGCCATCATCTTCGATATTACATTGCAGCCTCGGTTGATCTTGAACTTACTCGAGGGAACTTCTCAGAACGAACCTCTTCTATTTCCTTCAATTGATTACATTTTCTTACGTAAGAATACGAATATAAAAGGCATTGATTTGCTATTCGGTTCATCTATAAAGCGTCCACCAGCTATCCCTGTTTCTTCCAAAAACCCCAAGCCCCTGTATCCTCAACTAACTTCTTGTGTAGATCTGATAAACACGCCCTGAAGAGGGAGGTATTAGACCTCACCAGGATATACAAACACGAAGGCACACGGGTTTTGAAAGCATACTCCACCAATCATGACTTTTAAAATCTCCCTATAACTCTCGTGGGTCTGCGCGTGTGCGCCACACCCCAGATACTTCACCCCTTCATGCTTACTCATCCGCCTGGAGACGAACCCAAAAGGCTCACAACCTAAAATTCCGAACTTCTTTCAATTTATCGGACCATTGTCTGCAACCACTACAACACAACTCTACACCATGTTTCGAACCGTGCGAAGCTGTGCTGTGGCCCTGCCCACCCGAGCATCCACCCTGCGAGCCTACCATTCTATCAACCTCATCAACACAAAGCCCACCGAGGACTACAATCCCAAGACCAAAAAGTTGCTAGACGCAGCCATGGATCTGGTCCCCAGTCTTGGATTCACTGACCAGGCCCTTACACTCGCCTCTAGACGTCTTGGTTACACAGATACAACTCCCCTGGTGCTTCCCGAGGGTCCTCTAGATCTAATTGTGTACCATCTTCGACGAGAACGAGAGAAGCTGGCCGTCGCCTCTGAGACTGCTCCTGCCGACCCTCCTGCCGCCCCCACGACCCCGGATTTCCGAACCAAGGACCAGCGACTTGACGATGCCTGCCACGAACTCATTGTGCAGCGTCTCAAGGGCAACATCCCCGTCATTGAGCACCTCGACAACGCCTTGGCCCTTATGGTCCAGCCTCAGAACATGGCCGAGTCTCTCAGCGAGCTGGGAGCTCTCAGTGACGAGATTGTTCACCAGGCTGGCCACCGATCGTCCGACTTTGACTGGTACACGCGACGAGCATCCATCTCTGCTGTCTACGCTGCGTCTGAGGTATACATGTGCCAGGACAAGAGCAAGAACTTTGAGGACACCTGGAAGTTTGTCAAGAGCAGTCTGGAGGCCCGACGGGGGCTGCAGGAGGGCGTTGGAAACGTGGGCCAGTGGGTCAGCTTCCAGGGCATTGCCTCCGTCATGGTCATTCGATCCCTGATGACTCGGTTGTAAGGAATCACATCCTACACCCCGTTTTCTGATTGAAACCACATAGCTATAGATGAATTACGAGTATATGAGTTGCTGTACGTGTAGATACTTGTAATCTGTGGTGCTCGTAAAATTGGGTTTGCTTGTTTGAGGGAGGTTTGGACCTGTTCAGCACTGATTGATAAGATAGAGTTCTGACTCCGATTTATCTTTTGCATCAGAGAGGAGTGGAAGTATCGAACAGACATGTGGTGGTTAGAGTGAGTGATGAAGATGTTTAACGCAGAGTGTTTGGTGAGCTTCAGTAACCTTCGGTAAGCTTGGTGTATGACCTTTAAGCTAGATGGCTGCTGTTACTCATAATCTGTGTGGATAAGGTGGTTGCTTTCTAGCTATAATGATCTAAAAACATCGTACATACTGTATGATATGATATTGTAGATACTGTATACTCGCAGAGATATTTTTGCCACCTTCGGTGTTTGATTTTTCTTCCCCGATACGCCAAGTGTCCATAAATACACCCTTGTCTGTGCGTATCTCGCCCTCCAAATGCGCAGCACTCAGCGTGCAGAGGCAGTACAAGTACGTAAAACTCAGTTGGGAAAAAAGCTGTGATTAAGTGTCTGTATTGTGGAGGTTTTGAGGGACAGATTTGAGATCTAAGCAGACCGGCTTGTTACTTGAGTCGTTTCAATGGAATTGGCGCCACTTTTGTGTCTTTGTGGGTTACGAATAGATCTTGTAGCCGTATCCTCATGGGTTTTTTTTAGGTCTAGACACTACAGTAGAACGCGTAGTTGTGATATGGCGATGACTTTAAATACTTGTTGTCGTACGAGTACAGTAAGTACCCGTGCTTGTTTATAGTGTGTTTTTGCTCATATTTCCTTCTGTTTTTCTACCTTGGGGGGTCTCTGTCTGTTCCACCAACCACCGTCGATCCATATGAAAATGAACGTCTCTTTTTCGCTCTCTTGGGCGTCTCTGTGTGATGTTGTCCTGTCACAACTGTCGTGCTTTTCAGACGTGAGATGCACAGCCTCGTGTATGAACAACTGGTATGGACAGCGCATCATTGGGGAGACGAGAGGACGGTTAAGTCGAAATAATCCCCAATTTTACTCTTTTTTTGACCGTTTTTTCCCCATTTTTTTGCCGATCGCCTACCTCCTAAAAATTCACTTTTTGCTCTTTCCGCCCCAAATTCTTTTTGAGACGTGTAAAATTATGGTCAGCCGTGTGTCTCGAAGTTACGTGGTGATATGCAGGATGGTGTTGAGAAACGTCATCCGCTGTAACAGTGGAGGAGCGGAGGGAAAAATATCAATTCCAAAACGCTTGCAATTCGATACAAAAGTGGGGCCTCATCTATTTACCCTCCAGTACACTACGCGTGGTCATCTGATTACAACTATCGGTATTAGTACGAGTACAACGCCAACCCAACACACACAAATCAATTTATACACCCCCTAACCCTAAAACCTAAGCCAAATAATTATCCCTTGATTCGAAGCGTGTCTAATATTAAGATAAAAGAGAAACCGTTTTCTTCCACTACGCAACACTCACTCTCTCACTCTCAGAATAGCGACTTCTAGCGGCGTGTAAACGACACCAAAACTGCCACAGCCCTCTCATTCCCAGTCGCCAAAAAAAATCCAAAAATGTTTTCCCTCTCGTTCACCACCCTCACACTCGCTATTCTGGTGGTTCTGTGGGCGTCGTCAGCCTTTGGAGCCAACGCAGACTCCATTCTCGATACTTCTCACGTGAGCAACCACTGGGTGTGGTCCTTCACCGAGGATTCCATCGCTCTGAGCGCAGCCATTGCTCTGGTGTTCACCTATTCTGTCATCAAGGTTACCAACAAGGTCGTGTTGGAGCCCTCCAGCAAGTTCATTGTGACCACCTTCCCCGAGTACATCAAGCTGACCCAGGACAGTACTCAGAGGTGATTACTGGGTGCTGACCGTGTGTTTTCTTGTTTGATTTTGATTGTTTGCTGAAAGGGGTCTGTACCTGCAAGACCCAGCTCCAGCCGAAAAGGAGCCTTACACAAGACCCAGCTCCACAGCTATCCAGCTGAAATGTATAGATTGTAATTTATTGTTTGTTATTGAGGTAGTGGAGATGAAAAGCGATGTCGTGATTCACGTGAAACAAGCCTGGAATATGCAGGAGACCCCGTGAGATCATCTTGTTCGGGTTATGTTTCAACTGCAGAGAAATACATGTTGACAGACCTCAAAGGTGTACCTATGTATACCATGGTCCACTGTGGTTTGTCTTCATTTTGTATACAGTCTATACTCTGTGTCCAGTATAGCCTATATTCAACTCCTCGAGGGAGACTTCTGGGTAAGGAGATGTCTTTGCTGGTCATCTATCATATCAGCTAAGCTGTTACCAGACGTGTTGTCGTGGTGGTACAAGTACTTGTACAGATACCAGTAGATATTGCACCGACTCTAGACTGTCTGAAATAATCGTTTCATTTCGATGATATCTTCAACATCAGACTCTGACATCAAAAAGTGGTGTAAGAGTAAGGAATATAGCTAGGTGCAGAGATGCAATTCATTCACCTTACCAAAGGAAGTCAGCTCTGGTGGCTCAGTTCAATTACGTCTCTTCAGACATAACTTCTGCAGTAGCTACTTGTACAGTAGATTTCATGGTCCTACAGTCTGTACAATACTTGTATCCACCTCCTGTACAAGTATATGTAGTCGAAAACCGAGATAAATCAGAATATCATAGCTTAAAGGAGAGATGATTATATCATGGTTATCTCACCTGCATTATGAGGTCAAATTTGTGTTCCGATACCGACATATCTCCATACTATACTGTAGGTTCTTGTAGCTCGTTACAGCACCTTCCACTCTCACCATAGAGTTCCATATCGCGTTTTAGGTTGAAGGCTGATTTCGATTCCAACATCTCATCCACAACATCTACACACATCAAAATGACCAACACGTTGGATGATTCAATCGGAAGTATGCAAAACTGTGTGTCGATCGTCCGAGATACGTCACTGAAACTACGGTCGCGTGCCCAGACGCCTGAGGAAACAGAGCGAATCAAAAAGGTTCTACAGCTGACGCGAAAGTACGAGGAGGTGACCCAGAGCGAGGTGCTGGCAGCCCAGCAGCGCCAGGCGGCCGAAATTGCGCCCCAGGTTCAGGATCTGATTGGCGGAGTCGAAAAACAGATCAGCAGTTTGCATTCCAAGGAGCGGAAGCTCAAATCACAGTCTGAGCTGAATAAGAGCCGATTGGAGCAATTTCCTATGACGCGAAGAGAAGTGGTTGACGTGCCCCGTGACGCTGACAATGTTGTGGAGGTCACGGAGGAGGAACTGCAAGAACTTGAGGAGCTGCAGCGAGAACGGGAGAAGCTGAAGATGGAGATTAGTCGTCTGAATCTGGAAAAGCGGAAGAGTGTCTATGGAAAGTTGCCTCAGTAGGATATATAGGCGTACGTATTTATTTTAATTTATTTACCCATGTTGAGGGTGCTATTGCTTGCCATTTGTGACCAGACTGTGACTTGGTAGGTGGCTCTAGGAGCTATGTTGCATCGTGAGGCTTAAGGCACGCTTGTGTCATTATCACTGTAACCTGGTGTATGCCACGGTGGCATGCATTTACAGTAGTTTATAGCACAGGTTATCAGATGCCAGTAAATCATCTGAATCATGTCTTCCATCCAGTTCTGGCAGCTATAATTTACCCCCTATTGCAAAATCAAAACTCTTTAGGTATGTACATACGGCCTAAGCCTGAGCCTCCTTCTCGACTCTCTTATAATTAACGTCCAGGTAGCTTGCCAGGGAGTAGGCGTAATCGTGGACCACCTCCTCATACTTGACGGGAGGACCCTGTTCGTGCACATTGGTCACCTTCTTTTCGTCCAGACCACATGGCACAATGTGGTCGAACCAGGACAGGTTGTTGTTGACATTGAGACAGATTCCGTGGCTAGTGATGTTTCGTCGGATGTTTACACCCACAGCGGCAATCTTGGACTCTCCATCCATGGTCCAAACTCCAGTGTTTTCAGTTCGGGTGGTGAAGATTTGGTACTGGGCAAGAGCACTGATGATACTGCTCTCCAGCAGACTGATGTAGCACTTGGGGCTCAGGGCCGAGTCAGAGCCGTCATCGTTAATCTTTCGGAATTGCAGTAAATCCAGAATGGGGTATGCGACAATCTGACCCGGCCCATGAAAGGTGGTTTCTCCGCCTCGCAGGGTGTGTGCGATATCGGCCTTGGAAACATCAATTGGTTCATCGGACGGCTCGGATTTCGTCTCTCGGTGGTTGGGGGTTTCCAGAAGGGCGTCTTCTTTGCCCTGCCGTCGACCCATAGTGTACACGGGCTGCATCTGGAAGGTCAGAAGCACCGGGTCCGGCGTCTCCTTGCCTTCCTTCTTGCAGTCCAGAAACTTGCGCACAAGCTTGTCGTGGATGCCCTGTGCATCAGAATACTTGATGGGGCCCTGGATGTGCAGGTGGTTGAGTGTCAGCGGTCGCACCGGTCGAGCTCGGGTCCAGATCATTGTTTCTTGCCTAAACAGACGTGGAATTTGTCGAAAGCGCACGGAAGCACCCAAACTTAATTCTGTGTGGAAATATGCCGGCATTTCATGGAATAAATCTTGAATAAACAAAATAACTCGAATAAAACGGGACGATGAATAAATTGTGTCTCATTTGTTATTCTGATTTTTTGCAATCAAAATATACTCCTTAGGAGCTTCACGCATTTGCTAGTGTCAAACAGAGTGAGAGCCTATACACTACTTGAAATAACAGTCGAGAATGTTGAATGTGTCGCAGGCACAAGTAAGCATAGACGTTCATCAGTGAGTCAGAATCTCTTAGAATAGACCTTGTACTGCTATTCGGACTGTGTTAGATTGCCTCTTTTGTATGATTTGGGCAAATGATGATGTCCTGGTCACTACTGTATTCATAAATCAAACACCCGAAGCCCGTTGGCGTATCGGAGCCCATCATGCACTGATAGCTTTTATCCGAGGTTGCGCGTGAGTCTATATCTGTGGATTTGAGGTCGTTTCGAAGGTGGCGACTTTCTAGAAGAGCTTGTGAGTCGGTTTCCGAAGTCGTTATTGAAGCTGAAACCCCGAGTGTTGTGTGGATGATACCTGTGTTTCGAGTGAATAACTGCTGGAGTATTGAGCTGGAGACTGGTATACAAATGGGTATGAAATTATCACTGAAATACATATTATCTGCTACTGGTAGACTGTCAACTCAGCTACTGCACAACTATCGGTACTTCCTGTACTCGTACAAGTACATAATGTACTGTAACGACTTGTTTTCTGTTGCTAACGTCTTCTCTTCTCCAGACCCTGAATTCAGGCTTATCAGATCAGAAATACATGTCCGTATTGAAGTTCAGTATCTTGGAAATCCAGTCTTTAATGGAGACACTCAATAAACAATAAAGAGTCGGATTTGTCATTCTAATTAAAACTCAACGAAATCTCTCTCAACCCCGCAGAGTCCCTCACCTCTTAGAATTTGTCTCACCATCAAGGAACGTCTCGTCTCGTTGATGACTTGTCTGACTCTGGCTCGACAAATCTGAGTCTGGATAGGATTTCTGGTTACCCAAAAGCAATAATGAGGCGTGTTTAATGCGTCCCCGGACTCGTTGTCGGCTTTTGCTCTTTTGGACCATCTTATCAACCTGCCCCATGTGCTATTGTAGTCTGTTTGTTTAGTTAGTAGCTGTAAGTAGTTACAGTAGGAGCACTTTCTCTGCACAGCAATGTAGTTTATAGCGCACAGTAGCTTGAGTGTTTTAGCACAACGTAGATAAAATCACTCAAGCGGTCTGTCAATGGCCGGTTCACGTCCTCGTCAGCTGTCTGGAGCTACACAGCCACTTTCGGGCACACCCGGTGACCCATAAAACAAAAATTGTACGTTTCCACAGCCGCACTATCCGAGTAATGTACCTGCTTCCGGTGCTTCATTTGAGGAGGGTGAGATGAGAGCATAAACTGAGGGTTAAGTGGAGTCTAACCATTAGAGGTGTGGTGAAAATGGATCACGAGGCACAAAAAGCTGCACAAAACACAATTTACGAGATTAATGCTGATGCTTCGTGTAAATGTGTTTTGGCGAGACCCCAAGAATTTTATTATATGCCGTTTTTCCGATCTCACCCCATAATGGAGACACAATGCTTGTACTTAGTACTTGTAGCTTTGTTTGTTGAGGGGTATGTACCGACTGTATGCACACTGCATTTGGCAGTCATAACAGAGAAGAGAACAGCACACCACATTTTGTTCATAGAGCTCTCAGATTTATTCAGAAAAAGCTCTCTCACAATTTACTCATCTCCAAAAGATAAGTGAGTCGAAAAAAGTCCGAAAATCGTTGAGTTTCCGCCCTCGGAGGCAAAAGTATGATTGTGGGGGCGGAGATTCTTGATCCAATGGTGTGATTTGACGCTGGTGATAACGGCGCACACATATGATAGCTCAGATTAGATGACAGGTATTAGGCTAGCGACAACCGGATACAATTTGGAGGAGGTAAAACTGAAGTATCAGCAACCAAAGTGACGGAAATACCACTTATAACACTACTACTAGGACTACTGGTAGTACTACAAGCAGTACGGAACCATGTGTTCGCAACCATATCCTAGTGTCCCGCGAAGCTCAAAGTCTATTTTCTGTAGTTTGTCAGAGCCAAACACAGTAGACTCTGGATACTTAATCTCACCTATAGGCCCTCTGATCATGGCGCAAAAAAGCAACAAAACAGAGGACGCTCCCATGAGTGTTGAAACACAGACACAGACGCAGCAGCATGCTCACGTCGGCCCCGCCCAGATGGCATCGGCCTCCGCAGCTTCCTCTGTACACATCAAGGAGCTCACCCAGGAGGTGTCTTCCTTGTCCACCCGGCTTCTCCAAGCGATGGAAACACAGTCTGAGCTGGAGGAGGAGCTTGGACGAGAGAAGCGTGACAAGGATCGAGCCAACGTGGAGAACAAGGAGCTGAAAACTGAGGTCCAGAACCTGCGGGAGGAGATGCAGGAGCTTTCAGCGGAGCTGTTTGATGAGGCCAACAACATGGTGTCTGACGCTCGAAGAGACGCCGCCAAGGAAGTGGCAGAAACCAAGAAGCGCAACGACCAGCTCAAGGTGCAGCTTGAGGAGCGAGACAACTTGCTCGAGAGTCTACAGGCCCAGCTGAGTGCACTAAAGCAGGCCATGCAGGAGCGAGACGAGGAGGAAGATCGACTACAGAACCTGGGCGAGGAGAGCGATGAGGAGGAGCAGGAGGACCGTGTTACACAAAGAGACAGCATTCACGGAACCACGAATGACGGATCAGACGATGGGTTTGAGTCTGCCGCAGAGGGTGATTCTGACAACAAACAACACTCGTCGTTACCCGGATCAGCAAACGCTTCTTCCACCAACGTTTCTGGACCCCCACCAGTTGCTACTCGACCTCGTCTCTCCCGTGCTCCTTCATCTCGAAAGCGAATGACTGCCGCACCTACCACAGCAGAACTCAACTCTCCCTCCAGGCCTCATCTTCGACAGGATCTGGCCTCTTTTAGAGACTTCATTGCTCTGGTTCGACAGGCTGCTAAGCAGCGAGAAGCTTCTCTTGAGTCTGCCACTAACTCGGCCTCAACTCATGCGGCCGGTCCCACGTCGTCTTCCACTTCTTCTACGGACGTCGCTGCCACTTCCTCCAACGATGACGTACCCCATACTCCACCCACACACCAGGGCCCCTTCAAGCACGACGACCAGTCCCCGCTCACATCCATCTACTCGTCGTACATGTCACCACAATCTCACAAAGAGCCCCCACAACTGCAACTCAAGGATACGCGGTTTTTCAAAAAATTCATTTCCGAAGACTTTGAGCCCACTCTGCGACTTGACCTGGCACCCGGTCTATCGTGGCTTGCCCGACGAGCAGTCCAGATGGCTATTTTGGAAGGAACTATTGTCATCGACCCAATCGCAGCTGTCAACGAGCTGTACGGTGTCAACATGATGACCAACATGTGGCTGAATGGAGGATTCAGCGAGTCTGCTGGAGCTCCCCGAGATGCCAACGGAGAGCTTCTGAAGGACGCACACTCCGGAGACGCTACCACCTCTAAGGACGTGGTTGCTCCCGATCACCCCCCCAAGCAACGACCTGTCAGTGCATTGGTCAGCTTTGCTCGTGATGCCAAGCTGATGAAACCCGAAAAGGTGAACGAGGAGGATAATCACATCACGCCTCCCATGTCGCGAGAAGAAGCACGGGCTCAGACTGCCCGAGATCTGGAATCAAGGGCCTCCCACGATTCGTCCCGACACTCGCATGACTCTCGAACGTCTTCCTCCAACAACGTGTCGCCTCCCATGGCGACTATTTCGGCCTGTGCTCTCTGTGGCGAGTCTCGAAACCACTCTCTGGTCTATGCCCGTCTTCACTATCTGCGAACAGCTCATGCCGCCGCTGGAGAGACTGGCGAGTCAGGTGAAGCTGGTCCCAACACCTCTGCCTTGACTGCAGGCAAGGGCTACCCTCTGTGTGGTTACTGTCTGGTGCGAGTGCGAGCTGTTTGTGACTACCTGACTTTTTTGCGGTCTGTCAAGGACGGTGTTTGGAAGGTGGATGGCGTTGCCTCTGAAAACAAGGTGTGGGCCGAGTGTATCCGACTCAAGGAGCGAATGTTCTGGGCTCGAGTCGGTGGAGGTTTCCTGTAGTGTGTGTGAGAGAGATAGGGAGAGAGAGGGAGAGAGAGGGAGAGAGAGGGAGAGAGAGAGGATTCCAGGAGCATAACATCAGGAGTTAGGTGCGTCAGGAGCATTTTAATGATAAATGGCCCGTCCGAAGAGCACATGCAAGAAAGTGGTGTGCAACGAGAACATGGCCGGTAATGAGTTCACGTCTGGAGTATACTGTACAAGTATGCATGTACAGTGTCAGTACAGTAATACAATGATTAAATGATAGAAGCAATGAAGTGGAACACGTACAGCAGAAGCCCGTAATATTATTTCTTGAAACATTCCATTGTACTACTTGTAGTACGATACTTGTAGTCTGACATAATGTCTTGGCGTTCTAAGGGCCGTCTTGATTAGTCAGATGAACAATGTAGTATTACAGTAGTAAGTGACATTGATGAGAAGGTGATGCAGTTGATTGATACGCAACAGTATTATGGGCTATTGGATTCTCTTATTTCCTATGCATGCCACGTCCTAGCTACAATATAATGTCTCTCATAAGCAACAGTAAAGTACATAGTGTACGTATCCGTACGTAGAAGGATCCCTGAAGTATCTCTCAAAAAAGACAGTCAAGTAAGAACTTAGATCTAAGTTAAGGAGATTTTATTTTGCCCTAGAATAAAAGTCTGAATTGTTGATTAAAAGGTGTTAGTACAAATACTATGGCCTCCCGACAAAGGAGATATCACTCGAACAAGTGTAAATACTCCGCTCCCATGTAATTCCTAATCTGCTTGCACTTTTACATGATCCTTAATGACCTCTTCCTGCACTTGGTCCTGCACACCTCAAACTTTACTCCGAAGATGCAACTCGCACTTTGTTTCCAATCGTGACTCCAAAAACAGAGACATCACTAAACCACACCGCCGAAGACGACAATACCATGCCGCCTCGACGATCAGGACGAAACAAGAAGAAGGACGAGGATGTGACGATGGCTTCTGCCGACACGGATGTCAAGCAGGAAGTGCCATCTTCTCAGGACCAGGAGGAGACCAAGGATCAACCAAACAAACCGAAGCGTGGAAAAAAGCGAGGAGCTACTGAGGTGTCCAAGGAGGATCAGGTTAAAACGGAGGCTGGTACAGATGAAACAGCTGATGTCAAGCAGGAAACCACAGAGACTTCTAACGAAACACAAGCACCAGTTCAAGAGACTGCAGAAACGACGGTGGAATCTGAACAGACTGCCGACGAGGCATCTGTAGTGGCCCAGGTGGAGGAAAAGCTTGAACGGATCAACGACAAGAATGACAAGCTCAGCGAAAAGAGAGTATCCGACAAAGTGCTGGATCAGACGAAAATCACCCTGCGACTGCTGATGAGCAGACACGCCACAGACAAGGTGGATAAGACGGTCAAGAAGACTGTGGAGGATGCAGGAATGACGATTGAGGTGGTGGATACGGTGAATGCGCCGGAAAACGTGATTCTTCTACAAGGACCGTGTACCGGTTTGGATACTTGCATCAAGGCTCTATTGGACCTCGACACAGCCCTAGCTCCTCCTGGAATGATCACACGACGGCTTAGACTGCTGTTTGAGGATCAGGTGTTATCAGAGATTCCACAGATCAACATCGCCACAAACCAGAACCTGTTTGCATCTCGACCTATTGATATTGTCACAGGTGTCCATGTGAGCGTAGGCATCTCTACCCTTCCTCAGAGCACTGACAGAAGCGTGGTTGTTTCAGGACATGCGAATGCAGTCATCAAGGCTGTTCGTGAGTTTCTCAAAATGATTCTGTTTATCCAAATGGACGGGTTGAAGGCTAATGGAAACAACACAGATGCTGCCAATTACGAGATCGACTCCTCCACAGCTATTTCAGCTCCATACATCTCTAAGCTGGTCACTGGCGTGTACGGTCACCCTGACACGTTTGTCAGACAGAAGGAGAATGAAAAGTACGTTGGAAGCAATACATACATTACTCGAAGACGTCGGGTGGAGATTCCGGATATCGATCTCCGAAACGTTCCCAAGGGACCCGCCGCCTCTGCTTCGACATACACCAACAACGGAAACAGCAATAGCCACGGATATAACAACCACGGAGGACACAACTACAATAACCATCGAGAAGGTGCAGGATACCACAACAGCGGTGGACCTCGAGATGGACCTCGAGATGGACCCCGAGATGGACCCCGAGATGGACCCCGAGACGGACCTAGGGATGGACCTAGGGATGGACCACGTGACGGACCACGTGACGGACCACGTGATTTCAAGCCTCCTACTGGTCCTCGAGGTCGAGGGGGTGATCGCCCTGTTCGCCAGGATGCCAGAGGTCCTGAGATTCGCGAGTTTTCACCTCGAGAAGCCTCAGGACAGACCACTCAACAGATCAACGTACGAAAGGATATGATTGGAGCTATTATTGGCAAGGGGGGATCCTCTATTTCGGAAATCAGGAAGAAGTCCGGCACCAACATTCGTGTGATTGACTCGGAGGACCCCAGTCAGTTGGAACGGTCAGTCAGTATCACTGGAACTGCCGATGGAGTCAAAATTGCTGTCCGGCTAATCCATCAGAAGATTGAGCAGGAAAAACACATGTATCGAAGAAGTTAGAAGGGGTAGGACAAACGGCATATAGTTATTGTATATCAGCATTATTGAGTATCAATGAAGTAAGTATTCACTCAAATAAAGTCTAAGTAAAAATATGACAAAATGCACTACACCAACCCTAGCCCACACACTCGCATCAGACCAAGCTGCAGGTCACTCCACTCATTACAACACCCTTAGAACATGTTTGGCATCTTTTCGCGCATTCCCGTGGAGCTGCGCACGGCCGTGTCGATTGCGGTTCGAGCAGGCTGTGCCATCCATTTCTTTCGCATGCACATTTTCGAGTCTTCACTCACATACGGCCCATCAATGATTCCGACTCTTGATGAGAAGGGCGACTTTGTCAATATCGACAAGCTGAAGAGCAGAGGGCGAGGCGTGCAAGTTGGTGACGTGGTCGTGGCGATAAAGCCGACCACTTCAGACCAGCGGGTCTGCAAGCGAATCAGTGGTATGCCTGGAGACATCATTCTTATAGATCATGAACGGTCTGATAACGAGTTCATTCAGGTCCCCAAGGGTCACTGCTGGGTCACTGGCGACAATCTGAGCATGAGTCTGGACTCTCGAACATACAGAGCCATGCCTCTAGCCCTCGTCAAGGGTAAAATCATCGCTGCTCACTCATTTGCACGGGGATTCCGATTCCTACCAAACACTCTGGAGGACGCTGCGGAAGATGAACTAATCACAAATACTGTGACATTGGTGGAGGACGAGCCTGTTGAGGTGGCCACTACGAGCAGTTAGTGGTGGATTGGCATTGTACATAAGTACTATAAGTTATTAGCATGGTTGGATTGTACTACAAGTACGAGTGAATACAAGTAGAGTACATACATACCGCCATAAAATGCACCAAAAAAAGCGAACCACAATTTGTACGACCGTAGCCATACAGTACAGTATGTACAGGCATGTGCTTCTTATCTCTACTATTGTTACTCATGATCTAATAAATATAAAAAGTGCCGCTTGAGACGACGTTAGTGAACCGTGGCTATCTTGAGAGCCATCTCAACATGCTCTATTCGGAATCGGGGCAGCTCTCCGAGATTGACACCGTGTAGAGTCAACTGGTCCATCAGAATAGACTCGTCGATCCTGGCTCCTTGCGCCTTGGCCTTGAGGTACTCATTCTCCACAGCAACTGGGCCCATGTACCCAGGGAAGTTAGAGTCTTCATCCACCTTACCTGACCAGTAAGACCCCGACACGGAAATGGGAAGTTTGAGACATGTGATGACTCGCGGGATAGAGAAGTCTTCGTGGAAACCATGAGCGTAGAATCTGTGAAGCTTCTCCTTGTTGCCCTGAATGTACGCCGTTAGCACTTCGAACAGTGCTCGTCTGAAGATACGTTCGCACAGTCGGTCCAAAATCACGGGGAACTGCAATGTGTGAATATTGTCCAATACGTCCTGCCCAGACTCCATCAGATGTTTTCGCTGGGTCAAAATGACCTCTCCTACCTTCGCAGGGGTTGCTGCCGAGTCCAGAGATGCGTACGGTTTGGAATCATGGGGATAGCCAGGGGTGTCTGACTTGGGGAACGTGTTTTTGACCACCTCATCGGGGGTCAGAGAGAAGGGAGCAAGAATGTCGGCGGTGGGCTTGGGAATGTCGTGAGAGGAAGAATCGGGGGTCAGAGACAGGTGGCTGGACATGTCGAGATCGGAGTTTGGCGAGTGATTCTGATGCTGAATCTCGAGCAGCTGCTCTGCCTCGTTTCGCTTGATCCACTCCACAATCTCGTGAGGAAGGTCTTTGATTATGTTCTGTGCGTAGGGCATCATCGACTCGTCATCTGTACGAGAAGACACTGGGGAAGAGCCCATTGTGTGGTTCTGGAACGTGCTGACGGGGTTAGACACGTAGTCGTTGTACTTGAGTACCATGTCGGCTGTTAACTTGTGGCTGGGGTCGGTGTTATTGGTCATTCGCACAAACCCACCGATTCGAATGCCAGCAAACGCAAACAGCTGCATCAGCTCATCATTGCTTTCACGCACTGCCACCTGGACTCCTCGCTGGTAGAACTCGAAGAAGGACGACTCTACACACGAAATGACCTTTTCTAGAGCCTCTACACGGGCAGTGAGCTCATGCACAATGTTGTCACGTCTCTGACGGTACTGTCTCTGAGCGTCTCTCACCTGAGCTCGTCGTCGCTGTGTTAGTTATGTGTCATGAAATCGCAAATATACTGCAACTAGTGAACATTCGAACTGATGCATATTGTGTTTTGCCACAAGAGATTACCCCTCTCGGACAAATCTCGGATACTGCTGTATCGCAACACAGGAGTGGGAGGAAATATAATCACAATCCACCATGAAGGACACGAGAAACATGATGCACTCCGTATGCTAGATATCACGTCGATAGTTGCAATTTGCTCGTTTGGGCATGACGTTTTACTCACCTCAGCTTGAGCTGCAGAAGAAGTCTGTAGACGAGGCCGGCCTCTCTTGTTCTTCTTCTTGGGAGGCTCTTCCACTGGGTTTACCGGGTTAGCGATCGCAGTCGACGACTGTTGTGACAGCTCGACGTTGGTCATGGTGATCAAAGATGAAGGGCACTGTACTTGATGTGTGCGTGTGTGTGTGTGTGTGTGTGTGTGTGTGTGTGTGTCACTGTAGATGTGTGATCCAGTGGTTGTGTTGAGTGTTCAAGTCGTGAGGGGCGCAGTATGGTGCCTTTATGAACTCAAGATATCAGGCGTCTGTGATCTGGGGGAAGTATCGTGGTGTCTTTACCGCCATATATATCTATCTGTCTTTTTCTCTGTGCTGGTTTCTGTCTCGCACTTCCTAGCTGCATTTTCACACTCCTTCACACTCTAAACTGCCAAATAGGGTTACGCGGGGTCCACCACTTTAGTGTGTCAACTATTAACGCAGCAGATTATGCATGCAGGCACGGCCGAGAGGTGAAGGAATATGGAAATGCACCTGAAATCCATGACAGAGAACGGTACCACATAGCAGCTCAATGCAAGACCGGAAAAAACATCTCACCCACTCAGTTCGGAGACGCGGACGCAGGACCGCCGCTGACTCGTTAAGCTTCAATACCCCGCATTAATTTTGCCTCTTTTCTGCCATATCTCTTTGTTGCGACATGTACCAACGGACCTTCACCATGCAGCAACTAGTGAACTAGAGCTGGGAGTGTAGTGCCACCACCGGCTTGTGATTGTTGACAATCTCCGGGTTTGCGTGCGTTTGACAAGCCCGTTCCCCACCTACTTCGGGGCTCTCTCACAGAGTCGTTTCAGTGTTCGTATCCCTCGAGAGCAATTGTTTTACGTGGTTCCATTACTGTATTCTTTCATTGTGGTTGGAGCGTCACTTTTCTGTTGAGTAATCATAAAATCCACCTCAGGTACCATACGCACAGTTCTAATACGGACCGTACACACAAGTGACCGTCCGAAAGCCGCAAATGAACAATAGCAACCTCAAAAAGCATACGCCGCCACACACACAATAAACAGGTACAAGTGCAAATGTCCGGTTCAACGCACGGTGCCTTCTCTCAAGCCCCATGGGGAAAGATCTATGGCCGAAGCCTTGGGTCCGAAAAACAAAAAACCGAGGGCAAAAAGAAACCTTGAGTGCATCTCAAATGCCCGTTCGGAGCTCTAAAGCTGGGGAAATACGGCTATGGACGACGTTACGTTGATCTAGCAAGCCCAGCGTAGCCACCGACGCCCCGCTGTTTTCGTTTAGGACTTGGAGCTAATGTCCGCTTGATACAGCACGAGTACAATAACAAGTGGAACGGGAACAGATTTGGTATCTTCCGTTCCGTGTAGAGGTAGTGATGGTGGTGGGGGAGTTCTGTTACAAGTACTAAGAGTATTTGTATCGTACTTACCAGCACTACATGCTGCAGAGTGCACTTCAGTTATACCTATAGATGATACCCATCGAAGCTCACGTATAGTATTATGTAAGGGCCACAAGTACAAGTACAAGTATATACACAAGTGCAAGTACTTGAACGATACTGTCTATTGTATCGTACATGGCTCAATTGAGGCATTGAAGCAGGGGCTGGCGATCTTCGCCACCGCAACCTCGCACAAGATACAATACAGCCTCCTTGTGTTATCTTTATCACATGGATCATTTACATTTGAGGTTCCTCTTCGTATTGACCCCTCCTTGTCTTGGGTCCTTTTACCCCAACTACACAATATTTTGCACCTTGTTCCGTCTCCCAACGCTCAACAGGCCGATCCCGGATCAATTCAACTGAAGCGGACAAATGCACTGGTTGGACACATTGGCACACTGGCGGCATGTCAGGGGCACACTACTCTCTAGACGCAAAATGACATTGGCACAAGTCAAGTCCACTTTCACATTGTTTCTGCCACTACCAAACCCGTCACTCAAGCTCCGATTGACTTCCCTCCACCCCCAAACAACCCAAGTCCAGCGCGTGTCTACCCCACATGCAGGGTGCTATGCATGTGATATTGTGGGGTAAAATCATAGTAGACACAGTGTGAATAGAACGTCTTGGGTAAGGGTGAGGCGGCCGAACCAAAGGGGAGTAAGCCGCTCTTCTGAGACCCCATCGACGGGCGTGCTCAATGTCTCGGTCTGGTATGCTGATCAGAGCCGAGGCTCGCTTGATTTCGTTCGATTTTTATTTCTCGAACTCCTGAATGGGCAATTATAGACGCGCTTAAGTGTCAGGGACAGCTTGTACATTGCTTTGGAGTCTCTAAAACCTGCATTTTGATAATCTGTCAAAAGACCAACAAGAAAAATTAGCCGATCCAGGAGACTCTGATATCTTCGAGCGGCATTTGCACAGGCATTGAGGTACTTCCTAACCCTCGTTTTAGCAGATCGAGCTGGAACACTATGTGGCCTGCAAGTACTCGTAGCTACTGTAGCTTGAAGACGAATAGGAGTTCGGGAAAGTCGCTTAAAAGCGAAAGATGAAACACTATGAGCTGTAAGAGGTATAATAAGCGAGCTCTAAATTCTCATTGGTATTTCCAGGAGACTAATACTACTTGTAGGGAGGCACATGTACAGTAAGCCGAACATTTCCGTAAAAGTAGATCAATGTCAACGCCTCCAATAGTTACTGTACACTCAACGTGTCAAGAACCAATAACCTGATTGACCTCGCTTGCGAAAAATCAGAACCGTTGAGAAGTCGCAAATCAGGTAACGGAGCAGCTATAAAATTGTGAACCTGTACATCCTGTACACTTTTTTACGAGCATTGATACTTACTCGTACGTCTCATATTAACTAGAGGTTATGTCTATAGATCACCCGCATAGGCAGTTAAAGGTGTGTGTAATGGAGATATATAATTTCACAATACTCTACAAGTACCGGAACTATACTCGTGCATGTATCTCCTAATTCCAGTAGACTTCAGCTTTCTCATTTCAAACGTTTCTTCCGTTATTTATACATGTAGCCAGCCCATGATCGAATCTTGGAGGTGTACACTAGTTCCTGATTGTGCCATACTCTGTCTGAATACGAATATGGTCTACTGAGTGCGTGCTGTAGCCTGTATCTACTTGCACATTATATTATCCATTACCAAACCATCTAAGGTGTATATACATTAAATACGTATGGAGACCACCATGATCCCTTCACCACTGATCACACTTCGACGCAGTTGTTAAGCCGTCGCTTCTAATTTCTAGCATGAGAACAGTATCAAGTCTGAACGCATTCACACGACCAAGTTTATGCGGGGACCTTCATCGAATGATCGAATACGGCGTTCTCGTCAGTCACTTGCACTACCGCTCCGCACTGTGCGGTGACCAACCACTCGCACCTATCGTCTTCCAGTCTCACGCAGCTTTTGCTTGATTCGAGCATATTCCTTTCGAATCGTCACGTAGTTTAGATGCATTTTTCCGAGGAAATGGTCAGCCAGACGCCGGTCAGTGTCCAGACGCGACAAGTAAGCGCCACAAGGGGGACACACTTGGAGTTTTTGGTGACCCGAGAAACCCGCAACAGTCATCATTTTCGCCAATTCGCGCTCTCGTAGCGCTCGTTCCGCTCGTTTCGAGTCCAGCTGCTGCATTTCAGCCAAGGCTCGCGAGATCTCGCCCAGCTCTCCAAGCAGTTTGATTTCCTCCACACTCATAGCAATAGACCCATCTAGAGCCTCCAGTTTTTCTGTGAGTTCCCGAATCTGGTTGACTTCGTCGTGGGTCGCCTCCAGTTTCAGCTGTCCCTCTTCGATTCTTCGATCACACTCCACCACGTATTTTGCCAGTTCTCGCTCGTACTCCTTTTCCAGAGGTGTGAGATTTCGACCCTGCTCCACAAGCAGCTCGTATTCCATTCGGTGTTGCTCCAGATGCAGCTTGTTGCACGACGCCTTCTCAAACCGCATGCCCACAAACAGATCATGAGGACAGAGACCGACGGTGAAGGAGTGGCACACCTTGGGGTCGTATAGATCAATCTTTTGACGGGTGGGAATCGACTCGAGAGCCTCAGTTCCCATGAGCTGTTCCAGTAGCTTCCTTTGTTCCGCGGCCATTTCTATGCTGTGTGATGCTGTGTGATTTGTTGATTGTAAAAGAGGAATGTACTACATATGGTGATACTTGGTGGTGGATCTTTTGCAGATGCAGAAACCCAAAGTTAGATAGTTCAAACAGTCGAAGGATTGTACCATGCATTCTAGAGAGTAAGTGAAACGAAATGTATGGATACAAAGGGGGACCTTATCCTTGTAGAAATTTGCTGGAAACCTACTGAATAAAAAATTTGAGAGCAGATAAACTGCTCAAGCTCAGGATTTCTAACACCTCAGGCATCCATTTACATGTACTGTCTTCATTTTTTTTGCCACTGTCTGAAGACGTCTAATTAGTGGAAACTGTGTTTTGAGGGGTTGAGACGGGAAGAGCTTACAGTACAGTAATTAGTGAGCTTCATCCGATTAAGTACAAGTACAATATTTCCCTCAACTTCTGCATGGGCAAATATATTACTCAAAGCCCCGCCTGGAACGACTCGTACCGACTACAGTACCTCTCCTTGTCTATGTCATAACGTACACTCATACCATATGATGCAATACACGCAAGTAATCTCATGTGCACCTACCGTCGCCAGACAAACCCTAACCCTACACATGTCCAATGAATTTTGGATTCAATATTTTTTGAAGCCAGCAACTGTTATCTTCTTCTCCTCACAACCCAACACACTAAACTCCGACAAAACGACGTGCTACTGTACTCTCAGAAGCATCTTCATTTTCGCATTAACAACACAAACACAGGTAAAGTATTAACACAGATTCTTTCCCGCTTCTAAACATGAACCACAAGTGTGAGTATAACCGTGGCAACTGTCATGTCACAAAACACGTCACTAATACAGACACACCCGTGAACTCGCGCTTATCTCTGGCTCGCCCACCAGTGCAGCCTCCGCCACCTCCTCCTACGTCTGGGTCGGCGTCCGACTGGCCTGAAGGACTCAAACAGTTTGCCGCTGCGTGTTTTGCACGATGTCCTAGCGGCCCTGACAAGCCTATCATGGAGGCTCAGTTGCGTAAGGTGATCACCGAGGCGTATAACACCAATACTGCATATTCGATCGATTGGAGTAAAATGGTGCTCCCCGTTTTCCTGCCCACCAACAACGGCTACACGAATAGTAACAACAATGGTCACATGAACAACAACGGCTACAACCACAACCTCAACACCAACAATAAGAAACGACCTGCATTTGACACTAACAAGAAACAGTTCAACTCCACGATGCCCCCAAAGAAGACGAAGACCAACAGCAAGCATGGGGAGGGCTATGTGGAGAACATCGGAAGCATATCGCGGAAAGACCGACAGATGCGTTTCATGCGCGAGCAACAAGCGGTAGTCGGCAACGCTAACGCGTCCCCAGCCCCCGAAGTGACCACCGACCAGCCTCTTGTAGGACGAAGTACTGCCCTGGAGAAGAAGTACCTGCGGCTGACCTCCGCCCCTAATCCCGATACTGTTCGGCCCGTGGACGTGCTGGAACGCACCCTGGAGCTGCTGATGACCAAGTGGAAGCAGGACCAGAACTACGCATACATCTGTGACCAGTTTAAGTCGATGCGGCAAGACCTAACGGTGCAGCGTATTCGAACGACATTCACGGTCAAGGTATACGAAATTCACGCCCGTATCGCGTTGGAAAAGAGCGACCTGGGCGAGTACAACCAGTGTCAGGCGCAACTTAAGACGCTGTACGAAGAGGGCCTGCCCGGCAACCGGCTGGAGTTTCTTGCCTACCGGCTGCTGTACTTGCTGCACACACAGAACAAGCAAGAGGTTGGCGACATTTTGGTTGAGCTGCTGGACGACGAAGAGGCAGCAAACTACGAGCCTGTGCAGCACGCGCTGCAGGTGAAGACAGCCATGATGACTCGCAACTATGTAGAGCTGTTTCAGCTGTATCGAACGGCTCCCCTGATGAGTGGCTACGTGATGGACAGCTTTGTGGGGCGAGAACGTATTTTGGCTCTTTGTAAACTGACGCGGTCTTTTAGACCGACTATTCCTTTAGAAACGATTTCCGAGTGGCTGGGATTTGAGTCGGAGGGCGAGTGCACCGAGTGGTTGGAGGGGCTGGGCGTGGCGCAGTTCATGGGTCCCAAGGGTCTGAGCTCTAAAGAGACTTATCCTGTGGTTGAGGGACATCGACAGCAAGCCTTTATGAAAATCGACATCAAGGGACAGATTTAGACACGGCACAAGGAACACCGCAACGGAAGAAGAGCACGATTCCCTCCTTGGCTACTAGCTCTCGTAGTCTTTAGCAGTATTAGATAGATGCCAGATGAGAATTATCGAATGTTTTGCGTATCTGCTATCGTAACCATATTGTACCTGCATCTCTAGTATGTAAACTTGGCATGAGATAATATGAGCTATTATAATAGAGATGAGGCAGACAGGTTGAGTCTACATGGAGTACAATAGTTTGAGGTCCTTATGTTACAGTAGCTCATAGTACCACAAGTACGATAGCTGAAGTATTGCACGATCCCTGTCTACAATGAGATGTGGCTGATGAGCCCTTTTCGGCTGTTGCGCACACCTAGCTATAATTTCGATGTTATCTGGCAGAAGTTTGAATACTAAAATAGTCAGCGCACGCCAAATAACGATTGCACTTGCCACATTGGCCAGGGCTGAAGCCCCATATTGTGCCCCTTTGAATCTCAGCCACGTGTCTTTTGAGTCTCCCTGATAGCTATTTCTTCGAGGTTGGGCAACCTCAAAGCCTACCGATGATAAGTCTTCGGGGCTTGGAGCTGCGTTGCTATTAGTCAGAGATAGGTGGGAAGATATCAGAGGGCCATAAAGATGGACTTGTGCCATCCGAAGCGTTTGGTTACATAACGCATATAAAATCCGAAGTGCCATAAGTAGAAATGCTTCGACTTGTCCCACCTGTCATCCCTATCGTTCCTGTGTGTCTAAGATACCAGGTGTGGAAGTGTTAACTCGCATGGAAGAGACCTGTGCATGAATGGGGCATCTGGATGAGAAACGCGGGGCAAGTGTAAGTTAAAAAGTGAGTCAGTGGACTTCCAACATTTGGAGCTCATGTGGGTGTGTAGGGCAAGAGTAGAGAATTATGTATAACCTCTATTATCAACCGCCGGCTGTAGCCTTGTAACCACCCCCTGGTTGCTGTCCCAACAAAGCCCTCGCTTTTAGCTACTAGCACATGGATTCTGTCACGGGGTTTGCCACACTGATGCACTGTCAGTATAAACTATCAATCTTGTAGCAAGTCCCAACCCTCAGCGCCCCTACCATCGACATCCCTACAAGCGTTTGAAGCGACCGAGAAACGGGTGACTATTGCTCTCAAGTCACATTTGCCCTTCAGCTCTCACAACATCACCATGACAGACACAGACGAGTCGTCGCAATTCGACGAAGAGTCTTACCCCTCGGACGGGTCTCTGGACTACGACAGCGAGGACCAGGACATGGAAGACTCGCAGTTTTGGGAAGAAGATGAGGAAATGGAGCCCTCAAGCGACAACTTTGGCGCCATGTCTCACAGCGAGGCCATCCAAGTCGACCACACGGCTCTGGCTGCCAGCAGTCAACGGGTGCTGGAACCCGAAGATCTCCTCAAGGGCCAGGCAGCCGACGTGGCACGTGTTTCGGAACTCACGGCTCTGGAACCGTGGCGAGCAGAGCTGCTGCTATGGAAAGATGACTGGAAGGTGGACCATGTGATCACAAAGTACCTGGAGCAAGGCGAAAAGGTGCTGCGAGAAGCTGGCATGTTAAGTGACGATCCTGTGGAGTTTGTCATTTCTAAGCCTAGGCCCGATTTCATGTGCTTTCTGTGCTGCGACGAAGACAAGGCTACGTCATTCAAGCTGGCTTGTGGTCACGAATGTTGCACTGAATGCTACTCTCATTACCTGCGTGGAAAGATTCAGGAAAACGGCTCGCTGGATATCACCTGTCCCATGAACTGCAAAGAGATTGTACCCAAGCCTGCCGTCATGCTTCTGACTGACAAAAAGCTGCAAGCCAAGTATCAATCCACTCTGTGCACCCGGTATGTTCGTGCCCACAATGACATGAAATGGTGTCCCGCGCCAGACTGTGGCAAGGCCGTCAAGGCCAACATCTCCGTCACAGATGAATCCGTCATCCCCATTGCAGAGTGCAACTGTCACCAACAATTTTGTCTTGCCTGCAATATTGACGAAGACCATCTACCATGTCCTTGTAAGGTTGCAGCTCGATGGCTCGAAAAGCTGCGGGATGAGTCTGAAACCATGACGTGGATGTCTGTCAACACAAAGCCCTGTCCCAAGTGCACTAATCCCATTGAGAAGAATGGAGGATGCAACCACATCAACTGTACTCAGTGTGGCAACCACTTTTGCTGGGTGTGTTTAGGAGACTGGGCCAAACATGGCTCCTCAAACTATCAGTGCAACATGTACTCTCCCGAGCAGGCCGAGGAGGATCAGAAGAGCGTCAATGCTAAGCGAGAACAGCTTGACAGATATATGTTCTTTTACACGCGGTACAACAATCATCGAGACAGTGCCAAGCTGGACGAAAAGACGTACAAGAACATTACTAAGACAATGGAGACGCTGCAGAAGGAAGGCAAAATGACATGGCTGGAGTCGCGGTTCCTGCCATCGTCGTTCGAGATTCTCAGACAGTCTCGGCAGACGTTGCTGTGGACCTATGCGTTTGCATTTTTCTTGGACGCCCAGCCGGAGCGGGAAATCTTCCTCAAGAACCAGGAGGATCTTGAGCTGCACACCGAGGGGCTGTCAGAGCTGTTTGAGTACAAGTGGGACAGGATTCCGGGAGCCAAGGTCAACTTTCTGGACAAGTGCTCGTACCTCAAGTCCCGACGTCAGAAGCTTGTCGAGCATGTCATGAAGGGTATGGAGGAGCGCAACTGGAAGTTTTTGAACTGATCATGGGATTAAGCATTGAGATAACTGCAAATAGGAATAGCATATTTATTATTATCTGCACTGAACGAGGATGAATGGACCGTTCAGTTTTCGTAATGTGAACAATTTACTTATAGCGAGCTGAGGAAGAACGGGGCGGTTGTACGATACCATCGTACAAGCAGTAAACATGTATCTCTAGTTGTAGATATTACAGTACATACTGTATGATTAATCATGAAGAAAGTAAAAGTAGCCACTGCTGCGTACTACAAGGTATTGTACGCATGTACAGTATGTACATAGTGTACAAGTGTAAGTACAGTATGTACAGGATGTACCTATAGAATACCGACTGTGACAAGAACTTATTGCCATTAAATAATACATTCCATCTATACAATCTTAGTTCTAGTCCTTTACTTGAACCGCTTCTTTTCGACCAAATAGTCTCCTCCCTTCTCCTGCCACTCCTGTTTGCTGACCCACAGCTGATGGAACGATCCCAGGCTGCCCAAAACAGAACCGCCAATCCAAGCACCGTGTCGTCGCTCCTCCTGGTTGGAAGCAGCAGCAACTCGGACCTTAAGACCACTCAGGGCCTGGGTCACGTCCTTACTGACTCTATCACTGAGACCCTGAACCAGCGACCCTCCACCAGTGATAACAATGTTGTTAGCCAGGTGAGCCCTCACATCCACGTTGGAAGCGTTGATTGTGTCCACCACCATCTCACTGAGTCCCCGCGCAGTATCTGGCACAGTCTCTCCGTCAAAAGGGTACTCACTGGGCTTGAATAAGCTCTCAGAAGTAGACAGACGGTCTGCTCCGAAAGTTGTGCTGTAGCCCGTGGGGAACTCGAAGACCCGGTCGGCGGCTTCACCAGAGATTTCTGGAGTCAGGGGAACATCGTTCACCTGACACATGGAGTCCTTGAACTCAGAGAGAATACGAGACACCTGCAGATCAGTGAAGGAATGAGTGACGTTGGGAAGCTCCCGCTTGGTGAACACAGGTGGCTCACCCATCTCCACAGCCTTCTTGTTCTTAATCTCGAACCGAGGAGTGAGATCGATTCCTCGTGAAACAAGCACCTTTTTAATCTGTCTATCCAAATAGTCTCCAGCGTACTGTGACCGTCGCGCGGGCTTGTAAAGCACCAATCCATCAATGACAGGTGTCACAGAAGCCACTTCAGATCCTACATCCAGTACCAGTGCGTTTCCCTTTCCTGCAGCAAACGCAGAAGCCACAGCGTCCTTGACCAAGTACGATGCCGGGACCTCGAGGCTCTCGAACGCGATTTCAAGCGCCTTGAGCTTGTTGGCCTGCGTGTTCCAGCACGGCTCCGTCAGCATCAATGGGTGTGTCTTTGTGTCGGCATTGAGTCGAGCCAGCGAGTATTCCCAAATATTCTGCACCGCGTCCCAATCAGCCACAATCCCGTCGGTAAGAGGATGAAGCACCTCCATGTTGGGCAGTGGCAGATTGGCGGAGTCGCCAACCTTGTACTTGTTTAATTTTTTGGTTGTGTTGCTTGTATCGTCCTCCATCTCGACATCCTCGTCTGCCATCAGTCCACACTCTGTGGAAACCACCAGTTTGGGGGTATCTTCTCCGGCGTATCCGACTCGAGTGTACGACGACCCGGTGTCGATCACCAGGGTCGCCACCTCATCGCCTCCATACACCTGGGGGGCTGGAGCTGTTGTAGTCATGATGGGTGGTGTGTCGTCTTCAGATGGTAGTATGTATGGGGTACCAGTCTGTACGTGATATTTGATGGTGGAGAGTGTGACTGATCGTGCGTTCGAGTTTCGTTAATGCACGAAAATAACATTGGTTAGAGTTAATTAAGTCGAGGCCGAAACAAAAATTAACATGAGACTCAGTAGCACGAGACTACAGTTCGAAACGGCAACAAAAGGAGCAATTTCAAAGGCGAAAGCGCGAATATAATCTTCGAGACCGGCTGATCAAATATATTTCTCAAATCCCCACAATATCCCGTCTTGACAGTGACAAAACATTGTCCTCCATCCCAGGCACCTAGACAAACCTCCCAACAGGGTAAGGGCACCTGCACCCAATCAAAAGCCACCCTTGCTATTGCTGTTCCTCACCACACAAGGTCTGTACTGAACAGAAAAAAACCTCGACCAAACACACAATGATCAGAGCTACAGCCATGCACCGGTCAATTGTGCAGCGTCGCATGCTGAGCACCGCCTCTCGGCTCCAGCAGGCCGCCAAGCCCGCTACCGGCTCCACTGTTGGAACAGCCAATGGCGCCTCTGCTGCCTCGGGCAAGCCTCCCGGAGCCACCTTTGAGGGAGCCTCCAAGCAGAAGAAGAAGACTCACAAGTTCCGAAACTTTGTGCTGCTCTCCACCTTTGTCGGCGCCGGCGCCTTTGCCGGAGGTGTTTATTACTCCCTTCAGAACGACCAGTTCCAGAGCCTGTTTGTCGAGTACGTGCCCGCGGCCGAGCACGCCATCAACTACATTGAGGAGCAGCAGCTGCGATCCGGCCGACTCAAGATCGCGACTCCCACCTCCAAGCATGACGTTGACCAGTCCACCGTCCGAGTGCCCAAGTCCGGTGCTACCTGGCGAGCGGTCGACTCCACCGATGCTGCTACTTCTGCCAAGTCTGCATCTTCTCCCGCTGCCAACGTGGCCAAGGACGTCGCTTCCCCCGCTCCTGCTGCCACCGCCTCCCCTGTCTCTAGTGGTTCCCCCAAGACTGACAACACCACCGTGCCCGCTGTGCGACTGGCTAACGACTCTGACCCCGCCGTCAAGGCCGCCGTCCAGACCTTCAATGATCTGATCGCCGTGGCCCCCTCTGGTGCCGCCAAGCAGCTCTCCGCCAAGGTCTCCACCGTGGTCGACCAGCTGCAGCACAACGTGGCCCAGATCAAGTCTGAGGCCGCCGAGGAAGCTAAGAACTCCATCAACAAGCTCAACAGCGAGCTGGCCAAGCTCAAGGCTTCCACCGGCGAGGAAATCTCGTCTAAGGTGTCTGCCGCCGAGCAGCAGCTGCGAAACGAGTTTGCCGCTCTGCGAGCCCACTCTGAGAAGGTCTACCACGACCGTCTCCGAGTCGAGATTGAGGCCACCAAGTCCCTTGTTTCTTCTCACGCCAACAACCTGATTCAGGCCGTCGAGGCCGAGCGACAAAAGCAGTACGCCCAGGAGATTGCCGAGCGAGTCGAAACCGAGCGAGAGGGCCGTCTCTCCAAGCTCAAGGACCTCCAGACTTCCCTCACCCAGCTGCAGGACCTGGCTCTCAAGACCGAGCAGGCCGTTGACGCCTCCGGCCGAACCGCAGCTCTGCATCTTGCCATCGCTAAGCTCACCGGTGCTCTCAAGGGTTCCGAGCCCGTGGCCCTCGGCCCTTACGTCGAGTCCATCCGACGGGCTGCTGGTGACGATCCTCTGCTGCAGGCCGCTCTGGACTCTATTCCCGAGGTCGCTCAGACCGAGGGAGTTCTTACCCCTGCCCAGCTTACCATTCGATTCAAGCTGCTCGAGCCTGAGCTACGAAAGTCCTCTCTGGTTCCTGTTAACGCCGGTGTCGCCGGTCATCTGGGCTCCCTCATTTTCTCCTCTCTGCTGTTCAAGAAGAGCGGAGTGCCCAAGGGAGACGACGTCGAGAGTGTGCTTGCTCGAGCCAACATTGCTCTGGAGCAGGGCAAGCTATACGACGCCGTGGCTGAGGTCAACACTCTCAAGGGATGGCCCCGAAAGCTGGCCTCTGACTGGCTGGACGAGGGTCGACGACGAACCGAGATTGAGTTCCTCGCCGACGTCATTGCCGAGGAGGGCAAGCTGTACGGAGCTCTTTCTAGCAAGAAGTAGACGGAAGGGAAAATATACAATAGATTTTGATTATGACGGAAAGAGTGTATATATTAAGCGGGTGGGCAGACATGAACATTTGGAGAGCTTGTGCACATGCCCGTTGAATATGCGATGAAAGCTGACGCCCGATTGGTATGTAGGCCGGTCATAGCAGCGCAGTTCTAATGAATGCATAGCAACTGATCCAGTGGATGTTCATTACAGATACAGGTAATACTGTTGATGACTTTCAAGAGTCCCCATGATTGGCTCCTGCTGAAGAAAGTCAACTTGATTGAACATCATGTATCGTAGGAGAGCGATTTCGGCTCCAGAGACGAGACACTAAAGAACGAAAAGTGTCCCAGAGTGTAGTGCAGACCGAGAAGATTCAATTCAAGAGTCAATTCCAATAACCTGATCTGCCCATTGGTTCAGTCGACGTTACTTTTTTCACTCTGATGGCTTCTACATAAGATAGGTTCGGCGAGATTCGTTTCGCGCGTTGAAAGCTTGAGGCTATTATGTCGATGATCTCGAGATATCTTGTGAGCGAAGAAACATGCTGTACAGTAAATATAACCCTGAGCAGGTTCCCTAAAGTACAGGTATCTTAACAGTGAACTTTTTGAACTACTATAAACGTACTGTAGTCCGAGATACTGATACCTTTGATGTAACCATTGGTGATGGATAGGGTAATTTAATCAAGTCGACATGAAACAGTTTCAATCGGTACAACTTTCCCCCTAAAAATTGAAACCGACTTGTCCAAAAACTACATGTACTGAACTTGCTTCTCTGTTGCTTCTCTCAATATATTCATTGTGCTGTTCAAATGGCCATCTGAAGCCACCATACAACTACTCATACATACCATTGTTCTTCTGATAGAGAACCCTATTTATGATAAGTTGTAGCCATTGTTTTGATGGTCCCGAGGTGTCCCAAACAGCCACTCACCAGCCGTGTGTATTTCGATGCAGGGATAAACACTCGAGAAAACAGACAAAAATTAGAATTGAGAATCGCTCTCGGTACCGAAATACCTCATTTACCGACTAGCCGCAGTCTGAAGTTCGCCACCTTTCTAAGACATTCACCAAGCTTAAACGGGGCATAGGGCACTGAACAGAGGCGGGGAAGATGGTTAGAGGTCGCTGGTATGCTACATGTACTTTCTGGGCGATATTTTCAGCTTGAAACTGTTTGCTGACCTAAATAACCCCACCAACGATCTCTATTCCACCTCAACCACTGCCATCCATCTGCCCAGACATGTCGAAACCTTTGGAAGCTTCTGTAGTGCATCAATCATGCATCAGTATGCATACGAAACCCTATGATCGGGCATCTCCACACATATGACATCACATACACCATCTCTCTCTTGGAAGTACACAACCCAACACAATACCATTTCAGTCCACCAAAAATGTCGTCGAAAACAGCCTATGAAGATTTTCAGAGTGAGCCCCAGGATCCCCTGCTCTGTGACGCGCTAAAAATGTCACTCACCACGGCTCAGGCCTGGACTCAAATCGGTGGCATTTCGGCTGCAGATGATATCGCCACACATGTTCTCGATGGCTCTCTGGACGAGGCGAGTACTCTCAATCTGGCCGCAACGGTGTCCAATGGATACTTTTTGCTGCGACAATACATCACATCAGCTACCAAAGCCCCTAAATTGGTTAACTGGGCCACAACAACATATCCCGACACTGACGAACGAGGAAAGATGATATGCCGACGAATCCTCTTTCTGTGTTCGTCGGAGCGTATTGAGGGCTTGAATGTCGCCACCCTTGCCAAAGGCCTGGAACTGGGACTCACAGATCTGCAGGATCAGCTGGAGAAGAAGAAACAGGACAAGAACCTGCTTCTACAGCATCTGAGAGAAATCCTGTCGGGATTTGTCTGTCTCATTACAGTCTACAAGACAGTTCGAGAGGACCAGGAGAAACAGACAAGTGAAACTCTGAAACAGATTGTGCCTCATGTGCTCACTCTAGCCACTCAAAACCCAGAGCTTCTGTACCCCTGTATCCCCATTATCAGTTGTCGTCCTGATGTCGCAGTGGAGTCGCAGAAGCTGTTTGTGACGTATCTGGAGACGTTGGAGGTGCAACTCAAGCAGGTTTTGTGTGCCACCTATCCAGACATCACTGCCTTGGCTCAGCTACTCTATGGACTTGCTCCTCTGGTCCCTATCGTCACAACTGTCGATGGCGCAGAACCAGCCAGAGAGATCCTCTGTAGAGTTTTCTTGCCATCTGACGAAGACCGAAAGGAGGCCATTGGAAAGACCAAGAGTATTCCCAGCCGACTTCTCAAGGTGACAGAGGAGCCCGAGTTCCAGGACTGCAAGTTTCTGGTCAACGAGGCCCAATGGGTGCTGTGTGAAGAGAACAAGGACAAGTTCACAGATGCCATTGGCTTCGGCTATGCTGCGGGTTACCTTACTGGATTCGCCGCCTCTTCTGCCTCCACTGGACCTGCATCTAACTCTGGTTTTGGCTATGATAAAGTCACAGGACAGAAGCTGACACCTGAACTGCAAGAGCTGAAGAAGCTACAGGAACAAATCAGCGCAATGAGCCCTGAAGAGAAGGAACGGGAGGCCGAAAAACTCATGTACCTTTTTAACCGAATGAAGGAGTTGGGAATTGTCAACTTTGATCATCCCATGCGAGCTGCCCAGGAGAGTGGTCGTTTCGAGGAGCTGGATTAATCAAGTTGTCTGTGAACATAATATATTACCTATAACAATGACTAATTCTACTGTGCCCACATCAAAAACTTATTACTGCTTATTGTCGACATAAAGTACGAGCTATAATTGCCTATATACTATTTGTGTATCTGTACAGTTATCTTCTCAATCATGTATTCGTATTCATTGACTAATATGCTAATGGGTGTCCTTGTCTTTGAAAGCGCCAATCTCGTTGAGATGCTGGACCAGACGCTTATAATCGTGGAACATGGCGTCCACGTCGCCCAGAGTCAGCTCTGTGGAAGAGGTGGCTCCAACCACATTTTGCAGCGGAGGAGCAATATGGGGCATCATCTTGGGCATGAACTCGGTTTCGGACGTGCTGGAAATGCTAGTGCCTCGGGCCTCTCGGATAGGAGAGCCGGAGTTGGGCGACCGTGTGCTGTGGTTTGGTGTGGAGCTTCTGAAGTTGCGAATGACTCCGCCTAGTCGTCCAGACAGCGACGTGGGCTGCTCTGCGTCTTCCTCTGTCGCTAGGTGGTCCATGGAGATCGATCGGGGCACGTTTCCGGAGGTCGAGAGACGTCCGGAAGTGTTTGAAGCCACGGATTGCAGCGAATTTTGTGAGCCAGCGGTGGAAGACCGCTTTCGATTGCCCAGGCTACGCAGAATGCTATTGCTAGTGGAGTTGCCTCTATTTCGGCCGGAGGCAGCAGCGTCAGCCAGATTGAGCTCGGCACTGTGAGTGGAAGAAGCCGACGAGTTGTTCGAATGCTGCGACTGCTGTTCAGCCTCGAGTCCAGTGGCCTTACGCACTTCTTCGAGCGTCTGTTGCTGTGGCTGAGAAGAAAACTTGCCCATGAGGAACTTGTAGGACGTCTCCAGGGTGCCTCCCAGTGTCACCCGAATGCCGTTATCAGCCACATTGGAAACTGCACTTTGGGCATACTCTACCGTGTTCATGACACTAGTTCTTCGAGCGGCATTTGTGGGTCTGGTGGGTGTGTTATTGCCACTGGCGATCGAATGGCGCCGTGGAACTTGCCAGGGCTGAACCAGAGCGCTGATATCAATGTTGGGAGCCACGTTATCAAGGTCAATGCCAATCTCGTGGGGTAGCACACTTTCCAGGAACGTAATGGCTGCCTCAAAGTTAGTCAGACAATACAAGGATTCGCCCTGAAGACCAGAGCTTCGTCGGAATCGCTTGATGAACATGAGGTTGGCCCACAAATTGGGAGTTCGTTCGTTAACCAGAGTGTAAATGAGAGCTGGAAGCATGGAATCGGCATTGGTAGAAGCTGCGACAATAGACGTCAGAGTCTCCACAATGTTTTGTTGTGCCTGGACTAACTTCTCCAACTTTTCTCGGGGGGTGTGCGAGTTGTTCATCTCGAGAAGAATGTCTCCAGCAGGGCGCAGCATCTGCTTAAATTCGCTCTCTGAAATGTTGGGTCGTTTGTGTTTTTTGTTGGAAGAGTCTGGTTTCTCATGTTTTCCATTCTTTGGTTTTTCAGATTTGTCGGATTTCGAAGTTCCATCCTTCTGTGTTTCTGGAGTCTCCTTTTTGTTCTCAGTTTCTGGAATGTCGGTAGTGTTCTTATTCTCATCCTTGGTTGTAGTGAAGCCATCAACCTTCGAGTCTGTTTCTTTACCATCAACATCGAAGTCTGCAGTATCCTTATCCCCCTCCGAGTTCTCTGTATCCTTCTCTGGCTCTTCCTCTTTGATTTGATCCTTGATTTCCTCTCTCTTTCTGTCTTCCACCTCGTTGTCAGGAGTTACGCCACTCATCTTAAGTTCCAAATTGTCCATGCCCACTCCCACTTCACTGAGAGCTCTGATCCGGTCCCGCAGAAAGCTGTTGTGCGCCTTGTCGGACGAGATGGTCGACGACATGATGAACAGCTTATCGTAGACAGAATCGCACACCAGGTCCTCTGCCAGCTGGTCGTACACCCCCACCTGCACATCACGTGCCTCCCGTTGCTTCTTGCGGGCCGCCATCTCCTGGAACGTTTCCATCTGCTGATCCTTCGTCCTCTCCAGGGCTGCTTGTGCGCAGTACTGCGTGGCCTTTTCGTGAAACCGCGCGTAGAACTTGTGGAACAGGTCCGAGATTTCGTCGGGCTTTAGCGGCGTGGCATACTTGCGTTCCAGTAGAGACGTCAGAAACTCCTGGGTGTGGCGAAGAAGAGGCAACGGCAGCTGTGTAGCATCCAGACCTTGAGTAGACGGATCTTCTTCGTTGCTGTGTTGCTCTTCGGATGTGGTAGGCACCTTGTCCACACTCTTGTCATCCTCCGTGGGGCGAGTTTCTCCCTTGTCTTCCTCCGTGCCTTCAGTGCCGGTTGTGTGTGCTGATAGCAGGGCCGAAGAGCCACTGTCGTCGTCGTTGTCGTCCATTCGTACCATGCCTCGCTTGGTGGTGCGCGAGAGCAACGACTCGGAAAATTCAGACATGCTGTACAAGTAGTGCTGGTTTTTTCCGCAGGTTAGGATAGATGGGTGTGCTGTGCTGTGCAGGACACATTTAACCTTGTGATAGAGTTGCTGCGGTTTGGGTTGTTTAAAAAACAGGGAAAAATAGAGGGCGATAGACCGACTTTGAACGTGAAAATGGAGGGTGCCTGGGAGCCAAGTATTATTTTTGAACGTTGCTGACTCATGTAAACACATGTGCTTTATTCTGGCTACCTTTCAACGTCCTCTGAGCCGTATAACTCCTCCATATTACACACTGTTGAGGCTAAGCCACAAACCCAACTAGTTGTAGACCACGGCTTAGCATGACCATAGCATGACTAGCTGGACTAAAACTTCTGGCTAGGCTCATTTGGGTAAAGGTCAAATAGATGACCAATAGATGTCGATAGAGGTTTTTGTTTACAGTCTCCATCACCCATATAATATGTCGACTTTCCTTCCATGTCTTTTCCCTTGGCCCCACATTTCAGCTCGTGTCTTTAAATACCCTACACCCCTGTTTCACGCTGGGATGTCCATTCTAATCTGCTCCTTCATACTTGTGTTCACGTCTGCAGGGGACGTGAGAATGGGCGGCTTGTATTATGTGGGCGATAGGCACGGTAGAGACGGGGGAAAAGAGGAGATTTTGGATCTTATTTGGCATATTAGGGGTCCCTGAGGCCATGCCATAATCTTGGTGTATTTATTTCGCTCTAAACGACTTGCCATGGCCACGTTTCCAGGAGCTATTTGCTGGGGATTTTCACACCTGCATAGCTCTTTTTTCTCCCGACGTGCCAAAGTTCTATGCCACCTAAACCATGCCGTTATAACCGAGATAAGATAAACGCTATACTGTTGGGATGCATGACATCATGTGCGGTTAGAAGACGCAGAGGGGGCATGACATGGGAACATGAGAATGACAAGGAAGCGACACGGAAACGACACATGTGGAAGCTGGAAATGCAGATAAGAGCAATTGGTTGCAAAAAACTCGATATATATCCAGCCCACAGCTAATCGCAGACGGCTCATAGATCAAGTCCCGCTGAGACATGAGGTATTTGCTTAACTGCAACCATGTGTACAAATACCTTCAAGCTTGGGTCATCTGGATACCCATGAGGCTCCAATACTTCAAAATTAAGAGTCGGGCAGTTGAGGTATATGATAAGAGGGGTCTGAGCGAAATAACCCTCAACTAGCTACCGGCTGGCCGCCCCTAATCTATCCACACACTCCTCCACATGCTCCCCACACCAGCCTACCACCCCGAAATTAACCGTTGATCGCCTTTCTTATTCCCCATAGGGTTAGATCTAAGCCTCGACTATCTGGAGTTAAGTCGACGTGTTGGAATGGGAGTCTCCATTCCTCAGCTGAGCCTTTTCGGCACCCGTGAGAATGTGCGAGACTCTGTTTTCAACCCGCCAACGGCGAAACAGACGGTCATTGTGGACATCTCAGAGGCAAGCTTCTTTCAAGAGTGGGTACTCGAATAAGGAAGCTTTCGCTACTGTAGCTGCTCGTAGTGGGCTTTGTTGGACCGTGTCTCTCTTGAACGTCACAGTCACCAACAGTCAGTCAAGTTAAGTGCGTACGAGAGCTCCTCCAGCTACTGTAGAGTATCAGAGAACGACCACTGTAGAAGTGCTGGTGAAGCAACTTGTAATATAGCGGTGCCATCTCAACTTCATCCTTCTGTCAATCCTTTTAATCTGTACAAGTTGACTTAGCTGTGTGGTCAGCTTAAGACACCAACACTACTGCTTCTGAGGAGCCTAGACTACAACCCACCCCCTCACTAAATGCATAATTTGAACCAGCGGGTCCAGTAACTGGGCGTCTGGGCAGTTCCTCGATGCTGCAACTTGTCTGAACGTCTCCTTTCTTGAGATCACACGGCTGTTGAGGGACTCCTGGTAGCTAGTTTAGGAACTGATTTACGAATTATTAACAGCATGTAGTAGCCTACATTGTACCTGTACCTTACGAGTACTCGTATCCCCCGCTAACTACAATCTCTAGTAATCCTCAGTTTGACCTTGCCAGATGTCAAAGGAGGGGATGCCCATTGTAGTCACAGAGCGACCCATATTATTAGCAGGTATGTACTGTACCTTACTTCCACACGTATCATTATTGGGATGAAACACACCAATCTCACGGTAAATTACAGGTTCTCGTAATGTACTTGTACGGAACTGCTTTGTTATGTTGTAGGTCACGGTTTGGTCTTCAACTGTACAGCTCGTACTTCTAGAAAATAGTGCCTACAAGTAGTGCCTGCATGAACCTCATCAGGCAGAATTTTCATAAAATTGTTTCTGAGGGATATCAAAAGCAATTTCCCAGAAAGAAAAACTCGAATTAACTAAATCAAACCATGTGATATCCCCTACTAGCTCGATAGCCTCAACCTCCGATTCAACTGCTCAATATGATCTACTTCATGCAGACTCTTCTAGAACATACGAAGGACTTAATCTGCCTGCATGTGTGTCCAGAGGTAAGACATCACACGACACATTACACCGGATGACAGGTTAGTTCCACGATAAATATAACCGAAAAAGTCTATCCAGATAACCCAGATCTACCTCACAGTCGCAAAAATACACCACTTATTCCTTCAAACCATCGGGTAAACACCAGATCCAATCTCTCGGGCTCATGCATTAATCATGCACTATCCGCCTGCAGCAACTTACTCCAGTACAACTACAGTCCGAGACAGATTTCTGTTGCCGCCCTGAAGATGGACAGGAAACCAATCCGAATGCTAGGAACCCGGCTCAAGCGGACGCGATCGCGGGACGAACAATCGAATGTCAAGCGTGCTCGTCTGATGGATGCCTTTGGGCGTCTCAATCTAGGCGATCGAATGGACGACGGTTCACTATCTCGACACAACAATGGGGGGGTTCCAGCAACAGCTCAGGACTCCTTGGAAGATGATCTGTTTGAGGAGAACCCCCATCAAATCGATGACAGTGACTACATGGACACTTCCAACAAAGACACAATTTTCATCCCTAGCATTGAACGATACTTGGAAGACAACCCCGATCCCGTGGATATTATCCCCAGTCAGCAAAATGGACAGTTTCAGATACTTCCTACAGAACCGCCAACACCAGATATTCTCGCCCGCATTTCTCAGAGACACTTTCAAAAGGTGTTGGACGGTTACACACACGAGGCACTGGTGCCTTACCAGGGCGGCCCTCAGACAATAGTGTGGGATAAGTTCTGTCGATGGTGGCTTGGAGATCAGCCCAGAAGGGATGATACAACCATGAGCCAACAACAGCAGTTTTACGGCCAACAGTTCCCGAATCAGTTCCCGAATCAGTTCCCAAATCAGTTTGCGAATCAGTCTTCGGACCAGTTCTCAAACCAGTTCCAAAATCAACAGGCAGGTCTGTTCCACAATCAACAATCTCCAAACCAGTTTGGATTAGAAACATGGTCAAATACCGGCACGAGACACCACTCAGAGGCCATAGACAACGGAGATATGGATATGGATGTGGATATGGACGAGGATCTGCCAGGGTATACCTTCTACGGCACCAGCGACTTTACTAGCCCAGATACCGTGGTGGGACAGACCGATCCGGACTATATGATGGACGACGATGCCCCCATGGATGGAACCAGGAGAAACTCGTTGCATTAATCGGCTCTTCTGAAGTGGGCGTCTACTAACTGTACATACTGTAATAACATAGACTGTATACCTATCAGATGGTATACATGTATAACACCAAGTGACACGACCCTGTAAGCGAGCCAGTGTAAGACATATAGCTACCCGTACGGTCCCCCGATCCCTCAAATCATAACACAGCCTTAAAAATATATGCTACACCTAAAATACACAATGCCCACATCGTCTTCGGACGCACCTCCTGGTGGTGGTTCAAGTTTTCAAACGGGTTGGGTGCAAGACGCGCGACGCTCAATGCATAAAGAGCGATCTATAATAGTTCGAACCGCAGTTTATACAGATAGTACCAAACAGACAGTTTGAAGCCCGCTTTGAACAGCCAGAAACGCGAAATTTGACTCCAGCACTCCCAAAGGCCACTCTTAACTAGCGTACAAAACTAGCTTGTTCTTTCCGTACACTGCAGCGCCCAGATCCTCATCGTTGCTGATAACCACCCGGCTACCGTCATCTGCCTTGTACAGTAGACTCAGCGTCTCGACCCGTAATCGCTCACACAACCGGTCGTGTAGAGTAGCGTAATCGATGTCCGAGGGTACTCGAATCGCAATCAGATCGTCCTGATAGAAAACCTTCACCTTGACCGAGTTAGATGACGACTGCGGCGTATTGACGGCGGGGTTATCGGGCGTGGGACCCACCGTGGACACAGAGGTCATTCGCTGGTGTCCGCCGCCGGGGAGTCCGGTGGGTTCAGGAGGACCCATGAGACCCGATGCAGTGCTCACAGGCCGAGACTCCTCGGTGCCTTCCGAATAGCTTACGCTGCTGGAAGACACATTAGTCGGCCCCAGAGATTTGGGATGAATGCCCTTTGCCCGCGCCTCGGCCTGAGCGGCGTCAAACGACTCGGTCTCCGGCGTCAGAGGCTGTGGAAGGTCGTCGGTGGGACCGGCGGCCGCCACATCACCAGGGCGGAGAGCAAACAGCTCCTGCATGATCACAGACCGTGAAATATAAGCGGGAAGAGCCATGAGCTTGCGGACGTACTCGTCAAGGTTGTGACGTCGCTGCATGGAGATGGAGTCGTTAACGTAGGTAAGAGGCCCGGGCATGAAAGGAAGCAGACGAGGCTGATCATTGTGACCAGCAGCCTCTTCGAACACCCCCAGCAGGTTGATTTGGAATACGTAGAAGTCCTGGTAGTATCGGCACAATCGCCGCATGGAGCCGTCCTCCAGCTCTGCGTTGACGAGGTACCAGTATCGACCCGAGTGTAATGCAAACGACTCGACGGACGCCGCTACAACGAGAGGTCCAGTGGCAGGGGCAGCGTAATTTTCCCGGAGAGCCTGCTGTTCCCGGAGAGCCTGCTGTTCCTGCAGAGATTGTCTTTCTTGCAGAGTCTGGTGTTCCTGTTGAACCTGGTGTTCCTGCAGAGTCTGCTGTCCACGCAGAGCATGCTGCAGAGCCTGCTGCTGCGAGTGTTGCTGGGGGTCGTCAAAATTGCCAAGAGCAATGCTGGACGCCTTGTAGTCTGCTGCCATCCTTTTCCACTCTTCCACCTTGGGCAAGCCAGAAGCCCGTAAGGCAGACTCCACGTCGACAACCGCCTTTCCTGTCACTATGTCTCTGATCTCGATAAACGAGGCAGGGATCAGACCGGGGCCTCCCAGTCGGCCAACGGGCTTGGCAACAAACCACTCGTGATTGGATTGGGCCTGAATGATGATGTTATCGCCCTTGGATGCTTGCAGCTCGTCGGGCCGCTCGGCTTGGAAGTCGTAGAGCACCACGCCGTGCAGAGTGGGGGTGCTCTTGCCCTGCGACGATCGGTCGGATGCGCCCGCCATGGAGGGTTCTCTGGTGTGGCCTCCGGAGCCAGATGCGCCCCCTAAACTGAGGTTCTGCATGGACTGTGAAACGTCTAGCCCATTGGCCAGAACATGTTGAGGTGAGTGCTGAGCATGCTTGCTCTGACTCGATCTGTGCAGCGCCTTTCGTTCTTCGGGGAGAAGAGCCTCATTTGGGTCGGGCGAGGTGATACCCTCCTTCTTGCCGAGAACCTCAAAGTAAGGCACGGGCACCATGCCTCGCACGTTGCGCAGCGGGTTGAAAGCCTCAAACCACTCCGAGTCCTGTTCGTTGGAAATCACGTGGAAAAAGTCGCCCTTGCAAAATGAGAGCTCGCCGGGTCCTTGTGGCTCGTAGTCGTAAAGTGCTCGAATCACCATTTTCGGGGGGTTCGTGTGGAGCGGGTTTTTGTCGCTGACCAGCGAGTTGGCCGAGCCAGACGACGTGGTCTTCTCGCCTTTGAGAGAGCGGCGGATTCCCTGAGTTAGTATACGGAACCGAGGGGCCGTGCGTCAGGAGCTAACAGCAGCCGGCTTCTTGTGTCATGACGTAAAAAACAAGCCCATAACAACACCAAGTCTGTGGTGACAAGGATGTAAAGAGTCATAAAACAGCCTTTAGGAGGGATTGGTGAAGTGATGGGTATATCGATGGGGTAGCTCCGGTTGGAAGGGTGTTTCTGCTCGTATGCCCCAGGCCTGGAAACAGAAACAAAACGAGCTTGGAGCTTCTATCTGGTCAATGATTGCGTAGTCAACACTGAATATGGGTCCGCTGAATACACGGTCCATGCCCCTGACTAGCGCCCGGTTTAGTTGCTTATCATGGACATGGCAATCACACTGTGACAGCCCCAAAGCTACCCCAAAGCCACACAGAAACGATGAAAACAGCGATGCAGAACATTTAATACCAACGTAATCTCCAGTTCTGACTGTTCCCATGTCCACCATTGCTCTTTCTCCATTTCCGTTCATGTTTCCTCTGTGACAGCATGGGGTCTCCACTCACGCCACAGCACCTTCCTAGGGGTGTAACGACATCTGGAGACATGCTGGGTGTCCAGCGAGCTTCGTGGACCCATCACACACCCTCAGCAGTCCGCATACGGCCTCCAAACAGCCGTTAATACTCACCTTGATCATTTCTCAAACGGTAGGGACGACGGATACTGAAACTGTGTTTGCACTTTGCCTTTGAAACCTTAGCACCACAGGGATGATTAGTGGGGTGCAAGTGGGAGGAAGGTAGTGAGTATAACTTGTGTGAATTTCAGGAAAGCCCAAAAGTGATGGAGGGTGTGTAAATGGGGCTTGCCTGGTTTATTTATTTTTGAAAACAAACTTGGCCTCGATATTTTCAGACCCCCGCTTTCCTCTCTCTCTCATTCTTCTAATACCCCCTTTATATAACCACACTGCCCCATGGGCAACATGTTGGCCTCATTTGATCTTAACCACACCCACTGGAAGTTGGAGCTTACCCTACTTTCATGTCCGTGGTGTCATAATCTGTCATGCGGTGGTGCTGCAAAGATATCTGTGTGTTTAAATGAGTGTGGAACGGTGCATGCAGACGACGACTCAGCCGTGCCAAGCCCGGATTTGGCTTTCTCCAGAAATATCTCTAGGAAGGGGTAAATGAGGAGTGGAGTCCCTCGAATCTGCTGGTGGTTGTTTTCTTGTCATACAAAGTCATGATTCCATTTAGCGGAGCTACTTACGCCCGGCTGAAGCGAACATGCTGGATGATCGCCACCGCGGTTGTGTCTACACCCCTCGCATCGACTGGCACTTTCGGGCTGGATCAATATTGGATCCATTTTGGGCGTTTAGGTTATGTAAATGCACTGTGCCGAAAGAGGTTGAATGTTTGTTCAAAAAGAGATTGAAGATGCTGCCAAAAAGTGTCGCCATATTGCCATGTAACGTACTTTTACTTGCTGAATGACCCCGAAATGAAGCTATTTACCCATCCAACACTCTTGGTCAGGAAGCCCTTTTTCGTTGTACTCAATTGTCCTGTCCTTGGTGGCCTATTTTTAGCCCCGTAGGCTTTAGCGTCAATAACGCTGTTCTGAAGACTTTTTCCTTCCTTAATATTCTTATTTGACAGAAAATGTCCACTCCTCCGCGCAACTCTGTTGTGAAACAATGGTGAAACGCTGCTGCGTAGAGTGGGAGACAGGGATCCAGGCCGTCTGAGTAACACCCACGTTTACAAACCCACACAGACATTCGCATTATCTCGGGAGCTTCATAAGCCAAGTGGCTGCCATGAAAAACTCTTTGTTGGTAGCCGTTGATTAGGGCAGTTTTGACGAACATTAGCGTGGGGGGCAGTACATACCATACAAATACAGATCTGTAACACGACTGAATTGTCCAGGAGAGAAAAAGAAATTCTTGCAGAGGAAGATACTGTGATACACATGGTTGTCTCGGCTGGTGCGGAGAGAGATCTGGAACACCGGACGAGCCGCCAGTGAGGATTGCTTCCGCAGTATGTACTGTAAGTACTGTACCGTTAAAAGCACGAGACTCGCAGACCTAAAAATAACAGTCAAGGCTTTGCAACCAGCCTAAGCCTTGCCAAGTTACCACCTTCTACCTATACAGCACTTTCTTAGATTATACGAGACTGGGGCGTGTCGTGTGCCCTGTGCTGGCGCTTCGGACAATTCTTTCGATAACAGAACCTTCACTTGATTGGAGCACCTTGGCCCCCTTCGATTCAAAACGTACCGGCTGATGTAGTTCCTGTTCTCTTCCTAGCTACGACGAGTCTGACGAGTATGTATAGCAAGTATACTGTAGCAGGTAGTTTCATGGCTGATGACCCTGGTAATAATATCAAGGGTTATATCTCCTATATGACGAGCAAGATCGAGGGACACACAGAGTCCTTTTTCCTGTACTCGACACGGGGACTCAATGACTTGGCTTTAAGACTTCACTTCATGAAGTGCGCCTTCGACGCACTGCTGCTACAGGTAGTGCTGACAGAGGAAGGGCTTTCGGACTGGCACAGTATGTACTCACCCGTTATCGGCTCCTCTAGTCGTACAAGAGGACTGGGTGCCATGACTGGAACTTCACGTCATGGATGTGGTTGGATTCATTAATTGATTCATTGTATTGGAAAACACTATCGTTCTTTTTTTTAACTGATGACTACAGACAATGCAGTATGAACATACCTACCGAACATCGATATTGTACTGAGATTAAAATGTGGCTACTGTAGTGAAAATGAAGAACGAACTAGTTGCGTGAGTATATGGATACTTCAAAAACACGATGCCATTATCTTTTTCATTTACGGCTGCAATTTAACCCACCGATTCAAAGTACATCGATTCGAATCCACCCCAATTGACTATTCAGACCATGGGTTAACTACTAGTAGCTCGAGATGACGCAACGATCATCTTCACCGGGCATTGAATCTACGCACAGCGTGGGTTGGAGGTCATAAACATTCGAGAAACATGGAACGAGATCGTCTGAATAAGCAGCCCACCACAGAACACAATGGCTCTCTTTGACCTCATTGATATTGGGTGTACCCACCTACTCAATCGGGTGTCGATGACACCTCTTACTTTACTACTCTCTGTCCACGATGGAGTGCCTTCAAATATTCCGATACCGTACATACTATGTTCAACGATCGCACAAATCCGGACGCAGATGACTTGGAAGCCAACTATGTGTTTCCTGGTGCTAGACACTTTCCTTAGAGTCAGCGTCTGGACTGAGAAACAGATAAGGCCGTGGGAAGAGCTTTTTGTCGTTCTCCATGCTAGATAGTGCAAGTTGTACGTGCCATTGAGGGTTGTGGGACAAACTGTCAGCTACCCGGTGCTGCAGACTTTCCTGTAGTGGATCCCGCTGCTATTGTTCAGAAGATAGATCAAGGCTGTGAGTGAGGACGAGATTAAGCAGAAGATCTGCCATTATGCGATAGCAGCCGAAAAAGCCATTAAAGCTGAAGCCGGCGGAGTTGAAATTCCCGAGGCTCAGGGATACTTGCCGGATCAATTCATCCACTGGAACTTCAAGGAACTGATGAACCCATACGGAAGAAGGAATGAAAATAGATGCAGGTTCAGTTTGAATATTGTTGATGCTGTTTCGACGGCTAGTAGGACGGCCAAGACTGTCATTCGACTTTCTCCCTGGGCTTGTGTGCAGGATATGGCTGCTCACCAAACCAAGTCTTCGCCAACGTTCGTATTTATTTTCCGAGAACTCCAAAAACGAGCAGGTCATCATGGTCAGAAGCTCGCGTTTTTGCATCTTGTTGATCTCCGGATCTAGGTATCAGTCGAAAAGAGCAGGAACAGAAAGAGTGACAAGTCCATGAGCCATTCAGAGAGACTTGAAAGGACCTCTAGTGGAAGCAGGAGGTTTTAGTCAGAAACCCCGGAAGTTTGTGAGGAATACCCGTTGACTCTCGTTGCCACTGGAAGATACTTGATCAGCATTCCTGACTAGGTCGAGAGACTCGAGAAGATGAAGATATTCACTCCGTACAACATCGACACCTTTTACACGACACTGACAAAGAGTGCTCCACTGATTATCCTTTTATCCAAGTAAAAGTATAGAAGAAATACTACGAATCAGGTCGCCATCATGGTACATTTTTTTAATGGAATAAATGGTGTTTTTAATGGAATAAATTCCGGTATTTTTTCTACAGACAAGATCATTAACTGATAATTAACTAATTTATCAACTAATTAAGCTCATTTACTCTAGTGACAAGTTGTATTGTAATAAGACGCGTAAAAAATAAAACTAGTAAACCACTGGGTGTTAATAGAAGCAGATAACTGAATTCTCGTAATGAATCAGCCTCTACAAGCCGTATTCTTTTCCTCAAAGTACTGATACCTGCACATACTTGTACTCGTACACCGGTACTGTACTCATACTTGTATCGTTCGTAGGTAGTAACTGCACAACTCTGCACTCAACTTAAAGCATACATTATCAGGCCCAATCAAGTTCGATCTCCCCTTACCCTGGCTCTATAGCTTCTTGCTGTCAAGCCACAAGCCACAAGCCACAATGAGTTAAAGCAGTTTAGCGAGACGGGGAGAGAGCACGATTGTGGCTAGTATGACTAGTTACATGGTGGTCACGTGATCTCTTAATAAACAAAGTCCCTGAGGGATTGCGCCCCTACGCTCTCCTCCTCGTACCACCTATCCTCTCTCCACCCACATCACATGACATGACGTCCCAGCTGCAGCTTGCTTCTCTTCTCTAACATGCTTCGACTACGGCAACTTCATCACTTGACGAACTTCAAAACCAGCAGTATGAGCCAATATTCCGCCGAACTCAAGGTCGCCAAGGACGCTGTGCGACGAGCCAGTGCTCTGGCTGCTTCAATCGCTTCCACCATCGCCACAGACACATCTGGACAGGTGACCAAAAGCGACACTAGTCCTGTGACTGTTGCGGACTACGGAGCCCAGGCTATCATCATTGGAACCATCAAGAAGGCCTTCCCCAGTGATCCCGTGGTTGGAGAGGAGGACGCCGACGTGCTTCGAAAGGACGAGGGTCTACGAACCAAGGTGTGGGATCTGGTCAAAGGCCATCGAAGCTCCTCCGCCGACGCCCTCGACGACACAAACGCTATGCTCGACGCCATTGACTGGGGCAAGTACGAGGGAGGCAACACTGGCCGAATGTGGGCTCTTGATCCCATTGATGGTACCAAGGGATTCCTTCGAGGAGGTCAGTATGCCGTTTGTCTTGCTCTGATTGTTGATGGCCATGTCAAGGTCGGTGTCATTGGATGTCCCAATTTGAGCACGATCCCCACTCAGGTTGCCACTCAGGAAAAAAAAGATCTGGGTGTTCTTGCTAGCGCCATCAAGGACCAAGGAGCTTTCATTGAGCCCCTCAGTGGGGAGTCAGACCCCTCTCCCATCCACTTCCGACACCTCCACAACACTGCCGAAGCTACCTTCTGCGAGTCTGTCGAGGCCGGCCACTCTTCCCATTCCGATCAGGCACAGATCGCCCAGAAGCTCGGCATCACAAAGGAGGGCGTTCGAATGGATTCCCAGGCAAAGTACGTGGCTGTGTCGCGAGGACAGGCCGACATCTATCTCCGACTGCCTGTCAGCGCCACCTACCAGGAGAAGATCTGGGACCATGCCAGTGGAAACATTCTTGTTACCGAGGCCGGAGGAACCGTCACCGACAAGGACGGCAACGCTCTCAACTTTGGCGTGGGCCGAACCCTCAAGGAGAACAAGGGCGTGATTGTGGCCGAAAAGTCCATCTTCCCTAAGGTGCTGGAGGCTGTCAAGCAGGTTCTTGGTTGAAGGAAAAGGGTAAGGCTAGTGCAAGGCTGAAAGAGAATCGGCAGTGGTTGTATATACATTATTGAGTATTGAGAGTTGAAGATGATATGTGGACGTACAAGAGTTGCATTATGGGCCTGTCCAAAGACGAGACTGCGATATCGGAGCTGCGACTTGTGGGAGATAACATGGAGTATGGCTTTGGTAGATGAGCTTTGGTAGATGAGCTTTGGTAGATGAGCTTTGGTAGAATGACAGTTTTGTAGCAATGACCCTTTTACTGCCCACGATTCACTTTGACTCTACAGTATATCATTATGAAGATCCATGAGCAAGCCCTCCATAAGGAGAGCCTACAAGTACATTACCGATACTTGTATGTCAAGTCGTATTCTGAACATCAAAGGAATGTCTTAGTTGTGAAGTCACGACGCTCAGTTATATCGAGAGAAACTCATAGTTGTCGGACAAGACCTTTGATCCCCTTAACCGGTTCTGCTGTTGGTTTTTATTACATAACGATGTCGATTAACTGGTTTTTACTGGCTCGATTCCAATTGCAGATGGTCTATCTATAAGAAAACTACATCCAACTCTCGGATACCCTTACAGAATGTACACCAATATTGTACGGCAGTGAACACTCAACCCTTCAATGTACACGGTAAATGGTTCACTTTTGAAGCTTTGAATGTTAGCTATTTCCGGTGCAGTGTACCTTGGTTCCAGCCTCCTCTACGACAAGTATGGCAGTCCTCAACATCAGCCACCCTCGGACATTGGACACTGGTCTCGTGGCTAATTTCCGATTGTGGCTTGTGTGCCTGGCTTGTCTGGAACTCTAATATTTTTTCGACGTTATTTCCAGGAGCCGATACAATAACAAGCCGAAAAATTACATCACATGCATAATTAGGGGTCTGGAGTTGGTTGAGCCGAGATTTCGGGGTGTCCAAGAGATTGCACTGAGAGCGAGCGTACAGGTGGCGTGTCCCATGGGGGTCACGTGACGTCTCATCGTTCCGATCTCTCCTCTCAGGTTTATCCAGAGCGTGTTCTTTCCCTAAACACGAAACGCGTTTTCAATTAAACGTCTCGGAACACACCGGCTGAGCGGGAACTCTAAGTAGCCGGTTCGGCGTTCTAAAGTTCAGGATCAAGAGAAACTTTTAGCTTAGCTCAACTCTTTGTTTGAGCTTCGGTTGGTGATTAGCCGGTCGGAAAATGTGCCAAAAAGAGTGCCAAAACCAACACTTTCAAAGTGTTGAGTTGATCTGTGATACAAGACAGATAATAGATGGAACCGCTTGGGCAAATGCCCGAGAATCTTGTACAATTTCTAGTTCATTTATGCTGATTTTATTCCCTATGGTTCTCGCAATGCCAACTTTGACTGCGCTTGTACTCCTAAAACACCTTCCTCGGTTTTCGCCGTTCTCGCACATCTTCCAAAATCCACCTTATCCCCCACATCCAGCAGCACGTACACATGCGGAAATACCTTAACCATCTCTCATGATCGTTTGGACTGGATTTTGGATGGATTGGGTGCATTAGTGCCGGAGTTAGAGCGAAATGTTGGAATGCGACATTTTACACTCAACTAAACAACATCTATTAGTTGGCAACCTTAACTATTACTTAAAAGTAACTGTAACTCCACTGTCTAAACAGAGTGCACTGTATATATTCTGGAACCAGATGTGCCGTTTGTCAGGGGAGGGAGGAGGAAAAACAAATAACATTCAATTTAGATACCGACACGAAACGTTTACAGGGCTGTATTATGGCTGGTACAGGGTTGTCATTTTAATGACTCACCTGTGGTGGCCAGTAATCGAACACGATAGTATTGTATATACAAGCTGAATATAGCCATAGGGGGAGCAGATAATAGCCTTGACTAATCAGCACGTGAAGCAACTGTTATGATGTCTCAGCAACTGTCTTTGGATGACGTGTGTTGTCTGGTAAAAGGGGTGTCTTACTTCGGATAATCGTTCGGTTGATTTATATATGCACAAGAATAAGTAGACGTTGACAAACCGAGGAATATGAGCGCCATTGGATCCGCTCTTGCAGTAAATTGACACAATTGAGTCACGTGTATCCAATGGTTACCACGTGATTTCGCTAGCTCCACTACAATATCTCATGTTACCCTCTTGTCCGTGTATCAATGTCTCACCTCATCGCTATGAACGTTGCTACAAGCACTTGGTTTACACGTGATGCAATAACTGCTGGACAGGCGTCGTCACTTATCCCCAGAGAACAATAGAGCCTTGTATTGTCGTTAATATCACAGCAGTATTTTTCTTTATTATATTCGGCGCTAATTAGCGTCGCATGTCTGGATTGCCAAAAGAATTTCGGAAATATCCGCTGGAGAGGTCGAGAGGATAAAAACAAAACTACGAGGTCACAGGACTCAATGATCGGTCAGTAACGCAGCCGCGATCATGTCCACGTTGGCCCTTGTCTTTCAGATCCTTCTTTTAAACTCATTGAGTGGTGTTTTGATTTTCTGATTTCTTGTTTAAATTTTTTTCCACTATCGAAACTCAAATGGCTCTTTGTCCAGACAACAAATAACGAAAAAAAAGGCCGCAAAAGCATGTTGCTCAGGCGTCAGTCAAAAAACAATGGGGTTTGGGAGAGAACTTCACGTCGCAGTCACGTGAGGGATCTTGACGCGGTATTAAGGAGTTGTTTGGAGAAATGGTTTCTATAATGAGATAGGGGAGTCTGAGTCAAACAAATAGTACTCCATGTTGTTCTCTGTGGCCGATTGTATTAAATTGGTAACCTTCTTGTGGTCACGAAGCAAATTGGGTCTGTTAGAAGGGCTGAAAATTTGTTAACTACAGATCTCTACCTCTGTTAGCTTTTAGTTGGGACCTTACTTGAGGTATATGCAGTAGGGACGAAGTAGAACCTCTGATATACAGAACAAAAAAGATCCGAAATACTATGCAAAAGCTCAAAGACTCTCACAAATGAATTTATCACCCCTTAAAATATAAATCACCCCCAGTGCGTGCTTTTTTACTCCCTAGAGTCCAATATCAATAGATGAATCTTCACAACAAGAACAGTCCAAGAAGACACTGCACAACCCATCAGGACCACCTCGGACGGTCTGGATTCAGTCGTATCTATTTGATTCCCTCCAGGACGTAGGGAGATCAAGACTACTACTGGTTGATCTGACGCTACGCTCTATTACATCGTGGAAGAAGAAACACAGGGTGTGCCACTGATCTCACACCCTCGAGCCGCGCTCTTGTGTGATGGGATCCACTCCATGTTTTCGTGCTTCGCTCTCACGCACTTTCGTGTTCTTTGGTGTTATAAATAAATACATTAAGCAATAATTTGCTCATCTAGATCGTAAAAAATATCCTCCAGATTCAGCTCCTTGGGCTGTGTGATTCCCGAGTCCTGCCATTCCAGATCGTCGGGCCAAAAGTCCAAGTTAGGCTGCGAAATGTCCAGACTCAGGCTCATGTCGAGGCTCATGTCCAGAGTCGTTGCTGGAGTCAGCATCATGTCCAGCGATGAGTCGGTCGACACGTCTGACGACTTGCGTTTTGTGGGGAGCGATAACGACGAAGGAGATATGGTCGTGTTGACGGCGGCTGTGGAAGAGGCCTTGGTGTTGGAGGTGTTAGCGGAGGCTGTCTTGGAGGCTCGTCGCACGACTGACGGTGTCTGTGTGACGGCCGAGGGGGCAACCGTGGTGGGCACTGCGGCGCTGTTGGCGGACGCTCCACCCACGGACTTTGCTCGCTTTTTGGGCCGGATAGGCACCACGGGCTTGGGGAGCAACGGACGCAATACCGGAGCGGGAGCAATGGCTATGGGGCCATTGGTGGCCACGGGAGGGGACCGACGGCGGTTAGTCTGCGTTTTCTTGTACAGTTTGGTGGGCGGTTTTTCCGACAGTTTTCGCGCCAGGCTTTGTGCCGGGGTGAGGGACTTGCCCGAGGCAGACGGCGCGCCAACTGCGATAGACGTGGTTGCTGCTGTTGTGGTGGACACTGTGGTGCTAGCAGTAGCGGTGATGGTGGTGGTGGTGGTGGTGGTGGGAGCAGCAGTGATTAGAGGAGCAACGACGGTAGCTGAACATGTGTTTGTGTCGGTTATGTTTGTGTCGTCGACCAGGCCTTCGACAAAGCCCGCCAATTGGGCCTTGAGAGAGGCCTCGGTGTCGGTTAGTGATGAGTCGTCCGTTGGGTGGGCCGGATTCGAGGCCGATGTGTTTGTGTCTGCCGGCGAAGACACGTCGCTCAATGGACTGCCATTTCTGTCAAAGGTGTCCGAGTCGTGGCCTGGAGACGGCGATTCCGAGTCGGTCATGTGGAGCGTAAAGGGTGTGTTGAGAGAAAGTCGTGATAATGAGAATCTATCTCTTATGCTACAGTCTGCGTGTTTTAGTACAACGTTTTGCACGGACAAGTTTCGGGTGCAACAAGAGCCTAATAGACTTCTGGGTTTAAGCTGAGAAAAGAGCTTATTTGGAAAATGCGGAGAGGTTTCTACCGAGTCGGGAAGTCACGTGATTGCGTCCGGACCATCTGGAATTATATCCTTGGTCTCCATACGGCCCTCTCCAACTTTCTCCCGCCCTCTAAGTCCACTTTTAGCTCTTCCAACGGACATCCCCTTTTTTCGCACTCTTGCTTCCATCTGCCCCGGGTTTGAGACGCAACGCAGGCGTGAAAAATTGCTGCAACAAAACGGGAAACACACGGGAAAAGCGCTGGGTGCGTCCCATGCTCGAATTGACGTTTCCCCAGCTGTGTGCATCTCACTTATCGCATCAACACAGCTTTTTCGTGTCTTTACACTCTTGCAACTAGCGTTCGGAGATAGCAGCCTCGAAGCAGTAAAACTTGGGGTAAGCCGAATATCGTCGGCGGAAAATTGGCCAAAATAAACAAATCGTTCCCGTCGTTGGCACCATTTCTCACGTAGTTCCACTAGGAGTAAAGTACGAGTACTTGTCGCCCATCCCCAACACGCCAAACCACCAAACCACCACCAAAATCCTTTAACCTCATCCTTCTCAATTTTAGACGCTGCAATCGTCCGAGAATGTGTTGAAAATTTAAACATTTTAGCCTTGCTACGCCAATTGAGCGAGGGTTATGAGAATGGGAAAACCACAGACCACATCTTATTCTCCAAGCCATTCTCATTATAACCATGTATTTTGTGTGTTTCCTGCTATTATATTCGATTTAAACCGAAATTTCACTTCTTTGGCTTTAGTTTCAATGCAGCACTTTTTTTCTTCTTCCTCATCCTCGGCTTTGTCTCCTTGTTAGCACGGTTCAAGGGCAATAGGGTTGCATGTTGACGCTTTCACGCAAGCCCATGCATGCAGTTATGCAAGTTTATGCAACCTCTCGGGTCTTTTCGGAACCCCATGTTTACAGGATAATCAACGACCGGATGGGTGGAGATGTCAAAATAGTAACACCGGACGTTGTATCGTCGGCCCATCACGTGACAGGTACCTGACATGAATAATCACGTCCAACCCGAACATGTGACATGAGTCAAGCGCCTAGTGCAAGGCCCTACATTCACTTTGTACATATAATACCGCTCATAACCGCTGACATGTATGCACGAAAAAAGTAAACAAATACAGGGATAAACGGGGGCACGTGACGTGTAGATATTATCGGACTTCTGACGAGGTTATGACCCCAACCAAATTGTTTAGAAGAACGCGACTTCTCCACGACATCTTTCCTCCAACGTTCCTGTCTCACCCTTTTTAGCACGTTTCGACGATGAAGATTCCATTCGTTACCACCATCTGGAACTCTACTCCACGTGACTTTAGGTTGCGCATCGCTGGTCATGGTGAGTCACGTGAAGTAGCCGCCCAATTTCCATTACCTTTACTCGGCGCTGCCACCCCTGCATCCTCTCTCCCAACTAGGAATCCACATATCCCAAGGAAGAAGTCTAAATTCCGATTAGGCAGTCAAATGGGTAAATAAAGGTTAGGGTAAGAACAGCTCTTCGACCTAGCCCCTACCTCGGCACGTGATAGTTGCATGATGATGATGCCTCCCAACCTCAAAAGTGGAGCCACTTTTCCAGCCACAGCACCAGCCACATATATCAGCCCCAGGCATGCAGAAAATAACAAAAACGCGGAGGACAAGAAGAATAGATTCCGGTGGCCCGAACAAGGGGAATGCTGGTGCGGAGAAGAGACAGATAAGTCTTTGCTATTGTCTTCCCTGAGTTGTTTGATAAGTACGTCATTCACTCCTCGCAGTTCCCTCCACGCTGGTATTCAGGACCTACAAGTAGTGAGCGATGATTAAGTCCCAGATGGCACAGGGAGGGTTGTCCAGTTGCCGGAATGACGAAGCAGTCATAGGCAACTGTCGGTTTGTTTGTTTTCAATTTCTTGTCTAGTACCACATGTGCGCACATATGCTGGCACTCGCAGCGTTTCAGGCGGCAGCTCTTGCTAGACATCATTAATCACAGAGAATGACGTGTATAAATAGCATCGATTTGGGTTGAGACAATGGCTGTCGTGACCACCATGACGTGGGCTCTGGCGACGAGACGAGTCACGTTGCTATGCGTCATTGTTTCGTTTGAGGGGATGAGGAGGATGCCAAGGACTCCATGAGAGGGCGGCTGCGTTGTATGTTCAGTATCGTCTTGTAGTTAGACAAAGTGTGTGTCTGGCACTAATGACTTCGATGATACCATGTAGAGTGGAGTGTACAAGTACAAGTACGGTACCAGAAGCCACTGTAGACGGATGCCTCTTTGAGATCCATTGGAGTAGGAGTTTTGCTGTAGCTGAGTCTTCCGCTGCAGTTTCATCTTTGAGGGGCTCATTAGGTGCGGAAGTACATGAACGGAAGCGGAGATACAAGTACAAGTAGTAGTGTCGGTACAACTTGCAGGTGTTCGTATTCATGCGCAACAGCTCTTGGAAGAACGGAAAAGATGCAGTGGTGGCATGCGGTGGAACTGCAGAGACTTTCATTGTCTGGCGTTCTTTGTCGAGAGTGCACAGAGGAAGTAGCCGCTGGGATGGCGGATGTGAAGTGAAAAGGGCAGTACTTTTAGTCTCTGTGTTAGGTCGTGTTAGAAGTTTGAAGTAGATACGAGGGTGCTGTAGTTCACAGGGTGCGCACTTTCACATTGGAGAGCGGTGGAACTGCGTCGTTGGAGTGGTTGGTGATCAACTTGAAGGCTGTCGGTAGTGCCACACGTGTGCGGTGCGACATGAGGATAACATGGAGGTGGTTTGTTGTCAGCATGACAACCTTGTGATGTTGGTTGTGGTTTGTCTGGTACCGTCAGTTGGCGTGTTCAGATTGGCAGAAGATAAGTGTGTATCTTGATTTCTCAGTGAGGTCATGACTGTGACCTGTCTGCTCCCATAGTTGATTCTGATCGTACTGTGGGTCTCCTGTATGTCACCTGTACAGGACGATGACTGTTAATGTGCCACAATCTGGTCGCTTCGTGAAACGGCACTTTGGTGTGTGACGGAGGAAGGAGAAGAAGAGAAGACTAGGTAGAAATTTTTCGTGACACCCAGTTTGTCGCACTTATGCACTTTGGAACAAGGTTCCGGTCGCCCTGGTTACCACAACAGCCCACTTTAAAATAAAATTAAATTTGCCCCATATTTCGGCTGCGTCCATGATAAGGCTTCGGAAGTGTTCTGCAGCAGCCTGCATAATCATGTCTTAAACTGAATGTTATTCTAAGACACTCAATGATGAGGTGTAGAGAGAGACCAGAAGAGAAGTATAGGAAGCAATATGAGAGGGACAGTCCGCTGGAGTATTATAAAACAATACCTTTTGAGCTGTGTGATGTAGATACAGAGGCTCTCGTGGAAGTAAGGTGAAAAAATAATGTTGTCTCATCTGCGTGTAATAGCGTAATAATCCACCCATAGTTAAATTACTTACTCAAATCATTATTCATTAAAAAAAACTAAACTAACGTAGCTTGAAGGCTACTTTTTAAACCATCACGTTATCGTTAATGTAACCAGCAGCAGCTCGTTCAGCAGACATCTTCTCGTTAGCATGCTCAGACTCAGAGCCGGTGTCTTCTCTGGAGTCCTTCTCGCCAAACTGCTCCTCTTGATCGTGTTCACTTTCACTTCCGCTTCCCTCGGGAACGCCATGAATGGCCATGGGATCGTCCTCATCCATTTGGTCCTCTCCTTCCACTTCGCCATCTCTGGCAGCGCTCTTGAGGTCAATGGAAGGATACATGAGACTGACAATGACCATGGCTCCCACACAGGCAAAGGGTCCAACCAGCATGTGTCTCATGGTCTCGTTGAAGGCATGGTTAATCTCGGTTCGGACCAGCGAACCCATGGGGAACTTGGTGGCCTTCTTGATCTTGTTGATGATGAGGTTCAGATCCTTGTGGGGAATGTCGGGGGCATACTTGTGGATGTATCGAGGGTACAGCTCCCGGTATATGGCGCCACAGATGGCGTCTCCAATAACCTGTCCGATACCTCCGGAAGAAAAGTATAGAGCAGTCACAGCAGCGACCTTATGTTTGTCAAACATGGCCTGGGCCATGGTAGCAGCAGGAATGTAAATGCAGCCTCGTCCCACACCCTCAAAGCACTGAGCAACAATCATGATTGCTAGACCAGACGAAGGCTGTCGGTAGTGGTATGTAAGGCCAATTCCGATGAGATGGAAACAGCATCCAAACACAAGAACTCGCTTAGGTCGACCACTCCACCACATGTAAGGAGCAGCAAAGAACATTCCAAAGACGTTAGAGGAGACAACCAGCACACTTGAAACGTTGGTAGCAGCCTTAGGACTCTGACCCTTGACAACCATAAGCCAGGTGATGAAGTAGGGGACGTAGAGCTTGTTTGCGAGCGACATGAGGAAAACCAGGGCAGCGGAACAGCACATAACTCGACTCTTGAATAGTCTCCAGGGCATGAAAGGGGCCTTAGGGAAGTATTCCCAGACGGTGAAAAAGACAATTAGGAAGGAACCGATAGTGAGCATGGCAATGTAGGAATGAAGCTTCCATCTTTCAGAACCAGCAGCAAGAGTAATGGGGAGGAAGAACAGAATGAGACCTGCACACAGAGTGACGAGTCCGACAACATCAAAACTCTTGATGAATCGCAAGGGTCCTCCAGGAGAATAGAAGTCACCCAGACCGCCAGCCTTTCGCTCATATCTGATTCGCATGTATGCCATCATGATGACTGTACCGATGGAGCAGACAGGTAGAATGATAGCAAATGCTCCATAGCCCCATCTCCAGGTGGTCACTTTGAGGAAGCCCGCCAAGACAGGAGCGGAAATCCAAGGTGCCCAGATACTTGGGGTCTGGATGAAACTGGACCACAGAACTCGGGTGTCGGTGGTGGAAGTGTCACTAGCGTATAGTTCCATCATGAGATGTCCACTGACGATTCCGATTTCCCAGAAGACAGTTCCTGCAAAGTAGCATCCAATGTTAGGAGCAGCAGCATACAGAATGGAGCCCAGAGCGTGGGCGATAATGACAACACACCATCCCTCTAGTCGACCTAGATGGTCAGCAATCTTGGCAGCGGCTGGACGGGTGACAACGAAAACAGCTGACTCCACGACAGACTGAGACGACAGAAGAGCCAAACCACTGAAATGAGAGGTAGCGAAAGGGGCCAGAGAAGGATAGAGATGTTGAGCAATGGTTTTGGATGAGGAATACAGGTAGACGAAGATCCATCCAATGATGATCTTCTTCTGGGTCCAGCCTCGTTCCTTGGCATTGGTATTGCACTCCTTCTTGGGATAGTGCTTGACTGGGGCTGTAGACAGAAAGACTTCGTGGAAGACCTGTTTGCACTTTTCCATTGTGGGAAGAGATGGGTTGATTGATCGATTAGATCAGGAATCACCACATGTTATATATCTGTAGATGGAGATGGAGAGTTTGCTTCGAAAAGTCTATAAGAAGCCAAGAAGGATGCCGGAGTCTAACGGAAAGGTTGTTAGCGAGTTTGAAGATAGAGGATTGTCTGTTGGTATTTCCCAGTGTCTTCTGGGAGTTGATACATTGTTCAATACGAGGATCTCTTCGATCTGGCTGGTAGATAAGAACCGACCATATGTGAAGATCCCCGGTCGTGGTATCCGAAGCGATCTAGACCAAATTTTTCTACCATTGAAACCAATCTCCTCTATGTCTCAATAGAACCACTAGGTTTGATCAGACATCCGCATCCTGACGCATCCAGATCGAGTGGGGGTAAATGTTATGCGCTGCGTGGAATCCCCGGGACGCAACGGAGAAAGAGTGGCTAGTTGTTGGGGTTTTAATATGGTCCTATAGGAAGACTATGTTCTATACGATGCTTTAGTGATATCTCTCACTGTCTCAGCATCTGACGGCAGCCTTATTAGTCATACACACAGTATATGGTGGTATGTCGGTAGCGTATTACTTGCTGCAAAGTAGTCAAAAGCCTAGCTACAGGCGAGGCTGGTGTAGCCAATTGAACAGTCCAGCTCTCTCGTCTGTCTCGTAGTATTACAAATTGCATGTGAGTTCGAAATACAAGGTTGCGCAAAAGCAAACAGTGATGTGAGTGTATATCGTGCGGTATAACGTGGGGGTACACGCTTGTGTATTTCAAATAACACACTACTTGTATGACCACTACCTTCATAGATCTTTGGTTACTTGCTTTCCCTCTACTCGCATTGGACCCAGGTCATGATATCACCATCGATCATGCAAGTGATTGGCAGGGTGTCTGAGACACTCTTTGGATCACCACTTGTGTGTAGCTTTCGTACAAGCCATCTATATACAGCGTTATTGGCTGAATACAAAGCCTCAGTACCACTTACTGGTATCGATTGTATCTAGAGGCATCTGTTTCATTCATTGTGTCCACTGTTATTGTCCTACTTCGAATCCAGGACCTAGCGAACTATCAATCTAATCTACTGACATACACATTTCTTCTTGTGCTAGTGTACGAGTAGTGTCATGATTACGCTAGTCTAGACCGGAACTGGTGAGCACATACTGCAGCCAAGAAGAGCCGTGTACGTCTTTGGAGAAACCTTGAAGTCTGTGTAAACGTGGTCAGGCTATAGGGAGGAATAATTGCGATAAACAAGTGTCTGAGATGTGGTACTCAGTGTAGCTCGTTGGTTTCTCGTTGATTGTCGTGATACTTTCGTCTGCGGTAGAATCAACACCTTTGCAATTGCTTGAACAGTCTCACAATCCAAGTCCCCCTTTCTGGAACCCGAATTAACCCCTGCCAAGAACTCCCTGCTTCACATTTAGCTTATAAAGTTGCGATAAAAAAACTTGGCGTGCAGATCCCGCCCAATACGTCTTTGTTAGGACGGAAGATGCAGAAGTCCGACGAGGAATGGCCCAGACAAAGAAGAAAAGAGGCCTCCTATTTAGATGAGAAATCAGGAACTCTTGAGACAGAAAAAAAAAAGCTACATGCATCTCTTCTTTCACGTGACTTGTATTCACCGGAAGGCACGCGGGAAAAAGTAACTTTTTGGCATTATACTACAATTGTAGTCTAGACCCCCCTCTCTTTGCTACCTCCCACGTTTTCAGCCACCTTGCTGATCGACAAGAAGGATAAAACATACGGGAGTGCGGACTCCGTTAAATCGTGCCACACTAAGGAGGAGATTCCTTTTTCAGCTACGTTTTATGTCTCGAGATGACCTAACATGAGACCAGAGCACAGTATGTACCAGGATGTTAGTAAGTGCCGTACCAACGAGCAAGGCTCTTCTGTAAGACAACCTACAATGCCATCAGATAAGTGCCGTTCATAACAGTCTGTCCCTTCGCTCTCCGATGATACATTGGGATTATGGAAGAAAATTTGACTCGCTGTCATGCGTCTGTTTTTCGCTCTGCTCTTGGCAACGGCACTGGGATGACCCCCACTCGAAACCTTGTTGTTATTGAACTCTATGACCTTGCTGTCAATCTTAGACAGTTAGCAGGTCAATAGGGACGTGGCCGGCGGTTAAGTCACGTGATCGGCCTTTCAACTTTCTTCAGTTCTTTTTTTAGCTAACCCTTGATCAATTTTGTCGCAATCAAAGTGGACCGTTCGATCAGGTTAACTATAATGTCCTTGGGTGAGGCGACAATGAACTCTTCAAGGAGGTGGTTGAAGGTGATGATATACCATCGGATTCTGTTTTATAACAAGTCATAATGACGTCTCTGGAACATTGTGTCTTCGATGTCGGATCTAAGATGAGTGCATAAAAGCTTAGCGGGTACGGCCTGTATAACTGCTACTTGTAGGATCATGTACTCGTATATGTACATGGAGGCGCTGTATTTCATCTGTCTTTCAGCGAGATTAAAGCAATCCAGCCCTTGTACACTGAGACCACTTCGGATATCACCGGTGACCGTCTTCAATAAATCATTCATGTTTGAGTTCTGACGGAACGGAACACCGCTTCCGAAAGGATTATAGAAAACGATAGCCAGGGTCACTATTGAAAGACATTGTAGCCATTAAATTCATTCTATACGGGGGCTTATTCATGTCTTATTCATTGTTTTCAGTCTCTATCACGATTACCAGCTCCATGCATGCCTAGTTTTGGCACACATCACACTGTACCATGACACCCAAATGAGTAAAGTCAAGACAATTCGTTCTCAAAGATCTATGTTTCCATCTGTCTACAACCGTATACCTCCCCTGCCCTTGCAGGTCTCGCTAATATGACCTTCGTTGGGGTACCTTGTAACATTGATGAGTGAGACATGACTGCCTCTCGTGTTGTAAAGTTAGAGGACAAGCTGCGGGATAGGCTCCGGAATACAATTTAGAGGGAAACTTATTAGAAGCTTGTAGATTTAGTGCAACTTTCCTCAATCTGGTGGGTCCTTCTGAAACACTGATTAGAGTGATTTCGATCAAATCCATCAAATTGCAACACGTGTAGGCAGATATCGCATGTTTCCGATAGCTTTCAGTTGTTCCCACATGGGGACATGAATTTGGCTTCATAAAGTTATTGAAAAAAGTGCTCGTGTGATCTCTAGAATTCAAAGCGGCTTTTGATTTCAAGCGATCCACTATTTTATCTTATCGGCTAAAGCTAAGTAGAATTCCAAGTAAGCTCTCAACAATACTTCCTAGTCTCCAGAAATCATCAACCACGGTTTAAGCCTACTCGGTGTGGTTGCTGGTTCCATCTGGACTACTACAGTATGTACATACAGTTGTGATTCTGGGTGTTCCGTGTCCCGAAAAAGGAAGGCCCAACTAATTGTGTTCGTTTCTCAGATATGTTCGAATATGTGAAGGCAGTCTTAGTGCCATGGATCTTGAGAAGCTAACTTTTGATTCGAACATTTCTTTCCGGTCTTTTTCATGCTAATCTCTTGTATTCGGGGAGCATTCTTGCTCTGAAGGTCTGAGCTTGGGGTCAGCTGCAAATCCTGAACACTAACGAGAGCCAGAATGAAGACACTTTCCCCTTAGACGAATGGACAGAAATGACGTACGTTATGAGACTGCATTGAACGGCTCGCAGCATTGATATGGCGTCGTATTGCAGGGATTGGGTACATCAGTCAGTCTGAGTCATGCATTCCTATACCAACTTGCAGCACCTACGGAAAGAATGAGGAGAGAGACGAAATTTGTGTGTCTAACGAACTGTACTCAAAAGATTTTTTCTTGTTTCAATTGTAATTTAACCCTTAGGTTTCTCTACCAATAGTCAACTCGAATCTTTCGGTATTTGCTTGGTTGCTATGCTGAAGAGTTTCTCCTTGTCGAGGTCTTCTGTGGGGAACTGATCTGATATTTGACTTCTTCTTTGTGAAAAACCAGTCAAAAATATACTCGTTGATCTGTTCACGTGGCCATTGGTTCGTTTTTGCTCGACTTCTGGTCAAAAGCTCTCTTCACACATACTCCTCCAGATTAGCTCACATATTGAACATCCCTCAAAAACTTACAAAATGAGACAAAGATATGTGACCGTGACAAGCGAATGTTGCACGAAAACGTCAGTTAACGAGACTCCAGAGAATTTGGGCTTCTGTAAAGTTGTACAATTTCTGATCGCTACTGCTATGCGTACTTGTATCGTACTTGTATAGGGTCACGCACTTCTGACTAAGCAGCCTAGCCGTATGGGTACAATAGGAATCATACAAACTTGGTTGTTGTCGACTGGATACTAGGGTCCTCGTTCTCATTAAATAAAATGCGTGCATTAATATATACAGTTAGTGTCGGAGATTTGTTCTTGTGTCGCAACTTATGACGACTTGAACGGTCGAATGACCTTCATCATCATCCGGTTGAAGCCGTTTTTCTTGTCCACCTTCTTGCTGTTTTTCTTCTGTACCTTGTGGCTCTCTACGTTCTCCACACAGGCGGTATTTGTGGCTGTCTCAAACCGTTCCAATTCAGAGTCGAGCTCCTCGATATCGATATTGACCTGAGGCCGCTTGATCAGCTTGCTGCTTCGATGCTTGACTTTCTTGTTGATCTTGTTTGGCAGCTTAACCAGCTCACTAGGGAACCGAACAAGATCCTCGGTAAAGGTAGAAGCATGAACCAAGGGCTTGATTTCAGGACGCGGCTTGATAGGACCCAAGTTGACGGACTGCTGATCGTCCACAAGAGAGCCCTGAGCCACCCGATTAAGGGGGTTAATACCCTCGAGAGGAGAAGAGTTGTCAAACTCAACATCGAATACAGGCTCGTGGAAACAGGGGTAGTCACGTGCCGAGTCCATCGAGTCACGAGAAACAAAGCTGGGGCACCGCAGATCCCCCCTTACGGGCATGGGGTATTGATGGGGATGGTATTGCTGATGTGTGGTGGGGGTCAAGGACAACATGCTCTCCCGGTCCTCATCTATGGTGCTCACATGATGGTGACCCAGGGGCACCTCCAGGTGGTCATGGGATTTGATGCGTGACAGCGAGGTATCACGTGACGAGCTGTCAGGCACCAGCGCCGGGATCTCCAGGTCCAGCTCTGGCCATGGTTGGGCATTGATGCTGGACATCTGGGGTGACACTGGTGCGCTTTGTGTGATCTTGGGCACCGCACTTGTATTCCCATTATGGATCTTATTGCATGATGCGGCAATTAAGGTTCGGGGTCTCGCACAGGTCGTATGTATCGTATTAGCTTCACTCTGGGTCGGTTTGATGGAGGTGTGGAAGTACTCAGGGTCGGTTTCTGGCGTTTCTGGGTACGTTCCTTGCTTGTTGTTGAAGGATAGCGATCTGCTGATTCGCGACAGGTCGAAAGATTTCATTTTTCGTGTGTTTTGGATGGTGTGTGTCATGAAAGGAAGAGTGCAAAAAAGATGATGCTGTAAAAAAATTGATGCAAGTGAGATGAAGAAGGGTTCAAAAAGGAAATAAAACGTGACCAGACGTAGGGGAAATGAGATGCAAATGTCGCCTGGAAATTTCCATGTCACCGCAACAGGTGTGTGTGTCTTTTTAGCGGGGAGTCTGGGTGTTGTAGGAGGGGTAAAGTATCATACACAGTCGTGTACACAGTCCAGGGGCGAAAGTTAAGAGAGGCGGACTATTCGTACAAGTAGTCGTCGATGTGAAGTGGCGATGGAGCAGGTTGTGTTTGTCAACTGTTTGTATTAGTTGTCTGCACCGATTCCGTGTCAAAGCAGGTTGTTATAAGACGCGACAGAAAATCCCCAGTACTTCCAGTGAGTTCCGGCCTCGGTTCGGGGTTAACGGAGATAGCAGGTTGTTGGAGTTGTGGGCGCTATGGAACGAATCCGAGATTTTGGGCTTGTTCGGCGGGTTGTGCAGGTGTCTTCGTTGCACTTGTGAAGGTGAGGAGAAAGAAAAAGGGCGGGACAAGGTGGTTGTATATCTTGCTTGGAAATGCCCTGACCAGTGGAGCTGACAATTTAATGACACATTCTAAAACCCTATTCGTTTTTAGCCGTGGTCCATGCACCGTTGTGCAGCTCATGCATATGTGTTGTACGGGTGCAAGGCGGAATAGTGTTTATCGGCTTAGTCAAAGACCCACCAGCCGATCCGATGATGTTCTTGGCTGCTATGAAGGGAGAGCAAGGGACAGAAAAAGAACGAGAGAGAGAGGGCGAGAGAAAGAGAGATGCGTGAGGTACCGAATGCCAAGCCCGAGAGCCGAGCTGAGATATTAATGAAAGACTGCACATGTGGCGTGTGAGTTAGCTGTACAAGTATCGTGTGTACCGATACACTTGTGCCTGGCCCGAAGTAACTACCAGTAGCTACAAGACTCATACAAGCAAGATACAGTACATACTGTACGTACAAATATCGCTATGTGCTCATATATTGGCATGTTCAACATACGGGTGTGCGAGGTCGCCGGGTTCGATTACACAAGATACAATAGGGTTCCTACTGAGCAGGTTCAGTCCAAAGGCCGCCTTTTCCCTTCTTTCCCCCTCCTTTTTTGATTCTAGGGAACGGTGCCGCCATGGCTGTCAGATAGCAGTGAGGCAAGGAGACAGATGGGCTGACAGAGTTAAGTTGCATGTGCCGATAGCTACCGAAAGTCTGGCTGATGCGCCAGCAGCAAAGTCTATCGGTGCGGATAAACTGCGGATGTGACAATCGGTGATTCGTAATCCGAATGTGGGTCTCACTAAATAGGGTGCTGTTCGCCCAGAGGGCATCGGGGGCAGTAGTCCGAATGTGCCGATGTATTTGATACAAGTAATCGTATCTGCAATGAGCATGTGACAGTAAATTGACAGTAATTTTGCTGCGTAGGATCGGCTTGGCAGAGCAAATTACGTAGACAGACAGACAGACAAACAGACAGACAAACAAGCATTATATTTGTATTGATCTCCAAGCATCAGAGGATAAACAAAAGTTTGTTACAACAGCAGAGTATCGTAGCTACTGGGACTTGTAGCCTAGTGATGGAAGCAGGTGGCGGTCTTTCGAGGCAAGATTTGTCATGGTGCGTGGGCGTGATTGTGGGCATTGCCAAACTACATCCGACCATTACCAGAAAACCAGCCTGATGACTTCTTTCTTCAGACTTCCTTGACTTCACATCACTGTCTACAAATACGATAATACGATAGCTACTGTACCATCAAAACAGACCACCCTTGTTGCCAGCATCAAACCCCACACTACTCTTCTTGGCGCGGCCTGTCGAAGTGACCAGAACAAGGCCCGGAGCGCGGTGTCGGAGCTGTGAGAGCGGAACTCGGATCCCGGATCCCAACTTTCACGCGATAGAGCGACCCAAACGAACACCCCGAGCACGGCAATAATTTGTGACGCGGGTGCGATGCATGCTCCAGGCACGGAACGGATACCAGAATTTTTTATAGAGCCGAAGGTGCAGGTAATAATTAGACCTCTAGCCGACGATAATACAGGCTAACGGTGGGGGAGGAGTAGGGATGATATTATGGCTGTACCAAGACGTGTGCAGGCGCTACAGTAGTATCATATATTGTCGTGGATACTGGTAGGGGTATTGTGCCGCCATTGTACCATTCTTCATACGGTACATACATAGGAGCCTCCAGTACAATACATCCCAGGACCAAAATCTGTGATGAGTACAACCATTCTTAAGCAAGTGATATGTCGAAATTGAATCAGACAGTATCTGAATCACCTACAGTACCTTGCACGATAGCTCCCTCCGTGTACTTGTACCTGAATTAGCTTGGATCTATATTAGTGTGAGGCTAACATCTCCAGGATCGAGTGGAGAAGTAGCCAAGTTGTAATACAGAGGGCCCTACGAAACGCCTAGTGGATCGGGGAGATTTTTTTTTGACCTGGACGATGCTGGTGTAAAGGAGAGCACAAATTTTCTCAAAAACAGTCCATTCGCCCGCTTGAAGTCCATCATGGCAAGTACTGGAACACGAAAATGCTCAATTGATTACAATACAGTCGACTAATAGCGATGTGACATACCAGTCACGGGGGCCTTCACTAACGTACCTGTCACTGTTGCATTGAAGCAGCCACCGAACGGCACCAGCAACAACTCAATTGGTATCTACATTGTAGTCACCAGGCTCCATGGTCCATTTTTCGTTGCTTTCACCACACCTTAATCAGTGGCGTTGGTATTGGAAAAGATGTGCACGGTGGAGATGTAAGGATTGTCACGATAAAGTGATACTCTAATTATACTGTACTTGTATATGGGTGAGAGGGTCCAGTTGGAATTGCGAACAGTGGTTCAAAAGAGGCTGAAGTGGGAACAGGAGAATGCCGCGACCGAGAGAATTCGATTGAATGAGATATCTCTTACAAAAGTAGTGTTCCCCGTACCTCATTTGTATTGACCATCACCTTCCATTTCTCGCTCTCCCCTGACCTTATCATTAGCCTTCCTCTAAAAGTGGGTGCCAGTATGTACTCGTCCGTGCCTACTATAGCAATAAGGTGTTACTATATTACGGTAAAGCCCTCATTTCTATTAACATGACATTCATTTGGCGTTGTGGCGACGTTGGGGCGACGAAGTAGGCAGGACTTTCGTCTACCATTACCAATCAATGTCTGCACATGTATATTTCCAAATACAATGCCTTTACAAGCAGGGTCTCGTGCCGAATCTCATTGTTGGCTTCCATGAAAATATCGGAACTAATACTTGTACTCGTACCAGCTGCACTCCCTACTCGTAGTCATCGCGTACAACTGCCCAAACGGCTCCACGTGACTGTCCCAAACAGGAACAACGACTCCAACTCTAAGCAGCGTGCACCAGCAGACAGACAGAGTTTTGCCACTCGGAGCAAGTCGGAATGGAGAATGGTGGAGAGGTGTTTGGGGCGTGAAAAGCGACCGAATCGAGCTCGGAATCAGTGAAAAGCGTCTCCAACCACCAGATTTCATCCCCAAACAACCACCAGCCTTCCTTCACGTCCATTACAATACATACTCACTCATTGGCTCCAGCCACAGGTTCTGCAAGGCCCACATGGCAACTTTATTTGAAAGCAAACAGAGTGCATTGGAAAAAAAGGTGGCGCAACTTTTTTCAACCGGTGTGGCTAATACACATGGTGCACTTCAAACAGAGTTGCGAATTGTGGCTGTTACCTACAGTAGTTCTGGGGTAACTGGAGAATGAGCAATATCATGATCATGAACCTCATCGGGGGCATGCGATCGATCTGATAATCTGACAGAGCCAATCACATGACCTGATCGTCTTCAGAAATTGTATTTTCTGCTGACATTTTATAAGCTACAGATACCGGCTCCAATACAACTACAGTTCTCTTCTACGATAGTTGCCAGCGAAATGGGACAATAGTGGTTTGAACTTTGGAAAATGACGGAAACATATCTGTCATTTCCAATGACTAATTACATCTCCATTCGAGTCTAGAATATCTGATCTTTCACCTCACATGTCTGAAACATTGCTACTTGCTGGTATAGTCCATAGTTGCGCTCTCATTCTCCAGACCACCAAATAGACGTCTTGTGAGTAGGGACTGCAGACCCACAAAAAAGATCCAGACAAACTCTGTCGTCTGTAATTACTCCTACTTGTACAGTTCTGTAACAAGCGCACCTTTTCACTTTGCTGGTCTTCCCTTGTCTCTTTCTTGATCCAAATCACCTCGTTATAATTACAGTATGTACAGGCTTTGGAATAGGAGGAGACTCAACTCAGAGCTCGACGCGCGTTCAAAAGCCCAGTTCCTCCTTAAACTGGTTCGGCACCAATCACGTACCGAATAACTGCCATTGCCGCCGCGGCGCGCGTATACTGGTCATTAGACCGAGAAATGCTTCGGAACTAACCACTACCATATAGACTTCTGTTTTGCATCATGTACCTTTGCTCCGAAGGGTCCCTACGATACTAGCCACTTCCGCCACAAACCGTATATGGACGTCGGTAGAACGGAGGAGGCTATAATAACGGTTGAAAACGGACTGGATTATGTCAAGTCCTTTTTAAGCTTCCACAATTGTCCCTAAGTGCACAAAGTTACACTTTTCTCCCAGATATTTCTCCCATCCGCCTCCACCCCGGATACACTAGCCACATAACTTAGCCACAATAACCGCGTTGCTGTCAAACTCTAAAACTAAGCATGCACGAAAATGTGGCTGGAGCAAAGGGGTCTAGACCGCGTATTGCTGGGCTGGGAACAGGTCGCGAGGGGCTGCTAATTGACCCAATTGAAACGCGCGAAAACAATTGTTTTCTGACCGACCTCTCACCGCTCCCTCGCTCCACTAGCTCTGTTTTGCCACTAAATCTGCAAGTCATCCGCTCGCCACCGACCTGGCCGGAGTTTGCCCGCTAGACTCAAACAAAGTTAAGGTTTCAATCTCTCCGGAAAGACCGGCTCAGTCATAACCATTCAAGCTCTTTATATACAAACCAGCTGGCCAGGAGATAGGAGGATCATCTTCGATGTTGATTTGATAAAAAGTGAGTATTGCCGTTGCGACGTGATTTGGGGCCCAGCGTTGGTTTGGGACGGAATTCACATTCTTCTCTCAGGTGTCTCAATCACGCCATTTGGGCCATGAGGGAGTTTTCGGACATGTGGAGGAAGTCATAAAACGTGGGTTCGAGAAGGAAACGGAGGTCGAAATGTGATGATGTGTGATAATGGGACCCTTGTTACGTGTTCTCAATTGCTGGGGACGATAACAAGGCGTTTTACACATTTGGCATGGAACATGTTAGACCTCCCGCTAGAGACCTCGATCTATCAGAGTCTAGATCTACCAGTCTACCTCAAACTACTGGTGAAGTTCTGTCCGGATGTTGTCCACTCGAGTCCTACCGCGTCTAGTTCCCGTGCCTCTCTCTAATGTGTACTAACTCAGTGGTGTTCAAATCGTTTTCCCGAACCTCGCACCTGGCGCGAAACCTGTTTTCGTCGACAGGTAGCACGTACCACAACCAGCAGAACCAGCCCGGATTCTTTGTGTCCACTTCTACGCTCCACAGACACAACTCGCAGCTAGTATGTTACCCCCCAGGACCTTCCTACAACCCCAACAACGACGGACACAGTGCAGCCAACCTGCTGCCACCACACACTGCCTGTCTCTCGGCAGTAACCGTCAACCACAATAATGCATCACAGCTGGTTAGTGACGAGGAGAGCTTAGGCGAGGACTCGCGACTTAACCTGCGACGACGTCAGACGCTCACCAAGCCCGCACCGGTCGTCTACAGACGTATCCAGCCCGCGTCTTCGACCCCTCCCACGAAGGTGGTCACAGTGCATTCTTCCGAACAGCTCACAAAACGACGACTGGCCACCAACGCCACTTCCTCCGACTACAACTCCCTGTATGAGTCGCTTCGATCGTTACAGGTGAGCGAAACGGTGGCCAAGAGCGTCACTCCTCCCTCTTCTCCTAGAATCACACCCATCGAAGACACTGTGGATGTGGATACTCTGGAGATGCCCGAACTAATGTCTGACAGCTCGTCCGTGGCGTCTGAGACTAGCGTCGACGTCAAGCCTCCAGTTCTACCCATCAGACGACCTGGTGACGTCCAGTTCCTCCCGCCCATTGGCATCTCTTCTGTCGATGATTGTGCTATTCTCGATACCCCTCCTGCATCCCCCCTTGCTAAGACAGCGGAGGCCGTTCTCACGCCAACCTCTGCTTCAGAGTCACGTCTCAATACTCTAGATGACTTCAACTCCGAGCTCGTGACGCTGTCGAAACAGGCCAAGTCCTCTGACTCTATCGGGGGCGTCGAGCAAGCAGTCTCCGATGTCCTGTCTCTATACCAAGACCTGCTCACAAAGCACAAACCCACAGTCGACACATACACACAGGTGATTTTGTGTCTCACCACACAGGCCATGAAGCTGGAAAAGTGGCTCAAGTCTCCCAAGTACACCCAGTCCAAGGAGACGCTGCAGGCAGTCGACACTGACAAGCAGCGGGCCCAACAGCTGTCCAAGGAGTTTGCTATTCTGGCTGCCGAGATCTTCTTTTCCTCAAACGCCGTAACCATGCAGAAGTACTCCGCCGGTATTTACGAGACTTTGCTCAAGTCTGGTAGCCACGTTCTGCCTTCTCAACACGTCATCCATGTTGTTGAGGCTCTTGAGCGTGTTGGCATGACTCCCACTCTGTCCTGTTACATGTCTCTGATGGACCATTTCTCCGCTCATAAGGACTACGAGTCCATGACTGCTGTCTACAACTCGTTCAAGGCCACCCTTGGCTCGTCTGTCTCGTCCAATAACCTTGGCAAGATATACTCCAAGTTTGTTGTTGGAATGTACCTGTGTGGCGAGTCTGCTGCTGCCCGAGAGTTTTGCGAGTCTGTCACTGGCGATAACGAGCTTATTCGAACAGTTTTCTCGGCTGCTGTGGAGGGCCTGGCTGCAACCGGTCAGGTGGAGGAAGCCTGGACCATGGTGCAGCGGTTTCAGCTCGACAATGGCGTTTCTGTCTCTATCGAGGCTTCTTCAAAGCTTCTCTCGGCTGTTTCTCAAAAAGTTTACAACATGACTCTGAAGAAGGGTATGCTTTCTATCGCTCATGACGTTTATCTCTACTGCGCTTCTCACAAGGGTTTCACCGGCCCTCCCACATCCTCCTTCTACCAGTCGGCTGCTCGATCCGAGTACATTGACGTCATGATGAACTCTTGCAACCTCGAAGCTCTCAGCGAGGTGGCCGAGGAGCTATACGTTACTGCTACTGCCCTGGATGCTTCCACTCTGACCCGATTTACTGCCTTCTTCGTGAACATGCACCACACCAAGTTTGCTCTGCGATTCCTGTGTTCCCAGCTTGAGGTTGCCCAATTTTCCGAGACCGTTACCACCGAGGTTGTCAACACCATTTTTGGCGTGGTGATGCGAAAGGGCAAGGAGCTTGATGCGCAAGAGCTCGCCTCTCTGGTGACCGCTTTCTCTCACATTTCTATTTCCGAGTCTTCGTTTGCCTCCCTAGTTTCTCTCCTTAACATGTGCTGGTCTCGACCCTCGCCCATATCTTCTCTCCTCGAGAAGTCAGTGACACCTCTGAAGTGCCTGGAGCAGTTTGCCTGTCTGCACATGCTGTGGATCAAGACCGCTTCGAAGACCACCAACGTGACTGTTGTGGACGAGCTCAAGGCCCGATTTGGAGCTATCGTTGATGCTCTGATGAGCCAATCGTGTGTGTTTAACCAGGTATTTGTCTCTGACATTGAGACCACCCTCAATGTGCTCGGTATGGAGACTGGTCTATTTTCCAAGCGACAGGAGCAAATTCAAGCTAAGGTTGAGGTTTCCGAGGCTATCCCCACTCCTCCTGCCTCTCCTCCTTCTCTAGAGATTGACCAGGTTCTTTCTCGAAAGGTCATCGCCTTTGCTCGATCCAAGGCTCCGTCCATCCCCCAGGCTCTCAAGACTCTTGGCGATGCTGTTGCTGCAGGCTCCGTTCTTTCTGTCGAGGCCTTCCTCTCCGTCATTGAGGGTGCCTCTTCTAAGGACACAATCAGGGGCGCTTATGCCGCTGCAATGGATTCTGTGCCCCATCCTTCCACTTCTGCTGCAGCCTGGCAGCACTGGAAGCCCATCCACCGGGCAGTAATTGTCTCTGGTGCTGCTGTTGACCGCCACTCTGCGTCTCAGGCTTACCAGAGTCTCATCGCCATGGGCTCTCATCCTTGTGCCACAGGATACGGACACCTGATTCTGAACCGTGTCCCCCTTCCCACCAACACTCACGACGAGGCTCAGGACGCCGTGGCTCTGTTTGAGGAGGCCGTTTCCCACACTCAGCCCACCACCTTCCTGTTCAACATCGTGCTGTCCAAGCTGTCCAAGGCGCGTCGATTTGACTCTGCCATGAACATTTTCTCTGCCATGGACAAGTTCCCTGCCAAGAAGACTTCCGTTACCTATGGCACCATGATCAGTGCTTGCTGCCGTGCTGGTAACGTGGGTGACGCCGAGCGTCTGTTTGAGGAGATGGAGCTGGACCCCAGCTACGTCGCTCGAGCCGCTCCCTACAACACCATGAACCAGTACTACATTCACACTGCCCGTGACGCTGCTGCCGCCAAGCGAACCTTTGCTCGAATGCAAGAAAAGGGCGTGCAGCCTACCGCGCATACTTTCAAGCTGCTGATCGATCTGCACACCTGTTGCAGCATTAATATTGCTGCTGCCGACTCAGTGCTGCACATGATCGAGGCCTGTGGCCAGCAGGTGACCGAGCACCATCTTTCCTCTCTGCTGTACGCCCGAGGCGTGATCATGCAAGATTTCCCTGCCGCGAAGGCCTTCTACAAGAACATCTGCACTTCCCGTGCTGTCCGTCCTGGAACTGCTATCTTCCAGGCACTCATTGAGTCCTACGTGGCCAACCAGCGGTGCCACGAGACTCCTGAGGTGTTGGAGCAGATGTCGCGATTTGGTGTCCCCCTTACCGCGTACATGACCAACTCGTTAATCCGAGGCTGGGCTGCTCAGGACTTTGGAAAGGCCCTTGGCCTGTTTGATGCCGCCTACCGAAACGGCAAGGCTGAGCCTTCGTCATACGAGGCAATCATTCGAGCCTGTATCTACAATGGTGAGCTGCAGACCGCCAGCAACATTCTGGCAATGATGCAGGCCGCCTCGTACCCTCAGCCTGTGGTCGCCAAGGTGCATGCTCTTCTGGAGCGTGTCGAGCAGGCGCAGGTTGACGGCTGGTCTTATCTCATGCACAATACCTTCAAGTCGGAGACTATTAGAATCTAGATGCTAGTGTTACTACTAGGCCACTAGTGCAACGTTCGGTTGTATTTATTTATTAATATATTAATTAGACATTTTTATGATTTTGTAGATTTTAGAGACTGAATGTGTGCTGCTAAACTGAACTTGATAAATAAGTATAGTCTACAATAACAGCTACCAGTACGAGTGCAGTATGTACACTGTACCTATACGTGAACCTAATGCACAGCCTCATTATTGTCCAGTTCGAGGATCTACAAGAATTTTCGCACCTAGTTGTTACTTATATCCAAGTACAATAGGGAGCCTACATGCCAGTTAATCATATAATACATTATCCAATTATCTTGCCATTCTCACCTCCTGGGCTCGTGCAATCAGACTTTTGAGATCTCGGACTCCCTTATTTACAGGGTCTAGAGCCGATTTCGGCTGACACTGCGAAGACATGCTGACATCCGAGAGCATGCTGACGTCCGGAGACCCACCCTGTAGGCTGGTGCGAGATGACTTTCGCACCAAATGACCCAATCGTCTATCCAACTCCTCCTGCTTCTTTCGCTCCTTGAGCATATTTTGGTGACGTTGAGCAGCAAGAGACATTTCTTGCATGTGCTGGAGCCGCTCTCGACGCTGCTGTTGGCGCCTGGAGGCTTCAGACTGTCCCAAGTCGGACAAAGAAGCATTAAAATGACGACAAAGCTCGTCCATCTGCGACTCGAGGTTCTGCGACTCCTTATCCGAGGGTCGACAGATGGTAAAGAAGGCCAACTCATCACGATACAGCAACTCAGTTATCTGAGAGTCGACCTCAACACCCCAGTAAACAACCACAACAGCCAACTTGTACCAGGACTGGGCTCCTACGTAGGCCAGAAGCTCATCAAAGGCTTGTATTTCACCGGCAGTCACATGATTCGCATCAATACCACACTCGAACAGAATGCCAAAGGTGGACTTGTAGTTGCCATTCTCCACCAGTGAAGTCACCATCATGCTGGTAGTGTCGGCCGCCTTGGCCACATGCTCGTATCCACTGGTGTCCTGGCCGTTCCAAGACAAATCAAACTTGGTACGGAGCCATTTACCCTGAAGTCGGTCCCATTGAGGTGTGTAGATGATAATCTGAGGCATGGAATCAAGGCAGGTATTGCTATGAAAACCAGTCGACAAACTCTTGAGTAAAGAGTCATACTCCAGTGGTTTCCACAGCTTGATGGTTCCCTGTTTAGTTTTCTGAAGCAACTCGATGTGTTCAGCTTCAGACTTTGGGCCTGTTCGGATTCGCTTAGACGAACCGACGACACTCGAAGAACCACAAGATCCAACTCTGGAACGCATCTTTCGCTTGCCAAGGTTCCGCATCACGTGATTATACTCCTGTTGACGTCGCACAAGCTCCATTTTCCTTTGCCACGAACTGAATGCAGTTTTCTGCACCTGAGTCAGAGCTCTGGAGAGAGTGAGCCGACGACTGTTGACTGCTGCAAAAGAGTCCAGAACCACAAAGTAAGTGTTTTCACGTACAAAGGCTCTGTAGATCTCTTCCGAGAGCGTGGAAATCAGTCTAGCCCGCTCCTCTCTTGCCTGCTGTTCCCGCTGACGTCTCTCAGCCTCGAGCTGGGCATGTCTCTGCAGCTCCAAGCGCCGTTGTTCCTCAAGACGTTTCTGCTCAGCCAAACGTTGTTGTTCCTCCAAGCGACGCTGCTGAGCTAGCTTCTGCTGCTCAATCTGCGTGATTGTGGCGGTACAGATCTGTTTACTCAAGGTAGAAGCGACATCCACAATCAGCTTGGACGTAATCTGCTGAGTCCACCTCTTCTTTTCTTCTGCAGATACCTGAGGCTTAGTCGGGGCAACAGGTGCGGCTGCTTGAACTACCCGTGGCTTAACTGGGGCCATAAACGGCACAGAAGGAGGTTTAGAGGGCGCCAAGGGTGCCTGGAAAGTCGCAGACGCTGTTCCTGGTGGTCCGAAAACACCCCGCAAGTCTCCTCCCTTCTGTGTCACCCACTCGTGACAAATATCAGCAAATGGAGTAAGACCTGCCACAGTTGTCTCGTTGAAGCTAGGTACGTCCACAGCTCCATTAGTTACAGTGAGCTTGTAATGAACAAAAAACTCCTGTGCCTGAGCAGCGTCGTCAAAGCCCAAAACCTGGCTCAGCTGCTCGAGGCTGTAAGGTCTGCCCTTTGAATGAAAGGCTCGAGACATGGTTCTCAATGCACTGAGTCGAACCTGTGTGAAATGCGACTCAAGCATACACGTGACTAAAAACGAAAAGCGCGGCAGCTTCAGAGCGTCGAAAAACTGCGCATACAACGCCTGGCAATCCTCCATATGCATACCTACTCCCTGACGTCTTCCTCCTCCCACAAGGTTACCCTGTTGAATGATCTCACGCAAATAGAGAGCATCTTGGACGTGTTGGTTGTCAAACACGTGTCTAGGTAGACTCTGGATTTGCCTGACTACGTCAGCTTCTCGCAAATGCGACAGAAGATGGTACGCGTGGAACTCAGCTTCGTTTTTGAGACATTCAGAGTGCGGATCACGTGCCCTATGAGCTTTGTACATCTCCATAAGCGACTGTAGTGCCTTGTTAAGCTGCTCCAACTCCTGCTGTTTTGAGTATTCGTGTCCAGACATGAAATGCAGGCAGTAGATATGGATACGAACAATCTGCTCATTACACCAAACAGCCTCGGGGCCTGAATAGTTCTGATAAGTAAAATCCTGTCGAATGGATCGCGTTCGGTCCCATAGGAAAGGGTGAGCACCAGGTAGCTGGGGCACAATCTCATTCACAAGGTAGTTCAATGTGTTGACTAGAATGTTAGGAGGACGAACGTCAGATGGAAGTGGTGGTGGCTGACCGGCAGCAGGTCTTGAAAATGCCTTTACTGCCCGGTCTGGAGTCACCACGCCGTTGGAATCCTTTTCGTAAGCCTTGACGTTGTTTTCAAATCGTCGTCGAACTCGTTCAAATGCAGGACACATTTGTTGACATGATCCCACGAACGAAATGGCTTCCGATAGAGCTCGTCTCTTGTCCGGCGAGTCCACGAGGTTCAGGGACTCCATTTTCGTTCTTTCCACCCCTCGCATCTGTTGTAACGTTTCGTACTGTTCCTGGTCTCCATTTCCTGTAGCTTCGATCTGCTGCACTTCTTGTTGGTTCTGTAGGTCCCAAGGATGTGCCTGGACCACTATCGGGTCGAGAATATGTGGATTTGGTATCATCCAGGGCTTAGTTCGAGCGTGGCTGTTGTCTCGAGCATTATTGGCGAATCCTAGAGCTGCTGGGTTCTGTTGTTGGGAAGATTGGACTTGTGCGTTGTGAACGAAGCTGCTGATCGATTTGGCGTAATTTTGCGCCGGTGCTGGCGATGCTGCCTTTTGTTTCCGTTGTTTTGCTTGCTTGCTACCTCCTGTTCCTCCTCCTGGTTGCTTCTTGTTGTTTCCTCCTGCAAGCTTGGGTTGTTGGAAATGATTAACCTGAGAAAATGCCTTATTCTGGCCAAACGCCGAAATCTGTGCAGGCTGTGAATTTTCCGGCTGGGTCTGCGGTCCATTCTGGAAATGGGTTGTGTTTAAAAACGCTGTCGATGGAGCGGAAAATGCAAAACCTCCCGTAGATTGAGTAGTGGTGTTGTTGTTAGGCCGACTAAACGGGTTAGAAGCCGGTGCGGCGGGTTGTACTTGACCAAAGCTCGATTGTCCAAACGAAGACGGCGATGCTGTTGGTGCACCAAACGCCGGGGTCTGGTTCTGTGTCTGATTCTGTTGCTGCAGGGACTGGAACGGATTTGCGGCTCCGTTTCCGTTACTCTGAGGAAACCCGTTTGGGGCTCCAAATGGAATACCTCCGCCACTGTTCATCCACGACATGCTGGACGAAGTGGGAGAGTGTGTTGTGGGTTGATAGAAGAGAGCGGATGGGAGGTGGTACTTATGGCTGGTATATGTGAACCGATGCACAACATGGTGATGCTGATGCAATTAAGGTTGGAGGTGGACTTGGAGAATCAAAGGGGTGATGAAAGCGGTACATCGACGTCAGTAGAGGGTGCAGAAATGAATAGTTGGTTCCACATACACTTTAGGCATGTTACCCATAGCTTGAATGGAACGAATCCAACTATTATTGAAGTAATTATACATCATGGGAACGCTGGAGATTTTTACTTGAGCTTAGCTTAGTTGGGTCAAAGTCAACACTGTAGATACAATGAGCAAGTAGCTACCCTAACAGTACATCTACGAGTTACTATAAGCACTTCTAGACAGACTCACTGGAAGAAAGGAAAGTTCGATGCTAGCGGCAAAGTCATATAGAACATTGGTTTCTCTTCATTACGAATTCTTCATTAGTCAGCAGTTTTTGAGCTCGAGATGGGATGAAACAGGAACATCGTAACAGGAACATCGTATGTACTCGTAAGTACCATACATACAGTACAGTATGCTATACAATGAGTTCAACGTCAATGTACTGTAATCTCACAAGAATAAACAGTTCATAGACAAACATTAACGATAGCTATTTTCGTCGTAATCACAGTATTTGTGAATGTATGGTCTATTGTACCACTTCCAACAGTAAGGTCTCTGCACTGTGTACTCCAAGTTCTTATCAGCGTTACGTATTACAGTCATTTAGTCGATATTATCTGGTTCTTCAGAAAGAAATATGGGAGCTTCTGGGTGAAAATTATGTTGGAAGTTGCATCTAAATTAGTCTCAGTTTATTTCCAATTTTCAATTATTGTCAATCTCAAAAATACCCCCGATTATTACTTTAAACTTCCCGCCCGCATAAAGCAGTCTAATGGCGATAAATTGCCAATCGCATAAACACCAAACACCTCAACCAGGACACTACTCGTACGACACCCAATGACAGATAATGCTGCAAGAAGAAATCGATTCGCTTGTCTCCAAGTTCTCTAACTTGGATTCCTCGCTCATTACAGCTATTGCTCTGGACTGCGCTTCAGTTGAGGAGGCCGAGTCGATGTTAGAGCCTCTCAACAATGAGTCAGCAGGAGCAGACCAGGTCTGTGAAGATTCTACGGACTTTCTTTCCCACGACGGAACCGACTCCACGGGGAACACCACTGCTCAGACGTCGGTGGACGACTACAAGGAGGCCCAGAGACTGCAACTGATTGAAAATTACCATGGGGACCATGATCGTATGAGACAGGAGGAAACACAGACCCAGTCGCTTCGCAAGGAGATCGAAGACACCGATCTCGATCTGGATACGTACATGACGATTCGACGCATGTTCCCTCACGTACCAGCTATCAAGATCAAACTCAGGATGAAAAAGTTTAGAGACGCGTCAGTGGAGGATCTGTTGGAATACTTCCTAAACTACGACACTTTGAAGGAGGTGGCTCCAGAGCAGTTTGGAGCAAATGTGGAGGTGCTTACTATGGTAACAAACAACAAACGGAAACTCAGATCACGTGCCCAGGGAGATTCGAATCGTGTGAAACGAGGTGCTGCCCTGGTACAACTTACCCCTCTCAGACGAGTTCCTTACTGGGATGACAATGGCGAGTATGATGATCCGGGCGACTCTCAATGCTGGAAGATGTTCAATGGTGAAATTGAGAGGATCTCTTCGCTTCTGGATCTTCCTAAACAGAAGGTAGCAAAGTACTACTATGCATCAAATGTTAGCATCGCCAAGACCATCATTGCAATCTTAGCCGAAGCTCACGCTGACGAGATGACCGACGAGGACAAGGAGTACGTGTATTTAAGCACTGACCGGTTCAAGAACGTGCCATTTGTGTATCTGGAACGGTTGTACTTGTTTGTCAATAGAGATGAGGCTAAGTACAGCGAGGCAGCTGGCATTATTGCTGCCTATGATGACAAATGGAACGACATGTTCAGTTTCCGGTTCGGTGGAAGCGAGACTACAGAGTCCAGACCGATTGCTGAGGCCACTACTGCTCATGTGATTACGCATCAAACTCCTACAAGCACTGGAAACGAAAAGGTGACGATTGCTTTGACTGCTCCTGCGCCCAGAGTGGATGAGGAGGAGGTTCGGGGTCCCATTACTGATGCTGATGGTTACCAACAAGTTTCTGGACGTCGGTCTGCTCGTTTAAAGACTGTCAGTGAGCTCCAGGAGCTTGCCCAACGGCTGGAAGAGACCCGAAAGTCGTACATGTACAAATCTACGACAAACCCGACTCTCAGAGGATACTACAGAGGTGCGATTGCTGAGCTTGAAGAGAAACGACGACAGGCTAGCACTGAAGCTCGGTTGCTGCAGCAGCGGCGTACTGAGAGTGTCTACTTCACCGACTTGCATGGGCTGACCGTCAATGAAGCCATGACTCTTGTGACCGACAAGATTGATGTTTGGTGGGATGTTGAGCGGATCAATTTCGAGAAGCAGGCGCCAGTGAAGATGTTGCATATCGTTACTGGAGCAGGTAACCATTCCCATAACGGTGTTCCTAAGATCAAGAACTCCCTCAGCATGTGGTTGAAGAGTCACGGGTGGAGTTTTCATAGCAATACTGCTTCACTAGACGTTATTGGAAGGAGGAAAACCAGGGCCTGAGCTGTTGATTGGGATATATGTTTGGTTGATTGGAAAATGTGAGTTGGTGTCGTCAATGTTGATGTAGACGAAGTACAGTACATACTGTACATACGGGAACTCATAGCCACTGCAACTAAAGTCAACCTATACAAATCAGAAAAACGCTCCAAACAAGGATGAATAAGAATGGTGACGCGGATGAATGTATATTAGACAGTAATGAAATGACATTATGATTTTGGAAGTGATAGGTTCTTTATTGCAATGTGAGAAATTTAGACAATTTTTCTCAAAGGGGTTGTTGGATATGTTGGATGTACTGACTTATACTTGTAGTTCGCCAACCACCAAACTTTGAGGCGGATAAATGTTTAGGTCGCATATGTACCCTTCTACAAGTAGTAGATTGGAAAGAAAGTCGGACAAGGGCACTTATACTGTATATAATATGACAGAAGGCCTCACTACAGTAGAGTGCCAGATTTGACTGACACGAACTGTTCCACGTCCCACTATCGTGAATACTACAACTTTAATTCCATTACAGTTGATGTGAAGAAAATCTTACAGTCACATGTGCTTGGTGTGATATTTTATATATTGTATGATGACGCCAGATATGCGTTTAGTCAGGCTTCCAATTTCTCACTGTTGCTTCTGTTTCTCCTCAGAACTCTTCCTACGCACTTTATATACTATCAAACACGAAGTCTGCCTCCAGTTAGCTAGCGCAATCTTAATCTGCACTCCAACATCACGACGCGTCTTACTCGATATCTCCATAACAACACAACATGTTGAAACGAGAACGGGGAAAGACACCTTTTTCGATAGGCGACGGTCTCACCGGCCGACGGACTGGTGTAACAGTTGAGGATACCGGAGAACGGGACGAAAATGGAATGGAAAAGATCGACAATATATACCAGGAATCGGCTGACGAAGACTCCGAAGAGGAAAAGCCTCTCAAGGGAAGTCATGCCATGAGTGATTTCAAGGTACAGCGAGACGACAGTGACGATGAGCAAGCGAGTCACGTGAGCCTACCTCCTCAGACGCTTACTCGGCCCCCAAAGACCAAAATTCAAGCTATCGGGCTTAACGATGTGACACAACGGGCTACCAATCAGTTACCAAAACAGACAACAAAACAGACAACAACACCAGCTAGAGGAACTACCCTCAAAGCCCCATCATCTGCCCGTAGACTGAAAATTGTATCGGCGGTGCCTGTTTCCAAAGTGGTTTCTAAACCCAGTACATCCTCCAAGGCTTCTTCTTTCGATTCGAAACCAGCAACACAGTCTTCCTCTACAGCACCAAAGATCACCAAAGTGTCGGCAATCAAGTCGATTCAGCCCGTGCCTGCTCAGAAACTACCAGCACCACAACCAAAACAGCGACAACCATCGCCTGATGATACTGTTGACTCACTAGACATGTCTCCGGCACCATACAACAACCCATACGTGGCCCCTCCCACCAAGTTTGTACCCAAGACGTTTTCTAGCACAAAACCATTCACAGCAACCGACTCGGTTTTCAAGACGCCTGCTCGAGCCAACAGTCTCTATGGCGACTCCCCTGCGGACTCGACGCCAGGAGTTCCTACACCAGCCTTCAAGCCTGCCCAGTTCAATCCTGGAACATTCCAGTTTGGAGGAGCAAAGGACGTGTTTGATATCCCTGAGGATGAACCAATAAATATGGGCATGGATATAGACATGGGCATGGATATGAGCATGGATATGGATGTGCATGACGAAAGTATTGGATATTCCAGCCCCAAGAATGAAATCAAGGGAGTTAGACCTGCGGATGTTTTCAATTCTCCAAACGTTCCCAATTCGAGAGACTCCAGAGGAAGCCTTTTCGGCTCTCCTGATGTGCCTAAACCTCTACCCAAGCCTAAGGCAAAATCGAAAGAGCCTAAGAAGAAGCCAGCCAAGGAGAGAAAGCCGAGCTTTGCCGAAAAGTATAAACCCAGGGACTTCTCCAAAGCCAACGACGACCTCTTCAAGCCGTTCAAGGTCCCCTCCAAGACGGTGTCTTCAAAAACCGTCACTTCCAAGCCGGCTTCTCGTGTTGAAGATGATTCCATAGAAGCTATGAGTGATAACGACTCGAATGCTATGGACTTCACTAGCATCGTTAAGCACAGTGGCCCTGGAAGTTTTGTCAATGGCAAGTCATCCAAGTCTAAGGATACTAAGACGCACAAGCCGAACACTTCTGTTGATTCTCTTGACTTTGATCTTAGTGGAACTGATGACATTGGTGGCGGTGACTACGACATTTCTATGGGTGGTGATGACGACGTGGCTACAAACGGTGGCAATGGCTCGTTAGGTGAGGACGATTCTATTTCATCAACTCCCAGGCATTTCGATCGCTCAATCAACTACCGGGAGATCTCTACTGTCGATGACTCCAGGATGGACTATGAGGAGGACTCTGACGACGACTACTATGACCAGTCGTACAGAATGGAGGATGATGGGGATGATGATGATGATGATGATGATGATGACGAATACAACTCTGCTGTGGACGAAACCATGAATCATGGCAGAGGTGTTCTTCCTTCTCCTCCCCGTTCTCTCCGACGTCATCGACCGAAACGAAATGTAGGACGTCCGGTGAGGTATTGGATGGGAGAGGGAATCCAGTACAAGTTGGAAAAAAGCGAAGCTGGAGGATTTGTGCCTGTTGTCAAGAGTGTTACTAGGTTGCCTGATAATGAAGAGGCAGCAGAGAGAACGAAACGCAAGAGAAGAAAGGCCTATGATGTTGACGATGCTATTGCAGAGGCTGATGCCGATGCGAACGAAAATACCAACGATAATAATGGCGTCGTTACTAATTGGCAGAAGAAAAAATCAGTTGAAGTTGAGGTTTTCAACTACACCGCTGAAGAAGGTGATCCTGAAACGCACATGGAAACCGTGGCTTATAGTCACGATGGATGTGATTACACTGATCCCAGTCCTGAAGGTCTTTCTGTGGCCCAGTTGTTTGGCGACAAGAAAGATTTCACTCAATCTGGCATGGTTCGTCTGATTGGAGGAGGCCGCAAACCCGAACGAAACTCCCGCCATCACTTGCACCACTTTTATGTGCTTTCAGGCATTGTAGATGTCACTATTGGCGAGAAGGTGATTCGAATCAAGGCTGGGTGTCCCTTTATTATTCCTAGAGGTACCATGTTTGCGTTGCAGAACGCTTCTGAAACCATTGAGGCGCTACTCTTCTATGTCCGATCCCATGATACTCTTCTGAGGTACGAGGAGAGAGTTGCACAAGCAGAGATGGATGGGGTGAATGAGACAGGAGAAGGTGAGGGTGTTCAGGACTGAAACTATTTATAACTAACTGTATTTTTAATATGACTCAACCAATGGCAATTGGGCGTACTGTATAGCTTTGTACAACTATCTATACATTGCATCGTACTTGTATCTTGAGGCATGTATACACGCATGAGTCCTTTCCACTCAGCCGCAAACTTCACTACTGTTATTCGTATATACATCTATCTAGATTTCATCATCAAACTCCTCAGGGAAGTCTCCGACTTCGACGGCCTGGGGCTTGACGAAGCTTCCAAACTTGGCCTTGCACTGGAAGTATCTCTTGCCCTTGACACTTCCATCGTTCTTTCCCAGAGGCTCGTCCAGTTCCACGCCAATCCATGGCGCCCCAGAGTCGGTTATTTCGGGAATCTCGCCAATATATCGCACCACTCCGCGTTTACTGCCGTTGATCTCACATCGGAGTCCGAGCTTAATACCCTTGGCCTCAATGGCCTCTTCAGCTTCGACCACAGCTTTGTCGAGACGGTCTTTGGCATTAGGATCGAATCTGCCAAGCTGGTTCTTTCGCTTCCAGTCCAGCACAGTGTCGGACTTGCTCTCATATTCCGTCTGGGGCATCTGATACCGGCTGTCCACATCCTCCTGCCCTCCGCCGACCAGCTCGGCCACGGAGATCTTTCCAGACGTGTCGGTCACGTGCAATCGGGCTAGATGCTGAGGGTTGAACGACTCAAGCGTCTTGGACCCCGAAATAGAGGCGTCTGAGGCGTCCGGGTTGTAGATGACTGTGGGCTGAGGTCCCCCATAGAGAGTGAGCTTTTGAGATGTAGGAGAGATTCCGGTGACGGATTCGAGTTTCTGGGTAATCTCAACGAGGGTGAGATTGGGGTCAAGCCGTCGCTCGCCAGAAGTGGCGTCGCTGGTGATAAATAGAGAAATGTCGGGCATGTTGTGGTTTGATAAGGGGCTGATTAGGTTTGCATGGGTCTGATTATCAACAAAATTCAACAAATGTGTGGTGGCGCATATTTCGTGATGAACAGACCAAACAGCAAATACTCATTATTATAGTACATACTGTACGTACAAGAAGGGTATAAAAATTGATATCATCCGAATTTAACTAAAGATACCATGCTATTGCTTCCCTGAAGTAGCTGCAGGATGGGTTTTGTGAGCCTGGTGCGTGCAGTACTGTCCACCGCTTTACGAGTAGTCAAATGAACTTTATCTATTTTTCCAACTAAATGTCTGATAAATACACCAGAAATACTAGATACAATTGCAGTAGTTAACGAGCTACCATAAGTGGACAGCCACAACTTTCATCGTACGGGAACACACAAGAGGCACCCATAACATGGCATATTACAAAGATTTTCTTCTGGCCCACAATATGTTCAATGCTTACCAATACAGTACTAATACAGTACTTGTAGCTACTAAAACTACAATGCGAAACTACTGTATTCACCCTCACAGCTCTGGCCGGTCCACTACTTTTTTTTTTTTTTTCTGCATAAACATTCATTTAATTATAACTTTGCTGTGAAAGAATAACCTTTGAAATGAATGTACGCTTACACGAATATTACTAATTAAACACGTTTAGTGTCATGGTCCAACTTGGCACGTACCTATTTCCAGTAAAAAAATCATAAAAAAACCTGGTTCAGTCCGTGTTGTATGTTGGTCCACATAGCTTCGCGTGTTTGTTCGTTCATCGGGAAAACGCCACTCCAGTCTCCAGTTCTCTAATCTCAATCCTTCCATTGCCCTCTTCGTTTGCATTGCCTTTGAAAACGTCTCCTTGTGGTTCTTCTTCGTCATTGGTTTGGTTCTGCGTCCCCTGTGGTGACTACGCGCCCTGCTACGCTGTTCTCTCGGTGGCCTCGGCCGCCTTTTACGCTTGCTACTTCTTATTGCCACCCTAACGATTAACCTACAAGTGCAGTATCACTGACTATCATTACCAGGGCTTTTACTGTTCACACCCACACTACAGTTCAGGTTATCCCCTCATATAGCTATACCCCTGACCTGTCAATAAACAACATGACCTATCGTTCCTATTTTAATAATACGTATGTCTTATTTCTATTTACAAAAAAAAAAAAGAATATAAAAAACTTATGCACAAGATGCACGCTTTCTCTCTCTCACACACACACTTGGTACTCCCGTTTGTTCACACTGTGCACGCAGCACAGAAGACACCACCCCACAAATACAGTTCATGTTAGCATCACCACCAAATAAATGCACCGTGACAAACGCCAGCGAATGTCGGACTCAATTCCCAGCCAAAAAGACCGCAAGTACGACCGTCAGCTACGACTATGGGCCGCATCGGGCCAACGTGCACTCGAAGATGCGTCCGTGTGTCTTCTGGGCTCGTCTCCAGTCGCCACGGAAACCATGAAGAACCTGATTCTGCCCAATGTCGGCTCCTACACCGTGGTGGACGGTGGCAATGTGACAGAGGACGATCTGTCGGCCAACTTCTTCTTCGATTCAGATTCAATTGGAAAAAGCAAGGCTCAAAGTGCCAGTCTGTTGCTTAACGAACTCAACAAAGACAGCACAGGCTCATATCTGGACCAGAAGCCCAGCAAAATCGTAGCATCCAACCTCTCCTACTTTGACCAGTTCAGCATTATCGTTGCCTCTGTTTCTTCTTTCGACAAGTACTCGGATCTCGAGGCCCTTTCGGAGTACCTCTACTCACACTACATCCCACTTGTGGTGATCTCTTCGGCGGGATTTTACGGCTACGTGCGAGTGGTAATGAAGGAGCTCCCCATCATTGATACACATCCGGACTCGCTGGTAGATTTGAGATTGGATAGCCCCTGGCCTGAGCTGATGGAGTACGTCAACAACTTCCCAGAGCCCGAAACGGCAGCAGCACGAGATCATGTCCCCATGATTGTTTTATTGCTCAAGACGGCTGATAAGTGGATCAAGGAACATGAGGGAGGTCTTCCCACTAAGCGAGACGAGAAACTGGCATTCAAAAAACAGGTGGAAGCATTACGTCAGGGAGACAGCGAAAACGTGGACGAAGCAGTGGCCGCAGTATGGAGACTGTACCAAAAGAGCAACCAGGTGCCATCACAGATCCGGGACCTTTTTAATTTATCTGCTGAAGACTCTACAGATAGAGATCCGACCTTCTGGACTCTGGTTGAAGCCCTCAAGGACTTTGTGGCTGAGACGGGTACTTTTCCCCTGTCCGGAACCGTCCCCGATTTCAAGGCATACACCAAAGACTACGTTGATATCCAGCGTGTGTATAAGGACAAGGCAAACAAAGACCTGTCCAGGTTCAAGGAGATTGTGGCTACAAAGGTGGTGGAAGTTCCTGAGACTGTGATTGAGGAGTTCAGCAAGAACTCTCGATTCATCCATCTAGCTCGAGGAACGTCTCTAACCCATGACATCAGTCCCGAGAGTCTAGCCCAGATCACTTCTGAGGATGATGATCTTCTGAAACTCTACTACGTCATTCGAGCCAGCCAGATGCTGGGGGGTAAACAGGACGCGTTTTCGATAATGACCAAGACTAACGAGCTGGGAGTTACTGCTGACGTAGTGGAATACTCTCAGGAGGTCGCTCGATACGAGGGCCGAGAGCTTCATAACATTTCTAGTGTTATTGGAGGGGTGGCGTCTCAGGAGATTGTCAAAATTCTGGCTAAGCAATATGTTCCGTTGAACAACACTGTGCTCTTCGACGGCATTGGCAGTAAGATGGAGAAGTGGTTGTTGTAGGTCTGCGACATATAGATTAATTGGATAGGGTGGGGGTATGTGGATCAATCTAGAAATGTACCTCATCAGGAGACCCTGGAATAGTCTGTTTCTACCAGCGACAAGATCAGACAGTTGATCATGGACTCTGCTGTCTCATATCATATTCCCGATACGGGCACCTTTGTATCACTCGAACAACAAAGAACTTGATTACACAGCAGAACGTGTGTATTAAATTTCCCCTCCCCTACCAGTGTAATCAGCAAACTGTGAACTGTGGATATGGCATCCGAGGTGCAGGATCTCACTCTTCAACCCGACCAGTAAAAAGCGGTTGCATTTCAATGGGGTTACGGAGCAGGTTATCGACGGCTTTATTGGACGTTGCACTCAAGGGTCTGCCAGATGGAGCATACCCTCCAAGCCAGCTATCCAAGGTGCGGAAGTACGAAAACTTCGACTCTAAAATTCCGTGCAAGGACGACGACGTGATCGAGATACATTCATTGATTTTGGCAAGCCAAATGGTCCTTCTTTCTTTTTTATTTCTCAATATACTGTATTTGATTAACTACAACATCATTCAAGAGAATAATTTTGGTATCGAATGCAAGCAAAACGGGGTTCATTGGCAACATGATGGACAATCATATGAGCGAGAAGAGCTCCAAGAGTTACTTTACTGTAGGCTACCCGATCAAGTGGGTCGAAGCCATCGTTTTGTATCCCTACAAAGAGAAGATACACTTGAATTCCCTACAGCCAACGACGTTATTATCGTTACTCAAATGTACGATATACCTGAACTTTTCACCCAGGCCATGAGACGAATCAAGCTTGAAGATATATGGATGTCCATCATGTTATCAACACATGGCGGAAGGTGAAACCACACAACTGAGCAGTCGGTGACTACTGAGCAGCTCCTGTCAAACAGAAGATGGCCAAGTTGCATAACTCATCCGACGCCCTGAACGAACTTAGTAAGCTGGAACTCTGAGAGCTGCAACCTGTCCTTTATGGCAAGACCCGAAATGAGGGAAAGGCCAAAAAGAACAAAAACCCCAACTCCACCAAAACCAACGACAGTAACATTAGAAGATAATGGGAGTTTCGTGTTTGTATCAATAAAATAATATATTAACATCAGTAGTGTGAACTTCATCTTTCTTTCTGTCTCTCTCTTCCTGTCTCTCTCTGTCTGACAGTCTCTCTGTTTCGTCCCCATATATACCTATATTCTTTGTACCAGCGTCTCCCCCCCTTCTACCTTGGTGAGTCCCCGATCCGACGGACTCTAGGCTCACCATCCGTTGATTGTCACCGCACCATGGGCACCTTACCTTTGAGCTCTTCCTTGCTGACCTTGTAGAACCAGTCCTTCTCCTCGTTGTACTCGTACATAGCCCAATCCACACCGTAAGGCTTGGGCTCAAGACAGTAGAGAGTGTGGAGAGGAATGTCGAGGTCCCCAATGGCACTTCTTCCGAGATTCATGAAGTAGGCCAACAGGACACGAGACACAACTCGATGACCGATAATCAGAGCATGGTCATGCATTCGTTCCAGCTCACAGATAATTGGTCGAAGTCGAGAAATGACATCTAGATACGACTCACCTCCAGGTCCAGGGTACCGGTATTGCACCTTGTCCTTCATACGGTTCTCGTACTCATGAGGATACGTGGCCTTGATTTCTGCGTACGTCATTCCGTCACAGATACCCGCTCCAAGCTCATTCAGCATACGCATCTCCTTGACATCGTAATGTTCCTCGTCAAAAAAGGAGGCTGTTTGTACAGTTCGACATAGCATTGATGTCCAAACACAAAAGTTGGCCTGTGAAGTGTTAGGAGCAGACGTATTCGCACATGTGGCAGGTGAACAAGTGGCGCAGTTTTCTTCCAGTGAACAGGTAGTGCTATCTGTAGGGGCAGACTTGGCCATACTGTCATTGGACTCGCTCGATTTGGCCGAATCAGTGGATTCCTTGCGATCAGTAAGATTCACAGTCGAATGATTGACACTATCTGAGGTCAGAGTAACCACAGGTACATCGCAAGGTGGCGGAGTAGGCTCGAAAGGTTCATCCAAGCCTCCTGCGCTGGTGTCATCAATGGCAGCAGACTTGGCTTCCGCATCCTCAGGTTTGTCATAAACACTGGGCATTCCATCCCCCACCAGTTTCTTGATTTCGGCGATGTTCTCCTTAAATACCTGCTCATCCAAATGAGCGGACGTGTCAGCGTCTCCTGACTCGGTCTGGGGATAGATAGTTGACGACCCTCGTCTCTGCAGTTCCTCCAGATTGAGCTTCTCTCGCTGTCGTCTGTCAAACTCTCCTCTCTGGTAGTCCATGAATCGAACCAAAGCCTTAGAAAATTTGATTCCACGAGGAGTCAGTTCCGAGTCGCCCCCAATTCGACCCAAGACATTGTCCTGAGACTCTCCATGTCGGGTGATCCAGATCTGACGTTCCAGAAGGTTGAAATTGAACAGGAAAAAGACCACCTGTCCAGCCAAGAAACCCTGAATGTTGAAACATACCACCTTTCGACCAACGTCGATCATCTTGACGTACTGAAAGCCCTGCATATCCTTCTCCTCGCTGTCCTCCACAGTCTGATATGCCTTTTCGTAATTTCGCAGACGTCCGGTAAAGTCCTCCAGAGCAGTCTGAGGGTCCATGTCCTTGTAATCAGGCCCCGACAGCTTCAGTCGGATGTTGCTGTTTATGATATCGATGTCTGTACAGACCGATTCAAGGAACAGCACCTTCAATTGACCCTTGGATTGCTGTTGAATCTTCTCAAACACATTCTTTCGCCGATCTCGGGTCGTGTTTGTGGCATCCAGGATACCCACAGATCCATTTCCATGCAGAACATAGTCCAAACATTGTTGGAGAGTCTCCATTGCCCAGATTTCTCGTTGGGCAGTGCTCTGGGGGTTGTCGGGCGAGAAGAAGGATGCATCATGAGAAGTTTCGTTGTGGTGCTCTTCGTTGGGGTCTTCTACTCCTGCACTTCCCACCGCGGCCTCCTTGGCTTCTCGTCGAGTGTTACCCACGTTGAAGATCCGCGTTTTGTGTTGCTGCCAGTTGAGATACCGGCACAGCTTGTTTGTAATGTACGATTTGCCCCGTGCTGGCAGTCCCACCATGACCACTATCAGCTTGGATCCCACATCTCTGGAACTGATCATACCATCGGGAGACACCTTGGATCTTGTCTGTCCCGGCACGTCCAACGTCGTTGCTCGTGGTTTCCGTTTGTGGCCCGTGTAATCGGGAATGTGTAGGGTCGAAGATGAGTGCTGTAGGACCGGTTTTGTCGGATGCGTCTGCACCTCTGCTGGAGAGGCACTAAGAAACGCAGATTGGGGTGTATGTGTTGGGCTGAAGTCACTGGTTGGTGCCCGGCTTGTGTCGCTGACTGTAGTGCCACTGGCACCTTGTAGCATGGACAGAATGCTGCTTTCTCTGAGCTTGACGACCGGCCGCTTCTCAATCGTCAGATAGTCCTCCCCGGACGCGCTGAGATCTAGCTGTGGTGGCGTCTGTGGTGGCGTCTTGTCCTCGGCCATGAGGGGCGTGTCACTTGGTGGACGTCGTTGGAAGTGCTTGAAAGAAGGGTGTCTCATGATAGACGGGGCTGGTGCCGAAGAAGCAGCATTACTGTGTGTTTGAGATGAGCTGGGGGTACGTGTAGGCTGCTTAAACGAGGGGAATACCGGCGAGCCATCTTCCGGGGTGGTCGCGTTGTCGCTCATGTTTTGTGGCAAGAGTTTGGTGCGGTGTTGTACTTGTCTAGTTACGAGGTTGGGATGGCGAAGGAGTGGGTTTTAGGGTGTGGTGATAGCTGTCATGCAGCCAAAAAGTTAGCTTGTTGTATGGATGGATTATAAGCACCACGCCGTTTGAAGAGAAGAACAGAGTTCAACCAGAAGTATGGCAGGGCCGTTGTTTGTTGGTTTAACCAGTTGGTCATTTGACGGGCATCCGATTTTGTAAAACTTGTAGTCCTCAACCATGCCCATAGTGCTACTGTTGTTTGCATACTACACCACATCACCTGCACCACTCGTAACTGCGGATAAACAAGACGGTTATGATGCTGTCTATTGACGCCGCTGCAAGTCGGAAAAACATGGCACATAGGCACAGTTGGCGCACGTGAATTTTTGGCGGGGTCTCGGGAATCGATATTTCGGGCCGTTAGCTAGCGCCCAGGGTTATTTTGGCCGCTGTGGACACGTAGACCGGCGAGGTTTGGGCTACACCTTTCCCCCCTTTCCGTTCTATCTATACTGTATTTTCGGTGGTCGTATTGAGTCCTAATTTTTTACAGCCTTCCTTTAAAAAAATCCTGTACAGATTTTCCGGGCCCAAGTTTATTGGCGAAAGATTATCCGACGCACGTGGGTCCGATTGTTGGCGTAAGACCAGTGGGTCAGGCGAAGTTTCGGTGCATTTCAAGCACGTCAGGAAAAACAAATGGGGCCAGCAAGGCGAAAAAGGAAGACGGGGACGTAAAAACAAAATCGGTTTCACCTGGAAATAGATATCGCCTAACTCTACAAGTAGCTACCGTGACCATAACCAAAACAGACTAGCACACACGGCATGTTCAAATGGCCATACAAACAGACTAAAAGGGGCCAATCAGTGGGTTAGTTGTGGTCAGCCCATTGGACCATCACTCCCCCTGGTGACCGCTCACAGAGAGAGTGGTGGGTTTTTTTGCAAAAGTAGCATCTCAGCCGCATTAATTAATTGGAGATCCTGTGAGCCAAATCGATTAATGCACTCATCGTGGCCGCGGTGCGTGCCACAAGCACTACTGATAGAGACAGTTTGGGTGAGAAAAAGACAACACTTTGAGAGGGAGCCAGAAAGAGGGGGTTGGCCGACATCCCTTCGCGGTCGGCCTCAATGAGACCACGGGCCTCATTTCCCGTACGCCACCCTCCAACACATGACTGCTTGAAAACATGTTTCAGTTTGTTTGGTCAGGCCCAACGAACCTCTTTGTCCAAGATTCAAACAACGGTTGTGCACTCGTAAGGCACATCCAGGCACAGTGTGCCGGTAGTGCCGTGCCGTGTCGTGAAGAAGTTGAGCATATTATATCGTCTGACGCCTGAACATAGTGTCTGATTGTACCAAGCCACTTCAGCCATTTATTCATTATCTCGTCATCGGCTATTGAACGGTTATTGACAGGGGGCGAGAGGGTTATCCACCTCCTCCACAGCTCAACAAGTTTATATCATATGAACTCTACAAAAACACGAAACGCTGTATTGTACGAACGAGTATCGTACACTTCTACTATCAATGAATGATACCCTTTCAGTAAAACGAGTCGGATCTCACCTTCATGCCAACTGTTTTCATACGTCAAAATGAAAGGCACTTATGGACAAGGTGGAAGTACGAGATTTAGGTGACTTCTGTAGATCCAATATTTGCAATACACGAGACACTGTAGGTGCGTTAAAAGCTCGTTTTCCGTAATGGATTACCATGTCTCCACATTCAGAGTTGCTACTATTTGTAGTCATCTTTCCTATTAATCAGTCCTACTCGCTGCCTGGAGAAAGTAATCTGCATTGTCAGGACGTTCAAGTATATTAATTATCCTATTAATTATCAACCCCTACTCGTAACCACACATAGGTATTTACTACAGCGTCGGACATCACTCACTTCTACAGCTGTGGCTATACGAATGGTTTCAATTTGACATCGCCATAGCCAAAAACCTATACAAACCTGTGCCTGTCACCTACCATATGTACAGGTAGCTCTCTCTCTCTCTCTAGTGCAGTATTATGCAGCTGGCACGACAAAAACTACCGATGTCCATACTGTATCATAGTTGCTACAAATAGTTGTGGGTCTTCCTCTGTTTTATGTACGGATTACCATCTATCCTCTTTGATACATAATTCATTAGTAAAGTCAGTTATATAGCCAACAAAATGCTGCCGGGTGTTTACGTCGATACGCCACCATCCAATGCTCCAGTTGCTCAGTTTGACCTCTAAGGGCCGTACAGCGACCCCTCGACATTGTCCAGAAGCGAGTACTGTCGAATCAGGTCACACTCGCCGCCCTTCTCCAGATCGAGAGTGTACTGGTAAAAATAACCTTCCAGAGTCACCACCAGCACCTGAGGAGGGTTGGTGGAAGTGACACTGACCACCGAACGGGTTCCGGGGAGCGACGTTTGTTTGATGAATGCAAAATCTCGAAGCGGCTCCCACATTCCAGTGAAGGTCTGGGGCAGGTATGAACCAACAGCTCCTGCCAGACCCTTTCCAAGGCTTCGAGACGACTTCCGAAACACCGAAGCCATACCCTTCTGTTGTGGGGTACGTGTGGGAATAGCCAGCTCCGTGTCCTGGGGCACCTCGGGAGTGCTGGACACGCCCGCTTCGAGCTGGAAGATATGGACTGTTTCTGTGGCAGAGGAAACAGCCATGAGATTGGAGGCCAGATTAAAGTTGATAGAGAAGATCTGGGCCGGGTAGGTGCCTCGACGGAACTCGTAGAGCTTCTGGGCCTTGGGAACGCTGAACACTCGGATGATTGTACCCTTGTCGGAGGCTGTAGCCAGTAGTGTACCGTCAGAGTTCAATGACAGGCATGCCAAGGGAGTCTTGTGTGCCTCGACGACGTTCACGGGCTGAAGAGAGTTGCAATCGAAGATGGTTACATCACCCTTTCTATTGGGAGATGAGTCGTTGATATTGTTTTCGCCTGGATTGAATGCAGTGGACGAAGGAGCTGGGAAAGGGTACACCAGGTAGTTGTTGTTGTCGGAAGAGGAAGCTGACAGGGCGCAGACGGCTCCAGGGTTGGGGCTTGTCTCGATTGTGTGCACCAGTTTCATGTTGCTAATGTCGTAGATGTAGATTTGATCCTGCAGGAGCACCACCAGACGTTGTCGGTTGAGACGTACCCCTAGAACAGCAGTGGGAAACGTGAGCTCGCAGATGGTCGACTGTCGTTTTGTGTTGACGATTTTGAGTCGGCGAGGAGAGTTTTGTGGTTGGTCGCCCATCCCCACAACGGCTATTAACGAGGTACAAAAGAGCATCTCCACAATGCCCATGCCTCCGTCGGCCTTGGAGAAGCATTTGCCGAACGGGTCGCAGTTGTAGATTTTGTAGCCCTGAGGGGTGCCGACAGACACACAACTGTAGTCCTGGTTGAAGGACACAAAGTTGATCGAGTCGGACATGATAAGGAGAGTGTGGGTTGCTGTGTTGAGTGTTGGTGATGATGAGCCCGTAGGTGTAGTAATTAACTTGCATATTTGGGAGTGCATGAGCTTATCGGGATGGACTGGTTGGTTGATTGGACCGAGCGTCAATTAGAGGTGTATTAATTGAAGTTCGAGGTCAATAGAAGTAGAAGAACAACGTGTGGTGCAGATCGGGTCTCATTTCGGTATATATTTGTTGTTTCTTGTTCCATTGGTGTGCGTGCAATGAGTAGATACGGGGTCATACTGATCCGGTGGCAACAGACATGAAGTATAAGTACCGCTTCTGATCGGTCTGAATAATTCTTATAGGATTACTTTTGTTAATTATACTGCTCAGTTTATTTTCATCCTTTTATTCCATTCATCTGATCTCTCAGATTCACTGCCGCCTTCTCTTGCAACCTTGTACCTGACCTTCCAGTTATCGCCACCAGGCAAGTTAATGTCAGGTGATGCTACTGCATCAAGAGGAGTGGCATGCACCTATGAGACGAACAGTGAGAGTGATGGTAATGAACTTATGAAATGGTGAGGTGAAACGCGTAACATCAAATCGTAACCATTTGTACTACAAGTGGGTGCTTCTGGCCTTTGAAAGAGGAGTATTGATGGCGGTGTGTATTAGAACGTGGGACATTTCATTCAATCAAAACGTCAAGTGTAATCTGGCTCATGATAATATTCAATGATATGTGACATAATGAGTCCCAGACAGTGGAATTGAGGCTTCTCCAAAGACAATTAGATACTTGTGCTGGACAATATCAAGGACAAGTATCTCCCATGCAATTTCTACATATTTAAACCTGATAACTGATTTACAATTCACAGACATGTCTACAAGTATATACCTAGTGATTACATGACTATTACTCATGCAGTTAATTTTCTGACACAACGAGACATTAGACCCATGCAAAGCAATCAGATTAGACACAATTTTTGGGAGGAAATTTATTGTCTTGTATCATACGTGAGGTCGTACCTCTGGCATACTGTTAATTATTCGTATGCTTCCAAATACCTGCTATGGAGAAGTACAGGCTACTACATACTGTACTCTCTACTGCACTGTACACTCTACTGCACTCGCATTCTTAGCCAAATCTACACTATTAACATTGCAACTGTAGGATTGCATTAGAGCTGGTTGAAGGCGTCTCGGGAGACGATTCGACCAGTTCGAGCAGCATGGTGCCATTCGGCGGGGGATCGGGGTCGGTCCTCGGATCGGATGATGGATCCAACGGACATGAACAGACCAAAAGTAGCAGCGGAGCCAGCCACGTACTGTCCGAGGGTCTTCATGACACCGTTGGGGCCAGCTCCATGGGTGAAGATGGCGTAGCCTCCAAACATGAGACCAGTGCAGCATCCGACGGCGGTCTTGGTTAGTAGGATACAAACGGGGGAGACGAGTCGAAGGTCAGGAGCGGACAGCGTTCATGACAGTTACCAGTCGAGGAATCTTTGATGACGTGGCCAAAGTTGCTTAAAATGTAGTCACTCGCCATGTGCTAGATCCGGTGAATAGGCTGTGCTTCGCATTGTAGTTTAACCGAAACGGAAAAACACAAGATGGCGAATGAAAGGAAACTCAAGATCGAACAAGACGCAATGGCGATTGCGGAGTTTCAGACGATGTTGCATCCTTATCTCTTTTGCTGACGTGGCATTCATTTGTTGTCCTCCATATTGTCAGCTTCACTCATTTCATCAACCCAGTCAATCACTCCGGTCCAAATATCAGTCCACTCAAATGGCTGTTTGCCAGCAATTAATACTCACTCCCATCAAAAGACCCATCTTGAACTTCTCAAAGTTGGAGGGACCCTGCTGGCCCTGGAAAACAGATGGTGGTGGTGGGGGCATAGTTCTTTCTGGCTTGTCTTGGTGTGGAAGAAACGTAAAAAAGGTGGTTTCGGCTTTTGCTGTTAAAAAAACCTAACTTAGTGGGTGTCAAAAAACGTGCATGATGTGGGGGACCCAATGGTCTTATTTGTTGAATTTAGTTGGTGTTTCTCTTGAAAATATAGCAAACCTAAAAATCAATCAAAGTAAATGATGAACAAAATTCGAGCCAAGTAACACCACACGTTGTGCCTGTGTTAGGCACCACTTACGTAAATTGTGGCAAAAACCACAGGTATCTGTAGTCATTACAGGTATCAACAAGCATAAGAACGCAGATGTCGAATTTTACACTACGGCAGACTACAATCTAGCGGAATACTATCTAGCAGAAAACACATACTCTGCATACCCTCCATTGGCATAATTATTCGCATGCACTCGTGTGTGACCTACGGTGCCTCTTCTCTCAATCCATCCCATGTATTAACTATGCACGCTAATCGAAAAAGTCATCATCGTCGTCGTCCAACTCTCTCCGATTGATGATGATCTTGTTGTTGCCGGTAGTCTTCTGGTCCTGCTTACTAATCTGACCCAGCAAACTCACCAGTTCCTCCTCCTCGACCTTCTTTCGGATCTGGCCAGTCTGAGCCAGTCTTATCAGCATGTCTTCAACCTGCCGAGCTCTGTCTTGTCGCACGATTCGGATCCGCGAGAGTCGTTCTCGTGCGTTGGCTGTGAGAATTTGTGAGAGCTGGGTTAGTATGGGTAGTGAGTGGCCATATGTAACGAACGGACACCAAAAACACAGTTAACTGAATAACAAGTGTAACTAATAGTTGTTCAGAGACGACCAGATGTTGCGATAGCTCGTGTGGCCATCCCAAGCTTCTCTTGGTACCACACGTCCTGCCTCTGATCTTCCAGAATGTTCGAAAATACGCTCTTATACAGAGCGTGTCAGGCATTCTCATAAGCCCTCCAACTCTCCACCACTTTTAGAATGCATTCTGAACACTCCTCATCATACTCACAATAGCAACTCGACCTTCATCCTCAGCTCCTCCTGCCCCTCCGGCACCTCCTGGTCGTCCTCCCATCTGAGGCATGCCCTGCCCTCCTCCGGGAGCTCCTCCTTGGCTCTTCTGCAGCTCGGCCATTCGAGCCTGTCTGATGGCTTCCAACTCGTCGTTATCCATGGTGCTTTTGTGTCTGTAGTTGTGTTACTGTAAAGTGTGAAACCCTTACGAGCTGCTTGAATGATGCCTGTGCATGTTTCGAATATTTCAGTGCCCTAACCCTGAATCAATCATATCACTAGACCAAGCTACCTGCACCTTGGAATATGGCTGATTAGGTTCGGCTATCTAACGCACGGCATCAATCCCTCCCCACACACTTATTTCCTACCACGAGAAAAACATGAAGGTACTGATCACGGGCTTCAATCCATTCGATAACGACACAGTCAACCCGTCCTATGAGGCTGTTAAGAAACTGCCTGATGAGATCTACGTCAACGACCAGTTGGGTACCGTGACGGTGATCAAGGTTGAGATTCCCACGGAATTCAACACTTCGGCAAAGGTTGTGCGAGACTTGGTGGAGCTATACAAGCCCGCACACGTGATATGTGTGGGTCAGGCCGGGGGACGTTCGGGAATCACCCCTGAGAGGGTGGCCATCAATCTGGATGATGCTTCTATCCCTGATAATGCTGGCTACAGACCCGTTGACGAGCCCATCATTGCCAATGGAAAGAACTGCTACTTTTCGTCCTTGCCTGTCAAGCAAATTGTCAGAGAGATTTCGAAATCAGGGATGCCCGCTGGTGTCAGTGATACTGCTGGCACGTTTGTTTGCAACCATGTCATGTACCACGTGTGCTATATGAAGGAGTCTGGCGTGTTCCCCTTTCTAAAATCATCCGGTTTCATTCACGTTCCGTTTTGTTCCGACCAGGTTGAACGTGATCACCCCTGGTGGAATCCTCTCTCGTGGATCTACACACCTCCAAGCATGTCTCTGGAAGACATGAGTGCCGGCTTGGCCATTGCTATTAAGGAGGTGGTCAAGGGAGAATCAGGAGACAAGATTGAGGGAGGAGCTATTTGTTAAAACCATTAAAATTTCATTAAATTATTCATGTGCCATTGTTGGAGTCCGGATATGGGCTTTGGGGGGAGCCACGGGAGCGTAAGCACAAGGCTCGTTATATCTTGGGGGCATGTCTTCAGTTTCTGTGGTTCCAGATCTAATAGGACCGGAAATCATTTGATGAAAAGGAACGACACTGGGCGTTCTGTGTGACGTCACAAAACGTTGGAGCGATTGCTCGTCCTGAGTCCATGTAGGGAAAGGAGGGTTCGCTGTCTGGGTTGTAGCCCGCTGCAACTGTACGCGACGTCCAATGACTGCGAGTAGGATGAGGAGGAAAGTTGTAATGATAAAGCATATCGCTGTAGACGCGTTGGCCATGGTTATTGATAATTGTCAAAAGGTAGAGGCGGGCATCGTTTGGAGATGACATAACAGCCCATCCATCCCTAATCTATGTTGAACGTAGCGAGGCATACATTTGGACGAAATAGCTGAATATCTATGGGCAGGGATGAACCAACAGTCAATGTGAATATGGAACTTGAATGTCGTCTACCGCTTCTGTTACTGGCTATGTACATATTGTAGTGGTAGCTACAAGATCCTAAAAGCATAGTCCAAAGTTACAGTATCATGATTACTTGTACTTGCATGGAGAAACAAGCATAGAAACAATGTGGAGTTTTCGGAGCCCTTCAATTAGATCACTGAAGTATATGCTCCTCCATTAAATGGAGAAACCTTCGTTATGGCCCATCTACCAGTATGTTGCTCTCGTGGATAAGTCAACAACGAGGGGTCAGGTACAGCTCTTGAATACTAACCAACAATTACTGTAGCTCATTGTGCTGGCGGGAAACTGAAACTAGTGTGCACTATCTCGACAACTTCGTCATTGTTAAGACGAATGTCGCTCATTAGGTTCCAAGTCGTTACAGGTTTCTCCAAATCTAGATGATTTTATCGAACGATAATTGCTTTCCAACATGTGCTCTATCGTATTCCACAGAAGTGATACCGCGGGAATTACGAGTCACAGGCCTGTCGTATTCTCATCTGGAAACTCTTCACTCAACAACTCAATTGTGAGACAGTGTATCTCAGGGTGAAGACGGTCCGAACTGAGATGGCGAGTCAAGATTTTGAACAAGGGAAACCCTGTTAAGCAGGAACAACACAATTTTTTGGTCAAACTACAGAAACCAAGTTCAGTATCTGCTCCAACCAAGTGGTTTCGTTTACATCAGGTCGCTCATACTAACCCATGCAAGCACAAGCTCTGGCTTAGGTACACGAGCCACAAGTGTCGTACGATGATTTCCTATAATTTAGCTGAAGAAATCACCGACTAAAAGTGGAGTGTTACCCTTCACTATAGTGTGTACCAAAAATTTGAAGCAGCCAATCTTTCTCAAGTCTCTCAAGTCACCTTCCTCTTGGTATCAGATCAGGAACCTGCGAGAAAAGGTCATCTGTTGTATCAGGTTTGAAACAGTTTCAGATAGGATATTCTTTGGTTGAGAACCATGTTGCTGTCGAGACCTACTGATGAAAATACTGGCAAAATTCTCTGGGCTTATCGTTCCTTGTCCGAATACCAACCCCAACAGTCTGGTATAGATTGAAAACTGGTGATTTATTATAGCTAGAAGAATCTCTACAACCAGGCAAATTTGCTCTTTCGTTTTTTGTGGTCATTACATAAAAATAATTCTGTTATATACCGACCCATTCCGAGCTTTTCCGTTCTATTATCGCGGTGAAAGTGAAGTTAAAGACGCTTCCCGACTCCAGCATTAAAGAAGTGGGGAAATGGGAGGGGTACAGCAACGGACCTATTGTAGATGTAGCTTTGAAAGTTGATATACTGATTCCTATGGGTCTTTTCGTCTGTTTAAGCACTTTGAAGTCAACCACACCCCCTTTCAAATCAGCCTGCCACATACCGCCTCGTATTTTTATGTACCCCGCTTGAAAGTCTGATTAGTCGAGAATGTCAGAAACAAGCTAATTGTAGTGGAGTCAAAAAAGACTACTTGTAGACACTACAGTAGATAGATAGAAGACTAGAGGTCAATTGGAGATAGTACATACTTCTTAGACGACGGCACTATAGTACTCCTGTTCTGCTCAATTTGTTTTCTTTTTGTTCTCACTCTGTTCTTGTAAACTTTTGTGGCCAACTATCGTACGTTCTGTCAATTCAGTCCCCTTCAGATGAATACTTGTTCGTGATTACCGTAAATACACTTTTGTTGTCCCCCTTTTTTTATTCTACTGTTGTCTTATTCCGCCTGTGGCACGAGAACTACGATACTGTATCTGGAATGTCTCTCCACCCCCACCATACATATCCATGGCGTAGCCGAAAGTGATAGATGCAAGGGAATTACGACAAAGGAAGGTATGTACATACTCATGAATTTTCAGTGGCTTCGATCTTAGCGTGCGAACATGATTGTCTAGAGTGCTACCAAGGGGTTGAGCCTTGGAGGATTCGACTTGGGTGTATGTAGGGGCTCATTCTATCTCAATTTTCAAAATCTCTCTACGTTCTCTCTCTATATCATGTTGTCATCCCGTAGTCTTTTTCATACGATACGATACTTGACATAACCTCGGATGTACATATATCACACCCTGCCACAGGATGAGCTTGTCTCACATTGCAAGTACATACGAATTAATTAGTGCGTCTGTACTGTACCTTGGACGGAGCGTCCCACTTCTCCGATAATGCATGATGATTATTCGGGTTTTGAAGGTGGTGTTGATAATCTCATAGGACTACTATTTGAAAGCAACTGAATGTATGTGATTATTCTCGTGTGTATAGACTACATCCCTCGTACATTAGCTACCCCAACCACACCTTTTTTATCCCCTCGGAGGTCCCTTATTTGCCTTCACTTTTCCAGCATCCCCTTTGCCCTCCTACTTGTAGGTTAGACTCTCTCGACCCCACCTCCCAACAGCCCGAATAATGTGCTTAAAGATGGTGTCTGAAACCTAACTGTGAAGCCGGTCAGGAGATAATAAATAGTCCAATGGATCCACTCAGAGATCCTGGAAAACACATTCTAACCCTCAAAATGACACAGAAACAGGTTCTATCACACGTGGCAATCGCCCTCGGGCTGGCAGCCGAGATCGCACACTTTCTGACCCTTCTTCACAACACTACCAGCGACCTCCGAGGAGCGACTTGGATGCAACTGGCGTACAAGCTAACCTTTGTGGCTGCCGACTGGCTATTTGTTTTATTTCCCGCCATTATTTTTGTGGTTGTTGCCGCCAGAGACGCCGAAGACCATGTGACCCGCAAGCTCTACTTTGCCGCCGGAGCTGTCGCCTCGGCCACTCTTCTCTACACGAACCTCTTGGGAGGAGCTACTTATATCGTTTTCTTTGGAGGGGCTGCTTTGACTCTGATGCTAAGCGAGTGGAGCCGACGTGAAAAGTCCTTGTACGAGATGCAACAGGACAGACTTCCTTTTCAGTGATTGGGTGACTGTTGCCCGACACCTGACCTCATTACCTATTTATTCAATAAAATGCATCCCAAACTAGTAGTCTAACTAAGATCAAGTATTGAAAACGCGTACTTCAACCAATTCTCCAACTGGAAGCTCCACAAAAGTCAATACTTTGATACAACCTTAAGTGCAATTTTACCTAGAACTACGGCACAAGACACGTCAAAAGACATCATATACAGACACATTTTGAGAATAATTTGTTGATTATTGTTTCAGGTACACATCCGTACTTCTTCTAAGACCTTTTCATACTGGTAACATCCCGCCAACACCTTCTTTAGGACACCACCAAATCGCCACTAACGCCACTAGAACCTAAAGCATGAAACTCTAAAAATTTCATGTACATTATCTTTAATTCACTTGGGTAGAAAATCTCTTGATCTGAACAGTACAAGATGGCATTCAAAAACATGAAGAACTTATCTGGCAAGTCCCGGTTTGCGCGTCCCGTCAAGCCCAAGGTCCCCGGACCAGCACGAACGTTCCATCCCGTCTTCAACGGCAAGAAATTCCCCCATAAGGCCCCGCTATACAACACCTTCCCTCATGTGGAACCCAAGCCTTGGGAGGCCAAAAAGATGTCTCGAGACGACTACTACCGAGAGCTGGCCAGGAAGCGAAAGTTGGACGAGGATCAGGCCAAGAACCGCCTTCTGAACTTGCAGAGAAAGCAGCAGCTGATCCAGGAAAAGTATCTCAACAACGACGAGTACGATCTGATCGAAGAATCTGACAAGAAGAAGAAGAATGCTACCAGCAAATCCGATGATGAGTTTCTTACCCCCGATTCTCTTACAGAGCTCGATTATAAACCCAAGAAGGTGTACATTGTCAAGAAAGACAACCCTCGAGAGAAGGAAGGAGCGATTTTCAGAAACAGACAGACATATGATAAGCCCAAGCTTGACGAGCGATTCTTCGGTCAGGACGTATTGTACGGAACCCACGCCGTTGAGGCTTGTCTAACCAGTCACAAGCGTCGAAACCAATGTCTGAAGCTGTTTGTTGGAGAAGGAAAGCTTGGCGAGCCTGTTGTCAAGAAGATCATGGATATGGCGCGAAAGCTGCGAATCCCTACGGAGAATGTGGACCGAAACACTCTCAATCTGATCACCAAGCATGCTATTCATAACGGTGTTGCTCTGGTGACTAAACCTCTTGAGCTGGACGAGATTCTTGAGCTCGAGCCCTTCACGAAGGCCAACATTGGTCAGAGCATCTTTGTCAAGACTATGCGACATGGTGTTGTGATCTCCGAGCCTGCCAGCTACCTATTTAGCGAAGAGGAGCGAATGAACTCCCTCGAGGAGGTCGAGAAGACTGAGGATGCCACTGAGGAGACTGCTGCTGAGGTTGCTGAGATTGTGAATGATGCTTCTGAGGCTGCCAAGAAGAAGGACCCCGTCACTGAGAATATTTCCGAGGTGAAGCAGGAGATGAAGGAGACAGTTGATGAAGTCAAGCTGGCTGTTGAGAAGACCGCTGAGGAGGCTGAGGAGACTGTTTCTGAGGAGAACAAGCCTGAGCTTACTGCTATCGCTACTGACAGTGAAGCTGAAGCTATTGCTGATGCTGATTTTGTTACCCAGACTTCTGCCTCCTCTGAATCTCCCATTGAACATGAAGAACTTGAGTCTGAAGAGATTGACATGTCTCCTATCACTCCCACTTTCCAAGTGACTTCTTCCGTGGAGTCCCACCGTCCCAGACGATTCCCTCTGGTTGTCTACCTTGATCAGCTGAATGATACCCACAATCTCGGCTCGATTCTGCGATCCTGTCAGTTCCTGGGTGCCGATGCTGTTATCGTGACCGCCAAGAACTGTGCTCCTTTGTCTCCTGCTGTGGCCAAGACTTCCTCTGGTGCTCTGGAATACATGCCCGTTTTTGAGAACAGCAAGACCCCCGCCCATTTCTTCCAGAAGTGCAAGAATAATGGCTGGAACATTGTCTGTGCCGCTGTTCCTACCGCCAGCGGAGCTGCCAAGTCCAAGGCTGATAAACCTCTGTCTCTCCGACAGTGTGGCTCTTGGCTGGATAACAAGCCCACCGTTCTCGTTCTTGGAGGAGAGCATGGAGGTGTTCGACAGACGATTCTCAACCAGGCTGACCACCACGTGATTGTGCCTGCCAGCAACTCGTGGATCAAAAACAACACCGTGGACTCGCTCAACGTGGGTGTGGCCGCTGGTATTCTTATTAACAGATTCGTCGTAATCTAAGCGACGTTATAGAAAAGGATGGAAGGCTTGTATATAGTTAATTAATGCATTGATATGGTGTGGATTTGATGTAGTCGCTGAACCAGGTTAGGTCGATTTATCGCAGCATCTTGGTTCACGCCGTCAAGTCAGAAGCTCGACAAACAGACCCAGGCAAAACATTCACTATCCAACTATTTTACTCAAGAAGCGTTATCAAAAATTATGCTGCAAATACGGCACCGAAAGACGAGCCGCATCACCAAATATCCAGAAGTGAACACTGCTCCTCTCGTCACACATCCGGCTTGCCTTTTTTTAACGCTCTTACGATGACGGGATCCTCTTTAGGAAACCTCTGTACACAAGGTGGAGACAACGCACATTTTTCAAGCATCATGCCCACTCAATGCATTGCGTGTATAAGAAAGTACTGTAATAAGGTGCATTTAGGGGACTAATAGTACATGTACGGGTACGACTACACGTACAGTACAGTAATACAAGTAATATTTTCTTGGCTAACAAATTTCTTGATTAACAAATTGACAAAGATTTCCAGATCCGTGAACCGGTCAAACTTAATAAACTTGCCTTTTTTGGCATTTTGCAAATGTACGTTCCTACATGTTTTCCCCTATCTCGGACTCCGATGTTCACTGAAAGGGCCGTGTGGTGTGCCGTACTTTTATCCAAACTCTATCGCGCTATCAGTGCCGCATCTAGACTTGGCGATGGGGTCTGTAATGGCAGTAGCTGTGTAGCGAAGGAACAAGCTGCGTAGTAAAACAGGATTTGTTCCCTTCACTCATCTCCTACTCACTTTGAAGCTGGCTATGGCTGTTGACCACGTTCCTCATTGTCTTTTCGGATATTAAACTCTTCTCGTGCATACGGCTGTTAGTGGAATTATTGAGAGCCCGTGTGGGTTGATCCTGGGATGTTGAGAGAGAGCAAAAGTGGCTCTGATCCGTCGGTATGTACATTTTTATCATAATCCGTCTTTCCGCATCTCGATAGCATATCTATAACGTGTTCTGGTTTGAATCGTCACTGCGTTCACCAATCTCTGTGGCGTTGCGTTGGAGGTTAGCGCAAACCAACATCATACTACTTGTAGTAGGACTATACCATAATAAGGATTAATAGTACGCCGTTTCAACGTAACACAGCTGTTAGATACCAGCATCTAATGCAAGACAAATATCTGATCCACAATAAGTAACGAAGACCCTCAAAAAACCTACGACAACCTGACACAAGGAAGATGACCAATGCAGGTAAAAGCACGAGCCTAGTAGGAGTTTATTTTGTTGCCGAGATCATTACTTTGGCTATAACGAGTGTGCACTTTTTTGTAAAAGAAGAAAATGAACCTATAGTAACTATTTGTTACCACTTTTTAGCCGCTTAATCTACTCTTTTCACTCCCAGAGACCCATCCTCCTTCTGGTTATTGAACATCAAAACAATCAGTCATATCAACGCTCCCCAAATTCTACGTCGTTTTAAGTTCTCTTTCAATATATAAAAAACTCTGGCTTGGTCCGTGGAGATTCTCACCATCATAACGGATTCAATATGGGTGCCAAAGACGAAACAATCAGTCCAACGACATTCTCAAACCTGTCTGATTCCAGCAATACTCGCTCGGGGACCGACAACAGCCCCGAAAATGACATTATAGACGGGGCACACGAAAAGGATGCCGCAACTACAGATGTAACACCGGATACAGATGCAGTAGCACGTCCTACAGGCCCTCCACCGATCTCCAACGCCAAAAAGGGTCTTATTGCCGGTCTGCTATCTCTTTCCGTGCTTATTGTTGCTCTAGATCAGACTATTGTGACTACATCCCTACCCGACATTGTGGCCGCTCTCAAATCGTCGTCAGGATACTCCTGGGTCGGTGCAGCATATACCCTGGCGTGTGCCGGTGTGTTGCCTGCTTACGGTCGATTTGCAGATATCTTTGGACGAAAAATCACCCTCATGGTGGCCATTTTACTATTTATTTTGGGCTCGGGAATCTGTGGAGGTGCCAGCTCGATCAACATGTTGATTGGAGGCAGAGTGGTGCAGGGACTCGGAGGAGGAGGCATTTCGGCACTAGTCAACATCATCATCTCTGATATAGTGGCACTGCATCAACGAGGAGCGTTCATGGGCATGTTGGGAGCCACCTGGGCTATTGGAGGAGCCATTGGGCCGTTGATTGGAGGAGCTCTAACCCAAAATGTCAGTTGGCGGTGGTGTTTCTACCTGAACCTACCTATTGCCGGCTTCACCATGTGCATGCTATTCCTTCTACTGAAGAACAACAAGGGTTTGGAGTACGAGAATGATACTCGAACTGTGTGGCAGAAGCTCTTAAAGATTGACTTCTGTGGTATCATTCTTGTTGCTGGAGCCACTGTTTTACTTCTTCTGGCCCTTGATTGGGGAGGAACTACCCACCCTTGGGGGTCAGGCATCATTATCGCCTTTCTGGTGGTTGCCTTCGTGCTCTACGGCATCTTTCTTACTCTGGAGTGGTTTCAGGACCAACGGGAAAACTACCCTCGACCAATCATGCCTCCCAGCTTGTTTGCCAACAAGACCCGACTTGGAGGCTACCTCTTTACCTTCTTCCACTCCATTGTTTTCATGTGCATTTCTTACTTCATGCCCTTCATGTACCAGTCCGTCTACGGCAAGAGCCCCATGGGTTCGGCAGTCTACTTGCTTCCACAGGCCTTTGTCACCGGTGGACTATCTGCTGGAGCAGGTATCTTCATTGCAAAAACGGGCCATTATCTGCCTGTCATGTGGATCTCCAGTGTTATTATCATCGTCTTTACTGGAATGCTGAGCACTCTGGACGAGACCTCCAACGTTGGCAAGCGAATCTGTTACGTAATGGCTTGGGGTGCTGGTATTGGACCTGTTTTCCAGGCACCTCTAGTGGTCATTCACACCCAGGTTGAACGTAAGAACATTGCCATTAGTACCACAACCTGGAGTTTTGTGCGTATGCTGGGCATGTCCATTGGTATTTCCATTGGAGGTGTGGTGTTCCAGAACCAGATGGAGGACCAGATCAGTGACCCGGCCATCATCCGGCAGCTTCCCGAGTGGCTCCTGGAACCTCTGTCGGGAACCAATGCTGCTGCTGCTACCCAGATGCTCAACAATAAAGGGTCAGATATCAGTGCCCATGTGCTCAGTCTGGTGCGATACATGTACTCGCATGCATTCAAGTACGTCTTTTACACCTGTCTGGGTCTCTGTGGAGGTTTGTTGAGTGTGTTGTTGATTGGTAAGCACCAGGTCAAGATGAGAGGCGATCTGGGCAAGAAGGAAAAGCAGGAAAAGAGAGAAGCCGAGAACCGGGCGCTGTCAGAACAGCCGGGAGAATCAGTTTAAAATTAATGAATAATGACTAATGACTATAAAACGGAATATATCTGTACGGGTACTTAGGTGAATAATCAGATATGGCGAGGCATGCACTGCTGCTACTTACAGTACACTATGTACAGGGGTCTGTGAAAGCAGAATATATAAAGAAGGATTTTTGAACGAAATAGGCAACATCATGTTAAAGTAGCTACCGTACTACTTGTACTACACAATTAGGAATGTCTCAATATGAGCCATTTTAACCAATGTCTACTTGTTCACACGTTGATGAATCTAATTGAACACAGTAAGGATCATGACCAGCATAGAAGACCCAGCATGAGACACAGACGCGATTAGCACACATAATGCAAAGGGGAGCGTCCGACCAGTTACAAATCAATTTTAATATTATAGTACAACATACGAATTTTTGCTCTAGACACTGTTTGATGCTACATGCCCTTCTGAGGACCCACTTTGACTCGCTGCTTATGTAACTTCCCAACACTAAACAAACTTCGTCCATGGCGTTTTTGATCAACTAAGCGTATACTCACGACATACTGCCAAATCCCACACACCCACACACTACAGACACGCTATGGTGGAACAATACGGAATCACGGAGCCGATTTCCACGGCGCCCCCGACGCCCGAGGAGATTGCGCTCAACGGTGAGCTCATTGAGGAGCTTAAGCGACAAGGATCATTCGAGAGCGAGGCCGAGTCCAACAAACGGAAAAAAGTGCTGTTGATCATGCAGCAGTTGGCCCAGGAGTACGTGCGACAAGTGAGTCTCAAGAAGAACTTTTCGGATGGCATGGCCCGTGATGCCGGAGGCAAAATCTTCACGTTTGGATCTTACTCTCTGGGAGTCCATGGTCCGGGATCTGATATCGATACGCTGATTGTGGTCCCCAAACATGTGACTCGAGAAGACTTCTTTGAGGTGTTCGAACGTCTTCTCCGAGAACGGCCCGAGTTGGAGGAGATCTCTGCCGTACCCGACGCCTTTGTTCCCATCATCAAGGTCAAGTTCATGGGTATCTCCATCGATTTGATTTCGGCCCGTCTCGACATCCCCAAAGTGCCACTAGACCTGACGTTGGAAGACGACAACCTGCTGCGAAACGTGGACGACAAGGATCTGCGAGCTCTCAACGGTACGCGAGTGACCGACGACATTCTCCGTCTGGTTCCCAACAAGACGGTGTTCAAGCATGCCCTACGAGTTATCAAAATCTGGGCACAAAACCGAGCGGTATACGGAAACATCATGGGTTTCCCTGGAGGAGTACAGTGGGGAATTCTGGTGGCCCGAGTGTGTCAATTATATCCCAACGCCGTGGCTGCAGTGATTTTGTCGCGATTCTTCAACGTGCTTTTAAGATGGAGATGGCCCCAGCCAGTACTCCTCAAGAAGATTGAGGATGGCCCATTACAGGCGCGAGTGTGGAACCCCCGAATCTACTCGCAGGACAAATTGCACAGGATGCCCATCATCACACCTGCCTACCCTTCCATGTGCGCCACCCACAATATCACCGCCAGTACACAAAAGGTCATTTTGCGAGAACTTGAGAGAGGAGGCCAGATTCTCAACGAAATTATGCTGGGCCAGAAGCCGTGGTCGGCACTGTTTGAAAAGCACCATTTCTTCTCGGACTACAAATACTATTTATCGATTGTGGCGGCTAGCAAGGGCACGGCGGAACAGCAGCTCAAGTGGAGCGGTTTTGTCGAATCCAAATTACGACATCTTGTGCAGAAGCTCGAACTGCTGGACTCTATCGAGCTGGCCCATCCTTACGTGAAAACGTTCGACAAAGAGCATTTGTGCAACAGTGATGAAGAGGCTCTCAAGGTGGCAGACGGCCAGAACGTGGCAGCAGTGACTCTGTCGACTGACTTGGAGAAGGCTGTGGCCGACGAGGTTGGCGATGAGAAGTCAAAGGACGAGGCTGATCGAAAAGACAAGATCATTGTGTACACTACCACATTTTACATAGGCTTGGACATCAAGCTGGAGACCAAAGAAGGAGGCAAACGAAGATTGGACATCCTGGCACCCTGTCAAGAATTTTATAGAACTTGTCGAAGCTTCACCGACTACAACGAAGATATGCACAGCATCTTCATTGATTCTGTCAAAGCGTGAGTATACCACTAACCCCAAAACAGCTACCAAAACCCAACTAACACAGATACGATCTCCCTGAAGACGTGTTCAGACCTGACGAGACGCGACCAGAGAAACCTAGAAAGAAGAGAAAGAGAAAGGAGGCCCCCAAGGAGGGAGTCAAACCTGTTCCTGCGGAGTAGGCGTATTATACATATCCATAGGGTCAAAATACATTATAACGACAGCAGTAGAAATGAAAAACAACTATATAAAAGAATAAATTGATCGTGTTACATTTCAGTTGTGAGTGGTATTAACGGTTAATATACATTTAATACATTTTATACAGTTTATAGGTGAATCTACTTCTTTCGCTTAGCATCACCAGAGGGAGCGTCAGAAGCCCGCTTTTTTGTGAGAATGTCGTCAGTAACGTATGTGGTAGTCTCGGGTAGTCGCTTGACAATGTTATCAAGGATTTCCAGCTCTCCTTCAAGCACGATTGACGCCATCTTGTGCTTGTGGGTCTTGTCAGACTTCTCACCGTAGGTCTTTTTCTTGGACTCGACGAGTTCCGTCAGGGACTTGACAGCATCGTCGATGAGGAGACCCTGGTTGGACTTCTTCCACAACTGCTTGACGACCTGCTTTCGCAGGGACTTGTCCTGCTTGAGCTTGGACAACAGAGAGGTGTCCTTGGTGATGAGCTCGAGGAAGGAAATAAAGCACGCGAGATCAAACTCGATCTCGCCGGTCTTCCCGACCACAAAGTACTCGTCCATAATCTCGTACTCTCCCTGCCAGTCCTCTAGAAGATCGGTGGCCTCCTCTATGAGGTCCTTAGAGGCCTTGTTAGCGTAAAAATCGGAGATTTCGTCCATAGAGAACTCGACAATATCAAACTCAGTGCCCTCGTTCTCCACGTATCCGTATCGTCTCAGGAAGTCGCAGTTGGGCAGCTCGCCGTAAGTGTTGTATACCTGCTCACCCTTCTTAATGGGCTGAATAGCAGTCATGGAGAACCCTCCATCGTCTTCAGCAATGAGGTTGGCGTTACAGAAACGAGTGTGGGCGTTAAGGGTGTCAGCCAGGGGAACCATAGCCTTGACAAGACCCTCGTTGTACAGATCGTCATGCTCTATGTCCTCATCGTCCTCCTCGTCCTCAGAAAAGCTATCGGGAGCATCAAAAGAGTAGGCCATAATGAGACCTCCCATTCTGTGGAAAGATTCGAGAGAAGTATCACAGTCCTTGAAGTACTCGGGATGGGCATCAATGATGGGCTTCAGCTTTTCCTGGTAGTCCTCCTCAGCGCCAGCCTTGCCAATCTTCTTGACTATCATGGATCCCTTGAGACCCTCGAGCTCGTCGTCGGTCCACATCATGAGAGAGTCCAGCTGGGTGGGCAGGACGTCAAAGTAGGGCTTCCACTTAGTCATGGAGCCAGCCTTCATCATGTACAGAATCAATTGCAGCCACGAGTTGAGTTTCTTGGCCTCGGGGACCTGTTTGATGAAATCGGGGTCATTCTCAACCGACAGAAACGAGCTTCGGGGGATCTTGAACAGCACCTCATCCTCCTCTATGTCTTCGGATGCAATCACTCCTCGACCTTGGTGGTCAGATCGGTAGTCATGAATAGCGATTTTCGGTGAGATTTCGTACTTGAGATCACCGGCGAGAAAGTCGCTGAATGCTTTGGAGTCGTTTTCGAACGTGTCTGTCATTGTTGAAGGTGTCTGTGTTTTGGTTAATGAGTTTGATTTGATTTTTCAGACAGAAATACTTCTGGGTAAACAAATTAAGCTCTCAAAAATATTTCAGAGTTTGGACTATGTAGAGGGTGGTATTGTTGTAATAATGCTGGCTGGAAAGAAGAGATAAGATAAGAAGCAGTTGGGATCAACTTGCTGGTATTTTAAAGCTATTTTTCATATGTTTATCTCGCTTAGAACTGTACATCTTCTCAATATTCTACAGTTCTCCAAATGTCACACTGCAGCGTCATGCATCAACGGTGTCGACTGATTGTTTGACTATGGAGGTCGAAAAATACGAATAAAAAAACATGTTGAAAAATGTTGTATTTATTTTGGTTATTGGTGGGGTGTAGTTGGTTATCATTCGCTGTTTGTGCTTCATTGATATATATACTCTCTTGAAACTCTGACTTCAGCTCATACTTCTGCTTCACCGCTAGTTCTGATTTCCCCAGGGGGAATCGAACTCACGCCCTCAAGAGAAGACATCTCTAACTTCCCAAATAAGCTCAAAAAAAACTGGATTAGCCTTTGTGCCTATGCAGATATGTAAATTTTTTTGACATCTTCTTCATACACATCTACACACAATGGGAACTGGCAAAAAAGAAGCTACCAGACGAGCCAAGGGCGGCGAGACCGGCAACGGCTTCGGCAACATCCGTGTCAAGGGTGTCAACTTCTATCGAGATGCCAAGAAGGTCAAGAAGCTGAGCATGTACAAGGAGGGCCGAGCCAAGCACAATGCCCGAGGAGAGGAGGTCCAGGCCGCCACTTTCCAGTCCAAGGAAATCCCCAACGCTCGAATCGACCCCAACCGACGGTGGTTCGGCAACACTCGAGTCATTGCCCAAGACGCTCTCAATCACTTCCGAGAGGCCCTAGGCGAGACCAAGCGAGATTCATACCAGGTGCTGCTGCGACAAAACAAGCTGCCCATGTCGTTATTGGAGGAGAACAACAAGATCCCCCAAGTGAAGGTGGTGGAGACCGAGTCATACGCTAACACTTTTGGCCCCAAGGCCCAGCGGAAGAAGCCCCAGCTGGCTGTTGGAGACTTTGCCGAGCTTGCATCTGCTGCCGACGAGAGCCAGCAGGACTTCGAGGCTAAGAAGGAGGAGGACAACTCGTGGAAGGTGGACGGCTGGTCCCAGGAGGCCAAGGAGGCCATTTTCCACAAGGGTCAGTCCAAGCGAATCTGGAATGAGCTGTACAAGGTTATTGACTCCTCAGATGTGGTTATTCATGTGCTTGACGCCCGAGACCCTCTAGGAACCAGGTGTACCTCCGTCGAGCAATACATCAAGAAGGAGGCTCCCCACAAGCATCTCATCTTTGTTCTCAACAAGTGTGATCTTGTGCCCACGTGGGTTGCTGCCGCTTGGGTCAAGCATCTTTCGCAAGACTACCCCACTCTGGCCTTTCACGCCTCCATCACCAACTCTTTCGGTAAGGGTTCTCTGATCCAGCTGCTGCGACAGTACTCGGCTCTGCACCCTGACCGACAACAGATTTCCGTGGGTTTCATCGGATACCCCAACACCGGAAAGTCATCCATCATCAACACTCTGCGAAAGAAGAAGGTCTGCAAGACTGCCCCTATCCCCGGAGAGACAAAGGTGTGGCAGTACATTACTCTGATGAAGCGAATCTTCCTCATTGACTGTCCCGGTATTGTGCCTCCCAGTCAGAAGGACTCCGAGACGGACATTCTTTTCCGAGGTGTCGTGCGAGTCGAGCATGTCTCCTACCCCGAGCAGTACATCCCCGCTCTTCTGGAGCGATGTGAGACCAAGCATCTGGAGCGAACTTACGAGGTGTCCGGCTGGAGTAACGCCACCGAGTTCCTGGAGAAGATTGCACGAAAGCACGGTCGTCTGTTGAAGGGAGGAGAGCCCGACGAGTCTGGAATCGCCAAGCTGATTCTCAACGACTTCAACCGAGGCAAGATCCCTTGGTTCGTGCCCCCTCCTCAGGCCGAGGACATGGAGAACGTCAAGTTCGCCGCTGGAGAGGGCCGACTGGGAGAGATGAAGAAGCGAGAGATCCACGAGGCCCCTGCTGCTACTGAGACTGCCGAGGAGACCAAGGAGGAGGAGTTCAAGGGTTTTGATGATTAATTGGGCTATTTATAGTAATAGAGATGCATGCTTGTTTGAGTGGGAAAGTGTACAGTCTTGTAGTATGGCTAAGTAGTGAGGTGATACAGAGTACAGTATGTACAGTACTTGTACAAATAGTTAATCTACTCGTTTTGTACAATACTTAGAGATATGAATCATTACTTGGTACCATGTGAGGACTTATTCAGCGGCAAGTGTGTTAAATGCGCCCCCTCGTCTTCCCCGTTTGTCGAAGTTCGACTCCTGGTCAGATCAGGCTGAAATATAAGCTGTTTGGACCACCAGTTGTTTCTTACCGGAAGTCTGAATTCTCTGTTCCTCGTGTACAGTATAACCCCGTTTTGCTTGCAGTCGATACAAAGATTATTCTCTTAAAAGATGTTATAATTAAAGTAGTAGTAAGTTGCGCTGGGGGTACATTTTCACAGTTGCGGACATTGTGCAGCAAAATGCGGGGATGAATTGATAACTAGAATGCATCGTTTTAACAGGTATGCAATATCAGCCAATCCAGGTTGGTACACCGCTATTCTGTATTACAGTACCAACATTTCTAGAATCTCTGATATTTGCGAAATCATGAAGATGCTGTTATTACAGTACTTCAAGATTTACTTGACATTTACTCAGCATAGTATTTTTATCCAAAAGAAAAAATTAGGCATAAATAGCAGAAAATTAATTCCAGATAATGACTTGGTAAGGCATCGAAGCGGTCACCGATTCATAGTAATCTCATAAAAATACCTCCTAACATCGTTCTCGCAGCCGTCCATCTCACACTTAACCTAACCCTACACCGCCTTCTCCAGACCCATTCAAACTCAATCATCTTCAACTGCAACATGGACCGCCGTCTACGTCCTTTGTTTCCCAGCCTGCGCCGAGGAATCCAAACTCTGGCCACTGGTATCACTCCCGCTCAACTTCCGACCTACTACAATGCCTCCAAGCCGTGTTTACTGGACTTCTCCAGCCTTCACAAGCTGAAAGCCAACGAGAAATGGGCCACAGATGGACGCATCAATAACGAGTACTTCGAGAGCATTATAACCAAGGATGGCGTGGATCCTGCCGTTGGGGTAGAAAAGGGACGCATGGACCGAGATGCAGTTGAATCCGGAGGCGAAAGCAGCGACTTTCAACGGTTTGAAATGCCTCTCAGTTTCTTCTTGCAGTGCATCAACCATGAAGTGCCCCAGTTTCGAGACCTGTATCTCGCCCAGACATACTTAACGGACTCGCTTCCAAGTCTCAAGGACGATCTCAGTCCCAACCCGTTCCTTGAGAACGCTTCTGTTGAAGCAATTGGATTCTGGATCGGTCGAAACACCTTCACCCCTCCTCATTATGATCCCAGTGGAAACATCTATATGATGGTGCTGGGAAGCAAAAAGGTGCGTCTGTGGAAACCTCAGGAGAAGAATCCGCTTGGAACCGCCAAACTGGGCTCCAATTTCAATTTCCAGACTGGCAAGCCCGACTACGAGGTTACTCTGGAACCAGGTCAGGTTCTGTTCACCCCCCAAGGGTGGTTCCATGAACTTGAGAGCAAGGGACTCAGTGCTGCTGTCAACTGGTGGTTCAGACTGAATAGCTCGACCTAAGTTAATTGCATATAGATTTATAGACCCCTGGCACAGCAACTACGCTATCGAACTCATATTAACGTCTACGCGCCCACTCTCAACGATTAATTAATGCATCAACTACAAAGGGGATCTTCTAACGACGGTCAGGGCCTTGGGTCCGGCCTCATGGAATGTCTCTGCGAGCTCGCCATCCTTATGCAGAGCTCGCATCTCGTCTCCTCCTCCAAGAGACTTGCCGGCCACAATCACATTGGGCACGGTTCCTCGTCCGGTCTTCTGTTTCACATATGCCTGCAGCTCCGGGCCGCTGGGGTGCTTATCCAGCTCGACAATCTGCAGGTCGGGCGTGATGGCGTATTCCTTTTGCAACAGGTCCTTGACAAACTGCGAATGGGGGCAGTATGACTTGGAGAAGACAATGACTGGTGCCAACTTGAGAATCGACTGGTATTCCTTCTCGGGGTTGAACTCCTCGCCCTGGGACGTGGTCAAGTCGGCCTTTTCCTCGCCCTTGACGATTTTTTCTGTCTTTTCCTTCTCGCTCTTGTGGGCCACTCCCTCATCCTCGTTGACCTCCAGCACCTCCTTGTCGATGTTGTTGTCCGTAGTTTTGACGGTTTTTTGGCTGGACGAACGCGGGTCCACAGCCAGATCGTATCGCGGTCCGTGAACGGCGAAGATCAAAAGACCCACTGTGAAGAGGATGGCTGTAAGAATGAGAACTCGGGTTCTTCTGGTGGAGACCATGATGGCTGCAACTAACGGGTGAAAAAAATAAAATGGGATCGCTTCAGAGTCGCGTGGAGAGTCGGGCCGCTTGTGTGCCAAATTTCAGGTGGTATTTCCGGGTGTAGGGTGATGACGCGGTGTCGGTTCCACTGAAAGAGATGCTCAAATCAGTGTTCTCGACTCGCTTTCGTCGTGTCGATAGATAGATCAATCCAAACTAGGTTTGGGATTGCAGACCAACTGAAAGGCGTGTCACAAAAAGCTTAAGTGGGATAATGGAATGTGCAAGCATGGGCTATATACCTACTAATAATGGTATGTTCGGTGGCGAAACGGCCCTAACGGGGTGGTTGATCGTTAGAACGCGTAGAAATATTACCATTTGTAGCATTCAAGACCGGTCGGAACTCTCACCCCATTATTGGCAAACAAACAGCAACTGGTTAATCTGTGCGTCTGGTGTTGTGCTGCTGTGAGCTGCTTTTTCCTGTCGCCTCTTGCTTGCCCTTCCCACTTTTTTCATTTATTCTTCGCCTTCCTCACACCGGCTACAAAGCCTAAAGAGGACGTCGTGGGAGACAGATTGACATGGCCCCTGCATACGCATGGCACGCTTTACAAGGTGGATGGAATCAGTGCGAGTGGAGTGAGACCGATGGCAACAACGGAGCGAACAAGTACAAGTACCGATTGTATAAATAAGACTGCAGTGCGAAATCCATCACCGTCCACCCACACCCATGTCAACGCAAAAACGATGCCTGCCTTTGGACAAAAGCTGCTACAGGATCCCCTTGTAGTTATGATACTTAGCCAGAATCCACCTGTTAGTCTACTGAATATCCCCTCTCTAAAACGATGGCCTAGACAGGGCGAGGTCATTCTACGTTTTAGCGCTCTTCAAGTTTTTCTTAGTTTGTCCACCATATCCTCTCTCTGGTGGTACTTGTATTAATGCCGTATATTTGACACTATAGAACACAACTACAGTACATTCAATATAACTCCATCGGAGTGCTCTATCAACGTTTCCTCGGAACCTACCTGTATCCCTGATCAGCCTTGTGGAATCTACATCATCCTAATATCGTCTCTGCAGCTGGGGGTCTCTTCGGACTTCTACGTCTCTTCGGACTTCTACATCATACATGTGGAGTCAGTCTGGACAGCAGCAACGAGTCAGAGAGCTCTAACGACGCGTTCTAAGACGACCAAAAACAAATAAATACCACCGACGGGTACGAGTTCTTGTAGCTGAGCATACCTGCGTTGCATATGATTACTGTTTCACTATCACTGAATCATAATCCACCTCTGTGCTATTTTTAACAGATCTGAGCCATGGAACTCAATCGCCAATTCTGATAGTCCATTCCAACGAAGATTTTAATTAACCCAAGCAAACTCCGGATGAAGAAAAGCAAACACAAGCCTATTACAGAATTAATGACCTATTTTTGTAACTACAAGTATGCCCCACCTTTCCTATGACGTCATCGCAAATGTATGTGCTGTTAGCTATAGGTGTATGTACATTCTTCAGAACGTTCTTGCACCAAAACTGCATGGAAGAGCCGGGTCGATCAACACGAATAAAAGTAGTAGGTCAGGAATGGAACAAGGACAAGCCGTTAAAGAGATCTCTGTTCGAGCATGTACTGTAACCACAACCCATTAGTAAAAAGTCTGCTCTACTTAAACACCTCATGACCCTTCACTTTGCCGCTTCCAATCTCCATCTTGGCACTTCGGGCTCCAAATTGAATGGCGCGCTTTTTCTGAAAAGTTACCGAATCAAGCCCCACACTCCGAGCCACCTCTCGGAGTAGAAACTTGGTGTCTTCATCACGTGATCCGCTCAGCTTGAGGTTCACCGGGCAGGCCGTTGCCCAGGCAACCACGTCTTCGTCCAGAAACGGGTATCGGGCCTCCTTTCCATGGTGACAAATGACTCTGTCGTCTCGGCCGAGGTTTCGGACATGCAAACGAGAAAACTCGACCTGTAGAGACTCTGCCACGGCATCGTAACCACGTGTAAGACTCTGCACGATTCTCGAGTATCCTCCAAACAACTCATCTGCTCCTAGTCCTGAAATTACAACGTTGCTGGAGCATGCTTTGCTGGCAAAGTAGAAGGCGACAGCAATACTGAGATCCATAACTGACGTAGAGGGGTACATCAACGACTGAACAGTCTCTCGATGAGAGAGTGTCTCCTCGTAAGGAACATTGACTTCTGAGAAGATCATCCGACCATATTGACTCAGTGCCTTCAATTCTTCAAAGGTGTTTCTACCTAGGACCCGATCTGGAGTCTCGTACTCTTCTCCAACTCGAGGATTTTGGAAAGCAACGTTAACGAGCTGAATTGACACTGACGGAGGCAGATTAATGTCCGCCAACCGTGCGAGTAATGCACAGTCAATACCTCCTGAGAAGAGAATTGATATTTGCTCATATCCCACCGTTCTGACCGACAATGCATCTGCCAAAAGCTGTTTGAACTGAGTGGCATACTCTGAGATCACGTGATTTTCCAGCTCAATGACATCATTCGACACTTCCCTGTATGGATATATCAAGTTCGGATTAGTCTCATCGTCCTTGTATCCCCATAGATGCTCACTTATGCTAACTGTCACAACATCAAGCTCGTAGACTACTCCCCCCACACATTGGATCCAGCCTTGCTCTTCGGTATCCATCACATGATCGGTCACAGACGAGATCACAAAGTTCTCGCCATCAATCCTGTAGACTAGGGACCGTCTTCCTATGCAATCTCTTCCAAACCAGATGGTGTTGCCGTCAACGAACGCAAATGCATATTCTCCTTTGATGTTTTGTAATGCAGAAATGACGCTCGGGGTGTTGAAGAGCGCTTCCGAAAAAGCCACCGTGTCACATCCCTCCCCAATGTTGTACAACTCACCATTGTACATGACAATTTTGTCGTTCTTGACTACTGGCTGAGGTGTCAGCGGTGGTCTCAACGACAGAACTGACGATAAACAATGAACCTGTGAGCTGGAGACACGTGTATCGAAGCAAGTTGGACCACGTGACTTGACTCGATTCAATAGCTCGTCGTCTATCGTTCCCTTCCAGCACAGAATCCCACACATGTCGTTATTAGGGTTTCTCCCCGTTCGCGATGGAGATTTTTCAAATCATGCATGTATTGTACATATTTCATGCACATCGAGATTAGATAGTGGCTCATCACAGTAGCACAATACAGAACGCGTCAACTACATTATACTAGCCACTACAGTACCGTGCAGTACTGTAGTTATTGTGGTACTCATTAACAAGCTAGAATTTTGAATACCTCCTGATCTCACAGTAACACTGAGACTTGCAAAACTGCTGTTTCTCGGTCGTTATTCCAGCCATACAGCGAACCAAGCCACCAGTGACACAAACGCATCCCCCGCCATCCTTGTCATCAATACAGTATCTGAGCACCTCATCACTGGACAATCCTACACCCATGTATGAGCCATCAAAACATTCCAGATTGATTTGAACAGCAAGCTCGGAAGTGAGTGTCCTGTAGATGGGCTTTCCTTTGGGCCTAGTCTTCTTGGGTGTGCTTTGGCTCTGGCTTCTACCACGTCTTGTTATCTCGTCTTTGTTTTGACCGTTCTTCTCTGGGCTGGTGAGGATTGTTTGGGTAAAATCAAAGAGTGTCGCTTTCTGTATCACGTCGAAATGTCGATGAATAATGCTCTGTGTCTGATAGAATGCCGAGAATGAGTGCTGAGAAATGTAAGAGGCCGCTACCACAACAATTAAAAGATACTGCGTTAGAACTTGTAGTTGCATGTCGATAGAAGGTAGAAAACCAGGATTACAGTATTGGGGACTTATAAGGGCTTATGGTTGAGTTGTGGTTTCGACAATGGTACAGTACATATCTTTGAGGCACAGTTATTATAAGGAGAGGTCTGTTGACAGTGGCGCAACCTCAAAGGAGCACTGGAGGAGCCAGAAAGCGCTGTATTCTATGTGAGCTCTCATTTAACCATTATTTATGTTGCTATATCACTTCAATTGCATATATATTCTGCGTTAACACAAGTCAGACACTCAGACCGTTGGCCCCATGATGCTTTAGCCCCATTTTAGCGTCTCACTTGTGGAAGTTTAAGCGCCGAAGAAATCAAAGACCGGAACTACTCATAACACTGCAATACATACGTCATCAACAAAAAATAACTACAACCATGTCATGTCTGGACACGTGCAAATTTCTGTGCTTCTAGCGACAATGGTTACCCTACCTACACAAGTCCCATAGACTGTATTAAAGAGAGTTTCTGTGCATACATAACTCCCACATTATCGAGTTTATCGAACTTTATTCAACAACAGTACACAAGTTGAAAGCAGTGTAGTGCAACCCTCTGGTAAATCAAAAATTAACGGCACAGGCGACACATACGGCACAGCCATCCAAAAAAACACTCTCATTTCTCGTCGAATATCGCCAACCACTACACCATACATGTTACCTCCAGAAGTGTGGCTCAACATCTGCTCGTATCTCGACACCAACTCATTGCGTGCCGTCTCACTCACCTCATGGATGCTACATCAGTGTGCGAGTACTCGATTATGGAATTCGCCAACCAGACCCTTGCATGCTGTACGTCATGTGATCCCAGCGGGCTGGGCAGCGACGGAAACCACCACGGAAGTTATCGATCCAAATTCGCCTCCGCCTACTCCAGAGCCAACCAACCCTCTGTTTTCAGACTATGACCGACGCAGTGTCGGGCTTTTGAATACCCTAAACAAAACCCCCGACATTGAGCTGTATTGTCGTCACTTTGTTCGTCGTCTGCTGCTGGTGTACAATTCGTCAGACCCCTGGTGCACGCTGGATAGCGAGTTTGGACATGCCATGTTGACCAATACCAATTTTCAAACGCTCAAGGATTTGACCATATGCATTTTTGGAAACGGTTCAAGCACTGATCATCACCTGGTTAAACTCCAAGATGCTTTCTTTCAGTGGTGCTACAGAGAAGAAGGAAGAAACGTGCACATCACCTGTAAAAACAGCACGTTTCTGAGCGGAGAAAGCATCGATAAGTCGGTATATCTGGCCTTGCATTCAGTCCAGCTAGCTCGAATCAGTAATGAGGGACTGAATCAATTGCTTATGAACAGCAGTAATCTCAAATACTTGAGTGTCTGTTCATCTTCGATAAGTTCTCTCAAGATCTGTCTACGACACATGACAGGATTGGAATATTTGGATATGGATTTGCCACTGTTTTCACGAATTGTAGGCATTCCAGTTGGCCTTAAGACTCTCAAAATAACAGGGATCGACGAGTTACCTACAAGACTACTCAAGCTGGTTGAGAACGTCCATCGACTATATCTCGAGATTGAGGGACTGGAAACGGAGGGTTTCTGTCAGACGTCTCTTGAGACTGAGTTTGACTTTGTTATGGAGTCAGTTCGAGAGTTACACATTGTCGGTGGCGTTTCTGACCTGGTCGTTCTAAAACTTCTTGATATCACTCCTCAGGCTCGAGTTTTGGTTGTTCGAGATGCTCAGCCGTTATCTGACCAAGCGTGCTTTGAGTCACTGCATTGCAAGAAAAACCTCGAGATGATTTCATGGTCAACTCAGGAGGAGAGTGTTATTATCAACTGATGAGATAGGGTCTACTTATTAATTACCACAGTGGGAGGTTCTTTGGTGTTCTTCTTTCAATCAGCTAGTCGAGGGACCAGTCGTTGAAGTCCAGCGAAATGAAAATCATGTTATTTTCAATGCTCGTTATATGGGCCCCAGGATCATCTATCATGGCAATGCCTCGTGCTATCATATCACTCATCTTTAGGGGGGAACATACTAACAGAAAGAGAATGCTCAGTGGACGCCGTCACAATCTCGAGCTCAATTGAAGCACTGTTAGAGTAATAGGTGGCTTGAACTATCAGCACTGAGAAACAATCTCTAGAGTAATTCCTGATGTTTGGCTACCACTTGGACCAAATAAAATCGGCTCACAAATAATCAGATACAAATACTGTAGCTACTCGTGATAAAAATTGAAAGATAAAACATAAACAGATAATAATCACTAAATAGACTAGACGGGTGTCGCTAGAGCTTGTACTCAAAGTAAGGAGATCGATCACCAAGCTGGGCGAACTCATCCTCGGACATGCTGTCGTAGTAGCCAGAGGCAAGTCGCTCCTTCTTGAGGGTGTTCTGCCGGGTGTAGAAGATTCGCAGACTAACTAGACACACGAAGCCCAGGACGATGAAGCCCAGGTTGACGGAGTGTCCGAGTCGGTACTGGGGCTTGTCCTGCACTCGATAAATGTTAGTGGAGACGGCTCCAAGAAGGTTACCAATACCGATCTGCACGGCCATGGCCACGGCTCGCTTGTACGATCCAGACACGTTGTTGGAGATCCAAGAGATAATACCGGGAATGGCAGGGTAGATTCCAAATGCGGCCAGGTAGCAACCAACATATGTAGCAGCAGGGTGGGCTGCGGCAGAAATGGAGATAGCCAGAATGTAACCCAGCATCATGCAACACAAGTTGAAGGCGACAAAGATAGATCGCTTCTGCAGCCGGTCGGAGAGCCATGCCTGCAGCACACCCCAGCAGGCAGCCACAATGTAAATGGGGATGGTCAGTAGCTGGGCCTTGGAGGAGGTGTAGCCGAGGTTCTTGATAATGGAGGGCAGGAAGAAGGAGATGGAGTAAAGAGGACAGATAATACCCCAGAAGAGTCCGAGATGCAGCCAGGTCTGGATGTCCTTGAAGGCGTCCCAGAGGTACTTGGAGTTCATGGAGTCATCCTGGGCCACAGCGGAGGAGGAAGACTGGCCGTCAAACTTGATTCGGTACATGATGTACTGTCGCTCATCCTCAGTCAGGAACTTGGCGGTCTCAGGGTAATCGTAGAGAGTAAAGTAGGCAATGAATCCAACAACAACGGTGGCGATACCTTCGAGGATGAAGATCCATCTCCATCCCTCGAGTCCAGCGACGCCTCGCATCTTGGAAATGGCGAAGGCAAGTAGACCAGAAAATGCACCAGCCACGGAAGCGGCAGAGAAGAACATTGCCTGTCGGAACTGGAGCTCGGATCGGCAGTACCAAGTTGTAAGATAATATGCGACACCAGGGAACAGACCAGCCTCGAAGACACCGAGCAGGACTCGTGTAGCGAGAAGACCTCCATAGTTCTGAACAATGCCCATCAGAGTCATAACCAGTCCCCAGGCAACCATGATGGAAGGGAGCCAGATGGAGGGTCGGAACTTCTTGAGCAGCATGTTAGAGGGGACTTCGAGGGGTGCATAGGTGAAGAAGAAGACAGTGAGGGCCATGTTGTACTGCTCACCGGTGAGGTTGAGATCTGTAGAAAGGCCCTCGATGTTAGCGTTACCAATGTTACCTCGATCGAGGAAACACAGAAGGTAGAGAAGAGAAAGCATGGGGATGATGTGGAAGTCCATCTTTCGTAGCAGCTTTTTCTTGTCTACGCTGGGGTAAAGCTCCTCAGCGGTCGCCATGAGCTCTCCCGAGGCCTTCTCGGGGTCGGTGATGGTGATCTGAGTGCCATTCTTGAAATCCTCCTCAATGGAGGCGGATTCAATGTGAGTAGCGTCGGTCTTCTCCATGCTAGTCGGTTGTAGAATTAAAAATGAAGGGGAAGAAGGTGTTGAAGTAGTTGGAGTGGTTGGTTGGTTTATCGAAGGAAATCAGTCAAGCAGTGGATGCCTATACAAACTCCAAAGCCGTCGTGGTTGGAGTAGTAGTGGTTGCTAGTGCAGGCTTGTAGTGATTTACCCCAGACGCCCACGACACCTTTTATATTAAAAACGCCAAGGTGTCGACATCTGAAAAGACGCACAGTTTTGTGGGGTAACATGCGAGATAGCAAAAGTCGAGACCTTCTACGATTGTCGGTCTCTCATCGGTAACTGACTTCTTTGTGCAGATATGAGGAATAGAGAGACGTCAGAGGGGGATATGGGTAAACCTTAGTGCGCCAAGCTAACGAGGGGATGTCGTGCACTACAGCAGGGTGGCAAAGTCGGTGAAATCCGCGCACTCGGAAATTATAGGGGGTAAATGAACGCGTCTTTCAGACTTACCTTTGGCCTTCTCTTCTGCTTTTAACACTGAGTTTTCCACGCAACGAGATCCCAACAGAGTTAAGCAGTGTCGATATAGTGTCGTGTCCACAATTTAGCCCTTGACAGCCGCACATCAGCCGTGTATGTCTCGTTAGTTTAGACTAGATTTGACAAACTCAAACTCACAATTGGGTTCCTACTGCTCAATCAGAGCAATTGGGTTCGCTCTTCGCCTTGAAAAAAGTGGGGAAATGCATTATTATGACGATTCAACGGTTTTGGAGAGCGCCCACAACAGGACTTTACTGACCAATTATTATGAGTATCCAGCTAATCAACGACAAAATCAACCTACAACAGGGTCGTATACCTGTCGCAATATTAAATCACTACTGCGAAAAAGAAAGAAAGAAAAGAAAAAAACACGCTAAAACGAGATGTGAAAAATGCCACACTAACTCACATGCAAAGGTCGGGGCAACGGATCCACATTGTGTGGCTCGTGTTACGCTAACATCTGACAAGCATCGTCTGACGGGGATCGATCAGTGTCTGCAGCTGCTAATCTCCTGTGTGGAAGTGTGAACTCACACACTCTCTTGATTCGCCTAGCTTACTGTATTGGTTTCATTTGGCCATGCCGGCCGGTTTGCTTGCTCCTTAAAATGGTGCTGGCAAGTTGAACCGAAAATTCCTTATCTGAACTCAATCTGAGTGCTAGTTTAACCGACTTGTGGAGAGCTTGTGCTGCATTCGTGCATGGCTGTACGGGAAGATGCATAATGAAGGCATTTGTGACAGCACAGCTACAGACACAATGTACAGACGCGTAAAGGTCGACATGCTTATGTGGGTAGATGCACTCGATACTTGTTGAGCGCACAGTGAGTACCTTGCTAGGCTGTCAGGTGGGGAACCTTGTGCATATTGCAAGCTCAACAGCCTTCGATCCACAGTATTCTCAACGTTAACAGCAATCCCAAGTAATGAACACACAAATTTAGGGTGCCTGAACCCCTGTCGTCATCTAGACAGTATCATAATAGGTCTCTATTATTACTGCTTTTGACAGGTAATTTAAAGATCTTATGACGTGTGTCACCGAATGTCATTTTGGGTCTGTCTCTACATCTACCCATCTTCGCTTAGTATGGCCGGATTGAGTATAAGGGGTGGAGTAAGATAGCAGACCCTCCTCACCAAGCACTCTCACGAAAACTCCTCCCCCTGGATCGCACACCATAATCTCTTTCCACCGTATAGTCGTCATATCGCTTGGGTGCTTAAGCCCCACTGGACCCTCTGCTGAGCTCCGCATTTCATGCTATACTTTCCTGTTCCGGGGTGTGTGTTAGCTTGGCAGGCTATCGATCAACCGGCATTACTCCGGCCTGTGGCTGCACGATGTTTTTGATTGTGAACAACCAACGACTAAATGTGTCAATGTTTCACCCAAAGAGAGACGAGACGTGGTGTGAGGTCAAAATATGGCAAAACGAGCCACTTGTATCTGCTTGTTAGTCATCACTCACATCCCACTAGCCGTAAATATCCCGGGTAGTGCAATATTATCATCGTCTGTCTCATTCATCGGACCCATAATTTTCTTGTTTCGTCATTGTGTATCGTAAGGTAGGCCACCATTTGGCCCCACCATACAGAAGCCGCCGCACTTCCCCTCCTTATATATATGAGGGGAAACGTTTGGTGTATCAGGCCATGTCCGACGTCTTGGCGTTTGTGGAAGAATCCCAATATGCACATAAAGTAGGGTTAACTCAGTTTTGCACCACAACGTCGGTCAGACCTCGGGGGTATAATCTCGGGCAAAATTCGGACGGTAATAGGGGTATCAGACCACTGGGACGAATGTCAGAGATTATAATGTGGCCACCATGGCTGTATCGAGAAATGTTCCTGTTGAGCATAGATTCGAACGGCATGCCGTGAGCTCACTGTTGATGATGCTGTGGCAGAGGCAGATGAAACATGAATGTCCGAGGTCTTTACACTCAAGCATTTGATGTAAGGGCTTCCATTTATTCCAGTACATGCCTCTTGGGCCGGGAGCACGTCTGTCAGTGTCGGAATGTGATGTTGTCAAATCTGTCTGTAGTGGATGCTTGAATCGTCATAGTCGTCGCCGAAGTCGTAATAACTAACCACCTGTATCACAAATAGGTATCACAGCGGATATCATATAATATCTCCCTCTGTGGTGTTGTCTCTTCCATGGAAAAAGTCGTTTGTTGAAGTGCAGTGGTGAACAGATGTCGAACAATCTACTTTCGATGTCCAGGTTCAATGTTGGCGATGTGGACATTTGCGCCGCGGGGGCTCGTCCTCAGTGGGTTTCAGTCGTATTCCCAGCCGTTTCTCTTTTCCATCAATTCCCTAGCATCGACACACTGAAATATTGGTCTACTGCCCGGATTATATATATTTAAACTTGCGTGATACTTTCGGAACTAGAGATGCCGTGGATATGTCGGCTAGGGTCGACCCGGTCGATACCCGGATGGGGGGTTTGCGGAGGGCTGTAGGAGGGACTTTGAGACATAATTTGACCGGACAAAGCAATGGATCAATATTACTGTGTCCAATTTGTAGATTTGTGTGGTTTTAATTTCGAAAATAACTCTCGTACTTGTAATAGCCCTACCCCTCCTATTATTCCGCTTCCTTACCGTTAGCCTTGAGAACCTTGTTAAGTATATGAAATGCAGTGTGCGATACAGAATGTGTATATGAATTATGGTGGTGAGTTAGTACAAGATGACAATTGTCGTACAGGTACTTGTATGGGTACTTGTAGGTACGAATATTGAATGAGTTGTGTATAAAAGGGGTTTTGAATCTCACCTCGTTCTCATTATACAAGTCCAAGTACAGTACTTGTACTTATCTCGTGTCTGTTAATTGTTTGAGTGGGTCGTCTTAAACTCCTTAAACTGACTTCGTATGCTGTGAAGCCACGGTGGGGTGTGCACCCTGCAAGCGTAAGAACGGTCAATATTCTGAGCTGATAACATGTGATCTCTATCACACTATGTGTACAAGTACTCTACAAAGTACATGTACTGTACCGACACAAGAAGATGAGCTCATACTCACCCGTCCCTCTCAATGTGCACCCCCACACGCTGCACACACAGCGACAACACCAGAATTTCAAGTACAAGTACATGGCGTCGAAGGTGTTAATTTATCCCCTATTCGAGTCCCCGCAATAACTACCATGGGTGTACCTTCATATGAGAAAAAAATATCGCCTAAGCGTTCATATTATGACGGCTACTGATGCTCATGTGGGGGGAATACTAAGTTCACGGGTCATACATACCTCTCCTAAAAATTTGTACACATCCACACACAAGGTTTTGACGCGTGCATGATTTCGTTAATGGAAAAAACGCGTCAGGGCAGCACGAAGCTACACAACACTCAGCACACTACAACATACGAGCTACACCACCATGCCAGCAGTCCTCCCGATAAAGCTGAATCCATCGCAAATGCGGCCCGTGGCGTACCGGATCTTCTCCAAGAAGCACGGCCTCAACTTGAAATCAACAGGTCTCGAAACACTCACCGAAATCATAGGCAAAAACTACGGAACCGAATGGCGAGGGGCCGAGGCTGCCAAAATGATGGAGGAGATTTGTCGACTGTGGAAGGAGCAGGAGATGGGTGTTTTTGTGGAGGGCAAGCCGCTGCAGGAACTGTTCGATGAGATCACAGCCAGCAAGAAGGCCAAGGAAAAGGCACGAGTCCAGGTGGTTTCCAAGAGCGTGGGATTGACTGGAGTGGAGGAAATCGAGGATCGGGAAGGAGAGCCACAGGTGAACGTCATCAGAGAAGCAGCTCCTTCTGTGGACGTTGTGTGGAAGGAGTTCTTCAAGGTGATTAGTGCTTTTGATCAGCCTCTTTTCCATTATAATGCCCGCCAGCAACGGTTTGAGAAGCGGAAAACAAAACCCACATTGTTCGCCAATGCCCAATCTGCCTCTAACATGTTTCTGACTCGTTACCATCTGGTCTACAACCGTCTATTGCGCAATGACGACACCACAGACCTGAAAATCACATCGATCCGATCTCTTATTGGTCGACAGGGCGAGTTTTCCATCTTCGGAATGCTTTCCAAGAATCCGGAGCAGAAGATTTGTTTGCAGGACGACACTGGTCGTATTCTGCTGATCCTAGCAGCTGGTTGCAAGCCTGATCCAGGAGTATACTATCCTGAAGGCTCCTTTGTCATCTGTAACGGTCGATACATGAAGTCAGGAGACGCCGAAGTGTTTGTGGTCATCACCATGGGCCCTCCTGTGGCCGAGAAACGACAGGAGACCATCACAGCATACGGAAACATGGACTATCTGGGACTGCATGGAAACCCCCATGGTTCTGTGGTGAGACGAATTGAACGGCAGGTGGAAGCATCAATGCTTGCCGAAGAGAAACGCTTGGTAGATCAGAAAGTGATTGTGTTTGGTGGAGATATGTATTTGGACAATCCTTTGACTCTCAAGGCTCTACAGAAAGTGTTTTCGACCATTGAGCTTGAGTTTCAGGACTCTGGAACCAAGAAGCCTCTAGCCATGGTGTTCTCAGGAGACTTCACTAGTCAGTACCAGCCACCGCATTTGTACAAAAAGGGGTTCGACAAGTTGGAGGAGCTTTTCAAGGAGTTCAGCAGCATTATCACTGGTGTCAAGATTATTTTTGTTCCTGGCCAACGGGATCCTTGGACTAACACTTTCCCGACACAGAATGCAGTTGTTCCTCTGCAACCTCTTCCAACCACCATGATTAACAGAGTCGCCAGACTATGTGGAGAGGATGTTTCAATGAGCTCCAACCCCTGTAGAATGGCTTATCTTACACAGGATATGGTCTTCTACCGAGATGGACTCAGTGAGCGTCTGCGAAAGTGCAACCTTCAACTTGATTCTGCCAAGGACGATTCGGACGATTCGGATGATGACATTGAGATTGACAACGATGAAGTAATGATCAACGACGTTGTAGTCAACGAGCCCGAATCGTCCTTCGACTTTGGAGAGGGGCTCAGCAACCTCACTCGACCAGTGGATATCAGCACTCCTATGGCCAGCCAAGTGGGTCCTACCAACACTCTTTCAGCCAAGGAGGTGGAGTCTCGCAAGATTGTGCGAACCATTTGTGATCAGGGTCACTTGTCTCCCTTCAACAGACACGACAGACCTGTTGCCTGGGACTACGACGAAACTCTATGGCTCAGTCCACTGCCTACGATCCTGTTTATGGTTGACACACATGCTCCGAAGTTCTCTCTCAGGTACGAGGAGTGTATGGTGGTCAACCCTGGCCCCTTCCTGAACAGAAAGATCGCCAGCTGGGTTGAGTATGATCCTTCCAAGAAGACAGTCAAGGAGCGACAGTTGCATATTTAGACAGTAATTCATGACCCAATATTAGAAAAATGAGCCTTTGTTGCGTTTGAAGCGATATTATTGCCTTATCATACGCAGTCTTATGATTATTATTAGTAATCAAATGAAGAATGGAGACTAAAAAAGCCCGACGTGGGGCTTGAACCCACAGCCTTGAGATGACACCTAAGAATAAGAGTCTCACGCTCTACCGATTGAGCTAGCCAGGCATGTTTAACGATATTGAAAAAAGAAAATTGGACGTAGAATACCGTACATTTGATTAGTCAGCTGATTAGAATAAAAAAATTGAGTAATGAATCATCAGAATAAAAAAAAATTGAGCTGTAATGAATCATTAGTTAAAAAAAATATAAAAAAGAAAAAACGAGAAAAGAAAAATGGATCATTAGGATAAACAAAAAGTGTGTAATACATCCAAAGATTAAAAATAAAAAATAAAAAATAAAAAAACATCCCAGAAATCAAAAATGAAAAACCCTGAAAATGTATTTCCGTAGAACAAAATAATTAAGATGTCCTCAGAACAACCATAGGAGCTCTATAACGACGCGTTGCATAAATAGTAGTTGCATAAAGAAAACCAATAACAACGAGTAATACTCATCAAAGAATGCAGGTAAGATAAACACTGCGTTCGCAGAGTACAATATGTACACACACAACCTGACACGTCCTGTTGTTACACATTCCAGCAAGATCAGTTTATGCATGCAACAATACATACAACACAATACATTTAATCGTATACATACATCTGAGAAAAGGTCAACTATTGACAATATTTGTAAGTGGCGAAACCCTACAAAACATGGGACATGATATATGAGCCCCTCAGAAAAGAAACATCGGACAAACAGACTCGTGAGCTCGTTTCTCCACTATTTCAGTAAAATTTAATTTTGTTGCTTGAAACACTTTCAAAGTTGATACTGACTGCTCAAGTTGCTCCTCACACATGCCCAAAGTTGAGTTACCCTACCTGCGAACCACCTCCCAACTCATACAATTTAATGATTTATAGGCAGGAAAAAAAAGGCTGACACAGACTCAACATCACACCAAGATCTCATTGCTCCCGTCTTGAAAGCCATGTTCGGAAGCAGCAACACGACATTTGGCGGCGGCTCGTCGTTCGGTAACAACAACAACTCGTCTGGCGGCGGTCTTTTCGGCAACACCAACAATGCATCTTCTGGAGGCGGAATGTTTGGGGCTAAGCCAGCCACCAGCACTTTTGGTGGCGGTGGATTTGGAGCCTCGAACACCAACACCTCCACCAATGCGTTTGGGGCAGCTTCTTCATCCCCCTTCGGCTCGTCTTCGACCCCTTCTCCTGGTCAATGCCCCGGTACCACTCTTACTCCCTTTCAGCCGTTTACCGACAAGGATACTGCCAACGGAAAGATGATGACCAACATCTACGAGACCATCACCATGATGCCTCAGTATCGCACTTGGTCTCAGGAGGAGCTGCGGCTGGCTGATTACCAACAGGGTAAGCAGTACGGCACTGCTGGCGCCACGGCCACCAACACCTTTGGGGCTGCCAACACCGCTTCTCCCTTTGGATCTTCTTCCAACACCAACAACTCGCCGTTTGGAAACTCTTCCACTTCGGGTGGCAATACTTTTGGTGGCGGGTTCGGCCAGAACAAACCCGCTACTGGGGGCCTGTTTGGAAGCTCCAACACCAACACTGGTGGTGGATTTGGTACCTCGTCCACTTCTGGAGGCTTTGGCTCCAACACCACCAGCAACACTGGTGGATTCGGCGGATTCGGTCAGAACAACAACGCCACTAGCAACACCGGTGCATTTGGGGCTGCCAAGCCCTCGCCCTTTGGTGGTACCTCGTCTTTCGGCAGTGGCAACACTGGTGGAGGCATGTTCGGAAGCACCAACAACACCTCCAACACCACCAGTGGCTTCGGAGGTGGATTCGGACAGAACAACGCTAACACCAACACCACTGGCGGTTTCGGCGGAGGATTTGGCCAGAACAACACCACCAACAACTCTGGCGGAGGTCTGTTCGGTAACAATAACACCACCAACAACACCTCGGGGGGATTTGGCCAGACTTCCACCTCTACTGGCTTCGGTTTCGGTCAGAATAAGCCTGCTACCACCAGTTTCGGCCAGACCAACAACACTGGGGGTGGTCTCTTTGGCAACACCAACACCAACACCAACACCAACACCGGCGGCGGAATGTTTGGCCAGGCTAACAACAATACCTCAGGTGGAGGGCTGTTTGGTCAGAACAATAACACCAACAACAGCGGGGGAGGTCTGTTCGGTCAGACAAACAACACCAACACTACGAATAACGCATTTGGTGCGAACAACAACACTTCTGGAGGAGGCCTGTTTGGACAGAAGCCCGCAACTACCGGTTTCGGAGCAACCAACACAGGCACTACAACCGGCGGAGGACTGTTTGGCAACACTAACAACAACACTAACACCAATACAGGCGGTGGATTGTTCGGCAATAATAACAACACTAACACAAACACTGGTGGAGGTTTCGGAGGGTTTGGCCAGAACAACAACACTGCCAACACTGGGACCACCGGTGGCGGTTTGTTTGGCCAGAACAAACCTGCTACTGGAGGGCTGTTTGGCCAGAACACCACCACTCCTGCCTCGACCGGTACTACTGGAGGAGGCTTCTCGTTTGGCCAGAACAACAACAATGCCTCTTCCAACACTGGAGCCACCGGAGGAGGCCTCTTCGGCCAGAACAAGCCTGCAACCGGCGGTCTTTTCGGAAACAACAGCTCAACCACCACTACCAACACCACTGGCGGAGGGCTGTTTGGAAACAACAACGCCGCCTCCAACACCTCTGCTACCACCGGTGGAGGTCTGTTTGGTGCCAAGCCTGCGACTACTGGAGGAGGTCTGTTTGGCAGCAACAACACCACCAACACCTCCAACACCGGAGGAGGTCTGTTTGGCAACAACAACGCTAACACCAGCAACACTGGCGGTGGATTGTTCGGTAACAATAACGCCAACAATAACGCTAACACCTCTACTGGTGGCGGTCTGTTCGGCAACAACAATGCCATGAATAACAATAACATGAACAACATGGGTGCCAGAAACAACCAGACTCCTTCGCTCACGGCGTCCATTGACCAGAACCCCTACTCGAACAACCCCTTGTTCTCTGGTCAGACTCCTCCTGCTCTGACCTCTTCTGGTTCCAACGGCACTGCCAAGGATCCTCTGACCACCTCTCTAACCTCCAAGAGCGGAGCCAAGAGCGGCAACAACGGCGTATCTTCTGCATCTTACCTTTCGTCGTCTCGACCACTGTTCCAGCCTCGAAAGAAGACGTCTGCCATTGCTTCCGAGCATGTTGCGCACCAGCGAAACTACCCGGAGGACCGGTTTGAGCGAATCTCTCTACCCGAGGTCGCCTCTGCTGGCAACACTTCTGTGTCTAGCGTGGGCAACACATCTATGTCCACGGCCAGCAAGCCTCGCCACTCTCTGTTCTCTCCCAAGACAGATGAGTTCTTGCTGGGGTCGGACGCCTTTGTGCCTCGACGAGAGATCCGAAAGCTGGTCATTGACCGTTCTGGCGACGAGGCTGAGCTGCGACGTCTGACTCAGGGCGAGGACCCTGAGCTGGAGGATCCTCACCAGCACCAAAACGTCCATGATACTCCTTCCAAGGCTCCTCTCAAATCATCTCTCAGTACTCCGAACAGCCAGCAGCGAAAGAAGTCAGTGTCTTTCTCTGCGGCTGGAGACAACTCCGTGTTAAATGGTTTGAACGACCCTGACTCGCTTGAAATGGCTCCCGTTTCTCAGTCAGGAACTCCTTCATTCTTCCCCAAGTCTACGGCCTCTCCTATTCACAAGGCTGTGTCTGTGGAGTCCTCCGCCACTGCTTCTCCCACTGCCACCCAAACTTCGGACGAGGAGATTGTCGATGATCAGGGCTACTGGTTCTCTCCCCGACTCATGGCTCTCAAGACCATGACCACCGAACAGCTCAAGGCCGTGCCCAACTTTGTGGTGGGCCGAAAGGGCTTCGGTAAGATCCAATTCCTCGAGCCCGTGGATCTGACTGCGGTTGATCTGGACGAGATCCCTAACAACGTCATCACCTTCACCAAGCAAACTTGTATCGTGTACAACGACGACCAGGAGCGGCCTCCTATGGGCGAGGGTCTCATGGTACCTTGCAAGATAACTCTTTACAACTGCCGACCCATCGCCAAGGACACAAAGAAACCCATCACCGACCCCAAGCATCCCTATGCAAGACGATGGATTGCTCGTCTCGAGCAGCAGAAGAACACCCGATTCATCTCCTACGATCTGGAGACTGGTACCTACGTGTTTGAGACTGACCACCCTTAAAAGGTGTACTTCAAGATAGCGAAGAAGTAGATCAATGTAAACTATGTATGTATGTTAAAACGCATTAATGTCGTTACTGTAGAAGTAAAGTATCGTACACTGTGCTACAGTAGATGTACTGGTGCTTGTAGTTGTACAAGCTGCAGGTGAGTAGTTACAATATATAGAATTTATACTGGTACAATTAGTTGGATGCGTCTGGCAAGATTCAATTGAGGCTTATGCGTTGATACCTGAGTCGTTGTATACAATACCTGGGCGTAAAATTGCAACAGGTACAAGTACGAGTACAGTGTCATAATAGCCGTACAGTACTTATACATTGATGTGCGCTTCTCCTCATGCATAACAATGGACATGAAGAAGGTGCTGCTTTTTCGTGTGCCTGGCTATCGTGCCTGGCTATCATTTTCATGCCTAAAAAATCGTGCATCATTAATTCTGTCACGTCTGGTGCAGCCGAAGAGTGATCTGCAGCGCGCCTGACGTAATACTGATGATTGCGGATGTTCTGACTTTGAATAATGCATCTCAAACCGAATCAGCCGTGCCCCAGCGTACCGAATCCAGTAATATAAACGCTCATATTACGACACCGTTTGTCCAAACAACCCTTTTTCCGCTTTCCGGGAAAAAAATGTTTAGGTTCAGGTGCCCCTGAAATGTACTGCCAAATGAACCCGCTCGCGTGCCTGTTACACGTGTCATTATGTTGATGATGGAGATGAGAACCCAGTATTGTTTATGGTAGAAAAAATGGACCAATAAAAGATCTTTATCACGGCACAATTGAGCCACTTGTAGACGTGCTCCAAAAACGTTTCCTAATGTCTAAAAGTTGGAGTTTCCGCTTTGGAAGCCTAAAACCCAAACGAGCTTCACACGTTGCGTGCCGGAGATTAGCGAGATTGTTAGAACGTGCTAAGTGTAGTTATTGGGGTGGTTTTTGACAAGCCAAGCAAGGGTGGTATTTTGACAGCTATCGAAGACCATACTCATCTTGTAGTTGCAAAAACAAACATTCTCGTCGCTTCTCTGACTTGTCTCCAATGTCACCCTCTTCGTATAAGTCTGCACATGTCCAAGACGTCCGCCCCATTCCCTAACCCTAGCTGCACACGTACGCGTGAACAGTGCATTCCTTTTGCAACCCGTCAAGAGTGGTGAACACACACATTAGGCACACAAACGACATGGCCAAAAAGAAGTTGAGAGCCGGAGAGGTACGTCGCCCGGCCGGAGGAGCCACCACAGCAGGAGCCGCAGCTTCGAACGGATCAGCCAACGGAGCTACCGCGTCCGGTACCACCTCACGATCTGTGTCCGGAGAGAGTAGCGGAGCCGCTGGAGCCACTCCTCATGCTCCTCCGAGAGCCCGCAACCGCCCACGAGCCGGGCAGATCAACACCTCTGTTAAAATGACCTCTAGCACATCCAATTCGCCCACCACAAGCGTTCCGTCTTCTCCGAAGACCCCCAGATCACCTAGAACGTCCGTTCCTTCTTCTCCACAGGTGGCCCAGTCTCCCAAAGTGCCCCAGTCTCCTCGAATCGTTTCTTCTTCTCGACCGGGATCCGCTGGTTCGCCAGTCTCTGTCAAAACCAGTTCAAAAGCTGTAAAAACAGAGGCAACTAAACAGCCAGCTACTCGAAAAGTGGAGGCCGTGGTTATCGATTCGTCTGACTCCGAAGACGAGTTTCACGACACAGAGGCTGTGGTAATCGATTCCGACGACAATGACGACTACGACGCTGTCATCGAGACCGTCAGCCAGCCCGTGCTGTCTAAGGCCAAGGTGGTGCGAAAGAAGGAGCCCGAGGTGGCCACTACGACCCAGACAGCCCAGAAGGCCGTATCCGGAATTCCCCAGATCAAAATCTACTCTCCTCACAACACTCAGTCGGAATTCAAGCCCAGTGAAGACGAGGACGACGAGGACGAAGAGATCTCTATGGGGGACAACAAAATCGAGTTTGGTAAGGAGCTCACCAAGGATATCAGCAACAAGACGGACGCTGCTGCTGCTTCAGTTGGCGCGCCAATCCCCTCGCCAGTGGCTTTCACTCCTCCTCCTCCTGTGAACTTCACTCCCCCTCCCGCAAGCCCTCCTGTGGTGGTTGATCTGGACGACGACGACGGAGAAGTGAGATACAAGGATCGGTTCAAAAAGAGAGCCGCCGATACAAAGCCCGCAGCTGGTTCTACACCAAAGCCCGAGGAGGAGGTCATTGATCTTGATGAAGAGTCTTCCCAATCCCCCACAATCACTCCAGGTGCATTCCCTACCCCTGGGGCCTTCCCCTCATCTGCACCAAAGACAAAGAAAGAGCCTGTCAAAGAGGTCAAGAAACCTGTCCAGGAGAAAAAGATTGAGGCAAACGAGCCTGCCAGGGACGAAGCCGAGTCAAAGAAGACCAAGTCAAAGAAGGACACCTTGCCAGAGACTTCTGCAATCACAGAAAGCGTTGCCGCAGGTGTGGCCGCTTCTGTGAGTGCTACAGCTGCTGCTTCCGAAATGGCTTCCGATCATACTCCTCTGCAAGAAACTCCTTCTACACCTACCAAGGCTGGTGACGCTAATTCAACTGCTGCCATCGACATTGCATCTGGCTCTCCTGTGACGTCACCCAATGGTTCGCCTCTCAAGGGTATTCTCAAACAGCCCAAGCATGCCAAGAAGCCGTCCATTCGAGCCACTCACACTACCATCACGGAACCAATTCCCGATGACTCGCTTCTCTTCTCCGTCTGCATTGTGGGATTTCACCATTCTCTGGGACCCCAGATCGAGGAATGGTTTGGCCCCGAGGACTACTCTCATCTGTGGCCAAACCTACCTTTCCAGGCTCTCAGTGATGGATCCCATTCTCGGGAAGAGGACTTTTCATACTTCACTCTTCTGTTTGATGAGAACAACAAGAGCGCTCCTGGAGCTGGTGGGTACTCCGATGGACGTCCTTTCAATACCCAGACCGTTACAACGCTGTTTGGTATCGCCTGTAACCGTCAGGTTGGCGTGACCGATGCTCTGAAGCAGGATTTGGCTGTGACTCGAAGTACTGTTCAGAAGTGTGTTGTGGTTATATGCCGAAAGCCCATCTGGGGCCCCATGAAGGACAAGCTGGCTGTGGTGACACGTGCATTCTTTATGCAGCCCACTTTTGACGATAAGTCCATCATTCGAAGCTTGTTTGACTCGCTGGCACACACATTAACGCTGTCCAAGTTCAACTCAGACACTTCTTCTGACGTGTCCATCGGCATGTCGCTCTGTGAGCTGGTTTCACGTCTCAAGCAGAAGCTGGTGGTGGTATTTAAGGCCCTGTTGCTCGAGAAACGAGTGCTTTTCTACGCTTCTTCAACTGAGCTGCTCTGTACTTCACAGTTCTCTCTGGTTTCCCTTATTCCTAATCTCATCAACAACCTGCAAGATTGCGGATCTCCCTTGCTGCATTCATACGAGCTCGGACTCACTCGTGCAACCTCACTTAAAACCTCTGATCGGCAGTCTCTGCTCAACTTTATGGGACTGCCTCTGATGGTCTTTGGAGAGGGTGGTATGTTCTCTCCCTACATTCCTCTGCAGCAGCTTGGCGACCTCGCTCTGGCTAGATACTACCTGGTTGGAAGCACAAACTCACTCCTGTTGCAACAGAAGAAACAGCATGCCGATGTGCTTGTAAATATGGACGACAACACCGTCGAGATTCTCAACTCGTCGTTGAAGTCGCCGCTATCCTTGTCGTCGTACGATAAGAAGTGGATCGAACGAGTCGTGCAGGCTGTCGACACTTCGTCTGGAAACTCTGCAGCCACCACATTCCATGGCAATGAGGACTATGTCAGACTCCAGTTTGAAGACTACCTCATGGGTCTTCTTTCTGCCGTCAAGTACGACAATTTCCTTTCTTCCCATGGCTCGGCTCCTCCACCAGAGATGCTTCTTAAGGAAGTCCATGGCAACCCTGTCAAGCACTTTTCTCTGGACTGGGTCAACTGCTGGCGAAAGACCCTCAATTACGAGTTGTTCAATAACTTCACCGATGGGGAGCTCTTTGACATTGTCGAGCCTAGACACATGGCCGACGCTGGCGTCACTGAGAAGCAGAAGTCGCCTTTCAGTGAGGTTGGCAAAGCCTGGGCTGGCTTGTTCAGTAAGAACGGTTCCAACACTGCTATTGACAAGACAAGTGGCAGCAGTTCCGGTGACAAGGAGAAGTCTGTCTCTCCTACAACTTCCTCAGTGTCTCCTTCGGTGGCTACTACTGTCGCTGCTGGCCACGGCACTTCTGCCAACGAGACTGCATCTCTGCCTTCAGACACTTCTGTGAAGACACATCGATCATCTGACTCCACTTGGTCCATGCAACAGAAGTCCACATCATGGTTCAGCCGATTCTCAGCTGCCCCCAAGGACGACACTGAGTCTAGCGAGCCTCTCACACCCCCTCCTCCTGTTTCTGAACGACCCAAGGCACATTCCGAGACCTCTGTCAGTGGTTGGGGCAAGTGGGCCGCCAGCAAGAAGATGACCTTGTTTGGCGATGCGAATGGCGATGCCGAGAAGGAGAAGCCGCAAGACAAGACAGAAGACAAGGCAGAAGACAAGAAGGAGAATGAGAAAGATGGGGACACAAAAGAGACTTCAGAGGACAAATCTGACGGTGCTGAGACGGTCAAGGCTGCTGAGCCTGAGGAAATAGAGATGCATTTTGAGGATTCTCCCATCAAGAAAAAGGAGAACATTTCTGCAGCGACGTCTCCCACAAAATCAGTCAAGGAACGGGCTGCGATGTTCCAATAGATATAAGATATTAAAGACCAGTTGTTTTTGTACATTGTAGCTGTGCGGATAGGTGAACTTGATGACGTCGTTACTTCTCAAATAAAAATTACTTCGGTACATGTCAGATAAGGTTATGCAGGCTACTCAACCTACATGCGTCAATCACCAGTAATCCACGTTCATGACACTCCCATCAGGCCAAAACCAACAACTCCCACAGCGAATGTGGAAAGAGATCTGACAAGGATACAAGTCTACGAAGGAATATTTGGAGACTGATCTTGGATTGTTACTCAAGTGTAGGAATTACCCCAGGACTGGAGTAGCCGGCCGGCTTCACGATTTTGATACCACGATAAGGACCCAGATTCCTAATAGGAAATGAGCCCACGCGACTTACCATATTCTTAAAAACAATCCTATTACGACATACAGTATATAGTTCATGGCGGCCAGAATTACTGGTTGTGATTCATATCTCTCCGCCTTGGTACAGTGACGCCTGTCGGGGGAGTCTACATCGAAGGTGTGTGAAGATCGATTCATTCAGGGTAAAGTTATGAATTAATTATGAGTTACGACGAGATATCTGGGTATCAATAGGGACAATTTACCAGCCGTTGCAGACCTTCTTGGTCTGGCAGGACTGGCAAGAGTTGACTGCGCCGTCAATCTTGGGGAGCAGGTCCTGCGTGAGCTTGCCATGGCCAAAGTCGATACCACCTGAGACAATTCCACCAAGGCAACCGTTGAGGTCGACAATGAGACCCTTGCAGGTGTGCAGGAGGGTGGCAATCTGCGTGATCTGCTCGTCGGAACAAGACTTGGAGATGAGCTTGCCAATAACTCCAATCAGGGAAGAAACGACCTGGATGGTCAAGTTCACGATGGTGGACAGGCCAGGAGCACAGAGCTGCGCAAGGGCACCTCCCTGCTGGAAGATGATGGAGCCCTGGATCCCGGCAATGAGGGCAGGCACAGATTGAGAGAGGCCCTCCACAGCCTTGGAACAGATAGCAAGGGCAGTGGTGGTGGAAGAAATGTCACCGTGAAGTGTCAAAGAGGCGACAAGGGAGACAGCACCGGAAATGCCGACACTGCAATCCTGAATGGTCTTGATGATTGGGCCGACGGGAGCAACACTGCCCTGGCCACCCCAAGAGTTGGTTTCCTCCTTGGATCCACCCCAAGATCCACCCTTGGAGACTTCGCCCTTTCCACCCCAAGATCCACCCTTGGAGACTTCGCCCTTTCCACCCCAAGATCCACCCTTGGAGACTTCGCCCTTTCCACCCCAAGATCCACCCTTGGAGACTTCGCCCTTTCCACCCCAAGATCCACCCTTGGAGACTTCGCCCTTTCCACCCCAAGATCCGTGGTCGGAGCCTCCTCGCTCCTCGAGAGCGGGGGCGGCCATGGCGGAGGCGGCGAGGATAGAAGCAGCGAGAGAGTACTTGATAGCAACCATTGTTTGATGTAGAGAAGAAGTGAGTGTTGTTTGATATTTATTATAAGAGGGGGTGGGGGTGGTTTATATATTGGTGACAAGTGGGTCTGGGCCGCTTCGGAAACTCGGAATCCAGGGTCCAGGAATGAGAGACTCGGTCTTATTCTGCATATTGACTTGACTGCAGATTCTATCAACACGCAGGTATTATTACTTTGTTCTGAGGGTGGGCACGGCTATATACTGATGGAAAGTAGTGCTATTGGAAGCGGTTGACATAAATCTGTGGTTAGAGACTGACCCCCTTCTGCATTCTATCGACTAAAGATGATCTCCAGCATCTCCGAGTAAGGCTCTCTCAGTTCTAGTGAACTCTTCATTCTGCTGGAGTTAACCGCCAAAACCCTGAAGCATCGCCCTCGACAACTATATTTGAAACACAGTGGTGATATCGCATTCTTCTTCTTCGTATCATAAGTTAATGTGGTTGTTTGTTTGACACAGGTTGAAGAAAGGACAGGGGAGCAGATATTATCTAGCAACAGTACAGGCACCTCAAGAAAAATTGAGACTATATTCCCCACTCAGTCCCATTAACCACAATGATATTCACCACAGTCAGTCAGGCAGTGACTATAATCGTTTCCCTTTTGTGTAATGGTAATAAGCCCATATTTCCCCAGAAGAAGTGCATGGTAGAAACACTCTACCTTGTCTCCATCTCTGGTCGAGAGGACACTGTAACGGGAGGTAACGTGCAATGAATAAAGAATAACAGCAAGGGGGGAGAACACTGCCAGGGGCGTAATTATCCACTCCAGGTGAACAAATTACTACTTTGGTCGACGTTCTAGCCTGACTTCTTTCTCTTGTGTTTCATGATTAGCTTTTATGGTGCATCATACCAGATCTAGAAAATGATCGGCGGGGATCAACAACGGCAGTGGTTAGGGGTATCGGTATGAAGATATGTTGTTGAAACTTGTCTGCGCGGCTATCGAGAGACGACTCTGTGTCAGATTCCCGTAGCATGTTCTCACAATTCTTATCTTTTCACTGGCTTTGACGATCTCATCCCGATTCAACCCTTCCCCACAAGCACAACGTCTGCCCTTGCATGTGCACCATTTATACCCTGAGTCTATGGATACAACGAAACAAGCCCATATCTCTTCCTATACTATTCTACCATACCAATAGTGAATGATGCAAGTTAAGGAACGTGCATAATTACCACAGACGAGAGCTACTCATAGTACCGGTACCTGTGGCTATTTTTGGCAGAGCAGTCGATTTCCAAATATGCATGACGATAGAGGTTATTTCAGGGGCTAATTTCAAAACGGGTTTATCAGAACAAAGACATGTACATTATTTATTAGTAGAACTGTAAATACCCCCAATGCATGCTTACTTACCACTCATTTTAAGACTGTTTTCCCTCGTTTAGGGCAAATGCCCATGCAAGATACACTTCGGCTGCACGATGCGAAACGTTTCAGGTGGCTGAAGCGGAGACATGTCTGTCTTGTATTGTACGAGTCCTTGGGCGTGGCGAGTGGTGATGGAGAGTACACATGTGCCAATAAGATAACCAGAGGCGGTGTTTATATCGAAAAGAAGGACTATAGCTTATTGAAACAATTGACATCGATATCGTTCCAAGCTGAGTATTGGCCAAAAGGTGGCTGTCGCGTTGGAAGGTCTATCAGATCATAAATGTCATCCTCCCTACAACAGAACTAACAAAAACAAGACAGAAATCAGTATTTACATCTCTGTTAAGCGTATACACTAGACGAACCTATTGCTCGTGTCATGATGTCTCAAAAAAAAAAAAAAGTGAGGAACGAAACCACAGACAGGTTATTGAAAACAATCGACTACTTGTAGCTATATATAGAACCACAATGCGTTTCATGCGTTAATATTCGCGCCGCCACCGTTTCAAGGTATCTACAAGGTGAACGTGATTCTGTTTTGACAGCTTTATCTGCTAAAGAAGCAACCTCGAAGTGTATCAAGCGCGACATTCACTTCAGAACGAGACTGGTGTTTCGAGTGAAGTGTCATTGCTATACTCTACTTACATTTTACATTAATTAAGTAATTAATTACTAGTAGCTACTGTAGGTTGCCTTTTTAGTATTGATATCCAGTCCCCAATTGTATGTATTCCGCTCTTACTATACACACAAGTTGTTCCACTAATTGTATCGAAAGAGCTTGAAGAGTTTATCACAACTACTTGTACATACTGTATGAAGAGTATTTGTTTCTATCATCGGGTTTATCTACTTCTAGCTACTTTTGGTCATAGCGGTCTAGAATCTGGCTAAGGATGAGATGAACGAATATTCAAGCCAGAAAAGTCATTCAACGCTTTTTAGTATAAATGTAAGGAAAGTGGCTAGGGTTAATCGTAGAGTTACAGATGCTGTAAATCCCCCATTTCCCGTTCTTTTGTCCTTTCAACAGTTCAAATTGTGATAGGGACAAGTCTGCACCTCTTCCCAGTACCACACAGTCTCCAACTAAACTTCCAACAAATCTTCTATGTAACAATCAACTAATATTGCGCATACAAGATGCATAAAAAGTCTATTTTAGAACTACAACGAAATATTGTGGATCACAACATCGTCAATCATCATCTCTCAACCATGTCTCAACCGATAGAAAACAAGATAGCTGGTATGAATGCGGCACTTGGAAGCATGTCTTCTATGTTCGCAGACTACGTCAACACTGTCAAAACAGACTACGAGCACCAGATCGCACAACTGGAGAAACAGGTGACTGCCCTTAAGATGGGTGAGCAAGTGGATTCCATATCTGTCACAGACCCTCGGGAGAACCTGCCGACATTCCCACTCCCCATTCAACGACAGAAGTTTCTTGAACTTGTTGATCGGGACAAGACCAACCAGATCTACGTGTATTCGGGTGAAGTGACCGAATCGCCTGCATTGTGGGCCAGCAGAATAGAGAACATCATGAAGACGTTCAACTTCTCGACATGCATTTTGGAAACTAGTCAGGTGGTCTCAAAACTACTTGGAGGAAAAGCGCTGCTTCTCTACAGGAAACAGAAGAACCAGGTGCTTCCATGGGTGGAGTTGAAACGGCTGGTTCACACGCTTGATAAGCCCGTATTGAGAAGTATCGCAGTGCACAAGGAACTGGCAAAGCTGGAAGATACAGATCTACCGATAGAGTACAGGATAAAGATGATCCGGCACTGGGAACCCCAGCTGGACCCCAGTCCTCTGGGTGACCGGGTAGTGGAGGTAATTAGGATCATTCCTGAGAAGGAGGCGGATATCATGAAGGCAGTGGAGGGAGGCATCAGCAGCTTTGATCAACTCTTGGGAATTATGGGACCAAAAGATGAGAGTAGCCATCAGCCTCAGAAGGCGGAGGAACAACCGCCAGTGCTATCGTACAAGCAGAAGCGGGCAGCAAAGGATGTCAGAGACAAGACTTGTACGTATTGTCATAAGGAGGGTCACAAATCCAGTCAATGCTTCAAGCGTCCCAAAAGATGATCTTGATAGTACGCCACCATTAAATTATTATAGCATAGATTAAACATGAATTTTCATTTTAATATTGTATTACTGTAGACACATCAAGCAAGAGCCTCTGGAAGTCATCTGAAATGTACACTTCCAAATACCTCTTGACCTCTGCGTATCATCAAGCTCTGTTCGAAAGTCGCGATTGAAACTTGGCTATAGACTTACAAGGATGCGGTGGCTGACAATTACTTCACTGACGGTGGCCCTGATTTCGTATGTGGCCTCTTAACTGTGTAATAGACTTCATGGCCGCAACCATTACCATGCCGTAGTAGCTTGGTAAAGACTGTGTCAGATTACGCACCTGCACATCTCTTGGTTGTGTTGTCAGATTTCCCCAGCGACAGCTCGATCTTTGGGTTGGGAGGATCACTGTCTTCGCCCACAAGGTGAGAAAAAAAGTGCCTACATCAGGTGGTTTGTTTGAGATCAACAAAAAGTACAGGGTATCACCGTGCCGGAGCGCGTTCAAGGGCTCTGGGTCACCATCACGAGGTATCTCAATGTGAGGTATCGTCCTAGGTGGAAAAATCAACTTGGTCGTGTATCTATTTGTTGGGTGTCACGTCTCGTTATGACTATCGAGTAGTATGGAGTAAATTACCTACAATTAGCCCTACAAATCTAAATAGCTACAAACACATCCCACCCTGTCACGCTCTCCCGATGTGAGAGCCGCTGCTCATGCATATATCCTTACATCTTAAAATTAGAGACACAGAGTCGAGTTCCCTCCTACAAGTAAACAGTAACGTGTCGTATCGTACGACCGTAGATGTGCCTAACAATTTCCCTTCGACACCACCGAACAGCAGTGTGTTGCAAGGCCTCTCACACAGATGTGTTACCTGGTTGAGACTGGCACCGCGCCCTACAAGTAGAGACACTTGTACACTTCATGACAAGCTTGTTTGATCCCGCGTACTGTGTGTCCTTACTACACAAGCATTTACAAGAACCATTATGTTTTTCAGTATTTGCCATGAGTAACTTCTCCTTTAATTTTTAGAATTAGGATTGCTATAACAAGTCAGGGACTTGGTTTTTCTAGTTTTTTTCTCACAAGGGTAATACCTTCCTTGGTCTTAGAGAAAGTACTACTTGTAGCTACTTGTAGCGACAAGAGAGAAACATCGGTACGACACTTCACCCTACAGTATGTACTGTACAGCACATAGTGTACCTACAGGAGCTACTCCCCCTTTCCCCCCCCCCATGGCCACTAAAGTTACCCCAACTTCCCCACAAAGCCTGCTTGCGATTTGGTTTCATTTAAGACACGGGCACGGTTTGTGATGTTTTGCGGATACCGAGAAAGTATTCAGTTTAGCGCCTCAAGTATAGTCGGGTATCGAGGGTGTCTAGTTCCTGGGAACCTCATAAATGCACTAAAAGTGGCTCTTTTTGTATCCATTGCCACGCTCACATCATTCATAGAATGTACATTTTCCGGACATGCTCATCGGAGTTACAGACATTACGCGACTTTACGACGGGCTAACTACTCTGAGGTTTATTTCCAAAGGTGGGGTATGTATTTGTATGAAAAACTTGCTTTTTGCTGCTTCCGTGTATGTACGAGTCAGACAGTGCCGACGTGGGGGGGTTCGCTAGACTTTTATTTGACTATAGATTTTGATAATACTCTGTACTGTACCAGGAGTTCTGTTGATGCACCTAACCACGAATGAACCTGACTTTTCTGCCTAAAAGTATTGTATTTGGTACAGTAAGTAGTTGTACTGTAGGTGGCTTCCGTGGGCCCTTACAGTAACTTGTCTACATCATACCCAGGGGATGGCCTTATAAAGCTAGAATCACTCTACCTTCGAAGGGGGCCAAATCTGCTCACAGAATAAACAACCACTTTACCCAAAAGGCGGCTGTGGTGAACACACTTTATCCAGCCGGGTGGGGCTTTACCATTCGTTATTGCAGCCGTGTTTGGTAGAACATTGTCCACCAACTGGAGCAGGCAATTGAAAGAATGGTCGCTAATTGTATTTCATAAGTCACGTCACATTATTATCCACCTTTTTCTGCAATAACACATTTGATCTAACACAAATACCCCCACAGTCTCATCAAATCAAGACATCTATCGTCTTTTGTCATCTGTCTATGCTTTTTTGACCAGAAAAGGCTGAACCCTATGCGGTCAAGGTTGGCTAGGTTCAGAAAAACTCTGCTCGTGAGTCATCATGTGTTTGAATAACTGTTCTGGCGGTTTGGGGTTGTTATACGACGGGTATTTCTCATCCACTCAAGTCTACCAACGAAGTACAACGTTGCCAAGCATTATGGTGCCCAGATCATCTCCTCCTCCTTCTTGGCACATAAGCAATGCACTACACCAGCTTCTTGAACTCTGTCTTGAAATGCGGGGAATCATTGAATTGATCTGAGACACAGTTCCGAGGCCTATATAACCTATTGGATGTCCTAGAAGTGTTTTTGGCACCCATAAGCCAGTATGGATAAAGAATCACTAAGTCACGACGAATACACCGAGTCAGGGGGGCTTGAGCATGTCGAGTACCCTCAGGGTCAAGTCCCGCAAGAAGTTATCGACGCTGAAATTGCGCAACTTGCTGAAAAGTACGGTATAAATCAAAGGAAACTCATGTTCAAGGTCGACATTTGTGTCATTCCTGTCATCTGTATCCTCTACATTCTTGCCTTCCTGGATCGAGTCAACATTTCCAACGCCAATGTTTACGGAATGAGTAAAGATCTCAATCTCTACGGTGACCGTTTCAATACCGCTCTTGCAATCTTCTTTGTTCCTTATGTTGTCGCTGAAATTCCTTCGAACTGGCTCATGAAGAAGTTCACGCCGCACGTGTGGTTGACAGGCAGCATGCTACTGTTTGGAGTAACTCTTCTGGGTCAGGGCTTCGCCAACAACTACTCTGCACTCCTGGCCACACGGTTTTTACTAGGACTCTTTGAAACAGGAATGTTTCCCGGGTCTTTCTACCTGATCTCCATGTGGTACCGACGAGAAGAGGCCCAAAAGCGATACTCTTTCTTCTTTTCAAGCACAACCCTGGCCGGAGCCTTTGGAGGTCTCATTGCCGCAGGTATTCATAATCTCGATGGAGACAAAGGCCTCGCTTCGTGGCGGTGGATCTTCATCATTGAAGGTGCCTGTACTGCTTTCATCTCTATCATCATGTTCTTCTTAATGGCCGACTTCCCAGAGGACGCTAAATTCTTAACTGAGAATGAGCGGCAGTTCATGAAAGAGAAGCTTGAAGTAGGAAATGCAGGTGCCAGTGAAGCCGAGAGACCCATGACTTGGAAAGACGTTAAGAGTGTCTTTTCTGACTGGAAGGTGTGGGTCATGGGGTGGATGTACTTCGGCACCATTGTACCTGCATACGGATACGCTTACTTCGGGACAGCTATTGTTAAGACGTTAGGATATTCTGATGTCAAGACCCAGCTGTACTCGGTCCCTCCCTGGGTGGCGGCCTTTGGTTTCTCAATGTTGGCAGCCATCTTCTCAGACTACCTCAGACATAGATTCTATTTTGCAGTGTTCGCCGGTATCGTTGCTATAGCTGGTCTGGCAGTTGTTATTGGCGTACACGACAAAATTGGAACTCGATATGGCTCTCTGTTCATGATCTGTGCCGGAACCTACACTGCTATGCCTCTGTTTGTGTGTTGGACCCAAATGAACTTCTTAGGCCATCATAGGCGAGCTATCGCGTCAGGATGGCAGATTGGGTTCGGAAACTGCGCTGGGTTCATTTCGACCTTTGTTTTCCAAGCAAACGACGCTCCATTTTATACGCCTGGTTGCGCCGTTTGTCTTGCCTTCGCTTGTCTCTCGCTTGTTATGCAGTTTGTCTATGCCGCTGGAATCACCTGGGAAAACAAACGAAAGCGAACACCAGAATACATTGAAAAGTTCAACGCTCTCTCCGAAGATGATAGGAGAATCGCAGGAGAGCTAAATCCCAGCTTCTTCTACTACTATTAATTTATATGATTATCTTAATAAATACTGCATATTTTTATATACATACTATGTACAGCTACTGTTGCAGCTTCTTCATTCGAGCAGCAGGATGTCTGCTCAACTCCTGGTTGTTAGGACTTGCCTCAGATCGACTGATCATCTGCTTCAGCTCAAATAGGACGTCATCATCCTCCTGACCAAGGAAGGTAACGGCAGTACCTCGCTTACCGGCTCGTCCAGTACGTCCGATTCTGTGTGTGTAGGACTCAATGTTGTTCGCCATCTGGAAGTTGACGACCAGCGAAACATTAGGAATATCAAGACCTCGACCAGCAACATCAGTGGCAACAAGCACATCCACAGCACCTCGCTTAAGATGCTGAACAGCCTGTTCTCTCTGCTCCTGTTGTTTTCCACCGTGAATAATAGCTGTTCTCCATCCTGCTGCAACCAAAGCATCTGAAACGGCCTCACAGTCTCTCTTGTAGTTGAGGAAAACGACAATTGGGGGTCGGTATTGTCGCTTACTAATGATATCAAGAAGACGACGCTTTCGTTTCTCGTCAGTGTTAAGAAATTCAACCAGCTGTGTGACTGTAGAACCCGCCTGGCCAGCAGAACCAATAGTGACAATACCGGGACGTCGAAGATACTTCTTAGCCAGCTTCTCAATAGCCACGGGCATGGTGGCAGTGTACATCATGGTCTGTCTGTATCGCCTGGTGGATACAGCCGCAAGGTTTTCGGCCTCATCAGAGTCGGGCTTAGCATTTGACGAGGGTAGAGACGCCAGAACCTTCTGGACTTGCTCCTCGAAGCCCATGTCCACCATACGGTCGGCCTCATCCATGACCACATAGCAACACTGGTTTAGAACCAACAGTCGCCTGTCAATGACATCAAGCAAACGGCCAGGGGTAGCAACAATTAGTTCTGCTCCTTCTTGTACAGCCAGAGCCTGCTCTTGAGCAGAGTATCCACCAACGACAGAAACCACCTTGAAGCCGAGTGGTGCGCAGAACTTGACTGCTTCGTCTTTGATCTGCATAGCCAGTTCTCGAGTGGGGGCCAAAATAAGACCGTAGGGACCATTAACCTTCGATCTCTCATCTAGCTTGGGTAATTCACAAATGTAGCTGATCAGAGGGATCAGAAAAGAGGCAGTTTTACCACTACCTGTCTCAGCAACGCCAATCACATCCCGAATGCCTAGAGCAATAGGAATAGCAGCTCTCTGGATAGGCGTGGGCTCCTTGTATCCCATTCGAGAGATTGTATCACGTACAATTCCTGGTATTTCCTTGCACTCATTCCACGACCTAAGAGGATTGGGAATATTTCCTCCGCCCTTGGTGACAATGCTGTAATCTTCCTTGAAGATACGCCAGTCACGCGACGTCATGCTTTCCACAGGTTTATCAGACCAGTGTGCGTCCTCCAGGTCACGCTTTTGGCGTTTGGGCACCTGCCCATCTCCGGAATCGATACTGTAGCTGGGCTGATATGCCTTGGAGGTGTCATCTGCAGCACTCCAGTCGAATGAAAACTTTCCAGAGGTTGATTTTGGCTTGGGTTTCGAAGGGAGAGGCTTGGTGGTCTCCACAGTCTCCTGAACAACTGACCTTTTCAGGTCGGTGGTAGATCGAATATCCTTCAACGTAGTCTCTTCAGATGTCGTGTTTTTCTGGATCTGTTTGGCCTTCGCAGCCATCTCGGCCCGCTTAGCCTTGGAGATGAACTTTGGCTTAGAAGCCTCTTTCTTTTGAACCTGCAAAGCCTTGAGCTCTTCTATCGACACTGGCATAGTAGTTCTTGTTGGTACTTGTAGTGAGGTGACCACTTGTATATTATAAATTGGAGTTCATTCAATTAAGTTCATGGTCCATATGCAGCTGGAGATCAAGGTTGTTAAGGTGGGTTGTTACTTGGAGTGGAGGTGCGGAGAGAGGGTGTGCGACAGTGGCGAATATCTGTATCTATAATCCCACATCACGACCAGTACTTCTTATGAAATCATTTAGCTTCATCAACCAACTTGAGGTTCATACATGTATACTCCTATCGCATGCACACATTATGCTATTGTACGCCATAAGTACAGGTTATGAGCTACACCTTTCTGTATAATCTCCATCTAACGACATCAATCCGTCGCTCAATTACCTCAAATGTTGAACCGAACCCCATCTACAGTACGTCTTCTCCCAATAACACGCTGCTCGTTCGGAATCACCTATACGTGACCACTTACAAAAGCACCACCAATTAAGGTTGTCGCCACACATCACCACACTCAATCACATAGGATTCATCACCACACAATCATACTCATTTCAGCACAGACAACCATGACCACAGACCACCCTGTTTTGGCTGAAATCAAGCAATCCTTCGCCTTTCTGGAGAAGGCCGTCGCCTCCTTCGACCAGCGATTCGTCCTGCGAGTCCTACGAGGTCTGCCTGCTCTACGAAAAAAGCTCACTCCAGAATTGCTGGCACAAATCGCCGTCATGACCTACCCTGCTGGCGATGAGCGAAGAAGCGGGTTTGTTGCTCTGGCTGGAGTCAACCCCAACACCGACGAAATGGAGGTTGATGGAGCCTCTGGCGCCACTGAGGCCACCACCCAGCCTCTACCAGAGATCGACATGTACGTTTCACTGCTGTTCCAGGCCTGGCTGCTCCACGAGAACCGAATTGACGACTTGCGGAAACTCAGCGAGCACGTGGTGGCTAGATTGAGAACCTATAACCGACGATCGCTCGACTACCTTGCCTCCAAGATCTGGTTCTACCTGTGTCGAGGTGAGGAGCTCAGTGGCAACCTCGAGGCTGTCCGACCCATCCTGCTGGCATCTCTGCGAACTGCCTCTCTCCGACATGACCCCGAGACTGAGGCCTCGCTGATCACCCTGCTGCTGCGAAACTACCTGCTCTGTGCACATGTGACCCAGGCCTCTAACCTCGTGTCCAAGGTCAACTTCCCCGAAAACGCCGCCAACGCTCTGGCCGCTCGTTACATGTACTATCTGTCCAAAATCAGAGCAATCGAGCTTGACTACACAGCTGCCCACGCCCACATCACTGGAGCCATCCGAAAGGCGCCTCAGACCCCTCTGGCTGCCGGCTTCCTGCAAGCCGCACAAAAACTCAACATTGTGATCGAACTGCTGATGGGCGACATTCCCGAACGAAGCGTGTTCAAGAGCGGACGGGAGCAGAGCCTCAAGGCTTACTTCGAGGTGGTCAAGGCTGTGCGAGTCGGTGATCTCAACCAGTTTGCTGACACAATCAAAAAGTATGCATCCGTGTTCAAGGCCGATGGTACCTACTCCCTGGTTCTGCGTCTGCGACAGAATGTCATCAAGACCGGTATCAGAATCATGTCTCTGGCATATTCACGAATCTCTCTTAAGGATATTTGTATCCGTCTGAGACTCGAGTCGGAGGAGTCTGCAGAGTACATTGTGGCCAAGGCCATTCGAGATGGTGTCATTGAAGCCACCATCGACTCGGAGCGAGGATTCATGCAATCTAAGGAGGTGCTGGACGTGTACTCTACTAACGAGCCTCAGCAGACCTTCCACGACCGAATTGCCTTCTGCATCGGTCTCCACAACGACAGTGTGAAGGCCATGCGGTACCCCATGAACTCCAACCGAATTGATCTGAAGAATGCTGACGAGGCTCGTGAGCGAGAGCGGGAGCTGGTCAAGGAGATTGAGGAGGGCGAGTTGGACGACGATGACGACGAGGATTTTGATCTTTAGATAGGCTAGCATATGATTTTAGAATGTCCACCATTGTAGGTAATGTGTTACGAAATTGTAATTGGGTTAATGGCAGCTGTAGACTACAACGTGGGCGTTTACTTTGTCCCAGACTCCGTTTCTGTGATGCCCTATTATCCTATTTTATTGCAAGTAACCATGTCTCCTTCTCCTTTTAGGCGAGTATAGTATGTGCAGTAGAGATGACAATAACATAGGTTACTACTGTGTACAAGTACGAGGTTATGAGATCGACAAATAGATGTTTTTGGGTTCATTTACACGGGATAATAAGTAATTCTTATTCGTATGACGGAAAACCAGATGATGGTAGCTTTCCTCTTCAAATACCGGTACAGTACAATAGTAATTAGGTACGGGAACTACTTGCAGTACGTTGGGCCAATTCCTAAAAAACTCAAAATTATTGCTGCAGCTGCAAACCACCATCTGAAGATGTAAATATCACCGAACCTTGACTCACGACAATCACCGACACAGGGCAATCATCAAGGGCACATTAACGACACCAGCATATAAACCAGGAGAGACGACCATACAGTACTAGCGACACCAAAAAGCAATCATGAGCGACATCAAAGTCACCTTAGCGGTGGAAGATCGGGCTGAGAACCAAGACACATTAAGTATTTCAGAAATCGTGCCTCGGATCGTTGCTGAACGGAAGTCGTTCGTGGACGTTACCGAGGAGTCGCTACTCGAGGAAATCGCCAATTGTGTGGCTGACTCGGCTGACGACAATGTGAAGGATGAGGTGGATGAGAAGCCCGATGAGTCCCCCTTTGACCAGCACCGACTCAAGCTGCTGGAGAACGTCAAAGCCGCATACAACGAGAGTGCGCTGGCGCTAGATTTCGTGTCACTGCTCATTTCGAGCGTGCGACCCACTTCTGCATCCACGTCCATGTCTCCACATCTCAAAACACACATTCCTGTGGGCTCTCTGGGTGCAGACCGAGTGCCTGCTCCCCAGGTGGCCAACGAGCCCGGCGTTGGCATTGGATGGAAAATTGAGTCTTTGACAAACGCGCGTGACCGACTCAAGACGTGTGCTTCGAGGCTGCGGACTGAGGCTGCCAAGGAGAAGACCTACTGGGCTGGCGTTGCCTCTATTGCTGCGACTGGCGAGGTTCTTTTCAAGGTGCGAAATTCTGATACCCGAGGGCTAGGCATCAAGTATGGTTTTGGAGACGCTGGAAGTAAATATCGTGATCCAGGTATCGGTGTGTTGAAGCGTTCGGCTACAGGAACTGTGGACTTCGAGCCCAAGGAGGAGGTGCAAAAGAAGTTTGTCAGAGTGACTATTAAGTCTGAAGAGGGAGAAGTCACCAAAAGTGTCAGCAATGTATATACCAGGGACTCTAAGCCGCCAACTGACCCGACGCTAGCTGCTATTCACGAGACTCGCCATGCACTGTTTGAAGAAGAGTTGTTCTTTGAGATTGCCAGAGAGGCAAGACTGCTGACCTCGAGAAAGGTGACCGTTGCTGATGGAGCTGTAACGGTGGATCTGGGCGAAGGGGACATGGTTGTGATTGAGTGGGTGGAGGTCCCAGAAGAGCCTACAACTACATTTGCACCTTCTCTAGCAAACTTATTTGTGCTGGCGCTGAGACTGCTGCTGGCTAATGCTCATCGACAGCAATTGGAGAAGATGAGAACTCCCCCTGCTCCGTTGCAATCTAAGGGTGGTCCCAATCCCAACCCTCCTCTGCCTATACTAAGACCTCTTCTCGCACACATTCTGCACAAGCGGCTGGTGAGTCGCGCCAGAAGATCCCTCTATCTTCTGTCTACAACCCATTCCGGTCTCAGCTTCGAGATAACCACAAACAACTCTACAGATAAGGAATCTTCTTCTTTGGGTCGACTCATGGCAGCTCCTGTTTCCAATCTCAAGATCAAGTTTTCGGACAAGGGTAATGCCAAGGTAGTTATTCCTTCTCCTCTACAGTCGCATCAGTCGATGTTCGATGTGACCATGTTCAAGGGTACCTCTCAGGAGACTGTGACTAGCCATACTGGGTTCCATGAGCTGGTCGAGTTGGAAGAGTGGGTGCGGTGGGCTGCCGATAGATCTGAGCCCAAAAAGAGTAACTAAGTGGCCGACTCCACTCAAGTTTAGTTGACACGAGTTGGCTCACTTTTAACTATTACTTATGCTGTCGTTTTCAGCTGATCCATTAATTATATATGCTGTACTAATGGGAGTCAGCCGACAGTTAGGAATTGTAACAATACACACTTTGTATAAAGCCACTGTATTATTCCCACGCACACTTGTATTCGTACTTATCCTGTCATACAGTAGTTATTTCATGATCCTCTTGTCAACTCGCGCTCGGATCTACAGTAGATAAGCTCTACCCCATCTCTGGATTTACACGTGATGGTGAACTCTGTCAGGAGGGAATAAGATAATAATCCGGCAAACGGTCGGCACAGAACCAAAACTTGAGGGGCAGGTAACGGACTGTCTGACAGACAATGAATAATAGGAAAAGACTGAGTGTCGCCCGTCTGGTTAGTAATCGTCGTCCCTTCCATTGGGTCTGCGAGTACTCCATTAAATTAAATACCACTCCCTGACAATCTTCCAGCATGTTCTGTATGGCGCTCGGCCTTAACAAGGCTCCCCCACATTTTAAGTATCCTCGGCCGCCAGCGCGGTAGTTGCAACCTTATCCCCCAACTGCTCTGGCTTCGTTAGTAAGAAACTTTTGGAACAGGCCAACGTGAAAAATTGAGTGTATTCGAAGTCGTCAGATTGTGGGGTAATAGGGGCGTGAAAGACAAAACTTTAAGGATCTCAATATGATGAGATTGGCGCAGAGTACCACTCTGTGCAGTCGCCACTGAATCCACGTTGCGCACGTGGCCTTATGCCTCGGCTCAAATTCCCCAGATACCCCATTCAACAAGGGTAAGGGCACTCAGTCGTGGGGGAACCTTAATGTTACTGCAGTGACTGCCAGCAGAGAACTATAGACTTGCATATTACACATGATTTCCTTTGGACTGAAATAACTAAACTGTGACTCTTGCCAACCACTTTTCTTGCACACAGCACACACAGAGACCACCAAAGCAAGCAGGAAACATCATTATGTCGTTTATGAGAGGAGGAAGCGAATGCTCTACGGGCAGAAACCCCCTGAGCCAGTTCACCAAACACACCGCTGAGGACCGATCCCTCCAGCATGATCGGGTGGCGGGTCCCTCTGGGGGCCGAGTTGGAGGCATGCGATCCAACACTGGCGAGATGTCACAGCAGGACCGAGAGATGATGGCGCGATTCGGTGCTGCCGGACCCGAGCAGTCGTCTTTCAACTACGAGCAGATGCGACATGAGCTCCACAACATGGGTGCCCAAGGAGGCCAGATTCCCCAGGTTCCCAGCCAGCAGGGCGCTGCTAACGGAGGACAGTGGGCCCGAGACTTTGGAGGACAACAGACCGCTCCCGGCGCTGCTCCCCAGGACGCCAAGAACTGGAACGCCGAGTTCCAGCGAGGAGGATCTCCTGCAGAGGCCATGCAACAGCAGGGTCCCGGCCCCATGCAAGGCGGCATGGGTATGGGGGGAATGCCCATGTACGGCATGGCTCGTCCCATGTACTCTGGAATGAGTGCCAACATGGCTCCTCAGTTCCAGCCCCAGCAGGCTAACGCACGAGTTGTCGAGCTGGACGAGCAGAACTGGGAGGAGCAGTTCAAGCAGATGGACTCTGCCGTTGGCAAGGGTAAGGAGGTCGAGGAGCAGACTGCCGAGACTGCTACTGCCACCGAGACTGTCACCGAGACTGAAACCACTACTGAGGACAAGCCCATGGATATCAAGAACATGGACTTTGAAAACATCTGGAAGAACCTCCAGGTCAACGTTCTCGACAACATGGACGAGTGGCTGGAGGAGACCAACTCGCCCGCGTGGGAGCGAGACTTCCATGAGTATACCCACAACCGGCCTGAGTTTGCCGACTACCAGTTCGAGGAGAACAACCAGTTCATGGAGCACCCTGATCCCTTCAAGATTGGAGTCGAGCTCATGGAGACTGGCGGTCGACTTTCGGAGGCTGCTCTGGCCTTCGAGGCAGCTGTTCAGAAGAACACTGAGCACGCCGAGGCTTGGGGACGACTTGGAGCCTGCCAGGCCCAGAATGAAAAGGAGGACCCTGCTATCCGAGCTCTGGAACGATGCATCAAGCTGGAGCCTGGTAACCTTTCTGCTCTGATGAACTTGTCTGTTTCTTACACCAACGAAGGATACGAGAATGCCGCATATGCTACTCTGGAGCGATGGCTTGCCACCAAGTACCCCGAGGTTGTGGACCAGGCCCGAAACCAGGAGCCTCGACTCGGCAACGAGGATAAGTTCCAGCTGCACTCTCGGGTCACTGAGCTGTTTATCCGAGCTGCCCAACTGTCCCCTGACGGAGCTAACATTGACGCTGATGTCCAAGTTGGTCTCGGTGTTCTGTTCTACGGAAACGAGGAATACGATAAGGCCATTGACTGTTTCAACGCCGCCATTGCTGTTCGACCCGATGATGCTCTTCTGTGGAATAGACTCGGAGCCACCCTTGCCAACTCCCACCGATCTGAGGAGGCCATTGATGCTTACTACAAAGCTCTCGAGCTGCGTCCCTCTTTTGTGCGTGCTCGATACAACCTTGGTGTGTCGTGCATTAACATTGGCTGCTACAAGGAGGCTGCCCAGTATCTTCTGGGGGCTCTGTCCATGCACAAGGTTGAGGGAGTCCAGGATGATGTTTTGGCCAACCAGTCCACTAACCTGTACGATACCCTGAAGCGAGTTTTCCTGGGTATGGACCGACGAGATCTGGTGGCCAAGGTTGGAAACGGAATGGACGTCAACCAGTTCCGAAATGAGTTTGAATTTTAGTATATAGTAATTGATTATTTAAGGATGAGCGAGATGATACATATACAGTATTTACTCGTAACTTTCTCACTGCATGCAAGAACCATGCCTTAAAATTGCAGTACTGTACAGTACAATTGTACTGTATGTACTTGAGCTGATACAGGCCTGCTTCAACACTGTAATACGTTTCATATATAAATACCTAATTACCCCTTATGTGTATATAAATAATGGCTTGGGATGGTAGCAGCCATGGATTATTGGCCAATAGTCCCGGTATGGTTTGGAGGCCCAAGGTTATTAGTGAGTCCCAGATCGGTTAATGAGCTCTTTATCAGTTAGTTGGTATGTTTTGTCTCAGTGCTGTCTCCACTTTGACCACTCACGATGCTGTTGGATCTAGGGGCCGTTCTCTCACTGTTCCCTGAAATGGTACTTGTGCCAAAAATCAGTTCGCGCGCAAACCCATCGGATAGTTGTTCGGCATCCATAATGGCACTAGGTGCTTGGTCCTCGAATCCAAGTAGGTCGTTCCTAGACCGTAGAGAGCCCGAGCTTTCGCTTCTATCGGCGTAGTTCATGGGCCTCTGGTCCTCTGGTTCAGGCAGTCTATGACCCCTGCCGCCGAATAACCCCCAGGACCAGCCTGACCATCCGGACCATCCCGTGCTAGCCTGAACAGCCAGACCCGAAAGCCATTGCCTCACGTTTGTGTCCCCTATGGAGTGTTCAATGCCGAATTCTCCCGGGTTGGCGGCCGCAACATACTCTCCAAACTCATTGGCCGGTTCAGCCCCCTCCTGAGACAGCAGGGCCTGGGCCTCCTCCTCCTCCTCGTACATGTCGAACTGGATGGTATCGTTCTGTCGCTGACAACACCCCAGGCAGGAGCTATATATTTCCTTTAGTGTCATAGCCGTGGGTGTTCTTTCGAGTGACCTCTTGTAAAGTCGCGTTGTATATTGTTGTTTCTGCCGTATTGCAGCGCAATAGTCGGAAAGTGCAATTCTGGCCGGTAGTTCGGTTCTGGGTTCTCAATATGTCGTATTCTCGCCCTTATGAGTGTCAGAGCTCGTCGGCGGTCTGGTCCTTGTCTGGAACGGCGCGTAGCTCGTTATCTTAGTCGCCTCTGAGATGTGTGTGGGGTCACTCACGATTACTCAACTTTAGTCTAAAACGGCAACTTAATGAATTCTACTGGCAACGGAGAATACTCAAGCCTCTCATAATTCGGGCTGACGAGTAAATTAAGAGGTTCTCTAAAATGAACGCCAGCCACTGGTGTTGGGTCTATATGAAGGCATACTCTAGATTCCTTCATTGATATTCACATAGTGCCATGGACTGACTGTACATCAGCAGACAAACAGCGTACTAATGAATCCCAAGCTTTTGACTGGTCAGGAGGATATAGGAGATGACGTGATTCCACATTACACAATTTCCCCAGGGATGTGAGAGATAACCCTGACAATTGAAAGAATTATAGTCACTTTTATGGCTGTCACTAAACTCGACTCGATCCAATTACTTGTACCCATACTATCCCCATCGAGCGATTTCTGTCTCATTCATACCTCACCCCATTTTATTTACAGTTCCGAACCACAAATTCTGTCGTGCTGAGAGATTGCCACAGGTACATACTGTACTGTACTGGAGCTGTACTGGCTGGGACCATACTCGTATGTACTGTAACCATGGTTACGGATGTACAGGAATACATGGATCACAGTCTACCTGTACGAATAATTTCAATTGAACAATTATAAAGCACCATTATACTTGTGCGAGTATTACACTATACAGTATTATGAAGTTTGCTATTTTATTTACTGTAATTCTCTAGACTACTGTAACTACTGTATTTCTACTGTACTTGTACATACTTGTGTACAGTAGTTCCTCCCCATCACTTCTCATGTAAAAGATTTACACCAGAGCTCGCCTTAATATACAGTACAGATGAAACCCATTGTTCTACACCTAAAGAAACAAACACAGATATATATTCCCTCGCGATTTACTTCCCGTGAGGTTAAATCCAGCTCCACAACAGGCTTCTTAGAGCGGCCTACACCGCCTAATTCCATCACACATGACTGTCGTACTACTCCAATCTATTACTACATTGATATCCTACTTTCATCGCCATTCCCGTTCGTTTAGTTCCTTACCTGGTATCTACTGGAAGTTGAAGGAACCCTGCTGCTGCTGGCCACCAAATGCAAATGCATCACCCTCGGTCTGAGGAGCGAGGTCAGTGTCGTCCACACCCTCGTCACCACTGAAATAGGTCTCGATGATGGTGTAAGCCTTCTTGTAGATGGCCTCGTTGTCGTTCTGCTGGCAAGCATGGATGGCCTCCATTCCATCAGCGTCCTCGATGAACAGAGCGTACTCGTTCTGGCCATCACCTCGCATGTGTCGATCGGACTCACCCACTCGGAGAATGTTTTCAAGAGCGTCAAGAGAAATCTGAATGATCTTGTTGTCCATGGAACCCAGCAGGTCACACAGAGGCTTAATACAGCCCTGCTGGACAAGGTATCGGATCTGGTCGGGCTTGGAAAGACCACCGGAGGTGGCGTTGGAGATGGCCCAGCATGCCTCCTTTTTGGTCTTGACCTCTCCGGTGGACAGGAGCTGGATAAGTGGGGGGATAAGGTTGCTGTCAATGACAGACTGGATCTGGGTGGAGTTACCAGCGGTAATGTTGGAAATGGTCCAGCAGGCCTCCTTTCGAATAGAGTCCTTAGGCGCAGTCAGAAGCTGCAGAAGAGCGGGCAGGGCACCGGCGTTAATGACAATCTGGGTCTGGACGTCATCACCAGTGACAATGTTACCAACGGATCGCAGAGCAGGGGTCTGGACAGATGTGCTCTGGTGGCCGAGGAGCTCAATGAGTCGTCGGGGGATTCCGGCGTCCACAACGGCCTGAATTTTGTTGGTGGTGCCGTCGGACAGGTAGGAGATGGCCCAGCAGGCATCGATAAGAACCTCATCGTCATAGGAGAAGATGAGCTTGGCGAGAGCAGGAAGAGCGTGCTTGATAACCTCCCAGTCGGGCTGGGGGTACTTGCCTCGGCAGAAGTTGGACAGAGTCCATGTGGCGTTTCTGATCATGGAGAGCTTCTTGGTGTTTGTGGCAATGTTGATGAGAGGCTGGAGAGCGTCGCACTTGAGAACGTAATCTCGGCACTGAGGGGAGTCACCGGCAATGTTACCGAGAGCCCACACGGCCTGCTCTCGCACATTGGTCTCGGGAGAGTCCAGGAGGTGCACAAACAGAGGCACAGCTCCGGAATCAACCACAACCTTGGTTTGTTCGCTGGTACCGGAAGCGATGTTGGTCAGAGCCCATGCGGCCTCGAATTGCAGCAGGTTATGGGGGGACTTGAGGAACTCGACAAAGTACTTGACCACGTCGCACTGGATCACCTCGTTAATGGGTGGCGATCGCTCCTTGGAGAGCAGCTTTCGGAACTTGGTGGTGGCATCCAGCTGGGCCTCGAGGTTGTTGCTCTGAATGTTGGCAATCATCTCGGGGAAAGCATCCTGCCACTGGAGGTTAGAGGAAGCAGACTCGGCCTCGTCCTCTGAGTCGTCTCCGCCCACCAGCTCGCTCATGTTTCGTCGCTTGGACAGCTGTTCCTCTCGTCGGGCCTTTCGGATTTCGACCTGGGCCTCATCTCGTCGTCGTCGCAGCTCGTCGGCGCTGAATTTGTTCTTGTCCTTGAAATCCGTCTTTCGGTGCTCGGGCACAAATTTCTCGCTCATGTTGTGGTCGGGTCACAAAGGTGTGGTGGTGGAGGAGGTAAGTAAAAGAAGTACTGCACAAGTTTTGGATTCTTTTTTTCCACACGCAGACTCGCACACAAACATGGTCTTTGGGACTTACAACCGAACCTTAACCTTACCCCTGGGGGACGACATACTCGAAATTTGGACGAGAGCCGTGGAGCTGTAGAAGTGGACAATTACGAGCAGCTGATGGCGAAAATTCTGATATATCAGTATCCCTTGGTCAAGCAACAATTTTACCTGGTTTTTCCCCCACCCGCTCGTGTTTTGCGTCCAGAAAATACAGCGTGATATGCACCAACTGGATGCCCTCAAGACGCAAAATATGACGTGCGCTACAGTATGTAAATGTGTGAATAGACTGTGTTGGCGTGTGCTATAGGCTATAAAAACGACGAGTACAACTTCCCTACTGCCAGAAAGGCATTTCTAGTATTCTCAATGGCATCCCTCACCTCCGAGGTATTATTTTTCGAGATCCCACGCTTGGTCAGCCCCAATTACAAGCAGTAACTCGCGGGGGACAGAGTGGGGCTGCAGCTTTCCAAATACTACATCCCCATGATTCAGCTCTAAAAATACATCTTGAATTGGAATGAAAATGGCATACGGAGTGCGAAAGTATCCCGCATGTCGATTATTGATACAAAATGCTTCTGATACAGGTGTGTTCATTTTCAGCCTCATCCAGTTCCTATTGGGGTATGTGGTAGCAAGCTGGATTACATTTAGGCACCGACAGCAAGCAAACTAGAGATAATTCCTTGAATGGGCCACGATACCATACCGATGAGGGTAAAAGAAGCATGGAAGTGGTGGTAAAAGATAAATCAATTGATAAGTTCCTCTGTAACTGTTGAATCTACCTCGCAATCCCTTTATAATCATAACATCTGTCTTATCCCTGTCCATCTGGTAGCGGTACTTCTAACCTGTATACACACCAACTCTAAGCTGCAAGTCACACGCTCCCGTACATATCCACACACACTAAGAGATCAACAAAAAAGTACACGTAGCTCCTTCCAGAAGGTAATTTGAACGAATTTGAACTACAAGGGGTGCGAGAGTTGCATATTTCTGCAATAATGCCCTCGGTAAGGTTGCACGATATTATCCATTCAACCCACCCCTTCGCTTCTCCCGTGGGACGACACATCGCAACAGAGCTGTGATCTGTCGTCAACACAGCCGCGTTGCTACGCAACCATTGTTTGCCTCACATCTGGCAGTTGCCATGCCTCTGCTGCTGCACTTCTGTAGCTAGAATCCCGTTGCAACTCATACGGTGGGTAACTGCAGCAGGCCGGGTAACTGAACAGATCAGAGTTCGTAAATTCCCAAACAGTGCCAGAAAAGCCAATGGTCGTTGTCCCAGTGACCATAATGATTGATTAGCTGGTATAATGGTGCAAGTACATACAGTAGTGCTGTTGGTACGAGCACTAGTACAGCACAGTAGAGTAGCAGAGATGGCGATATTGCTACTTAGAGGGTCTTTATACGCAGAGTGTGTAGAGTAAATGACTTATTTCCGAGAGAGATTTTGTTAAGACAATACTCCGAAGTGTACCTCCAAGCTGAAGGAGATGTTTACAGTAGAAAACCAGTCTACAGTGAAAACCATTGGCATCTTTTCATCTTGCTCGAGTGTACTAAAGCATTACTTAATTTTGTAAATACTGTCAATTAATTAGTGACACTTCTACTTGTACGTCATATCTATAAGTTAATGCATCAAGTGAGGTCGATGACCTCAATCTCACTTGCGTTTTTAGCCCCGAGAAACACAACGTCATCGTCGTTCTCGTCGACCTCCTTGGATATCTCCACGTTTTCACTGGCGCACCATTTGGTATCGGCTATTCGCTTCTCCACAGCAGCGAGAATCTGCTCACGCGTAGGAGCCCTCGGCCTTCGTCTACCAGGAACAGGTGGTGGAGAGGGGGTAGAGCTACCTAACACATTGCCTGTTCCTGTGAATCGCTTTTGTCGACCCGTCTTTGGCTTTACTACCTTTGAAGGAGAAAGTGTGACATTTGTCTTTGGTAGAGCTCTTCCGCCAGGACCAGCACCCAAACCTGGAATGCCTGCAATACCACTAGCTGGACCGTTCAATTTACGTCCACCTCCACTACCAAGTGTCTTGCCAGGTCCCAGGAATCCGTAAGGGGTATCTGGGTTGAAACCTCGTGCCTTTAATGCATAATAGTCGTCCTCAAGCTCCTTGAGGTACGCGTAAAACTGGGCATTGTGAGGACCATACTTGTTATGGCACAGTTCATGGAGCAGGGTGCCCATGATACTCTCAAACGGTAGGAACATCTTGTCGTCGTAATGCTGTCTCAATCTCAAACATACCTTCTGGCCATGGTTCACGTTGAGACCCAATAGGTTGGCGTGTTTGGGGAACATCTCACACAGAGTACCTACTTTGAACCCGTGGTTTTTCATGATGGGTTGCACGAACCGTGCGGCCCTGGTTATCATTTCCAGAGCAGCCTCGGATCCTGGCCGCTTTTTCAGTACTGTGATGTTGGAGATGAACTCCATGACATTTGAGTCGAGTCGTCTGCTTTGTCGTGTATATTTCCTGATTGTGTATATAGTATTTCCTGATTCCAGATTTAGCGTTGTTTTTCCAATATGGCGTTTTAATTATCTTCTGCAGCATGCACGATGAGCTTGGATGGCAAACACGCGCGTAAAATATCTGTGTGAAGGCGGCTATTATTGGATCTGAAGACGACATATAATTAATAGAGAGTCGAGAAGGGCATTGGGGTATTTTCCTCAAAGTAAATATAGACATTTCTCAGCTATCACATATACCAACCATCTACTTAATGAAATGCTCACTTGTTCTTTTGGAAGGGGTTACAGTACGACTGTCATGGGGTACCCCGCAACAACCAATATGTGGCAATAGTGCTTGACCCTCCTTCCACATCATGGATCTTCCTTCTGTTTATGAATATTTCCCCTTGTCGAAAATGCTCAAGTCAACACCCACACTACAACTACAGTACACAGAGCAAACACTCATTTCGCAATTTCAGGTGGCAAACTCCCAATTCAAAATAGAGGTTCTTACACCTGACCAGATCGCAGACATAGAATAGGCCCTGTAGTACCACGCCGTATCCCGTTGGGACGCACTGCATTTGAAAATATGAAGAAACTGGTCAAGAGTGAAATATTACCGATACAAAACGTCTATTCCGTTACAGCCCAAAACTGCCTCTAACCGCATGTCCTTCCAGCTGCACTTGCCTACAATTAGAATCAAACTCAATTCCTTATCACGAGAGAAGCTAGTTTAAAACATTAGTTCACATATCAAGACGCCATCCCTCTGTCTCACACTACTCTTCCAACATGACGCCTCCGGACGACCCTATTGCCAACATTTTGGCTGGAGTGAACAAAATTAAACACAAGGCGTCCACCATCATTAATGACAAGCTGGGAGACGCCGAAGAGGCCCAGCACCAGGTTGGCACATGGCTCTTGAACCGCAAAAAGGATATCCAGTCCGTTCTGACTCCTGCCAAGCTGGAGCACTTCAGTCCCGGGCCTCCTCCCCCTCCCCCATCATACTATGACAAAATCACCGGCTTTGTGTCCGCTCACAAACTGGCTGTCGGTCTGGTCACCATCAGTGCTGTGACCGCCTCCGGATACTATATGTGGAACAACCGAATTCTGCCCGGAGGACTGTTCGGCAACAAAAAGCAGCCGCGACGAAGAGCAGTGAGAGCTGCCAATGGAGCACGAACCGAAGTGGTTGTGCTGGCCGGTTCTTTCCTAGAACCTATCGTGAGAGTGGTTGCTAACGATCTGGACAAGCGAGGTTTCATTGTCTATGTCACTACTACCTCCGAAGCCGAGACCGCACTGATCGAGAAGGAGAACTCCGCAGACATCCGGTCCCTCAGTGTCAACACCCAAAAGGCCGACGTCATCAAGTCAACCATGAAAGAGTTTGGTACCTTCCTGGCTACTCCCCAGGTGGCGTTCCCTAATGCCAAGCCCCACGTCTTGAGACTGGCTGGCGTTGTGCTCGTTCCCGACCTCTACTATCCCTTTGGTCCCATAGAGCAGATGCATCTGGAGTCCTGGAACTCTGTCATCAACAGTAAGCTTTTGGCTCCTCTGGCTCTGCTGTCCCAGGGTCTGCTGACTCTGGTTCGACAGACCGCCTCCACCCCCAACCCTGCCCGTCTCGTCATTGTTACCCCTAACATTACCGCTGCCCTTTCTCCTGCTTACTCTGCTCCTGAGGCCATGGTTGTCTCCGGTATCAACGCTCTTGCCACTTCTCTTGACCGAGAGCTTGCTCCTCACGGTATCAAAACTACACATATCCGCCTTGGCTCCTTCGACGTCTCCCACGGCCACTCTCAATCCAAACAGCTGGCCTCTGCAATCCATGCGGATCTCATTACCTGGTCTGAAGATATGAGAGCTGCCTACTCCAACTACGGAGGAACAATGGCCTTCCTCTACGGCTGCCGAAGCACACGAGGATCGTCTCTGAAGAGACTGAATTTCGCCATTTACGATTCTCTGACTGTGCGACGGCCCAAGCGAGTGTGGCATGTTGGGTTCGGATCCAGAATGTACGAGCTGGTTGCTGCCTTCCTGCCAGAGTGCGTGCTGTCGTGGCTCATGCGATCCGGAGCTGCTCTTAGAAAACGATCCTTTGACAAGGAACTGAATGGTATGTAAATAGAAGTTGTAGTAATGATGAAATGACAGATGTTACCCTGCACTCTTCATGAGTGTCTACTTATACCGTATGTTCTCGGCTGTGTAAGCAAGTTAATCTATTGGTCTCTATACACTATTGCACGCTTAAAGCTTAGCCTTGACCTCCTCAATTCGGGCGGCCTGGTGGTCTCTAGCAGCTGCCTGTCGAGCAACGTCTCGGGCCTCCTCCTCATAGTAGTTAATACAGTGGTCGAGCACAGGAGCGAACATGGTCATTCGCATCTGGCCGTAGGAGTTCTTGCCAACGGAGTTTCGTACCTTGGCAACAATCTCCTCTACCTCGTCCCAGCCGCCAGCAGCATCGATGATACCGTCCTTGAGAGCCTCGGCAGCGGTGAATCGGTGGCCCATCATGGTGATCTTTCGGCCGATAACGGGACCGTACTGGTGGGCGTGGATGGACATGAGCTGTCCAATGAGAGGAGCATCGAACTCGATCTCGTTCATGCAGAGCCAGCCCTTCTTGTCGTTCTGGACCTTGAAGTCGTGGGAGTTGGCCAGGATGAAACCTCCAGCAAAGGCGTGGCCATTGACGTAGGCGATGGTGGGCCAGGGGAATTCGAGCAGAGATCGCTGGAGTCGGCCAAGGTATCGCTCAAAGAACCGATCGGTCTTCATGGCAGCCTCTAGATCCAGACCATTGGAGTAGAACTTGGGGATGGCAGAAGTGGTGACCAGAGGCTTGGGCTCGTCCTCCTTGGTGGCTAGCAGGTAGTGCAGAGCCTCAACAAAGGCGTCAATGAAGACGTTGGACAGCCGGTTATCCTTGGGGGAGTGGAACTCGATGAGGTAGTAGTCCTCGGTGTCGTAGAGACTCAGCAGCTTCTTATCGTCGGGTTGGGTCTCGCCCTTCTTGGGTAGAGGAAACGAGGCAAGGAGTGTTCGTTCGGCAGGCATTTTGTGAGTGTGAACAGTCGATTGAAAGAGCTGATTATCTGCGGTAAAGTCCAAGAGCTATATATCCAATCTGAAAATGGCTTGGGGCAAAGGAAAGACAAGAAGGGGTGGTGTGCTTCTCCCGGTTAAGGTACAGCCAAAGTTCGTTCTTCCCCACAGATGAGTTTTCACGTGGGGTAGATGATCCGTGATTTTGTAGCTACTGGAACGCCGAAAAAAACAAAAAGGGGGTATATTGACTTCAATCAATAGATTTTAAAAGCAACTTTTGCCATTATATCCATCCTCGGCACTTATTCGCATCTCTCCCAGACCTTTACTGCCGAGCCGAGGAGCTTAATTGTCCATATCCAACTTAAATCGGTCCATCCACAATCATGCAGCAACACATCATAACGGTTGCCAGCTCAGTATCTTACAGAAGGCAGCAACATATACCTTGTGTCTATTTATCAGATGTGCAGCCTTGAATTCTTCGTCTTCACAAGCGGGGTAATATCGGACCACGATCTTTATACTATCTCGGCATTAAAACGGCATAGGGTTGCATATGGCCGATGCGTGGGGTTCATGGTGACCGACCCTCATGGCACTTATGATAACTGTACTACAAGTACAGGCTATTGCTATGCGGAAGTGATTAGGGGCCGGTTCTTCAGATAGTATAGATTGAGGTAATGTTGCAGCTGAAGATAAAATACGTGTATAAGTACTTGTACAAAAAAACTAACGACCCTTGACCAAACTGTTTCAGTTTGTTAGTGCTTTGTCTCTTGGCATCTAACGGTAATTATGTACGCTAAATAACCGCTACAGTCTTGAGACTAATTTTCACGCGAAAGCACTGGATTCAAGCAGAACAGAGTCTTACACTGTGAAAACATACTCCAGACCTCCACAGTGTCATGATTTTGTCTTTTACTGTATATCAACCTACAATAAATACCACAGATGATGTTCTAAAGTGTCAGAAATCTTTCCATAGACTTCGCTCATACTCCATCTTACCCCAGACAATCATATTTCGGCACCCAATAAATTACTGTTTGGTTATAACATTTTATAGGTTACTTGAGCAAAATGGAGTGCATGGCGAGACGGAAGTCCAGTGTCAAAGTTCACAAGATTATCCGAGGCTTCTTACAATCTCTGAGTACGATGTTACAGTGCATCGTGGCTACAGTATATACCATGCACTGTCGGACGCAACCACGCCTGTCGGCTTCCTTTCTCGAAACCCAATCGCGATGGAAGGCTGTGCTTGTTCATTCTGTACATACGATAGAACCATTCGTTTGTATTTTAATAGAAGTTCCTGATAGATAACCTTCTGGTGTTGTGGTGTTGTTATTATTATTACTTCCCTATAGGTCTATTACTTGGCTCTCCTAGAAGCCCATTTGTAGTCCATGGGAGTATATGCCCAGTTGTATCCAGTATAAGTACGCACCATAAGGCATGCGCACACACATCATTATCGTCACAACGGCTCTCAGCAGAGTAAGGCAAAACAACTGCTACACCACTTCTAAATACCTCGGGAGTGAAGTTTCAGAATCTTGTAGGCATCTACAAACATTCATTCCTGCCTAAACGGTTACGACGAGATACTCTAGATACAAACACATATACAGCACAACCTCCAAGTTGAGGTATCAATAAACAGAGCAATTGCACTCAGTTTACTACAGTACTAGGAATCCCACTTAGACATATTCCAGTTCAATTCCACACCGCCGATCCTGATGGGATGAGAAACAAACGACAGGTTCCCAAACTGGGAGTCCTCTTCTTGAAGAATATCGGTGCCCTGGAGCAGTTCGCTGGTGAGAACTGGAGCATCGATGTAATCTGCGGACTGTCCCAGCTTCCTGAGGTAGGCCATCACTCCAGCTAAAGACACCTCTACCATGTAAGAACCACCTTCATGTGTTTGTCTTAACCGGGAGATCATAAGCCCCAGAGCCAAAAAGTAACCTGCGGCATGGTCAAGCACTTGGCAAGGACATGGTTTAGGCACACCTAGATCCAGTCCAAAGTATTCTCCCTCTGATACATTCATTCCAGAAGCTGCCTGCACCAGCGAATCGAACCCTTTCTTGTCATGCCATTCTCCAAGTCCATATGCACTCAGAGTTCCCACGATAATGCTCTTGTTTCTTGTATGAATATCCTTGAGTGGTAAACCTAGACGTTTCTCCAGCGACCCAGGTGCATATGATTGTATGAACATGTCCGTCTCCTCGATCATATCCCAGAGTGTCTTCATATCTTCTTCATTCTCCAAGTCCAAATTCACTCTTCTTTTACCCTTGGTGAACTCGACATCCAATTCTGGTGCTGTGGGAAGATTGGGGGACGTGACCCACGTGTTGTCTGCACCATGGGCAGCCAGTACTTTACCGCAAACTGGGGCAGCAATTACTCTGTTGAGTTCCAATACCTTCTCACCTGACAAAGCAAGTGGACCATTCAACGGTATCACAGAAGAGTCTCCTGTCTTGGTGATTGTTACAGGGAAATCAAGTAAGTCCACATTTTTATCCTCGTCCCACTCACTGTAGCTTCTCACAGCTGAAACGGGAAGACGACGTTTAGCTGCTTCTGTCTCGAAGTCCACTGCCTTCCATTTAAGCAACGCATCAGCGAGTTCTGCTTTCAATACTTTCGGGTCTCTGGAGACCATTTCTTTTCCTGTTGCTAGCTCGTAGCTTCCCTTAATGTGGTGGGTGTATCCATCATGGATTCTGACCCACCCATCTCTCGTCTTATGATGTCCTCCAATTGGATATAGCGATGAGGAGGGAATCTTCTTTCCATCACAGGTAAGTAGTTGTTCACTATGGAACTCTGCAACACTGTGTAAGGTGTCTACAGTTGCGACCTTGTTCTCTGTAGACATCAACTCCAGCGACACTGCAGCTACTGCAGCTATCAGGCCCTGTGCCAGCGTGGCAATCCTGAAAGAAGATGGAGGACCAGAATATTGGTCTCCAATCAGCTTGACTTTGTTCTGCGGTAGTTTGAAACGGTTTGCAATGTCATTGAATACTTCCATTGTGGTGTAAATTAATAATAGAAGGAAGACGCGTGAGCTTCATGCACTTCATGTGCATGCCAGTTGGTTATAGGATGAAACTTAATTTACAGTACATGGAGACCCAGCGAATCTGTGCCATAGACTGTGGTAACAAGAGCTATACGATCTCGGACCGTTCGATACACAATTAATATTCTATGGATATTAATTAATCATCGAATACGTGCAGTACTTGTAGTCTATGTTAACATTGGTTAAATCCATCATGCGTTGGAACTTCCTATTGTGACGTGTGTATGTGAGCGTACTATATGGAGACGCGACGATAATATGGCTCTCTCGAAATCCGGTACTTTATGCATTTGATGGTTTAATATGTGGGTATTAGTGTCTCGGGGTCAACGATATGAAACCTATTGGATTGGTAGACACGCGTTTTCTCGTATAGCCAAGCTTGTGGGGATTTTCCAGACTCTGGTACAATGTGTACGCGCGATACCCTTGGGTCCGACCAGTCGCTGTTCCACTTTGTTGGGGCTATCTTATTTATGCACTTTCGGTTCATGTCTTAACCGGCATAATCTACCTAACAAATTCCTGGTTAGCCTTCAATATCCCTACTTGTGGTGTTGTCGAACCATACTGCATGTGCCAGGTTTGATAGAGACAGTAGCAAGCGTAAAAGGCGGCCGAGGCCACCGAGAGAACAGCGTAGCAGGGCGCGTAGTCACCACAGGGGACGCAGAACCAAACCAATGACGAAGAAGAACCACAAGGAGACGTTTTCAAAGGCAATGCAAACGAAGAGGGCAATGGAAGGATTGAGATTAGAGAACTGGAGACTGGAGTGGCGTTTTCCCGATGAACGAACAAACACGCGAAGCTATGTGGACCAACATACAACACGGACTGAACCAGGTTTTTTTATGATTTTTTTACTGGAAATAGGTACGTGCCAAGTTGGACCATGACACTAAACGTGTTTAATTAGTAATATTCGTGTAAGCGTACATTCATTTCAAAGGTTATTCTTTCACAGCAAAGTTATAATTAAATGAATGTATATGCAGAAAAAAAAAAAAAAGATATTGGAAGTCATGGCATTAAATGGCAAGAATTTGCAATGATCGGTTTTGGGTACTGTGTCTATATAAGACACCATCAGATACACCCTCTAGATATCCAATTATCAACCAACCCAACCAACAATGAAGGTCCAGTCTGTTTTTGTCTTTTCTCTTGCTGCTATCGCCGCTGCGTTCGAGGCAGGCATCACTGATGCTGACAACATGCCCGTTCCCACCCCCGTTGAGAACTTTGGTGAAGAGATCGTTGATCTCCCTCTCGTTACTGGAGAGAGTGTCATTGACGAGGCTACCAACGAATATGAGTACAGCGAGGGCGACTATGAGGGTAACACTAACGAGGAGCTTACTGATTACTTCATGCAGGACTATCAGGGAGATGCCGAGAACCCCGAGGATATCCACAAGCTGATTGACCACATCAAGGAGAAGAAGTGCCCCAAGAAGAAGTGCCTCAACAAGATTGTTAAGACTAAGACCTGCTACGTCACTCTGCACAAGCTACACTACAAGACAGTCAAGAAGCCTTGTGCCGTCCCGACCAAGCACCTCAAGAAGCCCGTGAAGAAGCAACCCTCCAAGAAGCAGCGATGCCCCAACTGTGGATCCACCAACTGTGATGGCGGCAACCAATGTCCCAACAAGGGCAACAAGGGCAACAATAAGAAGCAGCAGAGCAAGAAGCAGCAATGCCCCAACTGTGGTTCAGTCAACTGTGATGGCGGCAACCAGTGTCCCAATAAGGGCAATAAGGGCAACAAGGGCAACAAGAATAATAACAAGGCCCAGCGGTGTCCCAACTGTGGAGACACTAGCTGCGGTGGCTGCTCTGGAAAGAACCACAACAAGTGCCCCAACTGCGGTTCTCGAAATTGCGGTGGAAACTGTTAGATTATTTTGTAAGCGTTTATTTTAGTGTTAAAAGATTAATTGGTGTAAGTTTCGAGTAGGTCCCATACTGTGCGTAGTAACTACTGTACCCTCTTGTTGATGCCCGTTTGGTTGCAACTATTTGTAAAAATTGTAGCTACAGTATTTGTCCAGTATGTACTTAGCATGTAGACCTCGTATTTCTGTTGCATGACACTCCAGAGAGTTGGAAAAAGGAGATCAAACTCAAAATAATCCAACTACAAGTAGTATTGGGTTTAAAATTAAGAGACGCGCTGTGAACTAAATATTCAATTGCGTGTCTCAACTTACACCATAGCACACAACACTCGCCTCATGGACATCTTTCTACAGACCCTGTTGGGTTCTGTCATGCTCAACCAGCATGTAGACGAAGAAAGCTCATACTACGAGTTTTTCAGTGGGTGGATCTCTCGAAACCAACACAAGTGGGGGGTCATGACCACCAGAGCGTATCAGAACGCAGTGGGAAGATCGGAGGAATATCTGCTGACAACCCATAGACGTACCGAGAAGAAATTACAGCTCGAAATTTCGGAACGGTCCTTACCATGGCTGGTTTTAGCATCTCATGTGCTCTTGGGGTTCACGACAGACGCAGCCCAGATCTCAGAACTGATGGTCTTCTGTGGGTTCAGGAGAGTACACGAGAAGGTTATTAAATCAATTGTCGAATGGTCGACGTATCCTTCACGCCTGAACATGGGCGACACATCCCAGGAGTACACAATTACGGCATTTGAGAATCTACAGAAAGCATTCTCAGAGGGTGACGGTAGTGAAAGCATAGGATGGAGGCGACTGGGATACCAGAAGCTCATGTGGAAGACGATATATCAACATCATCTATCGACGCCTGATCTCAACCCCATGTTTAACACCGCTGGCATTATTTTCTATGGTCTGATTTCGCTGGATGATGACCGGTATGCAGTGCTATTCATCGATGCAGTGACTGAAGCATTGCAGTTCTCACGACAATTCAGCGCCAACAACGAAATTGAACTAGCTCAGCATATTGCTGATACCATCGCTGCATACATGAAGGAGTACGGCCATCCCTGGTACTTTATTTTGCTCAACCCTTTGCGAGGCTGGCTACACTCAACCATGTCGAAGGCACTTGGCATGCTAACTGAGCCCTCAGCTTGTCAATTCATTGCTCCTCGACAGCTCACCGCCAATTTGAAACTGGTCCCCACAAAAGTAGAAGCTCTTCTGTCCTCCATCCAGCAGATGCTGCAAGATGAAAGCATCATGAAGGAATACCCGCCGTTCAGTCTGGTCGAATACGACGGCCCATGGCCTTTGGTGTTTGTTGAGAATCTGCATTGGAGCCAGCATCAACTGAGCAGCACACATCCTAATGTCTTTGAACAGGTTTCCAAGAACAACCCCGAATTGAAGTTCGCCAAGGAACTGCGGGTCGTAGACTTGCCCAGTTTGGAAACAGGTGAAATTAGCCATGACAGTTTCGAACTACTAAAATGCCAGGCACCTAGTGGTGTCGGACAGAATGAGGGCATTACTGACAACGCTGGACTGCAGGATGAGCTGTTGGATAGGAACTTTGCATCTCTCATGAAACGTTCAAATGAGTTCAATATTGTACCTGGGAGGGACTATCAGACTTCACCAGTAGATTACATTTCCAGAAAGATGGTTCTGCACATCTGGCAATGTTTCAAGCTTCGAGAGACCATGGCTACCAACGGACAAACGCGAATGTTGGATTTTGACGACCTGGTTCACGTGCTTTCTCGTGGCCATGATGTCTATAAGGTGATTAATCATGAGGAGGCACTGTGGCAGTCCAAAGGAGTCGAGATTGCCCATGGGTTGGATGATTGCATTCTCATATTTATTGGAGCTGACTCGGCCATTCAACAAGTAACATGGTGGGAAGAAGGACGTCTGGGCTGGGATGTTTTTTCTCAGGAATCAATGGTGAGTTTCCTGCCCAAGACTGTGGAAGAAGCCGTTGAAGAAGGCGGGAGACGTGATGCCCCTATTCAGCTGTCTGAGTCAGATGATGAGGACCCTGTCAATGCTAAAGATACGATGAGCACCCCCACTCAGCGACGAAGCCGGAGAGTTAGAGAACAGGAAGTTGGTTCGGCGGAAACTGAGGAACCCAATGGGTATGATTTCGATTCATCTTCTGAAGACGACCTCGAGAGGACCGTATCTGACCCTGCGCTGCCTGCGCAAGCCCAGCGACGCACGTCCACCCAAGTCCCTGCTCATCTCAGAGGCCTCTATGACAGCATTGACCCTGCTATGAGAGAAGGCCTTTACAACAAGAAGCATCCCCTTATTAGAAATCTTGTCAAGCTGATTCCCAAACTATCGGACCGAAATATGACGGAAGACTCAAGGCCATTTTCATACGATATCAGAGAGGCGTTGGGCCTTGCTGAGGGGGATAATGATGTTGAGACGAACGGAAACTGAGATGGCATACGGTGGCTTAAAATGCAACCATTATTTATTCATATGGGTAGGAAATACACAGGTCTACTCAAATCGTTAACAATACAATAAATCAATAACATACAAAAGCGTTTTATAGTTCGCCAGAGAGGATGGCCTCAACCACAAAGTTGATGTAGTCTCTCTTGGGGGTAAGCGAACAGCCAAATCTCTCCTCCAGCGACCGTCGGATACTCTTCTTGGTGACGGACATGAGATCAGCTGTTCGTAGGATATCTCGAACACCTTCAGTGATTTCTTCATTGGAAGGCAGGTTGTGGGACATGACGGGGGCAGGATCCGGAGTGGACAACAGACCCACCTTGGACTCGTTCTGATGCATTGACACTTCGTCCATGAAAGGAGAGTCATGGTAAGCATCGTAGGACGACATCTGGTCAAAGTTAGACCGTCGGTCGTACTGCTCATGGTCGTGCAGATCATCCTCCTCCCAGTTTTCGGCCTGGTAGTCCTCCCATCGCTGCATGGGAATCTCAGCAGGGTCAAACTTTCCCTCGGAGCTAAGAATCATCTTCTTACCCTTCTCTCCGAGAACAACACGAGTGTTACCCCAAGAGAAATCATCCATGTGCCAGAAAGAGTACAGTGGGATGGCAAGGGAGAAGATAGGAATGGCGAGGATGTAAATGAACATCCATCCAATCATTTCCCATCGTCGTCGCATCAAGAAAATGATCGCCTGCAGACCGTAGATGGCTCCAAGGAGAGCAATGGATGCAATGGGAATGTTGTTGGGGTCACTGGCCAGTCGGTAGATGAGGTAGACAATGTAGCCAACCAGCACGGGCTGCACAATGGTCGACATGAGATCCAGAAGAACCACAAATCGCATGGAGAAACAGCAGAAACCACACAGCTGCTGCATGGGCACCAGCTCCATCAGATTGTGGACAGTGGAGTTGATCCATCGTCGTCGCTGAGACAGGAAGACGGACCAGGTATCTGGAGCAAAGGTCCAGGCCTCGGCCTCTCGAATGAACTTAGTCTTGTACATGGGGAAGTGCTTGAGCAGCAGAGTGGTCAAGTATCGATCCTCTCCGAGATGCAGCAGGTTCTTAAGATGCAGAGTGTCGACTCGGTTGATCATATAGTTGTGAACAATGGCGTTGGACACAAACAGAGGCTTTCCTGTGTCAAGTTCAACAATCTTGTACATGGAGAAACAACCAGGCAGACATGTGACACTTCCAAACAGGGACTCAAATGCCTTCGCCATATTATGCGAAATGTAGTACTCGTAGACCTGCACCATGGTGACAATGGTAGACTTCGCGTTCGACAGCGAAGTCTCACCACATAGAGCAATGATACGAGTGTCGTGAAGAAAGGCGGAGATCATTCGAGTAGCAGCATCGGGAGCAACCTGGGTATCGGCATCGACCTGGAACAGGTACTCGTAATAAGCAGGGTTGACACCAATGACATTCTGGATCTGGTGGTACAGCTCAAGCTCTAGAGGGTTCATGGGAAGACCGTAGTGAACTCGGTTGAGGAACCGCATGACAACCATCTGGGAGTCTCGCTTACCTCGATTACCGGGTCGGTTCACCTCGGTAGGTCGACCAACCTTGACGACAACAACAAAGGGCACGATATGGCCTCCGACTTCGTAAAGACCACTGAACACCTTACCCATGTTGTGCTGCTTGTTGCCCTCACCGAGCGACTCAAACGATAGGGCCTGAGCATCGACCTCCGGAGGAACACCGAGAATATCAAGCACAATTCGAGGAGTGGGTCGATCGTTACCAGCACCGACAATCATACCATCACAAACAACAAACAGTAGCTTTCGCTTATCGTCGTACTTGGAACGGGCAAGCGAGTCAATGGCTCGTCGCAAAGACTCCTCGTCCTCAGTGTAGGCGGGGATCTGGCAAATGTAGAACTTGTCCAGATCCTCGGGCTTCTTGGGCTTGGAGAATTGGAGTGCGGCAATAAACTTGAAGGCAATGACGGCAACAAGGAAAATGGAAATTGCCAGCAGGAAGTAACGGGCGAACTCACACTGCACAGAGTGTCGAGTGTCGAGCTTGCCAACAAAGAACAGGTTGTCAAGACAGTCCTTCATATCGAGTTTTCCATTTCCATCAAGCTGCATGTTGTCCCACTTCTTGGTTATATCCTGGCCAGAGTAGGTCTGGAACAGATTGACAACCTCACTAGCAAGGAACTGAGTGTCGACGTCCTTGTTGACAGACTCGCCGGATTTGGCTCGAACTCGCATATCTCCAGTTACATACTGGGTAAGGTCGTATACGTTGTTGTGCAAGTAGGCAATGGTTCGCTGCTTACCGGCTTGCTCCTTGATATGCTTGGAAGTGATACCGTTGTAGCCCTTGAAGAAGTTGATTCGCAGGTTTTTCATCTGTTCCATGTACCAGTCGGGTCGAGAGTCGTTTTGGAACGATCGGAAGTCGTGGTACTGGGCGTTCTCATCGGTATAGTTGTTGGTGGAGCCCATGACGAGCATGTCATCAATGGGGCCATTTATACCATTGCACACGGCAGAGATCTGAACGGGGAAAATGTCAGAGGCATCCTTACCGGCGTACTTGAGAACAGCAGAGGAAGAAACAATGGGAGGATAATGACCAGGAGCAAACTTTGTAAGGTCAAACACATTGCCTCGAATGGAGGTAAAGGCCTGTTTGGGATCATTGTCAAAGGAATGAGACTGCAGCTCTGCAGTGGAGAAGACATGCTGAGTGGGACAGATGAGAATGGGGAAACCGACGAGGAAAAGAACAACACCGCCGCAAGCCAGCCAGATGAGCAAGTTGATGGCAAACTTTTCTCTCCATGCAATTCGAACGTCTTTTCGCTTCATTCGACCAATATACTTGATGGCTGCATCAGGAACCCACCAGGTAAGTGTCCAAACAATGAACATCCAGAACTTTCGCTTTCCAGTCACTGCTACATTCTCCACAACGTCATCCTCGGCCTCGCCAACCTCCTTGGCTTGCAACTCGCCGTTAGCATTGTATCTAAACATGTCGCCAGTCTGTCCAACCACAGGGTTTCCGTCCTGATCGTAGTAGAAAGCATCCTCAGGGGTCAGACCCATATCTCTGTTCAGAACATCCTCCATGGCGTGCTCAGTAGCATGGGATGGATCAACCATATTCTTCCATGCTCTCTCAGACAAAAAGACTCCTGTGAGACCGATACGAGCATCTCGCTCCTTCCAGCCGTGGTGACCCACGATCTGGGCACTGACAACTCGGTCTTCTCCTCCCTCAAACGTATCATCATCGTAGATCTGCTCCTCATTCTTAGCCAGAGCAATGAACCGGGCAAAGGGAATGAACATACCCACATCGGTGGTCTTGACTCGCTGCGTGAACTCGGTGATACCAAAACATTTGATCTGCTGTCGAACACATCGAGCATCAAATTGACCGGCAATTCTTCGATCGTTGGGTTTCAGACAAATGACGAAGTAAGGATTGGCCTCTTCAAACGCGTCCGTGAGAGCCTCGACGGAAGACACAAACTGGCCACAGGCGTCGTTTCGGGCCTTTTGCTTTCTTCGGCCTCCATTGGCGTCTTTTCGTCGAGTCGACTTTCGTACCAAACTGGGCTGTCGAGCAGGCTGACTGTTGAGAGAAGCCTGAACATACTCGCCACCAAAGTCCTTGGAGGCATCGGCATGCACAGCACCAGTGTGGAACAGCTGTCGCAGGAAAGGAGAGGTGGAATCACTAGTGAACACAGCCACTGTGTCTCCAGAGATCGACTCGGCATTGTCAGCAAGAAGATGGTCAGTTCCATACTCAACCTCACCGGCAAAATGACGAACCAGGAAAGATCGAGGCGAAGAGGGAGACTCCACAACAGTGGACTTAGAAAACCGTTTACTCAGCGAGTCCAGAAGCTGACTGTCTGACTTATCTCGTCGGGAATAGTCGTCAACAACAGAAAGAATTCCCAAACTAGGTTTGAATAGAGCCCGCACAATGTCGGAGTTGTCAAAGTACTCGGCCGTAGGCACCACGATGTCCTCAGACTCCAGCAGATCAGTCATGTTCTCAAAGTAGATGGACTGGACAAACTGGTAGAACTTTTCATTGGCGGCATTGTGAAGAAGACGGTCGAGAGTGGGGACGGCAGGAGACACGTTGAAACCGGGGAAGTCCACAAGAGTGATACTGGTCTCGACCAGGGTGTTCTCCTTGACATCCCCGGTGCTGTCATCCTCAGAGGTCTGTGAGAGTAGCACGTTTATCTGCTCAAGTACCCAAGAGAAGAGCATGGCATACAGGCACCGGGCAAGAGTGTCTGCAGACTCTCGGGCTCCCTTCTGGTCAAGAACCAGCGTGACTCGGTCGTTTCGCATCATCACGGTCTTGTACACCATAGCGTTTTCCAGCACGGTGGTTCGCACTCCCAGGAAGTTGGCCACCAGGTTGAGTTCCTCGGGGTTGGCAATTTCAACAGCAGGACCGCTAGTGCCGTCGTTTCCAGTGGACTTGAACTGGATCTGACCTAGGTGCAGGACAGCTGCCAGAATCTGAGACATGTTGGCCATATCACTTCTGGAGAAGCCCAGGGAGGCCATGGAACCCTTCAGATGGGTGAATCGCTCCGCATCATTGATGCCAGACTTGACTTGGCTCTGGTGGCCGAGATATCGGAAAGATCGGGATTCAGAGGGGTCAGGAAGCTCCAGATACTCTCGTTCGGTTGCACTGATACCAGCGAGGAGGTAGTAGAAGACATGGAAGTTTCTTTCGGCGGTAGGCACCTTTGTAATTCGAGACCTTTCAAGTCGGTAGTCCAGGAAGGAGGCTCCGATCAGAGTGGAGTCTGCGGCGTACTGGAGTTCGGCCACCACTCCGGCTCGAGAGGCCTGGGTTGAGGTGAGTGTCTTGGAGCAGGTGAATGCTGAGGTGATGAATTCTGCATTTTTGATCTTCGTTGAAAGGGGGTTGTTGGACAGTGCTGTGTTAGTGAAACCTTTGCAACTGATGTGTTTTTCTGGCACTATGCATGACTCTCTCCGACTCCTTGAGTCATATTTCTCCCTCTCTCTCTTACTCACTCAATAAACTGAAAAGAATGCTGTTCTTGAACTCGGTCTTGCCGCTACCACTCTCTCCTAGGAATAGAACCAGCTGAGACTCACCCCGCTTGACCATTCGGTTGAAGATCTGAATGGAAAAGGCGTTGAGAGGTTCCTTGCGCTGCTCGTCCATGGGGGTGTATGTGTTGATCATGACCAGGGTTCGAGACGAAATGGTAGCAAAGGGCATGCCCTGGTGGTATCTGGCGGCCAGATGGGAGGCCAGACCCACATCCGACATGGCCGACGGGGGCAACTGCGACAGGTCCGTCACGTTTGCGGTCATCTCTTTGGTAGTAGAGGCACAATAAGCAGCGTAGCTGTCGGGTGTGTGTGTGTGTGTGTAGATGTGTAGTGGTAGTGTGAGATGAACCTGTGCAGCTGTATGCTGTAATTAGAATTACTGTGTGTCCTTCTCCAGGCTTAGTCCCGAAATAGCTACCAAATAATAGTCTGTAGCGAAGTGTAATTTGAGTGTGTGCTATTAATAGGTGTTTTTGTGAGACCATTTTGGAGGGCAATCGAAAATATTGTTACAAAAAAGAGGTCACATGACACTAGTGTTCGCCCTTTGACCAGAAAATATTTTTCCCCTCGTTGAAATCTGCCCAACTCGTCATATTGATGCCTCCTGTTGTATACGCTCACCCCTTTTGCACTCTACAGCTTCTGCCCAAAACACGAGACCGAAACCTTATTTCTGTTTGATCGCGTTACCGCGGCAACGAGTAGTCTGTCCAGGACGCTTTGGGACATGGTCAAACACAACACCATAAGATCATCAAAACAGATGTGAGTAGTATTGGGGTTTGAAACGAGAGTAAGAAACTGCTACTTGTAGGACTTTCCAATACTCCATCATGTACTCTATATTCCAGAAAGGAGACTCTTCCCTAACCAAACCACTGACAAATAACGAAAAGCGGTTAGGGTAAACAAGCCTCATCCAGGAACATCTCCCATGCAAGATTCATGATTAGTAACGTGTATGTGTAACTGAGGGAATTAAAAGGAGTTGACTGATGCTTGCTTTGAAAGAAGGTGTTTAGAAATGTTGGGTTACAAGTAAAAGTATTGTACATACAAGTACAGTATTATTTTACAAGCGGATCAGCTGTTTACTGTATGTCTTCCGTTGAGCAATGTACAAGTACTACTTGTAGTATGGTGCAACACTGGCTTTAAACCTGTGATGATACATGTACAATTTAGCTGTTCCAAACAATGGCATTATGAACAGACATGACAACGAACCAGATCGCGGGTGAAAGAGATAATTCTCTTACTACAAGTGCAAGTACAAGTACGGTACAAGTATAGGTACCTGTACTTGTCTCCGGGGCGGTTCACATAATCGACCCAGAAGTTCGCTGAGCCGGTCCAGTAGCCCGCATTTATCGGACAGTTCATCTAACGTTATTTTTACGGAGGGTGCTTGTGCTCTAAAAAAGTGGAGGCTAGCGAGTAAGAAATTAATCCAAGCTAAGTACAATTACGTAATAGGCCTGGTTTGAGGAATATTGTGTGAGTTAGGAGGGGCTAGTTCTAGAAGGGCAGGTAGGATAATATCAAATACAATTGGTCATAATTGTGATATATTGGGCGAGTGGGTTATTAAGCTTTGAGACGATTTGGAAATGTCATGTAGAGGGCTAAGCGTGGATGTCACACCTCAGCTGAACCGTTGAAGTGAGAGGCAGATCCAGTTCGTCTCAGTGGATATCACTCCAATGACACAGCATATGTTAATCACGTGACAATTAATTGAAAGCAACATCTCACAAAGAAAGAAAGTTCTTAATGGCGTTTTTAGTGAATGCATCATTGTAGCAAGGCCAACTGGTGCTATGCTGTCCATAAATAATTATCACAGTGTGCACAGCACAATCTTCAGTTACAGTACCATATTGATGACCAACGTTCATTACTTCATTACAGTGGTTCAATTGCTTCTCATCTGTCTGCCTGTTATCATTTCATACGGTAGCAGCTCTACAGCATACAGGATTACAAGATGGATCAGATAATGATGTGTATTAATAGAGGTATAAATATTTTGGTTCGTTAGCACTTGCAAGTGTCACAGGCGCACTTAGTGCAAGCACAGGTGGCCTTAGTGGTGGTGGCATTGATAGAGCAGCCGCAAGAGTTGTGGTTGACCATAGAACGCTTAGAGTGGGTAGGCTTGGGGGCAGACAGAACGCTAGCGCCAAGGGAGACAGGGAAAAAAAGCATTGAAGTGTTGGTTGAATGTGAGAGTTGGAAGGGGAGAGTGTGTGAAGAATGGTAATTATATATGGGTATCTAACATGTTTAAATACTTTTCTACAAGTCTAAGATCATAAGAAGTCATCTCCAGTGGCAAATTTAACGCGGTCTAAATTCCAACAAAGTTATTCAGCCGTAGCGAATTCCTCGCAAATCGTGCATGATAGACGCAACCAACGATGCGGAGTCCGAACCGAGGGCATCTGACGGCCGAATTTGACGACTACTTTTTTTTCTTCTTCTCGATTCGGAATCCGATGAAGCAGAAGCCCCGTGACATATCCATCCCTTTCCTGTAGTTATATGACTTCTTGTACATGCAAGTGGTGCTTCGAACGATAGCTACATTAATTACACACTCTCTCCAAATGTGTTAAGGATTATCCAGCCATATTGGATCCTCTCGTCTGTAAATCATTGCGTACCATCTAATAACTTCTGACAAATAGCATAACTGGCTCGCAAGTGACAAATGTCAGCCATTGAAGTTACACAGCCTCGCCGCAGCCGTTCCAAAAAGGTATAGGCGCATCTCGGCTATTGTACGCCAAGTCGAGGACAATAGACATTTCACTAGTGCAAGTGTCAGAATAATTTTCTGGAATGGTGAGATTATGGCGTGTTTAGTGGAACAGAGTCCTTATTCAGCTAGAGTACACTTCTAAGGAACCACTGATAGTGGTACAGTTGCAGCCAGAGTATATATATATATATTATCTGCGCACATAAGGAAAAAGAATGTACGGTATGTACAGGTACCGACTCCTATACTGTACTGTGTGTACATACTGTAGTTCGTCTTTTTAAATTAGCCCATTCTGGATTGAAAGTCTCATCAATATGTCTAAGGACCCAAAGACGCAAGTGCTCGTACAGATATGAGCGTCTGGTACGAGCACGATGCAGTAGCTATTACATATTCTGACATCTTGGTTTATCGACGTGAATGTCAACATACCTTAACATTTTCAGATTATCTGAGCTTAGTCCCAAGATAATGGGTATTATGTATCGAGTCTCACCTCTACCGCGGTACATACATACTACACGGTGTACAAGTGTACGAGTACATCTAACCATCCATAATATTATTTTACCTACTGTGTGGTACATACGAGTTATCTACCGTAGGAACTGTTACCAGTATGCACGGGATGTACTCGTGCTCGCGAGGATCAAATGGAGGTCTCACACACCACATCAAGCCGAAGATTGAGGGAGTGGCAGTAGGAGCACAACCAGCCAACCGCATCACATTTGGTAACAAATATTATATTAAAACCAGCAACTAAGTATAGAAACCATTCCACCTTGTACAATGACATCCAAGACATTGGAGAAACACGAACATTTGTAGTTTGATTACTGTCTCTCATTGTCATAATATCCCTTACCAACATACAACTCCCCATCAACAGTCCAAATTCAGAAATCACGTGTCGATATAACCTCTCTCACAGCCATTTCCGTATCCAAAAAACGCTCCTTTGACCTTGTCGTGTACACTTGTACGTCGCCCAATCGAATAGGGCCCAAACTCACTCCAAGGCCATATTAATTAACGTTCGGGGGCTGCTCTGGGACGTTAATTCAGATCTCGACCCGCCAAAGAAACAAAAAAGAACAAACAAACAAGAAAGGTCAAGGTTAGAGATCGAGTCATATGGTGCATATATTGGAAAATTTTCTGTGGGGATAGCTACAAGTAGCTACAGTAACTACAGTAGCTGTAATATACTGAATAGTAAGTCACAGCTGGTACTGTGTGAACTGTCGTCCACACTGATTTTTCCAGAAAATACATGATCCATACCGTTTATTGTAACAGCTCGCCATCCCACATCAAAATACACAATAAATAGTTAGTTACAAAATTCTCACACTGTTGGACTCCTCCTTACAACCAACCTCCTCCTTGTGCCAAATATTCTCGTGCGATGTTGTCTCCAGCCTTGGCGGCACATCGCATCCAATGTCGAACAATGGCCATCCGAGTAGGGTCCAACTTGTCCAAATCAGACGTAGAACAGTTGGGCATGTCCTCAAACAGCTCATTCAGCCGGGTCAGAGGCATGACACACAGGTTGACCTCACCAGGGTGACTCAGTTGCATGATTCCAAGTTCCCGCTGAGCCACCGAGTTACCTTCCTTGGCTGCAATGGTCCATAGCTCACCACACTCCTTCATTCCAAAACCAGCGAGCGGTGAAGAGCCGTTGAAAGAAGACTGTGTGCGAGAAACGTCGCTGCTGGTAGACTGGAAGATCTCGTTAGCTGCCTCTACAATGCATTCCACAGCCTCGTGCTTGATTGAAAGAGCAGCTAGCACAACGTCCCAGAACATCTTGCCAGAGTAAGACAGGTCCAGATTGTCGAGCGGTGCAAAAGCTGCAATCATTTGGAGATCTCTGAATAGGGTCTTGGGACGCAAATCGGAGCGGAAAAGACTTTGCAGCTCCTCCACAATGGCGTCGGCTCCAGGATCAGAACGCGTGCCAGCAGTCAGAGCGGCAACAACCAGTGTTTCAAGCTCATATAGGCACTGCATCTTGGCATGAGGCGAAGTGACAGTGGAGAATTTGGACAGAATCTCACTGTAGGCCCGGTCGTAGGGGAATGGAGCAGACAGAGTGTTGCTGCAAATCGCACCGGAAATCACTGGAGTGATACACGAGGGTATGGAAATGGGAATTCCATCGGGCAGGCGAGCCTCTACTGCAGCACTGGGGGTGTTGGGAAGCGTGAGTTTAAACGTAGGAGGCAGAGGCGACGGGGTAGCTGTGGCAGAGACCATGTTCTGCGCACCAGCTCCTGCTGTTCCGTTGGAGCTGTTCACTTTAACGGGCGTGATCGGTGCACTGGAGGCGCTAGTGGCAGCTGACGGGGGAAGTGTCAGCCTGAAGGCACCACCCTGGGCGTTGGGTCGCATGGAAAAATACGATTCAGTGGGACTGGAACAGGTCTTCTGGGGCGTTCCAAGATGCTCGCAAGAAGTTGCAGCCGCGGTGGACGCCACAGTTCCAATGCTCAGAATCGACGACCTGTGTCTCAGAGCTCTTGGAGGGGCATGTTTCACGGACAGACAAGCCTTTACAAGATCAGAAGATAGCCATTGGTCAGTCTCACTTCCAGAAAACCACCCAGAACCAAGGTCAGAGTAAACAATGGAGACCAAGAACAGGTGGAGATCTTCAGAGCATTGAGGGGTTCTCTTCTCAGGGAACAGAGGCGAGCCTCCAGCAGCCAGCTCGGCAATGAGTCGCTGGCAAAGATCATCCACCTCACAGTAGAATCTGTGCAGTCGCTCTTCTCCCTGGCAGAGATTTTGCTTGCGCTGCTCCTCTAGCCATCGTCGCGTGGCATCACTCTCTCTGTCGGACAACTTGTTTGGACCAGCAAACGAAGGAGGTGCAAACATGGTAATTTCGGAAGGCAGAGAGACGATACTCTGTCGCTGTCGTCGCTTGTTATACCCAAGAGAAAGCCTTTTGAAGAAGGATTCTCTGGAGGCTGTAGAGACAACGGAACTTGGCCGCCTGAACTTGCTGTCCAGTCCTCCAAGGCTGCCCATGGCGGCAGCCGGGCCTAAAGAAGGCGTCGAATTGGGATCAGCCAACTTCTGTGCAACACAGGAGGCTCGAACGTAAACCTCAGAGTTCCGAACCTGCGTCACGTACCACACCTTGTTCCGCAGAGTGCCCATAGCCTTGACCAGCTGAGAGGTCTTGTCACGGAATCTCTCAATGGACCGATTGTAGAGGCACACTTCAGTCTCTAGTCGCTCACATTCAGTTGTGTACTGGTCCAGCTGGACCTCCAGGGCACAATGAAGGGCCACAATGTCCCCTGAAGTAATGGAGGCATCGTGGAACTCCTGGGCCTGGTTCCAGTTGCCCTGGGACAGTTCCTTCGCGGAAGCTTGGGCGAGAAGTACAGATACGTCCTCCGACGAAGTGTCATAGTTTCTGATAAGCTGATGCAGGGGTGAAAAGTAGGTGAAGGCGACGGTGTGGGGATCGATGTTGAACACGTGCCAGGTTGTGAAGTTGCGCGGGCAGGAGATTCCCAGTGATTTGAGCTCTCCAGGAGACAAGACCACGTAGGAGGGGTTGTGGTGTGTTCTGTAGTCGAGGTGCTGAGGCGTTCCAGACGCGAATTTGCCAAAGATGGCGTTGGTGGCTCGGGTGCTGGGGTCATGGCTCAGATCCACGAGCTTGGCATGGATGCAGCTCATCTGCGATCTCTGTGCTGGCGAGATGTAGAAATCATGGCACATGCCATACTGTTCCGGGTTCACCAACATGTCTTTCACATAGACGCTAAAATAGTACTCGGCGATTGTGTGAAGATGCGACTTGTCCAGCGCACAGAGAGAGTTGGTGAACTGCAGCCACTCTGAACACAAGTAGGAGAACTGACCCAGGTGTCGAAGGATTGTGGTGGCTGCATCGACGACGCTCAGATGCGACGCCTGGAAAATCTGGAGAATGAGAGTCTCTAGTTTCGAGAAGTTGCATGTGTTATAGTTGTTGTTCAGGAATGCAAGCGCCTGAGTAATGAAGGTGGAGGTAGGGAGAGTGGTAGATGCAGAAGTAGTGTTTGTGTTGTTAGTGGCGGTAGTATAAGACCGTGGGGTCGATGCATGCAATGACTTGTTTTGTCTGTGTGTTGGCTTGTGCTGTGGCTGTTGTAGTGACCGTGTCTGTGTCGTTAGTTCCTGTCCTTCCTTGTGCTGACATGCTGCATTGCACACCGCGGCCAGATAAGCCATGTCGGTGTCCACCTTATGGAGAGCTGCGAGGGTGACGTACACATGGCGAGCCGTCGAGTTGCGGGTTCGCAGCAGGTCTGCGGCCTTCTGTACTCCATTGTCTCCCTTGAGTCTCTGTATCTGGGTCCATACTTCGATCTCCTGGGTGCCCGACAGCTCGGGTTCGGGATTGACCGAAGGGCGCGGTTCCGCCGCATGCGCCATTATTCTTTTGTATAGCTCGTAAAATTCGCGTGACTCATTCTGAACTTGAGAGTCACACAGTTTCCGGTGGTTGGCAATTGTGTCGTAGTATCGTTTTTGAGCGTCAACGTTTCGAAGAGCGGCCTTGCGCAGTCGGTAGCGGAGCTTGAGTGTCGTGTCCTCGTAGAGCCACGTTTTGTGGTCCAGAGCCGCCAGCTCAGCTAGCGACACGCCGTTGGTCGTAGAGTGTGGCGTAGACGTTGTAGTAGAAGTGTGAGAGCTGTGCCCGTGGATGCGGAACACTCCCGAGTCGCGTAGAGATGTAGTGACGGTTGTCATCTATGTTAGTATGAGTTGAGGTGGCGGTGGATAGCTGCCGTTGAAATGACAAGACCCATGTGACCTAAGCGAAGGTGGCGGGCTGGGAGTGCGGATGACACCTGCTTGAATAGATGGTAGATGAGCTGAGAAAACGACAGAGATACACGTGAGGGTTCATAGAACACGTATCTTTCTGTCTTCTAACCTTGGTACTGACACTGGTCGTGTAGTGTGCAGTTTCAGAAGCACATTTTCTCCTACTCTTCATCTCTTGTACATAGTCATGTATCTCTGAGTCATGTGGACTCAGAGAGTGAGCCTCATCGAATGCATTATCGCGCCTTGACGCTGTCCCGGTGACGGGTTGGCTTCATTTAGACCCCCTTCTGTTCGCAAATACTCACATTCAAAACCACCTTATGCCATACCCATGGAAGAAGAAAACCATGCAGAGAGAAGAAGAGATTGGCGATAAGTCACTACACCACTATACTCCTCTCCAAACTCTCTTTGCATTAAGGTATCTACAAGCGTCGAGGTAAACACCATAAGGTTTACTTACCTTTGTTTGTCCCTCACACGGGGTGACGAAGACATGCAGCTACCATGTATTGTGTAAATGAGTGAGAGATAAATGGGGCGATTTAACCACGGTATTGCATTAGCGACAAGTCGGGCCAGTATGGGATGTTATTTTCGCAGCCAATATTATAAAGACGGACACTGAGGTTTGAAAATTTTTCAAAAGTTTCTCCGACCCAAGAATATTTTCCGTGGCTCTGTTTTTTTCTCTTCGTATTGTGGGGCTCGTCTTTCTTAGATAGCCCATTTTCCGGGCCCCGTACTTTCGAAAAGCTCGCACCTCATTTAACTCAAAACAGAAAGATGAATCAGGCACACAGTGGAGCCTGACACTCACAGCAGGGAAACAAGGTGGGCTGCACCAGTCATGCAGCTGGGGAATGGGTTTTGGGTACGGTTGGTCGCAATTGGGAGCAGAAGTGGCCTTGTCCTCACCCGCGTACTGAGACAAGTGTATCGCCGACGTCCGGTGGCCTCTACAGAGGTAGTTTGGGGGCAGTGGTTCGACACATGTCACCGTAACATATGCTAGTGTTTTATCCGTAGATAGCATGGAGATCTGTACACCCACCGGTACACTAAATTGCAGGTCGCCTTCCAACAAGCATGCAGCCTAACGCTCAACCTGTACAAAAGTGGTAACGTAGCGCCGACTGATAAGAAAAAAATGCATGAACCTTGACCCTCCCAGCTGTCCGTCCAGATAGCGGGGGAGTCCCAATGCATGCGTAGACCAATAATCTTCACCTTCTGGGAGCATATACATCAGCACCGCACTTGGTAATTTTGCTTGGTGTAATATTGGCAAGGACGGATATATATTTCGCATCCCCGCTACTGACTGGGACTACTGTATCCCTTGGCACACGTCATGTTTCAAACCATATACCCAGCTAATGGCTTGGAAAAAGGGCGTGTGTGGGGTGTACACTATAAATAGGCTATAGAGCGACCCCCCCTGTATAGTGGCATTCTGATGATGTCATCTCTGCCAATATTGAAACTGCAGCGCGTGTGAGTGACAGAAGGAAGCGTCTCCCACCCATATGGCCCCTATTACTGCTCGTATTCCGTCCAAACGGATGGTGTGAAATAATTTCTGCACGCTAGTGCTCGAGAGTCTACATGGTCAGGGGCGCTGAATGTGGAAGCACGTACACCATGTCGCTGCAATACACCATCTACGACACGGCATTGAGTGACATTTCACAATAATTTGCAACACGGCATTAATGGAGCTGTTTGTTGTGATGCCTACAAGTGTGTCACTCGTATTGACAGGGTCAATGTCTTCCGGTTTAAGAAATAGCTAATGGTCATGGGACAACCTGTGTGCAAGACACTCACACGTATGTAGGTCCTCGTACTTGTACTGTAGAGCATTTTGTAAACTACCGCCATTCCAGCCTCTTGCCCTCTTCTTCGGGGATCTATTCTTAGCGCACTGTCTGTGGTGGACCCCACCCTGGGCGGGAATAAACAAACAAGTCATGGCGGCCCTACGCTCGTAATGATACCTCGTTTTGGGAGCTTGTGGAGATGTGTTGCTAACGGTTATAGGCCATCTGTATATATCCACGTCCTGGGTCTCATGATTTTTCAGGGCGGAATAATTATCTACAGTCCCAGATGTCTGTTATGGAATGAGGCTTGGATAGCTCTTAAGCGTGGGCGAGCGTTGGAAAGACACATTTTGGGTTGTGTCAGAACAAAGACATAACAATGGGAGAAAAGCAAAAAACCAAAATATGCAGGAAAGAATAACATGGCCAAGCCATGGTTCATCCTCGAACCCCTGAACTACAACTTGCGGCATTGTCGATCTGTACATGGCCAGGGCAGCCGTTTCGCCTGTGCACTGAGGCTGAAACAAGCACAGCTTTGATCCAATTATTACAAGTATAGGTACTGTATACACTCTCTAACTTGCACTACATCATAGTGTACCAGTAGCACTACCAGTAGCTGTCGCGCTAAAGAGCTGATCTAGCCCAATGATTACACAGTGTACTGTAGAGCTCTTGCTGGTGATACGAACCAAGGTCGTATTAACTGTCATGCTGTATGTACAGCTTGTCTGCTTCCGGAACTGTGCGGAGCACAGCCAAACCAATAAACGGGTCATCCGGACTTCAGGCTGCTTCAAGGCAGTATGAAGAATAATAAAAGCAAAAACATCAGCTGCCCTAATTATACCCCTGCTGTTGACAGTTGGACAACTGGCCCGGTGGTAAATTACAAGTTGAGGGTTTTAGCGCAATTTCGACTTTAGAACATTGGTTTTTGGCTGCGTCATTGGACACTGTTAACAGCAACTAGTTCCACACAAGCAACACACTGGACAAGTGCCGTGAGTTAGATAGCTCGAACGGTATGTCTTGACGCTAAATGAGATATCAAGAGACTTCTGGCTTTGATTCAATACTGACGATATCTCAAAACCTCGCCTATCGCTGTTTCTGGAATAGTTGGACCGACTGGGTAAAAAAGTAGTGGTTGTTGCAAAATCTCCTCTCATGCATGCAGACTACCCCGCGTTTCTTTTAGCGAAGAGAGTTTGCACAACTATTTCTTGTAGCTGCTGTGATTACTGAGTCCGTCATGTGACTTTTACAAGTGGTGATATCTTTGCTACAGAACTTATGATGCTCACAACCGCAATGGATGTTACATTGAGTATGCAAGTCACACGTGGCCCCAAACTCCCCTGTTGCCCTAGACCGCCTGGATCATCACATCTTCCTGTTTCACGCGTCTCGTAGGTTTCAATATATGCAAGCAGATCAAACCCACGGCAGGGCTGTCTAAACTTTCGAAAGTACGCTGTAGCTGTAGGTGACGAACGCCTATCAAAAGTTTCACAGCAATGACAGGCACATCACATGGCAGGTTCATTCATAAAGAAGCAGGCGCGCAGACGATCCCCACCCCTGTCCCCACGTTTTGCTCTGTACTATCGTGCAAGTTGTATCGTGTCTTTCCAAGACGGATTCGAGGTCGAATATTATTCACACAGCTTATTATTATACAACAGGCTCATTAGAAGGTACAGACGAACATGAACGTCGAACTGAGCGTTAAAATTTTTGCACTCACGACAAATTATTGATGGCCTGACTCATACAAGGGAGTAATCATTCCATGTTGCAAAACCGGTGTTAAAAGAAATAAAAATATAAAAATATACTTGTGAGCATGGTGTCCGACGCAGCGTAGACAACGCCGCCTATGATGAGATTTACATATCCGTAACCAAGCTGAGAATAATGAAGCGCGTAACATTCATCAAACACTTCACACGTTCCCGTTTTCGAGTTTCATACACTGCGTTGACCCTGGACTTACAAAACTGTGTATCTGATACTGTGCAATTTACTGTGCTTGTATGTTCATGAGCTTAGTCAGTCATCCCCAACTTCATCCTCAGACCTTAAATAAAGTTCTAGCTCATCTCCCAACCGTTGACTACTCGTCATACTTGTAGCTACTGGTACGTAGGGTTGACTTTTCAAATTACCCTACCGTGGACTATCATTTATAAAAGACTTTTCAGAACTTTTTTCTCTCCAGAGCACATCCCCGAACAGTGAGTACCTTAACATGTCAGCACACAAGCGCAATTTTAGTGATGATATTACCAATTTACATGGGCTAGCCTTGCACGGCAATGATGCTTCTGTTAACCATCTTTCGGGACTGATATTCATTACCCCATTTCTGGAGTCTTTTGAACCCTTCTAACTTAGGTATGAGTGGCACTACTGGAACCCTGCTATTTAGTGAACAAATCAACTGGAAGAGACAACCTCAGAACAATTGTAGTATTATGGACTGTATCTAGTGGTACTTTTACTTATAGTGATATTTTGGTATAACTATCTGGATATGAATCAGTGCCATTTGAAGCTCTGATACCACATTCGTTTGTGTCATGTCCCACATGCCCTAACTCACGCCTTGGATCCATATGCGTGCACTCCTGCTACATTAGCTACTTGTAGATATCGGTCCGTCTCACGATCCAAATCACGATGTTACCTGCACTCCAGATCTAATAGTTACTTATAGGAGCTACAAGCAGCTGGCGTATTCTAGCTTTGCATGGGCCGAATGTGAGTATCACATGAGTCTGGAAAACTACTGTGGTATGGCTGCGGTTCCAAATCAGTGGCCCTTGATCATGATCACCATGTCTATCTACAGTAACCACCTACAACACTGTGTGAAAAGGGGTAGTGTCAGAAAAGGACTGCGTGTAACTATTGTACATAATACAGTATCACAGTATCATACCCATAGCTGCCATACAATTTATTTCTAGTAATTGTAGAGTCCAAGTACATGAAGAAACTGCTCACTGTAGTAGCCCTACATACCTGAAGCACCGTTTGTTGACTCTCGCTTGTCCACTCACTGCCGTGTCGTAAAGGGCCATTCCGAGGAAGGCAAATTCGGGTGACCTGAACATCAATGAAGTTTCATTTGGCTTCGCCGTTGTGTTCTGAGAGATTATCCGGGTGTCGTATCTCCTTGAAATGTATTGGACGTGCTACAACTTAGTGAACCTGGTACTATATCTACAAGTACATACAGTACATGACATTAACATCACATAAAACTAGTGTACACGAAGGAATGGACAGCCTCTACTCGTAGTCCACAACCCCGTAGCCCCGCCATATAAGCCTTTTTATAAGCAGTCTTAGTGGGTGAGATAGGAGTGAAATTCCGGCAGAACAAATATCTTTGGACCCGTCTTACAAGGTCAAAAGACATCATCTCTTAGCCAAATGACTCACGCGAGGGAGGGCTTGTGCCGCGTGATACCGCCGTGGCCCACTATTTTGCCACTCTGGCAGCACGTGTGTGAATGCCTGGTTGTGGGACGTTGGTTGGTTCGAGCCTTATTTGTCCTTTTATTTCTTACACACCCTGCTGGAAAAGGGTCACAGGGATAGCCACTCCTTATCTTCCAAATGGCTCCTGACTCGCGCGACTTTTCGATAGCTAGACCCACGGCTATAGTTATTCACTCCCTTTACCCTGTTGGATCATCCCCGGCTCCAGGGGCTGTGTGAACACGTCCATAATATCGTCTTATGCGCAGTTGTACCGTCCACTTGTAAGCCTCCTCTCCAGCTGGGAGTTCGCATTCATAACGCAGCTACATTAGACACTTTCTGCTGGTCACCCCCACATCACGTGCTCTTGGCAAGTGTTATCAAAGTTAATATATAGTTGGCAGCACGCGCAAGAGCAAGTGACTTTTCTTGAAACTGAGAATCAAAAGATATCTTCACAGTCACAACCTGAAACGGCGTCTCTTGGGCAGCCCATAAACGTTTGCCACTAACACCTACCATCTCATCTCTTTTCACACTTATCTACCTTGAGAACTACCCACTCGACACATCATCAACGACACGTTGTTGCCACAACCCACAATGGACACCCCCCTGACACGAAACACGTCGTCGGCGTCGCTGTCGTCGCTGGAGTACGAGCATGATATGGACCGGCATCAGATGTTCGATTTTCTCGATCACCTCTCATTGACCACACAACTGACGAAGACCATCCCCACCAAGGCGCGGCAAAAAGCGTCGGAAATCAAAGATGCAGCCATTCGACAACGAAACAAGATCAAAGGGAACCAGGACATCGACCGACTGCGTCAACAGATGATCAGACAGATGGAGAAGATGGAGACCCGGCTGGGAACTGCCACGGCCATCAACTCGACGGAGAAATACACCTTCGCCATTGGCCTGGTCACCATATTCTTCATTGGATACGTCATGGGACACGCGCCAGAATATCTTCATGTCATCTACACGGTGCTGTTCTGTTTTCTGATGCCCATCAGAGCGTATACGTACCGAAAAAAGGAGTACCACTACTTTCTCGCCGATCTATGCTACTTCGTTAACTTCCTCACGCTTTTGTACCTGTGGGTCTTCCCCAGCTCGGAGCGATTATTTATTTCATGCTACTCTCTCACTACAGGAACCCTCTCCTGGGCCGTCATCACGTGGAGAAACTCTCTGGTTTTGCATTCCCTAGATAAAACCACCTCTGCCTTTATCCACATCTTTCCACCCGTGCTGTTCCACGTTATTGTCCACGTTCTGGATCAGGACTACAAGGCCCACCGATTTCCGGGGGCTGTAAAGGTTGAGTCGTGGAAGATGGTCCAGGGTCTGGTATGGACATCTATTGCTTACGCCATCTGGCAAGCGCTGTATCACTTCTTCATCACCATTCGAAGAAAGGACAAGATCAGAGCTGGTCGGGTCACTTCCTTTGAGTGGCTGCGGCGATCCTACAGCAAGACACCTCTCGGTAAGTTCGTCAACGGCCTTCCTGAGCCTTTCCCTGTTGTTGCCTTTACTGCCATCCAGTTTGGCTACCAGCTGGGAACTATGCTGTTCTGCCCCATCTGGTACTCTTATGGCTACCTTTCTGGCTGCTTCATGACCTTCATCCTCTTCACTGCGTCTTACAACGGAGCCACTTACTACATCGATGTGTTTGGCAAGCGTTTCCAGAAGGAGCTGCAATTGCTGCAGGCTGAGGTGGCCCAATGGCAGGACACCAACCAGATGATCATCAGCCCCAACCTCATGCCCAACATGGCCCACCCCGAGAAGAAGAGTGCCCAGAGTGTGTGGCTGAAGGATATCGAAGATGACGGCCATCCTACAGCCTATCAGGAGAACAAGGATGTCAGCGACATCAAGTTGTGATTGATAATGGTTTGATTCGTGTAATAATAGACAATGACCCGTTGTCAGGGCAGTACTCTCCACCCTGTGTATACCAATACAAACAAAAATGAACGGGTCTTCATAGAGTGAGAAGCTTGTATATAACGAACGCCTGAGACTTTATGAGAAAGAAGGTCTCCCTAAATACAGTATTTCGGGGGTAAGCAGCTAGATATAATCATCTGGACGTGTCTCATGAAATCCAGCTTCTTGTGGTTCACTCGTAACGTCTTGCCAGGATCGTCAAACGAGATGGCTTGTTGGATGTGTAGAGGGCCCAGCAGCTTGTAAAGTGACTTGGAAATAAGCAGCACCCTTATCTGTCGAGGGACAGCCTCACTGACGTCCTTTTTTCTTTTTTTTCCCGTACTTTTCAGCTATAACCGTGTTAAATCCACATATCTGACCCGGATTCGGGGGTTCAGAAGAGCTTCTGATAATTGTGTTTGTTGATTCCCTTCACTTCCTCCTCTGGACCAGATAAATACAAAATATCAACCGTCAAACATTGCAAATTGTAGGGAATTATAAAAAAAATTATAAAATATTTTTTTTATTCTAATGATTCATTACAGCACAGCAAAAAAAATTGGGAAAAATTGTTTTAAGCTGCTGTAGACAAAATCATTGTAAATCTGCATCTCTAGGCAACCTGGCCGAGCGGTCTAAGGCGCCAGGTTAAGGCTAACACCTTAACGAATATCCTGGTCTCTTCGGAGGCGAGAGTTCGAATCTCTCGGTTGTCAACTTTTTTGGCTGACTCTTCTATTGACGTCGGCTTTTATCATGCATTTGTCTTAAGTACTTCTTTTTCATTGATTTGAGGTGTGTTCTGTCGATGTCATCATATAGTACAAGTAGTGTCTCACTACCGAGCTTCAAATGCTTGGAAGTTACGCTACTGTATATCTGGCCAACCATCGATTTACTTGTATAGTGTTATGTTGAAGAACAAGACGCTATAGACACACAGTATATCTACAGGCACTTGTACGCAATGAATGGACGCCGTATACTGTTCAAATGTTTGATATTCAGTATCACCAGCTCACATCTACAAATACTCCACTCCCACATGCCGGAGCCGCACGAACTTATGAGATCAACTTGTGCTCCTTGTACAAGTACCGGTACAAGTACCTGTTCCTATAGATCTGCGTGATCAAATGCAGGTTGCACACAGAACAACAACAAGAGAGTACAACACCATCAAGTGAAATCTAATATGCTGCCACACACTGATGAGAGACACCGCTTCTATGACATGATTGAAATGAGTTACAGTAGGATGGAAAGACTGGTCGTAGCTAGGTACAAGGATGTGGGGAGGTATGCGTTTATTAGTTCATAGACCACATGGTCTTTCCATGGGTTAATATCTCGTATAAATGTCCAATACCAGCCACTCTCATTGTATACCACTGCTGCCTGCCTCACGTCCCGTTTCACGGGTCATACGTGCGGCTGAACTCTACAACTTCCGTGCTGTGCGGCTCATCATCAAGTAGCCTTTCATTCTGTTGAGCATCCCGTTGTGATACAGAATATGATCCACATGTCCATCTCTTCACCACGACATCAAGTGACACGAAAACGACACATAGCAGCGCAAGATACGACGAAAAATACCCAGTGATTTCAGCAAGAAATGTACACTCAATCATGATACCATAACGAGGTCACTAGCCTTTCAAACCACCACCTCTAGATGACATCAAGAACGCATCACAGTGCATGTCATGCACCTCTCGTCACCCACAACCGGGTCAAGGACTACGGAAATCCACTTGAACGATACCCGAAGCGTCTCGGGGTATCTATATAAGGCACCCATGGAACCCTGTTGATTCCTCATTCAAACACGCACACGAACAAACACTATGAAGGTCCTTCTCATTCTCTACGACGCCGGCTCCCACGCTGTTGATGAGCCCAAACTACTCGGATGCACCGAGAACGAGCTCGGTATCCGATCATGGCTCGAGTCCCAGGGCCATACTCTGGTAACCACCTCTTCCAAGGATGGCGATGACTCTGTCCTCGACAAGGAAATTGTCGACGCCGATGTCGTCATCACCACTCCCTTCCATCCCGGTTACATTACCCGAGAGCGAATTGCCAAGGCCAAGAACCTCAAAATATGTGTTACTGCAGGTGTTGGTTCCGACCATGTCGACCTTGATGCCGCCAACGAGCGAGACATTGCCGTTCTCGAGGTCACTGGTTCCAACGTCCAATCCGTCGCTGAGCACGTCGTCATGACCATGCTCGTCCTCGTCCGAAACTTTGTCCCCGCTCACGAGCAGGTCATGGCTGGTGGTTGGGATGTTGCTGCTGTCGCCAAGGACTCTTATGACATCGAGGGTAAGGTCATTGGTACCGTTGGTGGTGGCCGAATTGGTCAGCGAGTCCTCAAGCGAGTGGCTCCCTTCAACCCTAAGGAGATGCTCTACTACGACTACCAAGGACTTTCTGCTGAGACCGAGCAGGAGCTCAACTGTCGACGAGTCGAGAAGCTTGAAGATATGCTTGCCCAATGTGACATTGTCACCATTAACTGTCCTCTCCACGAGTCTACCAAGGGCCTCTTCAACAAGGAGATGCTCTCTCACATGAAGAAGGGTGCTTGGCTTGTCAACACCGCTCGAGGAGCTATCTGTGTCAAGGAGGATGTCGCCGAGGCTCTTGCCAACGGCCAGCTTCGAGGCTACGGTGGTGATGTGTGGTTCCCTCAGCCAGCCCCTGCCGACCACCCTTGGAGATCGATGCGAAACAAGTACGGCGCCGGTAACGCTATGACCCCACACATATCTGGTACTTCCATTGACGCCCAGGCCCGATACGCCGAGGGCACCAAGAACATTCTCGAGGTCTTCTTCTCCGGAAAGCAGGACTACCGACCCCAGGATATCATCTGTATCAACGGTCACTACGGTACCAAGGCTTACGGCGACGACAAGGAGCACGCCAAGAAATAGATAATATTCATTAACATACAAATACAGTCTACAGTCCTATATCGATTCGGTCGCTTCGAGTTACTGTAGGTCTTGTACTTGTTTTGTACAAGTACGATACTCGTACGCAAATCCAATAGTCTCATACGACTAAAGTGGCCTGCAGCAAGTCAAACACTCATTAATCAGAAGAACTAGAATGGCGCGTTTTCAGAAGCATTTGTACCAACAAAATGAACCACAGTTTTAGTACATTGGAGCAAAAAAGATTTGCAAAAAAAGAGGACGACAGGACTCGAACCCGCAGCCTTTGGAGGACGTCGTTCTGGAGAACCGAAATCCAATGCGCTACCATTACGCCACGTCCTCATTGTGATTTTTATTTCTGCTGAAATCTGACAGCCACATTTTGACATATGCTTATGTGAGCCGGGAAATATTATTTTTTACCTGAAATGTATATCCATAGAATTTTTATAGATAAAAGTCCTAGAATAATAAAAAAAAAAAAAAAGGGTCTAGTATAAACGAAAACCAACGTCTGCCCATGCTAAATAAACACGCTGACGACTCTGATGAATGAAACTATGAAATATATATAAAAAAACCACCTCTTCGCGGTCGCTACCCTTTGAATATAAAAAAACAAAGAAAAAAATAAAATAGAGGAGGAATAAGAGGACATCCCAAGCACTACTGTCATACGCTCTTCTGCAAACACCCGAATCCGAGTCCGATGTGTGGGTTTGACATTGCTGAGATGTATTTCCCTTGAACCCTTGAACAAAAAAAAAACAAAACAAAACAAGAAAAACAGGCCATACACCCGTCATATAGGCGGGATCGCAGTAAGAATTGCCGCTGATATAGCATATTCCAATAACAACCTTGAAAGAACATGTTTTGAGGGCGTTGTCTTGCACATTTGACTAATCAACTCGATACAGTGCCGTGAAATTTCGAATTGTACCATACTGACAGTACCAAAATTGTGATGCAAGTTTGTACGAGAACGAGTACTGTAGCTGTAGCATGGTTTATACCACGAGTTGCTGGACCCACTGTGATTACTAAAACATAGCCAACCATTCATATCCACATGATACAGCAGCAGTTAGCAGCAGTTGGAACTCATGCGCACCGTCTTGAATATGAGCACGGCTGAGTTGAACAATCAAGGTGAGAGGGTGGTAAATAAGTATAAGAGGAATTCCAGAGGTAGCTGCCAAATCTATATACCTCTAAGGTATCTGCCACCACCTTTGCAACCTGACAGCTCGCCACGAGAGAAAAATTTCGCAAGCTACCACTCCCTACCCTTGCCCAGCTCATTACTGATTAGGTTCGTCCAGCAGGTAAAAAAATCTTGTGATAACGTTACGTGATTAGAGACGACACGACTACAAGTAGACGCAAAGGATTCCTCTAGGAGCTGACGGAAACGATAGACGAACATTCACCCAGCAACTTGTTAAACACCGCGTCGACCACCTCACATTCAAAATGAAAGACCAGCGAGTCCAGGTGCCTGCATCGCCCTCGCAGTCCCAAGCAAACGCGTTTTCGGCTCTCTTTGCACCTTCTGACAAGAACTCCCTCTCCAGCTTTGCCTACAACCCTTCGAAACCGGCATCCAATGGACAGAGACCCTCGGCAGCAACTCCCGCAGCCTTCACTGAAGAGCAGAAGCAGCGCCTGCAACGACTGAAGCCCATGTTCAACCAGCTGCCCCTCGTCAAGCTGAGAGAAGCAGTTGCTAACAGCACCGATTTCGACCGAGCTGTGGCATACCTTCGACGACAGGGTAGCATTCCATCTTCTTCTATAAACTCCGCGCCAACCCATCGAAAGCCTGCTTCACTGGTCAATCCGTTGGCTTTCCTCAACCCTTCTGTCACCACCAAGCCTGCCCCTCTGTCAACCAAACGGGAGGTTTCCAAGTCCAAGAGTATCAGAGAGAAATGGAAAAAGGAGGAGCCTAAAGCTGAGGACGATCTCGTTGTCATGGAAGACAAGCCTAGTGCACCCAAGAGAAGGCTGGTGCAGGCAAAAGACCGAGCAGGATATACCCCTCAGCCCACACGGTCTCCCACTCCATTGTCTCCTGTGTCCATTTCTCGAGACACTCCCATGGATATCGATGAAGCAGAGGCCGACGAATCTGACGACTTCTCTGAGAAGGAAGATGTCGACCCTGGCTTCGATCTCAGAGTGTTGGAGTTCCTCAACACCTCTTCTCAGAGAGACCTCATCGACCTGTCGTCGTGTTCCCAGAAGGTCGGTGAGCTCATGGTCAAGAACCGACCCTACAAGAACCTGCTGCAGGCCCAAAACGTTGAGTTTTCTGACTCGGAATCCTCATCTACTGAGAAGAAGCGGGGACGAGGAGGCCGAAAGCGAAACGCCGGAGAACGTATTGTTGATGCCGTCTCCGCTACTCTTCGAGGCTACGAGGCGGTGGACTCGTTGATCCAGAAGTGTGACGTCTTGGGTAACCAGGTGGCTGCCGATATCAAATCTTGGGGTGTGGATATTTTTGGAGCTAAGGACGGAGAGGGTGTTGACATTACAGACATAGACGAGGACGTTGTCAAGAAGTCGACGGTCAAGTTCCTCACCGAGAAGCCCTCTATTCTCAGTGACGATCTTGTTCTGAAGGACTACCAGCAGGTTGGAATCAACTGGCTGTATCTGCTCTACAAGAAACGGCTATCTTGCATTCTGGCCGATGAGATGGGTCTCGGAAAGACCTGCCAGGTCATCTCTTTCATGGCTCTGCTGAAGGAGCAAGGAGAACACGAGGGTCCCCATCTTGTCGTGGTGCCTTCTTCGACACTGGAAAACTGGCTGCGAGAGTTCCAGAAATTCGCACCCTCTCTAGTTGTCGAGCCTTACTATGGCTCCCAGAACGAACGCGCCGAGATGCGAGAGACTCTGTCCGACCCCGAGAATAAATACGACGTCATTGTGACCACCTACAACCTGGCTTGTGGCACCAAATTCGATGTGTCCTTCCTAAAGTCCATCAAATTTAATTGCTGTGTTTACGATGAGGGCCATATGCTGAAGAACTCTCAGACTGACCGATACAACAAGCTAATGCGACTCAAGGCCAATTTCCGACTTTTGCTGACAGGTACTCCTCTGCAGAATAACCTCCGGGAGCTTGTGTCTCTGCTTGCATTTATCATTCCGTCTCTATTTGATGGTTGTAAGGACGATTTGGCAGAGATATTCAAGCACAAGGCCACCACTAATGACGCCTCTTCACACATGCCTCTCTTGTCACAGCAGCGAGTTAACCGTGCAAAGACAATGATGACTCCATTCATTCTGCGACGAAAGAAGGAGCAGGTGCTGAAGCATCTGCCTCCCAAGACTCACGAAGTCGCATACTGCCATCTTTCTCCTGATCAACAGGCCATTTACGACGAGCAGATGGAGCGAATGAGACAGATGCGACGAGACAGAGCTGCTGGCAAGCCTTCCTCTCGAGTTGGAAACCCCCTCATGCTTCTACGTAAGGCGGCTCTTCATCATCTGCTTTTCCGACGAAAGTTCGACGATGACACTCTCAAGAGCATGTCCAAGGAGATCATGAAGGAGGAGCGGTACTACGATGCTAACCGAGACTACATCCGAGAGGATATGGAGGTCATGAGCGACTTTGAGCTAAACAGATTAGCTCTCCAGTTCCCCAGCATCGAGAAGTATGCTCTGGAAGAGGAGCCATGGATGGACGCTGCCAAGGTTAAGAAGTTGGCCGAGATGCTGCCTATCATGAAGGAAAACAATGATAGAGTCCTCATTTTCTCGCAGTTCACCCAGTGCTTGGACATTCTTGAGTCTGTTCTTAACACTCTGGGAATTGCATTTCTCCGCCTGGACGGCCAAACCCCCGTCGAGGCCCGGCAAGACATGATCGACAAGTACTATGAGGAGACTGATATCACCGTCTTCCTGCTCTCTACCAAAGCTGGAGGGTTTGGTATTAACTTGGCATGTGCTAACACTGTTATCATTTTCGATCTTTCGTTCAACCCTCATGACGATAAGCAGGCCGAGGATCGAGCTCATCGAGTCGGTCAGACTCGGGACGTCCGAGTCATTAGACTGGTGTGTAAGGGTACTGTGGAGGAGAAGATTCTTGAGCTCAACAATACCAAGCTGGCTCTGGACAAAAGTGTGTCTGGTGAGGGTGGTGAAGAGGAGGCCAAGAAGAACGAGTCCAAGATCGAGGAGATGCTGATGGCGGATGACGAGTAGCTATGTAACGGACGATAAATAAACGCATAAGATCTGAACTTAGAAACATTAATAGATTATTTACACTTTTTTGGGTACTTTTACTCGCGCGAGTATTGGGATGTATGTACTGTACTTGTAGGTAAGACCTTCAAAAGAAACACATCATGACTTTGCAGGACGAGATACCAGCTACCCAAGGAAAAAGAGAGCAAGCCAGAAATAAAAAGTGATCATGCCGAGGATCGAACTCGGAGCCTCCCCGGTGTGAGCGGGACGTGATAACCATTACACCACACGACCTTTTTCACGTGACATAATAAGAATGATTGCCATGCAATTATGGATAATGAATCAATAGAATAAAAAAAAGAATGAATCATTAGAATAATAAAAATCATTGCAATGAATCATTAGGATAAAAAAAGGATTATTGTCCAAACCTTGGGGAATTAAGGATGTCCATCAAAAAAGTGGAAAGGGTGTACTCATGAGTAGTACTCCCCCACAGGGGCTCGAACCCTGGACATTTCGGTTGCAATGCCTTTAGGGTTACTAAAAGCCGAACGCTCTACCAACTGAGCTATAGGGGATTTTTTCATATTTGGTAATTCTGGGCTACCAAATCTGAATTTCGCAAATCATTAGCTGAATCATTAGAAAAAAAAAATTATAGAATCATTAGAATAAAAAAATAAATAGCTGTAGTAAATCATTAGAATATATATATATATAAAAAGCGCCAATAACCCGGCTTACTAGGTATATAGCTGTAATGAATCATTAGAATAATAATAATAATAAAAAAAGCAGCGCACACCGAAACGATTTGTAAGTGCATGATTTATCGAACGCCAATTACTACACAATACAACTGGCTCGATAGTCATGTGCATAGTCGTATATAACGGCAACAGGCAACAACGAGTTTAATAAAACAGCTTGTGTCTGTATAGACTTCCAATTCAAAATTACGCTACAAGCACGACGCCTCAGGCTCAGTCAAACGAACTGAGGTGCCCTTTATTCTGCCACTATGAGTGGTGTCGCTTGGCAGAATCAGCGGGGAAAGAAGACCCTGTTGAGCTTGACTCTAGTTTGACATTGTGTAGAGACATAGGGGGTGTAGAATAAGTGGGAGCTTCGGCGCCGCAGAAGGACTCCAGAGACGCGTAGATCTTGTCATGGGGAAGGGTGTCGACCACGTGATCCAGACCATCAGTGAGCTCGTACAGCGAGACGTCCAGCTAAGGACCCACAGTTGTGTAGAAGATCTGCTGCTGCTCGGTGTAATCTTTTAAAAAAGACCCAGGCAGACATGAGGGGACACGGTGCCAAACAAGTTAGAGGCACAAATTGATACTCGTGGCATTAATTACGTACAAGTAGATATTAGATACTTCTCTTATTTTTAGTTCATCTGAGATGCTTTTTTTTTACTTTGTTGTTTAGCCTACTTGTAGGTATTGAAGATCATAAGTATTATTGATGTGATATAGCTAGTTAATTAACAACTTACAACCCACTTCTAGGGACACGACGTTCCGATAGTAGCACACACCAGAAGGGTGTGTGCTTGCTCATTCACCAGAAAAGAGATTCTAGATCAGTGGATAAAACTATCTACAGGATGGACATCTCGTCTACGACCCAGCTGATTCCTCTCATCACTATGTGGTGACATCTCATCATTATGTGAGGAATTAGCCAGGTATTACCCACCGGGTATTACCTTCAACAGTAGGTGTGGGGGAATACTCCAGGGAAATAGACATTGGTTTTTTTTTTTTATTTTTTTTTTTTATTCTAATGATCATTTCAGCTACTCGAGGCCCATAAACAATGTTATACAAGCACATCGGATTCGGATTCGGATTCGGTTGTTCAGGAGAGCGCATGACATTTTTGCTCGCGTGTTCATGTATTCTTTCCTGTTCCATCTCTTGACCAGTTAAATATATCAATCAAATTTTATTTTAAAAAAGGGGGTTTTTTATTCTAATGATTCATTACAGCTATATACCTAGTAAGCCGGGTTATTGGCGTTCAATAAATCATACACTTCTGAATCTTTGCGATGTGCGCTGCGGGGCGCTGTCGGTTGGTTTGTCGACGCTTCGTCTAGTTGATGTCATTGTCGTGGTCTCGTGGTAGTGAATCATGGCTAACAGATCAAGAAATCATATCAATCGTTTCATGTCTTATCCAGACTCGAGGTTGGTTTAGTTTGTTCTCATAATATATCGTAGACGGTGTAATTCGGATAGGGATCATGAATATGATTCGTGTGTGTCCTGTTTGAGTCTTTGCGCCATCGGGGAGTTGAAGTTGGGGTAGCACGGTGTTTGAGTTGTTTTTTTTTCTTTTTTTTTTTCCATAATTCCATTAATCTGAGACGTCAGCGTGTATATTTAGCGTGAGCAGACCTCACGAGTACGTCATGTGTACCAGCCATCGTAATAATGCTCCTAGAGTAGAAAACAACTTCGGCGCTCATTCCTCTCCGCGCTTCCGCCTCATAGCCACGACCACCATGTCGCGATAATTACTAAGCCGAACTTACATAGTAGAGTCTAGAATTTTCGAATTTTCGAAATATTCTCCCGGTGGCCAAGCTGGTTTAAGGCGCGAGACTGTAATGGTATTAAAAATTTGTAATCTTGAGATCGGGCGTTCGACTCGCCCCCGGGAGAGGATATTGTTTTGTCACAGCTTTTTTGTTTCTTTATTCTTATGTAAGATCGTGGTGCAAAAAGATTAGGAGAGTTGAGCTGTAGGGGAATTGAACCCCTGGCACCTGCTAACAATCGAATGGAAGGCAGATATGTTACCACTACACCAACAGCCCAGAATTAATTTAAATATTGTTAGAACCCAGGGCCTCAGGACTTGGGCTCCCAACCAGTACTTACTGGAGAAGCTCGGTAGTTAGTAGTCGAAGTGTCAGAACAATTGTTGGTGCATTATAATATAGGAAATAGGGCAAGTTATATAATCTCAGGATCGGCGTCCGCAACTTCCGGAACTCCTCCAGTTCCGGACGGGCAGTGCTCTCCAAGCGGCGTAGTGCGTAGGTTATCCGCTAGATCATATTGGACCAATATTGGACCAATATCCACTAACCTTTGTTAAACGGTCAAGTACAAAGGCAGACAACCATGGACAAGTAGAACAGAGAGTTCAGACTATTGGACACTCACAAGGAAACAACAGTCACACAAGAGCACGAATAGCCGCGGTGACGGATCGAGTATCACTAACCTCCAGTATCAGGTTTAGCCGCGGCCGATTAGCCGCCGAACCCTAACAAATATGTAACGACTCAGAAGCTAGTCATAAGGTGTTACGATTAGTCATGCCATTAGCATAAAAAAACCTTAGCAGTAATGAATCATTAGTAAAAAAATGCCTTGGCAAGTGACTGGACGATGATGACGTTCTACGGACGTCATGAGTGTGTCATTATGGATGAATATTTCGGTATCGCTTGGCTAGGTCGCGTGGATGACGTGCTTTACAGAGTTAGGGTTGAGATACCTGTATATATAGCCACTACTCGCAAGTATGTAAGTAAGTTATGTTTATACAACTTCTGGAGCTCGTACCTAGGGCGTTGAGGATTGACCCATCATCGATCCGTTACAGAATGAGAAGAGAAACGATCTTTACTAAGATCCTGACTGCTTAGTCATCCTTTGAATCATTAGAATAAAAAGAGACGATTGAAAGCCACTAACCCGGGTTACTACAAGTAGGTATATATAGCTGTAATTTATCATTAGAATTAAAAAAAAAAAAAACTAAAAAATGGATCCGTTGAATAAATATGATTGTCCTTCCTTAGGAAATGTATTTCCCTATATATATCGGACATTCCCACCCACACTGACTCTGTGTTGCCCTATAATTTTCACCCCATTTTTTACCACCCCCTTTCTTCATTTTTTCCCCCATCTACTTCCCCCAACCACCCCGCTTTTGGTCCTCCCCGAAGGCTCATACCCATCGATTATGACACCCCAAGGACTATTCGCCCGTGACTCACCAGCACCTGTCTTATGAGGTCCACACTGCCTCCCTGACTCTTGGACTTCACATTTAGTACCGGACACATGCCACCGCCCTCCCCCCCAAGCTAACACTTTACCACGCCTGCCTCACATTACCAGTTACACGTCTTTCTGCATACCCCGTCGTACGTCTACATGTCTACATCACTACAACGTCTTCACCCACCAAATGGTCATCCGACACCGTCTTCACGTCCACCACGACTTTATTTTCACCGGTCTTTCCCGTACCCTGACTACTCGTAGCTCTGATAACCAGTCGCACTGACCATTTACCCCATACCCCCGAACAAGTCACCCGGGCCCTCGTCGAAAAGATCAAGCGTCATACAGACCATGCAATCAATTATGTTATAAAAAAGGCTTATTAAGGTCAGAAGTCGAGTTAAACCGTACTGTAGGGCACAGGCAGTGCCTTGCTTTTATTGCAAGAATCAAGCTCTGTGGTAGTGTAGATACTACTGTAGTAATTGGAGTCAGCCAAAGATGTCAGAATCCCCTCGATTGAATCAAACCATCTTAAAAGGAGGAGTGCGCTCAAATTTCAACACTTTATCCATTGAGCGTGCTTCTAGCACCAGTGCTAAAGCTTTGGGAAACGTTGATCTTCCCACGTTGTTTATCAGTGAGCTTGTATCGAGTAGGGTCAGTTGTGTTCCATCGTAGAATGACGGTACATACTGTAGTCAGTTCTCTGTAGATATTTGTGCCGTAAGGTTAAGGGCACTACAACTATGTATTCTACAGCACTCAAACTATAGATTGCAACTACTTGTATATACCCTTAGCTAGGTCCCATAGAAGTACATACGTGATCAGGCGTAAGTGGTGCACCATTAAGCGAGACTATATACCACACACCCTTGTGATGAAGATATGGAAATGGAAAGAAGTTACAATAAATTAAATTGCCTCCCGTTTACGTTTACTTTTTTATATTCCAGGGAAATACATTTTAGGTACAGTATGTACTTGTATCTTGTATCTCTTACGGTACATATGACTGTAGTTAAAGATTATAAACAATGATAAATCCGCAAATCTGATGACTAGGTTTCAGGTTTCCAGACGAGCATAGGGCAATACTTCTTGCGGTATTTCTCTGGTTCAGTTGTTTTTGTTTTTGTTTTTGTTTTTGTTTTTGTTTTTGTTTTTGTTTTTGTTTTTGTTTTTGTTTTTGTTTTTGTTTTTGTTTTTGTTTTTGTTTTTGTTTTTGTTTTTGTTTTTTTTTTTAATTTTTTTTATTCTAATGATTCTGATTATATAAGCAAATGCTACAATACTGTCTCTACAATATAGCTCACAAAAAAAAACTCTGAGGACGTGGCGTAATGGTAGCGCATTGGATTTCGGTTCTTCAGAACGACGTCCTCCAAAGGCTGCGGGTTCGAGTCCTGTCGTCCTCTCTTTTTTGTCCCCCTGCCCCACTGGGTTCCATTTTGTGTCTTTATTGCCTTCTCATCCATTGTGATGGTTAGTTACAGTATGTACACGGTATACTGCAAATACCGTTACTCTTTGTTTCGTGGCTACCCGGTTCCATACGGTAACGTCTTTTAAGTAGGCTATCCTTTATAATACATTAAATACACACAAGCAATGCACTCAGCATTACTCTTCTACCTTGGCCTTGGTCTTCTTTTTCTTCTTAAGAGCCTTGAGAGCACTAAGAGAGCTCTTGTTGAACATGCCTGTATCAGTGGATACGGGAGCAGCAGGCTCAGGGGCAGGTTCAATCTGCTTGACCTCTTCAGCAGGCTCAGCTCCAGCCTCCTTCTGATTGTTCATGATTCTCTTCAGTTTCTCGCTGTCATCTTCTTCGTAACCCTCCAGCAATGGCTTGCTCTTCTTAGCTCGACCTTCGAGCTCATCCACGTACTCCTGAGGCAACAGCCGCTTAATAGCCTCGGCGGCATTCTCTTCCAGTCGTCGCTGTTCACGTGCCTGAGCCAAAGGATCGGGATCCTGTGTCGCCCATCGTACGTTAAGAACCTCTCCACTATCCAGACTCTGGTGAGCCATGGCCTCCTTAGCAAACTGCGCATTCACTTCTGTGGCGTATGTCACAAATGCAACGCCCTTGTCATGCAAAACTCGAATGCGGTCAACGTCTCCCCATTCAGAAAAGTGTCTCGAGACAATCTCATCCAGAGCACCTGCTTTGGCAGCATCACTCACATGGATACGACCTACATATAGAGTTCGGTTGACTCTACTGATCGAACCAATACCCCCCATATCATCTCTGTAGTCAAAGAACCGGTCCCGACCAAAACAATCAGTCGTAGGACTAAACATGTCGGTCAACACAGGAAGACGATGCAGAAACTCACACTTGTGCCCTTGAGTACACAGACCCCGGGCAAAATACAGGCAAAAGTAGGATCCCGGTACCTTGTCTGCCCGGGTGTATCCTGAGTCACGGGCTATGCTACATCGTCCATCTGCTTTCTTCTGGTTGAACTTTTCATCCTCCTTGTCTCCTCCACTCCACTTGTTGAACCAGATATTATAGACGGTTCCTGTCTGTGGAGGTCTGTCATCAGTGTTGACCGAGTCGGGGTCCACCTGGATCCGTGCTTTCCGAGTATGGTATAATGCAGGATCTTTGGTTCTCTTCTTCTTAGATTTCGTTTTGACCACCTGAGCTTCTGTGGGTGCTTCTGTTTGTACTACCTCGACACCTTGGTTCTGTACGCTTTCTGCGACGTCTGGTGTAACCACTGGCGAGGTTTCGATAGATTCCGGAGCCTCAGACATGGTGGGTATTTGTTGTGGCGGGCGGGCGGTAGTGGTGCAAGTGGTGATGATTGCCGGAGGAGCATATTTAGAAGTGTAATATATTCTGAGGCTATTTTGCTTTGAGTTTGTTGTGGAAGCGTACCATTTTACTTGATGGAAAAATTAGTGAGAACCGCGGTGATCGGTGGAGGAGTCATGAAGTCAAGTGGATCCTAGCAAGAGTTGTTTTCCAGCCGAAATTTACAGGTAACAGCAGTTATAAACATCTATGGTCGCCTCTTGTACAGTTATCCATATTTGTCCCATTATCCAGCACACGATTCCAGACGCATCAATTAGTTTGGACTTAAACACATCCCAATATGCACACCTTGGATGAACATCGCCACCATCGCGTCTAACTTCTCATCACATCTCACCCAAACATAACACCATGAAAGAAGACCAGCCGATAGGTTCGGGATATCTGTCCCGCGACGTCAGTGTGATCAGCGAGCTGGTACGCACACTGTCTACGCGTCTTACTAACCAGCATGAGTCGTCGGAAAAGCTCGAGGAAACTGCAGCTTCAATTCTCGAGATTGAAGAGAAGCAGCTGCAGGAACTGCTGGTGGAGCTGGGACGTGATGAGTCGGAGTTTAAAAGCGAGAGCGACGAGCCGGATACCACACTGCCCATGTCGGTGCTAATAGCCCGAGAAAACGTGGAGCTCGAACAACAATTACAACGCCTCCAGTTTGTTGGGGGCAAGTCACAAGAGCTGCTCAAGCAGTATATGCGGGCAATGGAGGAGATTGTGGGAGACTCGCAGATCTATGCCGCCGACATGGACCATGCTGCAAGCCAGATTAAAAAGTCATACAAGGAGCATGAGTGCCAGGCTGAATCACGAAAACAAGAATTGCTGGAGGAGAGCAAAGAGCTGAAACAGAAACTTCTACAGGTGAGGAAGCTAGTGAGTAAAGCACAGATAGGCTTCCATGAAGACGACTGATACTAACAGTGTGTGCACACTTTTGCATGGGGGTACCAATTGTCAGAATATATGGAAGAACAGCGACTTGGGACGCGTTTGGTGAGATGGAAGCATGTATTGCATTAATGTACTTACGGAAGACAGAAGTTCGGGAGCCCTAACGACATACACGTCGTGTTTGTTTATTTGTAGCATACATGGAGCTACCAAAACCTATTATACTGTATGTCGAGATAGAGCGTCTCATCCTTCATGACGGATGACGGAAGCTAGACACATACTAGACACTGGACAATAAAGACAAATAAGATGGTCATGTAGTCACTAAGATCATGCTTTGGAGTAGTCCCCACACGGCTAATTGAAGAATTAAGTCATTCCTGAGGGAACAACAGATGGGGTTTTTCAAAGATTTCGATCTCAAATTGTCATATGTGACCTCCGAAATTAAAACCCGGGTTTCTTGGTCTAGTTGGTCATGGCATCTGCTTAACACGCAGAACGTCGGCAGTTCGATCCTGCCAGAAATCATTTTTGCAACTCCAATGAGCTAGGAGTTTCTGCTCTCAGGCATTTTGCAATGTGCTGTGTTGCGTGGTGAGTCTTACACCGACACTTTTTGCAAAAATTTAGAATATTGAAAGGAGATTAAACCAGCAGAGATTTATTGCTGATGTATGTGTATGTATGTGTATGTAATATGCTTTGAGGACATTGAGAATATTCCCGACTACTTTCATCCCCGTTATATCTACAGGACCGTACACTAGAAATAACAACTTCAATCTACTAAAATGCTACTCAGCCAATATCTCAGATTATTCGTTTGTTACGCTAAAGATGGGTTTCATTCATTCGTTCACACTTTAAATGTGCCCTATTTCTTCACCTCAAGCAAGCTATACACATCATTTCGTCTCTGGTCCCACAGAGGCATATTGGTCCTGACCTTCTTCAGCTGCTCTAGGTTGATATCGGCAACAATAACTGCAGCCGAAGAGTCTATGTCGCTGGCCTCGGCAAGAACAGTTCCCCAGGGGTCAATTATCATGGCGTGTCCGTAGCTTTCTCGCTTGCCGTCCTCTGTGTGTTTTCCAACCAGCGCTGGCATCATGACATAGCATTGGGTATCGATAGCACGAGCTCGGGCAAGAACGTGCCAGTGGGCGGCGCCAGTTCTGACTGTAAACGCCGAGGGAAATTGCAGAATCTGGGCGCCTTGCTTTCTCAACAACAATGCCAGCTCAGGAAACCGGATATCATAACAAATAGCAGGTCCAACTGTTCCCACTGGGGTCTCGAACGGCTTGGGAAGTTCAGACCCGGGCTCTACTGACTTTGATTCCTGCAGAATAGGACCGTTGGGCACCTCCACGTCGAAGAGATGCACTTTTTGGTATCTGTTGACAATGTCTCCGTTGGAATCAAGCCACAATAGGGTGTTTCTGACCCGGTCAGAAGAAGAGGACAGCTCATGAACTCCTACTGAGACCTCAATTCCAGACATTCCGCTCTGTTTGATTTCCTTTTGAGCCTCCCTGATTGCTGCGATCATGGGCGAATTTTCAGCATTTCGTGCAAGACTCAACCCTTCCTTAGGCGAGCCAGAAATGTAGTCGGAGGCTTCAGGGAGGAACAGAGCCTGGGCGCCCAGGGCTGCTGCTCTATGGACTAGTCCTGCAACAATAGAGGCATTGTGAGTAAGTGAATTGGTTGCACAAAATTGGCCGACTGCTGCGAGAGTCATGACGGGATGGTGGAATGGGGAAGTGAGTGGTTCGAGAAGGAAGAAAGATAAAGTATGATAAGAGAAGATGCATATTGGGACTGGTCTTGATTTGTGATGTTACTGTAGCCAACAGTACAAGTGTGTAGGCAAGGGTCGGAATGCGCCATTCACTTCAGAGGATATCCATTCTAGTCAAATATTGATGTTCCAGATATATTCCGTCTCTGAAGTTGGAGCAGTTTCATTACAGTCCCTCCAACTCTACCAATTCTGTAGTGTGGCTTGGTGTAAGGCCGAATTGCAGTTTTCTTTTTTTTTTTAGTGAAACTGGATTGAATAAAAGATGATTATGGTATGTACTGTACTCTGATGTTAGATACCCTTTTGGTTCTGTGGAACTCATACCCCAATTCGATTATTTGGGGGGGGGCTGTTCTGTGGAAATTCATATTCTGAACACTAATTTTCACGTCTTTTGAATCGCACAATTAGTCAGCCCAATGTAGGTCTACTTGCAATGCTCTAAACGAAGGGCCAAAGTCTAATTCCACCTTTGAAAAGTCCAAGTTCAATCTCACTGCCGCCATTCAGCCACTTGGACCTCCAGTTACCATGCGCTGGAACCTTCCACTCCCGAAGTGAGGCTTTATCGGGTCTACAACAACACAACACTGAAAAGACAGACTTGTGGGCTGCAGGTTAACTATAATGTTCGGACTTGACGAGGAGGAGCTAAACACGACCGTGGAGAAGGATGTTGAAGTGGTATCTACAAGGCATTTTAATCAATATATGAATACTGATAACAATTTTTGACGTGAATACCTCTTTTATTGCCCTCAAATAAGTCTTTTCAGCCAGAAATCACGTTCGACCCAATGCCCGGAGTGCATGAATGATCAACTTTATTCCCGAACATCTAACATTCTTCTTCAGCTACACTCTCCAACCACACAACAATGGATGAAGACGTTCTCGACACTCCCCGAGATGGAATCTACATTCCCTCGGCTCTGCTGATAATGGGAATGGGCATTCTGGCCTACTACTTGGAAAATCCTCTGATTTTCGTCGGAGGAATCTTCATCACTCTGGGCCTGGCTGGTCTCAAGCTCTACCGAGGATCGGGCTCGACTCTCTTCCGGGGCCAGAACGATCTCAATGATCTCGAGAAGGAGGATCCCGAGTTCCTCACCGCTCACTCAAAGCTTAAGCTTTACGAAATGGCTGTTTCCGAGAAGGTGCTGATCAACAATGACACCTCTATCTACACCATCGATCTGCCCTCTCCCCGAGACACTTTGGGCATCAAGCCCGGCCAGCAGATTGGTGTTCGAATTGAGTGGGACACCAAGGTTGCTGGAGGAGCCGGGGTTGCCATCAAGCATTTTTACCCGATTCAGATCCGACCTGGATCTTTTGACATTGTCGTTCGGCACAACCGAACCCCTCTTAACCTGCAGTACAAACACAACAACGTGGGAGGCAGTGAGGACATGGTCGGTCGATATCTTGATGGAATGAAGGTCAACCAGCACGTCAAGGTCATTGGCCCCATTGGCAAGCCCTACTACACCCACAACATGGTTAAGGAGCTGCTCATGGTCTGCAGAGACACTGGCATCCAGGCCATGCTGCCCATCATCAACGAGATTATCTACACTCCCGAGGATCTCACTTGGATCAACCTGATCTGGGAGACTGAGACTGCTGATGCCGCTTTTGTCCACGACGATCTGGCTGAGATTGCCCGTGTGTACCCTCGAATCAAGATCCGACATGTTATCACTGGCCCCGGACAAGTCTCTGAAGAGACCCCTGCCTCCACGTACGATGGTCGTCTGGGCTACTCGTTTGGCTCTCCCATCTCTGAGAAGCATGTCAACGAGCTACACGACTCCAAGCTCGAATACGACGAGTCCCTAGTGATCGTTTCTGGAAAGAACCCTGATGATTCCCTTCATCTTTCCACCGAGGCAGGCAAGACCGGCCTTCGAGCTATTGTTGTTTAAAATGTACCACGTAATGATATCATATTTGAAAAAAGAGAGCCTGGATCTACAAGTTATACCTGTATAGTATGGATATTACCATGTCCATTTTAATAAAATTCGTTTGAACAAGAGATGGCCATACATGTAACAAGATAAAAAAATTGAAATTGATTTTTGAAAGGTTGGGGTCGGCTATTGGGGAATTTGAAGTTTCAGTTATAAAAAATTGGTGCCGCACTATCGTCTGGTAATGTTTTAATATTTGTCCCCTGCTGGTTCTTGTGCAATGACAGGTGGCAATTTTGAGAACTACTGTGTGTTACCAGTGCCACCATTGGAGTCCTTGTAGCTATCGCACTGTATCGTACTGCCAACTCTGCTACAGTAATTACTCTGCATAAAACTGCCACTGAATAAGCTCTTCTTCATTGGGAGATATAACCTTATTCTTTCCACTCACTCGTCGCGAAATGACTCAATGAGACTGGATAGATCAAGTGATGGGTCTGTTATGATGATATTTTCCAGGTGTAAAGTCGTTAAGTCTATACAACTGTGAAAAATAAACCACCCCTGGTCTCGGTTCACCCCAAACACAGACCCTAACCTTTACAAAGTGACATTTTCTTAATAAGCAAGCCCCTAACCCTGAAACTTGCGAAAGTGAAAAAAAGTTGCCTGTAGTCAACCATCCACCCCACCCAAAACACACATCAAACAACTATGTCCTGGCTATTCGGAAAGAAGAAAGAGGAACAGCCCAAGGTTGAGGAGGTCAGGGAGGTGACCTTCGACCTGGACCCTAACGCCAACTCCGCCGCCTCTTTCCTCAACGCTGATCTCGACACCACAAAGCTGCATCCCATGGCTGGTCTCGATGCCGGCATGGAGTACTTCACTCTCGAGGGCAATGAGACCATTTACTACGATGGTCTGCTTCCGTCTCGAGGATGGAACGATGACCTGTGTTACGGAACCGGCGTTCTGTACCTCTCTGGTCTCGGTGTCGGAGGTTTCTCGGGTCTAATGGAAGGTCTGCGAACAGTCCAGGAGGGCGCACCAGCCAAAATCAAAATCAACCACGTTCTTAACACAATCACCAAGCGAGGTCCCTTCCTTGGTAACTCCATGGGTGTTCTGGGATTTTTTTACAACATCATCAACTCCAAGATTCTCTACGACATCCGAGGTAAGCACGACTCCTTCAACTCTATTGCTGCTGGAGCCATTGCCGGAGCCATTTTCCGTGCCCCTCGAGGAACCAAACCTATGCTCATTGCTTCTGGTATCACCGCTGCCGGAGCCGGTGTTTGGTGTGTATTTAAGCAGGCTGTTTTCGGTCCTCCTGCTGAGAAGACTCCTCTTGAGTAAACTCGATAAGAGGTACATTGTACATACGCGGGCGGTTGTTCGAAGAGTAAGGCGACTTCCCTAAAATATATGAGTAACGAGATAATTCGTGTAGATATGTGCACATCATTTGTAGTTCAGGTATTTGAGAGTCCAGGTGCTGAGTATTCTCAACTACTCGAGACAAGTAGTACAAGCACAAGTACAACTAATGGACACAGACAAAAGATCAAGCAAACAGCTGGTATTGTACTTGTAGTCGACTCAGAACTTTTCCGAACATCAATACCTCACTTCAGAACTACAGGTGGATCCATAACTCTGAAGAGCCCCAAAAAGGATATTGTCCAGGAGAGAAGACAAATCGAAGTTATATTATATCTGAGCCTATTATTAAGATATTATCTGGTATAGTACTATATCACCCATTCAATGTGTCCCTATACTCGTGCCGTAGGGCCTGGTTTGCAATTATGATCCTCAGTTTTCATGCATGCTGCATCATGTGGAACATTATAGAACCACCAAACATGAACCTCGGAACTTTGCAGTCTGAAGCGTTGGCATAAGTATAATTCCCTCTAATTATTGCACTTTAGTTCAAGAAACAATATATCGTACATACCTCGTACTCGCCCTACAAACAAAATTTCAGTGTCATCTACTCCAACCAATAGTGCACGTGCTTACTTCTAAATTCTCCATACTGTAATTACACATCTGCCATCAAATACATTCTCCCCCATCTATAGCTAACGTCAGTGCTTCACGATAGTAACTCGCATCATCGTCATCGAAGTTCAGATGTAATCAGGTGAAGTTTGAAAGTAGGCATCCCGGTCATTTGAGGCATCCTGGTGTTCATAACCTGAGATATCGTTGCTGGTAAAGTACTCTTCGTTTGAATGTTCCTTGCTACTTATAGCGTAGTCGTCGATGTGCTCATCCTCTCGGGTTGTAGAGACTTTTGTAAATGTACCATCAAAGCCACCACAAAACCAAACATTCTGAGGACAGTAGAGCTGTTTCCTGGTATCTCGCCAGTTGTACGAGCGAAAGAAGGGTATCTGGTTCTGGTCAATGTATACTTCATATTTGGCTTGTGTTGATTGTGCCTTTCGACTTGCATCCTGTTGGATATCACAGACTTGAACTAGTTGCGAGCTGAGCAGGCACTGATGCTCATAACTAATCCACAGTTGTCTTTTAAGATGGTTTAGTTCCCAGCCGTCTGTTTTGTTGTGATCTTTCCCCAAAGCTCTCATTATGAAGTCGTTCAATACCAAAAACAGCGTTGCCAAACAAACCAACTGACATGCCTTGAGCAATCCTAGGGACCAAGTGTCGTGCTGTGATAGCTCCGTTGTAATCATCTGGAGAGTTGTTTCAGTTGTTGAATCTGTGGGTGGCCTCGTTTGTATCTGTATCGATGTCATCCTAATCAACAGGAAAATATACCCGCACTTTGTGTAATCATACTGTAGCATACATTCTTATTTAAATAACACTGTCTTTCTATAATGCAACAAGAGCAGTTCCTAATCCTTAATTTTTCCTGATCTAAACAGCCACCCGCTTCGCAGATGTCTGCTCCTCAGCCTCCAGAGCATGCTTGCCAGCAGCCAGAGGTGTCTCTTCAACCGGTGCCTCTTGAACGGCCTCCTCAACGTTCGAAACCATAGATTCCTCCACCTCCCTTGTGGCCTTCTCCCCCACCTCTTTGATAACCTGCTCTTCAGGCTTTTTGGCTTCCTCCTCGGCCCTCTCCTTGAGCATTTCCTCGTACTGCTCGTTAATGTACTTCTCCAGACTCTCGCAGTCCTTCAAAGCAGCCACTTTCTTATAACTGGGACTCTTTCCGGGGATCATGCGAGTCAGACAGTATTTTGTGTTCTGGTAAAAGTTGTCATACTCTCGACAGATATCAAGGTACTCCTTGGTCACCTGCTGCCAAGGGAGCATACCTTCAGCTCTGAAACAAGAAGCGTTAGCCTCGGCTGCTCGGGCAATCATAGCTCCATCGATGCCGTACTTTTCCTGAAGATCAGCAAGCTCATGTCGACCTTCAACATCTCCGTTAACAAGGCAGGTGATTCCGTGCTTGTGACACACCTCAGCTACCTTGGCCAAAGTATCTCGAATCACAGGTTCTCGAGGTCGCATGGGTGTAGTTCGACAGTGGATCGTCAGGTTTTTGACTCCGGTCTGAGCCAGCCTGTCCACAAGCTCCAGAGTCTTCTCTTCCGTCTCCAGCAGTCGGATCTTGACTGAAATGCTAACATTGAAAGGCTCTCCCACCTCCTTCACCAAGGCCTCCAGGATAGCAACCAGCTTATCGGGGGTCTTGAGCAGAGCGGCTCCCATACCTGCATGCATGGAAAAGTGCTTGGGACAGCCACAGTTGAGATCAATACCAGCGACGTCCTTGGCAACCATTTTGCAAGCGGCCACGGCGATCTCGGGGTTAGCCGAACCCACCTGGAAGATGATCTTGTCTCTCTCAGCCTCAGAGGTTCGGAAAATAATGGCCTTTTTCTCAGTGTTTCCCTTGCCCTGCTGACTGACAGTAAAGTCGACCGTCTTGGTCTTCTCGTTCCACTCTCGGGTGCACTCCAACATCTTCTTGTCCACAATCTCGGGACTCCACACCAGATCAGCCCCGTACTTGATGGAGAGCAGCCGCGTGGGGAACTCGCCGGAACGCACCATGGGCGCCAGTACCAATTTTCCAGCGTAACTGACCATGTTGCTAAGTCGTAGCGTTGGTCTCATGGAAAGTTGGAAAATGGAAAAAAATGGATGTTCTAGGTCATGTGATGCACTTTTTTTCCCTGCTATGAAACTCAAACCCTTATCTGCAGATGGGAGAGAGACGAGTCATAAGGTTGTAGGTTCGAGTTTTGGAAAAGGGGTATTTATGCACATTATAACATATGGATGGTGACCATTAAATGGTGGCTAAGTGTATTAGAAAAAAAGGGTACAAGGGGTTGCATGTATCAATAGACAGAAGCCTGGTGATGTATATCCATCATCCATCTGCCCATTTTTTTACCCACACCCTGTTACAGTGTACAGTACTGTAAGTATATTCTTTTTTCCAATTGAGTTGAGTTTGTAAGGTAATCGCTGATGAGACGTTTGATTACCTACGGCGATGAAAGTCACCTTTTCCCAAGGTTCATGCGAGACGCTTGAGGGAGACTTGTATTGGCGTTATTAGCGACCTCTCTCTTCCAGACACATCGCCTGTGTCTCGTATGTGCAGGGTCCATATCGTGCTTCGTTCAGCTGTTATTATTTTCTCCCCTGGTTTTGTTTGGAAGCTTCCACTTTGGACCAGTAGCTGCAGAACAGCGAAACTTTAACACGAGGTGCGATGATCCCAGACCGGAAATTAGCAGGTCGTGTTTTGAATAGGGGTGTAGGGCAGGTAAGAGGGGTTTGCGTGGTCTGTTTAGCGGGGGAGCCACACTTATATATATTCAACGGATCTGACACGCATTATGTAGTGTGCAACGATTAGAATAGGTAGGAGCGCGCTACCCAACTCCGTACCTATTTTAGTGTCGACTGAGGACGCTCAAATATTATCTGAGGTTACTGTCTCCTCGTAATACCGCTTACTGTACACACATACGACGTACTTCTCCCCACAGTGTAAGACTTATCAAAGCTACAGTACGCCATCTCTGTTCAGCACATGGCACTTGAGTACACCAAGCCGACTCATATTTCACACCCACACCGACACCTCACGCGCTTCACACATTCCGAAAAGCTCCACAGACACTTCTTGAAGGACACACGATCCACACTCACGCGCAATGGTGGAACTGACTATCGCCGCTATCAGGGATCACTACCGGACCAAACGGGCGGCCAAACAGGACTCGTTACCGTATCCTGTTCCAGCAGAATCCACGCGCATGCCTAGCCCGAATGCAGCACCCATGCCTCCCCCAAAAATCGCGCCCCAGCCGGTTCCACAGACCCAGATGCCGCCGTCACACATGACCAACGACCTTGAGATGACTTCCCCGCGCAAGGGCAGACCTGTCGTGGGCCAAGGTATTTCTATGCCGACCATCGGAGAGCCGACGCACCAAACACCACAACAACCTCCTCAACCACAACCTATGCGAAACCCTTCGCCACCAAAAATGAGACCGGTCAAATCCCTTATTCCGCCGAGCCCGAAATCGAAACAGCTACCGGATCTCCCACCGCCCAAACCGATATCAAAGGATCTCAGTCTTCCGATGGACTCGCCCACATTCAAAAACTTCTTCTCGTCAGAAGAAATGTTCAACCAAGCCGTGGTCCCTAGGCCTCTGGTCCATGATCTGGTTCATGTCATTACAGGAGAAATCAAAGCTAGAGGTGAGTACGAAAACGAGTTTTTCGCACCAAGTTCTTCATACTAACACAGGAATCCTGACGCCGTATCTACTGCTTCCCTTCAGACCCGATTCAGATCCAGACGCAGTACCTGCCCTGGTTAACCACATCTTTCCCAAAAATTTCCAGCCTCTGCAGGGAGAAGAGCTGTTGAGAACAGTCAGAAACGCGGATATCTATACTCTCTGTGGAGTGCTCAAATGGTGCTGGTGTCGAATGCCTGGAGGAGTCGTATCTTGGCCTGTATACAACACATTTGTGCAGGCAGAGAAAGATGGTGAAATGGACCATGACGCATTTCTCACTCTGATTCCACGCTGTATCTCGACTGAAGCCCATGCTTCCATTCTCTACGACTTTATGGATCTTCTGGCAGCTATTGCCACTCATGGAAAAAAGAACGGGATGGGAGGTCGCAAGCTGGCCCGCTTGGCGGGATCATGGGCATTCGATGTGAACACCGGTGCGGATGGTCCTGTGTCGTTCCAAGATGGTCTTGATGCATGGAGTAGAGCAGCTGAAGCTACGAACCATCTGTTCTTCTCGTTTTTGAGAACAATGCTTCCAACCAAGGAGAGTCGGATTGAAGCGAACCGGATCCCTCGTTCTCTAGAGGCTTTGCTAGTCTCCTCAGTCTACCCTCCTCTTCCTCTACATAAATCTCGACTAGTTCCTGTTCCTCTGGTGACCTTGACAGTCGGTAAGCTGTCGTCTTCGCCGTTGGTACTTCTTAAGCGAGCTGCCAAGACTGTGAGATTTGACAATCCTGCTGTTTTCGCTACCGAGGATGATTTCAACACTCTTTTCTTCTTGTTCAAGGACCCCAAGATTGTGGACCAGAAGTTGTCACCAGAGTCCAAACGAGTGTTACACGATATTGTGCAGGAGAACCCACTCAACAACGAAGTGTACTACGACACTCGAGCTGCTGAGTGGAAGGTGCGCAGTTCCAAGCTGCCAGCCGGCCAGCATGGAGATTACAGAGCCAAGACGTGGTCCAAGCATTACAACTCGACATTTACAGATCCAGCAACCGGTGCACGATCTTCCAACCCCCACAATTACGTCTATGACGCAGATGAGGGCTACTCTTACAAGATGAGATCAAACCAAAATGTTTCTACCTGGGAGGAGTTCAAGCAGTCTGGATTTGAGGCTAACGACGTCATTCGGCGGCCCTCCACAGCCCTTTCTGGCCGTTCCATTCCCATGAACATCCCATGGGCTAGCACGTTGCCTGGCCAGAATGGAGATACGGCGCCTGCTGTCAAGTCCGGTTATGAGCAGAAGGTCACCGCTGCTGTTTCCCAGGTTGCTATTGACGATTTCTTCGTCTGGGTGTGGATGTCTTCCCTGTCCATTGAGCAGCCCGAGATGAACAAGGCTCTCTTTGGACGGTCTCTGGTTGTTGAAGTCGAGATTGCTCCTGGTCCTGGGGGGAGACGATGGGTTGTGGTGGAGGAGATCCTATATCCTCCTCCAATCACACCTGTTCCTGAACCCAAGGCCCCAGAGCCCAAGCCATGTCCTGTGCCCAAGCGAATCGTTTCCACACCAGTTCCTCCTGTTGCCCCTTCCCCGCCCAAGAAGAAGCATACACGCCGTAAGTCCGAAAAAGTAATTACTTTTGAGTACGACGATTTGGACCCTCTTGTGGCAGCTGTGGCTGATCGAATTGAGCGTCGTAACTCTCAGAGGCGAGTGAGTTTACCACCGCCACCTCCCCCTCCAAAAATGGCTGACTCGTCTACTCAGACTTACTGCGATCAGCAAACTCAGACTGATCCTGTTGAGCTTCCGGATGAGTACATCATTGAGACCACACCCGAGCCCCAATCCAAGCCCCACGAGACCAGCAGGGATCTTGGTGTTCAGACCATGAGCACTCAGAGCACCAGGAACAGTACTACCAACATGATCACGAGGGATACGGATATGGGCCCTGCTTTCAGTGTAGCTGCTTCTACTTTTGCGCCGCACGAGGAGAAACGTCCTGACTCAAAGTCGTCTTACCACACCCCTGATCACGGAACTCCGATGATGGGTCATCTTAGCTCTCCTTCCTCGGCTTCTCGTTCCGCTACACCTGAAGCGTGGGTCCCTGACTCCCCTCCTTCGTTGAGTCAGCTGCACATCAATCCTCTAGCATCCGAGCAAAAGCATCAGCCCCTACAGCCTGTCGTGTCCATGATCATTGATTCGTCTCCCGAGCGAACACCGGTCGAGATTCCGCAGGGTCCCCGAACTCCCAAACTGGTGAAGAGAAAGCCCGTTGGATCAGCTCCTGTTCTTCCAGCTGTCACAGATGTGCCCGACGAGAAACCTCTTCCGACTATTGTTTCTGACATTACCCCTGGAGAGCGACCAGGTTCAATCGGTTCAGGATTCTCCAATAGCAGTATTGACCAGGATCTCCACCGCTCACATCAGCCTCTGGAAGAACCTCGAGGTCTTCGGACCTTCCCCTCGGATATCAACACTCCAGAGGACTCGGAATGGGGTGATCGTGGGGAGTCTAACGTCATGCGAGGCCCCTACAACACTGCACCTTATCAGATGCCTGATCGACCGGTAGGTGCACCTATTCCTGGTTCAGGAGCCGCAACAACCCATAATGTCCCTGAAGCCCCTGCACCTCCACATGAGGATGTCGATGAGACTGGGCCTGTGAGAGTCAGAGGCCCAATAACTGTGGCTGCGACGGCCGCTGCGGCTACTGCTGCGGCTAGAGCTGCTGCTGGAGGGCCTCCCGGAGCCCCAGAGACTCCAATCTCAATGGCGCACTCGAACATCCCTTCCGTGGCTCCTTCAGTAGCCACAGCTTCGGACACGGAGGCCTACAGAACGGCTTCCACGACAGATGCCTCTCCCGTGTACGAGCGAGATTCTCGAATAATCCCCTCTGACATTTCCAATAACGGTCTACAAATATCCGGTATCAAGAACCAAAAGATCCTGCCAAGAACCGTGTCCCCTGGGGTTTACTCTTCGGATCAGAGCTGCTATGAGTATGGCTATGATTACACAGATGACAGCGAGTACGAACATCTTCCTGAAAGAGGTCCCCAAGGAGTAAGAGGTGGAAGAGTGGTGCGCGGAGGTCGTGGAGGTCGGGGTGGCCGGGGTGGCCGGGGTGGCCGGGGTGGAGGCATTGGACATCTTCCTGGTGGTCCTATGGGACCTATGGGACCTATGGGCCAAATGGGACCTATGGGCCAAATGGGACCTATGGGACCTATGGGACCTATGGGAACTATGCAACGATCCTATTCGCCGCAAGGCTTCCCTGGTCAGTACGGTTATCCTTATGGATACTGGCCTGGAATGATGGGACCCCAAGGCATGGGTATGATGGGACCTCAGAATATGGGTGCGGGCATGGGTCCACAGGGTATTGGAACGGGAATGATTGGCCCCCAAGGAAGCATCGGTATGATGGGCCCTCAATATATGGGTCCAATGAACCCGAGCCCAGCTTCTTCCAAGTCTTCCCAGTCTCTTCCTTCGGTAGATTCTGCGTTTATGGACCGAGGACCTATGGGCATGTCCAGCAGTGGGGCATTGAAAAACGTTAATAAGAGACACACGCCCAAGCGGGATCTTCAGTCGCCTGCTTCCTTTTCTTCCGGCTCATCCTTTGGTCCCATCGCCGGTCGTTCGGCTGGCCCTGGTGGTCCTCAAAATATGGCCCCTCAAGGAATGGGCAATATGGGCATGGGCATGAACAACGTGGGTATGGGAATGGGCATGGGAAACATGGCGATGGGTATGGGAAACATGGCGATGATGAGGCAAGGGATTAGTCCTCAGCAAATGGCCATGATGGTTCCAAGCATGGGTGGTGGTCCAGGCGTAGGTCAAGGACCTATGGGGCCTGGGACTGTCATGTCTGATTCGGATTCGGATGCCAGCTATTACCCTGGGGGACCTCCTCGGTATCTGCACAAACTTGGACGTGGTGTTGAAGCCCCTCCCGATCGAAAAGGTAGCCATTCCGAGAACAGACCTCCTTACGGCTACCCAATAGCGCTCGATAAGGGCAAGGGCAAGGAGGAGTCTCCCGATGCGGATAATCCACGTAGTTTTGACTCACGCCCAGTAGGTCATGAACACCAACAAGACGAATCTGAGGTGGCAGACACAGCCTCCGTGGTAGATTCGTTCGTAGGTTCGAATGTGGCTACGGTGATTGCTACAGAAGAGCCTTCTACAAACAGCCCACATCAATCTGAGTTGACTCTCAAGTTGGAACAAACTCCAGTAGCGAAGCAGGCTCACCCTTATGCAGCGTCACAGACATATCACGTGCCCACTCAGCACCATTCCCTCAGTGCACAGGCTGCCCCTGAATCTCCTCCCGACACACCTACTTCTGGGCCTACCATCCACGATATCCGAAAGTCGTGGTCTTCGGAGAATGGGCAGCGTCAGGCGGTTCCTCCTTTGCCAGCAGTGGTCACAGAAGACGATATTAATTCCGACACCAACGTTCAGACGTCTTTGAGTACAGCTATGGGTGTTGACGACTATGTGTCTGCTTCTGTTCATCTCAACAGAAACCCCTCGGTGATCACAGGTGCCCATGTTTCCTCTGTAGCTGTTCCTCTTGATGATTCTCCTGCTGCTAACAATGTGGATCAGGAGAAACCTAGGTCGCGCGGTGCGATTGAACCCAACTCATACCGAGTGTCTGCTCCTCCTGCACCCCGAGATTCCGGCACTGCTGTTCAATTTCCGAGGCACGGACGCTCAGTATCAACCTCGCAACTCAATAAGGCCCTTCCGCCTCCTCCCATTGATGTGAATGCCGCCAACTCCGGTTTCTCGGAGTCTACGTCATCTCTGGGCTCGGTTACCACGCCGACCAGTGGCGGTTCTCCGACTAAACGGTCGTCTTTGTTTTTCCGCAAAAACGGACCGCCTTCGGATGAGCAGCTAAGAGAGTTACGGGAGCAGGAAACTCTGTCTAAGGAGCACATTGTCAGCTGGGTGGATCGTCGTAGGCCAGATGGCAAGCGGGTCTTTTCCGCCGGCCCGTATGACGCCGTTTAACACTGTTCGACATTTGATTTATTTGTGTAATATATTCACTTGCTATACAATTATAGGCTGGGATTCTTGTACTTGTAGATTACACGTTCTCGTACGAGTACTTATGCTTGGGGTGGCTGCGTGCGCTTGGCTTCATCGTGTCTCCTGATCCCAATAGTACGAGTACGAGTACAAGTCAAGCTCGGTGGAAAACTAGGGTCGCTATTACGGCTGGTGTTAGTATATGGGCTTTAATGGAGGCTGTGTGGACATAGTGTATGCCAATATACTTGTTGATGGAGTATTCCATGCCAGATATATAAGGAACGCCTACTGTACATCTCTCACTCCGATCGTACATCTTTCGTGACAGATCCACATATGAAACAAGAATGACTGTCAGGGGTACAGCAGGGGTCGCCACCAGGGAAACCCGGATATAACCGTATTTTCCCCATCCATATTCCAGAGCCTCCCTGCCTCCTGCTTGCCCCCTCAGACCCTATAAAGACAAACACAACCCGAAACTACCGCAAAGTGTAACGCAGTTTGCTGCGTGACCGTTGTAGACGGCTAATTCTAACCGCGATTGTCTTTCTCAACTAATTCGGTAAAGTGGAGCATCGCCAAAAGGGAGGCAAGTTGCTCGGCTGCAAATGTAAAGACCAAGACCCATGGTATATCTCGTATACGAAGCCCAATGTTACGGCCGCAATTGGCTGCTATCCCTGTTTGGGTTCCCACCGGAGGTTTTAATCGTGCATTTCCGTTGGCCCGCTTGCGTCAACATGCAATGCCAAGCAAGCATTTTTTGCAATGTCCGACCCGGATGTCCGACGCACATACTGTACAAGTAATGAGACGTTGTAGCTAGAACAAGAGAACATACGGAATTCGGGCCGACTGATACCCGAGAGTTGCCCACCAATGGAGACCGTTGAAAACGAGTACATATGGCATGTATCAGGAGACCACTGTTTGTCACAAAGACTGGGTTCGCAGGCTGTGTTCTAGAAGAAGTAGACAACCGTGGACGAGACTGACTATAGTCGAGTCATCTACAGCATCTACTTTTGTTTATATTGATAATTAATAATGTACATCTCTAATAAATAGCCGCTGTGTGAATTGTTTCTTTGTCGAGTAGCGGGGGGGGGGGGGGAATCACGAACCGTGATATTTTGTGGGACCGTTAGTATTGTTGGGGCTGTGTCTGTCAACAGCTTCATTTTCGCCATTTTAGTTTCTTGCTGACTCGTCTCCAGGAAGACTCCGTGGGGCTCTCACAAGGAGGCTGGCCGTTGGTGACACCGTGTTTGTTGGGGGTGATGTCGATGGCGGTTGCGAACTGGGTAGAAGATACAATAGCCATGGCAGGAGAACAGCTGGTAGAACAGCTGGTTGTGGCCTTCTCGGTGTGCAGCATCGAGACTTCAAACAAAGAGGGTGACTCTGGTGGTGTGACGGGACTCTGCTGTGTAGGAGAAGAGGACCCTGAAGAGGCAGGCGACGTGAGTCTGTGCTTGACCACTGTTCTGAGGGGCGGTCTGAGCCGTTCAGGAGCAGAAGCCGGCATGCTTGAGAGCCGTTCATTGGACGAGTTGTTGCCCGGATGGCAGCAACACATGTCCTCGTTTGCCACCTGTGTGATGAATGGGTAGTATCCATTTTCCTTCATGAGTTCCTTGACCTGAACAACCGCCTCCTTCAGGGTATTGGGGTTGGGGGCTGGGTTTGTAGGTAGCTCGCACAATGCGTCTCGCAACTCGTAGGGGATGTTGAGCTCTCGGGGTGAGTCTCGCTCCATGTATGACAACATCATTCGTTGCCATAGAATGCACAGATAATGGTCCTCCGGGTTTTCTTCGTACATGCTAGCGTACTTCTGGGCGTCCGTGATGAACTCCAAGGTCTCCAGGCAGTGTTTGGACGAGAGATATGCAGAGAAGGCCGACAGCGAGTATGGTGGCTGGGCGTTGTTGTTGAGAATATCGTCCAGCGATGGAGACGAGTCGTTTGTGTAACTGGAACCTCCTGACGCGGATGATGAAGACGGCGATTTCACGCACGGCTTGAGGCGTGGGCCGTAGTCCAGGTAGTCGAGCGAAGACGCCCACTCCTTGTCTTCTTCGAGCGGGTCCATCTGTCGGTTGTGTGTCGAGAATGAGTCGGTTTGTGTATCAACAGCAATATCGTCGTGCTCGTGTGAAAGGTTGTTATATAACCAGTCGAGTACAAATGGTTGTGGGAAGCCCCGTGTTTGATATTTGAGCGTCGTTCAGTTCTGGTGGCAAAGTGGCGAAAGTCGTGTGTTGTGCTTGCTCGCTTTTTTGCGTCCTCGTGTGCAAATTCCCCGTGTGGTCGTTTCACAATATCGTGACTCGTGGCGTTGCAAACTGTAGTTAAATTTATTGGGAGGGTTAGTATGCAGTGGGTGCTTATTACGCGGTGGCTGGTGGTACAGTTGTACGTAAATGGAAACTGCTTTGTTAGCGCAGATTATGTTACGCGAACTTTTAGGTCGGCAGTGTTGGTTCAGAGGGTGTGTGGATCGGTTGAACAGCTGACTGCAACAAGTATCTCTGTGCTATTCAAATACCACAGTCGTAAGTTGGTGAGAGAGTTGGGATTCCTGATGATGGGCAAAAATTCTCGAGTGTCCGCCAGTTAAGTTATACGCACATACATGCCGGCCGAGTGACTGCTTATATGAATAACCATGCTGAGCCTCTTTTACCTTTTTGCACAATGGCCACAGTAGTGCTTTTTCTCGTCTCGTTTTTGTGCTAACTGTCTTGTTTTCCCTTTTGGGGCTTAGTGCGCGCTTCTCACATGTACTTGCATACGTGCACCAAAGAATGAATGGACATTAGAATATAGAGTTAGCCTGTCTTTGAGGAACTTTAGAGACAAGAGAGAAGGGAAAAAATAGTAGACTTCGACCCACAATTACGTCGGGTACCATTGTCTTATGTTGCGGTTTTTCCTTGGATCATTTGTCTTTCTCGGAACGTGGCCCTCCCTCTAATGACGACAGGCTGCACCGCTGCCCGCAGCAAGCGCGGCCGTTATGCAACTGTACCCTGTCCATTTCGAAGATTTCAAATTGTACAATTTCCCGTGACTGCGTGTGCAGTGACTCCCTAAAGCTCTATGCTGTACCGGGTAACTAGAGCGGCTGACCCCTATTGCAACTTTCTTTTCCCTGTCTTCTGTAAACCTTAATCTCACAGGTTTGGGTTTTGGCGATCCGGGGGGTTCACAAAAGCCGTTGTTGAGTGCAAGTCTTTGGTCTACTGCAACTTGCCCAGCAAAACCCTTGGCGAGATGAGATAAGTGTTCAGGGCATCAATCAACATGCCATATTTATTTTTGGTAGTATGACATTCAAGTCGCTACACATGCGCCTGGTTTTCTTTGTACCTTACCCTTCCTACTGTACATACTTGTACGTGGCGTTTCTTCATACGGAAGGACACATGATTTGCGACAGGGGTGGTTGGGCACAACCCGGTCGCTTCATTGGGGACTGCACCAGAGCCACCACGTAGCCAGAGCAAGTACGCAAAGTGCGGACGACTTCTGAGTGATTTATAATATAGTGGATATCGCACAGTTCTCGGAAGAAATCAATCACTTGCACCAAAACGGTGCGTCGCTACCTCAAACTATCGACATTCTTCCGTGCAGTTTTTACGCAATCACTCAAATGTGAGACATGAATAGAAGCAACCGGATTACAGGTCCTTTTCTTTAAGTGTAGGTCGTTCTTTGCAGTTCCCAGCTGCTCCCAACTACAGTTGGAGACACCACACCTACAAGTAGGTACAGCATGACCCTTATTAGTTAAATTAGCCGGTTAATGTTATAATAACAGGGTGACATGTCTGTGAGGGAGCTTGTGGTTCATTGTCGGTACGAGATGTAATGTGTTGGTTTCTAAAGAATCGAACGGTTTCGGGTTATAAATAACACAAGATTAAATCGAAGTGGGCAGGTGGAGGCAGGCTTGCTACGCTGAAAGCCGTTAGTTTGTTGCTCCATCCGTACCATTTGTTCTATGCGTCCAGTATGCAGTATATGCGAGTTTCTGCAGAAAGGTACGGCTACATACTGAAGAAAGCAGTGGCGCCACTTAGTGTGGCAAGAGCTTTGCACAATACAAGAATTTAATCAAATTGTATTGTGTCAGTCTGTTGTGCGAGTTAGAGTCGCATGTCCATAGTGAGTTAACTTGCCCACTAGCAAAAAATGCCAGTCAGATATTTTTACACAAAAGGTCATTCTGCAGGCCTTCGTAATACAACAAAAAAAAAAAAAAAAAATAAGGTGCATTTAAAATCACAGTGGCCCTAAAACCCTCGAGACCCGTCTTGAATGTAAGAATCTTTGGACACTGTCACAGTGCCAGATCAGAATTCAACGTCAGCTGAGTCAAGGAATTGACGTATGACATGCCATTGCCGGTGTCAGACAGACAATAGAACAATAACCCTTGGGTTCATTTCGCACGCCTCGTGCAGGTCTGCTTCTTGTTATCATTGCACGCCCGGCACATTTACGGAAGCAGAAGCCCTTTGCTTTTTGAAGGACTGGAAGAATGTGCATAGAATCTTCATGTCAATATGGGGTGACATTGTGCTGCTGGTTATTTTCGAACCCAACCTCATGGCATGCCCAGGCGCGACGCTCGTTCCCAGACCCCAACTCACATTTTCTGGACCATACTAAAAGCAGAGTATGTACTGCACTGTAGTTCATTTTTCCCATTCAGTTTCCTGTTCTGACTTTATCCCAGTGATTTTATCTCATTGTTGCAACATAATGGCTTGTTTGTCTTCAATTTGAAAACACCTCCATGAAATGTGACCAGTTGACACCAGCACTCCGTGTTTATTGACGGTCGCATCTGACATTATTATTGCCTGACCCAACGAAAATATTGAACTGGCTCAGGCTATTTATAAATGTGTCATGTTGGAAAGGTGGGGAGATGTCTCCGTCTGGGTCTGTCAAGTAGATAGTCTCTAACAAGTGAATGATCCAGCAGTTAGGGGTTGGATTTCAACTATTTGTGCTATGCTCTATACACAGCCTGTAAGCGCGCATTGGCCACTTTATTAGAGCAAGATGGTCTTATCGAAGCCTTTGCTTCTCCCCTGATTCACTAATGGTTTGTGTTTTTTTTATTATTCATAAGATTCATACGGCTATATACCTACTTGTAGTAAGCCGGGTTATTGGCGTTCAATAAATCATACACTTCTGAATCATTGCGGTGTGCGCTGCGAGGCGCATGTCAGTTGGTTTGTAGACTTCGTCTAGTTCTTGTCCTTGTCGTGATCTCGTGGTAGTGAGTCATGGCTAACAGATCAAGTAATCATATCAATCGTTCCATGTCTTATCCAGACTCGAGGTTGGTTTAGTTTGTTCTCATAAAGATCGTAGGTGTAATTCGGATAGGGATCGTGAATACGACTCGTGTGTATCGTGATTGAGTCGTTGCGACATCGGGGAGTTGAAGTAGGAGTAGCTCGGTGTATGGATGTTATGTTGTTGGTGTTGGTTTTTATATATATATTTAATATTTCATGTTTTTTTTATTCTAATGATTCAGGGGCCGTCATGCACTTATAGGCCCCAAAAGGTTTCAACAAGATTTCGGAATAACTTTCAGGTCCCTTGGCCCAGTTGGTTAAGGCGTCGTGCTAATAAGAAATTAGCCTCTTTGCAACGCGAAGATCAGCAGTTCGATCCTGCTAGGGACCATTATTTTTGAAGCTGCTGAAAACTCCAACGAAACATCACGTGCTCAAGTTATACTACATTTACTTTTTTGCTTCCGCTATTTTGTGTATCATGACTGTGCTTACTCAACCCCCTCTCTCTCTGTTATGAGAAATGGATATGACATGTAACTATCGCTCGACTGAAAGTACACCCCCAAGCAGTTCAAATAATCTAGTGGATTCACGTAACTAACTTATTTCTTAGAATGTTCCTTGTCATCACCGTAAGCCTTGGTACCGTAGTTACCGTTGATACAGATGATGTCCTGGGGTCGATAGCCCTGCTTTCCGGAGAAGAAGACCTCGAAAATGTTCTTGGTACCTTTGGCGTATCGGGCCTGGGCATCAATAGAAGTACCAGAGATATGAGGGGTCATGGCGTTTCCTCCACCGTACTTGTTTCGCATTATTCTCGGGCTGAGGGAACCAGACATCGCCCACGTAGCCTCGAATCTTTCCGGACTCGAGAGCCTCAACAATGTCCTCGGTGACACAGATAGCTCCTCGAGCGGTGTTGACGAGCCAGGCACCATCCTTCATGTGGGAAATGAGCTTCTTGTTGGAGAGGCCCTTGGTGGAGGCGTGCAGAGGACAGTTGATGGTGACAACGTCACAGGGAGAGAGCATCTTCTCGAGAGACTCCACTCGTCGACAGCCAATCTCCTTCTCGACATCAGCGGGCATGGGCTGGTAGTCGTAGTAGAGCATCTCCATGGGGTCGAAGGGCTTGCATCGCTTGAGTACTCGCTGACCAATTCGTCCCTCCAACTGTACCAATGACCTTACCCTCAAGGTCGTAAGAGTCCTTGGCGACAGCGGCAACGTCCCAGCCACCAGAAATGATCTGCTCATGAGCAGGGACGAAGTTTCTGACCAGAACAAGCATGGTCATGACAACATGCTCAGCGACCGACTGAACGTTGGAGCCAGTGACTTCAAGGACAGCAATGTCTCGGGCGTTGGCGGCATCTAGATCGACATGGTCGGAACCAACACCGGCAGTGATACAGATCTTGAGCTTCTTGGCCTTGTCAATTCGCTCTCGAGTAATGTAACCGGGGTGGAAGGGAGTGGTGATGACGACATCGGCGTCGACAATTTCCATGTCGAGGACAGAATCATCGCCATCCTTGGAAGAGGTGGTTACCAGAGTATGGCCCTGGGACTCGAGCAATGATCGGATACCGAGCTCGTTCTCGGTGCATCCGAGGAGTTTGGGCTCATCAGCCGCGTGGGAGAATAAGAAGGACCATCGTAGTGTTTGTTCGTGTGCGTGTAAGTGTGTGTGATGAAATAGAAAAGTCGAGGAGAAGAATAATTAGTTTATAGGTCCAATTGAGGTATATACCCACTGAATCGCCGCAGTAGGGGATCCGAGATCCGTTCATGGAGGTAGTGCTGCATGCATGTGGAGGTTTGCAAGAGCCAGGTATACACAGTTGATGAGAGATTTAAAATCACAGACTTCAAGTGGTACATTACTCCTGGAAATAATGTTCTGTATTTCAAATGTAGTGTAATGGTATCTCTTTCAGCGATATCACCATCTTCAGAGTCGTCGATCAGCGGTCGTACTCAACGGTCCCAACCTAATTCCGGATAAGTCGTATGTAGCATTATTGAGCCGCAGTGCAACGGAGAGTATTGTTTGCAGAAAGAAAAAAAAGTGTGTGGACACCTCCGCCTTCTACAAGTAGTGTATGAGGGCGGGGGTTGAACCCGAAGCCTCATACTTCGGATGGAAGGTGGATCTTACGGTAAAACACCAGATATATGAAATAAGACTCGCGCCGATATGCTTATCGTAGATGGTGGAGTGTTTTGAGAGTATATACGGCTTTCGGAAAGAGAGCTGGTTGTCACTCTGCTCTTACCCAGCTGGGTGAGGACGTCGTCTAATATCCTCCTCCTGCTCTTCCTATTAGACGCCCAGTCTGATGGGTTATGCACCCCCAATATGGATGAGGTAGAAATAGCCGTTGATCAACAGGCGGGGTAATGGGCCTGGTGAGTGGTTAGATGTGGCTACTTGTAGAAAGGGGTTTTGGTGTTAAACAGATAAATCGGTTGGTTCTGATTGATACCGATTGGTGCCGATTATTTCCCTCTTTTGTGCAATGTGGAGGCTCACAGGTTTTGTCTCAACCCCAGCAGCGGTGGAGCGTGGATTTGAGCTACTTGTATATGGCCCCAAATTAACAGCCATAGCGACAGTTATTCTGCACCTGAGGACATTTTTAAGCGCAAATGAGTGACAGCCATTCAGCAGCTCAGTAAAAATACTTGTTCTTGTACATCATGTTTATATCCCACCAAGTAATCTACATTGTACAAGCGCCGCCATTATGGCCCATTATCACCCCCCCCCATGACCCCCCACGTAAGTCTCTGTGCACAGCACGTTGCCAAGACTTCTTCGGTTAAATTAATATTACTTGTACTGTTCAATGGTGGGTTGTTGAATAATTATCGTGACTGGCAGCTCCGTCGAGCTCATCTCCTATTGCAGTTGAAGACTCACAGAGTGTATGGTTACAACTTGAACCATGTCGCCTGACCAGTTTAAGCCGTGATGAGCAATCTGTGACGTCACCTGGAACGAGGGTATGGGCATGCACTGGTAGCAACACGTGTATGTATCGTACCAGTACATCCCGTACAAGTACATACTATACATACATACATACACATGTCAGTCACACCCACAGTTGCTACGTATTTGTAGTACACCCTTCACCCAACATTCGGCTATACCAAATTCGGCAGTGGAACGCAAAGGCGGTCACGCGAAAGGCCACGCAAGACCACGCACCCAACACGATACTCCACACAGTCAATGCACCATATGCAGGGACATCGGACTTTGCTATTTTGGGAGCCGATTGCGACTTGTTTGGGAAGTGGGAGACCAGTGGAAGGTGCAAACTCTAAGGTCTGGATCTCTCGAAAATCAGCTGAGCTGGGTAAAAAACGAGGGTTTTTCCGATGCATCAAAGGGCCGCTGCGATAGTCGCGATTTTCACGATCGGCTGTGTTGTGAATGTTAATGTTCCCCCAACAGAAGGAGCACATCAGAGCTGGGGTAATGTAGAGCACGGAACAAGAGCGATGTATCGTATGTACAGTGGACAGTACCAACATGTGCCTGATTGTCGTGTCGGCGCGTCCGATTTTGACACATGCTGGTACGGTGTAAGGTGTAATTAATCTACAATAGCAACGGTATTATTGAAAATATAGAGATGAAATTATCGTGCTATTGCTGTTATGTTCGGTTTTCAAGTGGTCAATTGCCGGGTAAGAGAACAAGCCACGAACAGAAGATGGGATCGTGTGCGCTTAACCACGCTCGTGCTTCTAACCGACGACTCCCAAAAGTGGGGTTATAATGTCGGAATCAGAAATACGGCTCATACCTTGGGGGCATTCTTCCAATCCGTTCCGAACCTTTCCGACCTTTCCCGAGCTGGGGCGATACCCACGGTTGTAGCAAAAAAGGGAGGAATATTCTTGACGTTGTTGCAGGGGAAATGAGAGTTCTACGCATGTGATTGTAAAGTGGGATGGGGGTGGGGGGAATAATGGATAAAAGAAGGTGTTTTGAGGTTCAATTGAATTCCAATTGCATCATCAACTGTCTAGGACCATCCAACCGCTCGGAAATCCCTCAAACACCACATTACACCTTCTCCAGCGCTCTTCCCCGCTGAAGTCATCTCAAAAATGCACGTCCCAACGCCATGTAAGGACATGTACTAATATGTAATAAAGTTTGGATGCATGTCGGGTCTGCGCTTCGTGTGCTGTGTTGCCTGAATGAGCTGGAGGGTTAGGAAACTTGGTGAGAGGCTCAGATGCGGGGAATCGGGATGGCTTTACAACTGGGGTGCAGCCGTTAGGCCGGAAGGAGGGGGACTGGCGGAGATAAGGAGTTTTCGAGTTGGGGGGATCAATGGACAGCTTCGCTATCTCCCATCTGCGAAAGTGCCCCGCATTTCACCCTTGTCTTATGAGTCCCTGACACTGTCATGATTTCTTTCTCCCACCAGTGTCGTGGGTCTAGGGGCTGTCATTTTATTTTTCCGCCACGCTTCTTACCTTAGCCTCGGCATGCAAGAGACTGACAGGCTTTATGTATCATGTATGTATCACGGATTTTTGAGCTATGTTCACAATTGTTCGGAGTCTAAAGTTGGTAGCAACTAGGCTCTAAATAGGATGAATTGTCTCGACCGATTTATATATAAAAGAGACGCATCCGCCCCCACGGATCCGCTGAAGCTCTCCACCATCTAGTCATCTCACGACATTTGACTAACGACTCTATTTATTAACCTGACGGTGCACCCCAACCCAGTAACACGTTACTAACTACCCCGTCTCTATCACCACGTGACTCTGAACCAAATCTTTGGCTTTATTTTCACGTTCCCAACACAAAATCCAAACCGCCAATCACCCCATCTTTTTAATCAGCAACTCTCCCCTCAACACTACGGTTTTCGAAGTAGTTATTTATTCATATTTATAAGTGAGTATGAATTGAACGCATTGACTGCTGAAGTGACCTGCCAAATCGACGATATTACGCACCAGCCAAGCCACCAACTTCACAACCAGTGAGCGCCTTGTGGAAACAGACCTTTGCGCATTTGCGCTCTTGAGTCGTCGTGCACAAACAGAAAAACACGATTTCGCTCGACCTCGCACCCCAACAACAACTAACACAGTGTCATACTTTGCATCAGTCCCCGCAGCTCCCGCAGATGCCCTTTTCGGCCTCATGGCCAAGTACAAGGCCGATACCTTCGACAAGAAGGTCGACCTCGGAGTCGGAGCCTACCGAGATAACACCGGAAAACCCTGGGTCCTCCCTGTCGTCTCCAAGGTCGATTCTCTGATTGTCGCCGACCCCACTGCCAACCACGAGTACCTCCCCATCACTGGTCTGCCAGACTTCACCAAGTCTGCCGCCAAGCTGATTCTGGGGCCTGACTCTCCTGCCATCAAGGAGAACCGAGTTGCCTCTTGCCAGACAATCTCTGGAACTGGAGCAAACCATCTGGGATCTCTCTTCCTGTCGCGGTTCCCCTCCTCCGCCGCTCCCCCCAAGAGCGTCTTCCTCAGCCGTTCTCCCCCTTCCCCTGGAGCAACCGGAGATACTCCTCCCCGAGCTGCTGGCGGCCGAATCTGGATCTCCAACCCCACCTGGGCCAACCACAAGCAGATCTTCGAGAACGTCGGTCTGACCGTTAAGCAGTACCCCTACTGGGACCCCAAGACTCTAGGTCTGGACCTCAAGGGCATGCTCAACGCTCTGGAGAATGAGACCCGACCCGGAGACATTGTTCTGTTGCACGCCTGCGCACACAACCCCACCGGTGTTGACCCTGCTCGAGAGGAGTGGGAGAAGATTGCCGCTGTCTGCAAGTCCAAGAAGCTCTTCCCCTTCTTCGACTCTGCCTACCAGGGCTTTGCCTCCGGTGATCTCGAGCGAGACGCCTGGGCAGTCCAGTACTTTGTTTCCCAGGGCCTGGAGCTGCTCATCTGCCAGTCCTTCGCAAAGAACTTTGGCCTGTACGGCCAGCGGGCCGGATGCCTGCACTTCATCACCCAGACCGCCAAGGCGTCGGAGAACGTCAAGTCACAGCTTGCCTTCCTGCAGCGATCAGAAATCTCCAACCCTCCCATCTACGGTGCCCGAATTGTGGCCCGAGTTCTTAACAACCCCGAGCTCTTCAATGAGTGGAAGGAAAACCTGCTGGAGATGGCCAACCGAATCAAGAGCATGCGAGATGCGCTCAAGAGCGAACTCATCAAGCTTGATACTCCCGGTAACTGGGACCATATCACTAACCAGATTGGTATGTTCTCTTTCACCGGTCTGTCGCCCCAGCAGGTGGACCGACTGGTTAACGAGTTCCACGTTTACCTGACCAAGAACGGCCGAATTTCCATGGCTGGTCTTAACACACACAACGTCGCTTACGTCGCCAAGGCCTTTGATGCCGTCGTTCGAGGTTAATTATGTATTTGGAGTAGGATAGATTTAATATCATGTTTAGATGTCTTATTATCGCGTATATTACAGCATCTTTAAAGACTGCAAGCACATGCAAGTAAAAAATTCTTTTTGTATTTTGTGATTAAAAAGCTGGATTCCCAGCTTAAGCTCTCGGCATGCACAGATCAGCATGATTTATCAACAATCAGCTTGCTGGGCAAATCTGCATGATAACAGCACATGCAGCAAGCCATTGAAGCAAACATCGCAGCAACTTGTAGACACGATATTACAGTGAATAAATATTTAATGAGAGCTTAGTTGTTAGTATGGAATTAGCACACGTCGTAGCTAGGAAAGACCCGCCGACTCTTGACGTTAACACGCCACGAGGTGATGCCCATTTCGGTGCCGACAAGCAGGGAGCCTCCGTCGTAGGGGCTCCAGCACATGCCGCTAATGTCGTGTTCTCGGTAGGTGAGCCGACGGGACTCTCCAGAGTTGAGGGCGGGCAACGACACTCTGGAAGAAGAAGAAGAGGACGGAGGAGCAGCCGAGAATGCGGAATAAACTGGGGGAGCGTAATTGGTGGCATGGTCAGTGATGGGGGTGATTTGGGGCTCGGAGTCCAGTGAAATGTCCGAGCCTGCCATGTACTCTGACGAAGAGTTGGACAAGTCGGAGCGTCCGGATCGTGCTGATCGGATGGACCGCTGCGACCACTCCTCGGGATAGTAGTGGTGCATGGATTTTGGAGGTCGTGAATAGTAGGGCAGATGTAGCACCTGGTGGTTGGAGAAATCCCGGAGATCAACCATATGCACTCTGCCGCTGTGTTCGGAGATGAACATGATATCTTCGGGGCCCTCGGAGAACTTGAGGCATCGGAAGGCGCCATGATTTTCCTCTCGGCGTGACGAGGGCACTTCCACGAGCGGTTTTGAGTGTTTTCGGACATCGTAAAGACGAGCCACTCCGTCCTGAGAAGCCACACCGAACAGAACTCCGTTAGGATGGAAGGCTGTTGAGAAGCCCGACTCAGAGCCAATCTCAATCGTGTGTGTCTTAACCCATCCGTACGCACCTCTGTTGCACACGTAGACCTGGTTTGAGTCACCACAGGCCACCACGGTAGAGTTGTCGGGAGAGATCGAGGCGTGGTTTAAAGCCGACGTGAAGCGAAACTGGTCTTCGACGGCAAATGATGCAGAGCCAATGGACAGAAAGTAGAGCAGGTGATCGTTGTTGCATACCAGGGCCTTGGTAGCATTGTCGTACAGCGTCACGGCGTTGTTGATGGCCTCTCCCGTGAAGATCTCGCCCGAGTAGGTTTCTTTGGTGGCGATATTTCCGACACAAAAGAGACCCGGAGACGAGGCTGGAGGACGGGTCAGTCGAGACAGACTGCTGCCAAGAGAGGGTCTTCGAGGCCCACAAGTCTGGTCATAGACTCCTCCTGCAGCAACAATGCCATTCTGGACACGGACACAACGGGGTTCAAATTGGAATTCAAAGAGCGGCTGGTCAGATCCATCAAAGGATAGCTGTCGTATGGTGTTGTGGACCGGGTAGATGACAGAGTCGTGAGACATGCCTCGACCCATATCTGTGGCATGAATGAGATCACGCAACTGCCAGTGTTTGACGGTCACGTGTGCAGGGTAGAAGGTGTACTGGTCATGTAGCAGTGTATTCTGCGCCCGCAGCTGTGCAGTGTCGATGGTCATATCGAGAGGGAGATGTGCGGGTTGTGAGAAGTGGCCGTGGTTGTTGACAAGTAGTGGAATTACACTATTACACTAACAAAATTACATGATATTGCTGCAGTCCATTTTAACCTTGCCATACAGCATACCGCCTTGATGTCATGTGGTCTGCTGTGACCCCCAAAAGTCCTTATCTCAACTTTAATGCGACAGATGAGCCCGTGGTTTTAAGCAGTGGTACACAGGAGATCCTAGAGCTGTCAGAGGAGGGCTGGGGAGTCCAACTTTCTCCCAAACACCCGCTTTGGACATGTGAATTCGCCAATTCGCATCCTATTCATTTCCCGCCACTGCATACCCCGCAAATGGCGGCTTACAGTGTTCTCATAGGCAGCTACAAAGTACAGTATGTACTTGTGCAGTAGATGTACTGTTGGGGGTACATTGCAGGCCGGAAAACTCCAGTCATGGATAAACTGTGTAAGATAGAGAGAGCCCTCGGGCTTGAACATAAATATGGCATGCAAAATCGAAGATAGTAAAACATGGGGATAACAGGGATGACAGTTTGCGGTTTTCACATAATGCGACACACACACTGCGACTCTAGATGTGCCAAGGGGGGTCTAAACTGGCTCTTGTCTATACGGGGCTCTGCAGCTAAGGCGGCGATTGTGTAGAGTGGATAATATGAGGATTTTCCTTGTGACTTTTATCAGAAGCCCGAGTGTATTTCGGGTGACGAGACTGTGACGAGACTGTGACGAGACATTGGGGTAATTTCGGTAATGAGACATCCGGTGGAGTTGCTTAGTAAGGGTGGAAGCGCATCCACCAGCAGGTGGACAAGAGAGTGTATGTACAGTACATGACCCAAGAACAGACAAATGATCACATATCCTTTGCGAGTGCTGTAAGTATGCCACTTTTTGAGTATGTTTTGGTTGGTTTTTGAGTGTCATTTAGTAGTGAGAGATTTGCTTGGCTTGTCAACTAAAAGTAACTAATTAAGCAGATTCTGTAGTTGCATATTCCCACTATAATGTTGATATGACATCGCATAAAAATATACAGAAGGTTTCATTTTTAAAGATGAACCCAGCTACGCAGCTGCTCACTGATATGTACAAAGCTGTCTACTTCTTATTACTGTATAGACCCCCCCCACCCAACTGTGGAACATTCTGGCTTACTTCCTTCAACATGCATGAGGTGCACACGAGCCAAAAGGATGTCTTCTAAAGAGTGATTCAAGTCGTTTTGAGTGGCAAAAAAGACAAAATTCTTATAAAACCCACAGAGAAAACAGATTATCACCTTTTACTACACGTTTTTGAACCGATTTAAGCCCGTAATACCACATATAATTTCTCGCCACTTCTAACTCAAAGCGTGTTAAACTCAGACACCGTACAGGGCCTCGGTGGCTAAAAGTGAGGTGCCGTAACCACCATCTTCCAAACATTGTCCCAACACAACTAGCCGCCAACATGAGATGTCTGCTGATATTGCTGTTTTTGGCGTCGGTGGCGCTCGCCTCGTTCTACAAAAACAGCCCCGTCGTGGAAGCCAAGGGTAACTTGGGCCCGGTGCTCAAGTCCAACAAAACCTCCATTGTGGAGTTCTATGCTCCATGGTGCGGACACTGTCGAAACCTGTTGCCCGAGTACGTCAAGGCCAGTAAGGGTCTGCGAGGTCTCGCCAACGTAGTCGCCGTTGACTGTGATCAGGAGATCAACAAACCCGTATGTGCCCAATGGAAGGTCCAGGGTTTCCCCACCCTCAAGATCTTCCGACCCTTCAACGATCCCAAGACCGGAAAGAAGATGCGGCCCATGGTTGAGGACTACAAGGGTCCTCGGGAGGCCGCTACCATAGTCAAGGAGGTTTCTGGTCGAATCAAGAACCTAACAAAGCGTCTCTCTAGTGTCGCTGACCTGAAGAGTCTGATGGAGAGCACCGAAGAGGACGTCCACCACATACTGTATCTTCCCGCTACCACCAAGAAGCTCGTTCAGGTTCCTCCCGTGCTTAAGGCCATCGCAATTGACTTTGTCGATACGGCCAAGGTCTCCTTCGCTCCCGGAAAGGCGGTGCCTGATATTGTCAAGCATCTCCAGCGAGAGTACCCTTCTCTGTCCAAGCTGGACACCACCAAGAGCCAGATTGTGCTGCTCAAAAAGGGCTACCATCCTGCGTCTTCCAACAAGGACATGTCTCACGAGGGCATCCTCAAGTTCGTTAACCAGTACGTTATCATTCGAGAGGGCAAGAACCGAAACGCTCCTGCTAAGAAGACTCTCAAGGAGTTCATCGTCGAGTCCGACGTCCCCGATCTCACTACCGACAATGACTCTGTTGACGAGGAGGATGAGATTCTTACTGATGCCAAGGACGATATTGAGGTCGAGATTGTGGAGCAGGTTGAGGAAGTCACCCAGGAGGAGGCCGCTGCCCAACCCGATACCGATACCGACGATACTGAGCCCGAGCCTCTTATGGCAGATTCACCTTCTGATTCCGACTCTGACACCGATTACGATGCTGATACTGAGGAGATCGAGGACGAAAAGCCCTCCAAGATCACTCCTACTCCAGAGCAGATCAACCTCAACGGCGGACCAGAGCACCAGAAGGCCCAGATTCAGTCAATTATTGACAGGTACGGAGGAGAGGAGAAACACCCTCGACAGGCCTCTCGAATCTACTCCTTCGCCGAGCTGCGAGATGCTTGTCTCAAGTCCGACTCTCCCACATGTGTTATCATGTCCACTTCTCCTTACAGCTTTCAGACCGACTTGCTGACGATCCACAAGGCTGCCCGACATGCCAGTGACGACACCTACAAGAAGGTCAAGTTTGTCTACTTTGTGGACATCACTGACGAGCTCGAGAGGCTTGCCGAGGAGCTTGGAATGGGCCCTTACACATACATGAAGCCTCCAGCTGACGCCAAGGGCGGAAAACACCATCTTCATGAGGGATCTTATGTCCTTCTGGATATCCACAAAAACAAGGTCTACAAGATGCCCAGTTCTATCGTTAAGAACGACGGCAACATTGTCAACTTCGCCACCAAGGGCTACAAGAAGGTGGATGGCAAGAAGCTTCCTCCCAGATACAGATTTGAGTACTCTGACCGGGACGAGTTGTAACTACAAGATTGGTACATACGATAACACACACATGCTAGTAGTATATATAGATATAAAAATAATAATACGAATAACAACAATGCTAAACAGGCTCTTATAATCAAGTAAAAAACTACTTGGTACCACTGTACCTGTAGACAGTCTTGCCCTGTTTGGTACAAGCACCGGTATGGGTAGCTTCAGCTGAACGCATTGTAACCCACACACTCTTAGTCAGCCAAGAGGACAAAAATATATCTCAGACGAGCGCAAAAAGATACTCCGCAACGGAGAATTGAACTCCGGTCCCCCGCGTGCTGAACATTGGTTCTGACAGGCGGAAATTCTAGCCACTAAACTATTGCGGATTTTCGATGGATTTCGAGGTTAAGATAGCCTATTTGACGTCGCAACATGGTGGTCGTGGCTATGAGGCGGAAGCGCGGAGAGGAATGAGCGCCGAAGTTGTTTTCTACTCTAGGAGTTTATTACGATGGCTGGTACACATGACGTACTCGTGAGGTCTGCTCACGCTAAATATACACGCTGACGTCTCAGATTAATGGAATTATGGAAAAAAAAAAAAAAAAAAAAAAAAAAAAAAACAACCAAACACCGAGCTACTCCAACTTCAACTCCCCGATGGCGCAAAGACTCACTCAAACACGACACACACGAATCATATTCATGATCCCTATCCGAATTACACCGTCTACGACCTATTATGAGAACAAACTAAACCAACCTCGAGTCTGGAAAAGACAGGAAACGATTGATATGATTTCTTGATCTGTTAGCCATGATTCACTACCACGAGACCACGACAAGGACAAGAACTAGTCTACAAACCAACTGACATGCGCCTCGCAGCGCACACCGCAATGATTCAGAAGTGTATGATTTATTGAACGCCAATAACCCGGCTTACTAGGTATATAGCTGTAATGAATCATTAGAATAAAAAAAACATTAGAATATATAAAAAAAAGTGAATCATTGGAATAAAAAATAAAATAAAAAGTAATGAATCATTAGAATAAAAAAAGAAAAAAAGAAAAAAGGGTTGATATATTTATCCGCTCAAGAGATGGAACAGGAAGAATACGTGAACAAGCGAACACGAATGTCATGCGCTCTCCTGAACTACCGAAATCGAATCTGATCTGCGGGTATAACACTGTCTTGGTCTATTTCCCTAGATATTTATTTTTTTGAAGTTTGGGACTGAAGAAGCCGCAAGTGGGTTTAAAGGTTTATAAAACGGATCTACAATTATAATTTTTTGGTTATATTTATGTTACTGTACCTGTCTTGTGGTGCAATTTATGAAGTTTTCGAGTCATGTCTGTCTATTCATGCATTTAGTTCATGCTAAATAGAATATCTAACGAAAAAATCAACTATAATGTTGAGGGTGCCGAACCTTTTTTCAGTATCAACAGACATGTAAACTAAATTCCAGAATAATAATGAACTGTAACAGGTGTGCCACCAGGAAGAATACCGTCAGTACATCATAATCACGTTCAGACTAGCTTGTTATTACTTATTGGTCTTTCGAGCGTATGTAAAAGTGAATTTTTTTTTTTTTATTCTAATGATTCATTACATGCTTTTTTTTGAAAAATCTGAACACATGTACAGGTAATGCATCATGTTCCCCATAGCATGGTTGTATAGTGTAGCGGTTATCACCTTGGATTCTGACTCTAGAAGTACCTTCCAGTAACCCCGGTTCGATTCCGGGTACGACCTAGTCGTTTTCTTTTTTATATCCCGGTTATGGTGGGTGACCTGGTGGACTTGCCCTGCGGATGTTTTAAGCCTACAGTAAAGCTCACCTTTTTTTCCATCTCAGGACATCATGTTGGAAGTCTCTCAACTAAACCTTGTGCAGTGAACTTGGGCGATGAGGCATCGGGCAAAAAAATACCATGTAACTAATTTCAACAATGGTTTCAGTAATAGAAATAATGGACTTCAAGAACCAAATTCACTTTCAGATTCTTTTTAGCTCATCCTACAAGTATGTACAGTAGATGCGTCACTCTGTGCCTTCGACAATATGATGAGTGGTGCAATGCTACGCTGAGGGTCATTGTCGCCGTATAAGTACAATGAAACTAAGCCTACTTGTACAAGAACCGGTAGGTCTTTAGATGGTGGGGCAAAAAAAATCACGACTTTCACCCGCTCGATTGATTCGTTGCCCGTTTTCCACATATACTTGTACCGGCACATGATTACAATATAGACTGTTCCACATCAACAGGACAGACCATTGATAAATACATGCATCCAGAGTGTGCTGAGGGACACACAGGTTTTGATATCAGATCGAGGGCAGGTTTTAACCCTTGTTTGTGTCTATAACCCAACTTTTTCGCAACAGCTTGCGCTCTTTCCTACCAATCTACACGTTGTTCACATTCCAATTCTATTGGCTGTCGCAGTCCTCTGCCAAGTTTCGCTACACTGGAGGGCTGCCAACGAGATTTTCAAGCAGCTACCGCCTGAACTAACTCTTTCTTTCGCACTGCCACGCTACAAGTAGACCATCGCGTGACAGACAGTTCTAATTCGTGTGACATGTCGTGTGCTTGATCATCATGGTATCTATGAAGCCAGCCAGATGCAAATTGTACTCACATTGTAGATGAATGAAGTGTATGGAGAGGGAGGGCTTGGGGTAGCTTCCAATTGTTTTAAATCGGTATTGCTGGTGTCTAAATAATGTTGTATTGCTACTATGTGACTTGTGATCATCGTTTTTCTGAACGCCCAAATGATCCAATTACTTAACCATCGCGATGTGAATAATATGCCATCTTTGGGCTTACACTTGTTACATCTAACAGTACATACTGTACCAGAAACTACAGAATCACTAGTAAATACCGCACAAAAACATCACGTGCCAGGAGTCAGCGTTGGTGACGATCCTACAAGGTCGGCCCTTGATCTCTGGCACCACGTGCTCGTAACCGAACCTTGCCCGAGCTATTAGCCAAGAACTCTGATGTGAGATAGGCAGGAGGTTGAGGAAGTTGGAGAGATGTGTTTGTGCGATATCAGGTTGGAAAAGACAATAAATGGAACCCCAGACAGCTTTGGAGACTCCCAACCAGCTCTGTTGTTGTCACCACCGCTTTCCTCCAAGACTACGTCATCCCACAGATATTCTCGAAGATAAACTCGTTAGTCTCGCTAGCATGAACTCTGTTCGAACAGCTGTTAAATGAGACGTGGCAGTTGAGGTGGATAAATGCCCAGATTTTAAAATAAAACATTCCGTATCATTTAATTCGCCACTGAATATGGATTCCAATCTCAACCATGCAATTTTTGACCCGCAGGTCCCTCTATATGGTGGGTATTGCTGCGCCCGAGAAAGTCTAGCTGACGCTACTATAAATGGAACTTCGTAAACTGGAGCGCTACTAACTCGAGGTTCTGACATACAACTAGAACCAAAAAACCTGTTCGAGCCAAGAACAAAGACCACTAAACCAATTGATCACGTTACAGGTTGCCTGTACATGATATACTGCTACGAGTACTCAGCCCCACACGCAGAAAAAGTCCCATCGTCAACCTTGTTGGGATTACCGTTTTGAGGTGGGGATGTTGATGATGACGTGGGAGCAGATATATTTGAAGGAGGCAGGCCCGGTAGTGACTCTTGATAATGCGCAGAAGCCGTCGATTGACGGTTTCTGAGAAGGTATAGTGTTCCCAACACCCTAACGTTGGCACACAAGATCAACAGTAAGATCCTATAAGTTGCTCAAAACCTAAACTGTAGATGTGAGGTTTCAGGGGCGGTCTATATCAGCCTGTTTGGGCGGTTTCAGTGAAAAAAGAGTAACACTGCCCGGTTTCCTGAGACAAGCTCATTCGATCAAGCGTACTACCACGCATGTCCAATCACTTGACCCCCTTTTATTCCCGTTCTAAGCCCCCTTCCCAACTGCACAAACTAGGTTCACAACAACCGGCATACTGCTCCAACATGGAAACTTGGACACCTGGACACCACTCTACACCCTCAATTGACCATCTAAACCACAATGCTCAAAGCTCTAGGTCTGGGAAAACGGGGCGGCGACATGCCCACCAAACCCCTCAACAATTCGACCGTCTCGCTTGCCATCATGGACGACGCTCTGCGGGTCGAAGAGGCATTTATTGCCATGGACATGGTGATGGATGACCGAAGCAAGGAGGCTCTCAAGCTGATCCAGAAGGATGAGCCCGGATCGAGCGGCAAGTCTGTAGCCCGAGAACAGTCGGCCTTCTACAAGCTTGTTATCGGAGTCATCTACTTCATCGAGGCTACTCTGGGTTTCGAGCCTGAAAGCATCCGCCGTGCCTCTGAAGCTTTAGCGGAAGCGGAGGCTGCAGCTGTGCGGCAAAAGCGAAACGTGTCCAACAACGGAGCCCATGTTAGCTATTCCAAGTACCCTCCTGGTACCGAGTACCGAGTGGCATTCGCAGAGGCCGAACTCATGGGAGCCATCACGCTGTTTCTGTCAGAGTCTTATCTGGAGTCCGTCAAGGCCCTCTACAAACTGCGAAAGGCATACCAGACGCTCGATGAGATCAGCAAGAGCATCAGAGAGTCCAAGAAGCCCGCCAAGAGCTCGGATCACAAGTCTACTCTCGATTCGCTGAGCCTGGCTGTTTCCGATGATCAGGAAATGGCTTCTTTGGTGGAAAAGTTCCAAAAGACCCGGCTCAACCGACTCAACGAGAGCAATAACGCCACTCCTGTTGCCTCGTCTGCTGCCTCCATGAACACCACTACCTCTTCTGCTACGGCTCTCCACCAGGGATCAGAAACCATTGAGGAGTTCATTGAGTCTGGCGTCGATCTGTGTTTCGGTATTCTGCAGCTCGTCATCAGTATCATTCCCCCCACACTGGGCAAGATTCTGTCCGTTGTTGGATTCAGAGGCTCCCGAGATGGTGGTCTTTCTCTGCTTTGGGAGGCCACGAACTATAGAAACATCCACGGAGCTTTGGCCCTGCTTGTTCTGCTGCAATTCTACGACGGTCCAACCCAATTCTCCGACCTCATCCTTCCTGGAACTGAGGAAGATCTCATTCAGCAGGGCAAGTACGACATCAACACAGCCGACGATACCGAAATCACCCTCACAGCCACCATAACCGGCGGATCCGGACACTCCAAGAAGGTGCATACTCTGCCCAAGAATCCCCGACGTCGAATGCACAAGCTGTTGCTTGCCGCCCGAGGCTACTACCCTCATTCGGCTCTGTGGATGCTTCAACAGGGCCGAATGGAGGCCTCTCAATGCCATCTGGAAAAGGCCGTGGATATCATGGACGCTGACATCGGCCCCATTGAGATGAAGCAGGTCGAGGCTCTCATGTTGTTTGACAAGACCATGTTCATGCTCTTCCTCAACCGATACGAGCAGTCTGCCACCAACTTCATCCGTCTGATTGATATCAACGCCTGGTCTCATGCCTGGTACACATACGTGGCTGCCACCTGTTCCATTGAGATCTACAGAGAAAACCTGCGTGCTGGAAACGCCGAGGCTGCTAAGAAAGCAAAGGACACTGCCACCCGGCTGCTGACAGAGGCTCCCGGTCTGATTGGAAAGAAGAAGCTCATGGCCAAGACTATGCCCATGGACGTTTTCCTGTCGCGAAAGATTTCCCAGATGCAGCAGCTTTCAAAGCAACACAACATTGACCTTGTCGATGCCGCAGGCGTGTCTCCTGTCCAGGAAGTTGTCTATTTCTGGAACGGATACGGAAAGATGCCCGAGTACGCTCTGGAGAAGGTTTTTTCCGAGGTATTGGCTTACTCTGCTGCTCCTCTGGCTCCTAGCCATATTCCCGAGCAGGATAACGAGAAGACTGTCAGACACTTGTTGCAGGCTGTGGCTCTGAGAAACATGGGTAAGGTAGAGGAGGGGTACAAGATACTCAATGACAACGTCATTTCGCAGATTATCACTGAGAGCAACAACAAATACCACTACAACAAGACCGTGACTCACAAAGACCCCTGGATGCCTCCTTCGGCGCTGTATGAGCGTGCCATGTTTGAGTGGGTCATGCATGGACCCAAGGGCACAGAGACTGTCCGAGAGTGGCTACATCTGGCCGAGAAGTGGTCTGATGACTACGAGTTGAGTACGCGAGTTGGAATGAAGATCAAGTCTGCCTTTGAGCGTCTTGATGGAGGTGCTCTTGCTTAGATATTTAGTCGGAGACACTGACACTGAGCACAAGTAAACGTATATATATAAAAAATGTATTAAGCTAATAGAGTGATGTTTGTGAGTACAGTAGCTTCTGTACAGCTACTATTGCCTTTTGTTCTCTTTTTATTCATCCCTCTTACCGTAGATAAGTACAAGTACTTGTATCGTACAAGCTTTGGTTCAATACATACTGTACGAGGAGTATATATTATACATACATAACTAATCTGTGAAGAAACGTGTTGACGTGGGCTCATGCCACATACCAGTAAATCTGAAGCTACCCTACCTACTCATAGACACTCGATTGACATTGCCAAGATACCAGCTCTGTTCTGATACCGCCAAGACCCGCTACTCCTACTTAACAGTGCCACGTTGTTCATCCTCAGGATCCAAGTCCCACCAACACCAGGCACAGTAACCAGTTGTTTTAGCCTTCTCTTTAGGTTGAGAGAGAGAGAGGGAGAGTATATCTCGACATGTCCGTTCGCGTCAGGTCAGACGCCCTTATATCAAAGGCGTCGTTGTACGCTCTTTACTGTGTATCAATTTCCTTCGGAGTAATTTCCCTGCAGATGTTGACTCTCTCATTATCACAACTCCAGGTGTGCTTCACTCACATTAAAGTTCATCTCCCACCCTGCAGCTGCCAACTTACACTGCATACACTACAGTGCGTGCACGTAGATGGTTGGGGAGACTACTTGCTAACGACACCTAGCAAACGAACCCGTTTTCTCGCTCAGCCGGGCACATAAGTTAGGTGAACACCGCTCCACGACCTAGTCACGCGACACAGACTGCTGTAACCAGACGGCCTCTAACATACTGGGTTACACGAGCTACACGACTGCTGCACGACATCCACGACATCCGAAATTACACTCCTTATTGTCTCAAGCTGTTAAGAGTACCCGATAGCACACAGCGAGACGCCATTTCAATTACACGCCCCAAACATCTCTGAGCACTAGATCTGTGTATTCGCCTCTAAATTCAACAGCCGTTCCCCAAACATCACAGCTACGATATGACTTCAGACTCAATCAGAGCCGAGGTTGTGTTCGAATCCCCGACAGTCTTCGGCGGCGACGACGTACGGGCTGTTATAACATTCAGAAATGTGTCAAGGGTGACGAGTGTCGACAATACTGACACCCGGAGTGATGTTCAAGCCGACACCCGAAACAGAAGCGACAGCTTTCACAACAACAACAACAACAGTCGCACGGAAGACCAGCCCAGAGCCTCCGTCGACGGCTGGCGAGATCGGTTCTTCGGCCTGCTGAGCACAGACTATGAGCCACTTCCAAGTAACCGGCTCTCACGAGCTCGTTCAGTACGAAGAACGGCTCAACCGCCGGTCCGTTCGCCCCACGGTACCTCCGAGACCCTCATTATGGGCACGTGTCGAATTGAAGGCCATTTCGTTGTTGATCCTGAAGTCGTGGATGTCGCCCGGTTGGAACACGTTCGAAACAGAGGAGCAGCAATGGGATTGGCTCATTTGAGTGAAGTAGACGACTCCAAAGACGTGGACAATCACCAAGGAATTACCAAGATGATCTGGGGACTACTAGGAGACGAGTCTAGTGGTACCCAAAGCAAATCTGCTCAATCGAGTGACTCCGGAGAAGGCCTTCCCATTTACTCAAGTGCATCGTCTCTGCTGTTCCCTGCTCTAACACTCAATCCAGGAGAAAGCAAAGTTTTCTATTACAAGTGCACATTACCCCGTGAGCTGCCTCCTAGTTATCGTGGCAAGGCTGTCAGAATATACTACAGTTTGGTAGTTTCTACTCAACGAGGCGAAAGCCGTCTGGTGGATCGCCCCGATATGTCGAATGAAGATAACTCACACGCAAAACCAAGCCTCACGTCACGTTCTCATCGCCTCGTTGCACCCTTCCGAGTCTTCCAGTACGTTGATGACGACGGAGACTCGATCCCTCACCAGGTGGACAACCCAATTGGTGGAGAGCAGAGCGCCGTAGCAGTGAAAGAGCTACCAGACTCTTCTCGTGAGACCATGAGCGACGTTTTCGGACTCCATCATGTTGGCCCAAGCACAAAACCCGGCCCGAAGTCACGAGAGCAATTGTTAGATCACATCAAGACACTCCGGACATCCCATGATCCATACGTATCGCATGACCAGTCCATGGAAGACGAGGAGGACGATGCAGGTACCTCTGCAGGTGCCCATATTAACCGTCTTGTCCAGTCCAATGGCCTCATCAGTAAGACTTTGGTGCCCAAAACCACCTTCCACATCTCTCGAAACTCCAAGTACATTGCCACCTTGAGTCTCAGCAAGCCGCTATATCGAATCGGTGACTCTATGGTTCTCAGTTTTGACTTCTCCGGCTCCCATACACCTTGCTATCACGTCACAGCTTCTCTGGAGACCACAGAGACTATTCACCGAAGTTATTTGCATGGATATGATTGGGACGACAGCTTGTTGAGTGGCTGGGGTAACTCAAGTAACGGTAATCTCAGCTCTGGAAACGGCAGACGATCTTCAGTGGGATCAGATGGTAGTGGACGTCGATTATCCGGATCTCGAGATCCCACCATGATCCCTCTGCCGTCTACTCGCCGAATCTACGCTCAAGAGATGACGTTCATCTACGACTCACGTGACCGTGTCACTTTCGACATGGTCGTTCCGGCAACCGCGGCATCTCAATTCGCCACCACCAAAATCTGCATGGACTGGTCGTTGAAACTGACTTTTGTCACACATTTCGCCGATAAAAAGGATGCGCAAATGATGGGTAGCTCGAAAAGCAAAACCCCCAACGCTCGCAGCTTAGTGCAGACCAACATTCCCAGGCCTGCAGTCAGCGAGCCTGGTTCTCCGGTGATGGAAAGAAAGCGAAGCATCGTGGGCGACTCCGCATTCCCCAACGCGAACGCTAACGGCAATGGTAAAAACGTTCTTACTAACGGAGGAACACCCGGTAATATTCTCAACATTACAGACTCGGCTGTCATCGCGCCTGTAGAGTATGACTCTAGAGGCACGACGTATGGACCCAAGGATACATTTTCCTGCGAACATTTCTCCTGCAAAATCCCCCTCAACGTTTACTCCACTGACAAGGACATTTCGTCTGTGATTGGAGTCAGTCGAGGCACGTCAGTGTATTCTGCCGGACTCTGGTAGACTATACACCTATATTTAATGATAATGGTAATGATCGGTGCTGTGGGTTTGCCATATTGAGAAGTCAGGACCGATAAACAAATATGCCTTGCCTAAGGTTGACCCCGCTCTGAACTTTCCATGAGCGAGTACAACTATACCGATACAGGTAAGTACACCAACACCTATATTGTTGGGTTTCCAGCCCAATATAGCTGCGGGAATGTCTTTCACTACGTGAGAACACACAATGAATGATACTTTGTGCAAACACAACTCGTTATTTGACACGTACACGGTCACCCCTACCTCCAGCCCAGCCCACGCCAATAATACACGTATGTTTCAGATCTCCTGTGAACTTTGCGTTAAACGGAATTTATAGAAACTACCTTATGATAGCTGTAAGTGGTTGAGAATAGGTGAATGCTATGATGTGATTTCGAAATTATTCCTTCGAGGTGGGGAAGACTTATATTAGCCCATTTTTTCGTAGTTGGCAACGCTAGCCCACCTTCCACTGACATCTGAAAGGCTCCTGCGAATTGACATGAGAGACATGGATGTGCGATTGAGATTAGACATTGGACTGCATGCATATTTTTACCCTTGGCAGTTGTGAGCGGTTGTTGATATTTACGTACAGGCTTTGAAAAAGCAATCCTATAGGAGGAGGCACCAGTGAGCATTGCCAAGTTAAAGCTGGAATGATTAGTTTACAACCTCAACAATCTCTGGCAATACAAATACCAGCAGTATCGTCGTATCGGTAGGCAGCAATCCAACGATTGCAATAAACCCCCCTTACCTCTAAGGCTGCAACAGCACTGGCTGCACAGAACAGACCCTTGCGTCTCGTAAACTCTCGCTTCTTTCCTTTGTTGCTTGTGGCCTAATTAGAGCAAGTGAAGCGGGTGCTGGTTGAGAATGTACCAGGTGTAGAAATGACCCAAATGAGATGATAAAATGCTTCCTACTGTTTTATAGATGCACTAACCTGAAACCCTGCTCCAAAGCACTCATAACGTGCAACGTGGATATCATCTACACCTCCACGAATCTTCCTTGCATAAACTTTTCTATACGAAGCCGATCGACAAAGATCAACAAGAGATCAACCCGAGACGATGTGGGGATATATGGGTATTTTCTAAGTAGTTATGGGTGTTTAATTGTTTGGATATCAAGTATCGACCTTTTATTAGCCTACCCGTTTCTCCTATGGTGTGATATATCGCTCTCTATACCAAACCCCCCCCTGTAAGTTGCATGCTAAGACAATGCTGCAGCCAGGGTTTTGAGCGTCATTGAAGGTGGCGGTATAAATACCTTTAGGAAACCGCAAGCTCAAATAAACCACAAATATCTCAAATGAACACCTCATACACAGCCGGAATTGTCACAGCAGCTGCCTTTGATCCCTTTCAGTACGCTAGTTGTGTGGTTACACCAATATCCACTGCTCGAACTGCTCCGACTGCTCCTGTTATTACCCTGTGGGCCAATATGGACGCTAGAGCCTACCCCATTTGCATAGGTGATGAAATCTATGGTACATCGAGTGCCTCTAACGCCACGGCCACAGTCACCACCTCCACAGCAGGAAGTACAATTACTCTTTATGGAGTCCCCACAGTGATCCCACCAGAAGACTGGCTGAGAGCCAAAGAGAGTCAAAATGTCCAGAGGATCACCCCGCAGACCAGCGAAGCTAGTGATGCTAGGGTTTCGATTAACCAGATTGTTCTGGCTACTTTAGTCACATCAATTGTGCTGCTATTTTGATCTCATAGAGATGTATGGCCAGGGTTCATAGGCAGCTTTGGTTGGGAGGTTCGACATATAGGCAGGGTTCAGAAGTTTTAGAGGTTAGGAGCAAGAGGACTAGAAGGTCAGGGAAAAGTTACAGACAAACCAACAGGTAATTATATATTCAATTGACTACACGGGAACGCATTTGTAGTCATATGCTGTAGCCACAGTTGTTGTTGTTGTAAATCATTATTAACCAGTCTATTTTTACTACAACGTAGCTACCGTACTTGTAGAAATTCCATCTCTCAAGCCCAGTTGGGTGATGCTTACATAAGCTTGCAACGATAACTATCGAACTATACTGGAGTGACTGTCTACTTGTACAGTACTGTACTCGTAGCTCTATTGGTCAGATTTGGTGTACAATACAACCGGTACAGTACATGTACGGTATATGATGGATCCATTCAATAAAACCAGTCACCGAAAAAAGTCACTGCGCCTTTGAATTAGTTGCAGAACCTGAGTAATAATTAAAGTTCTAAAGTTGCTCAGTCGCCAAAACCGTTTTATTGAGGTTAGGGTAGACTGTCCAAACAGGCAACGGTTCCGCACGTTAATGAACCGGGACGCCTCGGCCCAGCCCGGGATAAACTGATGCAACGGACATGGCCACGAAAACGTGTAATGAGTTGAGGGAGTCTCAGATAAGGACAGGGCAGAAACAAGCATGTTCGTTGAGTCGCGTGAGCCACTCAGAGAAGTTTTTCAGTTGAAATCGCACGTGATTTATACGTGTTGGTGTAATCATCTTAGACTACAAGTAGAGTAAAACTGAGGTTCTTTAAAACATCAATGGTTTCCGAGACACGTTAGTACTGTGATATAATGGGGTATTTTCAAGGACACGAATAAGAGACGACTCTATAACAGCGACAAAGACTTCTTCATTTGCTACTGTTTTGAGGGCTTTAGATAAGACGATATTCTGCCTGTGATGTCGTTACCGTCCAAATAGTTAAAATTTCGGAACTCTAAAATTTCGAGCTTGCACCTTATCCTTATCCAGGTTGTTTGTGCTGATCCGATAATGAAAATGGAGTAGCTACACGACATTGGTGAGGTGTGAAATGAGCGATGAGGTGAGCGACGAGGCGTGTATATGCGATTTATGGTGGCAAATAGGAGTGTTTATTGTGCAATCCCGGCACAATTTACTTGTAGGTCGTATTAAGGTGGTTACAAGTAGTAGCTACATCACGTTACAAGTGGATATATCGACTACATACAAGTATGTACATACTGGTCAGGAACAAGAATTTCAATATGCGATCAATTAAGTAATAAATAGGTGTTAGAGAGACATGCTAGGACGTTGTTTAAGCGTTCTGGGTCTGGGTGGTAGAAGGCTGAGAAGGCTTCCAGGTGAAGGAGTAGACACCAGACCAAGAGGTCCAGGAGAAGTCGACGTGATCAAATCGATCGAAAAAGGTGGAAGTGGCTCGAGAAGGCATGGTGAGTGTTTTGTGGGTGGTATGGGAGCTTGGTTGGGTGAATGAGTGCTCTAAAACCAGGTCGATCGTAAGATGAGAAGTGGGAAGGTGTATTTGATGCGGAAATAGGGCAGAGATGATAGTCTATATATACTTGATAGGAAATTCAGTCACACGATATCGAGGCTGATTGCTGCATATCACCGCATGGCACTTAAGGTTCGACGGATGTGCTATAATAGTCTAAAAAAACGTGGCTTGGTGGGAGGTGTGTTTTGAGGACGTTGTGATTGATTGATTCGAAAGTTGAAAATATCATCTGAGACTCAAAAATTTTGGTAACAATTTCATGTCTTTGGAATCAGAATCAACGCAGTCCTCATGGTTCTAGCAATCATTGTATTCTGACTCAGATACTAATGTATTTCATATTAGAGTCATTCTTGAGAAACCTAGTTTACCGTCTGCAATCAGTCACTACTTTTCATTTATCGCCATACATACATATCTTACATCAGTTGGGAGATAGTCACAAAGCTTATATTTAGTGGTTCAGGGTCCATGTCAAACCAAACTTGATCTAATGTTACAGTAGCGTTGCAACTAACGGCATCTATAACGTTGATTACATAAGCGGACCTTCAGGACAATTGGTGGTGAGCTGATGACACGGCGGGATTTCTCTCTCAAGCTGAGGAAATCCCATTATTGAACACGTTTGTTCTGCTTGTACAGTACATACGTCTAACCCCACTTGGACAGCACGTTACATTAATGCTGAAGGCATCTTTCTCACTCAGCTCAACGTCTTTTTTACGTGTTTTGAGTTCGGGTTAACGGAGTGGTGGGGGGTCGGGGTCTCCTGAGGTATTGGGTCTTATTGAGTAGATATATGGCACATGGACCATATCTATATTCGAATTTGTCTGGTGTATTCATATCTTTTGCTCGTTTTTTTCAAAACTAGTGCATTCTACGCTCTATAGATGACTCCCTCGCCCAACAATATCCCCCCCCCCACTGTGTTCACACCCGCCCTCCGCTGGTCCAGGATAGGCAATTTTGATCGCATCGGTTAGCAGGTGGGGAAAACCTCAGATGTGGTGGAGAAGGGGATGCTCTTCGACATGGGGAACAGGACAAGGAGAAGAGAGAGGCTCAAAGTAGACCAGTGATAGGTTGGCTAGGTCGTGGCTGCTGGTAAGACGTCATTGTTGCTTTTGAAATTGACACACCATGAATCTCAGAAACAAGTATGTAATGTATTTTTTGTGCAATCTACCGCCTTGTAGAGTGTTCCGTTAGACCTTGTTTCAGCTTCTTACAGATGCGTTTCACCTTCTGAAACTTCCACTGGACCTTGAGATTTCCATTAGACCCAAACATGTTAACACCTTACACGGTTGGCCTTCTCATAGAACCCTTTTCAACCCCACAAGCACCAGGAGGAAACAAGTCACCACGGTCAATAAGCGCAACTCGACCCTTACATTACCAACCGTTCATCTCAGCAGCTCTTCGCAATGCACCCGCAAGAACTATTGCTGGCACATCAAACCAGTCATGTGAAAATGCGACCGGCTTTAACAGTGTCCACACTGGATCGTTTTCGAATAGCGCAGTTAGAACAACACCGCTGAACGCTCCCAGTTCCTCAGCTACTGCTCCGATGACGGCCATTACGCTTCAATTTACCATACCCACGATGCCAGTCACCCCACCCTTCCCATATCAATCCTTTTAGCACGCTCCATTCCAGACTGACTATGGGTTGCAACTCTGTCCTGGCTCCTCAAGTAGCAGCCCCTCAAGCACAGCAACAGTGGCAGCCACATTGTCAAACCATCCACATTCTGTACCCGCGAGTGGAGCCCGCCAACAGCTCGTGCTGCCATACCATCCTCCACCCACATCACAGGTTCAACTCCCAGCTTTAGGCCGTACATTGCCACGTTCAGGTGCAAGCCGCGCCCGATCTCCCAGCCCTGCCGCCTATAGAACCGATTGCAGTGTTAGCACCGCCAGCTACTCGCTCCCCACCCGATTACCAACTCTACCACACATACACGAGCACCCCTAGAAATTCTCCTGCTACTGTTCTACTCCAATGTGACTATGATGAGCTGAGAGAGAAGACCGTTGAGCTTCGACGAGAATCGAGTCCCTCAACTCCCAGAAGCAGTATTGGTCGAGGGAGCAGATCTAATTTGGAAGAAACTGGCTGTTAATTTAACTCGAAGGACTCTGCACGTTCGAGGCTGCCCAGAAGGACTACTTTGATCGACTTGAAGAAACAGCTTACACTGAGAAAGCTGGAATAATGGGCCCTCTGACCCTTCTACTAAAGCCGGAAGAAGTGATAGCGACCATGACAACGGGGTGTACTATTGGTGAAGGAACGTGCTGGCGAACGCAGCTATGTAGTAGAGGTGTCTATGATGGGGCGGGACAAAGCTGACGAGTATTAGCTGCCAGTAGACTGGGTTTTGCCGAATAGATGTAGAAAGCGAATGAAAGACACCAACTGACCCAGAGAACAAGTATGTATAGTAGCACTTGTGGCTAAAGTTACTGTAAAGCCTTTGCAATGTCACTCTCTACTATGCAATGATAATTGATTCTCAAGAGAAACATAATTAAAGCTAGCGATAACCTCACTCCCACGAAACACAAGGGTCGAGTGCATACTTCAAAAAGTAACCTACCACCACATCATTTAAGATCAGGACAGGAAGAAGTAGACAAAAAATGACATCCGAGAGATTCGAACTCTCGCCTCCGGAGAGACCAGGATATTGATTCAGTTACCTGAACCTGGCGCCTTAGACCACTCGGCCAGAATGCCAAATCGTGCTTTTGTTTGGAAACAATTTTTGTTAAGATCACGACTGCTTAGTCATCATTGAATTATTAGAGAAAAAATAATAATAAAAAAAACAAAAAAACAGGACGCGTGAACAAGTAAACACGAATGTCATGCGCTTTTCTGAATAACCGAATCCGAATCAAAACTGCGGGTATAACATCGTTTTAGGGCTCAAGAAACAGAAATGGATTTCCTTAGAATAGGAAAAAAAAACATCTAAGCTTCGAGACCAAGTCATGAAAAGAAATAAACTGCTTCATCTAAAGATATAACGGGTGTGAAACCAGATTCTTCAGTTCTTCAAAAGAACTCCACTCAAAAAAATGTCAACTGAGGGATTCGAACCCTCGCCTCTTGCGAGATCCGAAAGCTAGATTTCTCTTGCTAAGTTTACACTTGAGTCGGACGCCTTAGACCACTCGGCCAAATTGACAGGATTCTGCAAAAAGAGAAGTAGTGGCTACTACTATCAAATGTCTGATTCTTTCAGCACACATCGCAAAGATTCAGAAGTGTATGATTTATTGAACGCCAATAACCCGGCATACTAGGTATATAGCTGTAATGAATCATTAGAATAAAAAAAAATTGGCGATTTTTGTTCAATTTCAACATATTATGGTACGCTGGCTCCATAGTAGTTGATTCCACTCATTTTTGCACCTCTTACATTTATACTTTTCATCAGAAGAGAGACATGACTTTTGAGTCAGATGTGGTCGAGTACGAAAACTTTCGATGCTTTATATGAAATTGTACCAAAAGATACATTAGAGTCAAATTATCAACCGCGTTGACACACAGGAGACGTCAACATATCAGAAAGAACAATATGACGTGATTATGAATTGTTAGTCTGCTCGTTACCCCACACAAGACGCCACTCCCAACTTTACCCGCAGTCCCGAACAACTTAAAGCAAGAGTTGAGTAATCATCTCAGAAATGGAGCAGCAATGGTACGACAGTGACTTCTTATTTTATTCGAAGTTTTTATATAAGTAATGCATCAATTGGACCTTTCCACTTGAGTTTGGCATTCTCTCTCGTCAGAATATCTATGATTTGCGAGGTTACGAGGGAGATCCGACATTGCATGAAGGCGCATGAGTCTATGTGAGCAGTGAGATTATAATAAACCATCCTTTGGCAACCAGTACCTCACTCACCCACCCCAACCGCAATTACCGACATTATGCTAGCAGTCGTCTCTGAAAATCACAAGCTCTATCTTCGAAATACGCCAAAGGCGAAGATTGCTGCTCCTAACGATATTCTCGTCAAGGTGGATTATGCCGCACAGAACCCCATTGATGTGATTCTTAATGACAACAAGATGTTGAAAGATGGCAAGATATCAGGAAATGACTTTGCAGGAACCGTTGTTGCCATTGGATCTAGTGTACGAGATCGAACGCTGGTGGGGAAACGAATCGCTTCCTTTGCTGATGGTCACAACAATGACTACCCTTCGGGTTCCTTTGCCGACTACGCCATTGCGAAAGATGGTATCTATACAGTGCTACCTGACTCAGTGAGTAGTGTCGAAGCCGCTACAATTCCTTTAGCATACGTTACTGCTGTCCACGGTCTTTACACCTCGGCTCGGCTCGATCTAGAAGGGAAACCAGCACAAACTATTCTCGTATGGGGAGGTAACTCGTCCGTGGGTAGATATGCACTCCAACTGGCCAAGCTCAATGGCCACCACGTTCTCACTACAGCCAACGGAGGCAATAACGAAGAGCTGATTAAACTCGGCGCGGACAAAGTGTACAACTACCGAGATACAGATGTGGTCGACAAGATCAAGGCTGATTATGGTCCCATCAAGTATATTTTCGACGCCATTGGAACAGCTTCTTCAGCTTCTGCATGTGCCAAATCTGCTGCTGATCCCAGTCACTACACCACTGTCAGACCGGATGCAGCACATACAAAAGAATTCCCGAGTTACATTACCGTTTCGACCATCATTGTGTACCAGGTGTTCTTCACAGATACGGAAGAGGCAGTTGTTGGAGATAAGTATCTAACGGATGCATATACGTGGCTGAAGAGCAAAAAGCTGGTCTGCAATGTTCCAAAACTTGTTGGAGGCTTGGACAAGATTGAGGAAGGATACCAGCTTCATCGAAAGTACCAGATCAAGGGAGTGAAACTCGTTTACCGAGTAGGTGAGGTGGGGCGACTCTAGCTACTAGCTATAGCATAGGTAGTCCCAACTATTCATCTGACATCATAATCTCTTGGTGTGCCTACAGATGAATTTTCACTGTGTCCAACATATGATCGTAATAGGGCGTAATTAGCCACTGAAAGTAAAACGGAGTCCAAATATCATACAAGTGTTCTGTAGCTACTTTAAGCACTCTTTGCCGCATTGTGGATAACATCACTGCGAGTGTCACGTAGGAGAAAGTGTCTGTTATCTCTGCTTATCTACACCTCTAACTATAGAACGAGCAAATAAGCGAAATCCTGAAGTGCCGTTTATAAAACCCCTTGTGTCTCCACATTTTAGTGTGTTTCGATGCAGTCTTGTGGAATGCCGTCAACCACCAGCTCAAACTACTGGCATGTTGAAGACAGATTAACTTCTTTGATAAAACTGAGTTGTTTTAAAGAACTAACAGTTTTCTCGTGATATTCAACGTCTTGGTCTGTCTGTTCTGGTTTCCCATCATAATCTCTTCACACATTTTCTGTGTTGGCTATCTACTGTAGCCTGTTCTACTTGCTTACTTCGAAGGGAGCAGTACAGTTTAGAATTTACTGTAATACCTTGTTTGAGGTGGCAAATTCTGTCGGATGTTTGGAACTGGAAGACCAAGGAGTAGCTCTAATGATTGTTAGTCACATAATCAAACTAATTATCGAATAGTTTCATGTTATACGAAAATTAGTACATCCTTCCACCACCCATCGCCACATGGAACAAGGTTTGCACTAATTTCACTTCCAACTTTATTTTCACGTGATATATACTCACGATGATGCGCATAATGCGCCATCGCAGTAACCACGAGTCACACTACCTACACGAAACACGACCCACACACCCACCCACAACCACAGCATGTGTCGATTTCTGATTTTCAAGGGTAAGTATGTCAACCGCTACTACACAAACACCCAAAACTAACCCAGGAAAGGAGCCTATTCTCTTGGCTCATCTACTGACCCGCCCAGCACATTCCATCATCAAGTGAGTATATGACAGAGACCGTGATTTCTTTAATCCGAGTATGAAAACTAACGCAGCCAATCCTTTGACAGTCGTCTGCGACTCGATATGACCCGGCCTATCAACGGGGATGGTTTTGGAGTCGGATATTACACCATGGATCGTGATCTGGAACTAGACGCTGGACCCTGCGTCTTCTGTGCGATCACTCCTGCCTGGAACAACACCAACCTCGCCCGACTCGCCAACAAGACTAAGAGTGACCTTGTCTTTGCCCACGTGAGAGCCTCTACTTCCGGTACTCTCTCCGAGACCAACTGCCACCCCTTTGCCTACCACAACTTCATGTTCATGCACAACGGAAACCTGAGTGGCTTCAGCAAAATCAAGACACGGCTTGTTCGGCTCATGGACGAGGAGTACTTCAACGTTATCGAGGGAGGAACCGATTCAGAGTGGGCCTTTGCTCTGTTCCTGGATACCCTGAACAAACTGGGCTGTGATCCTGCTCGAACTGATATCCACCACCCTCATGCCAAGATTCGAGAGGCTATCATCAAGACAATTGAGATCATCAAGGAGGTCACCAAGAGCGTTGGAGTCACCGATTCCGAGCCCAGCTTGCTCAACTTCGCCGTCACTGACGGAGAGACGGTTGTATGCTCTCGATACATCACTTCCAAAACAGAGGAGGCTGCCTCTTTGCATTTCTCTTCGGGATCAAGCTTCTTTGAGTATAAGCCTGGCCAGTACCGAATGGAGCGACACGACAAGTCGCAGAACATTATCATGGTTGCCTCTGAGCCCCTCACTTTTGAGAGAGGAGACTGGATCACCATCCCGACAAACACCATCGTCACACTAACCAACCAGAACGTGTTGCTGCATCCCGTTATTGACGAGTACTACGTGAAAGACCCCACTCATCGACGAAGCAGTGCTCTAGCTGAGTCCAAGGGTCTGGCTTCTCCTGTTCACATGATCAACAACCCTCCTGGGGTGCCTCCACTGGGAAGAGAGGGACGAGATATTGTTGAGGAGGTTATTGCATGAGCGGGAGGACGAAGAGAATATCTATACACCAAAATGTAAATAATAGAGATAATTTATATAGTAACCAATCAACTGTAGCTACTCTACTACAATGTATTATAACGATGTTCGTACCATCCTGTAGTATGTACGGGTTGTGCCGAGACGCTGAAATACAGACTAATTAACTCATATTAGGGACGCCACTAAAATATCATAACACACACCATTGAGTCATTGTGTTTAAAATATGCCACAGTCTACAGTACTTGTAGCTACTCGTACTGTCCCTAGCTACTAATGACTATAAATCTACCCACTGTAATACACAGCGTAAAATCACCCTTCTAGTCCAGGTTACTCTTAATATCTATTATATACACCTCAGAGTTGTTGTTTACTTCTGGTGGGCGAGCCAGTCGTTGTAGGAGCCGGGGTAGTTGGCTCGCAGCTGGTAGCCACAGGTCTCAGCGAGAGACTCGGCCTTTGCGGATCGGATACCAGCCTGGCAGTAGAAGACAAGCTCGTCGTTAATGTCGGGCTTGGGGAAACCAAAGGTTCCCTCAAACTCCTCGGCAGACAGAGACAGAGCTCCAGGAGTAGACTTGACGGGGATGTTGATGGCTCCGGGGATGTGGCCGGCCTTGAACTCATCGGGCTCTCGCACGTCCACGAGGATCACGTTGTCGTTGTCGCCCTTGAGAATGTTGTCAGACAGGGCCTTGATGTCGGGGTAGGTAAGTTCTCGGCATTCAGAAGACAGGGCGGAATATCGTCGCTTGAGCAGCTGAGTATGGAAGTTGTGGGGCACAGCGGCGAGGGCCACTCGGGCGGAGTTGAGCTGGGACACGGAGTGGACCTTTCGGGTGGTGATGGAGTTGACAATGGGTCGCAGAGCTCGGCCTCGGATTCCGAGGGCGTGCTTGGAAGCGTCTCGAGCAATCACTCGTCGAGCAACGGGTGTAATTCTTCGGAACATCATATAAAAAGTATGCGAAGTACGAACTTTGGTTGTGTAGTGTAGTGTTGCAAGATACGATATACTGGAAAATGCTTATCTTGAAGATTGCTGGGAGGAGGAGGAGGGGGACAGACCAGAGTTGGGCGGAGCTTTTTCGGGGTGTGTGGAGAGAGCCCCCAGGGGGTAAATGTGTTAATAAGAGTAAGTACAGGATCTAATAAAAGTGTCTAATTTACAGATCCCTACCACTTCGCCATACCCACGTAATACCCTTCTTCAAATCTGGCCAGTAGAGAGCTCCAGTCACGCCTGAGGTTATAAATATGCACACTATGTGCATGCTTTGTTGTGAGTGGTTTGTGGCGATCGACAGCTAGTTCTCATAGATGACGGGGGCAAAAAGTGCTGAAAACTATGCATAAGTGGCGATAACTGGTGTATTTTGCAGAGTATCACCTTCAATTAAGCCGCTGAAAAGATCATGTTCGAGCTTTGGACATTAATTGAGCTATAACTGACTACCATCCTCAATATTTTTACTTTTCGTCATGTAGTCATCAATCACCGCCTTAAAACCGCCGCACGTGTTAGGTTCAGTCATGTGATGCAAAGTTATCACTGTACGAGTACCGTACGTATAATTATCATACTGGTGCTCAGACCCAGGTCAGATAGGATGGTTGTACAGCGCGGGCATTCATACTCGCATATATACACTTGAGCTGGTTATAATGAGCGCACAAGTGGTTTAGACCACCAAAACTTTTCAGCTAGGAGGGCTGGTTTCACCTACCGCCGTTTCTTTAGTGGGCTTCGTGACAAACGCCACACTAATAATTGGGAGTGCGTCATTGCGCGTTTGGTCATAGGGGTGAAACTTCAACGTTGAAATTATCGTGGGTTTTTGCAGAAAACTGGGTTTCTGTAGTACGTCGGTGGAATACAGAATAAAACAGGGGTGCACGATTTCAATCTGTATAATTTCTTGTCCCCTCAGCTTTTGACAACGGCATATGAAATGCTGTCAATCTGGCAAAGCGGCTTTCATTATATTGCAACCTTTCTTCGTCGTAGCTCGCTATGAGTAGCTATTCTTACTAAGCTCTCACTTCACTACAGCACTACAATCACAATCGTCACAGTAACAATAACTTAGTATATACAAACGCCGTCTTCAGGATTTAGGCGTCAATCTTCTCAGCAATCTTGAGCTTCTGAGAGTGAGAATCAAACTGACGGCTGAGATCAACAAACTTGCCTAGCTTGGGGTCGACCTTGATCACGTGGCCGTCCTTGAACTTGACCTCGATCTTGTCCTCGCCGTTTCCGGCCTCGGGCAGAACCTTGGCAACAATTTTGGTTCCTCCAGTCTTAGCAGACAGAGGAATTGCTGCGAGAAAAGTTCGAGCGGTGTGAGCTGGGTTAGTGGATGCTGAAGAGTGATTTAGCACTCAGTAGTGCTCTTGGAATACAGAAATCACAGATATATAAACAGAGCCTCTTGTGACATTCTTTGAGGGGCTCCCTATCGTAATTCAGTCCCCATCGTCCATAATCTCACTCCAAACTCCGGATCCGTGCTCACGCCTTCGTGCCCGATAAGTAATAATCCGTAGAGAAGAGCGGTGAACCTGCCGCGGATTGACCGCCTCGTCGATAATACTCACCTCCAGCACTGCTGGCCTTGAACTGCACAGCAATATTGGTGAAATACTTGGTGATCATTTTCTGGTGTTCTTTCCTGCTGCACTGTCGCTCAAGTGAAAAATCGCTGACTGAAATTTTAAATTTCAGATCACGTGCAGAAGTATAATGGCACACGTTGTTTCTTATGTGGGTTAACTGATTGGGAAGTTGTAGTTGGGTATTTGTTATGAAAGTCGCCGCGATATTATTGCTTCTGTATAAAGTAGGCAATACGGTATTGTTAATGAGCGTATATTCAAGGTCCCACAGACCCAATGGTGCTATCAAATATTCGACATCGTTACAAATTTAAGCACACTGGAAGCTCTTGAAGACGCCGTGCCACTGAATCGCGTTGATGTCTCTACTCCCTACACCTAAACTTATCATCAAGCATACACCTCATGCACACTCAGCACAAGTCACAACCTCAGTCACGCCAACAACATGATCGAAAGTGACTCAGACACCAGCGACGACGCTCCCCAGGAGTACGTCTCGGCGTCTGCTAACATTCCTGCGCAATTTGAACTCGCCACAGCACATATGAAGGCTACTCCAGAGCCCCAACCAACCCAACAGCCCGATGCAGAGGCGTTGCATGATGATGACCCCTTAACGACCACACAGGACCATCCAACGGGCCCCTCGGCTACTGCGTCCGACACAATCGACTCCACACCGCAACCAATGGCTCCGGCCACTCTCTCAGCTTCAGCTGTGCTCCCTTCACTTCCTTCAGATACAGCTGCCCTCCTAGAGACGTTCTCACAACAGTTGCAGCAATCAAACGTCAAATGCCAGCTTAAATTCCGACCAATTGGAGGAGCCACGCCTTCTCTAAAGCAATCTGTGTACAAAATCGCCGAGACTCAGCAGTTTGGGGTTGTGGTCAAGTTTCTGAGAAAACAACTGAAGATCAAAAACTCCCAGAGCTCCCAGATATTCTGCTACATATCATCGTTTGCACCGGGACTAGATGAGACGGTAGGCTCGTTATACAACAGATACGCTATCAGAGGAGAACTCACTATTTCATACTGCTTGAACCAAGCCTTTGGCTGATTATTTATTCAATTGACGACTAATGTGAAAGACGACATTTGTTGTGCTTGTATAGAGACGAGAATGCCATTGGCTTCGTACTTTAACGACAAGCAGATCTATGGTTGCGTTCCATAGAGGGGTGTAATCTCAAACAATGATGCGACTGACCTCCGACAACCCGTATCAAACCGGCTGGATAGGAAGTGGCTTTTACCGCGCCCCCTATAAGTGATACTTTCTAACCGTGGTTTGAGACAACGCACAGCTGATGATAACTTGCAAAATTCCTTGTCTTCCTATCTCGTGTCTCTATCTCGCATGACTCGGAGTTCGGTTTGTAATCTTTGGTCAGACCATACATACCACAAACACTGTTCGTTCATTTGTTGGATCCCTACCGCTGCTACAACGAGATGAACCCATAACTCTCAAGATAAGTGAATAATATAACAATCCGAGATAAGTCGAGCCTGAATCCGTGTAGACTCGGTGATGTTCACACGCCCGTGGGTTGTAAACGCACCGGACGTTAAGCCAGCCTAGCCTATTATCATTTGTTTGAGCGGTCTTTACAGTCTCCACATCACCGCACTAACCCCTTTCAACCCCCCACCCCTCCCCACCTCTACCTCTACGTACATTCAACCCCTAAGCAGGTCCCTGTGATGTTATTTTCTTTTTCTTAGCGCGCCTAGATAACCAGTTTAGCTTAGAGCAGCTATGACGTTCAGCCGCATGTGTTAGTTTGTGGGGAGAACACAGCAAAGGGTTTCATTCGCCTAAATACATTTTATTGACATCTGTCATGCTCGGAAGGGGTCGTAAAGTTGTGATTCGAGTGGAGGGACATGTACCAATGGCGATATCTTTGATCTCACCTTACATCTATCGTACAGTGTACGGTGACGTGCTCGTTAAGCTAGTCTTCTATTGTAGCACCCCTTCTATGATCTCCCTTTCTTATCTGCGAAGCTAACGCTATCGTTCCTCGATGTTAAGGGACGAAACTTAACTGTGGAAATGCCATTATATATACTACTGTAGTGGTTCAATGAGTCTTAAACAGCTTCGGTGATCTCGATCTCTCCAACCACGCTATCCAGACAATGTCCAAACAGCCAAGAGATCCTCCAAAGGTCAATATACCACCACTCTCTAAACGATCTCCAGGATGCCCTTTACGTCCTACACAGAGCTCCCATGAGACAGACGTGCTCGGGGAACAGATTCAAGGTTCCCTGGTAAAAGCGTCCAAGGAGGACTACCCAGGGTATCTGAAGACTGGCCCTCAGTCTACTAGAAAGGAGTCTTTCTTCGATCCGGACTTCAAGGTCATCTCCATTGAAACTGGCGTTGTTGGTTCTAAAGATGACATATCACCCGGCTCTGAACCTCCTGGCACAGTCCTTCTGGAAACAACCCTCAACAATACCACTCGTCACCCAACTCCCTCTTCAGACCCCAATGATCCACTCAACTGGAAACCATGGAGAAAGGCGCTGAACTTCTTCCTCGTTCTGTTCTTCACGGTTGTGGCTTTCTCATGCAATTGTGTGGCTACAGCGTTCTGGGGACAACTCAACACAGAACTAGGCTTCTCCTTTGATGAGCTGAACAACGGGTTTGCTCTGGGCATCGGAGGTCTTGGAATCGGGTGTCCATTGTTTGTGCCTATCGCTGTAAAGTTCGGAAAGAGACCAGTTTACCTAGTCGCCACGATTCTTGTGATCGTTGCCACCTTCTGGCAGGCAAGGATGAAGTACCTTCACGATTACTACGCTGCTTCTTTTCTCGAAGGACTGGCTACGTCGCTCTGTGAAGCCATGATTCAGATGACTATTGCTGATCTGTACTTTGTTCATCAGAGAGGAACCATGAATGGCATCTTCATGATCATCATTGCCATCTCCAACTTCCTGTCCCTGGTTCCCGCAGGCTATATTGCTACCAACATAAACTGGAACACCTGCTTCTGGATCTTGGGAGGTCTAGGGAGTGGTTTCTTGATAGTTTCCGTATTCTGCTTCGAAGAGACCAAATTTGAGCGAGCAGAGGATGATCCAAGAGATATACATGAACTCCATCCACCTCAAGGCAAGATGAAGTGGCAACTAAGACCTTACACTATCACTACTGGGTCATGGGGTGACTTCTTCAAGACATTCTACACACCTTTTGTCGTTTTAATCTCGTTTCCGATTGTTCTCTTTGTAACCTTGCACTACACATTCATGCTCACCTGGCTGGCAATGTGTGCTACCACTCTTGCAAACTCGTTCACTCAACCTCCCTATGAGTTCTCCCCAGAAGCAATTGGAAACATGAACATAGCTCCATTTATTGGTCTGTTAATTGGCTCTTTCTATGGAGGCTGGCTTAATGACAAAAGCATGTTGTATCTCACCAAGCGTAACCATGGAGTCTATGAACCAGAGATGAGACTCTATATGCTCATTCCCATGTGCCTCATAATGACCGCCGGCGTATTCATGTTTGGGTTGTCTATTGCCACTGGAACACATTGGGCAGTTCCAATGGTCGGACTGGGTGTTTTTGCAGCTGGTTTTGGGGCTAATGGAAGCATCACACTCACTTACCTCATTGACTGTTACAGGGATATGATTTCTGATGCCTTCATTGGTATTGTTGTGGTCAGAAACATCATGTCTATGGTTGTTACTTTCTGTCTTTCACCTTGGATTGATTTGAATGGTCTCAGAAACGTCTTCATAATCGCTGGTTGTCTATCTCTCGTTCCACTAGTTGTAACACCGTTCATGATCAAGTATGGAAAGCATCTGAGACGCCTGAGTGCAGATAAATACAACAAGAATAAGGGGGGTATTTAGTATTTATTGATTAAATTAAATTATTCGTATCAATTTCAAACTACATTTGATAATTGGTTGATGTCGAAGTCCGTATTCCACGTTCGCGATCATGACAGGACAGGTTTGCTCAAGCATGTCTCATCATGTAATGATACGGACCTTTGGAGCGTTGTAACTGATTACGTGATTACATATGTCTCATGTGCATAGTATCTATGATCTCTTATCACTGGTATCTTTCGAATGATACCAAAAACATATCCACTGACTTCGTGGTTCTCTATTTTCAGGTTTTGTTTCCTCATTTAATTCTATAATTATTAATTATTTTTTATTCTAATGATTAAAAGTTGTTGTTTTTTTTTATTCTAGCGTCACGTGATCAATTACTGGGGGTTATAATGATTTAACGCTCCCGAGCCTCACCAGGCAATTTGTCCGAGTGGTTAAGGAGTTTGACTTGAATTGAACTATTCTAGTTATCAAATGCGGTTTCCGCGCGTAGGTTCGAGTCCTGCAATTGTCGATATGTTTTTGGAGTTGTTGGAAACTTCTTTTTTTGGTGTTTATCGTACGTACAGTACAGTACATGCTGTACATGACAATGCAGCCAATTCTTCTATTTTGATACAGCTATTGTTGCTCATGTGTTGATAGGCACTTTTCTCCCGACAGGCAAACATCTCTTCTTCATTAGATTTTCCTTACGATACTGTAATCACAACATGTGTGCAAGTGTCAGAGTGCAACTACAAGTATCGTATGTCTGGGGAGAAGTACTGTAGGGACTCTGGTTTATGACCAATATCATTATACACGCCCATCTGAGCCACTAGATTCTTTTTTATGCTACTTCAGGTTTATAAACAATGTTATACCCGCACATACGATTCGGATTCGGTTGTTCAGAAGAGCGCATGACAATTGTGCTCGCGTGTTCGCGTTTTTTTCCTGTTCCTTCTCTTGATCGGATAAATATATAAACAATCAAGCAAAGCTAAATATTTATTTTTTTTACTCTAGGGAAATATATATATATTATTTTTTGAACATTTTTCTTTTCAAATACTCAAAACGCAGCCCGGAATCTCACTGGTAGAGGACGTGGCGTAATGGTAGCGCATTGGATTTCGGTTCTTCAGAACGACGTCCTCCAAAGGCTGCGGGTTCGAGTCCTGTCGTCCTCTTCAATTTTTGCCTGCCAGTGTATTTCTGGCTAGTATTTCTTCTCTTTTTTTGATCCTCGTGATGGGAGACATGCAGAAAGGTGTAAGAGTTCCTGCATGAAGATGCAACCAGCTGGGTAAGATATTTGGGATGCGCATGGCACCTGAAGCAGTTATTGCACAGAGGGGAAGACGAAACGTCTTTATTTGTGCAAGTACTTGTACAGTTGAATTTGTATATACCCTTAAGCATTATCTCACTAGACATACACCTGTCCTTGTACTTTTACACTGTAGTATGGTCTCGAATCCCTCAGCTTCAACACCGGATCTAAGTTTAGCTGATTCTTTATCAATGATTTTTTTTTTTCTGCATATACATTCATTTAATTATAACTTTGCTGTGAAAGAATAACCTTTGAGATGAATGTACGCTTACAATGAGAATACGACACAACTCAGGCACCCTAACGCACTCTTAAGTAGAATGATTAAATTGCATAGAATGACAACAATCGACGACCATTAAGAGCTACCATAAGCAAAGTGTTTCTGATTAATAGTGAGCTAACTATGGATAATGTGTCTGTTTGATTGACCTCGATTGTGTAGCTGGGGTGACATCCTCAGATGCCTGCCTGAGACACTTGATGTCTGACACCTGCAGCTACTTGAGATGAAGTGCTAATACACTGGAGATAATCGTTGTAGTACCCCCATAACTTCTCATACACACCAGATTCCCCTCAATTGCCTGGAACAATGATACCAGTAAAATCACCGTAAATGCCGTCAATACAGGATGATTTGATGCTATTGTGGACAACAAGTTCCACAAGCTACCGAGTTGGTGCCACTATTGCTACCTCACCAGCGAAATTTACCTCGAGTTCGTCGATGCCGTCCACAAGTCCCGAAATAAGCTGGCAAATGTCAAAGATCTCCTTACTTGGAAGAAGAGCAAAGTTGGTGCGATTTCGATGGTCAGATCATAACGGACAACGTCCCATGTTTCCCACCTCCAATCTCGATTCCTGTGTTCTTTATAGTTGAGGAGAGGACTTAGGAGGTCTCAACGATCTCGGAGACATTAGACATTTTCCTGAAAACACATGTCGTACCTCGAGCGAGCCAACTACATTAACCCCCAAAAACCCCCCACACATCGCATGCCCCTAAGATGAAAGCCTAACCCACGTTGTAGAAACCCACTTTTGCCACCCAACTTTGCACTCCACTTGGTTGCCAGCTGCAAGACCCGAAATAATATATAATACGCTCCTTGCAGATAGCAGATAGAGCCCACCCTGGAGATCAGCCGCTCCAATTATGCTGTGAATTTACCTCCAGTGAAACCAGCCTATTTTAGAACGATATTTTGAATCGTTCACACGACAGGGGTCACTTTCATACGACTCGACGTGCAATTCGCGTTATAGCATCCTCATACCCAGCCTGGCAGGTTTATGATGTCTTACAAGCATCTCCAATAAAAGAGAAGGTCTCAGTTACGCACTGAACTTGCAGCTTTCATGCTGTTTCTACCATTGTCCCAATTGAACTGAGTATGTATTGAAAAATTAGGTTGAGATAATGTCGTCATTTGAGAGGTTTCGAAGGGCACTACAGATTGTCAGACACTGGCCGTGCTGAAATCAATCGATGATGTGAATCAAGCATACTGAATTGAGCAGACTACCCTTTTCAAAATACATCCATCACCTCTCCTCCACCAATGACACCCGTTCAAAACCTACAAGGTTCAGTGGCGACTTTAGTTCCATGAGATATAAACCCTTGCAATCCACGGAAGCTACTATACTCACTCCACTCAGTCTCTTACGCAACGACCATGACTCGATCCAAGTTCACCGAATACAAACAAGTGCTGCGAAACAGCTGCGTGGGCAAGCCCCAATACACCGAGAAGGATTACCCTGATCTCGACGGAAAGAACTTTCTTGTCACTGGAGCCACTGGAGGAGTTGGTCTGGAGGCCACCAAGCTGCTGCTAGAGAAGAAGAGCCATGTAATCATGGTTGGCCGATCCAAAACAAAGTCTCAGTCTACCCTTGACGAGCTCCAGAAGACATACTCCCACGGTACCTTTGATTTCGTCGAGGCTGATCTGTCTGACCTGACCACTGTGGAGCGAGCCGGAGAGTACATTCGAAGTAAGTACACCACTTTGGACGGTGCCATTCTCAACGCTGGAGTCATGGCTCCCCCCTATAGCCTCACTCCCCAGGGCCACGAGTCTCAATGGGGTATCAATGTGGTTGCCCATTTTCTGCTGTCCAAGTATATCTCTCCTGCTCTGATCTCGGCCGCCCAGACAGCCCCCAAGGACACCGTGCGACTTGTCTGGGTGTCTTCTTCTGTCGTTGCCATGAGTCCTTATGAAGGAGGTATCAAGTTTGACGATATCAACCACTCTAAGGTCAAGAACCCTTCTCCCTGGACCCTTTACTCCCAGTCCAAGATTGGAGATGCTTACCTGGCTTACCTGTGGTCGAAACACCATCCCGATTCTGGCGTCCTGTCCGTCTCTCTGGACCCCGGTAACCTGGCCTCTGATCTGTCCAGACATACTTCTTGGCTCTCCAGCATTAAGAACTACGTGCTGTATCCTCCCAAGTATGGCGCCTACACCGAGCTGTCTGCTCTGCTGAACCCCTCCGTCAAGAATAACGAGCATCTCATTCCCTGGGGTATTGAGGGACACCTTAGACAGGATGTCGACGATGGACGACGTGGAAAGGACGGAGAAGAGCTCTGGCAGGGTCTCAACAAGGATGTCGAGGGCTTCTTTAAGGAGGAGTAACAGAAGGATGTACCTGTACTACGAGTAACTTATATCACTATAAAGAGAATCCATATGTATTATTTCAGTGTGTATATTCAACATTTTTTTACTCTATCTCATTTTCGTACACATGGCGAGTTTTTTTACTTCCAGTGACCTGAGATTTGGATATGTGTTCACCCCGGCCTTACTGTTGGCCTCCGAACTTGTTTCTCCACTCCTCAATCTGCTTCTCGTCAATTCGCTTGAACAGGTAAGCAGCCTTGCCAATGTGATGGCCACCAAGGATGTCGATGGTGAACTCGTCGGGAATTCGTCGAGCGGGTGCGTTAAGCTGCTTGTCGATGGATTCGGCAGTCTCGGGCATGAAGGGAGCAATGACGGCAGAGACAAGGTGGATCAGGTTAAGAGCCACACCCACAACGGCAGCAGACTTGGCAGGGTGGTCGGCAAACAGAGAGTTGTCGAGTTTATTATCCTGCAGGAACTGGTTACCTCGAGAAGAGATGGCCATAGCGGTGTCCTGGGCGGACTTGAGCTTGGTGTTCTCCATGAGGGTGTTGTACTTGGTCAGCAGACCGTCAACGTCAGCCTTGAGAAGAGTGAAGGTGTCGCCGAGCTCAGAAGTAGAGAAGTCGGCAACGACACCGTTGTATTTGGCGTTGGAGAACTTGATGACTCGGTTGACAAAGTTTCCGAGGTTGGCAAGCAGCTCGCTGTTGTTTCGAGCCACGAAGTCGTCCCAGGAAAACTGGGTGTCGGAGGACTCAGGTCGAGCAGACAGCAGGTAGTATCGCCAGACGGAAGGAGAGATACCAGTGTCCTGGGCGTTGTTTCCGAACACACCGACTCCTCGAGACTTAGAGAACTTGCCTCCCTCGTACTGCAAGTACTCGGTGGTGGACAGATGGTGGAGCTTGGTCCAGGGCTGCTTGGTTCCGAGCAGAGTGGCAGGGAAAATGACAGTGTGGAAGGGGACGTTATCCTTGCCCATGAACTGGTAAAGATCAACATTCTCCGGGTTGTTCCACCAGGCCTTCCAGTTCTCGGGGGAGTAGTTGGCGGTGATCGAGACGTACCCAATAGTAGCGTCGAACCAGACATAGAGGACCTTGTTCTTGAAGCCCTCCAGAGGCACGGGGGTACCCCAAACCAGGTCTCGTGTGATACATCGTGGGTGCAGCTCATTGTTGAGCCAGCCGTCAGTGATGGTTCGAGAGTTCTTGGACCAGTCTCCCTTCTCGGCGGACTCTTGGGCCCACTCAACAGTCTCCTTTTGCAGCTTGTCGAGAGACAAGAAGATGTGCTCCGAGTCTCGAACCTCGGGGGAAGAGCCATCAAGCTTACATCGGGGCTTGATGAGCTCAAAGGGGTTGAGCAGAGTGCCGCAACCATCACACTGGTCTCCTCGGGCGTCCTCGTAACCACACTTAGGGCAGATACCCTCGACGAATCGGTCGGCAAGGAAGGCGTTATGCTGAGTGCAGTAAAGCTGGGTCATCTTCTGGGCCTCGAGGTATCCGTTGTCATGCAGCTTCATGAAAATATCCTGAGCAATCTCGGTCTGCTTGTCAGTGGTGGTCCGGCCAAAGTAGTCGAAGCCGATCTGGAACCAGTCGTAGACATCCTTGTGAATCTTGTGATACTTGTCACACAGCTCCTTAGGGGTCACCTTCTCTTCCAGGGCCTTGGTCTCGGTGGCAGTTCCGTACTCATCAGTACCACAGATGAAAAGGGCGTTGTAATTTCGGCCCTTGCAGTATCGGGAGTAGACATCGGCCGACAGAACGGATCCGATAATGTTACCAAGATGGGGCACATTGTTGACGTAGGGCAGAGCAGAGGTGATGAGGATGTTTCGCTGGCCGGGGACAGGCTTAATGACCTCGCTGCTGGACTTCTTGGCGTCGAAGGACTCGGACAGGTTCTGCTCGCCGGTGTTGAGAGGCAGATCAACGGGAGCAGCCACGGCCTTCTTGGCCTTCTTGACTTTGACTCGAGTGATTGCCTGGGCCAGAGTCTCGTTGGAAGCAAGCCGCTCGTCAACCCATTTTCCAGCCTCACCGGACTTTTCGTTAAGGGCAAATAGAGAGCCGAAAACAATAATCTCCTCGGCAGATCCAGACGTGATGGTGGACAGCTTGAGAATAGACTCATCCAGAGACGTCTGGGCCTGGCCAGTCAGAAGCCGGTAGATAGTCTCCTGCTCGTACTTGAGCAGGTTAGATTCAACGGTCTCCTTGGCGCCAGCAAGGTATCGAACAACTGAGTTGGGCTCGATGAGGTTGGTGGAGCCAACCTCGAGGAAGGGGACGGTGATGTTGTCATCCTCAACGATAGGGGTTTTGGGAGCAAATTTGAGAACCGCAGCGACGGTCTTGACCACGCCGGAAACGCCAACAGGGCCTCCAGCCTGGGTGGGAATGTGCAGTTTGGACATTTGTGTGTTTGAAGATGTGTGAAATGTGTGGGAGATGAAATTTTGGAGTCATATTAGAGTTTCGATTAGGGTTGGGGGTTGTGTGAAAAATGGAGGTGGAACGGGTGTGAAAGAAGGGTAATAGGGGCCAATATCTTTTCAACATGAACGGGAGAACGTTTCTACTGCCACGAAAAACGTCTATACTGTAGCAACATGACTTCTTTGCATTCTTCCACAGTATTTATCGCCTCACCCAACTCTCCCTCTCCATGACTGATAGATACAGTTAAGGCTCTTGGTGGGACCAGAAGGCAACCACTACTGAGGGATTTGGCAGCGAGCGGAAGTCCTCGGAGGCAAGGTAGGTGGTTAGAAGACGGACTGGAGAAGTGTTTCATGTTCTCTTTTCTTCCCAAAATCAGACCCTCTCGCAGTATCAATGTACCTCCGAGTCCCTCAATGTGATGTGCCTGCAGCCACTTAGTTTAAGTTATACGGGTGAAGTGGAGATAAATAGATGGCCGCCATGGCTCATGTCACATGTCTGGTGCAGTCGGTGGAGTTCAAGCGGGGGTAATAGCGCCTACCGGGTGGTATCGTGCTACTTGCTTCGGCATTATGGGGGATCCTTTGAGACATTTTGAGTTCTCCATTTCCTGTAGGTTGTGGTTGTGGCTTGATCGTGTGACAAAGTAGCTGAGATAAGAAACTAGCTGTTGGAATATAACCCTTAGTCGGCGAGTATCTAACAAGTCAGGTTGATTGGTTTGTTCACAGACATTTTTCAGGGAAAGACATTTTTCAGGGAAATGAGCGCGTGTGAATTCCGACAAACCACAAGTTCTTTCTCCGGGCATGTGGGCCCATTGGTGTCGCCATAATTGGGTACTTCTCTGTATCTCAGAATGGGTATCTGGTCGGTGAAGTGTCATGTATCAAGATGTGACGTTCCGGATGACACTGCTATCTTCATATACAAGTACGGTCAAAAAAGAAGCGTCTATACTTGTAGCTGCGCTCTCTTTCCACTGCTTAGTTGTCGCAACAGAGTTTTCAGCCAGGAACCTTGGTGGAGAGCTGGGGTAATTTGCGGACCATGTATCTCGTCAATTGCCGGGGTTCTGATACTATGATAGTATTATTATCGCCTTGACCATAGCATGGATTGTGGTTTCTTTCCCCACTCAATCAATTGGTTGCGTAATGATGTATGCTGAGATGTGAGGTGAAGGAAGGGTAAGGTAAGAGGGCAAGTCAACTTGCAGAGCACAACACTTATCATCGCGAACATTTGACATATTCGAGAGGTATTTTTGAATAGGAAGGTATTACCAAACCAATATATAATGGAAGGATTGATCTGAGAGTTTCAGATAAAAAAACATGAATCCAGGCGAACCACACAGCACAGTCCCAGGTACGGTACAAGAATGTACAGTACATCCTGTACTCGTACTGTACTCGTGGGAGTACGATACTGTACCTACAGTATGTACAGTACATACTAAACACGTGGAAGATTAGGAAGAGCACCTAATGGAGGACCACACACAGCCACTCATTGGCAATATTATTGCCCTGACGCTCTCTCAATGCTGTTCATGCCCCCGACATTTAATCTTTTCTCTGCAAGTCTCCAGACCTGCGCGGCGTCGGGTCTGGTTGAATAGGCAGTCTTACATACAGTAATACAATGATGGTGCCTACGACGCCACGACAGCTGCTACATTCAACTTACGAGCATCCCACAATTACCGTCACGGTTCGTTTACGGGTCAACGACGCACATTCCATCTTCGTGCGAGTTTACACTGAAATCGGTCCAGCATCACAATCGCTACTGGTCATTCTTGCGTATGTACTGTACCGGAACTGTACATACTGTATCACATTTATACATGGATCGAGAACGAACGAATGAGTCCATTCCCAGTGTTCCATCTACTTATACTTGTACTTGTACGATGTGCAAATGCTTATAGCCACTTCCCACCCACGCATGGCACTTATGTCGCACACAGTGATGTCAATCCAATTCAGCCTCGGCTCAATCCGTGCTCACAGCAAGCCCAGTCGCTGGTTGAAACCCACATCTTGCACATACCAGATCTACATCCGCGCATGCACCGCATTCGGATCGATATTTTACAGGTTCTCATGGCTGCAAAACGCGTCTTTTTATGCTACCCGTGAAGTGTCTCAGATTTGATGATCTCGCATGTTAGGATTTAATAATCGCGAGGAGCCAAACAGGGGGTAGCTTCTGGGTTGATGTTGATGCAAAAAGTAAACAGGAAAACAGCCGAGCAGCCGAAAGGAATTTGGCAACAGGATCTACAAGTAGCCACGTTACTTCTTTCAGCAGACAAGTTGCACCTTGTATCTTCCTCTGGCACACCCCTGCTTCAAGGTTTGAGACGAATCTAAGCGAGCAACTTTTATGCACTCTGTTGTAACTTAATGGGTTTGGCGACGTGACTTTTTTAACGTGACCCAAGGGTGAACCTGTAACACTGGCACAGAAGAACGAGTATGGTGCACCGAACACAAGAGCAAACATTACAGTAGTACTGTACAGTACTTGTACGTACTATTTGTTGTTGTAGACATGTGAACCCCGCCGAGCAGTTCAAAGGTTAGTAGTGACTCCACCGACCTTCGTGAAGCTACAAGATATGAATTACTGTAGACCATAAAACCACTGACTGAATCAGAAATGCTGTAGGTCCGAGACCACGATACGCACAGCATATTACATCCTCAATCAGATCATTGCGCAATATCGATAAATTATCCTCTGAACCGTTGAATACTACGATTATCGAGTCAACTGTAAGACACATTTACAGTACTTACAGTTGACAGACACATCCCAACACACTGGTACTGTAGACGACCATCTAAATTAATGCTTAAATTACTGCTATATGGCGTGTCTTCGTTCTGTCTACCACCCAAAAAGCCCCGCAGCAGCAGTCTTCTTGTGCTCTGTCCCTCCACTGTTCTTTCTCAGATTTAGCGGCTTGAGCCCTCCCTTCTGAGATTGAGAAGAGCTCTTTCGGGACGCTGTCGGGCTACAGACATCTCCATCTTCACCATTGGCGCTGGTAGAAACAGACACATCCGACTTCAGCGACATGCAATCTTCGGCTGTAGAAGTGGAGGGGGCCGCAGAGTTTGCTGCGGAATTGGTCTCAACGCCATCAATACCGAGAGAAACGTTCCGGGCAGGGGCTCCTCCGCTGGAAACCTTCCGGCCGCCCTTGAACAATGCAGAAGACCACAAATTCGTGCTCAGTGGGTTGTAGGAAGACGTGCTATCACGCGAATGAATACTGGCGTTGTCGTTGGCTCCAGACCCACCGCCTCGTCGCTCGCCTCGCTTGGCTACACGCAGAGAGTAGTCTTCAAGGGCCGACCCGGGTCCACCACGGCTGGAAACTCGTCGAGAAAACGCTCCGACCTTGGCAGCATCGATTTTTGTGCTCTTCTGCACACCATCCCGGAAATCCTCGTACTCCAGTAGCCGGTTAAGCATTCTCTCGACGTACGAAACGAGACCTTCGTTGGTGGCATACAGAGATCGGTACTCGAGTCGCATCTTGGCTAGCTCCTTGCGAATCTTCTCGTACTCGGTCACAGAGACAGTCGACTCTGTGTAAGCAGGCTCGTCTTCGTCATCACCGATCTTCTCATTAGCCTGATTATTGCTCTGGTCAACAACACACTCGTTCTCCTCCTCATCCTCCTCGCTCTCATCCTCCTCCGCTAGAGCCATTTCCAGCTCGTTGCTAAGACTTAGACCGCCGTTGATCATCTTCTCGGCCACAAGCATCTGCAGCTTTTCGTTTTCCTCGACCAGTCCGTTGTTGATCTCCTTGAGAGATCGCATCTCCTCGTCGAAAGCAGTGGCCTTGGAAGCAAAGTCCAGTCCTATCTGCTCGGAAGAAGTCTCAAGCACTGTGATGGACTGCTTGAGCCGCTCAACGGTCTTCTGAAGAGCCGTCTCCCGAGCATGGGCCGCCTGGGCCGCAGCTTCTGCTTCCTTCTTGGCAGCTTCTGCCATACTGGCCTGAGAGTTGCTTGCATTGGCAGACTCTCGCTCCTGGTACTCGCCGAGCTCCACATCCTTGGCCTTGAGTTTCTTGTTGAGATGTGAGATGGTCTCCTCGAGTTCGCTCTGCTTGATGAACAGCTGGTGCTTCTCTGTAATAAATAGTTGCTGTTCACCCAGCAGACTCTCCTCGGCATTGCGTCGATGTTCACAAGCTCGCTTGTACTGCTGTTCCAATTCCTCTACCCGCAAGTCTCGAGCTGTGATGGTTGCCTCGTTGTGGACCTGGGCGTCCTGTAACTTTTCGCATTTGGCTCGAAGCTCGACCACCTGGCGCTGGATCCTGTCGCTTTCTGTTCGCTCAATCTCCAGCTGCTCGGCCAAGGCCTGATATGACGTGGAAGGTAGCGATGTGCTGTTCCAGCCATTGGAGCACAAGGTGTACCCCTGAGGCGAGTAGTTGGGAGAGTAAGTCTGCGGCGAGTGGGTGCCTGACGATTTGCGAGTGCCCGAGGGTCGCTTTCTGGGAGGTGTGTTCTCGTTCCCCGGGGCCGCGGGGATGTTTTGTGGCAACGACATTGTGTTGTGTGCACCTTAGAATGAAACAGATGAGCTGTCCTGAGTTTGGTCTATGGAATGAGCTCCTTGTAGATGTCGTATGTGGCCTGAACTCGTGGTTTATTCGGAGGTGTTGTGTAATGGTTGTGTATTTGTCGGATGAAGCTGAGGCTTAGTGTCGGTTTCTGTGACAGAGACCTCAGTCGTGCTGCGGTAGTGGAAGAAGTGTCCTGCAAGCGGTTGTGGATGTGATGCTGAATATGCCAGAGAATGCAGTCTATGCAGAGATTGGCGAGGTAGGGTAGAGTGGAGCACGGGTCTGTGAATGTGTGGTGGACTTCCCCTCTGTATCACTGGTGCGTTTGCGTATGTGTGGGTGTCGTGAGTATGTTCCAATAGTGGTGTGGAGAAAGTGGTACAATAGCTGGTTGGGTCACCTTTATCTCAGACACTATAATCTACGACTTACAACCAACACGCATGCACGCACCAAACAGTCTAAGGGAAGGTCCTTGTTGGCCAACGTTAAGGTTCTGGCAACTCTATGTATGGACTGGAATGTTAATGCGCGTAGGTGGTTTGGGTATCGCAGCGATGGGGGATGAATGACAGAGCCGCTTTGCGGCCATAATTGTGTGCGTGCGCACAAGCTGCCTTGAAATATCCATTATTCTCATTTCTACGTCGCCTGTGGCTCTCGTGACTACTCCGAACACCCCCTTCATCTCCGGTAATACGCCCCTGCACCTTCCTAATCCTCTGACCTACCGGCCACAATGGTCGTGAACGGTGGCACTATGCATAATGACATGACAGGGCAAATCGCAAAAAATATTGGGGGTGTGGACAATAGAACACGGAGGGCTAATAGCACAAAACAGAGAGCTATAGAAACACACGGCGGGGCCCACAGACTGCTTCTGCTACAGCTCCAGCCACTGAGACTCTGTACTGCCCCTACCTATACAGTGCACCCCTGTCTGGGGGGATTGTGAGACACCTTGAGAAACGGTTTTCCTTGCCACTGTAGGCGAGCATCCTCTCCGCTCCTAGGCAACCGTCATATGCCTGCCAGACCCCTAATCCCAAAACAGCAATTGTAGGTCCATTCCAGGCCATCTAAGGCCTCACGATATATTATTATTTGTCCAAACGAATTTTCGCTGTATCATGTGTGGAGTCTATCGAATTATGAAACGAGAAACGAACAACAGGGACTGGAAAAAGTAACGCCGAGTCTCATCATGGGACGAAAAAAGGGTAAAAAGCCGCGATGAGAACGAACACGAAAATGGCATCCTAGAAAAATAATTGAGCGCTCAGCTGAGCAGCCCATATATACCGAGAGCCGTTGACAATAACAGCGGCATTTATATGTGCACCTGTAGTACGGTAACCATGGAAACTGGGCATAACAAGCACACCGTTTCCAAGGCGACATGGAAAGCGATTAGGTTACTTGAAGCCTTACTGTGAAATTAGTTCGGGGGGATATTACCCATTTAATGAGATACAGTAACTCCAGAAAATGACACGAGCAGTTAAGAGTATAATGAAACTACCTCCTCAGAAACCGAGAAAAAAGAAATTGCACACCCAGTGGTAGCAATATCTCGTTCTTCTGTACAAGTAACTCGTCTCGTCTAGTCCACGCTCTTAATACATGTCTACCTCATCTACCAACGTGTACACTGGCCAACACGTGCCGAATCTCGTATCAGTTTGAGTCTATGTATAGCATATAACCGAGAGACAATGGGATCTGGCATATCAAAAGAAAGGCTGTTTATTGGTATCAAATAACGGACGTGTATACAATCAAAACAAACACAATTCTCGACCATCCGGTTCGGGCATAAAAACAAACCTGCGTGCACATGAAAAGTCCAACTCCTCCGCGTTCGACGTGTCTGCATCTCAACAGTGTCGATCATTGTTATTGTCAAGCCTTGATTGTTGATGCTGATCCGATGGGCTAGTTCGGTTGACACTCGAGGCGCTACTCAATCCGTACTTGTACCACATGGGACAAATCTTGTCTCCGGAAGAGGGGTAGAGTAGATAGCTTGAACCAATGGAGCTACTGTATGTGATGCACTCAAATTTCTGGCATTGCGCTCAGTTTTCGCACCTTTTCGGTTGGCTACAAATGATTCTAGAACCAACATTGGTGTTCTGTTGATGTTTTCAAAAGGCTATTGTGCATATGGATGGAGGTTGAGGTGAGACGTCTTGTGCAAGTAGGCACGGGTTTGTGGTCGAAATGAGGAAATACTATTGACAATTAAGATTGGTAAAATCAATTCTGCAAATTCGCAACATCCTTCGTCTCTCCAATGTCGTTATATCCCCTTCACAATAGTGGCCGAGGCTGAGCACACGTGAATAGGTTAAATAACGTTCAGGTACTTCATCTCCAATACGCATTATGGACAACAACAAAACTGAGATTGCAAGCAGATTAATCTGCAATCAGCCAAGCTGACGTGTTGTACAAAACAGTCGGGTGTGCGAGAGATCTGTTGTGATGTATATGACGTATAACGAATAATAATGACCGCAATCTTGATGTCGACGGAGTAACTATAGTGTAGATGCGATGGTCGTAAATTGTGGCCAAGGGTCATGGCGCTCCGTATTAATATAATAAAACCTCAAATGTGTCCAGAAAATGAAGCGACCACAATGTTACACATTGAACCCGCACCACGATCCAACATTCCGTGGTAACTACTCAATATAGTGGGCTGCGGTGTACTAAAAAGTCCGATATTGGTTCATATTGACAGCTAGTGTGCGATTGCGGGGAACCAATGGTACAATCAATTATGTGAAAAATACATTATTAGCTGACCACGATGGTGCAAGTCAATTGGCTTACTACTGTACTTGTACTGTACCAACTGGTGTTCGTAAGATCTGAGCCTTTCTAATCATGAACAACTCAATATATTGAAGGATCCCCCAGGACGAGCTGATTCCGTCTATACCACAACAGCCTTCAATCTTGGGGTGGCAGCTATCATTACTGTAGTGCTTACATGGTAAAAACAGTTGATTAGGGTGTATTCTTGAAATATAATCCATTCATCTCAAGATAATCGTTCATTGTCTACGCCTGTCATTAGGAGCACACTTGCAGCACTAACAACTACAAGTAGCTGATCAGGTGGTGGGTAGACTCTGTTTAATATAGTGTGCTCAGATGGTGGTTTCGACAGTTTGGAGCCGAAACGATGACATAATTCTTTTGACTATGAGTTTTTGAACTTATCTTCGCTCAATTAATATCCCCTGGTGCTTTATAGCTTTCTTTTCACCATATCATTGTTTAATAACACAAATATGCAAGGTCAAGAATCGAACTCCGATGCCTTTTCTAATTCAACTTAATGTGAATTAACATACCCAAGTAAATAGCACACCCACTGAGATCAAAGTTCAAGCTTACAGTACAGTACTTCATGGCTGCTGCAATCCTGATCCTTTCAATATCTCACCATGTCCGCCCCAATCCCCCAGCAGCTGCTTCAACAGCCTCCTCCCATGCTCCGTAATCCCCATCTTGAGTCCCAGCGAGCGCCTCAATCTTCTCAGATTCCCCAAACTCCTCAACAGTCCCCGAGAACCCTCCATGACCCTCCCCAGCAAGCCACCGACTTCTGGGTCCTCAGCAGCAATCTGGCTGCCAATGCTCTCTACTGCGCTGCCTTCCCTCTTCTTACAGGTCTCTATGCTGCTCGGGGTCTGTCTGATGAGCCTGTCAAGCCTGCCAAGTGGGAGACCAAGCTCATAAAGTTCTTCAACACTGATGTCGAGAAGCTGAACGAATGCTACTCGCCCCTGGTGGCCCTGGGATTCCCCTTCTTCGCCGCATATTCCAACAGTATGGGGATTCTGTCGATTCTGTGGTCCAACTGGATCGGTCTCATTCAGATTGGCGATGACCAGCACATGCTTAGTTTGCTCCAGGGGGCAGAGCAGATCACCAAGGGCTTCTCGTGGCTCGCTGGATTCCTCAGTTTGGGCACTCTTGGAATCTGGACCTACCGAAGACAACAGCGACGATCCGCACAGGCCCCCGGCAAGTCCCGATTGTGGCTCATCGGTGCCCCTGAGGTCTCTCTTGCCTTCGTCAGTCTCGTATTCTACCCTCTCGTTGCCACTCCTATTTATTGTGTATAAGACGTGAGCAACAAGGACCTTAGCTGGACGTGCACAACCACACTATCCGCAGGTGCTTAGCCCAAGCATAAAACAATGAAATCTATTGAAATTACTTCTACGATTCTCAAGCCGTAGCTACAAGTACAAGTACTTCTACATCAATTATTGTACAAGTATGTCCTCATGAATAGAGGGAGCAAGACATTGATTGCAACGCCACTGAAAGCCCTGAAGATACCGGCACATTCAGCGCCCTATACACTGGCTCATATTTACTGTACAAGTACAATACAAGATACAATAGTATGTACATACACTACTTTTACTTGTATTCGTCATATCCCTTCAATTTTTTCTATCACATACAGTATGTACATGTTTCCACATTTCTGTGCATTTCGCGCAATACCCTCTTCACTGAAATCTTCAAGAATACAACATCATCATATACATTTATATATCCATCAACCAGCATTCCTTAGACAACAATGACCTTCTTGCCAGTGGCCTTGGCAAGGAGCCAAGAGGAGAATCGTTCGATACGACCGGGCAGGAGCTGGAAATGCTCATGAACATGGTCAGCAACATTGTCGGCAAGGTCGACGAGCTTGTATTTGGTGGAAACAAGAAACTTGTTGATACCATCATGGGCCTTGATCCAAATGTTGGGATCGGCTCCTCGGGTGAAGAGACCCAGGTTCTTTCGGGCCTTGGCGAGGAGCTCGTTTCGTGTAGAGCCCTGGTAGGTGGGGATACCGTAGGTGTCAAGGTAAGCCTTAAGGTCAGAATCGGACCACTCAGAGAAAGAGGTCTTCTTGGCCTCCTTGTACTGCTTGTCGAGGTCAGCAGAGAGAACGTCGTACTTCTCACCAAGAACGTGCTGGGCCTGATTGATGTACTTAGAAGCCTCCTTAACGAGCTGGTCGTGGGAGCCCTTGGCGGCCTGTCCCTGCTCAGAGAGCCAATTCTCAAGCTTCTTGGTGTCCCAAGACTCGAAAAGGGAGTCCCATTGAGAGCCAGCAGCATTTCGGTATCGGTTCACAAGCTTGAGAAGATCGTCCTTGGTGGCACCCTCGGGAGCCTCAACCTTTCGAGACTCCAGGAAAGAGCCCAGTCGGGATTCGGACCAGAGCTTGGAGGCCTCCTGGAAGGCCTGGTCAGCAAGGTCCTCGGCTCGCTTGACGAACGGAACATGATTCTTCTTCTTGTAAGTGGTTTTGGCATCCTCGTAGTCGTTGTAGAGGAGCTGTCGGTTTCGTCGGACGATGGCCAGGACCTCATCCTTCTGAGAGTTCTGGGGAACAGGGATTCCGTGGGAGTCAGCCCAGTACTTGAGCTCGGAGTTGGACCAGTCGTCGAAGACGTTCTCCCGAATCTTGCCAGCCTTGTCGAAGACATCCTCCTTGGAGATGTCGAAGGTCTTCTTGAGGTTATCTCGAGCTTGCTCACCCTTAACGTAAAGGGTTCGGGAATTCTTTCGGACGGCAGCAATCAGCTCGTTTCGCTTGGAGCCCTGGGGGACAGGAATTCCTCGCTCGTCGAGCCACTTCTTGAGATCAGAATCGGACCAGGCGTTGTAGAGCCAGTTGGCGGGGTAAGAAGGCTTGGGAGAAGCACCGGTGACACCAGCGGCTTCGGCAATCTTCTGGTAGTTCTTCTTGACATCCTTGATGAGCTCACTTCGGGTAGCAGTAGAGGGAACAACAATCTTGGCAGACTCGAGCAGGTCGTTGAGCTGCTTGTTGGACCAGGAGTTGAAGGTCCAGGTCCAGAGGTTAACATCGTTGTAGATGTTATCGGCCAGCTTGGAGGACTTGGCCCAGGCAGCGGACCAGGTCTCGTCGGCCTGGTTCTTGAGGTTGCCGAGAGACTTCTTCCAGTTGGAGGAGAGCTGCTCGACGTCGATGCCGAGCTTCTTGGAAAGATCGGTGGTGGAGGTCTGGTCAAGGGGAGAGGTGAGGTCGTTCCAGTGGATTCGGACCTCCTTAAGGAGAGCGTCTCGGTTGCTCTTTTCGGGCACGGTCACGCCATTGTCTTCCAGCAGCGATCGGAGATCCTGAGAAGACCAGGTGCTGACCTGGTTGTGACTGCTTCTGTTAGGAGAGGACACCAGCAAGATGCCGATGAATAGGGTGATAGCGGAGAGCAAAATTCGAGGAGCTACCGCCATTGTGAAATAATCAATCAGTTAGTTACTGTACGGGAAAGAGTGAAACCTCAGTGGCACCTGCCGCCTTAAATATAACGGCTCGTTTCTGCACGCAGTAGCAACCCAAAGTGCGTTTCGTATTAAGTTGGTGCTAGGTTGTAGTGGATGATTCTGAGAGAGCGGACAAGTGAAAGCAATGGAGTGCTTTTTTTGCCAATACTGAACCTTCTCAAACTGTCGACGAGTCGCTTTCGGTGCAATTGATATATCTACTTCACGGTGGAGCTATGGTCATGACATTGCGGCTGGAGGGTCCTTCTCAAGAGACTTTTCTTGGTGCCTCCAACAGTGCACGTGCATGCGGGCTAGATGAGGTGAATGGAGTGGTTCAAAGTCGATGTTCCTGACGGACTAGAGGCGCCCAAATCGAAATATCAGTTCAATTGCACGTTTAAAATTGATTTTTCAAGTTTCAAGGGCCAATTCCCACTCATTCATCACTTTTATCAGCCTCCCACATGTGGCTTGCCTCACCTCAACCACACTTGCTACTATCAAGCTACATTGAGTTTAGGTGTGGAGTTTAACTATGTGTCAATGACTTCGTTTTACATACGTGACGAAGGACCCAGCAACACGTAATTGCGGCGCTAGCTTGGATGAAGGAAAGACCTCAATTGATTTATCCAGTCTCTGGGGTGCAATACATGCTGTTAAGCCCTCCCCGCAAACTGCTTCTCTGTACATCTACGCTGCAGATGTATGCAGTCCATGACGCCATCCACCGCTGGCTTACAACTCGTTTGCCACCAACTGCATGTGAAACGAGTCCGTGGTTTGCGCAGTTTGTCCAGGGCTGACCCCACAAACGGAGAACCAACCCAACATCTGGTGGACTGATTGGGAACCGTACGTACAAAAGGAAGGTTGAGGAGCATGTGATATTATGAGGGGTACACAGTACGTGGCAAGGATACAAGGATAGAGTGACTGACACGATTTCTACATTGTCCAAGCACACTTATTTTCTACAATACGATTCAGGCCCCTCATATACTCCGCAGTGATTCTTTGGATGCTTGCTTTTGGACGTACTAACTCCGCTTACCCAAAGTGCCATAGCCTTCAAGTAGTGCATATATAATGGAGTCGAAGAATAGGAAGATGTTGCTCACTTGTACAGTACCAGATGTGGGCCAGTGAATGGATCATTGAGGATATTTTATGTCTCCTTCTAAAGAATATGCTCACACTCCAATAAATTATCAACTATGGTTGGTGTACGGCTCCATGCCTGCTATAGTACGCACTGCCCGTAGCTAGAGGACTTCGATTGCTATAATTGCTTTAAATGTGGTTGGGGCAAGTTTCGAACCGCTGTGTCTGATTTATGTGAATTCAATTCGCATGTACGTAGGTGATAAAACCCGGTGCTTTTGTAGCTATGATTCAGCAGAAAAATGATTCGGAATTAATTGACGGTTCTGTGTTTTCATCTGGGCTCAATTCTGAAGGTTTCATCACTGATGATCTTTTGTTCAGATTATCAACTGTTTACTTAGTAACCGAAGCGTGTTTCTCAACAAAAAAACCCACTCATTATTAACCAGAAATGGAGATAAAAAGCAATTAATCTCATACTACGATGTCCTTCCATTCAAAACAGCAATTTTCTGATCCACTTCGAGATTCGGAATGCTTTTATATATGACATCTTCACTACCACCACTGGGTGACTAATCTGGAACCTTAACGAAAATATAAACTCTCAGACTCGCTGGTGAAAAATTCAAAAGCCTCGACAGTGCTACACATCCACCACAGATAAAAATGTCAGCTTTTGGATTCCCCGGCGGCGGAGCTCCCACTCCTCCCCAAGGCTCTTTTTGGGATATGACTCCCGAGCAGCAGGGAATGTACTCGGCCAACCTCATCATGGGCACCATGCAGTCGTGTCCCGGAAAGTCCGTCATGGCTGGTGTCACCGGTTTCGGACTCGGTGGTGTTTTCGGTCTTTTCATGGCTTCTGTGAGTATCAACGTGTGGGGATAAGGTGGATTTTGAGTGGTAACATGATCGGTCAGGATTTGGGGTCAGTTTGAAGTCAAGTAGACTATCAAATGTGGAGACTGGATCACACATGTTGAGTGCTTTGGTGTTTCATATATGCCCTTGAGACGCTCTGAGTACACTCCAAGCGTGTTATAGAGTCCATCGAGTCTCTATCTCAAGTAAATCTCTGCTACTTTCAACGAATACTAACTAAGATGGCTTATGATGCCCCCGTTGGAATGGGTGTGCAGACAATGTCCGATCTGCCCTTCAAGCAGCAGATGAAAATCCAGTTCACCGACATGGGTAAGCGAGCATGGAGCAGTGCCAAGAACTTCGGTTTCATTGGAGGTGTCTTCTCTGGAACCGAGTGTTGTATCGAGTCTCTGCGAGCCAAAAACGATATTTGGAATGGTGTGGCTGCCGGATGTCTAACTGGTGGAGGCCTGGCCGTCAAGGCTGGCCCCCAGGCCGCTCTTGTTGGCTGTGCCGGTTTCGCCGCCTTTTCTGCAGCCATCGATGTCTACATGAGATCCGATAACAAGGCTCCTCCTTCCACTGATGAAGATCTTTAATTTATTGTACATAGTCTAAATGTGAGAAGTAACTGCTCTTACTGCTAAGAGTGTAGGCTAAAGAGAAACTGGGCCTGAAACTGCCAGCAGATGGTCGCGGGGGATCAACTGGACTTATATGAGTATGTACTGTAGGCTATGATTCTGAGACAGATCTACAGGTACAGACTTGAGACTCAAGCAGCTGCTTTTTCAGAACATCGAAGCTTGAATTCTGCCTGTGATTAGAAGTTCCAATGTAAAAATCATATTACAATATGTACATACTGTACAAGCACTCTCAGTTCATTCCTATAACTCTCTGATGCGGCTAAAAACTCCCTTCTCTGAGACATCAGCTAATGAAAAGGGTTGCGGTCTATGAGAAGTCCCCAGCGGCAAATTATGAGTGAGTAATTCGGAATGATACAATTCTAATTGAGCTTGGTAGAGCTCTATTGGTATTGGAATCAAACAACGGAGACTACTACCCGACCCCCACACCCTACAGGTTCAACTTGCTCACTTCTACTGTTTATACTTTTAAGAGTTTCATTATTTTCAACCTGAACCAATGATCACACGTTCTACACCGAAGGAGAAAAGACATTTACAATACGGACGCATTCATGACACTCATAACTGTTCTTAAACCATTTTCTTATTATCCCACCCTCCTCCCCCATTCCTCTTCATGCCTCGGTTTGTGACCCGTTGAATCTCCGATGCATGAGACATGTATGATAGTGGGCAGATATATTGAGAGGGTATAGACGAGATTATTGGCCAGAAAGTCTTGGCAACGCTCGGATAATGCTAGTTACGGGTATTTAATCCGGTTTGTCTTCAGTCTTTTCTCTTCTCTTCACATTTCATCCCGTCATACCATGTCTCTCAGAAACACCACCGCTCTGATCACTGGAGGATCCGGAGGTATTGGATACAGAATTTCAAAGGCCTTTGCCAGCGCAGGAGCTCGAGTTATCATCCTGTCTCACAAGAAAGAAGAAATTGATACTGCTCTGTTCGCTTTACCTGAACGACTTGAGGGAGAGAAGCATCATGAAGGCATTGTCCACAACGTCACCTCGGAACAACCTCCTGCTGGAGTAGACTTCTCTGAAGTAGATGTTCTTGTCAACTGTGCCGGCATTTCTCTCACCGGTCTACTCTCAACCACATCAACTAAAGATATACAAAATGTTGTCAACGTCAATCTAGTGGGAACCATGTTCATGACCAAGTTCGCCATGGAAGCCTGGCAGAAAAGATACCCTGAAAGAGCTGCTTCAGATAGAAAGGCGGAAGGAAATGGCTGTATCATTAACATTTCTTCCATTCTCGGACTTAGAGCCGTCTCTCCTGGTTTGTCTATCTACGCAGCTACAAAGACTGCTCTTATCATGTTCACCAAGAGCATGTGTGTGGAGGGAGGGAGAATGGCTATCAGATCCAACGCTATTTGTCCAGGATACGTCAGAACTGAAATGACCAAGGCTCATGAACTGTCTTTCAAGACTCCTCTCCAGGAGTTTGGAGACACTGGAGATGTGTCAGTAGAGAGCATTGCCAATGCTGCCATGTATTTCGCTACCAATCCTCAGGTTAGTGGCTCAATCCTCAGTGTTGACAAGGGAATTTGCGCCAACTGAAGTAATCCGTTTAATTATATATATAATGAATGTTTATGATCCAGTGTTGGATCGGCTCGCGTATCATCCGCTCAGCACCCAACTAAAATCTAACTAAAACCCTAGTACCCCAGACTATACCCTAACCTCAATAAACTTGTACTGTCTAGCTGAGTCATCAACCATGCATCCTCCCAACACGCACAATAATTCGACACACCCAAATCACATCACCACACTCTAATTATCGTCAAGTTCAGACGACGGTTCAGACATCACCAATGTACAACGATAACATGCCCCGTCGCTCGACGCGTTCGTCGCTAGCAGGATCCCCTGGTCAGGTCTCGGGATACCAAGGAGGCTCTCCTTACGTTGATGGAGGTATGCCTGGGGGTAACCACGGTGGAATGGTCCCGCATCAGGGATCGAACCCCTACGAGTTTGTGCCGGTGCCTCCGGGTCCTCTGCCTGTTCCAGTGATGACTCCGACTGTCAACCCGCCCATGTTCCCTGTCAAAAGGCCCACGCCAACCTCAATCGCCAAGGCCAACGCTTTTGGAGTCGGCCACTTTGGCATTGATTTCCTCACACGTATCACCTTTTCGCTACGATCAGGTATCGACTCGGAAGTCGACTGGGCTCTCACAGCACTCGTCCAAGCAACCTTCAACGCCCCTGACCAGTTCAAATTCCGACTAAATGAGTCTCTCATCGCCGACCTGCTGGGCCGTGTTCTCAAGGCCCGGTTTTTGACCCACAAGGAGTCCGCCGACGGAGAACACGTCGGAGACACGGACGCAGATGATCGAGTGCATCAAAGTGTGCTAGATATCATGCTCATTCTGAGAAACGCCGCTCTGGACCCCGAAAATGCCCAGTTTCTGGCTACTAGTGACAAGGGTCTTGAGGTGGTGCTCAAATGTTTGCAGGTCTCGCCCTCCTCCCTCACATCCGAGGTGCTCAGCTATGCCGTTGACATCTGCGAGTCTATCTCGTTCTATGTGTCTCCTTCCTCTTACGACGACCCTCTTCTCCAGGCTGTGGCTCATCTGTTGGAGACCTCGTCTGACCGAGCTATCATAATCTCTACCACTCGAGCACTCACCCGAATGCTGGTCCATGAGTATCACGCCCACCCAGAAGCAGAGACCGAGCCGAAGGAGGACGCCTTCCCTATCATTACTCTGTTGGCTCGACGATGGCATCAGATCGTCGACAAGACTGTGCAGATGCTGCTGGTTGAGGCTGACGAAGAGCTCATAATTGCTGCTCTCGATTTCCTCTATCAGATCACTCGTCGAGGTGCATTTGTCACTCGTCTGTTAGAAAACAATTCGAACGCTGAGATTCTGTCGACTCACCTGGCCCGTCTGTTACGGTTCGAGTTTCCCCACGAAAAGTTCATTGACTACATCCGACTTCCCCCACGGGCTACTCCGGGCCCTGTAAAGAAGAATGTCCCTACGGTCGACTCGCCGGCCCCACGTCTTCCTGAGGATGTTCTGAACAACCTTCTGACGATGCCTGAGCCCCATCGAGCCAATGCATGGATGCGAGCTTCATACGAGGAGACTAGCGGAGGTGAGGTGACCCAGATTTCTCTGTGGAAGTCGTACGAGTCGCAATTTGAGCCCTACTGTAAGGAGGGCTCTGCTCCCGGCGTGCACAGACTGCTCCCGGCCGTGGAGTTTATCAAAAATGTCAACGCGGCCTTCACTCGAAGTGCCGCCATGGTTGTCAGTCTCAACGATGGAACCAAAAAGTTCATTATCAAGGGTATTCAACCCCGAAAGGAACCCGTGGACCCTGCTACCATCGATGCACAGAAGCGCGCGGAGTTTGAACACCGTCGAAAGATGGAGGCCAGATATGCCGAGTACGATCAGGCTCGACGATACAGACTGGACAACAAGAGTGGAGTGTCTCCGGCCGCTATTCTGGTCATGACTAACATTGCCAAGAGCGATCTGGGCAAACTGGCACTGACTCATGTGGTTGACAAGGTGGTGTATGCTGGTACTGTCAACCCACACATTGCCCAGTACATGTTCCCCTTATTGGGCGAGTTGGAGAATGTGAAGCCCGAGGCATAGATGGGTACAATATAACCAGGAATTAATGTATTTGTATTTGTATGATCCAGGAAGCATGGGACAGCTCATGTTCAGTTCGTGTGATGTAATGTAACCCCAACCCTTAACTTTCTAACTATGCGAGTGACCATGCATCAGCGACATAGACGTCATCATCATCACCTTTACATTCGCAATCGTCATTCTTTACAATGGGTAACTTTTTTGTGGATTTATGGGAGTCCATTTTTACCCCCGGCACTACTCCGACCCTGGTCAAGGCCACCCACGGCTCGTTTGTGCTGTTGATCCTATCTCTGCTTTTCCTCATCTGGAACGCTCTGAACATCCACACCGTGATGCTGCTCATCATTGCGCTGTGTTTGTGGGGCACTTTGACCTGGTTCATTTCCGAAGTCGCCAAACTCAAGAAGGAGGGTAAGCTCAAGACCGACAAGGAGCTGAAGGAAGAGGCCGAGGCCAAGGAGTCCAAGAAGGAGCAATAAGGAGCTACGGGAAAAAATAATGTCGTCGCTAGACCTGCCATGAGAGAAAGTGTCGCCTTGCACATGATACAGTAGTGTGTGCTTCAAGGTATCTTGTTGATACATTAGAAGATACACCTTACGAGCGCGCATGCTTAGAAACACAACTAAATTTCGTTTGGAGGACATGCTGTGTCTCCTTTGGGGAGAATGGATATATATTCAAGTATTGTATTTGTAATGAACTGATATATGTTGGTTTGTGTTCTGAAGAGAGGCACTTAAGACTCTACACATACTTACTTGTAATACTTGTACTATAGCAACTTGTGCCAGAGCATGTCCAATCACTATAAATAAGAATAGAATACCTATATCCGATGATGCAAAACTGTTAAACAAAAGGTGTGTAGCTCGTCACTCAAGACATCCAAGCTGGATCACTGGAACCGATCTATCTTCATCAAGGTCCTGGACGCCACCAGCACCGTTGACTGTGTGATACAACGCTGACGCTCTACCAAGTTCGCTCCATGATTGTTTGTGAAGAGAGTCCTTTGGTGACTTGAATCCCCATCGCGTACCGGGCACACACTTGACAATGACGTGAGAGCCCTTTATTTGGGTTGAGCGTTGGCAGCCTTCTTCTTCTTCTTCTCCTCGTCCTCCTTGTTCTTCTTTTCGATTTCTCGTCGGTTGCCCTTGAGAATCTCCAGATGGCCCACTCGAGAGGCCAGCAGCTTTTCCGTGGTGGCGGTCAGAGCTGCTTGATGCTTCTTCGCAATCTCGACGTCTCTTTGAGCGCTCTTTCGTCGGGGAGCAATCTTTCGGGGAGCGGCCCTCTTGGGAGCAATCTTGCCAGTGGGCTTCTTGACCTTGCTGGTCTTTTCTCTCTTTTTGAGACCTGCTTGGGGCATGTTTTGATGGTGCTATGGTTGATGTAGATTGTATGGTTATGATGTTGGGATAGCCATCAATATTTTTTTGTCGTGCATGGGGGGCGCCTCAATAGGGTTAGGGGAAGGGGAATCTGTGATTAAGATCGTTGGGGGGCTATGGGCATACAGGGGAATTTATTGCGTATCTGAGATGTTAGGATTATGAAAATGTCGTCAGATTTTCCTTTCTCAGTCGCCTGAATCGACAAATCAAGGTTGTGAAGTTTTTGCGTCCACAGTGTTAAACTTATCGTGTCTGATCAAGTTTTTTTATTCTGCATAGGCGTCAAAAAATAACGAATGGGATACTGGGGAACAACCAGTGATTTGACTTATAACATCAGTTGCTAGAGAAGACCAAGTACTATTTGTGATCAATTCGCCTCCAGGTTACAGCCTCTACCTGTCACGCAATATGTTCGAAGTACGCTCCCGCAGACCGGGTAGTTCGAGATGCAAGCTTATTGTACAATATATACAAGTAGAAGTATCGTGCTTGTACACCTACTCGTGCGATAGTCAGAATCATGACTCTCCGACAATACATATTGTACGATGGCATACCCCAACTTGTTGCACCCGAAAGACCTGTTTCAGACCCTTGTCTCAATGCTTGGACATGCCGATACATTTAGTCACTTCAAATAATGGCAAGTTTTGCGTGACACATTTCCCGCCAGTGATTATTACGCCGACCGATAGCCGCGCGTGGAAAATCGGCAAATAAAAAGATTTTTTTCCGATTTCAAAGTGGACCGAACGGCTCAAAGTCTGCTGGCGAGACTGCAAAACTCACAGCTCACAGGGTCCACGAGTCAGGCACATGTTACCCTATGTAAACAGGGTTTGCTGATTAAGAGCTTGCCACAACGTAGAGAAACAGGAGTGGATCACTACAAACCAAGTGTGTGGTAACCAAAATAATAAAAGGGCGTCTTACAATCTTGTATCAGCCAATCAAGCGTCCATAATTAGCTGACGTCGACATCGACCCACTGCTGTACAATTCTCCGTACTGTAGTTACCATACGGAAACTGAAGCATAAGATATGACCCACGAACATCAGTATAAATCTCCATGCTCTAGCCGTGCCTTTACGCTGTACTCGTATGAGTACTACACGCACTAGGGATACTCAGGTCCTGCCAACCTCCATCGCCACGCTTGCAATTGCAGCAGCGGCGTGCACCGAGTGTGGCCTGGGCTTGTCGCTTTGGCTCTGCTCCTCAGACGTTGCGCCTATGCCATGCCATGCTTCTTGTCTACTCAGTCCCCCTCGTTTGCCTCTCACAGGCAGTCTCTGAGTCACGTCTTGTGGGGAGAGGAGGATGTGTGGTGAGGAGGCTTGGGGCGTGTAGTGGGCAACGGTTGGCCGTGGCTGAGAATGCCAGGGAAGAAGAATGACGGAAATAACAACGTAAAAAAAAAAAAAGGACGAAATATGCTACCAAGAGAAAGAAGCACCTGGTGACACTCTCTCCAGCAGCTCCTAACGTCTTTGTCACTTTTGCTCAATCTCAAAAGCTGCTCCATGAACTATGAAGCTTAACATCATAGGCTCTTGAGGATGTGCCAAATATTATCAAAGGGTCCGGGAATAAGCGGATAGAGGGGGTGGTTGGTTGTTAAATATTACGTAATTGGATTTTTCACCCTCCAATCTCTTCGATCTGCCCCTTGGAGCTCACATCTTCCATTCTCTTACACCTCTTAATCCCCTTCATCCAACTCACTCACACTGTCTTCAGCTAACTTCAGAACCCTATCTGACCGATAAAAAAAATGTCCCAAAAATTTAGACCTTATTATATTACTATAGGCCTGTCTCCCTTTTCTTACCCAAGTGTACTCACCCTCCAAAACCCAACCCGCCCAAACCATGCTCACGCTGGCTGGACCCCAGGCCTATTCTCAGTTCCGAGTGAATTCTCTGCTCGAGAACATCAACAAGGCCGTCAATTCGTCCGCCGTGGCTGCCATTCGAGCCATCTACGTTCATTACGTTGACACTGGAGATGCAGCTCTGACCGAGACCGAGTCCAAGCTGCTCGACTCTCTGCTGGACTACGACCAGAAGGCCGACGCTGGAGATGCTCTGACTGCCGCCCTCATCAAGGCAGCCGTCAATGACGAGGCTGAGCTCCCGACCGACTCGTACCTGCTTCGAATCATCCCCCGACCCGGCACCATCTCGCCTTGGTCCTCCAAGGCCACCAACATCACCCAGAACTGCGGTCTGCCCCACGTCAAGCGAGTTGAGCGAGGTCTGGCTGTGCTAATCCAAGTCCGTAAGGGCTTCCCTCTGGGTCCCCACGTTGAATCCGGCGCTTTCCTTGATTTCATTTACGATCGAATGACAGAGGCTATCCGAATCGGCGCCCCCGTCACCGAGAAGGACCTCTTCGCACACCACGAGCCCAAGCCTCTCGTTTCCGTGCCTCGTGCTGGTATCGCTGAGGCCAACAAGTCTCTGGGACTCGCCCTGGACCAGCCCGAAATCGACTACCTGCAGACCGCTTTCCCTCAGCGAGACCCCACCGATGTGGAGCTGTTCATGTTCGCTCAGGTCAACTCGGAGCACTGCCGACACAAGATCTTCAATGCCGACTGGAAGATTGACGGCGAGAACATGCCTCACTCGCTGTTCAAGATGATCCGAACAACCCACGAGAAGAACCCCGGCTACACCGTCTCTGCTTACTCTGACAACGCCGCTGTCCTCGAGGCCGCTGGATCTGGCTTCTACTACGCTCCTGATCCTAAGACCCAGGTCTACACTCTTAAGCCCGAGCCCGTCCAGTTTCTCGCCAAGGTCGAGACCCATAACCACCCTACTGCCGTCTCTCCCTTTGCTGGAGCTGCCACTGGGTCTGGAGGAGAGATCCGAGACGAGGGTGCCGTCGGCCGAGGCTCCAAGCCCAAGGCCGGTCTTTCTGGCTACTCTGTTTCCGATCTGCTCATCCCTGACTTCAAGCAGCCTTGGGAACAGGACATTGGCAAGCCCCACCACATTTCTTCTGCCTATGACATCATGATGGACGCTCCCATTGGATCTGCTGCCTTCAACAACGAGTTTGGCCGGCCCTGTATCTCTGGATACTTCCGAACCCTCACTACCACTGTTACCAATCACGCTGGAAAGCAGGAGATTCGAGGTTTCCATAAGCCCATCATGATTGCCGGCGGTGTCGGTACCGTGCGACCCCAGTTTGCGCTCAAGAACAAGCCCATCACCCCTGGCGCCGCCCTGATTGTTCTCGGAGGACCTTCTATGCTCATTGGTCTCGGAGGAGGAGCCGCCTCTTCTGTCGCTTCTGGAGAAGGATCTGTGGATCTCGATTTTGCTTCCGTTCAGCGAGGTAACCCCGAGATGCAGCGACGAGCTCAGATGGTCATTGATGCCTGTGTTGCTCTCGGCGACGCCAACCCCATCCAGTCTATCCATGACGTTGGTGCTGGAGGTCTGTCCAACGCCCTGACCGAGCTGGTCCACGACAACGGCCTCGGTGCCAAGTTTGAGCTCCGAGATGTACCTAACGCCGAGCCCGGCATGTCCCCCATGGAGATCTGGTGCTGTGAGGCCCAGGAGAGATATGTGCTGGGAGTGGCTGCTGCCGATCTCGATACCTTCAAGGCCCTCTGTGACCGAGAGCGAGCTCCTTACGGAGTTGTGGGTGTGGCCACCTCCGAGCAGCGACTGGTTCTGTCCGACAAGTTGCTCGGTTCCACCCCCATCGACATGGATATGTCTGTTCTGTTCGGTAAGCCCCCCAAGATGTCCCGAGTGGCTGCTACCAAGCCCTTGCGACTCCAGCCTCTGGACCTTGCACCCATTGCCTCCTTTGGCGAGGCTCTTGACCGAACTCTTCACCTGCCCTCTGTTGGCTCCAAGGCTTTCCTCATCACCATTGGTGATCGATCCGTCACCGGCCTGATTGCTCGAGACCAGATGGTGGGCCCCTGGCAGGTTCCTGTGGCCGATGTGGCTGTCACCATCACCTCATATGGCGGTGTCAAGACCGGAGAGGCCTTTGCTATGGGCGAGAAGCCCACTCTGGCTCTTATTTCTCCTGCTGCCTCCGCCAAAATGTGTGTTGCCGAGTCTCTGCTCAACCTGGTGGCCTCCGACACTGTTCTCGACCGAGTTCGTCTGTCTGCCAACTGGATGTCTGCTGCTTCTCATGACGGTGAGGGTTCTGCTCTCTACGAAGCTGTCCAGGCCATTGCTCTCGACCTGTGCCCCTCTCTGGACATTGCCGTGCCTGTCGGTAAGGATTCCATGTCTATGAAGATGAAGTGGGACGACACCGAGGTTGTTGGTCCTCTGTCCCTCGTCATCACTGCCTTCGGCCCCGTCATGGACGTTTCCAAGACCTGGACCCCTCAGCTCGAACGGGAGGAGGCCTCTTCTCTGGTTCTTGTCTCTCTGTCTGCCTTCGAGCGACTTGGTGGATCTGCTCTGTCTCAGGTCTACTCTCAGCTTGGCAACGAGGCTCCCAACGTGGACAACAACTCTGTTCTGAAGGGCTTCCTAACTGCTGTTTCCGAGCTGCACCAGAAGAAGGACGACATTGTTCTGGCTTACCACGATCGATCCGACGGTGGTCTTATTGTCACTGCTCTGGAAATGGCCTTTGCTGGCCGATGCGGTGTCTCTCTTGATGTCACTGGTAAAGATGCTCTTTCTGCTTACTTCAACGAGGAGCTGGGTGCTGTCTTCCAGGTGGCTGACTCCAACATTGCCGAGTTTACTTCCATCATGACCAAGAATGGCGTCCCTGCTTCCCAGGTCAAGGTGGTAGGCAAGCCCATAATCTCCTCCAAGGAGCAGACTGTCGACGTCAAGTTCAACGGCCAGCCCGTCTACTCGTCCAATCGAGCTGCTCTTCAAAAGGCTTGGGCCGAGACCTCATACAAGATGCAGCGTCTGCGGGACAACCCCAAGACTGCTGACGAGGAATACAGCAACATTGCCGACAACGCCGACCCCGGTATTGTTTTCAAGCTGTCATTTGACCCCACAGAGTCAATCCCTCAGTCTCTGGTCTCTCAGAAGCCTAAGGTTGCCATCCTCCGAGAGCAGGGTGTCAATTCTCACATGGAGATGGCCTACTGTTTCGAGCGAGCCGGCTTCACTCCCGTCGATGTCCATATGTCCGACCTCTCGTCGAAACGTCAGCAGCTCCCCGACTTCGTTGGTTTCGTTGCCTGTGGAGGTTTCTCCTACGGTGATGTTCTCGGTGCCGGAGCTGGATGGGCGAAGTCTGTACTTTTCTCGCCCGAGCTCAAGTCCGAGTTCACCAACTTCTTTGAGCGAGCCGACACCTTTGCTCTTGGTATCTGCAACGGTTGCCAGTTCCTGTCTCGACTCCAGGAGATAATTCCCGGAGCTGACAACTGGCCCACCTTTGAGCGAAATGCCTCCGAGCAGTACGAAGGCCGAACCACCATGGTCGAGATTGTCGATGAGGCCAAGGAGCCCTGTATTTTCCTTGGCGGTATGCGAGGTTCTCGATTCCCCGTTGCCGTTGCCCATGGTGAGGGCCGAGCCTCTTTTGCCTCCGAGGACAAGCAAGCCAAGTTTGCTTCCCAGCATCTGGCTGCTGTTCGGTACGTCGACAACTACGGCCACGCCACTGAGCGGTACCCCTTCAACCCCAACGGCTCTACTAACGCCATTGCTGGTGTCCGAACTCCCAATGGTCGAGTTCTGGCGATGATGCCCCATCCCGAGCGAGTGTCTCTGGTTGACGCCAATTCTTATCGACCCAAGGATCTGGCTGAGTCTCCCTGGATCTCGCTTTTCAAGAACGCTCGAAAGTGGGTCAACTAGACTCATTTTTGGAGAACTAATGTTATAAAAATGTATTGAATGATTGTATTGCTGTATAAATAGGAAGGCGATTACATAATGTTCATGTCGTATTCAAGCTCCCGCTACGCCCTGACCTGAAGCGCTTCGGGTGACATACGATTACGGATAATGAGCACTATCTGGGCCGAAGTAGCCAATTTTGGGAATGGGGAGTCTAGCTGGAGGTCCATTGTTGTCTGCCCCGGCATTAGACACGGTGTTGCCCCACCATTTGAGCTCGTGCTTCACATACTCGACCGAGAAGAAGATAATGATGGCAGACAAAGCAATACCAGTGTCCATGCCCGCTGAGAAGACATAGGCGTACTTTCTCCACCAGTTCATGAACCGGTTCTTCAGATAGTAGTTGAAGAAGATGGCAATGTAAATGCCCGTAGTTTTGTAAGAGAGGTTGTAAGGAGCCCAGTCGATGCAACCATGGCAGAAGAGAATGGGGTTGAACATCAATGCTTTTCGCTTGAAGTTTTCGATCTGGACAGTTTTGTGGGGGTACTTCTTCATCATCAGGTTGGGGATAAGCTCTTGGGCGGCGTAGAACACAAGGGCGAGAACTGTACCAAGCAGAAACATCCACTTAAGAATTGGGTACTGGTGGTCAAACATCTTCTTGGGGCCAATGATACCCCACGCCACCGAGGCACTGAAGAAAGTGGTGTCTCCGGGGCAAGTGAATCGATCCTTGTTCTTGGGGTCACAGAGATCGTCGATACTGGTGATCTGGAACTTTACCACACCCATGCAGATTAGACCGTTGACTAAAGTGGCCCACAATTGCAGCCAGAAGATAGAACGAGGGGGCAGATGAGCATAGTGAGTCAGCTTCTGGTCGTTAGCGTAATGCTGGGCCTGTGTGGAAATTTGCACACCCATAGCCTTGACAAAGTTGAGAGCCATGAACTGACCAGGAAGAGCGTATCCAATGATCAGCTCGGAGAGATAGTTGAGCGACATTTGCACGCCAGAGTATCCCTGGATGATAGTCAGAGGCAGCAGGAAGATACCAACTAGGCCAATGATAAACACCAAAGTCCAGACAGGGGTTTGCATGGGCCAATGTTCAACCAGAGCGATAGACAGACCGAACATAATGATGAGGATGAGATAGAACCACCAGTCGGGGACTTCGGGGTATTGTCTCATTCTTCGGGAGAAGGGATCATCTCGACCTTCGTAATTGGATCGTGTAATGTGTCTTATTGACTTTACCATTTCCATAAGGGCGTCCTTCATGATATCCCAGTCCATCAAAACTGTGTAAAGAAACATGAGAGGGTACACACAGAATGAGGATCCGTAAGAGACGAGGTTTCCAGCAGAGTAGTAGGGAGGGGAGTATTCTCTGTACTTTTTGTCATCAAACTTGTAGTCGGTGAGAATTCTCTTGACGTCGTAAGATTTTCCTTTGTTGTCAAACAATCGATTGGAGTTAATGGGGATGTATCCAGTCCAGTTATTGTTGGTGTAGTAGATTGCCAGAATAATGAGGCCAGAAATGAGACTGGCAATGTATGTGTTGAGATTGGAGAACAGGGGTGTGAAGACAGGCTGAAATCGTGACACTGCAACGTTCCAGTCAAACGAAGAGATGGGATTGTAACCAAGACCACCAATAGATCCCGTAACCACGGCCAGATCCAGATTCTTGGGTGCAATCCAGGTCATCCAGTTAAAAGTGCTGAAGAACTTCATTAGGTAATCAGGAACCCAAAAGTAGAGAAACGAGAAGAGAAATACTGCCAGGAAGAAAGTGTATCGCGAAACTTTCCATCCGTCGACGATCTCCTTTCGTCTGGGAGCCAGAAGAGCCCTGTTGACAGCCAGAGTAGGCAGTAGAGTGGGCCACATAGCTTTAACAGGGTACACAGCCACTCGCTTCATGAGTCCACCAAATCCAAAGCCGAGCATCTGAGTCACTAACATCAGCAGAAACATGTATCCATAATCGTTAGCCCAAGGCTGGTTATAAAATCGTGGAAGGTACTGGACAAGAACGTTGGAGGTAACATAAGGAGTTCCAGAAGCACAAGAGACCATGATTGTTGCTAGAAGTTGTTCTTTTTGTGACCAAACACCGGGATTGAGAGTTAGTCTCCTCCCCCTCACTTTGAATCCCCAGTCAGGCAAACAGTATTGCAAGAGTCGCCCAGAAGGGTACAATAGAAGTTGGCAGACTGACACTGTAAGGGTGATATGAGGCATTCTCAGACTGAAAAACTGGTTTACGAAGGCTGAAATGCCTACCCAAATGGTGCCAATGACCCACACTCTCCACGTCTCTGTAGTGCATTCGGTATCATCATATGGGTCGGTGACTGATCTGACCTCGGGATATGGGGACCACCAGTGGAATAAGGTGGCCCAGTATCGTAAGAGTTTTACATCTTCGTTTTCGCTTGTGGGGTCTTTTTCAGGATCAGCCTTTTCATCACTCCCAGTCTCTTCATGGCTGTGCTCTTCGGACTCGTGTGGCTGGTTGGCTCCCCCAACAACAGCAACAAGGTGCGTAAGCAGGACGCGATCGTGATCCGAAAAGTTGTGGTCGTTGCTGTGGTACTTTAGGTTCTTCCGAACAATGTCGATGGCTTCGGCCTCCGTCATTTCCTGGAACTTTTCAGCCATGAAATGAACCTCCAAAGGGTAGTCTCCAGTATCTTCACTGGGAGGAATACCCAGCTGGTAGGCGATCCAGCCGAGAACGTCCGGAGACTCGTGAATGCTCGGATCAATGTTGAAGGAATCTTTTGATGACATGATCCTACTTGTAGATAGTTTCTTGCTCCCCAGCTTCGAGGAGCCGAAATAAATACCTTCCCATTTAACTCGAGTAGGTGCATATCGTGCCTCGCCTTCCTAAGATTAAAGTCGCCTAATCAGCCACAGCATCGAGAGTTTTCCGGCGGTAGATTAGAACATGTTTTCGTATAAGCCACAGTGATTGTGCATATTTGGTTTTTGTGCCGGCTTGTTGTGCTTTCCGTGAAGTCTTCAAATCTGTGCCAAGTTGATTGTGTCTCGTTTACTCCTTATCAAGGCTTGGCACGGCTCAATGACGCAATCATCAAAGTTCGCGATGGTCAGTGTACACAAAGAAGACTACCGGCAGGCGAAGAGATGTAGAAACCAAATATCGGCTAGAGTTACGGGGAAATAAATACTCCTTGTAGCTACAAAGCTTGATCGACCGGAGTGTGGCGGCGTTATTTGGGAACCGATCGGACATTCGGAGTATAGGAAGTTTGATCTGATTTCATAACTACAAGTACAGTAGTCTTGGGGAGCAGTTTTCAGTGTGCTCAACCCCGCAGCGGCTGTGCTCTGTGGCACCGTCTTGCTGAAACGTCGCACTTGAAGCTATGTACAGTAGAACATACGATACCTACAATTGTAGTGTGCCATGTGTACGATACATGGCGTGCTCGCCACTTTACAGGAGGAAAGCTCATTATCCGAATGCAACCGCTTGTACAAAACCTGCATCATTGCAAACCCTCGGCAAGTGGAACGGCACGAAGAACCGATTTGTGTTCGTAGCACAACTGTGGCTGGCTATTAGACTCGTGAACCTCGAGAAAGAGTGTCGAGACTAATGCGTTTGGATTATGCGTTGGCAGCTGTGTCTGGACAATGCAACTTGGCCTATCCAGAATCACAAGAGTGTCTCGCCCAGAACGAAATGGTTAACTACTCGGTGGTATAAATGGCATCATATTATTTCTTCTCATGTCTGAGATAAATTATTTCCAGGATTATAGCATTTGATCACCAAACAAGCTTGTAATTTAGCGTCGAAGAGAGCACCACCTGCCCATGCTAACAGTTTTCCGCTCGAGACAAACCGATTGTTCCTTCGTATTTAGTCATTTCGGGAAGTTGCTTACGCTGTTATATGAAAGCTTAGTCGGGTCAGAATTGCTCTTGTGAAAGACACCACAGACTATAAGTACATACTGCTCTTGCAGTGCGGGGCATGAAGCTATTTTTGTAAGTCTTCAAATCATTTCACCAGGCGTTTTCCCTTTTTTTTTGACATGGGTAGAGGAAACGCTCCTTGGTGCACGGTATGTACCATGTTGTCTGTACGTTAGTTCACAGTGAGCGAAATAATGTTGACGTAATGGAGGCTGCAAATGACATCCAGGTAGTGTTCGTGCGACATTCATCGGTATATATGGTACAGTGGTTGTGTGTGTGTGTATCTGTCATTGCCCTGGTCTCGCTCCACATATCATTTTTTGAATTACTACATATGTACAGGTACAGGTAGGGTTCCCTCAGCACTTTCAGCGATGTTTCTTGATTCAATCGAATCATTGTAACTGTAAGTAAACCTCGACTAATAGACCCAGAGGATACTATGCAGATTACTGTATGGCATTTCCTGTGGTGACTATAAAAAGTGACTTAGTTTGCTCCAATAAGCTAATTATTGTTCCAGAAACAACGCTTGCCACTGCTACGAACCTCGTTTCCTCACGAAGAATGACTTCTTCCATGACTATTCGTTGCTTATAGCACCACCACAGACAACACTACATACTGTATTTAGAATGCACTGGCGTTGGAACGGGTACCTATTCCTCACCCAGGGGCCTATCGAGAGCTAACGTCTCGTTTTTGACATTTCTCCTCTAGCATCACCGACAATGTGCCATCATACTTGCGTTTTTCCATTCACCTGTATCATCCTCGACATTCACGGATCCCTCCAGTTTGCCTCCCATTGCATAACCGAACCACTTGAAAACAAAGAACACGCATCTTCTTGTACCGGTACGAGTACGAGTACTGTACCCTTGTCTCTCTCTCTGCTTGTACTCGCGTTTCTCTGTCACGTGACGTCCCTTTCTCATGCCGAACCCTGAAGGGCACGGCTGTGGGGGAGATGCATGGAGCACGCGAGCACACCATTTTGTAAACGAGTCAGGTGGGTATCAGCGCGTTGTTTGTGCAGCTGCGATGGTATGCACATTTGTGTGGGCTGTTGTTGGCTCATTTACGAGGCAGCATCCGTCCGAATGGAGGTTCCTCTTTCAGGTGTTTGGCGGCCTCTCACCCTTCGAACATGACAAAGTTTTCTTTTTCGGTGTGGTCAGGTAATTTTTTAGCTTGCTTTTTGGGTTGGTGTTAGTTTTCTCCTTTGGCTTCTGACGGGTATCAACAGGAACCACAGCTTCTACGGGAAGATTTCTCAAACCTTGATGGGTAAAACTAGGCAACCAGGCACACATGTTGCAGGAGGGGTCTGCTGTGGAGGGGAAGGGGGGTAAGACTTCAGGGTAAGCGGAAATGAGATCTGTAGTGTCCCCTGTAATACACATGTCCAATTTTAAACATGGGAATACCCATGTATGAACTGTTATAGGGGCCATTGGTTACCAATTTCCACTCTTTTTCACTTTGCTTTTTGCCAGTGCAGCACTCATGCTTGTCCCAGTTGCCAGCCAATGGATAAGTAGCTAGTTATCGGTGGAAATCGCTACTCTACATTTGAGATTAAAACCTGGGGCTGAATGAATTTTGAGAAACGAGGTGTTCGTATAGCTTGGGGTACTATTTCAACCACTCTAATGCTCACTTTCTCCACTATAACCACCCATACAACCTCCTGTCTTGGCTATGGTCTGCACTCTCCAAAATCGTTTGTTGTGTGTTTATCATTCAGGTATGCATAAGGTTCTGAGACCTCAGGGGATCAGGAGGACTGATTTCTTCGTGACAAGTGATTCACGGTCAGAACGCGGTGAGTGAAAGATATTACATCGCCCTCAAACCTCCGATAGCCTTCCGCGATCTCGGGAAAGTCACCTGCCAACTGCTACACTAAACCAACGTTTTCCACTCTTTTAACACCTCCCTCAAGAAGCACAGCTCCTCCATCATGTCATACGGAACTGCCCCAATCGACTATCCACCAGACCGTCAGAGACGGTCGTCGATTCTCATACCGTCCATCCCCTCGTCTCCCTTCACCGGTGTGAATTCTCTCGGCCGATTTGCTTCGTCTTTTCAGCGAGCTCAGTCCTTTCTGAATCTGGATCCACCCCAGGGTCTTAACCGAGAACGCACCTACTTTGACGATGACGAATTCTCGCCTTACAGACGAGGTGACCACACGGGAGACGATGAGTCTGTGTTTGACGAGTCTGACTTCCTCGATGAACCCTCTTTTGCCTACACCGAATCTGTTCAGCCCAGATCGCGATTAGACTCACTGGTATCTCAAGATGCGCCTCTGCTTGTCAAGCGAGTGGAAAATGCAGATGGTACTATTGTCACATCCGTCGAGGGACAGTCTACTGCCCCCCAGACCGTCTTCAACTCTGTCAACGTGCTTATTGGCGTTGGTCTCCTGTCTCTACCTCTTGGTTTCAAATACGCCGGATGGGGTATCGGAATGGTTTTGCTTCTGGCATCTGCATATTCCACACACTACACCGCCAAACTTCTGGCGAAATGCATGGATACGGATCCTTCTCTGGTCACCTACGCAGATATCGGTTACGCTGCCTTTGGATCCAAGGCTAGAGTGCTCGTCTCGCTTCTCTTCTCTCTTGAACTGGTGGCTGCATGTGTTTCCCTGGTGGTTTTGTTTGCAGATTCACTCAACGCCCTGGTGCCACAAGTGACCAAAACAGAATGGAAGGTTGTTGCGTTCTTCGTCCTTACACCTCCCACTTTCCTGCCTCTGTCAGTTCTCTCCATTTCGTCGATCATGGGAATCATGTCGGTCGTGGGTCTGGTGGTGATTGTATTCATTGACGGACTCGTCAAGCCTACTGCCCCCGGCTCCCTCCTTGACCCTATGCCTACCAGCATGTTCCCTCATGCCTGGATCCTCGTGCCGCTGTCGTTCGGTATCTTCATGGCTCCCTGGGGAGGTCATGCTGTCTTTCCTAATATCTACAGAGACATGCGACACCCCCAAAAGTACACAAAGTGTCTGAAGACCACCTACCGAATCACTTTGGGTCTGGATCTGGCCATGGGTGTGCTTGGTTTTCTTATGTTCGGTGATCAGATCCAAGATGAGGTGACCAAGAACATTCTCACTACGGAAGGATACCCCGCAGTGCTCAATGTCATCGTTACTGTTCTCATTGCTCTTATCCCTCTGTCCAAAACCCCTCTAAACGCCCGACCCATCATTTCCACTCTCGATGCTCTCTTTAACATCCAAGCCAGCCAAACCCCTGGAGCTAAGATTGCCCGAGTTTCCACACGCTGCATCTGTGTGGCTACTTTTGTCATTCTGTCCATGGTGTTCCCTTCCTTTGACAAGATCATTGCTCTCATGGGATCTGGCTTCTGTGTCTCCATTTGTCTCATTCTGCCGCTCAGTTTCTACCTCAAGATTTTCCGACACGATATCAAGGGGGGCGAGCGATTCTTCATCTACGCACTACTGCTCATCTATTCGGCAGTAGCGGTGGTTGGTACCATTTGGTCGTTCCTGGGTGTCGAGCCTCCTCATGTATAGTTTGAACTACAATAAGTACTCGTATACCACAATTTTGCATATAATTAATATAATATATATATTACAAGTACACAGTACGATCTAGGCCTCATCAACTCTCACATAATAGTGAGCTTGTGCTGGCTTATGAAATAGTATTTACTACCATCTCTACTAAGTTAGTACTCCTATTCCTTATAATTACATCATAAACACAGTCGTGCATCCTCTTATCAAGTTACCTCACAACGTAATGCAAAAGTTGTTCCGCGTAGAACCACTTCGCACCTCGTTTTTGGTGAACTTTTGATATTTGGCCTTCTCCTGGCGACATCTCCACAGCTGGTAGATCAGCTTATCGGTTGTAGTCTCCTCAAGTTTCTCGTAGCCCAATGACGCCATAATGGAGTCGAACAGCTCGCCATCAAGATACCGGGAGTTCTCCACGCATGCCTTGGGCAGCACAAAGAACAGAAGACCTTGGGGATGCAGAAATTTGGTGGTCAGCTGGAGCATCTTGCCTCTGTCAGCTGTAACAGGCACAAAATTGAGCACCAGCGATAATGAGATCACGTGATACTTCTCCTGATCGCTCTTGGGAAGCGGTCGTTTCAGGAAATCCTGCTGTTTTATGAGCGGATCATTCGATCTCAGATCGATCCGGTCTATCGTGTCGAACTCGGTTGATTTAGACACAGCATTAGACACAGACAGGCACCCAACTTCCAGCAGCTTCTTCTCCTGACCCTCCTCGAGTGCAAGTTCGTTTCCCTCGTTCTTCAGCCACTTGAGCAGAACGTGTGATGAGTCTCCTCCTCTAGTCTGATCTTGGCCCTTGAGAGACGCCTTCTGGTACACTTCAAGGCCGCCCAATTTCTCCATTTCAGAGTCGATTTGTGTTATTTCAGCGTCGATTTCCGCCTCTTTTGCCTGCTCCTCTGCTTTCTTCATTCGTTTCTTCAGCCCCTGTAGTTGCAACTTTCGCTTGTTCAGCTGGTGGTACTTGTTGATAATTGAGCGCGTGGATGCGGCCTTGAGCCCAGTTGTTTTTCGTGCATTTTGTTTCCCCGTGATTGGCGATTTTTTGCCGAAAAACACCATCTCCAATGTTGAGCGAGCTGCTGAAATACGCTGCTGGAAAAATGTTCACCCAAATTTACATGTTTCAAAATCTGCGTGATAACCCTTAAACTCGAGAGTCTAATTGGCGGTCTAAACACGAATACCCGAAACACCATAAAGCAGGAGAATGGAGCAATAATAAGTAGTGGGGTTACATTAATCACGTGTCATACCCTCATAATCCCTTGACTCGGACACCGACATCCACGTTGGAAACCGAATGCACAGCCTCGGAATACTCCTGTAACAGGGTGGTGCTCAACTCTAAACACTTATCCAGTTGGGTGGGTCTACCGATCCCCTTGACTCCCATAGCCTCCAGAAGTGATTGAGTGGTAGAGCTGAGTTCACTTGAAACATCAATGTGATCCAAGTTGGACTCGTACTCGCCGGACATTATCTCTGAGTTACTCGGGCGCCGCTCTCGGAGCTGTTTCAGTTCCTGCTGTTGTTTTCGCACCTGAGCTTCGAGGTCCTTGTTGATTTGGGTGAGAGTCATGTTCGTAATTTTCAGGTCTTCAATTTGGCGGGTGATTCGGGCTCCCTCGGCCTCGGAAAGGTGTGCTCCGTCCCTCGTTGGTGAATACACGGAGGGTGTAATACATGGAGTGTCTCTTGGAGTGTGGGGTCCTTGAGGAGTGCTGGTGAGACTTTGGAGCTGGACCATGTGTGGAGGAGATACACATGCGATTCTGTTGGTGGAGTTTGGACTGGGCGACGTGGGTGACTGGACCCGTTCCGTCTGTTTCATGTCTGTTTCTGTCATTTGTCGGAACAAGTTCATGCCGTTTTCTGCGTTGGGGTGGTCTAATTTCCCGCCGTTTCCAAGGTGGCTGTTTTTGTTGCCATCTCCGAGCAGGTTCATACCTTTTATACCCTGAGTCATTTCGGCAGTGTTGTAGTGGCTCAAACCCCCAGATCAGACGATTATCTGCGCGTGGGAGCTGCAGGGGTTGATTAGATTGTGTAGATACTTGGTGGGTCGATTTCGGGCCGGGAACGTAATTTCGAGCTCGGCGTATTGTCGGGGATACAAAAGCGAAGCCGTTGGTGGAGCGAAAAAGTAGTGGGCGCGATACGGAACGGGCTTCGTATTTATTTTGGCGTCACTCGGACCAGCCAACTTAAATCGGTCAGAAGACCTTGAAAGAGTTCACCCTTCTGGGTTAGAGTGTGTTTCATGGTGGAGATTAAATTCCAGGAGTGAAAAAGCAAGTTGGGGTAAGATGAATATGAGCTCCCGGGGTAGGTAGATGTGATTATAGCGAGTATATTGGTACTGTATGACACTAATAGGTGTGTTCTCTGCTGTCAAATTATCCGGTTTGGACGACTTCGAAGAGCTCGCAAAATACAAGTTCAAGTATGTCGGGTCCATTTAGGTAGCTTAACACTCACAACGGTTAGGCACAGAGTTGGCGGTCCAAAACAGCTTGGAGGCGAAAGTGAGACAAACTGCGGTGTCCAGGGGAATATACGAGGTTTCACATGGATCTCGAAGGGTTATGAAAGCGGGGTACAAAGTGTTTCATCGCCCTCGACCTTGTGTTATGGAGTGACGGAGATATTGTTGTGGTGGTTGAGCCGTTTGACTTGCAACGGGCTGACCTTAGTATACCCAATACGGAGAGGTCTAGAAGCTGGAACCGCAGATTTACGGTACATAGTAATTAGCAGTGTCAGATGTTCCACGGAACAAGCGAGCGTTGTGTGCGATATTTAATGCGACTTCGCGAGCAAGGGATGGGTACGGGGCGACTAGGGTTGCATAATATCTATCGTATTTGGTGCATGTTGTAGCTATTTTTACTGTGCTGTGTAGCTGATAAATACCGTAATGGTGCCCAGGGTACAAGTACGTACGAGTACTCGTCCGAGTAGCTATCGCAATGGAAATTTGGGGACAACTGAGGAGAGATAGAAACAGGCCCCTTGGAGACGGAGAACCATCTTTCAGAATCACGTCGAGACCAAGTAATAGGGCCCTCTTTCACCAACTCTACTCTCTATAATGGACTCACACAAGCGGAAGCTCAGACCAACAAGAACATGAACGAGCATCTTGGGATTCTGTTGTGTATTAATTAGCAGAAACACAAGACAAGCGGCGGTTCTGAGATGACTGCAAGTAGTAGCGGTGGTTAGCCATACAATACTTATTGTTTAGCCCAAGCACAGCTGTTGCTCTGCTTTAACAGTCAATGTTCCCATCATATCTCGGATTTCAGTACAAGTAGCTACTTGTACTCGTCTCATTTGTTTTTTTGGAAACAGTGCCGGCCCCTTATAAATACTTGTACTGCATCTCATGCAGCCGTACCCGTGAGCATATAGAGGACGAGTGTTTCATCAAGTCGCTCGTTGGTTTGTTTTTGCATGATTACTAATTGAGACAAATATTTGAGAGAGTGATGTCCGAGCTGGAAGTACAGTATGTACATACTCGTACATGTACAGACTCAAACATAAAGAAGAAATCCGGACTTCTCAATGATCTTGCACTATATACCCCTCTTAAGACGACTGCGAAGCCCATCTTCATTATTACTAACACTCTCGACAAAAAACATGCTTATGCTTATCTACCCACTGGTGACAGATGAACTCGAGACCCATAGAACGCCACAGAATCACAGTGAAGCAAAGTCATGATTCTAACAAGCAATTATGTTCCTCAAACACCCTTCAGCAATATTACGAGAACCTCTCGCTAGTCGCCGTCTCTCCACCCAGCCGGCATATCCGCGGCATGTCCAGATATAGTTCACTATCTCAACGCCGTCTACTCTTTCCAACATGGTTTATATGCAGTGGTGGATCCAAAACCAAGCTAGGTAGCCAAATTTCTTTCTCCTGACACATACACACCACATAACCGCAATCACCGACAAAATGACCGATACTTTCGATCTCTCTCTTAAATCAGCCAACAAAATCTCCGACAAGCTGCCCAAGGAGCTCCAGAACCCCCAGATCGGTATCGTGTGCGGATCAGGTCTCGGCGGCCTTGCTAACGCTCTCAAGGCTGAGCCTCAGGTCACAATCGAGTACAAAGACATTCCTGGCTTCAAGGTCTCTACCGTGGCTGGCCACGCCGGCAAGCTCGTCGTTGGTCTGCTGGGTGAGAAGAACGTCCCTGTTGTCTGCATGGTGGGCCGGTTCCACTTCTACGAGGGCTACGACATCCAAGACACCGTCTTCCCCATCCGAGTTTTCTCCCAGATTGGCATTAAGACCGTCATTCTGACCAATGCTGCCGGCGGTCTTAACCAGGACTTCAAGGTCGGAGATATCATGCTTATCAATGACCACATCAACCTACCGGGCCTGGCAGGCAACAATCCCCTGAGAGGCCCCAACGACGAGAAGTTCGGAGTCCGATTCCTACCTCTGTCAGATGCCTACGACCATGATCTGCGACGAGCCGTCTACGACATTGCCAAGAAGCAGGGCGTGACTCGAGGCATCCACGAAGGTACTTATGCATTCGTCTCCGGACCCACCTATGAGTCTCGAGCTGAGGCTCGAATGCTATCTACCATTGGGGCTGACGCCGTCGGTATGTCTACAGTCCCAGAGGTGATTGTGGCTCGACATTGTGGAATCAAGGTGCTTGCTCTGTCACTCATCACCAACGTTGTCGTTCTCAAGAAGCCCGACAGCGCTCTGAACGACAATGCTGCCAAGCTTGATGAGGGTATTGCCGACCACAGCGAGGTCATGGAGGAGGGTCAGCGAGCTGCCGATGATCTCGTTGGCATCGTTACCGATCTGGTTAACGTTGTTTAGTTACTAGTTTAGTCGACATTATCTATTTTACTGTGTGACCTGTAGTGCAGTTATCTGGCAACTGTATGGGTAGGTGCCTCCAATTGGTGATCTCGAGACACGATCTTTACATAATTGAACATAGTAGGAGGTTTTTCTACAGTATTTATAAACATTGAAACCCGTATTCCCATTGCATGTCACTACAATTTCTCCCGACAATACTCATACATATATTCTCTATGGTTACTCCTCGACAACACCAGCGGACTCCCACTCGCCAGTGAGATTCTCCTTCCACAGAGTGACCTTGTTGTCGCCTCCAGAAACTGCCAGCACGTTGCCGGACAGAGACCAGCTAACCTTCCACACCACATCGGGGAAGGGGATGTCCTGAAGCAGCTTCTTCTTCCATGGCTGGTTGCCCTCCTGGGTCCACACAATGACGGTCTTATCCTGCGAAGCGGAAGCAATGTAAGACTTGGACAGAACAGAGGAAGACCAGGCAACGTCTCGAACCCAGTCCTTGTGGCCAGAAAGTGTCTCCTCAATCACGTAAGTCTTGGAAGAGGGGTCGTACTTCCAGATCTTGACGAGGTTGTCGCATCCTCCAGTGACAATTCGAATGTTGTTTGATGCTTTGCCGTTGATGGGCTGAATGAGCGAGCCGGACACGGCAGGGGGAGCCCAGGAGGCGGAGTTGGCGCCCACATCATGGGCGGCGAAAGTGGTGGCCTCGCAGTTACCTCCCTCCTTGAACTCGACTACGGACACGTTGCCGTCGGAAGAAGCGCATAGGAGTAGGGGCCCGTACTCCTGGGGAGCCCACACCACCGAGTTGACGGAGGCATTGTGCTGATGCTGAGCAATGTTAGTCCATCGACCGTTCTCCTCTCGCCAGATGAACACCTTGCCATCGTAGGAGGCAGAGGCAATAATAGAGCCGAACTTGGGATGGGCCCAGCTGACCTGCCAAACGGGGCCCTCGTGTCCTCGCAGCGTCTCGACGAGTTTGTGGTTGTCTCCATCAATCTCGAAGATCTTGATGGTCTTGTCAGACGAACAAGTGGCCAATCGCTTGCCGTAGTAGTCCAGGACGGCGTCGTGGATGAGGTCGTCGTGCGTGTTTCCTATGGTCACCTGGGTTAGCTGATTGCCGGATCATAGCTGTCGTTTCCATACTCACCATTCTGATGGATAGTTAGATATGTCGTGTTCTCACGTTTGAGTTCAGTGATGTGTGTGGTGGGTGTGTCCTTGCATACGGTACTCGTAACCTGTTGTAGGGACAGGAGCGACGCGGGAGGGAGGGACAGGCAATTTCAGTTGACACTCTGACTCAAACCACCATGGGATTAATGTTGGTAATTCACCACTTTCTATCATTCATTTCATCATTCCTCCTACATTGAGGTGTTGTGCAACGTGTACCTGCAAATTAAAGTTGTAAACGTAAGGGATCATCGAAGAGACGTGAGGTCGTGGAAACAAGTAAACACGTAACCACGAGGGAGTGGATGTTGATAGAGAAAGTGGTGGAGAGGTACGAAGAGGTATAAAAAAGCTCTAGGATAACGGATCAGACAAAAAAAAACAGCTCTAAATCAATAGAAGGGATGGTTCACTATGGCTTGTTGTCAGCTTGAACGAAAGTAAAGTAAAATACTTAACGGTAAACCAACCATTCGCATACTGACGCACAAATAATTTCTGTCAACCGTGAACATATTCTTTTGACCCAAGTATTTCGAATTGGAGGAGAACTAAGAGAGTGAAAGGTTTTCAAAATAAGAGAAAACCCATGGTTTTGGTGTAGCCATTCAATCACGCACTCCTGTCATATCAACCATAGCCATCTCTTACCTCACTCTCCTCCAGTATCCATTTATGTAGAACTCTAATAAGATCTTGCATGATATGACAAACTGACCATTGTTGATACGGCAATCACAGTGGATATGACGAGCCAGTTCAAAAACAGCATCAATGACTACCTGGAAGGTCTTCCGGAGGCAGTACTAACTCGGCTGTACCAGTCTCCGGCCACATGTCTGGCGGTGTTCCGACTGCTACCTGCTCTGGCAAGAACACTCATCATGGGCATGATTTTCAACCCCGATCCCATAGCAGTAGCCGACGTCGACGCTCTGGTGAAGCCTTCAAGTCAGCGACTCAAGCTCGAAACACAGAAGAAACTGCGACTGCTCCACATTTTCACAGAGACCCAGGCCCATATCATCATTAATCCGACATTCAAAAAGAACCTGAGGGCAGCTCTGGTAGGAGGAGACCAGAACATTTCGTTTGGAGTGCCCTGCGACACGGAAGACAAACACAAGGTGGATGTGGCGTTTTTGGATGCTCACGCTGTCTCTCAATGGGAGATGATCTTACATTTTATGGTCGGAACGTCGATTGGAAGAACACCCAGTGATGGAGTGCTCAACCTGCTGAAGCACAGTGGACTTATGGAACCCGAACGGGGAGGACTGAGAATCACCAATGCAGGATTCCAGTTCTTGCTACAGGATGTAAATGCTCAGATTTGGACACTGTTGCTCCAGTATCTCAACATGTCCGAGTATCTGCAGATGGATCCTGTAGACGTGCTCAACTTCATTTTCATGCTAGGTTCTCTCGAGCTAGGCCAGGACTACTCGCTCAGTGCACTCTCCGAGACACAGAAACACATGCTGGAGGATCTGCGGGATTACGGTATCGTCTACCAGCGAAAAGCATCGTCTAGACGATTCTATCCTACGCGACTGGCTACTACTCTGACATCAGAAACGGCTGCACTTAGAACAGCCAGTCAGAGCATGGAAGCAGCTACACAAGACACAATTTCGTCTTCTGTTGCTGCCGACTCTGGATTTATCATTCTGGAAACTAATTTCAGACTCTACGCCTACACAGAGTCTCCACTACAGATCGCAGTACTGAACCTTTTTGTCAATCTTAAGACACGATTTGCAAACATGGTTACCGGTCAGATCAACCGAGACTCGGTTCGATTTGCGCTCTCAAACGGTATTACTGCCGAACAAATCATCACATATCTCTCTGTTCATGCACACCCACGTATGAAGGGGATGGAACACGTTCTTCCCCCTACTGTGGTGGATCAGATCAAACTGTGGCAACTTGAGATGGACAGAATCCGAGCCACCGACGGTTACTTGTTCTCCGAGTTCAAAAACTTTGACGAGTACAAGGATGTCTCCACTTATGCCAAGGAGCTGGGCGTTCTCTTGTATGAGAATCCTGGAAAGCGAAAGTTCGTGTCTACGCTTGCTGGTTCTCAGCAGATTGTTGAGTTTGTCAAACGACGAAATCAAAAGCACCGTAGCTCCGCAAACTGACCAACTAGAAATTGACCATCAAAACCATAGCATATAATAGATCGCACTAATAAAACAAGCGATGTCAACGTTGAAGTTATTCAATCCATACTATATACTGCCCAGACATTTCCTTCATTAAAGCCCATAAGCGGAGGAAAAAGCACTGTCAATATAGACAGTGACAGCATCGCTGGACCCGTCGGGGCTGAGTCGCTCGGACTTTGCCAAGTCTCGCACTAGCTCGTCCAGTTTGGTAGATTCACCCTCAAGCTCAGCGACAGAGCTGTTCATGAGGAAGCCGGTGACAAGGTCGTCGACGCCGGCAGCAAGCTTATAAATACGGGAGTTGACACTTACAAGTCTGTCCTTGGAAGTGGCATCAGCATCAGCCTTGCATAGAGACGAGTATCGTGATGCCAGAGCCTGAACGAGCTTGAATAGGGTAATGAGCTTTGCATGCCACTTCTCAGCCAAAGCAACAATTTCGTCGCTTCGGGAAGTAGGGGCAGCGGGAGCAGCAGGTTCTGCCTCGTCATCAGTGTCTTCATAGTCGTCCAGTCCAAAGGGATCATCATCTTCGTCATCAGCATTATCCAGCCACTCCTTGAGCTCGTTAACAGCATCAGTCATGACCAAACAGGTCTCCTTGAGACGTCTCTTGGCGACGTCCAAGAATGGGGTCTTGCAGAACTCCTGGACGGCGTTGCAGTATTTCCAGGTCTGAGCTACTCGAATCAGTTGCTTGGAGTATGCTTCAGCAGCAATCTGTTCCTCTTGCTCCTCAGCAGACAGTTCGGGGCCCTTGACTTCCTCCTCCACAGTGAGGTTGCCAATTGCATCAGTCACTTCGTCGTCACTGTCACCTACAGGCACGTTATCAAGCATAGTCTGGGCAGCCTTACTATCCATCTTCAGAAGAGACTGGACAACACGGCTGAAAGTCGAAATACCACCACAGACATCTCTAAGCTTAATACGAAGCTCCTTTTGCATCAATTCGTGAGCATCACTACTGTCAGACAGAGACACAAAGTTCTGATACTCTCCAGTGAAGGCTGGCAACACCTTACGCAGATCAGAAACAGTATGAACAGCAATGTCCACGGACACAGGGGGCTTGAAGGCCACACCACACTTGGTCATGTGGGCATGGCACAATTTCGCTAGGTCGCTGACGGTGGCGAAAATCTGCTCATCGGTCTTGTCGGTCTTCTTCTCCACACTCTTGGTCTCCTTCCACACGATATCTGTTGCTGCGAGATCCTCATCGAGCTGTGTGAGCTCGGCAAACAGCTTGTTGAGCTTCTCTGTGTCGGGGTTGTCGGGCTTGAGTGCCGCCTTGGGCTTAGCGGGCCGTCTTTTGTTTCTAGGAAGGACCATGATCGTGTAATGTTAGTCTCCAAACGGGTTGATCAAATAAATTTCAATCTAGGTTTTCTTGCAGGAGATGGTGATATGGCCAGTATGTACAAAGGCGGTGGGTTCTTCTCGCTATAAGAGATTCTGTTGCCACTACAGTAATACCGATGCATCATGTAACCTGTACCGGTACTTATAGAACTTCACGATTCAAACGCCCTACTACAGTAAGAACATGACCGGCTCGTACTCTCATATCAACTCACATCAAGTAATTACAGCATACAGTCTCGTCAACTTATAGTAGAGAAAATTGGCTACAACCATAACACACGCTCTTGACTATCATATTACAATACCAAACACCATCAGAGTAAATCAAACAACAAAAGGCTGCGTAAAACACATAATTCTCTTTATCCGCATCTATCAACACTGCCTTCGCCACTTTGCCACCACTTATTGTACATCCAAATATAAGCCAAATATAAGCAGACCTTAATCGCTCTCCAAACCTCCCAACACACCTCCTATCGAGAGTTTATCAACACATCACCACATTGTACTACAGCGACACACGCCAAAATGGATGAGGATCTAATCAAGACCGTTAACCGTCTTCAGGTGAGTATTACGAGATGATATTAACGGGACATATTTCGAAGAAGAGACATGTGACACGGAGCTGGATATTGTGTTGTGCCAATCACCAACATGTGCAACTGTAACGTACACCTGGCATAATTCGATGACAAGACTCAACACAGAGGGCGACGATGGGCTGGACACAGAGGTTATGTCGTGGAAATTAACATTATTACGAACGATGTGATGTTCCGAGGCTTCTACCTACTGATCACAGTCAAGATGGTTCTCCGTAATCTGTGCATAGCTAGCAGAATGTCTACCGTGCACCCCCACCCCCACGACCTACAAGCTCGCCACATAAACAGCTACTAACCCAGGACGCATTCGCCACACTCGGAACTACTGTCAACCCTATTGATCTGCCTCAGATCACTGTGGTGGGCTCGCAATCGTCCGGAAAGTCGTCAGTGTTGGAGAACATTGTCGGCCGAGACTTCCTGCCCCGAGGAACGGGAATTGTCACCCGGCGGCCCCTTGTGCTCCAGCTGACCAACAAACCCGACTCGGAAGAGTACGGAGAGTTCCTGCATCTTCCCGGCAAAAAGTTCACCGACTTCAACGAGATCCGAAACGAAATTGCCAAGGAAACCGATAAGGTCACCGGGTCCAACGCAGGCATCTCATCGTCACCCATCAACTTGCGAATCTACTCGCCCAAGGTGCTTACCCTGACTCTGGTTGATCTACCCGGTCTCACAAAGGTCCCTGTTGGAGATCAGCCCAAGGACATTGAGCGACAGATCAAGGAAATGGTTCTGGGATTTATTTCCAAGCCCAATGCTATCATTCTGTCCGTCACTGCTGCTAACACCGATTTGGCCAACTCTGACGGTCTCAAGCTCGCCCGAGAAGTCGATCCCGAGGGAACCCGAACCATTGGTGTTCTTACCAAGATTGATCTTATGGACCAAGGCACAGACGTCATCGATATTTTGGCTGGCCGAGTTATTCCTCTCAGATACGGATACGTTCCCGTAATTAACCGAGGCCAGAAGGACATTCAGTCCAACAAGAACATTAGCGCTGCTCTAGAGTACGAGAAGAACTTTTTTGAGGGCCACCCCTCGTACCGAGCCAAGGCTCAGTTCTGCGGAACCCCCTTCCTTGCTCGAAAGCTGAACATGATCCTGCGACACCACATCAAGTCACAGCTCCCTGATATCAAGAGCAAGATTCACAGCACTCTTGCGAAGTATCAGAGCGAGCTTTCTGCCCTGGGAGGTGACGATATGCTTGGATCTCCCTCCAACATCGTTCTCAACCTCATCACTGAGTTCTCCAATGAGTTCCGAACCAACCTGGATGGTAACTCTCAGGACCTGTCTACCAGTGAGCTGTCTGGAGGTGCTCGAGTCTCGTTTGTCTTCCACGAGCTCTACGCCAATGGTATTAAGGCTATTGATCCCTTTGACCAGGTTCGAGACGTTGATATTCGAACCATTCTGTACAACTCCTCTGGTTCTTCTCCTGCCCTGTTTGTGGGTACCGAGGCCTTCGAGGTGATTGTCAAGCAGCAGATCAAGCGGTTTGAGGAGCCCTCTCTGAAGTGTGTCGCTCTTGTCTACGACGAGCTAGTTAGAATTGCTCAGCTGTGTCTTACTCGTCCTGGTATGAAGCGATACCCCAAGCTCAAGGATCAGATCTTCACTCTGGTTGTCTCTTTCCTCAAGCAGGCTCTCCTCCCTACCAACACTCTTGTTTCTGACATTGTTTCTGCTGAAGCCTGTTACGTCAACACTGGTCACCCCGACTTCATTTCCGGCCACACCGCGCTCTCTCTTATCCACGACAAACACCATCCCGCACCAAAGACTGAGGTGATCACCGGCAAGAACAAGCGAGGATCTCCTGCACCTACACAGACTGCACAGCCCCCTAAGGATGAATCGAAGGAGGGCGGTTTCTTCGGCTCGTTCTTCTCTTCCAAGAACAAGAAGAAGATGGCTGAGATGGAGGCTCCTCCTGCCGTTCTCAAGGCTTCTGGTACTCTGAACGAGAAGGAGTCCATGGAGACAGATGTTATCAAGCTCCTCATCACGTCGTACTTCAACATTGTGCGACGAACCATGAACGATTTAGTGCCGAAGGTGATTACTCTTAACCTGGTCAAGCATTCCAAGGACTTGTTGCAGAAGGAGCTGCTCCAGAAGCTCTACCTAAATGAGAAGCTCGACGATCTGCTACAGGAGAGTGATTTTACCGTCCAGCGACGAGACGAATGCAAAAAGATGGTGGACAGTTTGTCCCAGGCAGCAGAAATCGTCGCTTCTGTATAATTAGACAAGTACAAGTAGAGAAAAGTCTTATAGTAATGTTATGATGAATCAATGAATCGGGTGGAGGTACCGTACAATTACCGCAGTACCATATACAACACCAGAAAGATGCAGAGTTTATCGCAAGTACAAGTACATACAGTACAAGTAGTACAAAGTGCAAATGCTCGTACTCGTACAGGACGTGCAGAGAGCGGGATCAAGTTGGCTCGTATATTATTGCCACGCTTTCAAGCTCCCAGACCCAACAAGGTTGTATACATACAATAAACCGCTTGTTCATATTCCACTTGTTTGCATTGGAAGCAAGTGAGTGGTGTGATATTAAAGCTGCTAAAGAACTATCTGTCTCCGAATGACGATTTTTCAGTCACGTTACCCGAAGGTTCTTCGGCGGGTCTCTCGGGGCCAGGGGGGAGACGAGAAGATTTTTTCCGATTTCATTTGCTTATTTTAATCCAATTCTTCATTTGCGTTTCTGACCGGCTGTATGTTGACGTAATCGCTAATCGGGATTGTCTGCAAAGGTCTTCCTGAACACTGGCGACGCATCGATGCGTCGGGTTGTGTGGTTATTTCAAGACCGCGCAGCATCTCGATGCGGGGCCATCTCGTATTAGCAGTTACACTGCCTTCTATAAAACGTTCCATACATGTCATAATCGGTCTTTCGGGCGTGATAGACATGCCGGCTGAGCCTATACAGCTTTCGACTTGAAGATTGTTCTAAAAATATTGTAAGGTTTGGCCCAAATTGAAGAGAGAGCGGGTGTTGGTGGAAGCGAGCAAAACTCTGTTTGGACCTTCTGGCAGGTGGAAGACCTAGGTTTATAGGTGGGGTTGTAAAGCGGATAACAGTAAGCAGAGTGGATCGATAAGGAATGGGAGCGACAGATATAGTGTAGTAATTTTTCTAGCATACAAATACGATAGATGCATCCTCTGATATGAATTCCCTTGTTCGCAGTGTTGTTCATGTGTTACTCCACTGCACAGCCGTGCGTGCACTATCCTTGTGGCTGTGTTTTGCTGTGCGTCTGGGACTGCATAAAAATCAGTCCCTAGTCTACCTTTGGAACGAACCCTCTGAAGATTATCGTACTTGTACTCGAACTTGCACTCGCACACTTCTCATCCAAACGTCGTCAATTACACTGCAACTATCACCACTCAGTTACAGTCAAAGAGAGAGTTTTACCACTATCAGCCAGACCACAAGTCATCAAAACTTCAGATACACACTAAATCGTCATCACACATCTGAACTAGGATCATCGACCTACTGTAGTCAGCGACACCACTTGTATTACGACACAATACTACAACACACACACACACACACACACACAATGGGCATCAAGGATTGGCTACTTTCAACCGAGCGAGGAGAGACCGTGGACAGAGCTCGAGAGATGCTCTCGGAAGAAGAGGCTATGCGCCGGTATGAGGAGCTGGTGAAGGCCGGTTTCCTGGATTCCAAACTGGCTCCTTCTGTCAGCACGTTTGCACGAGTGCGATCGCTACTATTGATTTTCCTCGCAGTCGGCATCGTTGCCGGTGTCATCTATGTGTCCTGGGTCGTCTACCTTGGTTTCAAGGCTACTGTCAAGGAGGGTCTCCAGCGTCACCACATCAAGGTGTCCCGAGACGGAGCTCAGGTGGAAGTGAAGAATGTGACCCAGGAACGAATGATTGAGAAGGCCACCAAAAAGGGTCTTAGGGCATGGGAGCGAAGTGACGCATGGATGGCTTCCAGCGTAGCTGTCCAGCATGCTAATGAACGAGAAGCTGCACGAAAGCGAAACGCCTGATTGCAATGATTTAATCGAACATATGTAAATGAATGGAGTTAAAAGTATTATGAAAATACGGACGTCGGAGATATGCTACAGTACAGCGAGGTTCTTATCAAGAATGATATGGCGTTTATGGTTGGCCTTCACAAAATCAGGGGGATCATGGGAAGTTCGCACACACCACCACCAATTTTTTGGTATTTTTTATTTCAAACCCTGCAATTGTGTCTTCAGGCTGAAGGGAGGTTGAATTGTAGCGTCAAAACCCACGTTTAAATCCCTATCCTGTGGATATCTACAGTACAAATACTGAACCCGTAAGTCTCTCACAATTACGCGTACAGATAGTTGTGCAACTAATTATGATGCACTGTAAGATGAGATTCCAGGTTCATCGTCCCACAGAATCAATCCCAACTCTGATAAAAAATCTACGACGAGTGCTAATTACACGCTATCAAGACATTTCACAGACGCCATACAGCCTACAGTATGTAGGCGATACTATAAACCAGTCTACTGTACTGGTAGTACAGCACCTCTGGAGTACGAGCACAAGTACAATATGTACTGTACATACGATAATAGCAACGCGAGTCTAATCTATCTTTTTGAGCGTCGTTAATTGATTTTCCTAAATGACACTTTCGGAAATAAATGATGCGTCCTAGTAGCGGCCCAGAAGAGCCCAGATCTGAATCCAGACATCCAAGCATCGCATAAACACCCCGAACAGCTTATTAAACACCATATCCCGCTCTAACCCGTTCTTTGGCTCACGTTCCACCCTTTTCCATCACTACCATCTCTAAATTATACTTCCCCCGATAGGTCATGTGACGGTCCAAAGTGTTGAACTATAACCCAGACATCTCATTCCCACAGTAAACTCGGAGAATCAGCTGACCAACGCGGAGTTTTTTGTTTCCTTTCGAGATTTATTGCCACCGGGCTCCAGGCCAGAACAAATTTCGAACACAAAAAACCAACTACTCGCCACTTAGCATTACCACCCCCCCCAAAAGCCACAGCTGAGCACTGCACGCTGGAACTCTAACGCGCACTCCACCATCTATATACTCGAACACAAAAACCACGCTTGCCAACACCAGCACCACAGCTCACCAGCCCACCAACATGGAAGCTATCAGTTTGTTGTCCAGCGATGAGGAGTCTGACGGAGAGTCTTTCAACAAGCACCTCCAAAACCTTTCGTCTGGAGGCGGCCTCAAGCGTCCCTTCGAACAGGCCTCACCTGTGCCAGTTCAGGCCAAGCCAGACAATGGCCTGAATGCCTACAGAGACTCTCTCAAAACCATGGGAACCAACACCAGCTTCTCAGCCTCAAGCATTCCTGGCGCGTTCCCCCAGGCTTCGAGTTCTCAAAACGACCCCAAACGACACAAAGTGGCTGAGGAAATTACTCTCAGCTCTGATTCTGGAGACGATGACATCGTGGAGACTACTCCTGCGCCAACACAGCTCTCACAGACAACGGGGGTTACTATGAGCAGTAAGAACGCCAAGCTGGAAGAGCTCTATAGACAGGCAGAAGCCCAGTTCTACGCAAACCAACAGGTTGGAGTAAGGGAGCGATCGGTGGGCCTTTCAGCCATCAAGGCGCGTCAGACTCTGAAGGATCGACTTGCCATTGCCGAACAAAAGTCCAGGGAAGCCCAAGAACGTCTGCGTGCTATCAACAGAAACTTTGACATCGATCACGACACTAGAATCGCCATGGCCCAGAAAGCAGATCAAAACGCGCGTCTGCTGTGGAGCGAGAAGGGCGCTCGATCGCAAGCGCTGCGTGAGAGAACGCTGCTTATGCTTCAATTCTTTGCAGAGCCAGACAAATATGTTCAGCATGTCATGCAGATTCTTCTCCAAGCCAGCGGCATTACTGTCAACCAACATAACCAGAACCAGCAGCAACGGATGCAGCAGCCCCAGCCTGCACATGTGCTTCCCTACCAGCGAAACCCATCCAGCCACCGTCCTCGTGCCCATTTTGATGTGGACATGGTCAACGACGGTATCGAGTTGGTTGGAGGGTTCCCCAACGGGCCTCGTACTGCACCTTCTCTGTTTAGTCGAGGTGCCATCGAACTTGATTCGGATGACGAGGAAGCATACAGTGCCAGCGCAGGCATGGATGCCGATGAAGCAGAAAGTATCCGTAACCTCCTCGAGTCTGCCACATCTGGTCTGGGCACCGATGTCAACGACAGTGCATTTGACGATGTGGAGAACATGACTCCCGAGACAATGCACTCCAAGCTGCTTCCTCATCAGAGTCTGGGAGTCAAGTGGATGCTGGACGCCGAGAAGAATCAGCAGAAGCGAGGAGGACTATTGGGTGATGGTATGGGACTAGGTAAGACGGTGCAGGCCATCGCCCTCTGGGCCAACAAGCCCACAGAGGATCCTGAGGAGCATGACCATGTACCTAGACATGCAAAATGTACTCTGATTATTGCTCCTGTCGGTCTATTGCACATGTGGAGTAACGAGTTCGACACTCACATGAAACCTGATCATCGGCCCCGAACACTGCTGTACCATGGTCCATCCACAAAGAAGCAGTACAACACCTGGGAGAAGCTATCCGAGTTCGATGTTGTGCTGGTGTCTTTCCAGACGCTGGTCACCGAGCACAAGAAGATGTTCTTCAGTTCCGGCCTGAAAGTGACTGAAAACATCCGGGGCCCTGATGGCAGAATGCATCGTCACAGACGTGCCATGAGACCCGAAGAGTTCCAATCGGTGTCTTCTCCCTTCTATGAGGGTGACGCTTACTTCTATCGCATTATCATCGACGAAGCGCACTCTATCAAAAACCGAAACACTGCCAGCGCCAAGGCCTGTTACAAGTTAGACGCGGTGTATCGGTGGTGCCTGACCGGTACTCCTATGCAAAATACAGTCGAAGATTTGCAATCGTTGGTCAAGTTTCTGCGGATTAAGCCCTACGACAAGGAGAAGAGCTTCAACCACCACATTGCCTCTGGTATCAAGAAGGCGGCGATCTCTGGTAAAGCAGTGCGAGATGATAGTATGAAGCGTCTACAGTCGCTACTTGCGATGATCATGCTTCGTCGAGGCAAGGACTCGAAGATTAACGGAGCGCCCATTCTCAATCTGCCTCCTAAGACCGTCGAGACTGATGCTATTGACTTCTCGGAGGATGAACGGAAGTTCTACCAAGATCTCGAGACTGGTGCCCAGCGACGAGTTTCCAAGCTCATGCGACAGGGTGGTATTGGCAAACACTATCAGAACGTTCTTGTTCTGCTGCTGCGTCTCCGGCAAGCATGTTGTCATTACCAACTTGTTCGAGCTGCTGAGGATGGAGCAGAACAGCAGGAGCTCACTCGAGACGAGCTGTCGTTTGTCATTGAAGGCTGCAAGGCTTTTGCCCCCAACACTGTTCTTCGAGTGGCTACGCTGTTCAAGCAGATGCAGGACGCTGATGATCTTCGACGGCAGACTGAGGGGGACGACGAGGAAGGGACTGCAGGTGCCAAGATTGAGGAGATCATACCTGGTGTCACTCGAACATCTGCCAAAGCCGAGAAGGTTGATCCTATGGTTGAAGACGAGTTGAACACCATGTTTGGTGTTGTCAACGACACTGTCAAGGATGTCAAGGCCAAACAGGAGGAAAGGGACATGTCCAAGTTTGTTGTCAACGATGATAGCGACTTGTCTTCTCTTGACATCATTGACGAGCCCAGCCCTGATACCTCTGCTGCTTCGTCTATCAACGGACGAGATGCTGTCAAGGCTGAGGCTGTTCCCGTGATTCCCAATGGCGGTTCTGAGGCTGACACTGCTTCCAACGGTGGTATAAACTACAAGGAAGAGTTTCCTATTACCAACGGAACTGTTACTTCTGTGAAGGGTGAGGACGTTGAACCTGATGTCAGTCTCGAAACGCCTGAGCCTTCGATCCAGGCACCTCGACGACGAACTTACAACAATGCTGTGGAATCCGACGACGACAAGGACGATTCTCCCGTTGGTTCACGACGAGCGACCCGATCTCGAGCCGTGAAGATTGGCAATGCTGCCGAGGACTCGGATGGTGAGGGAGAGTGGCTTGACTCCGACGATGCCACTTGCAGTGAGGAAGAGGATCCTCGTGATCGCAAAGGCAAGGGCAAGGCTCGTAACCAGCGTGTGGACCGTCTAAAGCGTCTTCGAGAGCGAAAGTTCGGCTTTCCTCTTGAGACCTGTGATGAGAGCGAGACACCTGGAGATGCGTACGACGACGCTCAAATTGCTCGTGAGGAGAAGCGCCTTGCTGAAGGATTCGAATGTCCCATATGTACAGACACTGTTCCTCAGTCTCAGGTCCGTCTCTTCTCCACTTGTGGCCACTCCATTTGCCACGAGTGCAGTGTCTCCTACTTCTCTTCTGTTGTCACTCCTCTGTGTATGACTTGCCGAGAACCCATCAGCCAGAGCACGATGGTGCCTCTTCGGGTGTTCCAGAAAATGCATCTCGAGAAGAAGTCCCCTCGTGAGGTGACTCGGGAGATTCAGTCTGAGCAGGCCCGTCAGAAGAAGCATCGAGAGGCAGAGAAGCAGAAGATTGAGGAGGAGGATGAGAAGCTGCCTCCTTCAGCTAAGGCTCTGCGATGTGTTGAGCTGCTGGAGAAAATCAAGGAGGAGAACCCTGGAGAGAAGACCATCATTTTCTCCCAGTTTGTCTCTTTCATGAATCTGATTGGCGATGAGCTTGACAATGCTGGCTTCGAATACCTTCGGTACGAGGGTAGTATGCATGCTGATGAGCGATCACGGGCTGTGACAGCTTTCCGAGAAGATCCCAGTATCTCGGTTCTACTCATTTCGCTGAAGGCGGGTAATGTCGGTTTGACGCTGACAGCAGCCAACCATGTGATCATTATGGACCCCTTCTGGAATCCCTACGTCGAGGAACAGGCCATGGACCGAGCTCACCGTATTGGCCAGCAGCGAGATGTCACTGTGCACAAGATTGTGATTGAGCAGACGGTAGAGGACCGTATTTTGGAACTTCAGAAGCGAAAGCGGGAGATGATCGAGTCAGCTCTTGACCCATCTGGCCAGAGACAGATGGCACGTCTTTCTCGAGAGGAGTTGCTGTTTTTGTTCAACATGCGACCCAACCCGAACACAGTTGCCGAAGCTGCCGCCGAAGCTGCTGCTGCTTAGATTTAAGTGATACATATTATTTATTTGTGATACTGTGATGCGTATACGTAGTTTTATCTATAAATTAAACACGCTCGGCGTAGGTCTTGATAAGTTGAAAGACTTGAGCAAAGAGTGTGGGTTGGCCGATGGCGCTAACGTCCAGACTTGGGAACTCGACGTCACAGTCGTTTAGTAGAATGGGCATAAAAATGAACCTCGAAACAGCTCCCTTTGCTATACTTGACATGGCTGTTATTAGAATAGCCTTGAAGTATGAACAGCTCAATACGATAGTGAGGGCTTCAACGACGTTGAAATTGACAGCCCAGCCTACCAGAGCAGCAGCAAGGGGCACATCGTAGTCCCAGATGATCATGAGAATCGGCAGTAGTTTTGTTGCTGATGAAATGAGTAGTGCTGTAGACAATGCATTTGGGCGTTTCCAGCCCAACAGAATCCTTGCCATGACACGTACCGAGATGTGCCATGTGACTGCCTCAGTCAGACAGATGATGAGAAAGTAGTTATATTGTGTGATAATGGGCAGTCCCAGGAGGTAACGCGTTAATGGCGTTTGTGGTCCCTTCTCCACCTGTGCCCACGTCAGGTACACTTCAAAAAGGGTGATGAGCAGAAACAGCCGTCGTACTCGAGGGTGAAGGTTGTCGTTGGTTGTGCTTGGGCTTGTGTCAGGTGTGAGCACGTTGAAGACCAGGTGTCGGTAGGCCTGTTTCTTGAGCAGCAGCAGGTCGATGAAGATGAGCACTCCGTCGTGTTCAATGTATTTGTCGGCGAATTTGTTACATTTGGAGCATGCAGTGAGTCGAATGTTATCGGTTGAGTACTCCGTGTATAATGATGACACCGGTTCTGTACATTCTATACAGATCATGTTGTCTGATGTGTGAGACTGTAGGAGAGTTTTGGCGTGTTCTGCACTGCATGAAGTGTATCTGGGGTGTTAAGTGTGCAAGAGGAGGACACTCGTACTGGTGGTACAGTAGCTATAGGAAGATGAAGCAACCAGAATGAGGGAAAAGCGATATATATTGTGTCGCCAATGCAACTTCATTGTTACTATCCGGGCGACCCGTCATATTCTTGAAAAGTGTTCCTGCTCATACCAACGAGCTGTAGGCCCGTTCGTACAGTACAAGTCTACAGGCCATATTTCCATCTTGTTCGCACCAGACTACATAATATTAACTACATGACGTCTGAAGTACCATGGCATGGCAGGTCATCAAACATTACATTACACCACCTCTAACAAAGGTCCGTCTGCATATGCGTTAGAGACCCTTTGCCAAATGTAGCAATCAGGTCAAAAGCATACCGCAGCCACCCCAGTGGCACAAATCCGCATTCCGAGTCCACTTACATGAAATCGTCAAAATCATCGAAGTTGTCGTTGAAGGTAGAAGTATCCTTATCGTCATTGATCTTGGCGGAGGCAGCAGCAAGACCGGGCTTCTTCTTCTTACCTCGAGCAGCCTTCTCCTCTCGAATCTTCTCATTCTGGTAAGCGTTCAGGGTAGAGATGAGCTTTCGGAGCTGCTCGACCTTGAGGGGCTCAGCCAGAGCCTTGGTGAAGGTGATGGCAAAGTCGGGGTAGGCCAGTGGGCTGGTCTTGTTAAGGTCTGTGAGGATGGGGGCCAGAGTCTCCTTGAGGTTGGTGAAGTCCTTCTTCTCCTTGGGGTGGAAGATTGCCAGATCCGACAACTTCATGGGAGCGGCAGGGGCAGCGGGAGCAGGAGCGGCCTCAGCCTTTGCAGCGCTGTCAGCAATACCTCCAGTGCCACCAAACAGCTCAGAAGCGTTCATCATGTCGGAGTCGAGCTCGGCCTGTCGCTGTCGGTCTCGCTTGGTGGAAGCATCCTCAGGCTTGAGCTTCATGGCAGCCATCTCTCGCTCGATCTTGGCGATCTGCTGTCGCTGGGCCTTCTTGGGGGCAGCCACGGTGGTCTTGGGTCCGGGTGCCTTGGTGGGCTCCTCAGCATCCCAGGAGTCCATGACGTCCTCCTCTTCGTCGTCATCCCAGTTGGCGGGGACTGCGGGGGTGGCAGCGGCAGGCACCTCAAAGTCTTCGTCGTCCCAGCTGGCCATCTTTTTCAATACGTTGTGTCGTGAAGTTGTACTATTTCGGTAATGCAAAGGGTCAAATCAAAATTTCAAATCTTTAACTAGGGTACGGGTTTTCCCTTTTGCCATGTCCCAATTTCGTGTCCCATAACCTAGACTTAAAGGACCATTATCAGAACCTAATGCACGATATGGAAAGTGAGCCCATCCCGAGACATACGAGATCTCTCAACTAAACCACTCTACCACTACACGCAATGAACTGGATTAAGGAAGGAAAAGTGACGCTCACAAACACAGAGATTTTTGAGTCTCCTGGAAAGGGCAAAGGGCTCAGATTCACCAAAGACAATGTCTCCGGTATTGTTCTGAGAGTCCCCAATGATCTGCTCATTAACGCCGAACATGTATCCGCCTGGACCGAGGAGAACAAATACCTCACCGGAGAGCATTTGGAGTTTATGAAAGCGTCATTGGAATGGCTAAAATCTGAGAAAGATGTCATTGTGCTGTTCATGGCCCTGCTGGCTTCTCAGAGCTCATCTGGTATGAGCGATTATGTGTCTTCTCTGCCCAAAAGTACGGAGATGGACCAGCCCTGGTCTTGGCCCGAGACTGAGATCTTTGATAGTCTCAAGGGAACCTCTCTCCTCATGGCGTGTGTTCACAAGAAAATGCATGTGCAGGCAAAATATTTGGCAATTGTCGGCAAGAAAGGAGGAGAGAAACTAGTTTCAGAGCAACAGTTCTATTTATCCGAGCAATGGGTTGTGTCTCGAAGCCTGGAAATTCCTGAGTCTCCTGGATCTGAAACGCTGGCTCTGACCATGGTCCCTGTTCTTGATTACGTCAACCACTCACCCAAGGCAAATTGCCGATTTGAAGTAGACAGTGGAGAGGTGGTTTTAATTGTCAATGAAGATGTGCTAATTAAGGCTGGCGATGAGGTCTTTATCAACTACGGACCTGATAAGAGTGCCGCAGAGTTCCTTTTCTGCTATGGCTTCATTGATGCTGCTCACGGGGTCACCAAGAGCATTACCCTTGAGACTCCTCTCATGCTGTCTATGGATGAGATTGATCCCGAGTATCTCATCAAGAACCCCGACTGCGACGCCGAGCTCAAGAGCATGATTCTCAAGTTCCATAGCTACGGAGCTCGATCTAGACTCATCAAACTGGAGGCTCTGAATGACGGCGAAGACATCATTGCCAAGGTCGACTGTGACTGGTTGTGGATGCTTACCCTGCCCGTGGAAGATCTCAAGATCGACGAGACTACTGCAGCTGCTGAGTTCAAGGGAAAACCTCTCGTTCGAACCAAGACTGTTCGCGCACAGCTCAAACAGATTCTGGGAGATGATCTTAACGAATACATCACCCAGACCAGCAGCATGAAAGAGGACATCGGAGACTACGTCGGCCATCTGGTGAGAGAGGTGTTTATTCCCCAGCTCGATGTTGAGGCTAAAAGCAGTCACCCCATGGCCGAACGTCTCAGACAGATGGAAAAGTCCTTCCTCCAGTCTATTGATGACATTGAGGTTTAGTCGTTGCCTACATCGACAGTTCATTGTAAATAGAATTAAATTTGACATGTTGACTGATGGCAACCGTAAGTATCTATCCAGTGGCTGCTTAAAGCCTTTTTCTTTTGTGATCTATTCAAAACTAGTAGTCGTACTCAGGATGCTCCTCCTCCTCAGGCTTCACGAATCCCAGCTCAGTAAGCACCTTGAGAGGGGTTTCCTCTTTGAAGATGTCCAGCTGCTCCTGAGACTTGGCCAGCAATAGACCTACGGTTCCAGTAGCATTCACGCTGATGTCCTTGTATGACTCCTTGCTTCGAGGCACAGCCATGACCCATTTGTCGGTGAAGACAACATTGTATGAGATGCTGGGAGCATCATTGACTCTGAGCTCGGTCAGAACTCGGGACAACACAGTGCTGAATTTGAATCCCAGCTCCTCGGCAACGGGGTCCTCAATGGCCACCTCAGTGTCGTTATCGGCCTTAGCATCTTCCTCAGCCCACTCTGCCTCCCAAGGCACAATGAAGTGTGCAAAGGGCACCTTTTCGGACGACAAAGGCTGCTGACCGGGCTTGTAGTCTCGTCCCTTTGCTTTGATTACCGACTCGGGGAAAGGAGTGAAGTCCTTCGGCAGCTCAATGAACTGAATATGCTTGTGATCCACAGAGGCTCCAGAATTGGGTCCGCAGTTGAAGAAGCCAATGTACTTGGCACCATCCGATTGGGCTGCCTGCAAAGCGGCGTAAGAGTACTCCAGATCATTCGGGGTCAGGGGAGCAGTCTGGGGGATCACCTTCTTGGAGATGCACATGAAATGGTTCGGAACAATGGCAAACTTGTTCAGAACCAGAGAGTAGTCTCCAAAGTCGGGTACGAGCATGAGCTTGGGGTCGGGCTTCTCAAAGGGGTTGAACTTGGGTTTCTCAGTCTTCTCGTCGCCATTGTTGTCGTCCTTAGTGGGCTTTTTGGCCAGGGCAGGAGCAAATGTGTATCGCACATCAACTCCGTTATCAGTAGCAGATTCCTGTGTACTCTCTGTGTAGATGAGATCGCCGGACTTTACAGCGGCCTCGAAAGTCTTGGTAAGCAGCTCAGGGAAGTGGGTAGGCAGTGAGGGTCGTCTGAACATATTTGTGGCGTTGCGTGAATGTGAGAGTGTAGAGCACTGGACCATGCACCGGTACTACGCACAGAACTAAGTTCAAGTCATGTGCCGAGGTGGGCCGAGTCCCAATGAGTGATCATACGGTGGATACAGACTGTGTCAGTCGTAGCACCCATATAATTTGATGAATTGACCAAGTGGTTACTGGATTACAACATTACGTGTTCGGCAGATTCCACAATTTCGTTTTGCGCGCTTCTATGGCATTCCATGGAGAAGCTGTGCATGATTTATGCTTCCCCAGACATCTATGAGATGAACCAGTGTGGTTGGGGGTGCAATTGGAACACAGTATGAGAGTAGGGTGACTGCCACATGTGAAGAAATAAAGATTTCAATATACTTGTCGAGGTCAATGACTTTCTGTGTGGTACATTCACTAGCATGTGTCTCTTCAATGAAGCGTTGTCTCCCTAAGAAACGGACAGAGATAATACTCACGAGCTTACTGTACCAGTGGGAGAAACGCAGTACAGTAGTTGGGACAGTTAAGTTATCCGCCAAATCTCTTAGTTGGGTTTAACTAGATGATCCCTACAGTACTTCAAGCAAAGAGTTTAATGTATTATGAAAAAAATGCAGGAGAATCACCTTCTGCTCCTTGGTAAAACGTTTGAGCTTTACCCTCAGTACAAAGGGATTTTGCACCGTCACTGTACTTTTGTCATGCTCACAAATGTTCTCTTAGCTACATTTTATCACTATCGGCATGTCAGTCTCGGGGTCTTACGCAGTATACTGGTCTTCCCAGTGTAAGTAAGCACTGTACCCAGCATGTTGGTCGTACTCAGGTATTGGTCTTGACAATGATGTCGTAAAGATGGTGATAATATTCTCCATTAAAAAGATAATGCACTCCTTGCAAAAAAGGAGATAGACTAATTACTGTACGTACAGTACTACAAGTAGAGAAAGGCATCCGCCTTATAAAGTTGATCTATCGCCCAGCTTCAAGCCCAAGGTTCTGGTCACAGGATATAAATACACTTGACGAAACACAGCCCCACATCATAATAGGTGTCCTTTAGTCAGCCGAAAAAAATAAAACAAACAAACAAAGACTCTGGATTACTTAATTCCTCGTTATTTTTCATTGAAACGTCAAAACCCCCTTGTCCTACTCCTTCCATCCATTCCCTGTCCCTTCTTGTACACTCCACTGATTAGGGTAGATTCCCAATCAAGCCAACCTAAACCGTCCTCCTGCATATTCCAAACCTCCATACAGGCCTCCATACAGGACCATCTCCACATACTTTAGTCGGCACCCAACATCCGCACCCGACATACGTCATGATTGACAGTATACCCGAAGAGGACCAGCCGGACTTTGCTGGGTTTACTTCTCGTGCGCCTCAGGCTCGTGGACGACGCTTCAGCCACCACAGAAGTTCCTCCGACTCCTCAAGCTCCAGCCATTCCCCCCACGCTTTGCGGGGATTTTCCGGAGGTCCATTTGTCCCCGAGCTGCTGCCTGGTTTCGTTCCCGGACAGTCCAAGCCGACAAATAACAATGGCTCCGCTAACATGAACTCGAATCCAGCTCCTCAGCAACACACTAGCATGCCTCCGAATGTACCCCCTCCGCCGCTACCTAGCACCAACAACAACACGACGACGAACAACAACCCGTTTGGACCGATCCTGAGCAGCTACCCGGGATATAACAGTCCCCAAACTCAGCATCAACAGCCACAGCAGCCCCCGCAGCAGCCACAATACAACCCTCCTGCAGCGCCTTATCAGCACCAAAATGGAACCCAAAGTCTGGGGCCTAGCCCACAACTTCGAGGAGAGGATTTCGTCAACATCGGCCATCAGCAACACCACTACGCATCACAGCATCAACAACAGCCACTTCAGCAGCCACCACCCGTTCAGAATCAGGCTACCAGATCGGCATCTGCAGGAAACCTGGTCCGTCCGAACGCCCCATTTGCTGCCAACAGTGCTACGACGACATCCTCTGTGCCATCATCTCCCTCTGCATCTTTCTACGGCCAGAGCGACTCGAATTCGACTCTCATCGGGTCCAACTATTCGACAATCAATCTAAGCAATGTCAGTGGAAACAGTCCAGTTACTCCGACACACTCGAACCCAGGTCTAGGCCAATCACAAGGATACGGTGGGAACCCTGGCATTGGCTCCTATTCGTCGAATAGCAGCACTAATACGGTCCAACAATCTATGAGCACGCTCGATGGGGCTACTGCTGCCACTGCGGCTGCTACTGCTCTCAGAAGGGTATCATCTATTCCCATCCAGTCGACTCAACGGCCGATTTCCCAAAACGACAACCCTCCAGATACCAGTCCCAAGAAGACGCGGTCATTTGGCCACTCAAATAACCCTTTTGGAATCCACTTACATGGCCACAATGGCCTCAAAAATTCAAAGCTGGGTAAGAAGATTTCTGGAAAACGTTCGCCCAGCTCTAGCCCCAAAAACGTGGCTACTGGTTCCACTGGGTCTAACAACGTTGCCAGCTCAAGCGCAGCTATGAGTAGCAGCGCGTCTGTGAAATCCGACATGAGCTCTGTGGTTGGTGGTATGGGAAACAACAATGACGTTGGACTCTCTACCACAAACACAACTTCCACAGACAGTTCGACAGCTGCCGCTGCAGCTGCGTATGCCCCCAATGTGCCCTCTAAACAGTCGGCTCTGTTTAAGGCAAAGCTGTTTGCCAAACAAGCAAAACAACAATCGTCAGCCAAGAGTTTAAAGCCCAAACTCAAGCGCAAAGGCAACATTGACCTTACTATTCAGACACAACTCCCCAGCACTCGTCCTTCACTAGCAGAAAGAAGTCCACTGAACAGACCTTCCAAGGAACTGGAACGAATTGCAAGCATCGGCAGCAACGTACCCATCACGCCAACCATGGCGTCTGGCAGAGGAGATTACAACCATCCCTTGACAGCCGGAGCTAAGGATGACTCTCCCAGTGCGAAAAACAAGGCCCACTCCATTCTGCTGAGAGCCAAGAAGGATGTGCATTCTGCGGCTGCCTTCATGTCTTCGTCTTCGTCCAACTCCAAGCTCATCAACGAACAGGGCGGTTCCTTATACTCGTTCCAGAGCTCCTCACCTGGTGCTTTACACAAGAGTTTTTCCAGTGCTCTGGAACTCAAGAATTTCAACCAGACCAAGGAGGATAAGGAACAGCTCGCTGACGACGCATGGGCGCTTCTGTGTTCTCGAGTGCTTCCCTTGTTTTCAGGTGAAGGCATCCGAGTCCCCATTGAAGATCTCAACAAGCTGGTGGTGATGCACACTAATCTGCGGATCCAGGAGCATGTCACAGCCAAGTCTTTGTTGCAAGAATTCAAGGACCTGCTGAGATCTGGCATGTATACGCTGGACTCTACTATGTCCCGTGTGCCAGATGACAAGCTTATTGCTCACCTGACGACAGTTTGGGGTCACTTCTTCTCAGACGTGCTCCCTTACTGGGAGGGTGTCTTTCTGCCTCTTCAGCAGGAGTTCGATGGTTACGGAAAGAGCATGAAGCCCGAAGAGAGCGAGAAGTTCTGGGGTATGTTGCTCATGGACCGTGATCAGCTGAACATTCGTCTCATGACTCTGTGTGCGTTCAGAGACTACATCATTCTCCCTCACTCTGAGCGGTTGACTCGAATCATTTCCAATTTCGAGCTATCTTCTCAGGGAGCCAACACTCCCGTTAGACTCTTACAGTGTTTCTCCATCTTGGCCTCCATTCTGAGTGCTGATGCGCAACAGCAAAAGATGGACGAGCTGGTGAAGGTGCTCAAGACAGGATGGTTTTCTCGTTCCAGGGCAGGCAAGGACAGACGAGGCATGATTATCAAGGCCTAGAAACGCGAGACCCGTTATTATCTGGCCAGTTATTTATTTATATTTATTTTACTACTCAATTGTATATTATCGTAGCTTCCGTATGTGCAGTTAGTTCAAGTACAGTACAGTATTTAGCTACTGCACGCGGTGGCCAGCCCTGCTAATAATCTGAAAGCACACTATCCTGTGATATACTGTACGCCACCAAATCGTTTGTCAAAAATGCAATAAATATATTCGTAGACCTATATATCGGTCCATCTGTTAGAGGCCAAAACTGGCCAGGTCGTCCATCTGCTTCTCAAGCTCCTTCTTGGTGACGAGCCGCTTCTCTCGTTCTTCCTCCTTCTGTTTCAGAAGGGCCTCGCTCTTTTCCTTCTTCAGTGTCTCCTTGGATTTAACAGAGTAGACATCCTTGAGAGCATCTGGATCGTTGACGAGATCCAGCAGAGCCGAGTCCTTGTGTTTCTGGCTCTTCTGTTTAGGCACCGGCTTTTTGGCTGTCTTTTTTACACCACCAGTCTTGTCACGTGTTGGTCTGGAAAATGGACCTGCTCTGGCCTTTGATTTTGTCACGTTAGTCTTTGCCATGGTTGTGTAATGTCTGTGGTTGTGTTGTATGGCAACGCCTCTCAAAATATTTCTCTTTAGGTGGTTCAACGTGCATAAACTTAATTTTGGTGTGTGCCACCTCTAAACTAATTTCCCAAGTAGCTATTGATTACCTAACTACTAATTCCAATCCGCCAAACTCTGATAGAAAAAAAATTGAGTTTTCATGCGACAAATTTATCTCGTCCAAGGTAGACAGTTTCACGACACACTACACAGCCGACAATGGTCTCTACTCATAACAAAGACAAGCCATGGGATCAGCCCCACATTGATAAGTGGGCCGAGGATGAGTTCACCGAGAAGGACAACGCTTCCGGTCTGCCCTTTGCCGAGGAGTCTTCCTTCGCCACACTGTTCCCCAAGTACCGAGAAGGCTACCTAAAGGAAATCTGGGATGATGTCACCAAAGCCCTCGACCAAAAGGGTATTGCATGTGTTCTGGATCTCGTTGAGGGTTCCATGACCGTCAAAACCACCCGAAAAACTTACGATCCTTACGCCATTATGAACGCTCGAGATCTCATCAAGCTGCTGGCCCGATCGGTGCCTTTCCCCCAGGCAGTCAAGATTCTCGAGGACGGCATTGCATGTGACGTTATCAAGATTGGTAACTTCACCAGCAACAAGGAGAGATTTGTCAAGCGACGACAGCGTCTTCTTGGACCCAACGGTAACACTCTCAAGGCCCTGGAACTGCTCACACAGTGCTATATCCTTGTTCAGGGTAACACCGTCTCTGTCATGGGTCCCTACACACATATGAAGACTCTGCGACGAGTGATTGAGGACTGTATGATGAACATCCACCCCATTTACCACATCAAGGAGCTCATGATCAAGCGAGAGCTGGCCAAGCGACCCGAGCTAGCCGAGGAGGACTGGAGCCGTTTCCTGCCCCAGTTCAAGAAGCGAAATGTTGCTCGAAAGAAGCCCAAGACCATCAAGAACAAGGTTCGAACCGCTTTCCCTCCTGCCCAGCTGCCCCGAAAGGTGGATTTGCAGATCGAGTCTGGAGAGTTCTTCTTGGGTGCCGATGAGAAGCGACGACGAGCCGACGAGGAGAAGCGACAACAGCAGGCTGCTCGAAGTGCAGAGAAGCAGGCCCAGAGAGAGCTGGCCTTCATTGCGCCAGACGAGGACGAAGAGAAGGCCAAGAAGGAAAAGAAGAAGGAGAAGAAGGAAAAGAAGGAAAAGAAGGAAAAGAAGGAGAAGAAGGAGAAGAAGGAGAAGAAGCGAAAGAGCGATGACAGCGACGATGAGGGAGAGAAAAAGAAGAAGAAGAAGAAGCGATCCGTGGAGTAGCTTGCTTGTTCAGTAAAATAGATTTGTAATGCATAACTTGGTTAAAATAAATTAACTAGCTAGGCTAGAGAGCTATTCTAAAGTGCACCAACCTCGACCATCATTAACCTGGTAGTTACACAGTCCAGGCTCAAGCCAGAGACTGACTAGACCAGCAAGAACAATACCGGCAGAATCACTCATACCAACACTACCAAGAGCAAACTCTCGCTCTGCCAAATCAGCCTGTTCGGTAATCAGCAGAAAGGTGTTGACATAGGCAGCTCCCCCAAGCAGCCCTTCGTAGAATATGAGAATGAACACCAGCCAGACGTTGGGTAATATCGGTGACATAGACTGTGCAATGCAAAACACGAGGTTGGCAAACTGGAGCACTGAGGGGATCATAATTCGTCTAATTCTCACAAATGGTGCACTCGAACGTGAGATAAATACTCCCAACTGGTATAGTGTTCCATAGGTCACATAGACATCTCTGAACTTAGAAAAGGGCAACTCTTCCATGGGAAACAGAAGTGTGGGTGCCACTCCCTGGTTGATGGTGTACTCGGAAAAGTAGACCAGAAACAAAGGCAGCATGTAAGGCATAACCAGCGGCTTCAAACGGACCATTGTAGTTTCGTATCCAGAAGCAACAAACTCCCAGGTGATTGGCTGTGTTTCAATACCTGTTTCAGGGTCATTGCTGTGCACAGGGAAGGCCCCTGGTACACGGTTATAATCTCTAGGAGGAAGGAGATAGAAGTAGACTCCTAAGAAGGCCAGGGGAAAGAATGCAAAGACAAGCAATGACGTCTTGACTGAAACTCCGAGTACCGTGGTCAAGAGCATGAACAGCCCGCTACCCACTAGCCCTGCACCTCCAGTTCCGCTGCTCCACCCATTGAGAGCCCTGGTATCGTAAAAATGGGTTAATTGGAGAAAGGTGACCTCGCCCAGACCGGAAGAGAAAGAAGCCAGCACCACTCCCACGAGTTTGAGAAACAGAGGAGATGCTAGTGACACAGACATCATTCCCACAGTTGACAGGCCAACCAGCAATGTTATTCGGCGGTTATAGGGGATTTTGTGGATAAAAAATGGTGCTGCCAGCTTTATCAAGAACGATGGGAGTACGTCGGCCAGTAACACCACGGCCTTGGGTGTTTGAGGTCCCACCAGGTCTACTGCGGCGGTCAAGATAACCACATAGAGCACGTTGTTGACCAACCCAAATGTCCAAAATGCGGCGTACACAAGATGAGCAGGTTCTAGTTGCATTATGGTTGCTGAAATGTTCAATTCCTTGACATGAGTGTGTCAGTGACTTTTCGAGTATGGCCGTCGCTGGGTGGCTGGAGAAGTGTGACTGGTTGTTTATCAGTGAGTGTCGCTGTTCTGTGAAGCCAATTATCCCAACACGCATGGGACAGGCAAGTCTAATATGTGGAAGTGTGTGGTGTGTGGAGGGCGTGAATATGTGCATACAATAGCTCGATACATTACTAATCGAAATCGATATATTAACCCTTTATCCATTCGATAAGCACCATTATTGTACATTCTAATGGTAAACACGCCCCCGTTTCTACTGACTACAAGTAGTAAGACTACAAGTAGGGGTGGCGTTGGGTCGTGTGAGTGAACCCAGAGCATGGCGTAGTCAGCCCTATCACATACAGTACACTACAGCACGTAGCTACTTGAAACCATTGCAGTTTATAGATTATAACTAGAAATTCAGTACATGTACGAAGAGTATGTCGGGTCATTACACTGTTCAATACCTGCTCCGAGCCGAACATATCATTAACTTATCCCAGTACATACTGTACACCTCTGATGGCGCCCCATTACAATTGCTAAGAAAAACGACAGCAGCATCTCACTTCCACCACAACATAATATACACTCTATTACTATCCAATTAAATAGTGACCTCGGGCTTGGGCTCCACCTCAACTCCCTCTCCTCCGTCAAGAGGGTAGATAGAAAGCAGGTTAGGGCCTCGAATGACCGCCAGACCGATCTCTCGCACCTTGCCTTCCTTTTGACCCTCAAACTCGGCAAAGTCCTCGCTCTCCTCGTCCTCGTAAATGGTCTCCTTGACGTCGTCGAGAATCAAGTTCATGAGCTGATCCCAGCCCTTTAAGGTGCCCTCGATCTTTCGGCCAGTGACCTTGACAACCACTCGCTTGTTCTCGAATCGAGACAGATCTAGAATGGGCTCTCGCTTGGGGAATTCCAGCTTCTTGGACTGGCCCTGGTTCTGACCTTGGCCCTGGCCCTGGTTCTGGTTGTTCTGCTGCTGCTGATTCTGTTGGTGTTGCTGATTTTGGTGCTGGTTGTGTCCTCCATAATGGCCAGCGTTGCCATGGCCGCCTCGGCCGCCTCGTCGCTGTTGTTAGTACGTGTGAATGGATGGCTGAGCCTTCGATCCGCTATACTCACTCCTCCACGGTTGTCGTGTCGGTCCATTATTGATGATGATGAAGAGTTGTCAACCTGTGCGTTAGGTTATGAGAGAGAGCTAGTCCCAGGAAGTTTAATTTGGGGGTGTGGAAGGTGAAGTGTTGATAATACGACAGTTGGTAAGCTGAATATATACGAGTCTGGTCTCATTTGGAAGCTACTCGTCCCCTTAATACATCAACATAGATATCTTATATAGATGTTATGACTTTCGAAAGATTACCCTCTAAAATTCTCAACTTCACACCAACAACCCCGTTGGTGACCCGCCAGAATACTCCTAATATCAGCCCTCATTCCGAGTTGAAAGATATTCTGTCTCTCCATGATATGGGTCTTCTTTTTCGTTCATCTTGGAGTCCATTTTTTCGTTTTCAATCTGAGACTTAGGTTATGAGTACATACCCCAGGGGCGCAACTTTATTCCCGCTTGTTCTACAATATTAAGCTATTGTACCCATTATTAGTCAAACATTAGGCGACCAAGTGGATTGATTTCTGTTCAAGAAACAAAGACCGAACAAAATGTGACATCCGTATTCCATTTATTGATTAGTTTTGTTTACATGAGCTTAGTGTTTCAGGCAATTTCACAAACAAAATCTGTTAACGGAAAAAATACTATAATTAAAGTTATTTGAGAAATGAAGACATCCTGAACAATATGGTTGGCATAATTGTTTAGTTGGTGAGAAGACCCTGGAGTCGAGAGTTAAGACCAACAAGCATAGAAGCATCCTGTCGGAAACCGGGGATAATGTCTGCGAGCAGGTTACCGGCCTGGTTGATAGTAGCGATGAGGCCCTTGATGTCATCGGCAAAGGTGTTGACCAACTTGTTCTGAGAGATGACAGTAGAAAGAGTGATCAGGAAGAGACCAAGGTTGGTAATGAAGGCATTCAGGCCAGTGGAGATGAACATGTTGACGAGAACCTTGGTCCAGCCAGCAAGTCCATTGTAGTTCTGCAGCCACTGGATGAGCTGGTTGAGAGCTCCCTTAGCCTGGAGGATGGCCTGGGTGATAGCAGCGTTGGCCTGCTGGGGGGAAACGTTCTTGAGAGCCTGGATGGAGTTCAGGAAGAGAGATACACCAGCGTTGGTGAAGCTCTGGAAGACGTTGAAGAGAGAAATCCAGTCCTGAGCAGCTCGGGCGTCGAGGGCAACAGCATCGTCAACGAATCGCTTGGCGATCTCGCTGTTTCCGCCGAAGTGAGCCTCGACAACCTGTCGCATCTGGATGAGGCCAGCCTCCTCAGGAGCGGGGGCAGCGAGGGCAAGAGTAGCCATGGAGGCAACGGCGAGCTTGGTGAAAGAGACCATTGGTAATGTGTTGATTGGAGTGAATAGAAGAGAGAAGAGAAGAAAGGGTAGTTGTTTTCTGGATATTCGAGAGGAGGATTTCGGTGGTTTATATAGAGTCCTGGAAACAGGGTATCCATTCAATGCCATTGTATCCCACAGCACCTTGTATGACAAGGTATGGCTGAGTTAGAGTCCCGCTACTGCAGAGACACGGAATTTGTGCGTCAGACCCATAGGCAACAAAGAGCTCGTTTAGGTGACTACAGGTCTATGGTTTGAGTCTACTTACCTCGGTAGGCAGTGTAAAGCCGGTTTTGGAAGGTGTCTATCCGACTCGGCGGACTTGGATGCTCACCCAAGACAGATGTGTTGCATTGTTGAGCTTTGCTTCCAGGTACCTACATTGTACATACGAAGAATGGGTGTTTCATAAGAATCGCACACTACAAGTAGCCAACGTTGTTGATCACCGCGTTGGTTGACGTGGTTAGGGCGGTCAGTGCTAAAGCTATACCTTGAGCTTCTCAGTCCCATGGTTAGGTATCCAAATACCAACTTCAACACACCCCTGCAATGTCACTTTGACTTTTTGGTGGATACTTACAGAGAACTATGAAGATTCAGGGAGCTGAGTGGCCTGAGATGGATCGTAGGGACCTTCCAATGTGCCTGGCTGCTCTCTTAGAGACATTTCTGTCATTTTTTACATATACGCCACAATTATAATAGGAGAGCAACGTAAGTATGTCTGTATAATAGTTATAGCGTGTAGGCGATTTCTGTCTCAACATCAAGACGCCATGTTTGTCTGTTCCGACCACTCTTAAGCTACGGTACTACTTTGCTTGTCGAAAGGTGTAACGAGCTGTACGTTCAGACTAACGAAAGACTGCACGGAAGTTCTACTACAAAATATAGCGAAAACTAGTAGTAGCATTGCTCAAGAGATGTGCACCTGTAAGTTGACAGAACGCACCCGCCGGATTGATGACCCCATGATCTTTGTAACCCTACTGATTCGGGCCACACCTTAGCACTAAAGGTGGATCTCCATGTACGATTAAACCTAACTGCTATGTGCGCCTGATCAATGCAACTGTGTCCGATGGATTTGTGTTGCTGACGTGAAAGTCGCATCCACGAAACTAATGCCGAAACGGTCTCGTTTTGCCGCATTGTCTGTAAATAAACCGCAACGGATACTTACTTGCAACCACGGGGGCAGATATGGTGTCCCATCTTGTTTGCAGCCCACAGTAGTATGCAAGTCGAGACTTTGGCTGCAGCGACTCCTGAACCTTGTCCCAACGCCATCAATCAAACAATATCGAACAAACAACCACATAACAAGCGCTTCTGTAAGCGTGCAACCATGTTTGGTTGACATATTTCGCTATAAAATGTGGGGTATCCTCTCCTCACTTCTTTTGCACTCTATTTCTGTTTTTTCGCCCACTCAACTCTCGTTCCAATATGCCCACGTTATGCCTTGCAACCCCGGTTTTAACCAAGGGTTTGCAACCGAAACCCTATCCGGATATGTAGCTTGTTGGATCTGGGATGTGAACATGGTGCCCTGTCAGTTACAAAATAGTGTCTTGGTACAATACAACAGTTTTCTACAGGTGACAGTTCACCGCATTAATTGACTGCTTGTAGCTTGACACCACCGCAGCCGTCGAGAATCCACAGGAGGTCATCAACCGTATCTGGGGATCGTCAGTGATCAGCCAGATTTACGATGACTTTCACACCTTGTTGAGCGGTCGACTCTGGTCATAGAGCGTACATTAACCATAATACAAATCTATTGCGGACATTTATTACCACCCTCCTCTAGTCAGGTACAATTGACTACTGTAGCTATGGCGTCGGCTTTGTTGGTGTGGCTTCCATACGCTAGCAGTCATCATCAGAGCAACAACGCCGGAAGTCTACAAGTGTCGTTTATTCGTTCTCTTAGTCTGGAATGAAATGGTACCAACTGTCAGTCTAAACCGAACACCCCACCGTCAGTTATCGTGGTATTGTCACCAATTGGCCGTTCGAGGGTTACAATGAACGTTAGCATCATTCTCGAGCTAGCGTGTTTCCCGTTCCGTACGGTGTCCATTCCTACTCTCGAGCATATGCGTAGCAATTCTCACATTCACGTTGATATCCACTCGGTAACTGCTTTGTTCAATCCCTACATGCTGTCTCAAACCATGTGCAGGGTGGCTGTTTCAGTGATACGGTGGGCCTGTCGAGCCCTGCATCTTAGGGTTCCGTTAGTGCTTCACTAAAGGGCGCTTAAAAATCCGTCTCTTCCTGGCCGCCTTAGATTGAGATCGTCGTCGCCATATTGTATTTTTGAATTCGGTGGATGTATTGCCTCTTGAGAATCCTTCTCCATTTCTTTGTCGCTGGTTTTCAGTTAAACATTTTGCGGGGTCATAGACACAAGCTCTCCCTACTGATAGGCCCACCATCCCCTCACCCCCTCCTTCAGAAACAATACTATTGTTGAAGTGGCCCCGATGATGACAGTCGTTAATACAACGGCGTCTCGATTGAGTAACAAGGGTGGTGACGGTAGCAAACAGCTAAAATGGATGGCTGCCTCTTTTTTTTTCCCAGCGTGTTCTGGGCATGATAAGCTACACGTACTGTAGAAGCTACTGGGGTTGCAAACCCCAGCAAGTAGCTTGGTTTATTCTTCTGTGCATGAAAGTTACGAGTACCCTTGCGTCGGGCTTGATGGACACTATTGACAGTTGACACTTCAATGTGTGGACAATGCTAGCTACAGAAGGCTCCTTAAGACCGGGATGTAAACGTGCATACGTACTGCTTCCATAATCCTCTGCGACGTCACGTTTTCAATATTTGCGTCGCTTGTGGTCTTTCTAGCAGTTGCTGCTCTGCTACAGTATACACAGACAGTAGCACATCCACTAACTTCACCTTTTGAACTCTCCACATCTTCGATAGTCAATTAAACGAATGTAACCTCAACCTCAACGGTTACTAGCGGCCCGCGAAGTTCTCAGCTACTTGTAGTCAACCTCCCCCAGAGCAACCCTTCCATTGTGTTGTACCCGCCGTTAATTGGCGCAAAATTATGTACGGGCTGGTCCTCCCCTCATTGTCTCTAGACCCTGCGTTGGGTTGAGTTTCTTAGATATTCTCGATACTCAGTCCATACTCGTACTCATACTGTAGCTACTGTACTCAATTGAGTGGCCTAAATGGTTTGTGATTCCTGCCCACTAAATGTGGCTCTGCCCACTTCTCGACTCCCTTGATCGTGAGTTAGACTCACTCATATGCCCACGTTTTTAGCCACCAGTAAAGTGGTTTCTGGCTAGTGGCGGTTAGTCCTTGGCGGGGTTGTTGATCTGGAGAACGTAAGTCAACGCCCCAGAAGATCAATGTTACATTGTGTTCAGATTAATGTAGTCTGTGTAGGGAGAGATGACCCAGTAAATGCACCCGTGCACAATTAGCCGCACAGCAACGGACAGCCATCCGTATCTATCCAGTCTCTTGCGGAAACAGCTTCTGAAGACGTTTCCACACATCCTGTAGTTCAGGTCAATGTTACACCATCTTCACGTACATACTGTAGCTACATACTGTTTGTTCGGTTAGAATCATTGCGGAGCAAGAAACGGAATCACCGTACAAGTACGATAGCACGAACCTCCTGAACTTCTTACGGAAGTACAGGCTGCTAATTACTGTTTATGTTTCGTTTTGGAGCTTAGTGCAGCATTGAGCTTCACAAGAGTATCGGATGAGATTACAAGTTGAGGAGTCTGAAAGTTTCGATAATCGTAATTACGAACAAGCGCAATACACTCCCTGCATGTTCTGCATTACCGTTGCCCTTTATGAGCGGGGTTTAGTAACTTCGGTTGGTGGAGAATTGACTCACTATTGAACAAGGGCGTCTAGTGGGGGTGGGTGCTTGTATTAAATACAGTCTTAGCACCGGTAAAAAAATTGGGGATGTTGGTGGAGAGCACTGCTTGTCAGGAACCTGCGAATTACCTTGTCTCAACTACTGTGTACTTGTACGTCAATTACTCGATGTATCAAATGAATAAAATCAATAAGCTAAACCTATTGCTTCTCGGTGGCCTCCTCCCTTGAGTCAAAGAGGACGTTTTCGTCTGGTCCCGACACCTCTCTTGTTCCGGTGGCATCTCTGAATGTCAGCATCAAAGGGAATAATCTTGAACGTTCGCTTACGAGCCCTTCTCTTCTTCTGCGATTCTTTAGTTTGAGACGGCCGGGCTTCCTGAAGAGGCTGTCCCGCATAACCTGTTCCGGGAGAGGGAAATTATATCCGGGATGGGGAGAATAGTACCACTGTGGAGGGAGATAAGGTCCTGGAGGTGGGTGGTTATGGGCAAAGGGATGAATAGCATAAGGCTGTTTGGGTGATGTGGGTGACTGTTGTTTCAACTGCGCTAACTTCTGTTGCTCGCACAGCTTCGAGGCCTCCTCTTTACTAAGGTATCTCAAGACTTAAGTCGGGCTGCCATCGCACGAACCTGGTCGACGGGTTCATGAGCTTCACGTGTAGCGATTGGGGGATAGAGATTAGATAGGGTGAGGGAGGCTTTGTGGCACTGTCAGCCCTACCATTGTCCTAGTCTTCGCTGTTGTTTTGGTCTGCTCAGTCACATCCGCGTCAACCAACTGGTGAAAAAGATGCACGATCAAGCTCTTGCTCTATTCTGAGCAAAAACTCGTTGTTCCTGAACTGGTCGCACTCATCTCGCATGCTGTGAGTTATATTGAATCAATGTGTGTGATTCTGATATCATCCCTTTGAATTATTCAAAACAAATACTTTTAATTTACTTATATATTGGTTACACATACTCAGATATTGTAAGATTCGGAATTATCTTAGGCATTTGACCATTCTGGAGGGACGTGCTGTAATACGACGATACTAGAGAGCGAAGTGACAGTTCATATTGTTCAAGGGAAAACGACTCTTCTCGGTCTCGGAGAGAGACAGGACTCCAAGTTTTCATCGCATGAACTTATAGCTCTAACACATGATTACACGAAGTACTTGTACTCCTGGACTCTCTCTGCACCCTTCCAACAGATACAGACGAGTTCTGCCCATATAAGTTAAGATCCTCAGCTAAGCTTGCGCGAAGTCTTGACAAAGCAGAATATTGAGGAGGCTTGGGCAGTAACAGGTGTTTGCAGTCTTGACGCTACTGTGTATTAGGAAGTGAAACCCAGTAGTGGAGTTTCGTCTGCGATTTTTCCTGCTTCTTGGTGAAAATAAGGGTCAGCGTGTTTTCATCTCTCTATAGCTGGTATTCCGCAGCTATTCCGGTAAAAATGGATCTAATAGCTGACAAACGAGGGCTATTACACCATTCTGGCCAATAATGTACTACATTATATACCCTCAATTATAAATCTCCCGGATGTGTAAACTAATAACTAATAATCAAATAAAATATTTACCAATTCATGATTGGTTTCGTGTCCCACGATCAATCTTATCGCGTGGCCATGTTCATCACTTTCACCCCGGTCCATCTACTGAATGGCCTCATAGACAACACCAATACCGTACAGCCAGTTGACCATATGACCGTGCATACCAACCAACCTGTATCCAGTTGGAGGAATCAGCTCATGAGGGTCACCTCCGCCAGTCTTACCAACCAGGGCAGATCGTCGTCGGTTAGTAATGAGCTGAATAGCGTCGAGCCAGTAACCTGCTCGCACGAAGAATCCCACAATGTGCTCTCCAGGTTCAAAGATTGTCTCGGTCATCTTACCGCCCCTCTTACCGAAAAGCACAGAGGATCCCTGTGTGAGGAACTCCACACCGTCAACAGCATCACCGGCATAAAGACGTACTCCAACAAGGTTGTGATGGCCAAAGTATGCCTTTGTCTCGTCTCCAATCTTGTTTCCAAGTTCGTAAGACTGGAAGGCGTTGTTCTGATCACGTGCACAGAGAGCCTTGGAGAAATCGTCAATGGTCACCTGGCCACCAACACTGAGAATCTCCAGCCGCATGGGCTTCTTGGGGTCTCGGTATTGAGGGTCCTTGATGGCCTGTCGCAGATCATGTTCAAACAAGAAAACCTCTCGCTGAGGGTCCTCAGCAAACTCCAGATGGCCTCGGCACCAATCCTCAACATGCACCTCCACCAGGTAGATGCCTGAAGTGGCCTTGGCGATAGTACCATTCTCCACAGGGTAGAGGTTGGGCTTGCCAGGGGCAGGGAAGTGTTCGTGAGGCAGTCGGAAAGAGGGATGATGTCTGAAACGCAGAGCATCCAGTCTATGCCAGGAGCACTCGTCTGCGGGGAGGCAAGGTCGATGGAATCCCTTTCCTAGGGTGACCTCCTTTGCCAGGAATGATCGGTTCCAAGTGAGGTAGCCTCTTAGCATGATACCATCGGGCTGATGGGGGCAGCCCAACAGGTGACCGATCTCGTGCATAAACGCTCCCTGGGAGACGTTGAGTGCCTCCCATGCACTTCCGCTCTGTCGAGAGTCGTTCGCGACTTCTCGAACATCCACCATAGTGTTGTCAAGAAGAGCAGGAACCATCTCCTCCACACAAGAGGGCCAGGTCCAGAGGGCATGGCCTCCGAAAATGGCAAGTCGAACGTTGGAAATGCCTCCTCCCAGAGCAGCGTGTCCGGTAATGAGTTGTCGCTTGATGTTCCATTCAGAGTCAACGAAAACACAAGCAGCTCGGTGTTCAACCTCATCCTGGGTGAATGGCAGACCGTGTCGCTTAAGAGCGTCGTACGCAATATTGAAGAGCTTGCCAGTGTCCTTGCCGCTGCTGTTTTGCTGGGCGTAATCTGGGGAGTTGATCTCGGCCACAGAAAGCTCGCTGCGCACAATGTGTACTTTAATGGTGCTCCTACATGTCTTGCTCTCTCGGTTACTGAGAGTATCAACGTCCCATTCCTCGTGGAACCGGAAAGTTCGGTTTCCAAAGCCGTTTCGTAGCATGATTTCGTTGGTAAAGGCACTCATCATGTATCCAGCCATTCGCATCTTCTTGACAGCTAGGTCAAGAGAGTTACCCTCGATCTGCTTCTTGTAGCTCTGGCTCTGGAATTCACCCTTGGAGTCTCGGCCCAGAATTAGGCACAGGTGAAGAGGTGGGTCCTGCAGCAGCGGCGTGTAGATGAGTGTCAATGAGGTAGACACTGGCTGTCGATTGTCGGGGTATTCGTAGGTCACACAAAGCTGGTTGGGGCCGGGAGCAAGATGCACAAACGCCTTGAAGTAGTTGTCGGCGACGGGGAACCGCTGAGAGGGAAACTCATTGAGGTGGTGGGTCACGACAACGTTTCCGCAGTTGATAGCATCCAGTCCCTTGGGTCCAGCGTTACCATGGACAATGACGAATCGTTCATGCATTACATCGTTGTTTCGCACATTGAGCATTTTGGGGGCATCGGACCGGCTACCCGAGCTCTGAGCAGGAGGAGGTCCGGGTGGTGGTGGGGCACCCATAGGCTGCTGCTGTTGAGATGCAGGAGGAGGCCCAGGAGGAGGTCCTGGAGTGGGCCCATGGTTCTCTGGTGTAGTCTGAGAGCCTCCGGCATAGCTGGCATGGTCGCTGCCGTAGTATTCTCTGTCGTTTTTCTTTCGTCCGAAAAGTCCCTTCATCGTTGTATGGGGGGTAGGTGGTTTAGTGTGGGGTTAAGAAGACTGGTTCAAGTTCGAGCTGGAAGGGTGGTTGATATTCAGTCTAGGTTGATAAGCGCAACTTAAACTCGATCTGCATAGGGCGATGCACCATGACGACTGGTCCTGGAAACCGCTGAAAGAGCGCAATTGAATGTCTGATGTGGTTTTGAATGGGTTATAGGGGCACATATATATTATAGATCGGCTTGAGGCCATTTTTTTATGTGTTTGGGGTTCACAAATCACCGTAAATCGCAGATAATTGTTGTCTCACCACCTGACACGTCATGACTGGGGTATAACGCGGATATGTTGTCTGGAAGGTTTTTTGACGACACAAAGCTATCAATCGACTTTGAGTCAACTTTCTGAGCTTTCCAAGCTCTTTTATGGTGAAATATCCCCTCAATTCCGCTCTCCAGCATCTTTCCGGAATAATTGACTCGATTGGTGCTGCGCATATTATGCACCTGCTGCGCCGATGTCACAAGGTGGCGTAGACTACTATCAAGATGCAAAAGGGTCTAAGAGACGGTTACAAGCGAGATGTTTTTATAAGTATGTTTCAAAAGTGAATCTCTTCTAATATCCTCGGCATTTTGACTCACAAGTTCTCTGGCATCAGAATCTCAGACACGTTCTATACAACTCCGACTTAGGTTTCGTAAAAGCTGTGTGAGTTGAAACGTCCACGCGAGGTCCTTATTGAGGTTCAGCCTCGAGCCTCTGGAGAGACGGGATGAGATTCTCAGAACAAGCACACACCCACGATTCATTTTTACAAGTACAAGTAGGAGGAACTACAAGTACTTGCAATAAAAAGAAGAGCAAACTTCTTGTTTGCCACTATACATGGCTAGCGTCTCAAATTGAACTGTTTGGACCCAGCTCATACCCAGCTCATACACCTTGGATTAATTATTCCGGTAATACACACTACTCCGACATACAGTAGCTTGTAAGTAGTGCCGTAGGAACCAACGTTAAATGAAGGGTCATATTCAAGGAGAATCCGCACTAACAACCAGGCTATAATATGACGTCTCTCAGTTGACGAACCTATGCTCAGCCTTTGAATGTAAGACGCCAAGTCACTGATATTTGTGTTCCTTAGTCAGACACTAGTTGTCACAACTGCGAACAATAATACGTATCAGTGTCTGTGTGGGGACTGAAGGGAATGACCGTTTGGGGCGGGCCATGTGTGGTGAGTTATTGCAGTTGTAACCGAGGTGGTCGCATTCAGACCTCGTTAACTTACATATGCCAATAATTGAGGAAAGGAGAATCATGTCGAAATACACGTGATCAAACCGCATGTGTTTATATGAAATGGATACCATTACCACAGAACTGATAGTGTCTTCGCTTCTCTCTGGCTTGGCCCAAGTCCAGGATTTGGCTGTGCAGTTGCTGAGATGCAAGTACTCGTAGCCACTCCATTGTACTTGCACCGTGGCATTAGACACACGATGTCCATAAATTGATTTCCCCGATTGATATTTTTCTCATTTTCCCCTATTTTTCACGACAACTTCTCATTTCTCGACAACCTGTCCGGATCAACTTTGGTCCAACCGTTATGCACGCACAGAAATGCATTCTCCTGTCAATGTCGAGTATGTATGATAGGTGAGACCTCTCAACGTCTGTCAGTGCCGTTCATTATAAACTACACTGTACTTGTAGGTGTTCACAGACACCGGCTTCTGTACTTGTACTTGTAAGTGAAAGCAGCTCTGTCTATATACAAATGTAGACCAGAACCACTTACGACGGTGATCATGGCTTGGGGCTTATTTTGACACAGCCACCCATTCGGGCCGTGTCTTGTAAAAGGGGTTAACAATTGCCACGGTTGTCCTTGCTAGCTAAAAGCAAATAAAGCGTCTAAAACAGAGACCAAAAATCTACAGTACTACTCGTACTTTGTAGCCAGATACGAGTGGAGCCCACGCAATGTCACATGTTTTCGTGTCTTGATCCACCTTAAACTCGTAAAACTTGACAAATCGCGTTCTGTAGATCACTTTCAGACACAGCAATGCTCATTTAATTTCACTCTCCACGCGCTTTATCGTTCTCGTCTTTTACAACAGAGTTTGTGCTTTCAAAAACCTACCCCCAATAGGCGAGATTGATTTGAGGTGGCTCCACATCGGTGACTGTACAAGACAAGCTAGGCCCTCTGCGTTACCAGGGTAAAACAGAGAAAATTGGCACATATCACAGCCTCTGAGCACCACATGACCGCTCCATGCCACCCTGCAACTATACCTCTCTCCTCTCTCTCTCTTATTTACTTTATCCCAAAGTGGCATGCCTCATGCCCATTTGGGATGGTGCCATTCAGAAAGGGATACATGATTGGTGGGCTGGAGTGTGGCAGTTCGATCCTGCTGAAGCCCGAGGTACAAAAATTCTGCAGCACCCAGTCGCAACCGGCATCCGCTCCAAATACCAGCGAGAAATCCTATCATGCAATAATTTTTGAACGAACCATTTTTCGCGTGGTTGCGACAGCCTTGTTCATGTCACCACTCCGACGTCACACCGTGCATATCCATGCAGGTTACATGCGCTCACTCACGTCTTCCGGGTAACTAGTCGGAACCTTCGCACTGCTCGCACCAGTCGCAAACCTAAAACACGATCCCTGGATCAAAAGCGTGTCCTGTAGAGTCGGATTGTTCTTGTCGCACTCACACACACGCACACTCAACCAACAACATCAACAATGTCGCAACCCCAGAACGTTGGAATCAAAGCCCTCGAGATCTACGTGCCTTCTCGAATTGTCAACCAGGCTGAGCTCGAGAAGCACGACGGTGTCGCTGCTGGCAAGTACACCATTGGTCTTGGTCAGACCAACATGGCCTTTGTCGACGACAGAGAGGACATCTATTCCTTTGCCCTGACCGCCGTCTCTCGACTGCTCAAGAACAACAACATCGACCCTGCATCTATTGGTCGAATCGAGGTTGGTACTGAAACCCTTCTGGACAAGTCCAAGTCCGTCAAGTCTGTGCTCATGCAGCTCTTTGGCGAGAACAGCAACATTGAGGGTGTGGACAACGTCAACGCCTGCTACGGAGGAACCAACGCCCTGTTCAACGCTATCAACTGGGTTGAGGGTCGATCTTGGGACGGCCGAAACGCCATCGTCGTTGCCGGTGACATTGCCCTCTACGCAAAGGGCGCTGCCCGACCCACCGGAGGTGCCGGCTGTGTTGCCATGCTCATTGGCCCCGACGCTCCCCTGGTTCTTGACAACGTCCACGGATCTTACTTCGAGCATGCCTACGATTTCTACAAGCCTGATCTGACCTCCGAGTACCCCTATGTTGATGGCCACTACTCCCTGACCTGTTACACAAAGGCCCTCGACAAGGCCTACGCTGCCTACAACGCCCGAGCCGAGAAGGTCGGTCTGTTCAAGGACTCCGACAAGAAGGGTGCTGACCGATTTGACTACTCTGCCTTCCACGTGCCCACCTGCAAGCTTGTCACCAAGTCTTACGCTCGACTTCTCTACAACGACTACCTCAACGACAAGAGCCTGTACGAGGGCCAGGTCCCCGAGGAGGTTGCTGCCGTCTCCTACGATGCCTCTCTCACCGACAAGACCGTCGAGAAGACCTTCCTTGGTATTGCCAAGGCTCAGTCCGCCGAGCGAATGGCTCCTTCTCTCCAGGGACCCACCAACACCGGTAACATGTACACCGCCTCTGTGTACGCTTCTCTCATCTCTCTGCTGACTTTTGTCCCCGCTGAGCAGCTGCAGGGCAAGCGAATCTCTCTCTTCTCTTACGGATCTGGTCTTGCTTCCACTCTTTTCTCTCTGACCGTCAAGGGAGACATTTCTCCCATCGTCAAGGCCTGCGACTTCAAGGCTAAGCTCGATGACCGATCCACCGAGACTCCCGTCGACTACGAGGCTGCCACCGATCTCCGAGAGAAGGCCCACCTCAAGAAGAACTTTGAGCCCCAGGGAGACATCAAGCACATCAAGTCTGGCGTCTACTACCTCACCAACATCGATGACATGTTCCGACGAAAGTACGAGATCAAGCAGTAGATTGTTAAGATGCAACTAGGGAAGGGGAATTAAAATTCATATAGCAATAATGTATAATAGCTAGGAAATGTGTGTGGTTGTAGATCGACACTTGTATATAGCTTGTGTCTCACTTTGAAGAACCCAATTATGCATGATACATGCATGATTCCACACTACAGCAGGAGTATGGTGGATTCCAGAACAAGTGATGATGATGAGTGATCAGCAGGTTTTGGGAAGTATCTGTCTTTACCAGGAGGTGTCCTAAGAGCTTAAATTGAACCTTGTACGGATTGTGGCGGCAGGTACTGTTGGTTTTTACGAATAAGGATAAGTAGCTCAGCTGCTTTCGTGCGAAAAGTGTATAGTAGGCATTTTCACCATCACTTACTATAGATACCGGTAGTAGATCGTGAGGGCTAGAGATACGTGCGATACGTGCTGTTACTCCAGAGAGGTTAGATAAGAACCAAGCACTTTCTATCATGAATAATAGTTTGCTCTTCAATAGGGTGTGATTATGGAACGTTTTGGTCACCCTTGTGCTTACTAAGTACCATTCTCAAGTACATACTTGACCACGTTGAACTAAGTGCTAACTGTCTATTTGTAGCTACTGTTACACCAGTGCACTGTATGTGGGGTTGCTAGGTGCCAGACATTGCAAGATTCTTACAATGACACGCGTTATTTACAACTATTATTAATACTGTAATTGGTTACGTAATAGCTGGTTGGATACAACTACTCTCACTGGTTGTTGAAGTACTTCTTACCAGACCTCATCTTGGCCACAAGTGCGAGTGCCTCACCATATGCTTTGGAGGTTGTGGCAGGGCAGACAGACTTGATTGCAAGGGCCAGCAGTCAAGAGAACGTGACGTATGAAGGAAAACCGACAGTGAAACTGGAAAATAAATAGGCTGATAGATTAAAAGAAAAACAAGTCATGTAATAATCATAAAAATTCACTTCTAAATACATCTGTGCACACGAAAAACACGAGAAGTGGAGCTCGTGTAGGACCAATTTCACACCCAAATGGGACAACCTAAATCGTAGATGAGGTTTTGACCCATAATGTGGTGTCTCTGCACATAAATTGAACCTATCGCCATGACGACGCGTCAACCATACAAACCAAAGTACATTCCGCTATACGCTGCAAGGTCGGAAAAGAAGGAGACTGAGGCGCCGGCACACAAGCTCGAGCAACAAGACATTTCAGAGCTCAGGCAGCAGATTGACGACTTTCGAGAAGAAATCAGAACAAGCCCAGTTTCTTACCCCAAAGAACCAATGGCAGACCCTCACAGACGATTTGCCATTCCAACAGATTTGTCTCGATTTGAGCGGCTCCGACGAGGTCTCAGACGCGAAGAGGACGCGGACATTAATCTCGGCGCAAACTACTCGCGATACAGACTGGAAACCAGAAGGAACGTGGAGGACGACGATGAGGTCCCCGAGACAAGGACTACACGCGTCTCCAAGAGAGATCGAGATCACAATGAACTTTCGACGAATCAAACCCGGCTGCGGAGCAACAGCAGATCTAGAAACCCTCCACAACAATACCTCAACAAATTGCACATACAGGGGGAGGAGGAGTTTGAAGACCAGTACGCTGAGATCAAGGAGGAGTCTCACGACGAAGACACGTCTCTGTATCATCCCATGCCACAGATGCGCCGTTATGCAGGCTACAACGCGTTCACAGGATCGCCTCAGAAGAAGGTGACAATTACGGAGCCACAGGAGAAGCCACAGGAGAAGCATATGAGACCCAGAAGTCGTGATCCGGACACCAGGGCAGAGCATCGAATTCACGAAGCCACACGACTGGTGGAGGACAAGCTCGAGCAGTATATGGGTGCCATCGAGGCCAGCAAGGGCCCAGAGGTGGCTCAGCAGTTTGTGCGAGAGTACGAGCTCATGATGGACCTGCTGAGCAAAGAGTATCAGGGGTTTAAAGATTTTCAACAAAAGCAACCTACCCAGACCCCTATTTCAAAGACTTCACCTAAGTCTGTCTCGAAAACAACACAAAGGTCAGCTTCCAAAAAGGGTATCATCAAAATGCCGACTCAATCCGCCAGCAGGAGACCTACTGAGGACATTAATGACGATTATGAGGAGGAACGAGACATTGAACAAGACTACGGAAAGAAACGTCCTCAAGTCAAGATTGAGAAACAAGAGGAGGATGCTCGACCTGAGAATGATAGCAGAAGGGCCCAAAAAGGCATGCATGAGTTAGAAAGGGAAATCACACAGACACCGACCAAATCGCTTGATCCACACACCCCTCAAAAGGTGGTGATACCCAATACCGGAGTCTGGGCACGAGCCCGGTCTACAATCTCCAGATCCTGTAGAGCCGTTGTTGGGACCTGGCAAACCACTACATCTCCCCTACTTCTTCTGGCAACCTCGTTCTTCTTCTGGCAAGCAATTCGATTGTATGTATACGCGACACTTTTCATCATCCCCCCTTACCTAAACTAACACAGGGCTCTCACCTTTTTCTGCCTGGATGACGACGAGGAGTTTGTGCGCCAGCAGCTGGTTCAGGGCATGAGCTACGCTGAAATCGAACACATGTGGGGCCTGCGAGGCTTCAATATATGCGGTGGGGTGTGGAGGCCTCCAGTTCCACAGTAGACACGACACGACTAACCGCGCTAGAGACACCATGCCACTCTAACTGTACACTATCTAATAAATAGACTGCTAACAATGTTTGTGGAGGGTTGTATAGCCGATCCAGCTCATAGTAGGTTCGCTATACATGTACAGTATGTTCTTGGAGATGCTTTCAGTGATTACAGTATGTGGCGAAAAGAGGCGAGAAGAGTGAAGTACAAAGATGAAAGGGAATAACAAGCGCTTGAAATGAAAGAATGAAAGAATGGCAAACGAAAAAATCTGTCGAGAACATATTTTTCTTCATATTCTGTGTGAATAATATCCTGTGTCTATGCTTTCAGACGCTCGTGTCTGCCATCGCACGATACAATATGGGACCATAAATCAATGTTCAAAAGCTCATCCGGCTAACTATATTGCCTCACAATATAAAACAAAGGTACAGGAGCACTCTCTGCTGCACCTTCCTCCCTGTGTCCTCGACTTCCACACCCCCAAATTCACGCCAACATTACATAAGCAAAATAGAGTTCCTTGCATAAGACTGCACGTCATTTAGGCACTAAAAAAAAATGTTCTCCGAAGTATTGTCACCAATGGCAAAACGAACAACTAAGCTGCCGCCAGCTACAGTGGCTACAAAGGCGGATTTGAGGAACCGCCCTATCGCACAGCCTGTGAGTCGGCGTAGGGGCCAACAAGCAACGCCTAACAACGCCAACAACAACAGCAATAACAACAGCGCGGAAGACAAAAGTAACAACACAAATGATACCAAGGACAGCAAAGATGGCAAGGAAAAGGCCAGCAAGAAGAAACGAAAGAAGAACAAGAAGAAGAGCCAATCGGGACCCATTAGTCCGCAGGACCGTCGAAACTCTGGAAACGGATACAACGTCCTGGTAGACGAGAATGACGACAAATCTGGAGATGAGGGAGAGAGAAGCTCTAAGAAGAGAAGAACTGCGGGATCTGCTGCATCGACCACCGCTTCTTCAGATATGGACAGCGAAAATGAGAGATCGGTCTCCACAGCACCTACATCTGCCCCAGCTCCCAAACCTCCTGCTGACTCTCCTCCTCCTCCACCACCAGTTGATCCCAGTGAGTGGAACATGAACGAGGATTTTGTCGGGTTTGATTTTTCGGATGGTGAGGATGAGGAAGACGAAGAGCCAGAGGAGCCCGTCAGATCGCGTAAGCGAACTATCGAGGAGGTGGACGATGCAAGTTCAGGACCTGCTTCCAAGAAACAGGACCTTGAGGCCCCATGGATCAAGTCAAACTACCATCAATACGACCGTGTGTCTGATTGGTTGCAGGAGGAAGTGATGGACTTTGTCAAGTACATTTCTCCCACTCAGTCGGAGATAAAGGCACGTCAGGATCTGGTGGAGCGTGTTCGAGGGGCCGTGAACGGCCTGTGGGGAGACGCGAAGGTGCACGTACTGGGATCATTCACTACCAACATGCACCTGCCTCAGAGTGATATTGATCTCGTCGTCTGCAGTCCTCACGGACACTACGGCGAGAGAGCTTGCATTTACCAGCTCAGCAGTGTCATTCGAAGCCGGATGAAGGTTGCGGAGCTCCAGACTATCACAAAGGCCAGAGTGCCTATTATCAAGTTCATCGACTCGAGAACGGGCGTCCATGTGGACATATCGTTTGAGAAGGACGGAGGAATCAAGACTGCATCTACCATCACGAAATGGAGCAAGAGCATGCCTGCTCTTCGACCCCTGGTGTTGATTGTCAAACAGTTCCTGTCGAGTAGACGACTTAACGAGGTCTTCACAGGTGGTCTGGGTGGATTTTCAGTCATTTGCATGGTGTACTCGTTCCTGATTCAGCATCCCCGAATTTCGACGGGCGACATTAGCCCCATGGACAACCTTGGAGTTTTGTTGATTGAGTTCTTCGAGCTCTACGGTGTCAACTTCAATTACGAGCGTGTTGCTCTCAACATGGATGGTAACTGTGGTTACCTTAGCAAACGTTTGTACCCTGATCTCATTGGTCGAAACCCCTTTGCCGTGGCAATCCGTGATCCTGATGATCATGAGAACAATATTTCCCAGGGAACCTTCAACATGCGAAATATCAAACGTGCCTTCAGCGGTGCATTCCAACTGCTGTCGGGTAAGTGTCTTGATATGAACAAGACTGGATATAAGGGACGCCAGGGGAAGAGTTTACTGACATCCATCATCAAGCTGAAGGGTCCTGTCCGAGACCAGACCCCTGATGCAATTACCGAACCTCTCAAGTACACAGGTGGAGGGGATGAGTTCAAGATCCCTCAGGACGCTGTGTACAACTCCGTGCTAATGAACGATGAGGACGAGGATGAGAAGGCTAAGCAAGCAGAAGATGCTGACAAAACAAAGAGGCGTGCTGCCCAGAGGGAGGAGCAGAAAAAGAAGAAGGAGTTGACTACTGCATCAGATGACAAGATTCCCAAGGGTCCAGCAGCAGATAGAAACCAGCCCAAGGCCGATCAGAGAAAAATGTCCAAGGATAGAGCCGCTGCACGAGCTGCTGCGCGTGAGGTGATGGAGATTTCGAGCGATGACGACGACGGTTCCGACAGCAAGAATGGTGGAGCTAAGAGCAATCCCATTGACTTGTCGTCGGATGAGGAGAAGGGTCGATCTGACATCAAGAAAGATCCTTCGGCCAAGCGACGATTCTGGCAGCAGAAAGGAGGACTGGATTACTAGCGAGGTGCGGAGACAGAGATAGAATAATGTAAATTAATGGCGTTACCTACACACGCTTCACACAAGGCAATCTGAATATACTAATAACATTGCAAATTAAATGTACTTATTTACCGCCATGAAGCTTGAACCACTGGGTGAAGTCGGCGAATGCCTTCTCCTTGGCGAACTTGACAGGAGGGTCATTAGGGTCGCCTCGGCATGCAAAACCGTGGACAGTCTTGGAGCTGAGGGTGGCGTAGTAGGTCTTTCCGGTCTCTTTGAGAGCAGCCTCGACGTTGGCTCGCAGCTCGGGAGTGTAAATATTATCAGTCTCTGCAGCAGCAATGATCAGAGGGTGCTTGATAGCCTTGGCATCCTCCACAGTGACGAAAGAGGGATGAGCCCAAGCCAGAGCGTTGACGAGATCAGTGGCTCCCAGAGCTCCGACAAGCTTTCCTCCGTAGCAGTATCCAACAGTTCCCACAAACGAGGGCTTGAAGTCGTCCCTAATGTGCTGTGCGATTTCCTTGGCGAAGGGGATAGTGGTTTCAAATGTGTGTCGGGGGAACCAATCGTTCATAAGGGAAAAGCTCTCAGGAGGGTTGAGTGCGACTGGGTCGTTGTTGAAGAGATCGGGAACGACAACAAAGAAGCCCTCCTCGGCAAATTGATCGGCCAGGAGCAGGGAGCCCTTGTATTCGAGACCCAGAATGTCGGTCAACAGTAGCACAATCTTGTCAGAGGGCTTACCTGCAAAGTAAGTCTTTGTTCCATGAAAGTCCTTAAACTCACCGGAAATCTCTCCGTCGTGCTTGAAACCGGTAGCGCAGCAGGGAAGGAGAACCATTGTGAATAATTGAGTGCCTGCGAGTGGAGTGTGTCTTTCGACGACGGGAAATGTTCAGTGGCTTTTTGTAGATTGCGTTTTAGGGTTTGCCTAGTTGGTGGGTGACCTCCATGGGCTGCTTATCATATAGTGGGAGGCGGGGGCTCAAGCCTACTTGTACTTTATATTTTAGCAGATAAGGCAGTAAAAACTCGTTAATAGTAGATATACTAGCACAGGTCATTCCTAACTTGACTTATCGGCCCTGCCCAACCCTTTCTGTGTTCTACTCATCGCCATTTTAACTTCCCGCAGATGCATATGAGCATGTGCGGACTTTTTGTTAGAGGAGGGGCTTACAAATCACACTTTCTTGGCTCTCGGATATGAAAGTTAACTACACGTGCTGAGTGGGGGAACTAATGAGAGACCTCATACAAGTGTTGCAAGTTACCATAAAGGAAGGTCAACAGTACTGGAAGTTGCGCATTCTGTGATTCAACGAAATTGTTCTTGTGTGTTGTTGCATGACGAGATGTAATGATGATTTAGTCATGCTCGTTGGTCCAGAAACTCTGAACTGGTATTTGTACTGCAACGGCTGAAAGTTCAGCAATACAGACGTAAATAGAAACCGTATCTTGTGTCTAAAGTGGCGCGTTGTAAATGGTGATTAATTTTTGGGCGTTCCTGGACGCGGTTGTTTCAATGACAGTAAATGTCGTATCGAGTGTCTTAGCTTTCCAATCAAATCAAAGTTTCATAAACCTGCAGTGCCAAGCTATTAGCGATGTTCGCTTTTGTCATTACTTTTTCTGCAGTTCTCTTATCGATCGACTCTTATACCGTAAATGAGCCGGTCATATTCGTCTATCTGTTTTTCGATTGGCCGCTAGATTCCTTGTTTTGAAGGCGCTAAATCGAAGTGCCCAGATGTATTACCTCACCCTTATTGATGTGGAAGGCTGCGGACGGACGCAAAACCGGACGCGGCTTGTTGGCAAAACAATGTCTTATAAAAATCCCTAAGACGCAAATAAAAGCAATAGTTCACAGGTTCAAGTTCAAGTAATCTGTTCAGTTGCTGTGGTCCGTGCTCCCGATCACAATTGACTGTTGGGGTTTTGTTTTGTTTTACTTGTACAGCACACAATCTCTTGTCTCAGAAAAGACAAACACCTCCACGTGCAAGTAATGTGGGGTTTTGAATTCACTACAAGGGTCTTCTCGTATCAATAGGTTTCCCTTTACCTCACGAGTCGGGGACCGACGATACTTTTTGCTAGTGTCGCTGTGCTCGTATCCAGAGCTTGAAGGTCGTTGTGCCTATTGTGCCTACAGATCCGGTGTTTTTTCAAAACAATAATATTAAATAAATAGGCGAGTTATATAAGAATGAGTGTTAAGAAGACACTTTTTTCCACCACTTATCTACCAAGGAACTTGAGCTCGATCCATCGAGTGCAGTTGAAACTGACAAAGGCAAAGCCAAAGGCGATCTCGAAACCAATATCAGCTCCGGGTCCAATGAGCTTACCAATGGGACCAGTGTACCAGACCTGATCCATACCAAGAACTGCTCCAGCAATTCCGACACAGAAAGAAAACATAGCAGCGTAAGAGACGGGCAAGGGTATGATCCTTGTGGATGTCAGGGTTATAGCCCTTGAAACCTCCAATCCAGAAGAAGTGGGCAGACAGGTTAATGGCAGTGTAAACGGCCAACCAGTAGCCGATAATGTTCATGAAGTTGTCAATGAACTCCTCAAAGGCGTAGTAAGCGGCAATAGAGATACCGATGACAGCACCGTTTCCGAGAATAGCCCAAGCAGCTCGGGGGACAAGCTTGAACTTGGACCAGATAGTCTGGGCAGAGAGACCAAGAGAGTACATGTTGGGAATGTTGTTGGCAACAGTAGAAAGAGCAAGAACGACGATACAGAACTGGCCAAATCCGTGGAGAGAGTCAGTGACGAGGATCTCAAAGACAAGTCCTCCAATACCGTTCTTGTTGTATCCATCGTTGAATCGGGGAGTAGTTCGGATACCAGTCATGCAGGCAGCACCAAGAGTCATGACACAGATCAGAGGGGTACCGAGACCCAACATGAGAGCGCAGAAAACCTTGACGGATGAAGTCTTCTTGGGCATATACACTGTGTAGTCAGCGGCGGAGGGGCACCATCCAGTAGCGAAACCGAAGACTGCTCCACCGAAAGAGAGAACGTTAGCAGCTTCAGAAGTTCCGACATCCATAGTTCCCCACTCAAAGGCGTGAGATCGTCCCATCTGAATAGCAATGATGAGGAAGACAACAGCGTTGGGAACCCAGGCCCACTTCTCGTAATGGTGGATGAAGTGGTAACCCATGAAGGAGACACAGAATGTCAGAAGAGAGACGATAACAATAGCCACGGGAACGGGAAGTCCACCATGGTTGACAGTGTGGAGCATCTGAGCAGACACGATTGTGTTGACTGTACCCCAGCCGATACAAGCGATACAGTTGAAAAATGCAAGGAATCGAACACCCTGGTATCCAAACCAGTATCGAGAAAGAACCATTTGTCGGAGACCAAACTTGGGGCCGAAGCAAGAGTAAAAGGCAACGGGGGCCATACCGAGAATGTTGAAGAAGATGATGGTAAGAAGAGAGTCGATGAAATGCAGCTGGAAAACGGAGACACCAAGGCCACCGAGAGCGAAAGAAGCGATAACAAAGTTAGCGGAGAACCACATGGAAGCGGCGTTCCAGATACTGTTGTCAGTCTTTTCCTCCTCAGGGACTCGGTCGATACCTCGAATCTCAGCCTTCAGGTGTTTGAGGATTCGGAAGAAGAGGTTGTCCGGGTGAGTCTGGACAATGTCTTCAACAGAGCCATGGCGAGGGTATTCGAGGGAGGTTGAGGAGGAGAGGCCCTCAGCTTTTACTCCAGTTTGTTTTTCGATATCGTATTCAGACATTGAGCTGGTAAGAAATCGAGCCGGTACAAGGTCAAAGTGATTAAAGGTCAAAACCGGGTGTGGGAGAATGTTGCGGCAGCAGCTGTTGTGTGTCTGGAGAGTCGAGAGCTGATCTGGAGTCGTGATATATATATATGTGTGAGAAAGCTAGTGTTAGCTTTGTTTTCGCTACTGAAATACTTTTTCGTATCTAGCCGGTGATCGAATCACGGCGGATTATGGTTCATCTTGACGCGGGCCCTTATTGTTCAATGAAACTTTCTGTCATGAAGAGTTTCATCATGTAAATCAACGGCGTTTGAAGGCTACAACAAGGGGGTCACTGGGGTCCAATGTGGGATAGAACCCGCCCAGTAGCGGGCGATAAGGGCAATTAACCCGTATGTGGTCTTTGGGTGCGCGATTTCTATCTCCTTTCTGGAAGTTCATTCTCCTGTTGCGCCGCGCCTGCGAGCCTCACTGCGCGTGCAAGGCTACAGTAGCCACACTCAGGACCAAACGCTACATGAGTCAAATTTAATTTCCCATCTTTCAAAACTTTGACGACCCGATTGCGCATGATATCTGCGTTCAGTCAAACCAGCACGGCAAAATTTTAGCTTCTGGCTACTCGCTATCTTCATCTGCGCCTCTGTCATTGGCTACAGGCAATCTGAAGCCCCCGTCCAAACCCGAACTGTGACTTTTGTACATTTTAGGTAAGCGACCCGTTGACTCGGGCGACATAAGTTACAGAAATAGAAAAATTTGCGGTGACTGGCAAGGGCGCAGAACATGAGGGTTGGCACGTGATGTAAAAATGAGCCGGCTGGCGATAGTAGGGCGTGTACCGAAAAGAATATGTGCTATCTACATCAGGGAGGTTCCCCACATGCCTCTTTGGCGTCCCTTACAGCTGTATCAAGGATTTGGTATCTCTAACGAATGCTATTACACAATTCACGCTGATTAAAGTGCAGATGGCCGTGTTACCGACGGATGTTCCGCCGGCCCCCAACTTTTCAGGAGCGGCCAAGGCTGACAGAGTTTGACAATCGGCTCCGAATGAGGTAGGCGAGACCGCTTTTAGTTGGCGACTGCATGATAGCAGTGCGGTAACGTGCGCTCACTCGTGATGCCCGCATAGATGAAGATGGACACAAGTGTGGAGTGGAAGGCCTAGGGAACGCGTCGTAGCGCACGGATAAGCGGTTAATCAGCGGAGAAAGTGGATACATGGATTATATTCTGGTGGTTTCCCCAATCCTCGGATTATCCGATAGCATGTGGGCTACTTACCAGCATGATGATATCATCTGTCATCCAGTGTCATCTTGGCAGACCGACTAAAAAGCTGATATGGTGGTAGAACGGTATGTAGCTAACAGAGTGACTGAGGACGCTATCGATCAATAGTGTACCAATAGTGTACACCCTGGACTTAGCTGTCGGGTAGCTCCGCTTTCTAGAAGCTAACGAGTGGCTGATAGGCATTTCCCTTCCCGTACGTACCGTAGGAACCTCAACTAATGAGCTGCGAGCCATTTTAGGCAAGCTTTGCTATCTTACAGCCCTATAGTCTTTTGTTTTACAAGTTATTCATTAAACTATGGGAAACAAGCTACAAAGAAGCCTTGGTGGCAGCCAGCCAAGCGACCCGTTGGCCGATACCGCCGGAGTAGATGTATCCTTGTCCCTCAAACCCGTAGGCATGAATGACGGTGAAACCTCCTGCGATAGTTTCCTTCTCGATTCTGTAGCCGCCGTCTCTTCCGGGTCTGAAGCCAATGATCTTCTTGATAACAGGAAGACCCTCGAACTCAGAAGTGACGGGCAACGGTCCGTCACCCTTTTCAAACAGGGTGGCACGTGCGTTAGCAATCATGTCGGGGCAAATAGTATCGACCTTGGTGACGATTTCCCTGTTAACTTCGTCATCCACTACCTTGGAAAAGTTGCCCGGCTGAGAAATACCACCAATGATGATTCCTCCTGACTGGGGTCGGGGAATAACATAGGTATAGTACTTGCCGGTACGAGAGCACATGGGGCCGTCATAAGAGGTCTTCACCCAGAGTGTCTGGCCTCGTACAGCTTTGACAGCGGCATCCTGCACAGGTTCCATGTGCTTGGCACCGACTCCAGAAGCATTGACAACAAGTCTAGAGTGGTCTCCTGCAATCTCCACGGCCTGCGCAATGGAGGAGACTTCAGACTGGATGAACTTTACACCTCGTCGCTCAAGGAATGTTCTCAGCCACTTGAGATACACCCAGGGGTTTACCGAGGCAGACAGGTACTCTACTCCGTGAGTCACGTGGCCACCAAAAGTCTTCTGTTTGGCTCGGGCGGGAATCTCGTGGTCCTGGAGCCATCTGAATTGAGGAAATTCTCTGGCCCACATTCGGTTTTCAGAATCTTTCTCACGCGACTCGGATCCAGGATACGACGTTTCATCGTAAAAGTCTCTGGTGAGTCGGAATCCGAGACCAGTGAAGGGATCAGCATGATACAGTTCCCACCAGAGACGGAAGGTCTCTCGCTGAATGTCTCGCTCGTCACCTTGGGCTCGAGGGTCGGGGTGGAACATGGCACCTCCCCAAGGAGACGCCCATTCGCCAGGCCAATCGTGATCAGGCTCACCCACTCGGGTGGGCATATCACGGGCAACAACAGTGACTTCATGGCCCTCTTGCAGAAGGTAGTAGGCCGAGGTGAGTCCAATGACTCCAGATCCAATTACAACAACCATTATCGAGAAGTGTGGGGGTCGAACAGTATCGAATGGCGCCAATTGGGAATGTATCGCTATTTAAAATCTGGTCACTTCCATTCCTACCCAAAAACGTAACCCCCACCCCGACTATCAAACACAGTCTAATAGCGCTGCGGTTGGAACCTTGAGCTTGGGGGTTGAAGAAATGAGAGTGTTATGTAACGGGAGGGGTAAACAGGTAGCTGAAGCAGGAGTATATGTACCACCGACTTTGCTGTCTAAGAAACAATCGTATGATGGTTTTACAGCTCACACCTTGCTTCTCGACATACTGTCCTTGTACAAATGTGTTATCTGGCATACCTGCATAATCTGTATAATCTGTATCGGACTCCGCATTAATTGAAGGGCTAAATCATATAACCGCAGAGCCGTAGTAAATACTCAAACTTACGCAGTACGGATGCTACAGTATCTTTTGAAGTGTGGCGTGGATGTTGATACGTGTTGAAACGGAGTACACAGTTGCTTCTTACCACGGCTACTATCTCAACGAAGGTGATAAGCTCACGGATATCGTACATACATACCACTCTACAAATTCTTGCATACAAACAAGTGATCGTACGAGTACGGTACATACTCCAAAATGAAACTCATGTTAATATATACGTGACTGGTGAGATAGAACCTTACATGTCTCGGAAATCCTCACAGTGCAGCTCGTACTCATAGTCAGGCTGCATCTCGGCGTAGAGAGTGCCCATATCGCAGCTGCTATCAAAGGTGAACTGAGCCTCCTCGTCATGGATGAACTGTTTCTGGAATCCCTTGCATTCGGCAGAGTTGGCCAGCATCTGAGCCTCGCAGGATCGCTCCATCAGGGTAAACAGGTATGTCGCCTCGTCCACGGTTCGTCCCACAGTGAGAAGGCCGTGGTTCTGCAGAATGACAGCCATATTGTCACCCAGGGCCTCAGCGATCTTGTGGCCCTCCTCATCGCCCAGAACAACTCCACCGAAGGCGCGGTAGACAGAGTGAGCCTTGTAAAAAGTACAGACGTCCTGGTTGATCATCTCCAACTCCTTGCCGAATGCCGAGTAGGCCTTTCCATGAATGCTGTGAGTATGGCAGGCGGCGTCAACATCGGGACGGGCCTTGTGGATTGCGGAGTGGATCAGGAATCCGGCGGTGTTCACTGCCGCCTGGTTTCCATCCTTCAGAATGTTACCCTTTTCATCAACATGGACCATGTGGGAGGGCTTCATGAGACTGTAGTGCACTCCGATAGGGTTGATCCAGAAGGTGTTGGGATCGATGGGGTCTCGGATGGAAATGTGGCCGGCAGATCCCTCAGTGTATCCCTTTCGGCCCATGATTCGGAACGCTCCTGCCATGTGCTGTAGCATCCACTTTCGCTTCTCCAGACCCTGGATCTTGGGGATCTGGTGGGGGTGGGGAGCTCCGTGGGCAAATTTGTTTTCGGGTTGGACGACTTCCGCTGGGCTCATTTTGTTGTGTAGTTGTAGTACGAATACTTGTACTGTAGTGCAAGTTGAAGAAGAGATGCTTACCAAGTACATTTGCATTGGACATCATGCGCTTTATCATTATTCTCCTGTGGAACTTAATTTAGCTCACCCCACAAAATGAGCCGACCAAACGGAACAGAAGAGGGCAACATTACCGCCACATGAGAAGCAAGTCGAAGCAATGGCGGCGCGACATTCAAATATCGACAGTTACAACACCTTAAGAACACTCATAATGAGTCAGATACTACATTAATATCCCATCGTCATGTTCACCTGCACTCCATCTTTTAGTTCCATGGATTTATTAGTCTAATGCTCTGGTAGAATGGTGACAGCCGGGATCGGATCTGATCTGGGGGCCGCTATCGGCATACCTGCGTACTTCGCTCCATCTGGTGATGAATATTATGCTCCAGGGATGAGGGTCATGCGGATGTTTCGAGTGTTCTTCGGTTATTGGTGGTACTCACCCCACAGCAATTCGACAGCAAACCTGAGCCGCAAGATGCTCATCCAGCCCACATATCGGACTTTCAGTACAGTAAGTACGTACTTAGGACAAGAACCACTGACTTGAAACACCTTCATCAAGATGATCCTTTTTGGCATTAAACTGGTTTTCGAGACTGACGATGCGTTCAGGGGATATCCTGAAAAATTGAAGTTTGCCTTGAGATGTACCTGCAAAGAAATTTCCTGTACGGGGTAACGATGGCTCATCATAACAGACCGTGTCCCCAGAAGCCATGTCATAGAAAATACCGTTAGTAATACCGTAGGCAACATAACGCTTATACACTCCTTTGCCTTGAGTTGGAAGCGTGAACTCCTCATATCCTCCCACCAACGTCCTGTCAGTCACAAACCGCACCTTGGTGCTGTTGATGTCGAAAAAGAATGGCACCAGATGTCCTCCAAAACCAATCCACAGATAACCATGATATTGCAATGTCATAAACCACATATAGTCACTGATCCACTCCAAAACCTGTATCTGCTTGCGTCTTGTATGATCCACATAACTGATACTCGCTTGATGATCCTCATAGAGCTCTAAACACAACATGGCATTGGGCAAGACCTGGACATCACTGCATGTACCCAAGAATTGGAATACGTAGGCGTTATCAACATCGACAACCCCATCCTTCCACTTCATCAATGCCCCCTTGCTGCACTTTTCCACAATCAACAGCTCTGACGAATTGCTGTATTCCAAGCAGTGGAACTCCGCAAACCCCAGACTGGCATAAACGTCCACGCCGTACTTTTGCTCACACATCTTGTGCTCTGGCTCCGAAATATAACTGAACCCGAGCGTCTTCATGTCCACTTCCACGCCCGTTCCTCCAAGTTTCATGGTCGTCTTTTCAAAAATAGGCTCAAAATCCTCTGGTAACCTGTCGACAGTGGTCACATCAATTAACTGAACTTTTGACGGCTTGGAACTGGCATCTTCGAGAACCTCAAAGTAAATGTCATCGAAAGATTCGTTTGGCACTTCACGTGCTTGTTTTTGTTGCTCGAAAACAAAACGTGCACATTGTCGCCAGGTATTGGCTTCCAAGCCATCAACACCTAGCTCCACCCAGGGTGCAACATCCGCAACAGCAGAGCGTAATATGGCTTCTGAGTCATCAATCAGGGCATGTAAGTAACGACAGGTATCTCCTATGTTGACCAGTGATTCTAAATCCAAATGTTGGATCACAAGGCCCCATATTTCGTCTGGCAATAGGGAAGCTGCCATAGTGGCCAAAATTAGGTGTGATGGGAAGGAGGAAACAACATCACAGAGCAAACACGAAGGGATATCATAGAATGACTTGACTCAGCACATAAATAGCCGTCAGGCACATAAATTAACAATATGTTAAGAGTACGATGACAAGATCTGACATAAATATTTATTATTACTAGCTATTAATTACTTCCTATTGTACAATTCATCCTCTTCTCTCCGTCCCCTGTTATTCGTATGATGTGTTTAGTCTTCGGCGCCATTCTCTCCTCAATTATTCTCAGAAATCAGCTCCTTGATGAAGGGTGGGTGAGTAGGGAAGAAAAGTTCCAGGGTCACCGATTCCGGTACCGGTTTCCCAAAGACCTCGAGTATCAATCACCGTGCTGTAATCCAGAGCTTTCTGCTCGGGATCGGTTCTTCGTCGAATCACGCCAGCTTCAAGCTGCGCAGTAATGGTGACAACCTCATGCAAAGTGTCCTCGTAAGGAACAGGAGTACCGGGGGCAGAAACCATCCAATTACCAATAGCCCAGAGTCGCTTTGCTCGCTGAAGTTTGGCTTTTCGGTTGCCCTTTCGCTCAAGACAGTCGTGAGCGATGATCACTGCGTCTCGCACAAAAATGTTGAGAATGATCTGGTAGACACAAGCAGCATAGCACAGGTTCACCTGATCGGTGCCCGAAATATGCTTGTCTCTCCAGTAAGCCGCAGCATGAAGGCACAGGTCTCGTGCTTCACCCAGCCGCATGGCAAGTTCAGCGTGTTGTTTCTTCCAGCTGTCTGTGTCCAGTCCTCCAAACATGCTCGATAGCCTGCTGTGTTCGAGCTTTTCCTTGAATGACTGTGATATGGTCACGAACGCAGAGCCCAGAGCCTTACAATAATCGGCACCAAAGGGCAATTCTCTGAAGGGAGCCAGTTGTTGCTGGAAGTTGGATGTGAATACCTGAGAGAAGTCGTCTGAGTCTACGTCTGATGCAAAGTCTGCGTCAATCAGAGAGTTGTAGAAGGACACAGAGGCCTGGAGGGCGTCTTGGGAGTTGGCGTTCTTCTTTCCCTTCAGCATCTCGTTCACCTTGTTCTTATCCCATCCCATTCGTCGCAGCATCTTGACGTGCTTGTCCTTGACCAAGACCAGCTTAGTGTTGGACTTCTGCTTGCCGTAGAGCTCCTTCTCGATCTTGGTAACCGTCTGGAACACAGCAGACTGTGCGCTCAGGTTCTTGGTACTGGCGTTGCACACCAGAGGCTCCATTTGTGGGAGGCCAAACAGCGATGTGAAGAGGTCGATGGCATCAATGAAGCGGGGCTCAAAGGCGGCGAAGAACTTGGGGTCATCTCCGCAGGCCAGGTAGTTGTTTCTGTACTGGGGAACCCGCAGAATCTGGTAGGCGTCGGAAACGGCGTAGAAACTAAGGTACGCGTCGCTCTTGCCCAGAAGCTTGATGAGTTGCAAGCATCGTGTGCGATAGGCCTGGCTGATGTCGAAGCCACCGGCGTTGACAGGCACGTTGAGGATCTCGTAAAGCACTAGCATTTTTGCTGACGAGTGAGTTTGATTGTGGCGAACGTGCCCTTTCATATTGGACACAGAAATTTTACCGCACCTCTAGCAGGTATGCCATGTAGCTTGTGCTGTTACCGTTTGAACGTTACGCACGTAGTTTAACCCTGGCAAGGTTGGTTAAGTTTCAGTTGGGTCCTATTGTTCGGCAAGATTGAGATTGCTATTGGGGGCGTGGGCCAGCATGTGAGCAGCGAAGATACGAGTGCCAAGAGCCATTTTCTGGAGCAACGGGTCTAAAGGGGCGGCCACACGAGCAGTTTGGAGACATGGCATCTGCATTTATTATTTTTCGACGTCGTCTCTTTCCCCCCTCCGTTAGCATCAATTCGTCCCCTCTTGTTGCACTTTTGAGCCTTTGAGGTGGGCCACCCTAGTTTTCCGTTGCTTTGTGCTTTTCCCTCTCTTTTCTGATCGACAAGGTCCGGACGCCGTTCTGGGACTATGCTTGTGCTTTAGCTCAGCACATTAATTCTTTTTTATGTCAAATTGGAGGTGTGCAAGCGTGTCATGGGACCATCCCGCTGAGTGTATTTAGGCGAGCTAATTATATGGTGCAAGACATGACGAGATATTTCAGAGCAGAAAGGGGTGGCGAGTGGACATTTTCACTTGTGTCTGGTAGAATCCCTCCACTCGTAGTCTCAACAAACAGCTCAGTTACACCCGCAGTAAGGTACCAACTGAAATATCCTGCTTGTTTACATGCATCGAGAAGCGCTCCAGACGCACTACTTGTACTGTAGAATCATTTTCGGAGTACAGCATTGGGGGGAATGGAGGATTTACAGTGCCCTGCAAGCTTGTCATCTCGCATGAAGCGATCCGAAGAGTGTACTTGTAGGTGCATTGGTCTGTGGTCCTAGGCGAAATAACTCACTATGTCGGAGACGTCGTTGCACGTATTTGATCGTTGTTGCATGCCCCGATCTCCCTGTCTTTTCTGGCATCTGTCTCGTCTCTAATGACGTCACGCCAACAGGGCAACAGGGTTTGGTGTAGAACAATGGTTTGGTTGTACGGTGAGATCTTTTGTCGTAATACGACACGGCATAGGAACCCGCCTTTTTGGGTGGAGTAATACGAGCCAGTTGAAAGGTTTGGTAACGTCGTAGAACTGCCAGTTTGAGGCACTAAAAGTGATATCCCTTCCCCCATTCCATGTCACAGTTTTCCCCTACCAGCCGAACCATGTTAAAAGCAAGTGTAATTCTCTTCGCCGCAGCGTTTCCCCGATCTTATCACGCAACGAAAAAGTAATTTAGCTTGGGGTCTTTTTGCTTCGTCATTTATGGGTATTCCCCCTGTATGCACGTGTGCCTTATCCGAGATCAATAGGACACATTCGTGATACTTGCGTTTTCTACAGTCAAGACAGCGGTACAAGCTGGGTCGCAGTTTGGGCCTCACATTCACGCCTTCCTGATTAAAGTTTTTCCGTTCACGTGGTACTGTACACACTGTACCGTCGTTTCATAGCAATTGTCGTTCAAGCTACTGTAATTTCAACCTATTGTAAGACCCCGGAACTATATGTGGTCTTACAACTGTTCGGGGGTCACTTCGAGTAGCTACGACATTACATTTTGCCGTCTTCTACCGTACATTCGTGTGGGCTGTTTGATGAAATGGAGCTTTAGTGTGAGTGCTTAGACGTGCACAGCATGGAAAAGTTCCACAGCAGTGCTGTATAATACACCATCCCATAATATTTCTACGAGCTAGTTAGTGATCGTCATTTTTCATGTCTTGGTATAATATTTCGACCTCGTGGGTTGTTTGCATTCAGGCTGAGATGGTCGGATACGAGGGCATGTGAGACATCAAGTAAAATACTCTTATCGAGTCAACAAAATAGTTCATAAATACATAAGAAAAATCAAAATCTACCACACTACAAATCTCGGAGTCTTCGTGCCTCGGATCAAAAGTTAATCAACTGAGAAAACAGCGACGGTATCGTTTCACAGGTTTCCGGACAACAGTCCCTCACAGCCCACCCCACATTGCTGGACCAGTACATACTGTACCCACATTCTATCTTGGTCATTACACCCAAGACATGCGGACAAATTACACTTCCTACACACACACTTTTACCCCACACACAAAATGACAAGAGTAGTGGTGACAGGACTTGGTCTGGTCAGTCCCCTCGGAGTCGGAGTAAAACAGGCATGGAACCGACTTATTGCTGGAAAATCTGGAATTGTGGCTCTCGACGAACGGTTCGACGCTTTATCCTGCCGAGTAGGAGGAGTGGTCCCTCAGGACGAATGGTCTGAAGCTTCATCTGCCAACCTCGCAGCTGGAGAGATCAAACGGGTACCTCTGTTTGCCCAGTATGCCATGGTGGCTGCCCAGGAGGCTGTCAACGACAGCAAATTGCTAGCTGACGCAGGGGAGTCAGCTAAACACACAGATATTGGATGTTCGATTGGTACTGGAATCGCCAACATGGCTGAACTGGCAGATACAGTCACAGCTTTCAACAACAAGGGTCCCCGAGGTATTTCACCACTATTTGTTCCCCGAATCATTGCTAACATGGGTGCGGGACACGTCAGTATGCGGTTCGGTCTCCAAGGACCCAATCACTCTGTATCCACTGCCTGTGCCACTGGAGCTCACAGCATAGGAGATGCAGCCAACTTCATTCGACTGGGATACGCGAAGGCTATGATTGCCGGATCAACCGAGGCCTGTATGCACCCAATTGCACTTGGTGGATTTGCACGGGCCAAGAGTGTGGCTACCAAGTGGAACGACTCCCCCTCTGAAGCATCCAGACCCTTTGATAAAGATCGAGGAGGATTTGTTATGGGCGAGGGATCTGCTGTTCTTGTCCTAGAGGAATATGAACACGCCGTTGCCCGTGGTGCTCCCATTTACGCTGAAGTGTGTGGTTACGGTCTTTCTGGAGATGCTCATCACATTACTGCCCCTCCTGATGATGGAAACGGGGCCTATCGAGCCATGAAACAGGCTCTCAAGCAGGCCAATGTTTCTGCCGTCAAGATCGATTATGTTAACGCCCATGCCACTTCCACCCCTCTTGGTGACGCGGCTGAAAATGCTGCTCTGACTCAACTCTTTGAGGGCAGAAACCTGTCTGATATCGCCGTTTCTTCCACCAAGGGTGCCATTGGCCATCTTCTGGGTGGAGCTGGATCTGTGGAGGCTCTGTTCACCATCAAGGCTCTCGAAACTGGAGACTTGCCTCCCACTCTCAACCTCAATGAGCTTTCTGACCCTGATGTCTTCAAGTTCAACTTTGTGCCCAAGGAGACTCAGCACCGTGATGTCCGGTATGCACTCAACAACAGTTTCGGATTCGGAGGCACCAACTCCAGTCTTCTTTTTGGTAAGGTATAGCCCCCCTGAACCAAGACAATGTATATAGTTGGCTGTGTTATATAGCCTATTAACGAATATATCCAATGACAGCACAAGATGCGTGTAGCAGTCTATAATAATGTATTTTTACTTCCCTCTACCGGATTACTCTCTCTGTCCGGTGATCCGTCTCTCGTGTAGCTCTCTCAGAGCAGACACACCTGAAACCACAGCCACAGGTGTGATGAGAGAGACCGCTCCCAGCGTGGTGAAAATTGAGGTCTCGATGAAGTAGGACACAAAAACGAGCTCAAAGGCGACCAGAGAACCCAGGAGGCCGATATAACCCAGAGGGGCAGCCTTGAGAGCTCCGGATGCCTGGCCAAGGAGGGTAGTAGGGCCAATGAGAGCAGTCCAGGCGACCAGCAGAGCACCGAAGATGGCCACGGCACCAGCGGAGAAGATGGTGGCGACGGATGCGTTGACCTGCCGGGCAGCGGGTCGGAACACGTGCTTGATCTCGGGCTTAGTTGCGTGTCGCACAGCCTTCTTGTACTTCTTGGATTCCTCGGAAGCCTCAGGGGAGATTCGAGCAACAACAGTCTCGGATCCCTTTGTGTCGAAAGATCCCAGAATTACCTTAACGTCGAGGGGTCGTTGGGCAGCTACCAGGGCCTGTGGGAGACGGGAGTGAGGGATGGCAAACTTGGCTCGTCCGTTGGGTCGCACAAGCACGGGGTAACTTGCCTCCAGGCCACTCTCTTCGTCGGCAATGATCACCATGCTCTGGTGGGGCACGGCGGATTTGCCATTGTTTGTGGTGAAGAAGACAATGTCGAGGCTCGCCTCAGGAGGCACAACGGCATCAACAGCCTCGTTGGTGAATGGCAGGGACACGAGTTCAGTGCCCCGGGCAGACACGGTGAGTTTCGCGTCCTTGATCGCCCACTCGGCAGCGGCCAGTGCCACAGTCGACGCAATTGCGGCCAGTCGAAGGGGGTTCATTGTGTGATGGGTAGGTCGGTGTTGGTGAAGATCTCACTATTATGCGTCGTGATGACGTGTGGTGAGTGATAAGGTTCTGGAAGAGTGATGGTGAAGCAGCAGCAGAAAAAATCTGATGAAATAGACAGGTTTTGAAGAAGAAAGCCCTGATTCACAATTTTAATGAAGAGATATTTAATGTGTTATTGGTTGGGATTTTTCTCTCCGCTTTCCAGCGATATGTCTGTGCCAAATCGCGTCTTACTAATCACATCTCAAATTGACTCTCGGAGGATGCTTGATGTAACCTCGCTGCGACCAACCAAACCACTTGATCAAAGTTAAATTAGTTGAGACAATACACAGCTTCAAAAGTTAGCTTCTCATCACACACAATCCAGTTCCGTGATACCACAACCCCAATACTGAGGCTGTAGCATCGAAGGGAGGTGCTATACTACTCGCATTGTTGACATTATTTACATACCCCGTTACTAATTGGCTGAAATTATACCTATTACATACCGTGATTCATGGTGTACGTAGCACTCCATCTGGGTGCAGGAACACACAGTCATGAAAACTACGTACGGTATAAGCGGTTAGCGAAGAAGGCATGCGAGCTGGCGATCAGCGAGGTCAAAGCAGGAAAGTCAGTTGGAGAAGCCGCTGTCAGCGCTTGTCGGGTGCTAGAAGATTCTCCTTTGGTCAACGCAGGATATGGATCTCAGTTGGATATTGATGGAGATGTTGCTTGTGATGCCGGATATATCGACACTGACTTTGTCAGACCAGCGTGTGTCTCTGGAATAACTCGATCACATCCTATTTCAACAGCTAAGGCGCTCTCCCAGTCCTATAAAGCTCCTTCGCTCCCTCTTGAACGACACAGACCGGTCCATATCCATGGTCAGGAGAACGTAGAGTCATATTTGGGCATAGAGGGTGATGTTGATCTTAAGAGTCCAGAGGCTACAAGGGTGTGGGAAAAGTGGAAAAGATTGGAACAGAATGCACAGGTTCCTTCCTCAGTTCCAGAAGATACTGTTGGCGTTATTGTTGGTGACAAGGAACATATGGCGATTGCAACTTCTTCAGGAGGTCCCATTTTGAAAAGCAAAGGACGAGTGGGGCCAGTAGCCACTTATGGGTGTGGCTTTAGCTTACAAAAAGGCTCACGAACCATAGGTGTTTGTACCACTGGTTGCGGAGAAGACATTATCACCTCGAGATTGAGTGGGCGGGTTTTGGAGGCACTCGCTGAGGCACAGGAACCAGATACAGGGATCAGTGCATTATTTGACAAGCTACAGGGTTCATTTCAGAGCAGCCCTGTGACTCTGGGATGTCTGGCCGTGGTGTATGAGGAGGGCCATGTCAGCATATACAGTCTTCACAAAGCGCCGTCAATGATTTCTGCGGTAAAAAGTGGCCATGATAAAACCAACATTCAGTGGTTACAAAAGGACCCCAATACCGTGGTTAGCTCTATACAGATATATAGAGAGAGGTGACAGTCTCTTAGGGTCTAATATATCTAAAATATCTATTCTCTGTATAATGTTAGGTTGAACAATGTCTAATAATGTTGAATAAGTGCCTTACGCACCGACGTCCCCTGATTGTGTTTTTTGTTGTTGGTTTTTGTTGTTTGGTTAAAACAGACCCTCGATCTGGCCCTTGGAGTCGACCTCGACGTTCATATAGCCAGGTCTAGTAGGCAGACCAGGAATGGTCATAATGTCGGCAGCCAGAGCATAGAGGTAACCAGCACCAACAGATGCTCGCACGTCTCGAATGGGCACGACGAAGTCCTTGGGTACACCCTTGAGGGCAGGGTCGTGTGACAGAGAGTACTGGGTCTTGGCAATGCAGATGGGAAGGTTTCCAAAGCCCTGGGCAGTGTAGGTGTCAATCTTCTTTCGAGCGAGAGGCGACAGCTCAATGCCTTTGGCACCGTACATCTCCTTGGCGATGGTGTTGAGCTTCTCCTCGGCAGAGGTGTCGATATCGTAAAGGAACTTGAAGTTGGGGTTCTTCTCGACGTTGTCAGTCTGGCTACAAACCTTGACGACACCCTTGGCGAGATCAATGGCTCCCTCTCCACCCTTTTCCCAATGGTTGGAGACAATGGCCTCGGCGGCACCAGCCTTGAGAGCAGCAGTTCGGATGGCCTCAATCTCGGCAGGAGTATCTGTGGCGAATTGGTTAATGGCGACAACGACGGGAACACCGAAAGATCGGGCGTTCTCAATTTGCTTGCCGAGATTCTTGGCACCAGCAGTAACCAGGTCAACGTTCTCGTTCTGATACTCGGGGGCGAGCTGGGCACCGGGCTTAACCTCGGGTCCTCCACCGTGCAGCTTGAGGGCTCGAACAGTTGCGACAATGACAACGGCGTCGGGAACAAGACCGGAGTCTCGGCACTTGATATTGAAGAATCTCTCTCCACCCATGGTGAAGTCGAAACCAGCCTCAGTGACCACGTAACCGGGCTCGTCGCCCTTTGTCTTGGTACCAGCCAACTTGAGAGCAATCTTATCGGCGAGGACAGAAGAAGCACCAATGGAAATGTTGGCGAAAGGACCGGCATGCACGAAGACGGGGGTTCCCTCCAGGGTCTGCATGAGGTTGGGCTTGATGGCATCCTTCATCAGGGCAGTGAGAGCTCCGCCAGCTCCAATGTCGTCACAAGTGACGGGAAGGCCCTCTCGAGAAGAGGCAACCACCATGTTTCCAAGTCGTCGTCTCATATCGGCGAGAGAGTTGGACAGAGCGAGAATAGCCATACACTCAGAGGCGACAGAAATGTCGAATCCAGTCTCTCGGGTTCGGCCTTTTTCGCTGGGGCCCTCTCCAACGGTGATACCTCGCAGAAGTCGATCGTTGCAGTCGACAACCCGCTTCCAGGTGATGGTCTCAGGATCGATGTCAAGTCGAACAAACTTGCTGATTTCCTCATCAGTCAGGTCGTTGGGGTTAGTCTTGTTGATGCCCAACTTCTCTAGTCGCTGCAGCTGCGAGGGAATGAACTGTCGCTTGCCCTTGACGGAGGGAACCAGCCGCTTGTAAAGAGCGGCGTCCTTCTGGGACGACTCGTGGAACATTCGGGTGTCAATAGCGGCGGCCAGCAGGTTGGTGGCAGCAGAAATGGCGTGAATGTCACCAGTCAGATGCATGTTGAACTCGTCCATGGGAATGACCTGGGCGTATCCGCCACCGGCAGCACCACCCTTGATACCAAAAGTGGGACCCATGGAGGGTTGTCGGACATTAGCAAAGGCTAGCTTGCCGAGGTGGGCACACATGGCCTGAACAAGACCAACGGTGGTGGTAGACTTACCCTCTCCAAGAGGAGTGGGGGTGATTCCGGCCACAAGAACGTACTTACCGTCCTTTCGGTCCTTGAGTCGGTCCAAGGTTGTCAGAGAGACCTTACCCTTGTAAGCTCCATAGGGCTCAAACTCGTGCTCGGTGAGTCCGGCCTCCTTGGCAACTGTCTTGACGTTCTTGGGGATCTGTGCTCGAGAGATGGCATCGTCAGAAGGAACGGGCGTTCGCAGTTTGAGAGGCAGGGGCTTGACCTGCATCTTCTGTTGCTCGAGGGACTGTCGTTTTGCGGCAGTGACCACGTTGTTGACCAGCATGGCCACGGTCATGGGACCCACTCCTCCGGGAACGGGAGTAATGAAAGAAGCAACCTCCTTGGCAGAGTCAAAGTCAACGTCTCCGACAAGTCGCTGACCGGACTTCTTAGTCTCATCCTTGACGTAGTTGATGCCAACATCGACAACGACAGCGCCGGGCTTGAGCCACTCGCCCTTGACAAAGTTAGGAGCTCCAATGGCAGCAACAACGACATCGGCGTTCTTGACAATGGCAGGAAGGTTCTCGGTGTATCTATGGCAGACGGTGACGGTGGCATCAGCGCCCTTAAGGAGAGAGGCGACGGGGGTACCGACAATATCGGATCGGCCAATGACAACGGCATTCTTGCCTCGCAGCTCAATGCCAGATCGATCCAGCATCTCCATGACACCCTTGGGGGTGCAGGGAACGAAGGCGGGGTTTCCACCCCGCTTGGAAAGCTCTCCAACGTTGAGGGGGCCAAAACCATCAACGTCCTTGGCAGTGATGACAGAATCGGTGATTCGGGTCTCGTTGATGTGCTTGGGAAGAGGCAGCTGGACAAGAATACCGTGAACGGAAGGATCGTCATTCAGGATGTCCAATTCCTCCAGAAGGTGGTCCTCGGCCATGTCCTCGGAGAACTTTCGCAGCTCGCAGTCAATCTGGGCCTCTCGAGCAGCCTTGAGCTTCATACGCACGTAGGCACTAGAGTCGGGACGCTCGCCGACTTGAATTATAATCAGCTTGGGTTGGAAATGGGGTTTCTTAGCCTGAATCTGCTTGATCTCGTCGTGGAGCTCTAGTCGAATGTCCTTTGCCATTTGCTTGCCGTCAATGTTGGTGGCAGTGGCATAGTGACGAAGAGCAGACAAGCTGAGCGAATGGGCCACTCGAAAAGTGGGAATTCGGCCAGGAAGCCGTCGAACCAGACGCGACATGGTCATAAGTAGTTGGTGATAGACTAGACTGGTGGTGTAGTTGGCTAAAAGATGACTCCAGAGAATATTTTCATACTTTAACCTCCACCTAATTAGGTTTTGGCACATCCCCCGATGTGTCACTTTCTGTTGTATCTGGCGGAAGTTATTTTAGAGGGTGGCCAACCAAGAAGAGCATTTAGAAGAGCCTATCACGTGAAATATCATGATAAACTGGATTTTATCTTGTCAGTAATCAAAGCCTGCGATTTTAACCATCACATTATCTTTCCTAACTACCAGACTCGGCGCCTGTTCCACCTCTGCACCGACTGATACTTGTACATATACTGCACCACAATATGTACATGACATACGAAGCCTATTTTTTTCGAAATCGGGCTACATCACGAACTACCGTAGACCAATTTGGCACCACACCCTGTCAACAAGAGGTATGCAAACAACGACGGGATTATGTTATCCTCGGTGATATTTGTTAAGATAGTCATCCCCAGGGCTACTCTCACTATGGCTATAAACTGATGTTGAATTGGGCGAAACGATGACTTCCTTTGAGTTGCAGGGTGACGCTGACTGACCTAGATCTCATGGCACCCACTATGACACGAATGTAGATAAACAGGATCGTCTTCGAGGCAGAGGCCATCAAACCTCGATATTGTAATCGTTAATACCATCAGGGGTCAATCAAACAGAAATATTCTGTATAAACACTCCCTAACCCCTGATCTCTACTCATCTATTGCCTCGTCTTGTCTTTGGATCCTGCATGACTCAATAAAAAGCGTAGCCTACCCGCAATATTTTTTTTGAAGTTGAAGTTGGCCGGAAAAACCGTTGGGAAGGTTGTTCCGGTCTCAGAAGTTCACATAGACGCTAACGGCAGGCGTCGGCGAAACCAACTACTGTACAAGTACAGTACCGTGCCGCCCATGAGTGGTCTGTAAAAAAATATTGCAGCGGTTGTGAGCGTTCTGTCTCCACAACTAACACAGGTCGCATGTTGTGGCCGAGGTCATCGCAGTGCACATCCTGTGCCAGACTCTGACCTGACCTGAGTAAAAAACCACAGCGCCGAGTAACGAAAATAGACCGGGTCCGGTTTGGTCCAAAATAGTAATTCTGGGTTGGGGCTGCGACAAGGTCGCTGGCTGCGAACCTTGGTGCTTAAGCGAATTGACTAAGCAGTGACTTTACGCGTTGCAGTGCATATTATACGGTGCCCTACAGGCAGGTTTCATTGGGTAACTACACGCGTGCCTAGACATGGTCCCGCCGTGGAAAATCAAATGTAAAACATGTAAGAACTTGGGGTTGGTTTCAAGTATGTACAGTAAAGTGTACTGTACGGGAATTTGACGTTGGAATGTTACATTGAGTCTCACGAGGGTGCTGTGTTAGTAGCATCTAACGGGAGCTACAGGATCCCCGCAAATTAGAAGCATCCAAGAACAAATTTATACCTCACTGGATATTGAGGGGGTCACAAGATGGCACCTCCTCTCCACACACCCGTCCAGTTTTTAGTTAGCTGTAGCGGTTTTGGAGCATTGAACGAGGGTCTAGCCTCGATCCTCGCATGATAATACTTGTAGGCAGTACTCGTACAGTAGACTGTCTACTGGTAGCTACGAAGGAGGCAAGCCTGATACTGTGTTGGGCTCACAGTAAGACCTCTATCTACGTACACTGTAGCTTTCGGAGGGTCGCACGACTGTTGCTCTCGTCAGGTGTTACAATCAATATTAATAGCCGTGATTTTAAGGCAGGAACAATGTCACATTCTGACGTGGAGAAGTCGCCTCCAGCATGTTACAATATGGGAACGCTTTGTTCAACATAGCACGATCATGCCACGGAAAAATGTATCAGTCTATATTTTGCGTCACACAAGGAGGTGTTACTCAATGCGGCTTTCCTTGATGACAGTTTTATTGCGCTTGTAGGAGGTGATGAGAAGCCAGCCGGCAAGCAGGTTGAACCAGTGATGGATCATGAAGGCATGCATCATGCCGTATGCAGTACAGTTGAAACACGCGTATCCGAGGATGATGTATGTGACGAAGGGGAGGCCACGTTCAGGCATTCGTCGGAAGGACAAGTTCTCAATGAACAACAAAGTAGGAAGAACGGAAAGAAGGTTGTGGTGAGAGGAAAATATGGTGGATCGTCCAAAAACCATACCTTGGACCCAAACAGCCAACACGGGGATGTTGACTAGAGTGGTCCAAACCATGACCACAGACATGGTTGTGGCGTAATTAATGAAAGACCCAACCTTCTCTTGGGCTTGTCTGTTGGCATAGAGAGATGTGGAGAGGTCGTGCGATGCAGAGGCCGACTCCTCAGCGTCAAAGTAAGCAGTCAGTGCCAACAGAGAGGCGGTTGCCAGCGCAAATGCGAGCTGGTAAGGCACAAAAAGCAGCACCAGCAAGGCCATGAGTGCGATGATGACGGTTCGTTTGTGGAGTAGGTCCCCAATAGGATCGTCAGAGCTCTGAATCGTCACGTTCTTGGGAGTCTGAAGTAACGACATCTTGCGATGTCCTCTCGAGATGGCCAACGATGCGAGGGTGGTGACGGCAATGACGATCTCGGTAACAACTACGACTATACCAGTCGCAAGTGCCAGAAAAGCGGGGGCTAGAACAACTCCGATAGGCCCGCTGATACCCAAAAACAGATCAATATGCGTGTAGAGTGATCCATAGAAGGTTTCGATTTCATAGCTCTTACTAGAACCTGTGGCAGGGATCTGAATAAAGTGCAGAAAGTCTCTGATGAACTCGAATTTGATCACGAAACTGAGACCGGCCACAACGAGACATGCCCAGGAAAGGTACTGCTTGATGAAGAGCCCGGTAGCATCTCGCAAGGAGAGAAACTTGGCATCTGATCCAGACTGATAGTATCTCCAAAACTGCAACAGAAGAACTGCATACAGAACTGCTGTGGGGAGTGAGAACAGGAGTGTTCTGTATCGCATAAATAGGTTGCCTAGGGACCCAACATAGTCAACAGAAATTGTAACTTTACCCTGTCCAAACACTTGGAGATGGAGTGGGGCCTTATACGATTTTGTGGACAGGTCTGTTTTTGTTGGCGTCTTAAGCTTAAACGGCACAAACGGCGCTCCATCGCCATGGAAGGAGATGTCCACCCGAGCATAATGAGGGATAAGGTACTTCGAATCATAGGTTCGGCTAGGGTGGTTTCGACCCATATATTGTCTGATAAGCCCAACACCTCCTGAAGTAAGCACCTTGTAGGAAATCAAGCCAGATGTAAGGGCTGGGAAGGCAATATCCTGAGATACCATGTTGGAAGTAGAGAAGACGATGTTGCCGTATATATTAAAAGGAGCAGCTGACATAGACGTTTCATCAATGTTGATCCAGTCTCCAGACTCGCTAGCCTCCTTGGACACATCCAACAAGAGAATACCGTTCACGGATACATGTGAGAGAACGGAATCATTAATCCCCGGAACAAAAAGGGGGTAGATTCTCTTGCATTGTCGAAAAGAAGATCCCTGTCTTGATCTACACTGCCATACTTTCAGTAGACTTCCAGATTTTCGCTCGTACAGGTCGATATTGGAGTCGTAGTTGATGACATGGTTAGTCAGCATCTGAAGGTTACGGCCCCAGTAGAAGCCTGGGGCCAGTCTTTGCTCCACTCCATCCTGTAGAGGTGTCGCCTCAATGTTGATAAAATCCTGCATAGCGCTAGACAGAGACTGCGAACCTGAGAAGCTTCTGTGGAAAGTAGACATTCGGACTTCCCGAGGTTTCGTCTGGCTTGGGACATTTGGATCAACAATGTGAAACAGTGCTGACGCAATTTGACGTCGGAGCTGGTGACACCACATGACGGCATCGTGGTCAATTCCAGTCCAAACTCTTGCAATGGAATTCGTGAAAGTTGAAAGACCATTTGTGGCAGGAACCAGTGAGTCTAGAGACACATAGTCGGATGGTACCATGGTATCACTCTTGCCTCCAGCAATAGACAGAATGGTGATATCTCGGAGAGGGTTATCGTTGGTATCTCCTTCAGCAAATGCCGCTCTCCAATAGTCGTTGACTAGATGGTACACCTTGGTGATATCAGCGTCAAAGGTGGCAGCTGGGATGAGATGAGGTGACGCCAGCGTAATAATAGTGTTGACACTCTGGGGTCGGTAGTTCTCCAAAGTAACCGCAACACGTGACACAATTCCTCCCATAGAGTGTCCCAGCACAATGACTGATTCGGGAACCTGTAGTCCTTCTTGTTGGTTACGCTTGTACATGTCTAAGATGTATGCAATGGCGTCGTTGAGATACTCGGCCTGGTCAAGCAGGGTACGGCCATGCAAAGCAGAGTATGCCTCGTTGAAGTCGATAGAGAAGAAGTCGAATTCTGTTCCTGCGTCCCCTTTGGTTAGTAGTCTGAGTTCATCGTTGAGTTCTTGGGCGATGCCAGCGAAAGGGCCGATCTGGCGAAACCCTCCAGCGTTGCCGTGGACGAAAATGACGGGCACTCCTGACGGTCGAATGGGCTGAGGGATGGCATGCTGAGACGCTCGAATCAAGTGTAGTGAGTATTTTTCACCAAACCGCGAGTGCTTGGAGTCGAAACCTTCAACATGAGCGGTCGAGATCCAAGTGCGCGCTATATCGCATGTCTGGACGTCGGGCTGGTGTAATGCGAACGAGATCCATATCGTCAGGATGGTGAACACGGTCCACAATGCCACGCTAGCATTGATATTGATCCGTCGCATGGATGTGCAGTTCGCAGGTGTACAGCGGAGAGTGGGATGTCGGTTCCTGTTTGTTGTTTGATGCAAGTCATATTCTTGGGTCTCATGTCAATCTGTCTGGGAGGATTATGTAAGCCTTTATTCTTGAAGAGAACGTCACTTCATAATGTGTCAACAACCCAATACAGGGTGCACCGAGCAGTAGTCAAATAAAAAGGTGGGTGTCACTGCCAAATATACACGTGTAGGCCCCTGCGTATCGTGCCAGGCACATATGATACTACGACAAATTTAAGATGGTGTTCCTGTACAGCCTGTCAATCGTGTGGTGGGCACAGCTTGTGGGACCCCCCTGACATATATCTCCGGTTATAACCAAAAATACGACGATTATCTTTCTCCTACTGTATGTACTGAACCATGTGTTTTTGCTATAAAGCACTATCGCAGTTTGAATTTGTTCTTGATTGAACTGGGGGTCTCTTTTGTTACTGTCGCTACCTGTAAAAGAACCGTAACAACTCTCTCGGCGCCACTTGGACCTGCACAACTAAAAATATTGAAGATAATCAACATGGCATATGTGACGGCGCGCCGCAATTGGCTGCAAAGCTAGATTCTGACGTATCCCTTGGCCCCTATAGCTTGCCTTTCGGGATCTCTATCGATCCTCCTCTACTTGCACAGTCGCAGGTGCCTCAACCGTTAGCTTTTCACATTCTCATGCCCAGAACCCTCCTCCGGGCTATGCTCCTTCTTTCAGGCGTAGTTCCGTTATCGATGAAGCACACCTCTCAGGCGTGTGTTGACACGTGTGACAAGATATTTGACTTCCAGTCTGATATTTTGTTGATTTTTTTCAAGTTACTGGAACCAGTTTCACTGATTTAGGCCTTTTTATACACAACCAGGTTCCAGCCCAGTGGAGGAGAGCGGTGCTATGATGTTACTGGTATAATAACAGCCAATTTAAATTCGTCTTGCTCTCTTTGTTAAAGCTGCAAATGTGGGGACGTGTGCGGCCCACACCCAAAACTACAGCTTGGATGCACCGAGATGCATTTTCAACGCAGGTATCCTTTGCGTTTCATCAACAATCTGGCGGGGCAGTGCGGGTGTGGAAAGCAAGCAACCAGAAGAGAGAGCCGTGGATGGGGGTCGAAAGGAGTATATATACAAACCAAATTCCCCCCGTTCCTTAGCGCGCCTTTTCGTTCTAGGCTAGCTTATCCACACCACCACCACACACACATAATCCGCACCACACAAACTGTCATCTTCTTGGGACGTTGTATTACACTTCGTTGTATTATACAACCCAATCCACCCACACTTATTTCCCCGCCGATCAAATCCAGTCGTGTCTCAGCTTTACCCCTCTGTCGACGACATTGGCATCCTTGACAAGAGCTGATAAACCTCTAGCACTCCAACACCACAGCTCTCCAGCACTCGCCGTCACTCCCTTCGACCTCCAAGTCGCCGTGCCCCCATCCCACCCGCTAATTCGAAACACTACCCCCGAAACACAAAGAGCTAAAGTCAAGAACTCACTTCCAACAGCTGGTTTCATCCACAGACCACAAAAACACACATACCCACGCACGCCAATTACTCTCCCACGATCTCTAAAACTATCATAATGCATCGACGGAGCAGATCCAGTGTCGCCAGCCCCGTCTCTACCTCAGCGTCGGCTGCCGTGGCTGTGCCACTAGCCTCGTCCTCCAGACGAAACTCCGTCAGCACCCCCTTGGTTTCAGGGGCTACCGTGCCCTCCTCTGGAGTTGACATGTTGACCATGGAGACTGAACAGGAGGCCATCTTCAACAAATTGCAGCGAGAAATCAACTATCTGAAGGACAGACGAGGCTCTGGAACGGATGGCCAGAGCGTCAGTCACTTCAGAAAGGCCTCTCTCTCAGGCGGGCCTGAAGAGTACGGGGTTTCACCAACCAGCACAGCGTCCGTATTTTCGGCCTATAATATTCCCAACTCGGTGTCGTCATCGTCGCTGTCGTCAGTATCCAGCACAGTGTCTTACCAGGACCAGGGACGCCAGTTTGAGCGCAGAGGGTCCATTCGAAGAGCATCTGTGTGTGGAGAGGATTACGAAAAACTAAAGCAGGAGAATGAAATGCTGAAAAACAAACTGAGAGACCTGACATTGAAGCTCGCAGATAAAGAACATGAAGTTGAGCTTCTCAAGTCCAGAGGTACACCTCCCATTCCAGTCAAGCTTGTTTGAGACGACATGTATGCTGCCATAGAAAAGGAGTGAGATTAGAACACCCGTGACGAACATAAGTAAACAACAATAAATATATGTGCAAGTATCACACAGCTGCGGTAATCACTGGTTGTTACATGCCACGCACAAGTATCTTACTGATGTTGTTCATGAAATCGTTAGTTTATCTATTCTATCTTTATAATACACCTCTAAGCATTTCCAGCGATGTTGCCACTGGTCCAAGTGAGGTTCCACTGATCGCCATATAGGCTTTTGACATTGTCGAACATTTCCTGATCTGAGACAGACTCACTTTTTGCTAGCCAGTAGTTATCCAAAGCCGCCTGAAGTTCCTCGACAGTTGAGACGCCAACCACGGTGCCTCCAGGGAACTTCGCAAATGCATAACGAAGAGCCAGATCGGCAAGCTCGACATCCTGGCTCTTGGTGTACTCCACAACCTTGCTGACAGCCTTGTTGAGGGACTCAGGTGCAGGGTGGAACGAATGAGTGGGCTGGGATCTCAGAAGTGACATGGACAGAGGAGATCCGTTGAGCACTTTCTGCACACCGGCCAGCTTGAATCTGTCCAGGCTTTCGAGGAGAAGAGTGTTTTGAAGGCACATATTGGAGTAGCTGAGGACAATGTCCACTGGCACTCCCTGATCTCGCAGAATCTCACACATGCTGGCCAGGAAGTCGACAGGGTACCCACTGATTCCGACATAGTGGATCTTTCCCTCCTTTCGCATCTCGTGCAGAGTGGTGACAGCCTCGAGAATCTCCTCAGGCTTCTTGAACTCGACATCATGAACGTAAACCACGTCAGCGTAAGTAGTATGAAGCACATCAAGGGATCGCTCAACGCTAGCTCTAATACCTTCCTTGGTGTAGTCGAATAAATCCTGGGAAACTCTTCCAGCCTTTGTACAAATGTAGTAGCTCTCTCTAGGCCACTTTTCCTTCAGTTTGTCCAGGACACCGCCCAGAATCACCTCGCTGGGTCCGTAGTAAGCCGAGGTGTCGATAGCGCTCATCCCCTTGGAGAATGCTTCGTCCACCATGGCAGTGGCCGGAATGTTCTCGGGATCTGACTTGTAGATGTAGTTGAAGACGGCGCCTCCAAGAATCAGGTCCGGCAGACCTGCCAGGGTTCCATCTACCTTTGTGGGGAGTCGTTTCTCGCTGAGCGTGATAGTCATCTGGGTGTGCTGACTTGTGATGTGTGTAATGTGCGTGCAACGGCGTCGAACTTTTCAGACACGCTTGTGTTAATCTGATAACTCTGCAGCTTATCTGCACTGGTACGCCGTTGTGAACAGACAGTAAGACAACAGCGACTGGTTTTGTGGCTTGTGCCAAGATATTTAAAGGGGGAGGAGGTTGGACACGTGACTTGGCATAACCACACAGCCTCGCTTTTCATGTGACAATATTCGTAATCAGCGTTATTTATTGACCATCTGTTCTCCCACTCGACTTACTAAATCCATATCACTTTATTACCAATGCCACACATGGTTAGGGTTTTTTAGTATATTTGCCACATCACTCTAAAAGCTTGCGAGCATGAAAATCGCAGTGACCTGAAACCACTGTCCACGCCGTCCATGACAACATAGATACGGAGCGCCAAATGATGTGATGACGAAATGAATAGTTTAATGGGCATCCCAGTAGAAAATATGATAAATTATAGCGGTATTGTTCAAATCTTCTTTAGTCTGCCCAGTTCTACTTAATTGACGAGTTTAGTTAACCTTTCAAGAATTGTCCATTAAACTGTACTCCCAACATTCAATGTCTGCATTACCTTGTGGGTCAACCGAATATAATAGTTTGTGTGATTTAACTCTCCCTCTTCCCCTCTCCTTCTCTCTTCCTCGTCGACAGTCATACGCTTCAACCACTCCATGATAGATAATGGTAGATACCTTTGCTGATACCCCCTTGAGATGCGATACACCGCTCTCATCCCCCATCTCCCCAACTAACACAGATCTGGAGGGCGCTGTTTCTATTCGTCTTGCCCGTAGCCACACAGGCCAACTTCACGGTAAAGGACTTGTTGCAACACAAAGACAACGAATGGTGGGCTCCCTGTTCCGCGCAGGGCGGTACCCTTGATTCTCAGCAGTCCATAATGGCCGCCGAACCCTTCCCCCCGTGGTTGACGGCTTTCACAGGCCTGACAGCTTGGCCTCAAGACAATCCCCCTTACATCCCGTTGGACTACGTTGATCTCGCGACCGTTCCGAATCACATTGCTAAGCGTGAACTTGGTATCTGTGACGGAGTCGAGCGCACCGCCTGCTCCTTCGACTGCCATTTGTGTATTGCTTTCGACGACATCCGCACTTGCAACAAGATATCCCAAACATTTGACGACGGGCCCAGCCCTAGCACACCAAAACTTCTGGAAATGCTTCCCTCAAAAACAACCTTCTTTGTCCAGGGCGTCAATGTCGTCCGCTTCCCAGAGATCTTCAGGGAGCAATACCGCCAGGGCCATCTGTTGGCCAGTCACACCTGGTCTCACCCAAACCTCGCCTCGCTTAGCAATGAAGAGATAGTCGCACAACTACAATGGACTAACTGGGCTATGAACGCCACTGCCGGTATCATCCCACGCTACTTCCGTCCCCCCTATGGCGCTATCGACAACCGTGTACGTGCTATTGTACGGATGCTGGGCATGCAGTCTGTGTTGTGGGACCGAGACACATTTGATTGGAAGGTTAACGCCGGTATTAAGACCTCCCCTGAGGTCGTGGAAGAGGTCCAAGACTGGAAACTGCAGGGTGGAGGCTGGGGTTTGATCCTCGAGCACGATACTACCATCAAGACTGTCAACGTTGGACTTGATGTTGCCAAAGCTCTTGGGCCGAACCAGCTTACCGTTGCCGAGTGCGTGGGTCAGACACAATGGTACCAGGATCCAGCACGGTTGGGTAACGAGCCCCGCCGTGGCCACCGAGCAGCTTCGTACCAAAGGAGTTGACATTGTTGACCCCATTGCTGTATAAAAATAGTGCGTAAGTATGTAAAGCGAATATAGCAATCATTACAATTACAGAGACTACAAGTTCTTGTAGTGAAGATATACCGGTAGATGTTGGCGGATGTCGCTATCACAGGATAATTAAGACACGTTGTCTATTAATTTCTATAGTTGCGGTAATATATTGCATTGTCCCCATCTAACCAATCGCAGCCCAGAATCTTTCTTCCTCTCCATCCTTGAACTCCAGCAAAGTAGACATTACTGGCAGTAAATTCTGTCTCTGCTCCTTGTGCTCCAGAAATCCGAGCAGCACGTTCTTGATGTACGCAGTGTTAGTAGCAGTAGCAGGAGCGGGAGGTTGTGAAGTGTTAGATGCCACAGAAGATCGTCGTGACTGGGCAGGTGACGTCACATGACGCTGGGAGCTACTGATCTGGTTGCCCTCCAGTCTGTGCTTCTCTGTCTGAAGAGCGATGATGTCCTCGTTGAGAATTTTCTGCTGCTTCTGCAGCTTGTCGTTTCGCTGTTGAGCATCGTCGACGGCCTGCTTCAGACGCAGCACTGTGGCCTCGGATTCGCTGAGACGTCCATCCATGACCTTACGCTCGGTCTGAAGCTTCTGGATGACCCCATTGGCTTCTTCCATATCCTCCTGGGCACTCTTGGACTCCTTATCAGCATACTCTCGAGACGACTTGAGTGCCTGGAGGTCTCTGAGAGCTCGCTCTTTGTCAGCTCGCAGCTCCTCGGCGTCATGTTGAAGCTCTCGAGTCTTCGTTCGGGCCTCCTCAAGCTCACGCTGTCGACGTCTAGACGATTGAGCAGCACTGGCTTCCAGTTGATCCTTCTCGTCAGTGAGAGCTCGAATCTGCTCCTGGAGATCTCGAATCTTGGTCTCACTACCGTCCTCGGTCTCGTTGAGAAGACGTCGCATGGTTGTGGTCTCTCGAGTTCGCTCCTGCAGCAGCTTGTGTGCATCGGAGACTTCATCCTCCAGAGACTCGCAACGAGAAGTTACCTCTCTCATTCGCATAGCAACTTCCTCCAACTGGCTCTTGAGCTCGGTGACCTCACCAAGGGCATGGTCCTTCTGAGCCTCCTTAATCTTGGCCTCGTTGTTGGCCTCAGTCAGCTCCTTCTCAAGAGCAGCCTTTTCTCGGGTCCACTTGGAAATGGACTCGGAAGATGCAGAATGCTCCTTCTCGAGTTGCTCGACACGTGTAGCAAGAGCATCCTTCTCGGCGACAGCATCCTTCTTCTCCTTCTCCAGTCGAGCCTGGGTGGTCTTGAGAGTAGTAATGCGGCTCTCGATCTTGTTGCACCGCAGATCTGCCTCCTTGTACTTCGCCTCCCAGTCGGATGAAGATGCAGTAACAGCAGCAAGATCTTTCTTGAGCTTGGTTTCGGCAGCAACCAACTTCTCAAGCTCAGCAGTCTGCTTAGCCAAAGTGGTCTCGGCGTCCTTGGCAATCTTCAGCTCTGCCTTGACAGATCCTAGCTGCTCCTCCAGCTTTGAAAGCTGCTCCTTGGTGGTGCCGAGCTCCTTGAATCGGTCCTGACTGAGCTTGGCAGAGTGGGCGTGAGAGTCCTCGGCGGCAGAAAGATGCTGCTCAGTGGTCTCGAGCTTCTTCTTCAGCTCCTCAACCTCCTCCTTGACAGTCTTGAGCTCCTCAGTGGTCTTCTCAGCCTCAGCAAGTCTGCTCTTCGTAGTTTTCAGCTCTTTCTTCAAAGATTCAAGTTCCTCGGTCATAGCTTGGGACGAATCCTGGGACTCCTTGGCACTAGCGAGATCCTTCTTGAGAGACTCAATCTCCTTCTTGAGAGTGGCAACCTCATCCTCAAAGGTCTTGCCCTTCGTCAGTGCAGCAGTCAGCTCTTTGTTTGTCTTGTCAAGATCAGCCTTGGCTGATTCCAAAGACTTTGCATCCTCAGAAGACTTTGAAGACTGGGTCTTGAGCTCATCAACCTCCTTTTGAAGCTTAGAATGGGTTTTGTTTCGATCCTCGATCTCCTTCTTGAGCTCAGCTACATCCTTCTGACGCTCCTCAATCTCTTCCTCCTTCTCGGTGAGCTTCTTCTGCACCTTCTCGAGTTCATCCTTGACTTCGCTGTTTTTATTAGACTTCTGAGCCTCGACAAGATCGTTTCCAATCTCCTTGAGCTGGTCCCGTAGACTCTCCACCTCGGACTTTTCATTAGCAAGGTCCTTCTCAAGCTTTTGCTTGGCATCCTCCAGCACCTTGATCTGAGCATTGTTATCGGGTGCAGGGGATCCTCCCTTCTTGCCCTTCTTTCCCTTACCACCAGTGGCACCGGGAGAGGTATTGGCAGCAGCAACAGCAGACGCAGCTGCGGCCTTGACCGTCGCAAGCTCGCTCTCCAGATCCTCCTTGGCCTTGTTAGCTTCACCAAGCTTCTTCTGGAAACCCTCCAGCAGCTTCGATTTGCCTGCCAGATCATTGGAAGTCTTATCAGCATTGGATTTGGCCTCGGCAAGTTCGGTCTTAAGCTTTTCCAGCTCAGCAGAGTTGTCAGGAGTCTTCTCAATCTCAGCCAGCTTCTCCTGGAGCTCAGCATCAGCCTTAGAGGCGGCAGACTTGGCGTCAGCAAGCTCCTTTCGTGCAGTCTCTAGCTCCTCTGACACAGTCTTGGACTTCTCCAGCTGTTCCTTCAAGTTATTGATTTCGCCAAGATGCTTTTCCGATGCAGCCTTGCTTTCGTCCTTGATCTTGTTCAATGTTTTTGTGAGACTCTCAAGTTCGGAGTCCTTGCTGGCTGTAGAGCGGTCAGCTTTGTCTGATGCCTCCTTAGCCTTGTCCTCAGCCGCTTTGACCATCTCCTCGGCGGATTTGATCTTATCTTCGGCCTTCTTGGCCTCACCCTTAGCCTCGTCCAGCTGCTTTTCAAGCTCCTTTACCTTCTCCTCCTGAGCCTTGACATTGTCCAGCTCACCCACCCTGGTCTTGAGGCCATCTAACTTGGTCTGCAGTTCGGCCAATTTTGCATCCTTAAGCTCCAGCTCAGCACGGGTTTCGCTGGTTGTGTCGGTGGCCTTTGATTCTGCCGGCTCAGCCTCCTTTAGCTTGGTGTTCTCAGCTTCCAGATCCTTCAGATCAGATGTGAGTCGAGCCACGTCGCTTTCGAGCTTCTCAATGGTGTCCTGATCCTTTCTCTTGGTGCCGTCGACCTCCTTCTTGAGTGTGTCGACCTTCGTAGACAATGAACGAAGCTCGTTACTCTGCATTTCGCTCTTAAGATTGAGGTTCTCAAGATACTCAACGAGAGCCTGAGGTTCATTGAGACCGGAGCATGGAGTTCGCTCCTGGAGAACACGCTCGAAATCCTCCACCATGCTCTTTACCAGTTCGGACTTCTTCTTCTCCACTCTGTAGGCTTTGAGAAGATCGGGGTACTTGGCCTCATACCGCTGGAACTTTCGCAGGTGAGATTTGACCTTGTCAGGCACCGGAAGAGTGTCAATGATGTACTCTTCTGGCTCCGTTTGCGATACTGGCTCGGCCTCGGTAGCTCCACCTTCGGTGGAGGGAGCTGACGACCCATTGTCATCTAGCTCCATGCGTTCCACGTCTGGAGTCTTGTAGCTCATGAGCTTTTTCTTGCGCTCTTCTGCCTCGTGTTGCTGCGCCGCCACCTGTTGGTTCTGGGCGTTTTTCACGGCGCCATCTAGTTCATCCGTGAACTGTTTAACGCTCTGCTGGATTCTCGAGAACATGACGTGGAGGTATTAGGTTCTACGAGTCGAAGATGTAACGAGTGCATAAAAGTCGATGCACAAGCTACAGAGAGTGCTTGGGAGATGAAGGCGAGCCGAGCCATGAGAGCATCTCAAAAGCAGAGCGGAAATGACGAAAATATGGTCCGTTTGCATTGTATTTTTTGTCAGTCTCAATTGAATATCTGTTTGATTTTTCCTTACCTTTTCACTCCTAGTTATGACATGTCTCACCACCTTCCGTCCCCCCCTGTAAATTAATCAGCTTTTTAGATTATGAGTGGCACAATGTGCTGACAAACGATGCGTGAAATTAGGTTTGTTCATATAGATCAACTCCGCGTTTGTATGACATTCTCGCCACTTTTCATACCGCCCTGATGTCATTTACTGTGAGTAAAAAGCGAACAGAAACCGGAACTGGGAACCTCATCCGACTCTTTTTCCAGTGCTATAAATTTCACTACTAACGCCAGACTACATTTGCTGTCCCTTTGGAATGTGAGTCCTGCTGTGATTCCGTCAAGCAGGCACTTGCAAACGTCCAGGGCATCGAGTCCGTTGACTGCAAGCTCGTGGATCAGCTTATCAGTGTCACTGGAACTTCTGCTCCGTCCCAGATTGTAAAGGCCGTCCAAAACATCGGCAAGGACGCCATTGTTCGAGGCACTGGACAGCCCAACTCGGCAGCCGTCTGCATTCTCGAAAGCCACGCCCCCGAAGACCAGGCCCAACCTATAAAGGGCCTTGCCCGAATCGTCAGTGTCTCCAAGACCCTTGCGCTCATCGATATCACCCTCAACGGTCTTCCCAAGGGCACATACTACCCCAGCATCCGTACCAGTGGAGACATCTCTGATGCGCCTCAGAGTCTAGGAGGCGTATACCAGGCGCTGGGCAGCGTGGAGGTGAACGAGTCTGACAGTGCATCTGGACTCTTTTCCGGCCAAGCATTTGTCAAGTCCGAGACCCAGATCTCCAGTCTTATTGGCCGGGGCATGGCTGTTTCTACAAGCCCAGACGTTGTCAAGCCTCACGCTCTGGTGGGTGTGATTGCACGAAGCGCTGGCGTGTGGGAGAATGATAAGACTGTGTGTTCCTGCAGCGGAAAGACAGTTTGGGAGGAGCGAAAGGACGTCCAGAGTAAGGGACTCGAGGGCCAGCTCTAAGTGTCCCCTTCTATTATTATAATTGATCAATCGCATTTTCAAATTCATTTCATTTATTTGGGAAGCTCAACGCCAGCCTTAGCCAGAACCTCAGAGAGCTTCTTGTCGTGGAAAAGTTCCATGACCTCCTCTCCAGATCCAATGTGCTTGCCCTTGACGAAGACTGATGGGATGGCGTTACTGGAGGTGATCTCGACAAAAGCCTTCTGCAGCTCCACACGGTCCATGGCTTCCTCCTTGTCCAACTCCAGGTAGAAGGGCTCCAACTCGCCCTTGATGGTCTGGAGGCAAGTCTTAATTTCCTCACACGCATCCGACCAAGACAGCGCCACTACCAGCACCTTGTGCTCGTCAATTAGGCGCTGGGCCTTCTCCAGGTACTTCTGGTAGACCTCAATGTAGAGCTCGTCGTCGTGGTTGTCCTTGTTGTTGTTTTTGTGGTGAGTCATTTTAGAAGAAAAGATTGTAACAAGAGTCGGTGATTAGTTTTGAGTGTTATTTGAGTGCGTGGAGGTCGCACCTCCACAGTGTTTCGATTGCTATGCGGCTCATAATTGCTTATGCGGGCGTGATAAGGACAGCCCAAACAAGCATGTACTTGTAGTTAAGGGTTGGTGTTTGTGCTTCGTACTGTAGGCAATGCAAGGCAAAGGGAGGGTGCGCGAGAAAGAGGCCATAAAACGGCAGACTGAAATAACACGAGGTCGACGGAACCGTCCGGCATCGGCGTCTTCAGAAAATTTACACACCTGTCGCCCTCACGTAAATTTCCTAGTTTCCGTATTAAACGTTTCGGACGGGTCTCATGAGCTTAGTGCGCGATTATATGCCAAGCACTGTAACCGTTGTACCAGTGACAGCCCATCAACATGACGTCTCGAAGATCACCTGCTGTGGATAGAAACTGCGTGGAGAAACTCGGGCTTGAACAGCTGCAAGCAAGGTGTTTATTTGTGTCCAACAAGAGTCAAACCACATATATATAAAGGAGTTAGCACTACTGTATTTATATCCAATATGTACCGCATCAGTGCATCTCGGCTAAAATAGACGAGTGGTCTTGTTGAGATATATCATGGTGTCCACGGGAGGGGCTCTCCAAGTCGAAATGCTCTCTACTTGTAAGTCGAAAGGCATCGGTGGGAATTTTTTCTCCGGAGCGGGATTCCGCTCATGCTTACAGAACACTCTTAGCATTCGACTATGTAAGTACCTCTGCACAGGAGACCGGCTCAACTCTGCGTTGGCCCGCTAGTCATAACTTCCGTATGCCGTTGAATCTCAGAGTCAGAAGAGCGCAAGGTTCGGGTTCTAAGCAAGGACTCTACCAGCAGAGAGAGGTGAAGATGAGGGTCAGAAACTTTCTTTGGGGTGGAGGGGAAGAAGTTGCCTCTAGATGGTAAGACACCACACAGGGACCCGGATAACGGCGTTAAATTGGAACGACATCGTGAAAAATAGCCAGTGAGCGGCTAAAGGATATCAAAATCAGCTCTTTTAGTGCCTGTTACGCTCCCCTCTAGATTGCAGATGCGGCAGTGTCTTAGCATAAATTAAACTCTGAACTACAAGTACAGTATGTAGTAATAATTTATATCAGTACTCTCATCCAGGAACGCGAACATAACATACTCCACATCTTGACCTAGCACCACAACACCAGCTACACGCTGCTAGCCACGCTACACATCACCCAACCCTGCCCATGCAACGAGGTCGCCAGAGACGCGAAGAGTCGGAAGACTATGGAGCAGAGGCCATCTCCAACAACCCTGGCCTGCGCCACCTGACTGTAGGACATGCTGCGGGTCACAGCCACCCGTCCTCTCACAGCAGTAGTCAAAGCCCCACAACCCCTTCATTTGAGCTATCACCCCCGCCACCAGAAGAAAGCAGCAGCGCCGACAAACAGGTCCGCATAGCCGACGAAGAGCCGAATCTGGAGCTTGTCAACCGACGTCTGGCAGAGAGAAGAGGAAGAACACGAAACGAAAGTAGAAGCCGCAGCAGAAGCCGCAGAGGATCACGCAGTGGAGAGCGAGTTCCACGCCAACGGTCGTCGTTACACCTCGGCGATCTGAACGTCTCCATGCCTATTTCGACAGGCTCTTATGGATTTAGACCACACTCTCCGTTTTTGACCCCACAGGGTCTCAGTGGAAGAAGTAGACCTGTCAGCAGATCTGGTAGTCCCACTCGTACACCAGCCTTTACACCGGGACATTCACGCCACGGATCGCGCGTCAACATAAAAACTGTGAACTCCACACCCAACATGAGTCGTTCTGCCTCTTCAGCCCGAATCCAGCGGATCGGATCGGACTACTTCCAGACATTATCCACGCGAATGAAGCGAATGGATCACACAACCGCCCATACTGAAGACTCGGAGCTTTTGGAGACATACGGACTGGAAGAACTACGAGAAGGATACTTTGATGCCATCTTCGAGCCGGCAAGAAAAGCGGAGGAAAACGCCAGAATGGTTGTGCTTCAAATGAGGGAGAAGGCACAGGCAGAGGCTAACCAGGTAAAGTCGCCTATTCAGCTATTCCTGGGCATGTTCGTGTCCACCTACCACGCCATTAGAACCACTCTGCTTACCAAGAATGGTATCACGGTCCTGAAGGCGTTCTTGGCCTACTTTGTGGGCTTTCTACTTTGCATTATTCACCCCACAGCGCGTTGGCTTGGTCCGCACTGCTATTTTCTGCCAATAGCCACCATCCTACACCATCCAGGACGTCGCACGGGATCACAGATCGAAATCACCGTTCAATGTATTGTTGGCCAGGCTCTTGGAATGGGTATTGGAGCTCTTGCGCTGTACGTTAGTGACTCCACTACGACGGCAAGAAAAGGACATGGTGGACTTTTGGCAGTGGCTGTCATTCCAACTATTGCCGTTGTTTCTTGGATGAGAGCCTGCTACATTCGTCTCTACCACGGGTTCCTGTCAATGGGTATTGCTTTGCTTGCCATGACAGACATTGATGTGAGTTCAGACTTCCACTGGCGAAGTGCATGGGACTTCGGTATTCCTTATTTATTTGGCATGCTCTTGCCAGTTGTGATCAACCTTTTGATCATCCCCTCGATTGGTCAAGGTGATATGGTCACTTGTATGGCTGACGCGTTGAGTTGCTGTCGAGACTGTGTGCACAAAATGATGGCCACGGAACCTGGTGTCGGTAAAGAAGCCCAAGATGCTCTCAATGCTCAGTCCATCGCTCTGTCTGACATTCACCGAAACATGTGCAACGAAATCATGTTGACCACTTTCTCCAAGGACAATGTGCGAATCGTCCGAAACCTCATCCAAACCGTCATCGGTCATATTCGAATTGTTGACTTACCCTGTGAGATCTTCAGTGTTAACGTTGCTGCCGCTAAGGAGGACGCAGAAGAGGACTACTTCAACCAGCACCCGCATCACGCTATTCCCGACATGGCTCCCAAGATTTTTGAGCTGTTCCAGGAAGGAGCACGTGATCTCGTTCTTTCTATCATGGAAGCCCTCACTTTGGCGGAAGAGTTCATCAAGAACATCCGACATCCACCGGAGGAGATTTCTCTCAAGTTTCAGAAGGCCATGACAAATCTACAGCACAAGATGAACCACCTTGATGCCCAGTATACCAAGCTTATTGTGGACCAACAAGAGTTGAACATATCTCGACGAGCAGCTATCAACGCTCTGTTTGTTCAGCGACTGTCTCACTGTGGCCATGCTGTGTTCAATCTGCTGCGTCACTTGCATGGCATGTCCCTAGAAACACCTCACTGGCGTCTCTCGTTACCCCGATACCCCTGGAAGCGAGCCCTCACCTGGTCCAATACCCAATCTTTGCATGACCGAGGTGGAAAGACAGCTGGTCATTACTTTCGTGTCAAAGCCGAAGTTGAAGAGATCTTCCATCGAACATTCAACATGAATACTTCTCGTCATATTGTCCGAGAAGGAGAGAAGAACCAGAAGCAGCAAATGTGTGTCAATGCTGTTGATCATTCCGACTTTGATGCTAAGCATGGTGACATTTCGTCTGCTCGTTACAAGCTGTGGAAGATTCTTCATAGACTCCAGCGATTTGAGAGTAAGTTTGCTGTGAAGACTACTATTGCTGTGACTCTTCTCTCTCTTCCTGGCTGGCTGGAAGGTCATGACTGGTACCAGCACTACGACGCCTTCTGGGCTCCGATCCTGGTGCTCATTTCGCTGCATCCTCGAGCTGGTGGTAACGCCCATGATCTGATTGTGCGAACTGTGGTTGCTATTATTGGTGCTGTGTTTGGTGCCCTTGCCGCTGGAATCTGGCAGGGTCACAAGGCCAGTCCATATATTATGGGTGTCTTCTGTGCTGTCTTTATGATACCTTGTCTCTACCGTTTCACAGTATCCAATCATCCTCGCTCCGGTCTCATGGGTTGCTTGTCTTTTACAATAGTCGCCTTGGGTATCTACACCGATAAACTGCAGGGACCTAAGCGATGGCGAGATGCAAACCCAGTCACGGGTACCTGGACCCGTGCTCTTGGCATTCTGATCGGTCTGTGGTCCGCCATCCTCATCTCTTGGATCTTATGGCCCTTTGTGGCTCGTACCGAGTCTCGTGTCTTCACTGCCGATATGCTGGGTCATGTTTCGCAGTGTTACCAGATTGTGGCTGATCGATACCTATACCATGATCTCGACGATGATCCTACAACGCTGGCCATTGAGCTCTCTCAGATTCGAGAGGCACGTATGAGACAGGGTTTTCAGGCTTATCGTGAGCTCATTCTGTCGACCCGCCATGAGCCTTCTCTCAGAGGTGATTTCCCTATCCAGACGTACCTGGCGCTGTTTCAATCTTGTGAGCATGTGTTCAACCGTATTGTCGAGGCGCGTATCTCATCGGTATACTTCCGAATCTATGAGTTCGACGAAACCAAGGAGACGACTGCTCACCTGCTTTCTTATCGACGAGACGCTATTGCTGCTACCATCATGGTCCTGTTCATCATTGCAGACTGCTATAGAGCTCGTAGACCAGTTCCTCGGTACCTCCCGTCCTCCAAAATGGCTCGTAAGCGACTGTTTCAGACCATTGCTTCTCTGGAGACCATTATGTTGGATGAGTCTGACAATGAGACACATGTTCAGGACCATGAGAAGGACGCCCAGAAGATGGCTTCGATTCTGGCAGGATCTCGAAAGGTTGGCGAGCAGCCTGTTTTCCAAAACCCCTTTGGAAAAACAGACGAATCTGGAGAGAAGGAGAAGACTGAGGATGACGTCTCATCTCCATTGGCTGGTCCCCTTCATGGCGACTCGGTCACTGAACGAAAGAGAAAATTCTGGACTATTATTCACGAGTCTGCTTTTGCGACTGCTTTTACAGACATTTCGGAAGAGCTCGAGAAGATCGTCGGCTTTTCCAAATCTGCTTTGGGCGAGGAGACCTAAACGCTTTCAATAACCTACACGTCACCCCAAAACATATCTATCTATACATTTAATAATATTTGAATTGCATGACTTCATGACCCGTAATATATCCATTTCCCATTTTTGTTTATAATCTCTAGTTGGGTTTCTGTGTTAGATGAGTTCCATCGATTCTCGTGCTGAGTTGGTGTTGAGTTTAAGGTGGGTAAACGACGGACCTTTGGGTGGAACCAAATGGGATATATTTGTGCCCCTGTATACTCTTATGGCAAGGTAAACACGCCGGCTATGTCGTTTTGTTGATGACACGCGTCATTTCGGTGGTAGTGTGGACGATGTCAACATTGATGATACATGTGATGTGGTCACAAGTTGAGAAGAGATGCAAAGTTTTATAGTAGCACTCGCAGATCCACTTGAATCATCACACAGTCTCGTCGTATTCCCATCACCTCCAAAAACAGACCCATAGACATCTTTCAAGCCCATCATCGACATGCATGTCTCTCTACCACCTTCTCAATTACTCACAGTAGTCACATTGACGTTGAAAAGGTGGAACAGGAAAATGAGACCAATGGTCAGAAGACCAAGCGTAATTGCCAGAATGTAGAGCTGGTCGTCGGTGATCATTTCGTGGTGGTGGTTTAGTAGGACCCTTTCTGATGTTGGCTCTGACACTCTTAGAGTTCAGTCTGACGTGGGCTTTGGCGTCACGTGGAACATGCAGGCTGCATATCATCAATGGGACACCTCGATTTTTTAGCCATGGAAAGGCAGCTTCTATCCTACAAACTACCCCTATTCCGCAGAACATTTGCCATCATGTCCCGATCCATACAGGAGTCGTTCTCGCTCTTGAACCAGCGAGAAAAGGACCGACTGAAACGAGTCAGCCAAAAAGAGGGGCTCGCCAATCCAGACCGCAACAGATACAGCAATATTATACCATGGGATCACACGCGAATCAAGCTCCGCACTAGCAAGGATGGTAACAACTATATCAATGCCAACAGAGTGACCTTGGTGGCAAAAAAGAACACCAAAACCTACCACAAGACTTACATAGCCACCCAGGGACCGTTACGACAGACTGCAGGTCACTTTTGGCAGATGGTGCATGACACAACGACGGAACAGGGACAGGAGAGTGACAAGCCAACTGTGGTGATCCAGGTGACCCCCTTCGAAGACAACCACGGCGAGAGATGCTGTCAGTACTACATTTCGCGGAAGGGCCAAGTTTTCGAGGTGGATGGAGAAGGAGATGTGCTTACGGTGGAAGTTAAAGATAACAGCGAAGTGGGCCCCACGAAGGTGACTGAATTTCTGGTAACAAAAGGGTCAACTGGAAAGGTTAAGAGGGTTGTTCATTATTACTATCCTAACTGGGCGGACTTTTCCGCTCCTGGAGTCAACACTGATATTGACGATATAGTCAAGTCAGCGGGTCCTATCACAGATAGCCCGCCCATCGTCCACTGTTCAGCTGGTGTCGGAAGAACAGGTACTTACATTGTGGCTGATTTTTTGACCACTTTCCAAAAAGAACTTCAGGGTGAGGATATTGTATGTAGCCTGGTTGATCAGATGAGACAACAGCGAAGCCATATGGTCCAGACTATCTCTCAGTACGAGTATCTTCACTCCCTACAGACTGAACTTCTGCATTGACATGTTGTGTGTATTATAGACCCCGTACATAAATGTTATTAATATATAGACTGCATTTGAAGCTATTCGAGTTAGTACTCTAGCTGTGGCTCTCTGGTGCGTCTGCAATACAAGACGAAGGGCTCTTCTTCAAGTGCCCTTAGTCTAATATTGGCAGCGTTCATATCTTCTCTGTGTTTTCTCAAAGCGTCTTCCAATGCAGCTAATCGGTTGGTTTGCTGGGTTTCGTCATGATTCTTTGGCACACCAGACTTGTCCATCTTCTGAAGAGGAGCATAACTATCCATGATGATACGGCCCATCTGAGCCTTGAGTTCTTTGATGTTTACTTGTTGTCGGTTTGGTGGAGGATGTCGATGAGGTGCGTCGACTGGTGCATGAACCTCATTTGAAAGATCGGGAACTCGAAATTCCGCCTGCTTCCAAGCTCTCTCGCGTCTCTTGGCGTCGTCGTCCTTGAAGTCGACGTACACATCCTGAGACCATCCTTGTCGGTGCGGGGAACGACTCATGCGATCGGCAATGTTGACTGAAAACAAGTCTTCGTAATGGCATCTCGCAGTCTTGGGTTCTGCGTTTGATTTCTGACCAGAAACGGTTGAGGTGAAGGAGTGTGCTGTAGCGTCAGCTCTTGGAGAAGTCTTCCTTCTGCCTCGTAGCAATCTTTCATTCTCCCTCTCCAGGTCAGCAATGTCGCCCTCTAGGTCCTTCTGTTGTTTGATAATGTCTTTGATCTGCTGCTCAAGTCTGGCTGCCTCAGTGTTCGACGCCTCTAGTTTACTTTGTGCAGCTTCAATGCTGGAGAAGATCTCCTGGTCAACCTCATCCGTGTTGATACCGATGATATGGGTCTTTCGCTTGGGCTTGATACGTTTTCGATAACTGAAAGAGGTGGTGTCTTGTTGGGTGTATTTTGTGTCCTCCGTATATTCCATCTGTGCTTTGACAAGCTACAATATACCTGGGCCTCCTCCTTAAAATATGGTGTTCTTGGACAGCCATGACACAGTGAACTAATCAGTCTTGGGCATAGTGACGAAACACCAAGGGTATTATTGATAAGTATCATGTGAACTCACTATGATGCAATGATAAGACACATGTTGTGTTCGACTGGTACCAAAACGCACTCAAGCAATCCTCTAATATCTCAGATAATACTTCTGACCTGATTGAGTTCAATTCCCTGCACCAAGGGTCCTAAGCGAGCCAATAACTCTATCTTGGACCAACTCCTTGTTCGAGGAAGATCTATGTACGAGTACTTGGTACAGTTTGTGCTCGTACCGTATGTACAGTATGTACGATACATACGTACACAAAGTGCAAACCCATGTCACTCAAGCTACTTGTACTATGAAATTGTACAAATACTGCCAAAAAATATATACAAGGCAAGTTTTATTGTCCATAAGTTATAATTTCATTCAACTACAACGCTAACACACTAAAGCTTTGCTTCAACCGTTTAAAGCTTGGATCGAGGAGATCGCTGAAGAGTAGCGTCTCGGACGAGCTTACCGAAGTGAGCATCGACCTTGTCGAACATGCCAAAGGTCTTGTCCTGGACCTCGGGTCGAGCACCGGACAGAGAGACAGCGATGTTGTAAACAAGGTGTTCCTGCTGGTCTGGGGTCTTTCCAAGAACCTTCCAGAGCTCAGCGGGCTGCTGGAAGTCAACACCGTCGGTGCCGACAACCCACTGGTAGGCGACGGCCTCACCAACCCACTTCTCGTGCTTCTCATGCAGGTTGATGTCCTGTCGGTACTGCAGGGGCTCGAAAGAAGAGGGGTAGTTGGGCAGAGAGCCGGAGTTGCCGTTAACAGCCATCTGACCATCTCGGTGGTAAGGAGTATGGGCATGGTAGGGACAGTTGACGGGGATCTGGGCGAAGTTGGTACCGAGTCGGTGTCGCTGAGTATCGGGATAAGAGAAGAGTCGAGACTGCAGGACGGGATCGGCCGAGGTCTCCCAGCCGGGGACGGTGTTGGAGGGAGAGAAGGCAGCCTGCTCGGTCTCAGCGAAGTAGTTCTGGACGTTCTTGTTAAGAGTGAGCTTACCGAATCGTCTGAGAGGGAACTGGTCGTGAGGCCAGACCTTGGTGAGGTCAAAGACGGACCACTTGAGCTTCTCAGCCTGCTCGGGGGTGCAGACCTGGACGTAACAAGTCCAAGAGGGGAAAGAGCCACTCTTGATGGAGTTGAAGAGGTCTTCCTGGGCGTGGTCGGGGTTGGTTCCGGAGAGAGCGACAGCCTCGTCATTGGTGAGGTTCTTGATGCCCTGGTCGGTCTTCATGTGGATCTGGACGTAGTTGAAAGAGCCATCCTTCTTGATCCACTTGTAGGTGTGGCCGGAGTAACCGTTCATCTGTCGGTAGTTAGCGGGAGTACCTCGGTCGGAGAAGAGGACCATGATCTGGTGGCAACACTCCTGGTTGTTGGCAATGTAGTCCCACATCATAGTGGCGTCCTTGAGGTTGGTCTCGGGGTTTCGCTTCTGAGTGTGGATGAAAACGGGGAACTTGGAGGGGTCTCTGATGAAAAAGACGGGGGTGTTGTTGTAGACCCAGTCAATGTTTCCCTCGTCGGTGTAGAACTTGGTGGCGAAACCTCGGGGGTCTCGAGCAGCATCGGCGGATCCCTTCTCTCCTCCAACGGTGGAGAATCGAGTGAAGGTCTTGGTCTTCTTACCGATCTTGGACAAGAAATCGGCGCAGTTGAGGTCGGTGATATCGTCAGTGACCTCGAACTCTCCGTAAGCACCGGATCCCTTAGCGTGGACAACTCGCTCGGGGATTCGCTCTCGGTCGAAGTGGGCGAGCAGGTCGATCAGGGCAAAGTCCTGGAGCAGGAGAGGTCCGTGCTTGCCGATTCGCTGGGAGGCGAGGGGGTCCTTGACGGGGTTACCGTTAGTGGTGGTGTAAGTGGGGACTCGTTTTCCAGACACTGAGTTAGTATGCTATTGGTGTTGTTGTTGTTGGCTTTAGGCGAGTTGTCTATCACCACTGTCGTATTATGTTGCGGTGTTCGGACTTGAGCGTCTTCCCCTCATTGATGGGGCAATATCTATAGCCCGTGAAACCACCAGATCATCCGAATCAACCCGCTGCGTCCATGGGGCTGCTTTCCCGGTATCGAATTGCCCGTCCAAACAGTCCTCCTGGGTACTCACTTTTCAATAAGGCCTTAGTTTCGTCTTGACTCGGCGTTTCGCTACCCCCACCTATATATATATAATCACACGCACATGGTTTGTGGGAGCTTAAAGGGGCGTGTGAAAGTCGCAAACAAAGAGAATTACCGAAGCCACCGCATAATATAGAGTTATCGTGGGGAAATGTGTGGACTAGATTTGGGTTAAGGGCGAGATGGCGGTGTGGAGTTGAGAAATGGTTATGGCTGTTTTGGGGCTCTAACGAGCTCAAAACTAGCTGGATTTTTCGATCGAGCACTTTTCCCCATTCAATTCTTTGATTTCCACGTAGCTACTCTCTCGGACTCGCCACTCGGTGCTTCTTTCGGCACCTACCATGCCCTCTTCATTATCACCTTAACTAAGTTCTTGTTGGGAGGGGAAAACCCGGGGTCACAGCCAATAGCCTTGCAGCGTTTGTCATGATCGACTATATCTACAGCCTGAGACAGACAGAACTACCCACGACAACCTGTTACAGCTGCAAATAAGATAATCCAGCGGTGGAGAAAGGGTCCGCGAACTCACTCGTGTCTTGTTGAAGCTGGTTTCCCCCCAATCGTTACTTCCTACAGATTCTTTGTGCCGAATGCATGAGACAGCAAGCATGTCAATGTAGACTAAGAAAAAAGCGTTTCAACGTGTTAGAGCGAGGACGGACGTCCCTTTTCTCGTCTTTGAGCCGCGGTCCAAACGTCAAAAGCCCAGAAAACAGAAAACAGCCTGAACCTTCCCCACGCGCAATAAAGTACAAGTAGGGTGAGAGAAGGAAAGGGTAGAAATAGGTTTTCTTCTGTTTCCAGAGCCTGTAGAAGGTCTGCTGTTTGTGCCATTCCAACGCTGTGTTTTACACGCTTTGTTTCAGTGAACTTCTCCGCGGCCTTGTCTTATCTGTCTGCCAGTCGTTGAGGGCCATATCGGACATTTCCAACCGCCAAAACACACGCATATTGCCACTACTGGAAGCCCCAGCCGTGTTCTTGTGCTTGAACTCTATTACGTTCCACACTCATTTGAGATTTGTCATGGACCGTTGGTCTAGACTTGGCCATGCAGAGTTTGATCACGGGATTTTCACGGAGGTGGATTTTTGGTAAACAGAGCGAATTACCGGGGTGTCTACACAGTCACGTGATATTTCACTCAAAGGCTACGGCGAGTATGTGGTCGCCTTTTGGGGCCTTGGCTTGGTTTGGGAATCCGACGATCCCTATAGATCTCAGTCGACCGTCCTTCCTTGGTATTACAGCAGGTATACATGTATATACATGATTACTGAGCTGCCTAAGTGCACCAGCCTTGAAGACATGCATACAGGCCACATGACTAGACACATGGAAAATACCTTTGGGATGTGTTTTACTGCCCTCAAATTCGCCTAACCCCAAAACAGTTCGTTTGTTTTATCGCGCTCATGATGCGTAAAAAAGGTGTCTTGGGGCCATCCCCCAACAAAATCTAGAAGTCTGGCTGTCCTCAAATTGGAAGCATATTGAGTGCAGTATCAGCAAGTAGACTTCGGAGTGTAAGTACCGGTACGCGTACAGTAGAAACGGTTGTGGGGGTAACGAACAGTATTGGTTATTCGTGTCGTATATACCGAAGACTCTTATCCCCCAACATACATATATAATCGCATCAACTCTCTCTGCTTGTTATGGTAGTACTTGCACAAAGGTCGGACCCTGCATTACAGTTCACACAATGGCCATGATACACATTGAGCCCTCGTATATGACCCCCACATGCCTACAGTCTGTAAACTCTTCTTCAGAGGTGATTGAGGTGTATATTAGCTATGGCTCGGGCTCATCATCATTCTCTGTCATTATACCCCTCGACTCTGGCTATAAAATCGCCTTTCGCTCTTCTCTCCTGGTGCTAGAACGAGGAAAAGTGTTGGCCATAATAACGACATTAGTAACAGGAAAACAGTCATGTCATGGCATATCTCATGAGCCGAACAGGTGAAGACAATGTGGTTAAAAGACGAAGTATATAGGTGTCTAGCGTATATAATGGCTGCAAATACTGTAGTAGATGCAAACTGCGTCCTTACTGCTGCAGTAGCTATTGGAAATCTCTCATCGACCCCTGATGTCACCCCATTGTGTGCATAAGCGGATGCAAGGTGGGGAGACCATATTTTATAGGTGCAAGAGCGATGTCTGAATCGTTGTTGAGTCAATTGGTGTTTTTTGGATATGCTATTCTTGTCAAATAGACACATACTACAATTTCAAATGCGTACAAGGCTTTCAAGACTCCTAAAATTCTCGTTTTACTATCAGATCAGCCACAATATTCATCAGCCTCTAATTTCCCCCAGAGGATAAGCTCTCAGCGTCTTGAATGTCTTAACTCGGATATGTCTGTATTCAACGGTTTAACAACTGCATATGGTGGGATCACACGTCCATCCAGTGGCCGGTATTTGAGTGAGTATATGTGACAGGGAACGGGTTACGTTATAAGCTCCTTTATCGAGTTCCAGCAGTACTCGTTAGACACATGTTGTGTATAAGTCAGCATGGCTCTCTCTGATCTGATCCTGAATAAACTGATCACCGCACAATACAAACCACACCCATACAAGGTAGTCTCTCATTACAAAACATTGGGCCCTCGTGCCTCTCACTACTGTAGCTACCAGTGAACAAACTCTCTGGGTTCCCACAGTCCCACGCCCTACGTGTATATGTAAACATTCATATTGTCGTTAACTACACAGTCTAGTAAGGACCTGAAATGACTTATGACACGCCGCGCGTTCGCATTTGATAGTCGTCCTTTTACAATACCTCCTCCTTAATAACACCAGTGAGCCAGTCCAGACCCTCACTAAGACCCTCTCCCTTCAGAGCACTGCAGGGCATGATGCTCCAGCTTCGATCCTTGAGCGAAACGAGATCGAGAGCAGTGGATACCTCCGCCGCGGTCATGGCTCCCTCCTGATCCTGCTTGTTGGCGAAAACGAGCAGCACTGCGTTTTGTAACTCGTCCTCCTCCAGCATGGAATGCAGCTCCTCCTTGCACATGTCGATTCGCTGCTTGTCGGTGGAATCGACCACAAAAATGATAGCAGCTGTGTTGGCGTAGTAGCATCGCCAGTATGGTCGGATACTGGTCTGTCCTCCGAGATCCCACACGTTGAGTTTGAGGTTTTTGTAAGTCAGGGTTTCCACGTTGAAACCAATGGTGGGGACTGTGTCCACAACTTCACCAAGCTGTAGCCGGTACAGAATGGTGGTCTTGCCGGCACCGTCCAATCCAATAATCAGGATTCGAATCTCCTTGTTGCCTCCCCACACACGGCTGAACATGCTTCCTAGAACGTTTCCTGGGTTAGTAGAGGGTCAGATGGTCGTGTCAGTCCTGTTTCGTCCCAGCTGTCATTGTTCACGAGGCTTGGCTTCATAGAAGTCGCCAGCAGTAACTCCATCCCCACCCCTTCTCACTCTTACTCACCCATCCTGTATGCTGTGTCTTGTTCTTTGCGCCGAGGAAGGTTAGTGTCATTGTGATGATGTAGCACTTACTATATCACATCACGTGGCAACTTTATGTTCTTTGCAACTAGACACACTACGGCAGGGATACGAATCGTCTACAACGGTTGATGGTGAACCGGGCCGTTCGGATGACTCGTATGTTTCCTTCAATACAGAATCAGCCTTCTTTTTCCCCACTTTTGACCTGTATAATCACCTCAGAACAGTAAATCGCTGCTTAACTTTCGTGAGAGATCCAACAAAGGGATTGTATAGCGTCTTGGCTAATATTGTATATAGGAGTGTTCGATCTATAAATTGGGTCAAATTCGTGTCCAGATACACGTAGCTATGCTGCAACAATACTTGTAGTTTGGTGTTTTTCTACCCATCGTACCCTACACAGATACTATAATACGCAAGCGCGTCCATAGCCATGACCTCTCTCCAGCAGTAGCTACTCGAACTATTTTGGATAACCACTTTTTTCCCATTCGTCTCATGAAGATGCAAATAAATATTACGTAAAAATACAAATAGACTGAGCCAATTCACCCCTCAGTCTCCTCCCCAGTAGCCTTTCGAATTCGCTCCCGAACCAGCACATCAATAGCTTGATCAGTCTCTCTGTCAAGCTGATCCAGATCCTCCTGGAGGTCTCGCTTCAGATCCCAGTTGGCTCGTTTCGGCTGCAACTTTAGATAGTCCACTGCAGATTGGTTCTTCTCCATCAGCTCCTGGATCGTCCTTGCCTCTTCCTCAGCTCCTAGCAGCTCAACAGTCTCCTGTCCTTCTGTCGGGTTGGCATCGTATCCCAGTTTGGTCGACTCCGTCTCCAGATCGAAGTTTCGTTCCTTGAATCTATGTTAGCGAATGCTCGATGTTGTTCTCTTTCTTCATCCAAGACCATTCCCCGTGTCACCTCAAGTCGTATCGCATCTCCCCATCCCCATACTCACGTTGGCTTTTCCTCCCGTGTAGCAACCTCGGCCTCCACGGGATCGACCTTCTTGCCCTCCCGGAGAGCCCGCATACGCGCGAGCTTCTCTTTTCGGCTTTCCGCTTGTGCGCTGAGAGACATGTCGTTGAAGGTGATATCGATTCGGTCTCAGTATCAATGGTTCACACACTGAAACTTTATGCAAACTTCTGCGGGCTGACTAATCTTACTACTTCACGAACTGTATGATATATTCGGCATGCATGAAACTAACTTGACCCAAAAAAAAGACCTGACACTCTGACAAACACCACTAATAACTATGTCGCTACCTGGCCTCAACTTCTCAACAACTGAGACAAACACTACAGAATCCACTCATACCATCGACCTCAAACCAGAGACGGAATGGAGATACGAAGTGGCCATCGGGGGAACCTTACATGTCACGCTGAAATCTGGAACCGCTGAAATCTTCGGTACAGAGCTGCCACCTAACAAGGAGCTCAGTATCCAAGGAAAAGGAAGCATTTACACATGGCAGGGCTGCCAGTTCGTATACACGGCAATTGCAGGACCCAAGGGATTGATGTCTGATTACACAACCGAAGACACTCCCCACATGACCATGGCTATCAACCTGCACTTTGCTCTGGAGAAGATGCGGAATGAGGCTGAACAGAAGCCCAAGGACGTTGCTGGACCTAGAGTTCTCATTGCTGGACCCCCCAACTCGGGCAAAACCTCCCTGGCTAAGATTTTGTTAGCCTATGCTACAAAATGTGATCGAAAGCCCATATATATTTCTTTGGATCCTACTTCGGTGAACCTGGGACCTCCTGGAGGAGTGCATGCTGTCCAAATTACAGATCTGCTAGATGTGGAAACATATGGAGGATTCGGATCATCGGAAATTTCAGGCCCTCAGAAACTACAGCCTCTTATTTTGCTCTCCAAGTACTTTGGACTTGAGAAGACTACGGATAACTTCAAGCTCTTCAAGCGGTCTGTGGCTCAGCTAGCAGTTCCCGTCCTGTCCAAACTTGCACACGACGTTGAGGCGCAAAAGTCTGGTCTCATCATCGACACTCCTCGAGTACCCGGCAACCAAAACAAAACAATCGAAGTTAACCTGCTAACGGACGTGGTGAGCGACTTTGGAGTCAACGTCATTGTCGTTATTGGCAACGATCGACTTTATGCAGACCTCATGAAGAAATACCCAGTGGGAGCCTCCGGTCCCACAGTAGTTAAGGTACCAGCATTTGCTTGCATGGATGACGATGAGAGCTACAACCGAGATGCCCAGCAACAGGAAATTCAGCAGTATTTTTATGGAGATGCTAAAGATATGAAACTTGGTCCACGAATCGTCACTGTCGATTTCTCTACTCTCCACGTTTACAAGATCAAGCCTTCCACACAGTTTGACGATGACAAGGCGGATATGCTGGAGAGGGTCGCAGAGGCCAACATTCTACCAAACACAGTACTGACGGTCATGCACGCTGTTCCTGGCTCGTCCGAAAAAGAGATTCTCGACTCAGAGGTCCAAGGTTACCTTCACGTGACGGAGGTGGACGAGGAGAAGAACAAGGTGAAGATTCTGACTCCTGTTCCTGGACGACTACCCTCCCAGGTCATGCTTCTTGGTGATACACGATACCATGAGTAATACGATAGATATATAATGTAGATAATGTATTTGTATATATGGGCCCATCGGTGCTGTAGATATAGACTCTTTTGTGTTAACTGTAGAATGATCTCACTCATTCAACACATTACTCGTACAGTATAGGCAAAAAGAGGCTACTTGTAGTGTCACAGTGGGCTTCTGTAATGTAAAGGCATTCTCCTACTGTCACGACACGTAAAATCATTAAATAATCATTAATAGTACATATATAGCTAATATACATCTCCTTACAATGCCCTTTACTTGAGAGACTGGATGAAGTTGTCCAGGTTGTACTCCTCGGTGTACTCTCCTTCGTCCCACAACTCGCCGAGATCGGCCAAAGCAGGGTTCTTCTTGCCAAGCGATCCAGTGGCATCCAAACCGGCGTCCTCGGCGTTTGCATCCGCCGCTGCGGTTCCGTTACCAGCCGCTGCCACGTCGTCGACATTAAAGAGATCAAGCAGTTGATCAGTGTCCATGGAAGAGAGACCGGAGTTCTGCTGGTTGATGACCGTGGACGCAATGTTGAGCTTGAACTTTTGCAGACCCATAATCTTCTCCTCAAGAGTGTTTCGGGTGATGAGTCGGTAGACGTTGACCACCTTCTTCTGGCCGATTCGATGGGCTCGGTCCATGGCCTGCAGATCGTTCATTGGGTTCCAGTCGTGTTCCACAAAGATGACGGTATCAGCACCAGTCAGGTTGAGGCCCAAGCCACCCACATGGGTGGTAAGAAGCAAAACATCGATGGAAGGATCAGCGTTGAACTTCTGGACAATATCGTGTCGATGTCGAGCTTCAGTAGATCCGTCCAGTCGCATAAACGTAACTGTAGGCATATACTTCTTAAAGAGCTCGTTCTCAACAATGTCCAGCATGTCCTTGAGCTGACAGAAAATGAGAGCTCGGTGCTGAGAAATAACAGGGACATCGCCTTCAGAATGTTGCTTCTTGCTGGTGCCATTCTTAGCCTCAGCTCCCTTGGTCTCTCCGATACCACAATCCAACAAAAGTCGCTGAAGAGCCTGCAGCTTGGGAGCATTGTTGATGGATTTGACACCTGTAGCTCCTCCAAACTGCTTCATGATCTTGCTAAACTTTGGATGCCGCTCATTAAGAACCAGAGCAGGGTGGTTGCACAGCTTTCGCATGTACTGTAGAGCCTGGAACACGTGCTGCTTGGACTCGACCGTCTCTGTGGTGATTTCGTTTTCGACCACAGACTTTTGCTTCTTGGCGAAGTCGCCGTACAGCTCTCGCTGTAGCTCGGATAGTTCGCAGTAGTAGTCCTGGATGATCTTAGGGGGCAGATCAGACAGCACGTCCTCCTTGAGACGTCGCAGCAGGAAGGGCAAAACCTGCTTATGCAGAGCCTCCAAAGCCAGAGCTCCCGCTTCCTGCTCCTTGGAAGAAGACTTGGAGTTTCTAGAAGAAGCAATAGGCTTGGCAAACCGCTCATTGAAAACCTTCTCGGTACCCAGGAAACCGGGCATGAGGAAGTCGAACAACGACCACAACTCAAGAACATTGTTCTGGATGGGAGTACCTGACAGAATCAGACGGTGGTTGGCGTGGATCTTTTTAACGCTCTGGGTGAGTCTGGACTGGGGGTTCTTGATGATATGGCCCTCGTCAAGAACACAGTAGTTGTATTGCTGTTTGGTGAAGACAGCATTGTCGTTTCGACAGATATCGTAGGAAGTGACCACAATATCGTACTTGTGCAGAGAGTCGGCATGCAGGTATCGCTGAGAGGGATGTCCAGCGTACATGAGAACAGACAGGAAGGGGGCATAGGTGTTGAGCTCGTGTTTCCAATGTCCAATGAGGGTGGGGGGACAGACAATGAGCGAAGGGAGAGCTCTGACTTGCGCCATTTCGCTCTTGAGGCCGTCCAGAGAGGCAGCGTCCGTGTTTCCGGCGCTCTCCAGCTCCTTGTACTTGCCCTCCAGCTCCTTGTACTTTTCAGCACGCAGATAATGATCAGACGACACAATACAAATGGTCTGCAGAGTCTTTCCGAGACCCATATCGTCACACAGAATACCGTGAAGTTGATACTTGTTGAGGAAGGCCAGCCAGTTGACTCCGTCTTGCTGATACTTTCGCAGCGTTGCCTTAATGCTGACAGGCAGAGGGAAGGGTTTGATCTTGGACACGTCCAGCATCTGCTGCAGGAACTCTCGCTCCTTGTCTCGACCCTCAAGCAGTTCCTTGGACATGCCTTCGGGGTCCGGGATACCACTTTCGAGAGGAACCAGCTTGACGATCTGGGCAAAAGTGGTGGTGGCAATCAGACGCACGTCCTGATCGGCATCTGACATACGACCCAGAATAGGAACAATCAAAAACACAACGTAGGGAAGAACATCGTTGCCCATGATGGCAGCGAGGTGGTAGATGCACTCGACAGCTCCCTGGCGTCTGTGGAGAGACAGAGGGTCGTTGAGCATAGGCAGGACGATTCGAACCAGCTCCGGAATGGCCTGAAGAGGAAGAGTGGCACAAATGGTGGCAAAACACTTCGCAGCAGCGTATCGCACCACGGCAAACTTGCTTCCCAGGTGGGTGAAGACGCTGGGCAGAATCTCCATAATCTTCGAATGCAAGTTAGTAGACAGACAGGGCACCAGAGCTCGGATAATACTCAGAGAGTCAACCACAGACTGGCCAGAGGTGTCTTCTGGAGCATAGACACTGTCCGAGTTGAGCTCCACCTTGAGAGGGTCGAACATGATGGACTCAAGCTTTTTGCACTTTTCAAACACATGGTCTCCAAACTCGACCAACATGCCCTGAAGAGCTGTCTGGGCACCCCCTCGCTTGATTCTTGCTGCCTTGACTTCTCGCTGGTGAGCAATGACGTCAGCAGGGTCGGTCTTGGCTTCCTCCTTTCGCAGGGACAGAATGTTAGACTCCACCTTTTCGTTGAAGTGAAATTCAGGTGTCTCGGAGGTGTCGACACACAGGAAGGCACACAGGTTCTTGATGATCTTGTCGGTGGCTCCGGTCTTGCCAGCAGCTCCAAACAAATCAACCAGATGCACAATCGTTGCAGCAGCTCGATCCTGCAAGATGACATGCTCCTCACCCTTGATGGAGTCCATTAGAGCTCTGATGACTCCGTTGAGCTTGGGAGGAAGGCCGCCAATATGAATAACGGCAGATGCCAACGTGCTCTGGATAGACACATCTCTCTGGGTCTTCGCCTCGTGCGCTTCCTCCATGGCCTGAGAAAGAGCCAGGAGCGAGTCCTCCATGAGCTGGCCGGAAGAAAGTCGAGCGGTAGTGGAAATAGTCTTTCTGAGCTTCGGCACGTCCACGTCAATCAGCTTCTGAGCCTGCTCCAAAGAAAAGGCCTCGGGTCCAGCGTCAGCTTCTCCCTGTACCAGAATAGGCAGCTGAGGAAGCTTGGCAGCAGTGCTGGCTCCTCCAGCGTCAGCGAAGACTCGCAGAGCAGAAAGAGCCTGCGTTCGAACAGCCTTGAGGAAAGGTGTAATGTCGGCGTACATGGCAGCAGGAGGAGGAGCAACAAGGAGCTCAGAAACAGAGGGAAGAAACAGCTTGGCAGAAGGCCCACATTCGTCAAAGATAAGAGCAGCAACTAATCGCTGGGTGGAGTACTTAGATCGAGCATACTTGTCCAGACGAGGTTGGAGACCTTGCAGAAGAGACTCGTCTCCAAGTCGAAGTAGCTGGGCAAATGCACCGGCAGACGTAACTCTGATTCGCAGGAAAACATCGTAAGGAACAATACTGATATCTCCAAGCAAAATGGGGTTATCAATGTTGACCACCAGTTGCTGACTGCCCCAATCGGTCTCCTTGTCAGTTGTCGTCTTTCGCTTGGTGTTCTTATCGACAGAGTAAATACCTCCACTGGGCTTGACAAACAGAGAGGTTTCCATCTTGTGAGAATGACGAGCCACACCAATGGGAGTCATAAGTAGAGATAAATAGCCCACAAATGGGAATTTGGTGAGTTCTTCGCTGGGAGCAGCAGCCAGCAGGGCCGTCCAAAGCTCGTGTGCCAGAGCTGTCACCGAAGGGTTCTGCTCAACCAAAAGAACCTGAAACACGAGTCTCAACAGGTGAGTGGTCACCCAGGGAGTCTTCCCATCGCCCTTACCAACACCTAAAAGAGTCAACATGGTCGTCAAGACGCTCTTTCGCACATTAGTGATGCTGTGTCGGAAGAAAGGATACAGTCTGGGGACCAGGTTTCTGAAGTCTTGACTAGGGTCCATTTCGGCATTGATCTGGAGAACATCCAAAACCCGAGGAATGGCGCACAACTTGCCGAGGAGATCCATCACGTTACCGATAGATGCACTCAGATCGTCTCTGAGATCGGTTAAACACTCCCAAAGCACGCTCATGAGCTCATTGATACGATCAGGTCTTAGAGTGATGTACTCTGAGATGACGGGGATTAGTGTGGCGGCCGAAACTGCCTGCACGTCATCATCAGACTCTCTGAGGCCACTCAGAACGGCTTCATAGAGATCGTCGAGATAGGCCTTGTCTTTGAACAGCAGGTCAGTTCGCACAGACACCAGATATCTCAGTCCAAGCATTCCTCCGTGTCGAGCTTCCCATACTGTCATGGAACCAGGTTTGTTATACTTTTGTAGCACCAGTCCATGCAAAACAGTGAAGGTAGGTCTGATCGTCTTCTCGTCCATATGCAACAGAAGAGCACCAAGGGTCTGGCCAGAGGACTCTCGAACAGGAGCAACGACCTGGTCACCCACGTAATCGCCAAATCTGTCCAGAGCAAAGATACAGCACAGTCTACATGCCAAATCTTCGATCCACTGCCGGTTTCGAGCGTCATTCTCCTCCACGGAGGAACCCCGTACCCGTCCAGCGCCCTTTCCGTGCACCTTAACCACTTCTCTCAGTCCCAGTGCGGCTCCATGTCGAGTCTCCCAGTTATCGTCGAACAGGTCGACCATTAGAAGTTCACAAAGACCCTCAAAGGGCCAAACTTTGCCTGCTCCGAGCTGAACAATGGGGGAAATGCCTTCAACCAGTAATTTGCCATCGTTTTCAGAGGTGTGAATGCCTCCAGGGGTGTCATCTTTGATAACAGTCTTTCCTCCATCCTCCTTCTTGCCACTGACGTCCACAATCCGCACTTTGTTCGCATTGTTGCCCTTTTGTAACTTGGCTCGTCTCTTCGCCATGGCTCTCAGACGAGCTGAAGAGTGTCCGTCTGCCGGAGGAGTGGGGGTGGTTTCTGTCTTGACCTCGGTCTTGATTTCTGGAGTCTCCACTTTGACCTTCTCCACCACATTGGCTTCCACCTTGACATCCGACTCGTCCAGAAGACCGTCCTCCATGTACTGACCTGCCAAGCCAAGCCGGCTATTTAACGTCTTCTTTTGCTTCTGAAGACGCTCAATGGGATCCAGGTTGGCGTACATGTCCTCATACTCTTTTCCTCCGCTTCCCAGCAGTTTGCCTCCAAACTGGATGACCTTCTCCAGATCAAATGTCTCGAAATTGAGCATGCCATCTGATAGCAGAGAAATGTCGAGGTTGGCTGAAGCCGATTCAGCACCATCCTCGGTTTTGACCTCACTCTTGACAGCCAAGTTATCAGCCAAAGCAGCATCGGAAGCCTCCTCCGCATTGGGGTCCCATTGAGGACAGTTGGCTACAATGCCTCCAATGGCACGAGCCGCCGCAATTCGTGTGTCCCATTTTTTCGACTTTAGAAACGGGAAAACTCGCCCGAGTAGATTGAATAGTTCTTCGGGATGGCTCTTTTGAACATCTGCCAGCTGGTCAGCCGCAGTATTACGCACAAATGCAGATGAGCCTGTGTCTAGTAGCAATACAAGACGATCTAATCGAGACATCTGGGTTAGTAAGCACAATACATGAGACATGTGATGTGTCTGCAGGGACCAATTGAGACAGACATGCGGCAAAAAAAGACGACTCAATTCTGCCTGTCAATCTCTCCTATCGCTCATCTTCTTTTGTTCGTCATCTTGGTCGATAGGTCTACCCTCTGATAGACTCAAAATTAAGGCTCCATTGACACCAACCAACGTGCCTTGAGCAGAACACTCCACTTGTCTCCCACACACTTCTTCCGAGAACTCACCTATAATCACAATCTCTGTTGTTGCGTCCTAAATCACACTGAATCGTCGTTGCACGCTGGTATCGTTTCGTCTGGTCGAAATATTCTTGGTTCTCGCGTTAGTACTCAAGTCATTTAGAGTTCCCACCCACGATACGCGTAGTAATCGTGGGACAGGTGTATCCAGCCAATTTCTCTCGGTTTTCCGTTGCTGATGGGCTGTATGCCTCTTTAAACCGCCTTAGAATCTTCCCCGCCGCATTTTTCGCCAATACTCACACCTTGACCGACAGTTTTGCCGAAATCCAATTTTTGCAAACTGGCGGCCCCCATCGTTAAGTACACTACTTTTATATGCGTAACGACGGCGCCAATAGAGTTCTAGGGAAAAGTTTGATATATTTTCTGGGCCGGGTAACCCCATCAAGATTGCGCTTACGTAACCCAATGGCTGTTTTTTAGAACCGTACTAAAACGAAAGCAGTTGGAGCAACACCCTGTCCAATCATACGGCGAGCATTTGTTCATGGTTTCCTGTCGGAAGTGCGCAACAATGATTTTTTGTCGACGCCACAGGATTTCTTGCTCGAGACTCCGAATACACATACATTGGTCGATTTGAGAGTGCATGTGTGCTGCGGGCCCTCCATTGAAGGTGTTACCCGGCAGATAATCCCGTCTGAGCCGACCCAGCCCACTAATTTGCTTTACTAAGGAGCTTTACGCGGGACCTTGAGCTGCGACATGATGATGCTACAACGGCTGGCAGAAAAAAAGAGCCGCCTTTAGGGTTCCAATTGAGCTGAACAATCAGAAACATGATAGCCGGAAATTACAAGTACAAGTATGAGTCTTACAAAGAAGGGAGTTATTTGGTGTGGAAATTTTTTTTGTGCCAAGTCGCCTAATACCATTTACAGCTACCATAGCTATAACCAGTTTTTGTTCCTTGCTCTAGAGAGAACGTCTGCGTAGCGTACTTACTTGGTCGTACGCAGCTCACTCCGTTTATTACTCCACCAAGTCCCAAGCGCTCCGCCCGCGATTATGCAAAATTAAAGTGCTGCGTGAGCGAGATGGAAACCATGGAACAACGTGATGCGCGGTGGGTGAGGGGTGAGGAATTCGGAAAATGTGGTCATCTAGAGTATACTTGATAGTCGGATTGGGTAAGTCATGGCTTACAGGTGGTCGACGAGTGTTCAGTCACCTCTTGTTTTCTCCCTGTCTCTATGCTATGGCTCACGTTTGGCACGTTCACGTTATCGACTAGATTAGCTATACTGTATACTGCTGTGACATGGTGTGCACTGGTGGTGCACAGGGAACCAGACAATGAGTCGACCTCCAGGAGTTTATTCACAAGCGTATAAGAGTGTTGTCGGATTGTCTTGATGGCCAGAATCTATTCCGGCATGCCTGGTCCAGATTGCACTTTTCTGCGGTGATATACACCTATCAGTTCTAGACCCTGTCCATCAAACCTGTGAGCAATAAACGCTCGAATAAAGCACATCGCTTTTTACAAGTGGTGAAAAATTTCAAGTGTGAGCTTATTTGGCAGGGTCAGGAAAAAAAGCCTAAAATGTGTCATTGGGAGCAGTAGCAATTAGTCATAGTAAGAGAGCATCGAGCATATAAAAGACTTTGGGGTCCCCCAGTTTAGTCTCTCTTTTTTTCTTTCTTCTTCTGACAGATAGATTCTCATCCACCTCTCCTCTAACACAACCAAGAATCGCTAAAAAAATGTGCGCAACAGATAACGCCCCCGCCGCTAACGCTGCTCCTGAGAAGCCCTCCAACGTTGGAGTCGAGGTCGGTCACACCGGCGAGCAGACTAATCCTTACGGAGCCAACCCCGCCGATTTCCTTTCTAACGTGTCCAAGTTCCAGCTCATCGAGTCCACTCTGCGAGAGGGAGAGCAGTTTGCCTCTGCCTTCTTTGACACCGAGACCAAGATCGAGATTGCCAAGGCTCTGGACGACTTTGGTGTCGACTACATCGAGCTGACCTCCCCCGCAGCATCGGAGCAGTCGCGGTCCGATTGCGAGGCCATCTGCAAGCTCGGTCTTAAGGCCAAGATTCTCACTCACATCCGATGCCACATGGACGACGCAAGACTCGCTGTCTCCACCGGTGTCGATGGTGTCGATGTCGTCATTGGTACCTCCCAGTTCCTGCGACAGTACTCCCACGGCAAGGACATGAACTACATTGCACAGTCCGCTGTCGAGGTCATTGAGTTTGTCAAGAGCCACGGCATTGAGATCCGATTCTCCTCCGAGGATTCTTTCCGATCCGACCTGGTCGATCTCCTCAACATCTACCGAACTGTCGACAAGATTGGTGTCAACCGAGTCGGTATTGCTGACACTGTTGGATGCGCCAACCCCCGACAGGTCTACGAGCTTGTCCGAACCCTCAAGTCCGTTGTCTCGTGCGACATTGAGTGCCATTTCCACAACGACACCGGCTGTGCCATTGCCAACGCCTACACCGCCCTCGAGGCTGGTGCCAACCTCATCGATGTCTCCGTTCTCGGTATCGGTGAGCGAAACGGTATCACCTCTCTCGGTGGTCTGATGGCTCGAATGATTGCTGCTGACCGAGACTACGTTCTCTCCAAGTACAAGCTGCACAAGCTGCGAGACCTCGAGAACCTCGTCGCCGACGCCGTCCAGGTCAACATCCCCTTCAACAACCCCATCACCGGTTTCTGCGCCTTCACCCACAAGGCCGGTATCCACGCCAAGGCCATTCTCGCCAACCCCTCCACTTACGAGATTCTCAACCCCGCCGATTTCGGTCTGACCCGATACATCCACTTTGCCAACCGTCTTACCGGCTGGAACGCCATCAAGTCGCGAGTTGACCAGCTCAACCTGCACCTGACCGACGCCCAGTGCAAGGATGTCACTGCCAAGATCAAGAAGCTTGGTGACGTTCGATCTCTCAACATTGACGATGTTGACTCCATCATCCGAGAGTTCCACGCCGATGTCACCAGCACTCCCACCGTTGCTGCCACCGAGGGACCTGCCGTTGAGGACGAGCCCGCCGCCAAGAAGGCCAAGACTGAAGAGTAAGGTGTTCTTATTTTCAGTGTAAATTATAGCATGTAAAATAACACACGCAAACTGGAGGACACAGTCCGAGGGTTTGTATATATCGATTATACGGAGACATATTCGAGGGTGAATCGTGCATATTGTAGAAGGACAGTAAGAGCCATAGATATAGCTTACATTGTGTGTTATCCGAATACGAGTACATACTGTACTTGCACTTCGGAGATAGAAATTGTGATTAGCTCGGATGCAATTTTTTCAACCTGAGTGTATGTCAAATTAGGTCCCGATTGTCGCTCCGACGGTAGATATGTTATGTGGAGATTGCTTCGGAGATAATAACAAAAATACAAGCCTCAGATGTTCAAACATGTATAGTCATATAATGTTAACTTGAGGGTGCATCTAACAGGCGTCTCCGGTGAGTCATTTCATTCTCGACGTTTTTATTGCTTCTTGCTGTGTCTGATGGTGGGTTGTGCAGCCTAGGAGCACATCGTACACACACATACAATCATGGCGTTGTGTGGAAGTGAGACATGCTATTTGTGGTGTTTTTTTAGAGCAAGTGCTTGTAGAGGTATAGAGGCTACCAATCAATTCAATTTTCACTTATTGTCTTCTTATTGTATAGTACAGTACATACTTGTGAAATAAGTACCTGGTACAACATACTTGTACATACTGTAGTCTATGTGGTGACATGTGAAGTACAAATATACAAATACGTATATACTGTACCGGCACATTTACAGTAGCAGCCTGACATCTCTTCAGAGTGGCAAGTCAGACACTCGTAATAAGTATACAGATGCTGCTTGGACCACTCGCTGTGCCATCCCTCGCGTCCACTCCTATCGGCAGGATCTGATGCAAGATAATCAAGGTGGTACTTGTCCGGTACACTGTATGTACTTGTACTCGTACTTGCGTGGTCTAGATTAATATGATAAATGTGTCCGAGACATAGAGATGTGTCCTGTTGTCGGCAATTCAGGTTAGCGTGTGATTGTAGTTGAGGCAATTAGTCCCTCTTCGAGGTGTATCGCACTACCTGCTCCAACTAATATGACTCTGATGGATCTTGCAATGATCCAGAGCTCGTTTCCACGTGACCTTCTTATCGAGCTCTGACCCGAAATTGTGCGCCACCATAGCTTCCAAAATGCACTGGGCTGATCCTCCAGGCACGACCTGGCAGGCACTGAGATGTTTGGCGTTGCAGCTCCAGCTGTAGTCTTCGTTGGTGTAGAGAGACAAGGTCTGACGAGTCAGCTGATGCAGCGGGTTCTTCCTGTGCCTTTTGCCGAACGGAAGAGGATGGCTGTTGGATAAAATGAGACACAGCATTCTTTCTCCTCGTGAACACGAACCCATGGCAAAATCAAAGGTCGGAATGTTCGAGTGAGGTAAATGTTTCACTTCCCAGCCCTGGGGGGCTTGACAGTCAGGTCTAGACGTGACGAGAGTGCCCTCTGGGATCCATTCAGGCACCTCACATGATCTATCATCGTCCATGGCGTACGCGTGAAGTCGCTGTAGAAACACAATGTCGGAGCTCACGTCTCCAATGAGGAGATCCTCGAAGTTCCACACCACGAAATTGGTGACGGTGGGTGAAAACAGGTACCATATAGATAGCAGCGAGAGGGCTCCAAGCGCATATTTCAACCTGCCAGAACGCATTGCTTCCGTGTCTGTTTCAGAGCCTATCGGTGGTTATCGGAGGACCTGATGGATCCAAAAGTGGTGGATACGGGTCAGAAGGAACACTCCCGACTCTGTTGCTACTAGACTGGAACAATTTATTATACCTTTTTTTTTTTCTGCATATACATTCATTTAATTATAACTTTGCTGTGAAAGAATAACCTTTGAAATGAATGTACGCTTGCACGAATATTACTAATTAAACACGTTTAGTGTCATGGTCCAACTTGGCACGTACCTATTTCCAGTAAAAAAATCATAAAAAAACCTGGTTCAGTCCGTGTTGTATGTTGGTCCACATAGCTTCGCGTGTTTGTTCGTTCATCGGGAAAACGCCACTCCAGTCTCCAGTTCTCTAATCTCAATCCTTCCATTGCCCTCTTCGTTTGCATTGCCTTTGAAAACGTCTCCTTGTGGTTCTTCTTCGTCATTGGTTTGGTTCTGCGTCCCCTGTGGTGACTACGCGCCCTGCAACGCTGTTCTCTCGGTGGCCTCGGCCGCCTTTTGCGCTTGCTACTGTCTCCTTCAGGGCCCGTTTTAGATCAACCTCCTCTGTTAGTTACACCTTAACATGCCCTTGGTTCAGTTGTCTCAGGATAATACGTAATAGGCGATACAACGGCTACTGGTTTTAGACCTATGTAACATTGATGAACAAATACTCGTATCAAGTGATTGTCGATCCAAGAAAAAAAGCTATTCCCTTGGCAGTGCTTCGTTGTTCATGTCGCAGTAATTCTATTATTGATCACGTATGTATATTGTCTGCATTTACTCCTCACGTACCCATTCGTAGCGATACGTCGTTAAGCCAAAGCTGCTTCGAAGATCTTTTAGTCAGTATAATAACACATTCTCAGTTTCTTAAACCGTAAGATATCTTCAAATCACTGATTATGTCTTCACACGAGGGCTTCGGAACTACAGTTCTTGTTCCTCTTTTATATACCCACACTAACTATAGATCATGAGAGAGATGGATGCCCCGCCTCCACCTCATCCCTTAGTTAAGCTTCTACTTAGCTCATAGACTAAGGCGCTACGTACTGTAAGTTTCCAGGTCTCCGAGGGCCGCACAACTACAAATACAGCCAAGCTAGAAAATAAAGGAAGACCTGGAAACAATTGACGAGAAACAATTCGTCAATTGTTTCAGTCTCATTAGCACTTACCACTACTTGTATGTATTCTTGCACCCTTCCATTACCACCTCACATGCTACCTACTTCCGGGTAACTACCTGTAGAACCTAACTTTCTCCTGATGCACACTATGGTCAACACACAGCAAAGTTCAGCAAGACGTCGTCGACGACAGTCACTATCACACAGCACAAGATGCCCGAATCCAACCAGTCTGGCGAGGCCATTTTCCGTGAGTACTATGCGAACATGTGGCTCGAGTGAAACATACGTGACCCGTCCATTGCCACAACAACTCGTCTCATACTAACCCAGGCTCTGCGGAGATGTCGCTGGTTCAGCTGTACATTGCCAGTGAAATTGGACGAGAAACGGTTATGTCTCTGGGCGAGCTTGGACTCGTGCAATTCCGAGACCTCAACAAGAAGGTCAATGTCTTTCAGCGAAACTTCATCCAGGAGGTCCGACGACTCGACAATGTCGACCGACAGCTGCGTCTGTTTGAGCGAGAATGTGAAAAGGAGGGACTAACCCTCGAGGACGGCGATCCCCACAGTGCTGCTTCTGCCTCCGACATTGATGCCCTGGTGGCTCTGGGCGATACTCTCGAGAAACGAATCACCGAACTTCGAGACGCCGAGGAGCGAGTCACTGAATCTCAGACCGAGTCGCAGGAACTGCGAGCTGTGCTCACCGAAACCGCCAAGTTTTTCGACCAGCGAGCCGGAGGCGGCAGCCGGGACATTGAGTCGCAATCTCTGCGAAACGTCCAGTTTGTTGCTGGAGTTATTCCCCGAGACCGAGTCGAGGTGCTGGAGCGAATTCTGTGGCGAGTGCTGCGAGGAAACCTGTTCCTCGAGACCGCTGAGTTTGGAGGAGACGACGGAGACAAGTCCGTGTTCATTGTGTTCTCCCACGGAGCGGAAATCATCTCCAAGGTGGAGCGAATCGCCAAAACTCTGGACGCCCACCTGTACTGGATTGCCGATGATGTTCGAGAACGAGAGAACCAGCTCCAGGAGGTCAACCAGAAGCTGTCCGACATCGATATTGTGTCGCAGCGAACCCGACACACCCTTAACACCGAGCTTCGTCTGATTGCCCAGAAGCTGCCCAACTGGCGAGTCATTGTCATCAAGGAAAAGAGCGTATACTCTACTCTCAACCTGTTCCAGTACGACACCAACCGAAAAGTGCTCATCGGCGAAGGCTGGGTGCCCAAGGACGACATTTCCAAGGTCAAGACCACCCTCAAGTCCATCACCGACGAGGCTGACGTCGAGATCCCCTCTGTTCTTAACGTCCTCGAAACCTCTCGAACCCCTCCCACTTACCATCGAACCAACAAGTTCACTTCGGCCTTTCAGCTCATTGTCGACGCTTACGGTATCTCTTCTTACCGAGAAGTCAACCCCGGTCTGCCTACCATCGTCACCTTCCCCTTTATGTTCGCTATCATGTTTGGTGACATTGGCCACGGGTTCATTCTCTTCCTGGCCGCCTTTGCCCTGGTCTACTATGAAGCCAAGATTGGCAAGATGAAGCGAGACGAAATCTTCGACATGGCCTACCAGGGACGATACATTCTGCTGCTCATGGGAGCCTTCTCCATGTACACCGGATTCATGTATAACGATATCTTCTCCAAATCCATGACCCTGTTCAAGCCCGGATGGGCCTGGCCCGAGTCGTGGAAGGAGGGACAGACCATCCAGGCTCACCAGACCGGCGTCTACGCCTTTGGTCTGGACCCCACCTGGCACGGAACCGACAACAACCTGTTGTTCACCAACTCTTACAAGATGAAGCTGTCCGTCCTCATGGGCCACGTGCATATGACCTATTCCTTCTTCCTGTCTCTTGTCAACTACATCTTCTTCGGCTCTGTTGTCGACTTCTGGGGTAACTTTGTGCCAGGTCTGCTCTTCATGCAGGGTATCTTTGGTTACCTTGCCCTTACTATTGTGTACAAGTGGACTGTGGACTGGGTCGCCATTGGCCAGCAGCCCCCCTCTCTGCTTGATACCCTCATTAACATGTTCCTAGCTCCCGGTAAGGTCCCTGTGCCTCTGTACCCCGGCCAGGCATATGTTCAGGTCATTCTCGTTGTCATCGCTCTCATCTGTGTGCCCTGGCTGCTGCTTGTCAAGCCTCTGTGGCTACGACGAGACATGCAGAAGCATGAGTACGAGCGGGTATCTGGCAACGGCGGTCCTCTAGACCTGCTTGATGCCCCCGATCAGCTCGAAGAGACTGTCGGAGACACTCCTGGAGACGCCACCGGAGGAGACGACTTTGATGATGAGGAGGAGGAGGAACATGGATTTGGTGACATTGTCATTCATCAGGTCATCCACACCATTGAGTTCTGCCTCAACTGTGTGTCCCATACAGCCTCATACCTGCGACTGTGGGCTCTGTCTCTTGCCCATGCCCAGCTGTCTACTGTTCTGTGGGACATGACCCTGCAGGCCGCCTTTGGCTTCTCCGGAGTCGTGGGTGTCATAATGACCGTTATTCTCTTTGGAATGTGGTTTGTGCTCACCGTGGTTATTCTGGTCTGTATGGAGGGTACTTCGGCCATGCTGCATTCTCTTCGTCTGCATTGGGTTGAGTCCATGTCCAAGTTCTTCGAGGGTGAGGGCACTCCCTACGAGCCCTTCTCCTTCAAGGACGAATTGGCTACTAACTGATAGCCTAGCATTCTAACATAATACATTTTAAACATTTAGCCGATGAGTCTACCTATAGATATATAATCACAGTAAGCCTAAGCCTCTGTGTGTGCTTTGATGGCAGTCCAGAGCTTATGGTTCTCACCAAGAGCGTAAGTGAGAGTCTTCTGACTGTATCCCTTTTCTCCAAGGAAACCAAGATCATCAATAACGTCGTTTAACAAGATGGCCTTGCCAACCAGCTGACTGCTTCCAAGACCCTCGTTGTTGATATGGACTACATGGACGTGGAGATGGTAGTAAGAGGGCTGGTAGTGCACAAAGACCCGCAGAAAGGACCTGTCGACATTATACTTGTCTTTGACCACCTTGTATATGTCTTCTCTGAGCTCCTTGAGCCACTGTATGTGAGAGTGGTTGAGATCTCTGATAGAAGTAATGGGCTTTCCACTCTCTCCCTGGCCCTCGAGGTTTCTCAAAGAGATAGCTACCAAATACAAGGAGTTGACATTCTTTCTGTCCCATTTCATGTCAGGTAGAAGAACAAACGAATCCTCCTTTCGATACACCACATCTTCCGCCTCCTTGCCATGGTACAGAATGTTATGTACCCACTGGATTCGGCTTCCGAGCTGAGTCTCAATGTATGGCCAAGTAACCTGCTGATACAGCTCAGGGGTCTCGACCACCATTCGAGTTTGCTGCTGCGAATACTTTTGAACATGTGTTTCGGATGCTGGGTAAATGAGGTTGATCTTGACTCCGGGCCGCTTATTCACGTCCTGCGCGAGAGTGGCGAGGTTCCAGTGGTACACGTCGTTATTTTCGAGCTGCTTGACCTCTGGAAAGATGTCTGGCGAGGCAAACTGTTTTAAGTACGCTTCATCGGTAACTTCAAATGGCAGTTTCTCAACCGTCAAGATCGCATTGTCGTCGCCAATCGTACCCAACAGCGTCACGGTCTTTGACTGGCTGTTGAAGTTGAGCAATTGCGTGAATTGAAAGTCTCGGACTCTGTTCATTGTCGTTGTAGTGGAGTGGAGGGGGCGACACAAGTACAAGTATAGTATGTACTGTATGTACTGTACACGAAGAATGTTGCACAGGATCGAAATTACTGACAGGCTTGACATAAGAACATTATAATCATCGTGTTAAAAAGGAGCGGGAAAAGAGGTGGTAATCACGCGGTAAGTACAAAATTATGATGAATATATTTGGCACATCTGAAAAAAAAAATTGGTGCAAAAACATTCCAAACCCTCTGTTCCCTACAGATTACTCCTATCGTGCTGTTTCAACAGAGGCCGTTCAAAATCACTGATAAAGTTCTGAGCATTCCAATACAGACATAAGCGAACGATTCTTTTCACTATCAACTAACGACATGTCGACGCCAGCTACAGGTCTGTCTACAGGCGACACTACGCACACAGCAACGGCCAGCGCCACGTCACAGACGCCTCTGGAGGTGTTGCAACAAATCGACTTCATGCCTCACGTCCAGGCGCTGGTCTCCAAGATTGTGAACGGCCAGATCTCCGTCAAGGACGCCGACAACGAGAGTGGAGCCGTCAAGGTGCGTATTGCCAAGGCCAAGGCTGCTCTGGCCGAGATGGACGGGCTGGACGAAACCATCCATTCGCGCCAGGCCAAAATCGTGTCTCTGGACCAGCAGATTCAGAAGAAGCTGGAGCTGCTTAAGTCGTTCAAGCAGATGGCTGAGGCAGAGGGCTTTGATTTGTCTGAACAAGAGCCTACCGAGGCCAAGAAGGAGGATTCAGCGACTACGACAGCTACAACCACTGCTGAGGCTCCTCTAGCAAGCTCCAAGACCGAGGTACCCGAAAACGCCATTGAAGAGGATGTTGAAATGAGCTGAATGGCGATGACATTGGGCGCTGAGTGCACAGTTCCCAAAGTTATGCTATTACGGTCTCATAGCTTGGTTGCATGTCGAAGTCGTGCTTGCCTTACCCAGTTTGACTATACTTTCCCCACACTTGAGCGTGGAACCTCTTACAGGAGTCCACGGTTGAGAGGGGTGGCGTTCGGTGGGGGGTGGTAGGGGTGGTGGTAGTGGTAGTGGTTTTGAGAGCAACGTCTAGAGTTGGCCTTGTCGTGCACCTTCCAATATCTGACACCTCCAGCTTCGTCCATCACGTCATTACCTAAGTATGTTCGTGTTTCAGGTGGCTGTCACTATGGAATTCTGGCGTACCGCTTTAGTGCATCAGCCGCCGAACTCGTGACCTGTCTTACAAGTTACAACCCTCAACCGGCCACAGTGCTGCAGCTATTCACTCGCTTGTTTCTTGTTTTTTGTTTCTTGTTCTGTCCCACCTGAAGCTTTCACTTTTGTTTAGAGTCCATATAGCTAAATTGCTCCGTCACTTGTCTAATACAACCACCCACCAACCTACAGTCAACAGTACATCGTACACTCAACCCCAGTAATCCCACCAATGCTCCCTACCACCCTTTCCAACCCCTCGTCGACGTGCGTGTCCGTGGGATCCGACACAGAGTACCAGCGCTATCTGTCGGGTACGCCGTCAGAGGTCACATCGGTGCCTTCACGACCCCTGTCTCGAAGCTCCACGTTATCGGGCATCTCCACGACCGCCACTCTGGACGGTGTGGAGGGCAAGAGAACACGTGGCCGGCTCCACGACCTGATTCCCACGTCGGACGCCACCCTGGACATTGGCCACAGTGAGCCCCACGCACAGCCAGACGACGAGGTGCGCCAGACTGGGCCCCCCAACAGCGCTCAAGCCGCTCGACAACAATCTACGACTACTAACAACAATAACAACAACGACATTAACGCAACGACACCGACGCTGTCGGCATCACCGGACGAGCACACGCAACTCGACAAGGGCACCACCCGTCCCGTCACCATCGAGGAGAAGATTGAGCTCATGGAAGGAGGTCCCCAGAGCGATCTGCCTAACGAGAGCGATTTTGCATAAAGCCCGCTTGTGTTCCCTATCTTCTATTATTATTCTCTACAAGTACTGGGGTTTTTTTCTCTACTAGCATCTAACGGAAAAATGGCACGAACAGCAAAATACTCAATGTATATTATTCTAGAAAGGTCCTTCTGTAGGACCCTGGCGTGTCGACCAACTGTCACTTTTAACACCTTCTCTAACGTCTCATCGTACATCGCAGATAGTTACATGCAATAAGGTTACAAGCGGGGATGGAAGTGACCACCCACTCAGAGCGGGTGTGCTTGGGCGCTGTACCGTGAAATATGTGGCGAGTGGACACAACACCAATGTTGCAGTCTTTGGCATCACACCTTGGCATACAACTAAGCTCCACGGAAAGCGGCTTTATATATAGCGTTTTGGATCAAAAGGGAACAGTTTCGAACCAGCTCATGGCTACACACCGTCGAGTGTGCATGAACCAATCAGAGACGCTAAATCTATTGATGTGGAACAAGTCATATGAGAATACACAAAAATACCATGGCAATTGTCTTTTCCCGTACAAAAATTTAGTCCTTCGAATTCAAGCACACACAATTGCTGGTGTTTTCCCAACAAATTCTCGCAGACGTCTACAATGTTCTTCCTCCCTCCCTTATTGCTGCTGACTCAAAGTTACACCGGGTAACACCCACTACGCATTTTTCACTTTTGCAAAACCCGAAACTGAAAGACACTCACCATCATATCCGAAATGTCGACTGCCGTCCCGTCTCTCGGAGAAATCAACGCTCTCAACGTGCCCTCGCTCCCGGGCAACCTGAACACACCCAATCAGACCCCCGCCTGGACCAACAACCCTCTGTGGGCTTATGTTTCCGAGACCTACAACACCATTGCCGCCAAGCGAAGCGGCCTGAACCTGGTTAACCCCGGCACTCTCGAGAACCTCAACAAGGAGGTGTCCAAGGATGTTTTCCTCACCAACTACTTCTTCACTGGTCTGCGAGCCGAGATCTCCAAGACCTTCAGCATGAACCCCGCCTTCCAGGTGTCCCACTCCTTTTCTCTGGGCTCCAAGGTGCTCCCCCCTTACGCCTTTGCTGCTTTCTTCGCCAATGACAACTTCTTCATGCAGGGCAACATTGACAATGATTACTCTGTCGCCGCCCGAATGCAGTACTCCTGGTCTAAGGAGTGTGTCTCCAAGGTGAACGCCCAGCTGCAGAACGGCCAGCCCGCCATGATTCAGCTCGAGCAGGATCTGCAGGGAGCCGACTTCTCCATCAACTTCAAGTCCCTCAACCCCTCCGTTCTCTCCGGCGGTCTCTCCGGTGTCTTCATTGGATCTCTGCTCCAGTCTCTGACTCCCAAGCTCGCCGTTGGTCTCGAGGCCATGTACTCTGCCCAGGACCCCCGAATCGGAGAGGCTGCTGTTTCCTACTTCGGCCGATACGTGTCTGGCGACTGGGTTGCCTCCGCACAGCTCCAGCAGATGGGTATGGTCCAGGCATCTTTCTGGCGAAAGATCACCGACAAGGTCGAGGCTGGTGTTGAGGCCAACCTGGCCCTGCTCGGCAAGCCCAACCCCATGATGGGCGGTGTCTCCGGCCCCGAGGGAACCACCACCATCGGCGCCAAGTACGAGTTCCGACAGTCTGTCTTCCGAGGACAGATTGACTCCACCGGAAAGGTTTCCTGCCTCCTCGAGCGACGTGTCCTCCCCGTTGTCTCTCTGCTCTTTGCTGGAGAGATTGACCACGTTGCTAACACTTCCAAGGTTGGTCTCGGACTCCAGTTCGAGGCTGGTGCCGACGAGGAGATGATGGCTCAGCAGCAGCAGATGATGGAGCAGCAGCAGATGATGGAGCAGCAGCAGCAGATGTAAATAGTAGATAGATAGTGCTGTATCAATATCATGAACGATCGTACCATATTGAAGCTGTGAAGGTGTGTAGAGTATGTACGCAGACTATCTAATGATTGAGATCATGTAGCTGTGTGTGATTGATATCATCGCGCAGCGAACATATGGTTGAGTGTATTCGTGAACATCATAATTGTACATTTGAGATCATCCACTCATGATCTCCGGTGACCGTAGAGGCTGGGCTTCTTCTAAAAACAAACACTCAATACCATACTGGTAGCTATAGTACATACTGTACATACTAAAGTGCGACCATACAATGGACCCTAATACTGGGGATTGATGGTGATTCTAATTGAATCATACAGATAATTAGTGAGATGATATTACTGAATACAGAATCCACTGCAACCGAAATACCATACCATAACATAATAGATCATACCTCTACTGTACAAGTACAAGTACTGTACAAGTTCTTGTACCTTTATCGTGAGGTGAGAACTCTCAGTCCCAAATTTGATCATACAGTGTACAGTAGAAATGAACTTGTGAAGAGCTTGAGATGAAACTGCAGCGGTATAATACAGTAAGATCGTAGTGGTACGTAGTAGTATCAGGCTACAGCAAGCTGGCTCTGGTTCTGTTCACACTATCATCATACAGCCGCCATGATACCCAAGCTCTCAATCCGCAAATACAATTCTTATTGCAGCAGTATGTAATAGTCTATCCGCTGTTTATGTAACATACAAGTATGTATGTATGTACATACTGTACCTACAAGTATCGATACAAGTACAAGTCTACGTTCGCTCCATTTAGTCGTCAGATGCTAGATTACAAGTATAAATAAGTTAGAGACGCTCTATTCTTGAGCAAGGGTGATTGTCGGGTCCTAGGGGGTTGGAACGTCCGAGTCGTCAATATTGATCTCCAGCCAATCGTCATCCATGGATCTGAACTTCATGGTCTCAGTCTCAAGGATGTTGTTCCATCGAGCAAACGGATGTCGGAGACCAATGAAGGCAACAGCCGAAGCTCCTGTGGTGTAGAACTTTCGGATAGCAGATCGAGCATCGATAGGAGATCGGGGCTTCTCGGATGATCCCAGGACACCTGCCGACTGCGGTCGCTGGGGAGTAATTTTGGCAGGTAAGGGAGAGCTCATGAGCTGGCGCTGGAACTCCTGGTCGGGGGTTCGAGGAGAAATCTGCAGCTGCAATTGCGACACTGATCGCTTCAGTGTCACCTGAGAGAGCCGCTCTGTTAGTTTGGGCTTCTCTGGGAACCGTGCAGAGGGAGATGAAGCAGTGATGTCTGATCGTGCCAGATGGTCTGAAATGTCCACAGAGATGTCACCGTCGTCATTCTGGTCAGCATCCTCCACACCAAAGGTCTCAATTATGTCATCGAGAGTTGAAGAAGAAGAGGCAAACAGCTCGTCATACTTGGAGGGTTGCAAGTGGCCAGAGATGTCCCACGACGAGTCGGAAAGAGTGGAGTTAGCAGAGTCGAGGTCAGGAGACGATTGTAGCGAAAGAGATGAGTAGGGAGGAGACGGGGAGGGAGAGAGTAGGGAGGAGTAGGGAGAAGAGGCTGAACCAATAGTTTCCAAGTCGTGTTCTTCGGAATCATAATGAGTAGGGATAGACAAGTTATCGATCTGGGAGGCCAGAAAGTCCATATTCAGTTCACCACCATTGGTACGCACCTCCTCCACGGTGTTATTATCATCTTCCACCTTTGTCTCATCCTCATCCTTCTCCTTGGGAGGAGGAATATAGCCCGAGTTATTGGGGTTCAGAGACACGAGTTTCTCCTTGAGATCGTGCTCGGGAATCAACTGGTCGAGGTAGTTCTCAATGTACTCTTCCTTGGCACCTTCCTCCAACTCAGGAGCTTTGATTTGGTCCAGGAAGCAGCAGCTCTGCTCAAGAGCCATCCTCAGGTCATCGGCAATCTTGTAGGTAGACCGGAACAGTTCTACACGCCAGTAACGTCCAGGTATGGGCTGTGGGAAGATGAATTGTGACAGAGAGGTTCTCCACAGCCTCAGCTTGGGCAGAATGGCCTGAACCGCGTCTCCACATTTGATGTATGTGACTTTATCGTTATGCAGAGTGAAAACCTGGAACCGACCGTGGGCCACGATGCGTTCGGAAATGGCACAGTGGACCGGTGGAAGTTGTTCCCACGGGTCCAGGTTGGGATCTGCTTCGTCGGGCTCTGTTAGGGTTGCGCCAGAAGAAATGCTGGACGCGTAGGTACCGGAAGCGCATCTTGAGCCAGGTCGTGACCTGAGCTGGACGTTGGCGAGTTCTGAGCCTGGTGCAAAGCTGGAAGTCTGTCGGTTGCCCTCGAGTTGCTGTGTATGTCGTCTCATGGCTCCTGCAGGGATGGAAAACTGGATGAGTTGCGACAGGTCGTGGTCAAAGAGAATGGTACGCTCCTGCTCTGTGGGCATGTGTAGCTCCCGTTTGTGAGCCAACGTGGCGTCCAGGTCCGACAGGGACGGTTTCTTCGACAACATTATTGCATGGGGAGTGTCACAGTCCGGTCGTATCCTTTGGGTTGTATCTTGAGACGGTTGTGGCAGGGGTTGTTGATAGGGGCTTGTGTCGCGGCAGAAAGGAGGGGCCCGTAAATGTACGATAGGGTTGAATGCACCCTGTGTGTTCTAGCGGGGCGCTAAGGGAGACTTATAGGGATGCCGTGGGGTTGAAGAGTTGGTGAGTCGGAGTCTCGGAAAGGTGACCGGTCTGCTGTGTGGAAGAAGTGTGGGAGAAACGCCAAGTGCATATCCGTCCACAGGTCGCACTACATGTAAGTTCATGTTATAATTAAACGTTGAGACACACTCCAGAGTCAGAGTCAGTTTTGAAACGGGTTTTATTACACAGCCAAGCACACAGTACAAGGACCAGCTGTATATAAGAGGGCCCTTTTATTATATTTTCGGATGCACAATCGAAATATGGCGCCACATTCGACGTTTTCGCCGGTGTAATTTCGGGGTGAGGGGCTTGGTAGCACCCTCTTGTGTTGAGCAGACCACCTTTGCCACTCCCAGAGACACAACCACACTGTACAAACTTGGTCGGACTATGCAAAATTCTCCCTATAATAGTCTTTGTCTGCCTGCCTCGCGATGGCCCGTTAACGCCCCCTGACTTGTCCCGAACCTAAAACGCGGTAGGGACATTGATTACTCCCCTGAAACGGGTTACAGATAAATAGACTGGCATGGACCAGTGAAAACGTGAAAAATTATAGCGTCTGTCCCACATAAACAATATATCGGTCCAGCTTGGATAACGCACTCCTACGAGTGTCCGTTCCTATCACCTTAGCCGCCACATTCACCCCAAAGCCTACCTCTGATGGGAGTGTATCTCCCCATTCTCCAACTGTTCCTGCGTGCCAGCCACTGCCGAAATAGGTACAGTACTTGTAGTCGTGTGCCCATACGCCAACTCAACTGTAGATACGAGGTCCGAGGTCCGTGTGCGCATATAATCTGGCATGTTGTCATCCCACCTTTGTGTGCCATCAAATTATCCCACCATGCCCCACTTTTTTCCACTGCTAGAATCACATGGAACGAAATTGGTGCCTGTGGGCGTCTGCACATTGGAGAGCTATATACAGTATACACCTCTGGGTGTGTATGAACTATCGGTATACAGGCGCGTTTGGGAGGTAGCAACGTGTTGAGCCGAGATGCAAGTTATGTGCAGAATTGTGGACGGTGATAACTCAATGTGAGCCCAGCAGTTCAACGCGAGCTACGTGAACGATGTTGGAAATGTGCTCAATGGTGTGGTATGATCATGTCGGGTCGTATTATTAACAGTCTTGGTCCTCACGTCGTAATTAGTGCAAGGACGCGTACAGCTTACGTACAGTACCAATTAATCACTGGGACAAGTATTGTAAAAATTACTGTATGTACATTCAAGTGTCCACATAGTTACTTGTTCGCAGGCACCAGCGGTTTTTGCTGGAATCAACAAACAGTTTGGTATCACTTGGTTGTGGACGGCGATACTTGTGCTGGTGTGTACAATGCTGTCGTTCTTGACACCTGCAAGCAAGCACTCTTGCCTGCCAGGAATGTTGACACTGGCACCACGCTCTCCACCTTTTTCGAGCTTGGCATGTTGTTGTTTGGCTGCACGGACCTCTAGAGATTCCAGTGGCATGTTTTGATTGAGGATATTATTAACGGGCATAGCTCGGTTGGTGTTTATGGTGTGTTTGTTTGCATGGCATGTTGAGACTGGTGCTGACTTCACTCGTGCCCGGGTGTATGCGATTATTGACACTTCCCATGCTACAAGTAGCTAATGTCGGGCCTTGGAGCATGACATGGAGGTATATAAGAGCTGGGAGAGACCCATGCGTTGAGAGGCTACCTGTGTAGAGCCCTACTGGGGGCTCTTGGGACGATTTTTCGTCACTGGTAGAACATGTGTCCTTCTTCACCTAATACTGTAACTGCTAAGTTCTTGGGAGACTTAAAATCACTGTCCAGCCTCCTATGGGATCACGTGCTTTGCCTGTGCGAGGCCAGTTGGTTGGTACAATCTAGTTGATAGCAGACGTATGTGTGCTCCCGTTTTAGTGTACCGTTCCTGATGGTATATTGCCCATTCACTAGTCACGTGACAATTATTGTCGTATTATATACGTCACTGGCCCAGTCCTCGTGGTTCGGTGCATGAGTAGCTATTTTACAACTTTATCTCGCATGTCGGATGCGCCAGGGTTCTTGTCGTAATAGGAGGATACGACGGACCCCCAATCGGGTCACACCTGGTCGTATGAGGTGAGAGCGGCGGTTTGTGGGCATGCTGCATCATTTTGATTGTGTTGTGGGCTTTTTCCCCCGTGAAATAACTTCCACCCCACTTGTCTCAGGCCCCACCATGGAACGCTATATGATCACTGTTTAGGTTGTGTAGCATGGGAGTTAAATTGCCACTTGCAACCACTGATCTGCTAGAAACGGGTAACATGACGCCTCTATACGACACCCAACCCCACCTCAAAGGCCCACCATCCAACCTTCCCCGGCCGCTCTCAGAAATATGTCCATTGACCCACGATGCTTCACATGTATGCGGTGTAGATGTTATGCGCCAGCAACCCAACAGCGACATACGCGAGGAGGGGTACGTACATACATGCCCCATCTTGTGAAATCAACGCCAATAGAGCTTCATACTTGTGATTACTAACGCAATAATACCAATAAAGCAGAACCTCCCAAAGTGCGGCGTTAACACCAAAACGCAGTACGAATTACACTGAGCTCAACTCATCCCACATGCTCTCCTACATGTCATTCCCACAGCTAATTTCTTGTATACATACAGCGCTGACCGTGTAGCAGGAACCTTGAATAGCCATGCGTGTCACCTGTGTGCGACAAAGACCTGCCCCCATGACGCCTATCATACGCCCAACTTTCCCCTAGAGGCCTACAACCGGACCACGTTGTCACCACAACTTTGCACATCCGGCCACCTTCCATGACCCATCGTGATGAAAGCATTGGCTGGGGATGCAGCAAATCGCTGTTAAGGTTGGTTGGTATGCAGAAGCCTGCACCGTTGGGATAGAAGCAAGAGACCCGATAACAGGGCTTAAATGTTTTGCCCCCCTCTTCCTTGGTACCGGTAAGGGTATGAGCCCAAAACAATGAGCTGAACACACGGTGGCGAAATTATGTTTTGAAATGAGGGTTGCCAGAGAGGTGCCGTACGACCAGGTCGCCACCTACTCACGGCCGGATCATTTGACCGGAGATAGAGTTGTACTTGCTCGGAGATAAAGAAGCCTGTGGTTGTACAAGTACAACAGTAGGCAACAGAAACCACACAAGTAGGACTGCCAAAAAACGACACGCGTGTGCATCACCCCGTGAGCGCAAGCCAAAACGTCTCTTTGTGTGGAGAGAGGAGATCTTCTCCAGAGACTCTTACACTACGTACAGAGCAATTTATACTTGGACGCATATATAGTGTTAGAATCTCGCACAGTCCTGATGTATATGCAGAGGCAAGAGCTAATCCGTTCTCAGTTAAAAATTTAACACCTCAGAACCACTCTCGTTCATACACAAAACCAAGTTCACGCTCATGTCATGAAACTACCCATACTAGCCTCGCTTTCAGGACTAGCCGGTCTTTTCACCACAGCCCACGCCTTTGGGGCAGGAAACATTCCCTCAGACTCCTCTATTGAGGGCAAGAACTTTCGACACGGAGATATTGAAGATGTCCTGGCTGGGATTGTCATTTCACACCGCGGAGGCAAGGCCCGCAAATTCGACGGACTCGACATCAAACGTGTCTACTTCGGCAACTGGCTGAGAGACTTCTCGCAGGCTGTAGATGTTGGCACTCTTTCGATGGGGCTAAACGCAGACACGGTCCGTGCGATCATTTGGCTCGTGTCAATGTCCGAGTTTGGATACGGAACTGGCGAGTTCGAGGTCACGGAGGAACGTCTGGGGGTGTACCGAGCCGAGGAACACATGGACAACCCCAAGGGCTACCCAGAGGATGCTCAGCAGTACGACAGAAGACTGCGAGGTCCCGTGGATCCGCGCGAGCTAGAAATTGATCCCAAGACAGGAATGAAAAACTACATTGCCAACGAGGATGGTGATTGGGCGACCTCGTCGGAGTACGTGCGAGAGCAGCTTCTGCGATGCATCAAGCTCGGCCGACGGTATATCAAAGGAGGATACAAGAAACACAGCCTGCAGCACGAGTCGTTACGACTGCTGGGTAGCGCCCTGCACACCCTTGAGGACTTCACGGCACACACAAACTACCTGGAGCTGGTGCTGAGAGATATGGGCTATAAGGATGTGTATGCCCACGTTGGAAACCAGACGCGTATCAAGCTGGCTGGAAAGAAGGTGTTCCCTGTGGTGACTGGAACATTTGGAGGACTGGACTTCCTGCACTCTTTGCTGGGAGGTGCTCACGATTCGCTGTCGGAGAGTGGATTCACAGAGGCTTCTGCCAATTTTGAGAAGAAGAAGAAGTCCGGCTCCAACACTTCGGAGTTTCTCAAGAGCATCCTCCGAAAGCTGCCTATCAAGCTGCCCGACATTCCTGATGCCCATGGGGGATTCAGAGACATGACAGGAGCAGACCTAGCTGACCACCTGGACGAGTTACAGCACAATGTGGAGGAGTATGTGGTGCACCAGCGAGAGCATGATGGGAACGATGAGGACTGCAAGGACTGTGGCGATACCAAGAAGAAGTCTCGCACTGGAGGCAGTGGCGGAAATGCACAGCAAGGACAGCATCCTTTGGTTCTCGTGGACCAACCTCCTTTTAAGAACACCCCTGGGGGAACCAACATTTCGAAGGTGCACAACAACGATCCCAACTACACCTCGTTAGAGTCGTATCTCGACAACCTGGATGTCGACGCAGTGATCCGAGCAGTGTACCCTCTATTGGAGTTCAAGGACTCCGTCATGTCTTCCCTGGAGTCTTTCTTTGGCGACTCCGATTCTTCTACAGCGCTCGGCATGATGGCATCTTCTATTTCCGACGCTCTTTCCTCATTCACTAACTCAATCATCAACCCAATCATTAATCCCATCTTGGAGGCAGTCACTGAGATTCTACATGCATCTGTCACTCTGCTGTCATACCACGATGATCAGATTGACGTATGGATTAACTCAAAGTCCACCGATCCCACTCATTCTCGACTGTCTAAGGACCATTTTGCAGCATACCTAAACGAGCCTGCTGGCCTCGTGGCTGCAGAGGTGGTCAAATACGTCGTTCCCTTTGTGGTAGAAGCCTGGGAGGATCCCTCTATTGATCCTCAGACTGTTGTGGATGAGGCACTCCAAACATTCCATCATCCTGCTCTTGCACACACCAAGCTGCATCGAATCATGCGGGCCGAGGTGGATCGATGGATTCAGACCTTCTCTGACGAGGAGCGAGAGCATATTCTGGAGGGCCTTACCTCTAGAGGCGTTCTTCATGGCCACAATAATGCTGAGCACTTGGATGTGAACAACGTTACTTACGAGGACCCTTTTGATCATACTGGTAGTGAAGAGAAGGCCTCAACCTTCCTTGATTACATTGATTACTTTGGCTTCTTCAACCAGCAGGGTTCCGGCTCTGGCTCTGGCTCTGGCTCAGGCAGCATGAAGCGGGAACACAAGGATAAAGCCGAGGATGTGGCCAACGACATGGATGCTGAGGGAGCAGCTGACTCGGAAAAGCATCATCAAGACCATGCTGACACGGCCCAGAAGAAGGCTAAGGACAATGCAAAGAAAGGCGAAGCCAAGCATAACGAGAAGGCCAAGGCCAAGGCCAAGGCCAAGGCCAAGCCTAAGCCCAAGTCCAAGAAGTCTAAGAGTCAAAAGACGCATTTCCACGACCATGCTCACCATGTCGAGGACCATCCTGACATGGCCAAGCAGCAGGCCGCTGAGCAGGCTGCCTCTGCTCATGACGAGGAGGGTTCAGCTAGACGAAAACCCCAACAACCATAGACTAGATAAGAGTACCTACATAAGCGTTGTGCTTGACATAATTCCCTCTCTCCAGTGTCAATAAAATATTTAATAGACGACGACTCCAGTGTATACACATCCGATACAAACAAGCATACATATATACATATTGCCATGAACATGGGTATCTCGGAAAGAAAGCGTGACCGGGTTTAGCTCTATAGGATTTACTCTTATCAGCTCATAAGACGGTTGTGTCTCTCCACTCATATCAAGCCATGTTAACACACGGCCTCGAAACGCTTATCCTTATCGACGATTAGAGCTCGTCCAAGGGAGGGAAAAATAGCCGTGAGGGGCAAACCGATCTATTCAGGTTGTTGGTAACTGCCGCCTTTTCTGCACCTGTTTCTCATTCTAGTCTCGCACTAAAATCAACACCCGCTACTGGCAGCTCCAAGCGGGGGGCATGGGTCAAGTATTGGTATTAGCTGCGATAGTGTATGATAAGCCAATTACGACCACACTCTAAAGGGTGGGAGAACTGCACGCGACTCTCTCAAAGAGGGGAATTAGAATGGACTCCTCGAAGCCTTATTCCAACCCGTTCAATAATCACCCAAGCACGGGCATGTATGTTTATGTGTTTTCAGTGTTTCGGAACATCCACGGCAGTGCCGAGATAAGACTTGAGGTATGCAGGAGTGGGTCGAGATGGGTCAAATTTTTATGCGTGTCAATTGAACCCTAATATATATATTTTGGTTCCAGAAAAGCGACCCTACTTTCCGTTTCTACCTTCCGTCACTACACACACACAATGTCTTCCTCGCCCATTCCCTCCAACGTCAACGTGCTTCCACAGACCCGGCAGCTTCTTGGTCTCTACTCCATCATCCGGGACAAGAACACCTCTCGGTCGGACTTCATCTTCTACTCCGACCGAATCATCCGTCTGCTTGTCGAGGAGGGTCTCAACCAGCTGCCCGTGACCGATAAGCTCGTTAAGACGCCAACCGGCGCTGAGTTCAAGGGTCTTGCATTTGAGGGAAAGATTTGCGGAGTCTCCATTATGCGAGCTGGCGAGTCCATGGAGCAGGGCCTTCGAGACTGCTGCCGGTCCGTGCGAATCGGTAAGATTCTCATTCAGCGAGACGAGGAGACCGCCCAGCCCTCTCTATTCTACGACAAGCTGCCCGAGGACATCTCTAGCCGATTCGTCTTCCTCCTGGATCCCATGCTTGCCACTGGAGGTTCTGCCATGATGGCCGTCGAGGTTCTCATTGCCCGAGGCGTCCCCCAGGAGCGAATTCTCTTCCTTAACCTCATTGCATCTCCCGAGGGTATTGCTGCTTTCGCTGAGAAGTTCCCCAACGTCCAGATCATCACTGGTGTCATTGACGACGGTCTTGACGAGAACAAGTGGATCCAGCCCGGTCTCGGAGACTTTGGCGACCGATACTACTGCATTTAAATCCGGTCTCCCTGGAAACAACTCACATACCCTTCAGTATATAAAAACATAATCGTATATGATTGCATACTTGTAATAAATGTTAGCTATGGATCGTTTGTGTGTGTGTGTGTGTGTGTGTGTGTGTGTGTGTGGAGATGATGGATGAGGTGCAATCTAAACTGGTTCCGGGGGCTCGATGCTGGATGAATCAACTCATTGTAGAATTGCCTGGTCCTTCATTCATACCCTCCTCATCATTTGCCACTTCTATCTGTCTTTGTTGTGAGGTTGGATCCAGTGCTTGTATGTTTGTCTCTGCTTTTGCTTGAGCTTCCGCGTGAGCTTCTGCCTGTGACTCTGCTCCCTGTAATACCAGATTCTCCTTGTAGATGCGCAATTCCTCCTTTCGAATGTCGGATTGACGGAAAAACTCGATCTGCTCGTCCGTCAGAGTCCGTTCAACTCCATCAGGATAGAAGCCCAGGGAGGGCTCAGTGTCCTCGTCTTGACCTGCCTCATCAAACTTGATTGTGCCCTGAAACTCGCCTAGATGTTTCTTATGGAACTCCAGCAGATCCTGGGTCGAAATAGACATGTTTTTGGGTGGCGAATGGTACAATAATTGAGTGGCCACTTACACAGACTGCATATTGGGTGTTTTGATTTTGGATGTGGTTTCGATAGAGGAGTATCAAAGCTAATTTTTCTGCCCTCATGCAAAGCCAAAAAAATATTTGCAGCTAGTGCAGATATTTTGGCAGGACTTCCCATCCATCTTCTAACCACACAGCATACATCACAATGCCCAAGTCAAAGAGAAACAAGGTCATCGCTCTCACCAAGGTCGAGAAGAAGACCCGGGAGGACAAGGAGGTGATCGTCGACGAGATCCACAACTACCTCGACGAACACAAGTACTGCTTTGTCTTCTCAGTAGAGGGCATGCGAAACACCTTTTTCAAGGATCTCAGAGCGGACTGGAAGGGCAGCAGAATATTCTTTGGCCGAACCAAGATCATGGCCAAGGCTCTCGGCAAGTCTGAGGAGGATGAGTACAAGGCTGGACTCGGCGCACTGTCTGAGTACATGTCTGGAGATGTTGGTCTTCTGCTGACCGACGAGGAGCCCCAGGTCGTCAAGGATTACTTTGAGTCTTTCGTTCGGGAGGACTATGCACGAGCCGGCCAGGTCTCTACCGTTACTTTCACAATCCCCGCCGGCGTTGTCCATACCACCGGAGGTAAGATCCCCGCTGAGGACGATGTTCCCGTTGTGCATTCTATGGAGCCCACTCTCCGATCTCTGGGTATGCCCACTCAGCTCAAGGCCGGAAAGGTGGAGCTGTTCGCCCCCTACGAGGTCTGCAAGACTGGCCAGACTCTGGATTCTCGACAGACCCGTTTGCTCAAGCACTTTGGCGTCACCAGCTCTTTCTTCAAGGTCCACACTGTGGCCTACTACGACTCTGAGAAGGAGGAGGTTAAGCCCTTCATTTCCGCTTAGATGTCTCGGAACATATTAATCAATCATTAGACACGTTTCAATAGAATAACTATGGGAGGAAAATATTGTAGTTTTACGCTGTATTTCCTTGTACAGTAATTTGTGCATATCTAATTTGTAGTCATTTTCCATGTGGGTTAGCTCAAATTTATTCGACACCTTTTATGCAAGGCGCGGTGCTGTCCATTATCAACCTCAAAAACTTTCGACCATGAGCAAGAAATCGTTGGCCGCCGTTGGAACGCCACTGGATGAGCTGAAGGAGAACCAGACCATCGCCAAGGTCGCCCAGGCCAAGGGCAGCAACATATACGAGGTGACTCTGCCTCAAGACTTCTACAAGAGCCACGGGTTCAAGAGCCCAGAGGTCCAGGTTGAGATGCCACCCAAGTTCAGACAGACCGTGTGGGTCAAGCGGGGTGGCTTTGTTGTTGTTGACGTGACTCCCGATGACAAGATTGCCGGTGATATCATCGAGATCGTGGTGGACGATCGCACATGGCGAAAAATGCCCTACTGGCCCGCCGAGTTCAAGAAGGTCGGTGGATGGCAGCAGGATTCCGACGAGGAGGAGGCCGATCCCTTTGCTCTTCCTGACGACGAGTCTGATGAGGAGGAATACGAGGAGGAGCAGAGTTAGGGGGTGAAGGGGTTCTAAGCGGTGTATATATACTGGAGATGATATACAGTTGGACACCTTCTCTCTGTCACACGACCTGACGCAACAGCTAGACCCATGTCAGAGTCGTTCAAAAACTACAGCATGTAGCTAATCTTTAATACATTCATATAATAAAGCACACTTGCAATTGTACTGTAATGCTTTAAAGTACAGGTACCAACAGCGATAAGCGTGAACAGAAATAAAGAGTAAGCCAACTGCTCTATGTTCTGATACACGCTAACAGTACTTCACGCTACACGACATGGGCACGACTACGAGGTCCGTAACTTGGTATACAAAGACAGGCGCAGATACAATAAATGAGCGGCTACGCGTTACACACGGCTGTCCTCCGCCCGACACCCATCAGGCCCTCTTTTCAACAATATATTCATGCAGCACAATAAATACGATACTTCTATACGTGGCATGCGGGGTTACCACAAGCTCCAGCCGTCGGGGCCTCGTTCCAGCTCCTTGATTTCGGAAATGTCTCCATTGGTGAGGTGTCCGTAGATGTGCGCAAACTTTTCGTTTCGCGATCGCACAAAGTCCCACTGTAGTCGACATCCGGGCTTGCAACCCACGGCACCCTCGGTTAATGGGGCGCCGGGAGTGTCGGGAATGTCAATCGCCAGCAGATAAACGCGGTCGTGCTTGTTGAAGTACTTGTTGAGCGTCTCCAGCAGCTGAGCCTTGGTGCTAAGGTGGATGAAGCCGTCCTGGATATCAAGGGGCACGCCAGGCAGCACGGTTTCGGGGTTGACGGTGCCGTTCTGAACAGCCTCGGCCGGCAAGGATTCCAGAATTTTGTAGATCATGGCTGCGGTCGCTTGAGATGGGTGGTTTTTTAAAAAGTCGGTCTTTAGAAAAAGGCAGACTAATAATCTCCTTGGTGATGTGTAGTGAGGTGGGTGGAGTGAATATCCAAATTAGACTTAGACGGATTATAGTGCGTGGTGCACACACCCGCTGGAATGTGCCTGCTGTACCTTTCGGAAAATGAAAATCGCAAAGTTAATCAGCTCGCTTGTGTAACCGAGCTGTAACTGTATGGACTGAAGTGGGGCGGGTGGCACCAGCTGACACGAGACTCTGACACAGCGAACATTTTTAGGACTACCGACTCGAGACCTTATCAGGAGACCCCAAGACTCTATCCTGCCAACAAGTCTGTTTCAGAGTTCTCAAATAGCTTTCTCCTCTTTGCTGGCTTGCTGCACGGAATAAAATAACGCCCATCACGCAGCATACATATATGGTGTCATTTCCTGTGAGAAGTGCGGTACAAGACAGGAACCAGGCATAGCAGCCAATTTTTTTTATTGCAACACTTGCTTCTATTCAATAATGTACTGTTTATATTATTACCTAGGAGTGGCGTCGATTCCCGCCTCTCCTTGATTTACCCCCACCACATGCAATTAATCCAAAATGTAGTTACCCAACTTGTCCATCTTGAGGTTCTCAATGCCTCGCTCAGCAATGGCCTTCTCGAGGGGATCCTCCTCTTCTTCCTCCTCTTCTTCCTCCTCCTCCTCTTCTTCTTCCTCGTCTTCCTCGTCGTCTTCCTCCTCCTCAATGTCGTGCTCCTCCTGATCAGCATCCTCGATCATCTCAGCGTCCTCTGCAAGCTGCTCGTTCTCCTCATCGTCCTCTCGGATCTGGTCGTCGACGTCGTTCTCGTCCACCTCCAGACTCTGGGCCAGAGCGGCCTCCAGGTCCTTGGACTGCTTCTTGGAGAAGCCAGATGCACCCACCAGCTTGTCGATAGCCTCACCCTTTCGCTTCACGTCGCGGTCGAAATCGGGCCAGGTCTTGGACACGTAGCCCAACTTCTTTCGGAAAAAGAGCTTGATACACTCCACGTCTCGCTCAAAGTACCGTTTGGCGTCCACGTGGTCGATGGACACACACTGAGGGAAATCAATGACGACAATCTCGGACTTGGGGTCCTTTCGATCAAAGTTTTCTCTGATCATAATGTTGAACTCGTTGAAGTCGCAATGGATTAGTCCGTGCTGTGCCAGGCGCACAATGAAGTCCATCAGGGTCTGGTAGAGTCGAGCAGGATCATCGTGCTCCTGCAGTTGACGCATGGGGAAACCGTCAATCAGAGACATGACAATCTGATGTCGCGACTGGTCGATGGGAGTGGGCACCTCGAAGCCCTCGTCGTGCAGAGCCTTCATGAAGGCAAACTCCTTCTGAGCTGCCAGACGAGACAGGTACATCCACGATGCACTGGATCTGTTCTTGAGGTAATCTCGGTTGTTCTTGACGGTTCGGAACGAGATTCGACCCAGTCTGTGGATCTTGAGAACTCGAGAAGTTCCCTTGGCGTCACTGACAGCCACAATATCAGACTCCTTACCAATACCAATCTGGGCTCCGACGGAGAAGACTGTATCTCGCTTGATGAAGGCCTTGAGTGCCAGATAATCGTAGCCACCATATGTGAGTCGGTAGCCGTCGTACTTGGCGTTCTTGACCCGGGCAATCAGACCGGCCTTGGCCAGATCGGAAATGCTTCTGTTGGTGGCACTGACGGATTTGAGCTTTGCGATTTGGGTGATGAGCTTGGTGGGCACGACCTCGTGGTTCTTGGAGCCCATTTCTGCAGCCGTCAACACCCGAAAGTCATCGGGTGTGAGGTATCTCATGGCAGCCGTGTTCAATTTCATCTTGTCTGTATGGTGTTGTACTGTTGAGCTCGAGATATTGGCCGCCTCTATAAAAATATTTTGTGCATAAACTTTATCGTCGGGGTAGAGTGGCGGATTCAAGACATTACAAGATGAGTTATAATTGCACTGGGGAAGATCTGATAAGAGATGGCGTAGTTTAGAATAGCGAGGATGACAACTGAGTCTGACGGTGCTCTTTATGGGGCGTATTGGGTGAATGAAAGGTGGCTATATTGGGGATACTCAACATTCATTACTACTAAGTAATGTACTTGGAAAGGGCTCATATACACTTGACTTACATGTAAATCCAAGTAAAGTGTGAAGTATCCCGTATGGTTAATATAACTAGCTGCGATCAGTCTGCCATACTGTTGGAAATAAAAAATATTGGACATCACAACAGGCACACGTACATACTCATTCTGTACAACGTACAAGTAAGACACCCCCAAATCACCAACTAAACACAACGAAACTCCATTGGTGACGTTTTGTGGAACATTCTAGAGTCATGACGTGAATACAGAATCCTGCCTTACGCTACAATACACACACCCCCATTCCTAAGTCACATCATTCACATTCGCCAATAAATTAATTGCTTTATACAAGATGCACGGGAGTCATCATTGACATTTTCTTTTGTTTTTCCATCATGTTTTCCTTTTTTTGCGTTGCCCAATCCTCAATAACTCATACCTATCTTCGCTTAGATGTTAGAAGGGTAGAGCATGATTCGGAGAGAAGAGCCGAAGGTCTTGGCAGGCAGGTTGTGTCGGAATCGGGCTCGGACGGCGCCAGAGTTACCGTGAGTTCGGACGATCTTGCCCCAGATGACTCGGACCTTGGTGCCTCGAATCTCCTTGTCGGCTCGGTAGACGTAAGCCACTCGCTTTCCGAGGTAGAACTTGGCCTCCTCGGGGTTGGAGACACCCTCAATCTTGACGAGAGACACGTTGGGGTTAACAACACGCTTGCTTCGCTGGTAAGACAGGTGCTTTCCCTTAACGTAGACTTGGGTTAGTTTTTGCACATTGAACATGTTTGCGCCGCGTTGTTCAACTAGAGCATCTCCAAAGGCCAATCGCATGTCCCCGGAAACACCAAAAACAACGCAACAACTCGTAGTTCGTCTTTTGGGCGCATTTGCAGCCCATTCCGTCAATAATACTCACGTCTGGTGGAGGAAGTCATTTTGTGTGATGTGGTTGATTACCTTGAAAGGTCTGAACCAAATTTCGGTATGATAAGAGTGTGTGCATGGATTCGTCCCAAATGGGTTTCCCAAACGGGTTAATAGATCATGTGATCAAAATAGGGTTAACCCTAACAGCGTTAGGGAAGAACTGGATGATGATACTGAATATAATTGGTGGGGTTTTTGGTGATTTTTGATTACCACCCTGAATTATTATTTCTTCTGATTTTCCGATCACGTGATAGAACACTGAGTATTCTTCTCCGTCACTTACAAGTAGTCATCCCTAATACTTGTGCGATTTGTTCTATGATGTACTTACTGTACATACTTGTAGTTCGTCCTGCGGCTCAGAAATTAACTCATCCCAGCTTAGTCACCCACCAGCTCTACCAACCACATCACATGACTGATGCTTCCGTTATCGCTAAAAATCGCCTGATTAGATAAAGTTAATTACCCCATAATGAAAGTCGGTTATTGAACGATCTACAACTGCCACGACCCGAACCAATGTTCCAAAACTGTGAACCCGCCATGGCCAAGAAGAATTATGTGGTGATTGGGTGAGTCTAGAGGGAGGGAGACTGGAGAGAGTCTTTTCAATGGTATTCAACACCCCACATTCATCCCTCTAACACAGATCTGGCATTGCAGGACTCACTACTGCTCTGACCCTGTCCAAGAAACCCAATACCAATGTGACCATCGTTGCCAAACATCTGCCTGGCGATCTCTCAATTGATTTCACATCACCCTGGGCTGGAGGAGACTGGGACTCGTTTGCCAAGAAGGACGAGATCACGCTTCAAAACTACGACAAGCCTGCGTACCTGGAGTTTCTGCGGCTCTCACGAGAAGTTCCAGAGGCTGGAATCTGGATCCGACAGGTTACTATTTATTTCCACGACAGAGATATTCCCAAGAAGAAGGACGGATCTCTCGATACCGACGCCGTGACTCCCTGGTATAGCACCTTTGTGGAGGGTTGGAGAACTCTTCGAAAGGAGGAGCTCCCTGAGAGAGTGGTCTGGGGCTACACATTCACATCTGTGGTAATTTCCACTACTCGATACATGTTTTATGTACAGCAGGAATGCGTCAAGCGGGGCGTACAGTTCCGAAGAGCTACTCTTAAGCATGTCTGTGATGCCAAAAAGTACACTGCCTTCCCTGGACCAGTAGACGCCGTGTTCAACTGCTCGGGACTATCTGCCAAGTTTCTGGGAGGTGTGGAGGACTCTAACATGTACCCCATTCTCGGCCAGACTCTGCTGGTTCGAAACAGGACCGAGAGACTGCTCACGTATGTGTCCGTGGATGGCTACGAAGACGAGTGTCTGTACATCATGCCTAGAGCCGAAGGAGGCACAGTTCTGGGCGGATGTATGCGAGTCAACGACTGGTCCACTGAACCTGATAAGGCTCTGGCAGACCGAATTGTTGCCCGAGCAACTAAGGCCTGTCCTGAGCTGCTGGATGACGGTCCTCTGGATGTTGTTTCTCACAATGTTGGTCGACGGCCAGCTCGACAGGGCGGTCCTCGAGTTGAGAAGGAGACCATTGACGGAACTGTCGTCATCCATAATTACGGAGCCGGTCCCGCTGGTTTCCAGAGCAGTATCGGTATGGCCGAGGCAGCTGTTGATCTCTTGAAGGGGTCAAGTAAGTTGTAATTGGCAACTTTTCACACGAGTAACATCACTAATGGATTATGTGGATCTGATATAACCTGGAGCAGTGGACATTAATGATACGGTCTGTGTGTTTACATGTGAACTTGATAGCGGTACTACTCGTACATACTATAAATGTCTTGAATCTTACTAGTAGTTACTGTTGATCAATTTTGAGCAATTGAATAATAAAAACTACTATACGTGCTTCCAATTTGTTAATTAATGCATATATCTACATATCATCGGTCCACTTGCCCTGCTTCTTGTAGTCAGCATAGAGGACTCGGATGAAGGATCGCGATGGACCGTCCATGATGGAGTTGGCTAGATCCAGATCTTCCTTGGTAACCAGCTCAAAGATGGACGACATGGCGGGTCGGAAAGCCACTGTGATCGCGGCATCCAGCTTCTGGGTTACGTTGATGTGAGCGTAGGCAGCCAGGAAGTAGATCATGTGACGAGCTGCCTCCTTTCGAGCAGCCTGAGTGGCTGACGTCAGAGACACCTTGGCAGCCCGGGTCTTGGAAAGGGTATACGCAGGGGGCTCACAGATGAGTTGGACGGCTCGAACGAGAGAATGAACGTCCTCCACAGCCACCTCGGTGCCCTTGACCAGTACACTCAGCAGAGCCTTCAAGCTGTATACGATGAGCGAGTATCGGCCCTCAATACGGGGTCTGTGACTGAGCAGAATCTGGGACAGAACCTGAGTGAATGCGACAAATGTGTCGGGAGTGGCCTGAGACTGCGAAACAACCACAAGTATCAACTCCAGACAGTATTGAGAAACAGCCCAGGGGGCACGTTTCAACGTAGAAGCCAGAGCTCCCAGGAAAACGGCAGACTGCTTTCCAGACTCGACATACTGTGAGATGGCAGACACAATGAGAGAAGTAAAGTCTATCTCGTGATGCTCGTCGTACGATAAAACTCGGATGATGACCTCAAATGCGGGATAGGCCGACTCGCCGTACCGAACGACCATGACAAAGACGTTTCGCAACTCCTCGGGACTCAGAGACTCGAGATGGAAGGAATACCACTTAGACAGCTGTTCATTTCCCTCTCCAACGCAAAGGAATAGAGCAGTGATGGCTAGGTTGGGTTTGGAGATGCCCATTAACAAGCTCGCAGCAGAAGTCAGCAGAGTATCTTCTTCATGCTCTGTCTTGGAGGCGACACGCTTAGAGATGATAGAAGTGAGCTTAGTCTCGACCTCATCTGAATCAGACGAAGAAAAGACCTTGACTAGAGACTTGGTATCGTTCAGAATAGGTTCAAGGTCTGTATCGTTGGACTCGAGAATAATAGTCTTAAGCGACTTTCGAATCGACTTGATGAAGTTAGAGTCCTCGTCCGACACAATTCGAGCATACAGCAGAGCCTGCTGGATCGACTTATTATTCTTGACGTTCTTCTTGAGCTTCTTTTCCAATGTCTCCAGGAACTCCTTGCTGGTATCTTGGTTCTTGGTCTGAACATGAGACTTCAGAATGGTGGAGCAGATAGAAGTAGATAGAGCTGACCCGTGGTCCAGAAGAACACAGAAAGAGTCGACATCCTTCTCAATCTCGTAACCACCTAAAGTAGAAGATGTGACGAGCCTCGAGACAAGTTCCAGGCCCTCAGCGGTAGGGTTCTCTAGAGAAAACTTGTTGACGAGTGCAATTCGAATATCTCGAGGGAACGCAGAATAAGGAACAACAGTGAGAGGCTTGGGGTCCTTGATATTTTCCAAGACAGGAGTCCACACATGGGTCTGCTCGAATAACTGGTCATTTTGAACCAGCTCAGTAACGTATGTGGAGACAGCCATCTCGGCAATCTTGCAGAGTCGTTTAGACTTGGCGAAACGGTTGAGAATAACCAGCCATCGGTCAAACAAGAAGGGAATCATGCCATCCAGCTTCTTCTTGACCATGTACGAAAGATGCTTGTCAAGAGCCTTATCAAACTTCTTAACGTTGTCAAACTCGGCAAGTCGACACAGACATCCAAACTGATATCTGAATAGCTCCTTCTTAGGCTCAACAGCTTCGTTGAAATCAATCTTATGCTTAGTGTTGGGTGCCTTTGTGAAAATGATGTATCGCAGACGCCACAGTGTCTCGCTATCAATCTTCTCATCCTCCAGCTTGATGAGCTTGGAAAGAACCTTCAAAACCTTCTCGTCAAAAGACGCCTCAAGCTTCATAAACAGAAGAGCATTGACAATTGCAACAAGAGCATAAAGCTGGTTGTTTCTGACAGCAATATCTCCCTGCTCCTCCTTCACCTTCCCCGTCCAATGAGTCAGAACATCGTAGTACTGATCAGGGAACATTTTAGCAATGAGATCAGAAACATAGGGCAGGAAACCAGGGTCTCTCCACTTACTAGACTTGGCCATCTCATCCACCCAGATGATGATGAAGTCATACATGTTGCTGTTGAGCTGGTATCCCGTAGCCATACCTCGCATCACCGACTTCGTGTACTCGTTATCAGGACCATCAGAGATATCCTTGGCCAAAGACACCGAAGTAGCTGTAAGTGAAGGATCTTGTCGCACCAAAGCAGCAATCAGACGCCAATCTCGTTCATTGTTCACCTGCCAATCCAATGCAAAGGCCTCTCTCGTAGGCACAGCCTCGTTGAAAAGCCTCACCAAAATGCTCTTTTCCACCTTGTAGCCCATCTCTGTACACTGATCCAGCAGCTCCACAGTGTACTGCTTGGCATTCTGGATTAGACCACTGACCAGAGGCACAACCAGATCCTTCTCACCAGTGGTTCCAGGCATAGTAGCAGCCACCTTTTCTCCCAGTCTGATAATGTGGGCATAGCCTCGAACAGGAGCCTCAGTGGAGAAGCTCAACACCTCAAAAGTAGTGAAGGCATACAGACCAGTGATGGGGAAGTGTTCGGGATCAAACAGGAATTTGGTGACCAGATAATCGATGAAATGTGCCAGGTCCTTGTTTAGATCCTCCCCGTCCAATAGATAGAAAATGTAGGGAAGATACGATCCAACCTCTCGACACTTCTTCTGCATATCCTGACTTCCCTGAGAAGACCGCTCCAAAAAGTTGAGGATCATTTGAGTCCATGAAGACACTCCAGCAATGTGTCCCACAGGCAGCCCGGTCTTCTGAAAGTTTGTAAGGGTCTTGAGGTAGTCTCCTGCGATTTCGACAGCGGCACTCTCTGTAAACTGCACGGCTAACGACCGAGACACCTTGTTGACGGCTGTGGTGATCTCGTCCAGCAGCTGAACGGAGCAGCCCTCAATGTTTTCCTTGATGGCTAGACTGACGATCTCTGTGAACTTGCTGTTTCTGTAGATTCGTTCTCTTGGCATGGCCAGATCCTTGGCCATGTCTTCCCACACAGTGATGAATAGCGTCCAGAATGCCGGGTCTGCTCGAGCCTCCTTGGCAGAGTCGGTCTTCTCGCTTATTTTGTCCATCCACCATTGCAAAACTGCGCACAACCGATGGGGAAAGTAGACGTTGAGGTTTCCGGCTACAATTTCGTTTGCAAACGGCAGAATCTGCACCAGAGGCACGCCCTTGCGTCGCAGATGACGCGATATCGATGCTGTAGTCTGTGTTAGCGGTGGATCTCGAGTCAATTTAGCCGGTGTACTCACTTCCATATCAGCCATGTTGTTGTTATCTGGGTCTGGTGTTGGGTGCACGAAATTTCCTACTCTGCATACAGGAATTTATTAGGCTCTGGAGCTTAAATAAATATTTTCAGGGTGGGTGCATTAAGCAGATTGTAAATGGGACTTCAAAAAAATAATACCACTACACATATCGAAACTACACACAACAAAATGAAATCACTGGAAGAGCTAGAGGACGCCACCGAAGGAGTCATGGTGGACATTGACGAGCATATGGAGGACTCCATGGACGTGGACTCTTCTGATGACGAGGTGCCGGATAAGGACGAGGAGGAGCTGGAGCTGGAGAAGGCCGTCTTTGGAGATCTAGAGGGCTTTGAGATGGGTATCAAGAACATTGCGCTTGAAGAGGCAGAGGAGGAGGATTCCGACGATTCCCATGATTCGGATGACGAGAATGATTTTAACAAGATGGAGGACAACCAGTTGTTCTTTGTTGATGGAGGAGACGGGCAAAAGTACCACTCTGATGACGACTCTGACGACGATTCCGACTCGTCCATGGACTCAGATACCCTCGATGAGACTCTAGAAGAGCACGGAGGACGTGCCGCATGGGCCGACTCGGACGACGAGAACGTGCACATTTCGCTGGTGGGAGATCACGATGGTATGCTCAAGAAGCTGCGAAAGACGCAGACCCAGGACTACGTTAACGGCAAGGTGTTTTCGCGACGGCTGAGAGAACAGTATAGAAAGATCTACCGGGTCCCCGACTGGGCTGCTAATGCATTCAAGGCCAAGGCCAAGAAGGACTACGATGAGGACGACTCTGAGGGGTCCGATGAGGAGGAGCAGGACGTGCTTACAGGCACTTCTCTGAGCGAGGTGCTTCAGCGAGTCACCCAGTACTCCAACAAGGAGTCCAAACTGCTTCGACACGGCGAAATAGAGGTTGCTCGACTTCAGGACGTTAACTTTGCTGCTCCTTCTCGAGCTGCCGTGGAGGGTCTCGCTTTCCACCCCACACATTCTCTGCTTCTGACTGGAGGTTTCGACAAGACTCTGCGACTATACCAGGTGGATGGCAAGAACAACCCTGTTGTCACCACGCTCTTCATGAGACATACTCCCTTTGCTCACGTGGCCTTCCACCCCGACGGCCAGAGAGTGTATGCTGGTGGCCGAAAGCAGAAGCATCTGTACATCTGGAATGCTGAGAGTGGAAAGGTGGAGCGAATGGCACATCTGTACGGCCATGGTGACAAGGTGCGATGTTTTGCGCAGTTCAAGCTCTCACCAGACGGAAAGTACCTTTGTGTAGTTGGAGTGGACGGCTGGCTGGCCATTCTGTCGGCTACCTCTGGACAGTGGATCGACGGCTGTAAGATTGAGGGCGACGTTGCCGACTTTGTGTGGGACGGTGGCTCCATTATTGCTGTCAACACCGCTGGACAGGTGTGGGAATACAACGTGGAAAGCCGTTCTTTCACAGCTACTTGGACCGACGAGGGAGGAGTTGGCATCACGGTGCTGGCTATCGGCGGCAAGGCTAACCAGTGGCTGGCTATCGGCTCCGAGTCCGGCTACGTCAACGTCTACAACCGACCCAAACTTGCATTGGAGATTGCTAAGGGCCAAAGCCCCTTTGTGCCCCAGAAACCCACTGCGGTTCTCTCTAACCTAACCACCCCCGTTTCGTCGCTAGTCTTCTCTCCCGACGGACAGATGCTTGCCATGGCCTCCGACCAGAAGCGAGACTCTCTCAAGCTGGTCCATGTTCCTTCGTTCACCGTGTTCAAGAACTGGCCCACTCAACATACTTCTGTGGGAGTTGTCACCAGCGTGGCCTTCTCCCCCAGCTGCGAGTACCTGACTGTAGGTGCCACCAACGGCAGAGTCCGAATGTTCCAGCTCGCCCACTACAAGCTTTAATAGTATAGATGCATATTAGAAGATGTTTATAAGAGAATCTGAGTAGAAGGGTAAGTGTATATACTGGGTCTAGTTGGGGAGCGACTGAGTACTTTTTACCTACATTTCGAAGTAATTTAGTAAACATTAGTTGCACAGTCCGTTTAAAAACTCTATCTAACTTAAGCTCATCTATCGAAATATTTTTGCCCGACATGTACCTTAAAATTATTCTGCCAAAAAGTATACCTACGCATTTCATACTCATACACCACTTACAAAAATGACTACCCCCGACCTGGAGGATAAGTCCTTCGACTCGTTCGGCCTTGATGACAGACTGTTGTCCGGCCTGGCTGCCTGCGACATGAAGCAGCCCACTCTCATTCAGAACACAACCATTCCTCTGGCTCTGGACAAGGGCGTGGATATCACAGCCAAGGCCGTCACTGGTAGTGGCAAGACGGTGGCCTACTTGCTGCCCATCTTCGAGCTGATGCTGAGAGCTGAGAAAGAGAAACGGGATATCCAGACTGCTCTGATTGTGGTTCCCACGCGAGAGTTGTGTGAGCAGGTGTCCAAGGTGATCACCAAGCTGACCCAATTTTGCCCCCATCTCAAGTCTCTCAACGTGACTCAGCAGCTCGGAGACGACGTTATTTCTTCTCTGTTGGAAGAGAAGCCCAGCATCATTGTCGGAACACCCTCGAGGCTGCTAAAATACGCCAAGGAGATGGACTGCTCCAAGGTCGGTTATCTGGTCATCGACGAGGCAGATCTGCTGCTATCCTACGGCTACAAGGAGGATCTTATCGAGCTGTCGGAGATGCTCCCCAAGACTAAGCATACCTTCATCATGTCTGCAACACTCAACAAGGAGTCCGATCTGATGAAGCAGCAGTTCTGCAGAAGCACTGTGGCTAGTGTTGCAGTCACCGCTGCTGAGGAGGAGAGAAAACTGCTGCAGTACTACGTCAAGTGCAGCGAGAGAGATAAGTTTCTGCTGGCCTACGTCATGTTTAAGCTGCAGCTGGTCAAGGGCAAGACCATTGTCTTTGTCAACGAGATTGATCGATGCTACCGATTGCGTCTGTTCCTGGAGCAGTTTGGAATCAAGGCCTGTGTTCTCAACTCCGAGCTGCCCATCGCCTCTCGTCTTCATATTGTGGAGCAGTTCAACAAGGGTGTTTTCAACTTGCTGATCTGTACCGACGAGGCCAACAAGCTGGCTGAGGCTAGTAAATCTGCATCCAAGCAGACCAAGGAGGTGTCCAGAGCCCATGAGTACTCTTCAACTCGAGGTCTTGATTTCATGAACGTGGCTTTTGTGCTCAACTTTGATCTGCCTCTTTCTAGCCGAGCATATGTCCACCGAGTGGGCCGAACTGCTAGAGCCAACAAGGCCGGTACCGCACTGTCTTTTGTTGTGCCTGCCGACCAATGGGGCAAGGATAAGGTGGCCAAGCTGGATACTGCTAAGCGAGATGAGAAGGTGCTCAAGAAGATCATCAAGAACCAGGAGTCACAGAACATGGAAATCAAGCCCTATTCGTTCGACATGAAGCAGGTGGAGGGCTTCCGATACCGAATGGACGACGCTTTCCGAGCCGTCACAACCGTGGGTGTTCGAGAGGCCCGAGTCAAGGAGATCAAGACCGAGTTGCTCAACTCCGAGCGCCTGGCTCGACATTTCGACGAAAACCCCGACGATCTGAAGGCTCTTCGACACGACAAGGAGCTCCACACATCCAAGGTCCAAGCACACATGAAGCGGGTGCCCGACTACTTGTTGGGACGAAAGGGTAAGCTGGATCCTAATGTGTTTGTGCCATTCAGAAAGGATGATAACAAAATCCACAAGAAGTATACCAAGAAGAAGAAGGGCGGCGATCCCCTCAAGTTCAAGAAGCGAAAATAGATGATATAGAATGGAAATGACAGATTACATGGTATTGAAATAGCGGGTGTCTGCTACAAGTAAGCGGTGTGTTTTCAAGACTACAGTACACATACTGTACATAGATATATGCTGGTGTTGGTTCTGTAAGTGAGTTGTGTTATAGTCACTTGTACCAGTAGTAAAAACTTGTGGTACAGTATGTATGTATATACAGTATATTCTAAGCTATTCTATATTTGTATTGGTACGCTACTGTACATGGGTAGGTCCGGTCCAATTCTTCGTATCCTCAATTAATATCCGTTATTAAATTATGTTGTGCTTTATTCCTACTTGGAAACACTTCTAACCCAGTATTCACTGGCACCCTCCTCTCTCATCTTAATATACTGACGAGACAACAGCAGGCCGACTTGGTACAGTTCTCGTTCCACGGCCTGCTTCTTGGTTTCCAGGTCAGCCAGATTCTGGGTCAGATTCGTCGACCTGCCTCCAGTGTTGGCAGAGAAGTTTTTGTATGTCGTGGTCGGCCCCATCTTCTTGATGAGATCAATCTCCACTGTGATTGCACGTGACAACTCAAACAGCTTGTCCGACTGCTGTTGCAGCTGGGCCACTCGGTCTGCCCGTGATGCGTGCGACTCCCTTGAGCTAATCGATGCACTGTCCGAGGCGGCTCGTGGCTTCTCAGCTGCAATGCCTCCATGTCCTTCCTTCTTGCTCTTGACCGTCTGTCTTACCAAAGCGTCAAACTGTCGCTCGATCTCCACCTCCTTCATCTTGATACGAGCATATACTCCGGAGGGCCCCGAGTTGTTGTTGGGTTTCACCTTTGCCCGTGGGTCGTGCGTCTGTGGTCGAGGAGCCACCGTGGGCTGTTGTGGCCGGTGACCGAGACCATGTCCTATGCCTGCATTCTTGTGGAAAATGCCCCGGGTGCCTGTACTAGGTGGAGCCAGTCTAGCTACTGTGGCAACGCACACCTCGGCTGAGGTGTCTGGCGAGTCTAGAGACACATCTCCGTCTTCCTCGGCGTCCTCGAAGCGGTCCAGGTCTGAGTCTCGAAGTGTAGATGTGGAGGAGGAGTTCTGTAAACTCTTGTTATGCTGTGTAGTTGGTGCAGCCCGTTGTTGGGCATGTGTTGTTGTCGTGGTCTGATGATGTGTGTTGAAAGGGACAGGGCTTCCAGAAGGCTGTCTGGGCTGGTTCAGCTTCTTCTCTGGAGTCGACGTGCCCCCGGCGGCATGCAAAACGTCTTCGGGGATGCAATAGCTCTCGCTGGCGACGGTGTTGAGCGTGGAGGACGAGTAGTTTGGCACCGCTCTCATGAAAGCTCTTCGGCGCTGTTCCGACATGACAAAGGACTCATCACGGGTCATTTCGTAGTGCGACGTGTCGTCGGCGCCAATAACGAGGGCGGCTCCCACGGTTTGGGCCATTGGTCGTGATGGCATCTTGGTTGGGGTTTACGTCTCGTCTCTTCAATCTGCTTGTGATGATTGACACTCTCACTGTTTTGGATTCAGAGCGCGAAACGCGCCTTTAGGTTTCAAATGCGATGAACAGAGTTGGTTCCCCTACCTTGAATCGCTGGGTGTTAAAACCAAGTCGTATAAACCACCCTGGCAGGTGTTGAGAGAAGAATAGGTGAGACTCGTATGTAGTATGGGAGAGAGAGCTCAAGAGGCATTATATCATATAGCAGGTCTGGCACTTGACCTGCAGCATCGCATCCTGCAGGAATCCATCACCTGGGTCTTAGATTATTATTCTCCTTCCCATGCAATGTTGTGGTTGTATTTTGAAATGTTATTCTGAGACTTCTGTCATACCCTTTTGAGAAGTCGGGGTTGGGGTAGCCCAGAACTTGCCCAGAACCTGAATAGCCATTTGGGTCACGCGCCAAGTGCAGCAGTCATGCACTAACGTTTAGTTCCTAAAATTTCAAGTGCGTTTTTCAGGCGCAAAAAATAAACTGACCAAGCTCTATAATGCAGCGACTATTGAAAAAGGCACTGAAAAACAGCGCAGCGGGCGAGGCTGGAGCACCACTGGAGCGCACCGACACCCGCTCCTCGCACGAAACGCTCTTTGACGACAACAAGTCCGCGGTCTCCACGCTGTTTGAAACCCCTGAAGGCGACCCGCGAGAACGGGATGTCTACAGCATATACTCGGCCATGTTTCGACATGGAGTGACCGTTTTTGACGATGGCCTCAAAAAACCCATTCTGTCTGTGTCCACGCATTTCTTCGGCAAGACCTACATGGAGATTTACCGGCTGGACGATAAGCAGAGCCCAGGTAGCGAGGCTGTGTCAATGTCTGGAACCGAGTGCTACAAGTCGCTTCTGTGCAGTGTGACACAAAAGGTACTTGACAACGACCGTATCGAGTACATTCTCACCTTTGTGGACAGCGAGCGGGACAACATCACCATGGTTACCCATGGAACCAGGCGGGTGACTACAGCTTCTTACGAAGGCGTGCAGTTGCAATGGTACGGAACGACGGGCATTGCCAACACTTATGGCTCTGGATTCTTTCATCTGCGGCTTGTTGACACCGAACATACTGAGAGACAGGGTAATGTGCTGCCAGACTCAGACACCCTCTGTGGTCCTTGCATAGGAGCCTACAGTTATCTGACTGAGGGCAGACTGAAGAAGCAGCGCCGGGTTGGCGAGTTTAGCATTTTCAATGGTGGCACTCATCTTTCCGAGGTCATCCTACTCATGGGACTGGTTCTGCGAGAGGGAGAGATGCGAAAGATAACGGAAAGTACACGAGCTGCCAATGCTGTCACCAGCAAGGTGTTTTTGTAAACTGAGTGATGAAAACGGCATGGTTGAAACAATAGTTTGGTAGCTACCGTGATGAGCTCCGTCTCTTGCGACAACCAGGATAGCAGCTTGGGCGGGAAAAAGAAGAAGAATGTGGATTGTGGTGGCTTTGAGTGCCTTCCGCCGATAATGTGAAACGAATTTTTATTATTAATGAGTAAGACAGACAGACTAATATATCTGAATACTATGGTTGGTTGCCTAGGGTTGTGTGGATGGTCGTTCCCGTTCAGCTCATGGCCGAATCAGGTATACTCGCTTACATAATCATTTTGGGTTGCATACAGGCATCTCGGTGAAGCATGATTTTCGACTTTACACTCGACCGTCACAATGAACTCCTTTGCCCCGGAATGCACTAAAGCCAAGAAGGAGTACGACAACTGCTTCAACAACTGGTACTCGGAGAAGTTCCTCAAGGGAGAGTCCATGGAGAACGAGTGTGCCGATCTGTGGCACGAGTACGAGGATTGCGTCAAGGTGAGTAGGGAGAGGGAGAGGGCAGCCTGGAGATGAATTAGGATCGATTCAGGAGATCGGTACCCGGCGTACCACTCACAGTATTTACTAACCCAGGCCGCTCTTGCCAAGAAGGGTGTTGGAAAGATGATTGACGAGGCTCGAAAGCAGGCTCCGTTTGAGAACGGCGGCAAGCTCGTGGAGGAGGATGAAAAGAAGAAGTAAATGTATATATTAATTGAACGATTCTGCTGGCCAAGATGTGAAAAAACGAGTTTCTCACTTGTATCAAGTCTGTGTTAGTCAGGCTTTTCTCTGTAAGTGTGCAAGGGTGTCTGTGAGTTACGGGTGAATTTTTTTAAAATCTAGTAAAAGGATGAAGTTCGACAGATTTTATAGGGAAATCTAAACACTTTCTAACGATTTATAAAAAGTCCTCTCGCCGCAAGAAGTCATCGGCCACCTTCCAGTACCCCAAACACACCTGTGTAAGTCACTGCAAGAAAACCTCGCCACGTGACAAACAAGGTTTTGCAAAATCGTCGGTTGGAATATCAGACTCTATCACCACACATACACGACCATACAAAAATGCTGTCTCTGATTCAGTCGCTACGGCCGACTGTGGCCATGAACAACGTGGCGCAGATGTTTGTGCGAAACACTTGCAAGTCCGCCCATGTCAAGACCAAAAAGGCCGTTGCCAACCGAATCAAGATCTGTGGTAGTGGAAAGATCACCAGAGTGAGTGCCACAAGGATGGAGAGGAGGGGAAATAAGGAAAAAGGAATGCTGGGAGCGACTCCGATCAAGCCATGATAGAGTGGATAGCTGATATTTCAGTGCCGGAAAAGTTTTGCCTCTGATCTGATCATGGCCTTATGTTACACAGCTTTCAAGCTGAGATGATTAACTGTTTCAGCAGCTAGAAGAGATACCAGACACGGAACTACCTGTCACAACCAGGCTGATTACGCACACTGCGTTTTTTTTGTTTTTTTTGTTGCTTACCAGGCACTCAGATCAAGCAAGACACTCATAACCTCTTGTAGCTGAACACATCAACAATGACAACTTCCAGATCGCCACTAACTCAGGGAAAAACCGGACGAAAGCACGGAAACACTGGATGGTCCGCTGCTCTGCTGCGAAAGAAGACCGGTATGACCGAGCTCACCGGTTTCCAGAAGAAGCATGTCAAGAAGTACGTGCCTTTCAAACAATCCCCTTAATGTATATAGCAATTAGAACCCTCTTGGATGCACGAGAAGTCTGTACAGTACAGACGGATACAAGTTCGTAGTGCACGTACCGAGCTGTTTAAATTAATTGATGTATTTTTCTGTATAAGATGTAATCATTGCATACTCTGCAAATAATAAATAGGGCGCGCGGGGTTTAGATCACGGTTTTGATGGGACAGCTAGGCCGTGGGTAGGTACAGCACTTGTACTCAGGCCGTGGTGGAGACGCGGTACTGCGAAAGTACCAGCGATATGAATGTCGTAAGTATCATACTACAATTGTAGCAGAGGGGGGTTACTGGCCAAGCAACAACCAACCAATAAAATAGACACCATAACCCATCATTTCAACAGCATCCACAGGGTTAAGGCTGGACAGACCAGAGTCCCACTCAATGGCAGACTCACGAGGAGCATACTCTTGTCGATCTGAAGAGGGCTCGTTGGCCAAAAGACCGACATTTTTTTCAGGCACAAAAGGCTTGAGCTCCTCGCCAGTCAACCAATAATGGAGTCGATCTCCAAATGCTGAGGCGTTGGACTCGCGGTTGCACTGTTCAATCACGCTTGTCACTAATTGTTGTTTGTCGGCGTCACAGATATCGAGCATTTGTGTTTCTTGAGAGTGTTTTCTGATTACAGCGGACCCAGGGGCGCTTTTTTGATTATATATAGCCTTACAGCCTTTCAGAGACTTTCGTCGCCATGCAACAAAGACAGGACCAGTAAGGTTGTTGAGTGCACGTGACCTCGGGTCCACGAACGTCATGGGGCAAAACAAGACTATTGCAACATAATTATAAGGGGTAGATGCAGCTTGCGAGTTCCCCTCCTGCTTGCTACGTGCCAGTGCAACCTCTGGCGTGTTATTCTTCCACATTTGCTCTTTGTGGCGACCAGTAGCGTGTAATAAACATTCTGGGGTAACTGTAAGCGCTGATATGGAAATGTACGATACGATAGGGTATGTAGGGTCCATGTAGGGTCTTACAGATAGCTTCAACAAGTACTCGTACCAGGCGCGATACTGCAATAACAGTGGATATTTCTCAACAAATCTACTGTAGGTGACACACACACTCACGTCTGCGTCTCCACATGACAAGCATCACTGTTAATCTATGTTCCACTTGATTATGGCTTTTGCCACCAGGTCTTGTTGGGTCATGTCTTGTGTACTTTTAGCTCTCCATATAATAAATATATTGGGGTAATCCTCAAGGTGGAGAATGTGGGGTGCCTGAATACATGGAGTGAAAAGTCGTGTGACCAGTTGTCGTTGGCAAGATGATAAGATCGGTGATGAGTCCGAGCACTTAATTGCGCGGTAGTGTATTGTTCTACAAGTAGCACAACATGTCATACTACGATTACTACAGCCTCACTCCACACTACATAACGTACAGTACTGTACTTGTACCCGTGCCATAGACTACAAACAATAACACCTCTGTAACTAAACATGCAATCTATACATTTTTGGGTCTCTATTTACTCTTGCTTTTCAGCCTCGTTCACCTGCTCCTCGACATTTTCATCGCTCTCCTTGACTCGCTTACCGTCCTTATAACTGTATCCAACCCACTCATTGCCCTCCTTTTTGATCTCCGCCGTGGGGAAGTAGTGGTAGTTCATCTTCATGGAACACGCAAACGCCACGTTGTCAAACGTGACAATACGCAACTTGACGTAGGTATTGTCAGGGATCTTGGTCACCACAGACAGGAACGTCTCCAGATCAGGAGTGGCGGTGCCGTTCACGTGAGTGATGAAGTTGGTGGGCGCAATCAAGTACTGGTAAGCGGGAGATCCCTGGGCTCGACTGGACACGTAGACGCCCGAGTGGATCTTTTTGATTTGCTGACGAACAGCATGGTGGGGGGTCTGCAGAACAGCTCCGCACCAGAAGACGGCCTGAGAGGTCTCGAAAGCCGAATCCGTGGTGGGAGCCTGGATCTCCTCCTCCTTTTTGTTTCGCACCAGCTTGATGGTCACCTGCTCCTTGTCGCCGGCCTCGCTGAGCGTTGTCAGGGTCGTCAGCAGCTTGCCGTTGATGGACAGCAGAATGTCTCCCTCTTTGAGCGCCTGGGAGTTGCCATTGATGGGTGTAGCGGTTCGAATGACCTCAAACAGCTGGTGTCGCTGCGAGTTGTCCTGCTCAACGGCAGCAATCCACTCGGGAGACACGCCTCGGATTCGAGCCTGGATCATGGACACAGAGGCGATCTCAACGTCCAGGAACCGCTCCTGGGGAGGCTTTCCGGCTCGGATTCGCTGCACGGTCTCCAGGAAGGTGCTGGTGTCGATTCCGAGTCGGTACTCGTGCTGACGGCCCTCGGTTCGCTCGCCCATGCAGGACAGCCAGAAGGCTCGCACAACACCAGTCTTGGGATCAGCAAGAACACCGGCAGTGCAGCCATTGGGAATGGTGGAGTCCACGGTGATGGCGTCCAGGTTGAGAGCTCGGTAGTAGGGCTCTCCGGCATTGGGAGGGATGGTGATGGCGGTCACATCGGACACCTTGGTTCGGGTGGTCACCAATCGAAGAGACAGGTTATGGCCCATGAACAGCACAGGGTCTCCCTGCTTCAGGGGAGTGGAAGAGAGCTTGGCGGTCTCAATATCGGCATGCACCAGCTTGGGGTCGTACTGCAGAATGGCATAGTTCTGCAGAGGGTGCATGAAGACGACGGTTCCAGGGACAACCACGGACTCGGCGAAGGTCACGGACACGTTACAAAGATCGTAGGGGATGATAGATCGAGACACGAGCACCAGACCCTTCTCGGCATCGACCACGAGACCATGTGACTGTCGCATGGTTCGGGGGAAGCCGTCAATCTTGTAGGGGATCATACAAGAGACCCGAACGAAAGATCGGGACAAAGGTGCACACGCAGCATCAGCCTCCTCCAGATTGGGATCTGTGAAGGTGGCTCGCTGGGGCACAATTTCGTCCTTCTTGGGTACAGGGTACTGTTTACTGAGATCGGTGAAGTCCCACTTGCCGGTGGTGTCGTTTCGCACCGCCAGACGGAAGCTAGAGTGCCACTTCCGGTCAATGTAGGTGATGGTGAAGTTGGTGGTGTGTAGGTCTCTCAGATGTCTGTATCGGATCGAAACTCGTCGGCCGTCGGGAATAGCGGCAATTACTTTGATAAAGGTATCAAGATCGGGAGTGTCGATATCATCGATAGAATCGACCACCCAGCCCTTGGACTCATTACCCTGTCCGTCAAGTCGGAATGAGCCTCCAACCTCAGACACGTAGACGCCGCGCACAGGAATTGCGTAGATTCGAGCCAGCTGGTATGACAGGTCCTGGAAGCTGGCACCGCAAACCTCAACGTATCGATCGGGGGTGATGGAGTGCAAGTCCTGAACATAAATGTCAAATGTGATTTCGGCGCCGTTTCGCTCCACAGTCACCTTAACAATGTCTCCCACAGCCTCGTCGAGAATGGAATCCAGGGTGATGAACGAAGAGATGGGCGTGGAATTTACAGACAGCAAAATGTCTCCCTCCAGCAGAAGGGGGGCCATGGCAGCATCTTCTTCAGCCACAACAAAGGATTCCTCGCCAGCCATGGAGATATCCCCTCCCTCAGTGGCTGCCACCTCATCGTCCTCAATAGTCTTGGCCTGCTCCTCAGAAACATCATCGACCTTGACTCCGTTGACTCCTCGGGGCACAGCAGAGGGGCCCTCAGGAAGAACAGTCTCGGCAACCAGCATACCTATAGTGCTGGGGAAGAGTTCTCGCTGCTTCTTCTCGTTTGACGCACTTAGACCCAGTCGTCGACACTCGTCGAAGGGCTTCAGCATCCAGTGGGTCTGGATCGTGCCTCGGGTCACCTTGTCTCCTCGCAGAATGCACTCCAGGGCTCGCTTTCCTCGGTTGAGAGGGAGGAAGAAGTCAGTGGATGCGTCGGTAGAGCCTCCAGCCTGAAGAGCAATGGCATCTCCATCGATATCAACAACAGGAGAACCAGAGGAGCCACCAGATGCGCTTGCAGCGGCCTGGATATACTCGGTGTTGAAATCGTTGTATGTGAGGTCACCGTAGTCGGGGGCGTTTCTGTCGAGCCGAGAAATAAAGCCGGAAAGAATCGACAGCTTTTCTCCGTTGTCATTACCCACCACTCGAATCTCGGTTCCAACCTGAGCCTTTTCGGGGCACAGACGCAGCTTTTGCACATTCATGTACTTGATCTTGGAAGGGTCGAACTTGAGGAAACCAAAATCGTGGACGGGGTCTCGATAGATGGGCACCAGCTCACACTCCTCGTGGTTGTCGAACACAGCGTATCCACAGAAGGGACCGGCTCCCACAACGTGTCTGTTGGTCATGATGATTCCCATCTCTGTATCGACCACGAAGCCCGTGGCTTCACTGACCACGGCGCTCTCGCAGTCGAAAGAGGCCACCTGGGCAAACTGGATGGATACGACCGACTTGACGACCTTCTCAATGGTGGAGTGCCATCCAGCAACCACTCCATTCGAAGCGGAGGTGGCGGCCGGCATGGCAATTTTTTTAGGACTCCTGACTGGCGATTTGAGCCCGTTCAGGTCGTCGCGAGATCGCTTTTGCGGAACCATACTGAATCGTCTTATGGGTCTTAGGACAAGGGGTCTATTGCTAACCCTTAGAGACCGAAAGAAGCTGAAAATGGTTGTAGATAATACAGTCTTAGCTGGTGACTGAAATTAGGTGGGTCAGACCTGGCAAAGTTTATTCAATTTTTCAACCACAAAGGTGTCACATGACCCGAAGCGGTCTAAAAGAGAGGGCTCCGACAGTAAGAGACAAGAGGACGGTACGAATACGTTCGGAGGGTTATAGAGAAGGTTTCATTTTGTGAGACACAGCGCCGAGATGAAAAGCGTTTCTTGTGCATTTTTTTTCGTGTCCTATTCCATCCCTCCAACTATCGCTCCAACCTCCTTTTCACTATCGTACACATACAGTACAAGATGCGATCTTGTCACAAACCTTTTTTGCCTCACCACTCTCCGTATCCATCCCGTGAGACCATGGATACCCCTCTCAACCCCTACCCATTATGGCTACTCATGCCGTCTACACAGTAATACGAGGAGACTGTCTTATCCAATTATCTCCTTAAGTAAATAGTTCTGCACCTAACTCTTGATTAGTAAGCTAACTTGCAGGCTACCACTGTACAATCTCATGCAGACTGGCAAACGCCACCGACATTAGAGTTTCAATGGTGTACTTGTTACAAACGAGACGAACAAAAGCTGGACCAAGATACTCACTAACACACCATGCTGGTGGAAGAACTAGGCCGACAGACGCTCCAGAGTGTGTCTTACAGCAGCACGGGTTCAGGCAGAAAACGGATCGCCACTGCTCAAGATGCAGCCACCCAGTCTTCAACCAAAACTAGAGCTATTGCGAGACGGTTGAACGAGCTAGAGCGTGAAAACTACAACGATTCAGTAAAAATCGAGCCACCACGCGACATTTACTCGCCCAACAACGCAAACAAAAAGGGTACTGCTCTCAAGAAGATTCTGGCGTCGAAAAAGACACTCCAGAACTTTTTTGATGAAGATAGCCAGGGCGCTGAACGATTCCAGTTTGTGGCCTCTTCGACTTCAGCATACCCCAAGCGTCGTCTGTGCACCGTTTGTGGCTACAAGGGGTTTTGTTCCTGCGTGAGATGTGGATTCAGATACTGTTCCAAAACCTGTGAAGAGGCCCACACGGAGACCCGATGTCTGAAGATGTATGCTTAGATGAGAACGACGACTTGTCATTGATACAGCGGCAAGAGATGACTGTCAGCAGGACAGGGCTGATTTATTCTACTACCAGAGACCATGGTTTCGCCTAGCACGATAAACTGTGACTTTACAACTCATGCTAGTTACCATCCTATAAATTCCGGTTACGCGCTATCTACAGGAATGTTTCTGAGGTCAGAAACTCCTTGTAGTTCCAGTTCTCTGCTTTCTTGTCACACCCAACCACCGCCGACACGAACGGTATGTACATTAACTATTTATTAATACTATCCATTTATGGTCACTCTCCCTGAACCTTTATAGTACCCGACTCCTCCAGTCCTTCCTGTCCTTTCAACTCTTTCATTTTCACCAACATAGACGCCTTCCAGTTGTGATAGTCGTTTCTCTTCCTGTAACTATTGAATGCAAAACTGGCGGGAATCATGTTTCCAATACCTGAAAACGACGACTTGGACGTCTGTCGATCAAGCTGGCGTTGAATGACTCCCGGAGCAATGCCACTCTTCTGCTCCAGAATCTTGACCCACATCTGGTCCTTGAGAATAGTCTCAGTCCACCCTATCCACTCCTCAACTCGGTCTTCGGGCATGCCTGCTCGTCGTGTAAGCTGCAGAGCCCTCTGTTTGAACGCCTCGCGCGTGGCTTCTGTATCGGTAAAAGATCTATGCTGAATGTGGAATGCAATGGTCATCAGCAGTCCGAACAGAAGCCCCCATCTGTCCTTGACTAGGGCCCAGTAAAAGTCGAATCCCCGCTGGACGCCCTCCAATGCATGTTTAGGGAATCGCAGCTCCTTTGTAATGAATTCAATGTCGGCTGGCTGTGGATCGTCTTGCTTGGGCCCTCCTTTTCTGGGCGATTTCTGCGGCGACTTTTTCGTCTTTGAAGGTGTATCTGGCAACAGCCCGTCTTCCTCTCCAATCGCCTCGGAATTCAACAGATCCTCCCCGATCACATTGGCGTCACTTCGACCGCTCTCCTGGATGTCCTTCTGCACCTGTCGAGCAGTCCTTGGTGTTTTCGGCGTTCTCTGAGCAACCAATTCGGGGTTCTTCATTGGCGACTTTCTCTTCCGCGGCGTCGAGGGGCCAGGAGGAGCGCCCAGAAGCTCCTCTCGGAACAGTTGGAGAAGCTTCTCGTAAGATCTCGGTGGAACGGGCGGTTGTGATTGCTTGGGTGCCGGCAGTTGCAGCTCAATCAGCAGCTTCTCAATCGCTACATGGGCACACAGAGCCATGCGAGCAGGAGTCTCGTTGGGCTTCATTGGAATTGTCTGAGCCTTGCCCATGAGCGTGGATGCGAGATTTGTCACCTCCCTTGGAATCGGAACGTTTCCCACCAGCTTGACAATCTCCGCGTTGATTTGTTGGTTCATGGTGAGTGTACTGTTGCGTCACATCCAACTTTTCAGATTGTCCCGTTCTTGTATTAAACTATTAGAGTTTGGGTGGATAACACTGATCAGGATATGATAAAAGTTCGTATGTAGGAGCCAAGTAGGAGTGATAGGGACATGCCCTACGGTATGTAGATAACTCATAGTTTTGTCTCACTTGTAACTATATACAGGTAGTCAATTTCCGTATCATCCTCCTCAGCATGTCCACCATTATCTATTATTATATGTAAAGATTGTTCCACCGTTAATTAAACCGTACCTGTTCTCTCTCACTCTGGGCTCTCTGTTTTGTTTTGTTTTGAGTCGCGTTGTTTTGTTTTTATGACCATTAGCTTGCTGGTCGTCTCCTAACTGAACCACTTCAAGATGTAATAGAAACACACGAGCATGAAGACGATGCCTCCGTAGAAAAACCGTTTGTCCTGTCGTGCTCTCTTCTCCACCATCTTGATGGTCTCTCGAGACAGACCCAGAGTCTCGGCCACAGACCGCATCTTCTTTCCGGTGCTTCTCAAAATGTCGCTCTGCTCCTGCAAGTCGCCCAGAGCAGCCATTCCCTGCTCAATGAATGAGTCGAGCTGCTGGCCCACCTGGTTCAGAGACGACTGTTCCCTTTGCATGCCCTCTTCTCGTGTAAGATCTGTGTAGGTCGGCTGAATCGGCACGTCTCGGTTCACGTTTCTGTTTCGCGACTCGCCGTAAGGGTTGTCTCCAAACAGCGCCGTTTTGTTCTCCTCTAGCGTTTTCTCTTCTCGGGCCGATCTGAGGTTCTTGAACTCGCTTCGTGCGTCGGCCAGCTCTTCACGAAACCGAGCCAGACGTGCCTCAGCCTTTTCCTTCTTCTCCTTGTTGTGTTCCTTGTTGATAATTTCCGAATAGTCGTCCAGGGTTCGGCTGAAGGAGGTCATGGTAGCCGAAATCTGGCCTTGTAGCGACATGGGCGCCCCTGCGGGGTTGGCGGAGAACTCGGACAGGTCCTTCTTTAAGCTGGCATTCTGCTTCACCAGATGGTTGTGAATCGCGTTCATGGTGAAAGTAGCTAGTTTGCGGTACGAGCCCTCGTTGTTTGTTAGATGACGTGTTAGGTTGGTGATGTATCTCCAAGGTGTGAGTAGTTCCAACAACCTAAACTTTTATTGTTGTGGTTGGCACAATGTGATGTGCACGGGATGCACTGCTTTCGGAGTCAGGGGTACAAAAATGGATTTATGGAAAGTATGGCGAGGTTTTTGGAGCTGAACTACAAGTAGAGGTTTAGATAGCGCAAGAATTTTTTCAAGGGGCCGTTAATAGGACAACGTGCTTTTTTTTTCTTTTTCCCCTGCATACAAGTACCAGGTGGAGCTGAGTCCAAGTAAACATCTACTAAACTTTGAACTAGCTGCTCGTTCTTAACAAGCTTCAGGCTGTAAATTGTACAAATGCAGAAGAAAAAAAAAGTTGGCTACGAGGGCATCACAACTCATCAATAATAGATAGCTATGCAGCTATACAAGCAGGTTCGTACCCGCTCATAAGCAAGCCCGCAAGCTTGCTCACTCTCCCCTTCTTCCGTGAAGACTCTATTAGCTATGTACAAATAATTCTCCCTTAAGTAACGTACTTTCGAGAGTAAGCGACCTTCTTGTCGAGAGTGCTCATTCGGCCCTTTCGCCACATAATGACAAGCATGACGGTGGTAAACACACACACGCCGTACCAGGTGGCAATATACTGTAAATGGGTGTTTCGAAGATCGACCTTGGGCAGCTTTCCAATGGGCACTCCATGGTTCATCATATGGGACTCGGTGACCCACTCGTGGCCTCCGAGGCGCATGTTGAGCTCCTCCTCCAAGTAAATGTTCTGAGCTCCGGTGAACTTGGACATTGTCGGAATGTCCATGAAGTTGTAGATTCGGACACTGGGGGAAGTTGGGGAATCGGGAGTGAACATGTTCTTGAGAGGAACAGGTCTGAGCAGACAGACGAGAGAAACCTCGCCCTTGGGCAGAGCGAGAGGGTCTCGTTTCTTTTGGTCCGCCATCTCCTTGGAAATCCAGCCTCGCTTAATCAGCAGCTTGGATCCACCGGTCTTAGATCGGTCGAGAGGAGTCACAAGGAAGTAGCCCTCGACAGAGTCCTTCATTCGAGGTCCGACCAGGAACTCTTCATCGTGGCACAGTGTACCAGTAACCACCACCTTTCGGTACTCAAACTCTCTCTCCAGAACCTCCTGGTCCTCGGTAATGTGTCCAGGCAGGGGCAGAGGCTCCTGGAGAAGTCGGTTCTCACAATCGGCAATCTTGTCCACCTTCCACTGCAGACGTTTGACTTGCCATGTGCCAAGGTAGCCCGAAATGATAGGCATGAGGGCACAAAGACCGAGGAAGACAAAACGCTTTCGGTTCTTCTTCTGTGATTGCGGCTCTGGCTCGTCGCTCTCCAGCTCGTTAGCTCCAGACTGCTTCTTCTGCTGCTTAGGTTCTTCACTGTTGGTGTTGAACATGTTTTTGTTGTTAAGCAGAGCGCTTCTGGTCGAAAACTGTCGAGAGGCACATTGAGGGGTCAGTGTAGTGAAGGCAGGAGCTGTGGTGGAAATCCTTCCAATGCGGCTAGCGCCATATCGAGCCACTCTGAGAACTTGCATTGTTGATGAGGAAAAGTGGCTAAGTTTCGATATAGAATTGAGTATCTGCACGTTGTGCTGACTAAGTGTGGCTAGTTTGGGAGATTGTGGCGCAGTAGCCAATCGGCGAACATGATGCGGAACATGTTTGAGCGCACTAAACCACATTAAAAGTACTGAGACAGATACTATAAGATTCATGGAATTATCCCTTGTACTGTACGTATACTTGCACCTGCTATATTCGCCACAGATTAGGACGGAATTGGAGTTTTTAGTATGTGGTCTACGATTGTGCTGTTTGTCCACTTCACAACTACCCTCTGTGCTGAGTAGCATATGTCATGGTGGCATCTTCCGGCTGTGTTTGTCTCTGTTACATAACACTGTCTGGCTTTCGAAGCTCGAAGAGTTGGCCAATCCCTAATGGTGTGGGCGCTCGGAGCTTCTGCTACTTGTAGCATACTGTAGCTCACTGTGGTCCTAACTGCATCTACTATGACCCTCTACATTCCATTACTGTATACCAAATGCAAATAAATAATTATTTATGTAACCACCTAACTATCCCTGGAATAAGGCAGGATAGGTATTATGTAACCAGTTGAGATACTGCTGCTCAAGCTGAGGAGTGTACTTTTGCTTAGCCTCCAGCAGTTCAATCTCGTTAGTCCGAGGACCCAGTGTCTTGGTCCATCGACCCTTCACACTGCTGGAGTCGTGATGAGTGTACTTCTCTGCAAACGGCTCATATGAGCTATAAGATCCACGTTTTGAGGGGTCCAAGTCACAGACAAAGGCCTTGATCGCCAGGTCGTCCAGATCTGTGTACGGAATTCGCACCCGAGGCTTGGGTCCCGTCGTTCGTTGAGCCTTGTGCATGATCTTGGCAAAGACATCACTCACAGAAGCGCCTTCAATGACAGGAGCATTGAGGGCTATATCACGTAAATTCTCGTCGGCTTCCAGCTTCGAGAGACGAGTTTGCAGGGAGAATTCTGTGTGTCCAATCATCGCGGTGAGCTGGTCAAAGAGCTCCTTGCGAGGAATAGCCAGTTTCTTGGCTGTTTCTGAAGTTTCCAGGAGCAGTCTATCCTTGGAAGGGTTGAACTTGTCCCGTGGTCTTCCCTTCTTCCCTCCCTGGAGAGAATGCTTGCCGCGGCGTCTCGGCTGTATCGGCAGAAACTCGTCATCGAACTCGCCACGAGTTGAATGCTCGTTCTCCTCGTCGTCTCCATGATCGTATGCGTATTCTCCTTCATCTTCTTTGACAGCGACTTGATCCCGGCTGTTGTTTTGATGTTCATTTTGGTGTCCATTCCCCTTTCTGTCCTGCCCGTATTCATCATCACTGTAGTGGTCAGAGTCGCTCTGGACAAAGAACTCTGCCTGTCGCTCTCGGGAAAACTCGGTTTCGAACCCGTCATCAAATCCGTCGTCTTCATCCAGCAACACTCGGCGTCGTCTACGAGCTTCGCTGGGTTGTTTGGTGGGTGACTTCGGTGGCTGAGAGGCCCTCGTTGATAGTTTGGGCGCCTCGGCTGGAGTCTTGGAGAGAGATCTGCTTGATCTTGTTTTTGTAGGAGTCGCTTCTCGGTCGGATTCTGACTCGGAACCATCTACAGGTTCGTCCTCTGTTTCCCCTTTATTGCCGAGATGATCTGGGGCGGTCTCAAACTGTTCCTCATCCTTTTCAAACTGCTCCTCAGCTTCGTAGAACTTGTCATTCTCGTGCCTCTTGGGTTCTGGTTTCACAGACTCCTGGCTTTCTTGAGTGTGTGATCCAAAATCATCATCAGAGTCTGAAATCTCCTCGACCTTTCGGATCCTTTTGTTGCGATAGGTTCGGATTGAAGGTTGAGTAATAGACACTCTCTTGCGAGGAGACTTCTTGAGAGAAGGCAGTATCGATTCCGAAACTGAGTCAGGAATCGATTCTTCTTCTCTCTGTCCTTCCTGTTCAGATTCCTCCGACTCGTTTGTGGTGTTGGAGTTGTCAGAACCGTCAGGACCGTCAGAGTCCGAGTCCTGGCCCGATCCCTTTCCCTCTCCCGAGTCCGAGCCCGAGTTGTCAGAGCTGTCGGACTCATCAATCTGGGAAGCTGTGACGTCAGTCACCTCTTTTTTCACGTTCACTGTTTTACCTTGGGGTTCCGACTCTTGTTCTTCCTCTGACTCCTCAGAGTCACTCTGATCGTTCTGTTCGTCCTCGGGCTCCGTGACCTTAGATTCCTTGTTCACAGGTTGGAATGGGTTATCGTCTCCACCTTCCTCGTCATCCTTATCAACGGCTAACGTATCGTCCACCGTCTCAACACGTATTCCCTTACTCCTTCTCCTCTGTTGTCTGACCATGGCCTTGAACCGTGATGCACTGCTCTGATACTTCGCCGATGCGAACTTAGAGGGAGTCTCCAGAATAGCAGCACGCGCCAGCGAAGGTGTGCTTCGCAGCTTATTGAGAATGGTGCGGTCATGAAACTCCAACGTAGGGTACATTTGCTTGTGATGGGCCATCTCGCGCTTGGCACAGATGTTGATGGTGTCTCGAGACGGGGCGAGCACCTCGACTCCGGGAATAGCTGCGATCACCGCCTCGCGGTTTTTGGTTCCTGGAGAAACGTAAAACTCGTGCTCTTGTTGTAAATGCGGTCGCGGCGTCATGTGTCGGAGCAGCCGGCGTATATCCAAGGTCGACTGTAGTACGATCACTGGTACGGGTACCGTAATTGGAGATGTTGTTGTGGTGTATCGCTTCTAAACAGAGTTCGAGAGCTAGTCTAATGGCACGCTTTGACTAAACATTCTACAGTAAGTGCAAGTAGCTACAGTAGATACTACAATATCAAGCTAACTTGTAGTAATTGAGCCGGTGCTGTCGTTTTCGTGTCATGAAATTAGGCACGGTCAAAACCCATTGCCATGGAAACAGTGGCGAGACACAGCACAGTTTGGACTATGGAAAACAGTTCAGACGCAGCTGCTCAATTAGCTATTGCTTGACTATAGACTGACTGACACTCCGGAAGCAGATAAATTCCTACAGCATAGTCCCACGGCTCTCCTTGCCCGTACAGACACCCATGCCTATTATACAATGCACGTCACAATGTAGACTTGGGTGGCGTCGTAGATGCACAACAATGGAGACGGAGCGTGTCGAGCAGTGTCAATCGCGTGTACGAAGCGCGTTATAGAGAGGGTGTCGGATGGTTGCCACTACAAGTATAGTGGATACACTACAAGTACCCAAAGATGGGTTGGCTGGTCATCTCATCGAAGATTGCGGTCCTGGCTAACAATAGCTGATCTGCAAATGTCTTGTGGCCATAACTGAGAACACAATGGTCTCGTACCTAACCGTTTTATGGTCCAAGGCTGTACAAGCTGGTGTGGACAATGGAGCACCATATAGAAATTATAGCGGCAAAGAAGGTGTCCGTGCCATAGAAACAAGCGTACCAACGGCCACAGCAGCGACACAATCAACAGCAGCAGCCGACAACAAGGACTACTTGTAGGTTGATAGTCGGCTTCCGCAGCGATAAGTTATTTAGACCGAATTAGGCATTGTTATGGAATGTGTGGGTCGCAGACAATGGAGCTGCACGTTGGCTTCACTTCCTTTTGGATGTGCACAGCTCCAAATTGTTGTTGCTGCACGCTTTTTTCGTGCAGAATAATATAGGGTTCCCCGATTTGGATGCTAAATGACGATGCGCGTCACTTTTAGCGCGCGTTGAAGGGAGAACGATACAGCATGTGCGTGTAGGACGAGAGACGGATAATATAAAAGAGATATTGCTTAGCTATTGTTTTAATTGAATTTTCTGTCATTTTCTTATAGTAGTCATATAATTTTTTCTTGGAAAACCACTGATTTGCACAAACTAACGCGTGATCAAAACACGAAAAGAGCTGTAAATGAAAATCATTTATAATTGAGTTCGACGCGGTGGCAACCGTGACCAACAGGATCCAAACACCAGTATAGGAGGTGATAAAGAGGAGCTGTTGATAAGGAGAAAAACGGATATGATACGAATGATTTTTTGCAACGTCTACTGATATGTCATTTCCCATCTTTGCTTTTCTTTCACCCCTTTATCACGACCCATTTCAGTAACCTGCACCTTGACCCTAAACCAAGGGAGGGAACCTAATTCCGTCAAATATATAAGATACGTGTCTCCCTGTGCAAGCGTGTTTTCCTCTCTCCTTTTGCATACCCATCCCCCATCATGTCCAAGCTCTTTGTCATCAAGCGAGACGGCCGCAAGGAGTCGGTCCAGGTCGACAAAATCACTGCACGTATCAAGCGTCTGTGTTACGGCCTCGACCCTGACCACGTCGACCCTATCCAGATCACCCTCAAGATTGCATCCGGTATCTACGAGGGTGTTAGCACTATCGAGCTCGACAACCTGGCTGCCGAGACAGCCGCCTACATGACCACTCTGCATCCTGACTATGCGATTCTGGCTGCCCGAATCGCTGTGTCCAACCTGCATAAGCAGACCAAGAAGCAGTTCTCGCAGGTGGTTTACGACTTGTACCACTACGTGAACCCCCGAAACAAGAAGCACTCGCCCATGGTCTCCAAGGAGCTGTACGACACCGTGCAGGCCAACGCCGACGAGCTCAACGGCGCCATTCTCTACGACCGAGACTTCACCTACAACTACTTTGGCTTCAAGACCCTGGAGCGAGCATACCTGCTGCGAGTCAACGGTGCTGTTGCCGAGCGACCCCAACAGATGATCATGCGAGTCTCTGTCGGTATCCACGGCGACAACATTGCCCGGGCCATTGAGACCTACAACTATATGTCTCAGAAGTACTTCACTCACGCTTCCCCCACTCTCTACAACGCCGGAACTCCCCAGCCTCAGATGTCGTCGTGTTTCCTTGTCAACATGAAGGACGACTCCATCGACGGCATCTACGATACCCTCAAAACCTGTGCTCTGATTTCCAAGTCTGCCGGCGGTATCGGTCTGTCTATCCACAACATCCGAGCTACTGGCTCCTACATTGCTGGAACTAACGGAACCTCCAACGGTATCGTGCCCATGCTGCGTGTCTATAACAACACCGCCCGATACGTTGATCAGGGAGGCAACAAGCGACCTGGTGCCTTTGCAATGTACCTTGAGCCCTGGCACGACGATATCTTCGAGTTCTGCGAGCTGCGAAAGAACCACGGAAAGGAAGAGATTCGAGCCCGAGACCTGTTCCTGGCTCTGTGGATCCCCGACCTGTTCATGGAGCGAGTCGAGCAGAACGCTGAATGGACCCTGATGTGCCCCAACGAGTGCCCCGGTCTTGACGACGTCTATGGTGATGAGTTTAAGCAGCTGTACGAGCAGTACGAGAAGGAGGGCCGAGGCCGACGAACCATCCCTGCCCAGAAGCTGTGGTACCACATTCTCGACTGCCAGACCGAGTCCGGCAACCCCTTCATGCTGTACAAGGACTCCTGCAACCGAAAGTCCAACCAGAAGAACCTCGGAACAATTAAGTCTTCTAACCTGTGCTGTGAGATTGTAGAGTACTCTTCTCCTGATGAGGTCGCTGTCTGCAACCTGGCTTCCATCGCTCTGCCCACTTTTGTTACTCGAGACGACACCAACTCGTTCTACGACTTCAAGAAGCTGCACGACATTGCCAAGGTCATTGTGCGAAACCTCAACGCTATCATCGACCGAAACTACTACCCGGTCCCCGAGGCCAAGAAGTCTAACATGCGACACCGACCCATTGCTCTGGGTGTCCAGGGTCTGGCCGACACCTTCATGGCTCTACGACTCCCATTTGAGTCCGAGGAGGCCAAGAAGCTCAACATCCAGATCTTCGAGACCATCTACCACGGAGCTGTCGAAGCCTCTTACGAGATGGCTCTTGAGGACGGTGCCTACGAGACCTTCCAGGGCTCCCCTGCCTCCAAGGGTGACCTCCAGTTCGATCTCTGGAACGTGACTCCTTCCGAGCTGTGGGAGTGGGACGATCTCAAGGCCAAGATCATGAAGACTGGTATGCGAAACTCGCTGTTGGTCGCTCCCATGCCCACTGCCTCCACTTCCCAGATTCTTGGTTTCAATGAGTGCTTCGAGCCCTACACTTCCAACATTTACTCTCGACGAGTTCTTGCTGGTGAATTCCAGATTGTCAACCCCTGGCTGCTCAAGGACCTGGTTGAGGTTGGCCTGTGGAACGAGACCATGAAGAACCGAATTGTTGCTGACAACGGATCCGTGCAGAACATCCCCAACATTCCCCAGGAAATCAAGGACCTGTACAAGACCGTGTGGGAGATTTCTCAGAAGCGAATCATTGAGATGGCCGCTGACCGATCCCCCTTCATTGACCAGTCTCAGTCCCTCAACATTCACATCAAGGACCCTACCATGGGCAAGCTCACCTCCATGCACTTCTACGGCTGGAAGAAGGGTCTCAAGACAGGTATGTACTACCTGCGAACCATGGCTGCTGCTGCCCCCATCCAGTTCACCATTGACCAGGAGGCTCTCAAGACCATTGACTCCAGCACCGCCAAGGCCATGCTCAACAAGAAGCCCTACCAGGAGATCAACTCCATGGCCAACTTGCGGTCCATCGAGGACAAGATTGCCAAGATTGATCTGAATGGAGGCAACAAGGAGAACAACGTCATGGAGCTGATCCGAGAGTCCCAGGAAAAGAAGGAGGCTGAGAAGGAGGCCAAGCGAGTCCCTGCTCCCGTGGCTGAGACCAAGGAGGAGACCCAGGAGGAGACCAAGCCCGTTGAAAAGCCTGCTGCTGCTGAAGACAAGCCTGCCGAGGACTCCCCCATCGCCAAGTCTGAGTACGACATCTATGCAGACAAGGTTCTGGCCTGCTCTCTGGCCAACCCCGAGTCTTGTGAGATGTGCTCTGGTTAACTTTTGTTATGTTATATATATAACTTGCTATTTAATGATAATGATAATGATAATTTGTGACAGGTAAAAAAACAGTAAAAGCTACAAGTACGATAGATAGTGGAGCTGGCTTTTTAAGTACAGTACAAGTCGGAGGAGAAGGAGAGGTTCGAATGGTACAGTACATACTCACCTTTTGTTTGGGATATTGGAACCATCTTAAACTTAACTAACTGCTTGAATATCTCAACTATTTTATATTTCATAAATGTCACCAATACAGCTTCTACAGATCTTAATCCAAGACGAGAAATATTCATTAGAGGTCCAACTGACACTTAATCGGTTAATTCACCATTATATTGCTGATAAATAATTTTTTTCGCAGAATTTTCGAAGTTTTTCAAATTATAAACCTCTATTCCTGACTGCTTCAATGTAAGAGATCAAATCGACTCATAAGGTGTGCTAGGATTAGTCATCGAGTGATCTCTTACTAGAGAAAGAGTGAGACGTCCTTTAGGACGTCTGGAGGATGTCACGTGCCTCGCACGTGACCTTGAGGGGTTACCCGGATGTTAAGGGTTACCCTGTGATGCAGGGGGACTGTATAAGTAGGATATTACGTTGTATTTTAATGAATCAAGTTTATTGCCAACAACTTCCGGAGTACAAGTGGTACTCCGTAGCAGACCAGCGGTCCCCGCTTTTTTTTTTTTTTTATTCTAATGATTCATTACAGCTATATACCTAGTAAGCCGGGTTATTGGCGTTCAATAAAACATACACTTCTGAATCTTTGCGATGTGCGCTGCGGGGCGCTGTCGGTTGGTTTGTCGACGCTTCGTCTAGTTGATGTCATTGTCGTGGTCTCGTGGTAGTGAATCATGGCTAACAGATCAAGAAATCATATCAATCGTTTCATGTCTTATCCAGACTCGAGGTTGGTTTAGTTTGTTCTCATAATAGATCGTAGACGGTGTAATTCGGATAGGGATCATGAATATGATTCGTATGTGTCGTGTTTGAGTCTTCGCGCCATCGGGGAGTTGAAGCTCGGTGTTTGGTTGTTTTTTTTTTTTTGTTTTTTTTTTTTGTTTTTTTTTGTTTTTTTCATAATTCCATTAATCTGAGACGTCAGCGTGTATATTTAGCGTGAGCAGACCTCACGAGTACGTCATGTGTACCAGCCATCGTAATAATGCTCCTAGAGTAGAAAACAACTTCGGCACTCATTCCTCTCCGCGCTTCCGCCTCATAGCCACGATCACCATGTCGCGACGATATGCTGCAGAAGCTCGGGTGAACAAGTGAGCGAAGTCTCGCTGGACCACGGGGTCAGTACCCACTAGGCCAGTTTTTCGCATAGCTCGCTCGAACTGCCACAAAGCATGGGCGAGCTCTCTAATGTAGTTCAGCGGGCCGTCCTTGGCTTCCAGTAAGATCCAGTCCGCCATCTTTGATGGAAGGGGGACACCAATCTTCTGGCAGATGGCCTTGGACGCTGGACAATTGACAAAAAGGTGCTCATGGAGGTAGTTCTTCTGTTTGAAGAGTTGACAAGAACTACATCCAAGGTCTCTGTACTGGACAGATCTTGATCTAGGGTACCACCGGGTGAAGGGGAGGCGGTTCAGCCGCAACATGTGTAGCGTAGCAGCGCTCTTATCATCACGTCGGTAGTGCTTGCTCAGGAACTGATTTGTCTTAAGCCAGTGTAGGTGGTTCGGATCAAGCTCGGATGGCAGTGTCTCCAACCAGTGCTTGTTCTTCATGACCTTGAAACGATCTCGCCAGCTATCCTTTGCCACCTTGACAGGGACATCGATTTGCGACTCGAGATATGCAACTTGCTCCCGAGACATGGTTGCGATCGGGTTTTCACGGCGTTGGCATTCGAACAGGTCAACTTTCGTCCTCTCCGCTGGTCTGAGCTGAACGACTGACTAAACTGGATCTGGTTTCTGACAATTCAAAAAAACGGGCAACCTGGCCGAGCGGTCTAAGGCGCCAGGTTAAGGCTAACACCTTAACGAATATCCTGGTCTCTTCGGAGGCGAGAGTTCGAATCTCTCGGTTGTCATTTTTTCATTGTAGTTCAATCACTCGAATTTTCCTTCATTTTCGAGGGTATGTTTTTGCTGCTCATCTTCTGCATATTTCGTTGTTCCAATTTTGAATTGATGCGTCTCCCAATGAGCTTAAATTCACATGAAAAATAGAAGTGTCTCTATTGAAGATCAGAAGTATTATTGATGTGATATAGTTAATTAACAACTTACAACCCCTTTCTAGGGACCCGACGTTCCGATAGTAGCACACACCAGAAGGGTGTGTGCTTGCTCATTCACCAGAAAAGAGATTCTAGATCAGTGGATAAAATCTACAGGATGGACATCTTGTCTACGACCCAGCTGATTCCTCTCATCACTATGTGGTGACATCTCATCATTATGTGAGGAATTAGCCAGGTATTACCCCACCGGGTATTACCTTTAACAGTCTCTACCAGCAAAAAATAGTTGGCACAGAGAAGTAAAAAAGAATGGACGACACCGGTGTCAAACTGGTGATCTCGTGCATGCTAGCCCATGTGATTACTAACTACTTGTTCATTTTCTTTTTCATTTCAAGTATATACCACATCTACAGTAATACATTGAGTGTGTTGATATCGCATATTCATGACCATGTTAAATATATTCAAAACTACCTGCGCAAGTACATGCACTCTTTTTTACAACTCCTCTCCGCCCTTGCTTCGGTTAACAAGCGAGTAGAAAAAGGAGTCCTCGTTCTTGAGCAGATTCTCGGGTGTATCAAACTCAACGACCTTTCCAGCATCCAGAACCATGATGCGGTCACTATCCATGACAGTGTTGAGTCGATGGGCAATCGTGAGAATGGTTCTATCCTTGAACTCACGTCGGATCGTTTCCTGGATCAACTTGTCGGTCTCGTAGTCTACTGCAGCAGTAGCCTCATCCAGGACAAGAATGGGCGAGGGGTTGAGAAGAGCTCGGCCGAGGCACATAAGTTGTTTCTGACCCAGCGACAGGTTGCTACCTCCGTCGTTCAGCTTGGTATCCAGTCCATCATGCTCGTCCACATACTTTTTGAGAGACGAGTGCTCCAGGACCTCCAGCAGCTGCTCGTCGGTGAACTTGCCCGCAGGATCCAGGTTGCCCTTAATGGTTCCCTCGAACATTTGGGCATCCTGGGGAATAATAGAGAGACGGGATCGGAGATCCTCAAGACCAAGCTTGGAAATGTCTTCTCCATCGATGATAATAGCTCCGTCTGTGGCCTCGATGATCCGGAACAGCGCCATTGTGAGAGACGACTTTCCAGCACCGGTTCGGCCGACAACGCCAATCTTTTCTCGCGGGTTGATGGTGAAGGAAATCTCTTTGAGCACAGGATCGAGATTGGCCCGGTACTTGGTGGAGTAGTCGGAGAAGGTGATCTTACCTTCGTTGGGCCAATGGGCAGCAGGCTCCTTGGCCTTGAGAGGAGCCTCGGGCTCGATGTTGCAGTACTCGTTGATACGCTCAAGCACAACTGACTCCTGTTCCACGGTGATGGCAGTTCGAACCACTTCACTGAGACTCTGAGAGATGGTAGAGGCGTAACTCATTGCCAGACCAACGAGGCCGGCAGAAAGAGCTTTCCAGTGCAGAGTGCCGACAAGAGACAGGCCAGAGGCGAGAAAGATTGCAACACCGATGGCACTTAGACGCAATGAGAGCCACTGCTGAAGAGAGGCCATCAGGAATCGTGCCTTGGTTCTAGCGTCGATTCTAGCAGTACTCTTGGTAGCAAAGTACCTGGGCTTGCCAAAGGCTCGAACGGTAGTCAGACCGGTGAGAGTCTCCTGGAAATGAGAAATGACAGGAGACATCGCGGCAGCAGACAACCGTCGAGCTTCCCGAGAAGTAGCCAGGTAGTACTGCTGGATGATTCTGTAGAGATATAGAGCGGGGACGATAACAAGAAGAGTGGAGGGAGAGGTGAGTACAATGACACACAGTGTGCTGAACGATTGAATGAGAGAATTTGAGAACGACACAATGATCCAGGTCATCATCCAGTCAATCTTGCCGATATCCTGAGAGAATCGTGAAGTCAGACGTCCCAGAGGAGTTGATTCAAAGAAGGACATAGGGGCTCGAATAACAGCCTTCAGCATCTTCTCGTGGAGAACTCTAGAAGCTCTGAGAGATCCAAAGGTGTCCCAAGAAATAGAACCAAGCACATCAAATAGAGCTGCAAGAACGCCAATAGCTAAGTATCCAAGCACAAGTTGCATATCGTTCAGATCAATCTTGTCGCTGCCCCACATGGCCACCCAGTATGTACTGATAATAGCCATTCCAGAGCCAAACATGGTGAAGGACACGTAGAGGATAATGTTGTGCCATCCGGCAGCAGAAAAGTAGCCCTTGTAAAGCTGGACGATGTTTGCGGCCCCACTGGTGTTGACCTCGCCCTCCACACGAGTTCGTCGGTTGTCGTTAGCACCAAGCGTGAGAATCGAGAAGTGGGAAACGGAGGAAGCTCTTCGGAGTGTAGAAAAAGATTGCTTCTTGAGCTGCTGCTCAGCAGAAAGATCTTCAATAGAAGAGCCTACCTCGGTGTCCTCTCCATCTGCTTCCTCGTTAATTCCTTCTGTCTTCTTATCACCGGCAGCGGTCTGGAATTCGTCAACCAGCTTCTTCACTTTGCCGTTCTCCTGAGACATGAGTTCAGCAAACTCTCCAGACTCAACAAAGGTCTTGTCCTCAATCAGATGAATGGTAGAGGCGTGTCGCAACAGATTGACGGTGTTGGTCGCCATAATGACTGTCTTGGTCTTGAGCAAACCGTCAGGTCCAAACACATGCTTAATCAGATGGGCCTGGACATGTTCATCGACAGCAGAGAGGGGGTCGTCGAAGAGGAGAACACTGGCACGAGAATACACAGCTCGAGCAATCGCAATACGGGCCTTCTGGCCACCCGACAAAGAAATACCCTTCTCGCCAACCTCAGTCATATCTCCATCAGCAAGAAGCTCCATGTCTCGAGTAAGAGCACATGCTTCAATGACAAGATTGTAGAACACGGGGTCCTCTCGAGATCCAAATAGAATGTTGTCTTTGACGGTCGCATTTAGAATCCAGGGCACTTGAGAGAAGTAAGCAACGGAACCAGTCGTCCAAGAAGAGCCCTCCTTGGTAAACAGTTCACCGAGAGTAGCCATCAGAGTAGCTGTCTTTCCAGCGCCAACCTTTCCAATGATGCATACCATGTTACCCTTCTTGGCACTGTAAGTAATGTTCTCCAGAGCGACATTCTCAAACTTGGAGTCCCAGCAGAAAGTTCCGTGGACGTTCACGGGAGTCTCGGCAGAAGAATCGTCAGCATGGGCCTCAGTATCCTCTTGAACGTTGAATTTTTCGACCTCAGTGAGACCCAGAAACCGGTTGATCTTATCTAGGGCAATCCATGCCTGAATGATGAATTGGATAATGTAGGGAATGTTAATGAAGGGCTCCAGAAGTCGTCCAAACAGGTTGAGAGCAGGAATGGCACTGGCAGCAGAAAGGGGAAGGTGCTGGAACAGGACAATAAAGGCAAAAGCTGCGGTAGACGAAAAGTAGGTGGAACTATTGAAGAGGAAGTTCTCGACAGCAGTGAGGTAGGTCATATAAAGCACCACTCCAAGCTCGTCCTCATTTCGGACCTTTTCAACTTTCTTGAAAAAGGTACTCTCCCATCCGTACAGCTTGACAGATTTCATGTTAGACAGGAGCTCGTTGGTTAAAGTATATCGAGACTCACTGACCTTTTGTAACTTGAGGTACAGAGTCATCTTCATCTTGGAGATGAGGGCGGTTATGGGCACCACAACCAACATGGCAGCCATACCCACCCACATGGCGTTTCCAATCATACTGTACATGGTAGTCCAACAGATGACAATCTGCAGAGGCAGAGACCAGACTGTGTGAATGTAATCAAGACAGTTTGACAACGAAGTGACGTTGTTGGAGAGAATATTGACAAGCTCACCGATAGAAGTCTCAGCCACAGCAGAAGGAGCCAGTTTGAGGGCCTTCTCGTGAACAGCCTGACTAAGGGAAGTCTGGAACCGCAACTTGAGGTTCAGAGTCATGAGCGACTTTCTGTTATCGAGTACGGATCGCATAATCATCACTGTAGCGGCAACAATGACGATAGACAGACCCTGGGAAAGCGGAGCCTTGTTTTCATTGTATCTTCCGACAAAGAGGATGAGCTGCTTCAAAAGCAGAGGCTGCACAAAGGGAGCGGCAGTGCAGAAGACCTGTAGACAGGTTATTTTCAGATAGTCCAGCCCGTAAATGCTGGCCAGAGTCAGGAGCACAGAAGGGAACTTCTCCGTCTTCTTCTCCTTGTACGCCTGGATCTTATCGTCCCAGATCTGGCTGAATTCATCGTAAATGTTCTCTGTGAGCAGCTCTCTGGGAGGTTTGGGGATGTGTCCTAGCTTAAGAGTCTCCTTGTTGCCCAGGTCGAGAATGGGAGCCACATAGCTGTATGTGAGCTTGGATAGGAAGTTGGAATCGTCGTAGTAAGCTGGTTCGGAGGAGGGAGTGTATCTGGCCTCCAGAATGAAACTGAAGAGGCCGAGGAAGCCGAGAGATACCACAGCAAAAATGTAAGGTGATCCCACAAATCCTCGCACAAAGAATCCATAAATGGCTATAGAAGCCTCGATGATCTCGAGGCCCCAGAAGGTCAGAACGGCTGTGCTGGCAACCTGGCGTTTCTCAAACTCGAGCTTTTGGATTAACAGCACGATAGTGGTACCCACAGCGAGGATTAGAGGTGACCAGAACCGCAGGTCGTTGTGGCCAAACTGCTGAAGCAGCGGAATGGCGAGCGCAACCGCAATCTGCAGAATGGTGATGATCTGTGTTAGTACGAAATTAGTAGTGAAGTACCAAGGGTTGTATTGCGATACTCACCTGCTTGAGATTGTAATCCCATAGGGCTGGTCGTTTGCCTGGAAGTTTCGATAAGTTATAGAGACCGGGAGCTCCGAACAAAATGGCGATCGCACCAGGTAGAATGAAAAGACCGTTTTGAGACAAACAGGGCGAGAGATCGTAGTACCGTGTGAGCAGTTGCCACCCTTCGGGGTCTGTACAATACGACATTGTACTTGTTGTTGCTTGTATCTGTCTGGATGATGGGACTGCTGGGAAGATTTATAAATATAGTCTCTGCACACAACTGACTGCCGTGCTGCAGCTTCGGTAAAATTAAGGTTTCACTAACACGACCTGTGCGAGAAACGAAGGGAGGATAAACCGCGTGTTTCAGGTGATGGCGGTGATTTTGAGCCACAAACGTATTTAGTAAGATTCTCCAAAGTTTTTGATTCTTTTTGAATCGTCGTATTCCCCCTTTAAACCCATCTTCTATCTCCTCAAAGTCGACAAGTGTTGGCCATCAAACCTAATCATACATCAATGGGTCTTATCACCGACACTGACGAATGATTCCGTGAAAGCTGCGGATGGATGATAACTGCGGTTATTTGTGCGACAAAAAAAGTATCCACAAATTACAGACTAGTCGAGAAGCATATAGAGGAGTTTCCGGCGTCTGTGCGTTCAAATTCCTCCTCCTTCGGACTCCGATCCACGTTGAAAAGAGCCACTGACCGCGTCGTCGCTTTGGTGAGACAATCAGCCACACTAACCGAAAATCGGTGCCGTGTGCCTCTTATCAATAATTATAAGTACAGTAAGTACACTGTACATACTGTAACGTCGGCACTTAAACCCATACCCAAGAGCCATTCTAGATATGCAAGCGAGGACCAGACAGCCTGCAAATACGAATTTGGGTGCAATAGCGTAGCGTAACGACTTGGGTTTATTGTTACTACTGTAGAAGCAAGTGGTTGGTTACCATTGGAGTGAAGTCGTGTGAATTCCCTATCAAGCTTTCGGTAGTTTTGTCATCATGCACTTCTGAAGTTTAGACAGTGAGGTGGGGAATTATTTGTATTACAAGTATTTGTATGGACAGACGTGCTGTTTGTCCCGAGAATCCATTATATATTGACTATCAGATCATTTTCAGTTGTGTTCATGCTTCATGTCAATCCCATGTCATTCCTCCACCAATTGAATACTCCTTTCCAGCTCACACTCTGACAACGGCGCAGGTACAGCTCACATAATATTAAAGCGGCTCTTCTGAAACATGCCCGTTCTGGGATGACCTCCACAGCGTGCCGTCGTATTGTACAATGTATGTACTGTAGAACATATAACATCGGCAGTGTTCAAACCAAGCCATGATTTAATCCGCCTAAGGTGACAATCCACAATAAGACGCTTGGACGTATCGATTTTTACTGGCTAATCATTCGCTAGCACACCTCAATTTGTACAGGCCAGTCTACCGTTAATGCTGACTTAGTAATGATGATATAAGCAGTGACAAACTATGGTACTGTACTGTACAGTACAGCACGATGTACAGTACGAGTGCTTGTAGTAGTTAAACCAACTTGATAGTTTTCATTTACAGGGCATATTCGTGGGAACCTCTGAGGGTTGATATCAGGTTATCTTTTACCAATGCTGGTCTTGCAAACAGTATGTACAGTAACCTCACCGTGTACATTCTGGAGCAGTGTATACTGTAGTTCTGCCCGACGAGTACAGAAGGCACCGGTGCTGGTAGCCAGTTATAGTCACATGAGCTTCGGGTAATATTCACTAAAATCTCTTCAAACGATCCTCAACAGCTTGCGTGCCCCCTTCTGGAAGGTGTGTTCCATCGTTGTCCATTTACTGGTAGCATATGTGCACCCTCTTTCCATACTGTTGTACGTACATACTGTAGTGTACAACTGCGAGTAAACATACTCATATCTTTTTCTCACGGGACGGGTTGTGGCTTATCCATAGCAACGTCGAGGCTCGATGGTTACAATACCACCAGCAGTCCGCGGTAACGAGGTGTCTAGACAGATGAAAGAGGTATACATGAACGCTGAAGTACACACATTGTAATAACTCTATGTGTGTGTAGATCTGTTTATATGGCCTCAAATTCCAGCCAGCTTCACTCTCCATATTCCCTCCTTCCTCTCTAATTTTGCCTTGGGCACATGCATTGAAGGACCAGACTTGATATGAGACTGTGAGACTTGAAAGGTCTAAATTTTTCCTACAGCCGATACAGTTGCACTTGCACTTGCCAAAGTCAATCTATGTTCAATCGTTGGCGAGGGTAGCTACCGGCAAACTGCTTATCGCATCACTCAGTCATCTCAGTATGTACAGAGTACGGTATGTACTGTGGTTGCTGTACCAGTACATTGTCTCACCCCATCGATTGACCACATGTCCACCCCACAGACCATGTGCTCCACAAATTAGATCCCAAACTACATGTCCGTGTAACAGTTGTGGTGATCGTAAAACCGCCACTGAGGGGGCGGGGAATGCCAGTGGTGTCCTCTTTTGTACTCTAATGTGACGCGTTGAGAAGATTACTTGATTAGTAGGTTCGATCCATTGTGTGTCTTACAAAAGATACGATTTCATCGCAGATCGTTTATGATACAGCCTGATGAAGTGGTCACATGAAATCAAATACCCCCATGACACCAATTGAACATACATGATATCAACTCAGATACTTCCTCAGACAAATATAAGGACTTCCAGATGATTATTGACGGTGGCAAACAGAACAAAGCGGTGGCCGTTGATTGTCCGAACAAAGGAGTTTGGCATATGCTTAAATCCTCAACAACATTAATGATCCGCAGAGTTCGGCTGCGGCCAACGGCTGAATAATGGATGACAGCGGAATGAGATATTGGTGATGAAATGAGACAAAAAGCAATCAAGCCAATTACCTTAGGTCTATTTACAGCTACTGGTACTGGCTACCACGTACTCTTAATACACAATTCTACATGTACGTTCATATTGTTCTCCTTTTGTTCAATGCTAATCAATAATGCTTAATAAATGCGAATGTCGCCGGCGACATGTGTGTGTGTTTGTGTGTGTGTTTGTCGGTGTCTGTGTCTGGTTCGGTGCGTCTGATGTCTGTGCTTGGGTTTCATCACCACGAGTGTCTCATGAAGGCGTCGTCATAGGTGACTTCTCCAGAGGGCCACTCTCCTCGGAACTTTCGAACCTGAAAGTACTGAGAGGGAACGCCCATCAGCGACAGGTCTCGACGGGGAACGAATTCAAACTGCTTGTAGAACTCCGGGTTTCCCAGCAACACGACGCCACCGGCATCGAGCTGGCCCTGGCAATGCTCAATGGCCGTATGCATGAGTTTGGCGCCGATCCCGTTGCCCTGGAAGTCGGGCAATACAGCAATGGGTCCAATGCCGTACCACTTGGGGCTCTGAACCTGTCCGTCCACCTTGACCTCACTCAGGAAAATCGTGCCAACCACCTGCTGTGTATTGTTATCGATGGCGACCCAGGACGCTGTGAGTGCGCCCGTGGCTCGCAAGTCGTGCACAATCTCCTGCTCCTGGTGGTTGGAGATGGCGAGCTTCGCAAACGCAGACTTGATCACGTTGGAGATATCATCCTTGTGCCATGGCAGCTCAGGTGAGATCTTGACGTCCACTGTCGACGTTGTTGTAGTGCTCCAAGAGAAGATCATTGTGTGTTTGTGTGTGGGTATGCGAGTGAGATGTACGTGTGTGTGTGTCTGTGTGTAATGAGATGCAAGTTGTGTTTGTGGTGGTGGTTGTAGAAGTTGTCTGTTAGTTGTTGGTCCTTCGGTCTGTCAGTATCACTATGGGGTGGTGGTGTCCTGTCGTCGTTTCGGTCCTTGAAGATATATAAGTTCTCTTAAGTCCACAAGCTGCGCCGTACATGTATATAAATCAAGTCTCGGGCGGAGCTTCTTTCCTGCTTCCCTCTATCCGATTTGAGTTAGGCCCTGGTAGGATTTTGGTTTCAAAGCTAAAAATTATAGCGACGTACCAGACTCTAAAGTTGTCTGTTGTCACAATCAAGGTCAAGACGGGGCAAAAGGTGTATTTTAGCTGACGCCCCTACAAGTAGTCTCTCTTTGGTCCGCTACTTGTGGATCACAACCTCCAAACTCCGAATAATTAAGCTCCGTAGCTCATGTCAATATCAAGTGTTTTCTTCTTCTCCGGAACAGCATCCGGTTTTCCCCTACATTCCGGATCCTGCACGTCCACCCCAGATTTTTATTTTTTATTTTCCCATTTCCAATGTTGCGGTGGCTCTTTCGGACGTCGGCAACTGTCAGCTGCAGCACAGATGAATGCCCATCTGTTAATATTCAACTAAAGTTAGTTAGGTTTTGTGGGTTGTAGATTTGTAAGCCCTAAACCCACTTTTGCCTTGAGACATAATTTACGCACACTGAGTCGTCGCCTGGCGGGAAAAAAAACCAAAACCCAACACTCAACAGCCACTTTTAAGATACTCAACAGAAAATGGCAGAACAAACGAAGAGGTGGCGTTTCTATACACCACAAGCAGAAGAATCTCATCGGTCTGGAGAGGCAACGACAAGGAATAATCGGACAGTGTCTCAATAACCCGGGTTGAGCAATATTCTGAAACACAGGCCAGGTCTGTATTGATTATACTCTTAAGCCCTTCTAACTCCGACGATCACAGTGTAGCCTAGCGAAATAAGTTTTGGGCACGGGATACATCTGGGCGCGGGAATACTGCGGCATTTAAAAAATCCGGGGTAGCCATAGCAACAGGCTACCTTATACTCGAACTGGTGAGAAGAGCAAATGAAGACCCTATAAGATCTGAGCGTGAATTATACGGTTAAATCTCCGCCTCACTGCAACACACTACAGCAGTTTCTGTTGCTTTTGTTTCTGTTTCTGTCTCTGTCTCTGTCTCCGTAGGCGATTATCTGTTGCTCTGTTGCAGAGCTACGTTGCTCAGGCGTAGCAAGAAAGCAGTCTTGGCCGTCTTAACACCCTCCTTTTTCATGTTGAGCAGTAGTTGCTGTAGCTGCTATACATCACCCACTGGCTTGCGCTTTTCTTGAATGTTACATCAACCCTACAAGTAGTGCTCTGATATAGGTTCCAGCCTCGCGTATGTGTATGTACAGAGCAACCGATAGTCCATGCGACTGCCGAATTCGGACACGGGCATCTCACTTGCGTATGTATGGAAAATAAAAATACGACAGTCGAACATAAAGGGATGACGAGTAGTCACAGAGGGAATTGATGAACAAAGACGGGATTTTGCCACCTACAAGCCAGATTTTCTATTTACAACAATATCTGGTCAAATTTCAGTTTCGTTACATAAATCGTTATGTCAAAGGAGTGTGGGAGGTTAAGAGAATTATCACCGGCAAACTATCTGTTAATTGCCTAAATGCCAACACCGTTGTAGGCAACAGCGTTGGGAGAGCCCTTGAGGTTGGTGGTGGGAAGAACACCGGTGTTGGACTCAGTAATAAGAGCCTCGACCTGGGCAGGGGTGAGAACCTCGTCATTGATGGACAGGTAGTAGGAGGCAAGACCGGCAACGTGGGGACAGGCCATGGAGGTACCGGAGTAGACCAAAGTACCAGAGTCGGACTGGTAAGAGGCAGAGATGATATCGGAGCCGGGGGCAAAGACATCAACACAAGTTCCGTAGTTGGATCCCTGTCCACCGGACCAGACGGAGATCTTATCGCTAGAGTCAATGGAACCCACAGTGATGATACCAGAGGTGGAGCCTCCAATGTTACCGGGAGAGTCGTTACAGGCGTCCACGGCATCGTTTCCCGCAGCGATGGCGACAAGCAGACCCTCCTGGGTAGCTCGAGACCATAGGGCGTCCTGGGAAGCGGACTTGGGTCCTCCTCCAGAGAAGTTCAGCACTCCTCGAGGCAGAGTGTCTCGCTTGGAGATGTAGTCGTTGAGAGCCCAGGTGAAGCCCTGGTTGATGACGGAGAGAGCTGCGGATCGGCCTGCAAACACCTTGACGGCCACCAGCTTGGTGTTGGCGTCGACTCCGTATGTCTTTCCTCCCACGGTACCTGCAACGTGAGTGCCGTGACCGAGAAGATCAGCGTTCTGTGTGTCAGCGAAGTTGGCTCCCCAGACAGCTCGGCCTCCGAACTCGGAGTGGGTGGTTCGGATACCAGAGTCAACAACGTAAGAAACGGTGGGGTGCTTGCCAACTGTCTCTCGAACGTAGGCGTAGTTTCCAGTCTGGGCCTTCTTATGAGAGATTCTAGACAGGCCCCATTGAGTGACGGGAGTAGTCTGGATAGCTCGCTTGGCATTAGAAGAAGCAGGAATCTCGGGGAGAGACACAATGGTATCGGGCTCGACCGTCAGAACAGACGACTCCTTGAGCTTGTCAACGATAGTGGAGTTGAACTTTCCAACAAATCCGAGAAAGCCAGATCCATCCGTGTAGACAGGAAGATCAAGAGCAGAGGTGATACCGTTGGACGAGTCCTCGTCGACCAGAGAGTCCAGCTTCTGGATTTCGGAGGCGATCTGGTCAACAGTAGCGCTACTGTCAAAGACAACGATGAACTGATCCTTCTCATCAAGATCTCGCTTGTGGTGCTTAAACTTCTTGGACTGCTTAGCGACCACGGACAGAATAGATGAGTAGGCAGCGGCGGCAGGGCCCGTCGATGGGGTTTATATCGTGTTTCTGGACAAGATACTATCCAGAAACTGCTCTGATTGCGTCACGAAACACGGCTCTCGCCAAGACGCGCCAAGACGATGCCCTCATTATCTTGGTGCAATACAGGTGGAGTGTGTGCATTAGTTGGTGCCGTGCCTTCTCACGATATCTGACAGGGGCTTGGGTTTGGGTTGGAAGTCGGATTCCGCTGAAACATGGTGTTGTGCAGATGTGAGTCTCTCAAAGTCGGTTCATCATACTCCATTGACATCATGGTACAGTGCGTACGTAAAAGATGGCCTGACTACAAGTAGTGGGATCTCTCTAACATTGTCCATCACATCGTAAATCACACCGCCTATCCATGAACCCTGATGCCGATCGTCGAAGTTAGACCAGGGCCAGTGGTGGGTAGCGTGGGGTAGGCTGCCACTGCCGTTGGAACCCCTTGTGTCCCTGGACTACAACTTAACCAACATGTCAGACAAAGGAGAGAAAAGTGTCCGCTCCACCGAACTGACGCCAGGAATGTACCGTGGCGCTCAAGAGGTCATGTGTAATTAAGGATACAAGATAAGCTGCGCCCTTGAATGCAAAAAGCACGCAGCTCATATGTTAATTTCCAATCAATGTTTCAGGGATGCATAGGACCCCGGATCGAGGTGGGCGGGAACAACGGTCTCGATAATGTACGTACACTACACACAAAGAGAAGCAAGTGGGGGCGGGACTGCACGGCACTTGTGAGACACCTCAGATTGTACCTGATACGCCTGAATATCGCAAATATTATGACTGTGTTGCAGGCTTGTCTTGACACTGTGTTCCGCTAGCCGGTGGATGTACCATCTATCAAACGGCTCTACGTACGTAACCCAAAACCCAAACTCTCCACGCGTTGCTGCTCTAACTGTCGCGACCTTATCTCTGACATAATTTCTGTGGCTTGGTACATACGCCACGCAACGACATGTTAGCTACAATAGTCTACTGAAGGTACAGTACTATACATACGCCTGTTTGGGTGGCCTGTCAATAAATCATGTGCAAGGCTACATACTTCTGCTGTATGGTTGGCTTGTTTAGTGTCTTCATGCATGCAAACTGCATTACCTACCCACCCATTACGCCTTCAGGACGCTCACCCTCACGCACAACAATGACTTTCCGAGATAACAATTCCCGCAGGTCCTCTGTGATGGAAACAGGCTCGGAGCCGTCCGCTGAGTTGCGTCTGTCCTCGTTCTTTCGGTCAATAAGCTCGACCGTACGTCTGAATCGGTAGAACAAGAGCTCGGCACGAACAAGAAGCTCGTCCAAATCGATGGTCATGGACAGCTCGTTCATGTACTTCAGAATCTCATCAAACCCAGCCAGATGGTCAATCATGACGTCCTTGTGCTTATCGAGGATAGCCAGGCACACAAATAGAACAAATTGGGACGACAGGTAATCTGTCCACAACACCTCCCACAGACGCAAAACGTCATCCCAGAGCAACTCTCGCTTGAACCACACCAGCAGCATTCTGAAGAAGAAAAACAGATTGGTTGACTCGGTCTTCTCAAGGTGCTTGTACAGTGAGGGAAGCATAAATTGGACCAAATGGTCCAGACAAAGAAGCTGGTTTCTCATGCCACTCTGGTCCCGGAGGTAGTTTCGCTCCATGCGCTCCATGAAGGCCGAAAACGCCCAAAATGCCAGTGTGTCATCCTGCAGCACGACATACAGCGGTGATAGGAGGTCTGACATGCCCTGGACATAGCCCAGATTCTTGTTATGCTGGTTGTAGGTAATCAACATGTCACGGAGCTGGATCAAATGAATGTTGGAGTTTATCTGGGACGAAAACCCAAACTCATCCTTATCGTAGTTGTCATCATCCCCGTCCTTTTTGGCGTCACACTCGGCAAAAAATGTGATGTTTCGGTCGGTACGGTGCACGTCTTTTTCGATTCGGGAAAGTTGGTCTCGCCAAAAGTCGTCCCGCTCCTTGTCCTCCTGTACCCACCACTCCTTCTTGAGCCGGTTGTAGTCAACTCTAAGCTTTGACACCAGTTCCTTGCGTTCTGCAGCTGTCGAGTCCCAAGGATAGACGCCAAGCAGGAACAGCCAACCCTCGGGCCTGACAGCGGGAGCTAATCCACCGTGGAAAATGCGCTCCTTGACCTCATTGACTGTGACAATCAGCCGACCATTGTAATCAAAGAAGGCGTTCCATTCGGCCAACGACACTTCGTTTCGTCTCTGCGGGTTGTTTTCGGCGTCAATAAGCTCGAACCCCTCGTCTGACACCAGCTCCCGTAGCTCATCGTCAAACAGAACCTTGAGCTTTGCCCTCTGACTCTCCTCCGCCACACTGAGGGCCCATTTGGCCAAGTAGATTCGAGCAGAGTCAAAATCGTCTCCAATTTTCTTGACTTCGGGCTTCATGAGCAGTTGCTTGACGGGCTGTGGCGAAGAGTCCCAGACACCCTGAGACACCTTTCGGGTCAGTTGTGTCACCTTAGCAAGGTTGCTGAGAAGACCCCACCGGATATCTGAGAAGGCCTTTTGAACCTGGGCCCCTCGGTCAACAGGGTCACCTCCAGCGCCTCGGCCTGGAATACCAGCAACTAGTTGAGAAGGCTCCTCAGAGCCTCCGGTGAGATTAGTACCGAACCGTTCAGCGTCACCTTCTCGTGGGTTGACAAGCAAGAATGAATGGTCGCTTTCAGCCCGCTCGAGGTTCGCGTACTTAGAGAGCACTTGAATGAAGTGATCGCCGCCCCAGAACATAGACGAGCCTGACTCGCTGTCAAAGGTCTCGAACTTTTTGTTGCGTCGCTTCTGCTCCATGATTGTAGACTGACTTTCGGCGTCGTGGAAGTAGAGCGGAGGAAGCTGGTCTTCCTTGGAACGTGTGTGGATGGTGATAGAGCCCCACCACCAGCCAAGTGAGGGCTGTTTGACCTGTAGAGAAAAGATGTCGCTGATGGGGATAGAAAACGCGTAGCTGGAGAAAGAAGAAGAGGGAGGTGGCGACACTAGCGTCTCGGCCAGGTTGAGGGACGACGAGGCCGGGGTGCCACTCTCTTTGATATCGACTTTGACATAAGACTCAAAGTCGGCGGCGGACTCTTGTAGCTTCGATTCGGGGATCCAAGCAACCAGAATTTCTTTGTCGGTGGTTGCTCCCCGAGGTTTGGCGAGTGCTAGAAACCCGGGAATGTTGTCCTTTGAGGAAGGTGTAGGGTGAACATAGACCTGGTGGTTAATACTGGTAAGTTGTGTGTGTGACACAGACACAGGCCATAGGCTGTTCATTGTTGTCAAAGATGTCGGTATTGGCTTATTTACAGGTCAACCAGACACCAAAGTAGCCCTTAAATCACAGACCCACGGTCTCCGCCGTCTGTTTGTGTAACTCATGATATCAAACGGCTGTAGCGCCACCCTTCATTGTCGTACTCACCTTGCTTTTGCTAAACAGCAACTGGCACTTCGAGCTACTCATGTGTTCAACAATCACAAAACTGTCGTGGGAAGTTGAAGGCGAAAAATCAACCGAATTAGCACGCTTCATGAATGGTTGAAGAGGTCGCTATCGGTTGCGGTGGCGCTGCACGATACAGAGTTTAAACTCTGGGGAGGCGTGCTATGATACGCGAGATGACGTTGCGTAGTGGGCAATGGGAGAGTAGGAGCGGGTGTTTTTGATCCAAAAAAAAATGATAATAATGATGAAATTGAGTCACTTGTGAGAATTATTTAATAAAATTCCAAAAATTTACACCATACGACACTGAAATGGGCCCTACAAGTAGCCATCACTCACATGGAAACGGAGATGAAACTTACAGTGTGGTGTATCAGAGAGAGTGGAGAGGGTTACAAAAATGATACAAGTACAGGTACAGTATCAGAAATTTTCATGCTGTAAAGTTGATAGGTCGTCATTTATCTTGCAAGTACTTGTTGCTTACCAATATACATTTGGTTGTCCTTTGCACCAACTCTCTGTAGCACTGCCTATGGTGCCAAAACAGGCATCTACTGTACATACGTTCTGTATTTGTTCAAGCGGCTAAGCATTGCCCGGATGGTCACTGTACATGATTTACTAATTATACGTACAGTATGTACTGTAAGTACTGTACCAGTACGATCCACTTCACCTTCAACTACTAGTCTTGTAGAAATGCACTCTATTTACAGAAAACTACTTGTACTGTACCATTAGTCTCTGAGAGCTACCCTAAGCTCGTCTACCTCTACCCCAGAAAAATGTATATGCCGTCATTCACCCTTTCAGTCTCAATTCAGACGCACTCCCTGAACACCCTTGTTAGTAACGCTTGCAATCCAATCTCCCGATGCACTCCAGCAAATGTTATTAACTTCGGCCGAGTCCGTGAAGGCCGAGTCCAGATGGTAGTCGCCCGGCACGGCCGTGTTCCACAAGATGATCTGTGAGTCGTCAGACGAAGATGCCAACAATCTCTTTCGCTGTCCTCCTACAACCACGCTCTGGGGGCACCATTGGATGGCGTTCACAGGAGCCTGGTGCTGCTGTAGCACGTCTATGGGCATGCCCGGTTGGCGAATATCCAGAATGAGCACCTTACTCGAGTTGCCTGCAAAAGTAGCCAAAATGTTGCCGTCGTAAGGGCATCCGGCAATTCGCACTAGAGGCGGTGGTTTGGGCGGGTCGTATATGATTGTAGAATGGTCGAGGGCTCGGAGATCGAAGACTCGGACCGATCCGTCGGCCCCAACCGATGCAAACACATCTGTGGACCCCGCTGTGAATTGCACGTCGTAGACCTCTTGGTCGTGGGCAATGAGCTGGGTGCGTGCGGACGATGTATTGAGGTCCCACAGCGTGCATGTCGTGTCTATGGATGAAGTGATGATGAGATGTGGCGCGACCTTGTTCCAGTCGAACGAGGTGATAGGCGAAATGGACCCGGACTTGGAGTTGGACAGCGAACATCGCTGCTGCAAAAACCCTTTGGACGAGTCATACGACCAGATGCGCAGACAGTCACCTGATGTGGCAAACTGGCGCTTTCCCTGAGCATCAAGCCTTGAGTCCCACGCCAGTTTGGTGCATGGATATGGCACCGATGCTTCTGCCGCCAAGTTGAACGAATTGCCTTCTGTGTGCACCACCTGGATTTTGTTCTTGGACTCATCGTTGCACGTGCCCACCGCCAGGCACGACATGCCGTCTGCAGCCGGAGTGCTCCAGCTAACTGAGTACAGCGGCATGGTGGACTCGAAATATGCAGATCTTCGCGGTAGCTGGTAGTCGCTCGGCGCGTACTTCATCCCTGTAGAAGGAGCGTAGGAGCTAGCCTGGGCAGACTGCTCCCACATGTATGGTTCTCCTGGAGCCGCCGACGCGCTGTATCTGCTCGTCTTGGCTGCTGTATGAGGTCCCGACGAACCAGCTGTAGCTTCTTCATCGTATGGATTCCACCCAGGCGGGTATCGCTGCTGCTGGGGCGATATCGGTTGCTGCTGGGCAGTTGAAAAATGCGAGAATGACGACCGCTTTCCTAGAGACGGACGCATTTCCGGGCCCTGGTGTGTGATGATGGATGCAATATTGGGGTGAAGGTGGTGTATACCGGGTGCATTTGTTGGTCGTGAACTTTATGGGGTAGCTAGCGCACGACTGAACATTGTTAGCTGCCAGTACCAATACGCACACGAACACCGAGAGGAGGACATTGTAGGAACAAGAGTGCTACTGGGAAGAGAAATATAATTTAGAGCTCTGAGTAGCAGTATAGGAGTTGTTATTAAACTGGAGATCTTGCTGAAGGGGTCATTTCAGGAGTCTGTCACCACGTCATTGGGCACGTGACCAGAACTAGCGGCGGAAGCACACACGCCAAGATACGAACTTGATCATGATTGGTCATATAAGTACTGTGGCTGTAATTCCTGCCTCTTTCTCCGCACAGAACTGGTTTTGAGTCTACAGGTATCCTTATCACAAGCCTGACAGTCATGGTACGGACTTGTACCCCGCCCCTCAGCTTACACGTGCATCACCAAGCACACTTGGTAGCTGCAAGATAAAGTTGAGCTGGACCTGAGTGAGGATGCACAACCTGTAACCAACACGACCTCAGATTTGTGAGACCACACACATCCTACCCTGCATCCAATAGACAACGACCATCATGTCATACCAACGAAGAATCATGAAGGAGCTGGAACGGCTAAAAACCGCTCCCCCAAACTGTGAGTATCACTACGGACGTTCACCCACTCTTTTGCGCCTATCATACTGTACTTGTACTAACCCAGCACACATCACACTGGTTGAAGCCAATGACCTGGAAACATGGCAGATAGATTTGGAGGTGAACAATGACAACCCGCTGTACACTGGCAAAACGTTCCGACTCCAATTCATCATTGGTCCCAATTATCCGGTGGAAAGCCCCCAGGTGCAATTCATGCCACTGCCAGCTCGACCCATCCCCATCCACCCTCACATCTACAGTAATGGTCACATTTGCCTGGACATTTTGGGCGACGAATGGACACCGGTCCAGACGGTGGCGTCGGTGTGCATTTCCCTACAGTCCATGCTAGGAAGTAACGACAGAGACGAACGACCTCCGGATGACGAACGATACATCAAGCATGCCCCCAAGAACCCCAAACAGACTCGTTTCGTTTATCATGATGACACCGTCTAACCTACTAACTAAGAACATATAAATGCGCAACTATCTCGTTTCTTGTACAAATACACTTGTTACACATCCACGCACACCTGTTCTAAATCATATATTCATATTCAATAAATCAATGCAAAAAATGTAATGCAAATGTAATGCAATAACATGTCTGCCCGTTATTTCAGTATTGTAGGCAGCATAGTATCATGACGTGTATGCAAACTTGTCCTTCAACGACGTGGCTCCACCCTTGGAAACCCCTCTGTTGACCTTTAAGGACTCCCTCTCCTGCTTCAGCAGCTTCAGAGCTGGAGCAAACACCACAAACAACTGCTTGTGGTCCGGAAGAAGAGTCGCAAACTCGCTGTAGCTAGTGGGCAACTCATACGACAGCACCTCCAGCACATCCTCGCTGCACACACTGGAAGGCCGGGTGAGGTTCTGCTCGTTGCAGTGATCAGACCGCACCTCCTCTAATCGCTTGTAGGCCTCTCCTTGGTGTCTCTGGGTCAATGCGGCCTCCGAAAGTGGCCTGTCAAAGAAGCTAGAAGTCGATTTGTTGTTTGAGATCGGAGTGGTTTTGGTAGCGGTTGTGGCTGCACTGCCAGCGGGTTTAGGAGCAGCAGGTTTGCTGCTAGTGCTGGAATCGGATGTCAGGTTGATGGTAGCTGTGGTCTTGACCCTGGAAGGGGTTTTGGAAGCAGTAGTTCTCTGGAGGCCAGCTCCATTGAGGGTCCGAGCCACCGGCTTCTTCGCAGTTGTGGGAGTGCTCGTCTTGGTCACTCTGTTTTTTATACTGGAAGTGGCCGTGGTGGTCAGAAGAGCAGCACGGCTTCGAGAAGTTGGTTTGGGATTGGGTTGAGCGTACGCTCCTGAGGGAGTGAGGGGATCCAGAGAGTTGGTCCTTCTCGCAAACGAACTGGCTGTTTCGAAACCCATAGGCTCGCCTTCGGGGCGACTGTTCGTCCGATTGAGACCAGGCACGGTCTTTTTGCTGCCAGTGTCATGAACATGAGTGACAATTGTCACCTCCTCGTTGCCCTGTAACACGTCTCGCCACAAAGAGTCCGGTCGGAGATACGTACATGCGAATCCGGACTTGTTTCTCTCTGTGTGTGCCCTCAACGCCTTCATCAGAATCAGTTTGGTGATAATTCGTTCCAACGTCGTCTTGTCGTACACCTTACCTGTACCGTACCCTGCCAATTCGTTGTGACCCAGATCCTTAACCTTCTTCGTTGCTGAACCTCGTATCAAGTCACCGCAGTAGGCCACAGTGATGTTTTGGTTATCCTGGGTGGCGGCGGAAACCAATTTGATGATATTCTTAGCCACATCAGTCACATCTCTGGTCTCCCGAGTGTATTCATGGCCATACTGACAGTTGTCACACGAGTTTCGACAGAGCTTAGGATCGAACGTTTCGTTGAAGTACCGCAGCACCTGCACTCGTCGACAATCAACTCTGTTCTCACAGTAGTTAATGACACCCTGCATCAGCTCTCGGTGGTGAGTACGCTGACGTTGGGTCAACGCCCAGTCTACTTTGCCGTTCTCACCCAGAAACTCATCGTTGGCAATGTTGAACAGCATTTGCCGGGCATCCTTCTGGCTGAAGTACACAATGCATTTGGAAGGAAGCCCGTCTCGACCAGCTCGGCCAGTCTCCTGGTAGTATCCCTCCATGTTTCGAGGCACAGTGCAGTGGATGACGTATCGCACATCAGCCTTATCGATACCCATTCCAAACGCAATGGTAGCACAAACAACCTGAATTTTGCCAGATTGCCAGTTGCCCTGCACGTATGTTCGCTGCTCTGTCTCCATTCCAGCATGGTAGAAATCAGCCTTGATTCCAGCTTCCTTTAAAAACTCAGATGTGGTCTCACACAGTTTCTTGGAGTGGCAATAAATAATGCCTGTTTGTCCTCTGTAGCGGCCTCGCAGCATATCTGTAATCTCCTGTTGAAAGTTCTTTGTCTTCAACCGCACCTCGTAGTAGAGATTAGGTCGGTTGAACGACTGCTTGAAGAACCGCCTGTTAGGTCGAAGACAGCCCTGAATGTCCATACGTACCTTTTCGTTGGCAGTAGCTGTCAGAGCCATTATAGGAACGCCGGGAAGACGAGACTTCACATTTACTAGAGCCTTGTAATCGGGACGGAAGTCGTGACCCCAGGAAGAAACACAATGGGCCTCGTCAATGACGATTCGAGCTAGCCGATTCTGCTCATGCAGCTTATGAAGTGTGTTCTGCATGATGTTGCTTTGCTGAAACATCTCGGGGGAAACATAGAGCAGTGCAATATCACCACTGGAAAGGGCTGCCAACGACTGCTTACGTTCCTGTACAGATTGTGACGAATTGAACATGGCACAAGAGATGTTCTTAGCAGTAAGAGCTTCGGTCTGGTCCTTCATGAGCGAAATAAGAGGCGAAATGACCACAGAAAGTCCCCGTGTCTTGCCACCGTTCACCAGGGCTGGCAATTGGTAGCAGAGAGACTTTCCTCCGCCTGTAGGCATGAGAACAAGCACATCATCACCGTTCAAAGTGGCATTAATTGCATGAAGCTGGTTAGCGCGGAATTCATTGAGCATGAACCGTTCGCGTAATACCTTGTAAACCTCCTGTGTCCACGGGTACTCGTCTTCCTCGATCGCAACACACTCTTCTGAGCCATCAGAGAGGTCCAGGTCGTCGCCAATACCGATCCCAATGTCGAGGATACCCTGTGTGGACGCCCCAACCTCGCGTCGGTTGCCCACCTTGTCCAGGGCCTCGTCAAAGTCCATATCGTCGTCAGCCAAGCTGAATCTGGTAGGAGAAGATGATGGAAACAACGTTCTGCCGGGTCCGAATGGGTTAAGAGCAGAAGAGTCGGGGTCTCTATCTTCTCTATTGGGACTCTGGACTTGAATCACTGAGAAATCAGACTCGAAATCGTCACTATCGATCTCAATGGGTTCGGATTCATGATGAGATGCCTCTATAGGTTTCCTGGGGGTGACACTAGGAGGCGCCAGAGGCTTCTGGAAATTTTCCTGAGCATCACTGAACGACATGCTATCGTTACACTCGTCGTCAGAGTCGTTTTTGGCCATATCAAGCTCGAGTTCCAGGTCCAGATCAATGTCGTCCATGTCGAAGTCGGACAGACTTTTCTTCTGTTGCGGTTCCTCTTTCTTTTCCTTACCTGTTTGTTTTTCGGGTAGCTCCAATATTTCGTCGTCGGGTTCCGAGTCAGAGACAACTTGTGGAGAGTCGGCCCTGCTGTTTGGGCGTGCTGGCGTGTCAGGTACCTGGGTAAGAGTATCTCTATCAAAGGCAGATGTGTCGGGTTTCAGAGCTGCCTCCAGCTCGTCAATCTGTGCTAGCAGCAGCACATCTTGTGGTCGATGCCGGAGCTTTCTATACAGTTGCAGCAACTCCATCAGTTCTGCATTTGTAGGGATGGCTGATGGTGGTCGTAAAGCTTTGGGGGTTGCAAGAACAGACGGCATAGTGCATGGGATGGTTGTGGCTGTTGCTGTGCGTAGAGCCTTCCTTGCAATAGGTGCGGGAAGGTCATCGGATGAGAGATTAAAGTCCGACAGCTCCGAGAACTCCGAGAACTCATCAGGGAAAGGTTTCGATTGACTGGGCACTGATTTTGCCACCGGTGCTGCAATGTTGGGTCTTTGCGCCGTAGCGTGGGTCTCTGGCGATGTTTCCGACCCTGCAGATGACATCAGTGTGACCGATCTAGCAGCCTTCTGTGGCCCTGCTATCGTTGGCCTCATGTCGTTTGTGTTTGATGCTGTCGCTTGTTTCTGTGGTTGAGGATGTGTCTGTGTCCGCATGGGCTGTGTGGTTGACCTTGGGCCGACAGATGTCGCGTCTGGCTTGTTTTTCGGTATGCCTGTGATGCTACTCTCAGCTCCGTCCCCCACGCCACCGGATGACTGTATTCGTTTGGCGGTCGGAGACTTTGGGCGATTGGCAGAGATGCGTTTCAGAGGTCGATTGGGAGGGGGTTTGGGCACGTTCCCCTCGTTCTTCAGTAGCCACTCCTTGTGTATGTCGAGGTTGTTTTTAAATCGCAGTGTACCTTGCACGACCACCATTTGCCTTGACTGTGAGGGTGTCAGTGGCTTACAGTACCTTCTATCGCGATATCAGAGTGTAGGTTTAGGGTTGTACGCGACCTTTCGTGAGCTGCTAAAGTAAACAAGTTTTGGCTTCAATGCATGTGAGCTGCACTGAGGGTGTGTGTGAGTGATCTGGTACCAGACAATCGATAGTAGGAGAACATGGTGATTAATGGGTGGAAGGGGGATGCGGGGGTTGGCACAGATGTTGTGTTATGTTCGATGTTGGGTTGTTCATCAGACTTATCCCCTTCTGTTATGTTGATGTATTATAAGTACAAGTATATACAGTAGGCACGTTAAATCGGAACCATATAGAGGCTGAGACGGCGCCTCAGAGATACAAGTACTGCCAAAGCACATAACAACAGCTGACCACACGATGCTAGGCTCACAAGTACATATACTGTACTGTAATGCACTTGTACAAGTAGCTAGAACGACACTGCTGTTCGACGTGCAACGCGATCATAACCTGTCGGCTTCATGAAGAGACACGAACTCAAATATGCACCATGAAATAACGCGTCCCCATGTACTTGCCCGTGTACGTGTCATGTTGTGGATAAAAAAGTACCATTCACGACTACAGATCACCAGGCAAGACACAGGAATGTGAAAAATGCCTGATCACATATAGTTTTCTGTACTATACTGTGTGTTCCAGACTTCCTCACCCTCCTACGAGTTCGAGTACGACTACGACTGGCACATCATGATACTCGTACAATTACTGTAGAAAACTTCGACTCAGATCTTCAACATCAGGTTTACACATATTAACAGAGAGGAGTACCAGTACTTGTAGAAAAGGCTACATAACACACGTGCAGGACGGTAAAAAGCACAAGACCACACAAGATGCGATGGTCTATACTCTGTCCGACCTCTCGTACACTTTCAGGCGTTTCCAACCAACTATCTTCAACCTCGCTCCACTCTCACTCACTCCTGGTAGAGTTTCGGGGCTCCCATTCATTGTAAATTTTCTATCACGTTGTTATAAGGAGTCCTTCGGCGATGAGTGATACGAACAAACCGAATGACATAAATAGAGCTGAACAAAGAACCAGACAAGAATACTTCATTGTTCCCCCAATCGCGTGAACGGATAATTGTGTACATCCATGCACGCTGTCCGGCTCTACTCCGACTCGCTGTCATTTTCCCCCACATTAACTTTAGAAACTTTCTGGAGCAAACTGCAGGACGGATGTCCGGATCGCGCTATGGAGCTACAGTAGCAGTTACAGGCAACTAGTGGGTATACGTAATCACGAGAAAGCAGGCTCAATCGATCCAATTGGGGTACATAGAAGCAACCAGCACTTCTTGACGGTCACTTCCCACCAAAAATGTTGCCGTAAACCACCCAGTTCTTCCGCCAACAACCGCTCACACATTTACCATGTGATTTTGGCAGGCTTAAACTTTGAGTGGGGATCATGTAGGCCGTCAAGGTGATCAGTCAGGCGTGCCCGTGACTGCTGAACCAGCCGAGCCGGAGATTTTTCTAGGATGAATCACACATGACTACAAATCTCCTGACTCAATTAGGCGGACAAACACAATTTTCCGAACTGCGGTTCCCCCCAAACTCGACAAAGAAGGACCGTGCCTGGAGAAAGCCGAGTCGGAAAACTCTAAGGAAGTGTTTGACTCCAAGCCCTATTTAACACGAGCGGTTGCTGATTCGGTCACTAAAAAACAAGTGCAAAAATGCTTCGAACACGATTCATCAACAGCGTCAACAGCGCACGAGCAATGTCTCGAAACATCAACACCCTGTCGCAATTCCCTTACCCCACCCTTCAGCAAGAGGAGAGCTTCTTCAAGAGCCAGGTCGAGGACATTGAAAAGTGGTGGGCCTCTCCTAGATATGAGGGCATCAAGCGACCCTACACCGCCGAGAAGGTGGCCATCCACCGAGGTACTCTCCCCCAGACCTACGCATCTTCCGTCCAGGCCGAGAAGCTCTTCAACATCTTCACCGAGCGAGGCAAGCAGGGTCTTCCTGTCCACACAACCGGTTCTGTCGACCCCGTCCAGATGACACAGAGCGCACCTCATCAGGAGGTGGTTTACATTTCCGGCTGGGCCTGTTCGTCCCTGTTGACTACCACCAACGAGGTGTCACCTGATTTCGGAGACTACCCTTACGACACCGTTCCCAACCAGGTTGATCGAATCTTCCGAGCCCAGGGTCTTCACGACAAGAAGGCGTGGCACGAGTGGATGTCTCTGTCCCACGAGGAGCGAGTCAAGCGAGACCAGGAGGGCAAGGGCCGAATCGATTACCTGCGACCCATCATTGCCGACGCTGACACCGGCCACGGCGGTCTGTCTGCCGTTATGAAGCTGGCCAAGCTTTTTGCCGAGCGAGGCGCTGCTGCCATCCATCTCGAGGACCAGCTGCACGGCGGTAAGAAGTGCGGTCACCTTGCTGGCAAGGTCATTGTGCCCACCGGCTCTCACATTTCCCGACTCAATGCCACCCGAATGCAATGGGACATCATGGGCTGCTCCAACCTGGTGATTGCCCGAACCGATTCCGAGTCTGCCAAGCTGCTTTCTTCTGCTGCCGATCCCTCCGACCACGAGTACATCCTCGGTGTCGTCAAGCCCATCAAGCCCCTGGCCGAGGTCCTCCTCACCGCCGAGGCCAACGGCGCCACTGCCGATATGGTCAACAAGCTCGAGCTCGAGTGGACCAAGGAGGCCGAGATGATGACCTACGACGAGGCCGTGCAGCGAGCCCTGACCGAGGCCGGCAAGTCCGACAAGATCGAGGAGTACCTGACCAAGGCCAAGGGCAAGTCCAACTTTGAGGCCCGACAGATTGCCGACGAGCTGGCCGGCAAGCACATTTTCTTCGACTGGGACGCTCCCAAGACCCGGGAGGGCCACTACCATGTCCAGTGCGGCATTGAGCCTGCCATCAAGCGAGCTCTGGCCTTTGCTCCTTACGCCGATCTCATCTGGCTCGAGACCAAGACCCCCGACCTTGCCCAGGCCCAGGCCTTTGCCAAGCGAATCCGAGAGAAGTTCCCCGGCAAGTGGCTGGTGTACAACCTGTCACCTTCCTTCAACTGGTCTGCCCATGGCTACTCCGACGAGCAGCTGAAGTCGTTTGTGTGGGACCTGGCCAAGTCTGGCTTTGTCATGCAGCTCATCTCTCTGGCCGGCCTGCACTCCAACGCCGTCGCCACCCATGAGCTCTCCACCCGATTCAAGACCGAGGGAATGAAGGCATACGTGGACCTTGTCCAGCGAAAGGAGAAGGAGCTTGGATGTGACGTCCTGACCCACCAGAAGTGGTCCGGTGCCAACTACCTGGACTCCATCATCTCCACTGTCCAGTCCGGATCTTCCGGCACCTCTTCCACCGGTGGCGACTCCACCGAGAACCAGTTTTAAGCATGGTACGATGTGTAACTAGCTAACTGGATGAAAGAACGGCAAACTGAACTTCCAAAGGAAGTGTTTGTCCATGTAATTAACGATGACTTATTAAAGAACTGTGCGATAATTGTAACCTAGAATCGCTCGTAGTAATGTAATAATGTGGTATATCAATCCATAATTATGTACAGTACAGTACAGTACAGTACCCGTACTTGTACCATGTATGTGCTGTATATACGAGTATAATGTATTACAAGTACATACTGTACTCGTAGTAGTACTACAAATCATTTCTTCAGTAGGAATAAAGCATTGTCGCCAGCAGTCAGTCATCAGCAAACATAGCCGACATAGTTGTGCCGGGTAGGTTAAATAGACTGATTAATAAATGATTCACCACAACAACAACCAAAGAGCCAAATACTGTACACCATATTGTACCCACACATCGTGATCGTACGTGAAAATGCACTCAGAAACATGATTAGTAAGCTAACTTTATCACACGACCATGGTGATTGTGGTTAATTGGCGTGATATAGTATTTGGGTCGAAAACAAAGGGAGGACATACAACTCAATTTGATCCGTTTGGTATTCTCCTGAGTCTTTATTTTTCGAATCAATTTTTTTGATCTTTCATCTCCATTGGTTACAGGAACTCTCTCTCCTCTCACTCTTCAGTTCCATGTCCCAAACTCCTCGAATCAAATAAAGTTGTCTCAAAATTTCACCTCTTGAAACCTGGTTTCAACAACAATGATTCGAAGACTGGCTCTTGGAAGGGTGAGTATGGAAGGGACAATGTGGATCCGGCAGAAGAAACAAGTCATCAAGAGGTGGATTTAAGCATGCCAAACAGATAACAATACTCTTGCTCCAACAATCAAGTGCCTTACGACAGGCCATCGGCTTGTTCATGTTCGTTACGCTCAAGTTCACTAACTAACCCAGTCTCTACGGCCCAGCCTGTTCCCAGCACTACACAGCCAGCCCTTCCAGCGTCGATTCAATTCGTCGATTCCCCAGAAGGCCGAAGCTGCCCTGGACACCGTCGAGCGCGACATCGAGAAGACCGCAGATGCTGCTTCTAACCTGACCGAAAAGGTGCTGGACAAGGTGGCTCCCATCCAAACCCATATCCAGCAGTTCCCCGACCACGTTTCCACGCACGCCCCCGACACCATCGGCTACTTCCAGTCGCTTGACATCACCGGCTCTCTGTGGTCTCTTTGGCCCTCGGACATCTACCTCAATCTGCTCGAGCACGTGCACGTGTACACTGGCTTGCCATGGTGGGCTGCCATTGCTTCCACCACTGTCATTGTGCGAGTTCTGCTGTTCCCTCTGTTTGTCCAGGCTGCCAACGAGCAGGGCAAGATGTCTGAGGTCAAGCCCGAGCTCAACGTGATTGACGAGAAGCTCAAGTCGGCTGCCAACATGACTGAGATGCAGATGGTTGCCCACGAAAAGAAGAAGATTCTCAAGAAGTACGGAATCTCCCAGATGAAGCTGTTCTACCCCATGGCTATGTTCCCTCTCACCATTGGTATTTTCCTTGGTATTCGACGAATGTGCGAGATTGGCGGAGTGCAGGGTCTGTCCACGGAGGGTGTGCTGTGGTTCCAGAACCTGGCTGCCCCGGATCCCTACCTGGGTCTGCAGGTCATCACTGCCGCCATGTACATGGCATCCATCCGACTCGGATCTGAGACTGGCACCAACAACCTCTCTCCCGGCATGAAGAAGATTCTGCAGTGGGCTCCCTGGATCTCTGTGCCCTTCCTGATGAAGATGCCCGCCGCCCTGCTGCTACATTTCTTCGTCAACGGTATCCTTATGCTGATCCAGGGAGTGGCTCTGCGAAACCCCTTCTTTCGAAAGAAGTTGGGCATTCACGAGATAGTTCCCCTTCCCGCGGCTGCTCCTGGCGCCTCCGGCAAGACCGACTCCGTTCGAGATACGATTCGAAACGCCATCGACAAGCGAAAGCGAGATGCTGCCATGCAGAAGAAGGAGGACGATAAGAACGCCGAGCTCTCCAAGCTTGCTGCCAAGCGAGCCGAGGGTGTTGTTCTCAAGCGACGAAAGTAGCCGTATGTATATAGTTAGTATGATGTTTAGTTTAGCAAGCGGAAAAAGTGGTGCTCGCAAGTGTTTAAGCTGATTAGTCGGAGGACTTTAGACATGGGCGCACTTAAAAACACTCAGCCAGGCTTGTCGCGTCAAAAAAAGCAATTACAAGTATGTACTGTAGCGGTAGCAGTGCCTGACATTGTGCCTGAATAATAGATATAGATGTATAACCAACCAATTATATTGAGCGGCAACAACAACTTCGGTGTGATCTCTCCAACCATGTGTCTTCATCGGTTTTACTTTGTACTTCGTACATACCCCACGCTCGTCGGAGAAAAAAGACGATTACGGATATGCACTGCTAAATTGAGACATGGAAGAGAGAGCAGTACTTACTGTACAGGCCTCGGACAAGTACAAGCCAAGCAGCCGTTGAATTATAGCATGCGGGCAACACAGAGCGCATCTCATCCCCCAATAGAGACGGACATTTATTACACCACTTAACCGCGCCCAACGGCCCAAAAGTGCTTTTTCGTTCGTATTAGTTGGTCACCCCTCCTACAGAGCAGTCCCAAAACCACACCATAGAAGCGTATCTGTACGGCCCATAAGGAAAAGGGTGCATGAGACAATTTCAGTTTTAAACACCACCTTACAGACCCTGAATATACCCCCTGATAGGTTAGCCAAGCCTAGCAATCGACACGCCATGGGATGGGGAAAGAAATCGTCGTCATCGGCGGTCCCTAAGCCGCCTGCACAACCGCCCAAATCACCAGCCAAACCGCCGTCTTCTTCAGCATCGCAGCCTAGCTCCCGTGATCCGGCCATAGTTCCACGCGCAGACTGCAAGAAGAACTATTACTACCAGCAGATGTTGCATCGCCAGCTGAATGATGATGGTAGCACCGACAACCTGGCCACGCGCAACAGCTTTTCGTCGTCCGAGAACAAGACAATCCGAGAAGACATTCGCATGGGAGATCAGGAGGTGCTGCGTGACATCCGCGAGCTCAAGAGCGCTGGAAGCAACGTCCGCAGATCGCGATCGCCCCAGTTGCGGCCGCCTAGCGTCCACCAACGGCTTCCCTCGGACGATTCCATGTCCAATTCGAGTGAGTACAGTTATCGCGACACAAGACCCACACTAATGACAAGCTAACACAGCCGACTACTATGTGGAACCTCTAAACAGGTGAGTGGATTCACAAGCGCAGCGCAAGGACGTATTCGTTACGTCACTAGAGGACCAGGTGCATAGCCCGATGGCGGCCAGTCTCAGACCTAATTTCCGCAGTTTTCCGATCCACTGAAATATTCTGGTCCACAAATATTTGTCCGAATATTTAGACCGGAACAAGGCGCGTTTTTTGTGTTTCTGGTTCGGTACCACGCTACTGTTGGTGCGCACATTGCAATGTACTCTCACGAGCTACCTATGCTGTAGTCTCCTTTTTTAGCGCCCCCCCCCACTAACCCAGTCCTCTGCCTTCCATATCCACGTCAGACACGTCTCTGACAGCTTCCACGGCATTTTCCCGTGACCGTGAGTATAACAACGTTGCTACAGCAAGGGCCTCAACTATTACGCTCGTACACCCCTGACGATACAGACGCTCGATGAGAGAGATGTTACTACGCTATTTGAGTTTAAGGGGTAAGCGATTTGGGCTTCCATTTGGACTCTGATTTGGAACTCCCGATCCTGATTCTTAGCTCTTAGCTCTTGTGACGTGTGAGGGAAAAAAAAAGCAACGACACCGTTTTTTTGCTTCTCGTACATCTGCCCCTGCAATGTCCACTTGTGGCACCCCTCGCTGTCTCTCCAACCGTCGCGTATAATATCGAGCTCAGTTATCGAGGCTACTAAGCAGCCTTCGTTAACCCCTTGAAGATCCTAACCCAATAGACCCGTCAGTGGTGAACTCAAAAGCTGCGGTGGCCAGTGTGAAATCCGCTAAATCGGATATCAGCATGAGAAGTACATCGAAATCCGTGGAGCGAAATCCATTCACCGGAGTGATTACTACCAAGTGAGTATGAGTGGAGGAAGTGGTTAACGAATGGCCCTGGGAACGGTCAGTGCTATGTGTGGTGTTCTCCTTTTACCCCTGGTTTACGATGCACGGTCCTTTTATGAGAAAACGCGTTAAGCTTTCGCCAGCCGTCTCACAATCTGCAGTCCCAAGAAAGACGACACATGAGTCTCGCGAAAGCGCACGACACGACACCATACACAAAAACAACCACACACACACACAAAAAGTCCACACCAGACAAGCACACAGACACCACAACATAAACCACACAAATCAGCCTGCTAACTCCAGACACGACAGTATGTATCCTCACACTGCCCCAAACGATGGGATGAAAAAGACAGCTCCAGCTAACACAGTGGAACACGAAGGTTGGCTCAACAACTCGCTAACGCCAGGCGCACAATGGCGCTTGTCCCGAGGAGTGGTAAGAAATGGTCAACTGCTGGTATACAAGCCGCCGTCCGATCTATCCAACCGATTCCTCGACCCCGACGCCCCCCGAACACAACCCTCGTCGACACACACTGCCATTTCAGCACCGTTCAACGCCGCTCCAGTGTCCGATGGCATGCTGTCGCATGCCTCAGCTGAGCCTCATCCGTCACTCGAACTCGATTCCAGCGGCACTCGCATCATGGGAGGCACTGTGGAAGCTGTGTGCCACCAGCTTCTGTTTGGAGACGACGATCTGCTCGCGGAATCGATAGTCTACGTGCTGCCCCTATTCACAGATGTGGTTTATGCACTGGACAAGATGTGCGAGTACATAATTGGACCCGTCAGAGACAGCCGCTCGAGCTTGGCACGCTACCAAGAACGAGCCGTGGCCCGAGCTGCCATGGCTGTGCGAAAGATCCAAGACGACTTTTCAGGCATGCTGCTGGAAACATCCATCTGCTCGGCTTTGCTTAAACTCATTGACGGTATTGGTGCTCTGTCGGACCAGGTGAGCACCGATCTCAAGGTCAGCGTCTTCAAAAAACAGCGCCACATGGGCGATCTGCTTACCCCCAGTCGAGAGGGTACTCTGTGGTCAGTACAACCAAAACTACCAGAATCCGTCAACGAGCGGCTGCAATCATTTCTGGTGTTCACCGAGCAACAGAACCAGCTTGGTGCTATGCAATCGTCGTCTGCGTCGTCGTCGTCATCGCACTCTTCACAATTCGGCTCGTCGTCGAGCCCCCAGACGTTCCCACCCGACCTCTTCCTCGACACTAGCATTGATCTTCTCGCATCGCAGGTCTACTACTTTCACCTGCAGTTTTCAGGCGCATGGTCGCCTGCGTCAGACATGTCGCTGCTGTTTGGTGGTCGATGGAACTACTGGCGCCACAATCCGCTCATCTTCGACTCTCTGTCGGTCCACTTTTTAGGAGGAGTTCTGCTGGAGCACCTGTTTTCTGGCTCTGGCGCGGTGTCATCTGCCTACAGAGGCAAGCTACTCTCGCATTGGATCTCGCTTGGAAACGCCCTCAAGAACTGTGGCGACATGGTTGGCTGGCTAGGCATTGCGGGAGTTGTCTGCTCACCACCTGTACTGCGTCTACGAGACTCATGGGGCTTTGTGTCCACGGAAATCAAGGATTCTGTTACCAAGGAATGGGCCCCCGTGGTGTTTGACTTAGAGCGGCGTCTCAGAGTCACCGACATGTCGCGAAAGTCTACATATCACGTGCTTGCGCCCCAGGGCATTGGCCAGAGCTACCCCAAGGAGCGGGTGGTCCCATTTTTCGGCGACCTGTGTGTCCGATACGAAGATGGATCATCCTTCCGTCAGTGCGAGTCGCGTCTGAACCGTATCCGTACTGCATTTGAGCGGTGGCAGACGTACCTGGATCAGGTACCTCAGATCGACACCTTTGACTCTGCCGCCGAGCCCATCTCCGCACTCCAACGAATGCTGTACTACCTGTTGAACCGCCATTCACAGGGAAACATTCCCTTCCACGTGTCCAACAAGGAGCCCATCTCTGCGCTGCTGAAAATGTCGCTGCAGTGCGAACCGTCGTCCAGTGGGCGATACCTGCCCCACTTTTATAATCAGCAGCTTCCTCTGCTGATGGGCAGTTTTGTACCCACCGTGTTCACAGACGTGACTCCGTCGTATCGGCTCTTTTCCAAGACCGATCTGCTCACTTTTGCAGGATTTGGCTCCCCAACCAAGAGAAGTGGCACTGGCATTTCGTCACCTCTTCGGTCTCTGCCTTCTGGTACTTCTGGCACTGAGGTGGATCAGTTTGCCCGGCGGTATGTGAGCCAGTTCAGTACGCAGCATCCTCTGATTTGTTCCTTGCGAGACATCATGAATGTGGGCTCTAGCATGATCCAGGGCGATGACGTACTTCTCAAGGTGGTTTCTGAGGGCCCTGAGGGCTCAGATCCTACTGTCGTTGTCAAAGCTGCTTCTTTGGACCGGCTTATTGACATTCTGATCCTTGGTGTGGGACATTTTGCTCCTCGGGTCAAGATGGACATGGATCTATACACACTGACGTTTTTCGCGACATTCCGGTCCTTCTGCTCGCCCACCCAGTTGCTGGACGCGTTTCGACGACGGTTTGTGGGCGCCCAGTCTGGCTCCACGTCTCTTACAATGCCTAGAACTTTTGATCAAAAGTTCCCCGACTGGGATTCCACTCACATCCCCGAGAAGCAGCCCGACTACAGACTGATGGCCCAGATACAGATTGGCATTCTTGAGGCCTGCTTCCTGTGGGTGTCGCAGTACTTTATCGACTTTGTCAATGAGTACGCTGTCAGAGAGCTCTTTCTGGACTTTTTGGCCACTCTGGAGGTTGAGATCTCTCGATGGGGAAGTGTTGTGTTCAACAGTGAAGACATTGTTCTCTACCGAGAGTCTCTCGAGGGTCTGCACAAGAAGCTGCGAAAATTGTTCATCAAGAAGAGCTATCGGCCCGTGTCTGCCCCTCCCAAGATCCCTTACTTTGGTCCTTCATCCAAATACATCCAGATGCCCATCAATTGCGGTATCAGCGATGTTGAGTCTTGGATTTCTGAGGTGGATCTGATGGCTGCCCACATCTTTGCTCTGGTGCCTCTGAAGGACTGGATGTCTCTATACGAGACTCTGGAGGTACAGGGCGTGGAGCCATTGGGCTTCTTTGCATTCCGAACGCCCTCTATGGCCACCGAAGACGAGGTTATTGTGCAGAGCGTCTACACCTACTTTGAGACGCTTTTCCGTGACAAGCCCGAGGACCGGGTGCTTTTGAACCTCCCCTTTGCAGTACAGGAACTGTTGCGACTCCACAACAACTTTGTTAGCTACCTGACTGCCCAGTTGACGGACCTGTCCATTAGACCCGAAATTCGAGTGGCTCGAATGGAGACGTTGCTCAAGGGCATTGGCATTTGTCGTCGACGAATGAAGGCTGCTCGGGTGTTTGAAATGTCGCCCATGGCCGATCCCGAAGAGGGACCCCCTCCTCTGTCTCCCTCGGTTGCTCCTGCCATCCCCTCCTTTGTGGAGGTTGCTTTGGCGGCTGCAGCCATCCGACCCGAGTCCCGGCTCTTCACCGGCTCGTGGTTTGCTGCTGCCAAGGAGTGTGGTTCATCCACTGCCGACTCTCTGGAGTCCATCATACCGTACGTGGATGGCCAGCTCCAGAACAAGCCTCTGACTCCCTGTGTAGGCTGGCTGATTGAGCGAATGTTGGAGGCGTCGTGTCACGTGCCCAACATGTGTGTGGAAACTCCCAAGCTCATCAACTTTGACAAGCGGCGGTACGCCTACAATCTGGTGGGGAATGTGTGCGACATTAGACCCCTAGATGAACAGCAGGACATGAACTTGCCCGAACAGACCAAGCGAATGAGCTTTTTGATCAACCTGTCCAAGGCTTCGTTTGCAATTGACCGTAAGGTGACCAAGGAGCATGCCGCCCGCGAAGCCAAGGCCTATGGCAAGTCTAAGAACCGGGTTTTTACCCACTGTGTGGGTGCTGAGCTGGAGAAGATCAAGCGAGATGTTCGACAGCGAGAGGTTCTCGATCGAAAGCGCCAACACGCCGTTCGAGCGCCCACCTCGTCTTCCAACTCGGAAAAGCGAGGCAAGTCGCGTCTGGGAGGCTTTCTCAAGGCTGTGCGACCCATATCCATGGCTCTGGGCTCGTCTTGGACTCCTCCGCAATCCCAGGAGGCATCTGGAATCAATCCCCTGGATCTCCCCACCTTTTCGGTGGACAAGGTCAAGCCGTTCAGATCCATTCCTCTCGGTCACTCCGACATTTTCCCTGTGCATGCGCTGTCCAAGTCCATGTTCAAGATTGTGGACTCTTCGGGCGAGTACTCGTTCCAGGCTGCGTCTGAGGCCGACAGCGAGATTTGGCTCAAGGCGCTCACTCGGGCCAAGAACAGTGCTCCTCAGACGAGCCAGTCCACTCGACAGATGGGTCGGGTGTTTGGCGTGCCCGTTGCTGTTGTCTGCGAACGAGAGCAGGCTGCTATTCCTTACATTTGTGAGGTGTTACTTAACGAGATTGAGGCTCGAGGTCTGGACGAGGTTGGTCTGTATCGAATTTCCGGTTCTCTCAACAACGTCAATGCTCTCAAACAGGCCTTTGACAATGGTGAGCGTCCCGATATGAACGACGACCGATGGTATGATGTCAACACTCTGGCAGGCTGCTTTAAGCTGTATCTGCGAGAGATGCCCGAGCCGCTGCTTCCTCTGGAGCTGCTCCCTGACTTTGTGTCTTCCACCACAGGTCCACAGCCTGACCTGGCTGGCCTTCGAGCTGCTGCCGATCGAATGCCGGCACCCAACCTCAATTTGCTGCGACGTCTGGTGCAACATCTGTCTCTGGTGACCACGCACGGCGAGCAGAACCGAATGCATGCGGTAAACCTGGCCATTGTGTTCTCCATGTCCCTGTTGCCGCCCAATGCCTCGGCCAATGTTTCTACGGATCTCAGCAGTATGCAGACGGTTCTCAAGCTGCTCATTATCCACTGCGATGGAGTGTTTGGCAGCCTGGATGGAGGATCTACTACGGTTGTCGATGGTGCATCGACACCATCGTCTGGCCAGCTGGAGGCCCCCGACATGGCTTCGCTGACTCTGTCCGAGTCCAAGTCGACTTCAACGGTGGACTCTCTAGAGATGATGCAGGCGCCCACTTCTCGTCGACGACAGCCTGCGGGCCAAAACCCTAACAGACGATTTTCCGTGCTCAATGAGGGCACCAACTTTTCTGACCTGGCTCATCAGTTTGGGTCTCAGGAGAGTTTGCATTAAAAATATACACGTGTAGACACTAATGAATGATTTATTGATACAGATTTGGATCGTGTGTCTCAGACTCCCCGCGTTCTCGTGTATCGCGTAGTGTGAGACATTCAACGTGGATGCTCGTATTCATGGAGTGTATAATATTGCCGATTCTATAGAAAGAACGTACTTGTATATTATAGGTTGTGTGTGTTACATACTTGTACTTATACTGTATGTGCTGCTCATATACAATGTACAAGTACAAACTTGTTCCAAAATAATTCAGTCTGTAGCTACTGTACTTTTACCAGCTGTCTATAATGTTACAATCGTTGCTTCGTGTGCCATGAGGGGAAGCAACTGAAGGTATAGTCAATTCAGTGCAGACCTGAAACAATTAGCTACATGTACTCGTACTCGTAGACTTCGCCTGTTTCTCCACCACAACGTTACCGGAAGAATTTGACAGGGTATGTTCCGGGTTACAATTTTTGAACGTTCTCTGGGGTGGGACTGTTGGGGTTACATACGTCATTGTCTTGGAGAGGAATGTAGAGTGATGCGACGAGGGGCTGTAAGGTTCATAAGCGGATGTGTATATAGAAGCGCTTGTTGTATATAGTTACCGTGGTATATATAGTTACCGCTGAATGAGCCGTGTAGATTTCGTTTTCGCTATTACTGTTTCTTCTTTGCCATGGTGCCGTTCACGATGCCGTGCATTTACCCCACGTGAGTGATGCACGGTGGGTCTTCCGGGGTAACCGGGAGCGGTGGGCGTTAGTTTGACGCACTTGTACCCACTACCGGTATATACGTATTCGAACTATACATGCGGCATTGGTCTATGGAGGTGGTGGCAATGGTAGATAGTTCAGATCGGTAGCCGTGTTGGATGTTGCTCAAATGGAGTGGTCCAGTTGGCTTAAGGTTCGGTCGGAAAAAATAGACGGGAAAACAGACTGAAGATACTTGTAGAGTGGGAATGATGAGTGGGAGACACTGGGCAGGGTGTACCACACAATTATGAGCAAGAGAAAGGCAACAAAGTCGTTCTTGTCATCAGATACGAGCACACACTATAAATATGATACTCAGACTGCACCATCTTAACCACTACATCTTCGCTACGAACACCTCGGTTAAATTTTGAGCTTCCCCTCTGAACCCTCTCCACCTGGGTTTATGTTCCGGAGAAATACGGAACTCAGAACCGAGGGGCAAGCGGATTTAGAGCCAGATGGGGGGTGCATGGACTTACTGTAGTGCAACCAAGAGGCCGGTAAAATGGATGGGTGTCGTACGAGTACCGTTACTTGTATTTGGGTGTTTAGAGAGAGAGAGAGAGAGAGAGAGAGAGAGAGAGAGAGATAGAGCGAGAGACGGAAGGAGATATTTGTGCAATAATAAAGAACATATAAGTACAATGGTCCGAATTGGGTGTCCAGTAGGTAGTAACCATATGGTACTTGTACGTAGAAGTAGCCTGCTTGCACAGACGTCTTTCATATGCAACTCCAGAGACTCCACTGAAGTCAGACATTGCCATTTCGGAACAACAGTCTCAAACGCCCAACCGTCAGGGCATGAACTTCCTGGGAACCTTCTCTACGATACACAACCTCCACCAGCCAGTCAAAACAGTCCTTTAGCAAACTTGCCCTGTATGAGAGACATTTGCCGCAGGATGACGTCAGGAGGACCAGGATCTGCGACGAGCATGAGGGTAGCGTGCGATATCGGCGAATATGGCATGGTATGAGTCATGGCAATAATGATTTGAGCGACATGGCAATATGAGCGTCATGGTTATTTCGCGTGTATACAAACATTTCCATTGACCCGTGTACCATGTGCCTTCAACCGAGGAGGTTATACTCAACGCACAAACAACACATCTGTTGGCTGTTGGGAAGAAGACCGGGTGGAACTGTGCCCGCTATGGACTATTCGCTCGGAGGTAGCTCGCGCAAGGACGCAGCTCAGTCTACAGCCGACGCATAGCTTCGCTCTTCCCTACCTGGTCCTTCCCTACCTGGTCCTTCCATGCCTCCCTCTGTTGATACTCCGGTCTCACCTTTGTAGTAATTTATCCCGACATATCCCCATTTATCCCATCCGCATCCGCAGGGGCGGAATCCGAACGGAGGGTCCAATTCGGTAAAAGCCGAGAAAGCGGCAAAATAAAGCGATAATGGATATATTATTGTCTGTAGATGAAAAAATTGTTCACCAGTATTGATCCGAGCAGGCAGCTTCGACAAATGCTTTCTATGTGTAGATATAATTACTGTTGCCAAACCACACAAGCACTCTCTACCAACTGCCGTTATAGGATGTCTACCAGTACACACTCACAGATGGCACATACGGTTATCGGCCATGTGGATTCCAACATGTCACATGTATGGTACTCGTAGTAATCTGGGGTGCGCTTTAAGGGGCACGGACCATGTTCGGAGGTGTAATGAGAATGCTTGAGCACCGTTGGTGTGGTGACACGTCGTAGGATTGTCGTGAACACATTTCTTCCACGTCAGTTTTCAGTTGCAATATTCTGAATATTATGTCTCAGCTAAATTACCCCACCACCGCCGCTACGTGTAGACTGGTTACCCGTTCCAGTGGCATGTACCCACACAATCTCCCGATCACCCTTCAACTGTCGTACAAAGTAGCACCTCCGTCTAACCTCTTTTGGTAACTCACCCCAGACATTTCTCCCCACCCCCACCATGTCTGAACTTTAACCGTTTGAGGGTCTGGAGGGGACGTGGATACGGTGGATACGGTTAGAATGAGTCAGAGAGTTGCTATAGCGCGTGTAAAACCTGCCCAGCGACTTCTCCACGTCGCTAGGGCCCAGACAGTGCTCTCCAGAACGTTTTCAACTCGGCCAACCTTATTTCCAACAACGGCTTACCGAGCCAGATGCCGACGATAATGCACGACAAAGAAACTATGTAAGCTACAGACGGTTTTCACTTGCGCTCAAACACACGATAAGACGATAATGGTAATGAGGGGGATTGTTGAAAATCGGTCTAGAACTCGTTGTAGAACATCTAAGACGTCGACTGAACGTCCCAGTCAGTCTCCTCTCGAATCCGATTTTAACCATCCACCTTCTATTTCCAGCCGCCCACCCAAATGAGCGCTGTTTCGAGTGTTAAACAGTCCTGGCAGCGGCAGCTCGGATCAATTTTCACACTTTCTTTGGCTCTGGTTTTCACGCGGCAAACCCCACACGGTGGGATGAAACAACATGGGTGAATGTAAAGGATGGATTTGGTGTGGGAAAAATATGATAATTTGACATAAATTCGGACAAAAATATTACTTTTATTATACCGTGTTTTTCCATTTTACAAAAATATATACTGCTCTAATAATCCCTCCTCCCAAAACACAACAACCTCGTATGGTGTAATTCCGGCAGCACTTTAATTTAGCCGGTCGGCCGACTCAAAATGGACCTGGCCACACAATGTAACCGAAGCCCATTCATGTATTGCTTGCTGCAGCACCACACACTGCTACCGACGTTCCGGTGGTTCTAGACCGCAGTGACCCCAGAATATATGGATTCGCCCTTTCGGCGCCACACGCGTGTTTTGGTAATTTTTTTCCGATTTCTAAGTCTCTCTCAGCCTAACAATTAATCTAGAACCACCTTGTATTTGCACCTAAACGTCGGAAGACAGATTAGGGAAAAATCCGAGATATTTTCCAGCGCTCATATACTAATTATCAATCGCCAACCTCTGGCGCAAACGTGAAATCGAGGCCCCCAACGAAAGGCTATAGATTGTGTGGTTTTCTCACGGGCATGCTCTCACGTGCGTCGGAAAGGCTATACGGAAAAAAAAGTGAGCCTGAGTCAAGAGGTCTCGGAATAAATTGGCACTGCTGAAAAAAATTGACTGTCGAGTTATATTGCTGTGTTGATGGGCTTCAAGTGGGGCCACACCTCAGAGTAGAGGTATCATGACTCCTGCCGCACAAGACCCGGGCGGCTGTCAGCGCCGTGTTTACATTTTTCCGTGGTTCCGGGACCGCCCTTTGCATTTTCACTCATGTATCTATATTTTGTAGCCGCAGAAACCTCCTCCACATTTTCCCCAGCCGAACAAGGTTCGGATGCATCGGTAGAAACGGAGTCTAAAAGCTGGGAGAGCCTACGAAAAAGAGACCACACTCAGCAGCACACCCTAAAGGGCCCAAACCCACCAAAAAAGAGGAAAACAGAGTTATGGACTTAGCTCTGTGTGCATGTGCGGAGTAGATAGGATACTGCATCCTGTTGATTGTATGATATATAATGGCTCCATCCCCAGATATCAAAATAGATCGACTCGCAACTTCAATGTCTGATACTGAACAACACGGTGCGGTTCCCCCGCGAAAGAGAACCAAGGTGTCTAGAGCCTGCGACGAGGTGAGTGTGTTTTGGGATGCTTTGTGGTCTTAAGTGGCCTTCTGGAGGTGGTAACAGCTTGAGGAGGATGCAAATTGATGTTTTGAGGGTCAGAGGGTGGCTGGGAGCGTCTCCACCGCCCGCTTTACACCCCAGAGTGACTCTACCCCCTCTTCTGAATTCGGTGGATGTGTTGTGTGTTGTGTTGCGGGTGTGACGACACGGAACAGCTCGGAACATTTACCCACGCCACACTTGACAAGACATCGACTGGGGTTTGTGCACCAGGGAACCGAAAACTACGACTGGTGGCGCTATCTTCGTGCACAAACTGATGGGGTGATTTTACCCAGACACTCCCATCATTTGGGGAATGGCACCACCGATCGCCCTACCATGTTGCTATTTGCTTACACTCTTCCCCAGAATTAAACTAACTCAGTGTCGTCGGAAAAAAGTAAGTGAACCTTGTGCTCCACATGAAAACGGAATTTTCCGGTGCTTGACTTGTGCTGCGCCTTCCCCTCTTTTCGGCCGATGGCGGACGAAGGGTTGAACGGAAATAATCGAAAAGTGGGAAAAATGGAATCTCGACATTTTGGGCGGATTCTCGGCTACCGACTGGAAGAAATTATTTCGACAGGTTGTCAGTGGGGCTCGCCAGGCAGAAATTCGGCGACTTGGGAATTTTTCCTTTTGCCAAAATCTGGCCTTTTGGGCCCGACTCCACCCGACTCCAGCCGCACCGTTCCGGCCCCACGCGACTTTTGGGCGGCTCGGCCCTCGGCGACTTTTAGGGAAGCTTATTGCGGACAGGCTTTCCATAAGTTGTGGTCACGATAACTCGCCCAAAACCCCGGCCCAACCTTAATTTTTACACTTCATTTTGCGCCGCTGTCATTGGCCCGTCGATTCCGAAGAGGGGACTCTGTCTAAAAGCCTCTTTTATCCGAACCTGGAATCCGTTGCCGAGCGTGATAAATTGAGTGACTGGCAGACGTCCAAAAGCAAATACCATACAACAAACAACTAACCCAGATTCGATGTGATGCTGCTCCCGATAAGCCCACAGATTCGAGATGCTCGTCTTGCCGAAAGACCGGAGAAACATGCACTTTCAGCCGTGTCCCTATGAAGAGAGGACCTACCAAAGGGTGAGTATTATGACGGAGGATTTTCGGACAACTCAGAGAGAGGGTCGGTCAGATGCGGCACTGCGGCACTGCTGCCCTTTCTTTCAGGCTGTCGTGTGCTGCCGATTATGCACTAAATGACTCATGAGTCAACCAACTCTATTTTGCCTGGACCCTGAACCTGATTACTAACCCTACAGACACAGAAGAGAATCCACCTCTTCGTTCAGCAGAACATCGCAACCGGTGTTCATCCACCCCAAGTCCGAGAAGGACCTCATGTCGCCCACGGCGGATGAGCTAGCTCCTGTCTTCCCGCCTTCGCCACCAGTCAATGCGCCTGGAGCTGCTTGCTCCGACTACCCCATGCGAAAGCGGGCATTTTCTCAGACACACAGGTTCTCGACTGCCTTCCATCCACGCACTGAATTTCACCCGTCCTGTTTCCCCTCAACAGCAACAGCTGCAGCAGGCTGCACCTGGAGCTCCTGCGTCGGTGCCCCCCATGGACATGTACCGACCCAACATGTTCTTCAAGGTCGATCGACGGGCCTCTCTGCCCGGCTACCCTCCTAACATGACCATGCCCAACCCTGCACCCAAGAGTGAGGGGTACGCACCCTCCCAGGTCAGCAACAGTCCTCCTCACAGCAGCTTTTCGTCCCACCAGACACAGCAGCCCCACAGCATGGGCCAAGCAACTGCCACGCCACCCCCCTCGCGCAGCGAAGAAAAGTACCTCGATAACTACTACCAGGTGGTGCATCCAATTCTACCCATTCTCCCCCCCAAGGCCGTTGTCGAACAGTGGCTGGTACAGGCTGAGCCAACCGTCGGCGCAAAACTCAGAGAGTGTCTGTTGCTGGCACTCAAAAACATCTATGTGTCTAGTGGCGGAGCTCAGACTGGTTCTGAGTCCGTGGCTCGCCAGCTGTGTGAATTGCAGATTGCATTGGCCAGCAGCGAGACTGTATCAGATCTGTCTCTGGGTTCTGCCAAGCAAGCAATTAGCAACAACACCTGTTCCACTGCCGCCACAACCCACATTCTGCATCTCATGATCCAGCTGCTGGTGTTTGTGCAGACCCAGGACTACTCCCGACTGGCTACCTCTGTGGCCCAGGGTTATGCTCTCGGCATCCACACCATTTACGCTACCGGCAAGCGACCCGAGTTTGAGTCTGCGCTCAACCTCATGACACACCACAACAACGAGGCCACCTCGACACACAACAACGTTGACAACGAGTCCATCTGGGACACATGTTACCGACTGCACATGCTGGTTTTTGTGCTGGACCGTCTGCACTCGCTGCGAATGAGCACCCCTGCTCTCATGGACCCCCAACTCGTGTTGGTGACTCTGTGTGATGGTCTGCCCAAGGTGCTGCTCAAGCTGCAGGGCCTCAATTTCCTAGTGGCCTTGGCTCTGTCTGTGGCCACTCCTGAAACTCAGTCGTTCTCGCTACAGCGACACGAGTGGTTCAAAAAGTCTTTGCTGCAGCCCGGAAATCCTTCCCTCACCCAACACGCCTTTGATAGACTAATGCAGAGTGTTCGAGGCCAGGCTGTTTCCTGGGCCAAGGCCATGAGTCTGTACGCCGAGGCTATTCGACAGTACCAGCAGCAGCAGGGCTGGGAGAAGATTCTCTCTACTATCTCTTCTCTGGTTGACACTGTAGACACCTCTTTGATGGCTGCTGTGCCTCTCATTTCTGAGTACTTTGTCCACGAGGTGATTTCTCTAATCTCCGGCCTGGTGTCTGCATTTGGATCTGAAATCGATTACGAAGCCGTCCACATGGCTGGAGAGGTTGTCGAGCGACGATTCCCCCAGCAGGTCAACCACTGGAAGCTGGCTGTGGCCCCCAAGTTGCCCAAGAATGATGTGGCTGATGCCGTGGTGATGGCTGCCGTTAACTCGGCGCACTCTAGCGCACCTCCCAGCGCCACGACCGCGTCGACCGCCTCTTCCACATCATCTCTCTCCTCCCCGCCGCCAATGAGCATCCGAACGCTTCCGCCGGCCGGATCTCTGGGTCACCAGCAAGGCTTCATGCAGAAGCCTTTTGACAAGAGTCTTCTGGAGGGCCTGGCAAGTGTTGCCATGCACCGACCTAGACACTGATTATTTATAGCTAACTTATGTTATTTTTACAATACAAGAAAAGTACAGTACAAATACCCCCACCTGTAGGAGCGGTGATGGACGACACTTGCGATTGATGACCATACTTGTACTGCAGATGCTATGGTCTTAAGAGGTCGAGCTGCAGATGGAGTCACATCGTACTTCTAGAGTTCAAATTATAGTGATTCCGCAGACAGTAGATACAGTAAGCACCAGTATGTACAGGTACAGCAATACATACTGTGCCGGTATTGTATGTAGCTACTGACATACAACTGTACTGTACATATACTTGTATGTACTGTTCTGTAGATGTAGAAGGTATCACTTTGGTCTTACTCGCAGACTGGAGATCAGATGATGATTACAAGTTCAGTATGTACATACTGTACAGTATGTACGTACCAGTGCAATTGGTGGCGCGCACCCGCAATCTGCCGTTTGTCCACGATCCAGTGACAATGGTGTCTTATACTGCAGTTCCCACGCTTCTCCAAAAAGCACTCCCTAAATGACGACACTGAACAATGGTTTTAAGTGCTTCAGCTATCCCCTTCATCATGGCTATAGGAGTCCTGATTAGGTATACTACTGTACATGAATCAAACCAGTTTCTGAAGTGTTTAGGGTTCTCGCACCAATTTCGTCACGCTGTACCAGAGCCCCAAACGCAACCACCCAAATCTGCACCAAGCATAGCGTGTCGTGAACTGCTGTAAAGATAAATGTAACATCTTCAACGAGGAAGCAAAAAGATTATGGTCCCTAGCAGGATCGAACTGCTGATCTTCGCGTTGCAAAGCTGCTATTCTTATTAGCACGACGCCTTAACCAACTGGGCCAAGGGACCGTTTTTTGGCCAAGAAGATATAACCCAGTCGGTTGCGAAGGGAACGCCGAATCTCGGCGAAAAACGAATTTCGAGTGTGGATAAGACATGAGACGATTGATATGATATGGTTGATTTTCTAGTCTTGATTCGCTACCACGAGACCGCGACAAGGACAAGAACAAGATGAAGCGACGACGAACCAACTGACACGCGCCTCGAAACGCACATTGCAACGATTATTGTATGTGTATTGAACGCCAATAACACGGCTTACTAGGTATATAGCTGTAATGAAACATTAGAATAAAAAAACCCTTACAAGTTTTCGGAATACCTGATAAGCGCTCTAATTTGTCATAGGTACCCCCCTCCCCCAAATGGGAATACAAGCATGTAGATCAGTCTCCACAACACGTAGTTGATTTGAATAGCTTCGAATATTCAACTAAAAGAATAATGAAAGTGTACTTATGCTGTAACGACTTTAGTTGTGAGGATTGGCTACTAGACACACTGGAAGTAACCCCCTTATGTGGTATTTGATGGTGAAATGATAGTGGAAATATCGAGTGACCATTACGATAATAACAGAAGGAACAATCAAACGATACAAGTATAATAGCTACTTGTAGTATCAATGATTACAAATCCTACCAGATTTCTTTGATCACATTCCATTACAGATGTTGGTTATCTTAAAACGAAGATCTACATCATTTTGCGCATCTGAGACACGGACCCCAGTCCGTTTTACACCCGAATTACCATGTCTGGAGCTCATTACCACGTTCAGAGCTCATTATGATAGCTGTCAATGTCAATCATAAATCGCGTATTGATATCTGCAGTTCTGTACAAGAATCATAATAGGGGATTTTTATCATAAAACTGTTCCACCTCCACTTAACCAGAATACAGATCTACAGGATTTCCTAATGCGGTAAAAACACCCAACCTCGTCACAAAATGTCGTTCTAGAACCCATTGTAATTTGTCACCCATGCTATCACCCACCCGACTACAAGTAGCAGCTAGCAACTGTCACCTACTGCCAAGTCTCGCTATGCATTATCCCTGCATGGGCGAGTACAGTATGTGCAGTAGCTACAGCTGCATCTCCTCCCTCTCACAATACATGATAAGTAATGTCTACGATGCTCTTCAATTACTCAATTACTCGTTTGGAAATTACAAGGCCCCTTCGATTATAGAAATGGCTCTACATAAGAGATTGACTCTTCCGTATCGCCTTCTGTAGACACAGAATACGGTTTGCATACATGAGTATTACTGTAGCAGTATGTACTTGTAGCTACAGTAAGTGTACTATACCTATAATCACTGCACTTCACTGCACTTATGACATAGCCACAACCGTCAATACATTCTCTATATCTCTGGTTTTCATAAACGTCGGTTGTATGATCTTCAAATGTGACATACCCCTGTCTCTGCAGTGACAGCTGAAAATGACATCGATACCTCGGCTTCAGATGTAACAACCAACAGCATTCTGTCTATGTGCTTCGTTGTTTATGATATTTCTACAAATGTAATGGATCATGCATCTTAGTTATATTCAAACCCTCGCAATATCGTCGCTATGTTGGAGATGTTAGAGTCCACTTCACTCGCAGTGACTGCATCTAAGGTTTCAATTAAGTGTCGGGAAGCGAGGGGTTACTTTGGAAGCCTTGGCTGAAGATTCTTGGGAAGCAGTCGGTTTTGGAGTAGATAAATATAGTCGATAGGGCAGTTGAAAAAATGGTCTTCTAGCTCCAAGGACTCGTTTCCATGTTATAAAATTAAAATTGGACAGCTCCTGATCCGCTTTCCGGAGCTCTCTCCATCAAGATGCAGGTACAGGGACATACACAATCCGCAGTTTGAAGGTATAACAAGGAACTATTAGATCACATACCAAGTCTGTTAATCGTCTCTGGGAATATTGCCCACCCTCTATTCAATCTTAAACTCCAGTATGGAGCTCATAGCAGAGTTAGCTTTGAGAGACCTACTTGTAGCATGCGTTGGTTACATGGAACAGATCATTAGGCTAATACATGTTGTAGTACAGTATGTACCACACAACAGTACCAGTATATAAATGTAGAGGATTCAGCATAGGAGGTGATAGAAGCAGCAGTGACATTCAGTCAGTCTAATTTGTATCACACAAGTTGCAAGTGAGTATGGAGAGATGGACTGGACTTCCATCATCGAGAAGATGTCACAGGATTGTCTGTTGGCAGGAAGTCTACAGCTAGTTGTGGTACAGTACCATTGGAAGTGGCGGTGGACTATTAAGAGTTGAAGTTGTTGATGTTTCTGAGAATGCTTATCGATCTTGGAAACGTTCACCACTGTCAGCTTATGCTCAGAACAACTCAATGACAACCTTTCCAACTCAGTACCTCAGTTAATTATCTCCTTTGCTAATTTCAGTGCTCTCGTTCATTGCCCTCTTTCTTCTTGTTGCTCAGGCTCTCGCGCAAACGGCTCCTATCACCCAGGAGACATACGACTTTGTTCTCAAGTACGGATGGCTATCTAACGTGGCCTATTGTGTCAGAGCCCCTGGCCCATTTGCCCTGCAGAGCGATTTTACCTGTGGAAACTCTTGCGCTCATTTTCCCGATGTGACTCTTGACTACCAGTTTGGAGGAAATTTCTTCTCGACTTCAGTTACTGGATTTTTGGCCCACGATCACACCAAAAAGGAAAAGTATATTGTTTTCCGAGGCACTTTCTCCATTGCAGACGCTATTACTGACATCCAAACGATCCAACAACCCTACATGACCAGTATCCCTCCTCTTAACACTACTGACATAAACTCCACAAACCCTTCTGCCAGTATCAATTGTCCTGGCTGCCAAGTTCATGATGGCTTTCAGAAGGCATACAGAGAGACTATGGTGAACGTACAGGATCGTCTGGTCGACTTCCTTGGAAACAACACTGACTACAAATTGATCGTAACTGGCCACTCTCTAGGAGCTGTCACTGCTCTATTCATGGGCATCAACCTGAAGAATCTTGGATATGATCCAACGCTAATCAACTATGGGCAGCCTCGACTTGGAAACAAGGCTTTTGCAGACTACGTGGACGCTCTGTTCTTTAAGCAAGGAGACGACGGACTTACCATCAACCCCGAAAGACGGATGTACCGAGTCACTCACTGGAACGACTTCTTTGTTGGATGGCCCGCTGGTTATTCACATACTCTGGGAGAAGTTTACATCAGTGATCCCACAGGTATTAATGCTCCTATTGAAGATGTCTATTCCTGCGCTGGACCAGAGAATAATCAGTGTCACCATGGATCATTCAATCTTCTAGAACGACTCAACATTCTCAAGAACCATTGCGGTTATCTCAATTGGATTTTCTACTGTGCTATCAATGTGGACAAGAGAGAGATGATGATTGATCCTCCCCGAGTTGGCAAGAGAGTTGAGCATTGGAGTGGCAAGTTTTCTGATGTTGAATCGACAGAAGGCCTGATGTATGAGGCCATTTATCCTATGTAATTGAATCACACCAACCTTTTCCGAGCCATTCTCAAACACTTATACTTAATGAGTATTGTTAATACTGTATGTGCAGTACATACTGTAGCACCATAACCGACCACTGTTTTCTCTTGTTTGTACGATTTTTTTACGTCTTTACCTGTGCAATAATACATAATAATTTACTATTCCTCCATGCTATACAACTACAGGTTGGCAGGTCCCTCGAGTTGGTTGTACATGGGACAACTCTTGTTGGTTCGAATGTGGCCATATGCACCACAGTTCTTGCACTGTCGCGGACCCTTGCCTTTGCCGACACCCTTGCCTGAAGGGGGAGGAGTGTCGGTGCCGAGGTTGATTGTGTTGAGACCCTGCTTCTGGGCCTGTCGCTGCTTTCGTCGCTCGCCCTTCTTTCGCAGATCCTCCAGCCGCTCCTCCAGCAGCCGCTTGTTTCGCTTGTTGGCCTCCTCGTCGTTGGTGGGGTCTAAGTCGTCGAGTGTTAGCTTGGCCTCGTCCATCAGCTTTCGTCGTCGAATGTATGCTCGAATGACACTGGGGTCCTTGATGGTCTCGACCTTTCGCTGGATGATACCGTGCTCGTCCTTGACCATTCGCGTGATTCGCAGCACCTTGTTGCGCTGCTGCATGGCCGAGTCGCCTGACATGAGCGACATGTTATCATCGTCGGGGAAGGCTGCGCTAGTGAAACCAGGCGTAGACACCCGCTCTTGTTGTTCTCGCTGCTCCTCAGCATCGGCCCATTTTGAATCTTCGTCGTTCTCTTCAGGTACCTTGGTGTTGCTGAGAGCTCGACACTGGGCATACCAGATTCGGCTGATCTCATCGTCGTATGCACGCTGCTGGTGGGCCACGTTGTACTTGTGTCCGCCAAACTTGCTCTTGTCAAGCTTCTCATTGACAGACTCACCAGCGGCCTGAAAACCACCCTTCATGGAAGTCTTGAGGAATGAGAAACCCTCGCCTCGACCAGAAGGATCACCCTCGCCATGCAGCTGCAGCATGGCCTTGCCCTGGGTAGCGTTGATGAAGTTTCTGGTCAGGTTCCATGGAGCAGACTGCTCCTCCAGAGAAAGACCAGACTCCTCGCCATTCTCATGGTCGCTCTCAATGTCGTCAGTTCGACCATATCCAGCATCCTCAAGGTTCTGAACACCAACCTGCATGGCCTCCAAGAGAGTGATGTCCTCGGGTGTGATCATGGTTCTGATGCCGTCCTCGCCAGGAAGAGTATCGGTAGGCTTGACCTTCCAGTAACCCTGATCCTCACCTGTTCGCTGATACTCCATAAACTCCTTGAGCCTCTGTCGGTTTTGAGTGTCAATCTGATCAGGGAAATGTTCGGCGATATCCTTCACGTTGATTCTATGATAAGGTGATGCGTTTAGCACTCGATAGACAATCATCTTGAGCCGGTTTTTGGAAGCCGTGGTTACCTTTCGAGAGTGTGGCCCGGGTACGTCAGTCACGGGGTATGTTTGACCGACAGTGAAGACATGTGGAATATTTCTCAGAAAGTACTTTTGGCCAGCCCCAGTCACATCGCCTCCAGTTGATCGGATCATAAGAAAATCTGTGTCACGTGGTGTATGCTTGAATACGGGGGCTCGGATCATCTTGTTGTACAGAGTAGGCACAATCTTACCCGGCTCGACGAATCCAAAGTTCCAAAAGGGAGACTTGTCCTGGACCGACAGAACATGTGTCTCTCCAACGGGGAGCTTAGGTCGGGAAGTATCCTCAGGAGAAGCTTTTCTGTAATAGTTGATCATCTTAGAGCCCATTCCGTAGTTGGAGAGGGTCATGGGGAATTGCTCAGCGTACTCCATGAGGAAGTACTGAGCAGAGTCACCCAACGACAAGTCCGTAGTCTTGGCCAAAAGATCCTTGATAGGCTTTCCCCTGTCTCGCTTCTTCTTTCGGATCTTCATTCGCGAAAAGTGAACAGTAGTGTTGGGTTTCACCACAAATGATGGCCGATGGAACGAACGAGCCTGAGGCTTCGAGATTCGCACTTTGTAGAATGGACTTTGCAGTCGGAGAGCTGGCATGGAGTGATCGATAGACAGATTGCCAATAGTGGCTCGTACCTTGCTCTGTGTGTTCTCCTTGAGCATATCGTAGGCTCGGTCGTTACTGAGGTTAAATCTGTTTCGAAGCTGTAGTTCGGTGGAGGGAATGGCAGGAGTCACATTCTTCGATACACGACCATCTGTGTTGATGAACAGTAGGTTGGGGTCGTTCATATCGAGGTTGACCTTCTTCACCTGACTGAGAGCATCGCCTTCAAACAAGGCCTCGTCGTTCCAGGCCTCTTCGTTTCTGTGCACGCCGAGCTGTGGAACAACCTCTTTTTGTTCCTCCTTGACCTTTTCGCCCTCGCAATCCATATCCACGTCTCCATCCCCATCATCCTCATCTCCCCACGTGATCTTCCAGTCAGTAATGTCGAAATGCAGCTGCTGGTCTGTTGCTGATTGTGTGGTTCTGCTTTCTCGGGCCAGTTCCTGCTTATCGTCCCCCGTCTCGGCCTCGGTGACTGTTACAACACCCGGTCGCCGCTTAGCATGGTCCACCCACACTGTTCCTCGTGTCATCTTACGCTCATCTGGCGCCACCTCCAGCTTAGTCTTTGTGGGGACACACGGACGAGCAGTGTTAGGCTTGGGCAGACTCAGAACAGCAAACTTGTTGTAGAAGAGCGAGTTCATCTTCATAGGCTTGCCCTTTTGGAACCCGGGGAAGTACATTGCAAGCATGTCAAGATCAGCCTGACGCGCCATCTGTGCAATTTCCTCCAGATTGAGCTCCTGGATGTTCATGTGTTGGATGTCATCAAATCCAGAGGCGTCCATCTTGTCGGCAGGCCCTAACTTTCCCAGTTCGCCTAGCTCATCTGCGTCAAGCTTCATGTCCAGCCCGTCGCCTCCAGCAGCCTCCATCTCCATCTCTTCGTCTGACTCTCCAGGTTCACCGGCATGCACGACATGGTTGTTGCTGTTGGCATTGTTATTCAACATTCCAGCATGGACAACACCACCATCATCGTACTCGTCCATCACAGGCAGCTCGTCCATTTCGTTGCCTCCCCAGCTCTGGCTCCAATGTTCGTCATCTCCCAGATCAAATCCTCCAAGCTCATCCTCGCCAATGTGGAACTGGAAGCCACCCAGGCTATCGTTCCCAGACATGGATAGACCAGCTTCCTCCTCGACAATCATCTCCTCATCCTCCTCAATCACGTTGTTTCCGGTTGCTTCCTCCTCTTCGGGCAGCTCATCATCTGCCAGCTCGTCTTCGTCCTCGAAATCGATGGCGTCTGCGGAGTGTTTGATGGCATCTGCACCATCAAGCGATGGGACAACACCTCCAACGTTGGTAGGGTCGCCACCGAGTGCTCTGGCCCAGTCAGCGTCTTCGTCGGCCATTTCTGTTTGTGTAACTCTTGCACGGGGTGTAAATGTAGCTGCATATTGGATTTAAGATTCAGGGCTAGGGTTGATTACATAAGGCTAGCGGATGAAGAGCATGCTATCTAGTGATAGATTGGATGATGACCAAATCCAGACGACAAGGAAATATTTCTAAATGGTGATAAAGGGAAATGGCCATTCGATTTTGGACAGTTTGGTACATTGCCACGAGTCTTTATTGAGTCAATAGCCTCTCGAGGTGTATATAAAAGTCAGCGCATGCACTGACCCGAACACATACTGTATAACGTGTATGATTAAATCCTAACATTTATATAACCAACATACCGACTACTTGTAGATTCTATATTACTTTGTACACTAAGCACTTTGTGAGTCATGTCTTTGTTACAAGTATTGGTTGCTGATCATCATTATCCTCACTCCTGTTGTTGTTATGAAGTGTGGTTTTTATAGTTGGGTTTCTTCTCCTGCATATCAAGATCTTTACGCGCTGGGTCAAGCTTAACAAGTTCAGAAGAACTCATTCACTACTCAATTTCGATTTTTTGGCACAACGAGCTGTCTTTTGGACTCGCCACATGGAAGACAGATTACAGCAAAGGGTACGGGAGACTTTGTCACTACCGAAAGTCTTCGACCGGCTGGACTCCTATTTTCTATTCTTTTCGGCATGGTACAGACGCGTTTCCAAGGACTACACATTACAAGAACCGGAGGAATATGAGAAGGAGCGTCAGAATGCCGCCTTTATCGTCGACAATGATTCAAACACGGGCGAGGAGGTTGTGAGAGTGACCAGAGATCACGTGCCTTGGGTGGTGCTTGCTGCTCACTTCATGACGGGGTGCTCTACGAATGCTACTTACGTGAGCGAACTGCTAGAGAAACGACTCAACATTGGAAGAATTCCGAAGGAGATGGTTGAGAGTATCATTGCATGGAGTATATCTGGCATGCATATGGACGAGAAGCTGGCATTGCAAGCTCTGGAGGCACGGCTTGACGAGACGGAGAGTGGCAGGGCCTTGACCCAAAGCTTGAAGGATAAGATGCAGAGGACGATTTGGGACAAGGTGTTTCAGCATCATCTGAAGAATTCGCAATTAAACCCAATCTGCGAACGACCCGGAGTTGTGTTTTTTGCCCTGTTTCCTTTGTCTAACGCGAATGGATATTCTCTGCTCTTCATCGATTATCTCACCAAGGCTGCCACATTCAGCATACCTTGCAAACCCAAAAACGCGCTGGACCTGATCAGGGACATTCGGGTCGCCGTTTTGGATCATTTAAGAGCATACGGACAGCCCTTGGCCCTAATTTGCATGAACCCCTGTCGAGGAACGAACGGATGGCTTGGAAGCGTACTTCAGAAGGCATTCAAGCACATGGTACCTTTCGATACGGTAGTGTCCATCTACGAACTTCGGGCCCGCTCACTTCCATCCCGAATAGCTGAAGTTTTCGAAGAAGCAACTACAGCTGTGAGAGACCCCAATGATACCTTGAAAAATAGCCAACCATTCTGTTTCCTCAGAACCCAGAACACCCACGAGACTTGGGAGCATCTCGTGTTGGGCCATTTTATGACTCTTCAGAATCGCTCCTTTGTAAGACATCCTCGAGACCTGGAGTCGGGTGCTACATCTGATAATATGAATATCTGTTTTCACATCATCTACGAAGTGAATCTCTCTCTGCCTTCATCTAAGATAAGCAACGAGGCATGGTCTTGTATATTCTTTCCCAATCCCTTTCCAAAAGCGAAGCTTGACCTATTCAAGCCAGAGAAAATGCCCAGAGCTCTCGAGAATGAACTCAAGGAAGTTACAGCGCTATCCCTCGATTTCACACTTTCTCCCGAGACACCTGCTTTACCTGCAGACATGCTGGAGTTTGATGAGACTTCTAGACGCATCGTTGCATTTTGCTTCCGAAAGAGGCGTGACAGGGTCTTGCCGAAGAATTTTGTGGAAGAGCTTGAGCTGAGAAAAATCAAGAGAGCGAGAAAGGATGCCGAGGAGTCGGAGAAGAGACCCGTTGAAGAAGCTGCTGATAAGAAAAAGCAGCAGGAGGCTGAGAAACAGACTTCTGGTCTACAAAACGCGGAGGAGGAAAAGATGCCACTTGCTGAAGAGCCTGCTGAGAGGCCGGCTGGAGAGAAACGACGATTAACAGCAGAAGCCGAGAAACAAGGGCTGGCTGAAGCAGAAGCTGAGAAATTGACGGTTACTGGAGTTGGACGCGTCAGACAGACTGAGGAAACTGAGAAACAGATACTGGTCGGCGAGGAAGCTGGAAGATTGCGACAAGCTGAGGAGGAGGAGATTCAGGGATTGGGTGAGGAGGAAGTGGAGGTGGAGAGGGCGAAGCCGGCTACTGAGGCTAAAGATGCTGCTGAAGATGAGAGCCAAAGACTTGCAGAAGAGTGTGAAGAGGTCGGGCGTCATAGACAGACAGAGGAGGGGGAGCGACTCAGACTGACAAAAGAGGAGAGAACGAAGCATGCTGACGAGGAAGAGAGGGCCAAACAGGCCGATCAGGTTATGGAGGCTATGGCATCTTTCACGGCCGAAAAGAAAAGACTTGCCGAGGAGGCCGAACGAGAAAGACTAGCCGATAAGGCGGCCGAGGAGCAGAGGTTGGCGATAGAAGCGGTAGACATGGAAAGGGCTGAGGCAGAGGAACAGAGCCGGCAGGAGGTGGCCATTTTGGACTCACCAGACGACAGCGAATCTTCCCAGGAGATACAGGTTGAGAAGACTGCTGCTGAGGAAGTGGCCGAGAATCTCAGGGTCCAAGAGGAATGGAGACGACAAGAGGCTGAAAGACAGAAGGAGATTGAGGCCATCCTAGCGGCTGAAAGAAAGGAGAAGGCTGCTAAGGAAGCTGAGGTTGAGGCCGAGACCAAAGCTAATGCAAATATTGAGGCTGAAGCTGCTGACACCACTCTTACCGAAGAACGCCAAGCAGATTTGGAGGATGAAGAGGATCTGCCCCCTACTAATAACCCCATTACAGCATTCCTCAGAACTGTCAAGCTGGCTCTGAATCGAGCACCACCACCTAGGAAATAGAAGCTATCAAACGGCTTGGAAATATATATACATCAATAATTTATAATTTAATATTCAATGGCAGCTACAGGATATCCCACTGGTAAGTCTTATCGGTATGTGTTTAGTAAGTTTTCATGATATGTAAGGGGGGTTGGCATCTTTGGGGTCTACTAAGTAGCAGGGAAACTGACATGGGACTGTTTAGAAGAATGAAATCATAATTTTACTACCAAAATATGTTATTATTCCCGCACTTATTTCCAAATATCTCTATCATCACATTCTGGAGCTTTCCATCTGATTCTGACGACTTCTTCCTCCTGCACCCTAAAAATTCGTCGGCATAATGCATGCATCAACGATGCACATTTTTTCGCCACTGACCAACCTCTCCGAACCTAAACCGCCTCGGCAAGGGATATATAAACCCCCTCTACGTCCCACTTTTTCAATCAGAATCAGACCAGTTCACTCTGAGTCATTCTGGAGATGGAAGGTGCATTTTATAGCCTGCTGAGATGCAGAGCTGATAAGCAGACCTGTCTCATACAACGAGGACCGCTTCGCTAGCCATGTCCGTTGAATTGTTTGGGCAATGACGCGTTTACCGCATGAGCCCTTTTCGGTCAAGAGACTCTCGCTATGACGCATTGAAAAAGATGTATGAGCCTGAGAATGTGCGACAGCTTCTGATTGGGCGTTTGAGCTGAGATTTGGTTCTCGGCGAGTTCAACACAGAGGCGAGTACGACCGCCTGCGCCAAGTGTCAGTAAGTCCGTGACTGTGCGTCCGGTTGACCGCCATGAGCTGAAAATGCCATGAGCCAAGAGCGAGTTTGGCCTGCTGAAATGCCTGAGCCTACTCCGTGTCTTGTGAGTTCTTGAGGACCACATGTGCAGCCGCCAGAGCAAAGAGCCAGACAGTGAAACATCTGCAGAGCCACCGACAGAGATTCTCAAGGGTGAAACTCCTTTCGAGACTCCTTTCCCACAGGTGAAATTCCTGTTTACTCACAGGGTGAAACTCCTTTGTGAAGTCTCATAGGGTGAAATTCCTGTATGAGAAGCCGCCTAGAATCTGAAGAGCCAAGCTGAAATGCCAGAGCTGCCAGTTGTAGAGCAAAGATCTGCTTTGACAGACGCCATACATGGTCAAAAGAGCAAGCCAGAGACAGAGCTATAAGCCAGAGCCAGTGCGACATGAGCCAGAGCTGATACGCCAGATACCACAGAGTCAGAGCGATAGCCAGAGCGACAGATGCCTGAGTGTGAGCCATAAGTCCAAGAGCAAGAGCCACACAGGTCAGAGCCAGCGCTGAAATGCCAGAGCCAGAACCCATGACACGAGCAAAGAGCCAGTAAGCCCTTCAAGGCAATAAGTGCCAAACGCCGTGAGAGCAACGTCAATGCCACTAAGTCCAGAGAGCAATAAGAGCCATTTCGCCTGAGCAAGAGCCAGTGAGTCCACAGATGCAATAAGCGCCAAACGCCAGAGCACAGACAGAGCCGAAGGAGCCAGGGCCATAGAGCCGAGGCCAGCCAGTTGCCAATAAGTCCAAAGAGCAATGAGAGCCTGAGCACGAGCCGAAGTCACACTATTCAAGGAGTAGGCAGTGAACCTCTTAGCCAGAGGATGTAACTGACCGAACCTGTTTATCTAGTTTTTAAGAGGAGTAGGTGAAAATCCGAACCTCTTGGGTTAATAAATCATGGACCAAAGAGTCCCCCCGAATATTTGAGTTGTAGAGAGTTGAACAGTATTTGTAGTTGTAGAAGCGATCTTTTGTAGAGAACCATTGCTGAACCGCCTTGATCTCGTGATTATTCACCTTGTTGGAGTTGGAGAATGGTGTTATAGCCAGTACACAGTTGCACGTACACAGCGGAGAGGCCAAGTATTAGTAACGTTGAGGAAACTTAGCCTCGACAAATATCCGTGACTCCCTTTGGCAGAGAACAGGTGAGCAGACTGATCCCACGGAAGACTTCCTGTGCTATGGGAATGCTCTTATGGGCTTCGAGCACGACACCATTGGCCTCACGTTCATATATCCCCCTTAGAAGACCCCTGTGACGCTCTCAACATGTCAATCAAGACGGCACAATATCGCTAATCAGGGGGGGGGGATACTTATTGTGCCAGGTGCCACCTCCTTCAGAGGTCATGAAACGGCTGGAAATGATGGTGATAGACCAAGATATACAATTCGTTGGAGAGACGCCCACTTCGTGTACTCTTCGTCTTGCGATCACGGTCAGTGCAGTCTCAGCAGTCAGCTCCGACTCCACAGGTTTTGTCGGTCCCTCTAAATTTCACGGTAGATCCGAGTCCTCCGAATCGACTGACTCCTGTTCTCCTGGCTCCGACATGGACTGTGAAGAGTAGTTCTAGCCTGACGGACTTCGTAGGTTTGCCATCAGCACCTCTCTTTTCCGCAGGTACATCTGGTGCAGTCATTTGCCGAAATCTCGTCTTAGGTCGTATCTGTTTCATGGCTCCTTTGATGAGCTGTACCCGTTCCAAATCAGGCAAATAAGTAATCATCGAAGTTATACGTGACTTCTAAAAACTACCGACTATCTTGTAGATGACGTCGCAATACTGAAGCTAGATGGGTTGACTACTCTGTGCTTCAACACCAATTCTTCCACTTATACATTGATGAAGCCCCCGTAAACCACGAAGTAGAGTCAGTTGAACTCTTCATGCCATATGGAATACGCTCTTACGACCATCTTGAGAACCACTAGAGCACGCCTGAAATGTCTTGATATCTGTTATAATCTTATATTGAAGCAAGGTCGTTGAAAGCATCCCCTTTATTATCTGCACCTCCTAACAGCTTGGTTGAATGGAGGTGGGGGACCGGTGGAGGAATTAATGTACACGAGTCGCAGCCCTCGATTCATTCGGTTAGTATACAAGTAGAAGTGCTTTATTTTAACAATCGGATGGGTTCACTACAATCTGTTCATCATGAAGTACCAACCCCACAGTCACCAACCAGGAACCGTTCAACATTCTGACTGTGACCCATTACACCAGGATGTCAACAGGAAAAGGATGTTATCGATTAATAACCCCTTAAAATTCGCACAGAGCCTTTAGAAAAGCCTTTGTACTCCCATTACTTCATATTCTCGCTGTGAGATCAATACATTCTCGATGTTCATTGGTGAGTCCGCCATCCTCGGCAATCTCTGGTGGAGGCTATTGCGGTGATATTGCGCCTGTCCAAGTCCTTGTTTATCAAGAATCTGACATTTCCGGATCACCAGGTCGTCCAGACTTGACTCTAGATATGTACTCATACAAGGCAGGTTCACTCTGCCTCGATTACTGCTGCACCTTCCCGATCTGTTCCACGGTGTCTAAACCAGTAGCATTGACCATCATGCCACAGTAAACGAAGCTCGATTCATCGCAATCATCCAATGGCCTAATACACCTACCGCCAGATTCCAGAGAATCAGGTGATACTGTGGGCCGCCTCGTATACACAGGGCAGAATGAGTCATGAAAAGCGTCGACGGGCGCGATGGAAAGGCCCAACTTTAAACCATTATTCATCGCGCGTCAGTAGTCGATCCCCATACGTCAGGTTGACAGATGTCTGGTGGAGTTGAAACATGTCAAACGTCATTGTAAGTTTTAGCACCTGGCGGTATTTTGTTTGCGTCTGGCTTGCTCTCGCCCCAGTGGATCGTGTATGCCAGACATCCTCGCCAAACATCGTTGCTTATTGCCTCAACACATGAGAATTCTAACATATATGGGCTCAGGCAACCTCCTGCCAGATTTTACCGAGGAATATCCTTCCAGAAGACCCTATCATCAATCATGGCGGCATAAAGCCTCTGGATTGTACTGTCTAACCTCGCTGTAGAAGACTCGACGAGCTATGACAAATGTTATTTTCGGTGACTAAAGAGCAATGAAGATCAGCAGGTCTTTATCGGACGAGGTGGTGGCTATGCCGTCGGCAACCCATCGGAGTACCGCTCAACACTGTCACCGAGAGAAATGGCTGAACGAAGAGGTTGGTGCTGGGCGAGAACAAGAAGCAGTTGGATCACCGTAGTTGCCGGTTCAGCTTGGACTGGATGGCTCACTGCGGAGGAGGATAGATATTCTACCTTCGTGTGCATTGCCTAAGAGCAAGCCGTCACATCCGTCCCATAATAGTGTATAAAGTCAAGAAGGATGTGAGAGCATCTGACGCTGTCCACAAGATCAAGGGGGATAAGTTCCATAGAGATGAGTAGGAAGCCAATTTCTATTGCAAAATGTACATGAGCCGTCAGAGAATAGCAAAAGCCGACATATGCATTCGCTATATAGTAGAAACTCAAGCCTTTCGCTTACTTTCGTAAAAGTGTCAATGTCCAACATTCCAAGGTGTCTAAACTGAGTCCTGCAGTTCATTGTCAGTCATTTGAATGCTTTGACAAGACAGTTGCTGAAATAAAGCTGAAGTCCCCTTTTCTGTTGTGTCATGAGGAAGAGTTCGTCCAAGCAGGGCAGCCCTTCAAGCCAGATATACTGCTTCCTGACCAACCAGAGTCAAGAAAAATGAGCGAGGGGGGGTCAAAGGACAGTTCCAGGAGCTCGGGATAAGTTTGAATGGTAACCCAAGGCGTCTATTATGTTTTCATGACTGAATGTATCTCTTCATGCTGTGATCTGTCGTTATCGATAAAGAAAGTTCGAATGTGACGTCTTAGACCTTGTCGTGGGGTGTGAAACTTGTTGACAGTGTTATACCATGCCTACCATGGTGTCTAGACCATTTTAATTGTAGTCATAGCCTTGCTCTGAGGTCTTGGAAGGTGTTTTATTCACTTTACAGTTTCAGGGCTGAGCTAAATTCATACGATAAGATCACTTTACCGTTTCTCATGTTGAAGTAATGGAGGTGTGACTTGAGATATGGATCTTGAACCAATTCAAAAGTCTTACTTCCACTGCCAATTCAAAGTCAAAAGGCCTCGGCTGTTGTATTATTGAATACCACGATT